AAAGGTATAAGTGCTACTTATAATCGCTATGTGCGAAACTATTTATCTTATTACTATAACTATCTAAGATAGACCCGACTCTATAGGTACTTATATCTGTTGCTAATCCCTAACTAACCTATGCAGCATTTATATATAGATTTTAAGTTATTTCTAAAAGATAAAGCTAGATATAATTAAATCCTTATAATTATTAATTATCTCTCTAAGTAAGCTGTCTTGATACTATGCTATAAGATAACTACCGCCTAAGGCATAGCTAAACTCTTTATTTAGTAGGTATATTATTTTAGACATACTCCTAAGTTAATTATTTCTAACCGAGGTCCTTAGTTTATATTAAGCTTCTAGTTAGAATTCTGCTATATTATTAGTATAAAAGTTAAGCTGTCTACTGCATATTATAAGGAAATAGATAGTTAAACTAAAATTATAAATAAATATATCGACTAATATTTATACCCTTTTATATTATACTACTAGGATAACTAGTCTAAATTGCTTCTAATAATAGACTAAGTTTAGATAATACTGCTATATTCCTCTCTAGGAATAACACTATACTAGTTACTATATAGGAGCAAACCTCGCTAAAGCTAGTAGTAGTCTCTCTTAGAACCAAGGGCAGATCCTATAATAATTCTTAACTAGAAGGAAGCTATAGCATTAGCGACTTAGATGCATAACGCTTAGAAAGTAGCTAAAGATAACCTAGAAGCGGCCTAGACCTAGATGCGAATTATAAAAGATATTTACTAGCTCCTAGTAAACTAGAAAGTTAGAGATAAAGTCTTCCTGTTAACGCGGAACCTAGCTAATAACCGGCCTAGCTGCAAGCTAGCTGCCCTTTAGCAAGGTCCCTTTAAAGTTATCGAAGAAGTTAGTTACTTATACCGCTTAAGGTTGCCTACTAGCTTAAAGATATATAATATCTTTATACTAGACATCTTATGCAAAGACCTATATAATCTACTACCTAGTTAACCTGCACTAAAGCCCCTAGGCACTCCTATAAATAGAGTAGAGAAGTAGGAAGTATAAGAGATCTTAGGCAGCTAGATAAAGCGTTGCTAGTTAGAATACTATACTAGCTAGGTTAGACACGACCTAGACCTAACTTAGTATCCTGCTGCTAATTTTAAGCATACGCCTTATAAGTTGCAAGCATATTATTAGAAGTACCTATAATAGCTAAGCCCTCTACCTAAACTCTTATAGTAGTTATTAACCTAGCAAGGAGAGCAGTAGGTATAGGGAAAATAGTAAGGTTAATTATAATAAAGGAAATCTATAGTATTAGGCGCCTCTAGTTTAAACCTATCCTGCAAATGCCTAAAATAAAGGAAACGTTAATATATATTGGAGCTATAACATAGCTAGGTTAGGCAAGTCTTCTAACTAGAGTTCCTTATTAGATAGGTTAGAAGAGATATTAGAGAGCTTGCTCTCTTCGTCCCCCCTGTCTAGCATCTCAAGGTTATCTTATTGTGCTGCTCTGCCTTACGCACAATAACTACCTCTACTACGTTGCAAACTGCAACCCTAACTCCTACTAGCAGCAGAACTACTTCCCTAAGCGGACGCCCTAGCCTTATATATCTGCTAAAGGTCTGCTACTACCTTCCTTAACACCTAGACCTCCTCTATTAGGATACCTACCTCCTTAGTAAGCCTCTCTAACGTCTCTTAAGCCTGCGCGTTATAGGCAGGTTGCATATAAAAGTAGTGCAGAAGAATACTAGTCGCTAATACCTCCTTAAGTTATGCAGTTGCTACTTGCACAACACTAGAAAGCTTAAGCGCCGCCTAATAAACGTCGCGCTACGTATCTGCACGCACCTTCTCTATAGTAGCAGCTTCCCTAGCTAAAATCCCCTCTTTATCCTCTACTAATGCTTTAACCTACGCGTTAAGCGCCTCCTTAAGAGTAGCGTACTTAGAACCAATATAAATCAGAACCTTCCTAGGTTAGCATATAGTTATAAGTAGGATAAAGATATTATAATATTACTAGTTAATACTTCTTATTCTGCTATATGCAGTATGCACACTAGAACAAGGTTCTTAAATTAAACTTCTATTTAATCTAATTGCCCTTTACTAGGGCACGCATAGAATAAAGGCAGATAACCTAATAGGCTACTATAAGAGCGCTAGGAGGGACTAGTATTAGCATAGTAACTAAGAAATAAGCCTAGGAAAGGATTAGCAGGGGCCTAAGTTAAAAGTAAGGATATTAACTTATAGTAGAAAGTAGTATCTGTTAGAGAACGTTAGTATATAGGCGCGACTGTTTACACCTTACTGCTAGCTTAGGCGCTAAGCCTAGTTAGTTATACTAGGGACGCGAAATTGCTATATAAACGGTATTATAGACCTATAAGCCCTCTAACTTAGCTAGGTGCAGCCTTATTAGCTGCTGCTAAGCGCGCGCCGCATATAAATGCAGGGTTCTTTATTAACAATTATATAATAAACAAATAATAACAAGGTATAAATAAAGAGATAGCAAGGCAGGGCAGAGCTAGCTTAGAACTAAGTCGGTGCAGAGATAAGCGCAAGGCTAATTAACTATATTAGGGACAATATAACTATAAAGGAGAGAGGTAATATAAGAATTAACTACTAAAATCTCGAATCTTATAAACAAGATACTACCTAACTTAAACAACCTCTAACTCCCCTCTAACTTAGTCTCGACTTACCTCTGTTACTATTTCTTATCTATCTATAGCTAACCAAGACTTATAGGTATAAAAGGCAAGCCTATAGTAGTTCTAGAATAGATAGTTTTTAAGTATTCTTTGTACAAGACCTATAGGAATAAGATTCTCCCTAGTTATCGACTTTCCTAGTGCTCCTATACACCTCGTAGTAGAATTGGAACCGTATTAGAGGATCTTATTACCTGCGTCGTTATAGCTAGATGCTTATAACCTATATATCTAAAATATAAAATAGCAGCTCTATATCCTGCTATCCTATTCTACTCTCTAATATACTGCAAAAATAAGAAAAAATATAGATAAGAATATATATTAGCCTCTATATTCTAAGTTCTTATATTAAAGGGCTCTACCTGCTCTCCTAAGGTCTACTTTCCTCCTCTTCTCTTACCTATTTGCACGCTATCTAGCTCTATATTAAAATTATAAGTCTTTACTAATATATCTTAGGCTAGATGCTCTTTCTATATATACTTTTTATACCTACTCCCTATATTAGAGTCTACTACTTCTAACCTATATCTAAAGTATATAGAAGAGGTGCTAATATTCTATTACTCTAGCATTATAGTATTATATATTAGATTAGATTAAAAAATATAACTCTATATTTTATATACTAGGCCTACTCCCTAGATCTTTCTACTATACCTTTTTACTAATATATATCTTTCTCTATATTTATCTCCTATAGAACTTCTTTCTAAATTTATAAAATTCTAGAAGAAAAAATAGATATTCTATTCTATTCTATTCTATAGTATTATATACTATAATATACTATAGAAGATAAAAGACTATTTATAATTAGCTATAGAGATCCTATTGTCTCTGTGTGCTTTAAAGTTCTTTCTTAGCACGCTCTTCTACTTACTCTCCTTCCTTCTATTCTTTAAACCTAATTTAAAAAAATTAGCAATATAAAACCTATATCTACCTGTTCTAGTGCTACTATATTGCGCAATAACTTAAAAGATGCTTCTAGGGTATAGAAAGAAAAACTAAGTACTCTTTATCTTTCTACTTTATACTTCTATCTCTAAGTCTAAATATGCTTCTTACTCTTCTACCTATATATTTAAAACTCTAAGAGGAATATAATATATCCTACTCTAGCGCTGCTAAATTAACTATAAGATAAAATAATGCGTTTAGGGAAGAGAGTAGAGAACTATTTATTCTTTCTCTTTCTCTCTCTCTTTCTATATATTAGCCTTAACTCTTTTCTATATCTACTTTCTATTCTAGATCTTAGTATCTAAAAACTATAGGATATTATTTTATGTTCTGCTACTCTAGCGCCCCTAAAACCTAAAATAAATAACAATAGTTAGGTATAGAGCTGTTATGCCTATTCTCTACTTGCGTCTACTGCTTCTATACTCCTCTATTCTCCTATTACTGCGCATCTAAAAACAAAGGCTAGATAATATATATCCTGCTGCTCTAGCTCTACTAAATCCTAAAATAAAAGAATATAGTTTAACAAATACCTATCCTCTACTTAAATACTCTGTTTCTACACTCCTCTATTATTTAACTATATATCTAAGTTTAAGGAACTGTAGATATATGTCCTGCTAAAAGATATATTTTAAGAGGACATATGTCTAGGGGGGATATGCTAACCTATTATTTGTGTTTCTGCTCCTGCTCTATCTAACTTCTATTCCGTTTCTTCTACTCTCCTGTATCTCCTCCCTTAGGCCTTATGTTTAAAATCATGATTATAGCGTCTATGCGCTTCTGCTCTAGCACTCTCTAACATGCCTTTATAGCAAATATAGAAAGTAATGTCTTATACTGCCTCCTCTGCTCTAGAAATTAACTCCTGTTGCTGTCCCTAGTGATTAGCTGCTTAGAGCTGTTATAAAACTTGTGTTCAGCTTTTTAAAGGAAGCCGCGAACAAAGCCATGTTTTGTTCTCTGCTGCTCTGCTCTTTATCACGTCTTAAGAGTAGAGTCTCGCGCCTATGTTGCAGACTAAGGCCTCTCTACCTACCTATAGGTATGCACTCTCCACTTCTAATACTTCTGCTTCCTATCCACCTACCCTATATCTGAATCTGAAAAGGAGGTATAGATGCCTGTCCTGCTGCTTGGGTGCGACTGAGGTATAGACTAGACGATGAGACGAGGGGCGTTGAGAGAGATTTAAGTCCTTCACTCCGACCATCTTCACCTCGCTTCATCCGACTCGCCATCCAACTACTCCCTGCATTCCCAGGCGCGGTTTCAAAGCAACCTCAAGAAACCATGTCTCGCCGTTCCGTATTATATGTTGTTCTTGCCTCCCACCGGCTGGAGGCAGAAATCGGACGATTTCCTGTCGCTACGCTGGTCCGGAGCCAGTGTTGATAACGACGTGCTGACCTGATCGTGACCGATTCCCACCAGTCCATCCACTTTCAACACATCTCGATCCCTCTGTGTGACCGCACCAATCGGTGGCAGTACATCACCCTGTCTTATACATGCTCCTATCCTCGCCATAGCCCTCGCATCCAACGCCCCAGTCCAAGTTGGTACACGGTAGATGTAGCACGCCAGGAAAGCCAGTCCGATCAGTTGAAAGCCAATGAGCAAGGATAGCACTACCACGGCAGCCACCGACACCGCTGGTTTCTGCACGGCCTGACCAGGAGCGGTGTAAATCGCACGCCCTGATGGCGGATATATGCGTGAGCCGCCTCCACTGGAGTTCGGAGAGTAGAAGGTGAGCAAGGCCCGGTTGGAGACATACAGGCTGATTTGCAGCAGGCTGACTGCGTTGGTCAATTCATCGTCGCGCCTCGCAGGCGCAAAGCCCTCGATCCACTCGTGGATGATCTGCAATACTTTCATCCGGCTTGGTTTCTGGCCTGAGACAATGGTATTGTCGATCCCCTTGCATGATGTAGCTGGACTCGGAAAACCCTCGGACCAAGTACCAAAGAGCCTCCCATAAGGCATGCCTGCACACAACAGATCCCATTCGACCTTATCCTGGTCATTTCTGTCTTCGAACGTTGTGTTGGCGCCATATCGTACCATGTTGTGCAGCCACGAAGTGTTGCCAAACATGGCCATTGCAGAGCTGGCCAGTGGTCCAGATGTTTTCCACGAATCCGAAAGCGATAGAGTTGAAGTGTGACGAGCCTCCTCCCCCGCCCAGGTGTCACTGGTACGGTCAGTAGCGATTATCCGTCACGTGAATCGACTTACTTTTCGCTTGGCGTAAAGCCTTTACCCTTGTATGGTTCTGTCTTGACATAATCATTAAACTCAGTCTGCATTCTCTCGGGACCAGGCCACTGATCGAGCAGCGGACCGTAGGTATCTTCATTCAGCGCATTGCCCATTTCGAAATAGCCGCGCGTCGTTTTCGCTTCGCATCTAACGGTAGCACTGACGTTCTTGAAGCTCGCGTCTTCCCTGGTACTGAGGTCGCCATCCCATAGGTCCAGGTACAGCTCTTCGGTGATGTCTTGACGATTGCGGCTCAGCCTCCAGGGAAAGGTTCCAACGCTACCAGGCACGCAGACACGAATGTCAGTGTCTTTCGTCTTTTGAAGCCTGGCGACGAAAGGATTCTCTCCCGGACATGGCGACGGGAACGATGATTTGTCAATCTCCTCGCACTGAACCGAAGAGTTGAATCTCATCAAATGTTCGCGCAATACTCCAGTGGTCGAATTTGTTCGGAGACTCGCGACAAAGAATGTGGGAATCTCAGCATAAGTGAAGCTGGGTAGCCAAGGCCGCAGCGTCTTAAATCTGCCATCAGGTTCTGCTACTACCCGACTCCATGACGATTCTGGCATGGTGTCGCTCCAGAGGTTGTTCTGCTCCTCGTCTAATCCAATGGCTGCGAGGTCCGACGCCAGTCTAGGCAAGAACGTGTTCTGATATATTTTAGCCATCTGCGCGGGCTCGATATCAAGCCCGATCGAAGTATAGCTGATCGAACGACCATCTTGGCACAATGTATCGTTATTGTTGTATCGGTAGCGCGTATCGCTACATGCAGTGACGGGGTAAGTTTCCATCGGTACCAGGATTTGGTAAAGTGGCTGTTGTATGGCGCTGATCATGATCAACAGAGCAGCAAGGAGAAGAAACGGGCCTGATGCTTTTGTCTTCTCTTTCCGGCTCGCCGACAGTCGGATAGATTTCCAAAGCTCAAAGGGATTCGTCCAGCCTCGGTCAGCAAGCGCAAACACGTCTCTGAGACTCAAAAACTGAGTGTGCTGTCTTTGGCAAAACACCACTGCCGCTTGCGCCAGGATCGTGGACAGGAACGGAAGGGTGATCAACGCGGTCATTGAATTGAGGACGTCGACCGCGGTCTTCCAGTTGCGAAGATTCTTGACCTCCGTTGCAGTGAAGCCTTGCTGTTTGATGTACGAGGATCCATTGATCGGCCGAGTTGCGAGAACGCATGTCAATACCCAGGGAATGATAACGAGCGGGACGTAGAAAGCCAGGAGCCAGAGGGTTCGCATACGGTAACGAAGGGAAGAAGCGTTTATCTCCTGGCACACTTCGGTGCGTATCGTTCTATGCGCTTCCATTTTATTGTCGAGCACAAGGAATTCCTATGGTACGCCTGAGACGACGCAACTAAGTGTCCTCCGCGTTCCCCGTATTCCGAGTCGAAGATCGTGATTGAGGCACTGCTGCCATGCGCTGCAGACATTCTCGTGTAAAGCAATTATTTGATTGGCTGCTGAAGAGGTAACAGGCCGATTTTGCCGTAAATACAGAGATGATTAGACAGATTGCAGTCTCTCCACTTTTGCGTCCACAAAAAGACTGAGGGATCCTATTATCTCGTAAATTTCTAACACAGCCTTGATCTTGCGCAGGTCCTGAAACACGTCTCGCGTTTGAGCCTCGCGGTTATATGCTTGTTGCAAAGATAGCGATCGCAAGAGGAATATAAGTAAACTTTCCAAGTCAATACAGATATCTGCGCGCTCAATTTTGCGCTGTTTGTGTCGTTGCATGGTTCCAAGCTTGGACCTGACTTCTTAATTTCGATGTTGGACGCCTCGCGCTAGGCTCAATGCGGATTCGCTCCTTCCATTCTCCGACTTCCTTGGCAGCACCGCAAGGCCACACGACTGCACTTGACATTCAGGTTCGACACCGACCAGCTTCTCAGCCGCAAACTCCTACATCTACCTCCCCTTATCACTACAAGCTCTCGCACGCCGCACTCTCAACATCCCGTGGAAGTCTCAGGGGAGCGCCGGCATCTTGATGATCGTGGTGAGCTTCGCCTTCCTATCCCGCATGGTCTTGAGGTCCTTCTCAAAGTTCTCCCAGACCTGCTTGACTCTGACTCCATACAATTTGTTGATCTCCCGCAACTTGGCGTTCCACTGCTCCTGCGGCACCAAGAGGGTCTTCTCCTTGGCCTGGTACTTTTCCACGGTCGTTTTCCATTTGCCGGCGCTGCGGGCCTTGCCTTTGTCCGCGACTAATTTTGCTGCAAACACCTTCGCCTCAATTGCATCGATTTTCGCCTTTTCCGTCTGAATCTCCTTCTTTATCGTCTCGATCTTAGTCTCGATTGGTTTCCGTGCTGTTTGGAGGGTGTCAAGTTTCTTCTTGGAGTCGTCGAAGTGGGCGCGCTTCTTGGCTTTGTCCGTGTCTCTTTCCTTCTTGCGTATCGTCTGTTCGAGTGTCTTCAATGTAGCGACCTCCTTTTCGAGCTCCTTCTCCGCGAGTGTGATGGCATCCTTCATCCACTTCTGGCCCCACGCTTCCGTCTTCTTGAAATGCAGCTTCATGTATTCTGTGAACTTCACGTCGAGAACTACAGCTTGGCCCTGGCCGTCTTTGAGGTCTAGGCCAGTCAGGCCCTTGGCGTTCTTCATGATCTCAGTAATCTCTTTTACGATGGTTTGGATCCTGGACGCTACGGGCGGACTTTGTAGATAATCGAACACGGCAAGTACCTGAGAACAGTAAGTCGCGTGAGTCAGGTTATGGAAGCTGATCGCCTACATTTCGATGGACGCTGTGCAGCATTGCAGAGTCGGTCTTTCCATCAGCTACACCTTCATACAGGGCCTTGTACTTTCCAGGCGCCACGGGATTTTCTTCCGACCAGATGCTTTCCTTGATCCCATTGACTTCCTTGTTGAAGAGTACGTTCGCATTTGGGTTAATCTTCGATCCCATTGCATGGAAAACTAGGTCGTTAAATTTCAGGGCACCTTTCAGGTCCTTTGTCCAAGGAATGTTAGGCAGAGCCTTGGCCTTGGTCAAATCGATTGAGGCCTCCCAGAGTTTCTTCAGGTTTGCTTGGAAGTTTTTATCGCCATTGGCTAAATGGTCTAGGAACATGGCTATAGTTTGTAGCTGGACGAGTTAGCGCTATGCAGGAGGTTGCTTGTTAAAGATCGGAGCTTACTTCTATTACATGCTCCGTAATGAGATTGAGAGTAGATTTGGGCTCAACAGCTTTGGCTGTCATTTCGTGATCTGCCACAAGATCAGTCTGGAAATCCAGCACTGCCTTTGGGTTAGCCTGTCTGGGATCCGCATAGATCTCAAAAGCATAATAATAGGAAGCGGCTTTCAGAGTCATAGTACCACCGAACGCCTTGACGCTTCTCGAGCGTTTTGCCAGCTGGTGGCCATCTCGGCGGGTGTTACCACTTTCGGATTCTTCAGAAGTTGCCTCAAGTTGCTCCTCACAGGAGATGAGACCACCGCAGAGGTCCTCTGCTTTTGCCGAGTATGGAACTTTGTATTTGTCGTTGAGAAACAAGTCCTCGTAAGGTGATTTTTCGGGAACCGGTTTGACAGGCGGCTTCGCTGGGGGTTGCACTGGAGGCTTCACCGGGGGCTTCACGGGGGGCTTCACCGGGGGTTTCGCTGGAGGCGCTGCAGGCTTCGCGGGGGGCTTTGGTGGTGCTCGCTTCTGGACGTCTTCCAAAACGTTTGTGTGCAGTCCCCTATCCGCAATGTGCGAACCGAGTTCGAGGGCCCGATCGTCGCTCGCAGAGTGTCGATCGTAGCCATTGGGAATCGTCAGCGCCGGCGCTGAGAGGACTCCAGATAGGAATATGAGCAGGACTGAGGCGGAGATCCGCATTGTATCTGGTCTTGAAATAACGAGAGTGAGGTCTTAATAGTCTGTGGTTGGAAATGAACGAATGAAGTTGATGTGAGCTTCTGCTGGCTGGCCAAATGATAGCGGGAGAATCTGTACCTTATAAAACAACTTCGCCGGATTTTGCTTTTCGGAGTTCTTTACTACCTTTCTCTCACTCAACAAGGATAGTCGATGGAAATTGACATTGCGGACTTCCGTCGTGCAATGTCCGTCCGACTCTCTCAATCTTGGCGATAGGCGGCCAACATCTTACACAAATACCGGTACCTTACCAGAACCAGACATCAGCTTGGCCAGGCCTGAAGAACGCCAAACTTCAGTACCCGGAAGATGTTCGGGAATAACTTTTGAACACCGACGCAGAACGTTACGGTATATGTGCACGGGTGCGCCTTCAACGAGACCGACAGTTTCCCATCACCCCACCACAGCACAGAACGATGTCTCCGCATTTCGACGAGGTGCAATCAGACCTCCGCGCGAATCCAGAAACGAAATGGGGGTTTGTCATATTCCGCTGCACATACGGCGACGATGCAGCCTGGGAGCGTATGATGAGCCGACTCAACACCCAAACAAGAAACGCGCTTGAGCTGGAGGGTGCCTCTGATCTGTTTCCGCGCATTGACTGGGCGGTGCAGGAGAACCCCGCCTGGGACGAAGCTGGGCCAAAATTCATCAAGCAGTGAGTTGCATCTGGGCTACTGAATATCTTAGCTGATCGCGACGACAGGCGGTTTGTCGAGTGGAAGAACGCGAACTTTCCCGATGGACGCGGCGGCCCACGATCATACGGCTGCATCATGATCGACAAACAGAGCCTTGACACGCTGCAGCATGAATACACGCCGCCAGAAGACGAGTTCGACGTGCATGGCTGGAGCTGGATCTGGATGATATCGAGCAGTGCAGGCGAGAGGACGACGCGCGTTGGTATTAGTTATGTGATGCCCCGCGCGTGGTTGTTGTTGGACAGACCTGGGTGGGGCGCGATTTACGATGGCGGGGCCGTAGTCACACCCTGACGTACGGGTGACGATTAGCACCTGCCTATTATGTAGTCGGAAATCAAATCGAAATCACAAAACCACGATTGTCCTACCTATGAGTTTAACGCACCTAGGAGTTTCTACCTAGAAGTTTACACCCACACAGCCAAAAAGGCATCATGCACTCCGCCTCAGGCTTACCACCCTCGCCAAGCCATCGCCCTCCCCATTGGTACGCGTCAGATGGAAGCAGTGTTTCCGGATGCATCTGGGGGCGCAGCCATCATACCTTATCTCGGCAGTGGCTCAGTCGTGAGGCTCGAGGTGCTGAGGTCTTGCTTACGCACGAGAGACATGCTCAGCCGTGAACCGCCTACCCGTGTTGTAGTATTAATCGTTATATAGGTCGCTCTACTCGCCTTTAGGCAGTGGATGTTTGCAAGAAACTTTGAAGAGCAGATGGTGCCACATATCAATAAAATGCTTCAAACGACAAGTCGAAGGCCGCAAACGACATCGAGCACAACGCTGGGAATGTTGACGAAGACTCTAATGGTATTATGCCGCACAAGGACCAGTTTAAGAATCACGCCTGGACTCGCGCTCACAGCCACTTCGCACTCATGGGAGGCTTTGCATTCGAGACCGATAAAAAACTCCCAGGTTTTTTTCCGCTAGAACGAAGTCGCCTGACTCTTACAACTTAAGGGTTAAGACATCTTGCCCAGGTCGACCCAATGTTGATCCCCAATATCTCTGAAGTGTACATCAAGGACAAGAGCAAGGCTAATTGGTTCGCAAAAGCGCTTGTCTGTATGCAAGCATGCTGGTTTATCACGCAGGTTGTCGGACGGGTTGCTACTTCTTATCCTATAACCTTGCTGGAAATGAATACCTTAATGCATGCTCTGTGGTGTTTGGTAATCTATCTGGCTTGGTGGCATAAACCTTTAAACATTGACGAACCTACGATCATCAGAACGACAGATGAGAGGACTCGCAAGATGTGCGCTTGGATGATAATGAGCAGTACTCTGGGCGTCAGCAAACAATTACACTTCATCCCACGCCACGATTACCAGGGTCGCAGGAAAGCTTACATCGTCTATGCAGAAGATATCTCCAGCGATAGGTACCAGCTCAAGACCGATTACGGCGAGACATTCGACTGGACACAGACAGACAACACGCAGCAAGCGACCTGCCTGCCACGGAAGGATGATTCGCACTATCCGGGCACTGCAAAAGGAAAGCAAGCTCTTGTTTCCCTGAGCTTTGGCCAGCTCATTCATGGGTTCCGGCTGGTTTCGTACTCGAAGCGGTGGCCCAAGAAAGAGCAAAGGCCGCCAGACGATGCACACGTATTGCTAACGCTAGCTGAAGTATATCTGGCAAGCCTTTTACGTGCGGAAGATCCGGTCTGGAATTTATCAGACATAGTGAGACTGCTATTCAGTCTAGGATCAATAGTAACACATATGTCGGAGGTTGACGAATACCGGTATGCATTCAGCTGGGCCAAGCATGACGATTCGGTACTGTTCGGGTTCCGGGGCTCGACCTCGCTCACCCAGCGGTTCAAAAAACATGCGAGCAGATTCGTGTGGGGCAACTTCCTGTTCGGCGGAGCCACGGCTCGATCCACTTGGTTGCCTGGAACGGACCTTTCACGATGATGCACGAACGCTGGTTATGGCGGGTGTCATGTCTTGTTGTTGCCAGCCCTCTTCCGCTGGCCGTCCTGATCATCGGGAGCTTTAAGATTGTGGGTTATTTGTACGTTAAGGATTTTACGCTGACCCGCTGGTTGACCGCTCATTTGTGGCTACCTATCAAAGGGGTCCGCTGGGTCTACAAACTAGGCTATTTTGAATTCGAGCCTGTTTGGATACTCGTGTCAGTGCTGTTCTGTCTGGCATACGGAGCAGCACGTTTCTACCTTATTGTCGAGTGCTTCATAAACCTAGCTCATCTGCCGCCAGCAGTGTACCAGGAGCCGGAATGGAGCCAGTTCTTGCCACATTTTGGTGCTGGCTAAGAACGTATGTAGATATGATATTCTAGGTAGAATGTAGTTGTTATAGAGTCTTAATTGCCTTTGTTTTTGATAGGCTTAAGCAAGCTAAGACTAAGATTGCGGAAGCAAAGACCCCTGTATCCTCTTCTGTTGCCTTGCTTGGTTCAAACATGTCTAACAAGTGGCCTGCTGTTCTGGCACTGTCTAACATGCCTGGAAAATGCCTTGAGAGGAATTGCTACGATTCACATGTCGCCGTCAAGTCCTTTCTATGCCTATATCACTTTCCTCTGCTTTCTGACGTCCATGTAACACGAGGAGCCCTGCAGCAGCGACTGTCGCAAGAAAGGTGACAATTGATCTGCCGGTATATTGCTCAAATGGGGCTAACAGGAAGCTTTGTGTCAATGTCTTGTGGTCGTATGTGGAAGAGTAGCAGTCTTTATTATATACATTGTTGTTGATATCGTATGTGCATAGACCTATTCACATTTGTCACTTGCAAATATACCTCATTAGTAGCAAGTGTGTCTCTAACGGGTTTATAGCCTTCCTAATCATGCTATTACATTGTGACGCACCCTCTCGATCTGTGCACGGTGCTGGGATCATACCCAAGCTCTTGAATCATCTCATCCTTATCATCGCTGTCGGCATTGGAATCAGAGTATTTGGATTCGTCCTTGGAGCAGATAGTAGACACATCTGAATCTGAGTCAGGGTTGGACAGATCCAGAGAGCCCATGCCATTTGCTATGTCAAATCCACTAACCAAGAATATGTTAGCAGTGTCTACAAACGTGAAGCATTTTAACATGCCTTGTCGATCCTCGCATAACTTCCCACTCGGATGGAAGTGAGCTCGCGACTTGACATGCCTTGGCCGCCTTCATGATGGAAGACCAGAACCGTTGCATCTCTGGTGGGGCAAGGTCGCGACGTCTAAGGACTTTGAACTGTTGCACTTTGTTAATCGCTACCTCGGGGTGTGGTTTTAAGAGCAATGCTGCTTACCTTTTTGGAGATGCACATGTGTATAAAAGAGACCACAAATGCGATCCACCTCTTTGTGTGAATAGGGCCTCTGAGCCGGGGCCCTCCTCGGAATTCGATCGAGCCTGACTTGCGGATATTCTGAAAGTTCCACAAGACTTTCCTATTGTTGCCTTGCATGAATTTTGGAAGATCATAGCCAATCCTGTCATCGTCTTGGAAAGAGCCCCAAATCGTATCCCTCACTTCCTCCAGATGGATGGGATCTGTAAAATCATAGCTCAGGTCGTCGAGTTCCCATATATGGTCGGTATTGGGTGTGCAATAATCGTTCTCACGGCGAGATTCAGGCAGGAGTTGCAGCACGTTTCCCTCGTAGAGGATAACGCCAAAGGCGATTGATCGAAGTTGTTCGCGGCTAAACCGTTTGTTCGGCGAGGCAGAAACGTGGATGTGACTTCCACACCGCTTAGAGGTAGTTGGCATGTGGAAAACCTTCGACCATGCTTCCCAGAACGTTTCAATGTCTTCTTCCCAGACATTGTTTGTTGAAAGTATCGGAGACACGGCTTCTAATGGTACTACATCGATCTCAAAGTCAGTTGACGGAAAACGGAAGAAAGAGAGGAACCCTTTTGTGTGATGAAAACAAGTGTCTTACTCAGCGGATGAGCAGGATTCCCCAATGAGCCATCCTTGGTGATCCACCATTTATCGTAGTGCTCTGCGCGCTTCCGATATTTTTCCACCAACGTATCTGCGGCAGATGGTTCACCTCGTTTTCTCAGTGCTGCCGCAAGCTTCTCATAGTAGAATGCTCGGAGGAGAGGATGGCGGACTTTGTGAGGTGCGGCTATAATCTCAATCTCTACGCCGAAATAGTAAGCCATTTTCCTAGCCGTATAGTGTCACCAAATGATAGTGCAGAGTTTGTGTGCGGGAGTACTATCATAAGACCCGTCTCAACTATAGCAATTTCTTCCTTTCCTTCCACACCGCAGTGATTGCCTGGTAAGACTCCATTGTCGCATTGAGATGTGGCTGCCGTAAGCCATTTATTGATTGACCGGTGGAGTTAGCGGCATTAGTATTTCATTGGTTAGGTTTCGATCATGGCGTTCTAGATAAGGCATGCAATTGTATGGCTTTGATATCATACGACGGTCATCAGGCTGAGCCGATATATTGTTGTCCTTCTGTGCATCTAATGCGAGGACAGCACAGGCTGTATGTGAGCGCCTGCATAAAACTGTTTCGAGCCCTTGTGCCGTGCCAGTCGCAAATCAGCGTCTTTTAAATTCGCCAGACCCTGCTATCTCACTCATGCTTACCGCAAGGCTGAGCACGGATATGCTTTTATGTTACCGCGGAGTGCCCAACCTCTACCCAATCCCCACCTATTTACCACTGTACTTGGAAGGCTAGACATGACTTGGCGCTACCGATGCGTTCACTGTTTTGGCACTGCATTGCAGCTGACCGCAGTCACAATCTCAGTTGCAAGCAAACATTTTGACTGATCAGTTACGCAACTACAGGGGCCCAACCCTACCATTGGCTCAAGCAATCTGTGCTTACTAAGCAAGGCGTCCGGGCCAAGACTGCCGTAAAATCCAGTCCAGATTCGTGGCCTTTGATGTTGAACTTTCAGATCCTAGCTGATCATTCTTCCATCCTCCCCACGCCTCCGCTTCGGCGTGAAAGACATACAGCCTTGGAATATCCGCAAGTCTTGAGATGGCGCTGGAGCTCTACTTCGCATTCGGAAGCAACATGTGTCTCGAGCAGATGGCGTCGCGATGCCCAGACAGCATCTTGACAGCGATAGGGATCTTAAGAGGATACAGATGGCAAATCAACCAACGTGGCGTTGCAAACGTGGTTCCTTCTCCATCTGATATTGTCGTTGGCATCGTCTTTCGGGTTTCCGAGGCAGACGTCAAGACTCTTGATCGGAACGAGGGAGTCTCCAGGGGGTTTTATGAGAGACATTCGCTTGATATTGAGTTACAGCCACTTTTGCTCGAAGAGCTCAGTGGACAACAGACGGCTATTGCGATGAAAGCTTTGCGAGATTACAAGGAATCACCGCGTGGAGTTCAGACATCGAACCCTCGTTCCGTGGACACAGCGAACGACTACATACAGCAGCGAACGCCTTCCAACTATACGTCTTCAACAGATACATCATCAATATCAAATCCAAAGGTAATGCGGGCGCTTGTGTATGCCAGCCGTCAATATTGCAACGATGGAAGCATCAGAGCAGAGTATGTGTCACGGATGGCTCTAGCGGTTTCCGATGGCAAGACGCTTGGTATTTCCTCCCCCTATCTGGAACATAGACTTCTGCCCATTATCTCTTCCAAGCCGCAGGATCCCATACAACCGAAGAAGATCTCTAAAACGAAGCCAATTTCGACATCGGATTCGAGGGACCCACCCAGTGTGTCTGATGAGGGCAGGAATGTGTATGGCGAACGAAAGAAGTATGGGCCTTCAGGAAACCACAAGAAAAGAAGTCGGAGTGTTGATGGCGAGGAAGAAAGCGGAGGGAGGGGGGGAAGGAAATCACAGGAGGATGCGCAAAGAGATGCCTCTCAGACGACGTTGTTACGTTGGATTGGGAATGGTATTGGACACTTTCTTTGATATAATTTTCATAGGTCACTGTAGCTGAGGCGATCCTATCACGTCACTGCTTCTTCATAACGAGAGGAAGGTTAAGCATGTCTGCTTCTCGAACAAGTCAAGCAGGAATGTTATGATAATGCTCGGTACTAGGTCAGGTGGTGCTCGAGGCCCCTAGTGCGAGTAAGAGCTCAATCTAGCGTGCGAAAATTATCGAGCAAGCAAGCTCAAGTGAAGCTTCGTTTGAAAGGAACAACAGCTTGTAAGCTCAATCTGCCCAAAACACCACCAAGAAAGTGAATCTCCGCCTCAAGCCGAGCCCTAAGCCAAGCTTTGGCCAGACCTGGTTGTTGACGAGTATGCTCGTGTACGTCGGCTGATCAGCTACGATGCATGACGTTAGCAATCGAGATTTCTGGGCGGGTGTGAATTCTTACCTTCTTATTGGACGGCGAGCAATCGCGACAATACGTGTATCTTCGATGTGAACAATATCGTCCTAATTCCCCATCCGAGCTAGAGGGTTTAGTAAATCCGCGTCTACTCTTGTGGCTTCTACCAGGTCTTTCTCCTGAAGACGTGTCTTTCCGTTGATCTTGGGAGAATCGATTTTGCGGAACGCTCTCAGTCGCCAGGAAACTCCGATACAGTGGCCGGAGAACACTTCGACTGAAGTACGAAGTTGGTACTCCTAGCAACGTGGCATCTTGGATTCCGGCATTGATTCGATCGATGTACTCGGACTTTGGTGGCCCGTCACCGATGTCTCTGTGGCTCAAATAGACAAGAGCTTTGACTTTTTCTCCGCCGCCTTTGATGCTGTTTGAAGATGGATATGACTTCTCACGAATGAAGTTGTTGACCTCGTGTACCCTTCTTCCTGCAATCAAGGGGCTGCTAGGGTACACAATTACGTCCACGCTTCCTTTTTCATATGCACTTGGGACCATGTGGACACCTTCGCTTCTATCGAGCTTCTCCTCGTCGGCCTTTGATAGGAGGAAACAAAGACCTTCGACAGTATCTGACGGCGATTCGTAGATGTTCGCGTATCCTCGTGTGTTGATCTGCCATTTGTAACCCAAAAGCATGCCTCGACCAAGATAGCGACTCTCAGGACACCGGCTGGCCATTTGACCCAGTTGTAAGTTACTTCCAAAGGCAAAGTATACAGTTTGAGCCCGACTTGCGGGGCGCGCAGTCGGTGCAATACGACGGCTCATCGTGAGAAGTCGTGTATCGAGATGCAGGAGGGAGCGAGACTTCGAGATTGTGAAAAAGTCATGCAAAACAGGATCGTGGCATCATGTCTTTCGGACCTATGGAAGAGGGAGGGAGAGCCTGCAGGGTGGTGAGAGGTCAAGCTTACGTTGGGTATACCCCGGTATTTCCGAGGTGCCAAGACCTGCATGTGACGTAGCTTCGTCCCATTTCAGTTGACGCTGCTTATGGAACAGGTCAGAAGGTGAGCTTCACCGGAAACCGTGACACGAGACGAACTAAGTTCTCGATGTGCCCATCTAATGCCTCAAACGAAGTTTCGCTAATATTGCCTCTTCGCGTTTTTGTGTGGATGGATGAATGAGTGGGTTGGCGCTTGGCTGCAGCGGCGGTTGAGCTGCTTTTAGGTGCCCCATGCAGCTCAGGTCGCACAATGCCTATCTATGTCCAGTAATGTAATAATCTGTCTGCCACAATATTTCCAGCACTGGCCGGCTGGTATGTATCCTGCCATCCTTTGGCCGCTCCCCGGAAATAACACATCTTTGAAGCGCTGGCTCAAGGCTCTACTAGCGGCAGAGCCGCCCTGATGAGTTATCTTAAGTTACCCATCGATTCCAGCTAAGGCCGTAAGTATAACCCTAGAGTTCTCAAAAGTAACACATACAACACGATGGCTCTATCGAAGTTCGGATTCGGAATTGAGATCGAGGCTGTTGTCAAACCACTACATCATCAATCAACTGAGAGCGCTCCACCCCAAGCGTATTACGAAATACTCGCATCAGAATTGAGACGCAATGGCCTTCCTGCAGTTGCAGTACGTACAACTTTCTAAGAATCTTTAAGAAAGACACACATCTACGGCCTTTGCTGATGCCACTGTAAATGTTAACCATCGCAACGTAGGACCGTTTGAACCAAGCATGGCAGGCCCAGCATCCAGACCATTACGATAAATGGTTTATCACAAAGGACGGCTCCCTTCATGGAGAGCCAGACGAAAGTAGCAAACCCCCCTCTAACATAAATAACTATCTTGTACTCGAAGGATATGCTATGGGAATAGCAGCTAACTATATTAGTCTGCCTAGAGGCTGTATCCCCAGTGATGAAAACGAACAGGCGCGACTGGAAGGAAAACCTTCGAATATTCTGGTTGGCAATGAATGCCGTCTTCGATGTTCAAAGGAATTTCACATGTGGAAGTCACATACATGTCGCACCCCAAGGACGAAAATTCAGCATGGCGGAGTTGAAGACAATCGCGTTCGCAGTCATCACACAAGAGCACATGGTCAAGTCGCTCTTGCCTCGCGCTCGCAGCACAAATGGCTACTGTCAGCGAAACTCCAAACTTTCGCCAAAGCTGATAGACTACTTCAGGGATGGCAAGAACGCCAGGAGCTTCGCAACAGTCAAAACGGCGATACAAAGAATGACAACCCGGGCTCAGATCTTAGACCTTATGCAAGGGATTGAGCGTTTTGTGATCTGGAACTTCAAGAACATCGAAACAACCCATACCATCGAGTTTCGCGGAGGCAGGCATTTGCGTGGGCCGAACAGAACATTCTGGTGGATTGCATTTGCAGTATCTTTTATTTCACTCGCATTGAAAGAGGTAAGCAGACAAATGCACATCATCAACACATACTTACACCTGCAGAACACAATAGGAGATTCCAAAATCCCTTTGTATGTCATTCCTCGCGTTTCGGAGGCCTACACCAAAAGAATGAAGAAATTTTGGACTGCAATCATAGCAGAGGCTGAAAGATTACACATGGGTGGTCACCTCCCGGAGGATTGGCACAGAATGAAAGAGCTCGCCACTAGTATAAGATCTTAGAAGACTTCTAGTGTAGATACAAACAAACTAGTCACGGTAACGCCCAGCTAGAGGGTAGCGCAAGCACGATCTGTTCAATGTAGTTTTCGTGACATGTCACAGAGCTGGACGCGGCCTTCTGATACTCTATGGTACATATTCTCCTGAATGACTGTTGCTGCCTTTGCAATGATCAATAGAACCTCCGCAAAATCCGTACTGGCCCCACACTCGCCTGTGGTCGAAAGACCCCCGAGGTCAGGATTGCATGCTCCAGAATGGCTGACGGTAACCTGTTAGCCTAGGTTCTGAGCACAGAAAGGATGAACTTACCGACTACCAACTGCACAGTAATCGGCCTCGTCACCGCAGTCACCGAAGATGCTACAGTATACTAGGTTATCACACGCTAAGCTACCAAAATCTAGTCCACAGCTCCCATCTTTTGTGCTTGTAGGCGATCCCGTGCAGTTTCCGGATAGTGAGTGACAGATTCCCAACCGAGCGACACGCGCTCAACACATTACAAATCCTGTTCAATCCATGAATGGCAATGTCGACTTCTTGGCGACGTGTTTTTTCAAGTGCGCATGAAAAGCATTACTGAACTCGAGAATGTCTTCTCATATGTCTCCTTCTCTTCTGGTTGTCTTTTAAATCTCCTTCCTAGCTTCCGAAACGATATTGAATTCAATATATGTCTTGTCTTGTTTTGGTGCTGGCGTCTGATCACGACAATGGTCGGCTGAGTATCTTATCATGTTCTGCTCGGTTTCGACTCCCTATCAAGCATTCCGGTGTGTTCATGATATTCACTGTTATTACATCCTTCCTAATCGCTTCCCACACATGTTTTCATCAGCTTCCTAAAGTATGAGCATGATCTGTACATGTTTTATTCTGTCCCAGCACGTGAAATCGCATACAACTACCGCGATGCCAACCTTCTTCTCTCGTCACTTCTCCTTGACACATCCATCTGCCGATGCGATGTAGTACTCAAAGTGACATTTGTATCCGGAAATGTTTGTTCTCTCTGCCTCTTCGCCTTCCGTAGTGGGTTTGTACACACCTTACTTTCGGATGTTTATTAGTTCTCTCTACCTTTGGCTCTATCATATTATCTTCGGGCTTGGGCTCAAAAACATCGACGACCTCGAAATGTTTTCTCGATCCACGGTTCTCTATGAGAAACATCTGAGACCTAACTCACGGCTTAAGCAAAAACCACAAATCATCCAAGCGCCGTCGCGCTCTAAAGATACAATACTCTGCCACATGCTCTCAAATGACGTCCAAGAATCTCCATGGCTTACCGGCTTCTCGTCTCTTTACTTTGCTAGATAGAAGAGCAGCCCTTCTACGTTCTCCTCCTCCTCATCTCTTTGTTCCCCAGTCTCGACTCTCATCTGCGGAGCCCTGAAGAATAACTTCCTCCGACACATGTTATGTTCTGTTCTGTCGCTCAAAAGTGTTCGAAATTAATGGCGCATGTCTCCTGGGGCTTTTCTTCCTGCTAAACGGAAGAAGTTCGCCTTTACGTTCTTCATCGCCTCCTTCTCTTCCGCCTTCCTCCGTCTTTACCCCAATCTTCAGAATCCTGAATACCACAGTCAGATCCAGCATGTTCTGCTCTGTTCTGGCGCTTGAAGTGGTGCCTGATCGGCATGATATCTGTCTCTCTGCCTCCAACTCTTTCCGAGAAAGGAGCTATGTTCACGCGTTGCGTGTCCCTCCTCCTATATTTCTCCAATCTCCGACTCTATCCCTATATTCAAACACTGGCAGGATGCCAGTCACGTTCCGTTCTGGCGTGATGCCTTGAATCAAATCTATTGGAGGCGAGGTGATGTCCGCCTTTCTCGATAACAATCTGCACTGTTCGTCTAATGTGCCTCCTTGGTTCAAAGTCTGATCTTCGTCTGACTTTGAAGTGTCACGACGCAGAAGCCATGCTGTCTGCCGTGCTCTCCAAACCTGTTCCTCATATGAAAGTGGTCTTCCGTCTCGGTCTGCGGTCTTGATCTCAATTCTGGTCCTTCTCCCCTGCCTCTCCCAAACCTTGAACATCTAAAAACTAGTTTAGCCAAATGCTCGAAACACCATTGACCTATATCATGTTTATCTGCCCATCTGATTCCCCGTTCTTACCGCCTGCTCACATCATGCTCCTCGCCATCTCTTCCTCGTTTTGGTCTTGGACTCCAAATTACAACACGTTCTACAACTCTGTGAGCTCCAAATCTAAAACAAACCTCAAAGACCGCGATGGACTTTCCGCCTCTGTCGAAGTTGAAAAGCAGTGATCTACTACCTCGTGCTCTCGAAACGCCCGCCCCTCGTCGAAGATAGGTGTTGACACTTCTTTTCCGGCTTCCCGATGAGGCCACGCTTTCTGAATTCTCGTTCCGCTCTAGCAGGACAGAGTGGGATTCTAAAGAAGTCAAGCTTGACTTGATGTATCTTACCCAAACGCGACGACAAAATGTTGCATGTTCCTTACTTCTCTTTCTCTTCGCGGCCATTCTCATCGGCAGCCGGCAAAATGTGGATTCTCTACTCGCTGCTCCCCTCTTTTCTTGATCCCGAATGACAGCCAAAAGGTCTGTGGCGTGCTCAAGTACGCTAAACACCAATTCTTATAAAAATAAGTTTTGTTGGCTCTCCGTGCTTAAGTGACGAGAAATATTTTTGATGTGGGTTTTGCCTGCCCGCTTCTTAAAGTCCAGATGACGATCGTCGATGTTCGGTCTGCCTGTCTGTTGTCGAAGCCCGTTTCGAAGATAATAATGGCGATCCAACAGCATGTAAGAGACAAGTAGTTCTTCATATGCGTGTTCCTCCTCCCTCTAACGTTGGACGGTTGGTTTGTTTCTAAATGGTATACCAACAGACTGATGATGATCTCAAAAGCTATACCTCTGAAGGTATGTGCGTCTGTCTGAGTTCTCTAAAACTTCAATGTTGTCACTTAGGTTGACGAACGGCCGTACAAATACCTGATTACTCGCTTCTCTGCACTCTTACTGCTTTGCAATAACTCTCTATCTGTCTAAAACTTTTTCAAGAAGGCGCATGATCTGTCTGCCTGTCTCTCTATTCTTCAAATTTGTTCGAAACACAAGTAAAAAACATACATGATCCCAGCCATGATTTGTTCAGGCTCACCTCTCGTGTCTCTGCATTCCTCCTGCTACTCTACACCATTTTCATCTACAAGACTGTCATGTTGTGCCTACCTCTTCTACATGTCCGCCTTTCTGCTCATCAAAAACGAAAGCCACCATTTCTACGATATCGAATAACCAGCTTGCAGCAGTCCATGTTTGCGCCGTCTTTGGGTCAGCATGTGCTATACAATGCTCAAATATCTCTCACCTCCTCGAATGCTCTCCGGCTCACACTTTACCTGAAAGATATGTCGTATGCCCAAATCATGGACCTGAACCAGCTATTCTTCTGCGGTGTCCATATCCTCTATCTCCACCAAGTCTCTTGATATGATCATGTTAGATTCCAAGCCTCCGAAAAGAAATCGACCCTTGCTTTCGAGAAGTTCAACCCAGACTTCTATGTCCTGTCTGTCTTTGTGCTCTAGCGCTATTTGTACACAATTCAAGGGCTTCGTAGTTCTCTAGATCATACAATCGAGGTCTTAAGCAACACAGCACGTCTCTTCAGTGATCTCTCGATCATTCCGAAAAGTAGTACAAGCTGGACAAATGTGTGCCTCTGCCTCTCCGTTCTGAGATGTGTATACGCGGCCTTTGCTGCGCTTTGAAGACTCTTGAATGTCATCAATTACCGCGCATGTCCGTACTCCTTCTAGTGTTATCGTCAATGGAAAACACACCCACAGCAACTTCTCTATGTTGGCTTCTCTTCATCAATGAGCAATCCATCGGCTGTTTTGAAAGTCATGGTCTCGTTTCAAACATGAAGTTGGGTCCTAGTATAACATCTGTTCCATATCATATTTCAAAATCTAACATCATGTCCCACATGCGTGTGCTGCGCAAAGCTAACATGTAACAAACACACGGACTTGTTGTGTTTATTGCTGCTACTCAAAGTCTTTCCACTGCCTCTAAGGTCGACGCTCTACATCTTGGATGTTCTCCTTTGACAGTATTGTTCTCTCACATCCTTCGCCAAAAGGCCGAAAATTCTCAGGATTGGTGCGCATGTTTCTGCTTCGCCCTGTGGTCCATCATGCCTTTGCACCGGAGCTCATAACAAATATAAGCCTTCCTTCGCCCTGATATTCTCTTTCTGAAACGGAGAAGATTGGCGCCACGACCTCGCTGTGATCTTATCGAATTCTGGCAAGGAGTACTAACATGCTGCTCTGTCTCTCCCCCTCCAAACCTGCCCTCAATCTCCAGAATTGCGACGTCGATGAAGAGATCTCGAAAACGACACATGTCCGGCCTTGTTTGCTCCAAAATCGGAGGCCAACAAAACATGGCCTCTGTTCCAAATCATGCTATCGACAACATATGTCCGTAAAAGGAAGCCGAAAAACCACATGATCTAGACGTAAATGTATAAAATGCATCATCACTTGGAAACACCATCATCGATAGCCATGACCATGCTCCTGCTTTCTCTCTCCCTTCTGAGATACTGAAAAACACGGAGAAATTTGTTTTTGAGCGCTCAAACTGCCCACAGTTTCCACCTACGAACCCATGCCTGCGGTTCAGCAACAGATAAATTGCCTTGTCTCATCCAATTGCAATCCTTCTATACTCGGCTCTCAGCTTTAATCAAAAAGCACCGATACCTTCAGTATGCGCTGTACTCGCCTGAAACGTCGAAGTCAACTCTTCATGAATCCATCTGCCTTTAGAAATCAATACCTCTGCTGTCCGGCACTTTCTTCTTTCCACAAAAATCATTCAGTCTCTGGTATCAAAGTGAAAACAAGCCAAGACCATGTTCTGTGCCATGCCCCTCAATAATCATCCCCAAAGATCTGTCTAGCTTCCTCAGTCACCGTTCTTTATCTACGAACTATCCACCTTACTTGAGTTATGCATGGACCTCCACCTCTATTCTATCACTTATCAGCGCATACTCTCTACTCTCAAAAGACGACAATGGAACATGCATGTCCAGCTTCCTCCCTGCCATTTCCTTAGCTTTTGTGCAAGATGAACGACACTGAGATGACATGTCCCGGTCCCTATTTCTGCTCCCTACCCTCTCTTCCTTTGTAACCCCCGAAATTCAACTTAGTGGCCTCGACCCCCATCACGCATCCACTACAAAACTTCTATTCCGCGTAGGTGATGTCCGGACCTCTATCTCTGTATAGATAAGCCTTCAGATAATCGCCAAGCTCTCAACCACCTTGAACATAGGCCCTGGCTGTCAGCAGATGTTCAACTTCCTCTTACCAAGTCCTTCATCTTCTGTTAAAAGCTTGACTAACCATCTTCGATGTGGTTTGCTCCCTGCTTCCTGTTCTCCTCTATCAAGGTAGCACGACGGGGATTCATCCAGTATCCATCTTTCTGTACCTGCAAAACATCTTGTCTCCTTGCGAAATGTCTGAAATATACTTTGCGCGTCTTGTGCGAGAAGCATATGACCCTTTCCATTTACAGAACGCCTTGAACAATGGGCAAATGTATGGCCTCCTCTCATTGATCACTTATCTTCTGCTATAAAACGCGTCACAAGGATGACATTCTCTGCACTCTGCCTTCCTCTCCAATACAGCATTGGAAATCCCTCAGCGTTCTCACACACCATTCTGGACCTGCGAAAGATATGTTTGCGTGGCGTCATGTGCCGCTTCTGCTAGAGCTCGTAGAGGAAGTCCCACATGATCCCCTCCTTCTAAAACAACCATCACCATATTGCATGTCTGACTTTCTCCTTCAAACTCTTAATCCTCTGTCGCAAGAGCACAGTCAAGAGGAACATGTTCTGTGTCCTGCTCTCGCCCTCCAACGTCACTTAAAACTCCTTCTGTGTCTTTGCCTACTATTCTGCACGCGAAAGGTAGCTTCGTCTGGCCTATGTTCGACTCTGTCACAATCGTCGAAATATAAATTCTCGGCTCTCTCCCTTCCGAAAAAAAACATAGAAAACAGGCGTACGATGAATGTTTGGCTTCCTTCCTGCAGACCCATCATCTGCCTTCACAAAATGAGGCAAAGGAACGATATGTTTTGTCTCCGGTCTCCCCAACGTTTATCGGAAACTTGCCAGTGTTCTCGCCCACAGATCCTGTCACTTCTGAAAAACATCTTCCCTCTCTCTGCTTCGGAAAATCTGGAGATGCCTTCGATATGTCCAATCCCTCCAAACCTATCATCTCCGATTGAAAATCCCACAGGAAAGTCATATGTTCTGTGCTTTGCTCCAGCCACCAGGATCTGCTTCGAACCTCTGCTCGGCTCTGCCGATATCCGCCTCTGCCACAACACTGAAGATGATGACATGACCCTCCCTTCCAAAAACGAAGACAAACACGTGATTTTTGAACTCTTCTCGAACCTTCACCTTCTGTCACAAATGGAAGAGCCGATGCGACATGTTCTGTGCCCTCTCCCTCCAACAGCTACGAAACCCCCGAGAACCTCGCTGGATCCTCCCCACTATGCTGCATCTGCAAACGACAAAGACTTCGCCTGATGTTCGCCTCTGCCTCTGTCCTCCACTGTGATGGCAAGAGGTGCACAGCTCTTGAATATTTAAAGAAGAACAACTTCCATTTATGTCTGACTGCTCGAACCGCCGGTTCAGTACCTAAAACACCAATCCAGAATCACCACGTATCTCTTTATCTTCTCCAAAATCAGGCTCGCGATTCGAAACACCTCGTCATCTTATCTATCTTTCCCGAAATCATGACTATACTCTGGACAACCCCTCGACGACCTTGCCCTTCGAATTTTGCGCCCATGAAAGACATTCAGAAAGACATTCATCCGGCTTGGGAGATATCCAAAGTTGGTTTCTAACACTTGATGGCCGAAAATTGTATGGCTGAAAATTAATGATCCTCACCTTCTGAAAACCTGGAAACACTTGGCGTGTGTCTGGCTTCTGCCCTCAGAGTCTATTATCTTCTGCTCAGAATCAACGCAATGAACGTTGAGTTCTGTGCTCTGTGCTCTACTAGCACTCGAAACCTCTCCTGGCGTCCTTACTGCTGCTCTGTGTCTGCAAAACATCTATTCGGTCTCGAAGATGTCCGAAATTTCGTCCGCTGCCACTCATGCCTGGAAAGTGCATGAACCTCCCTCACAAAAAAAGGTTGTCTAGACCAATGGGATGTCTGGCCTCTTCCCTTCGCCCTCCAAATCCACCTCCTACTGCCACAAAGCCAACGAAGAACAATGCAATGTTCTGTTGTCCAACTCCTTCCATCTCTTAAAAATCCCTCGGCGGCTCGGCTCACAAATTCTGTCCCTCCCGCGATACTTCTGTTTGGCTGGTCGCCATCAAAATACTTCTTTGTTGCTCAAATGGCTGGGAAACACGTAACGCTCTCTTCTAAGAAAAATCCCTATCGCTGGACCCATGTCTGGTCTTCTCTCTTCGCTCTCTAGATCACACAGCCTCTGCTGCAAAATGCGCTTGAAGACTTGGTATGCTGTGCCCTGCCCCCCTCTGTTGCTTAAGAACCCCCTTGGCTTTGTCGCCTACCGGTTCTACTCCCCTCTGCAAAACAGCAGTCCCCACTGTCTACTATCGAAATTTTTCCTCACCGCAGTCCATGGCTGCGAATTACATGATCCTCTACTCCCGCATGAAAAAGTGGGGAGGAAACAGGCGGATGTCTGGCCTCTCCCCTCTGAACTCACCATCTTCCATCACGGCATTGCCCACAAGTACCACATACTCCGCTCTGTGCTCTTCTCCATCACCCAGAAATGTTTGGCATTGGGTCTACAATCCTCTGCTCTGCTCGAGCGAAGTCTAAAGCTGCATAGACCAACTTCATGACTGGCGACCAAATCCACGAAACTGGATATTCAAAAACCATGAAACCATACGATGATGTCTGGCTGCTCAACCCAGCCACCTACTTAGCATCCCTGGAGAACACAGTCTAGAAAGCTTTATGTGCTGTGTGCCGAACGAGTCCTAGAACCCTGTGTTCTGCCCCGACGAAGTCCAAAATCACATCGCGTGACACTCATGTCTGAAATCCAAATCGGTGAGGCGGTATGCTTAAAAAGAGCGAGAGGACTCAGTCATGTTTGGGTGGTCGGCCCACACATTCCCTCGGTACATCTGTCAAACTATTTACAAAGTCGTACATGTGCCGTGTGCCGATTGAGTCCTAGGATCAGTCTATGTTTGCGTTGGAAATCTCGAGACCTGGAAATCAAGTTTGTCAAATCAGATGTTGAAATCGCAACACTGTTCATGGATGTCTGTTTGTGCGTCCCACCCACGCACTTTCTACGGTAGAATACCTGGAACTCGAAATCTCAAGACTACATGTGCCGTGTGCCAAACAAGATATAACATCAGTCTTGCTCTGCGCTAAAAATCTCCATGTCTAGAAAACAAAAATCTGGAGCAGTATGTTCAAGGCACTAAGGGTCCTAACCATGTCTGGCTGCTCAAACTGCCCACCCACTCTCTCGGTATTTAGAAACCGAGATCAAAAAAGCCTCATGTGTTGTGTGCCGCACAAGTCCTGAGTCCAGAAAGCAAAGATTGTCAACCTCCATGTTTAAATGCCGAGAAACGTTGTTGATGTCTGTCTGACTGCTTGACCCACCATCTCACTCAGTATCTGAAATCTGATCAGCCAAGGTGTATGTGCCGTGTGCCAACTAAGTCCTGAGATCAGTTTCTATCAGGCTGATAATCTCTATGTCTAAAAAATAAAAAGTCGGGGCCGTATGTTCAAATCGCTGATGATCCTGTTGATGTCTGGCTGCGCGACCCACCCACCCACTCACTCCGCACATCTAGAGAGCAATCTGAAGACTTCATATGTCGTGCCGAATAAGTCCAAGAATTAGTCTCTCCCTCCGCATCTTCAATCTCTAAATCTAGAAAGAAAGATTATGGAGGCTCGTGGTTAAAAACAAGAAGACATCGCTGATGTCTGTCTGGCTGCTCAACCCACCACTTCCTCAGTACCTAGAAACGGACATTGAAAGACCCAATGTGTCGGATGCGTGTTCCGAACAATTCACAAAATCAGCCCCCCTCTGTATCTGAAATCTCCGGTGTTAAAATTACAAGAATCTCTTATGATGTCTGGCTGCTCGAACTACTCATCTACTCCCTCAGTACCTAGAAACGGACATCGAACATCTCAATGTGTCATACGCGCCTACCAAACGCGTCCTAAAGCCACTCTCTCCGCGCCAAAAGCCCCTCACACCCAGAAACCAAAGACTGTAGACCTCCATGTCTAAACTGCAAACGAGATTGCACATGTCTAGTGCTCAACCCACGCACTCACTCGATATCTGAAATTTGCTCAGAAGCCATGTGTGGTGTGCCGCACAAGCCCCAGAATCAATTCAATCTTCCCCCACATCTCAAATCCCCAATCTCCGCATCCAGAAACCAAAGACCGTGGACCTCCATGTCTAAACTGCAAACGAAATTGCACATGTCTGGCCGCTTACCCTACCCACTCACTTAGCATCTGAAATCCCCTCGTGAGAGTGCTCATGTGCCGTCCGCCGCACAAGTCCCAGAATCTATCTCCCCCTCACATCTCCAATCTCCAATCTCCCATCTCCGCATCCAGAAACCAACATCATTGAATCCTATGTCCAACCCGCGAAAACAATTTTTCCATGTCTGTCTGTCCGTCTCACCCCCTCACCACCTCACCCAGCACCCAAAAACACCACCAAGCGATTCATATGTGTGTGCGGCGTTGCGGGCTGCCCTCTCCGAGTCTGGAAGCCGCCGCGCCTTGTGCTGAACAGGCGACGAACCCGTCTTGAGCAAGGCCCGAAAAACGCAAGCATGTCTTTGCTCCGGAAACATCATCGAACGAATATCCGTGGGTTATAAATCCATTGTCCTTGCATCACCACGCTTCGAAGTACGTCTGAAAAGCGCCAGGTACTTGGCACTTGGGACTGGATATCGAAATAGATGCTGATGGTACATTATTCGTAATCATGTACTCGTACAAGCCGCGCGCAGCCAAAGCTCGCACGCTCTGCGCCCCCTCGATATCGTTTATACATTCAACATTACAAGTGATTCGGGTCCGAACGCCGGAAACTTACCATTACAACACCCTCGCGCCCCCTTCTCACCATCTCACACCTCACACCTCACCTCACCTCACCGCCCCCCATTCATACCCCCCGGATTAAACTGACTCGTCCCATGATCCGACTGCGAAAAATCCGGCATCACGCCATTCATACTAATCCCGTCTTCATACCCATTATACCCCGTCATATCGGCCCAGTCCCACTCAAGCGTCATGGGCATTTTCCACAGGTCCTGGGGCACGGAGTTGAAGGTCTGCTCGAACTGGCCCATGGCGATGGAGTTGAGGTTGCTGTTGATGTTGTTGACGTCGGCGCCGGTGGTCAGGGGCAGGCTGCCTTGCTGCTGCAGCATTTGCGCGGTGAGGCCCGGCGAGTTGTAGGGCCGGAGGGGCGCGTTGGCTTGCAGGGAGGCGTGGGTGAAGTTCGGGGAGAAGGGGAAGGGCTGGGGGGTTAGTCGGGTCTTGCAAGTCAGGGGCGCTACGTACCTCGTTGAAACCGTGGAAGTCTGGGTTGAAGATCAGTCCTTCTTGTTGCGGGGGCTGTGGTTGTGGGGACGGCGCGACGTTGGGGGAGGACTGCGCTTGCGATTGGCGGCGTGTTGACAGCAGCTCGGCTGCGGTGGCTTCAATCTGGGCGTCCTGCTCGCTGTCGCCCTGCTTTCTCTTGCGACGAGACGCGTGCTCTCTGTCTGTCTTGTCGAGCACGATGGCTACGATGCGCTCGAACTCGGCGCACACACTGCACATGCGCTTGACACTCCCGCTGCCTTGTTCGTCGTTCAGCATGTTGAGGAAGTTGACAACCAGCTTCATGAGCTTGTGGTCCGATCGCGATCTCGTGTCCTGTGGATTTTGCAGAATGTTCGCGAACAGCGTTACAAGCGCTGTGACTGGGAAGTAGATGACCAGCCAGACACAGGATAAGTCTCCCTTGGGAATGTATTTGAGCAGGTGGATTGAAGCGCGAGCTGCTTGCACGCAGAGCTGCGCCGACATGAAGACACGGGGGTTGAGTGGACGAGCGTTGAGGCCTTGGATGGCGAAGTTCGACAGCCGACTTGTCCAGTATCCGTGGTGCACGCTCATGCGGTGGATCGTGGTCAGACAGTTGTAGTAGCCGAGATGCAGCACTGCAACCTGGAGGATGAGCGGCGTGTGCGAAGCCTTGATGTCGTGTTCGGGTCGGAACTCGAGGGCGATGTCGTCTTTCCAGTTCTCCAGTTCCCTGTCCAGTTCACCGATTGTGTTGAGCAACTCGCCATCCGTCTGTTTCGATGCCTTTACAGAGTACAGTCCCTTGTAGACCTTGCTCTGTATGACGGCAAAAGTACACATGAGACGGAACAAATTCATCGTGCCTTTGCCGTCCGCAAGCGGGATATTACCGATGTTGTCGGACGGAAACTCGCTCGGCAGCTCAACATTCATGTCGTCGTCGTCCTGGATCGGCGGTCGTCCGGAGCGCAAGCATATGTCCTTGTCCAGCATGTAGGCGATCCAGAAGACGCGTTTCCGCTGTTCGACCTCGGCATCGTTGAGATTGAAGTTGGCGCCCTTTTTGTGGAGTCCGATGCTGTGCGCGAGCCGCATGGCTGTGGCAACGAAAAAGTAGGTTGGCTGCGGGTTTGGTGTGCCAAGCAAGAACAGGCCGATACCCAGTAGAGCCTGCACACTAAGTAAGTCGGTGTTGCGCATTGTTAGTTCCACCATCACGCTCATGGCGTTTTTCAGGTACTGCCACGCCTTCTCGTCTTCCTCTGCCGGCACAAGATTGCTCATGACTCGCAGACGATGCGCAAAAGCCAGTGCGACGTTCAAGCTGGCCCACCATCCAGACCCTTCGTAGGGATCCTTCGAGTAGTGCTTCTCGACCAGGTGCATGAAGGTCGGCTCGTGGAATAGCGGGAACATGCAATTGAAGTTCTCAAAGTAGTCCTTCAGCAGTGACAGGGCTTCGTGCTTCGGTGGCAGCTGCTTGTAGACTCGGCGCTTGAAGATGTCTTGAAAGACGTCTGGTCGCCACTGGATCCACTTGTTGTCTTCTACCGCCGCGGTGGAGATCATCTGCTGGAAGGAGGCGTCGCCGGTCTTGTCGTTGACCCACTGGATGCCCTTTGGCGAGAAAATGGAGAACCCCGACGATGAACCTAGACAGTCAGTAACGCGTTACACACCTGTCAGTACGACATACCGATGTATCTTGTCTCGCCGTAGTTGTTGGTGACCAACGAGCACATCATCTCGGCAAGGGCGTCCTCGCCGTCTTTGCCCTTCTCTGCTGGCTGTGTTTCCGGCTCGGGCGACGCTGTGCCGCTTCTGGGGCTCGGCAGTGCCTGTGACGGTGTGCCGTGGTTCGTTGTTGTGCCTGACTGGGGTACTGCCGACATCGTGTTATCCTCTGACATGCTGAGTCGGGGCGTTCCCGAGCGGCCAGCCTGGTCGGTCAGGCGCTTCTCGATGGTGGCGAGGTCGGTGCTGCCGTCGTCGTCGTCTGGCAACACGCCGGAGAGGCGCATGAGCGACTCCATGCGTGCGAGGCGGTTCTCGAGGCCTTCTATGTACTTGGCACTGCGTGCGTCAATTAGCCGAGAGCTTATTTGCGTGCCACGGTACGCACCCTTTTGGCGGCTGGCGCTTCTTCTCTACCTGTGTGAAGATGCACTCGGTCTTGTAGTTCAGGCAATGCGTGCACGAGGGCATCTTGCCGTCGCACTTGATCTTCTTCTTCCTGCACATGTCACAGGCCTGCAGTCGTCAGCACAGTCACGCCGGGCGTGCAATTGGATGTACCCTCGCGATCCGCCGCCTCTTCGGGTCGTTCTGGTCGTGGTGGTCGTCCATGTCATCGTGGGCGAACATGTTCTGCGGGAGCGGCGACGGGTCGAACTGGCCGCTGCCGAAGATGCGCGGCGGCGGGTTCATCATGGGCGGCGGCCCGCCGTAGAAGCCGTTCGGTGAATTGTTCATGGCGGCGGAGGGTTGCGGATGCAGATTGGGTGGGGACGCGGACGTGCAGGTCGCTCGCACCGCGTGGGTATGGGGATGGCGGTGTTTTGTGAGCACGTCGGCACAGGGTGGAGCAAGTTCTGGCCAGCTGAAACGGCACCGGGCAGCAGCAGCAGACTTGGGGCGTTGTCGCAGACCTGCAGGCGGACGGATAGCGTCGAGCAGTCTGCGGGTGAGGCAGAAGCTTGTTTGATGTCGTGCCTGGATGCGTGGGGTGGGGTCGGATGGTCGGACCAAAGGCGCGTTGCAGCGTCGAGGATAGCTTCGACGGGCAGTTCACGCGCAGGGCTACGATATTGTGTTCCTAGGTACGGGCAAGGGCGGCCTGAACGCTTTCTGGCCTGAACGCTTACTCGCGTGTAGGCCAAGCTTCCGCACGCAGGACATCAGTGACGACTCCGACGTCGTCCGTTCTTCGCGCGCGGTGCAGATGCGTCCCAATGCGGCCTGGCGCGCACCGCCCTTCCCCGTCGAGCCAGGCACCGTGTGGAGCCTCGGCTTCGACAGGCAGCCAGCCTGATTGCCAACTCTAACTTGACCTCTCGCCTCAACAAGCTGCTCGTGTATCTGCGACGCTTGCACAGCCTGTAAGCCTCCCCAAGTGACAGGATGCTCTCGGGCATGATGTGGGCGCTCCGACTGCCGGGAGCCGCTCAAGGAGCTCGCCAACGTTGTGTACCGGGGCTGCGCCACTCTCGTCGCATCTCATCACTTGGCACCACCAGCTCTAACCCTTGGTCTTACACGCTGACTAACGCCCCAACTTCAGTCCTGCATCTGGCGTAGCACTGGGCATTCACGACCATGGCGCCCATGACCGTTGAAGAGCTGCAGAAGCACCCGGAGTTCGACCACACTATCTGGAAACTCACACCAGACCAGGAAGGGACAGTAGCTGTGGCGAAGAGCCGAGGTGGCCCCGTCAACATCTCCTACGAGGTCCACGGCCATGGCGACCGCAAGATTGTGGTAAGCACGCGATTCTCCATCTGTCAGCGTCGAGGCAGCGAGTGTCGGATTGTAATTGCAGCCTGATCTTCGCACGCGCTGCGGGAGGCGGCATGCTGTCATGTTTCGTTTCGGTCGCATTGACGTCTCATGTTGTCAGGTCCGTACTGGCCACACACGACCGTTATCGTTGATCTAAATCTGTACCGTCGTACCTACCGTATTGAGACTGCACGTGTTTTTGCATTGCTTGCCCTCGAATGGCCCACTGACATTTGATAGTGGATCATGGGTCTTGGCGGCATGAAGTATGGCTGGCAGAGACAGACGAAAGACTTTGGACACACCCAAGCAGACAAGTACTCATGTCTGGTGTACGACAACCGTGGTATTGGCTCGTCAGATAAGCCCCGGGCGCGGTACTCAACGTCTGAAATGGCCCACGATGTCATCGAGGTCATAGACCATCTCGGATGGTCAGGCACGCGCCAGCTGCATATCATTGGCATCAGCATGGGCGGTATGATTGCACAGGAAGTGGTAAGCCAGTCTCCACACTCGCATTGAGTTTGTGTTGCACATCCTCCGTCAGACCGCGACCCGCTCGAGATAACGTCGTCGTGATGGTTTCGGATGGTACAGCTTCCGTCCTGGGGGGTACCTGAAACGGTGCGGCACAGGCAGCAAACGTCGCCGTCATCGATCAAGCAGCACCCTGCCAGATGCCGGCGTGCCAGATCCCGCCCCGCCCCGCCCCGCCCCTCGCGTGTCGTCACGTGCTCAGTGGTCTATGTCACGGGAAGCACATGGAGCTGACCAGCTAACAGGCAATGCTGATCCCCAACCGGATCTGCACACTCTCCCTCGTCTCCACCGCCGCCGGCGTCTTCCGCACCAACGGCTTCATCGAGAACCTGTACAACCGCGCCGGCCTATTCATCCCGAAGTCAGTGGACTCGCAAATCGACGGCGTGAAGAAGAACCTGTACTCGCCCGCCTGGCTCGACGCGCCCGACACCCTCGATCCCGTCGTGCAGTCGTTTCCCACAAACGGCGACCGCTTCGCCGCAAGCGAGCTCTGGAAGCGGCAGCACCCGGAGTTCTTCGCCAAGCCGGGCTTCCTCCTGCAGCTCGTTGCGGCCGGCTGGCACTACAAGTCGCCCGAGCAGCTGCAGCAGATCGCCCAGACCGTGGGCAAGAACCGCATCATGGTCGTGCACGGCACGCAGGACCGAATGATTACATTTCCGCACGGCGTTGTGCTGTGGCGCGGGCTGGAGAAGGGGCAGGGCAAGACGGGGAAGGAGAACTGGCTTGGTGTGGAGGACGAGGCGGATGTGTGGGAGGAGGGCGAGGTCGAGAAGCACTTTGTCAAGGGGCAGGGGCACGTGCTGCCTGTGGAGATGCGGGCGGAGTTCCAGGGCTGGGTGGAGGCGCTGATTGATAGAGGGCTTGCGCTCAACCAGAAGGAGCAGATATGAGCGGCTAGTCTTTGTTATGCATGGCACACGTTAGCGACGTCGATTCTTCAGGTTCTTGCGGGATGCTGGAGGTCTGGCATTATTCGCAGTATCTCTAGAACTGATCATGGTACAGGTTTTCTGAACCAATCTACCACTGCTTCGAATCAATCTGTCGGTATTCAATGTTTTGTCCCGCCTAGTTCTTTGGTACTGCTATCTTTTGCCTGGACTACATGAGAAGTATCCGCGAGTCAAGGGGGACACTTGCAGCCTTCGTTGGGAAGTCTACGATACAGTATTCCAGCTCGACAAGGAGGCACACGACACTCGCTTCCGTGCACAAGGCGACAACCAGGAATCGCCATGGATCCAACGGACCAAAATCCACCGGCTGGGTATAGGGATCGGGACACGCTGGACACCGTCCCGAGCCCTGCACCTCCCGATGCAATCGCGCCCGCCAACGACCATTCCCCATCAACCCCAGCTACCCAAGCAGCTGGCCAGCTCTCCAGCCGCTTCACACACATCCCGTCCGCCCGCGCGTTTGTTCTCGAGCAGGCAAACACGTACACGCATAGTTTCCCCGGCCCGAGCAACGCCGCTTCCAACACGACCCTGCACTCCCACCTCCGCATGCTGCGGGACAGCACGTACGATATGTCTATGGGCCAGTTGGAGCACATCCACGAGCAACTCTGCGTCCGCCTCGCGCTGCAGCACCGCGCAACACGCCTCCTGGCCGCTGCTGGGATCCCGCTCCCATACAGGCTCGCCTGCACGCGCTTCAATGAAGCTCGTTTGCAGAAGTGGAAGTTTGAGAACCCCGCCGATGTAGTCGCGCAGAAGTACGAAGCCGCCGCGGGCAAGGTCTTCGGCATCCTTCCCCGCCCCGGCGGCGCGCAGGGGATGCGCTGGCCGAAGCCGCGTCACTACATCGCCGCTGCGCTTGCACTCGACGCCGCCATCACTGACACGGCGACGCTTGACGCCGCCGTGCGCCGGCTCGAGGAAGGTGCGTGACGGGGATACTCCGTGGTCTGATGGTCGCTAACTGACGCTGCACAGCTGCTGCTGCCGACACCGAGCGCGTCGCGGACTTCGAATGCGGGACCGCGAATGGCACGCCGTGATGCGTGGCAAGAATCGCAAGCTCTTCCACTGAATGGCACAGCATCCATGGTGGCCTCCGGAGCTTGGATCTCCTCCCGTGTCTCCAGTCGAGGAGTGGCGTGGCTCAGGCTGGCAGATCCAGGGTTGCTCGGAGTCGGGACAGGCACTGACGGCCTCTAGTGCGAGCTGCCAGATTAACCACAGAAGACGTCGAAGTGCCGACGGCCTCCAACGTGGGTTTTCGGGGTTGGTCGGAAGGACGGTGTGGTTTGAAGTCTCGTTTGCCAGACAGAGCTGACTTCAAGACCATGACTGGGTCCTGCTCTCGGTCGATAACCAGAGTCGAATTGTCCGAGCACGGAAACCATTCTGTCTTAGGAAGGGAGAGGGGAAACCTTTTGTGTACGCGGACCTTGGGCAGTCACGAATAGGCTCAACAAGAAACGCCTCGCTATCAATATCGTGAGGGCCTCTTAACCATCATCGATTATCCGCCATCCGCTCAATGTTTTCAGCGAGAGTTCTGTATCGGGATGTTGCGTGCCAAGGACATGTTGACGCAGATGAAAGCACCGTTCCATTAGCGTAAACGCCTCTGTGCAACGAGCCTGTGACCGCAGCACGACAGCGACATTGTGCAAGCTGGCCAGCGTGTCAGGGTGCCTGTGGCCCAGCACTTTCGTCCTCGTCTGCAAAACCCACGACCCTAGCTTTTCTGTCTCCTGCCACCGTCCTTGATTGTAGTATGTTACTGCTAGGTTGTGCATGCTGGCCAAAGATGAAGGATGCTCGCTGCCGAGCACTCTCTCTCTTGTTTTTGTCACCTTCAACTGCAGCTCCTCAGCCTCTTGCCATCGTCTTTGTTCGGTATACGTCAACGCTAGGTTGCCGATGCTAGTGATTGTATCAGGATGCTCGTCGCCACAGACTTCACGAAAAGTCTGCGTCACTTCAACCCCAAGCTCTTCTGCCTCTCGCCATCGTCCCTGACACCTGTATGCTACCGCCAGGTTATGAATGCTAGTCAGCGTGCCAGGGTGCTTGTCGCCAAGTAGTCTTTTCTTTGCTAGAACTACTTGCAGCCCTAGCTTTTCTGACTCCTGCCAACGTCCTTGATCGTAGTAATACGTTGCTAGATTAGCCATGCTTAGTAGCGTATCGGGGTGCTCGTCGCCAAGGATCCTCTTCCAGGTCTGCATTACTTGCACTTCGAGCTCTTCTGCCTCTTGCCACCGTCCCACATTGCTGTTCATCAACGCTAACCAGTGCATGCTGCGCAGAGTATCAGGGTGGTCGTTGCCAAGCAGTTGCTTCCTTATCTGCATTACTTGCGCCACCAGCTCTCTAGCCTGGTCAAATCGTCCATCCCTTTGCAAAACCATAGCACATTTCAGTGCGAGGTCGAGTTCTGCTTCGTCGTAGTAATCTATTGAACTTTGTGACAGAACATGCTGTGCATGGGGAAGAAGTCGTCTCCACTTGCTTCTGTTACTGTAGTCGTTGTCAGGAAATATTTGGAGTAGCTGTGCAATCGTGCATTCCATCCATTTCTGAACCCGTTGCTGCATCTGCAGCTGCTTCCGTAGGCCTTGATGCACTAATTGATGAACATCAAGTGCTGACTCAGCAGGTCTTCTGGTAACGAGTGCATACCTGTCAAGTAGCCTGATAGCATCTTCACGGGCCTGCGAAGCTGCCGCAAGAAGGTCGAGCGGGATGTCCTTTCGATCGACGCACGCAGCTACGAAGAGATAGTCTGCAGCCGCCGCGTTGCTACGGCGGATTTGGCTCGTAGAAAGAGATAGCGTAGCAGCTACAGTGTCGCTCAGACTAGGGTCTCGCAGCTCGCCTTTAGGCAGATTATCACTGATCTTGAGAGCTGCTTCTTTGTGCTCCGCTAGCTGTGTTCGGTACTGCTGCACTGTCATATAACTAGCGTTCATGCACGCTGCTGCTTGTACAATAGCTAAAGGCAGATACAATAGCTCGCTCAGCAGATGCATGGCATCTTGCTGCTCAGCGTTTGAAAGCGGCTTTGTCAAGCGATTGTGTAGCATCCTAAGTGCCATGTCTGGCGTCAGCTCATGCAGCGCTATGACATTCTGTGGAGCAAACGCCACGGCTCTGTCGCTCTCTTTTGTTGTGAAAATTACTGAACACAGTCTGGAGGGTGGCAGAAAGTCGGCCAAGTCTGCGACTTCTCCTGGAGACGAGCCACCAGGCCGTAGAAAGGTGCCTTCTACATTGTCGTAGATCAGCAAACACTGTAGCGCACTTACTACTGCCACACATTGTCTTACAATCTCCGCTATGTCTGCCTGGTCATCGTCACAGCCAGGAATGTTGAGCTTCTGCGCAACGCTTGCATATGACCGGTGGAGGCTGTCAACGTCGCTCGCGTCCATCCAGAAGACTGAATGGTCCTTCTTGTGCAACCTTACTCTGTGAGCAACCTCAAGCGCGAGCTGCGACTTGCCCATTCCACCTGCCCCCACTATCGCTAGCGTGGTCGTGGTCTCTTGATTGCTAAAGAGCTTTGCTTCAAGTTGGGCGAGCTGCGACTCGCGACCGACAAAGGACTCATTGCGTGAGAATGGGATGATCGACGGTGCGCTGCCAGCTGCCTCGATCTCAGCCTGCAGTCTCTTTCGTGCGCTCTTTTCTCCTTCCCCGTACGTCACAGGCATAGAGATGCCAAGCAGTCCAAGCAGACAGTACACAATGTCTTCTTCTTCGGTTGTTGTGCGTTTTACAGCCCACCGCATTCGTTCAGATGTGCTGAACTGGTCTAGAGGCTCGTTGCGCAGCGCCGTAAATGGGATGCTGGTAATGCCGTGTATGAGCTGTTCGAGTGACGCTTTGTCGCCTATGCGCCGTCCTTGGTGCGAGAAGAATTCGACTGACATCGGCGCGATCAGCTCTTGCAGTGTCCATCCTCGTGTAAACCACGGGCTTTTGCAGAAAGACGTCTCCCATTCGCTGCACGAGCCTGTTGCCGTCTCCGTCACAGCTGCAAGCGACACGTCCGAGAGGAAGACATAGCATCGAGCCGCATTTCTGTACCACTCGAACATCGAGTTGATCGCCTTTGACCGCTCGTTGTTGTCCCATCTATCGATGCAGCATGTGTCAATCCAAAAGTATTGCAGCCCGTCCTTAGCCGCCTGTTCAGCGCAGAACCTGAGCTTTTGATAGCCTTCTTGTTTCTTTCTATAGGCTCCATTTGATAAGTCTTCGATAAGGATCTCGGAGTCGCTCCATCTGTGCGATAGGATGGCGTAGGGCGGCGTCCGCTTGCCGCGAAAGTCTGTCAAGAACAGTCTGTCGAGCGCGTCAACATGAAGAAGCCGCATGGCTATTGCAGCTCAAAGGCTGGCCTGTGGAAGAAGAGACGCGAACGGCAGTTGTGTTAGTTCGAGTGAGATGACATAGATGCGACAAGGCAGAGAAGACAGCCTAGTGAGGCAGTGCATGCATCAGGCTGCAGGTGCTGGCCGCAATCGAGCGCCCAGCGTCCTGCGCAGCCTCGCCTTGCCTCACCATTCGCGCTGAAATATGTGCAAGTCACGTTAAAGAAGTGCGAAGGTGGGCGGACAGCCGGCAAATACGGCGACTCTACGAAGGTGGTTGTTGTGGCCTCTCGAGCGGCGCTATGCGATAGGGAAAGCACAAATATAGAAGCAGGAAACGGCTGACTGCACCTCCGGAAATAAGAGCTGCCTAAGGCCATGTGAATCAATAGAGGTCACAATTATCAGCCACAGACTGCCCCTCACAGACATCCCAGCACGTGCCAAATGTCGTTTAACAAGCATGGCTCGCCGAGAGCATTTTGGCAATCCTGCTGCCAGCCCTGCTGGCGTGCACACTCCTTACCTTAACTTGGCCTTCTGAGACTGCAGCCGCTGATTTTCCCACCGCAGCCTCTCTCCTGGCCCATCGCGCTCTCCATGGACTCTATATAAGAGATTATCTTCTAAATAAGCTAAGTCTAAATCTTGAATTGCAGCCTTAAAAGACATGGTGGCGTTGAGTTATAAGGGGTAGGAAGATGGGATGATTTGGGGCGGGGTGGTGCAACTACGCGCGACTAGATAGTGACCGTGCACGGTTACTACCGATAAACGTTTCAGGTTCACAAGCCTGAATCGAGGTTTCAGCCGTAGTTCATCTTCCATTTCTATAATGCAGCGCGACTCTGTGTCGATAAAGACCAATTGCTGTCCGCTACGTATATAACGTATCTGGAGGCGACCCTCTGTTCGGCGCACAGGCATCTCATCTCTGTCGCTCTGTACTACGAATGTCTACAACTATTTCGACCACATAAACGCGACTTCAGACTTCGCCGCGCCTGGTCACTCTTGGTGCCCTCAGAGGGAAAGCATTAGTGCTCGACCACAGCTTTTGTGCATCTACAACATAGAGATGAAACAAACACCAGCAAAAAATCAAAATAACAAGCAGAGGACGTTCTGCTGCACAATATGTTGCAAAGTAAGCTGTGCTTTGTACATAATGCAGGATTGGTGAGGTACCTGAGACGATCTGTGCCAAGGTGTCTGAGAATACGTGTGAGGAAGGCGCAATACCTAGGATTTTTAGAACAAAGTGCCACTACACACTTGTCAGGCTGTCACGCTCTGCTTGGACTCGTGATGTGTGACAAGCATGTTCGCCCCTTGCAAGGATGACATGAGAAAATGTCACTGAAGTAATCATACGTTCGGGCGTTGATCAAGTTTGAACCGGGCAAGCTTCGATTTAACTTATAAGATACGTGGTTGTGAGAATGGATCGACTACAATCGATAAAGTACCCTCGCTCTTCATAAGGCTCTTTCTGATCTCAATGCGTTACATGCCTGCTTGCAGTTTGCACAGGCGCAAGATTGCTCTTTGCTGCTTAGCTGTTGTCACTCCAATGTTGGCTTCCTGTTCAATTATTACATGGATCGTCTTTGCTAATCTCGTTCATGAGCATTGCCAGGCTGAGGAGCTCTGTCATAAGCTGAGCACTACCAACGCGCCATCTCGAAGTCACTTTTATATTGACTTTCCAGCAGCACGGCTTGCTTTCATCGCTTCAGGTTCTTCCACAGTCAGTTTCGCATTGATCGGCCTTCTGATGACGATGCATGCATACACAAACGCGGCAACGTTCCTACGCATTTCCAACAGGGTTCAACCCAAAGCTTTACTCACCCCCCACCAATTGAGTACTCTGCTGAGAGTCCTCAATGCGGAATGGATGGCATTGTGGGACCTCTTGACCTCGAAACTCAAGGAAGTGTTCTGGAATGGGCAAGATGACGCAAATCATTCCCACCAATCACCGCTGATCCTCCGGCGCGGGACCACAATCCTGATAGCCGGCATTTCTGCAAGGTACCTCAAATGAAAAGCATCAAGTTGAATTGGTAGTTACTGACGATAGGTGATTAGTGTCTTGATCCAAGTTGCGGACATTTACTTTCATGTCACTGCTATTGCGATCGAGCTCACTCAGGTGCAAGAGCTCTCCCTGATAGCCCATCCATACAGCAGAGGCCTGGCCACTTGGTGTGTAGACAGACCAGTGGTAGGAGATCTTGGCCAGAAAAACTACTGGGGCTGTGCTATCACAGCGCGATCAGCTGCCTACAACACAACGAGCCTCGCTCTTACGAACGCAAGCATTGTTCAAGATATGAAGAACTCAGTCTCCGATCAGCACAAGTCATTGATCTCTATCGACTCGAACGGTGTCCAATACGCGATAATTGGACCAGCAGCCACGGAGCCTTGGGTGGATTGGAAGGCTTCTTCTTTTGGTGTATCTACCACCTGCTCCGCAATCCCCGAAGGCAAATGTGATGTCCAAAGGCCCGTGACTGAGGCGAAAGATGGACAAGGTAATCCCGTCATGCTTGTACCTTTCAATTGTACAAGCAGTAAAGCGGGGGTTGACATTGCCGGAAACCTAACGTCTCACAACACGAAAACCCACACCACGAACTTCCACAAATACGCTGCAGAGAGTGCTCCCTTCTTCAATAGCACTGTAGTCAACCTCGAAGAGTTCAGAAAAATCCGAGATAACATAAATCGCGGCGAAGATGCAAACGATATTCTGAAGAATTCGTGGAATGTTTTTGTAATGCGAAAGATTCCGACCGCAGAGCAAGGGGACTTCTCGCAACTACCCCGAACCTTCGAAACCGACTCTAAGGTCTGGAAACATCCCCTCTTGGGCGCATTTGTACTGTTACACTGCAACGTCACAGGTAAGCTATATTCGACTTGTACAAACAAAGACCTAAACTTTTCCAGTATGGGACGTCACATATGTTTCAGTCGAAGCAAAGATCACGATTCTCAATCAAACTCTCAGCAATGGCAGCACAGCAGGCATTTCAAGCATGCCTGGAACGCGCTTCATTGGCACGTTGGCCAATATCTTCCAGGATGAATCCACAGGGCCTCTGTCACGTAGCTCACCCGACAATTTCATTCGCTCTTTCGAGATGGGCATGAGCAAAGCATACTCGTATCCGCTTGCTTCACAGACTATCGGACAGCCAAGCTTGCTTGCTCAAGCACGCTTTTCGAAGATCGTAACGAGGCTGCCAATTGCTTGTTTTTGGTCCTTCATCGCTGCTAATATGGGATTCGCAGTACTTGGCCTGGTAACTGGTCTCAGGGCGATCTGGGAGACTACAGAAACGGTCGGACAAATACAAATCAGGTTAGGTGTTGTTGGTCTTGTGGCTGCGCTTTTCAACCGGAGGCAGTTCGAAAGACTGGCCAAATGTGACGAGGATCTCTTCGAGAAAGTTAGCGCGAAGGAAAACCCTGGCACGGAGCGAGTCGTCGTCGTGGGTACTACCGGTGGAGGGGCCTCTTTCGCGCTCCACCAATGCAAGACTCGCTGAGGCCTGAGATTTTGGCCATTCACGTTATCCGTCTCTTCTAGTTGGGCATATGGTGGATAGGCTAGACATAGAATTAGGGTTTACTTCTTCAATCGGCCATCGGATGTGTCGAATATACGCCAAGAGGGTTGTTGTAGGGCAAGCGTTGTCGTAAATTTAACCTGCGTTACTACTCGTGCCGCGCAAGGGCCTAGATATACCTAAGCTGAGCTATAATTCTCAAGCAATACAACGACTTACATCTTGATATTCTATACTTGCAACCTCCGTACCCGGCCGCGCGACAAGTGTAAATGATCTGCCATTTAGAGCATGACTAAATCCCGTCCTCCTAGCGATTGAGCGCCTGCATCGTGTCGGTATTGAATGTCTTCTCTGTTGTCTCGCTCCACGCCAGGACGGCCACGTCATCTATGTACCCTGTTGACCTAGCGTCTGTCTCACTGTTCTCTTCGCCTATCAGCACGAGAATGGTGCCTGGCACAGGTGACGTAACGGAGCTTGAGGTGTGCTCATCTCGCATGAAACATAAATCTATCTAATATCACACACGCAGATAAGATGTCAAGGACACGCGCCAGTCCTGTGTAGGTTTGCATGTCTAGAGGAAGGACGGAGCTGAGACGCATACTCTATCTCGCTCGGTACCGCAACTGGGCGTTGAAGCCACTGCTTGACGGGGAGAGCAATTTAACGCTTGATGAGTCTTTCGGCAGCCCAGCGAACTGCAAGGCGCATTCGCTTCGAGCAACGACAGTTGACTGACCTAGCGCGTTGTGGTAGTAGCGATGTCAGGTCCGTTTGTTGAAGACTGCCCCGCCCTAGGTCAGGTGTGCTAATTCCGCATTTAAGCATAGGTCTTTGGCCAGTTGCTCGAGCACGATTGCTGCATCTCTTTGCTCCAAAACTTGACTGAAGATCAAGATTCGTGGGGTAATTTATCAGATCAGAGCAGCCAAGCACAGAAGAATTGTTTCTGAGCTGTTGCGACGATTACGCGTCATTCGTGTAAGTAACAAGATCTTCAAAGGTTGAAGAACATGACGTCCCTGTCCCTAACGAACAGCTATCACTTAGTGTACCGTAACACTGTACTCCGATTTCTTGGCTCCTAGTAGATGGCATCTGAATACTAACAACCGAGTTGCCAAGCTAGCTTTCATTGAGACTGTAGAGGTAGTGTCGCAGGCCAAGCGCTGTCGTGAACCTAAAATCTGTTACTGATCGTGTCGGATATCCGGTCATCCTCATGGTCAGCACCTTCGTTCTACGCGCCCCCCCCCCCCCCCCCCCCCCCCCGGCCCACGTACGATCGTCACGGGCGTGGGATCATTCGCCCACGCAGATTGAGATAGCCACAATGATCGCGCAAGCCTGCAGAATAATCCACCAGCTTTTTCTGTCATACCAGTTTTTTCGTTCAGCTCAATAACCTCATTTCTGTGTAGTTATAAAAATAGGTAGTTGGGGTGCGCGTCACGTGTCCATGCGCATCATGGAACGCAGTCGCGGATATAGGAACACAGTTGCGTTACCGCTCAGCACCCGCGGGCTATCGTGTGTCTTTGGTGACGTGATCGCGGTCCTGCTGTGCTAAGGGTGAGTTTCGGGCGTATATCAGGAAGATGACGTATTACAGGCGTGCCTGTATTGTAGATACAGCGCTCGCAACACGCTTCGCGGGTGGGTGTCGATCAAGATGGGCGTGGCTGAGAAGTACAAAGCGGACGAATCAGTGAAGAGCGAATCAGGATTACAAATTCGCTGAGCAATTTGGCGAATCAGAATCGACAGCAGACAGACTCAACTTCACTAGGACGAGGAATGTGACATCTTTCGAACTAACAATTTACTACTTCTGCATTCAAAATGACCTTGTGGGATGCCCACATGCGTTGTCGCACGCATTGTTGCACTTAATCACCCCTCGCCTGATTGTCGCATCGAGTAAAGCTGGGACCTTGCAGTCTGCCTGACACGTATAGCTTATGGCCCTGGGCGTCCAACACTTTGCGCTTCATAAAGATCTACGTAAAACACCTAGAAGCTGGCAAGCATACAGCTGTGAAAGATGCGACTCGTGGTGCTGGGTGGCAACGGCAGGACCGGTGTTCACCTCGTTGAACAAGCTTTGGAGAGAGGTGAGAAACATCATAGTATCTGGTTCTCTATGCGGCATACTTATGCACACTTTATAGGTCATAACATCACCGCGTTAGTCCGAAATCCTGCTAAGCTGCCTACTAGACCTGGTCTTCATGTCTGCGAAGGTTTGTTGGCCAGATTCCGTAACTCAATTTTGTAAGGAACTGACCATTGATTCAAACTAGGCACTCCACTTAATCTCGAAGATGTCTACAAAACGTTCAAGGCAGGTAGCTGCTATACACGTCCTGAAGCAGTGATTGTCTGCCTTAACCCCAGCCGTGCTTCGGACAGCCCATTTTCCCGCCCCACAGCCCCCCCACGCTTCATGGCCGATAGCGTCGCCAACGCCATTACAGCAATGAGATTACACAACGTCCCCAAAATCGTCATTATGCAAGCCTTGGGTGTTGGCAATAGTTTTTCCAATCTCCCATGGTGGATGCGCTACGTACGGTACTGGACCTACATGAAACATTCCTACGACGATCACGACCTCGTCAATAACGAAGTCCAGCTGGCGGGCGTTACTTATGTCCTGCCGCGCCCGCCTTGGCTGACAAATGGGGAGGCATCCCCGGTACGTACCTTTGGGAACACTGGACATGGTATTGGGACTTTTGCTATGATATCGCGGAAGTCAGTGGCAAACTTCTTGTTAGATGCGTGTGAGAGAGACGACTGGGATGCGAGCACGCCGGTCATTGCAAGATAAATCACTATTAAGCTCACCATAGCACGACGAGGCGCAGCAGAGAGCTACTGGTTGGTCCCATGTCATGTTGCTTTGCACAGAGAGTCTATTCCCAGAGTCGCACTAGATCTGACGCGGGCTGACGCCGGCTAGATCACATCGTCTGTAGTATACTAACTCTTAGGAGGCCTTAACTACTCCTTAATAATTAGTCTTAGTATAAGCCCTTGACCTTCTGAGACTGCAGCCGCTAATTCTCCCTCCTCAGCTTCTCTTCTGGCTCACCGCGTTCTTCATGGACACGTCTCGTCGCGCATGAAATGGGGAGACATTTGACAAGAGTTATTAGAGGGTCTCACAACGACGCAGTTGTCATCGCCGCAGTTGGATGTACGCTAAAACTTCCGGTTTGCGGGCGTGATGTGCGAATCGCGAGTCCTCGGAAGAAAAGGCGTCCCGGTATGCCTTGGTTGACATCAGGGGGACAGAAGTCACCATCGTCATCCTGTGCGAAGTGGTTATGCCGAAGCAGCGACATTGTAAGCAGTGTGTTGCACTGACAGCTGGGGACACGCGACAGCTCCGTAAACCCCCGCTTTTGACTTGTGCATGCCGGTCACTCGTATATAGCATATCAAGGCTGCTTCTTAAATAAGCATCTAAGGTAGGAGGGCTTGTGTAATTCCAGTAAGGTAAGCTGAAGACACTCGCAAGTACCTGTACCCTGTCGTCTACCTACAAAATGAGCGTGAACTTGAGGCTAAATGGGAGAATATGGTAACTAAAGCGTAATTGCACCTGTTGGTTTTCCTCACAGGGCGGTTTTCATTTCAAAGGGGATATATTCTATCCACGATGCGCCAGAACGCTAATCAAAAACACCGGGGGCTATGCGTACGCTCCAAACAATGCTCCACGCGGCAAACAATATCATGTGCTCCAAAACCACATCACAAACACCAGAGATAGAACTACGCCCCCAAGCTCCACAACCCTCCTCCGAACATTCACCGGCCTCAACGCCGGCACCACCACCACACTCGAAATCGCCCCCATCCGCACCACCGCCACATGCCCCGGCGCCACCTCCGCAAGCACCTCAATGCACCGCAGCGCCTCCTCCTGCGAAATCGGCGTGCGTATCGAGCCGCGCAGCTGCTGCAGCACCGCCGCCGTGCTGAACGAGACGCGTGCACCGGGTCGGCTGGCGCACAGGAGGGACAGGATGCCGAGGACTTCTTCGGCGCGCTGGAGGGCCGCGCGGCGCTGCAGGGCGGCCGGGGAGGGCGCGGCAGGGCCGGTGCGTGTCGCTTCCTGCTTGGCTAGGATGCGGTCGAGAAGGTTTGTTTTGCGGACGGCAGCAAATTCAGTGATCTTGGGCTGGGGCGCGGGCGCATCGGGGTCGTTTTCTTTGCCAGATACCTGGCGCTTTTTCTGCGTGCGGCCTGCCTGCACGCTCTCTTTGAAGTCGCGCATGCGCTTGCGGCCTTTTTCCTGGAGGGGCGCGATGGCGTGGAGCGAGGCGCAGGTTTCGATGTCGGCGAGGGGAAGCTGGGCGAGGAACGCGGAGAGGGAGGTTTCGTCGAGGTAGGGCTCCAGAAGGGTTTGCTTGGTGTCGGCTTTCTTTGGGCGTCCGCGGCCTTTCTTGGGCGTTGCGAGCGGACGCGTGATCGTCTTCTGTGAGATGCACCACTGTGACCACAGGCTGTCCAGACCCTCTTTGAACATGTCCGTCATCGCCTGCTCGTCCACACCTGTCATGGCGTCCAACATCGGGCTGTTTTCTCTGATCTCGAGGACGATTTTGCCGTGACCGTAATCTGAGAGGTGGTAGGGGTTGCTCGAGCCATCGGGGCCGTAGTTTAGTACACCCATGAGGAGACGGATGTCGTCGTATGTAACTTTGCGCTGTCTCCAGACCAGTGTGACGGACGCTGTGAGATCTCGGAGGTCTGCGGGGGCGGAGGTGCCATTGTGCGCGTAGTGCAGTGATAATGCAGTAAGAAAGGACGAGTGCAGCGCGAGGAGGTTGAGAAGCTCAGCCGGGAGCTGACCGGGCGCGATAGCCATTATTGATGATAATATACAAGTAATGTAATGCTGAGATACGGTGAACAATGGCCGAGAGGAATGTGCTACAGTGGTGAAGGAGTGCGTGCGGAGGACGGACGACTAAAGTGTCTGTGAACTGTGGGGTTCGGCGGAAAAGGTAGGCACGTCGCGCTCGGACGCGCACGCGACGCGTTTTGGCGTCGTCTAATCAACGAGCCGCATTCAGCGTTAGTGTCGATTTCCGACACGCTCATTCTTTGGTAGTACGAAGTACTCGCGTGTGCTTATTTGTCTAGAGTGTGATTTGCTACATTGTATTGAGTGCTCAGACTTGCAAGACATATGAGAATTGGAGGTCAAGTGTCATTCGACCCGATCGCGTGATCTGATACCTTGTCCGTGCAGCTGGTGACGCAATTACTAGTCTCTGACAACTGAAAGCACCGCCGAAAGTGCAGTAGACAAGAAAAATAGGAGTAGACATGAATGTGAAGCGTGGTTTTATTCATTATGAGTTAAGGTATTGTGCCCGCATACTCCTGTGCTAAGTGCAAATGCATGTCAAAGTCGTCCCTGCTCGCTTACTTGCCGCCGAACCAGGAGCCCAACCAGCTCTTCGCCTGCGCAGCATCCTTAGTGACCTCCTTGTCGAACTTGTTAACGGCAGCGTTGAAGTCCTTGCTGGTCTCGCGAGTGAACTCTTCGCCCCGAGCACGAGCCTCGTCCCACTTCTTCTTAGCCTCAACACTCAAGCTGTTGTACTTTGCCTGTGCCTCAGCGCTGTACTCCTGGGCCTTGTTCTGCGCATCACGGCTGACCTCCTGAGCCTTGTTCTGTGCTTGTTGGGTGTAAGCCCTGAGGTCGGCCTCGGCCTTCTTTGCCTCGGCGCTGGCGCGGTTGGCCTGCGAAGGTTTAGTGTGTGGAGAACGAGGATAACGATATGACGTACGTAGTCTTGCGCAGTCGCGCGAACAGCCTCGTACCCCTCCTCGCCAGCCTTCTTGGCCTCCTTGTCCTGGCCAGGCAAGTCACCACGGACTTTCCTTGCGGCGGTAGCAGCATCGTCTGTGACGGTCAGTCCGAGTTTCTCAATAGACTTGGACGACAAACGCACGCTCAAACTTCTTCTCCGCAAGCTTTGGGTCACCTCCCGCGTTGTACAGGTAGTAGGTGGCCGCACCGACAGCGCCGATACCACCGAAAGTAGCAAACCTGCGTCCAGCCATTGTTGTTTATGTGAGCGTTTTGGGATTGATGGAAGAGGTGTGTGTGCGATGAAGACAAGTAATTTGCAATTGTGTGAGAGATTGACGAACAAGGGAGCAGTCTCTGTACTTAAGAGGGGAACGCTGCGACATGCGGCTGGCAGCTTGAAAGGCGCGTCCAAACTACGTCATGCACCATAGCTCCCGCCGCACAGACTGGCCCATCGCGAACCAGATCGCCAGACTAAGCCACCAGACGTCGATGACCTCCCCAAGGCTCCCAGGTCCATATCACTATGTTTGTATAGAATTTCGCGTGCGACCCGCGCTGTCAATATTTTCCTGTAGCGCTTTTGTCTTGCTTCTGTGCTTCCTGCCTCGGCACAGATTGTTGACAGCCGTTGACCCCTAAAGTGCCATCCCCACACCGCGCTTTCTCCATGCATTCACGGTAGCAACGGCGTGAGGCCTATTCTTGCATCGACTGCAGACATCTGCCACATAACAATACTCCGCGATGGCAGAGCAGAACATCCAGCTCGTCGACCACACAGACGGCGACACGACCCCCACCGCTCAGTCTGAGCCCCCTCGAACGCCAGACTCGCGCATCGACATACTGTACGAAAACCAGCGCGGCTGGTTCGTCTTCGGCATACCACTCTTCTCCTCGAAAGCGCTCTGGAATTTCAGGGTCGACCCTGCGCCATGGGTTGACACCAAGTTCAAGCCGTCAGCCGTCAACATCACAAATGCACAAGTACCGGACCCCAGCTGGGTCTGGGACTGGAAGAGCTGGTATGTTGATATGAGCTTGGACGTCGACGAGGAGGGGTGGCAATACAGCCTCATGTTCAAGGGCTCGCCGTGGCATGGCAACCACCCGTGGTTTCACAGCTTCGTCAGGAGACGGCGGTGGCTGCGAAGGCGAGTGAAGCAGAAGATACCGCCAAAGACGAAGGAAGCCGTACGCGACAGGCTGTTTGGTGACAGATTCAGCGTCGGTGGCACGACGATGCTCAGGACAGATACCTTGGGTACTATGAGTGCACAGCTGGACAGCGGTCAAGTCTCTGTGGACGAGGAAGTGCGAGACACAGCAACTCTGTTGCGCAAATTGAAGGTCGCTGCCATTGATCGGGAGAAGATTATCATCATCAACAGATTCATTGCAGACGGGAGTGAGGAGCTATACTACCTTGCTGAACAGGTGCGCATAATCCTCACTCATCCACAACAAGGCTAACCGCTACAGATTCCGAACATCATGTCTATGCTCGTATTCCAAAACTCTCGCCGTCAGCTCCTTGCCACCCTCATGGACACATTTGACGCCGCTAAGAGCCACCGCGACGAGCACAAGGCCCAGGATAGGCCTGAAGGCGAAGCCGAGTCCCGCAGGATCACCAACCTTCTCAAAGCTGTCGAGGCCGCCGATGCAGAGTGCAAGAAGCTCGAATACTGGAGTGACATACGCGAGCTAGCTGTAGAAGGCAGAGCCGGTAATGCCACCGCAGAGGCCAGTGGGTGGGACGAGAAGTGGCAGGGCGTTGACGACAGTGGGCCGAAACACCCTTCACCGTCAACGCAATCATCGACGCAGTCATCCATGATCCCTTAATCCTCGGGTCCTATGTACATCCTATGAGCATTGAATATTTCCAAAGCTCAAATACATCTATATCTTGTAATTTTACATACTTGACTCAATGGTTTCGAGTCTTCCTCACCCTGATCGGACCTTTGATATCCGCCAAGTTGCTGACATCCAGCACCTGACCCTTCTGCATGACTTCGACTTCGCCAGCTTCCCGCATCTCCCAAACAAGCTGTCGTATAGAGTCCATGGTTGCTCGCCAGTCCGGCGCACCCAATGTCGACAGCTCTGATGACGAGAGTGCACGGGCGACTTCGGAGGGGCAGATTGTTTTCGGGAAGTCCCGCGAGCTCAGCAGACGATTGGTCTTCTCTCGCAAAACCTCGCGCTGGCGATCGTCCAAAGTCATGTTGCTTTTGCCGGTGTTCGCAGCGGGGAGCGACCACAGATTACAGTGTTACAATCCTCGGCGTGCTACCTTGGCTCCTTGTGGGTTCTTGGCTAGGAGCAAATTTTCCTGAAGCAAGTGTCTTCTCGGAGTCTTTAAAAGGGTTGATATTGAGGCTCGAAGGATTTCCGCGGCCCACTCGGTTTCGCGATCTCCATATCTGGATCGGCGCAAGGTTTGGGGGGTTTTGGGACTGGTTTCTCCCGTCTGACGTCAAAGCGCCCAATCGGACCGCGGCGAAGCAAACCTCAACACGTCAACCGCATAAGACCGGCGCAATCAAGGGGGGTCTGAAGTGGACGTTTGTAAGGTGTGTCAGGATGCAGCGCGGACTACCCCACGTTGGCCGAGCTCTTTTTAGGGCGGGGCATACCTCCAGAGCTTCCAATTCCTCTTTCATCTCCAGTCACAGCTCGCCCTCGCAAGCTTCGTTGCTCCGATCTTCGCCCGCGCAACAACAGCACGTCAGAGCTTTCACCAAAAGTTCCTTCTTCACAAGCAATTGGTACAAGAAAATGACTGGCCAGGAGGATCCCAAGACCACGCAGGAGGTGAAGAAGTACCTCCAGCAAAGCCATGACCGCATCTTCGAGAACAACAAGAAGTGGGCCGAGGAGATGGCAGCGAAGAAGCCCGAGTTCTTCAAGGACCTGGCCGCTGGTCAGTCGCCGGACTATCTGTGGATTGGTAAGTCATAGATCTCAACAGAGGATGGGTTGCGCAACGATTTGGAACGCTACTAATCGTTCAACCACAGGCTGCTCAGACTCACGCATCCCCGCCGAAGCCCTGACCGGTGTCGACCCTGGCGAGATGTTCATCCACCGCAACATTGCCAACCTCGTCAACAATATCGACTTGAACGTCATGTCGGTCGTCAACTACGCCGTGCGCCATCTTAAGGTCAAGCACGTCGTCGTGTGCGGTCACTACGGCTGTGGCGGTGTCAAGGCCGCCATGACACCCCAGGACCTTGGTCTGCTGAACCCGTGGCTGCGCAACATCCGCGACGTTTACCGTCTGCACCAGGATGAGCTCGACGCTATCAAGGACGCGGACGAGAAGTATGACAGGCTGGTGGAGCTCAACGTCATCGAGCAGTGCAGGAACGTCATCAAGACCGCGGCGGTGCAACTCAGCTACGCGCAGAATGAGTTCCCTATCGTGCATGGGTGGGTGTTCGGATTCAAGGACGGGCTGCTGAAGGATCTGAAGTTCGACCACGAGGGCGAGCTGATTGAGATCCAGAAGATCTACAACCTGACCGATCTCTCCTGAGCAGAGCGTCTGTCAACACGTCGTGAGTTTAGCAAGGAGTTGGGGCTGAGGAGGGAGCTGTAAACTAAAGAGCGGCGTTAAGGCCGAGCATGCAGCTGGAACACAGCCTGGTCTGACTGCAGCCCGCGCGCGGATGCTGGCAGACATGCAATCAACAGTATTTTTTCACACAACGCTCGTCCGGTTCACCGTAACTCCAGCTAGATGTGTGACGATGCGCTTGCTGCATGTTAGCGCGATGGATTGCCGCTTTGGGTATTCGATGCGCTGTGGCTTACGTGCAGCTTCATACCGCGGGGTTAAGCTGCGCCTTACTTCGTACTGGTGCAAATATCGATCTTGGCCGGGTATGTCCATTTACACTCTGCCTAGTCTCCAGCCATTTCAACGCAAGGCCCAATCACTCTCGGCCGTCCCATCAGGATTCGTGTTGCTCTGCAAAATTGTCCGATTCCAGTCACTTTCTTGCATTATCGGAGCCTCCCCCCGGGCCAATTTGCACCGGACGAACATCGTGAAGACCGTCAGGCAACCCGGAGTTAAACACAACAGAACCTTGCGCTAACATGGAAAACGTTGCATCATGCGACGTAGGATGAGAGTGAGATATGAAGGGAAGGTATAAGGATGAGGGGAGAGCCGCTACAGCTGCATCATCGCATCAACATCTTTCGACATCTTACAGAGCAAGCAATCTCTCCTCGCTCCAGCCTCAGCTTTTCTCACTTCACAAATCCTCATATAGTGCCTACAAATGTCTCGTTACGCAGAAGCCCACAAGCACGCCAACCTTCGTGGTGCTGGTGATGCACGGCCTACGGCCCTTCAAGTCATTGAAGACGAAGGCTTGGCCGGAAAGCTCAGCGACAAAGTTTTCCTCATCACCGGAGTCTCCTCAGGCATTGGAATCGAGACACTGCGCGCTCTTCACACCACTGGTGCCCACGTCTACGGCACCGTCCGTGACACTGCCAAGGGTCAAAAGGTTGTCGACACCATTCTCTCCGAGAACCACCCTTCCGGCGGCAAGATAAGCCTCATCGAGATGTCGCTCGACAGCCTTGCCAGCATTCGTCAAGGCGCTGCAGACTTCCTCGCCAAATCCAACAACACACTGCACCTCCTAGTCAACAACGCCGGCATCATGGCCGTCCCCTTCAGCAAAACAACTGACGGCTTCGAGTCGCAGTTCGGCACAAACCACCTCGCCCACTTCCTCCTCTTCCAGCTCGTCAAGCCCGCCCTCCTCGCCTCTGCAACACCAACCTACCCCTCGCGCGTCGTCAGCGTAACCTCAACCGGTCACGGCCTTGGCCCTCCCCCCTTCGACGACTACAACTTCGAAACCACCCCGTACGACCCCTGGCGCGCCTACGGCGTCTCCAAAACCGCCAACATCTGGCTCGCTAACAGCATCGAATCCCACTACGGTGCCCAGAACCTGCACGCGACTTCCGTGCACCCAGGCCTCATCCTGACGTCCAACCTGGGCACGCATCTGCCCCCCGACCAGATGGCCATGTTCCAAGACCCGGAGGTGGTGCGCACAGCCAAGACCCCGGAGCAGGGCGCGGCGACGCAGGTCTGGGCTGCTGTGAGCAGCGAGTGGAGCGCAAAGGGCGGCAGGTATCTGAGTGGTGTGGCGGAGGCGCCGAGCACGGAGGAGAAGGGCAAGGAGGAGGGCATGTCGTACTTTGGCAACGATGGGTATCACGCGTGGGCGTACGATGTCGAGGGCGCGGCGAAGCTGTGGAGTGATAGCTTCAAGCTTGTCGGATTGGCCGAGGAGTGATCCATTGTCCTTATAGTCTTACTTTGAGCGAGCGTGTTTTGTAGTTTTAGACGCAGTAATGACAGGGGTAGTAATACAACTCACCAAACCCACCTTTTCCCAAGCCTTCCCAGCAACAACAGTATACTTACAGCCTCAACCCCCACCTATTTTGTAACGCAACGGCACATCGGTCATCCTTCGGCCAGTGTGAGAGTGGGACTGGTTACTTATTCGGGCAACTTTGGGAAAAAGCGTGGATTGCCGAGGATCTTCGACCGAGGAGTACTCCCGAGATTTACTGATCCTCACGTAATGGGGGGCCGTGAACCTGAATTTGCCACTGAATACGAGAGAGGGTAATGAGAGAAGTGATGTCTCCTATTCTTTCGTTATGTTGACTACGACATGGTTACATATACCTAGGTAAGGGTAGTGGAAGGTGGTGAAGGACAGGGGAGACTCCGACTGCACGACGCCTCTGGTATGATTTGGTCGATTCTGGCCAGGCTAGGCTTGAACTGTGACAATTTCGAGAGCCAGCAAACCCTCGATCTCGAGAAGAGTAGATGCGCAACTATTGACACAGCACGATGCAGATGTTTCTATTGTGAAGCGTGAACTATGGTGGGTCTGCAGCTGATCGCCACTAGTTATGTACAGCGCCAGCGCCACAAGGCGCAGCTTCCACTCTTGCGTATGTATCACCGACACCACGATCCCACTGTCACCAGAATAGCCGTTCCTTCGTTCGTGCTATGTCTCGACCGTAATCCTGCTCCTTACCTGCACAGCTGCGTTTTTCTTTGGTCCTTTGAGTTGGGGTTGGCGTCTTACATACGGCCCAGGCTGCAGGGTCACGACAACTCGCAGCGCACTCACACCGCCGCTTACAGCAGTACCTATGTATGTAGACGGCCCCTCTGCCCGTTTACTCGATCAGAGCGACGGCCGACTGTTTCCCAGCCACAGTTAGGTAGTGTGGCGCTGCGGCGCACGTTCAGACCACGGGCTTGCTCGAGTCTAGCCTGCGGCACAGCTCAGCTCAGCCCGCGACACAACACCCAAACACCGCCTATTTCGAGCCGCGAATCCTCGTTATTATGCGGCTAACGGCAATCCTCCCATGGGCCTCAACCGCAAGCGCAAGTATAGGCGATGCGGCTGGGACATGATCCAATACAATTAGTCGAAATACTCCTGCATTCCTAGGATTACCATCGCACCGCCTCAGCCCTATGCGCAGGGAAAGCTTGGCCGGCTGACAGCTGCATCTCAGCCATGAGCGTTCAGCTCCCACATGACGGAGATTCCGAATATTTGCTCACCGTGTGAGCTTCGCTTCTCCGCCATAAGCCTTGCGGCGTCTTTGTGCGAAGCTATAGCGTGCTCAATCCCCAGACCCTGGGCATACAACACCATGCATTGTCGAGCAATCCCTTGCTCAAACTGTCATCATCGATCACAGCCATGGAGCGCTCATATCAACCGAGTCCCCTAATTACTCCCCTCGGTTCACCCGAGATCCGTATATCGCGTCCAGAGTATGCGTCAGTTCCGCAGCGCACAAGCGATGAGTCGTTCGACTCTGGTATCAACGGGCCTTCGAGATTCGAGGAAAACGTCGAGCCCGGTCTTGGTATTCAGATGAGACCTTTTGCGTCGCCGACATCACCAGGAAAGTCCTACAGCCAGCAGTCGACTCCCAAAGCTGGCATGTTCTCGTCATTTGCGCCGCTCTCACCACGGCCGTTGTACCAGAGGACGCCCGATACGCTCTACTCGTTCGGAAGTGGTATCTCGCGTGCGCGGACAGATCCCATGACAGAACGCCTCATCGCTCACAGGGCGACGCAATCTGCGAAGTGGAAGGTGCACTGGCGAACGCCTTCAGTTATCGTGTTTTCTTTCATTTTTGGTGTCCTGCTCGCGCTTGCACAGCACTTCTGGTATAAGTTCCTGCATCACCGACCTACGTACGACGAGGATGAGAAGTTCCGCTGGGTGTTGTACGGACGCGCATTGGCATATCTGTCAAAAGTAGCCTTTGGAGGGTGTTGCATTATCGTCTTTCGTCAACGCATCTGGAGGACATTCCGGCAACGGGCACTATCCGTGTTGTCTATCGATCAGCTTTTCGGTGCCTCGGACGACCCCTCTCTCTTCATCAACTGGGAGACCATCTCGAATGCCCCGGTCGCTGTTGCGATTGCTATTGTATTCTGGTTGATACCGCTTGCAACCATAATCTTTTCGCCTGGTGCGCTGACCTTTGGTGATTACCTGGAGACTAAGTCTATCAACCGTAGTGTTCCTCACATCAACTTTACGCAGGAGGCAACGAAGGATTGGCGTTACCCGGTAGCCTATAAGCCTCCTGAGGATGACCTCCTTACGCCAGGCGGAAACAAAAGATCACTGATGTATTACAATACCACCGACAAGTCTGCCACAACCCCCGACTGGTTTGACTACTACGACCAACCCTCTGCCGAGCTCAAAAGAGTGGCACTTTTGTTCAGCTACAACCTCATGAATCATTCCACGCATAGACTAAATGCACGGCATTTTGTTTGCGGAAAGGCTGACGGAGGGGCACCATTTAATTGCACCTATATGCAGATATTTGTTGCTCCAGCTTACAAGTGCGATTTGGTAGCCGATGGCATTGGCGATGACAGCCGACTGGCTGAACTCGGGGCTCCTTTCAACACATCGGCATTACTGCCCGTGGGTCGTAACGCATATCAGGCCGAAGTGCAGCTCGGCGATTACAAGCAACCTCAGATGGCGAATTTCCAAAAAGGCACAGGAGGCATCCCTATGGGGGAGATCCCAGCCGACCTGGGAGTTTTCAAGGCGGAACCTGTCCTCTGGATTGGATGGTCGACTAATTCGACAGTACCATTAGCATCCGACTCACCTCACCGACAGAACTGGACTCATCGCTTCGATCCTCACATCACCCGATGTGTCATGAACGAAGCCAAGTACACGGTCATGTGGAACTTTACTGGGCCTTATTTCATGGCGATGTCGAAGATGGAATTCCTGGGTCCTATCATAGACACCAATTTCACGCGCAATGGGGACGGGACACTCAACTACACGATGGATCCAGTCCCAGCCGAGAACTTCGTCAGGCCGCTCCCAGACGTTGGTCTGTACAAAAAGATTGCAGCCTACCATGCCATGGGAGATGTGCTCCGTCAGTTCCTTCGCGGTAGTATCGAGTTGGAACCTCCGCTACCAGGCCCTCCATATGCAGTAGTCTCCTCGGATGTGACCAAGACACGCTTAGTCGGCGTCGACAGTCTGCCGAAGAAGAACTTTGGCAAGGTACTGGAGACATTCTTTGCCGATCTGGTGCTTTCGCTATACTCGACCCCCGAGATGCTGGTTGTCGACGTCCAAGAAGTGCAGATGACGCGCACAAGGTGGCAATCGTCGTTTGTCTATGTGCCGGTGCGGTTGTGGACGTGCTATGCTCCTGTCATCTTCGTGACATTCATCATTCTTCTGTTCGGCATGTTCACAATCTGGCAGGACGGCACAACATTCTCGACTGGGTTCTCTCGCATCTTGGTCACCACACGGAACACGACCCTGGATGACATCAGCCGCGGTGCTTGCTTGGGCAACGATCCGTTCCCGATGGAGCTCATGCACACGCGGTTGAAGTTTGGAGTGCTGAATGAGGGGAGCGAGAACGAGTTCATGGGTACCGATGGCTTCCAGCATTGCGCTTTTGGAGTCGAGTCGGAGATTGCACCGATCAAACGGGGCGTGCCGTACGCTGGTCTCCGGCGGCGGAAGCAAGTTCTCAATGTAATCTGAGAAGAAGATTAATAGACGTGAGACCTCGGTCTTGTTAATAGAAGTTTGTTCGTTCAAAGACGCTCCACATCCCTCCCTACTAACAGATCCCAATCACCCCGTTCACCGGCACATCAATACTCGTCGTATAACTCGCCGCATCACTCAGCAAATACACATACGCACCCCCCAACTCCTCCACCTCGGCCAACCGCGGAATCCCCCCATAGTACTTCAACTGCTGCTCCCAGTCGGCCTGCTGCTCGACCCAATACGTCATCGCCGTCTTGACCAACCCCGGCGACACCGAGTTAACCCGGATCCCGTACTGCGCCCACTCCATCGCCAGCGTGTGCGTCATATTGCGGATCCCGGCTTTCGACGCCCCGTACGGCGCGGACGGAACCACTTTGTTCGGCCGGTGCGACGCCATCGACGCCGTGAAGACGATGGAGCCGCGCACGCCCTGTGCGATGAAGGCCCGCGCTGCGCACCGCGCGGTGTAGAAGGAGCCGTAGAGGTTCACGCCCCAGAGTTGGTCGAGTTCGGCGGTTGTGAAGTCTAGTGCGGGTTTGTGCTTGGTGCGGCCCGCGTTGGCGACCTGGACGTGTTAGCTAGACGTCGCCATTCCGCAGGGGAGGGGGGTGGGAAAGGGGGGGCAGTACCATGCCGTGCAGTCCCCCGGCCTCGGCGAGGATCTTGTCCACGGCCGCCTGGATCGAGTCTTCCTGCGTGACATCTGCCTGCACTGCGAACAGCCGGCCGGGGTACTTTTTCTCGACGGCGGCGAATTCGTCGCCGGGCGCGCCGATGTCGATGGAGTAGATTTTCGCCGCGCCGTTGGCGAGGCAGCAGTCTGCTATGCCGAGCCCGATGCCTGGGTGTCGTTAGTCCTGGGTTCTGGTGCGTGTTGGGGGCGCCGCGGTACCTCTGTTGGCGCCGGTGATGGCGATGATTTTGTCTTGTAGCTGGATTGTTTTGACCGGGCCTGCTTCGGGGACGGCGTTCATTTTGGTGGCTGGGGAGGTCATGGTGTTGTGGGGTGTCACTCTGGCGATGGTCTCATGAGATCAGCAGGCTTCTATCAAGATCGGTCCTTGGAGTCGTGGGGAAAGGAGTGAGCAAAGGTATGAGAATTCTGAATGCATGTTCGTCGTCTTTATACTTCGTGGAGCTCCCACACCCCGCATATTTCCCCATGTTGTGCCCCGTGTTGGGACGTCTTGCTCCACATCACGTCGTGACGAGCTCTGCGATGCATGGAGGACTCGTGGATTGGTGCCCCGAGACGAGGCGCACCGGCAGCACGACCGAGGCTACGCAACGCGAGAAGATCAGCAGTCAGACAACCAAAGTATACCAAACACACTCTATTGGTCAGATTCACGTCTAAGTATTTATTTTGAACGCCATCCCTGTCCGGTTCCGTACAGACGCCTAGTTGAACACCACGGTCTTGGCGCCGTTCAGGAACACGCGCTTCTCGCTCCACCACTTGACGGCGGCGGCGAGCACCTGGCTCTCGACGTTGCTGCCCTCGACGACCAGCTCGTTCGGGCTCAGCGCGTGGTCGACGCGCGCAATGCGCTGCTCGATGATCGGGCCCTCGTCCAAGTCGGCCGTCACAAAGTGCGCAGTCGCGCCGATTATCTTCACGCCGCGCTCATACGCCTGGTGGTAGGGCTTTGCGCCCTTGAACGACGGCAGGAACGAGTGGTGGATGTTGATGATCTTGCCGGACATCTCGGTGCACAGGCGGGGAGACAGGACCTGCATGTACCGCGCCAGCACGACAAGGTCGATGTTGTGCTTCTTGATGAGCTCGAGGATCTGGGTCTCCTGCTGGGTCTTGGTGTCCTTGGTGACGGGGAGATGGTGGAACTCGATGCCGTGCGACTTGGCCATGTCTGCGAACTCGGGGTGGTTGGACACAATGACCGGGACCTCGACCTTCAGCTGGCCGGACTTGACGCGGAACAGGAGGTCGTTCAGGCAGTGCCCGATCTTGGACACCATGATCAGGACTTTGGGCTTGGTGTCGACCGAGCGGATGTCGTAGGTCATGCTCATCTCCTTTGCGAGCTCGGCCATAGATGTCTGCAGAGCAGACAGCTCGGTCGCGTGGCCAAAGTGCACGCGCATGAAGAAGGTCTTCGACGCCGGGTCGGAGAACTGCTGCAGGTCGAGGATAGTGAGGTTCTCCTTCGCAAGCAGGCCTGTGACGGCGTACACGATGCCTGCCTTATCCGGGCAGGACAGAGTGAGGAAGTGATCGGAGCCGGCCATTTTTCTGGATGTTGAGATCCCTTCTGCTTCACGCGAGCCGATTTGCTGGAGTCCTACAGGCGATGTTGAGATCTGGCGGCGCGAGAGTCGTGGTGACTGTTGCGGCACTGAAATTTTATGACCAGTATTCTGCCGGTTCCGGAACGCTTGGATCGGGGCTTGTGCGTGTCGGCCTGCGATGCAAAGTGGTGATGTGGAGAAGCTTCTTGTGCTGATGCGTACTGAGCGTGCAATCATTCTAGCGGGATCTGACTGCAATTGAGACTCGGCACGTGTTTCTTCTGGGCTTTCTGCGAGTGCGATTTGAGGTTTCTGGTCCGGATGCCGAGATCGGCCGTCCAATCAGAGTCTAGACGCTGCTGCGTAGCTACTACACCTCGGCTCACGCTAGTCTTTACACCATCTCAGATCTTGGGCTTGATTTGGTGATGCAGGTTTTACCACGAAGGCCGTGTGTTGCAGCTTGAATTACTGACACATCGGATTGTAAGGAACCCTGAAGTGTATCACGCAGATTTGTTGGCAACATTGCACAGAAACTACTGACTACAGAGGCTGAGGGTGACGAGTTCTGTATACTCCCAAAGGTCGAAGAGCCATGTGTACGCTAAGAATCACATTTAAACCCAATTGCGAAGCAACGACTTCCCAGAAAGGTCGATTCAGAACGGTGCGCTCGTAGTCACACATTCCAGACAACTCACAACCCGAGCATAAGTTGGAAGCTAGAAACGACACGGCCAAGGAAGCACCCCCTCCCACTCCCTATACCGCTCGCCGCCCACCCCAGCACCCCATCCGCGTGCAAACCCTGTGCAAACCCTATACAAACACCCTACTCCACATAAAACACCTCCTCACTCTGCCCCCACCACCCGGGCCCATCCTTACTCCCCACCGCGCCCTCGACGGGGCTCTCCTGCATACCGTCCGTCATGCGCCACCACTCCTGCACCTTGGGGTTCGCAGCCATGCGCGCCATGTCTGCGTCGAAGGAGGTGCCGGTGTATTTGAAGGAGGCGAAGAGCGTGGGGCGGGGGGTGAGGGTGAGGAAGATGGAGTCTGTTTGCGTCAGCAGACGTTATACATGTATAGTATGTAATACGGATGTGGATGTGGATGGGGATGGGGGGCGGGTGGTGTAGAGGAGCTGGTAACATGAGAGGGAGAGGGGAGGGGTGGTTTTAGGGACGGGGCGCGTACAGTCGTGCACGTTGCTATCCTTGATCTGCTCCAGCACCTCGGGCCACACCGCGGCGTGGCATTTCTTGTACTCGTCAATGCACTCCGGGCGCAGGTAGAGCCATTGGCCGACGTGGCGTGGGCCCTGGTTTGTGGATGCCATTGTTATCCACGTAGAGGGAGGGACGGAAGGTTGTGAGGCGAGGAGGGGAATTCGAAGAGAACCGGCGAATGACTTTGGGAAAAAGAATTGGCGAATGTGTATTAAGAGAAACAGAATCTCCCGAGAAAAGAAACGGTTTTGAGACGTGTTCGTGGTGGGGTAGCTAACAGCTGCATCGGTTTATCTGGGGCCGAGGCGCGGGGGCAGGCGCCGAGAGGGGCTCTGGGCGAGGCTGGTCGGGGTCGAGTCTGGGTCTGGAATCAGAACTGAAATGCATGTCGAATTTGAACGTGAGGATGTGAAGATGGAGTTTTGGAATGTTGAACTTTGAACCTTGGAACCTTGACTTTACTTTTACTTGACTTTGACTTTGACTTGACTTTGACTTTGACTTTGAACTTGAAATTGAACCCGAACTCGAACTCAAACTATGTAATGATATACAGGAAATGGTATCGACCTGTCCTCTTATCGTAATCTTCTCTGCTCTCGCTTCGCGTTGAGAACGCGTCTGCTGCTGGTGAATGCTTGCGGCAACCATGCTGCACCATTCCCAGACCCCAATGCCGTCCTACAATTCAACCCGCCTCTTGAACACCACCTGCTTCAGGTGACAAACCCCGAGCATGCTGTCTCGCTGTTGCTACAACATTTAATTGACAACGTAGTCGGTGCTGGTGTCGCCAACCCACGCAAACCACACCGCGATGATGGCGTTCGCAACCGCCCAGATACCGGCGTACCCCGCGGCGCCGGTGAACTCAGCGCCGTTGAGCGTCAAGCAGCGCTGCACGGTGTTGAGGACGAGGAAGAAGCAGAGGATCCAGGTCTGCTGGATCAGGGTGCGGGTGCGGCGGCCAAAGTACCAGAAGTTGTGCTTGAGGGTGGCCTGCAGGTCGGCGGTGGTGGCATCAAAGTTAGCGACGGGGGTTGTCTGGCCGGACAGCGTCTGCGCGGCGATGGAGGGGTTGAGCAGGAAGCCCTTTGCGGCGAAGCCGGCGGTGAAGATCTTGGCGGCGACGGTGATCGGGGTCTCGAGGTGCGCGGCCTCGAGCGTCGGGATGTCGAAGTAGGTCACCAGGAAGCTGTTGAGGAGGCCCGTCTTCAGGCCGCCCCAGATGACCACGACGTAGACGCAGATGGCGAGCAGCGCGTTGGAAAACTGCACCTGCACGCTGTCGAGCAGGAAGCGGTTGCGCAGGGGGACGCTGGCGCGGTGGGCGGGCGCCCGCGAGCGCAGCAGGTAGGTCGGTATGGCAATGGACAGGACCTCAATGTTCATGTGCGCCGCGACGGTGAGGGTGGAGATCTGGTAGTACGTCGACAGGAGGTACGCGTAGGGCACGTTGGTCAGGAGCGTCAGGGCCGACACATCGTAGACTGCGCGCGTTAGCCGGCGGATGCGCGGGGGGCATCGTGTCCTTACAGTCGTAGCCGACGGCCCAGGTGGCATAGATGGTCAGCACCTTTGTGATCAGGCGCGCGACCGGGCTGAACAGGCTGTACACATCGTCGTCGGTCGGCGCCTTGCTGACGAATCCGAGCTCTGGCGGCACGAAGTTCGCGACCGTCTGCCACAGCAGCGCGTTGATGCCCAGATTCAGCACGACCAGGATGGGCACTCGCAGCGGCGCAGGAAGACGCGACCGCCGTGGCCCGCGCGCGGGGATGACTGTGGCCTCTTCGCGCTCGATCATGTCTGCCATTGCGCGTGTTTTCGCGTGCTACGCGATTGGGAAGGTGCAGAAGAAACGTGAAGGGAATGCGCCGCGTGGGCTGGTGGTGGGGTGGTGTTGTGGGAGGCTGGGCTGGAGTCGCGAATGCGCGAAGTTTGTTTGGGTGAGACGTCATGGAAGATCGTCCGTGCACCACCATTTCATCACCCATTGTTCTGCGCGTGAGAAGAGGAGACTTTTATTCAAGACATCAAGTTCGTCACCATGCCGCCGTCCTACCCAGCCGCCATACCTGTCCCGCCGTACCCATCCTCCCTATTTTACATGGCAAGGGCTTATTACAGCCAGTCCGAACTCAAACTCCCCAAACAACAATGCTAGAACCAAACAGTGAGCCAACAGATGCAGGAGCGTTCCAAGTGCTGAAATGCCTTAGTCGTCATGAAAGTAAAATCGCGATATTGTTACAGTAGAAGAAGGCCGTTACTAAATCCAAAGGTGACTTTTGTGCGGCAGAGCTTAGTTCTTGCCACCTCTCCTCTTAGGGTTGGTCTGACCGCGCTTCTTCGTGGGCGTCTTCTGCGCGTCGCCCTCGATGTACTTGAGCAGCTCATCGATGCTGCGCTGGTCGATGCCGCCGGTTCCGCGGCGAGTCTGAGAGCCGCCAACCGTGTTGGCGTGCTCGCTGACTGTGGGAGTAGCCGCGGCAGGGCGGAGAGGGTTCCTGCCCGTCAGCTGGACGCGGCGGATGCGGCCAGCAGCAATGTCGTTGATCTGCTTCTGCTGGCTGACGGCGCTCTGTGTGAGCTGCTCCAGCCAGCTCTCGGCCTCCTTGGTGTTGCGGTCCTCGGCACCGAGAACCTCCTTGAAGATGTTGTACGACTCGCGCATGCGGTTGACAGCGCCGCGCATGTCCTTATCAAGAGCAAGCGCCTGGGCTGTCTGGAACAGCAGAGTAGCCGTGTTGATCGAGTTCTTGCCGGACACATCCTCGCAGATCTTGAGAGAGGCCTCGAACCAGATGCGCGACTCGTGGTACTGCTTCATGGACTGCAGCATGACAGCAGCGTTGTTGAGGGTTGTGATCGAGTCGGGGTGGTCAGGTCCGTAGATGATCTTCCACAGCTCAAGGGCGTGGCGAACGTAGACCAGAGCACCCTTGGTGTTACCCGCGGCGTGCTCAAACAGACCAAGGTTCAGGTATGCAAGGACGGTGTCAGCGTGATCAACACCAAGCGTACGCTCGGAGACGATGACAGCCTTGTGAGCAAGCTCGAGAGCAGACGCCTTGTCCTCCAAGTTGAAAAGCAGGTTGGACAGGGTGTGGTACGCGCGAGCGACCTCGGGGTGCAGCACACCGTAGATCTGCTCGTGGAGCTGCAGAGACTCAAGGAGCAGATCCTGGCCAAGCTCCTTCTGGTCCTGGGCAACGGACATGCGGCCGGCCTCAAGAGCCTCCTCAGCCAACAAGCTCTTGGGCGAGGCCTCCTTGATGACGGGGACAACGTTCAGGATGTCGTCAGCGTGGAAGGTCTGCGCGGTGCGAGCAGGCGCTGGGCTCTCAGTGCGGGGCGGCGAGGCCTGCTTGCTCTTCTTGCCCTTCTTGCCTGAGCCTGAGTTGCCGTTGGTCTGAGCAGGGGCAGATTTAGCCGCAGGGGCGCTGGAGAGAGCCTCCTTGGTAAAGGCGTACTGCTTGCTCTCCAGCTGAATGCCAAGCTTGAGCGAGACCTCACGGAACAGCTGGAGTTCCTTGCCGGTCTCGACCCAGTTTCCGCCGAGTGCGTTGAGGTTGTAGCGGTAGCGAAGAGCAACCTGTGCGACGACCTCCTTCTTCAGGGTCTCAGGGGTAAGCTGCTCGAAGCTGAAGTCAGCCTCGGGGTAGATAGACTTGAGGCTGTTGTCAGACTCGGCAACAGGCTTGGGGTTGGCCTCTGCGCCGAGCAAGCAGTTGAAGAGGTGCGCAACACAGGCGTTGGCGAAGGGAGCAGGGATGTTGCGCAGCTTGGAGTTGGCGAAGTGCTTGAAGCCACGAGCGATCATCTCCTGGACAACAAGACGCTTCAAGGCCTGGAGACGAGGATCGGGCTTGTCAGCGAGCTCAGCGAACTTTCCGAGGTAGCGGATGTTGACACCGCGCTTGTGCAGGAGAGCGCTGAGAGACTGGCCGTCCATAGGGAAACCGACCTCGCCATCCTTGAGCTCCTGGATCAGGCGGGGAATGACCTCGGACTGCAGGTGTTCGCAGGCAGCGCGGACCTCAGCCTCGTCCTTGGACCACTCGGCCTTGTCTTCGTCAGACTGCGGGTTCTGGCCAGAGAAAACATCCGGGTTGAGTGCGAAAACGAAGCCAGAGATGTCGACGCGTTCCTGTTCTTCCGCCTTCTTCTCAGACTCAGCTGCCTCCTCGGTCTTAGCGACCTTCTTGTCGGCGGCCTTCTCGGTCTTCTTCTCGGTCTTCTTCTCGCCCTCCTCTAATTCCTCTTCGGAAGACTCCTCTTCAGAAGATTCCTCCTCGGAAGACTCCTTCTCCTCCTCGGCCTTGACTGCCGCGGGTGTCTCTCCCTTGGCGGCCTTCTTCTTCTCAAGCTCGTTCTTGACGTATTCGCGAAGCTTCATACGGCCGTAAGACTCGACAAGCTCGGGGCGGAGAGTGGCCATGCGATGAGGGTAGTCCTTCTCAGAAGTCTTGGTCTCGCCGTCCTTGGCGGGCTCGCTCCAATGGGCCTCGATCCAGGCAACATCGAGAGGAGTGAGGCGGTAGAGATCAAGGGCGTAGCGCCTGCCATCGGTGCCGATGAGTCCCTTGGTCTCAACACTGCCTTCCAGCTCGTGCCTGACGTTGTCCTTGTCCCAGACGGGGTGCTTCTTGACTCGCAGCGCCTTGGAGAGCTGCTCGAACAGAGGGACAAACGACTTGTCGTCGGCGACAATCTCCTTGCCTTCAACCGCACCGTAGTCGATCTGGTGCTCGCCAGGGTCGCGCTGCTTGAAGATACCAGGAACGATGCTCTGGCCGACAATACGCTTTCCGAGGTAATCGACGACGACGGTTCCGGATGTGAAAAGATTGGGAATGTCGAGGTTGTTTACGGCGCGGACACCAAAAACGTCCTTGCCGACGGCCACGCGAGCAGCCTCGTCGCCGCCCTCGGTGCCGAAAGTACCGACACCGTCAGCGCCAAAGGAGTAGAAGATGTTGTTGTAAACGAAGATCTGGGCATCCTTGGCTTCTGTAGGGTTGAGGGGCGCAATCTCGCCGCGGGCGACGAGCATGGCACCGCGCGTCGCGGCGTCGTTGTAGTCGGCGAACAGCTTCGACGTGAGGCGCTCGCGGAAGACACGGTCGTGGACGGCCTCCTTGGGCATCTCGCGGGTCGACTGGAACTCCTCATTCCAGTCGCGCAGAGTCTCGGTGTTCTCGACGCCCGAGATGAGATAGCTCTCCTGTGTCCGCGCGAGGTCGGGCTGGTGTGGTGTGAGGGCCGAGGTGGGGGCGGGGACCAGCCATGGGTTCGCAGGGATGGCGTTGGATAGCTGGAAGATGGTGAGCAGCTCCTTCTTGGCGTTGTGGTCCAGCAGCTGCTGGAACGACTCCTGGAAGGACGGCGAGATGGCCTCGAGCAGGTTCAGCAGCGAGTGCTCGTGGCGGGCCTTGGGGCCGTCGCGGGGCGCGGGGTCGAAGCTGGCATTCGACGACTTGTTGACGTAGAAGCCCGAGACGTGCGAGGTGATGTGGTGCTGCTCGTTCTCGTTGGTGTTGACGACCAGGTACAGCAGGTGGCCCTTGGAGCGCAGGTGGTACGGCGGCGGGTTCCACGGCGACACGGCGATAGACTTGATGGTCTTGGGCGCCGGCTCCTGCACGGGCGGCAGCAGCTTCTGCACAGCGCCGCCGGCCTGGAAGTCGTAGTCGGCCAGAGGCGACGGCTCAGGGCCATCCTCCTTGGGCTTCCCCGCGGGCTGGTCGATCCCCACTGTGTCGTGCAGCGAGACGCCGGCCAGGATGCCGTGCAGCGCATCGGTGCGGTCGCCTGCAGCGCCAATCAGCTCGCGCACGCGGATCACGTGTAACCGCGCCTCCTTCTCCGTGTATGCGTCCTCCACCAGGGTCAGCACCGAGTCGGCCTTGAGGCCCTCGACCTCGGACAGCTCGACGTAGTCGTTGATGCGCTTGCCGTCGTGCTCGAGGTGGAAGCACGAGTACTGGAAGGTGTGCGGCATCTCGATGATGGACTGGCGCAGGTCCTGCACCTGCTCGGCCGTCGAGATGGTCATCTGCACCTCGAACGGCTCGTGGGGCAGCTTCACGGAGATCTGGAAGATGCCGTTGCTGCCCTCGTCCTCGGCCTGCGCGGGCGCGCCATTGGCGTTCGCGTCCTCGACAGGCGCGGTAGCCTCTGGTGGTGCGTCGTCGTTAGCCATGCAGTGCTGGGGCCAATGGGCGCGGCGACAGTCTCTGTTTGTGATGATGTCGACGCCGTGTGGGGGAGAGCTCACCAGGCTTGGTAGCGTCAGACATATTCTATCAGCACGAGCGCTGCAGCAGCAATTACTTAAAAGAGCGGCCGCAGAAAGAAGGAACGGATGGGTTGATGAGATAATATACACGAGCGGCGCTGCAATGTACAATGGCGCCCTCTGAGATGGATCGGTGTTGTCTTCTCCAGCACGCCGGCGAAAAAAGTTCGCTCCCATGCATGCCGGCTATTCCCGCTAAGACATGTACGCCGCCAGCCCTCAGTTCTCAGACGAGAGACCAGGGTCCTGCCGAATAACCGCCCCATCAGCAGCCTGGTGGATCGCCATGCAGCTGGCCTGGGGCAGCGCAGCCTGAGCTTTTTCTGAGTGCGTGCGAGTCCTACGCTCTGTACTCCCACCGCCGCAGCGTGTCCAGCGTCGTGATGCAGTACTCATGTCGTTGCCCTAGCACGCGGGCAGCTTCTTGGCCCGCACTGGCCTGTTTTGAGGTGAGCTTGCACGCGGCGCCGTGTCCACACTGCTTCATCGAAGCTTTGAGCTGCCATCACCGTGCATCTGTCCTCCGGCGCGATCCCGTCGTTCATTTCGCTATTGTCCCTTTCCCATAGTCAATTGAGCGTCTGGACCGGCCTCGACTGCAACGTGTGCCCTCACGCGACTGCCCGGCCCGGCGCGCCATAATGTTAATACTGCGGCCTGTCTTGAGGAGCGTCATCGCGCGGACCCAGATCGCCAGCAAGCAATCGCCCTTCCTGTTCCGGATCCAGCAGGCCGGTCCTGCAGCCTTACAGCGCCCGCTCCCTCGATGTCTCAGCGGCCAGTCTGGGCCGCCGACACCCGGCAACGACACCCCCAACCCTGTCGATGATGCCACCGAGAACCAGGAGGAAGAGGATGAAAGAGAGGCCAAGAAAGAGAAATGGAAAGGTACGGCCTTTAAGATGTTCGAGTCCGCGGCAACCACCGGCGCGAGCATCTTCATCCTAGCTTGTGTTGGCATCACTTACACCAAGTACTACAAGTGGAATGTCCTCGAAAAGATGGAGAACGCGTTCAGGGAAGGCGATCCGGTGCTCGAGCTCGCTGCGACTGGTAAGGAGATTCCCAGAGACCCTTCAAACAAGGAGATTGAAACGGGCGATGATTATTACGACCGATGGATACCACGTGACGAGCAGGACAAGATCAATAAGATCATCAGCGGTGAGATCAAAGGCCGCTACCACTTACTCCTCGGCGAGAAAGGCACTGGAAAGAGCTCCATGCTCATCGATGCCATGTCCAGGACCAACGGCGAAGGATGCTCGATGATGGAAGCACACGCCGACCTGGAAGTCTTCCGGGTGAGGCTCGGACGCTGCCTCGATTTTGAATACCACGAAGACAACATTGGCTCCCTGTTCTCCATCCGAGGCCCTCGCGATGCTGGCGCCATCCTTGACATCGAACGCGCCTTCAACAAGTTCGAAAAGGTTGCCCTCCGTCGACGCGCAAAGAAAGGCAGCCCGCTAATCCTCATTATCAACCAAGCCCACCTGATACGCGACGATGAAGACGGCCGTGATCTCCTCGAACTCATCCAGCAACGTGCTGAACAATGGGCTGCATCCAACCTCGCAACTGTCATCATCAACTCGGACAAGTACTGGGTCTTCGAGCGCCTAAAGCAGTATGCCACGCGTATGGAAGTGCACCAGATCAAGGACCTTACCAAAGACCGCGCGATGCAAGCTCTCCGCAACTACCGCATGAAGTACTGGAACGAGAAGACATCAAACAGCGTGCTTGAGGAAGTGTACGACAAGATAGGAGGCCGTCTGACCTTCCTCAACCGCGTGGCCAAATCCGACGACATGCTCGCCAAATGCGATCATATCTGCGAGATGGAAAAGATCTGGTTCCTAAACAACTGCGCAATCCTCGGTGAAGAGATGGATGACGACGTCATGGACCAGCAGAAATACGCCGTAAGTCATGGAAACTCCCATCACCTTCCCCTCAACACGCCCTTCTACCGTAAGTCCGTAACCTGACCCTCCCAGTCCACAGCCATGGTCCTAGCAAACGCCCTCTACCACCGCTACCACGACATGGAAACGACCTACGACCCGCAACGCGGCCACATCCTGCCCGAATTCCCGCTCCACCGCGCCCGCTTCATCATGACGCGCTCGGACTTCATCCGCCAGCACCACGAGCTCAGCATCTTCGCCATCGACTCGCACGCCATGGTGCGCGCCGACTCGGTCCCCATGCAGCGCGCCTTCAACGAGATCTGCAGCGAGCCCGGGTTTGAAAAGTTCCTCGAGGCCACGCTGGACCGCATCTCTGACATTGAGAGTCTCGGACGTACGAAGGAGCTTACGTTTAAGGATTTGTGGGAGGGCGGGAAGTACAAGCTCACTACGAGAAATAAGGCTGGAGAAGAGACGGGCAGTGTGGAGATGGAGACGGTGGAGAAGCCGGATGGGGGAGACGAGGACGGTGAAGAGGACTGAAGAGGAGGTGGGCTTGGTGGTCTCTTTGTGTTTTTGCGCTGGTGCTGGTTAGACGGTGGATATACCCGTCTCTTGTGCCCGGTTTTCCTTTCTCGTTTCTTTTCTTTCATTTTCCTTGCTCAATCACGCGTGTACAAACTTGATCCAAAGGTGCTGGGTTCGCCGAAAAATGATTGTCCAGTCACTCAACATCACACTCAGTTTGGAGTGAGTCCGGAGCTGACGCCGTGTGGTGTGGAGACGAAGAATCGTGTTCACGCGGATGATGAGGGGTTGACGTGAGGGTGAGACGAGTGCTCTGTGGGTGCATGGCAGTGTTAAGATGGTCCAACCCACATCTTTCAATCTGGAATCTGAGCCGTGAGAGCGTCGTCGGAAGCGTACAGAACAATCAACAGTCGATCTGGATACATCAGCCCCATGTCTCTCGCTGCTACCTGGATGCCCCTCGCCATCTCGCAGATATTCCCATCGGCTGCCCACACTCACATTCACTGTTCGAGGAGTTACCAATCAAAGCTTCGCCCTCGTTTCTCGTCGCTGATCAGCGGGATCTATCCCGCGCCTGTCTCATGCTGAGCACGGTCTCAGTGAAGGTCTTTGAACACAACACACCTTCACTTGCAGTCTCTGCACACTAACAAGTAGGAACGCGCTTGCTCTTATGCTCACCATTTGACTCCCTCTCCAGTACACCACACCACATACACAAACATGCTCCTGTTGGATCTACCTCCAGAGGTATTCGCGCGCGTCGTCACACACCTTGTGACTGGCGCGGGTATCATCGTCGCATGGAAGCATCGCAGAGTGTGCCGTAAGCAGTGGCCGATCACATGCCATCCATGGGTTTGACACCAAACCCTCTGACCCCAATCCAGGCACCTTCCGCCGAGCCATCGAGTTTGAGACGCTCGCGAACCAGCCCATCCGAGCGTTCCTCAAGACCAAAGAAGCCAGCGCCCGCAGCATACTTAAACAGAATGCTGCTCTCTACATCAGCTACCGTCTGACCGTCGAGAAGAACGCATACACATTCCTCCCGCGTCTCATGGGCAAAATCTGCAACATCGTATGCGCCCCCCTCCCAGCAAACGCCTACGCAGCCCGTAGACAGCACGCCCGCACCCTCTGCCGCCTGCTCGTCAAAGAAGGCGGCTCCGACGTCCAACACCTCCTCGTCGTCAAGTCCCCTGAGCTCTCATCAAAGTTCACCCACGTCATCCCCAAATACACCCACACCAAGCCCTCCAACATCGTCGCCGCCGCCGCCGCAATCGGCAGCCTGGCCGCGCTCCGCACCGCCCTCGCCGGCAACTTAAACCGCATGTTCGACACCTCGCCGCTCTTCGGCTGCCCGCTCGCCGCCGCCGCTGCCCACAACCACTTCCCCATCGTCGCCGCCGCCGTCAAGCACCTCGAGGCCCAGCACCCCCGCAAGCCCGTCGCGTACTACGAGTGGCACATCGGCCACGCCGCCACCGCCGCGCTGGACCACGGCCACGCGCCCATCGCGCTGCTGCTGCTCGACGTGCTGCACGCGTACGGGCTCTCCGTGTCGCGCGACGCGTGGGAGCACTGGATGGCGCGGGCGCTGAGGGCGCGCGACGCGGCGCTGGTTCACCGCGTGCAGGCGCTGATGCACTCGAGTCGGCGCGCGGCGATGAATGCGTTCACCGAGGCGTGTGCGGCGGGCGACGTCGGCGCGGTGCGGATGTTTGTCCACGAGGGGTTTGTGTCGGTGCACAGCTCGTGGTCGTACAGCCACGGGCTGACGCCACTGCAGGCCGCCGTCGCATCGAAGAAGGTCGATGTCGTGGACGCCGTGTTGCAGCTGGGCGCGGATCCCAACGGGGGCGCTATGGACGATTCGCAGCGACGGCCGCTGTGGATGGCAGTCGAGAGCAATGCTGAGGCGGTTGTGCAGATCTTGCTGAGGTACGGGGCGGATCCGATGTTGGTCAAGGAGCCGTGGAATGCGAAGACCAAGGCGTGGAAGGCGGCGCGGAACAGGATCCTGTTTTACCTGGTCACCGCCGAGACGAGGCGGGCGGAGTACGTGCGCGCTCCTGAGCCCGTTACGTGGTTTGCCGCCGATGCGCCGGATCTGGTGCTGCCTGTCGAGGCTGACGAGGACACCATGGTGCTGGACTAGGGAGGAGACAGTGGTTGCAGATTCGGAACTCAGCAGTCTTCCGGCAATCTCTGTGTGCTGATACGATACGAAACCTCGCCAGCGACTCCTCAGCATAATTCATAGACCAACCTTTAAAAGCCCAAAATACCCACAACTCTACCATAAACCCAACGTATCCCTCATCGCCTACCCAACTCTGCTGTCCCGTAGTCCCCCCTCCCCCTCCCCCCATCTTCCACCCCCGTCTCCCCACAGTCTATCGCAGGAGAACACGTGAAGCTCCTCAACCAACACTCGAAGCTCGCGGAGCTCCTCGCTCAATTTCGTGAAGCTCCCCAGAAGCGTTTCTTTTTGGTGTGCGAGCACGCGATCTGTGACCGAGACGCTCCCGGGAGCTGTAGCTCTCCATACGGTTCATCCCATCTGACCTCGATAAAGATCAAGGATTCAACATAGCGATCAAAAGACTGGATATGTTCACGTTTATGTGCGTGCCATGTCACATTTTGTCATCAATGGATACAAACTTGATTCTTCTGAAAATATTCTGAGATGGCATCGAATAGTAAGGAAGGGGAAGCATCGCCTCCGTTGCCGCTGACTCCTGCCCAGCAATCCGAATCGCTGGGGTGGACAGGTGACTACCTGAGCGCATTGTGTGTTTCTAAGTTTCTGCTTCGCGCGTGGTCTGCTTCTTCTCGCCGGAAACCATCGCAGCTTCTTCGTCGTCAGCGACGAAGTTGTCGGTGTTGGGCTCACCAGGTCCGTCGTCCATCTGCGTGTGGGGCCTGTTGAAAGGTTACTGCGACTTGACTCAGTTCAAAGGTGCTAGGCGTCACGTCACGGCGTTTGGTTCTCTCACGCAAGACAGCTGTAACAAGAGCTAGAAATGTGTTGCCTTAACACAACATTAGCTATATTTAACTGTCATCATCTATCTGTCTTAAAACCACAGAACAACGTTAAGAGTAAGAAATAACAGGAACTTTGTAACATTGCATTAGTGTTATTAAACAACCATATGGCAATTCATCTGTCCTCCCCTGAACACGAACAACTCATGTACATAGAATCCTGCTCACAATCTCTGCCCTTGCCTGTAGATTACTACCCTGGCCACAGTCTAGTCCACCAACCTATTCTTAACCCGCTAAATGTACTTAACTATTAAGCAGAAGGTGCGCCTCAGCGTTAGTGCACAAAATTCATCATAGACGTTGACATGTCTCCAGTTGTGAATGACCACACCCATCAGCTGCACGTTGTCAACAAGGTAAGTAGCCAGATTGAATGCCCTCCGCATGCCATCTGTAGCAGTAGTAAAGAGTGTAACTCAATATATGCCCAACCTATCTGATGGCTTAATCAAAGCATACACAGAATGCGGAGCTTCAACAATTTCAACATAGTCTTCATCAATCTCCAAGGCAATAGGTAGGTCGCGGTTCTCTGACATAAACTCAACCAACTCGTAGTATGGAGCGCCAGGCTCAAAGCGAGAGTTAGGGTGGAAGAACAACTTGCTAACAGCTATAGCATTGCGGAAACAAGGGTCGTCGTACGGTAGGTCACCTCGCTGCGGCGTTGAGTCGCCAGGGCCATGTGGCAGAAACTCGCGGCCTGCGTAAGATAGACCTGTGCCAGTGGCATCTTGGAGCATTGCCTCTGTTGGCAAGAGTCGTTGAACGCGGGAAGGTCCTTCCAGTCTATGCTGCCATCCGTCTCCAAGAGGAATGCGGTATAGGCAATATCCCATTTGCGGATTTGTGCGTACACGTTCTTGGTTTCGTCGGGGATATACGCATTGTGTCGGATGGTGGGGTCTGGGAGGGATTTTAGGTTCGTCAATACGTCCCGTTTATAGAACAGATAAAGGTTGATGTGGTCAAGAATGACTGGGAGACGCTGCGTGAAGAGTGTCTGGTAGTTGAGATCCTCTAGTAAAGTCCTAGACCTTGTCAGTGCACGTTGATTCGAAAGACTGTTTGGATACATACTTGATGTCCACGACAGCCGCACTTCTATAGAAGTGCGATGCGATCACATCGGGTGTGAGGCGGTGGCGCCAGAACTCCAGGCGATCGGCCTTCGCCCGACTGGGGTAGGGAAGAAGCTCTGCGTATCGTAGCTCGGCAAGGGAAGCAAAGACCTCGGGGTCGAAGACGGATTGGACGTCGTGCTCTGCAAGAGGCTGCCAGAGCGCCTGCTGGCGTTTAGCATATACATTTGTGTCTGCGGATTCGCTAGCAGAGATAAGATGTCGCTTGTACATTCGCTTTACGTCTGCCCGCAGTGTGCTGATGCCCTGCTTCAAAGTTTCGATCCGGGCCAGGCGCGTTGCTTGAGCTTCGGTGGTCTCTTGGGCCGGGGGAAACTTCTCGAGAGCTGCAAGGTCTAGGGTCCAGTTGGTGATCTTTACCACGACCTTTTCTTCGGTGGCTTCACCATCGGCCCAGAGTCGGAGTGTGCTCTGCGGTCCATACATCTCATTCATGATCTACAGTCGTCAGTTGCGCTTGCTTGAATGTACACGCGCTGTCTTACATCTTTGCAGATTTTGTTGAAGCCGCCGCCCTTGTCCCACGATGGTGGAGCGGAGATGTTCTTGACATAGCCGTGCCTGATGGCATTTGCTCTGGCCAGCTTCTTTGCCTCTGGGGCCCCACGAGGTTGATCTACAGGCGGCTCGACGAAGCAGCCGGACTCTCGGATCGGGATGATCTCTATTTCGTCTCTGGTCTCGAGCATAGCGAAGTGAATATATGGCGGCTGCCTGGGCGCAAGGTTGGTTGGTTGTGTGACGGGCATACTTTGGTACCTTCGTGTAGTAGTGTCGCCACAAAAGATGATGCGATGTTAGCTGTTGTCGATGTGTAAGAGGTGAGTGTATGTGTGGGGGTCTTATATATGATGGACACCTGCCGCGCTAGTGGTCGTTGCAATGGACGCTAGCCGCCGCCTCTCACCTCTATGAGGCATCTATACCAAAAGGTTATTGGCGTTTGCAGCAATAAAGCATAAGGTGTTGACCGCAGGTCAAGACGCAGGCAACGTGATGGATTGTACATCGCCACATTGACCCGCTGTAAGCTCTATGGCGACACGGAAATGTGACTGCAGATTCAGAAATACGATGCCGTCTTATATATTTGAGTGAGCTCTGCCTGGTCCTCCCGCCGCAAACTGCCTTTACCGTCGTTTGTCTGCAAACCAAGCGGAAAGAGATGCTAGCTATTTCTGGCAGGAGCTCGCAGATTTCTGCCCTTGCAGCAATCATCAAAACACTGTAGATACTCCCAAAGCGAAGGTAGCATACTCACAACTGAGTTTCCGACGTAGCGCTGATGCAACAATAGCGTTGGGGACAGTGACATCGTTTCAGGTGCTGGAGACGTTGGAGGGCTAAGAAGAGACTCCCTGGGCCTCAGCGGCATGGATACTGGGAGACCAAATAGATAAACTGAGGTGTATGATTACGTCAGTGCATACTGTGCGCATATGTGCCGGGTGGTCATCGATGACTATATTGTCATCGACTGGAGGCTCGGCGGGCATCTCGACAACGACGGCAGGTATAATCAGCGTCGACAGCCTCAGTGATGTTGGGATCATCGGCCTCCTCAAAATCTTCAGCATCATCAATAGCCTCCTGCTGCTCCACTCTCCTTGCCTCTTCAAGCGCTCTCAGCTCCTCGTTGTCCAGTCCCTCAGTGAGAATATCCAAATCTTTGCGAATGTCGTGAAGCTGCTCATCGGCTACCACGCTGAAGATCTCGGGGAAGGGTCTACGTGTAGCCACCAACCACATCTCTGCATCAGCGCGACACTCGTTTGCATCATTCCAATCCGTGATAACGCTTTCGAGTAGGATCATAGTTTTCATGCGATAGTATCTTCGATTATGTCAGATATTAGAGCTTACGACATAGGTTAATGGCACTTACAACGGACATGTAGCATCATCCAGGATATTCCGTCCCAGGGAAACACACTCATCGCTTTCGCCGACATTGCATAAACGAAGAGCCTTTCTGAAGTCATTAGTCAAGTTCCTCTTAACGATGATATTGTCGTTCATGTTTTTCGATGTCGTCAAGACTGCGTTGCGGTGCTGGTGAGATGATAGCCGGGAGAGCAAACATCTAAGTGAAGGTGCGCACGCTAGGTCCTTCTGTTTCGGGACAGAGTAAACAAGAAGAGAACGAACATGTGAACATTGCCCTACTCACGCAACTGCGATCCTACAGAACACTATTCCTCAATACTTAAACCTCATCTGATTTGCCAAAGGGGAGGCGCAAGACGACTGGCGCCGCTACCTCCAGCGGACCATCCAGGTCAAATCCAAAGGCACCGGCCAAGACCAAACGCGACAACAACAGATGAGACGGTACTATCGCCACGGAAGACAGTCTCAAACTTCTGTCGGAAGAAGGAGAAGAAGCAGGGTACAAACACAAAGGAAAGGGTGAGAAGAGGAGCCAGATCCCCCCGGTGGCTCGCCAATCTATTCGCCCAGTGCCTTGAGTTTGCCTACCGAGATGAGCAGCTTCAAAGCAGATCTTCCAATTAAGCTGGACGACTCCACGCTCGCGCTGAACCGTTGCTTTGCTGTAATCAAAAAGAACTTTAGAAGCATCCTTTGTACACCCTGCACCTTGATCGCGCTGAACATATCCTGGATTTGCCGCCCCGCGATCCTGAAAAGCGAATTGGTAGCTCAGCAAGGAGAAGTCAGTTTATGCAAACATGCAACAGCTGACGGCTCAGTCGTCGAGGCATGGCGACTACGCATACAACACCTGCGACCCCAAATACACGGGTTAAGACCGAGTAGAGCTGTTCCGATTCCCTGTCTCTGTACTAAAGACTGCAATCCTGCAAAGGACGGCAGTGCGTGCGACAAATGCACAAAACAGGGCCTATAGCCGCTGCAGAATATGTACGCCGGACAAAGCTTTCGAAGACTCAGGGCTCTAACATCATCACAAAGACGATATGCAGTGACAGGGGCAAGGTCATCGAGCTCGGCAAAATTAAGGTGGATATTATGAATCGCTTCCCCTATCCGCTCGATATCAGCTCCTGGGCCGTCCACGAGGCTGCATCAGCCAAAGCCGCTGTAGGTGCACAGCCATCGCACGCCAGAAAATATGTTGACACGGTCAGCGTCATCACATGGAATCTTCGTCATCATACCGAGCTTGAGCTCAGTAAGATGGGGGTAATGAAGAACGGCAACCTTGAGTCCGTCTGGACGAAGAGTAGATACGGTTCGGGTCACGTTCAAGCACTGAGACTTGAGGGTAAGGCAGGCCTGAGACATGGCGGACCTAAAGGCGTGTGGGCTCATCTGGGGTCGAAAGACCGCAAGATCACCAAGTTAGCCGCAGAGGACTCCCTGAAGCTCGAGGTCAGCATCCTGGTCAATGGCCTCGACATGGACAGGATCAGTCGGCTACCGGACCTGAAAGATCTCCATGTCTTTACACTGGACCACCACGACGACCCAGATACTACCAAAGGGCTACTGTTCGCCTGTGCGAACGTGTTCTGTCCAGACTGATTGAATACATCTGCTCTCATATTTCAGAAAAAACGGCAGATGAGCAACCTTCAAATTGATCGTCTTTGATACACGACTTGTAGCTATCATAACACCTGAAGCGGAGATTTAGTTAACGATTACCTACATTGTAGGTAAAAGAACATTCTATACAGTTTTTTGGTGTCTTCCCTACCTTGCTGTCGTGTGGTGTACTTGGCTCACATCCTAGTGTGTGTGACTTGCCTCGAGTATCTCGTGAGCCTTACGTCTTGGAGCTCTTGTTCGATGCAGTGAAGTCAAGTTTCTTGTACGTTTGGCGTTCACGCATCAGACCTTAACGGATTCCAAGGATGCGGAATCGCGTGGCTTGATTCATTAAGATGCAGCGACGGGAGCACAGCAGCGAGCTCACCGGGTCTAGAGTGCCATGAGGCGACTGCTTAAGGGCGATTGTGGGCGTCGGGGGTGTATGGCGCAGATCAGGTGGCCGTCTTCGGGAAGGGGGAGGGTCGGCTGCACTGTTCGACTGGTGCTTGTTCGACTGGTGCTTGTTCGACAGGCGCATTCGAAGCGTGCTTAGCTTTTCAGTGGCTGCTTGCATCGTAAGCCAAGCAGCGCAGTACTCACTTCCTTACTCTGCGTGGTGAGACGTAGGTGACTCACTCAAGACTTGCTCCAAAGCAGAACTGGCAACGAAAAGCACCTGATGGGCAGCGGACCGGGCTTTGCTCATGAGAGGTCATACTTGCTTCTTGTTGGGTTGCTCGCCATTGGGCATCCGCCTGTTGCTGACTCTGATCTGAGGAAATCGAGGGTTGGTGTTCAGAAAGGCTCTTGAGTCGAGAGCAACGCAGCATTTGCGGTTCTGTGACCAAGTCGTAGAGTTGCAACTGAATCGTCTCTACACGGTGTTCATATCGATACTTTCCGACATCCTTCACGACACGGTTCACGGGGTGAAGTAGGCAACGCAAACAGAATTGTTGCGAGAAAAGGGAGAGCCCCTCCACACGACAACGAGGTGACGAGCAACAGTCTCCTGGAACAACACAAACCCCTCAACCACAGCGGTCACTACCCATGTGACCCTAGGCCGTCTTGGCGACATGCACCCCAAGCCGGAGACAAGCGGATGCGCACACTCCCCTTGTCAGTACATGTACTCCAGACTTCCTTTTCGGAGATCGACGAAGTCGCCACAGGGAGTGCGGCACCAACGCGGTCAATTGCATGCAAGAACGTGGGTAGAACGGTTGAGCGCCTTACAGCGTTCACCCGGCGGGGTCGAGCAGCGTGCCACGTTTTCGAGGATTTGCCGCCCGGAGTGGTGTTGAGAGAGGCACCGATAGGTCGATGCTGGATTCGTCAGAATGGCGGAACGTGCGGATACTTCTGTATGCCCAGACTTGCGCCACTCAGCGCCAGTAGAGATGCGTGGTGGTGCGCCGAGCACTTTGGAGTACACAGTACATATGGTGAAAGCTCCGCGGCGGCGTTGGGCGCGGGAGGGCGAGCGCAGAGGGTTGAGTTTGTGTATTGTCCTCGTTCAAATGTGCACAATAGTAGAGCGCGGGACTGTGTGCAAATGTATACCATCTGACCCCACTGCTGAGGCGCGTGTGTGCTCGTCTTGGAGTCAGTGTTGATACACGCTTTGGCCTGCTTTCCAAGGATCAACCATTTTCCTTGAAAACCGAGTTACGAGCGACAGGATTGTGTCGGTGAGCCAGAAAACGGTCAAGTAATAGGTCTCCAGAAGGTCAGTGAATAAGTATGTGTCTAGCAATCCATTCGTCTTGACTCGTTGTGCACATTGGGCGTCTTGCACGTCTCATCAGACCGACCACTGGCTTCGTCTGGACAGCTGGAATACGGGGATGCATACACACCCCCAGGGTTGTTTACAAAAGCAGCCCAATTCCCAGCAATCCCTTGCCAAGGACGGCGGCGTATGCTCATTCGGAACATTCTTCCTGCACGAACAATTCAAGCAAGCCTCGGCGTGCCGTAACCTTGTTTCCCAGATCTAGGTTGGCCGATACTTGCCTGGGTCTCCCACCGTTCCGGGTTATTCTCTCGTCCAGAGATTGGGGTCGTAATTGTTGGAGAAGTTGTGGAGAGTTCGTGGAGCGTGGGGGTCAGGCGTTGGCAGATGCCGCTAAAGCTGTCGCCGAAGAGCCGCACGAGTCAAGCCCGATGGCGCTGCTTGGGATGCTTGGTCTAGACGAACATTGAACAACAAGTGTAGGCATGTTTGATGCAGGTACATCTGATGCTCACCTGATGGTAGAGGATGCTCACGCCGATCAGGCTCCTCGCAACCCATAAATGCCACATGCGGCAGCCTGTACCCGTCATGTCAAGTCGCCGACCGTAAAGTCCGGAGTCCCCATGGCCCCTCGCGTCTCGCCATCCGATAGATTGCGGAGCCTAGCAGAGCCTCAAGTGCGAAGGATAAATGTAACCCCACACGAGGCGGTAAGAGCGTGGGGTTTCACCTCCTGTGCGGCAAATCAGACTGCACGGAAGGCCGAGGTCGCAACCTCCAGAGCCTCATCCGACCTTCAGCCGCGGCGGCACGGCGGGCCAGCGACATTAGTGTCGTCTGTTTGCATGCGGCTCAACAAATCTCGTACAGATGGACTAGTGCTGCGTCGAACCTGAATGGTGAGGTGGCAGCGCATTGCATGAGGGTGGCAGCACTTCCAATTTCAAGACCGCGGCAATAGCAGGATGCCGCTGCAAAACCCGACGCTGAACGCCTGCACGACTCACGCACTCAGCACAAGAGTGCGGGCGCGAGACGAATGGGCGCACGCGACTGTAACCAGGGCACGCCGTATCCAGCGGATCGGCAACGCCGTTGACGTTCGAACTCCCCGCATTTTGCACCTCTCCCAAACAGGAAACGGCCGCTCTGTTTCATAGGCGCGTGCCGTGCTTGGCCACCAGGCCTTGGAAAATTCTGCCCAGCGCGAGATGAGTGATGTAAGAGCGAACCGAGAGCGTGGGGTAGGTGTGGTAACAACATGGAGGTCCCGCAAAAACAGACACTGGGGTCGGCATATGGGCACGGAGACAGGCGCCTCCGGCTAAGGGTATAAGAACGGAGCGGCGCCTACCATGCAAAAAACACGATTTGACGTTTCGAAGTCGATCGCACTTCTTTGATTGTGGTTGTTCTCACAATGGCCGACATGAAGAAAGACCTCGAGATGGACTCCCAGGGCCATGAGGTTGCGCCAAACCCGGCCCGTGGTGGTCTTGCTGCCAGCATGACACCGGAGAGGAGAGCGGAGGTGGAGAAGAAGATGAAGCGCAAGCTCGACATGCGTTGCTCGCTGTTCGTGGTGATTTACATCATGAACTACCTCGACCGCAACAACATTGCTGCTGCCCGTCTTGGTGGTCTGCAGGAGGACCTCGGCATCGACAACACTCAGTATGCGACATGCTTGTCTATTCTGTACGTCGGATACATTCTGATGCAGGTTCCATCCGTAAGTTCAAATGCCGACCATCGCACTGCTTATTCTAATACATTCAGAACATGATCATCAACAAGATTCCCCGTCCCTCCATCTACATCGGCTGTGTCATGCTCCTCTGGGGCATGATCTCGACCCTCTCTGGAAACGTGAACAACTTCAGCGGCATGGTCGCTATCCGTTTCTTCATTGGATTTGTTGAGGCTGCCTTCCTCCCCGGTGCTCTCTTGATTTTGTCCAAGTGGTACACCCGCCGCGAACTCACTCTCCGCAACGCCATCCTCTTCTGCGGTAACCTCATTTCCAACGCGTTCTCCTCCCTCGTCGGTGCCGCCGTTCTCTCCAACATGGAGGGCACTCTCGGCCACCGTGCGTGGAGGTGGCTCTACTGGATCGAAGGTGCCGCTACAATGGCCATCGCCATCGCCGCGATCTTCATCCTGCCCGATCTCCCCCACAACACACGCGGCTTTACTGAAGAGGAGCGCGCCGTTGCCGTCCTGCGCATGACTGAGGATGTCGGAGAGGCCGATGAGGATAGTGCCGAGGAGTCCATTTTCGCCGGTCTCAATATGGCCATCAGGGACTCTAAGATCTACGTCCTGATGCTGACATTCACCGCCTACGTCGTTGGACTTTCTTTCAATGCGTTCTTCCCATCTTGTGAGTATATTCTATCCTGTTTTCTGGTGTTTTACTGACCAAAATAGTGACCCGCACTCTCGGCTTCGGCTACATCACCACCCTGCTCATGTCCGCTCCCCCGTGGGCGTTCTCCTGCATCGTCTCGCTCATCAACGCGTGGCACGCCGATCGCACGCAAGAGCGCTTCTGGCACATCGTGGGCCCGATCTGCATCGGCCTCGTCGGCTTCGTCATCTCCATGGCTACCACCAACACCGCCGGTCGCTACGTCGCCCTGTTCCTGCAAGCCTCCGCCTACGCCGGCTTCATCGTCTTCTACTCGTGGATCTCGTCCTCGTTCCCGCGTCCCCCCGCCAAGCGCGCCGTCGCCATCGCCATGGTCAACGCGTTCTCGCAACTCGGCAACATCGCGGGCTCGTACGTGTGGAACCTGCCCAGCAACGGGTACCGCGGCAGCTACGGCATCGTCACGGCCATGTTCGGCGTTACGATTGTCGGCTGCTATGTGTTCAAGCTCATTCTGCAGAACCTCAACAAGAAGCTGGATGCGGGCGAGACGGCCTGGGAGACGCATGGCGATGTTGCGGAGCACACGGCCCAGATGGAGGGTATGACTGTCGAGGAGGGACAGCGCCTGATCAAGGGCTACAGGTACCTTGTGTAGAGGGTGGTACGTGGTGCGCGCGAGTGGATGCGCGAGATAGTTTGCTATATACCCATACGCATAGAACGAGTTTAATGACTTCCATCACAACTGTCTCGGTGTCTTGTGAAAATGTGACGCTTGCACTTGTGCTACACCCGAGACGTGCTAATGGCGCGCTTTTGCTGATGGGTCATAGGATCCCTAATTTGAGCTTTCTTTGAGAACTTAGAACCACCGCGTAGAAAACGCAGGTAACTTAGCATACGTTGAGGGCGGAAACAACGAATGACATGATCTCTAACGATACCTCTTCGGTGTTTCAACCTACAATATGATGTCGTACACCACATGATTTTACTTAGTGGCTAATGTTGGATACAACTTTGGTAAATACTACCACTCCGACCTTCGCTTAGATTATCCTTTGGTTGAGTGAGTAGGGGGTGACCCATGTCAAGGACTTCACAGATGGACGTAAAGGATCGAAGTGGCAAAGGAAGCTGCAGTAAGTTAAGTATTCCAGCACGTACAAACACGCAAAAATGCCGGGTTCAGAAGTTGACATCACAGTTGATCACGTAGAGATGGATGGGCAAAGTATGTATTTCATAATCTGGCTATGTACATTGGGATTAAGAATATATGCAGAGCTGGCTCGAGCTGAGTTCACAAAAGGAGAGTCGCGCTCTCGGCCAGCTCAAGGGAGAGACGCACTGCTTTAGTAGTGGCCCTTGTCGTCCTGCGCCGAGTTAGCTACCGCATTGACATGTTGGAAATGCGCAGTAGGTTCGTAGGAGCTAGGGCGTGGCCTCAACTCACCTTGTAGTCGTCATCATCGTGGTCGTTCTACCTCAGTCAGTTGCTGTGTACAGTGAAGAGATGGAACGCGGTCTTGACTCACCTTGTCATCGTCATCGTCGTACTTGTCGTCCTTGCCCTTCTTGCAGTGCTTGTACTGGGGCTTGTACCACTTGCACTTCAACTTGTACTTGAGCTCGTCCTTGTTGTAGGCCTTGCAGCCCTTGTAGTCGTCGGAGTAGTGGCCAGCGGGCTTCTGGTGGGCGCAGCTCTTGTCATATTTGTTCCAGGTGGGGGATGGGGCTGCGAGAGCGACAGCGCTCAAGGCCGACAGGAGAATGACGGAAAGCTTCATGGTTGATGATTGGATTGTTGGAAGTAGATGAGGAGTGAATGAAGTTGGAAATGGGATGCCCTTTGAATTTTGGACTCCAGGGCAGTTTATATAGATCCTGGAGATGTTGGGAGCTACAATACTTTCCGCCCATATGTCTGATTGACATCATTCCCAAGGCTCATGAAGCACTATTGCTAGATTGGCGCATGGTTCTGAAGTCTGTTGCATGTGTCCTTATAGGAGCTATTGATTATGCAGCCCAGGAAACGGAGATTTAGGTTAGAGTCGATCCATAGGCGTTGGTGGTCGTATGGCTTGCAGCTGCGCGGCGGTAGAAAGGTTTCGTGTGGTCAACCTTCCTTCTCATCCCCCTAGTCAAGCTTCAGAAAGTGGTATGATTGCCAAGCAAATTCGAAGCTGACCTGCGCTCCTCCGATCGGCCACTAACACTACCCATCGTGATGCGCTGGTAGAGTTGTTCGACTCACATACCACAGTGTGTTTGTAGGGAAGAAGGCATCTTCGGCCTGCACCGTCTGCCCGTAATGCCCGTCACCTTGACTTGAATCACAACTCCCAAGCCATTAGGGTTGTAAACATGAATACATATCAGTCACTCATAAGGTGTTTAGAACTGAATGGAAATATCCCGAGACAAGCTTTTTCGGGAGGTAAAGCTAATTCCCCCGGTTCTGTGGGGTGAAAGCGGAGCTGCATCCGCGCACCAGGCATCGTTACCCCACTCCATAAGGTGCAGCGCGACGTACAGTAGTCCACGATCTTGGTCCCTGATTCCTTATGGTGAAAACGGTCAGGTACCACATCTCCTCGGAACTTTGGCCCATGTCGCGTAGCAGGCGTGAGTGCCTTTCCATGTGATGTAGGCTGGTACTGAGAGTGATCTCGTCGGTGTCGGTTTCCTGCACTTCTCTTTTGGCAACGCTGGCATCGTGCTCACTGCGAGCGAGGCTGCAGTGTGTTTTTGGCGTGCATGCATATTTGGAACTATTGTCCGAGTTCCCCGCATCAGAGTTCCTGACAAGCCTTGTCAAATGTTGCCCACCATGTCATCGAGAAATCGTCCGCGGCGGCGAGGCTCGCTTACGTCGAGCTAGCGCTGCTCTCCGCCGCGTACCGACAGACGCCTCCTCTTGGCTGCCAAGAAGAGGCGGAGACGCCTCGATGGTCCACTAAACGCAAAGTAGGAACGTACGGCTGGAGATTAGTAACGGTCGGGATAAAGCTCGAATTCGATACACTAAAAGCGCTGCGGACGTTTCAACTGCTGCGATTGCAGGGAGTCGATCTCGACTTGCGCTGACCCACTCAGTACGGCTGAAGAGGCGTCTGCGCTCTTCTAAAGTACCATTGCTTCAGAAGTCTTGAACCATCAGTACTTGTGAGCCTTGGACCAGCTAGGACTAAAGTCATCGTACCTACCTAGTCCTGCGATCGACTGTTATAGGATCTAACAACGTCCGGCTGAAACATGGTGCAGCCGGCTTTGTATACAGCAAGTACAGCAAGTCATAGTCCGCGGAAGATTACCGTGCTGCTGAGGATTGGCCAAACCCTACATGAACATCCGTAGGCTTTCTGAAAAAATAGTGTAAAGCGCCTCTAGACCCGACATGTCAAGCATAGGCAACCAAGAGACTATAACTTAAGGTGTACCAGACCCTATAGCGTAGACCAGCATGACAGATTCCTGCGCAGAAAGCCGACAGCGCTCAGCAATCGCGATGTAACCGCAGCGCTTGGGAAGGCTCGATCTTCGTTTGATCGCGCTTCGCTCCGATGGTTGCAAACGGTGAGATTCCCGAATGCCGATGCCGTCGGTTCATGGATCTAAACTCCGCCAGCATTGTTTATCGACCGCAGGACCCTGGCCGCACCTGTACATCGGCCTGAGGTCGAGGGTGCGACGAGTGAAACAGAGCATAAATTTCGTTGCGAGGCAACGCGACAGTGATATCCTGGCCAGCAGGTCCCGCTTACCCTGTGAGCTGCAGGCGCAGAGACCTAGAAATACAGGATGCGTTTCTGTGGCGCCTTGCACAGACACATGTTATTCGAGACGAAATCGAGGTCCCAGGTAGTGGCATTGCGTACAGGCAGGCTGCAAATGCCACGATCGCTGCTCTTTCTGTTCGCCCTCGAGGGTAAGTTGGTCAGGCAGCGCTGCAGCGGACGAGCTCCCGAGTTGCCGCCATTGGTAACAACACGTCTTCGTCCTTGATCTAGTATCGGTGGTGACCTTTGACGCAAGCTATATATGCCTATTTCAAGTGGTGTCGTTCTCTTCAGCCCTTCTCTTGTTGGTACGCGCTGTCACGGTTGGTTGTAGCTGTAGTTCGCGTCTCGATCTTCGTCATCGTTGCTTGGCGAGAGGCCAGTGTTGGCCTAACCTGCTTTTGTGATGAGAAAGAAGCCGTTCGACCTGATGTAGATGACGATTAACCCAGAATGTGAGGTTCGTTGTGCTACTCTGGTCGTGATGGGATGTGTCGTTGTTTTCAAAGGATGTTGACACTGGATAAGTGGGGCCGAAGCGGAGATCGGTTCATGCGTTGGTGTATCTTCCTGCATCTTCCGTCGACCATCCAAACACCACAGGTCAGCTCTGGAACAGCATGCATCGTTCGTTGTGAATGGGTGTGCGATCGGAACAAGAACCGTTGGATAGTCCGATCGCAACTGCTTTCCCACCTCAATGCAGCTCGAAAGGCTGTCTCTAGTCCGTCCCTATCGATGACGCGGGCATTAATGAGACTAACATAGAACACAGCAAACTGTCTAAAGCCCAGAAGTCGTTACAAGCTGTTCGCTCTACTCCAGGCAGCCACATTCGGGTCTCCAGGGCACGGACGATTGCATACATTCATCTTTGCTAAAGGCTGTTGCGCTTTCCTGGGTGTGGAAGCTGCAGGGACGTACATACGTCGCATCCTTCTGGTTACATGGATTTGAACAGCAGACTAATGTGTATTGATCAAGAAACGTTCCCTTCTAAATCCCAGTTCTAAGGCGCCCAACTGACTTCCATTCTGATCACCGACACACGTATCTGGCTGCCCAAAATCGCAGCTAACCTAAGTGCGTCGCAAAAAAACATATATTCGTACACGAAGTTACTCTCACTCCAACTCGCCCGCAGACGCGCCCTTCATCGTCGCCCTCGGCTCAGCTAAATACCCGTCAGCCCACCGCTTCACCTGCAGATGGATGCATTGCCCGATCCACTCACCGACGCTGACACCTCCGATTTTAACAATCATGTCGAGCAAGGTCACCGTGTCTCTCTCCCTGTCCATCCAAGAAAGATCTTCGGGGTACTCGTTGTCGAGGAACGCGTTGAGGTGCGCGCGCAGCACGGCGTGCGAGGGGTACCTGCCGCTGTATCGCTCGAGGAAGAGGATCGTGATGGTCCAGAGGACGTCTTTGTTGGAGGGAGCGGCTGGTGCGGTTAGGTGCGTTGGGAGGTGAGGGAAAGAAGAGGAAGACGTACCCGTAAGTAGAGGCATTGTGATTCTTGTTGATGTGAAGCGAGGGTGGTGTATGAGGATGGTATGAAGGTGGTGTGGTGGATCAGGCGTTACTGTAGTGAGTCAAGCGGGTTGAAGTGAAGATGGCTTGCGTGCCTTCACTTGCGCGGCGGTTTGCGCATCCATGATTTGTGCCCAAAGCTGCGGTTTGCGTGCCACGATATGCCATAATGAGTGTTTGTTCTTCTTCCTGTGGAGCACCATCAGTTGTGTGTTGGTCCATGAGATGTTGGAGGTAGCCCGTTCTGCAATCTTCTCACGACAGTTGCCCTTCTCTGCCTGCAGGGCTGGTGGTTTCCACCTGGGCGGACTGTATACAATAGCTGGATATTGTAGAAGATGCGGACCTTATCTCCGGAAACGCATCTTTGCCATTCCCAAGCCGCAGCAGCCACCTTTTATACTGGAAAAGTATCGCTGATCAGCGACTAGAAGCGTTATCTACACTAGAACGGTCGTTCTCGTACTTCTCAAGAAGTAAGAAGACGCTCTTAAACTTATTACCAACGAAGGCCTCCGTCGAATCCTCATTTGCGCTCAGCAATATTCCAGTGATGGTCACGTCTGTGTAAAGAGCCATGTGGAAGTCCCACGGCAGGCTTGAAGCCGCATCGAAACCTTCGTGGCACGTCCAGCGCGCAATACCCTCGCTCTTGCCGAGTGAGCTCATGGCAAGACCATGTAAAGAGGTTATGTTGTTGAACTTCCCGACACCGGTGGCGTGATCGACGTATGCTCAAGGCCCTACTAGGCGCGTCTCCTCGACGACTTCGGATCGGATTTGACATCATCAGCGAAAGTGAGACCCGCAGTCTGGAGCCCAATATGATTCGAAGTTGTTCTGTGAGCAGTAAGCAATTGTACCTCATCAAGCGAAAATTCCATTCAAAGTATGGAAGGACTGTCACCATGACTTCACCAGACAAGAGTGCTGCTATATTTGCTGGAAACCCGCCACTCTTTCGCACGTCACGAAGTTTCTAGATTATTTGTCAGTGTCTCTAATCCGTGTGACCACTGTGTTCGAGAACCCTCATATAGGTGTGGTGTCACTTCTCGATTGGGGATGGAGTTGAGGCAGTGAGACACGCATGCAAGGCAGATACACTTGACGCATGCGCTTTAGTACTGTCCCAGTTGATCAGTGCTGAGAGTTTTAGCACGCAAAATCTCCCTACTCTAAGTGAGTTGAAGCGTTTAGACATACATCACAGCATTCAGTCAAGCGTGGAAACCGCGATTTGTGGTGATGAGAAGGCGCGCCAGTAGGCGCGACCAACCTCGAATAAGAAGTGTATTACTTTCACCACTTGGTGCCATTTGTGTCTGGACACCATGCCATCGATACTACATCCTCAAAGAGATGTGTGTTGTGAAGATATCTACAAACGCCATCGCCGCCGTGCTCTGAGTGGGAAGTTGGCGAGCCAAATGGTCCGATCGTACCGCTGGAATGTGGCCCCCACAACCCAAATGCGGCCCCCAACTGCTGAGCGCATGGATGGGGGATAGTGTGAAGAGTGAAGATAACCCAAAATGCCCAAAACGTCCCAAGCCCAAAACCATGATCTACATCAGCACTTGACGGATCGCCCCTCTCGCTGTCGAGATCCAACGCGGTGGAAGGGGTAGGGTATGCTACTGTATCGCGAATCATGAAAAACTGAACCCCCAAAAACCGTGTATGCCCCTGCATATGCAATGTTGAATGTTGAACGCAAGCGCAAATGTGCGCAAATATAAATGTTGAGAATGCTAGATGATAGTCGTGTCGCCGTTAGAGGCGACCACATTGAATGGAGGTCTAAGCGCGAGGCATGGAGCCCATAGAGAGGAGGGCCTCGATGGCATCGCGCTCAGCGCCAGATCCAGTAACACCAGGAGATGCTGTAACTTTGAGCGAAGGAAGTGGGGTATTGCCCAGTGCTGGAGTACGAGGGGAGACCAAGCCCTGGAAACCGCCTTGTGGCAACGAGTGGCCTTGAGTCGAAGCGTTGCGGAAGCGTGGGTTGCTTGATTGTGTGCGGCTTAGGTAATTGTAATCGCGATGTTCGCGACGCGGGCCGCGGCGGGTCTCCCGAGAAATCTGTGGGCCCATTGTAGCCCAGTCCTCCTGATCGGTGTCGTCGTCTAGGTCTTCACCGAGGTCCATGTCAGATGCTGAGTCGGACTCGAGGCTGTCGTCGGAACCGTCTAGAGACATCTGGTCGGCCATCTCCTCGTCATCGTCCATCTTGTGAGGTGGCGACCATGAGCCAGCATTCCAACTGCCCTGGTACGCATCGCGCTCCTGGCGCAATTTGGGGATCTGTAATCCGCCGGCAGTGCTGTCCACACTAGCCGGAGGCGTTGTTCCATTGCCGCCGCGCAAGCTGCCGATTGGTACACCGCGAGCCTGTGATGAGCCGGCAACGCTCCACCTTCCCCAGCCGACCTTCTCGAACTTGACCTCGCCGTGCATGCCGCCGCCAGCGCGGTGTTCCAGCGCTGCGACGACAAGGCGCCTGGCCTTGGCGGGCGCTAGCCCAGAGAAGCCGGGAACAGCCTGAGTGAGATGCGCCATCATCTCGCGGATGGGCATGGCGCCGTGGCCGGCGATGATGGCGGGCAGGTGATGCTTTGCCAGCATCGCAGCCGTGATTTGGCGCGTAGCGTCCAGGCCGGCAAGGGCCTCCTTGGACAGAGCTGAGGGCTGGTCTTGCGCCCTAGCGTGCTCGACCGCATCTTGCAGGTCGAAGTCCATGGTCTCCGGTGTATCTACCCTCCCCGGTAGTGGCATCGCCGGCCTGCGCTTGTGGGCGGAAAGCGTGGGCGATATCGAAGATGGAGGCGTCAGGAGAGTGCTGGCCGAGGCTGGATGGGCGCCATCGTGCGCGATGGGGATGTGGTGGGAGGCGTGCTGGGCAGCAAAGGCCGCAGCGATGTTGGAAACGGGCTTCTGGACCATAGTCGCCATGATTGCGGGTTGAGTGTTGGTTGTTGTTGGAAGTGGGATGTCTGTTGGCAAGTGCTGACGCAGAGGGTCGGGAAGGCGGCGTCTGACCGAAGCAGCCGCAGGACAGACAAAGGGGCTGGAAGGTTTTGCTTAGAGACAGCACAAGAGCTGTCTTATGCGACTGAAACAGCAGCGGCGAATAAGGGATAATTGCTGTGGTGTGTTGGCGATTCACGGAGCACGCTGCAGCACGTCGCTCGGTCGTTGTCGGGTTCGAGCGCGTTTGGCGGATCGGCGATCCGGGGAGCAGGCAGGCGTACCGGTTCAGACAGGAGGCGCGTCAAAGTGTTGGCGAGCAGTGTGAGTCTGTGGCGAGCAGCGAGGACGTGTTCTGGCGAGCAATATTCAGTGTGCGCGTAGTGGGTGCTTTGTAGTAGGCGCGTTTAGTGTGGGAGTCAGCTATGATAAGGGCCGCTCGGTATGGTAGAGTCCCACCTGCATACTGTCGGAAACCAAGGAAGTGGGCGACCCAGGTGCGTGTCGGGCAGGCGCATGGCATCGCGACCGCCCGCTGATTGGCTAGTGCATGAGCCGCGTGCCACACCTCACAGCTCCTCGTAGCCGTCATCGTCGAAAGCCCCATCTGTCAGCAGGTACCTACGCCGGAAGCAGGGTCGCGATCCAGCTGCGCAGGGCGTGCCTTGCCCTTGCGCTCGCCGCAAATGTCGCGATGGTTACATTGCTTCGCTGCGGCGCCGACAGCCTTCCACAGAGTCGCAGACGTCGTGACGCTGGACAAAGGCATGCATGACTGTCTCTGGCTGCTCCGAGGCCAGCCGAGACCTGAGCCATCGTCGAGCTCCAGAGCCCCCATGCGTTCCCAATCCCAACAGCCATTGGTCTTATCAGCGCTGCGCGGGGTCACCAAGTGCCGCTATCGACCTCGCTCCGATCTTCGCTGCGAGCAGGCCCCTCTCGGTAACAGGCACACATCGCGGTACCGCACAACAAAATGATGAAGCGTGCCGCTGGTCGAGGTGCCGTGAACCGCGCGCAGCAGCAAGCTCGCACACGTGTGTGCATCTCTCGCAGACACGGCGCCGCACGTCTGCTTCAAGTGGATCGACTTTTACGTAGGCACTTCTGCGACTGTGCATGTGCACTACACATCACCCATGATTCGCCGCCACAACGTACTTGGTGATGGCCTCGCTAGTGTTAGTCTACCTTTCCTGCGTACACACAGCCATCGGAGAATATCGTGACTTACAGACTTGAGAACGCCGATCTGCTGCATGGTGCGGTTGAAGACGGCGCGGTACTGATCCAGGTTCTGTTGCACAACATCGTTGCGCGTCGTGCGCCCCTCGCAAATGGCCTTCATTTGGAGTTCCATCTGTGCTGCGTTAGCGGATGCCTTGGGAAGCAAATAACCCCACTCGAAATCACTCACCTCTTTGCGTAAGAAGGGCTTGCTGAGACTGGTCTCGATACCCACATTGTCGTACCCCTCGATAAGCGCGACGCCCAACGTCGTCGGAATGAACTCTTGTACTCCGCCGGCTGCCGCTCCCCCACCTCCGTTATGACCCGCTGCTGCGCCGCCACGGCCGCCACGGCCGCCTCGAGCATTACCTCCTCTTCCTCGGCCGCGTCCTCTGCCTGCGCCATTACCAGCATTGCCTGCATTACCTGCAGCCCCGCCTTTTGGCCGAGCGATTACATATTCGCGGTCCTGAATCCTGCCGATATGGTCGGCCATCGTTGCGTCGGTGCCGATGCCGTTGACATCCATCAGGGCGATGAGTTCAGGTTCCGTCAGGTACGAAGGTGCTGACGTCTTGCCGTCTAGCATGTTTACTTCTGTGGGCTGGAACGTCTCGCCTACTACATACTGCGGCAGCTGCTGGCTGCTTTCCCACTTATCGTATGGGTATACGTCGAGATAGTTTCTGGCAACGACCCGCAGACCGTGGGCATGGAATGCCTCGGACCCATAGTCAATTTCGATATCTGTAGCCTCTCCCGTCGCATCCTCGGAGCAGCATGCCAGAAAGCGACGAACAACAAATTCGTACACCTTGCGTTCGTTCTCATTCAGAGAACCGGGCGCGACGTAGTTGACAGGGTGGATGGGCGGATGGGCTTTGTCGTTATTACGTCCGTTGCGGGGCTGATTGAAGCCTCCGTTGATAAGATCTTGAGCAAAGTTGCCCCAACGACCGTCTTGGGTTTGCCTCGAAATGATGGTACGAAGATCCGTGCCTTGATCAAACTGGTCGGTCTCGGTACGTGGGTAGCTGATCCAGCCTTTGGTGTAGAGCTGTTCGGCAATCTTCATGACTTCTTGTGACGACATGCGCAGGAATCTGCTCCCCATCTTTTGCAGCTCAACTGTAGTGAGAGGGAGTGGCTTCCATTTTCTTGTCGGTTTCTTAGCCATTTTGGTCACTTTGGCCGTCTTTGAAACAAGGCATCTCTCGAAGATCAGAGTGACAGCCATACGATCAAACAGATGACCTCTTCGCCAACTAAATTTGACTTCCACGTCATCCTTGACGTGGTCGACCTTGATGTGCCAGAAGGATTCAGGAACAAAGTTGCGCACGCGGAGATATCTGTCGACGACAAAACCCAGAGTCGGGAACTGGCAAGAGCCGTAGCTGATTAGTTTTCCTCGTTCGCCGGCTCGTACTGGAATCATATCTTGCAAACTCATTGTTTGCATGCGAGTGAAAGCTGCTCCAAGTCGTAGATCGAGTTCAATGCGAGCGGCAACCGCGTTTGACTGTGCCTCGTCAAGCTGGATCGGATTCTGTGATGCCTGAATGATATGTCTGAAGAGGCTTAGCAATGTACACAGAATGGCAGAGCCGAAAACTTGCGCTCTCTCGATGTTGCTGAATCGGGCACGGCAGACTCGAAGTCTTGGGTTGACCTTCAAAGCGATGTCTCGTATTTCAACCCCAATGTTTTCACCTTCACGATCGCAATCTGTCCATACAAACAAGATCTGTGAATTTCTAGCTTGTGATTCGATGTTGGTTGCGATGGCTTTTTTGTCCTGGAACCCATTAGCCCGTAGCCCTTAAGTGTGCAATCAAGCATAAAGACACATGGTGAGTTAAGAAATGCGTACCTCTGCAACAAAGCTCTGTATGGGGGCATCGAAAAGATCCGAAGCTTGGCACGAGTGCCATTTCCTGTACCGCTCGATGAACTCGTGGCCCATAACATGGCCAAGCACAGATGTGAAGGTGACGTCGCATTGACCCCATTGTGGAAATCGGAAGTCAAACCTATAATTCTTGACATACTGGTTGCCACGAACACTGTCCTACTCTGCATTAGCTTTCCCGTTCCAACCCATGATGGGTAGGTGAAACTATAATACGCACAGTTGTCACTCGACCAGCAAGATGGTGAGCGACCGCTTTCGCAATCGACGGCTTCTCTGCCACGCAAAGCACCTTCATCGCATGGATTCGTTGTGTGGATACCAAGCCCACAATTGAGCTGTGGTGAAGAGAACTCGAAGAAAGTTCAAGTTGAAGTCTTGCACGTGAGCACGCGTCGAACAGGGAAGGCGCAAGGTGTGAGCACTAGCGCGGCTTGGCTGTAAACAAAAGTGGGCCACAAACTCATGAGGTCATCTCGTTTTCGTTTACGCACTCATCCTTCGTTGCTCGCTCTCAGTCTCTGCCACGATTGTCCCCAACACGAGTTCGCACAAGATGCTGGTCCCTCGCGCGTCCCTTGATCTGGCGCTTCCTCTCGTCAAGGCGCTCCCAGAATGCGCAGATTTCAGCACAACCGTGCTGCCATACCTGCCACAGCTCTACGACCTACCGTATAGGATCATCGAGAGCATCAATGATCGGCAGGCATTGCTGAACATCTACGTCTCAACAAACCCGCTGATGCTGGGCTTGGCATTCGCGCTGTTCATGACGCCCGTTGTCCTTCTGGTTTCTGAGATCAACCGCAACTATTCACAGGTTGATCGCCTATGGAGCATCCTTCCTGTCATCTACAACGTACATTACGATGTCTGGGCACATTTGAACGGCCTGCCAGCTGCAAAGATCGATCACATCATGGCCGTGTCAGTCATCTGGGGGGCACGTCTGACGTTCAACTACTGGCGAAAGGGCGGGTACCAAGTAGGAAGCGAGGACTACAGGTGGTGCATTGTAAAAGATTACGTCGGCCCCGTCCCCATGTTCATCTTCAACATTGTCTTCATTTCGCTAGCTCAGAATGTAAGTGCCGACGCGACCAACACAGTACAAGCACTGATTCAGTCGGCAGATTCTCCTCTGGATCATCACAGCGCCAACCTACGTCCTCCTCCTCACGTCGCGCATCACCGGGAACACACTGTCTGCCTATGACAACGTCTTCAGCAAGGCTATGTTTTTCGTTGTTGTCATCGAGTTCTTCGCCGATCAACAGCAATGGGTATTCCACAAGGCCAAGAGCGCTTACAACAAGACTGCCAAAGTCCCGGGTGATTACAAATATTCTCGCGAGCAGCTTGACCGCGGCTTCAATACCAGTGGATTGTGGGCGTGGTCGCGCCATCCCAACTTTGCTGCTGAACAAGCCTTCTGGGTAGCACTGTACCAGTGGTGCTGCATGGAGAGTTACACTTTCACAAATTGGACATTTGCCGGTGCATTCTCCTATTTGATCCTGTTCCAGTCAAGCACATGGTTGACCGAGATGCTCAGCGCAGGCAAATACCCCGAATATAAGGTCTACCAGGAGCGCGTTGGCAAGTTTCTCCCGAAGCTGTCTACGCAAAGTATGGAGGCACCAAAGACCGAGAAGGAGGCAGCAAAAGTGAAGGATGCCAAGAGTAAAGCGGCTAAGGGAAAGAAGATTTAGACGAATAGCCCATTTGCACAGAGCAGTGCTGGCTTTTCGCAGCATTGTGATGCGTGTCTGTGCCATGCAGTGACATTAACTATCAACATGCACTGAACATGTGTGCTCGCTTCTGCGTACTCTCGTGCCGCGAGGGATGAAGGAATGGAAGCGCGGTGGGTGCTATACTCGAGTAGGAAAATGAGCAGCGGCAGAGATGTGGAGCCAATACGAAACAACTGTGCATCGTCACCCGCACACTTATCGCCTTAACGCACCCATGTCCACTCATCAAGACTAAAAGTACAGACAGACTTACCCTTGAGCTGACGTGAGCGCTACATGGTGGATCCTGAAAACTACAACACATATTGAAAAGCTAAGTCCCAGGAGGAATGCTGGCGACAGCATCACCATTTTATTGGCTGCGTCAAAGAAGCTTACAGACTTTTGCGCTGTCATCTGGGATTGTCGGTACCTCGGCTTTCTGTGGGGAGATTGTTCTCGCTGTTCTGTATGGCACAGTATGTTCAGTGCGATTCCTTCCTGTTCGAGCCAAGGGTAAATGCGGGACTCTTGTCAGATGCGGTGCCCACCGATATTCCCAGAAGGTGTCAATATATAAGCCGCAACGTGTGCATTTGTCGGTTCATTTTCATCGCGAGCTACTCCATCACTTGAGGTTACTCAAAGCAACATGACTGGTTTCCGAGTCATCATCGCCGGAGGCGGTATTGCGGGCTTAACGCTCGCCAACGCTCTGGAAAAAGCCAACATCGACTATGTACTCCTCGAAGCTCGTGACACGATTTCACCAGAAGTTGGTGCATCAATCGGGATTTTCCAAAACGGTGCTCGTCTTCTCGATCAGGTAGGGTGTCTAGAGGCCATCTGGAAAGAGACTTGCGCTCTTCGCCTAGGTCGAGAACGCAATGGACAGGGGATACAATACCATGAAGGCGACGGTGTCCAGCTAGTGGAAGCTCGGTGAGTGACTTTCTTCTGAACAGTGAGGTTGTTGACTGACAGCTCCGAAAGTACCGGCTACCCCGCTCTCTTCGTTGAAAGAGAGAGGGTTCTACACATAATGTACCAGAATCTCAGAGACAAATCGAAGATCGAGTTGCAAAAGCGAATCTCAAGAGTCGACCACAACGAGAATGCGGTGACTGTCACCTGCAACGACGGTACCATTATCAGCGGCGACGTCTTGGTTGGCTGCGACGGTGTGCATAGCGTCGTCCGTCAAGAAATGTGGCGGCTTGCCCACCTCCATGAGCAGAACTCCTTCGACCCATCTGACAAGGAAATGCTGTGCGCTGAATACAAGTGTCTGTTCGGCATCTCGACTTCAACAGACGGTATTACTGATGGTGAAGTTACCATAAACCACGACGAAGGATTTTCTACCCTGATCATTGGAGGAAGAAATAAAGTCTTTTGGTTCATGTTCAAGAAGATGGACAAGATCTGGTAAGTCTGGTCCTAGTCTTGATCAATCCGAGTCTAACTTCTGTAGTATGTACATACACCACAAGCACTCATTACAACATTCAACTTGCGTGTCTGCTTGCATGCATGCATGTTATTGCAGACACGGTGACGACCCGTGCTCTCCCAGTGACTGACAAATTTGCAGATAAATCGACTGAGCTACCACGGTTCACCAAGAAAGATGCCGAAAGCTTTGCAAACGATATCCAGAACTACACTATCACGCCTGAGCTGACGTTTGATAAAATCTGGAGTAACAGAAGCACGTACACCTTGGTGCCGACTGAAGAGGCTCAGTTGAAGCGGTGGTCTTGGGGCCGTATTGCCTGTGTAGGCGATTGCATTCATAAAATGACCCCAAATATGGGCGCAGGCGGCAACGCAGCTATGGAGACAGCTGCGGCTCTGGCAAACGAGCTGAAGAAGATGGTAGACACGGCCGAGAAAGGGAAGCCTAGCTACGACAACGTCAGAGCTCACCTCGCCAACTGCCAGAAAGTCCGGGACATCCGCCTGAGCGCAGTGCTCAAAGCGGCAAATGATCTCACGCGTATGCACGCGCTTGCAACACTCAAGGACAGATTCCTTGCGTTTTGGGTCCTTCCCAATTCTGGTGACTTGTAAGTAATCGGTATCAGACATGGAGCCGGTACCCTGCATATCCCCAATCAAAGCGCCGGCCAATTAGCGCCTGCTGAATGCTCAAGAGCATACACTCGGCTCAGCCGAGTCTTGCAACCTCATTTGTTTCCTCGGCCACTCGGCTACTACAAGACGGCGCTAACCCCACTTTCTAGTTCATCGGACCTTCTAAGTGACATGATCATTGGGGCTGTCAAGCTTGACTACCTCCCTACACCTGAACGATCATTCCACGGTACGATGCCGTTCAATCCATCTCAAGGGCTCGGTCAGGCCGAGTCGAAGCTATGGAGAGCTGTACGGGCATTGCCGTTCCTGGCCATCACGGCTGCCGCGACTTATTTCATGTTGGGTATCTGTTTACCGCACATCGTAGAGCGGATCGGCCAGATCTTGGAAGAGGGTGTTCAGAACGCCATCGGTGAAGCTGTGCATGTCAAGATGGTGCACAGTTTCTATGGTGTCGAATTTCTTGACAGCAGATTCAGATCTCTTACCGCTTGCTTCGCCTCGTTCCAGTTCGTCGACCATGTCTGCAGCTGGCAGACCTTGAGCTTCTTGACGGACGTCGGTATTGTGTACTCGATTTTGCTGATTGAGAGCGCGCGAAGGGCAAACATAATGACTCTCTCCTACTTGTAAGTGCGACATGCCCCTGTCGCAAACACTTTCAGCTGACGACAATCAGACCCATCATTCTCGGATACAACATGCAATTCTTCGGTATCGGCGTTCTTATGGCCCTCTGGTGCTTCGTACACTACATACAAACCCCGATCGAGAATTTCCGCGCTCGCGACTTGCGTCTCACCGACCTCTCCTACACCGCCTCTGTCCTCCCAGTCATGCTGTTGACTTACTATCTACCCAGCCTCATCTCGTTCTCGGCTTGGGTCGACCCTCAGATACGCCATGCTGCCGACTGGATTTGGCAGCCTTTCGCACTATGGACAGCCATCCTGCAGTACCTGCTCAAAAAGACTGTCATGCCGGACACCATCCAGCAAGACCGGATCAAGCACCCGTTCCGCGATCTGCCAGTCATCAAGTACACGATCTATTCGCTTTGCGCAATCTCAGTGACGACGTGGTGGTACACGCTCTACAATGCGCCCTTCTCATTTGCGACTCTGTTCATTCCGAACGTTGCTGCCATGAAGACGCATGACGAATTCATCAGGTTGTTCCTACAATTTGATGAGGTTTTCTCGATGGGAGCGTGCCTCCTTTGGCTTCTGTATCTGTTCGGTGACTTGAAAAGAGCGGGCATGGTGGATCATAGCTGGTTGAGTATTGTGGGCAGGGGCGTGGTTACATTTGCTGCTACAGGTCCAGGCGTCACCTTCGGCTTGGGATGGTGGTGGAGGGAGCAGCTGCTTGCGACGAAGTGGCACAAAGATGCCATTGTGGCAGGGAAGTCGAAGTAGATGATGCCCTGCGCCTGCATGAGGCTCGTGGTGAGGTGGATGTAAGAGAGGAGATGGTTTTGAATAGTGCAGATCAGTGGACGTCCAGCGTGGTTTGTAACGTAGTCCGTAATGTAGCTGATATTGTTGCCTTACCTCGACCCTGCTAGGCCATTGCAGTGCTCAGCACATTCTGTCTCAACAAGAGACTTTTCGTAACCGTAGGAGCTTTCGAGTTATCACACAATGTAGATAGAAGCGTCGCAGTCACTCTACACCTCAGGCACCCGCCCTGAACAGCTTGATCCATCATATTTACTAATTCACATGGGAGAGATTGAGATGTGGTAGCCAAAAAGCAATGATCGAGATGGCCAGCATGTGACTTGCAGGAGTGACGGTCGAGAGAATCATGGTGGTTGGGCTGGCTGCTTCCATGTCCGATATATGATTTCTACGCGCGAAGTCGCAAATCCTAGCGAAAGTGAAGGCCGCCGAAGCACAATCACGGTGACTCACTACTATTATCGCTCATTCCCAGGTGAAAAGAGTTCAGAAAAGCACAGTTCTTTAGTGGTGCCTGTGCACACCGCTGATGAACAATACAAAAGTGAAGGAGACAATAAGACAAACACGCGCTAGCCGAGAGAAAGGCAATAAGTCTTTGACGCGCAGAAAAAAAACGTACTTTTGACAATACCCACCTTCAATCAAAAACATCACTTCCAAACAAGAACAATCGATTGCCGTCATGGCCAAATCGCAAAACGAACACGGTGCAGCACGCCAGCTTGGCACCATCAACAACATCCTCAAGTCACAATCGCGGGCGCCTCGCGACAACAATCCTGCACACAGACGAGTTGACGCTGGTGTCAAGAAGCAGTCGCAGTCACAGCCTAACAAGTCACTGCATAACAAGCTCCAGAATGGGAAGTTCCATGATCAGATGACGCACGATCAGCAGCCACAGCAGTCGCTGTCGTCGAGCCAGAACAACCAGAGCACCTTCCGCCAAAGGGACCAGTCTCTCTCGCGTTATCATCAGTACGACCAGCGAAATCACCCATACCAACCACTTCATGCAAGGGAAGATGAGCGATGGCCACGATTGCCACAACAGAAGCGATATGGCGATTCAAACGGCGCTCAGGACAACGCACCGAAGGCTGTGCAAGTGAAACAAGGTTTCAACATAGCACCCATAGCCTCGAGCGGGGATTCTAACAACAACGATTCCGGTTCAGGAAAGCGCAAGCGTGATGTCGAGGACTGCGGAGAAAACGAAGAGCGCAGCCAAAGCAGCAAAAGACATCAGTCTACCTCTCGGAACGCAGGCCATCTTGAAGAGCCACCACTTCAAACGCCTCACAACGGGACTGTGAGTGTCGCAAACTCGACCACTGTCAAAGCCACGTCGACTATCAAAACCCACCAATCCCCAATCCTTGAGAACACTGTCCAGATCCCAACTCCCCCATCCAGCACCGCCACACCAGAGCAGGACGGCTGTGTTGCGACACCCCAAGAGTCGACACCAACTCCAGCGGAGAAGATACAAGATAAGAGAGATCAGAAACCTTCAGTGGAAGACACAGGTAGACAGAGCAAAAAGAGGCAGAGAACTGAGACAGAATCCCCAGGACATACGCCTAAGCGGCCGCGCCAAACTAAGAGCGCCGAGGCCACTGCAGCACAACGTCCTATTCCACCCAGTGGCCTCCAAGCGGAAGTCGTGCAGAGCGAATCTCCGTCTACTCCAGTGAGTCGCAGCACCGCACGGAAAACTATAAGTTCAACCGCTCGGCAACAAAGACGTCCAGTTCACCATGTCAAGGCTCAAGCAGTACGGCCCGAGTCTTCGTTTGCACCAGTGTCTCCCAACAATGAGTGCGACTTGAAGTTTATTGAATACGGTCGTGACAGCGTACCGATTCTGTATTCAAGCATGATTCGGCATTCAAAAGACACTGAGCTCCTCGCTAGCCCGTCAGGGATGCTTTTCCTTAACGCACTCGCTGCTATCGAGGCGAGTTCGACGCAGTCGAAGCTAGGCTGGCCGTCCATCATCGAGCTACTCGGTCGCACCCCGAATAAGAACATCCCTACAAGAATTCTTGATGACATCGATATCTACCTTCGCGAGACGGAAGGGGAGAATCAGTTGTATGTGGCCACTGATTGTGGCCTTCTGCGCGCGACGGAATATCTGAAGCTAATCGGGGTGCCCGACACACAGCCAGTCAGATTTAAGGGCCGGATACCACCGTGGGCAAACGCTGCACTGCGTTCACGCGAGCAGCGAAGAGTGACAAAGACTTGGGGTCAAGAGAAGTATGTCAGAAAGGACATGAAACTTGGAAGTCATCAGATCGCGCTGATGCTGGAGACTCATGCGGATGAGAGAGAGCATCGCGCAAAAGAGGCTGTCCGTCAACAGTCGACAGACGAATCTGCAGCAAATGCCTCCTCGGCGGGAGATGGACAGTCTGCGCAGACAGAGGAAACGTCTGCACGAAGGCGAGACATTGAAGCGAAAGTTTCGGCAAAACCAGAGCCCCGATACATGGAGATCTTAGAAACAGAATTGGGGGGTCTGCCACTTCCAGCAGGGTCGGTCGTGGATGTTTACAAGGTGGATGATGATGATAACTGGGCGTATGGACGAGTGAGTGGTACGAACAAGACAGGACGCTTCCCTATTAAGCATACATGTCCCGTTGATTGGAGCCTGGACCGATTCTCGGGAACAAATAACAGTCTCCGCGAACCGTTGCCTAAGTCTTATGATCCAGCTGACCAGAATTGGAACGGTCTGATCGATTGGGTTCGACGGTGCGGTTTCGCAGAAGGCCCGACCTGGAAGGAGACCTGTGCAGCGGCAGCAGCTGCAGCAAAAGATGCGAAAGAGCGGAACATAGCTGCCAGAAAGAAATTCTCTAGCACCAACTCTGACCCTCAAGCGAGGAAGTCACTTGCTGAGCTGCCAACAACCCATGAGCCCTTGAAGGAGGCATGTCCAGCACCGACCTCGAACGCGATCGCTGCGACAGAACCTGCAACCAATATTCCAACGACGGCCGCAGTGCAGATTACATCAAAGGCAGAGAGCACTTCGACTTCGAAACCGCTCGCTGTGACAGAAACTGCAGCAGAAATTACATCGACAGCCGTAGTTCAGATCACATCAGAGCCAGAGAACGCTACCATCTCGGATGATGGTACTGGCAAGGGTACAGATGGTACTGCAAGCCCCGAAACCGACGTCGATATCGATGTAAATGCCGCACAGACTTCACTCTCGACGTCTCCAGTTGGAAAAGAGGTGGCTCTGAAGCCAGACGAACATAGAGTGTCCGTGCAAGAAGACGCGGCTTCAGCTACAGTCCAAGAACCAGAAGTTCTTAAGCCAAACGAAGAAGAAAAACCCGACGCTGGTGAAGGAAAGACAGTTGCCCCTCGCAACCCTTTCACAGTTCCGCGCCTCGATCCGTTTGCCAAGAACGATACCCAAGGACCAGAACTTCTTACGCCAAGCGAAGAGGAGAAGACCAAAGCTGATGAGGACGAAATAGTTGCGCCTCGCAACCCTTTCACAGTCCCGCGCTGCGATCCGTTCGCCAGGAACGACGACATCGAGTATGATTGGGGCGACAGCGATGATGACCTATGAGGACGAGGCTACCTAACATTGGTTGGATATCCGAGTAAGTGCCAAGGATAGGCTCATGCTAGGCGGGCTCTTGATGGTGCTGTGGGGTTCGGTAGATGTGGCATACCTGGTCACGTCCTGTTCTTGGAGAGGTCAAACTCTCGTCAAAGGAACAGAATGATGAGAAAAACGTATGGCTCCACTCTCCCAGCTCCTCCTTCAACGCCCGTAGCTTGATGCTTGATCCCGATGTTACGCACTAGTTCATGCTCTTTACTTGATATAAATATAAATATATCGTGCACTTTTGATGGATTCCAATGCCCGAAGACGTTCGAAAGTAGGCTAAGGATGGACTATGGCGCTAGCGGCTTAGTCATCAACAAACTGATTGTGATTGTGCTTCCTGAAAGATGTCACTTATGTTCACCATTGTTCTGAAAGAGACTGTTCGCTTTTCCAGGCGGCAACCAAGTCTGTCACTGTAAAACCATGACTGATGTCATCTCAGAACACCCTCTTCAAGCCTACCGCATCACCGGTTTGCCTCCCGACTTCTACTACATCCCTAACTTCATATCGATCGAAGAAGAAGCATCATTACTCCAAAAAGTTTGAACTTGTTCTCGTATCTCATTCCTTACTAACTTCAAGTAGATCCCTGCGCAACGATGGGTGACTCTCTCCCACCGGCGCTTGCAAGCACACCCATCCACACTCACCAAGAACAACACCCTACTCGCATCTCCACTCCCCGTCTATCTCACCAACCCAGTCCTCCCACGCTTCAAAAACCTGGGCATCTTCGACCACACACCCCACCAACAGCCAAATCACGTGCTCATCAACGAGTACAAGCCTGGCGAAGGCATCATGCCGCACGAAGACGGTAAGGCGTATGCGAGCGTGGTCGCAACGGTGAGCTTAGGTGGCTCGGTCTGTCTGAGTCTCACGCCGAAGCCGAGCGCCCAAGAATCTGCTGAGAAGGACGACGCGGAACGAGGGTGGAAGGTGCCAACGAGGATTCTGCAAGAGCCGCGTAGTTTGCTTATTACGACTGGGGACGCTTATGAGTCATTGCTGCATGGTGTCGATGCAGTCGAAGTAGACGAGGGTCTGAGTGTGGATGCGGTCGCGAACTGGTCATTGCTGGATGATAGGAGCGGTATCGAGGATGCTGGTGGACGAAATGTGAGGTCGACAAGAGTCAGTCTCACGTACAGGGATGTGCTTAAGGTCAGTTCTGCGGCGAGTAAGGTGCTTGGAGGCTTTGGGAGACGCTGAGGGGTTGGTTCGGGAGAGGCGCTGATTCTGATGCGGATGAGCCAGTGATCACTCTTAGCAATGCCGGGACGGATGATCAACCGAGACGCTTCCTGACGCCATCAAGGTGTCTGCTAAGATCTTTCTCTGGATTGTTATTCTCGAGAAACTATAAATAGTGGCACCGGTGTCAGATTTGATAATATCTAGGTCTACGAAATATACGTAGTACTGATACGCCTGGGTGACAATTTGGAACCTTTGAGCACTGCGGTCTGCCTTCGTCCCGTATGCGGTCTCCAATGTAGTGCTCAAGGAACTGCGGTGCAACGACGACATTGTGTGAAAGCATTGGTTCTGGGTTTGTCGTGCTGGGTCAACACCATCGACACATTGGGGTTTATCCTTCAAAGCCGACTCAAAATGAGGCACGGTTGGGTCCTTATCTAGGCTCAAAATTAAGAATTTAGTCGGTTCATGAGTAGTTTCGGTTTCGTTTAGTGACTCGCAGGAGAGTGGAGCCGTCGCTCTGACTTAGTCTCACATCTACGGGAAAGCGGTAGCTACTATCAATACCCCTCAATGCTATCAGCTGCTTCGCAGCCTTGACCCAGTCTAAAATATTCAAGCTAAGGACTACCTGTAACCTACTACACTCAACCAAAGTCGGAACCTCGAGCATAAGCGCAAAGACAGCAGCTTCGGGACAAGCACCGGACAATAAGCACAAGAAGTACAATGACGCAGTGAGCATCAAAGCACATTGACAGAGCTTACCGTTTCAGACCGTTCAATGCCAAACGATAGCAGCTATTGTAAGCCAAGGGCTCAGCTGCATGCACAAGCTTTTCGGTAAGAGAATTGTATGCAAGGACACGACAGCCCAGGCCAGGATCGGTAACTTGACATGATAATGCGCGGAAGTTCTGGAGAGCGAGGAGTGCATACGAGTAGCAATACTTGAAATGGCGAGCACGAACGCTTACCAGGTGCATCAAGGTACGTCCGGTCAGCCACTTGTAGAAGGACTGACACTCTTGTTGCGACCCTTTCTTGTACTTGTGCGTTCTGGCTGTGACAAGAATGAGTTGGATCCTACAAAAGTGCCAAGTGGCAGGTCGGACGTGCCTCGGTGCAGTGGGGCTCGAAACGCGCTGCACGGCTTCCCGGCTTTGAACCTTCAACCACAGAAAGGTACCGCAAATGTTCATCAACATGTCAGCCATGCACAATCTGCCTGATCCGAAACGTAGCCAATGCGAAACGGACGCCCTGTGATAGGTCAGCTGCGGATCGCTGACCTATCGCTTTGTGCTGCACGCTCCGCCACTCCACGCGTCAAGGCCAAGAGCGCCCACCGTGACCAAACCATAGGAACCTCACTTTTCGGAAGCTATGATAAGCCTGCGACTGTACTACTGGCCTTTGGCTGGTGATAGTCAAGCCTCGCGCCGGTCATGACGCGTTGCTCTTGTGTGCTGGCTCGTTCTGAGGTTTGTTCCAGCCTCCGCCATCCGCACCGGACGGCTCCCCGCCATGACCGTAAACGGACTAAATTGTCGAAAGCCATAATAACCTCAAGGAATGTGTGGTTTTGACGCGCGGTCAGTTGTTAAGTCTCGCTGTATCTGCAAGCAGTGTTCAAAGTGCTCAAATTCGCCGCCACGCCTCAATTGTTGTAAACAGGTATCCACACCACCTCATTGTTCACTTCCACAAAACACCAGCGGCCTACAAATAGTTCTCGCCATCGTGGCTTTCATTGGCTCGGTTGCTTGCTTCTAGCCTTTCGTGGCTATCGTCAGCCGTATTAATCTACACCCCTGCCGTCTGCTCTTTCAGCCAGGCGCCCTTTGTGCGGGATTGTGAACTTCTAAATTCCCAGCTGAGATCCCCGCTCTCTTGGGGCAACACACATTCACGATGCGGTCCAGTGGGAGAACGCTCTTGTTATCTGGTTTGGTGGCACTGGGTGAGTTGGTTGTTGGGCTTGTGTATGGAGGAAGAAACTAACCTCATTCAGTTTCGCAAGCCGCTGCGCAGGTTGCAAGCGTTTGCCCGTCGACTGGTGTGTGCTTCAAGCTGAATATTCCTGAAAGCACAACTTCGTCAGGCAGTGGAGATATTTTCTTCCAGATCTCTGCACCGAGCACTTACTCATGGGTTGCTCTCGGCCAGGGACGGGCTATGTCCGGCTCCAACATGTTTGTTATCTACACATCAGCAGATGGAAACAACGTAACACTATCGCCTCGATCAGCTAGCGGATACAACATGCCTACCCTCAACAGCGCGGCGCAGGTTGAGCTTCTTGAAGGATCCAGCGTGTCCAATGGCGTCATGACTGCCAATGTCAAATGTAAGCTTACGTCGCAGTCGATCTGGGAAATTGATTGCTGACAAAGGACAGGCTCCAATTGCAACAGCTGGTCGGGCGGCACTGCAGACTTCACGGCCTCAAGTGGAAACTGGATTTATGCATATCTGGCATCAGGCGGCGCTTTGAACACCGATGACCAGTCAGCTTCGATCCGCCAGCACAGCCAGTACGACTCTTTCTCGTGGGACTATGCTAATGCAAAGGGGGGAAGCAGTGTCAATCCACTCGTGAATGCCGCGCCTGCCGGGACTGGAACTGCCACTGGCACCGGCGGCGGATCCGGCAGTTCTGCCACCTCAAGTTGTATTCCACGACAAGGTGCACAGGCTACAGGGGAATCGGGATCAGGGACTACTACTGCTGCCAGTCCTACACAGACTTTAGGTGACGATGGTGATGATGACAACACTCAACGGGGACGTCCGACCTGGGCCACTGCTCGGCCAAGTTCATGGCCCACGGGCCGCCCATGGGACAATGACGATGACGGCACTCCGGGTAGATTCGTTAAGCGACAAAACCTCCCATACTGTGACGAAGTCAGCTCCGGTGATGGCTTCACCTCGATCGGTTCAGGTGGCGGCGGCCCTTCGGAGCGACGCACTATGCTCATCGCACACGGCGTTCTCGCTTCTCTCGCCTTCGTCATTCTCTTCCCAGCAGGCGCCATTGCCATTCGCCTCGCTTCTTTCCCCGGTGTTGTTTGGGTTCATGCGATCTTCCAGGTCTTTGCCTACCTGGTCTACATTGCTGCCTTCGGGTTGGGCGTGTATCTAGCGCTAGAGATGGAGATGATAGACCATCACCACCCTATCATCGGCGTAGTCGTCCTTATCTGCATCTTCTTGCAGCCCTTCTTCGGCTACCTCCACCACGTACTCTTCAAGAAGTACCAAAGCCGCACGTTCTGGTCGTACGTGCACATCTGGCTTGGCCGTGCTGCCGTGACACTCGGTATCATCAACGGTGGTCTCGGTCTCCAGTGGGCAGACTCTATGAATATGAGCTCACGAGGTGGCATCATCGCGTACGCAGTCATTGCAGCTTTTGTGTGGCTGGTCTGGGTTGCGGCAATGGTTATTGGCGAGAGGAGAAGGACCAGGAATATGAAGGATGCGCCACCCAAGTATGAGGACGGCCATCGCCGCGGCTCACAACGCAGGCACGGATCCAGGGGTGACGATACCGATTCGTCTGACGATATCCGACTTGTGCAGTCGAGGATGCATGGACATTATGCGCCAAAGCGTCAGTAGATATAAGTTGTCAATTGTAGGATGTTGGGGCTGTGCTATAGAGTACCGAGAATACAATGCATTCATCGCCTACACAAGAAATTGATGCATAATTACGACCCAGTTTGGCGTTACTGACAGGTGCCAGAAACATGGAGCATCTGCGCCGGAGCACGCGATAAATCCGCTAGCCTTTTTCGTCTAGTGCATGTTGTGGGGTGAATTTCCAATGCACCGTTGCCAACGAGGCCCGAAGCCCCATCAACAAACACAGCACGCCGACCCGTGCGCCCCTTCACACCCACTCTTCGCTCCCATATATTATCTCACCCCCTACGGTGATCCATTGCCCTCCCGTCACGACCACTTCCATCCGAAATCGCAACGTCAAACACTCAAGATGGGCGAGTCAAGGTACGGAGAGCCTCCAGGCTGCGAACGTCAAATTTCCAGGCGTTCGCCGCCCCCTCCTTACCCCAGCTAATCTTACATTACGACAGGCAAGAACTAGTCGCATGGCTCAACAACCTCCTTCAGCTTAACATCACGAAGGTCGAACAGTGCGGGACAGGGTACGTCACCTTTGCGCCGCCGCATGGCGGGGCAGCACGGCACCGGCTTGCGACATGCAGATGTGCAGAGCGCTGACAACGGAAACAGCGCCGCGCTTTGCCAGGTGTTCGACAGCATCTTCTACGATGTGCCCATGGCGAGAGTGAAGTTCAACGCCAACACAGAATACGCATATCTGCAAAATTTCAAAATACTGCAGAGTGCGTCCCCCCTTCTCGGTATCGCACGGCTATGCTAACCTAAGCAGACACATTCGCCAAGCACCATGTCGACAAACCTATCCGCGTCGAATCCCTCATCAAGTGCAAGATGCAGGACAACCTCGAGTTCCTCCAATTCGTAAAGCAATACTGGGACCAGCACTTCCCTGGCCACGACTACGACCCCGTCGCCCGCCGCGGCGCGAAAGCAGTACCCGGAGGCGGCGGCGGCGCACCTGCACCCCGAGCCGCGCCCGCAGCAGCCAGGAGAGCCCCTGCCGCCAGCAACACCGCCGCCCCGCGAACCCGAACGCCGCTCGCGGCCTCAGGAGGCGCAGCAAGCGCAGCTCTGAAGGAAGAGAACACACAACTTAAGGAGACTGTGTCTGGTCTGGAGCGCGAGCGCGACTTCTACTTCAGCAAGCTGAGGGACATCGAGCTGCTCATCCAGCAAGCTATGGAGGCCGACCCCGAGCTCGAGAAGGACGAGGGGCTCCTGAAGCAGATTCAGACCATCCTCTACTCGACCGAGGAGGGCTTCGAGATCCCCGCCGAAGGCGCCGAGGGACTCGACGAGGAGACTTTCTAGAGCATTCGCGAATTGCTGCCCTGCAAGGTTACATTTGAGACCAGAGTCAGCATGTTTCTTTAGCGCCTCAATGTAAGGAGCTTAATTTTCAAGCCATGAACTCGTGCGAGGGCAAGGTTCTTTGAACGCCAACGGAGGGCGAGGGGAGCAGATGACCGTATGTGTTCATCGATATTGCATTGGGGGCGCGAGCCGGGATACCACTTTTCTGCGTTTTGACGAATAACGAGTCGCACATGGAAGATGTGTGCGATATGAGTGGATGTAGCGACACTGAATACTGATCCAACGTTCCTCTTCGCCGCGCTCACCGTGATAGAATAGCGAAGTATTGTAGTAATCACTGTAGCCGTTATTACTTTACTCCTGACCCTGTCTCTACCCACACAGCTCTCGGATATTCCACCCCTCTGACAGCTCAGTTACGAATCCCCACTCCGCCAGCGCACCAACAACCAGCGTCCACGACGGCATCCCCACAAATCCCCTGCGCCCCACCGGCCAGAAGCCCATTACGCGCACAAGCCCACTCGGACCTGTTCATGATCTTTACACTGTGAAGAGAGGAATAGGAGATAGCGATGAACACGTGATGGTAACCCGATGTGATGCTGTATTGGAATACACTTTGTCTGTATCTAAAGAAGGGCAGCAAATTCACGATCAATTGCATCGAGTGCATGGAGCTAGCTTGGTTTATCATGCTCAACCCGTGGCCGGTACTCCAGCAGAGCCTCGACTTCTCTCCTCCACATGGCCAGCAACGAAGTGCAACCACAAAGCCGCCCACCGCGTACACACCCTACATGTCCTCCCTCGTAAACACCCCCCTCCCAACCCCCAAAAACTTCTCCCTCGTCCCAGACCGCCACCCATACGCCCCGTCCTTCACCTTCCGAAACCCCGTCGTGCACGTAAACACATCGCCCTGCCTATCGTCAGCCACAGCACTCTCCATACCACCCTCTCTCACTGTCGTTGTAACTCACCTCGACCTGACAACACGCCCATTCCCGCCTCCGAAAGCACTCCTCTGCATTCTCCGTTGGCGTGGGCGACGCACAGGGCGAGCCCAGGCGCCATGTGTGCAGGTCCGGACAGCACCCGTAGCGCTGCGAGGGGCATACGAGGCCGCGCGTGTGGGCGGGTGCGGTGAGCCAGTCGAGCGGGGAGTCGATGAACGCGGATGCCGAGAAAGCTAGGATTGAGGTGAGGAGTAGGGCAACGATGAGACTGAGGTGGTGGGGGCGCATGACTGCGGTGGCGTTGTGCTGTGTTGGGGAGGAGAGTGGGTTTGGGAGGCAGAGATGTTGGAATGAGTGGCGATGGTGGTTGGTGTGTGACGGGGTGTAGTACCCGCGGGTACGGGTCTTCTCAGAGGGTACGGTGCGACGAGGTGAAGGGGAAAGTTGTGTTGCTGATAGGGCGAAGATAAACCAGAAGAGTTGAAATGAGTGTACGAGGTTATGCAAATACCCAGAAACGTGTGTGGAGGTGCATTTACTTTTAATATTTACCAAGATAGTGGTTTTGAGGGTGCACTGAGGACATTGTAGCCAACGGCATCCACGAATGTGCAGCACAGTTACGGCCTCTTACCACTGCTGGGAGGTGTTCGGTACATTATTAGGAGCACAGAATCCGCACTGTTGTTGTTTCTAGTTGTAAGCATGAAGTTTTGATCTGGTTGGTGCCTCGTTAAAAACGAGCTCTTCCTTAAGATCACCCATCTGCGAAGGGATGCTAGAGATTCCCTACTACGAGGGCTTCGTGCCTTGTCTATCAGGGGACTTCATAATGTCTCCTTGATCAGGTCTCGGTATTACCAGAAGCCGCCAGCTCCGATCGGAGGTTCACAGGGAATAAGAACGACGTGGATGTGGAGTAGATGCGGGATGATTGACCGGAGCTTGCTCAGACAAGATGTGGGGAAGATCAGCGCCTAACCGCATTTAGCTGCTAGCCTGACGACTTTCGACGCGACTGCGGCTTGATCACCCCCTCCGCCGCATGGCCGCTCATGTTCCGCGCACGTTCTGGATTGCGAGCTGTCATTTTGTACACAAACACTTAATCCGGATGCGTAGAGAGGTGATGCTCCGACGTCGAGCGCCTCACCCACGTGCACCGACCCCGCACGTACAGCTACCCCTCCTGACCTCATGGTCGCCAAGTTTGCGTGTAGGCTTTATATATGATGAGCAATAGCTATCTTAACGTGTCTGCTGTACTTGTACCTGCTTCTACTGCAAGTTTCTGCAGCAATTGATCTTGATTCCCTTCCCTTGACACGCTGACCATTATCCGACCCTTCCGAATCCTTGAGCACCATTATGTCCGGCTGGGACGATCTCACCAAGGCGCTGGGGGGCAGCAAGGACAAATTGACTAAGCTTCTCCAGTCTGACGCCCAACTGAAGGCCTTCACCACCACAGACGCAATTGATAAGCCTGCGACGTTCGGCATCAAGTCAAGCGGCTCTGACAACACTCTCCTCATCGAAGTCAACAACGGCAGCGCAAAGGCCAGCACCGGTACCCTCCAAGGATGCCTTGTTCACGCTTTCGGCTCTGCCAGAGCAGTGGGAGCAGCACTTCAAAGAGACTCCCGTCATGCCTTACCAGAGCTACTGGGGCATGTTTGGCATGAACATCAAACAAAAAGGCATTGAAGTTCTAGGCGACCAGACTGCCTTCGCACAATGGACTCACGTGTGGCGACGCGTTCTCGAGCTCGTGCATGAGGCTCAATGTGGCCCACTGAAGGAGGAAGAGCAACCCGAGCAGGAGCGCGACTACCTCACCGGCCGATACGTCTTCCTTGACGCACCTGTCTGGGGTCGTTCCAAGGTCTTCTATGAGTTTTCTGGCGAGGGAAAACAGCAGATTGTCTTCCTGCACACGGCCGGTAGCGACAGTCGGCAGTATCATGGCGTCATGAACGACGCCCAGATGCGCAAGAAGTGCTCCATGTTCGCATTCGATCTTCCAGGGCACGGCCGTAGCTTTCCATCAAAAAACCTTCCGCCCGGTGCGCACACGAATACGGAGGACAGCTATGTAGGCATCATCGCAGCGTTTGTGAAAGAGCTCGGACTGCGAAGACCGATCATCTGTGGTGCAAGCATGGCTGGTCAGGTCTGTTTGGCAGTCGCTATTCGTCACAGGGAAGTTGGTGCTGGGGGCACGATCCCTCTGCAAGGGTTCGTATACATCTCGAGTATCGTTGTGGTATGCTAAGAAGCTCCAGATCTGATTACCTCAATATGGAACGCCAATGGCACGACCAGTCGCCACACGTGAACCAGTCACTTTTCAACCCAGAATGGATTTATGGCGTAGGTGGTCTTGTATGGACGTCTTGACTGTACTAACAAGAGCAGATGATGTCCCCAACTGCGCCCAAGGTTAACAAAGACCTGATCTGGCATCTTTACAGTGCACAGGCGTACGGCGTAAGTTTGGTTCTCCAGATTCACCTGCAAACAGACATTGAGTACATCCCCAGATTTTCCACGGCGACTTGGACTTCTATTTTGGAGGTTGGGACGGCCGCGCGCGCGTTGCGTCCATCGACACGAACAGCTGCCCTGTGTATATGCTGACAGGCGAATATGACTGGTCGAACACGCCTGAGATGGCGCAGAAAACGGCAGAAAAGATCCCTGGAGCTATGCACAAGGCGATGCCTGGCCTCGGACACTTTCCAGCGACGGAAAATCCGAAAGCGTTCGTACCGCACTTGATCGAGGCCATTGAGCACATCCAGAAGGTCAGAAGCGAGGGTCTGAGCACAATGCGTTTGGGTAATGGCACCGATTGAGCCTCACGAGCATGTAGCCAAGTGGTAGGCCTGGTGTATGTATGTAATCGCCCGCCGCGATTTGCTTGAAGTTGATTGAAGCGTTCTTTCTATTCCTTCGTGCGCTTACCTATCTCCAATGTCACTGTATGCCACGTGTTAACCGTAATGTTCCTTCCGTCTTCCAAGTTGCAGGCGCAGAGCTGGCTGCACCTGTGCACCTTACTAAACTTCAGAGAGTGATTGCGCACTCTCCCTCCACTCACATCTTCTAGTACATATTATCACAGGCATATACCACTGCCCACATTCTTTTACAGATGCATAATATCGCAGACATGTCATCCTCAACCCCGGCACGCGACAGGGAGCTCGCCCTGGCCACGATGGTCCAATTTCTTTCAGCAAGAGGAGAGGACGAATGCGCTATCTGTCTCGAGACGTAGAGCGTCGATCGGGCACCTGCTATTATACCGCACTGCCATCATGCTTTGTGCGTGCCTTGCCTCATCGAGACGCTCCTTTCCGGCACCGTCAACCATGATAGATGCCCGATGTGCCGTCACAGCATGCGTCAGGATCTCGACTTGGGTCGTATCTTGGCTTCAGGCATGTTATATACGTACAATTTTCTGAAAAGTTGACTGACACTCAGGTCCAGGCGCAGAACGTACCGGACGCAACGTACGCAGAAGTACGACACCACTGGGGCGTCGTACACAAAGTGGTATGATTCAGACTCATGACAACTTCAAATCTGCGAGAAACACCATACTTAGCATATGAGATCATGATCAGCACTGACAGAATGGTGTCACAGAATCGCGAGGCGACGTATCGTATTGCTTCACGGCTGATTGTAGCATGCTACAACCTGGTCAACATCAAGCATATTGTCCCCGGTCTCGGCAGCCGCGGACCGCGAGTACATCGGCGATTTCATTACATCGTCATCGGACAGCATCAGTGCCCGTGGACATGCAACACAGATTGTCGCCGTTGACCAATGAAATGCTCATTCTGAACCGCGAGTTGGCGAACTGGCATATTCGAGACGCGCCTCAAGTCCGACACGTACGACAGCCTTTTGCAAACGACTTTTCGTTCTACAGAAGCGACGATGCTAGAAGCCATGTGCGATCGACGCAACAGCAAGAGCAGCGGCGGCTCACGACGGGGCACGATGAAGCGCCGGTCACCGTCATGGATGCAAATGAACACTACGCTGCTTTAACACGACGGACTGAAAGAGCCATATCGCCATATCATTTTGCGTTCAACGGGGTGCCGCGAATTCAAAGATCGCCATCCTTTACGTTTAGTGCGTTGCATACTCGACCCCAACAGACACCTGAGGTCGCAGATCGAGTAGAGACCAATATAAACGCACGACGAGCTAGACGAGCTAGACCAACCGATGGAGATGGTAGCAGCTCTCCAACTACACACGAACAATTTGAAAGAGCTGGCTGGTGGAGTCCGCCTGACGATGACAGCCATTGAGATGCCTCTTCGTGGATTCACAAAGTGGGCGCGGACATGAAAGCGTGTCACCGCATCCATCAGTCAGGTAGACAGTTGAAATTGAAATGGGGCTAATTCTTTTGCTTGATCTCTCTTTTGTGGCTTCAATCGTAACGGAGTCAATCATGTCACGAGCAGTATGAAGCACACAAGATTGAGCGCTTTTTGGTGTGCATTTGGTTTTAGCCGGCGATTCAAGCAACATCGATTCTTGCAAACTACACTCCAGAGCGTCATCCAGTCCTGACCCATCTACCGATATAGCTAGTAAGCATAGTAGATGTTTTCCTCTGGCTTCTCGCGCCTCAATCTCCTGTTGGTTGTCTGCAGCCAGACCCTGAGTCCCCATGCACATGCAATCGTCATGAACGCAAAGGCAGCATTGCTAGCCATCGCCGTCAGGTACTTTGGCCCGTCGCTCTTCGGGTACAGATACGCCGTGTATATGTAACTTGCGTTCGCCACCACGTTAACGATCGACAGTGAGACAGCCTTCTTCTCAACCGTTTGTCCCAAGGTAGCTGATACCCACCCAATGATGACGGAGTTCACGGCGTACGCCCCAGATGCGAATAAGAAGCACGCAACGTATCGCGCCGCAACGTTCATGGTAGCGCAGGAGATAATGAACCCGACGAGCGCGGCGCCCATGCACGCCGTGATGTGCCACGTCCTCTCGTTGATCTTTCCTGACGTCCAGCCAATGAAGATGCCAAACGCACCCGATACGAGGTATGGCGGGCAGGTCAGCACCAGCGTGATGGTACGGCCGAAACCCAAGCTGCCGACCACAGTAGGGAAGAAGTTGTTGAAGCTGCAAGCCGACAGGTGCATGTTCTGCATCAGACACAGCAGGTATAGACGCGGGTCGCGGATGGCTTGCGCGAAGCCAGCACGGGCGCCCTTGGAAGGTTCGAGGCCGACGGTGTCGCGCACGATGCGGTCGTGGGCCATTTGGCGCTCGTCGGGGGTCAGCCAGCGGGTGGTGAGCGGGTAGTCGGGGAGCAGGAAGAGGCCGATTATGGCGACGCCGAATGTCACTGCGCCTTCGATGATGAAGAGCCTGGGGATCGTCAGTATTGTTCTGAGAGTGTGGGATATAGAGGTTTACCATTTCCAGCCCTGCAGGCCATGGGCGTTATCCAGCGACGCGAAAGTGGCTTCGGCAATGAGACCAGAGAACGAAGTTGCGAAGATGTTGCCTGAGTACAGGATACTGATGCGTGTTGCGATCTCTTTACGGGTGTAGAAGAGCGAGAGCAGGTATAGTGCACCTGGATAATAGGGCGCTTCAGCGACACCGAGGAAGAAACGAACAACGACAAGGCCGGTGTAGTTCTTAGTCAAGGCTGTGCAGGCAGATACGATGGCCCACATCATCATACAGATGCACATGTAGATTGAAGGGCGGACTTTCTGAGTGGACAGTAGCATGTTTGATGGAATCTGCATGAGCAGGTATCTTGGGTGGTTGTTAGCTGGCGTATAGCTGAAAGCGATGTGACAGCTTACCCAACGAAGAGGATGCTGATACATGTGTTATATTGCGTGCCTACCAGACCGAGGTCGTCTTCGAGATCGTTCAATCGCGCTTGTGCTATAGCGTTGCGGTCGAGGTAGTTCTGGTCATGGTCAGTCATTGATTCGGTCCGTGGCCATCAGTAATGAATGAGTAGATCAATGCTCACCAGGAAGTACATGGCCCATAGAATACCCATAATCCGTCTGTCTAGCTTCTTGACAAGGGCAATCTCCTTTGGGTCTGTCTTTGTGACAGCGCCAGAATAGTCGCCGCCATCCTCAAGCTTCAGATTCTCGGTAACCGCATCTTCCACATGGATCTCGGAAGGCTTCTCAGAGATGGCGTTATCAGTCTTCTTGTTGAACATGGTGACAGCGCTGAAGTGTTGTGCTGATCTCCAAAGCGAATGTCAGAGCTGATACCCCGACTTGACGGCTGACCCCAGCTTATATATTTCCCGGTGTATGGGGTCATCCCCATGGGGTATGCTCTTGGCTTAGAGGCCTATGTTGCTGCCGGTTAACGTACCAGGGTCGGTGAATGTTCCGGACAAAGAATGTCCGGTCAGAGTATGTTATGCTAACTTCGGCTGTGCGACCGGCAGACTTCTTGAATCTGCGCGGAGAAGAATCTCCGGAAGGATCTCAATGATGGAGAGGGCTCTGCGAAGCGACTACTAAAGGTCAGGTCATCGCCTGGTGACATCTTCCCGCTGGAAGTGGCAGTTTGGCTTTGCCCAAATGCTAGGATCTGAACGTTGGAGTCTGCTTCATTGACGATGCTGGCAGCAATAGCTAGCACTGTATTTATAGATTTCTCACCCATGCGAAAGCCCACGATGTTAGTTGATTGACGACAATAAGGACCAGTGCTGTAATGTATCAACTCACACGGTTGCAGCATTTCTTCCAGCAGTCAACCTTCCATACTCATGATGTTGCGATTCTCTTACGAATCGCACATAGTGGGTCGAAAATCCGGGGAAGAAATATCACCGCATTCGGTCTGAGAGCGGCGCAAGCCACACCGCTGTTGCTGTGGGAGCCGCAACAAGATAGTGCGCGCTTGGTAAGCTTGATTCTGACTGCAGTCCTTGGGCTTTCCTGGTCCGAGAGATGATCAATACCTAGCCATCGCTGCGGACTTCTGATTCTATGCATCCTGCACTCAAGTGTTGAGATTCCTGGCTCGCTGGATACTTATCGGAGTGCTGCTGTGTAACCACACGAGGCCTGCCAGCGGCTGTCTATTGGTCGCATGAAACTTCTTAGGATCACGATATGTATGTACAACACAGCACCGACGGAAAAGCCCGTTTAATCAAAGAGAAACGGTGGCATCCGTTGTTGAGAGCGTTCCAACCTCGAACGTTCCCGATTTCTCACCCAGACCAAGCCAAAAGCGGCTAGCACAGATTTTGCTCTCCAGCTCGCATCGCAGAGGAGCAGGGTACAAATACTATCAACTATGTACTTGGACAACATGAATAGATGGACTTTGATGGGTACGGCTCTGCTCGTCACACAGTCACTATCTTCAGTCCTCTTGAGCGTGCGTCAGTCTAACTCCATTCAAGCTTGAGACTTCGTCCCGCTTCCCCAGCAGCATTGGACGTGGACATGACGGTAATATGGCACAAGATATTTTGCGACTTCCAATAGCAGCCAGGAAACCAGCTGTGTTTTGGCTCCATCCGTCAAAGTCTTTCAACATCATTTTGAGAAATGCGGGTAGTTTCAAAGTCCTCGAGAGTACGACCTACAGCCTCGTATGTACTGATTGGTATCTCGTGCCGTATTCTCGATGCAGGGATGAAGATAGCACAGTTTCACAGCAGATGCCACCACATGCACAACATGACGTAACCGTGTAACCTCCAAAGATTGTCGTGTTTGTAGGCTCGAGAAACAGTCTCAACCCCACCATTGCTTGCGGCATTGCCAAAGATGCAGTCCGAGACACAGACGACTTCGCCGTTGCTGCAAGGCAAGGGTGCGTGCTAATCGTCTGTGCAGGTTGACGCCTTTGAATGCACACAACAAACGGCCACTGCAAACCGGCCTAGGTGAAAGGAAGCAAATGAGCCACTCGCCGTTGCATCAACGCCTGCATCTTCGCTTGGCCATGCGACAGAACTTTTCTTCACCCTCCCTGTCACCACCGCAGCCATACCCCACCTGTTCATCAACTCAGGACCAAGATCTACCAGGAACTGTGCCGTCGCCAGCATCAACGCAATCTGAGCCTACAGGACCAACACAAGATATCGCCAGCATGAGAGCGACACATATCCGCCCTCGCAACGCACGCGCCTCTCCAGAGAGGCCGGGCACAGCATGTAGCACGCGCTCCACAATTCGCCGAGTTGAGCCTTCACCAGACAGCCGTGACGATGCGCTTGCCAATAGCTACGCAGCCAGCGAGACCCCAGCACCTGGACTTACCTTTGAGCCGTTCCCCCCCTTCGAAGTCTCTGGGTCTGACAACACTGTTCTCAACGACGAGCCCTACGCGTACGTCTCTAACACTGACCCCACTGCCAGCGTCGAAGGAGCTTTACGCCGCGGCGGCACGCCCTCAGGCCGCACCTCGCCGCGCAAGAGCCGCTCGTGCTCTCCGCAGAAGTCGCGGAGCCAGTCTCCACGCAAGCACCTAGTCCGCACTCCCACGCTGCCAGCGCACCAGGAAAGTCCGTCGTCAGCATACTCCGCTTCCGACTCCGAGAAATGGGAAGCCCCGGATACGCCCTCGCCAGTCTCGCGCCAGCAGCAGAAAGATCTGTATGCGCCGTTGAAAGTCCAGAAGCCGTTTGCCGAGAACGGTAGAATTGAGTCGGGGCCTGGCCATGGGACGCATGCGCGCATCGCGGAGTACATGCGGAAGCTGCAGAATACGCGCAGCGGCGGGACGGCAGAGGGAGCGGGAGAGCATGTGCCGACGTCCGAGCCAATACAGAGGGTCGGGGCGCCTGTGCCACACATTGTGCAGGCTATGGCGCAGCCTAGTAGGGCGTCTGTGATGCTATCTCCTTTCTCTGCTGCACAGAGGCAGGCTCAGAACGACAGGGAGCCAGCACGCCATACTGATGCGTCGAGGCGCAGCGAGGCCTCTGGTGCTTCTGTGGCAAGCAGACACAGCATCTTCTCGACGCCGGGTAGAGACGAGATGGAGAGAAAGAAGCCGATTGTTGAGGAGGATGAGGGACCCTTCGCGAAGGCGACCAACATGCAGGATCTTGAGCGAAAGAGGAGGAGGGTGAGTGAGGCCACGGAGGAGAGCGGAGAGAACGAAGAGAGGAGGAGGTTCTGCGGCATACGATGTGTAGTCATGTAAGGTGGTCGTGGTGGAGCGTTCTTGGCTCATGATTTGAGAGCTACCACTATCCGTGGACATGTTCCTCGTGGAGACCAATTGTATAATGACGGACAATGAGTGCAACTGTGTAGGAGTCGTAAATAGTATACCTTTGCAATGGTCCTTTCCGGCTTGAGATGAAGTCAACTTCGGGACTCGCAGTGTGCTCTCACGTTCGAACTTGCGAGTTTTTTGGTCGTTGTCAAACATGATTATTTACTGTTCCTCCCCCTTCACTACCAACAGCCTCTCGGTTTCGACCAAATTGACGTGCATAGTCGACGCGAGATGGTTCTGCAAAGATTATCAGTCAATGAGCGCCAATATATACAACATGGCCGCAAGCCTCGAAGGTATTTCAAGATGGGTAGCTGCAGTTGGTTGGGACAGGTCTGACCTTGCTACACCACTACAATGTAGGCTGAATTGCATCTTCAAGGCAATGAGCAGGACACAGGACATCTGAAAATGCTAGCACGAGTGCCATGGAACATTGCTAGTCGGCACCTGAGAGCCACAGGTTCAAAGAAGAGCTTGCGCAAGTCCGCCAAAGCTAGTGGGAAACGAGCTTCAGCTACTTCTATAGTCGGACAACCTCGTGCGGATTTGCTGTGATGTAGGTAAAGATTGCAGGTGGACTGCAGCTAGCGATGCGTATTGTGCGTCGTAGCTAGAGCGGAGCTAGACATCGAAAGCAGCAAATCAAGAAGCTACTCATCCTTCCCAGTAGTCGATTCAACAGCGAAGTCAAGAGCCTGTATTATGTCCGATCCAAAAACGACGGTCATATATGCGGGAAAGACGACCCAGAGACCGCTAGTCTTCGTCAGCAAGAAGCGCCCGTTCTGTGCATCAGACTTGGAACTTACTTCATGATGCCGTAGAAGACAAGAATAGTGAACCAGTCATTGTGACTTATGCTCTTGAAATTGGAAAAGTATTCGTTAAAGTCTAGTTTTATTAGTTAATCATCTTGAACGCGCCGAACCTACTCACAGTATAGCACTGTCTTACTGAGCGTCATGACAGCAGCCGTGAAACCAATGAGCAGCGCGCGGTTTCCGTTCTTGCCGCGGACTTTGCGGCCGCCTGATAACCACGCGGTCCATCCCTCGGCACTTACATCGAGGCCGGTACCAGTCGCGGCAGGAACGCTGTGATTATAAATGATCATGACGTATAGACCGTACAAAATCGTTTCCACGGCGTTGAGCGCGCCTTGCGCGCCGCCAAAGCCGTCGTTGCTTTCCCAGCCAGGCCAACCATATACGTAATCAATCGAAGCATAAATCTCGTATGGCTTCCAGATCGGCCATTGTAGAAACCCTCCAGCCATCGTGTGTGGCCGAAGCAAGATGTATAGGGTGTCCCATAACACTAGGGGCAGAGAGATTGCGAGCCACAGAATTGTGAGGTTCGATGCTGTATGGCACCATCCCGTCTCGTTAATCTCTGCCGGCGAAGGTGGCGCAATAGCATCAACCGCGTTGGAAGTCTTGGAAATTACGCGTCTGGCGACTGCTTTTGCGGCGGGGGAGACATTGGAGGCGAGGGTACGTGTGGGACTCGTAGGGCTCGTGGGCGCAGGAGACGCGGTCGAAGTGCGCGAGGGTCTCTTCGTTGGCGAAGGCTCGAACGCAGGAAAATCGCCCTGAGGATGCTGGCGAGTTGAGACCATTGTAGCGATTGGACTCTTGCGACTGCGATTGCGATTGCAATTACACGACTTATGGGGTGAAAAGGGCTTGAGGTCTACTGGCACGCGTGGTGTTAACGTCAACGTCTCGGACGTCATTGGCAGCCACCCTCGGGTGTTCCCTCTCCGGCTGCTTTACGCCTGGAAAGGGAAGGCGCCGCGGCACATATCGAGCGGCAACGATTTGATCTAGCTCAGCGCGACGATTATTTGATTGGTCGCGATATGCACACCTCTCGTCGATCGTCTCTGCAGTGTGCGCTTCAACTTGATCTTGTATCTCCCAACCGGATTCAACCTCCGTGAAGTGTCAATGGTGCGCACTGCAATGCTCCATAAATTGGATAAATTTAGAGAAGACCCACACGCCAGAACTTGAACGCCTATCTCATTTGGCCGAACTCTGAACTCACTACGAGCCCCCTTCTGTTTCTTGAAGGGTTGTTTACGAGAAAACAAATATGATCTGCCTATTAGTACAAGGAACATACGAGTAGGTAGGTTGTTGAATCGCTTGCAAGTGCACTGGTCTTCGAGGTGGATACTCAACTTCGGCAACCCCCACAAACGTTGCCTTGTTTACTTTTGTTCCCGTGGAAAGCATTCCGTTGCCGTGATCCGTGTGGGTTCGCGCTAAGCTGTTGTAATTGCTGTGGCTCGATCGAGTTCTGTCTCCGGGCGTGCATTTCGACTCCTTAATTTCCCAGAATGCAATGTTCCTCAGAGCTCAACAATTTAGATGGTGTCAATACGAGCTTGAACAGCCCTGTGTTGCAGTTCTTGGCCAAGCAGTAATCCTCCGTTCAGGGCGATCCCAACTCCCGGTTTGTGGTCACGTCTATCTACGGCGTAGTTGGTGGATCTGCAGAGGGCGCGGTAGATGAGCGGTCGCGCCACATCGCGGATCGATTGGCCAGTGAAGCGAAATAGTGAGTTGCAGCGAAAACGAACAACAAATTTGGGCTGCGGGTCACAACATGACCGCTGTAGGGATCGAGATTGCTTTTCCACCGGAAGTGACTGAGCTTGGGTTTGCAGGAGTCTGCCAGGAGGAAACAATACAGTCCCGGACAGTCAACGGACAAAAGTGACTCGAAGGCCGACCGCGCCGCAGCACCAACTCCGCCGCGCGCTCTTCGGCAGGAAGTGTCACCCTGTTCCGCCAAGGGCCTCGCACGTCTTGCCTGAACGACGACCGAGGCCTTCAAACACCAAGCGTCCGCCGCCGGCGCCGCTGAGCCAGTTTTGAGATCATGGGGCCGGTCCGGCAAAGGTCTTGCAGGGACTGAACAGAGCCGAGTATTCGTCATCTGTATGAAACGCCCGTCAATCTGTCAGCGGCAAGGCATTTGACGTGACAAGCGGCGAAACAAGCGTGACGCGGAGGTAGAACGGAACCAAGAGCTGTGCGGTGGCACTTCGCGATATTGTGATGGTTATCGTCGCGTGCATGCTGCTTAAACTTGAGGTTGATGCAAGTACCTTTTTCAGACGAACCGAGACTGAGTAGATTGGAGGGCATTTGCTTTTCTCGCGTTGCATATGGCGCGCGCATGTAGAAACGAAGCATCAAAGCTTGCTGTATGGTTTGCAAGATCGCTCGCCTGTCTGGGATAGTAAGTTCGCTCATGAATACCGTATAGTAGGTATGTCCTTACTGACACGTCGCTGCTCTCTGCAAGTATAGCCGTTATCAAGCTGTCAAAGCGCAGGCCATGTCTCGATAGCAACGGCATGAAAGCCACCCACTTTAACGAGCATCAATTAGAGGACCCCAGGTATGCATGTCACACAACTACGCCAGGAATCATGGCGGTCTGGAGCCGCCTGCGTCGTACAACAGTCCAGTAAAGTCGAACGCGAAGAGCTTGTCTCGTTTGCATTGCTTGACACAAGTTGACAGGCATCTGCATGCCTTCCTCAAACGGCGACAGCCACGGCGCTATGGTGGTCCACCTGTTCCTTCCATACACGCACGTTACCTAGGTACGGCGAACACCTGTGAAGCTGCTGGCAACAAAGCCTTGGTCTGTATCAAGGTGACGGGTCACGCAAGGTTGGTTCGCAGGACAACAATGCTGGCAACCTGAGGGTCAGGTTGCGCATGATCTCAGAAACAATGCAAGCCAGCCCTGAACCAGCGTTGTGCAGCTTGGGTTCATGCGCAGAGAGACGAGGTGAAGCTGATGGCGCTGCTAGCGAAGATGCAAACAACGAGAACGGTTTGCGCCGTCCGAAGAACCGGCGATACGACTCTTGTCGACGGCGAGACTACGAAGTACCAGGCCTGTGGTTCTGGAGGAGTTTGAATTGTCCTTGTCAAACCGGCTACTGGGGTTACCTGCTGTGGCACGACGGCTTCTTCCTGCGCAGGCGGAAAACCTTGTAATATGCTCATTGCTGCGACCGCAGCAGGCTAGAGCATCGCTGTGAATCGAGGCTGATGGTAGGAATGAGATTAAGGGTTGCCCAGACACTCGAGACGCATGACACGTGATGCCTCGACGGCAGACTGACGCCCACGCGGCCTGTCTCGAACTGCTTGTCTCTCAAAAGCGAGCTGCGCCCGAGGCGCTTACCGTCGATGACGCAGCCTTCTGCCATCGTGGACTCGGAGAGCCGAATCCTTCAGGCCGAAGGATCATTTGAAACGGCCTTTTTCGCGAGTGGCTTGCGGGGGCGCTGTTTCAGTGTCCGCAGTCCCGCCTAAACGCCGAATGGGAGCCAACGAACCCAATCCTCCTAGAGCGCTACCCTGGTCCCTGCAGCGCTAGCTCATCCTCCAATCGTGGCCTGCAAAGGCCCTATGATAATCAAACTCTCCTCCCTTCATACCCACTGGTGGCCCACGGCTAAGAAAGATCTCCTCTTCTTCTTCCCCAACATCGTTTGCCCAAGTCGTTCTTTACTTTCGCTTCAGTTCTGCCCTGCCGTTCTCGCCTCGACACCGGCCTTTCCAAGACATTTTCCCCTGGTGGACGAATTATCAAGGCCGATCGCATTGACTCTTCTCCTTTCTGCAATCACGTCACCTGTATTTCCGGATCTGCCCTTGCTTCACTCACCTGGCTGCCCTGTCCTCGACCACCGCGGGCGCTGTCACCAATCCACCAGACGTCAAGTGAGTGTCCAGACAAGCCTCTGTGCCACCGCCCAGCTTTGGCCTTACGGACGTGCCCAAGAAAGGCTAGACCGACGCACCTACGATCAATTGAAGAGACGGCTTGAGCATTCACTCAGTCCATTTGGGACCCACGGCTTTCGCCTCTTACGCATCTCTGTCAATTGCTGGCCAAGACAGATCACACTCACTACCTGTCTTCAAGAACGTAAAAGGATCGACCATACCTGGATCCATCCACAACAACAATGACTTTCTCAGAGCCTCTCGGCGAGATTGTGAAGCGTGCGGGCGATGAGGACCCCACCGCAGGGCTTGAGAACATCGATGTCCAGAACTACCTTGGCCGCATCTGGTGGTGCTTCGTTGTGGTCTTCACCGTGTACCAGATTGTCCTCTACTTCACCCGATACGTCCGCACCGTATCATGCCTCAACAATGAGACTCAGCGCTACTTCTCCGTTCCCAACCACATGTACGCCCGCTTCAAGAAGTCGTTCCTCGACGCACCCTTCTGGCGCACTCGTCACCACCGCGAATTCAAGATGTCCGCTGCCCTTGGCATGGGAACACTGCCCAGTCGCCTCCAGAGCTTTTTCCTCATCGGCTACTTTGCCGTTAACGTCGGATTCTGTGTCTGGAAGATTGACTACAGCAGCTTCGCAGCCGGTGCTGGTGAGCTCCTCAGCCGTTCAGGTGTCATGGCAGTCATGAACATGATCCCTCTATTCCTCCTCGCCGGCCGCAACAACCCCATCATCAAGCTCACTGGCATTTCCTTCGATACCATGAACCTGATCCATCGCTGGTTCGGACGAATTGTGGTTCTTGAGGCTATTGCCCACACTGTCTGCTGGATCGCCAACAAGGTCCAATCCAGTAAGTGCACGAACAACATACCACGTCAAATAGGCGCTAACTAGCAAACAGAGGGCTGGGCTGCTGTTCAGGCATCGATTACTCACAGCGAGTTCATCATGACAGGACTCATTGTACGTAATCACACTACTGACTGCTTACAAGCGCTAATCGTTCCCTAGGGCACCGTCGCGTTCACCTTCCTTCTCCTCCAGTCTCCCTCCCCTGTCCGCCACTCCTTCTACGAGGTCTTCCTACACGGCCACATTGCCGGTGCCGCAGTCGCCCTTGGTGCGGTTTGGGTCCACTTGAAGGCGCGCCCGCAACAGTTGATGCTTTATGGCGTTGTCGCTCTCTGGGCTGCCGAGCGCACCATGCGCTTTGCTCGCCTCATTATGAACAACGTTGGCAAAGGCGGCTCCACAGCTGACATCGACGTTTTGCCCGGCGACGCGCTCCGAATCACTGTCAAGATGGCACGCCCTTGGAGTTTCCGCCCTGGTCAGCATGCCTACCTCTACATGCCTTCGGTCGGCCTCTGGACCAACCACCCGTTCTCCATCGCTTGGAGCGAGGAGGAGGAGGATCCCCACCACATCGATGAGAAGAGTCTCCCCATGACTAGCAATGACCTTGCTCTCCAGAAGTCTAAGACTAGCATGTCGTTCATTGTCCGCCGACGAACCGGCTTCACCGACAAGCTTTTCCAGAAGGCCAATCTATCTGCTTCTGGCCGGATCTCCATTCCCTGCTTTGCCGAGGGACCCTATGGTGGTGAGGACCTCAGCTCCTATGGTACAGTCATGCTCTGGGCGGCAGGCATTGGTATCACTCATCAGGTGCCTCACGTCCGTGACATCGTCGCTGGCTACGCCAACGGCACAGTCGCTACACGCCGTCTCACCCTTGTCTGGATCATCCAGTCCCCTGAGCATCTCGAGTGGATCCGGACCTGGATGACACACATTCTCGCCATGCCGCGCCGCCGCGAGATCTTGAAGATCCTGCTCTTTGTCACCCGCCCTCGCAGCACAAAAGAGATTCACTCCCCATCTTCAAGTGTTCAGATGTTCCCTGGTAGGCCGAACGTCCAGAGCCTCGTCGACCAGGAGATGCATGAGGGCATCGGTGCCGCTTGCGTCACTACCTGCGGTACCGGTGCTCTTGCAGACGATCTTCGTCGCGCAGTTCGTAACCGCGAGATGCAGTGGAATGTTGATTTCCGCGAGGAGTCTTTCTCGTGGTAGTTCATGAGCATCTTATCCACTTTCGTCTGCACTGTTTCCACTCGGTATACCCCATATCACGACACTACTCGCCATCTCTTGACACCTATCGAAAGCCAAGATCTATCGCAATACAAGCTCTGCTTATTCGTTGTACACATTAACTACGTTCTTCCGGCTTTGCCCGTCTCCTTCCAATATACTGTCGTTAAAATATTTCCCTTCATCTACTGCGTAGAGAAAGGCACCTAGGTAGAAGTGGCTCATGAATAACAGCATGTCGCCACCGAGTTTCTCTGTCAGAATGTTTACTGTATATATGGATAGTCTATCCCGAGGAAATCGACGACATTACATGACCAGCTGCCACTCCACATCTGACACTCAGACGCTGAATCTCAGATCATAGCCTCCGGACTTTGCGTTGCCGCCTCGTGCATCTCCTCCATTGCCAACCGATCCTGAATTCCCTTCCATCCCCTCAGCACCACATCAGCCATCACCCCATTCCGTCCGAGCTTCTTCACCGCCTCTTCAACAGTTACGAGATAACTCTTATACGTCGCTTCTTCCTCATCGACCCCCGTCCCCTCGTGATGCACTGGCTCATACCCCTCCGGCTCCATTGCTAATCTCTCCCTCAGCGTCAAAGTGGGCGGGTACGCCGGCGGCTGCTTATACGCAGCGCCTACGTCCGTCAGCAGCTCCACCTCAAGATCAGGCGGAAGCGTCTCCGCAATGTACCAGTACAACACGTACTGCATCGACCCATGCCCGAGCGGCATCATCTGCATCCAAACAGGTTCCGCAGTAAGCGGCGGTGAGTCGACGCGCGGATGTGCTTGCGGCTGGCGGTGCTTGGTCGGCAGCGGGAGGAGCCGATTGCGGTAGCCGGACTACGGAACCTCGTCAGCACTAACATCTCCTTTGAGCATGCACAACTCACTTCCTCGTAGCCCTCGCGCTCAGCTCCCGCGCGACTGTCTTCTCCTACGTCGCGCCGCCCTTTGGGCAGGAAGTAGTATTTGTCTCCCCGCCGGCCGCGCGCGCTGCAGATCACGACGCGTTGCGTTGCGAGGTGGAAGATCGCGACACCGCCGCCTACGACGAGATCTTCGCCTGAATACTGTGCGACGATAGGCGGGAAGGAGGTGCGTGGTGGTTCGACGTGAGGCATAGCGGGTGGTGGAGCCTGGTAAGTAGTTGATGGTAACATAGAGCAACTTCAGGTCAGGTTACAAGGACGGAGGTGTAGATGGGGTATCTTAACCTCAGGCTGGAATGTTTTGAGGGAGTCATTGTTGAGTATTGTACCACGTTGATGCCTACGATGTGGCTGCGTATGGTTCACCGGAGCTGTGTTGACAGGTGAGGAGCATGCCTCGCGCACTACGTCACAGTTGACCGAAACCCGAGGCGAGCTCGGTTAGTCTTCCCCACAAGTCGAATATTTGACAATGAGGGCACTATGGATGGTGCGTTTAGAGACGGCAGACCTCCCGCAGCTGTTAGAGAATATCTATCATGTGTTTGCTTAACCTTCCATGAAATCAGTAAATAACTGGCCTAATGGCCCAATGGCAAGGCGCTTGACTACGATTAAAATCCAAAATCAAGAGATTCCAGGTTCGACCCCTGGTTAGGTCAATTCTTTTGCTTCCTCATGTCCTTTTTTGTTTTTGTGAACTTGTGCAAAGCTTTTCCGAGTCTCGCTTGCGGGCATCTTCTCTCTCACGTCGGAGAGAGAACGGCAGACCAAGGACGTTAGCCAAGACCCAGCCAAATATACCACACGACAGTAAAGTAGGGAAAATACCAAAAAACCCTATAGAATGCGTTCTTACCTACATTAAAGGTGATACTCAACTAGATTTCAACTTCGGGTACTGTGATAACTACGTGTCGAGGTTGGTTAGCCTGGAGCTCGCATATCCGCCATTTCCCTGAAACATGAGCGCTTCTGTCCATGTTCATCGACATACATATCATCCGCCAGCGGCAAAGGCTTGATCTCGGCGCCATGGTCATCGCTGTCGAAGTATTGTCATGACCCTTGATATGCTTCTCATGTACTCCTCCGACTGAAGCCTGACCATCGGTTTTCTGGAAACAAATAGTTGAGCGGGGGATGCGAACGGCGATACTTATGTAACAATGAATGAGGGTGTTCAGGCGGCTCAAACTGTGTTCTTCTGCCCGCCGGAAGTTCGTCTTAGCCTTGCGACAGGCTGAGCTTGGCTTCCCTCACTTTGTTTGTCCAAGTGCCCAAAGTGAACGTGAGCTATGACTAGTGCCTTCGTGCCTTCCGTCCGCACATCTCACTTTCAGTCCCTACCCTCTGTCCTGTTCCTCTCGCATACGACAATGCCGACGTATCGTAGCATCAATATTGAGTTGCACTCGCAGTTCGACATCATCACGCTCCCAGAGTATTACCCGCCGCCTTTCCTGCACCCGCTCGACTCGCCTCTCGATCCACCTCTCGACGCCTCTCTCGATGCCGCCCTCGATGCAACCCTCAGACCCTCTCGAGACCCTTCTCCCATCATCCCACCCCTCATAGACGACTTAACATCAACATGTTCCGTCCATGTCCCCGCAATGCCCGGAAGCCAGTTCTGGATCTCGTACTCGGTATCCCCGCCCGTGCCAGAGGGCCATTATTTCCTGTTCAAGATGTATGTCGACGGCGAGCAGGTGATGAGCTGGAGCACAGGGCGCGAGAACGATTGGATGGGGAAAACTATGTTTGGGTTGTTTGAGAGCGAGGGAGGCAGCAGTGGCAAGAGCAGGGTCGAGAAGAGGGTGCTTTGCTTCGGCGCGCTGGGTAGTGAGGGCGGGTGTGTTGAAATTAGAGTGCACCGCGCAAGCGGAAGGGTGCGGGTCGAGAGGGAGATGCAGGTGTTTGAGGAGACGAGGTTTGCAAAGGGCGAAGGGGGGATTCGGTGAGTCTGCGGAGAGCGAGGTGTTTGGAAAGTACACACTGACATGTACAGGCTTGTGAATGCTGGACGCGCCGGTCCCGAGCATCCCAAGCGGTTCTACAAGTTTGCGCTTATCGATCCGGTGGACCAGCCGTTTGCGACGTTTCGGTACTACTATTACACTTGGAGACAGCTGGGCGATCTTGGACTGCTGAACTTTAGTTACTATCCACAGAGCGAAGAGAACGACATGCCTGTCATCGAGCCTGGTGAGGACGGCACGAACGATTACAACGACGCATATGGTGCAACGACAGAGGATGTTGTTCACACCGACTTGGGGGACGACCTGCTAGCCGATAGCGACGGCATTCCGATCCACGACTGGGGTAAGACCGAGCAGACAACGCAAGATGCCTACAAGTACACCTTCCAACCATTCCACAGCACCTCTCATCTTAGACGCTCATCGCTACGCAGTGACAACATCGCATCGGGTACCTACGTACCACGCGGCGCCCCCGCATCAGAAGTCTCGACTGGGAGCCCGCCGTCACGGCGCTGCCGCAGCCGCAGGGACCTTCATCGCCTATCCATGCCACCCTCAATCAGACTGGAAGCCCCAGAACCAGCACTACGGCCTCTGCCTGTCCCACAAAAGAACAGCGCCTCGCCATCTACGGCCTATCGTCCACATCCCGCGTACCCCGTGGAAGAGTGGACTATCAGGACTCCATCTCCGGTGAGGACTATTCGAGAAGATATTACCACACCACCGCTACAAAAGAAGAGAGGCCTGGGTATTACGGGTGCAGGTCTGATGGGTGTGATTTCGTCGACGTGGAAGAGGACTGTTAGTGGTGCTCAGGCTCCTAGGAAGAGCAGAGTCGTTGATGGACCCCGCAGTGTGTCGTGTTGAATATTGGTCGCGGATATGTCATGAGAATGTCTGCAATACATTATTGATTGCGGAACAGCACCTCTGCTATGGATTAGTCGACGCCAGTGTCCGCAGAGCGTGAGGCAAGCAAGCGAGCAAGCGAGCAATGCAGACAAAAACGTTACCTTGTAATCCTAACGTACATCTTACATTCAAGATCTACCCAAAAAGCAGAAGATGACGCTGAAAGGCAAACGTGAGAGAAGAGTCGCATCCCAAGCCAACAATGGACGAATGTAGCGCATGGAAAGTGCCGAGGATATGCCGAGGACGTGCCGACGCTAAACCGGGTCGGGACGATCCGCAACAACAAACATTGAGATCGAGTCTCTCACTTCTCACTTCACGACGCCCCAGCGGTGTCATATCTTCCTACGATAGCAGAAATTACCACATGTACACCCGCATGTCTTAGCAAATATATATACACGCATCATCATGACCAATGACGAGGTGCTACCCTGGAACGTCTCGCGATGCAATCGCCTGCTACGACCGCTGTCGTCCAAACTCGCGAAACTGCGAAAGGAGCTTGAATTGCCTCGAACAGTCCAACCAGAGCTGCGCGCAGCTTCCTCGGCTTTTGCGACCAAAAATACGCCCCAGAAGACGACGAACTTTACACGGCCAGCACTCAAACCGCGGGGGTTCGAGAAGGCGCGCGACCCAGACTGGAGGCCTGGTGTGAAGGGGATCAAGAAGACATATGGGGGACGTAAGGCGAGGAACCTGTCTGGGCCGAGCCTGGACAGCGCCCATGCGGACAATGTAGCTCGGCCTGGCGCAATTGCGTTCACGCCTCTCATTGCGCGCATGGGGGGACACTTGATGGACAGTCCCCTTGCGCAAGGCTCGCCGTTGAAGAAGTACACGATGAACCGAGAGCCCCTCGTTCCAAATATGGATCAGAACGAGGCACTTGGGCTCCACGTGCGACCGGAGGTGGCGAAGCTCATGAATGGTATCCTGCAGGCATACGCCAACATTCTGAAAGCAACGAAAGAGAAGAAACGTGGACAAGGAACAAATTCGCTCATGAATACTTGCCTAAAGAAGCTCCCAGCCTATATCGAACTTGTCGAGTATTTTGCGGAGCTGGACCAGTTGGAAGAGGAGGAAGAAATGGACGGTCGAGATGTTGCGAGTGATGTATACGAGCAGCTTGAGACGCACTTCGAACAGCGGCGTGGACAAGGCTGGCGTCCTTTCAAGCAGGTTGTGCGAGCACATGCCACGTCGCTGATGTGCAGAGCTGTTGCAGATGCAGCTTATTTCAGGCTGAATTTACCGACCTTTCTGAGCTACTGCCTATCCGTAGGCGCATTTGATGAGGCTGAGGAGATGCTTTTAGCCGCCCTACCTGCATTGGAGCCTCTGCCTATACCTGTCAACGTCAGAGCCAATCTGTTCAGCCACAAGTCCATGTATATGTCAGCTGTAAGGAACTTTGTGGTTCGCAGCGGCCGGTACCGCTTCCTCTACGACCTCCTCGAGCACATGGTCGCCCACGAGCTCCTGCCTCTGGAGTGGCTAGCAACGTCACACATGCGCCCGGTTTGGGACCAGTTGGTACGCGCGGTCACTGAAGGTCATAGTCACACATTGGCATCTTGTTCGCGCTTCCTCGAGACCTGTTTGCTTGCGGGTATGGGCCTTCCTGACGAGCGTCTTCTTGCTGACGAAGTCACTGGCTCGGCTGCGCGACGGTTTGTGCCTTCTACCCGGGAAGACCTGCGCCAGGCTCTAGATGCGACCTTCTCGACCCTTCTCAATGTGCTGTGCAGCATAGGTCTGTCCAACAGCGGTCGTGACGATGCTGCTGGCAAAGCCATTGCACAAAGAGTCTCTGAGACATTTGAGGTCATCGTGGTCGCCCTTGCGTCTCGAACAGATATTGATCTTGAGCTGAAACTACTTCAAGCAGATTCAGACGATCTCCAGATTTTTGCGCAACGCGCTTGTTGGCTCATCTTTGGCTCTTTCCTCGTGCGGCTCGATGCGCCCACCACAGACCGTTCAATGGTGGATCTGTCACCTTCCACACTGATATACATCATGAACGATATTACATCTCATTACTCAGTGAATGGTGTCAATTCCTTGGCTGTCCTTTCTACACTTCCCCCGCTTGTCTCGGCTACAGCACGTGGTACAGGCCGCATTTGGCAAGATGATGGCTTTGGCGAGCTCCAACGTCTCGTCCAGGCTATGATAACCATGTCTGGCCACCATCTTCCACATAAGTTGTGGACGATGAAGCGGATTGCCCTAGAGTCCGCCACCGAATTTGCCAACTACACTGACGAAGCAGAGCACCTCAAATACGCACACGACATAGAAAAGCAAATGCGTATCTCAGGCCGCCTCGTCATTATGCCCACACCCCGAAAAACCGGCACGCCATCCAGCGCTGCCGGCGGCTTCAGATGGGAAGACGGCATCGGCGAATGGGTCGCCTGCACGCCCTTCATCAAGCAATTCACGCGCCCCCAGCAGAAACCCGTCCGCGCGCTCCAGCTCCTGCCGACCCCCGCACACTCCGACGACGCGTCCACAGACTCGGCCCAGGACTCCGAGCACGAAGGCGAGCACGACCCCATCCCCTCGTCGCCCATGCTCCGCTCGAGCCCCCTCAAACGCGCGGCCCCCCGCGCGGCCTCGTCGTTCGGCAAACGTGCCCGCGCAGCTAGTCCGCACGTTCTGATCCCTGCGAAGCGCGCGTGCAATGCGTTGAATGTGCCGTTCTACCCCGAGCTTGTCGATGAGATAGCCGAGAGCGCGTCTGAAAATGCGGACAATGACACTTCAGAAGACAGCTCCGAGAACACATACAAAGATAAGCCTACAGACCAGCCTCCGAGCAGCGGCAGGTGCTTGCGGCGCAGCACAATGACCCACACACTCCGCCACAAAGTGCCAACGCAGCGCTCACGCGCGTCGCCCGCAAGCGGGCTGCGCGATGTGAGACGCGTGGCGTATGAATTTGGTGCCGATGGGGCGGATGAGGATAGTGAGGACGAGTTGAGTTTTGGGTTTTGACGGGCTTTTGTTCGAAGAGGGGGCCACGGTAGTTGGTTGGTGTTGGTGTTGGGTTTGACATTGGTGTCGGGCCTGGGGACTTAGTGTCGGACCTGATGTTTGGCGTTATGTTGGTTGATTGTATCGAGATACCCTATTTGTTATACATTATCGAATACTTTGCATGTCATCTGCTTCTTATTCACGTATGTGTATGTTTGACTGGGTGCCAAGTCCTCAATCAATAGTAAGTGCGCGGGCACGTTGTGCGCACTGTGGTTGCGGCAGGATAAGATCAAGCATGTGCTCTGCTCTGTGGGTTGGCAGTCTGCCTACAGATCTCGTGGGTAAGGTGTAAAGATGAGAATGCGTTGTGCACATGACCACAAGTATTCCAGGCTCGGATGTGTAGCGAGATACTTCGATTGAGGATCTTTTCGGGGCGTCTGCTCACGCGCTTCATCGAGTTGGAAACTTTCTTGGATATTACGAGTCACCATTGCCTAGTGCCACATACTGCTGTTTCAGAGGACACTAGATGTATAACATCCGTCTGCGAGAAGAGAACAACGATGCACACACCGAGAAAGAGATGTTGAAATTCGGAAAGAGGACATCATTGAAGCGTTTAAATAGAAGCTCTGTCTGTTGTAATGTTTACGAGTTATCCTGAAGACATACAGTGGCTGCGAATCTGGTACAAGGGCCTCCAATTATCTAGAGAGCTCCAGTGTATGCATGGGTATAGCAAGACATACGAAGAGATCCGCACTAGGTCCTCTAATGATAAGGTTATCATCTGGAGCTTGACCAGAGTCTTAGGGCACGATTTGAGTTGCTAAACTCCACGCACGGAAGCTTCCATCTGCGCAGGATGTCATTACAAGAATCGAAGCAGGGCTGGGCATTGCAGTAGACGATAAGTTTTACGGCAATGGATTGGTCCCAGAGTATCAGCGATTACTTGCCGAGAAGGGATCGACAGAGCTTATTCAGCTCCTGGAATCCGCCCTACTTTCGCGCCAGACGCGCCGAAAGAACATTCGAAATCGCGTCAAGCAAGGATATTTGAAGAAGCTCAAGGAGGAGAACAAAAGAAGCCTGAAACTAGCAGAGCATAACCAACAGGGAACTACCAACAGAGGCAGATTTTCGAACGACTTGAAAGAAGCTCAGCACTCAGACATCAACCTGATCTCAAATAACACAGCGTTTCTTGATAATACCGACAGCGAAGCGAGTGATGATGATCTGGAGGCGGCTCCACTCCCCGATGACCTTGCCAGAGAGGGTCCTCGCCTAGAACCCGATGAATGGATCGGACTACCCGACAAAGCTGTCGTGCAACCCGATCAGGGAGCAGCCTATTTCCAATGGATCAGAAGGGAAAGTGAAGCAGAGGATAGAAGATCGAGAGGTATAGATTTGTAGATGGATCACGAAGGTATACCCTCACCCTTTTTATAGCTTTGCGTCACTAAGAGAGACTAGAAACCTCGTGCCACACGGAACGGTCTGCAGTGTATTCTCTGCCTTCTAGATCCGACATGCACTCAGAGCGATAAGAGCAAGACCAGAACTCGGGATGCACTCGATAGCCATCTCAAGACCTCGTTCCACGACCGAGAGTCGCAACTGAAGCGCGCCGTTGTTGCTGAGGCGGGAACTGAGATCAATTGTTCTTGTTGTGGAGATGAAATGCGTAAAAATATGGTGCTATCGCACATCATGGAAGAGCACGGAGCATTGGTGTGGAGGAAAGGAGAATGAGACGAATGAGTGAGCAAGGTATTGATTGTTCGCCCAGATATTAACATCCCTAGCCTGAGACTGCTGATGAGTTATTCCAGCTTTATTTTACGGCCAAGTAGCTCTCATGCCCTTAATAGCATAAGGCTCAAGCCGTGAATACAAAACACAATGGGCGGCTTATTATATTCCTGCTCGAATCTGCACGAGCTGCACTGTCGTTACATCTCAGGGTCTTTAATCTTCCTCACAACGATTCTTCTTCATCAACCTTCTGCCCATCTCCATCATCTTCATCCTCGTCGTCCTCTGTGTCATCCGTGTCATCCGGATCAACGGACCTAGCCTTCAAAGCCTCTACCCGATCAATATGCTTGTCATGCAGATCGATCCGCATTGTGTATTCCTCAAGCAGTGTGGCCTTGAAGGAGGTATATGACTCGTTCGCCGAGGCATACATCTCGTCCTGGTCAACAGCGTTGAGCAGGTGCTTATTGAGAATGACATCAAGGTTCAGTGAGGTTTTTGGGGCGCCAGCGACTTGGCGGAAGCGTTCAGTTCCAGCTTGGAACAGGGTATGAAGGGCCCTTAACACCCTGATCTTCTCGGTGAGCATGGTGGTACAGAAGTCTCGGTATTCGTCCTCGTCGTCTTCAGAGAAAGACGGCGCGTTGCCGGGGTGAAGGATAGCAGCAGCCTCGAGCGTATCTTTTAACCCTTGCCGCAGCACTGATGTGTCGCCTGCTTGCATCTCAGAGTTTTGCAGCCACTTTCTAGAAAAGTTGAGAATGACAAACTTCAAATGTTTGTACCGAATACCTTGGCTAAGGGCTCGTAGTGTTTGGGCAACGTCAGAACGGGACCTGGGAACACGATGATCTTCTCAACTTCCTTGTCCGAGAAAAGATTCTAGTCTGAGCAGCATGAGAATGTGGAAATGGGCGGCTCAAAGGCACGTTAACGACTACAAAATGCTGGCAGGAGCTCGTACCGAAGTAGTGTCGTGTCGCAGTCTTTTCTTCGCCGCTCTCTTGCTCAGCCTTGTCATCGTCCGAACATTCACTCACAGGACAGAGAGTTGTACGCTGTTGTGGAGCTTGAACACAGTGGTTGAGAGAGCTGTAGTTGGTGGGGTGGGGTGGGGAAAGTAATATAGGGTTAGGCCGTGATAGACGATGGATACCTGTTACGTTTTTGTATCCACTTTTGCAATGGAAGCGGGCTAGCAAAGCTAGGTGAGAGAGCGTTGGTGGCTACCTCACTCAATCTAGCGCCAGGTAAGAGAGCGTTTAATCGCTGCCTGGTTCAATATGGCGCCAGGTAAGAGAGCGCTTGATGGTCAGTCTGGCGCCAGCGAACTTCACTGAGGAGCTCCTACCATTCAGATAGATTGACTACGATGCCTTCGACTCGGTTCTTCAGTGTCATTGCGAGAGAATTTGCTGCGGACAAGGTCTGATATCTTGCTGTGTTGGCTTGCGCCCACATCTTCTTCAATTCCTCTGGCGAGTACCCACGCTCCTTCAATCTGAATGCAGTAATATCGAATTCAGTCATGACTCGTTGCGTATACGCACCCAGTGCTCCGCTGTTAGGGTTGTGATGAGCATAGTTTCGTGCTTCCTCTGTACCCTTTCGGAGCTGCCTATCGGATAGCGCATCGCGTCGAAAGCTATACATTGTATTGCGTTCGAGCAATCCCACATTTATGCATATGTCTTGCACCTTGGGGCTCAACGCTGATTCTCGCATTGCATTGTCGACCATCGGACTACCCAAATCGCATGCTACTAGAACTGCTTGAGTATCGACTTTCGCATCCATGCACGTGATAAACTTCTCATTACCATGAAGACATGACGTTGCTCAAGGAGACGAGGAATACAGACCCTTAGGGAGGAGAGGATAATGTTGAATCATTGCCCAGGGATCAAGGCGAAGAAGCGATAGGGGATGAGGTGGCGATCGTCGATGGTGCTGGTGGAAGGCAGCAATACGAGACTGGCTGCAGCATGTCTATGATATAAGTTTGTATGCCAGTGCTAAGCTGTACATGCTTGAAGCTGGAATATCTACGAGTGATATCGACGTCGTGGTGTAACGACAGATGCAATGAGACTCCCAACGCCTGAATGTACTCTATATGGTGCATATGTCGCAATACAAAGGAGATAAATGACAAGAAGGAGAAAGATTCGCTCAAAATCATCTCGCTCACATGACAAGGCAGCCGCCGGGACCACTTCTCGCGCGCCGCCTACGCCCGATACCACCAGTGGTACCGGCACCACCCTCTTCTTCGTCAGCATGCATCATCTGCGCTTCACGCGCTCTCCTACGACGGCGTCTGGCGCCAGCACCACCTACGCCCGCCTCCTCGTTCATCATCATCCAGTCCGCCCACTTGCGTTCCAGCCTCGCCGCTGCAGCAAAGTCGCCTCTCAGCACACGCTTTGTGTGCTCTTCAACTGTGGGCTGCCAGCTGTAGAAACACTTCAGGCCAATGACTTCGCGAGGATATGTGGCTGTCTGGCTCGCAGCGTTGGGCGACGGACGCGATATTTCTGCGTTGCGTGACAGGACTTCTCGGACTCCTGTCCAAGTGACATTTGCACAGTCATAAGCGACAATACGCAGGCCAATATGCGGACGCTCGGAGCTGGATAGGGCACGAGCGAGACGGTTACGGATGCGCATGCTTGCTGCTGCTTCGGTGAGGACAAGGTCCGAAATGCGGGTGTTGTCCATCTCAAGCGAGGTCAGGCTAGTGCACGCTTTGAGGACAGGCAACATGCCGGAGTCGCCGAGATTTTCGCAGTAGGAAATGCAAAGATGCTTAAGGTGAGCTGCGAATGGACCTGCGGCCAAGGTCTTGAGAACCTCATTCGAAAGATTTTCGAGCTCTTCCACATCGAGATGTGTCAGAACGGGCAATGTAGGAAGCAGAGAGATCAGGGCATCGTCCGTCAAGCCTCCGCACTTCGACAGCTGGAGGCCTTCCAGGAACGGCACATTGTCGACCAGAGTCTTCGCGCCAACGTCGGTGATGGTGCGGCAGCGTGTGAGATCCAAGTGCTTTAGCCTGCGAGGTGGCACTATTGGTCGTTCGGTGAGAACGTCGATCTCCTGGTCGACACCTTCAATGAGAGCAGCGAGAGACTCATCATTGAGGCTATCGCAGTTCATCAAGACCAGCCTCTCGAGGGTGTTGCGTTCGAAAAGCTCAGCCATGAGCTCGACATCATCCCAGCCTCGCACTTCGCCCGCTCGCAGATCTCGAAGCTTGGGACAGCCCTGGACGACCTTGATTAGTCCACGGTGGTCAATGTTGTTGCACCAGGATATGTTAAGGACCTCTACCCGTGGGCAGTTTGTGGCAATGATTTTCATCGCGGCATTCGTCGCGTTGGCCAAACCGGACAGGTTGACATGGACGAGACGTGAGTTGGACAGGAGGAATGTGTGGATGGATGATCGGTCGATCCGACAACCCTCGAGCGAAAAGTTTTCAAGATTTTGGCAGGCCTCGAGGAAGCCATTCTTGTTCCATCGCTCGCGTAGTTGGACGCAGCCTCGCAGGTTGAGGTCCTTTACGAATGGGCCAGCAGACTTGATGATATTGATCAACGCGTCTGCTGGGATGTTGCGGTAGTATTTGCTAGTATCCAAGTTACTCCATAGCTGGCCGTCGAAGCACATTGCGTGCCATGACTTGGACACAAGTGAGCACCGCACGATCTGCTTGGGTGTAAGGTATTGGAGGACCTGCATGCGGATCTCTGCTGGCATGTCGCCCCAGAAATTCAAGGCTGGCCTCCTAGGAGCGGCCTTGCGAAGAGGTTGCGAAAAGTAGTCGCCTTCGACATCCAAGCCAGCCCTTGAGTGTAGTCTGCGTCCAGAGGGAAGAGGCATCGAAGAGGCGAGATCGGGTGTCCTCATGCGCAAACGGAACTTCTCGTCGTAGAAGGGACTGCCAGGCGGACTGTTGGCGACAGACGTGGGTGCTGTCGAAAAGCCATTAGACAGCTCCGACGAGTACGAGCTGCCGTACGATTGTCCATAGGGCGAGCCCGTCCCGGCCAGCGAAACGCACGACATTGAGGCCTTGGGTTGGCTCCTTAAGCTGTGCGATCGCGTCCTGCCCATGGCTGCCAGGCTCAGGCTCGGCGAGGAGCCCATCCGGTGCAGGCCGCTGAGCAGCCGTTGTCTGCCCGTGGGCTTCGGTCGGTCGGTCGGGGTGTCGATGGTTGAGGTGCCAGTCGTCGGCATGTCTAACTCTGCTGGGTGCTCGAGGACCACGGCGTCAATAGATGTTGGCTCCATCTTGCTATGTCTGCAAGACCGCGGGTCACGGCGATAGCAACGCGTGCGGAGAGAAAGGGCCCTAGTGATGTCTTGATGTAATGAGGGACAAACACCCAAGACAGTGGGTGACAGGGCCAAACTCCACGTTTATGTCGTTGCTGCAAACTAAGAAAGTAAAAGAACACAGCCAACCGGGTAGTTGGGTCTGCGCGCTTTTTGGGAGCCACCGGTACAGCCGCAGCTCTAGAAAGCGGGGAGCGGAGGCCCGTGAGAGCGCCGATGTGAGCGCTAGGAGGCGAGGCGTGGGTCGACGAGCCTCAGCCGCGGAGGCGAGACTTGAACATGCAAAAACTGGAGCAGGGTATCGACTTGCATCTCAGAGGAGAAGGTAGCAAATCGACCATCGAAGCTTAAGATATCTTGTGCATTAAGGGCTCACCTTCCACTGCAGCGGGTGGCCGTTGTTATCGTCGCTATCGGTTGGCTATCGATTAGGGGAGCACGACCCACCCGTCCACGTGCGCCACCTGCTGGATCACCGGCACAACCCTCTGGAGGCGCCGGTCAAGCGACCGTCTTGTGCAAGCTGTCGCGTGCAGCGACGGCATTGGGATGCCAACCACAAGGTTTGATTTCCTGCTTGAACGCCCAAACAGTCGCGTTCTTGTAGCCTGCGAGTCTCAGGACAAACTCTCGGTCGGTCTGCTCCTGAGTCCTGCGGCTCGCAGTGCCGTGATATGCAGGGCAGATTCGCACTAATGGCCAAGTCCACCAATCTGGACCAAAACCAGAAAGAGGCTGTGGGGAGCCCAGCCCGCCCAGGAACGGCCCCAGACCTTGAGCCAGATGCCGACTTCACCCACTCTGCGACAATACACAGTATGGTAGGGAGAATACACAAAGCTGCTAAAGAATGCTTTTTGCCTACAATATAGGGAATGCTTAAATAAAATTAGCTACAGGTTCTGTATCAAAGTTGGTTGACTTCAAGGTTGCTTTCCGCTATTGTTTCTGAAGCTCGAGTCAGGGTCCTTCCAGTCCGCGCCACCAGCGCTGCTGTGTTGCTGATCTTGCAACTCACAACGGGACCTTTTGGGCATCTGCTCGAGCTGGAGCAGGCTTCGCTGCTCTCAGCATGAGGTCAGATGCAAGCCTGAGGCTGCTGCATGAACAGCACACCACTGACTGAGGACGTGATTGGCAGGCGTCTGAGACCTGTGGTAGGCGTGACCTCTGGTGCGATAAGGGCAGTACATCGCGACTTGAGTGTGCACGCGGACAGTGCAAAGCCTACCCTTGCATTATCGCTCTGCGCTGAGAAAGACATCCTGGAGGCTGACAGAGGATATTGAAAGGCGCGCAACGCGCTTATGTCCATGCAGGTCGTAGATGCAGCGCAATCGGGTGCAGAATGTGAGTTGAGGTACGTCGGCGCTGAACAACAGTCACTGCATACCTCGACGCCTCTTGTAGTACCGAGGTCTCATTGATCATCCAATGGAGCCACCGCTAGTACGCAGTGCTGTCTATAACACACAGGTCAACCGTACGTGTACCTACATCAACCAAGCCGGTTCGCACCGCTGGCAAGGCCAACACTACTAAAACCGACGACCTCTCTCTTGTCCAGCGCTGCCACGACAGTGCACAGAACGCCTGCAGCAATGAGACCTGCCCGCGCCAGGTTCAACACGCCCCACCTATCGATCAGGGCATGTGTGGTCTCAGCCTCCGCGACACCAGCCTCGACAGCCTTGTCTTCCAGTGAGGTCGACTCGAGCTGCCTCATCCTAGCCTCCAACTTTTTGTTCAGCGGCACAATGAACGCAAAGGTGAACGGCACGATACCAGGGATGAGGATGGCTGCTGCGACGTTGAGCTTGAAGGGGAGGGAGGATGGGTCCTCTGTCCTTTGTCAGCATTATATACGTAGACAAATATGGGGCGCAGGCGTACGGTTGTAGGCAACATAGGCGCTTGCGAGGCCGCTTATAATGGCGAGCGGCCTGCCGTAGAATCCGCCGTTGATGAGGAGAGTAAACCACTGCTTTGCCGCCAGAGGCGCTGGAGCTTGCATCACAGCAGGCACGGCATTGAGTGACAGTCCTGCATTTGACCCTGTGCTCGCGCTGTCAGTCATGTATGTGACGACAAGTTGACTGTCTGAGCTTAAGCTATGTGCTCACCCAGTAGGTACCCGCTTGCCGTGATGCCGACTGCCTGTGCGATGAAAAGCCCAGGCGGCGTCTTTTGATTGAACAGAGAAGCCATGTTGAATTCAATTATAGCGTACGATAAGAATTTGAGACGTGAATGCGTTGAAGGAGGACTGGTGCTGTCTAAGGGTAGCTGCCTAGCTCCCTAGCTCTAGCTCCCCACGATTGCGGCCAGACATGTGCCACCGAACTACTGCAACTGCAACTGTGATACTGGGAGTAGCACGCGATGTTAGAACGTATACCCTCTAGGTATTATCTTTAATTGCACAATGGCTGCTACGAACTCACATCCTCCTTCAAATGGCCCACAAACCTGCTATGTATGCCTCTCCAATTCTCCTCACACTTCCCTCTCACCGTGCCCACCAACATCCGATTCGCTTTGATCTCCACATCCTCGACTAGACTCAGCTCACCCTCCCCGTCAACCACATTCGCGCCCTTCTCCTCCCCCAGCGTCGCGCGCTTAACAACGCGCCACGTTGTCGTCTGCACCAACCCCAACGGCGCGCGAATCACCCACTCAATGCCGTCCTCTGTGTTCGTGATCTCTGCTTCGAACGTGACCGTCGTGTCCCACAGTCCCTTCGGGAGCGTGTGCATGTTATCTGTCACCTTGTAGCGCTTTGTGTCGGGGGCGGCAGTCGGCGAGGGAAGTGTCTCGTAGTGCGCGAGTTCCGGGTCGAGCCGGATGAGCAGGTCGTGGTTGTGCAGGCACACGAGGGCGCGCGCGAGGGTTGTGGATGCCGGGAGGTGCGTGACATGGTGCAGGGTGGCGGTCGAGGTGAAAGCTGGGGCTGTTAGGACCGCGTGGCCAGCGTGGTGGAGGAGCGCTGACAGAACATGCTGGCGCGCTGGCTGAGCTGGCTGAGCTGTGCGCGGTGTTATTACGCGTCTCAGACGTGTTTTTGGGCTATCTGATGAGGTGGTGAGCGAGAAATGGAGTGCGATTAGAGAAGGACACGCTTGACATATGGTCAAGGGCATGTGAGGTTGACGCTGATGTTGACGTCAGTAGTGTAGCGTTGCGGTTTCATCAAAGATTGTTCTTTTCAAAATTCGACGACCTCCGTTTCTTCTCGGTAGCAGGCCGGAGAAGTTCGGGCGCTCCCAAGTCCAGTCCAGTGCACATTCTCGCCACCCGGTATACCGGAGAGCAGGGGAGGGGGGGTCGAGAGTAGCATGTCCAAAGCACAACTACATCGCCGTCCCAAAGTAGGGCCGGGGACTGTGGGGCGTATCCGCACGGGTACCGTAACAACTGCGCTTCTAGCTACATAGTACAACGTAACATGAATCTGTGGCGAATGTATACATTTCCGTCGCTTTTAGGCAAGAGGTTGCGTTCTTTTGACGCTTTGTCGCTGCGCGGCCATCGGGAATGCGTCTCCTAGCGCCTGTGATTTCGACAACATGAGACGATACGTTTGCCATCCTTGTGAAGTACAGGCCAATTGATTGGTCGCGAAAACGCCCCATATATCGTCAAAGGATCATCCGATAACACTGTTGACTGCTTTGCATCGAATCCCAAGACTTTTTGTTACACAAAAGCAACGCATTGGTGGCCCCGCCCCACCCCTAGCGCACGTCCAAACAATTATCCCATGTCCTCCGCACCGACCTCACCTCCGCTTAACAACGCGTCAGTTGACATTATCACAACTTTTTCGACGCCTCTCGCCCATTCATGCGCGCCGCACATCTCCTGGATCGCGTCGGTTGCTAAGCTCTCGGTCAAGCAAGTACTTCCGCCCTGTTCCAGGCCATCATGCCACTGTTGGATCATCTACACTCCCAAATTAAACACCAAGGAACGCAGGGAGGAAACTTCGACCTCCCTGACTCGAGCTACTTGCTAGGCTTCGATGAGGAGAAGTTGAAAGCTTTACCTATCAAAAGCTACATCCGCCGCCTCTGGCTTCCCTTTGAGAGCGGTAAAGGGGACTTGCCAAAGTTGTACCTTGAACATCACGCTAAAGAGCTTGCAAGCCATGTATCCGCTACCGTCAAGGATATTGCCGATCAGCCTGATGGGGTGAACAATGAACTTGAACATCCAAACTTCACGTACGATGAGGATCGTACAAGACCTTATAAGTTCCTTGAGGAACAGGCGGAACACCTTCTCGTCACGCTTGACTATGGCAACATACTATGGGGTGACCGGAAATATTGCACAGTCCCCCTTTGCAATGCAAAGATCGAGGCCGGGTACGAAACGCCCCCTAAGTGGCCGCAAGATAGAGATCGGTATGTCATATCTCATCATAACTTGTGAACAGGCCACTTATGTTGCACAGGATCTTGCTGGCAGTCCGTCAGTGGCTAGCTGCTCAGCTGCAAGTTGCAAACCTCAAACCCCGTGAGAAACTCGTTCCTCAAGTAGTCAGTCCAGAAGATCCTCATCAGAGACGGGCAGAGTTAGCCGCTCTGAGTGCCAGTCTGGTACGCGAAAATTCCCCAGAGAGGAGCCTTGACGAGCCTGAACCCAATCCCTCCTGGCACTTTAAGATAGAAGCGACACCAAGTCCCCCTCTCACGCCACAAATAGACACGCGGCGCTCGTCCACACGTCTACGTGCCGGTTCATCATCAGCACATGCTGGTCCATTATCAGCACCATCATCAGCACATGGCGGTCCATCATCAGCACATGGCGGTCCATCATCAGCACATGCTGGTCCATCATCAGTATGCAGCACTAGAGCTGCTACACCAGCCGCCAGCTCCGCTCGCAGAAGCGCTGTCAGCATCTTTGCTGAGAGACGCAGTACAGGTGCTCGATCGTCTTCGAAGAGGAAATACAACGAGCATACCTACTCGCGCAGACAGGGCAAGAGACCACGTGTTCATGGAGGCGCCTCTGAAGCTGAAACCCTCACTCATGTGCAGGTAGAGCTAAGTGTTGACGCGGACAGCGTGCGAACACCAGACCCAGCTGATAGTACTACCACTGACCACGATGACACACATACGCCAACACTTCGTCGGAGCCAGCGAAGATCGACATTAGTAGACAATATCCGACAGGTCCAATTCAATCGACAAGAGATAAAAGCGGTCGACCATTCTATGACACCTGGCTCTCAGCCAGGATCAGTGCACACCCCTCGACGTCGAGAAGGCGAAGATATTAAGGTACCTCCCCACAGTACAAGAATACTCTGCTCTCTGATTCACGCGCTATGGGGCAATGCTAATCTCCCCTGCCCTCCACAGCAGGTATCCGGTCCCACGAAAATCCTCGTAGGCTCACAGTCGCCCATGGCATTGGCTAACACGCATCCAACAAAAGCAAGATCCACATCTGCACCAAGTACATCTTCTCTCTATGAAGAAATCGCAGACCTAAAAAGCGTCTCCAATGACAGTAGTGGGTTGGATCTGGTAGATGCCGATGTACCATGTCCTACAACATCCGACATGATCGTCGCTCAGGAACAGCCTGAGTCAGAAGCGAGCTCGCAGATGGGTAGCCCCACTCTCCCCACCGATCAAGAGAAGGGGATTCAGCCAGAAGTCGATATTGAAGACGCCTCGAGAGGTCTGGAACCCGAGGGCGAAAATGCGAAGATCGAGATTGAGCAGCCAATAGTTGTCGCAAGCAGGGCTGGAAGTGAAGCCATAGTCGACATACAGGAGCAAATCAGGGATGCCACTCCAGCAAGCACGACGTCTGAACAGGAGCCTGGTCACCACGAATACGTAGATTCCGGCATCAATCTTTATGATCCGCAGCATCAAGCCGTTTCCGAATCGCCAGACCAGTTCCACGGCGTCGCTAGCATATGTCAAGCAACTGTGGCAACGCAGGGATTTTTGGATGCATTGCAGGGCGATGAAGGTGGCAGCACGGTATCCTACCAACCAAAAAATCGACCTCCAGGCTCCAGACGTTCGTCATCTCGACTCCCTTTTTTAGACGGGACGGCTGAGCAAGTTCAGCCAAGAGGTGCCCACAGCTCACTTGGAACATCTTCTGACCCTGAAGACTTTGCATCGATACCCCTGCTTGGAATTCGTCCTTTGCCTCCAGGTGCTAGCGAGAAGATTCCGCGGTGCTCTGGGTGCCACCATTCGCTCGACAGAGTCAAGGACGTCCTGGGGGGCGGCAAAGAATTCGCACAGTGGAGAAAGAAGTGCGTCTATTGTCGTCAAGTTGATGGACCCCGTCCCCGACCGTGTAGGTGCCATTCATGTCAAGAATCACCACCGCTGGAAGACGAGAACAACGCAACCGTGGGAGATGCGCCACCACCGCTAGAAGACAAGAACAATGCAACCGTGGGAGATGCGCCACCACCGCTAGAAGCCAAGAACAATGCAACAGTGAGAGATGCGCCACCACAGCTGGAAGACGAGGACAACGCAATAGTGGGAGATGCGCCAATTGAGATAATTCACGCACCAGATGTTGAACAGCTTTCCACCCCAACCCTTGAACGTAGGTGTGCGCCGCGTTCTAGTCCGTCTCCCGTGGTCAATCGTGTGGTCGAATCTCAGCAGCTATCTGCCGAAAATCCAGTGATCAATGCTGCGGCAGAACCGTCCATGCAAAATGGACAAGCTGAAGAGTTGGGGACTGGTGTTGGAGATGCTATTGTAGTGTCAGATGACGCCTTAGACGGAGACTATGACTTGGACGCATGGTCAGAACAGCACTACGACGATGCTTATGACGCTGCACCACTGGATGTTGCTTATGACGCTGCACCACTAGACGCTGCTTATGACGCTGCACCGCTAGACGCTGCTTATGACGCTGCACCACGAGACGCTGCTTATGACGCCGCACTACTGGACGCGCCTTTCGAGATCCCAGTACCGTACACACCTCTTAATCTACCAGAGTCCGTGGAGTTCATAAGTCCCGAGAGCCATAGGGGTGGTATCGAGTCATCATCAGCCATGGGCATTGCAACGCTTGGAACGACAGAGAACACTTTCAATCCAACGCCATTCGGCCAGGTTCCACGCACCGGTATGCAAGGAAGTCAACCCCAGCCGGAGCCCTGGCGTTACAGCCTTCCGAGCACAGGCCTAATGGAGTCTTTGACACCGTATGCACCAAGGATCAAATCCCAGTTTCAGAGTATATTAAAAAGCAGACTGCGTGATGATCAACGCATGAGTACGCCCTCAGGTTCGTCCAAAGGTGCCCCCTATGCTTTGACTACATCTGTATCGCCCCAGCGGATTGTTTTGCTGAAAGAGATGGTGAAAAGCTACGAGCGCATTTTTGAGGGGGGTCTCACTGTGGAAGATGTTCTCAATGATATCATCCCACGAGTTGACGGCCTGTATTCTAATTCGATGAAGAGGACGCAGAACAGTTTTGCGGGAAAGTTGAGCATCGAACTTATCAAACAATCATCCGCATTGGATCGACTGTACAAACAAGGCTTCAGGCCTAGGGTTACAGGCACCCTTACCTACAGCGACAACAGCTTCACGTGTGCTACAAAGCTCGACCAGCTCCACTATTGGTTCGTCAACGCTGTGGGTTCGTGGGGCGATGCCGAAGTCATTCGGTTACTGGCCTATTGCTACGATCTGGTCATGGTGTTGACCAATGATCTTCCTCTCAAGCCGAGCGCTTCAGATGACGGCATTTTTCAGGACATGGTCGCCATATACGATGAAGAACGGACATGGCTTTGGAATGCGATTCCGAGGGAGCCGACTGCGTTGGCTCCTAGTCCTTCCGTGCCGGAGCCGTTCAACACGCGTCCGTCATCTGTCAATGCAGGTGCATCTCCCATTTCTATCCCGCCGCTTGAGAAAACACGTCGGGCAAGCACTGCTGTCGTAAATAGGACGCCACCAGTTCTGCTTGATGAAGGGACGGGACCGCCAACAGTTGACAAAGGTCTCGTGCCGGATTCAGTTGACCGAGGTTTCAAACAACCTCCATCTCTCAGTCAGCGGTTGGAGTCCGGCATTCTGTCTTTTCTCCGTGGATCAAAAGAAAACCGCGCCGGGCAATAAGAGCAACACCAGCCAGGCACGAGCGCTTGAACCGAGATCCGATGATGGGTGACTTTGTTCGGCAAGTACAGTGCAAGTCGCCTGAAGGGAGTGGTCGCCTCTACGCCGCCACAATCCCTACACACACGTCTCATCATCACTTTCCCATCACAGCGGTCTCGTCTAGCCAACAGCTGCTGCAACCTGGACTCGTAGCTTGAGTAACTGGAATCACGATTCGCCATCCAGACTTCTGGCCATCTGAAGCGCGCACAAAAAGAAGGGTCTCACATTTTACACATTATTTTGAGCGGTTTATCTATCTAATGGGATCTCTTACATCAATTTCACATATACGTAGACACGTGTATATAGTGAAAACCACATTCCTCCACCACCCCGTGCCATCACCAGGCTTTTGCACGTGTACCCTGTTTCGAAGCGCAACCTGCGCCAGATCACCTCACAGTCACACACACGCAGTCTCCCCCGCCAGCCCCGCGTCTCCTGCACCACAGACCCGCACAGACCTCCCAGCCACACGCCTCAACAGAATCCACGTCCTTTGTCCAACCCCTCTCACGCCACTATATCACATACTCTTCCGCGAATGGCAAGATCGCCAGTGGAGCAGCACTGCGGGCCCGTCGTCACGAACTGCATGCGCGACTAAATGGAGACAGCCGTGCAGGTGTGGAACGAGATATGTGGGGTCGGGCTCTCATGCTCTCATTTTGTAGGATAGACGGTGGACTGAGGATGTAAGCCATGTATTTCACAGGTTGGAAGCGGCGGTGTACGGCGCGGAGCTTGTCTCTCACGTTTCTGAAAAAATGGCGGGTAAGTAGCTATTATAATGATGAACTAAAATTCTGTCAAGTAATGTATAAATTGTAGGTAAAAAGGCATTATATGGAGTTTTTAGTGTGTTTCCTACTTTACTATCGTGCTTGTGTCGTGCGGACTTCCGTGATCGATGGCGGCTCGGCCCGACTGCGCTACTGTTGAAAATCGGTTCGGATAGTCAATTTTAGGTCTGTTAGCGGACCAATCAGATAATGGCTATGGAGATATCACCGGTAGTTCGTATCTGATAGGCTCGCTCGCTGAACCAAAGTTGACCAAATCAAACAATGTTCGCTTGAGAATGAGATGACACCACGTTGACGATGCACAGCAGGTATTTGGAAGTAGGTGTTGTGCTATCTAGTACTTCTTGTTTTTTCCGAGAGGGGAACAGAGATGGCTCCTTTCACAGTGTTCGCACTTCCTTGCAATGCATATACTACGACGTCCAAAGCCAGACATCAGAAAAATGTGATGCATCAGCTGAGACGACATGCAGCGTAGATGCTCAAAACATGTTCGGGCGTGGCCTGCGAGAGCCATAGATCCATCGTGATCCATGGCCTATGGTCTCTACACACCCATGCTCTTACCGACACGAACGACCTTCGGAGCCTTTGCAGGCTTCGCGCCGTTCTGCTTCTGCCGCATCCGCTCTTCAATCTTCTCCACCTTGATCTTTAGACCCTCGTTCTGCTGCAGAAGAGCTTCAAGCTCAGCCGGGTTTTCGATCGTCTTACGCAGACGAAGATTGGCGAGATTGTTCGCAAGACAGTCGTAGATAGGGTCATTATCGGGGTACGCGGCGGCGACTACCTTGCGCAAGAATCCGTCGACAGCGTTGTTAGAGCGAATACGATCGCAGAAAATCTTGGTAAAGTGGCCGACATACATGCTATGGAGACCAAGGACACGTGCAGCACGACAAATCTGGAGATTCTTGTCATCGAATTTCTCGTCGGAGTGGAGAGTAATGGAGTACACACGACCTTGGAACGTCATCTCCTTCATCCAGGTCAAGTGTGCTGTCGCAGCAGTAACGTCCATCGAACCATCCGGAAGACTGAAGGAGGTGGCATCCGGGTTGTCCGAGAGGTGCCTGAATGCCTTCGATGAGCATTGCATAAGGATATACTTCGGCACTGTAGCCAGATAGGTCTCGCCCATCTTGACCACAACCTTGGGTCCATTTGCAAAAAGGGAGCGCTCTGCAAGACTCTTTGTTCGAATATCGGCTGAGGGATTCATCTTAGGCGCTGGTCCGTCCTCAGCAGCGTTGGCCGACACAGCTTTGACTGTTGTCTTTGATGCAGGTGTCTTGGTGACTGGTTTCTTCGCGAACTTCGTCAGGTCGACAGGCATCCTGAGCTTGGGTGCAGGAGGTGGTGGTGCAACCTGCTTGACAGTGGCTGGAGTGGAAAAGATCGGGAATCCGGAGAGGTTCACCGTAGGGCCTTTCGCCTTCAAGGGAGTGGTCTTAGTAGAAGGGATACCTGAAGTACCGTTGAGATCAACCTCCTTGATCTTCTGCTGCACCATATGCTCAGACGACAGAACCTCTTTGTCCTTATTCTCGGTTTTATATGATTTATCGTCCGTCGGACCAATCTGAAGAATCTCAGAGGCTTCGTTCGAAGAAGCCTGAGTGGAGTTGTCACCCACACTGAACTCGGCGATTGTTGCGCAATGCTCATCGACCTCGGTCTCGAGGGCAGAGATGCGGCGGTCCTTCTCATCCACGTCTGCAACCAATTTCTGCACATGGAGAAACTGCTTGTGGTTCTCCTTTTTCAACTCCTCAATCTGAGCAGCAGAAGCATCTACGACACCCTGAAGCTCGGTAAGGCGAAGCTGTTGTTCCTCGAGGGTGGCCCCAAGCTCGATGATGCGGATATACTTCTCTTGTAGCGAAGTCTCAAGATCTGTTAACAAAGCGTTCTTGGCGGCGATGGTCTTTTCTAGTTCTCCAATGCGTGTGGATGAGGTGAACGATGCAAGGAATTCCTCTTCATCATCACTGTCGGCCCAATTGGCTTTCTTGACGCCGTTCGAGCTGCCTACACTTGTTAGTCGAAAGTCAATGATCAGGAGGGAGATATCCTACTTTTCAGAACTGCAGTGCTCCTCTTTGGTGCGTCGCGTTGCGCGATTCTCGGTTGCCTAGGAGGCGATTTCACGCCATTGGACTTCGCAGCCCAAAAAGAGGCAGAGTCGCTCATGGTGAACTGCAGATGCCTATAGGCCTGAGTCCAGAGGTGTTAAGTGAGTGAAAGGGCGGTGGGTGAGGGGAGGGAGTACGCTGAGCTCGAGAAAAGTCTGCTGGTTGTTTCAGGAAGGTACAGTCGTGGTTCAAAGCTCAAGGCAGGTGCAGAGAATTGAGTTAAGAGATTGAAAATCGCGCACACTTTTGTTATAAGAGAAGGGTCTGCCAAGCACCTACGCTTATACTGGTACAGCCGAACAATGTAGGTGAAAGTATGGTTCGAGGGCGACACAGGCAAACGGCGCGACCCTGCTCTTTCACTTCAATGAGAGAGGGACCCTGACGAAGAACAGCGCAGAATCAGTTCGAAATTGATCGATCACTCCGATAACCTTGTGATTCAGCCTAACGGTGGGTCTTGCCACACAACAAACGGCGTGCGGGAGACACAAGGAACCCGAAGTTTGCGAAAAAGACACCGCCTCTCGTGACCTGTGCAACGTACCTGACCAATCGTTTCAAAACAATAGAAACATGATCTCCTCTCCTGGGAGTTTGAGATAAGTGACTATCGGTACTCGCAAGAATTCGTAGCCACCTTCAACCATATATAGGATAGAGGACGTTGCGAAAGGCCTCTAGCTAGCCGTATTCGTCCGGGGAACGTCCTGCAGAGTGACAAGGTAGGAACTGACCAATTGCAAAATCACTCTCCTATTGCTACTATGATATATGTCTATGTTACACAGTCTTCTCCATGGTTGTAGAGGTCCACACAAATAGCTGACGATCACAAATGGCACAGCATGTGAGCCGAGCCTTTCTCTATCATATAATTGGTTTACAACCTACTTCACGATATTTTACAAGGCGCGGGAGCGTGGTGTGGAGGGAGCTTCACTTGTGCGCCTGCCTGAAGTAATCGAATTGTCAGATCATGGTGAACACAAAGCACAGGCAAGTCGCCACCTTCATTCGACGATTTCTGTATCGCGCAGTTGGCATCGCACTATAGGATACTGGTACTAAAGCCCGGGTATGCGGTCAAATTTCTCATAAGGCATGTTGAAATTTTAATGACCTCAAGCATCACATCGCAAGCTGAGAAGTGGCTTTGAAAACTCGTCTTCACTCTCACCTTCAGCGGACCCTTAGCGTGGGTTCTGCCGAGCCCGTGACCTTGATCAGATAACAAACAACAAATTGCAGACTCTCAATCTCTTCTCACGCTACACCGACTCGCACCAAACAGCGCAATGGATCTCACATCCATGGATCCTCGCACGGCCACAGTTGCTATACAGCTGCAACTAGAAGACATTGCACAGCTACTCTACAACCTTCACAACTCGGATGAATTGGTAGCAAAGAGCGAACGTGCTAGCCTCGAAATGATACAGCGCGACCTCGCCAAGCAGCTCACGTTATTGGAAGGTCGAATCTTGGTCATCAACATTCTGAGGGTTGAGCACCTTAGCCGCGTCACTTTGAAGAAGTTGTTAGATGAAGAAGAGCAAGCATCTACTGACCACCAGCTTGCAATGAGGCTAGCTGGGATGTCCACCAGCAGTGAAAAAGTTGGATCCGAGGCAGATTCCGAGACTCGATCTAGCGAAGTGGATGGCAACGATCAAGACACTCAGTGGGAGATGGCAAAGCAGCTCTATACCTCTGCTTTCGATAAAGACGACGTGCATCCTGCACTTGAAGGAGGACCCGTCCGGCCCATTGTATCCGATGGTGCACTTACTCACGGCATTTGCAGCATTGACACCGAGCAAACGAACAACAAGGTCCTCGATTCAGAGGAACTTACCAAGTGCAATGCTTGTATGGAGATGGTCCCCAAAAAGAACACACTTCACCTCCACTGTACGCATACCTACTGCCGCACTTGTCTTTTAGACTTGTTCACCAGCTCCATCTCAACCCCAACTCTGTTCCCACCGAGATGTTGCAAGCAGACAATCCCGCTCGAGACTTGCCGCGTCATGTTACCTAAGGAGCTTGTCAAGGATTTCGATCTCAAAGTCGATGAGCTAGCCACCCCCAACCCTACCTATTGCGCCAACGCCGACTGCTCCAAGTTCATTCGGCCTAAAGACATTACAGGCGACATCGCCACCTGCGTATTCTGTAAGGGCAAAACCTGCGCACAGTGCAAGAACAAGGGCCACGACGGACTTTGTCCTAGCGATCCTCATGTGCAGCTTCTGATGGACGCTGCAAAGCGCAGCAAGTGGCAGCAGTGCACGAAGTGTAGTAACATGGTCGAGCTAGCCCAGGGCTGCTTCCATATGACGTGAGTGCTCCCGCGAATCATGAAGCCAATGCTAAAATTGATAGGTGTCGATGCACGCACCAGTTCTGCTACCTCTGCGGTGTGAAGTGGAAGCGTTGCTCCTGTCCTCAGTGGGATGAAGGCTATCTGACTCACGAACCACCGCTCGGTCTTCCCGGCCCTGCTGCAGCAGCGGGGCACGATCTGCACGAACATCACTGGCGACGACGAAATGGTGGTGTCTGTGGGGGATGCGGTGCAACTTATCTCCCTTGGGTCCTGCGTTGCACCGGCTGCAACATGCTGAGGTGCTTGCAGTGTGTCGACAACGACATCTGAGACACCGCAGAGACTATTGAAGATCATATGCGCTCAACCACGTTTCGTAGATCTTTTCTGCAGTCTGTCTGTCAGACGCACTATTTTGGGAGATTTGTGAATGGAGATGACCGTAGCGGGATCCGTTACAACTGATATTGGGACTGAAGCTTTGCTGCGAAGTACGTGCTTGTAGGATACAATCAGGAAATAGAATCACCCTATCAAAACAGAATACAAAATCAGATTCGACAAAGCATCACTACTCCGGACCCTAGTACCCAGAAATAATTCCCTCCAATTCGTCCTCAAACAGCCAACTTAACCCGCCTTCACGGTTTGACTCTGGAGGCCAGTACCCTTGCGACAGAAGCATCTCACATCGCTTCTCTCCCTTGACCTTCCCGCTCTCCGAACATGCAATCTCCACTTGTCTGTGCTCCATCCATGGCGGTGAGTAGACAGGTCCATCCCACGGCGGGGTCCAATCACCCACGCGAAACGTCACGTTTTGAAGCCGGCCCCCAACGTTCTTCTGCTTCAGAAAGCTGTGCATCTCCTCAGCGCTGTTCTCGCTGAGTAGAGGTTTCTGGAACTGGTCTTCGCCAGTGCAGTATGTGCTGCCGTGCTTCGCTGTCCATTCGTGTCCTGCTCGGCTGTAAAGATCGGGCTTTCGTCGTTGGCAATCCGATTGGAGGTTAGAGTAGATCTCGAGCGTGCGGAGGTGGGGCAGCGAGGCTATTGTTTCGAGGGAGTCGAGTGGCCACGATCCGTTGCGCGGGAGGTTAATGGAGAGATGTCTGAGATTCGGTGCCGTTTTTGGAAGGATGGATATATTGAACTTGTTCCGCATCATCGGACAGCCCATCTCATCACATCTGAACTCCAGGCCCTGTAGTTCTTCCCCCTGACGCTCGAGGACGGTGGCAAGGTCGCTGTGCCTGTGTGGACCGATCCAGGTCAGGTGTTCAAGCGTGGTGTTTGGCAGCGCTTCAATAAACGACACGTTCGTGGAGTGGAGCTTACGCAGCGAGTGCAGAAGCGATGGCAGTTTCTCGACTGCCTCATCGGCGCGTCTACATCCGTCGATGGAGAGTTCTTCGATCGCAGACCAGTTCATCGCACCAAGCCAGAGATCCAGATTCGACTTCGGTGGTGCCAGTGGTGGATATCCATAGATCTGCGCTCGTGCCCATGGCTTCCAATATCCTCGCCTGAGCCAATCGAACAGGCCAAAGACGAATTTCTCACCGTTGTTCTGCCCATGAAGCGGCATTTGCCATGGTGGGCGAGTATCCTCCGCACTGCTGAAGTCGTAGCCATCGAGCTTCAAGACTTTCAGAGTTGGGTATGTATCTCCCCCATTGTAATTGAATGGGAAGTTCCAGCGGTCAGGCCAGCTGCTGCAACCGAGTAATGTGACTTTCAGATCGAGTGACGTGATGTTCGGACAGTTGGAAAGCGCCTTATGCACTGAGGCCATGGAGCCAAAGTCCGATCTACCATTCGGAACTGTGACCTTGATATCGGTCGGACATGAACTGTTCAGTGTCCAGCGTGCGCTGACCGGGTATTCCAGGATAACTGCTAGAAGGGAAATAATTGTCAGTAGGCGCATGCTTTGATATGAGCAGGTAGGCAGGTATGCCAGCCAGTGAACTAATGCGCTATGAGTTCTTATAGAGCATAAGACCAGTCGACTTGTAGGTAGCCTTGGTGAAGGTGTGTTGTCCTCTTCGCTGATTCAAATTTTGTGGTTGCCTGAAGCCCGCACCGCTTCAGGCATCCTGCGAGACCTCGATGATGTCACTGATCGCGAGCAACGTGGTAAACATATTTCAACTCTATGGGCCTCTTCGAACTCTCACACGAGAGGTAATGCCTCAAACTGCACTTGACTGTCCTGATGCTCGGTTGACAAACCGGAGGACAAGCCCCTTTCAGGAACGGCAGATAAGCGTCTTTCAAGCTGACTATCTTCAACATGAACTTGTAGCTACAATAATACCAAAAGCTAAAACTTAGTGAAGCGTTCCCTGCATCGTAGTTAAAACAGCACTCTATCAAGTTTTTTCATATTCCCCCTACTTTGCTGTCGTTCATGCTGCAACGTGAGAGGCGTCGGTCGTGACGCCGATGCCCCACCTCCCCCCACTGCCGACCTGTTCCGGCGCCCGTCGACGATCCGCCTCAAGCTTTCTCCCAACGACTATCAATACGTGCAAGTGACCTTCCGCATTCACCAGTAGTTGTTATAACATCATGGGTACTTCATTCGTGGATCTTCTACCCGGCACACTTGCATCCTCGAATTTCCTGACTAGGAGAGAGCGTCGCATCCATGACAGGCGATCAGCAACAGCGTTACACTGGCAGATGCTTGATACGATACCCCTCTCAAAGCTTCTTATAACAAGCCCCGATGATCTTGTGCTTAAGATGCCAACACTCTGATATTCTTCCTATACGCATGCCGATTTTCTGCATGTTCGAGAGGCACAATGGTCCACCTTACCCGACTCCTCCACGCTCTGGCACTGTCTGCGATATCGACACCAGGTGCCGGTCATGAGGTCTCAGGTCGACAGCTTCCCTTAGCAGATAGCTCTGGCGATGTAGGCCCGGGCGCCACCGCGCCAGTACGTCCGTTCAGACTGGATCAGGTGCGGCTCGGCGAGGGACTGTTTCAAGAGAAACGAGACCGAGTGAAGGACTTCATTCGATCGTACGACGAGCGGCGCTTTCTGGTACTTTTTAACAACGTGGCTGGCCGGCCAAACATGAGCGATGTCAGCCCGCCTGGAGGCTGGGAAGACGGCGGGCTGCTCAGTGGGCACTGGACAGGTCATTATATGTCGGCTTTGTCACAAGCTTATGTCGACCAGGGCGAGGCCATCTTCAAAAGTAAGCTCGACTGGATGGTGTCGGAGCTGGCTGCTTGCCAGGAGGCATATACTGCGAAGAAGGAACCTACACACCCTGGCTATCTCGGTGCTCTCCCTGAAGACACGGTACTGCGTCTCGGCCCCCCTCGATTTGCGGTCTATGGAGGTAACCTTAGCACCAACACATGGGCCGGCTGGTACACCCAGCATAAGATCATGCGCGGTCTGCTGGATGCGTACTACAACACCGACAACAAGCAAGCGCTTGAAGTGGTAGAGAAGATGGCCGACTGGTCGTATCTTGCGCTGACGATTGGCGACAAGAACCAGCCTGGATACAAAGGGAATCTGACCCGCAGTGACCTCAACTACATGTGGGACACATACATCGCTGGCGAGTTTGGAGGCGCCAACGAGATTTTTCCAGAGATCTACGCTTTGACCGGCGACGAGAAACATCTGGCGACAGCCAAAGCATTCGACAACCGTGAGTCCTTGTTCGGCGCGGCAGTTGCAGACCAGGACATTCTCGTGGTGACGCCACAGAACAAGCCGGGCCGGCGCCGCGCTGAGCGTCTTCATGCCAACACACATGTGCCTCAGTTCATTGGGTACTTGAGGATCTTCGAGCATGGCGGTGCAGAGGAGTACTTCACTGCAGCCAAAAACTTCTTTGGCTGGGTGGTACCGCACCGCCAGTTTGCCAGTGGCGGCACCGGTGGCAATGTCCCTGGCTTCAGTGAAAACCCAGAGCTGTTCCAAAACCGCGATAACATTGCCAATGCCATCGCCGGTAACGGGGCAGAGACTTGCACCACATACAACACCCTCAAGCTGGCGAGAAACCTGTTCCTGCACGACCAGAATGCTACGTACATGGACCACTATGAACGCGGCCTGTTTAATATGATTCCCGGGTCGCGCGCCGACACCGACGACACCTCCGATCCCCAGATGACCTACTTCCAGCCCTTGTCTCCCGGCACGCCACGAGAATACGGCAACACGGGCACCTGCTGCGGCGGCACCGGAATGGAGAGCCACACCAAGTACCAAGAGACCGTCTACCTGCGCTCCGCAGACGCCTTCACGCTCTGGGTCAACCTGTACATCCCCTCGACGCTGAACTGGACCGAAGCGGGCTTCTCCATCAAACAAGAAACCGCCTTCCCGCGCGAAGGCGCCTCGAAACTCACAGTCACCGGCGAGGGCCCCCTGACCATCAACCTGCGCGTCCCCGGCTGGACCCGCAAAGGCTTCAACGTATCCATCAACGGCGTCCCTTACTCAACTGAGGCCCCGAAACCCAGCACCTACCTCTCGCTAACCCGCACCTGGGCCCCCGGCGACGTAATCGCCGTCCACATGCCGCTCAGCATCCGCACCGAGCGCGCCCTAGACCGCCCCTCCACCCAAGCCTTGCTCTGGGGCCCCGTGCTGCTGCAGACCGTCGGCACGCCGCCCGGCCCCTACTGGCCGCTGACGCTGTACCCCCACCTCAAGCTCGACGGCGACTACGCGCGCGCACTCACCCGCTCCGGCACCTCGGCTGCGGGCGACCCGCTGTTCACCGCGCCCGTGGCGTCCAATGCTACAACCAACGCTACAACCGCTGCCGCCGTCGCCCTCCGGCCCTACTACATCAGCGACACCATCCCCGTATCCTCCTACTTCACCCGCTTCGAGCCCTCCATCGTCTTCGGCGCCATCGACACAGGGATCCCGAACCGCCGCCGCAACGACGGGCTGCCGGCGTACGACGTCCCCGTGGCGGGCGTGCCGGCGCCCGGGAGCGACGGGCCGTCGTTTCTGGATGTGCTGTGGGACGCGGCGCCGTTTGGGTCGCATGCGGAGTTTGTGGGGGAGGTGGAGGCGGTGGTGGGGGCGTTTGTTGCGGCGGGGGTGTTGACGCGGGAGGAGGGGGGGGTTGTTGTGCGGCGGGCGGGGGAGGCGGAGGGGGAGTTGGCTGTGTAGGGGGGGGAGGCTGGGGTCTGCTGCTCTGGCGGGAGTGTGCGAGCGTGGCTGGGTTCGTGGTTCTGACTGGATGAGATGGCTCTCTCGTTGCAGAGTGAACGGCGGACTAAGGGTTTCAAGTGAGGATTCCACCATGCAACAGTAAAGTAGGAAGCACGTGAGAAAACTCTACAGAATACTTCGTTACCTACAATGCAAGTAATGCCTGACTAGATAGCAGCTTTAGATACCACAATACCTACAAGCTCCCACTGTCAAAGTTGTTAGGATCGTCCTACAACTCCACCCTCAACCCACCCCCCAACACCGCCGCATACCACACCATCGCCCCCAACCCCACCAAATTCACCACACTACTAACACTATGCAGCACACTAAACCTTGTATTCAGCTTCTGCATGGCCACACTATGCGGCCCCTTATCATACGCAGCCTTCCCGTCTCTCGTCTCCTGGTGCTTGCGCTCGACCATGACGCGCGTGGTCTGCGGGCCGAGGTAGACGAGGTTGGCAAGGGCGGTTGCGAACATGGTGGCGATGAGGTACGAGGACAAGTTATCTGTGGGTGTCGGGAGGACATGGGCAGAGGAGAGCACGGGCAGCAGCCGCGAGGGCCCGGATGGGTAGGTCAGCAGCAGGGCCACGGGCGCGGCGGTTTGCAGGGTGAAGTACACGGGGAAGGTGTGTTTCTGCAGCGTGGAGAATTGCGGGCGCGGGAGGACGCGGTAGGCGACTACGCCCGAGATGAAGGATTGGAAGAGCGTGCTGCCGAGGAGGGTGCCGTAGCTGTTTGGGTGTTAGTTGGGGGTTTGGACATATATCTGGGCGTGGGAGATGTATTGGGGTATAGAGGACAGGGGCTGAGGAATCGGGGCGAACGGGTGCTTCAAGAGACGCACCTGAGGAGGTGGTAAGTAGCCGGGTTCGTGAACGAGTAGGACGCCATGGCGGCTGTCGTGGTGCGAGTACGGGCTGCAGATGTCGAGGACAGACGTGAGAACACAGACTCTGGACAGACAGGAGAGGAAGCAAAGACACCGTCCCCCGGCGCGCAACTATCACTCCACCCACCTCGGCAGCACCCAACATGATGAGCTCACCACCTCCGGGCGCTCCCGCCGCACCATGCCGCTCCGCGCCTAGCGCCCACCCCGCCCATGCCCGCGGCCTCGCCCCGACCCTCCGCGCCCTGCAAATTCCACGCGCAATGCTGCTCCCGACGCTCATCGACCTGCGGCGCCCCGCGGGCCGCACGCTCGATCCAGAAGACATCTTCGGCTCGTCGCTCGGCGGCGTGTTCACCGACGACCTGCAGAACCAGCACGGCGACGACCCGGACACGGTGATTGTGTACTCGAATGCGCGGCACGGGGCGCTGGAGTTTCGCACCGCGGATATTCATGGCGAGGAGGAGCGGCGCAAGATGGCGCACTACCTGTGGAATGCGGGGGTGCTGATGGCGGAGCTGGTGGGCGGGCGGGCGGACGAGGGGGGCGCGTGGAGGGAGGGCGAGTGGTGGGTTGGGCGCGAGGAGGAGCGGGCGTGGGCGGTGCGCGGGCAGCGCGTGATTGAGCTGGGTGCAGGTGCGTTGGGCTGAGCTGCGCGCAAAGAGAAGGCTGATGGCGTGGATGCAGGCGTAGGACTGGGCGGCGTGATGAGCGCGCTCGCGGGTGCGGACGAGGTTCGACGAGCTTGTTTAATGCGTTGATTGCGTGCTAACTGCTGGCAGGTGGCTATCACCGACTACCCCGCGCCGCCAATCCTCGAGGCTATCGCGGCCAACGTCAAGAAGAACGTGCAGGGCCCGCTCCAGGCGCGCGTCGCGGTCCACGGCCACCTGTGGGGCGACACAGCGTCCGAGTTTGCGGCGGCACACGCGCACAAGTACACGCGCGTGCTGGCCGCAGATTGTCTGTGGATGCTGGGAGAGCACGAGAACCTGGCCAAGTCGATGCGCCACTTCCTCGCCGACACACCCGACGCGCGCGTGCTGTGCATTGCTGGCTTCCACACAGGCCGTGCCAAGCTGGTGCCGTTCTTCGAAGAGGTTGCTCCGCAGCAGGGGCTCGAAGTCGAAGACATCTTCGAGATGGACGCCGATGGCGCGCGGCGGCCCTGGGCAACAGAGCGAGACGGAGGGCGCGAGGACATTGGCGAGCGGAAGAAGTGGCTGGTGGTAGCCAGGCTGCGTGCCGTGTAGCGAGAACCAGAACTCAGGCCTTGCGCCTGAAGCAGAGCGTGCACACACTCGACCCCGTCTTGCCCCCGAACGTGAAGCTCGGATACTTGGCCTTGCTCTCATACACCAGCTCGCCGCCCTCGACATCAAACCACCCCCTAACCTCCTCCTCTGTCCAATTGCAGCTCGTGATCAGGAACCGTCCCCCCTTCTTAATCAGCCCCTCCACCTTCTCCCGATACCCCTCGCAAATCCGCCGCCCCTGTGCGTCCGTCTCCTGCGCCAGACAGATCGCATCAAATGTGCCCTTGTCCAGCACCACATCGAACCCCGCACCGACCCACGCCCCGGGCTCCTGGCCCAGCAAATCCCACTCATAGAAGCCAATGTCCGCGTACTCCTCGCCCTTGCTCCCGCGTATCTCCTCCGCGAGCCGCACGCTCTGCGGCGCGTAATCAACACCCACCATCGCGCCCTCCCACTCGTCCTCGCGCAGCGCAAACAAGAGGTGTCCGTTGCCCGTGCCGAGGTCGAGGAACCGCGTCGCTTCGCCGCCGTCTTGGTCGCGCTCCTTGCGCAGCTGCCCCTCGTCCGATAGGTTCTCGAGGAACGCGAGCATGCGCTCCTCGGCGCCGGCGTCGCTGAACCACACGGTGCCCTCGTCGTCCGGGTTGGCGGAGAAGTTCGCGCGCTCGGTCGTGTACGCGGCGTCCCAGTAGGAGCGCGTGCCCAGCTCGGACGTGTTGAGGTGCTCGGGGGCGGCCATGTTGGAGTATTGTATCTCGGTGCGCGGGGTGTCGGCGCGCAAGGGAAAGTTTTGGCGTGGGTTGGCGGGGCGAAGGGATCCCTGCGCTGCTACGCGAGCGAGGGGGCTAGATCGGGTGTGACGTAGTTGAGGGACTGGCTTGACTGCTACTACTACTACCCCAATCTCCTCTCCAATCTCCTCTCCAACTCCAACACTCCTCAGTACGACAATTGCATACCCCACCCGCGCACAATGGCAGACCCCGCACTCCCACCACTCGCCACGCTCCCGCCGCTCCTCTTCGCCGCCGCCGTGAGCACGTACGGCCTGTACCTGTGCCGCGCCAACATCACGCGCCTGCAGACCTACGAGTCCGCGTCTAAGAAAGCCGCCGAATGGAGCGAGACAGCCGCCCAGCGCCTGCGGAAAACGCGCAGCACGCAGGCTAGCGGGACGCTTGCGGTACGTGCCTCGTCCCTGTTTGCTTTGACGCGTGTTGTTATACCCACCACCCACAGACATCTCTTTCTCTCTCGCTCTCTCTCTCTCGCTCTCTCTCTCTCTCTCTCGCTCTCTCTCTCTACCTCCCTCCCTCCCTCCCTCTTATATCATAGTATAACGATACTAACACTCACAGCTAACCCTCTCCTTCCTCCCCTCAACAACCCTCCCCTTCCTCCCCTCCTACCAAACCCCCAGCTTTCTAGGCATCACCGGCCTGGCCCTCGGCACCGCCCTGTACGTCGCCCGCGCCCACATGTCCGGCTTCTGGAACGAGCGCACCCAGACCAAGATCCCGCTGGTTCACGATTTCAACGACGCGGTGAGGGGCAGCGAGGCCGTGGTCGGCGTGCTGGAGGTGCTGGCGTTTAGTTGGGGGGTTGCGGGGTGTGTGTGGGCGCTTGGGTGGGGCGGGGTGGGTTTGGGGGTTTGGGGGGTTGTGGTGGTGGGGAGGGGGGCGTGGGTTGTTGGGCAGGCGGGGGGAGGGGCGTGAGGGGTGGGAAGAAGGTGTGGAGGGGTGGTGGAGGGGTCGTTGGATTCGTAATCTGGTACCGAAAGAGTCGTTGAACTGATGCCGCGCTATGCCATGCCACACGATGCCGCGCTATGCCATGCTACGCGATGCAATGCCATGCCATACAATCCACCACAACATCACCCCCTGATCATCCCAACGCGCATATGCCCCCTCCCCCCACTGTTCGCCCGGAAGTAATACGGCACATACACAATCTCCCTCTCCTCACCCAGCCCCGGCCCCTCGCCCCTTGTCCCCCCTCCCCCCTCCCAGCCCCCCACATCCCGCGTCCACGCCCTCGTGCGCAGCGCCACATACCGCTCCCCAGACGGCTCCCACGTGCGCTGATCCTCGTCCACCGGCGCCCCGGGCCTGACGACCACGTCGCGGAAATGATTCGTCTCCCACGCGTTGTGCGCGTCCTCGGCGCAGTACACGAGGGGTCCGCGCGCGAGGAACACGGTGTTGGGGGACGCGTAGGGGTGCGGGTAGAGCCAGCGGGGCGCGAAGGCGGCGATGTCGAGGGTGAAGGACGGGTGTGCTGCTGTGTAGGCGGGGGTTAGGGTGAGGTAGCCGTTTGCGAGAGCGCGGGCCTTGGCGGCGGGGGGCAGGGGCGGCGTGAGCGTGAAGGATGAGCCTGCCCAGGCGGGGATGCGCAGGCGGAGTGTGGTGGGGACGGAGGACGGGTTGAGCAGCGCGAACGAGACGGAGCCTTCCCAGGGCCAGTTGGAGGACTGGGTGAGCTCGAGGGCGCCGGCGGGCGTGTCGAAGGCGACTTTGGCGCTGGTGTAGAGGTGCACGTTTATGTATGCGGCGCCGGGGGAGGCAGGGTCCTCGCCGAAGTGCCACAGGTAGCCGCCCAGGCTGCCAAACAGGCGGCTGAAGTTGGGCGGGCAGCAGGCGCAGTGGAACCAAGACTCGCGGCTGCTCTTGTGGGCGCCGGAGCTGCCGAGCTGGTTCGCGTAGGTGAAGGACTTGCCGTCGAGGCTCATGGCGGTCATGATGTTGTTGTGCAGGCAGAGGTCCATGATGTCGCCGTAGCGGCCGTCGAGCTCGATGTCCAGCAAGCGCTCTGCGAGGAACATGATGGCGATGGATGCGCAGGTTTCGTTGTAGCAGCCGCCTTCGTCAGTGGACTGAGGGAGGAAGTAGTCGATGCCGAATCTACAGTCAGTCAGTCAGTCAGTCAGTCCGTCAGTCAGTCGGCTTAAGAGACTGTGATGACCACGCACCCTTCCCACTGATCCATCGCGCCCACACCACCCGTCACAGACATCTTCTTGTCCACCATGTTATTCCACAGCCGATGGAGCGCAGCAAGCCACTCATCCGACTTGGCCACCGCATTCCCGCCCTTCTTCTCAACGCACAGCAGATCTGCCACCGCAGTGAGGAGATACAGCGCCCGCACCGAGTGCCCTTCAATAGTCTGCTGCTCCAGGATCGGCGCATGGGACTGATTGTACCAGTGTTCCCCCGCCTTCATATACACGTTCGGTCGCATCCACGGGCTCTCGCCCCGCTGCTCCGCCTCCCAGACATAGAACAGCTTCCCCTCCTGGCCGACGGGGTTCCCACGCTCTTCGATGAAGTACCGTGCGAGATTATACGCCTCATCAAGTCCCGTCTCGGTGTACAGACGGAGCAGCGCCATCTCGATCTCTGGGTGTCCGGGGTAGCCGTGCAGTTTCCCCTCTTCAGGGCCGAAGGTGTTGTTAATCAGCTGGACGTACTTGACAAGCGGCTCCAGAAGCAGGTCGTTCTTGTAGTAATTGCGATGTGCTAGCGCGGCCTCGATTAGATGCCCACAGTTGTACAACTCGTGCATGTCTCTGATGTTAGACCACCTGCCCTTGGGGTCGACGACCGTGTAGTGCAGATTCAGATAGCCATCTTCTTGTTGGGCGGACCGGATGGTCTTGACGAGGTACTGTACCGCAGCATCAATCTCCTCGTCGTAATGGCTTTCCAGAAAGTAGCATGCGCCTTCCATCCACTTGGCCAGATCACTGTCCCAGAAAAGGTGCTTTGGCACAGGCCATTCCGTGCGGTCATCGTAGATAGGGTGCCATTTCAACTCGAAGCAGCTGTAACGCCCTGTAGTCTTGAACTGATCAAGTTGGGTCTTGAGTGTTGTACTTGCGACTGTGTTGCGCCTGGCTGCGAGCATCGACTCTCCAGTGAATGTTGTGTTGCGGAATGCAACCTGTGGGTGCGCCATGACGTGTGGATGTCTACGAGAATCAATCAACAAGGTGTCTCAAGATAACGCCACAATACTATACATTCTCCGCCAGTATTCCCGTCACGCGCCAAGAAGACCATAGTGAAGCTCCACCCACCGGAGGTATCCACCGGAGCGACCTCCGATGATTCCCGCTTCGGCCCACTCACTAGCCCGCCGGCGCACTGCATTCTGATCCACCGACGGCAATTGAGTAAGGCTCGACTCGGTCTTCGACTGGGATTAATGATACAGTGGCTTTAAAATGTGCAGCGGCGGCTTTGCGGCAGGATCCTTCTCCGCACTTTGTAGCCAGTCGGGAATCGTTCACCCCGACGAGTAGTCTCGGCTTCTGCCGCGCTACGTGTTTGCTCTTGTGATGTAAACTAGGCATGTTGAGTTGGAGTGCCCACTGATGCATGCAAAGCCAACTCCAAGGTAAACATCGCCGGAATCTACCCACCATGGGCTTATTGGAGAAGTTCCTGCCCAAGAACGACCGCTATGCTGCTCTGCTGCTCTACGGTATGGTCCTCGCGACCTGCTTCAACGGCTACGACGCAGGTAAGTGGCTCGATTGTGGCGACGCCATGGATGCTGATGAGCAGGCATCATGACGGTCATTCTCGCAGATGATCAGTTCATCGAATACTACCATGTAGATGCCGGCCGCACAGGTACTATCGCTGTCGTGCCCTGGGCGACGACAGGGCTAGCACAGTTGTTCGTGGGCGGAACACTTGCCAGTCTCATTGGGCGGCTTTGGGCGCTGCGCATTGCCATCGTGGTCATGGGCGCTGGAGTGGTCGTTCAGAGTGTGCCAAACACGTATGGTGTCCTGATCTTCGGCCGTCTGCTTACAGGTCTCGGCTTTGGTTGTGTGTATATTGCGACGACACTGTATGTGGCCGAAACAGCGCCCCGGATGCTTCGCGGCAGTTTTGTCGGGACTGTCACTCAGTTTGGTTACCAACTGGGGACGCTGATCGCTTTCTGGACTGGTTATGGGATGAGCCACGTCAAGCAGCCGTTCAACATTGCCTGGCGGGTGTCGAACCTTATCCAGCTTCCTATCGGCGTCGCCTTCATCGCCATCAGCTTTTGGTACCCTGAAAGTCCAAGGGTGGGTCAGCAGTGCTGTGTAGCGACGTGTGCACGCTGATCGTCTGTAGTGGCTCCTTGAGAAGCATCCCGATGACCCAAATCGAGTACTCAAAGTGCTCTGCAGATTGAGACAGGGAGATGAGAACTCGGAGCACGTACTAGCCGAGTATCACGAGCTTGTCGCTGCTCAGCAAGCTCGTGCTCGGTCGGGTACCGGATACAAGGGCATTTTCAGGTCGAAAGGCATGCGTAAACGACTGCTGTATGGTCTCTATGCCACTTCGCTGCAGCAAGCTGGTGGGATTGCGGCCCTGACCATGTATGCAGCACTCATCTACCGGAGTCTGGGGTGTACGTGGATCGTGTGGTCTGGACTTGACATAGATGCTGACCTGTCGCAGGGGACCAGGGCAGTCAAGCTTTGTCCATCAATGGAATTCAGGCAGCGCTCCAGCTGGCGATCGTCTTTGTGAATACATTCACCGTGGACAGGTACGGCCGAAGGGCACTGCTCTTGACCGGGTTTGCCATACAGGCCGCCGCCTTGCTCGTCTTGTCATCCCTCACCACGGCGTTCCCGGAGAATAATAACAAGGCAGCCGCTGTCGCTGAGGTCGCGATGCTGTTCGTTGTGGGCCTTACATACTGCTGGTCGAACGGGCCAATCCCACCAGCTATCGCGTCGGAGGTAACAACTTGCTCCGTTAATAGTCACTCAAGAGCTGACAGCCAGTCAGATCTTCCCAACAGAAGTTCGCGACAAAGCATTTGGATTCTCGCTTCTTGGCCAGACTGTGTGCCTCCTCGCCCTGACACAACCCTGGCCACGCTTCAATTCGCAGGTGGGGGGAAAGAGCTACTGGCTGCTTTGCGGTCTAAATACAATGCTTTTGGTGAGTCAAGCAGTGCAGTATTGCTGGTACATGCCATTACTGATGTGTGCTCTTCAGCTCTCGGTATACTTCATTCTGCCCGAAACCAAGGGCGTGTCACTCGAGCGCATGGATACGATATTTGGGGGGGGTCGATGCCGTCGAGGCAGGCGAGGAGAAACGTGATCAGAAGAAACGCGATCAGGAGAAGGCAGAGGCCCTGAAATCGTCTACGACAGAGCATCGCGAGCTCGCTGGCGAGTTGGGGCCGTGAGCGTCGGCACCCATGTCAGAATCGCTCGATGTGACGAGGCAGTCATGTATTGTTGTGGAGCATAAACGGTACATGCTAGTGTTATGGAGCAGGTTCTCAAACTTCGAACAGAGCGAAGTTCCTGCCTAAGAACCTTGGCTCCCGAGGTGGTTTGTCATGGCCAATCGTAGCAAGGGCCGCAGCACGCACCTTCTTGCTGTTGCTCAACACCATAACCAAACGTCGCCATACTTGAGCACATTCTTAACTGAGGTGGTTTCGGATTCATCAGCGCGAGTTGTATCCTCCCGTGTTGTGCTCTTGCTGTAGGCGTTTCTACCAGCGATCGCCACGGAATTAAGCTTCCTCGTACCTCAGAGATGCCTTGAAGCTATCATCCTTGCTACGACTCAGTCCTCCAACATCCGCTCGTTTCTTAGTACCCATGTAATCGGCTAAGCTCTTGGGCGTCTAGCCGCGTTATCCCCGGCAAGTCCAGCTGATCTTGCAGTCTTAGTTCACGACACACCCGGTGTTCTCACCGAGATGCCACCCGGAAGGTTGATGTGGGTTTAGATGTGCGACGATGGAAGGGCCGAGTTCAGTCGCAGGGCCGATGCGATGCGCGCGTTGCGATTGCTCCTTCAGGTGAGCATGTCATGAAGCGACGAAACCGTGATCGCTGACAACTCCTGCCGACGTCTGGAGCATCTGAGAAGACATGAGCGCATTCATGACGGCACAAAACGATTTGTGTGTACGCAATGCTTGAAAGTATTTACCCGAAGGTAGATAAGCCAGCAACAAGCGGGATTCAATTGACTGGCCAACAGCGACATCTTGCACCGTCACGAAGCCACACATGCCGCCGCAACGCAAGCTCGCAGTGCACGCGCTGTAAGTACGCGTGCTTGTACAGAGTGTGCCCGGTCTAAAGAGCGATGCACCAAGAGCAGCCCTTGTCAACGGTGCTCGGCCAAAGGCCTTGACTGTGTCTACCCTCATGCACGAGTCGGTCGAGATCAAAACACAGAAATTCGTTCTCGTATCTCTCTTGAGTCTCCTAACTGTACTCCGATTGATCTCAGCGGTATTACAAGGACTAATTCAACTCTGCAATCTCAGACGCAAGCCTTTGCAGGACCTGAGCCTACAAATACACACAGTGTCTACACTTCTTATCAGCAGATGCTCCCGTTCGAGGTTGCCGAATATCCTCAATCCCAGATGCTACAAACGGCCACAGAATTCCCTATCAACTGGTTGCCCCCGGATCCTGCGCTTGCCATTGACTACGACAACATTGTTGGTGTGGGTATAGGCACAGATGACGTCTTTACTTTTCCGAGTCCACCTGATGACAGTAGCAATCAGAACAACGTGCATCAGGAGTCTGTTCAATTGCTTTCGTCACAGCTTCAACTCAATACTGTACAACGCGACGCCAACCTGATTTTCGCCGACGAATTTAGGACGATATGGAGCACTTTCTCTCCTGATACGGCAGGTGGCTATATGTCGTCCGAATCCCCGCATACTATCTCGCCCAGTGATGCACCAGGCGGTCTGTATGCCACCAGTATCAATGGCGCTAGGATGCCGTGTACGATCAGGGCTCGCCGAACGCAACGTCTGATGCCTGGCGCGAAACCTATTCGTCGTCTGCACCAACTTCATCATGACAGCCTCTACGAGAATGGTGGTGGGATGGCTTTTCCGGATATAAGCCATATCACAGTCGATGACACAGTCGATCCTGCCAGTGGTAGCATTTTTGTTGCTCCTACTCTCTCAGGCTCGATCTACGAAGATGTGTTACAGAACTTCAACATCCTCTGTCTCGACAATAGTTCTAGCTTTCCTTCATACACCAGCTCAAGGTTTCCGGACATACGCTCGTTGAACATGTGTATTCGGTTGTACTTCGAGAATTTCGACACAATCGTCCCTATACTGCACAATCAAGTCACTCAGATAAGCGACCACTGGGCTTTGGCGCTCGCTGTGTCCGCAATAGGGTGCCAATACGCCGAAGCTGATGAATATGTGCAGATGGCAGAGCCGATGCACGAGTTCCTTCGAAGGGCGACCGCAGTCACGATTAATGCTGAGAGCATGGCGACTGGGAGAAGCAGGCACCATATCGCCTTTATCCAGGCCATGACGCTGAGTCAGTTCGGGATGTTGTATTCTGGCTCACCAAAGTTGCTTAATCTTGCAAGAGCAAATCACAGTGCTATGACTCAACTGGCACGAGCTTTAATATGCCCAAGAGCAGTGAACGATCCCGCCTCGACAGCTACAGACGGTGCCGATCGAGGCTCTCCAGACAGAGCCTGGAGGGACATGCTGCTTGACGAGTGCAAGCGCAGAATTGGCTATGCGATTTGGGTATGTATATTTATCTCGCCTTGGAGCGGCGGCTCACCTTGACTAGCTCCTCGACTGCATGGGAGTGTATCACTTTGGACAACAGATACTCATGTCACCAGACATGATGTCTGTGGCACTGCCCAACGACAGGCTTTGGCGATCAAAGAGTGCTTCTGAGTTGCTCGTACCCCGTTCGCTGCGAGGTAAGTAACTTCAAAAGCGGGCTTTGAGACAACTGCTGAGTTGTGTCTAGAAACTCCCTCGTTGTCGTCGGCGATCGCATCACTGTTCCGCGAAAAGCGAGTAATGACAGAGCTGGGTCAGTTTGGCCGTGTGATACTGCTTCACGGCGTCTATCGAGAGATATTTCTGCTCAAGGACTGCCTAGCCAGGCCACTCGGTAGCCTCCAGCAACCGACTACAGCAGGAGATGACGAGACCCCCACGAGCCCATCTATCCCTGACAGCAATGGAAGATGCCTGCTCAACAGCTGGCGCAACGCGGCTCTCGACTGCATCGACGTCCTCCACTGGGCCGCCAACGGCACAATCGCCCTGCAAGCCGGCGCCGAGCACCCCACCGTCCTGCACCTCCACCTATCCCGCACCATCCTCCTCGCCCCGATCGACCGCTTCCAGACACTCGCCAGCTCCGTCGCATCCCTCACCCAGCGCGCCCCCTCACTCCCCAGCCGCCGCCAAACCGCCGCCGCAGCCGAACACGACATCCTCGAATGGGCGCAGCGCGACCAGTGCAAAGCGCGCCTCGCCGTCCTCCACGCCGGCTGTCTCTTCTGGCACATCCGCCGCTACAGCACACGCGCCTTCTACGAGCCCCACGCCGTCTTCCTCGCCACCCTGACCCTGTGGGCATACAGCTCGTACGCGGCGCGCAGTCCCCACCGCGCCAGAGACGAGCGGGTCCCAGCAGCCCGCTCCCGAAGCCGTCCCTTTAACGACACCGACGATGCAGACGAGGCAGATGATCCCCCCTCGTTCATCCACCTCGACCGCCCCAACGACGACGAAATGGTGCAGATCTTCGTGCGCTCCGGCACCGCGGCGGCGATGCGCGCCAACGTCGCGGGTGTCGGGGATATCTACTCCACCAAGGGGCCGGCGCGGATTCTCAGGGAGGGCATGAAGATACTGGGTGCGGTGTCGGTGGCGTGGGGGAGGACGGAGCGGTATATGGCGGTGTTGGAGGGGCTTGAGAAGGCTGTTGTGGGGTGTGGGGGGTAGGAGGGGGTAGGAGGGGGTAGGAGGGGATAGCGAGGGGGGATAGAGAGAAGGAGGGGGGATAGAGAGAAGGAGGGGGGATAGAGAGAAGCAAGCAATGCCCGCACAAGTCCTATTGGAGTCTGCCTCGTCCGCCCTGCTACGCGACGCGCTGTGGAGCGCCCCGTACCCAGGCCCCCGTGTACGCTATACGCTACACGACCACACCATAGCCACTCTACCAACGCCAACACCAACGCCAACAAAACAGTATCCACTTCCCGGCCCCCCTATATCACTAGCCCAGCGCCGTCCGCCTCAGGCGTCGGAGACCTGGTGTCTCGTGTAGGACGCAGGTCCTTGATACCCACAGACTTACACATATACTATATCATATAACATATATCATATACCACAACCAACACCTATACAAGCCCCCGCTATAGCCCCCGTCTTACAGTCCCCATCCTATAGTCCTCGCTATATCCCCCGTCTTACACTCCTCGCTATACCCCCCATCCCATAACATCCACCCACCCACCCCCTAGCCTAACCACACACCCCCTAACGCAGCACCAGCCCACTCGTCTACTCTACTATACGGGACACAGCGCCCCGATGCTCTACGCTCGACGCGCGCTCGGCTGTCGGGAGGCGGGCCGCGCGTGGCGGGCGGGATATGCAGGGCGGGTAGATGAGTGGAAGGGAGGCAGGGTATCGAGGCTTTCAAGGCGTGGGTGTGAGATGGTGGATGGGGATGGGCGAGGCGCGAGGGATTGCTTAAGACTTCTCGAAGGGAACGATGGAGCGAAACGGTATGCACGAGCCACAGCAGAGTAACTTTTCCGATTCGTGATATCTACACCCCGACACCGAGCTCCGGGGGACGGAAACCCCAGGGACCCTGAAGTTATGTAGCGTGGCGTAAAAAAAACAAGAGTAGAGTATGCACAGCGCCAACGCGGCGTGCTGTCTCGGCAGAAAGAAGGGGTGGGGGCGCGTCGACGCAACTGCTATGTACACGGGGCCATGCACAGCCCGCGGCCCCGTGCGCGAGGCCCCCTATACGAACCCCTGGGCAGCGCGCCTGTGCGGCTTGTACACGCCCTATACACGCCCCTGTACAACACCTGTACGTACATCTGTACAACACCCGTGTGCACCGCGTACACACTGCGTATACACACACGCTCAGCGAGCAACCAACAAGAACAAACATCGGGCAAGGCCCGGGGTATCGAGCCGCTGTGCGGCCGGAAGAAAGATATGGACAAGACGAGAAGGCGGGAGCGGGCGACAAGACATTACGCGGGGGCCGCGGGCGCGGCCGGATTAGAGAACCAGAGACTGTGGGTGCGAGGGCACGTGAGCGTGCGTCGTAAAGGCGGGCGACTAAGTAGCGACTGTAAGAAGCGAAATTCGAAGTTCCGGGTCCCAGGGTCAAAGTCCAAAGGGGAGTTCGACGTGGTTCGGCGCAATAAGGCAGGGTCATCATACGTTTTCCGTGAAGCGCGAGCTGCGCGAGCCGTCCGCCGAATGCAAGCTCCTGCCCAGAGCGGAGCGGAGCGGCGGATCGGCGGGCGACATGAAGGGGTTTGGCGACATGGGGGGACTGAGGGTGCGGTTCGTGTCGTCGAAGGGGTTCTCGTTGGGGTGGTGGATGACGGGGGTGCGCGCGGGGGAGGGGCGCACGCTGACGTTGGGGACGCCGGGCGTGTCGCCAATTTCCTTGCTGAACGGGTTGCTGCTGGCACCACCGCCGCCGCTGCCGTATTCTTTGCCGTATTCTTTAGAAAGCGCGCCGGCGCCCCAGGTGCTGCGCTCGTCCTGGTAGAAGGACGAGTCTGACATGTGGCCGCCGCGCGCGACTTGGTCCGAGGTCATGCCTTCGCTGAACGCAGAGGGGAGCTTGCGGCCGGAGACGCGCTGGAAGCTGCGCTCCGTGGGCGAGGTCGTGTCGGCGGTCGATCTGGACATCCCGGAGAAGCGGTCGAGGAAGCCTGAAGGCACGAGGCTGGCCCTCGACTGCACAGGGGCTTGAATTTGTTGCGGCGCCTGTACTTGTCGCATTGCCTGCTCGTTGTTGGCGGGGTGGCTGTCAGTGAGCTGAAGTGCACCGCCCTGCCTTCGCTTGTGGCGGCGAAGCAGCATGAGGATGATTGCCAGAATAAGGGCGGCGCCAGCCAGACTGCCCACCACACTGCCCACGACCTGTGGAGTGGCAAGCGGTCCGGGTGTGTTGGTATCGTCAGCAGCAGCAGCAGCGCCTGTTCCTGAGGGGCTGGCAGCAGCAGCAGTTTCGCTGCCTCCATCCCAGCCAGGACCACCAGCGCCGTAGAAGGAGGACGAGCCGGCGGCGTCGAGAGACTCGGTGGGTGTAGCGCGAGCGGACGAGCGAGTGGTCGATGGTGAGGAACCAGAAGATGCGTCCCCTGATGGCGAGCCTCCGACTGCCCCGGTCTGCGTTGCCACGGCCGCAGGGGATGACGTATATGTGAAACCGCTCATGCTAGACAACAATGTAGGCGACGAGGCTAATATGGAGGACGAAATTGACGAAGTGCTGCTGGAGATGCTGGTTGTGGAATTCACGCTCTCTGTTACCGCCGTCAGTGCGCCGACAATCGAAGGCTCGCTGGTGGCTGTGACACTGGAAGACGGAGACGACGACGAAGACGAAGAGGAGGGAACAGCGGCCGCTGCGGCGACGACTGCACCATCGCTGGGAGTGGCAAACGGATATGCGGGTACGGTCAAGGTACTGGGAAATGCTGGCACAGAGGGGACCGACGGAAGGACAAAGCTGGGCATGGCCGGCACAGCGGGCACAGACGGGAGAACGAGGCTGGGCTCGGCCGGTACCGATGACACTGACGGCAGGGCGGCCGCAGAAACGTCGGCGGCCACAGAGACGTCAGCTGCTGCTGCCGCAGTTGGCTCTGCGGGTGCTGATGGTACCGAGGCCACTGATGGCTCGGGCAATGTCGACGGTGCTGATGGGTCGGATGGTGCTGAAGGAACGGCTGGCACTGCGGCCTCGGACGGTGTTGAAGGAGCGGCTGGGACCGCTGTCTCGGACGGCGTCGCGGGCGCTAGCTGAGTCTCACCTGGAAGAGTCTCTCCCGGGACAGACGCAAGCGGTGCTTCTGACGTCGGCACTGGCTCTGCGGGCGCTGCCACGTCGGGGGCGGCGGACGCTGCTGAGACATCGGTGAGGGGCAAGACCTGGGTGGGTTCGGCGGGGGCGGCTGAGTCCTGGGTCACGGTGGTCTGCGCAACGACGTTTCCAGCCGTGTCGATTGTGGCGACGACCTCGACGCCGACGGTGCGGACGTTGGTGCCGTCCTGGGGCGCACGGCGGTGGAATCGGCGGTGCGAGTTGGTCATGATGGTCCGTCTCTTGTGCTCCCTGATCAGCAGCGGCTCGTCGGCGGGGTCCGCCTCTTTCTCGTGCAGGCTCCTCCGGGCGTCGGTCTGGGTGAGGGTGTAGTGGGCGCGGCGGTTGCGCGAGTCGACTCGATGTCTAGGTGGTGCAGCGACACGGTCCATGGACGGGCTGCGGCGCAATCAAGGGTTCCAGGGGTAGTGATGGGGGCCGGGCGATGTTCGCGGAACATGGGCTAAGGATGGGATGCAGTTGGCGGCGGTCGCAAGCGATGCTGGGGCTAAGGAGTGACAGTGGCGGGAGTCCAGTCAATGGATGCAACGGGCTGGAGCGAGAGAGCGTCGAGAAGCGAACGGCTGCCGGGTGGCTGAAGGAGTGACTGTGACTGCGGGCGTGAGCAGGCAGGCGACGACGGCGATGCAGTGCAGATGCACGCTGCAGCGGACTCACCTGGCGCGTCAATGGACCAGCATAAGCTGCGCGTGGGTTTGCAGCGCGAGCGGTGGGCGGGGGCGCGCCTATGAGGCAGCGAGGCGGCGAGGCAGCGGAGCGAGGCTGCTATGGCGGGTGTTTGCTGCGTCGGTGCGCAGTGCCGCGGATGGTGCAACAGATGGACGGGGCGGGACTAGGGAGCGTGTGCGACGCGGACGGTCTGAGTGGAGGGGCCGGGCGCTCGCGCAAACAAACTCCTCTGTCGCTCTGCTGGCCGCGCTGCAGTGGTCCTCACGGATGTCGAGGAGGAGACTCGCAGACAAGCTCGTCGTGCAGCGAAAAGCAACAGGCGAAGGCGACAGCAGCGGCGAGAGCGAGTCTGGGCCGTTTGCTGGGACGGCGCACGCTGCCGGGGTTGGACCAAGCGAGATTGGCCGTCGTCGTATGTAGCAATGTACCCAGTGGGGCGCGAGGCTTCTATTTCGGGCCATGGGCATGACGCGCAGGCACACTGGCCACGCCGTCAAAGAGCGTGAAATGCTCAAAGGCCACAGGCCAAAGGCAGCCGACGCCGCCCGTGTGCGCTGCTCAGGCACCGCCTCCTGGTTGGCCCGGCGCCCTCAGCGGCGCGAATTGCCTCAGGCACAGCGCTCATGCTCATGCTCATGCACGACAGCAAAACTGGTCCCTGAGCGTTTGCCGTCCTGACCCTGCAGCTGCGCTCGCACCACCCTTCCCCTTCCAGAAACGCGTCCTCAGGGCCAGGGCTCCCGCAAGACGGGCCCATCATCTCTGTACGCGCCACCATCCCGTTAGAGCGACCCCCGCCGTTGCAGGCCATCTCGTGCGCGACGCCCACCACCAACAAGACTCAGTCTGTTGTTTCTGCGCCAGACTGCCCCATGCCGCTTCCAGCCCTGCGTGGCTTCACCATGTATTGCCAAGCCGCTGCACACTGCCGCTGCTGGCTGCCATCCTTCAGCCCGCTGATGCTTGCTGCATGCTTCAATAGTGTATCGCGCTACCGCCTCGAGCCTGTGGTCAATCTCCGTCGTTCGTGTCATCGCGCCCTGTCCCAGCATCGAGCCTTATAACACGCCGAGGCCGCCATAACATGCTCACGTGGACCTGGAACTTTGCACACCTCACGTGAAGCGAACACTCACGTGAAGCGAACGCCCACGTGAAGCGAACACCCACGTGAACTTGGAAGCGTCGACGCCAGTGTCGGGAGGCTCTGCTGGCGTCTTGCACGTCGTATCGCTATCGTACTTCGTACCCTGCATTCTCAATTCTCAACTCCCAAGACCCCGCGTCTGCACCGCCACAATGGCAACTTTCACCACCTCTGTAGCTATTTGAATGATAAACATGCATCCTGCCTGATATCGTGTCTTGCGTGCTGTGCAGCCAGTCACGCCCGCCCAATCTGAAAATGACGTCGCTATCGAATCTCGCAAACCAGGATGAAGCCGACAGCAACACCAAAAGCGCGCCGCCGCCTCTACCACCAAGACCGTCACAATCAGACGAAATGAGCTCACCTCCCAGCTACATGTCGGTCATGGCCATGTCGTCACAGGACCCACGATCTTCATCGACGCAGTCGCTGGTCCCCGATCCTGCACTAGAGGACACGGGCCGTCGCCGCATACTGCTTGTGTACGTCCATGGCTTCATGGGCAATGAGACCAGTTTCAGAAGCTTTCCAGCCCACGTGCATAACCTAGTTTCTGTCACTCTGGCGGAGACACACGTCGTCCACACCAAAATCTATCCAAGATATCGCGCGCGATACAGTCTGGAGCAAGCCAGAGACCAGTTCTCTGCTTGGTATGTCACAACTGGCATAGCTATCACAAGCTGACCCGCGCAGGCTTGCACCACACGAAGACCAATGGACCGACACTATCCTGCTTGGACACTCCATGGGAGGCTTGCTCGCCGCCGATGTTGCTCTCCTGTTTCGTCACCGTATCATTGGGATCATCAACTTCGATGTGCCTTTCGTGGGCATGCATCCAGGCATCATCAAAGCAGGACTCGGCAGCATCTTCACAAAAGTGCCTCCGCCTCAAGACCAGGTGCTCACACCCACAGCAGGCGCCAAACCTAGTCGGATGAGCACAATTTTCAATCCAAAGCCTGCCGATCCCAATTACAACCCTTCATTTGCGAACGATGTCCACCTGCCGGTCCGAAAGGGCTTAGATAATGCACTCCACTGGTTCAACAAGCATTCTAACAACATCAAAGAGGCCGGCAAGGGGCTAGTCAAGTCGCACTTTGAGTTTGGGAGTGCCATGGCCGACTACAAGGAACTGAAAGACAGATACGCGAGAGTGCGCGCGCTGGAGGAAGATGATGAGACGAAGCGAAAATTGGGCAATCCCGGTGTGCGGTCGCCGCCACGTGTACGCTTTGTGAACTACTACACTGCAAGCACGGGCAGGCCGAAGAAGCCAAAATCGCCCAAGAGCCCGTCGCCGTCCCGGCCAGGCAGTGTCTCGGTGCATCGTCGTGATAGCAATGCGAGTGGTGATACACAGTTGCAGTCGCAGGATTTGAAGAAAGTCAACTCGAGTTCCAGCTCTCCTCCGCCGTTGTCGATTGATGTCAAGGAGCACCGTGGATCAGAACTTGTAGCCGCTACCCCGCCGGATATTCTGTCTGCCACCAGCCCGCAGAAGAGCTTTGCAGATGAGTTTGAAGGTCCGGTTTTGCCAGATATTCCGCCTATTCCCCAAGAACCGCCGTTTGTAGACCTCGCGCAAATCACCGACAGAGCTCAACGACGAGCCGCGGAGAGGGAGTATGACGAGGCACTAGAAGAGCACCACAAAGCGATCAAAGCCCGCAACCGAATCATAAACGAGCGCGAGGATATTGAAGAAGAATGGGCGATGCAGCAGTCACTGCAGCAGTCGCGGCAGCAAACACCCCCAGCACCAGCGCCCGCGCCCGCGCCCGCGCCCGCGCCAGCACGCCAACCACCCCCCGTCCCCAAACTCACCGGCGAAGCCCTCCGCCTCTCGCAAGAAGCAGAGCGCATGGCGCGCGAGCAAGCCCGCCTCGAAGGCCGCGACTACGTCCCGCCCTCGAGCACCCCCCGCGCCGCCTCCCCCACACCCCCCTCCCCAGACACCGAGACCCCAGCGCTGGACTCGCACCACTCCCCCTACTCAAACTACGCCTTCTCCCGCAGCACCATCATGCACCAACCCCCGCCCTCCGACGACCAATCCTCGATAACCTCCACCACCCCGTCCGCCGACACCGACACCGACAAGCAGAGCACGAAAGAGAAGAAGACGAAAAAAGATAAACTCGGCAAGTTCTGCATGCTCCCGCCCAAAGACGCTCAGGGCCACAAGGATCCGACGTGGATCCGCGTATACATGGCGGGCATGGACGAGGTGGCGGCGCACACGAGTCTGTTCTACGTGAATGAGACGTATGAGCGGCTGGTGGGGGATGTGGGGGCACGTGTGGAGGAGTGGGTTGCGGAGGGGGATAGCGAGAGGGTTGTGAGGGAGTTGGGTGGGGGGAAGTCTTAGGGCAGGATCGCGATGAGGGTGGTTGATGATTATCTATGGTGGTTTCAGCTGGGACAGCTATTTGCTGCGGAGATCTAGGAGTACTGCAGCCACTTGACGCTTTCATGCATCTAGACTATATTAATCTCGGCTGATAGGCTGCTAAATTATGACTTTTTCGGTGCATTCCAACAAGAAAGCGCCTCGATGAAACTGATCCTTGCTGTAATGCCAAGTGATTGGTCGGACGTGCAGGTACTATTCCATCAAGTCAAGACGTGTTCCCATCAGTCAGGTGAAGTGCCAAGAGCTACGTCGTGTCGGCGCTGACAGGGTCCACATGGGCCGTCCGTGCACAGCAAAGAGCATCCACTACGACTCCTCCCCCACCATCCTCTGCACCCCTCACTGCAACCCTCTGCGAGACACGGCCTGCCTTTACCACTTGCAGCTGCTATCACCGCCTCTTCAGGCCACACACTCCTTTGAGCACCTCTACGCCTCCGCAGGTACGGATCGCCCGCTTCCGAGGCTCCGCAGGACTGACAGCACTAGGCACACCTGCACCCATGGACTCTATGAGGAGCCTCAACAAGTCGCTGCCGAAGACGAAGCGGCAGCCAGACGTGCACCAGTCGTTTAAGAACGCTGCCCTGCAGCTGACCAACCTGTACAAGTCGGCCATCGCCGACGTCGACCGCGCCCGCAGCGACGGCTACCAGGACGCCCTCGACGACCTGCTCACCTTCCTCGACAAGGAGAACCTGGGCGTCGGCGACGGCGAAGGCTGGCGGATACGGCAGTGGGCCACCGAGCGCTTCGACGGGTCGCGGCACACCAACAGCGACGAGGACGACGAAGTCGACATGGACGACAAGCGCGCACGCAGCTCCTCGCCCATCATGGAGCGCACCATCAGCCCCGAGGCCACCCGCGGCCCCGAAGCCCACGACGCAGTCCAGCGGCCCGACTCGGCGCCGCCCGTGCAGCTGGAGGCGTCGGTCACAGAGCCCGAGATGTCGCCACTGCACCAGGTCTTCCAGTTCTCGGCCCCGCAGCCGTACCCCTCCAGCACGAACGCGAGCACGAACACGGAGAATGCGTTTGGCGACTTCTCCGCCGCCGCGAGACGGGCCTTCCCTGCGCCCCGGCGCGACCGCCACTCCAACCGCTCCGCGACACGCAACCTCCAGCGCACGGCGACGCAGAACCTGTTCCAGCTCGGCCAGGGCGCGGGCCAGAAGCGGCGCATGATGGACTCGTTCCACCCGGACAACACCAACGAGCGGCGCGACGGCAGCGGCGGCGGCGGCCCTAAGCGGGGGCGCATGACATAGGCGGGCCCCGGCACTCGAACAAGCATGAGGGCGACGGCGAGGCGAACAGCATAGCACGGCAGCATCGGCGCGTGCTCCGGACGGACACAGGCGCATTGGGCGAGGATATTCTTTAGCATGGGTGGAGTTGCTTTTCGGCATTGAGCGGAGTCTACTATATACCATGGGAACATGCCGGCGCAGTGCCGGGTTAGGGCAGCAGCGATACCACATTTGTTTCCTTTGTTTTTGGGCCGGCTGCGCGACGGCAGGGCGTGGGATGGAGTGTTGGTAATAATACATCTACCTATACATACTGTTGTGTGGTTTTTAGTGCTGTGCTGTGCGTTTCTTCTCTTCTCGTTTCGTCTCGTCTCGTTTCATTTCGTCCCATGTGTTGCGCAGACGGTCTAAACCCGTCTCAACACCACTCCTCCTCCTGCTCCTGCTCCTGCCCCTGCTCCCGCCCATATCCCTCCCTTCCATATCGTATCACCATATCCCACCATATCATACAGTCTCCAGTATGCAAAGCTAAGCAAACCACCGATACACCCCCACCCCAACAAACACCGCACTCGTCCCCGTAATCGCCGCCCGCCGCCCGCGCATCCCCACCACGCTCTTGCTGGCGCGGATCACGGACTCCTGGGCCGTGAGTTGGGCGTGGCCTGAGGTGTAGGTGAAGGCGCCGAGGCCGAGGAAGGTCGCTGTTCCTGAGGAAGGGGTTAGTGGGGCTGGGTTTGGGGTTGTGGGAGGGTGTGAGGGGTGAGGGTTGGGTGTGGAAACGAAGGGAGAGGGTGGTGGGTGGAGAGTGGAGGTAGAGGGTGCTGGGTGGTGGGTGCTGGAGGGTGCTGGGTGCTGGATGCAGGGGCCGTACCCACGACGCGGCACGGGGTGCAGTCGTCGAATTGAGCGCGGTCTTGCTTGAGCGCTTCTTGGAAGGTCGGGGGTGAGGATTCCAGGGTCATGGTGGGTTGACGTTTGGGGGGGACCCGCAGGGGTCTGTCTGCCTGTACTGTGTATCACATGCATAGTCATCCCCACGTGTCTTGGCGCGCGTGTCGCGTTTTGCTCTAGCGCGCGGCGTGAACTACGCTAGCTGAGATGGCGGATACCTACTATGTATAGTAGCGAGTACCTCATAGTCCGCTGTATCGCACGAGCTCACGCTCCAGCTCTGACAGCAAGGCGTAGGTGGCGTCTGGGATCTTTGGAACGGCACGATCGATCATAGCGGACCACACGGGGTTTCGGGCGCGAGACTTGGCTTCGAAGTACTCGCGTTCGGGGATGCTGAAGCCGGAAACTCCCATGTCCACGATTGCAACCACGGTCACATGATCATGGTCGACGAATATATTGTCTGGGTGTAGGTCTCCGTGGCAGAACACCGCGCATCCGCCGCCGGGTGCCGCACGCCCGTCACCCAGGCGCTGGAGTCTTTCTACCAGGCGCGCATCCTTGGCGTCGAGGTGTCCAGCGGGCCTGGAATTGACGAGTGCGGCAACAAGCCCGTTGCAGTATTCTGCACGTGTTCTGAACGGGCCGTAGTCCTGCTCTGGCATGTTTGCGGCAGGCAGGTGTTGGAAGAAAATGTCGCGACACGGTTTAAACCCCATGGAGCCGAAAAAGTCACCGCGTTGAGCCATCCAGCTGCCTACATATTCCGACAGCTGTGCAGTGAGCCTCTCTACCTGTGTCTCATTCAAGACGTGCAGGACGTCGTAGAGTGGGACTCCGTGAACCCTGGACATGAAAATGTGACCCAGGCCGTCCTTCTCATATGCCCCGAACACTTTTGGAACAGGCACGTGTGTTGACAAGGCAACGAATTGCAGGGCTTCTGCCTCGGAGAGCTTTATGTTGGGCCCTCTCTTGAGTATACGGTCAGAGTCTTGCAGATGCCATATCGATTTGTCAATCTTGTGAGGGGCGATGTTTTTGGCCCGTGTCATATCGACGATAGTAGTCATGTCGGTGTCCAGAACGACGGGCAAGATGGTGTCTCTAAGCGGGCAGTCATTAACACGAGGAAGATGTCGCAGAGGTAGAGATGGGCGTACTGTGGGAGTGATGGTGGAGATGGAGGAGCGGGGGGACAGATTGGGGCCATGATAGGAAAAGGGCACACAGGAGCCAGGTTGTAGTGTTTTGATGTTGCGGTAGTTATGCCGCCACCTTGAGCAGTTTAGTAGGATGGTGTGGTGGTCAGATAGCGCGAAGACGATGCCAAGACTTCCCACGACTATTCCACATGGTAGCGAGACTCCCGCGGGCAACGGCGCGAGAGAGCCTGGGTGGGTACCAGGTGCCCCACGTCTGCGAGATCACGACCACACTCTCCGAGCTCAGTCACGCTTCCATATCTCCGCATGGCACGCGGGTGACAACACCATGAGCACCATCGAGGCGCTGTTCATCTTTGATGAGAACAAGTACAGCAATTCCCCCGCCCGCGCACCCGTCTAACACCACCAGCACGCCGCTCCTCGAGCATGTCTACGCCGGCCGCCCGGCGTCGGGCAGCACGCTGCTGCCGCTGTACCTCGCGCACCCGACCCCGCGGCCGTCGCTGATGTACCTGCCGTCCACCAACCCCGCCATGCTGCTGTACTCGGTCGTCCAGGACCAGCTGCTGTTCCTGGCCCCGTGCGCCGCCGACAACGAGCCGCTGCAGGTGCTCGAGTTCCTGCACCGCGTCGCCGACGTGCTGGAGGACTTCCTGGGCGCCCCGCTGCTCGCGTCCAAGATCGAGAGCAACTACGATGTCGTCGCCCAGCTGCTGAACGAGATGGTCGACGGCGGCATCATCAGCTGCACCGAGCCAAACGCCCTGCGCGACCTCGTCGACGCCCCGTCGCTGATGAAGAGCCTGCTGGGGAATGTCGGCCTGCCCAGCACCACACCCAGCTCGCTGGCCTCGGCGGGCGCGCCCTTCTCGCTGGGCAGAGGCGGGCCCAGTCCGCGTCTGGGGCCGTCGAACTCGGCGCAGAGCACGTCGCCCGTGCCGTGGCGGCGCGCAAACGTGCGCCACACCAGCAACGAGATGTACGTTGACATCGTGGAGACGCTGTCCGTCACGCTCTCGCCGTCCGGCCGCCCGCTCGCCGCCCTCGCCAACGGCACCATCGCCTTCACCGCCAAGGTCTCCGGCATCCCGGACCTCAACCTGCTCCTGGGCTGCCCGGGCGGCATCGCAAACGCCATCTCGCTGCCCGTGTTCCACCCCTGCGTGCGCCTGAACCGCTGGAAAGAGCGCCCGGGCGACCTCTCCTTCGTGCCGCCCGACGGCCGCTTCGTCCTCGCCGGCTACGAAGTCGACCTGCTGGGCCCCGCCGCGCTCGACGCCCTGACCCCGTCCGCGCCCGCCACGCCCCTCAACATCCCCGCCACAGCCTCCGTAGCCACCTCCCTCGGCCCCGCCGCCGCAGACTTCGAGGTCCGCCTCGCCCTCAACCCGCGCTTCTCCAAGCCCCCCGCCCCGTCGCGCGCCCGCCCCGCCGCAAACACAGGCACCTCGGCCGCCCCCGCGCTTGATGACCTCGAGCTCAGAATCCCCCTGCCCCCCGCCGTCGCCAATGTGACGGCCCTCCGCGTCCCCCGCGGCGCCGGCGACGTCACCTACGCCCCCGGCGCGTCGCACATCGCATGGCGCCTGTCCGCGCGCGACGTCGCCCACCTCATGGCGCAGGACCGCGGGACAGGCTGCGCAGCCGTGCTGTCGGGCACCGTCGTCGGCGCCACAGAGGAAGGCGCCGCATACGACGACGCGCTGGGGCCCGCGCCGTACGCGTACGACGACGACGGCCCCTCGTCTTCCAAGCCCGCGCACCGCGGCGACAGCGGCAACAGCAACGCCGGAGATCCAGCCAAAGCCGACGCCGCGCGCCGCGCCGCCATGCGACATCTCATGCCTTCCGCCGCGTCGCTGAGTTTCAGCGTCAAGGGCTGGCTGGCGAGCGGCATCCGCGTCGAGAGTCTGAGCGTCGATGCGAAGAAGAGCCAGGGGCTGGGGGGCGGGGTGACGCCGTACAAGGGGGTCAAGTATCTGTGTGTTAGTCGGGGGGGTGTGGAGTGTAGGTGTTGAGTGCAGATGTTTTGGATGCTAGCGGTTGTAGTGGGGGGACGCGAGACGATGGTGTGAGGTGTGTGAGTGTGGCCTCGAGGCCTGCATTGGGGGGGAGATAGACGGCCTAAGATAATCGTCACATATATATACACGGAATTCTGTAGTGTATACATCTGTGCCTCCTGTTTTACTACGTGCACGCAAAGTCATAGACACATTCTAAGGGCCTCTATTAAGGAGGAAATAGACAGCCTAAAACAATCCCCAAACATATATATACAAAATTCTATAGTGTATAATTGTTGGCGATTTGTGCAGACCCCTACAACCTTGGAATAGATTGCACGGTGTAGCTACGTACCATGGTAGCAATCAACAAACCATCCTATCACTGGTCAAATCTCACGTTGTTGCCCTACAGGACGTCCAACCAGACTGCTATAGCCAACCAGAGGCCTTTACTACCTATAGGTATATCTCTGTTCCATGGTTGGAGGGATCTGCACATTCTTACAAGCACCGAGAGTTGTAGATCGGTATACATTCCACTCTACGACGACATGTGCGGAACGCAGGCCCCACCGTGCTCTACTCGTCGCTCACTACCCCCTGTAAAACGCCTCCGCCTCCTTCTCCGACACCTCGCTCACCACCGCTAGTCGCTGGTCAATCAACCCACACCGCCCCCCCCTTACCCGCCACCACATCTCGCGCCTCTCCCCGCCCAGCCCGCCCCCCAGCAACTCCCCCTTGAACACCCGCACAAAACTGTTCCACACCTCCGGCTCCTCCATCTCCGCCAGCTCCTCGCGCATGACCCCCAGCGCCTCCAGCGCTTGCCCATACGCCGCGTCGCCCACGCTGTCTCTTACGAGCCGGCGGATATGCACCGCCATGGCGTCAGCGGCGGATTGGATATCGGCCAGCGAAGATGCAGCGGACAGGGCTTGTTTGAACGAGGGCACGAGGTTCGCGGGGTCGAGGGTTGACGAGGGGGTGCCGAGGAGCGCGGATACGTCGAGGCCTGAGAGCGGCGTGGCGCGCTCCTTGTGCAGGCGCTTTCCGCGGCCTTTGGCTTTGGGGGGGACTTTCTTGAGGTCCGCGGCCGTGGTCAGAGTCGCGAGGGCGCGGGCTGTGCGGGCTGTGAGGTCGGATGGGGGGGTGGAGTATTTTGTCAGGATGGCGGGGGGGTCGGGGATGGGGAGGGTGGGATCGGGGTGCGTGGCGCGCCAGCGGATGATGTGGTTTATGCGGTGGACGAGGGGCGCGTAGGTGTCCTCTGGCTTTGCGTATTCGTCGGGGTTGCCATCTTCGTCCTCGGCGAAAGTAGAGAGGTCCATGGCGTCGACGTAGGCGTCCATCGCAGAGGTAAGATCCGCGGTGGGCAGGTCGCGGTGCTCGGTTATCACCTTCCCGCTCACGGTCAGCTTGCGGTCGAGCGGCGGGAACTTGTAGCGCCGGATGTCTTCCTCGAAGGGGAGCTCGACGTCGACGAGACATTCGAAGTCGGGCTCTATGCGTGGTGACAGGAGGAGGACGATGGGTGGTTTGTTCTCCTTGGAGACGAAGCGAGCCACGGCGTTCAGTTCGCCTTCGTGGAGCGCGTGGATGAACGATGACAGCGCCAGTTGAGCTTGTTGGTTGCCCTTCTGAGGAACGATGTAGTTTGTCCGACTCATCGGCATGAAGCGGTCGAACTCTTCTTCCCTTATGAAGCCGATGATCTCAAACGCAGCGCTTGTTTCGAGTTTTATGACGTTCATGTCAGACTCTGCAACATGCACTGCCGTCCGCCCGTACTCGAATCCCTTCTCGAGGTCTTCCATGTCGACGTTCTTCTTAGCGCCCGGCTCGTTTGGATCCTCGACCTGATACCCTCGCTGGTGCCGCACCGCCGCCAGGTCGCTCATCGGGTGGTCTTCACCGACTATGCCGTTCGAGGGTTCGTCGCTGGGACCCGCTGCCCCGAGCTCTCCTCGAACAACGAACGAGCTTGCTGTTGGAGGTTTGGCAAGCATTGTGCAGGGGTACCGTTCGACGTCGATTGTCAGTGTCGCATCGTACTTGGCCGCATCTCCGAGAGTGAGCGGGCCTCTGTAGCTGGGCACCGGCCGCGTTTGCTTCAGGCGCGGGATGTCCAGCTGCTCAATGGCCTCGGCGAGGGTACCGAAGTTGCCGTCACAGTTATCAATGAAGCTCTTCAACACTTCTTCGTTCTCGGCCTGCAGTTGTTAGCACAGACGTAGAGACAAAAGATCTACTACCTTTGTGGTTTCCTTGTCTTCCTCCTTGTAGCCAAAATCAGGATCATCAAAGTCGACGCCGAGAAGGACGATTTCGATCGGCGCCTCGACATCCTTGATCTTCGCCGCAATGTCCGCTAAGTCGTCACCGTCCATCTCGCCATTCCCATCAGTCACGATGATGATGCGACGGTCATACTTCAGCGGCTTTCCAGCTTTGTTCTGGGTTGCGCTGTCCATCAGATGCACGGCGACTGCCAGTGCCGAAACCACTGTGAGTGTGAGTTGAGTCCATCAGACAGTTCTGTACACTCACAGTCTCCATCGTTGGTCTTGCTAGGCTTCAGCTTCTCTTGCAGTCTCCGTATGTCGCCCAACAGGTATCTGTCGGTCAGCAGCTGTCTGTAAGACATGCATTAAACTCACTGTTTCAGCTCCGAGAACACTGTGATATTCTCATAGCCCTCCGCCTCTTCCATGACACCATTGAGGTCTGTCTCGTCAGTGCGACATCCAACGACGCTCATTAGCGCCGTTTTCCTGCCGGTCGCAACCTGCATCGTCATCAGCTTGTTTCTCACCCCCCAACTCAGCGCGAAGCAGCCATCAAGCTACGCACTAGATCGCCAAAGGAACGTCTGCATACTGTAGTCGTGATCTTGTCCCACACGTAGTCCAGAGCCCAGTCGAGATCTGTGTGGTCGCGTCCATGGCGTTTCCGGCCCATTGACGCGCCGAGATCAAGAATGTATATCGTCGCTTCCTTGCCCGCCATGCTTGCGGTGAATTGCAACTCCCAGCTCTTTCTGTGCGTTGATGATGGCTATGATGGTGTTTGCCTGCCCGTACCAGCTGTAGTGTGCAGGAGTGACAATGGACAACAGCACGATACTTGCTAAAGGAGTGACGGCAAAGGCGACGTGATAAGCGCGTCGACGAGGCAGCAGAGGTGCTTCCTGCTAGGCAAACGCGGAGCTTGGACATTCGAGCACGCGGGCTCACGTGGCGCGCTAACCCAAGACAGCGACATCAACGTCTGGTCATGTCAAGGTCGTAAAATAAAAGCTATTGTAAAGACGTTGTAAGATTTGAAATACAGCTCTGCTGTGCATGTCTTTGCACAAGTCTCCCTGTCAAAAATGTACTATCGCCGCCGTTCCTTGGCAGCATCACGTGGCGCACACCAGCACCCACACAACGCCAAAAAGGGCTCAGCCGGGATTTGAACCCGGGACCTGTCACATTCACGATACACTGTATCTGGGCGAACACCCGAAGCAACAATCATACGACTAGACCACTAAGCCTGGTGCTACCGACGAGACTCGAACTCGTGCAGGTTTCCCTACTAGAAAACTGGACTCCCAGGGGAGCAAGAGAGCGGATCTCTTGAGTCTAGCGCCTTAACCGCTCGGCCACAGTAGCTATTAATAGAAATAGCGCTCGCTACAAAGTACTCAATCGAATATCAAAAATTTGGCGCTGGGATTTGAGGTGTAAACGGGCGCGGGTGACTCATGAACGGGTAAGACTCTGAATGTGGGGGTAAGGGCGTTTAGCGAGCGATACTCCACTTCCAACGGCGGTTAGGGCGTTCGTTTGGATGTCATCAACATCGTCGAATCGGGAGATAGTTACTTGCATATGTGGTACCAGGGTAGAAAGAGTGGAAACGCTCGGACTCGACGAAGGAGAAGCAGTGCGCTGTGCGACCAAGTAATTTCAAACGCACCAGTCTTGCGATATCGAAGATTGTCTGGTTCAATATCACTTCGCGGATGCCGAAAACTAGTCTGCTTGAACGAGATATTTAGTGGAACATTTGCTGGTACTTTGTGACATCTGAACGAGGGCTACAAGTCGTAAATCCCTACTCTAAAAGAAACCATTAGTGCAGCTCGAGAATACAATCCCACCCCAGTACCCAACATCTCCATAGATTTCTTTCCAGTAGCGCAATCCTACTTGGAGAAAACTAAATACCTCCCAGCTATACCCCACGCCCAAACTGCACCCGACCTTCCGTCTCTGCATGCAGACTCCAACTACCAGCACCCGTATCCCCTAAAAGCAGACGACCCACCACCACACTTGCTCTATCAGAAACCCCCTAGCGCATCTCCAGCTCTATAATACCTACGATCCCACCTCGCCCAAACACACCACCCAGCAGAGTACCCAAGCACCTTCCCCAGCAACACACCCCACCCAGAGAAATCCAAACACCGCCCAGGTACAGCTACAAAGCACACTCCATAAGCACAGCCCAGACAGCCCTTAGCCCCCGCAGTCCCCTGTGCCAACAGTCCCCGGCACACCACCCTCCCTCACCCTCACCGTCTTCGTCTCCTTAAACCTCAAGCCACCAGGTTATGGCTATATCCCACCCACTTACCGACCCACCGATCCACCGTCTTAATCTCACAAACATACAACAACAGACCTGCACTGCACTGCACTGCACACAAGCAAACCGCGAAGACGAAAGATCAAGAAGCTCTGTACACGCCGTTGCATCTCTCCATCTGCCCCACGTGTTGGAAACCGCTTGGTCTGTGGGATCCAGGGTAGACACAGTACCTAGGTGTTCTAGACGTTTCACGGCGGGCAGAGAAACAACACATACGTCTCTGAAGAACAGCCACTGTTACTGTCGAGCAGACACTGCATAGGTATGCACAGAACCTGCAGCCAGCGGATGATACCCCTCGCAGCGAGCGCGAGCGCGGCCGCAAACACCCGACGAATTTGACCCACCCCATCCTATTCTATCCATCCAGCTCGAGACACGGACACGGGGACCCAAGACCGCTATCTCAGCACCCACACATAACGAACATGATGAACACCTCCCCCACACCCCGAATTAAACACACCACCACCCGACAACAAAACACACACGCTCACCCGCACCTTTCACCGCATATGTTGATCATAAGTATGCCATTTCGGACTTATTTACAAAAAAGCACACGCTCTTTATTTGCCAACCGCCGTTTCCCTATTTCCCCCCCCCCCCCCTTCCCGCCGTAGTAGGTACAATACTTCAGAAGACCGATGCAGGGGACATGCCATCCTCTCCTTCAGTCCGTCCTGATCGTTTCCTGCCTTCGTGACGTTGATCCTGGGTTCCCCTCCGCCGCAACTCGTCTCAGGACATGGATGGAGGCAGTGCTCTGGCTTTGAACAGCGTGGTCGTGAGGCAGCGTGCTGGGCCGCGTGTCGTGGAATCTTGCCTGCGCGTGTGGTTGTTCACCCTTTTCCATTGACGGTCAGGCCGTTCAACTTGTTCTGGGCAAGGACCATGTCCATGAAGCTCTTTCGTGGCTTGTGCTTCCTCTCCAGCTTGAGCTCGTCCACGTCGACGACATGTAAGCGTCTTCTCCGACAGTCAGACTTGATGTCCGCGAGCAGGGGCCGCAGAGACTCGATCTTCTCTGCTTCGGAGCTGAAGAGCGACTCTTCCACCCAGTACAGCCCCTCCATCGCCAGGAACTGGTTCTTAGCCTCCTTGATGCTTTCCTGTATCTTGGCATAGTCGAAGTCTGGTGATCCTTCCATGGGGAACCGAATGTCTTGAGCGAGAAGAGCAACATCGTACTGCCGCAGAATGGCTTCTCTCTGCTTAAGAGTTACGGGAATGCGGTGCCAGTCGCAGTAGGGACCAGGCAAATGGGCGAGATCGAGCTCGGGGAGACCAAGAATACCCACAACCTGGAAAGAGCTGACGTAGATCTTGTCCGGGGCAGCGCTCGGATCGCGAAGATCCTTGGCTGTGACATACAGAAGAGGGAGAAAGACTGGCGACACACCCAGCTCCTCGCCAGAGAAGTGCAGAGGCCGGTCAGTGCCCAGTTCACAGGCACGCCGAAGTGCTCGTGGGAGCTTTGCAATTCGCACTTGCCGAGCTGCAAGCTGCTCTTGTCGCCGGGCTTCATCCTCCGCCCGCTTGCGAGCCTCTTCTTCGTCTTGCTTGCGGGCAGCTTCGGCCTCGGCTTCACGTTTGATCTTTGCTTCCGCTTCTGCCTTCTGCCGAGCCTCTTCTTCTGCCAACTTGCGAGCAACCTCCTCTTCTTCGGCCTTTAGGGCTTCAGCTTCCAGTCGTTGCTCTTCTGCGCGGCGTTCACGAAGCATTTCTGGCGTTGCAATCCTCTCCGGCGGCCCGGGCGTTGACTTCGCAGAGGCGGTAGGGGTTCTCTTAGCGATGTGGCCTTCTATCGACGCGTCTGACATCCGACGCTTTTTGATTTTGTCGTCGATTGTCCGATATTTGATCTTGTTCTTGGGCGGCTTGCGCTCGTCATGGGACTCGACCTCAGGCGTGGGCCTGGCGCTGGTGATCTTCTCTATCTTCTTGTGGATTTTCGGAGACAAAGACTTTGCATCGTTCTCTGCATCGCTCTCCCTCGATCTCGCGCGCACTGTATGTTTCGTCGTCTCGTTGTCGTCTGAGCGTGCTTTGAGCGGTTTCTTGACAGGTTTGCCCTCCTCCTCGCCTTCACTATAAGATCGTTGCTTGGGTTTTCTTGTCGGGGCTCGTACTTCGTCCTCGCTTTCCTCGGAAGAAGACTCGTCACTCACAACGCGCTTTCGCCTCTTGACCTCCGTGCCGGATTTCAGCCGCCTCGCTTTCTGTGGTGCCAAATGTGAATCTTGTTTCTTTACTTGGACACGCTTCGCATCCGGTCTTGGAGAATACGAGCGCTCTCGGCGTGGAGAGGGTTTGCGCTTCATCCGCATCGCTGCTGGATTCGGTGCTTCTTTCTTGGCTCTTCTAGGGCTTCGGTGCGTTGTGCTGTAGTCATCGCTTGCTTGCTTTAACATGTCCCTCTCCTCCTCCCATCTAGGACCTCTGCGTTCTTCGGCGATTTCCCAGTAGGTCTTCCCTTCCTTGTTTCGCCGAGTGGGGTTGAAGTTGTCTTGCTCGAGTAGCAACGTAACGATCTTGATGTGGCCGCGTCCAATGGCAACGGTCATGGGCGTCTCAGGGTGCTTGGAAGGATCGGGATCGGCTTTGAGGCCACTTGCCAGAAGAATACTAAGAATATCGTAATGTCCACCTCTTGCTGCAGCAACGCCGCAAGTGATGTTCGGTTTGATGTTGCTGTTGATGAGCTCTCCCACAGCAAGAATGTCCCCGTCTCCAGCTTTCTCAATCAGCGTCTCCATGTTGTATTCGTTGTAAAGAAGCCGCGAAGCGCTCTTGTTTTGCTTCTGTCCAGGTCTCTCGCGCTCCTCGATCGTGGAGGTGTTGGTCTGCCGTCTCATTGCCTCCTTGAGCTCCTTCTCGATCTCTTCGCAGTCTTCGTCTTCGCGGTCCAGAACATCGATGGCACGCTGCCCTTTCTTGTTCTGGTGGTGCGGATTGACGTTTCCTTTAGTAAGCAGGATCCTGACAACCTCCAGGTGTCCGTTTTCGACGGCATCGATGAGAGGCGTATCACGGTCACCAGATTCGCAGTCTGTTCGACAACCTTTCTCGATGAGGAATTCCACAACGTCGGCCCATCCGTTCAAGGCGGCTTTTTGAAGAGGTGTGATACCAGCAAAGTCAGCTTGGTTAAGCTCGCCTTCTGCCTCTTCATAGGCTGCCTTGACAGCATCCAGATCGCCCTTTTCGCTTTCTCTCGCCAACCGCGTTGCACCGAATCTGTCAGTCTTTCGGCCGTGCGGCATTGTCCTTGCTGGAGAGGTTAATGCTCGGTGTGTGCCACGCTTGACACGGGTGTGCGGGTTTGCATCGGTAGCGCGTGGTGAAGATGAACGCTCGGAGCTGGAGTCCGAGTAGCGTTCGGTTGCAACTGCCAGACTGGAGATGTCCTTGCGTTTGCGTCCTGCGGCACCAGTGATGGCAGACTGCGTCGATTGTGAGCGCTTGTGCGGGCGGCCAAAAGCTCCCTGCAGAACGTCAGTAAATTAATGTCGGGAAGATAATTACAGCGGGAACGTACCGTCGCGGGCGAGTTTGGCTGTGTGCGGTCTTTGAGTCCTTCTGTCTTGGCCTTTTGTCGTGGGGGCTCGAGCTTGCCAAACTCGTCACGCAGCTTGCGTTTTCGATTTTCGACAGTGGAAGCGCTGCGGCCTCGCGTAGTTGTTTGCACTGGTGAAAGCGTCGGGCGGGCGGGCGATCCAACTGGGCTGGTGTCTTTGGTCTGCCGCGAACCAGTGCTTGGCGAGGTAGGCACGGGGCTTTTCGCGTCGTCGGAGGCATATTTGGCGTGTCCGTTCGTCTTGGTGGAGCGGAAGTCGCTGGATCGTCTGCGGCCGTTCTGGGGCGAGTGCGAGTGCGTGTTTTCTTTGATCGAGTCGAGGCGGGCCGTATCATCATCGTCGCGCTCCGTCTTGATCACGCGCTTCTCTCTCGCGTCGTCGTCTTTGGACAACACGACCGTCTCGGCCTCGGACTCGTTCTCGTCGTGGTCGCCATTCTGGGCGACGGACACGTTGTCGATGGCGGCAGGCTCAGCGGCCTTGGGTGGCTGGTGGACGGCGGTGCCAGAGTCGGTGCGCGGGCTTCGAGGTGGGTCGAGGGATGCGTTGAGGTCGCCATTACTGGTCATCACGCATATAAGGGACAGGACACGGGAGTTCCTGCCTCATGACGGCTTGCAGAGCAAGGGACGACAGGCGTGGGCGGCAGCAAGAACGCGGTGCCTAACGTCCTAACACGGGAGGACCGTCGCGTGATGGGGTGCGGTGCCCTCAGCGACACCAAGGGAGCGGCGGCGGGTGGTGGTTGGCGTGTTGTGATGGAGGCGTGTGGAGTGCTGGAGGGCAGTGGAAGAGTGTCAGGGCGATTGTAGGCAAAGGCTGCGAGCCACTCAGCGTGCAGCACGGGCAGGCTTGGGCACCGGTCCTAGTGGCCACAGGCGCATCCCTGCAACACGCAAGCGTGCGCCAGCATCGCCAGCATCACCAGTTGGCTGCGGAGCTGCGCGACGCCGCCGTGCCGCAGAACGCCGTGCAGAGCGTGCGAGCGTTGCGCAGGGAGCGGCGGGTCGAGCAGCTGTCACCCACGCACTGCACCATGGTTGCTGCTGTTGCCTCCGGACGGCGACCCTGAAGGCTCGCTGCGAGCTGCACCACGCACAGCGAGCACCTGGGGGCGACCAAATTGCCGCTAGCCATGTGATCGGCGCGTTATTAGCCCCATCGGTGTGGCCTGCATCCTCGCCCGCGGCCTTGTCTGCCTGCAACATGTGGCGGCGATGGCTGCTGCGTTTCACAAAGGCACTGAGGTCTCGCAGGCCGTGGCCGCATGGCGCTGGTCGTCGCATTGACGGTGCGCCGCTGGTGCACCAACAATCACTGGGCGAGGCTGGCTGATCGGCACCACTGCGCTGTGCCGTGGATAAGGTTCCGCTAATTTGCCCACTCGTCTGAAACGCAGCCCCAGCAAGCTCTCCAGTCCCAGTAGCTCTCTCTCTCTAGTCCCAGCAGGCTCTCTCAGTCCCAGCAGCTTGCTCTCCAGCCCCGTCACCACTCTTCCACCACCGGCCCGCACGTCTGCTGCCGTCGTGGTCGAGCCGCGCAATGTCATCGTCGCCGCCGTCGTCGTCGGCGATGGGCTCCCAGCTTGAGGCTCTGCTGAGTCCCGTAGTCCTGCTGCGCGCCTTCTACCTCGCTGCGTCTCTTCTTGTACTGCGACACCGGCCAGCCTGATCGCGCTACACTGACCTGCCCTGCTTACTAGATCATCGTCATCCAGGCCACTCCTGCGCTGCGCCGCCGCTTTCTTGCCTATGGCTCTCGTGCGACGGCACCGTCCGGTCAACCGTCAGCAGCGGCCACTCAGCCCTTCGTCAGCCAGGCCCTGGACTACGCTGCAGCCATTCAGGTGCCGCACAACTGGTTCACCCACTTTTACCTCCTCTCAACCGTCTGCTCGCTTTTCTGGGCATGGCGACTGCACATCTGGTCGGCCCACGGCCGCCTGCAGCTTGTCTGGGCGCTGATGCTCCTGCAGGGCGTTCGTCGTGCACTTGAGTCGAACGCCTATACGTCGGCCAGCACGAGCAGAATGTGGTTCGCCCACTGGCTGCTCGGCCTTTTGTTTTACCTGACCGTCAACGTTGCGATATGGATTGAAGTCCCTGCCAAGAGTGCGAGTACCTGGTCGTCCACGACGCTAGTCCTCGCGGTGCTCACGGCGCATGTGCTCCAGCACTCTTACCACGCCTATTTGTACCACCTGCGCTCCGGAAACAAGGGCTACCAGCTTCCCGCGCATCCAATATTTACAAACCTGCTGTGTCCGCACTACACCTGCGAGACTGCCATCTACCTCTTTCTCTCCTTCTTGGGTGCTCCTGCTGGCAAGGCTGTGAGCTGGACACTAATCTGCGCTACTGTATTCGTCGCTGTCAACCTGGGAGTGACGGCGATTGGCACGAAGAATTGGTACATGGAGAAGTTTGGCAAAGATAAGGTAGGTCCGCGGAAGAGAATGGTGCCTGGCATCTGGTAGGACGTCACCATGGCAAACGCGGTATCTCGATTCGAATCTAGCATATTCAAAGCAATTCGATCTTTCCCTCAGCACCTTCCTTTTCGAGCGACTCATAGATCTATCATCCCAGCCGATATCAAACGGCTGTTGTTCTCCGTGCAAGTGCCGCCGTCATTGTAGGCTAACATGCAAGCCACTGCCCACGACTACAGGGCGCACTACCCAAACCGGCTAATTGCCCAGCGCTCCCGTTGGTGGGGCATTTCGCGGGGCATCTTGCAGCGAAAGCAAAGGGCGGAAACATAAATGCGTGAGCTCCATCCACTCTCGCGTCATCAGTCGTCGTTTTGAGCGACCGGAAGATAAAAGTGCAGCTTCGTCCTGACTTGATTCTTCAATCTCTTTGTTCATCCACCACCAGCAACATGTCTGCAGAAGTACCAAAAGATCTTCCCGAAATGGAGTACCGCTTTGTTGGCAAGAGTGGTCTCCAAATTTCTGCCATATCTCTTGGGGGCTGGCTTACATGTATGTTATGACGCCTTATTTTGATGATGGCCTTATTTGGATGATGAAACTGACCAGTCAAGACGGTGGACATGTTGGCGACGAGAACACATTCGCGTGTCTCAAAGCCGCCTTCGACGCCGGTATCAACTTCTTTGATGCTGCTGAGTCTTACTCCGGGGGCGAATCCGAGCTCGTCATGGGGCGGGCCATCAAGCACTTTGGCTGGAACAGGAACGACATTGTCGTCTCGACCAAGGTAACTCCCACTTCTGTATAAAGTGATCAAACGACTAACAACAAGCAGATCTACTGGGGCACCCACAACTCCGCCCTCCCCTCCCCCCGCAACAAAATCAACAACCTCGGCCTGTCCCGCAAGCACCTGATCGAAGGCACCGAAGCAGCTCTCGCCCGCCTGCAACTCTCCTACGTCGACATCATCTACGCCCACCGCCCCGACCGCCGCACCCCTATCGAAGAAACCGTGCGCGCCTTCAACTTCCTCATCAACACCGGCAAAGCCCTGTACTGGGGCACCTCGGAATGGCTCCCCAGCGAAATCGAAGAAGCCTGGGCCGTCGCCGACCGCCTCGGGCTCATCGGCCCCGTGGTCGAGCAGCCCGGCTACAGCCTCCTGCGCCGCGACAAAGTCGACGACGAATTCACCAACGCCAAGCTCTTCGAGCGGCGCGGCCTGGGCCTCACCGTCTTCTCGCCGCTCGCGGGCGGCCTGCTGACGGGCAAGTACGTCGACGGGGTCCCCGACGACAGCCGCCTCAAGACCTCCGAGGACCCGGCGATTTCAGGCTTGGTGGCGAGTGTCGGCACGCCCGCGTGGGACGAGCAGCAGGACAAGATCCGCGCGCTGATCAAGGTTGCGGAGAAGCTGGGCACCGATGTCGCGACGTTGGCGATGGCGTGGGTGCTCAGTAATAAGAACGTGTCGAGTGCGATTACGGGGGCTAGCAGGCCGGAGCAGATTTTCCAGACGGTCAGGGCGGTGGGCGTGTATCGCAAGTTGACGCCCGAGGTACTGGAGGAGATTGAGGGGATTTTTAAGAATAAGCCTGCGGAGGTTACGCAGCGGTTTGGTGTTTAAAGGGGTTTTGGAGGGAGACATCCTGTCTGTGGCACTTGTTCATGATGTACTACTGTAATGGTCTTGAATTAGAACCCCGATGGGCTGTGTAAGATCAGGTCTCGAACTGCTTAGTCGAATCATCTATACACATTGAACTAGCCACTTAGCAAAACGGAGCATCACGCGATAATGACCAACAATCTCGCCGGGGCTCCTTCTCACCAGAGCATACGCGCTCAAACAGAGTTGCTCAGCCTCAGTTCTCCAGCTCATCAGCAGTGACCAGTCTGAAAACGACGTAGGTTTCCATGTTCTCTGAGAACCTAGTGTCAATCCTCCTCAAACAAAAAGCCAAAGATCTTGGGTACTCATCCGCTGCCAGATAATAGCCCCTAAAGTGCTCCTGCTATCGAGTGTAACACGACTGCATCGCTGAGCTCTAGCGCAAAGCTACCCCTCACCGCCCACCCCACCGCCCCACTCACCACACCTCACAGGCTCACACCCACCCCATCAAGCCATTGCGCACTCGACCGCCTCACCCACCTCCCCATTTCCCACCTCCCCAACACCAAACAATCCCCCCAACCCCGCAGTCCGTCTCCCATCGCCCCACACATCCAGCACCCAACCATGGCGCCCAAAAAAGGCAAATCCAAAGACGCCAAAGACGCCCCCAGCGACGCCAAAGACGCGAAAAGCAAACTCAAGCCCGCAACCAGCATCAACGTGCGCCATATCCTGTGCGAGAAACACAGTAAGAAGGAGGAGGCGCTGGAGAAGATTCGGGGCGGGGCCAAGTTCGATGAGGTGGCGAGGGAGATGAGTGAGGATAAGGCGCGGCAGGGTGTGTATTTCTCCATTTCATCTCTGTGTTGTGAGGGCTGTGAGGGCCGCGAGGGTTGTTGCGTGAAGATGTTGCGTAGGGGTTAAGCTGACTCTGTACAGGCGGCTCGTTGGGCTGGAAGGTGCGTGGTAGTCTGATGCAGGAGTTCGAGAAGGTGGCGTATGAGCTCGAGGTTAGTAGTACGGGGGCGCCGAAGCTGGGCGAGGTGAAGACGAGGGAGGGGTATCATATTATTATGGTTGAGGGGCGGAAGTAGATAGGTGAGTTGTGAGGGGGCGAGGGGCAGGCAAGTGTCTCTGTGAACGGCATGGTAGACAAATCTTGTTGCCGTCGAGGGTATGAGCCTTTACAGTTTGGCTGCGGAGTTCAAGAGGGAGATATTGAGTATGCCGGGGTCAACACATCAGCGTCAAGGATACCATTTACTTTCTGTTGCGGAGGGACGTTGAACTTAACTTCCTGTCGCCAACCAGGCACTCTAATTCTGATTACGGGCTTGGAGAAGAGCCGGAACCACTTCAATGGCGAGGCCGAGGAGAATACCAGCGCAATGGACGTAACGCGAGACGGCACTCGTGGACACGAGAAGCACTGCGACCTCAGATGCACAAGGATTTGGGACTTTCGTATGACAGGGCTTACTCTGTTGGATCTTCAGTTATTCTCTGACTCTCTCTTAACGGGCCTGGGCATCAGCATAACCGCCGGTTTCCTCGAGCCATCAACGCCCCACACGTACGTCCGCACGCCAATGTATTCTTGGTTCTGGTGCAGGATCCTGTTGTAGCAGCTCTCTCCAACTTTCTCCGGGACATGACCTCGGTCAAAACCTCGTGGGCCAGGAATTCGCAGCGTGCTCCTGACCACGGGGTTTTCTTAGGTCTTGGTGGAAGCTATGCTTCTTTCCTTGCTTGCCTGGGGCAGTCAATCTACAGGCGGCTCAACCGGGGTGAAAAGTCGTTCTTGTTGTTGTCCACGCTTGCGAAGGTTATGGTCCCCTGCCGTGTCCGTCGCTGCTTGATGTGGAGCCGCAGGGCGATTGAATGAGGTTTGTTCGGAGTTCTCAACGCTTGAGCGCCTTTAGAGCCGGATGTTGTTACCGGCTCGGTCTTGCACATCACTGAAGGCAAGTTCGCTTTCGATGAAGCGATCCTGTGCATGTCTACGAGAGCCACGCATGACATGAGTCGGATTTCACGAGTGCCGACTCCTTGCGGGGATGGCGCCATGTCACGTTTTATGTCGGCCATTGTTCCCCCCTTTCTCTTTATGAATGTCTGGGTCCGTCGACCCTTCATCCGCAATTCGAGCACGAATCAAACCCTTGATGTGAGGACATTCACCACGCCAAGCTGCTGAAGGACATGGGGATCAATGTAGAGCACCTGGTAGCGCAATCACGATCGGTCCATCAGACGCCATCTTCGCGCAATTGACACGATTGGTGACAGTATGGAGGAGCTCTAGTCGGTGTTGGGCTCGGTGATGTTACGAGCCGCTTCGCGAGGAGTGGGTCCCTCGAGTCCTCAGAAAAGATGTTCCAGTCGGTACTTTGGTTGACAGCTGCATATGTACTGAGTCGAGGCATTAGTCGTTTCTTGACAGCTTCGTCGCGAGCCTACAAAGGCTTAGCTTCTCGCCCAATCTAGCTTGATCCAAAGATGTGTCATTCGGTCTGAGCAGCGAGCGCAATGCAACATACAGCAGCTCGTAGACGACTTCGCCAGCGTGACGACATTACCTTGGCGATTAAGGGGATATCCACCTCTTTGTGTGTGTTTGGGCGCTCAAAAATCGCGCATTTCAAGGGCGAGTGGTCCATCGAAGTGCGGCTTATGTACCAGAACCGGTTGCGGGATTTATCAAACAAAACCACAAGCTTCACTGCTGCGCCTCTGGATCTTCAGCATGACAAGTCCACACGGCACGCGAGAAAAAATAAAATCGCCGGTTGGCACTTCTTACATGATAATTGTCCCTGCCCTTGAAAACATTGCATCCCTTGCTACATACTCGTGCACACCTCACACCAGATTCGCGCAATCCAACCTAACGCGATCTCTACCAGCCGAAACGTTTTAACCTAGCTATCACCAGTCGCAGTCCCCCAACATGTGGAAACCACCGATAAACTTCATCACGCTCCATTGTTAAGTTACCATAGTCCTGGCATCCAGCGACAGTGTGCTAACTTTGGGCAGACGCGTACATCATCAGCTTTGGCATACTTGGAATAATCATCCTTTTTCCGTACGGCAATCTTTCTGCCATCGACTCGTACTTCTTTGGCGTCAGCGCATCTACCGAGTCTGGACTGAACACGTGGGTCAGCTACTGCCGTGATTGATGGGCAACGCTGACGGACGCAGTGTCGATGTGAAAGCGCTCAAGACCTACCAGCAGATTTTCATCTACATTACCCCAATCATAACGAACTTAGGCTGTATCAATATTTTTGTGGTAGTGGTCAGGCTACGATGGTTTAGCAAGCGGTTCAAAGACCTCGGTATGTTATGCGCCCCTAGACAGTAAGGTCTCAACTACTTACCTGAGTCGTAGCGACGACGAAGCCGAATGCGCTTCGAGAGAGTCAGAAACAGGCTGTCCTTCATCATGCCGACACAAGGAACATGGAGGGCGGTCTCACAGGCGAGACTGTGGCGCCTAGGTAAGCACGTTGGCTTTATCGACGCCCTTCCTGACAAACCTGCTGATCGGGAAAGGAATGAGTCCTCGGGACCAACCGATGACAAAAGATCTGTTGTCGCTTCAGAGCCTCTCGGAGAACGATTGCCGCAGATCTCGTTCGCTCCCGATCCGCAACGCGAAGGCTTGTCCAGAAAGGGCACCTACATCCCAGGGCCCCGAGAGCGTGAAGGTAGAAGCAGCTTCTGTGTTGTAATTGCGTGGCTAACACGACAGCAGGTCAACCAATCAGTTCCATGTCAGATGGTATGCACTTCCTTTTCTGAAAGCTTCTTCGTGGCGCTAATCACCATCAGATGATGACGAGGACGCAATCAAACTCACATCTGCCACAGCGGACTCGAGCAGAGCGATGGGTCGCAGTTTGTCTCGAACACGCAGCTTCAGTCGGACACGCAGCTTCAGCAAGGCCACATCTATGGACCGAGCGGTATCATCCATCTTTGTGCTCGGTAGAACACCCAGCCGCTCAAGCGACGAGAGGTCGAGGGTGTCAGAGCCCATCAACTTAGCTTCTTTGAGCTATGAGGAGCTAGGTGGCGTCGAATACAGCGCATTGAGAGTGCTATTGAAGATCGTAGCTGGTCAGTCGTAGTCCTTCTTCTTCAGTCTGTTCATGTATAGCGCTAACACCGACAGGCTACTTCCTTGGTCTGCACCTGCTTGGCGTACTGTTCCTGTTGCCATGGATCTGGACCGCGAACCCAAAGTACCGGGAGTACCTCCACTCGCAAGGTCAAGACAACACTTGGTGGTGCGTATCCATACAGTGCTTGAGCTGATCTGAACTGACCTCAATCTTTTTAGGGCCTTCTACTCTTCGCAAACGATGATCTCCAACCTTGGCTTCACCCTCACGCCTGACAGCATGATCAGCTTCCGTGACGCAGTCTGGCCCATGCTAGCCATGAGTTTCTTGGCTCTGGCCGGCAACACCTGTTACCCATGCTTTCTGCGGCTCCTGATCTGGACAATGCACAAGCTTGCTCCAGAGGCATCCTCCCTGAAGCTGTCACTGCAATTCCTGCTTGAGCACCCACGACGATGCTACACTCTCCTCTTTTCGAGCACCGCGACCTGGACACTTGCTGCCATACTTTTTGTGCTCAATTTCGTCGACACCCTCCTCATCATCACCTTAGACCTCGACAATCCAGAAGTCAATGCCCTCCCCGCTGGCCCGCGTGTAGCGGCAGCACTTTTCCAAGCCGTGTCTGCCCGACACACTGGCACAGCGACATTCAACCTTGCGAGCATCAATCCCGCGATTCAGTTCAGTCTCATGGTGATGATGTACATCTCAGTGTACCCTATCGCGATGGCGATCCGATACAGCAGCGACTACGAGGATGGTACGATTGGCCTCTATCATGGAGATGAGAACATCGATGAGAGAAAGGGGAGTAAGACGTACCTCATCACGCACATGCGGAACCAGTTGAGTTTCGATCTGTGGTATGTGTTTATGGGTGTATTCTGCATCTGTGCGGCGGAGAGCAAGAGGATTATGAATCCTGATGACCCTGTGAGTATCTCTGAGGTCCTTGTCCTCTTAACACAGAACCTCTTTTTAGAATCATTGCTGACGTTTCAAGGCATTTTCGGTGTTCTCAATCTTCTTCGAGGTCGTCTCTGCATACGGCAACGTTGGACTGTCGCTCGGATATCCAACGAATTTGACGAGTCTGTGTGGTCATTTTACTGTGTTCAGTAAGCTGGTCATCTGCGCTATGATGATCCGTGGGAGACACAGGGGCCTTCCGTATGCGCTTGATCGCGCTATCACGTTGCCGAGTGATCGTAAAGAGGATGGCGAGGCGAGGTATAGGGATGAAGGTGGATCAGATGTGAAGCAGCAGGAAAGCGCTGTGAAACACTAGAAACGCGACTGTCGATTGATGACCCTAATATCACCGGACAGTGAGTGACACTGACGAACTTTATTGGGTAGTCTAAAAATCCGAACACAAGTTTATGCTGATGCTTGCCGAGCTGAATGAAGCCGTTCAAAGTTATGAGAGTATCACAAAGCTCAGAAGCATGGACATAGTAAATGACGCCTGATGCAGACATTCAATTGTGGGTTTGCGTACGTCCCTTTATTCACCACTGGGTGTTTAATACATGCACAGAACGTCGTCAACGGCTCAGAATCAAAGCTGTTCTTGGAACAGATGCCTGGTGTTTCTCTTCCATCAGAAGATGAGGTATGGCTGATGACGGCTTCCATAAATACTAAGGACTAGCTAGTATTCGGCTTGTTGACATCGATGAAGCCAGTTGTGTGACTTCCACCGGTAGACAGGCCTTCGGTGTTAAGCCACCAGATCGATTCTATTGTGCATGGTAAAAGCCGTCAACTGAGGTGACGACCGCTAGAAAAGTCATCCATGCTCCAAACGTCTAGAAAACCCATCACTGTACTTGTTTACTCGATTGATCAGCCCTCGCCCTCCAATTAGACAGATCCCTCTAGCAGATTCATCCCATATACTACTATAGTTCATTGCTGAAGTAACTTTATGCCTGAGCATACATCTCGCCTTATAGCAAGTAGACCCTTTTATCTAACCAGCATTAAAGTCAATATTTAAGCCTGTTAGCTATAGGTAGTATAGGTATATATAAATAGTTGCCGGAGAATATAGTAATTCTTTACCTTCATAACATAGCGACGTGCTACGATATTAAGGGGTCTAATTGCGTGGTGGAGTACATACCCCTGCGATGCCAACTTCCTGAAACAGCAGGTGGTCGTCAAATCTCCCCCCTGCTATTGGCTCCACAAACACTTTGTACGAAGTGCAGGGTACGCTCTGCACAGACGTTATAGTAACGAGATCTAAATTTAAAGGGGGCTAACCATAGTAAAGAAATATGTACCTACATAGGTAGGTCGCTCTGACGATAGCACTTCGACATCTGCCCGGCCCTCCGCTTCTGCATTTTCTACCCCAGTCTCTCGTTCGCTATAGTCACTCGCTCAACACGATCATGAAGGTATCCGCGCTCGCCGTGGCTCAAATAGGCTTACTCAATGTACTGCCTGCAGCGGCGGAGTACGTGTGGCCGGACAAGCATGACAGGATGGAGGACCTGCTGGTCTTACAAGCTGGCTACATTCGTGAAGGTTTTGTCGACGGTACGATAAATGCGCAATCCATCGTGATAGAATGTCTCACTCACACATGCCAGGCATCAATCCATGCACTCGCAACGCCGGCCCTGGACGCCAGACTGCAGCAGAATGGATCCGAACCGCTTTCCACGACATGGCAACATATGACAAAGCTACCGGTACTGGCGGCTTAGACGCTTCCATTCAGTTCGAGACAGACCGCGCTGAAAATGCCGGTGATGCTTTTAATGGGACCTTTGGCTTCACGAACAATTACTTCAGCATTCGCACTTCCGCGGCAGATCTCATCGCTCTGTCAACAGTGCTTGCTGTGGGCTTCTGTGGCGGTCCGAAGATTCCGCTGCGGGTTGGTCGTGTAGATGCTACCGAGGGCGGTGTTCTGGGTGTACCAGAGCCGCAGCAGGATTTGGATACTCACAAGCAGATGTTCGCGAAGGCGGGGTTCAGTACTGGTACGTCAGATTTTCTCACTGCAGTATCTCTTACTAACTGCGTTCAGAGGATATGATTGCTATGGTTGCTTGTGGCCACACAATGGGAGGCGTACACGGCAAGACATTCCCAGAGATTACTGAGAACAGCAGTGAGGAAAATGTTGTGAACTTCGATGGTACTGCCTCGACATTTGACACCAATGTTGCAGCAGAGTACCTCAATGGGACCACACAGAACCCGCTCATCGTGGCTCGCAACGATACTCTGAACTCAGACAAGCGCATCTTCGCAGCCGACAACAACGTCACCATGAAAGCGCTTGCAGATCCTCAAAAATTCCAGTCTATGTGCTCGGACATCTTCGCTCGCATGCTCGACACCGTCCCCTCCACTGTCACCCTCACGGAGCCTCTCGAACCCATCCCGCTCAAGCCCTACATCACCTCCTTCGCCCTCACCAACGCCACCCATATCACCCTCACTGGCCGAATCCGCCTTCTCACGGCCTCGGAGAGATACAACGACGAGCGCGTGACCCTCACCTACACCCCAAGCTTCGCCCCCGCCGCAAACACCACCGTAAACACCACCATCGATACCAACCCCGCCACCTACAAACTCGGCACCTCCAACGGTATCTTCGGCGAGCTCTTCAAGTGGCACGAGTTCTCCCTCGCCCTGCCCACGTCCACTTCCATCAAGAGCTTCACTGCAACCGTGACACGGGTGTCCACCGGCGCGCAGACATTCTACGATAACGCTGGCCAAGGGTATCCTCTTGACGACACGCTGCTGTACCAGGACGCGCAGTCGTGCCGTGTCGGTAACAACGCGACGATTGTGGCGGCGGTGCGCAAGAGCGTGGTTGATGCGGGGACGCGCGTGGTGGCGAGCGTGGCGCGCAAGTTTGCGAAGCAGGGGACACGGGTGCCTGCGTTTCAGATGGAGGAGTGGGAGGGCGAGGTTGGGAGTGAGATTGGCGAATACGTTCTGGTGACGGTGAAGGGTGTCCAGCAGCCGGAGAGCTACAGCACGCATTTTGATTTAGTAGCGGGTGATAGCAGCGTGGAGTATCTGAACACGAACGTTTTGGGTCAGAAGGAGTGTAAGGAGTTGTAGATATGAGATCAAGATGTTTTCGTGTTTGTTCAAAGACGGTTCTGTTGCCAGGACGTTGCGTGTGACTTCTTCTTTCCAGTTCTCATCCCCCTGACTCCGCTGCGCTGTACCGGTGCATCTAGCTCTACAGCGTAATAATATGAAGCATGTCAGGCGTTATGCTTACTTGGTAATCAAGGTGTTATATGGTCTTAGTCATGCGCGTTGATAGCACGGTGAGTCAATACGCTCAATCGGTAATGTGCTCAGTCGACCACTGATGCCTAGCTACTCAGGCAGCCGTGGCAAGTGACGAAGCAGAGTTTCACTACAAAAGATGACCCCCACGATGCATGTCACATGATCTCGTCCGCACGACGCGTTCGTCATGCTTGTTGTCTTTCACTCTGTCGCCAGAGCGTAGCGCAAACGCGCCCATGCCAGCTAAGTGACAATGCTAGGCATTTCGGTGTTCAACGCTCACACTCCTGACCAGCTTGCGAACTCTCAACTCAACGAATTTACACCATGACTGCTTCCATCGCGGATAACGGTGATGTCTTGTGTCCTGACTGGATCTACTCCTATTCCTCCAACGTCCAGTGGGCAGCTTCTGTACCTCGCCTGACCTACCATGGCACTGACATATCAATAGCGTCACCAATAACAAGGCTTGGTTCACATCGTACCAACCCTTCCAGTCAGAGCTAGGCTCCATATATCCCATCGGTGCTCCAGTCCCGGTACTCGGCATCGGCACTGTCAAGCTCACCGTCAAGGACCTCCCAGACGGCTTCACTACTTACAGTACTTCGACCATCGAACTCCACAACGTCCTTTACGTCTCAAGCTATTTCTGCAACGTCCTCGGCCGTCCACTTGCAAGCGTGTACCAAATCAGCCTTGGTGGCTCAGTCCGCAAGGACGGCTCTGTGTCCAAAGGAGGCCTGGGGCTCCAAGGAAGACAGATTGCGTACTTCAAGGACGGTCCCATCAGTTTCCTCTCGCTCGCTGTTTTGCCTCCCAAGGGTATGGCTTTCGGTCGGAGTGTTTTCGAGAGCGGAGCTTCGTATATGGCTAACTGTCACTGGCCCAACGAGGAGCGGATGCGCTGGCAAGCTGTTCAGGAAAAAGCCGCACGGAGACATGCGCCGCCGCTGCTTGAACCTCCGTATACCTTTGTGGAGCTCGAGTACGTGAATGAGCGCTGGGGAAGCGAGTTCCGGTTCCTCGCACAGTACAGATTGAGCATACGTGAAGAGAGGGACCGCATCGAGGGAAGGCGGATTGTCCGGGCGCTCATGAGGGGGAAAGATCCGGCTGACAGGGAGAAGGAGATTGAGGTTGAGGGGAAGTTGGGTGACTACCTGCTACCAGATCGCGGTAGGAGTGCGATGTGTGCTCGGGACCCATCGGCACCACGAGCACCGTTTCTGTGAGATGGAAATCGCATTAGTGTGTTTGCAACGTTGCGATCAGCTCTAGGCTCGCAAGACCGACATATAGGTCTTTATTTGGCACCAGTACATCCATAGTATCTGTGGTACGAGTAACATAGACGCTTCCCAACACTTCATTTACTTCCCATGTGCTGCCACGATATGGTGTGTAGTCTTGCACATTCGGTGCACCTGCTGTCGAACATTGAAAGCGCTGCGGTGTTGATGTCAGCAGATATTGCTCTAATGTAGAAGGAAGCCTAGACAGCTCACCAGAAGCACAGTCAGCAGCTGCATTGTCGATTCTCGTGCGTCGGTTTCACCGACACGGTCTGCCGGTGTAAGTTGCCCGTCCTAAGATTATAGTACCGCCACTTAAGCCGCCCAAAGCTTGACTCGAAGGCTGATCTACACAACACCGGTGAACGGCCTATCATCAGCCGGGTATTCGCTAACTCAATCAATATGCCGATCTGTTGACTGGGTAGAGGGGAAAGCCGAGCTATGATGTGCCGGCGCTGGCGTGGCTGGCTGCGAGGGTATCTCTTCAACAATGTTTTATGTATGTTGTGCATTGTCAGAATCCAAACACTGCTGCTCAAGATTCCAGAATTTAAGTGGCGCGCAGAAAATACTTCGCGCAGTGAGACATTGACTTGTGACGCAATGCAACCTCGCCAAACCCGCGCCAACGACAACGTCTTCCCTCACCCTCATCACAGTCATCGCTTTGCCATCTCACAACCCGCTCGCTTGGAGCACGTTTTCGGTTCCCCACGCTTACCGGATATCAGCTCGCATCAGGCTTCCGGAATTGCCATGCATGTGGGTCAGCCTTGCGCTAGCGGTGTGTTGGTCGTGGTTTCAGCTTCTACTAGGAATGATCGACATACCTTGTTCGGCCACAGTCAGCTCCACGGCAGCCATGCGTGTCGTGCTGCGCTTGCGCTTAAGCCTTGCGAAGCTTTGTACACATTAGCCCTGCGTCGATCGGTGCTCGGGTCTTGCTGGACGCCGGACACGGCACGAGGCGAGATGCGTATTGTGTAAGTCCACCAGTGTTAGCCAATGCTAACAAGGACTTGAGAGCGGCAGTCATTGTACGAGACCCGTGGGACGGCAGTCGATTGTCAGCTTTGAAGCCGTTGGCTGCTAGTTGCGAGGCGATGAGAGATATGTGGAGATGCTCGACACTTCACGTGCTCACGCTCACGGCAAGACCGGTGGAAATGCAACACTGCGGTGGCCACCACGTTCCGCGGACCATTAGGTGAGCAGAATTGGTCAGGTCGAACAACGCGAAGGATGATGGGCGGTTCATTGGATCTCGCAACTCACACAGCTCACGCGAGCCCATTACTATATATGTGGGAGGCCTCAGATGTTGTCTCGAGGTGGTACCAGGCCTCCCTTGCTTTCATTGCCTACCTCATTGGGGACGTTTCAATCATTTCATAGGTCGTCATTTACTAGCCCAAACGTACTCTCGTTCGTGTGTCACATACTCAGGCAAGCATCACTACCAAGATGTACGCCTCAGGAGTCTCATATCTCCTCCTTCTTGCTGCATCAACAACGTCAGCAGTCAATCTCCTCCCCCGCAAAGAATCCTGCCCGAAAGTCTGGTCAGAAGTCCTCCCCGAGCTCCAAACCGCCTTTGCAGGATGCGGCCGTGACGCACACGGCGCCATCCGCGCCCCCTTCCACGACTGCATCAACAACGGCTGCGACGGCAGCCTCATCCTGACCGACGAATGCAGCCGTGCTGAGAATGCCGGCCTGTCCGACATCTGCGGCAAGCTGCTCTCCTGGACCCAGAAATACAACACCAGCGCCGCAGACATGATCCAGTTCGCCGCCGCAACGGCGATATCCGCCTGTCCCCTCGGTCCTCGCGTCAGGGCACTGGTCGGCCGCAAGGACAGCAGCGAGGCGGCGCCAGTGGGTAGCGTGCCTAGCAGCCGCGACAAGACCTCGTCGATCCTGGAGAAGTTCGCTGCGAAGGGGTTCAGTCCCGATGATCTGGTTGCGCTGCTGGGGACGCACTCCGTGGCTGTGCAGGTCAATGACGACCCATCGCAGGCGGGCAAGAGCTTGGATTCGACGCCGAGTTCGTTTGATCTGAAATTCTACTCGGAGACGCTGGATGGAACCGCACCGTACACTTTGCAGAGCGACAAGGGACTTTCGAAAGACGGTGAGGTGAGTGGCTTGATTTGCTGTTGGGTGTTGAGCAAAGAACTGACGATCAACAGACACAGAAAAAGTGGAAGCAGTTCGCGGACGGTGATACAAGTGCCTGGAACACTGCGTTTACTGATGCTTGGAATCGGTTCGCTGTTGTCGGGAATGATGTGGGCAGCCTGCAGGATTGCTCGGGTGTCATCCCTTCGGGTGCTTCGGAGAGAAGGCTTGCGAGGAGACTAGGCGGGTCGGCAGCAGCGAGAGCATTTGTGAGGCGCTTGTATGATTCTTGAGTCACTGCCAAAAGCATGGGTGTTGGAACCAAGCCTATCACGAGCCTGCAGGCTCCGTAAAATATAACATTGCATAGGGCAACGTGGTAACAGTCGCTGCTTTCATACATCGAGTATTAGTATATATCACATGAGAAGGATTACAGCATCATGAGCATTTTTAAGTCAACATTTTGTAGCATCGCAAGCCGCTTTGGCTCTCTTGATAGATGAATAACATTCAGGTAATCGCTAGATAGAATCGAAAACTCCCTCGGGGAGGTACATATTTACAGGTGTCTTAGGTACTCATACGGAGAAGCGTGACCGGAGAGCAACTGGCTTTGTCGTGACAACGAATTTACTCGGCAGCTTCGAGGAAAGCGATGAGCTCCTCGATCGTCCACAGCTTGTCAGCGGCAGGTGCGGCTGACGCAGAGGGAGCAGCAGAGGAGACAGCCTCCTTGGTGATGACAGCCTCCTTGGATGGGGTAGCCGCAGCCTGGGTAGTAGAGGCGGCAGCCTGGGTGGTGGAGGCGGCAGCGGGCTTGGAGGCGCTGGGCTGAGCGGCGTTGCCACCCTCAGACGAGACACACTGGGAGTAGTAGGGGTTCTGGACCTTGCAGGTCCAGCCAGATGCGCACTTGCCGGTGCCCTTGAAGCCCTCACCACCGCAGCGACCGTAAGCCTGGATCTCGACATCAGAGCCGGAGGTAGGCTGGGGCTTGGTGACAGTAGCAAGAGTCGTCTTGGCCGGGCCAGCAGAGGAGACAGCGACAGGGGCGGACGAGGCAGCGACGGGGGCGGACGCAGCAGGTGCCTTGGAAGGAGCAGGGGTGGCGGTGGGCTCAGCAGTGGCCTCAGCGGTGGGCTCCGCGGCGACACCTGTGGCAGAAGGCTCAGCAGTGTTTGAGCCGCTCTCAATCTTCTCCAACCAGGCAATAAACTCCTCCATGTTGAACTCGGCATCGCTTCCGGCCTGGGCCTCGAGATAAGTAGCGAACGAGTCAACGTTGTACTTCTTGTCACCGGTCTCGGGGGCAGCAGTGGGCGAAGCAGCAGGGGCAGAAGCAGCGACCGAGGAGGCGGCAGCGGAAGTAGCGGCCTCAGTAGGCTCGGCCTCAACGGCAGAGGAAGGAGCAGCGGAAGGAGCAGCTGAAGTGGCAGCCTCGGTGGGCTCGGCCTCAGCGGCAGAGGAGGGAGCAGCGGAGGTGGCAACGGCAGAGGAGGCAGCAGCAGATGAGGCGGCGACAGGCGCGGAGGAGGGTGCAACGCTGGCGCTGGCAACGGGGGCAGAGGCACCACCGGAAGGCTTGGCTACACCAGAGATCTCACCGAAGGTAAGGAGCTGAGGGTCGCTCTTGGTACCGCGAGCGTAGAGGGCAGGGCCAGGGGCGGGGTACTCGGTCAGGGGCGCGTGGATAGAGAAGCCAAGACCGGGGCCAGTCTTGGAGTAAGCCTCAGGGAACTTGACACCGGCAGGGGTAGCAGTACCCGAGCCAGTGACTGTAAGCTGGTAGCAAGTGACGTAGTGCTGAGCACCACCGGAGGAGGATGCAGCGTGAAGAGCGATGGCCTCGGCACGGAGGAGGTAGTCACCGGGAGCAATATCCTCGGGGATAGAGAAGTCGAGCTTTCCGCAGTTGTAGTTGAGGTCCTTGGTGCCCCACAAGTCGTTATCACCCTGGGTAGAGCCCGGGGCCTTCTTCCATGTGTTCTCGTAGACCTTGAAGAACTCCGAAGAGCCATCAGCGGTGGCGGCATCCTCGACCTTGGACATGTAGGCAAGAACGGGACCCCAGTGGGCACCGCCAATACCCTCCTCGGTGCAGGCACGGGAGTTGTGCTGGTGCATCTCGATGCTGTAGAGTAATTAGCCACTTGATCGTGCTCACGTGTAAGTACAACGTACGTGACTGTGTCACCGGCCTCGTAGCTGCACTTGCCAGAAGCGGCAGCGGGGTTGACATTGCACTGCAGTGCGGTAGAGGTGTAGTCCTCAATGGGGCTGTTGGAGGGAGGGAGACGAGCGCAGGTGCTCTCGAGATCCTCTCCGTTCTTCCAGAGTTGTTGCCATGTGGCGTGGGCGTTGGCCACCGCAACGATACCTGCGAGAACAGCGACGGACTTCATGGTGGGTAAATGAATGTGGGTTTCAAAAAGAGTGACTTAAAAAAGAATGAACGAAGAACGAAGTTTGTAAGGCAAGGTAAAGAGAGTCAGCGCAGCTGCGTTACCATCCAAGAAGTTGAAGCACTGCACATCTTATATTCTGACTGCCAAAGGAGCGCTACCGCCGTGTGAGCCGGTATATGGCTAGCCCCACAAGCAATGTTTCGTTCTGCGCCAGCCGCATCTTAAGGACAGCGCTAAAGACGTGATGCTTCTCGAACGGCATGCGCATTGACGACCCGGAGTAGACTTTACTGTTTTCTGTCCAGGTACCAGATGTTCCAGGTTTCAATAGATGTATGTGATTGGTGGACCATTTGCTGTACCTGGCAGTAGGCCGATGTTGGACTAGGTAGCGCCCGCTGTCAACCCGTGCGTGAATCCTTCGAAATGCAGGGGTTTTGGTCATGCTGCTATCCTCACTAGATGTTGGAGCCAATACGATGCGTCAATGCAGACGGTGAGCGGCTCCGCTCCGTCATTGTTCGTTGACCAGTAGCTCATACCTAGCTCAAGACAAGGCTGTCTCTCTTGCTTTGCCCGGAGGGTGAGTAGGAAGGGCCGAACCTATTGTTCAAAGGCTTGTGTGGCGCGCCTAGAAATCTCGGTTGCCTTCAGGCTTGACCATGCCGGTTGCCGGACGCAATTTTAGCCGCTGATGAGACTCCATCATGATGCATAGCATGGCTTAGGTACGGAGTGCAGTCTTGATGACTGCATTGTACGGTATTCGTAATCCTTTGCGGTTCTGCAATACCTGTTGTTGATTAGCCGTACCAAGCATATAAGTTTCCTTCGAGTGTCGTTGTGTTAAAACATGTTCCGTTCGTCGAGATGAGAATCTGGACGCCGGGTATGGATGAAACGTCAAAGTGGGGCGACGTCAAACGGCATCTGCGTGATCGACGCATGGTACACAGCGGTCTACGAGATTGCGCAGTCTCGAGGAAATGAGCACCGACCGGATTTCCTTGGGCGAGGCGACGCAGAGAGGCGATATCCAAGAGGGAGGAGAGGTGAACTTAAGAACGGCAGCTGCGGACAGCTCTCGCACGGTTCCATGTCTTGGCTGACGACAACCGTTTCATCAACACCGAAAGCATCCACATGGAAGCCTCAGGTTTACGTGTCCTCGGAACACTCCTCTTCAGCCTCACTGTCAATCATTGGTGTTTCTCAAAGAGTTCAACATTGTTGTGATACCGAGATGGTCGACAGATTGCAGAGAAATTGTCCACTCTCGGCACCATCCGCCTTTGCCCTCAGCCTCATGAAGGATCTATTGACTCCAATGTGCGGACGCTTATTCAGGGTACACCATTTTCCTCCCCACTCCGCCATCGACTACGACCTCTTGGCCCGTGACGAACCCGCTTTCAATCAGATACTCTGCAGCTCGAGTAATGTCTTCGCTTTGACCGACCCTGCCTGCTGGATGCCACTCTGAATCGTTCTTAGTCAGGCCTTCTTCCCAAGCAGTGCCCTTTTCGTCGGCAGCTTTGCTCTCGTTCTCTACATGAATCCAGCCTGGGATAATCGCGTTCACTCGTATCTTGTGGCGATGGCCAAGAGATATGGACATTGACTGAGTAAGGCCGAGTATGCCTGCCTTTGCTGTAGAGTAGGCTTCATGGTCGGATTCAGCCTGATATGCACGTGTTGACGAGATGTTGATGATAGTGCCGGGCGAGCCTGACGACGAGGTACCCGCAATGAGCAGTGGGACGCAAAGTCGACTGAGGATGAATGGAGCTGTCAGACCAATGGCAATCTTCAGATCCCACTCGGCTTCAATGTCATCTCCCTCTCCCTCCATTTTTCGATCCTCGGCAATTTGCAGGGTTGTCGGAAAAGCGTTGTTGATCAGGACGTCCAATCTTCCGCCAAAGGTCTCCTTCACTGTTCGGACCGCATCTTTGATCTGCTCTCGCTTGCTCAAGTCGCATTGCAGTGCATACCAGTTGCCTGGTGTGCTTGACCAATTGTCAGCTCGTGATCTGACGTGTTCCAACTCTTCTGTGTTCGAGTCAAGAACGATCACTCGATGGCCTTTTGATATGAACTGGCGGAAGAGGCCACGTCCAATTCCGCGAGCACCTCCGGTGATGAGTATATTTAACGCTTTGCCGCTGGTTGTTGACATTGTTCTGCGAATCAGTTATGGTGACATCGTACGACACTACGGCAGATGAGAAGTCTGAGAATCATAAGTTCTGTACATGACGTCATAGTAGCTAATACTCGGCTGTCTTCCCACCCTCGTACTGTACTATAAGTGTAAGAGAGTGAGACTAATACCCAGCTGTCTTTCTATGTTACAAACTCACACCAAATAGCCGCAGCCCGCATTCGATGTTACGCTGCGGCTTCCAAGTGGCTAAGACTTTCCAGATCTCTACTTTGCAGCCGCACACATCAAAAGGCATTTATCGGGTCAATATTGATCTCTCGTAATGTCAGCAAAGGCGGAACCCAAGAAGGCTGGTCAATGTCGATGTACCAGTCGTCACAACTCCAAGAAACTCGTTGTTCTTGCGTCTCCGAACAGCACAGTCTCCAGAAACAAATGGTGTGTTGATTGACAGGCTTATAAATTGTCTTGACATGCAAAACCAATCAACGCCGATCTGGGCTTAGCTGGAGCGCGGTGAGATCGAACGCATATGATCCTCGCCCCTGACAGCTTTCCAATAACTCTACTTTCTTTGTTTATTCCTCTTCGCCGTCAAGAAACTTGATCACGCCAACTGTTTAGGATTTGTGGGGATATTCCACTACAATGTACAAGGACGGTGGTGCTTTAGGAATTGGAGATACATAGATGAGAAGTAGTGTACGACTCTTATTACAACAAGCTGGGCTAGTATCGCTACATGCCTTAGGTAACGTATTCGTTCTCGGATGCCTCTAGGCCTCACATGTCCCGTATCTAGCTTGCACAAGTCAATTTCTTTGGTATTATTAGCGATAAGAATGCATACAGCAATTTTCAGTAAAAATCAAGATGCTCCAAAGAGTGGACTGGATTCCTTCGACGTAAAAGTAGATTTGCGATGCAGCGCAAAGACTTTCGTACACTATCCACAGCTTCTCTGTTTAGACCAGTCGAACTGTGATGCGTGTTCACGATAACTGAACTGACCTGAACAGTGGTCGATTCTTGTGATCTCCTCTTCACACGATTGAACAGCACCTGCCATTTTACCCTTCGTCGGAAGAAGGTCAGCCTGCGTAATGTCGCAAAAATCACCTGCCGCTCTTGAGGGAACAGGCATGAGAGACGCAACAGCGCAAAAAAATCACTTGATTCGACCCAGACTTGAACTGGAGACCTTCAGTGGACTAACGATGTTAGACTGACGTGATAACCAACTACACCATCGAACCAGTTGTTGTGATTATGGAAACTTTGCTCTCTCTATGGATTATGATGTCACTTCATGTTCAATTGAAGTTGCGACATCAACTGATAAACAAACAGCTCATCTGTTTTCGTTGTGCGACTCTAAGAGCATTGCAATAAACTTTTCGAGCCGTGTGGACATTGGCTCCGGAGCATGGGCCCACCATCCGAAAATTTGCTGAGGACTTGGCCGTAGACAATTTAAGGTAAGCTCCATAAAGGCAGCCGATGCTCACCCTTGCACGCTGTACATGAAGGTGCAGACAGCACTCAACATATCGGAGGCTTTTGACCAGGTATCTTGACAGATCGTTGCACATTCGGATGCTCATGCTTGTAAGCGGTGGTCAGCAGACGCAAAAATGGCCTGTGCGATATGGATCAGCCGTTACCCGTCTTCTCCAACTCTTGAAAAAGGCCGTGCGCTTGCCGGTACTTTGATCAAGGTATCGTATGTACCAGTCGAATACTTAGTCCATGGACATTCTGAAGAAAGTGGATTGCTAGCGAGCGCGTTAATCGTTCTGCTTGACCCCATGTGTCGTGCTTCTGCAGATACGAGTGCATGCTGCTCATGCGTGCTCGTGGTCACACGGCCATTGAACTGATGGCGTTTAGCGTTATTATGGGCGCCATCCACAAGGATGTTGTAAACGGAGGGGGAGTGCGGAGTCGACAGGCGTCGTACGATTGGCGGCAGAATGCATCGAGCATGGACTCTCGCCTTGAGCCCAACAACAGGAAAAATAGAGTTGATGAGTAGGCTGGGTATAAGGAAGTGCGAAGTTGCATCGATAGACGTTGAAAACAAATACAGTTGCCTGAACAAGACCGGTGATGACACGCATCGCGGTTGACGCGATGGAACGGGGCCGTGGAGCTGTTGGAGCTAGTATTGACATGACGCACAGGGTTGAGAGCTCGAGGCTGCCAAGCTTCTCAGCCGAACCGTGGGAACCGTGGGAACCATCATCTCTCAACCATTTCTTCGTGTATTGTTCAGGCCGTATTTGGCCAATTGCTCGGGCTTTTCGGTCAGCGCATCTTTTTCTTCGTTTTTAAAAACCCTCCCTCCTCCCGACCTTCTATTCGAGAAGTTACGAACGACGAGTGCGCCAGACAAGCTCCTGCAGGTGCCCATTAGTTGCCGCTTCGCGTTTGGTACATTGATCGGCGCAAGCTTCACTACGTCGTTGCGGGGAAACTAGCAGGAAGGTCGCATCTGACCAAGCTGTCCGGGACAGTCTTCTACCCTCAGTTCACTGCAGTGAACACCATCGTAACAGCTGCTCAAGATGGCGCGACCTTTGGAAGATGTGTATTGCACAGTAGGTACTTTGACATGGCACTGAGACACGCGAGCTAACTTGATTACTAGCTTCTCATGAGCGACTCTTATTTACCAGGTGCGTACAACAATCGAGTCCATGAAACCTGAACCATCTGATTCTTTTTCAAATGTTTTCGTCAATCCCATTGAAACTGCTGCTGACCATATGTCCAGGAGCCACTGTCCTCGCCCACTCTCTGCGCGATGCCGGGACTAAGAAGAAGCTGGCTGTGATGATCACATTGGAGTCGTTATCAGCCGAGACCGTCGCCGAGCTCAAGTCGCTGTACGACTACGTAATCCCCGTCGAGCGTATACGCAACTCAAACATGGCCAACCTTTACCTCATGGGCCGCCCCGACCTTTCGTATGCCTTTACCAAGATCGCTCTGTGGAGACAGACACAGTTTCGTAAGATCGTATACCTCGACGCCGACGTGGTAGCATTGCGCGCGCTGGACGAGCTGTTCGACATCGAGGCTCCTTTCGCTGCCGCGCCGGACATTGGTTGGCCCGACGCCTTCAACAGTGGTGTTATGGTCCTCAACCCGGACATGGGCGAATACTGGTCGCTCCATACAATGGCTGCTGCTGGTGAGAGCTTCGACGGCGCTGATCAGGGACTGTTGAATCAGTACTATGAGCATCGCCCATGGCAGCGCCTCAAGTTCACATACAACTGCACCCCAAACGCCGAATACCAATGGGAGCCAGCATACAGATACTACAAACGGGACATCAGCGCTGTGCACTTCATAGGCAAGGATAAACCGTGGTCTAAGAACCGCGCAGCAGGCCATGGTGTGTATGGCGAGCTTCTGGCGCGATGGTGGGCTGTACACAATAGGCACTTGCATGATGCAAAAAGACAGCAGCAACAGAGTAAGGTTGCGGGGGAGGCGCACGGCAGCACGCACATCAACACCAACACTGCCTTGCAGCATCAGCCTATCCCTGATATTACTATCAATGAACCCGCCCCGACCGCCGAGCCCTCTATGACCGACCCTAGCGATCTAGCTGAGGATATTCACCAGGGCTTGATCGAACCGACATCTACAGCAGAGCAACGCAGATTCTCTGCTCCAGTAATGGAATGGGATGCTACCAAATTCGAACCGCCAGCGCAGTCCAAGCCTGAGGCTGCCAATTTCCCAAGCGAAACGTACACCTTCAATGATAGCAAGCAGCTGTTCAAGGCACCGGCATACCCTGAGCCACCCAGTGACATGTGGTACAAGATTCCAGAGTCTAAATCAACGCCCTGGGAAGCACCTAAGCCCATCTTCCCTTGGGAGAGGGAGGCCTCACGACCCAAAGCTACACGCGTCTTTGCAGAAGATCATCCACCAGAGCCCCGCCGCGCACATATGCCGGCGCCGGCACCAGCAGCAGAGACATCGGAGTTCGAGGCTTCACCGCCTTCGTCACAATTTCCAACGACTCATTACGAAAGTGCTCAGGATCAATGGACACGAGCAAAGCCTACCAGAGTCTGGAGGGATGATCCTCAGGAATACAAGCCAAGGACTGCTGAGGAGTCGTGGCAAGCGTTCTCGCAGAATACTGCTAATGCATGGGATAGTGTCCCAGGGATTGACTCCTATGTGCGGTCAATTATGGATTCGCAGCCCAAACGTGGGAAGGTTCAGATTCTGCAGCAGACGACCGGCACAGATGACATAGGATCGCCGACGCTATCTCGTAAAGACCGTCGCGAGAGTCTGATCCTGACTGATTTCCCGTCTGCGGTGGAACGTCCCAGCCTGCCCGTCACCCCAGCACCTCTGCGGCGTCCTACCTTCTGGGGCGAAGAGAGGGATGAGGCTGGTGAACTTCCTGTGGCGGAAGGAGTGCCAGAACAAAACGAATGGGTATGTCCACAGTGCGGCTTCTCCTCCTTGAATGCGTCCGCTTTTGCTCGCCGCCGCGACTCATTTGCCTCTGTCAACGAATATGTCAAACCTCACTTGTCCACTGTTGAATCTATCATCGATGCCCCAGACTCCAGTCACCTTGAAAGAGAAGAAACAGTGGACCTGAGAGACGACATCCCGCTCGTTAAAGAACAGGTAGTGGCCCGCGAGGCTTTCGAAGAATCAGCGGAAGAGGTACAGGATACGACAGAGATAGAGGCGAATCCTCGCGGCGGACTGAGCGCTACCGGCGTCCCTTTGGTCTCCTTGACGGACCCACAACATTTTCTATTTCAACTCTAACTGTGTCTCAAGAATCCCGACGTAAAGCTAGAGCAGCTGAGAAGATCATCGCTGGTCGAGTTCGAACACCTCACAAAGGATGAACACCCGAACCCACCACTACGCGCGCTACCAGAGCATTCGATCCTCGGCGACGAACACGGCGAAGAGCTCGAGGTTGGCGGCATTGTCGTAGCCAAGAGCGACCGCCCTGCGATGCGATTCTCGACACGAAAGACGTCCACAGAACAGACTACGTCTAGCCAACACACGTCACAGTCATCTTCCCTCAAGCAAAAGAGAGGTAACAAGATTGGCTTCACTATGGATGATTTCGGTGCCAGTTTTGATAAGAGAGAGAAAAGTGCTAATCCCCTGGATGAGGTACCAACATTCTCGTACGAGAATACTTCGCCTGTCGAAGCCTTCCCAAAGATTGGGGGGTTTGCTGAGCGGGATTTTGGTGGCGACAGCACGAACGAAAAAGAGATACAGAACGCTAGCAGCTCGACAGCACACCACGAGCATGCGACCACTCATCATTCCATCGGGCCTGGTCACCAAATCACATCTGATGGACGCATCAAGGCTGGCGAATTGACCTTTAACCTTCCAGGATTCAATTCGGATAGTTCGTCTGAACTGGTGTCTCCCATTGGCGACGCACTCAGTCCCACCACGACTAGAGACGAAAAAATTGGCCAGGGTCTATTCTGATCTCATTATCAAGAATGGTAAGCATGAATACATAAACGATGGATATTTGGGCGATCTAGTCATCTTGCATTTACGTATCGTCATTTGTCTACTTCTTTGTCTGCAGTCTTGCATTTGCACCAGCATTGCGTAGCGATACTATCCTTCTGATGGCATTTTCCCCCTCTGCTCAAATTTCTACTGTTTTGCGAGTATGTATACATGAGCTATACGATAATACATAATGACCTCTCACATTTGATTACCTCTCGGATGAAGCTTATTTAGGCGCAGTGATAGGATCGCTATGGACGGCGTATGTACAGGGGTTTCCCTAGTCTTGTTTTCACAGAGGGCACGTCGTTTACCTAAGAAGTGGGACCTGGTTCTCCCGGCCGAGGCACATTATTCCTTCAGCATCTGCGCAGAAATAAGCTCTTTCAAGCATATCGCCAAAGGCTTATTGTGTGCGAACTCAGTCCCATTGTGTGAACTTAGCAGCGTTAAAGCTTGGACCAGTCGAGATAGTCATAATTGGTGTTCGAAAGTCGACGCGTGATGCTCACTCCGCCATCCGCCACAATGTCACGGGTGGGGCAGCCCCTCACCATGCTGCATCGAGCAGAAGCAACTGCGCGCGCTTTCACACCTTCCCGTTTATCTCCACCGCGAATAAGCGCGCATCGTATTGGCCGAAACTTCTCTTCCTCTACAGCTCGCAGACTCTCACCTTCACTTCGTCGTTTCGACAAATACACTCCACCACGCATACCAAACGCCGAGTGGCCGTACTTATACCACAAATACTACAAAATGGCGAACCTCGACTCGTACTTCCAGCAGGTGGACACTCTGCAAGACTCGTTCATCGAGAGGCTCAGAGAAGCTGTCGCTATCCCCAGTATCTCCTCTGAGGACCAGAGGAGACCGGATGTCGTCAAGGTATGCCTGATGTGCAACACCTCTAGTAGAGAATGTAACTGATAAGCACGATAGATGGGCCACTGGCTCGCGGACCAGATCAAGGCGCTCGGCGGTGAAGTCGAGCTTCGTGAGCTTGGAAAGCAGCCCGGACGCGAGCACCTCGACCTCCCACCCTGCCTCCTCGGCCGCTACGGAAACGACCCCAAGAAGGTCAACGTTCTCGTATACGGCCACTACGATGTTCAGCCTGCACAGAAGTCCGACGGCTGGGCGACCGACCCATTCACGCTGAGCATCGACGACAAGGGCCGCATGTACGGACGTGGCAGCACAGACGACAAGGGCCCTGTCCTTGGTTGGTTGAACGCCATCGAGGCACACCAGAAGGCCGGTGTTGAACTCCCTGTCAACCTGATCATGTGCTTTGAGGGTATGGAGGAGAACGGCTCGGAGGGTCTAGATGACACCATTCGCGCCGAGGCGAAGAAGTTCTTCAAGGACGTAGATGTTGTTTGCATTTCGGACAACTACTGGCTGGGCACAGAGAAGCCCTGTCTCACATACGGTGTCCGTGGATGCAACTACTACTCCATTGAGATTGCCGGCCCCGGTGCTGATTTGCACTCTGGTGTCTACGGCGGCGTCTCCCACGAGCCCATGACCGACTTGATTCGCATCATGAACTCTTTCGTCACCCCTGATGGCAAGATCCTGATTGAGGGCATCGACGAGCTTGTCGCTCCCATGACTGAGCAGGAAGAGGCTCTCTACCCTCCCATTGCATTCACCATGGACGACCTGAAGGAGTCGCTTGGCGGTGAGGTCTCGATCCACAGCACCAAGGAGGAGGCCCTCAAGGCTAAGATGAGGTACCCTTCGCTGTCTCTGCACGGTATTGAGGGTGCTTTCTACAGCGAGGGAGCCAAGACGGTCATCCCTGCCAAGGTCATTGGAAAGTTCTCCATCCGCACTGTGCCCAACATGGAGATCGACCCCGTCACCAAGCTTGTCGAGAAGCACGTCAACGCTGAGTTTGCCAAGCTGGGGTCGAAGAACAGGATGAAGTTCAACGTTGTCCACTGCGGCAAGTGGTGGGTTGAGGACTTCAACCACCCCAACTACACAGCCGCCGCCAAGGCCGTCGAGAGGGTGTTCAACGTTAAGCCTGACATGACACGTGAGGGCGGCAGTATCCCAGTCACTCTCACATTCCAGGAGGAGCTTGGAAAGAACGTGCTGCTGCTGCCGATGGGAAGCTCGACAGATGCCGCGCACTCGATCAACGAGAAGCTGGACAAGAAGAACTACATTGAGGGCACAAAGCTGCTCGGAGCATACCTGCACTACGTCGGTGCGGAGCTCAAGCGTGATTAAATGCCGCTCAGCACCCTGCAGGTGTAGTAAATAGTCAGAACAATGAAATATACCCATTCGACATAAAGATGCATCTGAGTTGATCTTTTGGTGTTGTTGTGTTGCTCGTCGCGTGCACACGTATGGGGACCGGGGCCGGAGAAACCTTCTCGGACAAAGTTTCCTGCACCCCTTCACCGCAGGCCATCACCAGCCCGTCGACGTCGTCCGTCCCACGCGTCCAATTGCACAATGTCAGCCAGCAAATCCGTCCTCCGCACATGCCTCAACACACGGCAGCAGCCCGCGCTGCTCCCGCGGGTGCAATGCCGCCACGAATCCACCGCACGGCGGCACAAGAAGCTGCTCGCACTCCCGGAAGCGCCGTCCTACACGCCCTCGCGCTCCGAGCCCTCACTCATCTTCAACCCGCCCTCGTCCGCCCCGAGCGTCTACCACACCCCGCTCAAGTTCCTCCCCGCGAATGACAAGCGCCGCTCGCTCTACAGCGCGGCCCTCTCGTACTCCAACACCACCGCGCTGCGCCGCCAGGCCTCCCCCGTCGCGAGCCCCGGCACCCCGCTCTCAGCACCCTCACACCTCCCGCCGCGCCCCTCCGCCGCGCTGCCGCCCCCCGTGCGCGCCCCCTACGCCAAGAAATACCACCTCGACGATGCGCAGATCGCGGAGATCCGCCGCTTGCGCCTCGGCGACCCGGAGAAGTGGACCAGAGTGAAGCTTGCGGAGCGCTTCGGCTGCAGCCAGTTCTTCGTCGGCATGCTGGTCAAGGTGCCGGAGAAGGCGGCGCGGATCGAGGGCGAGCACCAGGCGGCGAGGGAGAAGTGGGGGCGGAGGAGGAGGGAGGCCAGGGAGGAGCGCGAGAAGAGGAAGGTGCTCTGGGGGCGGGATTTGTAGGGCTTGGATCCGAGAGGCCGGGTTCAAGGTGAATTGGGATGTGCTGGGGTGATGGGGATGGTGCTTGGACGTGGGAGCGCGCGTTTACGACGAATGAACGCGTGATGAGAACGACAATCGATGCACGGGTTCCGATGTGTACAAAACTGTTTCTGCATGGCTGTACGATAGCAAGGCTGGAACGGGGGGTCTGGCCGCGCATATGCATACTCGGGAGCTGGGAGGCGGGTGTACTTTTGTAACATACTTCTGTCAAATGGCAAGATTCGAAACGCTCATGGGTATCGCGTCAGATCATGAGAGCAACTGGCGCCCACCCACAGCAAGCCTCCCACCCTCACCCTCACCCTCTCACTAACAGCACCTCGCCCTGCTCTCACGCCTCCCCACCCCGCTCAACCACCACCCCCCTCCCTCCCAACGCGGAACACAAACCCGTCCCCCCTCCCCTCCCCCCCAACCCGCCAGCACTCAAACCGCCCCCGCCGCACAACATCCCACCGCTGCCCGCGCTCCGCCTCGGCAGCCTGCACGCCCATCCCCGCCGCAAACCGCGGCACCCCCACCCGCCGCACCGCAACGCGCACGACCTCTTGCCCGGGCGGCCACGCCACGGGCACCAGCGCGCGGAACCCCGAGGGCGCGGCCGCCGACGCAGTGAGCACGGCGTTGCACGACAGCAGGGCCGCGAGACGGGCGACTTCGGCCGTGAGGGCGCGGGATGCGGCGGTGAGCGGGCCCGTGGTGCTGCTCATGGCTGGCGCGGCGCGCAGGGACGCGGTGAAGGCGTCGGCGTCGTCGAGGAGGAGGGAGTGGATGCGGCGGTGCGCGCTGGGGTGGGGGGCGGTGAAGAGGTAGGTTGGCAGGGCGCGCAGGGTGGCGAGCAGCGAGGGCCAGGAGGTCGGGTGGAAGATGTGGACGTGGGCCAGGCAGCGGGCTGTGAGGGTGGTGAGGGCGGATTTGGTGTCTGGGTCGACGGGGGCGGGGAGGTGCGAAGTCAGCAGGGAGAGGATGGTGGTTGCGAGGCGCGGGACGCTGAAGTGGTGGAGCGGGTCGAGGAGGATTATTGCGGCGTCGTGGCCGTTGAGGTGCGGGATCGAGGGGAATGAGGGGGGGAGGATGGCGTGGGCGATGATGAGGTAGAGGAGGGAGGTTTTGCCGGCGCCGGAGGGGTGGTGGGTAGATGGTGGTGAGATGAGTTCGAGGATTGCTGGTGAGGAGCTTGATGTTAGAGCGTCGAGTTCTGGGATCCCGAAAGGCGTTTTGGTTGTGCTCGCGTTGCTGTTGTGACTGTCAATTCAGTAGATTCCCAGTGCTATCAAATTGGACCAAGTCTGGATGTCAAACATCGACCTGAATCTAGGATTTGCTTACCCTTCAGCATCCAGTTCACGGAGAGAACTCAGAATCTGACAACAGTGTCAGCAAAAACCCCACAACTCCCGTCATGGACCTCAACACACCGAGCTCAATCCCTCAACCTGAACATCCAACAACAGCTTCTCCCCCAACCTCTTCGCCTCCACATCATCATTCATCGCCATCCCTTTCCACAGCTCCTCCTCTTCCCCACAGCCTCTCTTCCCCCGTCCACTAAAACCCCACTCCAATGGCCCCAGCAACACCCATCCACGCCCTCAGCGCGCTCGAATCCCAAATCAACGTGCTCGCCAACGGGAGGCCTCGGAAACCGCCCGTGCGCCTGCACGACTGCGCGTTGAAAGAGTTGGTGCAGTACAAGTGCAACGTCGAGGTGTCGGAGAAGACCGGGAAGCCGAATATCGTGTGCGAGCAGGTGGTGCGGTTGTTGAGACAGTAAGTTGCTGGTTGCGCGAGGTGCAGCGCGGTGGGCTTGGCACGTGAGCGGGATGCTGACGGCTGGGTAGATGTGAGAACGGGCTGAGCGTTGAGACGACGGCGTGGGAGGGGTGGAAGGCGAGGCAGGAGGACGGAGGGAAGATGGGTTGAGTCTGGTTGTGGTCACATGTAGGATAGGAAGTAGCGAGGATTATGGGTAGCGTGTGAGATGTCATTAGAGATCACGATCAATCTCATTGCTATTCTGTGCCGCCCGCAGGCTATGACACACCTCTACACGATTATGGAACGCCTCACATGCTCGAAAAGCCCGTCCGTGGGCACGAATATATATGCAAACTCCAAACGCCGCGCTGAAAAATGCCTTGCCAGTCCATTGTTCATGTTGACTTCATACGCCTCTTGCAGACTTTTTCCAGTATCGCTGGTCGTAATTGACATGCACGCCCTCTTCGAGGTTGACGTTCCGGTCCACAACGGGCTGCCGTAGCTGTCGCTCAACAAGGGGCGCATTCCAGTTGTCCGATTCGTCGTCGGCCTCCATCTCCGCCTCTTCCTCCCTTGCGCGTTGCCGGGCCTCGCTCTTTTCGTGCTCCTTCTCCTCGTTAAGAAGATCCGTCATTGCTTCCTGCCATAACCTGTCGCTCTCTTTCATACGCCGGCTCCGTTTTCGCTTGCCGGCAGTCTGCTTTTGTATGCCTGCCTTCTGTGCTGCCATGAGCTTCCGCAAGCTTTGCTCTGCTAGAATGCCTTCCTCTGTCGCCTTCTCTCGGATTTTGCGAGGATCATTCTCTCGTTCGGTGAATACTGGGGTGGCTTTGTAGGTGTTTTTCGATGGAAATGGTGGGAAATGCTCTGGTATGTATGGTCGTGCTTCCTTGTCCGTTTTCCCGGACAGTTCAGGGCCAAGTAATGCGTCGGTGCTGATGGGCTGCGGTTCTGGCGGGGCCGGGGGGTCGAAGTGTGGCTGTAGTAATGATGGGGGGATGTCGCCTGTGTCGAAGTGCTGCTCGAGAGGGCCAGAGCCGCGGAGCCCAGCGCTGGCAAGCGCGTAGATCCAATCGTGAGCTACCGTCTCGGTGCGCCTCGCACTGGCCATGGACACGCGCACGTTAGTGAGGAACTTGGTCATGTCTGCATTGCATTAGCCCAGCCTGCTTACGCGCACAATCGTCGTACATGAGTCGACCAGCCCTCTAAACTCCTCCAGCGCATCTGGTCGCGCGCTATCAAAGCCCAGTGTCTTGCATTGTATCGCGATTGCGCGCCGTAGTTGCTGGTCGTAGAAGTCCTTGCTGTCGCCATACGCAAACTCGGCGCCAATGGGGTCGATCATGTGCTGCACGGGCTGTGTGTGCTGGAGCTGATGCAGGACCTTGCGCTTCTTCAGCGGCGCGCCCTGCTGTGCTGGACCGTCGCCATCGTGGGGCCGCTTCATAGCTGCGATTGCGCCTCCGCTGCTGGCGCTAGAGGGAGAGATAAGGCCTGGCATGTGCTTTACGCGCGACGGACACGCAGGAGAGGATGTGCAAGGTGCCGGCTGTGCAAGGTGGGGAGCGAGAGTGACGTCGCATGTAGTGTCCACGCGCGTGGGCTGTCGTGTGTCGGATGCGGGAGGGCGGGTGTGGAGGGTTCTGTGGCGACTGCAGACTCTGGCGCATGCGACAATAGCTATTGTGAAAGCGCTGCGGCTTCGGCAGTCGGGCGCCGTCGACGTTGCTTTCACCTTGTAAGGCAGCGTTGGAGTCGCTCTCAGTTCCCCAAAACGCACGGGCCCGCGCGCCAAGGACGGATGACATTTGGAACTCACACCACTCCAACCTCACGACCGCCAGACGCCCTCCACCAGCTACCGCAACCCGCACCCCGCCGCAAAACTCTCCACTCCCCGCAAACCGAAATCGCAATGGCCTTCAAACCGATTACTGGCGTATGTGCTGCCATTGGGCGTGCCGCGCAGCTGAGAACAGGGGACTGATGACTGGAACAGATGCTCCGCCGCCAGGTCGTGCTCGACCTCTCCGTTGCCATGGGTACGTTGACGGCCTGCTGCACACCTCCAGAGCTTTTCGCGGCGTTGTAGAAGCCCTGGAGGACGTGCGCGCAATGCGGGGACGGCCGGCTAACAGTCAATTGCAGGTCTCGGTGTGACCGCTGGCTACGGCTGGTGGTACGGTACGTAATCAACGATCTCCAGACATCCAGCATACAACATGCTCTCAGCGAATCTGGACTTACATCCAAAGGTTACCACGTCCCCGCCGTCCGTCACCGCGACGCTTTCTACCAGAAGCTCGAGGACGAGCGTGCCGCCGCCCTTGGCCAGAAATAAGCGATATGATATCACAATGAAAGATCTCCTATGTTCGAGAACGCGAGGATGCTTAGAAGGCTGCTGGAGCTGGGACCAGTGTATCATAGGTGGGGTGGACCCCCGACGGCATGCCATATCGAAACCAGCCAAGTCAACACAACCATCTTGCACTTTTCTTGCCGTTTCCAGCAGTCCACATTCATGACCTTTCTCTCGCTGTCAGATGCTTTGCTATTTTAAGCCAGGGCGAACTGCCGACAACAACTCTCCTATGCTTCCCCACAATTCACTTTGTTGCGTCCACTCAAACCTTGATGACCATACATACCGCTAGGTGCTTCTCTCGCATTGCTAGTGGAAGCATACTGAGCTGCACCGCCGGCTGCGATTCTAATGTTAACAGTGCTAACTTCACACTTGGAGATTCTGGGGTCTCAGATGTATCCGCCACCTGCTGTCCGCTCACTACCATCACAGACACCATGGGCTGAGTCACGCAATGTATGATCTGCACGGCGGGCTTTGGAAGAGACCGACTCTTGGGCACATTTCAGGCACAAGCAGCTCCTACTTGACCGAAAACGCGGTCACAGCATCACTCAGGAGTCATGGAGCACTCACTAGCGAGACAAGCCGGGCCTACACATGCTTGCTAGCTAGATCAAATCGGCCAGTCCCGACGACTGCAGGGTGATGACCCTCGAAACAGCGGGCAGGCCCGCTGATATACATAGTACAGTTCGATGACCACTTCAGAGCTCCAGCATGAGGCTCGATGGCGACAACCGATTGCCACAGGTTCCTTGAAAGCTTCGATGCGGAGAAGCTCTATAAGGTTTCGAATAGAGTGCACACCCGCCTCAACCTCGTTCGTTTCTGCAAGACGCAAGCTTGTAGCACTGCTAGAGTTTAGCCCGGAGCGTCTAGGACTTGGAGAACGCAGACGAATACGAGTTCCCTGCAGCCAAGCCTACATAGAGTCGTCACCTCGAACCATTTCCGCTACTTCCGGCAGATTGCTGCATTTAATATCCTTTTTGTGCGAAATCTACAGCGGAACTACGTTTCATGCCCAAGCAGTTCATAGGAATGACGGACGTTGAACTTCTCCACAAAGATGCGCTGTCGACGCGTGGAGCATCTGTCAACGGTCGTCAGCTGTGGTCGCATCAAAGCATAAGCGAAACGATAGCGCTAACGGTTGCACGGATGGTGCGGTCGGAGATGCAATACGAGCAGATCGCATGTTGCATGTCAGCCAAGAGCGCCGTAACGTTATGTTGGAAAATGGCTGAGAGCGAGATTTGTAAACATGTTCCAAGTTGTGTGAATCTAGAGTGGCTGCAAAAGGAGGTTCGCTGCAGAAGGACCCTTGCAGATAGGGCGATTGCAGGGCAAGGGCAAATGACGCCGCTGGCCAGGGTGGAAGCGCAGGCGTCTCGGCGATCATGGCGCTGCACGGTCTGCAGCCCGCTGCAGATCGACGGGATACAGCCTGCAACAGGTCGGGGGGAAGAGGGCATTAGATTGCCAGAACGGCGAGCGAACGGGTGATGCTGGCACGGCAGTCGTGAATAATTAATTGGGGTCTGGTGTTTGCTGGCATTGCGGGCTGGTGCAGACTTGCAGGCACACTAACAGGCGGACGGTAGCTCTGTTACGGGTGCGGCTACGGGCTTTTGTGGAGCAGCACTATCAAGCTAGGCCAACGGTGATTAACGCAACGACGAACGCAAAGCTTGAGGAGACCCGGGGGTTCGCCGCGGTCCGCCTGTTTGGAGAGTGCAAAAGCGTTCAAGCGCGTCAAACAACTGTCAAGAAATACAAAATAGCTGCGAAAGACGGGGCGACTTGAGGCCGCTGACATGAGGCGGGCAGGGTCTGGGAGGCTGCAATGGCTATTTGGGGCTCGTTGAGGCTAGCAGATAGTGTTGGCCGGAAGCCGTGGCTCGGTGCGACCAGCCACTTATTGCGTGGATTGCGTGGATTGCGCGGAGGGCTCTGCGGGCGCGCTGCTTTGGCAGAGCTGGGCGACAGGACAGAATGACAGGACAGGACGGTGCAAATGCAAACGGCGGTGGTGCCCTGAGCATCACCAGACTGGGCCAGCAGGCAGCAGATCAGGCTAGCGGCCAGCGTGCGGCGGGCTGGATGGCGCCAGCTGCGAGATGGGAGGGTGCACGCAGGCTGGGCGTTGGGTGGTCGTGCTCGCTGCAGCGTTGACCATGCGACCATTGGACGACTGCAGCGAGTGGGCGCGCAGGTGAAACCTTGCACCCTCGAGTTTCAAGCGGCCGCTCGAACTGCTGCAAATGCGAGACGAGCTCGAGGAAGCTTTCACGGTGAGGCAGCGGGCGGCCGCCCGGCAAGGGCAGCGCTGCTGTGGCAGACGGGGGACTGGGTGTCGGTCAATTGAGCTGATGACATGGGCCCTGCTGTGTCGCCCGCCGCACGGATGCGTAGTCATTCGCAGGGTCCGCGAATGACTACGCAGCTGTGCGACCAGCATCGAAGGCAGCGCGGCGCTGGCTGCACCCGCCCAGGGCCTGCAGCACTGCGCCGGCGGACAGCGAGCAGCGACGAGCGCGCGCAGCCTTCTGCTGGGCGCAGTACCGTGCAGAATAAAAGAAAGCTGCGCTGGCCGGGGGTGCGTGCCACGACGTCTGGGAGGGGAGGAGCGAACCCTGTCGGGCCTGCCGCGCTAAGTTTCCGCTGGCGTCCTGCTGCTTGCATGGCTTGCTCTAGCACGTCTAGCACGCCTAGCCGTCCAGCACCACCGCGAAGCATCCTCTGATCCTCACCGACCACGTCTTCTGCGCAGAGAGGCCCGCTGCCCGCTCGCCTGCCTCCTCCTGCCTGCACCTGGACGCGCTGCGCGCAGAGCCCTCGCTCCCGCAAATCCCGCCGACTCGACCGCTGCATCCGGCAGTGCTCTTGGACGCCGCAAAACCGCCTACCGCCCAGCGTCGATCCCATACGGACGATCAGCGTCCTGCGACTGCGCGCTCCCGCACACCGTCGCCGCTCCTCCTCCACCACCACCGTCCCACGCCCGTGGCCGCCGCTGGCGACTTGAGCCACGCCGAGTGCTGCGTCTGCGTCTGCGTCTGCCGCTCGCCTCGACTGCCGCCCCGTGCTTGCTTTTGCCGTGCCCGGTGCCTCTGACCGCGCCCAACCCGATCGCCGACCCGCCTACACTCCCGATCTGCCGCACCCTTCGCCTGCCCGCTCCCTGCATGCGTAGCGCCCTCGACTGCGACTGCGGCCTTGCACCGCGCTGTCACCCACCCGGCGTTTCCTCTGAGCGTGCGACACCCGGCTCGACACCGCCGCCGCCGCCGCCATGCAGATGAACAACCCCAACATGATGCAGCAGAACGGCATGCCCCGCCAGGGCCCGTCCAACGCTGCCACCTACCAGCACTTTGTCAACTCCTACCGCGCCCAGCACCAGCAGGCCAAGCTGCCCCAGGGCTGGCAGCAGTCGACGCCGCTCGAGGAGCGCGGCCAGCTGGCCTTCCAGTTCTTCACCCAGTTCCGTCTGCTCAAGCAGGAGACGCCCGAGCTGGATGCCATGCGCACCTCGATCCAGTTCGAGAACCAGGTCTTCCTCACATCGCAGACAAAAGACCAGTATGTCTCCAACATCAAGCAGAAGCTAATGCAGATGACTGCCGCACGCCAGCAGCAGTCCCAACGCATGCAGTCCAGCCTGGGCAACATGAACATGCAGATGAACGGGATGAACCCCGCCCAGATGAACATGATGGGGCAGCCTGGTCCGCAAGGCCCCCGCCAAGGCACGCCGCAGCAGTTCAACCAAGGTTTCCCTAACGCCCAACTTCGGCAGCCGATGCAAATCTCTCCAGTCCCCATGCAGCAAGGAGGCTCTTCGATGGGCATGAATGTCGGTACGCCTAATCTGAACCAAGGGCAGCAGAACCAGCAACCGAACATGCAGCAGCAGCAACAGCAACAACAGCAACAGCAGCAGCAACAACAGCAGCAGCAACAGCAGCAGCAGCAGCGACTGCCACAAGAAGGCCAGTTCATCAACCAACTAGCCAAAAAGCTGTTGGACAGTTGCACGGGCGAGGTTCGTCTGAAGTTCCAGAACGAAGTCAACGCATGGCCAGAGGAGAAGAAACAAACGCTCCTTGCGCAAGGAGTTGATCCCTTGTTTTTTCGCTTCCGGACGCACGCCGAGCTGCTCTACCGGAACGGCAAGGTTTCCATTCCCAAACAGCTGGGCGCGAACCAGATGGGTGGGCAACAGGGTGCCCAGTCCGTTCAGATGCAAGCCCAGCAGTCCAATATGGGCCAACGGCAATCTGATCCTGCTTTCGACTTCAACGCAATCACAAACCAGCAACTGGGTGCTGTACGGCTACAGGACTCGGGTGCAGAAGTTGTCCCAGCCAGCAACAACAACAACAATAACGGCCAGATGTCTTTTGGGCAGGGTGGCCAACAGCAGAACGCTGCCATGGCACAACGACAGGCTGCCCAGGCGGCATTCCAACAAAGCCTCCAACGCCAGGCCAATGCGTCTCAGATCCAAGTAGCCCAGGCACAGGCCCAGGCTCAGCAACAGGCCCAAGCGCGTGCACAACTCGACCAGCAGCGACAGCAAGCTGTGTTGCAGGCAAGAAACCAAAACCAACTACTCCAAGGACAGATTGGTGGTCTCAACCTCCCACCAGGTTCTCAGCAAAGCCCAGCCATGCCGTTGCTCACGCGACCCATGAACCCACCAGGTCAACAAGGACCCGGAACGCCACAACAACGCCCGCCACAAGCACATGTCCCGCAGATGACACCTCAACCTGGCCAAGGACAGACGGAGCAAGTCTCTGCGTTGTTGCGCGAGGCACAGCAGAGATCCGCTGCCGCTGCCGCTCTGGGTCAGCCCAGTGGACCTCTCTCGGATGCAGCGCGCTTGGCTATGATGCCAGCAGATCTTGATCCCAATGCGAAACAACAGCTGCTGAAGGTACCGGAGCAAAACTTCCGTCAGATCCTTGCCAACTACATGACCACCCAACGAATGAACCAGCAAATGCAGCAGAACGGCATGATGGCTGGCGGGCCTGGGGCTCAGGGACAACGAAACATGCTCCCGTTCAACCAACAGCCAGGCATGCAGCCGGGTATGGCTGGTCAGATAATGGGAGGGCCGAACATGGCCAACATGGCTAACATGGCCAACATGGGCCGGCCTGGGATGGGTCTTGGGCAACAGACGCCTGGTGCTGTTGGTGGGCAGCCCCAGCAGATGGCACAGCGTGGCATGTTGACACCACAGCGCATCATGGCTGCACAGGCTCTGCTCCAATCGAATCCTGGCATCATTGCAAACACAGATGGTAGGCCGTTCCCTCCAGAAGTAGTTGGTCCACAAGTCCGACAAAATCTACCTCCGGATGTGAAGAGTTGGGGACAACTCAAGCAGTGGGCTGTGCAGAATCCGGGCATCCTGCCCCCTACCGAGACGCAGAAGCTACTCATGCTGCAAGTAATCCACTTCCAGAACATGCTGCAGCGACAGCAACAGCAACAGCAGCAGCAGCAGATGCCTGGCGGCGTTCCTCAGCCAAACAATGCTCCGGGAATGGCGCCACCTGCACCAATGACCCCAGGACAAGGCAGGGGGCCGCAGCCTATGAACATGGCGAACCTGCCTCCCATCAGCGTCACACCACAGGAACTACAAATATTCCGACAGAAGATGGCGCCACAAAACCCTCAGGTCATGAATATGCCAGACGAGCAATTGCGCTCGATCGTCATCTCGCAGAAGATGAAGAGCAGACAGCAGCAGCAGGCAATGCTTGCACAGCAGCAGCAACAGCAGGCGGCGCAGCAACGAAGCATGATGCAACAGCAGCAGCTGCAACAGCAGCAGCAACAACAGCATCAGCAGCGGGAACAGCAACAACAGCTACCTCAAGCTCAACCTCAGCAAACTCCACAGCAGCAGCCAAACCGGCCTCCGACCGCCCAGGCTGCTCAGTCGATACCACAGCAAAAGACACCTGTTAGGCTACCGCAAGCGGCACAGCCTACGCCGAACGCTATGAAGAACTTGAAGCGGCCCAACGACGACTCTGCCGAGGCCAATGCCGATCAATCTGGCGGCAACGCACCTCAGGCGTCTATGGTCCCTCAAAGGCCTATGAACCTGACCCAGGAGCAGATGTCCAAGTTGACACCTGCACAACAAGCTCAGGTCAAGGCTCAGCTCCTCAAGGCTCAGGATGCTTCAAACGCTGCCAATGGCAAGGCGTCGCAGCAAGCACGTCCAGTGCCGAGCGCCGAAGACATGCGTGCTCGCATCAGTGACCCAGTCCGGATTAACAACCTCAGCACGATGATGAATGAGGTTGAGAGGACACTGCCTGCTGGACAGCCGACACAGATCCCCCCTCAAGTGCGCGCTTCACTGCAAGGGACTCTGCAGAAGCAGCTCTCCATGCTGAAGAAGGTCGATGGAGCAATCCGGGCTTTCTATGCGTCATTTGACATCGATAGCGGCTCAGAGGGTGTCATCCGTCAAATCATGACAGCACGTTGTTTGCTGTACCGCGAGATGAATTTGGAAACTGGCATGCTCAACGACCAAATCACACTGCCAACAGAGGGTTTCAAAACCCACCTCCGCACCATTCTCAACTTCGTCACCAAGATCGGAGCGAGAATGTCGCAGACACAACAAAACCAGAACGCCAATGCTCAGGCTGGGCTACAGCAGGCCCAGCCTGGCTCGGATCCCTCGCTTGCTACACCTCCCGCTCAGCTGAATGCTGCTAATCTCAAGCAACACACTGAGTCGCAGCAGCGGGGCTCGAATTCGAAAGCCCCTAGCGCACCTACAACGGATCGTCCACCCTTCCCGCTTGGTGGTGCGCAGTCGCCGAGCGGAGCTCCCAAGTACTTTGATGAAGCTCCTAGACTCACAAACCTCGTTCTCCCCGACAAGAAGCGTCAAAGGATGGACGGAGGCAGTGCGAGTTCAACCCCAGGACCCAAGCCCTCACCCCGTATGGGCGCTGGAAAGGGCAACTCGCCTGAGCTGAAGCGACAGCAAGCACCTGACAGGCAAGCACCGCAGAAGCCCACCTTCAAATGCAAGGAGGCTGCATGCGAATACTCTGTTCGAGGATTCGACACGCAGACCGAGCTCGAGGCACACGTCAGCATAGCACACGCCATCCACGACAATCCTCTTCAGTTCGCACTCGAGTCCATGGCGGAGTATCTGGATGTGGATGTAAAGACAGGTGAACTCAAGGCCGACCCCCACGCTTCAAAACCATCAGTCAAGCCTGCACCTGCACCTGCCCCTGTGCGTGCTCCTGCACAGGCCATCAAAATGGAACATGGCACCGCACACGCCCTGACTCCTGCGGGGCATGCGGCCACCCCCATGGCACGCATACCGACACAGACCGGTATCAAGAACTCGCCATCGGCCAACCTGCTCAAGACACCGCAGCCGATGGTCAAGGTTGCCACGCCTGGCACTGGACCTCACGCCAAACCTACCCCGACTAGTGCAGTCAAGTCGATTGTGAAGGAGTCTGCACCTGTTACCGCAGCACTACCGGAGAGACCACAGGAACTGCAGCCTATGATCCCGACATCACTCCTTGACTGCTCGTACGAAGAGACCTTTGCCGTGCTTGACGCCAACGGCCCCTTCACCGTCCTCGACCTCAAGGATGTGGACAACGCGTGGGCTGTCCGTTCGCGCCCCAGCTCGCCGACCCAAACACCCGACTCGTCAGCAAAGGACACGCCCTCGACACGGCAGTCGGACATCTCCGAGAACGACAACCTCCTGATCAACCTCGACATCGACATGCCCGATGCATGGATGATGGGCATGAACGGCGACGCGCTCCCGCTCGACATGCAGCTCTCGGACGACCTGCAGACGCTCGGCGTCTCCCTTCCCCCCATGGACAGCGACGAGATGATGCTGTTCCCCTCGCTCATGGACTTTGACGCCATGGAGAAGCAGATGGATGGCAGCCTGGCGGGTCTGGACGCTGGCATCTACTGAGTCTTCTGTCGCATTGAGCATTCCAGCGGGATCTCTGTTGAAACATGTACCGAGATTTCCACATGTAGCGAAGTTTTCTACCCAGGTCTTCGGGCTCTTTTACACTACCTTGCTTGTTTTTTCGGGCGCTTTTTCATTGTACAACATTTTCGCGCTTGCTGGCGTCGTTACCCTTACCTTACCTTACTCTTGCCTTGCGGGGTTTTTTCGGTCGCGTGGCGCTACACAACTCTGGATTCGACGTGGCATGGTTGCGTGGCCCTTTGGGGGTGTTCCGGCGCGGGTTCAGGCGCTGGTGTGAGATGGAAAATTGTGTGTTCTCGTGTGTGTGTGTTGCGTCTTGTTCGTGTTCATGGTCATGGTCATGTCTTGTCATGTTCATGTCTTGCCTTGTCATGTTCATGTCTTGCCTTGTCATGTTCATGTCTTGCCTTGTCATGTTCATGTCTTGCCTTGTCATGTTCATGTCTTGCCTTGTCATGTTCATGTCTTGCCTTGTCATGTTAAGTCATTTCATGTCTTGTCGTGTCATCCGTCCTTCATGTTCCGGGAGAAAGAATAGGTTCGTCGCTCTTTGTGCGCGTTTGCGATTATGGTGGATACACTTATACCCTGTTTTTACTGTTTTTTTTGCTGTTTCCACTGTTTTCTTGTTTGTTTTCTGGGTTCCTGGGTTCCTGGGTCTGGGTCTGGGTCTGGGTCTGGGTCTGCATCTGGGTCTGGGGCGCGGGCTGCAGAGGCGTGTGCGAAATTGAATGGAAATGGAATGGAAATGGAATTGGCATTCAAGTGCATCTGAAGCGTCTGGACTATCTGTCTGTCTATCTGTCTGTCTTTGTTGTGATGCGTGATGCGTGATCCGCGACGACGACGACGATGATGACGGGGTGATGACAACCAAGGCACCACGTCCTGAGCTCTCTCACACACATACTCACATGCACATGCACATGCACATGCACATACATCACCCACCGCTGCCTTGGAGACCACGCACTCCCCTCCCCTTGGCACCACCACACGCCTCAACACCACACGACGCGATACAAAGTCGATACCGCACACCCGCTCCCCCACCGTCTAGCCCCCACCCCCCTCCTCAGCGAGAGTCTCAAACAGCCCCAGAGCCCCAGACACACCCTCCCTCACTCCTCCCCGCAACCCCGTCCCACGGCCCCGGGTCCCGGCGCGCGACTCCACGAACCGCAGCGCGCGGATCGGATGCGAGCCAGGCCCTCTAGCCGTGAGGATCCGAGGCATCCTGAGCACGTCCACGGGCCCGTCCAGCCCGGGCTGCGTGCGGGGATGCGGGTGTGCGGTCTCGACTCTGCGTACCGTGGTTGGGGGTGGAGCGTGAGCGTGGGTGTGCTGCGTGGGTGCGCTGCGTGGATAATGGATGGTATGGGATGGGGTGTGGGGTTTGCAGCGCAGTGCAGTGCAGTGCAGTGCAGACCGGGGCGTTACATCACGGCTGCGCAGTATCGGGCAATGCAGTGCTGGATCGGGGGTCGGGTGTACCTACTTTGCAGAGAGCGGAGGGCGACGGTGGGTGCCGCTGATTATGGTTCGTTGTGGTTCGTTATGGTTCATCATAGTTCATCGTGGTTCGTCTACGACTCATCCACGACTCATCTACGACTCGTCTACGGCTCGTTCGAAAGTTACAACCCGCCCTAGCAGCTCAATGAAACAACCCCCCTCGCTCGCGCAGCCTCTGCACCGAGAATTCTCAGCCGTGACGTAGCGATCCCGGCGCGCACGCGAGCGGACGCAGGGCAGGTCGCCGGGTTGGGCGCTAGCGTCTTCTAGCGGCTTAGCGCCGAAGGATGGAAGGCGTGGAAGCATGGGTTGGAAGGCGAGGGCTGAGTAAGGTGGCGAGGCGCATGGGTGGCGAAGTGCTGTGTTTATTCTCGGCGGGCTGCAGGGCGTGTGGTTGGCTGGTTGGTTGGGTGCGGAAGGGAGGGTGGGAGTGGTAAGGGGTGCGGCTGAGCAGGCGGTAATACTTACGTCTGTCTTACATCGGCGCTGGGGAGGGAAGGTACAGTGCGACACGGCGTGACGTGACGTGCGTGCGTGCAACGGCGGTGGAATGCAAATACATACTGTTGCTGAAGCTGGATCGCATGCTGCTGCGAGGGCCCAGACGGCACGGTGCACAGGAGCGCGTTCCTGCAGCTGCGAGGCGGCGGGATTGCTTCTTTGTTTAATTTGGTTGGGAGCGGCGCAGGATTGCTTTTGGCTTGGTCGGGCGGGCGGGTTTGGGTCGCCGGGGCGCGGACAATGGGCGCGGCGACGTGTGCGAGCGGAACTGGGTGCGCGGTTGCGTGCGTGGTGCCGGTGTTTGCAGCTTCGGCGGGCTTCTGGATGTCCTGGATTCTCTGGAATACTGGTGACCTGGGACGAGGACGTCTGGATGGCGGCTGTGATGGGGCCGGTTTGGGTTAGCGGGCACGGTGGGTCTGGGGGTAGCGGCTGAGAAGATCTTGTGGCACCCGCCAGAACACGCTCAGGCTCGGGGCCTCTCGGTTGGCTTGCCGAACGGGTACATGGCAGACGAATGCAGAACGTGGCGCACGGTGTGATGAAGAGGTGCATAGAAAATGATCATGTGTATCAGAACTGGCAAGAGCTTCGGCGGCTTCTGTGTGACAAGATGCTAGCCTGGCTCAACGACGGTCGCTATCTACGGCTCCTTTCAGGCTCAGGCATTCTTGAGGCCGGGCGCGCGTGGCCCGCCAAAGCCAATACCAAGCAGCATGCACAGGCGCGTCAGTGCGAGGAAGTAGACCCAGCCGACATTGCCCCAGTCGATGGCGTTCCAGTGCCACCACTGCAGGAATGCTCTGGAAAAGCCCAGCGGCAGGACCGAGTACAGGTGGCCCACGTCAGCGATGAGCAGCACGATGATGAGGGCCTGCCACACGCGGTACTCGGAGGTGACGCGCAAGACGAGGGCCTCGGTCAGGGCGACGCCCAGGTACAGGTTGGCCAACTGAGTCAGCACAATGGATGTTGAGACGGGCACTACGGCGGGGGCACTGGCGGCGTGGGTGAGCGACAGGTAGGCCGACTGGAAGCAGGCGGCCTCGACGGCGCCGGCGACGATGGACACAGGCTCGAGGTAGAGGAAGACCAGACGGTAGAAGGCGGGAATGTGGGCTGGGGTGCGGACGGGGGTGCGGGCAGGCGTCATGTTTGTTGTTGTTTGGAAGGCGTTTCGAGGGGACTGGCTTGTAACGGCGCTGGCTGGCGGAGCGGTGAGGCAAGGCCAGTCGACGCGCGACACATCTGCGGTGCGTGGTGCAGTGCAGGTGCGGCGGCGTGCAGGTGCGGTGACTGCTCGCCTGGAGCAGCGCGGGCGAATGATCTTGGTTGACTGCAACGCTGTCTGCAACGCGCAGTGTGGCCCGCGGCAGTGCAGCAGCAGGCCGTGCAGCAGCAGCCGGCACCGCGCAGGCCAGCGGCGGCGCACTAGGCGAGCGCGACGGCGACGGTTTGGGCCCGGCGACGAGCATGGGCGGCCAGTAGTGCCACGATCTGCTGGGCCCTAGTAAGAGATTGGCTTTGGGCAGGCCTGTAGGTTGTATTTACACCGGCCACGAGCCCGCGCTGCAGCCCCATCCTCGCTCTCTCTTCTCTTCCGACGACGGCCCTGTCCGCACGCCGCTCGCTCCCTTTCTTTCTGTAGTTCTATCCACTCCACCGCGCCCCGCCCAGCGCACGCCGCCGCTGGCCGTACGCTCCCTGTCCAGTAATTTCCGCTGCTGCTGCCGCTGCTGCGATCCACCGCCTTCACCGCCGTGCTCACGCTCCTTGGATTCTAGCTCGCCCTGCAGCCCACGACTCGCACCGCGTTTCGGCCTCAACCCGCCCTCCCCCTGGAATTGCTGCGTCGCTCGTGCACACCGCCGCACTGCACTGCACCGCACCGCTGCCGCCGCTGCCACCAACGCTCCAATGCATCGCAGTCTGGCTTCGCGTCCGAAGACCTCCTCTGCCACCGACGACGCCTCGCCGCCCTTCGACCACACCATGAAACGCACTGCCTCGCAGACCTTCAGCTCCAGCACCTGCTACGACGCCGACCGCTACGGCATGGCCCTCGACGCCGTCAACGAGGGCGAGCCCGGCGAGAGCGCCCTGTCGCGCGCCCTGGGCAACTTCGCCGGCACCTTCACGCGCCAGAAGAGCCGCCGCCGCCTGTCGTCGTTCTCGTCCGCCAGCACCGCGCCCGCCCGCCACCGCCGCGGCTCCATCCAGAGCTTCATCGATAGCCTGCCGTCCACGGCCGCCCAGCGCAAGCCCAGCTCCGAGCACGCCCGTCTGCCGCTGCCGCACACCGACTCGGGCCTGCCGCCGCTGCCCGTCCTGACCCCGTCGCCGAGCAGCGCCAACAAGGGCTTCTCGCTCAAGCGCTTCAGCAGCATGCGCCGCAAGCCCGCGTCGCCCGCCGAGTCGGCCAAGGCCCCGCAGCACCACACGGGGCTGCTGGCCGCCCAGCTGATGGGCGGTGCCTCTGCGCGCCAGGCCGCCGCTGCCGCCAACGAGAGCCGTCTGAGCCAGCTGCGCCGCGAGCAGGAGCACACGCACCGCTTCCTCAACGGGCTCATCTCGTCCGACAAGCCGCACTTCTCCGACGTCGACTTCAACGACAACGAGAGCGGCGTCGACATGACGTGCTCGTCGCCCATGGTCCGGACCGACAGCGCCGCGGACAAGAAGATGAGTGAGTCAGCTGCCTCCTCCCACCCCAACACTGCTAACGAAAATTCTTCAGCCGACCCGTTCCAACGCCTCCCCGCCGAGCTCGCCACTGCCGTGCTCTCCAACCTCGACGCCACATCCCTTGCCCGCGCCGAGCAGGTCTCACGCCACTGGCACGAGCACGCTTCATCCAGCCACGTCTGGCGCAACGTCTTCCTGCGCAAGTATGAACCCGAGGTCCATGTCTCGCCCGCCCCCATCCAGATGGGCGGCACCGGTGTCGGCAAGCAGGCCAACGGCAAGCCCGCCCCGGCCCAGGACTGGAAGAAGATGTACTCTGCACGAAGCACAATCAACAAGCGGTGGAAGGCTGGCACTCCCGCTGCTATCTACCTCAACGGCCACACAGATAGTGTCTACTGTTGCCAGTTTGACGAGAACAAGTGCATCACCGGCTCCCGTGACCGCACCATCCGTGTGTGGGACCTGAAGACGTACAAGTGTGTCAAGGTGTACGGCGGGCCCAACCACCGCCCGACAATGAACACACCCCTGCCCATGGAGGAGCGCTCCGAGCGTGTCATCAGCCACGCCTCCGTCAACGGCACCAAGCAGGGCAACAAGATCTACAACATTCCTTCCGACTACCACGACGCATCCATCCTGTGCCTGCAGTACGATCACGAGATCATGGTCACAGGCTCTTCCGACTACACCTGCATCGTCTGGGACATCACTGGAGAGGAGTACATTCCCATGTACCGCCTCCGCGGCCACGAAGCCGGTGTTCTGGACGTCTGCCTGGACGACAAGTATATCATCTCGTGCAGCAAGGACGCGATGATCAAGGTCTGGGACCGCAAGACTGGCGTCTGCATCCGCACACTCAAGGGCCATAGGGGTCCCGTCAACGCTGTCCAGCTCCGCGGCAACCTCCTCGTTTCCGCCAGTGGAGACGGCATGGCTAAGCTGTGGAACCTCGAGACTGGCGCGTCGATCAAAGACTTCCCGTCAGAGGATAGAGGCCTCGCTGCTGTTGAGTTCTCTGATGACGCCAAATACGTTCTTGCTGGTGGCAACGACCACGTCGTGTACAAGTTTGACGCCAACTCTGGCAACCTCGTCCACAGCCGAGTCAAGCACGATGGCCTTGTTCGCTCGTTATTCTTAGATGCCTTCAACGGCCGGATAGTGTCCGGCTCGTATGACCAGAGCATCCAGGTCTCCGACTACGAGACTGGTGCTACATATGCCGTATACAAGAACTGGACAACGAGTTGGATCCTCTCTGCAAAGAGCGACTACCGCCGCGTTCTTGCCACGAGCCAGGATGGCCGCACATTGATCTTGGACTTTGGTCACAACGTTCCTGGGTCCGAGTTGCTTGTTGGAGATAAGTAAGTGCATGTTGCACTTGCTTGAACCTGCCCATCAGCAGCGTCCGCCCCCACACACTTCGCTACACAGCGATGGGCGATGCTGCGGCTGGATAGCCGCTGCATTTAGCCAAGCTCAGCGTTGCTCCAGGAACCCCGACCTTGAAGTACGGAAACCCTCAGCACCCACCTGACTTGGCCGCGGACATTGAGGAAGATTTGAAGGAGGCCCATCTATCGGGCCGTCGAGACAAGAGAAGGACAGAGAAGTCGACACGCATACTATTTCATCGGGCGTTATACTGCATCAGCGAGCGTTATCACATCATCGGCATTGGCATAGGCACGGCATACCGGGCTATACCCCTGGTTTTCTCTCATTTCTCCTTTGTAATAGCAGCGCATATTAGATTTGCGAGGGCTTGCGTTGTTGGTTACAGCGCATACAGGATATGGCCTTTCTTTTCGTGTTTGTATTGTGCGAAAGTTTGTTTACCACATTCTAGACTACGGGTCTACATACCCTCCCTAATTGACACAATAACAACGTATCCTGCTATCAACGTTTCCCCTCTCGCTTGGTGTTGGCGAATCAGTGGTCAGGCTGCGACGATCACCACCGGACATAGCCACGATGGTCACATCGCCCTCTTCTCCAAATCCGGTCTTTCTCGTTTCGGCAGCGCCTACCCCACTGGTTTCCTCCAAGACGGAACGGCGGTAAGCGTCAGGCGCTCCTCCGGCGATCGTGTGGCGCAGCTCCACCCTCGCGATCCACTCGACGGCCCTCACAGCCCTAACCGTCAGCCCTAGCATCTCTATCCGCAGCCTGCCTCGCACCGCGCTCGCAAGCACGACGTCACGCCAGTATATAAACCCGTCAACTCGAGCCCAAGAATTCGAATCCACTGCCCTCGCAACACGCCCTCATCACCCACCAACCAATCCCATACCTCTGACCAACCAACCAACCAATCAACCACTAACAACCTCTCATCTCTCACCATGGCCGCCCTGCCCCCCCTCCCATCCCCCATCGCCCTCTTCCCCCCCTTCCAGACCCAAACCCCCCAAACCCTCATCCTGCGCGAAAAAATCCTCTCCCTCTCCGGCGACGACTTCCACATCACCCTCGCCTCGGGCGCACCCTTACTGCGCGTCTCCGGCAACGTGTTGTCGCTCAGCGGGCGCAAAAAAGTGTTCGACGAGCAAGGAGTGCATTTGTTTGATATTGTTAAGGAGAGGTGGCATTTGCATGCGACGTTTCGTGTTGAGGATAAGGAGGGGAAGGGGCTGGTGGAGGTGCGGAGTGAGCTGAAATGTGAGTTGTTGGGGTGAAGCAGAGGGGATGGGATGGGGAGGTGCTGACAAGGATAGTGGTGGGGAGTAAGGCGACGGCGCGCTTCACCTCGCTTGCGGGCAGGCAGGAGGTGCTTGGGATGAAGGGCAATTGGCTCGATTCCGCGGCGGATATCGTGGATGAGTCGTCCGGTGGTAAGTCCCCCCCCCCCCTGATATCCCTTTCTCGACATCTCTACCCCCCTCTCTCTCTCCCTGGCCCCAGATCTCCTCCCTCTGTCTCCACGCCTCCCCGGCTAACACCCCCCCAGCGGTCGTCGCCCGCATCGACCGCAAGCTGCTCAGCGGCCGCGACCTGTTCGCAGGCCAGCAGACGTACGCGGTCACGGTGGCGCCGGGCGCCGATATGGCGCTTGTGGCTGCGCTGTGTATCTGTCTGGACGAGAAGAATAATGAGAAGTAGGTGCGGTGTTGACGAGCGGTGTGGTGTCGAAGAACGGTGTGGGGTATTGGGTTTACGTAGGAATGATACCTGTTGTGACTTGAGCGTGTACTAAGTTGAGAGCGGTGACGAGAAAGTGGGTGAGAGAGAGTGTGTGGTGTGCGAGAAGTGTCCGGCTAGGGACTGTGCGCTGAGCTCTTCTTGGTGAGGGGTCTCTTCTCTTTGTCGTGGCAAATCGCATCCTTTCGTCGGGTGTTGTCTGTGATGGTGTAGAGAAGGCGGGATGTCGTCTGAACAATGGAGGAGGACGTGTCCCGCTGAATTGATGTCGAGTTGTATTGCGTGAGAGACACTGCAGTCTAACACAGCGAAATAGAACGAATGTCACTACACATCTTCGTCAAGAGGGGTGGTATAGAATTGCATACTCGTCTTGTATCAAGAGCAGAGCACTTCCTCCAGGCGTCACATACGCACCGCGATAGAAGAAGCGGGAAACAGGAACAAACTCCTACACAACCACAATCCCGCAACATCTCAAACCCTCCCCCTCAACACACCCAGCAGACTCTCCAAAGCCGCCTGATCCTCCTCCAAGCACTCCGGAAACTCCACCATCCTCCTGACATCCTCATCCGTCTCCTTCTGCAGCCACTTCCACCCTGCCCCGGGCCCCTCAGGCTGCGCGAGGTACGAAGCACCAGCGCGACTCGAGCCAACCGGGCCCTCTCCAAAGTCGAAGATAGTATACCGCGAACCATCGATGCGCGGCGCCAGCCCGTAGCGAGCGTCAAACGCATCGTCGACACTGCCGTCCGCCTCGCCCCAGAAGACGGCGCCGACGGAGCCGCGGCCCATGGCGAAGTGCCTCAGCTTGCGCAGCGAGCGCTGGAAGTCCGCGAGCACGCGGTGCCAGCGCAGAGCGCAGAAGGCGTTGACGGTGGGCGGCTTGCCGCGCGAGGTCCCGGGGAGGCGCGTGGCCCAGGCGTTGTCGTGCTGGCGCGGGGTCATGCGGGAGGCGTGCAGGATGGGGCAGTCGGTGAGGATGAGCTGTTGCAGGGTTTGGGCGTGCGCGGTAATGAAGGCGATCTGCCAGTCGAAGGCGATGGTCCACTTGCCGAACGCGAGGGATTTGAGGGCGGGGAAGCGCAGATCGCCGGGTTGCCAGCGCGGGTAGACGCCCCAGTACGTGTTGCAGTGAAGCGTCAGATGCGTGAGTTCGGGCTGCATAGGTTTTAGCCATTCTGCGTTCAAGCGATTGTTGAAAAACGCATGGCGGTGACGAAGTTCGATGTCCATATCTGGTGAAGGCTCGTGAGTCAACGTGGTGATTAAGAGATGCAGTTCCTTGGGTACGGTAGGCAGATGCGCAATGTCTAGACTTATCAGTCTGCAAGAGTCCTGCAGATGCTTGATTGTCAAGGTGTTGACGTTTGCACGGGATATGAGTTTTGCAAAAGCCAGTTCAAAAGATGCGCATTGTGAGTTAGCACACGCATAGGCGGTGTCAAGCAAAATCTTCTTGACATTGGGAAGAGCGATATCATCCCACCGTGCGACTGCTTCTTCCCACCACTTTGGTGGATAATTTGGATAGCATTCTTCGAATATGTAGTGGATGCTACTTGATGCGCCCAGATGCAGCTGGAGAACGTCAGGCGCCACACGTAGTCTAGATTCACCATGCTTACTGTACGGATGTAACGTCTGAGATTATCATTGTTGATTATGGTATCGAACTTGTCCACACTCTCTTCTGTGCGATCCAGTGTAGCCACATCAAAGAGGGCCTCAGTCGCGATGTCTCTGAAAGCTTGAGAAGTCAACCGTATCGCCTTCAGAGCGACGGTGTCAAGGTAATTGATGCATTGCCTTTGAATCTCCGCGGGAAGTGACGTGATGGTCGTCATTGTATGACACGAGCTGTGGAAGAAGAGGTGTCGAGATATCAAATAGCAGATGCTTGATGAGCGAGAAGATCGGGTGCCTGCAGTAGCGCGGTTGCCTTACGGTCGAGATCATCGATAACAGGAATTGGCCGTGTTGGTGCTTAAACAGGAAGTGTTCCGTGCCGGGTATTGTGCTTGGGCTGATACCCGAATTTGCCTATTTCTTGCCCTCGCCCTCTCCATTTTTTTCTAGATAATCCTTGATGCTGAACATGCCCGTACCCCTTTCAAGAGGTTGGGCCTGTTCGGGGCTATGCTTCCAGCCGATCATGTAGATCAAACGGAACGTGGCCGGAAGCGTGCCGTCTTCGTTGCCGTGCAGGGCTCTGTATATTGAGTCTGCAGCCAGGAGTACATCTCGTTGAATGCCGCCCTGCTCTCGAGCGAGAACGGCATTGGACTCGCCCATTGCCTGCAAATCCTTCATCAATGAGAACGTGTCCGGATAGTCGACAATAATGTCGTCCACATCGACTGTGAGGAGGTTGAAGCCTGCTTTCTGCAGCAGGCCGCCGACGTCTTTCACGTCTGCCAGGGGCGAGGTGTGAGTCGAAACGCCACCTCGCCGATCCTGCTCTGCCACTTGCAGAGATGTACGAAGCTCGTACAGACTGTCGCCTCCCATCATGACTGAGATGAATGGGCTGTCTGGCTTAAGAATATTGTTCACTTGCGCGAGCACGGATGGCAAGTCATTGACCCAGTGCAAGCTTAAACTGCTGAAGACAGCGTCAAACGTGTTCGCTTGGTACGGCAGTAGCTCAGAGGTCGGCAGGACCTCCCTTATGATCTCGATCTCGTTGTTGAACGGCAAATCGGCGTCTCGGTGTAGGAGCGTAGCAGATGATTCTGCAGCTGTGATCTTTCCCACACGCTTTGACCGTGGGCCTTTCTCGGGCTCTTCCGGAGATGGCTGTGTGAATGCGTGCGCCACATTGCATGCATTCGCACCCAGGTCAAGAACGTGAGGGAAGTGGCGGTTGATGTCCTGAGTGTGTAAGCGTCGAAAGCGCGGTGCAGAAGGATTATCATACCAGCACGCGCTCGCATAGACGTGAAGCTACCTCATCCCTTAGATAATCGACGCTGCGGCTAGCCTCGACGTTCGCAGCAGCTCTCTCCTTCTGCATCCACTTGTGCTGGTTGCTAAAGATCTCCATAGTTGGAGCTCCCGGTGCTTGGACAGCATAGCAGCGGACTGCGCGGAGGGGCAACCCCCGTCGCGTCAACGGCGGTATGAAGGCGCGAATCGATAATGTGTTCATCTTGGACACTGTAGACGTTGCGTGACGCCGCAATTGCAGAAGGGAAGGACAGAAAGCTACGGGCGAGCTACGTCAAGACTTGAATCGTTTGACGCGACCCGACGTTTGGCCGAGAGCAGCGATCAACAGACACCCCCGCGGCGACGCCAGCACCGCGACAGAAAGAGGAAGGACGGAAAGAGGGCAGCGCGGTAACAGCAAAGGCCGAGCAAAACAGACAGCATGGCGCAACCCTTCCCGTACACGTACTACGCCTGCAACTGCTTCGACCGCGGCACGGGCGACGACGAGGAGCGCACCTTCGACCCCCGCAGCCCCCGTGCCAACTACGCCCTCTTTCCGCTCGAGCACCTGCTGTACTGCGAAGACTGCCTGCAAATTCGATGCTCGCGCTGTGTCATCGAGGAGACGCTGAACTGGTACTGCCCAAGCTGCCTGTTCGAGGTGCCCAGCTCGGTGGTGAAGAGCGATGGAAACAGATGCACGCGTAACTGCTTCAATTGCCCAGTATGCACCGCACCCTTGAGCGTCAATTCAGTCGAGAACCCGGAGGCGCCTTCAGCGAATGGCGGGCCTTACATACTGGCATGCTCGTACTGCCATTGGAGCACCGCCGAGACGGGCATCCAATTCGAGAAGCACACGGGCATCAACAGTCAGCTCTCGCGGCTCGCGAATGGCGGCAATCCAATCTTGACGCAGAAGGATCGAGACAAGGAACGTGAGCGACAGTTGAAAGAGCTGGAGGACCGCCGAGCCGCGCGGCACAGCGTACGCTCGCCGACAGAGGGCTCGGCCGCAGTAGACAGACCTACCGATGAGCTTCTTAGTAGAGAAGATCTGTTCGCGAACCTAAGTGCCTTCTATAAAACGCAAATAGAAGCACACACACCCTCGAACCCCTTCGCTGCACACGATCTGAGCTTCTCCTCGCCCTCGACATACTCGCGCATCATGAACCTTTACACCACTACCTCAAAGAGCAAGAAGCGCGACAAGCCCCCTCCGATGCGAGAGGCCGCAGCAGAGCTCGAAGGTTTGTCGATACATGACCCTGCATCAGACACTGCAGCAATCGAACGACTGAAGAAGGACGGCTGGTCGAATACACTGTCACCCGCGCAGAGGCTTGCTCAAATCAACCCATATGTACGGACGGAAGATGAGCTTCGTCCTGTTGCAACTTTGCTTTGTACAAAACGCTCGAAGCGCTGCCGGTCATGCCGTCACATCCTCTCGAAGCCCGAGTCCAAAATCACGTCAATACGGTACAAGATCAAGCTCCTGGCTCTCAACCACATTCCACGCATCAGCATTCGCGCACTGCCTTCACCTACTGCTCAACAGCCACTTCCTTCGGCCTCGGGCCCAGCGACCTCGCAACCACCTCCGTTCAACTACCACAATCTCCGCCAGGGGATACCATCTAACTTCATCGTCCACCTCAGCAACCCCCTCTTCGATCCCGTTCGCGTCACCCTCGCCACACCTAGCATCACCCCCGGCAAAGTCCACTCCAAAGTGACGATCCTCTGCCCGCAATTCGAGATCGGCGCCAACACCGACGTCTGGGACGACGCGCTATCGTCCTCCTCCGCACCGGTCAACAAAGGCACGGTCGTAGACTCCGACGGCGCGATCGAGCCCGGCAAACCGTACGACCGCGGCCGCAACTGGACGAGCGTGGTCATCGAAGTCATCCCCGGGTTCCTGGAGTCGTCCTCGTCGGGCTTCAACTTCGGCCGCAGCCAGAGCATCGTCTCGAGCATGGATCAGGGGCCCGATGGCGAGCTCGAGGAGGACGACGACGTGATCGAGATCCCGATCTTCGTGCGGCTGGAGTTCGAGGCTGACGTCACGGCGGAGGAGAGGGGTCTGGGCGAGTCGAAGGGCGGCAAGGACAGCAAAGAGAAGAGGGAAGAAGCGTTTTGGACAGTGGTAGGCGTGGGCAAAATCGCAGCTGTTTAGCATTACTTGTTGCTTCTGTTTACACGCAAATGATACCCTCGGCTCCAGTCCGATTCGCCCTCGACTATCCCGAATCCCGTCTGATGTTCATATCTCAGACGGCCCCCACGTTGCTACTTTTGTTTCAAGCCATGATCAGCCCGGCCTGCACGTTCTCCCGCGCCTCGAGATCCTCCTTGCGGCTCTTGCTGTTGAGATCCAGGTACGGCGCCTCGCCCAGACTGCACACGCGGTCGCCCGCGCGCGCCTCGCTGTAGTCGTACGTCGCGCAGTGCCACATGCTCCGGTTGTCCCAGATGGCGAGGTCGTTGGGGCGCCACTTGAAGCGCACCTGCGCGTCGTGGTTCTGCGTGAGCAGGTTGAAGATGTAGCCGAGCAGCATGTCCGACTCGTCTTTGGTCACGCCGTTGATGCGCTTTGTGAAGCCCTTGTTGACGTAGACGGATTTCCAGCCCGTGACGGCTGTTGCGTGTTAGTATTCAAGCGCGATGTTATGTGGGGGGTATGGCTTACGGTTTGTGCGGATCACGGGGTGGACGGCTGTCAGGCCCTCGCCCTGGTTCAGTGCGTTGCCGCGGACGGTCTTGCGGATGGGGTTGCCCAGTCTAGCGGCTTCTTCGAGGAAGAACTTTGCGTCGTGGGTCGCGGTCAGGCCCTCGAGCATTGTGCGGACGGCGGGCGAGAGGCGGTCGTAGACCTCGTATCCAGATGCCCACAGCGTGTCGCCGCCTGTTGCGGGGAGGGTGTGAATCTTGAGCATGGCGTAGTCTGAGGGGACGGGCTCGAATGAGATATCAGTGTGCCATCCTGCAGAGGCAAAGCGGCTGACGTCTGCCAGCTGGTGTGTGAGGCCTCCGCCCTTCTTCTGCTTCTCGCTGCTGATGACAGAGATCTGGTCGCCTAGCTCTGAACCTTCTTCGGTCAAAGGGTGGACGTGCAGATCGGATGATTTTGGACAGCCGGAGAGTTCTGTGATGCGGAGCATGAGATCCTTCATCTCGTTTGGTGTTACATCCTGGTCGCGGAGGAAGACGACGCCACGCTGTGAGACTGTAGAAAGGTTAGACACGAAGGTTGCAACTGGTGTGAATTCACGTACTGGTGATGGCCAGATCCCGGATCATCTCGTCACCCCATTTCAACAGGTCCCTCACTTGGAGGCCTTCATATTCTCTGCCGATAACCGGAGTAGAGTCTTCATGCTTGAAGCTGTCCAGCGAGCCTGAGTAGACCAAGGGCTTTGTCAATCTTGACCTCGCAGTCTCATGACCACCAACGATGCTGGAATTCTCAATGGCAGACATTCTGGACAACGGACGGATGGTAATGGCGTTTCTCTCAAACGCAGGAATAAACTACTGCCACGGAGATAGGCAAATGCTCGTGAAAACCCAATCGAGTAATGTGCACGATGGTCTACCCAAGACGGTTAGATCAAATTGTAGAGAGCCGGATGGACAACGGGAGGTGCACCTGGCGGCTGGAACATCTTATGTCGACCCAAAACGCGCACTATTCGGCGCCAGCCAAACGGCTGCTGATAATTCCCAAGCACGTCATCGGCTGCCGGCCCAAACGAGACGAGGATCGAGTAAGTGCCGCACGTAGGGCCGACAGGGGTGTTTCCCACGATGCATTAGGGCGCGTGCGCTTCCGGCCACAGAAATGAGCTTGCGGACTGCCCCGCGGACTGGGTAAGATCGCCCTGCACGGCGGAAAACACACCTCGGCTGCACGGCGGAGCTGCTCTTGTTGAACAAGCGGTCGATGGCGCGGGAATCCGCGACAATTGCGACATGCACGCCTCGAATCTAGATGTGAGGTATATGTAGAGCGGCCGTAGCTTTGATCACAAGCCAGGTCACCTTTCAAGTTCGATTCCGTAGCCGAGAAACTCACCATGGGCAACGACATCGAGAACGTCCGGTCGCGTGTCAGCGAGGACAATGGCTCGCTCAAGGCCCCGACTGCAGTTGGCAGGCAGGAGTTGGCCGATATCATCCCACCGCACGAGTCCTATGAGGGGAAACACCGCTTCGACCCCACTGCATCATGGACTGTCGAGGAGGAGCGCCGCGTGGTCTGGAAGACGGATTTGAAGCTGCTTCCGTGGTTGTGCCTCATGATGTTCGGTCTGCAGGTATGATTCAAATCATTCCCTTCTGTGGAGACGTACTGACAGTGTCTAGCTCGATCGTGGTAACCTGTCGAACGCACTTGCGGACAACTTCCTCGTCGATCTGAACCTCACCACTGATGATTACAACAACGGAAACACCATTCAACTTGTCTGCTTCCTCGCGGCTGAGTTCCCTGTCCAACTACTCACCAAGCGCTACGGTTTCAAATGGGTTCTTCCCACCATGATGATGGGCTGGTCGACTGTGTCCTGGGCACAGGCGTGGATGCACGACCGCACGTCTTTCTACCTCGGCCGCGCCTTCATTGGACTTTGCGAGGGTGGTTTTATTCCCGGTGTCATCCTCTTTGCAACCTACTTCTACAAGTCGAAGGAGCTGGCTGTGCGCCTGGCGATTTTCTGGTCTACACTCAACGTTGCGCGTGTTATCTCCGCACTGCTGGCTGCTGGAATCCTTGAGATGCGCGGTATTGGCGGAAAGCCCGGCTGGTTCTGGCTGTTCTTGCTCGAAGGCCTTCTGACGGGTATCATCGCCTTCGTCTCGTACCTGTATCTCCCTGCTTCGCCCACAGACACCAAGAACGTCCTCTGGCCCAAGGGTTTCTACACCGAGCGTGAGGAAGTCATCATGGTCAACCGAATTCTCCGCGATGACCCGGCCAAGGGACTTACTGGTATCAAGGAGCCCGCGACCTTCAAGGATATCTGGGAGGCCTGGAAGGACCCAGCAATGTGGGGTCTTTACTTCATTGGTCTGATCGCATACATCCCCGCGTCTCCTGTCCAAGGCTACCTGACGCTCACCCTCAAGCGTCTCGGCTTCTCGCGATTCGACTCGAATATGCTCACTGTCCCCTCTGCAGTCTTGCAAATCATCACCATGTTGACCCTCGCATACAGCTCCGACTACTTCAACGAGCGCACGATGCACATCATCTTCGGCGAATTCTGGATCATGCCGCTCCTCATCGCCTTGTTGACCCTCCCCGACGGCGGTCGTGAGTGGGGCCGCTTCACACTCATCACCCTGGTCTCCGGTTACCCGTACTTCCACCCACTGGTCTCGTCTTGGATCTCCGAAAACACCTTCGACGTGAAGAAGCGCGCCATCACCGCAGCCACATACAACGTGATTGTGCAAATCGGGTCTTTGATCAGCTCGCAGATCTACAGGAAATGGGATGGCCCATACTACAAGACGGGCAACAGCGTACTGGTCGCTATCTGTGCGCTCAGCGTCGTGGTCATGCTGCTGCAGAGGCAGATGCTGGTGCGCCTAAACAAGAAGAAGGAAGCGCAGTGGAGCCAATTGACGAGCGAAGAAAAGGCAGCGTACCAGGCGGATGTCGTCGCGCGCCAGCCCGAGGGCAATAAGAGACTGGACTTCCGGTTCGCTGTGTAGAGCGGCCTAGCTTCCTGCGCTGCATCATGCCCGCGCAGCACTAATTCACGCCCCGTCTCGAGCCTCAAACCTCGACATGCAATGCCAGACTGCGTAGTCCTAGATACCCACAATAGTCACCATAATATCCATCCCTATCTGCTCCCATCCCGTTTTCATCTGCCCGTCCGCTATCTCGCCAGCAAATTCTCGCCAGCCCGCCCACGTGTGTCGTCGAAACAGCCGCAGCCTCGCGCTAGCGCCCCACTATAATACCCACAGTACCCGCCTCGCGGTGGAACCTGGGGAATCGTCATTCTGGGGTGCGATGGCACCATCGCGCCCCTGCGATGCGACCTGAGTGTGCAGCAGCGAGGGTGCATGCACGACTACCTGCTTGGGCAAGGCTTCCCTCTCGTCCACATCAGGATGGTAGTCCGCCGGTTTTCCACTAGCGGGCGCCGCTTGCGCGGTAGTGCTGAAGCGGGAATGTCGACGAGCGGCGGTGGCCGGCCTCGGTACATACGTTGGTGGAGGGGTGATGGAGGGGCGTTGTTGATCGACATTTTTTTGTTGGCGGGACCTGGCGACGTAGCGCGGTTGTGGTGTTGCTGTTTTTTTGACTGCGCTGCAATTGTTTCTGTCTTTACTATTCTGACAGTGCGATTTGGTTGCGGACTGAACGATATTTCCTTCCTTAATTGTTTGTTTACAGGCATAAAATAGCAACATGGCGTGGGAAGAACCGAGAAAGACGGGCATGCAGTACCGCCGCCTGGGGAACTCAGGACTGCACGTCTCGGTGCTGGGTCTGGGAGGATGGCTGACGTTCGGCGGGCACGTTGAGAATGGTAGGTATGGAAGTGGAATTGATCGATCAATGTGCTAATCAACCGCAGAGCTCACATTCTCCTGCATGAAGCAAGCCTACGACTGCGGCATCAACTTCTTCGACACCGCCGAATCCTACGCCGCAGGCCAGTCCGAAGTCGTCATGGGCCAGGCCATCAAGAAATACAACTGGAACCGCAACGACATCGTCATCACAACCAAGCTCAACTGGGGCGGCGCCAACGGCGAGGTCCTCGTAAACAACCACGGCCTCTCGCGCAAACACATCATCGAGGGTCTACGCGCCTCGCTCAAGCGCCTCGACCTCGACTACGTCGACGTCGTCTACGCCCACCGCCCCGACCGCCTCACCCCCATGGAGGAAACCGTACGCGCCTTCAACCACGTCATCGAGCAGAAGGGCTGGGCGCTGTACTGGGGCACCTCGGAGTGGAGCGCCGACGAGATCGCAGAGGCCGCGGGCGTCGCGAAGCAGCTCGGCCTCATCGGCCCCATCGTCGAGCAGCCCATGTACAACCTGCTCACGCGCAAGAAGGTCGAGGGCGAGTTCCAGCGGCTGTACACGCGCTTCGGGATCGGGCTGACCACCTTCTCGCCGCTGAACTTCGGCCTGCTGAGCGGCAAGTACAACGACAGTCCCGATGCGCCGCCCGCCGGGTCGCGGTTCGCCGAGGGCAATGATAAGTTTGTCAACAGCATGCGCGACTCGTATGGCAACAGCGACTGGACGCGGATCATCGAGAAGGCGCAGAAGCTCAAGCCGATTGCGGAGAGGCTGGGCGTGACGCAGTCGCAGCTGTCGCTGGCGTGGTGCTTGAAGAACCCGAATGTGTCGGCGGTGATTACTGGCGCGTCGCGGCCGGAGCAGGTGGTGGAGAACTGCAAGTCGTTGCAGGTGCTGGACAAGCTGACGCCGGAGATCCTGGCGGAGATTGATGAGATCTGCGGGAAGATTGAGCTCGACCCTGCGAGGCAGGATTAAGTTTTAGCGGAATAGAATTCAACGCTGCTGATCATGTGTGATCGGCGATATCACTGTTGTCCTTCTTCTTCTTCCGCGTGACCATCTTATCCAACGTGCCCTGGCTTGCATTCCTTTTGTGTCCTGTCTTGGTACTTTTGGTACTTGGCTCCATCTTATGCCCGGCCTTGCTGGTCTTCCCTGTGTTACTGATCGCCGTCTCGTTCTTTGTAATTTCCTTGTTGTCCGCCTTGCCTTTGCGACTCGTCTTCGGGCTCGGCGGCTCTGGTATGTCTTTCTTCTCAAGGCCGTCAGCATCCTCATGCTCGACCATAGCGCCCGGTGGCCCCTTGGTACCCTCAGTCGGCCCCTCAGCCTTATTGTCAAAGAGCTTGCGCCATGTTCCATCGAGAACCTTGGGGTCGTTACCATGCAACCCAATATGGTACGCGTTCTTCATGCCCTCGATGCACACCTCCCTCTGCGTCGGGAAGTCAAAGATAGGCTTAGGATACGCCTTCTTCCCATCGACCTCAGCCTCGCTCCCATCCCCCTTAATCACGCACCCCCACTTCTTCTGATCCGCAATCGGCGCCTTCCACGGCTCATAGATATACTTCTGCGGATACTTCTCGAGCTCAGGCACAAACTTCCTCACAAAATTCCCCTCCTTGTCCCACTTCTGCGGAAACGCAATGGGCGAATAACACCGATAGAACTGCGAATAAAACGCCGTGCAGCTCAGCCACTGCCAGTTGCCGATATTGCACGCGGCCTCGTGGTCCAGCAGCCACTCCTCAAACACCTCCGCGCCGCGCTCCCAGTCGATGTAGCACCCGCCGCGCGTCAGGAAGCACGCCACCGCGTGCCGCCCCAGGTGGTGGATCCAGCCCTCGTGCTTGAGCTGCCGCATCAGCGCGTCGATCCAGGGGAATCCCGTGCGGCCGTCGCGCCAGCGCTGGAAGTGCGCCTCGGCCTGCGCGTTGTCGATGAGATACTCGCCTGTGATGAGACCCGAGGATTCGTCGATTTTCGAGGGCAGGTGCCATGGGATGAAGCGGCATTGCGCGTTGCCGTAGGTCTGGCCGAAGGCGTAGCCCAGCGGGGCTTGCGCGCCGAAGTACATGTCGCGGAAGAGGAGCTGGCCTGTGAGACTGGTGGGTGGTTGGGACGCGGTGCCCTTGTAGTTGTCGACGACGTCTTGACAGCGCCAGTAAAACTCACGGCAGCTGAGAGAGCCAAAGTGCAGGTGAGGAGACAGGAGCGTGGTGGCCTGAGGCTCGAAAGCCGTGGGCGCGGTTTTCGGCTTCTCAAAGGTCGCGGTGTAGTCCTCGTTCGCGATGATCTCGTCGAGCATCTTCAGCGCCACTGTCTCGCCGCCTCGATGCTGGGTCGTCGCTGGCTTGAGGCCCAGTTCCTCCATAGTCGGCACCGCAAAATTGCCCTTCGGTCCGGCAAGCTTCGTATAACTCCCCTCATCGCCGTCTCTCTGCTTAGCGTTAATATCTGGCTTGCTATCCGGCACCTCCTGCTCGAAGTCCAGCCCCGTATCTCCCGGATCCGGCAGCGATTTGGGCGCAGCAATCGGCCTTGGGATCTCTCCGATCTTCTTGCCCGCTGCCTGCACTTGGTTGATAGTCATCGTGGGTTTCCCGTTGTTCCGATCCACCAATTCATCTGGATCATACAGGGTACGCCCGTACTTGACCACCACCTCGACGCCTGCTTCTTTCGCCAGCGCCATAACCTTCTGGTCCCGCTCGCGTCCATACGCATCAGTATCCTTCTCAAATACGAGGTGCGTGATCTTCCACTGCTTGAACAGCTTTGGGAACAGCGTTTGCGGGGCCTCTCTGATCAAAAACAGTTTCGACTTCGGGTTCAGCTTGGTGATGGACTTGCTGAGGTCGGATTGGCAGTCCAGCAGGTACTGCCAGCGGTTGGGGCCGACGCGCGCGCGGTAGACGTAGTGAGGGTCCCAGGTCCATATTGGATAGAGGCATTCTGGCTTCAGGTCCAGCGCGGCTTTGAGCGCAGGGGAGTCGTGCAGGCGCAGGTCGGTGCGGAACCAGTATACGACTCGTGGTTTGGGGGGCATGGTAGGCGCAGCGAACTGTTAGATGTGTGGTGAATTGTCAATTCGTGTTTGTGTTCTGAAGTTTCCGTTTATTAAATTTGGTGATCCCAACGCTGAGGATAACGGCTCTCAAGTACAGTAAGCAAAAAGATGTACAAAAGTCATTGGAGCATGCAACGAGGATTGCGACAGGAAATGTCCTCGACAAAGCACTGTTCCTGAACCAAGTGGCTGGTAAACATGCGGTCATAGATCGTCGCTAATCTGGCGCTAAGATGCCTTGACCAATACCTAGCGTGCTAGGGGTGTGATTGGTGAATGCATGCGGATTTTACGACTGGAGGATCTACAGAACAGCTACACACAGTAGTAAAACAATGTGCGCTGTACAGTCCGGGTTGATTGCGGATGTAATGCCGGACAACCGCAGGACGGCTTTGGCACCAATTGATTTGCGCCCAAGATACGTTGCTCATGCAGCTTACCAAAAATATCTCAGGAGCAAAATAGATGCGTGAACATCTATTCAGTCATCAGATTCTTTTTCGGATGATGGATGTGATGCGATGCGGACTCGAACAAACGATCTCCACAGGATGGAGATTGATCGACTGAACATCATGTGATTCACCTTCTGGGCCATGAGGTCCTTCGGATGTCAACATAAAGTAATAGGTACTGTTATTGCACATATATACCTCTTGAGCATGACATATACACCGTTAACTGATGGTCGTTGGGACCGTACACTGGCTACAGTGGGCCATCAGATCCTTCCAAGGACCCACCCGACTCCACCCTCCTACTCCTCATAATCAAACGCGCTCGCAGCCGTGCCACCACAAGCCCGTTCGAGCGTCAGGAAAGCGAAATGCCCACCGACGACCGGCCTTGCAAAGAACCACGGACCGGGAAATCCGCCGTTGCCCTCGGTGTTGTACAGGTCTGTGAACGGGCGATCGGTGACTGTCTCGTTGAGCCACAGCGCCACCCGGTCAAGGATGTCGGAGCGGACTTTCTTCGATGCGACGGCGGCGGCTTCGAACTCCCAATCAGACTTGGTGTACAGGTGCCGACTGTCGAGGGGGAGGCCGTACTTCTGCATGGCTTGGGCATACCATTTCGACTGTCCCTTATAGACGCTCGAGGGAATGAAGTCTTTGGTGATGGGTCGGCGACCGTTCGAGCCCTTCTTAGACGACAACGGCTCTTGAGTGTGCGCATCCCCGGCCGCGTAATTATCAACACTGGCCTCCTCATCAGATGAAGCGGATGATGTATTCGTGGTGCTCGGATGGAAACACAGCACCGCGTCCGCGTACAGCGAATACAAGGTTGTCCAACTCCCGTACCAGTCGTACGCGAGTTTCGCATGGCCACCATCACGCGAGATTCCGTATTCCTGCCACTTCTCAATGTAAGTCTCGGAAATATTGCGATAGTGCTTCGCGTCGCCGGTACGGTCCATCAAGTCTGCAATTTCGCTGAAGGCTTTGATGCCAATGATACCCTTTAAGGCAAGATTGGTTTGCAGCGGCAACCAGCCAGCAAAGTCATCTGTGCAAACTACTACCGGTCAGCAACAGGATGAGGGAGAATAGACCTGTGCAAAAACTTACGCTGATTGTGAGGTTCGAGGGCATCTTCGACTAGGTAGCCTGTCCATTGCTTCCAAAGGTCATAACTCTCTTCTAGCCATTTCTTGGCTTGCTTGACGCCTTTGGTGTGACCACCCCAAGTGTCATCGATGTATGATATGCCGCCATGTTCGCCGATATTCGTGAGCGCGAAAGCCTTCTCGTTCGAGTCTACAGCATCAGTGTCATCGCCGATAGTGGACCAGATGGATTGAGCATCGGCATCGAAGCTGTAGCTCATAGAATTAATGAGAGCCAGACCCATGATGAGCATGTCGCCACATTCTTCCACGGGCATGTATTCGTCTCGGCCATCAGCGTGGCCAGTCAGATTGGGAAAGTGTGCACCCAGATCGTGCATCGAGTACTTGTTGGGATATTGGCCGCTGAGCTGATGTTCAAGAAGAGGTTCAAGAAGGTACGCGAGCCACCTTGGGTTGGTATAAAGGAAGAAGGGGAAGGCTGGGAAGATGACATCCACAGTCTGGCTGTTGCCATTGGATGAGATCTCCTTCAAGAAAAGCAGCGGGCTCTCGGGTGTTCCGGAGAAACTCGTAGCACCCATTGCTTGTCGTGCAGAAAGCGCGACGATGTCAACATAGTTCGTGGAGCCAGATTGGTAGGCATCGATGCGTAACTGCTCAGAGTAGTTGCTGGCTAGACTGTTTGCGTTGGCAAAGTCTCCGTAGTGGAATTTGATGAGCGTGGCGTCTCCGTGGAACCACGATGACCACAGTGGCTTCATGTAGGTAAGACCCCGGGCTGAAGCGTACTGCGTGACGGGGTCTTGGACGTGCGTAATCGTGAACAGAACGCTCTCGCTAACCGCTTTCGTCGAGGCCGAGGAAGCGCTTTTCAAGTTGAAGGTCTTCGAGAAAGCGAAAACAGGCTCCTCGTCCATGATGGAGCGAAAGTCTTTGTCGACCTGGTTCTGCAGTGTCCCGGTCTTCGCAAAGCGCTGTCTCAGCAGCGCCGATGTTCCCGCCTCATGGCTCACATCGCTCGGCCCAGTGAAATGCAGCTGGCCCCACTCAGCTTGATCATGTTCCTCAGTAAAGATCTGCTCGACCTGGCGCTTGACACTCCACGTCTTCAATCCTTCTGCAGAGTCAGCAGACCCTTGCTCAGTCAATCCCCATTCTATGAGGCTGTCCCGCTTGCCGCTAACCCATTGTCCATTGACGTCAACATATACAGATACGTCGAAGCTTCCTTGTACGTGAATGCTGAGATACGCAGCAGGTATCGATTGTCGTAGCGTCGACGTCGGCGTGATGGGCGAGAGGAAGCTCAACGTGATCTCGAGATCACCCGCACTGGCAAGCTTCGGCGGCGCAGGGATTGAGAAGGTCAAGTTTGTCGTACTCGCATCGTATTTGGCGCCCTCGTATTTGGGGAACGCGACGGTGTAGTGCTCACTGCTCTGCTCGAGCGAGTCGTGCGGGCGGCCGAGCAGCGGGTACACGTTGTTTGTGTCAGGGACAGATGCAAGTACGCCAAAGCCGAGCTCATCGCCTGTCCAAAACATGGGCCATTTGCTCCAGGGCTCTTCGCGTGCATTTTGCAGCCATGTGCTGAGGTATGGGTTCCTGACGATCAACGGCAAGATGGGCGGCTTGAGGGACGAAGCTTCCGCGACGCTTGCCAGAAGCGTTGCGGCTACGACGCTGAATGCTCTCATTGCGTCCAATAGTCACGAACAGTGGCAGTAACAAACAATGCGCAATAACGGGACAACAGTGGTACGAACGATCTATCGTTGATGGAGGAAGGGGAGCTGCCGCCCTAGCCTCTGGGGTAGCTCATGCGGGGACGGTGGGGCCATCCGCGTCATTTGATCGGCCCTGCGTTTCAGCTCAAGGGACCAGAGAGCTTGACAGTGTCAACCAAGTCTGTGACTCCCAGCAACCTCTCGTATTTCGATGCAGCGCACATGCATCGCCGTGATGCATTATGTACAAGAATTCAAACTGAACATTGTGCGTTGCTTCGTCCCATCATCCAAAGCGCATCTTGCTTTATCCGGGTATATACCTAACATCCAACTTTTGAAGTATGCCATACCAAACGCCATCGCTATGCAATCGAATCAACCGTGGCCAAAGCCTATCCCTTATGCTTCAGCAACGGCCTCGCCGCCTGCGCTCGCAGTCAACATATCAACCATGCCCTGCACACTCCATGCTATCTGACTGGCCTCAACGGTGACTCGTACGCGGCTCATGAGTGCATCGACCAAGGTGTCGATCTCCTCACTCCGACCTAGCTGGTCGGCGTATAGGTCCAAGACTACCAATGCGACGTCGGTGGTCAGGCGAGTGATGCGGTAATCAGAGATGTTCTTGATGAGCCAGCGCAAGACGGGCTGCAGGGTCACCTCATCGCGATTTGCAAGAGCGGAACGCAGCGCCGAGCGGTGGCGGAGAGCGGTCAGAAGGGAGAGTGACTGAGTGCGCGCGTTGTTGTCCTGCAAGTGTGTTAGTGATGGTCTGGTTAATATCAATCTCCTGGTTTACCTTCGACTCGAGCACCATATCGAGCGCCTTGGCATACTGAGCCTGTCGCAGTGCATGCGCCCATGGAGCTCCAGTTGTGACCTTGCCACGCGCGTTGCCCTCGATCACGATATCTGCGCTCTCGCCCGTGAAGTCTTTGCCACGAACACGCTTCTCCCAGCCCTTGCCACGCTTGCGCTTTTTGGAGCGATCGTACTCGTCGATCTTGCCTTCCATAAGCGCCTTCATCTCCTTCTCGCGCTCGCGGGCAAGCACTTTCTGCTCGCCGCTCAGATGAGTACGGATCGAAAGGATACCAGAGGTGAGGCCGACGGCGATGTGCTTGTCCTCCTTCTGACTCGGGACAACGGAGAGGGAGAGGATGGGCGAGGGGTACTTCAGTCCTCCGACGACATTCCAGCCTGAGGTTTCGAAAACCTTGACATGGCCATCGAGGGAGCCAGAGAGCAGACGTGAGCCGTTGTTCGCGAGAGAGAGGGCCGTGACTGCTTTCTGATGGTTGCGGAGCATGTGGATTGGCTTTGCAGCGACGATGTCCAAAACGGAAATTGCGTTGTCACTGGTTGCGAGGACGGCGGTGCCAGAGGGCATAGGAAGGACAGTCTCGATAGGATGCTGGTGCTTGAATACCATAACTGCTTTGCCGCCAGCGCGCGAGTCCCAGAGGCGTACGGTCTGGTCATAGGAGCCGGAGACAAGCAGTCCGGACTGCGCAGGCATGAACGTGCCCGTGCGCACGTAGTCCTGATGACCCTCGAACTTGGTGATGCTCGTATCGCTGGGCAGATCCCACAATCGCACAGTGCGGTCGTCCGAGCAGCTCATGAGACTGGTAAGGTCGGCGGGGTTCCATTCGGTCGTCCACACGGGCTGCTTGTGCTCCTTCCATGTTTTCAGAATGGCTCTGCTCTTCACATCAAAGGCCTGAATTGACCCGCTGTCACCACCCGCGACCAATATGCGACCATCTCGTCTCAAGTTGCCGGAGCGCGCAATATCGTCGACGCCGAAGCGTGAGATGGTCTTGACGACCTTCCGGGTCTTGGAAGAGAAGATCTGCACACGTGACCCAGTAGTGACTGCGAACAGGTCTTGCGACGCAGAGAGCGAGTTCGAGGGCGGCGGGGGCGGGATCGAGATGTGCGTCACCGGCGACGAGTGCTGCGACGGATCGAGGCGAAGCTCCGACGTGAACGAGTTCCAGTATTGCTGCTCCGACGTGACGGTGGAGGGGCCCTTGGGCAGCTTGACGGGCTGCAACAGCTGTACTTCGGCGGCCATGGCGGGCAGATGTGGGCGCACAGTTTGTCGTCGGTGTGCACTGTGTGTCGCGCCGGCCTCGAACTTCGTCGCAACTTTTTTGGTGCGCTAAACCAACTTTGGAAGCGGGCCTGGCGCGTCTCTCGCACCAAGCTGCACCCTCACGCTGCTGGAAAAGCGGGGCCGTTCTTAAACCGAGGTCGGCATGTTTGCACGACTATATTAACTGAAAGTAGGTTGCAGACTACGTCGGCTCTTGCTGCTTACAGAAGCCAGCCTAATATCAGCTGAACGCCTCCAGGCAATATTGCACGAACAGGACGTTGGCGTTCCAAATTTAGGTCTAGTGTTTGCCTGATCGCCTGGCGCGACATCACTGATATAGAGGGCGTCAAGGTGCCAACAGCGACAAACATCTCACCATCGCCAAAACGGCTGCCTCAACTTATCATGACATACCCAGTCCCATGTTTTAGCTCGACTGAAGTCGAGTAGGTGTCTTGCTGCCGCATACGCGTGTCTGTTACGATGTCCGTCACGAGCGACAACCTGGAGGAGTTCTTCGACTTCGCACAACTCGAGCAGGACAGCGGAGTGTACGAAGGGCTTGCATTCGCTGAAGATGTTGGAATCGCATTCGTTGAGGATGTTACCGCCATGGAGTGGCAACCATCGGGCGCTGACTACCGTCCAATACCAGACAGACAATCACAGGAGCTATGCGTTCAGTGGCCTCTGAGAGAGACCCTGAGTCAGTCACACATCCACAATGATACACATACAGCAGCTTCTCTATGGTCTATCAGCAACACCCTTGTCACAAACGGTCACCAACAATGCACTGAGCTTACGCCCACACCTTCTTCATCATTGCAAGCACCCGACAACGCCAGTCGCATCACCGATCAAAGGGCGGCACCTGCCGTCTCTCTGGTGGGTGGTGCATCCAATCCCCCACACGTAAGGTTGGGAAGGGACGCCATCGATAGGATAGGCGCACAATCTACGGATCGTAGCAAAGTCACGCCCTTACAGACGTCCAAGATATCCTTGCCAACTCGCCATACTTCGTCTTCGAGCTGGAAACCAGCATCAGCTAAGCGCAAAGGCCCTCAAAGCAGGATTCCGCTCGAATCAAGACATATTCTTGAGGACGAATTTGCTACAAATCCATACCCTTGCTCTTGGGAATACGACATCATCGCTCATCAGGCCAACCTTGACGTCAAGAAAGTCCGCAATTGGTTTAACAACACTCGGGCCAGGAAGAAGGGTGAAGGTGAATTTCCAGCCATGTTTGCTATTCTCGTGTATTGCATTCTGACTTGCATAGATCTTGATGATAACGCTCGACAAGACCCTCACGAGAGTATACACACCCTCAAGCCAAAGCTATCTAGAGACAGCCTGGAAGCTCTTGATACTCACACAGAAAAGGCTGTCGAACCCCCTCAACCACCAATGGCATTCTACCTTGCACAGTCCTATCAAGAGGAGGGTGTCGAACTTACTGATATACAGGCTGCCATGGACAATGATTCGTTTAGTGTTAGCGGCCTCTCTGATAGAGGCGTATGGTCAGCATCGAGAAGAGGATCCGCAGTCGAATCGACCGTCTCGTCTGAGGGTACGGCAGCAACATCCTACACTGTCTCCTCGAACGGGAGCCGTAGTAATGTTTCCTCCTTTGGTCGAGAGCGGCGACGTGGCCGGCGACGGATGGCATGGAAAGAATCGCCTCTTACTCGGTCTATCAATGGCGTGAACAGCGCTGGTCAGCCTCAACAAGATCTACCATTCTTCTGCACCTTTTGTCCACGAGCTTTCAAGACAAAATACGAATGGATCCGCCACGAAGACTCCGTACACGCCCTTCGAACAACTTGGATATGTTGCGACACGAAAAACTTGCCCCTCCAGTCTTGCCCGTTCTGCGGTCATATGCATCCTGACGACGCCCACATGGCAACGCACAAATACGAGCAATGCCGATCTAAACCCGAGGCGCAAAGAACGTTCTACCGTCGCGACCACTTTGTGCAGCATCTTCATCACATTCACTTTGCCAATGCCAAACATCCATCGGTGCGTGTCGGCTGTCAAGCGCGCCTACTGGCATCAGAAGGACACAACTTTGGCTGCAAGGACCTTTCGCTCAAGTGGCGAAGGTTTGGTGCACCCATGAAGAAAGACGACCCGATGCTACACTGCGGCTTCTGTGGCAAAATACCCAAAGACTGGTCAGAGCGTTGCGAACACATAGCTGAGCATCTCGCTGCTCGTGACCTCACTCGGTCCGTATGGTGGCCAGAACGAAAGGAGAACCATCTCGAGAATCTCTACTCCACCACGCCGTTTGAGTCTTTCAGGTGTCGCTACTGCTTGAAAGTGTTTACGGACATACAGGCTATGAATGAGCACACTCACTGTCGTGTCTGGAGTTGTCGTTTCCTACAGAGCTTCGACGATGTGGCTGCCGAGAACGCCGGCCCGCCGCTCTGTCAAGACTTTCCCTCTGCCAAAGCTCACCACTGTCATCTCTGTGGAGCTGGCTACCGCGCTGTTCATGTTGAGCACGCCCAAAACTACCACAGGTATAGGTCTTGTAACCAGGAATTTTACGAATCAGAGGAGGCCTTCCTTCAGCACTTGCACAACTTCCACGGCGCGTCTCATCCTACCTTGTTGCGAGGCAACCCTGTCATAGAGCAAACGTTCATGCGTAACAAGGGGGCTTCCTTTGAGCCCGTCGAGTTCAACGAAATGACACAGCCATGCCTCGTGGAACTCGAGGCAACACCACTGACGCCCTTCACTGTTGATCAGTCGGCTTTCCACGCAACCAACAGTGGAAAACAAGATCCAAAACAGCACAAGAGGTCATCTCCTGTACGAAGGCAGTCTACAAACTCACCCATTCATCAGACCTCAGAAGCATCAAGAACGCAAAAGCAACGGTCAGAAACGGCAACAACGAAGGCAGACTCCCACGAGCCCCGGTTCCTTCGACTGAGCACTTATGTACCATTTGTGTCATCGCGCATCTTCTACTCGCGCTCTTCGAAGTCTGCCGATCTACCAAAAGATGATCAAGCTGTTCTCGAAGAGGTACCAAAGCCGCACTTGACAGCTTTGGTGATGAGCGCAGGCCTTGTCAGCATGGCTGTGGCGCGTTGGACTATCAGACCAAAGAAGCTTTCTAAGGACAGTCTGTTTGAATTGGTGCTTGACGAAGATGTTGACTGAAATAACGTCGCATCTTTTGATCGAACTTTCTACTATAGAGAAGGGATCTCGAATATAGTATCAACGACTGAGACATATCCGAACGTTTCGGCACACTACCGCCCGATGGGTGAATGTCGCCTGAGCCGTGTTGTCCCGAGGATAGGATTGTATTCCTCAGCAAATACTCCGGCCGACGGATCCATGACGCGATCTGCTGCACAACAAGCTCAATGGTCAATCTAAATCTACGAAGCTTCCAAGGCACGCAGCCCACAATAGGTATGCGGAGTGTTGTTCATCAGGTTCGCCAAGTGCCTCGTATCTCCAGCTGCCTAATCGGGTTTCGTCGTTCAGCTTGGCGGCATGACGAATATGCAACTTCCCCTCAACTCCAGGAAGTTGATCAAAGAGATTGCCATGGAAGGTAAGAGTTGCATTATATGTGACTTGGCTGTGATAAGATCTCGTATGTAATGGAAGGGTTTATAAGCACGGTCTTGCATCTATATTTCACAAACATTGTTTTTCATTTGGCTCAGGTTGAAGGAAGTCGAAACCATGAGACTGAGCAATCTAATTCTGCTTGCTCCACTGGTGGCAGGCTCACCTCTTGAAGCCAGTCGAGCCTCAGTCCCTCGCAACGTGGGTACCAGCTATGATGGATATCACATCTACAGTATCACTCCTTCGTCTGCCAATGAAGCTCGCGACCTAGCAAAACAATTCTCTCTCTACCATACCCATCCCATCCGCGACACCTTATCCGTGGCCATCCCACCTGAAGAAGTTGCCAGTTTCGAGAGCCGTGGACTGAAGACGCGCCTAGTCAATTCTGACTTGGGAGCGCACATTCGATCCATTGACAGCGGGCCAATTGAGTACAGTCGCACATTGCACAAGCGTGGCGAGCTACCTGATCTCTCGTGGTACGACACGTACCATCCGTACGCGGACCATCTGGACTACTGGGATGACCTAGTACATGCGTTCCCAAAGAACTCTAAGAAGTTCCCGCTTGGAAAGAGTTATGAGAACAGGACTATCTATGCCTTTCATCTTTTCGGAGATAAGAAGAAAGGCGGCCATGGGCCAAAGACAAAAGACAAGCCCGTCATCCTTTGGCATGCTACTGTCCATGCTCGAGAGGTGCGTCACGTCTGATCTGGTAATCAAATGCTTATTAACTTTCACAACAGTGGATTTCAACCATGGTCATCGAATATCTCGCCTACCAACTCATCGACGGCTACAAATCCGGCAATGCCAACGTGACCGCCTTCCTCGATCACTACGACTTCTACCTGGTCCCCTTCCACAACCCAGACGGCTTCGTCTACACCCAAACCACCGACCGCCTGTGGCGCAAGAACCGCCAGCCCCGGCCCTCGATAAACACGACCTGCATCGGCACCGACGGCAACCGCAACTGGAAATTCGAATGGAACGCTGAGCCCCCCGAGGGCGGCTCGACGCCCGACCCCTGCGGCCAGACCTACCGCGGCCTGGCACCCGGCGACACGCCCGAGAACGCCGCGCTGGACGCGCTGTCCGCGCGCCTGTCGAAACAGGGCCAGGGGCTCCGCTCCTTCATCGACTTCCACTCGTACTCGCAGCTCGTGCTGACGCCCTGGGGCTACTCGTGCGATCCGCTGCCGGAGACCATCGAGCGGATGGTGTACGTAGCCAACGGGACGGCGCGGGCGATCGAGGCCGCGAGCGAGCGCGGCAGCGTGTACGAAGCCGGCCCGGGTTGTCAGATTCTGTATTTCTCGACGGGGAATTCAAGGGACCACCATCATGCGACGCATGGGGCGGACCATTCGTGGACGCTGGAGTTGAGTCCAGCGGATGTGGCGGGTGGCGGGTTTGTGCTGGATCCGAAGGAGATCTGGCCCGTGGTGAAGGAGCAATGGGCTGGGCAGTTGTATACGTTGAGGGAGGTGTGGGAGAACTAGGGGTTCACGGAGGATAATCGGTGTAGAATGAGAATGAGATGAGTCGGCCGATTTGTGGGTACGAATGGATGGTATTCAACTTGTCAACAACTGGCCCCGGTTGACTACGCGCCATACTTCAACCAACTGATTTCCCGAGTATCACATCTCAATGATGACCGCTTTCGAAAGCATGACACAACATGGTCACATGCTACCATTCTTTTGGGTGACCTTACACCAGCCGTTCTTCACTTCTCTCGTTCGAATGCCGTTCTTCTCTCCCCCTGGGCTGGCCGTTCTTGGTCTTTTCTTATCACCGAGCCGCACAGCAACAGCTCGTTTCACCCAGTATATAAACCAAAGAACGTATGATAGATACTTAGACGTACAACAGTCATTGCCAAAGTAAGGAGGCATTAATTGTGAAGTTCTGGTGTTCACTTTAGCATGTCGTTCTACCCGTTCAACAAAACAGCATGAAAACCGATTAAGACGCGATTTTGCTCAGAGCGTCAACTAGAAGCATACAGAACATATGACGAGATGGTCCCGTAGAGATACTTCCATACATGCCATCACTGAACTTGAATTGTGGTCGAATCAGAACCACGAGATTCTGCAGTGTCATGCCAAGCCACTAGCTCCAAAACAGACAAGCGGACGCCGAGCTGGACCTCACGTCTGTCGAAGCTCGATATACGGCTAAGGAACCCCACATCTACACCGCGACAATGGCTTCAGGATACGGACTTGCTGGCGGTACGTATGCGATACTTCCTACAAACACTGGGGTGCGACTTTGGAGGCGACGGAGGCTCGGGAGCGGGCGCAATGGCAGGACGAACACCAACGGCATCATTCCGAATATGCCGACTATGGCGCGACCGCGACGACGACACTCAATTGCGTGAGAGCGGGAACCTTGGGAGATCTTTTTAAGGCTGCTTGCCCATGGCTTGTACCGTCTATCACCATCCGAAGACGCTCCGGGACCGCAATCCGACACAGACGCCAACACACCCACCACACTCCACCAGCACATCGAAACGCACCGCTACGCACCTCTGCGTCAAACCCAGGACCCCAGACCATCCGACCGCCCCTCCACCCAACCGCCAAGCCTCCACCGCCCACCCGCACCACCTCCAAGCCGCTCTTACCCCCCAACCAAGCCCCAGCGCTGCGCAAGAAGACGATTACTGATACACATTGAACAGGCCCCTCGCGCTGCTTCCCCTTCTGGCAAGAAGTCCTCGCGTGCTACGTGACCAACACCAACGCCGAGGACGACAGCGGCAAGGCCAAATGCGTGCCCGTGCTTGAGGACTACTACGAGTGCCTGCACCACAAGAAGGAGGTACGTCAGGCACAGAACGCCACCATATATTTCATCCAACTCTCGGTCTGAAGCCATAAAACCACCCCGCTCGTCCACGACCGCATTGCCTTGTACAGCGTTGTGAGGAACGGCAAGCTAACCCACCCACCCCCAGGCGGCCCGCACCCTCGCCCTCCAAGCCGCGTACCGCAAGGCCGAAGCAAACATAAAGCGCGACGACGCGCCCTCGGCAGGCGAAATACGACGATTAGGGGTGCTGGACGCGCCGCTGGAGGAGAAGAACCTCAAAGCGAGCAAGTGGTTCCCGCACAAGGAGATCAACTAGAACCCAGCGCGCCAGCTTTGCGAGAACAATGAGACTATGGGAAGCCGAGTCGAGAGCGTGTCGTGCTGTGTATACCAATCACACGAACCGAGTGGCAGGTGTGCAGAAGTAGAATCAGGGGACGGGAGATGAATATGCAAATGCAGTGAATTTCAGATAACTTATTTGTTCCCCCTCAGGCCCGTGCTGTGCAGTGCGCCATTGAAGGTGTATACAGCCATATCGTCGAATATCGTGACATCATAAACAATCGTACTATCCTGTTGCGCCATACTGTGAACCATGAACTCGAAGAGTATACAACAGGCCGTGCATCGTCGGATTCCCCCCTCTTACCCATTACAGTCCGTCGAATAATATTCCCTTAAGGAATATACCCTTTGTACTTTTACTGGCTCGTTGCCATTACTCTGAGTCCCTTGGCTGCATATTCGATATGCTCTCATCCACGCAGTCTCGTCCTTGTTCCAAGGACTCGCCATTACAATACATCTGCCGTCTGCTGTTGTATTCCTAAATACCGGAGCGGCCAACAACACCGTGGGCCTGCGCCATGCTATGGTGAAACGAGCCGATCTTCTGAAAGCCCCTACCATGTTGTTAGTCTCTCGTCCTGCCTGGCAATCCCTGATGGAATAAGAACTTACTTTGACAGATCATAGCTCTCTTCCTCCGGCTCATCTTGCTCCTCGAAACTTGTCAGACTCGCGCCTCTGACCATACCACCCAGCCCGCTGGGGCCGAGCACATTAACGTTTGAGTTGCTCCTGCTGCGCTGGCTTCCACCGAGATCGCGCCGACTCACTGGTCGACTGACAGTGCGGCTTGGGCTCTCCGCCCCAACATCTTCATCATCGCCAGGCTTGTCGTCAGACACATCTTGGTCCTCAAGCTCAGCGCTGTGCTCTTCTTCCTCCTCGTCTTCTTCTTCTTCATCAGGCAACATCGGAGGCGAGCTGGGCTGCAGGTCCTCTTCATTATCCTTGTCATCGAGATGCATCTTGGTCGGGCTGAACTCGATTGGGAACTTGGCAGGGGTGCTGGGCAAGTCCACAAATTTCCAGAAAGGAGCAGGACTAGAGAAGTTCATGTACTGACTGGGCATTTGAGCGGTGCTAGGAGGGGCGAGACGAGGGGCATGACGAGTGACGAGCGGCGTGACGAGAGCATTGTTCATTCGACCGGCATCATGGTTTCCCTGATTGTTGCTTGTTGTCGCGTCGGAATACAGGGTAGGCGGCGAGTTTGCTGCTTCGCTCTTCAAGCCAGTCAACCCAAGACCTTGCACCATGGGCTTTACAGGATCAACGCCAGGCGATGACTCAAGGTGCGATCTGGGCTCTTCAGTCTTGATGTACGGTGGATGACGACTGTCATTCCCACCATACACGAGGCGCTTAGCAGGTGTGACAAAGTGGTTTATTTCGCGGATGTTGGGCGATTGCTTCAGTGCACCGAAAGGGCGAGAGCCGCGATCAGGGGTATACGATTCGTTAGGCGCAGGAACTGATGACAGAGGTGGAGTTGCAGAGCGAGGAGGGGACTTTAAGCGAGTGCCTTGCTGCCTGTGATCCCGGTCGAGTGCACCAACCAGCCGTTCTGTGGCTTGAGATGGGTTTCCTAGTGCAGGCGAGCTGGGTCCAGAACCATCAGGGCGAAATCCAATGGCTATTCCACCGCCCTTGCGGGGGTTGAGCAGTTGCTTCCTGATGAATTCCTCACGTTCTGCATCGGCAATCTTCCACTTCATTCCCTTGCCAGGCTCGTCTGTTCGGCGCGCAACCTTCTCAAAAGATTTATTCAGAGACAAATTATGGCGGATACTGTTTTGCCAGCCGCCATTAGTGAAACGGAAGAAAGCGTACCGCGACTTGATATAGTCATATATGTTCGCCAAAGTCAGCATCTCCTCGTCGTTGCTCAGAATGGCCTGCCCAATCAATTGTGCATAACTGTAGGGTGGCTTGATATCCTTGGCCTGGTCATGGCTGTAATCAACTTCGTCAGTCGAGTCGATCATGACACCACGGGAGAAGATGGCAGGAGAACCTTTGCTGCGAGGACCGGTACCTGGCTGAAACGTCAGAGGCGTTCCTGGAGGTGGGCGGCCTGGAGTAGACGCCATCTGATTGTAGTAAGCCTGCGACGACTGGTGCTTAATCTCGCGGTTTCGTGGGTGCGAAGACGGCGGGAACGGATCGTATTGCTCGCGCTTGGGAGTGGGTCCGCTGGGGGGAATGTTCTGGTGCGATCTCGAAGGTGGGTTACCGTCGTTGTCGGACTCGCCAGCCTCCTCTCCGTTCGCCTGTCGCAGAAGCATTGGATGAAAGTGGTCCTCTTGATTGGCGAGCAGGAACAGCATCTGAGTACCCATGATGCTAATGCAGATACCGGAATGCAGCATCTCCACCTGGCCCTTTGTAACGTGCACGTCATCCAGCTTGAGACCGTTGCGGCTATTGACTATGATGTACCAGTTCTGATCGGCAGAATCGAAATAGATCTCGGCATGTATGCGCGAAACCTGGCGTTCGGGCCCCAAGTCGATGTGCACTCCCCAGTTGGAGACAGACTGGGCCTCGCTCTGGGGGTGTCCGGGGATGTCTGCCTGCGAGCTGGGCGGCTGGGGGCGGATGGCCGAGTCAGCACGCCCCACGAGAATGCGCGTCTCCTGGACGAAGAAGCACCAGTCCCGAGCTGCTATCTTGGCGAAGGCGGCGATGTTGTGGCCCTGGTTCTTGCGGGCTTGCAGGTCGTTGGCATAGTCGATGGCGGCGTTCGGCGTGTAGTTTGAGGGAATGCCGAGAGCGGCAATAATGCGGTTCTGGCGCTCCACGGGGTCTTCGTCGTCAGCATTCGGGAGTGTGGTGTTGCTGTCGTTGCTGGCAACAGACTCGGTGATGCGGGTGCGTGGCGGGTCGGCAGCGACGGCGGTGGGTTCATTACCGTTGAGCTGGCCGCGTTAGCAAAATAGACGCTGAATCATCTGGCGCAGCACTCACGCGTCTGCGCTTCCGCGAGGGCGTGGCTATGGAGTCGGCGTCAGACTGCGGTTGAGCATCGGGCTCCCGGCGGGAACGGAGGCCTACGCGTGGCGGCATCTTGCATATGCGCGGGCGCTGGAGAGAAGATTAGCGATCGTGGGCGTTTATGAATGTTTGCTGTTTGTTGCGCTGCTGGTAGCCGTGGTAGGTAGGGTCCAGCGATCCAGCCGAACCAGGGCCAGTTGGCCAGTCGCCGTTGCTGAGGGTCTTATATCGCAGGTGGTCGCTACCAACCAGAGGGCGTCGCAATATTACACAGGCAATGCGACTCCCGGCGGCCGGTCGCGCATGCCCGCGAACATACTGGGCGCATTCTGAGTGGACTGCGCCTGCTCAGCTCCCAGCAGCCGCACCGGTCCCCGGCGTCATACCCCTCCACCACAACCAAGGGATCGTGCTTACCTCTGCTGTCGACACCCGTTTTCTTTTGCAGATGCGCGATGCGGCTGTCGCAAGTTATTGGCGTTGGCGCAATGTGGCAGACGGCGTCGGTGCGTTCGCAGGTGATGGGGTTGGTAAGTGGGCCGCGGTCGCGGTGGCCGCTACGCACTGGGACGTGTACCGGTGTTTGTTTTCAGTGACGCGACCGATTGGCGTCGTCCGCAAAAACGCAGTGGAGCAGTCAGCCGAAGACCAGACGAAACGATGTCCACGGTCGAACGCAGTGAGCTATCGATAGGGATAGGATGATCACAGAGCCACAGACGTCGAGCTGCAATTACGACCAAAATTGCAAAGCACTTTCGTAATGCACATCCGTGCGCGTCCTGGATGACCGGTCACGTGTCTGCGGCGATAGTGCATTTCAACAAGTGCGTCGAGGGAGCGAACGAATCTTGGTGACGGCTGACAGCTGATAGCTGGTGCAGAGTTTACCTAGGAGCCAAAATACTCTTGCAGACAAAGATAACTTCGCTGCGCTTTCTTTGTTCAGCCCACCTCGCCGCCATCACTCCATGTCTGCTTCACTGCCTCCTGAGACACTGAGCCTCGCAGCACAAGCAGGCCCGGCCCTTGCAGCGCATACCAGCGAGGAGCGCTCACAAGCCGACGAGCCCCTGTTGCACTAGACCCTCTCACAACATACTCCTGCAATCACAGAGGTCTAGCCCTTGTTCCAGGGTGGCTGGCATTCTGGGGTTTGTGCTGTGGTCCTTTGTTTGTTGCCAGTGATTTTCAAACTTCGCTGAACGCGTTTGTTGATTCTAGTGCGTCATCGACGCACTGACATGATGCAACCATCAGATTCCCAAGGACCAATTATTGGGGGGGCTGGCCACGAACGGGTACACACCCTATCCGCAGTCCGAAAACTGGATTTGGCAAGGTAAGGTGGACAAACGAGGCTGGTGATTTGAGGACTGCGTGATCTTTTCGGTCCTTTCCACGGATATCCGGCCTTGTGCCACAAACGATTTCGTCCTTCCCAAATGCTTGAGCACACGCAGATGGACTACCACAGGACAGGCCTACAAAGCAATACATAGTATTATCCAAGAGTATGCAAGATCCGTCTGACCAGGGGACTAACTTCCAGTATCTACACGAGTAGCGAATGGTTTGAGTAGAAGATTGGTTATTCAGACCCAGTCCTCACGCTCTTGTTCGTCCTTGCTGCCACCATTGTTGCCCTTCAGCCAACCCACACCTGAAGATGCCACGCCTTTCCATCTCTCGACACTTTTCTTCTTGACAAACTGGTACTGACGTGAACGGCTCCTCTCGAGTCGCTGCTTGAAAGGGGCTTCGCCGGATACACCTAAACCGGCGAGCTCCATATCGTCTCGGACTTCAGCTTCTCTGAATCCAAGCGCCGATTCAGCACGTTTCGACTTTGATGAGTTGCCACGGTTCAGATTGGCCTTCTGTTTTGACCCGATCGTCTCGTTGGAGCGGACTCTTTGCAATCGATCATGCAGCTCTGCCGCTACACCATCATCAACAACCCTGCCCTTACGGTTGGAAGGCGGAGTATGAAAGTTCCAGTCCGAGTCCGGGCGGCGCATAGCATATTTGCGAGGGCTGTGATTGAGTATTTCACCAAGCTCCTGTAAATCCTCGACTTGTGCTCGCATACGATCTAGCGATTGCATCCGCGGTGCAGCAAAAGCACGGCCTTGGACAGATTGCGAACGCTTACGACTCAGTGCAGATGGGGAACTGCCTCGCTGATCCACACACGTGGTACGCTTTTCTTCAATAGCCAGAGCCACTTGGGCGACCGAGTTTGGCACTACGTCAAGGGAATTCTAGGCATTGTTAATTGTAGGTTGGAAGTTGAGAGCCAGAGGACGTTTACCATATGTATAAGCACAATTGGTAGCTGAACAGTAACCAGTCTCCTGTACGTAGTCAGCGGGGTGTACAATTGCATCGAACGGACTGACAACTAACGAGTGCGCGCTGCCCACAATGACGTTGAGGAAGTAGCGGACTTCGAAGTATTTACCTGATTTGTTAGTTCTGTCTTTTTTGAGTTTGAGATTTATGCATACCACACTTGACCGTACCATGTCCGCGAGGCACTTCCAGATCACAGGTGCGTATGTGTGTATGATGGGGATCTACGCCATGCCACCCGGCAGCGCCCTGCTTGACTACACTCTTGCTGAGGATCGAACGCTCATTGTTGTCAAAAATACGCGCTTGACCAGCGGATCTTTCCATGGTCGATGCAGCGGCCTACAAATGCGGCAATCAGCACAACACAAGATGATCAGAGCTGCTACTAAACGAACGTGCTTATAGCATAGTATGTCCCGTTCTAGCTGAAGCTCGATCTTTTTGACGACCTTGCGGCTGTTGTTTGCGATGTGCACATCAACATAGATACTGGTTCCACTGACCCAGACCTGTCTGTGGAGACCAGCCGTGACTCGCACAATGTCGAGAGTATTGTCGCGAGCTCTGACCCATTCGTCTGAGGCTGTGAGAGGGCTGGGGAGAGACATGAGAGCTTTTTCGGCTACCTGCTTGTCAGCATGCGCCTTCGTAGTGAGTCGTATAGTACCCACGATCATACACTGAAAGAACGGTAACATCGTCCGAGGTTCTAACGATGTACTGCTTGCCATGGTCCCGAATCAGAAGCGATGCACAAAGTGTGTATCGGATACGCGCGATTTTGGATTGAAACGGCGGAGGGCCGACATTGAGCGGGAGGTTCAGACGGAAAGCAAGATGGGTGATGGAGGGCATGAGGTGCCAAAAGAGCTTGTTGGACCCGATCGGTTTTTGCTCGTAGACCATGTGTTGAGGTGGCGGATGGTCTTCGTCAATCAGTTCTGTGGCAAGATTAAGAAAAACAGATTTTCGGTTTCCACTCATTTCTTCCATGCCCAGAAGATCAATTGATATGCGGGCAATGTCCAGAGTCCGTCTGTGACGTATTCGCTCTGCGTCGTCAATGCTGATCTGTACAGTGCCTTCGATTGACCCCCCGCCCACGAATATGCCAGCTGTTAGGTCTAGCCCAAGTTCGATGCGAGGATGGCGATGTGATGGGAACTCAAGGAGCTCTTTCGAAAGCGGTTTGCGGATAAATGTTTCAGAATATATGCCTCGATTGCTGCCATGTAATGTAGGGTCTATTCGCGTAGCAACATGGCGTACAGGAGATAGAGATTGACCATGTCGAGTACCGTGATCAAAGCCTCCTAGGGGAGGCTGCTGCGGTATTGTAGGTATTGTATGTGTTGCAGTGTATTTAGGTAGCCCATGGGTAGATGACGATGGCAGATTCCCACAAGCCTGTCGAGTCTGTGAAGCACCACATGTGCGTGCGCGTGAGGAAGAGCGAGGAGGGACACTGCCAGGAGGAATGCTGTATATACTGGAGACACTGTCTGCAGGACTTGGTGGTGATGGTGTTCTAGAGGCTCGCCATCGGTACATGGATCTGCCGCCATTGCTGTCAATGCTGTTTTTTCTATCCGGTTCTCGGTTCTCGCCATGTCGAGTATCGGTGCTAGGGCGACGCTTCGATGCCGCAGAAGGCCTCCGTAATAGCTCTGGTCGAGATGTGCTACGAGGTAGGTTATTGTCTGGGAGTAACTTCCGCGGTATAGGATCCGCAAGGCTTGGTTCAGTAAGCTCACGAATGTCGGATAGAGGACGGACTTTGCCCCACGATGGTGCATGTAGAGATGATGCCTTGGGTTCGCCGAAAGAATTGTTGGCCGTGCCTCCACCACCCATAGATCGATTGCCCCCTGTTGAAGGAAACGTTACGAACGGTGGATCGCTCACTCGTTCAAAGGGCGGGCGAGTGTCTGAGTATGGGCTCGCACCTGGCTGCGACTGCGAGTGGCCTGACCCCTTCAACAGCCGTCCAGCGAGCTCGGCCAATGTCATCACAACCTACCCAACTGCTGCGACTCTTCGTATGTCGCGACAAGGCGTAGCAGTTTTGTGCACGACTGATAAGGAAGCTGATGGTTGCTGGTTATATGTCGACCGAGTGATTGATGCTGTATCGAGAGAAAGTCATGTGAGCTATGTCGATGCTCGATATCCTGGAGTTAGGTGAGGTTCGTCGTGTGAGTTGCGCATAGCGGTGTTGGTAGCATTGTAAACGTCGAATGTGATGTTCACGAGTGGGTGGTAAGTGCTTTCAATCACCGTTCGTAGCAGGCAATTGATACACGTGCTGATTGTGCAGAGCGAGAGCAGGAAGGAAGCTCGCAGAGACCCCCATTCTGAGCGAACATGATAGACGAGGTTATGAAAACGGGCGCGTTTACAATATTATACGACATGTTGTTGCGTCTCTTACAATTGTTATAGTAGCGGCGGTTCAAGTAAATATCGCTTGTCAACACCATACTGAAAGGACGATATTTTGCTGCTCGTCCGTGTGCGAGCTGTGGAGCTTCGTACAACACTGACATAAACAGAAAATTGCCTACCCTTTAATCAATCCCGCAATACATGTTCATGGATGCATTCGCTTTTATCCTCATACTTCACCTGTCGTACACTTTCGAGCTTGCCGCAAATCGGCCTCCGAAGCCGCCCTCTTACTGCCAGGAAGCAGGCGTGACGATACAAGATCGGCCCGTAAACACCACGTTGCTCGTGGCGGGTACGTTGGTCGTGAAACCGACAGTCTCGTACGAGTCTCGACTCTTGCGCTATGGACCGTGTCAAGGTCACCTGTTCTCAGTGGATGCGCCACATGATCTTTTCTTGCCACATCGGGATAGCAGCATTGCTCGCCTTTCGAGGCAACAGACTCGCAAAGAGTGGTTCCAATGTGCGAATTTTCAGCAGCGGACGTATCAGGACGACTGCCCTGCGAGTGCCTGCAAATCAGATGGCCGCGCATGCTGGCGCCGTTCAAGCGGGGTGCAGGCCAAGCTCTTCCTCGTGACCGTCCTTGCAATTCATGTTTCTGGCGTTGAGTGCTTGCGCATGCAGTCATGTTGGCTTGCTTACCGGTTTGCGAGCCTGCAGTACAAAGCTCACTGGCGAAAGCATGAATTGCTTCTTGGATCGGCGTGTCGCTCTGATGCTTTTTCTGCCGCAATCCTCACATCAGATCGCTGCATTGTCAGCCTTACGACGCTGTGGTCTGGAATGAGCGAGCAGCGACTACTACATGGCCAGTCTGCTACGTCTCACAGCGCGTGGCCTCGGTGCAGGGAGCAGGCGGGCCGGCCGAGGCTGTTCTTTTGTGCGTGGCAGTTTCTCGGCTTTCGCAGCGCGTGGTCGTAGATGGCTGCAAAAAGTTCATGAACGATGCATGACGTGCGCAAAGGCTCCGCGCAGCCATCCGCAGCGTCCTTGGGAGCAAGCCCTCTTGATAAAGATGAGGCTCTCGCTGGCACGATGGAGATGCCGGAGATGCAGCACAAAACTTGCCTGGTGGCGCGGGAGCTAGGACTCAGCTACGCTGCAAGCGGTTTTGGCGTCCGTATCGGCAGTCCCTGCCTTGTACGGCTCCTCCACGATGCACTGTCGCTCGAGGGCAGCGGTGATGCAGTGCACACCCCGCGAAGAAAAATTTGAGCTGGTCCGCCAACCGCATCTGCGCACGCCTTGGCTTGGATCAGTGCATGCGCCCAGGAGCAGACGCTCGGTTGCAATTCGCTGCCGTTAGCTGTCCTCTGCAGAGCAGTCTTCAAGCACACAGAGGCTGCGCTCGGCACCGTGAATTGGATCTGGCCCGCCCGCGCCTTTTGAAGCCCAGCACCTCCGCCCCTCCGCTGGCCCTCTTTCGTTTTCATTACCCAAGAGCTTACCTCACAACTTCTGCGCGGCCACCCACAGCGCTCGACTCCCTGGATTCTTATCAGACATTATCAAACCCCCAAACAAACGCAATCGCTGCTCGACCCGGTGTTACGGTGTCTACCCCAGTGCGCGCTTAGCCGATACAGAGCCTCCTGCCGCATCTTGACGCCTGTTCGCTGTCGCGTCTATCTCACCTCTTGGCGCTCCTGTGCCCCTCTATCAGACCGGAGGGGTACGGTGGACGCAGATGGGAGATAACAGCGTAAAAGCTATGACGGCTGCCGTGGGCAAAGCGGAGGACCCGCGCGAAGGCTCGACGTCGTCTATCGAAGACTCCCCCGAGCCGGGCCACGCGGAGACTTATACCCAGGAGAACCCGCAACAGCAGAAGCGCAAAGGCGGTCGCAAACCCGTGAGCCTCTCCATGCACCCTAAATTGCACTATCTTGCCTATCATGAGCGCCACAATTGCGCACCCATTTGACATGTCACGAATTGGACTAACCAAGCGTCGTAAGATCTATGCCACCTCGGAAGAGCGCAAGCAGCGCAATAGGCAAGCCCAGGCCGCGTTTCGCGAGCGACGAACCGAGTACATCAAGCAGCTGGAGAGTACCATTAAGCACCATGAGGAGACGCTGCAGAACCTGCAGAACAGTCATCGCAACGCTGCCGACGAATGTCTTATGCTCCGGTATAAGAACTCTCTACTAGAGAGAGTCTTGCTAGAGAAAGGTATTGACTGCCCATCACACAGGCCAATGTCGATAAACGCTAACCCCTGCTCCACCAGGCATTGACGTCCAGGCTGAGCTGCGCGCAAAGACTGGCAGTCCTAATCTCGGGCCCACAAGGCCTGCGGGTGCTGCACATGCGTCTCCCAACCAGCCACCACTCCAGCAACGTGCCATCTTGAATAGACAGCAGCAGAGGCGATCGTTGCAGGGACCACCCAAGGTTGATGGCGCCAATGGCCTACCTATGATACAGCCAGATGGTCCTATCCAACGTTCGCCGCTGTCGCAGCCTACTCCAGGCTCTCATTTGTCTTCGCCTGCTCAGTCAGCAACGCGTTCGCCCAACTTCATGCCTCAGGGCCACTCAGTGTCGCCTAACTTTGGACCCATCCCACCTCAGCAGCAGCAGCAGCAGCAGCAGCAGCAATTGCGACCACAGCCACCTAGATCCAACTTTAACCATATGATGGCAGGCCCGCAGAGGCCGGTGACAAACCAGGCGCCTGCAAATGGCATCCAGGGCGCGTCTTCTGTTGGTCCTGGTGCCAATGGCATAACTCAGAGCAGCGGACCCTCTTTCTATCAGACACAGTACTCGGACCACATGACTCAACTAGGCAAGCTGACCCCTATCTTTCCTAGCTTAGGTATAGGACTTTGTAATCCTAGGCTGATTGGCGTGTAGAGCAGGAGTATGATGAGCAAGCCGATAACTACGAGCACGACGAACCGAGCGACCAGTCGGCCGGCCCCGGCCCCTTCCCGCACCACAACTTTCCCCCCGCGAACTCCATGCCCCCTCCGATGCCACCCGCACAAAATCCACCATTCCCAAGCCCAGCCTCGCTGGCACCAAACGATGGCAACCAGTCTTTCAACAACATGAACCACCTCTTCGACCCCTACGATCCAATGCTGGATGCAGATCCGTTCGGGCTGTCTGCTAGCATGCACTTCCCCACCATGTACGAGTCGAGATGATCGACGCAAGGATGAATATGATTAAGTTAAGAGGAGGGCACATTGGACACCCACCTTCGTCGCAAGAGACCTTAGCACCCGATACGTTTTTAATGTGTTCTTTAGCGGGCGTCATAACTGGCTTCGACTTTGTCAGACAGCATAACGGCGTTCCTCAAATCACGGCAACCGGTGGCCATAGACCTGGCACCATTCTTAAAAGTTCTGTTTCCTTCTGATGCTGGAGCATCTTTGTGTTTTTTTTGGCGGATTTATAGACTTTTCAGCTGTACATTCATAGCAGCAATCTTGACAAGGAATGGAGCCTTGGAGGCAGCTCTTCCTCGCGAGTTGGGAGGAGTCATCAATGGGTGTGTTCAGGCTAGAGCAGCTGTTCACGGTTCTCTATGCGAGGGAAGTATGACCGAACTGGCTGGAGGGGAACAAGCAGAGCCCTTTCACGGCGCAGTCGGTCCATCAAATTCGAGACCGACTGCCGCCTTGTACATACACATCAATACCAAAGCCATGCTCAACGTCCATGCAAGGGCGCAACAAAGACGCTGCCATCTGCCATAAACCTCGGGATGACGTTGACTCCAGTCCAAAGCTGCCTCGACTAAGCGAATCGTGCCAAACGCGGAGGCAGCGATGTCTGACACACGCAGCACAGGCAGCGCCAAAACGCGTCAATGCACCTTGCAGATTGAAACAAAGCAATTTAGATTACAATTGACATGTTGCATGCACAAGTTATTGCACCGTCATGCGGTCTTTCGAGTACACGTCGAGGCCCGTGCCCCACCTGGTAATTGACTAAGCGAACCAACCCACACGAATTTCCTTGCCTGGCTGCAAGCGTGCTTCCACCAGCGTCAACAACTCGTTTGAGAGCCACCACCGAGAGTCCAGTCCCTAGTACCGTAGGGCCAGCTCTCGCATTTTTCTTTTACCCCCGGCAGATTGCGCATCTAGGAGGGCAAAGCGCACAAGGCGCTCTAAACCATCAAGATGACGACAATTGCTTCCAAGGTGAGCTCGAACCTCGCTCCAGCGCCCGCTGCAGCCCCGCGCCGCATCGCAACCCTCAATGGGACGCTTGGAGCTATGCATCAAAGAGAACATCAGCTAACAATATCATAGAACATGTACGAGCTGCTGGGTATGCTAGTTAGAAGTTCATCGCTCGCGAAAACTCGCTCACGACCCCGCAGGCAACGACCCGGAGCTCGACCCCAACAGGCCAGCTGAGCCACCGACAAAGGCCATCGACAAGTCCGCCCCCAGGATTGGCAAGCGCGACGGTTCCGATGTCAAGGCTGCTCCCGCAGTTGAGCGCCAGGGCAACCAGTCTCGCCCCAAGCAGAACAACAACGCCAACGACAACGGTACGTCCTGGCACATATCATCCAAGATGGAGCACAACGGGTGCACAGGATATCGGATCGCGACCTTGGACTAACGGTGTGCAGCTTTTAGGGATCGCGCTGCCGGTGCTAACAGCAACCGCGCACGCGGCTCTGGCGGTGAGTCTATGTGTACCTCTCCCCCCTCCCAGCACATACTGATGCTTCGCAGAGCCTGAGCAGCAGCGTGGTGGCCGCGGCGGTCGTGGCCGTGGTTCCCGCGGTGGTGCCCGTGGAGGTCGTGGTGGTGCCGGCCGTGATGACCGTCACAGCAAGACCGGTCTTGGGTATGACATGAGCCTCAAAGAACCGAAGTACCTTTCTGACTTTTGATAGCGAGCACGAGAAGCAGGCTGCCCACGGCTGGGGTGCCGAGACTGGCGAGGCCGAGCTTGCTGATGAGCAGGCTGGTGAGGCCATCGCCAAGAAGGAAGAGAAGGAGGCCGTCAAGGAGGATGCCGAGGCTGAGGCCGCTGAGGCCGAGCCCGAGGACAACTCCAAGTCCTACGTTGCCTACCTCGCCGAGTTGGCTGAGAAGAAGCTGAAGCTTGGCGAGCAGAACCTCCGCAAGGCGAACGAGGGCAGCTCCAAGAACTTCCCCGAGGGCACCCAGGTCAAGCGCGAGGAGGAGGACTTCTTCGCCGGCTCCGGCGGCAAGGCCAAGCGTGAGCGTCAGCGCAAGGAGAAGGTCCACGTCGAGCTCGACAGCGAGCGCATGCTCGCTCCCCCTCCCCGTGAGGGCGGTGCCTCCCGTGGTGGTCGCGGTGACCGTGGCGGCCGTGGCCGTGGCGAGGGCCGTGGTGAGGGCCGCGGTTCTTTCCGTGGTGGTGAGGGCCGTGGCCGAGGTGGCGACCGTGGTGCTCGCGGTGAGGGTCGCGGTGGACGTGGTCGCGGCGAAGGCCGTGGTGCCGCTGCTGCCCCTGGTCCCCGCGGTGGCCGCGGCGGCAACGCCCCCAACGTCGGCGACTCCAGCGCCTTCCCCAGCCTCGGCGCATAGACGCCTGTCGACATTGCGTCGACTACTAGCACGACTCCTGAAGCTCGTGCCTGACGTTCGCATCAACGACGTCTCGATGATATGACAACAAAGCGATCTGACGAATGGACGATTGAACGGAGGAGCTGGACACCATATAAGGATTCTCTAAAACGACGGACGGCAAGGAAAAATCATCTCATCTACTCGGTGTTTACATTTCTCTACATGCGGTGAATCCCTTTGCGTTTGGCCCACGGCTCAGTCACCTTCAGGGTCGTTCTGTTTCTTGATCAAAATGAAAATTGTCTGCATGATCAAACTTAGTGGTCAACTATGTCCACGCTTAAACTCGCATCGTGATCTTGCCATCTGCACACATCCGTTGATCTTCCCATCAACTGGATAGGATGATGTAGAGGCACATATAACGTGACTGCTTTCTGGTGTCTTGTCAAAAGATCCCCTCAACACTCTATCTGCGGCGTTTCTTTTACAGAATCTGAAGAATTCAGTCTCTAATGTTGCCTGAAAATCAGCTACATACCAACAATACATGACTCTGGCAAAGGGGCTGGAAGCGGTTTTAGTAGAACTTGGGGTTCATGAATGAATGAAATGTATCGACGCAGAACGTCACAGCTGTCCAAGCATGCTAAAACACCATCCGAGTATAAGAGTGGATTCACGACGCCGCGGCGCATGCACGCTTGAGCATAGGAAAGCTTCCAGCAAAAACAGTATTTAAATTACTCTACTCTTGGATCTCATACTTATAGGCCAGGATAAAGCTCGCAATAACGTCTCGCTATGCCGTTAACGCCAGAAAAGGACAGGAGATCCTCATCGATATAATCTACATCCGCGAATCAGGCAAGATACATGAGTGGAAACAGCTCCAATAGCCACGTTCTTTGCGCTCTTATACGCTGGGTCGCTCTAGAACAGCCAGACTTCGAACGCCTCGCTCTTCAAACCAACAGCGAAGGAGGGGGCTGCTCGTCGTGACTGAAGGATGCTGGCACCTCTCCCTGCTCAAGTATTTCCTCGTGCTGTGGCTCGATCTCATGCTGTACTTCCATCTCCTTGATGTACATTCATATCGTGCTGTACATCCACATTGTGCGGTACTTCTATATCTTGTTGTGCTTCCACATTGTGCTCCATGTCCCACTTCGCCTGTCTCTCTTCTTGTTGGGCAAGCATCAACGCTGCGCATTTCTCGCAGACCATGACGCTGCATCTAAAACACTCTTGCGCTACGTTATACGTTGTAGCAGAATAACCGAAGACATTTGACTTCGGGGTTGTGAGAGTGGTTTTCTTTGCAGATTCTGCGTTCGGTGCAGAAATGAGGCCTCCGGAGTCTACCGCTGGCTGAAACTCAACCCCCTCCATAGGCCCTGATTGCGGCTCTGCAGGCCGTGGGCTATTCGGTGGGAGCTGTGCTATGAGATGCGATGCTGTGCCGATGGTAGCGTCAGAACGAGCCAGTCCACGGGGAGGCACGTAGCGTGTGCGACGCGTTCTCGCTGCCAAACCACGTACGTGAACACGGGCCCCCCTAGGACCTCTGACAGAAGGATTCCTTGGTGTGTTTGTGATTGCACCGGTCTCGGGTCGTGTTTCGATGTCGGGATGTATCGTGCACCAGCATTTGACGCACTCCATTTCGAGTGCTGAAGCAGGCGTCGATATTGTTTCTGCGAGTGGGATGGTATAGGGTTCGAAGGAATGGTGGCAGTCCCAGGTTGGGTCTTGTATATCATCGGTAGGTTCTTCGCCGAAGTCAAGGTCTTGACCTTCCCAGTAATACGATGGGCCGCCGTCCAGATTTCGTGGCCGAGCAGCTGGGCGTGAGGATGGGCGAACAGTAGCTGCCTCTGGCTCGTTTGTTTGCGTGTCGGTGTTTGGTCCAACTGCATCGCTTCCACTCATATTCACTGCAAGTGCTTCGTTTGCAGTATCGTCCTCCAACCTATGCAGGGGCTCAGGTTCATCAGGCTCCGACTCGCTGTCACAATTCTCAACCTCGTCACAACCTCCTCCGCAATTTTCGCTACTCTTCATGCATTCCCAGCAGAAGTGTGCGCCACATCTACATTCCATGTGATTACAGCCGTACATACGCTTTAGCCCCTGGCCACACTTAGGACAACGCTTATAGCCCCATGCCTTCAACAGTGCTGCGGTTTCTGCATCAATTCCAAGATCTAGATCTGCACAGAGACTGTCTGGGTGGGATTCTTGCCGGCAATCAATGCAGATCTTGCCTTCGCATTTCGGGCATTGGAAGCTTGTCGAGGTCGGTAATCCGACACCAGAGTCTGCTTTCTTCTGTCTAAGTTCTTCTTGGTGTGGCAGGAGTCGTTCTGGAATGAAAGCTGAACAGGCTAGTACTGGACAGTAGAATGGCTTGGGTGTGCTCCACTCTTCGTACTTCGATTTGTATTCGCTGATCTCTTGCGTTGTCAAATGGGGTTTGATATGATGAAGACCGAGCGGTGTGCAGCATCGTGGAGGCATTCGAGTTGAATCTTTGCAAGCTTTGAGAAACATGTCCTTGACACATGAAATGCAGTAAGCGCTGTCGCATCTTCTGCAAGGCTTGATAACTTCTTTCGCATACTTCGGGTCATTCTCTTTCGGAAGTTGCGTACAACAAGTTAAGCATTGCATCTCAGGTCCTTCGACCTTTCCGGTATCTTCGGCGGCTGGCACAATCGCAACAACACTTGCATCGTCGACATCAATCGCCATGAGGTCGCGCTCCGCAATGAAGCTTTCGAAAGCGGCAAGATGCTGTAGTCGGATTATGTTGATCCCCGTGGCCATTGCGGCTGCCCAAACGGGTTCGCTATATCGCCGTCCTGAGGTTGTAGAAGTTCGTGTAGAGCTTTTGAGGTTGATATCGTCGCAAGGCTGCGGTAAAGTCACGACTCTTTTTGCAGGCTGATATTCGAGGTCTTGGCAGGGCCCGTGTTCTCCAGAGTCGGTTGTATTGTTGCCTTTTGCATGTTTTTGCTCAGCAGGTGCGACCGGTGAGGCAACAGCCACAACGTGCGGGGGCGGCGCAACCTTGGTCGAGCGAGAACCCATGACGAAAGACAATTTTTCTCTTGCTTGTTCTTTACAGATGTGCAGCTCTTGAGTAAAATTTAAAGGCGCTGTAAACTTGACTCAGGCAATGGCGCTGAGTCGTGACTCAGATACTTTGGCGGTGTTGCCTGCAGCGTGCAGGCAGCCTTGCACTCTGTTGAGCATAATTGGCCAGAGGCTGAGAAGGATGCGCTCACGCGAAGCTAGATAGCAGGCCAGTGAAGACATACCCGCCATGATCATACGTCTTTGAATGGGAACGACAGCTTGATATCTCAAAGTCAAGAAGTGTTGGTGGATGCCAAAAGCATCTGCGACGCATCCTCCGGTAACGACTGTATCCGAAGGGGCCGTCTGCAGCTCGTCTTCCAGTGCTTTCTACGATTCAATTTCTTTGTGACAGCATCAGCATTATGTATCAAGCATTAGATTCGTTTAGGTCGGTGATGTTAAACTCAGCTTCGAGGCGCCTTACCTTTTGGAGTAAGGCGCGTGGTGCAACGTGAATTTCTAAGGTTTACGAAGAGCAGCATTTCATTTCGACAGACAACGAGACATTGTCCATTTCGATGTACGGAGTTCATCGCCTTTTAGCACATGACTATGATGGACGACCGTATAGAGATTCATTGAATGCGTGTTGTCGTCCAGTATGTCATCGACCATCTCATAAGAATCTCGGCCAAGCATCAAGGATATTGCTCACTGCGTTGAACAGAAGCAGTTGCCTATAAGGAACTGTAGTTTTAAGGATAGCAGAGTCAACGTTGTATAAGATAGAAAAAGGCTAACGCAACTGATGATAATCAATTCATTATGGTCGGTCAGAGAAGATCGCCGTAATTTCGGATGCGACGTTGACTGCGGCTGAGGCTAAAGGCGAACAATTAGCGCGAAATGGCTTGAGATCGATCGCCGTTGGAGGCGGTAATGGTGTACAAGAGCGAAGGCCCGTGGTTCGCTGAAGCATGGAAGAGCGGTGCTCGCTTCCAGCGTGTGCCTGAGCGAACCTCCTACTAGCTCCGTTAATACATCTGGGCGTGTTCAGCAGGTATTCAAGGAGCAAGTGAGCACCCTGGCTGTTGTTGTTGTTGAGTAATATTACGGCCGGTCATACAATAACCAAGGCTTAGCATGGGAGATCCCATTGTGCGATCATCTGAGCAGTACTCCGCACTTGTGTTGGCAGCCAAGATAGCGTTTTCGCGTGGCGCCATGGACTTGAGATACATGCATCATCCTTCTCAACTATGACACCAAAGACATCCCTCAACGCCGCGGCGCACCACCTGTGTTGTGGACCGTCGGCAAATGTCTGAAGCCGAAATCCTGCGCGAACGCTCCCGTGACGCCAGAATCCTTCCATAGCGGGCCCTCCGGATGCACAAAACAAGACTTTGCAAATCGCGGGACTAGGGTTCCCACAGACCCCAGAATTGAGCCGAGCTTTCGCCATTGTGGGGTCCCCATATTCCAAGCACCAAGACGCTCGTGTCATCATCGGGCATGTACCAAGAGTGACTTCCATCAATCAGCAGATCACGGATGACCACAGTCAAGGCTAGGTACACTTAAGAGCGAGCTGTGCAGGGCGGAGTACAACGTAAACAGACGTTGGTGTGCTACTAACCCCGCATCGTCTTTGTTGGAGTTGCACTGCCTTCGACAATAGCGCGGCACAAGCAGCGCTTTCGCTCCCTTTATGCTTTTCGTGGCGTCGGCAACGGCTTACAAGAGGAGCTTAAGTCTACGACAGGATGACAGCGCAGGAAGATGACGATAGCCACGCTGGACCGAGCCACGGCGGTGACGGCAGCAAATTTCCACTTTGTCCGCTCAAGGGTGAGGAGAAGCATCTACCGGCCGAAATGTGACATAAGGTACCCGCGGTACATGTGTACATCTGCAAGGAAAAAGCTAGGAAAAAGCTTGGAAAAGTGGGGAATTGCGAGTTAAGGAGGAGTTCACGGCGGTGACAGACGCGGACGGCACGAAGGTCGGACGCGCTACTCCGGAGGCTTCGGGCCTTGCTCCATTGAGTCGCTGGGGAACTGCAGTGCGATCAGCACGGTGCTGACAATTCGTGCAGAAAATAGTATCGCTCGACGCGCGTGGAACTAATGAACGGGTAGCTACCTCCCTGTCGTAGCTCCCATAAAGCTCTCGTTGCTGCCCGGCCGTTGACGTCGTGCGCTCCAGGAGATCTCTGTCATCTGCCGACAGCTTCACATTCTTGGTGTAAACATATTTTTGCTGCTTTCAGTGTTCCCCTGACAGCAACGCCGACGTCATGCATCGGCTCACACAATTGTTGCTGGCCATTCGTTTGGTCCAGGCCCAATCGGTAAGCACAAACAATCTACCCAAACACAGCACACAACAACACCAATTGCACTTTCAAGCTTCGCGCAAGCTGCACAAATGTTGCCAGATATCGCATTTCTTGTCGCAGGGCTGTTTCCATTCCTACAAGTTGAATCTCGTACCTTTATTAGACTTGTTCCTACCATGGCTAACAATTGCACAGTATCCAAACACCACAAATCCTACCAACAGCTCGAGTCCTTTGAACGATGCTGAGAGTCCGCCATTCTACCCCAGTCCATGGATAGAGGGTACCGGAGATTGGGCCGTATGTACAGCGCTTCATTGATCTGGAGTTCAGTACTGACAATTTCATTAGGAGGCATATGCTAAGGCCCAAGCCTTCGTGAGTCAATTGACTCTTCTCGAGAAAGTCAACCTTACCACCGGCACTGGCTGGCAGAGCGACAACTGTGTTGGCAATGTCGGTGAGATTCCACGCCTGGGATTCAAAGCCCTTTGCTTGCAGGACAGCCCTCTCGGTGTTCGTTTCGCCGACTATGTTTCTGCCTTCCCTGCCGGTGGGACGGTTGCAGCTTCATGGGATCGTGGCGAGTTCTACCGTCGAGGATACGAGATGGGATCAGAGCACCGTGGCAAGGGCGTTGATGTCCAGCTTGGGCCAGCGATTGGTCCGCTCGGCCGCAACCCCAAGGGCGGCGTAAGTCAAAGAGGCACACCCCTCCGTGAATTCTGCTGACATAGAGCAGCGAAACTGGGAAGGCTTTTCACCCGATCCGTATCTGACGGGTCACGCTGTAGCTGAGACTGTCCGTGGTATCCAAGATGCTGGTGTCATTGCTTGCACCAAGCACTACATCCTGAACGAGCAGGAGCACTTCCGCTCACCAGGAAACTTCCAGGATTTTGGTTTTGTTGATGCTATCAGCAGCAATGTTGACGATAAAACTTTGCACGAGTTGTACCTCTGGCCCTTTGCCGATGCCGTGCGCGCAGGCACTGGCGCCATCATGTGCTCATACAACAAAGCGAACAACTCTCAGGTGTGCCAGAACTCATACCTTCAGAACTACATCCTGAAGGGTGAGCTCGGCTTCCAAGGATTCATCTTGTCGGACTGGGATGCTCAACACAGCGGTGTCTCATCTACCCAGGCAGGTCTTGACATGACCATGCCCGGAGACACAGACTTCAATTCTGGATTCTCATTCTGGGGAACTAACCTCACTATCTCCATTCTTAATGGCACAATCCCTCAATGGCGCCTTGACGATGCTGCAACGCGTATCATGGCTGCTTATTACTATGTTGGCCGTGATCAGGACAACACAGACACCAACTTCAACAGCTGGACTCGTGAAACTTACGACTACCGCAACTATTACGGCAAGTCCGACTATGAGCTTGTCAATCAGCATGTCGATGTTCGTGCGGAGCACTTCCGTACGATCCGTTCTTCAGCTGCCAAGTCGACCGTGCTCCTGAAGAACAACGGTGCACTCCCTTTGACCGGCAAAGAGAAATGGACTGGAGTCTTTGGCAACGATGCCGGAGAGAACTTGTATGGACCCAACGGCTGCAACGACCGTGGCTGCGACAACGGCACTCTCGCCATGGGCTGGGGTTCAGGAACTGCCGACTTCCCCTACCTCGTCACACCATTAGAGGCTATTAAGCGCGAGGTCGCTGATAATGGTGGTGTACTCACATCAGTCCTTGACAACTGGGCCTACTCTCAGATCCAGGCCATGGCCACTCAGGTCAGCGTTGCCATTGTGTTTGTTAACGCCGACTCAGGCGAAGGCTACATCACGGTCGACACCAACTTTGGAGACCGCAACAATCTTACTATCTGGCAGGACGGCGACACTCTTATCCAGAATGTCTCTTCGCTCTGTAACAACACCATAGTTGTCATCCACTCCGTTGGTCCTGTCCTCGTTAACTCTTTCTACGACTCCGAGAATGTAACAGCAGTGCTGTGGGCCGGTCTGCCTGGTCAGGAGTCTGGCAATGCCATCGCCGACGTTCTATACGGCCGCGTCAACCCCGGCGGCAAGCTGCCGTTCACCTTTGGTGCTTCAGCCGAGGAGTACGGGCCCGACCTGATTTACGACCCCATCGCTGGCAACGCGTCTCCTCAGGATAACTTCGAGGAGGGTGTCTTCATCGACTACCGCGCATTTGACCAGAAGAACATCACGCCCGTGTACGAGTTCGGTTTCGGTCTATCTTACACCACGTTCTCGTACTCGGATCTGAACGTCGAGAAGGCTAATGCTGGTGCTTACACACCTACAACCGGGGAGACCATCGCCGCCCCCACCCTAGGTAATTTCAGCACTGATGTCAACGACTACCAGTGGCCCGCCAACCTGACCCGAGAGGGCACCTTCATCTACCCGTACTTGAACAGCACCGATCTGGCAGAAGCTTCCCTTGACCGCGACTACGGCCTGAACTACACTTGGCCTGCTGGCTCGTCCGACGGGTCACCCCAGCCCCGCATCGCCGCCGGTGGAGCCCCAGGAGGAAACCCGCAGCTGTGGGACGTCCTGTTCACTGTGACCGCAACCATCACCAACAACGGCACCCTTACTGGCGACGAGGTTGTCCAGCTGTACCTCAGCCTTGGTGGGCCCGAAGACCCACCTGTTGTTCTCCGCGGCTTTGACCGTCTGTCAATCCAGCCTGGCGAGACTGCTACGTTCCAGACCGACATCCTCCGTCGCGATGTGTCTAACTGGGAGACTGAGAGTCAGAACTGGGTCATCAGCGAGTACCCTAAGAAGATTTACGTCGGTGCGTCGTCGAGGAAGCTGTACCTCGAGGCTGACCTCGATCTGTCCGAGTACCAGTCTTGACGCTGTCGTAATTGGGCTACTGTCTTGACATGGAAAGAAGTTGAGGGAGTGTGTAGAGCGTAATGAGGCGCAAGTTAGGATAATAGTAACCATGCTGGACCTAGTCCTAATGAGTAATGAATGTCATTAATTGATCGACCAGTCAGTTTTAACCGAAGTTATGCATCACGTCAGCCATTTGAGCATGCTTGAGAGGTCACTGTTCACCACCAGTAGGTACCACTGCCGTGTTCTGAAACACCTCGGCCCTCTGAACAACGCCAAACCTCTTCTTGCCCTGATCAAAGATCGCGTAAACACTCTTCAGCCACGTGTCACCCAACAGGCCTGCCATTGTCCTCGATCTTGCGCAGCACAGACTTCGTCTTCTTCTTGCTCTTGCGTCTGAACGTGTTTCTGAATGACCGCTTTTGCTCTTCGATCATCTGGAAGGGGCCGGCCGTGGTAGGTGCGAAATCGTACTTCTTCAACAGACTCGTATACGACGCAACACCGGTCTTTTCGTAGGAGAAATTCGGTCTGACATTGATACGCGTGAGATTTGACATAGGGATTGGAAAATCAAATTGCAATAATGCGAATGCGAGTTATAGGTTTGTTAATTGCTCGCAATGTTAAGTAAATGGGGTATCGTGTAAACAACAGTCCAAGTGCAGCAACCTCCCAAGTCGGGCAGTCACACTCGACGCTGCGCAGACTGTGCCGTCTACAATTACACGAGGCTGCTTTACGTGCTTACTAGAACGTGGTCTTCTTGCCCTGGCCTTCCACGATCGCTTGACTGGCTCTTTGAGCGTTCATGTGCGCAGAACCACTCTTGATCGACCTAGGGTCAACCTTCTTGCCAGGCTGAACACTATTGGGCCCATTTTTAGGGGGACGTGGCGCGCGAGGCTCTCTTGGCTCTCTCCTGCCACCTGCCCTGTCACCATCGCCACCAAAGTTCTTCCAGCGATCTGGATTTACGCCGTCAACGGGCGCAGCTGGCTTATCCTTGCCATACCGCTTGTTGTAGCGTGTTGTGGAGTCTTCAGCAAACTCGCAACGCATCTCTCGGCCGTTTAGCTTGTTCAGCAGCCACTTCCTCCTCTTGGTCGGGTTCTTCACCTCGGTCTCTTCATCATCCGAACCCTCTGTGTTCTTCTTCTTCATGGCTTTGACATCAGCCTCGGTTTTCATAACGAACCCTTGAACAGCGCAGGTAGCGGCTTCGACGTCTCCAAATGTGACCCAGGCATAACCCTTGCACTTTCCAGAGTCTTCGAAAGTCGCCATGTGTATGTTCTCGACCGACCCGCAAGGGGCGTAGTGAGCCTCGAGATCCTCTTTGGCCACATCAAATGAGAGATTACCAACGAAAACACGCTTGTTTGGTGGGTGACCGCCCGGCTTGCCCACGACCTTCCCACGACCACCAGAACCAGACTCTTCCACCTCCGCCTTTGGTTTATCAGGTCGGCCTTCAAAGCTCTTTGCGTTCTTTATAAGTAGCGCTCGGCCGTCCATCTTGGTCTCGGTCAACGCGATGCACGCGTACATGGCGAGTTCGGTCGAGAAGTCAACGTATGCAAAACCCTTGTTGTTGGGTTTGGTCGTCCAGTGCGCAGGGACAGGCTTTGTGGAGGGAGGCATGTGCACTCTAGTGATCTGCTCTGTCTTGATCTCGGAATTCTCCATTATAAAGCTGCGCAACGAATCCTTGGTGGCAGACCAAGGAAGATTGCCAACCCAAACTCCAAACTCTGACCGTTTCTCCTCCCCCTTTTTCGCTTCACCGACAGCACCGTCGGTGGTTGCATCTGCAGACGAGTTGTCACCAGCACCAGCTGGCTTAGGGTTCAGCTTCGCCTTTTTCGCAGCGCGAGCAGCTTTCTTTGACGCTGGCTCAGGGAGGCCAACGTCGACTACGATTTCGTCCGGCAAGGCTTCGCGCTTGCGCTTCTTCGCTGGTGTCTCGGCGGCTTCGTTGTCAGAGTCTGAACCGATCTCGACCTTGGATTTCGAGCTTTTCTTTTCCTTCTTGTCTTTCTTTGCCTTCTTCGCTGATTTATCCTTCTTCTCCTTCTTCTCCTTTACAACAACTTTCACGACTTCCTCCGCTGAACTCATATCGGTGTCTGACATATTGATTTGGGGTAAACAACGAGAATGTTGAAGTCGAACTTTTCCTGCAGCGAGTTTTCCTCAGAAAAAGTTGTGGAGCCCAGCTTACTAACGGCATTAGCGTGCCGTGTGGGGCAGATCTCCTCCGCGCAGTGAGCGACGACGCGTAGCATGGTGAAGTCTGCGTGAATTTGAGCGTGCAATCAAAGTGTCGTCTAGGGCTGTTTTCCATTCGTGATTTCGCATTTAGCAGGAGTCCAAGACATGATTTAATCATGATCGTATAACATCAGCTTCTCACAGATAATGAGACGGTACCCCGTTGCACCGGATTAGACCCGTGCGGTCGTGCAGCCACGATCAGATGACCTTCCGGCGGTCAGGTTGCGATAACCGTGAAGTCTTACGCGCTGGAAGGCCTTTCACCAGAGTGGTGAACAAAAGGCGCTTGCGTCACACCCGTGATACTCGTCCTCCGCGCTAGACCACCCTTGCTATGGTGTACCGGTGAACCTTATCACGTCTCACGTGCAGCTGCTGTGGCATCACCAAGACGGCCACAACTGCAGCACTGTAGACCAACTGTTCCTGTGGCAACTCAAGGGCATTCTCAAGTGAGAGGACCGCATCGAGCTCTCCACGTTGACCTTAAACTGCTGCCTGCAAGAGGCAAGGTGTGGCTCTGGTACCGCGGTTGACGTGCTCGCATCACGTTTAGACCGCCCGAGCTAGGCAGCCGCAGCTCCATTACCGCTGCCCCAGCTACCTCGCCATCTCCACCTCCAACCTCCACACCCACTTTCACCGCCCAGCTGCAACTCTCCCCGACAGCTGCTCTGTACACGCAGCACCGCGCCGCAGCGAGTCTGCAGCGCCTTTCTCCCACCCTTGCCGATCGCCCCCATCGTCAGCCGCCTCACTCGCCCGCCATGGCTGCTACCAACGTCCCCGTCACGCTGGACACGCCTATTGTCATCAAGATCCTCTTCCGCGGCCAGACCAGGAAGCTTAAGCTGCCTCTGAAGGATCTTGGAGCCAACGTTCTTCCAGAGAAGGTGCGTTACATCTCATCCGCGTTGCCGGCCGAGCAGGCTGCCGCCTCACTTCGGCCAACAGCTCAAGCTCGCCGAAGCTCCGATAGATACCGAGAAATGCATGGACTAATAACGGTTGTATAGCTTCGTGTCGGCCTCCAGCTCCGCGAGAACGAGCAGGTCGTCTTTGAACGCTACTCCGACTCAGCCGCCGCGTACGTCACTCTCGACTCAAACGCGCCGGCAGTCTACAAGACACTTTTCCGCGCCGCAAAGGCAAAGCTCAAGCTCCGTCTGAGGGCCACCGTTCTTGGCGAGTCCGTCGAGATCCCTGCTCCGGCCCCTCCTGCCCTACCTCGTGCTGCCGTTCCGGAGCCCTCTGCTTTCCGCATGAGCGCCGAGACCCTGACTCCTCAGGCTGCTGCACCAGTCTCCCCAGTCATTGCTCGCTCTCCGGAGGCCCCCAAGTTCGAGCCTGTCGTTCCGGCCTCACCTCTCAAGTCTGCTGACGACGGAGAGGCCCCAGTGCCGAAGCCCTTCACGACACGTCAAAGTGAGTGTTGCATGTCATGCACAAACGAGGACAGACGAATGCATACTAACTCAACCACAGCCTTTTTTGAAAAGTTGACAAACGCTCCATGCGACGTTCCGCTCACTCTGCGTCCTAAGACAGTATGCACTGCTTGGGTCGTGTACTGCAACAATTGTAACCACCCTATGGACGATGAGCACTTCCATTGCAGCGTCTGTGACAATGGGGACTATGATCTTTGCCCCGCTTGTGTCGACTCCGGCATTCACTGCCCCGGCGACGGCCACTGGATGGTGAAGCGTTTCGTGAAGAACGGCCTCGTCGTGAACAGCAGCACCCAGCGTATCCCGCCAAAGGTCAAAGCCACAGAACCAAAAGACATCCCCGGTGCTTTCACCGACGAGAAGCAGTCTGTCACATACGAGGATGAGGCGACTCGCACTTGCAACAGCTGCGTCAAGGGTAAGCTGACAGCCGACCCTCGTTACTATATCACTGACATTGTTAGTGCTTTCGGAGAAGGAGTTTGTCACATGCACGATTTGTGAGGACTACGATCTGTGTCTGGAATGCCACACAGCTAACAAGCATGGTCACCACCCCGGTCACGCTTTCAAGGGGGCTACCTCAGAGACCCCATTGTCTGCTTTGAGCAACGCTCTCTGCAACCCAGGCCGAAATGCACGCCACAACGCGGTCTGCGATGGTTGTGACAAGTTCATCTACGGTGTGCGACACAAGTGTCTGAACTGCCCAGATTGGGATTACTGCTCTCAGTGCTTGCAGAGTGCTAAGCTCATCCACCCCCGGCACCGGTTCGTTCCGATCTACGAACCTCTCACCGAGCCACTTTCGAGCGGCTGCCGTCACTATGGCATCTACTGCGATGGACCTCTGTGCAAGGATAAGGAGAATGTGTCGTACATCGAGGGTACACGTTACAAGTGTGCTGTGTGCCACGACACAGACTTTTGCCAGAACTGCGAGGCGCACCCAAGCAACAAACACAACCACACACATCCTCTCATCAAGTTCAAGACCCCCGTTCGTAATGTCAGCGTTACTACGATGGATGAGAAGGTTGACAACTCTATTACCGCTCTTGGGGATCGTCAACCTGTGTCTAGGCGCTCCACTGCTACGGAGACTGCTCCCGTTGCGTCTTCCACGAACGCTGCAACTCAGGTTCAGACTATCGTCGACTTGAAGCCGTCAGCTGAAACCATCAAGCAGGAGAACATTGCTGTCCAAGACATCTCGGCAGAGCACGTTCAGGTATACACATTAATCTACACGATAATACATGTAGGATGCTAACATTGTATAGGAGATGTCTGTCCCCGTAAAGACAGAGTCCAGCCACGAGAACCTTGATGCACACTTCATTCGCGATACCATCGTCGATGGCTCCAAGGTCACCGCTGGTCATAAATTTGTCCAAGTGTGGACTCTGCGTAACCCCGGCCCGAACGCTTGGCCTGCGGGCTGCAGTGTCCGTCATGTTGGTGGAGACAACATGTTGAACATCGACAACACCCGTGCCTTCAGCCAGGCCGAGCTTGCCGATGCCAGCGAGAGCAACGTTAGTGGACATTTGATCCAACCTGGTGAGGAAGCGTCTTTCGGCGTTACCATGAAAGCCCCTCAGCGCGAAGGCACTGCCATCTCCTACTGGCGTCTCAAGACTGCTGACGGTATTCCCTTCGGACATCGACTTTGGTGTGACATCGAGACCGTTGCTGCCCCAGCCGTTACTCCTGTTCACGTCTCTGAGGTTTCCGAGGCCTCCTCGTCACTCCAGATGTACGAGAACCTCCTACAGGTTCGATTGGAGAAGATGAAGGTTGACCTTCGGGTGCAAGCACAGCAACTCGAAAAACAAAAGGAGAAGCAGAAGATGGAGCGCATTCAGCAGGTCCGCAAGGCTGCGGTTGAGCGCCTTCTTGAGAATCGCCGCAAGGAGCACGCAGCTGCCCTTGCTAGCATCAGGAAGTCTACTGCTTCGCAGGTTGAGGGGACAGCTGAGCTCCCAGTTGAGGAGAAGCAAGTGGAGCATCATCCTGCTGCACAAGCCTCAGGCATGATATTCCCTCAGCTGGACAAGGAGTCACCTGAGTCCAGCACATACGAGACTTCAACTGTCCAACCTGAGTCTCCCATGTCAGAGAAGAGCACCATTGCCCGCACCGTTACTGTTGTCTCTGATGAGGAGTTTTTCGAGGATGCCGAGAGTGTCGCCCTGCACTCTGACGATGACGGTTTCATGACTGATGAGGAGTACGACATCTTGGATGCCAGCGACGAGGAGACACAGTGAGTGGCAGTCAAAGGATGATGCGACGTAGCAATACGCCTGTAGGTATTTACTTGTGACGGAACTTGGTGCTCTTGGCGTTTGAGTTGGGTATTTAGCGACGCTCCTTTCTGAAGGCGCGATCTTCACCACGCCCTGACGGGATGGCAGTTACAGAGCGCCATTCGGCGCTCTGTGTGCGACGGAGCGCAGTTGGCGCATTTTGCCTTACTCTCTTATAGGTGCAGTCTGAATGTAACGTGATTTCCTTGGAAATGTTCGACGCCGCAACACGACACATGTCATAATGGTTTCTTTCTCGCCCATCGTGGTATGCGCTTGCCTCTATTAACGTGGAACAGATTTTATCATACAGGTACGTACTATCGTGACAACAAAAGTAACCCTGCATTGGTTCTTTCTCACGTCGTCGCCTGCAGAACGTCAATTCACACTAACATAGCCAGCTAGAGGCTTTTCCCACATCTCTGTCCCATGGCCAGGGGAGTCTGCATATTCTTGCAAGCACCTGCACTGTAAGTCACTCTATTCAGCTTCAGAGGCAATACCTTGATGCTATGTTTCGTCGCCGTCCACTTTAGACATGTCATAGTTCGCTGCACTCAACACTCTTGACAGCAAATTCTCATGTTCATTGCGATCCAATCTCTGCAGTGGTATCCTGACAGGCTCAGCAACCAAGTATTTACACGAATCGAACAGCACGTCCTCATCATTTAGATGACCTTGAACGCGCCCATACCCTCCATGACCTGCCCGTTCGTCTGCACCATCAGGTTCCAGTCGCAGCTGCTTCCCAGCCCAGCATTGTCAATCCACATCGGCTCCCAGTAGAAGAGACCAGTACCCTTACCACCGGGCACGGCAGCCACGCGCTTCGCAACCTCCTGCATCCAGACATACTGGCCGGCGGCGCTGATGGGGATGCTCTTTGTGTCCGCCGGGAAGGGGAACTTGGGGTTCGGGCACGACGACGGCCAGTTGGTCTCGACGACTTGCACTTCCTTGCCGTACTTGGCGGCCATTTGCGTCAGGCTGTACGCGATGTTGCCCAGGTTGGCGTCGGCGTTGTAGAAGGGGTAGTAGGAAACGCCCTGGATGTCGAAGTCGGAGAGCGAGAGTCCGCCGCCGGACCCGAGGACGAGGTCGTACCACCATTCCTGAGGGGGGGTTAGTATGTCATACACCTTTGAGGGTGGTGGGGCAGGGGAGAGGGGGAGAAGCGTACCTGGGTGCCCCAGTAGAAGCCGTTGTCGAGGTGGATCATGATCTTGGGCTTGGAGCTCAGGCTGCTCTCCTTGACGGCCTTGGAGGCGCTCTTCAGCAGCGCGGCGACGTTCTTGGGGCCATCGGAGTTGCTGAGCTGGCCGATGGGCCACAGCAGACCGGGGGTGATCTCGTTACCGATGGACACGATGCTGAGCGCAATGCCCTCGGTCTGGAAGCGGTTGAGCACGCTCTTGGTGTAGTCGTAGACCTGCTTGATGAGGGCCTCGCGGTTGAGGGACTTCCACGCCGCGGGCACAATCTGCTTGCCCGGATCCGCCCAGTTGTCGCTGTAGTGGAAGTCGAGGTAGATCTTCAGGCCGGCGGCTTTGGCACGCTTGGCGAGCTTGATGTTGTAGTCCAGGTTGTAGTTACCATCGGAGGGGTTGACCCAGATGCGCTGGCGGACTGTGTTGACGCCTGTGTTCTTCAGGATGGTCTCGAGCGGCTGGACCTGGCCGGCAGCGTTCTTGTATTGCTTTCCGGCTTTCTCCTCTACGAGAAGAGAGGACCAGTCAACACCCTTGTAGGGCAGTGCCGCGAGGGCAGTAGTCGCGAAGAACAGGGAGAGGAGAGATGGGAGACGCATGGTGAGGTGTGGATGAGGCGGTGCCGGAGAACAGACGTGGAAGTGTCTACTTTATATTCGGTCTTTCTCATAGCTGGTGCCGCATTCTTCCCGACAATTTACATATCGGCTCAACCCAGAACCGTGCGTTCCGTCGCCGAGACAATACTCAATATCACCCTCGTGACTATAGTTCCTCCGGGCTGTGAAGTCATGGCGTTCAGTTTCAAGCAAATGAGCTAGGGTATAACTACCTGCAAGCGAGCAATAATGTGGGGTAAGCAGGCGCAGAATCCTGGAGATTGGAGGAACGCCCAAGATCCCGGAGAAAATGAAACTCGTACTAATATCGACGCGGTGAGGTGCCGAGCCGCTCTTACGGCAATGTCAACTACAAGTCAGGAAGGCTTGCCACTTCTGGGGGCGGAAGGCTAAAGAGCCGCGACGGCCATTCACCTGGGGCGATTTTGGTGATCACAAGGTACAATACCAGTATTCTGGAAGCTAAGCGGCAGTTAGCTTATGCGGAGATCATGATGGGCGGGCAGGTTGAGTGTTGTGTGATCAAGCTCGCGGGTCGGAGGAAGCTACGGGCTAGGCCACCCGATTGCACCCCTGGATGTTTCGACGTTTTGACAGGGCGTGGAAACAATTGCATGGGGCTAATGATCTGTCTGCGACGCGTGCAGATATATAGCAAGCTGAAGTAAATCTCTTTAATTGAGTCGAGCTCACACTATTGTCCTGCGAGTTGTGAATCCTTGCAACAGTCGAATTTCACTAAGTGATGAATCGGAGAAGAACGGACTGCTGATCAGGAGAGAGCTCCGGCAATTGCATATAGAACTCCGGTTACGTTTAAAGATCTAAAGCTTGTAGCACGAAATTGGAAGATGCGTTCGAAATGTTCGAAGAGCGCAGGCTTGACAAGCGAACAGTAAAACTCTGTGGACTGATGGTAGTGTATGAAGCAGACGTCCAGATATCGAAGATGACTTCAACTGCAAGTGTCAGCTCACACCATGCAGAATAAACCCGTAGATTGTTAAGAACCACGTCGGTGGCCAGAGCCATGTTTTGATGTTTGTTATTTGGGTGTATAGAAGAGTATATGTGACTTCGTAACCGCCCACTCAAAGTCAAAAGCAGACCCGTCCTTTCCGAACGTGCAAAGGAAGATGCATCATAAGCTTCCGCTAAGTGCCTTTTCGTAACCTCATGCGCCCTGCAAACACGCTGCAATCTACTGCTCCTCAGCGGCAGGCGCGGCCTCGGCCTCGCCCTGCTGCTGCTCAGCCTGCCTGGCGGCATCCGCTGCCTGCTGGGCGGCGACGGCCTTGGCACCGTAGTCCTGGGACATGGGCTGGACGACGGGCTGCTCCTCCTTGGGCTCGATGACGGTGACGGAGTCGGGGAGGGTCTTGGAGGGGCCGGCCTTGCCCTCGGGGTCAGATCCACGCATGATCTTGACCTTGATACCGAGCACACCCTGGCGGAGCAGGACGTGGCGGGTGGCCTCATCGATGAAGTCCTTAGCGGGCTGACCGGAGTGGATCATGAATCCGTCCTGTGAGGTGTTAGATGGCAGCTCAATTTATCGTTTTGTCGCGCAGCGCTTACAGTGAACTTCATGCTCTTGGCACGGGCGGCCCTGAGCTTTCCGGAAACGACGACTTCGCAACCCTTGGCGCCAGACTCCATGATGAAGCGGAGGACACCATAGCAGGCCCTGCGGACGGCGAGACCGTTGAGGAGCTTGTAGCGGAGGGACTCGCACTGAGCGACGGCGGACAGACCACGGTTCTGGACCTTGGCGGCGTACAGGGAGACGGAGTTCTCGGGGAACTTGAAGCGCTTCTGGATGAGCGAGGTGAGCTCACGGATGCGGCGACCCTGCTCTCCGAGGACCTCCTGTGTGTGGGTGGCGCGGATGATGATGTCGGTGACGGTGGGTGTGACGCGGACCTCGACACCGGAGTAACCCTCCTCAGCGAGTTCGCGCTGGAAGAACTCGTTCAGCTCGGCGTAGAAAACACCGTCTGTGCTGGTTGTTAGCCCTGCGCATATTCTTCGATATTGCCATTGCGCGATCGAGCGCCCTTCATCTCCCCGACTCCTGCGCCGGTGACTCTCCGAATCCGTCTCGTGCGTCAATGTAGGGGAAGGTGTGGGTGCAGCGTACCAGCGACGAACTTTCTCCTCTTGGAGCTGTAGCATGTCAGCATTGATTCAGATTGCGCAAAGCACGCCAGGGCGTGCGGCGGGGCAAACTCACATAGCAGACTGAGTGGTGGCCATATTGTCGGACTGTGGTTAGCTGCTGAAATTCAGATAGGCCTTGCCGTGGTTGTCGTTCGAGTTCGAAGTCGCGGTTGCCGATTTCGAAGTGGGAGCTAGTGGTGGGCTCGCTTGTGTGCAGCCAAGAACGCACGGACTGCATGAGGCGGTCCCTAGCTCTCACGTTTCAAGAAAAACGGCGGATAAGCGACCTTCCAAGCTGACCACATAACTTTAACACACTCATGCTGTTCAGAACTGCAAGAGTCACATTACTTGCCTCATAACATGATTGGCTCGATCTTGAGGCGCAGCCTCAGAAAGCTTGTTGATTCGTAGAGAAGAGCAACACTCTGCACGTGCCTCTTGGACTAGTGAACTCAACGTAAGGGCAATCGAGTAGAACTTGTAGCTATTATAATACTAAAAGAAAAAATCTAGTTGAGCATTCGCTGTATTGTAGATGAAAAAGCATTCTATTAAAGTTTTTTGTATTTTCCCTACTTTGCTGTCGTGTGGTGTACTTGGCTTACATCCTTAGTCTCATTCACCCTGCAACGCGAGAGACCAAGACAGGTGAACGCGAGCCGCACTTAGCAACCTCTTGAACTGATCTCGCTAGATGCCAATGCTGCCAATATGCACTATCGTCCGCACAGAACTCATGCGACCTACCTCAGTGATGCTCGATCGGATCCTCGGGCAACAGAGGCTCCGGCTTCTTCATCACCCAAGACTTGAACGGCGGTCTCACAATATCGTTGTAAACGCAGGTACCGTATACTAAGAAAGCAAAGCCCAAGACCTGCAGCCACTTGAACGTCTCCCAGCCGAGGCCGAGCGAGACGATCCAGATGAAGAGTGTGCGGCATGTGTCGATGGTGGAGCGCGATGTAGCAGAGACTGTGCGTGTCACGGACAGACCGAAGAAGTTGAAGCCACTGCGAAGAATTAGCTTGACAAGTGATGTAGTATGGGATTACGTACCCAATGCTGACCATGATCATGAGGGAGGAGATGGCGATGCCCTTGTAGTGCGTCATCTGGTACAGGCCGTCCTTTGCGTTAAAGTATCCAGTGCCCACAGCGAAGTGCAGAACAATCATTATGATCATGGTAACGGAGAATCCGAAGATGCCCTCCCAGCCCACGACCTTGATAGGTTCCATGGCATACTTCTCCATGATCCGCTCCTCGAGGACGAATTGCGTGGCCGTGAAGATCTGTGCGCCGGCAATAAGCAGCACGCCGATAATCGTCAGGAGAGCCTGTGACATCGGCGGTGCGACATCCATAGCCGCCATATCAGAGTGAGCAGACTTGTGTCCCGGCGTCGCCTTGTCGTCTTTGGTAACGACACCCGCCAATCCGACGATCGCGACACCAAATACGACGACAAACAAGCTGAACCACTTGTACAGCCCCAAATGCCTCTTCAGGAACCAGACGCTGAATAGACCAACAAACAGCACTAGAGCTCCCCTAGTCATCTGGTAGATACTCGCTGCAACAAACAGCAGTCCCACATTCATCAGCGTCGTGCCTGCGATGTCGCAGCACGCCGGCAGCGCAAGCAAGAAAATGCTTTTGCCCTTGAGTGGAATTCTCCCCTCATCGTCTGGGTGCGCAGGCTTAAGCGGGTTCGCGATATCCCTAGTCTCGCTCTCGTCGCTCGCTGGCGTCGCAATACCATCGTTCTCGGGGATCGTCTCGTAACCGGCGCGTGTAACGACGTAACGCTGCCAGAGCGAGAACAAGCCGATGACGAGCCAGCAGCCCATTTCGCCAACAAACATCTGGAGCGTCTGGAGCACGGGCTGTTCGAAGTGCTCGCGGTATTTAGGGTTTGGGGAGTCGCAGTTGCGCACGCATTGCATGTCCTGGACAGGGTTAGGTGGTTGCTTCAACCTGAGACTGGATGAGGTGTACTTGATATTTGGTGAGGAGCGTGTTGCAGCAGCCTGTCAACAGCATCATGCCCACGAGAATGGGCACCATGCCTTTGACCGCCATGACGCGTGCGGGTGAGCTGCCTTGAGCTCGGGTTTCTTATCGGCGGTGCTATTGAGCTCCGTGCTACAGCTGGAGTGGACTGGAGGGAATGGGTGGGGAGACACAACCTCTGATGAAAGAGGAGTGAGGGTGTCGAGCAGAGGTCGAGAGTACGTGGAACAGGCAGCCCGAAAGCGATGTCCCCGTGATGTGTGACTGGAGTCCGCCAGGTCCCGTGAGGCTGATCATGTCGCAGCTTGAGCTCGACGATAAGATAGGCGCGCTAGTCGATTACCGCGGCCAACAGGCATCGCTTCTCCACACCTATCGTCTCGTCTCATTGCACTCGAGATTAGTATCGGAAGTGCTCATGCTAAATCTACTTTGACTTGCGCACACAATAGAGCTTACAGTATAGACACTCATCGTCGCCACCGTGCCAGAGTCAACATTGATGGCACACCCACTCCGTCAGCCTCAAGGGTCAGCCAAATCGGGATAGTGGTTGCGCGTGACTGCAGATGAGGCAGAGGCCCCACAGCACTGCCTAACTAGGCAGTCCATCACAGAAGATCACTCTTTGACGTTTGGAACGAATACAAGCCCGGGTCACTTAGTTCTGACTGTGGCATCCACAAGCAAGTTCTGCACACCGCTTATGGACTCATGGTTATAGTAAAGATTACATTATGCTCTCCTCCGAGAGAAAGGTAATGCATTCTGGAAACGGAATATAACCGGAGTGCCGATTGTGCATGTGTCCAACCGTGTCTATAGATGAGATTCTTCTCCAAACCTCCCTCCCTCTGCTGATGAAGGACAGGCCTCACAAGAACCACCTGAAGTCTGGACTCTTCGGCCCGTCCTTCAACTTCTGTGTACTCACGTCCCTCGCAGTCAGATTCACACCTTGCAGCCTGTTTCTCCGCGCATTATCCCATATCATATATGATCCCAACAACAACGCACACACACACCCCGTAGCCCCAAACGCCGCTGTGGTGGCCAGCGCCGGGATGTATTTTGGCTTATCCTGCTCTCTGAAGATGTTGCTGCTAACAACACCCATGAGGTTTGCGAGTGGCACACCAATCGACGTGAGCGTAACGCGCTGATTCTCGTCTGCTACATTGTTGTTGTACCAGGTTGACAGCAGGACGGACGGAGCAGATGTTCCCCATGTCATCATGAAGCATGCGAAGTAGGCGACGGTGATGCTAGATGCGACGTCGATGGTTGCGTAGATAACAAAGCCAATGAACGTGAGTAGAAAGCCGAGCGCGATGAACGGGAACCTCAGGCGCACATGATCAGATGCAAAGGCCAGGATGAGCAGCACACATGCACCGACGATGTTGGGCGCAACTGTGTACAAGTTGGTCTTGATCTTGTCGTATCCCAGACGCCCGACGATCTGGGGCAGGAAGAGCGAGACAGATTGAAGCGGTACGCCGAGGCAGATCTCGATAATGAGGAAACCATACGTCGATGGGTTCTTGAAGATACCGAGAGCGTGCTTGAGGTTGAACTCCTCGTTCACGACGGAGGAAGAATCGATCTGGATGCGCTGGAAAGCGAGTTGCTTCTCAGCTTCAGTGAGAAAGTTGGCCTTAGAAGCCGACGCCGGGAGGTACCAGAACGCGAAGAATGAGAAGCAGACTGTCAGGCTTCCCTCGATGATGAACAGATATCTCCAGCTATCCAGATTTGACTCTATCTGGAACACACCGAACGCCAATAGCCCGGAGAACGCGTTGGCGATGTTGGACGCAGCATAGAACAGAGCCAGACGGCGCGCAAGCTCGCCTCGTCGGTAGAAAGTGGTGAGATAGTAGATGACCAATGGGAAGAAAGCGCTCTCTGCCATACCGAGGAACCATCTTAAAGCCATCATACCACTCCAGTTCTGCGCTGATGCTGCGAGAAGTGTTGCACTGCCGAAGCAGAACATCATGATCGGTAGAACGCGATGGGGCCCGTACTTCTTGCCCAACATTCCAACAGGTGGAGCGAAGATCACGTACGGCACATAGAATATCTATTTTACATTAGTTGCGAGCTGATTCAAGATGAAAGTGTACTAACCGACAACATGGTGTTGTACTGGTTGCCCGTGAACCCAAGGTCCTTATCCATGCCATCAGTCTTCGCATTTCCCAGGTTACCTTTGTCGAGCGCATTGAACAAGTACTGAAAAAATTAGCTACGACTTCGAAACATGAAATCAAGAAGCATACCATGACAGCTAGCATGGGTAGTATACGGAGGTCGAACTTCCATGTCAGCGCCTTCTCATGCTCGTATGTAGGCAGGTGATGTGTTTCGCCTTCGATGGGAACAGGTGCTGCCTCCCCGGAGGAAGCTGAGTTGGTGATCTTCAGGTCATTCTTTGCGAGTTCTGGATCCTGACTGGCAGACATCTTGATCGCGAGATACTCCACATGCACGTTGTGTAAGAGTAGTTGTCAAGATCAAGCACCGTTGTGCGAGTACTAGTGAGATGATCGGGGTTTTCAGTTGCGACTTGTCCGGAGCATATGTACGTTGCACCCATGTCGTATGTGCAAAGGATCAAGCGATGTCGCTTCGGTGTTACATAGGCTTGCATGTTGACCTTATCTGCATCCGTAAACCAGGCTAGAATCCAGGGTAGTATTTCTCCACGTGTGCTGTGTGCGTCGCGACGAGGTGATTCGCCGTGCTTGATACGCTCGAACCTCACTTGCGTCACAGCTGTTTACATTGGGTAGTTCCGTATGGCTATCACTTCCCGTAAACTGGCGAACCGTCGAAAGTGGGGAGTCTGTCAGTCAAACGTGAGCGCTGCCATTTTACTTTGATAAACCCACACTAAACGTCCCGGATTACCGCGCAAGGCCATCCGGCACAGACAAACCCTGGACTTTAAATCAGCTGTGCCCTGCATTTTGAAATCTCACATGTCGAGGCGCGGTTTTGGAGTGTCAGAAGTATGATAAGCTGACAGTGGAACAACCCCGGATTCTAAGGCGCTCGCTCCACTAGATTCCCCGCATTGCAACCTTGGTAGGGAGGCATGACCTTCGACCAACACCGACGTCGTTTCTACAACGTCTGACAAGCCACGGCAGCGGCGTCGGCGAAGCTTGAGTCTACACGGTTGTCATCTATATCCCTCCACGTCTTCTTGGCTCATTTGCGCCGCCTTGAATGCCCGGCATTGATTGCTGATAAGTGCGCTTCTCACACATAGCGTGAGATAACACGGCGCGGGTAAGTGGGCGTACGAGTGGGCCCGGAGGCTCCGCGTTATCAAGCGCCACGCTACGTCGCGGTCCACCACGGCGCCGATATCCTGCCTGTTGCTCAGGAAGCAGCGGTCTCGGCTGTGAAGCTGTACCTACCAAATCTGGGAGGCAGTCAACAACGGCTAGAAGACCACCATGGATCTCATGGAACTCATGGCTATCGTGCGTGTGCCGTTTCGCGTGAGATGCCCTTAGAAGGAAGGAGTTCACGGCAAAATACAGAAGCAGAGGGTATGTGAAGTGTGGTGCTGAAGCTGTGACGCAAGCTCCATCGCACAAGGGATACATCGCGTTATACAGATTTAATCTTGTGTCTTGTATGTGTCGATACAATGTATCGTGGGGGCCGAGAAGCCAGTCTATAATATATCGAGATATGAAAATCTGCAAGACATGTGCTACATGTCGCAGGTGCATTTACACAGTATAACGCCAATGGGTATCCTTCGCTCAAATGATTTTGCTCTTATACGCCTGCAGACAGTGCGGAAGAAAAAGTGGTGGATCCAAACAAAATTACTGGCCATGGGCGGCTTCTTTGCCCTTCGACGAGTGGGGGTGAAGGAGATTCGGTCTCCATTTGGCGACATTCGTTACACTGAAGTGGAGGGGTTCCTTCTGACCCTTTTCTTTCACGGGCATCTTCCGTTTCGAGCGACCTGACACGTACATAGGGTGTTGCGCATGGCTAGTACCACTAGCGTTGGCTGAGCTGTCCTTTAGTCTGAGCTTAGGCTTCTTGTCGCGGTGCTCGTCGTCAGCCATCTCTGAATCGAAACTTCGAAGACTGCTTTGTTCAGACGAGAACCTATGGTTTGTCGAACGTGAGGAAGACGCCGTATGAGTTCGCTCGAGAGACGGCCTCAACATAGTGGAGTGGATCGATGTCTGTGTCCGTATGCGTTCAATAGGGCTTAGCATGGCAGCAGAATCCGCGAGTACGTCGAGTTTCGAAGGCGCCCTATCCGCCATGGAGTGAGTTCGAGATGAATATGTGGGAGGAGGATCCTGGCAATCGTACATGATCTCAGTGTCCAGGCTCTTGTACGTGACTGTGCCGTCAAGTTCTTCGTCCTGCGCCCAGCAAGCCTCGTCAGCACCCAGAGCTGGCGGCAGGAATCTAATCTCGTTCCACGTAACGTCTTCATGCTGAAGTGCGATGTAAAGAACGTCTCCCTGCATCTTGTCGTGAGAAATACAATGGTCCTCCACGAAAGCATGGTCCCAAAGGCCAACATGGACCAGATCAGGTGGAAGCATGGTAAGTGCCATGCGACCAAATGGTTCGTCTGGTGGACGGTGACCCACCAATGGCATCCATGCTCTGCCGCGCAAGAGGCTCCTAAACGTCTCTTCGACCCGAGCTACAAAGTACGCACTGTCCTGACCAGCAAAGTCGATATTCTGCTGAAGCTTGCGCGACGCACATCGCCTATAGCCAGTGCTATCTGGATCAAATGCGAATCTCTGTGACTTCCGGGGAATGAAGATGACACGGACGTTCCAAGACAAGGGGTACTTTTTATCGGTACGTATTGGTAGTTGGCCGAGCATGTGCTGCGACTGCATGAGCAGAGGAAGTTGAGGAACTGGTGACGTGCTCGGTGTCGGAGCATGTGGCTTTGGTGTAGAATCAACAGGCGTATCGTCCCTGTGGATACCGTCGGTGTGCTGCACTTTGTCGACTCGGTTCTCCAATTCCATAGTCACCTCATCCACCATTATCAAGCGCTCCTGAACCGCCTTGATCTGATCACCGAACGCGGATGTTCGATCAACGACGGCCTCCACCCTGTCGTCCATGGTAATTTTCAACAGCCTCATGTTTTCGTATAGGCGCGCTTCTAGTGCTTTGTAGGTCCTGAAGTGCTCTTCTCGTGCTGCTCTCTCTCTTAGAAGCTCCCTCCGAAGCTCTTCCTCCACGCTCTCACGTCGCCGGACCTCATGTTTCAATATCTTCATTTGCTCCACGACTTGTGCGAACTGGTCCACCGAGACTACCGAGAGAGGCTGGGTTTCGTGATGCCATGCTTGGTGTCCGCAACCACAGCGGGACCGTACGAGGGAATCAGGATAGAAGCTTCGACACGGGCAGCGTTGACGCGAGTGTCGGCTCGACTCGGACTCGGGCTGGAGAAAACTGCATTCTCCACGAGGCAGCTGCGCTTCCTCGCCTGGAACATGTTTTCCGGACAGAAGAGCGCTTGGCTGCGTGTTACTGAGGAACATCGGGAGTGAACCCGGCGTGGTGGTCATGAACTGTCAAAGGATCGAAGGACAAGGGGCTCATGGAAGGCCGGTGGGGAGGTTGTAAATAGAACAGGAAAGAGTGAGTGTCTGAGCGCGATCGAGAGCCAGTAGAGACTCTAAGCTAAGGTTGTTAGCTGGGGTCAAGGCTGTACTGATATACAGGAAGAAGCAAGTCGGGCAGGGCCAAAGAAGGATTGGTGTACAAGATAAGCAATCATACTTACATCCACGACCACAGAACAGGAACACACGGGAGCACCCGGACGGCGGTGTGACGACTGAAACAACTACGTCGACATGTGAAATCGTGGGAAAGATAAAGAAAGGTTTGAAGCAGAAGGGAGTGGAGCACTCAGCAGCATGGTCGAAGGGCATGGGATGTGCAGGTACTCTGCCTTTTGGGAGCGGGTTAGCTCCCGCGGCGGTCAGCCCTGTCATGACTGGGGACGGCGCTGGCCACTGGGCGGCTCTGGTGGAAGCTGAATTGTTGGCGTGGTGGTGGAAGCAAAAGATAACACACGCCAATGACAAACGCGCTACTTTCGTAACATCAGTCACGTTCGCCGCAGGCCGTTAACCCCAGCAACCGCTTCCTGCTTCTGTGCCTGCATCTCATACTGTAGATGCATCCTGCAGCAGCTGCGTCGCTCAGTGCGGTTCCAAGTCCGTCATCAACAGCACAAGGTCCTTGTGTTCAATTTTATCGTGGATGCCAACCATATGATACCCGCGTGTCTCCACAGCACAGTCCCATTCGGATAGCAAGCCATACCCCACACTGCCCGTTCCGCTCCGCCAGTTTATGTCAGAGGATATGTAAACATTGGCCTTGCTGTCGGTGCGCGCAACCGACGCGCTGTTCCCAGAGCGAGCATGTTCCACATGCATCCATCTTCCGGGGCACCTTTGAATCGGTTCCGTGCTGATAGGGCCTTTGCCCTGTCCTGGACTATCTTGGAGATCTCGAATTGGCAGCCTGCTGCTTATCGGGCGCTTTGAACCTCACCCCACGAAATTAACGTCGTGGGTGCTTATTGGGCAGCCAGGCAGACCCTGAGACGCACACAGGAACACAGTTCGAAGACACGTCCATGTGGCAAAGCACATCAAGCAGGGCTCCACAGCCACCATCGGAATGTCTCCCGAGAAAGACGAATCAAGGGGAAATAACTCATGTTTCCTGGCTGTACTGGCCGACGGCCATCAGACTTACATCATTTGCCCAGTGCAAGGCCGGACCTGGAGCTCGTTCTCACCTGGAGCGATTTCAGCGTTCGTCGCGACCATCACGCTCGCTCTCCGAACGAACACCGACGTTTGTTCTGAAGTTCAGCAGCTCGAATTAGGAGCGACTATATGTGGTAATGAGATTGGAAGATGAGTAGACGCACCACATTTGGGCAATCGAACATCTGCGACCCACATGTTCCCCCCCTGGCCGAGGCAGATTGACGAACCCAGAATCTTCTCTCACAGAGCTCCCTTTCCTCGGACGAGCATTGCCTATCGTGAAATGATGCTTTTGCAGCACACACACCGTTGATGAGGTCCAGACCGCGTATCCCACGTCTCGTAAACGTGTTACGCTCTCGCCGCATCTCCTGGCTCGACCGACGATGCCTCGGTTGGCTGCGCTCCAAACATGCAAAATCGTGCACAGCATTTGCCCACCATTGCTCGAAATCTCGCGTTTAGCGTGGCGTGTTTTCCCACTCTGACGATTCTATCATTTCGCAGTGGAAACTATGGGGTAATGATTATCAATTTGTTCCTCTTTTCTGCGACTGTTGTCTTTTTGGGTGCACAGACATGCATTGCGCCCATTGCACATGTTACGGTTTGTTATACGTACGACACAAGACATGCCGTGTCTCAATTCGCAAAATGATGAAATTAGATGCGCCTGTAGCGACATCCGGCGTATTGATTCCAACTACAACTGACCACTTAGGATGTCGGCTTGACCTTAAGTCTATGACCAGCTCTAACGCTCAGTGCATCCTTGCCCTGATCAAAGCATTAGCAATCGAGACCCCACGAGCTGCACTTCTTCGATACAAGCCTTGCCGTGAAGATGCAGGCGCGGGAGCAGCCGCGTACCTGAATGATCTATACTGCAAAAGGACTACTTACATTGCGTGTTAGGTCTCCCACAAAATCGACTCGACATGTTTAGATTTACTCATAATTTCTGGCGTTGATAGCCTACTTCGCGGCAGGACTCGTAGCAAGAAAATCCTTGCTGCTATAGATCCAGCTGACATGACGACAGCTCCCAATTCGAGCTTGGGCGTCTTCGGGAAAATGTAGAATCTACTTGTAGAATACTGCTTATCCCGTGTTCTCGCCGTCACACACCTCAAGGTGTGCACAAGGCTAGGATGATCGGGTTGGGCGAATCTGGTATCCGGCTTTTCGGCAATCTATGAGCTCCGAGCCGGACGTCGGAAATCTTGGCGCGCCATACACCTCCCTCGTCCAGGCAGCGCCAACCTGAGCGGCGGTCTTGTCTTGAGCCACAGCTATCGACATAGTACCGATCCGACATGCCAGAAGAGAACTGGGCCGCGCATGGCGGCGTGCAAGCGTGTGATCTGTGCCACACCAGGAAGGTATGTACCTAGATGGTAGGGGTGAGACCCACCTCAACAGCTACTCGCGAGAAACCCAGTGCCATTGATTCAACATTACGCATAGTATAGATGTGCAAGTAGTTCGATGTCTCCAGAACTGACGCGATCTGCAGGTCAAGTGTGATCGTAAAGACCCTTGTTCTAACTGCACACTGTCGAAGAATCAATGCCTTCGCAACCGGCATAAGCGAGCTCCTCGCCCCAAAGTGCGTACTGATGACAAGATCCAAGCCCTTGTCCAAAGATTGTCAAGTCTTGAGGATACCGTTCGTGTGACACAAGACACACCAAGACCATCTCTAGCTGTTCCCGAGGGACTATCACCAGAACAGCACGCATCTTCCGACCGACCTCTGAAGCGCAAGCGTACAAGCAGTGCTGTCAATACTGGGGCCCCTGCGGCAACACCAGAGGTTGATACAGCTCAGCAGCCCACGAACGAAGCACGTAGCCTGATTCAGAAGGAGTTGTCTACGAACAGCCGCTTCTCCATGCATCAACGCTCAGTACTTGAGACAGCAATCTCGTTCGTTGACCATTTGTCGAACGCACCAGTTCCGACCATGAAAGACCGTAGCACCTTCGATCAGTCAATGTATGAGCCGACCGGACTTACCCAGGGCGAAATCTTGCACGTAATCTTGGGAACCGAGACCAAGAGCATGGCTCCAACAATGATTTACTTTCACAGCCTTGATCACCTTCCGCCAAAAGCAGTAGAAAGAATCGCACTTGCCTTGATGGAAGGTACGGCAGATGAGAAAACCGAGAATCTCTACAAAGTCATCATCCACTTCAAATTCGCCGTAGTACTGTATGCCAGTCAACTACAAGGGCCTAAGAGTCCAGCAGTGCAGAAGCATATTCGACAACTGGAATACAACCACCTCAGTGCGGCACTTACGGCTCTAGATCACATCAGTTTCTTAACTACTCCTTCATTACTGTTAGTTCAGGTCTTGATCACAGGCGCTATGATGATGCAAATTGTTGGAAACCCTGCGAGCTGCTGGGAACTCACGGCTCATGCTTCACGAACGCTAGTCGCACTTGGCTATCATACAGTCGCAAATATCGAGGCCAAAGATGAGTACGAGGAAGAGATTCAAGCAGCTATCGCCTGGTGCTCCCACTTCGATAGCTGTATGAGCTTGTTGCTGCTACGGCCTAGGTCCTTGCCGCCCATGAACATCAAGATCTCATCTTTGATAAAAGCAAATCCGCTCAATCCGATGAGTATCTTTGAGATCATCGCCATGGAAATGATTCCAGTTCATGACAAGATCTTGGAGCTGACACTTGATCCTGCATCTAAGAAACCCGGGGCGCCACTCAAAGAAGAAGTTGCTAAGCTACGGCAGCAAATGGCAGATATCTATACTTTGATGCAACGGGTATGTTAGCTCAACCTCACAAGACAGACAAGGTGGCTAACAAAGTAGAATTGTCCAACACATCTTCTAGAGTCTGTCATGGACATACTGCTGCATTGGAAGTCCCTTGAGTTCAAATACTTTTCGACTCTGACATCTGTCCACCGTCTTAGTCCGACGGTTACAACTGATCCCTCAGAGCGAGAGGAGTGTCTTCAGAGCGCGCGTAAAGCGCTTGAGTGCGTCAAAGTCATCGACGCCACATCCAAAAGCCTTGGTCACTTTATCGAAGGCTACGATCCCTACCTAGCGTGGTACGTAAACTATATCTAGCCTGGTTCTCATTTGCTAATAACTAACAGGACGATGCTATCATATCCTCTTTGCCCATTCTTTGTGGTGTTTTGTAACGTAGTCGGCACCTCCAACGAATGCGATTTCCAGCTTCTACAAACCGTGACGGACGGTATTTCGTCCTTGATCACAGAGAACAAGTACGTCAATCGCTTGCACAGACTGTGTGCTACCCTTCTGAGTCTTTGCACACCGCTTGTCAAGACTTCTGGGCAGCAAGATCGAAACAATACGAGCGCAGCGGTTCCAGGGTTCTCAGCGCAGACCTCGGCGCATGCATCTTCGCTGTCAAGTATGCGTAATACCCCCGATATACTGAACGTCGCGCCAAATCCCGATACCGTCAGTACCAATGACTCTCTACTCTCAACCTGGAACGACGACATGATGTGGCAGTTGTTCCAGTCCCAGCCTTCGCTCGATTGGTTTAACGCAGACATTCTGGATCCAACATGGGACTTCAACGTACCGAAGTGAACACTGGAAGATGGCTGTTGCAACACTTTGCGACAGATCTCAGCTCCCAAACCTATAACCGGAAGCAAGCCAACTGTAGTGTGCGAGTGAAAAGGAGATACCAAGTTTGAGATCTGGACAATGCTCGCTGGGGTCACAGAAGGCATTATCCGGAGCAACTTATAAAATGATCAGACGAGTTCTCGCAGTAGTGACACTCTTTATCTCGGCGACCGATGCACGGTCGCAGCGACCAATCAATGTGTAGTGTGGCAAAGCTTTCTGTGAATGGGTACGGGCATATCGTCCTGACTCAAAAGATCGAGAGATCAATGTAGATGCTGCGCGATACGATCGCAGTCTGGGACTGCTCTGCTATCATCATGGATACGTCTTCAACGGTCATATCTCGAATGAATCTGTATGGTCAACACGTTAGTGCGCGATCGTATGTGATTGGGATCTGCTTTTTGATGAGGAATTGAGGGGGCAGGTAGCACATGGCTTCCGACTGTCATTCGTTCATTGGGTCTCTTGGGTGGATTGAAATGGGTCCACACTGGTAACTATGGCAGTCGTGTAATCGACTTCATGTTAGAGCACCCTTGAAGGCTTTCCTCTGCTTTCTATATCATATTTGTTTTCATTCGCCCTTGTGCGACGATATTCAGTTTGAATACATCATCCGTTTGCAGTAAGTCTTGACAGATACCTGTGGATCCGTATATCCTACTTGAACATAATTGGGCAATTACCTATTACTCGAACATGAGTGTTGAAATATCCACTCCATAAACGACGTAATCGCTACAAGATAACTCGCCTTATACTGGTCTGGACTTGCCCGCCTGGAGACGTAGGTCACAGGAGGCAAACTAGAACGTACGCGCAACGGTATAAACCGGGGCATGCGAACTATTGAAAACAACAGCACTAGCCACTCGATGTTTCATTTTACTGTGGCTAAACACTAGCGGCCTGCGCCGGATTTTCGTCATCGAACACGTCCATTCACCACAATGCTCCACCTCGTTGACGTACATACCATGTTGACCTTGCCAGCCTAGGCTGGAGCGTAAAAATAGATGTCAGATGTAGTGTTGCGATTTGCAGAGCCATCTTGTAGTGACTCTCAACATAGCAAGGCAATACTCCGTTGCCGAGCGGAGTCCGAGGACGCCATTGTCCTACGAACAATTTCTCTGGACATCATACTGAGGTCAGAGAGCTTCTTGAACTCTGCTCATGTGTAATTCGGTCCCCGCTCGTGCCGCTCTGCCGGCGCGCCTTCAGCGACCAGGTCGAGCATGCGAGCAGCATGAATGACGCGCCCTTTGAAACCAGAAAGAGATTATCGGGAAAGTCGTGATTTGGATTACGATGTATCGCGTTGAAAACGTGTAGCAAATTGAAAGCACGTTGATGAAGTTAATCTCTACGGCCTCCTGACTGAACCTTTGCGTGGACATGGGCACATTCTGTTGTTGTGTCAGTCACGACCTGAGAGGTGTTCTTCGCTGAGACAGGGTTAGCGTGAAATGCTAGCACCAACAGGAACATTGCTTGGTGGCAAAAGAACTACCTTGACACTCATGGTATTACGGATAAACCACACTGACCAACCGAATGCAACTCGAAGACAGGAATCTAGGAGTTGAACCGTTGTTCTACAAGCAAAGTGTCAACCAAAGTCGAATATCGCGTTTCATGAGTTCTCGCAGGACTCACGATCTGGTGCGTGCCGCCGATGTGGTTAGGTACGTTGGAAAGCTAAGTGATCCCGTTGCTTGCGCTGTTGTTGGTCTTGTTTTTACAAGTTGTCCTTGCTTGCTGGATCGACACATACAATTTACACATATCAAGAGGAGCAAAGGATTGTAACTTCCATGTTGATTGACTTCAGTTTCGGCTTGTGCTGCGGATTTTTGCGACTGAGTAACTATTTACTTTGCGCACCAGAATCCTGATTCATGTTAGCGTGGTCTGCTTTGAGTCTCGTACACTAACCAGATAAACTTGATAGAAGTCCATCCTGACTCTGCCATTGTCCTTCACGAGATGGGCACGCGCGGCCCAGTCAAGGCCAGACTCACCGCCGGCCTTTAGTCCATACTGAACAGTACCGTATAGCATGCATTCATCAGCATTGGGGCCAAATGGGAAGATCTTCACGGCCCTGTGCTTCCTGCTAGCAACCTTCTCCCACATTGCTTTACGCAGCGCAAGGATCTCTGAACAGTGTAAGCTCAGAAGTTTAAACAGAATTGGTACTGCATGTCATACCATCTGAGCCTTTGACTTTCTTTGATGCCATTATCAACGTCGCATCATTGGTAAAGTACTCTATGTATTTCTCATGCGCATCGGGTGTGTCTGACGTAGCGTAGAACTCCTCAAAGAACGCTTTGTAAGCTGCGTCAAACTCCACGGACGGGTACTCGGAAGTGTAAGCAGACATTGCGAGAATTTGGGGCAATAAAAATAGAATGCAATGCAGTTGGGAGTGAGGTTCAAATGCCTGCAGCAAATTTCCGGGCAGTTCCACATCCACAAGCGTCGGTTGCGGGACGGGAGGACGCTAACCGCCAGTCACGGCAAGCAGACTTTGACAGCGGGAAAGAGCACTTACCTCCCAGGAAACAACTTCCGTGTCAAATGAACAGCCTCGACACGCTACACATGCTCGACTCCAACTGACTCCATCTTCACCGATACTTGGCATCATCGTGTGCATCTCGCTCTTGGTCTCGCCTCTTACGCGGTCAAAATGGCGACATTGCGGTGTGCCGACACCAGGCCGGTGGACACGTCGTCACAGCCTGGGTCGTAACCTGAAATTCGTTCTCCAATTCGCTCTCCAATTCGTGCGCCCACACGAGCCGGCTACGAGACCTCTCGGCGTACTGACGATACCCATCACATTGGAGCCTAGGGAGCGAGGGTTTCGTTGCCGTGTTCAGATGTGGGTGTTGTATTTCGATTTTTGGAATCCTTATGCAAAATACCAAGGATTGTCCTGCAAGTTCCAAGAAACTTTACGATCCCTGCATCCGCAATTCCTGGGAACATGACAGGCATTAAACATGGATCAACGGAATTTCGCGCTGCTAACATACAGGAAGGCCTGTCTGCGGTGGCACTCGGCATCACTCATGACAGCAGCTTCATTGCAAGAATTGCAATAGGACCCCAACCCCTATTGCAATAGACCTGACCGAGAGATCCAAGAGATTGAAAATACGACAGGAGACACAATTGATGTTTCGGTTGATGCGCACAGAGGCACAGTATGGTGTTTCTATTCAGGCCTCCAGAATTCATTCGCCAGCTTGCCCTTCCAGCACTTCACCGGCAATGTTAGAATCTGGCAACATCGATGGCCGGGTCTCATCAATTTCTGTGGCTAAAGCTGTTTTATGCTCCATGAAAAACCTTCGATCGGAATCTTACAGGAATACGTTCTTGACCGCTCCGTCCCTTTTTCCGCATACCTGCAAGTTTCGAGTGAGGATGCACAGCTCGAGCGTTAGGCATAGCCTAGATTTGGCACTGTCGAACCACGACCTGCACGTGGCCTAGTTCTTGCCATAAACGCACGTCAACACCACCATCTTCATTCAATCTCAGCAGCCCCTCTACTGTCTTCTAGTTCATTAAGCTCACCCATGTTACAGCTTGGCAGGCCCACAAAGTTCCTCATTTATATTCGTACGGAAGAGCTCGTAGATTTTACCTTACAAGCGTGTGTCAAACAGTCGTATTTGCAAGCGCACGAACCCGATTTCTTAGCGAGGATCCAGCGGGTGGCGCCTCGGCGAATTAAAACGGTCCGCTGTGGTAGAGTTCGCAACGTCAAGGTGCGTGCCGAACGGTTTCTCGAACATTTCCTACAATCCCTGCCCGACCAAATTTGGTTGAATGTCGATCAACTACTATCTGGTAGCGCCATCACTTCAAACGTCCATTTCCTGTCAGAATTGCTAGTCACGGGGCAGCCTCCGGCACTACCACCTAAGTTGAGGCTGCTACAGTCACGGCCTCATAACGTAAACATATGACCTTCTTAGGAGACCATTACTCGGAGGCAGTGTCGAATCCTGAATGTCAGACCTTAACGAACGAGAATGCAAGTCTGTTGTGCTCTAGGTCTTAAAGATCTCGATCTCAAGCCTCGAGCAAAGCAACAGAGCAATATCGAGATTATGGTACCCAGACTATGGACGCCAGGTTCTGAACCGTGAGGTAGGAAGTACAAGGATAGGGTTGCCGGCATCTCGCCGTCATCGGGAGGCTATGTATGCCTCGACACTATGCCTTGCGAACTGGCGTTGGAGAGGTCCCGAACCTAGACACGGTCACTCGGCCTGCATCCAGTCCACTTCGGATTTCGCTCGCTTAGCTCCGATCAACCTCCTCGTCATCAGAGTCTCACCTCGCAGTCGCCCGAGAACCCACATCTTGCAAGGGTGAACGATTAGTCTGGATTGACAGCGTGGATCTTGGACGCTCGCACATGGGAGGAGCCCCGCAAAGTTGAATCGGCATGGATGATGCAAGCTCGTTGCTGGTACTAGGCTCCCAGTCTTCCGGTTTTTTGTATATACCCCCCTCTGCCCTTTCTCTTTTGTGAATTCGACCGTCATATAATATCTTTAATTCCATAATGGCACACTCACGGTACGAGTTCGAAAGCTTCAACGAGAAGCAAAGCGAGTCCCGTACTTATAATCGCCAATCTTATTCCGTACCAATCGAGAATGTTCCTATTCCGGCACATCTGCTTCGAGCATCCGTAAACCTCACATCCGTACGCGACACCCATGGCAACCCAGGATGGGAGTACCAGCCGGGAGACGAGGAGAAGAGAGCATCAGGGAGAAAAGAAAGCTTAAATAGGAAGGAGAGTCTTGCACATCGGCTTAACAGTCGGTCAACGTCTCGTCCCACCAAATCAGCCAGCCAAAAGCTACAGAACTCACAACGTTTCGACCGCCGCTCAGTCATGTTTCAAGATGATATGCCACCATCGAGTGAAGCCGAAATCATGGCAAAAAGGAAGAGTCGCTATCGATCTTGGGTACCCGATGATGAGGTTCTCACTACCTCAAGACCAAACAGCGCACTTGAACCTACGTTTCGTCAACAAGGTCGACTGGCTACTAGCAATCCTTTCGAGGACCCCAAACAAGGCACCCAATCCAGCTCCAGCTCGTTTTGGTCCAACGATGATCCTTTCGCAACACGTCCGAGTTCTCGTGACGAAAACGTCAAGAGCTCCAAGGAACCTGATGTCGCATACACCCCTGCCGGTCAGCACCGCAGGAAGGGTACGCTCGGATCCATCGTTGGTGCAGTTGTACCTGATGTTCTTGCGAGGAAGATGAGCCTTGCCCACGGCCTGCAAAGGAAAGGCTCTGTGTGGAAGACTTACGAGAATGCGAAGAAGCGAAGCGCCGAGATGCAGAGAGAGAAATGGGCGCAGATTTTGTTCGAATACGGCATATATCTGCTCCTACTTTGTTTTATCTACTTTGTTCTCATCGGTAGACCCCTGTGGTACGGAGCTGTATGGTGGACGTACTGGGTAGTCGAGAACAAATTTGTGTTCGCCGGCGGATTCGCCATCACTCTCGGTATCGCTTTGTTGTAAGTGCAATCAGCCTCTCCCGCTGTTGAATGAAGCTGACTAGATTCTAGCTATGCCTTCGCTCCCCTTCTGATCCTTTTCGAAAAGGACCCACCCCCGGCCGAGTCCACCACAGAGACCAAAGTACAGGACAACGTCAAGGAAACTGCCCTTCTGATCCCTTGCTACAAGTCTGCTCATCTCATTGCTGCTACCCTCGAATCCGCCTTGAAGATCTTTCCCGCGTCACACATCTTCGTTCTGGCCAACGGAAATAGCCCTACGCCACTTGACAATACTGAGGAGATTTGCGAGCCGTATGGAGTCAACCATCTGTGGTGTCCGATTGGCTCAAAGATCGTCGCACAGTATGTCGGAGCCTACGCCGCCAAGGCTTTCAAAAACGTTTTGCTCATCGACGACGATTGTGCACTCCCTGACAATTTTCCTGTGGTGACCGATCGCCTACGCGGAAACGTCATGTGTCTTGGTTACACTATCAAAAGTGTCGGACCCAACTCCAGCAAGGGTAATTTGTGTCAGCAAGCACAGGATCTTGAGTATAAGCTTAGCGGTATTCAGCGCGAGTTTGCTGGTAAGGTCGGCTCAGCCACGTTCCCTCACGGCGCTATCGCTCTCTGGGATCGTGAACTGCTCATTAAAACCTTCCATGAGCATCCTGGATTTAGTGTCTCCGAAGATTGGTTCTTCGGTCACGTTGCGCGTAAGCTCGGTTCGCGTATCAAGATGTGCTCGCAAGTTTTTGTGGAGACAGAGACACCGGCCGCCGTCTTCTTCTCTTCTGGTGGTGCTCGGGGTGGCTTCGGTGAAATGACCATCTTTCAGCAGCGTTTCAAACGTTGGAATTTCTTCTTCGTCAACGGAATGTACTACAACATGGCATACATCCTGGGAAGCTGGAAACTCGGGTGGTGGGAGATCGGTGCTAAAATCTTCGTCTTCCAAGAGGTCTACGAAACGCTCCTTTACCTCGTCTCACCATTTATTTTACCTATCTCATTCATAGTCAGGCCCAGTTTTGCTGGTATCCTACTAGGCGCTACTATTGTAAGTCATATCTCTGTGCGGTCTCGACACTACTGACATTGAATCAGGTCATGTACTTGCTTAACACCGTTATATTTAACGAGGTCCACCTACGCCGCAAGAACGAACGCCTTGGATGGGTACTCATCTACGTCTACTATCTACCTTACAAACTGGTTCTTACCGCTGTCAACGTAGCAAGCTGCTATTGGTCACTCTTCAAATATGCTCGTTACTTCGCCCAGCGTCACCCCAAGGTTATTGAGGACGAAAAGGCCGTTGAGGTCATCGTGCGTCTGGAAGAAACCCAGATGGCCGCTGGCGCCGGTTCCGGTGGTCTGGGCCGCAAACTCACAGTTCGAACAGCTGGCGCAAAGGGGATGCACATCGATTCCGACCAGGATAGCGTCGATCCTTACGAACAAGCAGCAGCCGAAGGCATTGCAGCCGTTGATTACGCATCGGCGCCAGCTACCACCAAAAGTTCCGATATCAAGCACCAGTCGTCTCACCCTTACAACAACGCTAGAAATAGTAGGCGGGCTAGCCAATATCGGTTGTCCCACCAAACCAGTCGAAACTCGAGAGACTCCAGACATGCGCCAAGATCAGCTGGTGCAGGTTTTTTCTAGTGTCCTCCTCTTTACTCTTTTTCTTTTCTTGTACATACTACCACTTAGGATTTCTTTGGCGTTAATATTGGCGACTCGGGAAGAGTGGAAGTCACACTGCTCAAGACGGGCCTTTCCTTACCAAACTTCACTTCGAAACACACTCTTATTACCACGCTTAGCATCATCAATGTTAATCATAAAATGTCAGGCGTCTGACGTCGGAGCGATTCAATTTCTTGCCATTATGTTCGACACTAGTTCAAGACGTTAAGAGCCAATGTGATACTCTACTCGTCACGAGTAGGTAGATGAAGTCGATGTAGACGCTTTAGAATGGTTATTTCACCATGCGTGAGGCACAATCTCATTCGTCATTGGAGTTTACGTTGCTTGCCTCCAGGTCACATACACCTCATGCCGTCATCCGTCTTACTCTTTCGAATCGCCGATCTTATCGTACCACCTGAGTCTTGCATCAGTCTTCAACTGCCTCGCAACATCAACTTTATCTGTCTTCGATCCTCTGTGTGTAGCTCCGCCACAATGAATATCCAGCCCTGTACAGATTACGCCCACATCCTTCTCATCATACTCGACACGGGGGAATCTCCCGAGATCAAAATTACGGATCAGTGATGTATTGAAGAGCTTCCCGAATCTGTGTTGGCAGAGAAGGAGAGAATATCTACGCCCATCCGACTTCGGGATAATGGGAGTGCCGTTCAACAGGTCTAAGCGCCACGAGCGGTACCCCCGAGTCACCTCCAGATTAGTATGTTCGATATCACGAAGACCGCCACTTCTTTACTATTTCTGTGTTGCGAGCGTAATTTTGGACAAACAATACGTCGTGAGGATGTGGCTACTGTGTACATACTCGAGAAGCGAGGGTTCCAGTCCCACTGTTCTTCGAAGATTCAGAGCTTGGGCTTATTCTGACCAGTGACCTTTCTGTGTGACGTGGGAAGCTCCAAGATCGCTAGTAAGCGTCGACGCTGTTAGTAAGGCTCGGCACACACGATGAATTTCCACTGATGACCACTTGCACATTATCTTGGCTATGCTGGATGTCCGACCTTCCAACTTCAGATTCTGGCTAAACCTTCATCCAGACTGTGGACAAGCCCCTGGTCGCTCTCTCGTTTGACGGTCGGATAAGGCCATGATGAAGCTGGCCAGCTCTGATGGTAGCGTCGCCGTTTCACCTTGTTTTAGTCATGGTGCTGGAGCTTCGGTCGTCATCCTGACAACGTTCTTGTGGTGAACAGAAGACAGATTGGCATTGGTATTATCTGAGCTCTCAGTAATGGAAAGCCGCCGAAACATGAAACCTTCTCGGTGCAGAACGTCGCAACTATGATTGAAACACAGGGTCATTGATTTCCACACCCTAGCCCTGTAGAAGTCTCCCCGATACGGGGGGATACATATGTCAATTATGATGGAATTGTTATACGGTCTCCTTTGAGCACAAAAGCGAGAAAGTGTGACTGTTATAACCTGTATGAAATACTTGTCGTCGCTATCTCTACATTTTATCACTACGATCTCGCACAGTTTTCTCGCTCTAGGATTACATCCTCATCATGGACCTGGCCCACATAGCCCTTTCAAACGGCGGTACGGCTCGGCGCCGGCGCACCGGGCGACCTCGAAGGCCTTGACGGTCCACCACCCGGGATAGCCACACCGCCATTCTCACCGAAGCCGACGGCAGGACGAGGGTGGATGACGGAAGTGGGATCGATACCGACAGTGACCCAGCCAAAGATACCCTCCTCGACGCTGTCTCCAAGGTATACATAGTTGAGCACGGGGTCGGAGTTGGCGGCTTCATTCGCGAAGATGCTGTCTTGGGCATTGAGTAGTAGCACCTGCTTGTTTGTCGTATACAATTCGACGGCCTCGACTTCGTGGATGAGCTTCTGGTCGAAGAAGAGCTGGCCGACGTGAGAGATGTGCCCGCCAGTCAGAGTCTGGTTCTTCTCGTTGATGGTTGCGTTGATGTTAGCCATAACTATGAAACTGTCAGCTCTCCTCGAATGTTGTAAGTAAGGACTGAAGCATACTGTGAATATGAGTAGTCCTTCCGGTGTAGTGGCCAGGGAAAATGGTGTCGAATTGCATGATACCGTTCTCGTTGCTGAACTGAATACCACGAAACATGGTGTTGTTGAGGTTGCTCACATCGGCAGGGTTGCCGTTGCTGGGGTTGATGACACCACCATACACACCAGTGCTGTTGCAGTGCCAGGACTCAAGAGCAACCTGTGGGACTGGCTCGCAGGTGTTCACATCGATGAGCTGAACATCGTAAATCAACGGTACGCCAGGGTTACCATCGGTAATATCCTTGCGAACGTACTCGCCGGAAACCCCTAAGTCGAAGAGTCAGTACTTGTTGCCGCTTTAGGGTGAGTACATGGCTTACAGTAAGGACCCTCAGTAGTCTCAGGCTGGAGAATGCACGAAGCATTACCGGAGAAGATGACATCGTCTGGGCTGTCAGGTGTGACAGATGCATTTGAATGATGGTCAGTGTTCAAGACGTCCTCGAAGGTGCGCTTGACAAGGCCACGCTTCTCGCGAAGCTCCTGAACCACAGCCTTGCGGCGACTGATCATAGCTGGCTGACGAGACTTAAGGGTTTCGGCGCAGTGAGAGAGGCCTCTGAAGTCGTTGCTGGCATAGTAAGCAGCGCGCTCAGCGAGTTCCTCCGAGATATCATGGCCGGGATGGGCCACCGCCGGGGCGAGGAAGAAGGCAGATGCTGCAAGGGCAACGAAAGAGGTTGGGAAGTAGACCATGTTTGTGTGTCTTTGAAGCTCTGGCGATGATGATGAGGCTCAGTTGCTAGCGGACTACCACCGCTTTATATGTACTTTCATGCCATGGTGAGGGCACCATGCTCGCCAGCTAGCTACTCGCCAGATCCCGGCCTTGTTTCGTCATATTCAGGGGCTGCTTTGAGTGGTCTTCCACTTGCTTGACTTCGAAGATAAAGGATTCTCTAATGGATCCTCGGATGGCAGGGTGGAATAGGCAGGATGTGACAAACTTCGTCTGTCTAATTGGCCGCCCTATGGCTAAACCACCCACATCCTATCAACATCACCTATATCCCATGCCGAATTCATTTATATCCCGCCCATATTCCATGGGCATGACCATATTGAAGACAGACTAGCTCTGCATTGGGAAGATCGAAGGCGCCAGCGGTGCGGTCCGAAACAAATCAGTGTGCCTGAATGCCGAGGCGGCAGAATAGAACACTACCTAGCTGTGTTGTCGTTTCCACAGCATTGCGTTATCACGGGCGGTGTAATGAATCCACTGGAGTGAATCGCCAAGATGTCTTGGCCAATCTCTTCAGTGATACTGATTGGCCGAGGAATCGTGAACTTCCCGAACTGGTAAGAGGACTCCGCCAATGGCAAACAGTCGTCGTAAGCGTCTTAAACCAGCTGTCATTGGCAAATGCTTCTTCAAAGTTTGTGTTGACAACAAAGAGCTGCACACCTCTTTATTCATCGGCTCAAAGCTCAAGCAGCTATGTTTGGACCATGGCGAGTGCTCTGTGCTATTGTGATACTTCTATGGCACGAGGCAAAGGCTTTCATCGGAGCAAGAATTGGGCAAGTTCATGCTGAAATGTTTGAGTGGTGCATCTGAGCGTTGCTAGCGTTGTGAGCGGGGATGACGTGCAGCGTGCCTGGTCTGTCCACGAAGATCCACATCCTTAGTTGAGCCGCTCGGAAACGGAAATCTGTTCCGAGAAGCGATGTACGGTGGATCATCGTATCGTACGAATTGCTATGTTGAGCGTATATCGTGGCTTGTATGGGGAGAACGTCTGTTCAGTAACTTCAGTACCGCTTCTATGATCAACTCGCGAGACCGGCCCCAAATAGCATATTCGTTGTGCTAACGATAGGCAAAGGGCCGGTATAGTTACTCCAACTGTCTTTCTTGGTCACTAAGTCAAGATTCCGATGTTCTGGATGGTAGCATGACACAAAGCTTCGTCAGCTCCGACCTGGCTTGTCATATATGGCACTTGGCAGTATGTCTGCATATCGGCGCCGGTGGCCATATCAGAGGTAGTGTATACGCTGGCCGTTTCAAAGCAGTGACTTGCTAAGATCAACGAAGGATGTGACGGGTGTGGCTGCATATTGCGTAGTGTAAGAAAAGCTTCGCCATCTTGGAAATCGGGACGTGTAGACATCGTTGCGCCTGCCCTCAACAGCCACCGCCTAGCTAATGTCGGTGAGTATTTGATCTCTGACCCATCGGTGTCAACGTAAACTTCCTAGACTCGGTGTGTTTACTTATGCTGTCAGCTTTTTCGACTAACTTACACTGGGGTGGCAAATAGGAGCATCATCGTTGACTTTGACCCAAGGCTGCTTCTGAGCCTGTTGCCATTGCTATCACATGTCAAGCGCGACCACGACTCCATCGGCGCACCAAGCCATTCACGGACCGTCCGCCTTGTTCCATGTCCCTCGCGCACTGACCTGGGCTTGCTCTCAATACCTGGTTTTCTATTTGCTATGTCAACTGGTCCCTACGCAGACAATCCACTCCCATTGCCACCTATGATATTATCAAGTAAGGACGCATTCAGCTGCATCCGCAAGTAACCTTTTCCATAAAGAGAGTAGCCAACGACTTGCTCCACGCTGGTTCTGACTGCTATATGGACATTGCAGTGCGGCGAAGTGGAACTCCGAGACTGCCGCATCGAATCGTCCACGAGACTTGCTCGACAACAGGTGCACGTTTTGCGGCACAGGCAATCTCGGAGTTCCGATTCGGCACATGCTGATCTACGATGCTCTGCCTTTTGAATGTGATTATGTACCACTAACCAATAAGCCGTCTGCGACAAAATGCTCTGTCTGACAGTTCGGACTCTGCTGATGGATCTGTGGTGCGATCAGTATATCAGGCTAATTCACGTGGGCTTTGCGACCGCACACGTGTAAGGGTAATGGAAATGAGCCGAACTTATGTTAGAACTGTGATACTGATGTAGTTGAAGAATTCGAGTAGATTGTGCTAGCCTAAAACGTGGTTTGCAATGATCAGAATTGGCAGTCAGACCGCGATGATCTTCTTCCGAGCTGGGATAGGTTGTGGTAACGTGGTCTGGTCGAGGACTATTGGAAACTTTTATTCGTAGAGTGCGTAGTCTCCCAGATCTTGTACTTTGCGTTGTGATATCCTCTCCTGTATCGCAGACTGCTATTAGTGTTGAGCTTAGCATAGCGATCTCAGACATCAGCAAGTACAGAAGCTCGGCTCTGTGCGCGATACGAGATGTCGTCGAAGATTCAGATTCAGGTAAAGGGTGTACAGTAAACGTGCCAATTCGCGGCTTCGATATTTTGGAACGATGGGTGCTTTTGTCGTGGTATCGAAATTGTGACCGTGATCTACCGCAATGCCGTGGACGCCAAACTCCGTAAGATGCTCTCGATCGATCAGTTCAGTCGCTCCGGACCCAACTATGCATCGACATCCATGGCCTCTGTGCCGCCACCAACCTTCCTCGCCAGCTTCTTCTTGGTCTTCTGCTTCTGCTTGGGCAGGGTCTCCTCGAGGTCGCTGTCCAGCTCGCTCTCGTCCATCTCGATCTCCTTCCGCCTCTTGTCGACCTTGGCCTTGACCGCCGCAACGTCGACTTCCTTCTCCTCCAGCTGCTGGGCAGCGAAGCGCTCGCTCGGCGGCAGCAGATGCTGGTTCTCCTCGACGAGCTTGCGGTCCTCCTCGCGCTGGCGCTGCTTGTTGCCGCGCATGCGGGCCTTGTAGAAAGCGCGCTCACGGCGAGCGCGGATCTCAGTGACACGCGACATAACCTTGAGGGTGGTCTGAACAAGGTCGCGGTTGTAGCGCACGGGAATGTTGCGGCGCTGGGCGAAGGCAAGAGTGCTGTCGACGGTCATTTCCTTGCCGTGCGCACGGCGGAAAGATTTAGTCCAAGCCAGCTTGCGCGGGTTACGCTTCATCTTGAAGTTCTTGTGGCATTTCGACTTGCAAAAACGGAAAGCCTTTGCATCGTTGCGCACTATGAATTGTTAGCTACTTGCTCTGCTTTTGCTCTACTTTGAGAAAGGGCCGAATGCATACCAAAAGTGATGCCCTTTGATGGGTACACGGGCGACGAGCAGAAATAGCACGTCTCGATTCTCATGGTGCCGGTATTTGTCCCTTGTCGGCGGTTCCTGGAGTTGAGGTTTGTGAAATGCGGGCGCCACGAGAAATTCTAGCGGACCCTCGAAAGGCCAAGCAGCTCGGCCCCACACTGCTGGCCAATGGGGAAATGGCGACCGCCGCGACTTCCAATTCTTTGCCCGCCGACGTTCACCTGCGCATCAATCGCCATCAGCCATAGCATCTATCGCGGTAGTCGTCCATACGTCGTCGCAGTCTTCGGCATCTGATCTCACCATCACCTATCAACCACACGCATCAACATGTCCATCTGGCTGTGGGGCCTTGGCCTGGGTGCAGGCGCGTTCTTCGTGCGTCTCTCCACCAGTCTTCAGCTTTCTATACTAATGTTATCAGGGCCGCGCTGCGCTCGTCGCGATACGTAAGAACGGTGTTGGTGGCTCCAAGCTGGGGCGTAGTTTCTACAAGGGTGGCTTTGAGCCCAAGATGACAAGGCGGGAAGCTGCCTTGATTCTCGAGATGCCGTATGTCCGAACTCTGACTTGGAGAGACGGTGCAGCATGCTGACATTCAGAAGCGAACGCGGCGTCACGAAAGACCTTCTCCGCAAGAAGCACCGATCGCTCATGCTTATGAACCACCCCGATCGCGGCGGTTCCCCGTACTTGGCCACCAAGGTCAACGAGGCGAAGGAGATGCTGGAGAAGGAGATCAAATAGGCGAACAGATCCTCGGATAGAGTTGAGAAGGGATGTGTATGAAGATGTGTATCATATGATGGCCCGATTATTGCATGAGCAAGGCGTTTGTTAGGATTGGATAAGAACTTGAAAGATTCGGGCGAAAGAGCGTCTGGAGTGAGCAGGCAAACATCACTGCAGATGTTTCGGTACGATTAGACGTTTGATAATACCCACTACTCCATTTTGAATCACGCATCGCCGAGGCTGCAACGCCACACAGAGACACTCGTGTGCAATGTCGATTGATCCTTTGTAAAGCACACCGCAGCCTGCCAAATAAATGCTGTCGGAAACCTGGCCTGCATCTCTCAACTCATGCTCATCTCCATCTCTCAGAACTGGATTCAAAGCAACCTTATCTACATATGTGCCTTCAGCAGCTCCTCGGAATCGGAAGGTACGCTACGGATACGTTGCTCCCATCCTTCATACGTTGCTGGATGTCTTGATGCCCTCAGGTGTCGTGTTCGAACCTGTGGAGTTCACGTCTCGTCTTTGCTTCAAAATCGGGGCAAATTTTCGACAACATATCCATCTATTTATGTCAGCCTTCATCTGCAGCAAGAATATGTAGCTCGAGGTGCAAACTCGTATATTGACCTCGCACTATAGGACCACACCATGCTCAAACACTCGACTGTCAAAATCACCGTCTCTGCGTACGGACACACTGATGAATGTGACATCCTCATTCGTGTTTTCGCCTCTCTGGCACATGGCGTAAGAATTGAAACATAACCAAGCCCATAGAAGAGTTGAACCACGTCTTCTCAGCTACCTCGATATTTAACGTGTCTCCTTAAGCGACCTTTCGCTGCCACTATTCTTCCAGCCACACATACTGTCGATACGATGTATTCTGCAACAATCCTTCTCGTACCTACTCTAGGCCTATATCAATACTACATGGTGTATCGCAAGCTATCCCAATCGTGTTGTTCGCAGAGACTTGACAGGTTCTCGTTCATAGAGGACGTTCCACTCTTCAACACCCAAATTTGATATGGGACGACTTTATGTGCACGTGGCTAACGCTCTTCTTCTTTACTGCAGTAGCCTGCTAAATGCTTTGTTTCCACAATCCATTCGATCCCCATCTAAGATGCCGCATATTACTTCTCCTAGGAGCACTTCACGAACCCTCCTAATTAGATGGATGTGTATTCTCGATGCCTGCAGGGTTTCGAAAAGTGAATGTCTGCCTCACTTTGACAGCTGTATGGTAGTAAACTGGATCCGAACCTACCACCGCTACCACATCCAAAGAGTCAAGTTTCCTCTTCTTGAAGGGCTTGCAAGACGCGGGTTAAATCATTCGAAACAAGAACAAGATATGTCTACGTCCACAAAGCCATGACTGAATCGAAAGCATGAATATAAAAGGGCATGTGTCTGTGTCTGCTTATTATGGGTACTCCAGCATTCTGATTCATCTCACTGTGTCGAAAGTAGTGTTTGATCACGATGCTAAGCCCGAAACTGAACCATAGAGTGGGCAATTGAGACAAATCGCGAGATAACGCAAACCGTTAACTGTGTGTCTGCAACTCAGTGGGGCCCATTCATGGTTTGATCCAAGGAATTCTCAAGCCGCTGCTCTCGTGTGCCTTGACCTAATCGCTAAAGATGAATTTGGTGAAAAGATCCTTCGTGTTTCAAGACATCTTGTTGTGACGAGGACCTTACGTTTTTGATTCTTATATTTCGCGCTTAAGAGCAGGTTACTCACACATTACTAAACGCTATGTTACCCGAAGACATGTCACTTGATGATATCACACTGCCACCTTGCTGTTTGTTTTGCCGTTCGTTTACTTTCTCACGTCAACGCACCTTATCTGCAACCAAGTCAGCAAAAAGCAATTACAGGTTGTCAACACCCAATTTCCTCAAAAGTTGCTTACAATCAAGAAGCAAGTTCGGCTAAACGTACGCGCTGAATCCCACGTTTCATGTTCTCTGCCGAAGATCCAATCTCACCACGGTTCACGGGTACTGCATCCCGCCTCCCCATCCTATGTCAGATAACCAGGCAGATTCGTATCAGTGCAACGTGTACCAGCGTGAAATGTATCACACTCGTACCCCTTGCTTGCTGTGATAATTGGCGAATGCCGGGCTCTGGGGTTTCGAGTCGCCATGTCGAATGTACAAAGGAAGGTGTTGAATCTCTTCTCTATACTTGTGGTTGCATCAAAATCCTGTTAGTAATAAAACCAATACTTTCTACCAACTCACATAGACAGGACGAGTCTCAGGCCAGAGAGCAATCGTGAACAGTCACACACTCACCTCTACGCTGCTGAAACCTCTGCATGTTCTTAGAATCTACAACTTGCCCTCTTCATACCGGTGTCCTGGCCGATCTCGTATCCGTCGTAGGTGGAAACTCCACTGCATACATCGTTAGTTACTCTTCGTAATCGTGGCTGCCGAAGTGATTTTCTGACCAGGTGTTCGTTTTTTGATCCACACTCCCGCGTCTCCGCTACTGCTTGGGCTGTCATGCGTGATTTGATTCGCATCAGCGCCCAGAAATCTCGTCAGGGTATGATAGAGCTATCATAGCGTCAAGCGTCAGTAGTTTTGATCACCATTCTTGTGTTCCATCGCTCACTACGACACCCAGACTCACAATCATCGCGCTACTTAGGATAGCAACGTTTCGCTATACTTCCTGTACGTTGCAGCATGGAACACCCGCAAAACAAAGTTACGGTCCATTGGCGGGGTTTACCTCAACTCACTCTACTATCGAGGACGAAAAAATGAAGCTGGCTTGTGGACTTAGCTCCGATCACCGTGGGAGCACAGTGAAGGGAAATCGTGGACTAGATCCGATGGACTAGATCTGACGGACTCTCCAAGAGAGGGTCTATGTACCGGAATCAGAATTGAGTCTCTTCGCTCGTCGGTGTTTTTGACTCTTTTAAACCTAGTTTCTACCTTTAAAAGTACGCAGATATAATGTTCTAGGAAAGAGGCAAGATTCTCGCGCATTAGTATCTACAATTAGTTACTATAAAATAGGCCCTGCTCTACTGTGGCAGCAGGAAACAGCGTATTCCCTGTCTGGACGAGCTTGGAATATTTACAGTTTACGAGCAAAGTTTTTGTAGCAAGATCGAGGGATACTTACAGAGCACCAATGTGAGAGTATGTTGTGGATTGGGACAGAATTCGAGTCGCCCCGAATACCGGTGTGTTCTCTACGATCTAGGGCAACTTTCTGCTGCAAGATGGCATCACAAATACCTGCGGCCCATGTTTGATCGGCCAGAACGGAGACTCGCGGTCTCGGGCTTCGAGCTGACAGTACATTGCCAAGCAAGGCAAGATCTTGTTCGGTAACTGATTCCGGAGGCTCACGTACCTCACCGGCAGCGTCCTGCCTCAAGATGAGCCAGTGCACATGTATGCGGGACATGATATGGAAGCAGGCCAGTCATAGTCTCAGGCGCGGACGCGGCGACGGCATGACACAGTCGCTTCCTAAAAACCCATAGGTGTTGGCGCTGCTAGGTATTCCGATTGGCACGGCGCAACAGAGTTGCGTACGCCGCGTCAACAAGACTCTGTTCAACAATATCGCCAATAGCAAATCGAGTCCAGACGATACGAAGACCTCCCTGAGGACGATGACGTGAGCTCAGCCCCAGCGCAGGCTGATAACGATCACGGCATTCTGCAAGTGTGTATCCACCGTACCCCCGCCATCGCATCCCATGCGATGAGGTGTTACAATCGAGTTCCGCAAGGCTGGGCAACACCAAGACGATCGGGGTGTTTGGTCCTTATCGCACTCGCTTTCTGGTTCTCGCTAGGGTCCCAGACACCTGGGTCGGCAAGTGGGGACCAAATGGAAGCTGTAGCGAGCTGCAGCCGTCCGCAGTTGCTTATTTGATAGGGAACTGGTGTTGTCGTATCATGTCGACGCATGTTGAGTATTAGATTCGAACATGGGTAAAGCAATACGCGCTGATGGCCTGTTAAGATTCAGCTCCCTGTGTTATTGTTGCTATTTTAGTGGCAGAAAATAAACTCCAAGCTAGGAACGTTACGTGAGGCGGTCGTCGGCGCGTAATGATGGCGCGGCGGAAGAAACCTTGACGTGCCGTGTGTATCGATAAAGCCTATCATTCACTAGATGGCCGCATTTAGGCAGCGCCACTGGACTTTGTGGGACAGGCAGCCGCAAGGCACGTTTTCGGAAGAGAGGTAGCGCCGCGAGAGCTGCATGGCGTCTGCCTTGTGAAACAAAGGCCTCTTTTGAGAAGTCTATCAACGTTCAGCTTGTTTGGGCTGAACTTTGCGCCGGTTGTGACGCTGCATGGTGGGCGTCTCAAGAACGGGTAGCTGCAGGAGGAAGATGTGGATGCTTCCCCGCAGGGCGAGAACTCATGTTCGTCCAACGGCTGCGTGCAGGAGAATTTTAGGCTCGCTTCAAATTCGCTTCCTGTGAGGATACACGGCTGCACCAGGGCTGCGGTAAGGTGTGAAAACAGAGCTGACCGAGTGCAGTAATGCAGATTGTGCGACGAACGACGTTTATTATGTGGCAAAGTGACGAATCATGAATTACCACACAAACTGACTTCGAAGATCAGTATGCGCAGAACAAACCGAATTTCGCGGCGACACGAGACCAATGCTGAAGAAAGTTCTGCTCGTCTTCCTCCTGGTTCTAATTGCAATGATCGCCGGTGACAAGACTGTGCTTGCTTCTCGGTGAAGTCATCCCTGTTGATCGCATTTAAGCTGATACGACCAGTAGCTCGCACAGATAATGAATGGAACGATCGCTCGTCGATAGCTTGCATGAGGCAGGAGCACTGAAAAATTCACGGATGTAAGCTTGTTCGAAGATGATTACGATCAGTCAATAGGACCGTTGTACAACAGTGCGGCTGCAACATCCTCATGCCGAACCGTCTTGCTGCAAACAATCCTACTGGGTAATGCTGGTACGTTGTACCGGCTGCCTAGTGTTTTCAAGTGGAGGTTGCATCTTAAGAAACGGTCCGAACATGTTCGTGGAAGTGCTCCTGTCCACTTGGGCTTTGCAGTATCTGTGTGATAGGGCCGTACAATGCTCTGGTCGTTCGTCGGTCTGTTATGGAACATCGGAGAACTGGCTTCCACGGTGTTTTCCAGTCGCCAGGTGGAAGGCCACAGCTCAGAGAGACTCCACGTGTCGGCAGGGTTGCCTGTGCAAGTTATGCCGGCTTCGAGAAGCGCCCCCCTGCTTCGCTTCCATCGGAGTGGACAGCCGCTGCAGATTGCAGTAGCGCGCCAAAGCAAAGACAGTGAAGCCGTTCGCCAATATCCACATTCCCGACTCCCCGCAAGCCAAAGCTTACGATCGCAATTTCGAAAAGTTTTTGCTGTGGAGAAATCCGTCAAGCTGCCAGGCTGGGGCGCCGTGCAGGAACAGCGGTGGCGGAGAGACCACGATGGTGTTGGCAGACAGGTGAAATTTCCGATGATGTGTGCAACGAACCGAGCGCTGAACAGCCTCTAGGAAAGCTTGCCTGCGACGAGATGCGTCAAAGCGTAAAATCTCTCACTTGAACAAGTGTCGGTCTCTCTGATTGCTAATTGAATCCCTGACATCAAAAGGCCTTGCTCATAGTGCTAGGCGTTGGCTTCTGAGGAGAGTAGCATTGGGAGTCGACAAGAAGGTTCCGCATCTATCTGACGCGGTGATGATGAGCGACTGGCGAGCGGTAATGATGTGTCTCAGTCTGAATCTTGCCGTACACCCCTGTCGATATGCCAGTCGGTAAGGGAGACAACCAACGGCTAGAGTGTGCAGCTGGCCAATCAGCAACGAAAAGCTCCAGCGAATTATATCATTGGCGGCGGAACATGAGCCGGCCTGCAAATTGTAGGAGGACTGGCTGTTCGGAGGCTCAGCTTAACGAGGAACGGAGATGTCATCGCCACCCGTGTCATAAGCAAGACCTGCAACACGGCTCGTGAACACGAGAAAAGGGAAGACACTGTGGGGGACGACGCAATGACATGTAGAATTTTGACACCGCACAGGTGGTTGTGCGTGAAACCGGTACGCTGCAATGACCCTGGTAGGTGCAGCAAAGCTGCGCCAGCAGACAGGCACCCGCGGAAGCTTGCACGGCATCCGTGTCCTGGGATGTGCGGAAGGCTTGCAGCGATCTGATCGCAGTGAGACTGCGACAGGTCTGAGGGAGGACGGTGGCGGCCGAGGCGGCGCAAGTCGAAGCGATGGAACAGGTAGCTCCGGCGACGCATCTCAGACGTTGTGTTTGATCAATTGAAACAGCGTTACCGCCGACGCCTGGTGAGGAAGCCTGCGATTGGCATCTGCGACACCGCGACATGCCAATTTCTAGCAGACTTCCAGAAGCACAAGCGAGAGCGAGAGCTAGGGTCCACTCACCGAGCGGGCCCACGCTCTTATTCCGGCCGTCGGCGGTGCTTCTCGCAGCGGGATTGCATCCCCAGGCGCGTGAGTTGCCTGGATGGTGGGCTTGCTGGCTGCTGCGCGGGCGGCGAAAGGACACGAGAGGAAGGCGCGGCCGGTCGCAGCAGGCAGCACAGGCAAGTGCTTTCCCACGTGGCAAAGCACCCACCAACAGGAGGCGCCCTGGAATTGCAGATGCAATGCGTTTCTGTCAAGATGTCGGCCAGTGTGGATACACGTCTCTCATGTGCGCACCCAGGAACCTGGGCGAGGGACGCATTGGTGGGATCCTGGGCAGCGACGATGAGGGTCGATTCAGTGGACGCGGTGCCAGGTGCGGTGGGCCCACCGGGGAAGGGGTCCCGCGCCTCATAACCTTCTGGCACTGTTCTGGCGCGGAGCCAACACAGGCGGCACGGCGAGCAGACGGCGCAGACGACTCAGAGCGAGTCGTGTCGACGGGAAGAGGTGGCTCTGGAAGGTTGGGCGCACTGTCTGAGCGCGGAGCGCAGGGGAAGGGTCGCGCGTGGCAAGCCAGCAACATCGGCAGGCGCAGATATACGTTTCTCTTTGATGCACAGCGGCCCTGCCCGCGAGCTGACGCCGCATCATCACTCCGGTCACTACCACGGTCGCAGCGATTAGAGTTGTGAACTCTATCCCGTGCAACGCCTCGTGTGGCCGTCGCCCAACGCACCCCAGCGACGGCCGTTGGTTTGACCCCTGTCTTACCTGCAGGTACGGGCTTAGTGCCGCAGGGGTTAGCCACTATCGTGGATTCAGCTGCGCAGATCATCCTGGCTCCCTGTCGTGGCCGCACACAATTTCTGCCAGATGCAGGCCCGAGTTGGCGACAGGGAGCTAGTTGAAACAGCCCCGAAAGACCCGTCTTGCTCCCGGCACGTCATGTAGCCTGCGCTTTGAGCACTGTCGCTCATTTCGAATTGTCTCGTCGGCAGCCAAGGCCACATTGGCAAGTCAGTACAGGCCCCCTTATTCCGGTCGAGATATATCTAAGGCACGGCACGCCCTCCGCCGGAATTTTATCTCCTTCACATCACTCCCTTCGAGCTCTCCGTCCATTCCTTCCCTGTCACTCAGACTGCCCGGCCGTAGTCCACTGGAACACAACGCTATTTAATCCATCGACATACGCCTCTGTACCGCTCGCACTTGGAAGCTCGCCGACCACCACACTCGTTCAGTCCAACCTTTCGACCAAGCAACATCGCACCAACTCAACTCAGCCGTCTACGCCTCGTTTCATAGCCCACCAGTCCATTCGTGAGTCAACCCGTGATCGTGGCGTTGCCACAATAGACACCAACGTGCAACAACGTGCTGACATATAAGGCAGACTACATTTCCACCAACACAATGATTGCCAGAGAGAACGAATCCAGCAACATGGGCCGTGGCGCATACGACACAACTGGCGCTCCCAAGCCCCCGCCACCACCGAAATAAGGACCTCCAAGGTCCTTTCCCAACGGCTCAATGTTCCGTCTCGGTTGCAATTCCTAGCAGGGCGAGGCGAACAGGTGGTGTTCCGTTGGGAGTCGAGGGATGATATGCTGCGCCTCGTAAGTGACAGGACGCTCCTTGCGTTGATGACACCCTGACTAACCGACAGACAGCTGCAGCCCTACGTCAATTCCTTACAACAACCACCATCATTGGCGCAACCTTTCGCATTCTCTGGCGACGACTTTTCGACCCGCCTTCCTTCGGAATTACGCCTATTAATTCTCGCACTCGCGTCCATTCGTCAGCCGCATAATACCCCTGCGTTTACCAGTTCCTGCCCTCCGTTAGCGACGACCCTCCAATAGGTCCTGGTTTCCCCTTGCGTCCTCCGTTTAGCGACAGCATCTCCTTACGGCAAAAAGTTCTTTTCATCGGCGTTCACTATAGATCAGGTTGGGCCCCCAGGCATAGATACCAAAACGGGAATCTCTTTCTTCTTTTTCGGATACATGTATACGGTAGATCTCCGTTGTCTGCCTTCACTGGCTCATAGACACGGATTGTTTTGTACGATAGCTCGGCGAGCTTGACTGGATACGTTAGATTCAGGACGAGCAATCGGCGCTTTTGCATTTCTTGGACGGCCATCTTTGGAAACGCAGAGATGGATCGCCTGCCACGGCAATTTGATTTTAGATAGACAATGCCTGGGTCTCGGATAAGTGTCTCGCGACACAATTGGGTTATAGACTAATTACAATGTACAACATTACCTTGAAACGCATTTCCATCAACCTCTCTTCTGGTCGTGACCGCTCATCCACTGCCGCGGAGCCGTTGCCGTCACACTTGTGACGCCATCGACGGTCGCCACCGCAACATTGATAGATCCCAAGACGTCTGAATACAGGTACCGAACTGTTTTGACGTTGCTGAGTGCCGACCCTTGCTTGTGCAACAATTGGCGGCTCTCCCGCCGCTTTTTGGCAGCCGCCAGCCGCCAGCCCGCCAAGCCAGGAAGGTGGAGCTCTGCACCCCACGACATGGCGCCCGAGTTGCGACCTCACTTAAAGCTCCCCTGCACACAAAGACGCCTCCACAGCCACCTACCCGCATACCTCCGCCCTCACATCCGCCAACGAAGCCCATTGTACAGCGTTCAGCATGGCCAACATCAACTGGCGGACCATCAACATCGATGCCCTGGACCCGGACAGCCCCGCCAACTTCGACCTAAGCTCCCTCACACCTGCTGTTGAGCCCGTTTCGACCGCCGATGTCCAAAACACCGCCCAGCAATTGCGACAGTTGCTAAGGGGAGGAGACAACGAGGGTGCGCTCCAGGGTGCGCTGGAGGCAGCACCATATGGCGCCGACGACAAGGGCAAGGTACGTCGTTGCCTGCCATCTCCCAACCACCACCTCGACAGCTGTGCCCACCATTGTGGCGTCACATGCACCCCGCTTTGTCGCTGTGGGACAACGCCATTGAATGTCTCTCCACAGCCGCTGCGACATGGATACGACGCTACCACGGCTATGGACTTGGGTAGCCAGCGACCAGGACATCTCAACATGGCGCACTCGCACAATCTCACACTAGAGGATGCACAGCTGACCAGTCTACTCTGTAATAGGAAGTCTACCTCGCAATCGTTCTTGAAGTCCTCCAATCCATTCGACAAGCGGAGATCGCTCAAATGCTGAGTCGCATATACGGTGCACCTGGTGGGACAGAAGCACTGGATGTGCTCATGAAATACATGTACGACACCAGCCCTCTCAATATTTGCTATCTTGCTGTGCAGAACAGATGACAAGACGCAATTGCTGCAGTATGATTTACTGACAAGTCGGCCTCACAGTTACAAGGGTATGGCACAAGCCGCGCCCGCTAGCAGCGCACGCAACGTCACTCCACAAGCAACCGGCTTCTCGCAGGTACACTCACGAGGCGGAGGTGAGGGCGGTGGTCAGGCCATGAGCGTTCTGCTTAGCTGGCATGAAAAGGTACGAGCACCGCATACACCAGAAGCGTTCCGCGCTGCTTGGGCACCGTCCCTTCCTCGTGACACATATCGCCAGGGTGTGATAGTCAGGGATTAACTGCTAATTGTTTGATAGCTCGTGGAGGTTGCCGGCCCTGGAAGCATCGTGAGAGTAATGACAGACCGCCGTACGGTCTGAGCGGACGAACCCTCTGATAGCCATTGCTACGAAGTGCAGACTGTTCGAGCTGCCAGGCACGAAAACAAGCAGCAAGTGGCGACGTAATTGCTACATCACCAAAAGGCAAGCATACAACTTGCGGTCGAGCTTCAGTCAAGATACGAACAAACTACATCATGAACACTCTCAACCTGCTTTCTCCAGTCTTACGTTAGGATCTGCGTTGCGGCCCAGTCTATTTACCCTGAGTCAATACCTACCTCGACACGACAATCCCGCTCCGAGCATCCTCATTTAACTACAGGAATTTTTCCGCAGGGCCGGCATCCTGGTCCATGCAATTTTCCAGAAGGAAAAGCATTGACGTCTCCTTTTCCGGGCCCTCAGAATGTCCACTTTCAGCCTTACAACTCTAGCAGCGTTGTCCCCGATCATTTCCCAGCCATCTTCCCGGAACTTGATAGCCCGCCACGCTTACCAGATATGCACTAGACTCTTCGCCCGTCGAGCCGCGTGCACGGCACAGCTTCCACGCGATTTACAGTGGTCGCCAAGAGCTGAAGCCGCGTCAGGAACATTTGATGTTTGAGCGCTAATGCCGAGATTGGAAAGTCTCGAGACCGTCGGGGGATGAAACGTGTCGTCTCTTAAGATCAACTCAAACTTGACATTTGAAGTGAAACCACTATGAGAGGCTATGCCAACGTTCAGCCCTTTGTCGCGTGGCATTACTGACGCTGCAGGGTTCTCCCTTCTGCGCGTATCTGCATCGTCCAGCAAGACAAGGAAAACAGGTCGTGGTCGGCTCGAACATGCTTCTAGAAGGATGCCATTCTGCCGCGGTTCATGCACATGCGTAGGGCTGCGCTGCACACCTCGAAGCCGGCTAACCTGACTCCACTGTACACATACATAGCACTGATCACTTACAAGACATGCATCGCCATGCCCTGGTAAATGAGACGTCGCGTCACTAGCAAACATGCAAAGGGACCTCGGCTCCAATGACCATAACGCCGGCGATCATGACCCTGGCACCGTTGCGGTCTGCCTGTATCGCACGCCTCACTTCGTCAGCGAGATCCGTTGAGCCTACACAACACGCTAGCAGGCTTTTCTATAAACAATAACTGTCGGACAGCCATCTTCCGGTGTCAACGTCGTACATCATGTTGACAAGTAGGTAAGTCCTTGCACGCCGCCTCCACCTTCCAACAACCGCCTTGGCGATACTGCATGCCTGCCGTTGAGAGGCACATGGTACCTGCACGGGAGATCACATCGTGCGCAGGGGCCTTACATGCACAACCGTATGCTGGCATGAAACGTGCACACCACTGGCTCGCATGCGATCACCTTCTGCATTCGCCTCGTCAACTTTCAAGCGTGTTTTTTGGGGCGTTCGCCGCGTGTTGTTCTCGAATGAGCACTCTGTTGTTTATTGCGAGGCATTGCAATGGCTCGGTCAGAACCTGAACATGGTACCTTATCCGGAATAGGTGGCGCCGCTTAAGATCGAAACGGCCTGTGGAGGAGCATATCATCTCGGGATAGTTTTGTGTCCCGGATCGGAAGGAATATGAATGATGACTTCCTCGGCCCGAGGACTGTGGGTGGCAGGTGCCATCCTGCTCGTGCCGTTGTCTTGGTAAAAGCTGTTGCGCCGTTCCGCCGTTACAATCGTCGATCAACGGCGACATCCTGGGTCCCCACCGCTCGATGCTTAGCTGAATGTGCTTCGCTACCAAGAATATGTATTATGCATTTGCAACAATATTTCGAAGGCACTGCGGCGACGACGTGGCAAGCTTTCCATCAGTTTAAAAGAGTCGATCTCTCATGGGTGGACTCTTGAAACATTTACAGATACGCATGATTGAACTTAATATATCACAAACACGATGGGAGACTACTGTCCTCTTTCTGCAAAAACATGTCATAAAAATGTAGATCTTTGCACAATCTATTTGCCTCTCAATGTCAGGCAGCCATCGAGACTGACATGTGGCATTGGGTCTTTGCAGAATTCGTGATTGAAGTCTCGCAATTGATGTCACAAAACTGGGTTGGGCTTCACAAATGTTATGTTCCAGACAGTGGACGATCGCCTGCTCTGTATTGAGACACTTTCATCCTACACAGCGCTCTCGATTTGGTAAGACATTGAGAAGGCCAGAAAGATGTGGATTTAGTGTAATGCTTAGGAAGCTGTGTTGTTCTAGCGATGAATGTGCAGATGGAGCACTGTGTGTAGTTTCGAAACCAGATCACTTGTACATTTCACAGCAAGTGCAAAGTCATTCAGAAATTGTTCTTCTTGAATGTCTGCAATGTGTTTGTACCAACATACTCAGACGCTGTAAGATTCAACTCGCGATGAAGTGTTATTGCAACATTTTAGGCAGCACTGCAAGCATCTGTATGTTGCGATGAAGGTAAGAGTGACGTTTTTGATCGTAGCTGGTCACCCTAACAAGGTCTCTCTCTTTATTGATGGGTTTTGCTTCGGCGCCGTTATACTAATCACTATGGCCCAGACGCGTAAGCCATCACATTCAACTGAAGCCTCAAGCCTTGTGCCACCGCTATGGGCACCGAAGTTGATGGCTTCCACTGGTGCGATCAGTAAGGTCATGATGTGCCTAGGCATCGGCTCGAGCTTATACTCTAAGCATTTACTGTCATACATCCTACTGTTCACTTCAACGACGTTGACATCGTGGCCTGTCGCAACAGTTTGCAGAAGCTATATAATTTCAAACGAAACAGCTCAACGGGTATGTACACAAGTTTGGAAATACGTTCACGACAGAAGACTAGCAATCGTCTCACAATGCAGACCACCATCGCGTCTTGCGCTACAAGTTCGGTGGAAGGTTATTGAGCGATTTTAGGACTGAAGGTCCCGTGGCATTGTTTAGGTGCCTGTCCTGCCCTTCAGCTGATGGTGATGCCTACTACGTGGACTTATGCTTCCAGATTATGATGAGCTTTCTCAATGATGTCCTGGAGCTGTCCAAATGTACGGATGCTCCTCTGTTTTTCAGAATCATCATACTCGGGTCCTTTCTCCGAGTAGTGAATGCAGTATATGCCAGCCTGCGTGGCTGGCACAATGTCGCGTTTCCAGCTGTCGCCAGTCATGATAATCTCATCTGGTTGGAGGTGGAGATGCTCTAGGACCCTCGAGAATAATCCGTCGATTTTCGCGACCCTCAACTTGTTTGTTGTTGCCAGATAGTCAATGTGAGATGTTAGTCCCAGCGCTTCAACGGTTCGCTCTTGCGCATCTTGAGGCCCTTCAGTAATGACTGCGATCTTTTTGCCACATCGCTTCAGCGTCTGAAAAAGCTCCAACACACCTGGCTTTAGTTCCAAACTCTTAGTCAAAACTTCCTCGTAGAGATCAACGAGTATCTGCATCTGACCTTCATTCAGCTTGATGTCGAATACCCGTACAAGTTGCTGAAACCGGTCTTCACGGTATTGATGGGACGTCTTGCCGTCCACGAATGCCAAGGCCGTTCCTCGAGAGAGAACACGCTTATACTCTTCGTCCAATTCCTCCAGCGTATGACCGCTCGTTTCGTGGATGATCTTGAGAACTGCTTTGACTGCGGCTGCCGATGCTTTGCGAAACTCATGCAGAGTGTCATCCAGGTCGAATGCGTACCATGTCGCTTCATGCAATTGGATCAGCGCAGCCTCAGGTCTCATTAGTCGTGCATCAATCTCAGTAGAGTCGCCCATCGTCGTGGGATTCGAGCGATAGAAAGAGGGTTATGCCGTTGAACGGAACCTGCGAAGCTTGGTGGGGCGCCGCCAACTTGTGGCAGAACAAGCACGCCATCGCCCCAACCTCTTGATAGATGTCATAATCCTCTCCCACCCAACTAGAAATCCAGAGTGCAGTAAAGCTTATGAAGTTGAGTCGCAGAAGACTGACCTCAGAGGAAGAGTAAGAAAGGCATGACTCGCAATGCGCGGGGAATCGCAGACGCTAAATCCCCGCCACTCAATTCTTCCGCATACCAAGCGGAGAAGCGTCGGCAATGCTCTCTCAACAGGCTATGGAGACATCAGACCTGCTTGAACTAGTTTGGACGGTATACCTGTCGGTTCACGATGTACCGAAGACTGCTGATCATTGTGTTGTTGCGCGCGTAACGTTTCCCGGTGTAGTTACCTAGGTACTTAACGCATGTCGCTCCCAGAATCGTCGAGGATGTAGTCGCGTGTAGTCGCGATAACAATCATGAGATCTGCCATCCTTGTTGCGGCGAGCTTCGCTGCAGAAGCAGTTGCGACTGCGATCGGGAACAAGAAAACGACTCTTACCGCAGGTACGTAGAATCCAGCCAACTATAGTTTCGACAGCTGACAAAACCACAGAAGCACAGAGTCTGTTCGATCACTCTATGTTTGTTCAAGACAATCGATATGATACGTCCTTGAACTACATAGCGTACGGTGACAAGGGTGATTGGTCCGTTCGATTCACAGCCTGGTACTTGGCGGGTCTGTTGCACCGCAATGAAGGCGATGATCTTGAGCACGCAAAGGCCGCCATCGACAACATTATCTCTGTTCAGATGACAGACGACTTTGACGCTGCGTGGTATGGAACCTACAAGCTCTCGCCCGATCAGCCTGACCCAACGCCAAACTCGACCTTGTACCCGCCGAAGATTTACGATACCTACGACCCAAACTGGCGCGAGTTTATTGGCACACAGCTAGTTCAGGTTGTTGAGGAGTTTGGGCATCTGCTTGACAGCGATATGGTCACTCGCATTGAGGACTCTCTCGAAATCGCAGCAGTAGGCGGTATGCGCCGCAATGGCACCTTCCCCGAGGGCGATAACTTGACACTGGGTTACAGCAATCCTTCGATGATGCGTGCACTGGTAGTTGGCTGGATCGGCGCTCGAAGAAACAATTCCGAGTTTATTGATTTTGCCAACGATCAAGGTACTAAGTTGCTTCAACTTTTCCAGCTCAATGGCGCAAACACGCTGTCAGAATACAATGCTCCAAATTACTACGGAATCGACAACTGGGCACTAGGTGCACAGCTGAAGTACGGACCCAAGGATCAGACTTTTACAGCCAATGCGAATGTCATCCTCGAAGAACTTTGGCGCGATTTCGAACAGCACTACAATGGCTACCTCGGCCAAGTAGTCGGCCCATACGACCGTGCTTACACCCGCGATTTGGTGAAGCACTCCTCTATTCTGCCAATGTTCTTCTGGGGCATGTTTGGTCACCAGTACGGGCCCCAGCCATACAAACTCGAAGGCGATCTTCTTTTCGATATCGCCCAGGGTGCAGCAGTCGCGCTCATCATCGAAACCGTCAAAGCTGTCATCCCAATAGACGTACAGGAGAAACTGAAGGGCACGTTCGTCGGTCCGCCGCGTCACCTGAACAAGACCGTTTACGATGATCTCGAGGGGAAGCACTCACGCATCGCAACATCTTGGGTTAGCCACGACCTCATGATCGGCGGACAGCAACTCGATGAGGAGAAGAACAGAGGCGATCAATTCGTACCGGCTATCGTGCACTGGGGTGGTGACAAGGATCGTAAACCGTTTCCGCTGACTACTTTCTTTTCGCTGTATCCGAGTGCGAGTAGCATTCATGCTATTGCTGAGCCAAACCGACTGACAGTGAGCTATCCTAACACTACGCAGGTGGGGAGTGACATCTTTACATTTGCCTTGAGTAATGTACCGCCGAAATGGACGCTCGCAGGGAACACAGTCACAGGGCTGGATGGAAAGTTGCCGTGTGTGGATATCAAAGTCAATGCGACGGGACTGGAGGCTCAACCTGTGACGTATGGGAAGGCACTTAGGAACCACTTGTTTTACAACATCTCGTATGTTGTACCTGAGGACTTTGAAGGGATACCCACGGTAGTGCTTGATATTGAGTACACTTGTTGAGACGTGTCATCAGACGCGTGAAGTCTGTTCGAGAAGCATCGACTGATTGGTTGAGCCCGCTTCAATAAATCATGTAGGGTATACTCCTGAGCCTGTCTAAGCCTCTTCCTATATGCCTGGATCAATAATGAAAACAGCCATCCCACTGAAAACGCCCGAGCCGCAAGTACTTGACCAAAACATCGAACTTAATGAGCCAACTAGAAATCCCACAATGTCCCAAACGCATGTAAACCTGCCACCCGGCACCCTTGCATCATCTCGTCGTTTCCCTGCATATTGCTCGTGATGTAGATAACCTCAGCACCCCAGCTCTTCCACGTATCCTTTAGCAGCTGTACGCTATCAGGTCTGCCACCACGCTTCTTCGAATCCCACAAGATCATTCTTTCAGGCTCGATGTGCTTCTTAATCAGCCCTGTTATAGTCGGTCCAAATGTACGTTCCTGGTCAGATCCTATCCAGATTAAGAACCAGTCAGGGCTCTGGATGCAGGTCGATAGCGCAGCACCAATACCTGTTCCAGTGCATATACGGATTCCGCGCTTGTACATTGCGGAGGCATGACCGACGCCAGCTACGGCACGTTAGTCAGGATATTTCCAATTATGTTGAAACAACATACCGAATTTCAGCTGCCGTGTCCAGACAGTCTTTGGAGGGTTGGCAACGAGATTTCTAGTGAAGTCGCCTTGCACGCCGCAGATCATATAATGGTGGGTGGCTTTGCGGCCTTCGCTGATGATGCCGAAAGCGTGATACTCCATGACTGAAGTGCGACTGATGCGGCCGAGCAGTCCTTGCTGCATGCCACGTTCGAATTTCAGAACTGCTACTTTCGGTGAGGGTATTTCAACCTCGACTGGGACTTCGCGAAGAGTGACCCAAGGGATCAGAACACTGGAGCCCGTTAGCGATGTCGTTAGTGAAAGTTACGACAAACCCACAATACTGTCATGAAGACAGCGAACCAGAGTTCCTGCGCACTAAGTAGGGAGTGGGTGTCCGACCTCCATTCACCGAGTTTGATGTCGTAAGTGTTGCCCATAATTACGAAGACCCACGTCATCTGTTATGATCAGTCAGCTTAGTCTCTGCAGTCAATATACATACTTACGGCGAGTCCTAACCACCCGATAAACCTGTGATGTTTTTCAAAGACGTTGTGGTAGGTACTGATGTAAGTGTTAGGTTCTGGAAACGTGCATCGAGAATCAACAACCTACTTGCGTACCCATGGGAAGGCGCTCATAACAGAAATGATGATGAATACATTGGTAATGATACCGCTTGCAATGACAGCAGGATGTTGGACAGCGCGGTACCGGACTATGTCGACGATCTTATAGATAAGCCAACTGCAGGTGCATTAGCTCACTGGTTGTCACAGTGAAGCTCTACTTACGCTGCTCCTGACAGTGCACAACCCGAATGAACACCCCCTAAATGCTGTAGGACCGAGTTTACTGCGATCTTGACACATAAAGGAGCCCACTAGCGACTATCCGTCAGACGTTTCTTGGCGAGAAGGAAGAGCGACTTACACCTCGTAATCCATATATGGCCAGTATGTACAAGAAGCGAACGAAGAGTTCATTGCGCATCAGGATAGCACACAGGAGGTTACCCAGAACTAATGCGCCAAGGTGTTCTTCTGCGTATTTGAATCGACCAACTGCAGCCAGAACAATACCGACAAGGTTGAGTGAGACAACAAGCGTGAAGAATCTCCGGTATGCGTTGAACCATAGCTCGAACAGTATCCACCGACTGACGATTTGCTTGGCTGGTGCTGGCTTTGCAATTGGCTTTTCGACAATCTCAATGTGACTGACTTCGGCTTTTGCTGGTTTGGATAATACTAGTTCTGGAACACTTGTGCAAGGAGTGATTCCTTCGTGAACAGGCGATACCGGCGACAAGAGAGGATTGAGATGGGTTGGGAATCCATGACTTGCATATACGAATGGAGGAGGGGCTATCGACTCCAATGTACTATCGTACATGCCTTTCTCGGCATCGTCGAGAGAGTCATGACTTTGGCTTCCGACAGAGTGGGCTTGTTGAGAGTTTGACATGGTGCCAGTCTGGCTTCAGCAGGTCGGGTCAAAGATGCTGGTTGAGTTGCGACAAGGATAATGCAGATTGTTGACCTCCTCCATGCACCGCCGGAGGGTAGCTTTATTCATTATTTGGGGAAGGAGCCAAGACCAGCCACTTGGGCCTCGATGACCGGAGTTTGATGGGGGACTTCCATATCCAGATGCGGCAACGCAGATTCACGTCGTGTGGAGGTAAAGAGCTACTACGGCATCGCAGTTGTCGTGAGATATCGGCGTGACATGAGCATATAGCAGTCCGTGCTGGCCCTAGCATGGAGTCAAGAGACATGCACTTTGCTAGAGCAATATAGTTAGATGTCGGTAGGGACATTTCGTGTACCGCTCTGTATCAGCCACACGGTGGTCTCAGATGGTGTTTTTGGTGGAGACACTGCAACCGCGTACCGTCGGCGATGATGAAGACCAAGATAAGCACTTTCCGTCATCTTAAGATCGACGATTATGAGCCGCTGTCCGTTGACTCTGTACCTATCGCTCACCGTTTGGTCTGGGGCTGAACTCAAGTTTGAATTCGCCAAGAGATGTCGCTCAGCCTGATCACTGGGATGTGCGACAGGCATCCATAGATTCATACATGGATATTGGGGCTCTGCATAGACGGTCCGACATCCGAAGTTTGTCGTCGGTGGTCTCACGTGCCACTGCATCGAGGTGCAGTAACCTGGAGCCGAAGCTAATATGGCTAAATTGCCTCATTAGCCCACAACGCTTCATCTCGGACCGTGTTCGTAGTTACCTTTTGGCATGATCTCATCCTGCAGTGGTGTCTTACAGTGAGAGTCCAACGAGCCTTCTCAAGGCTTGCCAGCTGGTAACGACCTGCGTAGTAACCACTCAGCTGTACGCCAACACGAGCACAATACCGATAAGACCAAATCAAAATCGGGATGCAGGAGAGTAGAACAACGTCCAGCATACTGTATGCAGTCAGCTTGATGCAATAACGACTTGAAGTCGCTTTGTTGACTTGCACAAGTGCGAAGAGCCGTGACCGTACACTGCAAGGAGCCCTACATATCGCCTACTCAGTCAAGTTTCCTTTCACAACAACTTAGTCTCCTGCACGTATGGCCTTGGTAGGAAGCAGAAGGTCGCTTGCATGTGGAGTGCAGCGGACTAGTGCAATTGGTTTCAGGCGGCAACCACGTTACTGGGCTGCACAGCCTACGAACGTTGGGACATAGGGATCTCAGGAAGGTTTCTTCCTCATTGCGAGTCTCGTCGTGAGCTGACGGAAACTACTGAGCTATGACTTCATTCGCTGACCGTACCCTGTCTTCTGTATCATGTAAGACGGAGTTGTGAATCTTTGTCCGGCATGGATAACTCGTTAAGTTGTTCTGCTAGGTTGGTCGCCGTATCATGATGCACGGCCACAAGATATCTTCGGATGGCGGGGAAGGGTAGGCAAGTCATACGTGAGATAATGTAAGTATCCCAACAGAGGCTCGGCGTTGCTCAAGCGGGAACGTAGGATTTGGAAGATCTTCAGGAATGACAAAACTCAGTATTGATACATTTCTTTTGGTGCATCAACGGTCTTGAGTGACTGCACGAAGAGAGTGGTCAGTTGTCGGTCCTTGCGCGGATGGTAAGCGAAGCGATGGCCCAGGATTGGTAAGGTGAGTGGTACGTTTCGAAGCAACTTGTGCGTTGGCAGTCTCCATTACTCGTGATGAGTCAATTTCACTCGAACATACATGGTGCCGCGCAGGGCTATAAACGAACTGTTTGCATTGACGGCTTTCTATTTCTAAGAAGCTCAGAGCAGTACAGTTGCGGCCCATAATAGAGACACCAAGGCACACGTCAGTGCCCATGGTGCTGACCTGAGAGCTGTTGCATCGCTCGATGACATACTGATAGCACCGCTGTTATCTACCGGAACTGTAAAGCATTAGCGCAGTCAAATGTGTACAGCGAGTGTATGACGCACCATTTCCAATGTCACCAGCTTGTTGCCCGACAGCTCCATTTTGCCGCAGTCCGATCTCATTTGTGCACAGGTCGACTAGCGTACTATTCGTGCGGAGCTTTTGCAGCTTGATCTCGGCATTTTCCATATTCTTCCACAGCTGCTCCATCTGCTTCTGATTTAACAACTCCCCCGCTAGGTGTTCATCGTACGCGGTCTTGTTGCTTGCCATCTCTACCAGCTTCTTTAGCTTGTCTAGCTTTTTGCAATCCTTCACAGCTTTCTTATGAGCTTCAATGGGGCCACATTCGACCGTGAGAGTCGTGTTCGAATTGAGATCCTGAAGCTCGGAGTTGATAGCATCTTTCATGGTCTCAATGTAGTCGACCTGGTCCTGGCGGATCTTCTTGTTGGCAAGTAAAGCATCCCGGAGCGTCTGGTTTGTTGCTATATTCGAGAGGTTGTTCAGTTCTGCTATGCGCTTGCACGTGCCTTCAATCGATCGCTGTGAAGGGGCTTCGTTGGTGCTGCTAGCTTGTTGCAGTTCGAAATGTGGGAGCTGAGGCAAAGCATGTGAGACCGCTGTGAACGAAGAGATGGCGACGAGCCAGGCAAACGGGCGCATGTTGCGATTTTGTGTTCCGTGAAGCGGTTGGAGTGCGACTAGCTGATGTCCTAGTTGACACCCGAAGGGATGCGGGCTTCTATGTGGACGGCGTAGAGCTCGACAAGACAGAATTTCGAGCAGTCGACAGCGTTAGTCAAATACCTAGGGTACATAAGTATGTCGCGGACGACCTGCCTCTGCAGATCCGGATATGTGCGACTTGACATTGTTTCACGCCGCATTACGGGCCGAAGGCTGCGAGCATGATCGCGACCCTCGAGCCCGTTTCAGAATTCTGATTCTCCAACAGTCATGCTTCGCACATGCAGCTGTAACCATGCAGCTGCGTTTGGAGATCGAGAACAGCGTCGTATAGTTGAGATGGATCTTGGTAGACACGTCGTGAAGGGAGTTAGTCGAGTACGTGTCCTTCTATTAAAATGGAACCCATAAGCGCAAAGAACAAAACACGTTTGTAAGAGGACACAGCATATGTCAAGGTCTGAGCACGGGTCCAGTGTTGCAGCGAGCGATGGCCGTGCGTGCTTGGAGACAGCAACGCTACTCATGCCCAGTGCTGCGTGTAACTTTGCTCTTCGGGCGACATCGTGGGGTCGTTGAGAGCGGAGTCTGACGGGTATCGCACTGGTAACAGATTTACACGCTAGCAAAGTGCTTGACGGGCTCCCGGAAAGATGAGATGTTGATGGGATCTTGTATGGGCAATCGTGGGCCACAGAAGTGAGGCAGGTGCGAAGTTCTTAATCGATAGCTGGGCTGACTCATCCTTGACCGCGGGGAAGGCGCGACTGTCGGAGTCAATAAAATTAGCCCCGCCACGAGTGTTCACTCGACAACACCACGCTCAGCAATGTCGATTGACTTTCCCAAGGAAGAAGAGCGCATCCTTAAGCGCTGGGAGGAGATCGATGCCTTCCTGACGCAAGTTGAGCTGGTATGTAAAAGTAGAAACTCAGGAATGCACAAGTTTGGACGCGGTGAAGAGAAATGACTAACATTAAGAACGACAGTCGAAAGGCAAGGACCCCTACACCTTCTACGATGGACCGCCGTTTGCGACGGGTATGCCTCACTACGGCCATCTTCTGGCTTCTACCATCAAGGATATTATCCCGCGATACTGGTCCATGAACGGACGATATGTCGAGCGCCGATTCGGTTGGGACACGCACGGCGTACCCATCGAGTACGAGATTGACAAGGAGCTTGGGATGTCTGGTCGTGATGCTGTGAGGGAAATCGGCATTGCCAAATATAACGAGAAGTGCAGGGCCATTGTCATGAGGTATGCGACCGAGTGGAGGCACACGATCAACAGGCTGGGTCGCTGGATCGATTTCGACAACGACTACAAGACTATGAACACTAGCTTCATGGAGTCTGAATGGTGGGTGTTCAAGCAGCTTTTCGAGAAGAACGCTGTCTATCGTGGCTTTAAGGTCATGCCATACAGTACTGCGCTGTCAACGCCGCTCAGCAACTTTGAAGCTTCGCAGAACTACAAGGATGTTCAAGATCCTGCTGTAGTGGTTACCTTCCCTCTCATCGAAGATCCCAACACATGCCTGCTTGCCTGGACAACAACACCTTGGACCCTACCCATGAACACTGGGCTTTGCGCACATCCTGACTTCGAGTACGTCAAGATTCTCGACGAAGCCACCGGCAAGCACTACATTCTTCTCGAGGCTCTGCTGCGAACACTGTACAAGGACCCGAAGAAGGCCAAGTTCAAGATCGTGCAGAAGCTCAAAGGCAAGGACTTGCTTGGATGGAAGTACGAGCCTCTGTTCGATTACCTGTATGATGAGTTTAAGGACTTCGGGTTTAAAGTACTGAACGACACATACGTGACAGCGGATAGTGGTGTTGGTATTGTTCACCAGGCACCCGCCTACGGTGAGGACGATTACCGAGTTGCTAAGGAGCACGGCGTTGTTACCGAAGATCGTCTACCTCCTAACCCCGTTGACGATGCCGGCAAGTACACCTCAGTAGTGCGCGACTTCGAGGGGCAGCACGTCAAGGCTGCGGACAAGGGCATTATCAAGATGTTGAAGGCCAACGGCAGGCTTATTGTGGACTCTCAGCTTCTCCATAGCTACCCGTTCTGCTGGCGATCTGACACACCTCTCATCTACCGAACCGTTCCGTCGTGGTTCATCAAGATCCAAGATATCAAGGAGAAGATGCTCGAGAATATCGCAGGGTCGCATTGGGTGCCTTCGTTCGTTAAGGAGAAACGATTTGCCAACTGGATTCAGAACTCGCCAGATTGGGCCGTTTCAAGAAATCGATTCTGGGGTACACCACTGCCTCTATGGGTCAGTGACGATGGCAAGGAGGTGGTGTGTGTTGGCAGCGTTGAAGAGTTGAAGAAGCTCAGTGGCTACGAGGGTGAGCTCACTGATATCCATCGCGACAAGATCGACGACATCACCATTCCTAGTCAGCAAGGCAGAGGTGTTCTGAGGAGAACACCTGAAGTTTTCGACTGCTGGTTTGAGTCTGGATCCATGCCGTACGCAAGCGCACACTATCCCTTCGAGAACGTTGAGCAGTTCGAGAAATCGTTTCCTGGTGATTTCATTGCAGAGGGTCTAGACCAGACCCGTGGATGGTTCTACACCCTGACCGTCCTCGGAACACATCTGTTTGGCAAGTTACCATTCAAAAACTGCGTCGTCAACGGTATCGTGTTGGCAGAAGATGGCAAGAAGATGTCAAAGCGACTGAAGAACTATCCCGACCCTCTCGGTGTTATGGAGAGCTACGGCTCAGATGCTCTGCGGTTGTACCTTATCAACTCGCCAGTCGTTCGTGCAGAGACACTCCGTTTCAAGGAGGCAGGTGTTAAGGATATTGTATCAAAAGTACTTCTGCCGCTCTGGAACAGCTACCAGTTCTTTGATCAGCAGGTCGCTCTTCTGAAGAAGGTCGCTGACCTCCATTTCGAATTCGACCCTGCTGCAGAGAAGACCAACACAAATGTGCTGGATCGCTGGATCTTGGCCTCGTGTCAGTCACTTCTCAAATTCGTCAACGCTGAGATGGCCGCTTACCGACTGTACACTGTCGTCCCACGCCTGCTCGAGGTACGTTGCAAAAAACCCCACTGACAAAAACTCACTAACGATATTAGTTGATCGACAACACCACCAACTGGTACATTCGATTCAATCGTCGTCGTCTCAAGGGCGAGTACGGTCTGGAAGACACCAAGCACGCTCTGAACACTCTGTTTGAGGTTTTATATACCCTCTGCCGTGGACTCGCCCCCTTTACTCCTTTCATCACCGACAACATCTACCTCCGCCTCCTCCCTCACATCCCTAAAGAGCTCCGCGCTAAGGATGACCGCAGCGTGCACTTCCTTCCATATCCCACTGTGCGTGAGGAGCTGTTCGACGAGGATGTTGAGCGCCAGGTGAAGCGCATGCAGTCGGTCATTGAGCTTGGCCGCATCTGCCGTGACCGTGCCAACAAGGGATTAAAGACCCCTCTGAAGACGCTGGTCGTGATTCACCCCGATCAGCAATATCTCGATGACATCAAGTCGCTTCAAAACTATATTTTGGAGGAGCTGAACGTGCGCGACCTTGTGCTGTCAAGTGACGAGGAGAAATACAACGTCCAATACACCGCCACAGCTGACTTCTCCATCCTGGGCAAGAAACTTAAGAAGGATGCAATCAAGGTTAAGAAGGCGCTTCCAAACCTTAAGAGCCAGGAAATCAAGGATTATATCAAGAACGGTGGAATCACCATCGAGGGCATCAAGCTGGAGGGCGAGGATTTACTTGTCAAACGTGGTTTGGCGAAGGATGCCAACAGCAAAGACCAGGAGTTCAACACGGACAACGATGTCTTGATCATTCTTGATGTCGCCAGCTATCCCGAGCTTGAGCAAGAGGGTCTGGCTCGTGAGGTCATCCGACGTGTACAGGATCTGCGAAAGAAGGCTGGCCTTGTGCCAACGGACGATGTCGGCATGGAGTACAAAATCCTGAGCGACCCTGACAATGTCGGTCTAGAGGCTGCATTTGAGAACCAGGGCCCATTGTTCGAGAAGTCATTGAGAAGGAATGTCGACAAGCACACCATCACTGAACTTGATGGCAAAATTGTCGAGAAGGACAACAGTACTGTCATCGCGGAAGAGGAGCAGGAGATCCAGAAGGCTACATTCTTGCTGCGCTTGATCAAGTTGTAGGGGTGTGATGGGTAGAAGACGAGCATATTCTGGCGCACTCACCACATCACCAAAAGAGTAGATAGACGAGGGAATGAAAGCATGAATATCCGAACTATTATTATGGGTGTCTCATAATACAGACCGTGATGGTGCACTTCTTCAGAGACCTCCTCTATTGCTTAACGGACCCGTCAAAACCGTGTGCCATTTTGCCACCACGCTCTGTCACCTTGTCTTGTACGCTTTCTGAGACGAATATGTCAACAAAAAGGCAGACCTGCCCATCGAACAGACTTACCAAATAGCATTCTTTCAATTTCATAAACTCCTTCGCACACATGTCCTTATGCACATTGCTGTAGTCCGCAAATATACATTTTCCGTACACAGCGCTCTGCATGACATCAGCATTCTTCCCCGTCATTTCGGTTGACTCTGCGTACCTCTGCAGAGCACTTCCCCACGGCAGAAGCAAATTTATCGATTGGTCTTGTGCGTCCGGGCATATTGGTGTGTGGCGATGCGGCACTCTCAGGGCATCAGTCTATTGATGTTGTGTCGCACGGAGGTCTTGGCGGTGAAAGCCGCCAGCGGCAAGTGCACGCGATGCGGTCCGGGTGCAGGTGGTTGGGCGTTGCGGGGCCAAACAAAGCGCGTCCAACGTCAACGCGGCATTGGTCGCTCTCCTTCAACCTATCGTGACGCTCTTGACACTTTTGACGCTGAGATCGCGCGCATTTCTTGCATATTCTTGGGCGTCCTGCTTTCTGGACGCAATTCAAGCTTGGGACGAGAGAGCTCATGTTGTCGCGAACGCGCCGCTTTTTACGTCGCGAGCTCGAATGCCATCCCCCATGAACGGCAGCGGATACAATACGCCTGATCTACACAAAGATGACTTGTCTGATGAAGGTAGGCGAAGTTCAGACTATGTGCTATCGATGCGCTAATTGATCTGCGCAGCCATCGAACTCCTTTACACGATAATCCACCGCGCCTCCTCTTCGCCGGACCGCTCCTCCCGCGCGCTCTTCAACGCATATGAAGAGGTCCTCGAAGAATATGGCTTGTTACCTAGTGATGATGCCGTTCTACACCGGTTTCTATTTCGCATGCAGCAGGATCGGAGAACAGACGAGAGCTTAGTCGAGAGGTTCCACCGGGTGCTGGCGGAGTTTGAAATCGTAGTTGATGAGGAGAGTGATGGAGACAACACTGGAGACGCCGAGGTCGGGGACACTCGCGACACGCAGAAAAACGCCAGGAAGGGCGCGCACAATAAAGTAGTTGCGCAGGCTGTGCTGGCCCATTCAGAAAGACTGACGAGACGAGGAAGTTTCGAGAGCTTCTTCGATGGTTCGGCGGATAAAGTTGCGGGGAGCGAAGTCAAAGACGTGCCGAGGAGCAAGAGAAGGGGCTCATTGAGCCATGCATTGGATGGAATGTTGGCAAAGAGCCGCTCAACGTCAGATACCGAGGCCCTGAGGCTCCAACGGGCGCAGCTTCCGATCCGCGCACGTATCGACGGTCAAGCGCAGAGACCAGACTGGTCAAGGCAGTATCATGGTCGCCGGAGGAATGGTTCCATCTCCAGTCGTGCCAGTCTGCGCATTCGACGAGATGCTAATACCATAGCGTCACGGCAAAGAGATCATGAGAGAGCAGACAGCGAGTACACCGACCGGACGACCAGTTTGGATCTTTCACGTGTGCAGGTCCCTGGCGTGAACGCACCGTTTCCCGACAATCATTACGAGCAGCGTGGTCACCACGACTCAATTCATTATTATCAACAATTCGTACCCGAACCATATCAACCCTCTGATACACGATTGATGGACGAAGCCGAGACGTTCGAACTCCAGCGACTGCATCGAGTATCACGAGACTGCTTACAGGCCTGGCGCAACCGTACACAAGACCTGATCGGGAGACGATACGATCAAGAGGCGTTGGCTGAGGCTTTCGACCGCAGAATCTTGTTGAGGCTGACGCTTGATCAGCTCCGAGATACAGCGCGTATGCGCCGCTCGAATAATGAGACTGACCGCTTCTTTGGACGCCTTGAGGCTCGCGCGGACAGAGCTCGGAACCTGTTTCTCCTCACGAAGGCGTTCACACATTGGGCAAGAAGCGCTGAGGACGAGGTCCAACGCACGTCGGTCGCAAGGAGACATATACTGCGCACTCGCTTCTTCCATGGCTGGCGTGAGATCACTGCTGTCAATGAGCTGAAGGTCCAGCACTTTGTGCTCGCAAGATTTTTGCAACAGTGGCGTGCGCGAACGGCAACTGTTCGTGGGAATGCGCAATTTGCGGTGACTCTGTACGAAGAGAACCTTGTGCAAAGAGTTTTCACAAATTGGTTCTTTCAATTCTGTGGCATTGCTGGGTTAGCTTGGCATAACGACCGCCTCAAGAGGGACATGCTTAGAAGGTGGGTTGAGGTCGCACGTGTAAGTACAGAAAGAGAAGAGCTGGCGACCAAGAAAAGCGACAATTTGGTCCTGGGCAGATTGTTGGCAAGCTGGAAGCAGAAGACAACAGCCGTGCAAAGCCTGGATGCCCAAGCAGATGAGTTTAGACGAACATCACTGATGGCTTCAGGGCTGTACAGCCTTCAGAAGCATGCGCAATTCACACCCATCCTACGACAACTACGAACACGGGTGAACAATCGACGAATGCGCACCGCTTTCCTCACGTGGCGCCACACCGCTCAGCTGTCGCAACGGGCTCGGCAGGTGGATACGTTGCGTGTTATGCGCAACGCCTATACTGCATGGAATGATCGCCTCCGCATGCAGGCTCTGGAGCAGCGAATCAATGACCGCATACTTGTCGAGTGCCTTTACAAGTGGACGCTTGCCTCCAGAGTCTCACTTTTGCAGCGTGTCCACGACCAAAGGCTCAAAGAGTCAACTTTCCATACCTGGGCTACTAAGACTGAGCAGCGCTCGAACACTCTTGAAGCTGCGGAAAGACGATTCACCCACTTCAAGCGAGCTCAGCTCTTGCGTACGTGTCTGAAGAAGATGGACACTGACGCCTCTGAGAAGAGGCGTGAGGAGTGCGCGGTGATTGCTGAGTATGACCTAAAGCTAAAGCAGCGGATTTTTGAAAGACTGAAAGAGAGACTTGAGCACTTTCAGCAGCTGAAGCAGTGGTCAGACGATGCTCGCTTCTACGTTCTTGGTACTCGGACCCTAAAGCATTGGAACAGTGCGACGCAGCAAACACGCAGGAACCGAAGACGTGACACGTATGCGCAGGTACGAAGAAAAGTCAAATCGAACCTAGTGGGTAGGCTATTCGAGAGGTGGCGAGCGAAGGCGAACACGATCATGGAGCATAATCAACAAGCTGCTCTGATACTGGAAGATCGCACTTTGCGCACTGCTGGCGCACTACTGCACGACTGGCACGACCGAACGCTCACTGTTCAACAACTGAACACACAGGCCTTCAGTTTTCACGACTCCAAACTCGGTTCCAAACACTTTAACATCTGGATGCAGCGTCTGGATACGCTGCAGTCGATGGAGTCGCAAGCAACAGCACTCCACCAGGAAAGTACTGAAATTGCAGCGACGGCAGCGCTCAAGAAGCTTGGATGGCGACTCTGGAATGTCCAGAGACAAGAAGAGACTGCGCGAGCATTGTTCGAACGCAATTTTGAAAAGCACGTTAGAGCCATGATACGCTTCTGGAACGAACAAACAGTTGAACGTGTCGCGAATCGACCTGTCTCACCTACACCCACAAGAAGCTCAAGAGGCGGGCGAAGAAGCCCAGATGAAGACCACACCCGTTTTGACGATCAGGACGGAGATGCCGAGGATGACCAAGAGATGAACCCCAATAATGCTGGTGACGAAACGCATCGCCTCGAAGCATGGTCTGCTTTCGATGCATCTGCGCTTGGCCTGAAACATGACCTCGACCTCTCGCTCTCCGTAACACCAGAACGTCAGCGCACATCGACTCGCCCTCTCGTTCAATCAATGTCATCACCGAAACCTCCATCATCTGCCAGGCCATCCGCGTCACGGCCACGTACGTTTCCTCCACGTGCGCCTTCTACCGCCGCTCCTGAGCCCGCCTCACCAGATCTCGACTTTGCCGAAGAAGAGCGCAGTACCTTCTGGGCAGGCACACCAGCCTACCCGCCGCCTACCATTAGCAGACCTCTCAAAGGCGTAGGCTACCTCAAGACACCAAACAAGCGCGCTGCAGTACGCGCCAAGCGATCAGAACTGCCTTCTAGCCCCGAGAAGCGTGTTGTGAGGCTGGGTGCAATGAGTGCGCCACCTGTCCAGACAACCAGGGACTTTGGCGTGGCTGGAGGCGGTGTTGTTGGTGGGGTGACGAGTTTTCAGAGGAGATTGAGGGAAGGAGGGTTTGGTGCTAGTGTTGGGGCATCCGCTGTGCCGAACAGCGCGATGAAGGGAAGTAGAGGGAGGGCTGCGAGAGGGAGAGGAAGAGTCGGCTTTGGCGATGTGAGTCAGTTTGGGTAGCTGAGATGTTGTGTAGCCATTGTCCATTGCTTTGATGAATACAAGTGTTCAATCCTTAGCCTGGCGGCGACTGGTGAGGCACACTGCACAGGCTGTGACTGACCAAGAACACGTTCGAGATATTTTAGGCCAACACGTCTCTCACTCACAACTCTTGCACATGACTAGAGCTTCAGCCCATGTCAACAAAGGAGTCCAAAAGCTGCTGCGATCCGGAGCACAACGAGCCAACACCTCTACGACTGATCACCCCCAGGAACGCAGTCCACTGCAAGTGCTGTTAGGCAATTTTCATACCTGAATAATGCGACGAACAACGATACGACTCCATGAAACCACAAGATTATCTTGTAGTACGTAACATAAGCATCGATTCGGAACTGGTGACCTGCACCTGTCACGATTATGTGCTTAAGACCGGATTTTGTCCTTTTGGCGAGACTCAAACGATGCGGTTAGAGAGGACATTTCTCTTGACGATAACTCCGATGCCAGGTCCATGTACACTCACCAGTCCGCGGTACTGCCCGGACATCTGATCTCGCTATATCCGACGATGCTTGTAACGGGAGGTGCTATGGGGCAACTTCCGAACATCAGCACATTCGGATCTCCCTTGATCGCGTATGCGTAGATCGTGCGGATGCTACTGAGAATCGTGCAGCTGTGCAGCACTTCAAAAGATTCAGACCACACGACACCGTCTCAAGACTTGATCACTGCCCTCAGATCGGGGCAAACGTTCAACACGATCCAACTCTACTATAACATGCCTTTCTGTACGACATAAAGAGAAAGTAGCGAAACAACAACATAATCAATATGCTATCAAGATATCGCGATAGAACATGTGCAGCAATTGCTCAAAAAACAATGGGGTAAGAACAGCAAATAGGTACAGCAGTCTGATTGTAAGGAAGGTATTGATTGGAAGGTCCCGGACCGAAATTCTCCATTGGTTCGAGCTTCAGATACATGCGAGACTAGTTCTACGAGAAGCAGGAGCTGATGACGGCCTCACGAATGGAGGCAGGCAACGATACAATACATGTATCTGTTGCCGAGACGAAACCTGGAAATGAAGCACCTGGCCAGGTGCCCACACCTGGTAATGTTCCGCCGCCTCCGGGCAGTCCACCGATCCCAGGCAAGCCGCCAATTCCAGGTAGTCCGCCTATTCCGGGCAAGCCACCTCCAGGTTGACCACCTCCAGGCTGCCCGCCTCCAGGCTGTCCACCTAGTCCGGGTAGTCCACCAATTCCAGGGAGTCCGGGCAAGCCACCTCCCGGCTGTCCACCAGGTTGGCCAACCCCAGGCTGGCCTCCTCCCGGCTGTCCCCCAGGCTGTCCACCAACTCCAGGCAAGCCACCTAGTCCAGGTAGTCCACCAAGTCCAGGGAGTCCAGGCAAGCCACCTCCCGGCTGTCCACCAGGTTGGCCACCCCCAGGCTGGCCTCCTCCCGGCTGTCCCCCAGGCTGTCCACCAACTCCAGGCAAGCCACCTAGTCCAGGTAGTCCACCAAGTCCAGGGAGTCCAGGCAAGCCACCTCCCGGCTGTCCACCAGGTTGGCCACCCCCAGGCTGGCCTCCTCCCGGCTGTCCCCCAGGCTGTCCACCAACTCCAGGCAAGCCACCTAGTCCAGGTAGTCCACCAAGTCCAGGGAGTCCGGGCAAGCCACCTCCCGGCTGTCCACCAGGTTGGCCACCCCCAGGCTGGCCTCCTCCAGGTTGACCACCAACTCCAGGCAGTCCACCAAGTTCAGGGAGTCCGGGCAAGCCACCTCCCGGCTGTCCACCAGGTTGACCACCCCCAGGCTGGCCTCCTCCAGGTTGACCACCAACTCCAGGCAGTCCACCAAGTCCAGGGAGTCCGGGCAAGCCACCCCCAGGCTGACCCCCTCCAGGCTGTTCATTTCCAGGCTGTCCGCCAACTCCAGGCAAGCCACCTAGTCCAGGTAAGCCTCCAATTCCAGGGAGTCCGGGCAAGCCACCCCCAGGCTGACCCCCTCCGGGTTGACCACCTCCAGGCTGGCCTCCTAGTCCGGGCAACCCACCAAGTCCAGGGAGTCCGGGCAAGCCACCCCCAGGCTGACCCCCTCCAGGCTGTTCATTTCCAGGCTGGCCTCCTAGTCCGGGTAAGCCACCAATTCCTGGCAGTCCAACACCTCCAGGCTGGCCACCTCCAGGCTGCCCGCCTAGTCCGGGCAAGCCACCAATTCCAGGGAGTCCACCTACACCGGGCAAGCCACCTCCAGGCTGGCCACCTCCAGGCTGGCCACCGAGTCCGGGTAGTCCACCAAGTCCGGGTAGTCCGCCGACTTCAGGTAATCCACCTCCTCCAGGCTGACCCCCTCCAGGCTGACCGCCTCCAGGCTGACCGCCTCCAGGCTGACCGCCTAGTCCAGGCAAGCCACCAATTCCAGGCAAGCCCCCAATTCCAGGCAAGCCACCTCCAGGTTGTCCACCTCCAGGCTGGCCACCTAGTCCAGGTAGTCCACCTAGTCCGGGTAGTCCACCAAGTCCGGGTAGTCCGCCGACTTCAGGTAATCCACCTCCTCCAGGCTGACCCCCTCCAGGCTGACCGCCTCCAGGCTGACCGCCTCCAGGCTGACCGCCTAGTCCAGGCAAGCCACCAATTCCAGGCAAGCCCCCAATTCCAGGCAAGCCACCTCCAGGTTGTCCACCTCCAGGCTGGCCACCTAGTCCAGGTAGTCCACCTAGTCCGGGTAGTCCACCAAGTCCGGGTAGTCCACCAAGTCCGGGTAGTCCGCCGACTTCAGGTAATCCACCTCCTCCAGGCTGACCACCTCCAGGTTGACCGCCTAGTCCGGGCAATCCACCAATTCCGGGGAGTCCACCAACTCCGGGCAAGCCACCTCCAGGTTGACCCCCTCCAGGTTGGCCACCTCCAGGCTGGCCTCCTAGTCCGGGCAAGCCACCAATTCCAGGGAGTCCACCAACTCCAGGTAGTCCACCTACACCGGGCAAGCCACCTACGCCAGGCAGTCCACCTCCTCCCGGCTGTCCACCAATTCCAGGTAACCCGCCCACTCCAGGTAGCCCGCCTCCAGGCTGACCACCTCCAGGCTGACCACCTCCAGGTTGACCACCCCCAGGCTGCCCGCCTAGTCCGGGCAACCCACCAATTCCAGGGATTCCTTCTAATCCGGGCAAACCACCGCCTCCGATGACGGGGGGATTTGGTTTAGGTGTTACAGGGATTACTGGCTTTGGAGGTACAGGAATAACCGGCTTCGGCGGTACGGGAATCACTGGCTTCGGGGGGACAGGAATCACTGGCTTTGGCGGCACAGGGATGACTGGCTTTGGCGGCACAGGAATGACTGGCTTTGGCGGCACAGGAATCACTGGTTTTGGAATCACTGGCTTTGGGATTACTGGCTTCGGAATTACTGGCTTTGGAATTACCGGCTTTGGAATTACCGGCTTTGGGATTACCGGCTTTGGGATTACCGGCTTGGGATTACCGGCTTTGGGATTACTGGCTTTGGAATCACTGGCTTTGGCACCACAGGAATTACTGGCTTTGGAATCACTGGCTTCGGTGGCACAGGAATAACTGGCTTTGGAGTCGGTAAGCTTGGAGGCGGTAGACCGGTCCATGGAAGTCCTTGGCCGGGGACCAGAGGTTTGATGATTTCGAACAAGACTAGACGGTTGAGTGCTCCACAGCATTCGGCTGCATCGCCCGCACACGTCAGAGCGCAGATGGCATCGGTAACGGGTTGCAAATTGAACGATAAGAGATTGCCACAGCGACAAGTATCGCCACCTTCGATTCCGGCATATCTACAAGCTCTTTGATAGCAAAAGTCGTTACATGACTGCCAGGTAAGGTCCGGGAGAGTAATGACTGGACCAGTAAGAAGCTGCTGAATAGCCCCAAGGAGGCCAGTCGGTGGGCTGATGCTGATGAAGAAGCCTAGATATATGGAGCCACTAACTGCATTTACATCTGGAATTTGTGGTCGCGGGACACCTTGAGCAATTGGAAGTAGCGGACTAGTTGGAAGTTGTTGAAGAGTCGGAAGTCGTGGAACAGTCGGGACTTGCGGAACGGATAGAATTTGCGGAGTAGTTGAAACTCGCGGCTTCGCGAGGAGCTGTGCTGGGCCAAACTGCGGGAGGGCTGCAGCTCCAGCAAGGAACGGAAGCCACCAAGAGGTAGCGTGCATATCAGTGGCCGACGCCAAAAGACGGAAAGAGAGTGGAGAAACTTTGGGAGCCGTCAAGCAGCCGCTAATAAACGACAAAGGCTGTTCAAGCAAACAACACGCGGCGCAGGGGAGGCTTTGAAGTACGCCTTCGCCCTTCCTATGTTCCGCAAAGATTGTTTACATATCAGGCAAGGAAGTTTCCAGATTGCCTAATCCACGATCCTTGGCCAACAATGTTAAGCATTGTGGCATTTCTGGCTAGCCTCGATGTACGCCATCCAATTCCTACGAGGTGCATTCTTCGCAGGAGTCAGAAGGACTGTAAGTACGCCCAGCACTATCCAATAGCGACGAATGATGATCACGGATCTTTCCGCGGACTAGAGGGGCCAGTGGGTGCGATCTGTGTTGTGGGGGGGATGATACATTCTTCGGCCTTTTTCATTGATACGCGAAGTACAATTGGAGAACAGCGCCGAAATTTGGAGAATCCGAAAGTGAGACTTTGCCATACTTCGCCGACCTAGACCGTGTAGAGCTCACAGTCGTCGTCAGTCGTAGTGGTTATTCCTAATGTAAAGAGGACGGATCATTAAGGTTGCCGACCACGACAGGAAATAACAGCCGTTGCCCAATGGTATTGGAGCTATGGCCTTATCTTTAACTTGTTGGTACACCTAAGACACTTTTACATCGCTCACGTCCGGCTAAACCAGGCATAAGGATATCGCTCCACGATCGACACAGTGAAGTGTGCTGACTCCAGAACTAGATCTCCCGCCTCGCCACTTTCAGTCCTGTATTAGTGTTGCATTGAACGTTGCCACATAGCCTTCCATAAATAATTCTTTAGTCACTCTCAATATATTGACTTCGACAATCTCAAAGCTTTCCCTCTGCTCTAAAAAGTGAAAGTCTCAAGCCAAGGGCAAAGAAAAAGCCTAGCAGGATTCCGAGTCAAAAAGTGTTGCTCTACGGCATATCCAGAAACCAGAAGCCGAGTAATGAGGACGGTCGCTAAGGATGAACGGAGCAACACGAAAGGAAAATATGAGGAAGCTGTCTTGTTATGTGATGAACACGAACAGTACGCAATACAAGCGCCGCAACATCCGATCACACATTTGATAGCCCACGCCATCCGAACATTCGAGATGAGCGCGTATGAGCAGACGAGGAAGTGCATCAGGTGGGTATCAAATTCAGTTGCTATGATAAGGGTGATTCGCTATGATTAAAGACGTCAAGCCGGCCCGCTTGCTGAAGCACTCATCAAGACAAGCAATGCAAACGCTATACACATCGAACAACGGTACAACATCCTTCGCAATCAGCTGTACCTCAAGCAGCACAAGCACATGTCCTATCTTAGACAAGTCGCAGTACGAGACGCACTTCAAGCTGCCGCCTTGCGCGATTCAAGTTTCCTGGGTGCCCGCTTAGCGGTCGGTGCTGGAGTTGAGCTTGCGCTATCAGACTTGGCAGCTAGTTTTCGTGGCTTCCTTCGTTCGCCGTTTGAGGAAGCTGGGGCTTTGGTCTCGGTGCTCGCTGCTGAGGGAGCGGGCTTCGACTGAGCAGCCGCCGCAGGCTTTGCAGCCGGTGGCTTCGAGGCAAGTTTTGGTGGCGACTTCTCTGGCGCGGCAGCCTTCTTTGCAGCACTTTCTTTCGGCTTTGTCTCTTGTGACTTCTTCGGCGGTTCTTGCGTCGAGGTCTTCGTTTCTGTTGGCGCGCTTGCTTCGGGCTGTTGCTGTGGTGCAGAAGTTCTCTGTGACTTGCGAGGTTGTGGCTTCGAGTCTTTTGCAGGGGCTGGTTCCGGCTCCGGCTTGGTCTCTGCCTTTTGAGTTTCCCTAGGTGTAGGTGCTTCTTTTGGTGTAGGGGCTTGTTTGGGAGCAGCAGGCTGCTTGGGCTTAGATGCCTGCCGAACCGCGTGGCCGTCTTGCTGAGATGCCTGCCTGGCCTTTGCCTGAGTCTGGTTACTTGGGCCCTTCTCCTGGCCGCCACCAAATCCCAGTGAGGCACCCAGGCCTCCCAAACCAACAGCAGTGCCAGCTTGGCCCATCGATGGCATGTTCGGCATTTTGGGCATGGATGGCATTGAAGGTCTCCAGCTGGTCATATCCTGCACCGACTGGGACCAGTTTTGCGGCATATCATCTGGCATATCGTTCTTCATCTGCTCCAACTCTTCCTCGGTGGGCGCTTGTGTCTCCTTCGACTGCATGACCATCTTTTCCAAGGCCTTCTTCTGTGCCGGCGTAGACTTCCAATTAGGAAAGTCGCCAATGACACCTCGGACTCCATGGCTGGCCATCTGTCCAAGATCCCACATTGGCCCATTCATGGCACCGTACACTGAGCCAATACCAGCGCCGAGTAGACCCGTGACTGTAGATACGGTTCCTCCCACGATGGCTCCAGTGATTTTGCCAATCGTGACTCCAGGTTGTACACCAAGCCCTGCGCCAGCAGCAAGTCCCTGAAATGCACCAGACTGCGTGTACTTGGCTGCCTTGCCAAAAGATTCTGCTTCGATCTCTTTATTGATAGCTTTGGCGAGGATCTCCTCTCGGGCATCTGGGTCTCCTGCAGCGTTGGCTGCCTGCCTGTATTCCCATGCTTTCTGCGCCGCCTGCAACGCCATGGTTGCTGAAACTCCGGCATTCTGTTTGATTTCGCGTTCAGGGATAGGCTGCTGTTTGCTGGTGTTGCTGTCCCCCATCTTGTTGTTACTGTTCGCGGATTTCGGTTTCGGACTTTGCTGTGCTTGTTTAGTAGGCATGTTCTCGTATTGTTATTGATCCTTGAGGATCTTGAAGGATTCACAGCTGGTAATAGTGAGATGCGGATGTGCCGACGTCATGTTCAAGGATGTCGGGGTGGCGCACGACGTCTAGCGTGTACCCTTCCCGCACCCAATACCTGTTTTCACACGGGGCTGCATCGTTAATTTACAGAGATCTTCACGATCGTGCTGTACGCGACGCGCTAGTAGGCCGCATGTGCTGCCGCAGTGACCAGTGATTTCGGAAGGGGTCCAGGTGTAGCAGCTGCCAACGACAACAACGAGCAGCTTTCGAGTGACGTATGTACGGGAGCGGGAGCTACGATCGAGCCAATGCTTCACTCTCATTGATATACATATCATTTCCACAGGCAGCTTAGTTTGACATAGCTTTACGTTTGTTGGCATTTGCTTTGAAGAAGTGCGACTGTCGATCAATTTTGTTGGAGAGATTACGCAGTGGAAAGGCATCAGTGTTGTTCTTGATGTATCTGCACCTTTTTATCATTGCTAGTCAGCAGTCCTACACTATTTCAAAGCAGCAAGAATTCAGAAAGAAAGGGCTAGCATAAGGAGCAAGAGCTTGAAGATCGTTACGCACAGCTACCTGAGGAAAGAGACATCAGATTGGATTTCGTACACTCACCGAACGTGATCTTAGACTACCCACAAGAGCTCAGTCTCTAGTTTATTGCAAGGTCAAACAGTCCTTCGCCAACGTCACTAAACAGAAGGCCACTGTTAGAAACAAATCAACACCAGGCATGAATGCGTGCTGGATTTGATACGCTGGGTATCAATGAATTCGCTTTCCAATGCTACAACACGGTCATCAACTCGTACCACTACAGCACCTGAGCAGGCGCGGCAGGCGCACTCTGCACATCTCTCGCCGGCGCAGACGGTCTTGCCCCCCTCGCCGCACCGCCAGCACCCCCTCGTCCGCCACGATGCCCACCACGCCCCCTGCCGCGGCCACTATTCGCGCCACTATCTGCGCGTGGCGCGGGTGGGGGCACAAATGCGGGAGCTTCAGGATTGACTGCAGCAGACTGTGAGGCTGGAGCATGGTGCTGAGGTTTGGGTGCTCGCGGCCTCGGCGGTTTCTCTCTCCGCGGACCGTCTGCGGGCTCGCTTTTCCTCTCCTTTTTTGCGTCTCCGCTGTTCTCTGTAGGCTCGGTTTTCTTTTCCTTCTTCGCTTCTCCACTCTTCTTTCTAGCGTCAGTGCCGTTGCTTGCGGCGCCACCTGCGCCGCCGCGGCCTTTACCTCTCCCTCTTCCAGCGGCTTTCACAGCGCGCTCTGCGGCTCGCTTGGCCTGCTCCTCTTGCTCAATTGCGCGCTTGCTTTCGGCCTCCCACCACTGCTGGAATTCCTGTTCCTGTTGAATCTCTTCGAGACTGCGCTTCGCAGCCACGTCTCGGATGGACGTTTTCTCAGCTTCCTGCAGAGACAGAATCTCCATTATGCTGAGATTTTGACTGGGTGAAGTAGGTGAGTGGGAAGGAAGTGGTATATGGCGAACAGACATAGGTACGGGAATCGGCGTATTTGAGACTGACATGCCGCGTTCGGAGGCTGCGGTTTGAGATGGAGAGGACGCGACAGGTGTGCTAGCATCTTTGTCTTTGTCTTTGCCCTTACCCTTTCCCTTGCCTCGGGCAATTGTTTGGCGCATTGTCAGTTGGGGAGTGCTTTGAGCTTGCGAAGGTTGCGGTGAGGGCTGTGGTGAGGGTTGTGGCGCTGGTGATGTTGCCACTATGACTTGGTTTGCGCTTGGTTTCCTGTAAGATGCCGCTTGCCACGGTGATACAGCTGGCGGCGTCGGCTGAGCAGCTTCGACCTCGAGTCCTTGTTGCTGGGCTTGCTGAAGCCGCTTGCGCTCCTTCTGTGATATCTTGGGCTGAGCGGCACGCGCACGCTCTTTTTCTTCTTGTGCAAGGCCAAGGGCGAGGCCAGAAGGTTTGTCACTTGAGGTCTGCGCCATGATGTCCCTGAGGTCGAGCTTCGCGCTAGCCAAAGGTGCTGTTCCCCAAGGTTGAGCCGGCGACCTTGTCCCCGACAGCGCGCTTGGGGGCAGGGAGCTTGGCGAGATGAAGTCATCTTGTATGTTGCCTTGTACGAGCGTTTGGCGTTGTTGGATGGCAGCCGGCCAGTGCGACTCAGGTGTGCCAACCATACGATCATTCGATTTCTCTTGTCCGCCAATGAAACGGGGAGGCTTGATCTTCTCCACCATGCCGCTCTCTTCGTCCTCGCCATCGGACATGTCGAACATCAAGTCTGCAGTTGAGTTTTTACCCTTGAGCTGCGGTGCCAGAACCGGACTCTTCACTTCACTCTTAGCATGGTTAGATACTCGTCTACGATTACGTTGACGCAAAGGAGAGGCTGCCAGCTCTTCCAGACTTTGAGCTCTGAATGAGGCCGATGGTGTATCAGCATTGGCGTGCTTGTTGGAAAGGACGATGGCGTCGATCTTGGCACGCTTGCCTCGTTCGATCCTCTCTGCAAGCTCGGGGTTCCGATCGAAGAGTAGAGCTTCGGCACGTCCGCTTCTGGCGAAGGGTAGATACGCAAGCTGGTTCTCGCGAGCAACCAGGTTCAGTTCGTGCAGAAGGTCGTCATCAAGTTCGTCCAAGGAACTGTTCGGAATCAGATGTTGTCACAACTTACAGTAGCTGGATACATACCCATTCTGCATCACTGCCTCCAAGCTGAGGCAGACGTACTCCAGAGCTGCATCTTTGAACTCTGCGACAGAGCTGGGTGCTACAGCAGTAAGTAGCGAGCATACGTTGCGAGCATTGACTGATCTCATCGTTAGCCCAATTCACACATGCACTGTCGAAACACATACCATAACGACCAATGAGCCTTTGACAGATCTGCGACAAGCGGTCGAGCATTAGCTCATTAGCAACGGACATGACATCCATCGCATGGTCCAAGAGTTCGTCCAGTGCGAGTAAATCGTTAAGATCCTCGCTTGTGACATCGTCGAAGATTTCTTCGCCAGCATCAGTGTACAAATGGCGGACAACGAGCTCAAAGAGATGGGTTTCGACGTTCGTCAGATCTATGCGGACCGGTGCTGAGCCTTCTCGTCGCCCGGACAGCCATTGACCTCCGGCACGGCCTCTGAACAGACCCTCGAAGAAGGGACAACGTTGACATACGATGTCAGAGTGGAGCAGCATCTCTCCATCTGCAAGATCGACAATGATGTCTCCGCTCTCAAAGAATGAAGGCTCCTTGATGGCGAGTTCCATGTCGACCTGTAATGAGCGTCGAGGATGGACCATCTGTCGTACAGCCGGCTCAAGCTGGCGCATTTCCAATCGAGCTGCGACCTTCATCAATTCTGTCCGAACAGAGCGGTATCGGAAGGCCAGAGCTGGCGCATGTCGAGTGACATTCCAGAAGTCGACGATCGAATCAGTGTACGCGTAGAGCACCATGTCGAATATAGTCAGGAAGTCCAAGCCTTGGAATACCACAAGAGTAAAGCTACCCTCCCTGCTAATGGTAAGAAGCTCCGGAATGATGTGCGCAGAGCTCTTGAGGCGAAAGTCGAGCATAGCATCCCTGAAGACACGAGATCGACCAGTCATGATGAACTCGTGCACAGGAAGACGAACATCTGAATGCGTGGTACCAATTACCATGTCGTAAGTATTCTCCGAGTTCATTGAGGCCTGCTCCAAGACCTCCGAAACCTCCTTTTCAAGGTCCTTAGACTTGAGCACACGCTTGTGGAGGGCTTGTGATTGACCGGGTCTGTTCCAGTACCTCGGAACCGGTTCTTCATCGTCGGAAGACTCTTCATAGTTGTGTAGGTCATAGAAGGAGAGCAATGGCGCCAGATCTTCCCACAGACCAGGTTCATCAACTCCAATCTGATTACGTGTGACGTCACAGTCCTTCCGTACAGCGGCGTACGCACCATATGCAGAAGCTCGAACAGCGACAACACGAGTGAGACCGGAGACACGTTGAAACTTGTAGTCTTTGGGTTTTAGCTCGGCTGCAGCTGTAGTGTTTGCGCTCTTGATTGTCGCTCTTCTGGTGCGTCTCCAAACCGTACCGGCCTCAGTGGTCAAAATGATAGAACCATCTTGGTCCACATCGACATCTCTTGCAGCCATGTGGCTCTTCTTAGAAGACCAAATACGGTATGGTGCTGAGAGAGCCTTACGGATTTGCTTGGGGTTAGTGGTCGATGTACTCGCATCCTGATTACCATCTGACCGGCGACTCACGGCTACAGTGAACACCTCGCCAGATGTTGATAAGGCGCATATAGTATCGCCTCCCGACGTGATCTTCTGTATGCGGTTTGGCGCAGTGTCGTACTTCGTTGTCAGCCAGCTTTCCTTCAGAAAACTACTCGTAAACCCGTCAAGCGCGAAGCTGAGCTTCGAGTATCCATAATTGGCAAACACCCACACTTCTCGGTTCTCGAGCATGCATATCGAAGCGCCATCGATAGCTGATACTGTGGCGATGGGGGATGAGAACAGTGATGCAGCGATCTTGCGAGGGGTGATCTGCATCTCCAAGGATCGGGCGTCCGAGTCGACAATGCCCAGCTGTCCTTCATTCTTGCCAAATGTGTACAGAGAGTTTGCGCTGTGGACAACGGAATGGATTCGCGAGGCTGCAATGCCGATTACAGCTTCGCGTTTCAGAGGACCGAAAATTTGCACTGGTAACGTGGAGATGGGATCATCGTCCTTGAGCGAAGGCTTTGGCAAACTGTATCCCAACTGGCCAAAGGCGTTATTGCCCCACGAATAGGTTTCGCCTTCGTCAGTGATAGCGAGGGTGTGGTTCTGCCCCAGCGCTATTGCGGCGATCTTCTTCTGGCCCAAACCACCACCCTCGACGCAGGTGAATTGATAACTTGTGGTTTCGCTACCAATTCCCAGGCGACCTCCGGTGCCATGTCCACACATATACAGATTCGAAACAGGATCAGTTGTCAAGATGGCTGTGTGTAGTTTCGACATCTGCACATCTTGTATCACGATGGGGGTGTTTCGAATGTGTGTAGGAAGATCCACGGTTCCCTTCGGTGGTTGTCTCCTTGCATCCGGTATCTGCGTCCCCATTGTAGCCCAGAACTGGGTGTGCCTTTCTCGATCCTCTTCGTAGAATCGTCGGAGGAGGTGGTCGGGTCTTCGTAGAACAACGCGCTCTGGGTATGCACGATCGTCTTGATCACCAAAGCCAAGAGTGACATTCTTGTTGCTGCCAAAGGTGTAAACCTCATCACCCCCGAGGAGAGTTGTAGGAGTTATCAGACGTTTACGCAACTGATCATCCATGTCACCGCTGTCGCCATGAGCCATATCATCTTCTGAGTCTGAGTCAAACATGGGGGATTCTTCCGGACGCAGCGTGCGATCTTTAATTGTCATGGAGAACAAATCAAGAGGACCATACCCCTCCTTGTCTTTGATTTTAACCAAACCTCGCGCATGCTGGTTGAAGCCTCCGTAGCCCTGACCGAGGATATCCTGTGCGTCTCGATTCAGGATCAAGCGTGCGATGGCAATGTTGCCAAAGTAGAAGGCTCGGTGTAGGGGTGTCCAACCATTCTCTGCATCTTGTATGTACAGATCTGTCCACTGGTGTTCCAACAGGATCTGCGCGAATTCAACAGCACTCTCGGATGTTGAGGATGCTGCGTGATGCAGAATTGTAAGACCTGCAGAGTCGCGACTGTTGATGTCTGAACGAGTCAACAGTACGCCTGCTGTCTTGCGCCACTTTGCGCCTAGCATCGGCGAAGCATTATAACTGCCTGGACTGCTGTTCACCGCAGCGCCAGCTCCTCCACTTTGCCAGCTCTTCTGCGCGCCCGCGCGGGACGGCTGAGTGTTGGATGCGACGACATTTCGGAAATTGTCGACGTCATCTTCGAGATAGTATTTCCAGAGATAGCCGCTCATGTGCCAAATGTTGTTGGAGTCTACCGAGTTTCGACAAGTGCCTGCCCCTCGCTATGATCTCTGGGACCAAAGCGTGTTTAAAGGTGCTGGCTGCGAAACTAGGATGGAGCTCCGAAAGATGCGCCAAACGTGACTGTTTGCAGAATTATCGGTTGGATATACTGTGATGTGGTCGGGTTCGTGATGGATGCGAGTCGCGATCTCGAGGTGCGGAGGTACGTAGAGGATTGTCTGCGGCGAGTGGCAAGTTGACAGAACGCGCTCGAGTCAACTGTGCTAGCGGTGGGGTGGCGAATGGACGCGATGTACGAAGTAGAGTAGGAGCTTTCGAAGTGATCGAATCTAGATCGCGTTGAGATTTTCCGCAGCAAGGGTTTTGCGCAAGCTTCTATTATTACTGCTGCGTTCACTGTCGGCGAGTGTATGTTGTCTGGTACTCAGGGTGTCTGAGTCTATGACGATGGAGGGAAATGTGGTGGGGTCGGCCGAACGTTGCTGCTGATGACCGTGGAGTTCTACCGTAAGCCAGTGCAGGTTATGAGGTTTGCAAAGATGCGTGAAATGCGTCACTTGTGTGCGATGGACGTCGGCGGGGTACGAAGCTTGACACGGCCGTTCGTGGGATGTGTCTTCGATGCTCATAATGAGTCGACCAATCAGCTATCAGTGCGCTCCACGAGCTCCCCTTCTTGCGCCGTGGAGGTCGACATGACTACGCCGGCGTAATGAAGTGCAAAGTGTTCCATAGCCAGGACTGAGCCGTACCTCGGATGTGTCAACTCGACAGTGAGGGTGCAGCGCAGCCCTGACGCGTCTGGGGGATCGCCGTTCATGTACACGCGCCGAGTACCCCACAGGCGGTGAGCGGCAGAAGTGCACCAGACATCTGAAGCTTGATGTCGGTTGGTCAGTGTCATGGGAACGGTGGTAAACACAATGCTGAAGTTGGACTGGCTACCACAAAACGACACCCAAACGTGCGGTACACTGTGACAGCAACGACTCATGCTACCTCTGAACTGAGGCGAACAAGATACGGAGGCTTGGCTTGACATTGGACATGTTGCAGGGTATATTGCGCTGCGCAACTGAGCGTCTTGTCGATGATGCAATCTCCGAATGCGATGATATGACGAGCCTACTGCCAACGCCGGTTCCTCCAGGACAATGAAGCTGCCTAGCCAGCGCACCGGTGGCCAGTGAGCGCTCGGCTGCCAGCCAGGCAGCTTCAAGACACGCAGGCTGCGTCTTGACCGGCGCTGAGTGTCGCACGAAGTCTAGAGTGCATCTTGCGTTACGGTTTACCGGTCAAGCTCGGCTGGCGTCAGTTGTGCGCGAAGGAAGGTGAGGCGCGTGGAACGGAGGTGCGTAGCCGCGGCCAATGGCGTGCGATCTCGCAAGGTGACAGCCAGCCAGCCCAGGATCATTAGGTTCACATTTCGAGGAGAAGGCCAGCAGTCCGACTTCATGCGGGCCAGCGTCTCCGCAGCGGGAGATGGCTTTGTTGAGCATTCTTGCGCTGATGCGCTTCAAGTCGGTTCATTGAGGTTCCTTATCGGGCGAGCTGGTATCTCGGTACGTAGCGCGCAGGCCGCATTGTGGTGAAGCTTGAACGGCACCTACCACCAGCTATCACCAAAGAAGACGGGTGCCAGCTTCCCCAGACGCGCAGGTGTGCTCGAATACGCCATAGACTAAACGCTCTCGATTCCTCCAGCTCTGTTGACTCTTGCATCCATCACGGCCTTCCCTACTGGCTTTGCCATCCCCTATCAGTCCTCTATCAGCGGCCCTGGTCTTGGAAGCTAACGGCGTCATTGGCAGCGGGAGTCACGGTCACGCTCAGCGGTCACACTCCAACTCCACACGCATTGATACACCCCCTACGCCGTTTGCCCGTCAGACCTGTTCTGACAGCGCGTGTGCCAGCTGCTGCAATAATCGCTGTCTGAAAAAGCTTCTTGCATCTCCACGTTGCCCACCGCGGTACTGGTACCTTGCATCCAAGGTGCTCAAGCTCGCCAGCCTTATCTCCACCCATCTCCGCGCCCTTAAGATCAACGACATGGCTGTTGCCTGAGCTGCCCAAGCCCTGCGCAACACCCTCGTGTGGATCTGAACGACATCTCTGACTGTCGCTGCTGACCCCAGCCGCCTGCGCTCGTGATGGCTCCCAGGGCTCATCTGTATTCGCCGCATCGTCCATAACCGCATCCCAGCATCCACCGCCCATATACCGCCCGTGCCTGTTCCTGCAGCAGCCCTCCCGCACCATGCAGCCTTCCTACACACGCCTTTCGCCGCGCACAGCCTCGGCCGCGAACAGCTTACAGACGAACCCCTCCCGAACAAACAACCAACGGTACGGCTCGCCGTACCCAGAGTCCGATCCATACAGCGACAGGGGTCCTGACGACGAAGACAGCGACATGGCTCCCGCAGATCAGAGAAATAGCCAGAAGGTGAACCAGGTCATTCAGGCACGTATCCCTGGAAAGTTTGCTCCAAAGTTTGTTCTAACACACCCTAGAACTTCTTCACCAAGGCTGCCCTCACCATCATATCATCACGAGTCATATTACCACCGGCCTACAACAATAGCGGCGGGATACGACAGAACAAATGGGTACGTCGCCACGAACAACCTTGTCTGCTACTGAGTGCTGACACTACTCCTAGTTCAATGTTGTGTTGGATGATAGCGATGAGCTCCAGCAACAGCTCGCCGACTGGAAAAGCATGGACGCTATGGCCGGCCAACATCCCCCTTTGTGCATCGAGGTATATCTGGATATGAGAGCACTAGGACACAAGCAGTCGCTGGTCATACGTGACGACGAAGGCAAGAGATGGGATGTTGCTCGGGCACTCGACAACGCCTCTTCGGGCCGCTCCGTCAAAGCAACACAAGTTGTACTTGAGCGCTGGACGATCAACGTGAGCGACAAGTCCTCAGTGCACCCTACGGAGCTTAATGATCCTCTGCCGAATGTGTACAAGAAGGCCGTCGTCTTGTTCCGAGCATTGTACACCTATATACGCTTCATACCAGCTTTTAAGTACTACAAGAGTATTTCCAAGCAGCCCGCAAATTTACCTGCGCTCAGACTAGCTTACCGGATTACGAATGGCGACTTCAAGAGTCCCCACGTCGACACCCTGAGCTTGCCACTATACCAGTCGGAGGAAGCTGTCACCGATCGTCAGGACTTTGGGCCTTCTCATTCGCCTGTGGGCCCATTGGGTATATCTGTGCAGTACCGCACAAACTGCGAGTTCAGCGTCGAAGATTCAGAATCGCTGTTAAGTTCCGAATTCATGGGGCTAGACAACACATACTTCGATCAACCACACCGAGGAGCCGTACCTGGATCTCTCCCAGTAAACAAGATGAACACGCAAGAAACACCAGATGTTGGACAAGCGTACGGTAGCCTTTCTACATTTCACCAAGTTGGCCCTGCCACAGGAACGAGCCCCATTTCCGCTCTTCGTGCCGTTCGAGACATGCCCTCATCTTCCCCCACCGAATCACCACCGCAAAAACTACCGCCGAACCACCGCACTGCTCAAGGCTCAAAGTCCTCATTACGGTCCGGCGATGTCCCGCAGTATCAGCAGCGACGTACATCAGTCTCGTTTCAACCTTTCAAAGCCGGTTCCTTGTCGTCGTCACCCGCACTTGGTCCAGCAGCATTTCCGTCGCCAGGCAGCTCTCTAGGCCGACCGAGCAGTTCGTTTGGACGCACTATCACCCCCAATCCACTCCTCCAGGCTCGCAATCGCACTTCATTGACTGCCCTTCCCCAGCAAGCGTTGAGGACGCCGTCGTTGCCCAATGAAACAGCCATCGTGTCTTCTGCGTCGAGCTCGCCACGCCCTGCACCTATCAAATACAGCAGTAGTTTTGGGCATCGAAGGAACCGCTTCTCCACCAGCGGTGGCAGCAAGACTGAGGATGACAATTTGAGCAGCGGTAAGGGTAGCGTCGCATCTTCATTGCAGCGCGGCTCGGATGTGATGAACGAAGGGGATGGAGGCAGTTCTGGCGAAGTCAAGTCGGACGACGACAACATCTCGGACTTTCTGAAATTGCTTGAGGCAAAGAAGGAATTGAAGAGCTTCAACCGCAATGACAATGCCTCCAAAGAATCTGCCATGCGTAGGACCACGGCCCAGCTGTCTAAGTATCAGCGTCTCAAGGATTCTCACGCAGCACTCTCCGATTCTGTTTCTTCTTCTACCATGTTACACCGGTCGTCTTCATCGTCAAGTCGCCAGCTTTCCAGCGTTCCCGCCATGATCGCCGGAACCTCGGTGTCTACAGCTTCGTCTCCAGGCAAACCCATCTCGCCCCACACACCGCACACGCCAGCTATTCCGTCTCGTCTCAGTGCGAACAGTATCATCGAATACGAGCCACGGCCTCGAAGAAGTCGGTCGTCTCGACCCAATCGTGAGCAGGAGACCTCTGAAGCGCAGGAATCGAACCAAGGGGCCGATGCGAGTACCAATGCCATTGACATTCCGACTTCACCCCGGCACTGGGAACGGAACTATGCTCGTCGGTCAAGCTCGGTCACACAGCAGGACCGCACCTTACCCGAGGATGAGACTGACATGTATGGACGCGCTGCTAGCCTCCCACTTACAGAGGCTGAGCGGGCCAAGGACCTGACTCCAAGCGGTCTCATCGCTCAGGCAGAGGCCGGAAACAGCACAACACAGGACGACCAGGGCTCCGAGGAAATTGATCCCCTTGACCACGGTGCCCAGCAACCTTCGTCCTCATCCAATATGCCTGCCAAGCGTGGGACATACTCTGGCAGCTCGCGAGGCCGCACAAGCTTCTTTTCGCACGGCTCCTCGTCTGGTGCTACTAGTTCCACCGAACGACCCAACCGCTACAGCTTCTCGAGTCGTGGACTAGCTCCAGAAGACGACGAGCCTTTACTCTTTCAAATGAGCGAGATCGGCGCTGGTGGCTCGCGCCGCAGCCTCGAAGAAGCACCAGGAAGCTCTGGCTCTGGAGCCGCTGGCAAGCGCATGTCACCCTGGGGTCGATGAGCACCATCGCACTATCGCACTATCACACTCGACCGCATTCCCGTTAAAAAAATCGCATCTTGCATACTACACTTACTATTACGCCCTAGATCGGCACTCTGATCCACTCGGCACAGTCGGATCAGGCGCGCGCGCCTTCGTCTTTCCACATCTTGTCTTTGAGCAGGCGTTTGCCTACTTCCTGTTTTATCGCGCACATTCACTGCGGGCTCCCGCATGGCGTCACTGTTTTCACCGGGTTATCTATTAAGGGCGCACTCGGGTGCATGTAGGTTGGATCGTTACATAAGAATGTCTTGTTGGGGTGTTTTGGGCCTCGCGGCTCGGCGTTACGCATGCGCGTTCGGTGTTGTGGTAGCTAGGTGAAGTCTAAATGTCATGGTGTTGGATAGTAACTTGTGTTTGGTGCTTGCCTGTGAAATGTGAGGTGCAAGGACCGGCCGTGGATGCACCAAAACTTTTAAAATTGAGAAGCGATGAAAAAAGATCACGAGCCTATCTAAAATCGCTCTCATGGTGTGTATGTGTATTGATTTAATGCTTTGAACGTCTACTTCTTCTGCAGCAGCTCTTCCAACCCACCAGCGCCGCCCTCATAACCCTCGAAATCGTACTCCTTAGGGTAGCGCTTGAGGATATCATTCATCTCGCCCACATGCGCCTTCTGCTCCTCGGTCAGCTCCTCCCACACATCCGTAAACGCATACTTGAGACTCGGTTTCTTCTGCTTCTCGGCCTCCTCGAACGCGCGCAGCACCTCCTTGCGCGTCTCGCTGCGCAGCGTCTTCTCCGCCGCATCGTCCCACACCTTGCGGCTCTCGAGCCACTTGCGCAGCCGCGTGATGGGGTTGTCGCGGCGCTTCCAGTCCTCGACTTCCACGCGCTGCCGGTACGCAAACGAGTCGTCCGACGTGCTGTGGTGCCCGACGCGGTACGCCATGCACTCGACGAGCACGGGGCGGCCGCCGTCCTCGAGGGCGAGGGCGCGCGCGGACTTGACTGCGCGCCGCACGGCGAAGATGTCGTTGCCGTCGACGCGGATGGTGGTCATGCCGTAGCCGGCGCCACGCGAGGCGATGCCGTCGCCGCGGTACTGGTCCGAGGTGGGCGTGCTGATGGCGTAGCCGTTGTTGCGGCAGATGAAGATGCAGGGCACTTGGCGGGTGGCGGCGATGTTGAGCGCGGAGTGGAAGTCGCCCTCGGAGGCGGCGCCTTCGCCGAAGAAACAGACGACGACGCGTTCGACTTCCTCGCCTTCTGCGGGGGCGCCGATGCGGCCGACGGTGCCTTGGTTCTGCAGTTTAAGGGCGTAGGCGGCGCCGGCTGCGTGGGGAATTTGAGTGGCCAGGGTGGAGGAGATGGTGTGGATGTTTAGCTCTTTGCTTCCGTAGTGGACGGGCATGTTGCGTCCCAGGCCGTTATCAGAGCTGTTGGCGAAGAGCTGGTTCATGAACTGTGCGAGGGTAAAGCCGCGCTGGAGGTACACACCAGACTCGCGGTACTGGGTGAAGATCACATCCGAGGGGTGCAAGGCCGATGCTGAGCCAATTGATATTCCTTCTTCGCCAGCGGAAACCATGTAGAAGGAGAGACGGCCTTGGCGCTGGGCTTCGAACATGAGGAGGTCCATTACGCTCACTGTCAGAGTTAATTATGTACTTCTTTCGCGGGGTTTTGCCTTAACCTACGCTTCACCATGTTCTTATACAGTTCAAGTGCTTCCTCGTCTGTTGTGTCTGCCCCCACGCTCTTGTCTATGATCTCGCCGTACTGGTTGAGACATCGGTATGTCGATATCGCGTCTTTGGACTTGGACGGCTGTAGAAACTCGAGCGTGTTTGTGAACTCGCTGTTCAGAGCACCAGGAAATAGAACTCTACATCTCGTCAGCTGTGTTCTTCAGTCCTCGGCAGTTGTCTCCTACTTTTCAGCGTTGGCAGTCGAAGCCACGCCTCGGCACTGCCATGCAGGTGCTCTGACTGTCCGCGAGACATTGCATGGTGTGGATAATCTTTGCAGTCGCAGCCTACGCGCAGAATAGCGGAAGGACATTTTGTCGTGTGTATGCTACATGTTCGTGGGCGGCTTGCTATTTGGATATCCGGGGGGGAAGGTCGGTTGTATTGCTTAAGCCGAATGGTCGCTAAGCCGAACCCCAGATTCATTGTGGTCAGGCCAATGGGCTTGGGCCGAGCGGGACACGGGCACGTGTTAGCGCGGCGGACATCGCGCGCATCATCGAAGAAAAGTCGCGCCAAGGCGTTGGATCGCTTCATCACGATATCACCATGCAGACATCACGGATACGGATAGGTCGCCAGTTGCTGGATGCGAGGACGAGAATAGGGCGAGAGTCGACTCGGGCATTCTCTGCCTCTGCACCCCGGGGTGTAAAGGAACCGCCACCGCCGCCGCCGCTGAAAGATACGCATGATGGGACAACGCATTTCGGCTTCGAGACGGTTGCAGAGGCGTTGAAGGAGCAGCGAGGTTAGAATTGAGCCTGTTCTCCATATGCTGTGGCCAATGCTGATAGTGTCGCCATAGTTCGCGGCGTCTTCTCCTCAGTCGCCTCCAACTACGACTCCATGAACGACTTCATGTCTCTTGGTATTCACCGCCTCTGGAAGGATCACTTTGTTCGCAACCTGAATCCCGGACGCAATCCGCTCACATCCTCCTCCGCCGATCAGAAGGGCTGGAACATCCTCGATATTGCTGGCGGCACCGGCGACATCGCCTTCCGCATGCTCGACCACGCCAGCCACATCAACAACGATGCGCACACGAACGTTACCGTAGCAGACATCAACCCGGACATGCTGGCCGAGGGCAAAAAGAGGAGTCTGCAGACGCCGTACGCAAGAAGCCCGCGGCTGAAGTTTGTCGAGGCCAACGCAGAGAAGCTCGACATGATCCCGGACAGCTCTATTGATCTGTACACCGTCGCATTCGGCATCAGGAACTTTACACACAAGGACATCGCGCTGAAAGAGGCGTTCAGGGTGCTGAAGCCCGGTGGCGTTTTCGCATGCCTCGAGTTCAGCAAGGTCGAGAACCCCCTATTCAACGCCGTGTACCAGCAGTGGTCGTTCAACGCCATTCCTTACATTGGCCAGTTGGTCGCGGGCGACAAGGCAAGCTATCAGTATCTTGTTGAGTCGATCGCCAAGTTCCCCAGCCAGCAAGAGTTCAGCGGAATGATCAGGGATGCTGGGTTCCTCATTCCAGGGAAGGGGTATGAGAACCTGACTGACGGTATTGCGGCAATCCACAAGGGCGTCAAGCCTGCGTAATATGTGAGATTGGCATGTATGTTCTTAGGTGTATGAGTAAGCATATTAGACTACAGGAGTAATCTCAGACATTTGCGAGCTATGGCTCTTCAGTTCAGAAGCTGTGTGGAACGGTCCCTATTTCCTCGAAAGCTCGCTCTAGCCATGCACCGGACCAAAAAGGCAGGCGCGTAGCAACGCACAGACATGTATAGCCCTCGTTTCTCTCATACCTGTGCCCCCTGGACGCCTATCCATAACTGGAAAGCTTCATTGACTTGCATGCATATCTCAACGCTCTAGAGTTCCTGCTAACTGTTAGCCCTGTGGCGTAGCACGCGTCCAACACCACCTTAGCCTCGTCAGACATGCCAAACCCCCGGTCAAACCACGATCTCGCGTAAAATTGTGTCGAATCGGGTTGCATCGCTCGACGCTCTCTACTCGTGAACGCACGCATACCTGCATCCGCTGTGTTACACGATCTCGCAACTTCCAATATAACAAATGGCAAACCGGCCCCGCTCGGCAAGATACCTAGAAAGATCTGGCTAGTGCAAATACAACCAGACTCGAGCGGCGAGAGCCTAGCTTGTCTTTTGCTCATGATGTTGTCTTGTGTCGCAGTGATCAGCGAAAGGCTGACGTCACAACAGTATGGGGTTGTGGCACGGCTATGTCATCAACAGTTTCGAGGTATTTACAAATATGCTGAGATAGGTGCATCGATGTTTCGGTTCTTCGAATTCTTAGATGGTTTGCTTACGTACATAATTGAGTGGTTTTGATGGCTGGGCCACAGGTAGAGACAGCTTTAGACAGATCTTAAGGCTTTTCGATTACAGACGGGCTGTGACTCAAGCACCACCACATACATGATGGAGCTATTGGTTCCAATTGATACTTGCGAGGACTGACTGAGAACAGTGCGTAGATCCAGAACATCAAAGCAGAAGCTGTGTCGTCACATACCCAAACTCGAAGACGCAGCGAATGTCAAATGGAGAAGTATTTGTAATAGACACTAAGAGAAATATTTACAGTGAAGTTCTTGCAGCCTACTGCGTTTACCATAACCTTAATCGACCAAAAATACCAAACAAGTTGAAGATTGATGACGGCGACCCATTCCTCGCCTTGATCAGATCCGCCGCCTTCTCAGCCACCGCATACATAGTCGCCTGCAAGTGTGTCGCAGGCACCAAGGGAATAATACTCCCATCCACGATACTGAGCTGCTTAACCCCATACACCAGCAAATCGGCGCCAACCACACCACCCAGCGCCTCGGGCATCATCGCACAGCTACCCGACATATGCGCAAAGCTGGCCTCGAGTGCTTTAGTCCGTATCAGGGCGTCAATGATCTCGTCGTCAGTCTCGCCGTCCGCAGGGACAATCTCGACAGGCGAGAACTTGGCCAGCTCGGGGCGCGCCCAGTGCTGTCGCAGCCAGCGCACCATCTCGGCGATGATTTGCCGGTCGATAGGGTTCTGGAAGGTGTTCCATTGGACGACGGGCGCGCCGTATTTGTTGGAGGGGTTGAGGGTGATGGTGCCGCGGGACAGCGGGCGCTGCAGTGCGCCGATGGCGAGGCCGAAGGCAACCATGGGGAATTCGGCGGCGGCGGCGTCGCTGCGGGAGTGCAGGTCTGCGATGATCTCGCGCTGCTTGTTGAAGCCGGCGAGGAGCTTCGAGTCGCTGTACACGGAGGGGAGGTAGCTGCGTGCGTTTTGGCTCCTGATGGATGAGACGATGGACGCGTATTTATCTGTGATGGTTTGCAGACTCAGGAAGGCGAGGCTGCTTCCGTGGGCTTGGGTGATGGGGCCAGTCTTGTTGGCGTTGTACTGTGCCCATGACGAAGCGTTGATGGTTGGGTCCAGGCCCGACAGTGGATTTGGGACTGCTAGGTCCTTGAGGTCGAATACCATATTGGCGTTGGGGTGATCTTGCATATTTGCGCCTACTGCTGGCATGTCCTTCTTAACGCGCACTCCTGCTGCATTCAGGACATCCTTTGGTCCAAGACCACTCAGCTGAAGTAGTTGAGGTGTGAAGACGGCTCCCGCAGCCATGATGACCTCACGACGGGCGAAGACCTGTTTGACGGATTTGTCTGAGCGTGAGACGTACTGGACGCCTTTCGCCTTGATACCAGTGAATGGACTCTGATCGAAAAGCACCTCGTTGACAGTCTTGCCCGTGACGAGGACGAGGTTACTACGACTTTTGATCGGATCGTAATACCCATTCCTCGCATCAGACCGAGTTTGTGACAACGGTCGAAGTGCAGTAGGAACCCAGTAGGCACCAACGGCGTTACCAGAAGCATGTTCCTTGGGCAGAGGGACCCCTTGAGCTTTGTAAGCTGCCCAGATGGTAGCAACATCCGAGTACTCGAAGTTAGGGAATGAGGCTTGGATCGGACCATTTATGCCGTAGTAAGAGGCATCGAACGTTATGCCAAAACCCTGGAGGATGGACAGCAACGGTGGTGTGAACGTAGTAGACTTCTTGAAGTAAGGCAGCAGACCGTTCCAGTTCCATCCAGTATTACCAAGGCGTTCCCAAGCATCATAATCAGCAGCAGACGCACGGTCAAATGCCATGCCGTTCACAACTGAGCCACCACCGACGACGTTGCCCACGTACACAGGTTTGGTCTGGCCTCCAAGGTTGACATTGGGGGCCGATGTGATATCATACATCAGCCCTACGTTCAAGCTGTTTGCATAGGATGGCACTTGGGTTGAGACATCGTCCACAAGGTAGCCATTCTCAATGACTAACACGGTACCTGCTGTATGTCAGATCCAGTCAACTTTATTTGGCAGTGAGGTCCTTACGACTACTGTCTTCACTCAGACGAGCGGCGACAGTGAGTCCTGTGAGCCCGCCTCCGACGACAATGTAGTCGTATGTTTTTCCAGCGATCACTGGCTCCGAGCCCGAAGATCCCTGCTGCGGTGGGTTCAGAAGATTAGGGAGCCAGCAAGTGAAAAGACAGATGCTGTTGAAAAGGGAACCCATTATACAGAAATTAAAAGAATGAAACCGATGGATTGGGTGCTGGTTGATTGCGGGAAATGAGCGAACCGCAGGATCTACCCAGTTCTAAACGCGGGATGTCCAAAGTTTGTAAGGAGACGAGAAGGGATAAAATCAGCACCTAAGGCCTTCAAGGTTGAGCTATCGGCAGACGGCTCTCGGCATTTCTTAAGCGTGGGCGACGAGACAAGGTCAAGTTTATCGAGCGATTTTACCGTAGAATATGAACGTTTTACGGGTCACTAAAGAGACTTCCTTTTGATACCCACTCAGACAACGGTACCAGTATATAGGAAGCGAAGAACTGAACGCCTTCTCTTGTTTCGGTCCTACTGATAAGAGGTCTTCAACTTTGTTATCCAGGGGTCTAGCGGATCTGAAGGCTGCAGTGGCTTCAGTGACAGATGGTCGCAGCTTCAACGCCGTCACCATAAGCGAGAGCTATGTCGCCGGATGCGGATAGCGCGTGCTAGCAGATGGACGAGGCCTCCATGCAGTGGTCAGAATTTTGCAACTGTGGCAATGTAGCTGGACTGGTGTTTCGGATGGAGGCTCGGAATTCGGATATGCAAGACCACGCGCACTATCGATGACATGCAGCTGTCGAAATAGAGGTGGTGGTGACATGTGGCACCGTTGCCTGGCTGCTCGACGGTTCCAGATCTACATCTAAGAACTGGATCTGCGCATTCGAATCAACGAACATGGATCGTTCCCGCACGATCGACCTAGCGTGGCCCCAGCGTCACTAAACGAGAATTCCCACGTGGTCGTCTCGGTACCAACATGCTCACCTTCCTCTCACGTTTCTTCGTCGCGCGCGGACTGCCCCAGATCCGGGTTGAAATCTCCGGCGCACATCACCTTCCGTTCCGTCCCCTGGATCTGCAGTGCTGCGGCGGAAAACAGCTCCACAAAGTCCTCCCCAATTCAGTTTCTCGAGTGAACGCGATCGCCACAGTCGTGAAGGCATTAATCAGCCTTCGGGAGTATTTCTCGTCGTACTGCGGGCCGAATAAACAGCATCACGCCACGAAACTACGTCCCTGAGGCTGTTCACGGCCTCGCCGTCACCGTAGATTGTGGCTTGCACCCTCCGTATCGGGGCTCGCGAGCGAAACCTTACGAGTAAGCTTTAGCCTTACAGCGGGCCCTGGATGGTTTGAAGCTACGTCTATATTCTCGCATGGTGACGTTCCCCTTTGCCCTTTATGATAGCCGTACAACAAACAAGGCAGCGGTACGCGATCACATACAGCCATCGTACATCTGGGCGCCGTTGGCGATGACCGACTGTGGAGTACATCAGGCGATGTCATACGGGATGGTATGCCTCAAACCAGAGTCGAATCTGGGGCCATCACGAACTTCCCCCGCGCATACGGTTCTCTCTTCTGATGCATGGAAATATGTGAGATGCTGGATGTTGATCAACTGATTCACAAACGTCCGGAATCCCGCGGAGCACTATTCATGAGATGCTCGTGGCAGATCGAAAGGGTCTGCAGAGCTAACAACGTTTCCAGGCAATGGCGCTAATCTACTAGCTGGAATCTAATTCCTCGAAGGTTTACCTTGACAGGCACCTCACAGCCACACCTAAGCTTTGTCGGCCAGCTAGGCTATTGGGCCCAGATGTCTTCGAAAGCCTGTCGACTAGAACTCAGGATATGGCGCAAGCCCTCACAACGTGGTTTTCGGTAGCGACCCTCAATGGACCATGAACAGCCCATGAGGATGAAGACATTATTTCAATAATCCGTATTTGTGTTTTTTGACGCACCTGACAGCTCATGCGAGAGAGGTACTCAGTAGTCTTTTGATGGGTCGGTGGGACTATCTGTTTCCAGCAGCGGGCGCTTCTGCGCAAAGCCACCCGCACCAAGGGCTCACCCTGCTTAGCTGAATGGGGCTACCTTGAGTCAGTCACCTACAACTGATGGCTATCGAGCAGGACCTATCTATATGTGATCTCATAACTAATAACTGCACGTCCCTGCACTCTCCCGTCTGCATTACGCCTTCTTTCTAACCGCCTGGTGTGGTCAAAGCATCCGCAGCCTCATTTCCTCTTCCATTTGATTGTTTCCCTGTTCAACAACGGCCCAGCGTTATGGCCATTTCCGGCTCTGTGGAGGGACTCCCCATAGAGGACCGCTCGTACGACCTCAAAATCCCAATTGTCGTCCTGATTGTCTTCAGCTCGATATTCGTTGGCTTGCGACTATACGTTAGCTGGCGAAACCGCAACTTCTTCCAATTAACAGATCACTTCTTATGGACTGGCCATGTAAGCTCTATCTCCAACTGTGACTGTCTGATCCTTTCTTTACTGACAACAAACCAGGTTCTTGCAGTGGTTGGTGCTAGTTTTGCCTACAAGACAGCTGAGGTTGGCGGTGGCAGGCATGTCTGGGATCCCATCCAAACGCCAGCCAATCTAGAAAAGTACCTCCGGTGGCTTTGGTTTGGTCAGCTTTTCAATCTCTATGGCATGGCTTTGATTAAGCTCAGTATTTGCGCCTATATTCTGATGTTGGATTTCTCGAGATCATACCGAGTCATCATCTGGGTGTCTATTGTACTGCACATTGGCATTAACTTCGTATTTCCATCTGTCATCCTGTTGGGCGAGTGTCAACCCATTTCCAAGCACTGGGACATCTCAGGCACGCAGCCAGGCAGCTGTTGGGGTGACAAACCCAGGGTCATTTCAGGTGAGCACCCATAATCACTGGAGGATAGCAAGCAGAGCTAACAAAACCAAAGGCTATTCTGGCGCCGCAACAAACATCCTGACCGATCTCATCTACACCATTGCCCCTCTCGTGTACATCTCGAAAGTCCAGCTTCCCAGGCGCACCCTCTGGGGCGTCCGCGCTGTCTTCCTGCTTGGCCTTATGTAAGCCACCACCACTCCCTCTCGTTCGGCACCACTGACCCATTCAGAACAACCACGATTTCCGCCCTCAAGCTCTATGAAATGAAATCACTCTACTCCTCCCCAGACCCAACATGGAGCGGCGTCAACCTCTCAATCTTCGCCATCGCCGAAGTCTTCGTAGGCGCCTTCACCGCCTCGCTCCCGCCGCTGCGCAAGACATTCGAAACCCAGCTGCGTCGCGTGCTTCCGGAGAGCATCCTGGGCTCGTCCTCGCGCAGTCGCAAGAGCACTGGAAAGGGCACGGGCAACAGCTACGTTATGAAGGAGATCGGCAACAGCTATGTGATGAACGGCAACATGATGGGCAACCAACAACGGCCGAAGCACGATCTGGATAATGACAGCGAGCACTCGATTCTGCAGACACAGCCGAGTCTCGAGGGGAAGGAGGCGAGCACGCAGATCACGTGCACGACGGAGATCAGTGTCGCGGGGGACGACAGGAGTATACAGAGCCGAGGGCACGACTGGGTATAGCTCTTTTGCACTTAGACAGAATCATAACGTCCATCCTTAAACTTCAGTCGTATGTTCCTGAGTGGGTGACGTGATCCTTGCCTGGCTCTTTGTGACGACCAAAAGCAGCGTGCATTAGCGCTCCGAATCCGGCCTTGCAAATACCTTACAAATACCTAGGTACATCTCCTCAAGACTACTGAGCCCGCGCTATGACTGACATCGGCATACCTACCCAGCTCCGAGCCTCAACCAAACTCCCCCAAGACCCTGCGCGGGTAACACCAGCCACCACCCATGGAAAACACTCAGGTACCAAGTACGCTACGTATCGTGACCGAAACCATGTTTCTTAGGGCGAGGGTTAGAACTACCTTGGCTGCATTCCAGAACCCACAAGTAGGCGTTATGGCGAGAAGACATGATCTCCTGGTGGGCAAAAGTTTCGAGGAGCCTCAGCAGCCACTCGGGTAAACTCGATAGCTGTGAAATCGTGGGTACATTCTAGAATGAGCAAGTGAGAGATTTGGCGAGAAGATGTAGGCTGCTTGGGGTCTAAGGGTTCAGAAGTATCTTTAGCAGCTATTGGAGGAAACCCATTAACGCCGAAATCTGGTGGTCTTGAGGTTTCGTAACGCCGAAATCTGGTGGTTCGTAACGCCGAAGACCGATACTCTGGGGATCGAAGTGGAGTGTACGAAGATCTGGAACTGCCTGCGACTACTGTGAGCGTGGAAATCATATTGGCTCTGTTGTAGCGTCAGCAACCAAGAGGTATGGTAAGAAGATGTGAGCTCTTCGGATTGTATTTCGGAGAAACCTCAGCAGTCACAGGGGTGAAATTGACAGCTGTTATTGTTACTCAATAATATCTGATCACCTGAGGCGAGAGACTATTGGGGGTTTTGAGACCAAGTATTGGAGCCCTCTTATTACGACTTAGGAGACAACGAAACTGCATGTGAATGCAAGCTGACTCGCAAAGCCCCTTCAACTCACTTTCTTAGCCCATTACCGACGAACACTCGCACTTTACATCACCTCGATCCATCTGTTTTCCTGTTCTTCCTCTCCGGATTCGTCACCTTCCTCACTGCATCGTAGTCGATATCCTTGAACCTCCCTCCATAGTTTCTCCATCTCATTGAAAACGCGACCCCAACAACTGGCAACACGCTCACCAGCTCACCAAGGCCCGCCCACTGCGCTGGGATGCTGACTGGATGCCCACCCTTCTTGATCCTCGAGAATGCACCCGCAGCTAGTAGGATAGCACCTACGTTGTACACTGCACTCCAAACGAAGTTGGCGATGATACGTCTGTATGCTCCTCTCGAGATGTCAAGAAGTATAAGGACATCAGCAAGCCGCTCGGTCATCAGCACCACATCCGCGGCTTGCTTCGCGACGTCGGAAGATGCATGAGTAGAGTGCATGTGAGCGCCAACGTCTGCCTGTTTGAGAGCGACCGAATCATTTGTCCCGTCACCAACGAAGAGAACAACGCTGTGCTTTCCTTTCCACCGATTTTCCTGTAAGTCCTGGATGTAGGTCTGTTTTCCCTCTGGTCTACATCTAGATTTGGTGTATCGCTTCGGAATATTCAACTCATGTGCTGCGGCATCAACAGAGCCTTGCGAGTCGCCGCTAATCATGTGCACCGTGATGTGCCGTCTTTGCAACATGTCAATAACCCTTCCGGCATTTCGTTTTGGCGTGTCACGCAGTTTGAAAACGACAGAAAGCTGACCTCCGATTGTGACGCAGAGATGACTGTAATTTGTTTCTTCGACGTGAACAGAGAGCCACTCGGGATTTCCAGCACGTATCTCGTGATTTTCAGGCTGCGTGAAGCCTATGATGCCTTCACCCGGTACACTTGAGATGTTGTGTATCGCTGCGGGTATGAGATCAGGATCTGTACTCATGCGAGATTCTTTAGAGAGATGGCCATGCACGCCAAGTGAGATGGGATGTTTGTTGTCTTTAAGAAGGCCGAGCAAGATGCACTTGATCGTAGTCGGCTCCAGCTGCCCATAATACTGCTCACTGACGACCGAAAAGTGACCAGTGGTAAGCGTTCCAGTCTTGTCAAAGACCACGTCTGTGACATTGCGGGCTACTTCAAGCTTTTGTGGATCCCTGAAGATGATCCCGTACCGTGCTGCGACACCACCAGCGATTAGAACGACCATTGGTACCGCGAGACCAATAGCGCATGGACAAGAGACGATAAGTGTGGCGATGGCATAGGTAATTGCTCTGACAACGGCGTCAGACCAGCCTCGCCTGTTGCGAAATCGATCAATGAGAAGCCAGATTAGGAAGACAAGCGAGCCAGTGACTGCGATAGCAGGCACAAACCAGCCAGCTATGCGGTCAGCGAGTGCTTGTATCTTCGGTTTGGTCAGTTCAGCACCCTCGACCATCGTTGCGATTTTGTGAACGGTGTTCTCGTGCGGTAAAGCCCTCAGAATTACAATAAGCGTTCCGCTCCCATTCATGGTGCCCGCATAAACGTGAGAATGCACACCTTTTGCGACCGGTATTGGCTCGCCGGTGATCATAGATTCATTGACTTCTGAGCCGCCATAACAAACGATCCCATCTGTGACGATCCGAGTATGTGGGAGAACCTTGAAGCTATCGCCATACTGTAGTAGGCGTGCATCGATCTCCCGCGTAGGAGGGTCCACCTTCCGCTCATGACTCCACTCGACAAGAAGTGCTTTTTCGATCTGCAAAGAGCGGAACGAGACAGCCTTCGCAGCTCGGTGACGGGCGAACTCGTTGATGACTCGGCCCAGGAGGATCAGGGTGACCAACAGAGTGGATGTCTCGAAGAAGGACTGTGTATCCAGAGGCTTTCCCACAACCTGGTAGGCATAGCATACGACACTGAAAGTGTACGCAGTCATGGTACTGAGCGAGATCAGGAAGTCCATATCAAGCACTCGAGAGTACCACAATGACCTTAGAGCACTAGGGAGAAACTCAAACCAAGCAATGATCTGGACGATAGAAGCCAGCGCTATCGAGATGTGAGCGTACACAAACTTGCTATGGTCGATGGGAGCCCATGCCAGAACAAGGACCGGGATTGTGAAAGCCAATGCGGGTAGGAACAGATACAGCGCTCGTTTCGTCTGTTTCGCGCCAAGCTCTAGGCTCGAGTGGGCTGGTGGAGGGGCCAGTGTCAATTCTTCGTTTTTCTGATGGTATAAATCGTATATCTCGCGAGCGCCAATAACTTTTGCATCGTAGTGGATACGTGCTAATTGAGGCTGTCGAGTAGCCGTTATACATTTGTCGACAACAAACTTTGGAGTCAATCTTCGCGGATTTGTTGCCAGCATCTCGTGTAGTGCCAAACTCGACTTGGTCCAGTACCAGGACGAGCTCCAAAATTGTTTGTGTGGTTCCGGAAGCTCGATCGTTGTAATGCCCCTAGGTCGGACCTCGCGATAGAAAACATGAGTATCGGTATGGAGTAGCTCGAGAACTTGGTCCTTAGGTCTGCTATTCTGTTCGAAGGAGTATCCCGTTGCTGTGTTGAGTTTCTTCAGAACGTTGTCTATAGATGTTCGATTGACATCTAGGTCAAACTCAAGTCTAGCCATTACGACATTAACTTGGTGATTGCGGATCGCTGAGATGCGGTTTACGGCCTTTGTTATGCTAGTCTCGCAGCATCCGCATTTCAGTCCATCGATGTTCAGCACGAATCGCTGATAGTCTGCAGGACCTTTTTCGACGTCGAGATCACTAATCCCGTCGCTGACTTGATTCTCCGCATCTAGTTCCTTTAGCAAATGATCATCATTATGGCAAGGGGGTCCTGAGCAGCAACTACCATGGGCGTGCGAATGAGAATGAGAATGAGAGTGAGAGTGCGAGTGGGCCGGTACATCTTGTCGAAATGGTCGAGCAATCCGGGAGAGGTCTGTCCTTTCGTTGTGTCCGTGTGCAGGAACGGTCGTAGATATGCCAGAGTTCGTGCGCTGGGGGTTAAGAGCAAGCTCTGGTTCGGAAAAAGCAGGAAATTTTGGGATCCCGGCGTTGGAATGAGTCCCGTCGTAAACGCTACTCAAAGCAGCTTGACGAGGCCGGCGGGGGCTTCGAGGTGGTGAGAAGTCCCAACCCGGATTTTCAGGATACGGGTCTGGTGAGCGTGTGGACCCACGAGACGATTGCTCTCTGGTGTCACCAATTCGAGCCATTGTCGAGTATCTAATAACCGGGAGAAGGCTGACGTATCAATAATATATGTCGATGTAGCGATACCGGACGAGTCACTGAAAGTTAGTGGAGCACAGGATGGTGAACCTCAGAATCGCGTAGTTTGACGTGGACTCGGCATTTTCTTAGATAGGGAGTCGCTCTGCTTGTCAAGCGGAAGTTGCATTGTCACATCACCGGCAGCCGTGCTGGCAGCCGCGCGGGAGAGCATCCGCGCTCGCACGCCATGTAACCATATATGGCGGGGAGTCCCGCACGGTGTAGCTCAGAGGAGCAGCAAAGCCCAAATCGAGTGGTCACAGGAATGTTTTTGTCTTACCAATAGGGTTGTGTGAGCCTCATGAAGACGGGACTGTCAGTGCAGCTGCTCTTGCGCAAGAGGCAGGTGCGACAGAATGTAACCACCCGCAGAATCCGGGTTTGGAGACGCATAATGATGCGTGGTAGAACAATCGATACCGGTCGAGAAGATACCACGACAAAGCATGTACTTACCGGCTCCAGCTTGCGGTGCACCATATCTCCATTTTCAAGTGTATACTTCAGTACGACAAGCACAATCGCACCAAAGCTCGTTGTTATCAGAAGAGGGACTGTTCCTAGAAATCGAAGATTTTTGATGGTGATAATGCCTGGCGTGGTCCAAACTGATGGGTGAATGACAAGCCCCTCACGTGAGTTCGCGATTCGGTTGCGTCATCGGTTGCGGTTCAGTCAGCGCAGGCATCCGGCGCAACATCGACTCATCACAGCGCATCACTGCTATGAGCTTCAAGTCCCCGCTCCCCATAGGAAGTACCTTTAATATGCGCGATGGGCTGTTTGAGTCCCATCGATCCTGTTCAAGCGCATCACTCCAGCGCTGATTACTGTCCCCGCATTGCGTACATACTTGACGGCCGCTAGGAACCATGGCCGGCACGCGAGGCCGCCTGCGCAAGACAAACGACGCGCCAGCTCCGCGGCGGTCGCTGCGCAGGCAAAACACGCAGCAGGAGGAGAAAGATGGCCTGCCTGAAGCTGTGCGCGAGATGCTGCACGAGGAGCGCGTTGCCAAAAGAGCGGCAGAGGAGCAAGACAAGAAACCTCTGAAGAAACGCAAGACAGCGCATTCGCAGAGGAGCTCGAGTCCAGCCCATGCGGTGGTGCCAGTGGTCAAGCATGAGTCCGCGACTGTGCGCCCACCAAAGCCTGCACCGCCGGCATTACCGCCCGCCCTTCTCCCATACGAACCACCTCCACCTATTGTGCCGTCACATCAGCCGGCGCGCGCGCGACAGACAATCGAAGACTCAGACGAGTCTGACGATGACAGCGACATGGAGTGGGAAGATGCGCTGGGCGACGGCGGAGATAGTGAAGAGGACGAGCCGAAACCCGCGCCTCAGATTGGCGACGTCTCTATCACAATAGGCGGCAATAAGAGTGAAGAAGTGTCGACGAAGAAGAAAGTGCGGCGGCGGGCGATCACTTCAGTGGACAGAAAAAGACGGCTGGACATACACAAGATGCATGTCTTGTGCCTGCTATACCACGTCCACCGTCGGAATGCATGGTGCAATGATGCGAGGGTACAGTCTGCCTTGCGCAGACTGGTGGAGCCTAAGATATTGACGAGCCTCGTGCCAAACCCAGACCTCACACAGTACTCGGCATCTAAACGTTTCGTAGATGCCCTCAACGATCTCAAGATCATGTGGTCGAAGAGGTTCAAGGCTACTGCGCAGGGCATGTCGAAGCCGAAGTGGGCAGAGCCAGGGGCAGAGGTGCGGCCATTCTCCGATTTCGATGAACTCGACAATGCCATGGACAAAGACGACTTTCGTGCAGCTGCACGCACACTGCAGGGCTCGTGTGATGTCGGCGGACAGCTGTTTTGTGCTCTGCTGCGTAGTATTGGTATTGAAGCCCGTCTTGTCTGCTCGCTACAGGAGCTGCCATTTGCATCTGCAGCGCAACCATCCACCCCCCAAAAGCCGAGTCAACCTGCGAGAACGATCACTATAGACCCGTACAACAAAAGCCCTGCGAAGAGCCCAGCGTCCGGGCGGAACAAGAAGCTCTCGCGGATGGAGAAGATCATGGGCGAGCGTCATCCGGTGTTGAACAAAGCAGGCACCGCACCAAAAAGGCTGAAGGCGTTCCACATGCCGTATCCAGTGTATTGGGTGGAAGCATTCAACTCCGCGCACCAAAAGTGGGTACCTATAGATCCACTGTCAACATTCACCATCAATGCTCCTGAGAAGCTTGAACCGCCGTTCAGCTACACGCAGAACAGCCTCACCTACGCTATAGCGTTCGAAGACGACTACACAGCTCATGATGTCACGCGCCGCTACGCCAAAGCTTACAATGCAAAGACACGCAAATTCCGCGTTGAATCCACCGCCCGAGGCCCACAGTGGTGGACGCGCGCCACATCCTACTTCGCGCGCCCAACACCGCTCCCGCGCGACGCCGCTGAGGAAGCCATCCTCGCGCGCAAGGTCGCTGCAGAGGGCATCCCCAAGAACGTCCAGGACTTCAAAAACCACCCCGTGTACGTCCTCGAGCGCCACCTCAAACACAACGAGGTCATCCACCCGCGCGACGTCGTCGGCAAGGTCAACGTCGGCAGCGCCATGAACCCGCGCATGGAGCCCATCCACAGACGGACGAACGTGCACACCGTGCGCTCGGGGGATAAATGGTACCGCATGGGCCGCGACGTGCGCGCGGGCGCGCAGCCGCTCAAGCACGCGAAGCCCAAGAAAGGCCGGCTGCCGTCGCTGGGCCCCGACGAGCGCCCCGACGACCAGCCCGACGACGCCGGCGCCGCGCTGTACGCCGAGTTCCAGACACAGCTGTACGTGCCGCCGCCCGTCGTGCGCGGCCGCGTGCCCCGCAACGCCTACGGCAACCTCGATCTCTACGTCCCGTCCATGTGCCCGCCCGGCGGCGTGCACATCCGGCACAAGCTCGCGGCCAAGGCGGCGCGGCTGCTGCACGTCGACAGCGCGGACGCGGTGACGGGGTTTAATTTCAAGGGCCGCCACGGCACGGCGGTGATCCAGGGCGTTGTCGTGGCGGCCGAGTACGGCGCCGCCGTGCAAGCGACAATCGAAGGCATGGAGTACCAGCAGGAGCAGGCCGAGATCGACGCGCGCCGTGCCGAGGCGCTGCGGCTGTGGCGCCGGTTCTGGCTGGGTCTGCGGATTGCGCAGCGCGTCAATGCGATTGAGATTGATGGGCAGCGCGGCGCGGTGGTGGACGTGCAGGCGTCGATTGACTACGCGGAGCAGCGGCGGCAGACGGAGGACATGGCGGGCGGGTTTCTGCCTGAGGACGCAGCGGCTGTCGAGCCGTCGCGGCCGGTGCGGTCTGATATCGACTTTGGCGGGGGCTTTGTGCCCGACGACGACGGCGGCGGCGATGACGACGGCGGTGGCGATGGTGACGGCGACGGAGGCTTCGTCCCCAACGATGAAGACGAAGACGAAGACGAAGACGACGACACTGGAGACGGTTTCCTCCCCGACGACAACGCAGCCAACCCCCGCAGAACCCTCACAGCAAACAGCCCCACCCACGCAACCCTAACGCGGCACCCCTCCTTCGGCAGCGCGATCCTAGAAGCGCACTCGCTGCGCCCACGGCGCACCGTGTCGTCTGGCACGCCGTCGCATAGCAGCGACGATGCAGGGGATGCAGGGAATGCGGATTCCTCGGATGAGGAGAGCGAGTGGGAAGATCCTGCGGCGTTTGCGGCGCTGGAGGATCAGGCGGAGAAGCAGACGGAGAAGCAGACGGAGACGGACGGGGAGGAGAAGCGGCTTGAGGAGGTGGGTGGAGATGCGGATGCGGAGGGAGGTTTTGTCAGGGAAGTATCTGCAGAGGCGCCAGACGCAGACGCACATGCACACGCACACGCACAGTCTGGACCCAGTGCTGCGGCCCCCGAGGAATCTCCACCGCTGTCGTCGCCGTCGGACGCAGGCTCGCTGCCGCTGGAGGACCCGGAGGACGAGGACGCGGAGCCGGACTGGCTTTGAGACGGTGTCTTTGATGTGGTAGAGGGCGGGGTGACAGATCTGATACTTGGATATGTTGCTATGTGGAGCAGTTAGTACACGCATACATCACACCGCAACACTTCTGGTCGTCAATTTCGTTCATGCTATGTGATGCTTTTATACGGCCTCGACCTCCTACATAATAACCTCGTTGGACACATCACGCTTCAGCTCCTTGTAGGGCAGGCAGACGCAGTTCTGGACGCGGACCTCGTCGCCGACGGCGCAGTCCTTGCCGAGGATGGTGATGCTCTGGACCTTGACGCCGTTCTTCATGATGCTGGTGGAGTGGCTGGTCACGGGCAGGGCGGTGCCCTCGACACGGGCCCAGGCGCCGACCTTGGAGTGCCAGCCGATGATGGTGTACATGACGCAGGCGTCGTGCTTGATCTCGCTGTCCTCGAGCACAATCGACTCCTTGATGCGCACGCCGGCGCCGACGGTGACGCGCGGGCCGATGGACACGTTGGGGCCCAGCTTGGCGGTCGGGTCGATGTGGGCCGAGGGGTGGATGTAGACGGGCGGGATCAGGTTGGCCGAGGGCGCGGCGAGCTCCTCGGAGCCCGTCTGGAAGGCCTTGAGCAGGTACAGGGCGTTGGCGGGCACGGCGGAGCCGGCCGTCTTGATCTGGCGCCAGAAGTCCTTGGTCTCGAGCACGAAGAACTGGCGCGAGTCGGCAATGTCGGACAGCACGTCCTGCTCGAGGCGGATGACGAGGTTGGCCTTGTCCTCGTCGTCGTCGTCGCCCTGGTAGAAGGACGACTCGAGGTTCTCCGACGACGGGTACGACAGCAGGCGCGGGCGCTCGGTGCGGCGCTTGATGGCGGAGCGGATGGCGGGGAAGATGCACTCGGTGGCGAACAGGTACACGCCGCAGTTGATCAGGTTGGAGATGTGGCCCTCGGGCTTCTCGACGTAGTGCAGCACGCGCTTGGTGTGGGCGTCGGACACGATGCAGCCGAAGTTGGAGGCCGACTCGTTGGCGACGCGCGTGCCGAGCATGACGGCCTCGGCGTCCTTGTCGTCGAACAGGCGCAGCATCTCCTGCAGCGGGAACGACGAGCAGATGTCGGCGTTGAGCACGAACAGCTTCTCGGGGCGGCCCTTGAGGATGACGTCGCGGAAGTGGTACAGCCCGCCGGCGGTGCCCAGCGCCTGGTACTCGCGCAGGTACTTGACGCTGAGCTGCGGCCATGTGGTGGATACGGTGTTGATGAAGGGCTGGAACACCGACTCCTCGTAGTAGCCGACGATGAAGACCTCCTTGATCTCGGGCACGGCGGCGACCGCGCGGAAGCAGTGCTCGATGATGGGGTGGCCGGCGACGGGGAACAGCGGCTGGCGGGTCAGCGGGCGCGACGGGGCGGGGCGGGAGCGCGCACCTTGGGCAGCTCCATGGACAGCGGGCGGAACCTGGTGCCGCGCGACGGGCCGCCGACCTGCAGTGTGAGCATTCGAGCATTCAGAGCATTCGGAGGAGCATCAGAGCTCAAAGCGTACCAGGATCACCGCCTTGGTGGCGCCGCTGTTGCGCGACGGGCTCTTGGAGCGCAGCGACAGGGAGGGCGCTTGCAGACTCATCGTGCTGGGAGTGGTTTGGGGAGAGACGTGAAGGCGAGAGCAGTTGTGTATCTGGCCCCTTGGGTACGAGGAACTGCTGGACCCTTGTTTACGGCGTGGTGGGGCTCACCGCCTAGTGCCTCCCTTTCGGGCGCCTAAAGGGCTCCCTTGACATCTATACATATGCCGTACTCCTTGACGAGCGTTGGCATCACTAGCCATTGCCGAGATGGCGGTCTCACGAGACATTGCCATACGTGAAGCGGTCAGACTGCAAGTAGGTAGTACCTCGTCATAGCAACGGCGCCTTGATTGGCTGTGACTGGCTCAGATCAAGGCAATGAACTGGCTGCTGTGACTGGTCAATGAACAACTCCAGTTACACTATTCACTGATCGTAGTGACAACTGTCGCTGTCCATAATCTGAATTGAAAATTTCAAGGACAATCCAGACAGGCAAGAACAGGGCCAGACGAGGCAAGAACAGCCGAGGCTCGCGTCTCTGCTCCGCGACTCTGCACCACCATCCGATGCTAACACCTCGTGACCATGTGACCATGGCCATCACATGACGACTTTACGAGACGACTTTACGACACCACACTTTCTCTTCACGTAGTAATATCAATTGAGTCAAAGACATGGCCGTCTACGACATGCTCGACGCCCTGAGCACCGCACGCGACAGACACGCCACCCCGGACCACACCCCCACTATTACAGCAGACTCCACCACCACCCCCCAAACCAACCCCACCGACACCAGCGAGCGCTACGCCCACCCCATCACCGCCGCCCAAGAATCCGGCCTGCCCATCATCGACATCTCACCCTTCCTGGACCCGCACTCCACAGCTTCCGCCCGCCAAACCACCGCCAAAGCCATAGACGCCGCCTGCATCAACTACGGCTTCTTCTACCTCACCGGCCACGGCATCCCGCTCAGCACCCTCGACGCCATCATCTCGCTGGCGCGGGAGTTCTTCGCGCTCCCGCTCGCCGAGAAGAACAAGATCAAGCGCCACGACGCCGGCGGCCCCGAGGGCGGCGACTCGGCACGCGGGTACCAGGGCCTGGGCGAGAACGTCACGGGCGGGCTGAACGACGTGCAGGAGGCGATTGACTTCTACCGGCCGTGGGACGGCCCGCTCGAGGACGGCGACGGCGGGCCCGGCACCCGCAAGACGCTGCAGGGCCCCAATCTGTGGCCCGAGCGGCCGCAGGCGCTGAGGGGCGTGTATGAGGAGTACATCGCACAGGTCACGGAGGTGGGGCGCGCGCTGGTGCGGGCCATGGGGGTGGCGCTGGACTTGGGGCCGGCGGACGCCAACGCCGCGGCCGAGGACGAGGACGAAGACGTGTTTGCGCGCCACTGCGACGAGAGCTTCTGGGTGCTCAGGATGATCAACTACCCCCCTTTGCCGGCGTCGGCGCTGCACAAACAACGCCAGAAACAACAGCAAAAAGACGGAGAAGAAGGAGAAGAAGAAGGAGAGGTCATCGGTGCCGACGAAGACCCCTCCCAGTTCTCCTGCGGCGCGCACACAGACTACGGCTGCGCGACCCTGCTCCTCGCCGACCCGACCCCCGGCGCGCTCCAAGTGCAGCTCAAAAACGGCGCCTGGCTGCCCGCACACCCGGTCCGCGGCGCCTTCGTCGTCAACATCGGCGACATGATCGAGCGCTGGACCAACGGCGTGTGGAAGAGCACGCTGCACCGGGTGATCCACCGCGCGAACCACTCTCCAGAGTATGCTGGGCGCGTGTCGGTGCCGTTCTTCTTCGAGCCGAATTTCGACGCGCAGGTGCGGCCGCTTAAGAAGTGCGTGCGCAGGAGTGGGAGGGAGGAGATGGGCGGCAGGGGCACGTACGGGGAGCATTTGCTGACGAAGGTGTTTAGCAATTTCTACTATAGCAAGCGAACGGATTGGTAGTTCTACATCGCTGTCCCTTCTCTGTGGCCCCTCGAATCCCCAATCTCAGTCTCACCCACCGACCCCAACCCCACCCCTCAACGCCGTTTTCCTCGCAGAACTGCGTGCTGCCCGAATCAGACTACTCCCCATCAACCTCGACCTCCACCCCCCCAAACTCCCCTACCAGCTCGCCCCCCTTCCCCTCGGGATCCGGCCGCGCCACCAGCCCCCCAACGCCAACCCGCCACCCCTCCGTGGCCGCAAACACCCAATTGATTTCGCGCAGGGGCACGCGTGTTTCTCCCGTAGATGTGGTGAGGACGCGGTACACCCAGAGACTGGAGCCGAGGGGGTCGGCGTGGCGCTCGACTTCGATGGTGGCGGAGGGGCGTGTTTCTGCGTCGGCGGTGGAAGAGGTGTTTGTAGAGGTGTTGGTGTCGAGCGGCACAACACTCCAATCCGCCCACGCATCGCACGCAACCGTACTAACCCACGGCCTGCCCTCGTACCACTCGATCCCCGTCTTCACCCACTTGCCCTTTTCACCACCCTCCCCGTCGCGGTCAAACCGCAACACCAACCCCGCCTGATCATACTGCCTCAACTCGCCCGCCGGCGGCAGCGAGAACGTCACGCGCGCACGCCGGAAGGATGAGAGGGGGTAGGTGGGCAGGGTGGCCGGGTGGGTGGGCGCGGTGGAGACGTCGGTCGCGGGGGGTTTGCGCCAGAGGTCTGTTTGGGGCGGGGCGGTGAGGGCGAAGGGGCCAGTGCGGATGAGCTGGGTTTTGGGAGGGGAGGTCATGTTGGCGGGGGCCGCGGGGGGGTGGGGGGTGGCTGCGGACGGGGTGATGGTGGTGATGGTGGTGAGGAGCAGAGGCAGGAGGTGTGTTGGGAAGTGCATGATGAGGTGAAGGGAGGGCGGCAGTGGCTGCTTTATACGCTGTCCTGCGGCTACTGTTCATCGCTCGTGAGATCACTAATTCAGTCCATGTCGTGCTCTATCCACCCCTCATCCATCGTACGTGAGTACGTAAGTGGTGAGTCCGGCCCCCGGACAGCGCTGCCGGGCAGCCACACAGCGCCTGCACGCCCTGCGTTGGCGGGGGAGTGCGAGGTTGCGTTGCATCGTATACCTTGGTACCTGACGTTGTGCCTGACGTCGGGCTGGGGCGCGCTAGCTGCTTGGGGCGGGGAAGTGCGAGGTCTGGGCCGACTGTGGGCGAATCAGGGAATATCAAAGCGATTAGTCAGCGAAGGGGGATCACGAGGTTTGTGGCAAGTATGTGTGGTGCTGCATCGTGTCGTGGTTTGAGAATTGCAGAGGTACATTGTATTTACAGTCTATTCTACTTCTTCTCGTCCTTGGGGGGCTCGGGCTTGGGGGTGGGCAGCTTGAACTGCGGGGGTCAGCAACAGCAGCAGGGAAACGACGCACAAGACTCACGCTCTCCGGGGTGGTGTCCTGGCCGGTGCCGACCTGCTCCCAGGCGGCCGAGCCGCCGCGGAAGTTGCGGAAGGCCTGGGTCATCTCGAGCGGCTCGACGACAATGCGCTTCTTCTCCTCGTCGTAGCGGATCTCGGTGTAGCCGGTCATGGGGAAGTCCTTGCGCAGCGGGTGGCCGTCGAAGCCGTAGTCGGTCATGATGCGGCGCAGGTCCGGGTGGCCGACGAAGAAGACGCCGAAGAGGTCGTAGACCTCGCGCTCGTACCAGTTGGCGCCGTCGTAGAGGTCGCACAGCGACGGCACGGGGGTGGCCTCGTCGGCGTACGTCTTGACCCTCAGGCGCGAGTTGTGGCGGATGGACAGCATGTTGTAGACGACCTCGAAGCGCTGGTCCTTGGTCGGGTAGTCGACGGCGGTGATGTCGGAGATCTGCGTGTACTCGGCGGCGGTGTGGTACTTGAGGAAGGCGAAGACGGGCAGCACGGCGGCCGGGGCGATGTAGATGGTGAGCTCGTCCTTCCACACGGAGAACTGCTGGATGTACTTGGGCAGACAGGCCATGAGGTAGTTGCCGTACTTGTGCAGCGCCTCGCCCTTGGTCTTGAGGCTGTCGACGGGGTTGACGACGGCGCGGCGCAGCGTCTCTGCGGGGCCGCGCGGGGCGTACTGTGCGGTCAGCGCGGCTTCAGCGCGGGGGGCATGGGCAGCCTACGCGCATGTTGGGCGTGTCGGAGGCAGCGCCCGCGATGTCCTTGGCCCGCAGCGCCGTGGTCGAGAGGGCGCGGGCGGCCGGGCAGCGCGCAGCGCAGGCCAATGGGCGGCTGACGGCAAGGCGCATCGCCATGGTGTGAGAGGCGGTCGGGGCGGCGCGGTGGTCCTGGAGGGGGGTGGAGGCGGAGGCGGGAGAAAGTCGCGGCGTCCTGACGTTCACGAAGCCGAGTAGCAGCAATGCGAGCTGCGAGCTGGTCCGTGCGCGCCGACAGTCTCTTGCAGCGGCGACGGCCAGCGTCCATCACCACCCGCGCATCTTTCCTTGACTCGACCCGGCCGGCGTTTGTTTGCGTCCTTTGCAGCCCCAGCTCTCCCTCGCCCACCACACGCCCGCCCGCCCCGCCGCCCGCCGCTCGACGCCTGGCCCGCCCCCGGTGGCCACTTCACCCGCAGCGCCCACGCATCGCCCACCAGCCCACCGCCCACCGCCCACCGCGCCCACCACACCCGCCGCCATGTCCCGCCTGCAGTACGACCAGTTTGTCGACGACGACGAGGACGAGTGCTGCCCGCTCTGCGTCGAGGAGTTCGACCTGTCCGACCGCAGCTTCCGCCCGTGTCCCTGCGGCTACCAAGTACGCCGCCCACTTTCGACATCAGACCGCCACTGACCCCCCCAGATATGCCAGTTCTGCTACAACAACATCAAGACCACCATGAACGGCCTGTGTCCGGCCTGTCGCCGTCCCTACGACGACTCGACCATCGAGTTCAAGAACATCACCCCCGAAGAGTGCGTCGCGCCCCTCTTCCCCCCTCCACCCGCCTAACGCGCACAGGATGGCCAAGCACAAGCAGCAGATTGCCCAGAAGGCGAAGAAGAACGCCCAGATCCGCCAGAAGGAGGCCCAGAAGGCCGAGGCCGACTCGCTCAGCCGCAAGCACCTGGCCGGCCTGCGCGTCGTGCAGAAGAACCTCGTCTACGTGACGGGCCTGACGCCGACCATCCGCGAGGACCGCCTGCTGGACACGCTGCGCGGGCCCGACTACTTTGGCCAGTACGGCAAGATCATCAAGATCGTCGTCAGCAAGGCCCGCGAGAACGCCCAGCACCAGCAGTCGGTCGGCGTCTACGTGACCTTTGCCCGCAAGGACGACGCCGAGGCCTGCATCACCGCCGTCGACGGCTCGCAGAACGGCGAGCGCGTGCTGAGGTAAGTGTTGCGCTACGATTCACGTCACTACAGCTTGTAGTCAAGTCATCACCGATGTCATGCTAACACCCCCAGGGCCCAATACGGCACCACCAAGTACTGCTCCGCCTACTTGCGCGGCGAGCAGTGCAACAACCGCAACTGCATGTTCCTGCACGAGCCCGGTGAGGACAACGAGAGCTTCACGCGCCAGGATCTGTCCATGATGAACTCGATCCAGACCCAGCAGCCCGCCCAGTCCGCCACGTCGCGCTCCGCCCCGCCTGCCCACCCGGGCCCGCCCGTCTCCGCCGCCGTCACCACGGCCGCCGCGCCCATGAGCCGCCAGCACAGCAACGAGGGGTCAAGTCCCACCCTCGAGGCCCCGGGCCTGCCCGCCACCGCCGGCTGGGCGAGCAAGGCCGCCCTCGAGCGCCGTGCCAGCCGCTCGACCATCGCGTCGCATCCCAGCCCCATGGTGCAGAACGCCACCCCCGCGCAGTCAAAAGCACCGACGCCCGCGCCGAAGAAGGAAGAGCCGCCCAAGCCAGAGCCGCCCAAGCCAGAGCCGCCCAAGCCAGAGGAGCCAGTGCCAAAACCCAAGACCAGAAAGGAGGAGAAGAAGGAGGAGCGCAAGAAGGAAAAGGCAAAGGAAAAGGCCGCCCAGAAGTCCAAGAACGCGTCGCCCGAGCCCAAGCCTGTAAAGCCAAAAGCAACCGGCCTTGAGGGTTTGCTCAAGGCCATCTGCAACTCCGACTTCAAGTTTGTCTTTTCGAGCGCCGCGCTTTCAGACGAGGACTTCAAGGCCATTATCGAATTCCCCCAGCTTCTGGATCCCAATGGAGGCGCCAAACGACGCGCCATGCGGGAGAAAGAGCAGGAGCTCCTGAACCAGCGCGAGGCCGAGGCCGAGGCGAAAGCTGCTATGCAGCCCCAGCCAGCCGCAGCCGCAGCCGCAGCCGCAGAGCCTGAGGAGAACGAGGCCACCGCTGGAGGCAGCCTCCAACTCGGCGGCGAGCCCGAAGGGAGTCACGACCCCACGGGCAACCACCAGAATCAACACGTCATTGCTCCTCCAGGTCAGCAGGGATTCGGCGGCAACCTCTTCGGCAGCGCTCTGGCAGAAGACTTCAGTAACCTCGGTCTGAACAACCGCGCCCTGACGCCAGCGCAGCAGCAGCAGCTCCTGCTGTCCAACTTCAAATCTGGACCCCAGTCTGCCGCCCTTCTCTCCACCCTGCAGGGCGGCCAGAACCAGCAGAACCTCAACGCAAACCCAACAGGCCACGGCAGGCACACCTCCCGCTTCAGCTTCGCCAACGACAGCGCCTCGGCGTCCGCAAACGTCCAGCCCGTCGCAAACCAGAAGCTCATGAACCAGCAAAACTCAATGATGCCGAAGAACGCGAACCAGTTCAATCAGATGCCGCAGCAGCAAGCTCTGGGCGGACACTTCTTCACCAACGTACAGGGACCGCCGCCGGGCCTGAAGCCCACCGGCACCCCGCCTGTTGGCGGCACCAACATGTTTGCGCAGGGCCACGGCTTCGCTACCGGCGGTCTGCCCTACGGCGCAAACGCCAACCGAAGCACCAATGAACTGTATCAGGATCTGCTCCGCAACAGGAACATGGACGGTGGTGCTAGGACGGCTGATTCTGGTAAGCGTGAGTCAATGTTTCCTTCTTTCCTCAACCAACACCCCTCGACCTCTACATCCCCCGCCCCTGGCCTGCTGAACTTCCCTTACGGACCCTCGCCTGGCGCTTACCAGGAGTCTGGTTCGCAGAAATCTAAGAAGAAGGGCAAGAAACATCGCCACGCCAACACCACTTCCTCTGGAGGAGGTGGCATGGCTGATATGCAAGACCCGAGCATCTTACAGGCGAGGCTCCATCAGGCGAACATGGCCCAGGGCCCCTATGGCCAGGGCCAGAATGGCTTTTCTTCTCTTTACGCAAACAACAACAACTTCGGCGGCGCCGGAAGGTGGTAGACTTTCGCTTCTTTCACATACTTAGTCGGCCCCTGGTCAGAGACTGTCTTGTACTTTTGCGGCAACGACTCGGCATAAGTGCAAGGCACTGCCAGCGTTATGAGGCGTTATGGTTTTGGCACTGCATCGGCATACCAAGTGCAAGGCACTATGCCCGGCGTTATGAACGGGCTAGTCATGCTTCGGCACGATTTCATGGATTTTCAATACCTTGCATCTGTCATGTTTTTGCTTGGGTGGATGCGCTGCTTGGCAGACGCCTGGTTCTCGTCTCGTCTCTCGTCTCTCGTCTCTCGTCATCTTCGTCATTGCCATCGCATGTACGTAACGTCCCCTTCCTGCCGCTATCGTCGGCATGCTTACTTTCTAATAGAGAGATGGCTTTTTGATCTTCTGCCTTTGAAGTGACGAGATGCGAGAGATGTCTTGACGAATTCTCAATGCCTTTGTAACTTGATGTATCTGCTTAAGCGTTGCCTATTGTTCACTGTTGCATTAATGTTGACGGAATCTTGCTGACGGTGTACTCAGTAGGTACATTCGCCGATGAAGAGCAAGCTACGCTCGAAGTCGATGCGCTGGTCAACGACGACGAAAACGAGCCCGTACGTCCGCTTGGCACGCCATTGGCTGGGCAGTTTTTCGAACAGCCGCGACGGTCAACGCCATCCATTCCGCCAGGCTTCACTGCTCCAGCGGTGAGGGCTATCGCTGGGGACGTTACTGTTCAAGGCTCGCGCACCGGCTCGCATCCAATGTCACGGACCGCTTCGTCTACGATCATACCCGCGATACCCATTGTGCCAGTCACTCCCGTGAAGTCGGAGGCGAGGACAAAGAAAGGGAAACAGGCCGTGAAAAGCGTCGAAGTGGATGCCCCGGCTGCAAGTGCGAGTGTCGTGCCTGCGACACCGACCAGGGCGACTGTTAAAGGGAATAAATCACAAGACACGACGGAAGCTTCAAGTAAAGCGGCGGACACATCGAAGAAGCCTGAGCCGAAGGAGAAGAAGGCACCAGAAACACCTGCGAAGGCTGCAACGAAAGCTAAAGCAAAGAAGGTTGAAAAGGCGGAGAAGTCGTCAGAAGAGAGTGCTTCGAAGCTTCCCCCCAAGGATGTCACTGATGCGAACACAACAGCGAATGCCAAACGCCATCCCGGGAAACTTGACATTCCAGCTGCAAAGGTCGTCGAGAAGGAGCCGGTGCCTGCTACGACACCTGGCCACACCAAGAACGCGCGCAGCATCCCTGCCATGAAGATTCCTTCGGTCCCCGCCAGCCCAGCTGTCGCAGCTGCGCCATCCCCCATCAAGCACACGGCTGCGCCTCGAACACTGCGCTTGGTGTCCACTCCAAAGGTAGAGACGCCCAATGTGGCGCCGCCACCTCTTCCTCAGATTCCCACCGTGGACAAGTTAAGATCCAGACAAGCGAGCATTGCATCGTTGAACCAGCCCGGCACCCCTGCCAGCGAGCTGATCTCCGACACAGCATCAATGACATCGGGCATGGTCTCCAGGGCAAGCTCCCCACCTCCCACCATTGTCGGATCCGCACCAGTCAGGAAGATCACCAAAGCGCAGGCAAAGAAGAACAGGCAGGAGCGCAAGCGCACTGAAGAGGAGAAGGAGAAAGCGGAGGTGGGGTCTGACGTTGAGGTCGTCCAAGCACCCATCATTGGCCGCAAGAAGAAGGCCAAGAAGCCGAGTTCGACGCCCAAGCCAGTCGCTGCGATGGCCTCGGCCATGAAGGAGGCCGCCAGAAGCCAGCCGGCTTCGCCGAAGAGCGCGACCGTCGAGGATGACCCGCTCGAAGCACCGGCCGTGGCAACGGTCAAGGCTCAGTCTGCGCACAACTCGGCGAGCGCGACGCCCGAACCTGAACCCCAGCACGAGGACGTGAAGGAGCGGCGCGAGCCAAGCGCGCAGTCGGTACTGAGCGACCTCCAGAAGAGCGGCGAGCTGCTCATGTCGCAGCTCGAATTCTTCAAACCGCTCTCGTCCAGCTACCTGCACTCTCTCCGCAACACCCCGTCCGGGCAAGTAACACTACCCCCGGATCTCAAAGTTCACCTCTCGGAAGCTGATCTCGACGCCCTCGCCGACAAAGACGCCGTCCGCCTCAAAGGCCAAGACGGCAAGCGCGACTCCTACACCCTCATCACCCCCAACGGCAGATTTCTCTGGGGCCTCACCGCCGAGCTCGAAGAGCGCGCACTCACCCTCGAGCACGAAATCGAGAAACTCGCAAGCTACCTGCGCTTCCACCCCCCGCCGCGCGCGCCCCGCGCCCCCGCCCTCAAAGACGCCAAATCCCCGTCCTCGGACCCCGCGCTCTTCGCCGCTGAGCCCCCCCTCCCGCCGCTCGACCACGGCCCGGCCCTCGCCACCCCCGCCGACGCCGCCGCCTACCTCAACCAGTTCGTGCTCCCCGCCACCGACTCCCCGCCGCCCGCCCACCCGCGCCCCGAAATGGCAGCCGTCGGCGGCATGCCCGCCGCCGGCACCGCGCTCGTCCAGGCCCCCCCTGGGCGCGGCGCGCACGCCGCGTGTCTCGAGAAAGCAGCGCGCAGCGTCGTGCTCGGCGGCCGCGGGGGCGAGGCTGAAATCGAGGGCGTCGCCGTGGTGCGCGGCGGCGACAAGGGCGGCGTGTGGGTCAGTGGCGTCGAGGGGCTTGTTGGCGTTGGTGTCGGCGTGGGTGTCGGCGTGGATGGCTGTGGCTCCGGGAGAGACAGGGCTGCAGGCAGGGATCGCGCGAGGGATGCGAGGGACGGCAGGGCGGTGTTGGGGCTTGAGGAGGCTGAGGCTGCGATGGTGGGGGCGCGCAGGGAGCAGGAGGTGTTGGAGCGGAAGCTGGGCGCGCTGTTGAAGCGGAATCGGAAGGTTGCGCGGTGCTGACGCTGGGGAAGAGGGGAGTTGTTGTTTTGATAGGGTTGGGGTGTTGTGTGGATAGGGAGTGCTGTTGTATAGATAGCGAGACTGTGTTGTACTGTACTGTACTGTACTGTACTCCACTGTACTCGTGGCACGAGACAGGCTGCTCTGCGCCGGGCACAGCGTGTTGTAGTATACCTCGCCGGCCGCTAGTCGCTAGTCGTTGTTGTTGGAAATAGGATATCCATACCACGCACCAACTCACAAAATTCATACCACGCAGCGATTTATAACGCCAACTCAAACCACACTTCATGGCACTACTTCAATCCACGACTCATAACACTCATTCAAACCACAATTCATAACACTCCTTCTGACCAACCCGCCCCCATCACCACCCTCCATCACCCTCCATCATCACTCCCCGTGCCGCGTGCCATGTGCCGCGTGCACACGTGCCCTCCACACATCCCTCGCGCACACTTCGCCATCCCAGCGCATGACGTCCTTGCACACGCCCCAATCCACCTCGTAGCAGCCCCGTGCAGCCCCAGGCAGCCCCAGGCAGCCCCAGGCAGCCCGTCTCCACGCTCCTGCCCGCGGCGTCCGAGATCCAGGGCACGCCGTCCAAGACCCATCCCACGCCGCCCAACGACCCTTTCCCAGGATTCACTACACGAGCAAGGTACAGCGCAGCGCGGGACCACCGGTAACGACTAGGGCACGTAAGCGCGCCGGGTAGCGTTACGCGGTACGGTACGGTACGGTACGGTACGGCACGCAGACGCGGTGGAACAGGGATGAGGCGCGCGAGCAGCGTGGCGTGGGGGCGTGGGTGTGGAGTGGTTGTGGGGTGGTTGTGTAGAATGTAGAGAGTACTAGATGGTTACGGAGATACTTTGTGCGGGTTTGCGTGCGGGTTTGCGTGTGGGTTTGCTCCGGTAGGTCTGCGTACCGTGCGTGTCTTGGTGCCGCACTGCATGTACTGTACTGCACTGTACTGTTCCTTACTGCGCTGCACTACACTGTACTGCACTGCACTCACCGCTCCCACGCGTCCGCGGCCTCGACTGCACCGCCATCCACAGCCCGACAGTACGCCACACATCGAGCCCGCAGCGCCTGATCCCTTTCAAACGATGAACTCCGATCAGTGGATCTGCCGTGCCGATGGTGACAGGACGCGGTGGCGGGGGGCGATCGCTGTCTCCCGTCTTCAAAGGGCACTGAGAGGATGGATGGAGAAAACGTAGTGTTTCTGGTGAAAGCGTGGCTGGGACTGAGCCGCGATGGGAGAGTCGAGAGGTGGCGGTCGGGGTCTCTTTCGGAGCTGTGGGTTGTCTGGGGGGCGTTTGGAGATTGCCGGGGGTGAGAGAGGGGCAGCGAGGTGGGTGGTTCGCTTTGGATGTCCTGCTTCTGTGGAGTGCAAGAGGCGGGCTACGTCTTTAGGTATAGTCGAGCTGGAGAGCAACCAAGGAGCACGCTCGAATACCAGTCCATCTCACGCGCAGCACAGTGCAGACGGTCAAACTCAGAGACGAAAATGCGGTCGATTGCAACTCCACGCTTGTAGTACGTACCAAACATTCAGCCGCTTGCCCAAAACCACCAGGAAGAGTAGCAGAGGGGTATCATTAGGAAGCGAACATGCAAAACCCGGCATAACAATAGCAACGCGCCCAATCAGTCCGCTGCAGAAAACGCACCCAGCGCCAAACAACGCTCAAACGCAGTCATTCCGCCGTTATGCTAGAAGAAAACCGCCATTACAATCTCATGCAAGTGATAATAATATCTCGTCAAGGCGAACTGGGCCGGGGTAGGTCAACTACCGCGTCGGCCGCGACATCGAGGGCGATCGTACGGAATTCGATATGCTCTGTCTGCTCTGGAACGAGGCAATGCTCATCATGTCGGGGTCTCGTTCGGGAGGGTCGTTGGTGTATTGGAAGCCGATGTGCTTGTAGCCGTTGTCCCAGGCTGCGACACGGGAAAGGAGTCTGCGGCTGTTAGCGTAGTCTAGTGTTGGATGAGAGTGTACGCACTGGTCGTCAGGCTCGATGTCCATTTCTGGGATGAGCTCGTAATCGCCCTCTATAGGCAGGTAGTACGCTGATGCGGTGATGCCCAGCGCTGTGAGAACGAGAAGTGTCCAGGATGCGGTGCACATAGACCAGGAGGAGTCGAGTAGGAATCCTGAGAAAAATCGTGCGTCGTGATCGAAGACGTATGACTGTCACTTGTTAGACAGATCGACGCGGCTGAGTAGATGAGACATACCACAATAGCCATACCAGCGCCCTGAATGAGGGCGCTGAATACCAAAACACCCACCACAACACCCCAGCCCTGCACTCTCCTCTGCACGCCGCCAGCCACAATGACCACGAAGCTGACCAGCGTGCACAGCTCAACGACCACACCAAAGCTCATCAGGAAGCCGACGGTGCGCCACATGTTGCAGAATGAAGCGTCTTTGTCGCAGTCGGTGGTGCGAGGGAAGGGCACGCAGTGCCCAGTCTTGGCCGAGCAGCGCGAGTGCAGGCCGTATGAGTATTCTCGTTCGCCATTCTGCAGCACGTGGTCAGTCTACGTCTATGCGACAGGAGGGCGGACATACTGGACGGTACGATATCCACCTCGGCGAGGCAATACTGGCGACTGTCATCGCAGTGCACACTAGCGTGAACACCAGGCCCACGGCGTAGACCTCCTTGCGCGTCATGGTGTGTGGGAGGCGTAGACTCGGCGGAGTTGAGGTAGGACAGGAGGGCGTGACGATTGCGGCTCTTAAGGGACACGCTGCCTGCTGTCTGTTTGGCGTCGATCGCCTGTGCAGAAGTCACGCAAGCAGGAGGCAGCCGAGTGGGGCGCGACACTTCGGGGCACCGAGGGCGATATCTGAGGGCTCTGGAACTGGGAACCTGCCGGGGGGTGGAGGTCACAGAGCGGAGGCGCGCAGCTGCATGCTGGAGCAATATAGGCGGGTCGGGGATGGAGCGTGGAAAAGCTTGAGTATTGGTACGGCAAGCTGGGTTTGCGCTACCTAGTCAGTGGTCCCATGGAGACCAGGAAATCATGACGGCATGGGGGTCGAGGCGCCACCGGTGGCGCTAGCACCGCAATCCCGCGGCGCACACCGCTTGGACGTTTTTTGCGCGCAGTTGATAGCGCGTAGCGCGATGTCGCAGGTACATAAATCGCGCGCTGCGTGCTCGTCAATGTGACCGGTTGTGAGTCAATTGTCCGGCGCATTGCAGTCGCTCCTGCCATTGTTGTGGTGGTTGTCGCCGGCTTGTTGACGCGGTTGCCAACGTTTGTGGCGCTCACAACCGTGCACACATCGCGCACATCTCCGATCCTCGATCGTCTCGAAATTGAAGCAGGCAGCACCCCAGCCTCGCCCACTCATTCCAAGGTCCTACAAAACTCTGCTTTCTTTTCTCGAGTCTCGTGAGACTGAAAGCCGCCGACAACTCCACACGCCCACATGAACAACTCAGACCGTCACACTGTGCTCTGCGTAACATGCCAGACCCGATTTGTAGCCAGCGACAAAGTAGGAAGTCTCCGGATGACTCGAGGGTTGAGTCGGTCCTCTTTGAGCGATCATGCCCAGAACGATGTGCTTCGAAAGATCACCAGACCACCCGGCGATAAGCACACCACTCGAGCAGGGAAGTGGGCAGCATCGCAAACACGTGGGGCTGAATGCCATGTTTAAACAATGGCATTCCTTGCATCGCGCCAGTGGACCGTGCTGTGGATCACTTGCAAAACACCACGAATGTCGTTGATGATCCTCAATTCCACGACAGCGCTGCATCATGCTCGATAACCGACGTCTGCACGTCTTGCTGCTGGAATTGATGTGCGGCCGTAGCGCCTGCTTATTGACAGTGTTGACAGCTGCCTACCTACCTGGGCAGGTGCTCATCCAACGCTCCCACCCATCAGTGCGATAAGAGCACGTTCACCGCCACCAAACGGCAGCAACACAGCCGAGCAAGGCGCACGCAGGATGCGGGGAATGCTTTCACGCAGCAGCCTGTCTCGAAGACGTGATTTAGCTGATTGGTACGCGAGCGAGCACACTGATAAGCATCGTGGTTTGATTGGTCCAGAGGACTACACAGCTTATGAGTTGCATGTGTTGAGGCGGGGTGCGTGAAGTGCGACACCCTTACGCTGCGCGCCTCGAGCGAGCGCCTGTGGCTGCAGCTCGTATCGACTTGATGCTTCGGAGAACTTCACCACTATACGAGTGTTGAGTGTTTCTGCTCACTGTGAGTCCAGACTATTGCATAGCAATCTGCCCCACACTGCCAGGACCAGCCAAGATGATGGATGTATACAACAGGCCAGTACGTTGGCTGCATCGCATCTCCCGGAGCTCACCGCAGCCACGGCGACGCGGCTGTCAAGGTCGGGGTGCATGGGTGTGCATTGGCTCCCCCTCCCTCCCGCTGCACGCACCCTGCATCCGCAGTTCAACAAAGCAGTTCACTGCGACAACCCTAGATTGAAAAGCGACAGCTTTGCTTTCATAAGGCCGACCACCAATTTACTGACACTCCTTCGAGCTCGAAGGCGCGTAGCGTAAGCTCAGCATCCACCAGCCACAAACACCCGAGGTCCCGTGTCGTGATCGTCGACATGGAGGCAAGCGTCTTTCTCCGCCTCACTCGTCGGCGAGACAACCCGTCTATACTGCCGTTTGTATGAAAATCATGGACCGAGGAGAGCGATCCTATACTAGTGCGAAACGATTCTTGAAACCTGTCGTTGGTCTTGCTTGTGAATGACAGCGCTGTGGATCTTCACCGCCCACTTAGGACCTGGAGCAGTAGGTGCGCCATTTTCAGCCATTGATCGATTATTCCTGATCAGAGCACATGTTTGCTGACTGTTTAGCTCTCGTGATTGAGGCCTTTTTCAAACACTTCGTTCTAACCTCCTACCTCTAATCGCACAACTCATTTGTGACCAAAAACTTAAGCGTGTAGCTAAGTAATTTCACCACCTGCTTTCATTCCTTCTTCAACAGCTCTCCGTATATCGGAGTCTTCAACAGTCTTCATTTAGAAACTGCGACCGAAACCATATGCTGTGCCTTCCTGCTGGAATACCGATACAGCTCCCTGCATGAAGGGCGATGGACTTGATAGACCAATCGGAACCAAGCAGCGGATCAACCTTATTGACACAGGAGTGGTATGAGTAGTCGCCAAGGCGTGGAGTACCTCGATAGACGAATTTGATCGCTTGTTCTCACACATTGATTACCTACTTAAGTCTCCTACCCTCCCACACTTCCCAGCCTGGAAGCACAACGCAGACTGGTCATTTGCTAGCCTACATTATGCATACACTGCACCCTATCTTGATTGCCTTTCCGCCTGTCCTGAGTTAGCATTATCCAGCTACACATTAAAGCAGGCCAGCAATTTCGAGGATCGAAAGCGGCATTTGCTGGTTGTTGCATACATACGACAGATGCTCTTCGGAGATGACACATCGGATTTGAGACAATATGTCTGTGTAGGTGTACAGGCCATGGTCTACAAGATGCTTGTACATGAAAGAAAAATCAGGTGGGTTGTTTGTTCAAGTAGGATCTACAGACGGTATAGAAAAACTGAAGCGCTTGGATTTGATATTGGAGTCTCTTGTGAATAAAGCAGGTTTCAAACTATCTTGCTCCCAGTCATTCGATCACAAGATTGAATGAACAGTAGTAAAGTCAATGAGGACTTTGCTGGGTTTATCATCGAGAAAGGCATTTTCTGCATATATACCTAACACCCCGGCACAGCATCTTCTTCAGTGACGCTATATGCGGCAGTTGTCGTAGTAGAGTCATGAAAGGGCCTAATGCAACCGGACATAGTCCCGGCGGCGAACAGAGTGACATGGCTTTCTTTCAGTGTCTTTTCAGCGTTACCCACAGACCAATCTGTTTCGGTTGGATTTGAACTCTGGGCCAAAACAACAGAGGATATGTGACTACCTCAGAGCGCACAGCACCAGTCTCCCTCTTGTATGACTGACGCAATTGTATGTCTCCAGAACAGTGGTTTGAATATCTGACTCCTTCCTTCATAGAACTTGCAGATTACCTTTCCAGCTTAGAGAAGGCAGACAACTTAACGTTAGTACTCTGATTTCTTCATCATGATACCAATCCAACTCATCCGTGGGGTACGTTAATACTACACTGAGGTACAAGTGCGGTATTTTTCTTAACTAAAAAGGGACTTTATGCTGTGTAAAAGACACCGCATCGGGTGAAAAGACATTTCCTTCTATTTAAATAACACCAAACTGTGTTGTTAAAAACGCCGCGGTCCGGGGTTCTTTACACGATTTTGTACCGTAGTGCCAGATAGAGAAAATGAGTAATATGTGCAGGCTTCGCTACGTCTTCTTCCTTGGTAGTCCTTCGGGCTCTCCACCTTGACACGTTTGCGCATACCGACTCCAATGCAGGTGATTTCTCCGCAGTACTTGCAGCGCTACAAAAGGAGTTAAACGCTTTGTAGGGTGGTGGTACTGACGTTTGTAGTGGGCTACTTTTGCGTCCTACGAAACGAGCAGCCAAGCGGTGGCGTACCCGATGCCCACCGCCCAGCTGGTGATGGCGAAGACTTTTCCGACAAGATGGCAGAGGGAGTCATAGGGTGAGCTTTTGGGGCCGTGCTCTCGGTCATTTATGGACGTGGTGGATCGCTCTGATGAATGAAATCAAGGACTAGGAAGCGGATAATGAGGCTTTGAATCTAATGCTTTTCTGAGTGCGTAAGCTAGAAATTAGGTCAAGCCATGAACGAAAGTGCAAAAGAGGAGGTATGTCGGAGATTTGTAATGTTGTTCGGACTGCCTGCTCTTAATGGGAGGAATGATTAGTTGTTTGCGGCCGGCTAAGATATCGGACCCGAACGTTCCCCTCGTTCTCCGTGTTGGCAACTCCGCTAGTTGATTTCCACGTTTCAATATTAATCTACAGATTTCGCAGAACATAACTAGATCTAAACAAAGGACTCTGTATACACGCAACGACTCAAAAGTGATACTTTACACAGCTTTACAGAAAGTTCAAGATGTCTCATGAACATGCCTCCGCCACAAACAGCTCCAAAGGCCCCGGTCTCTTCTATGTTCGCTCTCGCGTCGCTCCATCAGCAAAAGATATTCTCTCCGAAGCCACATTCATGAGATGGTACGAGGAACACGCCGAGGAAGTTGTGGACAAATCTGGCATTCATTCCTTGTTCCGGTCAGCATCAATCCACCAACTGAATTGATAACAAATATTAACAAATTACGTATTTAGTTATAATGCGATTAGTAAAACTAGCGCATCCGATGCATCGAAGCCCTTCCTGACATTTCCTGTTTTGGACGATACTGGCTTCTTGTTGTCCGACGAATTCAAGAGTATCAGTCCGATAAGCACAATTTTGCCTGGCACGGGTAACGTGTATGAGCTGGTTGAGTTTGATGTCAACCGTTTGGCTTTAAGACAGAGTACAATGAGCAAAAAGGGGAATGGTGGTGCGTTCTTCGATCCTTGACTATCGTCAGTTTTAACATTAATGCCATGCAGAAAAGGTAGCAAAGAGCATCGTGACAGTCGAAATTCAGCCGCCCACAGGCCTCGAGGCAGATGAAATAAATGCTTTCTTCGACAAGCAGATAAACACGCTGAATGAAGAGTCGGGTTACACCCGTAGCCTTGTTTTCGAGAGTTGTTCCTCGTTTGCTAGTGCAGGGGGCAAGAAGCAGGAGGGTAGTGAGTTGGAGAAGCAGCACGAATTACCGTCGTGGGTAGTGATACATACATTTAGTGGCGTGGTTAGCAACGATGTGGTGAAGCGAATAGAGCTAGATGTGCATAAGATGGATGAGAGTATTGGAGATTTACACGGCGAGGTCAAAGGGTGGAGCCTCCAGGGAGGTTTTGGAGAAAAAAAGTTGTTTGAATAGTTTTCGGACTGTCTAACTATGAGATCGTAGTCAATTCTCTGCGAGCTGCAAAGCCAAGCCTTTGCTGAATAGAGACAATCTTCTTCGTGTTATAAATCTTGCAAAGCTTGGTGTTGTGGCTGAATGGTGTTGATATCACTACCTTTTCGACGCCTGACAACTGATACTCCATTACTATAGTTATGCTGATTACTGGCCTTGAGCTCTCTGTTCGTTGACCGAAGAATCTTGTTGTAAGACGAAGTCCTACTCAACGCCATGTTGATCGGCTTGGGAAGCTGTTAGGAAAAGACATAGTAAGATGCACTCTTTGGAAGAAATCATAGCTAAATTAAGGCTGGAAAGAGAACTCGAGATGGGGTGAAAGTCTAGGGTTAGAGCATTAGTCACAATCCATATATTGGGCGATATCTGTGTGTTGCATGTTTGGCGTAAAAACCGAGATGGGTTGGCGATTACATATCGAGCGTGTGATGACTGACCACCCTATCATACTCTGCTAGTGTACCAGTCGCGATAAGCTCGAAAACTGCCTAGCACAATATGTGCACAGCTCATAAACAACGTGTTTTTCGGTGCTAATAACTACTCCTCCACCATCTCCGCTTTCTCCGCGTTCCCCGTTCTCGGAGCCGATGCCCCCTTCTCCGACTTCTCAAACCGATAGTTACGAATAAGCACTCTGGACTTGCTGCTGAGAAATGCTTAATTGGGTCCTCTTGGCGTCTGTTAATAAGTATTAATGCAGCTTGGAAGATCCATACATCCTCGTTCATCCCCATAGCACTTCTATCCACTTCGTGTTTTCACCAGCATCACCTAAGATATGGACAACCAGAACAAACTTCGAGTTATTATTGTCGGTTCGGGATTAGCAGGACTGACTGCCGCACGCATTCTCAGAGAACATCACGATGTCACTGTGTACGAACGTGCACACAAATCAGCTGCGACAGGAGGACAAGGCATCTCCATCTCTCCGAATGCAGTCAAGATCCTCGAACGCATTGGATATGATCGTAATAAAGCGGGCGCGGTGCCAATCTATGGCTTCCGATCTTACGACAAAGACGGAAATGTCAAGAAGGATCATGAGGCCGACTTGAAAACCAGGTATGGAGCAGATCAACTTACCCAAAGACGGTCCGACTTTGTGAGCGAGCTCACAAGACTCGCAACTGAGTCCTCAACCGAGTTGAAGATTCAGGGCAACCCAGCAAAGATTGTTTATGAGACTGGTGTTGTCGATATAGATACAGAGAAGGGTAGTGTCGTGTTGAGTAATGGAACGACTGCTGAGGCTGACGTCGTCATTGGTTAGTATTACCACTCGGCAAGGTTCGCATTGCCTCCAAAAAGATGCTAATGACAGCTCAGTGGCTGACGGCGTACACTCACGTCTTCGCAAACATATTCTTGGCGACGATACTATCAAGGCCCAAAAGATGGGATTAACGTGTTACCGCGTTGCAGCCTCTACGGAGGCTGTAAAAGAAGCACTGGGCTCTCTTCCTCACTGGTGGGAACCTACCACGGCTCAGAATCGGGTGTGCGTGCTCGAATCCGGTGATGGTACCGACCGCTTCGTTGTCGTGTATCCACTTCGTCATCAAGAGTACATGAACTTCTCATGTATCTTCCCTTCCCGAGAGTCGAAGCAAAGCAGGGCCAATTCCTGGTTTGCGGAGGCTGATAGCGACGAGATCATAGAGATCTTCCATGATTTTGACGAGTCTTTCCGCAAGATTCTTGGGTACTGCTATCTTTTTCCCTTCAAGGAAGTTCACTTTGCTGATATCTCCAGTGTCTCCACGGAAGTGAAATATTGGGAACTACAGGATCTTGATCCTCTACCTACGTGGACTCGTGGCCGTGCAATTGTCATTGGAGATGCCGCCCACGCGATGACGCCGCTGCAAGGTCAAGGCGCCAACCAGTCTATCGAAGATGCCGAGAGCTTTCTTCTGCTTAGAGGAGTGAAATCCGAAGATGTTCCGAAAGCTCTGAAGCATATTGATAGTCTGAGGAGACCCCGAGCAACGAAGGTCCTAGAAGACACCCGCGGTATGGCCCGCGAAGTCAGTTGGGAAGAGAGGATGGCCAAGTATGATTTTCTCTTTAGTTACGAGGGTATTCTTGAGGCCCAGAAGCAGAATCAGATTCCAACCTAGATGTTGTGTTGCTTGTTTGACTGCCTAAACGAACGGCCTTGCACACTTGTGTAAGCTTCGAACGATTAGGGGTGTAGCGATTATAGGCACAGACCGACTTGCACAATCAAATTTCATGTTGGATCGTGTATAATGTAAAGTCGACATATCTTGTTTACATCATATTATAGATACAAGCAAAGCATGAGACTATTGTAGAAAGCTAGAAGACTTGAAAAGCTGATCAGGTGCGAGAATGAGTGATAAATTTCCATCTATCAAGGTATCTATCGAAAAGGTGGTTACTCATACTTCATCCGATCCCATGCGCTAGTCGCTTTTTAGACCAATCCCTTGTGTTCTTCCGATTGGCTGTTTTGATCCATTGAACTCCTTCATGTTGACCATGTTCTGATCCGCTCAAACAGTGGACTAACTTCCTCAGTCAACAACCAATAACGGTTGCTGATATCATGACAACTAATCAGGTGCTGAGAAGAAAGACAACATAGATGTTAGGGGCGTGATTTATCTTTCGTGAAAATGATATAGAACTCAGGTGCTAGACATAAAAACGTGGACTAGAGACAGATATCTTTCAGTTTAGAATAGGCGCACAACATAGAAGTTTGGTTGCTACAAAGAGAGCCATTGTATTCTTACACCACGATTTCAGTCCAGAGGCGGCAGAACGTGAGCGCCCTTCATTAGGTCAAGTGCCGGAAAGCAGGCCTGCATCAACCTCGAGCACTATTTCAACTCCGAGGCACAGGCAGAACGGCCGCACCAACATGGGAAATGAAGAACCAATATTAGGTACCTCACCGGTCTCCAAACGTCTCCCGACATTTTGTCTCTTTGGCCTTTTTTTTTTCAGCTATGAGGAAGCAGAAAGTATGGATGTGTTACTTCACTGCTGTAAAAATAGAAGATTCAGGTATTAGGAAGTAAACCATGCGGACATCTCAGCGTCAGTCTTAACTTCGAACCACAGACACAACAATCACAACATGGGGTGATGCATACTGTTATTTGAAGTTCCCGCCAGTTTCTAGACTGTTCTCCTGACATGGTTTCATTGGATCTCCATTTCAGTCCAGAGAAGGACAGGAGAGGGCATCCACCTCAGGGCAGTAGGTCCATAACACATACCGTTGGATTACTATGTTTTCGAGGCAGCAGATAACATTTATAGACGGTATCGACTTTGTAGTGACAGCTATAGCGCTGAGGAGAGAAGTATGTGCCGAATTTCTAGGGCGTTTCAGATAACATGTATTGAATGGAAAAGGATTTAGGTACCCTACCAGTCTGCAAAATCTTCTTCCGCCATAACTTGAAAATGTCTGTCTTTTGATTTAGAAGAGGGCAGAAATTATTGAAGCACTAATCTCCCATCAATCTGAACCACGTCTGTTCTTTAGTTCGGGAGAGGCAGAGAACATCGCAGTGCAATATATTCATTTCTGGAGTAATAGCGTTGGTACTGGGGAGACAGACATTGGTCAAGCTGATAGGGGATTTCGAACAATTTCAATCACTTGAGAGGATATTGGGGTACTTTGAAGGCCTGAAAGCCCCGCTACCAACACAACAATATTGTCAAGTCCTTAGATTTCAGTTCAGAGAAGCCAGAAGACATCAGTTTTCAAGCACCGAGTCCGTCGCACATCATCTTTGCGTCTGGATTTCGGTTCAGAGGGAGAGAACATAAGAGTAATTCTGTCGTCTTTCTCACGGTAGTAGGCTCGGGTGTTGGGAAGATAAACATGCGGCGGTGATATTGTAATTTTGAACAGTCACAACAACATGTAGCAAATAGGAATTTGATTTCGACACCCCACGATTTCGACACTCATTTCCCAGACACTCTCAGACTTGAATTGAGTTTTCGGTTCAGAGGAAGTCAGAGAACATTCCCGCCAGATCTTGATTATTCAATGGTAGTGACTCAAATTTCGGTGAGATAAGCACGTCACGACTATTTCAAGGCTCCGTCCAGCCGCGACGACATATGATAGAAGGGCATGGATTTAGATTCCCCGCGAGTCTCTAGCGTGCGCGGAATCGGAATCAGTTTTCAATTCAGAGAAAGACAGAGGACATATGTGCTGGCAGGTTTGAATTTGTGGCAGCAGTGACTTAGATGCTGGGGAGAGCTACTTCAATTACAGGCACCTTTTGTACAGCCGCTACACCATCTTGAGAGGGTAGATGCCTTGACTGGTCTCCGGACTTTTCCAACGCAACATCATCGAGCTCATATTCAATTTCAGTTCAGAGGAAGACAGGGAACACATGGACGAAAAGCTCTGAACTTTGTAATGGCAGACTCAGATACTGATGCTAGGGAGAGAAGCGTGTTTCAATTACAAACACTTCTGTAGAGCCATAGTAGCGTGTAATGGGGGAACATGTATTCAGATACTCGGGCGGCCTCCAAGACACCCCAGCATGTCTCTTTCGTGGTAGTAGTTCGATTCATAGAAGGTTGAGAAAATGGTGGCACGACCCATATTGGTACTCGTAGTAGCAGACTTAGGTGCAAAAAGAGAAGTATACATCGGATTTTGAGACTTTTTAGTGCAGCCGAGACAGCGTGAGTTGGAGGGGAAGTGTGTTGGCACCCACAGTCTCCACGCTCCCAACATACCCGGGTGGGTTTTCAATTTCGGTCCAGAGGGGGCAGACAGCATCCAGAGCTTGCGGGAGAACTTTTACTAACAGACCCAGAGGTTGGAAGGGAACTATATCTCAAACGCGAGCATATTTTGCACAACCGCAGCATATATTCTTTGAACGTGAGTTTAAGTTCCTGAAAGTCTCCAAACTGCTCACCCAACGTTACATCTCTGTTTCCTCATTTGTTCAAGAGAAAGCAGAAAGAATGCTAGAAGAAGAGCCCAATTTGTGTGGCAGACGCAGGTGCTGTAAGAGAAGCATGTTGGACATCTTTCACCCATTTATACAGCCGCAACATCATTTCTTAAAGGGGACTTTGTTCAGATATCACACAGTCTCCAGACTCTTCCCAGCATGAAATCTATGTCTGTTTGGTCCAGAGGAGACAGAAAACATCAGAAAGTTTTGTTTCAGGTTGTTATTGCAGACTCCGATGCTAGAAGAGAACCATGGACTGGTGTTGTCATGTTTTCGGCTTAGAGGAGGCAGAGAACAGGCAGCAAGGAAACCCGCTTTTCACATGACAAACTCTGGGGCGGCTTTTGGTTCAGAGAAGGCAGGAAACATTTGCGCGCTTCAATTTGAATTGTAATGACAGACTTAGGTACCAGAAGAGAACCATTCAACCCACTCGCTGTGGTTTCGGTTCAGAGGAGGCAAACAACATTCCACGGGTCTGGGTTACCTTTTTAAAACAGACTCAGGTGCTAGAAGAGAAACATTCCTCAGTCGGTATGGCATTTCGGTTCAGAGGCGGCATAGTGTGATTAGCTTCGTGATAATAGACTCAGGTGCAGGAAGAGAAGCCGAGCCATGCTATCTTCAATGGCGATTTTGACTTCAGCGTCACAGGCGCAACCGCCAGAACAACATGCGATGAATGAGGCTCTGATCTCGGTACCCCCACCGCAGAGAAGGACAGACATGAGCAGGCGAAGGGTTAGATTTCGAACGTGTGTGGCGGGAGGGCAGAGAGGTTGCATATCGCAGGCGTGTTTGTTCTTGAGCATTTTCGAGGAAGGAGCAGAACAAGCCATTCAAAATTTCGATGTGGGAGGACGCTGGTGGGCGAGGGTGTGTTGTATGTTGAAGGGAGGGTGGCGGCCATATATATGTCGAAGGACACCAGTCACGTGCACAACATGTACAGCACCAGCGCGTTTTTGAGTCGACGCATCAACGTCTCAACATGTACATTTTCATACTCATGTGCACGCGCCCGTTCTAGAAGGCGGTACATGCGAGTATATGGAATCTGGTATACAACTACGAAGTATCATACAAACCCCTCAGAAGACTGCGGTCTCAGAAGACTACGTTCTCGGGGTCCCGCTCGACGACAGGCTTCTTTCTCAGTATATCGTGGCACAGCAAACTCGCCGCCACACTAACGTTCAGCGAATCAACTCCGACCTCGTCGACCTCCCTGCCATGCTTGATCCCGACGTTGTAGTGCGCGATCTTCAGCAAACTAGTCTTCAAGCCAGTAGCTTCGGCGCCCAACATGAGAATCGTGGGGTGTTGTGCGACAGGACTGTGGTCTGGGATAGGCTTGGGGTCCGAAGCGCGCGCCTGCGTATACACGACATCGCTCGTGCCGTCCTGCGCATCATTGGCGGTAGGGACGGCGTCAGCGGCATAGCAGCGCCAGCCATTCCTGCTGGACTTGCCGAGGAAGTCTGCGGGCTCAGAAACGCGGAAGATAGGCACCGCTTCGGCGGCGCCCGCGCTGGCTTTCACGGCGATGTGCGACCAGGGTGCGGACTGGCGGGCGGGTGTGACGATGGCCTCAGCGCCGAGGAAGTACGCAGAGCGCGCGATGGCGCCGAGGTTGCCTTCGTCGAGGATGCCGTCGAGGAAGAGGATGAGAGGGTGGCGCCAGGTGGATGACTTGTAGGAGTAGGATGTGCGGGAGCCATTCACGGCAAGTTCTTCTTTGGTCTGGTGGTCGAGGACGACGTCAAAGGTGCCGGCTTCGCGTGTGCATTCTTTGAGCTCGGTGATGGGTTGGACGGGCAGGGGCGAGGCTTCGAGAATGAAGCCGTTGTGCGGACGCCCCGAGGAGGCTTTGTCGAAGGCCCGGTCGTAGTCGTCGCCGACTTCGCGCGTGATTTGGCGTAGATTGGATGCCTTGGCGCGCGCGAGCAGGATGTCGCGGTTCAGGCCGCGCGAGTTGACGTAGAGCTTGTAGAACTGGCGACGATTGGCGCGGATGGCGGCGAGGACGGAGGAGTAGCCGTAGATGAACTCAGAGGCGGCAGTGCTGTACGGCAGCGAGTCAGGGGAGCGGTCGTAAGGGGATGCGCGGGAGGGTATGGAGGACCGTTCTGAGCGGTCTGATTGAGAGGTTCTGCTGTCGCGATCGTTGCGAGGAGAGGGTCGGTCGTCACGGTCATTACGAGAGGAGCGTCTGTCATCGCGATCGAATGTCCTCTCCGATCGACGTTGAGGTCTGTCGTCACGGTCAAATGTTCTTTCTGTGTCGCGTTGGGGCCTGTCGCCACGGTCGAATGTTCGCTCTGTCCTGCGCTGTGGTTTATCATCACCATCGAATGACCTCTCCCTGCGCGGCGGCCTATCGTCGCCATTCTCCGACCTGCGTTGCTGTCTGTCCCCACGGTCGAATGTTCTCTCAGCCCCACGTTGAGGCTTGTCGCTGCGGTCGAATGTCTTCTCTGTCCTTCGATCTGGCCTATCGCTACGCTCGAAGTCCTCACGGCTGCGTCGTGGTGCGTCTCTTCGCTCAGTCCGCGTGTCTCGACCGCCAGACCGGCCAGCGAATCTGTCTGGTCGTTGTGCTCGGCCCTCGAAGCGCTTCGGGCCGTCGCGATCCTGCTCCCTCATGCGTCGGTCGACAGCCGACTCGTCTGACCTCCCACCGCTTTTCCTCAACTCTTTCCGCCTGGGCGGAGCGTCTTCATCCTCCCATCGCCTGCGCCTTGCTCCGATTGAAGACTTGCTTCGTGACGGCCGTGTACGGCCGCTATCTCTCTCCTCGTAGCGCGGTGATGTCGCACGGTCGTCTCCGAAGCGTGAGCGACCGCCTGAACGTGATGGTGAAAACCTGTCCGGCCCACTGCCCCGGCCCTTCTCGATGGCAGCGGTGATGGATTTGTAGCGACAGAAAGTGCGGGGGAGGGCACTTCGCTGGGTCCGTAGTAGCGCACCGCTGAGCAGTAGAGAAGACAGCATCGAAGTTTGTATGGCTGAAATGGGGTTTGGGGCGAAGTCTGCCCTGGTCCGTGAAGAAGTTCACTTTCACGCGCATCTGAGCTTTCACCAACTTTTGGCGATGAACGGCCCGCCGGAGTTAGCGTAATCGCGCTATCACGCGTCGGGGTCCACAACCACTGTCCGATGACATTCAAGTCGAGCTCGCCAGGTGCGTTGCCGTCATTGCCCTCCCTAAAATCGCCCAATTGCAATGCGCGGTGCTGTCACATAGTCGCCGAAGTTCCAAGCTGTATATCGCGACCGCATCGAATCGCCGCATCGAATCACCGTCCCGCGAGCTCACACAGCAACGAGAGCTTCGTATTCGTATCACCGCTGTTCACGCGTTACAGCACGTGTTTCCGGGTCGCCAACATGAGTTCCGACGACGACGCGACTCAGCTCATGGCAGCGTTCAGGAGAGGAGGCGCAACGAGGTCTGGCGCGAATAATCTCAAGCCCGCCAGCACACGCGGCCGCTCAACGCCGCGCCGCTCGCCTGCTCGAACATTACCAGCGAAACAGGGTGCCACGGTTGCAGTCGAAAACATGTTTACCGATTCGAGCTCCGATGAGGACGAGATCAACGCTGAGTCGCCGCCGTCCAAGATCCAGAGGGTGTTACATGTTCGAACAAGCCCTGTCCGCAACAGGAGCGAATATACATATTATGAACCGCGAGATGAGGTCGAAAGCATCGTGCTGGAGCGTACATCAAGGAAGGGTGATATCATATATGATGTCAAGCTTGTTAGTGGTGAGACAAAGGAGGTAAGTGAGGCAGCTACCACCCAGCGATTGAAGGAACGAGTGAGAGAGCTTTCCACTATAAGTGAGAGAGTGGCTGCTGGATCGCTGCGGCTCAAAGCGTGTCTATTGGACGCCAATCAAGCTCCTCTCCGTCCTCTCCTTCTCTCCACCAAGACTTCACAGTTTGACGACTCTAACACGACGCCAGATCAACTTTGAGGAGCTCCTCGAACTTCCCGGTGGCCCAGCTGCGCTGAACAATCACGAGCCCGAAGACGCCACCTCCACAAGTGCCGACGACATGAGGCTCCGCGGAAGGACCTCCAAAGCAAACAATGATGGCTTTGTGGATATTACTACAATCGACATTTCCTCGTCAGAGGACAATGACATGAACGACGACAAGCTCGTTTCAAACATGAAACGACGCAAAAGCCGTGTTGGTAGACCAGTCAAGAGTGACAAGAATGGTTCGCGCTCGTTGCGGAATCGATCAGACCTGAGCGACCCTATTGAACTTACAAGCAGCGATGAAGATAGTGAAGAATCGGGCAAGCAGCGCAGGCGACGCAAGAAGGTCCAGGAGCCTACGCGACGATCTACACGACAACCGGTGCCAGTTCGAAACTTCGATGATGAGGAAAGCGAGGACGATGAAGAGACCAGCGACTCCGATGACATACTGCGTTCGAACATATTCCCTGGTGGTAAGCGCAAGAGGCGGGGCTTTCGCGCATCCAAACCAGAAAAGGTCCGGCGTATTGGTGCGCGCCAGTCTGAACGATCGACGCGTGCAACAAACAACATGGAGGAAGCGGGGGAACACGACATCTATCGCTCGGACTCGGCGCCAAAGCCCTCTGCACCGCAGGTCAAGGCTGTTCGAGAGGTTTTCGAGACGCGCCCTCGTGGCGACCTCTTCCGCTCTCGACACGTTGAAGGCTGCGAGGTGTGCTACGATGGCCCCAATGTTGCTCCGCTTGTTTACTGCCAGGGCTGCTCCCTAGCATACCACAAGAATTGTTTGGGTACCAGAAGCTCCCGCGAGCATCTTGTTACCAAAGTTGGCGATGAGCAATTCATCTTACAATGCAAGCGATGTGTGAATGTCTACCAAAAGAAGGATCGTTTTGCGCCTAATCTATCCAAATGCCAGGATTGCGGCAAAACCGGCGATTCCTGCAAACCATTCAGGCACCGGAAGACCACTATGCAAGAGATGAAGGACCGTGAAGACAACGACGGTGACGATCCCATAACTGACGTTCCCTCCGAGCTCGTCAATAATCCTCACAATGTTCTGTTCCGCTGCACAAAGTGTTCGCGAGCATGGCATTACCACCACTTGCCGCCTTTGTCACCATACGCGATAGACGTGAACCGCGACGATCAGGAGCTGGCAGACGAACGCTTCCGTGAGTACTCGAACAAGTGGATGTGCAAAGAGTGCGACAACACTGGCGATAAAAAAGTCGGAGGTCTTGTTGCTTGGCGCCCATCAGACGTCGAAGCGTATCAGCCTGGCACCCCATGTGAGCTCGTCAATGAAGACGACAAGCAGTATCTCATTAAGTGGGAAAACCAGTCGTACTTCCGCGCTGCCTGGTTCTCCGGAGCTTGGACATGGGGCGTCAGCGCAACTGCTATGCGCAGGGCCTTCTTCAAGAAAGAAGATGGACCGAAGATGCGTACTGAAGATGCGATACCTGAAGAGTACCTGCGCATTGACATCGTTTTGGACATCAAGTTCACCAGTTATGTCGAAATCCGATCCGAGGAGATCGACAAGGCACGTATTAAAGAGGTTGACAAAGCTCTCATCAAGTACAAGGGCCTCGGATATGAGGATGCTGTCTGGGAGAAGGTTCCAACGTCCGAGGACGGAGACCGTTGGCTCGACTTTGTCACTGCATACAACGATTGGGTTGCGGGACGATACATCAAGGTACCCAAGCAAGGTCCGCTCAGGGCTCGCCTTGAGAAAGTCCGAAATACTGCGTTCGCCAAACTAGAGAGGGAAGCTCAGCCGGAGAACCTCGTCGGAGGCGAGCTGATGAAGTATCAGATGGAGGGTCTGAACTGGCTATATTATCAGTGGTACAACCAGAAGAATGGAATCCTCGCTGATGAAATGGGTCTCGGAAAGACCATCCAGGTCATTGGGTTCATGGCCACCTTGGTTCAGGAACACAATTGCTTTCCGTTCATCATTGTGGTGCCCAACTCTACTTGCGCCAATTGGCGTCGCGAGATCAAGCAGTGGGCCCCATCCTTGCGCGTCGTGGCCTACTTCGGTTCTAGTAAAGCTCGTGAGATGGCGTACAAGTACGAGATGTATCCTGAGGGAACAAAGGACCTTCGTTGTCACATTGTTGTGACCTCATACGAGACCGCGTCAGACGACAGCAGCAGGAGATTCCTGCGAGGCGTCAACTGGGCCGGATTGATCACGGATGAGGGGCAACGCCTGAAGAACGACAAGAGCCAGCTCTATACTGCGCTCTCGGCAGTCAAAGCGCCCTTCAGGTTGCTCATGACCGGTACACCCCTTCAGAACAACGCACGAGAGCTGTTCAACCTACTTCAATTCCTGGACGAAAATATTAATGCTGCTGAACTCGAGGAGAAGTACGCCGAGATGACATCTGAGAACATCAAAGAGCTGCATGAACAGATTCGACCATACATCCTCCGCCGCACTAAAGCTCAGGTCCTGACCTTTCTCCCTCCTCTTGGTCAGATTATCTTGCCAATTTCCATGAGTCACTTGCAGAAGCAGGTTTACAAGTCAATCTTGTCCAAGAGCCCTGAACTGCTGAAGGCTCTTTTCACCTCAGACAAATCTCTCAAGCAGCAAGAGCGTGCCAATCTGAGCAACATCTTGATGCAGCTGCGCAAGTGCCTGTGTCATCCTTTCGTCTACAGCCGTGAGATTGAGGAGCGAACGGATGTAGCCGCCGTCTCTCACCGCAATCTCGTCGAAGCGTCTGCGAAGCTTGGTCTGCTAGAAACCCTACTGCCAAAACTTAAAGAGCGTGGCCATCGAGTGTTGATCTTCAGCCAGTTCCTCGATATGCTCAACATTATCGAAGACTTTCTAGATGGTATGGAGATGTCGTATCAACGTCTTGACGGCACCATGGGGTCGCTCGAGAAGCAGAAGCGCATCGATCAGTTTAATGCACCTGATTCGCCTCTTTTCGCGTTCCTGCTCTCGACGCGCGCAGGTGGTGTTGGCATCAACCTTGCGACCGCCGATACTGTCATCATCCTCGATCCTGACTTCAACCCTCATCAAGATCTACAGGCCATTGCACGAGCTCACCGTATCGGTCAGAAGAACAAGGTGCTATGCTTCCAACTTCTGACCCGATCTTCCGTGGAGGAGAAGATCGTGCAAATGGGTCGCAAGAAGATGGCTCTCGACCACGTTGTCGTAGAGCAGCTGGACGCTGATGAAGATGAAGAACAAGATGTTGAGTCAATTCTCAAGTATGGCGCCGCTGAGCTCTTCAAAGACGATACTGCAGACCATGATATCCGTTACGACGATGCATCTGTCGAGAAGTTGCTCGATCGCAGCCAGATCGAGAACACTCGCGCTGCCCCTGGCGACGACTCAGCGGAGTCGCAGTTCAGCTTCGCACGTGTTTGGGCCAATGACACAGGTTCGCTACAAGACAATCTCGACATCGCTGAAGTGGAGACAGCTCCTGACCCAGGTGTGTGGGACAAGATCCTGAAGGAACGCCAAGCACAAGCTGCCGCTGAAGCGCTTGCTCGGGCGCATGCTTTGGGCAGAGGCAAGCGCGCTCGAGTCGTAAGTACTCATCACAATATGCTATCACTCATACTGACACATCATAGAATGTCGACTACATGACCGAGCAAGAGAAAGCCAAAGCTGCTGCTGATGACAGCGAAGAAGATGCTGAGCCTCCATCGCCTGTCAAGGTCAACAAGAAAAAGAAGCAGAAGCGTTCCGACTCAGGAAGCGACACTGACTTCCAAGTTGACTCGGATGAGGATACCGAGGTCGAAGTGGAGGATCCGGAAGGTAATGTGCAACAAGAGCTCGCAGATTCGACTCAACAGCGCGGCATCGGCAGTCTTGCCCGTCAGCTTCCACCGCGACCAACAGGTGAAGACCAGCTTCGTGTTCCGGGCCAGCCTACAGCTGTCGTCTCCGCTCCTACGCCACCGAAACGCAGTCCAGCCAAACCGGCCAAACCAAAGAGCAGTGGTAAGCCCACAATTTCTTCATCGAAACTTACAGACAAACCTTCCGCAGTCGATCGCGCTCCAAAGAAAGTTGCGAAAGAGCCAACAGTCATCTCATTGATCTCACCTCCAGCTTCCCCGAAGCTAACACCTACGTCATCAGTCAAGCCTTTTGTCCGCGCGCATATCCCTATTCGGAACCCCTTCGATCCGACCCAACCGCACACCCTCCGCATTTGTCCTGCATGCCACAAGTCCCATCCTTCCGGTGCTTGTGAGCTTAAAGTGGCTGGTGTCGAGCACTGCGGACTTTGTGGGCTGGCGCACTATGGCTACAGTCGCACCTGCCCCCACATCAAATCCGAGACACAGGTCCGCGAGATGCTGCAGGCGCTTAAGAACTCACCCGAGAAGAAAGAACTCATTGACCTCGCAGTCAAGTACCTCCGCGGCGTAAAGGGCACACTGGTGCAGCAGAAGAGGCGCGACCGCGAGAAGGCGGCTGGTATGAACCAAAATATGGCTGCCACTAATGCCGCACTTTCTTATGCCACCGGAAGAAAAGGCATTGGAAGCGGCCCACCTCCTGACGCGCAGCTCAATCAACATGCGAAACAGGGAAAGGACGTTCATCAGTCGTGCGTTCCTCCTCCTCGGCAGCAGGAGCAGATGGCGTTTTCACACCAACTGCAGGGTGGTAGGCCGGTACCGACAGGACATGCGCAGGGAGAGTTTGACGAGCGTGATGTCGAGGATGCCCTGAGAGGCTTTCTCGGGCAGGGACAGGGAGCGCGAGGATGATGCGACTTGAGGAGGGCTGACGGAGTTATGAGGAGTAGGTCAGCATTCAAGCGCAAGCCGTTAGTACCCCCATCGAGGAAGTCGCGGCAAGGAACACCAGGGTGATTTGTAGTCGAAAAAGGGTGATTAATAGTCAAGCAACAGCTCTCTGATCAGTCATCGACGTTCGCAGCTGTTCGGGTTTCCTGTTCGAAAAGCGTACTCACTGTCAATTCCTTCTAGATTTGATCTCACACATGAGAAGGCGTTGTCAACATGTGCCTTGCACCTCCTGAACGCATCTGTCTCGAATATTCGCAAGGAGAACAAATCTAATACAAGGTAACGCACGAAGCTAACAATGCACAAAGAGTCAGACATGCTACATCGCGACAATACAGTGGAATCCGAGCCAAAGCGCACCGAGCTTTGGACAGCCAACTGCCACCACAAAACGAGACAAAAAGGAAGTTAATCAACAATCACCCCCGTTCACCACACCTGCACATCATTGTACTCCTTCTCAGGAACGTGGCGCCCAGACGCCTCATCCCTACGCGACAAAGACCCAGCAACCATACTGTTACTCTCCACATCAAAACAGCCTGTCAGATGCATCTCATCGCACAGCGGCCACAGTTCCTTCTCCGACATATCGCAAAACAGCCCCTCATACACAGACACAAAATCCGGGCCCAGCGACGTCTCGCTCCTGCACAGCTCGCGCGCACTATGCGCCCGCTGCGCGCTCGTCACTAGCCTGCCGGGGAAATGGTGTCGGCGCGTAAGCGCAGTCCCCCGCTGTTCGACAGAGCGCTTGCGCGGCGGCAGCGGGCCTGTCGAAGACCCGTCCACGAGCACCTTACTCCTGTCCCTATCGACACTATTCTCGTCGTACTCCAGCGGCGGGTCGAAGAACGGCAGGTACATGTCGGTATCCAGCTCATCGTACAGATGGAATCGCGGCCTGCTCTTGCACATGGTCTCCGGGTCCTCCTTGTACGCCGCGGCGCGCTCCGGCGTCGCTGTGAAATCCGTCACGTGGATCCCCAGCCCCTGGGTCGCGATGCCGTTCGACGCGTCTCCATCGATCCACACGCACTTCGGCTGGTAGTTCGTGTCGCCGATGATGGTCTGCGAGTTGTACCAGTGGCCTCCGCATGTGTACCCCACGTCGCCGTACCACGCTTTCTGCTGGCCGTCGGGCCAGGTGACTGCGATGTAGGAGATGCATAGGGCGTCGTTGCCGCCCTTGGATACTAAGATGTATTGCGCTTGTCGGCCTTGGTGGGCCCGGCTCGCGGTCACCCGGATGTCTTTGTAGCCGCCGTCTGCGATGTTGGATTTGCTGCCGCGCTTGGAGCCGAGTGCGCGGCCCATCACGTCGAAGAGACGGATGCCAGGAGTGTCGCCGCCTGTGGGGGGTTAGATGGGGAAGTCAGAAGTTTGGAGGGGGGGGGGGGGGGGGGGGGGGGGGCTACCAGTGTTGCCCTCCGCGTTGATGCTGGTCCCGACGCCGATTCTAATAACTGTCTGTCGGTCGGTCTTGTCGGGTAACATTGATCCAAGCATGGGTGCCTCGGACAGGATTCCAAACATGAGACCGATGACTTTGATAGCGGCGGCGGCCATGTTTGCAAGGATTGAATGAGTGTGGAGGGTTGGAAGGTCGATCAAAAAGTCAGGTAGGCCTTAGACGCTGCAACGACTGGCTATTTTCTTAGGAAGCTATCTGAAAAGACTGTAGGTGCAAGTAAAAAGAGCGTGCTGCTGAGGATCTGGGTGAAGCATATGTTACACAGGTGAGCGGTCACTTTATCTTTCCACCGAGTCTGTGTTTGCTGATGCCCATCTCCGCTTCAGTCATTTTCGCTCTTGGTATTCTCCTCTCAAGACTTCCGGACAAGCTGAATTCGCACAATATTCATGATCAACGGACCATGTTAGCAGGTCGGAAATGCGTCAGTGGGTGAAGTGGTTGAAAATACGAGTGTGGCTGACCAGAACCAACGCAGTTGTATTGCCACCTAAGCCACTTTTAGAGCATTCAGTGTGATTCGAACAGTCATATTTTGAATCCTTGCGCCACCGCATGTTCACTGTGTCTGAGATTGATCCTGGAGGTGTCGTAAGGGGGTCGTTCAATATTATTCTTGCGGACTTCGGGGTCGTAAGTTGTGGTCCGGGCAACGGCGTCCGACGTCCCAATAAGCTGAGGACCCTTCGTTGGCCTCCCACAGAAACGAATGGACGAAACGAAATCCGAGGAAATATTTGTGTACCGTCATCCTCCTGCAAAGTGTTTCAGCCTTTGCCAGCTGGCTGTGACAACGTGCAAAGTGCGCTGTTACTTCATCACCTTCAGATCGCATCCGCATACCTGACTGTTCGAAGAAACAGTTTAACTGTTCCTTGTATCCGTTCGACTCTTGTTTTGAGACTATAGACCTTTTTAAAACACCAGATTTGTTCACTATCAACCACTGACAGCGACCATGCGCGCGACAACTGCAACCTCGCCAGGCCTGACCCTCGCGGCGCTACTTTTGCTCCAGTCTACCACTACAGCGCAACTACTCGGCTGCGATGCCGTCAACTGCCCAGTGGACGCGTATCGAACCGTGCAATGCTCAGTTGGAAACGCAACCTTGAAAGCTATCGGCATCGCAAACCTTAAAACGTCCCTCGGCACCCAGCCACTCACCTGGACACTCGGTCTGCAGGAGCTCGACACCAACAGTACACAACCCTCCTTCGACCGCAACTACTATCTCGGCACCCCTCCGTCTTTCCAGCTTAACGACACAGGCTGCGCGCTCTTTTTCGAGGGCATAGCGCCAAAGGTCGCCGCACCAAACGACCACCTCGAGGACTTCACCTGCTCAAACTCACTGCCTGAGGCCTGCATCAAGGACTTAATGGCCCAGGCCCAGTTCGCCTACAAGTCTCGAAACGCAAAAGACCCGTTGTTCTGCACCCAGCTCCGCGACGCGCTCGCTAACACCGCTCCGGCGACTTGCTCCGCTGCGAAGAGCGGCTGGGGCGCTATCACTGCTCGCGGTAAGCCCCCCCTCCTATCCCAGATCTGTAAACATAGACCTTAGGACTAACAACCGCAGCTCTCACCGGCAGCTCCGCACCAGCGCCCATAGAAGACCCGAAGTGCCACCCAACAACCGGCGACGACTACGCGCTACGCCTCGTGTCCAGCAGCCGCCAGACACCCCAGAGTCGGGAGTCCGAGCACCTGGATCCGATTGTCAACGCAGTGACGCCGGTGATGACGCTCTTTGCGAAGGAGGGGGAGGCGGAGGTCGGCTTGACGTGTTTGAAACTCGTGGAGGGCAGGAAGGGGCAGACGGTGGATGAGCCGCAGTTGCAGGGGGCGGGTGCTGCGCTTATTTCAGGGCCTTTGGTGTATTTCAGTATGTTTGCTTTTACTTATTTGTGGTTCATCCTGTTATAGGAAACGATCAGCCACAGGAGTTAGGGAACTAGGGACTTGGAGTCTCGAGTAGCCACTGGTTCATATCTTTTGCTGTCTTTTATTCCTTTGTTTGGTAGCATGCTGGATGATTTGGCACATGGAATGTGATTACATTCCCCCTTCTTAGAGACGGATCAGAGGCAGTAACAATCAAATAGTCCGCCTTAGTGCGCGTATTGAGTCGAGATGTGTAATTGTACAGCGCCGCCGATAAGCATCTGTTTTTGGTCCTCGCGTATTGCATATGCACGAGGGCATTTTCAGTGACCAGATGACTCCAGAAATAATGCATGCAGCCGCCTTTAACAATTTGAACAGACTCATGTGTCAAGTCTTCTTATCCTATCGCGCTGCGACTGGAGAATAGCAGAATGACTTCCTAAAACACAGCTATGCGACCCATTTTGTAGAATAACAATCTTCGTTGCCTTCTAATGCTGCCCTGTCATATCTTACACCTGACTTTTCGCTTCGTTCGAGGGCGGTGGTATAGATGCGAAGTCGTGAAATCGTACAGCCTGAGTCTCAGCATCCCTGTCGATCTCCTCCAGTGCCAGACTCTTCGCAGGAGACACGCCCTCCCCTCTACCTGGCGACATCGAACCCACCAAGGTCGTCGACAGCGTACCCCTGCTCCCGTGGCTGTGGACAGCCGACTCGTGTGTTCTGTGACGCGGATCCGATGATGCAGTCTCGTGCGTTCTGTTCGTCGTGATGCTCGTTGGTCTCGCATGGGGATGGAAAGTCCACGGCTGCGCCTCGCCGTCGAAGTCGCCAACCTCGAACATCTCTCGAAGCAGTGTCCATGTGAACGGCATGTTGGCAACAATTATTGCCATCGAAGACTCGCGGATATACCAGAACATCCAATCTCTACCATACGGTTTTGCGAACGAAAAGTAGCTGTTCAGTGCGGCGGCGGCGATGACGAAGATGCCGAGCGAGAAGATGCCGACGAGGACCAGCTTTCGTCTCCAGGGCAGTTTCGAGCGTATAAGCATCTGCAGACTGATGGACAGCATTACCACGTCTGATGAGATGTTGAGCACCGCTTTGAGGATTCTGTGATGGAAGAGAGTGTTGCACTGAGTAGAGTTTGTAGGGACGGCGTAATACTCCGAAAACGGACGACACCAGACGGCGAAATACATTGTCTGCATAACAATGTATCCGAGGGCCACGTATGCGGTGAGGAGTTTGATGGCAATATTTTCGTTGCGCAACGCCGTTCGGGTGAGTCGATAGTACATGATTAGCAAACATGTTTTGCAAGCCCAGATTACAGATATCTGCATCTGTTCCGTAACAATCATCATTTTGCTGCCATAGACTCGTTGTGACAGCAGATCGTTACTGATAGCGCCGAAGTCGAAGTCATGAGGCTCAAGGTTTGATCCGGCCTTGAACCATCTGTTTGAGACGACCATAAGGGCAGTAGAGCAGACCAGAACGACAGTGCCCATGATCCAATCATCCAGTTGGAGGCCTTTGACTGATCGAAACAGGATCCGGCGTGCAATACTGCCACAAACACGTCAGCTTGCAGCTACACAGCCCCCGCGAGGATAGGAGATAAGCTTACAGTCTTGCGATAATCATTCCGACAGCACAGATGTACCATATCCAGGACTCGCGATGGAATGGAAGTGGCATTGTGTGATAGAGAAACGGCTGCGCCGTCGCTGGCGACTATGTCTCGCTATCCGGGGTCCAATTTAAACTTCAAAGGTTGTGATAACCGAACGAGCATATTGCGACGCGTCTAAATGCCAATTAAGTTTCCAGTGCAGCCGAACGCTACGGTGTCGCAGTACCGGGCAAATAAAAGTGTAAAATGGCTGGTGGCGCTCGTAACTGCCGGCAGGGGGATGTAGGAGGAAGGAGTAGGAGGTGAAGAAGGAAGGGAGGATAAGCTGAAGAAATTCCTCACTGAGGATGATGCGGTGACGGTGACGGTGATGTGTGATTCGCTGATAGGTGCATTTGCGGGGTCTAGTAGGGTTGGCACACCCTGGGCGACAGATCAGCGGGCGCATCCGCTCCGCTCCGTGTCACCACCAACCCCCCGGAATCAGCTACCGGTCCGTTCGATTATGGTTTGAACTTTCGCCTTGACCAATTTCCCAAAATGGCGGTGACGACAATTCGTTTTCTCGCACAATCGTTAAAATCAGGCTCAAATTTTGTGTGTGCATCTCGTTAAGCACCAATTGAGGCCTAGGGTCGTTTATAAAAAAGATATACACGTTGTCTCCATGCTTCATTGGTCGAGTCTAAAGCTCGAGTCATGACCCATACATGTTTTGCGCTTGGAGCGCTTGCAAGAATTAAGAGTGCAGCAGATGCTTGACACGGAAAAGCAGAAGATTTTTCAATTACTGGGTCTTGCGCGTGCTACACGCTGTCAAAAAATGGGTATCCGCATATAAATGACATCAAATATAGCCCTCGGACGATGGAACCTGAATTCTAGAATCGTGAAGTGTGCGATCTGGGGTCCGGTATCTAGACTTAGGCAGACCTGCATCGACATGGACAAGGGCGTATCACGCCGGGTAGATACATGATGCCGGCGCGGCATACATACAGCAAGTCAGAATCTCTGGACATGTTTACCGGGAACGTTGTTCTAGATTAGCCAAACTCTCAAGAGATACCCGTGAACTAGTACTCGCACGTGCCTCCCCCTGTACCTTGTTTCTAGATTCAGGCAGGGAAGTTGCGAAAGCCAGTCCATGCAGTGTTGAGGTAGGTATTGCATCTTCGGCAGTTGGTGTCTTTTTCTAAAAGTGCGCTGAGAAAGCAACATGGTTTGGCAGGTGTGTAACTGAAATCTTTCACACGCGAAAAACATGGACACAATCGAAGACGGATTCGAAAGTGGTGAATCCTACGTGAGTCGTGGAGGAACAAGCTTACCGAAGGCATAACCAAGCGTGAGTAATGTCTTGTTCTGGGTCACTACAGACAAATCAGAAATTCCAAGCATGTGTTCCTCCATAACGTAATTCGATGAGTACCAGCGTTAGATAGAGAAGTATAGATGAACAACAGGGTATTTCCAAGACACAAGAATTGCCGGCATGTGCCATCCATACAGAGAAGCTTTCGAGCGAGGAAGGGCAGAACATGTCCCATAATACGCTTAATTTTGAGTCGTTCGGCTTCTTTGCAATGGCTCAGAAACGTGTGACTACAAGATGTAGTAGTCAGGCTACAATTGACTTCTGTAAAGCCTGCATGTTCTGTCAAGAACGCCCCATGGGGCATAGGGAGGTGTCTGAATATTTCCATGCAATACATAACACTCCAATAAGAAGTAGAGAGCAGGACTAGTACCTTGCGAGAGTATTTGTAGCAGCCGTGTGGAATAATTAATCAGTGACCATGACGACTAGACGGAACATACCACTCCTTGTGATCTGCCCTTTCATTTCCGACGGTATGCAGAGGAGGTTTTGAGAGATGACAAGTCGAAAGGACACATACAGACACACAGACACACAGTAGTAGACATAATGTTTATGTTATAGACATTGACCTTCAAAGGAAAGATGTGGTGCGGTGTAACAAAAGAGTGACATAGTCCAGACGATGTTGGTGTCAGTAGTACACGCCCGCTGACATCGGGTATCTCGGGGATGATCACGCAGCACGTTCTTCTCCCAAGGGTTTGAGTAGCCAACAATACATAAGCGTGTTGTTCTCAGAAGAAAAACAAAGTCCAGACAACAGACATACGTCTGTTTGCTCATGTTTCTAGTAGCCTATCAAAATGCTCGTTTCGTTCTCGAGAATCTTAATCTATCAAGGCCGGACTTCAAATAGCAGACATCAACGTCTCTTTGCCTCATTTTCAGACAACCCATCAAGAATGCTTATTTAGATTTTAGAATTCCTCGAAATTGGCAGGCAAAAGTCCAAACGGCAGACATGTTGGCCCATTTAGAGAATTTTTTATTTCGGACTCACCATCCCGTGTGGAAATTCTCCTTTTGAGATTTTTCGATGGTGGCCAGGAATCCAAGCAGCAGACATCATCTTTTCCATCATCTCATTTGGATAACCCACCACAACCGTTGAGGTCCATCTTCGTTGCCTTGGTGAGAGGTGAGAGGCAGGAGTCGGGACAGCAAACACATAGAATGTCTCCGCAAATTGTTTTGTTTTTGAATAGTCCATCCATTGCATGAAGAAGTGTTAGAGCTCTCAAGATATCTCAACAGTGAGAGACAGAATCCTAGACAGTAGACACATCTGTCGAAACCATGCACCTTTATTTTTCAGATAGCCCATGCATCGCGATAAATCGAGTTTTGGTTGTTGAGATGACTTGATGGTGAGAAGAAGCAGAAAAAAGAAGAGATTGAGTTTAAGGAGTACGCGCTTTGTCCGCTGCGATAGCCCGTACGTATCCTCTGCGGGTCTCATGGGCTCGTCATGGTCAAATTTCAAAGTAAGTCAGGAGCAGAAACTTCCGTAGCCATTCCTACGTCGGATCTACCAGTCAAAAAGGGGAGAAGAGGGTGGCTAATAAAGGGATGACGTAATGGTCTATTCTCAGAACACAAGGTTTTCGGGCCATGTTCTGTTCACACCAAAACATGTATGAGTGATCTCGTGTCTTGTTCACATGAGCAGAGAAACATGTCATAATAGTCATCACTTTTTTCGCAGGATCACATGACAAAAACACGACAGGAAAGCCATTCTCCGAAAAGATGGACTATTTGAAGAAAGGCTAAAGCCTGATATTTGAGGGATCAGAACAGTGGATTGGCTTGGAGAAGTTTAAAACCAGCAGGAAAGCCATTCATCACATCGAATGCGTTTTTTGAAGACGCATGCGACGGGCGACTCGCGAGAGAGAAGGAACACCCGATCTTAAGCAGGCATATGAGGATGTTTTGAGCCATTTTAGCGGTCCCGCAAAGCATGGTCGGTCTTTACAGCCTAACGTACCCCACGGGCGAGCGGATCAACGGGCGAGCGAATCACTTTTGCCAAGCCCCCACCAAAACTTGACCCATCATGGCCCAAAACACCACACTTTGGTCCTGCACGGTACAGTACAGGCTGGAATATCATTCAGAGACCTCTTCTACATCAATCTTGCACGTTCGCGCGTTGTGTCCTGTCTGATTGCACCTTCCACAGCGCCGTTGGGTTGGCTCGCCCTCTTGAGTGCGCACCTGCTTCTTCGCCCTCTTCCCATCACCACGCGCCCCAAACTCCTTTAGAGCTGCCAGCCGCTGCCCATCTTCAACTATTAGGGTCCCTTCCTTCTGAACTCGCTTTCTTTTATGTGATTTTCGTCGCATGGCGGCCTCGTTAGCCGCTCGAAGCTCCTTGATTTCCTGTTGAGCTAAAACCAGCTTGTGGGATAAGATTGCTCCCCCCTTTGCGTAGTGCTCAAGCGCGCTTAGAACAGAATTTGGTGAGCTGCCCTGCTGCCTCTTATACTTCTCTCGAATTAGAGTTGATTGCGACCCAAATTCCAGGGTGTTGCTGGGGGTTTGCGACTGCCAGGGTACGTTGTTGGTGGGGAGTGGTGGTGATGGAGTCCGAAGCTTCACATTAAGGGCTGATATGACCCGTTCTGGGTCAAAGGGGACCAATCCAGCACCTCGAAACCCTCCTTGGATATTGCTAGAGGTAAACACCGCATTATAGGCTGCTTTAAAGCATGGCAGGAACTCAGTCTTTGTGATGTGGCTGATTCGGTTGCGCATAAGCAATTCGGCTTGGCGCCCGTACGCTGTCTTCAAAGGGGCAAAACAGCCCACATCAAGTGGCTGCAGAAGGTGCGATGAGTGCGGAGGCATACATAGAGTAACAATCTTGTTATCCTTGCAGTATTTCTGGAATTGGAGCGATTCGTGGCTCTCGTGGCCGTCAATAACCAGCAGTCGGTGGGTACCAGCAGTACGCTCCTTTGTATGCGCGTCAAAGTGCTTCAACCACTCAAAACCAAGCTCATTAGTAGTCCAGCCGTTACCGGAGACTGCAATAACCCAATCCTGGGGCAGGTCTTCCTCCTTGTACCAGCCGGAGAGGTGGTGGCGCGCCTTGAAGATAACAAAGGGTGGAATGGCCCATCCTTTGGCATTGATACCCTGTATGACCGTTGTCCACTCCCGGTTGCCTGGCTGGACTGCCTTTGGCCTTCCTCGTCTCTCTGAAGCTGTAACAACTGCTCCCTGGGAGATCTGGCCCATCATGAAGCCTGTCTCGTCAAAGTTGTACGTGTCGTCATCTAGGATACCATACTTGGCTTTTGTGTTTCGCACCAGGGAAAACCAGCCCTGCACAACCCCAGAATCCTCGCAGAGGGCTCGCTTGTAGTCATACCTGCGATTAAACTTCACTTTGAGCTCTGGTTGACGCTTTACAAACGTACTGGGCCAGTTTGTGCCAATAGGGCCCAGATTGCGCTCTGCGCGCAGAGAATTGGCCATTGCAGCCACATCTGCCAGCCGAGGGCCAAATCCTCGCTCGTCCAGCTCAAGTATGTGATTAACAATCACCTGCTCCTCTAGATCATCCAGCCCTCGTGAGTTGGGCATAGTATCGCCTCGTGAAGGTCGTCCAGTAAGTCGATGGCTTAGTGTAGCTTGAGGAACGTTGTAGATAGCTGCAGCGCGTCGCTGTGAGAGTTTCGCGTCTTGTTTAAGAGCTTGAAGCGCAAGCTGTATTTGAGCTTCCTTTAACGCGTTAAGATTAGGTTGTTGTTGAGGCATTGGTATGTAGAGGATACTTTGGTGGGGGCTTGGCAAAAGTGATTCGCTCGCCCGTTGATCCGCTCGCCCGTGGGGTACGTTAATTGATTTTCGCACAACAGTGAGAGAGGAGGAAATGACCAGAAGAGAACAAGGTCGCACCACAGGTCTGACGTAGAGAGCCATAGGAGCCATCTTTCTTCCAAGCGGCAGCACCATGACAGAAGTACCGCTTCCAGACATACTCATGCACGACAGAGGCTTTCTCCGACACCGCCCATGACAGGTTACCTTCCCAACTTTCACGGCGCGGCGCCACGCCATACGGCTGACTGATATTGGCTTTTGAGAGAATATGGCATACTGAAGCGCGTCCAGCAAGACGCCCACCCAACATCCACACGCATGTCCAGCATTCGAGCAAAACAACGGAAGACATCTTGACTCCTGAACAGAGCTTTTGTCCCCCAGCCGCAGAGACAACATGCAGCCCCAAAATGGCCCTTTATCGTACCGCAGAGGGCAGGTCAGCGCCTGGCACGAACAAAGCATACATTCCGGCACAGAGACCGAGCGGACATGGTTCAGGAACATTGTGATTTCGAACTGAGAACAGGGTGGGCAGAAGGAGTTTCAGAGGCTTGGGCACCGCCCAGCGATATAGAAAGGTCGGCGCGGATGCCGAGGGGACATGGCATCAGCATGTCTCTGTTTACAGTGGAATTAGTCGGCGAGGAGAAGTTTCGGGCGAGCGTGAGCGAAAGCAACTGCACGAGGATGTGAGGAGTGCGGCTCGTCGTGGAGAACATTCCCAGTTGCTGTTCCGGTCTTAGTGATGAAGTCTGCAGCGGCACCAGGCCATGAAGCTGTTCTCGGGTAATTCAGAATCAAGAACAAGGCGGAGAAGAAGGCTCAAGGTAGATGTGAAGACGTGCGTAACCGCGCCATAATCTGTGAAGAATGCGATTTGAAGTAGAGGGCATCGCAAGAAACTGTTTGAACTTTAGTGGCGCAGGTCGCAGCAGCGCCAGACCATGAGCTTTGACAGTCGTATTGTAGGGCATGATTTGAGGAGCGAAGAGATTTTGAAGTAATTTGAGGAGCAAAGATGTTGGAAGTGATGTGGCATTATAAGTAGCGGAGTTTCGAGACATTCACCCTCTGTTATAGGATTTGAGAGCAGCAGAACCTCCAGACATGAGTCGACCGTCAGATGGTTTGAGAGCAGCAGAGCACTCCAGACATTACGTCTCCGCTATTTCTGTTGAAAGCAGCAGCGCGCTCCAAACATGGTAGGATTTCATGCAAGTTTCAGACAACACAGATACAGAAGATGAGAGAGTTGCGGTTGTGGAGGAGAACAAGTGCAGACATTAAATATCTGATATTTATACTCGCATGGTATCTGTGGTCCCGTGATCGAGCCAAACGAACCGATCGCCAATCAGCGATTTCCTGAACCGATGAAAAAACGAAGCATGCCGCTTCTGTGTGCTTTTCCAAACGCCGCCCAATGCACGCGCAAGCGAGGGTATAGAGTATGCAGAACCGAGGAACCGAGAAACCGGTGTCTAGGAAACAGGAACGACGCGAGAAACGACAACGCAGGAGCAGAAAAGGCCAAAGCCAGGACCAAAACATCTTGTGGCAGAGCAACGTCTCATGATGGCGCTTCCACAACCCCCCACCCTCCCTTCTCCCTCCCCTGCCCCTCAACCTCCACCGCCCCCCGCCCCGGCACATACCAGCGCCCTTTGACCTTCTCCCTCGCCTCGACTTCCACCGCGCGATCGTGTCCATGCACCTCCGCAACACCTAGACAAGGCGCGCTAGGCCCCGTTTTAACATCATTCGCGTTCCACGACTCGGCAGGGAAGCCTCTGGGATCAAAGGAAGGGCTATTATGCGAGAACATACTTGGCGGCGGGGCAGAAGCGCGCGCACGGCGGCGGCGCCGGTGAATTATGAATGCGGCGAGGGCGACGAGCGAGATGACGGTGCAGCCACCTACTGTGCCGCCGACAATGGGGCCAAGGGACTGTTTTTTGGGGCTCGAAGGGGGTTCGGAGGGCGCTGTTGTTACGGGGGAAGCAGAGGCGGTGACGGTGACTGTTTTGACTGGGATGGAGGAGGAGAGAGGGCCGTAGGTGCGCTGGGCGGTTGAGGTGAATGCGGAGGGAGCGCAGCCGTGCTGGGTCATGGTGGTGGTGTCGTAGGCGAAGAGCCATTGGTAGCATTCTGTTGCGGTGCCGGCGGTACATTTTGCGATGGCGGAGTCGGAGGTACAGGAGGAGTCTGTGCAGGAAGAGCGAATGGCGGTCGAGGGGATGCAGGCTGTGGCGATGGTGCAGGAGGAGAGGTTGGCGGCGTCGCAACATCCATGAACTCCGTAGAATGTATTTGTTGCGCATACTGCGTTAGAGTTTGGACAGCTCACTGGAGATGCTGAAAAAATTAGATGTTGCCGATGAATGGTAAGGCTGGAGGTACGTACCCGATAACCCGGAGACAAAGCCGCACGTGTTGCCCTCGTTTGCTTGCAGAGCCGCACGACCGAGTATGGTGAACTGCGGTGCTGCTGTCGGCGCAGGACTCCAGTTGTCGACTGCTATTGCGAGATGTTGTGTGGGTTCTGGCATTGCGAGCGCTGCCGCGGATACTAGGGCTGGTGCCAGGATGGCATGCTTTGCACTTGAGAGCTTCATGACTGTCGAGTTTCCATGCGGGCCGCTGAAGCTCGAGCTTCAACAGATACTGGTATGGAGGTTGTTTGGTTACACGGTGGGCACAGCAGCGGGGAGTAGCAGGTATGAGCACTGTTAGGCGCGCAGCTCTTAAGATAGGCTGGGCTGAGTAGCATCGCGAGCTCTGTGGAGAAGAGGCAGGGTAAGCTTAAAGCTCCCTTGCTATCTGGGAGACATGCCCTGGCGATCCGCTGTCACTGTGGTGAATCGTGGATCATGCGGATGCGCCAACATGCTCGAGGCAAGGCGTCGATGGCACCCTTGAGGCGGTCTGCCAATAGTAACAATCGACGTCAGCCGTAATGCGCAGTCGCGGCAACGCCCACTCGTTATTGGGGGATGTTCACAGAGCGAAGTAAGTAAGCAGCCGGGGGCTGAGTACATTTGGTAAGGTGGGGTGTCTGAGCGTGCATGCATCCCTGCGCCCAGTCGACAGAAGTGCGCCAGGGTATGACTGCGCGCATTAATAGACCGCATCTATCGGTCAACGAGGGATGATGACGACGCAGTAAGCCGTTTGAGTATTGTGGTGTCAGTATAATGAGACTATCTGAAGTCCGGCAGTTTGGAGGCGAGGGAGCGCGAAACACGGCTCCCACGTGTGAAACAAAGGCAGTGGTGCCGGTACCGGTCATCGCTTTGACAGCTGAGTATTGCGGCGCTGTTAGTGGAAGGCTAGAGCGACCTACAGAAGGCACCCGAGGACAATGAACAACACAGGGATGTCTGTGATGGAAGGCGCGCCCTGTAGCGTATCGCACTCGGGAAGGAGCGTTGGCCTGCCACCACGCATTAGCCGGTCGCACACGACGTGTTGTCGGAGGCGATGCGCAAGGCTGGATCGCTAGATCGCTGCATTACTCCGACACGAAAGCAGGATTTGTGGCTGCACAGATCTGCGACGCATAGGTGATCCATGTAAATCTATTCCTGCTCTTGTATTGCATATATACAACAGTACCAACCTCACCTGAACGCCGTCCCAATGTTGTGATCGCTGATAAGACACCTCCTGCGTGCGCGCGGGCGCATTGTCGTCTCACGGTCCCGGGTATACAAGTAGTGTACAAAGTGCGATGCGCCGCGGCTCGGCTCCCTTCTAGTTCCGCTTGTGAGGGCCGATGATCTTGGGGTACATTCTCGACAGGTGGTAGTTGATGTTGTTCTTCTTCGGGTTCACGTCGCGCTGTGTGGTGTTAGAGCATGCTCATGTTCTCTCTCCAGCCACACATACCGGCTGATCCATGCATTGCCGCAGCTTCTGCTCAAACTGCGCGCAGCCTTGCACGCTGTATCCTGACGATGCCCAGCAACCTGTGATTGACAGTTAGCCATCGTTCTTCCTATTTCGTCTTCTCCATGCGCCGTGTTCGCCGTATTGCTGCCATCTCGTGCTGTCTCGTGGCCACGCCTCGGCGCATCTCCATTGCAGGACCGCACATACCCAATACTGCTGACATGACGCCCAGGCACGGGTTGGACTCTGGCTTGTTCGGGCGGCGGATGCGGAGCTTGTGGAGCGGGGGCAGAGGGCGATGCGTGACCGACTGCACGGCCTGACCCTGTGGCTTTGGCACCATTTTGGCGTTCGTTCGATGCGATCGGAATGGCTGGGATGGCCGAGACGATAGGCGACGGCTGATTGACTGAGCGACGGGTGCGTGGACGTTGATATGGCCGGCGCGGTCGTGGATCTATTCGAAGCTCGGCCAAAAAGTTGGAGCGGCAAGCGCCGAATCGGGCAACGGCAGGCGCGACCGATGACCCCTACTAGCGTCGCCGGTGTGAGTGGTAAACAAACACACTCTTGTCGCGTTAAACATCATTACGTCGGTTCGGCAAAGCGTGCGGGTTGAATTTGAGCTTCCGGTCGGGCAGCGCTCATACTAACCAGCAGCTTCACTTTTCCCGTCGCCATGGCCGCCTCCCCGCGCAAACGCTCCCTATCGCCGCGCAAGCGTCTGCCGCCCACACCATTCAACCAGACATGGCACGAGGCCGACGCCGCACACCTCGACCCCAGCGCCCTGCCGGTCGCCCGCATACCCCGCGGCTGGGAGCGCAAGCGCGAAGTGAAGCAGGGCAGCGAAGGAAAGGCGAAGAGCATCTGGCGGCGCATCGACCTGCGGTCCAGCATTGCCGGCGCGCAGCAGGATGAGACGGAAGAGGAGGAGCGCGATGCGCTTTCACGTGCTGTGAAGCGGCGACAGAAGATGAGCCCCAAGGCCATGGAGAAGATGCAGGGCAATAAACGCGCCTTCCAGGGCACGCGCTGGGAAACGAGAAAGAACGTCCTGCCCCGTACGCAGCATCCTCCCGATATAAAAGGTGTACAGCACTGACACTGTACCAGGCAAGAGATCTTTGCGTAACAGTGACACTATCAACCAGGACCAGAGCGACAGCGACGACACGCAAGACGCAACAGACGCAGACATGAGCCACGACAGCTTAGCAGAGGCGTCGCATGTACAGGCGAACCCGGCATCGTTCACCTTCGCTGGAGCCTCAGACTACGAGGGCCAAGGAGAGCAGGAAGACGAACAGAACGTGGGCGACACTGCTCCAGAAGACTCGACATTCGCACTTATTTTTAGATCACCTGTGAAAAGCACTTCCAGGCCAATGATTACGTCGCCAGCCAAGGTCGACTACCCCGCATTACCGAACAGCGAAGAGCAGAAGGCACAGTTGGAAGAACCGTCTGAACTTCCTGTCGGCGAGGACGTCACAGTCACGGGGTCGACTACCGAAAGCATCGCCGCTGAAGTAGACATGGCCAGCGGCTCGAACACCTCGGACGCTGCAGAGACATACAGTGCAATTCCAGAAGCAGTCGAGTCCTGGAACGCCGAACAAGCTGAAACGCAGCCCGAAGATGAAGAGGAGGTTGCATATCCGGCGTTACCTATGGAGACCACTCTAGACAACCAGGCTGCCGACCCACAAAACGAGGACTTTGTGAAAAGTGAAGGCGAAGATGACGATACCGAGATGTCTGAAGTACATTTGGCTACTTTTGTACCCTCTCTCGCGCTTGAGAACAACCAGGCTGGGACTGCCAGGGACGACGATGAGATTACCGAGGCCTCGTTGCAGCTGAACATACAGGAAGAATACGAGCGGGAAGGCGAGCTTGCATCCCAGCCCCCCACACCAAAGCCTGTTGCGACCGCCAGCGGGGACATCGCAGACGGTCTTACACTTGCACTCACGCCAGCGAAAGCATCGACCAGAGGGCACACGCCGAAGAAGTTGCATTCGCCCCCACCACCGTTGCGTATCGAATCGGGTCCTGACGATGCAACAATGACACTCGCGATCGACGATGATACCGCCATCCTCAAGAGTTTCCTCAGTCGCGCAGCTGCTAGCAAGGCAGAGAGATCCGCATTCATCACTCGTCGATCGTCTCTTGAGAACCGACGCGATTCAGACATTGTCCGCCACGCTCTAGCGTCACCACGCAGAGCACTAGAAGAGAAAGACCCCAACTCTCCAACCAAGGCCGACGCCGAAGCCACCCTCGATCTGTTGGAAACCCCGGTGCCAATATCTGCTATCGAGGAGTCAGCTCCTCCCGTTGCAGAACAGCCTGAAGAAGAGGATGATACAGAGGTTAAATCTGGGCGGGTCTCAAGACGCTCTTCCCGGGCAAAGAAGTCTCGTCTTCCGGCTCCAGCTTCAGTTGCACTGCCCCAAACCAACAAGATTGCCATTCGTCGTGCGGATGGCAGCGACCCAGTCGTCCTTAAGAAGACGGATGCCCAAGAGCTAGCCCTCATTACCAGGAACAACACGCGGAAGAACAAGCAAGGGGCTTTCATGGTCAGTCTACGCTTGCTTAAAATACAGGCTGAGGCGATCCTGTCTCCGTCGACCGATGTCGATGCAGATGTTGAGAAGCCTTCAGCACCAGGGAGGAGGGGTATCAGATGGGACGAGACGCTGGCGTACTACCAAGAGCATGGTGACACCATCGCTGCGCAACAAGCAGAAGCAGAAAGTCTGGCCACTCCAGATGAACTGAGCTTGCCGGTCGCAACAACGAAGAAACCCAAAGCAAAGACAAGCACAGACAAAACCTCGACCCCGAAGGTTCGCCGTGTACGCGGTCTGGGCACAGTCAACGGTACACCAGGAAAGGGGCTATTGGCTACTGGGTCTCTGCTGCCAGATGACATTCAGGAAGAGAAGGTTGCTGTTGCTCAGCCAGCGCCCACACCCACCGCCAAAGGGATCCCCAAGCCAAAAGCGACCAAGAGGCTGCCCGTTCCTTCCACTCCTGTAGAGGCGAAGCCCGCGGCTCCCGAAGTTAAGCCTGTTGCCGTTGAACCAGTCAAGGAACGCAAGAGCCGCATTGCTGCACCGAAAAGTGTGAGGCTACCCAAGCCCCTTGCAACCACTGCGCCCGTTGTAGTAGCAGAAAAGGAGAACAATAGGAGTGCGCTCAATGGCGCGACGCCAAGGAAGGGTATACCAGCTCCTCGCATCATGGCACCCAAGGCGGCTGCGACCCCGGCGTCGAGTCTGAGTGGTGAGAGCGGGTTGCCTAGGCGGAGAGGGAGGAAGGCGTAGGATGGACACGCATACATAAGAGTGCGGAGTGTCGTGTGATGAGTGATGACTTACTTGTTTGCCGGGTTTTGGGCGTTATATACCTTGTTTGCATTTGCATATAGCGGATAGAGGCGTGGAGCTGCTTTGTGCTGATTGGTGTGGAAAGAGCATTGGAGGCGTCTATTTCCATCGAGCGTCTCTTGGACCGAATTTTACGCTATCTCAACGATATCTTGTCACTTCGGCTGTAGCTATTTACATGCGCGCACACGAAGCGCTTGCTGGTATAGTACACGCTGTCACTTCTTTCCAGCATATCCCACACAGCCCTTTCCCACTAACAACCACACCCTACCCCTCCTTCGCTACAACCTCCTTTTCCTCCCCCTTGATCCTAACCCTGACCTCCATCCCATCCACCGGCTTCGCCGTAACCCGGTGCGTACTAAACAACTTCCCCTTCGTCTTCACCCTCCCCCCCTCCTCAACCCCGGCCTCCTCGCCCCGCACCACCTCCCCCAACCCCACCTTCTCAAACTCAAACCACCGCGCCACACACACAACCACAATTTTCGCCTCCAGATTCGCCAACTCGGATCCCGTGCAGCGCCTCGGCCCGCGCTCATACGCCCGGAACGCACTTTCCGGGATCGCGCGCCCGCGCTCGCCCAGCCACCGCCCGGGGTCGAATGCGTCGCGCGACGCGCCGAAGACGCGGGGGTGCCGCTGGATCGTGTAGGCGCGGGGGGACACGCACAGGCCGTCGACGGTGAGCGGTGTGCCGTCCGGGAGGGTCAGTGTGGTGTGCGAGGCCGCGGGCGCGACGCGCGCGGTGGTGCCCGGCGGGTGCAGACGCAGGGTTTCTTTGATCAGGGCGTCGGTGTATGGCAGGTGGGTTAGCAGGTGGGCTGCCTCGGGGCTGCGGAGGCGGGCGGCGATGGTGGAGGGGTGCGGCGAGGGACCGAATGCAGAGGTGAGTTCTTCGGCGAGAGCGGCGGCGGCAGAGGGGTGCGTGTGCAGCTCGTAGAAGATCCATTGGAGGAGGATGGAGGTTGTGTCGTGGCCGGCGAAGAGGAAGCCGCGCAGGGTGTCGCTTGTTTGCTGGAGGATCTGGGAGTTGAGGGCAGGGATGCCGTGGAGGCTGAGAGTTGCCACGCTTTTTGTTTTGGCCTTGGTGTCGGGGCCAGAGGTGAGGAGGGTTTTGTGTTGCTTTTTGATTTCGGCTTTGAGGATCTTGTCGAGCTTGCGGTCCTGGTACCGGACTTCGCGCTCGTTGGCAGAGAAGTAGTCGCGCCACCCTACGCCGCCGAATGGGCGCTTGTTAAAGGCTTCGGAGAGGGCACGGTAGGTCAGGAGAACGTCGCTTTGCTTTCCATCGATTTGGGCGTTGAGGTCCATGTCGAATGTTACGATACCGATAATGTCGAAGACGAGGTTCGTCGTGTACGTCTCCAAGCAGAATGTCTCGTTGCTGGCAGCCTTTTGTGTCATGAGATCGATGAAGGTCTCTGTCTTGTCAAGAATGACATCGACGAGGCTGAGAAGATGTTGAGGCTGGAAGCCAGGCCGAATTCTCTTGTACAACGCGTTCCATTCATCACCCTAGAGTCGTTCGTCAATATTTCTAATCTTTGGCTTCCCCACCTACGTGACAGCGCGGAAGAGCTAGCTTACGTCGGTGGTAACCAGAGACCTAGCGCCCACCAGGGGAGCCAGCTGCTGAATAGCTGGATGCTTCGGCATACTGGTCCTGTAGGCCTTACTCGGTTTGGTGACCTGTTCGGCAACATCATTGTCCAGGATGAACAGAATGGGGAACTTTTCGATTGGGCGCCAGTCGACAAGGAGGACCGGAGGGAAACCGAGCTTCTCAGCCTGTTCATACAACATCTCGTCGAAAGCTCGTCGAGGATCGCCCTCGCCAGCGGCTTTCTCGATCCATGGCCAATGGCCTCTCACGGGGTCTGCTGGCTCAGGCTGGGGGAAATGGGAGTACTGCGCGAGATCGAGAGGCTTGGGCTTCGAAATTCGCAGGTAGTAAGCCACGGCAAGCGATATCGCAGCGATAGCGAGAGCTTTGACAAGAAAAGCTTCGTCCAAGCTTCCAATCTTTTGAGTTGAGATCAAGTCGAGTAAAGCCATCTCTGCTGCCAGAAGAGCGTCGTCGGATTGTCAAGATGTGAGTTTCTGCATGAGCCGCGTGTCGCGCACAGCAGGCAGGCCATCATTCTTATGAAGAGGGGCATCGTGCCATCTCAGCCCTTGGCCCATTGCGTATGCCATGTCCACGATGAAGTGGCCTCGGGATGTTGTCGGACATGATCGCGGCATCAATGCGGTTGTGATCATCGATTAGATGCATCAGATTAGATTAGACAAGATTGATTCGCTGATGCTCCCAAGCCATGCAGGTCAAGCAAAACTCTGCAGCTTGGCAACACGGAGTGCAAGCCGCGTTGAGCCAGCAACAAATTCTTGTTGTTGCTTTGCAGAAGAGCGTGACTTGAGGTGGGGTGCAGTGCGATGACGTTGAATGTTGGATGGGGCAGGTGGTGGCTCAAGACTGCGTGTGCTGCACCCACGGCCAAACAGCCGCTTCCCAAAATGGAGCTCCAGGCAAGAAAACTCAACACTCGCGTTAACGCTCTTTCTTAATAAAACGAGCTATTTAGCAGTAGTTCTGTGGACGATTAGCTATGATGGGGTTAGTTTAGGGCCGACAAAAGTGCCAAATAACTGGTCGGACGTCCCTGGCCTGGGTGCACTCGGCGCACCAGTCCTGGGACCGATCATTGGGAGCCAAGAAATGCTCGATGATGTTGTGGCTATTCTCTGTGTTACTTAAGCACACTCGCAGTTCTGTTATACCGCAGGAGCTATGTAAGTTGTATAGATTTGTTACAGTTTCAACAGATATGGAGCCGTTTGCTCGCTTCCAGCCCAGACGGAAACATAGATTAAACCATGAGCAGTACGATCCTGCAAAACCTGCCCCTATAATAGTAAGTTTGTTCGAATAAGATGTTCTGCTATCGACGTACTTGATGTGGTGTGGAGTTAATCAGCCGGGTCTAATTCGTTGACGTTGGAGTAGTAGGAGCGGCTGCCGTAGTGAGTGTACGACATGGCAAGAATTGAAACATCCTGTCCGCTCAAAATCTGATTCTTTTCCTACACTAAGCCTACATATACTGCAGCCGCTTACTTGAGGCGTTTCTCAGCCGCCTTCCAGTTAATGACGTTCCAGATAGCCTTGAAGTACTCGGCCTTGCGGTTCTGGTAGTCGAGGTAGTAAGCGTGCTCCCACGCATCAACACCCAGAATGGGCCTAAACTGTCCGACAACGGGGTCCTGGTTCGCGTATGTCTTGATCTGGATGCTGCCAGTTTGTGTGTCCTGTACCAGCCACGCCCAGCCGGAGCCCTGAATACCAGCCAGAGCAGTGTTGAACTTCTCCTTGAACTGGTCCAATCCACCGTAGGAATCGTTGATGGCCGCAGCCAGCGCGCCAGAGGGAGGCTCACCGCCTCCTTGCGAGGTGGGTGCCAGGTTCTCCCAGAAGAGACTGTGGTTGACGTGGCCACCGCCGTGGAAGTTGATGAGGGGCTGCAGAGCGATCTGAGCCTGGATATCGTTCTTCGCCTTGGCTTCGGCGATCTGCTCGCTAAAGTTGTTGTACGATGTCACGTAGGTGTTGTGGTGGTTCTTGTGGTGCAGCTCCATGATCTTGCCAGAGATGGAGGGCTCGAGGGCGCCATAGTCATCTACACACCGTCGTCAGCTCATTGCTTCTACCAAAACAGCAGTATTGCATACAAGAGAGGTCAGGCAGTGTAGCCTTTCCGCGCACAAAGGTGGTCGCAACACCAGCGCGAGCAGAGTTCTTAGTAGCAGCGCGGAGCGCGGATCGCGCGGCAGTCGAGCGGAGGATAGTCGAGTTCATGTTGACTTCAATCGATATGTTGACCACCAATTGAGTTTGATGAGATTGTTAAGTATGTACGTTTGAGGGCGCAGTTGTCTAGATCGACTGCTCAGTTAATCAAGCTCTGTCGTCATTTCATACGCCCGAGCTCCGAAAGGCCCAAGCTCCCTTCGCATTTCGGCAGGAGCGACCCGCGAGCCAATGACAGCTCGCAAAGAAAGCTTCCCCAGAAAAAAATGTCACGATGATGCAGTTTTACGCAAAGGGGACTTTCGAGAAAATATAACATGTGATCCAGAGTGCAGCTGCGTTGACCTGCATCAGCCATCAATAGTATCAGGAGAGCAGACGGGATGAATGCTACCCCCATTTTCTGGGTACCCCGCGTTAGCCCGAGACCGGCCACTCTCGAACGATCGAGCTCTGGGCAGCATTTTCTGATGGCTCGCGTGGCATGCAAGACATCTTGACATTGACGTATCTGGGTACCTGCAGATCACTTTCTCACGCCATGGGCCGCTGACTGCACTTGGCTCCGCATTGTCAAGAGCATACATCTTCTGGTCGTGGGCACCTTCTCTTCTTCTTCTGACCCCGCCAACGTCATCACTATGGCTCCAGCAAACATCGTTCACCTACCCAATGGCCAGAACCTTACAGTTACGCCTGTGTTTGGGGGCCTCTTTTTCAAGGCAAATGATCTGCTCAACTCCCATTCGCCTTTTCCTCCAGGATGGACAGTCGTACTCAACTCTGAGGACGAGAACGACCCCGCAACGACCGAGCAAGATGAGAAGGCAGAGCAGACTGGACTGCCCCGGCACGTACACCGGTACAAGCGACCGACATTGACCGGAGATCACCTCTATATCTCCTCGGTATCGAACCCTAGCAGCAGTGACTTCAGGGCTGCTGCTTCGCCGACACGTCACATCGCCATGATGCTCTGGGCTACCTTGTATTGGTACTTCCACCAGCCGGAGCCCACGTTGCAAGTCACGAATGCGCGATCGAAGAACACGGCAGATGCAGGGAAGCCCAAGGGAGAATGGAGAATCAACATCAATCGCGAAGGCATATTCAAGGGTCGGGTTGTGCTACCAAAGCTCGAACGCATGGGACTGGTTGCCAGTGAGGATTCGTCTGTAGGATGCGCTCAGGATGAGTGTGCGCATGAAGGCTGGACGCACATGTTCATCAGTCGGCGCAGCTTTTGGCAATTAGATCCTCGTATCTATCTGTTCACGCTCTCGCCCATGGCAAACTCGCCTTTCCCAACTGGCTCACCTTACACTTCAAGACCCTCGTCGCCAGTTGGAAAGGGCGAAGAGAAGAAGGAACACCAGATTGATCAGGTGTCGCCTGGACTGTGGTCATCCTCGGCCCCAGGTCCATACCACTCCAGCTCGCATCTACCGACTTACTACCCTCCCCCGCCAACTCAATACACAATCTCGAACCATGTTCGTCATCCTATCCGCCCAAAGCCTCCTCGACAAGGCGAAGTCCTCTACACGCGCTACATCCCCAGCGTCGGCCAATACCTCTCCTTCCGGGTGGCATGCATCTCCTCGAAGCCATTGCGACACCGCGGCCCCGTAGCGTCTCACGATACCGCTTCCCACCGTCTCAGCGGCCACTCACAGGCCGAGTCGATCGGGTCCGTAATGAGCTCGCCTACTGCCGAAATGAGTGACAGCGAGTACCTGCACAAGTGGATGAATGATCCTCGTGTGTCTCATTTCTGGGGCGAAGATGGTCCCCAAGAACACCAAGAAGAGTTTTTGAGAAACGGCTTAATGTCGAAGAACTCCTTCCCCGTCATAGGCTGCTGGGACGGCAAGCCGTTTGGATACTTTGAGATATACTGGGTGAAAGAGGACAACTTGGGGAAATACGTGCCGAACGTAGGCGATTACGATCGCGGATTTCACTGCTTGGTTGGTGAGCAGGAGTTCAGAGGTGCGCACCGAGTCAAGTTGTGGATCAGCGCACTCGTGCACTACTGCTGGCTGGCGGACAACCGCACAGAGAGAGCGATGCTTGAGCCGCGAGTGGATAACGAAAAGTATGTCACAATATCACAACGCATCTACAAGATACTGACAACGATAGATTGGCACACTATCTCCAAGAATCTGGCTTCTACAAAGAACGCGAAGTGAGCCTTCCACATAAACAGAGCAATCTGTTCAAGATAAATAGGGATGTCTGGCGAGGCCCGGCTTTGTAATGCTGTAGGCGGACACTGGGGGCTCCGCGCTGGAGACTCGGGAACGATGTGTGGAGAGGGCACGGCCGCGGGATGTTGGGCGTTCGCGCGGTTTTTGTGGAGGAAAAGCGGGTCCTGCGATGCCTTTGCGATTGTGCCATACAATTGCATACTGGTATTACAGGATTCGCCTTCTTTGGCAGTGCATTGGTTGTGAATTTATACGTGTTGCAAGTTGCGCCGAACATCCCACGGAATCTTGCCGAAGTCGGCGGGCTGCGATTAGACGGATTTATTGTAGATACTTAGGTACCCTAAAGAGAGCCAACTTCAGACATGTTTTCGGTCGCAGGTACCAAAAATCACGCGGAAGAAGAATACACAGGCGGGTGAGCATGCGGGAAAAACACGTTGTATTGGGTTTGGAAACTTGAAGATGCACTCACTGGTGGAGGAGGGGTCACCCCACCAAGCCAACGCTCAACTGAACGTATGCCTGGCAGGTACCGCGGAAAATTTCTGCGGCCCAACACGGAGGCTTCAATCACCGGCAAACAATTGACAGCCTAAAATCAGTTGTCGAAACGCTGTCTGGCGCGCCGATTTGTGGCGTAAATAAAAATGTGGGGTCTTGGCCACAAAATTATCGGAGTCCTGTGACGCAACACTTAATTCGGGTAGAAAAGGAACCAGACCCAGTCAACAACGACATAAAGCTCGTGACACCCAAACCTTTACATCACCCTGATCTAATTGCTACAAGAGGCAGGTAGTTGATCACACTACACGTACCTGGCTACTCAGAATGTCTGTTCCTTCAATTCCCTCCACAGAGCCAACGCTCGCATACGACCAGGACGCAGCCCTGGACCTTCAGCGTAAGATCGACAACATGAAGCAGCAGATCGGTAACTCGATCTTCGACACCTACCAGACATCTCTGACGGGGCGCTACTGCTCCAAGGAGATGTCACAACTTTTCAGTCAGCGCAGTCGTCACAGCACGTGGAGATCGCTGTGGCTTTACCTTGCTGAGTCGGAGAAAGAACTTGGAATTGAGAACATTTCAGAAGAGGCTCTTCAGCAGATGCGTGATCATCTTATCGTTTCTGACCAGGATTTCGAGGTTGCCAGAGTTGAGGAGAAGAGGAGGAGGCACGATGTCATGGCCCACGTGCACGCCTTCGGTGAGGTCGCACCAAAGGCTGCGGGAATCATTCACTACGGCGTAAGTGGTCTGTGTCGGGATCTAAAATGTGATGGCTAACATACCTTTAGGCAACAAGCTGCTACGTAACTGATAACGCAGAACTTATCCTGATGCGTGATGCTATGAGTCTGCTTCTTCCCAAGCTCGCCAAGGTTATTGACAACCTCTCCAAGTTTGCCTTGCAGTGGAAGTCTGAGCCAACTCTGGCCTACACTCACCTGCAGCCCGCCCAACTGATCACTGTCGGTAAGCGAGCAGCCCAGTGGGCGCAGGATCTTCTTATGGATTTGGAGGCTATTGAGCACGTCAAGGAGGGTCTTCAGTTCCGTGGTGCCCAAGGCACAACTGGAACACAAGCCTCCTTCCTCGAGATCTTCAACGGCGACTCGCAAAAGTGCGACCAACTCAACGAGAAGCTTTGCCAAAAGGCCGGCTTCAAGAGCTGCTACTCTGTCTCTACCCAGACATATACCCGCAAGGTCGATCAGCTGATCGCCAACGCAATCTCTGGACTCGGTTCCTCAGCACAGAAGATCACCGGCGACATCCGCCACCTTGCTGCCTGGAAAGAGCTTGAAGAGCCCTTCGAGAAGGACCAGATCGGTTCCTCCGCTATGGCATACAAGCGCAACCCTATGCGCTCCGAGCGTGTTTACGCTCTGTCGCGTGAGCTGATGTCCAAGCCCGCATCCTTCGCCAACACGCTCTCCGACCAATGGATGGAGCGTACGCTCGATGACAGCGCTGTTCGCCGTATCGACATCCCTGAGATGTTCCTGCTGGCCGACGCCATCCTTCTCTCCCTCGACAACGTCACCTCGGGACTGGTCGTGTACCCCAAGCGCGTCAACGCTCGTGTGCAGGAGGAGCTGCCATTCATGATCACTGAGAGTATCATCATGAAGCTCGTAGCCAAGGGCGAGAGCCGTCAAGAGGCGCACGAGCAGATTCGCGTTCTGTCTCACCAGGCCGGTTACAACGTAAAGAACGAGGGCGGGCAGAACGACCTCGTCGACAGGATCCGTAAGACTGAGTTCTTCAAGCCTATCTGGGGCGATCTTGACAACATGCTGGACGCGAGCTTGTACACTGGACGCAGCGCTGAGATTGTTGACAAGTTCTGTGGTCAGGGAGGTGTCGTGGAGAAGGCGCTGCAGGAGTACAAGGAGTACATCACCAAGGCTGGTGTTGCTGAGCTCAGCGTATAGTTGCAACAGGTGACACCTACGAGTGGAAGATGACACGCGGCTGTAGCCATAGTTTGCCGACTACAGTATGCGTTTTTAGACGGAACGACACAAAAGCCTTGTCCATTCTCCAACACTTGAGTCCATTCATCACTGGTTTTGTACCTACCCCAGCTCACCCCTTTCACACTGACGATAGTAACGTGGCTGCATGGCCTGCTATTGGGGAGGCTCATGCCAGACCCTGGAGGTGTTCGATTCAGACCCCTGAACTGAACCTCCAAAGCTTCAATGGTTCCCATCACGTGAACCATACTTGATACTTTTGAATTGTATACAATCATACAAAAGAACAAGCCTGCAGCCGAACATCAACGCATTCGGGATCAACATCCACACTCCACAGATTCCTCAAATACCAATCAAGACCCACAAACCCCCTCCATTGCAACCAACAATGCAGCCCTGCCGAAGAAGCACGCGCGTGAGGAGGGCTCCTAGCACCCTTGTACAACACCCTCCTCCTCCTCCTCCTCCTGCTGCTGCTCGTCCTCGTCCTCGTCCTCTGCCCAAGCTCTCTTTCAAAGAGAGACCCGAGCCATGGCCTCCAAGGCAGTCTCAACTTCCGCCGGGCATGGTATACCACCCACCCGCACCCGTGCCCAAGGCAAAACCCCCACCAGCGCCCAAAGCAGCACCACAAGACTCTGTCTGGGGCGATAGGCAAAGCAGCGAAGAAACACTCGCCGGCACCGACGATACCGCTTCTGACACCACGCTGTCAGCACCGGGGAGTCCAATCGCTCCGGACCAGTGGACTGCCTTCGAAAATGTGGAGGACGAAGGGCGGGCCTTCGGCCCCAACACTCCCGCACATATGGTGCGGCTTTGGGATCGGCGACGCAGGGATGCGGAGAGGATGGTTTGTCGGCGGGGCGAGCCGGAGTGTGAGTTCCCGGTCAGCGCGGTGAGGTCTACGATACCTACTCGTAATTGTAGCGAAAGACAAAGGAGAGTTGCGGTGGCGCGCATGAATAGTAGACGGAGAGTGTTGACGGTGCAGGAAATGTGCTGTGGTTCAGAGTGAATTCGATTTTCAGTTGTAACATTTCACGTGCAAGGGAATGCGGTAGTATTTTAATAATCATGCCTACTGGTACTTCCTCGTAGTTCTTGTGCTCAGACACAATGATTCATTGGGAATTGAACACCTTGGTCAATTACTCTTGTGTTCTATACCTACTGCCTAGGCGGCAAATAATGCGTAGTGACACGCCAAACGTAGTTGTACATGCATTGGTGACCGCCTAAGATCGCACTTCATGCATATCTCGAATGAGCCATATTGAACAGTATCCAAGCTGCTCTGTAGACTTCATATTCATCATAGATCTCCTTCTTGTTGTCACAAATGATTGGTGAAAGTGTGCGGGACGAAGATGGACTGATCCGGTCGCTCACTGTGCCATCGTTTGTGATGTCTCCCTCTTCCAAATGGAATGGGGGTCGTATTCTTGTTTGAAGAGCCCTCGGTGGATTCAATGTGAGGCGTAGATATCTTGAGGTCTCGGAAAGTTGTTTGACACTTGATGGGCTTGTCTCGAGGGCTGTATTTGAAGAAAGTTCCGCAGCTTTGGGAAGAGGCGTAGACTCCGGGACCTTGAATTTGAGGCATGAGTTCGAAGCCATTTGGGTTGGAGAATCTTTAGTCGAAGGCATTGTAGCCGTGGTATATATTGGGGAATTGGAGAAATTTGCAAATATCGGAAGACGATGAACCTGGGAAGCGGGAGGAGGTTAACTTTGGCCAATGGAGAAGATACCCTGGGTTGTTGTATTTGGCTTCTATGTTTTACAGTAGTGAGAAATATATCATATATAGTGAGGGACCAACGTGTGTGAACCAAACATGCAAGTGAACAGGGACCTATTTGTTCGGTTCGCTACTCGAGTACCACACATTGGGTTCGCAGCTTCAAGTCTCGTTGTTTTTTATTGCAACTAGACAACTAACAAAAAAACATATGATTGCAAACGCTCGTACAGATGCACACTTCACCTTCACTTTGTTGACAGAGTTTGCCGTTTGGCTCATTCACAAGCAAACGCCCTTCACTACAATCAGTCATACCAACCTCGTCACCATCCCCAAGAACACTTTAGTTCGACATCATCCGTACGCAAGCACAACATGACTGTCACCGCGATGCCGACTAAGCCCAAGGACGTAGAAGCCGGCGGCTTGGTGCTCGATCTTTCCGAATCACAGATCTCGCCCACCTACGCGGTTTGTCTTTCAAACATCCTCGAAATGCAGAAGGATTGCTGTATCAGTCTTCGAATTCCACGCCGCCGATCCAAGCCTTCCATTGAAGATGCAAGAGGCACGGACTGCAACGCTTTCTCGCGCAGAGGCAGCTGCGCGGTAGCAGAACATTCACCAATGATGTTCAGGATCGAAGGGTGGACTCTTGCTAATAAAGCGTCTACGCATTCTGATCCTGGCCCGCGAGAAGGCCAACTGAAGAAGCGTTCAGTTCCACGGCCAGAGGAGAAGATGTATTTTCCGAACATAATCAGAGAAGACAAGATACAGCAGAAGTGGCTTGAGATGAAGCGCAACATCAAGACTACCATCCAGGTTATGGAGATTGCACGAGGAGAGCATGCAGCCGGGCCGAAAAGGAACGCGAAAGAACAGAAGCATCAAAAGCTGTTGAGAAGATTCCAGAGGAGTTGCGAGGTGAAGCAACTAGCCATTGAAGCCATGAAGGAGTTGGAGCAACTCAAGATTGAGCGAGAGATCGATCTTGTAGTTCTCGGACCCACGGCAATCACAGAAGCAACAGCCGTCAAGATGATGGAGACTCTCTTCATCTGGTCTAGACATGAAGAGCTGTAGGACTTGACGCGCTGGAGTTAACAATGATGCCGTTACGAAACGGCATGTAGTTGCACGGAGCAGTGTTGATGTCCCGACCTCGCTTCAGATCGCGGTGTTTCTCCGCCGCCCCGAGTGTCGTCAGTGGAGCGGAAGAATTGCCGGCTAAAGCGACCCGCAACTACATTTAAGAGTTCATCCTCCACGTACCCGCGACTGATCTCACTTCAGGAGCAATGCGGCCGCCTTGAGCCCCACAAACACTCTTGGCTTCTGGTCCACCGTGCCGGCGGTTAAACAGGGCAGCTGGTCCGCCATGCAGCCAATCCTCCCCCACATAAGTACTCGTGATGCCTATGCGTAGAAAGACAGTCGTCATCGCGCTCCTGCCGACACACACACAACAAACTATTCATCCACAGCAAACATGGCCGACAAAGAGCCTATCGTGACCCACGTCTACACCGCCGACCCATCGGCGCATGTTTTCAACGGCAAGCTATACATCTACCCCTCGCATGATCGTGAGACAGACATCAAGGACAACGACAATGGCGACCAGTACGACATGGCCGACTACCACGTTTTCAGCATGGACACTGTAGGCGGCCCCGTGACCGACCATGGCGTAGTTCTCAAGCAAGAAGACGTTCCCTGGGTCTCGAAGCAACTTTGGGCCCCTGATGCCGCGACTAAGAACGGGAAATACTACCTTTACTTTCCCGCGCGAGACAAGGAAGGGATCTTCCGTGTCGGCGTAGCAGTCGGCGACAAGCCCGAGGGTCCCTTCAAACCAGAACCCGACTACATCCAGGGCAGCTTCAGCATCGATCCTGCAACTTTCGTGGACGACGATGGCTCAGCATACCTGTTCTTTGGCGGAATCTGGGGCGGGCAACTGCAATGCTGGACGACGGGCAAATTCGACAAGTCAGGCCAGGAACCGACTTCTGGCGATGCACTCGCCGCGAAAGTCGGCAAGCTCACAGACGATATGACACAATTCGCCTCTCCAGTCACCGATGTCTTGATTCTGGATCCAGAGACGCAGAAGCCTATCCAGGCGGAAGACCACGACAGGCGGTTCTTCGAGGCTGCATGGCTGCACAAGTACAACGGCAAGTACTACTTCAGCTACAGCACGGGCGACTCGCACTTCTTGTGCTACGCTATCGGTGATAGTCCCGTGGGGCCATTCACATATGGAGGCAGGATTCTGGAGCCTGTCGTTGGGTGGACGACGCACCACAGCATTGCGGAGTTCAAAGGAAAGTGGTATCTTTTCTACCACGACAGCACGCTCAGTGGAGGAAGGAACCACCTGAGGTGTGTGAAGATCAGAGAAATCGTTTATGATGAGCAGGGTAAGATCGGGCTGGCAGACCCCCAGCCGCAGCTTTCGGAGGCAGATGCACCACCTGCGAAGCTTGAGTCGTGAGACATAACTTAGAAACAAATAACACTTCAATTGTAACTGATTCCCAGATTTATCGTCAAGTATACACTGTGAAAGGTAATAAGCTGAGATCTGCTCAGGTCAACCTCCGAGTTGCTATGTTGTTGACCCCCATATACACATTCTCCCAACCGTCTCGTCATCTGTGCCTAGAATCCGGCGATATATCGATGCTGATCCGTAACCTTCGTAACCTCCAAAGTCATTCCAACCCTGAGCTCCCCCGTCCCGCGCGGCACACACAACATCCCATAGCAAGGCTTATACTTGATCCCTTCATCAATCCTGCGATACTTCATCAACGTATCCCATGGCTGCCGCTTGTGCTCTTCAGCCGTCTCCGGATCCACATTCGGCACATGGCACCTCGCACAACGCTGAGTAACATCCAAATTCACCACCGTCTTGCCAGACGAAGTGATGCGCAGCGTCTTCCAGCGGTCTTCATCCCAGGGCGCGGCAGCTTGCCCACGCACAACGATGTTGGGGCGAAAGCGCGTTACGTCGAGCGTCAAGTCGCCGTTCTCCGCGATTTTGATGCGGTCGTTCAGTTCGTCGATGCTGGACTGGTTACCGACGAGGATGGGCATCATGTCGGGAAAGCATGTTGATGCCTTTCTGCCCAGGACTGCTGCTGCACCGTTCGAGCGCAGAGGACGCGGCTCGTTGGACTGGGGATCTTTGTAGACGAGGCGAACTTCCTTGCCGAAGAAGGCGTTGAAGGTCGTGGTGAGCTTGGTTGAGTACACTTGTGTAGGTGTCCACTGGTTCCAAATTTTGGCCTCGTGGCGCTCCGTATTGGCCTCAAGCCAGTCTTTGGAGGGGTGTGCGGGGATGCTGAACTCGAGTTTCTCGTCGATTGAGTCCGGCGCTGGTGCGGTAACGGTGAGGGTGTCGGTTTTGGCATCGTAGGATGGGCGGATGAGGGTCATTCTCGCATTTTGGCGAATGGTTAGGAATTCGTATTTGTCTGCTGTTACCCACATCCATTGGCGATCTATATGACCAGTTAGAAGCCAGATCTCGTGATAATGTTATTTGAGGGGCATACCAAGATCAAGTCCGGTTGGAAGAAGCTTCGCCGACTGCACTTTGATGCCATGGCACGACTTTATCGGATGGATGTAAAGAGCTGTAATCTCAGTCGATGGAGGCAATGGCCCGGCATTGTTCTTCTTTGACGGTACCCTCGTGAAGTACAGATAACTCAAGATGGGCAATAGAAAAGTGGCCAGGATGATGGCCAATTGCGTGGCTTGCGATTGTGCCATGCTGGCGGTGGCCTGCTGACAGGGGTGCTGAACGCGTTGTGGAACTCGTGCTGTGGAATCTTCGATTCACGCTTCTAAAGACCAGAGGAATGCAAACAGCCGAAGGCTATGCAATGTGAGGAGGACGAGGGCCAGAGCTTCAATCGATATTGTGAGGTAGTATTTGTACTCAGAACGTGTCTTGCAGGTGCCTTGCTGACAAGAGCATGCGTGATTCCAGACCACGAATGCCGATATGGCACTCTTCCGGCGGCAGGAGGAATTTATGACTGTGCTAGGAGTCAATCTGTGGAAGGATGACGCATGGCCCGGGCGCGGGGATGGGTAGCGCGATGGTGGGTAGCGCGATGTCGCGCTTTCTACCTACCAAACGACAGGCCGAGGCGGTAACGGCTACGCGGGAACGGTGGAGACAGCGCATTAGATTAGTCAGATATTTGTTCTCGATGCCACAGCAAATACAATAGATCTTAGGATGTTGCTGAAGTGCCAATGATGTTACATTATCTAGGAGACGTTCAGAGAACTTTTTGACCCTCTAATTGGCTTCGCCTTCGAACTCCAAGCCATCCTGCCTCATTACGTCAAATCTCCAGACGCTGCGTGAGATAAAATGCTGAACAATGCGGTCTGAGGTTATGTGGTGCAGACACTAGAATAACATGAAGGAGAACTCTTTTCAGTAGATCGGAACATGATAGGAAAACCGTAAAGAACGCTACATTATGGGTATACCTTGCTTCCAAACTCAGTGACGATAGTAAATATAAGGGTACAGCTCCGTGATGGTGTCATGTAGCTCGCTCAGCGCGGCTCGGCATTGTGACAGTCGAGCCGTCGCTGACACGAGGTTCGGAATCACTTTCTCAGTGATGTGTATTTATTCGTGGGCGACGCAGATGCGTAGAAGAGTGGCTGGAGACCTCGAGAGACCGTCAAATCATCCCCAGTTCATTTCATTATTCCAGCTCATCGTGTCCCTCTGAACGCTGTGTTGTGAAATATTGCTTGGCTTCCTTCGCATGATCATCCTCGAAAAACGATTTCCTTGCGACTCGTCCTTGGGCGGGGGCGCAGGTGGTTGTTGTTGTTGCTGTTGTTGCTGCTGCTGCTGCTGCTGTTGTTGCGGATGCATAGCTCGATGGCTTGAATTCGAGATGTTCACTAGCTTCGGAACGTATTTTCGAGACGACGACTGGTTACCAGCAGAATGTTGCATAAAATCCGGGGGAACGCTTTGCCTTTGTTGAGGCTGCTGCTGTTGTTGTTGTTGTGGTTGTTGCGGATAATGAGCGAAGTTGGCGTACTGCGAGGTTGGAACAGACACAACTTCTTTCGGCTGCTGGTAGTTCATGTACGATGTCGGTTGCTGAAAGTTGATCAGGTCTGGTGTCGACACGAAGTCGGTGTTCGGCCATGTTTGTTGTTGTTGAAAGTTCTGTTGTGGGATTGGCTGCGTAAATGATGCAGACATGGAAGCCATACTCGTGCTATAGCCACCGTATGTCCCCATGCTTGCATCAGCACTCATGTGAGCCTGTGACATATCGGCACCAACAGGCCATTGGTTCTGTTGAAAGGACTGCTGGTGGTGCATGACTTGTGGAGGATCGACAGGGTCCAGGTCCATCATCTGTTGGTCCTGTGGAAGTCCATGTGAGCTATGTAATCTCGAGTCATTGCCAAAATCAGCTGATTCCAACTTGAACTCGACGATCTCGCTATGGGCTGAGTCGGTTTGCTCCGACGCATCAGGCGTCATCTCTGGTGCAGAGTCGACAACATCCTTTGGCTCGATTTCAGCTAGGTCGTAGGTATCCTGTACAAGCTTCTCGATGTCGAAAGCACTTGTGTGCCACTTGGTCTCCAGTTTGTATCGCAGGCGGTTACATTTCTTTGATTCCCATGTTAGCCTTGGCCAATTTTGCTCGTCCCCATGGCGCTGCGTCAACAACTTATTCCACGCGTGCGCGGCATCAGATTGCTTTAAAAGGCCAAGGATGACGTTAGTGAAGTTCCATTTCGCCCCGCCCTTCTCCTCGAAATGCAGCGCAATGTGCTCACACCTCTCTTCCCAGGTGGTCAGCAGAGCTGCACAGAAGCCGCAGCCCCAGGCATCCTTGTCGTGCATAACAATCTCGTACTTCTTGACACAGGGTGAAGCTTTCCTGCTGGTGGGCTGCCCACTCTCTCGCGGTTGTTTGCAATGCTCGCAGCCCTGGTTATCGTTAGTATGAAGAAGTCAAATGACAATGAAGGTGTACGCACGTGAAGTTTTGTGTGGTGCTCCCGAAAGCGTTTGCCAGCATGGAATATCTGCTCGCAATCCGGGCAGCGCCACGTAAGTCTCTGCTCGTGGAATTCCTCCTCGTGGGACTTCCAATATGGCTTTGACTTGAGAGCTTTGTCGCAAAACGTACAAGCGAAGTTTTTCGGTGCTGGCGTCGACGCGGTAGAGATAGTAGAAAGCCGGGAAGATGCCGTGGACATGCGCGAAGAGGCAGCGCTGTAATGCGTGAAGGATGAGTCGGTTGAGGCGATCGATGAGCGAGGGTCTGACAACATGCTTGGAACTCGGCTGGAAGGGACACTCAGGTAAGATGATGCACGGCTACTCATTGTCGAAGTCGACATCATGGACGACCTGTCAGGTACTCGCATGCCATCTGCGTACGCGTGAGACGACGCGAAGCCCGGGGCTTGCTGATGACACGAACCTCCATTACGCGCCGCTTGCAGCAACAGCAAGATCTGTTGGTCGTCCAGATGTTTCAAGCCATGTATGTGGTCGATAACGGTAGGGTTCAGTGATCCGTGGGCAGATATTCGGGGTGACGAGGTCGCGCTTTCGGATACGCTACTCAAGGGCATTGAGCTTTGAAGACTCCGGCGCGGACGCTTAAAGGAATTGCTAGGCTGAGGCGTGCCATATTGATAGAGTTGAGGGTCTTCGTTCTCCATGTTATCCAGATTCGCGCGTAGAAGCCAATATCACGCCCGAATCTGGTATTGATGAGCCGTCGCAAGATCGTTATGTTGGTGTCGCAGCGAAAGGGGTCGGCGGTACGCGAAATGGCGGCGTTCGAGCGTTCGAGAAGGTGCGGCGCTTTTGCCAGAGCGGTTCAACAGGGACAAGCTCGGATCTTAGGCCGTCAGGAAGACATTGATCGTCTAATCTCCCGAGCGGAGGAGGCGGATGGCTCTTGTTCAGAAGAGAGATCGTTTCAACAAGCCCTAGAGGGTCCGGATGAAACCACTTGGCGCTGCAGGCATGCAGGTAGTCATCCGTCCCGCACAAGGTTCTGTAAATATAGTACGTAGATCTTCAGAGCAAGCCTGTGCCGCCGTGATGAAGACTTCAGTTGCTCAAAAATTTCGAGTCTCCATCTGCGAATCCTCCAGACCCATCACGCGCAACGGTGAACGCGAGCAATGTGCCTGAGCGATCGCCAGGACGGCCGCAATAGCGCCGCTGGCTTCCGGTTCTTCGAATCCTACCCCTGAGCGAGTATTGTGAAACGACGCTAAACTCGGAAAAGACGTTACGTTCTTGTCGCCCATCGTGTTGGGCGACTAGAACCATCGTACCACGCTCTCACAGCCTTGCGGGTCGCGGATCAACTTGCTTGCTGTTACCATGAATTCTGGAGCCTTGCATCGTTTTCGCGAACTAAGGGCGCCGGTTCAGCCCCCACATTGTGGCGCGAGAACGATGCGCAAGTCGGTAATTGGCTCAAGACCGTTCCTGCACGCGTGCCTGTGGTTGAAGATGCAACTCGTTTTTCAGATGAGGCTCAGACCTGCATGGCAGGGTGCCCTGGAATCTGAAGCTGTGGTAGAGGTCATTGTAGGCACACCAGGGTCTTGAGTAGCATGACCCTTCAAGCGTACCAGTCAATCGACGATCATCATCAAATGCTGTGAAGAGACCTCAGCATGAGTTGTCATTCTCGCAAGCCGGCCCCTGCTCGCAGTCATCAACCGTCGTCATACTCGAGGCGCGGAGCGGACGTAAGCGTCTGCACTCCACACCAGATGGATGGAGCAAGTTTGAGGATCTCCCTCCGATCCCGCCCCTGCACTATCGACAAAACCTTCGGCAGGCGCTCTTGGCAAGAGCCCTTGACCCTGGGTGGTTTTGTGTGTTGAGATAGATTGTTGAGCAGATGCTATTTCGAGAGTATGGGGAACTGTGTCATCCAAATATGGTAACGACAGTCAAGCCCAGAAGCCGTTGCTTGACCCAATTTAGAGACTGGAAACTTGAAACATCGTTGACTGAGGCGAGGGCGGACAAATGGACATGGCAGCGTGAGGCCGAGGTATGCGGAGATTTCAATGCCGCAGCCCTGGTTCATACGTTCGGATGAGCATTTGCCAGAGCCGAACAGCGTATTTGGGCACACAGTAGGCTGCGAATTACGTGAACAAGGTTTTCAATACGAATGTTGCACACGTGGGCGTGAGAAAGTTTGATCTTAACCGGTGAATCAAGTTTTCTAGCACCGCCTTAAGCATTCTCGATGAAAAGGCTGTTGAACTTAAAAGCAAAACTGATAACCTTGATTGCGTTAGCCGACATTACCTCTGAGCTTATGACCACGCGCGTATCTTGTCGTCAGATGGATGACTACTTGGGCAGTCAGGATTGAGAAGGAGAAGCAGGGAGTCCGCAAAAAGGAAGACCGAAGACCGTCAGCGAGTACCTTCTTCCAGAGGTTTGATCTACTGTGGAAACGGTGAGTATACAAGAATGGGACCAACCACTCGATCCATGACAGTGAGCATTGCTGGGGACACATGCAAAAGAAATGGTAATGTTGAATAAGCCCGTGCTTGGTGACGGTAACTGCAATCGCGAGCACTGTTGGTGTGAGCAGTGACGCGCTTGATTGAAATTGGTTAGCTCAATCGCGTCGCGTCCACGTTCGTGTAGAACCACTTTGTCACTTTGGTGCTTGCTCAAGCTCTCCCCGCCACGAACTTTTGCACCTCTACGTTATTCAATCGCCGCTGTTATCTTTATTTTCTCTTGAGCCGAATTAGCGCAGCAGACTTCAATACCACTTTGTTGTTACCGGTACTGTCCATTACATCCACTTCAGACGCGCACGCAAACAGATCGCGCCGTGCGATCAGTGTCACGCAGAACACTTCCGCAGACCAATTACGAATACAAAATGGCGAACCAAATACTCGGCGCATCTACTGCGCCCTCGAGACCTCGAACGAAGCTATTGGCAGCTTTACGGAAGACAGAGTCCGGCGATTCTTCTGAAAGTAGCACGGACTCTGCAAGTGATGTGTCGGACTCTGAGGGCGTACTGCACTCCAACACAAGATCTTTATCTGGGCCACGACATCAGCCTAGCACTCAAACATCCGACGCAGAAGAAGAGGTGGACGCAGAGAGTGCATACCAGCGCATGAAGCAGCGATTGGCAGCGGAGAAAGAGACACAAGAGCAACAGGCGCAAAAGTCGGTGCCAGTCCTTGCTTTAGCTCTTGAAAGTGATGAAGAGGCGTCAATACCGATACGGAAACCCGCCCGCAGGTCCATAACAGAGAAGCAGAGACTGTCGAGCCCCCGCAAATCACCGTCGCCAAATGTACGATCACGTCAGTCGTCTCCTGGACTTTTCGTATCTCCAGGACCGTCTCCAGCCAAAAGCCGATCGCCGGTTGGGACCTCAGCGAACTACGAATCCGACCAGTCGTCACAACGGGCCTCTGCGACCGACTTACAAGAACGCGTCAAACGCATCAGAGCCGAGAGACTGGCGAAGCAGAAGGAGGAGACTGCTCAATTGGCACAGCAGAAGACTTCTAAGCGTTCGTCAGGCCGAGATGATGGCAGTGATACAGACGCGGAAATTGATAGGCGCTTGACACAGCAGTCCAAGCCTACTCGACGAGCGGGCAAGAAGGCTCTGGAGGCTATGGCTCGTGACCAACAACGAATCAGTCGTAATATGCAACTCACTCATCAGGCCAAGACGAAGAAGAGATACTCAACGAAGGACCTCTTCACTAAGTTCGGTTTCAACGGACCAGAGGATAATGTGTCGACATTACCAACCACCCCAGAAAAGGCCGCGATACTTGCATCATCGGACGCAGAGATGCAGCCGTTGCACGAGACACCGCCTACGAGTCCTCCTCGCCACGATGAAGGGTTGGAGAAGATGGCGAGTGAAGTTGGCAACCTAACGCCAAAAGCGCCACTCGCAGAGGAAGCCGATGACACCACCCCTGTGCCCACGAAAGTGGATAAGGGTAAAGGTCGCGCTCCGGAGTTCGCGCATCTTCCTACACGATCTTGGCCATTGCAGGGACAGCCAATCACTGTCCGGCATGCTCAAGTCCAGACTGCTGTGCCTTCAGAGATTGTCATGGTAGAGTTATCTGACTCTGACGATGATGCAAAGTTGGTGAAGAAAAGCAGATTTGCAGTGTTCGATCGGGTACGAACGAAGGAGCAGGACGAGTCGAAGTCTTTTGTAACGCTTCGTCATCTGGCACATCTCACCTCCCCCAAAACTACACGCAAGGGACCGAAAACCATCACCCGTAGCGAGATGCATTTCTCACTTGCTCAGAAAGCTCGTCAGCAGGCACAAAGGGGACGCGAAGAAAGAATCGAAGAACTCAAACGACGTGGTATTCATATCGAGACTGCCGAGGAGCGAGAGAAGCATCAAATGGAAATTGAAGATTTGGTGACACAATTCGAGAAGCAACGGCAGGAAGATCTCAAGCTTGCCAAGCAGGAGAAGAAGCAGGCTAAAGCCAACGGAGAGTCTATTGATGATCTTCCTTCCAGCGACGAGTCGGATGAAGACTTCGTCGGCAGCGACGACGAGAACACGGCAGATGGCAACGACGAGGACCAGGAAGAGGAAGAAGAGGCTGAAATTGAACTCTCCGGCTCCGAAGATGAGCCGATGGAGGACGCGGATGGCGAAGAGGCGGACGCATCTAATGACTTGGCTGATGAGGCCACTGCTGTCAATACAGACGCCACCCTTGTGTCTCAGGCAAACGAATTGACTGATGACGAAGATGAGCGTAATGCTTCTACGCGCAAGCCTATGATCAAGCGAGCCCGAAGAGTCATCGACGACGATGAAAGTGAGAGCGAAGATTTGAAGCTCGGGTCGCCAACCCAGAAGGCAACTCAAGATGACGCGATAGCTGCGTTCGGCTTCGGTGAATCAAGCACAAACTTAGGGCTCACCCAGATGTTCGCTGGAACCATGGCGAACTTGGATGATACGCAAGTTACCCAACAGGAACCCGAACAGGACTCCCTGGAGTTCCTCCACAACTTACCAGACACTCAGCCTGGTGTCACATTCAGCCAGACGCATGACACGCTGGTACCTAATAGCCAGCTGTTTGTGTCTCCACGCAAAGAGTCCGGAGCTGGAGCTGAATCTCACTTCAGCTTAGGTATTGGTCAGCTGATTGACCCGGGTACCCAGTTCTCTGAGGCCCCTGAGCCCACACAAGATGCTGGTTTCTCTTTCTCTCGTTCACAAGCTGGTTTCATGGCACCCGCCTCTACCGTCGAGACTGTAATGCTATCTGTGGCCGAGTCGCCGATCAAAAAACGAACTGGCAAGCTGCAGCGCGGTCGTCGCGAGATTGCTGAGGGACTATCTGACGTTGAGGAGAACTTTGTCGACCCTGCTTCCGATTTAAGTGATGTCGATGACATCCAACGGCCACCCAAGCATAGAGATGCCTTCCGCGCCATGCAAAAGGGCGCGAAGAAACAAAGGGCCATTGATAATTTCAATAAGGAGAACAGTGCTGCCAAGGCCATCGTAGAGGAGCAGGCTGATGAGTCTGAAGACGAGTACGCTGGCATCGGAGGAGCAAGTGACGATGAAAGCGGCGAAGAAGATGAGGAAATGAAGAAAATGATAGACCACGACGACGTCAAGGTCGACGAGCGTCAAATCGCTGCCTTCTACGCGTAGGTTCGTTCAGCCAATCTATGTACACTGCTGACAATTCCCTAGTGACAAGGATAAGAAGGACGACGAGAAGAACATCAACCAGCTCTACAAAGACCTCATGAACGGCGGTCTCCGCAAGCGCGCCGGTCGCGATGCCTTCGACATGTCCGACAGCGAAGATGAAGCAGAAATGCGGCAGCGCCGGAAGCGTGCTGACTTTGCACGCATGCAAAAAGCACTCCTGAGCGATGAGAATATCGGCAAGATTGCTGAGAACCCGAAGCAGCAAGCCTTCTTCAAAACGCTCGCGGATTTCGCAGACGATGCAGACTACGAATTCCTCGAGATGCCAGAGCCAAAGAGCATCTATGCCGAAGATTCACAGTCCCAGTCTCAACAACCTCAAGAGGGCGTGGACTCAGAAGCTGAAATGGTAGTGCCAGATTCGCAGACCGACTCCGTGAATATGCCTCCTCCCAACCCGTTGAAACGCAAATCTCCCACCTCATCTCAGAAAGAGAACCGCCCCCCTCCGAATATGCGTCGCACCGACAACGATCTCACACGCCGCCCAATCACGCTGGCTGACGTGCAGAACTCCGTCTCCGAACTGCTCGAGGATTCCCGTGTCATGGTGCCTGACAGCCAGTACGCGTCGGACTCTGACTCGGATTTGGAAATCGTAGATAAGCCTGTGCGCAAGGCCGTCGTCGACCGCTTAACATTGAGCCGGCAGTCGACGATTGATGAGTCGCAAGATAGTGCAGGTGGCATGGCGTTCCACGCCCCGTCTCGTGGGGCTGCAGTCCCGGGATTCAGGGTACCGAGTCTCATCCGACAGGCGACTAGTAATCTGTCTGCTGTGAGTGAGAGGAGCGACAGCCAACGCACGAGTCAAAGTAGTGAAGGGGGTGTGCGAAGGGGTGGAACTGGGAGGAGCAACATCCACGCACAGGCACGGGAGGCGGAGAGGAGAGCTTTGTTGGAGAAGAAAGAGAAACGGAGGAAAGAGGTGCTCAAGAAGAAGGTAGACGGCGCGAGGAAGAAGGGCGGGATGAGAAGTGTGCTAGGAGACCTGAGTGGTGGGTTTGAGTAATTATGCGTAGAATTTGACGGGATAGTAGCGTGGCGTTTGGTGCTCTGGGTATCATCTAGGATTTGGATATTTACATCTAGCATCTCCATCGAATCATTCTTATACATATCGTACAGCATCACCTCCTGTATATCGTGACTAAACCCTTTCACTGACCCAGATCGCTCCCCGACACCCTGCCCTAATCCCTTCAGTCAGCAGCTCATACGGCCGCGCCTGCTTCGCATCGTTCTCGACCGCATGATCGAGGTGTTCCAGCTCCTCATCCCTAATCTTCCTCAACTGACTCAACAATGCATCCAACTCCGGCCCCAAACTCACCCCCCTCTCCTCACACTTCCCCGCCCAATCAAGCAGCACTCTGACCTGCTCATTATAATGCGTCCCGATCTCTGTCTCCACAGCCTCCGTACAAGCCATCGCGGCCTCGCGGCCCAAGAACGCAGTCCCCCACCCCAGCACACTCGCCGCTGCGGTCCATATTGGCGTCATGGCTGTCGGCCGGATGCGGTGCTTCGACAGCACTTCGTTGAAGAATTTATAGTGCCCGGCTTCCTGGTCATACATGTGCTTCATCAGCGGGCGCAGGTGCGGGTGCGAGCGCACCAGCAGCGGGGACTGCGCAGCGTAGATCAGGATGGCGGCGAGTTCGCCGGTTTGGTTAACGCGCAGGGCGGAGGCGAGGAAGGCGCGTTGGTCTTTGGTGAGTTCGTGGATTGGCTTTGAGGGATTTGGTGGTGAGGAGGTGACGGTTGCGTTGTTGGTTGGAGGGCTGAGGTTTGAGGCTGCGGCGCTGTCGGGGGTCGGCGCATTGGGGTTGCTGGGTGTGTGCGGTGTGGTGCTCTGGAGTCGCCGCCGCGGGCGGGACGTCGATGTGCATGGTGTGATGGTCCGGGGCGCAAGAAAGTCTAGGATTGGCGTTCGGCTGCGGGCGAATGTACTTGGTGAGAGAAGTCTGGCTGACATGGTGAGTGACTGTGGTGCTATTGTTGCACTGCGACACGGCAAGTGACGAGGTGAATCCGAGTCAAAGTGATAGCTCACATCGATGAGCTCACCAACTTCCGAGTTAGCGGGCCCGCTTTTCGCGTCGCCTTGACGCGCCGGCTGCCAAGACGAACTCTTTCGTCCTCGTTTCCCCGACCTTGAGCTACAACGTCTCTCCTCACCCCTGATTCTGAACGCCTCTCGCCTGCCATCGTTCTTTGCGCCACGATTTTCACGGTCTGAATCGTGGAAACCATCATCTTTTCTTCGCAAATTCGATTACCATTTCTTCACCATGTCTGACATCGACGATGAACTCTTCGCCCTCGCTGGCGGTGACGAAGAGGCAGACGTTGAAGAAGGCGAGGCGTGAGTGACCTCCTCTGTTTTTCTTTCATCATTACCATCATTGCGCCATCTCCAATATGGCTCCAGCGACCGCCCAGCCACTCTATGTTACCTGGACACCTCCTGAACGACGCTGACTCTCGCCAGCTCATCGCCAGCAGCCTCTTCGCCGAATTCACTAGGCTCAGATGCTATGGAAGAGTCCGACTCCGAGCGCGACGATGAGCCACCTGCACGATCGACCGATGTGCCCTATCCTCTCGAGGGCAAGTACATCGACGAGTCCGACAAGAGGAGGATCATGGGCATGTCGCAGCTGGACCGCGAAGAGATTCTCGGTCAGCGTGCCGAGGAGATGAGCAGAGCCAATTTCACAGCTGAGCTGGCTCGGCGTGCGGCGAATCTGCAGAACGATAGGAAACGCAAAGTTGACTCGGAGGAGCCTGAGGAGAACAGGCGACCAAAGGTCAAGGCTAGGGTGAACGACAAGCTTGAGGAATACAAACGCAATCGCGAGCAGCGTGGTCAGCAGAGAGACCGAGACAACGATCGTCGCAGCCACCGCCGGAGATCGAGCTCGGCAGATCGCGACGGCGCATCGGATGTCGATGCTGACGGCGAGAGCGATGTCGAGTGGGATGACCGTGCGCCTGTCAAGGCTCGCGAAGAGTTGCCGGCCACTCTTCGTGACTTCGACTCCGTGCGGGTTGGCCGAGGGTTCTTCTCTGAAGTCTGCTTCTACCCAGGCTTCGAGGATGCCGTCACCGGTACCTTTGGACGTGTTGGTGTTGGACAGGATGCGCAGCGTCGAACAATGTATAAGATGGCGCAGATCAAGGGTATGTTCGTTCACCTACAATTGAAAGCTTCACTAACTCGTCTCCAAAGGCATCAACACCGGCAAACCTTACGTCTTTGAGGGCAAAAACGGAGCGAAAATTGCAACCGACCAATACGTCATTGCGCAGCATGGGTCAACTAAGAAGGATTACCAGTTCCAATTCTTATCGAACCAGCGCTTCGACGATCGCGACCTCGACGTATATAAGCAGTCTCTCACTGAGTCGAACTCGAAGATCCCCACCAAGTCCTTCCTTGAGCGGAAGTACGACGACCTCAAGAGCCTTCGAGACCACCACTGGACTGAGCCTGAAATCAACGCACGCATCGCAAAGGCAAAACAATACCAACACCTGCTTCACCGCAACTCGGTCGACGCGCAGCCAAGGATACAAACACAGTCCGAAGCTGCCGCTGTCAAGACTGCGGAACTCAATCGCCTCAACCGCATTCATGAGGCGGAGCGCGTACGAAAAGTCCAACTGGAGCAGCAGCGCCAGAAGAAGATGGACCAGAAGAGAGAAGCCGCGCGCAAGCAAGCCGAAGAGGAGGCTAGGAAGGCACAAGAAGAGGCGGTGCTCAAGAACGAGACAGACGCGTTGTTCGGTGATGACGACGTCTCATCGAGAGCCAGCACGCCGAAACCGCAGGATAAGAAGAAGACAGAACGCAAGGGTCTGCCAACATTCAGGAAACCGAAGACAGATGACGACTTCATCGCCAGTATGGATCTGGATTTCGACATTGCGATCTAGTAACGGTCAATTGTCTCACGTCTCTCGAAGGCCACTTGCTCTGATATTACCCCAGCGCATCAAAGACTCATCTTGTTTTGCGTTTTTGCATACCGGCGTTCCAGCGCACCATGACGACTCCATCGAAAGTATCTACCTCCGCCTGTCCAGCATTATCTAGACGCTATTCAGTCATCGCCATCTTACTTATCTTATGTATATCAATATACCCATTTCATATAAGCATCCATGATTGCGCCCATCTGCATAGAACATACCTGACATTTTCAACGCCTTTCGGTGTGCAATAGAAGTCTGCACATGTCACCCTGCCACAAACGCACCAGAATACATCACTACGCTCCTCTCCTCTTCCTGACATGCCTGCACAGTATCATCATACCTCGTCTGTGACGCAAGTAGTGTCCCTTCGCTTCACATATGAGCCAAAGGACAGCATGGCAGTGCATGGCATGGCATATTCACATGCGTGGTCGTACACGCAGCTGCGGAATCGGAACGAACATCTGCTGTGTACTACTCAGCGGCATTCATTTCCGCAGCCCATCGGCTCTCTCCTAATCCCCGACGAGTTCACGGGGCACATTCACAGCAACAGCGAGTCTCATGAAAAAGGAAGCTGTCTGTTGGATTTGCATGCATTCTACGCAGCCGAATGTCTACTAACACTTCTGCGAGCCCAGGAACTTCGCTACACTCGCCGCCGTCGCGTTGTGCACGGGGAACGTCGGGTGCAGGTCGTTGAGCCACAGGTACTCGTTGACCGCGTACGCGCAGCTGGGGTCCTTGGTGTACCACGTCGGCGTGCCGCTGTGCCTCGTTAGCTCTCCGCATTTCTAACCCAACTCGTGTCCGCATCTCGGGGTGTACTTACTTGGCGTACGCCGTGCAGAACCCGGTCACGTTCTTCAGCCCGCTCGTCTGCGGGTAAGCCTTAGGGTTCGCAATCACGTCCGCAAAGACCTTGTACGTGTCGTGCACGAACAGATTCGAATCGGCGTGCTTCTTCTTGAACGCCTTGGTCAGCGCGCTGAGTCGCGCATTCCAGTCCTGGATGACCTTGCCCTCGGTCTCGACGGCGTAGCCGCCGTCGTCCTTGCTCAGCGTCAGCGGCGCGAGCTGCACGGGCGGCACCGCGAGGAACAGGAAGTTGCGCGCGCCGGTCGTGTACACCTGCTCCAGCAGCGCGTCGTAGCGCTTGAAAATGGCGTCGTACAGGGTGGCGTTGTTGAGCCACCACGAGTTGCCGACGTCGTTGATGCCGATGAAGAAGGCGAAGAGCGAATCTTTGGACGTCCAGGGGGTGTCTTTGGGGTGCGAGCCGTAGCGCGGAGTGAACTCGAGCTCGACTTGGTCCTTGAGAGAGAGCACGGTGGGGGCGTACGGGGTCACGAGGGCGGAGTCGACGGTGGCGCCGCCGTAGGCGAGGTTGTAGGCTTTGATGAAGCTGGCATTGTAGGTTGTGGCAAGGAAGCCTGCCCAGTTGGGACCGTTGGAAGATGTCCAGCCGCTGCAACGAGGTTAGTGATTTCACGGCGGTGATGTTGGGTGGTGTGTACGGGAATGGTGGGTTGCCGAAGGGGTTTCCGACACTTGGCTGTGTGCCATTGACGTCGAAGCCAGTCTGTGTGTAGCTGTCACCGCTGGTAGTTGTCAGTATGAGATATCAGTAAGTGGTGCTACCTTGTCCTACAAGATGAAGAGATTCTTGACGTTCTTCCACGAAGACCATGTGCAGGTTGGAGCTGCGACCGCCGAAGCAGCCAGCGAAAGAAGAATAGACGTTGACTTAACCATGATGTCAAAAATGTTTACAAACTTCAGACAAGCTTTCCAACCTTCTTACACGGAAACAATCTTCTCTATATACGCCAGGATGCCAAATAACAGTACCTGATCACCATCCACATACTATGAGTGCCGGGACCATGCTGGCGCGAACCAGATAAATTAATTAAGGTTGATCTCCGTAGATTACCCCACATATTGAGATATCCTGTTAAAAGAGGCCAGGACCTTCGCGGAGAAATTGTAAATGACAAAGTTGATGGCGAACCGTCGTGACGGACTGTCGAGCTAGGCTAATTGGATGGTTGCTACCTCTCCGTATCTGAAGAGGTATGGCTCGGGCCGGTTCAGGCGCATTGCGGCGATGTCAATCAGATGTAGACCACGACCGAGAGAATTACAGACCCGGGTTGAGTCCAGAAGCTACAATGCACGCCGGATGAAAGGGATGCGTACTTCGTATGGGGGTGACTGATGTTAGGATGGCTGACTGTGTAGGAGGCCTTGTCCGACCAATCAGAGTGGGGCAGAGTTGGTTGTGGTAGGTTGAAGTGATCCTTCTGACATTGACACAGAACCCGTCGGTCCAAAGGGCATCGCCTGATTATCGTTGAATTCCCAGGTACATGTACGAAGCGTAATATCACGTGAACGACTTTCTTGGTGCGGGATTTCGTCCAGCTCATTGCTGACCGTCACGTGCAGGTGACCCGAGGCGTCCATGAATGAGGCTTAATCGGCACTCGGCCTCCAAGATTTCCTAGCTTATTCAGTCAAACACGAAAAAGCCATGAGCCAGATCACGGAAGAGTCGGAGATGCAAAACCGATGACTGGGTGTTCACGGCTGTCTGGAATGTTCGAACGTCATCAGGATCGGGATGCAAGGACTGTGTTTGTGTGTGCTGTGGGCCCTGACGTGGGGTTGGCAAGCACGAGGAGCCGCACTGGCAATGCCTCGCCTTCGATTCGTCGGCAGTGCTGGGAATCAGCGCAATGCAGAGCTCAAAGACGGTGAACATTTGCGCGTAGGCTGAGTGAAGTGGGCGCAGCACGGCAGGTGGCTGAGGTGCAAAACGCCGTAAGGCTGAGGATGACAGGGTTCTGTGGTTATGCTCCCAGCCATCGTATACCGACGTATAGGCATGCAGGATACGTGCAAGCCCAAGCCCGGCGGCCAAGCAGGACATCCACAATGCCACATCTGTCTATAACTTGCATACCGCTGTCGCTTGTGCACAAGGACTTGAAAAGCTGGTCTCAGATCCTTGAAACGCGTGTTTAGTCAACGGCCAGCGCGTTCTTCGTCCATCGGCCGTACCACCCTCCGACCGTGACCATCGTCCAAGTTTCCAGCAGCCTGCGCGAAGCTGACGTTTCGATTCCCGAGAGCCCGCACCCGTATAACTCCGCGCTCCTGCCATGTCTGCCTACTGAAGAACCGTTCATTATACTTGCTATCCTCGGAGTCTGCCTTAGGCGTTCATTACCGACGGTATCGATACGGAAGTTCAGTTCAGTTCAGGTACCGAGCGTCAGCGCAAGCACCTGGGAGAAGGAGAAGCTCCAGCTGTAAGGCGTTCGCGCACCACACACGGCATACAAACAAGATGGCGGGCATGGAGAATATCGAAGTGCACAGCAAGGTACGTTAACCGTGCTAGCTCGCTGTTCAAGGCTGACCTAGTTGCTAGTCGTACCTCGTTCGCTGGGTCAACGTCTCTGCAGGCCACAGCATCTCATGGAGCATACAACCGCACAAGAAGTCTCTGAACTTTGGTATCTTCAAGCACCCAGGCAATGCGACCGGCGCAGCCTCGAGTTTGCCCTCGGGCACGATCCTCGACAATGGCCCCGCCACGCCCGGCCTGGAGGTGCCAACAGGTCACACACGAGCACGAGGCGCCTCAACGTCAACGTCACGCAACGAGAGGACATTTGTATTGGAGAAACTGGCTGCTATCGGGCTGAAGCAGGTGCATTGGCAGGGAAAATGCGAGGCTGATATGGTATCTATGGGAACCTATGATGTTCCGCAAGGCGAAGGCGGCATGTATGGCCTGGTGTTCGACAACACCTTCTCCAAGACCGTCTCGAAGACAGCAACCTTTGTGCTCATGACGTACCCCACCAATGCGCCGCCGAAGTCAGGTCACCACATGCACTATGCGCAGGCAATGGCAGGAGCCAGCTCCACCAGCCTCAATAAGCCAAGCCCTTCAATGGGACCCGTCGAGTCGTCCGAGTCGCTGCCACAACAGCTCGCAGAGCGCCCACGCTCTATGCACGAGAAACCAAAGCAAGCCAGTATCTCTAGCTCATCATTCATGACTGGCGTACTGCTAAAAAAGAGGAGGAAGAAGAACCAGGGGCATGCCAGGCGCTTCTTCTCCCTTGACTTCACTACCTCGACCCTCTCGTACTACCGCAACAACCACTCGTCAGCTCTGCGTGGAGCCATACCACTTTCTCTCGCAGCAATTGGTGCAAGCGAGGAGACAAGGGAAATTTCGGTAGATTCTGGAGCTGAAATCTGGCATCTGAAAGCGAGCAATGCTGCCGACTTCGTCAAGTGGAGAGATGCGCTCGACAAAGCCTCACGATCAGCTGTCGCTACAGCCTCACCTACTCTACAAATCAAGGGACAGCCCCTTCCAACCCTCCGCACACACTCAAGATCCTGTGGAGGACAACCAGTGGGCCAGAGTAGAGGCGCTAGTTGGTAGGGTAGCAGGATCGCGCGATGCAGTTCGAAGGCTAGCCCAAAGTACAGATCCTAAATACGGTACAGCGTCGGGCGTCTCCTCAGGCGCATCGACGAGCAAACTGAACGACAGCCTATCTCCTGCACCATCAGAGGAATCGGGTGACTATTTCCCCGAGACTGGCGCTACAGAACGTAAGTCTTTCTGGAAGCGCAAGGCCAGCACCTCGGCGCAAAGCCCATCTGGCATGATGAGGAGAAACACATCTGGCGTTCCTTCGCCTGCTGGACCCGTTCCTCCTGTGCCTGCTTTGCCAGCGAACATCAATGGTGCTCTCGCAGTACCGAAGCGCGCAAACAATGGCCCGGCTTCACACGAGGACAGTGTCCACGATCATTGCATGGCTCTGCTGCGAGATCTCGACTCTGTCGTAAAAGACTTCTCGGATCTCATCAACCAAAGCAAGGAGAGGCGAAGACCGGCACCTCTTTCTGCAGCGCCGTCTCGCCTTAGCATCGACTCACAAGAGTCTGCAGACGAGTTCTTCGATGCGGAGGGCGGTGATGGGTCCAAGTCTAACCTGCTTGCCATCAGGCGTGACAGCAGAGAGGTTGAGGAAAGACAAGACGATGAGAGCTCAGATGACGGATCAGAGTCCTCGTCAGAGCACGAAGCGGCTGGTGTCATTGACCGAGCACGATTCTCGATGGACCAGGCGCCCTCACTGTTCCCTGTGCAGCCAACCTCACTCGCCCCACTCCCTCTGGGGCCTGTGAAGCGTAGAAACGCCGTTCAAGCACCTAAAGTGCAGCCGCCAAGTCTGATCGCGTTCCTACGGAAGAATGTTGGCAAGGACTTGTCCACAATCGCTATGCCTGTCTCATCGAACGAGCCCACATCGGCCTTGCAGCGCCTAGCTGAGCAGCTCGAGTACAGCGAGTTGCTCGATGCAGCTGCAGCCGCGCCGTCTGACACTGGTGAACGGCTCGTCTACATGGCTGCTTTCGCTATCTCCGCCTTCAGCAACAGTCGTTCTAAGGAGCGCGCAATCCGCAAACCCTTCAATCCTATGCTCGGCGAGACTTACGAGCTTGTCCGTGAGGACAAGGGCTACCGTTTCATCGCCGAGAAAGTCGTCCACCGTCCCGTTCGTATGGCTTGCCAAGCAGAAGCGAAGGAATGGACTTTCATGCAGTCGCCAACGCCTGTCCAGAAGTTCTGGGGTAAGAGTGCCGAATTGAACACCGAAGGTCGCGTGCGTATCTTTCTCCACAGCAGCAACGAGCACTACTCTTGGAGCATCGCTACTTCGTACCTCCGCAATGTCATTGCAGGCGAGAAGTACATCGAGCCCACAGGCACAATGACCATTGTCAACGAGACCACCGGCGCGAAAGCGGTATGCACATTCAAGGCGGGCGGCATGTTTGCCGGTCGCTCTGAGGAAGTCAGTGTGCAAGTTTTCGATAGTACGGGCTCGGTGCTGCCTATGGGCGCAGTAGGAAAGTGGACAGCAGACTTACAATTTACGTCCAACGGCCAGCCCAATGGTCAGACCATCTGGAAAGTAGGTACGCTTGTCGATAAGCCTGAGAAGCACTACGGCTTAACCTCGTTCGCTGCTGCACTCAATGAGATCACTTCTATCGAGCAGAACCATATCCCAGTCACGGACTCACGACTCCGGCCTGATCAGAAGGCGTGGGAAGATGGAGATCTGGATAAGGCTGAGGGTTTGAAGGCTAGACTCGAGGAGCGACAGCGCGCTAGGAGACGTGTGATGGAAGAGCACAACGACGAGTGGAAACCAAAATGGTTCACAATGGCCCAGGGAGCAGAGGCGGCCGCTTTAGGCGACGAAGAGACATGGAGACTGAAGGGTGGAAAGGACGGGTACTGGGAGAGCAGGGAGGCGAAGCGTTGGGATGGAATCGTTGACGTGTTTGAGCATTGAGAGTCCGGAGCGACGGGTTCGTTGTAGAGGCAAAGATACGTGTGCCTAGATGCAAGAACTGATCCCGGATCTTCCATGAATCGGCGTATTGCAAGAGACTCGGTGACATTTTTTGTATATGGATGGCAAACTGATCGATCTACGTGCCTCTCATCTCGACTAAAGAGCCATCATCACGTCACTATAAGATCTTCGGCCCTTACCGTGCATAGCTGCGAAGTGCTTCCGAGATGCGATATATCGAAACCTACACATCCCAATCCATCCACATTACAAGCTACCTTCCGGCACGCATCCTCGCATCCAGCAGGACCTTCTCTCCGGTTCCTCCAAAGTACCACCCACCACCTACTCACCCAGCCCTGCCCACCACTATCCCCGTGTCAGCCCACCACATGTCACCTCCAGCTGGCGCCAGGCAAGCCACCCGACTGCAGCGCGCCCATTGTGCTCGGGTCGCTTCGCGTGCGGGAGTCGGTGTAGCCGATGCCGTGCCCTGCGCTGCTGATCGGTCTGCCGCATTCTGCAGCTGTCAACCCCTGTTCGGGCTGGCTGTGGGGGAGTCGGCTTGGCCGGCGCAGGGGAATGGACACACGAGCAGGCGCCTGCATCACAAGAATGAGGGGGTGGGTTGAGGGGGGGCTGCAAGTGGGAGGTTGTGTTCTGATGGATGTGATATTGAGGGGAAGGCACAGGCGATGCACGTTCTTGTCACATGTTTGTTGTGGATACGCCCAATCGTTTTGGGATTTGTGGTGGGACAGCGACATGTTGTGGGATTCGCGAGGCGGCTGTGCATGGCCACTCCCGTTTGTGACAGCACAGCGTATAGGGTCTGCCGGCTTGCGCTAGGTGCTGTGCAACTGAGGCTGCGTCTGCACCTCGATAATAGTGGCGGCTGTACCTGAGGCAGGCGGCATGTCAACCCTACACCATGCGTGCGAGGTACTTGCGGTCGCTCTTGCAGCTTCAGCGTCCGTGCAAGCCGATGTCGCATGCTTTTGGAAACTGATTGGCAATCTCGTGACCTCTGTATTTCCGGCGGCAACAGCGGTCACCATTGTGATGTGTACTCAGATACGTTGACACCATGGCGCCGAGGGCTAAAGCTCCTCGACTGAAACACAGCTCGATGGCAAAATTTTGATGATACTGTACGCAGCTCAGAGCTTTCGGGCCGGGATTCCAAGCCCATGGGTGGCTGGCCTTTGAACAGACCCATGTTAACTGGGGAGCGGTTGGGTGACCGTGTGCCTCAATTGTCGTGCTCGGATGCCACTCCACTCTTAGCTGTACATAGTGGACCCATACACCTGGACAGCGCAGTGGACAGCGCAAAGCCCGAGAGATAAAGCAACCAGTAATTGCGCGATTTATCAGTCGAGTCCCTGCTAGAGCTATTGAGCTCTGTTAGTGAGCGGGCTCACCGCACGACGATGGCAGTAATTGTCCGGAGGTTGTGACAGTGGCATTGTTTGGTAGCGTGGGCTGAGGGGAGACTACTGCGGTGTACTGCAGGGCAAACTTCTGCATGTGGGCCATCCACTACCTAGTGGCTTAGTATTATATATATATTTCATTCGTCATACAGAACAACACGTTGATAGAGGAAGAGGCTCGTGAGGTGAGATGAAGTTGATTGACGTCCGTACTCTTGGTTGAACGAAGTTTAGAGTTTGGTATGGGGATGCGGAATTGCCGCTTGCCGCTGTTTAGCCTCCCGCTTACGAATGCCCTACCTAATTGGAGGCATGACGCAGCAGCCTAACTACTATACCCATTTCAGAAATGTTTGAAGCGTCATACTACGTAGAAAGGACTGCTGCTCTCGGAAACCAGACGCTCGTGGCATGGGGAGCATCCTGTCTTTGCATTAACCAAAATGGCTGTACCTATTGCACGAGTAGGCAAGCGTCCCTGATCGTGAAGAAGACCGCAGATCGTGAGTCCGTTTCAAGGGTAGGTGGAGTTAGGACGAGATCTCAAGCGGGGTGAATCGCGATCGCTCTAGGCCGAAATCTTAAATGTGTCGTCCAGGCTTTTGGTGGTTGATTTACAGACCGAACAGAGACAGGCTTCCTAATGGGGACCTGTCATGCAGTAGTCGTTCACAAGAGGTCGCCGCGTCGTGCCTCGTCATTTGGACCGGACTCATAAGGAAGCCGGGCTCCAGTTTTACTCTGCATGAGGCCGCATAAGGTTGTGGAGTAGCTGGGCTAGGAAGCCTGCAAACGACCTGATGGTGGTGACCACTTCGCGTTCGATGCAGATGCATGGCGAACTCCGAGTTGCTGCCAACTTTTGAGTGATTGATCAATTAGAAACGAAACAGTGGTGGACTTGATCGACTTCAGGGTTCGTGATTTGCGTTGCCGCCAATCTTCGGGCCCTGCCTTCCTTCCGCAACGATTAAGCGAGGCAACTTTAACCATACCGTCGTATGCCCACGCAGCGAATCAGTCTCCAAGCACCATTATTAAACCATCGAGTCTGCGGACCATCTTCAGTTTAGGGTATGATTGGCCTTTTCTGTCACATACGCGAACGCTTCTACAGCGCCATCTGCTGCCCATGCTCTGACTGGCTGATCAGTGGCAATCGTGGTGAGCTGAACGGCTTAGCCGACCCAACCACTACCGATCTTGCGAAGATCAGACTGCTACCGGTATTCGGCTACAGTGACACCGGTGTTACCGGTACAGCATCCAAAGCCTCCGAAAGGAACGACATCCGGAGACAGACCTTCTTGTCTGCCCGTCCACCCGCTTCGGCGCAAGCCGCCCGCTGTCCGTCACCTTCGACTCGCACTAGGCTGAATGCATCCCCTTTCGACAGCTTGCATGTTCTCCACACAAAGTGGTCGGCTATCAGCGAGCTCACTGCATGATCGACAATCCCCACTACAATATGGTCGGCGATTCCAACACGAACGTATTGCTTCACGGGTAGCTGCTATTCGCCAAACCTCATGATTATCATCATTTCCACATCTTGATCGATCAAACCTCCTGGTATTCGAGTACCTACGAGATATCAGATGTGCTTGCAGTGAACATGAAAAACTTTCAGCGGTGGGTCTCAGCACATCGTCTCGGCAACGCCTCACATGGATTCTCTTGGCAAAAATCATTCGCCAGCCAGACATCTTTTTTGTCCTACTTGGCCTAGACTGCAGTAGTTACGAAGGACGTCACCCATGCCACGCCATGCATGTATGGATTAAATCCGGTCTAGGCTCCGTAGGATTCGGCCAGTAATAATGCTCAGTACATTACAGGAGCCAGGTGTTTTGACCTCCCAATAACTTTGATGCTGTACGCAACGTCTTCCTCAAATCGTTTTCAGCTCCGGCGACGCTTGTGAAAAGCCGCATTCTACCCATGCATGATCACTGAGCCCTTTGCATCACTAGTTCAGGGCACAACAGAAGCTCATCCTTGCTCGTCAACAGCTTGTTCAAGCTACCTCCAAAGCTCATCCCTGCTCAGCTGTGGTAGCTCCTGTACGCATTAGCTACTGATGCAATAGTCGACCAACCTCTTTGACGTGATTAAGGTGATCGGTACACTGCATACGATGCCCCGCTTTTGATTCCCGTGGTGGATTCTCAACCAATCCTAGCTTTGTCGAAGGATATAATTTATTCGGAGGGCCCGCAGCTCAAGTAGCTCCTGCTGTTCAATTGATCTCCACATGCTTGGACTCAGGTATTTTAGTCCGTCAACCCCCAAAAGATTGTTCAACTTGACTTACTGACGGTCTCAGAAAAACATAAGAAACAGGAGCATCAGGATTCAGAAGAAACAGCTGACAACGTTTCTCACCCCTCACCAACCTCATCCTCCGACCATCAGCACCCTATAACTTCAGAACCTGTTCGTCAAGCTCCTGTTCGCGCAGAAAGTTCCAAATCAAAACGGTCGAGTTTTGCTTCACGTTTCAGACGATCTACTTCTATAGAGATCGCTCCGAAGGCCTCTGGTAACCAAGATACCAATACCCCTCCACTTCCCAGCAGTCAACCATACCCAACTACAGCGAGATCCTCCATTTCTATTCCGGCACCAACAACACCTGAAGTTGGTTCGCAGGACGACACTGAGAGCATCAACACAACAGTCACCCAGCCTGAGCCTACACAAGCTCAGTCACCTACTCACCAGTCTCTTACGCCTGTAAAGCAGACCTCTGAACAGAACTCACGACCCATCAGTCCTGTTTTTGAGGAAGTTATAGGCAGCGTGTCTCAACCAGCTCGCACCACGCAACTTGCTACCCTTTCGGACCGTTTCTCCATTGCGACCGATTTGTCAAGTCAAGTATCTATTGTATCTCATACAATCTCGCCCCCAGCCAGAGAACCAGTTCAATCATCCAAAATGATGTCTCCAAGATTATCGTCACCTAATGGTTTTGGTGGATTTCATGGTGTGCTCAGTCCTCCTATGTCACCTATGTCACCTATGTCACCCAAAGGAGCTCTTCGCTCTCAGGGCCGTCTCAATTCTTTCACTTCCTCGCGCGCGACAAGCGGTAATTATGGAATGAAGTCACCCAGCAAGCGTAGCGCTACAGGGGGAGGATACAAGATAGGGTTCGTTCAAGAATCAGCAATCGCTCTTAGGAAAAGGAGTATGGCCGAGCTTGGCGCTGCTGTAAGCACCTCTGGAGTGTCTTACGTGAACTTCTTGGAGTGGATCAGAGCTGAACGTCTTACCACTCTTCCTCATAAGGGTAGTCGGTGGGACAAAGTGCTTATCCGAGCCCTCTACTTCGCCGAGCAACTGCATAACTTCGACCGGGCCATTCAAGGCTTTGCTCTTGATAGCCAGGCTGCGGCTGCAGTAGGCTACGGTCACGCCCGTCTTCTGCTTGAGGTATGTTAAACATCGCTGTCTGTCTCATTCGCATGCTGACCTCAACAAGTTGGGCCACGAGAACTCTGCAGCTTTGGACAAGGCATTCTCTGTTCTCTACAAATTCTCTCTATCTTTCTCATCGGTTCTCCGTCGTTCAGAGCTCCTCGCTGCTACGGCTGAAATTCGTGAGCAACTTTGCTTCCTCTACACCGATCTCATCTCGTTAGTAGTTGATGTTTCTATTCGGTTCTACAAGACCGCCAATGGTATGTGCACTTTAATCTTCGCAAACGCTTCTAACAAACAACACAGGTATGACATCGGGTTCAGCAAGCCTTGATATCTTCGAGCTCTTTGGTGAGACCATCGAAGGTTTCCGCTCGCGCCAAGATTCCGTAGTCGAGCTCATTTGGGACTCTCAGATTGACAGGGATGACTACGAGGACGGCGAAGCTTTGGACGTAAAAGTCCTAAGCCGTTGGTTGTCTCCACAAGATCGAGTGTTGGCGACCTTGAACCGCGACCACTCCTTCTTCGTCGATCAGCAAGCCGAGATGACATGTATCTGGTTCCAAAAGTATCTTACTCGTTTCCTACAGAGTAACAAGAGCTTTTTGTTGGTGACTGGTCAGCCTGGCGCCGGTAAAACCACCCTCGCTGGCTCCATCGTCGAACGCCTGCAGCGACCTGTCAATCGTAAGCAGTCAGACACACTGTTCTGTTCTTTGTCTCCAGATGTCCCTACGTCTGCCACCTCCCTTGCTGTCGTCAAGTCGTTGCTTTCGCAGCTACTTAACCAGCGAGTGGGTGAGATGCCAATGTATGATGCTTTGTTCCGCGCATATCATCACTGCAGAACCTCAGGCGACCTGAAAACATACGAGGAACACCTGTGGCAAGCACTTGGCGAAGTCCTCAAGAATCCTCATGAGGGTGGTAACGATCTGGTCATGGTTGTCGATGGCCTTGATGAGATTGAATCATCTCAATCCGCCTCAATTCAAGCAGCTGGAGGTATCAGTTCCGCTGCATTGTTGGAGAAGCTCGTCAACGTAACCAACCAGGGTCAAAGGGTACGCCTGATTACCCTGTCCTCTTCAGCCAAGATGCCGGCTCACGCCAATGGCATGCTGCATGAAGTTACCCGTGAGGACATTCGGGATGATCTTCATGCTGTTGCCCTCCGGGCACTTGTTCACAACCGCAACTTCCACAGCAAGCCAGGCAACGAGCAGGAGGCTATGCTCGATCGCATCATCCAGGCTGCCAATGGATCGTTCCTGTGGACCATCCTCGCCTGCGAGCTTTTGAATGCCCAAAAGTCGGCAGATGGTGTCACGTCAACCCTTCGGGATCTGGAGTCGAGCAAGCCAACCGTTCAGAATCTCGTACACAAGTTGTTTACCTCGTTTGAGACTTCCAGTAATGCAAAGACCCTGTTGTCTTGGCTCCTGGCTGCCGAACGGCCTCTGACTACTGAGGAGATCCACACACTCTTCACTGTAGATGTCAAGAGTGGCACTCTTAGCGACAAGGGTATCAACGTCCACGAAGTACTGCAAACTTTGCGACCATTCTTGTCAATGAGTGAGCATATTGTGCGGTTCAGACATCCCATCGTGCACTCAGCGCTCCATGAGCTAGCATTCAAGAATCAGATATCGATTCCTCTCAAGGACAGCGAGACAGACCTGTTGCTACGCGTGCTTGCGTATGCCAAATATACTCTCCGTGACAAGGGGGAGCCCATGATTGAGAACGACGATCCCACTATCGCTGATCGTCTTTTCCGTCAACACCGCTTTCTCGAGTATACTGTCAGGTATTGGATTTTGCATCTCCAGCAATCTCCACTCATGCCCAAGAACACAGCAGAGTTCAAGCCTACTGCAGAACTGCAAAAGGTGATGCCAGACACGACCACTTTGTCGGTTCTGGAACAGCTCGTTTGGGGCACACAACTCCCGCTTCCGGAAGCCATTGATCTGCATATTCTTGCAGGTAATGTGCGTCGCTCTATCTACACCGACAACCATCCTACTGTCCTACAGACCTATCTGGCGATTGCTACATCCTACCTACTTCTGTCGGACACCACAAATGCTTCTTCGTACTTCTTCCGATGTACCAAGATCTGCCGCTCTGTGCTGAGTGACATCCATCCTTTGACGTTGGAATGCGCAAATTACTTTTTGAAGGTCTCGGAGTCTATGGTCACGACTTCGCGCACGGAGATCATGACCCACCGCGAGGAGATCTTGATCGTGCTCATTACTGCCTACGAGCGCCAGTATGGTAGCACCTCGGAGCTCGTCATTCAGACTCGTAAGCTCCTTGTAGAGTTGTACGCTTCGCTCAAGGAAGAAGAGAAGGCACTCGAGGTCTTCCGCCTGATTCAAGAGGCAACTATTCAGCACTACGGACGCAACAGCCATCAGGCGCAAGACATTGAGGGTCACCTCAATGTCGTCCTCGGCAAAGGTCGAGGTGAGCGCCGTATCGACCACTACAAAGAGTCATTCTTTGATGAGCATGATGATGAGAACGAGGTCGAGAAATTCGACTTTGGTTCAATCGCAGCCTACCTTCGTAGAGCTGAATCATATACGTCTAGCAAGGAGATCGCAGTTGCAGAAAGGACCTACGTGGAGCTATGGCAACAGATCTCCTCCAAATGCCGTTCGACTCAATCAATTGAGTGGCACGAGAAGAACATCGAGGTCGCAACCACATACTCGAGGTTTTTGAAGACCCAGAAACGCACAGCTGAGTCTTCGGCTGTGCTTACTGTCGTATGGGAGCAATATCAGCACCATCAGCTGTCGTACTCCGAGAGGATCGTGTCTCGCCTCACCAGTGTCGCGAAGGAGATGAGGTCGATGGGTTCCTACACCATGGCTTTGTCGATCTTCAAGCACGCTAGCTCGTTCTACAAGAGCGTTCGCCAAGAGGAATCAAGCGCTTCACGCGAAATCAGCAACGAAGTGTCCGAAACATCCACAGAGCTTGTTCGACAGAGCTTGGAAGCCTCAAGCTCGTCCAGTGAGACTACGACTACCGTCTCTGAGTCTGTGTACAAAGATGTCTTCTTCTCTATAATTCAGACTTCGAAGACGATCGATGCCAGCACCATTGCCTTGGCAAAGAAGCTGTCTGCCAAGTACATGGAAGAACGAGAATTCTCACAGGCCATCAGTGTCATTCAGGCTACCCTGCAGCGCACATGGTCGTCATTCCTCGCTAGCTCAATCCACAATGTGACACTCACGTCTACCTTCACGCAGGAGTCAATTCAGCTTGTGGAGCGTCTTGCGGAGTGCTACCTGCAGCTCAAACAGATGGAGAGAGTCGAGGATACGTACAGTCGCTTCTTCCGAGCCGCGCTGGTAACCAAAGAAGTCGACAAGGCCATCTTTGAGAAGGCTCGAACACTTCTCATCAGCTTCTACGACAAGCATGGCTACCAGGACAATGCTATCAGTGTCTACCAAGATATCCTCGTGGCTTATCGCTCAAGGTTTGGTCTCACACATGAGCTCACCATCCAAACGCTCTACACCCTCGCTCGCCGATGCCAGCAACACCCAAGGAACCATCCATACTGGATTGAGTACTACCTCCAGATCATCACGAGTCTCAACAAAGACTCGGATGTCTGTCACAAGGATGCCCTGGATGCCATAATTGTGGTTTCTACTACATATTGGCAGGATCGTCGTTATGCTGAAGCTGTTACAATCTACCGCACTCTGTGGAACACTTTCGTGCGTCAGACAAAACAGCACAAGATCTTCAGCGAAGAGAAGTTTGTACAGACTCTCTACGAGCGCTACTATCAGTGCCTCGAAGAGACCAAGGCTAGCTTTGAGTCGTTGTATCAAGCCACCAAGGAATACCGCGAGACAGCTATCGCCACTTTTGGTGCTCAGTCTTCAATTGCAGTTGAGTCAACTTTGGCGCTCGCTCAGGTATCTCAACGTAGCGAGGAACATATTTCCCAGGCAATCTCTCTCTACGAGGAAGCTTCCAAGTCAACCAAAACCACCATGACCACCACCAGGTCGAGTGAACTCAAGCAAGCTCTGTCGTCCCTTTACGTTCGCCAGATGAAGTCTCAATCTTCTTCCAACTACAAGGCCGAACACGTTGAGCGCGCTCTGAGTATGACGCAGGAGCAGCTTACTGAGTCTGCAACTAAGTATGGTTACTCCCACGAATCGTCTCTCACACACGTTAGGGAGCTAGCGAGTCTATACCAGCGTCAACAGAAGACCGATCTTGCTGTTAAGACTTTGACCAATGCTGTTTCCCAGATTGTATCCAAAGAGACCTCATCTCAGAAGCAGATCGAGTCCGCGGCTTCAATTGCAGCAAGCTTCCACGCTTGCCAGCAGACCGCTGTTGCACACAGCATGGTCCAAGAGCTGCATCGTCAGATCTGCGCGAAGGATGCACGCCACGTTTCCAAGTGGTCTTTCGACTTGACGAAGACCAACCGTACCTCATTGGCGTTCCTCGCTTCCCTTCAATACAATCTCCGCAAGGACCTCAACGTAACCTTTGCCGAGATCATGGCCAGCCTCACAATGGAGTACCTTTACTTCGAGCAATTCAGGCTCACCCTGCAAAACAACGAGTCGTTGACAAACATCTTGCTTACGGCTGCTCCACTTCGCTTCTTCTTGCGCCAGAATGGTCAGGATGAGATGATCACTGTGGTTGAGGATCAGGCTGTCGGTCTCTTCGAGAAACGAGACGCTCCAGACCTACACACTCTCAGCAAGGAAACGCCTCGACACTTTATTGTTGGCATCCTCGATCAACTGGGTTCTGGCAGAAACAAGGATTTCAACCGCTCTGTCATCCTGGCTAGTAACGACAACGTCTCGAAGCTGACCAAGCAGAAGAAGTTCCCGGAAGCATACGACATCGCCAACCTTGGGTTCCTTTATGCCAGCAAGCATGATGGTTACAATGGACCCAGGTCTATTGGCATGGGCTTCAAGCTTGCGTCGTTGCTTGTTGGACGAGCGAGTGAGAAGGCTACGGACGCTGCTTTGCGCAAGAAGATGCTCGATCTGTCAAACAAGATTGTCAGGAAGATACTTGACATTTGCAAGAACCTCAAGATCAACTTCGCCCAGATTCAGCTTTTCGAGCTCAGTCACCTGTCTGTGCTCTTGGGCGAACAGCATGACTACGAGACCTTGGAGGTAAGTTTACTCATGAATAGCTTATCAACTATTGTACTGACGCTCGAAATAGTGGTTACTCACCACTTTGTGGAACACCAGAGATGCTCAACGCTCGTGGCCCCCGGAGGTTCTTCTCAACCTCGGCCGCCGCCTCATCTGCGCTCGCTACCTTGCCGGATCGCCCGTCAAGGCCATCCGCCTCGCCGAAGACATCGCATACAACATGCGTCGCGCACACGGTCCTCGGGCCCCTGTCACGATCGAGACATATGAGCTTCTCGCACAACTGTACACAAGCATGGGACAAACATACCAGTCGAGGGCGTCTTCTGAGAAGACAGGTTCGTTGGCACAGGAGTACTTCAAGAAGGCTCTCGGTGTACACGAGGACATTCTTCGCCTGATGGTACACGATCACGGTTCTGGTGATGACTCAGACGATGAGCTCGATACCACAGCCTACCTCCTCGCCAAAGAAGGCATCAACGTCAAGGATCAGGAGGGTCAGCCTACTTCTGCGCTCGACTCCGAGAACGTTGACAAGTCGGCTATTGCCCTTCGTCATTTGCACCTCCTGAAGCTCGCTTACCAGCGTCTCGGTGGCTGGCCCAAGTCTTTCGAGGAGTACGAGCGCCTGAATGCTCAGGTGTTCCGTACCTTCGGCTCTGACCCGAAGTGGAAGGGTGTACAGGGCACAGAGCAGTGGAGTGTCAAGGAGTTCGGCAACGGGAAGGCTGAATCTCAGGAAGGTGGCTTCTATGGCATCGAGGACTGGGCTCTTGGTACTGACAAGATGATTCTGCAGGCGCAGAACACTCCTCAGCACACAGTATCTAACGGAGGTCTGCAGGTCTCGAAGATGCGCACCGAGACTACACAGGCCGTGGCGTATGCTTGAACAGGTTCACACGTGGACTTTAATTTGGTCTGATTACAGTGTACAGCGACTGTTTTAATAATTGTTTGATTTATTAGCGGCTCTATAATTAATACATCTTCCATGTTTCATACAGATGCATTGCCTCCTAAATGATCAAGGGACCTGCTAACAGGCATGCTCCCGTACACAATTTCAACTTCGATGTCAGATTTCTCCTCGTCTCCACATGAAACACATATCCTTCGTGTAAACAACATTCCATCCGTATCACTATATACCTTGATGGACTATTCGGCACACCATAGAAGGGTACTATCTGCTTTTGAGACTCGGTCAAGGGGAGCATCAAACTGTCCTTCAACAAGCGCATTGCAAGGCGTGAGTATCGAAGGAGAACAGACATTCGGAATGATCAATAAGAATAGAATTTGTTATGCGGTAGGTTACAAAATCTGTGTTTTACTGCAAGTTACAACTCAGACGAAAATCCTCTTCACACCAGTCTTCACACACGTCGGATTCTCCGGCTTCTCGTTCCCGAAACCCCAAGCTAGGGTGCGGTAGCTGTAGCCCCCAAAGTACGTCTGACAAGCATACCACCTGTAGTACGCCACAGTCGTTCCAGTTGAGTTCGGTGGATTTGCTGTCCAATCAATGTATCCTTGCACATTCAGTCTGTCCTGGTCGTCGAACGCTAACAGCTGGGGATTCTCCTGCCCAGGAGTGAGAATTGGAATGGCCGAGTCAGTGGTAGGATCGTTGTTGAAGTAGACACTTGAAGGAACATCAAGACTGGTGGTTTTCAGAGTCCATGTCAAGATGCCGGGTGTGCCGAGTGTGGCATTGGGAGTGAAAGGATCGGTTGAGGTGTTGAAGTTGAATGTGGCCGCTGCAATGGGAGTGGGATTTGAAACGCCGCCTCCCGAGGAGAGGCATAGCGACTCTATTGCTGCCCCGGTGTGACATGCTGAGAGTGTAGACCCATTGATGGTGGAATTTTCGGATGTCAAAACGAGGTTGAAGGGGGCAGAAGTTTCGTTATAAAATAACTGTGCACGTGCTGAGGTTGCAAGAAGTACTGCAAGTGTAGAAGTCGTGGTCTTCATGTTGACAAACGTAATGGCACTGTGATTGCAAGTCGGTCTGATGGGATTGATACTCTCCTGCTCCCGTTCGAAGGCTACCTTTGTAGTTATTACTTTCGGTACTCCGCATTTCAGATCTACCTCTCGTATGATGCAGTCCTGCAGATGATCAGGTGTACACAGTGTCGATCGTAGAACTATGACGTTGAGTTAGCCTAAAGTTCCCCAAAATCTGACAGCACCCCGTATTCGTCCTACTGTTTTCTCTCGCGGATTACTTGAACCAGACAGGCGACATTCGAAATCGCCTAAAAGAGAAGATGATAACTTAGCCGCATGTGGCACCAACGGCACCAGTGGTGGCAAACGGTAAGATGACGCGACACAACCGAATAAGCTTCCTCAAGCATCGCAAGCATGGGTTACACATCACGCCTTCCACTTGGTCACGTTGTAAATACTTGGGTCGAATACGAGCCAGAGGTAACTTCTTTTGCATACGAGAGTTTTAGAAGGAGTAAGACATCCGTTATCACTGCTTCGTAAGTTTGTCAACGCGAACTCTGATGCGACTAAGCCCACTGCGCAAGCAATGCAACGTACGACGATTTTTTGGGCTATTTAAATGTTAGAGTGCAAACATTGCTTGGGTTCCTGTCCAACGAACCCTTGCAGTGTGTACAATGCTTCCCGTATTCCGCGTTTCTCCGAGGTTGCATCTCTCTGACATTCCACACTGCAAGTACGACAGGTCAAAAAGGAAAGGTCTCATGTGACCTTCATTGTCTAGTATGGCCTAAAGTAGCAATTTTACACTGAACAAAGAGGCTCCTCCACAAAGAGGCCCCAATGCTTAACAAGGATGTCGAGATCATACTATGATTGGAACTCAAGCGAATTGCCGGAAGGCTGCTGGAAGTACTGGGACACGAAGGTCGCTATCATTATCTCGTTCGTGGTAGTCACGATGGGCGAGAGACGCGCGAACAGCTTGTTGGGGATGGAAAACGCGGCTGCCAGACAGGTGAACAGATAAGGAGAATACTACTTGGCCAATCATTGCTGTTATCGCAGTTGAGCCAAGCAGCTTTCCCTATATATATCTGGACGTGTATTGACTACTCTCACTTTGTAGAGATGCAACAGATGCCTTCTCATGATCGTTTTTCTGCGCGTCTTGTTGCACTGCGCGTGCGGGCCCCGCCCATAGCAGTGACTAGTCGAGACCAGTCGCTCCTTGAACCTAACGTACAGTACTGACATGCTCTGTCAAGGCGCGTAGCGGGCATAACTGAAGGCGGTCCGACGCCTTCCGGGATGTGTCGGTTGAGGCTCTGTTGTTGTATCGCGAATCCGGGCACAACGGCGGCTCTTCCCCACAAACGCCAAGGATCGTGAGAATCAACAACATCATGTTGTGTCCCGAGCACCACACGTTGCAATTGTATCCAAACCTGCTTAGAGTAGCGCATCTTCGTGTGTGCCATTTCGCCTCTAACTGCTGGATCAAGGCCTAGACTGTGCCCTTTTCCGTGGTGAAACAAACAGCGATGATGTCAGGGGTCCGTGTGCGCTTGTTGGCGCACCTGAACTTTTCACTCGCCTCTGTTATTGGCCCGTCGTTCAACATCTCACCGCTCCGCCTGAACGTGGTTCTTGCTCCTGCGAAGACTCTGAATCATCTTTACTTTTGCACAGATCCTGCATACACGTGCAGTATCTTGCAGCAATGACCGACACGCCGCAGACGACTGCAGGTGAGGATCCCAAAGGTGCCAAGGTCCTCCAGCAGCACTTGGATCCCGGGTACGAATTTGCCTTTGATGCCGCAAATCTCGGGGCAGACGGCGCAAACAATGTCTCCGGTTCTGTTCGGGATGGGCCGGAGTCATCATTGAGATTGCAAGGCGGCGACGTCCATCGTGATCTTTACAAGATCGCTGCCAAAAGCAAGCGTCAGAAGCTGCACAAGCGAGCAGCAACATTCTCCAATACGCATGATTATGCACCATCGATCATATCAGACATTGAGCATGACGAGCTGCCCATCCAGGAGCAGATGGCCCCAGGAGGACTGAGACGCCAGTTCCTCCAAAAGCAGGCCAGGAGTGTTAGCTACATTGCGGAGCCTGTTACCCGGAATTTCATCTCGTTTCTGGAGCTTTATGGAAACTTCGCCGGTGAAGACCTTGAAGAGTCGGATGATGAGACTGCTATCGATGATGGGGAAGAGGATGAAGAAGAGCAGGGCGAACGTCGACCGCTACTTGGGAGGAGACAGAGCTCCAGAAGGCTCAGGCAGCAAGGTGATGCTTCTAACATGACCTCCTTCTTCACTCTGCTGAAGGCTTTCGTTGGTACTGGTATCATGTTCTTACCGAAGGCGTTCAAGAACGGCGGCATGCTGTTCTCTGCCATTACTTTGGTCGTTGTGTCGATTGTCACAATGATCTGTTTTGAGCTGCTCCTCGCCTGCAGGAAGCAGTACGGTGGAGGTGGTTACGGAGATCTGGGTCAGCTGATTGTTGGAAAGAGGCTTCGTCAGCTTATTCTCATCTCGATCACACTCTCACAATTCGGCTTCGTATGCGCTGGTCTCATCTTCACCGCAGAGAATCTTGCCTCCTTCTTCGATGCGGTCACACCAAACTCTGCACCGCTTGGTACAAATGCCCTCATTGGCATTCAGCTTGTGCTCCTCATTCCTCTATCCTTCATCCGCAACATCTCAAAATTGGGTCCTGCTGCTTTGCTTGCGGACGTCTTCATCCTTATCGGTCTGACCTACATTTACTGGTACGATATTTCCTGGATCAGCAAGATGGGTGGTTTCCACCCCAGCGTCGAACTATTCAATCCCCGCGATTGGACTATGACCATTGGATCAGCTATCTTCACCTTTGAGGGTATCGGCCTGATCCTTCCGATCCAGTCGAGCATGAAACACCCCGAAAATTTCAGCAAGCTGCTGTTGATTGTTATGAGTATCATCACAGTCATCTTCACGTCCGTTGGTGTTCTCTGCTATGGCACTTTCGGAGAGGATGTGTCTGTCGAAGTCATCACCAACTTCCCACAGTCCAGCAAGCTCGTCAACGCTGTGCAGTTCCTGTATGCTATGGCTGTCTTGGTGGGCACACCAGTACAGCTCTTCCCTGCTATGCGTACTATTGAGCTCAAGCTATTTGGTCGCGCCTCTGGCAAGAAGGACAGCCTCACCAAGTGGAAGAAGAACGCTTTCAGGACTGTACTTGTCATATTCGCTGGAGTTGTTGCGGCTCTTGGAGCTAGCGACCTCGACAAATTCGTCGCTCTCATCGGCAGCTTTGCATGCGTGCCGCTGGTATATATCTATCCTGCGTACTTGCACTACAAGGGTGTCGCTGAGCGTCCGTGGGCCAAATTGGGCGATATCACCATGATGCTTGTTGGTCTTGTCGCTATGATATACACCACTAGCATCACCATCGCTAGATGGGCAGAGACTTAATTGTCTTGTTGCGTTCATGGATCTAACTTTGAGGAACGAATTGGTTGTGGGCATTGTAAAGTACTGGAGGAGTGTGCTATTGCTTCAAGGCCCTTTTGGGTAGCATATGTGGAAACGAAATTTTGCTTGATAGTTTGTTGTTACACGTATTGTATATATGTCAAGGCTGTGGTCAGTCCGTACCAAAAGTATAGGAAATCATCTCTTCAATTGGACAGTAAGTCTATACTGCTATGCGGCACAATCATGGTGCAGTGCAAGGTGATAGTTTACTCTCGTTCTTATTTTCGGGATATTTTGTGATCTGAGCAGAGCTTTCTGAAAGAGTCTAGACCAACAGCAAGGCCATTGTCCCCCCGCATTTGCATGGTAACACCGCCTCATGATCGAAGCCTGCCCACCTCCCCTCATACTCGGAAGAGCGAACCACTAAGCCGGTTTGAAGTACTCTTCATCGTATATTCAGTCATAGAGGCCAGCATAGGCAACGATCTAATGATGTCCAGGATCCTGGGAGGTACTGACGTGTTTTACCATAGTGCCGTAGTTATCAAATGTTATACCAGCCACAGAGCAATACACACGGATGAATTCGCAGAACCATTAGCACATATGTCCTTGGAAACATGTGGGTTTGTAGCCCTAAGCGCTCTTGCACTACTGGAAGGCCAGGGAAGTTATTGTCTCATCACTGTCCAAGTTTTGAATGCATGTGAGTTTCCACAACACTAGCGTTGACATTCGTGGCAAGTGTTGTAGAACCATAAGGGTCAGGTGCAGTGAGACGAGAGCTATGCAAATCACAATTGTGCACCGTTGAACTCGAGTGTCTGGTCGGGTAACATTGCCCCGGCTCGGTGTGGTCCAGCCCGAAGTAAGGACGACGAGTGGGACACTTAAGAAGACACTACAGGGACCCTTGTGGAGCTGTTTGAATCACTCGACCCTGGACAGGGGTTGCTCTGGAGGCCTGTCTGCCATCCACGCACATGGGTACAGACTCGGAGTCTCGGACCAAGTCAGTTAGATGCGCGTGCACGACAGAAGCATGCTAGTCAGTGCGAAGCAAGATCGAAGCGGTCCCTGCATTAACGCGGAGTGGCGCTGTCGATCCGGGGGCGTCGTCTAGCGTGGGGTGATCCGGAAGAAGGATATTGTTTGTTGACATGACGTCGGTCACGAACAGAGATAAGTTGTGTATATTTCATCGATTAACGCTTGCTAAGTTGACATGCTCACTTCAAAGACCATACTCCGTTCTCCTCGATAATCTCGATGGGTCGGTTCTCGTCCAGCGATCTCCTCCCCGCCTCGAGGATGGCAGTTGTGGCTATGGTGTTCTTCAGTGTAGGAAGCGGGCGCGCATCGAGCTGATCGAGTGTGACCTTGCCATCGTTGAGCAGATTGACGGCGTCGATGAACTTCTCGAAAGAGATGTATCCGTAGCCGATCTGGCCTGCGAAGTTGCCCTCCTCGTCAGGAGCGTACTTCATGTAGAAGCTGAAGCAAGTTAGCTCATGGTAGCAGATAGTTATAGAATACACGTACGGGTTGTACCAAAGCAGACCAGTCTCGTCATCAGTGACGTCGTATCCGCGCTTGGCCTGGTTGACACGGATTTCTCCAGATGAAGACATGTAGTGGAAGTACTGGTTGGAATGGACACCAGCCTTCTGTGGTGCTGCCCAACCAGCTGTGTATACTCCCGTTGCGCGCTTGCTAGGGTCGTCCTTCTTCACCCAGTCGGTGAGAAGGGTAATTGTGTCTTCGGTGGCAGGATCGCAACCGAGAGTTGTCGCAATTCCCTTCGCCGCGCTTCCCATAACACGAACAGGCTTGTAGTCAGGTACCATCGACTCGTTGATATCGATATGGTGGGAATTGAGGTAGTAGGAGATATCGCTGTCCACACCAGCCCAGGCCTTGAAGGTCTCAAGCTGGCTCTTCGGCTGGCTCATGTAAGAGTAAAAGTAATTGAAGTCACCAAGCTTCTGGGCCCTGAATCGTGCATCGGCGTAGGCAGGGTCATAACGCTTGTGGTGCTCGATGTAAACAAAGACGTTGTTCTCCTTGGCTTTCTTGAGAAGCTCTTGGTGGTGCTCGAGCAGCTTGACTGCTGGCTTTGTGATCAGGACGTGGATACCACGCTCAATGGCGTACAGAGCGATCGGGTAATGTGTCGTGTCTGGGGTGAAAATGGTAACTTTGTCTGCTTAGTAGTGACCTTACAGAAATCCGCACATATTCAACTTACTGGCACTGCCCTTAGGGAGAGCGTCAATTGCTGTCTTGTATGCATCGGGGTCTGTCTTTCCTTCTTTGGGGAATTCGTCAAAAGAAACATCGAGACCATTGTACGCCTCTGAGATGTTCTTTTGGAGGTGCTCGCCTATCACGTGTCATTAGTCCAGCTCCATTGCGATTTCCGAGTTTCGACTTACGGATGGCAGGGAATTTGCCGCCAGAAACACCGACCATGGACAGGTCACCGACCTTACCACGTCGTCGGAGATCAAAGAGGGTCAGTCCTACAACACCAACTTTTTTGTCCGACTTCGAAGCCCCGCCGCCAACAAATCCAGTTGTGTACTCTCCAGTACCAACCTATTCGATTGTCAGCACTCGAATTCTGCTCATTTGCTATCATTGGAAGACAGTAGGTTGGAAGGTCCAGGAATGAGCATTCTAGAATTGCCAACATCAAGCTTGCCGCTCTCAGACGTCGTGAAAGGTCATATGCTAGCTGTTACGCCAGTGAGGGGTAACGTACCATCAGAACCGCTGGAGGAGCCATATTGCTGATGCTTTGTGATGTTCTTCAAGTAAAATGTGATCAATTGAATCTCTCTTCAGCTTCACGCAGAGGTCTGAGAGAGGAGAATGTGAGATGGGTTGGGTTTCTGGGGAGAGCTCTTAGGCAATGCATCACAACGCGTCGGCTTCGTCGGCGTTTGAACGGAATAATTTTGCCATCTCTTAGCACGACGCAGTGCATGGAGGGGCACGAGGGGACATTAGACGGCTGACAGACGCGCACCATTTTGCCGTTTCCCGCGGCCGGCATGACGTTTGACTGGACCATGGTGTGGTAGCGGGGCGCGCATAGTCAATGATGTCGAATCCTGAGAGCTTGCCGAAGCGGGAAAAGCTAGCATCTTGGTCTCCCACGCGTCAAACCATGTTGACGGTGCGTCGGATTTCCTGCGAACATGCTGTTGTGACACGCGGAAGTTGACTTGTTCATGTTGTTGTTAAAATGACGCCGATGCTCTTCCCCAGGCCAAGAGAATTGAAAGCACGCGCATGATGCACCCCACGCGAGCAGCTTCGCTGCAATTGGTGGAGAAACCGTTGGAGTTTCTCCGGACCCCGAATCTCGAAAGACCCCCGTGCTGAGCCACCATCCAGAACCCTGCCACAGACAGCAATCCTTGCACACAACAGGCGACGAGTTAGTCAACCCACAGTAAACGGCTCCGTATTTCGCGCAGATGTAGCCCGAATCCGCCAGGCGGCCCCAGATTCGGCACACGATTCGCTCTGGCCTCTGCAGTCTCCATCGTGTTGGTCGATTCGGCGAATGAACGGCCTTCATTTGACGAGACGTTGACTGAACTAGAGCCAGTGGAGAGGCGTGACTTAAAGTGGGATGTGTTTGGCTTTGCCGGGCTACTTCCGCCGACCATCTCGCTGATATATTAATGCTGGCCGAGCCCTTGCATGTCCATTGATACTACTTCCTCCTCTCTCCCTTGTCTGTGGCATCATCCTACAAACCACAATATTCGCATCACCTAATACTACGCATCATATATTAAACATGTCTGCAAACGGCAATGGCGTCAAGAAAGAGCGCACGCCTCTGCGTGCTGGTGTTTACTCACCCACAATGACCTTCTTCGATCCTGAGACAGAAGAGCTCGACGTGCCTACAATCAAGAAGCACGCTGTTCGACTCGCCAAGGCCGGCCTGGTCGGTTTAGTCACCATGGGATCTAACGGCGAAGCGGTCCACCTCTCTCGTGCAGAGAAGCAGACTGTCACACGAGCAACCCGCGAAGCTCTTGATGAAGCCGGCTACCAGAATGTTCCCGTCATCGTTGGTGCCTCAGAACACGGCATCAAGCTCACCATCGAACTCGCCAAGGAGGCCGAGGCAGCTGGCGGTGAATACATCTTGACTGTTCCCCCTTCTTACTACCGTTATGCCATCGATGAGGAGGCCATCGAGGAGTACTTCACAAAGGTCGCCGACGCCTCGCCCTTGCCCATCCTTATCTACAACTACCCTGGCGCCGTCTCTGGAATCGACATCGACTCAGACTTGCTCATCAAACTTGGCAAGCACCCCAACATTGTCGGTACCAAGTTCACATGCGGCAGCACAGGAAAATTGACCCGTGTTGCTTACGCTCTCGACGCGGTTTCCACCAAGGGCACAGGAAGCGGGTACCTGGCACTTGGAGGCATTGCCGATTTCACAGCTCAGACAGCCATGTCTGGTGGCTCTGGTATCATTGCTGGTGGCGCCAATGTCATCCCCAAGACATGCGTCAAGGTCTGGAACCTGTGCACAGAGGGCAAGTACGAGGAGGCGTTCGAACTGCAGAAGAAACTGAGCAAGGGTGACTGGGTTCTGACCAAGGCTGCCATTCCTGGCACCAAGTCAGCAATCCAGAGCTACTTCGGCTACGGTGGTTACCCAAGGACGCCGCTGAAGAGGTTGTCGAAGGAGAAGACCCAGGCTGTTGCAGATGGTATTAAGGAGATCATGGAGATCGAGAACAGCCTGTAAGCACATGTTGTCAGGCCAAGAGATTTCGGGGGCTCAAAGCGTTGTCATGCATTTACGAACTTCAACATGTATATAGTCATCCAATAACGAAAACTTATTCATGAACGTCTCAATCAGATCAAGTAACTGTTATACAAAGCATCAGATAAACTGGCGATGCATAAGTGGTATGACGAGGCGTCCTTTTTGTTTGGCAAATTTGACGTCCATTTCTAACCCTACCACTGTAGCTGATATGAGCACAATATGGAGGTAGATGGCGGTGGCGATTCTAATGCTAGGCGATCAAATTGATAGGTTAAGTCAGCCTTCGACTTCAGTATAGGGGTGCAAGTGCTGCACTGTAATTGGGGACAAGTCTTGTTTATTTCTGTACAAAAGAGATGCCTCTCATCAATACTAGCGGAAGCTTGTAGTCTTGCAATCGTGTAGAACTACGTGGCTTAACACTGCTCATTCCGGCAGTGCCTTCGAGAGATTGCCACATACTCTAGCTTAGGAACGGCGGAAGAAGTCTTCACTCATCCCTTCAGCGTCGGAATATGTAGTATTGTATCCCCTCGCCACTCACCTCAGCAGTCATGTTCCTGTTTCGAGTTCACGACAGCCTCACCCGTATTTAACCTAACTCAATCTTACACAAGGCACTGCATTCCTCTGATATATCAGGGGTATGCTAATATACCCCTCCAATAAGTCTGCGATCCCACAAGCCTCTTAGGAGCTGCATATGCCATGTACCACAGAGGCTTACGTGAAATGCTTTTGCGCATAAAAAACGTATCCAGATTACGGTACATTTCTCCTACTGCCTTTAGCCTCGCTATAAATCAGTTTCATCCTTACTGAGACTCGACGAAGTCTGTAGTCATTGACACGAAAGGATATATGAGTGAAGACAGCAAGGATTGAGAGGCTTATCGGTAAGAAATCTGGTGTCGCATCATGTTGCTAGAAACTCATAAGCCTAACAAGCAGGAGTCGTCGGCTCGATGATCGGGAAGAATTTGAAGAGTTGGTCAATGTGAGTGGAGACAATGACGTGGACAGAGCTTTGGAGAGTCATATGGGGATACACCCTTTCGGCGAACGCGGCGTCTGGACCTGCCGCAAGAAGCATGAGCTGAATATCTTGCGACGGTAACACCCGGTGCATGGACTCATGCCTCTTCAACAACGGGCATGGATCGTCTGTCTTGTTGTACGATGGAAGGCGGGTTGACGATTCAAGTTATACTAAGTGGTCCCTTTAACACCCATGTCCCGAGCGACTTGAAACATATCTTCCTCGTATGCCCCACCCCCTGTAGCAACCCTCCCCAAGCCGCTAGCCAGGCTTCCATGTGGCTTTTATTTGTATCGTCTATCCGTTTCCGTGCCGCCATCCGCTACCGCCTAGCGATCATGCATCTACGTATATTGTATCAAATTTACCCCTGACACCGGGCTAAGTTTGCACAGTCAGTGTCACAACGATCAACGGGAAGGCTAAGAAGATCAGGTGAGAAGCAAGTAAGCGATATTTCCATTGCACGCCTAACGTGCCTGTCTCTACGTTGAATCGCTTCCCCCTAAAAGGGGCTATAAATCGGTATCATCTGCGCTGCCTTTCCTAGGATTCGCTTTTTGGATTTGGTATCTCGAAAATCATAACTTTGCTCATGTAATCATGTGCTTACTTCCCAAACGTGTGTCGTGTTGCTGGTAAGTTGTGTATGCATAACATCATAATACGTATCGTACACCCCCTGCTTCATTCCCGCCCGCGGTGCCCGGGGCGCCCGAGCTCATATTGCAAGGCCGTTACCAAGGCTGGTCCATCTATAGAGCGAAAGTACTTCGCGACGCTTCGCAGGTGTCATCTCTCGTGCATGGCCGTGACCCTTGATCTGTGCCAAGGTTGAGATCATAACTTTCCGGAAGTTTCTCTGAGACGGGAGTTAGTACGAGTTATTATGACTAGTCTAGCTTATCGACGAACCTGATACTCTGTGTTGAGTGTAACCACCGCGGCCTCATGTGCGCGGACAATAATCTCGCAAGCGCGTATCACTCCCTCGTTGGTCTCAGTAGATAGCTTATCTGCAAGCAGAAGCAGTATAAGACTTCCCTGTAAAAGGTACTATGGCAGTGTCAGGAATGTTAAAACTGTGCAAGAAAAGAGATCTTACCATGCCAAAAAGGTACGGCATAAATGAAAGGTCGGGGTCAAGATCGAGTATCTCCTCAACTGCGTGTGCTGCAGATATTGCGTTGGATGTTGCGGCGAGGAAAGATGGTGAACAGATCCACATGTTGTCGTCTTCGAGTAATGCGACAGGATCCCACTTTCCGTGCAGTAGAATATGCAGGACGTGCATGATATGGGTTGCGTATGCGGCCACCTTCCGTGTCTGGTGAATCCATTCCATGCGCACCTCGTCGGGCGTCCCATTTGTTGGATTTACATCATCGTTCCTGCCACAGCCATGCTGAGATTTGAACTCTTCGATGCTGTATGCGTAGCTCTCCAGCTGTCGCGTAATCTCCGCTTCATGCAGCTCCCACGATGTTCTCTGTCCGAATCTCGGGTGGTTCTTTTGCGCATTCAGGTCCACAATATCGCCCAAGATCGTCATGAGTGGCAGGAAGAAACCAAACACGTCATGCGATGTGCACTGGAAGTTGAGGCCCTTGCCTCTTCGCCCCTGATGTCCAGTGTAAAATTCGCCAGCTTGCCATACTGTGTCCGGAACGGGCTGGAACAAATCCTCGCACTCGTTGTCGAGCATTGCGAGAGGTCGGTTGTAGCAGAGTCCCAAGTGGCGATCGATCATGTACAGAAGCCACCACAACCTTCGCCGTTCCTCCTTCATCTCCTCAATCAAAGCTGCTGCTGGCGTGCCTATATCCACGTCGCCAGTTTCATTTGCATGATTGTTGCGGTCTTTCGCAGAATCTGTTCGCAGCTCTCTTCCAAGCTTGAGCTCTCGTGCAAGCGACCATGCTGCATTCCACCATCGCAGCGACGCTGCCTTATACTCACTTGCCGAAGTCACCACACCTAGGTTAAGGTACGTTGCTACATCGTCAAGATTGCTGGTAGGTGGCATGGCGCCGTCCATACGGCCATCGTATCTTCCTATTGTTCTTTCGACGTTGAATTGATCGTGTGATACTGAGCTGACACCGCCACGACCGGAGTTGAGACTATTGGAGGAAGGTGAGTGGACCAATGGTTTGAGTAGATCGACCGTCAATTTCCATAGCTTTTGGCAGATGATCGCCCGCGCTGATGGCGAAGAAGTCAGGTAAGTGGCCTCACTCGTCTGTGCGGCGACCCAGAGCATGCTGGCGAGCAAAGCAGGACTGCATTTCCTTGGCTTGTGCTGGCGTAAGAAAGATCGTTTTCTGAACACCGTTCCCAGGATATATGGCGATACTGGCTCCATGAAAACGGTCGATGAGCTCTGGAAGTAGTATTCGAGAAGGTCACAGGCAGTTGATATGCTCATGATAGGGCCTAAATGTGAGAAGAGAGGCTTCAAGACCGGATACCTGCAAGCTATCACGCCTGCTTGTGATGAGGTGACGCTTACTCCGGATTGTGGCGAGCCGGTATCTGTTGAGCCATAACTGTGCGGTGGTGATGACTGTCGTGGTGCTTGGAACGGGATTGGATACCCTACATTGGCATACTCTGCTGCCATCGGTGCCAATCCGTTCATGGCGTAAATAAGCTCCTCATTGCGTGGCATCTCATGCATGGAACCCAGCAGTAGTGGATCGATCATCATGTGTGTTACTGGCGGGTTAAATGGCACCCCTGAACAGGCGGTCAGTATCTTGCTTGAAGGCTCGGTCGGGTCTTCAAGTACCAGGGTTGAAACTCTGCCATTCTGCAGGAGGAGGATTGTGCAGGCTGGCCTTGCCGTCAGTAACGAAGTGTTGCGCTACTGGCGTCGGCTCGGATTGCGACCAGTGTTCATCGTCGATCTCAGTTGCAACAGTAGGCTTTTCGAAAAGATTGTTTGTTGCAACTTGGAGTTCATTGGGTGTCTGTGGACTGCCTGATGCTGCTGCGTCTGCTTCTCTTTGTTTCTGGATGTGTCTTGGTACCTGAGTCAGTTAGCTCCGCCGGCTGCACATAGGTAGCCATGAAGATGCACCTTTCCACGACGCTTTTTCTCTCTATTGTACTGGCAGACATACTCGAGCTCTTCGAGTTGTCAGCCTGGCCCCATTAGGAAGGTGATCATGGACGAACCTATACATCTGGAGCATGGTGATTGTCCTGCAACGCACGACACCGTCAGCGTTTGTCTTCAATGAGAAGTGATCCAGTTACCATTACAACGAGTGCGCATGCGATGGCAATGATCGCACGCCCTGCTAACCCTCCTCTTTACAGCCGCGGAATTTCTGCGATCCATCTTGGACAAATCAAGTGCCGCAGGCTCCATTGTAGCTATGTCAACCGGTGGAACGTGATTTCGATCTGAGATAAGTGAGCAACAGTCTGGGGAACAGACCGGTCATGCGATGGTGGAAAGCATATGTGGGCCTCCGATCAGAAGTCTGCCGAGGAGCATCTCCGAATATGGACACTAGTCGGGACGATGGCCGTGCTTTGAAGGCCGGTGTCACCTGCGCTCTGACGGTTCCATGCGTTCGAGAAGCGAGGTCAGCCTATGCACGAAAATCAGCAGGCGTGACCACTAATTCCAACAGTCAATCGACAACATGTGGCTCGTCGATCCTGGGGGCATTCGCTGTCAGCACACAAGTCAGGATTAATTCATCCGGTCCATTTAGCCTAAACTCGCAACCCCCCGCAAGAAAACGCACTTTCAGCTAGCGCCATCTCCCGTGTCACTTCCACCTCAACTTGCCACTGTGCCTGGCTGCACCCCAGGTTGTGGCTTTTCGATGCATCATGATTGTAATATCCCCATATCTGCATGTTCTTCCTTTGACCCGTGGTCTTGGTCACAAGCTAGGCGGTGAGTCGCGTCGAGTTGTGCAATCGCTCCCTGAAACCACTCTTTGCTAGTTCTGGATTCCAGAAACGCTCACTTGCCGAAGTGGCAGACGTCAGGGCGTCAGAATAATGCGGCAATGAAACAGACCTCACCAAACGATCGTTCCCGCTTTCCCACTGCCAGTACCCTAGACCCATATACGTTGGACCAATCGAAGTCTCGCTACGCTGGCTTGATGTTCGAGAATGGTGAAGTGCTTTCGTCCCGGAGCTGCTCCACGATGGCAGCCAATTCTTGAGACTCCATCCACGAGGACACATTTGATAAACCCTGTTACAGGCTGTTGCCTTCCGGCCACGCAGTAACTGGCCTGCAAAGCTTACTCCAACTCCAAGACGTACTCAACTTGGCGCCAACGAACTATTGTGATGACCATCCGTGGTCCTTAATTGCTGGATGGTGACCTCAGATCTACCATTTGCATGACAGTAGCCCCTTGAGTAGACGCTTTGTAACAACGTCGTAGTCATCCAAGCCAGCCTGCAATCTGATCACCAGCGACTGGAGACATGCCTGCCCCTCAAGGCTCAAGATTGAGCCACAGTTTGGCGACTGCCATGCTCTAGCAGGGCCCAGATGAAACGGTCCGCAGCAGGGACATGCATCCCATACTCCATGCTTTGATCGGCGCGCCACTCTTCGGTACTCGAGTTGCACCTCATCATATATGCAATCAAATGTGCATTGCCTGCGCCGGCGGGCCGGAAAGGGTTCGTTTCTCACTATCCTCAGACCTGGAATGAGCGACGGAGGCAAAGTTACTGTATAATCTCCACAGGCCTCAAGCACGTCAAAGCGTTACACATGCAAGCCTCGAACACGAGGGCATGCAAAACTTGCCGACCGAAATCTCCACGTTTCTGCCTGCGGCACAAGTGCACCGCAGATGCAGGAGACGCGGCCCGGAGCTCTGACATTGGTCGGTTGATGTGCTCCCTTGGGAGCGGCAGGCTTGCGGCATTCAAGGTCGGTCTGTGTCATCAGACGGCTCTAGGAGAATGCTCTACATTCAGCCATACAAGCGCGGATATTTATCCATATACGGTTAGCCAACTGTGTGCTAGCGGTCCGTGCAAACCTCCCCACCGCTGATCAGTCGTCCCCACAAACGCTAGGGTGTGGCTCTGCCAGTGGGGCTAACGCGTCTCCAACCACCTGCATTGCTTGCGTCGGGTCTCCGCTGCCTTCGTATGATGCGGCGCAGCTAGCGACCAATGTGCTGGCTCAATGGCCTTGCAGCATGGCGAAGGCACTTGCGTTCATGCCGGGTACCTGGCGACCACAGTTGCAGTCGGGGTACCTATGCAACGGGATCGGGGATAACTGAGGTACATACATAAAACGAAGGGGCATCCAGGTCTGTCGCCGCAGCGAGTATTGCGCCTGCCCGTTCTGGGATGGGATAACTGGATCTGACAGGTCGATTCGGCTCAGCGGATGTCGCCCTGGTCGAGTTCAAAAGACTTTCAGACCCACGTTGCGTCTGTTTGTTATACCCTTCGCGGGTTAGGAAAGAGCATGCACTCGCCTAGAACAGACTACCCGTTGGCCTCGACTTCCCTTCTAGTGCGATCATAGATTCCTCTCCACAGTAAAGTCGTGGGTCCGATAAGCTACAAAGACCGGTGATGTGTACGAAGGTTTTCAACACTGCCAATGCATACGCGTGGACTGGTAGGGCTGCCAACTACATCCTACCCCTCTCATTGGTCGTACACTCTCATTCTGAAATCAATGTTTCTGAATGTCTCATGTAATGGGGAGCGAGCGCACCGTTTCGGGGTAGTTGCCAGCAGCACCTATCTCGCGTTCCACCACCTTCTCGTACTGCAGACTTTACTTTTGCTCATACTAAACCACCTGGACGAAGTCAGGAGCAGTCAGTGGACAGTGTAGTCAGACAAAGCCAGCGTAAGCTCTCCCTCCGTAGTTCTGCGAATACGGTTAAAGACGTCTTTCCTCTACTCAGAGAGTACGCACAAAATGCTCCTGCGAAAGTGGACCAGGGTTACAGATCACATTGAACATGAAATAGAGTTTGACGCGCGAAGTTCCGCTCAACGTTCATCGAATCGAATGCGGGTTCAAAAAATTCTATAATCTGTTGTTGCATTTGGTCAGCGAGGACGTTTCACTCATCAAGCCGGCTTGTCCGACCACCGTGAGCTCGGCAACCCTTGCACAGACATCCCAAGACACTACCCTATCAGCGCTCTCGTGAATGTCTGCCTCTACGGAGATCGGAATCATGGTTGCGATTCAGCACCGGCCCCATTGCCTACCAAGACTATCAGGTCCAGAAACGGTGCACTTACTTGCCGGACTTCTCGGCATCAGCCTTCATGCCAGCCTGCACCCACTCGCGAGCCTCTGCGGCCTGCTTTTCCATCTTGGCCTTGTCCTTAAGCAGCTCTTTGATCTTGTGCGGATCGGGTACATGGCGCCCCTTCTCGACGCCGGATCGCTCGGCCATGCGCTCCTCCCATGCTTTGAGGTTGGGAAAGTTATCGATCTCAACACCCGCCCAGCCCGCCGCTGCGACCCAACCCCAATGGGCAATATCTTGCTGGCTATTAGTATGAATGAACGCGAAGATGTGGCGAAGCAGTAGTAGGACCTGGTGGATGTAGAGTTGTGCAAAGGAGTCATGGATAGACAAGGATAAAGAAACCTACCAGCGATAGTGCACTTGTTGCCCGTGAGGTATGGTCGCTTGTCGGATGCAAGGTGCTTGTCGAGCACAGAGTATAAGCGGCGCGTCTCATTCACGTATCGATTGACTCCATACTCGATATGCTCGGGAGCATAGCGGCTGAAATGGTCTGGGTCTCGGTCAGCCTTGTATCTCGAGTAGACACGGCTTCAAAATCGCGGAGAGGAAATCGACATCGCACTGATGATATCTTTTGTCCACCTCTACTAGACGTGTGCGAGGAACAGATTGAAGCGATATACCCGGATAGGTATTGGGAGTTTCAGCCCATTGAAATCCTTTCACACAATTCTTATGGCGAGGCCATTTGAAGATCATGTCAGACAAATAGATGTACTTACTGGCTTGACCCTGCATAGGTCCCACACCCGCATTCTGGAAAAATAGCCAGTTGTTCATCTCATACCACTCTCGGCTACCCTTCGGATGGGAAATCTTGTACTCGGTGTCATAGCGCTCAACCAGGTACAGCATGATGCTTCCAGATTCGAACAAGTTGATTGTCTGGCCATCACTGAACTTGTCGGTCAATGCTGGAATACGGCCATTAGGATTTATAGATAAAAACCAGTCCTCCTTCTGGATGTTTTTCTGGATGTCAACCTTCTCGACCTTGTAGGGTAGACTAAGATGATTAATTCTCCTGAGCCCGTAAACAGTACAAGACGTTACCTACCCAAGCTCTTCTAGTGTGATCGAAATTTTGATGCCGTTAGGTGTCTGTGTTGTGTAGAGGACGATGTCTGATTCTTGCGACATGATGGCAGGTTACGATGTTGATAGGTTTGATGCAGTTGTTAACAATCCTCAGGGTCTCAGTGAGATTTGTACTGCGATGAAGTGGGGTAAACTGCGCTTCCATGACGAGCTTGGATCCTGATTAGAAATCATAAGCTCACAGCGTGCTTTCCAAGCTCTCAAGTTTCAGAAAAAAAGGCGGATAAGACCTTAAGCTTACTAACTTTACAGAATACTTAACTTGTAGCTATTATATTACCTAAAGTTAGAATTTAGTTAAACGTTACCTGTATTGTAGGTAAAAAAGTATTATATAGAGTATTTTAGTATTTTCCCTACCTTACTGTCGTGTGGTGTACTTGACTTAATCTCTCAGTTCGCCGTTTATTCTGCAACGTGAGAGCCAAGCACCATTCCATTCGGGACGCTGAGGGTGCGTCCATACCTTTACAATATAGCCTTGACATCGCGAGAGACCCAAGGGTCTTTGAAATAGGCGGCAACGCTCGATCAAAACACTCTCCACTGAGCTAGTTAATCCATGACTGTACGACGGAGGCCGCCATCGCTCCTACGTGGGGGATGTTCTGTTGATAAGTAGGCTCTACAAGAAGCTCGGCACAGGTGTTGAGCACAATTTGCATCAATGTATCATGGCCATCGTCGTTCCCGGAGATTTCGCCAGCTGTGGGACCATGCAGCCAGCATCGCTGTCAGAACCAATAAATGAACAAGGACTTAAGAGATACATATTACTTTAGCTACCTATGTGACACGATCGAACGACGACTTGGCTGAGGTGTGCATTGTCAGCTGTATCAGGCATCAAAGCACGTGACTGCCGCTTTTGATCTAGAGCGGAGCTGGAATGGCAAGTTTACTTTTGCCGCTGCCGCAACGCTGTCGCGACACCACCACCACCAAATATTTCCCAGCAAATATGTCGTGGCGCAACCAGGGCATCACCGGCTCGAACAATATTCCGCTCGGAAATCGCCGACGGTTCGGAGGCGACGATGAGACTGGAGGCTATAACCCTTCTGCGCCTGCCGAGGGTTTGTCTGAGCTGAAGCGTGGGCGTAGCCCAGAGCGAGGTAAGTTCAATATGACAACTAACCCACGAACATATGCTTACGATCTTCTCACAGCCCCCGACGGCCCTAGACAACGCAAGAAGCGCAATCGATGGGGAGATGCCAGCGAGAACAAGGCTGCTGGTTTGATGGGCTTGCCCACAGCCATCTACTCGGCCATGACTTCAGAGCAGCTTGACGCCTACACTCTGCATTTGCGCATTGAGGAGATTACGCAGAAGCTAAAGATCAACGATGTGGTGCCAGCAGACGGCGACAGGTACGTATCTAGGTTTGCGACATCCCATAATTCCCACACTAATCGCACCAGGTCTCCATCGCCGCCTCCTCAGTACGACAACTTCGGTCGCCGTGTCAACACGCGCGAATTTCGTTACCGCAAGCGCCTCGAAGACGAACGCCACAAACTTGTCGAGAAGGCGATGAAGACGCTTCCTAACTACCATCCGCCTGCCGACTACAGGAGGCCCACTAAGACACAGGAGAAGGTCTATGTTCCAGTCAATGACTATCCGGAGATTAACTTCAGTACGAAACTAACCCCTCTAACTTTCCTTTTTCAGTCCCCTACCACCCTAGCCTTTGTCTTGACCAGCGTGCTCAGACTGCTCGGTGCTTATGCGCATCTGGCGAAGCCTGCAGTACAGCTCCGTCACTAACCCCTCCAACCGCTTGCTCACACTATTTTTGATCATACACTAACCACAGCTTTTTGCACTAACAGTTGGATTACTTATTGGACCTCGTGGAAACACCCTCAAGAAGATGGAGTCTGAGTCCGGCGCAAAGATTGCGATTCGTGGCAAGGGCTCCGTCAAGGAGGGTAAAGGACGATCTGACGCAGCTCACACCAGCAATCAGGAGGAGGATCTGCACTGCTTGATTATGGCCGATACTGAGGAGAAGGTTAACAAGGCCAAGAAGCTCATTCACAACGTCATCGAGACTGTAAGTCAAGCCCAGAGATTTTCTCGGACAGTCCAACCTAACAACATGCAGGCTGCTTCCATCCCCGAAGGCCAGAACGAACTTAAGCGCAACCAACTCCGCGAACTTGCTGCTCTCAACGGTACTCTTCGCGACGACGAGAACCAAGCCTGCCAGAACTGCGGTGAAATCGGTCACCGTAAGTACGACTGCCCTCAGAAACAGAACTTCACGGCAAGTATCATCTGCCGTGTCTGTGGTCAAGCAGGTCATATGGCCCGTGATTGCCCCGATCGCAAGGTCGGACAGCCGTGGCGCAACGACAACCGTTTCGGCGATCGTCCTCCTCAAGCCCGCATTGGAGGCGCTCCCGAGAACGAACTGGATGCCTTCTTGTCAGAAATGGGTGGCGGCGGTCAGCCCCGTGGCGCTATCGAATACAATGGGGGTGGTGCCGGTGGTGATGCCTACGGAGCTGGCGGGGCCGGCAATCTCAAGCCGTGGGAACGTGGCCCGACTGGTGGTTCCGCACCATGGGCGCGCAGTGACGGCCGTGACGATCGTGGCGAGAGCAACTCTGCCGCTCCCCCACCCTGGGCTGGAGGTGGTGGCGCTGGTGCTGGTGGTTCTTACGATCAAAGCGGCGGCTACGGTAACGGCGGCGCTGCACCATGGGCTTCTGCTGCACCCGGCGCTGCTGCTTCGTATGGCTATGGAAACTACGGAGCTGGTTACGACCCGAACGCTGCGGCGGCAGGTTACGGTGCTCCTGGCTATGGTGCTCCTGGCTACGGCGCCCCTGCCGCTGCTGCCGGCCCTCCTCCTGGCTTGGCCCCTCTATTCCAGAACTACGGAACAGCAGGAAGCCCGCCTCCTCCACCTCCGCCACCCTCGGGCTCAGCGCCTCCCCCGCCTCCCCCAGCCGACATCCCTCCTCCACCTCCGCCTAGCGACGTGCCTCCCCCTCCTCCCCCAGCGTAAACGCTGTGCGAGCTCCAACTAACGTGTAGTATTACTTATGGTGGAGATGGTTGGGTTCTTTCGGTATAAAAACGAGTCTCGCAGTCTAACTCAAAGCGTAAATCTATCTATATGCTTACCAGCAACCATCATCAAATTTCAGAAATGTCCCTCATGACAGTAGGTAAGCGCCTCTATAGCATATAGGATATCTACTATTGGCTTGTCTGTTGCATACCTTGCAATCTCTGCACAGTGATAATTACCTGCTTATGAATTATTCCATGGCCATGCGTATTGTCGACATCGACACCAGGCAATACGGGGGGGACCTCCTGACAGAGCGAAATCTTGTGACGTTATTGTTGATGCCAAGCCATTCTTCCGCATGAACGCCGGGCACATGCAGAAGCTCCCCCACAATCCCAAACATGCCGGCTTTCACATTTACTCGCTGAGGACCCTTGCGCACTCGACTCTGTTGCTCTGCATACCAGTAATAACATAATAACTTCAAAGTCGGACTCTCAGACCTCTCAAGGCCTGCTTTGACCCCCACCTTTCAGGCAGTCGCTGAGACGCCCGAGACACGCGAGCTTGTGAGCCATGGAAAGGATACGCGTTAGCAAAGTGAGTGAAGAGATCTGGAAGTAGCGAGTGCACATGGCCAACGATACCCAGGTAGAAGATGTCTACCTCTTGCGCAGAGGCGTACGCTTTGACGGCACCCTCCACCTGATGCCCCACCACCTCGTCTTCAGCTACCTTCCGAGCAAGCCTGCAGACGCTCCGCCAGATGCAAAGCCTCCGCGGCAGAAAGAAGTATGGATCACATATCCGATGGTCAACTACTGCTGCCTGAAATCATGCCCACCGGTCATGCGACAGCAGCCGTCGATCCGTATACGCTGTCGCGATTTTACCTTCTTTGCGTTCTTTTTCCCCGACGAGAAGAAAGCTCGCGACGTATATGACAGTATCCGCGCATTATCATGCAAGATCGGTCGGCTCGATAAACTTCTAGCATTCAGCTATCAACCGAAGCCCCCGGAGGATCAGTTCAACAGCTGGGACATATACGATGCGAGTCGAGAGTTCAAGCGGTTGGGTATAAGTCCCAAAGATTCGGAAAAGGGCTGGCGGATATCTGAGATCAACGCCGAATACAAGGTAAGCCCATACAGTGGCGATGCCATGGGTGCACAGCATGCTAACGGAGAGCACAGTATTCAAAGACGTACCCTGCACTCATTGCAGTGCCCTCGAAAGTATCGGACAGTGTTCTCCGATACGCTGGCGCATACCGATCGAGACAGCGCATACCTGCACTTGTCTACCGCCATCCACTCAACAACTGCTCTATAACACGAAGCTCACAGCCTACACCCGGCATCACAGGGAATCGTAACCCTCAAGACGAGAGACTTGTGGCAGCGATATGGGCAACGAACCGTGGGTGGAACCCTGCGCCGACTCCAGATCTTGCTCGGTCCACTGCCGACCTGACCATCGAGAATGGATCTAGTGCCGACAGCTCCTTCGTTGGTATCGGAGATGCTGAGGCCGTGAATACCGGAAGAACACTGGCAGACGACCTGAGTGGCTCCGCCGAGTCTGACGAAAACGGCCCGAAAGTATATGGTGCGCAGCAGCGCAATCTGATCGTTGATGCTAGGCCAACTGTGAACGCATACGCTATGCAGGCTGTAGGGTTAGGATCAGAGAAGATGGACCACTATCCAGGAGCCGAGAAAGCATACCTCGGCATTGACAACATCCACGTTATGCGGAAGTCGTTGAACACAGTCATCGATGCACTGAAGGAGTCAGACCTAACATCATTCCCACCTAATCAGCAGTTACTGGCCAAAAGTGGTTGGGTAAAACACACTGCAAACATCCTCGATGGCGTAGCACTCATAGCTCGCAGAGTAGGTATCATGCATTCTCACGCTCTGATTCATTGTTCAGATGGATGGGATCGAACAAGCCAGCTTAGTGCTCTCAGCCAGATCCTGCTCGACCCCTACTATCGAACAATGGAAGGCTTCATTGTACTTGTAGAGAAAGACTGGCTATCGTATGGCCATATGTTCAGACACCGCACCGGCTTTCTGAGCCATGAGAAATGGTTTTCAATCGAAAACGAACGTATAGAACGCAAGACCGACGGCCAAGGTGGCGGTAATGCGTTCGAGAACGCGCTTCGTGGAGCAAAAGGCTTCTTCAACCGGCAAAACGAGTCGAATGAGTCGTTGAATCAATTGCCAGAAACTAATAGTACAGAGAACGTGGGGGGTGTATCAGACGCCACGGCCGCTAAGCCTTCAAGCAAGATTGGTGCTGCTGAGGAGCATCGCGTTACGAAGGTCAATGAGTTGTCGCCAGTCTTCCACCAATTTCTGGACTGTGTATACCAACTTCAGTACCAACATCCGACACGGTTTGAGTTCAGTGAACGCTTTCTACGACGGCTACTATATCACCTTTACTCGTGCCAATATGGCACTTTCTTGTTCGACAACGAGAAGGAACGCATGGAGGCCAAGGCGAAGGAGCGAACGAGGAGTGTATGGGATTATTTCCTTTGTCGAAAGCAGGAATTCCTAAACCCAAAGTATGATCCTGTGGTCGACGACTCCGTGCGAGGAAAAGAACGCATGATCTTCCCTCGCAAAGGTGAGGCCAGATGGTGGGCTGAATGTTTTGGGCGTACAGATGACGAGATGAATCTCTACGGCCCTCAACTACCGCCGAGTCTCACACCCCAGACCAGCAATGTATCAAACGGCCGGAGCGGGACGAACACACCACTACGCAATGAACCAATTGTGACTGGCACGGAGACGGCAGAGGGCGCGACAGGTGCAGGCACGACCGCTGATCTACCACCCACGCATGCGGTTGAAGAGCGCTCAAGTAGCGTATCTGCTGCTTCGCCAACACCGTTCGACGCTGCAGCGGCACTGGGTCAAGACTTGAAGCAAGGTCTTGTCGCAGGAATGGGGAGATTGGGAATTGGCGGCCTCAGTCCCCGACCCAGCATGGAATCAAACAGACCATCGCCAAGGCTCAGTACCGATACGAGTGCGCAGAACGATAGGCAGAGGAGTAGAAGCAGAGGCAAGGAAACGAGAGGAGATGTGGAGGTTGAGATGCAATGATGCAAGACCCTTGATCAATTATAGAGATACATCGAAACAGTAGGCGTGAGCCTGCTCAATGATTCGAACTACGATGAAATGATACCCACGACGCTGAAGACTGTCACGATCTACAATTCATTTGATACTTGGATCTTGCTTTCATTTTTGATTGTCGCAACTCTGCATCGTTCAAGAGGCATGTCACAGATCAAGCTTAGTCGCTCAGCCTGTGTGGCGCATGCCTGAAGGGATGTTGCCATACCCTTACGCCGCAAGCAGTCCAACTGTTTTCTGTTTATTACATTGAGCTTTACTTCAAGATCCAATCAGACAAAAGTTCTCCTCCAGCTTGCATTGCATCATTTTTCAAACACAGCGACAAGTAGATTGTAGGCTAGAAGCATACACCTTCGTCAATTATGCTCGCATACACCTACCATCCAGGCTCTTCATTGCAATGCCAAATTCTCTCCCATTCGCAGCTTCGACAGAATGTCGGTGTGGGGGGCCTGGTTGTTTTTCTTGGCGCTTTCGTTGTGAGATTGTGAGCCCCGCTCCCGGCGGTCCTGGAGCTGTCAGATCTGGCACCTGTAATCAGTTCAGTCGCTTTGCGCTCTTCTCTTATTTGTTTTCATCGCGCTCATATACGATCCTAGTAGCTTTTTCACTTCTTGGTGTACGGTTCAACCCATTCACTCAGCGTTGTCTGCCCATGACGTCTCAATGCGACAGCCGCGCGCGATGCGGCGCTCTCGACGTCGTTGAACTTGTCTACCAAGGAGCATGACGTCGACATTAGAACGACTTTTAGTTCCAGAACACATGTAGCTACGCACTTGCGGTCCGCAATGTTCATGCAAACACCGCCAGAACGCATGACCAATGCGCCGCAATGTGCACAGCCATGCTCACCGCTGTCGATTCGCTAGGAGCCAGCCACAAGCGTGCCATGCCGGGAAAGGTTTTGGACCCCACGATGTCGCGCCCATTACGCATGGAGCTGGCCTGAGGCGCAGTCCAGGAACTGCAGCACCATTTGACCGCTTCTTTGCAGCTATGGACCAATGACTGACTCCAGCCACAGCATTTGACATGGGCACTCACAGTTCTGGCGGGAACAGCCACACCATCCACTGTTTCCAGTGGGGCGTGTTGCGGCGCATAGCAGACACAATCGATAGATATGTAACTATGGGCAGTGCCGTCGAAGATGCGCTTCATTGTGTTATCCAGCACTCGACAGGCTTCACCATTGCAGTACCAATAAACGTTACAACGATCTCGGCCATAATCAACCACGATGCTGTCGCCGAACAGTATTCCTTCCAAGAAGACGGGTCGGAATTTGAGCACTTGGTCCATCGACTCTGGATATGGATCGGGGATCCATGAGGATGCGAAGCTTGGTTCTATCGTGGGTTTGAGCCGTTCAAGCTTGTTGTTGGAGTTACTAACATACGACTGCCAGCTTGACGCACGTGATGTCACACCTAGAGGCAGTGTAGCAATGTCACAACCACAATCACGATCCGTTGGTCTCGGAATTAGCAGGCTTTCGAATTTGAACACCGGAGATGACATCTTGATCAAAAAGGAGGAGTGCACTTTTGCGCCTAGCACGCCGCGACTTCGGGTTTGCACGACTGTTTCCAATCCTTCTTCACCGGATCCCGTGTCGCCCGCATCGCCCTCCGAAGTCCGACGTTCGCACGCAAGGAAGTCCGCCAGCAAGCTTCCTTCGCAAGCTGTTAGACGCCTCACTGCTTGGCTCGATACCAATCGCCACCACCCATATCCAAGTGCCGAGACGAAGCAGGCATTAGCAGAGGCATGCAGTATCACTATTAAGCAAGTAACAACTTGGTTTACCAATATCCGACAAAGACAACTTAAGACGCAAGAAGACGACACAGAGAGACTCGGCAATAACCATGCTCAGATCTCACATCAAGGATCCAGGAAGGGCAAGAAGAAAGATTACAGTCGCAGTAACGGTGCCTCGCCAATTGAGGGATTTCTGTCTCCGCCACGACTTTCGCCGTCCGCCTCAATATCTGAGCACTCGTCTGGCGAAGGCGAAGCCTGGCAGTGCACTTTCTGTGGGGTTTCTTTGACAGCGAAGTCATGGCGCCGCCACGAAGAAACACAGCATCATCCCAAACACCAATGGACTTGCCTAGCCCACGGCCCAAGGATTCAACTTTCAATATCCTCGGAATCGATTTGTGCTTTCTGCGAGCTTAAAAATCCAAACGAAGACCATTTCCGCTTCTTCCACCGTATTGGAGACTGCTTGTGCAAGCCTGAACAAGAGCGAACGTTCGGCAGACCCGACCACCTCCAACAGCATGCGAGAAACTTTCATAAGTGTGATCAGCCTTTGTCGGAATTGGTACGCGATACATGGCGCAGGGATGGCCCTGGGATGATCGACAACAAAAGCTGGACCTGTGGATTCTGTCATGAAGAGCTCCGTACTTGGGATGCGAGAGCCACGCACATCGCCGGTCATTTCAAATCTGGTCTGACGATGGCTCAGTGGCGCGCCGATCGAGTATTGCAGTCGTCCCTGCCTGAAGACGATTTCCAATTCAGTGCACCAACAGCCTTGAACGCTCTTGCCAGCATGGAGGTCACGCTTGCAGGGCCATCCAATATCATGTCTGGCCCACCGAACTATGGCCGACCTCACCCCATGCAACAAATGCAGGCGCAGCCTATCCCTGCCTCCACGATGATGCCTGTTGCGACTACGGTTCCGGATTTCGATTTCGATCCTTTTGGCGCTTACTACGGCAACCCCATCGATACGTTTAACCCCTCGTTGCCCACCTCCGCATCTTACTACCCAGTAGTCAGTAACGTGCCAGCTGCAGCTCAAAACGGTGTTGTTTCCCCCATGGACTATGGCGTTATTGGTTTCGATGAGTTCGGCGCCCCTGTGTACGACATGAGTGGCATGCACTCATGGTAGCGGTTTCACTCTGTTTTTCGGCGTTTTTATACCCTGGGTATAGACTATAGATGGGCATGGCTGGTTTAGAATGGACAAATTGGCGTTCATTCACATGCACCTCTCGTAGCGGAACTACTTCCAACAATGAACTCTTTCAAGAAACGTTCAGAACTTGCAGTCACTCAACAAGAATACATACACAGGAACTTCTGTCTCTCGGCGCACTACTCACCCGGCAGACGGCAGCACCTTCGGGACCCGGAGCAAGCAATCTACTTTGTACTTTGGCGACAGCCGCAGCCGTGCCTTATCCGCTAGCGCCGGTAGTGGAAAGACGCTACAGTACCTACTCGCCTCGAGCGCAGCAAGCGATACACGCCGCGGAACGGCACTCCATCCTACCAGAGCTGCAGCCTGACCATCTTCCCAGCAACCAATATTCCAGCAGAATGGAACTCACGCTATGGTCTGTCCGTCAGCACATAGTGTAACGTAACACTACGTGCCCCGCTACACGTGTCCTACGGAAATGCCTTAGAGAGGTGCAGATGCTTGGAGGAAGGTTGTCCTACCGAAGTTGCCGCGCTGTAGGCGAGAACCGCTTGTAAGCGTTTCGAATCTTATAAACCAGACTGTATCAGCAGAGCATCGGAAGATGCACTCTACGTGAATGTGGATCCAGTTCCAGACTGTGGGGAATGTGGGGCGTTTGCCTCGTATCAACGAGACCACATCCCAACGGGCCGAGGGTTGTTGATGCTAGACAAATGCACGCAAAGCGAATGATCATGATCAAGGGAACGCTATGGGTTCATGTTGTCGTAATATATACAATATGCAAAGTATGCTAGGGTAGCGAGAGCGATGATGCTCATGGCTTCAGCATATCCTCGTCAACCTCCCAGTCGTCCCATGTAGGCTTGTCGTAGCCGTTTGGTCGTGAGCTGCGCAAGAAGCCGTTCCAATACCCCTCGATGTCCACAACGGGCTTGATAGTCTTCACCTCCGCGTCGAATCCTTTGCTGAAGCATGCTTGCATGTGCCGTGGCTCGAATAGTTCGGGGTGTGTCCTTCTCATCGTCTTCAGAGCCCGCTTTCCAACCTCGTCAACTGAGTCGTTGTGTCGCAGTCCAAAGAACTCAGCATCGTGCTCCTTCCGCAGCTCCGCCATCATCTCATCATCGTACAGCCCAAGCTGGAGCAGATATATGTCATATTGCACGAGCGAGGTAGTGCCGATGTAGCTGCCGCCAGACTTCGCGCGTCTGTAGAGTCCAACAAGTGCTGCAATTGTGCCCATGCATCCTGTTCCGTAGTCGCTCATGGGGAAAGGTGGCACAACAGGCTCCTGTAGACCCATAGCGTGGCCTTGAGCCCAGGCAACACCAGACACGCAATCTGCAATCTGTTGCCAGCCAGGCCTGTGTGCCCAGGGTCCAACGTGCCCAAAGCAGTTCTCGGCGACGTACACAAATCCGCGTCCCCGCTTCTTGGCGAGTTGCTGTAATTGCTCCGGCCCATAGCCCATACGATTGAGGCTTCCAGGCCGGTATCCATCGAGAACAACGTCGGCGGATTGGAGTAGTTGCTCAAAGACCTCGCGGTCCTTCTTTTCCTTGAGGTTCATGTCTGTGGTATGTTTACCAATGTTGGCGTCGACCTGAAAGAAGGGAACATCTGACAGATGAGGCGCTGTAACTTTGATGACTTCAGCTCCGTACTCAGCCAGCCCACGGCCCATGGCTGGTCCTGCGATGATCCTGCAAAGCTCGAGCACCCGGATTCCGGCGAGGATTTGGGGCTTCGGTGCAGCCGAAGACTCGAAAGGGAACGGGGTGGGAGGGGTCTCACTCTCCAGCGCCTCAACCTTCCATGGTGGTTGCTGAAGAAGGACCTGTCCGTGCTCTGTTGCTTTGAAGTCGTCCCACTTCAGGCAAGTAACACCTGCTTGCTTGATCTGTGCATTCATCTCCTCAAGCTCGTCAAGCGTAAACTGCTTGACATGATCTTCAATGATCTTAATGCACTCATGATAGTCGGTAAGGTCAGGACGATGTCCTTCCAGGCCAATCATGTTCAGTGCCTTGGTAGCTTCCAGAGAGCCATGGAGATGGAAATACTCGCCAGGATTCTTTGTCTCGTACAGGTTGGCTGATAGTCTGCGGTATTGAATTGACTGCGCCTGTAGTAGATCCGTGTCTAAGCATATTAGCTGACTACGTCTAGAAGCTTGCTGAACAAGACCCACCTTTCAAGAGCTTCTTCACCTTCGGGTGCGCTTTGTCCATGCCGCCAACAGTCGCCAGGTAGGTCGAGAAGAGGAATGCTGTGGCCCTCTCTAAATCCACGTCGATGCTTCGTGTTGTGGGACCATCTTTGAGATCGGCTATCGCAGAAGCTACGCCTGCCTCCACAGCTTTAAGTGCTGTGATAGCTTCAGTCTGCTTGAGTGGACTGGGAAAGTACGGGCTTCCTGTGTTTGCTGTTGAGAAATGGATCCTTGAGATGTGAGGCAGTGCTTCTTTAGGAAGGTTATCTTTTGCACTTGCTAGCAATCGCTCGAGGGCTGCTTTCGTGCCATTGAGCAGACTGTAGAGGTGAGATGCTTCATTGCTTCCATTGCCGTCAGATCCAAGATAAGGTGTCATATTGTGAGCCAGTTGAAACAAGACGGGCGCAAAACGTGAAGTCCAGGAGACAAATGCTTAGGACAGGTCGAGGAAAGGGACTAGAAGTGGATTTGAACAGCGGGAAGCCGTTGGGGGCTTTCCGACAATCCTGCTTAGCGACAAGATCAACATCTCGTGGCAAGCAATTTCGGATACTAGCCGCAGCCTACGTGCAACCGCCACACAAGCGTCCGGTTGGGCTCGCCCTGTAGGTGAGGCGGACTTTGGGTCGCCTCGGCAATGCTGTGGCACGTGCACGGACAGAGCGCGGGCGTCCAGGTTGTGGTTCACAACCACAAAGGCGCCTGCCTGCGTTTGTCTCTGGCATCGACGATTCGCCGGACGCAGCAAGCACCGCCAGGGTCGCAGCGCCCCTCAGTCGTCATTCCTGAAGGGGAAAGTGCGTTACGGGCCATTCTGTGCGATCTGACTGCCCAACTCAATTCGTCGTCCCTCATCCGACACTCACTTCACCCATCCGAAGCATCGTCTCAGTATCAAGCGTTTCACGTGATGATCGTGTAATGTCCATATCCGCGGACCATGACGCGCCCAAAGGTACCTCCTGGTTAGTGCGCGTCTCCGGAACAATTGCTCAATCAGTACTGATATGGCCGTCTGCAGAGCAGCGACAGCGTACGGCTCAGGCATGCGAGAGCTGTAAGAGGAGGAAGCAGAAGGCGAGTCGCTCCACCCCTGCACAGCGAATATACCCCGGTCACGCTCGCCTTACGACTGATTGAACTATGATTCATTCATTGGATTATGAATTGATGCCCTTGCTTCTCGAATGGTTCTGCTGCAGCAGGCTTGTTGTTGAGTTGTGTCCTGGTTATCGTCGCGAACATTGCTGAAGTGGGTCCTGGTCCTGAGCTAACATAACAACAAGTGCAACGGTCTTTGTCCGTGTAACACATGTGAAAAGGTATTCATCTTTCTTATTGCAGGCCGCGTTGCATTTCTTCACTCTGGGCATCTCCACGCGACCCACAGCTCTGGGAGCGACCCACAGCTTTGGGACAGCCCTGGAGTGTCACTACCTTGCCGCATCTTGGCACAGTACATCAATTCGTGTTTCGCATCTTCAAGGTCAATGCTTACGATGTTAGCGAAGCTTTAGCTGCATATACACGGATCGTGAACCTGGCTCTCCTACCGATAGTGGTCCACCTACCAAAAGGCGGGCAGTTCAGGATGGTGAAATCGAAAGCCCGTATGCAGACGACAACTCTAGTTCAAAGACACCAAGCAATGGCAACCACCACCCCTCGCCCCTGGCTCCAGTCAGGCGAAAATCTTCGGTTGCCAATCGTCCGGCCGCAAAAAACCAAGAGGCGCATTCGAACCTCCTGAAGCATGAGACAGCTTTAAAGTCGCCTGGAGCCAGACCAAGTATCGAAGCAGTCAGCGCATTTCAACAGCTACCAACAAGTAACGCGAGTGGCGAGCATCTACCCGCAAGATCACGTGGAACCACTGTTGGCAGTGGCCCCGAAGAGGAGGCCATCATCTACAGTCAGAGCCGAATGTTGCAAGACCCTACTGGTCGAGTCCTCTACATAGGAGACTCGGCAACCTTGTCGTTTCTTCAACTTTTGCGCATGATGGTAGAGACTGTTGCTGGGGCATCAGCCTTCACCAATGATCCTCGGCGGCACAAGATAGTCGAAGGACAATATTCCCTTGCTTCCGGCTTCAGGCACACTCATCTGCTCCCCGATATGCAGACTGCGCATGTGCTTGCTGACGCTTTCTTCATCAACACCCATGGGCTACTCCAAGTGTTCGAACGAGATCGCTTCCTGGAAGACATGGAGGCCTGCTATTCAGATCCATTCCAAGTACAACCTCCGTGGCTGTGTCTTTTGAACATGGTGTTCGCAATCGGGCTGACGATGGCCACCCCCCTCTCAGGCAGCCCCGAGGCGCTTATCATTGACAAGCTTCGTAGCGAACACCTTGACCGAGCAGAGGTTTTCTATTTGAACGCCAAATCGCTGAACGATCCTATGAACGGTCTAGAAGACCAGGACTTTTGGTCTGTGCAGGCTTTGTTGCTCATGTCTGTTTACATGCTTGCCAAGTCCAAACGAAACACCGCCTTCGCTCTGCTGGGCATGGCGGCTCGATCTGCACACGCACTTGGTCTACACAGAGAAGAGACGATGGTGATTTTCACACCAGAAGAGCAGACACAGCGAAAGAACTTGTGGAGATCGATTTTCGTTATTGATCGCCTGCTTTCTTGTTCGCTTGGCCGACCTACCGCCATCTCTGAAGACGATTGTTCGGGAGATACCCTTCATCCCTCCGAGGCGTCACCCGAACAGTCATTTGCAATGAACCAAACGCCTGGCTTTGAAGAAACCGGTCCTTGCGCGTTGGAGGCTGCTGTGCGCAGCTGCTCCGTGATTGGTGTCATCCTGCGGAAGGTTTATCAGCAACGCAAGATCAGTACACGTCTAGCACAGGAAATCGCTGATATCTGCAAATCATGGCCACGCGCACTCCCTTCCATCCTACATTGGAGACAGGCAGCGAACGCGTCGCCAAGTCAAGGTGTTGCGATTCTGCATGTCAACTTGTTTTACTGCCACTCCATCATTCTACTAACACGGCCGTTCTTCCTGTACATTCTCAATCTAGAGACGCAGCGACATGTCAACCAGTCACAGCCTGGAATAAGAGGACCGAGGCCATATCTGCGCATGGAGAAGTTCAGCGAAGCGTGCGTCATCGCCTCAACGCATACCATTCTCCTCGTGCAGAATGCGTATGATGCAGGCTACCTGTCACGACGAAACCCAGCAGTGATCTACTTCCTCTTTGCGGCAACACTCGTGATACTTGCCAATGAGTTCGCTGGGCTCTACCGAGTGGATGCTGCCGATACGTGCATTCTCAACGCTGTCAGCGTCATGAACTACTGTGCTGAGAGTGATCAACAAGCCAGCCGCCTTGTCTACATTCTCAGCACCTTCCGCGACGTCGTGGCCCAGCAACGCATGAACCGAAAGCAGAGCCAATCCGATAATGTGAATCTCCCTAGCATCTCGTCGCAACTCTACGGCGTTGCAGCGCCGACCCAGCAACACACCCAAGGTCCTAGTGCAAGCCTGACAAGCTCCACGGATCCCATGGGCACAACCGCCCGGCTGCATCAAGTGCCTATCCACATCTATCCTGGCATGCAGACTGCACCCCTTGATGCAACTCCACCGGCATTCCAACCACCCCACCACGCGCATGCAAACTCGCTGCCACACTTGAACCACAACCAGCTTTCGCCGCCCCAAACGGACTTCTCTGTGCATCTCTCGCCGATCCAGGACCCACCTGCTAGCGCAGCCGGCTCTGATACGTACATGCTCGGTGCGTCCGGTGTCAATTCGCCATCGAAACCGCCTAGTCTGAGTACCATGCTAGATCTGAGTGCACTGGATAACACACGGGTACCGAGTCTTCATAGTGAGGAGAGTGGGCTAGACGAGCACATTGACTTCGATGCATTGTGGGCGTGGCCGAGTAACACGCCGGCAATGGGAAGTCCTCGACCAGGCGCTGAGGGAATCACGAATACAGTAGGACTGGGTGCGATCGGTGGCGGTGGGGAAGGAGCGCCGGTGCCACTTTTTGGAGTCAGCCACGAAAGGCCAGGGGACAGAGAGTAGCCTTTGGGTCGTGGTCGTGATTGTGATGGAGCGTTATTGGGTGATACACGAGGGCACGACCGGCGGATGAAGCGTCAGGAGATCGTCAGCTCGACGGATCAGGGAACTAATACACACTCAATACCATAGCTGGTAGCAAAGAAGGTCTAGTATTGTAGAAGTAAGACAACCGGGGTATTTCCAACGCAAGTGCAACATTGTCGCTCCCTAAACTCCGTATATGCAAAGCCAAGTCCTCGAGGCGGAGAAGACGATCTACTCGCGCCACTCTTTCGCGCACTTGGTGCACTTGTAGAAGGCCGTCATGGGCTCGTCGGCACTGCGGATCTGCAGCTGATACCAGTACGCCTGATCGTTGCGGCACTTTTCGTTCGGACATTGCACTGCGCACCGTTAGCATCTCACGCTCTTCTCTCCCATGCAGATACTCCAAACATACCTTCCGTCTTATCGACATTGTCCCACGCGCCCTTCCCACCCAGGATGTCCTCGACCTCCTTCTTCTTGAGGTACTTGCGCTCGTAATAGCGCTTGTTGATGACGAAGTGGTACGGGCACGTCAGACACTCGAAGCGGTTCTGGCCCACGTACTGCTCGATGGTCGGGTCGCCCGGCGGGACGCGGCTGACGCGCAGCATGTTGCTGCAGGTTGGGCAGACTAAGAAACCTGGTTAGTGGTGCTGCTATGGAAGCAGTACGAAGGGGTCTTACAGAGCAGCATTGCGGGCAGGCGTCGAGGTGTTGACTTTGAGCACTTTGTCGTCGGCACGGGCTGTGGGTGTGGTGTGACGGCTATGAGAAAGTTACAGTGGACCCTGGGCTAGGCCCGAAGGGGGAGCGCGGGGCGGCGGAGGGGACGCGGGCGTCTGAAACATTGCGCGTTGTCTCACCGCAAGCAAAGAGCGAACTCAACCTCAGCACTGCACTCTGCCTCGATTGTCGTTGAGCACTGCCTGCTTCTCCCCTGCTCGGTGCATGCTGCAGCAGTCGACCCATCGCCGCCGCGTACCCCGCTAAACAACAACACTTGCAGTCACCATGGCGGACGAAGATGTTAGACTTGACAAAAGTGAGGCGTGCGAATGCTTGCTGAAGTACACAGGGCGCGTCTCCCCGCGAGCTTATCCTCGAAGCGTGTCGCCGCAACAACACGGATCTGCTGGAAGAAACAATCGCCGACCTCGCCTCAGCGGCCTCGAAACACGGCAAGCAGCCTGCTGAGCACGTCGCGCGGGTGCTGAACGAGGCACGCGACGGCGTGGGGAACGGGTGTCTGCACGTCGCCGCCACGTACGGGAGCTGTGCGTCCCTCCTCCCCCCTCCGTTGCCAGCTGCCATGGAGCGTCACTGACCCGCCGCAGACGAGGTGCTCGACATCCTGCTCGACCAGGAGGGCCTCGAGATCGAGCTGACGGACCGCGTCGAGGGCGACCTGCCGCTGCACAAGGCCGCGCGCTACGCCAACTCGCTGGCCAAAGCCGAGTGGCCCGCCGGCACGCCCATTGTCGAGATCCTGCTCGACGCCGGCTGCGATCCGCGCAAGCGCAACAAGGCCAAGCTGAAGCCGTTTGAGCTGGTCGACCCGCGGAATACGCAGCTGAGGGAGGTGCTGCGCAAGGGCGAGGTGGCTATGATGATGGGCGGGGATGTGGTGGAGGATGATGGGGGGCCGACGGGGAGCGCGAGTGATAGTGATTGAGCGGTGGGTGTGAAGGGGGAACGACGGTATGGCTATGTTTCGCAGTGGACGAGCGTGCAATTTTAGAGCGTGTGCATAGTTATACATGACCCGTAGAGTTGTCTTCCCAAGCACTACTGCGTTGTCTGCGGCGGTTAGTTGCAACCATTACGTCGCTCGAATGTCTTAGCGTACGCTGCTGATGCTCAGATGCCAGGCGCCCATGTAGTCAAAATCTCCCCTTCGCTCGCGCTGGTGCATCGCCGTGCCCGCGTGGGTATCATTGTCCTTCTTTTCACTTTCTCAAAAAGCCTGCTGCGTCCAAGTGCATCGCGACCCTCACTCCTGGGTCTGTCCCCCCGTCAACCACCACCTCGAAACACACTTTTCATTCACTCACCTCTGGCGGGGGCCCAACTGGTCTGACCATCCTCTCCAGCAGCTGCACCCTTGTCTTCTCCCTTGACTGGCCTAGGCCGATGCTCATGTACTGTAGTAGCGGCGGGTGGCCAACGTACGAAGAGAGCGAGTCGCGTGCGATGTTGGACGTCCATTCGTGTCTTGTGGTGTCTGCGGAGCCGATGCCGATGTAGCGCGCCTGGAGCGCTTCGAGCTGCTGCTGTGCGCGGAGCTTGTCGGCCATGATGTTGATGCGGTGTGTGTTGCCGTTGTGGTTGTTGTGCAGGTTGAAGTCGAGCCGGAGAAAGGCTGGCACGCATCTTATCGATAAGGGACGCGACCAGACCGTCGCGACCAGGGCAACCTCTTGTCGCAACCTACACCACCCACGCCCCTCGGATTCCTACACGAAGCAAACCCTCACATCATTGTCGCATTACCGCGCTCTATCGTGCAGTCACAACAATGGCCGACACGGACATGTCCACCCACCCCAGACTCCCGACCCCCGGGCTCTCCTCATCTCCCACATCCCCCGTAATCGACTACTCGCCACACACCGTCCCCTACAACGAGGCCTTTGAAAACGACCTGATGCGCGCCATTCTCCACGGCTCGCCTCACCCGTCACCCAGAAGGAAGACCGAAGACCCGCCCATGATCTCCGCTGCCGACCTGCCCATCCCCGTCACCTCGCACCTGCGCACCCACTCCTCGCCCATACCGGGCCTGTTCCTGACGCACGTCAATGGATACCACACCGGAGGGATAGGGCCGAGCGCGCACGTGGTGCATGATTTTGCGCGCGGGTTCGTGGAGGAGCGGGGGCTTGGGGCGGGGGATGTAGGGGGGCTGGAGAGGGCGGTGCGGGGCGAGATGGAGGGCAGGATTGAGGACGTGAGGAGCAGGATGCGAAGACGAGAGGTTGTGGTCAAGGAGAACGAGAGGTTGCAGAAGGAGTTGGAGGGGTTGAGGCTGGAGAGGCAGGCGGAGTTGAGGGTTATGGAGAAGTTCAAGGGGAAGCGCTGAGGTCTGCCGCGATGGTCGGTGCGTTTTTGCGGCAGAGTGAAGGGGGGGGGGGGGGGGGGGGGACTACGAGCCGTGGACACCAGGCGGTTCGCATGCAGCTCAGGGCCTTGGGAGGCATCGGAGGTACCTGGGGGCATGGGTGCGCTGGTGTACAGAAGACTACTTGTTCAAGAGCTGAACCAAGTCTCAGACGGTACGACACACAGGTCTTCGATATATGGAGGTGCAAGTGGCACAAGTTCTGGGCAATAATTGATCGATTGCCTGGCAGTTTTAGTTTCAAGGAGGATTTCTAACAGTAAAACCCGTCCCAATAGAGCAATTATTGTATTCTCATTTCGGATCTTGCAAACAGCAAACTACATGTTCATGTTGACTGACTTGAATGCTCGATAATAGGACGGGATGCCCCGTAGCTCGAAGCTATGGCCAACAACGTCATACTTCCATGATCACAACCAAGTACGACCTTTGACGCCCAACGGCACTCTATGCAAGGGCACATCATTGCTACATTGGAGCTCTTCATCCTGTCACGCAGCGATGGAGATGGCGCCACGAACGCGGCTGCCGCCCCAAGCGGTGTTCAGTGGCCGCGATTTCCGCATCACCAGTCCCCCCACCGCGCACGTCTCCTGGGGAAATCTTTCTTCTCGACAACACCAAGTCGCATGACACCAACCACCGAACATGCCTCCTTCACCCGCACCCACAACTAAGAAGTCGAGTAGCAAGCTTGCGAGCTTGGCTTGGTTCGTCTTCAAGTTGGGCTTCGGGCTGTTCAGCCTTGCATCCACATGGATCGCTGTTGCGTTGAAGAACGGCGTTTTCCAGCCCCAAGACACAGAGGAGGAGAAGCTAGAGCTGGCGGCTGGTAGGTTTTATATCCACTGCAAGTCCGACTAGCACTGACAGTACACAGCGCAGCAGAAATACTGGAGCCTCGATCGCGAACCGCTTCCAGGCTTCAGACACGCCTTCTTCACGACCTCCGCCGGAGCAAAGCTCCACTACGTCGTCAACGCGAATGCCGACGCCCCTCCATCGCGAAACATCGCAGTCTTCGTACATGGCTTCCCCGACTCGTACTTGCTGTGGCGGCACATCCTGCAAACCCCCGCATTGCAGCAAGCGCATACTCTTGTCGCTTTCGACCTGCCTGGTTACGGCGGTAGTGATAGCCTGCCGAACTATGGGCCCAATGAGGTGCTTGAAGCAGTAGCTGAGTTCATCGTCGCTGCGAGGAAGCAATTCCTGCAACAGGACAGGAAGTGCGTGGTCGTGAGCCATGATTGGGGAGCGCTCATTTGCGCCAGGCTTGCGTCTGAGGCGGGGGAGCTTGCTGATCGCTGGATCACCACAAGCGGTATCATTGTAAGTTATGAGGTTGTTATGATGAATTAAAACATGCTGACTTCAACAGCCTCATGCGACTGTCAACAACGCCACTTCACAATGGACTCTGGCGCGTCAAATGCTGCACACGTGGTCTAGTCATCCTCTCAACACTGCTCTTCTCAAGAACGCTCTACGGGCGTTCAAGCCAGTAATGTCGCAGTTTAAACGCTCCTTCTACATCTTTTGCTTCCACTTGCCTCCGCCATTGGACTCTTTCTTCACAACCTTCGGTAACTATTGGTTCCTGCGTGTTACGCACAATCTTGGTCTTGGCCCGCATGAGAAGGACGAGGATGTAACGAAGAGACTTGATCCAAAGGCTGCCGCAGAGGCTATGTGCATGTCCACTGGCCCTGCTTTAGCACAGTTATCTGACAAAGCCACTGGGGGACCTTCAGATCGATATGGCGAGTCTGTACGACGAAGGGTCAAAGATCGTGGCATGTCAGAGAAGATCAGGATCTACCGCGAAGGCCTGTTCATTGGACGATGGGAGAAGTCCCTCGAACTTACTGCTGCGCTGTACGAACTTCGCTCCGGCAACGATCGAGGTTCCAGCATTGCTCCCAGAGGTGCACTCAAGGCGCCAACTACGCTCGTGCTTGGAGAGCATGATCCGGCGTTTGATTCGAAACTGGCACTTGATAATGTGAAGGAATATCTAGTGAAGGGGAGTCAAGTGCTGATCGTCAAGGACGCAGGGCATTGGATGCCTACAGAGCCTACGGCTCGGGTGGTTTTGGAGCAATTAGCACTGTGGGCTTTGAGTGAGGATTCAAGGGTCGCAAATGCGACGCCTTTCGCCGGGATGCTCAACTTGAAGGTCATCGAGGAGCTTTGATCGGGTCTTGGAGTCCCAGCAGGCTGCAATGTATTCTCCGACACATCCGCCATCAGTCCCAAGTTGAGGTAATTTTATGTCAAAGACACTGACCGGCTTTTGGCTTACACAATCCAGCTGCACTTCTCAACAGTCTGGTCCTGTGTCTTAGGAGTGATGAGGGTTTCTTCGCTCACTTCTTACGGAAAGAGCCAGGGATGTCAGCCAATGGAAATTACCAGCTCGGATTTCCAGCAATGCAAAGCTACCCAAACGCTCGAATAATAGAATGTGTCCGTGACCGTACAAGGCAACCCGTCCCACAGCTAGTGTCCGGTAAACGGCGGTTAATTGAGGTGATATCCACGAGGTCCCGCTCAGGTCAGCAAAGCAGCGAATCAAATGCCACCGCACACGGCTCCCGGCCTGCACGAAGATCAGAGAACAAATGACTGAGGACATTGAACGTCAAGCTGCATAATCGTCAAACTTGGTATCTCGTACCCCTCACTGCCCCACCACCAGCAAGCCTTTTCCACGCAGATGAGTGATTTGTTGAGCCGTCCCGAGATCGCCGACACCAACAGTTGCAAGTATAAAACTGGAGTCCCAGCCTACCTCTCAAAGTTTCTCATCCCACAATCAGATCAATCAATTTCACCACCTTACCTTCCAAACCAACAACAACCGGTACGATGCCGTGAAGGAAGCTGTCGGGGTTTCATACCCCTCCTCTTCGCCTTCCGGGTTATCAGGATCAAGTAACGTCGATATGACATCGTCAGGTATTTTCTCGAATCTGAAGCATGCATGGCGGGTGTTCAAGCTCGTTACTTAGCCGTCGTGTCTGTCCGAGAGCTCAACACTCCAGGCAGACACGGCGGTTCGGTGATGGGCTTGTTCTGAGATTATACCGTTTAAACTTGATCTGGATAATTCCAGCGAAAGGACAAGCTGCTTCTTGAACCCCTCCCCCGCGCCTCTGGCGTACTGACCTTCCTAGCTTCGCGTGAATCAAGCCAAGATGTCTACTGACAAGATCACCTTCTTGACCAACTGGTCTGTCAACTTCTGATCTACAGGAAACAGAACTGATGCCATACAGGCACGCCACCCCGTACCACGCCCCCCTCTACCTCGCCCAGAGCAAGGGCTACTTTGCCGACGAAGGCATCAAAGTCGCGCTCCTCGAGCCCAACGATCCCAGCGTACCCTTCCCTCCCCTCTCGCTCACCACTCTTCTAACCCCCTTAGGATGTCACTGAGATCATCGGCTCGGGCAAAGTCGATCTCGGCTTCAAAGCCATGATCCACACCCTCGCCGCCTCCGCGCGCGGCTTCCCCGTGACCTCCATCGGTTCACTCCTCAACGAGCCCTTCACCGGTGTCGTGTACCTGACCTCGTCGGGCATAACCCCGGACTTCACGACCCTGCGCGGCAAGAAGATCGGTTACGTGGGCGAGTTCGGCAAGATCCAACTCGACGAGCTGACCGCGCACTACGGCATGTCGCCCGCAGACTACACCGCCGTGCGCGTCGGCATGAACGTCACCAAGGCCATCATCTCCGGCACCATCGACGCCGGCATCGGCCTCGAGAACGTGCAGATGGTCGAGCTGGAGGAGTGGCTCGCCGCCCAGGGCCGCCCGCGCTCAGACGTGCGCATGCTGCGCATCGACGAGCTGGCGCAGCTCGGCTGCTGCTGCTTCTGCAGCATCCTGTACATTGGCAACGATGCGTTTCTCGCCGCCCACCCCGAAAAAGTGCGCGCGTTCCTGCGCGCGTGCAAGCGCGCCACGGATTTCGTGCTGGCGCAGCCCGAGGCCGCGTGGGCCGAGCTGGTCGACTTCAAGAGCGCGCTGGACTCGCCCACGAACCGCCGCATTTTCGAGCGCAGTTTTGCGTATTTCTCGCCCGATCTGCAGAACGTCAAGAGGGACTGGGAGAAGGTGGCGCGGTATGGCAAGCGCTTGGGCGTGCTGGAGGAGGCGTTTGTGCCAAACTATACGAATGAGTATCTGCAGTGGGGGCTCGAGGCGGATAGTGCGGATCCCACGGGAGACCAGAAGAGGATGGTGGCGTTGCAGGAGGATGTCAAGGAGCAGGGTGGGTTTAAGCGGCTTGAGTCGGTGGCGGCTAAGACTATTGTCGGTGCTGCTGCTGTGAAGGAGGTGTAGATGGACTCTCCCGCTTACTCCGGATATGTGAGCATGAAGTATCATCAATAAACCAGTCACTCGTTTATGTTTTCATCCAAGACTGCCTCAGTCTGGGGAGTGGGTGTGCAAGGTGTGAAGAACAACACCTGAAGTTGTAAGCTGACTCGGCAACAAGGTCTTGAATACCAATGATCCATCACGAATGGAGGCAACAAGACCTGTGATGAAAGCAATATATTTGAGAATAGCGTTGCATCTAACATCTACAAATAGGCAATCAACTTCAACAGCGCCCTAGCAACGCCCAATACCCAAAACCGTCGATTTCTCAGACGGACATCTTATGCAAAACTCCGCCGCTTATGCTGATGCTGATAAGGCTTTCAGAAAGAGGGTATATCGCATCAAATCGCTTGCTCGCTCTAGCTTCATCGAAAGAATGTCGCACTGATGCACGCTAGGAATGTACCTGGCACCGAGGGGCGAGAGCATTCCACGCCACGACAACACTGTGAACTCCAGCTCTTCCTGAATTCTCAACTTCTTGTTGCCGGCAACGAACTGCAACACTCACTCATGTAAGAGGAGGAACCATGTTCAGAAGCCTTGTCACGTCGCTCGCCGCCATTTGGCTGTTCTGCAAGCTGCGGACTTGACTACCCTTGCGCAGTCGCTGGAGACCAAGCGCAAGTTTCCAGCTCTCGGACTCGTCGATGAAAAAGACGTACTTCTTGCCGTCAGCGTCACGGATCGAAGCCCGGAGGATGTGTAACCCTTTCGTAGGCTGGGTGCCGGTCTACGCAAATGTTAGCAGGTCAACGCGCAGCATACTTGAAGAGACCTACCTCGACTAGTTTCAACGTCCAGGCCTTTACGTCCCATTCACGCTGCGGGATGTTGCGTACGTCGTCATCAATAAAGAGACCCTCGGACTGAACCCTCAAAATCAATCCATCGGTTACCTTGCCAACACCGGCCACCAGCTGCGCCACTGGCTTTGGGAAGAGGTCGTTGAAAAGATACACCGCTTTGATGACGATCTTGTTTGGATCGGCGGTCGAGTACGGTCCCCGCTCTGATGGTGGTGGTGATGTTCGGGAGGTTGAAACCGACTCAGCATAAGAAGACTCCGAGTATACGGAAGACACATGTGAGCGTGATGCACTTGATCGTGCGTCTGTACCGAAATAGGATTTCGCGCTGGGCTGCTCATAAGTCTTCTTGGGCGCGACAGTGGCCTTGATGGGTGAAGAACGCGTGGATGTGACTGAGGGCGAAGGAATAGGAGGGCTTCGAGCGCCTGCATACGGGTCGAGGCGCTCGCCACCGCCAATGCCACCGTATGTTGTTGATCTTCGGCCTGTATCCGGTACTGCTGCAGCAGCGGCCTCTGCGGCCTCTGCCTTGATCTTGTCGGCTTCTGCTTTGAGTCGCGCCTCACGGTCGCGCTGGGCTCGCTCTCTTGCAGCCTTGAGTCGTTCAGCTCTTTCAGCATCAGCCTTCACCTTAAGGGCGGCAGCTTCGGCAGCAGCCTTCTCTCTCGCAGCTGCAGCTTCTGCAGCGGCCTTCTCATCCTCAGCTTTCCTGGCTGCTTCTTCGGCTTCCTTGGCCTTTTGTTCAGCCGCCAACTTCTCCCTGATTTCTTTTTCAATGGCTGCTCTTGCCGCGTTGTCGCGAGCTTCGCGTTCGGCGTCTTCTTTCTCCCGCTGTTCTTGCAGTTTCTTGGCCTTCTCTTTGGCGAGTCTCTCACGAGCGTCGCGCTCGCGTTGTTCCCGCTCGCGCTGCCTCATCTTTTCCCACTTCTCTTTTTCTGCTTTTGCTCGAGCTTGTTTTGCAGCCTCCTCTTTGGCCTTCTCTTCTTCTTCGCGTTTCTTTCTTGCTTCTTCTGCTTTCTTCAGCTCTTCCCAAGCCGCCTTTCTCGCCACTTCATCTGCAATTTTCTTTGCTTCCTCGGCAAGTTTTCGTGCCATCTCTTCCTGTTTCCGCCTCGCTTCTGCCTGTTTACGCTCTTCCTCAGCTCGTTTGCGATCTGCTTCTTCTCTGGCACGTCTTGCTTCATCCTCTCTTCTTTTTGTTTCGGCCTTTCTCTTCTGCTCCTCTTCTGCACGTTTTCGCTCCTCAGCTCGTTTGCGCTCATCATCAGCCTTTTTGCGCTCCTCGGCACGTTTGCGCTCGTCCTCAGCTTTGGCCTGTTCTTGCTTAAACGTGGACTCGGCGTCTTCAGGAGGTGGCGATGACGCACCATATTGTTGATAACCACCCCATCCTCCTTGCGCACCCTGTGGTGGAGGGGCACCAGCACCAGGGAAACCTCCGTTCGGTGGCGGCGAGGCACGCTGGTAACCAGCTCCTGGACCAGATGTACCAGCGCCGGCGCCGGCGCCTGTGCCACTTTGAGGTCCATGGTCTGAGCCAAAGGCACCAAACTTGCCTCCGCTCTGTAGTTGACCGAAGACCCAGCCTGCGATACCAACGAGTACTACCAGCAGTATCACGCCATTACCACCGGATGACACGCCCTGTGTGACGAGCTGGCAGTACTGCTTGATCTGAGGCTCTATTGTTTTCCATACAGCAATGCTGGCAAGTGTGCTGGCTATGCCAGCCATGAAGCTATTCCGCTGCACCTGCAGGCTGGGAAGATACACGAACCCACCTCCTGACGAATGAGGTGGTATGATGAAGATATCGTAGTTCCCTGGAGGTAAGCCACTACCACCGGTACTGCCACCCCCCGGCGGTGCATGGCTACCTCCTGTTGTTTTGGGATTCTCGCCATGCTTCGGTGGTGGGGGCGGTGGTGGAGGACCGGACATGACGGCGTATGCCCGTGAGGGCGAGGAATGCGATCCCGGTCGACGTGCTGTGGGGAGGTTGGTCGCGGTGGGCAGACGTGGTGTTACTCAGGCCGTTGGGCGGTGTGTGCGAATGTGGAGGTGCGTTGGCAGCAGGGCATCAACAGGCGCAGCTTGCGGGGAGGAGCAGCTGGTCTGAGCTCGAAATTGTGGGTGCACTGTATATAAACAGTCGTCAGAACCCCATTGAGAGCAATTGCAATGTATTCCGGCGTTGAACTGTGTTCAAAACAGGGTCAAGCATGGGTACAGATTTTGTGGTGCGAGCTGTTCTTTCCTCGGCGTCGCTCTGTTTACTTTTGTCTGTGCCTACCTATTTTAGCGCGGCGCGGGCCGCCATGCACCAGCGTCATCCCCAGGCTTCTGGGCCAGTCATATTGTAGCACCCTAACTTTTGTCTAACAGCGCGGCTTATTCGTTGCGTCTCCCTCCTTTTCATTCGAATTGCGAGAGAATCACACAACACTCGTCAAGACTCGCACAGCAGCGAGGGCGTGTTTGTCCACTCAACACGCCAACCCAACACGTCGCGCGTTCCGGCAGCGCCGTTCACAAGCAGGAAGCTGCAGCACCCAGCAGCAATGCCTCGCACTTTGACCGAATCGAGAATTCCCTCACGGCGTGATTCGACTCAGCACGCTGCATGAGTACGCGGCAATGCTTCATTCGCCCAGTTGCGGTGAATTGTGGGGATGGAGACGCGGAGCCGCCCCACCGCAGCAATGTTTGGATCTCGCTACAGCACGGTCCGCAGCACTGTCAACCAGACGTCCAGTTGCCACGGTGTTTGTATATCAACGGTTTCTGGGATGACGTACGTTGGGGGTGAGATTATACCTTATTACCAACATTGAGTCTGACAACACAAAGAAGTTATCTAGGATTTTGCAGCCAATCTTATCCAGAATTGAAGGCAGCTCCTGACTACACGATGGAGAGCAACACCTTTTGGAAAGATTTCACATCCGACAGCGATACAGATCAGAATGACGGTTTGTAAGCCAGCCTTTCCTGAGCGGTGGTAGCTTGAGTGCAACACCTATCTCAGTGAGTCCACGTCGTGGACCGGTCGAATACATGAAAGAAGCCTGGTTGCTCACAAGCCTTGATCTGCGCACTGGTGAATAAGCCTGCTTGCCTGTCACGGTTGGGTGCATACATTCTAACCGCGGACGACAAGGTCAACATGATATCCACTTCTTAGCTCGTAGTTTATGCACGACAACTACCAATGGACTGAATATCCAACTTACCACGCATGCAGACTGTAGAGCTATGCGCATGTGTCTCTCCTCTTTTGGCACGACCATGGCTCTGCTGCGCACTGGACTATGAGCAGGATGTTAGTGCGGCCACACAGCTCATCACGTTCACGTCGAGTTTCCAGGAGACTTGCTTCCCTCGGCTCTGGAAACTCACACTAGTTCAAAGAAGACCTGCTGTTCATATTGACTGTTCAAAAGATACATTCGAGGGACAAATTCTGTCGGCAGATACCATCTCATACCGTCGTATTACATCAAAACCGTGGATCTCCACATTGTGGTCACCTGAACGAACGTCCCGTCTACCAGTCCAGCGACTGACATCATCTACCGAAATACTTATCTCTACTCCTACCTCTCCATTCAATTTTCAGATGCATATTCATGTCATCATCCAGACTGTCGTTCTCTACTGCATCTCCTTCCACCCCAAACCCACGCGCCCCGACACCATCACATGACAGCACAACGACAACGCCGTCCCTCCTTCCCTGCACTCCCATCAAACGCCATATCCGGATACACGCTCATAACCTGTTCCTTATAGTCCTCGACCTCCCTCTTCATCTTCTCCCTGCCAAAGCTATCCGTCGACCCTAACGTCGTCGCCTCACTCAGCGTAGCTGCCCGGAACTGCTTCACTTGGTCGCGCTCCCGCGCATCCCCGCGTTTCTCGCGCCGCACTTCGAGATTATCGAGCGAACCCCAGGGCGGCTGGCGAGGGCCGGCTTGGGACTCAGCGCCGCGCGGGGGGGAAGGCAGCGGGGGCGGGAGCGACGCGAGACCGCGGTACTGCGCTTTGGAGGTGCTCAGACGCGGATTATAGTTTGGGTTGTGCGCTTTGCCGAGCCCGGATGAGAAGTTCATGCGTGATGAGGGGCGTTGGCCGAACGCGTATTTGTGTGGGAAGTCCTTGGGTGTTGTGCGTCGGGAGGCGTGTGTCTTGGTGTCGCTCTCGGTGGCGTTGCTGGCGCCTAGTACGCTGTCGTAGGAGCGGTATTGGCGCAGGGAAGACGGAGTCTGGGTTTCGGAGGAAAAGCTCTTGCTCTGCCGTAGGCTCCGCTCGAGGATGATACTGTGGCAGTCGGGTGACGAGCTTCGCGAGGATATAGTCATGTCGTCTGCGAAGGTGACTGTACGCCTGGATGCTTTGGATTGAGGTCTTTCATGGCCAGCCGTTGCGTTCGCAAGGTTGCTATCATGGTGGGGAGGTGTGGTCGGTCTTTGAGAGGAGTTGGTGCCGGCTAGAGGCAGCGCCTTCAGCGGTCCTTGCTGGTGCACCGATTTCCTCCTGATCTCTCCCCGACTAAAGTTTACAGTGACTTTGCCCACGACCTGCTGACTAGTCACGGCATCTTTAAGGTTGCCCGGCGGCGGCGGCGGAGGCTGTGACGGTGGAGGCAAAGGGGGTAGAGGATGATAGTTCATCCTTCCATATCTCTTCTGTCGCAAGGGTGTTCGAGCGGTGATGACTTGAGCCGTCGGTTTTGGGAGAGTGTTTGCTTGCTGTACCTGTGACAGTGATGGTGTACGGTTACGCGACATGGAATCAACCGTCCCTTTCAAGGGGCTGCCGCGTGGTGTCAGAGACTGTGATACCTTGTGATATCGATTTGGCGACACTGTGCTTCCTCGTCGAGGGGTTCGGTAGGCTGGAACATCTTGTTTACTGCTCGTTCCGTCTGCTATGAGCCCTGCGACAGGCGCGATGATTTGTTGAACAGCCGCATCAGGAGTGCTGGTTGACACGCTTGAAATGGTCGCTCTGCGAGTAGTGATGCGAGCAGTATATGTAGGTGCTTTGGTGATCTGGGCAGGTTGAAAAGGCTCTGAGTGTGTAGGAGGTGTCGTAAAAATGTCGGGGCTATGAGGCCTTGAAGATGATACCGTCTCACAGTATGCTTGATACGGCGGTGTTGCTTCCGTCATAGGCCCAACCGATTCTTTCTCGCCTTGGATCTTGATGCGAGCTTTGATCCTAATGCAGTGTCGTCTATTATCGGTATCAAGCGTAGTGACCAGAGCCGGGTGAGTTGTTTCCATTGCAGTCGATCGTTGTCAGCTTGTGAGTGACTGCATAGCTCGAAGCGGGCAACCAGCATGCAGGTCCCGTCCGAAGAAAGTCAATGTTTACAATCCAGCGATTAGTTGTGGTGACGGTTGTTATTGATTTTCGATGGTTCACTCGAGGCTCGCGATGTATGAGATGAGGTCACTTTGGGCACATTCCAACCCAGGAATTCGATTTTCATCGTCGTGGAGATTGACCCGAGCAGCAATGTAGATAACGCTATCAAAAGACCGGGCATTAGATGTTGACAGCGCTGTAGAAGTCGCTAATGCCTTTCCGAAGTCCCTGCTCGAACAGCCACGTGAAGCCGCCTCTATACCCACTCTCTCTCAGTCGTTTGAGCACCCACAACTCCAGCATACCAATTTGATCGCCTTGCGTACCGCAACCCTCGAAGAAGACCATAGCATCCGAGTAACCTACATGCCAGCCATACCTATACTTTTCGTGTTCGTATGTCCCATTCGGATCGACTTGGTTCCAATAGTCCACATGTTGTCGAAACGCTTGTTGCTCACGTTCGTTCTCTTCTGATCTCGCTTTTTGCAAGCGGTTCATTCTATCGTCCGCAGCCAACATTGCTTGTTGAGGAGGCACAATGCTCTTCGCGTCAGTCTGGGCTTTGAATCCCCACTCTCCACCAGGCATCCAGTCCATCTTCCAGGTCCAGAAGAAGCTCCCGCCCGCGCGTTGTTGGTATCGGCGGCTTTGTGCTTCGCCAAATCGTTTCACAAGTTCTTCTTTCGGGACACCGCCGCTCTTGGCCCAAGAGTCCTCGGTCAAGACGCAAGAGTATTCTCCGACGATAGTCTGCACGGCGCCACGGTCGATGACCGAACCTTCTTTGTCATCAAGCTGACTCAGCTTAGTACCAACCTCTTGGATGATCTGCTGGGGAGATTTCTGTTTGTCGGCGTCTGTGAAAGCCCAGTAAAAGTGCGTGTCGATAACGATTGGGGCCTTTGGATGCTCAGAAGCGACGGAGTTTGCTCTTAGCGAGTACTCGACTGCCTTTTCAAGGTTCCATCCGTCCGAAATCACTATAGGAATACTTGGATCAATGGCGGACACGGCAGCGACGGCCTCGTCGTACCACTCATACATACGATGAGATTCCCATTCGGCTTCGTTGACTAGCTGGATACCGGCTATATCAAGCCCACATTTGGCTTCGTGGGCAATGAATTGAGCACAACGTGTACCCAAAGCACGATTGAACTCTGAGTGCCAAAATTCTGCGCGGCCACTGTTTGTGCCAGAATGCTCCTGTGCATTCGCACCGCCTGGGAGTGCATGCAGATCGAGCAAAACACCAATAGAATGCTTGTGGAGACGGTGGATAAGGGTACGGATACTGTTCCAAGCTCCACAATATACTTGAGCGTAGGGTTCGAAAGGCGTACCACGAGTGAAGTCGGAACCGGGCAGGTCATAGTATCCAATCGGCAGGCGGATTGTGGTGCATTGCGCCTCCTTGACTAACCAGCCGATTGCATCATCCGTCACAATACTGGACCAGTGCTGTTCAAACTTGTGTCTAGCGCAGTCTATGCCTTCACGATCGACCCACGCCTTGACTGCCGCAAGCTCACTCGACCCTTCAGCTCCGTCGGGAAATCTAGACGGCTGAAGCCATCTTTCAACCACGTAAACAGAACCCAGATTGGTTCCGTGGTGGTAACGGTATCTTAAGATGTCGAGAGCTGTGGGTTTGTTGTTACAGCCTTGCTGGACAGGAGGAGGGCAGTGATTGGGTGGACTTTGTGTATCGTCATGCTGGTGTTGCTGGTTTGGCACAGACGGAGTGTCTCGCTGTGAGAAATCCTTCCACTCAGCCTTTGCCTTTTGCAGGAAGCCTCTCATGATCGTCGAGGGGTGTGTGAATCCTTCATGGATCGAGTCAGCATGCATGCGCTAATTTCACTATGACAACCGTGTATCTTGCACAAAATTGCAGAGGTAAGTATGGCCGCGCCGAACAATGATGAAGGTGGGACGAGCGGGCAACATGGGCTGGTGAGGAATGCTGGAGTTGAAGACTTGCAGGTGACGTAAACAGGCAAGGTCCCTGTGACCGGCACGAACATCCTAGCGACGGGGCATCTGATGCGGCTCTGCACTTGTTGAGAACATGATCAATGACGCCGAAGCAGGGAGTGAGTAGCACGCATTGGCATTACGAATTAGCAGTCGTGCTGTGTCCACGGTGCGACCTTGCAGCCGAGCAAGGCGTTTTCTACGAGAGGGCTGATGGAGATGTCTCAGCGTCGACAGATAAGAGATGCGGAGTATCAGACCGCAGCGAACGCGCATGTGAGGCCGCAATGACGGTCAGTCCACTGAACGCCAGACGACAGCTGCATCAATGAGTGGTATCGATAAGACGCGCGAGCAAGAACGCGCTGGAGATGAGAGAGGAGAGAGGTGGGGCTCAAGTGGCCAAGGGACCCTGAACGCGACTGGCACCCAATCGCGTCAGGAAGTGATCCAGCATCCATAGTCTCCCAGCCTCAAGACGCGCCTATCCTTCCCTCACAACATTAGATCCCCAATCTTTCCCCAGGCTGTCTCTGATCTTCCACAGGTCAAAGTTGCAGACCGACCATCCAGCGCAGATCGTCAACTGGTGCTCTCTAAGCACCACCTCGGCGCGCGTCATAACCATCCAACGCGTCCTGAGACAGTTCACCGATATCACAACAAAAACAACAACAAGTATTGTATACAATAATGTCTGCTCAGCATAGCCTACCTGGAAGCCCCTCGCGTCGCGTTCTAGGCGATTTGATTCCCAGAGCTATGAATACACCCTCGAAAGCTAAGAACCTCGAGTCGTCCGGACTCACTCGGGCGCAAAGCCCTTTGAAGCAACTCCGAGCCACCAGCCACACTCCGCAGATCTTCGCCAACAAAGAGAACGCCAGCAGCACCGACGCGTTCCCTCAGGGGCGGAAAAGAAGCATTGCCGAAGTAGACGACGCGGAGAAGGTCCCCACTGCGAAAATGGTCGCTTTCGAGCGCGATGGCCCCCAAGACGCGATAGCTCAGCTGACGAGCGCTGCCGTGCAACGTCACACCGTACATGCCCCCACTTACATGCGTTGTCAGCGATACTGACGATCTCAGTCCAACAACCCCGTAGGCCTTGCCGACCCAGGATCTCCCACTGAACGCGCAACTCCCACACCCTCCCCCTCCTCCCCCTCACCACAACCGCAGTCCTTTCCAGACCCGCGATCGCAAATCTTCGCGGATCCGCACTCGCTCACCTTCGCCGACTCGCACTCGCAGCCGTTCCCGGACTCGCAAAAATCCTTCTCCGAGTTCCTCGACTACGGCCTCTGCGCCTCGCAGCAAAGCGAACACGGCATCGCCGTCGCCGCGTCCAAACCCGCGCCCAAGACCCCGACCAGCGCGCCCGCGCCAAAGTCGCGCGCCCAGCTCCTGCGCACCCGCCTGACCTTCGCCAAGTACAAGGTGCGCACAAACCAGGTCTCGAAGCCGACGCGCGACGTGCTGTCCGACTACAACCTGTCCTCGTCGCCCGACGCGCTGCGCACACACGGCTACATGACGTCCGGCGAGCAGCTGGGCGCCGCCGACGCGCCCGCGCCCGCGCCGCGCGTGCCCCATATTACGATTTCGTCGCCGGCGCGCCCCGTGTTCGTCAAGGCGAATCTCGATCCGTTCCGGCCGATTGGCGCGCTGGGGCAGCCGCCGGTGAGCTTCGCGCCGCCGGTGGACCGCAGCGGGGTCGAGTCGCGGGTCGTCGAGGGCTACGATGTGGGCAGCTCGCCGCCGGTGCAGAGCGTGAGTCCTTCGGAGTTGATGGGGTCGGCGCGGGGCGGCGAGAGTAAGCATGCACGGCTGCAGCGGCTGAAGGAGCAGCAGTGGCGGGAGACCAGTGGGACGCAGGGGCGGGAAAGCAGTGGTGCGCAGGGCAATGCGGGGACTGCGGGGAGTGCAGGGAGCGCAGGCAGTGCTGCGAAAGGGTTGATGGAACTGATGAGTGGGAGACGGTAAGGAAATATCAAGAGATTAGTCGGTTAGAAATGCATCCTTATGACTTAGACAGTCAACACGGTTTCACGCGCACTTGTGAGCAGAGCAGGCAGTGACGCATGTATAACGATCGATTGATTATATGGTATCCGTGCTTAGAGAGTGGTCCGAATCATTTCCGAGGTCATGCCATCAGGCAGCCTTATTGACGAAGATGGAACGCGATAATGTCGAGTCGACGGAAGAAGCGATAGATTTCTAGAGCGTGTCAGTACACTGTCTTTGTTTGTCGTTTTGGCGAGGGTCCGGTTACATTTGCCGCAGTTGCAGGCACCCGCAGCGCAGCCGCAATCGGCGCAAGTGCAACCAGCAGTTCCGCAGCCAGGCATGTTGAAGATAGTGTTGTTTGGGGTTGGGTTTGAGTGGGAAAATTGAAGGTGGTTGTAGAGGACGTTTGGAGAAGAAGGCATAGAGGGGCAGTGCGGGGCTTTATATCACGGGCCTAAATCCAGTCCCACATTGAGCGCGAGCAGTGGGCGTAGATCGTTGAGATGTCATCGACTCGGCGTCAAACACGCCGATAACCGCTTTTGCCGTTACAGCATGCCAAGGGTACGGCTACTGAGGCAACGGACAGCGATGGTTTGCCGTTAGGGTTTCGCCTGAAGCCGTGGGTGTGTGGGCTAATGAGCAAGTTTCGTGGGACCGTATGCAGGGTGTCGGGAGCCAGACCGCATTGGGGCATGAGCGCATAGTGAGCAGACTTCGTCTGGGTCATAGAGCGGTACACGTGGTTATTGATGATGTCGCATTAAGATCTTCTTATAGGAGTGTCGTCGAAGGCTGGGATCCAAGGTCTTGCATTTGCGTGGCGTGACGTAGAGGTTGGACTGGTGACATATCAACTTCCCGTCCTAGATCACACCTCTTCTGCCGACATCGTCTAGATCGATAACCTCCTCTTCGATCTCACCCTCCGGTACATGCTTGCCCTTGCTCTTCGCTGTACTCTTCCCGCTGACACTCCCTCTTTTGCCTTTCGTCTCCTTTCCACTACTATCCGCCTCATCTTCATCGCCGAACAAGAATCCCTTTCCTTTCATGCGGCGCTTTTCATCTGAAGCGAAGGTCGAGTGCGCAGTTCCGGAAGCGAAGTTCGAAGAGGCAGAGTCCTCGCCTAGCATCCATGAAAAGTTAGAGGAGGTGAGTTGCGGGCGAGAACGCGGCGCCAGGCGAGCAGGCGTCGTGGTTATGATCGACGATACAGGGGGTGAAGAAGCAGCTTGTGAGCTAATTGGTGAGGGCTTTGGTGATGTCTCTATGGCTGAGAGTGCAGGCGCAGAGACGGTGAGCTCAGCCGTCGGCGGTTCAACAATTGCGGGTAGAGACTCCATCGGCGATGGTGGAGCTAGACTTGCAGTTGCAATCGCTGTCGCTGCTTCATCGGTTGATTCATCGATTTGAAGTGGGATCGAAGAGTCCTCGAGGTAGACTTGGACGAACTGCACCTTCGCGATAGCAAGGCTGAGTGCTTCCATTGCTGCCTTGTTGCTGTTTTCCTCATCCTTTGACCGCTGGCTTTCTGTTTGCTCTCTGTGATGCTCCCACAATTCAGCTACAGCACCTTCCAGCATCTTACCCAGTTCCTTGTTTCTTTTCTCGAGCTCAACAGACCTCTTCGAAGGATTGGCGGAAGTTGTTCGCCCGAGACCAGGCCGTTGACTTGCTGCAGCCACTTCAGGTGCCCGAAATTCTCTTCCTCCAGATCTTGGTGTGGTTTGTCCCGACACTGCACCGTTCTGGTAAGCCTCTACGTTCTTTCGTACCTCACCAACAGCATCTCGAAGTGCTTTCCCAACTCCCCATTGCGACCCCCTTTCGAGGACATTCTTTGCAGCGCCTTGCAATACTGCCTCCAACCCGGCGCCTTGCGGACCTAAGAAACTCTTTGGAGAGCCCACTCTCTGTCTTGTGCGACTCGAAGCGAAGGATAGGGTTGGTGATGGTGCACGTATACTTGCAGGTGATTCAGGTTCAACGGATGGTGCTTGCTTGCCATGACGTGTTATGATCTCAGCGCCACCTTGCGGAGTGAGGTGGTCACGCAGATATAATGCGTCCTTGATGAATGTGTAAGCAGGCGCACTCGGCTCGGGGTATCGCAGCAGTAACGCGAAAGCCTCGTTGGTTTCTGCCGCGACTAGCTCCCAGCGTATCCGTAGCAGCATCGCTATCGAGATCATGTCAACCAATTCTAGTGTCGAATCGATAGCAAACAAGGCATCCCACATATCGAAGACCGAATCGAGATCAAATTCGCGGCCGAAAAGAAGACGGATCCATCTTCTGAGACTTATTAGATCGGTCATGAGTTATGCACGGACAGCTTACAATAGGAAGATCTGTGGAACAATGTCCAGCTTCGTCAGATGAGCGTGGAGCTCAGGATCGGCTCTGGGCAGGTATGTGTCGAAGATCCTTGAGCTTCGAGCAAGCATTGGGGTCTCTTTCGAAGCAGATTTAGGATCAGCAGGCGCAAAGAATGTCTTTGCGGTCTGCATGATGAGGGAGAACAGGGTATGTGTGTCATGTTCCATATAGACAGAGTCGAGCATGTCTGCAAGATTGGAATCGACAGAGGTCTCGGCGCTCACATCCACGGCGTCTCTTTCAACCACCCAGAGTAATGGTGCTAGCACCTCGTGCATGCCTTGTCTGTAGCCAATGCTTGGGTGCATTTTACACCACACAAATAGTATATCCAGCATCATGTTTTGCGTGGCCGGTTGGCGAAAGTAGACATTGTCTGGCATGCATCTTTCGATATCTTGGAAGATCTCGGCACGCAGGGCTTCGTCTGCTCTGAGGGCTGACCATGGGGACTTTCAAGGCTTAGTACAAGTCAACAATCATTGTACTCAGGTAGACGGGCCGAGTTTGGGGTCAGGTACCTCGTCGTTGTCGCTCAAAGGATCGACCGATGATTCGAGCTCATCGGGATGTTCAATCGCGCGCAGGTAGTGTGTGCGCAACGAATCGTAATTCCTGCGTGATTCGGCAAGGTGGTTTGGCCATGACGAACGATCGAGTGTCTTGAAGAGGAGGAAGATCTATCGCAGTCGTGAGCTTGAGGCTAGGATTACCAGATGTTGTCGCATACCTTCCAGCAAACCGAGCGAAGGCCCGTGGTTATCTGCGGTTCTTGGTGCGAAGAGACATGGATCTTGAGATCGGTCAGAGAGTGGAAGTCGTCTAGCCGACGCCAGTGCTTCCTGTCGCATGTTAGAGCAACATGCAGGTACAAAGGCTACATCGTACGCACTCAGCCTCGGCAACAGGTCTCATGGCAACGGCTCTTAATAGGAGGGGTTGTGTGTTGAGGGGCAGTAAGTACCCTGATGGTAGCTTGCGCTTTCGTCATGCTGCCGCGATCTCGCCGTGTGGGGCAGACAACAATCACGCATCACGTGCAATGGCAACCGACAGGATCCATGTCTCGTCCTGTCTGGTCCTCACAGCCGTTATCATAGTTGTGTTGTGGATAATGTTGCTATTGACGATAGACATAGCTTGCATGCTGGCGGGCATTTTATGAAATGGCCAGGCGCGGTCTCTGTTGTGGTACTCTAATTAACGTGTGCACGCTCTCCATCTGCTTTTAGGACGGTTCGCCGAAAACAGAACATACACGAGCCAGTCTGAGCGTAACAATGGCCTACCAATTCTGGGACTGCACGGCGCGCATGCATGAACACTGCATTTTAGGAGGTTTCTCCGCTGTCGCTGGTCTCGTGTCGAGTCGTGAGACCTGCCTTTCCGGCAGTAGACTCGCTCATATAAGTCTCGCTAATAACGTGCATGCAGTCTGAGCCCAACGACATATCACCAAGCATGCCTTCTGCAGAGCTTTGAAAGTTTCGGTGCTCGGCATCAAGACCTTGGCTCTCAAGAATGCAGCTCACGATCAGTCTTGCTGCACTGGCACCGCATTCCGCTGGCCCTCAACGACCAGCTTTTGCATGAGACCAGGGTTCAGAATCTCGCGGCGAAAGCGCTCCTGCTGCAGCAGCTCTAGCGCCCAGAGCGTCGGCCCAGGGTGGCTGCAAACGCATCATCAGTCAGCAAGGCGCTTGATGCGTAGCGGCGACCACGCGATGAACTCACTGCAGGAACTTTGCGTATCGGGGCTCCTTGAAGTACTGCAGATAGGCCAGATAGGCCACGAAGTCGGGCTTCTCGTACAGCTTCTGGGTAGCCAGAAAATTGAGATAGGCGGGATTCGCGAGGCACTGCACAAACTAGGGGCGTGTTAGTCGGGGGCGCGTCAATCGACGGGCCAGGGGCACATGACGTCGGCGGGAAAGGGGACGAACCTCGAGTTCGAGCTCGAAGCGCGTGTAACCACCGGTCCGCGGTACATCCGCAGTCGGCTGGGCCGGGTCCGTCGCCATGGTGAAGTGTGGCCGGCGTGTCTGGGCTGCAGTGTTGCGCACTGTTGAGCACTGGTGTGCGGTCAGGGCAGGGCGCTCAGATCGGCGCTGAGGCTCTTGGGTGAAATGAGATGAGAGATCCAGGGTCCGAGGTGTTCCCCGCAGCCGTGAGTGGCTAGCCTGATGGGGCGCTGAGCGATTCAGCGGTCAGCGTTGCGCCGCAGCGGTGATTGCTGAGGGGCGGTCGTGTACACAGCACGCTGCGCCGGGGAAATTGCAGCGTGTGTGCGTTGCGCGTGTGCGCGACGTGCGTGGCCGGTGGTGAGAGGGCGAGCGCAGGGCGTGCAGTTGCAGTGCGTGCAGTGCAGCGCAGTCGCAGTCGCAGTCGCAGACGTGCAGCCTCGCAGACACAGCGCGGGCACTGGGAACAAGCAACAAGCAACAAGCAGCACGCAGCGCGCACGGCAGACTCAGTGCCCTGCAGGACCCCACAGCGCCGTGCAGCCGGCAGCGCAGGGCCGGCGTGGCCAGCATCGTAGCGACCTGTTTCCACGGGACTGGCGCAGAGCTGGGCCTCTAGCCCTCCGCGTGCAGCTGCTCGTGACCAGCGCGAATCAGCGGCGCTCTAAGAACTGATCCAGCTGGTGAACGGCAGCCACGCTCGCCAGGGACCGGCGAGCTTAATGGCCTCCTGCCTCGAGCCTATAACCCAGAGCCGCGCCCGTTCCGCTCCTCCCTTCCCAAGCTCTTAAGCTGCGCTGCCCTGCGGCCTGCCCTCTGCCCTCTCACGCTGCCCCGTGCCTCCGTGCCTCTGCCTGCCCTGCCTGCCTGCTTGCATCTGCTATCCACTCGGCGCGGCACCCTCCCAGGCACGCCCAAACGCGGCCATTCAAGCGCCCCGCTTGCCATCCTTCCGCGGCCACCAGCGCCCTATTTTCCGGGCGAAACGCGCCAGCATCAGTATCGCAGTCTTACGCCGCCCCTTTTGCATTGGCTGTGCTCCGCTGCGACACCTCGCCGCACTGTGCCTGAGTCGCACCATCCGCCGCAACAGGATTTGCGCTGTGTTTGCGCGTCGCCAGCCCGCCGTCATCTGCAGACGCCCGGCCTCCCGTGTGTGATTGGGCACGCCGCCGCATATTGCAGGGTTCCTCGTCAACGGCAGCAACATGCTTGCGGAACCGTCAATGCCTGGTAGGGCCCCTATTCGCCCGTTTCACCTGTATCGCCGCACTGCGACGTCGGGCGCGCTGATCGAATCGCCAGTCGCTAACCTTATCTGCAGAACGACGCCCGTCGCCCGGGCTCTCGCTCAACCTGTCCTCCAACAACCCCTTCCGCAACAGAGCCTCGTCGCCCGGCTTCCCCTCTCCCGCCAACCAGTCGGACCGCTCGAGTTCCGCCAGCAGGCCCATGTCGCGCAATCCGTTTCTGTCGACCTTCGAGGCCGAGTTCAACAAGGAGGCGCGCCGGACCGACCTCGTCGACATGTCCGCCACCATGAAGGCCTCGCCCAAGAAGGAGACGTTCGTCACGGGATCGGCCGCCGAGGAGCTGTTTGTGCGTGCCCCCGCCCTGCTGCCAGACGCGATGCTGCGTCACCGAGCGGTGCTTGTCTTCGAATATGCCTGCTGACTGTGCCAGAAAAACCTCACAATCGACGAGCCCAGCAGGCGGCGCGAGCCGTCCAGACCCACCCACGGCCGCAGCGACACCGATCCCCGCGGCGGCCACCGCCCCTCGCGCTCCGACGAGGAAGACCGCGACAGGAACCGTGGAGCCCCTCGCGGTCCGCCGCGCCCCCGAGGCCCGCCAGAGCCGCGCCGGCCCATGCAGGGCAGCCCTGACCGCCGCGAGCGTCGCGCACGCAGGAACTCTGACTCGTCCATCATCGACAAGGCAGCACAGGAGAAGGAGGACCGCCGGCGCCGTGAGCGTCGCAGAGAGCGCGAGCGGGAGGAGAAGGACCGCGACGGCAAGTCGAGCAGCACGCGCAAAGTGCGCAAGCCTCAGGGGCTCGACCTGATCGACAAGCTCGACGTCACCGGTATCTACGGACCGAGCATGATCCACCACGACGGGCCCTACGATGCCGTGCAGCCGCACCGCAACCGCAAGAAGGACCAGCGTGCTCCCATGTCCGCGTTCCCCGTCGGCTCTGCCAACAACTCTCTCGGCGGTGCGGGACCCCTGAACACGAAGATCGATCTTGACCGAATCCACGGCCGAGGCGCAGAGGGCTTCACAGACTTCAACAGCGGCAACGAGTGGAAGAAGGCGCCTGCTGTGCCTACGGGCGAGTTCAGCGCCAAGGGCCGGGATGACATTGTCCACGGAGAACAGACACACGGCCTGGGCACTTCCACTTTCCTAGAAGGCGCACCTGCGTCACGCACTGCAGTCGAGCAGGATTTCGAACAGAAGAGGGCCGAGAACAATGGTCTTGGACGTAAGAAGTCTATTGCTCAGCGCTTCCGCGGAATCTCGCAGCCGAGACGTCAATACGGTGACGGGCCTAGGATCCAGTCACCAGAGGCTCGCTACGGCGGCCAGCCCAGCCCGCAGGGTCCATACAGCGCGGGAGCCTTGACCCAGAACAAGACAACAGAGCTGAACCCGTTCTTCGATGAGTACAACAAGGCTTACGACAACAAGGGCGCATCGATTCAGGCAAATGACTCCCGCTACAAGGATGATTCCCCGCCCCGTGCTCCCTTACAGCGTGCAATCACCACAGATAGCACAAACTCTATGGGCGAATCAAAGCCCACTGGGTTCCTCGGCCGCATGAAGAGCATCAAGGGTGGGCGCAGACGGCAGGCTTGAACGACGTCAGACTCTCTGCGGCTCCACGGCGTCGGCGTTCTGCAGCTACTCTCCTAGAATCGCCTCCTCGCATTTTTCACTTTCATTGTCACACATCTTCACAGAAGACATATCTCCTCACATGTGCATCAGGCGTACTGGACATTGAAGTTGGGACAAGGGTCTGGATACTACTCCCGTGTATATTGGTCAATCCTCTGGGCTGCAACAGGCACCCCAAAAAGGGGTTTTAGTTCTTCTTTTTGCGCTATCTAGAGCAAACGTTTAATGCATGAATGAGCGGACAGCAAGCTCGATTCATTGGTGATATTGCGGCGTTGGAATTTGTAGCTCAACCAAGAAGGAATCATTGCATCGCCGCTCCCTGAATCCTGCTTGAATCATGTTGTATCGCTTGCACCTTGTGTCTCCATTGCCCACCTGTCGTCAGCCCAACCCTTGCCCCAGGATTACCCGTCACCACGCAGCCACAATTCGCGCGCGCCGCGCCCTCATTCGCTCGGCAGCGCCCCCGAAGCCTCGGACCTGGTACCTTGCATCCCATCACGCCCTTTGCACAGCCAAGCACCCTTTCTCCTAGGCGCCGATCATTCAATAGCTTCGGCTGCCTCCGAGTCGTCAATCCTCCTCTGCTCCCGTCCCGCGCTGTCGCCATTGCCGCTTTGGGGGCGCTTGGCGCGTTGAGGTTGCTGCGCGCTACCGATTGCTAGCAGCGCGAGCAGCGCCGAGAGAAGAGAAGAGAAGAGAGGAGAAGAGAGGAGAAGAGAGGGATGGACGCCGTGCAGGACGCGGTGGCTGCGCCCGCAGAGCCGCTGCTCGCGTCCTCGCTCGTCGACGCGGCGGCGCTGGGCGACGTCTTTGATAGCCTGGGTTTCTCTGCCGTGTCTGCTACGGCTCGTACTCGTGTTCTGAGAACCGGTACGAGCAGTCTGGACCTCGCGCTTGGTGCTACGCTGCAGAGTGGCAGAGTCGTCGCGCTCAGCAGCGAGATAAGCAGCCAGCGCGACGCCCTAGCGCAGTCGCTGATTGCTGATTGTCTTGTTACTGGACCGGATAGGGGGGTTGCGATTATTGATACGATGGGGAACTTTGATGTGGTCGGGTTGTACACGCGGATGCTAAGGCGTTTGGAAGACGAGCCAAGGAGGGTAGCGGAGATGGGGGAAGAGGTGGAGGGAGAGAGTGAGGCGCAGAGGAGGGAGAGGGTCGCGGCCGCGGCGCTGGATCGTGTGAAGATAATGCGGGTGTTTGACTTTGTGGGCGTGAGAGAGGCGGTGAGCGAGCTGAGGGACGGACTCGAGGGGCGGGCGGAGAAGGGGGATAAAGGCATCACATCAGTGGACAAAGCTGTGCCGGACGAGAAGCCCCCGCCGCAGAAAAGAACAGAGATCGCAGACAGCGAAGACGAAGATGACGACCTCGACACGTCCGGCGACGAAATGCTCTTCGACACGGCACCGCCTCCAAAACCCGCACCCGAAATCGCAGCCATACCCCCGGCCCAAACCAACCCCCCTCCGCGCCTCAACCTCATCCTCATCGACAACCTCGCCCACGTCCTCACCCCCCTCCTCAAAAAAGACTCCGTCTCCGCCACCACCCTCGCCACCACCTTCCTCCCCACCCTCTCACACCTGACACGCACCCACGCCCTGCACACGCTCCTCCTCAACCCCTGCACAACCCCCCGCGCCCCATCACCACCACGACAGGTCGCCCAGTCAGCCCAGCAACAGCAGCAGCACGCCCCTACGCAGACCTACGCGCCCCAGCCCCCACCGCCGCCGTCGGTATTTTCGTCCAGCACTGCAGTGCCGGTGTTGCTAGGCTTGCTGGCGCGCTATGCGGACGCGCATGTCCTGGTGACGAGGGTGCCGAGGGGGAAGATGGATGCAAGGGTGTTTTATGCGGAAGATGGGGGCCGGGAACGGGGGAAGAAGAGGGGGGTTAGGATGGTGGATGTGCTTGAGGTTGTTGCGGATCGGTGGGGGGAGAGAGTGGGTGCTTGGGGGGTGTTTGAGGCGGAGGGGGGGAGTTGAGAGTGTGTGATTATATTCGAGAGGGCTATGATTGAGGGTTGTCGAGGGCGAAGTCCGAATCGCCTACGTTCTTCACCCATCCTCCGAGGCCATGCTCCTGAGTGTCTTTCTTCACCACCCTTCGTGCTTCCAGGGCAGTGTCGTGTTTGATATCACCATACACGACTTTAGTGAGTGCTTCGAGCACCGCCGGCGCCCCGGCAAGGCCGGCAATCTGCACCGCGAGCATCCACGCACTCCTCCTGCAAATTCTACTCGCACCCCTCGGATCGGTTTGTTTCCTACCCTGCAAGACGCCGCCAATGAGCGTTTCCTGCCACAGGGGCGCCCAGACTGCACTGAGGTTACTTGCAACCGCCTTCTCGTTTGCCGCGACACCACGCCGACTCCAGACAAACTCTTTGGCTGTCGGCCTGACCTCGAAGGGCTGCCATCTGTAGCCTCCACGCCAGCTGCGTACAGACTCGTCAGTCAGTCCCCCCAGTCGACCTGTTCGAGAAAACGCTCGGTCACATGCAGCAGGCACATACTGCGACGCTGGCAAAATCAGTGAGTGGATGTACGCATTCCGTGGTGATATCAATGTCGATGTGACCGACGAAAGTATCGAAGTTGCCTGCTTCAATGCAAGCTTGTCAGTGCAAGACTTGCTGAGTGTAGGCGGGGCATCAGGACGGGACGGTTTGCAGCGGACAGCACCGAGGAGGGAGAAGTTGGAGCGGCCCCGCAGTGCGCCTGCACTGTCTGGCAGAGCTTCAGATGTGATGGTCGGCGGCGCACTGGTCCATGGTGTTGCATCGTCTTGAGCGTCCATGGTCAACTCCATGCTAGCATCACCACAGGGTGCTTCAGAGCAGTACATGTGGATTTGCACATCTTCAGCAATGGTGAAACGTTGAGGCTCGTCATCTGTTACTCCGCGCGGACGTTGCTGGAGAATGTCCGAATGCGAATGCGAGAGTGGGTCCGAGATGCGCAAGCATTCCTCCAGCAAGAAGCGGTTGAAGGTGCGGACGGCAACGACCTCAGCGTGCCAATCGTGGAGGACGTTGCCATGTGCGGCAGTGAGCTTGTTCTGCGGCAGGCATTTCATGCCAGTCCTGCGCAGCCGTCAGCGCTGGTTGCAGAGACGCATTGCAGTACGCAATGCAGGACGCAATGGGGGCACAATGGAAGCAGCGTGGAGCACGCAACGCTTTCACACGCTACAGCCAGAAGCAGTCGGCCGAGCGGGGACCCCAGCAGCAGGTGGACCAAATACGGGCGAGACGTACCCTAAGGATACACACTGGAGCTTGCCATCTTGCTAGACGATAAGCATAAGCCACAAGTCTTGTTGGCGGTTGGTGGGGGTTACCCTTGGACAGAACAATGCCGCTGAGCGGCACCCATTCACGAGAGCCGTCGCTGCGCGGGCGCGGCTTGCGCTTGTCCGGCAGCTGCTCAAAGGTCGACAGGACGCAGGCGGCGATGCTGTCTGCGCTGATACTGTCTGCACTGGGTGCCATTGTGTGCGCGACGCCGCGGGCAGCCACGACCGGCTGACGTGTGACGTTGTGGTTGACAGGGCTAGTGGAGCCGACCGGGGTTGCCGGAAAGGGAGGTGGACGCGGCGCTGACCTCGCACCTCCTCCGTTGCAGCTTCCTAGGTTCGCAGTAACTCTATCCATGGCTCCCGTAACCCTGTCGCACACTCAGCGCCGCTTCAGTCGCTGATAAACCCGATCCCCCGCGCCGCTTCCTCTTTCCTTCACCATGCAGGCCTTTGGTGAGCAATGTCAACGCGGCGGCTGCGCACCGTCGCCTTTGCGGCGCACACGCTCACGATCCCAGTGCCCAAGAATCGCCGTGTAAGACAGCTGTGTAGCTGGTGCAAGACTCTGACTGACCTGCGTGCAGCCCAAGTTCGACCTGCACCTGAGGGTGAGCGGCCACAACTTCACCGGCACCACCCGCCGGCACCACCCACCGCCGCTGACATGCCCAGATCGTCGACCTCAACAACGTCCCGCTCACGTCGGGCACGTCGTTCGTGAAATGGCACCTCCCGCTGTCGACGGCCGCCGAGCACCGCGGTAGGACAGACCACTGTCCAATCAGCGAACACAAAGTGCAGTACAACTATGACGCTACGCTGCCCGTCCGCCTCACGGTCGACAAGAACGGGATGCTGCAGGAGAGCTTTATCGACTTCGAGGTCGTCCAGGAGTACGCCAGCTCCGGCAGAGGCGAGCGTATCACGCTGGGCAGCGTCAAACTCAACCTGGCCGAGTACGTGGAGCAGAGCGAGCTCACCGCGGCACTGGGTGAGGATCCAGGCGTGACACGGCGGTACTTGATGCAGGACAGCAAGATCAACAGCACCCTCAAGCTCGGCATCTACATGCGCCAGACCGAGGGCGACAAGAACTTCATTGCGCCCGCCCTGAAGACAGCCCAGGGGTTCAGTGGTATTGCCGGCATTATGGCTGGCGAGCAGGCAGAGCTCGAGGAGAGCGGCGCTGCACCGTCACTCACGAGCAAGTCGAGGGACGCGAGCGAGCTGCAAGACATGTATCGGCGCACCCTCGCAGCATACTGGTCTGCGCAGCCGGGCGAGCTCAAGGCGGACGAGTGCATAGAGGACATCTTCGCCGGTGGCGACGGCTGGGGCGACCGTGCAAAGCCATACTCCCCACAGCGCGGCGCTATTCGTTTCACAACAGTCGCCACAGGCGACAGCAGCGCGTCTGTGAGTGGAGATGAGCGGCTAGGAGACCGGCGGATGATGCGCAAGTCGCAGGATACATTGCGCGCCGGAAGTGCATACTCGGGCTCGCCTAAGAAGCACGTCCGCGGCAGGGGGAGTTTGGAGCAGCAGGCGCATCACATGAAGGCTGAGGCGGAGCGCAAACGGCACCGTCCTCACCACGAAGTCGATGAGTTTGAGCTGCGGCACGATCTGTGCAGCTGGAAGCGGCCTATATAAAATATGTTCACAATAATGCAAAGATATTCGACGCTTGCCTTGCGATCAGACCCGATTGCGATGACGCGCCTGGCACGTGAAGTCGCGCGTGTGCAGCGGCAGAATTATTCACGGTAGGCGGTCAACGAAAGTTCACATCTGCAGCACTCGCGTCGAATCTCCATCGTCATTGTACGCTGCCGGCTTTGGCCTTCCGTTCCTTATGCTTGCGCCCCGTGCTTCCAGTGCATTTGTGTGCCTCCGATGTGAGCTCAAGTTCGCGCGGCCCCGAACATCAGCGCTTCCGCGTCAATCCTCGCATGCCAGCTTTTCGTCCTCCACACGTCGCCACGATGGCGCAGATGAGCCCCAGCAGCTCCCTCCGAGCGAGCCTCCCGCCGAAGACATTGCTGCGAAACGGGCTACTTGGATCACCAAGGAGTATATGCGGAAGGGCAAGATCGTCAAGCACAGAAAAGCCAAGTTGGGCATGAAGCGCATGGATGAAGATGCCGATGTGCTGGTCCTGAACGAGGCCCCCGTGCGCGAGGAAACCACTGAGGAGCCTGAAGTCCTCGAACCAATCTCAGTCCCAGACTTTCGCTCTTCGCTCCAGCAGGATAGCACGCCAGCCACTCAGGAAGACGTCGAGAAGCAGCTCGAGAGCTTGCGTCCTGCCCGCGGCAGCCGAGACGAGCCGCAGTATGTTACGACTGCTGGTTTCGTACAGCTGGTGGCCGCCTTGACCAAGGGTTTCACTACACAACAGCTTTCAGGCTACTACTCGACTACAAAGAGCATCAAAAAGAACGCCGTATACAAGGCTGTGCAGGCTACTGTGCAGGCGACGAAACGGAGCGAGTGGCATCCAACTACAACAGACATCAAGAAACGGCTACCAGGCGTCGAAACTGTCACCGGAAAGAAGCAAAAGCCCAAGAGCATACGCAAAGCAACACTGGTGGACAAGATCCTTCGAGATGTGTGGAATCTCGAACTACTTGAGGAGCTCGAGGCCCCTGGGGAGCTTGAGCTCCGGCTGAAGGAGTGGCAGCTCAAACTTCTTCAAGTTGGAGGTACGTATCCGCGCCGGCAAATACTGAATATGTATTGATCTTATGGCAGGTAACAGCAGCGCCCTCGCTCGGATTGCCCGCATCAGGAACGCCAAGGTTGAGATACACTGGCCCACCAACATTCTTCGTATCACGGCAGACAAGAACACGGCCGAGTATACTGCGGATGATGTCGAAGCAGCCCTCAGCAAGTCGCGCACGAAAACTCTCTCTCTGAACACCTGGATCGGGCTGTTGGATGAGCGCAAAATCTCTACCAGCAGCGATGTGCTCGCTTCTCTCTCGGTAGATCTTGTATCCTCTCTCACATCCACGCACATCGCTGCGGCCAGTGATCGCACGGTATGTTCGGCGAGCCCATGATTCTGATGTCTACTCACGCATATAGTTACACATCTACGGGCTGGATGAGGCCTCCGTTGCAGAGGCGAAAAGGACACTCGTTAGACTCTTGCCCTTCAAGGATTCTGCACCACGCACGATTGATACCCAGAAGTTGGACGCAGCAAAGCGCGAGAGCTATCTGCTGCCAGTCTTCCACGAACCGATGTCACTTGAATACAAGCACCGAAACCTCAGCCTGGGTCGTTGGGTGCTGCCAGTCACCCGCTCAGTCGAGCCTGGAGAACAGCAATTGCCCTCGGATCCCGAGCAGAACTTGCATAGCATTGTCAATCGGACAGTATCTCTCATGATGCCACCGGCCGACGATGGTTTCGCAGGAGACGAATCGAACCCGCGAAATAGACAGACTGGATACTGGGCTCTCGAGCCGGAGTTCAAGGCCTCTGCTGAGTTTGGCCAAGCTCTATTCCCTCTTCAGATGACCAGCCCAAATAAGGTTGTCGAAGCCATCAAGGATTCTTCGCGCACACCATTCCAGCCTGCCATTCCGGGCCTTGGAAGTCTGCTCGCTGCTTCCGACTTCCAGAATCTGTCGCGCACAGAAACACCCGCTCTTCTGTACGACTTCCTTCCAGCACCTGAGCAGACAAACATCAAAGGTGCGATTGGACCAGACTTCCCCAAGCTGTTTATACAGGTGCGCACAGGCCGCAACGGCAACAGACCCTCTATTCATAAGCTCAGTCTTGGTTTCAAAGAGCGTATACACGACGTGTTACTGCCTGACCAAGCGGCTGATATCCGCTTCTTTCGATATGGGCGCCTGCGATTCAGCAGTAGGAGCCATCATGACAAGCACGTCGACACCTGGTTTGGAGCAGTGCGTCAGAACATTGAGAGTGGCGGGCGTCTTACGGCACCGTCAATAATTATCGAAATCCCGAAGTGGACCATTCCTGGCTTTCCTACCGACGCGATTGGCATGCTGCCTGTCAAATACCTCTTCTCTGGCATCCAATTCCGACAGAGCGTCACAGGTAGACTGCTGGGCACACAGGTCTCATATAGCACCGTACAGTCTGGCAAGCTGGGTGCCAAGGGTGGCGTGTTGAGTGCTTACACCGTGAAACAAAACGACGAAGATGTCGAGGCGCACATCCGCGATTTCGCGACGAAATGTGTGCAGATGGTAGACTACATCACCCAGGCAAGTGCCCAAACACAGCCTCTAAGACAGACCGTCCTTCCCAGGAACGACCACAGCGCGAGAAAGCAGCGCCGAGCTGCAGAGCGAGAAGGCCAGGCCGAAACACTGAGCCAGGCACAAGACTATCCTAGCGAAGCAGAGCAGCAGTCGGCGCCCGATGACGACCTCGCCCTCGCCGAAGACATCGCCGTAGACGACGCTGAAGACGTCGACGACCTCACCACCCTCGACGAAGAACAGTCCGACCTCTCCCACCAACAGGACGACGCCCGCCTCGCATCCAGACTCGACGACGACGCGCCTCCACTCCCCGAGGAAGACCCCGCTCTCGACGACGCCTTCGACGACGCCGACGAGGACCGCAGAGCCGGCATCATCAAAGCCCAGGAAGAAGAGGCCAACGCGCTCCTGGACGATTTGTTCGGCGACGAGCCCGCGAAGGAGCCGCTTGACGAGGGAAGCGATGATGGCGCGAAGGAGAGCGCGAAGTTGTAGATTTTTCGCCGGGGGGGTTGGCATAGATGGGGTTCGGCATTGCGTGGCGTTGGTGGCAGACGTTGTATATCATAATGTAAGATTACGTGTCCTCGCGGTTGTACATCTGCAGTGTTGTTGAGCGCGTGTTAGCCTTCCGTGGTGAATGTGCGCTGCTATTTTACTCTGCGTTCATAATCATACCCCCCCCCCCCCCCTTCTTTAGGTTTTATCGGACTGCATACGCTTGAAAGGAGTTATTCAGTGGGGTCTGTGTGGCTTATTGGCTACGATAATGGTGGTTTGGGGCCTACAAGAGTAATAGGGGGCTGGTCGGACGTGCCTGGGTGCAGTTTGATCCACCCGTGCACGCATCTTCCAGCAAGTAGAAATCCAGACTATGGACATAGAATATAGGTAGTAGGAGTTAGTAAAACACCGGTCCTCTCCTCACGCCTATCCCGAACCTCGTGTAGCACTATGGGTCGTTCGTCACAGCTGCTCTCTGAGTTTAGATGCTCCTAATGTCTTGATTTTTTCGTTGTTTCAAGTTACCTGACGATAATCTTGTGCGGCTTGCCTTTGCGGATCGTTTGTCTCTCTAAATGACTCTGGTACATTCTTGTACATTACATGTGGCCATCTACTGACTGTATGACCTCTATAGACATAGGTCCAACGGGGTCTTGTCAAGACACGCAATACTGCGTTGCAGTCTCTAGCCAAGTCTTCGCAGAGACAGGATTTGTCCCAGTGCTGCAGCGTTGATGTTTTGACGTCAAGATCGGGGCGAACGCAGATCTTAAATGTTCGAGATGGCCAACAGAAACGACGAGGAGCTGTGGGTACGAATCGACTATGTCAAAAGGGATGATTGTGCTTCAATACTGTACAGGGTTACGGAGATCAGTCGCGATGTTCCGTTGCACATTCACTGGAAACTCTGCCTTGTCACACCCAGGAATGTTAGACTCCAAAGTTGACGAATGTTGCTCTCCGTCGGCACATAAGTCCCCAGTGGGGTAGCTTGGAAGCCATTGTCGTACCTCCAACTCCAGACCTCGCTACTAAGTTGATTCTCGTTGGCTTCGATGAGGTCCCAGAGGCGGTTGTACGCATCCAGTACCTTCGCATACACGACATCATCGCTACAGAAGTCTTTCATCTTCGTTAGTTCAGTCGACTTCCAGCACGACATCAGCACTTACCAAGAGTGTTTTCGCCAACGCACCGTCCAAGTTGTCGCGCGAGACCGGCACCCATCATTGCTAACTGCCAGCCCCAGACCACGGTTCCATGGTAGTCTTTGCGCGCGAAGCCTTCAGAGAAACTGGCGTTGCCGGCGTACGCAGGGTTCGCAACGAACAAGCCCACGTCGCTGGCCAGTCCCACCGGAAATGGATGCAGGATGTGATCAGCAGTTTGATTGAGGTACGCACTAAGCTGCGCCTGGTCTGTCGTATTGAGAAAGAAGTGCCTGAAGCAATCATCCGTGTTCATAACTGGCACAACGCTCGACCCGGGCGCAGCGGCGTTGCCATCGAGAGCGACACCGAAGTACGTAACGTCCGCGGTGATATTCGCGGCGTTGGCCGGCACACTCAGATTGCCCTCTGCAACATAGCTTTCGACCAGCGCGACGGCCTCGGACTGCGGCACCGTCACCACGAAGAAGGGCAGCGTCGCGTCTTCCCACACCTGTGCGTACTGGTCGGCGATCGCGGCCCACTCGGGGCGGTTGGCGAAGTAGCCTGCGCGGCTCAGCGTGGCGATGGCGCGGAGGCCCGCGGGGACCAGAGCGGTGTTGACATCGTAGGGAATGCGGCCTCCACCCAGACCGTTGCTGGAGTCGCGCCATTCGCCGACGACTTCGTCTTCGCGGATGTGAATAAGGTTCTCCTTGATCTGGCCGCCTGGAGCTGCAAATGCGGCTGTGGCGTTCAGGATCTTCTGAATGGTGATCTCGGCTAGAGTCTCGTAGGTCAGGCCGTCGTTCTCGACCAGGAAAGTAGCGGTGGTGTTGAAGAAGGCGCTGGAGCGCATGCGGCCAGTTTCCGTTTCGACGAAGTAGTTCTGCATGGCGATGGGAAGGAGGTAATCGGTGTCGACCATCTTGTAATCGCAGCGCGGTTCGGTGGATGAGATGTTGTCTTTGAGGTTGAGATAGGTGGCGTAGTCGCCAATGACCTCTTCGTGACAGACAGTTCCATCGGTTCGGTTGATGCGTTCTAGTACCGCCCCAATTACGGCCTCAATGGCCCCATTTTCACCCTCACTCAGCACTGATTGCATCAATAGCATAGAGATCATGCTGTCTCGGCCGAAATAGGTGTTGAAGCGCCATGTGCCAGCCAGAAGCTTGTTTTCGTAGGACAAGAAAGACAACGACGTTGTTTGGTCAGGTTGCTGCTGGATCAGATCTACTGACTGCGTTTTTAGAACTTCTGTCTGGTTGAGCTGCTCGAGATGAGGGTAATTGAACGAGGCGTTGACTGGACATTGTTAGGTGGTACCGAGGTGGTGATGTGATCAGTGTGATGAGTTCTTACATTGGTATGTACCTGAACCAAACAATAGATGGTTGTTGACCGGATCAATGCTCACTGGCTGAGCGGCATCGATTGGAGTGAAGGCTAGTACCGTTGTTGTGACATTGTCGAACCAGGTCCGGCTGATCGAGGCGCCGTCATTGTCCGATGGTGAGAAACGGAGACCACCCTGTACACCAGGATCGAGTAAAGCCGGTCCTTCAGCATAGTCACGGATCGTGCGAACACTACCAAGAATAGATAGTGTCAGATTTGCCGGGACGTTGAAGTTGAGAGCGCCGGAAACACCGACTCGCGGACTGCTGCCCTCCACTGGAGCGTAAATTGGATCTAATGTCTCGCTTGTTGATGTTGAGTTCTCCAGAGTTGGTGTCAGTGAACCTTTTACTCCATCAGAAGGCTCGAAGTACACAACAAGCCCACTGTTTCCGGCAGGCCAAGCTACAAGCAAACGCGGACCGATGACACTGAGGTTGCTATCTGATAGCGGACTTGTGACGACAACATGGGAGCTGGAGTGACAGTCGAAGTAGATGTAATTGCTGTATGGTGGATCTGGCAGGTAAAGCCTCGATGCTGGCTCGCTGCAGTCTTGAGCAGCGCAAATTGCACCGAGCAGCGCCACAAGAAAACAGAGAGAGCGAAACATGTTTGAGATGTCGCAGACAGGACCTTGAAAGCAGGTCGGAAAAGCCTACTTCATATACCCCACATATCTGTTGTGCTATAGCACTAAGAGGCACGTCATAGCTTGCTCGAGTGAAGGTGGGCAGCCGGCCGGCCTCTCTTCTCACGCCGACTCGAACCATCCACGCCCCGTCGATCCCCATGGGGTGTCACGATGCTAGCCTAAAAGTTTTTTGGGTCGGTATGGAGTAGGGCTCCATGGAGCAGGTGTGGTTGGTGAGGAGCATGATCGACCTCATCCGATGACCAGCCGAGTCGCACTTTCCCTCGTTCAGACTAGCAGCATGCACTTCGGAGACAGCGTCATGTCCACGTTCTGGAGCACCAAGGTTAGTACAGTACACAACATAAACCCGTTTGGCCGTTCCCTGACCTGGTCACCCGCGCCAGTCAGCGTGCCTGTCGAACCGCGCATGCAGTCAGTTTAAAGTTCATCCAACAGCTGCTCGGTCTTGTGTTGGCTGCACATCAGTCACTACTTGAACAACAGCGCAACGGCCTGTCCGTGTTTTAGTATTTATACCGACAACTGGCTCATGAGAACTGGTGTTTCGCTGGCAGGCCGCTGGCATGTGCTGTGCAGAACCAGCGCTTTGCACAACACCCACAGTATCTTCTCTTCCCAATCACGTTCACTCGGTTGTGTTTATCCCCCTGCGACCACGAGACTGCCATGGTCACACCAACAGGCCATCTTCTACTGCACTCAGGCACGTCCGAGTTGCCACCGACATAGCAAGAAACGAGGGATTAATGACATTGACAGGCAGCTTTCTCGTTGGTGCAGTCGCGCTTAAGTGGAGGCATTCAGTTGTGATTTGGAAGCCTATTGGCTGTGCTAAAGGATACTTCGATCCTACAAAACTGCCAAGAAGTAACTCGGATGTGCCTGGGTGTAGCATATTGAGTTCCCTGGACTACAGAAACGATAAGATCAACGGACAGACAACAGAACGGTGGTTCGCGTACTCGCCCTGGTCCCCTTGAATGCACTGTCGCGTTCTGAGCGACGCACGCCATCAGCCCCATGGCTCCCATGTTCTCGAACTTTGCAGTCACTCTCCAAGACGGCCCTTCATACTTCATGACGAAGTCAGCAACCATGTGCGCCAAGTGTGCCAAGTGTGCCAAGTATGAAACATGGCCCTTGATTTGTGGATTCGTCGCGTGAAACACTCACTAACATCCATTTCTACTTACGCTCATTTCATTTAATTCGCCGAATCCCAAAACTACCATATTGCGAGCCCGGCATAACTGTATCCATCATTCATGGCGGAGATTTCTCTACACGAACCACGCCATTCTTAGCGATCTGGCTCGTGCGCCTGATTATGGCGATAGCTGGTAAGTATATGAGCTTGTATGTGGAACTTTTATCTTGGACATCCTTAGGAACATACTCTCATTCTTTACATTCTCTCGTTTGATCATATCTTCATCATGCAGCTCACATCGCTCCAGACCGTCTTTCTCCTTCTCCCTTCTGTGCTGTGCGCAACTTACTATGTCGCCCCGACCGGCTCCGACAGTGCCGCTGGATCCCTTGCCGCACCGTACAAGTCCATCCAGGTTGCTGTTGACAAGGCCGTAGCTGGTGACAGCATTCTCCTCCGTGGTGGAACATACTCCCTTACCAAGAACATTCAAGTCAAGAAGTCCGGTACCGCTTCCAACCGCATCACGCTTGCCGCGTACCAGACTGAGGTGCCCGTCATTGATGGTGAGGGTCTTACTGGCACACCTGCGCCTGTTGGCGGTAGCATCGCCGCTGCCGACCGTGGTGTTCTTCACGTCGAGAAGGCATCCTACTGGACTTTCAGGGGCATCCACCTGATCAACGGACCATACGGCGTGTACGCTGTTGACTCGAACAACAACGTCTTCCAGCAGCTCACCACTCGCCAAAACTACGAGACTGGCTTCCAGCTCCAGGGAAACAGCGCGAACAACCAGATCCTGTACCTCGACTCATACGAGAACCGCGACCCGCGCAAGAACGGCGAGTCTGCTGACGGTGTCGGCATCAAGGAGGGCACTGGTGAGGGCAACCTTCTTAAGGGCGCAAGGCTGTGGAACAACGTCGATGACGGTCTTGATATGTGGGAGTTCAAGAGCAAGGTCACCATCGTCGATACTATCTCGTGGGGCAACGGTGTCAACGTAAGCGCGATTCCTTTTCGAGCACAATGTTATTCAGCTTGCTAACTTAATACAGCGCTGGGGCTTCACCAACTTCCAGGGTGATGGTAACGGTTTCAAGCTTGGTGGAGGCGATGCCGCGGACAAGAAGGCAGCCAACCACCAGCTCACCAACTGCATCGCCTTCAACAACGCCAAGAAGGGATTCACCGACAACAGCCAGCCCGGCAACTTCATCATGCAGCGCAACACTGCTTACAACAACGGTGATGTGTACGTTACGATCTGAACATGAGTACTGTAACAGAATGCTAACGATCCGCAGTGGTTACAACAGCAAGACTTCTGTCACTACTTTCACAAGCAACATTGCTGCCAGCAACATTAAGAGCACCACGAACTCTGCGCAGGTCTCCCTGAACAGCTCCCAGAAGCAGTCTGGCAACTCATGGCAGGGGTCTACCACCTGGAACAACGCAGCATTCAAGAGCGTTGACGTCAAGCTCGTGCAGGGCAAGCGTGATGCCTCAACAGGCAGAATCGCTGCCAGCAACTTCCTGCTTCCCGCCAGCGGCGCCGCAATTGGTGCTACCACCGCTTGGTCATGAGCAGCATTTACGGCCGGTTTTGATACGAACTGACGTGTATCGCCTTCTTTCTTCGTATATATTCAACCTCTTACATAACATACCTTACCTTGTATCTCTAATCGAAGTTACACATTAACTTGACAAAGAATTGCAGTCCTCACACGTGAACGAGAAGCATACGAATTGAGAACTTAGTACGTCAAGAGTAAACCCAAAAAATAAGGATAAGAGAACGAAGAAAAGGACGAGAGAGCGAAAGGAAGGGGAGGGAAGTATGATTGAGAACATAACCCCTGGAAGTCCAATTGTAGCATGAATACTGTACCCAGGCATGTCCATCCAGCCACTTAGCAGTTTTATAGGATCCAAGCCACCGCTATCGTAGCTAATAAGTTGCAGAAGTGCTTCTTATTACTCCATTCCAGCATATACACGGATTCAGAATCTCCAAACGTCCAAGGACATAGCATGTGTACTTAACGCGAGCAAGGCTGAATTTAGGTTGCGGGCCTTCTCAAGATGTGCTCATGTCCTGTAGATATATAAGAGTGTTGCAACCAAAACATGCCTCCAGATTAATGAGCAGTAGAACGGCACGCGTCAAGATTCTTGATTGCGTCTCCGCGATATCCCATACCATGGAATACCTTGTCTTGAATGTATTATCATGACTCCTACATTCTAGCATAAAATAGAATCAAGGGTATCCATTTGAACGCTATCTACCATAACCCCGTAAACGCCCGCTATGTATGCTTAAACTCACAGATGCCACCACGCTGATCCAGCTCAACGAATCTTGTCCATCCTCTTCTTCGCAATCCGTATCTTTCCGTCCACCCTCTCAACATCCTCTTCCAACAACCCCAGAAGCGCATTCTGCTCGACAATCTCCTCGTTGATAGCAACACCCATCTGCCTCATGCGCTTGACCACAGTCGTCAGATCGACAAGATCCTCGTCTTGCTCTGACATAATCTGCTTCTGCAGTTGCAACACACCCTCATTATCAAGCTCGCGTGTGCGCTCCGTCTCCACCGGCGCACCACCCAGCACACGACGGCCCGAGGGCTTTGACGCGCCCTTGAAGAGCCCTGCCTTCTGCTCCGCGGTGACAGCAGCACTAGACGTCGAGGGCGTAGACAGGGTACCCGAGCCCGACAGCGCCGCCTTGGCCGCCATGGTGTTCAGCACACTCTCCAGGCCGTCGCGCTCCTTGCGTGAGCTGCTGATCATATCCTTTCGTCGCCTGACCTCGCCATCGCCGAGTTTCTCCCCGCTCCACTCGTCGCCGCTCGAGCCGCTCAGGCGCCGCAGCCCTTCTTCGAGCGCGCCGAGCAGCGACTCCGCGCGCAGCAGCGCGCGTTTCGCGTTCGCGGCGGCGTCGTGCTGGGCGCTGGCGGCACTGGCTTGTTCGCGCGCCGTGAGCCATCGCCGGGCGTCCTGCAGACTCGATTTGACTTCGGAGTGCTTGTCCAGCCAATCCGAGCTATCCCTCACGCGGTCCTTGCCGAACTGGCTGCCTGGAAATCCAGCAGCTCTCTTGCTGTCCTTATCGTCGAGTCCCAGGAACTCTCTGTATGCTTTGCATGCTTTCCATCGTGCGTCTTCGCTGTTCTCGATTGCGCGCAGGTATTCTTCGAGGCCTTGTCGCCTCTTCTCGACTTGTTCGGGGGATCCAAGGGAGCTGCCGAGGCCGAAGAGCGACCACGATTTGGGCGGGAGAGAGGCAGGAGGTGCGGCGACTGCAGAGCGGAGGGCTGAATCGAGGTTCGAGAAGTCGGTGTAGCGTTTCGAGACGGATGATGTTGCGCGCGGAAAAGGGTGGTCAATCTTGATTGTGTATTCTGTGTATGGCTTGCCGCTCTCTGGCGTTTGCGTCTGCGCGTTTGGTATCGAGAGTTTTATAGGTGCCATGCTGAGTTGTCTGCTATGGCAGGATTGACGATGGGTGTTGCCTGTGAATGTCGTGTGACCTAAACGAAGCACCGATATCGCCGGTTTGATGACAGGGCGTTCGACGTAGTGCGAGCAAGCCTGAAAAGGAGTGTGCTGCTGCCTGTGGAGTCGAGAAAATTGTCCACATGCACAGCGACAGGATGAAGCTTGGACGCCTATCCAGGGTCTTGCTGCTTGACATCATCCGTAGTCACGGCAATGGGGCGCCACGTGCGTCACGCTAGCCGTGCAGCTCAGTCGTTGCCTACCATCTTGTCTCCAGCACCGTTATCATGACATTTCCTTTCTGTTGCAGTTTCACTTGTAGATCTGTCTGCTAATTCAAAGCACCCTTTTATGTTTTATCACCCATAGTATACGTAAAACTGCGCTCGATTGAAGCATTGCTAGATACTTGGAAATCACTTACCTGTTTCCATTACTTGCCTTCATTCACGCCTAGACTCCTTCTAAGCACCTTTTCCCATCTTTCAGATTTTCATGGTTTTCAGCGTCTACAGTCTACTCACCCTTGAAGAGCTTGAGAAGCACCTTCTGCTCCTCATTTAACTTCTCCTTGTCAATGCCCTTACCAGCCTGAGGCTGAACATCTGGAGCCTTACGCGCCCACTTCGACGCATTAATCGCCTTGCGGCGCTCCTTGTGCGACTGATCAATCTGCACCATAACCTCTTGCAGCACCACCTTCTTTGCAACCATCTTCTCAAACGACGGCACATCGCCAATACTACCCGTGAAGCGCCGGTGGCACAGCACATTCGCCATGTGTGTGAACACGGGGTCTACAGCGCTGATACGGTATGTCACGAATGTCAGGATCTCGGCGTCGGTGAGAGTGGACGATATCTGCACATTAATCGCGGCGAGGAGCGGTTTGACGAAGGCGTGCGTGAAGTTGATGCCCAGGCGCAGACAAGCCTCGTAGGTGAGTAGGTTTGAGGGGAGGTCTGCAGCGATGGGGAGGTCGTGGGAGAGCGTGATGGAATTGATCACGTTGGCGAGGACGCTGAAGTTGTACTTGCCGTAGATCTTGTACTCAGTGACGGTCGGTCGGGGGTTGAGGAACTCTGCGGCCCTGGATGAGATGCTAATGAGCCGATGGATGGGAACGTACTTGGTGATCATGCGACCGGTGTGGCCGTCGATGATGCTGACGGTGAGTTTTCTAGGTGCTGAGCGGGCCTTTTTCTTCGGTTGAAGAGCTTTTAACACGCCTGCTCGGGCGAGAGCATCTATGATAGTATCTTCTTCCTTCCGCATCTTCTCCGCCTTGGGCTTGTATACTACTGGCTGGAGAAATTTGAGAGTATCTGCCTTTGGCTTCTTCGGCGCGTGAGGGGTCTTTGGCTGGTGAATTGCCGTTTTTGGGGTGGTGGGGCATGTATTGGACATGTCGAGGTTCTGATCTTCTGTTGTTATGTGTTCTGTCTGGTGTCAGGCTTCGCCCTACGTTCTTAGTTGAGGCGTTGTCTGTGTTTATTATTGTGGGTGTGATGATGAGCAGCACTGGAAACGAGGTCTGGTGCTTAAGTATGGCATTTCAAATGTATATCCCACAATGCTGATTAGTGTAATACTTCACGATGATGGAGGGCAGAGTACAACCCACAACGCTGATTAGCGTAGCAGTTCACGATGCTGTGAGGCGGAGCGGTGTGGTCGACGTCTCTTTGTTCAAATTACTGGTTGACAGTGGATGCGCTAACACGCTTAACATTCATTGTTGCTTTAAGCTCTCCCACAAAGAGGTCGTTCTCTTGATGATCCAGCGGTTGGTGCTTGAATGGAGGCATCGTTGTGATGCGGGTTGTATGGAGGAGGATGTCAGTGTTTATCAAAGCGAGCAGCTAAGAGAAGCCTATGATATTGCAGCCTTTCCCCTCCTGTGTGGCTGTGCTACGACATGCATCAAGCTGCAGGAGCAGGAAGCTCCAGCACTGTGTCGACCTATCGCATGCTGACTGACGCGCATCACAAGTCCACAGTCGAAGTCCACAAGGAGGCTCAAAGCCGAGGACGAAAGGGTGACACGAACTGAATTACCAATTTTATATACAAGAAGTACGCTAGTCATCTCCGATAATCATATGTACAACGAAGAAAGGCTTCAATCTTTACCTAGCAGTCGAATTGCCACCAATAGAAGAAGCATCAGGGGCACCTACCAGCGCCAAGTTCTCAATACCAGCAACACCGTACAAGGCGGCAGCGTTGGTGCTGACCCACTTCGCCTCGTCAACGGGGATGAGCACAAGGGGCGGCAGAATACGCTCTGTCTTCCAGGGTGCGTTGGGTGCAAGACCGTCCTTGCTACCGTCACCAAGGTACTCGGACCAGACACGGGGCACCAGAGTAGCGTTGTTACGCTTGTTGGCTACATAAGCAGTGAAGCGAGAGTGACCCTGCTTCAGGTTGAGGTTGCCAAAGTCCTTGCCGTACCTAGCTGCCTGCTCAGCCTTGGGGGCGCCGTAGTAGTAAGCATAGTCGAGGAAGGCATCGAGGAAAGGCTGAGTAGTGTTACGAGCTTCGGCGCCGAAGTGGTCTATCAGCTGGTCGATGGTCTCAAGGACACCGAAGACACCCGACAAATGAGACACGGTGATGTTGCCGTTGTTGTCAGGGTCTGTTGGTGGCGGCGACCAGGCTCCGGTATAAATATTGTACAGTGCTTCGCCCGTTACGAAGCCATTCTTGAGCTTGGGGTATGTCTTAATAGCCTCGATGAGCTTGTCACGGGCTTGCTCCCAGTTTGGACCACGGCGCTCCCACTCGACGAGATAGGCCTGGGCAAGACCAGCCCAATCTGTGCCGAAGTTCAAGTAAAGTGCCTTCGGATCGGGATTGTATACCACGCTGGCGGCACGGACCTTGCGGCGAGCGTCGACAGTAACGAAGGCGTTAGCAGCCTGTTGTGTCTCGCGAATGAGATCGCCGGTGCGCTCGTCTCCTCCGGAGATGTAGAAGAAGGTTTTTCTGTAAACGGGCGTGGAGATACGAGCTTGCTTAGCACTGTCGGCCCAATGCTGAACACCGTGCCTTGTACCTAGGCCAGTGAAGTTGCCGAGGTGGTACGAGTCAACTTCACCGCCATGGCGCGCTTGGTCATGGGCAAGACGATACGCGCCAGCATCACCAGTGCGCAGGAAGTGTCCCCAGAAGAATAAATCAGGCGATAATTCAGAATTATCCCACGCATACCCTCCGATATCGAATCGCCATTGGTGGCGGTCGTCGTCGTAGGTGTGGATGATGTCGCCGTGGTCCCAAAATCCGTACCACCGGCGCTGCTCAACCTGGTTTTCGTAGAATTCAATCAGAAACTTCATGTTATTTTCGATCGTTTGAGCTTGCGCGGAGTCCTTCGGAGAGCCTGGAATGTCCCAATAGCTACCAATTGCCTTGGTATCGCGGATATACTTTGGCTCGGGTATCAGGACTGGGGGATCGTTGGTGTTGTTTGTCAGCGTAGAAAGATGGTCAGCTGTCGGAGTAGTGGCGAATGCATAGAGGAATAGCTCATTCGTGCGTCCGACTCCGTAAGGAGTGTTGTAACCACCTTCGTAGTCCTCGTAGGTGATCTCGAGAGCGTCCAGCTGCTTAGCGTATGTATCCTGGCCGAGACCATCGTGATATGGTCTGACATCGAGAGGCTCAGCCTGTGGGCTGTAGAGCCACAAAGTTACAGAGCCAGTGTCAGTGGCAGCGTTGGAGATGTCCAGACTGGTGGGGTACTTCTTCCAAAAATCACGGAGCCCCAGCGCGATACCGCCATTCGAAGACCCACCCAAATAAGCAAGCCCACCCGAGCGAGTACCTCCTGGGATCTTGACCCAGCTCTGTCCAGCCTTGGTGCGCTTCTTGAGATTAAACCCGTCAGGAGAAAGCTGAGTCAACCGGTAGTCACTCCAGGTGGGAATCCATTGCAAACGGGTCGTTACCCTTTGATCCCAGGTTGTCTTATCGGGCGTCTCGTCACCGTCAAATTGAGCCTTCTTTACAGCTGCACCGGGGTCGCGGCGAAGACCGGTAATACCCTGGACCGCTTCATGTAGCAGACCTCCGTCAACACCAGCAATGCGAACATGGCGGTTGTACTGCTCCTCCCCAGCAAGTGGGACGTCAAAACGGACACCAAGGGCGGAGATGAAATCGCTCTTATCCTCACCATCGTAGATGATGGTGTGGATGATGCGAATAGCTTCCGAGTTTGCGTAGAGGTAGAAGCGCACAGTGAACGGCAACCAATCTGCGTGCGATGCGTCACCTTCGACTGAATGAATGCCCTGAACAGTGACCAACGCGCGCGCAGTATTGTCCTCCGAGACAGTGGTGTTATGGATCTTGCTAGCAAAGCTGAAGTAGTCGATACCAGTAGGTTTTCCGTTCTCATCGTCATCAGGGGTGCCGTTTTGTGATCTCAGGACCAATCGACCATTGTTTCCTACAACCTTGCCACCGGACTCGATGGAAGATACCAAGACATTGCCAGACTTGGGGAACGTAGCCGTAACCTTGCCAGTGTTGACGACAATCTCGTCTGCTGAATCGCTGACTTGCACACTGCTGGTGCTGTTGCTACTCTGACGTCTTAGACGGGAGAAAGTAGCGTTGCCTGGACCAGAGGCGGTGATGGTGTATTCGTCAGCGGGGGAATCTGTAGCACCAAGCGCGTGTCCGGTCCACTTGAGTGAGCCATCAGGCCAGTAGGCGGTGACCCAGGATTGGAGCTCGGCATCACCTGAAGCCGTGAATGTAGTTGCGTTGGCTAGGTGCTGGCCACGAGGCCATGGAAGACCAAAGGTGACACCACCAAGGTAGTCTGGGGTTCCTTCGAGCCACTTGACTTTAACAGAGTCGGTTTGTGCCGCTGCACAGCTGAGCAGGCCATAGAGGCCAAGCACAGTCTTCAACATTTTGAAAAGAATGGAAGGGAAGCTGGGTCGCGTCCTGGATGTTCAACGAGGAACCACGATGTAATTTGTACCTGCATTGAATGCCGCACGCCCGGTCTCGGGCTTATCGTGAAAGCATGTCGCCATCGAATATCATCGCAATTTCCGGAGCACCAAGTCGCTTTGGGAAGAATAGCCGTCAATTCCTGGGCACGCAAGAGAGCATCCACAGAGCGTGATGCAAGCGACATGAGATTACAAAACGGGCCTCGCGTGTGCTGCAGGGGCAACACCGTTTGGGGAAGATGGATCGAGCATTTGCGGGGGCGGGAGTGGATCTACATGCACATGGTGGTGTGGGAGTTTATCCGCAGTTATTTTCGGGCCAACAGCGCCCGAATTAGTCGCTACTCGGGGCCTTGAGCTCGGACGAAGTCATCTTAAACGACAAAGTCCATAATGAGGGGAATAGGCCAAGATTCGCACCAAGGGAAGCACGCCGTTTACTCCGTGGGGTCGACAAGAACTACGAGAGAGTTTCGAGTCAGGGGCTGCACGTGACGGGTGGCGCAACACGGACCAAAGATTTAGTAGACGAGAGCTGTCATTTGCCTCGTACGACTTACACAACTTAGTCTGAACTTCATGCTGATAATCCCCACACCAGACTCGACGATGGTCAGACTGCGCAAAGACAGGCGTATGGACCCAGCCCTCCGAACAGTCCCCCAGTCCGTTACAGACTTGTACATAGAACAATCCTGCAGCTCTCAAGGACTCGCACGGCCTACCCGTGATCGTTGGAGTCGGCAGTCAAAATAAATTGTACCTGCGCTTCCGCCCATCAACCGATCTGCAGCCAGCATTTGGGTCTTGGCATGCAGCCTGAGTAAAGTAACGTCTATAACCGTTAGTTCGATGGCAAAATTGCCACAGTCCATGCTTACCCTATGTAAGTAGTTGTAAAACATCAAGTAAGAGCTCGTTTCTGTGCTCAACGTTCATTGGTAGCATTCAAGCTGACGGTTCTGACTGCACAACTTGCCTGGCCCAAACTAGCCATTCACTCCAGTAAGGACCCAGGCATTGGTCCACGACTTCAACTATGCTCTTTCCACAGCCTTCTATCCACCAGTAGTGATCCATTCGGTGAATCAAGGCGCCAAAGCAAGCAAAAGTTATCATTGCCGGTGCTTGCCGCTGTTCTAAAAGCGTGAAGAAGGATTCGGGTGTTACTGAGATCCAAATGAAAGGCCCAGACCAGGGTCCGTAATTGGCTTTTCGCAGAGAAGTGTGATCATACCAGCTCTCAGACTGCTTCAACCACATATTACATTGCCTCAAAGCGAACAAAGTCTGATCGTAGGTGGCTTTGTCTTCATCGCTAAAATTGCCTTGGCTCCACAGGTCCCTTATGCGATTGATCTGTTTGTCTTCGTCATCATCTTCCGTGCCTGGCTGAAGCTCCATCCACTTGGAAATGTCCAGTAAAGAGCTTAAAGGACCTGCCAGGACTTGCTCTCGAACTCGCTCTATGACAGGGTGCAGTCCGCGTATTAAAGGTATCCAAGAAGCGCCTAGAACGCGAGTGGTATGCGGAGTGGCCATTGCGAATTCATTGTTGTAGAGAGGTCCAAAGGAGATAAAGGCGTAGAAAAACGTCAACACTGCATTTGCGAATATGGAATTTCCACCTCTTGGCTCAATGTCGCTGTCCAGGCTTCCCATGAGCCCCTCGAGAGCTCGGCTATGGTGTTGCCCGGCAACCTGCATGGCTGACCGTCGATCGGCGGGCTCCAAATAGGCTTGGTGCAATGCGGCAATGCTGAGTAACCTACTCATCAACGGACCGTTGGTGAAAGCAAATTGTGGAAATGCTGCTTGCCAGATGTAGTTCACACATGACGAATGTACAATATTGGGGCTCGTTACCATAGTCCAGTGATGCAGCAATGCCAGGTCACTAAGTGTGTAGAGTGACGAATCGGTAGTGACAATACTTGTGTAACTAGTAGGGGATCTTTGTCGTGATGGCGTTGCAGCCAATCGCGTCGGCAATGGCGATGCTGTGCTTCTCTTCGCTCTCACAGGAGGTTTGTCAGGAAACACACATGTGACGAGATGGCGTACACAGTGAGCGCATGACGGTCTCTCTTCGCCACACTTGTATACAACATTAAAAAGGAATTATGTACAGGAAGCACCAAACACACCTTAATGCGTCGTCGCTTGCATTCGTCACATCCGGTCCGCGACTTGCGATGCGCTCGACGGGTCTCGCCCATCACAAGCTAGCACGTTTGTATATACGAGGTCAGATTCAGTATGATGATTACGATTGGTTCTGGTTGTGGCAACCTCGTGGTGTTGGAAAGAGGAATGTGATTCTCCACAATGTCCCGAGGTCGGATGCGAAAAACGAAATACGCACAGCCCCTGTCCGGGCTAACTTAACACAGACGCACTACAAAATACCCCGTTCATCACTTCTCGGCCCCTTTGCATTGTCCATGACAATGATGGTCCTTGATGCCGTTTCACACACGGTCTCTTTGGTACAGGTCGATGACACTCTCCGTCTTTCCCAGTCTTGAGCTTCTCCCCACGCCAAAAACCTCTGCTGCGTAAATGAAGTGCATCATTACCTGCACACCCAGCATAGGTGCTGCGTCGAAAAGGTAAATGTATATTTCGTGGCTTACGAGGTAACCATCGTGCCCTTGCGCAAACTCGATGACACGGAAGATGCATCGCAGGATGATGACGACTGCAGCGGCCAGCACCAGCTTCAGGAGTTGGTCCCACGAGTGTTTGCCATACTGTGGGATCGCGTACTGCTTCGATGACTTGGTCATGCGTTTCCAGAAGACCAGCGCGATGCAGAGAAAAAATCCGAGGAAGAGTAGCTGCACGAAGAGACCAATCAACATGATCTTCTGTCCCATGTTTGCCATACTAGCCTGAGCCATCATGCCGCCACCACCAGCTTGCATGAAGAATGCGACCACGTCTCCGCAAACGAACACTTTTGTGACCAGCGTTGGGCGGATGATGGAGGCTTCTGCGGCGTTGACAAAGAGGACTAGTCGGCCGTATATCATGTAAATCGTAGCGGCGTAGAGCGAAGGCGGTAGGATGATGAGTAAAGACTGCCCGATGTAGGGTCCCAGGTCGGCGGGAGATCCTGCAGAAACATAACGAAAGCCATAACCTGCTGTCATCACTTTGTAGATGTTAGTATGAAAGCATGAAGGATGAAGGGGTACTACGAACTCAAAGCTCCAACGACGAACGAAGTGTAAAACCAAGCGCGCGATCTTATCAATTGGAAAAGGTGGTATATGGCACTGGCTCCAAACAGCACAGCTGCAATCACGCAGGCCGTCCTGTTGGGCGTGTACGGGTAGATACCAGTGTCACCTGCCATCTTAAATGGCTATTTGGGTTCGTTTAGGAGAGTATACACAAGGAGAGCTCGGAGATCTGGATGGCGATTGAAAGGTGGATTCGGTAAGAAAAGAATCAAGAAGCGGTTAAAGGTAAGATAAGGAACAAACAAAAGAGCGATAGTGTCTCTCATCGTTGAGATGATGTAGATATTTAAACTACGCGCGACCTTCTTGGTACCAAAACAGATGGCCGTTGCGAGGTGTGCGTATGTACCCACAGCTATACGTCCGTATATGCTATACGGTAAGCGCATTGACCAAGTTTCAGAACACAGCCACACACCTGTCAGAAAATGCTCTCGAATTATTAAACGTCTAGAATTGCATGGACACGCCCGGCAGCTAATGGCTGCCGTAAACCGTACCTATCTCGGCGAGCGATGGTTGACTACGAGGCCAAGGTAGATGCCTGACTCTGAAAACAACCTTATGCTGTCCATGTCCACCATAGGTAAGCGCTCAAACAAGAACGAGATACGGCGGACCGTGCCTCTAGCGCCGTCATACTGGTGAGGCACTGCCACTTTCAGGAGACGGCGTTTGCGGCCAATACTGGGCCTCGTGGCATCCTACACATGGCATCGTTCACAATCAGAAATTACACTCAGCTGATGTGTAGCGTCAAGTCAATGGGTGCCTCCAGGACTATCTCCTCGTTGGCAACATTTTTGTAATCATGCAAACCTGAATGGATTTTCGCGGATTGCGGTCGGAAGGTAAGTTTGCAGCTGGCTCCCTGTACTATGCGCGCCGATTCAAGCAGTGCTGATGGAAAGCCCGGTTCGGCAAGAGACATCATTCCCAGGCTAGAAATATGCGGGAGCTGCCTTTTCTCTAGTGCCCCTGGCCACTTCCTATTTCTGGCGTGAACTCCTTCATACCTTCCTTGCATTCGCTCTGTCTGTTTCGCACGTGCAGCCTTTCAAACCTTAGCACTTCTACTATCTCCCATCCTTCATTTCACAGCAGATCTGTAATCATCACTCATTCGCATTTCTATCACGCACATCGTTCACATCGTCACCATTTTCGCGCCCATGTCCGACTATCGCAGCGACATGTTAGAGCGGTTCCGTGTGTTGCGCCGGCTCGAACATGAGTTCCCTTTATCCAGTTGTGCGCTTTCAACGCAGGAAACGACGAACAGGGGACGACACATAGCCATGTGCGTTGAGAACCTCGCTCGGGAATTGTCACAAGGTAGAATGCTTACGGCCAACATGCCTCCACAGTCACGCAGATCTTGGTACCTAGTCAGCAGCATACTGACAGCATTGATGCAGAATACCAACAAGGTTTAGGACATCATCAACGGGGAGAAACTGTCTGGAGGGAAAGGCAAATGGACCGACTACTGACGCAAATCAAGTGTTTGCACGACTTGCCCAAACAAACACAACAGTCTGAACTCCTCCGAATCTGCACGACAATAGATGCCTTGCCACAAGTACAAGACAGTAGGCAACCTAATGCGATACCAACCCCCCCGGAGCTGCGCATACCCGTTCGCGCCTTTGTTTCGACCTTGCCCGATATTCAGTACAGAGAGCAGCTCGAGAAGGAGTTCGAGCGAACGTTGGAATACGTTCAGGCTCAGCGCAAGATTCTGAAGGCTGTAACAGAGCAGAACGCAACTCTCACAGCGAAAACCGCATACCGATGGACAAGCAGTTGCGTGCCGAGCGACCAACATCCTTCGCCGCTACAAGCTTTACGGCTGTGCTACTACATGCGCTCGCTAGGTTTCGAAACGTTTGCAAGTATCAGAACATATGAGAGTCAAGGATTTGGGTTCCAGACAAACATTCTCCGCCTGTTGGTTGCCAATCCAGACAGCGAGAAGCGCGGAGTGACTCACGATCATTTGTACTGGGCACAAGACATCACAACTGGCGAGGTATTGACAAAGGCCTATAAACTGAGGTATCGCTGCCTCTTGATGAGATCTGGGTTCGTGACAAATTCACTTGCGCTCGATATTGGTCCATCATTCGACGCCGAGGGGCTCAGACGACAGTTCAGTCAGCAACAGGGTGGGTCAGTTCAGATGCGCGGAGGTGAAGCCCGAGAACACCATCGTTATATTCTTACGGTTGAACAGCTTGAGTGGCTGCGAGCCGATAAGCGGCGGTGGTTTGAGCAACGCGTGCAATGGGTGGCCGAAGAGGCCGCTGTCGCTCGAGCAGGACGAATGCTCGAAGCACGCACAAGTACAAGGTAAGCTTCATCCCGATCACCATATGTACCAAACTAATGTTAGCCGTAGTCTCGTCGACGAAGTCATCCGCCACTTTCAATATAGTACAGGCCGGTATGCCTCTCCTGGCGAAGTGATGACTGCCACGAACCCCCGAGCGGATACCTGGTCATCGACAGAGGCAGGCATATACTGGCCAAGAAGTAGCAGACCGCGAAGTCATTACCAGATGCTGTCGCCTTTGGGAAATCGTTCGTGTGTGCGTCGAAACTCTGTCTAAGATAGTTTTGAGATGATTGAAAGGGGCTTGATATCAAACTCAGTGATGCTGAACAGATCTGAGGAGTTCGTGATGTATGAGAAACATGGCTGCAGCCTCCTGGCTACGCTATGTTGACTTATGTAAAGGATACCGGACATGTGCAACAGCCATCCTCACACCATTGTGTAAGTTTTGTGGAGTCATGCACTTCTATATCTCATGATATAGCTACGCCAATTCAGTCGTTTGATCAAATGTCTCTAGAAGCTCAGGAGGCGTCTGGATCAGGCTCTCACGTTGCGGGATAAATGGTGGACGATGTGAGCCAGATATTCTACCACGCGACAGTAAAGGAAGGAGAATCCACAGAGACTTTACAGATTACCGTTTTGCCTACAATAAAGGTCACGCTAGACTGAATTATAGCTTTGAGTACTATTAAAACTACATTTCCTCTATCAAAGTTGGTCAGCTTGAAAGTCGCTTATCCGCCGTTTTTATGAAACTTGAGGATCAGGGTCTGTTGGAGTTGGTCGTTGATGTCACTATGAAGCATCAACGATTATTTGCGTGCACATGTCGTGTGACAACAAACGTAGATATCCATACATAGTGTACTTACGGTATCGAGAACATCTTGCGTACATTCCTAAAAGGTATGCACTTTGCGAGGCCCTTTCGGACATGTCAGCGCCAAAGCAGACGGACTTCAAACTCGACGCTGTAGAACATCAGCATCGCCAATTTCGGTCCTGAGACTCGTTGCGGTGAACATGTCGAAGAGGCTGATGCCCCCACTGCGCGCTGAGCTCAGCTGTACGACACACCTGCAGCAGCCAGCCAGCCTCAGCCACCTACAAATTCTCCGAAGATGGCACATCACGCGCAATAAGTTTTTCGAGGTCTACGCGATTTCTCGGTGTTGCGCTTTTGAGTTTTTCGAGGCGCCTTGTCGTCTCCAAACAGTTTGCGAACGTTATGACTGATCGTCGGGATTCGCGACGAGGCAGGCAGGCTGCGCGAGTCCAGCTCGGCCGGTGGTGGCGAATCTGAGGCAGCCGAGGTGCGGCGACAACGTTCCTGCGTGATGGGCAGGTACCACGGGGTACAGACCGGGATGCTGAGTCGACATGAACATGTGCGATTTCGTGCAGACCTCCATCTTGGTGATCGAAGCATGCAGTGTGGTGTTCGTTGGGCGCTGATAGAACGGGAAGGTGGTGACGTCATAGTGTGAGGGCCATTGAGTGCTGACCCCCAATAGACCCTGCTATGACTGGGCCTGTGACTCCTTGCAGCAACCTGAGAACCACCTTTGCCGACCACGTGGTTCGATCGCCGTGATGCGTTTTCGATATGGCGATGAACGCTGTGGAGAAGCGCAAGACGCGCATCGTGTGCATCTCTGATACGCACAACAATACACCCAAATTGCCTCCCGGGGATGTGCTGGTACACGCTGGGGACTTGACGAATCAGGGCTCGTACGACGAGCTGGAGCGGTCTGTGGCATGGCTGGAGAAAGCACCGTTTGAGGTCAAGATTGTCATTGCTGGTACCCTCCCTTGATTCGGATGTGAACATACGGTAAGGCTGATTACTTGTAGGCAATCACGAGATCACACTTGACGAGCAGTTTTATGAAGAGAAGGGAAGTCGCTGGAAGTGGCCTGCATGGCAAAGTCCACGAGGATGCATGAAATTATTGCGAGAATCGAAGACGATAACCTACCTCGAGAACGAATCAACTATGGTATATTTGAAGGAGCCGAACGGACCTCACACATGCTTCAAAGTGTTTGGGAGTGCAAGTACACCTGGACCCGGCAACTGGGCGTTTGAATATCAAAAGGACGCCGCGAAGGGGCTGTGGTCAGCCATACCTAAGGATGCCGACATTGTGGTCACTCACACACCACCAAGAGGACACTGCGATGCGGCGACGAAGGACGACCGGTCTGGATGCCCTGCGCTCTTAGAAAGATTGGCCATTGTCAAGCCATTACTGCATGTATGCGGTCATATTCATGAGGCTCGGGGAATCGAGCGTATTCATTGGAGCCCTTTACTACACAGCGACAGCCTTGTCGAAAGTGTAGAGCATTGGCGGGACCCAGGCAACGGGAACAAGAAGCTATCGCTGTTGGATCTTACATCCAAGTCAGGGCATCCATTAAGCAATAGCGTGTCGACAACACGTCAGTGTCAGCCCGACTCACGGCTGCGTAGCCCTCGAATCAAGCCTGGCTTGGTCCTTCAGCCTGACCAAGACAACCTAAATTCGACTTCGAGCCTCATCGGCGGTGCCCTCCAAGAAAATGAGGCGTACGGGAGGATTGTGGATAGCGGGGTTGGGAAGCAAAGACGTGATATTGTTGCACCCGGGGCAGCCTTGCGGGGCGACTCAGGTGGTCAGTCCAGACCTTCCAGATACGAGGAGACCGTCGTAATCAATGCGGCGTTCCTTGGGCCGAGGATCAATGGCAAGACGACTGGAACCAACAAACCCATTGTGGTTGACATTGACTTGCCAGTGTGGAAGAGGGACGGTAACGAGCAAGTACAATGATGTAGCAAACTGCAGCCATCCGACTTCGCAGCCCTAAATGATCTCATCAGTGAGTTGATATCGAATGCCAAAACCTACATCGCCGCACGACGTCGCTTCCTGTTCTGCTCTGCTCAATTGAAGATGACCACGTCGAGGGACTCGGATTGCCGGCTTCTGCAGAGCATCTGACGATTGGACGTCGATGCGCTGTGCCCCGCTACCAGTCCTCTACCATGCATAAGCGTACTTTATCAACCACTCAGACGGGAGAACCATTGCAGACTAATGTCTGTCAACTTTGGTAGTGTCCGGGACGGATCGAGCGCTCAGAATCGCTGCCTGGCGAAGTAACCGCCGTGCAAATCCTCCATAGAGAAACGACGGTTGGGGATCCTGGCATAGTGTCAGGGCACGCACATCCTTTCCTGGGACGAAGCAACGGGTGCGCAAAAGGAAGCAGGCGTGCCGAAGCCGCATGACTGCTCCGGTCCTCAGTCTGAGGGCCTTGGTGTCTCGGATTCCACGAGATGCTGGATCATTCGGGAGGTCTTAAGAATGCGCAGTCGTCACGGGCCGCTTGCTTCATTTTCGCAGGTGCCGTTGGTCACGTCTTGCAAATGGGTTTTGCAGCGGTGGGGTGATTTCCTGATTGGCAGAGCTTAGAGACTGTGGGGGTGTCACTTGGGAGCACAAGGCACCTTCGGGTGGTTTCTGGATCATGCAGGTTCGCTCCGTAGGTGTCTGACCATGTGGCCCGATAACAACGTGATTGGACGTGTGTTTTGTAGCCGCTGGTGCCCGCTGCAACAGAAGGTGCAGTCGGCGTTGGGACAGGGCGTGCTCCAATGGGACGCGCAAACACACAGCGACTCGAGGAGTGGCTCAGAGAAGGTTGCGAAGGCGTCCTTTGGGGACGACTACCGTTGAGCAGCCGGCTGATGCGGAGCAGGCAGCGGATGGAGTCGCGAGTGGGCCCGGGGTGCTCAGCACCGTGCAGGGGCGCCAGTGGGCTTGCAGCAGCGCCGCGAGAATGTGCTGAGGTGCTGCGCTGCTGAGTGCGCGAGACAGCTGCCCGCTATGGGACACTAGGGAGCCCTGATGCACCCAGCCTATGCGCGAGTCCTCATCACACTCTGGGCGGGATCGCAGGGCATAGCCTCATGAGCGCGGTCTGTCCTAAATGGAGTGCATTCCTCGGGCCCTTTGCACACGCTTACTGTTCGCAACTAATCTTCGGTCGCACACATTGTTACTTTCGGCCTGCGTTGGACCCTTTGCTCATCGCTTTTGGCAGCTTTGGACCCTTCTGCTTCTATAATTCGATTCGTGCTCCCACTCGATTCCATCGTAGCACCGTCTGGAACGCGGCCTGCGAGCAACCGACGCTGGGCAGCGGGCATTGACGTAGCCCCTCTTCACCGCCGTACACCGCAAGTCAATCAGGTTCCCCCTCGCAACAAAGGTCGCTTGAAGCGATTTAGCAGAGGAACACAGCCCCGCACGCTTTGTCAGAGCTGCGAGTGCCTTTGTCCGCGATTCTCTTCTTGTCCGCTCCCTGACGTTCGGGCTGCTACGGCTTTCTCCACGTTTCTTTTCGATCGCTGTCAGGGACAGCCGGCTGCTAGGTCCGTCCCTTAGCTCAGCATTTCCAAGCCGCAGCGTCACGACCCAACCTCACCCGAGGACCAGGAGACTTCTTGCTCGGCCAACAATCGCCCTCTTTTAAGCTGCCTGCCACGCGCACCTGACAGAGTTGTCGCCCGACCTTCGCTACACGGTCGCTACACGACTTCCAGACTTTGCCACCGCGGCTCCAGCCACCTGCCGCGCACCACCGCCACAGGCCGGCTTTCACCCGCGATTCGTCGCCGATTCATGTGCACGCCGCTTGCAGTGCACCTGCGTCCAACAAAAGTCTGACCATCCCCTGCGACTGCGCATTGCGACATCAGGCTCCTGCTACTTACACCCCTCTCGCCCTCCCCCCTCTGCATTGACACTTCCACCTGAGAGGCACGACGCAAACACGGCGACATGTCTTTCGAACCGTTGCCCGACCACTACAAGGCCCTTGGGATAGACCGGACCGCCGATGCCGCCACCATCAAGAAGACATATCGCAAGCTGGTCCTCACCTGCCATCCCGACAAGGTCACAGACGAGGCCCTGAAGGCGCAGAAACAAGATGAGTTTCACAAGATCCAGCAAGCCTACGAGACCCTGAGCGACGATACGCGCAGGGCAACCTACGAGGCCGAGCTGAAGCTGCAGCAGCTGCGCCGCGAGAAGCTTGCCAGGACTGCCAGCGGCACCACTGTCGAGCCCAAGAGCGCACGCTTCCAGCAGCCCACCTCTGGAGGCTCATACACCGCCAACACCTCAGCCCGCTACACCACCGAAGAACGCCGACCTACGGGAGCATCATCGTCGCGCCATAACGATTATGACGACGAGCGCTACCACGGCACCCACAAGACAGACTCGCACTTCGCGTCGCCAAGACGCTCCTCGCCGAGACCCACCCCATCATCACGCTCGTCGCGGGAAAAGTACGAAAAGGAGGTACGAAGAGAAAAGCCCTCCGACCGCACACGCTCGAGCACGACCAAGGCCCGCGACAGCGAGCGCCGGGACCGCACAGGCAGATTCCCTCATGATAGCGAGGGATCGTCTGGTGAGGACCGTGCGCGTCTGGAGCGCGAGCGTGCCTATAAGACACGCGCTGCCGAAGACGACTCGCAAAGGCGTGAGGAGCGCCGCAGAGACGATCGCCGACACGACGACTACGAGAACACCACGCCACGCAAGTTGAGCGTGCAGCAAGATGATGCTATTCGCTACATCCACAAGTCTCGCGCTGAAGCGGAAGCCAACTTGCGTCCATCGCCTGTTAGGACCGCATCAAGGGACTACTACGAGCCTAGTAGCCGCTCCTCTAGGCACCGAGAGGTTCGACCGGAGCCTGCGCCACGCAGGTCATCTGCCCGTCCCAAGGAGCGCTCCAGCATGCCCTCTCGTCGTGATACAGACCGCGGCAACCTGGAAGTCGTTGACTGGGACGATCGACGACCATCCTTCAAGCAGTCGGCTTCGTCACCAGCAGATATCCGGATTCCAGTCACGCCTCAGCGCTCCGCGACTGAGTCATACCGACGCTCAGAACGTTCGCCACCTCCCCGCTTCCCCGGTCTAAGCCGCTCCGCCACCATGCCCACTGTCCCTGTTGCAGAAGCTGGAGGATCGCGTCGCGAAGCCAAGGGTTATCCTCGCCAGTCAGGCCTCCGAAATGAGGCCAATGGCAGCCCTGAGCGCGATGCTTACCCGACTGTTCCGGCGCCTCAGCAAAGCAACAAGACATATTATTCCTACAGCCCAGCTGACGGAGGCGTCAAAGCCATGGATCCACCTCACCGCACTATCCTCCGCGAACCAGAACGCGTTCGCCACCGCTCGCCCTCGCCCATCGGCAAACCACCAATGGGCGCCAACCGCCCCACGCTTCATTCTGCAAAGACCTACGCACCCAGTGGCCGCACGAGCCGCCAGGCGTCGCCTGTGCGAGACGATCGCGGACGTTCCAATCAGATGAAGTACGGCGAAGTGTCGTCGGACTACACACGCAGGAGAGGCATGCCCGAGCGCCAATCGAGCTTCGATCCGCACAATGTGACCTACGCCCCTAGCTTTGGACCTGAGGATATCAGGTGGGCGCCAAAGCGCGGAGATGAGAGGTACTCGGATCGCAAGCCCACTCTTGGCCGCACCACAACATCCGTCTACTGAGGTGCTGACATTTCTTACTAAGTTTTGCTTTTCGGCGTGTTTCTGCGTTTGATCGTTTTGAACCGGGCGTCGCCGGGTATGGATTGAGCAGAGGACGCATTGCATACCACCAATGAGGTCAAGTACATACCACAACCAACCGCACATAGGCACAGAGTTCGATACCCATGCCTCGGCTGTTTTCGCTATTTTCGCATTTCACATTTTTGAGGTACAGGCGTTCTGGAGCATATACAGAGTTCACTCGGCCGCAAGTGCTGCTCGGCGTCGAGATCATCTTTGTCATCTGGAACTGAAACCGGGTTCTCAACGACCCTTTAGGCAGCGTATTTGGCCGCATTCACTTGAGACACTCGCTTGTAGATATGACTTAACGACTTTGCATTGTTTTCTATTAGTAAATCGGAGGTTTCCAGACCCCGCAAGATAAGTCTGAGATGTATGTAACAAATAACAAACAACAAACAAGAAATAAAAGATAACGAACTAAAGAAATTATCAACATTACGTGTGCACGCCCACCACAATATATGCGCACTACTCGTGCCTCGCCTTTGACGACCTGAGGGTATCTCACACTGTTGAAATAGAACCCTTCAGATGTGTATCCGACTCCCACGCTGATGCCGCCCGCTCGCAATGCCAATCAATGCTGTACGCTTGCTGTGTATAACCGATTTACTCGATGTCCCAGTACTTGGTGATGTCGATGCCCCCTCCCCTAGCCCCCTCATCGTCCGAATCCTCGATCTCCTCGCCATATCCACTGGCCTCGACCGTCCCTGGAATCGATTGCGGTTCGTTAAAGCCAAGCAGAGGCGCGTCCAGAAGTTCGGCCGCTACGCGCCCAGTAGCCTCTTGATCATGCTCCGCCGTCCACGCTGCGACATGAGCCTGCTTCTTCGCATACTCGATGCGGTTCTGGATCGTCTTGCGTATATGTTGCGAGTGCCACCAACTTCCCCACCGCGCAGGGAAGTCCTGGTATGTGTCCAGACCCAAGGAGCAGCTATCCTCCTGGCCAGCCCACTGGGCTTGCAGAATATGATCAGTCAACGTAGCTGTCATGCTCCAAACGAACGGCCCGCAGGCACCGTCATCTGCGCAGTTTCCCTCCGCGTCTCGAAACTGATTGTCGCGGAACTGGTTTGGAGTCTGCCATTCACGGTAGAACTCCCATTCTTGCACGTTCTCGTCCAGCATGGTCAACATGCCCTGCGCGACAAAGCACGCGGCCTCCCAAAACCGGACGTCTGCCATGAACGCCGAGTCGTAGTAGTGCATGCGCTTGTGCACGCGGTCCAGCGCGACAAGCGACCAGTGGGCACCCATCAATTCGACGTCCTTGGGTTCTCCAATGGCGTCGTTGACGGGGAGGAAGATCCACTTCTTATCGCCAAAGGCCCGGGCATATGCCTCTTTACCCGCTGGATCACGGTAGGCGCACACCTGCGCTTCAATTGAGGTTGCGATCTGGATGCCGTTGCTAGCGCAGTTCTTGTCAATAGAGAGCGTGTTGAGCGTCATGTCCAGGGCATTATCTTCCAGGTACGAGTCCATGCCAGAGGTGCACGTGATGTTGAGGAATTGCTTGTTGGTGATTGGATTCCCATCGACGTAAAAGTAGTTCGCGTCGTCGAAAGGAACTGGGCAGTGCCAGAACTTGTTGAGCTCGATGTAACGGCGGGGTTTGGGGAAGGGAAGGACTGAACTGGAGGGTGTGATGAGTTCGAGGGTTTGTTGTTCAGCCTTCTCGTTGAGCTTGCATATCTGATAGTAGTTAGAGTTGGCGTGCTTGAGAGCGAGCTCGAGCCATGAGGCAGTTGGCATTGCAGAGTCAATGAGACCCATGCAAAATGCTGTAAACATCCGCAATGCTGTAGAAAAAGTGTAGTAACTTACTTTTTTTGCCTTACGCTTTTCAACGCCAGTACTGACGTCGACACTATAGCGACGCCTACGCAATGCGGACTCTGTGCGCTGCGTTGGAGCGTACTGATGTCGCTGGTAGTCGCGCGAGGCGTGCGCGAACATCTTCTCTGTGCGTACACGCATTATACCGCGGGTTTGCGAGTAGATGCGAGCTTGGCGTGCGCGCTCCATTCTTGCGAATTTGATGACTTCTGTGGAGCGCTTGGCCATCTGTAGGGCCTCCATATTGCCTGGAAGGTGCGCGGGGGTTTGCACGAGGTGTTGAAGAGGCGCTGATCGTGATGGAGCAGGGGATGAGCTTGCAGAAGACGAGCTTGCAGATAGAGTAGCTGAGCTGGATGGCGGAAGCTTAGGTGGAGATGAAGGGACGCGCTCGAGATCTCCGGACATAGCCATGTTTGTTGTGCTTCCACTTGAGCGAAAGCCAGTTGTCCAGCGTGTACTCCTTGTGGTCTTTGTTGTGAATAAAGGAGTTTGTTCATGACAAGGAAAGATAGAGAACAAAGGTTGATAGATCTTGTTCATTGTGTAGCATGGTGAATGAACAAGTATGGTTCAGACTGCACGAACCTATGTTCAGGACTTACTACTTCGTGGTGCGCCCTTGTACCGTGGTACACCCCAGGGTCCTCGAAAACAAACATCGTCAGTGTCGGGATCAGATGTCCATGAAAGACGCCCACTTTGAGCTGAAAGGTGTTGTGAGTAATTGGATGGTTGAACTACGAAGGAACCCTTAGGGGCCTTACAGTAAACACACTAGTTTCAATGCGCCTGCATCCCGTAATCGTAGTAGGCACCTTCTCCAACGTCAGGGAACCCTATTGAACCTTCCACCAGTGACGCCACGACAGTTACCGTGGATGTAGGCCATCGTGCCAGTTCCAGAACCGATGACTGTATTCTCAGAATTTGCTGAGCCGAAGATGTGTAGCGCTTGTCAGAGTCAAGTCGAAAGGAGCGCCTCCAACGACGTTGTGATCTCGTTGGTACCAGAACGACAGCCAAACAACACCTGTTCGAATAGTTGAGTTAAGTGCGGAGCTTGCGCGTCAAACATATAGGTTCAACCCATGTAACGCGAAACCGTACAGGAATGGGCCTGATGTTGTGGTGTAGTAGTCTTCATGTTTGCGCATCTTTCAAGTAGGCCAGCGACTCCACGCTAAATGTACATTGTCGACATGATCTAGTGCAAAGTGTGCTGTCCGTTAGTCAAACGCTAAGGCATGCGACGATCTCAGGACGTTAATGTTGAAGTTGATGATGTTGCTGCACTATGTGCTGGTAGGCAACGGGTCGCGATGCAAGGAAATGACGAGCCTGGAGGTCAGGCTAGCGTGATGCGCTAAGGGTAGCCGCACGCAGATCAATCTGCAGTTTCAGTGCTCAAGCGAGATGTCGCGACGCGTCGAACGCGGTGGTCTGTTCTCCGCTGACATCCGCACAGGATGGATTGGAGTCAACGGTAATGCGCACAAAGCGGAGAGTGACCCGTCCGTTGGCAGAATCGCAACGATTCGCTGCTTTGGCCTTGTCCGCTGGCGGCAGGATGCAGCGCACGGGCATGACGGGTTCGGTGTTCAAGTTCGAGTCTCTCCAGCCTCGTCAGCCACGACCCCAGTTGGGCAGACTGGAAGCCTGGCAATGTCGACGTCTTCCAAGGCGCAAGGCAGAAGCTCGAGCAGGAGTCGGTGACGTGTCGACGGCTGGACTGCGCAAACAGCAGGCCGCGGATACGGCCAGAAATCGAGCCAGCAACCCACGCGTCGTTTTCAACGGGATTACCTCGAAAGCTGAAAAGCTGGAGAGTTGAAACAACAAGTCCATGCGCGTCGTCCGGGGGCGCGAACTGTGAGGCGGTGATCAATGCCGCCTAGCGCCTTGCTCCAGGCCACCTTGTGCATATCAAATAAAGAAACGGCGATAGCTGCGCAGCAGCTGCACTCAGCCCCAACGCGCAAACTTCCATCAAAACTATCGTTTCCAGCGTCGCCGTTGCAGCGAGAAGGCCTAGTGACGGTTCTCGGACGCTTGAGTGGTTCACCGGCACTGTTGCGGTAGCAAAAATTTCGACTTTCTTACGATCTGACGCTAGTCTGAGCTCGGGCAAGCGCGCTAGCCGTTCCTGACACACGCGATATTTAATGCTGTCCAGGTGCATCTCTTAGATAGGCCCGCAGCCCACCTCTCCGAACCAGCACTCCCGGGGCGCACGCGTTACCATCTATCACGTGACACCAACACAACGCGTTCCAGTGCAGCCTTGCGCAGAAGCGGTCTCCCATGGCATCGCCTAGGTGATCCATTAATTTTTAATTGACCACAGCGCAAGCCGCGCCGGCTCTGCGCGTGGCCGCCTGTCGACAAAATGAGGTATGGTGCTAGTTCCTGCACGTCGCGAGGATGCCCGCTAATACTTTGGTAGTGCTACAAGATTGGACCGACTCGTAACGTAAGTGCACCATCGACTGTGCTCGACACGAGCATGAAGTGGGCTTTGCATGCGACGCCGTCCTAATTTGTTTTTTGCTGTGCTACTCATCTCTAGGATGCTTTTCACATACTGATCTGATCGTCTTCGCTAACCGTGCCAAGGCTCCTTGAGACAGGCAGCACAGCGCTGATCCGAAACACGGCAGCTGAGCAACTAGCCGACGTCCAAAAGCAACACCCTGAGGACTTGTTCAATCTTCTCAACCGCGTTGTCCCGTTCCTCCGTTCAAAAAGCTGGGAAACGCGAGTAGCTGCTGCTAAAGCCGTCGGTGGCATTGTCGCCAACGCCGAAAAGTATGACCCAAACGCCGAGGACGAGCCAATCAAACCAGAGACCAAGGTAGAGACCAATGGATGCACAAAAGAGGAGGATGTCGACAGCGCAGCCGTGAAGAAAGAAGAAAATGGCGACGTCGAAATGCCGCTCGCGCCTGACCTGGATGGGAAATTCGATCTCAATACCCTGGACATCGCCGGCATTCTGAGGGATGGCAGTCATCTGGTCGGAGCTGCCAGTAAAGAACTCGAGCACAAGCTGTTGTCTATGAGCCCTGCAGACCGTCTTGCTTACCAGAAGGAAATCCTTCCGAAACGGCTTGGACTCGAGGGGCCCTTCAAAGAGATTGCTGCTGTACCCGCGGAAGATGTCGTTGCGCAACCACCCGGTCTTAGGACGCCCGCTATACATCGTATCGACACGAACCTCGCCAGATCGGATACCCTCAACTCTGCAGCATCACCCCCTGCTGCCACACCAACGGGCGATCACCCAACACTCAGCAAGCGCCAATTGAATGCACAAAAGCGGAAGCAAAAGACTGCCCAGAAGAACAATAAAGGAGTGGCCGTCGATTTCAATGAGCCCGGCGCGAGAAAGGCCTCGCACGCAGAGGCCCTTCAAACACCAGCTCGTATGACTCCCCATCCCTCGTCGCTCAAGCAAGAGAAGTCCGAGAACGGCGAAGGTGGCGAGGGTCTGGACGACTACTTCTCGCTCGAGCGCAAAGGCGGAGACGATGAAGCCAAATTTGTCAAGGAATTCAAGGGTGATGCGATACCTGAGAAGTCTTCGTTCGAAGGTGAAGCGACCGAATCTGGTGGTGAATGGCCTTTTGAGCGGGTCTGCGATTATCTCGCCCTCGAGATGTTCGATCACACCTGGGAGATCCGTCATGGCGCTTCCATGGGCATCCGTGAAGTTCTGCGCGTCCACGGTGCAGGTGCTGGGAGAGTCAAGGGAAAGACACGAGCGGAGAACGACAGACTGAATCAACAATGGCTGAACGACCTCGCATGCCGGATCTGCTGCATCTTCATGCTTGATCGCTTCGCCGACTACACATCCGACACCGCCGTTGCCCCCATCCGAGAGACTGCTGGACAAGCACTCGGCTCTGTCCTACAACACCTCTCTCGCGACAACGTTTTGGCTACATTCAATGTGCTTCACAATCTGATCAGGAAGCGACTTGAAGTCGACACCGGCTGGCATTCTTGTCAAGGTGGCATGATCGGTCTGCGGTATCTCGTGGCTGTACGGAATGACCTGCTTCGTGAGGACGACGCCCTGATGGACGGCGTCTTGGCTGCTGTCATTCAAGGACTAGGCGACTTTGACGATGACATCCGAGCCCTCAGCGCAGCTACTCTCATTCCTGTTGCTAAGGATTTCGTCGAGATGCGGCCTAAGGCAATGGAGGGCCTCATGAACCAGGTCTGGTCGTGCTTTGACGGTCTACAAGATGACCTCAATGCCAGCACCGGCTCGATCATGGATCTTCTTGCGAAACTTTGCAGCTTCCCACAGGTCCTCGCGGCTATGCAGGCCAATGCAGAGAAGGACCCGACGCAGTCTTTCCACGAGCTTGTGCCGCGCCTCTTTCCCTTCCTTCGCCACACAATCACAAGCGTACGTGCTGCTGTGCTACGCGCATTGAGCACGTTCCTCGACATCCAGAGCGCTGGATCGGCTGGTTGGATAGACAGCAAAGCACTCCAATTGACCTTCCAGAACATCATCCTCGAACGCAATGAAGGTGTTTTGAAACTTTCAATGAAGTTGTGGAACACCATGGTCGACAACCTCGGTAGTGACATCGCGACTCACCTAGAACCGATCCTGGGCGCCATCATTCCCCTGACCCTGACGCCTATCGGAGTATCGCGCCACCCAATCGCTATGGACGTGTCACTTCTCATCAAAGCTTCTGGGCAAATGATGGGTCCAGCACCAGTCCCGACACCCAGTCGCCGATCGACACCTCCAGGTGGTACTGAGCCAGCCGCGAAGAAAAGGAAGAAGTCACGACACGGCAAGGAGGAATCAACGCCAATACCATCCTCTACATCTCACAACGTTGATGGACACATGATCGGCGGTGACCTTGAGCTCATCGGCGCCGATGTCATGGTCCGTTCCCGAGCATCTGCAGCACAAGCTCTTGGTAAAGCCATCGCGGCATGGCCATCAGAGACAAGAGAGCCTGTTTTCGGGCACAGACTGTTGCCGCCACTGTCGTCTACAAACTCTACAACACAATTGACGGCCGCTATGATCATCGAAGAATTCGGCAAGAATCTGACGACCAAAGACGCCTTGGCAAATCTCCTCGCAGACGCACTCCTTCCAATGGTCGAAGGCGAGCGTCCGACCGCTTATGAGGACCTGGTACCCAAGCTGCAGATCGTACGTACGCAGTGCACTGCGCTGGTCAATATCTTTAGAGAAGGTCACGTCCAAAACTTGCCAGCACTAGCTGTTGTTGTGCAGGGAGACCCGGCTGCTAGTCAGTATGCTTTTGGCGTTGCTGATGCTGAGAAGCTCATCACTGTTCAATACGAGAAGCTGAAAAAGGCGATGACGCCATCAGCTCGCATGGTCGCTGCGGCCAATCTGGAAGTGTCGAGGAAGGAGATCGAAGCCAGCCTCCAGGAAGCAAAGGACATCAAGGAAGAGCGCGATATTCGGATCAGGGCCGCCGCTGCCGGAGGTCTCATCTGGCTCAGCTCTCCTCCCAAGAAGCCTCAGCATCCGATCAAGGCTATGATGGACAGCGTTAAGAGAGAGGAGAACGTACAGTTGCAGAAGCGATCCGCAGCTGCTGTAGCACGCTACATTGTTCACCTCGTCAACGGTAACAAGGGTGTTGTTGTCAAGAAAGTGGTTGGTAATCTTGTCAAATTCTACTGCATGGAGACGGCAGAAACTCCAGAATTCCACGGTCAAGGTCACATCGAAACCGGCATCCTGACCCTCAAGAAGGACGAAGACATCCGGGATCACCCAGATGCTGCCAAGTTCGCAGAAGAGTCACGAGCAGCTAGGATCACCAAGCGTGGAGCTCGCGGAGCTCTTGAGCAGGTTGTCGAGCAATTCGGTGCAGAAATCTTCCAGAAGGTCCCAACGCTGAAGGATCTGATAGAGCGACCTATCAAGCGAGCTTTCGCTGACGCGACCCTACCCGAAGAGATAACCGACGAAGGTGGTATCTTTGGACAAGAGGTGGTTGATGCTTTGTCGACCTTGCGAGCACTGGTCGGAAGCTTCCATGTGGACGTACGCGGCTTTGTCAAGGAATTGCTTCCGTTCGTGGCGAGAGCTTTGCAAAGCAAACTTTACGTGCTACGATACGCAGCCGCAAAGTGCTTCGCTACCATCTGTAGCATCATGTCTGTCGAAGCCTTCACTCTTCTCGTGGAAGCCGTTCTACCTACCATCAGCGATGGCGGAAATGTGCATGGGCGCCAAGGTGCCATTGAGTGCATCTACCATCTCATCCACGTTATGGAAGACGGCATTCTGCCGTACGTCATCTTCCTGATCACTCCAGTATTGGGACGTATGAGCGACTCGGACAACGACATTCGCCTGCTGGCAACGACGAGCTTTGCCACACTCGTCAAGCTTGTTCCCCTCGAGTCCGGTATTCCTGACCCACCGGGTCTGCCAGACGCGTTACTCAAGGGTCGTGATCGTGAGCGAAAGTTTGTCGCTCAGATGCTGGACGCAAAGAAGGTTGAGGCCTTTGAGATTCCAGTCGGCATCAAGGCTACTTTACGCTCGTACCAGCAAGATGGAGTGAACTGGCTCGCCTTCCTGAACCGTTACAATCTGCACGGCATTCTTTGCGACGACATGGGTCTTGGAAAGACTTTGCAAACATTGTGCATGGTAGCAAGTGACCACCACCTACGAGCTGATGAGTTTGCCAAGTCCGGCGATCTCAACTTCCGTAGACTGCCATCGCTCATCGTCTGCCCTCCTACGTTGTCTGGTCATTGGCAGCAGGAGATCCGCCAATACGCCCCCTTCCTTTCTTGTGTTGCTTATGTCGGCGCACCTCCGATTCGTGGTCAGTACCGGTCCCAGCTTCAGGACGTCGACATCGTCATCACCAGCTACGACATCTGCAGAAACGACATGGACATCCTGAAGCCAATCAATTGGAACTACTGCGTCCTCGACGAAGGCCATTTGATCAAGAACTCAAAGTCAAAGACGAGCCAGGCCGTCAAGCAGTTTCAGTCAAACCATCGTCTGATTCTCTCCGGTACACCTATTCAAAACAACGTATTGGAGCTGTGGTCTTTGTTCGATTTCCTTATGCCCGGCTTCTTAGGATCCGAGAAGGTTTTCCAGGAGCGTTTCGCGAAGCCTATTGCAGCATCCCGGTTCGCGAAATCTTCGTCAAAGGAACAAGAGAAGGGCGCGCTTGCAATCGAGGCACTGCACAAGCAGGTGCTGCCTTTCCTTCTCAGACGTCTCAAGGAGGAGGTGCTGGATGACTTGCCACCCAAGATCCTGCAGAACTATTACTGCGACCTGTCCGAACTCCAGCGCAACCTTTTCGAGGACTTCAACAAACGCCAGGGTAAGGAGATCCAGTCAAAGGCCGGTAATGCCGACCGCGACAGTAAACAGCACATCTTCCAAGCACTGCAGTATATGAAGAAGCTGTGCAACTCGCCGGCACTTGTAGTTAAGGGTCCCACAAACAAGGCTTACGAGCCTACTCAACAGTATCTGAAGAAGCACAACACCACGATCGACGACATCTCTCACGCTCCCAAGCTCGGCGCGCTCAAGGACCTCCTAGTCGACTGTGGTATTGGTGCTGCAGACGTTGCCGGCGACAAGTCGGCGGCTGCTAACGGTGATCTACCTGAAGCAGTTTCTCAACATCGCGCTTTGATCTTTTGTCAGATGAAGGAGATGCTCGATATGGTCGAGTCTACAGTGTTCAAGAAGCTGCTCCCCAGTGTGCAATTCATGAGGCTCGACGGAACAGTGCCGGCTGAGAAACGTCAAGACATTGTCAACAAGTTCAACTCGGATCCCTCCTACGATGCTCTACTCTTGACTACCAGCGTCGGTGGCCTCGGTCTGAATTTGACTGGTGCCGATACTGTCATCTTCGTCGAACATGACTGGAACCCACAGAAAGACATTCAGGCTATGGATCGCGCCCATCGTATCGGACAGAAGAAGGTTGTCAACGTGTACCGCATAGTCACCCGCGGGACACTCGAAGAAAAGATTCTCAAGTATGTCTATTATCTCCTCTACACAGTATCACTGCTAACGCACTCAGCCTTCAACGTTTCAAGATCGATGTCGCGAGCACGGTCGTTAACCAGCAGAACGCTGGCCTTGGCTCTATGCAGACAGATCAGATTCTTGATCTTTTCAACGTATCGGCGGACAGTGCGGACCCTTCTGCGCTTCCACCTCCTCCGTCGAATACGAAGGACGACAACGCCATTGATGAAAATGATGCCGTCGACGCTACTGGTGAGTTGCGTCAGAAGGGACAAAAAGGGTTCCTTGATGATATCGGCGAACTCTGGGATGAGAAGCAGTACGACGACGAGTTCGATCTCGATGGTTTCTTGGGCAAGATGCAGGGGCCTGCGGTTTAAAATGCCCAGCTCCATCACATCAACACCTCTTTTAGGGTTGCAAAAATACATCCGTAGGATGTGGGGTATTTTGTGTTATCGTTAGCGGTGTATTGGCGTTTGGTTTAGCGCAACGGCAGCGGCTTGCGAGGTTGCACGGGTTGTATAGGATCGCACGGACGAATTATGGATTGGCTCCATCATTCGACTTTAGCATGGCGTTGGACGGGTTTGATTTGGATTGCGCTGAGCTCATTGGGTCTCACAGGAGAAGTGTATGCTCATGCTTGTACTGTTAGATAATGTGCCGGCGGAAGGCCTTCTTCCAGGAATGGAATCACACCAAGCTCAGGCATGCCAAAATGCCGCGCTACTTCCGGTCTTACGTTTGTTTGCTCGTGCTTCCTTAATGATTGCCCTCCCTCCCGTCGACAGACAGCTCTACAATCTCCTGTTCGACGAGATCAATGCACAAGCCCTTACATCTACACCTCGAGGACGACTTAGAATACACTCTCAGACGCGTGCCATACCACTGCTCCGAACCCATGCTTGACACATATCTAGACCTCATGCTCGATATCAGCGACTCTTGGAACCCTGTGCAGACGCAGCCCACAGAAGTTCGCCACGAGCTCGATCTGCGCACTGTCAGCGTACTAGTCTTGATATCGCGCACATGCTACTGACACATTGCTGAAGCGTCTCAGTGTCCTCCGAGCTCACTCCGATCCTTCTGGTCCCCCTGAGGTGCCACGCAGTCTCCCGGGGCAGGTTCTGAATCATAATGCCCGAGAGAACCGTGATCTCGGTCTCAACATCGTTCAGGATGCTGTGGTCAGACAGGTAGAGCCCGTATGTGATCTCTTTGCTTGTCCAATCTAAGCGTTGGGTCAGTGTGTGGGGAGGTCAAGGTTGCGAATCAATACATACCGAAATCTCGCTGCGACGCGAGCACGTTGTCGATGGCGCCTTGGTTTTGCTGGTACAAGCGGCTCTGCCACTCGAAGCCGCGCTTTGCATTGGCCTCGTCGCACTGCCATCCTTCTCTGCGCAAGTCAGTCGCGCAACTCTCGTGAGATATATGGATATGCAAACCTCGAGAACGAATAGTCTTTGTCCTCCGGTCGGGTTATGGCATCAATGTCGAAGATGGCCTCTAGAGGCTTACACACGCCGATGATGACAATGAGTTTGAATAGCGTTTCTCTGATCCTCCGCATCAGAGCCTGTCGTTGTTCTGAAGTCTGGTTTTCAGGACGTTTGATGAGCTCCTTGTAGAGGAGAGGCGCGAAGCCGGGCTGTCCACCGCCGACCATCGCCGCAAGCTGATAGATTTAGCACCTGAACGTGTATTATGAAACATCGAGCTACCACTGACGGTGAGAATATACCATTTGTCGTCTCCCAATGTCTTTGATGGAAACAGTTTTTCTACCGCTTCGAACAAAGCAAGGGCCTCATCTTCTGTGGGATCTTGCGGTATTGGTATCTCTCTCATGGTGACAATCGTTGTACTGCGCTGAGATCACTTCGATGTTGGTGACGTACATCTTCGTTGTCTCGATATTTGACATGAGGATTGCTGTGGGTCGCAGACCGAATGCGTCCACCATGCGTGCGGGGTAACATTCCCCTCGCACCGGACCTCTGCAAGTCTCCCCGACCCATCCTCCGGACATCATCGCTGCAGTCATCCTGCGCGAGGTGCTCGGGATCCAACGTTATACAATGTAGACTGATCTGACACGGCTGACTGAAACCCACGATCAATCATTTCCACAGACGACACTTTTGAATTGAACCCCGCTCTCATGATGTCCGCCTTCCTCCTACCTTCTGGACGCCCTAAGACGGTTATTGTCACCGGTGGTGCAGGAGGTATTGGCGCTCAAACCATACTCACCTTCCATGCGCACGGCTGCAATGTGGTGATAGCAGATCTTGCTTTTGCTCGTGGCGCTGCCGAATCTCTAATAGCCTCCTTGCCAGACCCCAATCGTGCACTGTTCCATGAGACTGATATCACAGACTGGCAAGCTATGCGCAGCTTATTCCGGACGACAAAGAAGAGGTTCGGGCAGGTTGACGTTGTAGTCGCGAATGCTGGATTGATGGAAAGCAAAGGTTTCTTCGATTTCGAAGAAGATGAGGGCGGCGAGCTGAAAGAGCCGACAGAGGCGAGCAGGATCATTGACGTCAATCTGAAGGGCTCCATGAACAGTACTTGTGTTCCTCCACTAATCAGACCCAGAAGGCTGACGCAGAATAGCACTCAGGCTGGCGATGCACGCGATGCAGTCGAATCCGCCAGATGCCGACGGGGCACGAGGGTCTGTGGTTCTGATTGCTTCGACATCAGGGTACTTTGGCGGCACCGGCGTGGTGTCGTATATCTCGTCAAAACACGGCGTCGTTGGGTTGGCTCGAGCATCGCAGCGAAAAGCAAGTGAGCTTGGTGTGCGCGTCAACGTAGTGGCGCCGTTCTTCACCCCTACTTACATTACTACGGGCTACTCAGAGCAGTGGAGGGAGAGAGGATTACCTGCGAACACCGTCGAAGGTGTTGCTGATGCTATCGTGGCTACGAGTACAGATCCCTCGAGGAAAGGCCACAGTGTGATGGTGAGTGCCGACCGCAGGTCTTCCGAGCGCATCGCTGACGCATCCTGAAGGTCGCAGGGAGTTTCATAAAGGAGATTGAAACAGCGAGAACTGAGTTGACAAGAGAGTGGCTGGGCGAGGACATTTCAGACATTATGGCCAAGGGTGGCAAGTTCTTCGATGACATGGGCGGGTACACGTTGCCAAAAGCGCGGTCGTAGCCTCAAAAACAGGGTGGAGAATCGAAACACCATAGCTTTAGCGACTAGCTGCAATATCATGCGGGGTCGCGGCTTCAAGGTGTGGGGTGCTTCTCGTTCAGTGTCGTTCCTTCCCGTGCTTCATGGTAAGAGCGGTGCCGGTTGCGACACCATGAGGCGGGGTATCACAACACAGCGGTCCATGCGGCGGCTCTATCAGGCGCTCTATCCGTCGACTCTGCCAGGCACTCTATCAGGATCAGGAGGCTCTGCCAGGATGCTCTGCCAGGATGCTCTATCAGGCACTCTACCAGGCACTCTACCCGTCGACTCTATCCGTCGACTCTATCAGGATGCTCTATCAGGATGCTCTATCAGGCGAGGACACTTCGCCAGGACACTTCGCCACATCGCCCGTCCACATCGCCCGGTCAGTTCGCCAGGTCTTCCGTCCACCTCACCCGTCCGTGTCCGCTTCGCCCGGCTACTTCGCCCGGTCACTTCGCCCGGCAGTCACTTCGCCTGGCAGTCACTTCGCCCGGTCAGTTCGCCAGGATGCTTTGCCAGGACACTCTGCCAGGCTATCGTACTCTGCCCGTCCACTTCGCCCGTCCACTTCGCCCGCCCGTTCACATCGCCCGCCTACACATCGCCAGGCCACATCGCCCGCCCGTCTACTTCGCCCGTCCGCATTGCCCGTCCGCATTGCCTGCCCGCATTGCCTGCCCGTATTGTCTGTCCACATCGCCCGTCGCAACATCGTCCATCCACTTCGCCCGTCCATCCACTTCGCCCGGTCATATCGCCCGTTGCAACAATGTCTGCCGCAACATCGCCAGCTGACTTTTCCAGTCTACTCGTTGTCAGGCCACTTCACTACTCTACCTTGCCAGTTCACCTCGCCAGTCCACCTCGCCCGTTGCTACCCAGTGGTCTTGCCAGTTGACCTCACCAGCCTCTTTTCGCTCGCCACTCCACTTCTCTAGTCGTACCATCGCCAGCCGACCTTGCCAGCCCACCTCGCTTGTTGACCCCGCCGGTCCATCTCGCCCCACCCGTGTGGCCCTTGCCCGGCCACCATGACATCACGATCCTGCCATAACCCCGCCATAACCTCGCTGTTATTGCCTTACTGACATCACCTTGAGAGCCATACTCGCTTAGACTTCAACTTCGCCGTTCGCACGTTCATATTCTCCTCACCAGCGCGAATCCATGCTCTTATCATCCCGACCCCAGTACGATCTCGACAGCTCTGCTGTTATTCCCATCCTCTAGCTAACGCGTTCTGATGGGTTTTCGGTCTAGCGGTTACCTTCTCTAATCGCTCTTCAGCTCTTTACGCACCTCGTTGGGTGTCCTGCCTGCGCCATCGTGCCATCGCCGCTCGCCCAGATAGACACTTAATCCATTGTAAGCCTCGAAGTTAATTCAACACTAGTCAGTACCTAAGCTCTTATTATATAGTACTATAGCACTTGATAGAGTAGTATTTTATACTGCTTAAGGCTTCTTAGACTTAAGCTACTCCTAACTTTTATCGCAGGTACATTGCGGCTAACAGCACACTACTACGGGTTTGTCGCAGTACTTAAGGCTAACACGATCAATACAAGCTCCAGCATTAACGAATGGACCTGGCTTTGCACAAAAGCTGCGGTTTGTCCCAAAGGTTCCACGCCTTCTGATCTGGCCATCCATCACTCCCCTGACACAACTCAAGATCAAAATTCCACATTACTTTTGCAAAGATGATCCGCATCTCGTGATATGCCAGGCTGAGTTTGTTACATTAGTATTTGATCGCAATGATGAATTATGATTAGACTTACTTCTTGCCTAGGCAGTTGCGTGGTCCATAGGAGAAGGGCTGCATTGCGCCCTTGTTGTCCGTGTCATAACCGCTATCCGGGAGCCATCGCTCGGGACGGAACGAATCAGGATCCCTAAAGTTCAAAGGAGAATGATTTGAGGCCCACTGTGTAACCGTGACGCGGGTCTAATCAAGAATCAGTATCGTCGCCTATATACAAATAGGACAGGTGGGACATACGTTTCCAGGGACCCATTTTCCGCAGATTTCAGTACCCTCTTTTGGAGTGACACGAGGTAAACCGATGGGCACTGGAGGGTAGACGCGGAGGGCTTCTTCGAAACATGCGTTCAGATAGGGTAGTTGGGGCAGCCGTTCCAGTGAAAGATCTTCCTCAGAAAGCGCTCGCACCTCGTCGGCAACTTTTTTCAGCTTATCTGTATCCTTCAGGAGGTGGTAGGTAAGTCCACTGAGCATTGTTGCCGTTGTCTCGGTGCCTGCCACCATGAAAAGTGATGCGTTTGCATGCATCTGGCCGAGGCTGACCAGATCCTTCCCCTTCTCGAGAACGAGGCTCCAGATGTCTGCTTTACCCTCTGGGTTTCCGGCCGCAAGACGTCGATCTACTCGCTCGGCTGAGTGTTCGAAGTGCGCTTTCCGCTTGTTGCGGAGTGACGTGGGTAGTAGCCCTTCTATAATGGGTTTCAAAAGAGGGTATTCGTTGCGCAACATGAAAAATGCTCCGATCTTTATGCTCGCGAAGACCTTCTTCACCCATGGAGTGTACTCAGACTCCGTGAGCATCCCGAGTGGCTCACCGAACGTAAGATCGGCCATGATGTCGAAGGTGCAGCAATTGAATAGCTTGACCATGTCCATACCAGAGTCCTTGTTTTCTTTGGTCGACCGGGAGATCGCTTCGATAAGCTGATCAACATATTTTCTAATCAAAGGCTCTTGTAATTTCAATGCCCTCTCGCTAAAGGCATTGGCGAAGAGTCTTCGCACACGTCCATGAGTCGCAACATCTGGCGTAGATAGGACGCTGTCCTCACCGTTGACCTCTGTCTCGGTAAAGCGTCGATCTTTTTGGTTTTCCGGGCGCCCACCTGTACGATGGCCGTAGATGTCTTTCCAGGCTTGTGGGTTGATGTAACATAGTCGGTCAGGCCCTACGCGTACAACTTCACCATAGATCTCGTGCTGTTTGTGGATCCATTGCGGTTGATAGCCACTTATAACGAGAAGGGACCAGAAGGAGCGACTTGCGACTGCAAGCTTCGGGCCGGGATCTGATTGAGACTCGTAGATCAGTACAACCTTACACGTAACACTTGAGAAGTGTGAACCTACATTTACTTAAAGGATGGAAATAGATGTTGTAGATTGCAGTAATTGAAACTTTCAGAACTAGCTGTAGATCAGATGTTACTTAGTCACACTGTTCTCCGGGTGATATGGTAGGGCTTGGTACCAGAAACAGAAGATATTGGGCTGCGAGGAGCACATTGTGAACACGATCCATATTTGGAAAGATTGAGGAGGTGACGACGAAGAGCGTAGACAGAGATAACTTTGGCATTCTTCAAACATACCTTTATATGTAATAGTCTATGCAATGTCGTAATGAGCACGAGAAAACACAGAACGGACGACGGGAAGATTGTTATCCGGTCTTATCCATGTCGGTAGGCACTCTGGTTTTGTTGATTACTCGTGATAAACGAAGATCCGAGAGTCACATCATTTGCTACACCAGTTCATTGGTTCGATCGTGAGGAGCAGCTTCAAAACGCTCGTTCATTCGTGGAGACGAGCAGCAGTTTCAATATGATGCTCGGGCTTGTGGCCCCAACTACATGTCCAATGAGTGGGGTATGTAGTACGATACTTACTGAGTCCCACAATCCAAAGGTAGGTGGAGCACTTCCCCCGCGCGCTGGATCTTTCTAATTGGGGCTGATCTGCTAGCAGCCGTTCTGTTGAGTGGGGATTCCCGCTTGCTAAAACCCCTAGAGCGACAGCAGAGGACAGACTTAATCAATCGAAAGCTTTCAATTAGCTATCTGGACCGTTACGTCTCGGATGTTTGGGCTACTCGGTCTCCGAGCGCCACACCCGCATCCACACCCGCATCCACACCCGCACTTTTGTCCGCGCAGGGTGCAGTAGCGTATGGGGATCATCCCAGCACATCCCAACACACCGCAGCACACTGCAGCTCACCCTGGGTTGACAACGGGTCTTGTCGCAAGTAAAGGTTTATCTTGAACAATGAACCAGTCGCTATGCCGCGCCGTACCGTGCCCTAGATATGCCCTGAGCTACGATACAGGTCTGGTTCACCATACCTTGACGCCTCAGTGCTGCCAGTAGCCTTGGACGTCAGTGTTTGCCTGTGATGTGACAAAAGCCCCCTGGTAAATTGCGACGATCACACCTGCGCTTACGCCAAGCACCTCGAATGACGCGTTGTAGGTCACTGTAGCTCACGAAGCCAACGAAGACGGTGCGCTGTGGGTGCGCCCTTGCCAGCAACTCCTGTAGCTAGTCCTCTTGCCTTGCGAGTGAATGTACCTGGGGAGCTGTCCCAGATCTTGAGCTTGGACGTCGGGGCCAAAGAGCTGTTGTTAGGTACCTAATGTATTGCATGGCTTGGAGACGGCCCTTCCTGTGTCTTCACGAGGATCCTACGCGCGATTCCATACGGCCCAAGAAGCAGATACAAGGATAAGGCACGAATACGAATGAGTGCGGATACGACCTGCCCCACAACTGCCTCCCGAAGAGCCGCAGTGGGGATTCGTATTCTCGCTCGTTCATGCTCTCCCCTTGTACCAGTAATGCCTGCTACCTAGGCAATCTTGCAGAGACATGCTGCCATCTCAATCCTGATAAGCCTCCCGTAAGAACTCTTCTGACGGTAGGTATTGGAGGTTGAAGACAAGAGAATGTGGGGTGGAATAACGTGTGGGTCGCGCATGGTTTTGCGCTTGTGCGCTGCCTCGGATCTGGAAAGGCAGCGTTCCGGCTGAACTGGTAAATGTGTATCATATTAATTATCTGTGAAGGGATCGAGAAGCCAAGAGCGTATTCAGGTGATCGATGTATTGGACCACGGATCTATATAGGGAGCGTAACTTGTGGAGAAACGTTCCTCCAGCTCCTAGAGCGGCTGAGTCATGTGCCACGTGCTTGATAACTTGAGATGCTCTTCTGAGTGCCACCGTGCTGATGGAGGCGCTCCTGAGCTACTCCAAATTCCTCTGAGTGACTCCATCCTACCTCCTCATGCTCTTCCGCGACACTATCTCTGAAGCTTAGAAGTCCGGGCAGCCATGGTCTGGACCGCCAATCTTGCATGTCATACGGCAGAAGTGTTGATGAGAGATCGTGCAATCGCAGCGGAACTGGCAGTTGGACTTGTTCTGGTCCTTGCACGTCTGTATTCACATCAGCATACCGTGTGCGCAATGGGAGTGGGTACTGCACGCACCTTCACGCAGTCATCGACCCTGGCAAAGCAAGTCTCACAGGAAGGAGCGGGCTTGTTGTCAGACCGAGCAATGGCAGTGTTAACGACCAGGGCCAGCATCACGCCGAGGATGATGGTTAGGCGAAGTCCGAGCATCGCGGTGGTTGCGTGATAGTTCGTTTGATTCGAGTTTGTTTGATTCGAGTTTGTTTGATTCGAGTTTGTTTGATTCGAGTTTGTTTGACTCGATGGGTTGGAATGTGTTGAGATAAAGGAGAGTAGAAGAGGTACGATATACAAGAACGCCTGCTGCCTGCTTGCTAAGCGAGTAGACGGGTGAAGGTGAGGGTGAGACTGACGTTTCGGTTATGTAATACACTCCGTTTGCTCTCAAAAGCAGGCAAGTCTGGACACTAAAGACTGTCGCCAATGAATGTTCGGCATAGGGATGAAAGGCTGTAAGAGCAAGTCAACGTCACTACGGAAGCTCTACATCTTCTCATACACGAATCAACGCTCTGACTCCTTACTGATGCATTTGGTTATCTCAGTGCGCGCAACTTATTTACCGCTGGACAGTATTCTACGATTAGGAGAGAGACAGTTGAGTTAGCTCGACACCAGGCTGTCGGCTCCAGATCTCTCTTCTATACCGCAGCGACGGTCGAGTATCACAAGAGTGTCTTCTGTGTAAGCATCGATCTAGTACACCGAGTATGCGGAATATAGCTAAAAGGGATCTAACCCTACGATCTGTACATCTGTTACCCCTTGGTATCCTGTGATCTTCAGTACGACTGGTTTGTTACACGATCGAGATACATGGATTCGAGTCTTCTCGTCTAGATAACGGACTGGATCTGATGAAGGGGCTACAAGTGTACGATACTGAAAGAGGTCGACACTCTAGTCTTGGTAAAATTGGATTTCCGCCGGAAAAGCTGGTCTACATCTGAGTCCACAGGCTTCGCACAAATGGCATGGCGTCGACTTCTTGATCTCTATCAAGAACTAAAAAGAGCACGTTGCATGTTCGTTTACGCGCTCAATATATCTACGTTCATATAAAGGCATTCAAGCTTTACTGTTGCGAGACGATGCATGCAGTTGTCATGATTCACAGGGGAAACCCGTTGATCGCAACGAGATTTTAACATAGAGAGTGGGCGTCTCCTGTAAGCTGTTCTTGCGCGATTTCACGCAGATTTGCAGCAGAGGGTACCGAGAAGAGAAAACTGTTGAGGTATGACCCTGTCCTGAGCCACTTCAACTCCTACAAATGGCAACTCGAGTATTGTCGAACTCTTTTAGGGCTGATGCTTCACGAACCAAGCCCTGGACGGCGAACTTTGCCTTCTGTGAAGGTTAGTCTTCACTACACTCGGTGTAGGGTAGTCATTGGTTCTAAATGGTGTCAAATCGCCCTGCGTTGTGCAATGCAAAATTCGGAGAGAGTGAAAGGGTCTTGAAATATTTTCATACAACAAGATTAAGCGCGACTGATGGTGCTCGGTCCCTGAACCGCGCCTTCCCTACACATGTATCTTGGCCTCGTCCACAACCTTCCGAACATCCTCACACTTTCTCTCCAGCCAGAAACTTCGCCAACATGTCGTGGACACGCTTGCCCACACGGGTGCGGCTCGAGATCCTTCAACATCACCTTCGCTCGACTGAAGCCATCGATCGCTCTACGCATCTCGACAACCTCGTTTGGGGAGATTTGGAAGTACTCATCAGTACTCAGAACATGCAGCTGGTGCAACTGTCTCTCGAAGCGTGTAAGTCCAGTGGCCTGCGCGGTATATATCTCAGCAACTTAACGAGAATTCCAGACTACACCTCCAACACATTCGTTGTCAAGCCAGAAACAGTATACAAACGCCTTCTTCAGACGAAGGTCTTCCGGCCTCGCACAAAGCATGCTCTCATGATGAAGCGACTTATCGATGAGACAGCTCCACCAGCACCAGTGACCAAGGTCTCTATGTCGCGAGCAGACTCGGGTGTCTGCCTCCAAGACTCGGCTTTCCAGAGCGATGAAGATGAACTGGACGAGCTGAACTCCATGCAAGGCTCAACGTCGGAAGAGTCAGCTCCTGACGAAGGTCCAGCTTCGCACGGCTTGTATTGGGCGATGCACCGCACGGCGCTGAACAGATCGGCTAGGCTGAACCGGTTGCTTGAGAAACGATGCAGCTAGTGGGTTGAGTGCGTTTTCTGCGGATCAGATGTGATTGAGTGAAGGTAATACTAGCTTGACGTAGCCAAACATGACTTTAGACCGAGATACCTTTACTTCAATTCTACTATCGCACACCTGCCACATCCTCAACACTGCAAATTGCCCAACATGTTCCAGCAGTGGCCAGACTTTCCTATAGAGCTAAAGCTCGAAGTCCTCCAGCACGCACTGCACGAGGAGTCTCCGATCGCGCATTCACGCCATGTCGAGAACCTTCACACTGGCCAGCTAAGTTCTCTCATCGGCACGCGCAACAAAGAGCTCACACAGCTCGCCATCGATACCTGTCCGTCTTCCGAAGTCTTGTTCACGCCTTTGCTAACACCCCTGCTAGACTATAAATCAAACACGTTCACCATCACTCCGAACATCCTGTCGACCGGCATCAGAACCGGTGGCCGCGTATCTGAAGCCCGTGTCTCCATGTTCCGACCCCGCGTCCAACAAGCCCGACTTATACAACGCCTGGTTGTCGAATTGACCACATGTCTCAAGCAGCAGTTGACTCACCGGTGGTTTAACTACAGAGAGCTTGAGCCCGGCCGTATGTTCCTCCACCAGAGCAGTCTGTGGAACTTCATGTTTCGCCTCGACGAGCGCCGGAGGGGTGAACGATATTTCCAGTACATGCGCGAAGACGGCGGGGTTAAGAAACGAACTGAATGGCAGCGCACGTTCACCTCGCTGAAGAGCTTGGTGCTCCATGTCCGTTTGGGGCAACGCTACACATCATGGGACTTCTTGAAAGATATATGTCAGTGTCACATGCTGAATGATACGATTCAGATCCTTGCGTACGGGACGGCGGATATCAAAGCCAAGGATGTGGCTGTGGTGGTGGACATAGAAGGTTGTCAGAGTGGCATCTGTCAAGTGGAGATTGCCGAAGTGCTGCAAGGTATCCTGACTGGGAACGAAACTGAGTTGGGAGCTTGACGATGGGAGGCCTTGGAAGACGAAGAAACGGATTCCTCAGGCAAGCACAGGGGCGTGATCATCTTCACAGTCTACCTGCGTCTCTCTCAATTGGCGGAGGATTTGACACCTAACTACCTCAGGGAAGGCCTCCCGCCGAACCTGGGGTACTACCACCGGGAACTGTGAACTGGAAGATCCCGAGGATCACCTCCGTATCCCTGATCTCACATGTTTGACGAGCCCCTCGGGAGGCGAGTTTCTTTCAGTCACCACTCAATAGGCCTGGATCTTATCCAAATCAAATCAAATCAAATCAATACTACCTACGTCTCACCTCCAATGAGTTCTACTGACAACCTTGCAGTTCAATCAACACTGGACAATAAGAGCAGCTCAGCACACCAAGTTTGGGACTTCGTAACGACGAGCAAGACGTAGGAAACGAGGGAAGCAGCGAGCACACGAACAATCCAGTCACATGTCTGGTAGTCCATCTAAAACACGCTGATTCGAACATGCTGTATTTGCAATCCCTAGCGGGTCTATGTAATGCCACGCTTGAACGCTGCCTGCGCTTCAACTATGTAACCAGAAATGAATCTCCATGTTTTCCGTATCTACCGTGGAGCGTCTATGTGATGCCAGTATGCGATAATAATGTCCAACGCTGCCGTGAAACGCCTGAGGCCTAGGCCGGCCCTTCCCTAACATACAATTATAAGAATCGTAGATGCAATACGCGACTTGCGGTCTCGTAATCCAAGTCGTTTGAGCTGCCGTCATGATGTTGGTTTTTGTGCTCGGTGTTGATCGCGAGTGGAGCGTAGGTGCCGACAGTCGCGGTCGTGTCTCGGCGAGCAGGTTATGTATGTGGTGTTGAATGAACAGTTTTTCCGGGTCTCGTTTCAGCCGCGGGAGGGTTGGGATCCTGCCCAGACCTGCGTGATGGCTGCTGTGCAACGCGCTCTCTGGCGCAAAGTCTGTACGTCCGGGATGATGTGTCTGACCGAGCGCGCAGCTCGTCTAAAAGCCTTCGTCCTTTTGATTTTTGACGCCCTCCTTCTTTCGAGTCTCCTTCTCCTCTTCTGTTAATTCGACCAATTCTGCGCCTTCCAGCTTGAAGCCCTTCGCATCGACGATGTGTTCGCTCGCCGTCGACATATACAGCTGATGGAGTCTGGGTAAAAAGGACTGCATGACCGTCTCCGCCAGATTCTTAGCAACGAGGTTCTTGTCGACCCAGAAGTGCCTGACGAAGACGCCCTTGCATCCACCACGGCTCTCGGCCTCGGGCGCGCCATTCGCCTCGACGCAGGGGAGAACACGAATGTCGTCTGGCCGATCGTAATCATAGCGCAGATAGTTGCCAAAAGCAGCCTGCTCGTGCGCCCAGTCCTGCTTCCACCGTGCGCAGCCCTTGTATTTTGTCTCGGACGGGCACTCGGCCCAGGCCTTGTACATCTCTTGCGTGCGCGGGCTCTGGCGGGCGATGACGAAGCCGGTGTTGAGATAGCGGTTGCCCTTAGCATCGTAGTTCTGCGGCTCGTTGGGATCGATGGACATCATGGCAAGGGTGTCGTCGGTCATGTTCCAGTAGTTCAACAGCCACTCGAGCGGCAGATGCGGGTAGTGGAACATGACGTCTGAGTCCATGAAGACGATGTAGTCGTGCGTCTTAAGAGCCTCCTTCATCAGGGGCACTTTGACCCAGGTGCCCCAACGATCGACGTAGTCTGGTGCGCGGATGAAACGGTAGTCGTAGCCATGGATGGCGGCTGTCGTATGTCAGCTGTGCATAGCAGTGAGAAACTGGTACTGCCTACCGAACATGTAATGGCTGAGCATGCCTGCAGCGAGAGGCCGCATGCCCTTCCATTTCAGTTCCTTGCTCATGAGCTGGCCCTCACCAGTGAGCGGCCTGCTGTCGATGTCCAAGATAAGCACCTTCTTTCCCAGCTTCTTTGTAAACTTCGGTGTGTCATGTAGGTGGTACACATCGCCGTCTTCGTCGGTGAAGTTCGCGGCGTCGACCGGATGTAGGATGGGGCCGTAGAGAGCTTTAATAATGGCGGACGTGGAAAGATCATCTTCGCCGAGCGGTGACGTGTGCGTGGATGGGAAGCTGTTGACAGACTGCAATTAGCTTGTGCGTATAGACCGCCGGGACGCTGCCTACTTCAATTGGGTTTCTGTCGCGCTGTTCGGTGTATATGTGAAGCTCGAGCTGTAGATGACGAGCAGCAGCACAATCGGTATCGCGATAAAGAGTGGCCGCCGCCAGCGACCCTGCCCCATGGTCGCCAACGAATGGTACGAGTAGTCCCCCATACTGTGGTACTGTGCGGGGCGATATAATGACAGGCCGGTTCGAGAGAGCGTCTTCGGGCAGCGCAGGCTGTGATTCGCTACCGTTGGAGTTGACGGATAAAGTGTAGGCGGGCTTGCATCTGCGTGCGCCTCAAGTGAACACCTGACAACGCGAGCAAGTGACGGTGGGATTGGCAAGCAATTGTAGGGATCAAGGGGTATACAGCGAAGAGAAAGAGAAAGAGCGAAGAGCAGCTGCAGGTGCAGCCGGCGCAACAAGTGTCAAAGCCACCCTCCTGGATGTTTCCTCGAGCCTTAGATCGACAGGGATCTGCTGCCGTTATGATGACGATACGCGTCTTCGGGCAAAGCGGCCGTTTTAACGCCGCTAAGTGCCGCCCCGGCCGCCTCAACTGAGCACCTTCTCGGCTTGAGGCTGAAGGCTAGCGACAGTAACTTGCACGCCAAACCGTTGCTGTGACACCTGCGAAGATTGCTAATATTTTGGGCCAGGATTGGAGCATCTGCATCACCGACGACCAAGCTTTTCGGTACAAACAGAGTGTGCCCGCCTAGCCCGTCAGCCGCCCTCGTAACGGGCTAAATTTATACCTGGCATGATCCGATCGACGCGTAATCCTCCGCAACAACACCTGAAACATCTGCCTCGTCACAACCAGCGACTAGGCGTGTCGCATTGCAACACGCTGTGAACGAGATCATGAACGCGCTCGAGGAACGCGCTCCAAGAAGACGCTACTTTGCTTGAGGGCCGCAGTTCCATGCCTTTGCGACACAGATGCCGCATCCAGTCAGCCACGGTCGTATTTGCAATACCCTCGTATAGAACGAGACTAAGGGATATTCAGTAGCTTCGTCGTAAATGTAATATCCCAACGATCGTCGTGTGTAAGATGATCAGGCTCGGTTCAAGGGTGTGTAAATTTACTTGCAACAGTACATGCTTGTAATGCCTTCTAGCCGAACCTTACAAAAGGCTGAGCAACTCAAAATCCTTTGCGATACCAGGGCTCTGCCTGGCGCATTTCTCGATGAGTACCATCATTATTTGCACCCACTCTTGCCAGCCTTCAGGTAACGTCTCTCTCAGCTTTGCGTCTGATGACCGCGCAACGGCGTGGAACAGCAGCACCTGTCCGAAACACTGACAGCACCAACCGAATTTGATCGGTAAGGCTGATAGCATCTGTGTGCAGAGACCCATTGTGGTTGGCCAGAACATACCGCCCCGAAGCCCCTCTCGTACTTCCCGATACTCCGCGTCGTTGGTGTATTCCGGCGCGTGTAACGCTTTGTACAAGAACGGTCGACCAATATGGAACTTCGCAACAAGATAGCGACTGCGCAACATAGCCTTCGCAATGACATGCGCAGGACTGGGTGAGTTGTCAGCGCTTTCGCTGTCCACAAATTGTAGAGTTGGTGGTAAGTTTGCGCGCCATTGCTCGAGCTGATGGTGCATTTCGGCCGTGATGCCAGCGCCCGGGAAGGCCTCCTTCGCGGCATAGTAGTATATGTTCTGCTTGACTCGGGTAAGGATAATCCTGTGTGCCGCCTGAGCAAGAAAGTGGAAGTTGAACAACGACTCGTCTTCGTCCGTAACGAGTCCAGAGATGGACGTCTTCGGTCGAGGGCAGGGCGTGAACTTCGGCAGGGGTATGTCAGGCTCAAACTCGAGGAGTCCACTGTGAGGTAAGGTATCCAGCTCCTGTGTAATTACAGTCTCGTACATCAGTGTGTTCCAGAATAACCGAGAGAATATGTCTCCCTCCCACTCATCAAAGTCGATGGCCTCCGAACGCGTAAGGATGCTTGTACAACACAAGGCTGCTCTGTTCACAGTCGTCCACGAGTCCATTGGTCGTAGAGTCTGCGCGTAGTACAGCGTGGAGAGCATGTAGTACTGCCCCGCTTGCAACCCATTCTGTGTCATGAGAAAGCCAAACCGCTTCCGGGCTTCGTTAAAAAACTTCAGCCCTGGCTCATCGTCCACAACGAGCTCATACCAGTCTGGACGAACGAAGCCACCGCCGTTGGCGCCGAATCGCGACGGCAAAGCGAAATTTCCCTCCTCGTGTGCCTTTACTGCAAGACAGCCCAAGGCGAGTACTACTAGCACCAGGCACGATGCAATATCAGGTCCAAAGTCCGTCTCTACAGCCGCGCCGAGAGTGTTCGAGTAGAAATGAAACTTGTCAAGAATGGGTGAATTGCGATGAAACACAGCAAAGTAAGCATCGGCAATTCCCTTCACGACAGACTGCGGTAAGTCCATCAGCCACGAGTCTGGGTGCGTGCCGATTGGCCGATTAATGTGTATCGGCAATGGCGCTCGGTGACTTTCAATGTCGGCAACGTAGTCCTGAGGCAATTCCCCACATGCTGCAACAAACTCCGAGGGCAAGATTTGCTTGACTGCAGGCCAGACGGTGACTCGATGCTGGCTGAACGAAAGCGGTACCTTCATCTGCGCATCCGGTGCCGCGTATGGGCTTTTGCCTGGTGTCGGCGCAGCCTGTGGCGACATAGCTGATTCGTGGACGCTCAGTCGATCATGACGTGGCACAAGCGGCCCCTGTGCATCGTTTCTTGGACTTGGCTGCGAGAGAGTCGACATTGGAGAACGATGGTCCAAGGCCTGCGGTATCGGCGTCGGCGCCGAAGGGGTGTTCTTTGAAGCATTCACCACAGCCGTCAAGTCTTCAATCTTGGCTTCGAGCCGACGAATAGCATTAATGGCTACTGTCATCGACTGGTCCTTCTTCGTGGCACGAGGTGTTTGATAGGTACACTCCAGGTTCAAAGTTCGACAATAACCACACTTTGGTCGGTCTTCGTCACATCGTGTCTTCCTGGATCGACATATATCGCACGCCTAAAGAGATCAGCAAAGCGACTGCTTGGAACGAAAAGTCACCCTACCAGAGTAGCCATGAAGAATCGCGGCTTCTTCAGCGATGATTCTTCGCCATCCTCGTGACTCCCGTCGCCATCAGCATCGTGGGAAGTGTGCCGACCGGAAGGTGCTGCATACGGCGAGGCGGCTATACTGTCGTGAGGCCTTTTGGTCATGGCATTGTCAATGCCTTCGTCCGATAGCTCATTAGAGGTGAGAGAGGTTTGGACTGCTCTGCGGTGACTTACTGGCCTGGCGTCGCTTGCGGGGCGACCAACCGCATCCGGGCCGAAGCACGTGCATCGCAACGTCGACTTCAACACCACAGCTCCATCACCGAAAGCGTTCTGACCAAAGCTCGGCAGCCCAAGCCTACATGTGGCTTTGCAGCTGGTCGTGTGTAGTACGTACAGGTCGATCGGACGCTCATGCAAGCAAGCCAGCTACGTACACATTTGACTCGTCTCACCTCAACACAGGCAAACGCCCTGCTGCAGAGGAACCACGCTGCAGTCCTGCAGTCATAGAAGCCCAGGTATAAAATCAGTAATAACTAGCACGGCTCTCGTATATAAACTCCCTTTTTTGGGTGAAGCCACGACTCTCATAATATGAGCAGTCTATGTCTGCCTCTCTAGTACTTCACGGTCTTTCAACGTGTACTGACCATCCCCAGGCATGTTGAGTTTACCTCAAACTCGAAACTTCTATCTCACAGTCCTTTGGTGTCTACATTTGACCTGGCCGTCCTCGTGCAGAGCGCGAAATATGGCGCCAGTCGCCCATGTCACCAGATTATGTCATCACAGCAACAGCCACCGCATCTTGTGTACACATGAATAGACACCCCTATCCATTCAGAATACGCGAATGGTTCAAACCTCTCGCAGATTCCTACCTATTCGATGAGGAGTCAAACGCAATACCCTCCACATAGGACAATTGCGAACGATTCTTGCGATACCTTGCACACCAAGTCACCACTGCAAACAAAACGCGTAGTGTACACAAGGCTACCGCTGTACTCTCTGCGTTGATTGATCTCTCTGCAGTCATCTCGTTCGCATGCTGGATCTGGCCAGAATCAGCGCTGCTACCTGCTCACCCGACAATCCGTTGGGGACAACAGGCTTGTCGCCCCCGCAACGCCACGTTCGAGTTGCTCAAAGTCAAGTCATGCACGGTGCTCGCCAAGTGGAGCTTCCGACAGCCTTGGACCCACGATCCCGGCTACCCGCTTGCGTGATCAGGGCAGCGCGATGAAGATGAAGGGCCCCCGACACAGTGCATGCTGTCGGGTCTCCCTTGGCTTCACGATCACTCCTAGCTGTGCCAATCGGAGGTCGAGCGCTGCAGCCACGAGGACAGGAAAGCAGTGCGGAACCGGCTAGACAGGGGACTCCCCTTCCACGACCGTCGGCGCCAGTGGCTGTGACGAATCACGATGCGCCTCCCTTAGCCTGAGTCTTGCGTTCACTACCCTACAGGCCTCGAAATGGCAAGATGACTGCACTCCGACATCCATTCAACTCACGATGAGAGTACCATGCTCGGTGGGCTGGGAGCGCACTGCTACAGAGGCTCCCTACTTAAGGGAGGCTCAGCCCCGTCTTCAGCTTTCCCAGCTCTCGATTACTCTTCTGTTTTCAACTCCTGATCCAGCAAGATTTTCCTATCTCGTTCCACTACCTCCATCAAGATGAGTGCTCAGTCGGACACCCCGACCCCAGCTTCAATGCAACAGGTCGTTGAGATTCCGGCCGTTGTGTCAGCTCTTGGCCCTCACCTGTCGCGTCTTCCTGATGAGCTCCTCTACCAGATCTTCAAGTTCCTTGTCCTGACTTTGTTCCCCGCGAAGTCAAGGTTCAACAAAGCCATCAATCCAGACACCTTCAAGATCCTCAACCAACACTCTGCAATCAACAGGATTCGCAACGTCTCCATCGACTTCACCGGCTTCTTCATGGAGGCTTTCTACGAGAACTTCCACTTCGTCTTCGCCAAGCATAGCAAGTACCACGAGGAAAATGAGTACCTCACCTCCATCCCTCCTCCAATTCCCCGTCGCGATCTGCGCCACCACTTGCGCTCCATGCGCGTCGAGATCACGCTGGAGAACTACTTCTGGACCGAGGAGCCCGGCCTGCCAAAAACGCCCGTAAACCAGTTCGGCCGCAAAATCCGCAAGGTCACGACCGGCGCTCAGATGCTCGAGTTCTGCCCTTCCGCGCGCTTTCTTCTTCACCTGACCAACCCCGACACGGGCTTCTCTCGCCTGCGCCTCCTCGACCTCCACATCCGCACCAACTTCGCCCACTTCCCCGCCGACGCCGACTTCTTCCGCGCCCTGGACGAGGTCAACTTCGTCGTCTCGGCGGACGAGATCAAGCTGACTGTGACCAAGAAGGATGAGGTTGCGCTCAAGCCGGAGCTGGAGGCGGAGGTGAGGAAGATGATTGTTGTTGTTCGCAGGTAGGGGTGTGCTGCTGGCTTGTGGTTAGCACCCTCAAATAACATGTACATCGTGTGCTTTGGCCGTGTGGCCACAAGATAGGATTCTACATGTTGTTGCAGAACAACAACGTCAATACCATGGTTTCACTTGAGTTGTCATATGATCCTTGATAGTTACGTGATCTCATTGCATCAATCGTGTGTAGCCAGCATACAGCAGCATCTCGCCCCTAGTAGAGCGCCCTGTGCGCAACAAGAGCCTCCGGGCGCTCCTACGGAATTTCACGGCTCCTCCCCGTTTTCACCCCGCAACATTCTCAACCTCCTTCTTGCCGTCGGCACCTACCACGCCTGCCTCCCTCTGCTTCTCATCCTCTCCAACGTTGCCAAACATCTTCACGATAGCCTCGATAGTTGTGTTGCCGCCGCTGAAAATCAACCCAATATCCCAGCCCTCCTCGCCAGCCTCCTTCTCCACCATCTTCCTGAACTCCTCGTTGTACAGCACGGTAGCCAGGCCGACGACCGCGCTAGGCTCGACGAAGCACTTCATGCGCTCGAGCACGAGGCGCATCGCGTCTTTGATGTTCTGCTCCGTGACTGCGTACAGGCCAGCCACATACTCTTTGTCCGAGATGACCTTCCACGTATGCGGGCCAAGGTTTGTGCGCAGCCCGTCCGCAATGGTGAGCGTCTTAACAGAGGTGATGCGTTCGCCGGCCGCGACACCGCGGCGCGCATCGTCGGCGCCCTCGAACTCCGGCTCGGCGCCGAAGACGCGCGTGGGCGTGCCGTGGAAGTAGATCGCATTGCCGGAGAGCATGCCCCCGCCGCCGCAGGGCGCGATGAGAGCGTCTAGTACCTTGCCTCCTTGCTGCCCGTCTTTGAAGTGGGCGCTGAGCTCCGGCTTCTCCTCCAGCAGCTTCGCGACCTCCTGCTCCATTTCCAGTGCCATGGTGCCCTGACCGATCATGATGTGCGGGTGGTCGTATGGCGGGATCAGGGTCGCGCCAGTGTCTTTCATGACTTCTGCGACGACGGCTTCGCGCTCGGAGGCCGTGGAGCCGGAGAAGTGCATGATGGCGCCCTGCGCGCGGGTGCCAGAGATCTTGCTGGATGTGGAGATGGAGGGCATGACGATGTGGGCGGGGATCGAGAGGATGCGGGCAGCGAGAGCGAGGGCCTGAGCATGATTGCCTATGAGGAGAACGTTAGCATTGTAAGGGCACTCGTGGGTGTTGTGAAGTCGGGACGAGACGCTGGATGCGCCTTCCCCTTTGCGTCACCACATCTGACAGCCGAACAGAGAGCAGACATACCGGAGCTGTGTGTGACCACTCCCTTCTTCCTAACCTCCTCAATTCCCTTCTCCTCGACCAGCCTCAAGACCGCATGAAATGCGCCTCTGACCTTGAATGCCCCGATCTTCTGGAAGTTCTCCGCCTTGAAGAACAACCTGATCTTGGGGTTCGCAGGCTCCTGACCCTCCCATGGTGTTCCCTTCAGTGCTTCCGGGGTTTGTGGCGTCGATGCGAGGTTTGAGAGGGTGGTGTTGGTGAGCACTGGCGTAGAGTGGATGTGTGATTTGATCAGGGTATGCGCAGCGCCGATGGACTCGCGCGTCAATGGCAGGTCTATGGTCGACATTTTGCGGTTTTTGGTGCACCAGTTGGGCGCGGAGATGATGCAATGCGAGCGAATGTCATGGTGGGCCACGCGGTGTTGATGTAGTAGGGCGCGGCGGGGCGAAGGGCGGCGGTTATCGTGGGGTACATGAGGCGGAACAGCTGCCGGTTAGCGCCGGAAAAGCAGCGGTTGGGGCACAGTTGCATTGAGTCACAGAAGACTTAGAAGGAATGTCCTTTCATTTAGGTGCCAGAGACACCACATATTACATCATTAAGTCGTCTCCATCTAATATCCTAGTAGCTGCGCATAGCACCAAGGTCCCTCTTCGCAGTCGAGTTGCCCCTGAGTGTGGTAAATGGCTCAGTGGATGTGAGACTGGGAATACGACCGAGTAGGAACTCAGCCTGCCTGTACGCACTGCTGGGCTGGTACTGGGGAACCATGTGTCCGGACAAAGCCTGGCTGACCCAGGTGAGCTTGCGCTCAGTGTGTGTAGTTCCCATCACGCCCTTAGCGCTCAAGCTGGTCAAGCTCAGGTCATCGTGGTACGGCACGAAGAAGGCGTCCTTGGGAGCTTCCTGGAAACCCTGCAGGCCGCCCCAAGTCATGTTCTGAATGGTCATGAGAGTTCCGTTGTACAAAAGGATGAAGTCGAGCTCGCCATGAACAATGACGAAGCGGTCGAGCTTGTCAGTGATGCGGGGAATGACCTCCCAGCTGGATTGAGCTGATGTGTCGGAGTCAAGAACTCCGTTAGAGCACTCAGCCCATTCCTGAATCGGGGCGTTGATGGCCTTCTGGACAGCAGTGCGGTTGAAGTAGATTTCCTCACCCGCAGGGAGGTAGTCGAACGAGCCGGGGAAGCCAAGCACATCCCAGAGAAGAGGGCAGGTAGTTGCGACTGCGTAGACGTCGAAGCAGGGGTTGGTCAGCATGACAGCGTTGAAGATGTCTCCCCAGATTGCGCACTCGGGCTCCGAGGCATTGTGGGAAGGAGTAGGGAGCTTGCTGACTGGAGGAAACGTCAGGTACTTCTCAATGTACTCTGTGTATCCACACTTGTCGGCGCGGTCATGGATTTCCTTGGTGAAAGTCTCGTTCAGGTTGAACAGCCCAGACCAGCGATCGACGAAAGGAACAGCTGGGATATCCTCAAGCAGAACATCTTCAGCAACACTAGGGTCGTAGATCAGCGCACCCTTGACGTCGTAGAAATCGGTGTTGTTGGCGTTGAGCATGGCATCTGCAATGAAAGGGACGTATCTGTATTCGTTCAGCAAAGCAAATGTGATGAAAGACTAGATTTTTTACGCACCGTCCAGCGTAAGATTCACCCGCAATGTAGACCTTCTTGCCGGTAAGTTCAAAGGTCTCCATGAAGTTCTTCCAAAAGCCAAGGAATTGTGCAGCAACTTCTTCCTGGCTAGTGGCGGTGGGTGTACCCTGGGTGAAACCAGTGCCGACTGGCTGTTCGACCTACAACAAGTCAGAGAGAGTATGCAAGATGGAAATTAAAGGCGCGCACCCAGATCATATGCGTAAGGTTCGCCCAGTTCCAGGGGTTGTAGACTGCGCGAGCTCCGCTGCCATATTGCCAGCTGATGGGACCGTTCTCTTGCAGGAAGCCTTCGAGGGAAGAGCACCCAGGACCACCGTTCAGCCAGATTGTGACCTCATCACCAGCATCCGGATTGTTCGAAGGGAAGAACCAAAAGTATAGCTCAGAAGTCTCGTTGGTCTTGGAGCTGATTGGCAGCAATCCAGCATACGACTCGCCAATGTCGAAGTCGACATCGGGGATGGCACCAGCAGTACCATTAACGGCGAACTCTACAACACTGTTAATATCAGTTTTGAGTAGGGACAGTGATCCTTACTCTTAGCAGCGGGAGCTGTGATGATGGGCATTGTCTCATTCACAGTGTATTGGCGCTTCACATGCTGCACATTGCGAGGGAGCTGTGGCCTAGGAAGATCAAACTTCTTGCCAACAGACCTGCCAGGGTTGCGGGCCGCAACGCTGGTCGCAAGACCACCAATGGCCAAAAGAGAGGTAATGAGCTGCATGTTGGTCGTTCGTGACAATTGACTTTGAAGCTGCTGAAACTACCAACGCGGACGCGCTCGACTTCATATAACTTCGGGCCACAATCAGGTATCGACGTCACTTCGGCGCTTACTCCCGAACTGCGACATTTATCTACGGGTGTACTGCACAGACCTTGACGGGTTGAGTACGGTAAGCTTCATACCGCATTAGGCAGGACATAGTGATACTCCACAAGTCTTCTGCGCCCCAGAGTCATGGGCGTTGAGCTTGTATGTGCTTGCTCTTTTGGACAGCTTGGCGTAGGTATTACTTCAAGCTGATCTCCTGATCTTTGAGACAGGCCGAGAACAACGTTGTCTCATGGACTCGTGCGACAGCAATGTTGATCAGAATCGTGTCGAACCGCGGGCAAAAGCATCTCGAAAAAGCTTCACCAAGCCCCACCACTTTGAAGAGCCGGGCCCACACGCCGAACCCGTTCCCTCCACACCCTTGATCTAGGTTCATTGAGTCTTTGCGATTTGTGTGTTTTGGGAGCGGCCAATCAGCTCAGCCGGGTCTTTGCATCCCAGGCAAAGTTCGTGTACGCTGCGATGCGACTCGCTGTGCCGGTAATAGCGATAGCCAAGATACTCAAATAACACGGACAGGCCGGTGCTTCCAGAAGAGCGTGGTTCGCTACGACGGTGAGAGACGGCTCAAGCTTCATGGCCAATGCTTGTCGTAGATAAGACAGGCGCATTAACCGAATGAGGCAGCTCGCAGGATTGGCGGCGAAAGGCCTTCGCAGGCTAACACTTAAGGCGAGACAGTGAGTTGTTTGGTAATGGCATGTGGTGATTAACGCTGCGGAAGAGCAGGAAGACCGTTGCTGATGAGGCTTGACGGAGGTGTGTAGAAGGTTTAGGCATGGTCGCTTGCGGTGACGGATGAGTGGCGTTTATGCACTAGTGCCTCTAAATGTCACTTTCTTTTCCAATTGCTGGGTCAATAAAAGTATTTCAGATTACATAACCACGTTCGGTTTGCTATGCTACTTAGGAACGTTACAATGACTGGCATCTTATTCGCGAACAAGCTTATGCGCGGAACTTCTCAGGCACGCTGTAAGACTGGTCCTGGGACAGCTCGAGAAGCTTGCCAAAGTCAGGGGTGCCATACCCGGTAACCGGGTCCCAGCCGACAGTCGCATTCCAGGATGCGTATGGCACGAGAGGTGCCTTCAGGCCCGAGTAAATCGACCTGCCAGTGCATCCAGTCGAGCCTCCGTCTTTGATATCTGTGAGTCCCTGGTAGCCCTTGCTGTAAATCCATGGGTTCAGGAAACCGAGCGCAGGTTGACCGGCGGCGAGACGGGCGTTGTTCAAGAGTGCAACGATGGAGGCAAAAACAGGTGCGGAAGCGCTAGTACCTCCCACCGAGATTTGGCGGCCTTTGTCAACGACACGGAAGCCTTGGCCTTGCGCAGCGACATCTGGGAAACCACGTCCATCAGGGTTGTACAAACCCTCCCACTGGCTACCGAGTTTCTCGAGATATGCACCAACAGCCACGTCCTGGTACGCGGGGCGCGCCCAGAGATCTGAAAAGCCGCCTGAGGAGAAGCCGACGGCACGCTCAGGCTCGACCTTGTAGGTGCCTCCAACCGAGGTGACGTAGGGGCAGGATGCAGGGAAGATGGGCAAAAAGCGAGTTGTGTTCTTGCCGTCGTTGGTCTGACAGGCTGAGCCAACACCCGTGTCTCCACTGCTGAAGATGACGGATACACCGCGGGTACCGAGCTGGCCAATAATATCGCACACCTTCTGAGCATATGTAGCGGGCACACTCTGCTCATCCTCGCCATAAGAGGTGGTAAGGACTTGTGGCAGCTCATTATCAGGAAGGCCAGCAATATAAGTAAAGAAGTCGAGGTACGGCTCATTGTCGTTGTTGGCTTCCGTTGGCTGATCAAGATCAGGTACCAGAATGCCACGACCAGCGGTGCTGTAGAAGATCGTTTCGATGTTGGGGTCTACCAGACCCGCTGTGTAGTCAATGTCAAGGTTGGCTTCGACACTGCTGTCAGTGGCATTCTGATCCAATGTACCGCCTGTCGCAATTGTTAGTAAGATCCGCGTCTCTAGGAGCAGTACACATACCGTTTACTGGGATAATGGAGAATTTGTTACTCGCATTGGGTGCGAACGTCGATACAAACTGGTTCAAGTCGGCGTAGCGTGCCAACTCTTCCAAGAAGCCGCTCACACCAAGCTTCACAGCACCTTTGGCGTCAATCTTGTAATCAGCAAAGTTGTACAAGTCCTTAAGACAAGCTGGGGTGATGGTAGTGTTGCAACTGGCATCGACTGCAGGAACTGAGAATGGGGCAGCCTCCTGTGTGAGCACATTACTGCGCTCTGCCTTGATTTGGCCAAAACGAGTCGTTGGCTCGATCAGGTCGATGTGGTCGCGAATCGATTTGGGCACAGAATAGCTTAGAGACCGGACCCTCTTCACGTCCCTACGGACCTCATTCTGGTAAGTCTTGAAAGTGGTGCTCAACATCAACTCGGCTCTCTCGACGGGGGCGTGGAAAGTGATCCATTCGCCGTCATTCTTGATGTCATCAGAGCTGACACCCGAAGCCTCTAGCCAGCTCAATACTGCTTTGGTGGATTCTGCGCGAGGCTTGATGAGGTCCTTGAGTTCATCGCGTTTGAGATGCTGCCCGTATCGAGCATGACTGGGATCCGAGATCTCCATGAGCGTTCGCTCCAGAATGTCGTTATCAGCCTGTAAGCAGTCAATACAACGAAGTTCTTGTGCACCCTTTCCCACGTGTGAAGGGTTCGGTTCTTGGAAAGCATTCCAAGATTATCGGTATGAGGAAGTAGCTTACCGAACGGACAGCAATACGGAAAGGAATCTTGCGATTGCCTGCTGGAGCGCCAATTGCAGTCCATCCTTGAGGTACCGAGCGCAGGTTCTCGACGTGGACTGTCTCACTCTCGATGTGCGAAGTCGGCTTGCAGTTGACGCTAGCTACGGCCAAAAGGCCAGCAACGAGTGAGTATTTCATGATGACGGATTGAGGGGATGCACGGAAAAGACGACACGCTGGACATGTTGAAGATATAGTGTTTACATGTACCCGGTCGTCCCGAATTGAGATAAACAAAGTCCCCGAATCAAGAAGGAGCAAGCAAGTGCCCAGAGAACCGGTTGTTTCACTGTGCCTGGGGTCTTTGTGCAAGGGACGATCTCCTCGTTACAAAATCCAAGCGAAACCGTGCGACGTGGTTGTGTGGGTCAAGGCACAGCTTGTGATTGGTGTGCCCCTGAAGATGCTTTAGCAGGCAAATTGTGGCGAGACATGGACACACCATCCGTGGAGAAGGTGATTGTGACCATGATCATTAAAACCACAGTGTGATCTGCACGCGAGGAGAATGTGTGGGATGTGTATGCCGCCGAGGCAGATCACATAATTTGGCGCTGGTAGAGGATGCTTGGGAAGCTTGGTGTTGCTTTGGAGGATGGGACTCAAGCCTCGGCGCAATGGCGACCTTCCCCACAAGGATGTCATCATGGATGCGCAAAGAGGACACGCCACCATGGCGCGTGCGCGCCTACAAAGCTCCAATCGAGCCAGGAGGATGCATAGCCTTTGTGTGTTCAGCCATCACATGTGGTGATGGTGTTCGCCCTGTTGTGTCTGCATGCTGTCAATACCTCTGCAGGGTGCTGGTGACTTGTGTGACACAGAATCCGGTGCCAGTCGTCGTCACGGCGGGCCTTGCATGCATGCAAGACTACATTGTCTCCTTAAATCTCGTATTGAAGGCGGCTGTTCTCGGATACTACTCAACTCTTCTCAGCAGCTTCCTCTACCAACCCTTTCGCATCGACGTTCTCTTGGTCAGCCTCTACTCTACCCTCAAAGCCGTTCTCGAGGATCTCGATCAGGTCATCGAGCTGCTTCACCACGAGATCCGTGTGCTGGTGCTCAGCAAGGTGCTTGTTAACGTCGTTGATAAGTAACACAGTAGCTGCACCGGCACGGAAGCCAGCGGTCATGTCATCGATGGAATCACCCACCATAATAAGACTATCACCACCGTCCTCGTGCATCCATTGCTTCGCGATGTGCAAAATACCGGCAGGGTCTGGTTTAGGCGGGCGGAACTCTCGTGTGATGACGGGACTGAACTTCGACGATGGCAGGAATGTGTTGAGGAGATGCTCCACAGGCGCGTCGAAATTGCGCGTGCAGATGCCCTTCTTCAGGCCACGTGAATCCAGATAATCCATCAGTTTGACCAGGCCAGCTTGCGGCTTCTGCTTCTTCATAGCAGCACGTTCAATGTCCCGGACCTTCTCTTGAGCTTCATTCTGTTCAGCATCCGGCAGGGAGTAGATGTGGTCCAGGATATCCGTGCCCTTGTCAATGCCGAGGGCCGATCTGGGGTTTGTTTAGCGATAACCGCCACCATGGACGAGCGCACACATACCGCATCTCACCGAACATGTAATTCTGTGGCAGGCATAGTGTTCCATCCACGTCAAAAACAATTCCCTTCAGTGTAGGCCGCGGATCACCCTCGGTCTTCTTCTCAGGCTTGAGCGGGGCGAATTTGCGAGGCCGTATGGGAGGTGTCATCGTTGCCAGCCTTCTCGTCCACAAACAGAGCGACTGTTTGCCCAGGGAGAAGAACCTGGGATGACTAGCAGCTCTTGTGATGATGGTATGCATGCTGTGTTGATGCAGGATCGCATTGCTACTCGCCAGAGTGGGTCCTGTAGTGCCTAGCGCGGGGTACGTCATCGATATCTGCTTGAAGCATTGATTAGACATGTAAAAGAGCTTTGCATCATCATCAAGCTCTCCTGCCTCCCTGTAATAGGTTTCAGTTGCCCTGCCTTAAATTAGCACACAGGAGGTGAAGGGTCAGAATGAGCTCTGTCCTCACTCACGAAACCGGAAACTTGACCTTTCCACGCTGAAGGAGACCAGAGTAGTACGAAAATACTTGCGTCCACTTGTCATTTCAGTCTCAAGCAATGAGCGGCGATCCACCGAACCGACGAGGTAGGATTGAGGAAGCCTCTTGTGTTGCTGGCCGAGAGTAAGGCTCAACTGTCTAGCTTCAGCACAAGCAAGGCCCGTAACCAGATAATGTGTTACTATGCTAATAACTCACATACAAGAGCGACAGCCTGTGATTCAGCTGACTGTCTGCTAGCTGGCCTTGGGTGCTCTCGCCTTCACCTGTCAAGTACAGCAAACGATTTGCGGGTAACAAGCAGTATCTCTCTACTACAGCACAACTCAATCCTGCATAAATTGAGGCGCATCCTACGAGATCGGGCCAGCAAATTGCGCCGAGGCGTTGGAAAGTGTTAACTACTAATCGCAGATCTGGGCAGGATGGGTTCATCGACAGCCTTTTCGATAGGTATTGCGGTTCATGAGTTCGAGAAAGCCAAGTTTGTGACCGACAGAGTTGTTCTTGATCGGCAAACTTGCGTTCTCTACGAAGATACCCAGACCGTGCCGGATCGTGAAAAGAAGTGTCAGTATCGATACAGCTTCTTCCAACGGCTTCGCAGTGCGTGTGGAGAGCGACAGGATGCAGAAAGATTACTCGAAGCTTTTGTGGGTATGGCTGACGGCTTGCACACATCCAAAGCCATTTGTTTCAACATCGCCGCTGACAAGCATGTTGATTTGGCCGACGCTAAGGATGAGCAAGATACTGACACACAAAGCGACCCGCTTTGCGACGTATCATCGAATCACGCTCTTTTGCATCCACTCAGTATTGCGCTTCTGGCTTACCACATGGGAGGGGCGGTCAACGCAGCCAATACCATCCACACGAATGAATGGAGGTCACGGACCATGGGAGCAGACGACATGCCTGACTTCTACCAAGAAGGTGATTTGGGCGACATCTTCGACGATTATAGAGTTTCGCTGGTATGGGAGAAGCACAACAGCGTGTGGATAAATCCATCCGGCACTCACACCGTGTTCCGAAAGGGGGCCAGTGTACCTCAGTCGCTGACGACGCTCTCAGCGGCTAGTAAAGGCGAACAGACTGGGCCGATCGTAGTTCTGTATGCGACCAGCAACGCAGCTCTGTGGTACGATTGCAAAGATACGACTGCTGTACGGCGCAGTATCAGTCTGGACTTTCATGTCAACACAATCACTGATCAGGACCCAGAGATCTTGTCTACACCTGATGTTAGTGTACACAAGATCAAGAATCCTACGCTCGCGCAGCTAGTCACCCGGTTTCCGGTCAAAGGTTACAATAAAACCTTTCACCGCCTGCTGTTCGCAGACGACTCGATTCAGAGAGCGCTTGACAAGTTGGCCTCGCTTGTCATACCACTACCGCTACCACAATCTCCATCCTCCAAAAATAATGTGCATCATCGGTACCGAGTCTGGTGGAAAAGCAACCTCGACAGCGTTTCGGCTGCACCCCGGCCCATGCCGAGTATCCCCATCTCTGGTGTCTATGACGACCTAACAGCATTCGTGAACTGTTTGAGCTTCAATGCTCATAGAGACATATATTTGGAGGTGGGTATGGACCTGTTACCACGATCACCGGCCGACGCGGATAGCGAGTATGCGTGGAGGTCTATCAGAGATCAACCAGGCCTGTATATCTTTCGAAAGCTCTTCGAGTATGAGCGACACCTAACGATGCCATACACAGGTGCCGACCTGCAGTCGACCATCCAAATCTGCAGAATTGGACGCTGGGTGAGGGATGTGTGCTCACAGCTCATCAGTGCGGGCTACACCGAAGGCTTCTCTCTTCTTTCTGCCATCGGATCACTGTCAGCATCTCTCGGCGACGCGATGAATGGCTTGAAACAGGCTGACGTGACTTTGGAGCCCTGGGTGACTGATATGGACTTGGACGCTTTCCGTGTGAAAAGTCTCTGTCTCTTCTGGTGCGCAGACTGGCTGGCTCGATATCTCATGAATCCACAAAAAGGGTCTATGATGGTTTATGAGTTCCAGGGGGGAGCAATGGTGAGTCTGAGAGAGGAGGCGGCGCAGACAGCGAGAGTGCTGCTAAGGAATTGGGTGGCGTGGTCACTTCTCGTGGACCGTCTGCCAAAAGGGGGCTTCACGGTCCAGATGCCAACCGACTTGAGGGTGTAAAAAGAGGCTCGAGTCAGACACCGCAAAATCTCCGCGAACGGAAGGATTCAACTCGTACGTCCAAAGCGGTGAACCGTTGTCTAGGTTTTCGGGACTGTGTACCCGACTACCTCCACAGTGCGCTCGGCTAACGGCTGGTGTAGACGGGTTGCGGCATCGTGACGAAACAGACAGAGACGTCGATAGATGAGCAATGATGCATGTCTGCAAATTGTGGTGGGTTCCGGCATGAGCTGTCCCGTAGCGGTGTCGCCAGTATGCACCTTCCTCTTCCAAGTTTGAGTTCAGTTTAGTTTCAACTGCTCGGCATGATCAGTCCCGCTTCGCTCCCGGCGCTATGTTTTGACATCTGTCGCCCTCCAAACCAGCACGATTAATGCGCGAACATTCCATCAATTAGAGGAGCGGCTACTTCTAGGACGTACCCCGTTTGCGCCGCGCCACACCGAAACCACCACACAAGCCACACGTCTAGACCCACAATTTCGCAATGTTTTGTTTCACCACTGCGCCTGCAAATTGGCATGACAAGGGTCCCACTGCCCGTTTGAGCGCAACCGGCACATGATCTCCCGCAAGAAAAGCTTGTCCTGCGTGCCAATTATCCAGCATTGTGGCTGCGTGGCGTCGTGCTTTCACGCGATAACTGCCCATCGCGACGATGTAGCTACAATGTCCCGTTTTTCTTTGTCGACACTACTGCGAAGCTACGGGTTCCACATAGGATTTCCCCGGGTCGGAGAAAAAAGATCGTGGGCTGTACGTTCTAGTTTTGCCGGCACTGGCGCCACACGCTCGAACCACTCATTTCCACAACGGCCCTTAATATGCTGTAGGAACAAGCTTGGCCAAGAACGACAAGCTTCATTTGGGTCCACTCCGTAAAGTGCTTCCGTGTGCTTCCTTGGTCCTTTGGTATGTGCGATGAGGGCTGCTATAAGTACCTCAGGTTGACGCCTCTTAACATCATCCAACCAGTCATTCATTCCATTCGCTCTTTCACATTCATTCGCTTCTTTACCAAGTCACTCATTCAATAACCACCAACAAAATGGTTGCCATCAAAGCCTCTCTCCTCCTCAGCGCTGGTGCGCTTGCTGCTGCTGTTCCTACGGGCCTGGAAGCTCGTGCCAGCTGCACATTCACTGACGCTGCCTCCGCCATCAAGGGCAAGGCTTCTTGCACTGCCATCGTGCTGAACAACATTGCTGTTCCCGCCGGTACCACCCTTGACCTTACCAAGCTCAAGTCTGGAACCACCGTCACCTTCCAGGGTACCACCAGCTTCGGCTACAAGGAGTGGGAGGGTCCTCTCATCTCTGTCTCCGGTACCAAGATCACCGTCAAGGGTGCTTCCGGCCACGTCATCGACGGTAACGGTGCTAAGTGGTGGGACGGCAAGGGTACCAACGGCGGCAAGACCAAGCCCAAGTTCTTCTACGCCCACTCCATGGAGCAGTCGACCATCTCCTACTTGAACGTCAAGAACACCCCTGTCCAGGGTTTCTCCATCAACGGTGCCACCGACCTCACCCTTGACCACATCACCATCGACAACACCGCTGGTGACAAGACCAACGGTGGCCACAACACCGATGCTTTCGACGTCGGCAGCTCCACTGGCATCACCATCTCCAACGCCAACATCAAGAACCAGGATGACTGCCTTGCCATCAACTCTGGCACCAACATTCACTTCGTTGGTGGTACCTGCAGCGGTGGCCACGGTCTGTCCATCGGCTCCGTTGGTGGCCGCAAGGACAACGTCGTCAAGGGCGTGGTGATTGAGAACTCCAAGATCATCAACTCTGACAACGGTGTCCGCATCAAGACCGTCTCTGGTGCCACTGGCTCCGTCAGCAACATCACCTACAAGGACATCACCCTCCAGAACATTGCCAAGTACGGTATTGTCATCCAGCAGGATTACGAGAACGGCTCCCCCACCGGCAAGCCCACCACCGGTGTCCCGATCACCGACCTCAAGGTCTCTGGTGTTACCGGCTCCGTTGCCTCCGGCGGTATCAACACCTACATCCTCTGCGGTAAGGGTTCTTGCTCCAACTGGAAGTGGTCCGGCAACAAGCCCACTGGCGGCTCCAAGAAGGCCACCTGCCAGAACATCCCCTCCGGCTCCGGCGCTGCTTGCTAAGCATCTCGCCCTGACCTCACACCCAGCTTCAGGAAAGCTGGATAATAGAAGCAGACCCATTTTGGTGGTTTGAGTCGACAATATTCTGCCTAGAGCCTCTAGATTTTTGTAAATACTTACGAATGCCATCTGCCTCTGATTGGCATCATTAAAACAAAAGCTTGCTCTTTTCGTGATATTCCCGCTCCTTTTTGAATTGTCATGTTATCAACTGTAGCCTGTAAGCCAATCAGTAACAACTCTTTACTCCAGATCTAGTCACTAGTACATACCCACCTCATCAGTAGTATATCGAGTTTGCAATACACTGTCCCGAAACACAGCATGATCACACTACCGTAACATGATGCCCAGCACTTCTGAAGCCCTGGCATCTACACGTTGTCATGCTCATTGTTCGTGTCAGTGCTTCCCTCCACTGCCTACTACAGTTCCTGAACAGAAGAACGCTGTCTGCCTCATACATCCCCATAGAATGTTTCCACGGAAATCGACGTGTCACAGCCAATTTCATAACAGAGCGACGTTGGTGTCGGAACCTTGCGGAATTCCATGTTTTCTAAATTAAGGTTCCTATTGCTATGGAATTCATGGATGAATTTGTTCGTAGTTGAGCCGCCAATAAATAGAAATTGATCGTCTGTAGCTACATGTTAGACGGTTACCAGACAAGAAAGTGATGTGATTGGCAACGGCATGCACATTTCGCGACTACGACAATTAACTTTGACTAACAAAACCTAATGGACACGACTGCACTTGTGTGAATGCCAAAGACCTCACACTCGCCAGCTATGTATACTTGATCAATCGAAGATGCATTTGAGTCTTATATAAAATCAGACATAGTGAGCCAGAGCCTAACGAACATTTTCAAAATAGAGTAACAGATGCACGCGAAACCGATAGTGCAAAGACATTGCTGACTGCCTTGAAGCTACAAAACATTTGACAGGATTGTTAAGAAGTACACTTGTGCGGGATTTGATGCCAACACGACATTCGCAGTGGAACGCCTGCTCTTCTACCGCACACATACACACCTGCAACATGACCAAGATCATCGATAGAAGCTTCACGGATGGCATTAACAGCGCCTATCAAGTCTATGACGAGGATCGCCTCGTAGAATGTCAGAAAGAAATCATAGAACTCCTAGAAGACGACGCCATACTATGATACTATCGCATGAAGGCGCTCATACTGTTGGGATCAATCTTAGGTGATTGGGAAAAGGCGAACACGTGCTGCGTCAACGCATGGGCGCTGTTGCTTTTTTGTCAGCACACTGAGTGATTCCATCCGGAAAACACAGTAAATAAAGAACGGTGTGATGGAGAAACGTAATTCTAACATAGTATAGCTGCATGTTCGTAGATCCGCCATAGACCGTGATATTGCCTCTATAGCGCCTTGAAATTCTCTTGCTATCTTCTAAACTCTAGATTCTACTGCTTCTTGCCCGCAGCCAACAGCTTCGCCTGCGCCTTCCTCTTCTTCTCAATCTGCCCATACGCAGCCTCAGCACCAATACCACCGAACACCAGCCCAACACCAACCCATTGCATGCCCGTCACTGCGTGGCCGAACAAAAACACACTCGTCAGCATCGTCAACATCTTCCTGGTGACTGTCACCGTCACGAGGAGAAGCGAGCTGAAGTGCGCCAGCGTGGTGTAGATGAAGATCTGCCCGACCGCACCGCACGCCGCGAAACCAAGCACGTCCCAGCCGACAGAGGGGTATGCGGTTACGAAAGCCAGTGCGTCGGCGAGCTCGCCGTTGCCCTTGGGCGACAGGCCGATGTAGGCGCCAATGGGTGTGCCGGCCAGGTAGGGCGAGATGATCAGGTAGCCGGTTGTGAGCGCGGTGGACATGATGTTCATGGCGCACATCATCTGGGGTCCGCTGAAGCCCTTGAATTTCGTGAAGATGTTGTCCTGGACCGTGTTCGTGAGGCCGTCGAACAGGAGGTTGATGCCGAGCAGGAAGAGACCGAGTGTCTTCGACGCGTCTGCGCTGACGCTCTTCTTCGCGGCTTTCTTGGCGGTCGAAGGGTTGTAGAGTGTGAACATGGACACGCCAAGAGTGACGCATACAATCACCGCGTACTTGTACAGGGGGTATCTCTTCTGGAACAGTGTGATGTGAAGGGCCATGACGGGTAGGAGCTTGCAGCTCTTGGCCAAAGTGAATGTGACATAGTCGATGTGTTTCAGACTGGCGTAGCCGAAAGGCGATGCGAGAGACGAAGTGATTGCGACGAGGAGCAACGGGAATAGAATCTGCTTTGAAGGGAAGACAGGCGGTACGCGGCGAGCGCCAGTGGTCTTGTTGCGTGGAGCGGAGAGAAAGAGGTAGATGAGACCTGTGATGGCGGCGAATGCAGACTGGACTGTGTTAAGGAACACCGGGTACGTGAAGCGCGCGTTTGAGGGGCCGTGAAGGGTCGTTGTCAGACGTTCCTGGAGATAGGCCCAGCTCAGGCTGGCTCTTTGTCAGCTTCTATCCAAGTATCGACACAGGACAGCGCGCAATAACTCACAAGCTAGCATAGATGCCTCCAACGCAGGTAATCAGCAGCACGTAACCTCCCTTCTTCTCCTCCGCAGGGTTGCGCGCGGCCAAGTCCACCTGCTCCTCAATCTTCTTCTCGATGGAGTGAACTGCATCGGATAGCTGGTGCGAATGCCCATTGGCCTGCTTCTTTGCCTCGGAGGCTGAGCGCTTCACGGGTGCCGCCATGGTGAGCTCGAAATCGACGGGCGCAATCGGTCTTATCGGGTGGAGAGGTTTAGTGCGTTGCGTTGTTTTACGGTCAACGTAAGGAGTGTGTCGCGCTTTCGTATGCGCAGGAAGCTCACGATAACAGCAGAGAATGAGATGCAAGGAGTGACAAGTGGCCTTGGGTCGGTGAATTGGTGACGTTTAAACATCTAATCTCAAAGGTGGCATCAATTAGCTCCGGGTGCGCTAACGCACGTGGAACCCTTTGGTCCTAAATTTACCGTCGGAACCTCGGAACGCCTCGTTCGGAACGAGCTGCTGTCAGCATCAGCCATGTTTGCAAGGCTGCGCACCCCACTTCAGCGCAAGGTACGCGCGCAACAGGAGTAACACAGCACTGCAACGGCCTCTCTTGGGCGTGCGCCTGCCGTGAAACATCTGGTCACTACTCTCATCAGTGCGCACGCAGACGGCTCAGCATCATCAAGGGAGTTCACGCTTGCATCGACATTGCGCCGCTCCCGCTGAACGCGACAAGTCAGGGAAGTGTGGCGGTGGCTTTCTGCACCTCCTCGAATTGTCCCAACCAACAGTGACGTGTCTCACGTCTTCCACCATTGCTTTCGAAATTTGCTGGCGCCGAAACGAACGCTGAGCATCACAGCGTATCATACAATTGTTAAAGAAATATTTGATGAAGCCCCACTCCGTAGGCCGAGACGTTTTTTTCGCGTTGACGTGCAGCTTTTCCCCCAGCTTTCAGCCTTTTCCACGTCAAGTGGGTCCCCACGGGAACCTGGCGACAGGCGGTATGCTAGCTTCTTCAGACGGAACCTGGATTGTTCGATTCTGCCCGAAAACAAGGGCAGCCGCAAGACGTGCAAATGCCGTCTGTAAAGGACAGCGTACTGAGCACAATGAAGTTCAAAGTGAAGACGGCCCCCTATGATCTGCTCGTCCCAAGGATGAGGCCTCGCCTCCTATGCCGCGAGATGAGCTCTTGTCTAGTGCGGTGAGGTTCGGCATGCTTGCCACATGATTGACCGCCAGCGTGTGCATGTTTAGACGAATGGTACATGCAAGCCCGACTGATCTCCGGAACAGTGACTTGCAGGTCTCTGCTGGGCTAACCCATTTCTAGCTGGTTTGAAGTCACTCTTAAGTCGGGAGGCATCCCACTTTCCTTGCGTCCCTACTTTTGCAAAGTTCACAGTCTCGCATCTACTCTTAACCCTTCCTGCTCCCGCCAAAAATCCCGGGCAAGCCGCCATACACACTCTCTCCCGAGGCACACAAGGAGACACACCATGGCCTCCGTCCAAACCCAGACAATGTCTGCCCCCCACACGTTCACAACCGTGCTACGCGGGCACAGCACCACACCAATCCAAAAACCCAGCACACGCTCCACGCGAGCCTCCAAGCCGTTGCTGGCCTACAGCCCCAACATCGCCCCCGCGCACCCCGACATCAACATGACCCTGCTCCGGAACAAGCTCATCCTCACGTGCCGGAATTACATTGCCAAGCCCCTTCTGCACGAAGCTGTAGCGGACGGGATCTGGTCCTCAGCATCGCGGTGGATCACACCCGCCTCACAAGTCGCCAGCAAGTACGGGAAGCGGAAGAGATACTACGTGCTGCACACCGACACATTCACGTTTCAGCCCGTCAGTTCCGCATGGGAGGCGCGGATCGTGGCGGACAGCGCACCGATCGACGCAGGGAACGGCGTCGTCATCTTTGTCAAGGAGCGGAAAGAGTGGGCTGCGTTTATGCGTGGCTACAGAAGACAAGGGAAGCGTGGCGCAGGCCAGCTTCTCAAGGAGAAGCAGCAAAGTGTCGAGCGGGGCTGGAAAGACGAGTGGAAGAGGAAGTGTGGGCTAGGCGGTGAGGGCGAGTCGCCGGGGAAGGGAAACGCGAAGAGGGAGGTCAATGCGGGGCCAATGTGGGTACTTGTCAAGAGCGCCGTTGGTAGGATCGTAAAGGGCGAGGCCTAGGGACAACGGTTCTGCTTTTCTTACCGGGACGAGCTGTATGTTCGCAGCGCGGGCCTGGCTTTTGCACTGGGCAGGTAATTTGCATGGTCGGCGTTATTCAGGATTCGCCGGCGGTTTTCGAGGCGAGGCTACGATCTTACGACACAACTGCATAAGCGAGCTTGCCACAGCCGCCATTGGGCAAACAGGGGCAAGCATCATCAATACATAGACAAACAATTCAGAATACATATCAGACACATCCACGCACAATGTCAAAGATCTGTGATCCATTTCTCACTCCATTACGATTCTACATTAGGTATATAACCAACAAAAGGATCTGCTGCGCCGATGGCGCCTACAGATGCGTAGATAGAGCTGGAGGGGTAGATACTGTTGGTATTGTATTCGCGATTATCGGTAGGTAAGGAGGGTGGGCGGGGGACGGATGATAGAGTGTGACCGGGCTTGACGAAGTGAGGTAAGGTGCAGCGGGTGCCGTCTGAGCGATCCTTCGTGCTTCGCTGTTGTTGTTCCTCTTCGCCAACCCCATCCAAAACAAAACAGGACGCCCTCTCTGCCTCGACTCGTAGGCAGATGTGCTGTCCGGATATCAAAGCCATAAGTCATCACATCGTGAAGTGCTCAAATGGCACTTATCGACAATAACGGTCCTGGAAAGAAAAAGGAAATAATGACCCGAACATCCATGGTATCCATCAGCAAAGAACAGGAAAAGGGCAAGCACACCCATACTTTTCGTCTGACGTACGCTTTCCCGAGGTCACACGTCAGGTGCGAGGCTCAGCAATTCGAACCGGCAGAGACGTGAAGAATGTCGGTCAAGATCTCTAGTCCTGAGCCTGGCTGCGGCGCATCTTCTCAGCCTCGAGGTTCTCGTACAGAAGGTAAAGCGCCTTCTCGTTGGCACTAGCACTACCAGTGATTGTGAACATGCGCTCGCCGGTGTCATCGTGGGGGGCCTTGGCAATGGAGATGCGCGCGCCAGAAGTCTTGCGGATCTCGCTGATCTTGCTGCCGCCACGACCGATAATGCAGCCAACCATGTCGGAAGGAATGCTGATGTTCTGCGTCTGCAGCTCTTCTCCATCTTCAGTGTGGGTCGGGGGTGGGGGTCGGTTTGCGGCGTCGGAACCGGAGCGGCGCTGGAACGTCGACGGGGGCGAATCGCTGAAATCGGCACCGTGACCAGTGCGGTTGTACGAACGTCCAGAGCTAAGGCCTGTCGTGGCACCACCGTTGTTGGTCGTGAGGGGTCCAGCACCAGGCTGGACTCTCACAGCGGGGTTGTAGAGTACAGTGCCGTAGCCGCGCTCGTGATCATCGATCAGGCACTTGCCAATCTCCCAGATAGCCTTCTCGATACCTGACGGCGAGCCCTGAACTTCGACAATGCGCTCGGTAGACTGAGGAAGCATCTCTTTCTGAGCAACCATGCGAACACCAGAAGCATCCTGAATCTGCTTAATCTTCAGGCCTTGGCGACCAATGATGGTTCCCATCTGGTTGTGTGAGATGAGGAGGCGAATTGCTGTAAAGGTCAGCTTGCATTCGAATATCACACAGCGCAACGCCATGTGCGCACAGGGTGTATACTTACGGTGAGTGCCGTCACTGCGAATGACACCGCCCATGCCCATGGCCGGCGCACCCTCAAGCAGGCCCTTGGCGACGAGACCGTACGCCTTGGAAATGCCAGACAGACTGCCAGTGACGGAGAGGACGCGATCGTGAACACCTTGAACGACCTTGCTGACACCGGCGCGCACGCCAGTCTCGTCGCGCAGGTCAGCCACGTTCTTGCCCGCCTTGCCAATAATGACACCAGCTTCCTTGGAAGAAACTATGGCGCGGAGAGTGAGCTGCGACTCAGCATACTCTTGCTCGGTGCGAGGGGTCGCATCAGCTGCCTCGCCATCTACGTTCAAGCGCTCAAGCTGGTCGTTGATCGCATTGGCATTGCCAGCGGAGTTCTGGGAGTCTTCGGCGGACATGTTGTGTGGATGGCCTAGAAAGATCTGTCGCTTTTGTCAGTACTGGTGGGGCGACGAGGCGAATCATGCAATGCATACCGAAGAAAGATTTACAGATCGCGAATAGCCTGAGGTATTGCGCGCGTCGGAAACCGTTCGTGTGTACTGTCGCGCCAAGCGTCAGTGGTTGTTGACGTGTGGTGGTAAGGTTGATGGAGCTACCTACAGGCGAATGCGGAAGTGGCGGGGAAGAGGCCGGTGCAACAGCGAGCGGGTGAGAGATGGAGGAAGATGGAGGGAGATGGAGGGCGGAAGAGAGAGGGTGTTGGGGTGGTGAAGAGGAGAGGGAGGAGGAGCGCGAGTTGTCGAACGAAGGCGAGCAGACGGTCGAGTGAGGTGACAGGGTGACGCAGCTAGAGCGGGCAATTATTTGGGGACAGGTCTGAGGTTAGCTCTTAGCGAGAGGAGGCGCCTTGCCACAGAGGTGGAAGGAATGCGACTGCGAGCAAGAGCTTCCGACTTGATTCTGAGACACCCGATTGCGTGCATGCAAGAGCCCGTTCGTCTGGGAGCGACAGACAATCGCAATGTGCAGTGGGCACGATCACGGGCGTGAATTGCTGCGACTTGGTGCAAACGCGCCCCGTCCACCTCAGAGCGACCCCGCAGGCTGTGCACGGCCAGCGAAACGGCGGCTCAACAGCCATCACGTACCCATGCGCGGCAGTACCAGGGCAGAAAAGGCATGGACGGTGCGTCACGATTGGATGCTCAACCGCTGGTTCCTCCGATTGGTGTAAATGAATTGTATGGCGAGTCATGCTAAGGGCTGAAAAGGATGCGTGAAAGATTCCACTATGAAGACTCATGGACGAATCGCTCCTGCGTGTTGCATGTACCCATGCTCAGTATCGCTGCATCCCACCCAACAATTGCCTCATACTCCTATCACTGCCTCAACACCTCCCAATGCACCGCACCTTGAAGTCGAATACACGTTGTCGGCCTAATCACTTCTGCGCCTCGAAGACAACCTTTTGCACCTTCATCTTATCGAAGATGTCGTAGCCTTCAACAGCCTCACTCAGGGGCATGATCTTGTCGGCCATGAATCTGCAGTAGTCAGTATTGAACGACGGCTTCTCCAGAATCCACATACCCGAGCTTGTCTTGGTGCCTCTCCAGACTCTCGAGGGCTTCGGCGAAGATGCTTCTGACGGGGCATCGGCCCATTTGTACCCTCAGGTTCTTGCCGTACGCCTCGTTGCCAGTCCAGGGTATCTCAGCATTGTGGACACCGACACTCGAGATGACGCCCCAGGGTCTCAGCAGCTCAAAACCCATCCTCAATGCAGGTGCAAGACCGACAACCTCAATAACAATATCGGCACCTCTTCCATCAGTGAGTTCTTTGACGCGCTTGTCCAGGCCTTCGCGATCGGTTTGGAAGTTCCATGGTTCAGCACCGAGAGATTTGGCCAGCTCGAGACGGGACGGTACGGAATCTACAGCGAGAATGTGCTTTGGTTTGTAGTCGGTAATGTTGCAAAGAGCACATAGAGCTACCGGGCCACAGCCAATAAGAACCACAACACTGTCCTTGATCTCCTCGGGTGTCGAGTGTTTGAATCCGTTCTTGGCTGCGAACATACCTGTGGGAAAGATGTCGGCCATTAGGACAAGGGCTTCGTCCTTGATCATAGGCGGCGCCTTCATAACGGAGCCATCGGCTGTTGGAACGCGAACATATTGTGCTTGTGCACCATCTAAGACGGTTGAGCCAAGCAGCAAGGACTTTTTGCACCGTGAGGAGAATCCATGTTGGCAATAGAAGCATTCTCCACAAGACGTTGTGAATGGCGAGACGACTCGATCACCAACTTTGACTGACTTGACTGCTGAGCCAACCTCGTGGACATGTCCAGTGAACTCGTGTCCCATGACAAAGCCAGTGCCAGAGGGTTGGTGACCTCGGAAGACATGCAATTCGCTATTTGATGACTCGGATTAGGGAAAGGTTGAAGATGAGAGCCCATAATCAGCTTACCTGCCACACAGCGCTGTCTTTGAGGTGTTAGCATGGTTTTCATATATGATGGACTAACGCACCTTGTCAACTTTAACAATGATATCACTGTCGTCCTTGATCTGAGGAATTGGACGGTCTTCAACGGAGACATTTCCCGGTCCGTTGAAAACAACTGCTTTCATAGTGCCGGTCGACATGTTGTCTGGTAATCAATGTGTGGATGACGAGTTTGTGGTGCAAAAGTAACACACGGTGCTTGGACGAAGGGAAGGACCCAAAGACACGCAACGTAGGCTACGCGAGCTAAAGTGGATTTTCTACTAAGTACGCCCTGCGTTCCGGGTTCTGACGACACCGGCCAAACAGCTCGTGATGGAACGAGCTCGGCCCCGCCGAGGTTGGAATCTACCCCGCAGGCAGCCGCATGGTAGTAGGCTGCATACGGAAGACCGGTTTCCTTACAAACTTGCTGATACACAGTCTCTGCAACGCGAAAAGGCCCCGAAAGACTGCTGATATCCAGTCAATTGTTGGGGCAGACTGACAGTATGCAATCACATACGAGGCAGATCCTTCTCTTGACCTTGCCCTCATACCAAGCATCGCCGTGAACGATGACTCCGGAAGTGAACCCTCGGCCTCTTGTGCGTAATCCAATACTCAAACTCCGTAGAAATGCAATAGCAGGATGGCGTGCATCAAATCGTTTGCGCCACCTCATGTCACAGTGCAGAGCAGCTCTGCTTCTAGGATAAACTTCCCCTCCTTGTACTTCTCACTGGCCTCGTATGCCTTGTCGTATTTCCAACCCACCGTCTCCTTGCACTGTCGGCAATGAATGTCGCGTACGACGTGCCGGCCGGTGGTCATGTTGCGCTCGTTAGGCTCCGACTCGGTGATGTTGACGACGCTGTCGAACAGGTATGCCTTGCCGTGCTGGCCGCGAAAGTTCTGCGACCTGTTAGCTGGTGCTTCTGGATGTCTGTCCCAGCACTGACTCTGCTCAGGATGTCATCGTGGTTCGAGAGATGCGTCTTGCAGTTCTTGCAACCGTAGATGCGCGATGAGTTGAGGTAAATGTTGTATGATAGACCCATGGTGGTAGTTGCTAGGAGTCAACAGAAACTTGTTATTTCCAACAAGGTAGTAGAAGACAAGAAGCGGTTGTTGCCTGCCGGGTAGTGGGCCTGGGTACAGGATGCACGGGATGCGGAACGCGGCAAGCCTGTATGCAAGGACGTATGACACGAGTAAAACCTGCGTACTGGCAGTGGATCAAAGCAGGGCAAGGACAACTGAAAACGCCCTGTTAGTTGGAGCGCGTCCGCAGACTCTGGCTGTGAATGTCGGAGAAGAGCTCTGCTGACCGGACTGGCAGAGCAAAAGCTCACGGGCAGCGGGATTTTACAATCAGAGCGACTAGAACATATGATTTGCGTCTGAGTGGAGGCGAGCTCAGTCTACGGATGCGTGAGTGGTAAGTTGGAGGCGGACTCTTGAGTGCGAACTGCGCTGGTGCGGAGAGCTGGCACGTGCTCGATGACGGAACCCCCGGCGCGTGAACAGCTGCTGGCCGTTGGAGACCCTGGTGAGCTACTCGTGAGCCGAGCAGATATTCAAACCATTAATGGCAAGGGTTAGAACCGTTTCTTGGGGCCTGGGAATCCTGTAATGTGCTGGAACCTGAGGGTCTCGGGTACGCTTGCCTTGAAATGGATGAAAGATTACTCTGTTCGGAATTTACGCCTATGCTGTCTTGAAGAACATTGCTGCACAAATGGTCTGCCCTGAAGCCGCCAAGCGCTGTGTAGGATGCAGTGGGTCTCTTGTCGCTGCGCACCAGCCTGGCCAACAGCGTCAAAGAAGTAACACGTTGCATGCTCTAATGACGACCTGCGCCAGCTCGCACTGGTGTGTAATCCAGCAGGCTGGTAGCAGGTAGAAAGCACAACGCAAACGTGAACCTGTGGAGTGAAGATCTCGCATCAGAGCCACGCATGTTGCTGCTGGCAACGCGCTGAGACTGCAAATCCCAACCCCTTCGAGCCGTGGATTGGTCAGAGCAGCAGAGCCCACTTTGCTCCGCGGCTGCTCATGGCTCAGGCCAGCTGTTTGACAGCGGCTGTTGTGAGCATGAGTGCTTCTGGTTGACAGGAAACGTCAAGAGAGCGCGAGCAACGGGTAACAAGGAAGACCCTTGAAGCCCCCAGAGCAGAAGTGGAAGCCGCACCATTGCATGCTGAACACAATCAGACTTGAATGAGCGGCAAGCAGCGAAATGCGCCTTCTGGCGATTTTTGATTGGTGTTGCTCAGAGCCACTGTCTTGAGCTCCAGCCATCTTTTTCTGGGGCTTGTCGCTGTCAAAGTTGTAAATGTTTCGCACCGATCGAAGCTTCTGGAAGGCATTCCTCAACTAGTACAACACGTTCGACCAAAGTTCAGCAGCGGAGACTAAAATTCAGTTACACCAGGCTTCCCGAGATCGCCTCTCATGGTTCTTCCTTCCCTCTTTAACAGGTCGCCGTCAAAGAAGTCCAAAGACGCCACCCCGGCTCTCGCCCACCGAACCTCGTCAACGCCCAACTTGCAAGGCACCCCTCCAGTCTCGCCGGACAAAAAATCGCACTCCCGCGTCAAGGAGCGGGAACGCACTAGCAGCAGCCGGCGCTCCTCCACATTCTCGTCGAAGCGCTCGTCCAAGTACGACCCCGACACCCACCCACTAAATTTGTCCCCGGAAGAGCGGCAGCGCTTGTCCTTCTCAGCCATGTCAGCCATGGATGTTGACCGCGACTCATCCTCGCCCGCACCGTCCAGCCCCGCTGCAGAGATCCCCGGTGGCTTTCCCAGGACGAATGGCACAAATGGCGACCACGAGAGCCGTCCTGCTCCTCCGCCACACCGATACACAAAAAGCCCGCCGCCGAACAGCGGCAATTACGCTGCCACGCCCGAGGCTGCCACTCCGCCTGCGGAGATGCCCACCATAGACGCCGAGGAGTACAAGGCTGCGGGCAACAAGTTCTTCAAGATTAAGGACTACCCTGCAGCCATCAAGGAATATTCCAAGGGTAGGTGACTCTTCTTCGTTTTGTTGGAGGCATCAGCAACCCCTCCGATAAGCCGCGCCTTTCATTCGAAATTCGACTGACAGACACCAGCAATCGAGGCTGACCCCAAGAATGCCACCTACTACTCCAACCGCGCAGCCGCCTACATCTCCGCCAACCGTTTCGCCGAGGCGCTGGGGGACTGCAAGACCGCCGACGAACTGGACCCAAACAACATGAAGATCAAGCTGCGACTGGGCCGTGTGCTCACCAGCCTGGGACGGCCAGACGAAGCGCTCCAGGTCTACCACTCGATCAATGCTACAGCGAAGGATATGCAGCCTGCGTTGACCATGAAGAAGAACATCGACATGGCTGACCAGACCTCAAAGGACGGCGGTGGTGGCTCGATGGTCATCTACGCCCTCAACGAGGCTGAGAAGGGCCTCGGCAGTGGTGTCGATCGCCCACGGAAATGGCAGCTCCTGCGCGGTGAGGCTCATCTGCGCATGGGCAACGTCAATGCTTTGGGAGAGGCTCAGAATGTTGCCATGTCGATGCTGCGAAACAACAACCAAGACCCAGATGCGCTCGTGCTCAGAGGCCGCGTCCTGTACGCCCAAGGCGAGAACGATAAGGCGATCCAGCACTTCAGGCAGGCACTGAGCTGCGATCCTGACTTCAAGGATGCTGTCAAGAACCTTCGCATGGTGCAAAAACTCGAACGCATGAAGGAGGAGGGCAACACTGCCTTCAAGGGCGGTCGATTCCAGGCAGCCATTGACACATACGGCAAGGCTCTTGAAGTCGACCCGACAAACAAGTTCACAAACTCAAAGATCCTGCAGAACCGTGCCCTATGCCACTCCCGTCAGAAGAGCTGGTCGGCCGCGATTGCCGACTGCGACAAGGCTCTTGAGCTGGACCCGAGTTACACAAAGGCGCGTAAGACAAGAGCGAAGGCACTGGGCGAGTCTGGCAATTGGCAGGAGGCTGTCCGTGATCTGAAGGCAATCCAGGAGGAGAACCCGGCCGAGCCCGGCATTGCTAAAGACATCCGCAACGCTGAGCTGGAGGAGAAGAAGGCTCAGAGGAAGGACTACTACAAGATTCTCGGCATTGAGAAGGACGCCACAGAACAGCAGATCAAGAAGGCTTACCGCAAGCTCGCCATTGTACACCACCCCGACAAGAACCCAGGTGACGAGGAGGCTGCCGAGAGGTTCAAGGAGATCCAGGAGGCGCACGAGACTCTCAGCGACGAACAGTATGTTCTTTCTATCTTATCATCTGGTACACATCAGCTAACACGACCAGGAAACGTGAACGATACGACTCTGGCGCTGACCTCGTGGATCCTTCCGATATGTTCGGTGGCGGCGGAATGGGGGGTGGTATGGGCGGAATGGGCGGTGGCATCGACCCCGAGATTCTCATGCAGATGTTTGGAGGCGGTATGGGAGGCGGACGTGGCGGCGGTGGCGGTGGTTTCCACTTCCAGGGCGGCGGCGGCGGCAACCCCTTCGGCGGCGCTGGTATGGGTGGTGGCATGCCTGGCGGCGGTCGCAGGGGCCAGCAAGGAGGGTTTCCAGGCGGCTTTTCGTTTTAAAGGGAACCTGCCTGAGCACACTTCCAGCTCGGCATCGATCCTCGTTCCTCGACAAACGGCCCACGGCAGCCACCCCAGTAACGTCCCGCACGATCCACGATCTACTTCACGAGCGCATCTATTGGCTTGGTTTACTTCCTTCGTGTCTATACCACACATTTGGTTCTACGCATGGCGTTGGGTAAGGGAAGCGCGAGCTGCAGGCGCTAGTAGAAACATAGACTGCATTGGCCACATTCTTATGGTGGTCACCTCCAGCATTGCAAGGAGTACTGCTTCAGCCTTGCCATCCAAGGCTCTGTACAGTCGTTGCAGTTCATATTCCATACAATCACTTACTTCAGTGTCGCATCTGCAAGCGGGATGAAATATCAAGGATGACGTAATACGCACAGGCCAGATCACATTTCGTTGTTTGCAAGCCTGAACGAGCAGCCCTTCGCTTTGCATGTCGAATCCACGTCTGAAGATCATTCGCTTTGTGCATCTTTGTCATCGGCAATCCTGGAGTTTCACTCACCCTGTTCCTATCCAGGGTTCTTTTCATCGCTCATATAAAGGCGGGCACTTCCAGTTCCAACACTCTACTTCGAGCAAGATAGAAATTCCTTTGCAAAGCGGTGATATATCAGAGCCTTCCCGGAATTGGAAGGAATCACGAGACAATATGCAGCGCGGACGAGGACGTTCAAATCGCCAACCGCGTGGCGGTAGGGGCGGGGCCAGAGGCGGTGCCAGAGGTGGCAGCACGAACGACAATGCATCTCGCCCATCGAGACCCAGGCCAGCGTATACTTCTGTCCCGCCTATTCGGGCAATTCATCCCGGGGGTGGTGTTTCGATCATCTTGAAAGAGGACCAGCAGTCCGGCCACCAAGTCAAAGGCATCGTTGCAGACCTATTGACACGTGGAGATCACCCTCGAGGTGTCAAAGTTCGACTACGTGATGGAAGGGTTGGGAGAGTACAGGGTCTTGTGTCCGAGTCCGAGGGGATTCAGGGCGAAGGCATCGTTGGTGGTTCTGGTGCAAGCTTGGGCAGGAATGGTGAAGGTGCTGCAAACGCAGGAGCAGGCAGAGGAAGAGGAGGGAGATTTGAGAGAGACATCAGGGAAGACGACGAGTATCTCTTCGAAAATCAAACCTCAAACCGGGACGTTGGATTATTCGCCGCATTAGAAGAGGCCGACAGGAGGCATGAGCGAAACACGGCCAGACCAGCTCCGCAAACGCTTGCGCCCGAAGAGCTTGCGGTTTGTCCAGTATGCTACAAGTTCGAGGGCGATGAAGTTTCTGTCGCAAATCATGTCGAGCAGCACTTCGCTGAATGAAGGCGGAGGCATCAAGCACCCATCTATTCCTACCCACCACAGCCCACAGGAGATACCACCGGAAAGAAATTCTCCGCACTCGATCAGTGGGACTGTATCGACTTTTAGTCGGCCAGTCCATTGATGTTCGGATAACGCGGCCTCCGTTCTGTAGGTTGCTCCAGACCGACGGGTTCCGAAACAACAAGGGTGTTGCGACTCTGCCGCGACTTGTACTGCCTCAAGCACTCAACCACCACCTTGAACTTCAGTTTGACATCGACCGTTAGCGGAGCTAAGCAAGCCAACGTGTTCTGTAATCGTTCCGAAATGCGATTTCACAACTGCGCTAAGACGGCCTACGACGTTCTTGGTGCGGGAAACGCTCTTCAAAAGGCCTTGGTTGCGGCCCACAGTATCGTTCCCCAGCTAGAACTCTCTCTTTTCTTGGACTCTTGTCATTCCTTGTGTATATTGCTTGTCTGCTGGTCAGCTATACTCTTCTCACGCAGTCCTAATTCCATTCATTATTTGCCTTCAAGATGAGGTTTACTAGCAGTCTCGCCATTGCCATTCTGGCTCTTTCTGGTGTCGAGGGTATCTCTATACCATGGCGTAACTCTGTCGTATGTGATCATGTGTCTGAGCAAGTGGCTCTCACCTCGATTACCCCTGCTAACATGTTGTTTCAGAACGCTATTTCCAAGACTTATGATGCCCCCCAAGAACGGCGGCAACTCGAGATTGGCGGGCTCACCCTTGGTGGTCCTGATGGCGGTATCAGTGGCGACGGTGTCCAGCTCGGCGGAAAGGGTGGCAAGGGTGGAAAAGGAGCAGCCAACAACGGCACCATGACTGCAGGTGCTGATCCGAAAGGAAAAGGTGGAAAAGGTGGAAAGGGCGGCAAGGGTGGAAAAGGAGGAGCGGCCGGCAACAGCACTATGACCGCAGGTGCTGCACCAAATGCCGGAAAAGGTGGAAAAGGTGGAAAGGGAAAGGGAAAGGGTGGCAAGGGTGGAAAAGGAGGAGTAGCCAACAACAGTACCATGACTGCAGGTGCTGGACCCAAAGCTGGCAAGGGTGGTGCGACGGGGCTCGGAGCAGGAGCTGCTGGTAACGGCACAGCGACTGCTGCTGAGCCGGCGGCCAAGCAGAGCAAAGCACCAAAGGCTGCAGCAGGTGGTGCTGCTGCAGAGGGCGCGGCCAAGGAAGCTGCTGCTGAGCCAGCCGCCGCTGAGTCCGCCTCTTCTGGCGGCGAAGGTACGGAATCCCAGCCTGGCCGCGCAGAAGGTGACGCCGCACGCGCAGAGGCCGAAGCCGAAGCTGCTGCTGCGAAGGGTGAGAAGCCAGCGGCTGGTGGAGAGAAGTCTGAGGGCGTCAAGGCTACACAGGAAGCTGAGCAGTTCTCCGAGGAAGCGGGTATCACGTTGGGCAAGGATGGTAACGCGCAGAACCTGGGCGGCGACCTGGGGATTACAAAGGGCAGTGACGGATCTACAAGTGTAGGTGGTAAGAGCGGGATCAACGTCGCTGCCGATGGCACGGCTACACTGAAGGCCAATGAGTAGTCAAGAGGTTCGTGAGGGTGGTAGTAATACATTATACTACATTGCCAACCAATGTAATGGCTACGGGTCCTTTGTCAGCCCAATGAAAGACTAAAAAGCAAACCCTGGGTATCGTCCATGTCCTTACTCCGTAAACTCAAAATCCGACACTGATCGCTGCAGGCTCCACCTCCTCATCCCTTCCCTCTCACCACCTCCTTCACTCCCTGAACCACTCCGACACCGGGCCTGCTGGTTTCCCAGCAGCCCTCCACGCGGCCCCCAGCTGTTCGCAGCGACCCTTGTGGGCCCTCCAAACCTGTCGCAGCCCGCCCACGGTCTGACCGGGGAAGTCTACGAGCATAGGCTCGTAGCCCTTCTTCCGGATCAGCTTCGACTTCCAGAAGCTGAGCAGACTGTCGTCGTCCCAGTCCTCGTCCCCTTGAGGGGAAGAAGCACTGGCGACAGTGCTGCCCTGCTCCTGGTCGTCGACGTGGGCAGGCTGCTGCTGAGGACCGCGTGGGTCGTAGTCCTCGTCAGTCTCCCACTCTCCGTCGATGTCGGAGCCGACCTGCTCAGCCTCGTCGCGGTCCCCTGCTGGAACCGCCGACTGCTGAGCAGTGGTGAACATATCGGGGATGATGTAGATGGCGGCGGGGGCGGCGGGGGCGGCGGGGGCGGCGGTGGTGGTACCTTTAGATGTTAGGAAGCTGTCCAGCACCAGCGCCAGCAATCTCTGCAAACATACCTTCTTCTGCTGCCTCACGCGCGTGATACTCTTGCCAGAACCGGGTCTGTGCTTGTTGTTGTTGTGCAGTGGGTACTGCACATCTCACGTGTGCCTCGCCCGTCCATATCTCCCTTCCACCGTTGGTGAGTCGCCAGGTCTCTTCGCCGTCATGGGCATCGAAAGGACCCGCTGCTATAAGACGTCAGTGATGGCCTTCGCTACGCATAGTAGTAGTGACTTACGAGGCACAACCTCCAGCGGGTCCTCTGGGCCCCAGACCTTCTCGTCGCGGCCGCGCGGGAAGAAGCTGCCTTCAAAAGACATGCCTGCGGGATAACCGCTGTCCTTTCCGTTCCAGTTGTCGTTGGTCATGACTCTCGATGGAGTGAGTGCACTGGTAGAAGCGGAAAAGCTGGAGAAGCGGAAAAGCTGGAGAAGTTGAGACCGCGGTGTTGGTGAAGAAAAGGTAAGGAAGGCGGGCAAGCAGTAATTTTATACCTGTGTGCAAAGGGCGCAGTGAAGGGAAGAGTTTTCATGGTTACCGCGTCGATAACCAGATGGAGGTGAAAGAGAAAAAGAGCACTGAAGCGCCTTCACTGGAGGTTGTACTCATTTTGTTCCGCCAGAACCACCATCGAAAACAAAAAATATATACAAATCAAACTTATACAGAGATCTCTTCCCTAGCAGAAGATCCTTAGTATAGAGTAAAAGCTGTAAGACATACTTCTACCAGCACATGTCTCCGAGTTTGGAGCTTGGAGCCTCCCCTCCAGAGCTCGTCTCTTTACATTTCCCGACATTCCTTTCAAGAGGCCAAGCTTTCAGGCAGTCAATAGATATAAGCAGCTATCATTCGAGCGCATTTACTTCGTACTCTTACTTGGTATGCGGAGGGAGATTACGTCTTCATGGGACTTTATAGAAGCGCGTTTGTTGATACAAACAAAAACTTGATCATGAACTCATGGGCATCCAGCAATTCCAATGATCAAGCAATTCATCGATGCAGAGCAAAGAATCGCATGTTAATCTTCTGTCGTCTTTCAAACACGGTCAGGTTGGCCTTGCCCTACTCTCAAGAGGCAGAGTTCGCCTTTGTGGACCCGAGACTGCAAATAATATAGTCTTGCAGACCTGTTTACTTTCCCCGCACAAGTCCACTCGCAAACTCTCTGATACTTTTACCCTACGACGAAGTGTACGGCTTCAGCCACAGGTTGAATGAGAGCCGGGCTTGTGTACTCATCTTCACTTCACCCCTGCATGAGCCACATCAAGCCTACTGAGCATGTGCACAGTTCACACGCTTTCGATCGCATACCTCCCACCAAACACACCATGCAAGCGTCAGACGGAAGCAGCCCTGGCGCACGAAGCGCGCTCTTGGCCATGGCCGACAACCTGCAGCTCCACCCAATCATCATAGCCCGAGCGCTCGAGTACGCCTTCGACAACATCTCGTCATTCCCAACCACTGAACAAGCTCTCTGCTTTGGCATTGTTCGACAAGGACACTACGTGGATATGCAGGTTCTGGATCTTGCGCTACATAGGCTGAGGACAGATTATGGAGGTAGGTTGGATCCAACTAGGAGTGAAGAGACTACTAACATACTCAGGCGTTTTCCATGTTCCCGTCGTACATAACGGTGCTCTGGGACACTGGAAGGGGCATGGGCAGTCGCCGTACGCTGCAGTGAATGCGCGTAGGCAAGCTGGTAACTCGGATGCTTCTACATCGTCACACAATTCCAGAGTCCAGGAGGGCGGCGGGTATCAGAATACATCTGTCTTGTCTGCTCTCCCTCGTATTGGCTCCTGGCCTATGCCGCAGTCAAGACGTCCCAACTCCAGGACACCGGTTGCAAACTCCTTAGTTGGCCCTCGCGGTGTCGCTGAGAGGCGACCAGCCGGACATTTCGGTGCTGTTTGATGATGTGACGACAGATGCCAAAAATTGGAGCATCTCTGATAGCGAGCTTCCTCCAAGCTGCGTTCATGTGCTAACGCTGGCTCTGGGCAAGAAGTCGTGTACGTCAGTGGGTCCTGTCGGAACTCAACAACCTGAAACAACAATATGGCGGTACAGACAGTTAGGTAGTAAAAGTTAGTCGGGTGACGGTGTGAACGGCGTGGCAAAGGAGGGTTTTAGTGTATGGTGTGAAGCTTGGGTCGCTTCCTTAGCAAGTGCCGGTTCTCCATAGGTAACCCGCTCAACACGTATAACCACACAGTGCAAGTTCGCCGATGTAACATACTAGACAAGGCTGTCTCGATCCTTCGGCAACATGTATGCAGGTGAGCAATACATCCTCTTATCGATTTCGGCTGCACCTCAAGTCTTGGCCAGTCTAAACCTCCGGACGTCTGCCGGCAGACGGAAAAGTCTATCTAGGGCTGCATGATCCATGCGCATGTGATCGGCTCACTACATACAACAAGTTATTCAAAGGAAATCCTGCAGGAGTGTGACGATGGCGTGCGTGCTGTCCTGTTGAGTAAGAACAAGCCTTCAGCCGCACCTGTGCGATTAACAGGGACAGGGCCTGATCATGCAGCCTCCCCGCACCTCAATGCCCATATTGGCAGCTGAACCTTGACAGGTACCTAGATTGGTAGCGCTCGCATGTGACTAAAATGTCAGCTTGGATAGATTGGTTCTGAAGTGCGCTCTTATCAACGCATATCGCATCCTGGCCGTCGACACTCCTCCTAAGGGCACAATCTGGACCCTTCGTGAAGCGGCTCGCGACTCGTGTGTGTTGGGTGCGGTCGATAAAGAGACTCGTGTTCGACCGTCTTGGCCGAGCCTTGGATGCCCGTCCTTGCTCGTGCTCGTCTCCAGGACCAATCATCAAGCGGTGAATCAAAGACCCTGAAAGTTAGCCTCGCCTGCTGTGCGCGCTTGTACCTTTACGAGCCGCCGCCTTTAGTTTTCATCTCCACGACACCAAGTCCCCTATCGTCATGAGTCTCACAGTCTTGGTATTCGTGTGGCTGTCGACTAATAATGCCCTACATGCTCTAGTCCTTGGCCTGAACGCGCTGAAACGGCGATTCCAGGCCGCCACTCATCAGTGGCAGAATGGTATTTCTGTCGTGCAGTAGGCGTTTGTATGGGGATCTGTCGATCTGCCGTGTCTCGAGGCACGCCAGGCCCAGCCATCTGGATGCTCTTGCGATGCTGGGCTCCCTGATCCGTGTACGCAAGGTATCTCGCTTTTCCAACAACAGGTAAGCGCCAATTGTCGAAAGAGTGATGGCACGGGACGCTCCGATCAGTCTTCTGCCTCGTGGAGTGCAGTAGCAGGGCTCACCGGACCGCGCGGCGCGTCTGCTCGCTTGATATGAAGACCTGGACTCTGCCCGCCTGTTACTTGGGGGCAATCTCATCTATTCCGCGTTTTCTTGTTTTGGTTGTTTTCTTCCCTCCTTCCCTCTTGGGCTGATCGAAGTCGCTTGTTGCAATTACGACCTAAAGCTTCCATCATGGTGCGGACAACACCAGCACTTGCCGTGCTCCTTCTGGCACTCTACGATGCAGTTGCAGCGGCACCCACTTGGCCCGCGTCTACCGACGATCTGGAAGATATTCTGTACCTCAATTCCGGGTATCGAGCACGTGGCTTTGCCTCGCCTGTCATTCCATGTTCAAGCGGCGATGGTCCAGATCGCAATGCGGCAGCCGAGTGGATACGGACAGCTTTCCACGACATGGCTTCCGCCAACGCCGGTACTGGAGTAGGAGGAACTGACGGGTCAATTCTTTTTGAATTAAGTAGCTCCGAGCATGCGGGCGCAGCATTCAGAAACACTTTAACAAGATACGCACCACACTTTTCAAGTCGGACTTCGCTTGCAGACCTCATTGCCGCCGGTCTTTACAGCGCTACAAGATCCTGCGGTGGTCCTGCAGTTCCTATTCGAGGCGGACGGAAAGATGCTACACAAGCAGGACCATCAGGTCAGATTCCTGATGCGGCGAATGCGATCGGTATCTTCAGGAACCAATTCACTCGTATGGGCATCACGGGTGTTAACAACACTGAAATGATCCAGCTGGTCGCATGCGGTCATACATTGGGAGGCGTTCATGCTGCGGAGCAACCCCTCATTATCAATTCCGGAGAGTTTCCTAACAATTACGCTCACTTCGACACCTCCTTTGCAACTTTCGACAACAAGATTGCGACTGAATTCCTTGCAGGAACGACGAAGAACCCCATGGTTTTCGGTAAAGCATACGCAGCTAATGGCAGAGGAAGAGACTCGGATCGCAGAGTGTATGGCTCTGACGGCAACTACACCATGGCAGCGATGGCAGACCCTCAAACCTTCAACAACATGTGCAAGGCCGTATTCCAAAAGATGATCGAAATTGTTCCTAGAGGTGTCACCCTTACCGACGTTGTCACGCCTTACGATGTCAAGCCGTACGATGTTCAACTGACTCTGCTGGACGGCGGTGTATCGTTGGGTCTCACTGGAGACATCCGAATCAGGACAAATTCGCGCTCTGTCAGCAAGGTCCAGCTTGTCTACAAAGATAGGACTGGTGCTGCATCGTCTACATCGATTGATACTACGCTCAAGGGCACTGCATCTGGATTTGATGATACCTTCTCGTTCTACAGTTTCTCCACAAGCCTGTCGGTCGAGAAGTCGATTTCATCTTTCAATGTTATCGTCACTTCGTCCAGCGGAACCGAGACATTCTCCAACAACGATAATGGGTTCGTTGTCGACGACAGTGTCATCTTCCAGTCCCCTCAGAGCTGTGCTGACGGTTCTGGAAAGTTGACGGTTGTTGCAGCCGTTCGTAGCAGCGATTCACCAAGTGTGCAGCTGGTTGCTCGAGTACCTCGCCCGAGCAATATTCCTGTGCCCAGTCTATCGACAGCCACTGTTGCAATGGCATCTACCACCAGTGTTGGGCTCTACAAGCTGTACTCTGCAGATTTGTCCGGTTCTTCGGCCAATGCAGCGGTGTTCGGCATCTTCGCGGGCAGCGCAAGTGACACCTACAAGAGCATTGGCAGTCTACCCACAGCCTGCAAACCGTTCTCCACTGCTACCCCCGACCTCCCAGCACGCCATCGGTCCCGCTCGACTATCAAGGGTGTTTCACTGATGCCATTGCGGGTACCAGGGCTCTTGCTCCAGCCGAATTGAAGGACGACGAAATGACTGTGGAGAAATGCGCTGCATTCTGCAACCCGTACAAGTATTTCGGACTCGAATTCGGGCGCGAATGCTGTAAGTTTACTAAGGAATTCTGAAAGCGATTTGAAAATGCTAATGCTATACAGACTGCGGCAACGTTCAGAACGCCAAGAGCGTTTCGGCAAGCGCCTCGGATTGCAACGTTCCCTGTAAGGGTGATCAGACTCAAACATGCGGTGCCGGTCAAAGGATGAGCTTGTACAAGACAGTTGGCTGGTCCCCGCCTGTTAACCCGGCAGTTGACGGGTATGACTATTTCGGCTGCTACAGTGAGACGACGGGAACGACTCGTGCGCTTTCTGATGGAACTACTCAGAGTGACAGCATGACTGTTCAGAAGTGCGCAGCTTCTTGCCAGGGAGCCGCCTTCTTCGGGTTAGAAAATGGAAATGAATGCCGTAAGTCGAGCACCCATATCACCAGAAATAAACAAGACACTAATTCCATCCAGACTGCGGTTCGAAAATCAACGAGGGGAGTGCTCCTGAGCCAGAGGGCGATTGCTCGCTACTTTGTCCCGGCAACATGAAGACCTTATGTGGTGCAAGCCTGCGTCTGAACGTCTACAAGAACAAGACACCGCCGACAGCAACAACTGCAACGCCGACACCCACGCCCACAGCAAGCAAGCCATCTCTATCTGGTTACACATACACCGGTTGCATCGTCGACAGTCTTAACCCCCGACCCTTAAGCGCAAGCATGACTTCCTCTTCAGAAAATAGCTACGCGTATTGTGCCAACTTCTGCACCGGTTTCCCTTACTTCGGCGTCGAATACAGCAACGAATGCTATTGCTCCTGGGTCCTTCCTGCAGCAACCGATATCAAGTCTGACGCCGACTGCAACATGCCATGTGCAGGTACTTCGACCCAGTTCTGCGGCGGTCCCAATCGCATGACAGTGTTCAAGTCCAATGCAAACATTGCAGTACCTGCCAATCCAACAATTCCGAACTATGGATACAAGGGATGTTACACCGACGACATTCGCAGCCGGGTGCTTACAACCACTATACCGAGCGACGATGGCATGACAGTCGAGCGCTGTGCAAGTGCATGTGCTGGCAGCCACTATTTCGGAACAGAGGTCGGGAGAGAGTGTTACTGTGGAGATAGCTTCGTAGGTGATACCAAGATCGTTGACCAGGGCGAGTGCTCATCGAAGTGCGCGGGCAATGGGGGAGAGTTCTGCGGTGCTTGGTCTAGGTTGAGTCTGTACGAGAGTATGGAGCATGTCAATAGCACGGCGAGTGGCGAGGCTGAGATGGATCCTAGCTTTCGATTGAAGGTCTAGAGAGTCGGTGCCGATATACCCATTATTTACGATCTTTGATACATCATAACATTTTAATTATTTCGACATGTCTAAGCCGAAACAACCTATTGTACAAACGCACCTCAAGGTATGTTGATCATTCTAGATGTGCATTGAGACTAGATCTTTCTGTTACACGTGAGTAACGCAAGGCGTCCTCACAGACTTGTAGTAAACTTCATTTCTCGAATCTGTCACTTCAAGCTTCCTACCACCGTTGTCTTCCGCCATTCCTCATCTCCCAGCCTAGAACCTCATCCCAGCCCATAACACGAACAGCCTCAATACCGCCGCCGCCCGTCCGCCCGACCCATGCTCTTCGGATGTACTTCCGCTTGACTAATGATCCACCACGAATGCAACACTGCTCCACGTCAGACGTCGTTAAACTCAAGCAAAGCAGAATCATGCTTGACGCTTATGCGGGAGAACATACCACCGGGAATCCAGCCTAGGATGTCGAGACAGATATTGATAAGTAGATCGGCGCCGCAGCCTCGTCGGAGCAGTACGGGCAGGAAGGGGAGAAAGATGGCGATGAAGTAGAGGCATATGTTGCTCTGTTTGCTGTCAGCGCTCTGTTCTGATATGCGGGTGGTGGAAGCGGAAGCGTACGGTGCTGGATGGCATCTTGGAGGCTTTGCGTTAGTGCTTGACTTGGATCTGGGACGGAGGAGCTTACAGTGCTGGATGGCATTTTGGAGACTCGGAATCGTACTTGCTATTGATGTTGTGAGAGTTGTTGATGTTGATGTTCAAATTTGTGACATGTGCGGGTCAGGACAACAGGTTGATTAGCTTCAACAAAAAGACGACACAACCACGAATGCCATGTTCGAGTGTTTATGCCTTCTTATGGATAACTCGGCGAGTGACGTCGTGTGATGTTGTGTAGCAAGTCTTGAGTACCAAGACGGCCGAAGTTCCGCGTTTCGGGATTCGCGGATAGGAGCAGGAAAGCTTCAAAACCAGTGTGCCGAGTGCCGATAATCAGATTGAAGCAAGGTCTAGAATGCCAAAGACTGATCGAGGAATTGGTATAGTAGGAAACCGAGGTGTACGATGATATGGTAGTTCCTGTACTGATGATCATGTCATTTGTGGCCCTAATCGCCTCGCTCGCGCCGATCCTTGGTATTTCTACATATTGGTACAATCGAATATGTCAAAACATGCGTCCACCCTGCAAACTAGACTCCGAATTTTGAGTACCTGAAATCTCCGAGACCAGTGGTATCCAAAGGTGATGTTTCAGATCGAAGTAAGCGTAGGCTACTCCGAGCCCAAAGCTTGCTATGTGGACCTGAGTGAAGTCAGTATAGGTTTGAGTGTCATTGGATCCGCAAGACATACAAAGAATGCGGGTCTGTTACCCCCCTTCACATTTCTAGTTATACTGTACGCCTGCGAAGCGGCGAAGATCAACCCCCAATACATCGCATCAAGTCTTAGTATCAAGGCCGGTGGCGCCCACACCTTCTCGTGTGCGTACGCCACACAGTATACACCAAACGCAGCGGCAATAGCCCCGCTGGCACCTAGGTTTAGTACAAGACCACTTGCCAGATTGAAGCGGTATGCAAAGTGCGTCACATAGCTTGTGATGAGCGGGACACTGACCAAGAATGCCGATGTATGGAAGAGATCGCCATCGAAGTAGTGAACAACACCTGGAAGGAACCAAGCAAGGGCCGCCATGTTCTGTACCGCATGCGTCCAACTGGAATTGATAAGAGGGTATGTAAAGGCCGTCCATTTCGCCTCACCAGTGATGTGTATCAGCTTCTCCCAGATAGGGAGCGGAGATTTTTTGAGGAGATGAATAGCGAGACTTGCAACGACGATGCCAATGGTGAGATTGTCCAGTTCATTCCAGGCGGCTTTGGCGCCTTCGAGGATGATAGTAGGCGTTAGGTACCAGTTTTGAGGAAGCTGGGCGCGCTCGGGGAGATGACTGCCATCAGAACTCGGTACACCGGTTTTTACGTCCAAGTATGCGAGTGTAACGTACGTGCCAACTAGTGCGGACAAGGTCCAAACACCGGGCCACAAAACTTTCCTTCTCATGATTTCGATGCGCCGCTGAATGGCCTCTTCTTTTGCGTCTATCTCTAGCAATACTTCGTCTTCGGATTCATGATTCTGTGGTGGCGGCTCCTTCATGAAGCTTCGAGGGCTAACTGTTGAGACCGGAGGTGCTGGCACTACTTTTGAGGCAGGCTTTACTGCAGGTCTCGCACTCAAAGATGCAGGTTTCACAGCTGAAGATGCAGCTGGTGCTGGCCTAGCAGACTTGCGCAATGAATTCAACAAGAGAGAAGCTTTCTTCGTCGGATCCAAATTGGCACTTCCTTTCTTCATAGTAGTATTGTCCAACGCCGCGGGTCTTGACACAGGCTTTGCCGTCTTAGAGGGAGTGGGCCGCGCTACCCTGGATTTGAAGCGCACGAAGACCATGGAGACCGGGCATTGATTATGCAGTGTGAACTGCGACCGAAATGGTATGCCGCATTTGGATATGCATCTTGTAGTTGGGCTTAAACCCGGGGTGAGGAAAGACATGGTCTTTCGTCGAAAAGGTTTACTGTTACGGCGAGCGGTATTGCGTACCAAACATGTTACAAAACTTATTGGATCATGCTACAGGATTGTTACTGAATCAGAAAAAGATGGTTGCGGTGAGATCTGAGATGTAGTCGTGCGCCAAAGAGCCGAAGGTCGCGTCGATGAACTGAAATAATTTTAGCGCTGTCGCCAGATCACGTGTTTGACATTCGGCCAAATACGCCAGACATAACACGACCTGCTCAACTTCAGTCGAATAGTACTCTGGGTGAGTCACTTCATAGTCGTTAGGTATGTAGTTGGTCTATAAGCGTCTTCTAGGGAGCTGCATAATGAGCACTGAACATAGACTGCAGTCTTGGAGTGGGAAATCGATAAATGGATGAAAAATGTTTGGTGCTCTATTCTCAAAGTCAAGGAAAGTATCAGTGTGACACTAGTATTGGGTTTTACTTGAGGACGAGACAGGAAACATAGTACGCAGCAAGATGTTCGAAGTGCAGACCGAAGAGCAGACCGAGCTGTTGGGATTCACAGAAACAAGGCTGCGAAGTGCAAATTAGAAACTGAGGATATTAGGACGGTATGGCGTCAACTTTTGCTTTGGCGCGGATATGGAGAAGCATGAGTTGCAAGGTTCTGACCGAGTCATAAAAGAAAGGCACAATAATGACTGTCTGGGTATAGGTGCTGAACGTGATAGGATCAAAAGAAAGCCAACAGAGAGATCACAAAGGTGCCCAGTGCCCAATCAAAGCTTCCTGCATTCTTCCATGAAGAAGCGGCGTTCGAGCTCGCTGCTGAGGGGTTTGCTGTGGTCGTTGCCGTCGAAGACGCTGTCGAGGATGCTGTTGCTGAGGATATCGGATCCGTGGAATTTAATTGCTCCAATGGGATCATGACAGCATCGAGCACGTGGATCAGGCCATTGTGAGTCCTAGTTCGATCGAATCAGTGCTGCATCTTATGTGGCGTGGCGTACTCCAAGACTTACAAGACATTTGCATCGACGACCCTAGCATTATTGAACCAGATGGTTCTGGTGCCGTTATTGTCCTCGACACGCACGCGTACGGTAGCGTTCTGTAGACTCTTAAACTCTTGTCCGTCGACCAGGAAGTCGCTGTAAGCCACTTCCGGCAGAGTGTGGAACAGTAGTGCGCCAGTCAGGTCTGTCTCGTTAAGAGAACGGTCAGGGTTCCCGGCAGTTTGGAAGGCCGCGTTGCTTGGTCCTAAGCAAGTAACATTCTTTGTGCCATCAAGAGCAGGCCACAGTTTTGTCCGATTCAACGCGTTGTCAAGGCTTGCGAGACCGGCACTGCGAATCGTCCTTGCACAGGTGGTCGGGAGGGTCAGTAAGCCGTCTACAATATGGAAGCTGCCGCCGTCCCAGGTTGCTTGCTCTGCATCTAGGGTCTGAATATTGACAGTGGATGCGAGTCCGGATCGTACGCCTGTAGTCTCTTCTGAAGACTGCCGACTCATGAGCTTGAAGCTATTTGGAGTGGACGCTTTGCCAGCGCTTTGAATGAACACAACTTGACCCCTTGCTCTTTCAGGTCCACCGAACTTGGAAGCTAGGCTAACTCCTGAGCTTCGATTGTTGTTGGGAGAGTCCTTTAGCAGTGTGGGTGCGGTGATTCCTGTGGTCCCAACACTTGTGAAGTTGTCCCGCGTTAGATCTGAGACAAGTGTGTGATATTGCACAAGTTGCAGCAGAATTTCTGGCCCAACGTCGAACAGTGAGACTTGGTGCTGCGCATAATATGCTGTGAAAGCCTCGTTGCTCGGAGCGAGAAACGTTATCGGATAGATTGATTTATTACCGAAGTAGGAGGCGGCGAACGCTTCATTGTTTTGATAGAAGGTTGTGAAGTTGGAGAGCTCTGGGACTCGCGATAGAGCTTCGAGAAGGGTTTGAGCATGAGTCCGACTCAGTGCCATTCCAAGGAGAAAGGCTCGACGCAACATTTTGCTTCAGCCTTGTCAAACGGTCCGATACTGATGGTACTGCAGAGGTTGAAAAGGTATAGTATCAAGGTAGAGCAGGTGTTAGAGAACGTTCCTCCAGAAGTGAGCCGTGGACAGAGTAGTAGCGTTGTCAGACCTTATAGTTCATGGTAGACACGTAACCCCGCCCAAGCTGACACTCAGCCTGCTACTCTGCAGTACATCGTGAAGAAGCAGACCAATTGCAGAGCAGCCACCTCGCTTGACACACGAACGCCACGGAAGCTGAAGCGGCCAAGACAAGGCTGAGCATCGATAGCAGACCTCCAATACCATAGAGCCATTTTCTATCAAGGAAGGAAAGCGCAAATACAGACATCAACATCGATGTCCTTCATCGAGACGCTTGAGACGTCCACAAAAGATATATTTAGTCTGCATTACGCTTTTCGGATAGCGCATAGTCAGCATTCCACGAGAGACGTATGCGGTGAGATGGGGCTGACAAGGACGATGGAGGTGAGCGGAGTGGGCTGCACCTCCGAGGTTCGCCGCCAAGCAAGTTGACGTAGCCAATTGCGGTGATGTGGGCGTGGCCTCTGTCGCAATCTCCACGGCAATGTGTAGCCACACAAACAGCTGACAGTAGCTCAAGGTTCCTCCCGCGGGAACATGTCCGTCCTTCAGAGACTGCAGAAGCTCTCAGAGTTGCAGTGCCTGCTCCTTGCTGTCCAATATGCCACCGAATCGAACATTGACGCTCTGCGAGCATTGACGGCATTGCGCGAATCTGAATTACCACTGGGGCTTGTGTTGAATATCCTTCTTACATTTTTGCCAGAAGGTACGGAACCTACGACATATTTGCAGTATCTAAACGAGCTTGCGACCGACGCACGGCATCCTGGCGACGACCCCGCTGCCCATCTAGATATTACCGCAGTTGAGGCACTATCGAAATCGCAAGCGAAGAGGAGAAGGAAAGGAATAGAGCTTTTGCCGCTTGCGCATATCCAGTACGATGCAGAGCTCGACCTCGACCCGTTCAGCCAGTTCCTCATTCACCGCGCGCATCGCATCGATTCCCAGACCGGTCTGCTCGATCTCGTCCCACAACTCATCGTCCCCTTCCTGAACCACTCCGAGTACCTTCGAACATGGTTCATTTCGACCGTCTTACCGCTCCTCCGCATAAGTTACGAATACTACCCCCAAGGCGCTGCTTTGTCACTTGACGAATTCGCCAGCTTGAGGGGGGCTCGGGCGTTGGACTTCAATCTCTCGAATCTTCGCGCAGCGAGGAAAGCCGGAGCAGACACAGAAAACGCGGCACGCGACTTGAAGGGCATAGTGTCACCATGGATATGCGGCGCAAACGATCGCAAGAGGCGCAAGATTTCAGGCGAGACCCGTAGGCCTTCGATAGCAGAAGAGTCAACACAAGAGTCAAGCGACTGGGATACTCTGTTTCACTGGCTCCTGCGTACTTCGAAGGAAGATCTTTACCTAGTCACTGCGGCGATATCGGAATGGGACGGACCTGAAGATATGGATCTAGGGGGTTTCGAAGAAGGTCGTGACTATGTGGATGAGGAAACGCAACGCCGTCTGGAGATGAAGTATGCACAAACAGCGCTATCATGCCTATATCTGGTCGATGGGAGCGATATTGGCGTACTTCAAACGGCGCATGCCCTGCTCACACGCATATGCGATCTTCTCCACTGCGAACCACCGCCGAATCTCAACATCGGCGTCGAAGCGCTTCCATCATATGACCTCACAAACCCGATATTACAAGACGCGACCTCTTCTTTGATCCAAGAAGACCGACTTCTAGCCTCTGACAACAGCATCACAAGACCAGAGCAAGCCACCTTCCGCATCGTTGAGCTGGTCCTCTTCTCAGCGTGCGTCTTATCGAGCCTCCAATACCCCATCTCCCCACGAACGGTCGCAAAGATGTCACTGAGGGACGATTACTCTGACCAGTATTCGCTCCTACAGAAGGTGCTCCATACTCTGAGCAGTGGTTCGAAGAAAGACAGCGATCAATGGCGGACCATCAGATCGAAACTGCTGTGGCTGTGGAACTGGGGGACAGATGCTCACGACAACGACCGCAATGGACAAGGCATCTTGGGTATGCTCGAGAAGACAACAATCGAGACTGAGATCCTGAAATCTCTCATCGAGGGCAGTCACTATCCGCTCGCGGTTCAGATCTACGTCAAGCCAGCTTTCGGCGAACACCCTCTTCTGCAATCTGAAGTTGAGAAGGTCGTCTTATCAGCTGCTCTGAATCACTACGACAATGCCAGCAATGGAAACCGCAACAGAGGTGGTATGAAACGCTGCGCGGAGATTGTTGCTGCCTTCGCACCTCATTTCTCCAAGTCTCCACGCTTCCAAAGGACCCAAGCTTTGCTTTCAGCGACCCACGCAATGTCTTTCTACTCTTTGATACTTCAACATGGAGTTCCGTTCCAGCCAGTGAGCATAAGAGTCAGCTCGGATCCTTTGTCGCTCATACAAAAGCTGCTGTTGCAGAACCTCGGCAGCTATACCAAGCTGGACGATCTGATATCCATAGGACGCAATCTGGTAGTATCGAGACCATCGTCGATCATGGATGACACCAAGGACGCTGATCAGCTCGATGCGACAACAGTTGAGAAGAGGTCAGCCGCGGCTGAGCATCGAGTCATCGGCATGGCCATCGATGCAGCGCTCGAAGAGGGTGACTTCGAGACGGCATACTCTTACGTCGTCAACCGCCTGACACCAACCGCGACACCGACACCAGCAGCCTCAACGTTATCACAGCGCTTCTCATTTGACTCCAACGCCCCAGAAAAGCAGACTGATGACACAGACGACGTCGCCTGGCGCGCAGCTCTCCGCGCCGGCCGTTACCAGCCCTCCCTATCCGCATCCAGCACTTGGTCCCACGGCGCAACCGCACGCCCCGACCTCCGCCGCCTGGAGCAGCGCATGGAACTCCTCTCCCAGGCGCTCCTCCTCGCCCCGCCCCCGCACCTCGAAGAAGTCCTAAACGTCTGGCAGCAATGCGAGACCGAGATGACGGACCTCCTCGCCCAAGAATCCGAAGCCGAGGAGCGCTTCAACGACGCCGCCGACCGCAAGCTCCCTGGCGCCTTCGACACCGGCTCGCTCCCCACCGTGCAGCCCCGCCGCGAAGTCGGCCGCGGCGCCGTCGAGGAGTCGCCCATGGGCCTGTTCGACGTCGCGCGCGGCGCTGCCGCCGCGTTCTCCAAGAGCGCGTTTCCGCTGCGCAGCAACACGCAGTCCTCGTCGCGGCCCGAGTCGCGCGATGCCGTGCGCGCGAGTATGGATCTCAGTGACTCGGATAGCATGCACGCGCACGACGAGCGGGTGAGGAAGAGGGATCTGCTAGCGAATACGGCGACGGGGGCGCTGCAGTCTGGGCTCGGGTGGATGCTGGGTATGTATCCCATGGGTGCAGTCTATGGGTCTGTGGCTAACGAAGTGCAGGTGCTAAACCGGTCAACGACCAGAGTCGATGAGGATGAAGTGGTGGAGCGCTATATACCCGTTGGCAGAGGCTGTATCATCTATCTATCACTACGGCTTGTGCGTTGTCGCTGTGCCTTGTCGATGAACCACTAGAAGATGTTTGTGCCACGCCTGCCCCTTTCCTAGTCGCCTGCCATGTATGAGTTCTTTGCTGCTGGAGTGACCGGCGTGCCCTGTCATTATCCTCCCATCTAATTGTACCGCAACCTGAGCCGTAACACTATAGTTAATCACTCGGTATGTATGCTTGCATCGCCAATCCTCTGCGAAACAAGCTGAATCCGTGAACATCGAGGGCTTTAAAACATGATGCTGCACTTGATTCTACGCACGCTGCTCCTGATCCAGCAGCTTTGGGGCGAATTCTCGCAGCGACGTTAGTGCCTGATATATGAGCGGGCTGTCCCTTTCAACGGGGGCAGTATCGCGGGAGGGAGGCACGGAACCAAGGTTAGCCAGTCGATATAAGAGTGTTCAGCTACCGATCAAAGTGGGTGCAGGTGGTAAATGCGATCGATGTCACGTGCGAGCAATGCGAGAATGAGGTCAGGGGTTGTCGACGTCGACGGTAGAATCACGAGAAAAGTCTGCTAGCGGCAGCGCATTTCAAGGCATCACAGGCAGGGAATCAAAATGTTGGTTTCAACAGTCCATTCCTTATCGAAGCCGTAGCCTCGAGGCGGGCTATCTTCCTTTGCAACCCGTCACACGGTCTCCCATCTCCCTCCACACTCGCCCCTCATCATCTAAGATGTGCACAAATGGTTCTCGAGAAGCGGTCGTCGACACGGCGGGATGTAGTAAGGCGTCATACACTGAGTGCGACACGTTTACTGCTCGGTCTGGAAGTAGTTGAGGAGGATGGATCGCTCCTGCGACTCCTCACCCCAGTCCTTGACGACAACGCACGAGCAGTTGACGACCTTGCGGGGGTTACCCTCACGGTCAATCTGGCCTGGTATGCATTAGCGCTGCACCGTCATACATGTTGCGGGAAGGGGAACGTACAGAGACCGGCCCACTCGCCGAGCTGCTTGCCATCGGGGACCTTGATGAGAGGGATCTTGTGCTCGGAGCAGAGCGCAACAACGAGCTTCTTGTAGGCCTCCTCCTCGCACGCCTCGTTGAGGACGCACATGTGAGCCTGACGGCGGTCGAGGGCCTTGGAGGCCTCGCGCAGACCGCGGGCAAGACCGTCGTGGATGAGCGCGAGCTTCAGCACGCCCTTGAGAGCCTCAAGGACGGACATCTGCCCGGAGCCGGTGGCGGCATCGGCGCTGACTTCGACCTCGGCGGCCGCGGAAACCTGGGACTTGGTATCGTCTTCTCCGTCCGACTATGATACGTTAGTTATGTAGTCGTGGGGGGGTTTCGTCGACGCCTGGCGGGGCAATTGCGAAGTGCGCGTGGCAAATTGTCGCAATTGCATGCAGCGTCGAATCGGGGTGGTGAGCCGTACCATGATTGCTATTGATCTATCGGGGTTCCTCGAAGAGTTTTGGTGTTAGATAGAAGAGAGAGAGGATTCGTTCGAAAGTTCGAGCCAAAATTGCCGGGCGTGTGGAGCGGCTAGCGCCGAAGCGAGTGGTCCGTGCGCCCCGATGACGCCGTGTGATTGGCTTCATCGAGGGCGACGCAACTCACGCATCGTTTTGACAGCATGAGGGGATCTGAGGTACATGTTCAAAGTGTTGCAACGTGAGATATGTGTTGCGTCTATATGTACCTGCTGAACCGAACTCGACACTCGTCTAGGCGGAGCTGCCTACGTAACATCCAACCACAAATGATGAGATCGCTAATAACCAATGGCGAAAGCTTACAACAATACTGGATCCGGGAGAGCTCGTCAAACGTCCCTAACATCACGTCTTGGGATCTCCGTCTCAACCATCTCCAGCCCGCTTAGGCTGGGATACCGTTTACTAAACGCATCAACATCCCAATCTTCTCCGCCTGCTGCGTCGCCAGCAAGGGACGGAAGTGCCTTCTCCCGCATGCTCACACCGCGTAACGAGGGGGGTTTGGTGGGTGACCCTTGAGCAGATGGTGGGTTTGCCGATCCGCCTGTCCGCAGAGATTTAGGCTTCGGAGCACGGGGCGGTGGGCCAGACGGGGCGCGCACACTGATCGCCGGTGGTGCGGATGAAGATGGTGTTGGAGGTGGCTGACTGGGACGACCAGACGGCTTGGTGTATGCAAGATCTTGCGGTCCACCAACGTTGACAGCCTTGCGTGCGACTGTGGGTGGACGCATGCCGCTCTGATCTTCTGGCCTGACAGGCAGCGGCTTGTCAGTGTCTGTATACTTGCCATAGCCCGCAGCAGTGCGGTTGATTGGCGCTGGTTTGCTGCTCTCATCGAGAAGGTTCTTGACACGGTTTTGTATCGCCGTTGCTTTCGAAGGAACCCTAGGCTTGCCCTGAGCTTGTGAGGCAAGTCGTTGCTTGTACTCGGCAGCAGCAGCTTCCACCCGTCGCTCTTCTTCGCTAAGCCTGCGCCTCTCAAGCTCCCTGCGGACCTCAGGTGACAGGTCTTGCGTCTCATCGATGGGCCCACGGTCGTTCTCGGTGGGGGCCAGCGAAGCGATGGAGCCAGCGATGGGTGTAAGATCGCGGTGGTTCGACGTGTAATCGTGATGAGGTTCGATGGGCGATGCGATCGGCTCTGGGCGCTCATGCTCTGGGGTCTTGTTGTTTGTCTCGAAGCGACGGAATGCGTCTCCAAATCTGCCTTTCACGATGCTTTTGGTATTACTCGTGATTGACGACAGACTACCGAGTCGCATGTGCTTAGACTGCGAACTACTACGGCGATGCTTTTGCTTTTGGTTGGGATCTCCTTCGATCTGGCGGAGAAAATCCACGCTAGACCTGACGTTCCTAGCATCAGAATCCGCGTCGGAATCATCGATAGCGTTTGATGTAGTACGGCGTATCAGTGAGGGCGCATCGAAGTTGCGACCAGGCGCCGACTCCCGCTCCCTGAGGAAGTCCAGGTTGGACTCTACATGCATGCTGGCTGGTCGAGCGTTCGAGTTTGCAGATCTGGAGCGATCGATTGTACTTCCAATGTCAAGCTGAGAAGGACGTGAGCCCTCCAGAGACGGCCTGGACGACGCAGGCGATTTGGGTATGTTCAAATTCGACATGTGGGATCTCGAGCGCAACTCCAAGGATGGTCTCACAGGTAACGCAAATTCAGAGGGCTTCAGGGAAGAACTGCCCTCTGCCTTTTCAAACTTCCGCGGTTGACTTTGTGTCCGGTGGTGGCTGCCAGAAAGGGGCACTTTCCAGATCGGCCGCTTGCTGACATCTGGGTAAGGCGAAGGCGCTGGAGAGGGAGCTGGTGAAGTTTGTACGCCTGTAGAAACCATGCCGCTGTGTTTCGGAATCGGTTGTTGTATCGTTGAGCTTGACACGCGAGGACTCTCACTGGCCTCGTAAGGTTTTGACTTCTTGATCGACGCCGTTCTCGATACGGTAGCCGAAGGCGCAGTGGAAGAAGACTTAGTTCCAGGCGCTGATGGGACTTTGGAGACAGGTGGCAGTGCGAATGCATCGTCGGCGAGCGCCTCAGTCACACGCTTGTTCAGAGGATCGCCAGACGCCCCGAACTCGAACTTCTGGCCACGGTCGTGAAGCAAGGAAAACTCGTCCAGAGACGGGAAGCGCGACGCAAGTTCATCTGCGGCCGCACGACGAACCTGCACGTCCTGGCTGTCTAGAGCTGCGAAAGGGTCCGACGCCGTACCTCTCATTGGAGAGACACTTGGCTTCGCTGCTGGAGGTTGCTGCACAGGGGCAGTAGGCCGACCTCTTCTCATTGGGGCAATGTCTGGAATATGCTGTACTTTTTGCACTGGCGCAACCTTCTGGAGCCCTATCACCGGGGGTGGTGAAGCAATCTGGGGTTCTGTCGGCGGCAGCTGCTCGTTTCGTCGAGCCTCGGAGTGTGTTCGACCGGAATAAATCTTAGAAAGTCAGCGGTGTCAGTATATTGTATCGAACTACATACATCTTTGATTGGACAAGCTCGGTGGCGCATGGCACAAGTCTCGGCTACAACTTGGTAGATGTTTGGCCGTTGCTGTGGGCTTTCGCGCAGCATGGATCCTGCTCAAGTCAGCCTGTGTTGTCGCCGGCGGCTCTAGACCTACCTATCAAAGCCTTTATTCTGTCTGAAAATGGCGGATAGTGCGGGTACCTGAAGGTTGCATTCAAGATAGCCATCTGCCCCACTTCCTCGAAAGGGGTGGTGTAGTAGCACAACTTGTATAGCAACACTCCTAATGCCCATATATCACTCTTCTCGTCTATTGGCTGTTTGCGGTAGACGTCGATCATTTCTGGACTGCGGTATTGCAGGGTGGTGTGCCGTTGCACGTCGTCCTCAATCAGCCTTCCCTCCGCAGCTGTAGTAGCAGCCGGCCGCGGTGGCGCAGTAGACCCAAAATCGCACAGCTTGTATATCTTATGACCGCCTGCGTCCGTGATCAGGACGTTCTCAACTTTGAGATCCCGGTGGAGCAGCGGCGGCTTGAGGTAGTGCATCGTCGCGACGCCCTCGGCAACGTCAGAGAAGATGTGCAGGATCTCGGGCTCGGTGAGGCGGTGCTGCAGGCGAGTGTTCATGAAGTCGATCAAACCACCGCCGGAGCAGAACTCCATGAGCAGGAAGACCTCGTATCCATCACCCTTCAACTGCGACGCATGTGAGTCGAAGTAGGTAACGATCTTGTGGTGCCCCTTGAGCTTCTTCATAGTCTCGACCTCCGTCCGCATGTTGGCCAGCGCGTCTCGGTCTGCGCAGGCCACGCGCTTCAGGACGGCAGTCTCTGGCGTGTGTCCGTCGGTCTTGGGGACGCGGACGAGGTAGACGTGCGCAAAACCACCCTCCGAGAGATACTTCTCGATGACCACGCGGTGGCTGCCCACCTGGACCTTGGTCCCCGGCGCGAAGGTGCCTGGCGGGGCATTGGACGCGGGTACAGGGGCGGGAGCGCGGTATGCGGCCTGCTGGGGCATCGAGTGGGCGCTGGAGGGGGCATAGCGAGCGGAGGACATGCTGGGCGTGGGAGCCTGCTGCGGTGCAGGAACAGGGCTGCTATAGGCAGTGCATGGAAGGGAGACAGAGAACGCAGCTGTCAGGCCTCGGGTGCAATGGGCAGGTGGGTTGTGTCGTGTTCAGGTCGAGGTGATCATGCCCAGGGTCCATGTTCACACGGAGCCCCAGGTGGTCACAAGCAAAGCCACTCTACAACGTCACAACTTGGATTGGAGGAAAAGGGTCTCTAGCACTTGGAGCGTATGCAGTGCTACTTTGATCGAGCACCGTCCAACTGCGCTACCACAAGCAGACAGCTCACAGGCTACTCGCGCAGCAGCTACTCCCACCAGCACTACAGCCTGTGGCTGATGACCGCATTGTGGCGCAACTCTGGGCGACCTTGCTGCTCCGATTGGCTCCGTCGGCCTGAGACAGTCTGTTCGCCAGCCTGTTCGCAGCAGTCGAGGCGAAACTACTCGTTCATGCGGCTCTGAGTCCAGACGTCCGGTACTTGTCCTGTCAGTTCGAAACAGAAAATGGTCTGGAAACGTCAAGGCTTGGTATGCCGCCGGCACTGCAAGCTTCACCAAGAATGCGATGTGCCGAGGACAAGTGACCACGCGCAGTTGAGCGGCTTGGGAAGAAGCTACTGTTCGCTTCATTCATCTTTCAACGGGTTGACTCGACCACGTTCACCGATTCAAATTAGCGGGGTCCAAAGTAGCGGTCTACAGTCGACGGCCTATACACAGCTCCACATCCCCATCTGCAATGTCCAATAGGTAGTCAATCCTTTGAGAAGCATTCTTCCTGTTTCTTGCCCTTCTTCTCCGTTTGCTTTAATCAGCTGTCATCATAACGATGAGCTTAGCAAGGCCATCGTGGATTCTTACTAAAAATGACTTGACGCCCCGCGTCGAGCTCCAACACAGGAGCAATGGAACTTGTCCAATACAAAGCCCACAGCGGCAGCGTTGCGTGCGCGGCCTCTACAACACCTCGTGTATGCGGTCGATGTCGTGAAGCCGTGATGTCGACGCCCACAAGCGGGTCGACTTGAAGCATCATGCAGAACCTGCGAACAGACATAGAATCTGGGGTTTGGTGTTGCATCAGCACCAGCAGCGTTAATGCGGGCAGGGACAGGGTTGCTCCTGCAGAGTGGTCACGGCCACGACGACAGCACACTGCGTGCCGCGCCCAGGTTGTATATCGTTACTCCTTACTCTCCCTCCTACCCCTCTCGTCTGCCAGGCAAGCGCGACTGCTATCCATTCATATCTGTGTCGCGTCGTTCCCGTGCTGCCGTGTTGCCGCATGTAGCGCCGTCCCGCGTCATAGCACTAGCGAGCGTCCATCAGCCCTACCGTACGGTCCCCTCTTCGCCCACCAGAGCGCGTCCCTGGTTGACGCCCTCCTTCCACGCTCGGTTCGTTCTTGTGTCACAGGGAGCCGTTGTCTGCACGAACTTTGGTTCACGTGGACCCTGCATCGCTCACAACTATATCAACCACGAACGCTCCCAGCCTGCTCGCACCTAACCCACCTCCGTATCCACACCACACCAGACGAAACCACCGAAGCGCAACCACGACTACCAACCTCCGAGCACCTCAACATGGCGCGTGCTCGCAGACAGAACCGCGCCGAAAGCCGGTCCCGCTCCGACACATCCGCATCCACCTCGCCAGAGCGCGGCTACGACGATGACAAAGACTCTATCATGCTGCAGTCGAACGACTCGCTGTCCTCTCTGGCGCCCTCGCTCTCCCCCGACTCCGACGACGAGGCCCGCCAGCGCGCTATCGACGAGCAGAACCGCATCTCTCCCATCTCGCGGCTGCCCGCTGAGCTCATGATCGCCGTGTTCGCAAAGCTGGCCTCTCCCGCCGATCTGAGGAACTGCATGGGCGTCTCGAAACTCTGGGCGAGAAACGCTGTCGGACTGCTGTGGCACCGGCCGTCGACGAACAAATGGCCAGGCGTCAAGAGCGTCATCAAGACAATCAGGACCGCAGATAGCTTTTTCGACTACTCCAGTCTGATCAAACGCCTCAATCTGTCAGCGCTTGGGGGCGAAGTCAGTGACGGGGCGCTGATGGCACTACGCTCCTGCAAGCGGATAGAGCGATTGACCCTCACAAACTGTACCAAGCTATCGGATTTGAGTCTCGTGGCTATGCTAGAGAACAATCGGAGCCTGTTAGCGCTGGACGTGACAGGCATGGAGGCTATCACTGACCAGACCATGTACGCGCTGGCGAACAACGCAGTCCGGCTGCAGGGGCTGAATATCACAAACTGCAAGAAGGTCACGGATCAATCGCTGGAAGAGGTGGCAAAGAGCTGCAAGCACATCAAAAGACTCAAACTTAACGGATGCTCACAGCTGAGTGACAAGTGCATCATGGCATTTGCGCTGCACTGCCGCTACATCCTCGAGATCGACCTCCACGACTGCAAGAACCTCGAAGACGACTCGATCACGACTCTGATAACGGAAGGCCCGCATCTGCGCGAGCTCCGACTGGCGCATTGTTGGAAGATCACCGACCAGGCGTTCCTTCGCCTTCCCGCTGATGCGAGCTATGAAAGCCTGCGGATTCTCGATCTGACAGACTGCGGCGAGCTGCAGGACTACGGCGTGCAGAGGATCGTGACTGCAGCGCCGAGGCTGCGCAACCTGGTCCTCGCCAAATGCCGCCACATCACGGACAGAGCGGTCATGGCCATCACGCGCCTGGGCAAGAACCTGCATTACATCCACCTCGGCCACTGCTCGCGCATCACCGACACAGGTGTCGCGCAGCTGGTCAAGCTGTGCAATCGTATACGATACATTGACCTGGCGTGCTGCACGAACCTGACCGACGCGTCCATCACACAGCTGGCCTCGCTCCCGAAGCTCAAGCGGATAGGGCTGGTGAAGTGCGCAGCGATCACCGATCGTAGTATACTGGCCCTGGCGAAACCCAAGCAGATGGGCTCGAGCGGGCCGATCCAAGCCAGCGTGCTCGAACGGGTGCACCTGAGCTACTGCACAAACCTCACACTCCAGGGCATCCACGCGCTGCTGAACAACTGCCCGCGGCTCACGCACCTGAGTCTGACAGGCGTGCAAGCCTTCCTGCGCGACGACCTGCTCGTGTACTGCCGCGAAGCCCCGCCCGGTAAGCCCTCCCCCCCAGCATTCCCATCTCTACCCATCTAACCCCCCCGCGCAGAGTTCAACGAGCACCAGCGCGACGTGTTCTGCGTCTTCAGCGGCGTCGGCGTCCAGCGCCTCCGCCAGTTCCTCAACACGGACCACGACCACCAGAACCGCCGCTCGTTCTCGGACAACGAGGGCACCATGTACGAGGACGGCGAGGAGCCGGACTCGATTCTCAATGTCACGGCGCAGGCGAACGGCATGGCGATTGACGAGGACGAGGACTTTGGCGACAGCGAGATGCTGGGGCAGGATTAGCGGGGGGAGTGGTAGAGCTTCCCGGCGTGGTTGTTCCTGGTCCCTCTGATCCGCGGGCTTTTGGTCCCTCGCTTTCGTACACTCTGCATACCCGGCGTTTTTCCTTTTTTGCGGCTCTCGCTGTCCCCAGCCTTGGCCTTGGCGGCTCGCTGGGCGGTCACGATAAATACCCTTTTGTATGTCTTCTTTTCTGTTTCACCTCGTGCGGCACCAGGGGGTCTTTGTTGGCTCTGCTGCGGGGGTTTTCGTAGATTGTTGAATCGCATCATGTCGTGTGAGGCTTTGTTGGATGGAGTTGACTTGACTTGACTTGCCTGACTTGACTTGACTTGCCTGACTTGACTTGACTTGCCTGGCTTGACTTGACTTGACTTGATTTGACTTGACCTTGGCGTGGGGTGGGGCGTGATGTACCGTGACGTGACGTGGGTGTTGGGTGTTGGGTGTGTTGCCCGTGGTGAGTGGAATCGCAGATGCAGTTGCAGATGCAGAATGACGGAGTCGTAGATGGCCCAGTCACCGTGTTCACGTGGAGCATCAGTGTCTGCACAAGAGGATGGTTACGCCAGCCAGCCCGCGGCATGAGACGCGCGCGGCAAGTGGTTGAGAGGGGTGTATGTACAGTCTATGTAAACCACGAAAGCCGAACCCAGGTCTATGGTATCTCGAACGCCGCCGTGTCGTGCTTCTACCTCTTTGTCTACGTCTTCGTCTACATGTTTATCTGCATGTTTATCTGCATCTGCATCTTTACCTGTTTCTCCATCTCCATTCAGAGCCTCTGCACTACACGAGCACGTACAGCGCACACATCTACCAGCGTCAGCCACACCCCCAAAAGCGTAATAATAGCAACTCACCATACTCAGCCCCAACACCATACTACACCAAAACAGCACATTATTCAACAACGTCCTACCCCTCACCCACCTGCTCCGCTGCACCATGACAATCGGCATCTGCAGCATCATCGCAAAAAACCCATAGCCCCTGAATTTCCGCGTGATGCAGCCCATGACCAGCTCGTGGGCGAGCGCGGAGATGAGGAAGGTGATGAGGGTGGCGAGCGGGCGCGAGAGGTGGTTTTTGGATGCGCTGTAGACGTGGCGGCGGAAGAAGTGGTGCACGGGGATGTTCCATTCGCGGGAGAATTCGAGCCAGTCGCAGGAATTCCACCAGTCGGCGTAGAATTGGCGGTCTGCGAAGCCTGCAACATGGCGGTTAGCAAGGAATTCGTGTTTGTGGACTAGGGGTGTGTAGGATGTTGGGGGAGAACGCACGCGTGATCTCGGCAAACGCGCCCAGAATGTACTCGAAGATGACGAGGAAGGTCAGCAGGAAGGTAATCATGAACGGGAACAGCAGCCGCCCGATGGTCTCGGCGAGCACGAGCGCGAACTCGCCCGCGCCCGTGCTGTGGTGCAGCGCCAGCGCGCTCTCGTCCAGCACGGGCAGGATGAACTCCTCCGTGGTAATCACCATGAGGAAGATGCACCCAAACACGGCCAGCGCCTTCCAGAAGACCTCCAGCGGGCGGATGGACGCCACGCGCGGGTACTCGAGCTCGTAGCACAGCGTCGGGCAGAAGATGTAGTCGGCCCAGTTGGCGAACGTCAGGTTCTCGGGGTACGAGACGTGGCCCAGCGGCGAGGACAGCTCGAACGCCAGGTCCTCGCGCAGCTGGCGCAGGAACTCCTGGTTCGCGGCGTCCGGGGTGCTCTGGCTGGGCGACTGTGGGATCTCGTGCAGGTGGGTGCGCGGCTTGGGGTAGCGGACGGCGGCGGCCTTGCTGGCCTTCTCGGGGGTGTCGAGGTCGTTGAGGCGGCGCAGGGTCTCGCTGAGGTGGCCGTTGTAGAAGCTGGGGGGTTTAGTGGTGTGATGTCGTTATCGTAAGTGGGACTCACGCGTAGGAGTGCATCTTCATGAAGATGGCGAGCAGGTGCAGGGTGAAGAAGACCTGGGCGGTCCAGCTCCAGTCGCGAATGAAGGGGTATCTGGCATGGTCAGCGGGCGCATGCGCCGAGACGTCCCCACGTACGTGCACCAGAAGGCGAGCCACAGGGCCTGGTAGAGGCTCTGGACGGCCATGCCGAGCCCGTTCCAGCGCAGGGCGTGGCCGAGGAACAGCTTCTGCAGCGGCAGGGCGAGGGCGGTGCTGGCGACCATGGCGCCGTCGACCAGCCCCAGCTCCCAGACCTTCTCCTTGAACAGGTCCCACTGGCGGATCTGGAAGGGGTAGCCCGTCTCCTTGACCTGGCGCAGCATGCTGGTGATGACCATGATGGCCAGGCCGATCCAGAACAGCACGAAGAAGCCGCGGAAGTCGCGGTAGTCGCTGGCGGGGTCGAAGTGCGACACGCGGTCGACGTACTCGATGGTCGGGAACATGCGGCGCTTGTGCTGGGCGCGGATCTGGCGGCGCGCGGACGAGGCAGCCTGCACCGAGGGCGGGGCGTCGGCGGGGATGGGCGTGGTGCGTCCACTGCGGGTGTGAGCATGCGGGTTATGGGCGGCGGGCATGGTATGCGCACCTCGACACCCCTGAGCCGGCCTCGAGGTGCAGCTTGACGGCGTCGTCGCTGAGCTGCGGGCGGAGCAGGTCGATGCGCGACGGCTTGCGGGCGCGCGGGGCGTGGACGTCGGCGGGGGCGTTGCGGTCGAGGGCAGTCGAGTCGGCCATGGCGGTAGGGTCGGCCATGATGCGCGTGTATGGGGAGGGAGGGCGCAAGGAGGCGCAGAGTCGCAGTCGCAGAGTCGCAGAGGTGGCCCGGGATTGCCCAGCGATCGGCCGGGTCACTCGGTGCTCAGAGGTCACAGGCGCGCTCCGTGCCAGCCGCGGTGGTGAGGCCGGGGCCAGTGGCGGCGGCCAGACAGTCCACCGCCAGCGCTCCGCGAGCAGGGCAGTGGCATCACCGGCGACCGCAGGGCATCTCTGACCGGGCGGTGTTGACATCAGCGGCGCCATCCGCGGGCATCGACGCGCATCAGCGGGCAGCGCGTCCGCGAGTCAGTGCGTCGCTAGTCTGGCGACCCTGGCCTGGCCGCAACACTCCCGTACCGTCCACGTCGAGGTCCAGCAGCTCACCGCACGCATCGCCCACCCGCACCTCGCCCGCCGTCCGCCTCCCCCGCGCAGCCTCCCGCGCTCTTCCCACCAGTCCCGGGCGGCGGCCCAGCCACCTCGCAATGGCCTCCCGTACGCGCCCCCGCCCCGCCAGGCACGCCTGCTAAGCATCTGCAGTCAAGCAATTCATCCGCAATGTGCGCGCCGCAAAGACCATCGCCGACGAGCGCGCCGTCGTGCAGAAGGAGAGCGCTGCCATCCGCGCCAGCTTCCGCGAGGAGAGCCACGACTCCAACGTGCGGTGCGTACACCGGCCAGCGGGGGGGCTCTGCTGACGAGCTGCAGGCGGAACAATGTCGCGAAGCTGCTGTACCTGTTCACCCTGGGCGAGCGCACGCACTTTGGCCAGATCGAGTGCCTGAAGCTGCTGGCCTCGCCGCGCTTCGCAGACAAGCGCCTCGGCTACCTGGGCACCATGCTGCTGCTGGACGAGAACCAGGAGGTGCTGACCCTGGTCACCAACTCGCTGAAGAACGACCTCAACCACGCCAACCAGTACACCGTCGGGCTCGCCCTGTGCACCCTCGGCAACATCGCCTCCGTCGAGATGTCGCGTGACCTGTTCCCCGAGGTCGAGACCATCATCGCGAGCGCAAACCCCTACATCCGCCGCAAGGCCGCCCTGTGCGCCATGAAGATCTGCCGCAAGGTCCCCGACCTGCAGGAGCACTTCCTGGACAAGGCCAAGCTGCTGCTGCAGGACCGCAACCACGGCGTGCTGCTGTGCGGCCTGACCTTCATCACCAGCCTGTGCGAGGCCGACGAGGCCGACGACGACGAGAACGGCATCAGGGACATCTTCCGGCCCCAGGTGCCGGGGCTCGTCAAGACCCTCAAGGGCCTCTCCTCGTCCGGCTATGCGCCCGAGCACGACGTCACCGGCATCACCGACCCGTTCGTGCAGTGCAAGATCCTGCAGCTGCTACGCGTCCTGGCCCGCGGCGACGCCCAAGTCAGCGAGCAGATCAACGACATCCTCGCCCAGGTACGTTGGTTGACAACGCGAGAACCACGCTGACCCTGCAGGTTGCTACCAACACAGACTCGTCCAAGAACGTCGGCAACTCCATCCTCTACGAGGCCGTGCTGACCATCCTCGACATCGAGGCCGACTCGGGCCTGCGCGTGCTCGGCGTCAACATCCTCGGAAAGTTCCTCTCCAACAGAGACAACAACATACGATACGTTGCGCTCAACACCCTCAACAAGGTCGTCGCAGTCGAGCCAAACGCCGTCCAGCGACACCGCAACACCATCCTCGACTGTCTGCGCGACCCCGACATCAGCATCCGCAGACGCGCCCTCGACCTTAGCTTCACCCTCATCAACGAGAGCAACGTGCGCGTGCTGATTCGCGAACTGCTTGCCTTCCTCGAAGTCGCCGACAACGAGTTCAAGCCTGTGATGACGTCGCAGATTGGAATCGCAGCCGACAGATTCGCCCCGAACAAGAGATGGCACGTCGACACCATGCTTCGCGTGCTGAAACTGGTGAGTGCGATGACTGTATTCGAACGCCGCTGACGTTTCTAGGCTGGCCACTATGTCAAGGAGCAGATCCTGTCATCCTTTGTTCGACTGATTGCAACCACCACCGACCTCCAGACCTACTCTGTACAAAAGCTCTACGCCGCATTGAAGGAGGACATCACACAGGAGGGGTTAATCTTGGCCGGGTCCTGGGTTATCGGAGAGTATGGTGACGCACTCCTACGGGGAGGACAGTACGAAGAGGAGGAGCTGGTGCAGGAGGTGAGCGAGAGCGACATTGTCGACCTCTTCGAGACCATCCTGAACAGCAGCTACGCGGGCCTTGTCGTCCAGCAATACATCATCACAGCCTCGATAAAACTGACGACACGACTCAGCGACCCCGCCCAGGTCGAGCGCCTGCGCAGAATGCTGCAGAGATACGGCTCCAACCTCGACATTGAGAGCCAGCAGCGCGCGGTCGAGTACACCAACCTCTTTGGATTCGATGCGGTGAGGAAGGGAGTGCTCGAGAAGATGCCGCCTCCGGAGATCCGCGAGGAGCAGCGTGTGCTGGGTGAGGCCACCAAGAAGCGGCAGTCTCGCGTTATCAAGAAGAAACCTGCCCAGGCAGCGACCGAGGATCTGCTCCTCGACCTCATGGGCGACTCCGGCGCGCCAGACACAAATGGCGCTGCATCGCAGAACCACGACCTCCTCGCAGACATCCTCGGCGGCGGCGGAGCGACATCGCCGCCGCCCCAGACGACGTCCCCCCCGCAGTCGAACGTCGCCAACATCATGGACCTGTTCAACAGCGGCCCGTCAAGCTCACCAGCGCCCCAGTCACGACCGCCCCCACAAGCCTCAAACGACCTCCTCGGCGGGCTAGGCGGCATGTCGTCCCCGCCACCCCCGGCCCCCGCCGGCCCGCCCGCGCACCCCGTGTACAACAAGAACAACCTCGCCATCACCTTCCAGCTCAAGCGCGACGCCACCGCCGTGCAGCTGCTCGCGCGCTTCCGCAACACGGGCGCCACCCCGCTCGCCGCCGTCAACCTGCAGGCCGCCGTCCCCAAGAGCCAGAAGCTGCAGCTGCAGCCCATCAGCGCCGCCGAGCTCGCGCCCGGCCAGGACGCCACGCAGCAGATGCGGGTCACGTCCGTCAACGGGGTACGTCGCGTAATCACTGTCATTGAAGGGGTTGTGCTAATGTGTAAACCAGGCCCCGCCCGCGCGCCTCAGACTCAGACTCAAGCTCGGATATGCGGGCGCCGCCGGTCCGGCGCAGGAACAGGTCGATTGGGCCGAGCCTACATAGCGCGCGGAGGTGTGCGGAGGTGTAGACGGTGTAGACAATGGAATGATGAGCTGCTGATGCTCTGCTTGCATGTGGTGAAGACGTGCGTGAGACATGTGTGAAGCCAAGTCCTGTCCAGCCATGCGTGAAGTCATGCGTAAAGTGAACCCGCATGGCGTGAACCCATGCGTGAACCCATGCGCAAAGTGAACCCTTGCACGTCGTCCAGATAAGCACCCAGCCACCCGCCGATCACCGCCCCAAGCGGCGCTTTTCTCGGCCCACTCCACTCCGCATCTTCTTAGTTCCTATAGGGTTTCCCCGCATCCTACACAGTATGGAAGTGTGCAGGGGCTGGCACACCACATAACATGCCTGATTAATGTGCGCGTGCGACTGAGAAGGGCCTCTGCTGTCTTGAGTCCTGAGGCGCACCGCAGCGAGCCCGGCGCGAGACCAACCGCACATGTAGGTACTGTGGTGCACGATCGCTGCAGCACGGGCTTGGCGGGGCGGGCGATGGGCAACCGCACGTGCTGGCGGGTACGGATATTGATGCTCGACGACACGGGTACTGACGCACGATCGCCGCACGCGCTGTGTGACATGACATCAAAGTACACTGCCCTCACACCACCCCAACAGGTGTCGTCACATGCTATGATGTACACATGCTGCACACATGCTGCACACACGCCGCACACACGCCGCACACACGTCGTCCCACCCCCGGCGCCCAACAACCACCACAGTGCCGCTCGCAATCTCCCAGGCGCACACGGAGGGGGGCTGCATATATACATCATGACCGCCGCACAACGCGGTGCGGTTCGCTCACGACGAAGGTTCGCGCTAGGGTATGCAGTGCGGGACAGTGCAGGACAGTAGGATATAGTATAGTATAGTATAGTCCAGTATAGTATAGTATAATATAGTATAGCGGCAACACGGTACAGTGGCTCGCGTTATTGATTTACTGCGGTGTGCGCTGCGTGATATGCGTGCAGTACAGTACAGTGTGAGACACCCTCCACCACGCACCTGCGTATAAAGCAAGACAGCTGCATTCCGCCCGCATCCCGCGGCCCTTAAAGCACTCGAGTCGAGTCGAGGCGACTGTGAATACACTCGTTATGCTGCGCCCCGCTGTCTGGCTCCTCGCCGCCGCCGTCCTGCGCGCTGGCGGCCTCGCTACTGCTACTGCCATTGCCCCGGCGCCTCGCAATGCCACATCAAATGCCACAGCAAACGCCGGGTACGGACCGTCGGCGCAGCGCGCTCAGGCCGTGGTTGATACGTTCCGAACGAGTTGGGCGGCGTACTACGAATACGCGTTTCCGGATGATGAGTTGAGGCCTGTGACGAATGGGTCGGGGAACTCGCGGTAGATATATCCCACTCCCGCGCAGCAATAGAGGACTGTCAGACGCTTCGTTGCTAGACGCCCGCTGCCAGACGCCGCTCGCTGGCACTCGACGCTCGCTAACGCTCGCCAGCAACGGCTGGGGCGCCTCCGCCGTCGACGCGCTCAGCACCGCGCTGCTCATGCGCGAGCAACAAACCGTCGCCCAGATCCTCGCGCACATCCCCACCATCGACTGGGCGCACACCAGCACCCCCGTCTCGCTGTTCGAAACCACGATCCGGTACCTCGGCGGCCTGCTGTCGGGCTACGACCTCCTCTCGGGCCCCTTATCACATCTCGCCGACGACCCGGCCCTCGTCGCCGCGCTGCTCGACCAGTCAGTCCATCTCGCCAACAACCTGAGCTTCGCGTTCGACACGCCCTCCGGCGTGCCGTACAACACGCTCAACCTGTCCGCGCGCACGCCCGTCCGCGAACCAAATTCCCTGGCTACCACCGGCACGCTGATCCTCGAGTGGACGCGGCTATCGGACTTGACGCGCAACACGACGTACGCGGCGCTGGCCAACGCCGCGGAAGCGTTCTTGCTCGTCCCATCCCCGCCCGAGGCGCAGCCCTGGCCGGGCCTGCTGGGGATGTACATCGAGCCCACGACCGGCGAGTTTCTGGACGCGTTTGGCGGGTGGGTCGGCGGCGCGGACAGCTTCTACGAGTACCTCCTCAAAACGTGGATTTACGACCCGGAGCGCTTCGGGTTGTTGCGCGAGCGCTGGCAGGCCGCTGCGGACTCGAGCATTGCGCATCTGGCGTCGCATCCGGAGTCGCGGCCCGAACTCACGTTCCTCGCGGTCTTCAACGGCACCCAGCGCCTCCTGCAGAGCCAGCACCTCGCGTGCTTCGCGGGCGGCAACTTCCTGCTCGGCGCGCAGACGCTGGGGGTCGATGCGTACCGAGACTTCGGACTCGCGCTCGTCGACGGGTGCCACGCCACCTACAACGCAACGGCGACGCGCATCGGCCCGGAGAGCTTCGGATGGGACCCCGCCCTCGTGCCAGCAGGGCAGGAGCCGTTTTTCGCCCGCCACGGGTTCTACATCCTCGACGCCTCGTACAATCTCCGCCCGGAGGTCGTCGAGGGCTACTACTACGCGTGGCGCGCGACGGGCGACGAGCGGTACCGCGAGTGGGCGTGGGACGCGTTTGTGGCCATCAACGGCACGGCGCGGGCGGGGAGCGCGTGGAGCAGTGTCAGGGACGTGGATCAGGTGGGGGGAGGCGGGGCGACGGATACGATGGAGAGTTTCTGGTTTGCCGAGGTGCTGAAGTACTGCTATTTGATTTTCGCGGACGGCGACGACGAGTGGCAGGTTGGGGGCGGGGGGAGGGATCGGTGGGTGTGGAATACGGAGGGGCATCCGCTGCGGGTGTATGAGCGGGAGGGCGTGGGTGGTGTGGTGTAGGATAGGGAGGTCTGCGTTCATGGGCCGTATGCGTTCATAGGCCGTCTACGTTGATAGGCTGTCTGCGTTCATGGGTGCCTGCGTTTCACTGTCTGCGGTTTAGTCCTGCAATGCGCTGTCGTACTTCTCGGGTATAATGCATCGCTACTCAAAGAACCCGCCGTCGCTATCTTCGTCCTCGGCCTCGGCCTCCCTTGCCGCCGCTCTTGCCTCTCGCCTGTTCTTCGGAATCTCGAGCGGCGCGTACGTCTTTTTGGGCGGCGCAGGCGTGTCTTTCCCAGGCTTCGCCTTCTTCGCCTTGCTCTTCTTCGGCGGCGCGCCCGGAATCTCGTCGCGGCTCTTGCTGTTCCGCAGCTCCTCCAGCGTGCCGTCCGCCATCGCCTGCTCGACCATCTTCCACACCATGACGTCGCCCTTTGGCCCGTCGACCTCCTCCGCCTTCTTTCCGTCGTCTTCCCCCTTGGTCTTCTTCGCCGTCGGATACAGCGACGAATACGGCTTCATCAGCGGATACGACACGGCGTAATTCACATCGACCTCCGCATTGTGCAGCCGCTTCTGCAGCGCGGCCTTCTCCTCCTCGTCCTCCGCAGCCTTGAGCTCCTTGGCGACGCGCCGCAGCACCCTACTCGCCTTCTGTCGATCTGCCCAATCAGCACACACCACCACACGCCAGCACCCAGACCCCAGACTCACCGAAAAACCGCACCTGGTGGTACTTCCCAATCATCTTCTTCCTGTGCTCCGTCTCGCGTGCGCGCGCCGACTTCTCCGCGAGTTCGTGCTCGCACGCCTCGAGCTCCCTTTCACGCTCGACGCGCGCGCTCGCCGACATTTTGTGCGCGGGCACATTCTCCACGTGCGCGAGGAAGCGCTTCAAGTCGCGAATGCGGTTCTTGAGCGCGTTGGCGGTGGCGCCGTACTCGGAGTCCTTGTCTTTGGCGGGATTGGGCCGCTTGTGGCGCGTTTTGGCGGCGTTGGGGAATGAGCGCGGTTTCTTGGCTGTCGTGGGGTTGGCGGCTTCGAGGTCGGCGGCGTCGACCGCGTCGGCGTGTTTGCGTTTCTGCGACATGGTTGTGAGGTTTGGTGAGTTTGCGGTGGTTTGCGGTGGTTTGACGGATGGAAAAGTGCTGGCGGTAGGAAAGTTTTAGCGGGGCGGAGTTTGCCGGCTTATCGATTGGGAGGCCATCACCACGTCTCGTGATGGACGCGTCGTCCCTTGTAGACAGACGCATGTGAAATCTAAATCAAGCCAATGCTACTTTCTCGGCATCAGCGCGTTGTTTGAGGCTTGGCCAATGAGCCCAGAGCTAGTCTCTGGCACTCCACCGTGACTTGGACTTGATCGATAATGGAGGCCGCTATCAGGTGGTCGCCGCACTCCACCCAGGACGAGCCGCGGTTCCTGATCATCGACGTCGCAGGCAACCGGCTGCGGCTGTGCGAGATTGAGAGCTTCGACGGGCCGAAGGTGAACTACCGCCAGCTATTGGTCCGCGACAAGCTGCCCAACTACACGGCGTTTGACTGGTCCAAGAAAGACCCCGATGTGGTCGCCATTGGCTCAGCGTCTGGCGAGGCACACGTCGTGCAGCTGGATCCGAGCAAGCCTGAGGGCGACTTCCTCCATGCCTTTCCCATTAGACACCAGAGGAAGTGCAACTCCATTGCGTTCAGTCACAACAACCTCCTGGCTACTGGGCTGGACAGGGTGAGAAATGATGTCTGTCTCAACATCTATAACATGGGCGATGCAAGATTCACAAGCAAGGACGAGCCGTACAGGAAACTGGCGAGCTCCGAGGCTGTGTCCAGCATCAAGTTCTTCGACAGCCAGCCGGAAACGCTTCTTGCGGGTGTCCAGAGGCAGTATGTTAGGATATACGACCTTCGAGGTGATTATATTCGAGGCTGTTCTGACTCTGGTTAACCGTACGCAGACTCCGGAACGCAGGGCATTGCGAATATCCAGACCAAACAGGTCCACAACATCGCCATTGACCCTCTGGACGAAAACTACTTCCTCTCAGCGGGGACCACAGGCGACCCTGCTGTGACTGTGTGGGACCAGCGCATGATCAAGCAGCGCAGCGACAGCAACGGTGCAGTCATTGAGTTCAAGCCCATCGTCGACAACAGCCAGGCTGCGAGTATCTGGAGCCTAAGGTACTCCGGAACCAAGCGAGGCACGTTCGGTGTCCTTGCCAACACGGGCGAGTTCAAGATACTGGAACTCGCCCAGCACTCGCATCAGCTGGAGACACTGAAGTCAACGGCTGACACTGCCATGGCTCGGGCTTGGTCGTCGCCGTTCTACACAAAGGTCTCGCATCATCTACGCCACCCATGGCACAGCAAGACCTTCCCGCAGAAACAAAAGGATCGCGTCATGGCGTACGATTTCATGACGAGCGGCAGTCCGCTGGACGGGCAGTGTGCTTTGGCACTACACGCGAATCGAGAAATCGAGGTCATGAAGGTCCCGCCACCTGCACCGCGTATCAACGTGAGCGCGCTTGGGGAGATCTACAGAGATCGCACCACCGTCGCCCGACCGAGAAGCCGCCATGGCACCGTAGCGGAGGATCTTGCTGAGATCCAGAACGAGGCTTTGAGTAGAAAGGGTGGTTTCGGGCCAGCAGATTTGTCCGAGAGTGTGAGTAAATTGGGCCTGGACGATCAGCAGCCAAGTCCACGACTGCGTGAGGACATCCTCAGACTGGCTTATCCAGACGTAAAAGTGCCCCTGGCCGACTATCTCGCGTTCATGCAAGGCTCGAAGCGACGCTGCCAGGAAGGCTACTCTCTGGGATGCGCTCAGAACAAGGCCATCGTCGCGAACGACCCCTGGCTGGCCGATGTGTGGACCTTTGTTGAGCGGATGGACACGCACGCTCTGGCAGATGGGATGGTGGGCAACGGCCTTGAACTGAACTACCTCGGGATTGAGTCCATCTGGAACAACGATCTCGAAATGTACGACGACCGCCGCATTGACCCCGATGCGAACACCAGCCAGACCATGTTCCGAGACGCGGTGAAGGAGATCGTGGAGGCTAAGGAGTTCCCGCCATTTGAAGGCGTTGTGACGAAGCTTCCCGAGAACCGACAACTCTGCTTGAGCCTGTGTGGATGGCCGCTTGACAAGAAGGGTGTGCAGGAGAACTGCGAGAACCTAATCGCAGATGGGCAGGCCCTGAAAGCAGTTGTTCTGGCGGTGTTCCAAGGCCACAAGGACATCGCACTGTCGCTACTGCGAACAGCCCTCCAGCAGGGCAAGCTTGCCCAGGACCACATAGGGCTTGGTGCTGTCATCGCCTGCGCCTCTCCCTTCTCAGGGGTGCCCGCCCAGCAGCGTGAAGCCTGCGCGTGGATGGCGGATATGACAACAGACCCGTACCTCAAATCACTCCTCACGTACTTCATCAGCGCCGACTGGACGGCTGTCGTCAACACTCCATCCCTCGCACTCGTCGACCGCGTCGCCGTCGCCCTCCGATACCTCCCCGACGCACCCCTCTCGCACTTCCTCACCACAACAACCACATCCCACATCCGCAGCGGCTCCATCTCCGGGCTCCTCCTCACGGGCCTCACCACCCGCGCCCTCGACCTCCTGCAAGTCCACATCGCCGCGCACCCCTCGGAGCTGCAATCCGCCGTGCTGCTGCTCTCCCGCGCCTGCCCGCTCTACATCCAGGACCCGCGCTGGTACCTCTGGAAAGACATCTACCTGGACCACATGCAGCAGTGGCACACGTTCCTGGAGCGCACGCGCTACACCAAGGAGCACAACGCGCGCAGCGTCACCCGCGCCGGCAGCACCCGCAACAAGCCCGCCCAGCCCAGCATCGCCATTCGCTGCGCCCAGTGCCACCACAACCTCGCCCTGCGCAAGGAACCCCGCGCCCAGGCCCGCAGACTCGTGCCTGTCACCGGCGCTCCCTACCACCCGCAGCACCCCGCGAACCCGAAGTCTGCGCTGCTCCACAAGGCCGCGCCGGGGAAACACGCGACTTCGAGCCCCGCGCTCGCGTGTCCCAACTGCGGCGCCCAGATGCCCCGCTGCGGGCTGTGCATGATGTGGCTGGGGTCGCCGGACCCGGCGAAGCCCGGGGGCGCGGAGACGCTCAAGGGCGAGGATCTCGAGGCGCGGCTGATGGTGTTTTGCATGAACTGCACGCACGGGTTCCACGGGCACCATGCGCGGGATTGGTTTGCGCGGCACGCCATGTGTCCCGTGCCGGACTGCGGGTGCATGTGCGGGCTGCTGAAGTAGGGACAGGATATGTAGTGTGGTCGTGTATGAAATACTGGTATTACAACGTCTAGTCTAGCCGCGCAAAAGCGAAATCGCATCCCAAACTCCTTCCATGCCGCGCAATGCAAGAAAACAATACGACACTACAGCCGGACGCGCCCCTCCTCGGCCCGGCCCCCAAACAGACTCAGGAACCCCTCGTTCGAATCGGTCCCCCGCGCCCGCCGCCCGGCATCCACCTCGTCGTCGCCGCCCATCCACGCGGGCCTTGAAAACGAAAAGTCGGTTGCCTCGAACGTGTTCTTCACGCGACTCGCAAAGCTCTCGAAAAAACCCTCGTCCTCTTCTTCCTCAACGACGCGCCTCCTCTCCGGCCGCGCGCGCGGCGCCGGCGCCTCCGACACCGTGTCCGCGATGCTGCTCGGCTCGCCAGTAGGTATATCCGTGTAGCGTGGCACCGGCGCCGACACCGGGGCGGCCGCCGCGCGGCTCGTCAGCCCCAGGACGTTCCCGCTCGCGCCGTGGATCTCGCGGTCGATCAGGGCGCGGCCCTCGCGCCACGAGCCTTCGCCGGCGAACCCGGCCTGCGCGGCGTCCTCGTCGTCGTCGAGCAGATCCGCAAAGCCACATACACTGCGGATCTTGGCGTACAAGCCGAACGCAGTCGCGAGCACGGGGACCAGGATGAAGATGGGGAAAAACGCGGAGAAGTTCTTGCCCAGCGGGGACAGGTCGATCAGGCGGCCCAGGAAGCGGTGGAACATGGTGTGGGTCCAGATGGGTTTGTCGGTCATGGTGAGGAAGTTGTAGCTCAGCGGGACGGTGAGCTTGGCGACCTGCAGCCCGTACCAGGTGGCGCTCTCCTGGTACGTGTTGCGCCGGACGAGCGCGCGGTTGCCCCAGATTTTCACTTCGGTCAGCGAGTAGAAGGCGCAGATGCACATGTAGCACAGCCAGGCGGCGGCGATGAGCTGCCCGCCGAAGCCGATCTGCGAGCGCGACGACGACTGCCGGTGCACCACGGTCCAGCCGATGATGGACAGCTTGTGGCCGCCGATTTCTTGCAGCTCGCGCACGCACTCCGACCAGACGATGCTGATGGACGCGAGGATCGTGATGACCCAGGTGAAGTAGGTCAGTGCGGGGATGACGTGGACGTGGAGGAGGTAGCGGGTGTAGGGGGTGAGGACGGTGAGGCGGGAGTGCCAGTGTTGCGGGGTTGGGTAGGCCGAGTTCTTGAATTCAAGACGTTGGCTGGCTTTCGAGTCGAGGATGTCTTGTGTGCGAATGGCTTTGCGGACGATGATGTCCCATTCATTTTCGAATCGGTTCTTGGCGTGTCGTGCTCTCTTCAGCTTCCGTGTCAGGTCCGCCAGATATCGTTCCGTGATGACCGGTGGAATCGTCGTTGCGCCTGAGCGTCCGACAGTGCCAGCCCTACTCTCCGGCAGACTGCCCTTCTCTGCCAGCTCATCGATCCACTCCTGAAACTCCTTTGCGGTGCCGTTCTTCCGCTGCTTAAGCTGCACAACCTGATGCTCATACTGGTCGAGCTTCTCCAACGCCTCAACCAGCTTCTCATGCACCTTCGGGGCGTGACCCTGGATCTTCTTGAGCCGCCCGGTGATGCTCGCGTATCTAAACAAGCTCCTCGGGAATGCCACTAGCCCATGTCCCATGAGATAGATGCCCAATATCAGACCCCAGGTATACGCCAACGCCATTGCCAGCGACTTGAATGTATCCAATTCGAATCCGTTATACCAGATCAGATACACCGACCCGACAATCCCACACCCCAGCATAATCGCCCAGTACCGCCCATTGCTCCTGAGCGCATACCGCACCCTCGCCTTGGGATCCCGGTATCCGGAGTCGCAGTACTCGCCCAGCAGCGGCAGAATCGCCCACGTGAGCGCAAACGTGAGCCAGTACACGATGCGCCACGACTTGTACACGACGGCGTCGCTCAGCCAGATGCCTCGCGCGCCATCGGTGTCGGTGCCTGCGCTGCTGGCGAGGTCGATGGGCAGCAGCACGACAATACTGGCGGGCAGTGCGATGGCGAGGAACACGGGCACGGTGACGTGGGCGGGCGTGGTGCGCAGCGGGAGGTAGTATCGCAGCAGGAGCAGCACGAGGCCGCAGATGGCGAACAGCGAGAGCACGAAGAAGGCCGTCGAGCCGGCGGCCGAGGACGCGATCGCATACGGGGGCCCGTCGGCGGGTGTCGTCGTCGCCATGGTGAGTTATGGGGGAGGAGGGAGACTCGCCCGGTGCCTGGCGAAGACGCGTTACTTTCGGCGAACAGGTGATGGCGCACGCCGGGAGTTTCGGAATCGAGGCGCGCGCTGGGCTGCTATCCGAGTGACATGCTAGTCCTATATCCAGCCCTTTCGTGTCTACTGTCAGGCCGTTCCGAGACCTACAACCTTCCAACAGATGCTAGCATCCCAACGTGTCGTCTGCGCTCGACGTCCGGACCGTTTCGTCATCCGCAGCCGCTAGACTGCATTAGCCGCACCTCGGCCGACGTCCGCGGGCCACTGCCAAAAACGCGCTAATGAGCGCACCTTCTCCAGCACGTCATACGCAAAGCCTCATGCACTGCGGGGCGCAAACAGCACTTTACTAATCACCTACAACCTCACATCTAGATTCCTAGATTCCAAATCGCCATCAGTTCGCCGTCGTAAACAGCAGTCACAGACCACCCCATCTCCTGCATAAAAACCGGTACGCCCTGCGCGAGAACAATTTCCCCAGCAGTAGCTTCAACACCTTTTCTCACACAGCAGCAGCAAATACCGCAACCATTTCCTCCATCATCCGCCGCTTCTTTAGCCGCGCCCCCAGCCCAGGAACCATGTCCGCCTCCAAGACCAAGGTCCAGTCCATCATCGACGAGAACGCCGTTGCCGTCTTCTCCAAGTCTTACTGCCCGTACTGTCGCCAGGCCAAGCAGCTGCTGAGCGACCAGGGCGCCAAGTTCTACGCCATTGAGCTCGACCAAGTCGGTATGTGGACTGCAGTTTCGCGCGTCTTGTCGATGAGAGGAATCGCAATTTGGGACCCAGGCTAACTTACATTACTAGATGATGGCTCTGCTATCCAGTCTGCGCTCGCCGAGCTGACGGGCCAGTCTACCGTCCCCAACATTTTCATCGCGAAGAAGCACATTGGCGGCAACTCGGACTTGCAGGCCAAGAAGGGCAGCCTGCCCAACCTGCTCAAGGACGCGGGTGCCATCTGACTCGATGGTGCCAAGGGGAAGCTATAAGCTAGAACTCTAATGAGAATAATTTCAATCCAAGTACAACACTTCAAGCGTGACCCGTCATAACTGGAAGAGATGTATTCGATGGCCAACTGCCATCTTCAAGGGCTCTTCCATCCCTAGTTGCTACAAATGCGTGCATCTTTCACCCAACTAAGCTAGCCTAGGCTCTGCGACGCTTTCTATTCATATCATTACCTGTACGTGAATGCCAGCCGTGACCTCGTTACAAGACCGATTCCACCTTTGCACGCTGCGACACCCACTAGGTCTGCATTGCGTCTGTGAAGCTCTGTGCCGCTGTTGTCGCGAAATACCTGACGTCGACATCGTCATCCTGCTGCAGCTTCTCGAGGTTCGGCAATATGCTCTTTGTGATGAGTTCTGTCGCCTTCGGGCAGCCTTGGCCGGGTGTGCCTGCCTTCTCCAGCGCAATCACGGTACCCTCCTCGGGCAGCTGCTTTAGTGTGTTGACAAGGACACCATATGACTTTGCGACGTTGAACCGGATGTTGGGAATGTCATCGTTAACGAGCTTGTCCATCATCGGGAGGATCGAAGCCTCAATGACGTCAAGGCTGAGCGCAGGCGCAAGTGTCTAAGATGGATCAGTATGCGCGCATCAGTGTCGCAACATCAGAACTTACAGAAACGGCGAAGCAGGTGGTCATTCGGTACAGGTAGTTGGGGTGCTGGCCCATAGCCATAACCTTGGGGACGATGGCCTCGTTGGCCCACTCAACACCGAAGACTTCGGTGAGCTTCTTCAGGTTCTGGGTGGAGGCTTCACGGATAGAGAAGACAGTGTCGCCCAACCAGCTCATGCACAGGCTGCTGAGCTTCTCGTCGAAGAACTTGACGCCGAGCTGCGAGGCAAGGAGCGGGACGTATTCGATAATGGCAAGACGAACGCGCCATTGCTTGTCTTCGGCGAGCTGGACGATGGCGGGAAGGAGGGATTGCGACAGGAGCTCGATACCAATGACTGTTTGGGGTTAGCATACAATCTGCCATGAGGGTCTTGTACACACCATTGTTAACGGACTCGAGCTTCGAAATGATGTTCAGGCGGACATCGGGGAATTCATCCTTCAGCATCTGCAGGAACATGGGAAGGAGATGAGAGATGGTCTCCTCCTTTCCAAGAATGGGCGCAAGTCCGCTGATCTGGGTGCCGAGGGCGGCACGGACGTGCTGTGACTGATCGGAGACCAGCTCCTCGATGCTGGGCATGACCTCGTGGAGGAGAGTCTCGCCCTCGAGAAGTGCGCAGAATCCGGGAATTTGCCCAGCAATTGCGCTGCGAACCTCCGCCTCTGTGTCCTTGAGAAGCTTGACGAAAGCTGGGACGAGGTCACGGTTGACGACCTCTTCATCGACAGCCTTTGCGATCTTCTCAAATCGGTCTGCAACCATGTAGCGCACCCTCCAGCTCTTGTCCTCGAAGAGGCTTCGCAGAGCAGTCAGCAGTACACCATGACTAGACTGCTGCTCCTTGGGCACTGCTTCCGCGATCGCAATGAGAATGTCGACTGTCAGGAGCCTGACACTGTCCTGGTCGTCTGCCGCGAGATGTTGGAATAGAGGGATCATCTCCTCGACAACGATAGTGTGCGGCATGGCCTTGATGAACTTTGCGAGATTGTTTGCTGCTTGTCTTCGGACCATGGGGGTGTCGTCATGTACCAGCTGACCGTAGTGCTGTCTGAGGGCTTCCTGCGAAGGAGGTGTGGCGCGGGTGTAAGGAGTCTGGTAGAGGCCGGTCGCGGAGATCTTCGAGGTGAACCAGTCTGCTTTCGAAAGGCGCATGACGAGGGGGATGAATGCATCCTCAATCTGCTGCTGCGACAGCTCTTCGCAGATCTTGTTGAGAGATTCGACGGCCTATACAGATTAGTGGCAGGATTGATGATGGGTGCAGTTTGGCGCACCTTCTCACGAACAAGCGGCTCCTCTATCGCAGCCAGGTTCTCCAGGGGCGACAGGAGTACGTGTGCGTGCTCAGGGCCACCGACGTACTCGACGAACTTGCCCAGCTCCTCGCTCAATGCAGTAAGGACCTCATCCTCATCCTCAACAGACTCTGCGCGATGTGTCAGCGTGTGTGCAAGCCTTATGTTCGCCAGCGCAGCTTACCGTCAAGGAAGGGTATCAGTTCATCCCGTGTGCGCTCAGCGCCCAGTGCGAGAGCTATGGTGTTCAGACGGTGGATGGCATTCAGTCGCAGAATCACGTCATCGTGCTTCAGCTCGTCGATGAGGACGGCGATTGGGTAGAGCTCGTCATTCTGGGCGTCCATGGTGGGCTGTGCGAGTCGGGCTGCGGAGGAGCGTGTTCAGGGCTAGGGGTACTCCAGAGCTGTCTCAGGAACAGCGGCGCACTTGCAAGAGTGGGAGAGACCCAGCGGTGATTGCGTCTTTGCGAGGCGTGAGCTTGCGATGGGCGGTGTGGGGGCAGCTCAGGCTCCGGCTCGTGTTGACGTACCTGGCGTTGGCAGGCAAGCGAACTGGGAATATTAAAGCAGGCGGGGCGACAGCACTTGCGGCAGGCGCAAAACTGGCGTGTGTGAAGGGTTGAGAGCTGTCTGCCCCGGTTTCGACGTGTTCTGGTGGGTGGGGTGAATCGATGTTTGAGCGTGTGTTATGGCGTGGTCTGGGTCGTTCTTTGGTGTTGAAGACCTCTCCCAGTTCATCCCACTTCGCCAAGCAAGCGGCGCATGGGGAAATCGCAGCCCAGCCACAGCCTTGGGGGCTTCACGCATCACTGCGATGTCGCACGCGTGACTGGTCTAGATCTCTCCCACCATCTGCGCATTTTGCTCTGCTTCGTTCAGCATTTCTGTGAAGGTGGACGATCGTGTGCACTGCTGTATCTTTGCGTTTTCGCAGCAAACGCTCTGCGTTCCTTTTCCCTGTTCGCTTGTTGAGCATGAGCGCCCTCACCTCCGAGGGGTCGAATCAGGACCAGCTGCCAAAAGCCACGCCAGAGACGGAGCCACTTCTAGGGAGACGCCCGTCAGAGACGTCCTCTCAACCATCGGAACCAGCAGCCAAACAGCTCACAACTCGACACGCGTTTGCTGTCCTCGTCACTCTGCAAATTGGCTCGGGCATCTTCGCAAGCCCCGCGCAAGTCGACAGCAATGTGCCCTCGCCCGGCGCTGCACTGCTTGTCTGGGTCCTGGGAGGTCTCCTATCATGGGCTGGTGCAGCTTCCTTTGCGGAGCTCGGTGCCGCACTGCCTTTAAACGGGGGCATGCAGGAATACTTACGGCACGTGTATGGCGACACGGCTGCTTTCCTCATGGCTTGGATCTACATCATGGCCGTTAAGCCTTCTTCGATGGCAATACAAAGCATTGTGATCGCCGAGTCTGTTGGGTCTGTCAGCTCAAGTGAGCCTCTTGCAGGCTGGCTGTTGAAGCTCATTGCCGCAACAGCTTTCGTGTCTATGGTCTTGCTCAATTCCATCAATACCAAATTCACACTGCGACTGAGCGAGTCCTTCACGGTCTTCAAGATCTCTACAGTGGGTCTGATCGTCCTTGGCGGGTTGGTCGCAGCCTTTGCACACCTGATTAACCCCGATTCGTCGCTCTCTGGATCTTCAGACTGGTACTCGAAGAGCTGGTTTGAAACACGACCAACCATCTCAGAGGGTCACATCATTAATTGGGACTCCATCAGCACCTGGGAACGCTATGGCCATTACTGTGCAGCGATATATGGGGGGCTATGGGCTTACGACGGCTGGGATAACGTGAGTTCCTCAGCTTCAAGGTCCATTACGAGTGACCTGCTTCTACCTCCTGACGACTGACATGTGTTTGTAGGCCAACGTCGTCGCCAGCGAGATCCGTGACCCTGGTCGCTCGCTTCCTAAGGCTATCAAAGCTGCCATGGTTGTGGTACTGAGCTCTTTTGAGTTCGTCAACATTGCCTACTACATTCTTCTGTCGTGGGATAAGCTCAGCTCCAATAATGCCGTAGCCGTCTCCGCTGCGTCTTCACTTTTAGGCCGCCCGGCAGGCATCTTGATTACGATACTCGTTGCTGTCTCTTGTGCTGGTTCAGTGACGAGCAACGTTTTCTCGGTTGGAAGACTCACCGTGGCGGCCTCGCAGCGTCATTACCTCCCTGCTTTCTTCAGCAAGCGCGGCTTGCCTATGTTGAGTGACGCAGACGCCCGCAACCACAACTCTCTAGCCTCACGTATCGATGCTCCTATGTACGTGCCTCTCTAGCTCGCAGTCATCATGCTGATTAGATTTAGCTACGCCAATATCCTTGCACTGGTGATCACTCTGGTCTACATTCTGACGGGCAGCTTTCGAGCCCTTCTCACTTTCGTTGGAATGGCGGAATGGGTGTTTTACGTCAGCACGGTCATCGGTCTACTTATACTTCGCCGTCGAGAACCGCAGCTTGAACGACCCTACCGTCCTACAATAGTCCTGCCTGTGACTTTTGTCATTGTCGGCACTCTTGTCATTGTGCGTAGCGCAATGTTCGCACCAGTTCAGAGTGGAGTTCTCGCTGGTCTTTTGCTCGTAGGCTCTATAATCAGCACTCTGCGCTCAAGATGAGAGTGCGCTCAAGCGCTGTAAACTATCGGCACCTACAAGCCGTCTGGAAAAGAACGAAGACAACACAGACGTTATTAACGGCGTGGGTTCCCAACCTCGGTCCTCATTTTCATGTCTCTGTATTCAGTGAGAGCATTTGCGCAAGTAACCTCGCCAAGACGCGTCTCCACACCTCAACCAGTCAACGCCTTACCCAATACAAGATGTGGCATTGCAACCGCATGCTCAGAGCCGCGAATCAACTCCACATGTTCTTGACCTCCTTCTATTTCCAGCTAGCTCTGTCATCACGCGGTTCTGTCTGGCACCATGCTGTGTAAGGGCTCCACATGTTGATATATGCCTTGCTGGGTGATGACTTTGAGCGCAAGAATGCGCACTTTGTTGAGCTGTGAACAGGGACTGATAAGACCTACTCGGTCGCAGCATTGCACCGCTTTCGTCTCTGTTGAAGAACATCAAACGCTCTTCCGGTACTCATGCCCAAGGCAAAGATGGGTCGCACCGTACAGATCACAGTTGCAGTTGCTGCATCATTCGAATTCATGCTCGCCATATCTCTCATCGCTGTTTTTGCATCCGCTTACCCTGATCGATATCGTTCGGCGCTATGGCATGAAGGTGGAATCAAAGGTTGGAACTCAGATCCGAGTTACCGCACATACCTGTGGGCAAACTACAAAGATATGCCACCAATGCCGTTGATCTGGGATGAGAGGTAAGCTTTGATTCCGCTCTTACTATTAGTGCATTACTGATTCTGGCCAGGTCAACTCAGTACAACCTCTGTGTCGCAATCATTACCATGTTACTCTGGTTTGTGCGGCTATGTATTCGGGGGCGCGCTTTAGATGTCTTCGGCGCCGTTGTCAGCAATGTGTTGTACGATATCATGCTGGTCGCGCTTTGGTCCTATAGTGCTGCAGTGCAGTCGTCCGGCGATTTCACCGATCCGCAGCACATATCGTTACGACCATGGTACCTTGATCATAGGTGCAATGAAGCGCGGCAAAAGAACTACGTCGGTTGCCAGACTGCCAAAGCTTCGTTTGGTCTTGCGATATCTGTAATGTGAGTGTACTTGTCTTTTGTACAAGCCCTTTTTATGCTCATATGCTGACGCATTTCAGTGTATGGTACGGCGTTCGATGCGTTGTCACATGCATGTACGGCGCCTATGAATACGGCCAGAGCTCCGCGGTTGCAGACCACAGATGTCTAGACGTTGAAAAGAGCGACCTGCTCCTTTGACTCGAATGTAAATGAAACATATTCGACTCTTGGCCCTCATTATTCATTGGTTCACGGGCCGAGATCGAATTGCATTCCCAACGAGGACACCCTTCTCTTTCTTGTCGCGCGCAAGACGTCGCTCCTTCCATGTGTTCCACTCGTCACGGCAGCTGCACCTACAGTGGCGTTCAATTAGGGCTCGGACTTGAGCGATTTGGACTAGTCATGGGACAGGCAAGGTTGTGCGCTTGACTCAACCAGACCGAACCAAGCCCAGTCAGTTTCAGTGTTCGAGTATAGATGGTAGATGCGGAAGACTGCTGCCGTGAAGTGGAGCGAACATAGCCATATGTTTCGGTGGGGTATGCTGGTACGGCAAGTTCCCTTGCTATAAACGGACAGGAATAATGCCGGTTGTCCGTTTTTGCGCAGCAATCGTCGCACCATCTCACATCGGTCGCGCGGATCCAGCGCGGAGTCGATCTGACAGGACCAACACTGTGGGTTTAGGTATGGCAAAGGCACATATCCGATTCTTCACCTCGGCGACCTCCACACAATTGTGTACCCTAAATCCAGGGCATTAGATTACTGTTGTCAAAACGGCTTCAGACGGTTTTTACCGCGGAAGGTGGGGATGGTGTTCGGACATATGTTCGCTTCTGCAAGACCCCTTTCTTTACACCTGCTGTGGTACCACGGTTGTTGCTGCCGGTTTGCAGTCCAGGCAAATTGGGCAGGCGGTATGCGGGAGTGAGTTTCAGCCTCTCAAAGCGGCAGAAAACTAAACTTGAGATAGAAGCGGCCTTTCTCCACTCGACTACCTTACAACTACATTCTCTACTCTCAAAGTAGAGGCTTTAAGCTCCTCTAAGCAAAGATTTTGCTTGGTAGATACGTTAAGGCTCGCGGTTTAGGACTGCAAGATTCCTAATCAGGGTGGACTGACATGCAGTAGCAATAAATGCGGTAATTGCTTTGATGCACTAGCACTCACGTGGCACTAGTGTGCGGGAAGAAATTAGGTTGGTGTCAACGTCTGCCACGCGCCTGTTTCCCGCAATGACTTCAAACATCAAACCCACTAAAGAGCTTTGAGTACAAACGGCGAGCCTATCAGAAAAGGGGTATAGGGCTGTTGCGGGGTTACGAGACTCGCCTATCGTACTCAAGGCTGATTAGTCAGTCAACGGTAGATTCGGAACTATATTGCACGCTCAAAGAAGGAGTTCGGCCGCTTTAATTAAGGGTTATGCAGATCATATTAGCGGATCGTAAATAGGGAAAGTGGGTGGGAAGCAGCATCGACATAGAGTTCGAGACCGCGATATAAGTACACACCACGAGGCGTCAATCTCCAGCTTTCTCATCATTCTCTTTACCCAAGTCTCTCGTTTCACTTTTATTCTACATTCGCCATGAAGTTCTTGGCTGTCGCAGCACTTGCGAGCCTGGCGCATATCGCAAGCGCTGTTGGCGTTGTTGGCACTGCCGAGGGCTTTGCCACAGGCGTCACTGGTGGTGGCAGCGCCACACCCCAGTACCCCAAGGACATTAAGGAACTCACCGCGTGGCTGACTGATGCTACCCCCCGTGTCATCGTCCTCGACAAGACTTTCGACTACACGACTTCTGAGGGAACCGTCACCGGCACTGCCTGTTCGTCTACATTCCAGGAACAACTGTTACTAGAATACTGACGAGTGTAGGCGCAAACTGGGGAACTGGAGCTGCGTGCCAGCGTATCTTGTTGGACACGTGCGATGCAGGCAAGGTCAAGGAGACCGTTACCTACTACAAGGCTGCGAAGCAAGGTATCAAGGTTGCCTCCAACAAGACACTTCTCGGTATCGGAAACAAGGGTATCATCAAGGGCAAGGGCCTGTCCTTCGCCAGCAAGAACGTCATCGTTCAGAACATCCAAGTCAGCGACTTGAACCACAAGTATGTGTGGGGTGGAGATGCTCTCTCCTTCGCCGGAGCTGATCTCATCTGGATCGACCACGTCACTGTAAGTATCTCTGTCTGATTCAACGTTTACAGCTGACCATCTATGAGACTGCCCGTCCCGGCCGCCAGCACTACGTCTTCGGCTTCACCCCCAGCACCCGCATCACCCTCTCCAGCAACTTCATCAACGGCCTCTCTGACTACTCCACCGGCTGCGACGGCTACCACTACTGGACCATGGAGATGGTCGGCACCGGCGACACCATCACCATGAAGAACAACTACATCACCAAGACCGGCGGCCGCGGCCCCGCTCTCAGCGGTAAGACCCTCCTCCACGCCGTCAACAACGTCTGGGCCGACGTCAAGGGCCACGTCCTCGAGGGCGGCGACACCGGCGCCCGCGGCATCTTCGAGGGCAACGTCTTCAAGGACGTGCGCACCGTCGTCGCCGACTACCAGGGCAAGCTGTTCGGCTCCCCCGACGCCTCCACCAACAACCAGTGCACCAACGCCTTCGGCCGCGCCTGCCAGGTCAACCTCTTCCAGGGCACCACCACCACCGGCAGCGTCTTGACCAGCAAGAAGGATACCAGCTTCTTCAGCGAGTTCAAGGGCAAGACGAACGCGAGCGCGAAGCCGGCGTCGGAGATCGTGACGAGGGTTCCTAACGGCGCGGGTAACGGAAAGCTGTCGGCGCTTGCCTCCAGGCACGTGTCGGCTAAGTTCAGGGTGTAAGCGCTGCGCTGGCAGAGCTTCTCGAGATGTCTCGACTTTGGTGGATATTCGATGTATATAGTTTTTTGGTGGCTGTCCAAAGAGGCGAGTTGCAGTGGTCAGTAGTGCTGCATATGTATCGGCGGTTTCGTAATTTAGTAATCCAATCGACGATGCAATTTCAGACGAAGAAGATGTGGAGACGGTGTTGGTGATATTCACCATGAAGCCTGTGCCCAAGAAGACGACACATTTCCACGTCCAACCTGCATATCTAGTCGCGCCAAGTAGAATGAGCGATCCTGTTGAGATAGAGTGTGCTTGGGTTATGTTCGTGATTAGGAATCGAAAGGAGGTTAGGTGGTGTAATACTAAAGCGCGAATTACTACCTCCCTTCCCGATGTGGTTGCGAGCGTGGAGAGACTCGCGCATAACACGGCAGACAGGGTCTGAAGAACATACGACAACGTATGTGGCGTGATTCTACACCGGTGAGCCGTGATTCACGCAACGAAAGGCGTCGCAAGAGAGGAATCACCGACATCGCAAGACCGCGAATAGGCAACGCGGATATCAACACGAGCCCAACCATGGAATGCAGGTGCTGCAACGAAGCAAGTCATATATAATCGAAGCCTTATTAGATACTACACACACCGATATTGTAACTCCGCATTAGTCGGCCTTGGTCATCCTCCTACAGCCCATTCCGCGCCTCGTAAATGCGGGGGGACCCTCCCTAACGCCGATGATGCAGTGCCGGATACTGTCCGTCCAGCCCGTGGAAACCAAAATGTGACGCCGTGATGCATATCGTAACACCTGCCATTACTCCTCCATCTTGTCATTGTTGTTCTCGACCTGCTTAGGGCCCTTATTGAGGATCATATTGCGGAAGTCGCTGTTGCTCTTCGCCGCTTCTCCGTTCGTTGCGGCAGCAGCCCGGGGCACGGCTGGTCGCGCGCCAAACCCGGTTCTACCTCTTCCTCTTGCGCCGCCGCGCGACGTCGGTCGTTGGACGCGATTGGGCTGCAGGAAGCTGTTCGCAGCCTTCCATTCGCCTTTCTGCTGCCTCAGATCCTTCACCGTGCCAATGCGCAACTTTCTGCCTTCGAAATCGAGTGCCTGCAACGCGATTTCGGCTTTACCTGCCCCTTCAACGCTTGTAAATTCAATGACTGCGCCGCCATGTTGTGGTTCGAGAGTGATCTTTTTGAAGCCATAAGCCTCAACAAGGGGCCTGATGCGCACATCGGGCACAGTGTCGGGGAGATTTAGAATGGCGAGGGAGCGTTCGTTGAAGGGAGCGGCTTTGAAAGCTGCCACAGGCGCTGCAGCGATGGCAGCACCCGGGGGTAGCGTCAGGAGCAGCCTGCGTCAGTGCTTCAGAGGGCGCAGTGGCGGCATTCTCGAGTGTAGATCTGATCTTCGGCTTTGTTTCGTTCTTATCGTTGGCGATCTCGACATGTAGCTCGAGGCCCCAGAACTCCTTCTTGTCCATCTCAGCGACCGCAGCGTCAGCGCTATCTTTTGCGTCAAAGACCACGAAGCAGAAACCCTTGTTGTTACCGTTCTTGAGAGTCGGAAAGTTGATACGGTCAATGGGGCCAAATTGCGCGAAGGTTTCATGGACTTCGTGCTTCTTGATCTTGAAGTTGAGGTGCCACACGTAAACTTCGCGGCCTTCAGCAGTCGCGCCATCCCGCTTTTTCTTGGCTTGCGGATTAGAGATCTTGACGTTGATCTTCAGACCTTCGATATCGACACCATTGAGCTGGGTTGCGGCAACCGCTTGCGCAGCATTGGCAAATTGCACGTAGCAAAACCGCCGATGGGTGTCAAATTTGAGAGACGGAAATCTGAAGCCAATAATCTCTCCAAATGGTTCGAAATGCTTGCGGAGGTATGCCTCGTCCGCGTGCGCTGGATAGTTGGTCACGTATAGTGTTGTGCTTTCCCCACGTTCGATCGAGATATTGTGGCCCTTGAAACCCTTCGCTTCCTTGCTCAAGGCATAGTCAGCCTCTTCTGGGGTCTCAAATTCGACAATAGCTGTCAAGCTGTCCTGTTCCGGCTTTAGCACGAGGTTCCGCACAGTGCCAGCATCTGTGAAAAACTGCCGTATCTGGGTCTGTGTGGTATCCACAGGCAAATTCTTCACAATGAGCGACGTGTGCTCCCGATCACGTTTCGGCCCACTGGCTTGATCAGACGGTGCCTCGCTAGCACGGATTGGTTCTCCGTTGACAGGCACAGCTGCAGGAGACAGGTCTTCAGAGTCGGCTTGCCTGCTCTTCTTCGCGGCAGCATCGTGGTCAGTACTGTTCTCATCTCTCTTTCTCTTTGCAGAACTCTCGATGAAGTAATCTGACTGGGGCTGAGCTGCCGCCGCTGCCACTTCGGCTGCTGCCTTCTCTTTCTCGCGTCTAATGGAAACCACGCGTTCGGCTCGCCTCCTCTCAATCGCTGCGCTTCTCACTTTCAAAACGTTTTCGTGTTGCTCGCAGTGGTTCATGTACATTTCCATGATCGGTTCTGGAAAGTCCATCGTTTGGAGGCGCTCCATGGCGCGTTCCAACACAGCCGTGGCTCGTGTGGGCGTAAGAAGTGGCTGTCCAGCGTTATGTTCGGTCCGCATTGCATGCTGCGACCAGAAGACCATCTCGAAAATGTACCAGCGGTACCAGAAGTCGTATGAATCAGCTTGCCGCTTAACAAGGGTCTCCCAAATGCTCCGGGCTTCGTCGACATTTCCGCGCCCAAGCCAGTACTTCATGTGGATGCGCTCGAGGCGGTACTTGGCATCGCCTGCCCAGTCCCTGCCATGCTTTTTCATCCCAACCTCACGCACAAACTCCAACGCGGAACGAATCCCGACTTCTGCGATATCGGCATCATCATCGGTTGCCTTGGGATCCTCAAATGCTCTCCGTCTTAGGTATCCACACCAGGCGATCTGAACCTTGATAATCTCTTCGATGTCCGAGTGCTCCAGCAGTCCAGTACCAGTGGCAGTGTGTTTCACGCGTTCAATCTCCTCGAAAGCCTTGTTCTCGACTTCGAGTGTCAATATGCGATGAGACCACAGCGATCCAGACCAAGGGCAATGTCGAGTAGCGCGCTCCAGCACGTGCAGCAGATCGACAGATCGATCTTTTTGCCAGATTAGAAACTCTACATGGTCCTCCCATAAGGAGGGGTCGACTGGAAAGCGCAAGGTTGCACGTTCATATAACGCATTCACAAGTGGGAAGCTGTAGACACCCATAGTCCTCTTCTCCCACTTCAGATAGCGGGTGATGGCATGATACTCGGCACTTTGATCGCCCTGTTGTTTGGCCTGAAGGACCTTGAATTCATAATCCTCGCGGTTGGCGCACTGCTGGATAATGTGAGTGTTTTTCTGAGTAACCTGCTCGTTGACCTGTTCGGGGTCACCAAGATTGTAACGTTGGATGAAGGATATGTATCTCGATCGTGTGTGTGACCATGTGGCGTGCGGTAGACCCAGTCGCTCGTTGTATATCGATGCGATCCTGGTCACCTTCTCTTGACTCAGACCAGTACGTTCGAGGTCTTCTTCCAGCACCTGCAGATAGCGATCCCAGACTAGGTTGCTCTCTTGCAGATTGTACTTCACTCTCTCAGCGCCTTGCTGCAGTGCATCCACCAACAGTTGTGGCTGGAAGAGCTCACGGCCGATGAGTCTGTCTTCCTCCGTCCACTCCTCTGGTGGTATCTGCTCCCACGAGCAAGCAACAAGATAACTGACGTACTCGCCGTACGCAGCCCAGAGTTTGGCACTGTAAGGCTCCTCGTGTGTTGCTTGCTTATGGAGTTCAAGAACACCCATGCGCTCCTCTGTAGCCCTCGCGAGAATTTTCTCGTCGTTGAGGCGGTAATGCCATAGAGTTTCGCCCAGTGGATACTTGTCTGACATTACGCGGTATGCGTCGCGCAGGATGTGAATGAGTTCGTAGTCGTGCGGGCTGGCCTCAATGGACTCGAGATGGGTCTGGAAGCCTTGGTGAAGTGTCGTGACTAAAGCAAGATGGCTGTAGTAGTTGAAGGGGTTCTCTGTGAGGTCACGGTCAAGCTGTTCCAGATATTCGATGTGTTGTTGGTCCAAGGATCCTGTCGCAAAATTGCGCGGTCTTGGGGAGTGTTCCGACATAGCGGCGCTGGTTACAGAGTCGCCAGAAAGGTGTTGCCCGAGGTGTTGTAGCCTGTGTTGGCATCAGCGACGGTCACTTGTTGTATTGAGGTTTTCGCGCCAAGCCTCCAAGGTTGCGCGCGAGGTCACGTGACATCAACAACGGCAAACAGCACATGTCTACATCATTGTCACTTCGAAAGTGCGTTCGTCTGAAAGCTTGACAGATCAGAGACGCTTATCAAGATCTCCAATACAATCACCAAGAGAATGGAAAACTAGAATATAACTTACGTAACAGGACGCTGATGACCAAGAGAGTTTTGTCGTGCAGCTTGCTGCTGGTGCTGCATGCTCGCAAGATCTGCCAATGCGTCCATGCCCGGCGTCGACGCCTGCCGGTACATGTGAGCAGGCGGGGTCATGCGCGCATCGTGTGGCGAGCTTAGCGGTTGTGGAGTACTCGTGGCACTGTGGACTGCTCTTGTGCCATTCGCGAGATGTGCATAGCCAGGCGAGGGAATCTTCTGGTGTACGAGGTGGGCTTGTGGCGACGAGGTGATTTGCTGGCTCAGGGCCGAGGGCGTTCTCGAAGGCATCTGCTGGCGGACAGCACGCTTGTTGGGCGAGTGCGCTGCCAGCGTCGACGGCGACGCATGGCTATGCTGCGGAGGCGGCGTCTGTGCGGGCGAGTCTGACGGCGATAATAGCGAGTTGATGTCCATTGCGACGGTGTGCTGTAACCGGGTGTTGCGTCGCCCCAGGTCCCGTCTTGCGATTGCGGAGGGGGTTGAGGGAAACCGATGCGATTGCTGCTGTTGCTCTTTGCAGCTCTAGCAGCTCTTGAAACACGCGCCTATGCTGACTCCAGGCTGACAGTCGATTAATTACCTGCGCAACTGCTGCAGGGACTATGGGCCGGCGAGATCCTAGTAACGGGCGGCATGGAACGGCGATGATGCGCGGCCACAGCGAAGGGCTCGAGGTCGCGGCCAAAGGGTCAAGGAGCGTGTGACGGCTCGCAGTCGATTGCGTCGGCGTCGCGGATGGCCAGAGGAGGGTCTAAAGATACACCCACGGTCTAGAAGAAAGTTCAACAGCAGAAGCTTGGGCGCGCGGAGAGCTAATGACGGCAGAGTACGCCAGCCGAATCAGAGGGCTGCGGGCGGCGGGAGATGTGACAGCCGAAAGGGCGAGGGCGCGAGGGCTGCGAGGCGCACGAGGATGCGGGCGAAGAGAGCACAACACCAAACGTGAATCAATCAGAGCGCGCGGCGGACACGGTCCAGCGATTCCTGGACGCGGCGAGATGACCGTTGCCTCACTTTGTGATCAAGATCTGCAATACGAGCAACACGATCACGTGACCATCGTCGCGCCGGGGAGGTCGCGCTGCGGCAAGTGCCGCTGAATTTCTCGGAGGGCGTGCAGGCAGGCCGGACGTCGCTCGCTGCCATCCACGCTGCGCAATTGGGGTCGAGCATCACAATGAGCGCACGCACACCCGCACGGCGGCTTGGGCAGTCTGGTTAGTACCTGCGTGTCCCCCAGCGGCCCTGCGTGATGCCCGCACACACTGCGCATCGGCTCGCCCGCAGTCCGCGTGCAGCAGCTGACAGCGAACAGCCCTCGCCTTCCGCCCTCGGTCGACGCAATGGACGGCGCTCCCCACAATTGCACAGCGCAATGCCTCGACGAAGCCCAAGGCCGACGCTGACCTGTCGAATCCGCTGCTGGAGCAGTACCTGCAGCAGCAGGAGGAGTCCGCGCGCGAAGCCAGCCAGGAGGCAGCCCAGCCCGCGCCGGAGGAGAAGCCGCAGCAGAACATGTCCAGCAGCCTCCGCGACGGCGGCTCATTCAGCCGCCCATCGCCCCTCTTCGATCCCAGCCGGCTGATCCCCGGCTACCGCTCCAATGCGCCTGCGGCAGAGAAGGAAGCCCTGCAGGCCGAGGCCGAGCAAAGGAGGCTGGTCGTGGAGCAGGAGCAAGAAAAGCGATTGCTCAGCATGCACCTCGACCCCGACCCCGCTGCACGCCGCAGACTCGAGCGCAAGCTGGTCATCAAGGGCGTCCGCAAGTTCGGCCGCATGACGAAAGCTGCCAAGATTGCCCGCACTGAGCGCTCGTCCCTGTACAAGTCGCACCTCCTGCCGACCTCGGTCAAGAAGATCCAGAAGATCTTGAGGCAGATCCAGGGCAAGACCATCTCAGACGCACTCGTGCAACTGCGCTTCTCGCCAAAGAAGGTCGCAAGAGACATCATGAAGGGTCTAATCATTGCCCAGGACGAAGCCATCGCCGGTCGCGGTATGGGTCTGGGCGACAAGCATGCTTTGAAGAAGTGGACCGAGCAGAGGAACGAGGTGGCCTCAACATTAGCAGAGCTGGATGAGAAGATACCCAAGACAAAGGGCGCCAGCACGGTGATTGAGCTCAAGGGCGGAAAGAAGAAGCTGGTCAAGGACCCCACAGAGATCTACATCGATCAGGCATGGTGTGGAAGGGGCGAGAGCTGGCAAACCCCTTCGTTCAGAGCGAGAGGAGCGGTGAACATGCTGACACACAGGACGACCAGTACGTGCCCTCCGCTATGGTTCTCAAATCTTTACTGACAACTCCAGCTTTCACGTTCCTACTCAAGGAAGAGAAGACACGGATGCGTATCTCGGACGAGATCAAGAAGAAGCGTGACAACCGCAAGCTCTGGGTCGCTCTGCCCGATCGGCCAATTACAGCGCAACGACAATACTGCCTGTGGTAGACGTATGAGTTTAGTGTACAACATAGGGATCCGTGTGTGAATAAGCATAGAACAGCATGAGTTTACGAGCTTGTAACATCAACATTTGGACCATCACAGCGAGCTCATCACCGGCGGTTTAGTGCTCCTGGGAGTGAGACGCAACTAATGGCTGACACAGATCTCGATCATATAAGATCACGTGGCCTCCTGCCACATCTGGGCACGACCATACCCGTACAACATTCCTTCTGAGCCTCACGCGCGCCAATTGTTCAGTTATCGCTATTAGCCTTGTTAGCAGTTTTCTCCCCTCCCGCCTTTGTCCCTCCCTCATTCTGTCTCGCATCAGCAAATCCTACATCTCTTCACCACATTTTCTCTGTGACTACAGCCTCACTTGCAGCTGGCTTGGACTTACTCGCCCATGCCTCGCTTCTCTCACCTCTCACCTTTACCCCTCGTCCTGTCTCGCCTAATCAAATCCCTTGCCTCTCTACCACAGCCTCGCCTGGCTTTTTCTCCTTCACTGCTGCGTCTGCCCTTGGTATACGCCCTGACTCCTCGGTATAGCTCCGCCCGTTCGAGGCGCACGTGCTCTCTGCGATTGCTCCCAGGGTCGACGAAACTTGAAGTATTTGCCACACTGAGCCCCAGTAACGACGACTCGCTACTCTGGTTCAAACTCAGTCGACACTTCTCTCACCTCCCCTGTCCGTGCTAGCTGTCACGGTCTAGCGGCTGGCGTTTCCTTTACTGCATCAAATACACCCATTTGCACAGCCGCGAACCTTCATCACATTCGTTGGCGACGTATGCAGTAGCATCAGCGCCTGTATGGCTCGTCATTGTCATCGCAAACGCTGACAAAAGCGGTGGCGTGTTGCGAGGTTGATCACTCATCTCATTGACATCCCACTGCCTCGAGGCCATTTGAATACAAGTCGCTCACGCAATCTCAGCACACCCACTCGCTCTGTCCAGCAACGTTACAGCTGGAAGGAAGCCTTTCATTCGATATATCGTACTACACCCCGCGTCTTGGTCCTCGCAAGCCGTGCAACGCGCCTTCAGTCAAGCAGTCAACAGAAGGACCCATATCAACACCACGCGGAGAATATCGTCAATCGTAGCAGACCATGGAGCTCCATTACCGCTATCGTACAGCTTGTGAGAGCTTTTGCAGCACGTCCGAACACGCCTGGCGCTATGTTGTTCAATGGCCGTGGTGCGTACCTACCTCTTCCGCTCCTGCCGTTTAGACCAAGCGAATCCCACAAATGCTCGATAAACCTCACTTTTCTCCCCTCCTACCTTCATCCCTCGTCCTCTCTCGCATCAGCGAATCTTCTCTCTCTGTCACAGTTCTTTCGCGGCTACAGTCTCATCTGGCTTCGTCTCACTCACCACAGCCTCACCTTTCTCATCCCACACCTTTACCCCTCGTCCTGTCTCGCACCAGCGGATCTTCCCTCTCTGTCACAGTTCTTTCGCGGCTGCAGTCTCATCTGGCTTCGTCTCACTCACCACGGCCTCGCCTTTCTCACCTCATACCTTCACCCCTCGTCTGGTCACATCGGCAACTTTCCCACCTCACCACCGCGATTCTCCTACAGCTACGACCTCATCTGGCCTTGCATCCCTCGCTGCTGCTGCATCCGCCCTCAGTATACGTCCTGACCTCCCGGCACAGCTCCCAGTCTCATGGCTCGTCCAATTCCCGATGACGAAAACGATGACTTAGTTACGCATGCCTCGAGACCATCAATTAAGCTGGCTTTCGATCGACCTGGGCCTTTCATATTGACAGAACACACGTCGAGACGCTCTACTTTGAGGGTACGACTTACCCTTCTTACACTGGCCGCCATTCTTCGACCATTTCATTACGCTAATTATTTGGCTAGAGCCGAGCCCAGCGCCTGAAGATCCCAGCATCAATCACCGGGATTGTTGACACGCAGGTACGTGATTCCAAACCCACATTCACTGCCACTTGGCTGACGATCCGGTCACCAGGACATCCAGAGACACGCCCAGCCACTCGCTGTCATTGAGAACCCAACTAATGGCTTCAAGATAGTACGTTGCGTGTTTACCTCATCATCTGAATGGTTTGCTAACATGGGCAGCCTCGTCGGCATGGTGGACGCACACCAGGCCGTTCATCTACTCTTGTGAATCTTCTGGAACCGATGTCACCGACAAAGACGGTTCGTAACCACCTCGCTCAAGGGTACAATGAGACTGCTGACAATCTATAGACACCAGTGGATCGACCTGCAAGTGACGCTTCAGGCAGCGTTGACGCACCTATCTCACTTGTGCAGGACACCCCGCTGTTCTCGACAGATAGCGCCGTCGCAGGCATACTCACCGCGCCTCTTCCCACACCTCAAGCTGTAAGTGGACAGACACCCATCCCATTTCGTATTGTCACCAGAGCTAACACGACGAAGGATCGAGCTCCGCCTCTAAAGAAGAATGTCGATACGTCTGGCGCGTCCTCGCGTCTATTGGTAAGTTGGAATGCCTACTTTGGAGTATGACTCTGGTTAAGCAAGACATCCTAGGTTCTCCCGCCCAAGTCCGCCTTTCTGAAGACCGCACCGTCAAGTATCTCACCCACGGTACTTCGGCCAGTCAATGTATGTCGTGCCTCGTTACCATGGTCGCTCGTTGCTAACGTGTCATAGTCTAGTATGCCTCCGTACATCCCCACTCCCATGGCCGTCAGCCTCAGCAACGAGCTGCTCGAAGCATCCCAAGCCGAGCCGCTTGAAACGTCCCAAGCCGAGCCGGGCCTCCCATCGTTTGAATCCCTCATATCACCAACAGCCAGCCTTGCGGATATGTTAAACGACATACGCACATTCGATCCCCACCTCTCACTCGAGGATGAGCAGATGTCATTACTCTATAAACACAACCGCAATACAGATTGGTCACCGCACACTATCCCCAAGGTTGAACTGGACAGAGAGTGGTGGGCATCGACTCACCCGTTCATGGATTACTTATGGAATGAGACTGTCAAGGAAGTTGGCCAGGTGTTGACTGAGATTGGGCCGAGCAACATGCCAGCCGGCTACTCGTCTAATATCAAACATCTGGTGAAGCCGATAGGAGATACACATCAACCACTCATAATCTTGTCATCGTACCCAACCATGACCACAGCCCAGCCAGAATACGGGACCGTGGACGATATGAGCAATCGATCTATGCGTCTTCTCTACGGTAAACTGGGACTGGAGCGTCCAGGTTCCAAGCACGGAGTCCTCCATCTGGACGAGACCCCTCACCGTGTTGATAAACCTGTCGCCGAGAAAGCCAACGGAAGACACTTTTACAAGGGTGTCACTGGCGACAAACTTCCGATGAGGCTGCGTCATATATGGGAACAGTTTCACTTTGGCTTGTTGGACGCTTCCAAAGCAACAGTTGGTCTCTTATTAGGTGCCAGTTGCCTCCGCCGACTGCTCAGGTATTTCGAAAGTCGGAGCATTGAAGTTCAATTCTTCTACGAGACATGCGCTACAAAGCGAACCCATGTTTCTTCCGACAGCCACCCAATCGCCATTAAAGAGTTCATCTTTGGTTCGGCTCCCCGGCAGCTGAGACGTGTTTGGTATTGCTCTTATCACCCAGAATCATACACCCGAAGCACCTCACATGACATGAAACGACTGTCCGAATAGTACACCAGCATCCTTCGCGAACGACTAATCGACATCGCATTCATTATGGCGTTCAGTGCGTCCTCCCCTCTCTCACTTTTGAGGGAAAACGGCGGGCAAGCAATCTTGAAGCAGACCAGCTTCTACGCTAAACTTGTAGCCATCATAATAGCTAAAGCTAGATTTTGAGTAAGCGTTTCCTGTATTGTAGACGAAAACACTCTTCAAGAGCTTTTTATATCGATTCCTAACATTGTTGTTACAGACTTGGCTTACATCCTTGGTCTTCGGCAGTTGAGACGCGTGTGGTTTTGCGTTGTCCACCCAGAGCATTACCACAGGTGCACGACGTATGATGTTACAGACGGTGGTGCATTGTACCTCAGAGCCTTCCGAGAACGACTTATCGACATCGCGTTCGTTATGGCATTTGGTGCGCCCTCTCCTCGACCGGCGTACTTGTCAACAAAGCTGTATTTCACAGACCCTGGCTCTGGCACAATCATACTCAACAGGGTTCTCGAGACTATCAGCTCTCCTAACATGCAGATGCTCCAATATCTGTTTGCTAAGCCAGACATGACGATAACAAGTAATCTGAAGAGTCATCTGGAACGATCACGGTCATCAAAGCTCCGAGACCGCGCAGCAGAGATATTCGGGCTGGCAGCGGGAGCATCGCTACCATTCGACTCTGGCGAATCATACTGGTCATCTGTATCAGTACAGTCAGCACTTGGACCATATGCCGCATCGTTCCTGGCTGTTTGGCGGCAGAGAAAAGGGGCTCACGAGGAATCAAGAACTACTCAAGGAGCGCGACAGAGGTCAAAAATCGCGAACATGAACCCAGATGAGCTGGCTGCACATCGTCTCAAGATGAATTTGGCGAATGAAGCCAGCAAAGCCAAGCGAACCCCTGAGCAGAAGGAGAAGATGAGACAGGAACAGAATCTGCAAAGAAGGCTGAAACGGGCACAGAGAACCCAGGAAGAAATCGAGCGCGACAACTACATGCAGCGGAAGAAGTATGGCGACGCGCACCCGCAGAAACGCGCACGCAAGGACGATTAATGCAACCCAGTTTGGGGTTCACGCACCGTGGTGTTGTTGGTAACAAGCACGCACTCGCAGAAACGCGTACGCATGGACGATCATCTCAGACCGGCTTGAGATTCGCGCGTCATGGTGTTGTTGTTGACATAGTTTTCCTTGCAAGTTTCCCTGTAGCGAGATGTACTGTTGTTGTTGTTGTTGTAGACGGGGGTGCGCCGCCGTAGGACATCTCGTATCAGCAATTGTCCCAATGAAGAAAGAGCAGTTGAACTGATACCTGCGCGCGGCCAGTGACTCGCAAGTGATGTATATTGGCTACCAAAAGACGAGAATGGTGTACTTGTAAGACGCCGTTCTATGTACCCGATAAAATGGGTTGAGTTGGGGTACCCGGGTACGTAAGTGGACCGCGTACGGTCCCAAGAACGTTTCTTTGTCGCCAACTACACCTTACTCCTGTTTACCATTCGAACTACTGCTGCGTGTGTCTTTGCGTGTAGCAACACGGCGAAGTTGGTGATTACTGAACTCGTTGACGACAACCTGACTGACCACGCGTTCAGCACGTCCCTTTGCTATCTGTCATGTCTGGTGTAGAGTCTCAGTATGGCGGTGTGTGGTAGTGTGGCAGTGTGGTGACGGTGTGTATGTAGCACAGCACATCATCCGGATCCGGGTACATACATCACAGTTGCCGATTCTGAAGCGTCTTACTTCACTCCACTCCTCAGCGCAGGCCAGCACATCCCTCACAGCATCTGCAAACCTTACATCACCATTCACATACTCATATCATCTCACCTCCCTCCACTCGCTACTCACCACCCCACACCACCCACTACTCACTACTCACTACCTTACACTACGCACAAGCACAAGCACAAGAAACAGCCACGCGCAAAAAGAGCCCTAGACTCTCGCGATATATGCATTCATCTACATACACTAACAGCCGGGTATGTACGTCCCCTCGCGACCCGCGCGCGCGCTCTGCGCAAAACGCCGTAGCCGCGCCAAAAAGAACCGCCTACGAGAGCCACAAAGACGGCGGCGGCGGTGTCCAACGGGGCAGATGTCCAACGGGGCAGATGTACAAGCGAGTGCGATGCGAAGCGGCGTGGCACGGTGCCATGGCATGGCGTGGCACGGCACGCTATGCTATGATGTGTGTGGTGTGTGGTGTGTGAGGAGAGTGAGAGTAGGGAGGACTAGAACATTACGAGTAAGTTCGACGCGGCCTCCACGCCGGGGGCCTGGGTATGGTGGCCTGACAAAGGAAACGGGCATGCGGGACAACAGACAAGGAAAGAGATGGAGAGGGAGGTAGGTGGGTGTCTGCGGAGGGTGGGTGTGCGGCACGCGTGTGAACGACGCGTCCGCGCTTTGTGGCGGCGCGTAGCGTCTGGCTCGGAGATTTGCCTTGCAACGGCTGAACTCTATGGCCCTGGTGTGCCTTTTCTCGGAAACGGGGTCCGAGAGCGTCTTGTTGGCGAGTGGAGCGGAGATTGATCCGGGTCTCGGGTGCTGAGCACGAGCCGCGTGGTCTCAGCTTGGTCAGCGCTGATGAAGACCGTGTCTGCGGGCGAGTCTGATTTGTGGAGCATCGAACTCGAGGAGACGCTGCACGTCGATCATAACACATCCCAGATATTGCGCACAATAGGGCTGCTTCCGAGTTGTGCTGGGCTTCGAGGATCGACTGTAAGTTTCTCGGGCGTCCAATTTCTCGGCGGTTCGCTCCAAGTATGGCCGTTGTGCGCGTCCGTGATGGTCTCCTCTGATGAGGCTGGGCTGGTGCCTTCGGTCGGCGAGGTCGGCGAATTGAGGTCGACGTGGAAAGGATTCCTTGTGAATTCTTCAGCACGCGGCGACATTAAAGCATCTAGATCGTCCATGGCCTGCTGGGGCCGCTCTTGTCTGTTCGCCAACTTGGATTCCATCTCGGACTGAAGCTTTGACAATTGTCTCTGGTCCTTCATGTTGGGCGACGAGAACCGCGTGCGGATCGCCTTTGCAGGAGTCGCTAGAAACTCCTTTGTTCGTGGTGTCTCCGGCCTCGACGGCGGCGATACCTGCTCGGTCGCTTCTGTCGGAGTTGAAGCAACGACATTAGTCGCCGGGGCCGTGTTCAGGCTGTCGATGCGAGGCTCGAGGTTGAGCTTCCGCTTAGGGGGCGCTTTTAGCGCTGATGGCTGTTCCAACGTCGATGTTGACGGTGTACGTGCGTGCCCATCAAGCGATGCGAAGCCGTTGAACGTCTGATGCGCAGGAGGAAGGATGGCCTGGAACGCTGGGCGTCTGTCATCTCCGGTGTTCGACGAGCCAGACAGGTTATCAAACGGATTGCCAGATGAGAAGTCCCTCCTTGTAGGTGATGTGAGTCCGAACGGGTCATGGTCAGCCATCATGGGCCTGAGCGGCGCCATGTGAAATTCTGCAGCGCGAGGTGACTTCAGTTCCGACTCGAGTACACTGCTGGGACCAAAAGCATCCGTGGGGAATGATCCAAACGTTGGGGAGACAAAACCGGGAGATCGATCCTCTTCGGGCGTGAAGTTGCTGTGGAGAAAGGTCTCAGACTGCACCGGCTGGCTTGATTGTTCAGCGGCACGAAACGGTAGCAGATTGCGAGGCTTCTCGCTGCGATCGCTCTTTGCCTTGGGGAATGTCATGCGCGGAGGAGGGAACATTGGCGATTTGGGCGGACCACCCAGCTGGAACATTGGCGACTTAGGCGGAGCACCGAGTTGGAACATTGGCGATTTGGGCGGGGCACCAAGCTGGAACGAACTCTGAGGCCCTGGCGGCGCCAGCGAGGACTCTGGCTCATCGTACTCTGAAGGCCATGGCAGATCGAACGACGTCTTGACAGGAGACCGGATCTGGTAATCGTCGTCGTCGTCGTCGTCCTGGCCTTGTCGCAGGCTCAACGAAGGAACATTGAACGTTAACGCAGCTGGCGATTTGAGAGGTGCCATTCCCATCGGCTGCATTGGCGCCAGATGGGTATTCCTAGTCTCAATCGTCCTCTCGACGGGCGCGTCCGAGTATGACCGCAATGAAAGTTGGCGCGAGAAATTCGGCACCGAGGGTGTTTTCAAGGCCGGCTCCGGTGGTGGCGGCACGACTTCAGGCATGGCGGGGATCTCCGTGACGTCGTTGACCTTGACTTCCACGACCGGTACAACGTGACCCTTAGGATCAACGTAAGGCGTGGTAGTCGGAGTAGTTTCGGAAAGATCAAAGCTCGATTGACTCGAGTCCCAAGAGTTGCGGAATCGCGCAGCGAACGCACCGCTGGGAGCAGACAACGGCCCTGGAGAGATGGCCATCATGTTGCCGGTACTGGCTCGCTGCATGCTGATATCAGTATCCGGAGGCAAGGGCGCGGTCTGAGGCGTGCGTGATCCAGATGTATCTTCTCGCTCTGGGTTCGGGCAGGAAAACCTGTTGTTTGCAGTAGACGAGGAAGGAAAGCCAATTCTTCTCCCGAAGCCCTGGCCCTGCGTGCGACTGTTTTGCGTTTGCCTAAGCAGCCCGTTGCGGAACTCCTGAAGCTGCATGATGAGGTTCATGTTAGGCCCAATCCACTTGCTCCGCTTTTTCGCCTTATCGTATGCTTCTTGCACGCTGACCTCGGGCTCTTTGTACAGTCCGTAGGCCACCACCAAACTAGCAGAACGACTGACACCGCACTGACAATGAACAAGAACGCGCTTGCCCTGTTTGACCCGGTCGTCCATAATCTTGACCAGCTTGTACAGATCCGGGACGATATCAGTGTTGTGTTCCCAGGGCATGTGGATGTATTCTGGCGTGCGGAGTTTCTGACCATTGACGATGATTTCGCCGGGCTGCATCGTTTGCAGAACCGGCGGCGTAGCCTTGGGTGTGGTGGGCGAGTCATTGCCAAAGCCAAACGTAGACTTGGGCTGTTGTGATAGCGCAGCGAAATCGACATCTTCTGCGGCCGGGCCGTCCACTCTCCTTGCGTTCAGATCCTTTTGTGACTCCGAATTCTGTGATGTGAAAGGGTTCTGGACTTCGCTAGCGACATTGATAATAACATCAAAGGAAGTGGCTTGCTCGGCGGTCGGTTCGAAGTAGAGAAAGACTCCAGCAGGGTATATACAGATGGGTCCGTTGGGATATGCGGCCGGCTTCTCTTCTTTTGACTGAGGGATGTCAAAGTTGGGCTCCTCCTCCTCTTCTTCCATTTCAAACGGCACTTCCGACAGCCCGCTGGTCTTCGTTACGATCGGACGCAGGGCAGGGAACTTCATTCCACCGGTCGGGGCGACGCTCGGGGAACATAATGGCAGCGACGGTGATGACTGGAAGTGGCGTAGCGTGGGCCTGCCGAGGGACGGCGTGGAGGGGATTACGAGTCTCGTAGGCTTGTTGTCGTTGATACCTGGGGTTGCTATTGTCAAACTCAGATTCGACGGGCGTCGCCGCGGTGGAGTTGGCGGCTTGATGAAGAGGGGCGACGGGGGTGCAGAGCTGTTCTTTTCGGTGTTGGCCTGGGCAGCAGGGGCAGCGGGGGCCGGGGCGCGGAGGTTGGTGAGTGAGGTGGTGGTGTTGATGCCAAGGTTCTTCAGATTCCGTGCCTTCTTGGCCGGCGTCGACGGGCGGGCCAGCTCGAAGAAGTTATTCCCGGTCGACAGGCCGTCAGACGTCTCGGGTCTCCGTGCCCTGAAGTCGGCGGCGAAGGAGTGATTGGCGATCTTGGGCAGGGGCGACTCGGGCGAGGGCCCCGGCGACGGGTCGGTCACGGACGACGAGTCCATGGTGGAGATGGTGGTGGTGGGCGAGTTGTCCGAGGAGGCGGTCGAGTTGGAGTCGCGCGAGTCGTGGTGGTTGTGGAAGGACGAGAAGGGAGCGCCGTGTGTTGTATTCCCGGATGCAGTGCGTTGTGCTACATTATTGCCATGTGCGGTGCTGGACTCGCGGTCTGAGGTGTGTGGCTCTCCTCCGAAGACGGCGCCGAACGAGGGCATGGGCATGTAGGACCGTGATGTCGTGGTCGGCATGCTGGGGAGCGGCGGGGAGGGGGGAGGGGGCGCGCACGTGGTGCTGGGCCAGCGGCGGTGGTGCGCGAATGTGGATAGAAAGGGAGACGGGAAGGAGAGACTGAGAGTGGGAGGGGATCTGGGGCGTGTCAGCGAGGAGCAGCGTTGGGGCGGCAGCGGCAGCGGACGAGGCAGAGGCAGAGGCAGAGGCAGAGGCAGTGGCAGCGCCAGCGCCAGCGCCAGCGCCAGACGAGGCGGTCGAGGCAGACATGGCCGTGACGCAGACAGACAGCATGCAGACAAGCAGCCACGAAAGGCCGGCGGGTGAGTGCAGCGCGGCCACAAAGGCGACAGGCTGCGGACAGAGGAGAGACACGGGGGCAGCTACGCACCAGAGACTCGCAGCGGCAGCAGGGCGAGTGCGCGAGGAAGCCGGCTCCTCGAAGCGCTGGGTGCGGCGCGGACGCAGTGGAGCGGCAGCGGTGCGGCGGCACAGGTAGCGGTGCGGTGCAGTGCAGTGCAGTGCAGTGCAGCGATCAGCGTCGGCGGTGCAGGTAGCGTGCAGGCGTGCAGCAGGTGCAGCAGGTGAGGCCGTGCAGGCGGGCGGGCTCGCTGGCGGGCTCGCGGCGTGTTTCCAGCTGGTCGCGGCGGCGGTCACGGCGAGGCGGTCGAGGTCACGGTCGCATGCGTCGCGGCGCTGGGCAGGCTCTTCGCAGGCGGGCGGTGCACTGGCGGCCGGGCTGTCAGGAGGGCGCTGGTCGTCGAGGGCCTCTGCCGCCGGGGGGCATGAGGGGAGGGCGGGCGGGCGTGTGGGCGTGTGGGCGGCGTGAGGATGGAGGCGGTGGTGGTGCTGGAGCGGGTGCCGTGCGTGCGTGCTGTGAATGGCGGATCGAGGCTAAGCGCCCATCTATTAAAAGATCGGCCCCGTCGACGCCCTGCATCGCCCAGCCACTCACGGCGCCGGCCTGCGACCGCCCTGCGCCCGCACCAGCAGCAGAAGCGCTGCGAGCCCGCCACGCCGCGCGCTGCCCGTCCGTCGCCGTCTGCAGCGCTGCAGAGCCCGCTGCAGAGCCAGCCAGGCCGTCGTCGTCGTCGCCGCTGGGCCCGCCGCCAGCCACGCCCGCCAATCACGCCCCTGACGCCGCCTGCGAACCGCCGCAGCGCGCTCCACCCGCCGCCCACACGCCCGCACGGCCAGCAGGAGCCTCATCGGCCCAGCTCTTATGAACGCCAGCCGCCCGTCTGCACTGCACGCCGCGTCGCGCTCGCCTCGCACTGCTCGCCACCGCTGGCCTCACACCAGCGACCGCCCGCGCCCACCGCGCACTGCAGCCGCGAGCACGCCTCGCCGGCTCGGCCCACGCTGCGTTTCACCACCCACGCCGAACGCACCTCTCCCCTGGCCCACAAACATCCCATGCCGTCCCCCAAACTGCAATTTCCACTGCCGCGCCCGTCTCTCCAGAGACGCGTGAGCCACCAGCGCGCCGTCGCAGGCCCGTTGTGCGCGTCCGCAGGGAGCCATGCCTAGTTTCACCAGCGCGCCCACGCCGCCGTCTGTTTCGCAATTCGCGCAAACTCTGCCTTGCTGTGCCTTGCTGTGCCTGCTTGCCTGTTGTCTGTGCCTGATCCGCCTGCCTGCTCTGGCCGCGCCCGAGAACCCACATTAACATGCAATCCGCTGCGCATCACTGCCGAGTGCGGCACCCGCTCGTGAACCAATCCGCATGCACACTTTGTACATCACCCGTGCCCTGCCCCCTACTCAGATTGCTCCCACCCGATCGGCCCACTGCCTCCCCCTACACCAAACCGCTGCTCCTGCGTTTCATGTCCCAACACGGCTGGCCCCCGGCTCGGCGCCGCTCACGCACGACCCCAGCGTGGATCTGCCTCAGGCGGGCCTAGAGAAGGCAGATTGCCGATGCGTGAATCGCGCCCTGTGTGATCGCCGTGCTGGAAACGCGTGGCATGTGTACAGTATATATGGAGGGGTGCATGTGGATGGCTCTTCAGGCGTGAGTACGTGGAAGGGGAAGGAGATGAGGGTGCATCAAGGACGTGCTGGGTCGCGTGTGGACACTGCAGGTGCAGGCAATGGGTGAGGACTTGATACCGTCCGTATACGATAGCATTGAGATAATTTCTGTCCTGTCGCGTGCGCCTACGACTGGTATCGTGACACTGATTCCGCAGACCTGGATACCACTCCCAACGCCTGCCCTTAACGCCCTCGCTATGCATGAGAAGTTTCGCCGTTTCGCGCCCTCAGTCAGACCGATCAGATCCCGACCGCTCTGTTTTGACCGCCTCGTCCACCCTGTCCACCATCCGACAGTCGCCTACCGGAACAACCTCCTGCCGCCGGTCCTTGCAGCCGTCCTCTCAACGCCCTCGAGACTCATGCCCGCGAATCCGGCACCACCGCCGTCCCGGTCGCGCTTGTAGCGCCGAAGCGCTTCGCGCAGGTGTGCCGGCGTCAGCGGGCCCTTGTCGCTCTGCTTAAGCCTTTCCTGCAGGCTTGCGTCCTTGTCGATCTCGATCCAGAGCGGCTCGTTGCGGTCCACTTGGTTGATGTACAGGCCGGCGCTCTGGATATCCGCGTTTGTGGGCTTGTTACGCGGGTCTTTGATGTGTGCGGAAGGGCGGCCGAGGGACTGCGCGAGGACGGGCGGTGGCAGGTTGGGGTTGGGCAGGTGCGTGCGCGACACGGCCCATTCGTCGCGAACGGTGAGCGCGCGGTCGATCATCTCGCCCATGAAGGACTTGGTGTAGGACGTCACGGCGATGATGACGGGCTGCGGGACCGACTGGGAGAGCGTCTGGTTGACTAGCTTGCGGACGGTTTCACGCTTGAGGCGGATACGGCGGTATGTAGCGTAGCGGTCGGCTTGCGAGGGCGTCATGTACTCCATGAGGACGCGCTCGTGCTCTTTCTCGAGGTTTTTGCGGTCGGCCATCGACTGGCCGCCTTCGAGGGCTGTGTCCATGTCGTCGTCCATCATGTCGTCGTCGTCTTCCTCTTCGTCCTGCGCTCCTCCATATGCATCGCCATCGCCGTTGAGAGCACTACGCGTGTCACCCTTGCCGCCGCGCATGCTTGAGCCTGCGATGCTAGCATCGTCCGCATTCTTCTTCTTGCGCTTCTTGCCGCCTACGCCGTTGACGACTGATGACGTGGCTACGCTGTCGACCGACGGTGACCGGGAAAAGCGCGCTGGAGACCCGACGCCTTCAGTCTCTGGCGAGAAGGCGTTGCGCAGCTGTGAGGGTTTGCGCTTCTTGGTCTGCGCCGACGACAGCGACGAGATGCTGCCGCGCTTTTTGGGCATGGTGAACGACGACATGTGCGGCGGAGAAGCCATGGTGGCTGGTGAGGCTGCGCAGCCTGGGAGAATTGTGAGGTCGTGGTGTCGAGTAGACCTAGCTTGTCCACGAATTACGGAAGTCGCGTACCGCAAATGGCGCTAGTGCGCGCTTTCACCACGTTCGAATGTGCGTCATCCCGCCACAACGGTGGTTATGTCATCGGCAACCCACCACATTCAGGACGCCCAAGCAATTGTGCACTAGACATGAGATATATAGAAACCTAGCTACACCAATTCCACTACATCCACACCAAGCAAACATCACCTCCATACCCTGAACAACATCGAGCAACTCCGCACATAAAGACCAACCATGACTTCACAACCCCCACCCACCGACGTCCCACCAACAGCACCCCCAAACGGGACAACCACCACAAAAAAGCCTCAATCCGTCGACGACCTCCCGCCCGCAGCCCTCGACCTCGCCGCCAAACTCTTCGACCTGGCCCGCGCCGGCACCACCCCAACACTGAAACTGTACCTCGACGCCGGCGCCCCCAAGAACCTCACCAACGCGGCCGGCGACACGCTGCTCATGCTCGCCGCCTACCACGGCCACGCCGACACCGCCCGCATGCTGATCGCCGCCGGCGCAGATGTGAATGTGCTGAACGGGCGGGGGCAGAGTATCATTGCTGGGGCGGTGTTCAAGGGGTATGAGGACGTGGTCAAGGTGCTGTTTGAGGCGGGCGCGGATGTGGGGCGGGGGCAGCCGAATGCAGTGGATTGTGCGCGGATGTTCAAGAGGGAGGGTGTGTTGGCGTTGTTTGGGGAGGAGCTGGGGGAGGGGAGGGAAATCAGGATGGATGGGCAGGCGTGATGGTATGGTGTGATAGGACCGTGCTGGACGGGCGATGCATTGAAGTATTGTGTGGGTATAATCTGAATCTGCACGACATAACATGAAGAGAAGTGGAAGAGTATTGGAAGAGTAAACCTCGTAAGGTGATTTCAGACTGCTACGCTAGCTGCCTGTCCCATGATTCATTCCCGTGATGACCTAAAGAAACCGTTCCCGCTAAGCTGCACGCTTAGTTCTCAGCCAACAGGTTGGCGAAGTCCTGGCCGGACCTCTCCTTGGTGTGCTCAACCTTCTTCTGGCCGAGCTTCTCCTTGGCGAAAGCAGCGGCGTAGGGGTTGAGGCGGAGCTGAACCTGGAAGTTCTTGAGAGGGTTCTTCTTCTGCACAACGGTGCGCTTGGAGACGGCACCGCCACGGGTGGGGCGGAGGACCTTCTGGATATCGCTGGAGTTGATGATCTTGGAGAGATCGGTCTGCTTCATGATGGGGTTGGCGAGGAGGAAGTCCTTCTTGAGAGCAGAGGCCTCGGTGGTGGAACCGTAGATCTTGTCGAGAGCAGAGAAAGCAGATGACGACCAGACGATGAAGCGACCAAGGTGGCCACCGGGGGCGAGCTGGAGGAGGTTGAGCGAGTAGACGGAGCTGGTCTCGACACCGGGGATGTTGCGGAAAGCAAGGACAAGGTCCTTGCCATCCTCCTCGGGGTTGTAGATGACCAGAGGACCACGGCGCTGCTTGTGGCGGCGGCCCCTCATCTTGCCCTTACCAGCGCGGACCTTGCGAGAGTTCTTAGCCTTCTCGATGTCAGCACCGGCACCGACGGCCTTGAGAAGGGCAACGGCGGCGGAGGTCTTCTTGATGGCGCCATCAGCGAAGGCGGTCGAGGAGACAACGAGGGGAACCTCGGGAACGGTGGAAATAGCGTGACCACGGGCGAGGAGAAGAGCAGGGCTGCCAGAGGCGGCGATCGCGGAGGCGGTCGCGTAACGCTTCTGGTTCAGGTTGAGCTTCTGGTGCCACTTGCGCCAGACCTTGGTAGGGGCGAACATGCGACCGGATCGGCACATGTTACCGAACGCAGCCTGACCAGCGCGGTGAGTACCACCACCAGAGACACGGGGAATACGCGCAACGGCACGACCAGTTCCCCAAGACTCAGCAGATGTCTGGTGTCCGGCCTTCTCGGAGACAGCGTACGCCTGGCGGCGGTTCTTGTTCATCCCGCTGTGCACGGTATGAACTACGTCAGGGCGAACAGGAGCCTTGGAGGATAGGTTAGCAACAGTTTTATCATGTATTCACAGCGGTAATGTCGCCATGTATTCTCAGCGGCACTGACCTTGAAGACATTGGGGACAGCGATGGTGTCCTTGGTGGACTCGCCCTTGGGGGAGATGACGGTGACGGTCGGCCTGGACATGTTGGCGTCGGGAGTCGTGAATTCCTGTGGGTTAGTACAGAAGGCTTCGCGATGCGAAAAGTTCGTAGTTTGGCAATATCAACTTAAGCGAGGTGGGTAGCTTATGTAAATAGAAAAGTGGGTCTAGCGTGGGCTGCCGAACTCCAACATCGATCCACGCGACACAAGTGCTTGATCGAGCATGTCTTCTTGAAAACTAAAAAGACACAATTATTGTGAGATTGAGTGGCCACGCGGTAATATAATTAGACGTATCTCCTTTATCTCGCAGTCCCCCTCAGCTTCGCTGTGCTATTTGTTTCTTGCTAGTCGTCGCTCCTCTCACACTTGCTCTACTCAGGTCCCTGCAAACTCTCGTATGACTCTCAATCAAGTATCGCCAGGTGCAGAAATTCTAGCTCCATGATGAAAGGCTCCTCGTATGACATCGAATCATCTTTTCCGCCCCCTGACTCCTCTCTTGACGCTTCGGTCCTCGTGTTGCGCTTCGCCCTAGTCGCAACTGCCCTCTTGACACCAAGATATTTCTTCATTTCGACAGCAACATGGGATACGTTGGGGCGATGCATCGAGACGGATCTATAGTCGTTCACCTTCATCTCCAACAGTAGTGCAGTCAACCCATAAGTCTTTCTTTCTACCCTCGTTGATGGTAAGCCTCACTTCGCATGTTGGTGGTGCATTTGCTGGAAACCCGATTTGGTGCCATGGTTTGGAAAATTGCAGTGCGACAAGTTGACTGTTTACACTGTATCTTATGTCTGCCCCCCCGTCTCTTCTAAAATCTCGTTTTTCCTACCATCACATCCTCTCTCAACCACAAGCTACCAACTAATAAGAGAAATCTTCCCAAACCACCAAGTGACTTCCCCCAATTGTCTCAAGAGCAAGCTCAGACAGGTCGCGATTCTCCAGCTCCTTCCACAACTCCACTACCTGCCCGGCTTTCATTGGCATCCAACCGAAATAACGCTGCGGAAAGCGTCGCGGGCCCGAGAAATGTGATTCGCAGCTTTGTAATCTGCTTCCACGCACTTCACCATAAAGGCGTCAACATCAGACAGTACTTCATCGTCCGCCACGAGAAAGACACGGTGCGATCGGAGATCCGCATTCATTGGGTCATCCTCGTCGCCGTTTCTGTACAACAAACGCAGCTGGTCCATGTCCAGGCCTGTTAGAGCAGGATCCGAGCGCGCATCGAGACGGAAGAGGGACCAGATCCGTTGAACTGCGGGATCGTCTGCAGTGGCTTCACACACTCTCAGAGTCGATTTGTGTGCCTCGCTATGGATCTTTTCAAGGAGTCGCTGCCATTGTTGGTCGGTGGTCGGCGCATAGTGTGTGCGGTAGATAGTGTAGCCCCAGTGCCGAAAGCTATCTACGACTGCTGCTTCTTCTGAGTAATGGCGGAGCTGTTCGAGCCATCGAGCGGCATCGACCATGATTTGTGCAAGAAGAGGTGAGTCGATGACAGCCCGGGCTGCTGATATCGCTGGATGTGAACATCTTGAGATCAGTCACCTGCTCTCGTCTTCTAAGACGGTTAGTGTTTGACGTCGTCAAGATGGCTGAGAGAAATAGTGTACATCAGACAGTTGACAGTGTCGTGACAGTTGCGCGCATGGCCGCGGAGGATCGGACAAGCTGCCACCCGAATACTATTGGAAGCATGCGTGTATCTCGACGAGACTAGAGATCTTTCTGGGGGTCTGCATGCACTGGCTGTGTAGGTAAGTGTTCGCTGTAGCAACTTTTGAGCCACAGGCAGAGTCTAGGCCAGCTTTGAGAGACTTTTGGCAGTATGAACGTACAAAAGAACCGTTCATGCTTCCATATAAATGAGATCATTGGTATTTATTGCTTTGCTACGTACATTGAACGAATATCAGAACGCAATACAACTAGTCACTAACGTAGGTGGGGTTCGTATAGATTCATATCGAGATGAGGTACAGCAATGTCACATTTGACATGCAGGAGTAAAGGTACGTCTTGGATCTGGGACTGATAGTCAATCGAGTCTTGACGAGCTGCCCTCGATCAGGATTCTACACAGTCAGCACTATATCATTAGTCTGACATGACCGCAGAACCTGTGGATAAACGCAGATTATCACATGCAGACCCAAAGCCTGTTATGCGGGGCTGCATGGTATCAGACATGCATAGCGACCACCGCCACCCGAACCCCCATTACACATCTGACCATCCAGAATCAATGCCCGATAATCACTTCCATTTCGGGTATACTACAAATCTCCCGCACACCTATGCAGCAGCACTCTCCTCCGTGGACCCCTCCGTCGCCTCCCCAAACGCCGCCATCTTGAAATCATACGGCAGCTCAAATTCGGCCTTGGGATCGCCCTCGAACGGCACAAAGTCCACCAACAGCGAATCCTTGACTGCGAACACCGCGTCGTCGGAGATGTACTTGCTGCTGCGATCGAAGATTTGTGTCACAATGGGCTTGTGACCGGGGGCTGTGAGCTGCGTGGCGTTAGTGATGCTGCACATAGTAGACAGGGTGGAGCGATCTCGGCATACCAAGAAGTGGATGTGTGCCGGCCTGAACGGATGGCGATCCAGCGCCTTCAGCACCTTGCCTGCAGGCCCATCAAACGGAATGGGATACGGCACCGGCCTTAGGCAGTAGAAATCGTACTTCCCGTCCTCGCCCGTTGTGAAGCGGCCGCGCAGATTCATGTCCGGCTGGTCCGGATCCTGCTGCTCGTACAGCCCGTTGGGCGCTGTGTGCCAGACATCGATGACCGCGCCGGCGAGCGGCTGGCCGGTGGAGAAGTCTGTGACGGTGCCGTGCATCCACGTCCGGTCCCCGGACTCGATGCCATGCACGATGCACTCGCCCATGGCGAGCTGCGGTGCGTTGTGCCTGTAAAAAGGGCCCAGGATGGCGGTGGCGGTGGGCTCGTCGGCCGCGTCAGTGGCGAGCTTGTATGTGATTTCGTCGACGAGGGACTCCAGGCCCAGCACGTCGCAGAGGAGTTGGCCTTCGTTGCGCTTGGAGTCGGACATGCGGCCTGCTTCGTTCATCTGCGCCAATCAGCATCGTATGGGAATTGGTGGAGCATGGCACGTACGAGCTCGACGCCTGCCATCCATTCGTCGACTGTGAGTTCATTCTCGCGCGCATAGTCGTGCAGGTGCTGGATCAGGCTGTGTGTGAGCTGCTTAACGCGGGGATTGACGTTGGGCCCTGTTGCGGCGAGGACCTGTTGTGTGAAGGTAGGGTTGAACTTGTGCGCCTTGCTGTCTGACACTGCGGGGGCCGGCATGGTGAGCTATAGGGATCGAGAGGGGTGCTGGAGGGTGTCTGGAGCTGCGCAGCGGTTAGTTGTGTGTATGGGATTAGCAAAGTGATTAAGACGGCTACGCGTGGCCATGCAGGGCAGCTTTAAAGGGTCTGATCCGTTCAGTTGCCCAAGCTATGCCGCCGTAAGAGACGTGGGGCAAGCTCCAACGGTGGATGCGGGAGACAGCCGACGAGGTCTTAGCCGCGTGCACGATCCGACGTCGAAGCACCAATGAGGGCTATCATAATCGGCAAATGGCAGGTAATCCGCTAGCAGCCTTGCAAAGGAGCTGAAGGCGAGGCTGAGTAATATATTGTCAAGAAAACATTGGACTCTAACACACTCCTGCGATTCCATAGACATTGTGAAGCCCATCTGGTTATTGCGTACAATAATCATCTCAACGCCAGATCGCTAGCCCTTATTTTGATACCAACGGTGCTCACATCCGATGGTCGTGTCTGTATCTCTCCACCGACTACAGCATCCTCGACTAGCCTAGAGCCTCGGGTAAGGATGCTGGACATGAATTACCAATCTCACGTGAGCGCGGAATAAGTCCATAGCTCATGCCTATACCATGCCAAATACTAAATTCAACCCAAAGCATCTCAATCACTGTCGTCGTCCACTCGTGCACGCTTCGTCGATCGCTCTTCCTTGGGGTCTGTCATACCATAACGCTTCTCGCCCGTCTTCGACTCTCCCTTGACCTCATTGATCATTGCGTTGATGTTGAACGGGTCGTCTGTGTCCTTCTCGAACTGCACCGGCCCGTCTCGTTTTTCTTGCAAGTCAGCACCCTTGAAACCCTTGCCGGCTTTACCCAGCACGTCGAATTTGCTCGACTTCGTGATACGGTCTAACGTCTGGCCTTCGTCTTCTCCGTCATCCTGCTGAACAGTAGGACGGTAAATGCTGCTGATAGCGTCTTGAGCAGCGAACAGAGGCTTGTCGTAATGGTTGTCCTCGTTGATGCCTGCGTTGAACCCGCTGGACTGGTTGAATAACCGCGCGTCGTACATGGATTCTCCGCTTTGTGTAGGCTTGGCAAGGCCGAGTGCAACCTTTTCTGAGATGTCTCGGTTCTGTTCGCGCGCAAGCATCTGGATCTTGCGGTCTGTGCCCATCTTGGCCTGTCGTAGCTCTCGCTGGAAATCCTCACGACGTTCTTTCCTTGCTTCTTGTCGTTGACGAACCTCCTCCTGCTCCGAATCTGACTCCGAGTCGCTGTAAGAACGTCGGCGCGAGGCGTTTGCGCGCTCTTCGCGAGCCTGTTTGGCCAAATTGCGCAAGTGGTCCTCCTTCTGTAGCTTCTCCTTCTCCGCCAATCTTTGCTGCATAATGGCGCGCTGCTTGACCTCCTCTCTAGCATGCCTATCTGCGGCTTGCAGTGCCTCTCCGAACTGTGCGAACTTGTCGTTGATTGTGATGTCTTGGAGTCCTCGCCCATCTGCGGCAAGACGCTTATCGAGCGGCACCGTGTAGCCCTTCGGGTTCTTCCAGTTACTGATTGGCGGTGGAATCTTCCACATTTCTTGGTCTTCGGCGGTAAGTTTGCGAGGAGGTGAGTGGAGGACTGGAGGCGGAGGCGAGGGTGGTCCACGAGGAATGCGCTTGTGCTTGAACTTAGGCGGCTCCATGGGGTCGATCTGTCGCTGCTGGATCTTAAAAATGCGAGTCTTGCCCTGCGCCTCGCCCATCTGTGCTGTCGGTGTGTATCGCACAAAGGTCGGCTCATCGTCCTTGCGGCCTTGAACGTTCTTCGGCTTCTGCGCAGCAGTCTGCCCTTGAACGAGTGCCAACAGCGCTGCCTCTGTTTTCGCCTTCGTGGCCTGCACGACCTCTTGGCTTGGGCGATCCAGGTCAAGCTCGCCGGCGTTGGCCTGTTGTCGCAGCGGGATCAGGTCCTTGAAACTGGCCTGAACTATCCTGTTCTCACCGTGCCCTCTCCTCGCGATTTCATCGTACTTTGTCTTTCCCTCAGCATCTACGCGCCGTGTCATCGCGTTCGATGTGGATGGCTGGCCCTTCTTTCCCATATCGAGAGGGTATTGCGCAACGTGCACTTCAGGAAACGCGCCGCCATCTCCAAAGTCCTCGGCGGTGCGCGGCCGCCAGCTTTGCCTGCTGCCATACGGTGGTGGGCCGTTCTGTCGCCTTGCAACTTGGGTCTCGTACTGTTCAGAGCTCAGCACGCGTGTGCTTCGCGTTAGCTCTTCTTCTTCGCCTGTGTATTTCGGCTTCGGCAGCGACTTGGAAAGAGCGGCGACGGACATGTTGGCGGGTGTGGTTGGGGCGATCCTCGGATCTTGGAGCTGGAGTGTCGCAAAAGTCTAGTCTTGAAGATGTCAATGCCAAGCACAGAGGGTCCGAGCGGTGAGAGAACGGAGGGAATCCGCCGAGAATCCGCGCTCGCAGCCACGTGATCTCTTCAACACGCGACGAACCCGTGGATATCACCACAGGTGTGGATTTATTAACTGGATTCAAGTTGTGCCGGTATCACCATGGTGTCTCTGCCGGATCCACAGTCCAGATTCTAGTGCATAGTTTGGCTGATCAACCGTTCACGCATGCTACCGTTTGTTTTTCACTTGCCTGTGTTTCGGCCATATGCAGAAGACGTGCAGCCATGAAGCAAGACGCAATCAGCGCTTGTTCCATCATCATAAGCGCGAAATTATGTGCTTTTCCCAGGCTGAACCTTTCATGACCTAATATAGACTTTATTGTTTCGAGTCCACGACCCATGTCTAAATGTGGGGAGGTTCGCATCCTCGAAATTGTGAGGCTGGGTCTGTCGCATGTTACCCCTGAGGTCATGGAGAGGCTGGTCCCAAGCAGAGTTATTATGGCATTCGCGAAGTCGATGTTGTGCAACCTCAGGCTCGTAAACAACCACACGTCACCGTCCATCCCTTCGGCGGCCGCTCAACGCCTGCCACTGCTAGCTCACGGCCCACGGCCCACGGATAGAGTTGTGCTGCTTGCGTACGAGGTGGTCCGGACCGTGTCTCTAAAGCAGGATTCGGCCCTGCTCGACGAGGGTCCCACTGGCAGTGTCGCGCAGTCGCGAAGCAGGAAACACCATTGCGCACATTGAAGACTTTCTAGAAAGACACTATTCCGGTCGCGAGCGTGTCACAAGCATGCCGCGCGCTATATCGATTTTGTAATTGCACAGCGCTGAACCCTGCAGCTGCCAGCAAACTCACCGGCGCACCTTGCAGCCATGCCGGCTGTCTCTCAACCTCCGTCGAGTGCGCGACGCCCTGACATGCACCCACAAGCACCACCCGCCAAACACAAACGCTTCGCCTCACTCTTGCGCCTGCCGTCCTCGTCCTCGCGCAAAGAGAAGGACAAGGAACCGCCCCCAGCCGCCTCGCCGCGCTCGCGACGCGCGACAACAAACCCCACCACACCCACCGCACCTGCCACGAACGCGCCCTCCGCGTCGCCGTCCTACTTCTCCCCGCAGCCCGGCGCGTCCGGCTCAGGCACTGACCTGCGCTCGCCTGGCAGCAAGCGCCCGCCCGCCTCATTCAGTGGTCATGGGTAAATGCCGCTTGCGCCGATGTGTTTGTTTGGTACTGACGGTCGCACAGTAAGCTACCACCCAGCGTCGACTTTTGCAGCTGAGCCTGCACCTAGCAGTTGAGCGGGCCCCGGCCTGCTACACTACCAGGTGGAGCTGTCATGCACTACCACTGTTGAGCCACGCACCCGCCAATTGGCATGCGCGGCCCCTGGGACCTGGCTGACAACGCATCCAGGCATAGACAACTCGCGTGGGCCGCCTGTCACTCTTATCACGCGAGGTAACTCCGACTACGCACGCAAAAAGGCGCCCGCCACCACCCCGACCCAGCCGCAGCGCCAGCACTCGGGCCTGCCAACGCCCATCGCAGGCCTGCAGCGGACGGGCACGCTCGCCGACGACGATTCCGACACTTCGAGCGCAAGTGGAGTCACCGCGTCCATCACCGCTGGCAAGCCGACGCTCTCGCGACAGAGCACAGTCACCAGCATACGCTCCTCGCGCCACATGGCCATGTCGAGAGACGACGCCCCAGAATTCGACGGCTCGCGCAGCGTGTATGCTGCGCGGGGAACGAAGCGGAATGTGTCGGGCACAGAGAGCGAGGATCTCTTCATGAACATCGCCGAGGACACGGCGCCCAGGCTGCGCGCGCTCGATGCCGCGGCACGGCACGACCGGCTGCGCTCACGCATTGCCCGAGTCAATGAGCGCCATTCGATACCCTCTGGCCCGCACTCGTCCTCGCCGGCACACGCCATCTCCGCCTACAACACGCCAGCCGCGCGCCGCATACCGTTTACGTCGTCCACAGACCCCAAAACAAGCGCATTGCCTCGTCGATCCACAGCCCTGCCCACGCCATCCAGGGCATCCTACCAGTCCCCACTGTCATCAAACAGTCAGAATGAGACGTATCGTACACGCTTGCCTGAGCTGAACTCCAAGGCTTCATTCACATTTCGAAAAGACGCAGAGCTCACGCCAAGTGAGTTCCTTGCCTCAATGCGTCGGCCATCTGTCTCAGAATCTCTGCAGACGCCTCCGAAGCGCGCAGCCACACATCCTTACCGACCTTCGACTCTGAGCTACACACCCGTACGCAAGGAGCCAAGAACACCACAGTCAGAGTCGAGACATGAGATATCGTCGCATCACGACACTGAGTCGCATGGCTCGACTGGCCCGGCAGCTTCAGTATGGGATGAATTGGACGAGCTAAAGACCCGAATTAAGAAAATCGAGTTGGGAGGCGGCAAGACTCCTGCTACCTCGAACGCCGCAGTTGTACAGGCCTCAGCCGAACGTCCCCGGACCGCCAATACATCAGCGACGACTGTCTCCTCTTCCCCGCATCAGCAGCGTAAGGCAAATGCATCGCCATCAGAATCGACCATTGATGCGCCGTCGAACAAAGTACATCCATTGCTGAGGGATGCCTTGGCAAAGGCCAAGCAGCACACTAATCAGTCGGTATATCGCACACTCGAGACAACAGCAACAGAAGCGATTGCACTAGCGGAGATGGCTGGGAGCACAGGCATGCTGGGCTCGGCTGCATCGGTCTACAGCGGTGCCGGAGCAGCTGACAGACAAGTGCGTCGGAAAGCTGACAACATCTGTCGTAGCTTGACAGAGCTTTGTATAGCACTGTGCGACACAAAGCTGAGTGTAGCAGGTTCTGCGATGCGCTCGTCAGCCGCCGCAGTTGCACGCAGACCTAGTGTGCAGGTCAACGGCGAATCGCCGAGAGCGGCACGGGATAACGAAGATACCGGAAGTGTCATTTCATTCTCGGGTGTTTCAGGTGTCTCGGGTGTTAGTCCCAGCCGAGCTCTTGAACGCATCGAGGCACGCAGGACCAGCATGCTTGCGGCTTCTACCAGCAATCGTCCATCCAGCCAGGACACCAATAGCACATCCGATGCCATTGCTGCCTCACGTGTACAACGAGCAGGCACCAGCCTCAACCGCACAAGGCGTCAATCAGATGCAGATATGGATGACGACGAAGACGACACCCTGCGTGCGCCATCCCGTGCAATGACGGATTTCAGGCAGCTGCGAAGTATCGACACTAACACCAGCAACCATACCAGTTTCAGTGCCAACAACAACAACAATTTCGAAAAGAACAGACATAGTAGAACCTACACGTCGCAAGAACCAATGCCGGAGTTGCAACCATCACCCAAGTTTCAGCCGTCAGGCCTTCGGCGACCAACTGTAACAGGTGTGCCCAACGAGAACAGCCTCCTGTTTAGAGACAGTCCTCGACGTTACAACTTTGACCGACAGAGCTCGCCGGCAGTCGAAAAGCAAACAGTCGGTGGCCTAAGAGAGAGACTCCAGCTTGGTGCAAACCGAGCCAACCTGAATCGCAACTCGATTGGTACCACTGTGGACTTAAGTCGCAGTATGAGTCTAGGCAGAACGCGAATGAGGGGTGCGAGTACTGGAGAGTGAGCAGATGAAGATTTGATGCATTTTGTTTGAGCGTTTCTGACGATTGTAACGATATATACCCAGGTCGTTGTCCGGAAGACACGTTATGATGCAGTATTGCAGACGCACCGCACCGGTTCCGGAACGGTGCGTGACGGCATTACGAGTCCAGCGTCGTCGAGTGTAGTCACGATTAGTACATGGATGTAAACTTCGCATCTGTTGAGATTTGGAAGGCATGTTACAGCGACAGGGTCTCCTACGAGAACCATTCTAAAGGCGTAAAGGGAGCATTCAAGCGCGCATGATGGCTGTTTATGCATCTTCAACGCAGCGCTGACGAAGCTACATGTCTTTTGTACAGTATTACCACGCGCGACGCACCTTCCGTTGCGGACGCGCGATCATTCAAAATACAAGTTATCAGCAATTTCTCTGTGCCTTGCATGTGACATAGCCTCACTCGATCTTCACGACTGACTTTAGCCAGCACAGCAACACAACAAGATCTCGAAAATTGCTATCTGCGCCACGCTCTACGCGGCGCCGGCGAGCCTTAGTGGACGGTATGAACATTGGCGCGATGCTGGCCTGTGGAAACCTGATCTGGCTCGTCTGATGTTGCTGCACGCGGGACGATCACTGGGCCTAGCCCAGATGACGTATGACGTCCGCCGCCCACACACCAGGAACGACCCCTGCCACCACATCGCCAACCGCTGTGCGGGCCATGATCCTGGGCTGGTGATCGAGATGAGATCACTGGGGAATGACGAGCTAAAGTCAGGGTCTTACGCGGGAGGAGTGTATATATTGCAGCCTGTGAAGTAGGAAGCCTATTGATCCTACCACTACATCCCTATTCATCAATCAGCTTCACATCAAATTATTCGGATTTGTTCGACAAAAAGCAAACGTCAACATGGCAGACAAGCAGTCCCCCGAGTCCAAGACCTACAGGCAGCAGGCCGGCGAATACTACAACCGCCAGTACGACTCCTGGGTCCCCTGGATGGAGGACAAGTACCTGCAGTGGTTCACCAAAGACAACAAAGCCTCGTACGCCACAAAACGTACGTCTCCCATACTCTACACCCTCCCGCCTCTACACCCAACCAACCAGTCACATACTAACACCCATAATAGAGAACCTCGACAAGACGAAAGTAACAGGCATCTCCCAAGTCGACAACCTCCAAGACGGCGTCCACGGCCTCGTCTCCGGCCAAGTCGGCCAGGGCGGCATCGCCCAGCCCCTCGGCGACGCTCTCAGCAAAGAAGGCATCAACCGCGCCGAGCGCGGCGGCAAGGACGACCAGGGGCGCCCGCTGGAGAGCCAGGGCCCGCTCGGCGGGTACGGGCAGGGCGCTGTTGATGGTGTGAAGGGCGGTGCGGGCGCCGTCGGCAGTGGGGTTGCGGGCGCGGGGGAGAGTGTTGCGGGTGCGGGGAAGAGTGCAGGGGGGTATTTGGGCGGGCTTTGGGGCGGAAAGAAGGGCGAGGAGAAGAAGGAGGAGAAGAAGTGAGGATGCTGGGTTGAGGGTTTGGATAGAGATTGGGGTTATGATACCATGGGTTTTTCAGTTTCTGGGTCAGATTGTAATGATGTTATTTTAATGCGTGGGTTCATCTGGTGTGCTTTGCGTGCCGTACTGTGTGATGAGATATGGCTGTCAGTGTCCGCCTGAGAAATTGATTGTAATAAACTGGCTGCTGCGTCCGTTGAAGACACTGTTCGGAAACCAGCTGATGATCTAAAGTCATGTGTTGAAGCTGTTTGGATTGTCGCACATTTCCAAAGTCACATATTAAGATGGTAGAGTTGGGTCTCACCTTTGGCCTTCGCCGTTCCGAGATCACCTTCTGTCAAAAGTGAGGCTACGAAATTGATTGAGTACCTCCTAGAGGACTATATGTCGAGCAAGGAAGAGTATCAGGTAGGATGTTGTTCGAAGGGCGCATAATTGGACATCTCTCAAGAGCTGGGAGCTATCGGCGCGACTCCATTTCGCTAGGCGGATCAGAGTTGGCAAATTTACATGTGCAATGGTTAGCGGACCACAGCTGAAGCCTGCGATATCCGGCTCCTTCGCTGAGTCATGGGGCTAGCATGGTCACGTGTACCAGCACATCGACACTCCATGTCAGATCTTTACAACCGTGCCTTCCGAAGAGTCACCTTGAAATCAGATTTGGCGCAATCTGATCAATTCGTTCACATCTGCAGTACTATGGCGCATTCACGATGCCCGAAAAAGCGTCGACCAATTGCTGGACGTGTAAGCGTAGGTTGCCTTGCACACCGGGATACCTAGCACACTTTTATTGACTTTTTTTAGAGCGCAAAGTTGGCTGCGACCGAACACTGCCGTCATGTCTCAATTGCAGAAAAGGACAACGGGCTTGTCAGGGCTTTGGCCTCCGATTGGCCTGGCCTGATAAGCAAGACGGACGCCGCAAGCAAAAACGTTACGAAGTGAAGAACCAGGACGTCATGACGAGATATCTGCCTCGCAAGAATGGACACTTGCGGTTCTTGAACACTGTCGTGGAAGATCTTGATGGTTCCAAACTGTCTTTCCGAGACCTCGTCCAGGGAGAATTCATCGACGCCATGTCAAATATTCCAATGTCATTGAACATGTGCTCCATCAACGAGCAGGATGGCATGTTACTCAATCACTGTACAATTCCCAGAGTTTCCTTCATATGATCCACGTATTGACCTTTTCCAGATGATATGCAGATAGCGCGAATGACAACCACTATCGATGACGAATCAAACGGCTTCCGGTTAGCACTGATACCAATGGCTCTCTCGTCGTCGGATCTCTCCGCGCAAAGCATACTCAACGCAACTCTAGCTATCGCTTGTTATCATCTCGGCCGCCCACAGCAAGCATTGAGGTACAAGTTTCAAGCAATCAAAGATCTGAGTGACAGCTTCAGTGACTTATCAATTGAAACTGTCGACCCTGCCACTCAGACGAGACACTTTGCAGCTTCTATGATGCTGTGTGTATACGGTGTATGCTTCTCAGCCTGTTCGTTACAAACGAGGTGGCTGATGGATTGATAGGTCTTCGACGAGTCCGATACTGCGTGGGCCATGCACCTCGAGGGCGCGAAGTCTGTCTACGATCTAATCCCCCATATAGTCAAGTCTGGGGTTGACTTCAAGTTTCTCAAACCTTGGTTTGAGTACCACGACGTCCTCCGCCAATACACATATCCTCCACAAGGGACAGTTGCGCAGATAGTACTTCCAGACAGCACAGTTGAATCTTCAAAGGTGAATCTACATTCACTACACAAATGGGTTACATCTGACGTTGGGTAGATAATTGGGGTCCTTGGATGCTCCACTGAGGTGCTCCATCTTATCCAATGCATCAATCAACTCCGTGGGTCACAGGCGTCGATAGCTTCTCCCAACAGCCCAGGAAGCCGATCTACGAGTCCTGAGCTCAAACACCCCAAATTGTTTTCGCAGATCGAAACCCGCCTCCTAAACCTGCAACAAGAGCTCGTAATTCAGTCCGGCTCCACATCGGGGACCATCGATAATCGACGCATCGCTCTAACCGCAGAGCTGTACCGGGTCGCTGCAGCACTCTACTTCTATCAGACCGTCCCCACGACCTTTATCCCTGTAACCAGCTTTCGGAAAGTTCTACGTAAGGGCTTGGAGATATTGTGGGAGATGAGGATTTGTAGTAGTCCTTGGCCATTGTTCATTATCGGCTCGAGCGTCACGGAGGACGAGGATCGTATCCGCATTCTGGATCTGATGGAGATCAGTGGCTCGAGCAGGCGGATTGGCAATTACACTATCATTATTAACCTTCTGAAGGCTATCTGGAAGAAGCAGGATCTCGCGTTCGACGACAAGACGCAGATGCAGATTGATTGGAGGGAACTGGTCGGAGATGGTGGCTACATGCCTTCGTTTATTTGATGAGAGGCTACAGTTGCGGCAATGGCGAATCGGCTCAATGTACTACTAGAATTGACGCACACTCGTCATTCAAATCTTACATGAGCAGCCGCCCCGAACCCTCGTAACCGCCTATGCAAACATACTTCTCACGTTCCTACGTTCCTCCGCTCCTGCTGGATACGTTGGATCCTCTCCCAAGTACCTAATCCTGTTCTCCCTATACTCCTTCCCATCACTACCTTGCTCCAACTCCCACACGCCCTCAATCTCCTTCATAACATTCAGCGCCCTCCTTCCCGTCGCCCTTGCAATCGCCTTCGACTCCGCCGCATACGGTCCGCTCGTCGGATACGCGCTTCGCCGCTCATCCAGCCAATACAGAAACGCATGGCGCGCACCGATCAACTCGCCCATAATCCAGTTCTCGAGGCGCTGCGGCCGCTGCCCGGCAAATATCCTGATCTTAAATGTCTCGTCAAGCCGCAACTGCGCTGAGTCGAAGTGGATGGTATCGAAGTCTGGCGCGGCAAGACCGAGAGCGCGGAGCCATCGCGGGTCGCGGATGTACAGGTGGTTGATCGAGCCATCTTGGATGTCAGCGGTTACCTGGGTGATTGCGCCGGTGGGCGTCTTGTGGCACCACATATTGGTGATGTGTGTGCTGGGCTGGTGGTCGGACTGAACTTCTTGCAGGCGCTGGATGGGGAAGTCGGATGGGTTTGTAATAGGAATAAGCAAAGTAGTATTAGGGTCTAGGGATCCGTATGGATCCTCAGTTTTGCCCCCGTCCCCGTCGTTGGGGGCTTTGTTGACATCTATGCCTCGAACGACTTGCTTGTGCTGCTCAAGATCTGTGTCGCTAGGATCGGCCATGGCTGACTCTGGTAAAGTTTCTGGTGTTGCAGGTATTACCATGAACTCCAGGTCTTTGACAATTGGTCGGTCAAGTCTTATCTCTTCCTGAACCTTGTCGTTATTTGCCACATGACCCATACTAGCAAGTCGCGTCCCTTACCGCTCGCTATGTGCTCGTTTGCGAAGTTGTTTAAGTGGTGCAGATTGTCGCTTGCTTGGTTAGTAGACCTGTGCTGTGTTGTGTGAAGGCATACAATGTTTGTGGCGCGTTCGTGACGTACAGCGCAAGCGAGGTGGCGCTTTCACTTTCACCATCGTCGTTTCCTGGCGATCACTTCACGGTTGCAAGATGCGATCCAAGTCATCAGTCATCAATTCATTCATATCGTAGTAATGTCATCGGCTGGAATGGTATATTCTCGCCAAAGTCCTCAAATATTCTGCGCACTGCGCTCTACTCGATACGAACATACTCGGTCTTATCTCGACCCAAGGCAACCCCTAGTAAACGTAAAAGTTGATGGCCTCATTGTTCAGGGCCTTGATCTTGCGGTTGTCTCTCATCAGGATGAATCTGAGTACCCAGGCACAAAGAATGACGCCTGCACTGAAGCCGACACTAGCCCACATAGCCATGGTGAAGCGGGGCTTGGAGGAATCCGGCCACAGGTACGGCGTGTACACAAAGGACAGGTTACCCAATGTGTTGGCGATGGCAATAGCGACAGCCTTCTTCTCGTCGGTCTGACCAAGGACTGAAGCAGTCCAGGACAAGTTGATGTTGTTCACACCATATGTTGCACCGACAAACAAGATCATGGCGAAGTATCGTGCACCGATGTTGAGTGTGGCAGTTCCGATGATGAAACCGACGATAGCAACAGCCTTGGAGGCTGTGATGTGCCAAGTGCGTTCGTTGAATCTGCCGGATGACCAAGAGACAGCGACGGAAACGAATGCAGAGAGCAGGTATGGCGGGCAGGTGAGCACAAGCGTGATAGTGCGGTTGAAGCCAAGAGTCTTGTCATAGTTAGTGCTGGTTCAGAAACACCAATCGGAAGACTGGAACATACCTGGACAACAGTGGGCAGGAAGTTCTTGAAGCCATTTGCGGATAAGTGACTTCGAATAGTTAGCTTGTGTCGCTAGAATAGTGATCTAGAGAGAAACTTACAGATTCTGCATGAGTGCGAAGATCCACATGCGGTAATCGGTACAGGCCTCGCGGAGTCCCTTCCAGACGCTGACTTTCTCCTTCTTTCCAGTAGTATCGAAGGCAATTCTGCTGTGTGCAAGTTCGCGCTCCGCTTGTGTAAGCCATCGTGTTTGGAGGGGGGCGTTAGGCAACATGAAGAAGGCCAAGACAGCAACGCCAACTTGTAACAATATCAGCAAATATTGCTTGCAGCTTTTCGGAAAACTTACCTGTGATGACACCCTGGATGATGAAGAGCCACCTCCAGCCCTCGAGGCCGTGCTTGCCCTCCATGCCGGAGAATACTGCTGCAGCGATGAGACCAGAGAAACTGCTGGCAAGCAGGTTACCGGTGTAGAAGATGGACATGCGCGTGGCGCTCTCCTTTCGTGTGTAGAACATGGAAATGAGATAGACACCTCCGGGGTAGAACGGCGCTTCTGTAATTCCAAGGACGAAACGGCATGCAAGCATGCCCTTGTAGTCCTTTACAACCGCCATGAGTGTAGACACAATAGCCCATGCCAGCATCCAGCCAGACATGTACCAGGAGGGCTTAATGCGGTTAAGCAGCATGTTGCTCGGAACTTGGCCGACCAGGTAACTGCAGGTTGTCAGAAAATAATTTGGTAGGAGCCTCAGCGACTTACCCAACGAAAAAGATAGAGACGCAAGTGTTGTATTGAACACCTGTGAGTTTGAGGTCCTTGTCCATGTTGTCGATCTTGCCGTTGACGATGGCGTTACGGTCAAGGAAGTTGAGGAAGTACATGAGCCAAAGGATGGGCTAACCGGGTCAGCTTTCGAACGCTCCAAACGTTCGTGAACTTACCATCATCCAACGGTCGAGCTTCTTCACCAGAGCCTTCTCGGCATCTGACTTCACCAAAGAAGCTCCGAACTTGTCGAGCTCCTCATACTGGGGCTTGAGAGGCTGGTCATTCACAGAGATCGTGTCGATATGCTCTGCCGAATTCTTGGGTTTGGATTGATCAGTCATGATTGCCGGAGTGAGGAGAATTCTCAGTGCTCAAGGCGCTGTGCTCTATGGATGTCTCGCTTTCCTATTTGTCTTTATATCAGGCTTGCCAAGGTTGATATCGCGTTGGTTTGTGGAGTATCGCAAGCGGGGTATTGTGACCCCGTGGGGTAAGCGCCAACTGCGGGCGTGCTAGCAGTATGCAGTAGGGTCATGTTGATCATCCTTCGCGTCAGCGGGGAAGGAAATAACAGTCGAATATCACCAACAGACCGGCGCTAGAGTCGGCGGCACGCTCGGTGCCCAGATAAGCTAAGGCTTGATAGCCAATTCTTAAAGGAAGAACTTATCGGATGCCTTTTCCAGGTCGATGCTGCAGGACGCGATTGGTGGTAAATCTGCAAGCCCCCGGAAAACTCATGCGGCTGTGGATAACGAGTCCGCGGCTCTTCGGCTGTACTAGCGCCATGCTGGAGGATACCTTCTCCGTTTACTACCCCACGTTCTGGGCAAGCCACTCCACATAAAGTAAGCAATTGTTCACAATGCTGGGCTTGGTATCTTCTGAACCTCCTGAGCAGCCCTCAGAGAGTCGTGAAGGCAAAATGTCAAGCACATACACCGCCACCGAGGAAAGGCCGACAAGGACACTCGTTCCTGCCCACGAACCAATCCTGACCATAGACGAATTAATTCGTCGGCGTGCAGCAGAGTTACGAGATTCACCGCTCATTGGGTATCCCAAAACAGGTGTGACAGATTACGAGGAACATTCAGCCAGTGCGGTGAACAAATATGCCGATGCGGCCGCAGATGTCCTTCAACGGAGGGGCTTGAAGAAAGTGGTGAGTACAAGAAATGCCCAGACGGAGCTAGTATTGACATCAAATCACAGGACCCTTCCTTGGACAAGGCCCCTGTCGTTGGCATTCTCGCCCACTCTGGACTGCCTTTCATCATAACGCTACTGGGTTTGAGTAGACTTGGCTATGCCAGCCTGCTGTTGTCGACCCGCTTGGCAGCCCCGGCCCTGGTGCGCCTGCTCGAGTTGGCAGATTGCAACACTCTCCTGACCTCCTCTCACTTCCATCCAGTACTGGAAGAAGTGAAGAGCGAACGTGGCACTACCGTGCTGGAGTTGCTGAAGCATGAGGAGTACTATGGTGTGGACGCGCCTGCCTTCCATCGTGCGTACGATCCATACAAGGAGACTACCAAGAATGTTGTCATCATTCATTCTTCGGGCTCTACAGGCCTCCCTAAGCCCATCTATCTCACCAACCGTAGCTGCATCGCTGCGTTCTCGACAAACTTGGATCGGAAGGCGTTGATGACACAGCCTCTGTTCCACAGTTTCGGCTTCTACGAGACCTTCCGATCGATATACTCGGGGAAAGCGATGTACTACTTCAACTACGCGTTCCCCTTGACGAAGCAGAACATCACAGCTACACTCGCCGCCGTGAAGCCAGACCTGCTGTTCTGCGTACCATACGTTCTCAAGCTTCTAGGCGAGTCAGAAGAAGGTATCAAAGCACTTGCGGATATTGATCTAGTCATGTATGGTGGTAGCGCATGTCCTGATGACCTTGGAGACATGCTGGTCAAGAACGGTGTCAACCTCGTAGCCAATTATGGCGCTACTGAGACGGGGAGACTGTCAACTTCCGTGCGCCCACCGGGAGATCACGCGTGGAATTATCTTCGAATTCTGCCAGGGGTAAAGGAGTACGTGCTGATGGATGAGATAGCCCCGGGCATCTTCGAGTGTGTTGCACTGGACGGTCTGCAATCTAAGAACACCATTAATTCAGACGACCCTCCTCGATCCTTCCGCACCAGAGACCTCTTCATGCAACACCCAACGAACCCAGACTTCTGGAGATTCGTATCGAGGCTTGACGACAGACTGACCTTGGTCAACGGTGAAAAGGTTCTGCCGATTCCAATCGAAGGTAGGATACGTCAAGAGGGTCTGGTGCAGGAGGCCGTCGTGTTCGGCGATGGCAAGAGCCTACCCGGCATGCTGATCTTCAAAGCCGACGGTGCTTCGAATCTCTCGGACGCCGAGTTCCTCGAACACATCTGGCCTGCCGTCGAAGACGCGAACTCGCGCGCGGAGAGCTTCTCACGGATACCGAAAGAGCTCGTTGTTGTCTTACCTGCTGAGGTCACATACCCAAAAACCGACAAAGGTACTTTCATCCGTGCGCAAGTATACGCTCAATTCAAGGATGAAATCGAGACCGCATATGCCAAGTTTGAAAGCGGCGGGGATGATGAGGCCGGCACTGTTGCACTGCCCTTACCAGAGCTTGAGATCTATCTACTACAGAGGTTCCGAGAGAACCTTGGTGTAGACCTTTCGGCTTCAGACGACTTCTTCGCCCTTGGAATCGACAGTCTTCAGTGCATGAAGATGTGGAGCCTGATGAAGAAGGAGCTTGATCTTGGTGGCCGACAGTCTGAACTTGGTCAGAATGTTCTCTATGAGACTGGCAACGTTCAGAGTCTCGCTCGTCACATTGACGGTCTGCGAACAGGTAACACAGAGCAAGCAAAGGACGCGTATCAAGTCATGCATGATCTTGTCGCAAAGCACTCATCATTCAAGACTTACGAAGAGACATACCGGGTTGCGCCAGCTACCGAGACTGTTGTTCTGACCGGTGTCACCGGAGGCCTTGGTGCGCATCTTTTGGCCCAGCTCGTTCGTAACCCCAACGTATCGACAGTATGGGCACTCGTTCGAGCTTCTTCAGAGCATACCGCACTGGAAAGAACTTTGCAGAGTCTGACATCGCGTGGTATCTCTCTTTCGGTGGAGGAGATTCGCAAGGTCATTGCCGTACCGTCCGATCTCAGCAAGCCAGACTTCGGTCTTGGTGCGGCAAGATTCGTGCAACTACGCTCGAGTCTTACCCTAGTCATCCACAGTGCATGGGCAGTGAACTTCAATATCTCTGTTGAAAGCTTCGAGGATCAACACATCAAGGCAGTGCCGAACTTCATCAACTTGTGCCAGTCGACAACACATGGCTCCCCAGCCCGATTCTACTTCTGCTCGTCGGTATCTTCCACCGGGAGCACTCCTCGCCCAGGCACTGTCCCTGAGACGCCCGTCCGTGATATCGCTCACGTACAAGGCACAGGATACGCGAGGTCGAAGTACGTCACTGAGCAGGTCGTTCGTAATGCGATCAAGGATGCAGGCGCTCAGGCCAGAGTTCTTAGGATCGGTCAACTCGTCGGCGACAGCAAGGTTGGCGAGTGGAACACAACTGAGGGTATCCCTCTCATGATCCAAACGGCAGTCACCCTCGGCGCACTGCCACAGCTAGACGAGGTAAGCCCTTTCCCTCATCCCACTACCGACCACACTAACCATATTCCAGGAAATGACTTGGCTTCCCGTCGATTACGCGGCAAAGATCATCCTCGACGTGTGCCGACCCGACTGTGCCGCGACACGCGCTTCCGACCCCGACCTCGTCTACCACATCCTCAACCCAACCCGCTTCCACTGGACAAGAGACATGCTGCCTGCTCTAGCAGCTGCTGGCTTGGAGTTCGAATCCCTCCCAACCGATCAGTGGATGGAGAGGCTACGCAACTCCGACCGAGACCCCAAGAAGAACCCTCCCATAAAGCTATTTGATTGGTTCGAGAGCAAGTACGGCAGTGCTGCTTCCACGAAGCCAAAGGGCCCACTTGAATACATAACGGAGGAGACTGGGAAGGACAGTGATTCACTAGGTCAAATTCCGAGCGTGACAGACAGCAAGTACATGGGCATGGTGATCGAGAGACTGAAGAAGCGTTGGGCGGCATAGATCTAATTTTGACATACGAATTATGTACATAGAGCGTGTAGATAGCATACCTGGCGTCTTGGATCTCACTTGAGGCAATACATACCTATACACTTTCACGAAAGCGTGCCAGTCTGCCAACTTGACGGAGCCTTCATTCCGGTCCTAATGTTGTCAAGTGCCGCTTGGTAGGAGTCCTTGTCTAGTTTTGGCGCTAGCGAAGCTCCTTAAGCTTCTGGCGGACCGGATGACCGTTGACCGTCCTCCGCAGATTCTCCGACCCTATCCCAACCTCCTTGCAGATCCTCACCGTCGATTATTCCGATCTCGGTGCGCTTTCATTTATGCGTAGTAAATGTCGTGCTCATAAAAGTAACATCATGTGATATATGCAGAACTAGGTAGCGATCTTCCCTGGACGCATCCAGGGTTCTTCCCGTGTGTGAGGTGCGTCGTGCAGCCAAGAGGATGCGTTGTGAAGTTGTACATGCACAGCGGCACAACGTACATGCTGTTGAACGATCTGAACCTGCTTTTAGTCGCGAATAATGCAAGTCGGTCTTACAAAGACGTTACCCTAGCCAGTCTTAGAAACGGATCCGCCTATTTAGCCAGTAGTCAGATCACCCGGCAATGGACGAACATGCACACGTCTTTGGTTGACGGTTGACCCCATACTTTCCCCGCTACCAAGATACTACCCCTCACACAAGCGGCGGAATTTTGAACCCTGTACTACGACCTGTGGTAGCGATCTTAACTACAAAATGGAGGTACTTCACCCACTAACAATGCATCGCGCTACGGTGGGCAGAAGACAATATGCTTGGTACGAAGCAAATCCTCGTGTCAGCCTTCCTGGCTGGCTTGGTCACCGCCCAAGATGGTAATTCCAATTGTTGCCACTTTAGTTGACCACTGCATGCCTAACTCCACCAGCGATCACCGCGAACGGCGACAACTTCACACTGACTGGCGATGAAGTTTCGTACCTGTTTCACGTCAACACAGAGAATGGTGATTTGATCTCTGATCATTTTGGAGCTCCGGTCACGGACTTCGTCCCTCCTGCGTACATCCTGCCATGGGGTTGGCACGACAATAAAGCAATCGACCGACGTGAATTCCCCGACATTGGTAGAAGCGACATACGTCTGCCAGCGATCCATATCGAGCACTCCGACGGTGACACGGTGTCAGCATTTCTCTACCAAAGTCATGAGATTGTCCCTGGCAAACCATCCATCCCTGGATTCCCAGCAACCTATGGTAACGATTCTGATGTGACTACTCTCCAGGTGCAACTCTACGACAATGTCTCTGACGTTGGGGCTGTGCTTTCTTACAGTATCTTCCCGAAGTACAATGCCATCGCCAGGAGCTTCAAGATCACGAACAACGGAACAGGTGATATTGTCATTGAAAGAGCAGCAAGTTTTTCTTTCGACTTTCCTAATCTGGATTTCGAAGTCATTGAACCCCACGGTGATTGGTACCACGAAATGAACACTGTCAGGCGCAAGATAGACTATGGCGAGACGAGCTTCCGCTCTACCGAGGGCTACGCTGGGCACACACATAACCCTTTTTATGTGCTGACATCGCCTTCCACTACGGAGCACAGCGGCGAAGCCTGGGGCTTCAACCTAGTCTGGACAGGCTCTTTTGAGGCGACAATTGAAAGAACCTCAAATGGATATGTGAGAGCTCTGCTCGGCCTCAATCCGCTGCACACTAGCATTCACGTTGCTCCTGGTGACACCTTCCAAGCTCCAGAGGCAGTTGCTGTCTATAGCTCCTCTGGTATTGGCGGCGTTTCGAGGGCTTATCACGATCTATACAAGAACCACTTGTCTCGTCATCAGGCAACTCACGAGACTCGGCCAATTCTGCTCAACTCTTGGGAGGGTCTTTCGTTCAATATCAACGATACCGCTCTCGTTGATCTTGGTGGACAGGCAGCAGATATCGGTATTGAACTCTTTGTCATGGACGACGGGTGGTTTGGTGTCGATTACCCAAGAAACAATGATTCTCTTGGCCTTGGAGACTGGACACCAAACCCGGCCAAATTCCCGGATGGACTCGGACCATACATCGACCAAATTGTTCAAATCGACGTTGCGAACGCAAGCACTAACGCGAGCACCAACACACCTTTGAAATTTGGAATCTGGGTAGAGGTATGGACTATACTGCGTTCGCTTTTTGATTCGTGATAGCTAAACTCGCGTAGCCAGAGATGGTCAACCTCAACTCCACGTTGTATAAAGAACACCCCGACTGGGTATTGCACTCGGGGAAACATGCAAGAACACTAACTCGAAACCAAATGGTTCTCAACGTGGGTCTGCCCGAGGTGCAAAACTTCATCATCGACACAGTATCCGGAATCCTCGACTCTGGGTCAGTCAGCTACGTGAAATGGGATAACAATCGAGGTTTGTGATCGATGTCATCAAAGAAGCCCTTGCTGATCCTCCTAGGTATGCATGAGCTTGCACGCCCTTCAGACTCATACAAGTACATACTTGGCTTGTATCACGTCATTGATACCCTGACAACAAAATACCCAAACGTGCTTTGGGAAGGATGTGCTTCCGGAGGTGGTCGATTCGACGCTGGTATGCAACATACTCTTCTAAATACCGCATAACGCTAATGAAATTCAGGACTACTTCACTACTGGCCGCAGCATTGGACGTCAGATAACACCGACGCCGCAGACCGCCTGCAGATTCAGCTAGGGACCAGCATCATCTACCCGCCATCAGCCATGGGCTGCCACATTTCCAAGTCCCCCAACGGCATCACCGGACGCGATACCAGTTTCACGTACCGCGGCCACGTAGCGATGATGTGCGGCTCCTTCGGGCTGGAGCTCAATCCGCACGAGCTGACCGAAGACGAAGTCGCCGAACTTCCCACCATCATGGCAGAGGCGCACCGAGTCAATCCTATTGTCATCTCCGGTCAGTTTTACCGCCTCGCGGGTCCTCAGGAGAGTAATTGGCCGGCTGTACAGTTTGTCAGTGCCGATGGCAGTGAGGCGGTGGTCTTTGCGTTCCAGCAACAGTACACCACGAAGCCGGCACCGCCCCCACTCAAGCTGCAGGGCTTGGATCCGAAGGCGAGGTACTTTAATGACCTAGATAATGGGACTTATAGTGGGGCTACGTATGCTAATGCGGGTATCAATGCTGGCTGGGATCGCGGTATCTACCAGAGCAAGCTGATTTGGCTGGAGAAGCGGTGAGACGGCGCCGCACATGGCCACAACATCAGTCTGGTGTATAACGGGGTGACAGAGTTGTAATACATTCGACCTCCACAGGCCCAATACTGATTATTGTTAAGAATGTGACATATGCCACGAGGACGGTTACTTCTGTCTCGACTGTCTTTTGCGTAAACCTCGCAAAAACACTCAGCATTGCTAGTTGACACTAGCTATTCGATACAAGAAAGCCAGAACCAGCGGTATCAGGTCTTCAATTGTCCGTACCCATTAGTTTGACAGCGTTCCACATGACATATTACACACGCCCCTGATTGATACGCAAATCATTCATTGCTTCATTCATCAATGCGAAACTTCAACATCTATCCAATACTCTACCAAAGCATCACAACATGCCTTCTTCACTTGGCGTCCATATTCCCCTTGGCCCACTCCCTCAACACGTTCTTCTTAATCTTGCCTGTGCTCGTCTTCGGCAACTCCTGCACCACCACGACCTCCCTTGGCACCATGAATCTGCTGATGTTACTCTGCTCCTTGGCCCACTGAATCATCTCGTTGCCCAGCGTCTCGCTGTTCGTGCCGTCTTTGGTCGTAACAAACGCCTTGGGTCGCTCGCCCCAGTGCGAGTCCGGCACGGCGCACACGCCGACTTCGAGGACCGAGGGGTGCGCTGCGAGCATGCCTTCAAGAGCGACGGAAGAGATGTTTTCTCCGCCTGTGGGAGTTAGCGTGTGAATTGTGGAGGGAACTGGAAAATAAATTACCTGAGATGATGATGTCCTTTGCGCGGTCGAGGATTTGGATTGCGCCGTCTGCGTGCCAGACGGCTAGATCGCCTGTGTGGTTTACGCCACCTGCCCACAGTTTGCGCGTCGCCTCGGCGTCTTTGTAGTACCCTTTTGCGCAGATGTTGCCTTCGAATACGATCTCGCCGATCTCCTGGCCGTTCTTTTCTACATCAATGAGGACACCTTCTTCTTGCTCGGTCTTGATGATGCGAGCGGGCAGACCGGTGACGAACCCGTGGCCTTGTCGCGCCATCTTGGCATACTTCTCTTTCTCGGGCATTTCCTCCCATTCTGGCATATGGTAGCCTTTAGTGATTGGGCCATATGTTTCGGTCAGGCCGTAGACGTGGACTGGATGCAGATTCAGGTTTGTCATCTGCTCAAAAAGCCATGCGGATGGTGGACTTGCGGCAACAGTGACCCGGACCTCCTGAGGCAATCTTTCAGCCTCTTTCGCTGCGCAGAGGAGCGTGTTGACGGTAGGCGCGGCATTGAAGTGAGTAACACCTTCTTCCTTCAGCAGGCGCCAGATCTCGGGGTAGTCGATCTTGCGGAGGCAGTAATGCGTTCCTCGTACTGCGGTCACGCTCCAGGGAAATGTCCAGCCAGTTGCGTGGAACATAGGGAGGGTCCAGAGGTACTTTGCGCGACCGGTGTGGTAGTTGAGACCGGACTCGATCACATTACCCAGTGCAGCAAGATACACACCTCGATGTGTATATTCAACTCCTTTGGGTCGTGCGGTTGTACCAGATGTGTACGCCAAGGCAAAGACCTCTTCCTCATCTGGGGCTTGAGCGGCGAGGTCCACCCAACCCTTTTTCCCATTCTCAATGTCGTACTTCAAGCCTTCCAATACAGCATCATCGAACGGTCCTGACAGCTCGCCCTCCGTAGCGTCCGTATCTGTGTCCACTAAGATCGGTACATTCGGCATCTCCTTCCTGAAGTCATCTAGTATCTTGACGAATTCAAAATCTACAATGATCATATCGACGTCCGCGTGCTGAAAGATATAGCTGATATCATCTGGCTTCAGGCGGTAGTTGATAGCAACATTCACCGCTCCAGCGGCTGCAATGCCAAAGATTGACTCTAAGAAAGCCGGTGTATTTGTTGCCAGAATTCCTACGCGTTTGTAGCCTTTCTTTCGTAGGTAGTACGCCAGTCCTCGTGCGCGGTCTGCAGTCTCTTCGTAAGAGCGCCGTAGGATCTTCCCATTCGCGGTCTTGTGATAAATCGCTGTAGCATGAGGCTCGATCTGCGCGGCTCGCCAAAGGAAAGAAGTCGGACTGAGCGTGTGAAAGTTGTGACGATGGTGGTATTCATGACTGTCGCCGGGGTGGATCGGAGGGGGACCGGGTACAGGACTGGCAGATATAAATTGCGATGCCAATTGCTTGAGACGATCTGTGGGCCCCATGGTAACGATGCGCGCGGACTGCTTATTTCTGGGTGTGGCAGGGAATCTGTAGATATGGAATACAGCTTGCGACCACTAGGTGCAGCGGCGCCCGTCTTAAAAGATATCGGTTATGCGATTTGGGGTATCGACGCCCAGGTGCGGAGAACCCGTATCGGTAAGAACAGCGGCGCTGATGATGCACCTGAACCAGACCTAGGTAGAGGTCGCTGCAAGGAAGGTAGATACTTGTGTAACTATCTGATCCTGAGGTATGACAGCCTTCCGAACGAATTCATGGAAAAGAGCTGGGGTGAGCTCCCACGAATCCGGGGTAGGGCATACCTAGTCGTAGATGTGTTCATCACAGCCGAGGTTCCCCACCATTGGTCGACGTGTGGGTTGTCTGCCGTTGTCAGCCGCACCACCCATCTCTCCGGCGGCTTCGGGCCGCAACATGGAGGAATGGAAGAGCAGTGCGGAATCAACCTTGATCACATTTTCCAACACAGCCGTAGGGATCTATCACAAAATTGTGAGAGATCAGGGCGCATACAAATTATGAGACGAGAGACACAAATGAACGGGAAATTGGGATATATTTGCAGCAGAACTCCATCATATGCTGTGGTAAGCCCTGGGTTTTTCAATTCGTATTTTCTTCTAACCGGAAGAGAAGTACCTGAAGACAGCGCTGACCGACGTTGAAGAAACCCATAAACACGTGTGCATCCTGGTATCGGTATGCTCTTTTAGCCTAGACACCATTTCGATCGGTCGAAGTAAACAGGATGAAAAGGACCCGTGGGCCCATTGCATGCCACGCCAAACGACTTCACCGACACCGACATGTATCATGAATCGTCGACATCTAGTAGCCGAGGGCGGTGAGCTGCTCCTTGGTCTTGCCGTCAACGTTGGCGGTCTTCTGGGCCTCAGCCAACTGCCTGCGGGCAGCCTTCTTGCGCTCGTAGTAAGCGGAGCCCTTGACTTTCCTGCGCTCCTCAAGACTGCGTTGCGAATTAGTGTTCGTCTCGTCAAGGAAAATATCAGTGGTACATACCGGGAGACAACGTCCTGGTACTTCCAGCCGAACTCGTGACCAAGACGACCGACAGTGCAGTACTTGCGGCCGGGCTTCAACCTCAGGACACGGAGAGCCTGGGGAACGACGACGCGCTTCTTCTTGTCATAGGGAGGAGGGATACCCTCGAAGGTCTTGAGACGCTCCATAGCGGCGTTACCGCGGGCAGTCTTGTGAGGGATCATACCACGAACGGTGCGCCAGAACATCTTGGACGGAGCGCGCAAGTGGAAGGGACCACCACGAGTGGGGTTGTACCGGGTCTGCTTGCGCATGAACGCCTGGTACTTTACTGAACTAATGTCAGACTCTGCTTTAATTTGCAGGAAATGCCTTGAAGCGCTCAATGAAGAGCAGAGGCACACGGCGTCAATGACGACCAGTGTATGTGTATAAGCAATGCAATGCAAAGCCGTTGTTCCATCACACCTCAATGTGTGCTCTGCTCTCCATCGAGTCGCTTCGATGGATCGGGGGAGACGTACGCTTCGCGCGGAAGAACTCGCCGGAGATGTTCAGGGCCTCGCATCGCACAACGACGATCTTCTGGCCGTTGAGCAGCTGCTTGGCGACCGTGGAGGCCAGGCGACCGAGAAGGTGGCCCTTTCCGTCGATGACCTGTGCTGCACGTTAGCTGGAGTTGATATGGCATGTTTGGGTTCTCTGGAAAGCGCAGCGCGGCGGCTACATGACTGCCGCAATTATAGGGAACGTACGACTACTGGCTCGAAGGTACTCGACATCTTGCTAGGAGCTGGTGCTGTGGTTAGTTTGGCGGTGGGTTGAGGTCGAGGTGAGCGAAAGTTGAAGTTGCGACGGGGCGCGCCTTCGCTTTGTGCGTGTACTAACCCCGTCCGGGAAAGCTTCACCTCTAAATTCTCTAAGCGAGGAAGGCGCGCTCACGAGCAAGGCAGGAACAACAGAGCACTTGACACTCATAGATCGTCATGCCAAAACAATTATAGCAATCTGGCTAATGATTGCGCAATCTACGCAGGATTATCAGAATTCGATGCACGCACAGCAGTATTGATGTTGTCCCTGGCCAATCGCAATAGTACAGCAGATAGGAAACAACACACATCCGAATAATTAGCACAAGCTGTTCCATAAACGAAAGGCTATATCGACCTGCTTTCAAGACGATACCCAAACAGCGAGACTACAATGATGTGTATATGAGCGGAGGTGGAGGCTTCAACGTACCTAAAGCCTACAACGATTGCATTAATATGACAGCGTGAAGTTGCTTAGGCGGTCTTCTCGCGGCATTGCAACTGACTTTTATCGCGAATTCCAGTGTACGTACAAACCAAAGCTTTTGGATGATTGCAATAAACTGTCCAATATCAAGGCTGCGTTCAGATATTATAGTGCTATACGTTGGTCGTACGGGCAAAAGGTATGCGTAGTAGGTAGCACAACTTTTTCTTTCGCGAACTTGTTCTCCTACACACGGTGTATACAACGTCGATATGTTTTGGCATCCGTAGTCTTCTTTGAGACTCTATGTAGTCAATCACAGATGATTCATACTTGCTCTGCTTTGTATCACCCACTCTTCGCAGTTCCAAGGTCGTTAAACGGCCACAATGTGAAAGTCTCGCCGAGCATATTGCAGATACAGATCACTCGAAGGGTCGCACGCTACTCAGGGTCAAAACTGGTATGTGTCATGTGTAGCAGACTCTAAAGATGTTGTATTTGCTCTATGTTGGTCGTCCCAACTGATTACAACCTCGTCATCTTTCCCCGTCAGAGTGGCACTTTGCAACTATGCAGTGGTAAAACTGTAGCGCTCTCGATCTGAGTTTGTCTGTGGTGGTTGATGAAATACTCCTCGTTCTAGTTGTTAACTTGCGATCTTCAAACCAACACTTACTGATCAGTGAGTAGACCTTCTGCATCAACACACAGCTCGAATGAGCAGTTGCGTCTTTGATGATGTCTCTAGTCGCATCTTGACAGGCGATAGGTGCCGTTCTCCATATTGAGATTGTCAGTTGATCTTTATCGAGCAGGAGTGCATTGCACTCACGAGTTACGTGAGCAACGGTGGGAGGAATCTTTGATAGCGGGCGTGACTCTTTACACATTCAGCAATCAACCCTATCATGTTGGTTTCTACCCTTGGAAGTTTGGCTCTCACGTTGCGGATAACTCTAGGGTAGACCCAGAATATATGGAAGGATACCGAAGTCTGTTCTAGAAAGGTAAAGTGTAGCACAGCAGTCGCTGGATACCTCCGGGCTATGCCGTGCGACACCCAAAATTGAAGGTCTTGTACCTTGTCTTCTCTGTAATGCAAGATCCTGCGTAGCCAGAAAACGCGAAAGGGCAAGATTTGCTTCCTGGTAAATATTGCGTGGTGATACTTCACTGTCTCCATGTCACCTTCGTACCGTTCGAGTTCGAGGTGCCCCCGTAACCGATGAATCCATAGGTAGCGAACCCATTATTACGATCGACAGCTTGCGAGCTCATCGAAATGGTTCCGGGGAATAGGGCGGCAACAACCCGCGCCTATCAATTCGAGATTGAGCGAGCACTGCCAGACAGATACACTTTGTGACGCGGCCTTATAAGGGATGAGAACGAGCAATCTATCGTGTGGAATGAAATGCCTCTTTGTACAGTGAAGATGTAAATATCGTCGGTTCATCTGTACCAAAGTTACGAGCGGCCGAGCTGAGTTTCTAGCGATGCTGCTGTCGCCATTTTGTCACTGTCTGCCCAGGTGGTTAGGACCCACATTGTCAAACGTTTCTATAATTGCTGGGAGCCTGCGACGATCCCACGGCGCTATTTCGATACAACAATCCGAGTACCTGCGCGAACGGCATTGCAGACTAAGAAGATCGAGAAGGCCTTGTGCGGATCGTCTGGCCAGCCTTACGCCTCTCGTGTGGCGGTTGCTCAACTGTGGCGTCTGGATGTGCCTGTCGAGATCGGATGAGACTGGGCAGCAGCGCCACAAGAAAGTCCTTACCCTTTGAACGCTAGAAGCCGTTCCGCTCTGCGTGGCTGTGCAAGACCTGGAGGAAACAAAATGCAGCTGAGCCACCTGCAACTCCTCCTTCCGAATTCCACCAGCCTCAACCTCAAGTCGACGCCCACGTCAAGCTGCAGACGCGCATTACGCTTTTGGATCCCAGACACCTTCGAAACGCTTGGCCAACGGTCTCGACCATTGCTCGCATATTCGTACGTGCGCTTTTGTACCTGTTACATAACAGAAGCTTCTCCAGTTGCATACGCCACAACTGCCTGCGATCGCACAGCCAGTTCCGGAGATCGTGGCTTGGCCCTCGAGCACCGAACCTGTTCAACCCCATGTTCACCCGGAACCAAACGGCATCTCCGCCGTACAAGCCACACATGAAAAGCCTCAACACTGGCTTTGAAAGACGTCCTTATCGCGACAGCAAGCATCGGCAGCAGGAGATAAAGCCAAGTGTGGCTAGTACGTGTCATCATGTGGCTAGTACGTAGCGCGATGTCCGTGGCTAGTACGTGTATTCCTGTGGCTAATACGCGGCCGTGACGAAGCCACAGATTATGGCGTCAAGCACCTGACTCGGGCGTCAGCGAACATTGACCATCAGCCACATGCTTAGGCGAAAAACACTGGAATATCGATAGGCTAGAACTTCCGTGCAGGACTCTAGCCAAAGTCGCAGATTTCTCCGAGCAAGAGCGTGCAAGCGTCATGCTGGTCCGCTTCTTTGCCTCGGTGCTGCGCGCGGAGCTTCTGATGGGTAGGTGACATAATCGTGATCACAAAGAGGATTACGATGGGAAAATCGGAAATAGGGATCCCAACTCCTTCGGCTTACCTACCACCCCTGGAGACGGCGATGCTATTCGATCTCCGTATATCGTGTGTGAAATTTGGGCGGAACAGAGCGTGTTTCTGGAGGAATGCACTCGGGCACACGTCGCAGCCAATACTTCTGACCTACCAATTAGGCCACAAAGTAGTGGGCTGATTCCCATGCGGACAAGCGGACCCACTGCCCATTTCTGAAAGCTTGGCGTCATTACTGTACATGTCTTCACTCCCAGCTGATGGATCACATTTACACAGCTGACAAGCGTTAGTTCACGAGACACGCTGGTTCGTTCGCTCGAGACAATTCCACGTTTTTGTTACGACTTGGCGAGCGGAGGTCCAAGGCTGGGTTGGCGTGAGGCACCAAGGCATTGGCGGGAATGCCAGGAATGTGCAACGTTCAACCTCGGATGATGACCAACCGGATGAGGCTAGGACCCACCAGCCTCAATCAAGCCACGCTGTCACAAACTGTGGCCGGCGCTACGATGCGAAGGCTGGTGAAAGTGGAGGTGCACATGTCGGACCTCGCATTGGATCACACCCCGAGACAAGCCCGTGTCTGGGGAGGAAACTCACAGCCTTTTCTTGGCTACATGCTGGTGTCTGCTGTACCCACATAAAGAGACGATGTCTTTATCCGGTTCGCTGATCGGTGCTGCAAGCAGAGGCTTTAGAGCGCGCGAGGAATCATGGGATGATCAAATGTTGCATTGGTGCCAATCAGGCCCGTTAAAGTACGCCTTATTGACCCGGCAGTGTCTGCATGATCCGCCGCGCACTGATAACTCCAAGGATCAAGGCTCTGTTGACTGGTCTTGGAGTGGCGTGGGTGGCGCCTTGTTTTGGAGACCTTTCTATCGTCTCACCCTATGGGCTTGTACGCTGCGAGTATTACCATGACGCCACAGCTTGCAGATAAGCGAATGGCTGTGCTCTGCCACTTGGCGGTGTGGTGGTGCAGCTCCCGCTGTGCTGTGCTAGGCCTTTTCGGTTGTGCAAATGAACGAAGCCGGAGCAACCGGAGGGCAAGCGAAGACACGAAGAGTACGCCTGGAGCGACAACCAGGTTGGATAGCCTTTACAGAGGTCTTGAGCGCGCTCGGCGGGTCTCTTGTGTACTGCTCACAACCCACAGCAGTACCCATGGATCCTTGGCCTACTTCCTTGTGGTGCACAAGCGGATTGCTCGGCGGATATAACACGATTCGATTCCGGTGCCCAAGGGCGGGACGACTGCCATGGAACAGCGCTAAGACCCTCCCATCAGAATCCTATTCCTTGGGACCCACCTCTCCGCCGCTGATTGACCCTGCCCTAACACAAGCCATTTACTCTTAGGCGCAGCACCCCCCAGCCACAGTCATGCTCCCCAACTGTCGCCATGGCCTCCCCAAAGCTCACAACAGCTGATGGCCAGAACACAGGCTCCGGCCTTTCTGGTCAGTATGACGCCTCACCACACTCAGACAGCCCAGAAATTGCGGAGGATCAATCCTCTATCGATGATGTCGCCGACGACCAGGGGCCAAAGCCACAGCCTCTGCAAAAGAGGCGGCGTGTAACCCGTGCATGCGATGAGTGTCGACGTAAGAAAATCAAATGCGATGGAAAGCAACCATGCACCCATTGCACGGTATACAGTTATGGTAAGCTTCACGAGTCTTTTGTCCATATTCCCGCTTTAGCAAGTACTGACTCCAAGTGTAGAATGGTAAATCCACCCAGCCATCTGTCGCACCCTGAACTACTTACTAACAGCTCCTTAGCACCTACGACCAACCGTCCAACCGTAGGCGAAATGCAACACCACAGTACATTGAAGCTCTAGAGAGCCAATTAAAGCGTGCGAAAGCCCTATTGCACGTTGTCTTTCCGAGCATAGACTTGAACGATCCTGGCATTGACGCCCACCTGCAAAATGGAATGCTACCACATGCACCTGTCGCCGCTCCACGTCCCGCGATGGTACCTACTGACCCACGCTTGTCGCAACATCACATCCACCCACAGGTCGAGGTTGCGGATGACTCCCACTTGGAAGCAATGGTGAAAGCAACGGGCCAACTAGATCTCGATGAAGAAGGCAACTGGGACTACCATGGCCACTCTTCAGGACTCAGTTTCATGAGGGGACTGCGACAATTCGGAGATATGTTCCAAGTGCCCCCAGATTCGTCGCCATCTCTGAAGCACCGCAATATGTCCGTAGACCCTCCCTCGCCATCCTCGACGCGATCACTCGCTGCCTCTTCTACTGCGTTACCATCAGGGACAGGTTTACCGAACAAGAAGGAAGCTCTCAGCTTATGCGAAAATGCGATAATCGATGCTGGTGCAATGCAAAGAATTGTTCATTTGCCAACCTTCTACAAGCAGTTGGATCGCATGTACGACACCCCTGCTGAGGACTACACCAACGCGGAGAACAGTTTCTTGCCTCTGTTGTACGCCGTGCTAGCACTGGGCAAACTCTTTTCACAGGGTGAAAACGAGGCTGATAAGTCGAACTATGATGCACACGTCGACGAAGGGTGAGTTTGGACATTCTATGGCTGTAGGTTTTGCTGACTCTCGACAGCTTTCGATACTTCAAAGCCTCCCGCCAACTACTTGACATTACCGACTGCCGCGACCTGACGTCTCTACAAGCGATCGTATTCATGATACAATTCTTACAGTCATCAGCAAAGCTCAGCACCTGCTATGCCTATATTGGAGTTGCTTTACGATCAGCTTTGCGTATGGGTTTGCACCGTTCGTTCAACAGAAACTTCAATCCCATTGAGGCTGAAACTCGCAAGCGCCTGTTTTGGGTTATTCGGCGGATGGACACATACGTGGGCGCGATGCTCGGGCTACCACGATTCCTCGAAGACGAGGATATCGATCAGGACTTCCCGATGGAGGTAGACGACGAATACATCACCGAAACCGAGATTTTGCCCATGCCGGAGGGAAGTATCTCCGTGATGTCAGCTTTTAACGCGCACACGAGGATCGTGCAAGTTCTTAGCAAGATCTGCAGATATGTCTACCCCATCAAGGGTACCCAGTCTGGCGGCAAGAACTCTGTTACATATACAGTCAAGTACTCCAAGATCCGCGAACTTGAGCAAGACTTGGCACAATGGCTGGACGAACTGCCCATGGCTCTCAAGCCCGGAGGCGAGGCGCCACACATTATCATCAGGTGCGTCACCCACTCTATTGCAATTTGGACATGTACTGACTACTTCTTAGGGTGCAACAACTACTTCGTATGGCTTTTGGGCATGCGCAGCTTCTGCTCTATCGTCCTTTCTTGCACTACGTATCATCGACGTACAACGACAACATGACCGATCAGCGAGCGTTTGCATGCGCTTCTGCATGTGTGAGCGTCTCACGAAACATCATTCATATCACCTCAGAGATGAGGCGACGAGGACTGTTGGCTGGGGCGTATTGGTTCTCCATGTACACGACATTTTTCGCGATTGTTTCCATATTGTATTTCGTCTTGGAAAACCCTAATAGCCCCACCAGCCTCGAGCTACTCCGAGATGCTGCAGAGGGCAAGGAAGTCCTTGCATACTTTGCAAAGAGGAGCATGGCTGCTGATAGATGCAGTTCAGCACTCAACGTAAGTGTTCTCAAGACCAGCCAAATATCGGCAGACATACTTACTTTCTTACAGTCTATGTTCGAAAGACTACCCGAAGCAGTCAAGCAAGGAAGAGAGATCCAGGAATCAAGGAAGCGACGACAGGACAGCTCTCCTCAATCGCTCAGTTCACGACCACAGCTCATCGAAAGCGATTTGGCAGTGCCACGCCGAGCCAGTACGTTCCCTGATAGCCATCCGGACTCTAATCGCACTGCCCCTGGTCCGTCTTTGCCCATATCTCAAACACATTACGCCAGCCTCGGACTGGACCCATCTTTCAATTCCCCGTCACCGTCTAACGCAGACTTCTTTGAGGGAGTACCTGGTCTTACGCCAACTTCTTCTAATGCCAGCCTAGGACAGTTTGGTGCGCTTCCGAACCGCCCATCATTCCCTCCTACGCCATTGTCGAACTCATTTACAGATCCCTCCGGTCTTAATGTTCCAATCTCGGATATCTCGACTATGATGTTTCCTTCTGCCGATCCTTTGGCCTACCCAAATCCTCCGATGACAACATTTGAGAACAAGCACCCTCAAGCGTTCGACCGCAGACTCGAATCTTCGTCCGTAGTTGGCCCCACCTCTGGCACGGATTTCAAATCTTATCCCGCGATATTTGCACCGAGTAGTATGCCCGCAGGCGCTCTGCGTCGACACGAGAGTGAAGCACAGCTCTTTGGGCCCATGCCCATGTACTTGATGCAAGCTGCACAGACTCAGAGGGGGCAACCGATTCACTCTGGCAGCCCGAGTATGCACCATATCCCCGGCCAGAACATGCATTTTGACGAACTACTAAACCAAGAAGAATGGGCGCAGACATTCATGGATCCTGGAATGGGACTACCAAGCTCGAGGACGCCGTTTGGTGGAAACTCCCAATTTCAGCCGCCTGGAGCAGGGGTGGGTGGCTGGCGATGAGATCATCCGCTGATCACAATCGCTGAGGTCAATGCTGTGCCCGCTGTTGGGTCGAGAGCACGGTTCACGAGCGGAGACCTCCATAAAGACATGCATCATCAGGTCCTGACATGCATGCTGGGATGACGTGGCTTTCTGCACAGGAACTTTATGTCGACACCGAAATGACTGGGGTCTGAGCAATACGGGCGTATTCACCTGCGATTCGCCGACGACGTTATAAAAATCACTGCACCGATGCGACACCGCTACCGCTTGCCAACGCAGAAGGCTACGGCAGAACTGGTTACAGCCGTCCATAAGATGGTTGGCCATCCTTTACACCCACCCTACCTCTACAACCTGGCGAATTGCGATATTCGCTCAGCAGCACGATACCCACGGTCGACGACGGGCTGGTACCAAATTTTCAGTTCTTTGTCAGCGCTTCTTCCGTGTCGTATCTCCGACTCTGCATCATCCTGGCGCTTTGAGCGCCTCATATAACACGTCTTTACTGTTTTCAGCGGCATTTTGAGTAGGCTTACGGCGTTGGATTACATTTGCTTTGTTTCGAAAGTTCTGAATTTCAAACTCTATACCCGGTGAGAAGGGTGGCACGAGACGTGGGGATATATAAGGTCGTAGGCGGAGCCCCAGCTACCTAGGTAATCATCCAGAGAGAGACTCCTATGGTAGAAAACCAAACATAGTCATAGACGAAAGAAAAAGATAACCTCAATACACTGCTTGTCACTCAACATGATCTTGGTCTATTGATACTGATTTATGTTGCTATTACAGCCTAGGCATGCTTATGGAGATTATCCTTGTGATGATCAGATCTGTCCTTAGACTTGTGTAGAAGACAAGGGAAAGTTAGCGTGTCATAAGAGGCTAGGGCACCAGCCACATCTGCTGAAAATCAGTACAACGTCATCGGTTCCTGTCGAACTCCACGCGCACGAACCAAGGTTTTTGATCCTCCTTTGGCCACAATTCGATCATCTCTTTCGCATTGCGACGCATGCGGTATTCGCCAAACAGACGTCTCTCCACACCCCTTCGCGCCACCTCCTGCCTATACCATCAACGTCCATCTGACCCACAACAATGGCCACCCGCCGTAAACACACCTTCACATCGGTCACCGAATCTAACGGCTCCGCGCCTATAACTGCCGGTATGCCAGGCGGTACTATCAAGCCTCTCACCGCCAGCGCGCGCCGCTCGCCTTTCCTGCCAACCCGACTCGAAGCGGTCCTCATCTCCATCTACCCTGCGACGCTCCTCGTAGGCAGCATAATTAGTACCCTATCGCCCGCCTCGCGCGCCTCGCCCTACTCCGCCGACTCGCAGTCGCATCTGCCTGAGTTTGCACCGAGCTACTTTGCGCTGAAGAAGAATGTGTTCAACGTATACTTTGTCAAGGTTGGATGGTTCTGGACAACCCTGGCGTTCACAATGCTGGTGCTCATGCACCCTGGATTCGGGCGCGGACTGTCCGTGAGAAGAATCCGGGCGGTGCTGCGATATGGGCTAGTAACGACGTGGTGGGTGTTCGTCACACAATGGTTCTTCGGCCCGCCGTTGATTGATCGCGGGTTCAAACTCACCGGCGGTGCGTGTGAACTGGCAAGAGACCCAGTGGCAAGGGCAGAGATGAGCGATACAAAGGAGTTCATTACGGCGGCGACGTGCAAGGCTGTCGGTGGCAGCTGGAAGGGCGGTCACGACATCTCTGGACACGTCTTCCTCTTGATTCTGGGTTCTTCGCTGCTCTGGCTTGAGATGCTCCCTGCGCTGACTCGTCTTGAGGGTCTGCGCGACGGCCGACTCATCACTCTGTCAGACGGCAAGGTTGCAAGCGTGGCTGTCGAGAAGGAGAACCAGGAAGCTGAAGGCGAAGCGACGACTAAAGGCGTTAAATTCGCCCTTGGAGTAGCTGCACTGATGTGGTGGATGCTACTCATGACTGCCGCTTACTTTCACACTTGGTTCGAGAAGTTTACAGGCCTGGTCGTTGCGTTCACAGGCTTGTATGCGATTTACTTTGCGCCGAGAGGTGTGCCGGCCATGCGGGCTTATTTGGGAATGCCTGGTGTGTAAGTATGGAAGTTTCGATTAGATTCACGAGTAGTATTGCACAAGCGGTTTGGCTTGCGCGTTTTGTATATATCAACTCATCTCACGTCTAAAGCATGAGCATGTCTCCATAATCGGATGGTACGTGGATAAAAAGTTGCGAGTACACTCATGCACCATCCGGAAAGAACACCTGAGAACAGCATTCTCACCCAAGCTGGAATCCTACACGCTTGCTGGCAATTGAAGGATCTCGATTACATCTGATCGCAATCGCAAAGATGCTATCTGTTGGGGCCCCAACCCGTCATTTCTTCGTCTCTTAAGCTTTAACAAAGACCAACTGCGTGATGGAAGTCCCATTTCCGAGTTGGCTATCGCTTTTCGCGAAGCCATTGAGTTCACCAAAGGTCTATCTCTCGCCTACATCTGGATCGACTGCCTTTGCATAATTCAGGACAGCGCAGAAGACTGGGCTTAAGAATCTGCTTACATGGCCGACGTATATTCGCAATGCTTCGCTTACCTGGCTCTCTACAGCCCCAAATCCGCACCAGAGTATATCTACCAAACCAGCCGGATCCTCCATACCGCCCTTCTTGACAAAGGCAATGTTTCTCACAGATGGTACGGAAGCTGGGATAGGCGGTTCAGGAGCCTAAGTTGTCTTCCCCGAAGACTACTTTTGTCGGATGCTATATGATCAGCCACTGAGCGGTCGCGCGTGGTGCTTCCAAGAACGTATGTTCCCCCGACGTCTGCTCGGCTTCGGACTTGGACAGATGTCGTGGTCCTGCAGCGGGAGCAGTTTGTCGTGCGAGTCGTGCGAGTCGTTTCCAATGGGCATTTGGATCAAATCCAGCCTCCTGGAAGTTCAGCTTAAACACATTTTCGACTCACCCTTTGGTGAATTTTCGTTTGCTATTTGTGATTAGATATCGTAGAGGACACCGATTGACGTAACACACAGGAGTCCTGAATCGTAGAGAAGTCCATATCTCATATGCAGAGATCAATAGCTATGAAGTGGGGTATAATCTATGGTGTGATCTACGCTAAAGGTTTCCGCTCTCGCTCACTTCAGCAATTCATCCTGCTCTTCCTTTGTGAGGCCAAACAGATACAGCAGGTCCTGCATGCTCTTTGTGTTTAGCCGAGCAGGGGCAAGAAGCTGCACCTTGGGTTTCGCATGGAACGCCACGCCCAGCCCGGCAACGCCCATCATGGGCAGGTCATTCGCGCCGTCACCGACGCACACGACCTGGTCCAGCAGAATACCTTCTGCCTGCGAGATCTCCAGAACATGTTGCCTCTTCTTCTGCGCGTGGACAATCTCGCCGGTCAGCTCGCCGGTGAGTGTTTGCCCGTCCTCGGATACGACGAGGTGGTTGGCGTAGGCATAGTCTAGACCGAGCTGTCCTCCCATCCAGCCCGTCAGCGGTGTGAAGCCGCCGCTCAGAACAGCGGTCTTGAACCCCAGTCTCTTCAGCGCAGTAATGAGTTCCTTCACGCCCTCGTTCAGTGTGATCCTCGGCCTGAGCGTCTCGAATACTGTCGCGGGTACACCCTTGAGCAGTTTGCACCTTGCGCGCAGACTGGCTTCGAAGTCGAGCTCGCCGTTCATAGCCGCTGCGGTAATAGCAGCGACCTCCTTCTCAACGCCAATCACGGAGGCGATCTCATCGATGACTTCTTGCTGGATCAGCGTGCTGTCCATATCGAAGACTGCGAGACGCTTGTAGCGCCGGTGTATTGTGTCGGCCTGGAAGACGCATTCGACATTCCACTCCAGCTCAAAGCGGGAAATAGCTTCGTTGCGGCGGAGGGTCTCTAGGGATAGGGTGGACGCGGTAGGAAGGGGAAATGTGGTTTCGACGACGCGGCAATGATGGCTCCGCTCCAGCTTTCGTGCTACGACGGTTTCCGGTTGCAGTCCTGGCAGTATGCTCGAAAGTGTGGTAGTGAAGTCGTTCAGGCAGCTCTGACTGATGTAGTTTCCATACAGGTTGTCGAGCGCATCGGGTCCCTGTGTAGGTGGCTCGAGAGGGTAGGCTTCAAGATTCTTAGTCGGTGAAGCCCCATCTCTCAGCGCATCCAAGGAGGCTGCAGGGATGGTGTCTTGCGGCGTGCGAGGTACCTGGTCAGGAAGAACGGCATTATGTGGTTTGTCAACTCTGTAGAAGAGCGTGGCGACGATGTGAACGGGCGACACATCGAGAGCGGGCGGTTTAGGTGCCATAATTAAAGTTGTTTAGAAACCGAGGCAATTGGTCGATTCTGTGTCGCGTGGAAGCCTGCAGTCTGAGTGAATGTTTCGGCGGGGCTGAACCAAAAAGTTGAGGTCCGGTCGCGGCCTCCATGCTTCATGACGCTAGTGACCCCGCCGTCCCGTCCAGGCACTCCCGCGGCGTCCGCATCATCCATGTTTCCTTCATGTGACCAGGCGATAGCTCGCTATTGCTCTAATGCATTTGCGGTTGATGGTGCGAGACACTCAACAACCAGCTTTAGAGTTTATGGCGCGGAAACTCAGTTGTCCGATGCGCGCAAGCCGAGGCTGCACATTGGGTTTGTGTGATGGCCAAGACTTCCGAAGCGCCTCCATCATCGGACATAGCTGGTCAGCACAAGCCCCGCGAAACCCTGTGGCACCATTGAGTACTGCTTCATGGTCTCTCGACCTTTTCGGTGACAATGACTGACTACAAGCCGGAGAGTCTGGTCGCGGCCATTCGCCAGTCCCCTCCAATCGACGTTACGACTCCCTTCGACGCGGCCTGGGTTAAAGACAAGGTCATCTTGATTACAGGAGGAGCAAGCGGCTTCGGTGCTGGCTTCGTGCGACTGTGGGCGAAACATGGAGCTACAATCATTGTCGGCGACATCAATGTGAATATGGGCGACACGCTTGTGCGCGATGTGCGCAAGGAGACAGGCAACGAGCGTGTGCACTTCGTGCATTGCGATGTCACAGATTGGCAGTCGCAAGTCAATCTGTTTAAAGAGGCAGTCAAACTGAGTCCCCATGGGGGCCTGGATACAGTCGTCGCAAACGCAGGAATTGCAGGGGCAGATGTCTTGCCAGAGGGCAAGAATCTTGATGCCGCAGAGCCGCCACCACCCAACTTCAAGATCATGGATGTGAACTGCACTGGTGTCTTGTACACGACGCATCTCGCATACTTTTGGCTGCCCAAGAACCCCGGTTCGAAGCCATGCAGCATCGACTCGATGCCTTCCACAACATCACCGCGCGACAGACATCTGCTTCTGGTCGGCTCAGTAGCGTCACTCCTGCCCCTCGCGATACAACCACAATACAATGCGGCAAAACACGCGGTGCTTGGCCTATTCAGGAGCCTGAGGGCAACAAGCTCGATGCAAGGGATACGGGTGAACTGCCTGTTACCATACTTCATCGATACACCCATTATCCCCATAGTCGGCCGTATCTTGCTGGCTGGTGGCGCAACGGGTCAAGTGGAAGACGTGGTTGCTGCAGGCACTCGCTTTGTGTCTGACAGTCGCATTCTTGGTCGCTCGCTAGTCGTCGGACCGAAGGTGCATCTCCGTCAGAAGGTCACTGGCGAGTGGGACTTGGTGACGCCTGGGTCACCTGGCAGCATTGAGACGGCGGTGTTCGAGCCCTACGCAGACGACTGGGAAGACGTAGACCTCTGGGACCGTAACCTCGTCAAGATTTTGAATCTAGTCCAGGCTGGCAGAGGTTGGGCGGGATGGGCTCAAGATATCGTTAAGGCTGTCTTTTACGGGTTTGGATTTGGACGCAAATGATTGCGAACGGTCACGCGCCTGATCTACGGGCAGACCGGATAGTTCGGCATATACAGTAACCATGAAGGATCGTCGGCGGCGGAAGATCGTTAAAACATTCATTCTCCATAAAAAGGGTCGAGCTGTGTGGGTGTATGGGCATTTCATGTATATGCTTAGTCGTCGTATAGCATGCGAGACATGCGCTTGATATTGCAGAATTGCATGGCACCAAGCATGGGGAACTTCAAGTAAATTGGGTGCCACGTAACATTGACGATGGCAAGGCACTCCGATTGGGACGACCGATGACGTAGTGTGCACATACAGGGAAGCTGCGGATGCGCCAACGACGGGAATTAACCTGCTACGGTTAAAACCACCCTTGATTTTGAACTTGAACATCATTTAGTGGCGTCACTGCAGGCGCCCAGGCACACGCTTGCAATGCTAAGAAGTATCGTCGCCATGTTGTCAATGTCGTCGCCGCCGGTAGACTGCGACGTTCGTTCATGCAAACGCGTTTTGTAGAGACGCGCACAGTTGTTGCTACTTCCTGCACTGTACTTTCATCCTCTGCGTCAAAATCTTCACCAGTAATTGTAATGACACAGCGACCGACATCGTGACAAAACAACTTCCCACGATGGCCACCCACGCTCAGGAAGAGCCCACGGTCTCGCCTACCGGGATGGTAATCGACGAGCCCACATTCCCAGACATCGCAGGCGTTTCAGCATCACAGAAGGCGGGCACAATAATAAACTTTCCAACACCAACAGATCCCACACCCGCACACATCTCTCAATATAACCTTCCGGAGCCTGAGACCCCAGAACAGCCTTCTAAGGCCGAGACACAACAAGCTTCGGCCCCACGACGACTACAGGAACGATCGGCGACAGAGCGACCGAAGCCGTCGACTAAGAACTCAATCCTCAGACACACGCCTACCTCTCGAAAACAACGACCAGCGCCAGTCCAACGACAGACAACCGTCACGTTCGATCATAGTTCTTCGGACTCGGACTCCTCCGAAGATGAACAGTTGCCTGCGAAGAGCACCAGCCGCGACGAGGCAGTGCAGCGCGAAGAGTCTCGAACCCTCTCGCAAAGCAAACGACGATCCTCGACCATGAACCCCTTCGCACGTTTCAAAGTCTCTAATGAGCACTTCCAGACTAGAGGGTCTGTCAAGAGCGATGGACGTCTCAAGCTGAGCATCTTGGAAGAAGACCTGGGCAGCGGATACATAGCAAAGGCTCTGGGCGCTATAATACCGAAGCATGGAAGAGACAACGAGGGTCAGAGCGTGCACTCCTACGATACTGCTGGAGCCAACGCTGGCAAGATTGCACCAGAGCAAGACGAGATGGAGCATGACCCTTCACGACGTCTTCGACTCAACATTGTTATCATCATCATTGGATCGAGAGGAGATATACAGCCGTTCATTCGTATTGGCAAGATCTTGAAAGAGGACTATGGACATCGCGTTCGAATTGCCACCCATCCAGCGTTCAAGGACTTCGTAGAAAAAGATTCTGGCCTCGAGTTCTTTTCTGTGGGCGGTAACCCAGCTGAGCTGATGGCCTTCATGGTCAAAAACCCTGGTCTCATCCCAAATTTGGACACAATCAAAGGTGGCGAGATCGGTCGACGCAGAGCACAGATGTATGAGATGTTTCAGGGCATGTGGCGCGCATGCATCAATGCTACAGACGACGAGACTGATCATATGAATGCAAAGATGAGTAAGTAGGTCAGACTGAGGTGATGAGTTGCCGCTAATTCTTGAAGTGGGAGACAAGGCACCCTTCGTCGCCGACGCCATCATTGCGAACCCACCTAGTTTCGCCCCCGCACACATCGCTGAGAAGCTAGGCATACCGCTTCATATGATGTTCACGTACGTAGTCATCTTAGGTTAAGTTTTGGGACGTCAGGCTAAATAACACAGGTTCCCGTACACACCGACAACACAATTTCCACATCCGCTCGCGAACATCAAGGTCAGCAACGTTGAGCCCTCGTACAGCAATTTCATGTCATATCCTCTTGTTGAGATGATGATGTGGCAAGGTCTTGGAGATCTAATCAACCGCTTCCGAACTCAAATACTGCATTTGGAAGATATCAGTACCCTCTGGGCACCTGGCCAGCTGTATCGACTGAAAGTGCCTTACACATACATGTGGTCTCCAGGAATCATACCAAAACCAAAGGACTGGGGCCCAGAGGTCGACATCACTGGCTTTGTGTTCCTGGATTTGGCATCTAACTTCACACCTCCAGACGACCTGAAAAAGTTTTTAGACGCTGGCGACCCTCCCGTGTACATTGGGTTCGGTTCAATCGTTGTCGATGACCCTGATCGGTTCACCAAGCTGATTTTTGAGGCGGTCGAGATGGCTGGTGTGCGCGCTTTGGTTTCCAAAGGTTGGGGCGGCTTTGGATCGAATTCGGATTGTCCAGACAACGTCTTCATGCTGGACAACACCCCACACGATTGGTTGTTCCCAAGATGCAAAGCAGTTGTACATCACGGAGGAGCTGGTACCTGCGCTATTGGTCTCAAGTGTGCGAAGCCAACCATGATCGTGCCCTTCTTTGGTGACCAACCATTCTGGGGTGCCATGGTGAGCAAAGCGAAGGCAGGAGCACACGAGTGCATACCTTACAAGGACCTGACTGCCGACCGATTAGCTGAAGGCATCAAACAATGCCTGACAGAAGAGGCGCAAAAGAATGTACAGAAGATTGCAGATGACATTGAGGCGGAGGGAGATGGGGCCTTGAACGCCGTGCGATCCTTCCATCGGAGTTTGCCGCTCCACGGCGAGGCAAGCATGCGCTGCGACTTTCTGGATAACCACGTGGCGACCTGGAAGATCAAGAACACTAATGTCAAGCTCTCAGCACTCGCGGCTGAGATACTGGTCAACAAGAAGAAGCTCAAATGGAACGAGCTGCGTCTGATCCGTCACTACGAGTGGAATGATTTTGGCGGCCCTGGCGAGCCAGTCACCGGGCTGTGGGGGAGCATCTACACAACTTTAACAGACGCAGCACTGGGCGTGGGCTCTGTTCCTGTTGAGATGGGCAAGAGTTTGAAGAAGCGCGAGAGGTTGTGGGAAAAGAAAAGACAACACCAAAAGAAGAAGGAACAGAGAAAAGAAACCATGGAGAGGGCAAACGCTGAGCTGGAGAACGAGAAGAAGAACTCTGCTGAGAAACATGTTGCGAAGAAAGAACAACAGCAAAACGGCGATAGACCTAAGCCAGAACGCGGAGTGTCCAGCTCATCGAGGATCAGTGAACCTGAACAGACACTGAACGAAGAGCTTGCACATGAGGCGGAATTTGGGTTCAGAAAGACCGGCCACGCACTTGCACGCTTCCCTATGAATGTTACTCTCGCCCTTACCCAAGGGTTCCACAACGCACCTCGGCTTTACGGAGACGAGACCGTTCGACGCCCACCACGAGTTACTGGGATACACTCTGGTCTTCGCGCTGGTCGCGATGAGCTAGTATATGGTATTGCAGATGGAGTCACTGGAATCGTAACCCAGCCAATTCGAGGGGCAAAGGAACGTGGCTTGGTGGGAGCCGTGCGAGGTGTCGGTTTTGGTATCGGTGGCTTTGTCTTGAAAGACATCGCAGCTTTGCTCGGCCCGTCGGCTTATTTCATGAAAGGCCTTGACGCCGAATACATGAAAAAGTACCAGCCCACTACCTTCATTCGTAGAGCGCGCATTGCACAAGGTCAGCAGGAATTGCAGCAGCTCGAGCACAAGACTCGTGTCACGCATATCAGAGAGGCGGAGGGTAAAGACGTAGAGACCAAAGAAAACAGAGACGAAGTCGAAGATAACGTCTCCATTCGGTGGGCAGCGCTGAGACAAGCTATAGCAGAAGAGAAGAAGAACAACAAGCAAGGCATCATTGCTTCCCTTACTGGTACCGGCGAGAAGAAAGCGGGCACCATGGTTCCACGCAAGAGCATCTCCGTCAAGAAGCCAACAGATCGAATGCCGCCGAAGTCAGCCACTGCACCAGCTGTAAAAGATTCAAAGGGCAGGAACAGTAGAGACTATGACCAGATAAAAAAGGACTTTGACTCGCAGCATAGGAGGAGTTCGACCCTCAATCGCAGCAGCACAGAGCCTCTTTCCAGAAGAAGTTGGGATGACAGCAGCGCCATCAAGCCCGAGAAGCCAGAGCAGAAGGAAAGGCCGAGAAGTATCCACGAAGAGCCCGAATTTGAGGAGACACATGTGCTGGGCAACGCGCATCTAAAGCAAGACGTGGACAGTGAGGATGAGAAGAGGCACGATCCCGTACCGAGTGCACCGACTGCTGAGATTGATGCAGAGGGGCAACAGGATTCAGAGCAGGACCCAAACCGTCTTCAAGAACCCGGCCATGCATCCCCTGATTCCAGCTCGGACACCACGAAAGTTGATTCCGAGACAGTCGACTGGGTCAAAAAAAGACTTCAAGTCGAAGACAGGGAGGGCGCAGATGGGACCAGGGTCATCAACGCGTGAGTCAAAGCAGCATAATTTCGTTTGTATACTAGGTAGCCTAGATGAGTATAACATTTGTAATCGAGATACCCCACAATCACATCTTTAAGCCTTAGACCTACCATTGCCAATGAGACTGCTTATGCGACGAAGGCCGCAGTAGGTTTTGCACCCGCAAACGACGCTGGAAGCGGCTGCGTAGCGACAGGTTTCGCTGGGTCCGCGGTGAAAGCCGGGAACGAGCCACCATCAGGGTAAACCTTTGGGCCAGGCATCGTGTAGTTGACCACAGGTGGCCAGTAGGGGCTGAAGTAAATTCCCGGGTCACGCGAGGTATCTGCGTATGCTATATCAGCATCAAACTCGCATGTCCTCACAGACGCCAAACACTTACAGATTCCAGGGAACTTGCCCACAGGACTCGGCTTCTTCCCAGTCGCACCACTGACCTCGATCTGCGCACACCCGATGTAAAACTGCGCACCGGCGCCGTCCGGACCTCCTGCGGAGTGCACCGCGATATGCTCAGCACGCAGCAGGTACTGTCCGTTCTCAATGTCCTTGGGAATCTTGAAGTCGAACTTGGTCCAGCCATCGCTCAACCACGTCATCGCAGCACTGTAGTTTGCGTACGTATTGACGCCCATCTCATAGATCTTGAACCAGTCACCCTCGCCCTGGTACGCGCTGACATTGGCAACAGTGCTCTTGCTCATGTACGCGAATAGCGGGCCCGGGTGGCCCAACACATCGCGCACAGTGAATCCGAGCGTGTCGCCGGCTTTCACGAGATAGGTCTTGGTCTTCGATGCGGCGGCGAAGGAGCCGCTGTTGCAGCGGATATCGGGGTGCGTGACATCGTAGAAGGGGCTGTTGCTGACTGTGGGGCCTAGCGCGCGGACATACTCGTATGGTTCGGTAGTCTTGCCGTTGACGATCAGCCGCTCGAAGTTGTAGTGTGCAGAGGCGAGGGTGGTGATTAGAGCGAGGATGGTAGAAGTGAGGAATCTCATCTTGCTCGCGGTTGATGTGTGGGTTGCTGAGAAATGACCTGCTTAGATAAGGTAGGATCTGTTCTTCCATAAGGACTTCTTTTGGCTAGATATATGCTTGTTGCATGTCAAGGTTTTGGGTCGACGCTTTGAAGAGCTGCAATATCAGGTAGATGAAGTGTATATGAAAAGGGTCCCCGTGTCACTTAAAGTTACCTTGGGTGAACCGGCAGCTGACAGAAACTGCACATTTAAATGAATTTCTTGGGCCCACACGAAAGCCATCAGATTCGATTATATTGTGCTGGAGCAGATGGCGTACCCTTCTACTACGCGATACCTGTCTCAACGCGACGTCTGAGAGGTATCCCAGGGATGCAAGAATTATTGTGGCGATTTCTATTGAACCGGCCAGTGCTGGAATTCGCAAACTCGTTTACCTCAAACGCTGTTGTGTAGAAGATGTAAGATACCTCTGGGAATGCGAGGAGGAAAGGGAGGAGGCGTCACATTAGCGTTGCAAAGGCATGCACGTGATCGTATCTTCTTCTTGCAGCCCTGTGTTTTTGGCCTCCATCAACAACCAACTTCAACACGTCTGTAACAGACATCGAATTTTATACCAGCACCGAGAGCATCGTGAGAGAACATGGTAGCCCATGCAACCTCACTTGGAGATTTGGCCCTCCACATCAGTGCAAATGCCGCTTGTCAAGATTGCGACCAATGATGCGGATTCGGTATCACTTTTGAATGCCGGTCGGCTTTTGACTGCACTCATGCCCTAGGATTCCCCACACCCCGCAATACGCTAAGACACAGTCCCGCCAATCATTAAGCAATTGCCCCATTTATTGAGATTCATTTCCTGGGGTATACTTCTACATATCCCAATTCTTCTCCACGTTCCGAGTATGTGGAGCCGTTTGGTAGCGCACTGTGTTTATTATGAATTCCTCTTATACAGGGTCTCCTGTGGTTGGCTTTGGCGTCAGGCAAGAATATCAACCAGAAGAAATTGACCATGAGCTTGTACGCCCTAACCACACTGTATCTCGCTGCTGTCTGCTCAGCTGCACAGTCTGTGCAGCTGAGCATCCCCGATGCACCATCAGCAGGAACCCAAACTCTCAGTGGCTCTTTCCAAGGCTACTCGATGGAGGTTGCGTCGTTTGCAGATATGGCGGGCAATTTGACGTACGACTGGCTCCTTCACTTTGATGAGCCACTAGCTCACAATTTCCAGATCACCGAATAAGCTTTCGCAACGCATGTTGCAAAACCTCAAGGATATCTCGGGTGCAGCTGTTCCGGTCCGAGTCGGTGGTACCACTGCAAATCATGCGATCTGGAGCCCTGACCAGAAAGAAGCCATCATCCAGAACTTTGCGACCCCGGGTGCAGACCAGCCTGCAAATGTGACATGGGGGCCTAAGTACCTTGAATCCTTCAAGGTATTCCCCAAAGGCACAAAGTACACTATAGGTGTGACATTTGACAGCGGCAAGAAGGGCGAGGACAATAGTGCGACCGAGGCAGCGGCATTCTACAATGGTATTGGCAAGGACCTCTTTGCGATAGAAGTAGGCAACGAGTTTGATGGTAAGCCACTTGGTACCCACATCGCACCATCATTCTGACATTATCAACAGTCTTTCCTGTTGATCGAAACACATCAACTTGGTCAATCCGCGCGTACGTCCCTGAGTGGCTCTCCCGCACATCTGCCATTGCAGCCCGTGCCCTGCCCAAAAGTACCCAGAGAATTTTCCAAGCAGGCACCTTCGTAACCCCCGGCACTATCAGTGCAGACGTATCTTGGACCGCCCAGGCCGCCATCGATCTCGGCATCGCATCAAATGGCCTCGCAAAGACTTTCTGCACACACCAATACTTCGGTGCGGCGTGCCGGCCCGTCAAACCGACACTCGCAGGCAACGTGATGAACCGCACGGCTTTGATCCAGGGGATGTACTATCATGCTGGAGCATCTGCTTACACTGTGTCCAAGGGACTGCCCTATGTCATCGGCGAGACGAATTCAATTGCGTGTCAGGGCTTGGCGGGGGCTTCCGATGTATTTGGTGCAGCGGTGTGGAGTGTTGACTACGCACTGTATGCTGCGTCGTTAAACGTTTCCAACATGTACTGGCACATGGGTACCGGTTACCGATACTCTGCATGGCAGGCTACCCAGAACGGGACTACAGCTCCGGGACCGCGGCCGCTGTACTACGGCAACTGGCTCGTTGCGACTGCACTTGGGAACTCAGATGCACAGGTTGTGCAGATTGTGAATACCTCGAGCCTTGCTGGATATGCGATATACTCGAGCAAGCGCCATCGCGCAGAGCTGAAGAGCGTGGTTCTGGTCAACATGGAAGTGTTCAACTCCACATCCGCTCCTGCAAATCAGCGATCGAGTGTAGATTTCTCGTTACCAAAGCAGCTTGGAGGTAAAGACTGCAAAGCAAACATCAAGCGTCTCACTGCGCCGGGTGCAGAATCTCGAGATGATATCACCTTCGCTGGTCGCACGGTCGCTCTTGATGGGACGATAAGTGGCCGCGAGTCAAAGGAGCGGGTCGCGAATGGCGTGGTCAACGTGAGAGCGAGTGAGGCTGTTCTTATTATGCTTGACTAAGAATGAGGTTGAGAAATATAATCACATAATCACATATACATCATATGCATAAACACGGCGTGTCCTTTAGTCCGCCGTTTATCCTGCAACGTGATATAGATAGCATTTACAGAAGCGGTAAACTTAAAGCACACAAAGCAGTGACTGTACTATCAATGTGAACGCATACAATTGCATTCTTCTTTGACTGGAGTCGAGTTGTACCCGAAATTAAGAAATAGTATTACAGTTTACCATCGTAGCGTTAAATAGCATCGAGCTTGAAGTACTTCCCCTGCCCTCCCTGCTCGCTAGGTCCGTCGCTGTTCCACCAGCCGAGTCTGAAAAGGAAACCATCCCAGATTTTCTTCTTATTCAGTTCATCGTCGCTGTACCACTGAGCACCTTCAGGTAGAATATCACTCCGGAGCATCTTGGCGTCTGCGGCGATCAAACTGGCACCGGCGGCAATTGATGCGGGGTTCTTGGGCAGCACTTTGCGCGTGTCCATCAAACCAAATGAGAGCGCAATGCACAAAGCAACGGCAATGAGTAGGCCGTCGAGTATGCGTGTCGATACGGCACTCTGTTTGAGCCGATATACGTGCGGATCAATCAATGTTGCATTAACGGTGGTTGGTGGGGCGAGCGCAGAGGTGGTATTCAACGGTATGCGAATCATGTTGGCAGATTGCGCGATGACGGTCCGGTGGACATGTTGGAGCTGAGCCATAATTATTTCGATGCCTTCGTTGTTCATGTAATCGCCCATGGGGAAGCTGTTGAGGTTGTCGCGCGTGCCCAGTCGGTGGACCACGGCTTGGAAAGTAGAGTCAAAGTAGCCCACAACTGCCTTTCGACCGGCGAAGTCAGAGAACCCAAATATAGACGGGATCATAACAGAAGGAAAGGGTTCCAAGGTGGCCGGGGTGAGCGACTGGTTCGAGAACAACTGGACCGTGCTTTCGTTTGGTGTAGCTGCAATAATTTCAAGCGTTGAGGCATCCATGGTAACCTCTATGTCCAGCTGGTTGATGACAGCATAGCAGGTGAAAGCGTTCCAGTTGACCTCAGATGTCCCCATTGCGCCACAAAACAAGTTCTTACTCTCGCTAATACCACATCTGGTGAAGTATCCAAACTGGTTCATACCTGGACTACCCCAGGGCACGTTATTGTTGTCCTCATAGACGCCCAGGGCTTCAAACGCCGGTACCTTCTCGTCGAGTCTGTCGAACGTGCCAAGCGTGTCCGAGAAGTTTGTTGGAACGCTGGGAACGATGGAGCAGTCAAGATCGGAGCGGATGCCGGGCAACACTGCCGTTATATTGCTACCGATAAGTGTGCTCGAGTCAATCGAGGCTGGAACCTCGATCCCAAACTCGGCAAAGGCCAATCCATCGAATGTCCATTTCGGGAAGGTGAAGTTCTGAGTCAGGAGCAAACCAATGTTGTTGGCGGAAGACTTGTAGGGAAGGATGCCAACTGTAGGAATATCCATCGGCGAAAACGATGAATTCAGTTGCCCCCGGGGGGACATCGTAATGGGTATATCCCTGCTTGTAATCCGTGCAGTGTAGAGACCACTTACGGCAATAGTAAGCAACGGAGTTAAAAGCATGGCGAGCGCCATACACACGACAACAATATCTTTCGCAGCAATCGACTGCCATAGACTCTTGATGGCCGTCTCGGAAGCATAGTTTCGGAGGATATCCTTACGCGTATTTGACACTGCTGAGCGGAACCGGAAGTAGGGAAAGATCATTAGCGAAGAAAATGCAATCATGCCAACCAGAGTTTGAACGGTGATCATGACGATCGCGGGAATGTACACCCAAGCAAAGCGCTGATTTTGTTGTGGATCAACTTCGGCCAGCCCATTTTTCTTCTGAGAGACTGAATACAGTACCTCCAGTACAACGACAAGTACAAGCAGGGTCACAATGACCGAGATCTTGAAAACTGGTCGGAGGGACAAGGGGCGCCAGTATGTAGGCTCGGAAGGCGGTTCGGTGTCTGCACCTATACTTTGTTCTTCGAGTGGCTGGGTTGCGTTCAGATCAATTGAGAACCGCCAGTTTTGGTCATCTTCAGAGAGGAGTGTCTGACACTCGAAATTGGCTATGTGGCGCTTGATAGTCTTCAGATCGGCGCAACTTAATGCAGACAGCTGTGAGAGTAGCGCAGGACTTTGCGAAAGAACCAAAGCCAATCCACCTATGGAGCTCGGGTCGCGGCTGGAATACTTTCGTGGTGCAAGGTAAAGCAGACTGAGCGTCAACAACAGTAGGATGACCAGAACGGCCCCCATGAGATAGAGAGAAAGACCTCTTATTCTCAAACGATCCTCGGTGCCGCGACATGTTCCAATGGCGGTATTCACCGATGGTCGCATCAAGCTTTGCTTTGCCATCTGCGCAGTGACCATTGAGAACAGCTCATTCACATGTGACTGGAGTAAATCCGGATCCTTGAAATCGCTGGAAGGATGCGCAATGTTGCGCCATGTAAGCCATAGTGCGCGTAACGGAGACCATGGGAAATAAGACATATAGCTGTAGGTATACGGGCTTCCAACGACAAGGCCCGAGGCTTCCGATGCAACAAGCAACCCGTCCGCAAGATCCCAGGCTGGGAACTGTTGGACACGGTTTGTGGTTGTACTCCTCTGTGGGGTATTCTTGATGTTACCGTTCTGGTCCATAATGGCAGTCGTGTCGGTGATGTTATACTTCGCTTCACAGACAATGGTCGTCGTGTTTCCGGTAACGACTTTCAAAGCTTCCGTTTCGTTCTTTAGAGCTCCGTTTATGTTCTGATCCATCTGACCGATCATGAATACCAGTCGGTGTTTGTCATAGCCCTCGGCATTACTATCGCAGTCAATCCCCCAAACTTCGTCGATGTCGCAAGAGACCGGATTTGGCATTCTCGAGCAGCCGTGTGTAAGATTGTAGGCTTGAACGTTACATGTCGGGGTATTGATTCCAATTGTAACGTTGATCGAACGGCAGTGCGCGTCAGAGCAGAGGCTGGAACCGCTCGTTACTGTTGCAATCTCGCAGTCGAGTCCACCGTAGAATGTGCTTGTAACTCCTTCCACTTCAACATCAGCAAAGCCTGCAGGTCTACTGTTAATCCAAGAACTCCTGCAAATGGTCGGCTATCTCACCAGATAAAAATGTGGGGGGAGCCAAATCCTGGAAGGCTCCGCTACGAGAAGTACCGGGAGGAAACGGTATTGTTCCATTTTCAATCGCAATGGTCGCCATCACAGAACCGCTGCCGATGCTGGAAACATCGAAGGAGGTCACGTAATCGTCGGTAACATTAAGGCGACAATCGTGACGCACGAACGGGGTGCTTTGCAACACTAGAAGACCAGTAGATGCCACAGTGAGCAATGTCAGCAGGAAAGAGTTGAGTATGGTGATAGCCACAGGCCAATGTGACTTGCGCAGCGAAGTCCACAGTGCTTCCGGTCTGCCCGGTGTAATGTAGTCCATGAAGAGGGTCTTTGAAGCTGGCGTTGAACCCTGCTGCAGGACCGCCCAGGGCATCGCGTGCTTTGCGCGGTACTCAACCTGGTTCCACAGCGCAGCAACGATGACAAGAACTACGACTAATTAGTATCCCTGCTCGTACAGAACCGGACGTGACATACCGGCTGTGGGGCCATAAGTCCACAAGTAGTGCTCGCTGCTCTTAGCACTTGCGATCCCATCTTGCTTTGCATCTACGATGGCAAGCACTATGACCGCCAAAAGAAGACATAAGAAGGCAAAGGCGAATCCGAGGAGACTCGGATGCTGCAGGTAGGTCGATGTCCATCCAGGTCGTTGTGCTGCCACTTGTCCGTTCTTCTCGGTCAAACTTGGTGACGAACTAGTAGCGACGTGCATGGTTTTCGACCCAACATTGCCCTTGCTCTGCTCTTCGATGGTTGTTGGTAGAGGAACAGGACTGTACTCGTAGTCCAGAGAGCGTGGGGCGGCCATAGCTGGAGGCTTGAGCCATCAACAGCCGTAGACGGGAAGCTTGACATGTTTATTAAAACCAGCAGCAATGCTAAGCAGCCTCACCTCCTGCAGGCCGCAGCCTCAAAGTCTGCATGGCAGGCGGGGAATAAATGGGTCCTCCCGATTGGCAGGCGTAGCGCTTGCACAACATTAACCGCCTGTTACGGGCCTTACTGCGGTCACTGGTGTAAGGATTCAGGAACGCCTTAAAATGAGACCAGGTCTTCTGCACCTCGACTGCACTCCAAAAACCTCGAGACAAGTGTCAACATTGACATCCTTCGTCGTGTCTATGATATTGCGTGCTCAAAATCAAGACCGGTCAGTACGTTATTGCCTTCGACACGTTGAGATCTCATCAGTGAATGGTTTGGCCCCCACGTTAGCCGCTGTTGCACCGAACAGAGACAGGTGGACGCTCGTTGAGAGGCTTGAAGCAGTATCAGGCAACCCACAGCGGGTGACCGCGCACAGATAATAATCTCAACGGCTGTGCAAGCAGCTGGTGAGTGGGGAAGAAGGGAAGTACCGCCCGAAGAACTGGCGCGCCACTACGGACCGACACCAGCGGCCCCGCCCTCCACCACGCCTGTCGAACAGCAACGCACTTCAACCTCCTCTCCTTGACGCGCAAGAAAAGCTTTGGATCACCGCGGAGTATTGGCCGCAGCAGCAGCATGATTGCACCTCACGTCGAAACAACTGCTTAGACTTGTGCAAACGCTGCGCGATCGACGATCGCATGGGCCACCCTCTGCCCCTCCATGTCCGCTTGATACATGGTGCCGGCGCGGCATGCTCGTAGGAAGAATTGGCCAATCTAGAACAGCGTGACATGCTCCTGGACGTTCTGACTTGCCGATTTACGCTGCGCTAGTATCTACCCAACTTCTTTGTGCACAGTCCGCACTATCCTTGGAAGGCTTGCACTGAAAGCCTTGCGCACGACAGAGGATGACTTCTATGTAGCAGAGCCGGACGAAAATCGATTTACAATGTCAACAACCTTTACTACTACTTCGGGTCACGTCTCGTCGTACGTCGCCAAGAAGTCGGATACACATGTAAAACACGACATGTCTCCAGCCCCGAAACGAACCTGTGACAGAACTACTCAGCTTCAGCCTCGGTTAGCACTACTTACTTCAGCTTCAGCTTATCAAGTAAAAGACGATGTGCCTCACTGCCTGACCCGTTCTCTGGCTCTAAACCACCAAGCCTTCACTCCATGTTGAAAGCCGCATCGACAAATGGTCATAATGTACATTGACACTGCAGCTGCGAACAGTCGATCGCGACAGCCTCGGGCGGTCATCTCGCCACGATATGCGGCTGCACACACACAGTCGCAAACCCCCTTGCTTGAGGAAGAGCAGCTCAACGACGGCGAAGCTCCCCCTACATATCTCGAAGCCACTACGCCAGGGCTGTACTACGGGAGACCAAGCGGCGATGAGGGTGCGACTCTGTTGAACAACGACGAGCAAGAGTACAAGGAAGATGAATATAGTAGACGAAGCTTCAGGCAGTCGCTTAGAACGAAGTGGACAAAGTGGTTGGGGATATTCATGCTGCTAGTCTTTGTTTTCGCGGCTGGTATTGCATTTACAACATCAGCACGCAAAGGCAAACAGGTACGTTGATCAGCGATGACAGATGGATAAAGCTGATGGTCAAAGGCTTCGGTGATTCCTGTAGCCCAGCCTTCTGCTCAAGCTGCCGCAAGCGGGACATTGGCGTCTCCCGTCTCAACACAATCCACACGGCCGGAAGATTCCGAGGGATTGATTGCGCCAGACATAATTGCCATCCCATGGCCGTCACAAAGTGCAACAGCCGCAAAGCCGTCTGCTTCGGCGCAGCTAAAGGAGATTTTCCCTATTCGGTGGCCAAGAAGATGCGGGAAAGAGTACAGCGTCAAGACTGAGGAGTTCGATTTCGGATCGTCGAGCGAGATCAGCATCATGGAAGCTATGCATCAACTCGATGGACCATACAAGCGAATCCAGGGTTGGGTTCACATCACCAAAGCGCCAGCAGATCAGGCTGCCGGTACAGTACAAGCGAGATTGTCTTATGCCGTCTCGCCGTCAGTCAACGTCGACAGTGTCAAGTACGCTTTGACATCGAACAGTTTGACCGTAGGAAATCCATCCATACCTTCAGGTTTCGAAGGTGTACCAGCCGGGTCCGCTTGTTTAGGCATGTCCATCGTATTGTACATGGCACCAGGTGTTACACTCGAGACCCTGAACGTCGAAGCCACGCACCTGGGTATGCAGATTCACGGCAGTGTGGACTTCTCAGTGCGAAATTCAACATACATTTCGCTTACTTCAGGAACCCTCGACGCATCGATGTTGAAGTCACGGCAGACATACCTCAAGACGACATCAGGTTCGATCAGCGGCAAGTATGCGCTCTCGGATCTCTTAGCCATCGACACAAGAAGCGGATCTATGAACGTCGACATCGCACCTCAAGCGGAAGTACCCGAAAGCTCTTCGCCCGCTGTGTTAAGAGCAAACACGCAGTCCGGAAGTATGCGCATCGACTTCGAGCGCAAACACATTCCCGAGCGAGATTATCAGGTGTACCTCAACTCGACAGTCGGCTCTATGGATGGTTCACTCGTACACGGGTCTCGCACTATGATTAACTCTGTCGCCGGCTCAGTGACCGTAAACATCCTTCCGTTCAAATCTGGCGACTTCCCTTCAACCTTGGACACAAGCACGCATTCCGGGCAGATGAATGTCACCCTGCGCACACCGTACAAGGCAAAGGGTGTACCTATGATGGGATTGATGAGCACGCACAAGAGTGTGTCTGGTGGGCTGGGACTGCAGTATCCGAAGGAGTGGCAAGGTCACATTGATGGAACCAGTCTGAGCGGAGAATTGCATCTCCAGGGTAATGAGCTAGAGCTTCTAGATCAGATTGGTACGCCGGGGAAGAATCATGTCGAAGCAAAGAAAGGAGATAGCGGGAGCAAGATGGTATTCGATACTGTGAGCGGAGGCTGTGACATCAAGATTGGGAAGACATAGGTTTATCGAAATTGACACCGTGTTCGCAACCACGACCAGTACATCATTGCAAGCGTAGTCGACCACGCGACATGAGCTGTACGATGTGAATGTAGTCGAGCGAGTCAGGTCCTCTATGAACGTTGTCAATATTGCCTCCGATAAGATGATCGAGGGTTTGGCCTCGGTACTCAAGCACGAATGGGTCGCTGCATGTCAGAGAAGAACGCGTCAAACTGCCGACCGCTCCGCTCAAACGGCATTGACCGTCGGTTCTAATCAAACGTTCGAGCCTCACCACGCCCAGTCGTTCACAGGTAGTTGCCCATGTGACATCCATTTCACGAACGTATACAGCCCATAGCGTGCAACGTATCAGCTTGGCAGAGCTTGATTTGTGCTCTCGTGCAATATGCCTGTCACGATCATTGCCGCGCTTCGACATTAGCCGTCGCCGAAGCTGGTGCGAAAGTTTATCTCGACTTTGCCAATGTCCGCGCGTCCCGGTCCGCCAGCGATGTGCCTGTCAAGTCCAGAGTCCTGGGACATGGGTAGCCGTCTTTAAGATCGTCGTCATGACTAGCATCTCCCTGCGTGCGGTTCAGCATGATGTGGCGTAGGGCTGACTCGGGCTATGTGTGGAGAAATTGCAGTGCGTGTCTGCATCTGGTTCGCGGTGGACATTTGGGACCCAGCGTTTGCGATCATGAGTCCCATGACTAACTCTGTCAGTTCCGGCTCAAGGTCGGTCAGCACTTGAATCATGTGAGAGCGCAAAATAGGCCCGAGCGCTTGAACAACTAATTCAGATACAGGGCGTTCATGTTGTCTCTAGTGTCTAGAGCCACCACATTCTACTGCAGGACCGATCCTTGGCCGGATTTACGAGCACGATGCGCCATCGGCTGCTGTCGGGATATGTGGCAAGAATGGCTTGTCTCAAGCATCGGCTGATCTTGTAGAGCCGAGAAAAGGCAGATTCCAGAGCTCGCTATGGTAGCAGTCGAGCGCTGTCTACATAGCACATCCCTTGCGTCGGCTTGTTGAACCGGTCAACCAGCTTTGAACATTCGCCCGGGCTTGCATCCATCATGGTCTAGATTGTGTGCATGCCGCGTAAACAAACACTTGCCGGACGTTGACACCGAGCAGGAATAGACTTGCAGGTGTTCTTTTAAGATCGCCGATATGCGACTAAAGAACGTTCTCGAGGATCTGCGACCAGCATAAGTCTGTATCTTGGACATGAGCGGGCTTTACCTAGACGGCGATCCTAATGTGACCGACATTGGGAAGCTATGAGCCTCCATCCGTGACGGCAGTATCTATTCGTAACGAGCCAAGCGGCACCGGTAGACGCATCTATAGTAAGCGAGCAACACACCGGTAAGGACCTCACCATACCTAATTCGAAGCCTGCTGCAGGTGTCCTGAACTCAAGGACGTTCTTGTGCAACAGAACACGTGGACCCGAGATGGTAGAAAACAGCCATATGATGGCACGCGCTGCTATGGTGTGGGGTGAGGCAGCCAGACTACCCGATCAGGCGCAGCCTGCATGAACGAAGCAAGGAGAATGTCGTTTTTTGAGTCTCTAGCAACGTCCTTGGACGATTGCACCACATCAGTTGTCCTCGCAATGTAAATTTCTTTCTATTATGGCGCCAATATATCAATGGCTATGCGGCTTGTCCGATTTGGAAGCCTCTCTCAAGGCCACAAGTTTTGCAGTGACTGGGGCACGACTCGACAAAGCACGTTGCTCATTGCGAGAACCGTTAGATCTGCCGCGTCTGTACGATAGCGCACGTTACTGTGTACAGAGATCGATAGCGGGAAGGGTCTATCCGAGCGCTGATATCCTATTCGAGGGTCGCACAGGGCCGGAGCTGAACATTCCGCAGGATGGTGAGCACTGAGTAGCAGCATGATAGATGGCAGCAGAAGCAGTCCTGGCTCTTTGACTCCAGCTGACGAAGAACCTTATCCACAGTCGTCGGATAGTAGTAACGTCAATACACGTCAAGCATCCAGACAAGCGGCGGGGCGCAGCATTCCACGCCTGTCAGATGTCAGCCTGACTCGGTACTACCTACACAGCACAAAGCCTAGTGCATCTCACAGACTATGACGACGCAAGTCGCTTTCGCGGCAAAGACGTCGAGGCATCCTGTGGACGACTTTCCGCGCGGGCCAGTAGAAAGAGCGAAACAGAAACGTCGGTTTTTGCTCCGCTAAATGATGGGGTCGAGCGCGACTGCCGACGAATCAATTTACACAATCTCAAAAATACTGGTGATGGTGCGGGAGTCGTTACGAGGGAGACAGCCCCTGAAGTTTGAGGAGCGTTTCGGGCTTGTCGCGTCGGTAAAGCAGGCGCGTTGCTTGGTCGCGCAGGCTAACGAGCAGCTTACGTAACGTGGATTCTGTTTTCAATTCGGTCTCTTCCACCACTCTCGTTTCGTGCACCCTGTGCTGGCAGCCTTATTCAGTTAGCGTCTTGCCATGTTTGGTCCTCCTTACGGTCGCTGCGGTACTCGGCCGTACACGGTAGAAGCATGGTAGCGGTCACGGTTGATACATCGAAGTCGCGTATAGCACCGAGTGCGCTCTCACCACTTCATCTGTTCCTAAACGATACTCGGTCTCCCAATTGAGCGCTGAAACTCAGCTTCGCCCAACGAGAACGTTGCCGTCCCTCACAATCTTGCTGCCGCTGACCAGCAGCTTCCTTGTTCGCAACCACACTAACTGCTCTTGATGTATTCCAACCATGATAGTGTCAATGGTTCGGCCGCAGGGATCGCCTGTTGCTCTCCAACAATGTCTTTGCCCGTCTAAGCCGACAGGAGGATGATGAAAGGTGCTGGTGCGGCTGTCCCAGACGTCTCTAATCGCCTTCCAGCATCCCAGCAGCCCTGCGCCTGGCCCACCCTCCACTACATGTCCCCACCAGAGACTCCTTTGGGTGAACGCTTCTACTGTCGCTGTTCCAGATCCTCTGCAGCCAAGGCGCCTCCCGACACTGCTTTCAAACCGCGTCCGAGTGGTTCTGTTGCGTCAAGTTCGTAAAGATCATTTTACCTCGTCGCTGCTCTCGGAACCCTCGATCCCGTGTTTTCGACATACCATTCCTATTACTACTAACCCTCAGCCTCTCCCGTTTTATTCGGCTCTGTCATTCTTTGCAAATCCCAGCCTATCTACACTCACATTCATTCTTTTTTGGAGCGGGCTCCTATCCGCGCTGGCTGCATTTGGGAACATTTGATTCTCCGTTCACTCATTTGTCTAGCCTTAAGGTGTTTTTAGTCACATCACCACACCCATTCAGCTGTGGTGGTACAACACTATCGCCTAGGCACATTCTTTTTGACCGCCAGTAGCTTCTTTCGTTACGACTGTGAGTCTCATAAGCCTTTTGCTCCCTTGCTTCACTAGCCGAGTGACCCGTGACGCGGCGCTGCTAGTTCTGCAGGCTGTCGATCGAACATCTGCACGAAGAAGTGGTCGGCCGAATCCGTCATTAACGTTTCCTTTAGATATATACGCCGAGACCAGCGCCTATAGAGGACGAGCATCCGAAGATGGAATTCAATGCGCTTCAACAGTAAGGCTCTCTTATGCTTTTCCAGATCGAGTCTGGTTCGCGCGTTCGTTCTCACCATGAGTATAGATATCGACCGTCATCGAGCAAGTCAAACGGTATGGGCCAGTCATCTCCCAGATCAGCAACACAGATGTTCGCGCACAGCAACTACTCTTTCCAACGGCAACCACCACCCCCAATGTTGCAACACATGTCAAGATCTTCGCCGCCCCAGTCCACGTGGGCTGTACCACAGTCCCACAACTCGTACTATGCTGGGCCTCGAGGACCCATGGCACCATCCAGAGATGAGCATGCACCTTTTTTTCAAAGGCCACACATCAACACTACTGGAGCACCCACTTTCAACAACGTAACACTAAGTAATGGCATGGCAACGTCAGCAGAATACTTTCCAAACGTCATTGATACGAGTATGTCTCACCTTGACATTCGCAGATCATATGCTGACATGAAAAGGTCCCTGGGGTTCAAAGGTATGCGAGGAGCTCGAATCATTCCCTTCCTTGGATGCAGATACCACGGACTTCAGTCATGGCCTGATGGCTCAGGACGAAAACACCCCCATTATTGACCTACGACAATTTCAAGGACATCAGGATACAGATAATCTGACGCAGTTCAATCCCCAAGGCCCTCGTCGTATGTCCGAGTCATCATTTTCGATGTCCAGCACAGGTGGGGGCATCTTTCCTGACATATCATCATACGAAGACATGGGCCCGTCGGAGACAGTTTCATACGCATCTGAATGTGATGCGTGGAATACAGCAGACCCGGCCGGTGGCCATCTGATGTCTCCAATCGCTTCACCAAGAAAGTCTCAATACGACACTGTCGCTCGCACCGGAGGTCGAGCTCGTATGTCTCCAGCGCCACATAACAACGTTCGTTCCTCCCCGTATACGCTCGAAAGCACACGGTTCAAGCGTTGGTCGACTGGACAAGCGCCAACTTCAACACCCACTAGTTCGCGTGCAGTAGCTCATGTTCCCGATCATTTCGCACCCTACGGTCCACGCCCTAATCCCCATCACTCGATGCCAGTATACTCGCCTAGTGCTATGGCCAGCTTTAGTATGCCTGCGCAGAACATGTTGTTCTCGCAGAACCATCAGCTCCAGTCCAACGGCCCACCACTGTATGCGACTCGCGACCAACCGTTCCATCTCGAGATACCTCGACCTCTTCCTTCTCAAGGTCTCTTCCGCCTCCTCCAAAGCAATGTAGATAGACATGGAGGCTGTTCATCGCACTTCGCAGACCTTTCGGACCCCCCCGACCTGTACTCGTCTCTTCACGAAGAGCCGTCTAACCCACCCGAATCAGACATGAACCCGTCAGACCCGGACCTTGTGCCACATGAGCAAGATCTTCGATTTAACGGCGATCTGTATACTCCAAGATGGGTTCGTGGGCACGGTAATAAGCGTGAAGGGTGGTGCGGCCTCTGTAAGCCTGGTCGTTGGCTTGTCCTCAAGAATAGCGCGTTCTGGTATGACAAGTCTTTTACGCACGGTGTCAGCGCAGCAACTGGTGCAGCATTCCAAGGACCACAAGACACCCGCCGCACAGAAGGGAATCTCGATGTGTGGGAAGGTCTTTGTGGAAGCTGTGGCGAGTGGATTGCCTTGGTCAGCAGTAAAAAGAAGGGAACCACATGGTTCAGGCATGCTTACAAGGTTCGTATTGGTTCTGCATTCCTCTCGGCCCATGTTCGTTCTTTGTCCTCAGCTTTAATTCGCTCGTACATGTTGCACAGACTCGCTTACTAACGATACCACCACAGTGTCACACCCATCCGAAAGTCAAAGACGGGCCCAAAAGGCGTCGCGAAACGCAAGCAGGTCGTGCTCGTGCTGTATCTTCGGCGTCGGCATCGTCGTCCTCGCATCCAATCCAGCAAGAGACGACGCCTGTCAACACAGTGTCCCACCGTCATTCAACCCCAACACCGACCGCGAGCAGCTCCGCGCTCCACGCATTTGGCATGTCGGTGTCGACCCCCACAGCGACACCATCACTCAGTACACCGTCGTACGGGAGCAATACGTCTTACCCAACCCCGACATCAGCGACGCCCTCACTATACCCACCGCATACACCAATTACGACAACTTCGCTGCACGCACTGCACACGCCAACAGCGGCGGCCTTCCCCGAGCTTCGTTATGATAACACGTCAACCAAGGATGAAAGTGTCGTGGGACTCTTTCCTACTCCTTTCCAAGGGTTCCCCAATTTCTCTACGCCATACTCCTCAGCACCGTTAATGAACCTTGCACACCAGGTCAGTGAGCCAGAACTTGTAGGCATCAGAGCAACGACCGCAAGTCTCAACTCGATAGCTAGCATGCTTTGAGGCTCCTCTAGTCTGTCGCGCCGTACTTGTGTCGCCCAATTCCAACCCATCGGACGGTTTGACACCTGCGAGCAAGTTCACTCATGGTTCTCATTCAATATTCTCCGTCACGTCTTGGCGAATCTGTAGTATACCCTCATCATCTCGGAGGCTCGGACTGTTGCTAGCGCGTCGAGAATTTTCATTTAGTGTCGTATTACATTTCAGGCATCCTCCATTCCACTACGATGCTATGGCGCATTGTATGTTGTAGCGTTCCAGCGTTCATGCTTTCATCTCTCTTCATGTTCATCACACTCTTCATACCCCGCGTGGACTTACGATTGATGAAATACCTCCATAGGCAGGGCAGGCTGACATCGTGTCAGTGCCTGTCAACGCCTTTCACGTAGATAGAACCCATGATAAATATCTCCACACATATTGTAAACGACTCAAACCAACTGAAACAATACAACACAACACCAATCTTTTCATGACTCTGCTCGGCAATTGTCATCGGTACGATGTGACTTGTGATCCTCAATTTCGAAACTTGAGTTGACCCACGTACCGGCCTCCGCTCCAGCCTCAGCCTCAGCCTCAGTCTCAGCCTTACGGACAAGCAGCGGAGACTAAACATCTGACACCTGACACGGTTCAGAAGCTCTGAAACACTACATGCAGCATGCTCGTGCGTTGACCGGTACATCGGTACGAACGGCAGCTGGGAATGAGGGGTCGGTCTCATTTTCTCCGAGCGGTGGAAGGTGAAGCAAGACGGTGCGCTCGCCTTTTCAAATCCGTGCTACGAGTCTAAAATGTTGCAATGTATGCCAGTTGAGTACGATACCTTATCAGATGGGTTACAGTCGGCATTCGTGACGTCCCAGAAGCAGTGAGTTCAAGTGGTGCTGCAAGATGATACACCGCTTCTCCGGAGTCACGGTCATCAGCACATTGACCGAGTGGTCGGGCTCACATTCTGCGAGCATTTCGGTGCAATCGGTACGATCTGTTCCTACAAGAAGGGGAACATGTTTTGCCCTGTACTTGGGCAAGGTTCCTTGGCTATGTAGAGTGTTTTTGACTACCGATATATATTTGATACAAGTTTTATCAGTGTGTGCGTGTTGGAATAACGGCTACGGCGAAGTTTGATTTCGATCTGCTCGAGGGTGTCAAAACACTTGGCTGTGGGGAATACAATAGTTTAGCTGCTGCTGTCTGACGCGCACAGGCTGCTAGAGATTTCTGGACATGGATAGGATCATGCTTGGAATACTTACGGATAATCCTGGAGTTCTTCTTGTTGGACATTTCGGCATCTCAATCCATGCGAGCCGCTGCAGTCATTTCCTTGAGATAGTTTCCAGGTTACATATACGCGCCGACTCAAATGTTGCCTCAAACTGCTCCCTGGTATCAAAGTCTTTCTTATTGGAGGGTAGAAACACCTTAACGTAGGCCATATGCCTCAATATCCCACACAAGGACGTGTCCAGGTGGCCTTGTCGGTTTGGAGCAAGCCCTAGTATGGTCCGACAAAGTTCAGGCATATCTCTGGCGAGTAAGAGCGACGTCGGTGATGCCCCGCATCAAGTGACTCGAAGAGTGGGTGCTACTAGGATGTACATGCAGGGCTTTTTGACCCATAAGATAGTCAGTGTTCAAAAGTCTAATAGCTTGAAACCATTCGTTTTGCTCAGCTGGGCGATGTGCGCCTTATTTAAGATGTTGTAGATAGCAGAAACGTAGCTGTATTGACCCATTGCGATTATGCCTCTTCCGCAGATCTTATTTTCGACGTGCTTTCCCAGTATCTCATTTGAGACAATCGAAGTAATTCTGTCCTGCCACACTGTTTTGACATCCCATGCGGCAGACTGATCTGATTAGATCACACGTGCATCGAGCACCACATCAAGAAAAAACAACAGTGGAGCTCTCCAGCATTAGTGGAAAAAGGCAAGGGTCCACATCGGGGATCGTTGTGCCTCAAGATCGTGCGCAGCTCCCGGCGCATCGTCAATGCAAAAGGCTCGCTGGCGCGACAACAGCTCCGTGGCCAGACTGCTAAGTCTCAAGTAGTTCCATAATATCAACGCCATAGCAGAAAAACTGGGAGATTCTGGATGCTGTGCTATAATGGTGGAACGGCTTGGCTGTCCTTCCTGCAACTCAAGGCACGCAAGAACTAAGCAGTTCAGGCAGACTCAGGACCAAACCAGAGTCGAATACACAGATAAGTGAAAAAGTAGAGCTAGTACTGACAAGCGTACACAAATACAATTATGGCTGTTGTGTGCCGGGCTGTAGAACGAATCAGTGGAGTCAAGTATCGAAGCGATGCTACTTTAAGCACAAACGAGGTGCGGGCAACAAAATTATTGGCTTTATTCAAGTGTGACCCCTAGACCAGGTACATAATTCAGAAGGGTAGGCCGCAGAAGAACGTAGTTGCCTCATACGCCGAGCGCGGTTACCTGCTCTGTCGTCAATGTGTAGTCACTTCCCTATTTCTTGCTCTTGAATCGTCCGACGCTGCGTACTTGAAGATCTAAGTACTCAGACAGAAGATATTTGCTGAACTTGATGTTAGAACAAGTATTCTTATTACAAGGTTCCACAGTGACGTACATGCAGACTGTTGACGGACGACGAATATTTGAGCCCGATGCAACAAGGAAGAGTCGGATGGATCATGATTTCACATCTGGGCCAAACAAACCTTTCCACTCTCACTGCAGGCAAAGTGGTGCTGATTCAGGGTGACTACCGATAATTCAGTCTACCAATCGACTAAATACAATAGAGCACGTGAAGACAAAAGGGCACAAATGAAAACAAAACCACACTTTTCAAGACCCTTGAATCCTGAACCTTCCATCCGAGACCTCTCCAATTTCAACTGGGTATCCCAAGCAGATCAGCACGGTAGGCCATCGAGAATCTTGCCGAAGCACCGAATCATGACCATTCCCGGGGTGCTGAATATTGTTAGCATGAAATGGTGAGTATCGAGGAAGGATTCTACTCACCGTACGGATCATCCGTAGGATGCGTCAACTCGTTGTCGTACTGGTCTGAAAACTCCACACGCGGACAGAAGCAGGCGTTGGGCTGTGGCCTACCATACCAGGCCGGACGCACATCGCTGTGGTAGTCGTCGGCATAGCACTTGGTGCAAACGGTGAAGCACGTGCCGTAGTAGGGACCCGTGCAGCCGTGGGCCGTGCAGCCGTCCGCGCAGAAGTCCCACATGACGTTGGGGACCCAGGGCGTGAAGATGTGCGCGTTGGAGAACTTGCACGTGGTGTGGCACTCGGTGCCGAGCTCGCCGGAGAACTTGTCGCAGAAGTCGCAGATGCTGGTTGCGTCCTTGGGCAGATCCTCGTAGGAAGCCGGGAGTGAAGGCTGCCTGGAGGTATCGTTGGCCAGGGGCAGAACGGCACGGCCAACAGGGGGGAGCGGCTTCTTGGAGATATCATCGGCCAGCGGGAGGACGGCACGGGCCAGAGAGGTCGTTGAGGTGGTATTGCCCACCATGGTGTTGTTGTTGACCCCTCGGGTCATCAGCTCTCCACAGTGGGTATAACACACAGGCTGCACCAGCGAGGGAAGCTTGGCACAGAAGGTGCATTTGACAATGTCACCGAGTGACATAGGAAGTGGTCGCGGCATGACGGCAGGAACTGCTGCCACAAGAGACCAGAAGAAGGCCAAAACCGGAAAGATGGTGAAGAACTTCATGTTGATTGAGGAAAGGGTTGAAGTTGTGAATGGGTTATCAGTTGGAGTTATACTTCGAGAAGGTAGTACTGGATATGTTGATCTGTGATTGAGAGTTTAGGAAGACAGCACGACTTCACTTATATACTCATTTTTGAGGGATTATATTTCCATGGCTAGCTTTACTATGGCATTCGTAGATCTGAGTTTTCATCTTGATCCTGAGAACGCTCTTCTTATTTCCAATATACTGCTCACCCACAAAAGAAATGCCGCAGTGATACTCAGAGTCGAACACATATGCCATACTCTTGCGGAAGACTATGATTCAGGGTACAGTCACGAGTCTCGTTGGCGAGTGCAGTAGAATTTCGGGGTCGCCATGTGCTCCCTTGACCAAGATTCTGCATGTTCGCAGCTAGTTTGACCCAAAAGTATGTTCATGGATGGACTCTATGGGCTTTCGCTACACATAGCCTTGTCTATGGTGACGATACAGTAGGCCTATGGAGATCATGCTGAGACCCCCAAACTGGTCGCCCTTGGTACACATTGTGGTAGAACAAATATTGAACGGTAGCGTTTTGAATGATTTTCGGCCCGTGGGCACCTGATTCTGTTGTTCGTTTGCGCTGTGCTCTACCAAGGTTCTTCCGTGGCAGCAACAAGAACCACGGAAATATTCGACGATAAGGCGGTATATGTCCAGAGCATCTCCGTGGTCAAAACTGTTCATCAGCTTCACCACATCCCCCGCCGACCCACAATCCCAACATACCAAATCCCACAAGCCAAACCAACCCTCACACCATGAAGCTCACGCTCGTCGTTGCCATGGCCCTCTCGGCCCCAACCGTTATGGGCGCACCGTCCCATGAGCCTCCTGCTGCCCCACCAGGCCCTGGCCACTTAGATCTCAGCACTGCCTTCACACTTTTGCTCGTTGAGCTCCTCAGCGAAAGGGCCGTCAACACCACCCCCATCATAGATCTCAGCACTGCCTTCTCACTTTTGCTCGTTGAGCTCCTCAGCGAAAGGGCCGGCAACACCATCTCCATCACCGACATCGCGGTTCCCTTCCCGCTATAGTCGCGCCAGCGCTTCCCGCCAGTGAGCAAGAAGTGGAGGAAGAAGACGCGCCGTAAGATGATATATTCCGACCCGGGGGCTTCCAATTTGGCGCACCCTGAGACTCCGCACCGTTCGACATCACAAGGAGAATTCGCAAGTTAAAGATGTAGTGCAGATGAGGCGGATGAAGATGGTGTTTCGAGGGGGCTTAGTATATGGGGAGGGAATGAGGTCTTCCTCCACCTAGGTGTTTCCTGTCGACCGGAAATGACGCTCTGATGATGGTTTCTTTGTTGAGAGGCGAATGAAACGAGTCTTGAACATTTCATAATGGCTTCTTTTGTTACCGATGGGCGAATTTCGTAGTCTGAATCAAGTTGTCCGTCATCAATTGCCTATGCCGAACCGTGTGAAACTGGGGTGTAGACTTAGCATCGAGCTCAGCCATGTCATCTTCGAAGTATGGCAGATATAGCGTCCTCGATAGCAGCTAAAAGGTCTCACTGGAGACATGGGTTTGCACAGGGCGAGAGCTGTTCTGATGTATATCACCGGTCGTAAATATGGCGAGTTTCCCAGCAGACAACTTCAGATCAGCGCCAGTGTGCCCGACAGTCAACGGGATGTCTCGATCGTCCGGTCAAGGGTGAATATTGCTTCCTGACTAGATCCAGAGGACCTCGGATCGCACACGCCGCTGTTTGGCCGACAACTGTCCGTCGTTCTCTGCCTATCATCAGCATTTCAGAATGTCTGAGGCAAACAGCCAATTATGGATGCTATGCGATGACTGATGCCAAGATATTGATCTCCGTGTAAGGCTTCACGCCATTCGATTGTCTATGAGCACATGTCGACTATTTGTACACATCTCCATCTCCGTATCTGTCCTTCAATCCATATCCCGCTCACAACTTGCTGATGAACAGACGGGCGGCGAACAGGCGGAGGCGCTGGGGCAGGATGTACTTGGAGAAGATGTAGATCAGGGTGGGGAGGAGGACGAAAGCCACGGTGGTCTCGTTGACGAAGAAGAAGGGGATCAGCTGGGGCATGGCCGACTTGAGGATGGTCTGCGCGCATTAGCATTCGTTTTGGTGTGTACGCGGAGTATTGTTGTACCATCTGCTTGGGGCTGACCTCGGGGGTCTTCTGCTGCTGGCTGGCAAGCGCAGGGCGGGCCATGACAGCAGGGCGGACGGCGGTGGGCGCGCGGAAAGCGGCCCTGGCGAAGGGGCGGAGGAAGCGGGTGGTGTTCATCGTGGGCGGTCTGTGGGTCTGCGTCAGCGGTGCGCGGGCGCGGGGAGGCCAATTGCTGCGGACGAGCTTGTTGGCGCGGAATTGACGCACTGGAGAAGTGTATGCGGCCCGGGGAGATGCGCGGTGATGGGGTTGCGGGTGGAGGTCGACGGTGGTGGAGAGCCAAAAGCTCTTGCTGAGCTGCCGTCGAGGCGGAAAGACCCGCACGGCACGTGACCTTGGCGTTGAAGCATCCAACTCCAACCTCCCCCACACTTCGTTGTCGCTCAAAGATCGAGAAACGCATGCTCGGGCCCTGGCTTTACAGTCCATTGGCCACATGCGTCATCGTGCTACTGCTTTACTGCCCGCTTTGCTGCTCGGACGCGACTTCCTGATCCCAACGCCTGCGCCCGAATTGGTGAGCAAGCAGCAGCAGCACGTATTGATGCATCCGGTGTTGCCTTTGCAGACGTGTAAAACATGCAACGGTCTCTTCCTGCGATTTGCAGATGTTTCCTCTCCGACTAACCCCTCACTCATGCCCTCCATATAGCACAAGCTTCCATTCAGCCGCCGGACGACAGGGACGCCCTATATAAACTCATGTAACTACCACCAGTCGCCAGTAACAGCCAGGTTTACGAATGACCAGTACACAATGGCGATCGAGAAGGTTATGATCATTGGTGTAAGGCGCAGACTGTGCCTGGCTGGATGCGGAAGTAGCTGACGTGCGCAGAACTGGGAGCTATGTGTGAGCATCATGAACGCTCTCTTGCCCTCTGATGGCAGGCAAGTGCACCCGGATCTACAACTATCAGTCCTCACGAACCCCTCTCAATGGCTGCGTTTGCCGCCCCATTTGACCACCGAAATCGTCAAACATCACAAGTCCAACTTTTCAGCTGCGTCCCTTGTGTCTGCCTTTGCTGGGCAAGACTTGGTCATCAGCACCACTTCCGGGGGAGATTCAGAGCAGCAAATCAGCATCATAGACGCAGCTATTGCAGCAGGCGTGCATCACTTTATGCCTCACGAGTTTGGCCACGATACGCTCAACAAGGGGATATCAGATCGAGTCCTCAAGTCTGCCGGGCGCGTGAAAGTCATTGAGCATCTGCGAGCGGCTTCTAAGGGATCTTCACGCTTTGACTGGGTCGGTGTTGCAACGGGATATACATTGGACACAGGGCTCATTAGCGGCAATCTGGGCATCGACATGGAATGGCACAGTGCGACGATCCACGGAATTGGCACAGAAGTGTTTGCTGCCTCGAGTCTACTGCGAGTTGGACAAGTTGTTGCGAGTGTGATTGCCCATTGGGAAGAAGTCAAGAACCAGTACATCTACGCAGCGGGTATGCTGACTTCTGCCAATGAGATTCTGCGAAGCGCCGAGAAGACAACCCGACGAGAGTTTACCGTCGGCAATTACGACGTTGAAGACTGCATCAAGGAAGGTCAGGCGCGCATTGAACGAGGCTATCCAGACTCCGGCATGTTCCTACTAGAGCGCAGCATTCTATATGATGAGCAGCTGGGCGCTGCCGAGCCGTTCGAATCGAGCAGTAGCAACGAGCTTCTGCAGCTTGCATCTGAGTCAGTTGAGACGACAGTCGCGAAAGCCTACCATGACCTGAAGCATCACGGCAGGCCTGGCTGTGGATGCTCACCGTGAACACCTATGGGATGCAGCTTGGGAGTCCACTGCAATCAAGAGCCCCACTCGCAATCTTTCCCTGTCAGGCAGGTCAGCACAACTTATACCCGTTTGTTTCAGCATAGCACACGGAGCACGGCACATTGAGCACAGCACAAACACTGATTGTGAACTTCTGGAATCGATGCTTGAGGACTAGGTATCGACCCCCTAGTCCTAGGCGGATCTCCCCGGCACCAGCAAACCATCTTTTCGGTACTCTTTGCACACTCTCTCGTCCGACTGACCAACCCCTGCTGACCGATCACCCTCCTAAACCCATCATCTTCACCGACACTTCGTCCGTGCTCACAATTCATTTCTCTTGTTTCCGACCGACATCCGAGTCAGCCTTAACCAGACCAGAATAGGTGCGCTAGCGACTTTTTCGTCCGCCAGCCCGTGCGCTTCCCGTCCACGCTGTGCACTCTTATTGGCCAGAGCGATCGCTCTTCACCAGGGGGAAGGGTGTGGGAGCATCATGCGAACCCACAGTCATACTCGACCAGCTAGTCGTATAACGTACATCGTACTCTAATCAACTGGCGGCCCATTGCGAGTACCGAGGAGCGCTGAGATGAGGTATATACTGAATACCCTCCGCTCGACCTCGCCCGGCCACGACGACAGCGAGAGACTCGTACGAACCATCATCCTACATAATACCTAATCATATACCATACACCGTCTATCAACATCTTCAATCCACACCACTACCATGCCTCAACCAAACCGTCGTCTTCGCATTAACACCAGGGCCCAGCCCATCGACCCCCTCGAACAGCGATTCTCCTCACCCAGCCTGGTCCCAGGCATGGGTATAATGAGCTTGCTCTCGATGCTCCTCAACATCGAAGAAAAGAGCTACGACCAGCAATTCTCACCGCGCCGCGCCAGCTTCCCACGCTCAAATTATCCACGCATCATTATCACGCCCGCACCGGACTCTCGCATCACAACCTGAGCGCCGCTCGCGTTGCCGAAGTTCCGAATCTACGGGCTTCGGCGCCATGAAACAGCCGCACCGCGCAGCCCAGCTCCGCACGACACGATCGGATTTGACGCTCCAATCCCGCCTCACCCGGATGAAATCACCACGCAGCGAAGCAGCAGAGTCACACTACCCCCAAACGCCCCCGGCATCGAATAACCTGCGGCGCCACACTCTTAGTCACCCAAAAAGACTCCGCTGCCTCAACCCCGGATCATACCGCAGCACTGTAGCATCCGAGGAACCCGGTTGAGCGACCGAAGCCAGACATTTGACTGCCTGGTCGTGAGCGGTCGTCGAGTTTGACAGCGCGCTTAGGTGCGGGGAGAGACTGAGGGGGTACCCGGTTATTGGGGAGGGGATTAGTACGAAAGTGAGATATTAGTATGTAGTAATAGTACATAATAGAAGCACGTGTAGGGGTTTGCCTGCTATACATCTATTGCTGTTGCCTACTGTGCATGAGTCAATGTGCAAGATGCGGACAAACAGAGGATAGGTGTTGTAGTATCCGTCTCAGAGATCCACCATGTTGCGGTCAGTATATTGCACAGGACTCAGCATCTTCCGAGTACGTCCTTGTAAAGAGGGCAGAAGGGCCGGAAGTATAGCACCTGAGTGTCGCCGACGAGTTCTTGGGCAGACTTGAAAGACATAGCGTCGCAAAGCGGTGCGTCTACGATTCGCTCGGTTTACCTAGTCAAAAGGGACATCAATGGGCGATAATGATTAACACCTGATGTCATGCTCCCCCGACCCATTCGTGCATTGAGCAAAGGAAGGTCGTTGGCGACGCTCAGATACAGTGCAAAAAATATATCGGTAAGGCTTAGATGGTGCACGGGGGGTATCAATGTCTATATATATCACTACATTGGCGAGTCCATCTAATACGCCGTAAACGTTCTATACGTCGTAACCCAAACCTCACAGTCCAAACTCAAACGTCATCTTCTCATCGCCTTCCCTACCGCCATGCGAAGCTTCCTCGAGCCACGCAACTAGCCTGGGTGTAAGCTCACTCTTTTTGAGCGCCGCGATCAGCGCGGCGAGCCACGGGCGCTCCTCGACCAGCGGGCCCGTGCCGTCGGCCCTCTCGCACTCGCGCTCCTCGCCATCCCAGGCGTGCACGAGCGCCTGGCGCCGCGCGTTCTCGGCCGTCAAGTTGCGCAGGAACAGCACGTAGCCGGCCGCGGCTGCGGCGACGCTGAGTAGCGTCCAGAAGAACGGCACTATGTAGCCCGTTTCCGCGTATTGCGGGCGGAACAACATGGCGCTGATGACGCCGGCCATGTTGCCCCACCCGTTGATGCCGAGCATCAGCGCGCGCTTGCCAGGGCTCGGTGTGTTGCCTGAGATCCATGCTACGGTCAGGGGACTTGCGATGTAGGCACCGCTGATGAGCACGTTCAGGCTTAGGTACCGCGGTACGGCCCAGCTTGTTGGTAAGACTACGACGAGGCTCAGGCCTGTGACCATGATACCTAGCCCGATAAGAATGGGCCGCAGGCGTATGCGGTGCCGGTCGCTATACGAAGCAAACAGATATAGAGTGATAGCCCCGCATACATGGGGAGGCGCGGTGAGCAAGTTAAGTAGCGAGGGCGAGGCTTTATTACCTGTCAACGGCGCGAGGACGAGCGGGAGGAAGACGGAGAAGGCGTAGACAGGAATCGCAGAGAGGATGTTGCATGTGAGAAGGTGCCAGACCAACGGTGAGGATATGGCAGAAAGAATGTCGTGGGGCGTAAGTCCACGGTCGTCAAGAGTCGCTCGTCGTTCACTAGGAGGAGCAGTCGTACGGTTCAGTAGGCCGCGTGACTCTTCATCGATGGTCGAAATGGGCGAAAACGAATTTGAGTCGCGATGTTTGTTGGAGGTAGTAGAGCCCTCTTGTGCGGCGCGGTCTTTAACAACACGCGATGAAGCGTACCGGCGCTCGTCGGGTGTGAGAAACCACGCTGTCTCAACGCTGTGCGGGAGCCAGAAATATCCGACCAGTGCAACGACCACCGTAAGACTGCCCTCGATCAAGAAAAGCACCTGCCATGGGTGCCACCGCGACTCGGTGTCCGAATCGTCGCCGTGTCGATCGGGAAAGTGTTTGAAGACGAAGTAGCTGATAACGCCGCCCAGGGCGCCGCCGACGGCTGCTTGGCCGTAAAACATGGAAAGACGGCGGCCGAACTCGAAGCGTGTATAAAAGAGCGAGAGGTACGACACGGTGACAGGATAGAAGCCGGCTGGCACCGTTAGCATCCTGTTCATGGCCTGCGCTGGCCATAGCCTGACAACATACCTTCCAAGCAGCCGATAGTAATCCTCAGCAGATACAGCTGCCACCTCTTCTTGACCCAGACGTGCAGCATAGTGCTCAGCCCCCATAAGAGCATGCACGTCGGCACCCAGGCGACCATGCCATATCTGCGTCCCAGCGCGGCGCCGGCAGGTTGCAGGGCGACGAAGAAGGCGAAGAAGAGCGCTACAGCAGTGTTGAGGTCGCCCTTTGCAAGCCCTATATCTGTGGTGAAATGTGCGGATTCTGCATTGCCAATCTGCGCCTGGTGTTAGCACGTTCGAGGGAGCATGGACGCATGGAGCCTACGTTGGACTTGTCGAGGGAGTTGAAGAGGAAGAGCAGGGCAAGAAAAGGCAGTAGGAGCGTGTCGAGCTTCAACAGCGTCCGCTTATGCAGACGCGAGGTCGTGGTAGGGTGCTCATCGTCGTCGTTGTCTGGCATCGTGTGTCGCGTTGCGGAGATGCGGGAAAGCTCGTGTTGCTGGACCATGGTGCAGCAATGTTCCTAATCGGGCCAGCTTCGGCAGGGGCATCACAGGGCCAACAATGTCGCATGACCTTCCGTTCGTACATCGAGTGCAAGAAACGTGGCGCGTCAGATGTCGGTGAGCTGAATGTGCCCTGCGTGCGTGATTCAGACTGTCAGACTGGTTGTTGCTTGTTTAGGTCCCTGCGCCGTTGAGCATGACGTGATTGGCGTCGCTTCGTTGGATAGGGTCATTACAGACAACACCAAGTCCGAAACTCAACACAGATCGTGGCAGAACAGCTCGAAAGAACGTGCAATAAATTTTCATATGCCACCAAAGATCGTGTTGCTACCTGTGCCCATCCATCCGCTGGTTTCAAAAAACCACTCTGGGTCTTCCAGAAACCGAGAGTCGAAGTCCATCATGTCGTTTGGCCAGTATGATTGCATGTCTGAGCCCGTATCCAAGTCAACCCCCTCACCACAGCTTGCACTCCTCCCCATGTCGCCTCTAAGACTAATGTTAGGATCTGCGCTGGTGCCAGTCGATACACCCTGCCCCGTGACATCATCAGCGCCGTCACCTCGACCATGGTCTTTGTTCCCAACTCCGGAGCCGCTCAGATCAATCGACTCGCCATGCTCCTGTCGGTAGACCTCTGCCATGATCTCGCGTATCTCTCCAATACTTCGCTTCGCAGCTTGGAGAACCATAGCCTCAGGATCTGTGCCGGCAACTAATGCATCGACACGAGCCACGGCGCACGCGAAGAACACAGCGCCTTTCGCATTGGTCTCGCCATTCAGTATGCGCTGCACCGATGTATGGTAGGCCATTACCAGAGCGTCGTACAGTGTGTGCGATTGTGGCGGCAGAACGAAGACCCGGTCTTCTGAGTCAGAGATTAGGGGAGCTGTTGGAGCCGGGGCGTTCTGATGCTCTTCGATCTGCGTGTTCAGTTCGTAGTAGATTGTTGACATAGCATATAGAATAAGCGACTTGAAAAAACCAACGGCGCGGTAAGTCAGGAGCGTCCAGTCTTCGCCGACAGCCGCAGTTGCTGGCGCAATGATAGCCAAGGAAGACTCCAAGCAGATCTTGCGTGAGAAATGATAATAAGGGTTCTCCTTAGCTTTCACAAAATAAGGGCGATGCAGACCGAGGACGAAGCGGCGGACGAGCGAGTCGAGAAACTTGATTTGGAATGGTGTTATGCGAGCACCTCCCTTTAAGGCTTCTTTGAAGAAGCGGGTCTTCGAATCGCACAGCTCTGTTAGTGTCTTCCCTAGCTGGAGACATTTGGAGTAGGGCAAGTCGAAGCGTATGTCGTTGATGAGGCGGACAATCTCGAGTCGTTCAGGTAAAGACTGTGCGAAGGCGATCTGCAGACTACAATCTGTACACATCTCAAGTGGTTTGATGTTGAGCGGCGAGTCTTCTTGTTCATACAGATCCTCATCGTCGACATTGGAAGGTGGATTTGTGTCGAAGTCATGTACTGATATCAGAGGCGGCATGCCCATGTCCAGGCTGCTCTGCACTTCAAGCTCCAGAACGGTTGCCCATAGCCTCCTGCGCATCTCCGCGTGGAACGTGTTGATCTTGCCAAAGTACGATGGATCTCTATGAAGCCCAAGGTACATAGCAGTTCTGAGAAGCGAGCCTGCAGTAATCCAAACGTGATCACCCTCGACATTACATACTTGCTTTGCAAGCAGAACCAGCACCTGAATCTGTAAGCCGGCCATGTTGAGTCTCGACTTTGCATGTGGTGCAGCCAGCCAGTTCTCCGCGGCTTGTATCCACTTGGCACAGCTGGTTCGGAATCGTGGTTGATCGACACCTGTATAGAAGGGAACTCCTATCGCACAAACAAGCATGATTTTGAGTTGAACGGATGGCTTGCTCTGAGCTCTACCTGACCAATAATCATCGTACTCTTTGCGGAAGGATGGTATGTGTAGTACCCGAAGAGCGCCTTCGAAGGTGCGAAGGTAACCGTCTACAAGTATGTCGCAGATGGCCTTGCAAGGAAGCGAGCCCAGAGCTTCTGGCGCAATAGCAGGCAATAGCATACGGGCAGTCTTCAGAATACGGGCCATGGTCTTGAGCTCTTTGACAGTTTTATAGAGCTCTGTTGACTTTTTGACCTCTACGCGGTCTGTAGCTGGGTTCACGATGGTGTTCGCGTCGCCTAAAGCTCCATACTAATTTGGTGTCAGCCCCGTAATGATGTGAGATCGATTAAGAAGTAGGGGCACCAACAGGCTCTAACGCGTTCATCCAGTGGCTTTGGCCGAAGAATTTCGACTTCTGAAACGTGCCAGGAATATCGGTAACGATGTCCGCGATCGGTCGAGTGTCCTCTTCAAGGACCCCACCCTGGTCGGTGACTGGAAGGGGACGTTCATTTTCCGTCAGCAGAACGGTCATGAACGAGGATGCCCGAGCAGCTGAATGCGAGCTCAAGTCTGATGCCGACCTCTCAGAGGGCATAGACGTCGGTTCGGGCGCTTGATGCTCGCCAATTGGGCCTGACCTATCGAGTGCAGTTGTACTTCCTGCAGCCTCGGGCAATTGCTCTGTCCGTCGGGTAGCAGCTCGAGCTGGCCTGTAGGTACACTTCTCTGACTTTGTCCTGATACATGCCCCACAAGGCTTATTGCGATCACATTTGACTTTGCGCATACGGCACTCGACGCACGATAATGCAGGCCTTCGGATACGTTTGGCCAGGCCTTCGCTATCGTTAAGCGCTTGTGATACGCTCGGAAGCTGATCAGTCATCTCATGTGCAGGAGTTGTTTAGTATGTGACCGGCTGGCAAAGGCGACAGATGAAGGCGTGTGATGCAAGAGGGTCGAGGTGTGTGATCGGTGATTTCGGTCTTTTAGGTCATTCGGCTTTTTGTGCTTTCAGCTACAGCTAGGCGTTCCGTGTACTTCGTAACCTATGTGCATCCAATGATGTCTCTTATTTTCCATAATATCACGATGGCTATCGTTGTGTTGTAGCATGCTGAAAACGTCGCCGTCGAGGTGCGTGTTCCTCTGCGAGAAAGGGGATCGGTGAGGCGTGGTGGGGCCCCGAATGCAGCATTACGTCTCTTCCTCGTTACCAATCCAGCAATAGCTATAGCTGATGCAAGATCTCTCCTGTCGGCCGCGTATGCAGTCAGAATCAGGAGCATTCTGTGCCGCGAACCGCGACTTCAATCTCTAGTCATATATTCCTCCCCTACCTCATTGCGACCACGCCGTCGCGTATGTCCTCGAAGTATCTGTCAAACCATTGCTCATCGCGATCCGCATTGGCGATAGGTGGTAACACAGCTGCTAGTCCTTGTGTATGGTCCTCTTCATGCTGATAGATCTACAAGACTGGTGTGACTGCTCAAGTACAGTACGCATCGGCATGTGTCGCTTCTCTTCCAACTGGTCTACCTTGCCACTTTGAGCAGCACTGTTAATTAGTCCGCTAGGTCCTCTTATCTTTGCAGTGAATAGAAGATACTGCCTTCGAAATGATGGTCTCTTCCGAGGTACCATCTGCTGTTCAGCAGTCAATTTCCGGATCAGAAGAACTTTCCACGCGACGACGATATTGGCCATTTCCTGAGCATAAAATAGCCGTCTACACTTCTCAATCAGTGGACGGGTGCGGTAGATGTACGGAGCTTGCGTCATCTCGACTTCAGAATGCACAATGATGCTCAACGCGATTGGATCATTGCGTGATACAAGGTCGCGCTGGCGCAACCACAATTGCCGCGTCGGATCGGCTTCTAGCAAAATCGGCAACGCTGTCGCCACCAGCTGTATCAAATCACGGAGAGAAAGATGTTATCTAGTGCATGGTATCTTCGCAGACACCGTGAGCCGGCGTTTTGAACACCGGTTCATGGTCCAATCTCGCAATTCAGCCATGTAAATCGATTCCAGTGGCTTTCAAGAGCGTTTACGTTTGGAAATGTTCTTGACTAAAAGAAGTAGGTTCTACTCTCTATCGCTGCTCGATAACGTATGAAGGGTGAACAGCGAGATCATCTCACAGAAACACAAGGCTGTACTCGATGCGCGAAGCGACTACCATAGTGGAACGAGCTTTCGAACTACGAAAGATATCGACTCCAACACCTGTTTAACGCGATGTTCAATCAAGTCCAATCTCCGTCTTAAGTGGATCCTTCGCCTCGAGCAACAATATGCTCTCCACAGTCAACAAGCGACTCGACCGGACCGGACCGAGCTCAATGCGCTTGGAAATACCGAAACGGAGGGGTTCCGTGGGGCAAACAGCAGGGTTCGATGCGCAACTGGAACTGTAACTTCGTTGGCCCATGTGGCTCGACGATTGTGCCATGAAGGAGCATAATGATGTATCTCGAACATTGCACCATGTATGGCTGCATGCTTTCCACAGTCAGTGGGTCGGTCCGTATACTGTGTATATATCTTGCTTCATGTCAACCTGTCGACTTGCCAGTAGCGACTCATCTCCTCAACTTCGGATCAGAGTAGTACCCAGTACACTCAGACGCTCACGATGGTTGCTGGATTTTTCAACGGGAGCTCTCAGGAGGAGGCCGCGCCTGTCTACACTGCCAATGAAGGAGCAAAATCAGACGGTAGTCTTCAATATGTCGCTGAGAAATCGGGCAACACCAATGAGGTCTCCTACCAAGAGGCTTCTGGAGCGCCTGTGGAATCGGAATCGCCTCTTGGGTACTCAGTCGGAGCAATCACCATTATCTTCCTCAACCTCAGTAAGATGATTGGTACTGGTATCTACTCAACTCGTAAGTCGCTGTTTCGTGCTTAGTGAATACGTTCTGATGATGATCACAGCTTCTACGATCCTCCGCTACACAGGCTCCATCGGCGCGGCTATGTTCTACTGGACCTCTGGCTTTTTCATATCTCTATCTTCCATGGGTGTTTATCTCGAATACGCGGCCTACTTCCCCAACCGCTCTGGATCCGAGGTTGCATATCTTGAACAGGCCTACCCACGACCGAAATACTTCTTTCCGATCATTTTTGCAGTACAGTCTGTTGTTCTGTCATTCAGCAGCAGTAATGCAATTGGTCAGTAAAGAACCACAAGAGATAAGACCTTATGCTGACAGCTCACAGTACTGGCCCAGTATCTCTTCGCGATCAACGGTAGTACACCTTCCGCATGGGAGCTGAAAGGTGTTGCCCTTGCCAGCTATACTGTGGCTGTCCTATGTGAGTTCAGCGCAAATACTCCATTTCTACCGTAACTAATTCCTCTGCAGTGCTATCCTTCCACACTAAGTACTCATACTGGTTATCGAACGGGATTGGCATGGTCAAGCTGTTGACTCTCCTGTTCATATCAATCACGGGACTGGTCGTGCTGGGCGGTAATACGCGTGTGGAAAACCCTACAGTTGATTTCTCACAGCCCTTCAAAGGCCACATAACTCCGTATGGAGCCACAACGGCACTATACAGGATCATTTTCTCCTACGCAGGATTTGAAAACGCCTTCAACGTGACGAATGAGATCAAGGTACGTTGAGTTGAAAACAGCAAGAATCTGTGGCAAATACTGAACTTGCTCAGAATCCGATCAAAACAATCAAGAAGAACGGTTTCATCGCCTTGCTTCTCGTCGCCATTTTGTATATCTTAGCGAACGTTGCATACTTCGCAGCTGGTTAGTACGCGCTTACATTCACGCCACTATGTATTGACGCTATTGCACAGTTCCGAGAGCTGAGTTGGAGAAAGCGGAGCAGATTGCAGCTTCCCTATTTTTCCAGCACGTCTTTGGCTCCGGCGGTGCCGTCAAGGGCCTGAACTTCCTCATCGCGCTAAGCGCATTCGGTAACCTGCTTGCGGTCCTGATAGGCTCGTCTCGTCAAATCCGTGAATGCGGAAGGTAATTAGCATTAGCCTACTCACCCTGAGCGCTGTCACTAACATCTACCAGACAAGGAGTCCTGCCATACCCTCGCTTCTGGGCTTCTACGCGCCCCTTTGGCACACCTCTTGGCCCGTACTTTGTCAAGTGGCTACTGACTGCCGTTATGATCCTCGCGCCACCCGCTGGCGATGCGTTCAACTTCATTGTTGACTTGCAGGTCTATCCAGCTTCGCTATTCAATTTGACTCTGGCTGTGGGCCTGATTCTGGTGCGGCAACGCCGCAAGCGACTCGGTCTTCCGAGACCCAGCTTCAGAGTTTGGGACCCTGTGCTCGCGTTCAACATCTTCACGAATCTATACCTAATTGTTATGCCATGGTACCCACCACCTGGCGGGAGGGGCAACGTGTCCTTCTGGTATGGAACGTATATCGTTACTGGTATTGCTATGTAAGTCGCATGCCCTCAACATATGAGATACAAGCTAATTAACCCCAGCCTTATCTTTTGTGGTCTGTACTATATCGGTTGGCTCTACGTGCTCCCCAACTTCCGTGGCTACCGCATCCGTCAAGGCATCATTACGTTGGATAGTGGCGCGAAGACGCATAAACTGTTCAAGGTACCAGTAGGGGAGCTATCAGCATGGGATGCGACGCACGATGCTTTGGGCCGGGAGTTGAACGATGCAGGTAGCTCGGATCAGGATGTGCAAGTCGGGGAGAGCGTCAAGGACAAGCAGTGAAAATGATGCGACTTGACCCCAAAAAATTTGCTAGCACCATTCGACGCCAATAAGTAGCTCTGAGTTTTCTACTGTAAAGCTATCATCATGGCACATGAGTGATGATCATGAGCTTCGACCTTTAACTCAGTATTTTTAGTCTGTGCTTTCAAAACTTAGCTTGGATCTAATCACCCTGAATTATCGAAAACACTGATAGAACCAAGCACTTCTTTAAAATCCATAGCTCATATCTGATGTTGGCATTGAGTAGTATATATACCAACATACCACCTTCCAAGAGCCATCAGATGGCCAGGATACTATAACGAAGTTACTCTCATAACTCGAGAGCCAGAAGGATTTCAGTAAAAGATACAACTTTACCTGTGATATGGCGGAAAATCAATGCTACCAGTGAAACGGCGCGACTGAAAGATATCATTATCATTACTAGGATCACAAAAGACATACAGGGAGAACATAGGCTTCCTCACTCGCCTCACGAACAGCTCAATGCGGAGCAGTCGCCCCCTTATCCTCTGTATACACAACATAGAATCCCAGTGGACACTTGTCTTGGCTCTGACGGAACAAGAACGTTGTGTCCTTCGAGCACAAACTGCCACTGACCGTCACCGGCCCGATGCCCGGTGGAATCCCGCAAGGTGCTGAGTTGATGATATAGCTGTTGCCCGGCTTCATGATTGGCGGAGGGTTAGGCGGACTCGGTCCTGGGCGCGGCTGCTTCGCGTACGTGGTCTCGCCCGGCACTGCGCCGGCATTGATGTCGTAGCCGGTGAAGGTGAAGGCGCCGCTACCGAGGAAGACAAAAGAGCCCGGGGCTTGCAGGTAGTCCGGGAGGTCGAAGACAAGGTTGCAGACCTTGCCCTGAGTCGCATCGGAGTCAAGGACGAGGTTGAATATTGTGCAGAAGTCGCCAGGGGTGATTTTCGCCCACTCGCTGTTGGGGTAGGCGGTGTTTGGTTTCTTGGCGCTAATGGGGACGAGGGCTGAGGTTGAGATGCTGCCTTTAGGCAGCTTGCCGTCTGGCTGAGCGGTGTTTGAGGGACACTTTGGATTTTGGAGTTTGCTGAGCAGACCCAAGGTACGTGCTTCAAGTGATGCAGCAATGGCAGGCGTTGTGGGCGCGGCAAAGGCTGCCGCCAGAAGAGTGGGTAGTAGTGTGAAAGCTCTCATGATGACAGCTGCAATCTTCTGAAGCTCGAAGGATGATGAACTGTCTCATAAGTTCTTGAACGCAAGATTTGTATCTTTATATATCAGGCGATCGACAACATTGTCACACTCACCGTAAGCTCAGCTAGCAGAACGATGACTTGAAAACAAATTCTAATGCCGCCTCCATGTCTTAGAAGCCTGGTTCCGTCAGAGCCCACGCCGATTGCAGTACCAGATACTTGCCTAGCTGTCAGACCTTTATACAAACCTTCTAAAGATAGTTGCCTGGAAACCGTAGTCCAGTGGGTTGGAGCTCATACACCGAGTTGCTGTAGACATCCTACCAGAAGTTCAACCAAACTTGAAAGGCTCTAGACTCTGAAAAGCAAAAGACCTGGTCCCTGAAAGAGTTCGATGCAGGTCCCGAACGGAACCCCACCACCAACCCGGACCCAGCCTACTGGCCGCAAGATGGCGTCCGAACCGTCTCTTCTCATTGGGTACTTGTTTATTCAGACTTTATCGAGCTCTCCGTTGGCGAAACATCGAATTTTTTGTGAAACATGGACAGTTCGCTTGTTGACTCGATAGTGACGTGCCGTGAACTACGAGCTCTCCACCTGTTCGCGTCGCATCTCACGAAGGGATGTCGATCTGCCAGATATGCCATACTTTGACACCTGTCATAAACCGAATACCTACTGTTCGCAGCACGCACCGGCTTTGGCATGCTGCATGTTAGAAAAGACGACTCCCCACAACTCAACAGGCGCAGCGTTTCTCCGCGTGGCTTTGCTTGGCTGCCGCCGGCGTCCGCTTGAAACGAAGCCACTCCTCTGCACTTTTGCGCCCAAACTTTGTTCGCAGCCGCACCACGACGACCATGCACCTAGATTTTAGGCCTGGCTTCGTCGGCAGGTACAGTCCGTGATACTGTTCCACACGAGGGGCGAAAATCGCACGACAACTTTGACGACGGCTTGGTCGTTGCGCCCGAAGCTCCCTTGCGTGTCGCTATGGCTGACAAGACGTCATGGTTTCAAAAACCTCTTGCCAGGTGCTGGCCATGTGCGACTGAGACATGGGACAAAGCTTGGTTCGACGTTCGCACTGCAGCGACGATAGCGTTAGAGTCGAGCCTTGCAGTATGCTGTTGAGAAAGTCTGCAGGCGCGGGGTGTTGCACGGGCGGCTATTGATGTCAGCACTTCACTTCCTCGGAGACTCAGTGAGCGCAATGCCCCACCGTGATGAAGGTCGTGTCTGAAGATGCAGTTGAAATACAGTTGTGGGGAAATGAGCCAGCCAGCCTGCCCTGCTCAAGGCCCTGTCTGAAGCCCTGTTTAGAGCCATGGGTTGACGCGTGTCGGTTGCACATCTCATTTCGTCTCAACGGCTGCGTACCGACACGCAAGGCATGGGCGGGTAGCGTCGATCGGTCATTTCGAGGTTGTTCCAACGTCGTCCGTGAGGCGGGGTGGTGAACGCAAGGGCATTCTGGGTGTGGTGTGGGTGGAGTCGAAACGTCGTGACCTGTGCATGTTCGGGGGAAGTAGCGACCTGCAGATCAGCGGTCAACGGATCAGAAGCACCTCGACATTAGATAGTAACTTCACGACAAAGACGAGCGCTTGTATTTATGCGATCAGAAATACTAGTGCAACATGAGATTCTCACAGAAGAGCATGAACATTGTAACGATGCATGTTGAAGACGATGTCACGACTGGCAAGCAGTGTAATTTTTAAGTTTTCAATTCAACCAAAACAGTCCCCACTAATTACAACCCTTTCCGGAAACCAAGGATATCTACCAGAAGAATACGCGCTCATGCAAAGTCATAGCCTACCCGTGGGTATGCTCAATTGAAAGATGACATTTACAAGAAGAAAGCGGCGAAGGCACCGACACCAGCAACGAAGCCAGCAGCGTTGAGGGCAGAGGCAGCACCGGTGAACTCAGCGGGTGTGCTGGGCTTGGTGTAGCCGCTGGAGATTGTTAGCAGACGGTTTTGCAGATCATGTGGGAGGAAAGCTTACCTGGTGGGGTATCCAGTGCCGGCGGCAGGGACGGAAGGCTTGACGCCAGTGCCGGAGGGGATAGGGTAGGGAGCAGGGCCGACGGGCTTGCTGGGGTAGGGAGCCGGGACGCCGGGGACGCCAGGGGCGGAGGGCTTGGGGCCAGCAGGGACCGGAGCGGTGCCAGTGGGGTAGGGAACTGTGACAGTGATGGTTGTTGAGCTGGCGCACGATGCAGTAGGCTTAGGAGGCTTACCGGAGTGCTCGGGAGCCTTGGAGGTAGGGACGGGAGTCACGGGAGTCTCCGCGGGGTACTCAGGGACCTTGGAGGAGGGGACCGGGACGACGGGGGTCTCGGCGGGGTACTCAGGTGCCTTGGAGGAGGGGACCGGTACGACGGGGGTGTGGACGGGGTACTCGGGCGCCTTGGAGGAGGGGACCGGGACGACGGGAGTCTCGACGGGGTACTCAGGTGCCTTGGAAGAAGGAACGGGAGTGACGGGGGTCTCGACGGGGTACTCAGGTGCCTTGGAAGAAGGAACGGGAGTGACGGGAGTCTCGACGGGGTACTCGGGGTACTCGGGCGCCTTGGAGGAGGGGACCGGGACAACGGGAGTCTCAACGGGGTACTCAGGTGCCTTGGAAGAAGGGACAGGAGTGACAGGCGCCGAAGGGACGGAGGGGTACTCGGGGTAAGCGGGCACGCTCTCAGCAGGTCCGTATCCGTACTGGGGAACGGCGGCAACGGTGGCGGCGAGCGCAAAGGCAGCAATGGTGTAACGCATTTTGGCTGATTAAGGTATTGAACTTGGGGAAGTTGAGGTGGTTGATTGGCGGGAGTGTGTTATTAATGACAGTATTAGTTTGGTAAGTGAATGGACGACCGAAGTCAAATTGTTGGACTTAAGCTGAAGAGTGGCTGTGAAGTGGAGAAGAAAGGTATCGCGAGCATGCTGAGGTTTATGTACGCTGGGAGATTACGAGCGAGGTAGCGCGGGCCGGCCAGTGAAAGGGGGCGACAGCGCTGGCAGCAGGGGTGGAGTCTGTCTCGGCGCTGCGAGTGGCCAGACGGGTGTTAGGGCTAATGCAGGAACCAAGCGATCCTGCCGGCCGCTGGGCCATTCATAGGCCGTGCGTGCCTGGTGCTAGACTCGGATCGGAAGGTTGGATGTGAATGGTTGCGTTTGTTTCTCGTGTTGCAGAAATGAATGGCCGTCCGAGTTGCGGCGCTGCATGCTGAGTCGAGGCACTGTAGCATAGGCGTGGGCGCATCAGCTTCGAGTAAGCACGGCAGGTATTGCTTGATTTGCGTATCGCGGGCGCCAGCAAAAGGAGGCGTTTGCCACACAGCAAGGCTGCACATTTGCTGGTAATAGAGCCAGCGGGGTTGGAACAGCGCATGTGTTCGCACTGCCAGAAGCGGACCATGCGGAAAGTGAGCTCAGGGGCAGCCTTATCTTCCTAGTCCGTTGAGCCGCAGGGCCTCCACAAACAGAACAAGACATGGCCTCTCTGGAGATCTTTCGCCAGATAGAGCACTGCGGAGGGTCTTTGCGTGTGTCAGTGTCGCAGAATCTGCGAGATCAACACCGATTGCGGATTTCGAACCCTTCAGCCGCACTCGACGAAACGAAACGCCCACAACATCATTGTTTGTTGTCCCCCATTGTACACGCGATCCACGTCGCCACTATTAGTGTGTTAGACTGTCGATTGATGGTACCGCGCAAGCGCTGGAATTGTTGTGCAAGGCGCTCTGGCCCCCGGATCGATTGACAACAGAGAGTCAGTGTCATCGTGAATTGTGGAGATGAAGCATTAACGAGGCTATTCTGAGCAAGCGTCATCATGTGACAGTCTTTTTGGGTTAGCCTCTGGTAGCTCTCCACGCCCATCAGTCGACCTTCATTTCGGCAACAGCCTTTCGTTGTCCTTGCGCGAGTTTGGATCCACACAATTCGCCGTGCAGATGCCGTCATCGGCTAATACCCTATTCGCATCGCGGGTCCTCATTTGTGTTTCAGCGTTGTGGATGTCCTGCAGCATGGCAACGGTGATGCACGCTCCAGGTGGACAACACGCTGACCGCCTGGTACCAATACTGCGCGATAGGGGTACCATCGCACGTGCCGAGCTCCTGCATTCATCCGGACACGACCGCGGAAGCAGTAAACGCTATCGTAGAATGTCCTCCAATCGTGACAGATGCCGCCACCGTCGATCTATATTGCACCTTGCCAACGGTTCGCGGAATTAGGCTGAGAATAGAACGCCTTGAAAGCTTGGTGACCAAGCGAAATGGGATTGCCCAAAGCATTGATATTGGATCCACTCCTGCGCGGTCACGACTCAACACGGTCGTGTTCGCCTCGATTTGCAATTACCCATGAGCCGAGACCATCACAGGAGGAACAACAAACAAGGAGATCAATCTAAGATCCATCCACCTCGGTCTTGTTGCTGCCCTCTTATCTTACTTGCGCTCCATTCCTACGGTCCTCATGCTCTTTCGTTCTCTCTACCTGCGGTGACCATCTTTGAAGCAACATCCTTCTCATTCAATATACCGGGCTTGGACTTCTCTCTCGCCCGGTTCACTTTCTATACTCGGACTCCGGATTCATGTCTTTTGAACCACCGTCGGATTCACTGTCTTGCGAAGCAGTTCGTTGGCTTCACTTGCGTTTCATCACTCTGCTTTCTTTTCTACCGCGTAGTCTACCGCGTAGTCTATATCCCTTCGTCGACATGCCCAAAGCAACAACTTGAAACGCCAAAGGATCATACAAACACATCCTCGCACCGGAAGCTCCTGCAATCGCACTCCCAGATCAAGATGGATATCGTCACCGTCGTGCCTGGATCCAGCCGTTACATCAGATCCCTTCCTGTTGGCCCTCTATCCGGACAGATTGTTTCAACGCTGGAATATCTCTAGTGTCCATGATTTCCCTATCATCCACCGCACTGATTGAAGACAGTGTCCTACCAGCTCGATCAAGATCGTATCCATCAAGCACACCGGTGCACCTGTTCAGGTCGCGAACCGCCTGCCCGCTCCCCATACGCCCAAACACAGACCAAGCATCATCGAGTCCAGACTGGCCCTTCGTGTTCGATCGCGTTCTATTTGCGTTTGCCCGCTCGCCAGTCTCTGCCGTGCACCTCGTATCTCCTACATACGCCTGTCAGACTTCACACCTCATCTCTTGCGAGGCAGGTTTCACACATGCATACAACAAAAGCGTAGTCGCTTGCAGATACTCATAGCTGCCGAATGAAATCAACGAGGATCCTTTATTGCGCCGGCACGTCTCGATGTACAACCTGCGATACGATATTTGGCATAGCGTCATGTGTGTAGAAGGGTGGCAACCCGGGAGGGCGAGGCGAATTTTCGAGGTTGAAGAGACACGGTCGGGTGGATCTGATAATCTTGGGGCGCGGACGTCTTGATACTGGCTGTGTGCTGAGAGGTGCTGGGTTGACGCGTGAGGGGCGGAGTACTTGTGCACGAAAGCCGAAGGGAACGGTTCCAGCAAGCACTCTATCATTCCTTTGGGGATCGTAGATGCCGCAGGAGCCACTAGGATGAGCTTCAGATCTTGACTCATGCATACGCCACGCTGAAAATGCAACCAGGCTTCGGTGGTGGCAATCGGTATTCAAGTTGCCGCATGTCATGCATCTATGCTACTTTATCTACGTTGGATTGCGCCGGACGTCTCATGATTGTTTGGGTACATTCGGAGATCTACAAGAAAATCTCGAGGTTGAACTCAACTGTGCTAACGGGGTATGGCAGCTCGAATTTCTGCAATACGCTGGGGTGCAAGATACCGAAGACGCCGATAGTGTGGTTCTTGCCAGCAAGATTGATTTTGATGGACGCTGCGTGCCCTGGAAGGAAAGTCTTGTCTGGACAAGAATTAGTACGTGACAACAAATAGTGGAAGGACTTTATTGTCTTACCCTCGACTTCTTCAATCCAGTAGCCCTCCAGTGCAGCATTCTTCAGGCCATCTTCTCTTGTCGTGAACTTCGATCGAAGCATAAGCATCAGGCGGTCCATGAGACCGTGTACCTGCTCAAATCCAGATGTCTTACCCATGATAGCCGCAGCAAAGTGCCTTTCGTTCCGGCTCTTGCGCTCCTTGGTCTCGTCTTTGAAGCCGACGTCGCTGACTTCGAAGATCTTCATCGGCACCGAGTGGTGCTTATTCGAGTTGATCGTCTTCAACAAACCGGGCAGAAGTGATGTGCGGACGAGCTGGTATTCAGCAGTCTTGGGGTTGGCAAGCTTGATGGCTGTCTTGCCGTCGTCAACGCGGTTCAGCCATTCAAAGTTCTCCTCGTGCGAGCACAGAATGAGCGGCATAACTTCAGTCCAGCCGGCGGATGCGGACTCGAGGCGCACAATATCAGCGAGCTTGTTGATAGGAAGCGGGGCAGATACGGCAGCAGTCTTGTTCGGGTAGACGCGAGGCAACTTGTTGAAGCCGTACGCGATGGCGTAGTCCTCCATGATGTCGGCTTGGTGGAGGATGTCGGCTCTTGTGATGGGGACGGAGACGTCAAGGATGTTTTTGTCCGTCTTCGAAGGTGTTACATCGTGGCCCATCTTGGAGAGGAGTACGGAGATCTCCTCTGGGGAAAGATCGAGACCTGTGACGTTGTTGAGGTAATCAACCTCAGCCTTCCACTCGCGCGGTGAGAGGTCTGGCGAGATCCTTGACTCGCTGTTGTGAGGAGAAACAATCTTGATTGCCTCTATCGACTCGGCGTATCCTGCAAACATGGCAATGAGCATGTGGTTCACAATTTCAACCTTTGTCTTGTCGGTTGCTGTGATTTCGATAAGGACGTTCTTCGTGTCCAGTGTAATCTTGCTGTGGTTTCCATTGATGATGGGCGGGAGCGAGAGAACAGTTCGGTTTGCATCGTAGATGACAGGGTATACTGGCGAATCTCTAATGATGTGCAGGAAGCGACCGAGGTGCTTGTCTTTCTGTCCAAACGTCAGTCGCACTCCTTTCGCGTGCCTCGCACATAACGCACCTCGTAAAACTCCATAAGTTCCCTAGCGTTCATCTTCTTCGTCTGATTGAGGGGGATAAACTCGATGTCCTCCGGCTTCAGAGCCTCGTATGTGAAGGGGCCCTTGATCGCTGCCTTTCGTCAGATGAGTCGAGAACTGGTTTTTGTGCCACCCACTATCAAGGTCATGGGTTCCAACGGAGACCAATGTACGCTGGCGAGCCAGGTTTTGGTGCAGCTTGTCCTGTAATGCAATGAAGGAGTCGTATCGTGCTTGTGTGAAGGTGATGCCTCGCAGAATGACACCAGAGCAGAGTTCGCGGATTTGGGCAGTCTGTCTTGGTTAAACACTGCTATGTTCATCCACTTAAGACTGTACCAACCTCGGGCTTGATGTGCAACTCCTGGAGCTGTCCATCCTTCGGCGGTGTAACCTGCCATTTGGGCAACTTCTCCTTCTCCAAGAAGACCTTGAGATTCAGGGCAATGCCCTCGAAGCAGAGCATGTCATATCGGTTCGCCGGAATCTCAATCTTCAGCTGCGGTGGTTGCGCCAGGTCCTCTGGCTTTGTGCTCTGGCTCGTGTCCTCGTCCAACTCAATGCCGAATTCGAAGCACAGCTCGTCGAACTCCTCGGTGGTGTATTCGCGGCCGAGCTCCTTAAAGAGCTCCGCCTTATCGACGGAAATGGTAGGCATTTTGAGGATTTGGAGGCCTTAGTTATGGTTTCGTAGAAAGATGGTGGGGTAATCGGCGGGGCTGTCGCGTGCGACAAGCGCGTTGTGACGGATATTTGGCTGTGAGCCTTGGTGTATTGTGTGTGCCGAAGCCAGGGAAAGCTTCTGTGCCGCGTCAATGTGTTTGTTGACAGCTGTTGTGGCGTCAAACGCTGCCGAGTATTTATTTCGATGACTCTGAATTCGAACTTCGAAGTTGCTCCTGCATTGCCGCACGTCGCAAGGTCCGTGCCCGATCTAGTCCGAAGACGGCTGGCTGCCCATTCTACTCGACATGTAAGACAGTAGATTCACAAAGGTGGGTTGCAATAGAGGCTGAGGTAAAGTCATATTGTTTCATATCGTGTGTTAATATTTGGATCAAGTGGCTGTATGCCACAATGAAAGTGTAGCTCCAACGCCATCAATGCTCCGTGTCCTCCGCTCCGTGCTGCTATGCGTAACCTGCCCACCAAGTCGCAATACATCGTTGTTTAGATTCTTGTGAGCCCCTGCTGTCTCGCCATGCAGTCCAGAATGGATAGACGCCAGTGGCCGCTTTCGTGCGCACCATGGCGATCATGATCTCGTCAGCTCTCGGTCAATGTCCAGCAGATGACCCAAGTATAGAACCAGAAATAAAAGAATATGGGTTGTCGAAGGGTAGCGGCAAGAATCTTAGTCCTTCCAGTCCCATACCTGCTTCAAAAAGTGCGCCATGTTGACCTTCTTGGACTTCATCTCGACCATCCAGGGATGCTCCAGCATGCGCCAAGGCGTGGCGCGACGCGGGCAGTCCTTTTCGAGGCTAGGTACCGTTAGCGATGGTTCTCTAGCGGTAAGGAGGGGTTGCTTACCAGCATTCAATAAAGTACTTGAAGTTCTCTGACCACTTGATGCCAGCCTCCGGTTCATCTTTCAGTGTAGGAATCGGTTGTCGGACGATGTAAGTCAGAAGATCAATGAGACCAGCGCGAGGATTCATCTCTGTACCGTCTGCGGGGAACGGGAAACGATGTTGTGCAACTTCGAGAAGCGTCACACCTAAGCTCCACACATCGCTAGTGATAGTATAGCTCTGTCCAGTGATTCGTTCAGGGGCCATGTAGTACGATGTGCCAATGAAAGTATTGGCGTCACCTTTCGTTCCGAACTCACCAGACACACCGAAATCGCAAAGCTTGACCTGCCCGTTCTTGCAGAGCAGGATGTTGCTAGGCTTGATGTCTCGATGGATGATGCGGTGGGAGTGTAGGTAAGTCAAGCCATTCAAGACACCTTCTGCGACCTTTCCGAGAACCTTCTCGCCAGTGCGGCCACCCAGCTTTTTGACCTCGCGGTATACCGCGTCGAGAGATCCACCTTCGCAGAACTCCATGGCGATGCTGATTGTACCAGAACTGTCTTCCACAAAGGCGCCCCAGTAACGACAGATGTGGTCACTGGCGCAGTTCTTATTGAACGATAGTTCTCGTACGATCTGTTTCTTAACATCCGGGTCGGGATTTGTAGTGATGATCTAGTCGTGTAAGTTAGTACGGGTATTACAATCGAGTTAGTGGACGTACCTTCAATGCAAATACTGTCTTTCCGCCCTTCAGCTTACATCTGGTGACAGCGCCACCAGCACCCTCCCCAAGACTGCCAAGCTCATCGATCAAACCTTTGTTGCTGGCTGCTCTCCATCCCATGTCATCAAGATCCTCGACATCCAAGGGGCGACCCTTTTCCAGCGCCAAGGCCTCGAGGTCTGGCATTGGTTGACTGCTTGCACCCCGCTGCATAGTTGATCCTCCCTCGCTGCCGCCCTGCGATATGGCTGAGATAGGATCGTTGGCCTGATTGGGTTCTTGCAGGGTTGAAGGGAACACTGTGCCATTCTGGTATGACGATGCAGAGCCATTCGCTTGCATCTCGCCGAAACTGCCAGATCTTGAGTTCGCGCTTGCATCGCTCGAGTTGGCAGAGAGTCCCGTCGATATCTGCAGCGGGGGCAGCCCTTGTGGTGTTCGACTTGAGCCCATCGGGGTCGCAAGCTGTAGCCGCGGGCGACCGCCTTCTTGAGGGGTGGTGTTCGAGCCCATGGGCGTCGCGAGTTGTAGACGAGGAGGCATAGGGCGGCCCATGCTGGGCTGCCCGTCGCTGGTGCCGTTCACAACAGGTCGAGCGTTCGGTGAGGCGGGGATGGACAGGCCGAGAGCGGGTTTGCGAGGTCCACGGCCGCCAGGGACAGGCGCGCGGAGAAGCGGTACGGGCGATGCCATGTTGGGCTGAGGACTCGAGGTCGCGTTTGCGGAAAAGCCGGGCAGCATCTATAGCGCTCTGCTTGAAAGAGCACTCTTACGGCTGTTGTAGCACAGCTCGAGTTGGCGATGCAGCAGCAGCTACTGCAGTTCAAGTGCCTGCTGTGCAAGGGGCACAGCGGACAGCTAGTCGACCGAGGATGCTAGAGGCCTCGGAGTCGTCCCAGGTTCCTCAAGATCGAGGAGCTGTGTGAAAGCTTGTGTTGCACGCAGGTAGTGTGGGTTCCGGCAGGACGGTTCGCTGCCGTCAGCCGAGGAATGCTGACCGACTGCTGCAGGGCGTAGGAGGGGGCGAAGGGTGCGTGGCAGAAGCAGAGCTGCGGTGGACGGCGGCTTGGGAGACTGGGCCGCGAGTGACGTTGGCGGGCCACGAGTCCTAGGCAGGTGCGGCTCGCAGGCGGCAGGCGCGACTCGTGGGCGGGTAAGGCTGCGAGACGTTGGTGGACAGACGCAGGACAGACCTTGCTTGCAAAGCGGCTGCAAAGGGCGCTCGCTTCTATCGGTATCCGAGGCGTGGCTTGCGGACTGTTTCAGAATCTAGTCTCTGAGGGGCTCACACTGCTGTGGAGAGGTGACCCGGCGCGTGCTGGACAAGGCTTGCCGAGAAGGGCAGAAGGCACTCGAACAGTCGGTGGTTCCAGGGTCCTCTGACAGCGACTACAGCTGCTCGCGTGAGCTAACGATTGACAAGTAGACACGCGAAATGCAGTCAGAGACAATAGCGAGCGTGGTGGATAGGGATGAGGGCAGAAGAGTGCGAACAGCTGCAGGACAGCACGCGGCCCCACCAGGACGTCCAGCACGGCAAGACATCTGTGGACCAGCTTCACAAAGCGCTGAGCTGCGCGCCTTGAGGACGAGTGGCCGAGAACCTTGTTTCAGCACTTGCCTACTACGTACGCCCTCCCCATTCGCGGGCCCAACGCAAATGCGCTGAGTTCGTCCAAGTCCCACTGTGCGGCTGCCCTTGGTCCAGAGTCAGCCGCCGACGGCATCTTCTGACGCTGCGCCCGGCACCTGGATCCATCGCTCAAATAGAGAGTCGTGGGAATCCTCCCAGTGGTCGAGTATCTCTACGCACAAGATTGCTCTCAGTGCCTCAACCTAGCGTGTGCCTGACGTTACACGCAAAGGCTGTCCGAACGCGCACATGCAGCAGCCTTTCACGGTGGCTGACGTTGGATCTTCTCCTGGCACCCATGCGCTCATCATCGCGCTCATCACCGCTCTCGTCGCCGTGCCCATTACCGCGCTCATCGATCCGGGTGTGTTCCAAGCTTCATGTCTCCAGCCCCTCATGAATGCCAAAAGAAGTTCCCTGCGAGTTGGCCCTGCATTCGATATCAAGGCATGCGCTCCCAAAGTGGGCACTTGGCATGTACCTTATCTTGGCGATCGTCTCTCCTGTCTCATGAAGCGCTGACGCTCCACCGCGGATGGCTCCCGTTCACGCCTGTTGCGGCTGCCCCCGCTCACCCTAAGCGCCGGCTGGCCGTAATAGTCTGCGACCAGCCCGCTGGTGATGTGGTAGGCTCTTCACCAATGCACAATGGAGAGGGGTATTCCACTTAGGTAATTGGCTATATTTTAGCTAATTCTTTCGGAAGGGATTATAAGATGTGTCATTTCACCGGTGTGGAAGGTGTGGCTAGCTTCAGTGGCGATCACTCCAAATCTCTACCCGACACATTGCGCATGCGAACCCAAATCTGCACTTTCCCGTTTGTGAGCGAGCGAGCTCCGTAGACAAGGATACGCAGCTGCAGTTCAAAGATTACTCCGTACGCTTATCAGTAAATTTGACTTATATCGACGGAGCAGGCTGCAGCACACAAGTCGTTTCGAAACCAGGAGTTGTACCCGTTGAAACGCGAAATGGTCCCTTGTTCGTCATTGTGGTGCAGCATTGCTTCACCTTTTCGGAGAGTGTGCAGATCCTCGCGTCGTTGCGATCAACAATTCACTCAGCAGTCAACGATTTACTCAGCAGTCAACAATTTACTCAGTGTCCTGATGCATAAGCCCTCTGCAACGCCGCCTCCGATGCACTCAAGTTCGACTCCAATCTCCAGTACCCTAGGATGTCGATACAGCTACCGGCGGTCAAAATACGTCAAGCCGTGGACCACTTTATGTATCTTTCGGTAGTCATGGTTCTCGATCGATCATACGTCTCGTACGCGTGTTCGAAGACTTCGCGTACCTAGACCGGAGTCACCATTACTGTATCATACCGTCATCGCACCGGACTGCATAACGAGCATTTTTTCACCGCAAACCACTTTTGCCTCGTAAATGCAGCCACTGTGTGGTAAGATGGAGCACTGTACTGTACCACGATCTAGCTACGAGAGGGCAATGTAATACATACTGGTGAGCGAAGTATAGTAGAGTGACTGTACTAATTCACCCGGGTTGGCGTGCAGGCCCGCCCATACTGATGGAAGATGCCGTTGAGACACTGACAGTTTGCGACCTGCGTTCTGCACGCTGAAGTCCTTCCATCATGATGTCTTTCGCAGAATGCTTTTGCTGAACTTACGCTCTTCTCTGCGAGCATTGAGCATCACCTGATGGCTCAGCGCCGATGAATACAAGATGCACATTGCTTTTCAGCCTCAACATTTGTATGTGCTTGTCCTATGTATACGGAGCTTTGTCCACGTAATTTTTGGTCACACGATGTTGGGCCATGATACCTAAAGAAGGCTGAGCGTCATTGCCACCGCCATACCAGTAGCATCTCGTCATATTTGGATCGCGATGTACTTCTGAGAGACCAAGTCAAATGATACCCACGATGATTTTGAGCAGAGCCAAAATGGTTACATTGATGCCCCCCGCTGTACGTTCAACTCGCCGGTACCTGCCCCTGGAGATCTCTGCGTAGTTTTGTTCTCCGCCGGGGCATAGTACCAGTCGTGATTGTGCACTTCCATCGTATTATTAATTACGCTAGAGATATGGTCTTGGTAGCGTGAAGCAAATGGATCCATTGGCCTGTTTTGCACCACTTCCGCGTCATTCAACCCGAGCGAAGTACTTCCATGGCAAGCCCTCCAGCGCTGAGGTACGCTTGTGACATGGAGTCCTGAATTCGCAAAGTCGACTGAATGTCAGACTGCCACCTCCCTGTCCTGCCAAGTCCATAAGAGGTGGGACGCCGGCTTCAACATGGCGGGTCCTTATGAGAAGCTCGTAACGAATCGCATGATCTAATCGCGTATTCGGCAAAAGTCGGATGTTGATATACATCACCACTCTATTTTGGGTCTATCAGAAGAGCATTGACAGATAGCACTATCGAATTGGGTGTAGAATCGCTACGCGTACAATCAGTGTGCTTTTTTGTGAGCAATTCGGCAGATCGCTCTCCAAGAGAAAATCCTCACCCTTTGATACATCTAATGTTGACGTTCGAAAGCGATATTGTCAACGCAAGTTTCGAATACGCGGTCATCTTGGTAAGAAGACGGTAATCGCGATAAAATCTCAGTTCCTTGAATTGGTAGCGGACCATGTGCATCAAGAGCGCATTCGTGCTAGAGGTGCTGCTCGTGTAATCGAGATCACGACCAATTTTGATACGTGAGCCCCGCCTTCTAAAAACTCCGGTAAGTATTGAAGCAGCTCGATTGGTACTACGACCACGATTGTGATCGATTTCGTGGCCTAGTATGCTAAAACAATGCTCCTCTAAACTGTGCTAGCGCCCAGAGGAAGGTAAAGTAGCCCATGAATGCTAGAGCGCCTAGGCACTATAATAGATAACTGGTCTAGCCTCGCAGAGGAACCAAGTTTCTGCGTTTGGAGTAGGCACCTACCTGCTGAACTGTCTTGACTTATCTGGGTAAACACTCAACAAACACGTTAAACGTACACCTACTATTTAGGTAGCCATTGAACATACGGGCAGCGGGTATGAATTTTGGCGTTCCTTTCCGCTGCGTCTTCATCGTTGCTTAGAGGGTTGTAGTAGGCCGCCGGATCTAGCATTCCAACTTTGTGAGTCACATGCATTTTTGACTGTTGGCATTGGAGAAAACAACAGAACATCGGCTGCTGTTTATATAGTCTCAATTGATTTGGAGACATCAGTGGCGCGCGTTCGTGAATGTGCGTCATGCGTGAAGCCAGACGGACACAGAGCAGTACACCTGTCGTGAATTCATATCGCAGTCAGACTGCAGCTGTCTTCAACAGTACCTATATATCCCACATCTCATTTTGCATTACATGATAGATTAGGGTCTGATATGTGTGGATTGGAGCGCTGATTGCGCGTGATAGATCAAATTGTTTTCGAATGTATAAGGGATCAGATGACATCAACGGCCACAGAAAAGCGACATCAGGTGATGTCGCTTTTCTACATTTTGTGGGCACAAAGTGTAGGACTACGTATACATGCCCAAGATCACAACACGAAAGATCACAGACCGCGAGATCACACAGCGCCAGATCACACAGCGCCAGATCACACAGCGCCAGATCACAGAGCGCCAGATCACAGAGCGCCAGATCAAGCGTGTGCATGATTGAATAGCCGAAGAATCGCATTCGATCATGGCTATGTGGGTACAATGTGCCATGTTGAGGCGGCTCTTCGAAAACACTTGGTTTTCTCAATCCCAAACCATGGTAATCGAACCTTTAGCTTGCTTTCACCTCTAAATAGGCAGGCTCCAGCTATTATTGTGAGCGCCAAACGTGTTTCAGGGTCCAGGATCTGCGAAATTTTCTCGAAAGGACCTAGACAATAGCAACAATAACGCCCGTGGCAGAGAACAGGGCTCAGCCTCCCGCCCTATAAAGGCCAGCAATCCCCCCCTTACTTCTCATCTTCTTTCTTCAGAAGCCACACCCATTACTCTCTCTGATCGCTCTTCAGACCCATCACAGTTTTCAACACCTTCACTACCTTTCACAATGGCTTCACTCACATCACTTCCCATTGAGCTTCGCTCACACATCTTCGCGCTTGCAAAGCCCGACACCATCACCATCACCATCAAGGAGAGTGCCGATCTCGCCGTCACCTCCACCTCCTCACCACCTGCTCTCTTCACCACCACCAAAGAGTCACGTGCCGAAGCCCAGAAATGGGAATTGACGCCGTACTCGGTGCTCGTGGGAGACGACTACCAAGACCTCCTCTTCTCTGGAGATGTCACACTCCACCTCATCATTCTCCCTTCAACCGCCGAACACCTCTCCATCACATGGACAGAAGTATACACTGTCCTCGGCGACGCGCTCCTCGACGCGCAGAAAGTGGAGATCGAGTGCAGCCAGCCTGAGCGTCTCGCCAGGCTTTTCATGCTGCCGGAGGCGGAGCTTGTGGGGGTAGGGTCCAGTTGTGTGGACCGGTGTCTGTTCGGTAGCGAGATCATCTCGTCGGACCGGGAGACTCGCGAGGCCCTTCGACCCGATATTTCGGTGTTCGTTGGTACCGAGGAGTACGTGTTGGAGGAGGAGAGGGTCGAGGGGTTTTTCGGAGAGGAGGGGTTTGAGACGAAGGGGTTCACGAAGAGATCCGCACTGTACTTTCAAGATGCGGATCCGGCTGTTGACGAGGAAACCGAAGCACTGTACTTTCAAGATGCTGAGGTGGAGTCGCAGTCGGCGGAGAAGGGGTCCGGGGAGGAGTTGACGGAGGACGGGTTGGCGAGGCTGTGTGCTGAGATGAAGAAGCTGTTCCCCAGTACTTCTCATTCTGCATCAGATCCTGGCGGTAGTGTAATGCCCGAGCTCGATTAGGTTTGCCCTCCAGCTGGCTGGTGGTGTAATTCTATTCGTTCTTCGCACTTCAATTTCCCTTCGATGATTCACAGTGACTATATCTTGATTCGCATCGTTGATATTATGAACACATCTGTACCTTCACCTTATCCATGGGATTTCCAATGCCTCCCTACTTTCTACAGGGACTTCAATCCAAATGTTCTCTTCACGCCTTTCTCTTCGCTGCTGCTCTACTGTAGACATCTCAGGACCCCTTGTGGGTGCTTTTACGGGATACGAATTGATTCAACTATCCATGCAGTCTTGTAGTTTAGGTTTTCAACGAGTGATGCAAGCTTCAGACTTTGATTACCCAAGCAAGTCAAGCCTTGGTACGCCGTATGATTGGGTGAAACGACGTAATCAATAGCTGGGTGTAGAAACAAGCTGCCAAAATTTACTTCTATAGGACTACTAGATCAAAAGGCTAATTGTTCTAGTGGCCCTTTGAATCTTACTATAATGTGTTGCTAGCATGAATGAGACTTCTACCTCCCTCAGAAGCTAGTTGTCTTGAAAACGTAAAGCAGCAAGCGAACCTCGCCGACATCTGTGCCTAATCTTGGGGATTTCTATACTCTCTTCACACGAATTGTGCCTGTAGGATTCGGATTGATCTACTCCGTCGTTAGCAAGGGAGTAATTGGGGCTTTGAGGACGATACTCACAAATGAACCGACATGGATATCAGCTGGGCGTTCTGCACCAGGCTCAAGTGAAAGGTCGTACTTCAATACAATCATTGCAAGGAGTGTTTTGATCTCGTTTGCAGCGAAAAAGCGTCCTGCAAGAAGATCAGCATGTTTCGTCAATCAGCGCTTTTTCCATTACCTGGGCATGCGTGTCTGCCCTGGCCCCAGAAGACATAGTCCGCGTTTGAAGAAACAAACTGATGACGGGCCTTATTGGGATCATTCTCAGCCAGTCTAATGAAGCGAGATCCGTCAAATTGATCGGGATTTTCCCAATTCTGAGGGTCGCGATAGCGTGCTGAGGCGTCGATCTGGATGGAAATGCCTTTGGGGAAAGTAGTGCCATCCGACAGAGTGAAACTTTTCATAACTTTGCGCTTGAAAGTCGCAAAGCTGGGCGGATGAAGCCGTTGTGACTCCTTCATGAAACTCTCAGTCTTGACCATCTTTGCGATACAGTCCCTGTTGTAAACACCTCCACTCGCGGCCAACGCTGCCTTGATCTCATCTCTCAGTACTCTGACGTATTCGGGATATGTAGCCAGATCGTAGACCATATGGGTAACGGCCATCGTTGTCGTGTGAATCGCGGCTATCGACAGTTCGAGTTGGAGGAGAGCTTGGGCTCCAAAATCTGTGGCATATTTGGGGTGCCTATTTGAAACCCAGTAGGACAAGTAGTCTTTGTCTTCGTCTTTGATATCCATGCTTTGACTGGCCTCTGCGTCCTCTTTGAGTATAGCGATGGCTTCTGTCCGAGCCGCTTCCAACGCTCGCTTTTCAGGTTCCAGGTACTGAGCGAGTGGACGTAGCCATGCTGACCACCGCTTCATCGCAGATACTGTTGCAAATGCGCTGATAGCCGCGGTTTGTGAGCACTGAAGCCAACGAGGGTCGCGACAAAGTCTTGTCCCTACAAATAGACGGGCTGAGACTTGAGCTACAGAATTGAGTACAACCTGGAAAACAGAGATAGAAACCCAGTCGTCCGCGTCTTTGGGAAAGAAGTTGTCCAAAGCCACCACTGCTTCCTCGGCAATGGCGGGCATGAGAAGCGGCAGTCTAGGTGTAAGGTCTGACCGGATTGCGTGTTGTCCAATAGGATCGACAACTTTGATATGGGAATATTGGGACAGCATGTCTTCATTCACACCGACCGTCACACTGAGAACGCTGTCGGGAAGCGCTTTAAGCTCATTGATGTAGCGGTCGGAGACAACGACTGTTTCTGTTCCGTCTTCAACAGTGGCACGGAACATCGAGATCTGTTTCTCTTGGAACAGTCGGTGACCAGCCTGCACCACCTTGTCGCATTCGGAGAACCATTTCTGCGCTCTCGCCTTTGCATCGAGCTCTGGAAAGACCAAGGGTATGTCGGCGTGAGTCTGTGTCAGGTATTTGAATATCCGGTAGACAAAAAGTAGTACGGCTGCAGTGATGGCGATGTAGGTCGTCGACTGAGTGCCAAAATTCGAAGGTGACACAAGGGTTGAGAGCACTGCCATATTGATTGACTTTGAGCGGTCAAAACAATGAGTTTGTTATTGTAGTCTACTACAAGAATGGACGCTCTCAAGTGCATTTATATATTGGACAAACATAGCTAGGTCGAAATTCATCCGATGCAATGAAGTAGTTTCCGTCCGGGAACAAGCATGGACAGAGACAATATGAAGGTTTTGGTCGGGATCGCCAGTTTCCGGTGTACAGTATGGAGGCGATAGATTAGAAGTCTACTGATGTGGAAGTCGTACATGCTTAAAGTGCAAGAATTACGGAGCAACCTAGAAGGTAGGTTACAATGACTGGCTCACACACCATCTCAGCAAAGCGCTGGAACGGATTAGCAAGAAGCCGTCCACCCTTCGTCCAATTGCGAATAAATCGCAGAGTAGAATGAAGGCAGATCACGGTTACTCGGAGACAGTGGACATCCGTGCCGGGACGATTTGCACACATGAATACCTGCAAGGACACCAAGAATCACATCAGTAAATCCAAGAAGCCGAGCAATAAAGGCCGGAGGCCAGTTTCAGGGGACCGTATCCGTCGTGTCGAGGAAGTCGGTGTTATTATGCTGTTCACATTACTCATTTGTGGAGCAAGCGCCTTGAACCGGTTTAGTGGGTCCGTATTCGCCGTGTTGAGGCAGTTAGTTAACTTTGATCCTGGTGCAGGAAGCTTTGTCTACCTAGGCACACTATATACAAAGCGAAACACAGCTGGCATATATCAACGCAGCAAAATCTTGATACTTTCTCTTGTAATCTTGCTAGGCTATATAATAAATAGGTACGAGTATTGATAGTAGGTCGAATGTGTACGGTGCACACTCCCTGCATAAGGTCTTCTCGATGAGAGCAACAGAGACTAGCTTCTACTTAGATGTACATAGACTGTGACAGGGAGTTCGCATAGAAGTAGCCGGTTCTTGATTGGCCAAGGTATCTCGACGGTTTTTGGGTTTACCCGTCCGGCATTTGACGACAGACCAGGACTGTCCCTCTTTTCGATCTAGAGATAGACGCGAACAGGATTTGTTCCCTATGTGTGCGTTATGTTGTAAAAGGTTTCAAGGGGCTTGCTGACCAATCTGGCAGCACTCGCTATCTGGCTGTGCAGCAATTCGCTTTCCCTTATTTTTACCAAGGGTCGAAGCACCCTCACGAACTTCTGATCCCCTAAAGAACTACATCAAACTTAGTACACGATAATAGAAGATGTCTTAATATTAGTCTTATTGGGATTTGTCTTTATATTTGTACAAAATCAAACAATTTAAGATCACTGATATTGTCGTTTACCACGTTGCACAGGGTTCCGCACCTAGATAGGGCCCAAACATGAGGGAAAGCGAATTATTGCGCAACCTAGTATCGCTTTACTTAGCCCATTCGACACCGTGAGTCGTTGCCTATGTTGACTCTTGCTTGGTCCTAGCCTCTTCTTTCACGATATTGATGTAACCGGGATAGAGCCAGTCTGTGTAAATCCCGAAAGCAAGAGTCTGCGACAGACATGGCGACTGTTCTCTCCGCTCGACCTTTCCAATCTGGCTTGAGCGTGTTCTTGAAGGAATCGGAGCTGTCACAAAGAAACGTTTCGTGGACGTAGAACTTGTCGGCTTGACTACACGACAACGGTAGCTGTTGCGAGCCTGATGCACGTCAGTAGGTGCAGTGGGTTGGTGTTAACTTTCTCACGGGTGGGGCAGCGGTTTTGCTACACATTTTTTTCTTCGTACTCTTGCAGGCGTAGTCGAAGTGTGCCTGGATATGAGCGTCATCTGCCGCTATAGTGCTCAACCTTTCTGTGCGATCTCACGACAGCCATGTCGAGTGAAGTTTGAATGGTGGTGGCAAGTAAAGTGACTGTGGTAGAATATCCTTCGAGAAATGCTGCGAGGTCGAGAGTAGATGAGTAAACCTCGGAAGGTAGGGGAACTAGTCGAGGCTGGGTGAAACGATAGCGCATATTGAATTGAACATAGTCGTTTAAGCGGAAGCGCCGAGGGAGGAAAATTTCATTCTAGTAAGGCGCTTTGTTCCATTTCAAACTTGATCGTGGAAGTGAACTTAATCCACACCTGACCATGCTTTGTTTGTCACAAGGCATGCAGTACGTGGATTGACCTCCCAGCTTCATCATCACTCTCCTCGAAACCTCTATACAACTCATATACTCGATGCCATGTGAACCATAACCAGCGGCTTCCGAAATGACACTTCTTGTGCAAGCTTCCTCGCCTGAAAAATGCCACAAAATCTGCGTGAGAACCTGCCTCAGCGCGAGAGAGTACATATACCCTTCTAAATATTGGCGATGCGATTCAACCCAGTGGCACGATCTGAAAAGATGTGACCGTGAACAACCGCAGGTGCTGCGGAAGTGGAGTGGTACTCAAGCAGAGCTGATATAATGTGTCTACCATGTGAGCTGTCTGAAAATACTTGCTTTAAATTGCCTTAGAGGTCGTGCTTGGCCTTGTAGAAGGAGCGTTGTTGATCGTGTGCTCGTAGTACTTGTATGCATCGCTGTCCTTGAAGAACACCTTCACTTTCTACTGTACACAACCTTCACGCATCACGTCTGCCATTCTAACAAGCAGATTGTTCGAGAGTGTGAGAAGATGGATTCTATCAGGAATTGTACTAGAGATTTTAGCTGATAATGTTTTGTCGCAAGATCAAGAATAAGCTTGTAGTAAGGCAGCTTCGCATCTAAGTACAGCTACAACAATTCGCCTTATATCATGCGCCTACTCCATTGAGCACCTACCAAGGAGAGGCACACTATCACGTGTGACTTAACAGGACATATCTGAGTACAGACGATGAACATGGACGAGGCGCTTTGAACGTGATTCGCAGTGATTGTGAGCTCCAGTCGCCTTCGGTGAATCGAAAGATGCACCTGATAATGCAAAGAAGCTATAATAGACCCCCGAAGAAACCTTCATACTCGTGATTGGCACCAAGGTATTTCTGGAGCGACTGGTACAATCTCCCGACGCTGGTAGCATAGTAATCGTGTCTTTCCGTAAGCTCTTCAGGTTGGAGCGTGAAAAGAAACACCTGAGGACATTCGTTTGGAAGTTCAGGGACAGGACGACAGAACGAGATCGAATTAAGTACGCACTGGACCATGGTAGAACGATGAAGGCTTTGTAGCACATGGAGCATTGAAATCTGTCCGCTACAAACGCTCTTACTCTTGGAGAAAGCTGAGTCCGTATGCTGTCTGCAGGACAAGAAGGGTATCCTCACAGTAAAAGGTGTTTGGCAGCGAATGCCTTTGTCTATGAAGGTAGCAATACCTGTGAGAAAGCAGAGATATAACTTGATCTACTGCACACTTCAAGTTATGCTTTTCCAGCACTATTCTGTTCACCACTGAACACATCTATACTCGGAGTGGCTGTGAAGCGCTCGTGATGGCCTTACTTTGGGATCCTCCAATATGAGTGATCTCAAGCCGACCATTCAACAAGACATCCAGGAGGCTAGTACGAGGTATCAAAAAATCAGTCTCTCACTGTGGAACACCCCCGATGTCCCAGGAGTACGACACCATGAACACACCAAAGCCCACACTCTCCAGCAACAATCGTTAGCAACGACCAGAAGTACCGCAACGGCACCCCCATTTCGCATTGTCAACACCAGAATTCAAGGTTTTCCCAACACCAGGATAGCATGCCACCCCGCTTACTCCCCACTCATAAAGTTTGAACACCCCCCAGTTCGCTGCCAACAAACCCTGTGAGTTTAGGCAGACTGCATTCATCTCCGTCGCGCACTCATCTCCGCCTCTGCATGTCGCCCCTAACCTTCCTGTCCGGGACGCATAAGAAGCTAATTCCAGGTAAGCCAAGCACCGCCACGTCGCACCGCATATGTCGACGCACAGCGGCGGGCCTTGCACCGTTGGCGAAGACACGCAAGAGTGGCGCAACGGCCGTTCAGGGGAAGAACTGCACAGCGGGGTTCGATGAGCGCAGCGCTGGCGCGCGTTGCGCACATCGCTGTTGAGACGCGTTGGCGATGTCGGCGAGTCGCTGGTGGGGGAAACCACGCACCACGGGTTCCTCGTCGTGAGACCGTCGTGCGGACAGAGTCGAGGCAGTTCCTATCAGACCGCCAAACGCCTCAGTCGTCATGCGCAGACCCGGATGGTTGACGTTTGACACCTGCAATTGCGCGGGCAACTGCCAGCCACTCCACTCTGTGTAACGCCATGCCGCCATGCCCTGGGCTCTCGACACCGCTCACATTTGACCCTGCGGCACTTACGTGCAGGCATGTGCTGCTCGCGAGCGTACGTACATGCGTGTTGCACAGTCTGCAGCGCAAACTCAAAGTCACCCCAAAACTACAAGGTGGATACACGGGACGCGCAGATCGCGGGCGCTTCCTTTGAGCACCGCACACCACAGCGCAGCACGGGTGCGGCTCGACCGTCGATCCAGGGTTCGAGCTACCGCGCTGGAGCTACCGCTCTTGAGCGCGAGCCTGACCGGACGCGGACGGGCAATGTCGGGTTGCTAGGACACATTCACGGCGTGTGGAGCGGGTGTCCTGCGTCTGCGTTTGGAAGTGGAAAGGTTTGCCTCAGGGCGAGAAGAGCGGTGTAGCGCGGCTACATTGCTCCGACCACTATTGCGCTCTCCTCGGGCGATGGTGGCGGGCGGGTGTGGGGCTGGCCTATTTTCAAAAGCTACTGTTTGACTTTGACAGAAGGAGGGGCGTATGCAGGTAGTGAATCATGAGTTGCATCGTGAGATTGCGAACTGATGGTTGAAGTGTAAATGTGGACTGAGTCCTGTCGTATATTCTAGACTAAACTGAATAAGGCGTGTACACCTCACGCCGAAACACCTCCACACTGATGCCGCGCGTGCCGGCACGTTTCGACTGTGGCTCAGCATGGCTAAATCGCAGGCGCTTGAAGCGCGACCAGAGCCAGAGCCAGCTGTATCAGAGGTGCATATGCCGCAGCTGCAGGTTGATGCAAGTCCCAGATGATGTGCTTCTGTTGAGTCATATTGCTCGCTCCGAATGTTGGAAGACTCGATGATAGTTACATGTAATTGAAGAGGAAAGGACGACTAAGTATCGTCTTTTGTGACGATACCAAACCATTGAGGTAGGTCGTGACTGTAATGAAAGCCGACACGCTCGCTATGCCATAGATAAAACAATCATAAGAAACAAAGGAGGAGATAGGCCAATCAGACAGCCAACAAAGTTGGAAGCTCAACGGTCCAAGTCCTCCGATAACGTGAATGAGATACTCAGGTAAACGGGTTCCGTCCCGACCTGCAAAATGAATAAGTTTTGTGGCCATCAGTTCGTGGTCCAACGTTTCAGCCGTGAACATGGCATCGTAAGAAAGAGTGTTGAACAGTTGGATCGCTAACATGGCGTCCATGACGCCGGGGAATCGCAAAATGCAAACAGGCCGTTCATTGTTTAGGTGTCGTCAACCGTATATTGTAAACATCGGACACGTGAGTCGTTGATCGTAGGATGTCGTGGGAGTAAGCTGCGGGGTCTCGATGATAGGTCTCGTTGATGATAGGCGATTTGAAGATATGCAGCTTGTAAATAGAAGTAGGTTTAGTTCGCGCGAATCACGAGCTTGGACAAGAACTTGTTTGACAGGGAGTCGAAGTCCTCGCGATCGAACTTGCAGTCGGTTCTCGAGCGCAGATAGGAGTCTGTATGCCAAGTTAGTATCATACTAGATTGTATGAGTAGTGTATCGAACTTACCGTATTTGGTAACATGTGCACGGACATCAGTCATAGCATCACACACCGCTGGGTTGCTGTTGAGCAGGTGGTGGTGCTTCCTGGTGTCCCATTCCTGGAACGACGGTAGCTTCTGAGAGATGGCCGAGAACAGGCCAACAATGACACCAACAGGTGTGCCCTCCATGTCGGAGCAGAACTTGTTGACAGCTGCCTGATCAGGGACACGGTAGCTGCAGTCGAACTGAATCAACTCCCAAACTGCAAGAAGGATGGCGGCCAACATGAAGATGGTAGGCCAGTTCTTGAGCTTGTCACCACTGTACACAGACTGATACAGCGAAGAGAGCTCCTCAAGAACTTCCTTCTGCAGCTCACGCCACATGTCGGCAAGAGCGCACTTGACCTGGAAGTTGATCATCACGGGCGCGATAGTGGTCCCGCAGAACTTTGATGATGTGTCCTCAACCTTGCCAGGTGTCTCCTCATCGCCAAGGCCCTCAACCATGGTGACGTGAAGAGTCAGGTTGTAAGCGATAACAAGCTTGAGAGCCTTACGGATCACAGGGAGCTTCTCACGAGTGTAGAAGCGGTAGGCAGTCTTCAGCAGCTCAGTGACGAAGTATGTGCCCTCAAAGTACTCGTCGACGAAGTTCTCGAAGCCGCCGTCAATGTGACGGTCAAGATAGTCGCTCAGCATGCTGCGCGAGACACCCTCCATACCAGCGGAAAGCTTAGCAGTGTTGATCTCGAAATGCGAGCCGCTGAGAGTCTCGTGCCAGTCGACACCGAAGCACTTCTCGTCACGAACGTAGACCTCACGGGCCATAATGGGCAGGTAGTGGCCATAGCCGTGGGTGACGTAAATGGGACGTTCATGCGGTGAGAAGCCCTTGATGTTGCCAATAGAGAAGCCAAGACTGACATGACGTTCATAATCAGCCTTCCAATCCTTCATGAAGAAAGCAATGTCCTTGATGTCAATGCGCGTGCATGGTACCTGCCAGAGACGTGCGTGAGATGGCTGGCACCCAGCGCACGGATCGCCCTTGTCACAGGTCTTCTTGAGGAATTTGCACCTCAAGCAAGCACGGAGCTTGCGGATCTCGTGGGCCTGTTGACGCTGATCTGGCCTGAGAGGGCCGCGTCTTCGGCCGACACGCTTTTCGCCCGTGGTGTCCTTCTTGGTGGTGTGAGCAGGGGTTTTCTTGACGATGGTCTTGGTGGGCTTTGCGCCGGCGTTGATGGGTCCAGCGGGTGACTTTCTCCGGCGGACGACTGGTGGTGAGCTAACGACCGAGGAGGATGGTGAGGCTGAGCTGCTAGCCGACTGCTTGATAACGACGGGTTCGATCCGTGTCATGGGCGGGCTGACAGATTGGTTCGGGGAGATGTAGTTGTCGTAACCGTGGTCAAGCGACAGACCGTGACCATGGTTGCAGTCGTCCGAGTGGGCATGCGAGTGGACTAATGACAGGTTGTTCTCCGATCCAGGCGAGTTCATGGGGAAGTTGATCTCCTCGAAGCTGCCTAGCGAGCCGGCGGAACGCGGTACATCTGATTGATTCGAATTTGTCGAGTCCGAGGAGGTGCGGATGTGGAGCGACTGCGCAGGGTTGAAGACGATGGCTGACGAGTCAGAGAAGTCGTACGAGTGACGGTGGTTGTGTGCGCCGACGTCGACCCAGCCAGCGTCGCTACTTGACAGCGAGCGGACCTCCATCCACTGCTCGCCCGGCGACCCGCTGCCGATGCTGACATTCGAGTGGGCAAACTCCTGTGGGTTGATGTGGTTGAACTCCTGGGTGAAGTCACCCATGCTGAAGGGCGCGTTGAGAGGCGGCATATCCATGGTAGTGGTGGTCATCATGTTGAAGGGCATCGTCATCATGTGGGCAGGGTTGATGCCGAAGTCAACGGGCGAGGTCTGCAGCTGGCCGCCGAAGGTCGAGTCGAAGCTGGCAGTCATGCCCATGGCGCCGGGGGCCATGTAAGGATCCTGGGCGAAGCCGTCGGTGTTGATGTTCATCCAGGTCGCAAGCATCGGGTTCATGGGCTGCATGGCGGCAGGGAAGCCGAGGCCGCCGGTCTGCAGGGGCGCCATGGCTGTCGAGGTGGGCATGGTGTTGTGATGGGCGCTTGACGCGGTAGCAGACTGGATGCGACGCTGCTGGTGCTGGTGTTGGTGTTGTTGGTTTGCGTCATGTTGCTGGTATTGCTGGTGTTGTTGCGGCATTGCGCCGGGCGATGTGGGCAGCGGCCAGGTCTGGTACTGCGTGTAGGTCTGGCGGTTGGGGTCGAACGACGGGTCGAAGCCTCCCTCCACGCCGTAGAGGGTGCCGTCGAAATCTATGTGTTGGTGGTTCTCCATGCTGGCCACGGAGGTGTGTTTGGTGGTCGAGGGTTCGAGTGCTCAGCCGCTCTGAGCTGATGGTGAGCGGTGTAAGCACAGAACGTAAGCAGACCTGGAGGGGACCGAAGGGTAACACTCGTGTTGCACGGGCCTCGCAGCTGCCAAAAGTCGGTGAGGGCAGCCCCACTCACCAATAAGCGTTCTGATCTGCCTATGGTCGACGGTAGCGCTGCTGGCGCTGCAGTAGTCCGCCCGCGCGATTCGCACCTCACCACTGCGAAAACCCTGATGAACAGCGCGCGACGAGGGTGCCCGGCCGCGACGACTTCGGTTCTTGTGCGCGAGGTGAGGTGATCCAGGCTGCGTGAGAGGATCCTCTCCTAGCGAGGAAAATCACTTCGCAATACGCCTTTCGTCAGAGCGAGCGACGGGGCTGGGACCGCTGGGTTCGCCCGCTTGGACTCTGCTTGTCGCCCTCGACCAGGGCGTGCTGCCTGCTCGCCTCTCGTCCAGCCTGTTCAGCGCGCGGCGGCGCACGCCTGCTGACGCCTCACCTGCCGCAGCCAGTGAGGGTGCGCCTCGCCATGTCGCGCGTTCTCGGCACCTGGCGTCGCCAATCGAGGCTGCCCCTCCTCGATAAGCTTCCGATATCAGTTAGACTCGGGATCCAGTAGGATCAGCGTGTGGAGGAGGGGACAGCAAAGGATGCTGCCGCAGAAGCAAACATTGAACGTCGTTCCTCAAGCGACCGCGTGCCTGCATGCGCTGAGCGTGCTGGACAGCCGCTGTGGCCGCAGCCTCAACGCGAACCCTAGCATGAATCGCTGCTGCACTTGCCACTCATCGACCGATCCAACAGCTCAGGCCTCGAGGATGGGTCCGCAACTGCCAGACTCGTGAGTTGCAGATGCTACGCAGACTAGGGGTTGACTGAGGTATTCGCCTCACTGGCATGCCCCTGACAACTAAATACTCCGGACGGCACTTTGCTGTCGAAGTGCCAAACTCACCGACACCTTTCAAGAACCCTTAACAGAGCTTTTCATAGTCATCGTGCATCCTAAAAGCACCGAGAGCATGAGCGTCTTGTCCGACTCTACGCACTGAGCCCACTCTGCCATCTGTTCGGCGCTTCCTCGTGCTGGACGCGGCGTCTGCTAGAATAGACTCGCCATCTACATTCCCTACGATTCCTTCGGGTCAGTGTGCATGTAATAAGCGCGTCTGCGTGACAGTGCTCCCGCAGCGGCACCGCCTTGCGTCCAGACTCAGAACCGAGGCTTGCCGAGTTAGGAACGTTCAGTATGTCATGCAGCAGCAGGCTTTTTGTTGCCCGAGGCCGATATTAGCAGAAAGTGGGGGCCCGTGCTGCTCCAACGAGCAACGTTGTGGTGTTACACAATCGGTGACAAGTTGCATGGTGCATCACTAAGACCTCCCTCGTGACCAAATCTGCCGTTTGTTTCGTTTGACCTCCTCTTATTCCCTTGCATGGTACGATCTCGGTAAGTCCTGCATCCTGTCCCAAGTATCTGGTATCATCGGACAGGCTGAGCCCGCAGTCGTTGAGAAGTAGCCCAATCAATATGACGATCGATGGATCAGGCCATTGTCGTAGTCGTACCGAGCTTGCCGATAGTGCTCACCGTCGTACCTGAACGGCGTCCTGACGTTAGCGAGAGACAATCGTCGGTTTTGGCGCGTGGCTGCACGTCTGAAGAGCTGGAATGATGCGAGTTCGGTCAGCATGGCTTCAAATATTGGACAAGGGACCATCGACTTACCCGAGCGATGTTGTACGACAATGAGATGGTGTGGGGGCTAAAGGGTAGCGAGCGCAGGCAGCATAAAGCAACGTTAAAGCTCTAAAGTCGCCAACGACTTTGAAGTGCGCACAGCAAAAGTGTACTGGACGAGAGTGTCGATCGATTGCTTTTGCTCCTGCCATCAGTGTAGCCGGCATGGTTGTCCCTATCGAGTATCCCATCGTGGTGTTGCGCGTGCTGACGTGCAGGTAATCACCAGGGCCGGCCAAAAGATGACTGCAGAGGCGACCCGAGATTCTCGTGCTGAGGGAAGGGACGTTTCCGGCGCGTGGTAGACTGCTCCTGCCATCTCAGGGTCTGGCTTACACGCACTTCACTTCGCAAAACACAAGACATCATCAATTCCAGACATGAAGAAACGTGTGTATATTGCACTGGGGTGCTCAACCCACTTGTAGTCAACCCGAGCCTTATCAATCAGTTCCAGCTGACCTGCCTCACTCTCCCTAATGCGCCCCATCCACCTAATAATGCCGTCACTCCGGTGAACAGAATTATACCGCCGTACTGACCATTATATCCCCAGCTCTTCCCATCATGCATCCATTCATCGCTGGTAACTAGCGCGACACTCAGCGGTCCACTGATGACGTTCCCGATCCCTCTCCCACCAGCCAGTAGTCCAAAAATGAACCCCGTATCTAACGCATGACTCTGGGACTTCAGTTCCTGAAGAACTCCAGGCCAGGTTGAGCTGAAGCCTCCAGCAAAGAAGCCGTACGTAATGCTAAAGACAGCCAGCAGCGAAGTCTGGCTAGAGAAGCCCCAGAACAGAAACACAGCTAACGCAGAGCCAAGTGTCGAGATCAGTATCGTAGTCGTGATGTGGAGATGATCCCCAAGGCCACCTATGATGATACCGCCAGGGATAGAAGTAACATTGATCAGCACAAGGAGTGTGGTGGCCATAGTGGTGGAGACGTGGAGTTGCTGGACCGCATAGGTGGAGAGGTATGCGTATGGAAGGAAGTAACCCAGGGACTGAAGTACGTTGCCGATCTGAAGCATCCAGAAAGCAGGAAGATGGATAAAGCTAAGACTGATGCGCCGAATGGTGGCAGATTGTGACAGTGGGATCCTGGGCTTGAGGAAGTAGAGGAGAGGGGCAGACAACAAGACCTAGAGCTGATCAGTAGTGTCCATCATGCCGTCGCAATTTTGATCTTACCGTTATGGCACTCCATGCCTGGAGGGTAACGCTGGGCCCAAACTTTTGTAGGCAGGTATCCATAGCGAAGGGTATCCCTACACCAGCAGCAGATTTCCCAGCCCACATGACACCGTAGGCTAGACCCTTTCGCTTGACGAACCATTCGTCGAGGTACAATGTAGTGGGAGTAAATAATAAGCCACAGCCCAGAGCGCAGACGACTCCTTGGATGGCAATTAACTGCCAAACTTTCGTGGCAAAGGAAGATAGCAGAAAGCCGACACATGTAAAGAAAAGACCAAGCGGGCCAAACCAGCGGCGTAGTCGTGGCCATCGGGTCAGTATAGTAAATGTAAAAGGTGAGATAAGGTACATTACACCCTGTGTTGATTAGCTCGCGGAAGTCTATGTCATTGGCGACTGTAGCTCACAGTCATGGTGGTGCCAATCACCGCGACATTGCTCGAATCACCCTCGAGTTCATCTGGATGACTCCTATAGTATTCTTGAAACACGCCAAAAGCGAGAGAGTAGCCTTCAAGACTGTGAGCATTTTCAAAGACACTTCGTCCCGGGCCACATACCCCAGACCGGAATTTGAATCAATGAGCATCCCGCCAACACCATCCACGCTTCTTTGCCTCTGTCTGTGAGCGGGAGCGAGACTTGTTCGATCCCCTCAGCTATCTCTTGATTTGGCTCGTGTGCATCGACACGATCGGCACTTTGGAGTCTGTTGAGGTCGATAACCTGATGTGTTTCCGCCATGCTGGATGATACACTGCTACATCGCGGTAGTTGCAGCCGGCTTGGTAGTATTATATGCTGCCGAGTAACGTCAAGGGTTTGAGCTATGACGTCGAAAGAGAGGCACACAGGAAGGCATGATCGTCAAGGTATTCAGGTTGATTGGCTCAGACAAGTATTGAGGCCACAGCTAGAGCTACAATTGCGGGGTAGGCATTGGCTGCTCCACGGCCGTGAAAACCGCGACAATGTTGCATGGAGCCAGATTACGGCTGCTGGAGAAAGCTGGCGAAGGTAGCATGCTCTGGCATTACTTGACAGTTGTTGATGTGCCTAGATATGGGCTAGCTAGTAGCATACATAAGAGAGCTCAACCAACACAAGATCATAGCGTCGACCAGCGTGATTCCGGTGCTACTAAAAAAGGCAGGACCCCAACGATGCTTGTTATACAGGGTTCTGCACGTATACCCAAAACGCTGGAAAAGTCGATCTCGGTACGGAAAGATGTAGCCGTTCCTCGGAATCCGGGCTTCGGCTCCCCGAATCAAGTGCAACGTAGATCGGAATGAAGCTTTTAAGTGCTTAATCCAGACGGTAGAAGGTGAGAACAGCCTTGTTGCGCAGAGTTGAAAGAACATCCCTATCTCCATCAGCGTGATCGAGCACCCTCACCTGCACGTTATCTACATTTTTTGTCAATTGCAAAATATGGCACACATCGGCGCTCTCCCTAAGATCCAGAGATATATCACAGGCCACAACGACAGAGGCCAGGCCATCTTCAGCAACGCTTTCGATGAGGAAAGCAAGATGGAAGCCAACGATGACGGCATCGCATTTGCCCTCAGCTATACCACGAAGGGCTTCCCCGTTGATATGACGGGTGACCAGGACCTCAAAGTGTACGACAAGTACTTGAACAGCCCGCCTGGCTTAGTGGTATCAGGCGGAACCGTGCTTCGACACGTCGACATCCCTCCCAACACAGCGTGCACGATGCACCGAACTGTGAGCCTCGACTACGGATGTGTGCTCGAAGGCGAAGTGGAACTACTCCTCGACAGCGGCGAGAAGCGCGTTATGAAGCGAGGCGATGTCGCAATCCAGCGCGGGACGATGCATCAATGGATCAACCAGAGCAAAACAGGGTGGACGAGGATGTTGTTCGTGTTGCAGGAGAGCAAGCCGTTGGAGGTTGCAGGCGAGAAATTTGGCGAGCAGCTAGCGGGTATGGCGGGCGTACGGTCGTCGGATTGATATATGCGCAGTCGATTGTGTTCGTGAAGTAGATACAGTGCGAAGAGAACGAAGCTTCAGAGCTTCAGGTTTCAATGCCAAGGCACTTGCTCGATTCGACCGCGCACATGCTCCCCACTTCACATCTTCACACCTCGTTCGCGCGGCCAAGAGGGGTAACCACAAACCCGTATATCTTCTGGGACTTCAGTTCCCATTGTAATTTTGGAGTATGACATGATACAGCCCTTGCGGAAGCTGCGCGGTTACGAACAATAGTTACAACACTAAGAACATCCATTGTCCGCTTCGACCACTCACACTACTCGATCTCACGTGCTCTACAGACCAGGGACGACTATTAAAAAGATGGCACTTCCTTTGAGAAACACAACACAGGGGCCTTCCGAACGCCTGGAAGAGATACTTTCAAGTGAAAATCGAATAGAAGAGCTGTCAGATTCAGAGCTCGGTTCAGAAGACGAATACGAAGACATGGGCACAGCAACACTTGAGGAGCAGGCGAACATCGCCTATTTGGAGAGCATGCAAATACCGATTAAGGAAAACCTCCAAACTAAGACGTCGAAAACGCAGGACGAAACAATCAAAGTCATATTGCCATTCCTGGAGGGGAACCCCAACGGTTTCCCACTAAACTCACACGGCCTTGCACAGCTCCAACGAAAAAAACATGTGGAATACCTGGAAGACGCACTGGATGACTATCCTTCAGGATTTGCTATGATGGACGCTTCACGGCCATGGATTATCTACTGGGCCTTGCAAGGCTTGACATCGCTGGGCAAAGACATTTCAGAACACCAGCGGAGAACAGCACACACTTTCTCGCTGGCCCAGCATCCCGAAGGTGGCTTTGGTGGTGGCTTTGGTCAACTTGCGCATCTCGCATGCTCCTACGCTGCGACGCTCTCCCTAGCAATGGCTGGTGGCGAAGCTACATACGAATCAATCAATCGTAGGAAGATGTGGCACTTCCTGGGACGCATGAAGCAAGCAGACGGAGGCTTCACCATGTGCGAGGGCGGCGAGGAGGACATAAGAGGTGCCTTCTGCGCAATGGTTATCTTATCGCTACTTGATCTACCCTTGGAGCTGCCCAACGATTCTCCAGCTCGACGATCCGGCCTCACCACGTTCACCGACAACCTCGGGACCTGGGTTTCAAAGTGCCAATCTTGGGACGGGGGTATTTCTGCGGCGCCCGGCAATGAAGCCCACGGTGCGTATGCATTCTGCGGTCTAGGGTGTCTCTCTATCCTCGGCGCTCCAAAAGAGACCCTGAACAAGTACCTCAACATCCCACTACTTGTCCACTGGATGTCGTCCCGCCAATGCACTCCTGAGGGCGGTTACAATGGCCGCACTAACAAACTCGTCGACGGTTGCTACTCGCATTGGGTGGGCGGCTGCTGGTCGCTCATCGAAGCTGCAACGACGACTGGGATCTGGAACCGCGCGGCACTTGGGCGCTACATTCTCGCAGCTGCTCAAGACAAGAGGGGCGGCCTGAGAGATAAGCCTGGCAAGCGCTCAGATGCTTATCATACTTGCTACAATTTGGCCGGATTGAGCGCTGCACAGCACCGCTATGTATACGATGACAGTATCAATAAGAATCTTGGGCAGGTTGGATTGGGTGCGCCATTTCGTTGGAAGACCGAAGGACTGTATGAGGAGGACAACGTTTGGGACGTAAGCGACATTGTGGGAAAGACCCATCCCGTCTTTATCATTCCATTCAGAGCTGTGTACGAGTGTAGGAAATATTTCGAGGACAAAGAGGGCTTCTAAGCAGTTGTTCATACTATTTGCTTGTCATAGGTTGATAATTCATACACACTTAGTCTGGAAGCAGAGTCAGATCTCCAATGCTGTGAACGATGTGTCACTGCTCATGCGTCCATGTAGACCACAAGCGGCGGCCCTCCAGCCTTCGGCTTGACAAAGGATTTGATGGCTGCATGCGCCTCACACTCATTATCGTAGTAGTCCATGTCCGCTTTCGAGTCGAAGACCGTGCGGGCGACAAGCGTGTAGCCCTGGCTCCTAGGGTCGTCGTGCGGCTGATGAGCCGTTGCTTGCTTAATGTACGGTTTACCGTCCTGCCAATCTGTCAGACCGCTTACAGTACATTTTATTTCATATCTTGCACAAATGTTGTTTCTCGTCGCCACGATGGGTTGGTCTGTTGCCCGGGCGTATCTGCAGCCTCATCACAACGTAACTCAAAACCCATTGTTTCTAATAACGAGCCACTGCCGGCAACTAGGTTTATGAGGCTGGACTGAACTATGGCGTTCGGGGAAGTGATGAGATCCCTGACGTGCAGAGCAACGCAAATCAGCAACGTACCTTCAGGGCGTCCTGAGTCAGGGAAGAATATCTATGGATTGTTTCTGTAATGACAGCGGCATCCGAGAGTTTGAACATCGTCAATCGTACGACTTTCGACATGTTGGCGACAGTGTGTGAGGTCAGTTAGTTGCAAGAAGTGTCTTTCAGGTGCCGCAGCTTAGGTGTAGTTCTTTTGTCACGGGCACTTCGGAACTTGTGAGGAGAGCCATGCGCAGCGGCACGCTACATATGCTCGGGTCCCCGTCCACTAAAGATGATGTTCATCCAAGGCAATGTCTACGAATATATGTTTTGGTACTTTGCAGGCCCAAGACGCCTGCTTCCAAAAGCTTTGTCGCGTATTGGTACATGTTACATTGTGGCCTGGCTTACGTGCGTAATCCATGCTCAAGATCTGGGGCTAATAATAGTGAAAGAGTCTGGATTCGCACGTCTGGCATTCGCAAATCTGGATTTCTCAACTATATTAATCGAACGGTACAAAAGCATCGAGATGATGTGACGAGTGCAGGGCCCTTTTCGTGCAGTACACCGCGCAGATGGCGGAGCAAGCTCCAGACGCCCTGATTGTGCATGGCTGTTCAACCTTGCACGGTACAGTATGAGACTGACTCGATGCCGTGCCGTGTCATTCCTGATGTTCGACCCTGAGACGGACCCTGAGAGACGTCGCTCGAGGTACGCAGTAGGACGCGGAATGTTGCGTGGACCTGTACAACCTCGGAACAAGCGAGGTTCGGCTAGCTCGAGCACACTCTGGGGACCTGGCTAGGTATATCGAGAATGAGCCTTTCAACATTTTCATAATTCACGATTCATGGATGCACTCGACGCGCTTCATGGCATGGCAATCGATCTGTAACACTCAAGATGGTGGTTATGGGGCAATTGATGGCACTGTCGCTCTTGCCATCCCGGAGTCTGAGCGCAAAGAGGGGCAGTTGCGGTGCACTGACACGGGTCTTCACCGCCATTCTCAGTGCAGATTGCGCTGGTAGCCGTGCGTCATCCATCCCCAGATCTTCCCGCCCGTGCTACTGCCATGTTGCGACACTCAACAGCTGTCCGCGACGAGGCTGCAAACGCTTTCGACTGATTCGCCCGTTGCAATGGCCGCCATCAGCTCAGCATTCCGACTGCTCTTCCTGCGGAGAAATCCTGCAGTTCATGCTGTATGGACCCGCTTGAACCCACATCTCTAGTCTTATTCCATCGAGGCTTGGGCCGACGCCATAACGAGGCCGCTCCTGCGTGGACCTTGCACTTGTTCCTTCATGTACCGTTGCTGTACGCTGCTGGCCTATCGCGCTTTCGTCTTCGTTCTGTGCACCATTGCACTACTGTTCGGACCCAAGCTTTCACGCAGCGATCGAGGGCAACATGCAGCCCGTTTGGTGGTGCTTCAAATCATGCAAGTCGTGAGCAGCCTCGGCCATTAACCTTCCCCAAACATCGGCGATGGGCGCGTTCAGCTCGGCTGTTGAGCGACTAGGAGCATTTCTGAGCATCTCTGCACAAATCGACACACACGTCAGATGTATTGTTACACACGACATTCATCCTTGCAGACGTTCGTCGGTAATTGTGGACTGCTACATGCGCTCGAGCTATCGCTAGACTGTCTCCGCACTGATCCGACTCATGGCGCAACCGCCGTTGATGCCTCTCCTTCTTCGGTTACGGTTGCATATCGCTCGACCTTCAAAGTCAAGCGTCGTTGACAACTCACCATGCGCCATGCCATGCAGGTGCATGAACGCCCGCGCGCAACGACAGATTTCTGGTAGCACAACCCTAGTTGGCCTCCAACCCCTCGATTCCAGCAATGAGCCGATCCTATTTGCCTTTGTTGTTCTGCCGAGCAGCGCCTGCTGTTCCTGGTATGACGCTCTGCCAACTTCAGCCGTGATGCTCGCGATAGCGTGTCAAGTTCCTCTCCACTCGTCCTATCTCTAGGCGCGACTTCCGCTACCATACCTGGGTAGCCCTGTCAGAATGCTTGGGGTCCACTATTCCTGTGCGCGTCTGCGCCTGGTCTCTGATCCCGTTCATGAACTTGCCCCTTCGTATCCCACACGGATCTTCACCAATTGCTGCCAAGCTGGTCCAATTCGCTCGGGGCTTCAGTGGCCCTTTGCCATGCTTAGCATAGGTTCCTCATGCAACACAACATGTTGCTACTGGGCTGACCTGCTGAGGGGGTACAACCTGGCCGTCCCTGTACGTCGTTGTTTATGCTTCTGCATCAGGGTCTTTGGTACGTCGATCTGAAAGGTGCGCCTCGACGAACCACTGACCGCGCTAATGCTGCATGGTGGTGGCGACGACGAATCATCTCCCAGTTGGCGGATACCGGTGAAGCTTGTGCCTTTCTGGTATGAGCCCTTTCACTAGAAATCTGGAACCCTAGTTTTTGTTGGCGAAAACGCGGCCAACGCATCGATAATATGGGCCTCTTTGTACAGAGCCGCAAGACCCGCATATCATGCGCTTCCAGACGTCCAATTGAAGGCGCCTCTAATGGCCGGAGAACTCTGCATGTTCCAAGATACTCGCTGCACTCGGCTGCCGCAATTAATTACACGCAATCCCACACTAAACGGATACGTCCCTACTGTCCCATATACCCTCTGCACGCCATACCCTCTTGCTTCCTTCCATCTACAACGCAACTGCCAACCACTCTCCCCACCTTCAGTACACCTGGCATCCTCTCGCCTTGACAAGTGTCGACGCCTTGTTGTACAACATCAGCCACGACTACCTCTTTCAGTCGGGCACGAAAGGACGCTTGCCTACTCACGTCAACACCGGCCTCGATCTTTCCCTTCTTGAGCTACAAGCCTTCATTGAGCGATATCACTGCTTTTCCGATATACTCACAACCACTCACAACCAAACGCCATGTTTTACATTATGTATCTGACAGGTATGTTTGATCTTTCCACTCTTAACCAATCCTTCGCGGACTCGGTCAGAATGACAGCTGTCATGTCAAAGAATGATTAATCATGCATGTACTGCGGGGCATTGCAGATGGCCACGTTATTTTCCATCTGCATTGCTTATCATTCTGCGCCCAGCAGTCATTGCTCGACGAATCTTCTACCAATCTCTTTAGTACTACCGATCCTTTGCATGCTGACTAACATTCACTGCAGGTCTTTGTCAAAGGAGGCACTGGCCCGACCCTCTTTTCCAAACATATCGATCCGGCTATGGCTACGGATGCACAGTTCGTGTCAACAACCGAGAGTACTCGACAGACGTAGATTACGAGAGTGACGAACTCGCCAAAAATGCTGCGGCAACCCGAGCTTACATGATCTGTCGCAACTTCTCTGTCAACGATGGCATGTTCCCGGGCCATCGAGCAGGTCAAGGTGGCGTCGTCCAGGGCATGCCGGTTGCCATTGGGGCTGGTCGACGTAACACAGCAGTTTCCAATGACTACGAGACTGCCAGTAGCTCAAGTGGAGACACTAGTCCGAGAAACAGCGATTACGGCCTTGATGCTCCCGGACGTCGCTCAAGTAAATCGAGCACCAGTTCTACCAGTGCCTGCTACTGCGGTAGGGGAGCTGTAAGAATGTACGAGAGATGTAATGGCTGCTTGAGGGACGCCGGATATCAATGCTGAGCTGGCCGGGGCTCAAAAAGCGCCGCACTCTTTCGAATATATTGAGACCACGATCGGGGAGCACGACAGGGCTCCACAATTCGGTCCGATACAGTGACCCATGGTCACGTGTTTGTCTCAGACAGAAACTGGTCACATCTAGGTCTGGCGAACAGGACCGAGAAACATCGATTCCGGCCATCCACAATCGCGCATAATTTCCTACTATAGCATTCCATGGGCAGCGAAGGCATCATCCATCACATCTCAAGACCTATCATGACCATTCACGACTCTCGTTGGCTACTATTTCTTCCCGGTGGCTGCATAGCGACGGCATTGCGCATTCGAGCGATTAGCGACATTATCATCATTATCATCATCATCATCGTGGGCCGGCTGTCTTACTTTCTATTTGTTTCCAACTGGGCCGGCTGTTTGATCTTCATAAATTGCGAAAAGTTGCTGTTTTTCCTTCGTGACGATTACGATGACACTACGATCAAATGAAGAAAAAGAACACGATGATGAGCCTCGCGGCTTCACGATTACCATTACGAGAGCCATTTTTCATAGACCATACTCAAGTTCAATCTGACTATCTACCATTGCTCAATGCGCCAGATAGTTCTGGGTTCCTCAAACGTGGTGAACAATCAGTTCTGCTTGTGCACCGCACAGTGCCAATCCTCATCCCCAGCTTCGCGGTCTTTCTGCTTCTTGCACCTCTTGTTCTTCAGTGTCCTTGCGGAGCACTGGATCTTGGGGTTTTTGCGTGGTTTTTTGGTGCCCTTCGACTCAGGGGGCTCTGTCGCTCCCCGCTTTGGTGGCCTACCACCTCCCCTTGGCTCAGTGGGAGCGGACTCCCCGGCAGGCGTCACGGCACTACCCGTGGCTGCCGTCGGCGGTACAGCTGCCGCCGGCGGTACCACGGGTGTGGTCTCGATGGTGGCAAAGACTCCGATCTGCAGTGTGTTGCGAGTGGCAGGCGGGTCAACAGGCACTGTCTCCACAGTCGCCACAGGAACGTGCAACGAGTTCACCGCCTCCGGCGGCGACGGTGATGACCAATCAATAGTACTGGCCAGCTCAGGAAGTGATGAGGAGCTGTCGTCGGGCCGTGTTTCGTTGCCGGTGATGTCGCTCAGTGGCGACTGCTCAGTCCTCAGTACGTAGCGACCGGTTGTCACATCCCTTATGTAGTCGGGATGGCTAATGCGTGCTTGGTTGTGATGTGTGATGCTATCTTCGCCGGATAAGATGAGGGTCTCTTCTTCTGGTTGATCGATGTAATGGGTGAAGTACAGGTTCTCTGCATGGTCGAAGTAAACGAAGCCATCGGTGTTCTGCAAGAGCTGGTCCAAGTTCGACACGCGGTTTGGAAGGCGTCCGGCTAGCTCTGTGAGTGTGAAGCCAGTGAGGGCGTCTAAGTCGGTCAACTTGCTTTGGATCTCTTCGACGGATGGCCCATCGTCGGGGAGTATGAAATTGCCGGTCGTCACATCCTTGCGTGCCATGGTGTTGAGAACGCTAGCCACAAGTCTCCTGGTGTCTGTGGATGGCCAGTAATGCCCAGCCAACTCGGAATATGAGACTGAATCGCTGCTGCTGTGAAGAATGTTTGCCACAGTTGCCTTGATGCCTTGCTCTGACGGGATGGGCTTGCGAATGTATCTGCTCTCGACAGGGTCATCGATTTGCAGTGCTGTCTTGACGGAGGGCTGAGGAGTGAGCGTTGCAAAATGCTCAACGCGGTATACCAGCACCTGCACATCCCTCGCATTTGGAAAAGCGTGGCAGATTTCGACCAGAGTAGCGCCCTTCTCCTTCACACTGTCTCTGTCGAAGAATTCTTCCAGCTCATCCGCTGATGGCTGTTCGTCTTCGAAATACCGAGCTCGCTCCGAAACTCCCATGACCAGCTCATGCCACACCAGATAGCGCTTGAAGAGCTCGAGGATCAGCCATGAACCATCGTTCCCCTCTCGCTTCTCCGCCATCTCGATAAGATGGTTGCGCGTGTAGGTCAGATAGCGGTTCCATTCGGAATCATTCATTCTGGTAACGCTTCTGCAAGCCCGGATCCACAGAACGGCGGCCAGTCTGTCCGTAGGATCACCCATGGCCTCCTTCACGTACAAGATACGGCCGTCCGGTGGCAAGGGGTACTCATCTACCGGAAAGAGACCCACGCGCTTGCCATCTGGGCGGACTGTACTCGGCCAGAGTCGCTGCATCTCTATCACGTGCTCTTCGGTGAGTGGACCTTCGTTGTACTGACCAACCAAGTTGAAGTAATAGTTCGTCATGCGGATGGTGTCGACTGCTGCAGCATAGAGAACTGGCTCGAGGAGCGGATTTGTGAGACGGATCTGGCTGTCGAAAGTAGCTGGGATACCCACGCCAGTGAAAGGGATCGTGGTCCAGTCGGGATGATTCTGAACCGGGTAAGGGACTTGGACCTCTGTTTCCAATGATAGATTATCTAGAAACTGCAGGGCATAGTCGTTGGCGACATCCCTAGGATCCATACCGAAGGACTGGTGGAGACTCATGCTTGGATTTGTGCGGTGACGAAAGTGTGTGTTCGGCTGTGTGAGTGATTGATTGATATCGTCGTGCTTTCTGGGAAGAGAAAGTTTGGGAGAAGAAGAGAAAGGTATATACGTGCGAGAAACAATTGAAAAAGAGGACAATAGGACAATGGCACAATAAAGACTGCCATACAGATTGCGTCACTCTTGTGGACAATACGAGAACAATGGAAAGTGATTGCGGGTGAAAGAGACCACCGGCCAGCCGAGCGGTGCTTTGTCTTCACCTTGTTGATCGCGCTGGATTGGCGTCCATTTCTAAAGACCCCTTTGATAAGCAACAAGGGAACACAACACTTCTCAGAGCTTGATCATATCGCCCGAAGACATGCCATGTCAGATAACGAACGTGTCTTGATGTGGCTCGAGAGGAACCAGTTGTGTCGAGCAGACAAGGTTACAAGAGTAGCATATCCAAGGCTCGAATGACGCAGCCGTTGCTTCTGACAAGAGTTTATGCCCTATAAGCTGGGAACAATGTTGTTGTGATTGTTTGCTTGACGCCGGCTTGCCCCAGTACAATCCGCTGCAAGGTCGAAGACGAACCGTTGGAAGAAATTACAACAAACTCCAGCGATTAAAATCAACGACTCGCTTTTCTTGACTCTAACTCTTCAAGTAGCCATAAGGAAGTGCCTACGGAGCTAATTGATACCCTCGACAAAGCGAAATCGTAGCATGCAGCCCTTGAATAGTACGCCTTTTGACTGAAGTCCCACCCTGATTGTTCGAAACACGACACACGCCGACAGGAACGGGAGTTGACACGAGCTCTGATGAGCACATGCCTGTCGTCGAGAGAGCTAACACTCATCGAGAACAACCGCTAAGAGACTCCCATACCTGCAAACACCAAAGCAGCGACATTCATGACGACAATGACTCCCCAGATTATAACTGCGAAAGCCGTCGTAATCCAATGGTTGCGCATCTGCACATAACTGTCGGAGGCACCAGCTGATTCTCGTTCAGAAGGAGCTGCACTACTACCGGGCCTTACAAGGACCTTCATGTATTGCGCTCGGCAAGTGAACCAAATTAGAGGTGCGCTTACGAAAGGCAGTATGACGCTTAGTGCGAACTGACTACCGTTCAAAGCCTTGCTCAGTCCTTCTTGTCCAACAGAGCCAGCGATGACGATGGACGGTGTGATACTGATTGTTCGTGTCAAAAGGCGACGCATCCATGGTCTCATTGTCCAGTTTAGCTGGCCTTCCGATACCATCTGCCCGGCAATGGTGCATACGATCCCAGCCGATGTTCCAGAGAGAAGCAATGCAAGAGCGAATAAGGTACCTGCGATAGGTGCGATGGACCGTGACAAGAGACTGTGTATGGAGAAGAGATCTGCATCTGTTGCTTCTGATTGGCCGTAAAGCGACGCACCGGACACAATAAGGATAGCTGAGTTGACGAAGAGAGCGAACGTGAAGAGAGAGATGGCAAGCTCTGCAATGCTGTATGACATGCAATGCTTGATAGCGGCAAGAGACGGTCTGTACTTCAGTTCGTCTGTCAGGGAGTCGGTGTCGGCGTCACGAAAAGACGTGGAGTTGTGTTGGTCGTCATACTCGCGCAGACGCGGCTGTACGATGCCGCTACCCAGATAGAGACTATGGGGCATGACGGTAGCACCCAAAATACCGCAAGCTTGATAAAGCCTGTTCGGAATTAGTAGGGTTTGGTGTAGAAAGACACACATATTACGTACGCTTGCGATTTGACCAGAGTCGAAGAAGGAACATAGCCATGGAAAACTTCGCCCACCGAAGCGTGAATCTTGCTGAGTTCGAAGCAGAAACAAATGACAACACCGAGCACAAGCAATGCTACGAAGCATTCGAAGCCTCGGACTGCACGCATGGTGCCAGATGGTGAGTAAAAGATGAGGATGATCAGAACATCTACAATAGATATAGCACATCCAGCGACCAGTGGGACTTTGATCAGTATATTTAACGCGATTGCGGTACCGATGACCTGTAATTGTAAGCTCAGCCACTTATAAGGAAAGATATGCCCACCTCAGCGATATCTGTCGCGATAATAGCGGATTCTGCAAAGAAGTAAAGGACATAATTCAACCACGGCGGCAGATGAGCCTTGCAATTCTGTGCAAGGTTCATTCCAGTAACGGAACCTAGTTTGATGCACAAAGCTTGAAGAAAGATTGCGAACATATTGGACATCAAGACGATGAAAAGCAACTTGAACTCAAACGAGGCACCGGCAGCAACATCAGTAGCGTAGTTTCCTTGCATCAGTCAGCTTTGTCAATATGTAAAAGCATTTTGCAAAGCAATGAGTCGCTTCTCACGTAATGTTAGAGAACTTACCAGGATCAATATACGCTACGGCAACCATGAAGCCAGGCCCAATAAACTTCAAGTACTTGCGAACGACCTCGATAGCACGGCTGAGGATACCTCCACGACGGCCTGAATGGACGATTTCTTGGTCTACGCCAAAAATGGCGGACGGTCGGATGGCTGCTTCAGCAGCACCGGGGCCTGCCTTCCCGGCTACATCGCTTCTTCTGCGCAGGCCATCGAAAGCTTTTGCTTGCAACGTCCCGTCATCTTCATCCACTTGTCGATGACCTATCGCCAATCCGTTATCAGCGCTGCTGAAATCTATCCGGTGATCATCCCTAGCTCTTGTGTTTGCCATGTATCCAAGGTCCGCTCTTGTTGTTGCATCTGCGTTGAGCGCATTGGGGTTCTGGTTGTACCCTTCCGGAAATTCCGGCTCCGTACGCGAAGGGCAGTTCATCGTGTTGAGCTAACGACCTTGTTCTGTGTACCGCAGCGACTGAGTGAGTACGGTAGGCCGAGTGAGGTGTGCAGGTCTTGAGACGTCAGAAGATGTCGGCGTAATTCTTGTGGGGTAATAGCGGCGCCGGATGACGAGGCCGGGTTCGCGATTTCCGATTACGGTTTTGGTCTAGCGATTTCTCCTGATGCCACTATCAGGGCGGCGCTGTAAGTAAGAACAGCATCGTGGGCAGCCATTGTGTGAGTCCCTCACGTGTGCTGCTGCTGTTCGCATGTCACGCGATGGCGTTGGAGCACTGTGATGGTGGCGAGGCTCATCGATTGTGGGGCAAGGCCAAGTTTCATCAAGCCATAACCAAGGAAAGCTTGTTTGATGTTAGCCTCACAAACATTACGAACTGAATCAGGTAAGAAGGTCATAGAGATGATATTACGACGATCCCTCTGACGGTGTACACTTTGAAGAATCAACGGAGACATCGTTAGCCGCATGTTCCTGCGCACGAACAAACCCAGAAAGACGCCCCCAAAATTAGGGATGAAGCCAACCTCCACTCCCTTAGCAAACCCACGACCGCTTAACGCAGATTTTGCGCTCAACTTTCAAATGGAAAATTGGAAAGGCGACTCTCCACCTGAAGCGACACGTGTGATCAAAGCATACCAAAAGTCGTGATGCCTTCTTTGCAATCTGTACGATTTGCGTTTCTTAAGTGCTTGAATCACGGTTCGATTCTGTGGCTTGATGATATACATGGTGGAGTACCGTGAAGCCCGATGGATTTGCAGCTACCACATGATGAGCTCACCGATTTTCAGATGCATGTGCGCAGAGCTGATGCTGCCTGCGTACACAAGCTCCGATGCAGGTATTCTCTTGCTTCCGTATTGACGTACATGTCGCAATACCAACTCCGAGGCAATTACATACAATTGTTAGAATAAGATATTTCTGAGAATATTGTGTCTCTGTAGGCAAGAGAAGACAAGTCAACGCTGTGTATGAAACTAGTTTTCTGATTTACTGAGTTCAGCGATCGGGATTCGTATGGGCCAATAGCCGAAGTAAGCACGAGAAGCAGCAAGGGAACATAAACATGGTAATGAACAATTTGATTCTTGGTTTGATATACAGTCAGCATATGACTATTAGAAATTTATACAACTTGAGTGCCGGCTTTTGCAGCAGGCGAGTATGCTCAGCGCTTGAGCGAGAAGAAATCTATCTAGCTCTAAAAACAAAGTGCGGAAATGCGTGACGCTCATCTCAATAAAACGACGTAAGCAGGCGGGAAAATGCGAGAGATGCGAGAGACAGGCCTAGACCTTCTCTGTGGGTACGCCCGGCGACGATGTTGAAGCCGTGTGGTTGACCGACTTCTCGTTGTCAGCGGGGGTTGCTGTGCGGCTGGGCTCGTGAAGCATCTGCTCCTGACCGGCGGACTTGGTGGCACCGGCATTCTTATCTTCGGTCTTCTCCTTCTTGTTCTTGGGCATGCGGACGAGCCAGTAGAGGGCAAGAGCGGCGAAGATGTTGAAGATGACGTAGACCCACAGGATGCCGAAGTTGCGCCAAGCATCTTCGTACTTGGAGGACAGCGCGGCAAGGAAGACGTTGGTGTCCTTGATAGTGCAGTAGCTGCACTGATCGGTGGATGTGGCGTTCTCGAGGTAGCCGCCAGCCGTGCTCATGTAGTCCTTCATGAAGTCTCCACAATTCTGGCCTTCCGGAGCATTGAATTTGATGAACTCGTTTGCAGCGCATTGCACAGAACTGTTCGCTAAACCTGTCGCTAGCAATCCAGACACTAGGTACGTGAAGGGCGAGATGCGGTACATGAAGATCCAGAAACGAGGGAAGCTGTCGGGTGGCGCGAGAACACCACAGAAGATCAGGCATAGGGAAAACATCAGATTGGCGAGGTTAGCACCGGTCTCGGCCGTATCCAGACCAGCGATGATCATATGTGTGAAAGTCGAGGTGAACAACAGGAACATCCAGGTAAACAAGAAGAGCTGGAAACCGCGGTAGGCAACTTCGTCGGTGGGTTGTGCGTTGCGGTACAGACCAATTGGATAGTACCAACAAAAGAAGATGAGGACAGCCATGAGCGAGTTCCAAGGGATTTCGACGATGATGTTGGAAAGCATGAATGCCTTCCAGGAGTACGTCTTGCTGGGACGCTCGCGGACCTCATACAGAGCACGCTGGGTGACAAAGTGAGGCATGATCTGTTGAACGAGCTGGCCGAAGATGGTCATCAACATAAAGATACCGAACATCTGGTTCTGGAGACCTTGCTGTGTGTTGGGCATGTTGTAAAGCGAGAACCCAATGAACAGAGCTGATGAAACACAGAGGAGAGTCTTCGAGTAGATGTAAGCAGGGCTGCGCCAGTACTGCTGGAAAACACGTAGGGTAGTTTGACGGAACTGCTCTGAGAAAGGAGCGGCAAATTCACGGAAAGCGGCTTTGTCTTCGCGCTTTTGAGTAGACACAGTGCGTTCCAAGCGATCAGCCTGTGAGCGCTCAACCTTAAGTTCCTCGAGATGACGTTGGACTTCAGCGTATTCGGGAGAGTTACGCCATGCCTGAGGCCAGTCGACGTCAGTGTGCGATCCAGGAGCAGCGCCAATTACCTCAAGCATCCATTCGGCAGGGTTAGCCTCGGGAGGACAGGGATGACCTCCGTTGCGGACAAAATAATCGACAAGGACCTTGGAGTTGTGGCCAACGGTGCCGTAGTAGACAGTGCGACCACCCTTGGCGAGGAAGAGGAGACGATCAAAACGCTGGAACAGCATGGCAGAAGGCTGGTGGATGGTGCAGAGAATAGCCTGGCCGTTGTTCTTCAGTTTGTCCAAGAGATCGAGAATAGCCCACGAGGTTTGAGAGTCTAGACCAGAAGTAGGCTCGTCTAAGAAGAGAAGCAGAGCAGGCTTAGCAGCTAGCTCCACACCAATAGTAAGACGTTTGCGCTGTTCAACGTTGAGACCTTCACCTGGAACACCGACAATAGCATCAGCGTATTCATCCATATCAAGAAGCTTGATGACTTCGCTGACGTAGTCGATCTTCTCTTGACGAGGGACGTGGGCGGGTTGACGGAGGAGGGCAGAGAAGGTCAAAGCTTCACGAACGGTCGAAGTGGCCAAGTGCAAATCCTGTTGCTGAGCGTAACCGGTCTTGCGCTGGAAGGACTGATCACGAGGGACGCCGTCGACCAGCATCTCACCAGTGATGACACCCATGGTAGTACGAGTAGCCAAGACATCGAGTAAAGTAGTCTTGCCAGCACCAGACACACCCATCAGAGCAGTCAAAGTACCTGGCTTGACCCAACCGTCAACGTGATCCAGAATGCGGCGAGGCTCGCCCTTGATCTTGATGTCGTAGCAGACGTCCTTCCACTGGAAGATAGCAGTCTGGCGCTCGATGATGGCGATGTTGTCGTTGCTGTCGGCGTAACCACCGGGGCGACCTGTAGGATTGTTCTCAAGATCTTCAGTAGACTTGCCCTTGGGGACCTGGTGACCACGGCGGAAAAGGAGGACTTCACCCTTGGACTTGGCGGATGTGATGAACTCGGTAGCGGTGAGGTAGACTATCATTAGGCCGATCATGAAGGCCAACAGAATCCCGAAGTTGCGCCACTTGTGCGAGTGCTCGTACTCGTACGATGAAAGGATATACACTTCGCCATCCACAAAAGGATTTCCAGCAACGGCACCGACGGACGAACAGGCGTGGCTCAAGGAATCGGCTGCCAGGTTGTAGGAAGGACCTTGGGGAACGAACGCGTTGCACTCGTATTGTCTGCCGACGAACTCGTTGATCATGAGAGCCTCGAAACCATAACTGACGGGATTGACGTAGCGAATCCACTTGGACCAACCCAACATGTAACTGGGAGGGATGGCGAAACCAGTGTAGATGACGAGACCCAGGATAAGGATGGCAGCGGGTGCAAGCGCCTGGACGAGGGACTTGGACAAAGAGGCGATCGAGCGGAAGAACATCGACATGACCAGGGTGAGGGTGAACGAGATCAACACGAAGAAGAAGAAGTTGCCAGGCTCGCGACGCAGATTCGTCATGAAGTACAGGACGAGGTTGAAGGTAATGGCGTTAGCGATTTTATACGGCATGTCAGTCAACATACTGGCGAAGGCTTCTGCGGACGGATGATAGAGGGCGTATCGAGAGTGCTTTTCGACAATGGGACGTTGAGCGTAGAGAGTCAGAATTTCGAGGGCAGAACCGAAGGCGTTCATGAGAATGGCGAAGAAGAGCAGGGCAGATCGCTGGTAGAACGAGCTGGTGGTAGGCTGGAGGTTGAAGAAGACAGACGAGATAATCAGGGCCATGATGGAGTTTGCGATGAGTTGAGTGAGTGTGATGCTGGGATCGGCCTTTAGGCGAACGAATCCACGCCACAGGCAGAGCTTGATCTGCTGCGTGTAGGAGAGTGTGTATGGGGACTTCGCACGCATACCCTTAGCCTGCTGGAGCTGACGCGACTCAGCAAACTTTTGAGCCTGCTCACCGCCGATAGGGTACTTCTGTTCATAGGCAGTGATTTCAGCGAGAAGAGCGACGCGCTCAGGCGACTCCAGCCAGCGCTGGTGGAACTCGTCAGGAGTGCGAGGAGTACGGCCTTCGAAACCCTTGGCAACAATGCGCTCCAGGGAAGATGTCATGGAAGTGAGGAAATCGGCATCGGTCTGGCGGTCAGGGCAAACGAAACCCATGTTCACGAAGTAAGCCTTCGCCTCGGTAGTCTTGCCGTAGAAGATTTGGCGGCCTTCGTACAGAACAAGAACCTTGTCGAAAAGATCGTACGCAGCCTGTGGGGCCTGGTAGATCGCGACACAGGCTGTCGTGCCGTTGATCTCGGTCTCCATGCGCAGAGTCTTTACAAACTCAATGGCGTTGGCAGAATCAAGACCACGCGTACTGTTATCCCATGCTTGCAGGGGCGCCCGGCTGAGAGTGGCTTCGGCGATGGTAACACGCTTACGCTCTCCACCAGAGACACCTCGAATGAAGTCGTTTCCAACTCGGGTGTTGATCGTATGCGAGATACCGTACATAGCCATGATGACATCGCGCTGGTGCTTGGCGTACACGTCTGGGCTGACGCCGCCAGGGATATTACGGGGACGGCGAGCAAGGGCGGCAAACTATTATACATTAGCGTGGAATGGAAGGCGGTGTGGATGAGCGTACGTAGAGAGTCTCGCCGACAGTCATCGCAGGGAAGTGAACGTCGACTTCAGCGGTGTAGATGGCCTCACCACGGTAGTTCTGCTGCATGAGCTCTGGGCTGACACCTTGGTAGTTCAGTTTGGAGTTCTCATCAACGAAAAAGCCGTGTGTCTCTCCGGTAAGAGTCTTGAGGAAAGTCGAGCAACCTGATCCAGGAGGTCCGAGCACCACCATCATCTCACCGGCCTCGACCAGGCCATCAACACCTCGCAGAATGTTGATCTTGCGACCTTTGTCGCCCTTGAGCTTTTTGAGCAAGGCAGGTCCCTCGAACCAAATGTTGCCAACACTCTTCTGGTAATCGGTATCGGCGCCAAAACCGTGGACATTGAGGTCCCTGAAGGAAACACCAGCTTGCCTGGGAGGAGGAGCATTCGAGTCTGAAAGCTGGAGGTTCATCATTGCCTTGGTCCATGCGCGAGCATTGAAGTTCTCGCCGCTAGGATCCAAAGACGATCCAGGTGTGGCCTCGAACGGATTCTGGTGATGTGAAGCAGACTGGTGGCTCTGCGTGGTGAAGCGTCTTGCAAGCTGCAGAACCTCACGCTCTCTCCGGGCGGTCTCCTCTTCGTCGACATCCTGGGTGTATGGCACCTCTTTCTCGACTGAATTATTCGGGTGGTGGTTGCTTCTGGGAGGCGAGTTTGGTGCAGCAATTGTCGATGCATTAGACGATGTGTCGTTGCGGTTGTCTTCATCGTGGAAATGCGATTGTGACGGGCGGCGAGCCTGCATCTCAGCAGTAGGCACACCTCCAGCTGCGGCCTCACGGTCGTAGTTGGAGGAGTTAAAGTTGCCTACGAGAGACATTATGATTGGGCGGACGCCGCTAGGCCCCTTGATTGGCCAGCTGTATTAAGGTTATCGTGGTAATGGTGCTGTACTTGAGCAATGCTGAAAAAAGAAGGCGCGAATATTAAAGGGTGCTGGGACCAGGACCGGGAATTGTGAATCAAAACAATGAGCGGGAGGCTGCCTGATAAAAGGTTGCACGCGCGTAGGTAATGAAATGCGCCCAGAGGCGAGCGTAGGGGTTGCGATCCACGGTTAACGGCTTAGCCCTCCGCGCCCGGAGGCGGATACGCTCACGCCCGGCGTACTTGGCTGCTCGCTTGCGCCCCAAAGGGCGACCCGGAATACGGTCCATACGGACCCGAGTGCGAGCCACCAATAGGCACACGCGCAGTGCGAGGGCCTGTCGTGAAGCTCGCACGTCTTTCGTGCGGCTGCGGGATGCGATGTGCAACTGGTGCGGCTCTGGCGCGGTACCGCGGCGCATGGTGGTCTTCCAGCAGCGCGGTCCTCGAGCATCTGAACCACATCGATGTCTTTGAATGATTAAACTGTTTCAAGTAGCCTATCACACAGTGACAAGAGCATGTGTATTGTGTCCCCTAGTCGCACGGCACCGACACAGTCAGCTCTGGGCGGTGCAATGGACCAAAGAGGAAGTAGATTGGGCCTGCTATGACATGATCGGAAGTTCTTGGCTTGGCTCACCACGATGTCGCGATGCCATCAATGTCGAGAAATCAGAGACTACTCCAATGGAAGTGCTCGCGCTCCGGCTCTGTTGGTCTCGTCATCACTGCTTCCTTACCAGCAATCACCTTCTTGCCTCCATCACAACAAACGTCAAAGTGATTGACCTCAACAATCTAGACCTGCCAATCGTCCATCACGGACGAAAAACGCAAAATGTGCTCAGGGTTGAATCGTGAAAGTGGGGCTTCAAATCTCGCGGCTGCTCCTTCCTTCCCTCAGGTTGCGTCACCGTGCGCACTTCGCGTGGCCTAAAGTGGCGGACCCATCACACTTCCGTCTGCCGGCCATCTTATCTTAGCGTTGTGACCTCAGCCTTACAGCGCTCCGGTCCCCATCATACAAGAGCATCCGGGCGCCCTGACAAAGGGGCCTCCGCAAAACTGGAGACTGGTACGCGCAAGCTGCCACCGGGCCCGCGGGAGTTTCTGACCGGCCTGCTGATGCTGACGGGCAACATGTCGGTAAAGGTGTAAGAATGCTTGGCGCATCCTGGATGTTAGGTGGATTGCTTGTGCTTCCGCTTCCCGATACGTGTAGTGCTGCCTGGCGCTGAATGGACGGTGGCCTTGGCTGGGAGATATAAATGCTTGCCGGACGACATCGGCGGCCCAAACACTCGGCTCTAGTCAGATTTTAGTCGCGTTGACAGGCGTGATGAATCCGGGTCACATCACGGCTCCGAAGTTCTATCATGGAGGATGTGTGCTGCAGTCATTGCTGTGTACACTGGAGCTAATCACACGCTGTAGGGTACGACCTCGCTTTTCGGCCAAATTTCCTGTCACTGGTCCGGTAGCTTAGAAGAGTCAGACTACTTTACAACGACCGTCACGGCTGCAACGGCAGCAATGATCACCACGCAAAGCGCTGACGTTACAGGGGTCCGTCCTCTTAAGAAGGCCCTACTTTTCTACACAAGCAGGCGCATCACTGACACGAGGCTTAATCTAGGTAGTCTGACAGCGACGATGCCTGCGGCTGTGCTATCAGCACAGTCAATGCACACGCAACACGGATCTTTGCTACATCCGTGGAAACTGCCTGACTACATGCTTCCCCAACATCAAGATGCTTCACTGCTTCCCAGCTTCACGTCGGTGATTTCACCTGCAAGAAAATATGTACTATTAACCCCCCCTAGTCCGCCATCAAGATGAAATCACAAGCCTCCGAGCAATAATCACCTCTTCCACGGAGGTCCACTTCTCGGTCGTCGAAATCGCATCTCCGACTCCTTCGAGCACTATCCGTATTTCCACCCCAGCCGACATGCAGGAGCGCATTCCTGGCGTCCCATCACCAAACACAAACACCCACACCATCTCAAGCAATCCAGCCGTCTGGCGCGGCACCAGATCTGCTCCAAACGTGCGCCGAACCACAATCTCCTCCCCATTCGATTGTCTCAAGCCCTGAACAAACAGCGGTAGACGTCACTCCTCCACCCCCTCAGCACACACACCTCTCACCACAGTCCTCCTCCCCTCCCCCGCTCAGCGCAACCAGCAACCCACCTTCCAGCACGCAAGGGTCCCACACAACCATACCAGCGGATCCCCACTCCCTGCGTCCCCGCCACCCCCCTTGCATCCCGACCCAGCGCCTCGTTGCCAATCTCCCGCTGCACGCGAACATCGGTAGGCAAGTGGTGCGCGTGCATGCGCGGAGTCGGAAATATGGTGTAGTGTCAACAAACAGTGTCTGCGCGTAGGCATGCGTGTGTAAACACGCTTGTAAACAGACGACCCCGCCCTGCCCGGGTCCACGCCGAGGCTTTAGTAACCCACGTGGACGACGAGTACAAGGGATGATGCGATGGGGCGTTAGAAAGGCGGTGGGCTGGAGCGAGTGCGGCTTGAGAACCGCAGCTTCAGGTCTGCAGGCGTTCCGCGACTGTGTCCGGTGAGGAGCGTGGTTGTCCCTCGGTCCTTCGGGCTGGCTGGACGGGTCAAAAATGAGACCCTGATCCGCAGCGGTGCGGCCCAGCGCTGTGCTCGACTCGAGGCAGCACAGGGCGCATGCGAGACCGCAGGACAGCATGTCTCGCTGCTGCAGACCGAAGCCGCAGTTTCTAGCCGCGAGGAGCCCGAGACACGGATACACGCTGGGCGAGGCGAGGCGGTGCACAACAGCTCCCGAAGCAGGTGCTGCGTGACGTACGTGTTGTCTCCAGATAGCTGGCCGGTTTCTACAGTCAATGAGTTATGCTCCACTGCTGGATAATGAATGTGCTTCGCCACGTGTCACTGGACACTGGACACTGAACTCGACTACACGTGATTGCGCGGAAGTGCATATGCAGTCTAGAGCGTAGAGTAGGGAGCATGGAGCTTGTATCGTAGACAGTCTCTTCTCCCCCCCATGTTACAAACAGTGCGGTGCATGAAATACCTCCCATCACGCCCCACGTGTCAATCAGGGCGTAGGTGCAGGGCAGTGACTCGGCGACAAGGCGGGAAAGACTTGGAGATGCTTGATTCGAGAGAGAGATATGCTACGTTGCAGGGTGGTATGAAGGGCGATCAGCAAGGATCAATCATCATCAAGCAGCACGACGAGATGTGATGCGATCGAGTAAGATGACTTAAGTACACTGCAGCATAGTGCAGTGCAGCACACATGCGCAGTCTAGCATCCATAGTCCACAGTATACACATAATACTACGAATCCTACGAATACTCTGCCATCCGTAACAAGACGAAATGGAACACCAACTTCTGCCTCACCGCCGAACGACAATCGTAAGCATGTAGTGGATAACACACACATCTCCATCCCAACGCCGTATGCCCACTCGTCCGCCTCCTGAGTTCATGAAAATCCCATCCCAGTACCTAACCGAGGCCCCCCTAAAGACCTAAAGCCCTAAAGACCGAATGCCCTTAAGACCGAATGCCCGTTATCACAGTACACGCAGCGCGCCAGTGCGGCCCCACGCGGCACAGCAGCAATCTGCACTACCTAACATCGCTATTGAATCTACACCGGGAAGCGGAACATCCTGATCCGCTCCAACGCTCTCCGACATTTCAAAAGCCCCCCCTTCTGCGTCACCAGCCGGCACGTCGCGGAAAGCCCGCCTAGCTAGCCAGTAGTAGGTACTCAGCGATCTACAGATAGCGTGCTTCGGACACCTTCTAGAAGCTCCACACAGCCCGCTCTCGCAACGCTTGTCTCAAAACGATGCACCGAAGAACTGGCTCGCGCGCTCAATATCAGCGTCGCCGTTTGCAAAATCCCAGCCCACTATGGTGGGATCCTGACTGCAGCACACGATGCGACGGGCATCGAACTGCAGTTTGAAGACACGCGAGTTGGTGCCCTGGTTGGGGAGGACGACGGTGCCGGGCGGATGGTGGTGGTGTGCTGGGTTGCCAAAAAAGTGTTGGTGCGGTTGATTTGCGGGGGCGCCTTGTGCGGGTGCAGGTTGGACAGGTTGGTTAGCAGGGCCGGCGTTAGGATTGCCAACGGGGGCAGTTGTGGTGGTTGTGGGTGGTCGTGGATTACCGGCGCTGGCAGCGTTGGCCGTGCCAGTGCCGTGCATTGCTTGTGAGGCTACATGGAGCGCCTGTGCCTGCTGAGCGAGGTTCTGGGCTGCTTGAGCCTGAGCTTGAGCCTGTTGTGCCAGGGCCTGGAAGTTGTTCTGCGGCCCAGCTGCTGGGCCTGCTTGGTGCTGTCCGGCAGCCTGATTGCCCTGGGCACCTGCAGCAGGAGCCTGGCTGGCGGCCCTCCTGGGTTGACCGCCTGCGCCCCTGACCGCGTCATTCTGGTGCAGAAGTTTCGACTTCTCCCAAGCACCGTCCGCCCCTTTTTTCCAAATGATGACCGTCTCGTCGTAGGAGCCCGAGACAATTCGGGCCCATTTGCTGCCTCCACCACCCGGTGGTAGCTTTGCCCCATACGCAAAAATAGAGTTCGGGTCCCGGGAGCCAGCGTTGCGTGCTTGTCGCTGCGCTCTAGAGAGCCTCTGCTCGACCTGGCCCCTGTTCTGTGCTTCGAAAAACTTACGGTCCACAGCTCGTGCTTCGGCTTCAAGCTCTTCCTCATTGCCGGGGAGGTCACCGAACTGAGCTTGCACAGTGCGCACAAGGTTAGTGTGCCCTTTCAGGCAAGCTACTTCAGCTCCTGTTGCTCGGTCGAAAATGCGGATGGTTTCGTCGGAGCTGCCACTAACAATTCTTCGTCCGTCAAATTGCACGCATGCAATACCCTTGCTATGTCCTGAAAAAGTCCGGATGCATGCGCCAGTCCGCACGTCCCATACCTTGACGGTCCGGTCTCCTGAAGCAGAAACAATCTGTCCGTCAAGGATCTGTATTGCGTTGACGGCCGCACCATGTCCTCCCAGGGTCATAATCAGATTGTAAGGCCTCAGAGGTGTGAAGCGCAAACTATTGTTCTCGGCTATTGCCTGCATGTTGATGATGTACTCTGGGAAGCGTGCTGTGCCCTTTGTAGTTGATGAGGGATATGCATCGTCGCTGGGTAGCATTTCTTTTCGATTCCAGACCTTGATTGTCTTGTCTTTCGAGCACGTGACGAGGTATCGATCATCAAAGCGCAGATTCAGGACTGATTCTGAATGTGCTTTCTCGATCTCTTTGATGATCTGCCCAGTCGAAAAGCGCCAGATGATAACTTTGCAGTCGCTCCCTCCAGACGCCACAATGTCGTGTTCAGGCCGGTCATCGAACTGCAAGCAAAGCACAGAGGCAGCATGGCCTAGCAGCGGTTTGCGCACTAGGCGTTGTGTGTCGAGGTTCCAGATCCTGATACTCCGGTCTCTGCTGCCACTGACTAGGTACTTTCCTGAGTATTGTATCGAATACACGCACTCGGTGTGCGCTTCGGTGGGGTGGTTGGGGTGGGGCAGTTGGAAGTTGTGGTACCGGCCGGCATTCCAATTGTCCTCGAGTCGCTTCTTCTGCTTGTACAAGTATTGCCAGTTGATCTTGGGCTCAGAACCTGGCAGGAGCAGCGACAACTCGACGCGAGATGTAGCAGCTTCTGTCGATGGAGCACTTTCGGGCTGGGTGGGCGAGTTTTTCCGCTCCTGTGCCGGTTGTGTCTGCGCCGTCACGACGCCCTCCATCTGGTCGTCTGCTCTGGCCGACGAGCCGTCGTCAGCCTCGACTGTGCCGTGCTGCTCGCCCCAGCTGTTCTCTCGGGGCAACCCGTCGCCGAAGAGCTGGCGCTCGCCGCGCACGCGTCGCTTGGACGACGGCTTATCCAGGTCCATATCCTCGGCGGCCCTCGGACGCGTCTTACGCTCCTTCTCGCGGAAGCTGGTGCGGCGCTGGCGCTCGGTCTCCTCGTACTCGTGGACCTGGGCGAAGTTGGCATTCCAGCCCTCGAGACGGAACAGCAGGCGCCACAGCGGGCTGTCCATGACACGGATGCGCCATGCGCGCGACAGCGTCGACGCCTGCAGCAGCGTCTGCGGCTCGAGGTATGACAGGATCTGGAAGGTGATCTCGGGCGGCAGATACATGACCGGGTCGAGGTGCAGCAGCGGGTTCAGCTTCTCGACGATGCCGGCGATGGAGGCGGTCCGCAGCGTGCGCAGGATGGCGTAGGCGATTTCTGTAGGGCGTTAGCTGTGCGGTCGGCGGACAGGCGCGGCCACGTACCGCTGCGCTGCTGCTCGTCCAGCCCCAGCATCCAGTCGGGCAGGCTGAAGCGCAGCGCGTCAGGGTCCACGCCGGGCTCCATGCCGCTGTCGCCGGCGCCCATGATCATGTCTGTCTCATTCTGGCTGCGTGTGTCCTCGGAGTAGCCCTCGTCGAAGCGGCTGGCGGCCATGGCGGATGCTGGGCGGAAACTGTACGGCGGACTACCGAGCGGGTCCATCGCGGTGCTCCTGCTGTGGCGTCGGAGGTCCGGCGGCAGTGGCGCGGCGTCGAGGAAGGCGCGATATCGTCACGGCGAGCGCGCGGGCGTAATGGTGCAACGGCGGTCGTCGCCCGGTGCTGCCTGGGGCTCAACGCTGCTGCTTGGCTTGCAGGTCGGCGGCTTCCGTGCGGGTATGCTTAACAGAGGGTTCTGCTGCAACGGCGGTCTAGCATGTGTGATGCGCGTCTGCTGTCGACTTCACCTGTCGTCAGTCACCGGCCATCAGTCAAGAGTCTCCACGGCCGAACCCGCGCTGCCGCCGCCTTCTGGTCTGCGGTCAGCCGCACGCGCTAGCCGATTTGGGCACCTCGAAGCCTCCACGCCGAGACCTCAGACCAAAGGCCTCGTTCTTTGCTAGGACCGCAGGAAGCGAATCCCATGCTCGCACAGTCGCCTACGCCTAGCTGTGCGGCGCAAACACCACTAGCGACGGGTGCTTGCATCGCGCCGCAGTCATGTTATCTCGAATTGCAGCCTTGTGTACCTTGGTTGCCGCCATACAAATCTCCAGCCCGTGTGAAGGCCATTGCGCCACCAACTGCCAGTCCAGCCACAGTGTGGGCATGGGCAGCATCCTCCGTACCCTCCCTCATGCGTGAATGTCATCGAATGCTGTTGTCCCTCTCTGGGCGGCCACGGCAGCACAGAGCTAGCACCTGAGTGCGCACAAGGACCCCGTACCACACGTCCAGCGAGCAGCATCTATTCCTGCTCACCCAAGCGCCGACACCCCGCCAACGAGCACGCTGTCACCTGCGCTCACCGGTCAGCACTGCACGCAAAGACCGCGCACCCCTCATAGCGACCCAACTCGGCGCGTACATCATCGTCCAGCAAATCCATCCCCTCACCACCTGGCCTGCGTAGTCCCCATACTTCGTGTCGAGCTAGCCACCTGCCTGGCCAGACTAGATCCATGTGCCCACTAGCTGAAGTACTCACGCAGAACTCCGATGCGCGGGCAGATCACCTCCTAGTCGGGCACTCACCGGCAGTGAAAACCCGAGTGCCCAGTGCGAAACGCTGAGTGGTGCCCGATTGCGCTGGGGACGGAGGTCATGAGATTGAGTGTGAGAATGAGATGAGACCGAGTGTCCTGAGATTGAGATGAGATTAAGTGTCCTGAGAACGAGATGAGAACTTACACCGCGACAAAACTCCAATGATCGCTGACTACTCTACATACATATACATTGGATCTGTGCACTATCTACAGCACATCCAGACCATGTTTGCCGACAGCCTGGAGTGGGATTGTAGGCCTGCGAGTGGACGGACGGAGGCGCTTGGATCGCTGGGTGGGTAGGCGGTAGGTAGCATGGCAGGACAGGGAAGACGGTGGGGCGGGCTGGGGTTGGTTGTGACTGTGACTGTGTACAATATACACACTTGCTCAGGGTAGGCAATCAAGATGATGCCTTTGGCCGAGTGGAGGGCGTTGAGCGGTGTGAGATGGAAATTATGCTGCATTTTCCAAGTCCAAACGAGGTAGATCTGCTCGTGTGTGGCCACTTGGGTCCAGGGACTTGGTGCACTTTGCTTGTATGAGATGTCACTAACTCAAAGACCTACAGTAGTGACCGGTGTCTACCTCCCGAAAAGGCGGGTTGCAAGCCAGGTCAATATTCTAACTTACATGGCATAGCGAGGAGGTGCTTCAGGTCGTCTCCAGGGTATGTGTTTGGGCGCACAGTAGGTATCCAAGCTTCTGAGCCGCTTGTGCGTAGTGCTTGTCTGTCCACTCCAGTGTTGGCAGGCTGCGTTCAGAGTGCAGCTACTCGACGACTATCTTAGTTTCGCAACCGCTACTCTCACATCCGTATTTGACATGGCATGTGTGTTAGTAGTCTTGGGGGCGTTCGGTTCCGATCCACGACGTTCTTACACACATGCAACGTCAGAGGTTGAGCGACTTCCAAATGTGACGGAAGACTCCGTATTACATACTAGTACACCAAAGCAGCAGGTGCGGAAACGGGCAGTATACACAGCGTAGAGCCGTTGAAGGGTCATACAAGATCTAGACCACTTTTGAAAGACGACCAGAATGAAGCTGCATCATCGACTGGATCCTCGAGTTCTTTGAGGCTCTTGGGCCCGTGATGTCTGTGGCACTTTACATGTCCTTGTTACAGCGGCCTGACGTACGAGTGACGCGGTTTCTTGGCATCCTCCCTCTCTCTTGTGATGACCAAGACTAGTCAGATGTCCGTGAGGTGACCGGCGCTCAATGTTGCAGCGATGGCAGCCCGTTCTGCAGACTCGTGCGCGATGGCAGAACCGGCGGGATGTCTCCAATTTACTGCATGTCAGTCGCAGGGCATCAATGTCCGGCGGGCGGACCACTTGAGTCAGCGCTCATATGACACGCCGTTCGGTTCAAGGGTCTCGATGAACCATGGACGGCAAGCGCTGAGCTCTTGGGCGTAAGCCACGCGCCGTCACGCGACGGCTGGCGACAACAGGCGGGCGGCTGCGCAGGGAGCGGTGCAGCATCGTGATCGACGGCGGGCGGCAGGCGTGGAGTGCAGTTGCAGTCGAGGGCTTGGGTGACTGGGGTGTGCGATCACGTGCTTGGCCGTTGTTTCACCCCTATCTGCAGCTGCCAGCGCCCAACACTACTGCCCAGCACATCCCACGTTCAGCGCAAAGCCTGCCTGTCGCACACACTGCCCACACTGCACCGCACCGCCGCCCTGGATTGCGCCGCCTTTGACAGTGCTGGCGCTCCTGCTCTTGCCCGCCCCGTGAACTCGGCGCGCTCTGCCTGGACCCTCTGTTAGCGCCCCCTCGATCGTCTACTGGACATGCAGTAGAGTAGCGGTCACCGCCTGCCCCGTCCGCACCGGATTACTCGCAGCTCGTCGCTCAATAGCATGGAAGCGGGCGTCGCGTTTCATTCCGGCCTCCCGCGCGCCCACACTTCGCAGCCTCCGTCACATTCGCGCATGACTTCCTCCGGCGGGCCTTCAGTCCTTATGTCCTCGCACCAAAGCTTCCAGAGCTTCTCCACCCACAACAGCTCGCGCGACACCTCGGGCACCAATGCCACCTCCACCTCCACCCTGTTCGGCCAGGCGCCGCCCGCCTTCCCCACGCTGGCTACGCCCGTCAACGGTGGCCCTGTCGAGGCCAGCGAAAACGTCCTCAACAAGCGCGCCGACAAGGACACGTCGCTGTTCCAGCGCTGCCTGACGCTGCAGCTGCGCTTGCGCGCCATCGCCGGCTTCGAGCGCTGGCTGAACGAGGAGGAAGACCGCGCCGACGACGATGAGCCTGTCGACCCCGTGACGCTGCTGTGGCGGACCTTCCGGCGGGGTTACCCGTTGATGGAGCTGTACAACGCCCTGGGGCCCGCGAATATGCTGGTCATTCCCAACGCAAAGGCCGACGAGAAGAGCCAGAAGAAGAATGAGAAAATGGCCACCTACAAGTTTATCCAGGCCTGCGTCAACGAGCTGGGCATCTCGCAGGAGGGCTGCTTCATCCTGATGGATCTGTACGGTGACGATACGACTGGATTCGTCAAGGTACGATGCGCTATCAATGCCCGCCCGCGATTCACCTCCTAACTGTGTGCAGGTCATCAACGTCGTTAATCGCGTCCTCGACTCGCTTGTCCAGATGGGCAAGATTAACCCGGCCGCCGCCGACCTCGACGACGGTGCCGTCTTCTCGTCCATCAAGCGCTCTCAGCGAGAGTACATCATCGACGAGCTGGTCAAGACCGAGCGCACCTACGTCCAGCATCTCGAGCTCCTGCAGGAGTTCAAGAAGCTCGTAGAAGAGAAGGGAATTATCAGCGGAGATCAGATCCACGACATCTTCTTGAACCTGAACGCCCTGCTTGATTTCCAGCGCCGGTTCCTCATCCGTGTCGAGCAGACAAACGCGCTGTCCCCGGACGAGCAGAACTGGGGCAACCTCTTTGTGCTCTACAAGGATGCATTCAAGGTCTACGAGCCGTACATTGCCAACCAGAAGAAGTGCGAGCAGATCGCAATGCGCGAGTTCGACAAGCTGAAAGAGACGGGCGGAACTGCAGAGATGCGCCAGATGGTGGAATCCCCAACGCTGCTCACTTCTTTCTTGCTCAAGCCTTTTCAGCGATTGACAAAGTATCCGTTGTTGCTTTCGGTGAGCCGTTCGTTCCCTGGCCACTACGACCACTGCTAACAAACACTAGCAATTGCAAAAGAACGGCGACCTCGACGAACAAAGAAAGGACGATCTCGCTAGAGGCATCGAAGCAGCCTCATCTGTACTCGCTGGTACAAACGACGCCATCGCTCGCGAAGAGCGCGTCGAAGCTGTCGAAGAGCTCAAGACTTTGGTAGAAGACTGGAAGGGTCACCGCATTGAAGGTTTTGGTGATCTGCTTCTCTACGGTCAATTCACTGTGCTCAAGGGCGACAGCATGAGCTCAAAGAACGAGGAGCGCGACGTAAATACTACGCAGCTTTTCGGCAGAAGTCTGGCTAACGCATCCACAGTACAAGATCTACCTTTTCGAAATGATATTGCTCTGCTGCAAGGAAATCAACGTCAACAAGCCGAAGAACAAGATGTCCACCAGGTCACTAGTCACAAAGGACGGAAAGCCAAAGCTACAATTAAAGGGCCGCATCTTCATGCAGAACGTCACCGAGACTATTTCGCTACAGAAGCCAGGCTCTTACACCTGCCAGATTTTCTGGAAAGGCGACCCAGGGATCGAAAATTTCATCATAAAATTTACCTCGGAGGAGACCATGAAGAAATGGGCCGCTCAGGTGGATGCACAGAGGCGTGTATGGAAGGAACAAGCACGGTCCAGCGCCAGCACTACGACTTCGAAGCCCTCAGATACCAACTTTACCTACATGGCTGGTCTCAACGTCGAGAATCCATACGCCCAGCAGGAGGAGGACGATGATGACGACGACGAACCTCCAAACGGTTACCCACGAGATAGTTACGGCATGCAACAGAACGGAATAGGTGGCTCTCCGCGATCACGGTCAGGGACTGGCGAAGGCGGCCTGGACGGGAATGATTCAAGAGTGCCCCCACCACGATTTCCTATGGGCTACAATGGCTCCTCTCAGCCACCATTAACATTGCGCACGCAACAGCTCCAGAACTCAGGTGCGATGGAGTCTCATTTTTCCCCTGTCGCTGAAACCCCCATGTCGTCCTACTCAAATTCCCGGACAAGTTCCTCATCTACAGCTACGTTCCCGTTTCCTCGACAGACGCCGCCAAACGGGTATTCGACGGAGGAAAACAATCGCTACACTGCGCCTGCGCCTTCTCGTGGCCACGGTCGTGAGCCGTCAGGTCAGTATGCTGCCGCGCGAGCCCAGCGACCATCGTTGCCTGCCAATGCCAGTATGTCATCTCAAGGTCCGCGTATGCGGGCAGCTAGTAGCCCCGACATTCACAATGGTAACGTTCCACGTAAAGGACCAAGCGGACCCGTACCGGACGTACCACCTTTCCCAACACACTATGCTTACAACGCTGCAATCGTAAATCGCAGCCAGAACAACTCACCGAGTAGTTTGCCCCCAAGAGCAGGCACTCAATCACCCGCGATCCAGAGAGATCGTCTCATCCAGCAAAGAACCGCCGCAGAGCTCTCCACGCTTGGCGATTTCCCCGGTGGACCTCGTCGCGATCCTGGCTTTCCCATACCTCGTTCTATGACGCCTGCATCTTCTTTCGAGCGAACAATGACTCCAGCTTCGATGGACTCTCGAAACATGTCGCCACCACTTTCGTCGGAACACTCTAATATTCCGAGTCAGCTAAAGGTGAAGGTTCACTGCCCATCAGCAGGTAGCTCAATGGTACTGGTTGTTAGCACCAACATCAGCTTCCAGTCACTTAAGGACCGCATCGATGCCAAGCTTCAACGATCAACTCCGGTTTCGCTTGCATCTGGGCAGGTCAAGCTCAAGTACCTCGATAGCGAAGGCACATACGTTAGTGTCCAGTGTGATGACGACGTCCTGGAGGCGTTTGAGAACTGGCAGGAGCAGCAACGAGACTTGAACCCAGGCGGCGGCCAACTGGGCGAGATTGAACTTTTCTGCCAATGATGATATATCCCCGACACGGCATGGGCCTGGCGTACATGGTGCACATTTGGTTTCTTCTTTTCAAGAGCAGGGCTGCGCATCACATGCACTCCTTCGGCGAACGGAGTCTGCGCACCTCTTCTTTCGACTTTATATCCATAATTTGGCATCACACATGGGTGTGGTGCTTTCCATCACGGCTGGCATGGTACGGCAAGGCAAGGAAAACACGCTGGTCGCACTGGGCTGCTTCACGTCAACATCCTTTCCTCATTGGCTTCTAGAGCGACATCCGTTTTTCGAGTGTAGGTAGTTTCCGTGCAGTAGGGGTTTTGCGGAGGAAGAGCGGGTTTTTGTGCCGCGAGGCAAAGTGATGACTGACGATGGAATGAAAGCACACTTATTGATCTATACTCATGTGCGTTACTATAGGGCGGAGTTTGATAGACCGAAGTAGATGAATCAGTTCAATGTCTGCGTCCGAACTCCACCCATGCCCAGAACTTAGAGACCATGGTCCGCACAACCACAGTACCACCGTCGCACACTCAAACCCACAACTAGGCATTCCCTCCGCGCCCGCGCCCGCGCCCTGCACCCCTCCCCCTCCCTCCTCGCTGTCCTCTCCCTCCCCTCCCACCCCGCCCACCAGGCCGCGGCCCCTGCACAACGCCCCTCGTCCACCGCTCCTTGTCATCCCTCAAATCCCTCCACCGCTCATCCAACCCCGCATACTTCTCCTCCCCACGCGCCAACCCGCGCGCCACACCCTCACTGCTCACCTCGTCCTGCACCAGCAACTGCATCCCCAGCCCCTCCTCGCCGCCCTGCTCATACATGCCCAGCCTCAGCACGTCCGCGCGCGGGTTGTACTTCGCGCCCACATCGAGCGCCGCGGTGGCGGTGGGCGCGGCGCCCGCGAGCAGTGCGTCTGGATGTGCGTCTGCGATGCCGTGGAAGGTCAGGTTTGTGAGCGCGGCTTCGAGGCCTGCGTACAGATTTGGGCTCGTGGGGGAGGGGATGGACAGGCTGTATACGGGCGAGTCGTCGCGGGCTCGGGTGTAGTCCTCGCGGTAGGCGGCGCGGGGGGGCGGGGTGCGCGGGTTGAGGTAGAGATTCCAGCCGCCGGTGAGCGCGGCAGCGGCGGGGTGGGAGTCAGCGACGATGGTGTTGGCGGTGTAGTCGTTAGGGCGCTGGGGGCGCGGTGCGCGGGGCAGGGTGATTTGTTGGTAGGCGTGGGAGCCGGCGAGACGCAGGTCGAAGACTTTGAGCATGCTGTGCATGGAGACGCCGACGACGATGCGTTCGAGGCCCTGGCTGGCGAGGGAGTAGACGGAGGAGTCGTTTGTGGGGTCCCAGTAGAGACTTTCCACGTCGCGAGGTGAGCGCAGGTCGTGCAGTCTGACGATGCCGTCGTAGCCGCCGGAAAGGAAGACGTCGCCGGCATCGGATCCGCCTTGTGTGCGGCCAGAGATGGGGAGGATGGGGTATACTGATGTCTGCGAGCTGCGGCTTGTGCCTAGTGTAAAGTAGCGGTATGGGTCAGATAGGAAGCCGTCCGCGGTGATCCTGTATACTTGGATTGGCTCACTGCTTGGGCCGATTCCAATGGCGACTTTGTCGTCCGACAAGAACTGGCAAGACCAGATGCGACCAGTCCGGGCTCCCTGGATGGTGGGGGGTAACTTCTGATACTGCCTCGATTGAGTTCTCTGATACATCACAGTCCAAAGGAAAGAGCGACAAGCATGTGTCTCCAAGAGTGGCAGCCAATAGCGGGGTGCTGGAGGAAGACACGGTCAGAGCACCGACGGCTCGATCAGCAGTATCGAAATACTGTTCAATCGTTTGACGTTGCTGTGCATCGACGTCGAGCCGCGCAAGGTGGCCAGAGGCTGTGCCAAATACCATAGACTCGAAGCCTTGCTCTTTCTGATGCGGTCGAAGAAGTCGCAGGCTTGTGATATCATCTCTACCTTCATTGCCCTCTGGGATTTTGTATGTGTACCAAGAACTCAAATGCCCAAAAGAGTCGAGGATTCTGGTATTGTTCTGCGTATCATCTTTGAGACCTGATCCCGCCTCTTTTGCTCGCATGACGATCTGCGCGCCGGCAGACCATACCAGAACCTCCCTCCGTTGAGCCCATGAGCCAAGCGTCTCTTCATAGCTGTCAATACTTGGTTGGTAGCCCATGGTTTGCCCCCGAGGCCCTCTCCATGGCACCGACTCCCACGTGTTCAGGCTTGTTGTCTCGGTACTAGGTTCTATATATCTGGCAACGAAGCCCTTCCTTGCCCAATTGCGATAGATTGTTGTCAAGCCGTGCACTGCATTACGTGCATCTGCATCCAGACCACTGATATGGAAGCGTCCCTTGAGCAGGGCTTTCCATCCGTCAAGCTTCGCGAACTCTGATAGGCGCCGGCTTGTCAAAGCCAGGTTGAGCAGGTCGCGAGGCCTGTCGAAGTGGCTAGTGATTATCAAGATGATCTCGTTCGGCAACGTGCTGAGCGTCGCCATTTTTGCCAGGTGTTATTATTGTCTTTGGTGTTGATACATTCAGAGAAAATCAAATGTCTATCGCTTGCGAACAATTATTGCTGACAGTCGGAGTCATCAGGCACCCCAGCGGCTGTATAGACGCAACACTTTTCGAGGTGACTGGCGAGTGACTCTTCAACGATGACGACAGAGCGATCTGAATGTGGCGACTGGATTCGCTAGCGGTGCGCATCAGCCACATCTCCTTTTCCCTGCAGACGTCCTTCCAAGGATTTGCAATAGCGATCTACAAGCTCACAGCTGTCTAATTGCGACGTCTGCTGTCAACAATGATGCAAATGCAGGGCCGAAAGTTAGAGCATGACATGCATTTCTGACGGAGACAATCAACTCGACACAGCAATCGCATTAGCGGGGTTTAAGCTAGCGCACGTGACCTCTAATATGTTAGGCATCCACGGGTGTTGCAAACCCTGAGCGTGTTCACCGCTCGAGTCAGCCCACGAGAACCAATTTCTGCAATCAGAGTGCCCATTGGGAAGGTCCGTTCACCTCAGCATTTCAAAATGGTCCACTCGGACATGGTGAACCGCAAAAGAATTGCGCCACTTCGGTGAACGGTCTCTTCCGGTCCTTAATAGCTGGTACTATTGGTCCACATGTTTAACGGCGTTTACAACTCCGGGGCCACCCTCGTGATTGTCGGTCGCTATACAAGCGCCAACCTAGATCAAATCTACCGACGTTTGTGATCTGCAACTTGCGACAGTTATTACCGGCCCTTCTCCATCTCACCCTGACCTTGATGCAAGTCTTCCAGAGTTGACACAACTTTCACGCGTTGTGACACTCACCTGCGCAATGGCGGTCGTCCCGCCGAGCGAGAAGGAAGTGTACGAGCTCATCAGCACCGTGGGAACCAACATAGACAGACTGCGACAAGGCATCAATGCGCTCCGGCAGCTGCACGACCGCTGGACTGGTTGTAATGAAACCGCCATCAACCTCATAGCACAGCTCACGGCGCTGCGCTCGAATCTGGACAATGTGCACGACTGGCTCAACTATGCGATCAACGATTTGCATCCCCAGCTTCTCTCCGACTTGGATGTTGTCATGGCGTCCTGCGCATTACTTGTGCGACATGTAGACCAACTAGTAGCAGATCTGCGGCAACCAGACCCAGGTGCAACAGACTGTGCAGTTAAGCTGAAGTATGCCGTGGGCGGCCGATCAATGGAGCGGCTCCGGGACGTCGCTGAGCGACAGTCAGAGTCAGTGCGCATACTGCTAGCAGCATGCAAATGGTGAGTAGTATTGGTTCCATTCGGTTCGAAACTTAATCGCGGAGTTCTGACCTTCGCAGCCATACCACTGCCCAACGCAAGATCCTGCTTCACAAAAGCCGCCAAATCAGGCAGGAGGATAACCTGTCTATGAAAGTACTAGCGCGGTCATCCAAGTGGAAAGGAGGATGCATGACTGTCCTTACCGGTGTGTCTCGGGGCATACAAGGATGCAAACTATCTTACTACAGGAAGTTCAAACGGAAGGATACCTACGAGGAGCCAACCGAGAAGGACTATGACAACGCCGCGGCTGCCATCAGATCCTCAGCCATTGACCGTGCGCTACAGGAAGATAGTATGACACTTCGACGAGAGACCAAGCTCATGTTGATGGGCCAGGATCACAGCGGCAAGGACCTCGTCATGCATCAGATCAAAGTTCTATACGCCGAAGGCTATTATACACCAGAAGACCGCATGCGGTATCGAGACGCCGTTCGCTCGACAATGCGACTGGTCATTCACTCCATGATCGATCTGCTGAAAGACACCTGTATCACTCTGCCAACAGCCTTGAACAACGACTTCGCCGTCTTACTGGACGAGGTGGAAATGGTTGACATGCACTACATCACGGGCGAAGCTGCGGCTGCAGTTCGAAACTTATGGTTCAGCACTGAGTTCTCATCGATATATCTCAAAAACTTCGAGATCGATTTTCCGCAGTATGCACCGTATTTTGCGCAAGAGGCACAGAGGATAGGTTCAGAAGAGTACATCCCTGCGGAAGCTGACATCATCCGCCTAAACCAGTCAATAGGAGGGATCAAAGAGCTCCGCTTTAATTGGGACGAGCTTGACGTCCACTTGTTCAACATCAACGGATACATTCCCGACCAGTTCCGCAAGCGCTGGTTCCACCAATTCGACAGCCTTACGTCGCTCGTCTATACCGTCGACATCTCGCTGTATGATCGTCCATTTTACGGCCAAACAACGAAGTCCCAACTCCTGGAAGACATTGCCAGCTTCGAATCATGGGCCAACTCCCAAAACTTCGCCGACTCGTCCGTCATCCTGCTGCTCAACAACTTCACCCGCTTCCGTGACAAACTGCGCTACTCGCCGCTCGAGTCCCTGTTCCCGGACTACGTGCCCAACGCTGCCGACCCGGATACCTCGGCGCGCCAGTTCATCCTGAAGCAGTTCAAGGACGTCAACCGCAACCAGCTCTCCATCTACTCCTTCTGGGTCGACCTCGATATGAGCGATAACCAGCATCTTTACGCTGCGCTCAAGAAGACGCTGCAGCACATCCAGCAGCGCAAGGCGCGGAGCGAGGTGTGGCAAGAAAGCGAGTCGAGTATCAGCTCCGGCACGGGCCTAACGGGAAGGCTGGCTAGCAGTCGGCTGAATCTGCGATCGAGGAGCGGGTCTAGGCTGGAGGCGTTGTTGTCGAAGAAATCGATAGACAGCCAGTTTTCGTGAAGATGTTGTATGGACTCCGGAGGATGAGGTGTGTTGATATTTGTTTTTTCTTTTGGCGTTTGGATGCGAGATACCATGGTTAGGCAGTGCTTTGATTTTTGTTTGCGGTGGAGTAGGGAGACCATACACGCACTTTGGGCCTACGATATATACGCGCCAGTGGTGGAGTAATAGTAATCATGGAATGGAAGCCAACCAGTCAGATCTGCGGAGTGTCCCTGGTATTATGCGAGAACCTTGTCGTGTGGCAATCTTACTGTGGCTTGTATCGATAATAATTTCTCCCGTATGGATCGAATGCAACACCAGCTGGCACCTCCCCGCCTATGTGATGTTGCCACGAAGGCATGTAGGAACTTGTAGCCGCCTCTTCTGGATTCATTGTGTGTGTGTACATGGATTCAAAGTCAGACGATGACCAGTAGTACGCATTGGAGGGATCTAGAGAATGATATGATGCAAGTGGTGGAGACTGGGTTATGCCTGTGGATGACAAGAATGGGTTCCAAGTCGATTGGCTTGAGAAAGCCGGGCCACACGCGGTGTATGCCATCATTTGCTGTGCCGGACTGGAGTATGAGTTGTTGTATGTGGATATCTGCTCACTTGACGTTGTGATATGCGGCATCCACGTCTGATTGAATGTGGCAGAATGATCGGGTTGCGGAGAGCTGAAAGTGCATGAGAGAGCTGCGCTGTGGGGAGATGCACTTGCTACTGAACGCTCATAAAATATCGATCCCGAGCCGGAACGGTCTTCGTATGGGCTTGTTGATCGATTGTAGTCATATTTCTCGCCTGGCTCGTCGTCCTTTAGGAGCTGTTGAAGCCGTTGAAGCTTGCGTTTGCGTTTCTCTCCTAACCATGTCAGTGTACTTCACACCAGGTTTTTGGCAATCTAAGAGAGGCGTACTGTAGTTCCGTGATGCTATCCTATTCTGTTGTTTGCGCACTTCGCTGTTAACCTTTCTTGGCTTATTCTCTGGCATTGTCACAGCTGTCGGACACGTTGTAGGTATTCTCGGTTGGAGTTTGGTGGGAAGGTTCATCTTATAAGCTGACACACCGGACAATAGAATTCGGAGAGGCAAGTGACCAAGGTTGCAACACTCTTTAAAGTACTGAATGAGCAGCATCATGCTGCCCTATAACGTTGTGTAGTGAGGTAACAATTTCAAGCCTCAGCCAGAGTGGGCTGGCGCTAACCTCAAAGAGCATGCAGAGACGTGAATACGCCGCTGATTAAGGATGATAAGAATAGCAATTTGAGTTCTAGGAACAGCGAACAGCGGATGTAAGCGAGCATGCGTAGAGTTCTTGCGTGGTATCTTGCGCCTGTAAGCTGGGTATGAGATGTGATCTAGCAGCGCGCAGAAGGCGTTATGTTATGTCCGTCGCATTCGGGTCCGCTGCTTGTACGTGACCGCGATGTGTGAAGGAACCGCGCAAATATATCCTGGGTGAACGTTTCTCATAAGGACCCTATCGTGGTCTAGCGTTGGTTTGTGCTATAAGAGGATCATGCAACGACGTTGGTATGTCCACGGGCAGCCAAGTCGTTGCGTGCTCGACCTGCAGACTCAACCACCAGATACCGGGCTGGGTCTGTCCTCGTACGAGCTCATCAGGTGAGACGAACAGCAGCGCCTACAGCAAGCCTCTCAGAACTCTTGACAACGGGCATGGCGCAGAACGTGGTAGGAGTATTTGTCGCGTGGCGCAATACGAGTGCCGGAACTTCGAGCAACTTACCGGTGTGACGATGAAATCCCATGGTTTCCCGTCCCGCCTGCCGCCTGTAACGCTTTATGGGGCTAGCGTCAAGATGACTGAGCCACGCTACGACGCTAGGGGACCTCTCACTCTGCTCTTTCGTCACAGATCAAGTCATCCACTTGATTACTTAGTGGTGTCTATTAAATCTCAAATATTTGTCCGAGGCTCCGACTTGTCCGACTTTCAGTATGCTTGTAACGCCGCAGGAAGTATGACGGCATGCAGGTGCCAGCTTCCATCTTCAGCTCCAGGATCTCTTTCTCTCGTCGTTTTGAGGGGTGACTGGAACCCTCGACTGTAATGAAAACCGTAAGGCTCGAGGCGTCTGTCAACACATATTATGTTGTTAAAAAGATCAATCACAACAGTCGCAAACTACGACCTAGAGATTAGGACAGCTTATCAAAGGATACACGCCTCAAGACCTGTGATGATCTATCCTCGTACAGAACAACGCCTAGGCTTCTTGTTCCTCCAGCTTCTGGATTCTTTCGTCTCAGCCTTCTCTGCAGCCCGAAGATCAGTGGGCACCAGGGCTTACAACAGCGACTGTCGATAACGGAGTGTGTGTCAAGTGTCGAAGTGTGAGCTTTAAACAGATTGCAATGGGGTAAGCTGGAATGCTGGGCGGTTCGCAACGACCATAGGTTCGCTTAAATATTGCCTACGCTCCCTCCTCTTCCCGCGACAAGCGGCCAGAACACGGTCCAATGCAAGGTACGCCTCCAATTCTTCCTGCAGGGAAATCTGTAAATCTCACTGATGTTCAATTACCGGGCAGTTATCGTCAATGACAATTTGCACATACTACAAGTTTCCTACCAATCACCACATCCTGTATCATTATCGTTAGTTCCCACATATGTTGCCACGCATACACTTGGTCTGTCCTCAAGCAGTTGGTCAATTGATGAAGATGAGGGGTTCACACCCCTGCACAACAACGCTTGAGCGGCAGCCCACACATGGATTGCGGATCATGCCTCCACACTGAATAGACCACCTCGAGCGGACGACCAGCCCGATTGAGCGAGCAACTCCCACTGTCGCTGATCTCCGTCGCTTGTGGCTTGCCGAATGTTGGAGGTCGCGCTGCTCTCATTATCCTACAAAATCTGGCCTATAGTATGTGGTGTTAGAAGGAGGCGACATTGTAGAAGTATACTTTGGAGGGACGTGTTGAGGTACCGGGTAAGGGGTTCATGGCTATCCCCGCTTCTCACACCCGCATCCAGGAACTCACGAAAAGTAATCAATAACTCTGTGCATGCGCCGCAATATACGGTGGAATTTGGAGCATAACGACTGAGTAGCCCGAGGCAATAGACCATGTCTTCTGGTATATAACATCAAGTTACGTAGCCTCCAGAAGATTGGCAATCACTCCGAGTCCGGCTTCAGACTTCACTGTGTCCTCAACTTCTCATCATGGCCTGTCGATTTGGATCTCCAGATCTTGTCACATCGTTATCTAGCACTGCTGCATCACCAACCTTTGCCTTCGATGCTACAAACATCAATTACTTTGGCGTAGCAGGAAGTTTCACCTCGAGTGAGATGATACAAAAGTCAGCTAGCCATATTCAAACTGATCATGATAGATAATGGCGCTGCATGTTCCTTCCCAACCCGCTATGTCGCGCAACAAAGGACCTCTACTTACGCTATCACACCTATCATTGTCACTGCAGGGCGCACCACAACATGCTCGGTCCTGGCACCTCCATCTATCACGGCGAGCGCAAGTGGTTCTACCACTTACTCTGGCTTTGAATGTCCCAGCATCATTGACAACCAGTTTGCAGCTGGGACTTACACCTTGAGATTCAATCAGCCAAATGTTGCTGGTGTTCCTGCAATCTCGTCGCGCACTTTTGTTGTTGCTTCACCCACCTTCAGCACCGATCGTACTACGACGACAGTCGAAACGACTGTAACCCCCTCGGCCATTTCGGATGTTATCATTACGTGAGCATAAATGGCAGCTTGCGGCTGATATTTTGGCTGACGCCGAGACAGTTACCTCAGCACTTCCACACTGACCCTTCCCGGCCCCACGGCCGCTGACCAAACAGTCACGCAAACAATCAGCGGTACTATAACTGCTACTACCACTGTGACGGATCTTGTCAGCTCTTGCGCTAGTTCCACCGATATCTCTAGCACTGTGTTAGCATCATCCACTTCCTCTTCAGCAGCTAGCACTCCAACTACCAGCCTGCCTACCTCTGGAGATGGTCAATGTGGCTCGACAACTGGCCAGACCTGTGCGGGTTCCATCTGGGGAAATTGTTGTTCTTTGTATGGATTCTGCGGAGGTACAGACATATACTGTCTGACTACAGAGGGATGTCAACCTGGCTACGGAGAATGCATTGCGCCTTCATCTGTGTCTAGTGTTTCTCCTCCCTCACCCACGTCTACTGAAAAGGTCTCGCTCGATGGTACCTGTGGTGGAGAGAACGGCTACGTATGCCCTGGTAGCGGTCTAGGAGACTGCTGTTCGCGTAATCACCCAAGGGTCCCTCTAAATTTCTATGGCTGACTTCAAACAGCATACGGCTGGTGCGGCTCAAGTGAATTGCATTGCGGCGCAGGCTGCCAGAACGCCTTCGGGGTTTGCTCTGGCCCAACGCCTACTGGTACGGCACCTTTGCCTACCTCCACTCTCAGAGTCTCTCTTGATGGATCTTGCGGCGGTACTACAGGGCAAACCTGTTCAGGAAGCACCTTCGGACCGTGTTGCTCGGAATTCGGCTGGTGTGGTAGCGAAGCGCTCTACTGCACCGGTGCCTGCCAGCCGACGTTTGGAACGTGCAGTGCTACTACTGCAAAGCGATCGGCGCTTAAGGGAAACCTTCGTGCGGCACCTTTCGCTGCTGTGAAGCGCTCGGCAGGTCAGGTGCTAGGCCGGCGCGCCATTGGAGGTGCTGGTCCTGACTTTACCTACCCACCCATCCCGCGTACGACTATCACATCCACTACCACGCAAACTATAACCTTGATCTCAACAGTAGGGGGCACAACTACGATTTCGAGTATACTAACCACGACAACAATTCTGCCGCTACCGGGAAGCACCGTGTTGACCACCACTACGTTGCTGATCCCTGTAACGACTGGAACAGTGCGTTTGACTCAGACCGTATGTCCCACGTCTGTATGAGTTGTATAGCTGTACGTAACAGAAGTAGTCATATGTTGCAAAAATCGTATGAAGTTATTGCTTTGATTTATTGAAAGGTGAACGTACATTTAGCCTTGCTCGAAAACACGACTTGAGATATATCAAGTACTTCTAATCAGAGCATGGGCATCAATTGCTCATGGATCGAATATGCCCTTAACCGAGCGACTCTAGATGATTTCAGTGACACTTTGTTGTGTTTTATATAGACATCAAAGGGGGTGGTGGTGCATATTACTAGCTTTGAAGCTTGTATGCTTTCAGCCAACAAATTCAGTGGGAAGCTTCACAGCTTACGCTGACACTTGATCTGATATGGACGTTGTGCGACAACCTTGGATGTTTATAAGATTCTGAGTAAACCAAGCTCCAAAAATCTGGGAGCAAGCCATACCTCCGTAAGGAATAAGACAGAGACATAGAAAAGAGACAAGTATCAAGTACCAAAGAGCAAGAAATGAATGTCTCACACACAGCTTCCTGCAGCTTGCATCGCAGCTGAACACTGGACAGCGCCACCAACAAGCTAGACAGCGCGTACTAGGACAACATCAAGATTCCGCGTAGTTTGAGATAGCATAAGGCTTTGTTTGGCGAAGTTCTCCTCTCTTCGTATGCTCTTCGTTGTTTTGTCGTTGTGAAGGACATCATAATTATTACGCTAAAGTGCACGCTAGTAACCAAAGGGTTCAACGAATAGTGTGTTTGGCAAGGGTCACTAGTTGCGAGGTGACACCTGCATGTTACACGATCCGCTTGGCGCATGCGATCAGAAAACGCGCAAGGTTGATCGTATCCCCTAGAACGTAGGTGTTCTGTTGGCAACATCTTGGAGGCCTGAGGGCCTCTTCAGTGCTGCCTATACTCAAGGCGCACGGTGGGCTGATGCTCTCTGGTTGTATATACTAAAGCAAGCCGTTATGTACGTATCTTTGAAGTACCATGTTCGGCATCTCGTTGATTCTCAATGATTTGAAACACCTGACTTGACAATACTTGATGGATGTTGGCGTATACGTAGCGAATGATGAACTCTTGCGGGCTGATGTCTATGCGGTAACACGAGTATATATGTAGAGTATCGAGTGCAAATGATCACGTGTGGTGAGATCGCAAACAGTAGTGATCTCCCATATTGCTCATGATCAACAACCTCTAGTCCAACACGATCTGTGACAAAGCCTTGATCATTACATCATCGAGTACTCCCTTTTCCCTGTCAACGCTCACACGCACCCTCATCGTTATTACATTCCAGGTCCAAAAGCACCCGCCATGTAGATCGGTTGCAGTTGGTGCCCTGATTTGTATATCAGTTCGCCGTCTTCGTTGGCAGGATACCTAGCCATCATGTCGACATTACTCCCATTCAACTCCAAACACATCAAGAGCTCAATAGCGTAGTGTGTCTTGGTAACTGACTCGTCCGGAGTCACAACCTCAAACGCGGTGGTCATGTATTGCGTCAGGTCGAAGAAGAACTTCCCTTCATCGTCTGTCTTTCCTACAGATTTTGTCAGACAGTCTTTCTTCATGACGCGGTTTGGGAACTTACCTCTGTTGTTCTTGTGATGTCTCTGATAGTAGTCTTTGGTACAAGTGAAGGAAGAGACGAGGTGTTGGGACGCTTCCCAGCCTCCTCGATTGTTGTTACCGTTGAGAGGACACACAAACTTTGTGCGGTAGCACACGCGGTGTAGCGGACGTAGCTCGCCCATGTCCTAGACCTTGTAAGCTTGTATCTACAGTAAGAGAGAATTAAGCATGCGTACCACCTTGAGCCACCAGACGATAGCTTCAGTGATGTATTGGCCTCCATCATACTCAGAGACCGTCAGCTTCTGGTCTTTGAAGATGTCTTCGGGGTATCTTTCGAATTCCCCATAAGGGATATCTGTGAGAACTCCGATGCTGCGTTGAATGACTCGCGCTGGACCATTGGACTTGTTCTGAATACGTCTGACAATACCTTTGCTCACGCCTGTGACGCCGCCGCCACTGTGTCGGAAGGTACAAAATTCTATGTTGGACTCTCCGCTACTCTGAAATTCTTTGAGCATGTCTCTGAGGACTTCCTGCAAAGCAGGGGAATCTCCAAAGCCACCGACAAGGATTACCTGGTCAACCTTGCCCATGGTACTCAACACATTAGCGATGTATGACTTCGCCTTTTTGCGGACCGCGCGGAGAGATGGGTCAAATATGCGCTCCATGTCGTCGCTGGTGTGATCAGTTTTCCGGGATACGAGTGGAAGAATGCGCGACTTACAACGTAAGGCTCAGTTGGTTTTGCTTGAAGCGGGGGTTGGATGGTGCAGCTTGCAGGCCCGTGACTCGGAAAGTGTAGGTCTTACCCTTCCCGCGATCTGCGAGCGAGAAGTTCCGTTTATGATCGTTGGTCCACTTGTCCATGAAGTATACATATGTTGCACGTTCTGCATCCATGGAAGCCAATTCTAGGAATCTGGGCTGGCTCTGGAGCCATTTCTTCATGAATGCGAGGAATCTCACATCGAGATCCTCGGCCCCGACCTCAATACCTACATGGATGTCAGTATCAGTGACCTAGAAAGAGGACCAGAACGTTCCTTGAGGTGCAACACCTTCACTCTCAAGTCGTAGAGGTTGCGAGTATGCTAGCCTATAGGCTGAAAGGTCCGTACTGCCGCCCCCAGCGTCAACCGTGACAACTATGCTACCTTCCTACATCGATCAGCATATAAAGACGAAATCATCTACCAACTGAACGTACCGTGAGGAGAAAGTGCTGGGACTCAACAATGTTAATCGCGTACGCTTCAGGCTCGTGCACGAGGAATGGAGCACCGCCGAACTGGACAGACGTAGCAGCTTCGTGAACAACAGCACTGAATTTCATGATGTTATTCCGGTCCCAATCAGCTGGGATACCGACACCTAGTTCGACTTGAATATGAATTAGTCTTGCTGTCGCTATTCGTGGTATGGACGCATACCTGTGTCTCCCTCCTGGTAGCCGTGATACTCCGTCAGGTAGGCTTTGGCATGCTTCAGTAATTCCACGAAGATGTCGCGTACCACGTCTTCGCGTTTGCGAATCACCTTTCGTGTCTTCAATTCCTCGACGGCCTCCCAGGCAATGGACGCTGATGCATTTCGGCCCATGCTGAAGATGAGCTTCGGCCTCAGGATGTGTCCTTTAGGCCTGTAACCTTGTTCAGCGCCTTCATCCAAGTTCAAACGGGAGAGACTCTGTGCCTCGTATCCCCATGCCTGGCGTCTGTCACGCCGTGTTCTGTATGGCTCTCTGTGCGGAACTCGTCCAGACCTCAGAGCTCCTATTTTGTCTTCATCAAGATCGATAAGTCCAGCATAGTTGAGATAAGCGAGCTGAGTCGTGACTTGAAGCTGATCGCGAAGAGTATCGGGGTACTTGTTGACTGTGTGGATGACACTCGGGTTGTGAGCTACAGAGAAACTAACTGACGAGTTTGTTGTGCCGAAATCGACACCGACTGCGTATTTGGCAGGCGCGCGAGTTCGTTCCAGTCCAAGTGCCGTTGCAACTAACGAAGTGGGTTTATGTGGAGGACCTAGCTCCTGAGGGGCTGCTGTTCGGCCTGTGAACAGTGACCCAGATGCTAGGCTAGACATCTTCGCCGAAAGAAGGAGAAGCCTCCAAAGGAAGCCAAAATCGTATAAGAGCAGAAAAAAACACGGGTGTGCTCAAATATAGATGCACAGATGTATCAAAGGGGCTTCTACCCAACGACGTGTTGGTAGAAAGCAGTGAAGCGATGATGAAAAGAGGAGAAAAAAGCGGATTCTTTGAGAAATACCACGACGTTCACAGCGGATACCTATCAGATTGCAAACCCCTCACTTGCTGACCGCTTGACTGAGGAATCTGTTGGGTGGGAGGCTGCAGTGATGAGACAGGCCAACTCTGCAAGTACCCGAAATGTCTCCACCACAATAGGAGAACCGACGTGACACAGACGTAGAAGCGAGATACAGCAATCAACGCCCCGTTTTCTTCAGATCTAAACTCTTCTTTCATCACGATACTCAATATTTTGTGGTATCGCACGAGCCTCACCTAACTAAGCTCAGAACTCCTGCAATGTCGAAGCGAAAATCGGCTGACACCTGGACCGACGAGGAAACATACCTCGCCATAAATTTGATAGACGTCTGTAAACGGGACGGGCTAGATTATGAGAGCACAGTTGTCACCAGGCTCTCGCATCTATCGAAGAGTGCGGTGACGATGAAGAGAGTGCTCAGGAGACTGTATGTCGTACTACGGAAGCCGAGGCCGGAAATTCTCAACGCAGGTCCAGATTGTATAGAGGAAGATCAGAGACGTGGCGAATGGTTTAAAGGACTAAATGCCTCCCGAATTGAGCTGGACCTTGATCATCTGTCGGAATATCGCACGTCCGACACACGGAAGGACACCTCAATGGAGACTGGGTACTCGGGACCTTCACTACGGTCACGCAAGCGAGTGAGTGTAGTCGATACCGTTGAAGATTCTTGGGAGCTAACAATAGCGTCAAGCCTCTTGTCGAATGCCAGTCGCGCCACACCAAGCCTAGACACGAAAAGAGCTCCACAAAACCTTGTGTCGCTACTATGAGTCTCCAGCTTGACCGCATACAAGACATGTTCACAAACGTTGTTGTACCGATGCAAGCAAAGACCGAAACCTCAGATGCTACTATAGCGGAGTTGAGAACACAACAGTCTACGATGCAAGCAACAATCAAAGCCTCAGAAGCTACTATAGCGGATCTGAGCACACAACAGTCTACGATGCAAACGAAACTGGACGTACCGGCTCCTAACTGGCTTGCCATCCGGACAATGATCCAGTCGAACCTCAAGCAGTATGCATCACCCGACGCGAGCTACGACGGCGGCATCACGCAGACCATGGAACGCGTGCTGGGAGAGTTCCAGGCCGGTCCTGTCAAGGGCATGGTGGCGTGGGCGAAGCATTACATCGAACTCCAAAAGAAATTGAACGAAGCGCTCGCCAGCATGCGCATAGTCCCTGGACGCGACTGTGCGCCGCACCAATACCCAAAGGCCCCGCAAATCAAGGTTTTGCGGGATGAGTGGCTCCATCTACGAGAGGGCATCCAGGAAATGGTCGGATACGAGTCTGGCGCCCTGGCTCACGAGGACAGAGGGTACATAAGTGCCAAAGTCGAAGATCTCTTGGGCGGATGCAAGTCCGATGAGGAGCTGAATCATTGGATCGAGGCGACGGCTATCCGGGTCCATCAACCATGGAGTGCGCAGGTCGTGATTGGCGCACTCACTTGTCATTGGCTTTTCGCTGGCCCAGAGCCTATGCTGACGGAAGCATATCGGGGGGTGCTGCTCTCATACTACAAGAGCGTCGCATTGATAGGTAAGCTTCACGAGTGATTGCAAAGATTACACACACTGATGCTCCTGATAAGATGGTGTCACAGAAGTGCAGAAGCGGGATCTGGTCAACACCAAGCTCTATCTGGAGGACACGCAGATATCTGGCTTGGTGGTGACACAGCGAGTAGCGATGCTAGCTGCTCGGCTCCGTGAAACATCTGGGTTGATATGCAAGTACGACACACCTGTCTCCCAGGGCTTTGACATCGACGGTTGGGCCAAGAAATCCGTGGATTTGAAGCAGAAGTTGATGTTCAGTCCCATGGCCTACCGAATCCGCTCATGTCTGCCAGGGGACAGATACGACCCGCAGTGGATGCAAGCCGAGAACAAAGATGGCTCCATCGTGCCGGAAAAAGACTTGAGTGACCGGGAGTACACAGTGGCCATCTGCTTGTTTCCAGCGTTGATGCAGCACGACATCGACACGCTTCCAGAAGATGTGGACTTCACCGCGGCGCTGGCGGGTCACAAGCGATTCTTTTCCAAGCCAGGCGAATCGTCGTCTTTCGAGACCACAGAGGTCATATCCAAGGCTGTCGTGGTGTTGAGCACGAAGGTTCAAAAGCTAAACCTCCGAGTCTGAACACGACAGTGCCTCCAATTCTCGACACGGCGATGACCTCGAATCTTGAAACGGCAGCGGCTCCAGACCTCGACGCAGCAACGATCAAGGAGCTCAACAGGGCAGTGACCAGGAAGTTTGACACGCCAGCACCGAGTTTGATACCAAGATTTCCCGACCAGCATCGAGGTGGGGACCCGAGAGCGACGTGGGTCTCGAACGAAGTGTAATCGTCGCTGTACGCTTCTCACACAGTAGCTAGATACTCAGCATAAATATGTCTCTCCTCTCATACCAACCCATATGTCATAACATCACGTTAACTGCTCGTGAAGTCTAGAATCGTGGAAGCGGTGACCTAACTCCTGTACTGACGTGGACGGAGCAGAGGCAGGAGCGACAAATTCAGGGGCAGGTACACAGCAGGCTTCCAAGACCGAGGCAGGACCACGAGACAGCTCGAAGTAAATGCGCTTAAGTTCGTATCGCTAGCAACGAGAAGCAGATAATTCCAATCGCAACTCATCTATCGCTTATACAAAACCACAAAACCGAGTGCTGAAACGCAGCACCACACCTATCCTCAATGACGCTCGGGCATTTGATGCTGTCGCTTTGCGTAGCCCACCTCGTCCAGCATGCTTTGGTACCTGCCCTCCTCCCTGACCACGTCCTTCACGATATCCGACACGTGGCCCTCAAGCAGCACCTCGCAGCCCCTCGGCAGCCACCGCAGTATATGGAACGCATTCGCGTGTACGTTTGTCGCGTGCATAACGCGGTTATCGTCGGGGAACCGCGCTTGCATGATGACTTTAAAGGTCTTGAGACCCCAGCAGTAGCGCAGGCCCAGGCGCACGAGGTCGGCGAAGCCGTCGAGGATATCGTGGTGGCTGGGAATAGTGAGGACGATGTGTTTGATAAGGGAGCGCGAGCGTTGGTGCAGAGTGCTGAGGGTGTAGGTGCCGCTAAAGAGAGAGAGGTTGAACGTGTTGGTACTATAGAGGACGGAGCGTGCTTCCTTGTATATCTGCTGGTTGAGGCGCAGGATCGTGGGAACGACAGGATCGAGTGGAGGGTCTATGTCCGGAAGTGGACTGAGGTTACGACGGCGGCGGGGGGGTGAGGCGGCCTCGCAGGATGAGGTAAAAGTGTATACAGCGGGGCGGTCGATCGGGACGGAACCCTCTTCGGCATCTTCCTCGAGAGGGCGCGAGGCATGGAGGAAGAGTGGCGTGTCGCGGTGAAGTGCCATGTGGTATATATGGATCCGTAGTTCCGCAGGTAATTCCATGAAGGGAAAGATGCCTTTGCGTTCGAACGGAGTCCCGTCGACAGGCAGCGAGATTTGCGATTCGGTCAGTGAGCTTGGCTCTGGTGTCGCGAGGCCGTTACGAATGGTTGTGGTCGAAGAGGTGTGGGATATACCAGTGCGTCCTGCGCAGGCGTCACGCTTTTCTTTCAATCTTTTGGATGCTCGCTGCGGCTCTGTGCGTCCTCCATGCTCAACAGCTGAGGTTCGGCGCGTGCGCTTGCCTAGCACATTTGCTATCACAGACCCAGCCATATCCAATATCCTATAGGTGCTTGTGGTCAATGTAGGTAGTATACAAGTGGGTAGTCCCGTGCGGCTCTGCCGTGAACGGTTGATCGATAATGAGGACGACGCTGCTGATATTCGTCGTACACCCTAGGTCGTTTGCCAAACAACAAACGTGGCCGCTATGAATACTTGCCAGCAGTCTGTCGTGCGAATAATGTGACCAAGAGTGCAAGTGACAAGAGGTCCGCAAACGGGCCAGGCAAGGGTTTGTGGGGTTGGGGCAATGGAGACGTGCGCCGGGAGGGCTCCGCTTATCGAGACCCACCGTTGGCCGATCACGTGTGGTTTGCCAATGTTGGGAAACCATGGAGCTAAAACCGGCCTTCTCGGATTGGGATGTTAGCTCATTGGGCCGTCAGGAGGAAAAGTCAGCCAGCGAGTTCGGACACGTCGGATCAGGCACGTAATGGCAAAATACATTTAATTAGCTATCACACCGCCTAACCACTATGCTGACGATGCAAGTAAAAGTGCTGTGAAGGGAATCAATAGCCTCTACGGAACCATCCCTTATGTCCCATCGCTCCTGCCCAGGAGATGCTTTTAGGTATCTCCACCACCTTGCGGTGGCCCGAATGTGAATAAAGCAGATTTAGGGCAACGCTCCAATCCAAATATCAAACAAGAAAACACACTGCCACCCCGGATTCTCAACGTGCAGCCTTTACAGGTCTATTAAGTTGTTGCCGCCCTGGGGCCTTTGCTGCTGCTGCGGGGCGCCAAACGGATTCGCACTCTGACCGCCATACGGATTGGCTCCGAAGTTGCCTGCAGGGCCTGTCTGAGCCGGCATCATGCGATTTTGCTGAGGCATGCCAGTGAACTGAGAGTTGAGGAAGGGGTTGCTGCCGGTCGCGTTCGCATTGATGCGGTTCAGGCCGGCGCCAGCTGAGTTGACAAATGTGCCAGGTGCTGTGTGTTGTGCTGGGAGTCGAAGATTGCCAACATTGCCAAAGGTATCCTGTCCGTCTCCCGTCGCCAGGAGGGCATTGAGCCGCGCCGCATGAGGGTCCATCTCTTTCTGGGGCTGCTGGGGTTGTTGCTGTGGTGTCGAGAATGATACTGGTGGATTGAAAGAGGTGTTGTTAAATTGTGTTTGTGTCTTCTGCTCCTGCAGAGCATTCATCGAGGGGACACGCGCTGCTTGCGTTGCGGTCTGGGGCCTGTTGAAGCCCTGCGCGAACGGGTTGTTAGAGCCGGTGGGTTGAGGCATCAGAGCCTCTTGCTGATTGTTGCTCGCCCAGGGGTTATGGGTACCAGGCTGAAGCGTGCTCTGCTCTTGGAGAGGCTGCTGCTGCTGCTGGCCCATTCCACCGAACTGGCCGTAAGGGTTATTCATGTTGAAAGAGGTCTGTTGCGGCTGCATGTATTGCGCTTGCTGCTGTTGCTGGCCGAATTGATCGAAGCCTGTCTGCTGTGGCTGCTGTTGTTGCTGCTGGAAGCCTTGACCATAGCCGCCATAACCATTCTGGAAACCTGTCTGCTGCTGCTGCATACCAGTAGGTTGAGAGTATGCGTTGTTAAGGAAACCTGTATTCTGTGGCTGCTGCTGCTGTTGCGGCTGCTGCTGGTCCATCAAGTTGCCGAACCAGTCGACCTGTCCCTGCTGCTGGTAACCCTGGTTGTTGCCAGTTGGCTGGTATGTGTTGGGCTGCGCGGGCGCATCGCCGAAAAGCAGGTCGGCATTCGTCTGTTCGAGCTCCCGTCGGCGCAGCTCTTCCTCCTCCTTGCTGAGCTTAATCGCCTTCGCGAGGTCATCGTCATTGTCAGGCGCGCTGGTCCGATCCCGCCGCTTCTTCTCTTCCTCAGCTTCATTCTTGCTTGCCTCGAGAGCAAGCTTGAACTCGAGATCTTCGTCCTCGCGGCGCGCTCGCGTGTTTCCACCCTCTCGTCGGGGCCTGTGCGAACCCTCACCGTGTCCAGCAGCGTGGTTTCCGGGGTATTCCTCAATGCCAGTCACGCGCGACTTCCACGACTTCCTGTCGGCGCGTTCGGCGCGCAATCGTTCTTCGTCCATGATCAGCGAGGTAAGCTCCTTGGCCGCCATTCGCACTGTGCGACGTTAGCTTTGCCCGCATTGCTCCGTCAGACGCAACTTGCCATTCTGGCCGACGTCGCGACCATCTTCGTCGGTGTACTGGAACTCGCGCAGTGTCTTGATGATGTAGATGTTCTTGCGCGCCCAAGTCACCACCAGCTCGGACCCCTCGTGCAGACAGTAGTCAAGGACCTTGAGCGACTTTAGGACGTGGCGCCAGTTCTTTCCCTTGTCGTTGAGTCGCTTGTCTAGCATGTCCATGACCTGGTAGAAGTCTGTCGAGCTGCATAGGCTGTTAGCGCGGCCTCCGCAGTCAGGAGCTGGCTTTACTTGTTGAAGGTGATCTGGGCGATTTCGGCCATATCTGAGCCTACCGGACCCCACGGGTCGTTGCTGGTGGCATTGCGGACCTTGACCTCGACAGCCGAATAGCCCTTCGTGACTGCGACACTTGTTAGGCGTTGCGGCGGGCGCAATGGGGATGCCGCAGCTTACCATTCTTGACGCTCCTTACGACCTTGCTCATCTTGGCTGTGGTGCGGCGGCTTCAGGATGCGAGACCAGGATTGTATGCGACGCGAGGACTGATGCTCGTGGGTGAAGTGTGCACGATGCTGGCAGGGCCGTCGGTCCGTTAAGTGTGAGGAAGCTCTAGCGTTGGGTATGATGCAAGACCACGATTCTGACTTGGCAGGCGAGCCAATGAAGGTGCCGAGGCGGCGAAGCTGCGCGGCTGTGGCTGTGCAGGGAGAGAGGGCGACAGTTGCGAATGACAGTGACACAGGCGTCGTTGCAGAGGGAGTGGGGTGGCAAGCTGGTCGCTGTCAGGATGCAGACGCAGGACACATGCGGGTGCTTCGTCATGCGAGGCTGGGGAGCTCGGCGCGCAGAGGCAGCCGACCTAAGCGGACGCCGCCCAATGCAGACGCTCATCTCAGGCTTCGAATGCAATTGAGACGCAATTTCGCAGTCAACGCGCCGCCTGTGGAGCGTCTCTTATTGCGAATTCCGCCGTCGTCATACGGGCGACAGCCGCCGCGCACTGTCCGAGGCATTTGGCCCTGAAACCACCTCCAACGTGTCTTGCCAACCTTGTTCAGGACACCTACAGAAGACCGTCCTGCGCATGAGGCAGCTTCACACACGCATCGTGTCCACAGCACAGCTCACGGCTCCAGTGTGACAGGCGCTCATGTTTAATCGCGATGTATTATTTTGCTATTACTTGCGCAGAATGTTTAGTCTAAGGGCGGATATAAATCCTTCATTAAGTACCAGTCTAAGTGAGTGTGCCTGTGTGCATAGGAGAAAACCATGATAGAGCCAAAGACACCCTCGTCCGTCTTGAAAGGCACGCCTGACTCCGCCTGCCCACAACACGGGTCCATCCGTTCAGAGCAATTTGACCGTGCTCCTCGAACCAGATCCGACCAAGATGGAAAGAAGCCGCACTAGTAGTGACGGCTAAGTTGTGAGTACAAAGGAAAGTTCCACGCCGACAGATCGAAAAACGCACTGTCAAGACCCGTGAGACCCATGAAAACCGCCATGCAGAAGGACTGATCAAACAAGATAACACGCCAGCTGACAGGAAGGAAATTTTTTGAGAACACAGGGGTATAGGTCCTGCCAAAACACCGATGTAATGGAAATCGCGACTCAAAGTGCTATTGGTACAAGGGGAGAGCAAGCGATCTATTGCACAGCGGGTGCCCACATCTCATTACCCATCCTCTGTTGGTTTGGGTTGTAGTGGTCGGGCTCCGTGCTGTTCGGACGGCGGATGTTGTGGTTCTGGTAATACATGCTGTTTTGAGTGTTTCCGTACTGCGGCTCCGGGTATACGTAGCCGTTGTCAGCAGCTCCAGGTGAGGGCAGAGCCTGCTGAGAAGGTGATTGCCAGCCCATGTTAGCCATGTGAGGGCTGCCGTTGGCGCTGTTAGTACCAGACTGGTTGTGGTTGGCAGATGCTGGTGGCTCGAGAGTGGGCGGTGGACCGTATGCACTTGGATGCGAGGTGATGGTGGGGCGAGAGTTGCTCACGCTGGAGGTGTACGATTGCGATGTCAGCGCTGGGGAAGCGCGCGGACTCTGCTGGGGCATCTCGCTGCGCATGTGGGGAGGGACGTTGATGCCGCCCATGTACGCGTAGTCAGAAGCTTGACGGTGCATAGCAGGGACGACACCGGCGGGCATGCCATTGGCGGGGGAGAGAGACAGAGTGCGGTCGTTAGGGGACGGTGTGTTCAACGGCGACGCGGTTTCTGAGAAGTCACCGCCATCTGAGCGGCCAGTTCTGCTGGGTGCGGCCGCACGCGAAGCAAGGGCAGCAGCGGTGGCAGCAGCAGCCTCCTCGACAGTACCAGTGTGATGATTTTGGTGGCGAGTCAAAGTGGTACGACGCGTGAAAGTCTTCTGACAGTCGGCGTACGGGCACTTGTACGGTCGCTTACCGGAGTGGATGCGGCGATGGCGAGCCAGAGAGCTGGAATCGCTGAAGGGCTAGACAGTGTTAATGGTTGTACAACCAGAGAACGTGTTATGAACGTACCTTGCCACAACGCTCGCACATGTGAGGCTTTTCGCCGGTGTGGACGCGTTGGTGGACCGTCAAGGCGGAGCGCTGGATGAACTGCTTACCGCAGTTGGGGTAGTCACACACGTGAGGACGGATGCCACTGTGAATACGTTCTGTGGGAGTCAGTGCGTGCTTTGGTGTTGTAGGCCCAAGCTTCAAAGCTTACCATGACGTGCAAGGTCACTGCGTCGCGCGAAGCCTTTACCACATGTCGAGCACGCGAAGGCCTTGGGGGGACCATTGTCGCCGGCGGCGCGTCCGCCGTGCTGCTGGTTCTGCTCCTGCATCTGCTGCTGGGGTTGCGCGTACGCGTGGTCCGGGGGCTGGGGAATGTAGTTGTTATTGTTGAGCATGGGCATGGCAGCCTGCATCTGGGTCGGCGAGGGGTAGCGCATGCCGTTCATGTGCTGTGCGGCCATCTGGGGATACGCAGGCAGCTGCTGCTGTGGTTGTTGTGACGAGTACCGCGACGAGTCGGAGGGATGGGGTGACACGCCACGCTCAGAGCCGGTCTCCGACTTGATGTGGCCGTTCATGTACGGCGCAGCACCGAAGTGCTGCTGCTGCATGTCGTGCTGCATCGCGCGTTGCATGCCGAAGTAGTCTCCTGTACCTGCGTGGACTGTTAATCGCGCGTTCAGAATGGTGCCCAGCTCCATCTTCTGACGGGAACAAGAAAGTCTCGCGTTGTGGAGAATCGGCGAAAGCGCTCAACGAGCAAGGAACGGAGAGGAGCGCACCAGTGGGAGAGAGGCGGGCCGGTGGTGAGCCTCAGTTGCAGGGAGGCGCTGTGTGGCGATGAGGGTGATCAGCGAGCCTCAAAGGTGCCGTGTAGGATGGCCCGTTCCTGGGGATCTCGAAGAGCTGGGCGGATCGCGTGCGGGTCAATGCAGAGGTTGCACTAGAGGGCGATGTCAGTCCAGATGTCAAAGGGGAGCCGCGACGGCGGTGGCAGGAGCGAGGGAATGGAAAATGTCGCACGCAGCAGGCACGCTGGGCCACGTCCGCCGGACTCGAATAGGGGAGCGAGCGGTGAAGGGCTTGTGGGAGCGCGGCGCAGGCTGCACGTGACGCGTACAGGCTGCAGGATGGGAGAGAACGTACCAGTAAGGGTATTGAGAACGAAAAGAAGGAGAAGAGTAAGATGCGATGAATGTGAGGCGTAGTGTTGTGAAAGTACTTCTTTCCTCGTCGCGCGCGGAGAGTTCAATTTTGGGCTAGTGCTGTTTTGGGCACTAGTGCAAATGGAAGGAAGGCGGTCCCCTGGCTGGACGATGTGCAGGCGACAGGCGGGCGTGGCAGAGAGTCAAAGCGCGAAGAGGCCTCTGCGCAATATCACGACCAGTGCAGATGTGGGTGCTGAACGTCTCTGAAACTGGAGACTTCACCAACGGGTCTGCCACAAATGTCGCAGATGGATGGCGCTCTGCACGACAGGCAGGGATGAGGAGCCGACCGCCTGAATATTTTCTCAGCTGTCCGCAGCCGCGCAATCCGAGAGGCAACGAGTGCAGTCCAATCTCGTATTGGCCGAAGTGCTCTCTTTGCACCGCTCTCTGGTCCTGAATGGGCCGGCTTGACCCAGTTCCCCTCTTTGAGCGGGTATGCGTGACGCTGGCCTGTTCGAGGTGCGGGCGCAACCTAGTCTCTCCGGCTCTCAGGGCGTGGCTCGGTGGCTACCCGTTGCTTGCTTCGACCCAGTTCTGCCCACGCTGGCGACGACCCTTGTGGCAACGCAGAACAGTGGCTGCTCAGCGTCAAAGAAAGCAAGCCGAGCTAATGTCTGTTTCCTGCGTCAGCTCAGTCACTTGCAGCTATGCCACGTCTGTTCGCTGATGATCCGCTTCAGGAATGTACATGACGGCAATGACAAAGCTTACTTTGCCCAAGTTGGTTCCTTGTTGCTGGTCGACCAATTTGTTGATTGTATGCCGTGACAATGGCGCAGGCTTACGAGGAATTCGATCTTGTGTCACTCGGTTTCTCGGTACAGTTTGAACTTTGAACAGTGGCAAGCATCTCTCTCTCGTCACGGCGCAAGGGACATTCATATTATACAGCACTCTGATCACCTCCTACTATCCTCATGATGGCGTTTCAGGAGCAACCCCATCCTTGTGTTCATCCTGTGCTCAACGGACCACAGCCTCACCGTCGCGTTTCCCTTAGCTCTCCACTGCTACTGTGAGGGCGCTATGGCATCCTGCGGCCTGCCTTGAGCCGTCAGTGGCGCCCGCGTGTGCAGAATTGGGATCCACAACCCGGGCGGCAGATGTTGACGACGGTGCCGCATAATTCTCAGAAACCCATCCAGGGCATCGGCCGAGCAGCATTTGGAAGGCGTCCACGCAATCCACGCCGTGGCGGCGCTTAGATTGAGGATTCATCTTGCGATACGCAGCTGATGCAGTCGGCACATCTTAGGACATGGGAGATGCGCTCTGGTGTCAGTTTCGCTTCCAGAAGCCTGCCACAAGGAGCAAGGCGCCGCGTCCATCACCGCTTCCGCCCATGGGTCACCCCGTCATCCAGGGCGACCACTTTCCAACCGTCGTCCGGCCCGAGCAGCTGCGACACTTGGAGCGACAACTCAGAGCCTCCTGTGCGTGCATATTAGGTTTACGGACGAGATACCATTGGCCAGCATTAAAGTTTGTTTGCGAGGCGGCGAAGTGTTGCGGTGAGCAGCCCCTGATCCTCCCCTTCCACTGACTAGCGGACATGAACTGCTGGCGAGTGCAACTGCAGAACATCGACCACTGTGTGGCAGCGACTGTGAAATGCTTGCTTCGTGACGAACGCATTATAGCAGCCAGACTCAGACTATATCTTAGGATCTTGTTGCGGTTGGCGTCGCATCTACAATTCATGTTCCTGATTCCTGAGATCCAGATGTTGTGGGCCTCTTGAAAACATTACACGTCACCTTGCACAAATCTACCGGGGAATCATCGACAGAGCCGGTGCATTCACAAGAAAGGCAGCTTTGGCTTGCTGTCATAACTCACCGTCCATTGTCGGCTCATGCCAAGCTGTTCTCACGAAACAGAGGTCGCAAACCTCCACTCTTCAGATCGAGTCGGTGTACGATACGGGCTGTCAATCGATGCACACACCAGACGGCAGTCGTTCAAGCCTCAGCTATCGCAACGCTCAGGATCATTGCGTGACAGAAACTCAGCACAACCATTGTCCATGGCCTACCGGTGCCAAAACGCCTGCTTCCGCCAGATCAAGTCTGTGCGCGTCCCATGGATCCGGTGCATGCACGCGCTGCCGAACCCCCACTTCAAGCCTCGCTGCGGTGATCGACTCTGATGCCCGTGCCAAGTTGCACAAACCATCTTGCATTCCCTCTTTCGCATTAATCCTAGCATCTCTCATTCATGTCACACATCACACCGCACCGTGTTCATGACTGCTGATAACTTACATTTATGTCACGACATGACATATGTTTAGATTGCAGCCACCGCTGTAGTATGCATGGCTGTTTCACCACTTGTGCTCGCCGCACTTGCTCCCGCCTGTCGCGGTCAGGGAATTGCGGCGTCCTATTCTTGTCCACCAGAAGCGCGCTTTGCATCAGATTCCCATGCGCGCTGTGTCATGAGAGGCCGCGGCTGCGGCCCCAGCTCACACTGTCAGCCAACCCAGCCAACGTTCCGACGCAGGGGAGTGTCTGATGTCCTTACCGTAAGGCTTGCAAAGCACCGAGCGCCCTTCCACGTAATTTCTAGAAGAAGCTGAGGCCGTCTTGACGACAGTGCGTGTTGCGCGCCTGACATTCCCCTGTCTTTTCCAGAAGATTACCCCTTTTACTAGCCCTTCATGGAGCCTGGAAATGAAGCTCGACAGCCTCTATTCGTCACTCTGGTGGGCGAGCGCATTCTGCCGACATATTGTGGGTTTTTATGTTACTTTGCTGAGTTTGTTAGTCATGACACCGCTTGTTAGAAGTTTGGGACCGAATTGCGGGAGCGCGTGCGACTCCCCGTTGACCGTTGACAGCAGATGAACGGACACACAGAACGTTTCTTGACCTCACAGCCGCCCAAGAACCTGGACCGCGACCGAACAATCTCGGCACACAGATGTTTGGTCGACTCACGGTGTGTTGGTCGGTCAGAGTGTGTGTACCTAACGGTGTAGCGGAATCCCGGCTACGCTTCCGTGTACAACCTCCTATGCATGTGACAGACTAGGTCATCCTGGGAGACCGTTGAGTTTCCAGCCTCTCTCCATGACATGCCGTCTCGGGTGGGCGATCTTGGACAGCACTCTTGAATACTTGGCAGACTATCCGGCGGCAGTCATCGCACGTTCACCCGCCGAGCTTGACGTTGACGGCCAATGCCTCCCGCTCACATCACCGCACGTGTGAACCCTGGTAATAGCAGACACCCTTAAGTGGTCTGTACAACAAAGAAACATAGGGATCCCAGGCAAGCTCGCTTTGACTTGGAATAGAATAGCTCGTTACGGGTGTATCATTGAGCATCGTTAGTGCGATGAGCGCTCATTGTTGCCTTTAAACTTTGGACATCTTTGCAACGGGAACGGGTAATCAAAACGGAAATCATCATAGAATTGCCCAGCTACGAAATGCTATGAACCCAATAAGAAATCCCAGTCCGCTATGCAAGAAGAGAGTGGGGTGGTGGTATACATCGTGACACTCATCAGGAAAACCTCGCCGTCTATCCGACTTCTAAACCCTCGGTACACCACCAGTACCAAATAGTTCCATATGCACTCTCTCCGAAGGAATACCATAGGTCTTCAACTGCGCCTCAATATCCAACATGAACTGTTCCGGTCCGCAAGTGAAGTACAGCGTCTTATCGTTGTCCGTAAACAGAACTTTGCCCACGCTACTCAGGCTAACACGGCCCGCGACGTCGTAGTCCTGGCCCTGCACCTCTCCCTCCTCTGGGCTCGACGAGAAGAACACAGTATGCAGATTGCTCTTCTCCTTCGCCAGCGCATCAATCTCTTTCTTGAATGCCCTCGTCTTGTTATTTCGTGCGCCCTGAATCCACGTGACAGGTCTCGATGACGAGTGCTCCAGCGTAGTGTTCAAGATGCTATTTAAGCATGTGAGTCCCACGCCAGCCGAGATCAGAACAATCGGCGCATCCTTGTCTGCTTTCTCCTCGTCGAAGAAGAAATCGCCCCAGGGGTGCGAGACGCGCACGGTGTCGCCGACATCCTTCTTCTCGTGTAGGATGTTCGAAACGTAGCCGGGGTGCGCCAGGTATCGTGGCTCGCCAATCTCAATGCCCGATTCGCGCTTGACACTGATGCGCAGGTAGTCCTTGCCCGGCGCCTCGGAGAGACTGTACTGGCGCGCTTGCCACACGCCGCCGTCTAGCTCGTCGACGAAGATGTTGACCGAGACGTACTGACCTGGCTTGTAGGTTGGTAGCTTGAAGCCAGACTCGATGGGCTGGAGATAGAACGATGTGATCTCTTCGGATTCCTTCTCTTTGCGTACGATCTTGAAGTCCTTCCAGTCAGCCCAGCCTTTTGCTTCCTTATACATGCCATCCTCTTTGTTGATCATGATGTTGGCAAGTTGCCAGTAGGCGGCTTCCCAGGCGCCGAGGATGGCAGGTGTTGCAGCGTCGCCGAGGACTGTCGCCATGGTCTTGAGGAGGTGCTCGCCGACGACATTGTAGTGCTCCGGTTTGACGTGGAGGGAAGTATGCTTGTGACAAATTAATTCGACGGCAGGGGATAACTTGCCAAGATCATCGATATTGGCAGCGTAAGCATAAAGAGATCCAGCGAGCGCACGAGGTTGGTGTCCAGTGGCTTGATGCGTGTTGTTGAAGATGTTCCTGAGTTGGGGATTGGCCTCGAGCATATCTGCATAGAACTTGGTGGTGATAGTCTCGCCATGCTCTGCCAGTACTGGAACAGTGGCTTTAATGATCTGTACTTGTTCTGGTGTGAGGGACGCCATTTCGAATGTTGCCGCGATTTCGTGAACACCCTTTGTCTTTCAAGTCGTATTCGAAGTTGATATTATGTGATGATCGATGGTTCGTAACAATCAAAACTCTATCGAGTAACCTTGTTTGATAGTCAATCGATCCTTTGGTGGGCTTCAATGATATGATAGTCTTGCTGATGTGATGGATTGTAAGTTGTCTCCTTCGCCGAACATATATACTTCGCCATCGTCAAACAGTTTTCCTACAGAACCCGCAAAACAATACATCTCCGCGGCAAAACGTGCAATGGATCTCAGTTTCCTCATCGCGGGACCTACAAATCCCTGTCGAAAATCTTACGACCGCTTGCGAGTAAGCAGGCCTGGTGTTTCCCGGGTACATATTACGTACGGAACACGTGCAGCGCGGCTCTTCACGCAGCCACTCCGCCATTTCCGCCGCACCCGGTCGTTCCCAACACTCCGTTGCGGGAACTGGGACAAAATAGTGAAAGTCTCCGATCTCGTTGTGGGTCGAACAATGCGACAGATGCCGCAGGGCTGAAGCGGAGGTCCACAATTCTCACTCTGATCGACTGCAACGCTATCTTTACCGACCTCACTCCCTGCAAATCTGAGCAGAACCGCAGCTACGTTTTTGCTCAAGCACCTGCATTCACGGCGTATTGCGACTTCCACTTGCTGAGCTCGAACGGTCCATGTCTCCGCTTCCATAGGGTTGCTTCCATGGCATTCTCACTCTCAGCATGACTAAAGGTCACACCACTATTCGTGGTGGCAGCCGAAATCTCCCGCTTTGTGAGCTGTCAGCTAAATGGCGCTTCGAGTTATTGGGCGGCCATGTCCTTTGCGAGTTGGATGATGATGATTCCAAAGTCGGGTGATGTGCAAAATTAGAATCGTTCTGTGTCTGTTTCTCCGCGGCTGTTCGGTGGGCTGGCTTGGCACGTGACGCGTTCCAACCGAATGTCAAGGAGATCCATAGATACTCTTCTAGTTTCAACATCGTGCTGCTCACGTAGCGACCCACCGAGAACTATGCAATAAGAGCAGCTCAAATATACGAGAAATGACCCACGATCGCTGGCCCCATTTATCATCACCTAGGTAAGACTGCGGTGCAGGCCCTTGCATCATCGAGTGCAGTCGGCATGGAACGGACAGCTGCAGCTTATGTTTGAAACCTTTGTTATTGCTATGTAAAAATTGATCGTAAGAGTACGTAGTAACCGAATACAGGAATCTCGCTCCTCGTCCATCACCGTTCTAGGAAACGCTCATCCTAACTCTTTTCGGGCCCGTAGGCGCTCTTCTGTACAGAACCACAGTGTCGATGCGTACCCAGGTAGATGCGATTGCAATATGTGGCGTCAGGCAGATAAACACGATATTAATGCTTCAGTACACCCTTCTCCAGTCCGACGGTAGGACCTTGTGCCATCGTCTTCCACCGCACCCTACTGCTTCTCATCGTCGTCAATGCACACCAGCACCGAGGCTTTCGAAAGATGCATCTCTGGGTCGAAGTCGATCGTCTCCCGAGATGTCGGGAAGAACCTCTTGTTCTTGACCAGTACTTCCTCGATCTTTGTACTATCTGTCACTGCCGCCTCATCTTCACATGTTAGTGCCGGAAACACACATAGCACAACTTTTTGCTTTGCTGCCCGAACATCTGAGACGCGCTCGTTAGTTCGGTCGTATGCCTGCATCCAGCGTGGATCGAAGGTAGATCCTGGCCGAACATAGTGGATGCGGTATTGCTTTGGACTCAGCAAGAGTTCCTGCTTGAACTCAATGATCTCCGTCGCCATTTGTTTTGGCCGTCTTCTAGCCGGGATATCTGTCTCTTGACAGACTTTATCCTTTATTGTCTGCAAGTTAGACTTGAACGCGTCGACTCTACGGCTGACTTCGACGCCTTGAAACTCCGGACTCTCGAACAGAAATTTGGTCGCTGTTTTGTCGTATTCTTGCACCCTGGCGAGACCATCAGCAGTCGTGGAAGTAGAGCCGAGTACTCCATCGAAGAGGTGCATCATGGCGTCCGAGTGCATGCCGTGAAGCATAGGCTCTGGCGCGGTGAATATCCAGCGACAGATGAGTGCGCCGATGAGAGCCTGTTGAGCGTGTGGGCTCTTCAGAAGTGCAGAGAGGCTTTCGATGTATCCCTCGAGTTGATCACCAGGAATGCGACCAGACGCGATGTGTTCAGCGGCACTGGCGAGATAGGCAGCACTGACTGCACCGATCCTTGGCGTGGTGTTGTTGGGACCTACGATATACGTGATATCCTCGTGGAATAACGCCCAGCTCCTATCCACCTCATGTTGCTTTGGCTCCTTGGGAAATTTGTTACCTCCGTGGAAACCTACGAAGGAGACCAGTTTCGAAACCTGGTCGATGTATATTGCCTTTAAAGCACGCTGGGCGTCAAGATCCTTGATGAGATTCACAATGACGTTGCCTTTGGGGTCTTCTAGCGTGCGTATGATCTGAAGAAGGTGTTCGGTAGTCTCTTGTGGCCAATCCTTCTGATGGTTGATCATGGTACTGAGAATGGACAGGCACGCATCGATCTTTTCGTCGACAGTTTGAAGGGTTAGTTCTCCTGTCTTCTGTCTCTTGGATGAACTGTTCAAAGTGGGGTTCTCTGTTTCAGACAGAAGCGCAGCTTTTCTTTTGCTGCTGCTCTGGGCTGCACCCTCTGCGTTGGCCTCAGCAGCTCGAATCCTTCCATCATCTTCATCGATGACAATTACAGAGGGAGCTCTCTTGAAAGCCGTTGCATGCTGCGTCTTCGAGGACTGTTGCTGTGCCTTCGAGGACTGTTGCTTTGTCTTCGAGGACTGTTGCTGTGTCTTCGAGGACTGTTTTGTAGGAAATGCAACGTCTCGTGCAGTTGCGACACTTCGTGGGCGCTTGGGTGCAATTGATGCGACACGACCTCGGGAAGAAGTCTCCGTTGACTTGAGTCGCTTTGAGCGGGGCTGGTACTCGCTATCACTCATATCTTCCGGAGTGGCTGCTCTCTTCTTTGTGGGGACAACCTTGGGAGGTGAATCTGGGGGTGTTGAAAGCGGGCTCACTGACGGTCTGTCTGCAGCGCCGTCTATAGCCTGCGCAGTGTCAATAAGATGAAGAATGAGCATTCCAGTCGAGGAACTGACGGTAAATACGCTGTTTTGGAATTCTGGTGTCTCCTCGACTCGACGTGGTTCGGGGTTGCTATCAATACCTGTCTGCGAGCCAGCATTTGGATTCTCCTGGAAACTTCGTAAGTATGTACAGATAGCCTGTTGATCGTGGACTTACGCTTTCGTCATCTTGTACCGGTCCAGTCTCATCTACCACAGCAGCAGCTGTCTGCGAGGCGGTGGAGCCTGTGAGGAGAGGCGCAATACCCCATGCATTGCACAACCGTTGCAACTCCACTACAACCTCAGCAGGTATACCAGTAGCGTTAAGGTAAGCGGTCCCTTGGCGCTTAAACTCTTGTACTGATGGTTCGGTGACACCATAGCCTCTGAAGAGCTTTTCGAGCTTGCCTCGTATGGTGTTGTAGGTGATCATTCTCGCTGAGAGCTTCTGCAACTCGCCTGCGACAGTTCTCTGATAGTCTGCGTCGTGGTGAATGCAATAGTCTGCGTAGCCAATGATGAACGCAATCTCGCTCATGTCCCATGCCTTCTTTGAACGGAGAAGTGTCGACATTGTGTACCCTCTTATGTGTGAACAGGATGATCTTGTAATGAGAAGTAGATGGATCAGAGATAGTGAGTTCGGTGGGAAATCGCAAGGTTGAGAAGATTGTACTGACTTAAGAAGGACAGAAACGCAGCCGCAAACAATAGGACGATGCGACAATAGGACAATACAACGCTTCGAGGGCCTTCGCTAGCCTTCTGTCTGCTCGCACAGCGGTGAATATTTTTCGTTTTTTTTCACCTTCACCTACTTTCGTCCAGGCAGCAACCGTTTGTTGTTGCGTTTGTTTTGATATCTCACCCTAGTGGCTGTGCTGCTTTCACATCTTCAGTCGCCCGTTCACCAACCACCATCTGCAGACGATTCGCCTTTCGTGGTAATTCCAGCTTGATTGTACGTCTAATATTCTCCATGGTTAAGCCTTCGTTTCTAACGACTATTGTGATCCAGAACACGCGAAACATGCAGCGATACACAGCGCGTAAAGCAGCTACGGCTGCACGCTCCCAGATCGCAGCGTCGGCAAAGCAGGCAGCAGACTACGAGTCCGATTCCGATGACGAGATACCTACGCTCAAGAAGGCTCCAGTTATCGCCAATAGCAGCATCACCGCTGTTAGAAATGACCAGAAGGTGCCCGAGTGGTACATCGCCATCGATTTTGGAACCACCTTCACCACTGTTGCGTTTCATCGGCGCGGAGCACCAACCGAGCGAATCTTTACCATCGACGACTTCCCCGGTGAAAAAGAACTTCATTTGAGTGGCAGACAGATCCCAACAGAACTATGGTATCCAAAGATCAATGCGCGTCCTTCCAGTTACGTCAAATCGCACGACATCCGTCTGCGCTTTGGTAATGAAGTACACCGTTTGGCAGAAGATGCTGACAGTGTTGACATACACACAATGTACGATGACTCTGATCGTGTGACTATGATGAAGCTACTCTTAGACCACACCGACTACGCCCGAGCATCAAAAGAGCGATTACAAGAGAAACTTGAGATCATCAAGGCGGAGGGCCACATCAACGAAAACGAGGATGTTCTTTTTCACTTCTTTCGCGAGGTCCTCCGAGCATCAAAGACACGATTAGGGTTCGACTTCAATGGAGCAAGCACCGGTATGTTCCATTTCTGTACTGCAGTTCCTCGCTAACGCCTGCCTCCAGTTGAGGTAATCTTCTGTGTACCAGTCTGTTACAATCCTTCTGCTGTAGCCGTTCTGGGTGCCCAAATAGAACGCGCAATGAAAGAAGTAAGATTCGGTACCGATGGCGAATCCCCTTGTCACATGTTTGTTGTGCATGAGGCTGAGGCGCAAGCCATGCAAGCGCTCCAGCAAGCGCACCATCAGCTACAGGTAAGCTGACAGTTACTAAACTCACCGACACCCACTGACTATACTTGAAGCGCAACCAAACCTTTATGCTTGTCGACTGCGGAGGAGGCACTACCGACATCGGGGTTTATCGCATTGCAGGGACCGAACCTCTGAGGCTCGAGAACGAGGTCTATGAAGCCACAGGCATGCTTATATCCATCCTCATTGTTTCAAATCTTCTGACGTTATTAAGGGGCCATGGTAGGCGCCGGTGACTTGAATAACATGTTCCGGAACCTAGCAAAGAGAATTCTTCGACATGAGCTGTACCTAGAGAGCGGTGAGGACACCATCGACACCATTATCGAAGCCGAGGCCATGTACAAGTTTGAGCATGATCTCAAGCGAAATTTCAAGTACAACGATATCGAACAAGGATACGGCATTCGCATACGCGGTCTGAAGAGAAGCCAGAGTGACACTAGAATTCGGGACAACTACCTTGTCTTGACTTAGTAAGTCAGATACATCTTCACCATCAGGCAGAACTAACTTTATCCCAGCCAGGACATGTGGAGTATCTTCAAGCCTTCTGTCGAGAAGATTGGGCGGATGATGGAGGATGCGATTGTATATGCTAGATTGGCTGGCTACGCAGTCAGTAAGATCGTAGTCGCTGGCGGTTTCAGCGACTCACCGTGTCTAACAAGCTACCTTGCTCAGCAGACGGATCAGCTTTCCAGAAAACTGGAACAACAGCTCGACCTACGCTTCTCATCCCGCAACCTGAGCGCCACTGGGGTTGCCACCGGAGCGATATTGCGCGCCATCAACAAAGCCAATGGCCCCTCGCGTATCCCGTGTCAGAGTATCGGTGTTCTTCGACGTATTCCTTGCGACGATGATAACGAAGACTATGCGGCGGACGTCTTGCGTCAGCCCAGAAAGTGGAGCACTGAAGAGGCAAAGGAGTACGTGATGGACACCATATTTTGGGTCGTAAAAAAGGTTTGTCGAAAACTTCAACTACATTTCCGCAAGCTAATTTTTTGTAGAACCACGTCAGACTTGAGTCTGTATACACTGTCCGTTTTGATTCCGAGCATGTTTTCCAACCGCATGAGACAGAATGGATCATCGAAGAACAGCTGTGGGCTTCGGAGAGTTGCACTTTGGACTTTTTCAAAGTCGACCACGCGAACAACGCTGGTAAGACGATGCAGATTGGTGCTGTCGAGTTTGATATCAGCGATATGAGGCAAGAGATCCGCGCCGCCAACAGGGAGGCTAGAGAGAAGATCAACAAGGTTGTGATCATGGTGGAGATGACGGTCATTGATCGAAATTTGGAGTTCACAGCCCGCTGGCCGGCGACCCCTGAGGGTCAGGTCATCCGGGGTTCCCGTAAGTTCTTCAGTGTTGCCTCGGCATTCACTCCTGGTACACAGTAGTCGTACGTGTTGTGTGTTGGATGCCTCCAGCATTGGACACGAGGAAGATATCAAGTCTGTAATAATGTACTATCTGCCTCCATGGCCCTTTCTGAAGTGACAACAGTATCGATACGTAAAGTCGTAGCCATGAAGACACGTGTTTATGTTGACCGAGTACTTGTGATATGCGCTCCCGCCAACAGTTTGATAGGAAGATCCTCGGTTTCGATACCACGAAATCACCCAGCGTGAGTTATTTGCACTATGTGTATTCTTTTATTCGTCCTTGTGTGGTCTTTTGTAGCCAATGTGTGCCCGGATAATGTTATCTACATAACCATATACACAGCTACCTACCTCCAAAGACTGAGGGAAGGGTATGAAGGCTTGTCTGCACATACTCGGACACCATCACCCTAACCTTATTCTATATTCAGCATAAGCCCTCTCTGTCTGAAGTCCTCCCAGAGATGATCAAATCGTATTTGAGAGTGTGGTAGATTGGGGTAAGTGCGAGCAGGTCGAAACTCCCACAAAGAAATATCGATTGCAGACAAGTTCGTGGAAGGACCTGCCTCATCCATCAGCCTACGCCTCTACACTCCACTCAATCGACACATGCTCGACCGGTAACCCAACTCAACAGAAGCATCATGTGTTTCCATTCGTGCGTATGTAGCGTTTGACAAAGTTCCAGAAGATAAACTCCCAAGCTTCTCTGCGAAATCCTCATTTGCTGGTCGGATTTTGACCTCACCATCGTCCTGAGCGGAGATGTCGCGGCGGGAGAGAACCAATGGTACGTGTCAATCCGTGCTTGCACTCCAGGCTATGTCTCAATCCACTCTCTCAACAATCATGCTCACAGCTGCTATAGAAGATGATGACTGCAAGTATACAGAATCGCGTCATGGATAAGACATCATATCCTTGCCTACTGCAACCTTCGAGAACAACGATCACGATCGTAGAAGGAGCTACATTGGGAGCTGAGTACGAAGCTTCCGTGGTCAATCTCCATGTCACAGCTTTCCCGAGGATCTTCCTGCCGCCCAGATGAAGGACTCGTTGAGGAATGCGCTACGGCAGGGCTTCCATGAAGGTGCACATTGCATGAATCTGTTGAGCGTCATTACAAACCGGGTACGCTGCAGATATACCATGATATCCTAGATGCTGACATGACAAGCATATGTGTATACACAAGCGGTAAATATAAACGAGAGCATATTCAGTGTCGACCTCGACTCGAGCGCGACACTGGCATGATGATACCGGGAAACTGACATCTGGCACGTGCGGTCAGCTGCATGGAATCCTTCGATATGACTGCGTTAGAGTAAGCAAGCACGGTCAGCGCCTCGACATGGTGCTGCAGGGCTGGTATTCGCCAGTCAATGTGCCCCGGACAACCATCAACCCTGCATCAGGCACCACCTCGAACTTAAATGCTCCAATGGATGTATAATCACCTATAATCACTCACTTGCCCGTGATGAAGCATGGGAATTTGTGCACCCCAAAGTTGAGTTGATCCCATGCTCGGATGGAACTGGGTGTCACCGCTTGAAAAGTGCATTCGGACATATCTGCCAGATCAAGAAGTGCATTAACAAAAGGTCTTATGATTACTCTCTCGCAGAGTTTCATCGGGTCGATCTTGTTCTGATTGGGTGGGTCAATGCTTCGGACTCGTCAGAGCCTCGACTGGAGGACGAGCTTAGTGTTTAAAGATCAGCAGGGTGTCCAAGTTACACTCACACCCACCGAGATTACAAACGCAAGAAGGTTAACCTTCTTACAATGAATTGCTGCAAAGGGCCCAGTGCTGCATTCGACCGCGTGGGGTTTCGGTCCAGAACCGACCCGAGCGAGAGGACACACCAGCATCTTTTGATGCTCAAGCACGAAACCCCAAGGTCTCGTAGATGCCGAAGATGAAGCCTGAAGAAGCAATTGGTCATTGTGGCCATAGCGTGCGAACATAACGGTGCCAATTTGGGAATGTAAAGTAGAATGTGGTGAAGAAGGTGGAGGCCTGATCAAAGCACCGACGCCAGTATGCTCGTCCACCACAAACCCTACTCTCGACAAGCTTGGGAGATGCAATATACTAAGCTAGAATCCAGGCGATACTGTACAACACAAGCTGAATGGAATACGAACGCAATGTTTCACAGACCCCAGACTCAACACCACGAGCTGGTGCTGATCGGCACTCACAGCCGCACGGCATTTGGCCTTCCCCTCTGCAGCAAGCGGATGTGCCGACTTCCAGAACGACAGGTAATATTGTGCGAGAGACCCGAAGCGCCGGACCGAGCATATCAGGGATTGCTATACACAGCAGCCGAGACCCGCTTCTCCAAGAAGAACCGCAGTATGGCCCGCGCATTCGCCGACGACACAGCCGTGAACGATTCTGTACTGCAGATGGCAGCCACTGTTGCGTCACCGGCTGCCTGCTTCCATAACACTTCAGTGCAGCGCCGTGCGCTGGCCGAAGATAAGATTAGAGCCATGTATTTGAGTTACAATGAGGACGAGAAGCTAACTGGGCACTTGCAGAAGCTTTACACGTAGCTCGCAAAGCCTGGAGTTGCGAGCATGGATGGCATTATCGCGGCTCGATACGAATTGCCTCCATCTACTTGCTCGCTGCAGCGCTGTCCTTGGTCACGGCGGGTGTGATGTAGCATCAGAGGGCTACTTGCCTCCGCGGTACCTGTGGCAGCTTAACCGAACATCCTCGACGAGCCCAACGGAACGGGGATGTATAGCTACCAGGCGCGTGCTCTGGCGGCTTGCAAGGTGACATGCCGGCCGCGGCCAATTAAGCTCTGGTGAACCGAAGCTGAGCGCTCTGCAAGTCAGCAGTTAGCATTAGCGGTCGAATGCTACTTGACGGATGCTTAGACTGATACTGCCATGGCTCTTGGGGCTATAGGATGCCTGCGTATTGCGCTGCTTGACGCCATGCCAGCCTCTGGATGTCTTCTTGCCCCAACCCCAAGGACGAACGTGTGCATGGCCAATCCTTCCCGAGAGGACTGCCCTCGAGTTCAGGGTAACCTATAGGAAGGACTCCCCCCCCTGGCACCACCCTGGCGACAGGTACACTACCGGAGCGACATGCCGACTCGACCATTCAAACTCCAGCAACGGGTTTTCAAAGTCCTGCGCTACAGCACGTGGAGGGCTGCTGTACCCGTGGTCCACATGCCGACCACTGCAGTGCCTGATGGTCACACTTGGGCGTGCTTGGGCGCCGATTCCCTAGTGTATTCTGGAGCATCTTCACGATGCGCCGCTCCCACCAGCGACTGGGCTCGGGCGAATGGAACGCCTACGCACAGCAAGAATAGAGTTGACAAGCGTTCCTGCGAAAGCAAGAGCGCGCTGGTGATAACACCGCGGACCACGATCCCCCGACTCGCGCACCGCTCCATCTCTCTTCTAAGCCCTAGCATACCAATGTACACATCCCGCCTAAACCAAAACTCCGCCTAAGCCAAAACTACACCCCTCGCGGGCAACCTGGCACTCCCAAAGCAGCAAACACAGGGCACTCTCCCGCGTTACATTCACCTCGCAACCTTCGCTCCGCAGCAGATACGAGCCCTCGACACCCGCCCCAAACCTTGCCCTTGGTAGTCCCCCCCTCGCCTACAGTTTTCTAGCCCTAGGTATCCCACACGACACCCCACGCCGCTCCCTACGCACAATACCGCGGGCGCACCTAATTCCGCACAGCGCTCGCCACACCTGCCTCGCGCCGCCGCCACGCGAGCAGATCGCGCCCCCACCGCCCAAAGCGGCGCTGCATCGCCCGCCTGCGCGCATAAACGAGCGGCTTGAGCCGCAGCGAACCCCTTCAGTGGAACGTTTGGGCGGCGGGGCTGCGCAGATTGCACGGGCTGGGCGGGGGGGGGGGGGGGCACAGCGGCGCGCAGGGCGTCGGGGCAGGTGCCGCGGTTTGCTCGGGGGCCGCGCGGGATTGAGTGCGGCGATTGCGACGGGTGATGGGTGGGCATTGCGGCGGGCGCGTCAACGCGTGCCGAGGCGCCGTGGGCGCGATTCATGTGCAGCCGCGACGGAGAATTGTCGTGAGTCGGGCAGGGCTGTGAGGCCCGACGCAGCTTGTTGGGAGGAAATGGCATGATGTGGCGGCTTCAGCGTAAATTTTCCGCGTAGTACGTTGCGATGCAGGCGAATCAGTGCCATGTGAAATGGGTGGCTTGCTGGGACAGCGGTAGCTTATTGTGTCAGACGGCATGGCATGGAAGACCTGGTCTTGGTCGTATATGTTGCAGTGTGATGCTTTACTCGTCATATGGCGTTTGAGAGGGATTATCATGGAGATTGACAAGCATCGATCTGCCGCATTGAGGAAGCTCGGGACATCAAAAACTCAAAGCGCATGATTCCGCGCGGAGAAGGTGACAGACTGGGCGAACGATAGGGCTAATATGGCTTCGATCATGGCCGCAAGATTGAGTGTCTGTGTTTCCTTGACGCTGATGATCAAACAAGCCAGGGTGATTGAATATGTGTTTGATCCGATCCTGCGGATCCTGCTTCCTTGTACCTGAGACGTGAACTAGGGTGTGCACCGATCACGAAGGGCCTGGACCTGGGCCTCCCAAACCCTTCAACGACCGTCGACATGAAAGACACTCACGCGCGGGAAGCGAATCATCTTCAAAGCGTTAGGATATGGGTATTGTTAGGTAAGGGTACCAAAGTGAAGATAGACTTCCGTCCGCCTCATGCGAGTGCGTCACCTGCGAGCTCATTATGTCCCAACCGATGGTACTGGAACACCAAATGTACATGCACCTGTGGTGCTTTCTAATTCCTATGTCCATCTCTTGCTTCCAACTATGCATCTCTCACTCAAGGTGTACGTCGAACATGCTACGTTGCGCATCCAAGCGCGGAGCAGAAAATCAACAACGCCAGCCCGCATACCACATATGGTCGTGGGAATGCATGGATATGCAGTATAAGAAAGCTGGCCGTCAAGCCAGAAGTGCAAAATGGTATGCCAGGGTCGCCGAACGCCGCGCAGTAAAATCGACTCGAAACAAAACGTCGCAAAGGAAATCGTCGAGCCGTGGATGAATGTGATCGAGGCAAAGCCATCATGTGTTGCTGATGATGACTCGTGCACCCTCTTTGCCGAGCACGCCCCTCTCTTTGGCCTTGGGGCTCCTGTCCCGGCCTTTCTTTCGACTGAGGAAGCCGAGCATGCCGGAGGGCTTCTCGGTCTGCGGAGTCTGTACAAGCGCAGAGCTCTGGTTAGCCATCTCGGACCATGAACCGGTGCCGTCGAGGACTACCTGTACGCCACCGCCCATGCTTGTACTGCGCTGCGACCCACGTGGGCGGCTGTTCATGGGCCGTGAGAACGAGGGGGGGACGGGATCGGTAGGCTCGGTGGGGAAGAAATCGGCGTGTTCTCCACGTTGGGATGCTTGCGATGCGGTGGTTGACTTGTTGCCCCGGTTGAGGTTGGCTGTGGCAAGCGGCGGGCTGCCGTTCGGCGAGTGCGTCGTGGATCGCGGGTTGGTCATTGTTGTCGAACGGGTTGGGTGCAGGTCGCCTTCCTGGGATCGTTGTGTGGCCAGTGGGCGGCCCCAGGGATCGTGCTGTTGGGCGACTGGGACGGGCGCGTGGTCGCTGTTGCTTTGGTTGCTGGCTCTTGAGCCGCCTGTAGAGTCATTAGGATCTGCGACTATCACTGCTGCAGGCCGCTGGTCTGCGACTACAGTGTAATTGAACGGCTCGAACAGCGTCTCGATCATCTTGTGCAGCTCCTCGGCTCGGATCTCAGCATCTGTGGCATCGTCCTTCAGGGCTTCTCTGGGCTTCTGCCTGCGAGCTCGTGCCTCGAGTGGCGCCTCTTCCAGCAACAGCTCCTCCAGATCGTACGTCGCATCAAAGTTCGTCTTGTCGCTGGAGGGAACAAACACGGGGGGGATCTCCTTGGCCTCCAATGCCTCGAAATCGATCACGCGGAAGAACGGGTTGTCGAGGAACGACTCGAAGCTGATTGCACCAATCCTCTTTTTGCGATCCTTCTCCAGCAGCGAGCTGATGGCGTGCAGACACGGCATCGAGACCGGAGGACTTGTTACGGGGTATGTGGGCTCTCCTTTGGCGATCTTGGCCGCGAGCGAGTCGTGGCTGCTCGCCTCGAAAGGTCGCTGTCCGCGTTAGCTCACCCTAGCCACGCTGAACAACGGCACTTACCTTGTTGTAGATGCACTCGTAGAAAAGCACGCCGAGTGACCACCAATCGACCTCGCACGAGTAGCCCTTGCCCTCGTACACTTCGGGCGCCAGATATGCGAGGGTTCCAGACTTGCTGGTGAGCGGCTTGTGCGGGGTGAAGTCGGAAGCGACATTCTAAGGGGATTTAGTAACGCGAGGAAGGTCGCTGGTGGAGAACGCACGAAATCTGCCAAGTGGACGTGTCCTTCCGAGTCCAGCAGCACGTTGTCGGGCTTGATATCTCGATGCACGATGCCCTGCTGGTGGATGTAGCGCACGGCGCACCCCAGCTGGGCCATCCAGAACCGCACGGCCTCCTCGGTGAAGGTTTTTCGCGAGATGTGGAAGCGCAGATCGCCGCCGTTCATGAGATCCACTACAATATACCTGGCGCTGTCAGTGGGTGGTGCGCGTGTCACGGTTCCTCGACATACAGGTACTCGATGTCCTGGAAGCTGTAACGCAGATTGCAGAGAAACGGGTGGTTGAGGTGCTCGAGCATGCGGCGCTCGCGGATGATGTTGCGGACGCTCTCTGACCGTACGACTGTGACACAGCATCAGCATTGGCGGGCGGGCGGCGGCGGTGCAGCAAACCTTCATCTTTTCTTATGTACTTGAGCGCAAAGGTGAGGCCAGTGTCCTTGCGCTCGACAATGCGCACCTTGCCGAAGGCGCCTTTGCCGACGACTCGCAGCAGGCGGAAGTGGTTGAGGTTCACTGCGGCGGTCAGCGGGCAGCCTCACTTGGGGGCAGGCGCGATGCAGCAGGCATGCGGCTGCACGCAGACGGGACGACGCACCTTGGTCGGTGAACACCACGGGCTTGCCGTTGCTCTGACCCATGGCGGGCTACGTGTGAATGGGAGCGGGCGTGCCTAGTAATGCATCCAGACAGGCGTGAGGCGGGCGGTGGGCGGGGACAAAGGTTCGAGGTCGAGCCGTGGGCGGTGGGAGCCAAGGCAGGGTTGCGGGCACACAAGCGCTTTAAGCTCTAGGTTCTCAACACCAAGTCGCGGACACGATGGGCGTAGGGCTGAGGGCGGCGGGCAGCGGGCGGGCAGGAGTTGCACGGAGAGCCTGAAAGGAGACACGCAGTTTTGAAGCAGCACGTCTCGTCGGCGTGGCCCAGGGCAGCTAGCTTCGGCGGGCGTGCGTTTGGTTCTTTGGCCAGTACGCCAGCATCTCAATGCAGTTCCACACCTAGCGCAGGTGGCGCGCCGCAAGGAAGGCCGACCACGTTTTGCGCTGCCTGCGCCGCGAGGAATGGATGGCAGACGGCGCTAGAGCCCGCCAGGAGTCAGCACCCCTGCCGCCTGTGTTTCTGCGATATCTCAGGCGGATGGACCGATGCGCATGCTGATCTGTGTCGCCCGGTGTAGCTGGCAAGCGCGGCAGTCTGCCAGTCGCAGTGCCAGTTGCAGTGCCAGTGCAGTGTGCAAGTGTGCCAGTCAACGCCAGTGTGCCACTGGCACTGGTATTGTAACTGGCAGACTGCTAATCACTGCCATGTCCAGTCCACGCCGCCAGCCCAGTCACACGCCCCCGAGAGGCTGCAAGTACCGGCTGCCGTGTCTTAAGAGGGCAGCCTATACGTGTTCCTGTACGTGTTCCTGCCTGGGGATCATCAGGGCGACGACATGGCGCTGCGTTATCTCCAGGGCCTCTGACACCTCATTAAAGTGCACGTCTGCCAGTCCCAGGGAACCACACGGATCATCTCCACGCAGACGCAGGACCTGGGGCTGACGTGCACTAGACAGGCGCTGCTCCCTGGCGCCTCGCACACCGAACAGCACAGTCAGCGCCGGCGTCCACACCAGAGGCCCGTCGCCTGCAGCACGCCGACCTGCTCGAGCGCTGTCCAGCAGCACCCCGGCCGTCACGAGACATCGGCGAAATCCCACTGATCAGACGTCGTCTCGCTCCCGTCTGATCTGCGCCAGGCCTGCCACTTTTAAAACGCAAGAATGCAGATGGCCGCCGTGCAAACACGGCGCCCTGACGTCCGCCGCAGTCTCTAATCTCTCCACCTCGTCGCCTGCGTGCGGCCTGCATCTCCTCCAGCTTCTGTTCTGTTCTGCTCTTGAGCGTGCAGCAACCCACGTGGGCCGCGCAGAAGTCACTTAGCCGCACCGCTCCGCTGCCGCTGATTCGATCTTCTTTCCTTTTGCGTTTCGACCCACTGGCTCTGCGTCTTCGGCCCGACCAAAACGTAGAAGTGCGGCTTCGCGGAGTCCGAGAAGCTACAAATGCACTGCTACTGTCCGTACCACAGAATGGCAGGCACCAGGAGGCACTCCAAGAGCGTTGACGCGCTGCTGCATAAGAGACGGAGAAAGTCCCGGCTAACCCAGCACGCTCGCGAAGACGCCTTCTAGACTTTTTTTTTTTCGCACGCGACGTCAATTTTCACATGACGAAACGATGAACCCGACACTCGCTCAATTTCGTCAACACCGGAAGACATGAAACGGATCAGCCACTGCTGTTCAGGCTGTTTATCTCCCCAGACGCCAGATCAACAGATCGCTGCATAATTGCACTTTCAAGCCTACTCAGGGGTACTGGTGACATTGCATGCCCTGTAATTGGCGCATTCTGGGGTAGTGTTTGGTTCCCCCGTCTTGTCACCTTGACTACATCATCTTTTGTAAAACCACGATGTTTCTGCCACGTCAGAATAGCGTGTCCGCAGAGCCCTACGGACGCCATTCGGCTGCCGTTGTTGCTACGGAGTGTCTTGCCGCGAGTGGGGCCAACAGCTTATACTCGGCTGTACGGCCCAGTCTGCTCGTAGTGCTCCTCGGCACTTCGTCATGTAAGTTGTCGCACAGAAAGTGCAGAGCCGTCGAGGCGGTGGTGGTCGACATTTCCCAAGGTTCCGGCGTGGGCTGCAAGGGGAATCTTCGGGCACTTCTGGAAGAAGTGAGATGTTCTAGAAGATTTCTAGATTCCACAAACGTGCCAACACGCGAAGCTACTGCAGCTCGGGATCCATGCAACATTGCAGGTCGGCTGAAGCTCACGACGTTCTTGCATGGACCACACTGCGCGCCGCATTCGCACTCGTGCAGGACATGAGCAAGGACGTAAATTTGTAGACACCACATACGGGCTGTCAACTTCTCGCCTGACGTGCACAGGCTTGATCTGGGAAGCCCTTCCATGAGGATCAATAACACGGACCGCGCACAGAAACAGGAAGGAAGACTGACGCATGCATTCTGTAGTTCTCAGCCCAGTGCCTTGTTATCGGGCGCATACGGAAGAGTTCTTCCTGTCAGCGCGTGCGGCTCTGACCGTCCGCCGTCTAGGTATCGAAGTACTCTAGCCAACGCCTCTAACGCGTCGACCTCGGCCGTGCACTACTACACACGACTGCAATGTACTCGGCACGAAGCGCTTCGTAACGCACCGTCGCTTTAGTCTGATCGCTGTCATCAGCCCGACGCATTTCACTTTTCTGCTTAGCTGCTGCAGCAGACCTCGCGTCGAAGCTGGAATGCTCCCGCCTCAGTCAGTGCTGTTTCACATCAGCCTAGCTGAATGACTGCAGAACGCGCATGCAGTCAGGGTGTTGACGTCCAGGCGCCCATGCCGCACCTGCGAATACCAATTTCCTAAACATCCCCGTCGCTGCATCGTGAGCCGGGCTTTGGCAAGCGAAGCCTTCGGAGTTGGATTCCCAGAATCGACATGGCGCTCGCTCAGTCAGCGGATGCAACGGAGCTCAACAAACGCCGTGGCTTTGTTCGAGGAAGATATTTACAGCCATGTGGGAATGCAGCCGTGCAGTTCTCAGCGTCGTCGCGCTTGTGGAACCACGATGATCGCCGGCCAAGGATGGACCTCGGATCAGAGCAGCCTCAAAACGTCAACCGCCGGCGTCGCTAGTGCAACGATGACAATGCATGGCGACGCGCATCTCCCGCACCCGACGAGGATGTCTGAGGACGACATGCCACACTTGCCTGGGCGGGAAGGTCGCACGGTGATCTCTGCACCACGACGTTGGCAGCTCCGGTAGCGACCTGCTGTGCTCCCCCCTGCTACACAACACCCGGCGCAGCTACTGAGATGCAGTGGGCATCGCTTCGGGGGTGCACATGGCGGCGCGGATGACATTCGCGGGCTCATCGTCCGAAGCATCACTCGAATCCGTCACTCGAATCCGCACCCCAGAACTCGGTCGACGAGGCTCAGACACGTGTCAGAGACAAGAGGGTGTATCATTCCACGCCTGCACCAGCAACACTCCTCACAGACCCACCAGCTCCCTCTGCACCACCAGCCGTGTCAAGTCCCTCACGCAAGTCGCACGGCGTCGAGCACTGCGCCCGCGCCCTGCGCAGCGGTCTCGACGCCGTACTCGCCCACCGGCGCCGACCTTTTCCGCGCGCACGAAAACGTGGGCAGCGCGATCTAGCTGGCTGGCTGCCGTCGTGTCGTGTCGTGTCGTGTCGAGTCGAGTCGAGTCGCTCACGTGGCCCCGACGCGCCTGCACGCCTGCACGCCATCTGCGGCTCTGGTCCCACGACCGCGAGCGAGCAGGCGTGCGTGCGTGCAGACAACGTGTGTGCGAAACGTGCGTGAACGCGTGGTGTCACCTTCCCAACCGGTCTGCGGTGTGGAGTCAGTGGGGAGACGCCAGAGGCACGCGAGGGCCAGATGCGAGGGCCAGCCTGCGAGTGCCAGCCTCCTGCTTTACTGTCACGGCGCAACCGATGTCCCCATCCCCCCGCTCGCTGTGAGGCTCGGCTTGTGGGCTGTGTGCCGGCGAGGAGGTGCGGCCCGGCGGTGTCGGGCTGGGATTGCCTCATCGCGCGGGAACGGGGGAGGCGTGCGGATTGCCTGTGTCGGGGCGGTCGCTGCGCTGGGAGGAGGACGTGGGTCGTCGTCTTGGGAGGCTGTGGGGGTGTTTGTAGGGAAGGGATGATGCTGTTTGGTGCTGTGATTTGTGTTGATGTGGTGTGTTCTTGATATGTATATGTTTGATGTGGTAGGTTCTTGACACGGTAGGTTCTTGACACGGTAGGTTCTTGACACAAGAGTCTTGACACGGTATGTCTTGACACGAGTCTTGACATGATAGAGTCTCGACATGACAGATCCGGAACATGGTAGAGTCTTAACATAATAGAGCCTCGACGCGACAGATCTTAACATAACAGAGCCTCGACACGACAATTCCAACAGACCAGACCCTCGACACACAACATCTCGCCACAGCAGCCGCAACCGCGCCTCTCCCACTATCCTCGCTCCCCAGAACCCCCCGCCAGCATCCCCCCCTTTGCTACAGCGCATGAAAGGCCGGTCTGCGGTACTCACCTCTTCCCAGAGACTCCAGATATTGGGCTTCAGACTCCAGGCTCCAGACTCCAGACTCCAGACATGATGTCCAAGCACCTCGCCGTCTTGTTCTTCATCAAGAGAGACGGCGCCTCACATGCACACAGCCCGACGCGGATGCGCATAGCATGGCGTCTGGGAGCTGCAACGGGGTGGTGAAGATTGCGGCGTTGAATGCTGGGTTCTGGGGTGGAGCTCGGCTCGGCTGATCTGGATGTGCTGCTGTGGGGGATTCAGACTCGGGATGCGAGATACGGTGGGCTGGGGGTGTTGAGATGGGTGTTACTAGTTGCAATTTAGGAGGCCGCAAGTGTGCTTAGTTTGAAGGTGCTTGGTAGAGGTGCTTGGTAGAGGTGCTTGTTAGAGGTGCCTATTACGTGCTTAGTGTTACTGTGTGTCTGTGGTGGTCAGAAATATCTGGACATTGCATTACTGGTTGCCGTTGGTACGGTTGGTCAGCCCTAAGGTATCTTCGACGGAAACGTGGATCGGCGCCCGGTCCAAGCTCACTTCAACACCACATCTCTCCCACCACCATGCACCCAGCCCGCGCGCCCATCCGCTATGAATGGGCTGAAATCACGGACGAGCGGTGACGCGCCGCAGCTGCCGACGCCCTCGTCGACGCCCGAGCCCGACGACAAAGCGCCCGCACCCGACGACGCCGTCTCCGACTCGAGCGAGAAGGTCCGGCCCATCACGCGCCCCGGCGATGCGCGCCGCAGCAGCGTCTCCGAGCACGACCGCGGACTCCGGCTCAGTCCGCGGCAGATGCACGAGCTGACCAGCGAGGCGGCGAGTCTGCCGCTGCGCACGGCGTCGCCCATCCCGGAGGACGTGCTGGAGAGCGGGACGGAGCGCGAAACGGACGGGGGGAGTGAGAGCCAGGCAGGCGACAGGCAGGACGTGCGGCTGTCCAGCAGCGAGAAGCACCCGCGGCGCATCGAGAAGGAGGTCGTCGTGCTCAAGACGCCCGGGCACGGCCGGCCCGGGCTCACCTCGCGCTCCGTCACGACGCCCGTCATCCGCCGCATGGACTCGACGCGGTCGCGCGCGCAGACACAGACGACGTTCGACCGCGACGAGCGCAGAGACGACCGCCGGCTCGCGCCCTCGCCGCGCCTGGAGCCCGCGCCGCCGCCCGCGCTGCCCATGCCGCCCATGTCCATGCCGACGTTCCTGTCGCTCGAGCTGGCCGCGTCGCGCCCGTCGCCGCTGTACATCTACCGCCCGTCGCACGACGACTTCCCCTACGAGTCGTCGGCCGTCAAGTACGAGCGCCTGCTCAACTTCCTGCAGATCCCGTACCAGCTCGAGGGCGTGCTGGCCTTCGGCGCGCTGGCGTGTCTGGACGCCTGGATGCACGTCATGACCATCCTGCCGCTGCGCTTTATTCTTGCGGTGGGCGTACTGACGAAGTGGTGGGGCTCGGTGATTGTAAAGGAGTGCCGCGACCTGTCTGCATTCATCTACAGCGGCCTGCCGCGCGTGTGGCAGCGCAGACACGCCGACACGCCTGCTGCCACGCCCGCCGCCACGCCCGCCGAGGAGAACCCCCCTCCTCTGTCGCGCAAGCCCTCCGCCCGGCCCGGCGAGAATGTGACGACATTCAAATTCCCCGACCCCAAAGACGCCAAGCCCAAGCGCGCCCGCAACTCGCGCTTCCGCCACCGCCGCACAAAGTCCACGCCCTCGCTGCTGCTCCCCAACCACAAGGCCGACATCCTCAAGGGCCTGCTCGTCGTGTCCAGCTGCGTCGTGCTGATGCGCTTCGACGCGAGCCGCATGTACCACGGCATCCGGGGGCAGTCGGCGATCAAGCTGTACGTCATCTACAACCTGCTCGAGGTGTGCGACCGGCTGCTGTCCGCACTCGGCCAGGACATCCTCGAGTGCCTGTTCAGCCGCGAGACACTGGACCGCGCGCCCGACGGCCGCAGCAAGGTGATCCGGCCGTTCTGGATGTTCGTGCTCGCGCTGGTCTACACGGTACTGCACGCCGCCGCGCTGTTCTACCAGGTCATCACGCTCAACGTCGCCGTCAACTCGTACTCGAATGCGCTGCTGACGCTGCTGCTGTCCAACCAGTTCGTCGAGATCAAGGGCACCGTGTTCAAGAAGTTCGAGAAGGAGGGCTTGTTCCAGATCACGTGCGCCGATGTCGTGGAGAGGTTCCAGCTGTGGCTGATGCTGCTGATCATCGCGATGCGCAACACAGTAGAAGTAGGCGGTCTATCTCTCCACTCCAGCAGCAGCCCGTCCTCCTCTTCATCCTGGACCTCGCTCTTCTCGACCCACAACGCCACCGCCAACCCCTCCGCCGTCACCCCAAAAGGCTTCACCCTGCCCCTCCTCCCGCAACCCCTGACCTTAATCCTCTCCCCCTTCCTCCTCGTCCTCGGCTCCGAAACCGGCGTCGACTGGCTCAAGCACGCCTACATCACCAAGTTCAACCAGACGAAGCCCCTCGTGTACGCAAAGTTCTTCGACGTGCTGGCCCGCGACTACTACGCGGCTGCGTTCACGGATCCGGATCTGACGCGGAGACTCGGGTTGCCTGTTATCCCCTTGTCGTGTCTGTTCATAAGAGCCGCGGCGCAGGCGTACGGGGTTTTTGTCGCGAGCTACGCGCCGGTTGTGGTGCCGGGGGTCGGCACCGGTCTCGCCGCTGCAACAGATGCACCTCCAGGCCCGCAGCCGTGGTACTCACTCACAATCCCCCCGTGGCTCGCAGCCCGCGCACCACAGAATCCCTGGGCAACCGCACTCACCCTCCTGACCCCCCTAATCGCGTACCTGCTCCTCCTCGCAGCCAAACTCCTCCTCGGCATGTTCCTCCTCAGCATCGCGCGGCGGCGGTGCGGAAGCATGGCCGCGCGGGAAAGGGAGGGCATGGGCGTTGAAACGGGGGCGAAGCGCGTTGGCGGGTGGGGGGTTGTGGATGTGGATGAGGGCGCGAGGCGGTGGATGTACGAGGGGGATTCCACTGCGGCGGGGGAGAAGAAGAAGGGTGGCGGTGGGGGGGAGGGGAGGGAGAAGGGGTTGGGGGGCGTGAGTCGGTATGCGATGGTGGGGAAGCGGATTTGGTAGACGACGTGGTATTGCAATGGGATTGCCGTGCTGCTGCGCTGCTGCTACTACTATTGCTGTCGTTGTTATCACCGTAGGGTATGCACGTCAAGTCACCAGTCTCACGCGCGTTCAATCGCACGAACTCGCCATCTCGCGTCCTGGCATTTGTTTGTAAGGCTACTGTGACGGCAGCTATCTCAGTGCGTCCCCCCCTCGCCCACCCGATACCCCCGCGCAATCCCCCGCCGTCCCTCCTCCATCCGCGCCGCCCGCCCTCCACCATTCCCATCACCACCATTACCACCGCCATCGCCATCCTCTTCACCATCAGCAGTGTGAAAATCACTCCCCAGCCCAACCCACCCGCGCCCAGACCTCAGGAACTCGGCGCCGGGGGACACGACGCCGTTGATGGAAGCTAGCGCGGTGGGTGCGCGTTTGGCTAGTGCTGTGGAGGCAGTGTCTGCAGACGCGGGGGTTGCAGATGTGCCGTCTGGCGATGTGCCGTCTGGCGATGTGTGGTTCGTGGCCGGGCGCGGGGCGGCGCGGCGCATGGGGCGGGCGTGCGAGACGTAGCGGCCGGTGCGGAGGTCGAATTCGGGGGGTTCTGATTCCTCCTCTGAGTCTGCGTCGCCGTCTGCGTCGCCGTCTGCGTGTGCATCCACATCCGCATCCACATCCACATCCACATCACCGTCCTGCTCGGCCTCCCCTCCCTCTCCCCCTTCCCCTCCTTCTCCGTCTGCACCTGCGCTCCCCGGCACATAATCCCCCCTCCACTCCCCCGTCCACGCCCCCTCCAGCGCCACCCGCGCCTCCCACGCCGTAACCACAGGCCGCCAAAACCCCTCGCCGTCCACGACCCCGCTCTCCCAGCACCCGACGACGACCCACGCGCCCACCTCGCTGAAATTCGCCAGCTTCGGGACATTGACTTTGCCGACGACCAGGGTGTACGATTTCTTGCCCGCGGCGGCGATGAGGCGCTGGACCGCGGCGAGGACCGGGAGGTGCGTGGCGTTCAGGGTGCCGAGGAGGATGCCGATTATGGGCGCGGAGGGGAGGGTCGAGAGGAGCGCGTAGCGGCGGCGCAGGGCGGGGTGGGCGCGTGCTTCGTCGGCGGGCGGGACGGGGTCTGTGGCTGGCGGGTCTGTTCCCGGCGCGGGGGGCGTGTAGATGTGTGTCGATGCCACGCGCGAGGCGAGCGTGAGGAGGAGCGCGGTCGGCGGCGGCGCGACGTGGAACAGGGCCCACTCGCTCAGCGCGGGGGACGCGGGGACACTGCGGTTGGGCAGCGCGGCGGCGGGGTCGTGGCGCAGCTGCGTTGCGAACAGCGCGGAGTATCCATCGGCGCGCAGCCGCTCCTCCAGCGCGGGCAGGTGGTGCGCAAACGGGATATCGGCCATGAGCACGACGCGGGCGGCGCGGTCCGGGTACGTGGCGGCGAACGCGGCGGCGCAGCGCGCCAGGTCCAGCGGCGGCGCGGTGAAGACGTAGATGACGGGCAGGCGGGCGGGCGGCGACAGGCACGAGCGGCCGTAGTGCACGACGCAGTCGGCGTCGACGTGCTCGGCGGCTACTTCGTCGACGCAGCACGCGCCGTACGCCGTGTCGCCGAGGATGAACAGGCGCTCCGTGTCGTCGGGCGGGTCGGCGAGCCCCATGTTGGTCTCCAGCTGCGCGGCGAGCGCGGTCGTCGAGACGGTCGTGGCTTCAGTCGTCTTGACACCCGCGCGCTCGCCGCCTTCAGCCCTCCGCGCCGCCAGCCCGCGGCTCAGCTGCTCGAACACGCGCGGCGCATCGCCTAGCATGTGGTCCGGGAACTGCAGCGCGACTCTCTTCCACCTCCCGGCGCGGATCTCCTGCACCGTGCGCGCAATCTCATAAGTCAGCGACACCTGCTCGTCCGACAGCGGGGCCGACGTGGCGACGGGCGCGGGGGCCTCGAAGAGGTGCGCTTCGGGCGTCGAGAGGACGGGAGCGCCTGCGAGCGCCGTCATGGTTGTGTGGTGGTGTACGGTGTTGACGTTTCTGGTGTTGACGGTTCTGGCGGGGTCGGCTGGAAACTTTTTGGCGCGGGGCTCTGCGGGAGGCGTGCAGCGTGCAGGGGCGCGACTCAACGAAACGCGGCACGTGTGATTGGCTGGACATGGATACTTCGAGGACAGTTTACATGTCGATTCATGCAGAATAAATACATAGAAAAAGGGTATCGCCCGGACGCCAAAACGGCCCTAGATCTTAACAATCTGATCAAAACGCAAGGAAACCCGCCACGGCAGCCGCCACCGCAAACCCAACCACGTTCGGCGCGAACCTGCCCACGCCGTTCTCCTTGATCGACGCCTCGCCCTGCATCTGCGGGAAGTACGGCGCCGAATCCTCGGCAAGTGTTCCGTTCCAACAGTAAGATTCATAGCATTGCTGGCACGCCTCCGGCACCGCCTCGCCGTTCCTCTCAAAACTCCTTGCCAGCACCGCACACGCGACACACACGGGCCAATCGCTCGCATCCTCGCGCGTCGAGTTCGCCTGCGTGACCACCTCGTACCCGTTCTGGATCATCGCATTGCGCTCCTCCAGCGTGTAATCCAGCTTCGCAAACGTCGACGTGTTGGACGCGAAGCTGTAGGGTGAGTTGGGCAGGTACACGACCAGCGGCGGGATGTTGTCGCCGGACGTCACGTTGCTGCTGTTGCAGCCGAAGAACGTGGGGCGGTTGTTCAGGCCCAGCGCTACAAAGGTTGTGTGCCCCGGGATGTACGGGAACGAGGTGCGGTTCATGATGGGCGTTTCGGAGCGCTCGAAGGTCGCGATCAGCGCCGTGCCGTTGGGCCAGTTGGGCGCCGACGGCTCGATGGTGTCGGCGGATGAGTCGACTGCGAAGATGACGTCGACGGCGCGCATGGGCTGGATGACAGGGTTGAGGGGGATGTTCTGCAGGTCTTCACCTCCATCCACTAGCGTCAGCCGCTCGTGGTCGAAGCTGGGGTTGGTGTCGTTGTGGAAGCCGTAGAACGGGTTGGGCGTGTAGTCGGCGATGTCGTTCTGGTCCTGGCCGACTGCAGCCAGCACGTTGGAGATGACGCTGGTGAGGAAGTCGGGGAGGTCGAAGCCGCCGAGACTCAGGAAGATCTGGTTGAACAGCGACGAGCTGGTGCCCATGACGAAGCCCAGGTTGTCGAAGCCCGCAACGCAGCCCTCGCTCTGCGCGAGCTCGCCGTTGGAGAAGTTGGAGCCGATGTACTTCAGCGGCGCGAACCCGTACGTGGTGGGGTCGAACGAGCCCATCTCGAACGGGTTGAACTCGAATACGGTCGCGTTCAGCGAGACGATGAGGTCTCCTGGGGACCGCTCGTCCGCAATCAGAATAGGCATGGGCGCCTCGCCGTTGGAAAACGTAGGGTCGTCCTGGATGGAAGAGAAGGTGTACGCCGGAGCACCGTCGCTCGCGTTGATGAGCTGGAACGACAGCCCGCGGCCGTAGTAGTCCGTGATGGACGAGTTGAAAGCGCCCGCCGGCGAGTCGACCTTGTCGCTGACCGTGCTGACCAGGTTGTGGAAGTAGTCGGCTGTGGAGAGCAGCTGCACCGCGCCCCTCGGCGGCCCCTCGAAGAGCGAGTTCTGGAACTGCCAGATGTCCGTCTCCTCGCCCTGGTCCTGGATGCTCTGCACGCTGGTGAAGTTGTTGGCGTAGATACTCCCAATCATCCAGCCTCCACCCGACAGCGCCGAGACATATGTCGCAGACTGCAGCAGGCCCCCCAAATGCCCACTGCTCGTCGAATTCCGCGTGCGGCTATCAAACGCAGACAGCGCTCCCGCGCCGTTCAGGAGCGCACGATACCCGCCGCCCGAGAACGAAATAGCAATGTTCGGCAGCGCCGTCGTGTTGTCGCGGTGCTTCTCAATATACGCGCTTGCATCAAAATTCGGAATATTAGCTCGCGACAGGAACTCTTTCATCGGGTCGACCGTGTTCGGCCGCCGCTTCTGCAGCCACGCCGTCTCGGCGTCGGAGAGCCGGTCTGCAGAGCGGATGCTGGGGCGTGTCGACGGGCAGTCCACCACCGCCGGCGCGTAGCCGTTGGGTGCCTGGGGCGTCGCGCGCTTGGCCGCGCCCAACGCATTGTCGAGTCGCGCCTCAATCGCAGATGCTGACTAGTTAGCCGGGTCGCGTGGTGTGAAGTGGTATCAATACATACCAGATGCCAGACTCGACAAGGCCGAAGCCGTGAGAAAGGAGGTGTACTTCATGATAGAAATACGGGTATCACTGAAGAAGAAAAGCACAGGACCAATAAATACCAACAGCGAGAGCGGGCAAGTTATATTATGGCCCAAGACGGGAGTGACGGAATGATCAATGCGGCAGTGTTTCGTTGCCAACGCCGGATGGGCTAGGAGAGATCTGACCTCATCGGGCTAGGATCCAGGGCCTGGCGTGGCTGGGTCCCTGATCGTCATCCCGTCCGCTTATTTTTGGCGGCTTGCTCATCTCAGATTGCCATGTTCGGCCGCCTGCGTAAGCCGTCACCCAGCCTCGCTCACCGCAGCTGAACGCTGACGCTGACGCTGACGCTGCCGTTCTGGCTGGCTGTGCTTGGCCGTGTTGATGCTTATGGTCGCGTGCTTCTTGCTACAAGTATGATATGATGAGATTCTGAGCGTCGATGCAAGGAGCCAGCGCATTGCGAAACGGTCGGCTCCCGGCACTTGTAGCGCAAGGAACGCTCGGCTTGGGGCGCTGGGGCGCTTGCGCTGTGGCTGACCACAAGAACACTGTTCGTGCGGGCTCCCCGTGCATGCGGATCGGGAAATTGCAGCAGGGGTGGGGAACTCACTTGTGTATACACAGTTCCTCACAGGAGAAGTTCACACATTGACGACTTCTGGTGATGGGTGTTCGCCAGTGCACACGCTCGCAATGGAACTATGACGCCGTTCGCGCTGCCACCGCACACCCGGCCCTTCCGACAGCCTATGACGCCGCGATGGAGACGTCGCCAGCCTGGCGCTGCAACAGCCTGGCGCTACAAGCCAGCTGCGCCCGCGCTACCATTGGCCTCGTCCCTGCGGGTCCCGACACAGTCAGCGAGGAAAACTAGATATACGAGGGTACGTCTATACGAGCATGCCCTTTGTGCACAACCCAATCACCGCGGCACCGTGCGTGGCCGTCGAGTAAGTCCTGTGACAGTGCCCCCCCAAGGCCAACGTCGTACCCAATACGCCCTCGCACCGCCGTCGTACTCGATCAATACAATACGCCCGGAGCGGTGGGTACGAGCAGCCGGGCATCGCCGCTGCACCAAAACTAGCGATTGTGCAGCGGTGCGCGCGGGCGGCACGGGTGGGTGCTGGTCCGTGGCCGTCGGGTGCTGGTTTGCGAGCGCATGGTACCGGGGGCGCGGGTTTGCTGGCTGCTTCTGCCACAGGGTATGCGAATCCATCGCCAGGTGGTTGTGAGGCATTGTTCCTACACTTGCCACGCTCGTTGGTGCTAGTGTGCTGGTGTTTCTGACTTTCTATTGCGATGGACTGGGCGTGATCGCGCCCGAACAATGCACTTGTGTTCATCTGCAAAATCAACTCCGGGCGATGTTCAAGAGCAGGGAACAACAATTAATGGGTATATGGCACAGTTAAGCCGCGACTTCAACGCTTTCAGCGTGACATGGGGACTAGACGGAGTTTGATTCGTACGAGGGGGCGTACAACAGGACGTACAACACGTCCTCCGCCCCTGAAGGATGTCTCAGGCACCTTATACCCATCTACCAGCCCAGGCGTTCCCAACCGGCCATGAAGGACTGGTTCCTCGACCCAAGACGGAGCAAGTGGAGAGCAGTCATCTGTCAGAGACCTGGGCCGAAAGCTCTCATGCCACTTCGCCTGCGTCTCCCCGCGCCTCACCCCCTAATTGCCCTCATCGCTGAGGAAAGCTACGCCGCATCTCCCCAAAAGAGGATGTTGATACTCAGGATGACAGGGCATCGAAAGTGAACCTAGACGCCGGATTGTGTGTGAAGTGTTGTATCCATTGTGGTCGAGGGTTTCTGATGGTGAGTACACTTCAGTGTGCTGTGGTGATCTGGAGCTCGAGAGTGACTGGGATGTAGATGGTGAGTTTCTACAAGCTTAATAGCTTGTATAGTATGCTCTGACTTGTAACTTGAAGCTCAAGCTTCTCGTTTACTGCTCTGGAGCTCGTCACGTTCAAGACAGGTACTATCAGCTTGCTCTTAGCTCGCAAGTTGCCTGACGCCGGCTCGTGAGTGTCTAGTGGGTCGTCCGACTACGAGATCTTGTCGTAATGTGCGATCATCCTCAATATGTGAGGGCACACGTATATACGGCTCCCACGTGAGGTCAACTTTCACAGGAGCCGAGGTAAAGCACTAGCGCCATATCTAGATGTGGACTACTAACAACATCCCCGAGGTACCCCATACATCTGACTAGCAATACATGTCTCGAACAGCTCCTACTTAGACCCCCTGCTGTACATAATCAATTGCAGTCAGCCCTGACAACCACAACAATGGCCGACTCCCCACCAAAGCCCTTCGCAGAGCAGCTGGAATTCAAAGAGCTAGGAGAGAACTCATGGACCACCATCCACCCGCCCCAACGCATGGGCAACGCCCTCCCCATCGCCTACGGCGGCTACGCCCTCGCCACAGCATGTAAAGCCGCCTGCCTCTCCGTCCCCGCCGGCTACAACCTCTACTCCATGATGGGCAACTTCTTGGCCCCCGTCTCCACCGCCCTCCCCCTGCTCGCCACCACCCGCGTCCTGCGCCAGACCCGCACCTTCGCGACCCGCGCCGTCGAAATCAGCCAGGCCCAGCCCACCGGTCCGCCGCGCCTCTGCCTCGCCGCCACCGCCGACTTCCACGCCCCCGAGCAAGCCTCCCTGCTCACCTACTCCCGGCCCCCGAGCACCGCGTACTCGCACCACGCGGGGCTCCCCTCGGCGCTCGCCAACGCCGCCGCGCTGCGCGACGCCGGAACAGTCTCACCCGAGCAACACGCCGCCTTCGTGCAGGGCTTCGCCGTCTCCGCGGCGCTCTTCGACACCCGCCCGTGCCCCGAGGGCGTGTTCGCGCAGAACCTCGCCGGCGCGGCCAAGCACGCGCCGCACTCGCAGGAGCATCTGCCGCTGACTGCGCGCACGACCGCCGACTGGTTCCGCAGCGCCTCGGTGCTGGGCACGCCCACGGACCAGCGCGCCGCGCTGGCGTTTTTCTGCGACGGGTCGCTGAGTTTCTGCCCTCTGAGCTTTAGCCACATGTATCTCGACGACAGCGCGGCGTGCTCGAGTCTGGATTTCGCGCTGCGCGTGTTTGGCGACGTGGATCTGAATCAGTGGTGTTTGAGGGAGGTGCGGACGCATGTTGGAGGCGAGGGGAGGTCGTTTAGTGAGGCGTGGATCTGGGATGAGGCGGGGCGCGCGGTGGCGTGTATGAGCCAGCAGAGCATCTTGAGGGTGTGGCCGGAGAAGGGGAAGTTGTGAGGTGGGTGGGGCTGGAATTCAGGTAGGTCTGCTGAACATAGATGGTGCGCTTATGGTAGAATCGGCGTAGCGATTAGATGGAGGAGACTAGATTTGTTTGGGATGATTCCTTACGTCCTCTGTTACTTCTTCCCGCCTACAATTCCAATGCCCCGGATGAAGACGAGTACAACCAATATCGAAGCGATGCTTATACCGAGATTGAACCACGCCGTCCCTCGAATCCCCATCTTCAGTGCCGGACTCCACGGCTTCAGTCCATGGCCCTCCTCACCGACTCTATCAACACTGACACCCATCTCCTTCGCAATGATAGCAGTCTGCACAGCCGTGGCGATCGCCAGTCCGATAGCCCGCCCAATCTGCCCAACAGCCGAGATCAACGCGCCACCCAGACTGGCATCCTCTGGCGGCAGTGTCTTTGCCACGAAGAGCGTGAGGACGGGGAATATCGTGTCTGCGCCGCACACGCAGAACACCATCGCCGGGAACCCGTAGGCCCAGTATGTTGTGTCTTCGGGAATCGGGATGGCGAAGAGGAGCGAGGACATGCTCACCGCGAAGGTGCTGAAGATGAGGATGTAGTCGCCGCGGACGTGCGAGAGAATGAAGCCAGTTACAGTCGCGACGATGATGCCAGTGACGCCGTTGGGAATGAAACGGAGCGTGGTCTGGATCACAGACAGCCCCTGGAAGTCCTGGAACCAGTATGTGGCGAAGATGAGGTAGTTGTTGAAGCTGGCGAAGAAGAGGCCCATGAGGACGTTCGCCCACGTGAACTTCCGGTTCTTGAAGATCGACATCTTCATGAGTGGCCGTTTCTGCGTCTTCGTCTCGAGGTAGTGTTGCCAGAATCCGAAAACGACGACGATGATGAGAGACACGACGATGAGCGCAGGCACCCATGGCGTGCTCCAGCCTACGACGTTGCCTTCGGAGAGCGCGAACAGGAGCATGATGAGTCCGACAGTGATGAGAGTGCCGCCGACCCAGTCGACGGTGTTGCGCATTACTGGCTCAGGCTGGACAGGAGGCAGCGGGATGACGAAGAAGCTTGCAACAGTGGACATGGCGGATATCATGCCGAAGATCCAGAACACCCATTTCCACTGTAAACGTTAGCATTTGGGCGAGCAGAGTATGGGTGATTCATACGTTTAGGTACTCGGCGACAACACCTCCCTAAGACTGTCAGCACTGACACCAGGCATCGGAAAATGAACAGACTTACGAAGATGTTACCAAAGATGCCCCCAAGTGGAGCGCCAGCCCCGAAGCATCCAAATGCAATGTCCTTCATGCGACCTGGTGGGAAAGTGACGCCGAGGATGCCCAAAGCGGTGGGTGCCATGGCAGCAGCAGCCAAACCTTGAAGACCCCTCATGATATCAAAGCCAATCTCATTCGTGATGAATGGAGGTATGATTGAGGTGATTGTGAAAAACACTGAGCCCCAGATGAAAATGAGGCGACGCCCATATACATCTGCCAATCTGCCCCATAGCAACTACGAACGAGTCAGCTAGCTATTCCCACAATGAACTATACAGAAACACAACAGCACATACCAGAAAGCAACCAAAAGTAAGACTGTATGCTGAAACGACCCATTGCTGTCTGCTGGTTGGAATGTCAAGTGCCTCACCAATCGTAGGTAGAATAATGACAGAAGCTTGAACAGCCATAGTCTAGAAGCTCTCGTCAGCCACGTCTTAGCTACCTACTATCTCACTCACACTCAAAAACGGCGCCGCAGCAATCGTAGCAACCAGCGCCACCGTCCTCGCCTTCGAGAACGGCAACCCCGGTTCCTCCATACTCTGCGCCCTCACATGTTCCTCCGTGCCATCTTTCCCAATCCCAGCCTTCTCTGCATCCTCAGCCTCCATCTGCTTCGCAACGATATCGTCCGCGCGCTTGAACCCGTCGTCCATCGTGTAGGGAGTCTCAACACAGACCCCAGCGACTGAAGTGAGTCAGAATCTACCCTAGCTTACCCCATGGGGCGTCGCGTGCTTTTGAAGGCTCAGACGCCGCGGCGCGGAACGTTTGCCGATGCACGTACCGCTGCGGCAGGGTGTGGTCTTAGCCGCAACGGCAAGCGCTATCCCCGGAAGTGACTTGCCATGCTCACATCTCAAGTGCTACGTGATATACGGCAGTTTAGGCGTGATGAAGATGCCATGAGCTGTGGTGGTGCGGGTTGGCCAATGTTGAGGTGGCCTGTGTGTAGCAGATTGGACTGAGCATTCGACCCGCCGGGGCTTGGTAGAATGCATCCGGTGTTTGACACGTACTCACCGTACTCTGCATGCTCAACTCCTAACATTGTTGTTACAAGAACATCCAGTGGGGTTGTAGGAATGCCGTATCCGCGGTGGGAGGTGATGAGCGAGGTTCCACCAATCAAATGCCGTCCGCTTTGGGAAGACCACGTTGAACATTGTTCCCGTCTGCGGCTGCCGTCACAAGGTTTGTGTGTAGTTGCTAAGCATGAATTGATCGATTTCATCGTATCGGCTGAGAGAGTACCAACACATGCTGGAGTTGAGAAGTTGGTGGTTGCGTTGTCTGGATGTCTCTGGATCAAGACTGATGCTTAACTCAGATACTGCAGGCGCGTCTGACCAGTCGCTTGGCAAATGTACAACTCTTTCTTGAATGCGTCTGAATAGAGTTATTCAGTTGTAGTTGTACAAAGGATGTGTTGGATCCTACAAAGTATCAAGTGGCTGGTCGGACGTGCTCGTAGTAGAACTCTATGTATCTTCACGACCATCATCACGCGGCTCAACAACACATCCAAAACAGACATGTGTTTTAATCTCCGAGATGTCCTACGTGAAACGCACATGCACAAGTCATCTGCTCGAGCTGCGATCCTTGCTCGACACTCTTACGCGGACCAGGGCTTCCGATGCACCTTCAATTCCCAACGGTACGCCGCGGACCGCAGCCGAGTCTAGAGCTGTCCGTTGCACACGGGAACGGAGCGTACTTCGTACACATCACCACTACACGATGCGGCAGCGTGGGAAAAGAGACCCCGTACAATCTGCGGTCGCCGTTCGCAGGATGGTATGCCTCCAGGCGGCCTGAAGGACGTACCTTCTGAACAGCTGCGAGACGCCCTATCCTCGGGATCCCAAGTCTGGAAGTCGCTAAGCGTCGGTTGTACACGTCCCGTTGCATGAGTGAATTTCGCGATTGGAGAGCGCTGAGCGGTTCTACAGCAACACTTGTCGAAGCCATGGAAACTTGCCTGTTCAAGTGTAGATTATGAGGCTGTGAAACGGAGATTTTGTAGCTCTACATCACGCCGAGCAAGCATCAGGTTTTTGCAATGTCTGCGAAAGTCGAGGAAAAGTAGCGGTCTTGCTCGCTATTGGCCAGCGCTCTGAGCTTCCAGTTGAGGTTGGTTGCGTCTCGGTCTTGGTTCAACGCCCTGGGAGCCAAGGACAAAGAGGCTGTGCTCTGGGCGCGGGACGCACACACTCACGCCGTGAGCGGGCGGGCGCCGCGTCGAATCCACCGACTGCAATTGTAATAGGCATCGTGGAGTTGCGGTTCGTTTTGAGCTAGGGGCCGACGCTCATCAGGAACACGAATCTGTCATGAATCTCATTACCGATGATCGACGGCGATAACCGCGGCGAGCGCTGCTTAGCGCGACCGAGAAACCAGGTTAGAAGTGCGCATTCTCTTCCTGGTGGTTGCACATGAGGGGCAGTTCGCCAGTTCTCTAGCCCACACATCTGCCGCAAAAAGCACCTAGGCTTGCATTGTGGTGGGATGGAAGCAAAGGTGTGGGGAGACGTTACCCTTCGTGACGGGCTCGCCCTTCAGCAGCCAGGATCGTGCATGTTGAGGTCTGCTGGTGGGAAACGAGTCAGCGAATGAACGATGGCGAAATCTCTGACATGCAGCATGGCAAGGACTGCGCTTGCATGTCACTGGCTGAGAATGGAGTGCCCTGCGGCAGAAGACGTCACCCAGCTCGCATCGGCGAATGTCGAGCCCGCGGATTACGACGCTAGTAGCGCTGACAGGCGGCGCTGAACAGAGCTGTAAGGATTATCGTGGCAATGATGGGCAGAGGGTCACATTGGAGATGGAGATTAGGTTGTTTGTATTCTTTTGTCATTTCTTTGATGAGTAGCCTCACATGCTACAACGCCGAAACCATGGTCTATAGTTTTCGCGCAACCAATGCAGTCAGTTCTTAAAAATACCACCCAAGATCCTCATGTATATACGGGTAATGCTTGATCCAAGATACGGGCGATGTAAATGGAAACATACTTGTGTCAAGTATGGAATATGGAAAGACAGTTCGAGCCAGGGTCTATAGAATATACACAGGCGACAGGGTAAAGGGAGCCGGAAGGCTCGGAATAAGGAAACAAAGATCGACTCGAGAGGTATCACTCGCACCAGCACCGTCATCAATCGTGGCGTCATCAAAGGGACTGTTGCTTTGACAAGCTCCAGTACACTCGCAGGCGTCTAAGACTTGGCCCGACCTACTACAGCCAGTTCTGAGAGTAGGTAGCATCAAAGGCGTTTATGCTGTTAAATGCCATAAGGTTTTGCTCCATGGGCCATGGGTCGTTGGGAACAATGTCATCGAAGTTGCCAGGGATGGCAATCGCAGCAGCATCGGAATAGTCGCTCGTACTTGTCATTGGCATGGCTGTTGGCGCAATAGACTGGCTCTTGGGGTAGTCGGGTTCGAAAGCTTGACTTGTTGACATGGTCGTGACAGGGATGGACATGGGGGCGACGAGACTCTCAGTTGGCATGGCGGTGCTGAAGCGGTACACAGGCTGATCTTCCCAGAACAGGGACTCGCTGGCAGCTGATTGGGGAGCCTTGAAGTCGAGATCTGCGAAAGGATTCGGGTCTCCAATCTCCGAGTGCACAGATGAGGCGACGGTCAGGCCAGGGCCGCTCTGTTTCGATTCGCCGCTGTGCGAAATGGGCTGGGCTAAGCTGTCGTTGAGTTTGTTGGGGTCCAGGGGGAGATCTCCAGCCGACCAGATCGGATCAAACCCAGCAGAAGGGATAGACCATTGGTTGTCGAGGTTGGGCAGGCACTCTTGCGAAGGGGATGTTGATAGGCTGCCAAAGTCGAAGTTGTAGTTGACCGGTGTGCCAGTGGTGGTTGTCCATGGCCATTGCTGAGTTGGGAAATTATCACTTGCGTTACTCTCGGGGGAGTTGCCATCTTGAGCACCAAATGCGCCGCTTTGGCTGTTGAAAAAGGAGTCTTGGAAGTTGAGGGTATCAAGACTGCCACCCATGGTAGTGATAGGGAGTACGTTCTGGCGTTGACCGTTTCCAAGGAAAGCATAGAAATCAGGATTCGAGAGAGACAGAGTGTCCATGGATCGCGCAGCCGGAGCAGGCGTCTCTGGGTTGCTGTTGTAGTTGTCGGATCTATCCAGAGCGGCGAACGAGGAATGGCCATGCAGTGTATGCGGGCGTGGGATTTTGTAGGGCACGCCGGATACGTGGGCTGTGTTGTTGCTGCGGTGGCAGGGCTTGTGGTGGCCATTCGCAAAGACAGTCAGCTGGCTCTCGGATTGCGCAGTCGTAAGCTTCGGTTTCGCGCGAGCCTCATGGAGCGTTTGACGACCGGTGTCAATCGACATAGCAAGAGGCTCCTCCTTGATAGTGCCACAGAGGCACTTGCCGCCAGAATGGCACTGGCATTCACCAGCATGAGTTGAGCTTTCGTTGGAGTTGACCCGACTTAGCACACCGGACGTAGGCTCACTCTTCGCGTCCTTGTCTTTGTGCTTGTCCTTCTTATCACCACAGTCGCACTTGGCATGGTGCGATTTTGACTTGCGGGCGCCGCGACAGTGCTCGCACTGCTTGACTGGGCGACCCTTGGGGTTGATGTGGTGTAGTTCTCGATCTGTGAAACATAGTTTTAGCCCATGTTTCATTGTACAATATTCAAAGCCACTGGGCGCCGAGGAGTAGTATACCATTGTGGGTGCAACCGCTCACTCGGTGACCTTTGATGCAGGACGAGCAGGCCCATTTTTCACCGTCGATTACAGGCATTCCGGGGTAATTGACGGCCGTGTGCGGTCGTGGGTGCTGGCTAGTGGCAGCCGCGTGGTGAGGGTCCAAGGGCAAGTAGCGCCAACGGAAACGAATAAAGACCGGCGGCGTCGCAAGACACTGCTGGTCGTGGGTAAAGATACAGAGTAGAAGAAGAGTATCGAAAACAGTCAAATCAATAGCAGAGGGGTATCGTGATCAATGGAGAGAAACACGCCGGGCTGGGCTGACTTGACGAGGACCGTGAACGCCGGAAGAGGACCGAGGACGACAGAGTGGAGAGTGGAGAGAGGAGAGTATGATGTTCAGGGGGGAACCGAGCGCAAGAGGCGCTGGCCGAAAGCGTGGAGCGTGGTTCCTGAAGAGACCGCCAAAACACCAGTCTGTGGAGTATGCTGTGTTGTAGTGGTGAGAGGAGGAGAGAGCGACGGGGCAGCCTCTCAAGAAGAGGGCAGGCGCCCTCGGCCACGCCTCCTGTAATTGGCCTGAATCGGCCCGTGCGCTGGCCATCGATCAGCCAGCGCCGGCGCGGGCTGCGAACCCTGTGAGCAAATCCCACACGACGCAGACGCGGGCTCACCGCATGCCGCTGGTTCAGCGGTCCCTCTGGCCCGCTGTTGGCTGGCTGCGGGCTGGCTGCTGGCTGCTCGCTGCCGAGGACCATGTCTCGCAGTGGCCTTCGTAGCGAGCTGCACCGCGTCCTTCCTTGACCCTCGGCCCTTGATCGTCGAGCATCAGCCTGCGGAAGGCCCCCGTATTGCGCCGTCTGCGCCAACTAGCCAGCGAAGCGTGCCCGCTTCTCACCGCAGCGGCGCATGCAGCCTTGCACTACAAGATGTTGTCCACGGCGTGTTTCAGGACATCCAGAAAATCACTTTGTCGATTCATGTAGTCGCCATCTGTCACGGCCGTCGTGGCGCAAAGAGCACAGCGCCCGTTGCCAAGTGAAGATCAGTGTTCGTGTTGCAATAGCATCGAGTTTATTTCGAACTGCCAACCAGTACTGTCCGGTACCATAATTTCTATTCATTTTCTTCTCATTCAGGCACAAGCGGACGGTCGCGCTAGCTGCCTCCTCCACAGGAAGTTTTGCCGCCATAGCAACCATCGTGGAGCGGACGCTGCAGTAGTCTAGCGTTGAGGTGGGGAGCCTTCTCTGGAGCGCTGGGCAAACTGTTCGTACACTCGCGCCTCGCGACTGCGCATTTGCTTCTCGATGAAGTTTGTGCTAAGCATGATGCTCGTCTTCATACACATCGTACTCGAGTAAGCTTTAGGTTCGCTGATCACCTACCCTGCTTTCGCTCGATGCTGCAGGTAACCGCTGCTAGCTTAGTGGCTGGCCGTTCACTTGGGTGCACATCGTCGTACATGATACTCGGTCAGTTGCAGAGTTCGGGAGTACAGCGTTGGCAAACATGCGCGTGTCGTTGCAGATGTGTGATGGTTTTCGAGGGAAAGTTAGTGGCGAACTTGCTTGATAGAAAGGTACCTTCAAGCGCTGGCGTTGTTTTAGCATGTCCATTCGCACCATCGATGATCGTGTTAGAGAGGACTGAGTCATGTAGTTTGGAATTTTGATCTGACAGACATCGCCACAGGTAATGCTACCTGCGTTTGGTGACGCTTCGTAGGTCTGTTGTGCATGGCCATGTTGGTCAGACTGGCAGCTGGAGCCCGTTCTGGCGGCACCACACAGCACTCGACGAGATTAGAACATCTCAGAATTTGCCTGTCTTTAATCGCTATGTAAGGTTATCTAATCTGCTGCTTGCTCGACTTGAGGAGAGGTCGCTCCAGATGCTAGAGCTCGACTTCAAGAGGGCACATGGTTTGGATACACCTTCAGACTGACAGCCCATAGTTGGGTGACAAAAAGGTCACGAATGGACTGTTCTTGTTAGCAAGCATTTGACAACCGACTCAATGAATCTGCAGCTTGGTCTTGATGATGGTGGCCGAAAGGTGAAAGGTTCTTCCGATGCGACGACAACGTCACCGGCAGCTGTTACGCGCCAAAGCAACGCTACAGACTTCTACAAAGTAGTAAATGCTATAGAACAATACCACCATGGCTTCGCTACGCTCCATGATGGTGGCATGCGAGGGTCCTCCCCTCCGTGCTGTTTGTGCTGTTCGAAAGGCGCTAGTGCCAGATTTGTCGAGCAGCGCGCGCAAAACTCCCTCGGCGCTCACTCAGCTTCACGCTTCGTCGACTTGACGACAACGAATCAGATAACGCGCAAACGCGTCGTACTGCCCTCTCAGTACCATCGAGCACGGGACTTTTTGGCGCAATAGCAGCAGTCGCAGCTGCAGTTGCAGTATACCGGACAATGACTTCAAACTATGGCGACCCAGATACTCAAATGGGCGGAGGTCCTGGCCCGTATGGCAATCACAATGACGCACCACCCGCGCAACAGCATCACCAGGACCTGACTGACCCTGATCTCCAGCTTCAGGAGAAGCTTCAACAGTTCAGCAACCAAGTCATGCATTCCAGTGGTCCTCAACAGCCCCAATACCAGCAGCCAGCTCAGATGGCGCCTTTGCAGAATGCGCACCCTCACTACCAAGCGCAGCAACGGCCCACACATTCGCCGCAGCAAATGGCGCATGTTGCGATGAGCCTAGGCGAACACCATGAGCAGTTCGATCCGAATGATCCGAATCGCAAGCGATCGAAGGTGTCGCGTGCTTGCGACGAATGCCGACGGAAGAAGGTGCGTGCATTGGGTCTTGCCGCTTCCGCTTTCTTACAGGAAACAGATACGTTGCGATGCGACCAGCGAGAATGGGCCAGAAGCTTGCTCCAGCTGTAAGAGGACCGGGGCAAGATGCCAGTTCAGTAGACAGCCTATGAAGCGAGGACCTAGCAAAGGGTCGGTACTCTCATTCTTGAAGGCCGCAGTGCGGTAGACTGACAGAAGCAGCTATATCAAAGAGCTTGCAGACCGTCTAAACTCCCTCGAGAGCCAAATCCAACAGCCACAAGCTCACCAATTCGACCTTCAGAATCTGGCAGATCAAAGCTTTACAGAGATTCAGACCCCCCCTCAATTCCACCGAAAACGTACACACAGCATGTCAGAGGGATTTCAGGATGCTTTTGGTCGGTCCAGCTGGTCCGGTCAGGATCGCGGTAATAACCACCCGCTTGAGCAAAACATACTCTCTCTGCTGACAACGCAAGAAACACCGGTGAACGGCGATCGACGTACCTCGTTCGGGGACATGACACTGGCTGGCAATCTTATCACAGGTTCCAACGAGGGTACACTCAAGGCGTGAGTTTATCACAATCTGACACTCCAACATCCTGCTAATAGACGCCCAGGTACTACAATCTGATTCACCCAACGCTCCCAATTCTACCTCACGACTCCACCTCCTTAAACCGCCTCACAAACTGCCCTGCGAAGCTGCGAGAAGCCTTCTTCCTCGCACTCGACGCGTGTGTCCGATCATTTGCGCCTCGTGCATTACCACAGATTGACACGAACTTGACACAACTCTTGCACCAAACGTTTGCTTCGGTTGACGCAGCGAAACTCACAATCAACGATCCCGACGCATCCCGGCAGATCTACAATAATCTGGTTTACTGTCAGTCCTTATTACTGCTTCTGCTTGCCTCAGACAAACCTGGACCGGGTGTAGTGGGGAGCACCTCGCAACTGCTTGGCCAGATCGCAGGGTGCATCACCGAAGGCGGCTTTAACGATGTCAGAACATTGACATCTCTGAAAGAACACGACCAAGACGCATTTCAGGGCTCTCGCCGTGTCTTCTGGACGGCGCTCATCTTAGATCGGTTCCACGCCTCAAGTCGATCAAAGGACATCATGCTGCCATTGCATTCGGGTTCCCTAACTCGCGATGACTATGGAGCGCTCGGAGATCTCGGTTACCACCTTGCTCGTAATTATCTCCCGCCATCGAGACATGGACAATACTAATACAGAGTAGGTGGGGCCAAAATTGTAGGACAGGTAGCCGCTGTGAGCCGTGCAGGTAGTGTTCCCAGCATCGAACCTTCTTCGCCGTTTGCTTCAATGCCGCTGGTCGCTACTTCGCCCGAGTCCATTTACCTAAACGGTCAGCTGTCAGGCTATCGAGAATCAATGGACCTTACAGACCTAACGAACAACTCACCACCTCATCTTACTTACCAGTATCTGCGTCTTTTTGTGGGACGTCTGTCTTCACAAAACGCTTCATCGACTGAAATACTAAGTCTGACGAAAGAGCTTCTCAGCAATCTGTCTAGCGGAGCGATCACACCACTCCATCAAGTGTGTGCCAGCCTTGTTGCAACCTCCTTGGTTGAGCTCTCCGAGATAGTCGAGACTCAAATTGAAGCACAGGCTGCGATCAAGGAAATGAGCGACGCCCTTAACAATGGACAGATTCTTTATCGCAGCATGGACCATGTCGGCTGGGATGCAGCTGTAAGAGATATTCTGCATCAGAAACACGCCCTTACACCCACAAACCCGGTCCCTGAACAAACGACTTCAGCACCTGATCCCAACATGGCTGGTTTACAACACCTTGCCGCGGCCGCCGTGGGTGAGCGCGAAGGAACTGAGCCACGTCCAGTCAGCAGTGGCGGCAACAACAGCCACGACCAGGCCCTCGCTAGCGCCGAACACGACCTTTCAGCAGCCATGGCCGCAGCGAACGACGCAGCGATGGCACAAGCAACGGCGGCAGCGGCGCAACAACAGCTAACGGCGTCATCACCAGACGCTAAGCACGGGAATAATTTCGACTCCAAGCAAGATGACTTCATGGCATCACTCTCGTGATCCCTGCCTGACGATGTTCTTCACTGTCACGATGTATGTATGCACAAATATCGGCAGGAAAGTCAGTCTGCGTCTGCCAGGACGTGGCCGTGCGCAACGTTCGCAAAATGTTCGGAGATAAGGACATGCCATACCTCCTTGTCTGCTGTTAATTCGAGGGAGTAATGGGCGACCACCTATCCGTTTCTCCCACGGGAGCTTATACCCTTGTTGGATGGATTTTTTTGGGTCGGCGGCGATGGTCGGTAGTTGCATATGCGTCTCCACGGCGCTGGAATAAAACACATTTCTCGACGTTTATCGATAGTCTGTTAATTAAGGCTTGACCTTCAGCGGCGCCGCGTGCCTCGATTGTGGTTCCAATCCACTAGCCCATGCCCCAGCTCGGATCAGACGGCAATCTGCCACGCCGTGCCGGGTAGCCGCGGTGCCCGGACCCTGATTTTCTTCGTTGCGTGAACCATGATCGGATCATGATGCGACACAACGATCTGGAACCTATGTCGTGCTTGCCGGCCCTGCAGATCTCTTTCACCGGATCAACAGAATAAGCTTTGTTTGGCCGTGATCAAGCTTTGCCAAGCTTGTGACATCTCTCGTTCCCAACTAGTGGCAAGGCCGTAGGCTAGTGTGAAGGGCAAGCTGGAGCGCGCTTCCATCGCTGGTGTATCAATGCATGTGGAGCAGAGCATACGCTTCACATCAGAAATCGAGCTATGGAGTTGGTGTAAGAAGATTACGTTTTCCATTATTGATCTAGAATACCCGCGATAGTCTTATAATAATGAGTATACTTGGATTGGAAAGCGCCAAATCCCGAGTATCGTCTCCTAGGTGCGAGGGAATTTGTAACTGGCGAAGATTTTGTTGTCCCACCACATTCTTCGAAACCTAACACTAGTCCTTCAAATATGTTTTGCACAGGGATGTTAGTCGACGATTTACCACGTTCCGAGTCCAATGCGGGCCCAATTCACTTCCATATCTTCGACAAGCGTCAGGAAGTCATTGCTGTCAAGGCTGTTGAAGATGAATTTGTCCAAAGCCGCTCTCCGCCCGTCGTCGTTTTGCATCGCATATGCATTCAATGTTCTCTCGGCGTCACCCGATAGAAACGAATCGAGCGTGTGGCTGATTTGATCTTTACTCTTAGATGCAGAAGAGCTCACGAATGCGTTTGGCGACGTAAAAGAGCGTTGGTTCTGAGCGCCACTATTGACAGGAGTGAAAGGACGTGTTGCTGAAGGGCTCGAGGTTGCAGGCGTCGAGTATGCCTGAGGCGACAACGAGTTTTGCGAAATGTCTTGCTGATCTTCATACATTGCTGTAGCCTGAGCGGGCTTTGAATGGCCCCTCGAGTAAGGTCGAGGCGTGTGCGGTCGCTGTTCTACGGGAGGCTTCTTTGCAGTATCAGGAATCATCGTTGGTTGGCGAAGTGGAGGCAAGTCGCTGTCCAAACTAACAGCCCGGGCAGAGCTTGGCCGCAGGTCACTAACCCGGGACGGCAACGGTGGTGGCCCCATGAATCCAGTAGACGGACGACTGCGAGGCCGGTTGTTGTCGCTCCCAGAGGATGTGGGTAGAAAATCTCGCGGGAACGGAAGCTCTCGCCGAGGCGGGAGCTCCGCTGTGTCAGGCCGTTCATACAGCAGAGCAGTCTCTGGGCGTGAAGTCGTAGCAGCGGCACCGTGATTCTCGACAGTTGTGACTACTCCATCACGAGGTGCAGAGATGAGAGAGGAGTCAGGTGATACGACCGAGGCCGAGTCTGGTCTCGGGAAATACATGGGAGGTATAAGATTCGAAGACAAAAAGCTGGGGTTTGTGAAAGCCGAGCTTGGCCGCGCTTGAACACTCTCCTGTATCTGCGACTCCAGAGCTGTGGGTGCGGACAGTGCAGTGTAGGGTCGGCTCGAGACCTCTGAGAGTCTTGATGGGGGGCACGAGGGTCCTGTGTGCTCAGCATCTAATCGCGACAGTGAGACTGGCGGACGCGCAACAACCCTTGATTGTTCAGGTTTTGGAATTGACACTCGATCCTTCGACTGACTTTGCGGGGGCATCATTCGCAAGCCAAGTTGATGGAGATGGTTGTAGGCAATGTCGAAGTCTTCATTGGATCTGAAGCGCATCTGCAGACGACGAACCTGCGTGAAAGATAAGACTGCTGTACAACAGACATTTGTGCTTCTTTACCTTTTTGTTTGGAAGTTGCCACCGAATGGCTATCAGCGGACAACGAACGATAGCGGAGATGGGCAGTTGATCCCCTTTCAGCTCAACTCCACGTTGGTGCATGCTCATAACGAGATCTTCCGACTCGTTTGTCAAACGCTCTAGCTCAATTTGCTCCTACGAAAGTTCTGTCAGTGCTGTGTGACTCAGGTTGGCCGTGATTCGAGGTAACTGAGTGAGGGCTGAATGCAGCTCTTACTCGAATCTGCGTGCCCTGCACGACCTTCAACAACTGCAGTGCGGAACCGCCAGCCTGGTATGAGTCAATTACACAGACAAGATTGTTGCTTTCGTGCCTCCACTGAAACGTCTGCTCGTCATGGTGAGCATCTTGTGCGGTCGACAGTTTCGCCAGCGAAAGGGATATCATGGCAGATAATGGACAGGCTGCAGAGTCAGTTGGAGATCAATGATTGCCGATCTTGACAGTAACAGCGTGACGGACTCGCAAGCAGCTGCAAGGGCAATCTCAGCTGCCGAAATTTGTTGTTGGGTGAGAGATGAGTTGCGACGGAAGGAGCAGTGGTGAAGATCACGTGACCTATCTAGCGCACGAATCGAACTGGAGCTCCCGCTGGCGTTCTGATGTTCATCCAGCATCGCGGACTGAACGCGCCGCGACAGTCACGCTCAACACCGCGCGCGCGCCAGGCACACCGCCCAGCCTGTTGATGTACCACGATTGACCCCGCCCAAACCCGGAGTTCATGCGCGCTTTGAAACATGGCGCCCAGCAAGCCACGAGAACCCTCCATTGAGCGCACCGAAGAATACGACAAGTTTCTCGAGCAGCTGCAAGCTTATCACGACAAGAGAGGGTCAGTTTTCCTGATTTACATTTTACCCTGGCGCGCATGCTGATGCCACGCGCAGGACATATCTCGACCGCGAGCCCAAGGTTGCCAACCAGCACATCGACCTATTGCGCCTCTACAAGCGCGTAAATAATGAAGGCGGATACGACAAGGTCTCAGATACGAAGAATAACAAGCTTGCGTGGAGAAGACTAGCTGCAGACTTCTTGCAGGACAGTTCTGCGAGTCAACTCACGACTCAGGCATTCTTGATCAAGACAGCATACTACAAGAACCTAGCGTGCGCATTCCACGACAACCATGTGCGCAAATTGCTGATTCTGTCTCAGGGCATACGAAATATCGACGATACACAAGCGCGAACCGCCGCCCAAGGAGATTCTCGAGGACATCACAGCCAAGGGAGGGGACCTGCTGAATCGCACTGTAGAGAACTTCTATCGTGGGAGTCGCGAGGCCGAGAGACTGAGAACTGGCGATTCCGACGACTCCGACGAAGACGGTGACATGAAAAAGACACCCAACGCCGACAAGATGGACGTGGACGAGCCGGGAAGCACAGGGCGACCGACGAGGTCGCTGCGCCATGCGCCCCCCCAGCGCGTTCTCTTCCAGCCAGAGACATCCACCAGGCAAACACGTCAATCCGCAGGTCATATGAACTCCCCAGGGGTTAATGGATACGGCTCGAGTGCTGCAGCTGTAGCTATTGCGAACTATGAGCCACGAACGAACATTCCGCTTGCATTGAAGCAAGTTGTAACCCCGTCGAACAATTTGGACGCATACGTTGCATCGCGCAAGAAGTACATCGTGAACAGGAAGAACAGGCCGGTACCGCTGAAGGGCATGATGTTGCCTGGCACTGGTTTTCCTGGACCGAACATCTACATTCGCGCTCTACACGCACTGCGATCAAAGGAGCCAGAGGAAGAAGCGTATGCACTGCACCATCTTGTTAAGATCTCCCACGAGCGCGGCGACAAATACCGTTTCGACCAGTTCCCTGGGCTTGCCGAGGCACTCATCGCGAAAGTGATCGATGTTGGATCGCTCTTCTTCGATGTCAGATGGGACATCTCATACGTTGAAGAAGAGTTCGAGAAGCCGGGTGTACTCAATGGCTTAACGGGTACCAAGGATCTGTTGAAGAAGATTCGCGCGCTTCAGACATTAGATATCGAGGACGATCTGCTGCCAGAAGAGAATGCCAAGGCTCTCAACATGATCAACGAAGCAGCGTTAATCATTCGCAACATGGTAATGCTGAAGGAGAATGCTCTCTTTGCCTCCATGATCCCAGCCGTTCGGGACTTGATTGTCGTTGTACTCAACCTGCCGAAGCATCCCACTGTGGTCGAGCTGCAACACTACGCCCTCGAGATCGCCGAGCAACTGACCAAAAACTGGGTCTTGGACTCACAAGATCCTGTTTATCGATCTTTACTTACTCAGATCGACTCTGATGACCGCGGTCGAATCATCACCTCATTGAGAGCTCTTGGCAGGATATCAATGAACCTGGAAGCCACCAACAAGCTGTCCGATGTGCCTGTAAAGACATTGCAATCGATATGCGACTGGCTTCTTGTCGAAGATGAAGATCTGAGGATAGCATGCTTGGACTTTCTCTACCTGTTCACAGGCTTCCCGGATAACGTTGAGCTTCTCGCGCATGAAGTGAACGTCGAAGCTGTCGTAGGACAGCTTGTTCGATTACTGCAGTTCGGCGCCGTCGCCTATGAGGAGAGGCGAAGTACGCCTAAAACGACAAAGTCATCCACACCCAATGATGCGGCGCCCAAGCTCTCCTCTGCGATCATCGACCACCTCGTGACACTAGAAGAGCCAGAGCGAAGCTCGCAGTGGCTCAAGACATGCTTCGAGGAGGAGCCAACAGGCGAGATCACCCAGATTCAGCTCTGGTCGGCGTACAATGCGGCTTTCCAGGAAGTCATGGCTGTCAATCCGTCCGCTTTCAAAGCACTCATGCCAGCTAAGGACTTCATTACAAATGTGTCTACAACCTTTGGTGGTGCATCTGCGCAAGTGCTGACAGTTGGCGGCCAACCAAAGTACACCATTCGAGGAATAAGGCCACGATCTGTGCCAGTTGATCCTAGCACGAGGAGACAATACATGCGTTGCTGTTGGATAGCACCCAGCACAACCAATGGTACCTCGGATCCAAAGCACCTCCCCAGGGCAGAGTGCGGCGAGTACGCATCGGGCGCGCGAGCAATGTGGGAACATATTGTCGGTGTTCACCTCAAGGTCCCTCGCGACCAGGAAACAGGTCAATGGATACTAGAGCCAAAACCGGACATTGACATGGAGAATGGCGATGCGATTGCAACCTCAAAACCCCAGACATACAACTGCCATTGGGCAGGCTGCAACCACTTCCCCGACGATATCGATTCTGCCTTTGTTGCTGGTCAGCACATCAAGACGCATCTGCCCGACACCTCGGTCAAGCAAGCGATTCACGCCCGTCACAACCGCGCTGCTGAGGACTCACGGCCCTCGACGTCCTCTGCTCAGGGCGCCGGCTACAGCAGCACCCTTGGCAGCGCCAGCCGCTACACACCCACTAATAACTCTGCATCTCTCGCTCCCAACTTTAGATACTTCAACACCGCAACAGACGAAGCCAACGACGCTGCTGGTCTTCCTCTCTCCTCTGTACTTGTCCTCCGCAACCTTGCGCGACAGCTGAACAAGATCCCGCCGCCTTCCCAGGTACTCGAGATCCCAGACTCACCAACGCACAAACGCACATTTAGCGCGACGGAGCCGGGGAGCCCGAACGCGCACCGCACAACAGGGGCGAAGAAGCCGCGTCTCAGCGACGCGGCGAGGGAACAAGCGCGCGAAGACGGTGAAAGGGAGGAGAAGGAAGCAAAGAACGTGGGCTGGGTGCCCCGCGTGTTTGCGCCAGTGAGAGACCAGTTGGCATTCGTAGCCAGCCACAACCTGACGCTGAAGAACTACATGGGCGGGTTGCTGAAGGCCATCGCTGATGGTGGGGCCTGAGGCTTCGCATACAATGGGAGGGTGTTCCGACCAAGACTCACTGGTGATTGTGTTGTATCGAGTCTGCGAGGAACCTTGAGACCATCGGACAGTGTTTGCAAGGGAAATGCGAGATCTGAGCAAGGCGTTCAGGGAAATAAATTATGTCGCTCGAGTGCAAATGCTTAATACAAGCAGCTAAGAGGACACGGCTAGGCTTTGGATATTATGTTATACCTACCACTGAAATAGTGTAGCCGAACGATTCTTCTTCTTTACATGAAGTCAGATCGAGATCCTCAGTATGGTCGTGATGCCCTTGTTTAGAAGATACGTGATACTTTGAAGCAATCGCTTCTTGGAAGACAACACAACAAACTCCTGTAGAAGTTGCTGGTCATAAGAGCGTCATGAGTGGAGGAGAGGAACGGGGCTGTTACGTTGTTTATAACACGAAGCTCCTCGGACGCCAATAAATAAAGCCAACAACAAACAACTGAAAAATCTTTCCAACCAAGCGGGTGTATAGAATTGTTTCTTTAGGATCAATTGTGTTTGCGGCAAAAGCCACAGAGATAGGATTGTATGCCATAACGCCATGCTATATTGCTCGGTGCCCATAAAGATACTTGCGCCAGTGCTCAGTCCAGCCTCTCCGAACGCTTCATATGAATGATAAAAGACAAAACATGACCAGCCCTCACTTCTTAGCCAACAAGCCCTCGGCAACGTCCCTCAGTACGAACTTTTTGATCTTTCCACTGCCTGTCAAAGGCACTTCGCCGTCACAGTCCTCACCGAGCCAGAACACATGGACCGGCGCCTTGTGTCGGCCTAACACTTGCCTCACCCAAGCCTGCACATTGGCAAGGTCGGGCTTCTCGGTGCCTTCTTCGTGTAGGAGGAAGGCAGTCGGTACCTCGACGTAGCGGGGGTGTGACACGCCGACAACGATGGCACGTGCAACGGATGGATGCTGCACAAGACGCTCCTCAATCTCGAGAGGGTAGATGTTTTCACCACCTGGATTCTTGTTAGTCGATGACGGGGAGGTTGTGATAGTAGCTTACCTCGGATGATGATGTCCTTGAACCGACCTGTGATGGTACAATACCCATCAACATCGAGTACTGCTTCATCACCAGTGTGTAGCCACAGCTCGCCGTGCTCGTCTCGCACCAGCAGCTCGGCTGTTTTCTCTGGGTTCTCCCAGTAGCCCCTGCAAAGCTGGTATCCTGCGATGCAGAGCTCGCCGCGATACCCGATGGGCAAAACCCTGTCCTCATGATCTACGATCTTCACGCGAGCATGAGGCAGCACGGTCCCGACACTGGTCAGTCGTGCGTGCAGGGAGTCGGTTGTGTGTGCGTTGAATACGGTGGGGGAAGCTTCAGTCAGGCCATAGCTCGATGTGAAGTCGGTCATGCCCAGTTCATTGACCATGCGTTCCATCAGCCAACGAGGTACAGGACTGCCTGCCACGATGCCAGTACGAAGCTGTGAAGACCAGCCTTCATCCTTCTCAACGTCGATGATGGACTCCATCATAGCCGGCACGCCATGGAGTGCAGTGCAGCGCTCGTCAGAAATAGCCTTTGAGCATGCAACGGGATCGAACGACTCCTCGGGAAAGACGATCTTACCACCATGTGTTAGGGTCGCAAGTAAGCCAAGTGTAAGACCGAAGCAGTGGAAGAGCGGTGGTGGGCAGCAGAGCACGTCTTTCTCTGTCAGCTCCATTCGATCTCCGATGAAGCGCGAGTTATTAACAAGGTTACTGTATCGGTTAGCATGTGCTTTTGCTAACATGGAGAGTGCCTTACTGGTGTGTCAACATGGCAGCTTTAGGGTTGCCCGTGCTGCCACTTGTGAACTGAAGGTTGGCAACGTCGTGAGGACTGACAATGCCGTCGAAGATGTCTAAGATGTGTGATGGTATACTCTCTGCCTCGTGAAGCAGCTCGTCATACTTGATGAAACTATCGTCATCACCACGAATAAGACAAACTGTCTTCAGATCTGGCAAAACTGTGTGCAGCTCCTCGTCCTTTAATCGTTCAAGAAGGGGTCGGTTATCGAAGCGTGCGATCGTCGGCGTGGTGAATAGTACGCTACATCCTGTGATTGTCAGCATTGTTGCATCGAGGGAGTTCGAATCAGATCAACTGACTTGTGTGCTTCAAGGCATATTCCATCTCTGTAGCCGTGTACGTGTTGTTGAGCGTGACGCATATCGCACCAAGTCGCACACATGCAAAGAAGACGGCAATGTACTTCTCACAGTTTCCGCTCATGATGCCTATCCTGTCTCTCGGACGTACACCATATTTCAACAAGGCTCGTGCAAGCAAGCTTGATTCTTCCCAGAGCCTCTTGTATGTCCACCGTGCGCCCGTCCATGGTATCACAATAGCCTCGTTATCGGCATAGCGTTCGGTTTGTTGAGAAAGGAGTTGCGAAAGTGTCAATTGTAGGAGTGGAGGATCGAGGGGTCCAGCAACAATTGAGAGGTTTGGATATGGTGGCAGGATATATGGATCGATTTGTAGAAGAGTTTGGTTTAGTCGTTGGAGTGCATCATTCCGGGACTGATCGTGGATCTGCGCCATTGTTGCTACTTTGTTCTTGATCTACCATACACTTCGAGACTTCGCAGCAGAAATAGGCCGCTGGGATATCAAAAGAGCTTGAGGAGAATCTGAAATGATGGGGGTGAAGTACCCGCTCAGGTAGTGGAAAGCAAATACACAGAATGATAGTGAAGCAATGGTATACAGTAGAGTCCAGAGGCTATCAAAGAGCTGGCGCTGGGAGCTTGGGGTACCGATCTTCGCCATGTTCAGTGGGGACTGGAACGAAAGCTTTTCGCTGATGCCTCGGATCTAATACGTGCGTCAGGGAAAATGCTTTTCGTGCCATTCTGGCACTCCGCGGTGGTGGCGGTACGTAGGCCGCGTCGCTTTCGTGCCTTTGCGCCAACTGCATAGGTAGCATCATCCTAGGCCACCCCATGTCCGTCATTACTACATTGGGTGACAGCACCGATTATCAGATGCCGTAGTGTGAACCAGGTACTTGTAGGCGTGATCTTCGAGATTTTTCCCTCGCCGAGGAAGGATCATCGCGTCGAGTGGTGGGCGACGGGCGACGGCCGATGACCGCATTGCACGGTCGTACCCCGGCTGCGCTAAGCATAGAGCGGACATCAATCTCATCTGATAAGATGAAGGATCTTTAGAGCCTTGCGGCATCGGTGAGCTGTCTCATAAAGTCGTTTACAGTATGGCGCAGCAAATTTTTTATCAGATGGTGGAGGAAGACTAAAGTGGCTTGACGGAATGGGAAGGATGCGGGATGCACCGTACGAGGGTTGTTTGCTGAGCGGAAGGAACTCACACTAACGTAGCCATCTACTAAGCTTTAGTCATTACTTCAGCATTCTGAATTGGCACTGTAATTCAGTTTCCAGTGTGTGACCACATCAGCAACTGGACGGGCTATGGAACCAGGTGGAAAACCACTTAGTAACAGGTGCGTTTTGAAATCTAAATGGCCTACTTCCACCTTGGTCATGGTCGGAGTCTGCCGATTGCAGTTCTAACTGGAAACGGCATTAATTTCGAAGCGAGTGAATAGAATACTGCATGGCTCAAATTGGTTGCAAAACACTGCTATTGACGGCCCGTCAGCCTTCTACTCGACGCAGCTACCTTGCGCCAGAGTTATCAGATGGCCTTTGAGCGGGGATGCCTCATCAGCTGCTGGTCATAGCGGGGTGGGTTGCATCTGATAATTTTTCTCCAAATTAATCTAACCGGTTCCACAATGCCGAATTGTGCCAGTTGACGCTCATCCTGGTACCGGTTACACACGAGCTGCATGGCCGTTGACGTGTTGCATCCACAGCGGCCAAGACGCAAGCTTATTCAGGCCCTGCATGGACCAGTGCTTTACGAACGCCTCGTACGTTCGCTCGGCGTCATGGACACGAATGGCAGGCTTGGATCTGATTAAAAAATTTGCTTGTTGACGCCCTCACGGCCGCAGCTCAGTTAAGGTTATCTGATCCGCGCCCTGCATATACTCGGCGCGGCTAAGGCACACTTGAGACCGCCATTGGCTGAAATAACACAGCGCCAGGTTAGGTTATGACGTGCTCTTTCCGTTGCTAGGCACGATGAGGTCAAATTTGTGTACATTCTGCTTACGTGTGTTACGTGAAGAAAACTGTATATTGCCGCATTCTGTTTGACTGTAGTTCACACGAGAATGTCGACTCAAGACAATGTAGTGATTCGAGGTTCTGAAGGCATGAACCAATAGATCATAAATTCATGTGTGATTCAATGCTGAAATGCTATTAAAATTATAATCAGACAACGTCTACAGTTTAGCCAACGCATCCAAGCTTGGTCGGACCTTCTTCTCACCGTCCCATACAAACGGACTCAGCGTGAAGAATTTCTCTCTGTTTACCATCATGAGCGCACTTCGCTTGTGTGGCAGGTCCATGAGCTTCTCAACATGGAAACCGTGAGCGAAATCATACGCCAACACAGTGCTGCTAGTAGCCGCTGGCTCGCCGACGAGGTTCCATGTGCGCGGCTCATCAAGGAACATGTAGTGCATTAGTCCAGACCACCATGCAGACACTCGGTACGGGCCTCTAAACCGGATGTCGCCGACGAGTGAGTGTCTCCCACGGTCGTAAAGATCCGATCGGTAGTGGGCACCCATGTGATCTTCCTGTTCGATGCATTAGATCGTGTAACTTATTCAATGATGGTTGAGATCGACATACCATAGCCCAGTACACTTCAAAATAAGCGAAGAGCACGTCGTCAAATGCCGCGAACATGGTCAGGACGTGGGGATCTTCATGCAGCTTCCGCAAGTACTCCCGGTGTTGATCCAATGTGCCGGTCTCGTTCCAGCCGGCAGCAACACGTGGGTCATTTTGCCACTTGTTAAACAAAGCAAGATGCTCAGGGTTGGTGTAGTCAACAGCCATCATGGTGAAGTGCTCCTTCAGATGAGGTATCCATCTGCTGTAAATGACAGAACCAGGCTCTGGCTTTGGTTCTCTTACAGGATGCATCGTGTGCCGCGGTAGGGCTGGGAACTGTGTAGATGGTGCAGTCTGATGCGGGAAAGCTGGGTAGTTCTGAATGGCTGGCTTCCCGGATGCGTCTAACCGTGGTGCCCAGACGGGACGAGGACCAAATGGTGACGCAGCACCTTGCCAGAAAGCGCCGCGCAGGAGAAGATGGCCATCCTGTGGTGCAGATGCATCAGAAGGCTTTGGGTGTGGATGGAACAAGCCCGTAGAGTAGAGTTCTTGAACGAGTGACTGCGAATCTCTGCCAGTAAAGAGCACGCGAAGGCTCTCAACAAGCGGGTTCAGTGAGACCAGCGCATACGCGACAAGCCACAGCTGTGGCACACTGGGTCGTTCCCCGGTCCAAGAGACCGTTAGGTAAGGGGATCTGCGTGCTCGTGCCCAGGAGCTGTTATCACCCTTGGGAGGTGCTACATCCTGAGGCAAGAATGCAATGTCGCTGAATGAGATGGATGCGTTATCCAGTTGACTGGGTGGTGAGATTCCTTCGCTGCTGCTGTCTGCCCTAGAGAGCGCGATTTGGTTGCTGACAGCCTGGCCCTGCTGTGCCACAGGTTTGACGGTGTAGGCTGTCAGGTACGGGTGGGGAAGCTTCAGCATGAGAGGGTCTGCGACATCATTCGATGTCTGGGCTTGCTGCGCCATTGTGTTCAATAGAATGCAAAGGAGAGGTAGGAGTCTGGCAATACTACGACGCAATCGAGACAGCTACAGTTTGATGTTTGAAAGCAGTGATGGCATCGCTTGACGGAAGCCGAGGTCTGAAAAGGCCTTAAACCGCGCCTTTTCGTGGCTATTAAACAGTGTTAGCCATGTATTTTACCAGACCGGGAGGTGGGAAGGGACCCCGGTGTGGTGGAAAGCTCCGAGTGGGTTCTCTGTGCGCGCCATGCGGGTGCTAAACTAGCTGACCACCTTTTGAGATGCCGCCCCACGTCGCCCGAGGCTGGCATCTGAAGACGCTAAAATTTTGGTGACATGTTGTTAGCGAAACAGCTGAGCGGTAGAGCCTGTGTATTGGGCCGGTGTGCAAGCTCATGCAGTAATCGGGCATCGAACTGTTGCGATCGTGCCACCACTTTTTCGAGACGGCTGCTAGCTCCTGAAGTACATTTCACCTGCATCGTCTCCAGGTATTGCACACTTTCAAGGGCTTCATTCTGCAACCATACGTCTGCGTCATGTCAACCACTCAGCAAACCTCCAGGCCACTGGATGGCACATCCAACTCATCTTCTTCGCCTCTTTACGATCTCGTCTGTGTCGGCTTTGGTGCTGCTCAACTTGCAACTGCCATTGCCAACCGTGAAGCACGTACCGACTCTAAAGTACTCTTCCTGGAGCGCAAGCCTTCATTCTCATGGCATTCGGGAACACACCTGTCTAGGGCACGCATGGAAGTTCCTTTCCTCTACGATCTGGCATCCCTTCGCAACCCAAAATCGGCTTTCAGCTACTCCTGCTATTTGCTTGCTAAGGACCGTCTGGTCGAGTTCGCCAACTCTGATCGACTGAACCCTCTGCGCGACGAGTTCGAAGACTACCTGAAGTGGTGCGCAGAACAGTTCAGCGACCAGGTCCGATATGGTAGCGAAGTCGTTGGTGTAGCCCCAGAGACTGAGAACAACACTGTACGAAGCTGGAAAATTGCTGTAAAGGATGGCAACGGCAAAACATACATCGTCCGGGCAAAGAACGTCGCCGCTCCTACACCAGGAAAGCACATCAGCGCGAAGGAAGAGTCGTTGACCAGCGTCAACTTCCTTGCTGGACAGCGCATTATGCCCATGGCCGACTACCTATCGCGGAGAAACGAGCTTCGCCAGCCGTTCGAGCCGCGACTGAATATCGCGATTGTTGGCTCAAGCCAACAGACAATCGAGATCTTGGACGACCTGCTTTCGTGTCCCCGCCTCGGCAACGTCACAGTCGTAACGGAGAACGAAGACCTTGCACCATTGAAGGTCCTTGGTGAACAAGAGCCACCTCAGCCACGACTGTGCTCCATCTGGTCTAAGCCGTCTTGCGACTCAAAGGCGGTAACGGATGCGTCTGAACTCGTCCAGGCCATCTACATGCGAGCATACGAGAAGCAGGTGCAGAGCAAGGGCGAATATACATTCCGCCTCGCCATTGGCAAGGATGCTTCTGAGCCATGCTCCAAAGCCGACGTCATAATCAGGGACACATCTGCAGCTCCTTTCTCCAGCAGCGGCCTCTTGCAGAGTCTCAACACGCTCGTACTCGGCTGCCATCAGCTTGGCGAGAGCTTCGAAGAGGTGCAGTTCAAGCGCGGCGCCGTTGCTGATGCTCGTATGTGGTTGATGTCGGCGAACTCAGAGGGTGGCCGCTCATTGGCAAAGGATATTTCACTACGGGCCGGTGAGGTAGTAAGCGCTCTGTCGTCACCACCTGCAGGTAGACGGGATGGGCTGGTCCAGGCTAGAATTTAGACGGTGTTCTCATTGGGAAGGTGCAAAGCGGGGCGTTTGTTACATAATAAGCAAATTTTTATCTGATCCTGTCTAAATCTGATTAACTCGCCCAATCTCCGGCATCGCTCCGAGCGACACGTCCGCTCTCTCCACCACTCAGCGCCACCCACGACGGACCCAACATCCACTCTGCATGTTTTCACGCGAGGCTATACCCGTTGACGTTATGCACATGCCCGCCCACTACGTCGATCGCAGCCATCGCGGCTTGGACGGGGCACAGCACCCTTGTAGTCCCCCTGTAGACGTGTCTGGAAAACTTCATCCCTTCGCGACGTTGAGTGAGCCTCCAACATCAGAGTTCGACCTGGTTTCGTGAGCACGATGGCGATCAAGAAGCCATCCCTTACGCCGTATCTGGCCTTTTTCAGACTCCTCTTCTACGCAGATCCAACCTGGCTTGACAAGCTTCTCGTCGCTACCGGAGCTGTATTTGCCATTGCAGCTGGTGTGCCGTTTCCGCTTATTGGTATCGTTTTCGGCCAACTTGTCGACGACATTAACGATGCAACTTGCAGCAACCGTGAAGGCGCGGGGGCCAATGGGGACATGTCATCGATAAACGAGAAAGTCCTCCTCCTTGTGTACATCGCGATTGCGAGTTTCGCCTGTATCTACATTCACCTGGTGTGCTGGAACATAGCGTCACAACGGCTAGCACAACGTATCCGAGACCGTTATCTCCGGAATCTCCTACGACAGGATCTCGCCTTTTTCGACAATCTTCAATCAGGAGAAGTGTCCTCTCGTCTCAATGGCGATATTTCCGCCATCGAAGGTGGCACAGGAGAGAAGGTTGGCGTCGCCTTGACTTGTCTTTCGTTCTGCGTGACAGCATACATTGTTGGTTTCATCAAGAATGCTGAGCTTGCGGGGATGCTTGTTTCTTTGATCCCTGCTTTCCTTCTCATGGCAGTGATCGGCGGACGCTACGTTGGTAAATACACAGTCAGCCTTGGAGGATACTTTGGATCAGCCAGCGCACTCGCGTCTGAGGCGTTGAGCAACATTGGTCTCGTCCACGCCCTCGGTGCTAATGAGAGACTGGAGAAGAAGTTCCGCGACCACCTGGGTAATGCTCGCCATGCTGGTATTCGCAAAGCTATCGCTGCAGCTGCAATGGCAGGGATGCTATACTTCATTGCCTTCTCGGCCAGTGCGCTTGGATACTGGCAGGGTAGTAAAAGGATTGCCGACACTGTTGACGGCAGGGGTAACGACACGATCGGAGAGATCTACACCGTCACCTTCATTCTACTTGATGGTTCGTACTTCGCTTGACGCACGTAGAGCTTCTACTAACCTTTCTTTAGGTGCCATTGTTCTTAGTCAAATTGCACCCATGCTTCCGCTCTTTGGAGGTGCCATCAGCGCATTTGACCGACTGCGCAAGGACATCGAGACTGAACCTACCATTGACAACACCTCAACATCTGCCGAGAAGCCTGATACCGTTGATGGCCAACTCGCTTTCCGCAACGTCGAGTTCACTTACCCTTCGAGGCCGGATCACCCTGTTCTGAATGGTATTTCCATTGATTGCGAGGCTGGTAAGCTCACTGCTATCGTCGGTTTGTCTGGCAGTGGTAAGTCAACGATTGCCAGTCTCATCAGCCGCTTCTACGACCCATTGGCCGGCGATGTCCTCCTTGACGGGCGCAACATCAAGGACATAAACGTCAAATCTTTGCGAGGATTCATCAGTCTTGTTCCCCAAGAACCGTCTCTCTTGGACAGGTCAATTCTGGAGAATATTGCACTTGGGCTCGTCAACTCGCCTGCTCACTCTCGCTTCGAAAAGGTGCTCCTCAGCAACACCTTGGCCGACCTCACTCAGGATGTCCGAAACGGGGAAGACCTTGGCAAGGCCGCCGAGAAAGCTGGGCCCGAGGTAGCTGAGATTCTGCGTCTTGTGCAGCACGCAGCAGACTTGGCCGACGTCGCCGTCTTCATTGATCGTCTGGAATTTGGCTTTGCGACACTCGTGGGTTCAAGTGGAAGTCTCGTCAGCGGTGGCCAAAAGCAGAGAGTTGCTCTTGCCCGTGCTCTTGTCCGCGATCCAAAAATCCTCATCCTCGACGAGGCTACCGCCGCCCTCGATTCGGCCAGTGAGCAGCGTATTCAAGCTGCTATCGATCGCGCATCGCAGGGTCGAACTGTCATTTCAATCGCTCATCGTCTGTCGACCATCCGCAATGCTTCCAAGATCATTGTCATGAAGAAGGGCGATATCATTGAGCAAGGTACACACGATGAACTTTTGGCATTGGACGGCTCCTATGCAGACATGATCCGTCTGCAAACCGTGAAGGTATCCGAGGATGGCGCTTCAAGCTCAAGAACAAGCCTGGACTATGATGATGAGATCGACATTGCCAAGAACGAGCACTCGACTTCGACTGTTGCCGACACAGACGCACTTCCCGAAAAGGCGGCTGCGGAACCAGAGCCATTGAAGGGGGCTAACGGCGAGATCGTTGCCAGGTCAATCTCAAAAACGATGGGGCCTATGATCCGACCGTACCTGCTTCTACTCCTACTGGCTTTCTTGGGTGCTCTTGTCGTCGGCGGACAGTACACAGCATCCGGAATGCTGTTCGGTAATGTTATGGGTGTTATGTCGCCTTGCAACCCATCGGACTATATTAGATCACAAGGTGCACTGCTTGCGGGCATGTGGTTCATGGTCGCATGCGTCGCCTTCCTGGCCAATTTCACGAGCTGGGCCACCTTCGGCCTTATTTCTGAACGTCTGATCTACAAGGTACGCGTTTTGTCAATGCGCTCTCTCCTGCAGCAACCCCTGCAATGGCATGAGTCCGAAGGCAGGAACCCCAACCAACTCTTGGAGTACATCACAAAAGACGGAAACTCATTAGCCGGGTTCAGTGGCTCTATTGTCGGCACCCTGTTCTCAGTTGTTGTCAACTTCATTGCGGCTATCATCCTTTCTCATATCGTCGCATGGAGAATCGCCGTTGTATGCTTGGTCATTGTTCCGTTACTGCTCGGAGCCGGCTACATGCAGCTTCGGGCGATCGGCAAGTTTGCCGTGAAGCATGCAGGCGCGTTCTCGTCGTCCATCGGAGTCACAATCGAGGCTGTGGCAAACATCCGTACTGTTCATGCTCTGTCGATTGAGGAAGAAATCATCCAGACCTACCGCAGATCTCTTGTGGCGCCTCGCAAAGAGATGGTGAAGCAGAGCTTCAAAACCAACATATGGCTCGCTGTTGCCAATTCCTGCGGCAGCTTCATTTACGCTTTCGCGTACTGGTGGGGCTCTAAGAACATCATCGAGGGCCGTTACGACCAGACCGCTTTCTTCATCATTCTCATATCTATGCTCCTCTCGGCACAGTTATGGGGCCAGCTTTTCACCCTTGCTCCCGAGCTCTCCAAAGCCAAGGCTGCTATCTCGCGTATCTGCGGAGTGGTGGATCTTGGTGACGATCCTTCAGGCGCTGCGTCTAGCGGATCGTCCCTGGATCTTGATTCCGTTGACAAGGAGAAGCGCGATATCGAGGCGCTTGCTGACCCACACACACCTGCCGTTGTCGGCGGTGGCGCCCGCGTGGTATTCAAGGATGTGCAATTCTCCTACCCTGCCCGTCCCAGTGTGCCGGTACTGACATCGTTGTCACTTTCCATCCAGCCAGGTCAGTTCTGTGCTCTTGTTGGACCCTCGGGTGCAGGTAAGAGCACAGTTCTTGCCCTGCTTGAGCGTTTCTACTCGCCCTCTGCTGGAAGCATATCCATAAACGGCATGGACATCTCACGCCATCATGGTACATCGTTCCGCGACGATATCGCATATGTACCACAGAATAACGTCCTATTCCAAGGCAGCATCAAGTTCAACATTGCTTTGGGCGCTCGACCTGGTCACGAGCCTTCTGATGCAGAGATTCAGGAGGCTTGTGAGCTGGCCAACATCCACCAGACCATTGTAGAATTACCACAAGGATACGACACCGAATGCGGTGCCAATGGGTCGCAACTGTCCGGCGGACAACGTCAGCGACTGTCGATCGCGCGTGCGCTCGTTCGCAAGCCCAAATTGCTTCTTCTCGATGAGAGCACCAGTGCTCTTGACGCAGAGAGCGAGAAGGCTTTAGAACTCGGTCTAGAGCGTGCTGTCAAGGGTCAAGGTGTTACCGTTATTGCGATTGCGCATCGACTACGAACCATCGCCCGAGCCGATGTCATCTTCATGGTGGAAGGGGGTAAAGTGGTTGACCAAGGTCGACATGAAGACCTTGTGCAGAGAAGCGAGAGCTATCGCGTCAACGCTCTCCACCAAATGCTGGGTTAGCATTTCGACACTCCCTTGGTGTACGATACATGATATCATTTAATAGACACGTAATAAGCATTTGCATCTGATAGACATATGAGTATGAGTATTTCTATTTGGTCCTTTTAAGCAAGCTGAACAGCAGCCGGCAGTATCGACTTCTGGCCTTCTGGAATCCAAACCAAGAGCGGGATCTCCTGGTCTTCCTCGTCGCTGCTTGAATCTGGCCACAGATCATTCAACTTGTGAACAGGGCGTTCCTTCAGCCATCGGAAGCCTGTCTTCTCATACAGCCTGATAGCATCCTTGGAGCTCTCAACGTAGATCGGAAGATTGGCTTGTACCGCGATCTTCTTGCCATACTCCACTAGCAGTTCACCGACACCCTTCCGTTGAGAGTCGGGATGAACAGCGAGCACGTGGCAGTACAAGTAACGCTCCTTGCTCCACAACTTCTCTCGGGCGCCCCATAGTGGACCGATCAGTGCCTCAGCCCGCTGTCTTTCCTTTCCTGACAACCACCCTATTTCGCCCTTCTCCCAATCACTGGGAGTAATGTAAACGTCCCATAAGGCCATACCCACAATCTTACCGGTCTCTGCATCTACACATTTCAGTGTGTGTTGCGTGAGGTTGTTCTGCATGTACTGTAGAGTGTGTGCAGTGTGCCCTTTACTGTCCATGCGTTAGCAAAACCACTCAAAGCACCGTGTTTCCATGCAGAGCGCATGGTGCGTTACAAGGGACTTGGCGATTGCATACCGGAACTCAGACTCCGGATCCGTCAAGTCCTCCGCTGTGGCTGAAGGAAACAGTGCCCGCGTGATTGCGTTGTCCTTGAAGGCCGCAAAGTACACATCGTAAACGGCGCTGATGTCTGCCGGTAGGGCGGGTAGCACGACAAACCCCATTGTGAATGCTCAAACTAGTAACGCGTGTAAGCCGCAGACCCTCATCAGGGTCAATGCAATGCACCTACAGGTGGCTTGACTTGGATCAGGGCCGCGTTTTCGTGAAAGCCGCAAGTGGGAAGATGTTACGAGATCTGATCCACACTATTTCGTACTAGGAAGCTGAGTCTGGACTGTGACAGATGATGGAGGGAGAACCGGGTGGCGTTGACTGTTAGATGAATTTGCTCACATGCAAAAAGGTGACGGTACGAGACGGCTCATGAGATGCATCATAGTTAAGAGAGTTTTTTGTTTAAAATGGTGGGCCAATACCAAGAAGTCCAAGAATTTCCCAAGCAATTGCGAGGGCACAGTGACAGCTGCGAGACGACTGGGTGTTGAGATCCTCGTGGGTTTCGTCACCACCAGGCTAGAGTCCAGGGTTGCTGTGGAGCAGACATGGAGTGGTCCATCACCAGTCAAGCCTAGCGCAGGACAATCCCACACATGTCGAAACCCGGCTTCTCTCACGGCGGCGAGCACGCCACAGACATCAAGTGCACACCTAGGCACCGTTTGGCGCTGTGCCTCTTCCTGACGTGCGAGGCCAAGCTCAGATCCGCTGCAAGCGAAAAGCCCATCCGTCACCTCAGGGTCCTCGCACAGATGAGAGCCTTCAACAAGGATAATGCGGTGAATTAATTTGATCATATGCCGCGGTCCGCAATCGGTGTGGTGTGAGGCCTTTGCTGCGAGATGCACGAGCATGTGGCATGCAGATTTTCGCAGCACGACATCCTCGGCCTTCTGTCTAACCCGAGAACACTTCGTTGATCGATGAAGCAGGTCCCAAGCGATGCAAATTGTGTCGATCGGCTGGAAACCGAAACGTCCAAGCTGATCTGGCTCCTCCGAACGTCGGCCGTTATCAGATGGAAGCGGATCTGCAGCCCGCCGATGTCACGCTGCATGACGCGCAGTTAGCGGCTACCCCAACAGGCAGCTCCGTGCCTTGCACCACAACCATGATTATCAGATGCAGCTACTGACAAGCCCTCCCACACAAATTTTATCTGATCCGCTAAAAGTGGGGTCCAAGGGCGCCGGGCATCGCAGTTTTTGTTACCGCTAAACAGGGGTAATGGACTAAATTGATCGAATGTCACTTAGTGACTTTGACATTTACGTTAGCAAATCGAGATGTATGGCGAGACGGCGGGATTTTGGGTTCGCTGCGACAGTCACGAAGATGACGCGGGCGGCTGCTGTCCTAGCAAGACCTTAGCCGTGCAGCGCACCGGACCTACATCCTAGTTTCAGGTGTGGGGAGCTCGGTTTTCCTTGTAGCAATGGAGACTTGGTGGAGTTTTCGGTCTCTTCAACTCTTTGTCAAGCTTGGCCTACTGTATGAAGACTTTAGATCGAATCGTTGGCACAAAAAGAACCTCATCCCTCCCCGTCTTTTCCTCCACGATTCACAAAATTACAACTCAAAAGCAGGATTCATTGATTCGTAAAGATGCATCTTGCAAATGGTGAACAGACTGTGCGCTACGGTGGGGTAGCACAAGAGAAGACTGAGGTGAAGGTCAACAACAATGGCACCATGGACATAAATGAAAACCGCTCGCACACCAACGGGCGTACACAGACAAACGACAATGACGTCGAATCTAATCAAATTGATCTCACATCTCTCAAAGATCAACCTTTGGATGCAGCACTGGATGCCATCCTCACAGCATGGACTGTCCTCGTGCAAAGATACCAAAGAGATGTATTCCACCAGTTCTCTTGGGGAGTCAAAGGCGCCGGTTCCGACAAGCGCCAATGTGTAGCGACTGCAGATCTGGATCTGCTTAATCACACAAATGCTGCAAGTCTGGCTGCAAAGATCCGCGATGTGCGGTTGAAAGATCTCGCACTGGACGGAGTCTCAATCTTCTTGAATGACGGCACCAAAGACGAGGTAAGGTAGTTCCGCAATTCACACCTCAAACGCTGACAGAAAGCAGTGGACCTTTGAATTGTCAATTGATTTCGGGAAGAGCCCGTTTCAAGCGACATCACAGTGGCTGCCACCAAATATGTCACGACACCAGGCTGTTGCTGAGCTACAGTTCTTCTCTTCTATCATTGATACCCTTTCTCGCGCACCTGATACCCCCATTTCCAACTTCCTTGCTATTTCAGAGTCAGAGCTCGACGAGATCTGGAACTGGAACAGCCCGTTACCGGCAGACCTGCAAACATGCATGCACGAACTGGTCGCAGAGCAAGCCGAGAAGCAGCCTGACAAGAACGCAATTGAAGCTTGGGACGGAAGCCTGACTTACAAGCAAATCGACGACTACTCGACACATCTTGCGCAAATCTTGCGATCGCTGGATGACTCGCCAAACCAAATCATCCCAGTGCTCTTCGAGAAATGCCGCTGGACAATCGTTGCCGTACTTGCGATTATGAAGGCAGGCGCATGCTTCTCACTACTGGATCCTGCTCAGCCAGAAGGCCGCCTACGAACGGTCGTGCAACAAGTCAGTGCGACCACCTTCATTGCCTCAAAGTCACAAGCCTCGCTCGCTGCGCGAATTGCTCCTCAGGCCACTATCATTCCGGTTTCTGCATCGAAGTTCGAAAAGGTCTACGGGCCGTATGCTGAACAGCAGCCCAAGACGACTCTGCCAAAAGTCTCTCCATCAGCAGCTCTCTACATTCAGTTCACCAGTGGCAGCACCGGCCTTCCCAAGGGATGCTTGATTTCGCACAGTCAATACACGTCTGGTGCGATACCGCGAGCATTCGCTGTTGGCTACCGCCCACACTCTCGAGTTCTCGACTTCGCCAGTTACGCATTCGATGTATGCATTGACTCTATGCTCTGCACGACCGCGCACGGTGGCACTCTATGCACACCATCTGATGAGCGTCGAATGAATGATCTCAGTGGAGCCATGCGCGATATGAGGGTGACCTTAGCCGGTATGACACCTTCTGTGGCCCGCACACTTGATGTGGACATCCTGGATCACCTCGACTCTATTGCCCTTGGAGGTGAGGGTACTTCGGCAAGCGATGCCGCCTCATGGGGTAAGAGGACGAGAATCGTGAACGCCTATGGTCCTTCAGAGTGCACTGTCGGCGCCACGATCAATGGCGATGTTGGAGCTAAGCCGTACATCACCATGGGCACGGGCACAGGCGCTGCGATCTGGCTCGCTGATCCAGAGGATCACAACAAGCTTGTCCCAGTCGGTGCGGCTGGCGAGCTGCTCATTGAAGGGCCCATCGTTGGTATGGGTTATCTCAACAACCCAGCGAAGACCGCGGAAGTTTTCATTGAGGACCCCGATTTCCTTACTAAGGGCAGCAAGGGTTTCCCTGGCAGGAGAGGTAAACTCTACAAGACTGGCGATCTCGTTCGATACGACCCTGATGGCTATGGTGAAGTCATTTTCGTCGGTCGCCAAGATCAGCAGGTCAAGCTCCGCGGACAACGTATTGAGCTTGCAGAGATTGAGTACAACATGCAAAAGCACCTTCCCGCTGATACGCAACTTGCTGTCGAGGTCATCAAGCCCGGTGGCACTGGCGAGCAAACTCTCGTCGCATTCCTCGTTGAGCAGAGGAAGAGTGGCATGCGCCATCTCGACGGGCAAGTCTTCGGCAGTTTCTCCAACAAGTTCCAGACGGCCCTCCAGGAGATGACCAAGCACCTCTTCAACGATCTCCCCAGCTACATGGTGCCGAGTGCGTACATCCCTCTATGGAAGATGCCTCTGCTTGTCTCCTGCAAGACCGACAGGAAGAGGCTCCGCGAGATCGGCAACGGAGTCACCCGACAGGATCTCAGACGCTTCAATGCTCTTCTGTCTGAGAAGAAGGAGCCCACCACCGAGATGGAGCTCAAGCTAATCCCCGTGTGGGCCAAGATCCTGGGTGGTGATGCAGACTTCAGCGCCAACGATAATTTCTTCAGCATGGGCGGCGATTCGCTGAGAGCGATGAGACTGGTTCCTGCCGCGCGAGAGGCAGGTGTCGTCCTGACAGTTCCAGACATCATGTTGAACCCTACTCTGTCCGCCATGGCTGCCAAAGCCAGGCCTGTGTCTGAAGAGGACACAAGCGAAGTCCTTCCGTTCTCAATGGTTGGTGAGGACTGGGGTGCGGAGAAGTCCAAGACCGAGACTGCTGAGCTTTGCGCTGTTGATGCCGCGAATATCGAAGACGTTTATCCCTGCACCCCTCTGCAAGAAGGTCTGATGGCGCTGTCGGCTAAGTTCCAAGATGCTTATGTCGCTCAGCGTGTCGCAGACCTTCCTGTCGACATAGCCAACCGCCTGAAGAAGGCTTTCGACCAGGCTGTTACAGACTGCCCGATCCTGCGTACTCGTGTTGTCAACGTCCCTGGACGCGGCCTGTTCCAGGCTGTTCTCAAAGACGGTCAGCTTGTGCGCGAGCACGGCTCGAACCTCGCAGAGTATCTCAAGGTCGATCAAGCCGAGACTATGGACCTCGGCAAGGCGCTCTTCCGTTATGGTGTTGTTCACGACGGGAGCAGCGACAAAGCTCACTTCATCATCACCATGCATCACGCCGTGTATGACGGCTGGTCCATGCCTTTGGTGTTTGATCGCATCAACCAAGCCTTCGTCGGCACTGAAATAAAACGATCTGCGACGTTCAAAAACTTCATCAAGTACCTCACCAGTCAAGACCCTACCGTTTCCAACGACTACTGGAAGGAGCGCCTGAACGGTGCCAGTCCCCATCAGTTCCCGCCCCTGCCACAGAAGGGGTACATCACACGTGCCGACTCGTTGCTCGAACATTATGTCACGGTTCCAACAACGGCACACAGCAAGCTTACCCTCGCGACCATCATTCGTGGCGCGTGGGCACTGACGTCCTCGCTCTACATGGGACACCCAGACATCATCTTCGGCGAGACCCTCACTGGACGCTCCGCACCCGTCAGTGGCATCGAGGAGATCGAAGGCCCCATGATCACCACCATCCCGGTGCGCGTGCGCCTGAACTTGGATCGCCCTATTGCCGAGTTCCTGCAGCAGGTGCACGGCCAGACCGTCCAGCAAATCCCTCACGAGCATCTGGGTCTGCAGAACATCCGCCGCGTGAGCAAGGACGCGCGCCATGCTTGTGAGCTGCGCACTGGTCTTGTTCTTCACCCCAAGGAAGACGAGAACTGGAACGAAGGGAGGACTCTTGAAAACGCTCCAGGTGATGCGTTCCTACCGGCTGATGACGCTGAGGCAGCGAGGGAGGCGTTGAAGTTCAACACCTACGCGCTCATGCTTGTCTGCACGCTCGACGAGAACGGTTTCTTGGTCATGGCCAGCTTCGATTCCAAGTGCATTACCACCCCGGCCATGGAGCGGGCACTTTGCGTCTTCAACCGTATCGTTACTGCTTTCCTCGGCAACCCCGAGAGCAAGCTCGGCGACATCGCCGTTCTGGATCCTGAGGAAATGCAGGATGCGCTTCAACTCAGGCCGAATGATGTCATGACCGACAGCGGTATTGATATGCTATCGCCACCAGTCACTGGCAATGGTGATGTTAAGGCGCGCTCTGCCAACGAAGAGAAGCTCTGTGGTCTCTTGGGCCGCATTCTCGGTATGCCAGAGACAGATATCAACCCCAGTGACAGCTTCTTCGAGCTGGGTGGCGACTCAATCGGAGCGATGAGGCTCGTGTCCGAGTCCAGACTGCAAGGTTTGAACATCTCAGTGGCACAGATCTTCCAGAGCAAGTCTTTGTCAGAGCTTGCTTCGAGCATTGGCAACGAGAAGGAGGATAAGCTCGTGGATGTACTTGCTCGCATTTTGGGTATGCCCAAGAGCGACATCAGCCCAAGTGACAGCTTTTTCGAGCTTGGTGGCGACTCAATCGGCGCCATGCGTCTTGTGTCGGATGCACGAACCCAAGGGCTCACTATCAGCGTGGCCCAAGTCTTCCAGAGCAAGTCTTTGTCTGAACTGGCTTCTCTGGCGCAGGAGACTTCGTCTGGCGAGCCTGAAGCAAATGTGGACGCTCCTTATGCCGCTCTCGGTGCTGATGCCGGCCTCTTCAGCGCTGATCGCATGATCTCCTACGTGGAGAACCCTGAGTGGGACATCGTAGATGTTTACCCTACTCGACCTTTGCAGCAGCTCGCCGTGGAGGGTACTGTGGCCCTGCCGCGCTACTCTCTTCGTTACGAGTTGATCAAGTTCGCGATGGACATCGACAAGAAGAAGCTGGAACAAGCTTGCCAGGAGCTTGTCTCTCGCAACGAAGTTTTGCGTACTGTCTTTGTCGTTGACGAAGGCAAGACGCTGGGCCTGGTAATCCGAGAACTCAGGGTGCCGTACAGCGAGGTTACAGTTCCCGAAGGCGAGGATATCGACACTTTTGTACACAGCCATATCCGAGAAGACATCCAGGCACCCAAACCACACGGATCCTCCTTCGTTGGCTTTACGCTCTATACCTCTTCGTCAACGGGCGCTTCTACCCTGGCGTTCCGCATTTCTCATGCTCAGTACGACGAGATCTGTCTCCCTCTCCTCTTTGACCAGCTCTCCGCTCTCTACGCTGGGACCGAAGTTGTTGAGACATTGCCTTTCACCAAGCACGTAAACCACGTCGTCCTGAACAACATTCCGAAGAGCACTCCCTACTGGCAATCCCTCCTTGCTGGCTCACAGATGTCCGTCCTGAAGCCCGACATCCCTCTCGAGGCGAAGAAGATGGCAGACATCTACCTCGAGTTCGACATCTCCTCGCGACCCAAGGACATTACCATCGGCTCGCTCCCCACTGCCGCGTGGTCCATTGTGCTCGCCAACCGTCTCAACAAGCGCGATGTCGTCTTCGGCGAGGTTGTCACGGGCCGCAACCTCGGCGCTCAAAGTGCTGACCGCATCTTCGGACCCACGTGGCAGTACATCCCCTTCCGTGTGCCGTTCAAGGCTACCTGGACGCATCTTGATCTCCTCAACTTCGTCCAGGCCCAGCACATCGAGTCTGCCGCGTACGAAGGCATGGGCCTAGCCGAGATCGTCGAGAACTGCACAGACTGGGACGCTAAGGAGGTGACCTGGTTTGATACTGTTGTGCACCAGGCGCCTGCTTGGGTTGAGGAACTGCCATTCGGACACGGAGTCGAGGCGAAGTTCGAGACTGTGTACCCGCATGCTGAGCCTTTGAGGGAGTGGAAGTGCCAGGCGTTTGTCAAGGAGGGTGGCAAGAAGCTGGGCATTGAGATTGTCACGTTCGAGGAGTGGATCCCGGTTGCTCATGATGTTCTCAAGGAGGTCGGACAGGCGCTGGAGGATCTGCAGAAGAAGGCTGGTGAGCCTATCTTTGAAGGTGCTGGTGAGACGAAGCAGCAGTCACTCGAGGACTTCGAGGGCGTGATGTAATGCGTGTTTCGCTGTAGATATAGATTTTCTTGGCATCTAGAGTCCTTACTTGTAGAGTCTAATACCACATGTTTCATAGTGCGTCGTACAGTCCTTGCTTCGTCAATGTTGACACGCTCAGTCGCGTCGCCACGTGCTTGCAGCAAGGTAACAGGAGTTTGTCAACAAGGTCTGTCTCGAGGCTGAGGGCTTCCTGGAATGCGTTAAGATGCTGCTTTGATGTGCTACGCGAACAACAGCAGGCGCCAACGATGTGAGGGAAGCACGACAGCCCTTGCCATGCCTGGCCCGATAGAAGAGCGCCCTAGACGTTGGTGATCCAAATCGCCAACAGCTGAGACCTTTGGTATTCATTTGCCATTGTTACCGTGCAAAGTCCCTTCAAATCACTACACCGCACTGCTTTGCGTTCGGATTCATAGTTTACTGCCAGCGAGCAGCCAGAAACATGATGCAGCTCATCTACAATACCCTCACCTTAACCACTCTTGCATTCGCCCTTCCATCACAAGAGCAGCGGGAATTGATCCACACTCGAGAGATCGGCGCAAACGGAGCCTTGATGGCAGCGGCTCAGTGTGACATCGGCCAGCACTACTGCTTCGGCGCGATTATCGACGACCTCAGTATGTCCCATCCTCAGATCTGCATGTCTCTACCGCACCACCACCACTGACGCCCTGCAGAAGTAGCTAAGCAAGACATCCTACACCAGTATTGCGACCAGAAGTATAAGAACGACTGGCAGAGCTGCAATACGTGCAAGAGGCCGTGGGCGATGCCAGACTGCTGGGACGGCCAGGGCGCGTGGTTGAGTGTGTTCGAGTGTACCGGACCTGAGACGTACAAATGGGTGGGGAGATGCGAGGGTGAGGGATCGATATGCTCAGGAGGCACTTGTCGCAAGACGGAGGTTGACGCAGCTGGGCGGTTGGCTCTGATCGAAAGCTTCAGTCCCTCAGGATTGTGAGGCTTGATTTTAAAGCTGTTACTATGGTTAATTTTAATTCTTGGATGTTCAAGCTGCCGGTGTTCACGATGCTCACGATGCATCAACCTCGAAGATGACGCAGTACCTCATCACGTGACTTGTCGGACTTGGCGCAGTCTGCAGCTTGGAACGCCATCATTGCAGGCGCAGCTATCATCAACCCCCATCTCGCCGCCACGCGCCCCGACTGACCTCGAGACAAGCAAGCCTCCGGAAGACTTGTCTCTCTACCGCCATCATGGCACCGCAACAGGACACCATGTTCCGCTCTGCGGATATGTCCTTGACGCAGCTCTACATCTCCAACGAGATTGGCCGCGAGGTCGTCTCTGCGCTTGGAGAGCTCGGCGTCATGGACTTTAGAGATGTACGCGAAGCAGCTGTGATGTTCGGAGATGTGTGCTGACGATGCCAGCTCAATGCGGAGACGACCGCCTTCCAGCGTACTTTCACGCAGGAGATTCGCCGCCTTGACAACGTGGAGCGTCAGCTGCGCTACTTCCACGCCCAGATGGACAAGTCGAGCATCGCGATGCGCTCCATCTACGATTTCAACAACCCCTTCACGTCGCCGTCCGCCTCGGAGATTGATGAGTTGGCCGACAAGAGCCAGAACCTCGAGCAACGCATCGCTTCCCTCAACGAGAGCTACGAGACGCTGAAGAAGCGCGAGGTGGAACTGACAGAGTGGCGCTGGGTGCTCAGAGAGGCCGGTGGCTTCTTCGACCGGGCCCGCGGCCAGACCGAGGAGATCAGGCAGTCTCTCGACGACCAGGACGATGCGCCTCTTCTCCGCGACGTCGAGCAGAACGGCTCCGGTGACGCCTCTGCCGAGCGATCCTTCACCGTCATGAACATCGGTTTCGTTGCTGGTGTCATTCCCCGTGAGCGCATCGCCGCTTTCGAGAGGATCCTGTGGCGTACGCTTCGTGGCAATCTGTACATGAACCAGACTGAGATCCCCGAGCCCATCATCAACCCCGAGACCAACGAGGAGACCAGCAAGAACGTCTTCATCATCTTTGCTCACGGCAAGGAGATCATCGCCAAGATCCGCAAGATCTCTGAGTCCCTCGGCGCCGACCTCTACAGCGTCGACGAGAATAGCGAGCTGCGCCGCGACCAGATCCGCGAGGTCAACACGCGTCTGAGCGATCTTGCCAGCGTTCTGCGCAACACCAAGTCGACCTTGGACGCGGAGCTGACTGCCATCGGCCGCAATCTCGCAGCATGGATGGTGGTCATCAAGAAGGAGAAGGCTACCTACGAGACCTTGAACAGGTTCTCATACGACCACCAGCGCAAGACACTCATTGCGGAGGCCTGGACGCCCACCAGCTCGCTTGGACTCATCAAGTCTACTCTTTCAGACGTAAACGAGCGTGCTGGATTGTCGGTGCCAACCATCGTCAACCAGATCAAAACGACCAAGACCCCGCCCACCTACTTCAAGGTCAACAGGTTCACCAACGGTTTCCAGACCATCATCGACGCTTACGGCACCATCAAGTATCGTGAAGTCAACCCCGCTCTGCCCGCCATTGTCACCTTCCCGTTCATGTTCGCTGTCATGTTCGGTGACGCCGGTCACGGTGTCATCCTCCTGTGCGCAGCTTTGGCTATGATCTACTACGAGCGCAGGCTGGAGCGCAGCAAGCTCGACGAGCTGTTCTCTATGATGTTCTACGGTCGCTACATCGTCTTTATGATGGGTCTTTTCTCCATCTACACTGGTCTGATCTACTGCGACGCTTTCTCGCTCGGCCTTCCCTGGTTCAAGTCCATGTGGGTTTGGGACAACGATGGCAAGGGCCCTACCGCTTCCCGTGTCGAGGGCCACACCTATCCCTTCGGTTTGGATTACCGCTGGCACGATACCGAGAACGACCTGCTGTTCTCCAACAGTTACAAGATGAAGCTCAGTATCCTGCTTGGTTGGGTCCACATGACCTTCTCGCTCATGTGGTCGCTCGTCAACGCACGCTACTTCAAGACGCCTATTGATATCTGGGGCAACTTCGTGCCTGGTATGATCTTCTTCCAGTCCATCTTCGGATACCTGTCATTCTCCATCGTCTATAAGTGGTGCATTGACTGGGCTGCCAAGGGCCAGGACCCACCTTCCCTGCTGAACATGTTGATCTACATGTTCCTTCAGCCTGGTACTCTTGAGAACCCCGACCAGCCGTTGTACGCCGGTCAAGCCACCGTGCAGGTCATCCTGCTGTTGATGGCTCTTATCTGCGTTCCCATTCTCCTTTTCCTGAAGCCTTTCTACCTCCGCTGGGAGCACAACAAGGCCCAAGCTCTTGGCTACCGCAGCATCGGCGAGACTGCCCGTGTCAGTGCTCTCGACGACGACGACGAAGCCAACGGAAACGGCAACGCTAACGGCGGCCGCGAGAGCTTTGGCGATGATGACGACGGCATTGCTATGATCACCCAGGACATTGGCCACGGCGAGGACCACGAGGAATTCGACTTTGGCGAGATTATGATCCACCAGGTCATCCACACCATTGGTAGGTGCACTTATCTTCGCTGCTGCTCTTTACTAACTGTCTCAGAATTCTGTCTTAACTGTGTCTCCCACACCGCCTCCTACCTGCGTCTCTGGGCTCTGTCTCTCGCCCATCAGCGTCTCTCCATTGTCCTGTGGGAGATGACGATGAAGAACGCGTTCACATACACTGGCATAACTGGCTCTATCTTGATGGTCTTCATCTTCGGTTTCTGGTTTGCGCTCACAGTCATGGTTCTCTGCGTGATGGAGGGTACCAGTGCCATGTTGCACTCCCTGCGTCTGCATTGGGTCGAGGCTATGAGTAAGCATTTCATTGGTGATGGTGTGCCGTTTGAGCCATTTAGCTTCAAGGCCCTGCTTGAGGAGGACCCAGTGGAGTAGTCATTTCTTTTGTGTTGTAGGATATCGAAAGCGTAGCGAGTATATAGAAATGTACGACGTGCACATTGCTCCTGACAGTACCAATAAGCGCTCAATGGCCCCGAAATGAAGGATGATCAGCACGCCTCTCTGCGACAAGGAGGCTCCCACGTTCCGGCTGGCTCGCTCCCGTCCAGAGCGCCATTTCCTTGATTGGCCCCAGCAGCAATATCGGGCATCGGAGGCGGCGGAGGCGCCTGTGCGCGTCCCAGATGCGCCCCAGCCATGACAGCAACGCTGCGGTGTACATGCACGACGACAGCTGTTGACGTATATAAGGGCCGAAACAGGACGCACCCCACCCTGCAGCTGCACTCCCCTCTCTCCTGCTCTTCTCTTTCCTCTCAGCAATTCTGCAATTCGATTTGGACGTTCCACGACAGCTGCGACACGGTCCTCGTCTGCTGCCCCGCTTTTCGAGCTTCCCTGCCCCTCAGAGCTACGCGAAAGCTTGTTTCGGAGCATTCTTTCAACTGCACAACATGTCGTTTTCGGCAGATAAGGTGCCAGTGCTCAAGTCAGGGGGAGGACATCGCGAGCGAAGATTCTCGTCCTCCAAGGAGCCGAGTGGGAATGGTGAGTGTTAGAGAATAGGAGTCTGTGAGCAGCTGGCTATGGATACACAATTGATGGCAAATCTACCAACGAAAGGCTTGTGGAGGCTGTCACGGAGCTTGGCCTGGTTGGTCTATTCGCTATCAAGTGTTTATTAGTTGTCGATTCTGTGCATGAGCTTGCTGTAGTTGCTTGTATAAGAACTAACGCCTACAGAACTCAGCTCCAGCATCCACCGAAACTTCCGTGAATCGCACGAGGGCCACAAGCCTCACGCCGGTCTCGACCCGTCGCGCTCTACAACTGGTGTTGTCTGGACGTCCGAACAGGCATACAAGCATGGCTTTGCAGACCACCCCGAGGAGTGGGCCAATCTGGGCCAGGGAGCACCAGAGGTCGAAGACAGCATCCCGAACTGCTTTGACCGTCCCAAGGACGTCAACATCTCTGCGCATGGCCGCGAGTACGGCCCCACGGCGGGTATTCGGCCACTGAGAGAGGCCGTGGCCACGCTCTACAACGAGCACCACCGCAAGTGGCGCAAGAGTCAGTACACGTATGAGAACGTGTGCATCGTGCCCGGCGGCCGCGCAGGTCTTATTCGTATCGCTGCAGTGCTGGGCAACTGCTATCTCGGCTTCTTCATCCCCGACTACACAGCGTACAACGAGATGCTGTCGCTCTTCAAGAACATCGCAGCCATCCCTATCCCGCTTGGCGAGCAGGACCAGTACCACATGTCGCCCGACAAGGTCGCTGAGGAGATCGCCCGCGGCACTTCTGTGTTGCTGACGTCCAACCCGCGCAACCCCACCGGCCAGATGGTCACCAACCCGGAACTGGCCCAGATCCAAAACATCTGCCGCGACCGCGCAACCCTTATCATGGACGAGTTCTACTGCGGTTATAATTACACTACTAACTGCGATGGTACTGTCATCTCTGCTGCTGACAATGTTGAAGATGTCGACGAGGACGACGTGCTCATTATTGACGGCCTGACCAAGCGCTTTCGCCTGCCAGGCTGGCGCGTAGCCTGGGTCATCGGTCCTAAAGAATTTATAGCAGCTATCGGCAGCTGCGGAAGTTACTTGGACGGTGGTTGTAACGTGCCGTTTCAAGAGGCCGCCGTGGAGATGCTCAGTCCGCCACGCGTCCGCAACGAAATGCGCGCCCTACAGATGCATTTCCGCAGCAAGCGCGATTTCGTCATCGGCCGCCTACAAGAGATTGGCTTCCGTTTCCCGTATATGCCGAATTCCACATTTTACCTGTGGCTGGATCTGAGCAGCCTGCCCGAGGGCATCAACGACGGGCTGAATTTCTTCCAGGCATGTCTACTTGAGAAGGTTATCGTAGTCCCTGGTATCTTCTTCGATTTGAACCCGAGTAAGCGCAGGGACCTGTTTGATAGCCCGTGTCATCACTTCGTGAGGCTGAGTTATGGCCCGAGGATGGATGTGCTGGCGAAGGGCATGGATGCGATTGAGCGCATTGTGAAGAAGTGAGTTTTGCCGTTTGCAGTGAGATTTGACAGGAAGCTAACATGCATAGGTACCGCGAGAACCCGGGTCACAAGCATATGCCCATGCGGCCGCGTGGCGGCATGCCATAGAGGATTGGCGCGAGGTTGATTGATACAAGTTAGCACGGCAGATGATAGCGCAATGCATTGTATAGCGTGGAGGGACTCAGTGGAAGATCAACTGCCTCACAAAAGGCTAAGCAAGTACTTGTTCCTAGACTCGCCGGGTGCCGTTGAAACGACGTGTATATTGGCCAGCAACTCCAGTGCACTTTCCGACGCTCAGCAGGCTGACCGAGATGTGGTCAGTGAGTATGCAGTCCATGTAATTTCATATACACACGATACAGTACAGTACAGTACAGCCCTCAGCACTTTGTAGGCTCCAAGCCATGTCCATCGCAGCCAAGAGGCTGCAGAACGATCACCGAACACCTCCGTTCAGGCGCTCACACTCCAACGCGACAGCGTCATGTGAGACCACTAACCCTTCTTCCTGGTACTGCCATTTCGCCAATTGGACGATCGGACGTGCATTCCAGCAACACACAATCTCCCCTCCTATCTCGCTCTCTCAGCCATCCTTCTCAATCGCTCCACGCAGACCCCTTCACCCAAGGTGCCCCTCACTCCCCCTCCCCAAACTCAACAGGCAGATTCATCCCAATCCGCCTCGCACTCAACCGCACGCGCTCCTCCTCACTCATCCCCATGCCGGGATTGTACCGCTCAATCAGCGTCGCATAGGTGCGCTGCGCGTGCAGATACTGCAGGAACTGCGCTGCCTGCGCTGTCTGACTCTCCAGTCTCTGCGTGTCGTGGGGCGTACTCGATGCGGTGGGTGCGGTGGCGGCGATTTGCGCGCGCAGCCTCTTCTGCAGCGGCGACGCGGCGGACAATTTCTGGTGCGTGGTGTGGGTGGTTTGCGTTTTGATGGGGAGCTCGCGGAGGAGCGCGCGGTAGAGGGCGCGGAGCTGTGTGGGCGATGACATTGCGGCTGGTGGTGACGTTTCTCGACGTGACGGCGATGGGACGTGGTGGAGGTGCGGAGGTGCTGCGGCGAAAAGTTCGGGGGTGCGCTTGGGCCAAGCGCAGATGAAGAGGTGCAAGGCGCGATGCTTCTTCTTTCTCGAACGATGCCGGGATTGTCGCCAACGCCGTGGGTGCGGAGATGTGTGCTGAGTGTTGGACAGCAGAGGAGGGGGCTGCGTGTGCGTCCGAGAGCGAGGCCGGCGCCGGTGAAGGAGGATGGACCTGACGACGCCGAAACCATCACGCTCACCGACGGCACCACGATACGCGTACAGACCGGACGCCCGTATGAAGAGCCGCCAGACTCCCCTCCCGACACCACACTCCCTCTTCCGCCACCCAAGCCCGCTCGACACGCAACCCTCGTGCCCTCCACGCCCTCACCACCCCTAGGGCTAACCTCCCACCCCAAATCGCGCACCCGCACGCCCCCCTCCACCCCGCCCACCAACCCGCACGACTACAACTGGTACTTCGACACGGCCCCGCCCAGCGCCGCCGCCAAATATCACGCCAACAGCTTCTTCGAGCGCCACGGCCCGCAGGCCACCCTGCTGCGCAGCATCGCGCACTTCCGCACGCTCCCCGCGACCTCGGTCCCGGAAGTCGCGTTCATCGGGCGGTCGAACGTGGGCAAGAGCTCGCTGCTGAACGCGGTGATGGGGTGCTCGACAAAGGACTTGTTGGCGCGGACGAGCCGTACACCAGGGTTCACCAAGACGATGAACCTGTATGGAATTGCGCCGGAGCCCGGGGTCAGGATCAAGAGCGTGGCGACTCCCGTCGCGTCCGAGCCCTCGACGGCTGTGACCGCAGACTCGCACACGGCACCCACATCCCCGCCCAAGACCGCCGCGCGCGAAACCATCACCGGCCCGCGCGGCCTCGTCATCGTCGACATGCCGGGCTACGGCGCAGGCTCGCTGGCCCAATGGGGCGCCGAGATCATGAAGTACATCCAGTCGCGCAAAGCGCTGCGGCGCGTCTTCGTGCTGCTGGACGCCGAGCACGGCGTCAAGGACAAGGACCGCAGTATCCTGGCCAGCCTGCGCGCCGCGGGCGTCAGCCACCAGGTCGTGCTCAGCAAGGTCGACAAGCTGTATGTGCCGCCGGGCGAGGCGCGGCGGGTGGGGCGGCCGGGGAAGGTGAAGCGCGGGGGTTCTGTGGGGAAGGTTAGGGCGTGTATGGAGGGGTTGATGGGGGATATTAGGCCGCCGGTTGGGGGCGGGGCGCTGGGGGAGGTGTTGGCGTGTAGTAGTGAGGTGTTGGTTGACGGAAGGCGGTTGGGGATTGAGGATGTGCGGTATGCGGTGTTGAAGGCGGTGGGGTTAGAGGGCGAGGAGAGAAAGGGGTTTACGGAGAGTAAGAAGAAGAAGGGGGGTGCTGAGAAGAGGGCGTAGGAGAGATTTTTTGTATAGAAGATACCCATATTTTCTTTCTCGACACATCTTCGCAAGGATTCTTGCACCAGGCTCAGAGTTGGCGACGAACGAATACTCAATGGTGAGCAGATTGACCAGCCGAGCTCAGTGACACCCTCCACAAGCCTCTTCATCGTCCGTTCGACATCGGTTACCTGTCTGTAGCCAACTCTGACCAGACCACACTTAAATCGCTCAAAGTCGTACAGTTGCCTGAACATGTGTACTCATTGATATGTTACTTGTTACTAAAACTCCAATCTGCTCCACCTCGCTATGCAATACCAATAAACTCTACTCCCTCACTCAACCCTTCGCGTTCCAGCGATCATTATACGCATTGACTCCAACAGCGACCTGTCGATAGAACCAGTTTCGGCTACCCTCATCCGCGACCGGGATGAAAGGCCCGTTCGTCCCGCCCTTGAGCGTGATGCTCAGCCCTGTCCGCTCCTTGCTGATCGTCTGCACGTCTTTAAGCGGCACGTCCCACTCCGTCTGCAGCTTCTTCGTGCGCACCATCATAATGGCGTTGTACGTGAGCATGATCAGCACGTCCTTGTTCTGCAACTCGAGATGCGCTATGTAGTCCTCGTTGAAGCACTTGCCGTTGTCGAGCGTCTTGAGCCAGAACTGGCCCAGCGCCTCGCGCTGCGAGTAGGGGCGCACGATGCCGTCGGTGCCGATGAAGCGGGTCAGGCGCACGCGGTCGAGGCCTTCCTGGTCGAAGACGGTCGTTGTGTTACGCACGCCTTCTGCCATGTTGGAAGCAAGATCGAAGGCACCGATTGCAGCCTTGGTCGGGACACCGAGAAGACCCTTTCCAACTCCCTTGACGAAGCCGAAAGCGCCCTCTTTCTCGGCGCCTTGGATGGGGTGGCGAGCAAGACCGCCGAGACCAGATGCGAGACTGTTGGCGAAAGCATTGCCGCCGGCTGTGATGCCGTAGAGGGCGTGCTTGGGCCTGTTGCGAGAACGAGTGTTGCGGCGCTGGTCTTGGAACTCTTTGTCGAGGGTTGCAGCAGACAGGCCCTTCGACATACTGCCAGTGAACTTGGCCATGCTGTCCGAGAAGCCGAACACCGACTTCTTGACAAAGCTCGAAGCACCCTTTGCAATACCAATACCGAGATCCTCTGGGCGATCGGACTTGACCAAGCCTTGGTACGGTTCGTAGAAGATGTCGGCAACACCAGAGCTGATGTTGGTGAACAAACCAACCGGGTTGCCGAGGAAGTCTGCCGAACCGATGATGACGTGGACCTGTCGCAGCGACTCCTGCACGTAGTGGTTCTTGATGTTGTTGATCAGAGCGCTTGTCGAAATGCGAGCATTCTCCAAGATGAGCGAGTTGTAGCGAACCGGCGCGTCGTTGACGTTACCGATAGACATCGTGAGGACGTTGACCGCGAACATGAACGGATTCGAAGTAGTCATGGTGTCCTCGGCGTTGATGCGCTCGGTGCGGACGAACGACAAATCGATCTGCATGGGCTGCAAGTGGAGCAGCTCAAAGTAGACGTCCTGCCCAGACTGCTCCTGCTTTGGCTCTGGAATGTCGAGCGATTCTTCCCACAGCTTGCCTTCTGCTTTTTCAGACCAGGACGCTCCAGGAATGTTGGCGAAGTCGATCATTGCGAAGATGAAGTCCTCGTCGATTTCAAGAGTCATCTGCTGCAGCAAGAAACTGAAGTACTTGATGTACATCACACCATACGAGTCGTCCTTTACCCGGGTGACGCTGGTCTGGAAGATAGGATGCGCCTCCATCTCTTTTCCAGTCTTGGGAACAACACTAGGGTAGAAGATTATGGGGAAGATACCGCCGTAGAGCTGGTTGTCGATCTGGATCCACTTGACCTGCACATTGACCATCTGGTAGAGGGCCGAGTCGGAGTACTTCAGTTCGAGGTCGCGCAGCGTGACGTACACCAGTTCGCGGAGATGACGGTTGACTAGTGAGACGCCAATACCGGCGAGACGCAGTTGCGCCTTGAAAGTGACGTCTGTGTCCTGGTCCTTGACCTCGAAACCGGTGGTGGTCGAGGACGACATGGCACCAGCCTTTTGCTTGTACAAGCTCTTCGAGGGCTTGTAGTTCGAGATCTCAAGCGTCTGTGTTGGACCTTGAGCAACAACATTCAAGTCGATGACCTTCATGCCGCCGCCCTGCTCGCCAGGTGGGATCTTGAATGGGATGAGGGGCCCGATTTCTGCAAGCTTAACGTGACGCTCCCTGCCATTGGCGCTGATCACGATCTCCTTACTCTTCGCTGCAGGGAAGTCCCAGGCATACGGCATTATGCTCCTTGGTGGCAATCGGTACCTAATAGGTCTGAATCCAGAGCCACGGTCGTCTTCGTCTTCATCGAGGTTGGGATTTTGTTGCCAGTACAGGAATTCCTGGTCGCTCATATTCTTAAACGAGAACGGCCAGTGCTTTGTCTCAATGCTGAGGTGAACGAAGATCGTCGCTTGCTCCATCAGAACGTCGATGCGCATCAGCTTCTGGCGTTGACCAGTCTTGGATATCTTGACATGCACGTTGCCGACATTAGAGATGTTGAATGGTGAAGACCACTGGTTGTTGACGCCGGGGTAGCAGAGAGACAACTGCGGTGACCCTCCCTGTCTGAGCCATCGCAGGGGAAGTAGCTCTCCCTTCTTCAGCGTCATCCAGTCGGACTGCCCAGGCTCGCGGATAAGGATCTCTTCGTCGATCCTGTTCTTGACGATGAAGCGCGGAGCGATAGAGACGACCTTTGTCAGGTTGTACTTGCCCTCGCCTTCCGCGACAGACACTCCAAGATGCATGTCCGACCTGGAGTTGGTTGCGGGTATTGAGACTGCGTAGGTACTACCAATGGCGTCGAAACTTTGAGGCTTGCTCCAGCTGGAGTCGCCGACCTTGATCAACGCGCGATTCTTCTTGTTCTCAGATGGGTAGGAAAACATGAAAGGTGTAGCCTTTCCGGCATCGGTCTGGTCGTCTCTGAACGTGCCTTGTGCGCCCGAAGATCGGCCACCACCCAGGAACTGCTGCTGTTGCGACTTGATGTCCAGACTGAGACCAGTACGGTTCAGTACGATGTAGGGGCTGAAGATGGCGACCTTGAAAGCGCCTCCACCGTCAGGGTAGTTGCTGGGAGAGTTAGTATGAACTATCAATCGCTGGTGGCGAACTTACTAGAAGTGCATGTTGAGGTGCAGGGTTGTGTCGTTGTCGTCCTTGACCTCGAGCACCTTCTCCCTTCTAAAGCTTTCTCGGTCGGTGGAGTTGATGATGCCGAATTTGCTAGGCTTGAACGACCCTTCCTGCATCTCGACGCTGACAAGCAAGAGATGTGACAATTCCACGACGTGCACAGGACTAATACCTCCCTTTCGAAGGAAGTTCGTCCAGTCCTTCTTAGTGTTGCTGTCGTAGATCCTGTACTTGAAGTCGTATGGCAGAAGGTTGTGTACCTCCACAGGTGCTTGCAGGCGCAACCGCATGTACGGGTATGTACCAGTCAGCGGATCCTTCTTGTCGTATGCTGCATGCATTTGGAAGTAGAAGGGCGGGGCCTGCTCATCCTGCTCACCGCGGCAGGTGATGGTCCTGGTCGGGCGCTTCAGCAAGTCCTTCCAGAACAGACGCTCGTTCGACCAGGCATAGCCAAAGCCTTGATCTGGCCGGATGACTATCGAGTGCATGTATGCGGATCCAATGGGTGCTGGTCGTGCATCACCGGGCGCAATCTTGTCGATCTTGAGAAGGTGGCCCTCCTCAGGGCTGAACATGCCGATCTCAATGGGAATCTGTGTATTGTTCTCGACCAAGAGCGGGGATCGGAAGGTGATGTTCTTGATGTTGTCTGCCCCGAGCTTCACTTCGACCAGGACACGATGCTGTACCCTGTCTTGCTTGGGTCGCAGGTTGTACAGCGCCTCACCTTCTCGGTGTACTGGAATACGCGACAGGGTGTCGAAACCGCTTCCTTCGAGTCTAATGCCGAGCATGCCAGTCGCGCCGTCCGTGGACAATGTCTCACGGGTCGACATGGGATCTTCGAATCGCCACGGCTGCTCCTCGCCGTCCTCAAGCTTCGCCGCGTAGCCTTCCTGCTCTTTGCCCTCGGCCCACACGTCTAGGCTGAAGCCTGTGTAGTTGCGAATGCGGTACGGCGCGTCGCTAGCGCGAGGCTTAGAAAGAATGTCCTCGTCAGCCGTGAGGAAATCAAACGACTTCGAGCCCAAGGCGATGGTTGCTGCTGTGACCGTGAGCTCCATCGATTTGCGTGAGTATAATTCAACAGACAGACGGTCTGGGTTCAGGTCCTTCGCCATGTGGAAACCGACGCTCCAGGGTTCGATCAGTGGCTCCCAAGCGGATTTCGAGAAGTTGTAGACGTTGATCAAAGTCTCAAGCGAGGTGTCGGCGACCATTGCACTTGTCCAGTCGCGAACATCGACGCCGAATTTCTTAACGCGCCAGTCGAGCATTGGCATTTCATGCACATCGCCGATGAGAACCACACGGAGGCCTTCCAGGCTGACATGCATTTCCTCACGTTTGAGGACCGCTGAGGTGGCTTGGGGTTGCTGCAACTGTGCGTCTTGTTGGCTCGATCGCTTCGATTTTGCAACCGACTTTGCCCGAGGTCTTGTGGTGCTCCCGGGTGCTGTCGATTTTGCCTTCTTCGACGGCGTGCTGGGCTTCAGCTGTTTCGCGCCCTCCTCAGGCAAGTTCTTGCTGTCGTCTGCTTGCATTGCAGATGCGCGGTTGACAATCTGCATGGCTAGCAGAATATCGCGTAGCGACAGACGTAGGACCAGAGGCTCGATGTCAACGTTGATACTAATCAAAGACGACTTCGAGCCTTGGTTGCGGATGTCCAAAGCCGTCTGGATACTGAAGTCGTCGAGAATGCGGAGACGGTTCGTGTCGAAGCGGTCCATGCGGCACAGGAACATGCCAACCTTGTCCACCTGCAGTGTCATGGCTTGCTGCTTCGATACAAGGACTTGTTTCGTGCCCAAGACAATAGCCTCGGAATTGGCAAGCGCCGGGTTGGCGATGAGTACTACCTGCGCGTCTACGAGATTGACACGGAACGAAATGCTCATGCCGTCCTGCGCTGGTTCTGCAGGAGCTTTCGGCTTCTGCACAGCTCTCGAATCAACCTGCGATTCAAGCTCGTCGTCACTGTCGGTATCTTCCTCTGCAAGATCCTCCTCGAGATCCAGCGGTTCATCCGTGGCAAGACCTGCATTGACAAAAGCCTGCAGGGCGAATAGGTAGTCCAATGCCAGAATCATACGTGGACTGTCGATCGTGAGAAGCGCAATAAGGCTGCGGTCTTTGCCACCAGAGATCGATACGCTAGCCATGAACTGCTGCTTGACGTCGTTGTTGATCAAAGACATGATCTTGCGGAACTTATTGGTTCCCATCTGGCGACTGTCGCGGATGGAGAACGACTGAACGACCAGCTCAGCCTCCATGGCACCGTCACTGATCATGCGCACCTTGACGTTGGTGTCATTGAGAGAGAACTTCGAAAGGCTGGCAGCTTCAACATCGCCAATGGGCTCGCCTTCCTTGGACCTGATCAATTCGAGAGCGATAGCACCAACTTTGAACACGAAGTCCAGCTTTGTCCACTTGTCGTCGTCCGAAGATAACTCCGGCCCCTGCGAGGAAACGACGTCTTTTGTTGACTCGCCACTTGGAGATTCTGTAAGTTGTCGCGCAGGTTCGGACGTGGCCATGGGCAACTCCTCCTTGAAATTCTCTTCAATCGCATCTGGCTCTGACGCGAACGCCTGGGGAATCGTACGCGACAGCTCCAAAGCAAACTTCATCTGCTCTGGAGTGAGACGCAAGTTGATGTCTGACATGGATCCATCAATTTCCATGTCCGGCCGGTGTTGACCAGCTTTATGCTCGACCATGGTGATGTTGAAGTCAAGATCAACCTTGTCAATGAGCTCGAGCGCCTCCGAACGGTCGTCCCCGTAATGCAAGTTTGAGGTGAGCTTGATGTTCCTGATACCAGCAGAGATCTTGTTGCCAATGTCGGCATCCTCCGAGTCGTCCAGGGCTGTGAATTCGTTCTTGGCGTAAATCTCACCCAGGTTCGCTGTCAAGGTATCACGATCGGGCTTGTCCGAGATCACCATCCGTGGGAATACAACAATTGGCGTGCTGATCGTGATGTCGAAGTGGAATTTCGCAGGGTTCTGCTGAATCTGAGTTGCTTGATTTGCCGCAGCTTGGCGAGCTGCGTTGAAAATAGCTTGCATCTTGCCAAACTTGACAGCAAACTCCATGATCTTCCGGAAAGGCTCGGTGAGGAAGTTGATCTTGATGGAGCCGGTCTTGAGTGCTACGGACATGTCGTAGCCGGGGTAGCTCTCCGATTTTGAGTCGAATGTCTCGTAGCTGAAGTCTGCGAGATTCTTGCCCTCGATCGTGACAAGTTGGCGCAGCGAAGATGTTTCCGGAACACCTTGGTTGACGTCGTCGATGAGCGACAGGTTGCCAAGTCGTCCACCGATGCGCATTGTGCCGCCGTTGAGCATGATCCCAACATCACCGGAGTCCAGACTCAACGTGGCCAGGCGTATCCCGTCATTGTTCAGTACCACCGCAATACGCTTCAGCTCAGCGCGGATGCGGATCTTATCTGGCTCAGCGTCAGATTGCTTTGCTACCTCCTGTTCGTCGGGCTTTGCGGCGATCTGGGCCTGCTGATTCTGAGGCTGATCTGGATTTGTGAACGTGATGAGAACGAAGTCGAGAAGCGTCAACAAAGTTTTTCTCGTAACGATCAGGTTGATGGTCGAGACATGGACATCGAGGTTCGTAGCGATACCCTCGAATTTTGTCTGGAACTCTGGCGAGTCCTTGTTGACCTTTGTGAACTTCAGCGAGAACAGGTCCTTCTGCTCATCCGCAGAATCGTCTTCAGAAGAGATAATGTTGCGGAACTCCGGTAGAGGGTTCTCCTCAACATGGTCTTCGACCGCCAAGCTCCTCAGGCGGACGTCAGCGCCCATCTCGAACTGCTCTTGGTAGAAGTCAAGGTCGAAATTCTCCGCAATGAGCTCGACAAGCAGCTGGTCGGGTTTTCGTCCTTCAGAGTCTGTCCTGTAAAGCGAACCCTGCAATTTGTCCACTGTGAACTTGAACTCGAAGTTGCGCTGGTGCACGTGCGTGTTCGTGTTCGCAGCTTCACGAGCATCCTCGAACTTTTCGGTAGAGTCCTCATCTTGGTCTTCCGCCATGACAAGCTCATGTTCCTGAGCAGCGAACTGGAACGATTTGGAGCGTGGTCGTCCCTTATCTGACGCTTTCGCATCGGCCGGCTTGAGATTCGACGGACCCTTCGCGCCTTCGGTGACTTGCTTGCTTGTGCTATCATCGCCGAATTTCGGGATTGCAACATCGATGAGCTTCATCAAGTTCTTGTACTTGGCGTCAGATATTGACGCATGGAGCACAGGAAGGTTTCCGGATACGCGGAATTTCGCAAGGTCGGATGCCTTCGGGACGATACACAGCTCAACCTTGAAGTCCATGTTGATCTTGTCGACGATGTGGAAGTTCTTCGATGTTGCATTCTCCTCAAGCTGAGCCTTTGTCTCCTCAATCGAGGGTCCAATGAGTACTTGGGTCGATTGCAGCTTGAGTGTGAACTTATCATACATCAAACTTTCCAACTGCCTGAAGTCTTCCTCGGTATACTGTTGCTGCTGTTTTGACTGTATGTCGCGCAATGTGTCCTTGTCGATGAGTTCGCTTGTTACGCTTGCATGACCGGCATCGAGGATCAAACAGTTGCTAGACTTCTTCGTAACAGAGTCTGGGATGATGATTAGGGGCGCCTGCAGATCCAGCTGTGCGTTGATAGTCTTGTGCTCGGTCAGTGCAAACTCGAGGCCAGCGCGAGTCTGCTGCCGAATGGTGTCAACAGTTGCGCCGGCAGTTTCCATAAGCGCTCCAATAGACTCCATGTGCCGCTCCGGGGGCTTGAAGAACTTCGCGGTTTCCACCACGAATCTGGGGTTGTAGACGAATTCCATACCCTTCAGCTTAACCGTCAGAGCAGTGTCTGCGCTGTCGTCAAGGGGGTTTTGTTCGAAAGTGAGGAAGAAGAACGGGTCTTCAATGTCTTCGTCCTCGTCTGCGTCATCCTCCTTCTTCTCATTCTCGTCATCATCGAGCTCTTCAATGCGCTTGTTGTCAGGCACTGGGGGTGCATCCTTGATTGTGATGACTTGAGGAAAGAGACTGCCCTCTGTTGTGCCGTCGTACAAGCGCATACCTTCGAGAGCGAGCTTTACAAACATCGAGTCTGTGCGTTGTAGGAACTGTGTACTGAAACCATCGAAGAGCAGGCGGAGGATTTCATTCGATTTGCCATGCGGGTCGCGCTTGAGAGTAAAGCTGCCGGTGCGGAGGCTCATGTTGACCTCCATCTTGACGTACTCGCGAGGCATGTCAACAGACTCTGTTATAGCTTTCTTCTCATCCCAGTCAATCGCATCGTAGAGCTCCTTGCGTTGCTCTTCTGTCATTTGGGTGTTGTCGTCGGTGTGCTCTTCCTGCTTGGCACCCCAGCCGATCCATGAGCCCCAGCCCTGCTTCTGCGGCGCCTTCTTAACACCGACGTTCTCCTTGCGGAGCTGGTTACGAGCCAGAGACCGCCAGAACCGAAGGTCTTCGTATGTCAGCTTTCTCTCAAGCTTGTCAATCTCTTCAGCTTCGGCCGGCACGAGCTTCTCTTCCTTCTTCTTTTTCTTGAATAGCTCAATGTAGCGGAGGCGATCGTCTCGGCGCTCCTTGAAGTATGCCCAGCTCCACCTCTTGTTGCGATCGTGGATCTTGTCGAGGACGGCCTGGCCGGCAAAGCGCAGCCACCCAGCAGGGTCTTCTTTCGGCGATGACTTTGGTTGGAACTTCTTGTACTCCTGGTGTCTGATGAAATAATGGAACAGGTCGACCAACATCAATGCGTCGCGGTACTGGTCTTCGTCGATAATGAAACCTAGCTCGTCGAAAAGCAGGCGGGCCTTCATCTTTGGTCGGTCAGACTTGCCCGTCTTGTCCATCTCAAGTCCTGCGCGGCCGCTGATAGGCTTGAGGATGAACTGATGGTCACCAAGCTCAGGGTTGTCGCCTCTTGTAATCATATCGCGGAGAGTCTCGATGAACTCGGAATGGTCGATGTGCTGCTCATCCCTGGTGTCACTACCTTTCCCGGTGCCGAGAAGCTTCGCATCGGTGTCCCAGTATACTGCCAGCGAACCCAGTGTTGCCAGCTTGTGTGTCGAGACGGCAGTGCCCTGGATGAAAGTCGGCTTCCAGTTCTCGTCTGTGCTGATAGCACTGAAGTCGGCGAGGGTAATTCCCAGAGCGAAGGGATGCCCGGGGTCTGATATCGAGTCTTCGTATCGGATGTGGATGTTCTTGATGGTGACCTGGACGTTGTCCACGATAGCGGTCACCATGCTCGCAGTGAAGCTTTGGTTCTTCTGCTGTTCTTCGGCGCTCATGCCTTCTGTGTTACGCTCCTTCAATAGCTCTGCGCTGTCCAGCTTCTCCATTTTCACAGCGTGTGCACGGCGCTCTTCTTCTTCTGCGTCGTAGTCGGCATCCTCCTTCGGCGCTGCCAGCAGAAAGACATCCTCGATCTGCACCTTCAGCGGTTTCCCACGCAGGTTCGACCACGGGATGGAAAGTGTGAGGGAGCCCAGGTGTCCCTCCACAACATTGAGGGGTAGCCGCAGCTGGTCGAGAGCTTCCCGACGGAGCTCAAGATCTCTCAGCTTGACATCACCTGACCAAATGCCGACATTGAGCTGCTTGGGATCGAAGTTCTGGACATACATGCCCAAGAACCTGTTGAGCAGGTTCGAAACAAGACCCTCAAGCATGGCGGCGATGGGTGACCGTTACCGGGTCGGGTGTAGAGTAAGTGTGCGAGTGAGGTGTGGAGAGAGGGTCGTTCGTCACGTCGTTGGACTTCGTGAAGTCATGAAGCTCGTGCGGTGGTGCTTATGCAATGCGAGGTTGGGTATCGTATGTAGGCCGTATAAACAAGGCGGGGTGGGGTGTATTGTGTGGAGCAGAACACGTCGAGGGCAGGCGATCCGCCAACAGTCGCAAGGAGAGTGACGAAATGAAGAAACACTTGCAAGCAGCAGGTTGACGAGACACGGTAACAGTCTGGAACCACGCGTACAAGACAGGTGGAGTCCAGCGATCGCCGCAAGGCAGCTGCAACCCGCGGTGCATGACGTATTGTGTGCTAAAAGTCCATCCCGCGTCACCTGAGAAGTTCCGAGGAGCGGCTGGAGCGCGCGCTGATTCGCTGCAGGCTTGATCCTAGTCGCGTTTTCTTGTCAATTGGGCGCCATCAAAGTTCGCGATCCGTGTTGCTTCTGCTGTGTGCAATATCTCGATTTACATCACCAGTCGCGGACTCAGATAGACGACGTCGCGCCAGTTACACCTCATCTCGGATTGCGCAGCACACATTCACCCACCATGTGGCCCTTCTCCAGCTCCAGCGCAGACAGCGCACCGAAGCCCATCATGGCGCCCGCAACCGAACAGCAGGTCCAGCTCCTCCCAGCAACAGGGCAAGCGCTGCCTACCGCACAATCGCAATACGCCACACCGCCGCCCTCGACCTCGCACACGAAGCCCTCCGCAGCGCCACACGACCCCGACTTCTACACCGCACACCCACATCTCGCACCCCCATCGTTCAGCACACCCACATCAGACGCAAGCACAGGCGCGGCAGGCCAGGAGGAGCTCGATCCCACCCTCCCCCGCTCAATGTCCTGCCGCGCCACCTTCGATGCGGCGTTCTACTGCAGTTCGCTGGGCGGCCACTTCAACGACATCTATCGGTACGGGCAACTGCGCAGCTGCAGCGATCACTGGAACGACTTCTGGTTCTGCATGCGGACGAAGAATAGCTACTCGGGGTCGGAGGTCAAGGAGCGTATGATCCAGGAGCGGTATGCGGAGAAGGAGAAGGTGCTCAAGACGAAGCCGAATTCTGAGGATGTGTGGCGGAGAAGAGGGCCTGGAGAGGAGGTGAAAGATCCCTTTTCTTTGGCTGGGAAGGAATGAGCGTATGAGGATGACTGTATGATACAGCAGGAGATGTACAATATGAGACGGAATACAACATGAGACGGAATACGCTTCTGATCAAGTACAACTGATCGAGTACAAATGTACGTGGAGCGCTGTGGTTTGATGTAAATGCAGACGTGACGACTACGATGCAAGTTTGTAGTATACACATGTAAGCAACATACACCACGACGACTACGATCCTTCACAGCCATCACGATATCCAATACTAGAATGGAATGTCAACCGCCGAAATGAAGACGAGTAGCAGGCAAGAAACATCACAGTTGCAATGGGACAAATGTTGAAGTAATTATGTGGATTCTACTCGGGATATATCATCACATGCGTTCCACCAAACTTTTCCAGTCATTATCGTAACGCGTCTGATGCAAATGAAACCGTGAAAGGGCCTTTACGGCCATAAACTCCGAAGACCGCCCAAAAGAAGAAGTCTATGCTCGAAAAAATGAAGAAGAAGACTCAGCAAAGCGATCCGCTTAGTCGACCTCCTCAACGGTGGGGCCGTCATCGCCGCCAGCGCCGGGGGCAGCACCTCCGGGAGCGCCACCGGGCATGCCGCCGGGCATACCACCCTCGCCGCCAGAGCCGTAGAACTTCATCATGATGGGGTTGGCAACAGACTCAAGCTCCTTCTGCTGGGACTCGTACTCGTCCTTGGTAGCAGTCTGGTTGTCGTCCAACCAGGTGACGGTCTTGTCAATCTCAGCCTTGAGCTTCTCCTTGTCGCCAGCATCAAGCTTCTCATCGACCTTGGAGTCGGAGAGAGTGTTGCGGAGCGAGTAAGCGTAGGACTCGAGAGCGTTCTTAGCGGAGATACGGGAAGCCTCGGCCTCATCCTCCTCCTTGTACTTCTCGGCCTCAGCAAGCATGCGCTCGATCTCCTCCTTGGAGAGACGGCCCTTGTCGTTGGTGATGACAATCTTGTTGGTCTTGCCGGTACCCTTCTCGAGAGCAGAGACGTTCATGATACCGTTGGCATCAACATCGAAGGTGACCTCAATCTGAGGAACACCACGGGGCGCAGGCGGGATACCGGTCAGCTCGAACTTGCCGAGCAAGTTGTTATCCTTTGTCCTCGCGCGCTCGCCTTCGTAGACCTGGATGAGCACACCGGGCTGGTTGTCGCTGAAGGTGGAGAAGACCTCAGACTTCTTGGTGGGGATGGTGGTGTTGCGCTTGATAAGAGCAGTCATGACACCACCAGCGGTCTCGATACCGAGAGAAAGCGGCGCGACGTCGAGCAGGAGGATCTCGTTGGTGGACTTGGACGAAGTGTCGCCGGACAGGATAGCAGCCTGGACGGCAGCACCGTAGGCAACAGCCTCATCGGGGTTGATGGACTTGTTGGGCTCCTTGCCGTTGAAGAAGTCAGAGACCATCTTCTGGACCTTGGGGATACGGGTGGATCCACCGACGAGGACGATCTCGTGGACGGTGGACTTGTCGATCTTAGCATCGCGAAGGACACGCTCGACGGGCTCCATGGTGGAGCGGAAGAGGTCCTGGCAGAGCTCCTCGAAACGAGCACGGGTGATCGAGGTGTAGAAGTCAATACCTTCGAACAGGGAGTCGATCTCGATGGAGGTCTGGGCAGACGAAGAAAGGGTGCGCTTGGCCCGCTCGCAGGCGGTGCGGAGACGGCGAAGAGCACGAGCGTTGGAGGTCAAATCCTTCTTGTGTTTACGTTTGAACTCAGAGGTGAAGTGGTTGACAAGACGGTTGTCGAAGTCCTCACCACCCAAGTGAGTGTCACCAGCGGTGGACTTAACCTCGAAGATACCCTCCTCAATGGTCAAGAGGGAGACATCGAATGTACCACCACCCAAGTCGAAGATGAGGACGTTGCGCTCACCCTCGGTCTTCTTGTCAAGACCGTAGGCAATAGCAGCGGCGGTAGGCTCGTTGATGATACGGAGGACGTTGAGGCCAGCAATGAGACCAGCATCCTTGGTAGCCTGACGTTGCGAGTCGTTGAAGTAGGCGGGGACTGTGACGACGGCGTTGTTGACGGTGCCACCGAGGTAGGACTCGGCAGTCTCCCTCATCTTGACGAGGACCATGGAGGAGATCTCCTCGGGTGTGAAGGTCTTCTCCTCGCCCTTGAACTCGACCTGGATGACGGGCTTGCCAGCCTTGTCAATGACCTTGAAGGGGAAGTGCTTCATGTCAGCCTGAACCTCAGCATCGGCGAACTTGCGGCCGATGAGGCGCTTGGCGTCGAAGACTGTGTTGATAGGGTTCATGGCGACCTGGTTCTTCGCGGAGTCACCAATGAGGCGCTCTGTGTCGGTGAAGGCAACGAACGACGGTGTCGTCCTGTTACCCTGGTCGTTTGCGATAATCTCAATGCGGTCATCTGGAGTATGTTAGCAGATGTAAAGTCAAGACAAAGCGGACTTCCTTACCTCTGAAGATGCCTACGCAAGAGTAGGTTGTACCGAGATCAATACCGATGGCAGACATGATTGCGGTTATGTGTAGTGTGGGGTATCAAAGAAAGGAAACGCTGTTGGATGCTCACAAGTCGGTGACTTGATTATAGTGAGGCTTTGCTTTGGTGGTTGTTTGATGTTCTGAAGACGTGGAAGAGCAACGGCGGGGTGGGCTTTTAAAAGCGTGGGCGAGACAGATTTTTGTAGAGAAGCGCGTGGAATCTCGTAGACCAAGAACTTCACGGAACCTTCTGGTTGGCGCGCAGCCGCTGTGACCCACATCGAGACGCTGCCTGATTGTTCCTGAAGGTACTTGGCCCTGTTTCATTCACACTAAAGGCGATTGCGGGCTGTTGTGACCCATCGAGCCGCGCTGAAGCTTCTTGTGCATTCTTTCTGCTGCCGTTCTCTGCGGTTGCTATGACGAGGTTCTACCCCACTAGACCCGTGCACGGCCGACGACGGCAAGCGAAATCGTAGCCCCACCCTCGCCACCTCACCAGATATTGACAAACCCTTGCTCAAGGACGTCGAGAAGCCAGTCGAGGCATCTTGAACAAGTGTTGTCAATATCTCGACGCTGTCGGTACAGTCAGAAAGCCTTGCAAGGCTTCAACAAATACAGCCTTGCTGCCTGTCATGCACCGCCACCCAGCCTGATTGCAGTCGCTGTTTGCAGCCAAGGAGGGGCGTCAATCACGAACTACTTGCAGTCACAAACATGTACGGGCTTGTTCGCGCAACGAATGGTCTACCAGATACGCAGCAGGACGACGAGCTTACACAGTACTGGCTCGAGAAGTAAAGACCAGCGAATTGAAGTGTGTTGCCCCACAGTAAGGAAGATGGCGTGTATCAGTCCTGGCGCATTCACAGAGAGTGTCTTGATCACGACGCGTTGTCCATGTCTCATCTGGCATCCGACCCAACTGCTGTGTCGACGATATGCCCGGCTTTTAGCATCGATGACCCAACCCATCTGAGTACAGTCACATACGAGATCAAGATGTTTAGATCCGAATGATGGAGTAAGGGAAACAAACCAACGCTTCTGGGTATTCGACAAGTCCACGATACTGTCCAGATTGATCGATGTACACTCAATTGATCTCGACTGCTCTCGACCGTTGACTCCTTCATCAATTTCGATACGTCCGTGCTCAAGAGCTGTCAATTATCCTTGCGCCTGAAGGCATTGTTCGGTTCAACACACTCATCTCATGTATTCTGATCTTACTAGGTCATTTGTACACTTGACATTACTTCCTTTGGCAATTCTACTCGTAAGAGACCTGCCCAGCTTTGAGGTTGACGCGTTCGAGTTTTCAGCATTCAACTATGTTCTTTATACGGTCAAAAAATCACAACGCCGCAACTATGACCTCATTTAGAAGGGAAATGAGCCCGCGAACGACACCGATACAGAGCTACTATCGACCCATAAAATCTCACACTAATTCTCACACCTACATCGAATCACAGGGGTGGGCGTCAAGATGAAGGGCTACAGAGAGAATCTAATCGCAGCCGCTCTAGCACACCGACGAGACCGATTAGTCTACAGTAAGTTGACATGAGTGCTGGACTCAGTCACTTGTCGAGAGGAGAGTGCCTCTGCATGCCGAATGGAAGGGTAGCGGAGATTAGCTTCTCATAAACGGCCGTGCGCAAGCTGTGAAGCTCTCAGCGTTAGTCGCAACTCGTTGCAAACACATGTTCGGCGCAGCAGACGCTCGAGCAAGCAATACCGTTGACAAGCATGTCATGCAGCTACACATCCACTAATTTCATCGTTGCTCTGTGATCGATGGGCGCGTCAGCCTTGCGCACAGTTCCGTGGCTGCCGACACTTGACACTGCATGACGTCACCGCGATAGGTCAATCTGCGGGGATGGAAGCTCGACAGCTTGATTGACAAGCTCCCAGCCGCACTTCGGAAGTGATACCAGACCTCCTCCTTTCATCTCCAGCGTTCGATAGCCATTTACCGTTTCTTCTGTATCTCGTAATATACCCAATTCTCTCACAATGCTCCGCAACGGTGCCACACGATTCGCCAGGTCGATAACCGCGTCGGCTGCGCGTCCATTCGCACCAGCTCCACGAGCGGCTCCTGCACGCCAATGGGCAACACAGTTCGGATCCCTAGCCTCGAAAAGACCACAGGCAGCACAGTTGGCACGCGTCACACCCACTCAAACCATAATCTCGCGTCGAAACCTTACGAAAGACCAGAAGAAGGCTGAAGATCGATATGCACACGAGAAGCTGGAACCTACACCGGAGACCGTTTCCACAACTAGCTCCATCCACCCTGTCTTTTCAGAACAAGGTGTTGAAAATCCCGAGAAAGATGTCGATATGATGAAGGGCGTGAAGAGCGATCTTGTAAGCTGAACTGGCCGAAGCTGTCTGGAGACACTGACACCCTTAGGAAACCATTCGCGAGACCTTCAGTCTGAAGGAAGTCCCCAGAGAGGCGTACTATATGGGTCTTGCAGGCACAATTCCCTACCTCGCGACGTCCCTCGCTACAGTTATCTGCGCATACGACATCAACCACGCTGTTGCCGGACAAGGCCTCTTCTTCTCAGAGCACACAGCTACGCACCTACTCCACCTCCTCGAGCCTGTCCAGATTGGCTATGGAGCGAGTGTATGATTGCCCGTGCTGCGAAATTGGATATGTGCTAATGTTATACAGATCATTTCATTCCTAGGTGCCATTCACTGGGGCCTGGAATGGGCCAAGTATGGAGGGGTCCATGGCTACCCTCGCTACGCAATCGGTGTCTTTGCTCCTATGGCTGGCTGGAGCGCGACTGTCATGCCCATTGAGTCTGCGCTAATCACCCAATTCGTCAGCTTCGTTGCCCTTTACTTTGTCGACACTCGTGCTGCGCTCAAGGGCTGGACGCCTCCATGGTGTAAGTATATCTGTTCAGGACCTTGAGAGTAACAACGCTAATCCAGTCGCTTCTACAGACCGCGAGTACCGATTCATCCTGACTTTCATCGTCGGCGCCAGCATTGTGATCAGTTTGATCGGTCGCGGAGAGGTTACTGCGAAGGTGGGGAGAATGCCAGGTGCGGTTGATCGCATCAATGCGCTGCGCGAAGGGTCCGCGGAGCGACTTGCGGAGGAGGAGGAGGCGAGAGTCGCAGCCAAGAAGGATGCCGCGGCCAGCGATGACAGGGGCGAGCACTGAGTTGTGGCGATCGGCAAGGTCCATTGTATTTGTGGGGGTGTAGTCACATGTGAGGATTGATTTTCCGGATTTTCCGACTTCTTGGCAGGATAACCTTGGGCTCACGTAGGCGTAATTGGATATTTTGTGCTGTGCCTCGAGCTTGGACAGTAAATGCACAACTCTATTTGGCTACCGTGTGTTACCGGTGTTCCGAGCATGGGGTTTTGAGCCTCATCGATTGCTAATGCCATAAACTCTGGCTGTGGAGCACGCGTGCTGATCGGCCCACTATACTGATTTCACAATGATCACGACGCGCGGATGGACCGCCTTAGCTGCGCGTTTAGGCCCTTTGCAGGCCCAAGAATCGACGATGATTTCTTGGAAGAGACGAGAACTCGCGAAGGACGGCTTACCCTGTTTAGCTGGCTTGAGGCTGAGATTTCCGGCACCCACCTGACGTTCCGCTCCCACGAATTGTTCCCCTCATAGCTCAGGTCCCCCGCTTTCCCCTACACCAACCCCTCATCGTCATAAGCCCACGCGCAGTCGCGTGCCGATTTGACTCCGAATCCTTTGCGCGCCGTACGATGATCCCTTTGCCTTCAACTTGCACTGCCCTGCATATCTCATTGTCCAGCCCTTGATTATTCCTACACCAAAGTTCGGTGTTCTTTCGCGCGAGCGGCATCGCATATACGGCACAACCACCTCGGAACTACAACAACCAATTGCACGCGACGCGCATACCGGAAAATCTCCAGTGCACACGGAGAAATTAGGTATATCCCTCTGCAACACCACGCAACAATCTGCAAACACCGAATATCGCTGTAAAACATGGCGATTCAAGAGATCTCTGCGAGGGCTGAGCCGCAGCCAAAGCCTAAGGAGCAACTAGTAGATGATTCACAGGATCAACTCCTCGATGAGGAGAAGCTCGAGAAAGTGTTTATTGGTTCGATCGACCAGGGAACCACAAGTACACGATTTATCATCTTTGATGGCATGGGCGAGGTAAAGCATCCTGCACGCGTGTAGAACTGCTGTGACTGACTTGCTGGCAGCCGGTTGCGCAACACCAAATCGAGTTCACTCAGCACTATCCACAGTCGGGATGGCACGAGCATGATCCGTATGAGCTTGTTAGCACTGTTGAGACATGTATAGAAAAGGCTACCGGCATTTTCGAAGACATGAACTACGACATCTTAGACATTAAGGCTGTAGGAATCACCAACCAGCGCGAAACCACTGTTGTATGGGACACCAACACTGGTGTGCCGCTCTACAACGCGATCGCGTGGCCTGACACAAGAACTAAGGGATTGGTGCGAGAGCTCAAGAACAGGGAGGGAGCGGACGAGTTACTTCAGTTGACTGGACTGCCGCTGTCTACATATCCAGCCTCGGTGAAGCTGGTTTGGCTCATCGAACACGTTGAGGAGGTTCGCAAGGCGTACGATGAGGGCCGCTTATCGTTCGGTACCGTCGATACCTGGATCTTGTACAACCTGAACGGTGGAAAGGAACGCGATATCCACGTCACCGACTGCACGAACGCCTCGCGAACCATGTTCATGAACCTGCATACCGTACAATACGACGACAAGCTTCTGGACTTCTTCGGACTCGACCGCAAGAAGCTGAATCTGCCCAAGATCGTCCCCTCGTCTTCTCCTGATGCCTTCGGTTCCCTTGCAAGAGGAATTCTCAAGGGCGTACCGATAGCAGGCTGCCTGGGTGACCAGTCGTCCGCGTTGGTCGGCCAGCAAGGATTCACTCCTGGATCCGCAAAGAACACATACGGAACCGGTTGCTTCTTGCTGTACAATGTTGGCGAGAAGCCCGTCATTTCAACACACGGTCTGCTCGCAACGATTGCATACGACTTTGGAGGCAAGCGCAAGCCTGTATACGCCCTCGAGGGAAGTATAGCTGTGGCTGGGTCTGGTGTCAAGTTCCTGATGAACAACATGGGCTTTATCACACACTCGCACAAGATCAGTGACCTGGCAGCGAGCGTTGAGGACAATGGCGGGTGTGTCTTCGTCACAGCATTCTCCGGTCTCTTCGCACCCTATTGGATCGACGACGCGAAGGGCACAATCTTCGGCATCACACAATTCACAGAACAGGGCCACATTGCGCGAGCAACACTCGAGGCAACCTGCTTCCAGACCAAGGCAATTCTCGATGCCATGGAGCTGGACTCTGGGCACAAGCTCAACATGCTGGCTGTTGACGGTGGCATGAGCAACAGCAACCTCTGCATGCAGGTCAGTGCACCGTGACATCACACCACGGCTCAAGCGGGGCTAATATCTCCACAGACACAAGCGAACATTATCGGCATCCCCGTCGACCGCCCCGCCATGCGCGAAACGACCGCGCTTGGAGCCGCTATTGCCGCTGGGTTTGCCGTCGGCATATGGAAGGAGTTTGACGAGCTGAAGGAAATCAACCAGAAGGACCGCATGGTCTTCGAGCCCAATGTCACCCAGGAGGATGGCGCGAAGATGTTCAAGAAGTGGTAAGTGCACCATATTTCTATCACACTCGTAGCTAACGTATTCAGGAACCGCGCTGTGCAGATGTGCAAAGGCTGGCTGGACGCTGATGAGACCAACGGCGAGTTCTCGTAATCCGTACATAATTGAGAGCGTTTATATATCCTATGCATATTTCTACATCACACCACGATCAGAGCAGCCACGACAACTCATACGATGCATGCATCTACGTGCTACGCTGGAGGATTGCAGTACTGACAGATACATGTGCTTGACACTGCAGTTCCAAGATCATTAAGGATGTATTACTGGGTATATGCCACCGATCTAGTCAACACCGGATGCCAAACGCCGCGCCATGCTATGCAATGCTCTCTTTCTTCCCTTCTAGAACCCCATCATCATCACAAACCTCGCCGAACTGGTCTGTCACCCAACCTCAGCATCAGGAAACCACTGCTTAATCCCGCGATCCAAGGCCTTCGGCCCCACCGGCTTGACCAGATACCCATCGCTTCCCGCTTCCTGCGCATTCAGTCGATCGCTCGGACTATCCTGGCCCGTCACAATGAAAACAACGCTCTTATCCCACCCATACTCCTTCTCCAGCGCGCGGATCTGGCTCGTGGCATCGATTCCATCGCAGACCGGCATCTGCAGGTCCATCAGCACGAGGTCGAAGGGCCGAGGTGTAGGTGTAGGCAGGATGGAGAGTCTGGTTTTCTCCTCCTGTGCAGGCGTCGGCGTGGCGTCGGAAGGCGCGCGGTGCGCGGCGAAGAGCTTGACAGCTTGCACGCCGTCGGTGGCGGTGCAGTATGGCAGGCCGCGGCGCTTGCAGTACATTTCCAGCAGGCGGAGGTTGACGGTGTTATCGTCGACGAGGAGTGTCATGGGTTTGTTCGAACGGGGGGGAGGAGGACTAGGTTTTTGCGCAAAGCGTAGGGCGCCGACGGATTTTGTGAGTTCGGCTTCAACAACGTCTTTCGGGAATATCGAGCCGCGGTGGATGAGGTCGGGTGCTGTGAAGCCGGCATCTTCTTCGGCGGGGTCGAATGCGGGCGTTGCTGGAGGAGTTGGCTCGAGGGTGATTCCGCCACCCGGCAAGATCAAGTGAGCGGCTTTCTCTGCCGCGTGGGTGGCGAAAATGGCGTCGGCTTCTGCGAGAACGTCCTCGATCTCACGCGACGTGAACGGTCCCTTTGTAAAGATCACATTGTTATCTCGTAAGAACCGTTCTCCGGCAAAGTTGATGACCGTGTCGTTCTCGGGTACCAGGCAGATAGCAACTTGATCATCCCGTACTCGTTTGGTGGTCTGGTAAAGCTTCGCAAGGTCGTGTGTGTAATCCAACGTCAAAAGGGATTCTGAGGGATTCTGAGATTCTTTGTACCCCAATCCGCTGAGATATGCCGCGAAGTTGTTGCCGAGCAGTGACGTAAGATCGTCCGCCGGAAGCCTGTTGAACACCGGTGGCAGATTGCTGAATGTTCTTCGATTCGGTGAAAGTGACGAGGCGCATGTCGGGTCGTTGAAAGTGAGACGGAAGTGTGATCCTCTGCCAACTTCGGACGACACTAATACGATACTGCCATTCATAAGAGTCGCTAACTTTACAGCCAATGTCAAACCAAGGCCAGCATCAGTAGTGTGGTTGTTGACCTTTTCGTAGGCACCGAAAATTCGTTGTTGGTTGTCTGGCTTGATTCCGCACCCATTGTCCTCGATATCGACCACCAGAGATTTGAAGTCGTCAGTGACTGATATCATCACTACCACAACACCGCCTGCAGTGTTCTGGACTGCATTTAGCAAGAGGGGCTGAATACAATCGATAAGGAGGCGCAGATCCAAAGACAGAGTATCGCATCGAGGCGGAAATCGGTGGTTCAGTATAAGCGATGGCCGCACACTTGCATCGTCGGGCAAGAATAACGTGAGTTCGTTCAACAGTGCCACTTCAATGTCTTCAATCTTGTGTGCTGCGACGACTCGTTGTGCTTCTGCAACATCAGCCCACTGGTTGAGCTTGATAAGACTGTTGACCGTCGAGATCAGCTCCTTTGCAGACGACCGTATCGTTTTGATGTATGCGTAAGGATCCAGCGCGCTAAGTTGTTCGTCACTGGGCGTACCGTCCGGGGTCGACTCGACAGTCGCGCTGAGTATGTTGCGCGACTTCAACTCCTCGGTCAGAAGATCGACGGATCCAAGAATACCGTGAATGGGTGTCCGCAGCTGATGCGTGATACCGCGTAGAAATGTCTCTTTCGCTTGCAAAGCCTCTTTGAGCGCTTGGTTTTGCCAGTAGCGGCACAATGAAGTCGCGCACATCTGTACAAACCATGTATCAATATCGTCGTACACGTTTCGAAAGTCCTTGGTGCCTACAACAAGGTATGTAGGTATCTGTCGGCTTGCGCATTGCGAAGTCACGATCCGTATTGACTTCGGTGCTACCGGTTCCTGGTGATTGAGTTGCTCAATGATATAGTCGAAGTAGTCGCTGTCTTCCCACAGTCCATGTTCAATATACTGTGTAGGCACACTGGTCCCGTCCCCGAGGTGAAGCACGTCATTTGGCGCAACGATTATCTTGACCAAACTTCCAGGGTACACTTGGTGGAGCATGTTCGTGACGGCCTCTTCCAAATTCTGGTCCGTTGCCAGTAGCCTTTGGAGCTCTGTTAGCAGATCCAGCAAGTGCCGCCGCTCCCTTTGACGTCTGACTCTGTGGGCTTGAACAATATCAGACACGATCCAGTCCGCCAGGCGTGCGAGCGATCTCTGCTGCTCTTTGCTAAGCGGCTCCTGTACTGAGTTCGACGCTACACAAAGCGACCCAAACGCAACATGCTCGCCATACTCGGTCTCAAATCGCAAAGGGGCGCCAGCGTATGCGCGAAGACCGCCCACCTCGACATGGGGAGACTCTCGAAACCGCCAGTCGTCTATCATGTTCAGCACGGTAAAGATTGCCTGCCATGGTGTCAGCACAAATCAGTCAGGACAGGATGACACTTACACCAGGTGGTTGATTGACGGTGTGAGCGCAAGTGCTCTCGCGGCGGGGCAGCACAGCCAAAGGAAGTCCCACAGTCACCATACGAGTGTATGTGTTGTGGTTAAGAAGACCAGCGATAACAAACTCCCATCCGACCGTGTCTTGCGCCAGATAAACTTTTTCTTGCAGTCTCGACTGAAGCTCAACGTCCTCAAGCGCGCCTCGAGTATAGTAGTAGAGCATCGTCAGACGCAGCCTCTCGTTGCGTGTGAGCACCGGGAACAGGTACCGGTCGGTAGCACATGGCATCGACGGCCTGGCCGGAATGGTTGCCGGCGCCCAAACATCTGTCTGATCTGGATAGATGTGCTGTGCAACCTCGATAGACCAGTTATTCAAAGCCCTAGTAGCATTATCGACATCAAGGATTGGCGAAATTTCACTTGGTCGTTCCGAGGGGGGCGCATGCTTCGAGCGAAGGACAGCTGCATCGGCCCTGGGGAAGAACGGTGTTCGCTTGTTGTCCTTGAAAGACATCGAACCACGCGCCGGGCCGAGGACCAGAACTGGACCCCGCCACCCAAGAAGAAAAGAGACTCGGACGCAACTGCGAGCTCACGAGAAAACGCAGACGATGTGATATGGCTAATAATGTCTCGCGACAGGTCTTGGTGGCAATTGCTGAATTGCTGCGAATGGTCTGATGAGTGCCTAGCACGGGCCTAGCCGGAAGCCAGAAGCCAGTGAGCAACGGTTCCCGTGTCGCGTGTGTGTCTGGACCGGTCTGCAGGTCATTCCGGGGACCTGGAGGAGGTCGGCGCTCGAATGGCCCTCGACGACACAAGACCGCAGTCAATGTTGGAAGAGGTACGTAGAGTCGTTGAAACGACGTTGAGTGTATAGCTGCGAAAAGTTGCTTTTGCGGGGGCCACTTGCATCCGCGATCTCGATTCGCTTGAGGCCTGGATGAAAGGACCGTATCCCTGGACACGGGCATTGCCGATTGAGAGGCGCGTCTTCACAGGAAGCCGGGGCTGGAGTGATCGGAACATTCATGCCTATTGCCTAGGCAGGACGCGTGCCTGATCATCGTTGTGCTGCAGGAGGCATTGAGATCGGAGCTGACCTAACAAACCCTCCGCTGTTGCACTGCACCATCCCTGCAGTCCTTCAGCCTCATTTTCCATCGAGAAGCTTTGTCATCGTAAGAACAGACACGTTCCTTTACTATCGAAGCGTTTCCGAGCTTTCCGCGACGAACCTGTTATTGGCCTCTTCGAACGTTGTTCTGGCGCGACACCAAGCTTTGTGATTCCATTGAATTTCCACGTGCCAAACACGTTACCCATGTTTGAAAAGCCCACCTCGAGACCCTGCAGCCGTTGCTTCCAACATCGGAACCCAATCTCCGTGTTGCTGGTCGGATAAACGGTCTGTTCTTCTTTACTAGCGCAAACGTGCTGAAGCGAGCAATTGATTTTTTTGACGGCTTCATCTCGCACCTCCACTTCGGTAACTGCTCGCGTTTTTCTAGGTCACGTGCTAAACATGTGCAAATCGCGCAGGTGGGCTTCGAATCTCACTAAACCAACCATTCATCTATAAGAATTACGTCCTAGCTGAGATCAAACCCAGCCCCACTGAATACGCTATACAGCAGCTTCTCCTTCAATAGTTCATAGTCCCTGTACATCGGCAGCTTCAGCAGGTTGACACATGTGCTCGTACTCGGCAGCCGCTCTTGGTCACTCCCACCGTCTCTGATACTGAATCTTGGATTCAACGTTCCGAATCCCAACAGCGGCGCCCTTGGTGTTGAAGTGACGAATTTGAGGACAGCACGCCGCTCATCGTCGTTGATGTCTTTCATAATCCGCCAGAAGAGCTGGATGGTCGGGTGCTCGAGGCCATCATCGCCAATCACGTAGGTTCCACCGTAGATGGTATTGCGGCGCAGGTCCTCGACGTCAATCTGCGTGCGGGTGCCAGAGATGAGGGTCTGGAGTTCCGATTGGTTAAACATGGAAAGCCACGAAGGTTGGATCATGGTGCTGAGGCCGCGCAGGAACGCCGCCGTTTGCAGGTAGGGCTGGTTCTGCAGGCGGTGGCGCGCCATGTAGCTGATGTAGACGAGACGGTTCTGGTTGGTAACCGCTGTATCGGCGCCGCCAGGTTTGAGGTCTTTGGTGATGGTTTTCGTCTTGTGAGGAGATGTAGTATGCTTAGTAACAACGGTGTCGGTGACAGTGAAGTTGAGTGAGAAATCCTCGACATCGCCAGTGTAGGTTTTGAGCTTGTGAAGACCCTGGTACAGCTCCTCGTCGAGATCGCGAAGATCATTCAGGGTTGGTCGGTAGCCAGATTCGTTAGGGGCAGAGCCAGTGCCGCCTGTCAATGCCCATTTGCGAAGGAAGAATGGTGCGAAGTTGACGTCCACCAAGATACCTTCGTACAAGCACTTGCCAATGATGCGTCCAAGAAACTCGTAGCGATGAAGCAGTTCGGTAATATGTAGTCGGAACTCGGGCGAGTTCTCACGCAGGCCAGCTTGCTTCAGTTGTTCTTTGTGCTCCTCGACCGCTGCCGGGTTTGGATAGAGCAGGTGCTGGTCGTTCTCGACGAACATGTCGACATTGTCTGAGGGCATGAAAGCGCGGTTTGTGACGCTGGTCAGGAACTCTTTCGTTACACCACCGCCGTCGATTCCAGCCTCAGGAGCGTCGAATTGATCGACAAAGGTGATCTGTATGGGCTCTTTGAGTCCCTGACCCAGCGAGTAGAACTGCTCGTAAGCATCCTCAAACTCGTTGTCACGACGAATGCGTGCGGAGTGCTTGTCACCAGGCCCACCACCAAACATCATCCTCGCGCGCCAAGCCTCAGGATCGGCAGTGTTTCTCCGTTTCGTCATATCGAGGTGGACGAATTCGCGGAAGATTTTGACGCGAGTTGTAAACGGTATGAAGAACGGCATGTTCTGCAAGATCTCCAAGCGCGGTGCAACAGCCTGCAGATACCTTCTGCGTGAAGCCTTGCGCTGCTGACGTTGTAACCTCTCCAGTCTACGCTGCTGTTGCACACGGCTTGTCCCGATCAATTGTGGCGTGTCATCGATGATCTCTTCCTCCTCGTCCACATCGTCAGCATCCTCGTCTTGGATCTTGTGTCGTGATTCTTCCTCCTCCACGACAGCCGGAATAAAGCCAGTCATGTCGAAGCGTGAAGTCATCAGCCAGTGATCCGAGGGCAAAAAGTTGCGACGGGAGTCCCTCTCATACACCATGCGCAGAAGCCCGGTAACTAGGCCTTTGACATAGTCAAGACTGAGGCCTGCAACTCCGCCAACCGAGAGTTCCTGCGCCTCTTTGGCTGGCTGAGACTCCGCAACCTGATGGCTGTAGAAGTTGAGACCGGTATTTGCGGTTGTGCGCTCCTCTGCTGGAGTAATGTCTGCTGCGTTGAAGTACAGTGTAAACCCAAGGTTCTTCAAGAATGTTGTTAGATTCTTGACTTCCGAGAGAGGGAGACCGCTATCGCGGACTTGGCTGGAGAAGGCATCCTGTTGTCCCGCAGCGAAAAACTCTTCGTCGTCTGTGACCTTCAACACGAACGTGTACAACTCGAGAAATACCAGAATGACTCTCCATTCATCAGCGATAGCTGCTTCGCGGTTGATCTCTTGCTGCGCTGGCTGCCAGAAGCCGTGCTGCGTCAGACTCGAAGCAGAAGGCTCTGATGTCTTTGCCTTCAAAAGCTCGATTGCAGCGCGGGAGTCGCGGAAGATGATCGAGAATACTGATGAACGCTTTGAAGCTTCCCAGAAGTACCTGATGGCAGGTGACTTGCGTCCACTCTCCTTCTTGTCTGGAGGGCCGATGTACAGCCACATCCGTATCTCGTCGCCTCTTTTGGGGAAGAACCGGAGTAGGGCAAGAGCATAGTTTGCGAGCTGTCTTGCCTCTTCGATCTTGTCATCCTCGGAAACCTCAGACGAATGCGACGATCCAGCCAATAGGCTGCCAATACCTTCTTGGTTCACCAAAGACTGCACTTGGTCTTTCAGAAATTGAGTCACTCTATCCGTAGCAAAGTCGTCCTGATCGGTAAGATCTATGACATCATCTTCTTCACCGAGACTGTTGACTGAAATAGAGTTCAAAAGCAATGACACTACCGTGACAAAATCTTGATGAATCGCATAAGCTTCTGGCCGATTGAAGTTGTGTGCATATCGATGAAAGTAGATGAACAGCCCAAGCAACCGCAGCCGGCTTGTCGGACTTCGCATCTGCGGGTACGCCTGTACGCCTGAGGTCTTGAACGAGGTAGCCAGTGCACTCGCAAGTAACTTGTAGTTTATCGACTCAGCGAGCGAGTCTCTAAAACGGCATAAAAGAGGCAACGTCGAGTCAGAGCTCAGCAACGGAAGCGTCAGGAAGATATGACCAAAAGCCTCATATGCGTCCAGGGTGTATCCAGTCACTGTCTTGAGTGGCACCAGGATTGTTTCGAGGAAGGTTTCCCAAGATTTCCAGTTGCTGGCTTCCGCATGAATGTCTTGCGCACCTTCGACAGATGGATCTGCCAAGGCTGGCGCGAGCGCTGATATGGTTTCGGCAAGGGTCCGATAGTAGGGTTTCGCATGTTGCGATGTTTCCGATGGAATCTGTCCTGCGACAAACCTTAGGATAGAGATAAGGTTTTCATGTGACCGGGATGTCGGGCCTTTATTTTGTCGCTGCAGAGCCGCCAGCAGCAACTTCTCATATTTCACATGTGCCGATGGCCAGGGTTCGTCGCGAAACCCATCCTCCGCCTCTTCCACCAACCGAAGTCGATCTCCGAAGTGTCGTATCCGTTCGAGATCCTGCTCCTCTCGTGTGGAAGCAAACCGCAACAGCCGGTGTAGCTGTGACAACGCGGATTTCTCGTGGTACATCGGGTCTGCGGCCTCAAAGGCGTCCCATTCCTGCCTTAGCAAGTCGGCGACCCTCCGTCTGCTTGCATGGCCTCGCCACACTCTTTGTATCTGCTTAGCCGCATTGAGCGTGTCGCGATCTCGCTGTCTCTGTGCTCGTTCTTGCTGGGCTCTGTCGAGAGCAGCTTGCGAACCGGCGCCGGTGCCCGTTGTGCCGAACGGGTTCGTCTTTCGGCCTGAGAGGTTGACCTGACGCGGCCGCCGTGTATTGCCGGTGAAGTTGGTGAACATGGTCTCGAGCGACGCTCTCCGTGGAGATGCTGCAACTAAAGGCAGATCCGCCGACGGCGACCAATATCTGGTGCTGTAGCTAGCCCTCCAGTCTGCGGACTGTGTGGGCTTTATGCAGTGCGGTCGTTGCGGTCGTGTAGATGTGGACTCGTTGTCCGGCCAAGCGCTACGTCAAGATTGCGGGTTGCGGCATGGGTATATTGTTGGTGAGACGTGAGACGAACGCAAAAGACGAAAGAGGTGCACTGGAAGGCACGAGCGAGCGTGAAAGGCGAATCGCCTTCGAGTGGCTTCTATCAAGCTCCAACAGGCATCATGAAGGTAGTCAGCATTACCGCTGTAAAGTCCGGCCGAGGCTCCGCCCGTGCACTGACCTTGACGCCATCGAGCCACTTTCACCATCGCCGCCTTTATTCGCGCTGGCACTACTGGGATCTGACAGCAATGCACAACAAAGTTACTGCAGCTCGCCGACATCTAATGTATTGCAATATATCTGCATGTCGCATACACGGCTGCCAGCCTACTTTCAGCACCTCTCCAAGTCTACCAAGCGCACTTCTATGCCTTAGTATAAAAGAAACTTCTGCTCTGACGCGTGCAATGAGAACAGCATAGATCGCTCAAATTCTCCAGGTCAAGATGTGCCGAACCGCAGCTGCGTCTAGGTTATCCAAACTCCCTCTTATCTCTCTCCCTCGACTTCAGCCGATTAACTAAGCAGAACCCCTCTTGTTGAAACCCTTTTTCCTTTCCATCCCAAATGTACTCACTTTTCTTCAGACTGTGGTATTCTCCAGACTGTGGTATTCTCCAGACTGTGGTATTCTTCAGACTGTGGTACGGTTGGCTCAGCCCTAGACCGGCAACCATTCGTGAGCGAAGACATATCGTCAGTCTACGGGACGGGGTTTTAGAACCAAGTTTACACAACATGGACCTTCAATAGAAGGAGCAAGTCTCGCACCACCAATATGATCTCCATCTTCTCTTCTCCCACTACAATCTCTCATCCAAAAAAAAACCCTCATCTCACGTTTTTCCCTTCCATACAGGAGGACTGAATATCCTGAAATGCCATCCCTATACATCTGGAGCAGCGCCTCCGGCTCAGCCGAGACACTCCCCTCATACGATGGGGATGTCGTGCTACCCACATACGAGCGATATCCCGCGTCACAAAGATGGCTAGGCACCAGCAGGCTCCGCTCAGTATTATGGAGGCAGCAAGAGCGCGATCTGGAGCTGGGCAACATCGAGCGCGAGGACGACACCATCTCGACGCCCGCGAATATATACGAGCCGTCATACCTCCCGCCACGGTATGACTGGATCTACCCACGCCATCCAGTCCCGGCTCCACCACCATCACCAGCACCACGAGTGCCTCCAACGCCAGCAGCACCCGCACCGATAGTCTTCGCGGACGAGTTGGGCAACTTCAGGCCGGTTCGACGTGAGAGAACTAACGAGGAGGGTATAACTGACATGCCCCCTTTGCGACGTTTTTCGGGTCGTCGACAGTCTCGTTTGAGCAGACGGCCTCGTTTCAGCAGGGAGAACCGCAAGGGCATCGCTGCTATTGTGATTGTGATTTTATCTGTAGTGGTTATGATTTTTTACGAGGTGTTTTATAAGCGAGATATCCAACAGCCGGCGCAAGGGGAATGGTTCAAAAAATGGTAATCTTAATTCAAACGCCATATGAATCTCGCATCCAAGGGAAGTATCCAGAAGTCAGAACGCCTCATGATGCATCCGTCTGTCATCTAATCGTTGTCTGCAAAGACCTGTGAACACATTTCTAACGCCGGCCATAAACAGTGTCCTCTTTCCTCTCCTTCCTGAACCCCAGACTACCCGCCTTCCTCGCGGGCTTCGGCGCCGTCGATTCTCCCCTCCCGCCGATCTCAGCCCCCTGTTCAAGCACCCTCCTCTTAGTGAAGATGTCCTGTTCAGGGCCTGCATCCATATGAGTGTGATCGTACTCGGCCTCGCGCTTGAAGAGGTTGAGGATGTCCTTCATGGAGAGCTTGCCGATGGCCTTGCCGCCCTCGATCGCGGCCTGCGCAAGTTTGCGCTTTGCCTCTTGAAGCTCGAGGATGCGCTCTTCGACACTGTTGTGGATGGAGAGACGATACACGGTCACGTCGACAGTTTGATTGAGGCGGTGGACGCGGTCAATGGCCTGTTCTTCGACGAACTGCGACGTGTTAGTATATAGGTAATGTCGAGATCAGAGAGAAATCTTACAGGATTCCAGAACGGCTCCATGATGACCACTCTCGACGCAGCCGTAAGATTTAGACCCAAACTTCCGCACTTCAGACTACACAGCAGCACCCGAGTGCGCTTGTCTTCGCGCAGCTTGTGCAAGCTGGCTTCACGCAGGTCATTACGCATGCTTCCATCGTAGCGAGTGAAGACGAAGTTCGCGCGCTTTAAGAATGGCTCGATAAGGTCGAGCATGGAGGTGAACTGCGAGAAGACAATGACTTTGTGGTCCGGTGTCTCCTTCTCCAGGATCTGGAGGAGCTGGCGGATCTTCGTCGACGGGACGAGGTCAGAAGCGTTGTAGTCGGAGTCTGACTCCTCTGTCGCAGACTCGTCTTCGTCTTCGTCTTCTGAGCCTGACTCCGATTCTGCCTCTGTGGTCGAGCCATCTTCGCGGTCAGACACAGGCCTGGCTATTCGGGGTTTCTCCTTTGTGAACAGCTTCTTGCGTACTATCGGCGCCTCATCCTCGCTGTCAGTATCGTGCACAATGAAAGAGTCCAGGTTGCTCTTGCTGTCATCGACGCTTCCAGTCGCTTGAGAGTCGATGGATGCCAATGTGTCACCGCCGCCTTCTGCGTCCTCGTCATCTGTACCCCCAGCAACACCGAGGTCTTCAGATTGTTGCTGGTCCTCGGGCACTAGCCATTCGCCCTCTTCTTCCTCGTCATCGCTGTCTACAATGACGCGGCGCTGACGGGATGCTTGTGAGGGCCGGACAACGTCCTCTTCGTCTTCGTCATCGTCATCCGTAGGATCTACTGTTTTAGATGACTTTTTCGTCTTCTCAGACCTGTGCTTGTCTTTGCGGTGCTTCTTCTTATGCTTCTTCATCTTCTTTGTCGAGGCGTTGAGATCTTCCTCGCAGTCATGGCAACGGATGGAACCGTTCGCAGCGTTGTCGCGATTGAGCGCTCGTTGACACAAATCACAGCGCTTGGTGGCCACACTCAAGCCACCGAGCAGATCCGCCAGGTCATCGGCATCGTCGCCCCGGGGGCCCTTTCGAGGAGTCTGAAATTCAGTCTGTGTTCCTTGTTTCGACCCCGTTGTCAACGCATCCTTGTCGTCCTTGACATTGCTCTTGGTGAGGTTGGGGTGGTTGCACGCCTGTCGCAAACGAAGCAGCAAGACCAAAGCTCCAATGTAGTCCTGCTTCGCGCCACCCATCAGCTCTTCAAGGCGGTCTTGGGCTCGAGTAGACAAGCGATCGTAAAAAGCGCGCTCTTTGGCCGTGAATTCTCCTATGACAGTCTCGACGTTTCGCTCAACAATCTGGAAGGCTGGTTTCTCTGCGCCGTCCTTGCCCTTCCCTCCAAACGTGAGCGCTCCGTCTTTTTTGAGCACATCCTTGGTTCGGCGCTTCATGAAGGCTTTGAGGAAGATCTGTAGTCGTCGCATGGCAAGGTTACCACGACCGTTCTTCATAGGACCAGTGATGGAATCTTTCCAAGCCGACATCTCACAGTACGGCTGGATGCGGAGGAATTTGATCAAGCTCTGTAGCTCATCGAGGTTGTTCTGCATCGGTGTACCAGTCAGACACCAACGATAGTGCGAGCGAACTTCATAACAAGCTTTTGTCATCTTTGCGTTGCGGTTCTTGATTGTGTGGGCTTCATCCAACATCATACGGTACCAGTGCACCGCAAAGCAACCCTTCTTGAGACCGTCCGGACCATCTCCACACTGCGCATGCTCGGATGCAAGGACTTGGTAGGTCGTGATGACGACGTCATACTGCTTAAGTTTGTCGGCTGACTTTGTGCGGTTGGGGCCGTGGTGTACAAGAACCTTCAGCGCATGCGTCTTCGCGACCTTTGTGTTGATCTCCGACTCCCACTGCTTGATCAGCGCCAGTGGAGCAACGACAAGTGTGCCTTTGCCAACAATATCCAGGATCTTGTTCTTCTTATTCTCGGGTTCAGCACCCTTCTCCGGTCTAGGGTTGGAGAGGATGAGTGCCATCGACTGCACAGTCTTACCCAGACCCATGTCGTCGGCCAAGATGCCACCCTTGGGGAGCTTCCCTCGCTTGTTGTGTGCTCCTGTTTCCTTCTCGATCATCCACGAGACACCGTCGACTTGATGCGGCAACAGGCTGACCTTCAGACCATCGACGAAGCCGTCGTCCTCGTCGTCCTCTGCTTCAGGCTCTTCAGGCTCAGGCTCTGGTTCCTTGTCCTCGACGCCCAACCCCTTAAGTCGGTCGGCCAGAGATTTGGTAGCATCCTTCGCCTCCTGCTTCTTCTTCTTTCGCCCTCGTGTGCGGGGAATCTTCTCTTCGTCTTCATCCAGCGCACCCTCAAGAAGTGCCTTGATGTTCTCGCTTGCTTGTGCCTGATCGACGTAGGCGTCCAAATCAGGTGCGCCGAACCGACCGCGATCTGCGAACACGGCGCCATCAGGGTCGAAATCATCCTCGTCGTCTAGGATGATCGTCTTCCGTGCCTCTTGCAGGGGATTGTGTGCACCTCTATTCACCGGCTGGAAGCCATTCCCGTGGCCGATCGACGAGTACAACGAGCGTGGCGGCGGCTGCATGGTCTGCGCAGGTGGGTTGAACGGCCGGGGTACCGGTACGCTGGCCGACGGTCGAGGCTGGAAGCTGCTAGCTGGTATCTCGAAAAGGTCATCGTCGATCGGTCGGCCGAAAGCGTCTACCTTGGCCGCAGGTTTTGCTGAACTGGATTGGTGAGGCTTGTGTGTAGGAAGAGCTTGTGGGTTTGGTATGCGAGCGGTTGTTTGGTGGTGTTCTGGCCTTGGCTGGCCAGGCTTTGGGATGTTGAACAAGTGGGCGTGTTTGGGCTTGTCTTGCCTCAGCGGGTTACGCAGAGGACTGGCCTGTCCAAATTGTGGAGCTGCGATGCGCTCTTGCATGGCCGCGGAGGGTGCAGGCTTCTGGGCCTCCGGGCGCGGCGGCAGCGCCGACGGCTCTCGCTCTCGCACCATTCTGGATTGTGTGCTGGGTGGAGGGATATACGGGCTCGGTGCGAACGGGCTCGAGGCTTCGTCGAAGAGGGAGCTCGAGTCGCCGTAGAAGGAGGACTCTGGCGTGCCAAGTGGGGCGTATGCCGGCTCCTGTGATGATGTGAGTGTGTTCAGCGGTGCAAATGGCGCACGGTGCTTCTGCGAGCCGCTGTTCATGGACGGTGGTGATGTGTGGCAGCAATCAGAGAGCCTTTGCAGTGTGGCTTCGTAGTGGAGAGAAGGCGCTACCGTCGTGTTTGTGTTCCGATTAGGCAGCCTTAGTGGTAAACAAGCCCCGCAGCACGTGGGCCACGCGTGTCAAGATCGCGCAGTCACGAGTGCACTTCCATTAAGCAAACACTTTGGTCATTTCGAATTACTTTAAAACACCTCTTCCGTCCCACCAAATCACAGACTATTCACAATCCCCTCAATCCCCACGCACCCAGCCCCATGAAAACAACAGCTCCAGCACCAAACAGTCCTCCTGTTGGCTTCCCCACATGACCCTTCGCAACAGCATACGTCAGACTACCAATATCGATAGCATCCGCTGCAATACCCGTCCACAGTGCCCTTCTCATCTCCCGTCTTCCTCCGTCAGGGGCTTCTTTGTCCTCAGCCGTGAGCAGTAGCTCGCCCAGCACACCGTCGCGAGCCCCAACCATACGCACAAGCAGAGCTGAGCCAACTGGCACATTATATTTGAACAGTGCGCATGTGAACTGGGGTGCTACAAGGCATGCTGCTCCTGTAGCAATTCGCATGTAAGAGAGCGCTTTGACAGCCCAGAGTGTGCTTGATGAGATTGGTTCGACCGAGCGATCAGTCTTGGCGTTGAGTGTAGCATCAAGAAGAGGGCTGCTTGCATTGTGCGATGTGTAGGACATGTTGATGAAGTCTGTATTGGCAATGATGAATGGGTAGGATGAGCTTGCAATGTGTTCGTGAGTGCTGTACATGCATTCGCTTTGCACTCTTATAACTGCCAGACAGAGTGTTGCCTTACTTTACATTCTGGATGTCAGCTTTCATCATTGCTATCAGCTTTCATCATTCCTTTCAGCTTTCGTTGTTACGATCAGCTACGAACGTTATGTTGAAGTCGGCCGTCAGACACCCAAAACCAGCGTGCTGCCTAACCAATCACAGATGGTCATTCTAGTGCTGTGCCGATCAAATCCGGTTAGCTTGACCGTAAGCATAACGTTATGGTCTCCGCATCCCCTTATATCGCATCACTTTGGTCTACTCCAACCTCCTCGTACACATTACATGTATTGTTAAGCTCTGTTAACATAACGATATGCCTGCAGATCGCGTTCAAAAGAGACGTAGCGCCGGAGACGTGCCTGATCTAGGCAACCCAGACAGGAAGAGGGTGCTCAATGTGCTCGCACAGCGTCGATACCGTAAGTGCATCGCTGCGGCGTTCTACATACGAGCTAACACAAAGTTGCAGGTCAACGACGCAAGGAGAAGATAGCTTCGTTGGAAGCGCAAGCTAAAGATCTCCAAAGTCTCGCTGATCATCGTTCAACGAGCAGCGAGGATGCATCACCGCCAACTGGACCGACCCTTGACAAGCCAGACCAGACCGGAGAACTCACTGTTATGCCATATGAAGACGCGATTCCAGACTTTGGCATCCAAGGAGATCTCTTCGACACAAACCTGGTGGAGTATCTCAATCGTACGCACGTGACCTTCTATCTTAATGACTTTGTTGACCAGTTCCTTAGCTTCTCTAGATTTACCAACACCATTACCATCAACCCCAGAATTCCTAGATCTACAGTACAGTTCGTCTTCGTCCGAGTTTACCTTCCCCCTCACTGGCGACGCAGACTTACTGGCGATGCCTGTCATGAATATGCTCCAGGCACTTCTGTCAATTGCAACTGCGTTGAATGTGAGTGACAAGATATGGGACCCCTCCTACACGCACGTTATGCCGGTATCTGCATCTTACCCCGCCTTTTTACCACCAAATCTGCACCCTACCTCTGTACAGTTCACCATCCCACATCATCCAACTCTTGATCTGCTGCCCTGGCCGAGCATGCGCGAGAAATTGATCCTAATGCTAGCGATGCCGAATAAGTTGCGGCCGCCCATCGCACAGGAAGATGATGGTCCTGGATCAGATACAGCAGAAAAATGGTCGTGGTCGTCATGCAAGCAGGGTGCAACACCAGCTGGCCAATGCAAAGCCATTGTTCAGCTTGTTCAAGACATCGACGACTTGGAAGACGGCGGGGGTTTCATAATACACGGAAACTCGGTAGCTTTGGGACAAGGCAACGAGTATGTCGAGGAGGCATGGGAAGTAGGAGAATCGTTTTACAGGAAGTGGTGGTTCTGCCTGGACAAAAAGATCGTCGACCAGTCGAACAAGCGAAGGTTAGAGCGAGGTTTGAGGAGACTGAGGTTGACTGCTTGATCAGAATGCTCAAGACACGTTGTGCACGGGCACTTACCTTCCGAGCAGATCATTACTTAGGTAGTGCAATCAATTTCGAGGTGAACTTTATGATCTTCAGTCATGTACCCCATTGGGCTGTGAGTGACATAGCGTTATAGGTTGGCTTTAGCCGCGACTTTTGCTGTAATGAGCTATACTATCTGTATCGAGTTGTCCCTACCAAACAGAACAGGGAGTCTTCTTGTGCCTGAACCATGGCTGCACGCTTCCGATTCGCCCTCCATTCCCTTGGGGCGGCGTTTTCGACCTTTCTCTCCGCATGGCTACCATCACAGGTACTTCACCTATCTTGCACCGAGTCATTCATGTACATCTGCAGACGAAAAGGGCAGCCGAGCTATTCCGCATGGACCTCGCCGACACGCTTGTCCCCACACTTCACAGTGACATCGGCCATGTCATCATGTCATTCCTGTTGAGGCGCATCCACTGACTCGGCCATACCTCGCGTACGCATGCTGAAGTTCATCAGACCACATGTTCGTGATGCCTCAGTCCGTGTTTTGCATGGATGTATATATGTACGTCGGCACCACTGCAATCTCAGGCCATGTACAGGCGCAGCCGAGATTCTGCAGAGCACAGATCCTCTCGTCGCCTCCCGCTGTTCACGTCCAAAGCTACCAACAGTGAGGCGCAAAAACTCAGTTCCTGACCGTGAGACTTGTCGCGACTGATGTAGACAACTCGCCATGCTGATCATCGTGACATGTGCTCGGGGTTGATCGGCAAACCGCTCATCTGCACCGCATCCAGCACGCAATTTGTCGCTTGATGTCCATCGGAATTTGTGCGCAGAATGAGCGCGTGCATGTCGGCTCGGCAACGGCTATGAACATCTTGAGACTCGGGCTGCGCGAAGGATTTGCAGGAATTTCGAGCGCGTCGCCCCTGTTGCGTCGCGGTTCGCCTAAACATTCAAACTACATCCCATTCGCTGGGTGTAAATGGCCCGCAAAAGATACTTTGCTGTCAGGAGCATGGTGCCCGCCGGTACGTTCGGCAGCCCTTGTTTTAGGCCACGACAGAATGCCGGGCCGCGGCGTCACGACTGACTGATTCGCAATGCCCATGCCCCTGTATCGCACAACAAAGGTCCACCCTCCAGACTGACTCCAGGCCACTCAGCGACCTATGTCGCTTCGCATCGAACGTGGAAGGATCGACGTGCAGGGAAGAAGGTGGTCAACAGCCCCATCTCTAGAACGATGCGAAACTGCTCGGAATCCCTCGACCACCGCCGCACTGTCGGACGTCGACCAGAATCCTAGTGGATCGCTCCTTTCGCTAACGTCCGCTGATCATTGGCTGTACCTGCGTGAATCCAGCTGTGTGGTTCCAACGCAGCGAAGTGAGGCCTTTCGCTTTCCACCACTATAAACGCGTATTCCATCTTGTGGCTTGCACTATCGGGTTATTGGCGTTGAAAACCTTCCTCATATCCGACTGCTTACAAGCTCAGGGATCGTAGCAGATCAGTACAAGGTCAGTCAAATCTATGCCAAATAAATCTCGTAACAGGGTATAGCCTCGCCGATGACTTCGAAAAGGTATAGGCTGGCACTCGAAAGAGACTCCTGAACTCGAATGGATGATCCAGTCGATCGTGACCACAATACGTACCTAACCCACAGTCATTTGCCACGTGGTGGGCATCTTGAGCCGCCTCGTGGAGCACACCTCGGTTTGATCGAAGAATATTGCCCTATACGGAGCTGTTCCTTCGCTTCAAAAGGCGTTTTTAAGCTACGACAGAGCTCTGCAGCTAGCCGAGGTTGTCTACGCAGAAAGAGATGCAGTCCCCGTCAACTCTATGCAAGTAGACGCCGCTAAGACGGCCCTCGTTCGAGTACGTTGCACTGTGCACGTTGCAAAAGAGCCCCTGCAGCCCTGCCGTGTCCCCACAGAATCCACTTCGTCCATCCGATCATGTCTTAAGCATGTGCGCCCCAGACAAGTCGGCGCTCTAACTAATCCTAAAACTTGCTCATCTGTAGAACACATTCATTAGCTTCCACAAGTACGCGGACCCGTCTTGACAGCTTTATGTGACAAGCACTCTCTTGCCGCAAGTGAGGACTGTCGACCATCCTCACAATGTTCAATCGCATCGACAATCCCCGTGGCGAGCAGGCGTTTGACACGTCTGTCGCTTTCTCCGTCATAGCCTTTGTCAGTGTCGTCCTGCGGTTGTACACTCGATGGTTCATCGTTCGTGCTCCAGGTATCGAGGACCACCTCATCTTAGTAGCAACAGTGAGTTCCCTGACATGTCATATCTCTGAATGCTTACTGACAACGCTGCAGCTCTGTTCCATTTGTTTGACTATCGCCATTGCCTACCGTACGTCGAGCACACTGTGTTATTCATCCATAACTAACGCAGTGTAGAGGTGAAATGGGGAATGGGTATGCACTCGACTTCATTATCAGCAGAGGACAATGTCAAAGTCTCGAAGGTACTATCATTCGTTGCTTTTGGCTTCCCATGCTGACCACAGCAGGCTTTCTGGGCATCACTGATCGTCTACTACCTATCACTCGGACTGACGAAGAGCTCGCTTCTTCTGCAGTACCACCGAGTATTCCCGACCCGCAAGTTTCGACTCATGTGCTGGTGCGTCTTCGCAGTAGTAATAGCCTACACTGTCTGGACGGTCTTCGGCAGCATCTTCGCTTGCGTACCAGTGCGTGCTTTCTGGACCAAGGAGGACGCATACTGCCTTGATCAGTTCGCCATGTGGTTCACCAACGCGGCCATCAACATCGTCACGGACTTCGTCATTATTCTCCTCCCGATGCCAGTGATCCGACGATTGCAACTCGGGAAAAGACAAAAGTCAGCTCTGATTGGAATCTTCGCTGTCGGCGGCTTGTAAGTCACGTTTTCCCACTCTATCCATTTCCTGGTCGCGTGGCGGGGCCGCAGTTTCGTATCTGCGGCTGCTCTATTCTGTGCAACTCAGAAAAGACGCATGCAGCTGTGTACCACCTACGCTTCCCCTTCGACCCCAAGCCGCGTTTCAGTGCACGGTACTAACACGTCACAGCGTCTGCATCGTCTCGATTCTGCGTCTCCAATCACTCGTCGCTATCTCCAACTCCACCGACCAGAGCTACGACAACCCCGCCGCCGCCACGTGGAGCTCCGTCGAAGCCAACGTGGGCATCATCTGCTCCTGCCTCCCGCTGCTCCGGCCCCTGATGACCAAATGGCTGCCCGGCGTTTTCTCGTCGCACCGCCGCGACACGCGCAGCACGCCGCGCATCTACCCGACCATCGGCACTGCGCGTAGTCGCCCCTTGGCGAGCCACAACGGCGACATCTCGCTGGAAACCACGGCGAAGGCGTCGCGGCCTGGGTCCCACGGCTCGAGCGACATAGACGCTGGCGACATCCAGGTCGAGACGCATATCCACATCAAGGTCGAGGGCGGCGGAGACCGGTTCAGTGGCTGGGCCACGCCGGAGAGTAAAGGGCGAGATGGACGGGATAGTACTGACACGCTGGTCAAGGAGTCGAGGAGTGCCGTTTAGCGCTTTTGATGGTACCGTTTTAATTAGTATTGATACCCAGCTTGATAGCATACTTTCATATACAGCACTGACACGACATTGTCTGTCCTGCCCGTGACTGTGCCTGTAGACAACTTGAGCATTGTCACGACAGGTCGATTGTAATAATAGACTACGTCAAGCACCCGCGAAACCCAGCCCCATAAAAAGACCACCGGACTCAGAACCTCCGGTCTGAGCCCCCACGCACCGTAGACACACTACCGCACCCTGGCATGTCCACCATCGCTATCTGAGGCGAGAAGTTACACAAATGCTAACAAATACTTCAGTCAGGCGTACTTAGTCTGATAGGAAAGACTCTCGACGAGGCGACTCATTGTATTTTCCTCGAATGTGCTTGGTTGCATTGGTATCATTAATTAGTGTCTGTATTCCACGGCTGTCCAGTCCAAGGGGACGGGATAGAGCTATGGCGTACGTTTGGAGAGCACAAAGCTTATACAACGACGGTGGACTTGCGGCACCACAAGACATAGCATCACGCGAGGAGCAGAGAGTAGAGCGTGATCAATACATATCATCGTACAGTACATGCGACTATTTCGGAACTCCAAACATGAATGGAGAGGTGATGTCGAAATCGGAGAAGCTTTTGTCGCTCCCAAGCCAGTAACGCCGCCCAATGCCAACCCCATATTCCCTTCCTTCTATCAAGACAGCTCATGGGTATACATATGGTACAGTGAATGCGTGTCGCTCCAGGCAGAGCGTGAAGTCGCCCTTGGCAGAGCGAGGCAACGCCACCGGAGAAGCGAAGTAGTATACAAACATCAGCCGTCAGCTTACAGTCTTGGGTCCAAAAACTTAGAAGTCAAAGTCCGGGCGGGAAGATCGCTCGCTGCGACCTCCGAAGCTGCCTCCTCCTCTTCGGTCACCACCGAAACTGCTGCGTCCACCGTCGCGTTTGCCGTCGCGTCCACCGAAGAAGTTACCGGAGCGACCGCCGTCACGTCCGCCGAAGCCGCCAGAGCGGCCACCGTCACGTCCACCAAAGCCGCCGCCGCGTCCTCCATCGCGTCCGCCATCGCGTCCACCGAAGCCGCCAGAGCGACCGCCGTCACGTCCACCAAAGCCGCCGCTGCGTTGGCCGAAGCCGCCACGGTCACCACCGCGGTCGCCGCCATAGCCGCCGGAGCGTCCACGGCCGCGTCCGCCGCCGCCAGCGAACAGAGAAGCCGGGGGTTGGGGAGGTGACTCCATGCCCCAACCAAACTCTGCCAGGCGGTTGGCACCCTCGAGCAGTCCTTGCTTGTCGCCATACCACTGGAAGCTACCGAACAGGCCACGGAAAGCGCCCTCAAGTTGATCAGGGTAGACCTTCTGGTGCGCCTGTGTGACATCTTTGAGGATCTGACCGGCCTCCTCGGGAACCTCGGCGGGCTGGCTCATGTCGATTGTAGCAGTATCGAGCGAGGACGTAGCGTCGGTGAGAGGCAGACCGCGGAGACGGCGGTTAACCTCCTGTCGCTCGAAAGGTGTCAGGAAGATCCAGCCCTCTCCCTCCTTACCGGCACGTCCAGTGCGGCCGAGACGGTGAATGTAGGATTCGCGGTCGCGGGGGAGACCGATCTGGATTACGTGGCTCACGTTCGGGAAGTCCATTCCACTACAGGAGGTGTTGTGTTAGCGATATGTCATGCTGATGGCTCCAAAGATATAAAGAGATCTCAAACTTACCGAGCTGTGACATCAGAGGAGAAGAGGATGCCGGACTTGCATGCACGGAAGTCGTCCGCGGCGCGGGTGCGCTGGCCCTGGGAGAGCTTGGCGTGAATCTCAAAGTTGCGGATGCTGCTGATAGGAGACTTCGACTTGAACCCGCCGTTGAGTTTGTAAAACACGGACGCGGCGAGAGTGACCTCAGCAGTGGAGTTGAAGTAGACAATGGCCTTGAATGGACGAGCCTCGCCGGCCGAGGCCGCCTTTGCGCTCTTCACAGCGAGCTCGTAAAGCGAAGGCATGATGTTCTCGAAACCGGCAAGCATGACCTGCTTCTGAGGAATACGGGCGTGTGTGGGCTCCTCGTTCTCGTCGACGCACTTGGCGAAGTGGAAGCCGGGGCGGAGTGTGCGGCGGACAAGCTCGACGACATCGCGGGGAACGGTGGCAGAGAACATCATGTTCTGGCGCTCGACCTCCTCGGGGTCGGGGAGATGCTTCCTGACCTCGTCAATCTCCTTGGTAAAACCGTCGTCCAGCAGGCGATCAGCCTCGTCCATGACAAGGGCATTCAGGTTGGGCGCCTTGACGCCGGAGTATGGGTCCGAGAGGATGTCGAGAAGACGTCCGGGGGTAGCAACAAGGATGTGGCAGCCCTCGCGCTGAGTCTTCTGCAGCATCATGCGCTTCTGTGTGCCTCCAACGGCGGCCTGAACGATAAGGCCGGTGTCCTGGGTGATCTTCTTCGCCTCAACGGCGATCTGCTCGGCGAGCTCACGGGTAGGGGAAATGACAATGGCCCTGATGTCGTCGGCCTTGGCGCGCTTGTAGCCGCGGGTCTTCTCACCGAGCTTGGGATCGCGTGTGATGATGCGCTGGATGACAGGCACGAGGAAACCGAGGGTCTTGCCAGTACCAGTCTTTGCTTGCGCGATGCTGTGGTTCGTCAGTCGAGGGTGTCTGTCTGGAGTGTTTTATGACTTACATGTCAACGCCGCTGAGGGCCTCATTGATGGTCCTCTGCTGGACATCCGTCATGTTCTCGATCTTCATGCTCCTGGTAATGGTTCTGACGAGGTTGGGATGCACAAGACCGCGAGAACCAAGCTCTGAGAATGTGGTCGCTGGGCCGTCCTCAGCGATCGCCTCCTCTGCCTGGACCTCCTGCGCGACCTGTTGCCACTTTGCGCTGCTGTGGAATCCAGCGATCGAGGCATTGGCGATGCGGGCGGACGGTGTCCTCAGAGGGACCGATGTGCGTGTGAGAGGAGTGCGGAGGGCGCTCGAAGAAACAGCGACTCTAGAGAGGCTCTTCGACAGTGTTGTCGGGCATCTTCTGAATGCGCCAAACATGATGGATGATGGACTGCGGAGGTTCGCCGCTGTGTCGTCAAGGTGCAAGGGGTATCGTAAAGCAAGGTATTAATATGCAACAATGAAACAAGGCGTCCGAATGAGAGGCGCCGCAGTGTCAAAGGCAAATGGCGATGGACGAACTGTGATGGTGCCCGCGGAAACTTTCGCCCTGGACTTTTTCCAGCGCTCGGACCAAGTCGTCGCGCGTTAGGGGAATCACGCTACGAGGTAGACTGCCGCTAAGATAAGAATCGACGCATCACTATGTTGGTATCTCATTTGGCTTCAGCTTGCACGTGTTGATATGTTTATTGGTGATGACCGTAGACACTCGGCATTCTCATGGCGCCTGAATGGCATGATCTGCTTCGCGACCGTCGACCTACTCAATTCTCCCCACTTTGCCCTTCTCACGTGCTCTCTGCTCCCAGTTCAACCCCTCCTCAATACCTTGCTGCACGCCGCCCGTCACGCCGCGAACCCACCAGATGGTCATCTCGTTGATGGCTTGGCCGACCTTTCCATCGTTCATCTGACAGATTGTCTGCGATAGCCGAAGACTCCTCCTCCCAATGTCATCCACAGTGGTGATGCTGCCGTTGACCAACCGCCGCGTGATCTGATGCTCGCGCTCGAACTGATACGCGTGCGCAAGGAAGATCTTGATGTACGGAAGAAGGAATTGTATGAACATGAGCGCCTGCAGGACCATGGTGGCGGTTATGCGATGTAAAATCGAGGCGTCTTGTGGAGACACGTCATGCTGAAGCTGGTTTTGCGTCGAGCGCGGGACGAGTGAAAAGCCTGAGTCGGTCTGTGATCCAACCAAGCTCGGCGGTATTGCTGCTTGCAGGCTCAGCAGCTCCTCCGGTGTGAGGTCTGACGGGAGGCCACGGAGCAGGTAGGTCATGCCATGCAGGTAGAGTTGTCGTGTGAGGACTGGAGAGGTCTCGTCGAGTCCGTAGTGGGGTATACTAGACTCTCGGTGTGCCAGAGTCATCAGGTTGACTCCTACAGCGTGTTAGCGGACAAGCAGGTCTTGGGCATTGCGTTCTTACCTTGACCGGCATACCTCCAGTTCACGCCTGTCTTTGTCTCATACGCAGCGAATGGTGGAGGATTCAGGCTCATAGAGCTGCTGGGTCTTTCAGAGGCATCGTCTGAGAAATCGAGGTCTGTCTCGCCAACGACGATCGACCGCCTGTTTGGCGATGCGCTGCCACTGCTCGGTCGTGAGGTGTAGCCGGGTGGTGGGGTAACAGGCAGCGGCAGCTCCGTCAGCGAGTCTGTCTTGCTATGGAAGCGCCGATCACGAATCTCGCCTATCGACCGCCGTATTGAAGGGATTGTAGGAAGGTGACTCGACACCATGGCTGGGAGAACCTGATAGATCATGCTGGCGCGAATATTCTTCAGCTCTGTGGTATCGACAAGTGTGGTAGCGTCGGAGTCTATCTCAAGGGTACTGGGTTGGTCGTGTTGCTGCATGTTGCCTTGCTTATCTATCAGCGCCTGGTTGCAGGGTTGCAGTGCTATCTTCCACGCGACTTTTGAGAACCGCAAGCGGACGTCGAGACAAGAGGCGCAAGAAATACATGTTGGAGTGGGATCCTTCGGCCGGAACATGGACCCTGTCGCCGCATCACCGAAATTATCTCGCGCCGCTTTGCTGAGGCTCCGCTGACTCTTCCATGTGACGGGCAGTGGTCAGATCGTGAGCATGTGAAAGCCGTTGAGACGTGCGCGTCAACGGGCGGCTAGCGTCGCATTGCTGAACACCAATCAGCCGCGCAACGTGGGGGCGTCAGACCTCATATTCTACTACGGCTGAACTGTGATTGAGCCTTTGGGACATGGTCTTTGTTTGGGAGATGCCGTCTCTGCAAGATACGATGCGGGGTGCAGAGGTTGTTGAGGACGGCTGAGCCCTGAAACGAGCATCGGCGACGTCTTATTCGCGCTTTCACGGCTATCTTTGTAAACTATATCTCAACCCCGACCGTGCTAAAACATACCTGGATGTATTACCCGAGCTTTTGTAACCGTTTCCACATCATGAAATCCGTACGTGCTCGGGTTTCTACCTCGTGGCGACTCAGAACGCAAAGTTACCGTCATGGATGAGGCACATGATCACTACGATCAATACATTCAAATGGCCATCGCGAATTTGACTCTTTCGTCGTTGCCGACATGAAGTAATTTCTGTGAGGTAAATTGGATTGAGAAACGCCGTCTAGCCACAGAGTTGGGCCAATCTATAAGACCTGGGGATATAATATGCAGCATGCGTCGCAAAAGCGAGCTCCAAAATGTGAGGATACGTACAGAGAAAGCAAATGAAATCGAGTAGATCATCTTCATGCGAAAAATCTTTTCCCTCGCCTCGTCGAGGTACTTTGCGCCTCAGTGCTTGTCTTTCCCGACCCATCCACTTCTTTCTTCCTCGCCTCCGCCTCGGCTGCAAGTTTATTCGCCTCCTCGACTGCAAGTTTGTTCGCCTCCTCGACTGCAAGTTTATTCGCCTCCTCGACTGCAAGTTTGTTCGCCTCCTCGACTGCCTTGAGTCTCTCGGCTTCCGCTTTCTCTTTCTCCTCCAGGGCCTTCTTCTGCCGCTCACTCTCTTCAGCCTTTTCCTTGTTGAGCCTTTTCCGCTCCTCCCGTTCGCGCTCTTGCTTTGCAACCTCTGCCGCGAGCTGTACTCGGGCTTTCTCCTTCTCCAGCTCCTTCTGCTTCTTCTCTTCCAAAGTCTTTTTGTAGGCCTCCTCGGCTTTAATTCTCTGCCCCTCGTTGTCGTGCTCCAGCTCATGCATCCACACACCCTTGCCGTCGTCGAATACTTTCTTCAAATGCGCCAGTGTACCGCATACGCCGTCCACTTCACCCCATGGCAGCCAAATTTGCTTGGATGTCCACACTCCACCACGCCCACCACGCTGGTCCCAGGACCGGTCGCCGCCAACGACTGAATTGTGATATCCGTTCGGACTCTGTGAAGTGCGGAAGTACTGACGCAGGAGGGCACGCTTATGTGGAGCAAACCACAGGTCTTTGAAAGAGATCTGCGCGCTTGAGATGCCGGAAGACTTTTGTTTTTGAGCAGACTCGGGGACTCGGAGTAGTAGCGCGGGAATTGCGCCGGTGTACGTGTTCTGAACGAGTGGCAGGTCGGACCAGGGTGCATGGCGGTCGGGAAGGCGGTCGAGATCAAAGTCGAAATCAAGTTTGTCGATGAAGGCGGGCTTGTTGGTCTCGGGGGAAGGGTTGTGCAAATAAAGATTGGGACTCCAGAAGGGAAGCTTGCTGGAAAGGAGTGTGGGCGGAAGAGACAGGTGCGGCGTGACGGTTCCTGGATGGCGATATCTGGCTAAGTCGGTCGAATTGTCGTGCTTCAGTGGCGTGATCTCATCTAGATGCGTATGAAGTAGTGGTTGAAAGAGCGTGTGCGTGTAATCAAGACCAACAGAATACTCGAACTGCTTCTCAGCGCGAATCGTAGCATTAGCTGCTTGCAGACGCTGCTCAGCTGCCACATGGTCATCCACTGCCTTCCCCACCCATCCTCGTAGCTTCGCTGCTGTAGACTTGCTCTCTGTCAATGCGGCATCGCGTCTCAACTGCTGTTCGCCGAACATAGCGGCCAGTACCGACTGCATGGTCTGTTTCTCGCTAATGTCTTCCCCGAATCGTTTCAGCGCTGCGTCGAAGAAAAGTCTAAGGTCCTTCGCGGGGCCCATGACAGCCCTTGAATTGAGGAACTTTGCAGGTAGATCTTCCTCGCTGGTAGTCTGTGCGCTCGCACCGTAGGTATCGTGAGGCAGTATTGACTCCGGGGCAGAGTTGCAAGCTGCAGTACCTGCATCGCATACCTTTTGAGCCCCAAACACAATCGTTTGATTGAACTTCTGGCGCTTGTTCTCGTCGACACCGTACGTCTTGAGCAGCCTTGCGTTGGCGTACTCCACGATCGCCTCATACTGCTTGATAATAACGTCGCTCGGCAGCTGGAACCAGGTGTCTTGACCGTCCACGAACAACAACAAATCCTCATCGTGCACTAGCTTTTCGTTGTGGAGATATTCGCGAATCCCGTACAGTATCTGTCTCTCCTTGCGGCCTGCTGCGAAGAAGGTCTGACCGAGGCTGACACCAGTCGGCGGCGGATAGTTGAGTAGCATCGCTGACAGCGTCGACTTGCAGAATGCGTCCGAGTCTTTCTCCGAGCTAATAAGCAGGTGAAAGTTCGGTGTTGTCTTCTCAAGCTTGGGTGGTAGATGATCGATCTCGCCATTCTCGAGCTGCAGCGTCGTATTGGAAGGAGCTTTGAAAGGTATCTTCGTGACCTTCGGTGCGCTGGGGAGGTACGGTCGCCATTGTTGCGCGGAGAGGGCGTGGTAGCGATCCGTGATGGCTTCAGAGTGTCGTACGCCTGCTAAGCCTAGTATGAACGTGAGGACAACAATGGAGAGGAGCACCGTTCGCCCTCGTCGCGAACAGAGCCATTGGACTGCTGCTCCCCCCAATTCTGCTGGCGACTGTCGTGGGGACATGGGCATAGGCAGCATCGCATCGCTCGCCATGGTGAAGGTCGTGTAGCTTTACAAGGCTCGGTGTCGACGCCGTGTTTCGTGGGTGAGGGGCTCGATACCGGAAAGAGGAGCGCCTCCAACAAGTGCGTCCTACCAGGCTACGTCCAATCGCCAGCCTCGTCCGTACAACGGTTCCAAAGTTACTGTCTGATCTTTCCTTGATGATGCCGCTGTTCCGCCGTTTCTTACGCGTCGCCTCCACAAGTCCTGCTCCTCGCAATCTTGCAAAATGAGGCGGTCGTCCGCGAAGGTGCGACAGTTGTTGGAGACAACATGTCGAGCGGAGTAAGACACTGCAACCACAATCCTAAATCCTTGGGAGTTCCCGGTGCGCAGAAAGAGGCGCTGAGTGCAGCCAGCCAGTGGTGGTCTGGCCCGCCATGCGGTGACCCCGGTCGCGCGCTAGGCTGTACGAAGGACGGGCTTCCCGTTTAGGGTGGCCGTGATCTGCAAATAGATTACCACAGGGTGTGCTCACAAGCCCTTGTGGTCTCGGCGGAGCACTCGTTCCACAGCGGGAGGGGTGTTGTTCGACAGCAACCGTGCCTCCATTGTTTCTCTAGGTGGGACGAAGACGCTGCAGCCATTCAACGTGTTTGACGCTCATGCTCATCAGTGGGATCCGTCACGGGTACGCTAACCTCCAAGGGGTGACGCGGCGATCGCGACCCATGCTGGCGCGCCCGCTGACAGCTGATCTCAACGCATCGAAAAGGGGAATCCTATGCTACTGCAGGTCCGTCACGTCGCTTAAAAAGCTCGCGTTCCCATGGGTGAGACCTTCATCGACCTGTCGGGGATGGACAGCGCAATAAGACAATCTTGCCATGTCTTGAAGTAGTTGAGAGCAAGAACGAGCATGTGCAACCAGAAGTCGTACGTATTTGCAGACGCCTGCCCAATCCAGATAGTAACCGAGTCATAAAGGCGCACTTGCATACTGAACCACATCCTCACCGGTTCCACCTAGAATTATGCTTCGATGTCGTGTCCGCTTCTCCAGCCCTCTCGATCAGCCGGCGCTTTCCTACTCCGCTTGAGCCTTCTCCCTCATGTAGGGAAGCGGTGGTATCTCGGCAATCTTCCAAAATGCCCTCGATTATTGTCGATCGAGAGATGTTCCTTTTACCGGGTTTGTCAGTAAATAAGGAGGACTGCGCCACGCGCCGTGTTGGCGAAAGGGCATGTTTCTCAACTGTGCTAGACCAGTCCTCGTCCCTTTCACAACAGATCTACAAGCAAGCATCTTCTCAGCCGAGGATATCTCCAGGCGCGTCCTGGCTACCTGGGAATCCGCTCTGAAAGGGTACGGGACGACCGTCGACAGGCAACCCGGGCTGTCAACTACTGCAGTAATGTCTTGAGTACACACGGTTAGAACTCGCCTGATACATACTCGTGGCCTGGAGTTCACCGAACTTACACGTTCTTGTTGGACGCGATGACAGCGTTGGGTAGGGACAGACCTATAGCCGTTTAACCCCTGCTATTAGTGTTGTTTGACCTGCAGCATGTGCAATCTTTGCTCGGACTTCCTCTGGCCATGCCGTTATCCTCCTGCTAGATCTCCACGACCATAGTTATGGCTATCCTGGGCTCCACTAACTGTGCCATCCTACTGCCGATCGCCGCTGGAGTGAAGTAGTGTATACTATGATGTCGTGGATATATCGCATCTGAGCCAGATGCTAGCCGTTAGACATTTCAGGAGTGGGACGGAAGCCGGTGCTTGAGTGGGATTGGTAAGAGCTAGGAATTGAAGATTGTAGATTCATCCTGGCTACAAATGACTGCACATGCAAGTCTGATGCAAATTCACAACGTAAGTGATAAGCAAAACTTGCGAGCCGGCCTGGTGATCGATACTGGCACACCTCAGGGCCAAACACGACCGTGAGTCTGGAAAAGCGTCTGTTTGACTGTAAGTAGCTCACCGTGAAGCGCTAAGACCATGTTCAGCGGTCTGATGAGAGCTGTAGCTTGATCATGGCTACTCAGCGCCGTATCACATGACTGACGCTCGGGTCTTGGCGCACCTTCCCAATAACAAGAGCTCGCGCTGTTGCCTTTCTGCTTCCTCACCTTCATTCAATGTAAGTCTCCCACCCATACATTTTGCTGTAGCTGCTAATTGTCGCTTTAGATGGATGGTCAACCGCCACACGATGGCATTCAGTTTTCAAACAACATCCCAGGTAAGCTAGGTTTCACTACATAGACATTTGCACGCTGACATTACAGCCAACCCTGTCACCCCGGTGACCCCAGTAAACCCAGTCGACCCAATCGACCTAGTAACCCCAGAAAAAGCAACCAATCCAGCCAACTCAAGCTCACAGTATGCGTCAAGAGCAGGTAAGATCAACTCGCTTTGCAGCCTCTGCAAAATGCTAATAATATTGTAGACGATCCTGCATGGCAGGCCGAGCAGCACTTGCGTGGTCTGGACATCGTCGACGACATCTACGCTAAGCTTGCGAAGTGGGACGCGGGTGAGCTCGATGAGCTGCCGCGGATCAACGAAAAGATGCGCGCGTGGCTTGGAACGAGATTTCCAGACATTGCGGAGATCTGGAACACGGATCTTCGGAACCGTTACCTCGCTGCTCGTTCGGAGTTTGCGCTGCGTAGGGTAAGGGGTGTCCCGCGTCCCAGTTCAAATCCGTCGGCCACGCCTGGAACCAGCAACCACGCATCTGAGCCTGAAATCCTCGAGGAAGAGGAAGCAGCGGAACAAGCCACCGAAAGTGAGCTTGAGAACGACATGTTGCAAAGTCCAGGTTCGAACGGAAGAGCCGATGCGACCCTTGAGCATACAAGTGACGCCACCGGGGCAACAAGTAATACACCTGTACGCCGAAGTCAGCCCAGGGCAGCGAAGGCTGTCCAAGGTGCTGCGGTCAGCAAGCGTGTTCCTGGCAAAAAGCGAAAGGGCCCAGCAAAACTCAAACTTACCATCCCGCATTTCGAGAGTTTCATCTTCCTCCCAGAAGGTGATACTGATGGCCGCCGTGAGCCCATATCGAAACTCCCTGAAGCGACTGCTGCTTGCCTGCAAGCTTCCCTCGAGACGCTGTTCCAATTGGACCACCAAAGAGCTTGTACGGTTACGCGGCCAGAGAACAGTGGTACCTACGTGAACTCGCAGATATGTCTCGGAATCCACATACTGTCTCGGGACAGGTCGAAGTTCGCTCCATTGACCACCTCTTGTTCAACATGCAATCGCTTTCCTGACAAGCGTCCTTGCGTTCGACTTGAGATCGATCCCGCAACTTCTGAGACTGTCTTGGTGTTCTACCCCAGACCCTCGGATCATCAATTTTCGGCCGTATGGACCGAACCAGGGTTCTGGCTGGGCCCTGGAGTTTGGCAGCCTAGCTTGGTTTGATCAATACCTACACCTGTAAAGGTGGCACTCCACGTCTGTAAAGTCAATCCTCCCAAGTCCAATGCGGCTCCTGGCCTTCTCAAGAATCCGCTTCTGGGTCTTCAAAGACATGGCCCAGGCTCGCCAACAAGAACTTGTCGAACCTTGAGGTCTCTAAGGAGCTTCAAGCGTTGCCGAACAGGTTCACTGCTCTTGCGAGCTTGGAAGGAGACTTCGACTCGGCGGAGGTCGAAGATGAGAGTGACGAGGAGTAAAATCCTGGTCGCCCGTCTCCCTAAGCAAGTGTCGACGTCTTTCTTTCCGTCTGCATAAGACAGTTTCAATGTTTTGTACCCTTGCCTGTTTGAAGGCAGTCCCATCGCCTGTCCAAAGGTAGTCTCTCTTGCCTGTCCAAAGGTAGTCTCTCTTGCCTGTCCAAAGGTAGTCTCTCTTGCCTGTCCAAAGGTAGTCTCTCTTGCCTGTCCAAAGGTAGTCTCTCTTGCCTGTCCAAAGGTAGTCTCTCTTGCCTGTCCAAAGGTAGTCTCTCTTGCCTGTCCAAAGGTAGTCTCTCTTGCCTGTCCAAAGGTAGTCTCTCTTGCCTGTCCAAAGGTAGTCTCTCTTGCCTGTCCAAAGGTAGTCTCTCTTGCCTGTCCAAAGGTAGTCTCTCTTGCCTGTCCAAAGGTAGTCTCTCTTGCCTGTGCAAAGGTGTTCTCTCTTGTCTGTTCGAAGGCAGTGCTTCCACCCACGACAAGATGTTGTTGGCGATAAGTACCCGGCCGCGTGGTGAGTCGCGCGTTTCCGTTTCGACCTTGACAATATGGCTTACAATGTCGTAGCGCTGGTTGAGGTCCTTGCCACGTGCGTATTCCCTGGTGAGCCATGGATTTAAGACAGAAACTGCTTGAGGAACAGAGTTTGGAAACTCAGAGAAACTGTGAGAGAGTGCTTGGCTCGGCGAGAAGAGGGAACTAGAGTCCACACGAGGATGGCTCGGTAGAGCTAAACAAATATACGATGACTACACTTTTAGTTCCTCACACCGCACGTATCAAGAGACATTACTGGAGACAAAAGGAAAGAGAAGGCGAGCTGCTGGAGAAAAGACGCCTGTAAGCGATCACGACGAGCTACCGGGGGACAGCAGGCGGCAAGAGCTGCTGCTGAGGCAGAAGAACAGCGAAAGGCTGAGGCCGCTGTCCGTGAAGCCGCAGAGCAGGCTCGTCGAGAAGATGAGGAGGAGGCCACTCGTGCCAAAAGGCAATACTGGGAGCAAAGAGAGAGAGAAGCAGAAGAGCGATCGCGGAAAGCTGCGAAGAGGCAGCAGGCGGCACAGGCAGCAATGGCTAGAGAACGCTTGCGAAAGGCTAAGGGGCAATTAGCGAAGAAGAGATCTCGCGACGAACGAGCAAGAGCCGAATAGCAACGAGCTGCTAAGGCAAGACTGCGCCAACAAAGAAGCGGAGTTAAATTTTAACGTAACCTTTGTATATATGTCATTCAGCGCGCGCATATCAGTGTTCTGAATGTATGGTGCCATAAATCGCGATCGGCGACCTTTTGTTCTATGTCGAATATACCGAACTGCGCTATAGTCAAGCAGTAAATTGACAATAGACACAGAGCTAGTCAAATGGTTGGTTGGACGTGCCTAGGTGCAGCACGGTACGGTCCTTCGCGCCATCAGACCAAACGACCGGTGTGGATTCGCTACAGCTCCGGACCAAACGTATTGTCGAGATTTTGTGGGGTGGCTCTTGGTCTGCTTGAGGAGGAAATCTACGACAACGTCCACTGGCTCCAATTGAAAGAAGTGCAATGCAGACAGCTTTCGCTTTCAACCACGCAACGTGTGCAACGATAGTGAAGCGCCTTGCAGCCACATATGCGGTTCCTTCTCTGTACTAGTAATGAAAGAAATACAGGTCGATATTCCTATCATCTGCATACTTTTACGAGTCTCTCAGGGCATGAGATTTTGTGTTCTCGTCCTCACCGTGCACCTGCTGTTTGCGCCAAGACTTTAGCTTCGCGCGCGCACACTGTTATATATTCTCGCTCGCCCCCGCAGTGATGTTTCCTCACCTCTTCCCACATGTATCCAACCATGGATGAGGGCATCCACAATCAGTACAATCCGGTTAATCCGGAAACCCCAGGAAACCCAAGAAACCCAGTAAATCCGGTCAACCCGGTCACCAGGCTCGTCCCACACGGCGACGAGAACGAAGCCCTCAGGCTCACTCACGAGACGCTGAGGCATACTTACCCCAACGTTCCTCCCGACCTCAATACCGAGGTCGTTTTCATGCTGCACCCTGCTCGATACCTCCCTCCAGCGGCGGACTTCGTGTTGGTACAAGGACGCCAGACGGTTGGATGGCCAATGTTTGCAACCGGCCACTACTGCAGGATGTGCTTCCAGCTCCAAAAGGCAGGAGAGATCTGCAGTCAGCCGTGCAACAAGCCGTGCGGATGCTGTGGTGTCGCACATTCCCAGTTGGTAAGTAACAGCTCGACCTCGTCTTACAACGCAAGTTACTGACTGAATGTACAGCCTTGCCCTCGTGCATACAACTCGCTGAACTCCTGGTATCGCTCGGGCTTTGTGTCCAGTGAGAAGACCCTTCCAAAGTTTGTGCAAGCCAAGCCCGGCATGAAGCAGTTCAAGGTCCTGAAGTTGAACGGGTACATCAGCACGGATGACGTCTTCGATGAGCACAAGGTCCCTGAATTCAACAAGCAAAAAGCATGCAGGACCTATGGCGAAGTCTTGCCATGGAAATTCAGCGGTGAAGTTCACGTACCAGGCGCCCGACCTGTGCTGGGTAGGCCCCCCAAGCAGAACACCCGTCGACCCCAGCCCGGCGGTAATAGCAGGGACTGGTCCGGGCGAAGCGACAGCAGCGCTCTACGTGCCATTGACAGAGCTTTCGACCCCAGGGATCAGTCTAGATCCATCTACGACAGCTCTGTTCGTGGCACCGGCAGCGGCTCCAATGGCAGTAGCAGGTTCGATGGTCTCGACCCCAACCCCAATCCTCATGGAGATAGCGGGTATGGCGGTCCTGGCCCCATTCCCTACAATCATAGCGGGTATGGTGGCAACGGCCTCAACCAATACGGTGGTAGCTGGCAACATATTGCTCCTCAGGCATACAGTACAAACCACCATGAGAACAGCTATGGTATGGGGTACGGTTATGGTATGGGCCCGTGGCAAAACACTATGCCATCCATGCAACATCAATATCCAGGATGGCAGCCAGGTATACCAGGCCGGTACAGCCAAATGCCTCCTCCGCCACCCCCTGTCGCGCCCTGGTACCCACAGCAACCAGCTTCAGCAATGCCCCCGGATGTCCATTTTCACATTCACTCTGCCAGCCCTACTGTCAGCGGTGGTCAGCCTGTGGGTACTGCCCTTTCTTCAACGCCTGCCAGTACTGTTTCTCCTTCAACGCCCACCCTAGCACCATCAGATCAGTCTAGGGACAGCAGTCAAATACGGAGTACGAACAGGAACAGGAACAGCACTGGCGGCGGTCAACATCAGCGTCAAGACCATGGTGTCAATGGCCGAGGCAGAGTCCGAAAGCCGTCGCAACCGCGAAGCAGAAGATAAGATTTTGCTTGCTGGCAATCTTTGTTATCGTTCTACGTATCAACGGCCAGGCTGTTGTCTTGTTCAACAGGACTTTCTTCTATTTTCATGTTCTCTTCAGCTGTAAAGCTGTAATTCATACTCAGCTGTCAAGCTGTAATTCCCTTCTGTATCTCTCCTACCTGTAAAGGTATTATCTCCCCTACCTGTAAAGGTGTCATCATCTGTCGTACCTGTCAAGGTATCTCTATTGTTTGCACCAAGTAGATTATCTGTTCAGCAGCCTCAGCTTCTCTGTATATTAGCCAATAAGACTAATTTTGATGGGGTCTCTTACCATAAAACATTCTGTGAGACTGCTCGTGTCGTGGTCTCACAACCGCGGGTAAACATGGCTCGATTTTCGTGCATCCCTTTGATCTATTCCACCCCAAATCCCTTCTCACTTCCATGAGAGGCACACTTTGACATTAGAGTCAGGACTTACAGCTACGTCGGTTTCCCCTCTCGCAACCATACTTATCGAAGCTCACAAGCTGCAGGACTACTGAACAAGGGATTGTCCTGGTGAGATTGTTGATCCTCCAGAGGGCTGGTCGGATGTGCTTGGGTGCAGTAGTTGACCGTGACTTCCTTCGGAAACATGCATGACGCAATCAAGTAGACCGCAAATAACCCCGCGTAGATTCTCTTCTTCTCTCTCCTCACGGCACGTTCAATATGGGTCCATCAGCAGAATCCATGGGCATTCTTGCCGAAATTCAAAAAACAGCTACATCCAGCCTATACCCAGCCGAGCAGCTTCAATTGAAGCGGCAGCGTCACGCCAGTCTTGAAAAGCGAATCGAGGAGCTCCGGGCCGAAGATAGAGAGCGAGCCCGTTGCATCGAGTCTCTAGATAGGACGAGCGACATCTTTCGTTTGGTACGCAGACTACTAGACAGCAATGAAGACTTAGCCAAGCAGCTTGATGAGCAGCGTACCTCCCAGGAACGAATCGCAGAACTTGAGCAAAGGCCAACAATCCAGTCACATCAGGCCCTACAACATCGAATCAATGAGCTTGAGGGCAGGCCCACATCCCAGTCATACGATGCTTTGAAAGATCGATTGACGGAGCTGCAATTCGACCTTAACGACATGCAGCGCCGACTCTCCACGCTAGAACCAGAGCTGGAAGCAAAATCGAAGTCTCTTCAAAAGCTTCAAGACGAGCTCGCGGGACTGAAGGACTCCTCGCTGAGTCATGAGAATCAGCTGCATGAAGCCTCTACCAAGGTCGCTGGCTTGGAACAAGATAAAGATGGTCTTATGCGCTAAGTCTCTTCCCTTCAAGGTCAACTGGCTTCCTCTCGGTCTTCTCATATGCGTCTTGAGCGTCAGCTCGACGCGAGTCGGAACCAGCTCTTGGCTTCGGTCAGGCAGTAGTGTCGGACTGAACTGCTTGGTGCCCAGAAGACCATCTCTGATCTCGAGGGTCAATGAGACGAGACGTTGGGTACTGCCGAGGACTGCAACGCTTGAAGCGTGCGGTAGAATTGGGCATCAGCAAGTTCAATGAATGCGAGTCTACTTACCAAGCAATGGTCGAGTCCCTGGTGCAGAGAGTCGAGAAAGAGGTGGGAAGATACAACACTCTCCTGGCACACGTAAGGCAAACTTTCGGAGCGCCCTCGTCCTCGCAAACGTCTCCGCAGTAAGGCAAAATGCCTGTAAACAAGTTTATCAGCTGTGTACCTGCCTCCTCAAAGCTATGTCCGGTTGCATAGCTGTTATCTGGCTCAGGCACAGCTGGAATTCTTTGGCTGCAAAGTCAGTTCCCTTTGGCATCATTGTCAGTCCTTTGGCGTCATTGTCAGTCCTTTGGCATCATTGTCAGTCCTTTGGCATCATTGTCAGTTCCCGTTGGCTGCATAGTCAGTTTAATTCGGCTGTTCAAGCTGTCTTCTGTCCCCAGCTGTTCAAGCTAATCTTCTCGGCTGTTCAAGTTGGTCTCTGTTCTTGGCTGTTCAAGCTAGTCTTCTCAGCTGTTCAAGCTGTGATGTGTTCTCGACTGCAGAGCTGTTTTTCGTCCTCGGCCGCAAGGTTGGTGACCCTACTGAACTACCTCGCAGCTGCAAAGCTGATATCTCGTAGCCGCAAGGTCACTTCGTTACGCAAGTTTGATCATGTCAAGAGATGACCAGCAGATGTTCAGCTTGACACGTCGAGAGATGACCGGCAGCCTCACGGTCATGTGACGACCCCACTGTACCCACCTGCAATTCCACAGATGCGGCACAGCACATTTGCCTGATCAAAGCAGGCGAAATCTGGTACACGAATGACCGATAGCGTATGTGAGTTTAACAGATGAGAGGCGACGCATTTCAACGCGCGTCTCGCGTGGTCACCTTCCAATCGTAGTGGCGGGAGCAGCCGCAGCGAATCCTCCGAGACCAACGTGTCTTGGCTGATTGAACCTCGTATCGCAATGACATCGTTCCCACTGCAACACGAACTTCAGACATGTCAGATTCGAAGTCTTAAACCCCAAACATCCTCTCCACAGTTTGCTACGATCTTGCCTCCGAATGCCACCCCCAACCGTGCGACGCGTCATCGCCAAGCGAACAAAATGCCGACTCCCGCGCCCCTTTACCGCATTGGCGCTACCCACCTGTGTCCAGGAATCTTGAGGCACGACGACCAAGTATTTGGAGATACTTGGTCCTGCAAGGCGCCAATGAACAGTGCGACATAGACTTCGACCGTCCTTGGTCCTCTGCGCCTCTTGTAACGACACATCACTTCTTCCTTCTGTTTTCCTTCTCGACAAACTTGCGATTCCAGATCGCAAGCCACAGCCATGATGGCCCGTCCGCTCAACTCGAGCCTGATCTTCGACCGGCGAGTACTGCTGGGTCTCGGTGCTCTTATTATCCTTACTTTCACATTCGCGTTCCTTTACTCGCCAGACTTGCGACCGACCTCCGACTGGATGCCACCGCTGTCCTCGAAATCCCCGCCTGTCTTCTCCAAACCACCGAAGAACGCACAAGATCCGAACATCGTCGAGCTCGACTACCTCGCTATCCAACCCAACGTCACGGACAAGGTGCGCTCGTACTGGAATATCCCATACGCTGCGAGTGCTGGTGGCAAGAACAGGTTCCGTGGCCCACAACCGGTGAACAGGACGTATGGAATCGGGCGCAAGGAGAAGCCGCTCGTGTGGAAAGGTGACTTGGGCATGTGCCCGCGCATCCAGAAGATCGATGCCAGCCTGAGAAACAAAGAAGATATTGCCGGTGAGGACGTGCTTGGCATCTTCGCAGACAAGACAGAGGACTGCCTGAGTCTGAACGTATTCACGCCCTTCGATGCCGAAGCTGGCGACGACTTGCCAGTTCTTGTCAACATTCCTGGTGGCGGCTTCCATCTGCCTGGGAGGAGTAATGGCGGCGAGATGGTAGAGAAGGCCAGGAAGGAGAAGGGCGCGAACGGCAAGCTGGACAAGGGCATCGTTGTAGTGACCATGTACTACCGCAACGGTATTTATGGGTTCCTTTCGGGCAAGGAGATCGCAGAAGATGGCGACTACAATAACGCGCTTCGGGACCAGAGGGCTGCGCTCGAGTGGGTGCAGAAGTACATTCGATACTTCGGCGGCAACCCCGACCACGTTGTTCTGATGGGTACCAGCGCTGGAGGTGCTTCGGTTCTGCTCCAGATCACCGCAAACGAGGGAGACAACCACGCTGCCATCCCGGGCACAGGCAGGAAGCCTCTGTTTCACGGCGCGATCGCGCAGAGTCCGGCAAGCCCGACCTTTTTCACACCAACTCAAGCCGAGAAATTCTGGAACGAAGTTGCTGACGGTCTGAACTGCACGGACATTGCCTGCGTCCGTGACGCCTCTCCTGGGGACCTCTACTATCAAAACTACCCCATGAACTTCCCCGACCGCGACACACCTCCGCGCTGGATGTGGGCACCGACCACAGAGCCTGCAGGCGGCTTGTTGACCGAACCTGCGCCAGCAGCCATCATCCACAACCGGTACGCCAAGGTGCCCACGATCATTGGTTTTACCTCGAACGAAGGTTCGGATCAGGTGAAGAAGACGACCGACACACTTGACGAATTCAAGACCTACCTGAAGGACCACTACCCGCTGCTCACCGAAGACGACCTCGATCTCCTCGCTGAGACATACCCGAACGAACGACACTGGCCCGACAGCGGACGATTCTGGGACGCAGTAGCGAAGGCGCAAGGCGACATTCGCTACATCTGCCCGACATACCTGGCCTCCAACGCTATGGGAATCCACAACCCTGAGAACGTACCAACATACCAATACCAATGGGACGTGATGTGGGGCGTCGACATCGAGAACGGCTACGGTACGAAGCACGCCGGTACGGTCGGTCAGGTCATGGTGCGCCGCCACAACGAGATTTCAGACTACTTTATCAGCTTCGTCAAGTATCTCAACCCCAATATCGAGAAGGGCAAGGACACGCCGACGTGGGAAAAGCTGGATAGCAGGAAGAGGCGTTTACTGTTCACAAACATCAAAGAGGGTGGAAAGAGGGGCGACGGCACCAATATGCTCGGCAAGATGCGCATGTGGATGGAAGGCAAGGATGAGCGTCGGGACGCGAACTGCGAGGTCATCCGGGGACTGATGAAGAGACTGCAGATGGAGGGTGTCGAAGCGCTGGCGCTAGACTCGTGAGAGGTGATGAAGGGCGGCAGTAATGCCCCTCGCTGTGGTTCAGCGGTTTCATACAGGTGGGCATTTTCTAGCATTTACAGGCGTTTGGGTAGATGCCTCATCGTACGCGATGCGTGGCTGTACAAAATTATTATGTCTTCTTGTTTAAGGGGTTCTCAGACGATGAGTGAGTCCACCTGTCGGATTGTTTATGAGGCTTGTGGCAGTGTCGAATCGTATGTGCCTTCCTTGGTTGTCTTCTAACAACAACAGCTCATCTCATTCACAACGAGCACCTTTACATACTCTGACCGTCGGTCATGTTCGTGCATTGACATTGTATACCTAGAATCAGTATCTCGATCACCATCAGAGTCGCCTCTAATCTCACTCTGTGCCGCTGTAGCCTACAGCTCTGGACTCACCCGAGTACCACTTTTTGCGAAGATGGAGCAGCAGCGCTCTCACTTTCGATTCCACCCTCTCCCGTTCCCTATCTTAAGAGCCACCTCACCTACCTGCACACCTCCACCTCCCGTCTCACAACGCCCACACCTCCCATCTCAAGGCTCGCCACAACCGCATATCAAGCCTTCCAATAACTTGAGCCTGAACAGTCTTCACACACGAATGGCTTCATGCTAAAAGCCTTGCAGATTCACAAAGCATCCCTTAACGCGCGACAGGAAGCGCGAAATATGCGTTCGCACCCAAAGCCGAAGTCTGACCGTGCAGAGAGTCCTCTCTTCGAGCCGCACCACTCAGCCATCTCTCCCGTGGTTCGAGATTCAAAGCAAGAGAGTAATATCGAACCCACGGTCACAAAGCGAATGGAAGGCTCAGGAACACACAATCATCTACCTACCGAACACCCATCACCAGAGGAAGTACCTCCAAAAAGAAAGTGTAGGTGGTGACCATACGAAGTCTAGCAAGCATTCTGACATAGCATAGTAGAGGAGCTTTCCGATGACGAAGACGATGAAATCGAAGACGATGGCGACGAACTAGTCCCTGCACACGATCCCGATTCAGAGCCGCTACCAGACTTGCCTATGTACCACCCTTCCGTCAAAGAAGTCGAATCTCTCTCTTCACAACTCATCTCAGAGTTCCAGTACTACATTACGAACTCGACATACAAAGATGATGAGACCGACTACCTTCTAGAAGAGAGCAAAGTTCTGGAACATCCACCACACGAGTCGCATGTGCTGCGTATTGCTCTCATTGGGGACGCTGGTCAGGGAAAATCCTCGCTCCTGAACTCCATGCTGGGTCAGGAGAACTTGGCCATTCACGTAAGTTCCAAATCGTTGCGCGGATCCAAACCCATTCTAACGATAACAGGCTGCTGATGGCAACAGTTGCACGTATGTTGTGGTGGAATATGCCCAGGCATTCGCAACGCAAAGCCACCCCTTCCAAGCAAAAGTCGAGTTTCTGTCGAGGCAAACTTGCCGTGATCTAGTCAAAGAACAGCTCAAGAACTTTTGGCTGTTCATCACAACAGACATGGAGGCTGAGCTGGACGAGGAGATCGTGAACGAACGCCGACTTGGCGCGATAACATGCATATCGGTCTTCAGCTCTCTATTTATTGGGCACGCAGAGTTCAGCGACAGAGACAGTGCAGAGACGTTTCTGTCTGACGCAGAATCTGCGCACAATCCCCGTCTTGTCAGTAAGCTCATGAGCTGGACAGATGAGATTCTCGATGCATTCATGACAAACGAAGACAATGTCGATGTTGCCACAATCAACGCCAATACCGCGTCACAGATCAGCGACGCAATTCAACCTTTCACCATGGTAGTGGAAGACCCCCACTTCGACGGCACTGACATTGTCTGCTGCCCTTGGCCTCTAGTCAAAATGGTAGTCGTCAGTCTGAGCTCACGCATTCTCGAGCAGGGCATCATCATTGCCGACTTACCCGGGACCACAGACAAGATACGGTCCCGCGTAGACAGCGCGAAGCGTTATCTACAGTCTTGCGACATGACCATTGTGGTCAATAACATGGCTCGTGCCATCGACCACGCTGCTTTACACAATCACGTGAACGAGGCTTTCCGAAGAAAGCGATCGGGAAATACAATCGTCGTTTGCACACGCTCGGATGATTTGCAGGTCACTGCTAAACAGTCCTTCCCATCGATTCCTGCGGAGGAGAAGGCGATGGCCGAGATCGCGGAGAAAGAAGCCACCGTCAAGAAGCATCTCATGGACCTTGCACTTGCGCTGAGTTCTCCACAGTTTAAGAAGAAGCCCTTTGAGAAGTTCAAACTCGTCCAGAAGAAAGAAAGATTTATGCGCGAGAAGAATGAACTCGCACGACAACGGTACGAAGTTCGTGTCTCTGCACGCAACCGACACGTCAAGCACGGCGTCACTGAGCAATACCGTCAAGACACTAAGGATCGTTCCCCGCTTCCAATATTCTGCGTGTCAAATGTCATATACATGCAACATCTGAGTGGCGGGTATCCTAAGAGCGCTCCACCGCAGCTCCGTCTCGAAGCCACCGAGATTCCGGCGTTGCGGACGCATCTCTTCTCGCAACCCTCGCTGGGAAGGTTCCAGTCGCTTGAGCATTACTGCAAGAGTCTCTTACCGGCGTTTTTCAACACGATTGAGATCTCGTGCAGCGTGTCGAAACTCAAGAGGAAGGACGAGCTGAACAGAACTTTCAACAAGTCCCAAAGTGTATGTTTCGGTCCTGTTGGACTGATATGTGGCTGATGATCACAGAGCTTGAAAGAAACCATCGAAGATGCGACGGAACTGTTAACTGAGCACAAGTTCGGTCTAGTTTACAGAATTATTGGTATGTTGATATCGAAGCAGCAGCCGGATCGTCTATTGACAGTACCAGACAAACAGGAGATGGCATGGATCAATCGTGCGCGACGAAAGTGCAACAAATGGTCCCAGTTCAAGCCAGCCGGTTATGCTGCGGTCCTTCGCCATGATGGTTCGTCATTTCACAGCCACCTTGATGTGTACACCACACTGATCGTTTCTAGGAAAGTGGAGTACAAAGACCATCGATCCACAGAATTGGAACGAGGACTTGTTGAAATCTGTTGACGATGACTTGAGTCCCATATTCGACGAGATCCACGACCAAGACTGCAACGAGCTGGCCGCCGACATTGCAGAGCGCGTAGGCGATGCAGTCGAGAAGCTCAACAACGCGTTACGGGGTTCGTTGCACACAATCGCCAGAGTTCGAGGCAGATGCTGACTTCCCCAGTTGACCCTGCCGCCGCCCTGTCCGGCGCCATCACAGCCTTCCGCGCGAATCTCAAAGAACGCCGGTCCCAAATCGACAAGATCTGCGAGGCCTTCCGCAAGCAACTGAAGAACGAGATCCGGTACGCTCCTCACCCAGCATCCGACCCAAGCCCCCCACTGACACATCCCAGCCGCATCCAGACCCGCACCACCACCAACGACACCGATCACTACTTCACCGCAGCCATGCAACCCATCTACGCCGCCGCCGTCCACACACCCAAGGTCCGCGGCAGGCGCCTGCACGACCTGCGCGCGCACGCGCTCCTCACCGGCGTCACAGCCGAAGACGGTCCCTACCGCGCCCTCGCGACCCACATCCGCGCGGCCTACGACGCCGTCTTCCAGCACGCCACCGCCGACCTCTGGACCCAGCTCAACGAGGTGTTCGAGCGCACCCGGCACGACGTTAATCTCGTGTGCTCCACATAAGAAGACGATGGGCCCGAGGCTACGGCGATGCGGAGCCAGTTGCTGGGTATGCTGCCGGATGCGCGGGAGCGGTTGCGGGGGGAGATTTGGCGGGAGCTGGCGAGGTGTAGGAAGGGGAGGGCTGGGGTTGACGTGGAGGGTTGAGACGGGGGGGTAAGAGGGCGAGGGCGTTGGTGACGTGGGTTTGGTGCATGGGAGGGTGACGGGTGTAGTAGTGGCGAGATGGAGGGCATTTCTGGGCTCTTGCTCTCGCGTCTTTTTGGAGCGAGCACGGCGGTCTCTATTCACGGCATGCACACTGCCGCTGGTCAGGGGAGTGCGTATCTAGTTCTTGCACTCGGAACCCCTTCAGGCTGAGAATTCAGACTGAGATTGCAGACTGAGACTACAACCTTCTATCACACTCCATCAAGCTACTGAATCACCCATCCACAGTGCACCACCGCACACGACAAGCCATGACCATGAATTCAATACATTCATCCCTATCCTATGCACACCTCAGCCCATCTATATCTATCATACACACCCACCTCACACGCACCATCTATCGCACATCCCCATCTACATCCCCGTCCCCCCCGGCCCAAAGAAAAACCCATCGAACAAATCCAGCCCATTCCCATCACTCCAGTCATGCGTGCCGTCGCCAAAGCCCATGCCGAACCCGATGCCGACGTCCTGGGTCGCGGCGCCGTCGGCCGCGCTGCCGGGCCCCACGCCGCCGCCGGTGCCGCCGGTGCCGGGGAAGCTGTCGAGGAAGTCGAGGTCGTTGTGGAAGCCCAGGTCGGGGTAGGCGGAGTTGGTGGTGGAGAGGGAGGGGTAGGGGTAGAGAGTGTAGGGGGGCGAGTTGGGGAGGGGCGGGGAGAAGGAGGCGGTTTGCTGTTGGTTTTGTTGTTGCAGACTTTGTTGTGTTTGTTGTTGTTGCTGCTGCTGCTGCTGCTGCTGTTGCTGTTGTGGTGTCTGTTGCGATGCAAACCCGTACCCCTGCGTGCGCAGCTGTGGCGAGATCTTCAGGTCCGCGGTGAACTGCAGCGCGGGCTCGGGCTTCACCGGGGTGGGCGGGGGCCGCATGGTCGTGACCTGATTGGAGACGCGGCTGAACGAGCGCTTATCGGTCTCGTCCTCGGAGAAGAGGTCCTTGAGGTTCATGTCGAAGCGGGGCACCGGCTTGCGCTGCGGGGGCTGGCCGAAGTAGGAGGTGGCTCGGGCGTAAGCGGGGATTTCTTGGTCGGCGGGTCTTTCAGGGTCGGCGCTGGGGAAGGCGGGCTGCGGGTAGGGGTTGTGTTGCGGCAGGGAGCGCAGGGCCTGCGGGCCGAAGCCAGTGGTGGACATGCACATCTGGATGGTGGCCTTGCTCATGCGGTCGAAGGCGTCGCGGCACGCCTCGGCGGGCGGGCATTTGTCGATGAGATCGCCTAGGACCGAGGTCGCGGCTAGGACGGTGAAGTCGACGTCATCCAGCGACTGCAGGCCAGTTAGGAGGTGCTGGGGGAAATCTCTGCGACAAATGTCGCACAAAGGAACTCACTAGTAGGCTGCGGACATGGATGCTGTGCCACACGGCGTACAGGAACGATATCCCTGTCTGAGTCAGCAACGCATGCAGCACGGAGAAGAGCACTCACCCGCCATGAAGAGATGATGGGTTGCCAAGAAGGTATAGTTTACGAGATGCACGCGATGCAACTGGCGGTACAGCTTCAGCACCTTCTGCCCCGCCTCGGCCACCTTGAGAAACACCAGGTCCTCGTCTTCGCGGTCGTCCATGCCGACCACGGACGGACTCCCGACATCCGAGCCGGTGGTGCCAAGCACGCCCTGGAGCCCAGTCGGGACTACCAGACTCTGTCTATACAACATGATGACCGCCTGCCAGTAGTTCAGCTCCAGGAAGAGCGGCGAGAACTGCACGCCGGCGTCTATCTGCGTGGGGGCCGAGTCCTTCCACTCCTGCAGGCGGCGGTCGATGTCGGCACGCCAGACGCGGAACGACTCGAACTTGGCAAGGAAGGGCGAGGGCAGCTTGGTGTGCATGAACTCGTTGCGCTGGTTTGTGCCACTCGCCCTTGCTTGCTGCGCCTGGCGGTGCTGCAAAACCTGCAAAATCTCGGACTGCAGCAAGCGCAGGCGGAAGTAGTGATAGGCCACGACCTTGTAGGTGGGCTTCTCGAGGTGGGCCGGCGGGTCGAGAAAGCCTTCTTTGGTGATGAAGCGGTCGTCGAGCAGCGAGGGGAACTCGGTGGTGACGATCTGATCGGTGATGCCCTGCAAAGTTAGCGCTGTGTAGATGCGAGAGGCGCAGACCACTCACAAACGGCCGGCCCACGCAGGTGCTGACGAGGCGGTCCACGGAATACACACACCACCACAGGCGGCGTCGCAGGTCTCTGACCCACTGCCGGCGGCCCCTCTCCTTCGCATCGACTTTGGTGGGGGCGGCGGCCGCGTCCTCGCTCGCAGAGCCCTCAGTCTTGAAGCTGGGGCGCGCTGCGGCGTTGTCCTCGGAGCCGGAGCCGTCGATGCCCACTCCGTCCTCGTAGTGCAGCCCCAGGTCCACGCCAAGACGCACGGCCACGCCCACGATGTACCACAGGCCAGGCGCGACCGGGCGCAGCAGGGCAAAGCCGGCGAGGAGCAGCACGGCCTGCAGCTCCTCCAGGCCGCCGCCAAAGCCGTCGGGGCGGTCGGCGGCGGGGGACGAGCCGAGGAAGTTCTCGAGGTGCACAATGGCGGAGGCGTGGTACTCCTCGGGCTGGTGCTGCTGGCCGGCCAGGCGGCGCTTCTTGTTGTAGGGCGGCGAGGCGCGCGACTTGGAGGGCGAGGCAGAGCCGTCGGACGGCGGCGAGTCGTCGGCGTCGGAGCTGCCCAGGATGATGCCGGCGCCAATGGCAAAGACGATGTTCAGCATGTACGACTCGCGCGAGGTGCGGTGGCGCTCGCCGTTGGCGTAGACGCGGTCGAACATGTCCATGAACTCGCCGCGGTGCAGGATGGGGATCTGCGGGTTGGCGTGCTCAAAGTACAGCTCGACCAGGCGCGCGGCCAGGTCGCGGTCGGGGAAGGGGGCCTGGCGGAAGGTGGGCTTGGTGTGCAGGCCGAAGAACGAGTCGCGCATCGAGGTGCCGCCGTCGACCAGGGCGGGCGGCTTGCCGCGGGTGCTGCCGCGCTCGGACGAGGCGCCCGACACGGAGCTCTTGACGGCGGCGAAGACGACGCGGGCAAACGAGATGCCCGAGGTCGAGCCCAGGTAGCGCGGGTCGCTGGCGCCCTGCACCGACACCATGCCGATGTTGGACACCAGCTTGGTCAGCTTCTCGCGGTCGTACTTGTCGGCGTCGTCGCGCGGGGCGGCGGCGCCATTGCTGCGCGCAGGCAGGCCCGGCGGGTGGGCGGGCTGGTGGGCGGGCGCGGCGGCGCTGGGCTGGAAGCTGGGGTTGAAGTCCTCGGCGGGCGCAAACGGCGTGCCGGCGTCGAGCAGCAGCGCCTCGAGGTAGGCGACGCGGGTCTCGAGGTACCAGACGTAGCTGGGCGGTCAGCAACTAAACAGGGACGCAGCATGGCGCGGCGTACCTGCGCGGGATCTCGCGCTTCGTGATGGGGTCGTAGCCCACGCACTTGACAGCCGCCTTGTCGCACGACGCGCACGACGGCAGGCGCTGGTCGCAGCGGTTCTTGCGCAGGCGGCAGCGGTTGCAGGCGCTCACGTTGCGGAACGACGACGCGCTGCTGGCGGCGGGGCTGGGCGGCTTGTGCGAGGCCGCGGGGGCCGCGTGCGAGGCCGTCGAGTCGGCCGGCGACGGCTGCTCGCCGTCATGCGCCTCGTCCAGGGAGCGCTTGAGGCTCATCAGGGCGCATAGTAGGGCGCGCAGGAGGGTGCGCTCTGCTGTCCGCGGCGGGCGTGGAGTCGCGCGGGCGGGAGGTGTCGTCGCGCGTCAAAACCACTGCCGCACCGCCGCCGCCGCATGCTTGCGGTGCTGATAAGGACGCCCCGCGATAGTCGCCCGCCGCCTCAGCCAGCCCGCCCGCCGCCGCCCAGCCCGCCGTCCTGTCCTGGCTGTCCTGTACTGGCTGTCCTGGCTGTATTGTCCTGGCCGTCACGTCTCTGCCCCCTGTCTTCTCTCTGTCCCCCGCGCCCGGTGCGCTGCCCCCCCGCCGATAACAGCGCCTGTCGCCATCCTGCTGACTACAGCCTGCGCACTGCTGGCCTACGCCCTGGCCTGCGCCTTGCTGCGCGCACGTCCGCCGCCGGCCAGCCCGCTCCCTGTGCCTCGGCCCCTCGGCCACGCAGCTGCCCTCAGGCATGCCGCTCCCACCGGCGACGTCTGCACGCCAGAGTCTGGGGAAAGCGCCGACTCACACCGCCAATCCGAGAAGCAGCGACAAAAAGCAAAAGCTCATCTGCGCAAAAAGTCCACGTCGTGCCTGCGAAAAAGCCACATCGCGTCTGCAAAGAAGTCACATCGCGTCTGCAAAAAAGTCACATCGTGTCTGCAAAGTTATATGAAAAAGCCGGATATCGTATTGCGTGAGCAAGCTATTCTAAGTAATCACTACGGTAAAGAACTGCGGGGGTATTTGTTCTTTTGAAAAACGCCGTTGCTCGCCTCGACCATTGCTGGTCCCCTGTGTTGCGAGCTGTCCCATCTAATAATATAATCGCCCAAAAGGTCCGCCCATTATGTGTGTCGCTGAAGTGCTGAAAGTGCCGAGGAGAGTCATGGGGAAAAACGCCGTAAAATGTATGCATGCACCCGTCCGTGAAGAGCCGTCGTCTATGTTCCTGTATCCGAGGAACGCCGTGTAAAGTTTTTTGGGATCCGAGAATGGACAAGTGTCCTGAGAGTCGTGGGTGGCCGAGTCCTGGGTGGCCGAGTCCTGGGTGGCCGAGTCGTGGTCCGGTTTCAGCCTCATTTGGAGAGCACCATCTCGGCCTCCTCGTCGGGCGTGAGCGTCAGCACCGACGCTGCGTCCGACCCGCAGTCCACCAGCGCCTCCTCGTCGTCGTCGCTGATGATGCGCTTGTCCGACTCCTTGAGCATGAGCCCGGGCAGCCACCCGACAAGCGCGACGCAGGCAATCGCCCACCACGCCAGCCCCGACATGTGCAGCTGCATGCCCAGGCTGTCCACCGCGCCAGACACGGTAGGTCCGAACCCGCGGCACACGCTGGCAGACGACGCGGCCGCTCCATTCAGCGTTCCGAGCACCCGCTTGGACGGTGATGAGTTGGCGAGGATGATCGCCAGCGAAGGGTACGAGAGCGATTGGAACACCACCTTGCCGATGAGCAGGACAACGAGCCCGGGAATACGAAAGCGCTCCGGCAGGAGCGCGAGGTAGGGTGCCAGGATGTAGAGAACCGGGTAGAGCGCCATGGTGATCCAGAAGGTGCGTAGGCTGCCGAGCTTCTTGCTCAGCCAGGGGAAGAGGATCAGCTGAGCGAACATCTGCATCGCCCCCTGCATCGCCAGAAACGCGCCAATGTTCTGCGTGTCCCATCCGAAGCCGCCCTCGAACATGAAGGGCAGCTGCTCGGTGCCAGGCTGGAATGCCTTCTTCGACATGAGAATCGGCAGAAGCTGCTCCAGCGAGATTGTGTGGCTGGACAAATTAGCTGCTGCACCACATCGACCCGTCGACAAACTTACAAGGCGAGAATGCCGTAGCACATGATGTTCAGACAGACCTGCTTGGTGAACGCTTGTCGCACAGGTGGCGCCAGCGCCTTTTCCTGGTCCAGCGAGAATGCGGGTGGCTCTGACATGGATGTGCGAGCACTGCATAACGTCGGCGAGCTGTCGGTGCTTCGGTATGCACGCGTGTTGATGTCGTGGTCTTCCAGCATGGATGTCATCTCGTCTAGGCACGCGTCTTTCTCGTTGAAAGCCGCGTTGGGCTCTGATCTCCACATCTTGCGCAGCAGCCACTTGCCAGCATCGAGGCCACGGTCCTCATCGTACTTCTTGTCCTCGTGCGTCTCCTGCAGAAACAGGATGCCGACGGCGAGTCCAAAAACGACAATCAGAGCGCAAACAACGTTTGGCAAAAGGAACGGGTACGTTTCGAAGATAGTACCCACAAACGCTTGGGACAGTTGCGCGGGTTGTGCGAGAACACCGCCAAGGGAGCCGCCAATGATAGTGCTGCAAAAGGCGGTCAGTCGGCTGCACAAACGTTGTACGGAGAAGATTTCTTACCCAAGGCACCACACAAAGGGCATGATGGAATAAGCGCGCGCTATAATCGTCAGTCAACGTTGGCCACGTTACGTCGTTAACGCAAACTTACGCTGGTGCCTCTCGTCCGTAATAAGCTCCGCTACTGTCGTTTGCAAGACGCCGATGTTCCTGCATGTCGGTTAGTCGGTGTTTAGCCTCTAGCGTTCGCGATGACCTCACCCGTTAAGAAGCCCACCAAGAGCCCGAGCAATCAGCGCCATTGGCAGACTTTGGGCGAATCCAAAAAGAAGCATGCTCAAGCCGGTGCCGAACATGCCGCCAAGTAGCACCTTCTTGCGCCCGATCTTGTCGCTCAGTCGGCCCCAGAAAATTCCACTGACGCACTCCATAAAGGCGAATGCTGACGTGACCATGCCCGTGTACATTGCAGTCTTGCTCTCTTCCAGTCCAAACGATTCGACCATCTTGAAGGCATACGGGAAAATGGACATGAAAGCAATGGGCTCGCAAATCCGGCAAAGTGCTGATTTTGTTAGGTTGGGCTGTTGCCATGACAAGAACCCTGCACTCACCCAGGACGGCCATCTGGCGAGTTGGAAAGGGCGTCTTGCCTCTGCTCGAGGCAGAGAGGCAGCCGAAACGAGCCATTGGTGCGGTGATGTGGGTGTGTGGTGCGTGGTGGGAAGATGTATCGATTGTTACGGTCCAAGGTAGATGGTGTTGGTCGATGTTTCAAGTTGTTTGAACAGGTGAGACATGTGCGGGTTGGCGTCAAGCTGGTACCTCCAGGGTAGAGAGGGCGAGGGTGAGTTCAAAGCAACAAGTTGGCTGCGAGCGTCTCAGAGTATATAGGGCAGACAAGATTTAAGTGGCGTCGTGAAGCGGATGGGCCGCTGGGACGTGCAGGGATTAGGGCAGCGGGGAGGAAACGGAGAAACAGGCGGTGATTGTAGTGGATATGGATACGCAGTCTGGGCGGATAGGGCAGCGGAAGGACCAGCGAATGTGAAATGAAAGCGGAGCCGTGATGCCATGGCTGCACAGGCACAGCATACAGTTTACCGGTAGGCGACCAGGACAGCGCTGTGCTGGCAGCCATATCGCTACTAGCCTCACGTCAATTGTGACTCCAGGTCACCGGACGAGATGGGTAACTTTGTGCCCGAAAACAACACCGCAGCTGTAACCCCTGAGCGAGGGCCAGGGCTGGCGGCGCTTTGGTCCTGTGTGCCTCACACAAGACTGGGACCGGGTTGGGCGGAATCCACGACATTGGGCAGGCTAGGGTTGATCGAGTAAGGTCACTTAGGGAGAGTTGCGAGAGCGTTGAGACGTCGTGCGATGACTTGGAACTCGCGAAGAAGATCAACGCGCACGTCCCCGACCCGGCAAAAAAAGATGCGGGTTGTGGTTAGTCCAAAACCGCGGATACGGTTCAAAGACGCTAGCCTACTGTAACTTCAGAGCTGCATCATACAGGACCGGGGGTCCCTGTCGAGACGAGGAAATGTGCGAACGTCGTGCCGACTGTCGCTGGCCGCTGAGGGCCGTAAACGGAAACGGCACGGCTTCCATCTTCCCCGGGAGCAAATAGGACTTGGTTCCGGTGTGGACACTATTCAGTGCCAAATTCCTTCTTCGCCCTCAGGGGCAGAACCTTGCGGTGCAATTGACTCTTGACAGCTTGCGAGTCAGGACGGAGAGTCTTCGCCGCCTGCTTTTCCAGAAGCCAGCTCCGGTAAGCTCTGGCCAATCACACGTGCAACATGCCTTGCTGGTAATGGGCGTTGGCATCGCTGCGTCAAACCGTGATTGCTCCGGAAACCCAAAAATGGCGGTGTATCTGCACCAGGTCAGAGCCGCAACGTCGTCCAAGTATGCCCATTCAGAGCGTCACGCGGTGCGCTGCAGCGCATCAGTAGCCTCTGCGTTGCCTTGCTGCGGCCAACAACGAGACAGCTCAGCGTCATCAGCGCTTTCAGCCCACGAGTCGCGCGCTCCAGATGGCTGAAAGAAGGACGCAGCACGTTTCGCGTCTCCCAGACCGCTCCCTGGCACTCCACCTGCGGCCATTCCATTTGCTGCCCCAGGTATCATCTCCACGCAACCCTGCTGTCAACGTGATCTGAGAGTTTCCGCCAGCCTCCTGGACCAACCGGCTTCGCAGGACGCGGCCTAGTGCGCTCGTAGCTGGCCACTGCCGAACCCATCCTGCCGTCATCGTTTAATAGACATCGTGAACCTCGATGCCCAAGGCGCATCAGCTGATAGCGCCCTTGCGCGCATCTGCGGTTGGCATGTACTTGGTAGCTGCTGTGTTGCTGCCCAGCTCGATAATGCGCTGTGTTCCTCCTGGCGCAGCCGGGATGGGCATCCGTCGCGTGTTGCGAGCTGAGCTGTCGCAGCCGCTCTGTTTGCGACCGGCCCACGACGACGCAAAAACGGGCGAGGCACAACGGCTGTTTCGACGCCGAATCCCGGCCAAGCAAAATGCTTTTGTGGCGGTGTGGGCAGTAGACGTAAGGCTGGCGCCGATGCAGCCATTGGCCAGGGTGGCTTGCAGATTCCACGCGAGATTAACACGATGGACAGGGGCTTGAGAAGACTCTGAGACAACCAGTCGTTCTTAGTGTCTTCTGGTCGCGCGAGGCTTGTGGTCCTTGCGGTGTGATTGCTCCACGCGAATCCTCCGGTGAGGGGCCTTGGAGGCTGTCGCTCTGTGTACGCGTCGAGCAAACTTTCCATCCGCATCCGCGAGGCCGCATGCCATAAGCAGCTGCGTGCACTCGCGTCCCCTGTGGTTCGTGGGGATCCAGAGGATTCGGGGGTTAGCCTTGGGCAGGCCCTGCCGACAACGCTTTTCTGAGAAACGAGACAATGACGGACCCGACAGCGTGGGTCGATTTTCTCCGATCTCCTCGCAGGAGTCACTGCTCACGTCTGCCGTCGACCAATGCGTAAACGTGGCACGTGAGGCGCGGCAGTAACAACGTGTGCTGCCGTCGCAGCCTGCTCTGTCATGTTTCGTCTTGACTGGAGCCAGCGCATTTCAAAGCCGTCGGGTTGCACGACAGGCGGTCAGCCGTAGGACAAACCTGTCTCCAAGCCGCCTGAATTATGAAGGACGATCGCAATTCGGTGTTTCTCTCGGTTGCCCATGGTTTCCACAAACCCGGGTCGACAATATGTCGTGAACATCAGCAATTAATTGTCTGACGAACGGTGAGCAAAAGCAACGACGCGATGCTTGTATGTCCCACCGTCTCGAGTCACGTCACATTCGGCGCGTATACAGTGGAGCCTGTTGGCGCTCAAAAGGACCTCGTATGCAAAACACTGTGTGAGCTCGAGACTGACTGCACACCGAACGCTCTGCGACCGCTTGCAGAAGTGCCCGCAGGAGCCTTGCCGCCGCGGACGCTAACGTGTATGCACCAGGGTGGGCAGCAAGAGCCGAGCAGAGACGTATGGTGTTTGTTGTGGTGGCACTGCGATGCCTCCAGGTGGTGCCTTCTCTGGCCAAATGAGCACCTGCAGCCTCGGAGACCACATCCGGCCCTACCACTGCTCCGACCACTGTGCGTCTCCACAATCAGTGCTGCTGCACTGCCACGTCGGCAGTTGGAGGTCGTGCTGCAGTGAGCCCGTGATGCGCGCTCATCTCCATTGCGGCTATGACACAGGCACAGTTCATGGTGCTGTGCGTTTGAAGGTGACAGGTGCTGAGGTGCAGCGGCTAGAGGACCCACTTCGCTAGCCCGCGCCGATCGTCCTCAACGCTCCTGCAACCTCACCGCACGTTTGTACAGGCACAGCACCACTCGTGTGAACCATGTCTCTATCCGGCTCGTCTCCGACGCTGTCGTCGTTCCGAAAGCAGCATCTGCTCATCGAGTTGTAGGTCGCGGTCAGCAGCTTGGCGGTTAGATTTAACCGTGAATAGCTCTACCCTGCGGCACGCACAGCTTGATGGTGTTTTCGTGAGCATTACACCCGGTGATCCGTCGCTGTGGGTTGGTGTCATATTTGTGCGAAAAGGTAGTCAGATGTTGCAGAGCTAGGCAAAGTCTACCGACGCCGTGCCTGCCTCCTGCACCAGCTTCTCGTCGTATTCACGCCTGACAGGTCCATATGCTCCCGCCGTTCTGCGCTTCCAGATATCCTTTCCGTCTAGCTTTCCAGCGCTCCCACCCCTCGTGACCTTTGCAACCGATGTCTTTCATCCTCTGCTCACGCCACTCACGACCTACACTCACACGACTGCTACCTCCGACACAGACACTGTTAGCGCAACCGACGAGGAACGGTTACCCCCAGGTGGATTCAGCCTGCGTCATGGGTTCCCACACTGGTTTGGCCGTGCGCGACAGTCTGGAGCGAGATCACGTGGTGCGAGTGGATCAGAGGGGGGCAGTCCAGCTCAAAACGGCAGACCTGTAGCAACGCCTGCGGCTTTAGGCGGTGTCGGGACTTCGTTTGGTACTACCGGTGTATCCATGGTGACTGTCCTCGAGTATATCCGGTCGTCGTTTAGTGAGGAGACAGTGCTGGACTCTGTCTCATTAGAAGCGGCCGCGAATCCAGGCGCGTATCATGCATGGCGAGCTTTTCGTAGCTCGGCATTACCACCACAGCAACCGCTTAGTCCAATTTCAACCACCTCAAGCGAGGGAACGGCTCTAGGAAGGAATCGACGGCCCGGGGAGTGGAACTGGGACGGTGTCTGGGAGGATCGTGTGAAGAGAGCCGTCAATGCTAGCCTCTCGGAGTCTGTTCTGTACGGACCGGGGGCCGGAGAGGATATTGTAAGTCTCCATCAGACATGACCTCTCCTGCCCGCTCACTAATCCATCCAGATTCGCTTCCAGCAAGTTGATGATGACGAGACGGTAGCTGTGATGAAGAGCCGGCTGGACGTGGCTACCACGAGAACAGCGGAGGCATGAACACGACAAATTCACCCCGTGTCGGCAGGGACGGCGTAGACGCGTCGAGGTCGCGGTTTCCGTCGAGGTTGACTCGAGATGGCCACCACGCAAGCTGTGTTGCGATCCTCGAAACACCAACAACATCGATAGCTAATATCACCGTTCCATGCTCCCATTGCTCAGCAGAACGCTTCCCATTATTCTTCCCTCGCGCTTCCCTTGGCAATTGGCTGAGAAACCTGTTTACTTCGCTTTCACCTCTTGTTTACTCACGGTGAAGGCGGGACACAACGCGACACGCTGTCCGTTTGTTTCTCGACGCGTCTGTTATGGCGCTAGCAACACTGAAGGCCTCGTCTCTCACCCAACACACATCTTTTTGTCCGCCGCCTCTGCATATACAGAAGAAACCACGGAGAACAACACTCCGCAAGCTACTCCGTAAGTCCACCCCTGTCAGCGAGTATGTATGCGGCCCCCTCGACGACATCATCGATGAGATTACAAGTAACCTCTGGTCCCCGCTTGACAATGGAGCTGGAGCGCCTTCTCTCGATTGGGCAGCCTCGCTCGATGTGCCGTCAACTTGGACCGTAACGCCCTTGCCTGTCAGTCGCCTACCTAGGAATCAGCCTCTGACTATACGCAAGAACAGAGAAAGCCGCTCATCGGCCTCAGGTTCCAGCATGGGAGACCCTCCTCGCTTCCTGCGTTACAGTAGCCAAGACGAAGCATATGATGGTGGTCCAGTTGGTCGGCTTGCATCAGGAGTAAGCACCCCTTGGCCTTTGTTAGACATACAGGAACAGACGCACGCACCGAGTGCTTCCGGTACTGTTGCAGTCAACGCGCGAGAGGCTTCCGAGAGTCCAGTTATAGAAGACCGTAATGTCCCCACCAGACGTCGTACTTCTGTACTGCGGCTGTTCACAGGGTTCTCACGCTTGCGACGTACGGATACCAACGAGACCAACGGCAGTGGTGATATACCCAGTCCAGTAACGCCCACGTTACGCGACACTCATTTTGGCGAGGACATTCTGCAAGAGCCCAGTATGGATGCCGTAGAGGCATACATTCAGAGGAATGCACGCGAGTAAGCTGCCCGCAATGCGTCATTTTCGTGGAAGATTATTGACCTGCACAGCGTTGTCAGACTTGGTTCCATTGCGGGCGGCATCACGAGACGACTTCCATCTCCCGCTGAGTATTGCTACGACGAGGAAGAAGCCTTTGACTTCAGGATGTATGAGAAGAGCCCGACCACTTTACGAGCCGCTGTCAGAGTCTACTCGGAGGTAGCCCAGCTGTTCGAACAGGAGCACCAAGAGTTTTGGATTGCTGTCGAAGTTGAAGGTGCTCTTCACAATCGAATGTCGCTTCTACACAGCAACGTTGATGTCATCTTTGTCGTAGACAATTCGTGAGTACGGTGTCAACTAACCAGCATTGTGGAACTGAACTCGACTAGATACTATGTCAGCAGAGAGTGCCTGAGCAGGGCTTTGGATGCCGTGAATAGCGCAATCTATAATCTCCGCGAGGGTGACCGCGTAGCACTCTATACGACACACTGCACCCACCAAGCTGTCACTGGTAACCGACCGGATCTGTTGTTTCCGATCTCGCCTTATACCCTCGATACGGAGGAGATCTTCCGTGGCCTGAGCACATCTATTGCCAAGTACGGCACACAGGCATGGAAACCTCCGCGTCCTAATCCATCGATGGCAGAGGTCATCTTGGGTATAGCAAAGTCTCTCAAGAAGCATGGCCTGAAAGAGCAACGTACCCATGTTGTACTCCTTTCTCCGGCTTCCCACATCTTGCACGATGTGTCAAAGTCTTGCCCGGATCTCTACATCCATCAGATCAATCCCGCACCTCTCCCGTTCCGTCGGCTGCCTGGCCTCAGCGATATACAATGCGGCGAAGAGTGCTGCAAGAACGTCTTCATCCGCAACTGGACTCATATCCAGTCCCTTCCTTACCACATGAAGCGGATCCTGGAATACGCTCGCTCGATCAAGCCTGCGGGGGGGATAAGCCAAATTTGTATTGACATTCGAGCTAGAGATGGATGCGAAGTCATTAAATGCGTAGGCAGCAAAGACATTGCGAGCCTGCGTGTTGGCCAGGTGTATACAATCTTCGTCAAGGTACGCACGACAAGGTCTGCGACCAAAGCTGTCGATCTGCAGTCGAAGAATCCTATCTTCAACTCGTCTCTGGACATCAAAGACTTGAGGCAGCAACTGCAGAACGCCGTGACCGTAGGTGCCGTGAAAGTACATATACTCGATGTCCAACTGTATCACCGGAGCAGATGGCATGGAGCAGACTGTTGGAACTATGCAGAGACACCGTTTCTCGTTGTTCGTGAGTTGGGGGGTCTGGCGCGTCCCTACGATACCGCGATTGAGGTACAAAAGCGTCGATTGTTCCACGCGTTTGCTCAGCTCGACGCAAAGGCTGCTCGGCTGGAGGCTAACTCCCTACTTCCTACCCTGGCTCCAATTCAAGAACCCTTGAAGAGGTTCGTCCAGCACATGGTCTGTGAGCTCGAACATCACCAGCGAGTCCTCGAGTACGAGCAAGAGCATCGCCAAAGGCTGCCATTGTGTCCAGGCCCGATCGACATCGAAACTTCACCCCATGAGCGCTTCGAAGAAATGTGGGACCGAAGAAGCAACAAGCGTCACGGTGTTGCCATGGTTGAAGAGGAGGAAATAAGTGGCCTGATTGACGGTCTGCATGGCCTGGAGCGACTTGGCTGAAATGACAGCTGTCGAAACTTCGGTATGGGCTGAACTTTATTGCTCCCGAGTTGTGGTCTCGTGACCGTTGGCTAGGAACAGGTATGAGGTTGGACATTCAGAGTCAGGGCAGTACAAACCATGTGCTGAGTGCGCATGTTTACGCGTCAAGTTGGAGGTCTGAAACGTTTGTATCATGTCTATCGGAGGTCGTATCCACCGCTCTTAGGTCCACGGGTAGACGCAAGAATCGAATGTTTATGCCGCTGCATAATCTCGCGGAATTTACATCTCCACGGAGCGGCAAAGTTCCCCTGTCTATATTGCGGAGTTGACACCGTGACGCAAACCAACTTTAATACGAAATCTTCCTCTGCAGCCCATCTGTGCGCCAAAGCTTGTGCCAAACCTTAATAATCTCCTGGGACCCAATGTTCACTAAAGCGAAACAGGCAAGCCAACAAACTTCTAGCCATAAATGGAAAGCAACGGCAATCTTCTTCTAGCCTCCCCGCGCACAGGACACGCACATGGGAAGATGCGCTAACGGGGAAACTTTGCAAGGAGTCGCAGAAAGGCCAGTGGTTCGGCGGCATGGCGCGGCCAATCGGCTTTACGGGGCCAGCGCGAGAGCAGCGCGAGAGTTTAGCGTAGCCAGCCTCGTGTCAGAGACATGCTTCGCGAAGGCGCGAGGCGTCTGGTGCGAGGCCGTCGCCGCGAGGTGGCTCGGGGCTACAAGACCGACACGCCTCCTCATGTCTGGCTTGCCACCTGCGCGCGAGACGGGCTGCCTCGCCGTTGTGGCGTCATGACCGGCTGTTCCTGGGGCGTTGGCAGGCGTTGGGGCTACTGTCGCAGGGAACAAGGTTTCAGAGGGCGTCATCAGCGATTCACGATGCATCGAGGGTGCTCTGAGCCGAGTCCCAGAGACGGGATGGTAGGCTGAATGTCGGTAAGGCGTGTGTGACCATTGGGTTGGAGTCTGCGGAAGGGTTGCGAGTCGGGGTCATCTGAGTCGGTGGTCGATGGCGGTGGCTGGAACCATGTCCCGCCTGTGAAAGACTTCGCGGTCGAATCTCTGCTCGGAGACCGAAGAGATACGAGCTGGCTGACCCTGCGCCACCAACATCTACGCCAAGAGCACATTCTTCCGCACAGAGAGTTGAACAAGGTAAAAGTGCAAGGTTTCTATCAACACTACTCCTACAGGCGCCTGTAACGGCTGGGTATTGTGCGGAAAAATATACGGGAAGTAACAAGAAAGAAAGTGAAACCAATCTACACCGCTGAACCTAAGATATTACGGAAATGACCATGTCTTTTTGCCCGCTTCTAAGAAGTGTGAAGGCAATCAAAATTCCTTCCCAATCAGTGCCGGGTCTGCGAACCTCAGCTCCCTGCTCCTCTTCTCTCTCACAACCGGATCACTGGACAGGACCTCGTGTGCTGGATCGGGCCTGGCATGTACCCTCGGTACGTCGAGTCCAACACTCTTCTTGTACATGTGTGGTATGTTGACAGTCAGTGGCAGGCCGTTTCCAGCCAACAGCGTGTGCCCGGCCCCTGTCAAAGATGGCTTTGTGCGAACGTGTCCCGTAGCGACAGGTTTCCTCTGAACAACCGGAGATGCAAACTTAAGTGGCTGCGGTACACTCTCTTCATCGGAGAATCGTTTCTCGGAGAGGCGCTTGATGTCGTCCCACCCACGGGGCTCAGGTGCAGCTGGCGGAGGAGAGAATGGTTTGATCACTGGTGATCGGCCTACCTGTACTAGGACAGGTGATCCGACGCTCTTCTGCGGTATCTTGACTTCCTGAGCCTGGTGCATATACTTTGCAACTGGGCTGAGTAGTGACCTCGCTGCACTCCTGCCATTTGGTTGATTCACTGGTAGCTTTGGTCCTACTGGGGTTCGTGGGGTCCGCGGAGACATCAGATTTGGCGACCCAGCGAAGACAGTCACGCTGTCGGAGGTGCGGTTCCGCTCGTCGACCTGGAGAGGTAGGTCGTGCTCGAATGGGTCGGCATAGGGATTACTGTCCAGGGTATGTCGCCTCGGATCGGAGAATGGCGACGGTCCTTGAGCAGAGGGACGACCGTAGGGTGAGATTGGCGGGTACATTGAAGCAGCCGTGTTGAGGTAAGCATACGAGCTGATAGACATTCGTGAGTATTCGCCTCTGTCATCAGTCGCGCTTCGAGGCGACTTCAACTCTGGCCGTCGAATGTCGTCTGGGGAGAAGGGAGCAAACGTTGGCGAAGGAATTACATGGTTACTGAACACGTCCGTGTCGCCCGATCGGTATCTAATGAACGAAGTTGAGTGTCTTGCGGCAGCACCGTAACCTGCAACTGCAGCAGACAGGGCTCTTGCAGTGTCTAGAAGTGCAAACTCGGAGTATCTGGGGGCTGCTGGGTCGTGAACTGACACTCCTAGTGGGTTGCCTGGATTTGCGAAGCGAGTGGTGGGCATTGTACCCGTGCTGTGACGCTGCATATGCTTCTTAGGACCTGGGCCTGCTCTTGCTGCAGAACTGCTTGGAGGACTTCCGCCTGTACCGCCTGACATGAGAGCTTCCGCATCACCATCGTCTCCACCCGTTTTTGGGTCATAAAGATAAGCAACCTTTGGATAGACGGACCCTGTGCTTGCACGCTTTCCATATTTAGCTGCGTGGTGCCGACGGGCAAGGAAGATGGCCGCAACGACAGCAATCAGAAGACCAGTCGTAGCACCTACTGCGACGCCGGCAGTCTGCGAGTTAGTGAGCGGAGGTGGGCCTGCAACAGCAGTTTGGCTTGGAGTATCGGTAGGAGCATGAGCAGTCTTTGACCCGTCTGAGCCGCCGGTGTCCAAAGCCGATGCCTCGTCGGATCCAGATGTCGACGTCGAGCTTGGAAACTCCGTTCCAGTGCTAAAAGCGCTATCCGACGTGGTGGAAGCAATGGGACCTAGAACAGTTGAGTTGACTGCACTGTGCATGGAGGATGTCTCTAGGGCTTCCATTTCTGTTCCATTTGACGTGGGAGCAGTACCAACGTCGGTGGGTAGCGCTGAGCGACTGAAGGTGATGCCTAGCTCTGCTGTACCAGTTGATGTACTGTTGAGACCACCAGGCAAGCTGACTGTAGCGGTTGATGATGGCCCCATTGGTGATGACCAAGTCGAGTTTGCGCCAGGATTAGGCTTGGTAGACAATGTAAGCGACTCGCTTGCAGGTACACCTATACTTGATCTTCCGGAAGAAACCGTGGCTGACATCGCGCTTGAAGTTCGGATGTTCGTTTGGTTGACCGCAGCCTCCGTCACTGAGCTGAACAGAGAGAACGCGACTGTACTCATATCGAGCGCACTTGATCTAACAGTAGAGATGTATACTGTCGAGAAAGTGGCCGTGATGATCCCTGAACTGAAGGATACACTGGATTGAGTCTGGGTACCGTTCGATATGACCGATGAGGGCAGAGGCATCCCGCTTGTACTCGTAATTGTAGACACGGCAGAAGACGCGAAGCTTGAGGCGCTGACATGTGTCGGGTTATTCCCGAAAGTAGATTTGGAAGGCAGGAGCGTAGAATTCGAGCCCGATGATTCTGATGTCGGGATCGGGCCGTTCATGGTGTCTGTCGTTGAGCCTGCGACTGAAGTGGGGTTTTGCGATGAACCAGTCGGACTTCCACTCACAAGGGAGCTTGTGGGGGAATCAAGTTCGTCAAGAGTCAACGAGAGAAAGGTACCTGTGGATCCCGGTCGAAGAGTAGACGACGCTTGACTTTGGGAAGATAGGCCTGAGGGAGTTCCCATACTCAAGGTTGGCAGCGATGGGGTGAATGTTGCGGTCGGGGGTTGCTCAGAGGGGCTAGGCTGTGCACTAGACAATATGAGCGTCAGGGAAGACGATATGAGCGGGAGGCCAGTAGGACCCTCGGATGAGGATACAGCAGAAGCGATCGCACTGGTGACAAGTGTCTCCGATGGTACGAACGAAGGAAGGGTGTCGCTCCCAGATGACCCGCTCAAGGTCACGCTCACCGTAGGATCTCCTGTGGAGATAGGGATCTCCGGGGTTGATATCGCGGTCTCGCTTCCAATAAGTGTGAACGATGGCGTGATTGCAATGGACGAAGATGGGGCGACATGGCTGGCGGAATCCGTCGACACAACATCCGGCAATGAAGAGATTGGTGAGTTGCTCTCAGCAGGCAATGGTTCTGTTTGAGTCGAGACCATGCTGATTGAGGAAGCCGGCATTGTGTCTGCCACGGTTGTTGCGACAGATGAAATATCAAGATTCTCTGAGCTGGTAATGGGGTTGGGTGCGGTCGACACCTCGTCGATGCCCGAGCTGGCCCCGAGTGGAGAGCTACTCGGTAGTGGTACGCTGCTCAGAGAGTCCCCAGTCTGCAGTAGGGAAGTGACAGCGGCTAATTGGCTTGAGGTGATAACAGAGGGCGTGAGCGAACTCAGAGCATCGGTGATGATCGGTGTAGGCTCTGAGAAGATGCTACTCAAAGACTGATCGCCACTTGAAGATATTGGAGGCTGCGGGATTGACTCAACGGGCGTGGTAACAGTTTCCAAAGCGCTTGTTACAGAAGAAGGTTCAGGTGTCTCCAGCACACTTGATATTTCTTCCCGAGTAGGTGTTGGATCCGGCCCGATCGTCGATGGTAGCGGCGAAGAAGGTTCCATCGCAGAGGGAGACAACGTCTGCACACTGCTTCCCATCTCTGTGCTACTAGTTGCAGCCACAGTTGTAGGCTGTAGCTCTGAGGTCGAAAATCCTGTTTCATCGGCGGAGCTAGATTGGTCGCCAGGGAATGAAAGTGTGGGAATAGATGTCGATACAGGAGCTGGCTCTGAAGTAGTTGGAAGCTCCTGTGGAACGCTTGAAGGTTCTAACGGTAGGCTTGAAATAGCTGAACTAGTTGGAAGCTCTTGCGAAACACCGGAGGATTCTACCGATAGACTTGGAACGACTGAAATGGTTGGGAGCTCTTGTGGGATGCTTGAAGGATCTGCCGGTAGACTCGAAATGATTGGGAAGGTTGGCAGCTCTTGCGGAATACTTGAAGATTCTGGAATGACTGGCACCTGGCTTGTTGTACTAGGCTCTGAGACTGCAGTTGATTGCTGCTCGACAGGCGTTGTCGTAGGGGCTGAATCGACGGAGGACGCAGGAGGAGTAGCAGAAGCCGTAACGATGGTATGTTGAGTGAATGTTTGTGTTGACGTAGCTGGAGCAGAAGGCTTGACGGACTCTATGACAGTACTGGTAGTCGCACTGTCACTGGCTAGACTGGTGGCCGAATCGGGCGGTGGCTGTGCAGTTTCCTCAGCTGGCACTGACGCTGAGGTCGGTAATGTAGAAGTGGTGGCTTCTGCGGAAGAGATGCTTTCAGGCACCGTGGGCGTTGGCTCAAACACAGGCTCTGATACACTTGACGGAATTTCAAAAGTGCTGGAAGACTGTGTCTCGTCCACCGAAGAGGTCATTATGGATGTGACATCAACAACCGAGGAAAGAAGCGAAGTTGTGGAGGCTTCGCTTTGCAATGAAGTAGGGGTTGGCTGAGTTGGAGCATTGGATGATTGTTGTGTTGCAGAGCTCAGAGGCGCCGTGCTTTCTGTGCTGATCAGTCTTGAAGAAGACACGACATCGCCATTGCTGCTAGTAGAAGATTCGGAATCCTCTGCTGACGATGTGGGGACAGATGCAGATGTCAACGTCGATTCAAAAGTGGTGACTTCTGTTGGTGTCTGAACAATGGTTGAACTTGTAAGCACATCGGATGATTCGAATGCACTGGATAATGTAACGCTAGAAGTCGGCTCCGAGGCTTCTGATGAGCTCGTCTGATTTCCAGCAGGCTGTTGGCGACGCTCGAATGTAGGAAAGTTCAGTCGCTCGATTGTGTGGTGTCTCTTAAGTAGAGCGGCATCTGCGATTGTGTTAATTTGTATACGACAAACGCTCACTACAAAGTGATGATACCTTTGGTGGACAATGCAGTGGTGATGGTCACCGCTAAAGAAGCGGCGCAGTAACCGAGCAAGACTCTCTTGAACCACATCGCATGGTCGCAAATCAAAAACGAATGATTCAACGTATTGGCAGTAAAACGACCTTGCAATCCCAGGAAGCGTACAACAGGTAGCACGGCATTGCATACTTATGAGCCTCGAACCTAGAGTGCGAACACCGACGGTGTTCTGTTGGTGGCTGGCCGCATCGGGCCAATTCTGGTCTAGCCTTGTAGTGAACCTGCAAGGTCCCTGTCCGTTTATGAGGCTTAGCCCTGTGGTAGTCCGAGAATACCTACCAGTCAGCTAACTTTAGATGCAAGCCTTCGTCGGCACAACGCATCTGTGTGTTTTATTGATTTGGCACAGTGCCGGCAATCAAAGGTGTGAATTCGGACGTGAAATGGAAAGTGGTTGCTGCTCGCAATGCGCTAGCCGAGGCATCGCAATACCTACACATTGTTGCTGACACTGTTGATGGGCGCCGGACAGTCACAAAACTCGCTTGCCATCAAGGCGCAGACGGTATTCGCATCTCGATACCTGCTTACGCACATCGATGCCGCCGCTCACCCTCATCGTCATTCTTTCGCCCCCAAATAGCAGTCCGACTTCTTTCGCGATCGAAACTGTAAGCACCTGTCGCAATTGAGTAGACGATATTACGTGGTTGCAGTCGATCCCCTCCCAGAAACCACGTTCGCTTGAGTGTCCCTGATAATCTCCTGCAGCCACATGGGAAGCGCGCGGATTTTGGGTGTGATGGCGGGACCCAGAACGATTTGTCCGCTCTTCGCAGCTAGGATCTGCTTCACCATAGCATCCGCGACGTTCTCTGGCTCTAGCAGACGGGCGCCGACTTGATTCAATCCGGCCTTGATGGCTTCATGTGCCGTGAGTGCCGACTTTGTCCAGCCTGGGTGAACAATGGTGGTTTTGATCTGAGGAGTCTTGTACCGGTGCTTCAACTCTTGAGTTAAGCCCTCGTGAAGAGCGAGGAGCGCGGCTTTGGTAGCGCTGTAGTCGACCGCCCCCGCAAGGGCCACGAAGGAGGCAAGGCTGGCAACACTCATGATGTGCCCTTTCTTTCGGGCAATCATGTCAGGCAGGAACTCTTGTATGGTGCTCCATTGGCTGATCAGATTGATATCGAAGAGCTTCCGCAGAGCTTCGGTGGGGATTTCAAGGATAGTGTAAGCGTTGCCAATACCCGCATTGTTGATCAAGATCGATGGTGGACCGAGGTCAGAGCGGACAGCATCTCCCGCTCTACGGACCTCATCTCTAGAGGTAACGTCGCATTGGTAGTGCTGGATGAGTTTCCGTTCAACTACCGAGTTGTTAATGACCCAAGTCGCCATGCTGAGACAAATCCGCTAATACTCACCATCAGTAAATTGGCTCGACAACGGTCCAATGTCCAGGACCGCGACCTTGATGCCGTATGATGTGAGCTTCTTTACCACACATGCACCAATGCCGGCAGAACCACCAGTGACGACCGCCACCTCGTTTGGCCAATCCCAGTCGTTCTTCGCACTGTTCCGTATCCACCTGTTCTCGGCCCAGCTGTTAAGCACCGAATTGGTTTCGACGGTAGTCCAAGCAACTAGACCCCATTTGATGAGCCGGAAAATGGTCGCTTGATGCAGACCAAAAGGGAGACTGTCCAATATGCCGAACGTCGCAGGATCGACCAGTTGCAGGCCGACGCAAGCAGCAGCCAAAGTCAGGCACCAGATCATACTGCTAACACAGGGCTGGCGCGTTTCAGGTCAAGTCGTCGGTTTGTGTGACCGCGTGAACCATGAATGACGTAGGATAGGTTGGAGGGTTGTCCGGAGCGTAAGCACTATGCAGCAGATATTAACCAAGAACTCCGAGAACGTGGTCTAGAAGCAATTTATATCATACGAAGTGTTCGAAGAGACCGAGGCATCACAGGAGCAGCCACTTTGCGGAAAGAGGCGCGTACCAGTAGCAGGGAGCACGGTTCGGAGTTCCTACGCGTTGATTGGCCGCGCAAAACTGAAGCCATCACGACCATGCGGGTTCCTTCCTGATCATCAACCTTCAACAACCGTGACGTATGCCTTCTGTTCGATCGGGCTTCCTTACTGGAACGCTCACGCCGTTCCTTTACCCGGCATTCACCGAGTCGACCCTCCTTGCCGTTTCACGCAGATGTCCGCTGCACAGACGATTCCCGCCGCAGTCACGATGTAGTTCTACAGCCACCGAGCAGTCTGACTACTCGCGGCTCGACCCCACGCCAGACGACTACTCCTTAACCCCTTTCGCCGATCGAGCCATCCTTACCTTGGAAGCTGGCGCTGGCGGCCATGGCTGCGTGTCGTTTCTGCGCGAAATGTACACCCCAGAAGGGCCGGCCAATGGCGGTGATGGAGGGAGCGGAGGGAACATATACATCCAGGCAGTGCGCGGTGAAACGTCATTGCATAAACTCGCTCGACGTCGTCTCATCAAGGGTGGACGAGGTCGCAACGGCCAGGGCAAAGTAAAGGGTGGCGAAAGAGGCGCAGACGTGCTGATCAAAGTGCCGGTGGGGACCATTGTGCGGGAAATACAAAGGCACGACCCTGTCGACATTCTTCTTCAGGAGGCAGAGAGGGCAGAAAGGGAGCGTGGGCGGGCAGAAGCAAACGGCGACGTTGTGGAAGAGGATGGCTACAAAAAGGATAGATGGCTGGTCTACCCTGGAACAGTGCCCACGGAACTGAATAGGATGAAGTTTCCTCAGTTACCGAAGCCTCGAAAGTCGCATCTTGCTGCGCTCGAACCGCAGTCGCCGTTGTGGTTAGATCTCGACAAGCACATGGAGACGCCTATGCTACTGGCAGCTGGCGCTATGGGCGGCCTGGGCAACCCCAACTTCATGACACCCTTCAACAACAGACCAAAGATGGCTACAAGAGGAGAGGAAGGTCTCAAGATCTCGGTCCAACTCGAGCTGAAGATCCTTGCAGACTTGGGTCTTGTCGGCCTTCCCAACGCCGGAAAGAGCACGCTACTTCGAGCCCTGAGCAACAGCCGTGCTCGAGTCGGCAACTGGGCCTTCACGACCTTGCAGCCAAATGTTGGTACTGTTGTTCTCGACAACCACAAGGGTCGTCCTCTTGTCACGAAGCGTAACAAGCACGGCGAGCTGCGTGAGAGCTTCACCATCGCCGACGTCCCCGGCCTCATTGAAGACGCACATCTGGACAAGGGGCTAGGTCTCGGCTTCCTACGCCACGTCGAGCGCGCCGCAGTCCTAGCGTTCGTCATCGACCTCAACGCCGGCGACGCCGTCCAGGCCCTCAAACTGCTCTGGCGAGAAGTCTCCGAGTACGAGTCTCTGCGCGGCAAGGAGCTCAACGCCGAGACCGAGCGCAGGACCGTCCTGTTCAGACCCGTCAACATGCCCGAACCCAAACGCGAGACCGACATGCTCGACACCCCCGACCTGGACCCCTCGATCGAGCCCCTGCCGTTCCTCACCTCGGAGCCCATCTCTGCGAAGCCATGGCTCGTTGTCGCGACCAAGGCGGATCTGGAGGGCACGCAGGAGAACTACGAGAAACTGCGCAAGTATCTCGAAGATGTGAGGACCGGTGCACAGCCTCATCCTAGTGGGCGTGCGAATGCGTGGAAGAGAGACGTGTCGTCGGTGCCAATCAGTGCAATTCATGCGCACGGTGTAGAGGCAATCCCACAGATGGTCATGGACTTGTTGGACGATTAGATGATTATGATACTACAGCCAATCCACTCTTACCATGCATCTCCTCTTAGACTATCCTGTGACACGCGCAGTTCACCGTCTTTGAAAGGTATTTACTCAATTCTAGCCAACATGTTTCAGACGTCACCATATGTGCACACAGATCACGATATTTCAACGTAGCCGGACGAGCTTGCTAGAACGCTGTTGGTTCTGCACTACATTCATGTTCGCTTCTATGCTTGGGCGTTGGCTCAAAAAAGGATATTGAAACGGTCGTTACGATCGTCGCGATGTACTTGCAAACACGGAACAAGGATGAACAGACTATCGGTCTTTGTACAAATTCTTACTATACACCTGTTCCCTTTATCGCTTTTGCCAACTCCAATTATCGAATAACCTAACCATGTCTGTACTCTGCGTACCCTCCGCCATCCTCTCTTGCACTTCGAAGAACTAAACTTCTAACCCTTTCCTACGACAATCGACAATGCCTAAGCAGTCAGGAGACTCTACCTGCTGTCTGCCATGAGGTTGCGATAGTAGCTCGTGCTGAGGTCGCACGAGTGCTTGAGCCACAAGTCTTCTGTAAGCGGGAGCTTGAGAATTCGGGAACGATTGAGCGTCTGTGTTACTGTTAGTTATGATCTCGAGTGTGTAATGAGGAGATGGCACGCACCTTGCTCTTTGCGACGAGGTTAGCGACGGTGCCCGCGATCTCCATCAGCGCGACACGCTCCTCGAGGCCACAAGAGTCCAGACGGTCGTGGGCAGCAATCTCAAGAGCTCTCTGCAGCTTAGAGAGCAGATGCTGAATCTCTTGTTCGAGCTCTTCGTCGACGCGATAGGTCGAGCGGCGACCGGTGTGATCAAGGAGCTCGATGTAGTCTAGGTAGACCTGGCCACCTTGCGCCCAGCCAGCAACGCCCTCCGGCCCACGACCAAACGCACCGCGTCGGGAAGAAGCAAGGGACGCATCGTCGTTCGAAAGATTGTCTGTCTCCTCGGGAACGAATCCAATCATAAGTTCCCGCAACGGCTCATAGTCACGCGAGATAATGGCATCGGGGCCAACCTTGCGGCAAAGTACTTCATGGGCCTCTTGCAGCTCATCAGCCTTGATCAGGTGCATGGCTTCCTGGACGGCATCGCCCTCGGTCTTGGCTTGCAATGCGGCAGCAGCGTGGAGCCAGGTTGCGGGAATGTGTAATTCGTTTGTCAGGTAGCGGTATGTGGAGTCAGAGTCGGTGAGTGTAAATGATTTTGCGAACTGGCTGATCAATGATCGAATGTGGTGCTCACGCATGGCTGCTGACGATAGGTGGATGTATGCCCATACAGCCGTGGTCCAATGCTCGGGTGTATGGAGCGATGAGGCGAAGGTCAGAGTGATTTTATCGCCAAGCTCAACCAGAGGATCAGCACCTTGCGTGTCTTTGTTGGTAACGGTGGCCGTCGATGACATGAACGATCGACGGAAGTCGCCCTCACTATCGCCACGGAACGTGGGCATGCCGACCTTACGCTCAGGCTCTTCGATCTCGTCTCGGTGACGAGAATGGAGGAGCTGGAAGAGCTGGAACGACAAGCGCGCGTTGAAAGGATTGCCAGAGACGTTCTCTGGTGCCAGGACGTCTTCTACGTTCGCTGGGATGTCCAGCTTGGTCGCAGCATAGAGCTTGAGTATGCCCCAAAGCAGGTCCTCACGGTTGGCCGCATCTGGATCAGCCCAGCCCATGTCAGTGTTGTCGCGGACGAACCAAGGCACAGGCTTTACGTCCTCAAGCCCGTCCCTGATAGCATCCGCAAACTGTGCCACAGCTAGCTCGATAGGCTCGTCAACAAGCGTGCCGTACCACAGACGGAGGCCGAACGCACGACGCCAGTCGAGAGCGAATCTGCTTGAGATGTTGAATGTGACAGCCCGATTCTCACGACCGTTTCCTTGCTTGCCATCTGCCTGCGCGCAGTTACCAGACAGGAGCTCATACAGAGCGCGATGTGCGTCCTCCATTTCAGCCAGCATGTCCAGGCGTCGCCACTCTTCGATCTGAGTGGTCATGGTGTGACGCATGTCCGCATCGCCCCCTATCTGTGCGACCATGGTAGCAAGCCGTAGGTCCAAGCCTTCAAGCAGAGCATGGCAAGCTTCGGCGACATTGTTGCAACTCAGGTGGGCAATTGCACGCTCTTCAGAAGTCGCTGCTTCTTGGGCATGTTTTTGCGCGTCGCTATAGACCAAAGCTTTCCAGAAGTCAGACAGCCTCTCTTTCCTGTAACGTTCGATGTCTTCAGGGTCGACGTCAGCTGGCATTTTGATCCTGTCAGCACCATCAAACAGAAGCGAGAGCAGTTGCCATGCATGCTGTTCCTGAGCGCCCGCGGAAGTGTCGACAGCAACAGCCTTTGCCAAACTGGAGAATTCAATTGGTGCAGGCTCGGTGATAATTGTGGCAAAAGGTATGCCATTGGCAGTGGAGATCTTGGTCTGCTGCTTCTGCACGCTCAACGTCTCGGGCGAAGCCTGGATATGGTTAGTGGCTACATTATGACGGCCCGAACGGCTGGCTACTCACATCGTCAAAGGTGGGCATCTTCATGAAACGGACGTCCTTGGTGGCACCTGCGAGTGGTTGCTGAGCAGTAGAAAAGGAGCCGCTTTCGAGGGTCTTGGTGCCTTTGTTGCCATAAACCAGAACGCCGGTTTCGCTGAAGCGGGGCTTGCTACAGTTGTGATAGTCTTTGTCGGCGTCGGTCATGTCGTCGAGATCAAGGGAAGGCTTGGGTCGTTTCGAATAGGGTAACTGGAGACAAGGATTTAGCTATCTTGTCCCTCATAAATTTGCATCTACATACAATGGCCGACGCGTCAATGTGAAATTGCTTCACAGCATGCAACACAGATCTGACCAAGGAAAACGCTAGGGAAGGGGGAGTCAAACCTCGATGCCTTGTCCATGTCGCTTTGGAAGCGGCTCTTGAACCTCCTCCGTCTCGCCGAAGAGCGAGTTCATCAAGTCCATATGTGTCGCAAAGGGACGCACGTTGATCGATTGTGCTGCAAGGGTGGGACTCGTATCGTAACTCGGGGATTCACGCAAAGCAGCCCGGTCTTGCTTTCTCGGACTGATGGTGCGTTGAAGTTGATCCGCCCAGTCGTCGTCAAAGTTGGCTTGTCCCTTCGAGGGCGTGCCAAAGTTAGGCCTGAAGACCTGGCTGGCCTTTAGAATTGACTTTGGCGCCTTGAGTGTGCTCCTGAATGGATCTGGTTCTGTAGCGGTTGCTGGCTCCGTGGTGTGAATAGGTCCGGACACAGAATCCGCCATGCTCTGGTCTTGGTCCAATTCGGATTCGCTCTCATAGTAGTCAGCTTCTTGCTGGCTATCAGGCGAACCCACGGAGCGCTCCCCTAAAAAAGACTCGTCGCGAGACTCGTCGTCGTCGTACTCTTCGTACGCGGGATCGCTGCCGAAGCCTCCGGGGACGCTCGCGCGGGCGCGCATGCCCCTCTTGAAGTCGAAGGTGTCGTCGGGGCTGGACCCATCGGGGCTAATAAGCGAGTCCTGCTGGGGTGTGCTGGTCATCTGGCTTGTGTTGAGTAAAGTGTGGGCAGGCGTGTCGGGCACGGGGCTCAGCTCACTCGACTCTTCCTCCTCGTTGTCGCTGTAATCATTCTCGTAGTCGAGGCCGTAAGAAGAGAAGTGAGGCACGGTGAAGATCCAACCACCATTACCGGCATTGTAGCTCTCGAAAGTCGTACCGGCAACACGCTTTAGGCGCTCCAAATGCTTCGCATCCTTCTTGCCGGCCTTGTTGCGAGGCCACGAGTTGAGGAGAGTGACACGCGATGGGTGGTTTAGCGCGGTGCCCATTGGTGGCTTTGGCAGACAAGTGCAGTTCTCACCGTAGACCGTGGCATTGCGGTGGTTGAGCTGCACAATGTCACCAAAGAGCTTGTCAAGGTTGGTCTCTGAAAGGTCGACAGGCGCGCCTTGGTGGAATTCAATCTGGCCAATGTTGTGGCGACCAACAACAAAGCTGCGTACACTCTTGAGCTCCTGCTTGCTCAATTTCTTCAGCTGTTGCAAGGACGGCTGGGACCAGTACTCTCCCGGCTCAGGGTCATCTCCAAGCTGAGCGTTGACCGCAGAGGACGACTTTGGTGTCAGGGCGGGGTCGTTCTCGGCGACACGCGCAAGCTCGTTGCCGTTGACTTGCTGCATGGCGGGGCGCGATGGCTCAGGGCTAGCATCGCCATTCATAGAACCAGGAGAAAGTTCATCGTCATCCCTGCGTACCACGAGAGCGGTCTCTCCGTTTGTGCTGCCGTTCAATGTATCGCCGTCGCCACCAGCAAAGCTCACGCGCTTGTGTGACGGCTCGTCGAAGAGTGGGATGCGGGTGTTGATGGAGCGATTGACATTCAGCTTCTTGAGGCTTCCGTTGCCAAACGAGCGACCGGTGGTAGAGAAAGCACCTGGAGCCAAGATGCTGGTCTCAGGGGTGAAGCTGTTGCGCAGGTTACTCATGGAGGTACTGGTCCTGTGTCCAAGTGAGCGCGTTAGACTGCCTCCGCCGAACAGGCTGCCACCGAGGTTGGGCGTAGCTTGACCACTAGCCGGGCTACCGTAAGTAGAGTACGTGAATCCGTATCCGCCAGTGCGCTTAGCCTGAGGCGTAAGGAGACGAGTGGATGCGGCAGGATTGAGCTTGTGCTGAGGCAGAATGGCGCTTTTCTTGTTCTTCTGGCTGCTGGAGAGGGGCGTGGCAATAGGGCCAGGGCTTTGAGTGGGGGTAGCAAGACCGGAGAAAAGCCCATCGTTTCCGTACGGGTTGGTGTTCAACGAGGTGTTCAACAAGGAGCTTCCAGATGCACCGAACAAGCTGTTGCCGTTTTGTTGCTGGTTCTGCTGCTGATTCTGGCCACCGCCAAACAGAGAGCCACCCATGTTGTTGTTCTGCTGGGTACTCGAGCCCAAGCCGCCAAAGAGACTGCCACCAGCATTGTTGTTTGTGGTGGAATTGCCAAAGAGACCGCCGGGCTTTGGCTGGTTATTCTGTCCACCAAAGAGGCTGGAGCCAGCGTTGGTCTGGTTCTGTTGCCCGCCAAGGTTGCCAAACAGGCCGCCTCCAGCCGCAGCTCCTGTGTTTTGGGTGTTACCACCACCAAACAGACCTCCACCTGGGGCCGCTGGCTTGGCGCCTCCAAAGAGTCCACCGCCAGTGTTGTTGTTTGTGGTTGAGCCTCCAAACAGGCCTCCGGTTGCTGGAGCCGCCGTAGACGCACCGCCACCGAAGAGACCACCCCCAGTGTTGGTTGCTGTGGATCCGCCTCCGAACAGACCACCTGTTGCGGGCTTGGCCTGGTTGTTCTGACCAAAAGCACCACCACCGCCACCGAAGAGTCCGCCGGATGCTGGTGCTTGAGCGGTGTTGTTCTGGCCGAATGCGCCGCCGGTGTTACCAAACAGGCCACCACCTGAGTTCGCGGTCGGCTGGGCAGCACCGAAGGCAGGTGCAGCGCTGGCCTGGTTGTTTTGACCAAAAAGTCCTCCGCCGGTGTTGGTTTGTCCAAAGCCTGAGTTGGTGGCGCCGCCAAAGCCAGTGGAAGTGTTCGGTGCTGCGGCGCCGAATGCAGGCTTTGCTGCATTATTGTTGTTGCCGAAAAGACCGCCTCCAGTGTTGTTGTTGTTTGCACCGAAACCGCCTCCGCTACCGAAACCTCCAGTTGTGTTTGTTGTCGAACCGCCACCGAAAAGGCCGCCGCCAGTGGCGCCTGTAGTGGTTGTGTTTGATCCTCCGAACAGACCGCCAGTCGCTGGCTTCGCGCCGCCGAAGAGGCCACCACCAGTGTTCGCAGTGTTGTTCGCGCCGAAGCCTCCTGCAGACTGTCCAAACCCACCGGTAGTGTTTGCCGTGTTGTTGCCTCCAAAGAGACCGCCGCTGCCGGTAGTATTCGTGTTGGAGCCGAACGCAGATGTGGTGTTGGTATTAGTGTTGGCGCCGAACCCGCCAAAAGTAGAGTTCTGGCCAAATGCACCGCCTTGACCGTTCGAATTGCCGTAGCGGCGTCCTTGGTTGTAATCGGCTAGCCTTAGCTCCTCGAGTGAATAGTTCATGTAAGGTTGCTGGAAGGTAATGGTCTGGTAATGTTGCGTCGCGGATGTTCCATCCTTCTCGGTGTGAGCCTGGAATGGTGTGCTCGCGGTGCCATTGTTTGCGGTAGTTGCTGCTGCACCAAAGCCACCGGAGGCGGCGCCACTACCAAAACCTCCTGTGGTGTTGTTGGCACCAAACCCGCCCGTGCTTCCGCCGCCAAACATTCCGCCGCCGGTGTTGGTTGCTGCGCCAGCACCGAATGCAGGCTTGCTTGCGCCACCAAACAAGCTCGTCCCAGTAGTGGCACCACTGCCAAACCCAGACGATGCGGTGTTGTTGTTTGACCCAAAGCCACCGAACGTCGAGCCTGTTGTTGTGCCGCTGCCGCCGCCAAAGAGACCGCCGCCCGTTGTGGAGCTGCCGAACGGTTTCGAACCGAAGGCAGATGTGGCATTGTTGTTCGCTGCACCAAAGCCGCCTGTACAAAATATGTTAGTATAGGTCTTGTAACCAGTGATCACGAGGTCGGCGCGCAGGAGGCGGCAGAACGCGAAAGTCCAGACACGACGGAAGCATGCAGCAGAAACCACAATTGTCAATGCAGACGCAGCAACGCAGAAGGCCAAAGCGCGGACGCGACCGCAACGCGCAAAGCAACCACGTACCTCCACCGCCGAATGTGCTCGTTGTGTTACCGCCGAACCCGCCAGTGGTGTTGTTGTTCGAGCCGAATGCGTTCCCGGTGTTCGAGCCAAAGCCTGAGGCGAAGGACGAGTTAGACAGGATTCCACGAGAAGCCCGCGGTGCAAGTCGCATTGACGCGCATTGGCGACGTGTCCGTGGGAGACAGTCACTCCAAAAATCAAGGAGAGAGTTCGCTACTTACCACCAGAGGTGTTGTTATTAGTCGCACCAAAACCAAAGCCCGAGGACTGGTTGTTGTTGTTGGAGCCGAAGCCACCGAAGCCGCCGCCGCCGCCGAAAGACATGTTGGCCGTGTGCGAGGCGTCGCGCGCGCTTTACTGTCGACTCGACTGAGTATGCGCGGTGTGCGGTCGCGCGGGCGCGGATGGAGTTGAAAGGATCGTGGTTGTGGACGGGTGAGGTCGGTGCAACCCTGGCCCAGCTTCGCAGAGCTGCGAGAAAACGCGCTAAGAAACGAGCTAGCGCGGCGACGTCCACAATCGAGACGTGCACAAAATGAAAAGAGCTCGCTGGAAGAGCAGCTGGAATGTAGAGTTAGATAACGAGAGAAAGCTGGCGACGAGTGCGATTTAATAGTAGCTGCGCTCACGAATGTCTTTACACAGTCGCGCTAAGGGGCGGTCACGTGCAGCTTCACCACGGCAAGAGTTGCTGTCTGGGTCACAAACAGGATGATTGATGACAAAGTCGAGTGCAATCAACGAATCACGGTGCAGCCAGTCAAATACTTAGCACGGCGGGAGGTTGTCCATATGTTGCCTGACGGGTTCCTGCTGCTACCTGCTGCTGCCTGAGCACTGGGCTCCGTCTCGCCCCAACATAAGATGCTCAGCCCCGGATGAACATGTTTCAAACGCGCAAAAGACCAGTCTGGCTCAAAGTGCTTCAATGTGTTGTTAAAGGTGAGGCAACTACATGCGAGTCGCAGGCGTTCAGCTTGTCGTGCAATATTTGTTGGAGGGCGGGATTTGCGTGGACGTGGTTCTGCTCATTGAGGTTGGGCAATGCACCCTCGACCTTGCTTACCGGCTCATCGAAATATTCTGAGCGCCTCCAACATCTTTTGATCTTCTCTCCTCAATCCAGCTATACAACGGTACAAGGTCAGGGCAGACTGGCTTGTCAACCAGCCACTTGCAGCTAGCCCCACCATCACGAACGCGCTACTCATGGCGCGTCGACCTAATCCAAACCCGCAACACCCAAACAAAGAAGTCACAAACAACTCATTGTAGTCTCTGACGTCGCACAATCTACATTATATTACCTTGCGACCTCGAAAGACAGCCTACATTCTTCTCCGCCAGATCCCCACATCGCATTCCCCGAGCTTTGCGCTGCACAACACCCAAATTGCACACAGGCCCTCAACGCGAACGCCTACTGCTACCCCACAACCCATGGCAACCTCTTCCAACCAGCCTCGCTACGGTCTGAATCGCCCCGCCGCCGGCCCAAGCGCGCCAACCTTCTCAACACCTGCATTCCCCTCGGCCCCGAAGAACGCACAGCGCCTCGAAGCCGAGCGCCTCGAGCGCGAACGCCTAGCGCGCGAGTCGCGCCTCGCCTCGTCAGCCATGGATGCGCAGGCCCTAGCATCGCTCTCGGAAGAGCAGAGAGAGGAGATCAGCGAAGCCTTCAACCTCTTCGACCTGGACAAGGACGGCTACATCGACTACCACGAGCTCAAGGTCGCCATGAAGGCGCTCGGCTTCGATCTGCCGAAGCAGGAGATCCTCGACATCTTGCGCGCACACGGCACAGCCGCGCAATCGCAGAACCAGAGCTCGAAACAGCCGGCGCGGGACTCGGCGAGGGCAGCGGCACAGGCAGCGTATCCGCCTCCTGCGCGGCCGCTGCTGGGCTTCCAGACTTTTCAAATGCTCATGGCGCAGCGGATACTGGCAAGAAATCCCGAGGACGAGATTCTCAGGGCTTTTGAGTTGTTTGATGAGGGTGGGAAAGGGAGGATCACGCTGCAGGACTTGCAGCGTGTGGCGCGCGAACTGGGCGAGACGCTGGGGAACGACGAGCTGGTTGCTATGATTGAAGAGTTTGATTTGGATGGGGACAACGCAATTTCCAGGGAAGAGTTTGTCGGGATATGCCTCGGGTAGGCAGTGCTCCTTGATGTGATTTTCTGGATTCAGCACGGCGTCCGGTGTTTGCGTGTGGAGGAGACGGAGTGGGATGTAAGCGTTGATAGTTTTAATTCAGATTTGCTGAGAAACTATATACAGCCGCCCAAAGAAAAGCTCAAACAAAAGGAACATGCATTGTACAAGACTCTTACTTCCATCTTGATCTTCGCTCACGCATCCTCAATATACTTACTGCCCTGGCGAGACGAGCAGTCCCTTCTTACCAGCGTCGTGTGCCCAGCCTCCAGCCAGCGCCTCGCCGCCGTTGTTCAATCCGTAGTCCTTTATCCTTGCCTCAAGCTCAGGCCTGAAATGCCTGATGAGACCCTGCAGCGGCCAGGCGAACGCCTCACCCAGCGCGCAAATGGTGTGACCCTCGACCTGCTTGGTCAGCTCCTGGAGCATATCAATCTCACGCTCGCGAGCCTGGCCCTTGTAGAAGCGGTCCATGATCTGGTGGGTCCACTTGGAACCCTCACGGCAGGGTGTGCACTGTCCGCAAGACTCGTGGTGGTAGAATTTGGCAAGACGGGTGATGGCGCGGACGATGTCGGTGGACTTGTCCATAACGATGACGGCGGCAGTACCGAAACCGGACTGGGCGTCCTTGAGCGCATCGAAGTCCATAAGTTGGTCGTCGCAGATGTGCTTGGGGAGGACGGGTGTCGATGAACCACCGGGGATGACGGCGAGCAGGTTGTCCCAGCCGCCCTTGACACCACCGCAGTGGCGGTCGATCAGCTCACGGAGAGGGATGGACATCTCCTCTTCGACGGTGCAGGGGTTGTTGACGTGGCCGGAAATGGCGAACAGCTTGGTTCCAGCGTTACGCTCACGACCAAAGCTTGCGAACCAGCTGCCTCCTCGTCGGCAGATGGTGGGGGCAACGGCGATAGTCTCGACGTTGGCAACGGTCGAGGGGCATCCGAACAGACCCACGGCGGCGGGGAACGGGGGCTTGAGGCGGGGCTTTCCGGGCTTGCCCTCAAGCGACTCAATCAGCGAGGTCTCCTCACCGCAGACGTAGGCGCCCATTCCACGGTGAACGTAGACATCGAAATCGTATCCGGAGCCGCAGGCGTTCTTGCCAATGAGTCCAGCCTGGTATGCCTCCTGAATAGCACGCTCGAGGACGGTGGCCTCGTGGTAGAACTCTCCACGGATGTAAATGTAGGCAGCGGTAGCGTTCATGGCACGTCCAGCGACGAGACAGCCCTCAATGAGCTTGTGGGGGTCCTTGCGCATAATCTCACGGTCCTTGCAGGTTCCGGGCTCACCCTCGTCGGCATTGACGACCAGGTAGCGGGGCTTGCTATCGTTCTCCCAGCCCTTGGCGTTCATGAAAGACTACTATGGTCAGTCTCGTCCAATGCCCTCACACGCTATTGCGACACGTACCCATTTCAGACCGGAAGGGAAACCAGCACCACCTCGGCCGCGCAGGCCAGATGCCTTGACCTCAGAGATGATCTATGCACGTCAGAAATCTTTCACGTTGCTGTTTGAGCTCAACCCACCCAGTCATCACCCTTCAGGAGAATCTCCTTGGTCTTGTGCCAGTCTCCGTACTTCATCGCGCTCTTCAGGTCGGCTCCGTGGTGGCCGTACAGGTTCTGGAAGATGCGGTCCTGGTCCTTGAGGCCTCCGTATGTCCTCTTGGGCGCGGCATCGTTTACTGTCGCCAAGGTGCGCTTCTGCTGCTGTGACGGGGCGGCGGCGGTCGAAAGGCGTGTAGCGGCGGTAGCTGCGGGCAGCGCACGGTGCGTGACCGCGGCCAGGGCCGACGAGGCGGGAGCGTGTCGTGCGAGCATCGTGAACGCGATGTGTGTGTGCGCTCGTGCAATTGATGCGTGCGGGGCGGCGTCGTTGCTGGGGGCGTGGCGGCGGGATTGTTCGTCGTGAAGTGCATCGGATCGTTAATAGGTCTTGGCACTTCTTTGATTGGCTGCACTCACTTCGATGACATCTACTCGATCTGGGTGGACCGGCTGTCAGTCACCATCACCACCAGCGAAAGGACCTAAAACAACCAGGATTCTGATTTGCCGATTCTGCATTCCATTACTCGGACGACATATCGATCAGCGCCTGACGGTCACGTGTTTGCACAAAGATTTACGGTGCTGCAACGATTCAAGGTTTTACGTTTAATCTGGAAGGCCTTTTCGACTGCCAAAATGCTCAACTGATCAAGATGCCTGCATCCCATGCCTTCTGGTGTGCAAGCCTCGTAATCTCGTTGATGATCCAAGATGTTTCCACTTTGAGAGCGTGTCAACCTCTTATCCTCAGCAAATCTCAAGTCGAATCTTTAGCTTCGGATCTCAGTGCCCTGCGGCTAACACTGACTCCAACCAATTATTATCAAGGCTCGAGCAGTGATGTGCCGTTGCAAGTCATCACCAAGCACAACAGGAACAGAGTGAATACAGAATATACGCATGATATTAACTCATATAAGCAGACCTAAACGCCCTTTGTATACCTCCAAAACCACTTCTCCCTCGTGAGGCCCTTGCCCGCAATTTGCCAATTTACATGCCTCACGATCTCCGTACCAGTGTGTTCAACACAGGTACCCTGTTTACCAGTTGAACTCGCCAATCAGCCTCCTACGTTTCTCTTGGGCACCAATCTCGATCAGTGGTCCTAGCTGCACAGCGCCTGAATCTCCGCACCTCTCAGTGCTGACACAAACGCCCATCTGCGCAGGCTCAGGAACGCCGGTACTGTTGCAGTTACTTGCACAAGTACTCTTGATGCAGACATGGCCAAGCGGGCACCCCAGCTTACTGGGGTCGGAAGTAATTTCGGTCTGAAGACAGCGGATGAGGTTGCTGTTGCCGCACTGGTACCTATCTCTGTCGAAGCAGATACCGTGACCGGATGCATCGGTGGCGCAAATGCAGCCTCCCGGGGGGCGATTGGGTCCGGTGTTGCAGGGACGGTCAAAGTCGCACGTAGAATCGCAGGGATCGCGGGCGCAGACGCCGTTGATGCAGGACAAGCCAGCCGCACACCTGTTGCCGCAGCGACCACAGTTGAGCCTGTCGGTTGTTGCAAAGATACAAGCATTGTTGCAGCTAATGGTACCAAGAGTAGGACAGCTTGGCGTGGGAGTTGAGGAGGTTGTAGACCTTGTCGCTGTTGTGTCCAGTGTAGTAGAACTTGCGCTTAGCGTCGAAGAGCCTGATGATGTTGTGCCCAGTGAAGTAGAGCTTACGCTCAGCGTTGAGAGGCCTGACGACGTATCTAGTGAAACAGAGCTAGTGCTCAGGGTCGAGGATCCCGATGAGAAACTTGAGCTCAGCGTCGAGAAACCCGATGATGATGTTGTATCCAGCGAAGTGGAACTTGAAGTCAGCGTCGATAAGCCTGATGACGTTGTGTCTAGCGAGGTGGAACTTGCGCTCAAACTCGAAGAGCTTGCTGATGAAGAGGTGGATGGAAGTGTCATAGACGAAAGCGTCGTGAACGAAAAAGTCGTGAACGAAAGCGACGTGAATGAAAACGTTGTAGACGAGAGCGTGTCGGTGTCCGTAGAACGAGAGCTCGAGGTCGAAGATACAGTAGAGGCAGTACTTGACTCTGTACCAGTAGACGAGGATGCAGTGTCTGTGGATGACGATAAACTGCTAGTAGATGATGATGCACTACCAGTAGATGATGATGCACTACCCGTAGATGATGATGCACTCCCAGTAGACGAGGATACACTATCAGTCGATGATGACAAAGTCCCGGTAGAGGATAACGTGATAGTAGAGGATAAGCTGTCAGTAGATGACACACTACCAGTAAATGATGCACTGCCAGTAGATGAGGATACACTGTCAGTTGAGGAGGACAAAGTGCCGGTAGAGGACAGAGTGCCAGTTGATGAGGACAGAGTATCAGTAAAGGATATACTGCCAGAAGACGAAGATACACTGTCAGTAGAGGATGATAGAGTGCCAGTAGAGGATAAAGTGCCAGTCGACGAGGATATACTGGCAGTAGAAGATGACAAAGTGTCAGTAGCGGATAAAGTGCCAGTTGATGAGGACAAAGTATCAGTAGCGGATAAAGTGCCAGTTGATGAGGACAAAGTATCAGTAGAGGATGGTAGAGTGCCAGTAGAGGACAAAGTGCCAGTTGACAAGGATATACTGCCAGTAGAAGACGATAAGGTATCAGTAGCGGATAAAGTGCTACTAGATGAGGATGTAGAGCCGGCTGAAGAGGACGCACTGCCAGAAGATGAGGACACAGTATCGGTAGAAGACAAAGTGCCAGTAGACGAGGATGCACTGCCAGTGGAGGATGACAAAGTATCGGTAGGGGATAAGGTACCAGTAGATGAGGACAAACTGCCAGTGGAGGATAAAGTGTCGGTAGATGAGGATAGACTACCGGTAGAAGACAAAGTATCAGTGGACGAGGATACACTGCCGGTAGAGGATATACTGCCAGTAGAGGATGACACAGTATCGGTAGAGGACAAAGTGTCGGTAGATGAGGACAAAGTACCGGTAGACGGGGATAAAGTGCCAGTAGAGGACAGGCTGACGGTAGAAGATAAGCTGTCAGTAGAGGACAAGCTATCAGTGGAGGATAAACTGCCCGTAGAGGATACACCGCTAGTGGAGGAAGCACTATCGGTAGATGATATACTACCGGTAGACGATGAACTGTCGATAGATGAACTACCAGTAGAGGATGAGCTACCAGTAGAGGATGAACTGCCAGTAGAGGATGAACTGCCAATAGACGATGATAAACTGCCACTAGACGAGGACAAACTGCCGGTGGTAGCTGTAGAAGAACCCTGTGACGATGTGATTGGGGGGATTGAGTTGCAGGATGCGATAGAAGTGATAGTCGACGTGAGGGTCAAAGTGTCCGTGCTCACGAATCCCTGAAAGATGTTAGAAAGGTGTTAGGCCATGATAGCTACGCATTACATACCGTGCTGAGCTTGGAGAGAACACTCGATGTAACACCCTTGCAGGCGCACGCGCTGGCATAGACTGCGTCCTGATTGCCGCAGCTATTGCCAAGGTACGTAGGGGTTGGACCGATGATGGTAGTGCTGCTGGAAGGGAAGTTCCCATTCTGACGAACTCTAACTCTAACTCCTGCAGGAACTGGAGTGGAATCCGGTATCCTGATATCTGGGAGAGACGGCGAGCCAGTCGGCAGGATGAAAGCGGCAGCGTGGGCAGGTGTCGCTGTGCAAGACACCACCGTAGTCACGGTGTCGCGGGCAACAACTGTAACAGTGGTACTGGTAGGAATGCGTGAGTTGTAGTCCGACCATGGAACTTTGCTGCTTACGTTGGGTAGAATGCAATAGTCGTTGTGAATCGAGTCATGCAGTCTCGTTGCGCGGTGAGAGGATGGTCTGTACCACGGGATGTTCCCCACACGGCTCGAAAGCAATCGTTTTCATCGCATTGCGCCTGTCTCGGCAGCAGGCTTGCTGTAATGGCGAGAGCATGGCTCAAAATAATAGCGGCTGTAGATAGCTTCATGCTTGCCGATGTCAGGTCAGTGAAGGTGATGTATCGAATCTTGGGGATCATGATGGGTTTTATACGCTTCAACGCTATAAGCAGGCGATACCAGAGTAGTTTGGGTGCGCAATACGCATCATCCATCCTCAAGCCGGAGCCAGAGTAGGGCCACCAAATGTCCACAGGACTAGAGGTCTCAACCTCTGGATACAGTAGAGGTCGTACCAGTGGTTAGGCACGAGGGTCTCAGTGATGTGATCCTCGCTGTGAGGCTGAATCCACATCCGAAAATGCTCATAGTCCGATAGTGTAACACGCCAAGAATTTCTCAGGGAGGCAATGGGCCGTTGGAACTGGATAACCACAATCCTGATGGCTCAAGTGCCTCTACGGTGCTCGAAGCTATCACGGCTTCTCGTCACCAAGGCTTGACAAAGTCGGGATTCCATGCACAACATGATACAGTGCCATAGCGAAAACAAACAATGGGGTGCTCTGCAATGCAGGTACAGTGCACCCGACGGCCATTGCCCGGGGATGTTGAGGTCCAGCCAACCTTGGAGTGCCTCATCAGCGACCTTCCGAAGCTTGTTTCTCGATGAGCTTTGAGTCAGTGGGCAGGAAAAATGAATACTAGTGTCAGACCAGTCTCAGCGTTCGAATCTGTCAAATGTCCTGGAACCTAGGTATCAAGGCTGTGGTCCAAACGCTAAGGTGTGAAGGTGGTATGAGACGGACCAAACAACATTAAGCTGACAATCTTAGCACCATATATGTAGCTTGGATCGTACGACACCACGCTTAGACGAAGGGACTTAAGTAACGCCCTGGGTCGTGGCAAGGGCGTATGCTGGAGCGCCTCAACGGCTGCGCAACTCCCGAGCGAATGCGCACAAAGGTAACGCAGCCGTTCGGATGGAGAAAGCCCGCATGGGAATCGGGAAATTAAGACGTTGAGACGTGAAGCTAGAACTGCGCCACTGCTTTACAAATATGAGCCATATTGCGATGTTGTAGGCATCCGCTTGGTAACCTGACCGGTCACTGAGCCGCAAGGAGAACAGAACCTTTCCCTCAAGCGGGCGGTAAGAAGTTTGCAAAAAGCCCTCCTTGGATCATGGAATACATAATCATCGCGCGAACTACCCACTGTTCATAGTTCGGCTGCTTCCTGAGATGCAAGTCCGATCGCTTTTGAGTCATACAAGCAGCTACTGTCAGATACCAGAGGGGGTATCCAGAAGCAATCCGGTTGATGATCTGCACGTGAAAACTGGTAGCTGTTGCCAAAGCCAGCACCAGCTGAGGTAACGCCAGTTCTGGTAAGTCGAACGTTGCGAGAGGCGTGGGCTTAGGTTCAAGGGCGTTACTAGTGTGGGGTACAGGACGCCCATGCAACGGCGAAGCATAGCCGGTGCGAAGGATGGTAACACTTGAGTACACCAACATCCCCAACATTGGGACCGCAAGCAGGAACAACGGAAGGTTAGACAGAGTCCAATAACGGAAGAGTCCAACATTCCTAAAACATATTAGATTGAAGACTCTATGTCCCAGGTAGACTTACCAATAATGGCTCTGCACCCACGAGTAGATGCTTGGGAGGTTGTTTTCGCACCAGGGTCTGGCCAAGTCGCTGGTACTGCAAAAGTCTAGGTAGGCCAGATATTGCGGCCCGATGAATCCAACAGCGATCATAATACCAGAGACACAAGTGACAACGACTCTACAAAGATCATGTACATTCGACCGCAAAGAGAGCAATTGGGGCAGGTACCGCGTAACGTCATACAAGAGTATCAAGCCACTCAGCAAGCCATTGCTCCGTATGGTAGTCGCCAGAGCAAAGAGTACACCTGAGCTGAGCTTGTACAAGATCTCCTGGAAGCGGACAGAAGTAGGACCGGCCGCAGCTTTGGACTCTACGTAACAGAGTATACCGGCCATATTGAGTACTGAGAACATAGACTCTGCGTAAGGTGCCGAAAGGAACAGAGAGGCTGGTGTCAGCGTGTGAAGAACGCTTGCAACAAACGGTACCCGAGATTGTCCCTGCCCCGCTTCCGTGAGTCGGGTAAGGAGTCTGTACAGAACGAGCACGGAGAGGAGGTGGCAAGTGGTGGAGATGACAATACCGACGACGATGTAGTACTGGAGCGGGCTTTCCGCATTACCGGTGATGACTACGTTTGTGTCAATGCTAGCTCGTGTTGGAACAATGGCTGCTCACGTCGTCCTACAACGCCTAAGAGCTTGGAGAACGCCGGGCTGAACGCCCATTCTTGCTCAAAGACCAGGCCCCGCTCCGCAGCTTTGATGAAGTATAGTGCATCCCATCGGAAAAGATTGAGAACGAAATGTTGGAATCGGGATGATGATTCGAGGTTTGCATGACGGTCTAAACTCGAATTGAGCGAGATCAGACCGGAGGTGTCGTAGCCTGGACCCGGGCAAAACGCAGTCAGCGTGAAGAGTAAGACTTTCCACGAGCAGAACACCAGAACTAGTTGGCGCCTGTCTGAGGCCATTGAAACTGCCATCGAAGTACGAGGCCTGACGAGGTTGGTGTTGGTCGTAGCAGGCGGCCCTCGATTGGACGGCCCACTAGCGCGGTCTGCGGCCAAGCCTCGCTTAGGCCCGCACCACATTTTCACAGTAACAGCTCAAGTCCAAACTTTTCGCTCTTCGTCAGTCCAGCAACCTCGTCGTCGACCAACTAACCAACGGTAAGCGCAACACCCGTTCCTGATCGCTCGAACAGCATTCGGTCGCATGCGACAGCAATGGAGCATGTCGACTACGATGATGGCCAGAGTGCAGCGCGGTAGCAATACCCGCTCACTCTTACGAGCTACAGAACTACTTAGTGGATGAACATTCGCTGATAGTTTCTGTTCTCTATGACAGAGCCTCTACAGTACAAAATGCCTCCTAAGGGAAAGAAGACCGCGCCTGCCCCCTTCCCCCAGGGCAAGGCTGGCAACAAGAAGGCTGCCAAGGTACGTTGACCATTCTGTCTCGATAATTTCGCAAGCTCTAACCAGCGGCAGAACCCTCTCCTCGAGAAGCGCCCCAAGAACTTCGGTATCGGCCAGGACATCCAGCCCCAGCGCAACCTTGGCCGCATGGTCAGGTGGCCCGCGTACGTCCGTCTCCAGCGCCAGAAGAAGATCCTCAACCTCCGTTTGAAGGTCCCCCCGGCGATTGCCCAGTTCCAGCACGTTGCTGACCGCAACCGTAAGCACACACAAGGCAAAAGGTAGAAGCAATGGCTAATGCGTCGCAGTCGCCACCCAGTCTTTCAAGCTTCTCAACAAGTACCGCCCTGAGACCAAGGCCGAGAAGAAGGAGCGCCTGACCAAGGAGGCTACCGCCATCTCTGAGGGCAAGAAGAAGGAGGATGTCTCCAAGAAGCCCTACACTGCCAAGTTCGGTCTGAACCACGTTGTCGGCCTCGTCGAGAACAAGAAGGCTTCGCTCGTCCTGATCGCCAACGACGTTGACCCCATCGAGCTCGTTGTCTTCCTCCCCGCCCTCTGCCGCAAGATGGGTGTCCCCTACGTCATTGTCAAGGGCAAGGCCCGTCTCGGAACGGTCGTCCACCAGAAGACCGCCGCCGTCCTCGCTCTTACCGAGGTCCGCGCCGAGGACAAGACTGAGCTCTCCAAGCTCGTCTCCGCTGTCAACGACGGCTACCTCGAGTCCCACCACAAGGATGCCTCGCGCCACTGGGGAGGTGGTATCATGGGTGCCAAGGCGAACGCCCGCATGGCCAAGCGCAGGAAGGCCATCGAGAGCGCCATCAAGATCTAAACGGTCTGATGTGTTTGCTAGGTTCATGAATTTTATGGCGTGTCTCTTATCTCTGCATGTAGGGTCCTCAATACCACGGAGTTACGGAGGGTTAAAAGCAGTCGCTATGACACTGCATTGACTGGAATCGAACAACGATAACGCACGCCATTAGCATTACTTGCAGACATGAGTGATGAGTGATGTACAGTAAGCCGTCAGAAACTGTTCCCTCGTTTGCGCTTTCCCCGCTAGGGTCGTACCCGGCAATTTTACTCAGGTCAGACACCCCACTTAGAAAGACCCCCACTTGGTAATGCCCACGCAACCTCGAACATCATCCTATACAACCGTGTGTCGCAATGCCGTTAACTATTTTGACTGACACTGACGTGCGTACCCTGCTGCACCAGTTGTCCAAGCAGGATATCCTTGATTTGCAGCAATCCCTTGCTGATGGTCTGCATTACTACTCGACTGCAACAGAGGAAGACTCCAATGCCTGTTGTTCGTCGTTCCAGCCCATGCGCACAGCGCTCAAGCGCAATGACGGGCAGACCACACTTTTCATGCCCGCCTCAAGCAACGATGGTATCGGCTTCAAGGTGGTAACGCTAGCTACGGGGGACACGAAGAAGCAGTCCGATGCATCATCCATTGCATCCTCACTCAAGACGACTTCCTTGTCCGAGTCAACTCATTCCACGGGCTCTCTAGAGCAGCCTCAGTCCCTCGCAAGCTCACAAAGCACAACTCCAAAGGGTACTCTGCAGCTGCTAGCCAAAGATGGTTCACCCCGCGCGCTCATCAACGCCGAGGAGATCACGGCCTTCCGCACTGCGCTTGCCAGCACGATGCTGTTCAAGAAGCGGCATAACGTGCATGATGTTGTCGTATTCGGTGCAGGTAGACTTCCCGTACTCACGTCGTTGGCGTTACATCTAATTGTTCGTTAGGCAAACAAGCATATTGGCACATCCGCCTTGCTCTGATGCTGCGTTCCACGGACATCCACCACCTCAACATCATTAATCGCGATTTCGACCGCGTCCACCAGCTTTTGCAATCTCTTTACAACCCTGACGAGCAACCAATGAAGTTCGATACGAGCACAACAAACATCCCTAGCTATAGGAAGGAAGGGGAAGGTCTTCACCGCCCAAAGATCCAAATACTCACGCCATCCCACGGCGAGTATGACCGCCTGCTGAAGTCTACAATCCGAGCTTCTTCCGTTATTTTCTGTACCACCCCGAGTCTGACACCACTTTTTCCAGCGCCATTCCTCACAAATCCGGAAGGGCGGAAGAAAGGTCGCTACCTAGCGGCAATCGGCTCTTACAAGCCACATATGTGCGAGATCCACCCTGAAATCCTCCGTCAGAACGTTACGCCTGATCATGGTCGACATTTCCATAAGCACGCTCCCCAAGGCGGGGCTGTGATTGTGGATAGTGTGGAGGCGTGTCTCAAAGAAGCAGGCGAGATCATTCAAGCCGGTCTTTCGCCAAGCGAGATCGTCGAGATCGGTGAACTCGTCATGCTTAAGCGGGATGCCGATAAGAGACGGTCAGAATGTATGGAGCAGAAGCGCATGAGTGAAGAGGGACTGGATAACGATGGCGTTGAACTGGGCGAGGCACCCTCGAAGAAGAGCAAGAGGGCGGGTGGCAGCAAAAGCAGCAAAGATGACCACGAAAAGGAGCACCAAAGTCTGATTGAATGGCTGCAGAAGGGCAATGTCATATACAAGAGCGTTGGGCTGGGGCTAATGGACGTTGTGGTTGGCAGTGATCTGGTGAGGCTGGCAGATGAAAGGGGCATCGGGACGAAGATCGAGAACTTCTGATCAACGTGCGTTGCAGTCTGAACGACTGTCAAATATTAGAATCAGCATCGCAAGATGGGCAATTGAATCTGGTCGTCGACACCTAGCTGGCCAAGTAAACGTCCTCATGGAGTCAACTCACAGAGACCCCTGGAACAAGTACAACTAGACAGGAATGACACTTGCTTGATGCGATGTTGCATTTGTCATACACAATGTGTATTATATTATTGATTATGGATTAGGAAAAGCGTGTATACACTGTTGTAATCGATTCTATCACCCCCACTACACCTTGACCATCAGTGCCACCGGCTCACAGCTATAAGCCTCACCACCAGTGACAGTGAACTTCATGTTGTCTTTCTGTAGCGCTGCAGCGCCATTGACGGGATCCTTGACCAGGAAGATCTTGTTCAGCTGAGACTTGATACCGCAGACAAACGGCCAGAGGTAGTTGCCCTTGGTATCAATACCCAGCATCATCTTCTCTCCCTCAACTTCGACCTGCGAGAGCGTGATCAGCTTTGCGCCCTTGGGCAGCTTCTTCCACTCCGCAAGGCGCAGACGCGATGCACCAGAGGAGGCGAGCACGTCGGGGTAGTAGTGCAGGTAGCGGTCGGCGGAGTCGCCAATGACTGTCTTGGAGGCAGAATCACCGTTGAAGGAGCCGGAAGTCAGGTTCGAGATATCGGTTGAATCGCCGACAAGGGAAAGGAAAAGGTTGCCGTCTTTGCTGGGGTTGAGCTTAAGAGAGTTGGTTGTGTCCACAATCTCGAAGTTGGCGAAGGTGACATCAGTCGCGTTCGAGGTTGCGTTGGCGGTTGAGTTGCTGACAGTAAGCTGGGGGAAAGAGGAAGCGGAGGGAGTGGCTGAGGACGCCGACGAAGCCTCGGAAACAGAGCTAGCGGCTGGTGTAGTAGCTGGGGTCTCGCTCGAAGAATCGGGAACCACGGGATCAGGTGTGTTCTGTGCTGAGCTGACTCCGATAGGTGTTGATGCAGGTGCATCTGTGGGGGTAACCTGAGCAGGCTCCGATCCGGACGCAGACTCCGGAAGCTCCTGACGCTTGCTCCAGCGGCCATCGCGGAAGAAATTGTAGTTGCCTTCGCGAGCAGGGTTCGCAACGAAGTAGCCATTGTCGGTGTTCTTGTACCAGATCACACCAGTCTTGCCGATGCCGACCCAAGTATCCGCCTGGAAGTTTTCGTTGGTATATTGCCATCGTCCACCTGCGTTTCGGATTGAGTTGTACATGTTCTGGTATACACTGCGAGACGTGATCTGATTGCGACCGTATACAACGGCAACGATGTTGATGTTGGAGACGCCAGACATCGACTCGTAGCCAGGAACGACTTGGACGTAGGGCTGGGAAGAAGCGGGACCCGGGTTGAGAACAATGGTCCCCACGCCACCTTGAACCACAAACGTGCGTAGCTCTGTGCCGTAACTGAAGAGCATAGAGATACTCTTCTGATTACCAGGCCATGGATCGCCATTGGCCCAGCCCACAATGTTGTTCGTGTCAATGACAAGCTGCGTTCCGCGGGCAACATTCTGCCTAGCGTATGAGGTGATGTCTCGGTCGGCATAGAACATGCTAATGATGGAGAGTACAGGTTGAACAGTCATGGCGCTGTGGATTGGATCAGTCAATGGGGAAGGATTGTTGTACATCGTCGGGTAACCGTTCTTCAACCAGCAGGTAACGCCATCGGTGCGCTTTGGTGCATAGACAATACCAACGCACTGTGTGCTTGTGCCACACCAGTTCATACACGACTCGAACGAGTCCCGGTAGCCCCAGGTGAGGTCGGCACCAGCAGCGTCCTTGTTACAGACGATGGTGTATTCTTTATGGCTGCTGCCGTTGTCGGTGAACTTCTTACCGTCCGCACTCGGGCATGATAGTCCGGTAGGTGTGGGTGTAGGCGTAGGCGTGGGGGTTGTAGAAGTTGCGGGAGTGGTGGATGATGGGAGAGCCGACGATGACGACGCGGGTTCCTCAGGACGGGTGCGACCAATGCAGCCCTTAGCGAGCGTGGCAGGCTTCCACTGACCCAACTTCCAGCCCTCGGAGTCGGGAATATCAATGCGGAGTTCGTTGGTGAGAGCGATATCCCAAGCAATGCCCTGGCAGTCGTCGCCTCCGAACTGGTTCTTGGAAGTGCCAACGTCAAACTCGAGCTTCGCCTCGGCTGTAATGGCAGGGATATCAGTCAGATTGACCGCTTTCTCGAATCTGCCGTCCAGGATGTTGATGCCGAAACTCAGCGTAACGGGAAGACCGAGAGCAGCTGTAGCAGTGAGCTCGCCATGGGCATCGAACTTCCTGGTAACTTGCGGGACCCATCCAGACTGAGTTGACTTCTTCGAATCGACAAAGTCCAGAGTTGCCTCAAATGCAGGCCAGTTCATGCTAGCTCCGGTGAGAAGTTGGCCCTCTGCCTCAATGCTGAATGTTGCCTGAGCACCGAGGATCACACGGGGACCAAGAGAAACGATCTTGGGAATCTCCCATCCGGGCAGGCCCTTCACGAACAGATCCTTACGAATGGTCTTCTCGTACTTGGTGAAAGCGTTGACACCCAAGAAGGCGCCGACATACATGTTACCACTGACACCGACCTGCGCCTTCTTGAGACCGGAGAGGGGCGTAGCGCTGATAGAGCCCTTTGCGATGAACTTACCCTTGACACCGCAGTCGACACACCTGTAGAAGTCTGTCAGTAAATGATAACGCGAAGATTTGAGAGTCCTTACCAAAGCTCAATACCTGGCTCTGGGTCCTTCTCGCCGGGAAGAAGCTTGAATTCGGTAGCAACCCTCGCAAGGTTGATCTTGGAGGCCTTCCATTTCGCACCCTCGCGCTCGGGACGGTAGTCGTAGAACTTGAAACCTGTAGTATCATCCCAGGGGGTGGTCTTGGACAGTGAAGTGCCTGTCAGATCGATTGGCAGAACGAGGGAGTTATCATAGTCGCCAGTGACGATGAATACTGCAAGTTTGGCAACATTGACAGCCAGGGCGATACCAACATTGACGGTAGTCTTGACTACGGCAACGGCAACCGTTGCAGCAGCCTTCGCAACTGTGACCACGGTCTGTGCAACCTGCTTGACAACGGCCACAGCAGCCTGCTTTACAACCGAGACAACCTTCTTAGCAATGCTGCTGAACCAGCCTCGCTTAGCAAGATCGCGTCTGACGGCAACACCGGTGCTGTCTGAAGAATCCACGCCGGCCGACGCTAAGACATGCTCTTCATCATCGCCGTTAGCAGCGTAGTATCCGAGTTGCTCGTCGAGAGATTTGTCGAAGGAAGTTCCACACGCGACCGCGGGGAGATCATCCAGGAAAGGAGAGCCGGGCTTGCCACAGCTCAACGCACTTGTATCAGTCGAGGCAGTGCTGTTGACAGTGCTGTTTTGCATTTCGATCTTTCCAAAATCGATGTCCATCTCGTTGAACACGTCTCCGAGTTCTACAGTGGCACCGGAAGCGCTGAAGGTGTTGGCATTCTGGTCGAACTTGATAGACTGAGCAAGCCAGAACGAGTTTTGGTCACCGTTACCACAGCTCTTGGCGCTGGTGATGAAAAGCAGTGGGACCTTTGCTGGCCAGGTGTCCGCAGCGTGACTGAAGGCAATGATGTTATCAAACTTGGCTTGCAGGCTACCACTAGCACAATCGACGTTCTTGATGTAGATGGAATGATCCAGGATGATGGAGGGGTACTTGTAGTCGACCGTGAGGCGGACTGTGACAGCACCAGACTCGTCGTCCTTCATAGCATCGGCACTGCCACCGAACCACAGGGCTGTCTTCTCCTCGGGTGTGAGGACGCCAAGGCCGCCCATGTTGATTCCTGGAGGTGAAACGGGGCCCAGGGTAGCCAGAGGTGGACTAGGCAGTGTCATGACCTCGGCCATGACAGACTCAGTCGCGCCTGGCTCGAGGTCCTTGTTGACCACAGTCGGAAAGGCAAACGCATCCTTTGCAGGTTTCTTAACGAGTGCACCCCAGACGTGTGCGGCAGCAACGCCCTTGGTGACTTCGTTCTTAAGGTAGCATGATGGAGCCACGTAGGACACAGCTTGACAAGCGTCGTTCGTGTCACAGGCTTCAAGGCACAAGTCGAAGGACTTGGTCTCGAGGGACTTGAAGTCGCCGCCGTAGTAGTCAGTGCCGCAGGTGATCTCGTAGGTGCCACCAGAGGTGATTGAAAGAGTCTTTCCGTTGCTGGCGGAACATGTAATGGGTGTGTCAGTGGCCTTGGGGGTGTCAGTCGATGTGCTGGTGCCAGTATTGCCGGTGCTCTCTGCAATTAGCTTCGCCGACCACACGTGTCCTGCAGCACCGCCCTCGTTCAGTGCATTCTTCTTGTAACAAGTGCCATAGACGTAGCTGACGTCAACACAGCCGTCTGTTGCCGCGCAATCTTCGATACAGGCCGCAAACGTCTCGGCGTTGGAAGAGCCCATGTCTCCACCACTAGAAGATTGTTAGCGGACACAGCAGATAATAAGCAGGTTGGCACTCACTAATGATCAACACCGCATTCGATCAGAAAGTTGCCCTTCTTGGAAGTGTACTTGACTCCATCGCTGGCCTTATCCTGACATGTGATATCTTTGCCAGACGGGGCTTGGGGCTGCGTGTTGGTAGGGTCGCTGGACGCAGCAACCTTCTTACGTGCAGTCCAAACAGATGCGTTGTCAATAACAGCGTTCAGTTTGTTCTTCTTGTAGCAAGCGTTGGGCCACACGAAGGATACATCAACACAGCCTTGGACAGTGTCACAGTCGTTGATGCACTCCTCGAAGGACGCGGGCCAAGAGGCGCCCATATCACCACCACTTTTCAAAATTAGCTTGGATACTTCTACATAGATTTCCAGAACTTACACATAGTCCTTGCCACAGACGATCTCCCAGTCCGCGTTCTTGGCGGTGAAGATCTCACCATTGCTAGCATTGTCCCAGCAGGAGAGTGCAGCAGTTGCACGCTTGGCCACATATGAGTTTTCCGAGGATGGAGCGGGGATCGCGAGGGAGCTTGCAGCCCATAGACCCAAAATGAGTGTGGGTTTCAAAAGAGAGGACGCCATCGTGAGATGACAAAATTATTAAGAGTAAAGAGTGACGTGAGCCTAAAGCTCTGGCGACAAACCCAAACAGATGGAACTGCAGTGATATCCTTCTGCTCCATGGTTCTCCATCTGCATCTTATACTGACCTTCTCTGAGGCTGCTAAGGCTAGGAATTTAGAGATGCGCAATTTCCACATTGAGTGCATGCTCTTGACGGAGTCTCCGGAGGTCAGCTGAGAGAGGGTAGGCTAGAGTAAAGCGACAGCCCCCATAACGGCAAGCGAGTGTAGTCGAGCAGTGATCAGTCTTGGCATTGAGGCTGCTGCGGAGTAGATCTCAGGCGAACAAGTTCGTTCTGGCTGCACTTGTGGCGCATCTTCGATGCGCTACTATGTGCATCCCGCTCGCACCGATCCGTTCGCCAAAGATGTGGTGGTGGCAATTCTCATGGCACGTACCTCCAGGCAAGCATTTTGTGAATCTTATGAAACAGTAACTAGACCAATGTGCACGCTGTCGAAGTATTCTCGATGAAGATGTGAGGTAAGTTGTAGTGAGTCGAAGATCGCATCTCACGAGCCACGTGCTGGCCCGGGCCGCTTGCCAAATCTGGCCTAGGTATTTACTACCCATGTGCTGCTCGACACTTCGCTTTCCAGCGTCGCCCCTGTAATACTAGCATTACAGATATGGTAACTCCCGCTGAATGCCACCAAACTGATTCGGCAGTGGTCTCGATCTTCCCCAATCCAGCCGTTCGGGTAAGACCGTCTCTCGACATACGAAGCGCTCGGACATCGCACCGTCAACCCCTGATACTTGCGTTTATTTTTCGCAACGATCTGTCACTCGCGTCGTTCCCCACGACGTCCGAAAGCTTACATACAAGCTCAGCTCTCCTCGAAAGAGTATGGAGGTGGACCGTTTCGAGATCTGTCAATGCTCTGCTCCGGAGCCCCTGCCCGCCCCCTGCTTTAGCGTCCGCAATGTCAAGGCTCAGGGCCTGGATCGCAGGCTAAGACAGAGGCGCGCGATCAAAAGATAAAAAAGCAAACGCCTTACAGAATGCACAGGCTTAGTTGCGGCAGCTGCCTTTGCAATACCGCCGTGTCTTCGACTGGAATACCTTTAGGCTTGGGCCATGACTTAGCAACAACAAGAGACTCATACGATTCATTTCTCATGTCCTCTGCAATCTAGTCCATGGTCTAGACACAATCAGCACCTACCAAGCGCAGCTGGCTTCGCCGTATTTGTGTATCGTTCTAATAGTCAGAGCTACCACGACAACTTGCTCAGGGTCTTACCTTTTCAAAGACGCCCGTGAACGCACACAACTCAGACAGAACCGTTTATTGGAACCCCTGTCTACCTCCATCATGGACTGTACTCAGAATAATTCGAGCTTTGGATTGTTTAAGCTGTTACTCGGGGTGCCGAACATGGAAAACAGTGTGTATGATCAATATGTTTCCCAGGAATGAGAGGCGGCAGATAGTAGTCACTATGTCACAGAAGGAAGATCCGAAGCACACTCTGACAATGGAAGACGGCTTCAACATCTCCATGTCCTGGCTGACGGGACAAAGTCGCATGTTGCGTAGACTTATGCATGTTTGTACCCAGCTTGATGGCGTGTTTTCATCGGTAAACCTGAACTCTAGATTCGCCGAATCAAGGAAGCTTTCACTTATCGTCCAAGCCAGCCCGCCATTCTATCGACGCAGCCTGATGCTTAGCGATAGAAATCACACTGTCAACTACAGAGTCCGTTGTACATCCTCGCCCCATACGAACGCTTCAACACAGCTGTCTTGTGTAACATTCGAGACTTCCGCCATGTCCATTGCGGAGCAAATACTGGGATTTAGAAGATGATCACTCCCCCCTTCTCAATTGATTCCCGAAGCGAATTTCGGGTTTTCCTTTGCGCGAAGCAGCAATTATCGAAACTTGAGCCACGGATGCTCGGAACCTACGCCGTGAATGCTTGGATCAAGTTGTGTCGTGTCTTATTGACTTTCTTGGTGGACGCCACTCTTGAGCTCCAGGGCCACTCATTGAAGGTCCACCTTCCATGGAGATACTGAACATGTTCCCATACCCTAATGAGTCTGTTGGACTGGGGCTTGCACCGCCAGCCTCTTGCTCATTGAATTCGAGTTCAAGCTCCACATAGTGGTACACCCAAAAGGAGCAGAAGACGAATATAGCCCCTGCACCTGCAAAGACTGTCAGGTACATAACTGCGATCTGTAGACTGTCAAATCGGGCTCAATACCAAAACCGAATAGACTTACACTATGTCCCGCGGTCCAGCCTGCCCCACCATGTATGAGTGGAGTACACACCAGAACTGTTAGGCCCGCAAGAAACGTGCACACAGAATATGACATGAACATCAGTGGTCCTTGCCAAGTGAACACCATCTTCCTACGTGGTATAAAATGCGGTTCACGCAGATTGTTAGAGCGAGACAACAACAGCGGCTTGTACTTCTCGAAGTCGCTTCTTTCGTGATGTTTGGGGCGGGTCTCCACGGGACCTAGCAGGTGAAGTACAGTGACTTCTGACGCACAGAGAAGGATCCCCAGGACCGAGAAGATCAGACTGCTGTGCCAAAAGCCATGTGTGAGCCAATGCGCTTCTTCTATCGTGGTCCAGGAGAAAGAGCCGATGACGGCTGCTGCAAGAACAGTGCACTGTGTCTCTTTTTTAGTGGTTCGAAATAACTATGGTCCTGCCTACTTACAGCAATAGTAATGAATTGGAGCTCGGCGAGTTTCCGTCCTCTCCATGTTGCAAGAGCCTGCGCAATCTTCGTCGAGTCTGGCGGTTGCTCAGATGCAAATTCCGCAATCTTTTCAATTGGTCGGATAGTGTTGAATTGGTACAGCCGATAGTAAGGCAGGGTTGCTATTCTAACCATGAGGTCGGTCGAAGTATGGAAAGCGCGCTTGTTTACAAGTCAGTGGAAATTACTGTAGGTATTTTAAAGTCATCGGTATTGCACTATACCACCGGAGTTTCATGTTCGTGTAAAATTGTACAGATATCACCTACCTCTGGAAGCCGCGAAAGTGAGTGTAGGATTCTCATGAGTCCTCCAGGCCAGGTGGAGCAGACGCTGGCGACCTAGGTAGGTTGTGCAATAAAACAACGAACGCTTAGGCATAATGCAACTGTCATAGATACTGAAGGCGGCGAACTGCTTGAGTCATGCTTGGTTAGATTTGGGTGTGTTCTGGGGACGATGAGGAGGATCAGGCTGAGATTACGCACATGATGCTTTGTGGCTTAGTTCGGCAACACAGCGTCAGCGTTGCTGCCTATTGGAGCACAGCCCATCATAGTGGCTGAGTAATGCTGCGAGGGTGTGCTGTCGCTTTGACAAGGCAGTTTTATCTGTTCCAGAATACGAAATTTCATTCAACGTGTCTATGTGGGTATCGTAGCAATGCGCCGTACTGAACACCTTTACCAGCCTAACGAAATGATTCTCAATCCTCAAATTCTACACACACATTATGTATCTGCTACGATAAAAGCAGAATATCGTAAAGCCCCGTTGACGCCTGCCGTCCAAAAAGATTCGGTCATGTATGCTTCAGATGACGGTCGATGATCGGCTTGTCGAAACGCTTGGATATCTCCATGTTGTAATTTCTGGTACTCCATAGGAGTGTTCGTGTGGTTGACGTGCATGCTTCGAGTCGAAGTGCTCTATGAAGTCATCACGGGTCTCGATCGCTGTGTTGTGACAATCGCTGGAGGGGCAGTGGAACTCTGCAACAGTCGCGAACCGTTCCCACTTTGCTGCATTCAGCGTCCTCTGTCTCCGTCGGATGACAAGCTCTCGTGCGCAGGCCTTGATTGTGTCGATGTTGTCCCCGCTTAACAGCCACTCGTTGAAGCCGGCCCGCATAAGAGCGATAGATTTGTGACCTGGTCTCGAGCTGTTGCTCGGTTTCCAATCATCTAACTCGATTTTGAGGCCTTGTTCGTCGTTGAATCGCCAGCAGTTACGCCGATCGTCATAGTTTACGGCCTCAGCGACATGTTGTGGGTTGGTCGCCCTCCCAAAAGCCTCCTTGGCCCGTTTGAAGATGCTAGTCCCACCCGGTTTGTCATCTGCTCTTGCTGTCCCGATGCTCACAATGACACCAATGGACCCAGAGATGACATTGTCACCCTCAAGCCGGCGATGTAGAGTTTCCAGTTCTCGAATTCCTTCAAGGGTCGGGTTATTCGTTTGACCAAAGCCACCGTCTGAGTAGTAGACCTTGCCCTTTGAGTCGGATTTAATCTTGAGCTCGCTGAAGTAAAATGGCGCTGCAGTTGCTGCCCGTGCAATTTTCCAGATCTCCATGTCGCCCTCTGAAGTAAAGTTTATCCGCCAAGGCTTCCGTCTCAAGTTCTTCTTCTCTGGATGGATGTACGACCGAAGCAGGTACAATGTCTTGACGTTGACCTCCTTGCTTTTCGTTCTTCGAAAGGTGGTAGCAAACCTACAAGACGATCTGGGTTAGCTTCGACTCGCTGACTGCAAGTTGTCAGGCAACGTACATTGAACAAACTCCTGGCTTGGTCTTGAAAGTAGGTAGAGGCGATGCATCTCTTTCTAAATCTAATCGTTCGCCCCGTCGATCTGTCACTTCCTTGAACGCTCGCTCCATCGCTTTGGCACTGTACTTTGGCCAAGGAACAATGAAGACATTACGCTGCGAAATCCAACGGGGGTTTCCGAAGATCGAGTGGCTCATTTTCTCGTACTCTTGCAGGCAATCCTGGACAGTCATACGAAATCGGCACAACATGATGGCTATCAAACTAGAGGCTGTCAGCACTGCAGCATGGATTGCGATTCTGCACAAACCTTCCTGTACTTGACCCACACAAAAGGTCAAAATAATGACACGGTAAGAATCGCTGCGCGTAGAACGCCTTCGACGGCTGCTGATCTCTGGGTGGTCGTGGACATTGAGTAACATTTGGGGGTAGCTCCGAAGGAAGAAAGCTGTGCAGGTTGTGCACATCTTCATCCGCTTCAAGTGCTTGCCTATGTTCCTCTTCTCCAATCGCTTCCATCAATTTCTCCAAAACCAAAAGTGACCAGTATCCGCGAACACCGCCTCCATCTGCGATGATTTAGTTGTGCGTGGTGGGAGCCATAATCTTGCATCAACTTACCAAGGCTGAGAAGATTGCGTTCGTTCCAAGATGGGTCTTGGAAAGTACCTCTTCTCACAAAGGGTTCAGGCACAAAACTGTCACTATCTGTGGCAACATCACTACTGGCCATGGTGCCTGCGTCTGGGTTCGATCAATTGCAAGCAAAAACGAAGTAAGTTTCACCCTTCTCGGCCCGTTGCGAGCGCCCGCGTTACCGTCATCTTATAGTGAACCATGTTCCGTCCACTCCAAACAGACAAGGAACCGCAGAGCCGCCATTTGGCCCTCTACTCGCGTGGAGGTGTGGTTCGGACGTAACTTCGCCTCCACAAAGCAGCTGGACGTAGCTGACACTGCATAACACCCAATCGTGGGTCGAGGTCCTTCGTGGCTAATTATTGAGAGGCTTGCAGTTCGCAGAAGGCTGCACGCTCATCGGGGTGATATGAACACCAGGCTGAAGGGGCAGCAGGCAAAGTCGGTATATTTGCAATGTGACCGAGATCATCACTCACCGGTTACGTCAAGCTAAAAGAAGACCTCGTTTTGAGGGAGGGCTGGGACCTCACAGGATTGGATATACTCCGCCGCGTGGCTGTGTTCTAGCACGATGAGAGGTTCACGGCCCCGCTCGGCGCGTTGCATGTGTAGCCTGGTGAGGCATTGCTACACACCCTCAAAATCCCGTCCTCAGCTATTCTTCGAACTCAGCACACGTTGGAAAAACAATGAAGCAGGCAGTAAAGCATGTCTGGGGTGAAAATCATCGATCTTCGAGTCATGGAATGGGACGCAGCCAACGCACCATGCTTCGCCACAGGCGAGAACTTCAAACGGCATGACACGTGCGACTTGAAGAGCGCCGTGGCTGAAATGAGTGGAGTGATGACTGGGGCTAAGGCGTGTGTGCTATCGCAGTCCCCTTTCGATTCGTGCTTTGGTTCTCGGTCATGCGAAAAGCCTGCAGAACAATGCGTAGGCTGACCTGTGTCCGAAGGTCGAGTCGGCTGTCACAGCCGCTCTCATGCCTGAAACTGAACAATATCTTAAACCCTGTTGCCCTCTTTTCTCCAGTCTTAGCTATCGACTTTCTTTCCCAATACAGATCTCCCTCGTTGTAGTATCGTCACATCTTGTAATTCTTCCTCATCCTCCCACCCGTTGTGTCTTATTTGAGATCTTAACCCCGAAAGCATTCTCTCTCACTCCATGTCAAGCCAATCTCTGCATCATTCCCCTAGTGCGGAAGATTTCGAGCCAAGGAGACCTTCGAGGACGAACAGCTGGGAGCGGGTCCTTGTGTTCGATCCAGAGAATAACAATGTCGATATCCGGACCCGAAGAAAGGTAGATGAAGATGGTAAGAAAAACGACCAGGATTACAGCCAGTAGACTGATTGAAGCGAAGGGTACTGTTCATATAAGCCGCTTAACCTACCAAAACGAAGAAAGAGCGTCTGTTTGTATGTGGAACAAAACGACGAGACAAAACTGAAAACGGGTGAGACGCGTAACGGCAGCGATATTTTCCTCGCGAGATTGACGCTGGATCATCTGAGTCTTGCCAACAAGGCACGGTTCTTGCTGGGGTTCATATCAACTCTATACGTTGCTATCGATCATCAGAGCCCGGGTTCGAGCTTGAAGGGATAGTTGCTGAAGGCGATGCAGCGTTTCTATGGGAGGCAATCTTCATTAGCGGTAGAATCTGGTTTTGCAAATCTGATCTTTCTTTTCTGAAAATGATCGTTGGCGGTGATATGGTGACTTTCGATGATGTGCTTGGCCCACACGGGGTGTCCTTACCGAAGGCATGGTAGGAAAGAAAGACTCCCTTCCAAATGGTCCAGACGCATCGCTACCTCGCACGACCAGCCTTCTTACCTCACAGTGCAGCAGACACCGGAACCTTGGAAGCCAACAGTCTTCAGCCGTCCGCGCTCGCATCCATGTAAGTATTCAAACGCAACATGATCAGTGAAGAAAAGTCGAAGTTCGTAAACTCAGAATGAGATGGGTGAGGCGAGGTTAAATGATGGGATGGATGAGGCCGGTAGGAACAGCACCAAACGCGTTGCGCTTGTACGTATGCGGCCTAGTTCAGGCTTCCGTGCTTATGGAATCATCAGTTTGGGCTGGTGGCCGGGACTGGACACCGTGCTTCGGTAACTCTAATGCGACACCTGCTACTCGAAAGGCGGCGAGAAATACACTATCTCAACTGCTTGGGCTGCTTGGGCTGGGAGCTTAAACATGTCCAATCACCCATTGTTACCATGCAGGGACGGAGCGTAGCAAGTTAGCTTATCATATCGAGGGCACACACAAACGAGGACTTGTTCAATATCGATTGTTCTATTATCTTCTGCTACTCGTATACCACCCAGATCGATGGTCTGAAGTGCAACTACGGCCGCCACATCGTGTTGTTGTACACTCTATCAACGCATGGGGCTGTAATCTTCTAAGCAAAGTAGCTCTTCCACAATACACCTTCCAGATCTTCGAGCTGTTCTTGCTCGAACGCCTGCCACGCTGTTAGTCATAGTTTAGAAAAGATTGGCTCCGAGAAAGCTTACCTTGACATCAACATGCCATGTGTCTTGCCTCGTCTTCTTGAAGTCTGACAAAACCGACTTGACACTCTTGCCTACCACACCGGGATCCATACTCGCCTTACGTGCTAGTGCTGCTAGAATCTCGGGGAGCCATGCTGGAGGGGGAGACTGATACGGGAACGCCTGTACCAGAGCACCCAATCCTAGGACAGCAGCATGACGCGTCAACACAAGCTTGTTCTGGTCTGCAGATGGCGTGCCAGGAACTGACGCCTTCTTCTTTGGAAGTGGGTTCTTTGTGAGCTGGGTGGTGAAGCGCTTCTTCAATGTTTCGACTTGCTTATCGCGGAAAGCTTGGGGGCTGCAGCGGATCATACCACTAAGCGTTGCGGCAGCGCCCATGCGGACTTCCAGTTGCGTATCGCTGAGCATGGATGATACACAGTCGAACAACTCTTGCTGTTGCGATACGCTCATGAGGAAGAGACGCCTGAAGTAGATCACCTGAACGTTGATCAAAATGCGCAGACGTTGGTGCCAGCTCGTCGCGGTCTTGCCAATTCTAATGAGTGCGGCGATGAACTCTGAATCTTCGCCCTCACGCTGTGGAATATTCGGTAGATGACGGAAGACGTGATATGCAAGAGACTGCAGCTCAGGGTCTTCTTTGATGTCCATCATGTGCAGAAGTTGCTCCATGAAGACGTTGGGGAAGAATTTGACAAGCTGAGTGCATTCATAGGAGGAGAGCGTCGAGTCCAGCCACAAGAGTACGGTCTTTCCACCCGAGGTATACGACGAGGGTGTTTGTTGACCGGGCTCGCGCTGGTGACGCCAAGCCTCGAGGCGGTCAAAAGTCTCGGTGATCGTGGCGGAAAACTCATCTGATGGCTGGTAAGGCCGTAGACCAATTGATGAGGCGTCCTTCTGTGCTTTGATCAGAGTTGCGACATCCTTGTACGACTCATGGTAGCGTGTGCGGTAGATCGTAGCGATAGTCTGCCCCATGGCTTCACGAACACCCTTGTAAGGATGATCGAGGTGCTTCATGAAATCTTCCAAGATCGGCGCGTCCAAACGGAAGTGCCAGCCTGCATCGCTAATCATCTGATTCAACAGGTGCACCTTGGAACTCTCCTTGAAAGCAGCATTCGAGTCCATGTCAAGGCGGAAACTTGAAAGCCAGTCGACCATGGGCCATCCTCGGCGAGGGTCCTTGGACTGTAGGACAACATGCAGGAAAGTTGTCCAGTAGCCCGAGTTCTCAGGTGTGAGGCCGTCCTGGAAGATTCCACGAACGATAGGGAAGACGTACTCCCAGACTTCAGTGCGCTGTTCAGGCTTCAGGTCAGGTGCACAAGACAGGAGCGCTGCCATGATCTCGGAAGTTGCACGATGCTGATGCTTATCGCTTCCATCGCTATACACAGCCTCAGTGAGATCCTTGATGTCATCAAAGGTCGCTTCAGTCAAGCCGCAAAAGATGAGATCAAAGGCATGCGTCAGCAGCATCGCGCTGGACATGCGGAAACGGTCAGCGCTGGCATCGCGGGGCTCCTGCTTCATAAATGCGAAGTAGTTGGAGAACCACGATCGTGTCAGATGGCCTGCAATTCTCTGGCGGACATTGTTCTCAGTGCCGTCGTATTGTACTTGGGGCGCATTTGGCAGGAAAGCTGGCATAGTCTTGTTCCACACCAGCCATCCAGGGTAGTCAAAGTCAACATAGTACTTTGCTTCAGGCTGTGCGAACGAGTCGAGATACTCTTCAGTCCAGCTCGGGTCATCTGGCCGAGTAGGGACAGAGATTTTGTCAGGCAGATCTTCTGCGCCTAACAAATACTTTTCGTAGCTGTGGCCAGTGATTGCACGAGTCTGAATGACCGAAAACAATCCAATGAACGCACCGGCGTATAGTCCTCGTAAGCTGGGATGCTGGTCGATCGCGCCCTTGGCGACGAGGTCCACCATCTCGTCAGAAGCGATGGTATCGTAGCGCATCCCGAGATTGACGATAATGGCTGCTGTCCGGCTGACCTTCTTCCAATGTTCCGTCTTCGCAATCTCGACCAACTCTTTCGATAGGTCAGACTTCTTGCCCTCAATGCGAGCGCGCTTCGCTTTGATGTATTCGCGGCGCTTAGTGACCTTCTGCTGCACGACCTCGTCCTCGGAGGAGTCAATAGCATAGGCTATTGCCTGAACAACTTCCTTGTCGAGAATGACCATGCGCTCCATGGCCTTACCCATGTCCATCACCTGGAAGGTAGCGTTTGTAGCGAGCTTTTGGACTGATGGCTTGTCGGCGCCAGTGACATCGATGAACGCCTTGATCAACTTCGGCGTAAACCTCCAGTCACGGCTGATTGTCTTTGCCAGACTGCCGTAAAGTAAGGCAAACATCGCGCCCTTGATACGAGGGTAGTCATGCTCTGCCACAGCTTTGACGAACGCATCGAGCAGCGTCGGTATAACAAGAGGCCGAGCCCCTAGCACGCACTTCACTGCTGATTCGTTTGCAGTCTGAGCTGTACGTCGAATCTCTGTGTACAGCGAGATGCTAGATTCCGCAAGATCTAACAACAGCTGCTTGTCGAGCTCAGTCTTTGGTCGCGGATTAGCGTTGTGTCGAAGACGCTGTAGGTGGTATACGTTGGCGCGTCGGACGAGCAGTGGTCGAGGGTACTGTTTACGCGACCCGCTAAACCTGAACGGCTGCTCGTCGTTGTCAAGGAGTCTCGATATTCGGTCAAGAACATGCGCAGAGCGTTCGATACCCACATCAATGAACCAAGATCGGTAAGCGTTGTACAAAGCATTGAAGCAGGGTACGTCGTCTGGCTGCTTCTCGATCAGGAATCGGTGAACATCGTGGAGGATCTCGCCGACGCCATGACGAAGATCATGGATAAGCTTGTAGTCATTGGCATCGCGAGACAAGGGGTATCCAGCTTCATACTGGAACGTGGGCTTCACCTCCTCATCCTCCGCTTCACCTAAACCGGCGTCGTCATCGATGCCTTCTGTGTCCATCGCATCGGCATCTGAGCCACTGTCCGAAGCGGCATCGATGCTTCCGCTGACTTGATCATGTCGGACATCAAACAATACAGATATGCCGGAGATGATCAATCTCAGAAGCACGAGGTTTCTCGACACTTCATCGGACCAGTCTTTTCCAGTGCCTTCTCGCTTGATAGGCGAATCTGCTGAGATGAGTGCCTTTAGAGCACTCATGGAATTGCTGGCATGTGTTTCGAACAGTCTGACGGCAAATTCGACCTCTTCAGGCTTGGGATTGTGCCATTTGATGTTCAGCTTCTTCACATCAACCTGCCTTCCCCATGACTCTGCAGTGATACCCTGGGCAAGTTCATCTTGCTCGTAGATATCGTAGTCAATTGTGTATGTGCAAGTTAGGTTGAGAAGGAGGTGGTGAATGAAGTTCGAGACATGCACAGTAGGCGTGCCACGGCACTTTTGTTGCATGTACTCTGCGATTTCGAATAGCTCGTCCTTCCACTCGAGGACAGCGTCACCGACATGCACAACACACATGCTCAAGATGCTCAAGTTCCAAACCAAGGCACGGTCGCGTGGAAGGACCTCAGCACCAGTGGTTCGTGTCGAGCCGGCGCCGATGTCTTCAATCTCTGTACGAATGCCAGCGAACAGGTGTGGCAAAAGACGCTTCAGTGCTTTCTCAGGGTTGATCTTAACAAGGCTGTTGCAGATGAAAGCAATTGCATCTCGAGCTTGGTGGATGACATGATTCGAAATGAAGTTGGCAATCTTGTCGAGTGCAACATCGTAGAGCTCAGGCGAAAGCGCGGCGAGCAACGGTGTGAACGCAGCTGGCAAATGATTTACCACGTACTCCTCAGGGGATCCACTACGAACTCGCGAGGCATCTGGTAGGTTCTCAAGAAGCGTGAAGACGCGGCCAAGAAACGAGATTAGGAACTCGTTCAGGCCTGTCGTGGAGGATCTCAAAATCATCTGTTCGTCCTCGTCGCTAAGCTCTTCGTCATAGTTGATCTCGATGTTGCCATTGGCGGTTTCTAATCGTTCGACTTGCTGCGTGATCCATTGCATGGCAAGACCTGTGTCACCTCCCATGTCCTCTTGTGGCGTATCTGTGCCGTCTTGAGAGGAGCTTATGGTCTTCTTCGCCTTGGTGAGGTCGTGGAACGGCACCAGGTAGCAGACGCCCTGCACGTACTGCAGCGTATGCAACGTCTTCTCCAGGTCGTTGGCGTCAATACCAGGCAGCGCAAGCCCGAGTACGGTCGTAACGTGACACCGCCAGCCTTTCGTCTTTGCCATGACTTTAGAAAGCATGTGCAACGCACGAATGGAAGAGATTGTTCGGTGTACCTCGACAAGACCCTGCATAGCAGGATAGATTCGCTGCAGTGCACCTGGTAGAATGAGGTTCGGTTCCAGATACGCCAAGCTCTGGAGCGTTGACAACGCATATTGGACGGCCTTGTCGCTCTTGCTGAAAATGCCCATGAACGTGACCTCTCGCAGGCACAGCACAAAGCGCCTCTTGACTTCGTCGTTCAGCTGCCGCTCTTTGGGTACGTCCATCTCGCCACTGTGTTCCCGGTTCCATCGCAGCACAAAGAAGTCTGCGAGGTAGTACACTAGCTGTGCGAGTGGCCTCGTCCAACTACCGGAGTTCGATGGGTGGAAGAACGTTTCGACAGCCTGGATCAGACCTTCCAGCTTGCTTAGTACCGAGTCTGAATGATCGACACACGCAGGCGATAACGACATGCCGATGAACCGAGCTATGTGATGTGTCGAAGGGTGCTTCCGCTGGTCCCTGTCTAGCATGACTGCCAGTCCAGCGCCGAGGTCGACCGCAGAACTATACGGCGATGTCGCCTGGCCAACAGGGATTTCGAGCAGACGCAAGATCGCTGTGAAGATGTGCGAGTTCTGCTCCGTCGTGAACATGCCATATTGCGAGAAAGGAACATGTGGTGCGGTTAGATTGTCTCTGGCCAATCTGGAGATTGTATCAATGAAATGTGCATCAAACAACCGTGAACGGTTCACCAGCGACCAGCAATGGAAGAACGTAGGCAGATACTCCTGCGGCAGAAGATTTGGCTTGTCTTCTGGGGCAGCGTTTGTTGGCAGGAGCAGGTTCAGCAGCCCCACCACAACGAACGCGCCTTCGCTGAAAGAGGTGCTGAAGAAGGGCAAGAGCTCTTCAAACATAGCAGGTATCTCGTTCGGGTCGAAGTATAGCTGTGCAAAAGTGCACATCTTCGTCAACGTTCGGATGTTGCGCTTGACATTTGGTGGGTGGGCGCCACCGGACTCCGAAGGCAGGACGAACAGCTTCAGTTCCCTGTACAGCGGTCGCCAATCGAGGATGAGGTCTTTGCCGGGGCGCAGGTAGTGCTTTCGCCTAGCCCATGTTAGTCCTGCTGAATAGCCACAGTCAGGCTGGAGGCTGCAAAGTACTCACTTGGTCAAAACCATGAACATGGAGGCGAAGCGCTCTGCGACCAAGTAGTCCAGCCCAGGCGCAAGAGCCAGCTCGTAGTATAGATTTACAAGCTTTACTCGTGTGCTGCGGGGAAGGTCGAACTTGAGCGAGAGCCAGCCTCGAATCTCGCGCGTCCAGTGCACGGCACCGGGGGCAAAGTCCCCGGCTGACACGGCGATGTAGAGGTGCTTCAAACATGTATTCAAGCTCTCCAGGCGCTCGCTGTGATCTTCGGTCTGGTAAGGCAGATACTCGAAGTACGGGAATGTGCGTGGGCGGCTTCTGCTGTCCTCGCCATTGACTGTGCCATTGGCGCCGCGCCAGTCGCCACCAGGAGATGTCGCTCGCGAGTTGTCTGCACCGGTACTGGAGTCGAGGGCACTCATGAGATGCGATATCCGCTCGTTGACTGCCATGGTGGGCGGAGGGGTGTGGGGTGTGCGGCGGCGATCAGCTTAGGGCGCGGTAGAGGTGAGCTCGTCGGCGGCTATCATCAACAACGAGAGGCGTCGATCAATGCTGGCGGCAGTGAACGGGAAGGCGTGTTGGTGCTGGCAATGTCAGCGATGAGGCTCAGTGACCTGCAGGCGAACCACGCCGAGCGTATCAAGGATCCACACGACACCAGATGATCAACGGCTGGAGCTGGGGAACATGACGTACTGTGTGTTGCCGAGTGATCGTGTGAGGCTCTGGTCGAGTCAAGTAGGGACTGTTTGAAGTCTGCAAATCTGTCTCGGGCAGGTTCCCGCACGCAGTTCATGTAAGTAGCCGCCGTGTTGCTGCAATCCCGAGCTGCGTCTCGCTTCGTGATGATGGGCCGGGGATCACTGGAGCTATGGCAGCGAAGGCGGTGAAACTACGCCCGCAGCGGCTAGTCAGGACGCGCGACGACACCAAGACACGACTGCTGGATAAGCAGTCAACTGCAAACGCCGAACAAAGTGTGCGAGGCGCGAGGAAACTAATTCGGTGCGCTGGGCAGGAGTTCGGAGGACGAAGCGTTCAGTGACCTCACCATAGGCGGCGACAACGCTATAAGTCCAAATCCCGGGTCCAGGCAAACGCAGACGCGCAACGCACGTTGAGGGGGCAATACCTAACGGTAAGCAAACATTGCTTCCGCGTTCCCTGTCATTCCAACGCCTTCCCTGTTCGTGTTTTCTTGCAGTCAGGTCTGGTTGTCGAATATCGTTCTCACCGAACGGCTCTGGTGCATATTCGTCTCGCACGCGTTTGGTTGCACGACACGCGACATGCCTGTTGCCGCCACATGGCGCCGTCTACGCCGTACCATGGTTCGGCGCGCTTCTGTTATGTATGCAGGCGAAGTTCCGAGAGATCAATACTCTTGACGAGAACTGAACACGTGCTGACGGCTTCGATCCTCTTCATTCGTCGTCCCTCTCTCCCTCCACACTCTGTAGCTACTACTTTCGATGCAGCCTTGTTGCCATTGAATTGTTGAGCACATCAAGAGCTTGATCTGACCTGAACTGCAACGCCGCCGGGCTTCACACTAACATCAGTGCAGTATGCGCCAAGATGTCCTACTACGATGTCGACGCAATCCTCACCGACGCCCAGAAGGTCCCTTGCACGTTCGAGCTGACCGTGCCCGGACTGGGCTACCTTGAGGGCAACATGACCGGCGACATGAAGAAGGGCTCAAAGATCGAACTGCCCCTCTGGCTGGGGGAAATGCTGGCATTGAGCCAAAGTCTGAATACTGAGTCCCTGGTAACTCTGGACCCACCCACCGCGCTGTCGCCCCGTGTTTTGAACGCACTCAAAGCAGATCCGCGCACCGTTGACTTGAGGGCGCTGGCACCGCATTTCTACAACCTTGGTGCGCGGATTCTGGAGTTGTTCGATGAGGAGGAGATGATCGAGGTGCTGTCAGATGTAAGTTTGGGGGCTGAGCCGACCGGTCCCTATCAGTGGCTAATTCGCATGAAGACGTACAAGGCACGCGCGGCAGTGATTGCAGATCAGGCGCACAATCCGCGTGGTGCACTGGGCGAAGGGGCTGATTTTATGAGGGGATTGGACGAGAACGAGCGACAGTGTAAGTGCTGGCACTATCGAGCACGTACGCGCTGACCACTTCAGTATTCCGCGCAGCACATGACAGCGCGAAGAGCGTACGAACATGGATGGCAGACTTGCAGAAGAAGTGACAAGGCGGGGAAGACGACGTCCACTTTATTGAATAACGAGAACCAAGAGGCCTCTGATAATAACTAAAAGTACGAACATATCCAAATAGGAGTTTATCGTTGTTGGTCATGCAGGGCGCTAGAACTCCATGCCTACAGGGGGTAAAAAAAATGCTCAAAAACGAAAGATGAAGGATAAAATAAAGGCATGCAGAACGCTCAGAGTGGTAACCATTGCACGCACGCTAGATGGAGCATGAACACCGAAATGAAAGAATCCACCCTAAGCACCACGAAAAGCACCCCCAAGATTGCTGTTCTGCAACAGTGCAATGAGTTGTTCTGGAGGGTACCCCAGAAAGACGGGGCCGTTGAAGACCATTTGAGGAATGACCTTGGGCACATCTTGCTCCTTCGATTGTGACAGTGGCGGTTGGGGCACTGGCTCCGGCTTGATGGTCGGCTCAGGTTTCAAACTTGGTGGCTGATATGTACTGGGTCCTGGTAGCGTAGTCGTAGCTGCCTGGGTAGGCATCGCTGGGGGTGCTCCTCCAGCCTTCATCCTTGCCAAGGCCTCGTGGTCGAACGGACATTTACCGGCAGGCTTCTGTGGTGTTTGACCAACCTCACGGTCAGTCTTCAGCGGCACCTGTGGAGATGCAGTTGCCGCTGAGCCGACTGAGGAGGAACTTCCAGCGTCTGTGTACCTCGCGGGAATCGATATGCCCCATGGGCGGCTTGGAGACTCGCCAACCCTTACGTCCTTCAGATTTCGATCAAAGCGACTCGTCCTATCGTCGTCTGCAGCTGGCACTGGTGGTAAATCTTCCGGAGGTGACGCCACACCTTGTAAGCTTTCAGAAACAGCCCTCGCCCATTTTGTGACCTTTGCATCTGCTTTGGAGTCGGAATTCCCCTCCTGCTCTCCTTCTTCCACAATTGCCTCATCTGGTTCCTCAGGCAGCCATGCTTGATGCTTTTGACCTAATCCTTGAATCATGTTGGTAAGATTGCCATATTTGCGGTCCAGCTGATCGATGCTTTCTTGGTTACTCTGGAAGCGAGTGATACACACTTCATGGCTTCTCGGCAACTCATGCTTGTGCTTCTCAAAGTATTTCGCAACCTCTTCAGGATCGTGCTGGTCGAGGAAACGAATTGGGCATACAGCAGCAGAGCCTTCGATGGAGACAGACGGGGAGGACGGCATGTTCCCGCATATCTCTGCGCGAATAGGGTCGGTAAAAGATGGGCGTTTGGATCGTCTGTCTTGCGAGCTCAGCCTCGAAGCAGAGCTGCGTGGAGTAGCGAGCGAGCTGCCTCTCCCAACGCCTGAAGCGAATGGACACCCAAGCTTACTGGGAGTGCCCAGTGCGGTGAAGTCTTTCTCCATGGGCGAAGTGACACTGCTCGTTTTGGTATTCGATGATATTGTTTGTGGGTCCGCTTGAGGGCCGCTCCAGATTCTGACACCAGCATCCTCGGTGGGAGTACGCAGGGCAGCCGCAGCGACCTCAGCCTGTCTAATAACTACAGCCCGACTCTTTCGTTCCACATCATCGCCCTGAGCCAACAGATCCACCACATTCAACCGCACCCGAGGTTGTTCGTCGGCGGCTCGCTCGAGGTCCTGTAGGAACGCAATATGATCCTGTGACAGTGTGCTCGGCGTGAAGCGCTTCAGAAGTTCGAGATACTGTGGCTTGTCAGCTTGGAACCAAGGAAGTATGGTGTGACAAGTGGTGTGATAGAAAGGAGGATCAGGATAACATGTGGTTGTTGTCTGTCAAAGCCGCAGAGCGGCTGCAGGTCTAGAGCTAAGTGTATCATCATAGGAGAGGTGGGTGTGAACAACCAAAGGGTGGCTTACCTGCTGCTTGGCCCAGGACAGCTTGCATTCAAGCTGTCTTTGCTGGTCGAACAGAGCCTGGTACTCTCCGCTCAACGCTGTGAACCCCTCCACCAACTGATCAGCAAGCTGCGTGACATCCCGTTTCGCCTCATCGCCCATGACTGTGCTGTCTTGAGCAAAAGAGTTGGTGTGGCGGTGAGTCTTGAGCAGAAACCAGCGCCGATTGCGCGGCAAAGAGGCTGCGTTGTCAGGCGGAGGAAGAATCGGCGGGTGTGACGGCAGGCCACGCAGGGTTGGAAGCGAGGCCGCCAAGAGCAGGCCCAAAGTGGCAAAGCCTGGAACGCTTGCTCTCCGAGGTCCCTTGGACGGTGCGTCAGCCCTGCCTGCGCCTCAACTTTCTGTCCTTGGTTTACGTAGCATCTTACGCGACCTGGTGTTCTTATGCAGCATGCCGTCCATTCCGTGATACCCTAGCCTTCCAATTCCACCGTAGACCGCATCGCACTTTCGTCCCTCCGTCTACTTCGCCCTCAGCTGTCCTGCATCTGCTTCATTCCAAAGACAAACTCCTAGATCGAATCCTTTCAACACTCAACAATTCCTACAATGGGGTCTCTTCACGACTCGCGCATACACAAATGGTTTGCAACTTCGCCGCCAGTTGCATGGACGATACGGCAGCTGCGAGAGATTCTCATCGGCTCCCTGAAGCAGGGTCCAATTCCTCAGCATGTTGCGTTTGTGATGGATGGCAACAGGCGTTTTGCGCGAAACCACCACATTGAGACTGTTGAGGGGCATAACATGGGCTTCGAGTCCTTGGCGAGGGTATGTTGCACCCTTGAGGCACTCCTGCAGAGGATTGACCCCTTCGCAGATATTAGAAGTCTGCTACAAGACTGGCGTGAAGGTCGTCACAATCTACGCCTTCAGCATTGAGAACTTCAAGCGATCAAAGCACGAGGTCGATGCCCTGATGTCCATGGCCAAGGTCAAGCTCGAGCAATTGTCCGAGCACGGGGCTCTTCTCGATCGGTACGGAGCATCTGTAAGGGTACTGGGTCAGCGAGAGTTGGTTAAGCCCGACGTTCTCAAGGCAGTCGACAAAGCTGTGTCCATGACTGCGCACAACAAAAGGTGAGTGATTCTGCTGTTCTGGGTATCGAAAGATGACTGACAGCGGCAGGGCAATCCTGAACATATGCTTCCCATACACATCGCGACACGAGATCACGACTGCTGTTATGAAAACCGTCGAGACCTACAGCACTCCGATCCACAATCTCCAGAGCCCCTCGAAGCGTACATTCTCTGAATCGGGCATCACACAGCATATTCGCCAGCAGTCCTTGAAGGAGGATACGATAAGCGGAGCTGAGCAGCACGAGTCTCGACCGTCTTCACCGTCAAAGGATGACAAGCACGACGACGAGCGGTCTTCGTCAACTTCAACGGCGATCAACCCTTCAGAGAAGGATGATTTGCACAGTCTGCACCAGTTCTTGGACCCTGAGGCAATCACCGCTCAAACTTTGACGGACAACACAATGACGGCGGACGCTCCACCCCTCGACTTGCTAGTACGCACTTCGGGCGTTGAAAGGCTGAGCGACTTCATGCTATGGCAATGCCACGAGAACACGTCCATTGTGTTTTTGAAGTGTCTGTGGCCAGAGTTCGACTTGTGGCAGTTCCTACCTGTACTCGTCGAATGGCAATGGCAGCAGAAGAAGATACAAGAGGCTGCAGCGCAACAACAGAAGAACCGTGTGCGGTCCAAGTCTGACTAGAACAACTTACTTAGAGGTAGTCACGACCCGTAGCGGTCAAGATGCATCGATGATACCCCAGCAGCAAGCGTGCTTATTCATAGTCAAATAAATGCAAGGAACTAGCAATTCAGAACGTGCCATGCCTGAAATGAAGGCCGGACTCGACCTTGGTTCGCAGTTATCTGGATACCACAGCAGCTCGTACGCGAGAGTGTGGCAGATGACACGCGGCAGGGTCCTTATCTTGACAAGATGTTTGCGTTACTACACCGCTGCGGGAGCCAATCCCGTCATCCCCACTACGGCAGGGTAGACGTCGATTGGTACCCCAAACGTCATACTAACAATGATCTAGCGTGCAGTGCAATGCTCCGGCACGCCATAAAGACCCCGCGTGACCCTTCCTTGACGGTCAAGCTGAGTGGTTTGAAACTCGAGGCATCCTGACCTTGTTGTGATTAAACTCGCAGGGTTTAAGTTCAAGTATCACCCTTCCGCCAACCACCGCTTCCAAAGGTTTTCTCAGCACGTGTGTAAGAGGGGGACCGAATCACACCTGCATCCGTCTGACTGCATCCGTTCTACGACATGGCTACGCCTAATCTCCTTACCATTCCAGCGGAGCTGCGAGAACTGATCTACGGCTTTCTCTTCAGCTCGTACACGATCGTTCATGGCCACCGCGCTTCCAGCAAACCCATCCCGGGCAATACATCTCCACCTCGTGCAGCCTTGCTACTTACATGCCGCCAGATTCATGAAGAAGCCTGGCGTCATCTCCCGCTGAACTGCACTCTCCACTTTCGCGGCACAGAAGACTTTCTTGAGACTTTGTTATCTGTCGATCAAAGCGTTGTCACTCGGCTACGTCGCATTCGAGTTCGCGCGTTCCCATTTCCACTCTATGCAGACGACAGGCCAGAGTATTATCCCACGTATTACTTTGCCAATGCACTATCCCTCCTACCAGGCCTCGCTCTTGATGAGCTGGAAGTGTATGACTGCTGGCACGGCTACGGACTAGGCGATGGTTGGCGCGATTTAACCACATATATGGACATTGAAGCCCTTCTCAAGAGCGATGCATGGAAGAGGCTTACATATATCACGCCTTGTACAGATTTCATCGCGTCGGGCTACGATCCCCGACACAAACGGCAGCAACAACCAGAGAACTGGGATGGAATGATTAAGGAGCGCGATGGAGACGCCTCGGGCGCAGGCGTACACATGTGGATCGTACCCACCAAGCAGGCCGAAAGCAGAGACGAAGACCGAACAGACGACGGCCGCAAAATGCAGGAATGGTCCGCTCGCCCGGGACATGAGATTGTACAGAATTGGCGGCTTGCAACGCCAGAGCAGAATCTCAAGGGAGAAGTCAGAATCATTGCAACGAGAGGTAACAGAGCGAGGGTTGTGCAATTAGGCTTGCAGGAAAAGTCGGGTTGGCGAGGGTTGAAAGAACAGGAGCGTGGGTTCACCAGAGAAGGTCAGTTCTTCGTTATCAAGCGAGGACAAGGGCTAACAAAGCGCAGGTTGGGCCCCCTATCACCACGACATGGCCGATGCGATGGGATGGATATACGGGGGTTATGGAAGGAGAATGCAGCTTGCTCATCAGGCGTTGAACGGATGAGTGGTGGACGACATCTGGCATCCATGATTTGACGTGTTCTCGATGTATCCGAAGCCAGCATGCGTGTTTCCGACAGTCTACCTGCAGGGTCTGATGCCGAAGCTGAAGCTGCCCCTGGTGCCCCAGTCGTTCATGATGCGATGCAGACAGGATGTGAACACAAGGCTAATGCAATGCATCGAGAAATTGCTTCCAATTACAAATTCCGGTCTCGTACTGACAATCTGCTCAGACCCCCAACTGGCTGCTCGCTCAGCATATGTAAGTCCGCCTGATCGAGTGTCCCGACAAGATCGAACCGCGACTCGGCAGCACTTGCCGCGAACGAGCAATAATGGTCCACAGCAGTATAGATCCCGTGGCTAAAAGGAGCAGCTCTCGAACTATTCAAGGAATAAGTGGCCTAGAAGCGAGCAGGAAGTCGAATTGCGGTGTGACACGTGCATTCGCGCTCAATGCCGACCCCGCTAGCGCCCCTGCCGTTCCCGCAGAAACGGCCAGTTTGTTTACGACGTAATGAGGCACGAACCATCTGGAGTAGACCACCCCAACTGCTCCGCCTACTATGCCAGACATGTCCCTGCTATAGCTCGCACACGTTCCAACTCCATCGCTCTGGGCCACCGCCCCCAACATAGCACCTGCACCTTTTACTGTCGCTGCTGCCGTCGCAATGGCTGCGCCTGCGCCAGGCCCCGCCGCAGGGCATCGCCGTCACAAGTCGGCCTCGGTGCTCAAGTCGATCATCGGACAGCATAAGCGCTCACCATCTGACGGCACCGCGCTGAAGGCTGCGCAGTCTACTACCCCGTACATTCCTATGCCGTCCGCGACCATGAACGCGCCGCTGTTACCGCCCGACCACCCGCACAGCGTATCGCGGGCTGCCAACAATCAGCTCGAGAACCTCCCTTTCCTGCCACCGTCGCCGCGCAAACAGTCGCACGACACTCGCAGCTCGAGTCCAAGAAAGGGTCTGCACAAGAAGACGCTCAGTACTGTGTCGCTGCGATCGCTGGGCAAGGACAAGGCTAAGGAGAAACAATCGCAGGAGGATGAGGCAGTACTCGAGAAATCGAAGAAGATGAAGTCATCAACTAACCTGGCGTCCATGTTCGGCAAGAGCAAGTCGCGAAAGCTTGCACAGTCGCCCAGCAAGGACAAGGAGAACACCGCCCCTTTCTTGCAACCGATGGCGTCTGAACCAGCGCCAACTCCTATCTGGGCGCAATTCAGCTCGCAGCCTCTGCAAGACGTCACAACTACACATAAGGTCCCGCTCAACGACCAGCGCCGGAGCCTTGAGGGCGAGATCAACCGTTTTACCCCGCAGAACTACTCGCCTTCGAAACAGCGCGACTTCTTCGAGGTAGGTCAACCTTCTCTACAGAAGCGACCTATTCCAAAAGAACGACCGAAGTCTATGCACATTCCCATGTCCACAGCATCGCTACTCGACACATTCACACGCAAAAAGAGCACCGATCGACCTCCGTTGACAGCGGCGCAGGGGAATGGAGAGAGAACACGAGACAGCTCTCCATCGAAAAGCAAGTCTGCAAGGCCCGCACTTGAGCGCGCGAGCACAGATATCGGCAGACGGCCTGTGGGAAACGAAGTAGCGGAACCACCACCAGCAAGTCCAACAAAGAAGCCTAACAGGGTCATGGCTGCGGTCGCTGCTTTCAATGGCAGGTCAAAGCAACCAGACGCTCCGCCGGTAACGCCTACAAAAGAGCTCGACCCGAAGGTTGTAGATCTTGAGTTCGAGGAGGTGCTGGTAAGTCAGGATCAGACTCCGAGGCGTAACAACAGCTAACAGCGACAGGAATCGCGAAACATTCCTACACATCAGCGCGCTGCGATGCGAACCCTAAAGATCGAGGTCAAGGCCGACTTCGTGCGAACGCACAAACTAGATACACCGCGGTTGTCCACAACATCCTTTCCTTCGATAGGGGAAAGTGAAGACAGGAGCGCTCCAAAGCACCAATCTTCGAAGTCCACCAAGTCAAGGAATGACTCCGCTCAAGAAGAGATGTCGTCATCGCAGACGAGTAAAGCAGACGGCTCAAAACGCGAGCGTCCGACGAGCAGGACTTTCACATTCAACAGAAGCAACTCTCCCACGAAGAAGCAGCGAGCCACGGAACTCGGCGCGACTGCAAAGCCTCCTAGTCCAATCCCAAAATCTCCCTCTTCCAGATCCCTGCACTCGGACGCAGCTTCTAATAGATCTGTCTCTAACAGCTCAAAGACATTGAAGTCTGCAGAATTCATCAACTACCTGAAGAAGACATCAAAGCCTCAAGACGTGGAAGTTGGCAAGCTGCACAAACTTCGGTTGCTGCTACGGAACGAAACGGTCGACTGGGTCGATACATTCATTCAAGACGGCGGCATGCTGGAGCTTGTGAGTCTGCTCCACCGAATCATGGAAATTGAATGGCGCGAAGATCACGAAGACACACTCCTCCACGAGCTCCTTCGTTGCCTGAAAGGCCTCTGCACGACAGACAGCGCCCTGAGGCAGCTCGCCAGCATTTCCTCCACTCTTTATCCAGCGCTCATCGGTATGCTCTTTGATGAAGAGCACAAGGGTCCTAGCGAGTTCACCACTCGTGAGCTCATCATCCAAATCTTCTTCGCTCACATCGACATGGCATCTGAGACTGAACTTGCTTCACGCGCCGCAGAGCTCCTCACATACCTCCGCGACCCCGTCAAAGAGAAGGAATCTTCCACTATTCCGTTCATTCTGCAGATGCATACATCCCGCCCGTACCAGATATGGTGTAAGGAAATGACGAACGTCACTAAGGAAGTTTTCTGGATCTTCATTCACCACTTGAACGTTGTTCCCATGCCGTCTGCGCCCTCCACGGATTTGTCGGCGAAGAACTACGCCAAGAAACACTTCCCCGGTCCTCGCGCTATCGTCCCTGCTGCTCCCTACGTTGGTGGCGTAGAGTGGGACGCAACAAACTACCTAGCGACTCACATTGATCTCCTTAACGGGCTTCTCGCTTCATTGCCAACCCGGGAAGCTCGCAACCAGCTTCGCGAAGACCTCCGCATCTCAGGATTCGAGAAGCTTATGGGGCAGTTGCGCGCGTGTAACCCCAAGTACTACGGTGCTGTCCATGATAGCATCAAAGTATGGATTGGCGCTGGACTCGATGACGAATGGGATGTCAAGCCTGTCAGGATGGGCAGTGGAGACAAGAACAACAGCAGCACAAGTCCAGTGAAAATGAGTCCGAAGAAGAAGGCCGAGCCCGCGCCGCAGATCGAAGTCCCAAAGCTCGACCTTGGGCTCGCATTTGACAGGGAGATCGACATTGGCGGCCCTGTTGGGGGGAAGGACGACGACTGGATCTGAGACCTCGACCCGGAGTCGTTGGATCAAATAGCAGCTGTACTTTTTTTACTTTGTCTTGGCGCCGGATTGGATATGTTCCGGGTACTTCATTGCCGCTGTCATGCTGTACTTCCTCTGCTCGGCATCCAGCACACTTACGATTACTGACGAATATGACGATTGGGATAGCGAGCTCCCACCTTTTTCTTTAGCTTGGCTTGGCTTCTCTCTGCAGAGCAAAAGCGGACACGACCTGTACATATTCCATATCTTCCTCGAGGTGTTGTGCGGCGCTGGGGATTGAGCATTGGTAGCGAATCTTAATCAGTGCATTTCAAACGCGCCATTGCCGTGCGAGGGTCACATACTTGCCGAGAGTGTCGAGAAACGAGATGAGCAGTTGCAAACGATGTGGTGATATTACGTCGGGGTGCATAACGCACCGTGGCGCGTCTAGTGCTATGTATGTATGGGTATCTCTTCACTCGCTCCCTCGACGCTTGCCAAACCCAGACGCCGCAATCAAAGTATTTCAGAAAAACGATAAGCTAACGATAATCCATATCAGCAGTATGCCACCAGCAGCTGCCTCCCTCTGCCCGAGACGCAGAGCCGTCGAGATCATCTCAAATCGATTCGGCGTACTCCATAGCCAGAATGCAGAGCAAGGATTCACGATATCGAGCACAGCGCGCAGAAACGCGTCGTTCCTGCTCTCCGGCGGTGCAGATTGAAGAGCGGGTCTGGGCGCGCTGTCGCCGGGGAGGTCAGTACTGGCTGAGCGGCAAGCAGAGGGCGTGCTGTCGTGTGGGCGACTGGGGCTGGGGATCTGTGCACGGGAACGGTCCCAGAGGGCGCGCATTGCGCGTTCTTCGGCGTCCTGGTCGATCATCGCATTGCGCGCGCGAGCTTCCTCCGTCCAGAACGCAGTTGCGGAATCTGGTGTCTTGCGGCAGTCACTTGCAGGGCTGACGGGGCACGATTGTGCACTGCCAGGCGTGGGCTTCTAGACCTTCTTCTTGCCCTTGCCCTTCTTCTTCTTGCCGACTTCGACGGTGCCGGCCTCGAGTTCGCCTTCCTGCAGGCCAAAGGCCTCGTTCTCCTGCATTTCCTTGATCTTCTGCGTTCCGCTTATGAACATGGACAGATCGTGGTTCTGGTCCTCGAGATCCGCCTTCTGGCTTTCTAGATCTTTGACTTTGGCTTCGGCTTCGGCAGCAACCTTCTCGAGATGCTTGATGCGTGTCAGCAAGGAGTCATTGATGGTTTTCTCTTCCTTGTATTGCTTTGTCAGGGTGCGGGCCAAATCTGATGCTGACGTCGCCCTTTGTGCGTTTCTTGCGCTCTCTTTCTCCAGGCCAGACACCGTAGCTACGGTTTCGATGTACTGTTGTTGCAGAGCCTTGAAGTCTTTCGCTAGTGTAGATGCCGTGCGTGACGCTTCTTCCGCTGCAGTTGCGGCCTTTGTGCTTTTGTCTGTTGCTTTTGAAAGCTGTTCTTCAAAGTATGCGCGTTGGGATTCGAGCTGGGATGTGAGCAGAAAGGCGTACTCCATGCCCATGTTGTCCAGCTTTTCGCGCGGAACGCTATCGTTGGCATAGCCGGTCATGCCTGCGCCGCCCACGGACTGATGCGTTGAGGCAGGAAGATCGACCAGCTTTCCATCGGCCTTGTTCTGGATCAGACGATGAACGTAGCCGTCGCCTGCATAATCCCAAACGTGTTGAGACACAACATCCATTGCATACGTGTGTTTCGTAGCTTTAAAATGGGCAAAGGCATGCGCCTCGTCGTAGCGTCCACAACCGATGTTACCGCAGATGACGCAAATCCATAGGTTCTCGGTGGCACCACAGTCCTTACACATATTTTCTGGCGCGTCGCCGTCGAGACCGTGTTGTGACGTGAAGGCGTCATTCTGAGTATAGCGACATACAGGACAGCCCGAGCCGCGCCATTTCTCAAGGCAAGCGCAATGAAAGACGTGCTGGCAGAGGATGGTAAGCAGCCCCGTGGTCTCGTCCATGCGCTCAAGACAGACAGGGCAGGTTGGTAGCTCGACTAGAGCGGGCGTGGGAGGCGCATGTGGCTTGGTCGTGAGCGCCGTTGTGAGCGAGCTACTTTCGGCGGACGGGGATACACTCGAATTTGGCGGCAACGGCGTGGTAGATTCCTGGGTTGCGGCCGGTGTGAATGGGTCGTTTGTTAGATCGGGATACGAGGATGGATCACGGGTCGAAGCATCGCCGTCTTGGAAATTGATCGACTTGACAAAAACGACGTGGCAGTACTCGGGCTCCATGCTGTTAAATGTTTTGCCATTCCACTCCTTCTTCCATTCTCTTGCCTTGCTTGATTCCCGGAACTTCATGAGCACCATGTACTTGTTTGCCCGACCCGTTCGAATAAGTCTGAAGTGCGAAACGTCCTCTCTTGTCTGCTCTCCGACGAAACCGAGAAAATCTGACGGCGTCATGTACGAGGGTACAGCCAGGATGCAAAGGGTTGTGCAGTCCTCCTCTATGAAAGGCCCGTGTGCCCCTTCCACCTCGTCGTATAGTCCCGGTGTATCGTGTCCATCTCGAAATAAGTGGACGACTCCCCAGCCTACTTCTGTGTTCTTGGGATCGGAGGGCACAAATTTGCCCTTGGTGGCGAGGCCACCAGAGGTCGCAGCCTGCTTGAGTGCCTGCCTTGTTGAGTCGCCGTTGTTGTTTGGAAGCATGTCGATGCTAAGGATGGAAATGGTGTCGAAGCGCCAATCCTGATGTGCGGCGAAGCTATTCTGGGAGATTTCCTGGCCGCTCTTTGTAGGTACTTGGTCGACAGGAACGGGACTATCGTGGTGCTCGGAAAGCGAGAGTCGTGTGCGCTGGCTGAGCCTTCGATGTTTAGAAGCACTTGCAGCGCTGTACGTTCTAGGCACCGGCGTCGCTGAGCTCCACAGTGCTTGCCTATGCGCTGGGAGCTTTGACGTGAAGATGTTGGTCTGTGGTGGCGGAAGGAAGGTCGCGTCTGCGGGAGAGCGAGAAGAATGGAGCTCGAAGGATAGATGGAAGAAGTACTCCGGCATCACGGGCGACAAAGTGGGCGACGCATCTCAACGAGCGTAGAGATGCTTGCTGTGCTGGACTGTTTGGTGGATCAAACATGCGGAGCAAACGTTCGGTGCTGGTGTGGGGCCATCGGTGGGGCAGGCGCGTCACGTCAAGACAGCGCGAACAGAAGTACCGAAGACTATTTTAGGATTCACCAAACGCAGAAGACTATTTCTTGATGTGGAGTATGCTGGTATTCATTGTCGTCGTCAGTGCAACCTTGATGAGGTATGGAAACGCCTTAGCTATGCAATTATACCCTTCCTAAGCCAATATGAACGCCTTCCCAAAGTGCATGTAGACATGCAAATGCATTGCCCGCGAAATACGGATAGTGTGATGAACAAGGGACCAGAGGCGGCCTCGTAGGCCATGCTGCTGTACCAACGCTGGTACCGCCAAATAAGAAAACGCGTATGGGGTATTGGTGGAAAAGAGAAACTTGTGAAGGGTTGGGTCATTGCCCCCCCACTAGGGTTGATCAGTAGCGTCGATCATGTCGGCATCTGGGGTGTCTTCGATTTCGTGGCCCCTGTTATTGACCACGATACGACGGCCGCGCTCGTTGAGCGGAATGCCGTCACGTGTGGCACCGAAGTCTAAGACCTAGGAGATGTTAGCTGCCGTCACCAACGATGTCCGCCCGTTCATAGGTACTTACCTCGATATACGTCAGGCTGTTCCGCTGCACGGCTGCAACGCATCGACGTTCATTAAACTTTACTTGCCAAACACCACTGAGGTCCGTCAACAGATCCTGGACGAATTCCCCAGTCTTGACATTCCACATTTTGAGTGTGCGGTCTGAACCCGAAATGACCTTTTGCCCATCATGTTGAAAGCAGGTGATGGCCCCGGTGTGCGCACATAGCCTGCTTTTACACTGCCCGTTCTCAGGATCCCAAATGCGCAGGGTGCTATCTGCCGCAGCAGACACAAGGCGCTCGTGACTGAGATCCAAAAGACCCACAAGTGAAGTATGGCCCTCCAAAGTGAAGATGCATTGACCAGTCTCAAGGGACCAGACCTTGACCAAGTTGTCCATGGAGCCACTGATGCAGCGATTGCGAGCGTGATCCAAGACAACACTGTAGACCTTCTGTGTATGGCCTTGCAGGCGCTGGATGGTTTCGCCAGTGGAAACTTTCCACACGCGAACAGTGCAATCGTAGCTGCCACTGACAAGGGTGTCACCATGAGCTGCTATCGCACGAACAGAGTGGTGGTGGCCAGTCAACGCACGGACAAAGTAGGGGTTGTCGAGATCATTGGCAGCCGAAGAACCAGTCTGTATGATGCTTCGATCGCCTGGCTTCGGGAGCTTCCAAACACGAAGTGTACTATCACGAGATCCGGTAATGATCAGCTCCTCTTTCGGCATCATGATGGGTTTCCCCTCGAGAGTTTCACCGATCTTGGTTGGCTTCAAGATGACGAGGCACCGAACTGTCGATGTGTGGCCCTGGAAGACCTGTGTGCATCTTCCCTTCTCGATATCCCAAACTCGTACGGAGCGGTCTGTAGATCCTGACACCAGAGTGTTTCCCTCATATTGTAGCGCCCAAACACCACCCTCGTGACCTTCGAGACGACTTCGTAGAGCTCCGGTCTGGGTATCGTATACGTTGATGTTAGTATCGTCGCTACCGGTCAGAATCTTATCGGTATCGAACTGAAGGCAGGTAACAACGTGACGCTGATGTGCACGGAACGCGATGTGTCTCGGCTTGGTGTCTTCGGCCATCCAGCTCTTTCGAATCAGATGGTGTCGCTGGTAAAGAGACTTGAAGAGATGCATATTACGGAGGCTGGACAACCCGAGGTGAGGATCCGGGATAGCGGCCTGGGCCCGTTGTGCGTATGCGTTAGGTCCATCGCGTTGCTCAAAGGGAAGCGGGTAAGGCATAAATGGCGCCTTAGTAGACATCAAGCCCTTCTTGCGCTGCTTCTTTGAACCGCCATGTTTGCTAACAGCTTTCCTTTTCTGTCGCATGGATGATGATCGAGTTATTGCGCCGTCATGGTCCGCGAGAAAGCTCGATGCTGAGCCTGTGGCGTGCTCGTTATCTGATCGAGAAACAGTAGCCAAACGTGACAAATCACGTTCGTAGCTTTCAATGCCGTCTGTGAACTGCCATCCCCATCCTTCCCGGACAGCACGATCCAGCTCGCCTGTTGGTAGAGTAAATCCATCTTTCTCGAGAAGGTCTTTCCAAGCTGTCTCGTGTGTGTCGATGAGCTTCCGCCAGTGCTTGGAAACCCGTGCCGCATTACACATACTTTGTACGTCAAGGTATCCAATGATTTCGAGACCGAGTTCCGTAGGCAATGAAGTGATGAAATCCCGCTTCAAAGCTGGGTTGACGACATCAGCGACAAAGTGTAGCGTAGACTTCTTGCATCGACGTAGCATTTGGTACATGACGTAGTCCTTCATTCCTTCTGGGAGTGCGTCGAAAGCATTAAGCATTTCCGGAATACCCGAAACTGTGGGTGTCAGCAGCTGGGGGTTGGGGGTCATGTCTTCGATGCCTTTTGGCCGTTCGATCTGCGAAAGATCCAGCGACGAGACATCGTTCGATTCGTAATCAGCGACCTGGCCGAGCGATGACGTTCCGGCGAGGCTCTGCTGGGCGTTCGCAGCATACGTGGTGGGCGACAAACTCGGACTAGGTAGGCTGGCGTCTTGCGCAGCTGCAATGTCCAGATGCATAGGTGCTGGTCGAGCCACGGGGAAATGTGGCTCCATGTCAGATTCAGCAATTGGAGGCGTCGCCGCTGCACCTGGCCCGTCGATCACGCCGGTGGGAAAGGATGACGATTGCGAGAGTTGTTGGCTATCGCACGATGCGGCGTCTGTGTGTGAAGGTCCCGCGGTTGTTTCTCGCAACTGTCTCAATGTCTCGTTTGTGGACAGCATCTTCACAGTCTGCGACGCGTCCAGCTCTGTTTCTGGAGTAGCCGGGACCATGTCGTCCAGATCGTCGGGCGTGATGCCCATGTGTGCGGTATCTTCGTCTTGTGTAGAGATCCGCGGCTTCTTGCTGCGACGTTGTAGGCTTGCCATTTCGGCGGCTTCCCGTATCGATGGCGGTGGAGGCGAGTCGTCTGTTGGATCGCGTTTCCGGCGGCCGGACACTGATCGAAGCGTGGGGCGTTGTTTCGTGACGAGACGCTTCGGGCGGCTAGGAGATGTAAATGTCGCGGGACCCTTGAAGGTATCGATCTTGCGTATCTTGCCGTTCGAAGCTCGCAGGTTCTCCTGGAGACTTGTGTGCTGGGAGGTGTTAGTTAGGTGTGGTCAACGCGTCCGCGGCGAGCGGCACAGGAACAGGGCAGATCCCTGGACCAGCTAGCTGCATACCTCGTGTGCTGTCTGAGGAGCATCAATCGCTTCTTCGAAAAGACCGATCTCCCCACCAGCGTCGAAGTAGATCTTCCGTATCGACTCCGGCGCTCTGACTTGTGCGAGCGGGTACTCCTTGGGGTCCCGCTCAGACAGGCCCGGGGCGTTGATGCACATGGGAGCGAGAGTGGTCGTCGTCGTGTACGTGGTCGTTATAACGGTAGTGGTCGTTGCCGGTGCGAACGAGAACTGGCCGATGGTGGCGTGGGAGTCTCGCGACTTTGGCCGGCTGAGGGCACTGTGGCCCTGGGTGCTCGACGACATGTCGACAGCGAGCGTGTTCGGGAGGAGTGGCGGCGAGGATACTCTGGCCTGGCGTTCGTGCCTGTGTCGACCAGCGAGAGGAGCGAAGTGCAAGGTGCGAGGTGCGAGTGTGCGTGCGTTCGTGTCACCGACGTGCAGGCCGTGTCCCCTGGGAGCGATGTCGTCCTGACGGCCGCAGAAATTGGCTGTGTTCGAGGGGCAAGAACACGCGGGGGAGTCGTTCACTGCTGCTTCGCGGTCATGTCGCCAGCCTCGTGTCGCAGGACGTGGGTGGCCGCGCAGAGTGGCTAGTCGCGGGTGGGCCTCGGGCGGTGGGTCGCCGCTGACGAGGGAGCAGCCGGAAAGGAGGCGGCACTCTCCTGCAAGGCAAGTACAGTGCGGAGCTCGGACGCAGGAGACAAAACACCACGGAGGCTTCAGTCGGGGAGGGGCGCGAGAGCGGAGGGCGGTGGGCGGTGGAGTGCTGTTCGACACGCTGCGGTGGTGGGGAGTCGGCTTGGCTTGGCCTCGAGCGAGCATAGCACGCTTGACCTGCCGCTGCCGCCTCCCTCCCTCTGAATGGCGGAAGCGGCGGGATCCACCTCGCATAATATCCGCCCCAACACGCAACCGTGAACAGTTCGTCTCGCCTGCACCGACGATGGAGTCGCTGTCTGCCTCTGCTCTGCTGCCCAGGCTCAGGCTCAGGCTCACCATGGCAGCGGTGCCTCTTTTCTCAGGCTTCGGCACAATGCCTGCGACTACTGTGACGCTCCACTGCACCGTGTCAGATTTTGTCACATCGTGGCGAGCATGAGCAAGCATTGCCCCTGGCGGGAAATCCTTTGTTTACTCGCGCTAGGCCGCTGCAGCTGGCCCTACGCTTTTTGCTGCAGCCTCATTTCCCTGCGGCAAGCATCGAGTGACTGCTCCAGAACGTTCTTTGTTCTTTTGTGGTGAGATCTCGCCAGCAAGAGATGTGGCGAATGGCATTTCCAAGCACCATGGCGGCCACCAACAACGACAACAACGCGAAATAGGTTCTCGGACCCCAAAAGCACTGACCGACTCCTGGCTTGCGCAAAACACCTACACAGTGCATGTATTTACTAATTACGACGCGCTGCGTGGTGGTTTAAATTTTTGTTGACGCATGTCTCGACGGCAATTGCACTTGTGCCTCTCGTGGACATAAGCACTGCGGCTCGACCCGTGACCTCACAGGACGACCAAGTCCACAGCAAACTTCACACCAACCAAAATCCATGTTCAGCAGTCCAATGCAACAGAGCCTACCCTAGAAAGACTCTTATGTGACCGTGACCAGGTCTTCCCCTCCGCTACGGTCTCCAGTGGACGTCCTCGAGGGAGATACTCAGGCCACCTTGCCAGGCGCGCGTGCCACGAGTTACAGAACACAGATCACTTCGGCTGTACCGGTCAGACTCCATAGCGACAACATACTTTGAGTTGAATGATGGGAGGATAGCAAAGGCTAGCTTCCAGCTACTGGCCACTTGGATCCCCACACAAACAATTCGGTCATGTTTCATTCGTTCGAGAGGTCTGCCAGACCTGTCGGCGCCGTTGCTGTGTGTTGCATTAGCACAGTCTCGAGTCTACACAACTTTTATGATACCATGCGGTCGTTCCTTCAGAGGGAGCGACATTTGGCCTTGTCTCGAGTACAGTATGCCAATGCTTTGTCCACCCTTTACCCTGTCATTCCTCAGATCCTCCCCATTGCCTTGTGCAGCTTCTGGACTGCTTAGCCGTGACTTTCACAATACCCATGACCCCGTGTGGGTCCGATCACTTCTTCTCTGCTTCTAGCATCTCCTTTCGAAATCGCGTCTGATCTGTTTCGATTAGAGCGGCGACGTCATGCTCCCTGAGTCGTTTTCTGGCGATCTCTTAAGCTGATATGAAGATCGCTATGTCGTTAAGGCGCTCCAGCGATCCTTGCGATGGTGAATCAGATGTTGGGAATATGAATAATGCGCGGTCTGGCAGCTTCATTCCTTGTAAGTAAATCATGGACCAGTTGGCATCCCCTGAGATCCGGGAGTTGCGATCCGGGGTAGAAGCGCAGAGACCACATCGAAGTCGGAGCGTGGCGGGGAGGATCACAGGTTGTTGGCGCTGGTCTCGTGGAGCGGCACTCTTCAAGTATTTGACCGAAAGCTCTGATGAAGCTCTGTTGTCGATAACGTTTTGAGACAGACAGGCATGGGATTGGAATGGGCTGTTTCTCAGGATGGGATGAATTTCCGTGTCTCCCGAATTCGTCTGGTCGGCACTATGGGCGAGTCGCGTGCACGATACGAGATGAGATGGAAGCCATTTTTGGAACGCAGCGACCAGGCCCGACAGGAACTGGCAAAGATGGACAGAATTGCGCCATGGATTGGCGGCACGCTCCAAGTGTTCAAAGCTTTGAGTGACCGATCAACCGATTGTCGGGGGGCGTGGTGCGCAGCATGGGCGACGACTCGCTTCATCTCCTGACATGGTCGTGGAGACTGGAGCTGAAAGGGGCGAAGATCGCGTGCTCCACCAATATACAGAATTCCACACTTACCATGCACGACTCTTGGACGCACAGGGCGTGCACGACAACCACGCTCCCGGGTGGCTGCGAGAAAAGGGCTGTCGCGGTGGCTATGGGGCACGTCGTGGTTGTGCAACGTCGCCTGCGACGGCCAGTGGTGGGCGCACAAGATACGGCGTGACCACACGGCAGGTAGGTTTGAACTCGGCGAGACCAGCCTCACAGCGCAAACGGACAGCGCTGCGAGGCACCGGCGACGGTTGCTGAGGCTCCGGTGTTTGAGTAGCTCTGCAGCGCAAGTCCCCCGGCAGGTTGCGGTCGACGTCGTGGTCGCTGCGGTCGCTGCGGTCGTTGCTCCTGCGCGTCAAGCCTCAGTGCGTGGGCGCGTGCATGGGTGGCACGGCCAGTGCTGGAGGGCCCACTGCAGGCCGCACGGCGATGTGGTCGATGTGCGCCGTGCGGCTACCTTGTAGCGGACACGGCGCCAGCACCAGTCGAGCGAGCCCTAATGAACCCTGCGGATCAGAGGGCCTGGTCGATGGACGCCGGACGCATTCGCCTGCTCTTAAGTCTGGTCCACCTCATGCGTGCGTCACGACCAAACTTTCTGCATTCGACCCCTCCGTGTGCTGCACGCTGACCGCGCAGCTGCAGCTTCCCCTTGCGCTAGTCCCCTGCTGGGCTGCTAGTCCTCCACTGCAGTTTGGTTTGGTCTGCAGCAGCCAGAATCGAGACGAGCGTGCAGCTGGGCCGTTCCCACTCCACCTGCACCGTCGCACCGCACCACGCACCGCAGCACCGCACCTTGCACCACCCCGGCCAGCCGCCTCGCACATGTCCCCAGCGTCGACCGCTGCCGTCTGCACACGCGCCTGCTGCCCGCCCCTGCCCACCCAAGCTCCCGGATGCAGCGCCGCGCAGCGACTTGATAGTCTGAGCATCCGCGACTCAGGCCCGTCCACGGCCTCTTCTCTGAATCGCGCGCCCGCGCAAAACCACCCACGCCACCAATTCCTCTCCGGCCGAGCCATTGCTTCTTCGCACCATGGGCCGCACCCGTGGTCCCAAGTTCTCCTTTCCTATACCGGGGCGTCGCGCGCAGCAGGCCAGAGAAAGTGCACCCCAACCCAGCACACCGCAGCACGACGCCCAGCAATGGCACCCTCAGCGCGACGAGCCCACCAGTAAAGCTCACCGCGTGCTGGGCACCTCCGACGCTCCCATGTTCCACTCCCGGTCTCGCCAGAACTCCACCGCGCCGGCCAGCCCCGCCTACAGGACTGCTGGCGTCTCGCCCGAGGCCTACCGTGACGACTGGGACGACCGGACGTCGGCCCCTGCAGCCGAGTACCCCAAACGGTCCATCCTGTCGAAGCGCTCGTCGTCCAACATTCTGGGGAACGCCAACAGCGGGACCGCGCGCCGGGGCTCTGACAACAGCACCGCCAGCTACCGTCTCCACCCCCAGGCCTCAAACTCCACCATGCGTTCGCACTACGACGCAAAGAGCTCGCCGCTCTCCATCTCCCAGCAGACATCCAACTCTGCCGTCCGTGACATGGCACTGAGGCGAGGGCAACCGCAGATCATCACAGACGGCCATGCCCACTCCTACAGTAGCCACGAGGCGAGTCCAGTGTCGCCCTTGCTCGATGTAGAGAGACGCAAAAGCAAGCCGGCGCGGTTGGACCTTTCGAAGCTCTTCCCGAAACCGAAAACTGGAGACGGCCAAAACCATGCGCGTGCACTTCTCTCGCCGACCAAGATGGTCAATTCGCCGGCCGCCATGTCCATGAGCTCTGAGTATTTTGCACAGCCTATGACTCGGGAACCTACACCGGCACCCAAGGGACATGCAACATTGACCAGCTACGCGACGCGCCGACACGCTGAACATGCACCGCCTCTGCCGAGCTCCCCAAAAAGAATGTTCAAGCGCGACGAATATGACAGCGCCAAGGTACACGTCCGACGACCCCCGAAAGGCGTGCAACACTGGTTCGATGCTCTTGACGAGGATAGCGATGAAGTATCGGAGCCGTTCAGAGCGCCAGTACATGCTCCACAAGCCCTGCGTCCCAGCTATTCATCCAAAGGACCCCTGCGGAAAACCTCTCTCAGTGGTATCTATGCAGATCCTGCCCCTTCACATCTCTCACCACGAGCACAGAAGTCGGTTCCAGGCCTCAGCAGTGCTACGTTCTCACACGAGGACATGATCGATATCCACGGACTGACCTCGCCGAGTGAATACTCCCTACAGACGCAGACCTCGACCCAGACCAAGGAGTCGACCATGTCAAAACACAATCTCCAGGACTCGAGTTGCATGTCATTCTCATCATCCGAGGACGAATATGACGACGATCGCCAAGCCCTTCGGAGATTTGCAGTCCGGAAAAGTTTGAACATTGACGACGACGCAGGCGAGATCGTCTTTGGGCAGGCCCAGGCTTACGAAGTGCGACCGAACCGGGGTGCGGAGCGCAAGATGAGCATAATGTCAACCTCGACAAGTGCTGCTACGATAGACATCATGTACTCTCCCGAGCCGTTCTCTCCCCCCAACTTCTCGCGCGTCAGCAACTACAGCGGTAGTCGGCGCTCCAGCCACCTGCGGCAGCCTTCTGTCATACTGGAGGACGAGGACGATCGTCCGAGGACAGCTGTACACGCACCACACAGTTCATCGGCATACAGCATTCGCAGCACACGTACTTCAGCCAGTGAACCTCAGCCTAGAACCTCGCTTGCAGCAGAACGCAAGATGATGGCCGTAACGCCCGAAGAGGAGGCTCTTCTGGAGCTGATGCGCAAGAAGCGTGCCTCAATGGCAAAGCAGAGCTCAAGTAGCATCGCCAACACCTACACAGAGCACGAGGACCAGCGACAGAGGGCACTTGAAATACTGCAAAGGACAGGTCGAACACCGGCGTCTTTCGCAACAGAGTCGCCAGTCTCCAGCCCTGTTCGGATGGTGGAGATGAAGTCCAAACGGAAGTCGTTAGCTGCGTCTTCAACCTCGTCGACGCACCTGACACCACCTCCTCGCGGGAGGCCAATCAAGACTAACCATGACGCGAATATGATCAGCAGTCTTCGCGACAGCTCAGTCAGTGATACTGAAGGCTTCAACTTCCCCACCGCTCGAGGTTCGCTACCGCACCGCATTGCCACACCCGTCAGCTTTTCGCCGTTAGACCCTTTTCCTCCCATGTCGCCCTCGCACACCGTCAGCGTCGCTTCTCCGACAACCATCGGCCATGTCTCACCACTTCCCTCGCCAATCACGCCCGGTCCTCGTCTCGGCGAAACCCGGGATACCGTGAAGATCGCCAGCAGTGATACCAGTGCCGACGGCGAAGAGGTTGTCGTGCTTGACACTGACCTGCCAGTACACATCATCAAGGCTGCGAGGTCTTTTGAACCTATGGAGCCCAGCCACCAGCGATGCCGCACAGCGTCGTCTGACGCAGATATGGCCTTTCCGGTTCCTCCCTCGTTTTCTGCGAAAGACTTTGCTGCAGTGTCCGAAGCTAGCGTCTCATCGCGGGCGCCGAGTATGGTCGAACCTACGATTCCGCTGCCAGCTCTGCCAGAGCGTGGCGGCAAGCGTAGGAGTGCAATGGCCCATGCACTTGAGCAATACAACAGGCAGAGCGTTGCGAGTAATGCTTCCTCGCACTCAAATACGTCAAGCTTGAATGCACCGAGTTTGTTGACTGGGCGTGAGCGCTCCAGGCATGCAAGTCGCGGCAGTAGTGCGGCCAGCATGACACGCAGCAAGGCGAGGAACAGTGTCAGCGACGATGTGCTTGCAGCTTGGGGCAGCCTTGGAGGCACCTACTGAGACTGCATCGTTGCTATGTCCCAAACATAAATGATCTAGATGCGCATGTTTTCACGATATCAGGCGGCATCCTCCCGACGTCCTTCGCTTCTTTTCGATCTAGCAGTTCGATTTCCATCGTTCTCCGCTACATCTTGTATTATATCTCTATTCTTTCCTTTGCGATTCTGAAGGTCATTCTGTAAGTCGCAGCGCGCGCAACGAGTCTCATTTCGGCATCCCTTGTATCTATTGACACGCACGGCATGTTCTCTATGTCCTTAGTGCCCTCTACCTCGGTATGATTATAGTCTTATTGTGTAAACAATGAATCCTGCCCGGCCCATCAAAGCCGTGGAACATTGACATCAATCTCAAGTCCACTTCGCGTGTCCCACTCGCAATCTAGATGCATCGCTACGACACTCGCCAGCCTTCCCTCGAAATCGTTCTCGCGTGTTCACATCTCGTTGCCAGGGTCCACCACCAAAGCCGTGCAACATTGGCTCGCGTGTCAATGCAACGACCTGCATATGCACGGCCGGGGGCCTTTGGGATCCACGACCGACATGGCACTTCGCATTGCTTCTCGTCGGGCGACCGACGTCGACGGTCAAAGCGCGTGCCGCCGTCGTCCGGCCCTCGGCGCCTCGAGTAAGGGGCTCCAGCGCACTTTCCCGACCACGACTGCGCCACGAGGTGTCCACTCCAGCGGGTCCTCGTCGCCGTGCAAACACACCTGTATCTACGTCCGCGTTCTCACGCAGCGAAGGATGCGGTGCGGCGCCGCCCGCTGGCCGCCTCGGATATTGAGGCGGTGCTGCGTCTGCTCTGGGTCGTGGGCGGGGTCGAGATTGCAGTGCGCTGCGGACCCGGTACAATAGGTACGGATGGGTGCTAGTGGCCGTTGGGGTGGAGATGGAGAGCCTGGTGGTCGCTCGGAGGGGGAGGTGGGCTGGATTGGGGAGATGGCGAGGCTGGGCTGCGGTCGTGCAACGAAAACGTGGAAGTGCCTGTGCGGTACGAGATTGGCTCGTTGCACATCGGTCTTCGATAGTCTTCGATGGGGTTTCTGCTGACGAGTAAAACATGCGTATGCTTCGGTTAGGTGTTGTTCGTCACGAGGTTTATCCCTCGCGATCTGTGGATTCACATCCATGACCTCCATTGCAACGATCCCATCTACGGCGCAGCACAACCATGTGGGCCGTCCCTCGATCTCCGAATCCCTCAGACGAACAAATCGAGCAGGCAAAGCCAGGATCAAGTTGCGAACACTGCCGTCTTCGTAATCGGACTTTGTAATCAGAAGCAACATCACGCTGTTGCCGTAGCACTGCTACCTACTAACCCGATCATGCCTTTCTCGCAATCGAAATGATCCCTCGCCTCCGAGTCAAGCGTCTCGAACACCTCCTGCATCGCGAGAGTCAGGCCGCGTTGCTTCAAACTTCGCAGCTCCTGCGTCGACGTTTCCAAGCCGTTATATCTACTTAAAAAGCCACCAGTTTGACCACCGCACCAGCGGGCTGCAGGTTTTCGGAACGGGCGAGCGTGAGGAAACACAGTGGCTGCGGATACAGCGCGCGCCGCTGTGCTGTCCGAGCCTGACCGTGCTATCACGACTGTTCGACCAGCGAGATGCGTAGCGTACGTGCGGCCAGCGATGGCTGCTTCGATCTGGCAGGTTGTTCAGCGACGGGGCCTGCTCGACGTGGACTCTAACACTGACTTTGCCTGCCTCGTTACCTTTCGCGTTCGGACGCGAGCCAGGTCGCTTTTGGTCTCGCAACTCATCTCAACGACACAGGTTGACAGTACACTTCCAAACGCTGCACATGGATGCTGTTGGTAGCGGGTGTTACTGCACCCGCGTTTCCGTGGGCGCATCTGCGCTCAGGGCTCCGAGGTGGACGTTTTTGGTCCGAAGGGCGGGTGGACAATTCGGAGCACGGTCTGGAGGGATGCAGAGCTGTTGGCGGGTAGATGGTCGATGAGATGTCGGCTTACTTCGACGGTATTGGATCCTGCTTAGCAAGGACAGCACCGGGAGCGGGCGTACCCATATCTAAGAACAAATATGTGATTCGATACGAGGGAAAATACTCTCACGGGTGACGTTGGCATAAACTTCGTCTAGCTGTAGACTCGCTGATAATACCGTCTTGGCATACAGGCCTTCATATTTCAGCCCAGTGTGATCATTACTGCGGATAGGGAAAGAAACGTACCCTATTCCGGAGCTATCTCCACGGTGCGTAGAACATCTTAAGGTTCATCCCAACAACTTTCAGTTTTTTGAGTTGGGGCTAAGCAATTCAATCAAACTAACGTAAATGTCCGGTCCAACAAGGACCCAATATTGTGTAAAAGTGGTGGAATGCATTGCATTAAGAAATGATAGAACACATACGTAACGCTGATAGACACTAACCAAGCGACGCCACCAACGCCTTTTGCTTCCAAGACCCCTAATTATAATGCGAGTAACAATGAATAGACAAGAAATTTTCGTTGGCCAATACCGCCAGAGAGGCCAGCATCAAGAGGAAACGCAAGAATTGCAATGTCATTTACATCCGTACCACGGCTGCAATGGCTACGCTAACAGCAGCGTAAAGCCAGGCGCTGTCGAAACTGAGCGCAGCCGACCCGCTTGTTCTGCGCAGCACACCGCAGCACGAGTCGCGGTTGTACGAGACACCGTTGGCCGTCGCCGCAACTTGAAAGACAGATCCGTTAAAGTTGCCAAAGTTGTAGTAGTCAACCATCAGCCAGTTTGGTGGACGGCCCCACAGTTCCTGACAGCCTTGGATGTTCAGTCCCACGCTGCCGTTGCCAGAATCAGCGTTGATCTGATCCAGAAGACCATAAGCTGGTACGAGGATGCTTGTTCCTCCGATGGCAATCTCGACATTGAGATTGTGGTTGAGCAGGTACATGCGATTGCGTGAAACTTCTTCGGCTTGGTTTGGCGGCCGTTCTTGAGTGCAGGGGAAGGACGGATCGGTTGGGGAGAATGGCGTTTCCCACTGGTATTCGAACTCACTGAGGAGCCATGGAACAGCGTCCTGATCGGCATTGTAATCGATCATCACAACTACGCGCTCCTTTCTGAGGATCATTTCAGCTAGTGTAGGCCATTCAGTCAAATTCAGATTCCTAGCAGATGGTGTCCAAACGTAATCCAGGATCCCTGAGTTTTGGAAGGGTTCTACATAGTCTGTGGCCGCATTTCTCGTTGTTTGGCCGTTGTTGTTGCCCATCAAAATTGCAATGACTTCGTACGGATGATCATCGAGCCACCCTTTCACGGTTGTGAGATAGGATTCCAGGGTTCCGGCATCAAGGAGGTCACAAGATGTGTGGCAAAGTCGGATTGCGCTCGAAGCGTTTGGTTTCTGTGTTTCAAATGATACTAAGTTTAAAGTCAGCGGTGCAATACCAGTACTACTTGTGAATAGACACGTACACCCTCGAATGCCGTCGTTGAGCTGGGTTTCGACCTCCAGCACCTGGTTACTGGCAGCGTTACGCGGCCTTACGAATGGGCTGTTGTGAGCCATAACCATAGAGATGTTTGAGAAGCGCCTGTTGCAGAATTCTGGATGTCCATTACAGGGTGTAGTGTTCTGCGTCGGGCGTGGGCGAGCTGCTGTGGATGATGTCGCGGTGCCGTTCACGGATGCAGTTGGAGCAACGCCTGTGATGCCAATGACTTCCTCTGTCGTTGAAGACCGGAGGGCCGATGTACTAGCATTTCGCGGCACTGATACAGATGTGAATGATGAAGATGCGGGGGTTATTTCGGTTACGAGACTGCTAGGTATTGGCGTTACGGAGAGCGATGATAGGATCGAGGAAAGTTGTGCGGATACACATGGCGACAAAAGGGTCCAGAAGAGTAGTTGCATCGGAGGGGGAAACATGAGGGTTGCTAAAATGAATGGCAAGCTCGCTGAGCGCTCAAGTACGGGCGTTTGGTCGGTATGTACCTATATCGGAGGTTTCGATGACAGACTTGAGGTTGCAGACAGCGCCTCAGACATTCTTCTGCAGTTTCTAGCGTCCGTTGATGGCAGGCGCGATGACGGCATGCCGGGCGACGCGTTGACCCCGGATCGCTGGGAAGCGCTATTGAGGGTTGGCGTGAAAACCTCATCGTCTTGGGCGCTGGTCGGGTTCTGGAACCTTTCAAGCGTGTAATTGGCTCAGGATGGACCGCCTGAAGTAATATCCAAGACCGATAACTCGCGTTAAACTCAGCGTTGTTTCCGGCATCCGCCTCGGCTTGGACGGGTTACATATGACGCAACCAATTTGCAAAATGGTGACCCCAACCTCGCTGCTCCAGGAGCGCACTCAGAGCTATACTCGCGTTCAAGCGCAACAGAGCTCGAGATGGGTAGGAATGGCAGACTCCTCGCGTATGTGTATGAATTATGCGCTAATGACGTCTCACCCCAGGGCACATCAGTGGGGCATGGACCGAGCCGTCGAATGCCTTGCGGCAGCGAGTCATGTGTTGCCCTCCATTACCTTGGTACATATCACGATGTCTGACCAAAGATTTTGTTACCTGTAGCAGCTGCAGCAAACCCTCCCCCCTAACGTCCCTCGTCTCGCGGCAGGCTCTTGACCATCTTCTTCACTCCCCTCTCAGCAAATTGCAGACTCCTTTTCAGCTCGTAGCTGAGCTCCAGCTTCCCGACTACCTCCATCGTCTCGTCCTCGTGTTCCACATCATCGGCGTCAACATCTGCACCAAGCACCCTCTTCACGTTTCTGACTGCGGTCTCGGCCCCAAATCTAAGCAGCCTCTCAGTTTTTGCGACGTCCCCAACCCAAGCCTCTGCAATACCTTCATGCTCTGAGTCGTGCATGCCCGTGATCACCTTGTCTAGTTTGTCATACTCGCTAACAAGATATTCTGAGGCTCTGAGGATGCGAGCGACGGTTTTGAACACGGCGTTGCGGGCGATCTTTGTGTTGCCGAGAGTAGGAGGGGCGCCATGCACGTTGCGATTCGGGGTCTGGAGGGCGTCGAGGATGGCTTTTGTGAGCTCATTGCGGCGGCGAATGGAAGTAATTTCGCTACAGAATTGAGAATGGTGAGCCTTATGGAAACAACACAAATCGAGGACTTACGCCTGTTGCGCTCGCTTCTCAAGCAACTGCTTCAGCTCTTGTTGATCGGCCGCCCGTTTCGCGTCGAACTCATGCAGTTCTTTATAATTCGTCTTAGGTGTCTGCAGAAGTGAGTTCAACACAGATATGTGTCTAAGGGAAACCATCAGTGGATCTTCACGCCGACGAGTTCGCACTTATCTTACTGGCTTCTGTCGCCGTTCACATCAGAGCTGTCGCTCTTGTCTGGAGGCTGCACTGCGGAATGAGTGCTCCGACGTGCCATAGTTGTGTGTAAATTCAAGCGTGAGTTGTTTGACGTTTCGCGGTCATACGATTGACAATGTGGGGCGTAAGGTGGTGAGGTGAGTGCTGTATGAATTGATTTAAGAAGGCACGATCGCTCCACACAGTGCACTGAGCCTCCGCGGTTTGTTGCAAGAAGCATTCTCATTTTTGTTAAAATAAAGGCCTAGGTCAAATATAGCTAACTATGGAATCCATGTTGGACGTTCATAATCTGTAATGCATGAAAGAAAGAGAGACCGTCGTCCTGCCGATCGAATGAAAGGGGATTTAGGATAAAAAATCAAGTTAAGAGTAGTGTGCAGCCATTTTGTAATCCGTCCGTGTGTCCTGTTCGAAAAATGTAGCAGTCTCATAGCTGCCATCGTGTCCCCGAAGCTTGACTGAAGTCGTCTACTGTCGAACACTGCCGACTAAAGTATCGATAATCGAAAAATCATGCAAAGTATTGTCGAGTAATATGAAAACGCGTGTGCAGATGCACTCGTGTGGCTGTCGTCTCGTGATCTATAATAGCAGTTCTTAGACTGCGGTAATATGTTTGGAAAGGCCGTTGAACAGGTGCCCAAGCTTGCCCGTCTACTTGCTAGCAAGAGACACGTTCTGCATGCTCGTAACGAGGGCAGACTCATTGCCGTTGTTGGAAGCGTTGGTCTGAGTGGCAAGGCCACTGCCAGATTTTCCGTTGCTCGCACCCGAAGTGGCTTGTTGGCCATAGTTGGATCCACCAGTGGGCGTGTAAGGGCTAGCAGTTGGGTAGCCACGGTTGTAGGCTGACTGAGCACCGTAACCAGATCCGGGTGGATAGTAAGCACCGTAGTTCATAGGACTGCCGCTGGCGGTCACGTTCGGGTATCCTCCGGCATAGGCGTTGTAGCCACCGTACATCTGCTGTGAGAACTGCTGTCCTTGTGCCCAGGGAGGCATGCCGTAGGCGGTTTGTGGGGTGTAAGATGGGAGCTGGTGAGAGAATGCGTACTGTCCATCGTCGTAGTTGGTCTGGGGCGCATTGTTGCGGTTGCGGCCTGAGAAGGGTCAGCTAGTGTTGCGCGTATTGAACCACATCACAACTTACTATAGTGTTCATTAGAACGATGGTTGCTATTGCCGAAGCCAGGTCCTACGGGCAAGGGCGAGTTTGCGTTGCCTGGATTGATGATTGCACCGGGACCTATAGCAGAGGGTGGCGGGATCTGCATTATCCCAGCCGGGTTTACAACCGATGCTGGGTTAACGGCCGACATCCAGATGCGGACCTTGTATTGCTTGAACAGATCGGTGACGAGGTCGTTGAAATTGACGTAAGACTCTGCGTAGTAGAAGTAGGTCAGTTTGTGGTAATCGCTGCGATCGTTAGCTGCTTTGACCAAACATGTATGCGGCGTCACTTACGCTTGATACTCGGCATCAAGGACTTCCATAGGCAGCTTGTGGTCAGCGGCCTTCTGAGCTCCAAGACGCTTAGCTTTCGCTTCGGAACCCTCCTTGTCGCGCAGAGCGAAGATTTCATGCTGCTGAGCAAGGCGTTTAATCATCTTGGGCTTAGCATCTTGATCTTGATTGCCAATCATGCCGGTCATTTGAGGCTGGTTCGGGTTGTTGGACAGACCGTTTGCGCGCGCCAGGGCTCCCAGCATGCCGGAGTCATTCTGGGTCCCTGCGAGCGAGTACTGGGAGAACATGACGAGCCAGCGGAAGTGCTCCTCATTAGCTTCGGCTTTGAACTTCTTAGCATCTTCGAGGCTAACGTCTGCATGTGCCACCTGACCAAGGTCACAACCGCGATCGCCCTCGACGATGACCAAGTCACCTCGGCGGATCTCAAGACCGGTGTTATCGTAGAGATAGTAGATGTCGGCTCTGGAGCACTTGAAGGTAACCACAAACAAGCGCCGACCGGGGCGCCCCAAAACGGGCGGAACGGCATACGGGTTAGTTGTATTCATGTTTGCATTCGCTGCCGTGCTGATGGTTGTGTTGGAAACAACGGGATCCGGGTGAGCGGCGGAGATCGCAGAGGCATTGATAGCGCGAGACGCAGGACCGTAACCCGCAAAGTATGCGGAGTGATCGAACCGATCTGGCTCATCAGGTGAGTGAGAGGCTTGGCGAGGAGACATAAGGCTCTCATCTTCTTCCTGGGTGTTGCTCAAGGCAGTCGAAAGAGGCATACTCTGATTGAACCCCCCATAGTGTGCAAAGGAGTGCCTACGACCCATTGCATCCATACCAAGGCTGTGAATGTTGCCAGTAGCCCACTGCTGCTTCTTTGGGCTGTCCGTGGTCTCTTGCTCAGGCTCACGGCTGAGAACGGAGACGTGCTCGCTGAAGCGACGAGTCAACGAAGATGGAGTCAAAGCGTGGCCAACTGCGTCGTTGTCTTCGTGCTCTTCGATTGCGTAGTCAGCGGTGCTTCCATAGGACATTCCTCGAAGGCCAGCGGTGGTCTTGCGACGCTGTGGAGGGGGAGGGTGCTGGTGAACAGGCGAGCTTGTCGACGTAGCGCGGTTACGTGCACGTGCGCTCTCCATGGCTGCCTGTTTGAGCAGAGCTTGTGTTTGCTCGCGTTCCCAATAACCTTGTGGAAGGCGCACACCGTGATCAGAGCTATGCACTGATTCAAGTTCGTCGATGTCGTCCTCACGGAGCTGAGACAGACCGATACCAGAGTCACCAAGTAGGCTGGGCTTGGAAGGGCGGTGGCGTACACCTGCTGTTGAGCGCACACGTGCTGAAAACTGGCCGACAGGACTGCTCTCTAGGTCACCCTGCCCGATGCTATAGGACTGTGAGCGTACGGCCTTGCGCATGGGATTTTGCTGACTGAGGAGAAAGCCAATGCTCTCTTCGCTGTCAGGTGCAGCCGGTGAAGGTGAGGGCTTGTCACCGGGAAAGTGGGCTGATGTGGGTGACGGCACAATTTCCTTCAGCCGGCTGTTCGCCTGTGAACTGCTGAAGCTGGAGGTGTTCCAGGGAAATGCAGACGTCCCGCTGCGAGTCTGGCTTGGTAGCTCGCTTGATGGAGTTGCAGGTTGAGAGCCGGCGAATGAGGCAGAGGGTAGGGAGAACTTGCGATTTGGCTGGATGTCTTGCAGCCAACCCGAGGAGGGGCGGCGGCCACCAGGGTAGCCCCCAGTTGGGCGAACAACAGTGGGCACGTGCTCACGGTCGTCATCGCTCGACGCCAGAACATCACTGTCTGGGGTTGGCCTGCGTAGCTGCAATTTGGACTTGTCGAGAGCAGAGCCTCCAACTGAGAGGTTGCCCTTGTAAGTAGACGAGGCCATTTTGGTCGTGTCTTGAGTCTTCCATTATGTTAGTAGAGCATCTGTAAAGCATGCAACAGGATCAACGTACCTTGATATAGGATGAAGAATCTAGCTGGATCTTGACTGTGTTTCTTTCTCAGTATCGGCGAAAGTTGAGTCGAAGCTCTTGTAGATTGAGGCAGTGGAAATCTAGGGAAACTGAAAAAGCGAGACGTCAGTATGATTCGTAGCCAACATGTGAGTGTTCCGGGGATATTCAAGCAGTAACGCTAGCTATTGAAATGGGGCTATCACTGGTAGTCACATTGACTGCCCAGCAGACGCTGAGTGGGTGCAGCCGTGGAGCAGAGAGTATCTTACAACGACCAGGGGCTTGCAGTTGCCAGGGGAAGCTTGCAGGTTGCGAGATGGTGAAGTAGACTTGCAAAGTCGGACTGATTACTTACAGAAGTTTGGAGCAGTGGTGTACTGCGCGCTGGCTGACAGCTTGATGGTGGTGGGGGTTGGAGGAGAGGAGAGATGAGGGAGGAGATGAGGGGTGCGTGCGGAAGCTTGAGGCAGAAGGAATGACAATGCTGGCAATAGTGGGGACGGTCAGATGACAGATCTGTGTCGTTCGTTGCTGATTCGGAGGCAGGAGCGGTTGTCGCTGGAGGGGTACGAGGTATTACTGTCAACCAGGTATCATCTTAGCAAAGTACGTGAGAAACGAGATTGATCGAAGAGGATGAGAAATAGCAGAACTATGTCATCTTGATCCAGTGCTGCGTGAGACCATGGCTTTTCCTTGCTCTTTGCCGTGCTCGTCCATGCTTGCTGCCCGCGGAACCTTTTTGGCGTGCAGCTTTGCAGACCGACCACACCCCTCACAACACAGCACCACAGCGCGAGATAGGCGCCGACAACGTTTCCAGAAGTCTGAGAGGCCTTCCTATCTTCGCCCAGTACGGTTCTGAGTGGGATCTCAGCCGCTAATTCATGTTGCGGCACATCGCAGGTCTCCGCGCAAAGCCCTTTGCACGCCATCTCATTCCTCCCGAGCACCCGCTTGCCAAGACAGCACACACGGATAGGAACAACTTGACAGTTGAGAAAGGAGCGGTAATGATCGTGTGGAAGCACAGATGAGAGAGAGCTTGCTTACCTAGATAATAGAAGAGTGTCTACCAAAATTACGCAACGGCGGGGTATCGATGTAACGCACGATCTATCAAATGGCGCGGGAGTATATTCTGTACGCTTGTCAGTACCTCAAGCTAAAGCTACCGCAGCATACACAGTACGAGGCTGCAGGGCAAGGCTGCAATCCGCTGCCACACCATCGGCGTAGCAAACAGCGGAAACGCACAGGTACGAGACTTACCAGACAATCTATACCACGACGGCACTTAAATCTAAGCAATCAGACCGATCTGAAAGGTGACTAGGTCACAGTAAGCTTCGATTCACGTGTAGCAAGGTGCCAGAGTCCGGGTGGCGACAGCATACCTCAAAAAAGTACACGAACGAGCGCCAAACCCTTGCCCAGTCTATCCCTACTTTTTCTTGCGGAGAACCTTGGAAGACGGAACGATACTCTATGGCATCAGCCGCTGCATGAGATTATACAAGCCTGCGATCGGCGAGGAAGCTTTGCAGCTGAAGAATGTGGGGAAGCGCCACGTTCTAACCCAAGGCTGCCCAGTCTGCGGACCGGTGGTTGAAGAAGGAACACGCGACCACTAAAGCGGGCACATCATCGCCCTGTGCCTCGTGCGAAAGAGGAAGACAATATAAACCGCGGGATTCGACGTGCACAGTGGCCAGACTGGCGACAGGAGGTCCTCTTCTTGGCACTGGTTCGAAACGGTTGAGATCGGAGCTGCGGCCAGACACCCTAAACTTCCCTGAGCTTTGGCGGATCAGGAGACAGGTCGATGTCGGCAGTAGCGCGATCAGCGTGTGGCGATACTTAGGGCAGACGAGAAGATGGGTCCGGGTTGATGAGGAGACGTCTTCGGAGTAAGACACTTGTTACAAAGGAGCGGGCAGAAGTCAGAAACACGAAGACATTCAACGCCTTTGAGGCTTCTGCAAGCTCGCACGGCTGGCTCAAGGATCAGGGGCTCTGGGTGGCAGATGCGCGACGAAATGCGGAGACGGCCAGACCGACTGAGGCTAGCCCTGCGTCGTTCAGGCGAACACCTGCAAATTGCAGCGCTGTTGGGGGGTAGCGAGGCCGCGGGACAAGGAGTTGCCATCGAATCATCGGTCCCTTGTCCCACGTCCCGCAGCACCCCTCAGCACCTCGTCTTCTTCGTCTCTATCAAAAGGTCATCAATTCCGTCCTGTCGATTGGCGCGAAGCGGACCAGCTCTGTCGCATGGATAGGGTCAATTGACACAACCCCTCTCTCGTCCCATCCAGGCTCTGATGACCCCAGCGAATGACATTTCTTTCATTGAAAGGCTTCACATCGCTGCACGCCGTTCTCCTTCGCTTCAAGCGCCATCGTTCACGGCCCCCGCTCAGCTTATGCGGTAGCAGTGGAGATCCAAACAAGGAAGCCCGCCAACACTGGAACGGAAGGAACAATGTCACGCGCCATGCGCTCGACCTAGTACGGACACCAGGGACCTTAGCCCTCGATGCTGTTCGATGCCGCTCCTCGTTTGCATCGCTCCGCGAAATCCGGTAAATTATTACGCGTAGCTCTGGTATCGTTTCATTCGGCGATGCAAGCCTGAACGGTGCCTGAATCTAGCACCGGCCGATGATACACATCAAGGATCCTGAAGATGCTTGGCGAGAGGTTCACAATTTGTGATTCTTTGAGTGTCACAATGTACCCTCGCGCTGGTGTCGAGCACATGAGCACGACATTTTCGTGTCTGCTGGATGTAATTCCCTTCTTGGCTTTTGCCATTTGAAGTTCGGCAGATCACCTGTTGGCCGGAATGTCGTCGACCCCGCATTTTCCAGAGACGCGTCGAGTTTCAATGTCCACACCTAAGCTTCTCGATCAGGTCCAGTGAGCAGTGTGCCCGCTCGGGTGGCTGACGCCCATCGACACGGACCGTATCGAACGACGATTGGGCTCTTCGCCCGAACCATCTCGCTTGTATCTGTTCCGATTCTGCGCCCAAGAGCAGAATGACAATCCATGGTGTGAGAATCCATTCCTCATGATAACGACTGTTATTGGCGACTTTCCGCAAAGTGTAGTCGCGTAGTCCCGTTTGTGGTCGCCGGAGCGGTTGTTCTTTCATTCATTGAGAGCTGCCCTGATCTGCAGGCTGCAAAGTTTAAGTCGGGATCCTAATACCCATTGGAATCCTTGCTGTATTTCGAGAGCTGCAGCAATAGTACCAGAAGAGTAGCACTGCCCGTGTCCATTTGTTTTGCCTCTGTTTTGAGTCCGGTATGATCTCGCAGACAACAACTCAAGCTCGTCATTGGTCACCAAGGTATTGGATAACTTGGGTAAGGACTGCATGAGTGTTCTCTTCAAGATCGATTGTAAACCCATTGACGGGGCGGCTGTTGATCGCAGGCGCCGTTGTGCGTCCAGAAAGAGGAGCTGCATTGTTGTGGCCGGCGGGGCTGGGTACGCTATCAAGACGCGTTCGAGAAGGGGGCAGCCTACTCGTTGGTATCAGGATATACCTAGACGGCTAGGTTCGCGGCGGAGCAGACGTAAGGTTCGACCGGGTGCTTCGAGATCGAGATGTCGATGAAGGGGCTGTGACTCGAATGGTGATTTGCCATAGCCGTGAACACTTGCCAGGTCAAGGTGCGACTGAAGCGGCTTCATGGCAGCCTCCGAAGGCGGTCAGAGGTGTCTAGTATGCAGTGTGGAGGTAGAGCGGAAGAGGAGGAGGAGGAAGAGGGAGAGGAAGAAGATGCAGGTGCTTCGAGCTTGAACAACAACATCGTTGTGCACCCCCACAAGAACGAACGCCGCACCTCAAGAGGATCCAGGACTCAAAACACTCGAACATATCATGAGACCGGGTGAGTAAGGCTCTGCTCAGTGCCCAAGGTCATTCTCAAATCCGAACGCTCGTGGCCTATATGTCCCATGGCATGCTATCGAGTCGCGGCCTTCGCGGCAGCTAACAACGGCGCTCTCCTCTTTCACACAACATTCAAACACGCAGCCCCTCTCTGCACATCACGTGTGCCTCGCTTCCTTGACCTTCGGCGAGAAAATTTGCGCAGCGTGCGCCCAGCTCAACGGCCACACTTGTCTCGCACAAAGGACTCACTCACCCCAACAGACTCGATCATAAGCCTATACATTACTGCAGTGTCTACTGCTCCTTTGTAGCGCTTACCTGCTCTCCACTACGCGCAAAGTTTCTGCGACGAACTACCATCGGCCCTCGCCCGGACATTGAACGCAGGCGCTGCCCGCTGTTGGTCCCTAGGTCTTCGTGCACTCCACTGCGAATATACAAACCAATGCGACACATGGAGTATTCATACCATTGTCCACAGTTTCACAGAATCGCAGCATCGCAGCAGAACGACCTTGGTGCATCTTCATGGATCCCCACAACAGGCTTTCCGTATTACACGAGTAAGGCGAGCATCCAACGAGAACTTGTTAATGTGATAGATGTTATCAGAATGCACAGAGTGAAGCTCGAACGTGTTTTCGATACGGTTGTATGTGTCATGTGTTGCTTGATACGCGCTCGTATCCTCCCCGACCGACTTCACTTCAATTATCACACACAAACCTACAGTAGGCCTTGGTAAGGATCCATGACTTTGCGTAGTACTAGAGAGTTCACGCAACGTACCGATGCTGCTCGCTCCAAGCGTCTCTTGCTCCAGGCCACTTTTCCGTCCACAGCACGCGCAATTTTGCCAATTCAAGACCTCTCAAGCAGCATAAGTCTTGATTAGAAGACCTGGCAACCAGCAATGAGCATAACGAAGATTCTATACATACCAGTGGCGTATTGGGGATCAATCAGGGCTTTGACACCATACCTGAATGCGTCCGCGAAGTACCTGGCTTTGGCAAAAAACCTAGCATCCATATCACATACGACTTTCATGCATGCTCTCAAGGCCCCCACATTGGCATGAGAGCGTGTAAGTGAGCTGCTTGCAGTTATCGCAATGTCGGAGAACAAGTCGCGACGCGATCCTCTTGTCTTGACAAAGATGGTTCGCTCGCGCCCCGCCTTGAAAAGTCGCTTAGACTGAGACTCATGTCTTCGCAATACAGATACGGGCAGGACATACCTAGCACAATCATAGAGTCGTTGCATATCCTTCGACGTAAATGCACTGTGGGCAGATGGACATATTGCAGCCGTAGCCCCCTGTAAGAACGCCACAACATGCCCCTTGAAGCTAGCAGACCCTGACACTGTTCACGATCTGAGACGTCATGGGCGCACAGTGATCCCTCAGCCCTAAAGCCGAACCGTGCTCAACGCTACAAGTTGCGCGACGGTTTTTATCCACGGCCGATGTGGTGACGATCACGAAGATCTAGAATCATCACTTTGATGAAACCCATACTCAACGATATATTCGCCCCTGAAAACCCCAGGATATGCCATGCTTCACCAAAGTTTTGAAACATTGAAAGTTGTCATACAATGGTAAGACAGCTCATCTGACGTAGGCGCTTGCAGCAGCCTAGTCGGAGAAAAGATTCTTAGCTGGCGTTGTGATGCGAGCGAAGGCCTCGTTCTTAGGCTGCGGCAGGGCTGCTAAGGCTACCAATCCCTGCATCAGTAGTCGCCGAGTGTCAAGTTGTCAACACAACCACGCATTTGCTACATATGCACCAGCCACCAGGAGGTGGAGGACAGGGGTTCAGTAGCGACAAACTGCTTTTAGAACTCATGCACGGCAGCCATTGCATGTTTTGCGTGGATCATTGGATCGCTGGTCGCGAGACTCGGCACAAGCGCCCTGCAAACCCCGATCCGGGAGCGGCGGCTCATCTGTGACGTACTCCAGCCAGTCGTTCTCTCGATGACGAAGGCAACCGCAACTCCCGCTAGCGTTTATATCTGCAGCGCAGCTCCCCCGGTCGATCGCCTCACACCAGCCTCTTCGATTTACACAGAGCCCCATACTCCGCATCCATTTATCGATTCCCGAAGCATCCGAGACTTTGTTCATTACACAACACAGCCCGATATTCTCAATAACATCTCACAACTCAAAATGGTTTCACGAGTATTGGGTATGGGCCTTCGCGCCTTCCAGGTAGGTGTATTGTCGATTGTATATGATATGGCATGCTAACAACAATAAGCTTATCTGTGCTATCATTGTTACAGCCATGGCTGGCAACAACATTGCACGCGCAACCAACGGAACACACTCGATCATCAACTACACGTTGTTCGTTGGTGTCTGGTGGCTGTTCACACTGCTGTACTTCCTTCCCACCGCGTTCATCGACAAGTTCGCCATTCCCATTGTTGATATGGTCATGGACGGTCTGAGCGTTCTGTTCGGCTTCTGCGCTGCTGTTGCGCTTCCCGCCTACCTAGGAGCTCACAGCTGCTCCAACAGGGTTCGTACTATTCAGCTTGGCTCGTTGTGCAAGCGCTGACAATCGTAGAACTACACGGCTTTCAACGGTGTCACCAACAGCTCGCCTAACCTTGAGCAGAACTGTCGCCAGGCCCAGACCGCCACTGCATTCCTGTGGTTTGGCTGGTTCGCCTTCGTCGCTACACTCGTTTTCTCTGCCATGGCCGGTAAGGGTGGCGCTGTTCGTGGTGGAATCCGCCGTGGCGGCCCCTCTATGAGCCAGGTCTAGGAAGCCAACGCCTGTAACGTCTACTCGGATTCTTCGTGGAATACGCGAACAGACTGCAGCGAGGTTTAGTGTCGGATGGACGCGGAACATGTAATGAGGATGGCAGGTCTGCCCTGTGCTATGTTCTAAGGGGTGTATATGTATTATATTGATGATGGACATGATTTGGCATCGCGCAAGACGCAGATGTGTACGGTTGGATCAGGAACATCCAGAAACATGGGTTACGGTCACGGCGTTCAGCGAACATGGCTGTCTTGATCACTAGGAATTTACGATTTACTTCAATTCCTGACACTTATGTTTGTGATTAGCTTTCCCTCTCCTCAATCAGTATCCAGATTCGATCTGCTCTATTGTGCCGTCATCCATGCATTCACTTGGAATTGTCTGGGCAAAATAAGAATGTCCGTTAAGTGAAATGCATGTGATCGGGGCGGCAAATTTACCTGCCCAGTCGTGTGGACATGATTAGATGGCTGCCGCGATGCCTACGCAAACGACCAACTGAAGTTGAAGGCTGGTGTGGGTTGTTGATGTTCTCTTGGCGGGCCGTGCGGCGCTGTTGTGGTGCGGACGGACGTAAACAACAACCATCGCTCCTGCATTGCTACGATCCCCGGCCGGCCGACGCGCGCATCGCTTGCAGCGCAGCTATTCTTCACTAACACAGCAACAAGTCGACATGATCAGCTAATCCAGGTGCGCTGCTGTTCTTGTTGTACTCTCCGACCCTTCGCGACGCGTACTTCTCGCCTTCGACCGTCCCATCTCGTCGCCGCCGCACACACGAATACGTTCGACATGACGACCGCCCGTAGCAAGGTACCCGCCATTGGGTCAGCGCAATGGATCTTGGAGGAGCGACACCAGTCGAACGATCTTGTCTCACAAGAATTGGAGGATTTTGGCTTTTCTGTGCGCAATGAGCTGGAATGGCTTAATGAGCACATGACGGATGTCTTCGCTGAGGATGGGCAGTATGTCGCACAGTACACAATCGAACCCGACCGCTACTGACATTACGTCAGACATAATCTCGACGTCTTCAAAACACCTGGGAAGTTACGTGGCAAGACACCTCACACAACACGCAAGAGGACGGTTGCGGAGCCTCGACAGGTATGCATCACAAATTCAGGCCAGATCCATCTTCTAACAGCGACCAGCCTCTTGCGAACCTCTTCGCAGCAGACCTTCAGCAGCGCACAACGCCGGCTGAGCAGAGTCTACGAGAGATCGCCCAGAGAAGTACAGCCAAATCAAAATTCCACATCGCTGAAGACAACGAGAACGAAAGCCCTGCCCCATCGCCGAAACCACCGACTCCTGTTGCACGCCAGTTGTTCTCAAAGGCATCGAGCAACGACAGAGAGAATCCGGTTGACAGCTTCGATCATGAGTACTCCGACGAACACTCACCGCCCCAGCCTGCTCCTGCGCAGTGGGCCTCATTTGATACGCAAGACACAGCTTTCAGCTCACAAGCTGATGGTGTCTTCTCTCCGCCACGCACACAAACGACCCAGGCCACACAGTCCTTCAGAAACTCAACGCATGATCTGGATATTGATGAAGTCGGGGAAAAGGACGCGCCAGAGGACTCGTTCGTTTCGGCCTTCGACGCCTTCGGCACCAACAATGCATCCAACGAGAACCTGCGCCAACAAGCAGAGCTGAACGACGCGCTTCTTGATGAAGATTTTGAGGAGGATCTGCGAACAGAAAGCCGTGGCACTGTCGTGCACCACGACCTTGACACTGCAGATGATGAGGACGAATACGACGAGATACAAGGATTCTCACATTTCCCAAAGTGTCCTCGTGTTGTGTCCGACTCCTACAGTATTGGCGCTGAGACACACGAAGCTCTCGATACCGCAAACCAACGAGCTCACGCGCCTGAGCCTAAAATGCTCCTTGACCCTACAGAACACGAGCACTCTCAGACACCAGCCGGCCAACCGCCAACCTCCTTCGAATATGCACCACATAATGAGACTATTGGTCACCACGACGAGGACGATGAAATGGAGGCTGATGATGAGCCCGCGCCATCAGAGCACTCCAGTCCCGTGAAGGCGCTGGTTAGGAAAAGCAGTCTCACGTTTGCCTGTCTACCTGCACGGGAGCCAATTCTTTCGAAGAAGAGTATGGGACGAACAAGTCAAATCAGGCAGACTGGAGGCAAAAGCCTCGGAGCGTCCCAGATTGTGCAGTCCTTGGAGTCGCAACTTGATGGGAATATGGAGATGGATGATGAGCGACCTACTTTACAGCGCGAGGAGTCGGAAACAACGAAAACACACAACAAGACCTCGACACAGCGTTTATTCGAGCGTTTCCAGATGCTCGAGCAGCACGCGCCACCGAAACGCATCAGCCAAAACATCCTATCGCAACCTTCTAGACCTTCAGTCTACCCTGCTGCGGCCTCACAGCAGAAGGAGATCGTTTTGTCCCAGCAGGCGTCGCACTCGCAGCCTTCATACCCCACTCTCCCGGCGGAATCTGAACACGAAGAAGTAGAGGAAGAGGAGGACGACGATTCTTGGATCGCTGCACCGAGCAAGACAACCGCTTCGGCAGCTAATCTTATCAGGCCTCCAATCAATAAGAGCCACACTGTGGCAATCCATCCCTCGCCGCACAAACTGAAGCCATCGCCTATCAAGCTGGTCTCGGCATCTAACCCTGATCTCTCAGCAGCTGCGGACTCGACTACACCGGTCGGCTCCCCAGCTGGTAAGAAATACATGGATGCTCCTCTCAGCGCGTCAAAGGCTAAATTTTACTCAGCTCTTCGTGCCGCGAAGGACAAACTTATTGGCTCTACTGCAGCTAGTGCGCAGGTTAAGCTCGATGCCCTGTCTTCCAGCCCCAAAAGACCAGAGCTGCAAGCTGCTTTCTCAGATGATCTTATGGGTAGCCCAAAGCGCGTCGAAAGACCGATCTCTATCTTCTCTCATATGCGAACGCCATCAAAGGATTCTATCAAGTCCAGCAAATCTACAAAATCCATGAAGACCGACAAGTCCGCCGAGGCCCCAGGCAGTCCCGCTAAAGATCGCAAAACCCGCAGCTCGACTGAGCGTGAGAAGACCAAAGAACGAGAGGCACGCGAGAAGGAGATGTTGCAAAGGCAGAAGAGCGAAGACAAGCTGAAAGAAATGCGCGAGAAGGAACAGACGAAGGCTGCAGCATACCACAAGAAGACGGCATCGGCGACTATCGCGAAGACGCCCTCACAGATGCCATCTCAGACTAGCCTTAAGCCGGCCTCGTCTATCAGCACGGTACCCAAGCCAGCGTCACGACCTGATTCCGTGCGCCTCAACTCGGCACCGAAGGATCAGAACACCGATTCGGCTGACGAGATGCCACCGCCCCCTCCACCGAAAAGCTTGCTTCCCACCTTCCCAACAACCAAGGTCAGACCGCCTAAGAAGCTTGTCAAGCCAAATAGTAAAGATGCGCTTCTCAAGCCACAGGAGCCGCAGAAGATCTTTATCAAAAACCAATACACTCGAGCACCACCGCCAGCGGCCCGTCCTGCCCCCATCTCATCAAAGTCGACTGGTTCGTCGACTCTTGGGAAGTCTTCCTCATCCAAACCTACTGCAGCTACGCTTTCAAGGCCCGGCACAGCGATGGCCAACAAGGTTGCACCGTCAGCAAAGTCGGCGCCGAACACGCTGAAGGCTCCGCCTCAATCAAAGGCACCGCGACCGCAACTCCAAGCTACTGCGACCTTCGAGAAGCCAAAGCCTCAAGCATCTCAGTCGCGTGCCGATCTCCCAGCTGCCCGAGCCCCCACAACCCTGAGGACTGTTCAGGATGCAAACTCGATTCGCGTACCCCCAGTTAACACAGCTAAGCCTCCCAAGAGAGGTCTTGATAACGATGCCGAAACAATTCAGCGGCCACCCAAACGACCATCTCAGCTGAAGCAGAACCCGATTACTCCCGGACATCCATCACAGTATGCCAAGGGCAAAATCCCCGGTCTTGATTCTGCCAAAGCATCGCACTCAAAGCCGATTCAACCGTCTATGCAATATCCCAATGGCGACGATATCAAACTTCCCGAGATCATGACCGACAGTGAAGATGAAGACTCAGACAATGAGTTTGAGCAGCCCTCGTGGGTCAATACACCCAACTTGCGGGAGATGTTATCCACACAGCAGCTCATGGACCCCGAGGCAATTTTTGGCCCCATTGCTCCGTTGAACATGGAACAAGTATTCCCGAACAAGGAACGGCACAAGCGATTCCGTGAAAGAACTTCAAGTGCATACTGGGTTCACGATCAGGTCACAGAAGAGGAGAAGAAGAAGGAAAGAGAGGCAAGGGAGAGATTGGTGCGCGAGGGCGCATGGACGTACAATCCGTCTCCCAGGCCCACACCAAGGGCTGGACCAAGTCACTAGGAGTGTCTAGATAAGACACGCTTGTAGATATGATGTTACAGTTGGCGTCGGGGATGCTGCCGACTCTCTGCAGCCCAGTTCCGTTGTTTCAATTCCGGCGTTCCTGCATACAGCATCAACCTGCCTAATGGTTGCTTACGACGGCGTTTTGTTATTTTCGCATAGACTTTCCTATGGAAAGTGGCATTCAAATGAAAGATTATATTCCAACTCTTGAGTCTACGTCTTGCTTTGAGCTTGTTCGGTTTGATGTTTCTGTCGATCTTCGGTAGGTGGTGTTCACACATCGAAAGTATGGGTGGTTGAGGAGGGGTTGGCTGCTGTACCACGTTCGTTGCGATTAGCACTTCGGTAAGGGGATCTCACTTTTAGAAAACCTTGGGACTGAACATTAGGATGATCCAAGAAAGATATGGATTACGCATACATAAAGCTCTCAATCAAGCACGGCGTTTTGGTGAACAGTCCATATAACACCAACAACATCCTGACCGACCACTCAAGCACAAGAGTTCAGAGACCATTGCAGCAACCCTTTGCACTCGCAATCCTACCCAAGCTACTCTTACCACATCAAGAAGTCTACAAAAGGTCAAGATGGCTACTAAGAACTCCTACGTCTCATGGGGAGACAAAAACTGGAACAATCCTCGGATTTATGACACCGTTCTCCCTGTACTTACTGAAGCTCAGCGACAGGAAGCTCCCAGAAACGCTACACCTGCACAGAGGGACCAAGAAGCTCAATTGCTACACCACTCGAATTCACATTCAAGCGTGAGCTCCTTATATGCCAACCCACCATCTCCAGCTGTAAGTCTAAGTTCGAGAAGTGGTGAGAACTACACATTCCATCGAGACGCCAACCTACAGTATCACGGTGCCTATCCTATGGTTTTGGGCTACAGGTATGGGCATTCTGTGAATCCCAGGACACCGCCACCCACCCTTCACACCATGGATCGGCAGTATTACCAGCGTCCATCGAGATCGACGCACCCCTCACGAGAGCCGATGCCAAAGGCGTTTAAAGTTGTGAGCTCACACCCCGTCGCTCAAATCATGGACCCTGCCGGCTCCTGTATTCCAACTGGAGAGTTGTTTGAGTATCAGTCGGAAGAGAAATGGTCAGGAAGCACAAGGGGAGAGGCGAAAAATCCTCTCACGCAACAACAGTATGAGCACGAGATTGCCAGAGTCGAGGAGACACGAGATATGCTGCTACATGACCCAAGAGTGACCCCACATGTCAAAGATGGATTGCGCCAATTGAACTGTAGGTTCCGGGACACAGCCATACCCGGAAGCCAGATCAAGACGGGAGAAGAGCAGAAGGACTGGTACCTTCCGCACCGTCGTGACACTACCAGTACAACAGAAGCGAGAGAGCATGCAGAAACAGACTCGATCGGCAAGGCCAACAAGCACGCACCGCCTGTCATGCCGAAGACCAGTCACGCAGCCCCAATACGCTTCGTTGATTTCATCCAGCACCAGAACGCCATGCGTACAGCTCGTCTCAGTGCACAGGACGACCAACGCAAGCACGACGAATGGCGAGCAAGACTCGACGAGAAAGACAAGAAGCTCGATGCGGATTGCAAGCGTTTGCACGAAGTCAATCTAAGGAGAGAAGCTACCGCCTCACCAGCAAACAAGACACCATCCAAGACGACGCTGGAATCGATCGATGTCGCGGCGTGCACCGAGACGCCACAGAAGGAGGTCGCTGACATCTCTTACTCGGTGTTCACAGATAAGGCTGAGAGCAACGCAGCAGCAGTGAAGAAGGAGCTCAGATTTGCCAGTCTGCACGCCGAGCTGCCTTCGGACACGAAGCCCAAGACTACGACGGTTGCTGACCCGCGCCGACGTTCTCCTGCCAGGAAGGAGCACGGGGTAAGTCAAGCAGCGACTCCATCTCAACTCTACTCTGACACAGTCCAGCCGGTGAAGATACGGAACCCATCGGTGACCCGGATGCGCGAGACATTGAAGGTGCTGGTCACCAGGAGGACGCCGGTCGCTAAGAAGGGGGTGGATGTGAAATGGACGAGCATCGACTTCAGTGACGACGAGGACTGGGAGAAGGTTGCTCGTGATGAGGGCGCCGAGTGGGAGATACTCGAAAAAGTCTCAGGATAGAATCCGAGCCGATTCTCTCTCACTCGCGTTCTTCGACGAGCAAATCGCGTGGTTAATAGCATCAAGGCCTGGTAGTCTAGTAGATATTACGGTTGTGAATGTAATGCAAGCGTTACCGAGGATTAGATTGTCAATGTACTGCAACACAATGCACTACCGCAGGAACCTAACCACAGCGAATGAACATCCTCTGATATGCCGACAGAGTGGTACACCCATCCACCCTCCGCGCGAGCGAGGTCCACAATACTAACAAGCGAGTGTGCCAGAACACCGGATACCGGCGGTACACTACACAGCCACCCATACTGCCGTACATACATACATAGCACACCCACCCAACGCCCACCAACACAGAACCCGACACCCAACACCCTCTACGTCACCATGCCACCCCCCTCCCTTCCCCTTCCCTACTCACAACCCTCAAACCCTTCTTCCCACGCACCCGCCCAGCGCACACCCCTCCCTCACCACCTCGCCCAAGCCGTGACCAGGCCCAACCCTCCCGGACCCCGAGCGCCCCGAGCCGCCGACGCCCAGCCCTACGCCCACGACAGACGGCACAGTAGAGCCGCGATCCACCGAGCGACCAGGCGGGCGCGCGCGGGGCGGGAGGAGCGATAAGGTTGTCCCTCGGCCACGGAATCCGAGAGTGCCGATGGCAGTAACGTGCTGTTAGCGGCCGGACGCGCGAGTTTCAGGGACGGCGTGTGACGTGGTGTTTTTTCTTGTACGATATTTTGCTAGTCTGGGTTTTGCGTGGGTTCGCGATCGCGCGCGATGGCGGTCATGGCGACTGCTGGAGCGGATCGTGGAGGTTTTTCAAGTTCGGCCGAAGCGGAGGGTCAGGTGTGGCTGCCTACGGGGAGAGTCATGGACGAGAGATGGAAGCAACAGGTTTGAGAAATCGGATTCGATTGGAGCAGTACCGGGTTTGGGTATCGTGAGGATTTGCGTCTAGGAAATTTTGATCGATCTCAAGTAGTGATGTAGAAAGGGAATTTACAAAGGAATGGAACGCCGGGCAGGACTCGCTATCCAGTCCGCAATGCAATGAACTCAAAATATAACTCAAATCTTCTCCTTGCGCCCAAACATGCCTTTCAGGCTGTTCTTCAGTTTCCGTTTGATGCTGGTGCAGTCCTTGTCTTTACTGCCTTTCTTCAGATCCTCCTTGCTCGTGCTGCGATCAGGCTTCTCACTCTCCTGTTTCTTGCCCCTTCCCTCGCTTCGCCCTCGCTTCTTCTCCTCTTTCTTCTTACGCTCGTTCATGACGAACATGCTGGTTGGGCGTCTCTTCAAGCCCGGTCCGTCAGTGACACCTGAGTCCCACATGCCGGCAGTCGTAATAGGGTTGTATGCTGATTGAGTCTTGCGCGTGCGATCTGAGTCTGGAAGTTGCGGTGACGGGAGAAGCATTGGGGAGGTCATTCCATCAGTCGAGGGACGGATCACGTTCGTTGTGGGTATGACAAGTGCTGGCGGCCGGGCAGGGGCTTCTGTTGTGGAGCTCTTGTTTGGTGTTACTTCGACCGGTGTTGCATGTTCGAGCTGCTTGAGAAACTCCCCGCTACGCTTGTCCTCCTTGTCTTCTTCTGTTTCTGAAAGTGTCTCGACTTGGGACGGAATGCCATATCGTTTCTTCATACTGCCACTCAAGCTGTAAAGATTGTGTGTACCAGTCGTGTTGGCACGGCGCGAGCGGGTCTTAATGGCGGGGGACGAAGGTACTACTTTCGCTGACATTGGCGATGCAGGTGCGTCGGTGAAGCTGGAGTGACGGTTCAGTCGCTGCGAAGTATGTCGAAGCAGCTTAGGAATAGACTTTTCATTTTCATCTGTCGAGACGGGCGATGCCGAGCGCGGCGAATCAAGGAAGGACATGGATACTGTGCGGGCCATGGCAGGGCGGAGGCAACCAGAAGAATTGAAAAGGTGTGTCAAGGGTGAGGTTGCGAGCTCGTAGTTTTCGTGGAGAGAGGACACCCAGATGCCGCTCACGAGAATGAAGCGTCGCAGGGCCTCCTCCGTCTTGATTAGGGAGCCACTCTTGGCGTCGAGGAAGGACGCAGCGTCGATGCTTGCAGGAGTGAGGGCCGGCGATGGCGAGACAGACGTGTGGGCATCAGGCGTCGACGGCTGGGTGACGGCAGGCATGGTGTAGGAGTCGTGGACGTCGATGCGAGTGCGGGTCATGGTGGCAATTACAGGATGGCGACGGGAGGTGGGCGAGATGGTGCTGAAGTTCCACTTGGAGTCGTCTTTGGGCAGCTGGCCAGGCAGGAGCGGGTCGGGGACGGACTGGCTGGAGGTGCGGCGCGAGGCGGGCGGCTTAGCGACCCAGCGGGCCTTCAGGGCAAGGCCGTGCTCGTCGACCGAGTTGAACTCGTAGCCGCCGTTGGGCATGTGGGTGACTTCCCAGCGGCTCGTGCCGTCGTCCATGCAGATCTCCGTGTGGCTGACGACCTGGCCGCGGTCCATCTTGCCGGGGCAGATGACGGCGACGACCTCGCGCGACCCCCATCGCTCGTCGTCGGACTTGTGCTCGTCGTCGGTGTGGCCGTACGCGGCAGCCTTGACCACCAGCAGGTCGTTGAGGCCGAGGCGCTCGCGCGTGTTGAAGGCGCGCGCAAGGCGGCGGGTCGAGCGCGGCGCGAGCAGCGTGAAGGGAATGACCTCGTACACGGGCCGCGGGCGCTCGGCGGCGAGCACCTGGTGGAGCTGCAGCTGCACCTTGGGGCGGATGTGCAGCTTGGCGCGCGGGTGGTGGACCTGCGGCGGCGGGTGGGCAAGCATGTAGCTCGTCTTGGGGCGCGCCGCACGCTTCTTCGGCTTCGCGCCGGCCGCGGCGCTGCCAGAGGAGCCTGGCCGCGACGAGTGCGAGTTGCGGGGCGCGGGGTGGGCGGGGGCGACCATAGGAGAGGCATTGGGGGCATGCTGCGAGGCGGTGCCGGCGCTGAGGGCGGGCGCCGGCGCGGGCGTGGCGGAGGGCGACGGCGTCTGGTACCTCAGGACAGAGCCCAGCAGCGCCAGCGGCATCTGGGCCAGTGAGTAGGCGCCATTCTTGGGGTTCGGCGGCGAGGGCAGGCGCCGCGGGGGAGAGTAGTCGTGGTCGTGGGCGTGGGCGTGGCCGTGTTTGGCAGGCGTGTCAGCGGTCAACATATCCAGCAACATTGAGATTTACGACGCAGCATGCTGGCAGCGGGATCAGTACTTGTCCAGGCAGCAGATGAGGGGCTCGGGAAGGGGAACGTAAGCAGGCGGCCATGGTTCTATATGAGGTCCGTAGCCTGTGCGCCTGGAGGTTTGAGGAGGCCGTGGCCCCTCCGCCAAAAAGCGCAATCTGCTGGCGCTGGCGCAATGACAATGCTCGAACGCTGACTACTTACAAGCCACAGCTGGCAGAGCTGATCCAGTTCCAGTTCCTAGCCTGCGAGCAACAGCCAATGGCACTGCTAGCGAACCGAGTGCTCCATAAGACGCAGGAGCCTGAAGGGAAATGTGGCAGATGGCTGCTCAGAACAGCGCCGTGAGATATGCTGCACTGGACCATGCACGCGGATGGTCGGCTGGCGCAGGTGCTCGTCACGTTCACCCTCATTTCTGCCAATGCTCAAGGCCTAGCACCTTTGGTCCGTCGCTTCACGCACGAGGCACTCCAACGCCATCAACGCTGTCATGTCAATCGTCCCGGTACCCGCAAGCGTCCCCAGCTGCCAGCGCCCCTTGATTGGCCCACCTGCCTCGTTTCAGCCGACTGTGGCTGGCCCATCTCGAACTTGCCTCGATGCATCCTCTCCTGGCTGCTTGGCGACAAGGGCTCCTCATAATGCGGCCCCGAGTACTTCGTCACCACAGCAATTCCCTGCTGACGGCCTTCGGTCATTTCGCTGACCGCCTGGACGCCATCGTAAAAGCAGCCATAGAGAAGAGTCTTTGTCGGCGTTTACCAGCGCTGTATCCGTTTGCATCCGCATGGCGTCGACGTGAAGCTTCAACCCATGCTGCACTTGAGTCTTGAGCGTGCACCTTCTGGTACACTGCAAGTCGTGACTACCCGTGTGTGTCGTATACAATACGGTGGGTGCGTGGATGCAACTTCACTTTACATTCCCATTGGTTGCCGTCCGTGCATGGTGAGCACAAGCGAGCTGCGTCTTCTGCCCCGGACAGCGTCGACAAGTTCGCTTGTGCCTCAGCCCTGTCGGAGTACACGAAAGCTCAAAGAAGGCATCGGTGACGCTTGGAAAGCTTGAAAACGTCTCGCCGTTGCATGGATTGGAACTAAACTGATCAAGACGAAAACTGGATACGCAAAACTCATCTTTCAACGCCCCTCACCGCTCGCCGAAGCGCCATCACCACAGAGCATCGTCCGACTCCTGCATCGACCCTGCGTCCCCGCTGGCTCGCTCGCAACCTCTGCAAAATCTTCTCTGACTCTGTTCCTGTCCTGTCTGTTCGTCCGCTCGGTATCCGCTGTCATCCGATTTCCGTGCACTACATCGAGATTTGCGCCGAGGCCGATTTGCTCGTGAAATTCTAAGCTGGTTCGACAAATCATTCACTCGCGCGACAAATCAACTACTCGCCAAGCCGTTTGCATCTCCGATTATCACCATTCGCACTTCGGTTCGGGTTTCAAGTCTATCCGATTTGGTGGGACAGAAGCTCCGTCAGCCAGCCCTAGAACCGCACATCATGTCATCAGACGAGCCCCAATCCGGGCCTACCATCGATACCTCATCAAGCTCGAGTTACAGTTTCAGTAAACATCCGTTGACCGAGGACCTCTTGTCCTGGTTCACTCAGAACGGAGGCTGGCTGAGCCCGGATGTCCAAGTTGTCTACAACGAGTCGCAAGGCCGTCACATGCGGGCGCTGAGACCGACAACTCCGGAGGTCGTGACTTGCCCGTTAAGGCTGACGCTTTCAAGCCTCAACCTAGACCCTGACCAGAAAGAGGTGCTACCGATCACGAGCCCTCTGCAGCAATGTCGTGGCAGGTTACCTGATCATATACTAACATATCTTCTCCTGATTGAACAGCGCATCAAAGGCAAGGAGTCACCATGGCACAGCTACATCGCATGTCTGCCTGGACCGGAGAGTATGACGACGCCTCTTTGGTTCGATGATAAGGATGTGGCGTTTCTTGCTGGCACCAGCTTGTCTCCTGCTCTCAAAGAAAGAAAGGCAGACTATCAAAAGCAATCTGAAGACGCTGTCAGCGTGATGAAAGAAGTCGGCGTTAGTTGGGCTGATCAAGTAGACTTGTAAGTGCCCACGGCAGGTCTATCCGACAAGACCGCCCCAATCACAACTGCTCAGCCACACGTAAAAGCACTTCCTCTGGGTAAGCGTGTTGAAGGTTAGAGAATTGAGTAGAGAAGGTTGCGTCGTGAGAGGTGGCAGGCTGGCCATGGTAGCCTGTTCACAATACTTGCCTGCCAGACAGCCGACAACTTGAGCACGCGGTGTACTAACCAACACCAGCAAATCTTTCCTCTGGGCCGCTACGATATTTACCTCTCGAGCATTCATCTCAACACACATTCTGCCAGAGATAGAGACGATTCCAATCCTGTTCCCAGTCGTCGACATCCTCAACCACTCCGTCACCGCCAAGGTGGAGTGGGACTTTCGGCCTCATCAATCTTTCACCCTCCGCTGTCTCGACAGCTCAACCTTTACTGCCAACGAAGAACTATACAACAACTATGCCCCGAAGCAGAATGACGAGCTGCTCCTCGGGTACGGTTTCTGTCTGCTTGACAACCCGATCGAGCAGTTTGCTCTGAAACTAGCCTTCCAACCTGAGCTCATGCAGTACGCCACGCAAATGGGACTGATGAAGCCCGAGAGCGTGCCATTTGGTATGGACACATCGTTCCTGAAAACAGACCCGAATAAAGAACAACACTTTCTTCGTGCCAAAGGTCATCCATTCGGGCGGTACCAGAATTCTATTTCATTCTTCCGCGGTGTGCCTCCCTTCATCGTACACTTTTTCTTCATCCAGACAATTCTGTCTCACGACATCAGTCTAGACAGCATCAACGGCGAAAGGCCTGATGAGAAAGTCACCGTGCAGATCCTGGCCTTGCTACACCAGGCGCTCACGCAGCGCAGCTCTACTCTCCCACTCACCTTCGCCGCGGAACCGACCAACGTCAAGCAGCAGTTCGCTAAGATCTACCGCGACGGCCAAGCGAAGATTGTCCACGCTGTACGTACCGAGCTGCAGTCCGCCATCAACACCCTCCGCGTCCCTCCCAACACCGCGCTGCCCCAGCGCTCAGCCCTCCTGACCATCTCCAACGGCCTGGCTGCTCTGCGTGCCGAGTACCCCTCTGCCGCTGCCACCTTCGAAGCAGGCCTGAAGAAGCACCAACTCGACAGCCCGCAGGACGAGCGACTCATATGGACCATCCTCCTCGTCACATACGCCGCTCTGATCCTCACCAACGCCGACGACGCCAGCGGCGTCAACTCTTCCCTCCTGGCGTCGCTCACTGCCTCACATCCCCTGCCGAGGCTTGAGGACGGCATCGAGGACGCGGAAACATATTCCTTCCTCGACGATCACCTCGACGACTTCCTCACTCTGGACGGCCAGCCAGTAGACCTAGGCCCCAGCGATATACTCGACGATCTAGGACTTACGTTTGTCAAGGCTCAGGGGGGTGAGGCTGCGTTTGTTGACGGGCCGACGGAGAATCTGGGTGTCAGGCTGGTCATGTGGGGTATGGGTGTTGCGCAGGCTGATGTGCTGCCTGTTGTTGGGTCAGACAGAGTAGAAATGTGTTTATTTGTTCAGGCTTGCGGGTCAAAGGGGGAGTGGATGGATAGTGAAGTATGAAGCATGTGGAGGCTGCGGGAGCTGCCCTTCTTTGCCTCTTGTAGAAGATGTTAGAAACTTTCGTGGGGGGCGGACATGTAAATTCATCTGGCGGAAAGCCATGTTCCTCTATAGCTAACTCTAGAAGCATTACCACCCTGTCGTTTTACCTGCACTCTCAAGCTTCCGTGCTCTGGCCCTGACATCCTTGTCGCCGCCCGAGGCAAGCTCGATGCTGTCAGGCATATACATGCAACACCACTGTCCCCACTGTTCGTCACTGGCACTATAGCCCCCAGACCAGGGCACCCTCCAGCATGACAGTGCGAATCCCTGGAGTCTCAGGACGAGCGGAGACCGCACTGCTATGATCAACTCGGGATGCAGTTCCCGATACAGGGAAGAGAGCGGCATTCACATAGCAAGCAGCGGTACCTACAGCACTTGCCGTATGCAGCAGGAGCAGCGAAGGTTACAAATCCAGCAGCGGCACTTGTCGCACTTCCCGTGTCACTGCCATGTCAAGCCTGACACGCGGAAGCAAGCAACCTCCCGCTCGACGAGCGCGGCGACGGGACCGACTCATATCGCCTGCTGCACCGACTCACATCGCAGGCTACGTAATCAATGTATATATCGCAGGCTACGCACAGACTCGGTGCCAGCCTGCCGAGCCTGGAAGCTCAGGTCAAAAGAAAGCACTTGCATGAAACGCGGCAGTTTGCGATTGTAATTTCAGCGGCAGTCGACGACGTAATTTCACGGCTCGTAACGCAGAGCGCACGCGCGCGGACGCGACAAGCAAGCAAGCCTCCAGCAGGGATAGCCCGCACACCTACTCGCCTCGATGCCTGCCTGCGTGGCTGCCTGCCTGTCTATATTTACACGCCCCACGCAACACTACCCGCGCGCCCCGAACTGCCCCCCGATCATCTCCCCCAGCGTGCGCCGCTGCCGGGCCGGGCCCCCCGTCTCGCCGGCCAGGATCCCCGTGCTGGCGCCCTCGGAGCGCTCGCTCTCGAGCCGCTGCCGCAGACTGTCGAAGCCGCCTGCGTCGCCGTCGGCCTGGCCGACCATCCACCCGGGCACCCGCCATGCGTATGCGCCGGGCAGCAGGTCGCGGCGGTACGCGGTGCCGATGGCCCAGCCGACCGCTGCGGCGAGCAGCGAGCCAGGGAACTGCGAGAAGGCGAGCTGGAATGGCGCGAGGTACGAGGTCGCCTTGCTTGTGACGGTGATGCTGCGCGACCAGATGCTGGTGGCCTGCTGGGCGGGGGAGGCCGGGGTGGAGGGTGAGGGGGCCGCGGGGGACGCGGGCGAGACGCGGTATTTGTAGGTGTAGGGGATGGCGGCGTAGTAGTTTGCCAGCAGGGCGAAGAGGATGCTGGTGGGCCCGCTGGGGAGGAAGTTTACGTAGCCGAGGGAGAGCGGGCGCAGGACGAAGGTGAGCAGGAGGGGCGGGAGGATGGTGGTGTATGGGAGCGTTGTGACGATGAAGGACTGCGCGCGGGTTAGTACGCAGTCTGTATCGCATAGCAAGGGAGTGTACGTACGAGGAACTTCCTGCTCCCCCATAGTCGCTCGATGACGCGCAGCTGGTAGAACGAGAGCACGCCGAACAGCACCTCGGTGCTATTCGTGAACACCCAGCCCCACGTCACAAATCGCCATAATTGCCCATAGCCCCAGATGTGCGGTACAACGGCGACCGGCAGGTAGTATCGTGTGTCCGTGAGTGTCGCGACGAGCGCGCCGACGACAGTTCCGAAGACGAGGAATTGTGAGACAGGCGCGTTGGTGAAGCCCGACGATATCATCGTCGCGTATAGTGAGAATTCGTTTGGCGAGGTGACTGGTTATTGCTCGTGCATTTCGTGATAGGCTGAGAAGTGGCTCAACATGGAGGGATGCGATGACGGAACCGTGGTCGAGATGCGGAGTAAACGTGGCACCTCCGAGATGATCACGTGCGATAATTTTCACCAACTCTGATGCAGCAATACATTTGTCTCGGTCTATCGATATATGCATACCAGCACATCTACGAAGCGCAACGCTGGCGCTCGAAAGGCAGAGTGCCTCTTGTATAGCACATGAACCCCTTGAACAACACATGAACCCCGTGGGGTGACAGACCATCCAAACAGAACACCATGCTAAACACACAAAAAAGAAATCATAAAACGTACAGTCATTCAAGTCGTCATCATCTCCGCATACTTCCCTTGAGCCTCATGATAGCCTTCCTCATGAACTGATCCTCGTTTTCCCGAGGGTTGAAAAGAAAGTCTGACTCAGGCCTTTCAGTGGCCGGCGTAGAAGGACTTGTCCTGATGCCTGCCGCCCTAGCGGCGAAGGTTCCTGAACCCAAGCCGTCTCCGTCTGAGGAGACACCTATCCTGAGCGTCCTCATCGTCGCTCTTGCTCGCAGCGGTTTCACTTTTTCGGTGTCTTTCCACCAGCGCTCTGTGTCTGGCCCATCTATGCGAGGGGATGTCAGTAACGATACCGTTGAAGTACGGGGATTTGCAGAAACCCATGTGGTTAGTACTTGCTCTTGCTTTTGCTCTTGCTCTTCTGACCCTACAAGTGTACCGCTCGCTGTATTAGATTTGAGCGTTTCCTCAGAGGTTTGTAGTCGCGGACGGTCTTCGCTAGTCGTATGTGCATGACGGCTGCTCATACGCGGTGGTGGTGCTGGATAGTGCTCGGCAAGAGAGTGCGTGCGAGGTCGAGGTCGTGAGCTCTTATTTGGGCCCGGGACGTAACTTGATGACGGTCGCGATGTGCCTGGTTGACGTGTTTGTTCGGGTTGACGCAGGCTGCGAAGCGCGAACGGCTGCTGTGACTGTGTCGGAGAGACTGTTGCAGGCCGGCGCGTCTCTGCGCCTGACCTAGCAATGAAATGCTCAACACCTGGCTCATGACAGTATCTCCGCTCTCTGAAACGTTCGTCGATCATTCGAGGTGTGACTTGAGCATACTCCTCGGGTATGTACGGGATTTCAGGAGCATGTCTCGCAGACACTAGATTGGCTGCCCTCAGTGACACATCTGACATCCGCTTCCTGAAGATGCGCCCTGAGCGTGCACGCTCCTTAGACAGTTCGATGAACTGCTTCGAACGAACCGACACCTCGGAGCGAATGGACTGCTCGTCTCTAACAACTTCTGCGCGAGGCGTGGCTGGCTGGCTATAGTAATCCGAGTCATCGTAGCTAGTCGCGGGCCGCTGTTCATCAATACTGTGAACGCGCAGAGGATATCCACTCCCATCAACCTGCTTCGTCTCAATCGCTGCGACCCTACTTTTGAGATCATCAACTTCGATGTTGAGTTGCATTTTCTCGCCTTCTAGGTCTGTGATCATCTCCACAGCCTCGTCAAGAGCCTCCTCCATTTCTTGGAGGTTCGTGACAGCCTCTTCATTAATATTGGTGAGGTTGACCACTTCTTTCTTCAAGGCTTCGTTTACTTGTCCCACTGCTTCGTTCTCGAGGTATAGCTTGTCAAACTCGTCGCTGATCTCGTCGATATGGTCTATATCATCTTGAGCAGCAATCAGCCTCTCTGTCAGCTTCTTGTTCTCAGCACAAAGCTCGTAGTTCTCTTCCGCCAGCGGCTTAAGCTGTTCTGCCTCTTCTCTAGCTTTTACCCATTTAGCTTGCAGCTCATGATTGCTTTTGTTCAACAGCTCCACTCGGATGTTCTGCTTGAATAGCTCATTCCTCAGCTTTTCAACCTCCGCACTTAGCTCTTGATTTGTCCTGCCGCGTGGGGGCGTGTCTATCTTCTCATGCGGCCGCGTCTTACGGATGGGAGATTCTGGTGTCATGATCTCCTCGGGGAGATCGAATTCGTCGAACGCATCTGGAGAAGCGATTGGGGTGTGGGGCGCTGATGGCGTTGCGAGACGTTGAGGCAGAGCGTCAATCGCGGCCAGCTGAGGCAAATTTTGAGCAGACGTATTCTGGGCACGTCGAGCCTCCAGTACATTGCGCAAGCACTTAGACTTTGGGATGCTCATAGAGGTTGCTGATCGCTTAAATGCAGGTGCGGATTCGGGTGTAGCGGCCCTAATGGTGTGGTCGAGGGACGACCCCCGCAATAACGGCGGGGTGGCCATATCGTATGTAGATGGTGTAATAAGTGGGTTGGTAAGAATATGTCCGAGGGAGGGCGTGGGTCGTGCGTAGGAACAACTAGTAGTTGCGAGCCACTCTTGTTTCACACAGTGTCAAGGCCAGAGACAGGACCTCAGGCGCTCCACTTTCACTCCACAATGTGCGGTTCTCTCTCTTTCGGTCGGTAAATCCGTCACGCAGCTGGCGAGACGCGTTGTGAAGCACAGACGGTCCGGCGCAACGTCATTGAACGCGGAGGTGACTTGTGTAACCTGGGTCGGAACGGTCCGTCGCGTTATGTCTCGGTGCTGATGAAAGTGGGTTGAGTGCTTGTGCGCGCAAAGACGGGGGGGAAGTCGCTCGATAGAGGGTCAATCTTCGGTGCCATGTCTCAGCTGTCGCAGTATTGAGTGTGTGCCGAAGGCAGAAATCGGTTCGCTGAGGGCTGTCGAAATCCTAAATAGGCGGTGAAATCCACGTCACTGCAGAAGCAATGGCATGCAGCATTCGGCGGCAGTGATCAGACCGCGGCGACCGCTGCTGGTGTTGTGCAGAGGAGCAAATGTCGCAGCTACAAGCGCGCAGCAAGAGGGGAAGCAGCCAGGAGGGCGCAATGTGCGTCGGGCAGCAGCTGCATGTTGTTTGTGGAGCGTGCTTGCAACTGTCGGTCTCTCAGCGCAGGGCCATGCATCGCTAGACGGCGAAGGCGTGGCCCGCTACAGCGGCCTGCATTCCCCAGCATTTGTGACTGGCTGCCGCAAGTGCTAGCTGCGGATCCGTGCATTAGATCGTGGGTACAGAGTGCTGCTCCGGGATCAGTGCAGCATCGCCCTGCGTCGATGAGATTCACCATCACACGAATAGCGACGTGAGAATGCCCCTCTCGTTTCACACGTGCATGTTCGCTGGGCGCCCAATTGTGAAGGCAGCGGGATCAGGTTGGGAGAAGGCGCGTCTCAAGCGGACCTCAACTCCACCAACTACCGCTGTAGCGCCGCACCACATGCAGGAGAAGTCTAACAGAGGCGAACGCCGCCCAACCCGTGGGGTTGCTCGCTCTGTCGTTTCGTCTCGAGACAGAGCACTATGACTCGTAATGTACATTCGTGGTCGCTGATGGGTCGCAGGCACATTCGTGGTCGGTAAGGGGCGACAGGCACACTCGGGTTGAGTATGGCGTGTTTTGGTGACCGCCGCCAGACGTGTACTCCCGCTGCCCTGCGTTAGTGTGACCACCGGTTTTCTGGCTGGAAAAACAGGACGCGTTGGGAAATTGCCCTACAGTATGCACGAGCTTTTCAAGGCACCGTTGCCATCACGTGAGCGCGTCCAGGGCTGAGTCTCGAGCGTTTACTCAATACAGACATTGACTTTGCGGTCTCCACCGTCGCGCCGACCTGTCGTTCACTACCTTCACGCTAGCTTGGGAGTTGCCGAGGGAGCCCAACGATAGTGGAGAACGGAACCAGAATACATCATCCTGGCACAGCGGCTCGATATACGGTGCCGCCGCGGCAACATTTGGCCAATCTAGACCAGCGCAACGTTCTCCTGAAGATTGTGACTTGCTGGCAACTTGCTGCATGCATGCCGCGCCTGAACCATGAAAAAATGCCATGATGTCCAAGCCACCGTAGATCGAACGTGAGACAAAGGTCGAAGGGCCAGACCGTCAGCAACTTGCACTGGTGTCGAATGCTATTCAGGTGTTCCTGGCTAAAGTAAAGTGAATTCTTAGTGTGCGCTAAAGGTGGAAAAGTTTTTGGTCGTTTGCTCTGTTGATCGCATTGAGAAATGTATCGTTGATTGGATGTAGTACAGGGGCTTAGAGGAGCCTATTTCGTACATTCCACTGGACGTTGTGAGTTGAGGCTTATTCCATCTCGACCGCAACACCAGCATGCCTGAGCCGGTCCTCCCACTCACATCTCAGCGCCTCCATTTGCTCCCAACATCTCTTCCCGCTGTCCTCGAGCCTTTCCCTGTCCTCTTTCGTAAAATCCTTTGCAAATGGATCTCTTCCTTTTCGCTTCTGCTCGCCTAGCCTGCCTCCCCAGCCCCAGCCGGACACTTCGGTCCGCTCAACGCGCTCTTGACCCCAGAAATCAGTCGCACTGCCCCATTTCCCCACGCCTTCCCTCTCCTCCATTATGTCAAGTGTACTCTGCTTAGCAAGTGCAAGCCACACCATGGCGACAGCGCCTTTCTCAACCGTGATAGGGTGCCATTGGCTGCCAAGCCACCGAGCAATATAGAAAGCGGCGGTCATGGCGTAAGTGAGTATGAGAGGCAGCGGGAAAATGGGGGTTGCAGTGATGCCAGGATGAGTCAAGTATATCAGAGGCCTCGTGGTCTTGGTGGATGTGTCGGATACGGCGAGGTATTGATCTACACTGTTGGACGTCACTGGAAGTCTGGATGTAATAGCCATCACATCTGTCAGCCGCTTCGACGACTCATAAGCTGCATCTTCAGAAAGAATTCCTTGGATGTCGTTCATGTTCAGAGTATGTTCATATGACTCCAGACTGCTTGTCCAGATCAGTCGGCCTCTGGTGTCTTCGCTGCTGGGGTGTCTTGCAAGCAGCGGCGCAAGGTAGTGGCCCAGCAGATAGTGTCCAAAGACGTTGGCACAAAACACCTCACCTAAAGCAGGCTCATCGCGCGGCTTCCCGTCTTTGGACGGCAGTTGGGGCTTAGCTAGCCATCCCTTGCCGGACATCTTGAAGGTGGGCCAGGTGACAGCAGACTTCCATCGTGTCAGGATGCTCCAGACGGCCAGAGGCCAATTTATGCCTGTCCAGCCGCCAATACCCGCGTTGCAGATGACAACATCGAGCTTCGGGGTGGTCTCGTGCAGCTTCCTGCTTAGTTTCTGCACCGAGACCAGGCTCAGCAGATCCAATCGCTCCTGCCTAATATGTATGCGCCCTTGTAATAGCTGAGTGACGCCCGGTAGTGTACGTTCATGCCGGCGGCAGACTTTGCGCAGATGTGCTTCGAGTGTCTCGATTGTGGCGTCGCCTTTCTTTTTGTCTCGGGTGGTGACGATGAGGACAAGGGATTCTGTCTGAGGACGCGTCTGCAGGAACTCGTCGATCATGCGCGCGCAGATGCCGAGCCCCAGGCCGCTTTAGGCAGGTCAATTATTTGTAGCAACTTGAGTGAGGGCACGAGGTACCTGTTGGCCCCAGTGACGAGAACATAGTAGCCATTCTCGGGTCGTGGTATGTCTTCAAGAAGCGACATTGTTGACGCACTGCAGTAGAATAGGGAGCGGAGCCATCAAAGACCGAACGCCGCGATTTCCTGTTCCTATTTTCGCTTATTTAGCGTGCGTAAAGCCATCACGGTATTCGCACTCGCACTCATGCAAAGTCCGGATGCGAATCCGATACATGAGTTGCGCTGGGGAAACATGCATCGCGGAGTTACGCAGTGCGTATATCATGGTATCCAGCATCAAAGTAGTCGTCGGGGTCACGATGTGCAGGTCGCGACATTTAGCTTACCAATCGGGTTGGATCGGTACGGCACTTCACGCTCACGCACAACGGCTCAGTATTGCACATTCTCGCACGCAGACCTGCTTCCCGACCAAAGCCTATTTGCCTTGTACCTTTCGGTCATAACTTGGGTCGAACATGGCATGTACACCGTCGTCGGACAGTAAGTGCAACCTTTTGGCCGAGTACTAGGTATGCCAGGATCTTACTCTCCACATGACTTTGTACCCTACACTACCACCCTGTCTAACAGGAGTCATTGCCAAAGCCGACCTCAAGGCTTGGCGGCGCTTTCAGACCCTGGGCAAATGGAGTTTCTGCCCAACATCGTAGCCTTTGATGTGCTGAAATGTTGCCTCTTCCCGTTCGGAGGCAACATACCGACGACTCGCAACGAGTGCTTGGGCAATGTCCAGGGTCTCATTGCATACCCTTGAAGAAGAAGTGCGGTGAGCTCTCCATAAAGGTATAAGTCGTTGATTCTGTAATTTTCAGACCCGACTATCACTGTCTAGTCGGGCCGCAGTATTGAAAGACGGTTGCTCCGGAGCCTTATCATTGCACACTGCCACGCGGAAGCATGCCCCGACCCTATACTGAAGGCGAGGCCGTATATAGACACTTGAGGGTCGGCAAATGGAAAGGTCTGGGCGGAGCTCAGCCCTGGAAGTGAGACGTCACGCTTCGCGGGGAGAGCGGATACTGGTCAGTAGTTGCCGGGGAAGGACCGTTACAACACTGTCATCGGATCAATCAATGCGCAGCAACAACTAGTCTTGGCTAATCAGTGCGGCGTGCCCACTGCCCACGAACATGCTTCGGACAAGCAGTGCAGCCGACTTTCTCCGTGGGCAGTCCTATACCTTGTGCAAGTGCACGATCTACACCGATGTGCATTGGCAGTTCATGTACGTCGGCGATGCGTTGAACAGGATGGAAAAAAGCCCACTTGATAAGCTTCCGAAGTTGCAAATGTGTTGCAGCACTGACCAGTCGTATGCACGTCACACGTAGTAAGTTCGGCGCGTGTTTTAGCCCAGAAGCTAGTTTTAAGTGATCATCGTAAACGGGCTTGCAGGACAAGATCGCGGAGTTTGCTCCGGTTCCCAGTAACGGCCGGGCTGGCCACGATACCAATGGCCGCGCAGCTTCGTCAGTTAGATATGGTTTGAGCCAAGGCTAGGTAGATTTGTCTCGACGGTCTCGACGGACGAGATGATGTAGCCGGCCTAAAGCGGCTCGTGTCTTGAGTTTGGCGTGAACCCTCTACGAGGTTGGTTAGTAACGTTGACGAAAGTTATTGAAGAGGGATCCGCACGCGCTTGCTCAGCTCGTTGCCACCGGGGCAGTGTGGATGATCACTCATCGACAGCGTGGACGATCACCCTTGCGTGATAGCCCTTCCCGGCAATCAAGTGATGTGGGACGCCTTGTTTGATCTTCCTTCGGTAGATGCTGTGAAATAACATGAGTACCTTGCAGGTTTTGGAACACGAGCATAAAGGCTTGATCCAGTAGGGCCGACTGCCTGCATCCTGCGAGCGAAACGGGGCTTTCTGTCAGAGCTCGGCCCGCTCCCGCGAGCCAACACCTCGGTTCCTGAGGCATGAAACAGATCGTCTCTTACGATGCATTGTGGCTCGATTACTTATAGCACTGTCCGCCATCGGACTTAACCGCTCGTACATACGCGTATCCCACTATCAGCCTGCAGTGACCATCTAGCACATACCGCATTGTTGAGGATCGCGACATTGCTCAGTTGACTTGATCAGTCCGGTCGTTGTACGAGTAAGCATGTCCTAGTCCACACTGCAGGAAACCAAGAAGCAGGGTTTATTTTGACGCAGACAACGCGAGTGGGGCCTTCCACAAGCCCGGTGATTGGCTCGCCTCAGTGGGGTCCGCGAGACGACCACAGGGCTGGCGAGGCTGGAGAGAGTCATGAGAATGCACGCAAGCAATATTCGGCTGCAGTTAAGCGAGCGCAATCAGACATCGATGGGAAAGCAGGTGCCATATAATACGATCACCTTGTGCATATACCGTGACAGTGTCGGCGAGTGGCACGCGAACGGAGCGCCGAGTCCGCTGGAGGGTACTTCCGTGATGTCCAGAATCTTACACTTGGATTGACGTTCACTAGATGCATGTCCCTATTTCGTATACTTAAACCTACCTGTCAAACATGTGCCCCGTGTCGGCATGGTGATGATTGCGACGCTATGTAGATCGGCGACCTGTAGTCTCAACCCATGCACGGAGGAACATTTTCGCGCGCATGAACTGTGTCTTTGTTCGCATCGTCTTCGTCCGTCGGTCAAAGACTTTGTTGCTACAAGGTTCTGTCAATCAGCTTTGGGCATGCCTGTGGACGAAATTATGGGCCGCAACAGGCCAGCACCCATGAACATGCAAGGCGGCAGGGTTGGGCTGGTATTGCGGCCGACACTTAAGACCAACCTTAATCGGGTCGCCATTTGCTGGAGACGTATCCTCGCACTCGGCTTGGTTACTATAGGATAAGGGAATTGACTGACTCAGTCGATTTTTCTCAGAAAGCGGGTGAGGTTATGTGTCTGTCCCGCGAAGTTCGCTCTCGCGTGGTTAGCGGACGTGAGTGGCATGATCAACTCAGAAGCGAGTCTGCTACTCATGGACCATCGTCCCACAATGAGTCAGGCGTCAACGGCTTTACATACCCGTCCTGGACCGGGTGGTAAGCACATCGCAGTGAAAATGGTAAGTTGTTGAGTATACAGCATCATTTTCGAATACCGAGGTACTCTACCTAATCTGGGATATCGCCCCGAATCCAAGGAGAACAGGTGTATGGTCAGGCTTAATAAACCGGGCTCAGTCGCCACGGCGTATGCGGCAACCCGCAGGATCTGGCAACTAGGATACGGGACGCGGCAGTGGATCTGTATGCACATGCCGCCACACCATCCACTGCATGCCAAGATACTGGTCCCACGAATCGCGGTTTGATCAAGCAGTCATCTGGTATTGCATTGTTGAGTGTGCTATTGACGCGTTGCACGCCCAAGACGAGAGACTTTGGATCTGTGAGGTAGTAAAGATTCGATTTTGACGTATCGATCACAACTACCTTTCAAGTTCTCGGTCTGTAGTCTGCACTCGCGTTTGATTGGCTCATGAACCCGGTCATACAAGATTGTAATATAACATAGATCCCAGAACATAGTTCCCGCCTGGCGGCCATAGTAACACAACTTACATGCCGGTCAGTGGCTGCTTGTAGTACATATGTAGGAAATGTTTGTAGTGTAACGCGATTTTTTTATACAAAGAAAGAAGACAACGGTGGAGCCACATCCTCCATACGGTTTCCCTCGCCGTCATAATGAGAGCTCTGCTTATGCAGCTACTGGACCTTCCGGCACTCGGCTCTCAAGTCGAGCTCTTTCACTGGAACTGTCTGTCATGTCGGCCCGCGCTAGACAATACGTAAGGCAGCCAGATGCCAGTGCGATTGCATCTGGAAGTGACCGTCCAACACGCATTACATGCTGGATGTGTGCGGTAAGATGATGCACGATGCACGTAGCCAGATGTCGGCATGCGGGCACTGTACATCAAATTTCTGCACAACGTCAGCAGCAGTGTCGTGCTTGCGTAAAGGTGGAGTCGATGTCACTGGACGTTGAGCCAGTGTCACACCTGCGTTACTCGCGGGCCGCAGACTTCAGTGCAACAACCAGAAGGATCCATGGAGTGATTCTGGAACATGTGCGGCGTCTTTTATTTCCTGTTGCTTGCCTGATGATGTGGGTCTGCGCGGTGGTCCGATGACAGTAGATGAAGTGATCTGACGAGTGGTCGCACAGCGACTTTAAGGAAGGAATTTGCCGGTGCGCCCACAAGAGCCGGGTGTATGATGCGTAAACAGAAGTCCGGTAGTGAGTTGAACCAAATAAACATGATCGTTCGAAAATAGCCTCGAACTGGGTATCCTGCAGGGTTTCGCTGTCTTGTACGCGCCTTGCTGGATGAATAATACGGGTCTCAAGAAGAAGAGCGACAATCCTTGACTAGCGTGATCTTGACTTGGGCGTTGAGCCTCTGCAATCACCTGATGTACGTCAGATTACTATCGTTCCTTTATCAGATCTGTTGTGCACAAACCGCAGTCTTCGTCTAGTCGATACTCTCTGAGGCGCAGTCAGTATTGCTATCTCTTGAGGGCTCGATTGTTCTTACATTGCCACCACATTTGCCGGGCATCTCTTGTGGGTTTCTTGATATTTCGTGCACCATGCTCGAACCACATATCGTACATGGTTGCACTTATACTGAACCTGGGTATAATCACACATTGAGGCGATGTTGTTATGTTTGTTGTTGGGGAGAGGGCGGCTGATGACGAAGTAGATCAGTTTAGATCGAAGTGACTATCAGATGTCACTGAAAGATATAGATAGCACGGTAGTGAGGAGCTGAGATGGCGCTCGAAGGTATACATAGGCTCGCGCCGGTCCGTCTACAATAGAGCAAAGCAGCGATCATAGGTCAGTGCCAACCAGGTACCCGAAGCGTGATGTTAAGTCCAACCGTATGGATGGACTCTAGTCCAAGTGACAGGCATCAGGGACGACAGGATTTGCTTGGACAGGAAAGCAAATGTGCTCGAGCAATAGCATCCTAAGTTTGAGCTAGCTAAAAGTCAAGCCGGTTCCGAAAAAAAACGAACGGGTGTAATGGCGTGTTCTAGTGGCCTAGGGAGCATTGGCTACGGAGTTTGTGCATTTAAAACCCACAGTAACGACAAAACGGGCAGCAAAGTCTGGCAAGGGCCCTGAGTGGTTGGAGAAGGGCCAGCTGGGAGACGGCATGGTGTCATCTCACAGCTCTGCCGCTAAACATCACTAGCACAAGTGTACCAACCCTGGGCTGCGGCTTGATCTGCACAACGGGCCCACGTTGGTCTGAAGGTTAGCAGAAATGGTGCATGGGGTGGCTGCGCCGTTAGATTCTCGACCTTGCGTCTGGACAAGGCTGGCGCCCAAGCTTCTCCAACAGAGCTGGTTTTCTCCACGCTTGGCACTTGTGGACCGGCCTTATGCTCCGCGCATTAACAACGTTGCTTACGAGCCTTCCTTCACAGTGCCAGCTAAATGCCGACGCAACGGCAAACTCCTTGAGCGACATGCATCCTCCCGTCTCCCCGTCCGGAAGGGAAGCCTATGTACGAACACGCACCCGCTGCGCAGCGAGCAGACGCCCAAAGGGCCGCACCGGTGAAATTGGGAACCTAGTCGGGCGACATGCGTCACGTCTCAAGACATGCTTGCCAGGCGAGTCGTTATGACACTGCCGCGACTACCGCATCGACACTTTGACGATTGCAACTGCCGCTCAAGCTCCAGCATTGACGTTTCGGCCGGAGGTCCGCTGGTCAGTCGTGAGAGTTTCGTGTGCTAGGGCCTCCTGGGTCGGGTGCCGATAGGCGAGGAAATGAAAGATGTCAACAGCGCCGTGATCCTTCGCACGCAGGTACTGCGGTAAGATCTTCGCACACGACCTGGTACGTACAGTGTGATCTGTACGCCAATGTCAGACACTGTACGTCGCGATTGGCATTTGCTGATGGCGTGACGGAGGACCAAATGAAGGGGAGTAGCCGTCGATCAGACCCACCCAACGCGTGGCAGTGATCGCCCAAAGCACCATACCAGAGCCCATGTGCTTTACTACGTATAGCGACAGTGCCCGACGTTACAAATCAGTCACCGCGACCATGTTCACCCCAACGCTCGGCTTGGATATGATGAGTTCGTGCACGGACATGTACCTACCAATATTGTATCCCGTCTGGGGTACATACACAATCGAAGACGTCAGGTGCGCATCTCTTAGAAACAGCCTACAGGAGCTTTGACAATCGGGGTTATGAGCCCGAAATCTCTTCCGAGGCTGGCCTTGATTCAACGACGTCTTTAGGGATAGGGGGACTGTTTAAATCTTGTGGACCGCACCGTATAGGGCTGTCACCATGTTGCTATGATTGGACACGGGACGGAGGCCGTGGAAGCACATGTTGGCTTCAACGACAATGCTCTCACGCGGCCGGGACGCGCCGCTTTACGATGCTACGTGGCACCGCAGCCTCGAGACGATTGGAATTTACAGTCCAGGAAAAAGGAATCCGAGCAAAGGTATACCTTTGACCAGTAGCAGCTAACAGTTGTCGGGAACATGTCTTTTTGTTATCTGTAGGATGTTAGAAAAGCCAGGTGTGTAAGCGATGCGGGACAGGTGCCGAAGCAAAGCACGAATTAAAGGGCCACGATCTGCACCTTCACCACCATCGGGAATATACCTGCAGTAAGATTATGTCGAACCAGCTGGTGTGACACAGTGTTCATACGATTGTGTGGTGTGGGAACAGATCCCCGCTCGTCACCAGAGGTTACACGACCGACAAGGCAGACTAAGGATCAATCTGACGCGAGATGCAGATGCACAGATTATCCATATTTCTCAGGTGCATAATGTGGCCTGCTGACGTACTGTATATCATGACTTGCATATCACAGCTAGCTAGCTTGGACGTTCGAGAATCCTTCACGCGAAGCGAGCGCATCGGACGTCTCAAAGCCGAGCTAGAGAGCCGAGCATACGCACAATCCGTCAAGATGCACGTTGTTCTTCTTGGAACCTCCCCGTCTCGATGAATTATGACCATTACATTCGCTATGCCATCGCCTATAAATACATTTTCCAGAGACGTGATGCAACGAAGTCCTAATCCGGGTATCCCAAGCCTAAACTCCGTGCTATCTATGCAAGTGCATGTCTCTTTGGCTTCCTCCTCAATTCCTGCGTTTCGAATGTCGCAGACTCATCATCCGCATCATCCGCGCACTAGGCCGACGCACTGACATTTCGCTTCGTACGAGCGTACGGACAAGATCGCATGGCCGCGGCCGTCGGGCCAAGAACGGGCGTCGGTGTCGCAAGTGACAGTGACCGCCGCAAGGACAGTCCAGCAACAATCTCGACAAGTCTTTCCCTCATACATTTCATCGGGCTTGTGTCGTCTTCAATAAGGCCGACGCTGAGGGGGCATCAGCACAAGCGCAAGCAAGGGAAGATGACGTGTTTAGCCGCTCACTGATACAGCTTGATAGTCTTGTTTCGCACTTCCTCACACTGTTCTAGCGCCTTGATGTGCCTCTCTTGCGCAATCTTCCACGTGGTCATCACCGCCTCATCCTCCTTCATACGGTTAAGGTAGCTGGCGAAGCCAAGCTTCTTGGTTGTCTCGCCGCGGATGTGAATGAATCGATCATCGAGGTCCTCGAGCTCCGTGCTTCTGGAAGCGAAGTGGTTGGTAATGCCCTTGCTGAAGGTGTGGAAGGCTTTCACATAGCCCTCCATGTGACTAAAGTACGCGTCCGTAGTAGCTTGATCGAGTTTCAGAGGTGCATGAGGAGCCGCAGGCAGGGGTGGCAATTTCAACGTGCGCGGGGTGTTCGCTTTCGTGGGGTGTGCAGATGAGGCTTGTGATTCGAATGGTAGCGTATTCTTGAGTGCATCGAATGCTGAGAGGCCATCGTTCTGGGTGGAAAGGAAGGGTTCGACGGCGGCAATACCAGAAAGACCATTCAAGCCCGGAGTGGAAGATGTGCCAACAGGAGCAGGAGAAGGAGCTGTCTTCGGAGGCACAGAGCCGGTCCTCCTTGACTTTTCCTTTCTCGGTGACGACGGCGCAGTCTTTGGCCTTGTAGCGGAGGTGTTGGCGTTTCTGGTCGGCGGAGTATCAGAATCAATGTCCATCTCGTCAGGTTCGCCTGTAGGTTCCTCTGCCGTCGCCTGATATTTTGGTCGGGACCTGTCAGGTTGATCTTGCGGTCTTGGTATGGACTGCTTGCGTACAGGCTTTGGGCGCTTCAAAGCATCCGCGTTCTTACGGTCAGGAACTTCGTTTGGCATCGCCCAGCTTGGCTCCTTAAAGGTTTCGCTCCAGATCTCTGGACTGAACTTCGCAGTATGGGGCATAGCTTCGGCAGCAGGAGCAAATTTAGACTGAGGAGGTGGTCCTGGAGGCGGCGGAGGCATGTAGCCAAACTGAGTTTTGAACGTGTTGTCTGATGCTGGATTTGGGGGCGTTGTTCGCTGCGGCATCGCCTTTCCCCGTGTAGGTGATTGTCGACCTTTGTTAGCCGGGACGTTGGGTGCAAAATAATCAGCACTACCCTGAAACTTGCCATGCCAGTCAGATGGTGAGAACTTCATGTTGATGCTTTCTTCGCTTCTGCTTTTGAAGTTGTTGGTTCCATTGCTGGGCGGAGGGGTAGTTTGCTTATGTGGAGGGGTCTCAAAAGCATTCTGAGCCCATATAGGAGGAGGTGGGCGTGAAGCTTTTGGTGGTGGCCGTGGTTTGTTCCTAGTGCTGGTCCGGAAGATCTCGGCCTCAGATTCATCGCTTGAGTCTGGGTACATCTGGGGGAACTGGGGCCTACTCGAGTTACCGCCATATGAGTTTCGTTGCTGTCTCCGTCCAGAATCCGAGTAGGTGCCTGAGTCGGCCGAGGGGCTAGGCTGGTGCGACTGCGATGGCGAATTACGCATGCTTGCAGATCTCCCGATGCCTTCCTCACGAATGCCTGCGGCCTTGGTGTAATACGGCGTCCGCACACGATTGCCTTCAGAGAACGGGGCGTCGACGTTTGGCGAGCTTGATTCGGCAGGCATGGGTGGTGTCGCGGTCGGGCGAGCATAGCTCGAACGGTAGCCTCCAGACTTGGCTGGCCCTTCATCTGCACCGGGCGTTCCGGGGTTGAAGCCACTCTTTGTGGACGGCACCCTCGTGCTCTGACTTCGCCCAAAAGGGGTGCCGTTGGGGTTGTTTGGGTTTGTGGGGTTCGGGCGAGGCTGTTCAGGCTGGGCGCCCGTCTTCATCTTCTGCCATGCCGTGAATACGTTGGCACGGTCCTGAGCATCCTTCTGCGCCGCTGCATGCGGTCGCTGTGCCGTTGGCGGCGGTCGGAAGTTCTTGTTCGTGAATCTGTCCTGGCCGGCGTTGTATGTCTGGTAGTGCTGCGGTGGGGGCGGCCGCTGGGGCTGGGGCTGGGGCTGGGGCTTTGGCGGAGGAGCACGGTAGTAGGAGCCGCTGGGCGTGGTGGTGGTGTGGGCATTGCGAGGCGGCGGGGGTGGTCGAGCTCGCGGCGTGTTCGGCGTGTTCGTGGGTATGTTCAGGTGGCGGTATTTCTTCCTTTCGTTGTCGTACTTCAGGCGGAGGGTGGGATCACACAGAACCTCGTGGGCGGCCTGGATCTCCTGAAACTTCACCACGAAGTCGGCCTCGTGCCCTGGATTGCGGTCCGGGTGGTACTGCAGGGCCAGCGAGCGGAAGGCCTTGCGCACTTCGTTCTCGCTGGCGGTGGGCGCGACCTTGAGGTCGGCATAGTAATTTCGCGAAGCATCAGCTTTGACCATGGCGGGCGATCTCGTCTGTGCCGTGCTCGCTGGAGTGAGGCAAGCGGAGTGCGGGTGTTTGTAGTCTAGGGCAGGCAGGGCACCAGGCAGACACGGCCGCCTTCGCGTGCTTCGTGCACTGTCTCACTGCCCGTGTCGTGAGGCGCAGCGGCGCAGCGGCTCAGATGAGGGACTCGTCAACGCGTGCACCGGGGAACATGGCGTGGGGAAGCGGAATGCAGCAGCTGGAGATTTCTGGAGAGCGTCAGATCAGTAGCGGCATGGCGTCACAGGCTTTGGTGCTGGTGTGAGTGCATCTGGGCGCGATTGGACGCGCAGTTTGTTTTCGTTCGTGTGGAGTTGGGCTGCTGTAGAAACGAGCCAGCCCTATGGCTTTCTCCAGACTGCTCAAGGCATCCTTGTGTTGCTTACGCCAGCCTGAGGCCGAAGCGAAAGGGGCTCACTGACTCACCAGGTCAACATGTCGGAGTCGAGTGCAGTGTGCAACGTCCTGCTGGCTGTCATCTCAGCAGGTGGCATGCAGGAGGACTGCTGTGCGCCCGTGAGATCAGCACATGCAGGTCTGGTCACTTTCAAGGCACAGCAACCACTAGCACGCTGCAACGCAGCTTCGTCGGCAGTACTTCTTGGCTCCCCTTCCGACACTCTGCTCGGCATGCTGCCGAACCTCGCAGTCTCTAATACATGGCATCTACTTGCAGACCATCGTGCCTGCGACGGTTGACAGCTCTGAGCATCTCTGACTCGAGACTTCGTAGATCGGACGCGCTAAGATAAGCTCGTCACGACAGAGGCGCGACATCAATGAAACGCTACCTCCTGCAGCTTCAAAGCCGTGTGAATCTGCAATAAGAGGACTGACGCTCGTAATGGCTGACAAGCTCATTCACATCCTCAGGCTCCTCGAGCATCCTCCATAGCTCTCACATCGTTTCAAGATACCACTGTCACGAGCCTCTCGTACGCGCCAACTCGAGCCCCACCTGTTCATCACGTCGTTGCATCATGCGTGAGCACCAACCACGCACCTGCATCGAAGCACCCACAATGTCGCCTGTTATAAAGACAGTCCCCTTCCAACCACCCAAGAGGACCTCACAGCCCAAAGCAGACGCGCCATGGCACCAGTACCTCACTATCGACCTGATATGGTACGTGCTAGGCTATACGCTCTTCCACCCGTTTGTGTCGTGGGTCGTCGTGCTGTGTCTGCGCGCGCAGTACACCAAGTATGAGGCGCCAGAGATGCGCATCGCAATAGCCTGGTCTATTGCGATGAGCGCGATTGGCATCTTTGGCATTGTCAGCGACAGGATAGCATTTGGCCCGCACAGAGAGGTGGATTTGAGTGAAGAGGTGATCGTCATCACAGGCGGTGTTGAAGGCCTCGGTGGGCTGTTGGCCGATACTTATGGAATGAGGAATGCCAATGTTGCTGTGCTGGACCTGAAGACCGTGGACGCGGCCGAAGCAGAGGCAAAGGGCGTGAAATATTACCAATGCGACGTGGGTGATGCCCAGCAGGTGGAGGCTGCGGCGGCGAAGATCCTCAAAGATGTAAGCAGATACATGACTGAGGCTGAAGAGCGTTCATCCACTAACAGCCCCAGCTCGGCCCTCCTACGATTCTGATCAACAACGCCGGCATCGTCCACACAAAGTCGATCCTCGAATCAACCGCCGCCGAAGTCGAACAAACCTTCCGCGTTAACACCCTCTCACACTTCACGACCCTCCGCGCCTTTCTCCCACACATGCTCGCCGAAGGCTGCGGCACCGTTGTCACCGTCTCCTCCGTGCTCGGCCACCTGGGCGCCGCGAATCTCTCCGCATACTGCGCATCCAAAGCCGCGCTCCTCGCTCTCCACCACTCGCTGCGAGCCGAGCTCGAGAACACACCCGGCGCGGACCAGATCAAGACGATTCTAGTGCAGCCTGGGCAGATGAGCACGAAGATGTTCGAGCATGTGCACGCACCAAGCAAGTTCTTTGGGCCGATTGTCACACCCGCCGAGATGGCACAGGGCATCATCAAGCTGGTGGACAGGGGCGAGAGCGGAGAAGTTACGCTGCCGCTCTACTCGCGGTACATTCAGGTTTTGGGATGCCTGCCGTATGGGATACAACACCTTGTCAGGAGGTGGAGTGGCTTGAACACGGCCGTCGAGGTTGGGAGGAGAGGGAATCAGGTGGAGCAGGTTCAGGAGAAGAAGTAAAAGACTTTAAATCTCTAGAATTGATTCTAGCGATCTTACTCAATGACATCCTCTTGCAGTATCGCCAAATCCAACTTTCTCCAAATCGCATGCAACCGTCGAACATGTGGGGTTCCCAACTTTACTATTGATACGCCTGGACACACGTTTCCACGCTGCCTTGGATACAAAGTTGACGTAGAAATGGACGGGCTGAGGTGCAGCGGCAATGTTGATCGACAGGCAAAGACATCTGAACCTATCAGTCAGAGGGAAGATCCTCCAGACTGAATCGACATCGAAAGCGCAGAGACGGTCTACTTGGTCGTGATAGTCCTGATCAGATGAAGAAGGAAGATTGCATTCCAAGGTCTCGTGTCATTTCAGGTCACTCACAGAATGGGCAAGAGTGCTCACAGGAAGGAGCACCCCAAAATTGAACGATTCAGTACGCAGTGTTATAGGCTTTATATGGTACAAAGGTCAGCTCAAGTCTGAGGTGTCACGGAGCGCTATCGATCCAACGAACCCTTCGTAGCCCAGATAGATTGATCGATATCGCATGTCATTCCATGCATACCTCTTGCCGTTGCACTCCTCCCTCAGCCTCAGCTTTGTTGCCCTGATCACGATGCCGTAAACATGCCTTATCGTACACTCTTAATAGTGAAGCACGTGTTTTCCTAACCGACCTACGATTGGACGAGGAGAGCAAGTCTGTGCTTCGTCTCTCTTCACCTCGCGGCGTGACCTACCTTCTCGTTGTTGTATGTTGGTACGTCCACCACGACACCGCTTTCTGAGCCGCTATTTAGAATCCTCGAGTCTCTGGCACGACCTACCAGCAACTTACTTTTTGGACTTGGTTCCCACAGAGTGTGCGACAGAGTCCGGAGAGTCGTGACGGTCCGTCGAAGAGAGGCTACGGCGCTGGTGGGCATTGCGTGTCGGGTTGCGGTCTGTCTTTGAGATCCGGCGGTCAGGAACGCTATCAAGACGACGGGGAGTTGGCTGGTAGCTAGATTCGGAGTTTTTACAGATACTGTCGGCTTTGAGCTCACTCGATAGAGATGTTTGAGATGCGACGTCGAAAGGAAGACCATGCTTTAGATGTAGTGAGAAAGGGTCCTTCCAAGGCGTCGTGGACTGCGAAATGTTGGTATTTGACACCTCAAATTGCGCTGCCTTGTAATCGAAAGGAGGATACCGGCTGTACTCGTTCTCGTACTCGGTTCGTGGTCGTGGAGGATGCTGGAAATAGCCATCCGCAACCATGAACGGCTGTGGTGCGATAGGCTTGTAGAAACTGCCATCTTCGTCCTGTGCATATACACCGTCCCTCAAAAGCTCGAACTCGCACTTCTGCTCGTATGTGTTAATCGCCCTCCGCACACGTTCACAGAGCAGTTTCAAAAGATTTGCCTCCCTTTTGATCCGAATCATCATATCCTTGTCCTGGTCTCCTTGTTCAGCGACAACGTGTCGCCAGCGCCTCAGAGCAAATATATCACGATGGAGGTCTTTGCCAGTACGTCGAATTCTTGCAACGTCTTCGGGCAGCCAACGTTGACCGCCTTCAGCGTCGCGCTCATAGTTCATAACCAGGTCATACTCGTGTGCAGCACGTCTGATGAGGTCATCAATTGATGTGTTCCAAATCTGCGGTAGCCGCTGCTCGTCCAGATTTGTATCGTGCTGAGAGGTCTCGACCGGCAAAGCGTTCCTTGCAGCATATGAGCGCCGGGGATTCACTGGTATAAGATTCGGGTTCTGGAAGGCGTGTGCAGGTGGCACTGATGTCACGGGAGTCGTCGCAGGCTCTGGATGCTCGCCGTGCTTTGAAGCTGTCCAGGCGCCAGACTGTGCCCATGTTGAAGTCGGTTGCCGGACCGACACGTACGACTCAGGCGATTGCTGTCGCAGAGTCTGTCTGGTTGACTGGGATGAACGGGCGTCCGAAGTACGCCATGATTTGCGGCGTCGTGGCACTTGCTGGCGCTCGTATGTCATGGTCGATTAGAACAATTGGGAATCAGTGAGGTGACAACTAGCAAAGGTGAGGAAGAGAGGACGCCGATTGATTGTGTTTGAAAAGCCCACAAGTTGAGGTGACGGCGAGGGGTTTTAAATGTGCGCGCAACGAAGTGAAAGTAAGTGCTTGCACAAGCGACTGGTAGATCCTTCTGTACAGTCCAAGCATTTCACCTATTGTAACAGGCTTATGAGGTGGTGAACGTTCTCGACGCGTGCTGGCTCTCCAAGATCTAGGAATGGTTCTCAGCAGCTGCACGCTTGCAATTCAACTGCGATCGAAGACTTCTGCACAGTAGCCAGCAGTAGTATGAGCGGTATCACTTGTTCTGAGATGTCAGCTAGTTCGTTCGCTCTTGAGGCACATCATCGGTAAGCATTCAAAAGGGCTGTTGTGATCTCCAGTCGAGGAATACCTAATGGTGTCCAGCTTGGAAGATGCAGTCCAGAAGATCGAAAACACGACAGATTCAGTGGGCATGATCTCCGCAGGGGCTGTCGGAGGTTGTTGGGGGCTGTATTGCACAGGTCAGTTACGATAAAACACGAGGTTGACGAGCACGCGAGGCAGGAGCGAGGGGTTGATCAACGACACGTTAAAGTGTGTTTCAAAGAGAGACGGAAAATGCTTGCGTCCGTGACCTTCTTGGTCAAATCGAAGCCCAGGCGAGTGATTGCACGTTGCACCTGCTCCAGGTCTCGTGTCACCTGCACGTCCAGGGGCACGATGTCTTCTTCTACAGCGGTGGTGACGTGGGGTACACAACGCTGGCAGCGGGCGCCTGCGAGTCCCCTGGTTCTGTCCGTGCCATGACTCTGTGCTCGAATGTTTGCTGGGAACGGGCCTCCATAACAATGGGTGCATTGTCGGCCCAAAGCGGCACCTAGGAACAATGCATTTTAGTTGTTATGATGCATGTTTACGCGAAGGGGTGACCTGGAAACCGCGATCGTGCACGGCTAAGCGCGAACGGTTCCTCCATGTCTGATGCCAGCCACATCACAACACACCCGCCCGGTCCAATAACCGCAGACGCTGTCTCACAACACGCCTCCGTTCGCTCAATTGCGTCTTACTAACCCTCCAGTCAAACCCCCCGGCCTACGCAGCCCTGCTATGGACGCTTCGCGCTGCTGAAGAAACCCCGACGTGCTTGTTACGTCGCGTCGTGAGCTTGCCAAACTCAGACGGCCCCACCTCTCGACCTCGCTACCACCACCCACGCGCCCAACCACCGCTGCGCACCACCACGCATGGCAGCAGTCGCTGTCCCGCAGTCTCCTCGGGTCTCTGCAAACATGGCAAATCGTCGCGTGCCGCTGGCGAGTTTGCAGAATGCCACCAACTCGCCCATACGCGCTCCTGTTGCCGGAGGAAAGCGTCAGCGCTCACACGCGAGCGAGCAGCGCGACATGACCTACGGCCAGCCTCCACAGAAAAAGCAGATGATCGAGGTTGACGACGCTGAGGCTCGCCGTCATGGACTTGTTCGTCGCAGCAATGCCCCTACTACGGCCCTGACTAGGAAGCTCGAAGCTGCCCGTGAGAATAAACCACCGCCCAAGCAGGCTGAGAAGGCACAGCGGGTTACCAACGACCTTGAGACTATCCGTCAATGGCAAAGACACTACCGCAAGCTGTTCCCGCAGTTCATCTTCTACTTCGACAGCGTCCAGGAGCCACAGAAGGATAAGCTCATGAGTCGAGCTCGCATCCTTGGCTCGGTAAGTCACACAGTCAACCGACTTGCTACATGCTAACGTGATTGAAGAATGAGGTTACTTTCTTCTCTCGTGAAACGACTCATGTCATCACGACGCGTCCTATTCCGGCCGAACTCGATACCAGCTCGTCCTCTCTCGCAAAGGGTACCGTCAACCCCGCCCAGTTGGAGAACAAGAAGTCTGTCTTCGACACCGCACTCTCAAAGTCTTGTACAGGTCGCCCCGATATACTCATCAAGGCTAGGGAGCTGGGCATGAAGATATGGTCGGTGGAGAAGCTTCAGCGTATGATCGACACCATGTTCAGCAAAGAGACGGGAGAAGACATTCAGTACACGACGCGTTATTCTACTGCTACTGGACAGAAGGGCCGCCAGGCGGACTTGCAAAGGCTGTTGCAAAATGAAAAGTTGGATCGAGACTATGTCATTGGTGCTCAGGACATGGTACAGTTACGCGGCTACTATGTGTATGTACACGACATGGATGAGGTCACGCGGCCTGTCATGATCAGAGAGTACCAGAAAGTTGAGAAAGAGAAGGGCAAGTGGCCGCAATTTCGTGCCTCGGGAAATGGCAAGTGCCCCTTCGTGGAGGACCCTCACTTCGGGCGTCGCCAGCAGGAAGAGCATGACGAACGCCGCGCACAGAGGGCTTTGGCGGCAGCTCCGCGTACGCGCGCCGCGTCAGCTATGGAAGAGAGGCGTGCCTTGGGCGAGAACAACAATCTAGCCCGACGGGAGACTGCCCCTGCTGTGACCAGGAAGGAAGGTCAAGAGGACGACGCGAAACCCTTGGACCCACCCAAAGGCCCGCCCTTGAAGCGCACCTCTACCGAAGGTCCCCCGCCGATGTTCGGCAGTGCCCAGGCGAGCATACGAGCAATGCCCCGTTTCATTGGAGGAGAGCCTGTGGCATCAGGCCTACATCAATCCAACATGACGTCTGCTATTCAGTCGCAGATGATCTCGTCGACGGCGGCCGCACCTCGTGCTGGTAACAGCAAAGAAGTGAACCAATTGCAGCGGAAGGTTCTGGAGAAGAACAGCGTTACGTCAGCCAACAGTGCCTACTCATCTGTCATGAACGATGTACGCGGTCCCCCGAATCCGGATCATGCCCAGCCAATGCGTGCTGCGAAGCGCAAGGCTCAAGAGAGCCTGAATCAAGCACAAGAGATTGCCGAGCAGGAAAGACAAGCCCGCAAAATGGCAGCCCTGCGTAGACGCAAGACTGCTGAAAAGGAGCTGAAGCCTGGTTACTGCGAGAACTGCAGGGAGAAGTTCAACGACTTCGACGAGGTATGCAAATTCCGTGATCTGGGTTCTTACACAAGCTAACAGCAACACAGCATTGTGTCACTCGCAAACACCGTAAGTTTGCCGTCACAAACGAGAACTGGGTAGAGCTTGATGCGCTACTTGCTCAACTCGATCGTCAATGAGCATTACGCACAGCATACGAATCCACGTTGCATTTCCACGGCGCCAACGCACGACTAATACCCACGACATGGCTTCCCTTCCGACTCCGTTCAATTGGCTGCGGCCCTTCTACCTGAGCCCGTGTACTTTGCGACCCACCCGTTTCATAGCCTTTTCGCGACTTGCAGCATTTTCGAGGCGTATTTTCATCTTCATCTTGGTGGTTTGGTTTGTTCAGTTCGTTTCGGCGGCATTTTTGATCTTTGGAGACTGAAGTGCGCCAGTCCTTGTCTATACCATTGCATGCATAGGGCCACCCTCACGCTCTCTTTACTAGTTCCTGCCGATCCTTGATCGGCTGCTACGTTTGAAAAGCTGATGTTGAGTGATGGTGGCTTGACGACTACCTTGTCGGGAGGAGGAGCGAGAAAGACCTTGGCCCTCGCAGTGTGTACGTGCCACTTTAGGCCAGGCTATGTATCACTATCGTATTAGATATCTATAGCTGTATCGAATGCGATCACTGACACTGTTGACGATTGTTGTCCATCTTAAAAGGTGACGTGGTGGGCCTGGTGGGGCGTGATTGGTTGGTATGGCGTTTACATGCGGGCGCGACTTCACATTGCACCACTTCCACAACAACGTGCGAGACCCGGGACTTTGCCTAATTAACATTCATAAGTGCCCGAAATTGGCATTTGCGCTTGATAGAACCATCACTCCCGCCCTCGGTACGCTCTATCTACGCCCGCTGGATCGTAGCTACCGCCTTTCATGTCCCAGTCACCAGCAGAGAGAGCGATAGAAGAAGATGACAAGACAGAAGCGCCACTGACTATGGCTGCGTCTGTCATCCTGACAAATTTGCCACGCGACGCATCGAAAGCTCTCGAGACAGCAGGGAACCTGGGGGTAGAGAAGAGTGCGTATCGTGACAGCACCTACTCCCAAACTCGCCTGTCGTTGTGTTGACACTCTTGCAGTCACTGTCCGCCTTCAGCCCATCGGATCAGCACCTCATCTCAACCAGAGGGTATTCAAACTATCGACAAACCAGCGCTTTGAGACCATCGTTCGCTTCTTACGGAAACGGCTGGGAGCCAAGGAGCATGAGAGCGTGTTCTGCTATGTTGGTAGCGTCTTTGCACCAGCGCTTGATGAAGGTGTAGGGAATCTCTGGACGGTAAGCTACTAAGGCAAGCGTATGGCAAGTGCAACAAACGCTGATACTCGTGGCAGTGTTTCAAACAGAATGAAGAACTTGTTGTAGGCTACGCAATGTCACCGGCATTTGGATAGTGGCGAAAAATTCAATGTCTCGATTATATGCATCAAACGTCATGTATAAGCACAGCAGAGCAAGTCTCCCCCCCATCTAAAACCAATCAAACCAAAGCCAACGCAAATCGCTACTGTCGTAGCATGGGGTATGTAGCATGCAACAAAAGAATGGCCAAAAATGCAAACCAGGTTCACTCTCTTTCGTTCACGGCCTTTTCAAAGTCTTCAAAAACCTCCCTTGGCATAGGATACGTATGTTCCGGGGCAGGATAAGCTCGGCTCTTCACTTCTGTCTTGTACTGCTCAATGGCCTTGAGCGATTCCTCCCACACATTTCCAAACTTCTTGACAAACTTCGGCAGGAAACGACCTGGCGGAAAGTTGCCGAGCATGTCAACTTGAACTAGGACCTGACCTGAGCAGCCGTTGCCCGCCCCGATGCCAATGGTGGGAATGCTGAGCTTCTTCGTCACCAGTTCAGCAACCTCTGAGGGTACTGCTTCAATAACTGTGGCGAATGCACCAGCCTCCTGTACCGCAAGTGCATCCTCAAGGAATTTCATTGCTGAAGAGGTGGTCTTGCCTTGGACGCGGAAGCCACCCAGAGCATTCTGTCGCTGGGGCGTAAGGCCAACGTGAGCCAGCACAGGGATACCGGCTCCGGTGATCTTGGCTATAGTCGGTGCCATATCTTTTCCGCCTTCAAGCTTGACCGCCTTAACACGGCCTTCTTTGATTACCCGGATGGCGGAAGCAAGAGCTTGCTCGGGAGAAATCTCGTAGCTACCCATCGGTAGGTCTCCAACCTTGACCATGTTAGTATATCCATAATATCTTGCACAGCATATATACACATACTGTGAAAGCACCTTTAGTAGCTCGTGCTACTGATTTGCAGTGCAGAATCATCTCATCGAGCAACACTTCGCTCGTGTCGTCCATACCCATAGCGACCATGGCAAGACTATCACCAACGAGGATGATGTCCATTCCAGCATGGTCGGCGATATGTGCACTTGGGAAGTCGTGGGCAGTGAGAACAGTAATCGGTTCTTTCTTACGGTATAGACTCTGGATGGTGTTGATGGTGACAGGCTTTCTTGTTGTGAAAGTTGTACCGAGAGGCGAGTGTGAGCTCCAGCGAGTATTGATGATGGGCGCCAGCCTTGTCGGAACTGACACTGACGAGGACAATTTGGGCCGACATAATTGCGAAGCTATCCGGAGTGTGTTCATGGTGGCACGCGACACCACCAATGAGCTCAAGGCACAGAAAGGGGGGATGGTCCGAAAAAATTAAATTTTTGTGAGTTGTGAAGTCTCGGCAGATGGGTCTCAAGAGAGCTTCGTTTAGGGGCCGCCTGAAGTCTTATATATGGCCGTGGTGTGGTGTACACATATCTTCGCTGAAGTCTCTCTCACGACGGAGCTCGGACGTTTTTGTCGGTCCAGTCAGTCCCTTTGTCAGGCCAGGACACCGATGCCTGGACTGCTCGGCTCGAGTCAACTAGGTCTGACGCGACGCCTGCAGTAACCATCAGCTATTCGTCGCAATACTAAGCCATCGTCGCTCGGCTTCTGTACCACGTTGCGGAGCTGGGGTACTGCGTTCGTGAGGACTCACTAAGGAGGGTCGTCCGCAGATCCGAGGCCCCGGTCACGCGCCGCCGAGGTTAGCAAAATCATCAGCTTCTACGCCGTCAACATGTAGTACACAGTATAGGTACTCTATGCTGCTATAAGTTATGTAGTGAACCTAGCTATACTAGCCTGAAATCTTCACTAAAGCTATCTCCAAGCAGAGGAACGTGGTCAAGGGGCAAGATGTGAAAAAGGAACGTTCACGGAGGAGCCGCGGCGTTGGCGAGCTGCGATTGGGCTTCATTGCAACACAGAGCTGTGCACTTCACAAGGCCCGCTCAGTGGAGTCCCTCATTATCGAGTGTCTAGAACGTGTTAAAAGGTTTGAGTTGGCTTTGAATAGCTACACAGCCTTTCGCAAATACACCGAGATCAAGGCGTCTGACAGTGCTCGATGAAAGGCGTGACCATTGTCACGGCGATGTCAGACAGTTGAATGCATCCCTTGCTACGTTTTCCTAGAGATGCAATCTTCAGGGACAAGATGTAGCGGCGACGTTCAAGTGCGCGCTTGCGCTCGACGTCGAGTACAATGCATGAAATGGCTGTGGCGTACGACGACTCGGCGAGGACTCCACTTGCCGCCGGACTGAGCGGACGTGTACAAGCGCGACTTGCCGACACAGGTGCTCGTGACGGTGGCTTGACCCAACCACTGCGTTTGAATCAGTGCCTTGACTCTTGCACCATTCCAGTTTGAACAGCGACGTCTACTCACGCACACATCAGGCTCTGCTTCGACGTCACCTTGCCAACAAAGCACCGACGTAGTACCTCTCAACCCCCGCATAGCCCCGCGAGCACATCATAGCTCACCTATACCTACGAGAACGCGACCGAACCACGATATCGCACGCTTGAATCCTCAAGCCTACACGCGCAACGAGAAGCTTTGGAAGGAGTCACATACCGGAGAACGTTGCCATCATGAGTTCCCCGAAAAGGCGCATCGAGACGGATGTAGGTCAATGCTACTCAGGCTACGTCAGGACACAGGCTAACGTAGGTTCTTCGCCGGCGACATAGGTTATGAAGTAAGCTACGAGCCCGTCGTGAGTGGAGCGCTGCTAACAAGGACGCAGGATGTACGTTCTAGGCGCACCTCCGCACTTGGAGCCGAGCAACTGATACATGGCAGGCTCATGAGCGACTATGAGGTCACACTAGTCAACGATAACAGTATGGTGTGCCTTCCCTCCTCGGAAAAGCTGCTGACAATATTGTAGTGTCTGTCTGCCCCCTATCTCGGTTCCCATCGTACTGCGACATCGTTGACATAAGGCAGGCAGGAGTTCTATGTCAGATTCAAGGGGCCCGAGGATAGTACGTCAGCCTCTACAACCATGCAAGTACCTGCTGACCATATAGCACCTTTCCAAGGTGGACTCTGGAAGATTCACGTCGAGCTGCCCGATCAGTACCCGTACAAGAGCCCGAGCATTGGGTTCGTAAATCGCATCTTCCACCCAAACATTGATGAATTGTAAGCGGCACTTACTGCCCTCTTAGAGATCGCGTCTTCCTAGTGGCATATATGTGCAAGTGCTGACATGCATATAGGTCAGGCTCGGTTTGTCTTGACGTTATCAATCAGACATGGTCGCCTATGTACGATATGATCAACATTTTCGAGGTTTTCATTCCTCAGCTCCTCCGGTATCCCAATCCGACAGATCCTCTGAACGGGGAAGCGGCTGCGCTGCTGATGCGAGAACCGAAGAGCTACGATGCCAAGGTTAAGGGTGTGTTGCAGTGGCCAATGTGAAGGGGTAAAAACGCTAATCAACATGATAGAGTACGTACAGAAATACGCCTCGAAAGATATCTCGGAAGACTCTGATAAGGATGACGATGACGATGATGATATGAGCTCAGTAGGTAGCTATGAATCTGGCGACGACGAAGCAGCCGGCAACATGGACGATATCTAGCCATATCGCCTCCGGTGAGCATTCGGCCTCTTCCTGTTTCTCAATTTCAACGGCCTCAGATATCATCACACATGGGCGGACGTTCGAGGCGCATGCCGGCGTGAAGACAGGTTGCTTTAATTCCTCGGGTATCGGGTTTGTAAACGGTTGTTGGATAAGTCTTTTTTGTTTTCTCATTTTGCTTGTAATACAACAGACCTTGCGTATGTGACACGGTATCAGGTCTGGTCAGATTTGAACCCAACACAATGCTTGCACTCTGCTCTCACATATCTACATCTAAATATTCCACTCTTCAATCACCTGCTTCTTTCCGGTATCGTCATCGATTAGCCGCTGCTGGTCGGCTGCTCACGCACACAATAACGACCTGGGCAGAGTTTGACACTCGATTGCACTTGCTTGCGTAGTTTGCTCTCGTCAATTCTAGTGCCACCAGGATTGGGAACACTCAAGCAGCAACTCGAGTGCAGAATCTACCAGCAAGCTTCTAGTAGCAGAATATGTATCGTCCACTGACTGCTATCGCCAATACGGAGAATGATTCTCCTCTCCAGGGCACCTCCACGTCAAAGGCCAAACATAGAGGCGAATGGCCTTGAACAAGCGCATACATACTGCACGAACACCTCAAGCTACTTCCAGATTCTAGGTCCTACCTACAACGTGACTACTTGCCTGCCAGGATCACCAAACCGATTGGCAAATGGTGAAGGGAGTAGTGGCGTCACGTCGTACGTAGGACCAATCACGCCGGCTTGCCTTCACTATGAACACATTGTTTACGTGTCGCGCGCCAACTTTCTGCCGTCGATCCCTGTTTGTATATAAACAGTGGATCACCATGACAATAACAGTAATAACCGCGCCAACAGCACACTTGAAAGGCCTCCACCCCACAACCGCGCAGTCAAGCACCCCGGCTGCCTCGAAACCGGAATAGCTCTCACGTCTCGATACAGTCAAGATGGCGCCAAGCTTTGGTCGGGGAGGTCGACACACTGCTCATCGCAACGCTCGAGACGAAGAGCCTTGTCACATCTCGTCTGCTAATAACACTCAGCTTAGTCGTCAAGCTCATCATACACCCAGTGTACGCGAGGGCGACCGGGCCAGGCAGACACAGCGCAAGCGTAACAATCGAGACCGCCGCAACAAGTTGAAAGTGCCGCGTAGTCCGAGCCCAACGGTGCGCCGTAGTCGTCTCATAGATCGTATGACGTACAGCCACACCAGTGAAGCCCGAGATCCCACTAGCGACAGTCACGCTACAAGCTCACTTTCTCGATCTCAGCAGGGTCGCAGCTATCAGAGACCTGACGCAAACATCCACAGCAATGGCTTCACCGGAGATGGCAAGCAAGGCAAAGCCTCTTACACTTACAAGGACTCCAGCGACATTACTGGCATGGAGGTTGACGTTTTCGCTGATCTCTTCGGCCCTGGACCTCCTCCACCACGCCCGCCTCGACCGTTGGTAAACGACAAGTCTGTACAGTATGGTTCTAATTATAACAGTTCTGCTCGTATCAACTCTGATTGTGACTTGACCTTCAACCTGGATCAGCTCCCTCTTCATTCTGTCCAGCCAGCGACCAGGCGTGAGCCGATCCGCATGATCAATACGGTTACTTCACACGAGTCCAACGTCAGTCTCCCGACATCTGAGCCTGCGTCTGATGTGCATTCCACATCACCACTCAAAACTCCTGAGTCGAAGAAGCATCCATTCAATCCGTACAAAGGCAGAAACTTTGTCATGAGGCGTGTGCAGAACAAGAGGTTACAAAACCTTCTGCTAGACAAGCCTATGCCAAAGCCGAGGAAGAACTTGGAACGTATGGTGCTCAAGTGCACGGGAAAACAGGAGTTCCGCTGATCTGACATCCATCTGCGGTCGATGGTGTTCGTATTACGAGCGAGCACGATTGTCAACATTCAAGTAAGTTGAACCCGGAGACCTTGATTGATCATTTCATTGTGTCTGACGGTCACTCCAATAGGTTCTAACCCTACCGATGTGGAAAAGCGAGTGCGTCTGAGACTCAGATTGACTTGACTGTTGCGAAATCTGCGAGCGAGGCGCTACATCGTTTTGATTACGGAGGGAACACCATGAGCTTAGTGGAACACAGGGTCTTGGTGACGTAGGATTTGGAGATCGGACATGCTTGTTTGAATAAACAGGGCCTGCTACTTTGAGTTGTGGACACACATGTTCGGTATCAGAGAATCGTAAAAGCAGACGGACGGGGTTTCTTTTCTTTTACAGCACAACTCTGCTGTGAATTATTCACCAGATAGCCTGAGGTCAAATTGAAACTCGGTACCACAGCATCTCAAGTCCCCCTCCACATCAATATTGAATTTGACGCGAACCGTGAATCGAGGACACTCATCCAAACTTTTGAGTAGCGCCAAGTCAGAGTTTGTCCATAGATACCAGTTTCGATTGTGCTTCATACACCACCGTTGTACATCAGACTGAAGTACACCGAAAGATGCATTTGTCTTTCGCATTCGTGGCGACTACGTTGCTGCTCGCTGCACCTTCGCTAGCATGGTTGCCAAATCACTGTCTCCCTTGCGCTCTGCTATGCAAATACAACAAGCAAGGATGCGAGAAAGCCAACTGCTTCAGGGAAAAGCCAGGCGGGGTGAGTAGCCTCTACGGACTGAGTATCTCCTGGGTTCAGTACGAAATCTGTTGGCTGACAAGAGCAGGGTGTGGTCACTTCCATATGCAATCTCGTCATTCACAGAAGGTATGCTGAAGACCCTCAGGCTCGTATGCCTGCGATTGCTATACCAACAACCGTAATCACTGCGGTCAAAGGTGGTCGGACGACAGATGTGGAAAGTGCGAGTCTTGATCACGCTGTGACCAGCATCACCTAAACTGTAGCTGCTCTTGAACGCAACTATCACGAACGTCCGATCTCCAAATACAAGAACGGCATATTCGAGAGCTATCGATAAGATCGAACCATCGCAGCTGCATCGTCGTTTCGAGGGCGGACTATTCGTCGGACCGATGCGCCTTGGCAGCTCCTCATGTTCTGGAAGTTTCTGCCGAAGCTCCTCTGTATTTCAACCTCGCATAACTTCGAAGCACCTCTTTCTCTTCAAACTTGTACTGGCTCAGCGCTTTTGTTTCGACCTATAATCATTTATTATCTACTTTGGTAAGTTCATTATTCCTCCTATCTCGAATTACAGGATGAGACACCAGCTGGCACCAGTCTGAGAAGACTTGTACTCTTTGCATGCGGAACAGCTTCCCGGTCCACCAGACCACCTCTGATATTTTCGAATCACTTCAATTGAGCATACGATCCTCTGAAAGGCGCGTTTAGCTAACATATTGAAGTAACAGAACCAGTGCTGGTCGCACCCTACCTTTTCTGCGATGGTTCTCCACAACCCCAACAACTGGCACTGGGTGAACAAGGACGTGTCGGGCTGGACACGCGAATACCTTGATACCGAGCTTCCGCAAATCTCTGCCGAACAAGATGGTGTCACTGCGAAGATCGACAAGGTCGCCAGCATGGACGGAGACGTCGATGTGAGCCAGCGCAAGGGCAAGGTCATCACACTGTTTGATGTCAAGCTGAAGTTGGAGTACTCTGGTAAGTACACCCACTCTCTTCCCGATTGCTCAGCCGGCTGACTCAGTCGGCAGGCAAGAACAAAGACGGCGAGGAGACCAGCGGCACTATCACGATTCCCGAGGTTGCACACGACACGGAGGAAGACGAGTATGTCGTATGTTCCCTTCGCTCACATACCCGTCTTGATTTTGTGTACACATGGACCACATGCTAACGTCAAACCAGTTTGATGTAGATGTCCACGCCGAGGACAGCAGTAAACAACCTGTCAAGGATCTCGTACGATCCAAGATCGTTTCCCAGCTACGCCAAAGCCTTGCAAAGCTTGGCCCAGCCATCATGGCTGAGCATGGCAAAAACATCCAGCATGCGCCGGGCACTGATCCATCGTCCAGTTTCCCAACTGCGAAGGTCTACTCAAGCTCGAGCGTGAACAAGTCCACAGCTTCAAAGACGGAGAGCAGTTCTCAGAAGACGAGCACTGGCTCGGTTGTCAATGTCACCACAATCAACGACAGCACTGAGTTCCGTACTACAGCTGCGGAGTTGTTTCAGACCTTCACCGACCCTCAACGCATCACTGCGTTCACTCGTGCGCCGCCAAAGTCCTTCACAGGTGCTAAGCCAGGTGGCACCTTTGAGCTGTTTGGTGGCAACGTGAGCGGAGAGTACACAGAGCTAGAAGAGCCAAAGCACATCGTCCAGAAATGGCGACTTGCACAATGGCCCGCCGGCCACTACTCAACTTTGTCGATTTGGTTTGATCAGAACGATGTCGACGCAGTCACAGTCATGAGGGTGGAGTGGAAGGGTGTCCCAGTCGGCCAGGAAGAGTCGACAAAGACCAACTGGGGCCAGTACTATGTCCGCTCCATAAAAACAACCTTTGGCTTTGGTACTGTGTTGTGAGCCGGCGAAGGATAAAGTATCGCGACTACCTGGAATATGGAGCACGAACTTTCCGAATGATTTATGATTGCACACGATGGATATGGTGATGAAGCCGTACAAGAGATTCACAGCTACAGATAAAGATGATAGAATTATACCCCTTTACACATTATGTATTCATCATGACTGTTGATTCCAATATACTTATCGAGCCCGCTGCACTGGACTTGATCCAGGGAGTCAGACAATCAAAAAGCGATGTCATTGCCAGCTGTCGGCATCTCCCGGAAACAGGCATATCTAATCCGTGGGCAATGACAAGGGTAAGGTCAAGCTACGCAAGCTCACCAAGCTCAAGGCGAAGCTTTCGCTAGCGCGGAATAGCCCTAGGTAGGCCTGCAGCTTCGTTGGGTTGAAAGCCGCGAACCCTACCATCTCCCAGGCAGCTCCAATAACACCGTCGGCGCCTTTCAGATTGCTCACAATTTCTCGGCCTGAACAGGGTTTGGTTGTTTAAAACACCTCACGGCCGCAATGTGTCGTCCTCTGGAAAGCCCCGGGAGCATGCCCATGACGTCCTGGATCGACTGAAGATGATAGTGGACTTAGCCGTTTAAGGAAGGTAAAAACACCTGGTTATCGCAACACGGCAGCAGTACGGGCTCTCTTTCAAGATGCGTATAAATCAAGCGTCTGGTCCGGTACAAAATCACGCAAAGGTTTCCAGCACTTGGCTTGGACTGCAACTTGGACTCAAGGTCATTTCGTTATTCGCGCGAAGAGGCAGACTGCAGTAACTTTCACCATGCTGAAGCTTTACGCTACGGTGCCTTTGTTGGCGGTCGGCTTCGTTTCAGCACAATTCGTGCCGGAACCTTCAGATCTCACAACCAAGGAAGGCTATGCGGGGATCAACGTGCGCTACAAGGAAGTTCCTGACGGTATTTGTGAACTCGATCCCAACGTGAAGAGCTACTCTGGCTATGCAGATGTTGGCAAAGACCAGCATGTGTTTTGGTGGTTCTTCGAGGCGCGCAACCAAGACCCGAGCGAAGCGCCCTTGACTGTCTGGGTGAGTACTCCTTAAGCTCTACTGTAGGCATATACTTATGGTATCTCCAGATCAATGGCGGTCCCGGCAGCTCATCTATGATCGGGCTCTTCCAGGAACTGGGACCTTGCGGCGTCGGGCCAGATCTCAAGCCGTTCAACAACCCTTACTCGTGGTCAAATGCCAGCAACATGCTTTTCATTGACGAACCTACGAACGTTGGGTTTTCGTACTCAATTCCGATACCAGGATACAAAGATGATAGCGGGTACATTGTGCAGCTTCCGAACGCAACTTGTCCAGACTACGCAGAGGCCTATGGAACGTGCGGCACATACTCAAAGGCCGATCTGACCTTGACAGCAAACACTACTGAGGGGGCTGCACCAAACATGTGGAAGACTCTGCAGGGATTCATGGGCGCCTTCCCTGAGTACTCACGCAAAGGCTTTAACTTTGCTACGGAAAGCTACGGAGGGCACTATGCGCCTGTTTTCAATGGTCGGTATGCCTCGGTGAAACACGATCTTGCGGCTGACATCTTACAGCATACTTCCTCGATCAGAACAAGAAGAACATTACCGGAGCCCACAAGATCGACCTCGAGAATGTCTTGATTGGCAATGGTTGGTTTGATCCACTCATACAATATCAAGCCTACTATAACTTTTCTGTTTCTCCGGGTAACACATACGACTACGACCCGTACAATGCGTCCATCAAGGCTGAGTGGTACAACAACCTGTACGGTGCAGGCAACTGCTACGATCAGACCAAACAATGCTACGAGACGGGAGAGAACGCAGTTTGTGCTCGCGCAGACAACTTCTGTTTTGACAAGGTCGAGAACATGTATGACATCTACAGCGGGCGAGACGAGTATGACATGCGATACCTACAGCCTGATCCGTTTCCATACTCTTACTACGTTACCTACCTCAACACGCCAGAAGTGCAGAAAGCGATCGGCGCGTATCAGAACTTTTCTGAGAGCTCAGGCACGGTGTCTGCGGCATTTGGCAACACTGGCGACGACGATCGCGAGTCTGGGACGATTGAAGCGTGCCAGAAGCTGCTCGCTGCGGGTGTTCAGGTGATGCTGTACTATGGAGATGCGGACTACAACTGCAACTGGTTTGGTGGACAGGTTGTTGCAGACGAAATTGCAGCACCCGGCTACGACACGGCAGGATTCGTCAACATATCGACGTCAGACAAGATCGTGCACGGCCAAGTCAAACAGTCGGGTCTGTTCTCCTTTGTCCGCATCTACGAGTCAGGTCATGAAGTGCCGTTCTACCAGCCCCTGGCGTCGCTGGAGATATTCGAGCGCGCGCTGAAGCAGGTGGACATTGCTACGGGCGAATGTGCAGTGGACGCTAGCTACAAGACGGTGGGGCCGGCGACGAGCACGTACCGCGAGGGCAATGCCACGGTGCAGTTTGAGGTGACGCCGCAGAACGCGACCTACAACACTGCGCTGAATGCTCCAGACGCGGCGCCAACGTGGACGGCACAGGCTGGGGCGAGCGCCAAGGTGAAACGGTCGAAGGGGAAATTGGGACGGCCAAGCATGTCGCTGGTGAGAAGGCGGTCTGAGTGAAGCGCGAGCAGCACCATAGCGATCCTGTAGATAAGTGACAATGGAGATGCTATGACAGTGCGTGCAAGACAAGTCTCAGTGCAACATGCAGGCGGGCCGTGCACCGGGTCGCGACGCGACGCCGTGGTGCGGCACTATGCGTTAGTCAGCTCGCACAACGTTGGCGCTAGTGACGGGGCGCGGAGGGCTCGAGGTGTCGGCGTGCATCTGGAGCCGAATTGGCGCGCTGCTCGGCGGCGCTGCTCAGTCGCGCTGGTGACTGTCGACCTCACGGCGACGGTGCTGAGCAGCGGCGAGCAGGGGCGCGAAACAGTTGGCAGCAGCGTCGGCGCGCTGGGCGGGCGCTGGTATGATCACCACGGCTAGTCATCCCTGCATGCGGGATGCATGAAGCCTTGGAAGTTGGAACCGTGGGCGTTGAGCATCGCATCCTCACCGCGCCCCGCGCACCGCACCCACGAGCTCGGCTGCCTCGACCACGCCGCGCGCTCCTCTGCACGACCGCCGTCGGACGCTGCTCCCAGACGCCGCCCCCGCCCCACCCGTCCTCGCGCAGCCCGCGCAGCTCGCCGCATCGTGCGACGCCTGAGGCGCGCAGAGTTCGACGCCCCAATCGCGGCCGAGCCGCCCCCCCGCGCGTCCTGCCTCGACACCGTCTGCCATGGTCGCGTCTGGCGCAGGGCCTCGCTGAGGCGTCTCCGCCGCTCACTAACCGCGCCGCTGCCACGCTCCCTGCCGCCGCGCGGACGCACAGCGGCCGCCGAGCCCACGCACCACCCCGGCATGGCGCCGTCGAACATGTTCTCATACCTCAGGCCGGGTCATGCAAAGCGCAATGCCGCGAGCCTGGCCTCGCCCGACCCCGTCCACAGCCCCGCCGCCCTGCCGCTGCCCTCGCCGTCGCAGACCACCGAGTACTTCGCATCGCCGCGCCCTGCCGACGGCGCCTCCCTCGCCGCCGCTGAGCCCGTCTCGCCCTTCCCGCCGCAGCTGCCCCCCATTGCGCGCGTCGCCGCCACGCTGGACCCCGCCGCCCAAATGCTGTCCCCGCCGCCGCGCGCCCCGCCGCAGCCCTCGCCCACCCACGACCGCAAGCCCGCCTTCCTGCGCTCCAAGACAGACGTCACGCCCCGCCCGCAGGGCCTGGGCATCTCCCACAAGCCCGACCCGCCACACGCCCCCGAGACGCCCTCGCACTCGTTCACCCACCTGGCCCCGTCGCTCACGTCGCCCGCCTATGCCAGCCACTCCAAGTCGCAGACCTCCCTCATGAGCGGTCTGACCGAGAAGCTGTCTGGCAGCTCCCGCGCGTCCCCCGCGCCCACATCGGCTCCCACCAAGTCCAAGTCGCGGCTCAGGAACCCCATGTCCCTGCTCATGCGGCGGCGATCGGGCCAGACCCTCGACCCCCTCCACGACGAGTCGCTGGTCACACAGCGCTCGCCCTCGTTCATCCCCCCGCTCCGCGACAACTACGACCCCAGCATTCGCGGCAGCATCATCCACGACTTCAACGCCCCGCGACTGAACCGCAACTTCTCGTACAACAATGCCTACGGAACCAGCCCCGTCCCGCCAGCTACCCCAGGCGACATGGGCCGAGTCAGTCCGCCAAAGATCGACAAAGAGCACACCCCTGTCTTCCACGAGCACTTTGACGACGACACCAGCTACGAGCAGTCACAAGCGGCTGTCCGAGCCGAGCAGTTGGCAAACAACGACTTTGTGGCGCGCAACTCGATGCTGCTGCTGTCTGAGCCCTCGCCTCCTGAGAGTGCACCCGCACCTGTGTCTGTATCCACACCTGTGTCCTCACCCGCATCTGTACCTGCATCCGCACCTGCCCCTGCGCCCACGTCAGCACCCCCACAAGACACGAAAGAAGCAGCATCAGACACATCCCTCGAACCACCTGCGCAATCCATGTCGCCCCCTCCTCCACCCCCCTACCAAGCTGTCGACCTCGTCTCGACAGTCCTCTCCCCCGTCGAGGAAGTGCCCAGCCCTACGTATGCGCCAACAGACGACATGCCGAAGTCGAAGAAGTCGACAAAGTCGACAAAGAGCCCTCCGCCATCGAGGTCGCGAGCGACTTCAGTCACAGATCCCTCGTGGCAGCCCGCTGGATTGCCCGCACATCTCAGCAGTCGAGCCTCAAGGTTCAGCTTCCAGATCAACGGTGGCAGTGACTCGACGCAGGAACACGTCATGGAGGAGAGACACAGGAAGAAAGCAGCGGAAAAGGCATCCAAGCAAGCGCACTCCTCGAACACCATCGAGGATGAGTACGATGAGTTCGACATGGACGACGATTACGACATGGATGGTGGTTTCGAGGAAGAGATCCCCATGCTGGGAGAAGAAGATGACTTCAGTGGTTTGGGGAACCAGAACATCAACGATGGCATCAGCAGCTTTGACTTTTCGACACTGTCCATCAATCCAGGTCAGATGAATCACATGGGCATGGTCTCCACTGACCAGCTTCAAGCCCCGTATGATACAAACGGCAATCCCATAGGGTTTGCAATGTCCGGAGGGGTGCAGCAGATGCAGTCGAGCGAGAACCGCGTGTATTTGAACCCTGAAGAGGATGACGACGACGAGATGCAGCCAGCACAAGCATATGGCCTCCAATCACATGTTCACATGCCCATGCAGCAAGCTGTCGGAAACCTAGGCCTTCAAGGAGCATCTTCCAGTAGCGACGTGAGTCCAGGACACCTCAATCTCGATGACGACATGTATTTCGACGACGGTCTGATTGGCGAACAAGATCTTGACGATGCGCCTGCGTTCGATGAAGAGACATTTGATGATCCCCAGGGTCCTCTATACGAGCGTAAAATGAAGGAAGCACCCGCCGAAGAGGCACCCTCATCGCAACCTCTACAGGCGTTGCCTTCAGAGACGGGATATGAAGCGGACGATGACACTCTGTCCAAGCACCTAGCGAAGTCAGAGCCTTCCTTACAACACAAAACGTCAATTGCGCATGCGCCAGCCGGACCGACCATGTTCAGCTTCGATGATATGGGCTCGTACCATACAGCGCTCGTCGATGCAGCGAATCGTGCGGAAGCCGAAGGGCGCTTCGCACGGAAGGCGAGTGTTGACATTGGAAACACTAGCTCTGAGCTCGATGAAGCCTCGTCGGTCAGCCACTCACGTCCAAGCTTGGTCCCTGATGAAGGCCGCTTCAGCCCAGACACGGTTGGCTTCCCACTCGACGACGATGTCTACGGGACAGACATGAGTTTCCAGGACGATTACGACTACAGCGAATACGATTCGGCTCTCGAAAACGACCCCATGATTGCCGCTGCCAATGCTGAGGCGCTGGCCTACGATGACGAAGGGTTCTACGGGAGCGAATTCGGCTTCTATGCTGCAGCCGGTGACGCACAGAGTGAATGGGGCGGCGTTTTCGCCTCCGGGCTTAATCGCGCTGTCAGCGGGCGTAACGTGATGAGAGAGCCTAACTTGACACCTATTACCGAACGCAGCGAGTACAGTACTCGCAATTCGTTCATCAGTCTGAACAACTTCCGCGACGGATCGCTGCCGATAGCCAGTCCCGGCCTCGCTCAGCTGGCGCGTCTCAGCCCATACGGATGGCCTGCTGAAGAGGAGGACATGAGTCTCGACGCCTTGATGAAACTGAGGAAGGGAGCGTTTGGTGGCAGCGCATCGAGTTTGCCGAGCAGTACTGCAAACAGCCCCCGCAACCCGTCACCATTTGGCATGCAGTTTGCACCAAGAGCTGGTAGCGCAGCCGGCAGTCGTATGCAAGAGCATTATGGGAGCGAGATGGAGAGCGACGAGTCGGGGAACCTTGCAGATAACTTTGACGACAACGCGGAATACGACGAGGGCCTAATGGACGCAGTCAACGGCGCTTTCGAGGACGGGGACGAAGGCCGTAGCGATGGCGACGAGCGCCCCGAGAGCCCGACTCTCACAGTGAGCGACTACAACTCGCTGTCAAGCCCCGTTGGGCACCACGACCTACCGCCGTTCTCGCCACCGCCGCGCCCTCAGATCCTGCAGATGCAAAGCCTGTACATGCAACCTCCAACCACCCTCGCCTCCGCCATAAAGTCGCCCGCAAGCATCGCTCTCCCAATGTCACCCTTCGGCATGCCCCTCCCCTCGCCCTTCACAATGAGCAAACACCCCGCCTCCCCCCCGCCCATCGACACCTCCCTCTCGTCTCCCGCGGCAACCTCCTCTACCGGCCCCCGCCGCCAGTCCGTCGGCTTCGCGTCCCCGATCTCGGCCTCCTCGCCCATGACGCCCAACGGCAGCGGCTGGCGCGCCGGCCACTCGCGCAAAGGCAGCGCCGCAGACAGTGTGACGTACGTGCGCGAGCACGACGAAGCGGGCGAGGGCCGCTGGGTGCTCGAGCGCCGCCGCACCGCCGAGAGCGGCGAGCTGGAGCTCATTGGCCGCGAGATTGTCGAGGGCGGCAGAATTTGATACCCGCTGAGCCTATGTGTGGCACAGCATGGCATGGCGTAGCATAACACGATTTGACACGGTGTGGCATAACACGATATGGCATGCTGTGGCATTTAGGGAGTTTGGAGCGATAGTGTATTTTTTTTTTTGGACAGAAAAGTAGTAATGCTGCGATGATGGGACGGGCTGGCCCTTGTTACCGATGATAGATACCATAGCATAGCATAGCGTAGCGTAGATCAATGATGATACTGCAGTCACTACTGTGAAGCCATCGAATGCTTCTGTACAGCATAGCTTGCCTGGTTGTACTTTATGGTGTTTTGGTGGTCGGCCATGTTCAAATTGCGGTATTGTAGGATTCAGAGTGCAAAGACTTAGATCAACTGCGACACTGCACGGCACGCTCTCTTACGAGATGGGAATACATTTGCTTGCTATGATGCGCTATGCTCAACCAAAACGCCGCAGATCATCGGGTTGCTATATGCCAAAACAATACAACGCCACGGGGGGTAGTCCAGTCCACACGTTGCCTCGCCACGCATACCATACCATACCATGCCATGCCATACCAAACCACGTCATGTCACATCATCCCGCGCCCTCCCTATCCAAACCATAAGTATATCGACATCGCCCCGCCTCGCGTGCACCCGCACGGCTACCCAACAACGGCCTTCATACTCAGCCGCTCCAAGAACCCGCTCAGATCCTCCTTCCGGATCTCAATCACACACGCCTCGAACGCGTCCATGCGCACGCGCGCCCCCGTCTCGCGCACGACCTCCTGGAACGCATTGCCGAAGCGGTTGCGGCCCGCGCCCGCCTCCGGGCCGTCGTCGTCGTCGCTCTCGCTGTCGTCGGACTCGTCGTCGTCGTCCTCGGTGTCGTCTTCGACTTCGTCTTCGTCCAGCCCCGCGGCCTCGAGGCGCAGCCGCCGCGCGTCCCTGCGCTTCTGCAGCTCGGCGTCTTTCTTCGCGCGCCTGTCTTCCTTGAGCTTGGCTTTCCTGTCGCGCTTCAGCAGGCGCTCTTTGGCGGACTCGGTGGCGCCGCCGCCGCCCAGGCCGACGACGACGTAGAGCCCGCGGCTGTCGTCGAGGCCGGCCATGACGAGCTCCGAGCCGCGGTTCTTGCCCTTTGTGCCGTTGAGCTCGACGATGGCTTCGGCGATCCAGAGGGCGAGTTTGGTGAGCGCGCCGGGGTGTGTGAAGAGTTGCACGTCGGGGCCTTCTTTTACAACGGCCATGCGGAAGGCGCGGAGATGGCGGATCTGCTTCTTTTCGATCAGTGCGGTGCCTGTGCGGAGGATGGCGCGGTGGAGGTGCTGTGCTGTGGATATGTGCTGGACGAGCTTGTCGATTTGGCCGAGGGCGTCGTAGGCGGTCCAGAAGCGGGCTACGACGTGTTCCTGCGCCTCGTCTTGTTCTTCTTGTGTTGCAGCTGCAGTCGTGTCGCCGTGATCGTTGGTGCCGACGAAATTTGTCGGCTCGAAGGAGGACTGGGCGAGGGATCTTGCGTCGCCGACTTCGAGGATGGCGCCGAGGATGACGGCTGCGTCGACTGCGGAGAGGCAGGCTTTCCAGCCCCAGCAGCGCACGAAGCCCCATCCGTCCTTCATGTCACCGCCTCGCGGTGGTGGAGGCACTAGACCGTCAAGCCCATACTGTGGCGCGAACTTCAGTAGTCGTTCTCTTAACCCGCGTTTGAGCTCCATGTCCATGTGTGTGTAGTTTTGTTTGCACTCAGATAGGGAAACACCCATCTTTGCCAGTAGCTTGTTCAGCCGCTTTTGCCCTTGTTCACTCCACATGTGTAGTTTTGCAGATAGATAGGGCGAGTGTTGCATGCTTTCGTAGAGAGACCAATGCCGTAATAGGAGGAACCGTGGCTCTGGCGACAGCCGTATCGACTTGTCTGTTGCTGATCGTGCACTTGTGGGGATCACACCGCTCGCGTCGCCCAAACTTGCGTCGCGTGCTACGCCTTGGGGGTCTGTGACGGGATTCAGTCGGCGTACTTCGTCTCTGAAGACTGAGCGGATCTGCTCTCCTCGGTTGCCATTCCAGCCTGCAGATCCACCAGCTGTCGAGAGGGGGTTCAATCCGACGCCGCTTCCCGTCCGGCCATACAGTTCCAGACTGCTGACACCCACTATTGCATTCCAGAGGAGATCGTTGTCTTCACGGCCGAGTTCTGAAGCTAACGCGTAGACGAGCGAGGAAACGGGTTCCGCATACGAGGCGCCGAGTTGGTAATACTTGTCGAGCACGTTGGTGTACTTGTTCCGCATGATCACAAGCTGTTTTCGCAAGCTCTTGACGGAGTTCTCTTTTGGCGGTACTATCGATGGAGAGGCTGAGCGGCTGCGCGAATCTGACCGTGAGAAGTCCGAGGATCCGCCAAGCTGGTTCTCAATCATCAGACCTCGACGCGCCGGCCTTCGGTCTGGAGACGAGGGTATCGAGCCTCCCTAGCCATGTGTCAGTGCCGCCACTCCAGTACTGCCGACTTGTCTTACCGAATTGCTTCGTATCCTCTGCCGGGGCCGGTCGTCATCTGACATTTCCTCGTCCGAGTCGTCTCTGTCGCTCCAGGATTTTCTTTTCTTTTGCGCCTGCCCAGAAGCCGGTGCGTTCTCATCGTGGTCGTCCGCCTCGTCGTCTGAACCAGTATCTTCCCCTACCTCTGGCATCTCTTCGAGTCCGCAGTAGGCTTCCCTCTCTGCTTGGAGCTCCTCCTCGATATCTCCATCGTCAAAAACTATAACACCTCCTCTTAGGCCATTGTATGACTGCATTATCCTGCCCTTCTCCACGCCAGGTTGCCGCCGTACTAGTTCCCCTGTTGTCGAGTCCTCGCTGATGGGTGTACCGAACACGTTCGCCAGGTTCCACGGCCGTCTGGCGTCGAGAACCCAGACCTCAACATCTCCGGTGCCTCCCTGACCATTCTCGTCCATGTCCATACCCAGAATCTCTTCCATGTCAATCATGCCTCCAACACCCAAGCACACGACAACACCCCCACTCCCGCCCTCCGTTGTCCGCATAGGCCGTACCAGCTCATCTGCCGCGCGTGATAGGTCGCCATAGCCAGCAATTGGTTGTATCTTGTGCGGTATGTAGTCGCGCTTTAGTAACGCGGTGAGTATTCGACACGCACAGAGCGCGTCCGGTTCGAGGGCGACGAGGAGGAGCACAGGTGGGGCTGCAGCGTGGGTTCGCTTTATGAGGTTCTGGTAGAGGTGCGCTATAAGGTTTCGTGGGAGGTACATGTTCGCGGTGCGCGGTGTATGCGGGCGTGCTCGGCGTCCGTGATCTCGAGAATGTCGCGCCGGAAAGACGCGTAAAGGGGTTTGCGGGGAGATTAAGGTAAGTCGGGGGTCATTGCGTCATGAGCATGCTACAAAAGAATAAAAGCAGCACTTGCGAGGCGAGAGCGCGAGGAGAGCAGATCGTATGCTTCGTACGGATGCTTGCACGATATCGTGACGCTGCCATATTGATTCCGCGACGCGTTAATCACGCTAGCCCGACTTGGGATGGTGCAGCCTTGACGTGAACGTGCTCTTCCGCGTTGATCACGATCGATTATCCCTCGTACACATCAATGTCATAGGTCAATATTGTTCGTTCATTACTATCAAATGCTACCTTCGATCCTGGGATTTAAGATAAGTTGAAGATCATGACGATATGCTTTCCAAGCAATAATCCTTGGCTTGTTCCCTGGACACTCCCACCTGTAAGCATGCCACAGATTTCCAGATCAGCCCTTCGTATTTGATCATCAAACTTTTACGACTCTCTTTGTAACGCATTCTCATTAGCAGTAGAAAGTAGTCAGTGTGACCCTGTAACGACTTTGCAATGCCGTTCACAGGGGCTCAAGCTTGACCATGACTTTCTCGTGGTAAGCTTCCTCGTGGTGAGCTTGAAGCTGAACAAGAGCTGGAACGATGTCGTAACGTTGATCGAAGTACTCGCCATATGCATTTCCCCACTTCGTTAAGGCAGGCCTTACGACGAATGCAACCACTCCGTCTACGCGGTCCTCACCATCAGGATCTGGGAGGGGCGTCATCTTGGTACCGTCGAAAGCGTCATCGACGCTGGGGAATGTGAGCTGAATGCGAGATCGTTGAAGAGACATGTGTAAGGCCAGAGTGTGTGCTGCTTCGACCACTTTTGGGAGAATCTGGAAGTCTGTAGCTGATGATAGATTGGCCAATCTTGTACCGATCTCGTTCGCCACCTCATTACGGATTTGCGAATCCTCACCTTCAGCGTCTTGTGAAGGCGTACCACCAGGAAACTCACGTCCTCTGACCGAGACTTTCGCCTCGTCGATCAAATCCATAGTCTCGACTGCATGCTCCACGGTTTTGTAGCGCCAGCTTTCGCACAGTGCGGAAGGGACTGGCCAACCGTGATGGTGCTTGTTGTCGAACATCCCGGACCAAATTTCAGCCATGGCAGTGTCGTTACTTCCAAGAATAGTGAACGGAGTTCTGAAGGTTTTCTCTAGCAGGACAGACCAGGTCCAGGCCTCGATAAAGAACTTCTTGCGCGCACGTGTGCCCCACTGGTTCGCTCTCACACCACTGAGCAACACACGGGTGTCTAGAACCTCAGACAGTTCCGTGTCTCTGGCAAAGCGAACCGATCGACTGAGCGACTTGACCAATGCGACGAGATTACGGAACTCATTCCCGAGGTGGTCATCCGAAATCACACGCTCTTTGTCAACTCTCGCGAGTAGCTGCCTCTGCAAACTCTGGACTTGATCTTTCAAGTATTGTACCTCGGTCTGCGAAACATCCATTTCAGTCAGCTCAGCTTCCAAAGACTGCACCTGACTGGAGCTGGACTGGACCTTGCTCTGCAGATCAGCGACTGTTATCTCTAGAGATTTGGCCTTCAGTGCATCGCCGAGCATGGGCTCCAAGACTCGGTCAAGGGTCACATATGAGCTGTCTTGCACTCTGATACCTCTTGTACGTGCGTATGGGCCCATGTAGGTATCGGTGATGTATGTCAACTTCTCATCAAAGTTGGAAATGTCAGATGAGAGGATCTTATTGTCAGACTTGAGGTGCTTGACATCGACTTGCAGTCGACTGTGTTCTCGGTACAATTCGTGGAAGCTTGCATCTAGCTTGCGGTAGCGCTTGTCTTCTCTTCTCAGTTCCATCGTTTGCTTTCGAAGTGTGCTTCTGAGACTAGCAGTCGTATCCCCATTTGGCGGGCGGGGATCAGACCTGAAGCCGGCACGCTGCATATCTCTTCTTTCGTTTCCAGTGTGGTTCCTAGCCCTCATGTCGAGTGACTCTTCGTTTATGGGCTTTTTAGTGTAGTAGGAATACTTTTCTTCTTGTTAGCCAAGCTTGCTTGTCATGAACGGGACTCACCGTCTCCTTCAAAGTATCACTGAATCCCATACTTGATTTCCCGGCGCAAAGGTTGCAGAGGAGTTGCAGGACAATTAGGCGTTGGGACTAGGAGTCGGCTTGATGTAAAGCGATCTTACCCGCGGTTAGGGTAGTAATTGCCATAAGCGCTCCTACTGTCTCTCACCATGAGTACTGGATGAGTCTCTTCGATGCGAGTATGCACTCTTACCTTGAACCAACAAGCAGCGGCCATATGCCTTTACCTGGGCATTTTTCCTTCACCAACAACCTATAAAGAATACTTTAGTCTTGATTACACACGCACTCTTCTTCACACTCATCCCACATCTTTCCACATATATCAATACCACCCAGGTAACGACTCTGAGAGAAAGCCGTTGCCATCATGAAAGGCACACGTCTAGTCATCGGATTAGACTATGGTACGACATACACCGGTGAGTATCGCCTGATTTCCCAAGAAACCAATCTTCTAACGGGGCTTCAGGATTGTCGTTTTGTGAGACATCCGGAGATACCGACTTGAAAAATGAGCTCATCGAGATTGTCCACGACTGGCCATCGGCACACTCCAAGATAGCGACGAAGGAGAAGGTCCCCAGCGAGGTCACATACCAGCCTGAAGGCTTGGTTTGGGGATCTTTGATTCCGCCGAATGTTCAGAGACATATCTGGACAAAGCTCGAGCTCGAAAACCACCCGAATGGAGAGGCAGCCAAGCAAGATACTAAGTCATCGTCGTCGATTGTCCTGTACAAACCACCGGTCGATATAATCGCTGATTTTCTTGGCCAAGTGAAAGCGCATCTGATAGGAGTTCTCGACCGCAAGTATGGGGAGAATCTCTGGCGGACTCTTCCTGTCACACTCGTCGTTACGATGCCAGCGGTATGGTCGGATGGTGCTAAGGCTCGCACTCGTCAGGCTGTCGACAAGGCTGGCTTCAACGTAGCCCAATTTCCCCAGTTGACTCATATCATCAACGCGACAGAACCGGAGTCTGCAGCTATCTACACTATCCGCACATTGAGAAATACTGCCCATGATACGCAATTTGCCACCGGGGATGGCTTTATCCTATGCGATTTAGGAGGTGGCACGGCGGATTTGATTTCGTACAAGGTTGCGAGATTGAGTCCTACTGTCGTTGAGGAGATCACAGTCGGAAGTGGCGATCAGTGCGGCGGCACCTTCGTTGATCGTGCTTTCTTGCAGTGGTTGGAACGTCGGCTGGGCACTGAGGACTTTGTGAAAATCGCCGGCTGTCGCAGTGAGCAGATTCCTCGCACCATGCTATCCAACAAGGCTGCTCGAATGTTGCAGAATTTCACACTCGAAGTCAAAGGTGGGTTTTCAGGAACAGAGAGCTACACTCTGCAGCTGCCAAGTCCTCTGAGCGCCATCGAAGATGATGAGGTGAGAGGCATCGAGGATGGAGAGATCCGCATCACATCGTAAGTTAGCAGTAACAAGATGCATATCAATGTTGACCATGGCAGCAACGATCTTATCTCAATGTTTGAGATGCCCATCCGCAGAACTTACGAGCTCCTTACCAAGCAGCTGAAGGAAGCGCGGAAAGCGAAAAAAGTACATGTTAAGGTGAGTTCCCACGGATGGAACCATGCTCTTCAAGAACGGTTCGAAGTCTAATTCTCGCAGTACGTCTTCCTTGTCGGAGGTTTTTCAGAGTCTGCGTACATGTATCGCAAGATCAAGGAGTGGGCCGAAGATAACGGCTTGAAAGCTTTAAGGCCTTCTTATGCGTGAGTGGAACATGCAACTCATCTGCAGACATACTAATCATATCTATAGTTGGTCCGCTGTTGCTCGAGGCGCTGTTGCCAAGGGCCTTGAGGGAGACACTCAGGTAGTGGCAGCACGCAAAAACCGTCGGCACTATGGCACCGTTTCAAGTAAGATTTTCATCAGCGGTATCCACAGAGAAACGGAGGCTGCCATCTGCCCATACACTGGTGTAAAGCGCGCTCACAGCCAGATGAATTGGCTTCTGAAGCAAGGCCAAACCCTCCCTACATCCGGTCCGGCGCACGCTAAGATCTCGATGAGCACACTTTTCTGGCTCACACAAGAAAGAACAAGTACACTTCGACTTGAGGCTTCGAACCGAGCAAGAGCTCCCAAACGCTCGGTAGATGCTGTACGTACACTGATTGATGTTCTTCACCTTTGACTGACATTACATAGGGTGTCTACAGGGTCGCTAAGGCCACAGTCGACCTGAGTAAGGTTCCTGAGAAGGCATTTTTGAAGAAGATGAGCCCCATCGGTAGGCCCTACGTTCAGCTGAACTATGAGATCGAGCTCTTCGTCCAGTCTTCCCTGGAGATGTACCTTTCAGTCGACGGTAAAAGGTATGGAGAACTGACTGCTGCTTTCGACTAAGCAAGGTATTTTGCTCTTCAAAAAGTTACCACGGGTCGCTACCAGCAAGGTTTTGGTGGAGGCAACACACGATTTGACCAGATGGCAATCTAAATGATTTGGCTTGAGGCCACAAGCATCAGCATGTCCGCTGAGTATGCTAGCACTGGTGCTTTTTTGCGTTCGATTTATCAAGATGCAGGTACTGATTGGAAGGCTGGAATGTGGTGAAAACTTTGGAACGTTATCACATGCTCCAAGCCTAGCATCTTTTGACACAACTACATAATGCAGATCTGGAGCACTGAATCACTACCTAGGTAGTGCTCACATGCTTTGTACCACAACGTGCTGACTTCTGTCCGTCTCTAAAAATTCTTAACAAAGTTCTCTCCAGCTTCATCTCATCCACAGCCAATCACGTCTTGCGACTCCGCCAAGTCGTTGCATCTACCCTTCCCCATTACGGCCTCTCCTACTCAGACATCTCACGCGCGACGCTAAATCACATGATCGAAAGTGCATGCGCGCCATCCGACACTACACCCTAAGCTTCTCACAGCCGGACCACTCACGAAGATCAGCAGACGTGCCACCCTGTCGCTTCAGCATGGTCTGACAGTTGAAAGTGACGCCAAACCGCATCGTGTCTGGGCCGGTCGCAGAGAGTTCCGTGCAGGCTCGTTAGTGGGGTGTGTGGCGTGCGCCGGCGAAGTTTATTTACACCGAAGATGAAAGCCTCCGTGCTCTTGCTCCATGGCACATGCATGCAGCCTGCGAGCGTGATGACACGACATGGCAGAAGTGACATGTCGTGTCATTTTGCTGCAGACCCCACTAACGTTGAGCGGTGGGGAGTGACGCTTGCAGCATGCACGCAATCACCTAGCCCGCGTGCGTTGGGCGCTGGACTGCTGCAGAGCAATCAGGAAACGCATCGGGAGACCCGCATCGCACCACTTTTCTTGATGATGGGGTTGAACGGTGAGCATGGCTTCGTGGACGCGCTTGTTGTTGAGACGGTTTTGGCTCCGGGCCTGTCAGGACAAGGACCGCGCTGGGATACGCGTGCAGCTTGTTATTTTGTGCGCCGGACGCGATCGCCTCACGCGTCAGCCAGCGGATGCATGTCGGCTGGAGAACAAGGCCGGGGCAACAAGGTCAAACGTTGAGGTGAGATCGAGACTCATGGGCAATTTGGTGTCGACAGTCGCTGATAGGGCAGCATTGAGATGATGTGGCGCACGGCAGTGGGTTGTAGATCGTGATTAGCCGGCGCGTCAGAAGCTACCTTGGACACGTTTGACGACGATACAGGAAAGTTCAATCACAAGATGGGGTCAGAAAGCGTGGGTACTAGACGGGCCTTGAATTGAGATAATTGTGCAATGCACAGGTGAACTGTTGTTTGTAGGTACGGTTGTGAAGCTGGATGTGACCCGCGGCATCTGCCAGTAATTGTCAAGCTGGGGGATCTTTCGATTTTGTCTATGTATATATGCATAATCAATCCACGGTCCCTATGGGTGGCGGAGCATCTCCCACTGCGGATGTCTACGGGACATGAAGTTATAAAAGAACTCCGACCCCAATCGACGCCAGCCATATCCTTATTTGCCGTGAGGCTAACCGTCTTCCGAGAGGAGAAAAAAAAAAACACCATCACATAACTGACACCGAACACATGAAGTGTCTCCCAAAACGACGTAAAACATAAAACCCTTCTGATGCCAGATATCCCTGCTCGTGTCGTGAGGCTGGGTGTCTTCCAATGACGCCAGGATACCGGTGCTCCCATACAGCCATAAACGCCTTGCAATGCCCAATCGTCCAAGGATATCTGTGTTGTAACCAACGCCAGCCCATATGCATTCCACGATGTAAACCAAAACACTTCTATAATCGAAAGACCTAACCATTGTGTAAACCTCTATCGTGATCTTTAGAGGATATCCCTGACACGTCTTCAGCGGGGGATGTTGTTCTCGTAGCCGTTGAAGTACACGCCGGAATAACCGGTACTCGGGTATTGAGCGGAAGTGCCCTGATAGGCAGAACTAGAGCTTGGGTAAGTGGCGGTGGTGTACAGACTGGTGTTGTCGACAGGGTATGCTGAGTTCGCGTTCGAGGCCAGGACATTTGTTGGATTTATGAGGCTAGCGTGGTGCCCGACCATACTCGAATGGCTCATCATGGAGTAAGGAGAATTGATGGCAGAATGCTGCCCGACGACAGGGTACGACGGATAAGAGCGCTTGTATGGAGGCTGGGCACCATAAGGTTGCTCCATAGCGGACTGGCTGGGAACCTCGTTCGATGTGTACGTGCCCTCGCGCTTCGTTGGTGACTGCTCCCCCTCGTAGGAGGACGAGTACTCATTGGGGAGTGGTGGGTGAGCTTGTGCGATGCTGACAGGGCTGTCATAAGGGAACGGACGTTTCGACCCAGCTGCAGCTCTGGCCTCTTTGCGCAAGCGGAGACGGACTCCCTGGTCGGCAATCAAGCGGCTGATGTGTGAAGACTGATCCATGCCTCTGAAATCCTTGGGCGCCAGAACACTGAACTTTTTACTCGTTACGGATGTCAAATATTGAGAATTGAACGTGTCCGGACAGAACTCGTATAGGCGGAAGTGTAGCCTGTAGGACCCAAGCATCTTGACCGAGACGTCTCCAAACACAAACAGTCCCATGTCCGAGTTGTCAAGGTCTTTGAGGCGATGCAGTGAGGACGATAGAGTGCCCGTCAAGGAGTCGGGGCCGGGTAGAGGCTCATCGCGGTCAGGTTTGTACAGACTGACTACCATGAACAGATACGGGTTCTGGAGGTAGTTCTTCTGAGGATCGACGCTAGGCTTCACCTCAAGCTGAACGAGGGGTGGCGGATCGATGGCTTTGCGAGCTTTCTCCTTCCCCTTAGCTACAACCAGGGCCTCTGAAGGCTCCTGCTTCACGAAGATTTGGAAGCTGCCCGGATTATAGGAGAGGAGCGACATTCTGGGTATTCGTCCCACGGGCAGATGTGTTGCTGGTGGCAGAGGCAGATGGTTAACCCTGGCAGGTCCGTTGGTAGACCGTCGGTAGTAGTGGAAGTAGCGAAGACGGTGAGCGAAACACTGCTCAACAAGCTCGTCTGTGTGAGGGATCTAGAATAATGGTAGGCGCCGGCGAACTACCGTGGGTATTGTGTAGTAGTCGAAGTGTTCGGAAGTTGGTAGGAAGAGCAGAACCCGTAAGATGTTGGTGGAGGAAGACTAAGAATGCTGCGAGAATTTGGAACTCAGACAAGTCTGTAGGCTTTGTGAGCAATAACAATGGTTGAGTGTGGGAAGGTATTGGCGACTCGTCACTCCCATGGGCGCGTTCCTTCTGATTTTTCACTCGAGCAGTGGTGATTCACCAATAGCTACTGCGACTGTCCCTTCTTTGGGTATATCGTGTAATCGATCGCGATAACCCCGCTCGAAATGGTCCTCTCCCAACACTGGCCAGCTCCAAGTTAGGTACAGGGTTCAGATCAGGCCAGATTCCACGTAGTCTTGTGGTACAAGAGCGTCAGCGGGATAAAGAATAACGGCGTAGATGTGTGTGCGCGAGTAGGTAGATGCGCTGCGCCTGCGCCGTTGGTGCCGTTGCAGAGCTCAGTTGACGCCTGAACCAAGGTTGGACTGCGCACGCTCAACGCTTCCGCGGCACGCAATTACCAGCACTCCCCCTCGACGATCGAACCACCCCCAAACAAACGGCCGGCGTGGTCTTCAGTGGGATCTGCAGCGTAACAGTTGGATATACATGAGGCACCGGGCGTTGGGTTTTAGGCACGCAGGGTGGTCAGGCGACTCTTTCTTGCAGTGGCCAGAATAACTCTGCGGCCGATGTTGCGTGAAGCTGCTCGGCTGCGGGACCGAACCGTGGTAGAGGTGCCTTAGGGTCTGGGGACAAAGGTGGTGGCCGTTGGAAAGTTCTCCCGCAGGGTAGCGCAATGCAGGCTGGACAGGGACCAGCCTGGTGATGGGCGTGGGCGTAGACGCAAGTCGTATGCAGGTATTGCAGGGTGAGTGTGAAGGGCGAGGGGCAGTGCGAAGTGTGAGGCTTACGCTCGGCTATAGTCGAGGCCAGCTTGAAGAGGAAATATTGCACTCGATAGTCGAGTTGCAGAGGTACCTCGCCGTCACGTTTAAGCCGGGGCCCTCCGCTGTTGTCCTATGGCAAGAGCAGCCAGATGCAAAGCCGGATCGCCGCTTTGACTCTAGTGCTAAAGCTCAACGGGCGCCGAGCTGCTTGAACGCCACGACGATCGTTAGCTTTGCGATCTCCGACTAGCAGGTCCCGTCCGTTGCCAGTTTCGGCGAGCTAGTCGAAACGCAAAGGCGGCGTGAAGTATGCCGGGGAATGCCAGCTTCTCTCAGGTAACTCCTTTTGCCTGTCGTGTCGTTACCTCTCACTTCTTCCTAACCTCAGACCCCCCGTATGCGACTTTCAAACCTGTGTCCCGCTGTTCAGTCCGCGCTTGTTCGAGGGTCTTGTAGACCAGACATTGGGGAGTCCGGAGCGGCGAAGGCAGAGGAGTAATCAGGTCTGGCTGGCGCTCAGCCTCTCCTGGAGGACCACTTACCTATGATATGGACGCAGAAGACGTCGCCGAGGTCAAGAGATGTGTAAGGCTGCTGCAACGAAGTGGGCTAACCTGCCGATCGCGCTGAGAGCGACGACTACACCCGTTACTAGCTAAGCCAATTGCGAAGCATTCCAAGTGCTCGGAAGTCTTTCAACCACTTGCAGTCGAGTTTCGATACCAAAGCTAGCTACCCCGGATCGAAAGGACGATCGAGAGGCTTGATATCGCAGAGCGTTCGGCGACGCGAGTCGCTCCCAGGTTCGATGGCACTACTGGGCAAGCAACATCCGAGGCCCTGGGCGCATTCGTGCAGCGGGTGCAACGTCAAGCTCGTATATGCTTGACAGCCCTGGAGCTTTAGCCTCTGCAGTCACCGTTCAGCGAGACGTGCATATGACTACTTGGTGGTGCTCGACCCGTCATGCAGGTCATTGCTGTCAGGGAACCGGGTTCGAGCATTCACTATGCTGTTGCGCGACCAGAACTCATAAATTCAAACAGGCCGACATCCACGTTCATCCACCCAATCTACCGCTGCATCGAATGTGGTACGGGACACCACGCACATGGCGGCTAGGACGTCTGCGAGAAGCTTCCCCTGGACCACCTCAAGAAAAGACGCCGTCATTCAGCCCTACGTCGAAGGCCTTGACAGCCGCTATATCGTATCGCAGTGGACAGCAACAGTATCGAGCAATAGACCCAGGTTCCAGACGCGCATGGCGATGACCTGAAATGGCGCAAACCAGAAGGTTGGCGCGTATGCTTGAATGCCTTGCCGAGCGCCGACAAGTGTGCGGCGGACGTGCACGGTCAACTCAGCAGGAGAACAAAGGCGACGGATGCGTGATGGTGCTCACTTCCGTAAGGTGTGAGCAAGTAGTTACTCGGCGGCGAATTTCACAGTGGCCAGATTCAACCTGCACGAAGGGCCGCTAGCCGCCCCGTCCGCATACGGCTGAAATCCACAACGTTGCACAAACACCAGCCTCCTCGACGAACCTCATCATAGTCACGGCACACTCGCGGCGAACTGCTTTCAGACCGGCTCAACACGCCCGATCCCCGATCTTAAACGTGCTGCAATGCCAGCAGTGTCCCTCCAAAAGCGGATGTTCCCTACCCACAACTCGTCGGAGCGAGCTCTATCTAGAGTATCATCTTGGCTTCTCGGCGGTCTGTTGGAGTCGTCTAAACCGCTTAATTGTCCTTGTTCGTGTCAGTCGACGTTCCTGCAGATGCAGTGCAACTGAATGCAGCCACTCCACCTTCGTGCAGTGCATAACGACAGCCTCAACAATGCGTTCATTGGACGCGCATCTCCTACTACAGATGGGCTTGCGGAAGACGTCAACCACGTCCCTCGCAGTCAATTTTGAGGCTGAGGCTGTGACCTGGCGCGTCAAGCTTTCGTTGAACTTGAATTTGACGCAGACAATTGCGAGGTGAGCTCAAAGGCTAGGCGCTTCGCAGAGGTATCGTGTCACAATTAGTGTTGGTGACGACCTCGAATAATTATCGGAAAATTATAATGTGATGCAGAGTTGCCGTTCCAACCATACCTCAATCAATAGTATTGCCACTTGCCATGTACATGTGATTCTGCCAGACACAATATCTGCTCCACATAGTGGTTCACTCTATAGTGAGACAGTCAGAGGGTCCCTGATTATCGGATAAGGAACACGACAGTGCTTTCCCACAGAGGTTGAATATGCCTGGTGTCAAGCCTTGTCCGATCTGAGTCCTGAAGTTGCCTCTTGTGGTCTCCTGCGGCCTCCCGCTAGCCAAGGCTGCGATATGGAAGGAACAGTTTTCCCTCAGACGCAGCGACCTTTCTGTAAGTTTGACAGCGATCAAACTTTCACATCATGTTGGTAATCGTCGGTACGAGCGCCTCGACAGCTCCATCTACAAGTGTGTTGACCAACCAAATCAGGAGCTTCAGCGCACGATTGGCTCTCTCTCAGCCTTAGAATGCAGAGCTAGGTTCTCGACTGGTGTTTCCACTGAGTGTGCACCACTTGAGTCTGGCCACATCGTCACAAACCACATGGCAGATGGCGTCTTGCTGCTTTACCCGATACGGTCTCCGCATGATATGCACTATCTCGGCTGAGGAAATAACAACAAGATAAGGACACTCGTTGCTTGCTCCTTAATCACAATGCTTAGTTTAGGCGTCGGTGCGACAAGTACATTCATCTATCCTGTATCTGGCAGTCACAACATAAGCAACTCTATCGGTTGCGTACCTGGAATGCAACTTTTTGTGGGCCTAGTGCTGGCCAAGAGTAGACTTCTCATATACCCACCGTCACTGGTTACACACAATCGCGCTATAGCTCTGAAACAAAGAAAATCTGCACGATCAGTTCTAAGCGGATACAAGTCTCGATAGCTCAAGGAAATCTTGACTGAATCGACTCAGCTTGACACGAGCGCTGCGGGCCCGCTACTACCGGCACAGTGAGGGGCCAGACGACAGAGTGACTAAGTTCGGTACGCATGTGGTCAGGCCAGATATCGGCAAGACGCGCAGATCGATCGAGCTTGCCATCGAATGTACTGTTGATGCTTTGAGTTTCGTTCGAACTGGTGCTCGATATCGATACGTTGGTGTTGTGCTCCTGCGTCATCCTCCTGCACCCCGCTCAGCGTAACCTTGGTTCAGAACACGAACTCAACAAACTGCGGGAGTACTTCGCAGCTCCGGTGCTCAAAATCGGCCGACGCTGCACGAAACGCGAAATACACACGCTACAGCGTGCATATCCACCATCACTCATTCAGTTGCTGCGCCGCGGGCCTCCACTTTCCTGATGTTTGATAGCGGGGTACAACGGCCTTGCATAACCTTTTGCATTGATACCCTATCTATCTTTGATGACTACGACTCCAGCTTCTCGAGCTTAATCACCAGTTTGTCGCCCTTGGGTGGGGCGGTGTACGAGTCTGACTGCTCAATGCCGGCATCGTTGACCACGCTTGTGCTATAATTCGAGTACAGCGCAGCGACAATGTACTTCATCTCTGCGTCGAAGTCAGCATGATGGTCTGCATGCTAGCCCCACTAATGTTTGCCGCGGCTGTATACCCGAGATACCGATGACATTTATCAGGCCAATGAGCCGGCAACAGTGACAAGGCAACCCCGGTCAACAATCATCGTCATTTACTTCAGGCCGAAATATCATATATACGGAGTACGAGAGAAGAATAGGGAGTTGGGCTCGGTGGGATGTAAGAAAAAGGAAGGGACTTTCCACTTACGATACACGGCCAAATGAGACCCCACACACATCCGTCCACCACTACGGTTGGTAAGCTTTCAGGCAACAAAATCACATCTGGCACCTGTACTGACCTGCCGAAAGCCCAGAACCACCTAGTTTCCATGTCCTTTCGCTTCTCCTCGTCGAGCTTCTCAAGGTTCAACCATCGTTCTGGTCTCCATTCGCTGGCACAATTATACACGTCCTCGTTCTGGTGCAAGATACCAGCGCTCGCGCTGACTCGGACCCCCCCTGGCACGAAATACTCTCCACTGGGTCCTAATTGGCAGCCTTGTGGTGGTGTATATCGCGGTTGAGGGCCTGGAATTGCTGAATGGAGCCTCAGAGTTTCCCAGATCACTGCATGCAGAACTGGAAGTGCGTCCATAACCTTTGGGTCCGGAAGATCCGGGGACGAAGATGTGTTCAGCCGGGGTGATATGTTGAGGAGTTCCTGCTGTAGGCGAGACTGAACTTCCTTGTGCGTGGAAAGCTCGTGTACGACGTAGGTAAGTGTAATAGCAGACGTGTCGAAACCAGCTGCAAGATGGTCGAGCACCTCACTTGCTATTACAGATCTCAGATCCACTTCGCCTACATCGTTTTTCTTCGCCTCCTTCGCCACTGCTGCCGAGAGCTGCTGGTATACGGACGGTACTTCTTCCGTCTTCGCTCTACCCTGCTGCACCACGAGAGCAGCGCAGTCACACATGTTTCTTGTCCACTGTTCGATCTCCGCATTCGCAGTATCGACCCACTTTGGTGACAACCTGATACCAAGCCATTTCCTCAGAAAGCCCGTAAGCCACGGAAATTCTTGCGGCCAGAAAGTCCACCCGTGGCGTGATTTGTACAGACCCAAAAACCATGTTAGTTGATCTGGGTCATCGAGAAGATTCGAGCTTGCTTTCAAGCCGAAAATGTAAGACGTGACGATGTCCATGGTGCTCGCGCTAATCAAGCTGGATACTTCGAAGACGCCCTTGCCTGCGCCAGAATATATAGAGGCAAGACGTGGAAGAAGCCTCTGATATAGTATCGTAGACACCTGAGCTTGTAGCACAGGCGAAGCAACGACCACTGACTTGCTGTAGATGTTGCTCAACATGCGCTTGCGTAATGAATGGGGCTTGTTCATTCCAGTCGAGAACATGTTAGGAGTTCTGCGTCTATATCAGCCCCAATAAACTACACAGATGTAGTTTGTGCACTCACCCAAAGTTAGTAAAGAATCCATACCAATTGTACCCACTCTTTGCATCCCTCTTCTCAAACCCTCCCGCATACACGTCCCTGATCCCACCTTTGACACAATTGACGCTGATCTCTTGCGGTCCCAGGCAAATAATCGGTCCCAGGCGATCATGCGCAGTTTTCAAGGTCGCATTTTCGATCTTCCGCCATCGAATCGACGAGATCCACAGACTCGTGAACGGCGCCAACGGATGGGCAGCAGGAATCTTGCGAACCGGATTCGAGAGATACGAGACGAGGACCTGCAGAAGCAAGCCCAGTGGCGCAAGTAGCAGAAGCGTAGAGAGGTCGAACATGCCGGGCGGTCACCAGCGTCCACCACAATGAAGCGATTCGGAGGTCGTGGACGTGCCAGATCACGATAGAAGTGAGATGAAGAGTATAGTATCAACCTGAACAGTCATACCTCAGGATACCATGCCCTGTTCCATTCACAGTTGTGACTAATACGGAGCTCGATAGCCGTCGTCGGCGCCGTGGGCGTGTACAACAAATACGGGGTGCAGTAATACGCCGGGTTAGCGATGTATCCGTTCAGACGATAATCTTCGCTAGAACGGCCCGTATTGTATGAGAACTTACCGATAAATTGCAAACACCGATTTTGTAAGGACCAAAGCGAGAGCACTAAATCTAAAGTAGTTACGCGGCTAGTCGCAAAGACCAATAGCCAATCAAGATAACTGACTAAGTACCAAGTCGCTGCTGTGTTTTGCGATACCGTTGATCAAGCGATAATTTTCCGGCTCTCAAGCAATACCGCACAATCCAGCATTTGACTGTGTACTCCCTCCCCGCGGACCCCGCCACGGCTTATCGCGCTTATCGGCGTGTCGCTGCGGTGCCTCCAGCCAATAGGCGAGTGGAAGGTCCAGCCGAGCTCGGAACGAAGCAGGAGGTTGCAAAACAAGAGCGAGAGAAAGGAAAGGCCGACCGGTCGCGCCGTTGACATGCCACAAAGGCTCCGATGTCGGTGTCACCTTGCACGTCTGCCGTCAATGTGTGCGACGTCGTCGATGCCGTGCAACACCGCAGGATAAAGTAACAAGCCGTAACTTGTAACTATTTTTGCATGCCTGTAGGAAAGGGGAGATACAACATATACCGTCATGCTGTGACAGCTGCACGCCAGACGCATTTGCTCAGGGACATGATGACTCGTAACGAGGCATTGAATGTGTTGCTCCAATCCAACTCCATACTCTTGTGCGAGTCCCAAGGTATCTCCCTATAATAAGCCAAGTCGAAGAAGCTAATGCTACAAAACCCATCCCAATGCAAACTGACAATGAGCTGGGCATGACAAAGGAATGCACCCAAGAACGCCCGTCGCTACAATTACAATCAATCTGCGTTAGCCATGCCGGAAATTTGACATGGGCCGTCATATACCAGCAATGCAGTGACTTGGATACCCTAAGCCTCACCCATGATAATATCATCGTCGTCCTCACCTTCCGCATCAACATCCATCTCTTCCTCAGCCTCGTCGTCGTAGTCGCCGTCAGCGTCCATGTCTTCGAGCTCTTCTTGTTCTTCTTCGACCGGCATGACCTTGCCCTTACCCCTGTTGCTGTTGATGATAACTCGGGGGCTGCCTCCAGAACTAGCTGAGCTTCTTGTACTTCTTCTGCCATTGATGACTGCCTTGACTTCGCCACCCTCTTCAAGATCATCGCCATTTGTCACACTCTCACCGAGCCTACTGCGTGTACGTCGAACGGAGACAGTCGCTGGCGTCCTGGCGCCATTTCGTGAGGGCGAGTCTCGCCGCGATCTTACTGGCGATAGTTGCATTCTTGATACTGGCGCAGTGTGTATCGAAAGTGAGGTGTTGCGAATGCGATTCGGTGTGTTTGTTCGTCGGCGTGCGCCGAAAGGTCGTCCGGGTCGGCGCTTTGTAACAGGCTGCCCTGGGATTGGGGGGAATATCTCAAACCGCGTGGGCGGTATCGCAGGTTCATTGCTAGTGATGGCAGAACCTGCGAGCGCAATCGTGGATCCGTTTGCTAGAGGGGTTCCAGTGCCAGTGCCGGGCGGTGCTGGAGAGTCACCATCGACGGAGTCGTCAAGAGGAATGTCAGGCCCCGGATCGGCTTCTTCTATGGAAGGACCTGCCTCTTCGAGCGGGTCATCGGTTGCTTTTGCGATGATAGCATCGATTTGTACACCTTCTTCAGGTGCAGGCTTATCTTCTTCTTCCACCTCGTCGCGCTGCTGGACTGTCTGGAGTGCCGGCCCATCCTCGTATTGGCCGAATCGACCCATGACGTATGGTGTCCAAACAAGACACTCAGGCTTAATAATCGGATTGCCAGCCGCATGGCACTTCTCAATGTACGTTTTGAAATAGTTGAGGTCAAGTCGGAAGGCGTACTTCTTTGTAATAGGATCACGTACCAGGGCGCGCAGCCCCTCAAGTGCCGACACAATATCGTCAGGCGTCATCCCGGTGCGTTCAGAGATGATTGCGATGCTGATAGGTCCTTTCTGCTCTAATAGTTCCTGACAAAGTAACAGGCGCCAGTACTTGCGATAACTCACAAGACCCATGTCGCTGAGTGGCTTTTCGGGACTGCCAGTCTTCTTCTCCACTCGGGTAAGTAGGTAGGAGAACTCGATCAGATACTGTCCATATCCTTTGCGCATGTGAATCGGTAGCACAAGGATACATGACACGTTGTTGAGCGAACTCGGGCGCTTTTCTTTCGAAAAATATCCTACGAAATGGCAGCCGTAGTTGTCGTTTTCTGTCATAACATAGAACAAGAATGGTTCTACATCATAGTAGAGTGTCTTGGAGCCTAAGAACAGCTTCGCGAGAAGGCACAGGTTCTGGCAGTAAACTGGGTTCTTGCGGCCATCGACTTCGAAGAATGAGTATTTCCCATCACGGTAGATTTCGTCGCCGGGAGGGTGCTTAGCCGGGCATTTCAGCTGTGAGATGTTAGTAATAGTCGCAGACGGTTGTCATACTGGGGCCTACCTTATGCCGCCACGCAACGTAGTCAGAGTTCATGTACTTGAGGCAGAACTCGCAAATGTATAACACTCGGTTCTTACTGTATTCCTCAGGGTATGGCGCTGCGTGCCACGTCTCAATTTCCCACCCTCCAAAGTTTACGCATTTAATCTTGCTCGCAGCAGCAGCTTGCTTGGATGGTTTCGCGGGCTCATGGTGGGCGTACAAGAGGTCTTGTTTTTCTTTCCATGCCGCCTCGGCCTTCACTCGTGCATCCTCGAAGCGCTTCCTGTCCGCTTGTGAAGGATAAGTCTTGGAAGTGTCTGCATCTGCTTCTGAGAGCACACCGCCGTAGGGTTTGCTTTTAGTCTCGTCATCTTTTTCTGGCATTCCCAGAAACTGTGCGCTAAAGTGGTGCTGCACTGAGGGGTACTGAGCAATGTCTGGTGAGTCTCTAGCTGCCTCCCTTGCTCGTCGATTGCGCTCACGTCGTTCTCGATCTCTTTCTCGCCGCCGCTCTTGTTTTTCTTGTTCCAAAGTTAGGACCTTCCTCTTCGGCTTCTGTGAAACAATCCTTTGCACCTTCTCATTCGTCAGGTGGAAAGCAACGATTAGACTCAGACCTTGAGACTCTTCTATCCATACGAGAGGTCTCTTGTCCTTTCTCTGAGGCTTCGCCGAGCGACGTGCACGTGAAGATCGAAGGCGCGCACCTTCCTGATCTGACGCAGTGTTTTGTCCTTCTCCATCGGTGTCACCGTCGGTCAGGGCATTTCCGACGGAAAGTTGTGGCGACGAAGGCGCTATCGAAGGTGCTGCTTCGGACTTTGAGACCTCGGAAGGCCTGCGCTTCCTTCGGTATTGTCTTGCAGGTATGGGTACTGCCGCTTCTTCTTCATGTGATGCTTTGCGTTTCCGTAATGAGCGTGTACCTTCCGGAGCATCGTCAGGGAGAATCAACTCCTTGAAGATAGAGTGACCGCTAGGATCTACACCTCGGACTGAAGGAAGCAAGTCTCTAGCAAGCCTGGGTACGGATGATAGTCTGCGGCGAGTGAGGGATTCTGAGGTTCTCCGTCTCTCCTCTTCGTCGTCATCCTCGCGGTGGACGTCATTTTGAATACAGGCGCTGCATCGCCATTGTTTTGCTTCTGCAAACGAGAGGTTAGTCCCATAAAGCAACTGTGAGAGGATATCCATACCATCATCGGGGCCAACATCGGGGCTAAGTGTGTTAGCGTCGCGGGCGCATTGCCGATGTGCTGCAGACCAGACATGTCAGCTTCTAAGATCATAGTCTACACGCCCCCGCAACGTCACTCACCATGGTCGCCGCATACAGAGCACGCAAGGTATGGCTCGAAGTCTGGACTTGGGTCGTTCTCTTCAGTCTGGTTGCAGTATCTGTGTTCATGTCAACTCTGCACTGCGCATTAGTTTGGTGGTTGGTTCAGACTTACATGCAAACATTAGGATCGCTCTCAGCAGCCCCGGCCCCACCTTCCTCCTCGCTTTCGTCCTGGTATTGAACCTCTTCTTCTTCCTCAGAGCTTTCTGATTCGTCATCTTCACTGAAGGTCTTGGCATCTGATTCAGATTCTACTGCAGCATCTGGATCGTTATCATCGTCCTCTTCTTCATCTGACGATGCACCTGCACGGACTTTGACGGCACCTACAGCCTCAACCTCGTCGTCGTCTTCTCCCTCAGCGTCGACCTCAGAGCCCTCGGCGTCTGTAGTGTGGCCGTCGGCATCTGGTGTGTCGGCCATTGTAGGCTGCTGCTCGTACTGTACATCGTCCATCTCGTACTCTCCGTCCGCATCGATATCCTCTGGCTCGGCGCTGGGAGCAGTTTGAGCCACCAGCCTGCCCGGCTCCGCCATGGCGAAGGAGACGGCCGTCGCCAATTTCGAAACGAGATACGCCAGTTTCGCAACCCGGGTATGTCAAAGCCCTAGATCACTCGGTACATGAGCAAATGTCTTCGTGAGAGTGCTTTCATGTAGTGTTGTCGCAGCGCGTCGTGGAGATGTCGTGGCGCGTAGATCGTCAGCTCTGAGGGCGAGCAATCTCTCAATATCGAGATCTTGGGATTCGTGGTCGTTTATGGAGGCCAAGAGAGACCAATAAATGATGGTGGATCCTCGCAGCTGCGCTGCTTGTTGCTGTGCAGACGTGGACGTGGGCGGTCGCTGCGACGCGCAGTTATTTCGGCCGCATGAGGCTCAAGGGATTCGATGTTCGCGATTCGTATGAAAGGGCGACTCTGGGCGACACCGTGAACAATCGTAGTCCGTCCGTAACGCGTGCGTGGATGATTATTTGACTGACCCAAGTCGACGCTGCTTGTGGAGGTCCGGGGTGCCAAGGCCCAGGTGCGCCTTCCTGGCCGGCGCGCGCTCTCTCTCAGCGCCGACCTCACTCGCAGCTGTCGCACCGCCGACTCGACCCCCACCGAACCACAGCGACCGCTGACACTCTCGCAATCATGGGTGTTCCCTTCGAGGCCTTGCTGCCATATGCAATTATGACCGGTGTACGCTGACTGCCCTAATTGACCGTGCTGGACCGCTCTAACGGAGACGCCGCAGTTCTTCGCATTTAGCGCCGTGTCCGTTGGAAAGCTCAAGGAGATGCAGAACGGAGGAAAGAAGACTAGGCGAGGCATTGACGCCTGGGACAGGGTAAGTAGCAGTCTGCGGGAGCATCATAGAGCTTGACTAACAGTTGTGCAGCAAAGTACGATCTTCCTATGATGACCTCATGCTGGAGACTACATACTGATGATACCGCAGTGATGGAGCGCGACCGCCGCCTGACCGGTTTCGCGCGAGGACAGACCGACAAAGCCGAGGCGCCGGCTGGCTTCGAGCTCAACAACCCATGGAGGGTACGTATGCTAGCTAAGGAAGCTTGGGCAATGCTAACAAGAGTACAGTGTGAGCAGCGGTTCATCTAAGCAGTGCGCAAGACATTCCAAACGAAAGCCAATGTTACATATCCACCACAAGCAATGTCAATTCCTTTTGTAAAGACTGCAGCTATGACTTGATTTCAGACGGCAAGCCTCGAATCCCAATCCTTTCCATCTCGCCAAAATGGATGCCGAGGTGTTCTTCGAGAGCACCAAGACGGTCTTCTTCGCTGTTAAACTCGATTTGTTTTTCCTTCTTCCCGTATATTCTCCACTTGAGGTCTCGATCGCTCATTATCAGCTGGCCCACGAGCTCTCCAGCATCATCCAGGATCTTCTTCTCCAATACGATTGCCCTTGTGAAGAAAATATGTTTGCTTGTGCTTGTGAAATAGTTCATGAGTGTGTAGTCAGTGGGTTGAAACTCAAGCTCGGTGAAGCAGTACATCAGGGTGAAGTCGCTTTCTGCGCCCGGACGATGCTCGTATACCCAGAGACGTTGGTTCGGGTCCGTATTACCGGGAATGTTGCGCCATTGGAGACGAGCTGCAGCTGGCTTGATGTGTTCTCGAATGACCCCCGAGCGGTCCAAGGGCATTGGCATGACGGGACCGTTACTACCAAAACCAACATCAATCTGGTACTTTGTCTCCCCTATAGTCACTATATTAACCATATGAGACCAGCCTGTAAAGACTCCGCCATTGCTGACACGGGCACCGGTAGAATAAATATTGAAGCCAAGCGAGAACAAAAGCGTGCCAAACAAGGCATTGTTCTCCATGCAATATCCTCCACGGCCATTGTTATCTCCAATGATCTTCGTGAACAAGGCTTGAGGATGGATGTTGACTGAGTGATGAGCTGAGTAATGCAGCGTCAAGTTCTCGAACGGTATGGTAGCAAGATGATGCTTCTGCAATAGTGCAAGATACTTGAGAGTATCCTCAGTGTCCAATCCAGATATGTCATATTTCTGGTCCCCCCCAGATAGCTTCAGACGTTCGAAATATTTTGATATCTGCTCCTGAGAGTAGATCGGTCTTGGTTGCTCAGACATCATTCCGCTTGTTTATTGGAATCCGAGTAGTACCCGTAGATGGTAATCTTAATTGCGATGGGGGATCGACGTTCGGGCCTTTTGATTCGGCTTATGCAGACGGATTTCATGCGCTCACGATGTCGAGGTGCAGAACAGCAGAGTCAGAGCCGCGACTGATGAAACGCCTACACTTTATGGCGTCACTGCGACGGCCAACACGAGGGCATTTCGGCTCGCGCGGTGGAGATGGTGCCTGCCGAGTCCAGGCCGTGCAATACCCGCGCGGCGTTCGGGCCACTTGAACCCCTGGAATTGGTAGCTTGACATGTTGACAGGGGGCGCTGCCGCAGCCGAATCAAAGAAACATTGGACAGTAGCTTCGCCAGCAAATGCAACTGGATATCCTAGCGCGCTTCTCCTGATTGAATGGTTCTTGTTATGCGCTGCCCGCCGTGAGCTATCCACGCTCTGCTGCGCGAGCTCTGCTCCTCACTTCTGTTGCGCTCTCTCTGCAAACCAGTACTGCGCCTCGTTCTCGCGACTCGAGCTCTCGACTGCTGCCCCGGCCACCACCACGGCCACCGAGGCCTACCATGACCAGCAATGCCCTGCGTACGCAGTTCCCCTACGAGGGCGGCATGCTCAGTCCGCGCCCGACCTACGACTTCCCCTCGCCGAGCTCGAACTATCCCTCTGGCGTCGGCGCGCCGTCCCCCAGCTTCTTCCCCATGGCCTACCAGATCTCCCCGCGCTTCGGCGCCAGCGCTTTCATACCTCCGCCAGACGTCTTCGGGGACCGCAGGGATACCGTGCGTGAGAATGGCGGCTACACACCTCGGGATCCCCGAAAGAGGAGCTCAGATGTCCTGAACACAGATCCAGTCGCAATGCACCTGCTAGTGGAGACGGCGATAGGGGACAGCCAGTACTTTGACATTATGACCGTGGAGGAAGTGGAAGCGCTTAAGCAGGAACAAAAGACACTTGATTCGCGACTTGGTACAGTTAGGAGGAAGCTGGAATCCGAGACCAAGATCCGCGATGCAACGCGCTCGCTCACCCGCCTGGCGTCCAAGAAGGGGAACGGGCATCGCAGGGGACTGAGCAGCAAGGAAAGTAATCCCGTACAAGGGTACGAGGAGGACGAGCAGTCGCAAGAAGTTTTGGAGGCTAGCAACAAGAAGGTTGAGGAGTTCATCAGGGAGCTGCTGGAGATCGAATCGCGAATGCGCATGATCGACATGCAGCTTCTGATGCACACGGCTGCTGTGCTGCAGCTCACGCACCGAGGCCCCAAAAAGAGCAGCGCGTTTGGTCAGCCATCGGAGAATGGCATCGCAAGGCCAGACAGCCCTGCCAGCCTGGAGACATATGAAGTGGGCAGAGCCAACGGCATCGATGATGGAGAGGACACCTTTGACGATAGGAGCTTTTACAGGACACCTGAAAACCTCGATAGTCTCATGATGGCACTGCAGAATGGGACGCACCACCGTTCCCCGTCCGTGGACCGTCAGAGCCAATCACTGACGACCATGAGCCGACGTCTGGAGGAATTGAACGAGCGTCTCAGAGATCTGATCGTGCAAGCCAACCCAGGGCGTAACGAGGACTATGCTCTCCCACCACAAATCCAGGGAGATAACGCAGATGCCTCTAGCATTGACCGCCAGCTCGATTTCCTTGACCAAGGACTGCGTGATACTAACGCCGAGCTTGCAAGCATACGCAGTAAGACTCGACACAGCATGAGTGAGGTTGAAGGACGTCTTGAGGGCATCAACAACCAGCTCTACGGCGTACTCAGCAGAGCTAAGACGGAGAATGCGGAATCTCTCCAGCCTCCACCACCCATCACGGGAGGAGGACAAGCCGACCAGTTCAACTACATGGAAGACGCCTTATACAACCTCGAACAAACACAAGACTCTTTGAATGACCAGTTGGACACCCTGCGCTCAATGCCTGCAGACAACGAGGGCGCAGAAAAAGCCGAGAGGTATGAGACTACGCTCACGGGTCTGTGGCAAATTATTCAGGCTGGCGAAGAGGAAGCTCGCGAACGAAAACGCGAACGCCGTCGTGTGCTCGCTGACGATCCTGACGCGAGTGATGAGCTATCACCCGACGAGGACTTCAATGCCAACGAGTCTTTCTCACTACCTGCTTTCTCCTCAAAGGTGCAATGGTTGTTCAGCCGCGCCATGGGAATGAAAGATAAGCACTCTGTACTGCTACGTCAGATAAAGCAACAGCGAGAGCTCAATAACAAGTCGGACGCCCAAAAGGAAGAGCAGTTCCAGCGACTCAACGACCAGCTGTTCAGCGCAAGATCTGAGAAGAAGACTATGGAAGGCGAGCTCGAGCGTGCAATGGGCCAACTACGTGAATTCGACGAGCAAAAAGCTAAAGCAAACCCCCCTGGCATGCAGGAGACGCAAGAGCGTAACGCAGGACTCGAGGCTCAGCTCATCAACATGCAAGAACGTCTTGCCACATTCGATAAAGAGCTAAAAGAATCACGGGACCGTGCCGTCGCTTACGAGAACCAACTCAAGGACGTGCAGGAGACTGCTGTGTCGTATCAAAAGAGGATGCAAGAAGCTGAAGAACGTAACGCTACGTTTGAGAAGGAACGTAAGGACAACGAGGAGGTGACTTCGTTGTACAACGTGAAGAGTAGGGAGATTGAAGGTCGTAGTGTAGGCTACGAAGCTCAAATCCGAGACGCCCAGGAACGAGCGCTATCCCTGGAGGGTCAGTTGAGAGAAGTCCAGCAGGCAAGAGATGAGTCCCGGGCTGATGCTACAGCGAGACAAGCTGAGCTTGTGCAATCTGCAGCTAAACTTGATGAGCTCGTTACTGCTTTGAAGGCAGCCACTATAGAAAGTGAAGCAGCCTCAGCTCGCTCCCTCGAAGCAACAAATGCGTTGAATGACAAGGAGGAGGAGTATCGCAACCTCGAGGGCGAGATCGTCCGTCTAACGACCGAACTCACTTTTGCCAAGGCCGAGCTTGATGGGGCATACGGGAGTCGTTCCCAGCGCGCTGCTGAGTCTCTCGCCAATCCTGCTATCAAGAAGGAGCTCGATGACCTTGCTGAGAAGAACCAGTCGCTTCTCGCTGAACTAGACGCTCTTGGTAGACTGCAAGATGTCGCCTCGCAGTCTGAAGCAGAGGCTCGCCAATCCGAACGTAACCTCAAGGTCGAGCTTTCAGGCATGGCTGCCGAGTACGAGGCACTTACTCGCGATGCCATTCATAATGAGAAGGATCGCGATACACTCGAAGCTCAAATCGACAAGTTGCGCAGTGAGAAGGAGGCACTGGAGCGCGATTTGAACGACGAGAAGGTCAAATGGCTCGGTGTTCGCTCACCAGGTACACCAGGTGGCCCCGGTCAACAGCTCGACTTGGGAGCTACCAGCATTCGCATGATGCGTGACGAGTTCAGGAAGATGATGAGGGAAAGAACATCTGAAGGACTAAAGGCTTTGAGGGTGAGTACAGTTGCCACTCCTGGTGCAGCGGAATTAAGTACTGACGACGATAATACAGGCCGAACAAGAGGAGCGTCGCAAGCTCGAAGCTGTGGTCCGCCAGCTACGTAAAGAAGCATCTCCTGCACTGCGACCGACCCTGTCGCGCCAGACTACACAATCGTAGGTAGTGTTTTTGTAATTATCAGCAGATCGTCGTGGCCTTTGTGCCTTGGATCTTTTACTTCGCCATCTGTATTCTTATATACCCCCTCGCGCTTTTGCATCTAGTATAGCATCATGTAGACCGGCGTTCACCATATTGAGCACGCGAAAGGGAGATAGACTCTGCAGACATGGTGCATGAGCTTAGATTAATGTTATATGAAGTAATAGAGAATTTTGCAACAGCATTTACTAGTTATGACCAACGGCAGCAAGTCCTGCAAAGCGAATGTCTGAGCACTGCGCAGGTTGGCGATGTGCACCAGCATGTCAGGCGGCAGGAAGCGTGCATGCAGACCCCTGTCAAAGCTAAATTTCAGACCCTGGCTTGCAGCTTGTGACGCAAGTGCTGCCCCGCCGTTTGCCGGTCCCGCAGGCAGCTCTTCGCGGCAACTTCCCAACTTTGACTCAGCCATCAACACGACTGTCACACCACTCCGACATCGAGCTGCTCTCGCGTCGCCGTTATCACATCTCCGTCCCTCCATATAGCTCAAGTACCACAGCGAACATGGCCAAAGGCAAGGGTGGCGGAGGAGGAGGCGACAACCTGGGCAGCAAGAAGGCCCAGGGCCAGGCGCGCAAGGCTGACACTGCCAACGCAAAGAAAGCGGCAGCGCAGGCAAGCGAAGATGCCGCAGAGTCCGCCAAGTGGGACAAGGGCTCAAAGTCGAATGCGAAGGCGTGCGTTTCGAGCATTCCATATACCACCATCGTCCACTAACTCCATCGCAGTGACGCCGCCGCCGAGAAGGCTGCTGAAGCTGCTCGAAAGAAGGCCGAGAAAGCAGCCCTCCTCGCCGAAGAAGAGGCCTCAATGCCCTCCAAGCCCAAGGGCGCTGGCGCAAAGAAAGCAGAGAAGAAGCCCGCAGGCCGTGGTATCGACTCGGCACTGGGCTCCTTCGACAAGCCAGGCGCGCTCAACGCAACTGGTATCGATAACGCCCTCGATGCGCTCGACCTCACATCCGACAGCAAGGACAAGCTGGACCGCCACCCCGAGCGCAGGTTCAAGGCTGCGTACGCTGCGTTCGAGGAGAGGAGACTGGAAGAGATGAAGGACGAGAAGGGCCTTAGGCGGCAGCAGAAGATTGATCAGATCAGGAAGGAGTTTGAGAAGCACCCGGACAACCCCTTCAACCAGGTCAACGCCTCTTACAACGCCTCGCGAGATGACATGGCGGCAATCCGGGATGGCGTGAAGAGCGAGAAGGAAAGGAGGTTGGCCGGCAACTGAAGCTGATTGAAAAAGACGCTTTTAGAACGAGGCTAGACGGACCTCATGATGATGTTGGAGTACGGCCTGTGAGAGACTAGAGCTTCTCGCTGATGCCGAGGACTGAACAGGAGCCAAAGCACTCCAGGGTTGGATCTGCGTGATGCCAGCGCACACGGGGCGCTACACGTCCCAGGTTTCGATTACAGAGTTTCTATAGAGGGCTATATGGCTGCATATGCATACTGTATTCTTGGCAAGAGATCCTATTGCTTGATGATATGTGAAGTCCAGGTCTTGAACTTGGTTGTCGATAATTATTGTCCTACGTACGACTTTGCGCCGATCCCTGATTACATCATGGCTAACACCAACGAAGCTCACACAGAAACCTCCTTATCTATCCTCCCATGACCTCTCACCCCCCTCGTCACTCCAAGTAGCAGGACCATAGAAAACACATCTTGCAAGAACCCACTGTACTTGCCGAGCTGCGTCACAATCAATATTGTCTTCCCGTATCCCTTGTGGGTGCAGGTATTCGGGTACGAGGCCTGAGATCAAGCTGTATTGAGTTACATCAGCGAAAAATGATGTCAGTAAGAAGCTGGACACGATCTCTGATATTATAGTGGAGCAATCATGGTGGGTTGCAGCCCCATGCGCAGTGATCGGAAGGAGCGATGCCTGATGGAGGATCGCGTGACGCGTGAGCGAACTCTGATGCAACTTCAAACCTCACACCTCACCCCTCTCCTATCGAAAAGAAGTTCAGAACATCGACTTTCTGCCCAAAATTACAGCTAAACTGCACGGAAAAAAGAGGAGGATCCTATTGAGGTTGCGTCCATCCGCTCGGCACCAGCAAGTCGTGAGCGATGACGCGACGAAGTTGACACCGCACAATAGCAGCGTATTGTGACAATACGAAGGCACCCTCGCGTGCACCACAGAAGGCTTCGATTGCTCCAACTGGGATTTGCTTCTTATTCACCTGCCAACGTCTGCCATCATCTACGGACAATCCTAGGATGCTGCGACTGCCACCGACGCATTCACAACCACAAATACCAACACCCATACCGAGCCAGCAAGAGCAGTATGAATTACGTCGAATCCCAGTTTTGACCATCCTGGTATATACGACATCAACTGGGCAACATGAAAAGCGCGCCGACTGCAGATGAGAAACACATGCACCGAAGTCTGCGTGTAGCGCCTGTGCGTGCGTGCTCAGTATGCAGCAGGTTATTCGCACATATCTAAAGGTAAGTGGCGGCGCAATACTTACGACTGACCTGGTGCAGAGCGTCCAGACGGCTGTCTTGTGTTGTATTCGACACATTGCCAGAATATGCGCTGCTCCGCAAGTGGTCACTGCCAAAGCCTAGCAGTCGTTGCGGTGTTCCCAGGCTATCAGCACGTTGCATCGCGCTGCGACAGGCTGGAGATCCCAGGATCTGTTTGCCATTGCCTACTTTTCACCTTTCACTCTCACCGCGCGTGGGCAGTACCCACACACGCTGGCGTCACCTGGACCCTGATTCTTTGTGAGGACGTAAACACAGTTTCTCTTGCTATATGTTTGGAAACATTCGACGTTATTTCAACAGATCACCAACACATTCCTGCCTTATGGCAGAACCGGTCTCTGGTCGCTGTGCCTTCGGGCTCCCGCCAAAATCCAAGAGCCTGAATGTGGGCCGTGGGTGATCGGTGCAGTATGGCCCAGCGCTCCTGGCCAGAGTTGCATCTACCGACTGTACCTTTTTGCGGTTTTTGAGGACTTGGAGGTGAGTACCTGGGTTCGAGACGCGGTGCTGGAGTGCTGTTGTTTCTTCTTTTTGTCGCGCCGTGGCGCTTTCACCTACGCCCAAACCTGAATCGGGCGTGCTACGTGTGCACCGCCACCTGCAGCTTCTTGTCCGAGCCACATGAGGAATTGCAGTTTAAGACTGTCGCAACTGGGCTCCGAAGTGCATGTACTTGTGCAGTCTACTTGTGCAGTCTTGCGGCCCAGTCTTGCGATGCAGTCTTTCTGCGTATTGTTTCTGCGTATTGTTTCTGCGCAGTGTCTTTGCAGTCTTGTTGTGCAATCTCAGACGCAGGAGCACCGTTCCCAAGGAGTCTAACCAGAACGCAGCATGTTTGGAGATACTACTGTACACTACACTGCTCTGCAGACGTGAGCTGTCAGCCCACGACGGAGAGCCGCTCATGGCAATTGACTTAGATGAGGTATCATTTCCAGTACATGGCATTATGTTTGATCAGGCCAACTGCGAGCTTGAGCTTACTCAACTCTTTCTCTGGCTTTATAGCAGGCCTCTGGTTCACAATTCAATCAAGTATGGTTAACGCAAGTGCAGCTGCTGCTTGAAAATTTGTGATGAGTAAGGAACGCCATCACAACTTTGTGATCGAAACACACAGACAGACGGACTTGCTCACGACATCATCATGTCGTTTAAAAGAATACTTTCTGGATGAGCCACTTCGTCCTGAAGCGCGTGAAGCTTCCAATCATCTACCTTGTATCTCGAGCAACGACATGTAGAGATCCATACGAAGAGAAAGCAATAAATTCATGACAGTGGTATAATGCCTCTAACGCTTGACGAGGCGAAGTCGCGCTCCTCTTTCTATGTCTCCTGCCAACCCTCCAGAGTGACTCGCTACGGTCTGCGATCTCATTCACTTAGACTTCCTCTTCGTCATAGTCAACCCTTCCAGCTCCCCAGCCTCGCTGCTCCGATCACTTTCAAATCCATCCTGGAGTCCACTCGCTCCACTACTCCGTCTCTTGTGCCTGCGCTCCCTTACACCATCCTTAAGTCGCTGCTTGACTATGTCCAGATTGCCATCAATCGTACTGAACGGTTTGAGCTGGAAACCCAGATTGGAACTACTACTGTTCCTGCTTCTTCCTCTCTTGGGCGTCGGTGGGCGAGTAGAGAAAATATCCTGGTTCGCGAGGTCATGGAAAGACTCGTTGCGAGGTAGCTCGTTCTCTGTGCCGGGACTTGTTGGGGATATGGGGTAATCGTACGTCTCGATACTGGCTGGACCTTCCTCTTCGGCCTCAGCGCGAGACTTCTGCGGCGGCGTGCCGGGTTCTCCTTGCTCAATGAATGGATCGTGAAGGATGCGTTTGCTGTAAAAGTCGTCGAACATTTCGGGACCAAGCTCATTAATGAGTTCGTTAACGCGCTCAGCAAGGTTTTCGCGGCGTTGCTTGATCTTAACCAGCTCTTCAGAAGAGAAAGGATTCATCATCTTCCACAACGGAACAAGAGATTTCAGGATATCCATTGCAACTTCGCCAAAGCGGAGAGCTGCATAAGTTACAGTGGGGTAGATGATGGCCTGAATGACGATAAGGTAGCGCTTTTGGATCCCTGCTGGAACATAGCCGTTGCAGTTGTTGTAACGATACCAGAGGAGACCTAGGCTGATGTACCACAGGTAGCATGCGGGGGCGACCGCCATGGCAACAAGTAGTTTCCAGGTGGCCATGACGTCTCGAGCTTGAACCTTGACGTTGGACGCTGCGAGCGCTTCCTTTGCTTTCTTGATGGAAATCATCTTGGTGGCGACGAAGACTAGCCCAAAAAGCATAGTACCAGGCAGAACGAAAGCCGTAAGTATGAGTAACTTACTGAGGCGATACCAGAACAGGATGAAAGCCTTGAGAGGATGCATTGTGGCATACTGCACTTGGTGATCCCGGAATCCAACGGCCCTGAGTTTGGCATTGTACGAGATAACCTCTGTCCTGAGCTTAACAATACGAGGATCGTCCTTGAAGCGCTCGTATCCTTTGACTAGTCGTCGATTGAGTTCCACAATCCTAGGTAGCGGAAGCTTTGTACCTTTGGAGTTGTACAACCGGCGAACCGCTTGAATAACCTGTAGCGTTTCATAATCTGGTGTCGTAACAGTGACTGAGATGAGACCTTGACGGACGGACTCAAGCATATCGCCAATAGCTTCGCGTCTGCCTGGTCCTTCAAACTTTTGAGCAAGCTCAGGTGGAATATTGATCGGTGTGCCGAATTCGATGACGGCCCTTGAGCGAAACTTATGGGCATGGAAGTAGTTCATGCCAACCGGTATAATCTTCAGGTTGCAATCTGGCTTTGATGCAACTGTACCTAAGGCCATGATAGCGACACCAGCTACTGATTGTTAGCACATGCGCGAGTCGGAGAGGATGCAAACTTACCCTTCAGCGGCAGGAGATCGGTTCGGTCGTGGCTACCACCCTCGGGAAAGATGCCAATGCTACCCCCGTGATGGAGCACGGCGTGCACAGCGTCATAGACCTCAGTCTGATCGAGCTTCGGTGCCACGAGAAAGTTGATACCCTCGAAGCCATCTGCGACGCCTCTCCTTGCTGAGGCACCGTCGATGAAAACGCCGTCCTTGGTCATGTCATTACGTCCAGTAAGCTGTTGCATAGCAACACCGCCCTTGAAGCCACGCTTTAGCCTGATCTCTTCTGGTCCCCGGACTTCCAGTATCTCAGCAGTGGCTGCCTTGTTGTCGACCTTTGGCAGCACAATGGAGCCACCGACCATGAACATGGAATCTTCAAAGTTGGTCCCAACACCTCGGAGTAGACACGGGTCGTTGATCGGGTCCGGGAGATAGACCATGCCCGTGGCAGGCTTCGTGGCGTCCATGGCTCTGCCCACAGGCACGACACCAGTCAAGCCGGCCATGGCGCCAATGAATCGCCTCTTCATGGACTTGTCGGCAATTAAGAACTGAATGCGGCGATCAGACTCCTTCTTGACTACGCGCATCAACATCAGAGGATCAACAAACTGCCCTTGTTAGCTTCGGCGTTTCTGGATTCGACACGGCCATACCTGGTTGGCGTGTGGCGCGCACACGAAGATGACCGGGCCCTCCTTAGGGACCTTCCAGCTGCTCCTGGGGTGAACTTCGCGGAAGAACAGCTCAACCAGAATAGAAAAGGTCCAGAGGAAGGCGTCGTAAACATATTTGTTCATGACCGCGATGGGCGTTTTGCCCTTCACTTGCTTCGCCATGCTGGCGGTGCAGCCGTCCAGGCTGTGTAGCGACGGGTGCTGGGATATCGATGCGGCGGTAAAGGTACGTGTGTAGCGATTGTGGGGTGATGTGGTGGGAGGTATGCGGGACGCGCTCGAGGTTCGAAGCGGACGTGCAGAAGAACAGTGGGGAATGCAGTCGGGTCTTGCGGCCTGGCACATGTCAGCAACTGCTCCTTCTCTCTCCGACGGCTGCGCACCTTCGCTACTTCTGTCGCAACGACACGTATGTCCAGCGCAGACTGTGGTGTGTGGAATGAGGCAGAGGCGCTTTAGGCAGGCATTGCTCCCTCGATCCAATTACTCCTAGTAGCCGGATCCCGGATCGTCACGCCTTCGCTGAGGGGATCTAGCGGCTATGCGCGCGTGCAGGATGCGCTATTGCTGCTGTTGAGCGCTCGGGTCTGTGGAGATGCAGCAGGCGGCCGCGGGCAGGACGTGTTTGGTCATGGTGCGCGACGTTGAGGAGCTTGGTGGCGCCGACGCGGGGCAGCTGTCCATCAACCGGGCGGCTGATCAACATCATGCCTGCGACATCAAACTCGCAGATCGCGTTCATCATCTGCGCTTGTCTGTCTTACTGACCCCTCCGCGAAGGTTACTGGACCCTGGATGCAGACATCAGTACGTCACGCCGACAGGCGGCCAGCTGCAGATGCTGTGTAGCACACGTCGATGAACTAGTCAATTCTACTATGGTCTATAAAGTATCGACAAACCATGCTAAGGCTGCGTCTTGGCTAAGCCTTGATATGAAGGGTATATGTACAATAATAAAGGTCCCGAGGGGACTGTGAAGAAGAAAGCTTCCCGCACGCATCTTACACGAGGCCAGCCACCACGGCAACGGCCATTGCGACCAAGAAAGAGCCGCCCATGACCTTCGTGCTGGAAGCAGCGCCTTGAAACTCGACCGGTGCTGTCGAGCTAGGTACACTGCCATTAGCTGGCACGCTGACGTTAGCAGGTGGCGCGACAGGCATGAGTGTAGTCAGAACCGGGGGTACCACGGGTGCACTGGACGTTGCCACAGACGGAACCTCTGGAGCCGATGTGACGGGAGGAACGTAGACGGTTATGGTTGTGCTGGGTGTGCAGGTGGTGTTAACACCTGCAGTGGGCCTCGAGACGGTGATCGTGACGGTCGTGCTTGTCGAGCAGCTCGCAGCAGACGTCTTAATCTCGCCAACCTGGCTGGCGGGCTTCTCAGTTGGTGCGGCTACTGATGGGGTAGACTGAGTTGGAACGGCAGATGTCGGGACAGCAATCACAGTAGGTACGATGGCTGCTGGCGTAGACTTGTTTGGAATTGCTGATGTCTGGACTGCGTTCTCGGTCGAAGGTGCAGCACTGCTGGCGGGCGCAACTTCAGTCGATTTCGGTGGTGCGGGCACATCTGCGCTCGATATGATAGGTTCAGTCTGGCTAGATGAAGGCGCCGGGCTAGGCTCAGCTGCCTTGCTTGACTCAGCAGGCTTGGAGACAGGAGCGGTGGTGGGCTTGCTTGCAGGTGTGGAGCTGGGCTTCGGCGCAGCAGTAGGCTTTGGCTCGACCGCACCTTTCTTGACAGGCACAATGTTCTGCTTCAGCGACAACAGTGCCTGAGTGACCTCCAAGGCTGCAAGCTGCTGGCCAACGCCAGATAGACCGTCCCAGCTGCCAGTGTACCACTTTGAGCCGCAGGTAGCCTTGTCATCTCCGCCCGAGCACGACTTTGCGGCCCCTACAGCAGACGCAGTGAGATACTTAGTGATTGTATCCTTCGTGAACGGTGCAACTGCCGCAGTCTTTGCCATAAAGCGAGAAAGGTAGGCCTTGAATGATTGCTGGTCGAGATTGCAGGTACGTCCAGATATTCCTGTCTCACAAGCCCACTCGTACATGATGTTGTCTTTCTCGACTGGGCTAAAGAACAATAGCTCGGCATGGGAGAGGAATCCAGACACGCGGTCCTTCCACACGCTCGCGCCATTCGTGACATCGTACATGAAGGCAGAGCCGTGGAGGAACATGGCATTGTTGTAAGTCCATTGGGTCTTGTCAGCCACTTCAGCGCAGTTCGTCTTGTCATCAACGCCGTCAAAAACTTCGTAGATGTCACTGATCAAACCCACAGACTTGGTCCAGTCGTAGATCTTCTCCGCCCAGTCCGCGTATGTCTGGTTACCAGTGTAGCGAGCGAGACGTGCGCCCAGCGCGAAGGTGCAACCGTTCGAAATAGAGTTCTTGTAGTTGTAGCCGTAAGAGTTCTCCGGGTAAATTTGCCACTTAAGACCTCCATCGCAAGTGGTTGTGTCCCAACGTCCGACAATGTTATTGAAGGCGTTCACAGCAACCTCCAAGTAATCTGCGGGGGCTGACTCGGGTTCCGGGAATTGGTACTCAAGCGCTGACATAACCGCGAGAGCCCAGAACGCCTGGTCGTCGTTTCCAGTCTGTGACTTGCGGTATGACATAATGAAGTCGTTGTTGGGTCCGTAGTTGGAAGTCAAGGCTTGTTGCAAGGCCTTGACATGCGAGTCATCTCCAGAGAACTGACTGTACTCAATCAAGCCGCCCCAACTTGCGCCCGCAGTCCACCAATATAAAGGCTGTGGAAAGATACCAATCTCCTCTATTGGTGTTCCGGTGGCGTTGTTCTTGTAGAGTTCCATCAGTCCGTACGCATAAGTCCGCGCCGCCGCTTTGATAGACGCCTCATTCTCGGGATCAAGTTCGATGCCTCTTGCGGTCGACGCAATGAAGGGCAGGAGCACAGCTCCAACAGTAGCGAAGAACTTCATGTTGCAAATGCTAGAAGGCTAGAAGTAAGAAACGAAGTAAAAAAAGAGAAGCAAAGTAGTGAGTGAACGAGCGCGTATGGCGCAAAAGACCGAATGTGAATGAGGGAATCATAGTGAAGTGGGCCTTGCTTCTATAAAGCCTCGTGTCGGGTGTTTGCAGCTCTGGGTCGATTGCCGTGGGGAAGGAGCTGCAGCATCCCGGCCTCGTTTGGGGATAGGATGTTTGGGAACCTCAAGCGCTGACTGGCCAGATGCGTGTTTCAGAATTCGGAACTTCATTGCTTCGAGCGACTGAGCCCGCCCAGCGAGTCCTTCATCTTTTGGCGCCCAGGGCAATGTCCCGAGGACACATGGGGATACTCCTGTTCTCCATAGTGATTGGCATGAAGGTTCCCCGACCGTTGCTTCCAATTTTGACGCTATGGCTACGTGTGGAACTCGTATCACCCAACAACGATCTCGCTTGGAACCCAGCTGTCCATTTGCACGCGCTGGAAAGCTCGTGCTGCCTTGCACAGGGCGACTATCTTCAAGATCGACTCGTGAGGCTGAGCCACGCGGCATGAACCTTGCAAGCGGGCGTGGCACCCTTTTGCAAGCTTTTGCGCAACTGCAATCTCACCCTAACGTCAACAATCATAAACACCCGTTTATGAAAGCCCCTGCGTGGGCTGTGATGATGCAGCGGTCCGCCCGGCACCATTCACAGGGCTTACCCCTGCCTTCTCGCGCCACGACGCGAACCTGCATTTCCTCTAATTACCCAATGCGGCAAAACATTGCTTTTCCATCGAAAGCGGAGTGATTTTGAGGCTTGGCGCACGGATACTTTATGGACACTGGATGCATGTTTAGCACACTCGATCATGGCCCGGGTGGACGGCAACGGGAAGACGTGCGGTAGCGTTGCATCAGTGAGGATGTGAGATTTAGGAAGTGACTTCTGACTGATTCAACAGCAATTTCCGTTGTCATGGCTCGCTGTTCCGATTGACGCTTCTGACTGGGCGGCAGCGAACATCACTTGGATAGCTCACTACCTGCACTCTATTTCTTTTTCAACATGTCTGAAGCACCTCGTCACGCCTCTATTGTCCCAACGACCCGCAACTGCTATACCAGTCGAACGATACCAATGGTTTTTATAGTGCTGCTAGGATATCAAGTAGATCCGTGCAGCCGTGGGGTTGACGCGAAAACCGATACTGGGTGTGGTCGGCTCATGAGGTTGGCTACTTGAAAATGCCACATTGATGGGTTTTGAGGGCTGTGCGATCTTTGAATCCGGACCAATACCAAGGACTGAACCATGCGCGTACACATAACCCAAAGTGACGCCGCACTGATCCTTCGATCGGAGACGCTATGCCCAAATTCGTGCCGGTCCTAGAGCCATCACCTTAACGGCTTCTGGTGCGATGCGTACATGCCGAGGCTCAAATCCTCCACAGAGCCTCGGTCAAGAACCTTAACAGATCGGTATCGCTAATATAATCAAAAATCATCGCTGCAAGCAAGGTACAGCAATCCAGGCTTCTCTGTCCGAATCTGGTCGTAGTCGTGTTGCAAAATCGTGCAAGTCAGCATTCGGTTTCCGAATAGAAGCAACTCCACCATATGGTCCAGAACGAGCTCGGAAGTATGTTATTATAGCTACCGCTAGTCTTTCGCTGGATTTGTGTTACACCTTGAGCATAGCGAGCTAATCTCACTCTCATGTTGCTGATGAAGTGATCTGCAGTTCGTCCGTACCTAGCTCGGACGGAGACATTCGATGAGGGTTTGAGAAGCCGGGTATTAAACAGAAGAATCTAGAAATTCAAGGTACAGAAAAAGATCATAAGAACAGCTGGCTGCCTTCTACTATGCGAGTTGAAATAAATTGTGCGCAAGGTCCGCCTTTTCTGCACCATAGGGATTCCAACACTGATCCGGTTGCCACTAGTCTCTCTTCTACTTGACCAGCTGAGAGTCTTCAGAGTTTCTGCTTGCATTTGGATTCCTTGTAAGCTCAAAGTAGACACAGCACCGTCTCCATAGCTATTCACATAAACATCGGCAGTGTGACCTACACATCAAACCTTGAGTAACTAAGCATGAAGCTCGACTCAGTGTCGCGGGCATCAGGACTTCGGTGCACCGAGATGTGGTCGTATTAATCGTTACTAAACATTACAATTGACAATTAGTAGGGTGTTAAGTACAAAGAGGTAGAAAGCGAAGAGATGACGTCGATCATCGATAGGCGCTAGCGCGTCAACGCAAGCGAGCTCCCCACAGCATTATCACGACGGCAACATCAACAACAACAAGAAGCGTTCCATTTGTAAGTGTTATTGTATAGACAGGATTCTAGAAGAGAAGAGAGCCCCTAACACAAACTCAGAATCAGTTACTTCACAATGTCTACTGCTGCTGGTGAACAGAAGGCCTCGCGCTACTACCCTGCAGAGGAGGAGGCGGTGATGAAGAAGGTATGCGCCAAGTTCTATTCCGAAGCTGCAGCGTGATTCCAGGTCAAAAGCGCTGTGGAATTGCGAAGCTGTGATGTGTCGATCACATGCTAACAGCACCAGGCCCGCAAGACAGCCCACCCCACTAAATACCGCGAGTCTCTCAAGCCCGGCACCATCGTCATCCTTCTTTCAGGTCGCTTCTCCGGCAAGCGCGTTGTCCTCCTGCGCCAGCTCTCGCAGGGTGTTCTCTTGATCACCGGTCCCTTCAAGTCCAACGGTGTTCCTCTGCGCCGCGTTAACCACCGGAACGTAATCGCGACCGGCGCCTCTGTAGATGTCTCGAACCTCGACACTGAAGTCCTGGATCGCGTGAGCAAGGACGAGTACTGGGCGCGCGAGAAGAAGGATGGCAAGGGCGAGGATGCATTCTTCGAGCAGGGCGAGACCACACCCCAGAAGAAGGACGTCGATCCTCAGCGCATTGCGGACCAGAAGACCGTCGACAAGGCGTTGATTGCGACGATCAAGCAACAGCCTGATCTGGAGTCATACTTGAGCGCTAGCTTCAGCTTGAGGAGCGGCCAGCACCCGCACGAGATGGTCTTCTAGGTGGATGCAAAGAATAAGGAGGATGAGCATAGCCAACGACATGATCGATGATGGTAGTCGAGATGCGGGCACGGGAGCCGTGATACCACTGTTCAAAGCGGACGGACGCCCTACTTGACGAGGCGCGATGCAGTAGCATCGGATACAATCCATTACCTAGATGATACCCACGACCAAAAAAATAAAGATACAATTGCAGAAAGGCGCTATTCGCTCATGGCACAAAGAATGGTTGACGACTTGTCTTTCTTCACAAACGTGTCCCGCACGTCTCACTTGCCAAATATGTCCTCCAAAGTCTTCTTCTGCTCTTGAGACAGAGGACCCGAGGGGAAGTCGATGTCGACTTCTACAACCATGTCACCCCTCTCTGAAGGCGCCGTACTCTCAGGCATACCCAATCCCGGATACGCCTTCTTCCAATTGGGCCCTGTCGGTCCAGCCGCAGTAACGACCAGTTCGTGGTGTCGATACAGGAGACCGTGCGGGTCCAACCACAGAGGGCTTCAAGGAAGCTCACCTGTACTCTGTGGTAAATGTCGTTTCCATTGCGTTTGAACAGAGGACGTGGTTCCTAAGGCCACGGTCAGCGGCAGCTTCACACAAAGTGAGAGAGCTCATATACCTCTGTAACAATGAAATATAGGCAAAAGTGCAAGTAATGTTGTCGGTATCAACCCCTAGAGGTAGTTTCGCTACATGTACTCGCAGCTTCCCTGATCTGTGATGCAATTACCTAGAACCATCACAAGATGACAATCTGTGCGCAACATATGTCCGAATAGTGCGCCATGGTAATTAGGGGTGCGTGTGGACGCGAGATGCTGACGTGTTAGCGTAGGCATCACGTTAACTTGTTAAATGTTGGGAGTATCCGTCTTCGGTTTCTCTCGACTTTCTTTTCTTTATCTAATCCAAGGGATACGTTCTTAGGATGCACCCGGAGTTGCATTATGGCGGCCTAATATCTAAGGTACTTCATTCCAGGGCGTACCTTCCAGCTCCTGTGGCGGTAGCTCTCGATTAGTCTCCTGGACATATGTACGTGCATAGACGGCTTTAGACGTTGATTCTGGCTCATAAATCGGTGGGTGGACTTGATGGTCGACTTGATGCTGCAATTCCTTTCTCTTTTTGCGCTCTCGTCGCCACAGCCAGGTGCTGAGAATGATACCTGCAACACCAGCAGAGCAGCCAATTCCTATACCCGCTCCGGCGCCTGCTGATAATCTCGGTGGTGGGGAGGTTTCGGACGATGGCATGGCTGTTGGAGTCGAGAGTACCACCACAGACGGTGTAGTATCAACCTTTGTTACAGATGTAGTACTGTAGATAATCGATATGGGTGAGGATGTTGTTCTACCGAGAGCAGATTCGCTATCAACTGTCCAGAATCTTGGCGTCTCTTTAGACGACCGTGTAGACGTGTTGTGTACTTCGCCAGTGTGTGGATCGACAAAGTATAGAATCTGTGTCCCACAATTTCCTGGTTCTGTTCCAATAGCGAATTCATTGCTGCCACAATCTGTGAGGCCGACACCGCCTCTGGTGTGATCTATACACCTGCATAAGTCTTGACTTCATATCGGACATGCGATTCGCGACATACCGTTGGCGAAGTCTGAGCAATTTTTCCATGACCGGTTGTCACACCACTGCCTCGCAACATTCTCTCTGTTCGGCCCGTAGCAAAGAAGATTGCTCGCGCAAAGTTCGCCTCTAAAGCAACAGCTGCTGGTCTCTTGACCACAAGTAACAAGTTCGTCTTTGCCTGGATAGCTGCTACTGTCAAGTGCAGATTCGCCTATCGTGGTCTGATTAGGAAACTGTGAGATACGTTGATTAGATGTGTTCACGTACCGTTACGAGCGTAACAGTCGCCATTCACGTTCCCATAGAGCTGAAAAAAGCATAAACCTAGAGCGATAACACGCGAACGACAAGCGATTGACATCAAGACTACTCAGGTGACGTAGCCAGCAGGAGCGCACGTCGAACGCAATTGGAAAATATGGAGAAGAAGAAAAGGGAAGGCTACCAAGGTAAGGTGAGGAGCGTGTTGAGCTGTGCGCAGCTACATACTATCGGCGAAGCCACAGCACTTGAAAGTCGAAACCGTTGAGCTAAAGATTTACACCAATGTAGTACAAGTTGAAACATGATTGGGCAAGCGCTATCTTGTACTTCTGTGGCTGCGAGTTGAACCACTGCCTCGTTATCAGCAGCAATGATCTAAGCCTCCTGTGAGGTGATTATAACTCTAGCCTACGCGGATCCCCACATCCTACATGTCAGCATTACCCCGCAGCAAATACCTGTCGGTTCGCTTGTGCTGGGAACTATCATCTGGACATACTCGTCAGTAACACATAGTCTCGTGCTGGACTATCATTGAATCAGTCACAGCCATTACATTGTCTGAAGATTGAAGGTCCCAGTGTGTCCAGGTGCAATGTTATTCATGGGGGTTCAGTCCGCAACGAAGCCTTCAGCTCTTGAAGCGCCAAGTCGGCTGGAATCTCATGCACCTCTGCAGTGAAGCCTGCTTGATGCATGTAAGTGGCTGGTGCGTCCTGTTGAGTGTCACTATTCAAAATCCTTCTGTGTATGCGTACTTTCTGTATATCGTCATCATGGTATCGTGCGTAATGGAGGCTAGGTGTGTTGTTATGGTGGGCATGGGCCGATTTAAGTGACAAGGCTAGCAGAGACGGGTGTTGAGGTAGTTCTAAAGCTCACCAGCTCGCTAGCTGCTTCGATCGATCGAATCCTCCTCTTAATTGCCTCTCTGGCTTGACAACCTTGCCTTGCAATACCGTATATCTGATGATGTTCTCGCAATCCTCTGGTCGAACACGCGCCAGCCATATGCATTGTGCAGCCTCGCCGTCCATTTCCGATCGTTGCTCCTTATTAGCGTCGAGCACAATCTCGTGGTCTTTATCTGCCTCAATCTTCAACTCTTCCAGCGCCTCTTGCAAGCCGTTGGCATGTCCGTTTGCTTCATTAGGGTGCTCCACCGTCGACGAGTGGCGGTACACCATGACATTTGCCGAGAATTTGTGCCCTCCAACGTGACTGATGAAATATATACCAACTCCTCCAGGTCGTTCGTCGTGCAAGTCCCGATAGAGCCCTAGTGGCCGTAGATGCCTCTCAAACTCGCGACGCAGAAGCGGTGCAGATTGACCGCAGCGTGCGTCACGCGTCTTCTGACTACACAAAAGAATCAAGTACTTGTGCGGACATGCTCGCGCCTGTAAATCCGAGGCTGTAGATATCGAGGGTGGCAATGTGCTGTCTGCAGGTTTTGATTCAGGTTCTGGGGAAGAAGACCCTTGAGACGGTTGTCCGGGCTTGTGGTATAACGGTGAATCGTTCGTCGGGCTACGATTCACGTAGTTGGTTATGAGCTCAGGTACGTTTGCGGGTGTGACGTTGTCAATGAACTGCCACGATGGCAGCAGCAAGACCATCGAGCTGGTGTCAGAGTGATCGGGAATCGGCATGTCGGAGGCGGACAGCATAAGTTTCTGCTCATGATTAGATTGTGAGACTTTGCTACACCGGCTCATTCCTTACGCCATTGCTGGGCTTCACGTTCCCCTTGTCCACCGCTTCCATGATACTCCCCTTTTCATCTGCCACGTCTCGTACCCAATCTGTCTTCCCCGTAGCAACGACGAGATGCGTTTGCCATCCCTTTACGTGACCGTACAGCTCTTCTGTTTCATCGATATCGAATTTGCGTGGGTACTTTATCGTGCAGGTCGCGCAGTCGTGCAAGCAGTCGTCACCATCTGTCGCGGGATCGGTGGTGGGGAATAGATCCTCCGTCTTTCGAGCCTTTGAGAATTTGCCGTCTTTCTTGATCGTTGGCACCTCCGACGACGATAATGTCGAAGATAGCTTGTAAGCAAAGTTCATGAGCGTTGCAGACATTCTGTATGCGTTTAAAGGCTTGTTGGTCGGCTTTGGCAGCGTCATCGTTAATATTGAAGGCAATCTGATTGATTAGATTGCCAAGACTTGACGCGGAAAGTGGGCGCGATGACGACGTCTAATCTTCTCAAGCGAACGTAAATCGTCCTAACAGCAAAGACAAAGATGAACTTCACAACCGTGACAAGTATGTCTACAGACAGATCCGCTTATGTAGGTTCCGGCTGATGCCTTCCCAAGTTCGGTGAATTATAGGGGCCGACGCGGTTCTCGGACGTTGTAGCATCTCCGATCTCAACGCCGAGCTCCTACACTCTCCTCTACTCCTGCATAAAGAGTCGCGAGATCTTCCCTGGCCGCCTAAGCGACATCCTACATAAGCTTGCACGATTGTACAGTGCTTATATGCTGACTCACCAGCGACGCGTTCATGCGTCCAGTCTAGCCAAATGAGGCTCAAGTTGTTGAGCGGTGCACCGCTCCGCGAACACCTCGATTTTAGTACCAGTATCCTATCCAAAACTGGCGAACACAGAAACTTCGGCATCAGACAACGGTACGACCAGGCAGTTGAAGAAGAAGCTACTTTCAAATGGCGAGACATTGGTGCAAAGGGGGTTCCCCTTCGTACTGGTTGGTCGCCACCTTACCTACCTGGGACTGGCATACATGGTGCTCATGATGGAGTTTCCTTCGTGATACCGGGCGTCCAAGACTCCTCTGAGTTGCCGGAGTATAACGTTACCAACCTTGAGACGACGCTCACGCTGGACGAGGAGAACCTAGAAGTCGACAATTATCTCCAGCACTCCCTTGTCTTCTACGATACGTTGTTATCCTCACAGATAGTCCAAGACATTGGTGCGGACGAGACCGTGCCTTCATCGTCGTTCTTGACAACTTCGTTTAACAACACCACATCAGAATTCAGCAGCCCATCTCCAGTCGATACCCACGCACCCGTTCTGCAGGTATCACCCGCAATGGTTGTAACATCCCTCGAATCATTACCTGATGCTCGACATCTGCGCTCTATCTACCCTCAGACACTCACACCGAATTTTCTCTGCGCTGTCATGACCACACCTGAGCGAAACGAGGTTCTTGTGCGCAAAGGCGGTTACAGAATGGACTTGTGGGAGATCACCGTGGGAGACGACACCCGCTCAGGATTCAAAGTCACTTTCTGGTTACGTCCGTCTCGCGACTCGAATAATGAACAAAAGCGTGCGCAGGTCCAGCTTTTACATGTGTTAGAACATCTTCAAGTCGGCGACATTATTCTGCTACGCAATATAGCGCTGACCTCGTTCCGCGAAATTGTCTACGGCCAATCGCTCAATGCCACGATAACTAGAGCCAGGACGTCTCTGGACGTACTGGTGAAGAGCAATGGAATGCCTGTTGCGCAATTAGGCGGGCTACCGGCGTTGGTGGGCGATATACTCACAAAGGTAAAAAAATGGGCACGGTATCATGTTGCTGGAGAGAGAGACATGGTCAAGAAAAGGAAGGGCGGTTTCTCTGAGGTGGGCAAGATGGCAAAGCGATCATTCACAAGCTCTGCGTGCGACGAGGACTTACCCCCGGATACGATGGAGTCTCCTCAAGGCTCCCCTTTCTGAAATCACTGCACAAGCTCCTTCGATCATCTGGTCGAACGATGGGACGCCGTTTCCCGAAACACTGCTTTAACTGCCAGTGGATGCCCCAATCCTACGCAGACGTTCACTGACAACCTTCGCCGTGGCAACGGATATTTCTCGGCAGCAACCGAGTACCATGTGGCATATTATCGTGTGGCACCTGATTCACCCTCTCTCTGCCTGTCGGAGATGCCAGTGGCTCCTCAATCTGTTTGGGGCAATTGGAGCGTCGCACCAGTAGAAGGTGGACCGTGCAACCACCCTGACATCTCACAGTATGCCACAACACACACTCGCTCTCTTCAAAATCATAGTCTAGGTGTCGTTCGCAATCGTAACTGCTTGTGAGATGCAACAAGATCTGGTTCATCGAATTGGCGGTAAACACCAAGACCGACAATCAGGTACAATTTACACGTGCTGCGACTTTGGCTATTTGCTAGGTACAGCGACACTAGATGCGTAGCTCCGTCGCCAGTAACGTGGTTTGGATCCAAGACAAGATTCTAAAGGTACGACGACACCTTGAAACGCTGTTGCTCATTGGTCGCGTTCTGGTTTTCTTGTTTGCGACGAAGTTTATGCGCAATAAACTAAACATGTTTCGAGTGTCGGCATATCAACAGGGACCCTGGTGACAGCTTCAGCAACCCCTCACCATACCGGCTTCCCGAATGCTCTCTGCATGAAGTAACAATGGACACAGCCCATTACCAGACGTATGCAGCGGGGCATTTGGCGAAAGTAACTCCTGTTCATCTCGTTGGTCACTTATATGTTTTGCTTCTCTGCCGCTCTCATGAACGCCTCGCACATCCAGCTCGCCCAGTCTTTCGTTCAGTCCTAGTGACTTACATTCTTTTTGCCGCGCCGAAGTCGCATTTCTGTTTCTTCTGATCTTGATTGATCAATTACGTTCTCTACTGGCTGGCCACGATGAAGTCAATCATTCCTTCTGTTGCAGGTTTCACTATATTCATTTCTTTACTAGCGCACACGCAAGCCGCTTCCAATACTACGGGTGGCCCATCATGCGGGGTTTCTAAGGCAGACGATAGCTACTTCAGCGTTGTAGGAGTTCAAGGAACTGGTGTACACCCAAGGCAGGAACTGCGTGAGCTTGAGAAGGACACTGAAACGTGGAATATCTTCTTACAGGCCTTCGCGCGGTTCCAGGCCATGGATCAAGGCGAGAAGGTGTCTTACTATAAAATCGCAGGTGCGGTGATAAACCCATACGGTGTGTGATTACTGACAGCAGCAGGGATACATGGAGTCCCATTCGGGCAATGGGACGGCGTTACGGGTGTGGAAGGCCAAGAAATGATGGGCTACTGCCCTCACGCGAGTAACATGTTTGGTTCCTGGCATAGACCATATCTTGCTCTCTTTGAGCAAATCCTTCATGACCGCGCTATCGAGATTGCGAAAGAGTATCCGACTGGAGAGGCTCAAGATAAAGCTATGGACGCGGCTGACAGAGTGCGCCTGCCGTACTGGGACTGGGCTATGAATCCGCCTAACAGCGATGAAGGATGCATGCCCGCTAGTCTGCGTCGCCCGACAGCTACTGTTGCATTTCCGAACGGGACCACCGGTAACATTGCCAATCCTTTGTACCGTTACGATTTCCATCCACTGAACTACGATGACTTTGCACCTCTGGTCTGTACCCAAATCCAATCCGCTCGAATCTGATAGGTCTGACAACGATACAGAGTGAGTTCCAATTCAAGAACTGGAACCACACGATGCGATTTCCACTTGATAGCTTTGCTCTCAACGCCACCAGCCGCAACGATGCAGCAAACGATCGCATTGGAAGACAGCAGCCGAACAACCGTGACATGCTTTACAAGCTGCTAACAATGTATCAACCGTTTAATCAGGTCAGCAACAAAGCCAATGGTGGTATCATCGGAAACTTCGAAACACTTCACGATGGCCTTCACAACGCTTTCGGACTTGGTCACATGGGTATTGTCGAAGTTTCTGCATTCGATCCCGTGTTCTGGTTCCATCACGCAAATATGGATCGTCTCATCGCTCTGTATCAGTACCGATACCCAGATACTTGGATCGAAGACGCGGCACAGGTTAAAGGCACTTTCAAGGTTACCAAGGGTGCCATTGAAGGTCCTGCGTCACCGCTGGCTCCATTCCACATGAATGCTCTCGGTGACATGTGGACATCGACCACTTCCCGTAACTGGACGTCGTTTGGCTATACCTACCCCGAGCTCATGACAAACCCCTCGAACCAAACCCTTACCTCAACCCTTAACAGACTCTACAAACCGGCGACTCAAGGCTTGAATAACACAATCTCGACGCCAGGCGACAGCGCTGGTAACAACAGCACTGCGACCACCACAACCAAGGCAATAGACTGGTTGTGTGAAGTCAAAATGCCTACAGATATACAAATATCTTACTCCGTTCGTGCCTTTCTGGGAGAACCTGATGCCGATCCCAAGAACTGGCCTACAGACCCCAATTACGTCGGTCAACTTGCCTCCATGTCTTCTCCTCGCATGAACTCCGACGTGATCGTTACGGGCAACATCGTGCTCACGGAGAGGTTGGCACAGAAGCATCAGGCAGGAGAGCTGAAAAGCTTGAGTAAGGAAGATGTTGCTGCCTACCTCAAAGCTAATTTCAGCTGGCGCATCCAAGCCTTGGATTACAGCGAGATACCTCGCAACAATCCACCTGCTGGTCTCAACGTTGCCGTATTCAACGTCGCAGTCTCGATTCCCGAGTCTGACGATGAAGTCCCCACTTGGGATGGTGAACTTGAATACAACCCTGATATCAAGGGTAATCCGCCAGTGTACAACGGTCTTGGCCCTGGTGGTACCAACTCCACCACTCCTGCCGATGATGTCGCCGGTCACTTCGACTCCTCATCCGGCCAGTGGGTGTGGAATAACGCCACAGAAAATGCCGCCGGTCAAGCTGGTGGTCAAGGTGGAACTAAGGTTATGCATGAGACGGAAGTGGTCACGCAGTACATTACTGTGGGCGCTGACGTGACTCCAACGCCAGAAGTAAAGCCTTCGACTACCACTGCTCCTGCACTTACCGAGGAAGCTTCTTTTACTCCAGTGAATGTTGGTACTCGGACCAAGTTCATGACCTCAGTGATCATCGAGTATGCAACGGTCTTGCCGGGCAAAAGCTAGGCTTCAGATCAACACTCTTTCCTTTCAAGTTCCTTTCGCGTACAGGTTTCTGTCGCTCGTTTACGCTCATTCATTTTCACGAGTGGTCAGTTTGCGGAAGTATGGTTAGATTTGATGTGAGGTCGGTTCGGCGCTGAAATCCTAGACCTCCTATTGAAGAAAATACGGAAATCAAAGATATCTAGAACTGGCCGTAACGGAAGAATCTGGACATAAATTGCACGTCCTTATCTCTCATGCATGCTGGTCTTTGCCGTCATATTTGTGAGATCCACTGGCTGCTCACTTTGTATCGTAAGCTTATCATCGTCCGTACTCTTGAGCAGCGGATCATCGCAGATGGAGTCTGGTCTTCGAGTGGTCTGGGGTATCCCTGCTCATGTACATCTGCTGACCTACATTGGCTCACATATCGTGAAGCGTCATGCACAATCGATGCCCCGTACTGATATTGTGCTCGGCGGCTGGAGATATACGGCGATCATGGTGCCAACCAGCCTATCGGATACACCGAGTTGCGCATGCAACCTTGCCTAGCGTAAGTGGGGAAGACGGTGGCGAATATTCGCGAACGCTCAAGTTCAAAAAAGCTTAGAGATATCGCATTATCGCGCTTATCGTCGGGTCGTGGCAAGACACCATCGATTGTAGAGACACTTAAACATCGTACGATAAGCCTGGAATACATCAGAGGACATACTATCGAAAGACGTCTGCATACTGTGCAAGCTGATTCGTGAGCAGGCTGTTGGGCGTGATGTCTTCTGATCGAATCTTGACACATACGTACGAATCCGAGAAGCCAAGACTGAGGGAGCAGGTGATGCTGCGTTGTGAGTTGTCTAGCGTATGTGGAGAATAGGCTGACGTTGTATTGACTGTGAAGCTGAGTACATGAGGGCGGTCGTTAGCGTATGTGGGGTAGAGCATATCTTCAGGCATCGGTGTGACAGCTTGTCCAGACGGGGCAAAGCGATCCAGAGATGATTCTCTGCTGGTAAAACCCAAGTGGGTGAGGATCTCGGGATTTTACCATACTTTCGGCCTTGTTACTCATGCAAACAAAAGACTGCAGCCCATGGTGCTCCCTGGCTCCTACTGCGATAGCGGTTGACCTCTCATGGGTGGTGCCAGGGCCGATAGCGAATGGCGTTTTCGTGAAGCTCGAAAAGCACAGGAGAACTGCAATCCAAGAAGAAAGATCGCGGTAAAGATACATCCAAACCGAGTCCAGCAAGTGCAGTGATAACCTGTATCAATGTGGAGATAATCAGTTGTCGTGCAGCTGATAGGAAAGCAGGCGCTAAATCTCTCGGATCAATTTCCATGCGTGTCAAGCTCGGCTAGAGCTCTCGCAAAAGCGCCCAGGCTGATACAAAATTTTGACCCAATTTCCCATTCCGTGTAACACGGCTGATAGTTTCGAAGCATCAGACCGCCACTTCATCAAGGATGGTGATTCAATTTTGGTCAGTCGGCTTAACTGTCAGGGAATACCAGTTGGCGAACGATCCAGCACGTTCACGTGGTGCATAGACAAAAGAGCACGGATGTGACTTGGGCAGAAATTGTAAAAGATTGTCGTTGTAACCAGCGACACGCTACCGAGCGCCTGCAGAAGCGGTGTCGTAGCGAATGGTGCTGATTTGTTCAGGAGCGGCATGATCCCTGGTTGCGGCTCAGTCCGGAGCAAGCTGCAGATACGGATCACGTGTCGAGGACATCGGGAGTGTCGGGCGAGTCTCGTGTGTGAGCCTGTGACAATGTACACGCGTCATATCGTTGAGAGCGTACGGAGCTTCCAGTGTTCACAGGCTGACATCTTGACATTTTGCTGAAACAAAGAGTCTTGATGGAAGAAGACGCCTCGGAGTGGCCACCGGCAACCAATGGAAGGCCTGAACAAAAGTCGAAGATTGCCAAGGGCAACCGTTTTTGCAACATCACTCCGTAGCCAAATTGCTGATAGCCGCGTCACAGACAACACGGATCGCTCTTGTTCTGACTCTTCCCCTCGCACAATACCATCAAGGGCTAACTCTTTCTGGACACTGGGCCTGGCATCTCGGCTCAATTGCAACTTATGCTGCGTGTTGAAGCTCACCATAACGGGCAATGCAGTCTGTGCGCTTAGGTTGTGAGATGTACAGGCTCGAGGCCAGGTGGCATTGTCGTTGCATCCATTTGGCTGCCGGATAGGTGCGCTGGTTGTGCATTGTGCATTGGGATGCTCTGCTCTCGATCGTCAACAGGTTGTTGGGTCCTGGCGGTAAGGTCGGATTGTTGACAGCGATCGCGTGGCAGGTACCACAAGGACAGACCCTCGCACGGCATGTGTCATTGACGTTTTCCAGTCGGTTTTATACTGAAGCGAGCGGTGTGGGACGTAGTCGGTCGTTGATTCCAGAAGATCAAGTTCGGTTAGCGCCATTGCGTGATTGTAGTGAGCACGCCATGGCGACCAGCGTCGACTGGCTGAAATGGACACAACTCACGAGAATCGCTGATGTACCTAAGATGATCGTTCCCATGTGCACCGTGCATCAAGCAACGCCTGGGGCAGCACTACTACTACCCCACCCACCTATAAAGGACTGGTCGCCCTCACTTTCACTTGCTTTGGCGCACGTGCACTCAAAAACCTGGCTGCGCCCCCCGTACCTTTACACCCTTCAAACACATCAACTCAACACTACCATTACCAAAAAACCATATCATCTACCTGTTGTCGCATTCAAACTAAAGCAGTCATTCATCACTGACGGCTGGAGGCCTTCACCTTACTATGGCACCCGGCGCCGTACGCTCAGAGTCTCCAGCGGCGTACTCGCACCCGATCAAGCAGTCAAGACAAGTTGACTCAAAACTCCAAGTGCATACAGCAACGGACAGCCATGTCTCGCTGAAAGACTCCACTATCACCAACGGTCATGTGAATGGCAGTAACGCTCGTGGAGCTAATAACCATCCTACCAGGTCGCAGGATGGCCGCGATGTTGTTACCTCTGAGTTTCTGCTTGAGCAGTCTCAAAAGATCGCATCTGGTAATGGTCGGAGATCTTCTAGGAAACCAAACATCTTGTACATCATGGCGGATCAGATGACCGCATCACTTCTCAAGATGAACAACGCAGATTCTGTCGTTCAGACACCGAACCTCGACAAACTTGCAGAGACTGGTGTCGTCTTCTCTAGCGCTTATTGCAACTCACCTCTCTGTGCGCCTTCGAGGTTTACCATGTGCACAGGACAGCTTCCATCCAAGATTGCTGGGTACGATAATGCGTCCATTCTCGCACCTGAGGTCCCTACTTATGCGCACTACCTCCGAGCTGAGGGGTATGAGACCGCTCTTGCCGGTAAAATGCATTTCATTGGCCCCGACCAACTTCACGGCTTCGAACATAGGTAAGCTACGTTACTTGACTCGGTTGGTTTGATTTAACAAGGCTTTCAGACTTACTACGGACATCTATCCCGCTGATCTTGGATGGTCAGTGAATTGGGATAAGCCCGAGGAGCGGCAAGAGTGGTTCCACAACATGTCGTCAGTCTTACAAGCAGGCCCTACTGTCCGGACTAATCAGCTGGACTATGATGAGGAAGTCATGTTCAAAGTAAGATGTTCTGATTAGTAGATGCACCTTATTACAGTCGCTGATACTTCCACACCAGTCGTCCCAATACCTCCATGAATGGGTGCGCGAACCAGCTGCGACTCGACGCCCGTTCGCTCTTACCGTCTCTTTGACACATCCTCATGATCCTTATGCCATGCTTCGAAAATACTGGGATCTCTATGAAGGCGTTGATATTCCTCTTCCCGAGGTGGAGATTCCTCAAGACGAACAGGATCCCCATTCTCAGCGCATTATGAAGTGCATCGATCTCTGGGACAACCCTGTTCCCGATGAAGCCAAGTTGCGCGCTCGTCGCGCATATTTCGCCGAGTGCAGCTTTGTCGACGACCAGGTTGGGAAACTCATGCAGATTCTCAAAGACTCCTACCTCGATGATGATACTATCATTGTATTTTCTGGCGATCACGGCGATATGCTTGGTGAGCGTGGCCTTTGGTACAAGATGTCATGGTTCGAGAACAGTGCACGTGTTCCCATGGTAATCAATTACCCTTCCAAGTTCAAGCCGAAGCGTGTGTCGGAGTCGGTGTCTACCATGGACCTCCTCCCAACATTCGTCGACCTTGCAGGAGGAGATGCATCTTCCATTCTACCCATCGATGGTACTAGCCTATTCGACTACCTCGTCTCCGACAAACCCGGAAAGGACGAAGTCTTTGGTGAATACATGGGCGAGAGCACTGTCACACCTACATACATGATTCGTCGTCATCAGTGGAAGTACACCTGCTCGATGGTCGACCCACCGCAGCTATTTGACTTAAGCAACGATCCAAAAGAGCTCAACAATCTCGCTCTCTCGGATAAGCCCCAGCATGAAGAAGTTCTCAACAAATTCGAAGCCGAGGCCCGCGCCAAATGGAATTTTCAACAGATACACCAGGATGCCTTGAAGAGCCAGCGTTACCGCAGGATCTGCTGGAAGGCTTTGCAGCTAGGTCGTAAGGAGCATTGGGACTATGAGCCACCCGCCTCTGGCAGAGACAAGTTCATCCGCTCCCACATCCCGCTGGACGATCTTGAACTTCGGGCTAGGTTCCCTGTCGTCGACTCACTTGGTCACGAGCAGGTGGCGAACGCAACCCATCACGGTGCTGCCGGCGCCTGCGGCGAATAATATTGACGCATGGCCAACCCTTTCCTTTGTCATTCTGCAGTCTGACGAGCGATTTACGCATAACGACTCACGGCTTCAACGGCGTTTACTTTCGGAGATACGCATACAATGCATAGCACAGTCTCAAGCAAACGTGATTGTTTTTGATAGCACACGAGCGCACATGTACATTATCTAAAAAGCAAATGGACACCATTAGTAACACTGTAAATGACAGCCTCGGAGGTGAACGTTGATGTTGCGTGTTGAGTGATGTACACGGTCACATTGGGCAATGATCAATCATGACAGACGCCGAAAAGGCGCCTTGCTGTGTTTCACAATCGCCACGTGATCCTCTATCAGTGGCGCCAATCACCCGCCGAGGCATCGTCACTACTTTCGCCCGTACCACCCACCATAACACCAACCTTAGGCTTTTGCTATACCTTCTGTGTACCGGCTTTCCATTTACACGTACCAGCGATCCCGTATCTGCGAACTCAAGCATCATGTCCACTGCCGCCCGCCGTCGCCTCATGCGCGATTTCAAGGTACGCCACCACGATGTAGAGCTTAGCTGAAGGACCAGAGAAGCTCATGATGAAGGAACCAGACTAACATAACACCTTGTAGCGTATGCAGACTGACCCTCCAGCTGGTGTATCTGCCTCCCCCATAGCCGACAACGTCATGACCTGGTACGCTTCCATCACGCCCCGCACGCGACACTTATACGCTTTCGATATACATCGCGCTCGAGTCTCTATGCTCTCTTTACTCGAACATATACCATGAAAAATGATCTGCTAACAAGCAAGTAGGAATGCAGTCATCATAGGTCCAGCCGACACACCGTTTGAAGACGGTACCTTTCGCCTTGTCATGCACTTTGAAGAAGCCTACCCGAACAAGCCTCCTGGCGTAAAGTTTATCAGTCAAATGTTCCACCCAAACGTATACGGCACAGGCGAGCTGTGCTTGGATATCCTTCAGAACAGATGGTCGCCGACGTACGATGTTGCGGCGATTCTGACAAGTATCCAAAGGTGTGTATAATGGAATGCTGAGAGTCGTCGGTGGAAGCAGAGCTGACAAATTGCAGTTTGCTAAACGATCCCAATACCTCGTCGCCGGCGAACGTCGAAGCGTCCAACTTGTACAAGGAGAATCGAAAAGAGTACACGAAACGGGTCCGGGAAACGGTCGAGAAGAGCTGGGAGGACTGATCTCACCGTACCGCTCGGTGGACGAACGAGATGATGGTATGATATGATATGGCATGGGCGTGGAGTTACTCTGGTTGAGCCAAGACATTGTATTGTATTTGGAGTTAGCAGGCGTCTGCATATGGGCTATTACAGCAAGGCGTTTTGGACTACTACAGATCTACTTTGTAGCAGTCTTGACAATCGATGAATTCGAACAATTCTCTTTCGTCGATCCTTTGGCACCATATTGCACCATGCTGAAGGTGCACGTAATGGACAGCTGTACATGAAGGCGAAGAGAGACCTCAAGTATGTCTAGTGTTCGACATATGTGTACATCGTCGCACGAGCAAGCATCATAAGCACGTTGCCGAACTCATCAAGGCTGCATCCCGTAGTCGGCGCGGGGGGAAGGCGCGCTAGCGCAGGTCATCAACAAGCCGACGCCTGGCCGCCTCGAATCGGACCCTGGCTGCACGGCACCGTCGCACTCCTTTGCTGCTCTTTCGTCCAAGCATTCACCGACCTCCTTCCCGGGGTGTACTGGGTAGTGCTGCTAACTGGCCACAAGTACCTTGCATCTTGCGTTGGCGTTGCTTGGGGCGCTTTGATTTGTTTTCCCCTAAACGGCGGCGGGGCCCTTAATTACCCTCTCCCACCACGCGCAAGACCCCGCGAGACGTGACGGTATCACAACAGCACCACCCGCTGGGCCTGCAGCGACCACTCCTTCCTCACACCGAGAGGCGCAGGCAAAGTGAGGCCGTGGGGCCGAGAGACTGCAAAGACTCGCAAACATGGCGTACGTCTCTCCCAAGAATGCGGTGAGCGATAAACATCACGCTAACATCCCAACGCAGGAGCTCCAACACAATCAAAGGTACGCTGCAACATGGAAAAGAAGCATGGCAGAAGACATGGGGCACTGACAATGGGACAATGCAGTCGTGGCGCGGTTCCGTCCGCAGAACAAGATCGAGATTGCCAGTGGTGGTGAACCCATCGTTGACTTCAAGTCAGAGGACACATGTTCGATCAACGTACGTCCCAGCCTTTGACACAAATGCGTGACTCAAGAGTGGGCTGGCTGATTGACATGTGCACAGTCCAAAGAGGCCGCCGGGGCCTTTACCTTCGACCGAGTATTCGACATGAGCTCGCGCCAAGTTGACGTATTCGACTACTCTATTCGACCGACCGTGGACGACATTCTCAATGGATACAACGGCACAGTCTTCGCCTATGGCCAGACGGGTGCGGGCAAATCGTACACGATGATGGGAAGCGACATCGACGACGACGCGGGTAAGGGTGTCATTCCACGTATTGTCGAACAAATCTTCGCAAGCATCCTCGCGTCTCCGAGCAACATCGAGTACACTGTCAGGGTGAGTTACATGGAAATCTACATGGAACGCATTCGGGACTTGCTCATGCCACAAAACGACAACCTGGCTGTACACGAGGAGAAGAACAGAGGCGTCTACGTGAAAGGCCTATTGGAAGTTTATGTCTCAAGCGTAGACGAAGTTTACGAGGTCTTGCGGAGAGGCGGTCAATCACGCGCTGTTTCGGCTACCAACATGAACGCTGAATCGTCACGTTCACATTCTATCCTCGTCGTTACAGTCACTCAGAAGAATGTTGAGACCGGTTCGATGAAGAGCGGGCAGCTATTCTTGGTCGATCTAGCTGGCTCAGAGAAAGTCGGCAAGACAGGTGCAAGCGGCCAGACATTGGAAGAGGCCAAAAAGATCAACAAGAGTTTGAGTGCGCTGGGTATGGTCATCAACTCCTTGACGGACTCCAAAGCTTCGCACGTTCCTTACCGCGACTCCAAACTTACCCGTATTCTGCAAGAATCTCTTGGAGGCAATTCGAGGACTACGTTGATCATCAATTGTTCACCCAGTAGTTATAACGACGTGGAGACCCTCAGCACTCTCCGATTCGGTATGCGAGCGAAGACGATCAAGAACAAGGCCAAGGTCAACGCAGAGCTTAGCCCGGCAGAATTGAAAGCCATGCTCAAGAAAGCACAGAGTCAAATTACCACGTTCGAAACGTACATTGGTTCGTTGGAAGGTGAGGTTCAAGTATGGCGTGGGGGAGAATCTGTCCCCAAAGAAAAGTGGACGCCTGCAATCGAGAGTGGTACATCTGCTGCGAGCAGACGGCCCGCTTCAGCAGCTCGCGCGCAGACCCCCTCGCGATTTGATGCCACAAGAAGCTCCGAGACACCGTCAAGACCAGACTCTCGCATGGATTTGGACCGAGCAGGCACGCCTAGCATACCTCTAGATAAGGACGAGAAGGATGAATTTTTGAGGCGAGAGAACGAGCTCCAAGACCAGGTCGCCGAGAGAGAGTCTCAGCTTGCCAAGGTTGAAGACCAGCTCAAGACCGCCAAAGATGAGCTTCAGTACTACAAGTCTAAAGATAGCGAGTCGACCAAGGCGAATGAGAGGATGACGACTGAGCTCAACGAAATGAGAATGCAAGTGGAGAAGATCCAGTTCGAAGGCAAGGAGGCTCAAATCACGATGGATGGATTGAAGGAGGCCAACGCAGAGCTTACAATGGAACTGGATGAAGTCAAGCAGCAGCTTCTGGATGCAAAGATGAACGCCAAGGAATCTAGCGCTGCTGTTGACGAGAAGAAGAAGAAGAAGGCCGAGGCAATGGCGCAGATGATGGCCGGCTTCGATCTCGGTGACGAAGTGTTCAGCGATAACGAACGCAGCATTCGCAAGATCATCGAGCAGCTCGACCAGCTGTACGAGATGAGTTCGGCTGGCGAAGCGATTGCACCGGATGCTCTTCAAGAGTTAAGGGAAAGGATCGTCGAGACCCAGGGTATTGTGCGACAGGCGGAGCTTTCGCTTACAGCACGCAACGAAGAGGACAACGTACACAACAAGCGACGTGAGGCTCTTGAAGGAAGGAACGCTACTCTGCAGCGTTCGTACGAGGAACTTCTCGAGAGCAACCTGTCTGAGGCTGATACCGAAGAACTCAAGTCACGCCTTGCAGATGCGTATGCTGCTCGGCAGAATGGCAACGTGGAGCTTGTAGACGACTTGAAGGCAGATCTGTCCCGGAGAGTGGAGGAGAACCAAAAGTTCAAGAACGAAATCGAGGGCCTACAGCAACGCATCAAGAGCGGCGCCATCGCAAACGGTGTCGCAAACGGCATCAACGGCAAATCTGTGCAGCAGCAGATTGCCGAGTTCGACAATATGAAGAAGAGCTTGATGCGCGACCTGCAGAACAGGTGTGAGCGGGTAAGTCTTATCAGCGTCACGATACTCTCCATCCTGTTCGTGTGAAGATATGCTGACCCCTCACCCTATAGGTTGTTGAGCTTGAGATCTCGCTTGACGAGACGCGAGAGCAGTACAACAATGTACTCCGTACTTCCAACAACCGCGCACAACAGAAGAAAATGATGTTCCTCGAGCGCAACCTCGAGCAGCTCACTGTTGTGCAGAGGCAGCTCGTCGAACAGAACAGCTCTTTGAAGAAGGAAGTCGCCATTGCCGAGCGCAAGTTGATCGCACGTAATGAACGCATTCAGTCGTTGGAGAGCTTGTTGCAAGACAGCCAGGAGAAGCTGACAGCAGCGAACCACCGGTACGTGCCTCCATTCATACACCACCGTGATCCGAGTACTAACACTCCAAAGCTTCGAGTCCCAACTCACAGCCGTCAAAGAGCGCCTCGAGGCCGCAAAGGCAGGCTCGACACGGGGGCTTGGCTCACACAACGCCAGTGCATCATTCGCATTCGGTGGCGGTGTCGGCTCGCGCATCGCGAAGCCTCTCCGTGGAGGAGGTGGAGACGGCCCTGCTCTCCCTATCATCGGCAGCCTACAAAAGGACGGCGATGCTGAGCCGAAGAACAAGCGCACAAGCTGGTTCTTCAAGCAGAGCTAGATGACCCAGGCCCTAGATGCAATTTTTTGGATACCCGGCATTTTGGTTTGGCACCGCATCTTCACGACGGCGTTCGATTATGGTGCAGCATGGAACGATAGATGAACACATTCCCTCAGGTGACCTGACGAAAACGAACGAAACATGATGACTGTTCTGATGTCAGCAAGGGGAAACGGCACGCTTCCGGGTATGTGCATTTATACCATAGATCTACTCTCGTGTCTCTTATGCTATGCAACATCGACCTATTCTTTGCACTGTTCCTCGTTTTCGATCTCCGGTAATGTTAGGTGAACGAGTAGAGTCAACGTGAAGGTGCACATCCCTCCCTTGAGTCACCAAAAGGCTTTCGCCTTCTTCGTCCAGCAGGATGAAAATGACATGCGTGTGATTTTAGGGTTTCGTAAAACACGACATAGAGAGTAGAGTATAGCTTGATTGGCTGAAGTTAATTGGAGTACTAGCGCACGTGTATTTTGCCTCTCTCTGGTTTACAGCTATACAGTGGTGCGAATATGTATACTGAAAGAGCACCCTCTGCGATACAACCCCTATATCTAGCAGCCCCCACACACTAGGCAGCTGTCTGGTTCCGTCTCACCAGCACGCAACACGTCCTTTGGCTGACCGTACCGTCGTTCCTCGGCTAAGAGTAGGCTTCGGCACGAAGTAGAGAGGCTTGACTTACAGTCACCAACTTCGTAGTCCTCTCCTACACTGCTGTTTAAATGACAGAAGTTGGGCTTATACCTAATTGCTGTAACAACAGAAGGGGGTTGCCTCTATCTTTCTGCCGTAGATGGTGAATATACTAGAGAAGTATTCTCCACGACACATAGGTGTCGCCATCAACATGTTCCCTCTGAGCCATAGCTCTCTCCGTGAGCCTGCCTCAGACACCCGCGTGTTCCCTCGAGGACCCCCGCCTGTGGCAAAAAGGTCCGACAACCACACCTCCGCGCTTTCACATCGACACGACCGCCAAAAATAATTGCATCGGCCGGGAATCGAACCCGGGGCTAGCCGAAACTGTGCTGTCACTTTGAAGTTGTTGTACTGTCACTGTGAAGGCTTGGCAACGGCTAATTTTACCACTAAACCACCGATGCGGTTGTTTGATGATGAAACAAGTGTTGAAGACGTTTATATTGCCGCTTCAATTTCACGGCTGCCGTATGTTTGGTTTAGTTATCACGCTGGGCCCCTGTGTGCCGCCCCGTTCAATTGAAACCGCTGATGTGGGGAATGTGGGGCAGGCGGTGGGTCTCCAAGTCCTCAGTATCATGATTTCTCGTCCTCTCACATCAAGACGAATCCGTAACGGTCTCAAGCGGTTACTGTACCTCCGTTGTGCTTGAACGTATCCTCGATATAGTCAAGCATGAATGTAGTTTCGTAACTTGTTGAAAGTCGCTTCTGCTAGTCCATTTTCTGAGCGCATGATGAGGTTTGTTATCTACGGCCCAAACAGCTGCCAATCTGCTCTTTAGGTTACATTAGAGAGACTTGCCCAGTGATCGATGGCGGAAGTAGCGGCGCAACCTGACAATCTAGGGATTTCGTGGTTCCCAAGATGGACGGGCTTAAGATTTGAGACTTTTCATATTTCAGCATGTGGTAGGAGGGAATGGAAGAAGTTCCCATCTTTGTGTTCACGGTCGAAGGACGATTTTTAGGACTAATCTAGCGCAGAGAGGCTAACCCTTGTGTATAGTTGTAGAAGAACTTGGCATGTGAAGGAACAGCCTAGGCGCAGAGCTCAACGAAGCGGACATTGCAGTTGAGCTCCGGATCAGAGCATCAGCATTATACAGACTAAGAATTGTGCGCTTGCTTTTGCTTGGGTTTCAACTCATCTTAGCGCTAGCGTTTATATTTCTCCACGGTCAGGGGGAAGGTATTCATGTACAGATTTATCAAGTGCAGCTGCTCACGGTTGAGGTAACATGTCCGCTTCCTCCGAATAACCCGACATCGCCTCTCACATCCTGTGCACGCTGCTATTCTTGCTCCATCTCCTGAACGTCTTTCCGTAATAGTAAAACAGAATGCCAAACAAACACCAGGCTAGAATAAGACTTGCATTTGTCATGATCGGCGGGATGAATCTGTTGTCACGTTAGCTTCGTCAAGCAAGTCCTTGTATCAATGGACTTACCCGGCCTCGATACTCCACGGCGTGATGAACTTTCCAAATCCATACCCCCACAAATTCTTGTTCACCGTGATTGCGACAAACAAGCTACCCGCAACCGGCTTGTAAGAGTCTACCGCGTACGTGCTCACGATTCCTGGAAGTGCCGCAACCTGGATACCCGCGCATGTGTAGCCAATGATAATAATGGCTTCCCACGGCCACTTCCTCTCGTATCCAACAGCCACCACAATGTTACCGAGGAACATGACCACGACATACGGGATCATGGCAGGTAGCCTCATCTCTGGTTCACGGACACCGCCATTCTTCTTTGTCGCCTTTGCGGCAACCCAATCGCTCAATGGACCGGATGTGATCAATCCGATCAGCGCGCCAACGATGATGGCAAAGTTCGTAAAACCAACAGTCGTGGGTTTGAAGTTGTACGGCGGGAGCGACAGGACTTGGGATTGCGTGAGGTTGATGGTAAGGAAGGAGGAGCAAGACCAGGATGCAACAAAGGCAGCAAACTCAACGACGGGGAATGCGAAGAGTTTCCATGGAATCCAGAGATCAAGCAGAATAGAGAGGAAGGGGTTTGCATTCGGTTGGAAGATGCGCCATTGCCAGCGAGCAGGGGTTCCGGCGCCAAGGTATGGGTCTTTAGCCGCAGTCTCGGTGAGCGTGAGGTCGTTAGCATTGGGCAAGTTGGAGGACACGGTAGTGACCTGTTGAATGTCGCCGTTATCAGAAGAGGCGGTGGTTTCTATATTGGTTGCATGCGTTTTCTCGTCAGGTATATCGGATGCGATGTGCTTTGCGGGGACGGCCTTTGTGTCCTGGCGCTTGAAGCGCGTTTCTGGAAACAGGAAAACAACCATCAGGAAGGAGGCGCCAATAAGCCCGGCATTGAGCCACCAGAAGCTACGAAAGCCGAGGTCTTCTGTCATTACGCCCGAGATGATAGGTCCCACCATGAGAGAGCCCTGCAGGACCGTTAAGTTCTATATGAAGAAGTGGGAATTTGGAGACGAACCATGTATACCACCCAATATAATGTGTTCCACTTCCCTCGATCGTGTAAGAAGAAGATGTCAGCGATGACCTCAGGCATCATCGTCTCTGAGGGACCAGCACCGATGCCGTTGACGATGCATGCACCCATGAATGAGCCGTATGAAGTAGCTTTGGCGCGCCAAATACTAGTGCCAAAGTTAATAAGTTGGCTGAGGAGAAGCACTGGTCGACGGCCAAAGGAAGTACTGATGGGAACCCTGGTGATGCGTCAATTATAGCGTTTTCAATAATAGAAGGTCCGACTGACCAGATGAAGTTGCTGAATCCCAGCACCAAGATACACACGCCTGTAAACTGGATAGCACCAGCGAGGTCACACTGAAACGCTTCCATCAACGCAGGGAACATGGGTGCCAGTGCGAGAGGACCAAACCCCTGGGTAAAAACCACAAAGGCTGTAGACGTGATACATCCGGTCTTCCACCAGATGCTCCAGTTCAACGGGTCGTGCGGGTCATCGGAGGGTTGAGGAACGAGAACCTCTCGGTGAATACCTTTCACGAAGTGGTGGCTCCCTATGTCCGTCATGATTTCAGTGCCAGGTATGATCTCAACATTGAGTTCTTGTTCGAGCTGACGCCGCTCCTGGGATGTGTCAGAATAAGGGTGGTAGCCATAAATGAAAAGGGACGCACATCTTCAGTGTATTCCTTGGAAGCCATTGTGGCAGCTCAAAAGTTGGTTACCAGATTTGATGAATGCTCTGGTAATGAGGTGGGTACAGCAGGTCCATGAGCAACTACTTGTACTTCGAGTCCGCACCAAGTTAGCAGTCATCGAGAGCTGATTTGAAACTAGCGGAAACTTCCACGCTTTCGGATTAGGACCTGTCCTGCAAGTTCAGCCACAATGAGTTGGTGTCGGAGCGATGGCGCCGTCCAATTAGAGCTGCTCAGCTATCGGCAGTCTTATGTGTATGGTCGGGTACTTTGGTGCCCGAACGAGATTAACGAGCTTAGGTTTGGGGACTGGGCAGATATCACTGTATGAGAATGTGTCGACCTGAAAAGTACGTTCTGCCCAGCAGCCACGTACGCTTGGGGGCAGTGACATGCGTGTGAAGCCGAGTATTGCCTTGCTGTGTCTAGCCTGTCGCGGCTTGCGATATTGAAATCATCTCCCTGAACGGCCAGTACACACCCTAGTACACAGTCTTGGGTTCACGTCAACCCTGTCGACCCTGGACGGCGTCCTGTGAACGAATGATTACCTCACGATCCAGTAGGGCTGGTGAATGCGGGGTACAGTGGCGGTTGTAAACACGGCAGATGATCCCCAGCTTCGGTAGTGTTTCACGTCTGCTGTTCAAGCTGCCGTGACGGTGTTTTGACTCGATGTAGGAGTTGTGGCGCCCGGTGATGGTTCCAAGAGGCTAAGACAACTGCCGGAACGCGCTAAGGCTCCTAGTGCATTGCGGGGAGACTCGGTACCTTCACTTTACCAAAGACCAGAAATCTAGGCTGATGATGTTTACGGTTCGAGGCTCTGGTCACGTTCCTGCGTTCCCTCGGTGCTCGGTAGTCGTGCACGTGAGGCGGTCGTAAGGTGTTGACGCGCTGGAGAAATAGATATCATGCTGCTACGCGTCATCCCAGCGGTATTCGAACACCTTTCCACTCAATTTCGAAACTTAGATCTGTGTCTCCATCTGACTTAGTGCTGATTCCTTCGCTCCGGTGCATACTTTACTAGGGCTTGAGGATCGATCCTACATCTGCGTGTAAGGGAGCATTTTCGGCCCTTCACATGCTACACGCAGGCAGCCCACGATAGCTGTTGAACCCAAACACAATCAATGTGGGTTCTGTAACGCATCGATCGAGAACAGTTCAGATCTTTACATCCAGTGCGCTACACGCTCGAGATGTGTATGTTTCTATTGGGTGAAGAAAATCTAAAACGTGCTCTCAACCATGCATTGCTGGGAAAGCTGAAGTGCTCTGAATAGCACTAGGTATCTTCAAACATAAAAAGTCTCCGTGGCATCCGGTGCCTATGTCTCCCATAATGTCGTCTTCCAAGCGGCTCGATATGTCGTTACGTACATAAGCTGTACATATTCCAATTATGGCGTCACGTCCTCGCTACGAGATGCTGGCATTCGAAGTGCTGACCGTCCTCTTCCATCCCCCCCATGTCCAACCACCGCCTGCAGCACCTTCTTTCTTAACATCGTGCACAGTGCCAGGCGTTGGAGTCGGCGTTACTGCTGGACTTGCCGTAACACTTGTAGTGGGCTGCGCATTCATAGTCCTCTTTAGACTTTCAAGCTTAGCCCTCGTCTCCTCTAGTTCCTGTCGCGCAACGGCTTCAGCAGTCTTTGCGTTCACAAGCTCGAGGAGCAGTTGCTCGTTGTCGGTGGGCGTGTTATTGTCGTTTGCAGAAATCGGCTGCATTGCGAGCGACGAAGATCGCTTTGTGAAAGTCATGGATGGTGGATGTTCGCGAGTCGACTTCTGTGACGCAGTCCGGCCAAGACGTAGCTCTCTCAAGCCTGTGACACTCTCGGATGTAGTGCTCCTGCTCAGCGTAGGGGTTGTGTTAGGTGATGTGTCGTCTGCGGAAATCCAACTTGCTGCTGCAGAGGCCTTGCGTGCATTTTGTCGCAATTCGTTGATCGTCCTCTCCAGTCTCTGGTTCTGGTTGTATGAGTCTGCGAGACGATTTCGTGTGTCTTTGAGCGCGTCTCGTGCATTCTGAAGTTCAGACTGGCGTTCGTCGAGCTCGCGAGACAGTGCCTGCGTACGTGATGTCTCCAAGGTCAACTGTTCTTTGTTTCGTGTCAAGTTATCGCGAAGTGACTGCTTCGTCTCGAACATGGAAGAAGTACGATGATGCGATTGAGTGGCTGGAAACTGAGATTCCAGGGTTTCCACTACATCAGCATCGTCTCCTGATAGCTCTGACGACGAGTCGCCACCAGCCGGAACATCGGTAGCGGCCGTGATGGTTGTCCTTCGTCGTGATGCCCGAGATGATGGTGCAGATAGTGATGATTCCTTCTTTCGAATTTTATCAACAATAGACCGCACAATCCGATGATCTTCCTTCCGATCCTCGCGCTGCTTCTGTAATGCAGCCTCAAGCTCGCTGTTCTGTCGCTGCAGCTGGCTCACGGACATAAGGAGCTGCTCGATCTGATAATGCAGGTCCCTATCTTTCGCTGAGATACTCATGGCAACGGACGCGTGTCCTGATTTAATTGACATAGTATCTGCACGAGAAGCTCGAGAAAGGTCAGTTAAAGCGGTACTTTGTGTCACCGCTGATGTATCGGACTCAGCGGTAGAGTTCAATGTAGAAGCGAGGCTTTGTTTCGACGGTGTCCTTCTCAGGAAGCTGACAGGGCGTGAAGGCGCGGATAGGCCCGGGCTGAGAGACACGGACTTCGTAGACGAATTAGAAGGGCCCCACAAGCGGCCCAAAAACGACGTAGCGGATTTGTTAACTTGTTGCTTGGCGGATTCCTTCTCCTGCGCCTCCTTGTACTGCTGTTCTAATCCCTGCAACTTTTCTCGCGTGACATCGTTAGTAAACGAAACGAAATCGCTGACCAGGTCGTCCGCTGAGTGTGCGTTTCGCCCGTAAGGATCCCATAACTGGCGACCAAGTAATAGTTGCATGACATCTTCCATCTCAGTCAACGAGAGCAACTTCGCTTCATTTCTCTTCATGAGCGCAAGAGCAACGCGCATGATGGTTTCGGAGGCGCCCTCCGCGAAGAGTACATCGTAAATGCGGAACAACATTGGCAAAGGACATGTGACTGCGAAGAAAGACAAGAACCACTGCGAGAGGTACGCGGATTCAATCTGCATCTCCTCAAGATGCAGTGCAAGATCCGGCATGTGCTGACTCAATAGTTTCTGGAATTGAAAAATGCGAAGATGCAGACCTGAGAGGTCAGGAAGGAAGCAAGAGCGGAGGTCGTAATCTTCCATGAGCCTGTTTGAGATCAGCATTTGCCAGCAGGACCGGTGTGAGGAACTTGCCTGACAAGCACGCAAAAAGCCTCCTTGTCGCCCATCTGCATGAGGAGCGGACCAACCAGGAAACCTAGACCCTGACAGTACCCTATCTTGTTGTCATACAAGCTAAAGCACTTCAGCACGCGGCCCAACATCTTCTGGCCTTCGCCCTCTGGGTCTTTAAACATCTCGACGCCGGGAAAACTTCGACCGAGATCTTTGTTGATAATATTCTCGTAGGGACTTGACTCCCCACATAACACTTCGTATTGGTCCTCAATCAACTTGTCGCGCGATCCAGAGGCACTCTGCCAGACCACACCTCGTAGCGGTGCAGGAATGCCTCCGCGAATCTTGTTCAGACAGAGCGTTGGTAATCGCTGCACCACTTGTGGGTAATCGCGGACAAGAGCTGCCCAAAATTCGAGCTCAGTCATGGGCGGTGGTGATGGTAGCTGCGAGAACCGAACATCGGATGCATCGTTCTGCACAAGGCGCTTGAGCTGCTGGAAGGATGGTGGGCGAGACTGGCTACGGGCTCGGGTAGTTTTGAAATTGGGCTTCATGCCTGCCTTGGAATCGGACATCAGGGCATCATTCTCCTGCTCCAGGCGTGCAAGGAGCAAAGCCATGGCCTGCATGTGTTAGCATGGCCAGCATGCCAGCGGCGCGTGGAACATACGTCATCCTGGCCTGCATGGCTCTGCTGTGTTTCCTTCTTTTCCAGCTCTGCCCAGTCAACCTTTGCATCTCCTGAGCTGTCGCTCCCACCCCTCGAGCGGGTGGACTTGGTTGTATCTGCTGCGTCGACGTCGAAGACTGATACCGTCGGGCTGTTCGATGATGGTGCGATAACACTGCTTTGACTCCCTCGACGGCCGAATGCCTTGTGAATCTCGTCTGAGCTTGGCCGTGATGATAACCTCCGCTCATCTACTACAATCTCTGGTCGTATCATAGACGTCCGCAGATCATCGTCGTTCGTGTCGGCCTCGGACAGTGGCACAGTCACCATCGAATCGGTCGGCAGCGGCGTCGAGTCGATGTGGGTTCTGGGCGGCCGCGGCTCCTCGACAGTAGGATTTGTGACACTGTTGTCGACTTCCATGGTGGTGGCTATCGCCTCCGTCATTGCGTGGGTGTTATGGGGCCAGCATCCAGCCTCGTACTAGTTAATATGCGCGCACGCGCCGGTGTCGAGAGTGTTTCGAATCGGCAGTTGCAGGTGGCAGCGAGTCTGACAGCAATGCGCAATGAAACGCGCTACGAGAAGCTCGCTACACTTCAAGACGCAGCAGTAAAGAGCGACTACACGCAGACTGTAGAGACAGGAGAGGCGCTGAGTCGTCCACAACTGCGACATTCAGAAAGGAGCATCAGGAGGTCACCATTAGCTTAGCCTAGCTTCTCGCCCATTCGCAATTGAAGGGTCCACTCATAGTCTTGGCTGCATCGACAGGGGTGCCCATCCCACTAATTACTGCTCCGCACACCGACATCATCGAAGCGGGAGCAGTAGGACAGGCTGGCCGCTTTGTGCGACGCGCCGCACTCGTGGTAGACACGTTGCTTTGCGACACTTGTTTGCATGCAGGGACGCGTGTGGCATGCGCGCACGAGGGCACGAGGGAGGGTAAACACACGCGCCGCCACAGACGCGACCTGCAAAAGGTGCGCCAATCACAGAAGGCGCGACCGAACGTTGGCTGCAGCGCGCTACGCGCTAGCCGCATGGCCGCCTCGTCGACCGGACCACACCATAGTGACCATACAGTCATCACGTTCCATCAAACAACTTTCCACACGAAGCCACATGGGCCAAACTTTACTTCGGAAAATGTTTTCTCCATGTTATAGCCATCTTTATCAGATCCCTGTAACACGCCCATGCGGCCCTTTCCGGAGCATCCTGTACGTCGCACTTTTGTAAACTTAGGTTTCAAGGCTATCTCTCGCGGCACTTCAAAGCCATACCTAGTCCCTTGTCTTTGGAGATAGGTTGTAGTTATTCTGGCGCACCGAATACATACCGCAAGTCAGTCTTGAGGTCTAGGGGGTTTCTCCAATGAGGTCGATTCGATGATTCGCTGGAAATGTGCACCCTGATTGACATGATCCGTGGAACGTGATTGAATCTCTACTGGGCAGATGATTCATTCGTAGACACGGTGCCGCGGTTCCATGGAACAACAAAAGCGGCAATACAGCGCGATATATTCACGAATTCGCTCCACGCATCCTCTTAAGTTCACAAAGACCTTATAATCTACCACTCCTAATTAAGGTTACCCATCCGAATATTGTCTGCAAGATTCATTGCACCCTCAGCCACTATGATCACCAAACAGCACTCCCACCGCAACGATAGCACAATCTTCGTCATCGTAGCATGCGTATTCTCCGCCATCGGCATATTGTTCGTCATCACGCTTCTTGCGCATCTCTTGAAGTGGCTTTTCCGCAGACAAGCCGAAGATCTCGAAGAGGGCGACCTTTACCACTGCTTTGAAGACACACGGGCTACATACGGCACCTTCACACCGGCTGCCCATGACTCTCTTCTCCAAGATCCAGATGTAAGGAGAATGCTGAGGCACGAGCGAACTCGCAACAATATTTCTGGTTTTTACCAGATATCGGTGCGTAGACTTGACGAGGACGAGGACTCCCTCTCGAGCGACAGTTCGGATTCAGGGGATGAAGGTACATTCGAGTACGACAGAAGAGAGGAAACGGAGAACGAAGAATCAAGCGAGAGCGAGAGTGAGAATAGTGACAGTGATGAGGTCAACGACAGGCATGTTGCAAAACGGCAGCGCCGGGTCTGAGGAGGCCTATTCCACCAACGAGGACCACTGTATCGAGTAAAATGACCTCGGGAAGGACGAAATCCGCATGAAATGGACGGTGTTTGTGGGAAGGGTAAACGGAGATTCCTCGTATTCATAGAGACGTTGCCTACTGACACGTACAGTTTGATTGCCTACTTCGAGTGCATCCTGTTTCACGAAATTTTCCATCCTGGCATGTATCCAAATACGAAACGCATTTCGAAGATAAGCCTCTTGATTGTTCTACCTATTCTGGTACACTAAACCTTATGACTCTTCCTATATTGAGCTGACAGACATTTTGAACGTTGCTAATAACGTGTACATTCTTGTACTACTATCTCCACCATCTCTGGTCTTCAGATGGAAATACATCGCAAAATCGTCGTCATCTCTAGATTCGTCATTAGCTTTGGCGTCTCCGCATTTCTTGTAGCCTGCTTCCGTCTTGTACCTCTCTGCAGACTCAATGTGTCGGCGGGCTTCTCGTGTGTTCTTGGAACAGTGAGTATTCTCGCGGCCATGGAGATGCGATTGGCAATACTTTGGTAGTCGTTGTCAACTTGCCATCGTTAAAGGCTTTATGGTTCAGAGTCACTGAAGAAAGCTCACCTATTTTGACATCATATTGTGATTACCGGAAAGGCTACAGCAGATCATCAAAACGCTATGTAGAAGGAGCGGATCTATGCAGCACTCCATAAGCCTTGAAGCAGGTGCTGTTGCTACCAAAGAGGCCATAGTAGAACGAGTAGCACCAGGAGTGAAGCTACGAGAACAGTCATTCTATTACGTGTGTATGGCTCCTGTGTCGTGTGGTCTCACACAACGTTTGCTCATTTGTATTGTCTCACTTTCATTTCACCTTCACCCGAAACCCTACTTTGGCTGTAAGCTAGCGCGTCCCATCACAACTTCTCGGCTGTCATATCGCTCACACAACCGCCACCGACACCATGAATGGCCTCTCTAGACGCAACTCTCGTGCTCACAGCACCATTTCCGACGACACCAATTCAACACCGCAGCCGCCACCCGCTCCACCGCCCACGCGTCGCAGCGGCACGCGTGGTGTACGCGCAGTCTCGACAGCCGCCGAAGCTGCACCGTCGGGGGAAGGGACGCAACAAAGTCACACCCCACCCCACTATTTTCTTGCGCCTACTGTCCCAAGCCCATTTTATGGCAGCCTCGAAGCAAGCCTCGACGCCATTTTGCACTGGGGCACACTGCACCCTGCCACGACGCCAGTGAAAGAAGAACTCCTACGACCTGTGACCACATCAACGAACTGGCCTAGCCTACTGACGAGCACTATCGGGGTTGCAAGCACACTGGACCACACGCTTGCCCGATTCCTGTTGGAGGAGTTTGTGTTCCTGACCACGCGCATCTTACTCCCTGAGCAGATCGCCGAGAACAGATTGGCGATGGGCCGTCTGTACGACCGCAAGAAACACCTCGCCATCAGACTAGTACTTAGGTACGATATGCTGCGAGAGTGGTCTGTAGGCGACGGACCGGTAGGGAAGAGGGACGTGAGCATGCCGTCGGTGCCGCCTCCCACTACACTCCAGACCATGAAAAGCACAAATCCCCCGGACAGCCCAATGCGAGATACGGAAATGGAAGCAGGAAATCAAGGATACAAGAGGAGGCAGCTGATGCCGAATGTCTGGCCTACGCTGATTGCTGCGCCACCGGGTGGGTTCTTGACAAATGGCGTGCGGGACAGGATGAAGCATTATGTCACGCCACTTGATAAATGTCTGTTGTTGAGAGACGATGAAGTGGCTAGATGGAGTGACGAGTGGCTTGTGGTGAGGGCGAGTCAGATGGTGTTGCAGTGGCAATGGCTGAGACAGAATAATGAGACGCTAGATGAGATGGAGATCGGTGGATGGGAGGAATTGGACGGGAGGGCTGAGGAGTGCGAGTGGATTGCCGAGAAGAAGGAATGATGACGAGGGCAGTGAAGGAAGGCATTGAGGAAGAACTCAAGCACTGCAAGGGCCTTCCGAGGATGGTTCTGAAAACCGAAAGGTGGATATCGTGTGAATCTTCTGATCTTCACCAAAGCGCATACGATGAAGAGCCCATTCAGGAATGTACCGTGATAATCACTATTCCTCTTCGGTATCGCTTGGTGCCGATGAAAGTGGAGACGCGGATCCAAAAGATAGAAACGAGCTATCCATGCGACCCACCTTCTGTGGTGGCTTACCTGACATGATCTCAAGCACTTCCAGCATACTCAGAAGTCTTCCTGAGCACGCTTCCATAAGCTCTCGTGCCTGCTTCTCCTCCCCGGCATTACCTCTCTTGCCTCTGCCCGAGCCGTACGAAGAATGCCTGTCCTGTATTCCAGCCTCCATAGCTGCCCGCAATGCATCTGTGGGCTTGAATTTGTCTTCAGCCATCATGAGCATGAAGAGCTGCTCAAGGATCAGAGAGACTTTGGCGTTGGCTGCAAAACTCTGGCTGCCTTTCAGAGACAACAGAATTGACTCAAAGTGCTCTTGCGTTGGTTCGAGGCGAAAGTAGTCTGGTAATGTACCGCTGACAAATGGCAACAACAAGTTCGCAAGGAACATGTATTTCATTGGGCCAGGCACTGTCAATGAGGTGAGGTAGACGTTGAAAACCACGGTAGGCAGATACCGGAAATCCTCCACTACGTTGTCGAACCAATCGCCGAGAGTCGTAAATTGGCCAGGAAGCTTGGTCGCTACTTGCGCTAGCTGTACATTGTCAGTCCAAGGTCGGTCGCAAGGGGTATCTCAGGCCCACCAATGCTAGGAAACGCTGTCGCAATGCTATCGCATCGCTGCCACCGAGTCGTTCGATAGCACTATGCAAATCCAGGCTGCCACTAGTGATATCCGGAAGGTCAGATGGAGGCGTGACCTCGAATTTGCGTTCGATAGCTCGCGTCACCCGCGTGGGTGCATCTTTCATGTCTTCGTCGCTGTCGTAATCTGCTACTTCGCCCGTCTCATAATCCACGTTCCCAAGTTTCTGTCTTTTGTTCGATCCTTCCTTCAGCTCCATGGTCTCGTTCTCCCAAATCTCAGGATAGTCTTTTAGTGACTCGGCTGATGCTGTTGCAAATATTGCCTTAGCCATCCGCCGTCTCGTTGTTCGGGTTACCGACAACCCCTCACCGGCAACGTATTGCCATATGAGACTCTGCTGTAATGCAGCTTCTTCCCCCGCGTCATCATACTGGCTCTGTTTGACGCAGACATCCCAATCTGCCTCCATGAAGTCCAGCATAGTTTTGAGCCACAGTTTCCATCTGTCCCATCGCTTTTTGTAAGCCGCAGAGCAGTTGAACGCCCATCCAATGATGTGCCAGAAATCGTCCGCTCTGTACCACAGACTCTTGTCGTTTGCAGTTTCACAATAGAGGTGGTCGATGTCGTCGCTTTCATCAGGGGACAGACTTCTAGTCGCAGCCCTGTATCCACGTGGACGTCGCCGTGTGCGCTCGGCAGGGAATGTGAAAGCTTGTCGTACATATTGGTAAGCCGGTGCTTCTATTGTGTTCAGAAGGCATTGTAGATAGCGAAGCGCTGCATCAGCGCCTCTGCTGTTGTTTGGAGAGAGTGTCTTAAACTTGTAGGGGATTAAAGATGCGGCGAGCGCGATTTGTGAGGGTGGTGGGAGGAAGCCGGTGTAAGGCTGAGCAGGCGTAGATATGGATGTACCAGCTGAAAGGAGGCTGTAAAGAAACTCGTACGCGTTCGCATCTGCAGCAGTCAGAGATTCAATTCTTTAGTTGGACGAGATTTGTACATTGTTGCCCCTCAATGAACGCTTTCGCGTGGTTTGCGAGCTCATACGGCGCCGGCTTGGTAGGGCGCCGTTGCGCGCGCCGTGGCCGTATTCCAACAGCTTCAAGCGCTGCAGACGGCGCGTCACTGCTAGATGTATGCACGGATATCCTGCGTTGCGCTGCAGGCACTGAGGCCGTCGTCATGATGCAGACGTGTTCTGCAGCATGTTTGTGGAAAGCTGGTTGGGGTGGGGAAGATAGACGCGTCGCGCGTGCGCGCAGTCACGTTCGACTGACGCAACGCGGTCATACGATCGCAATTTGTGCGAGTTTCGTCAATGGATTCCTGAGCCTGCTAGTCCTCTGGATCTTTCCATTGAGTCCAGGCCCGAGGAGAGCTGTACATACGACAAGATTCACACGATTATAGCTATTCCACTGCGATAAGGTACCTCAATCCTAACAGAGGAAGCTCCTCCACAACAACCAACAAAAGGAAGTGGCTACAAGCTCCAACAGTCGTTTGTAACTTATATAGCCTGATCACGTTACAGGATTATCTTCGACCACACAGCGTCCTGTCACGCGTGTGAGAAGATGTCTTAGGTTATCCCCAGCGTGCAACAGCCTCGTCACGCCGAGTAAGTTCCTTACTAGAGAGCAAGAAAAAGACAGGGACACAGGAGGCCAACAAAAATCGAGACCGACGCGGGCAGGATTCGAACCTGCGCGGCCGAAGCCATATGATATCTAGTTGATGAACTCGTTCGAGTCATACCCATTAACCACTCTGGCACCGCGTCTGATGTCTTTTGATTGGTTGATTGATGATTTACATCGTATCTAAACTCACGTTTAGATTAACCGTCGTCCCTTTAAGTTTTGACGTACAGTAAGGCAGTCAAACAACTCTTGGAGTGTTCTATAAAAAGCACGCGACGTGCTGTTGGTGCTGCGGGGTCGCCACTTCCAAGTAGACTCTTGCCAATGGAATTTTAGATGCCGGCTTTGGAAATGATCTGGAACAGAGATTCAAATCTCATTCCCTGAGCAGATAAAACCAGAAGACTATTAGCTTGACAAAAATTGGACTCGTACAGATTTTCGTGGTCTGGCAAGATCGTGTTGGACTTCGGTTGTGATTTCAAACCTCTCAGCCCCACCACCGGATCTCAGCCCCACCTCACCTCCACAATGGAAGACATCCTAAGGGCAAAAAGGAATGCATATTCCGGTACCGGGAATCGAACCCGGGTCTTTCCGGTGCTTCAATCGAGTGATCGGTTGAAAGCGGAATATCCTAGCCTCTGGACTATACCGGAGATGGTACTGATGATGAAGGCCAATGGCCATAAATCGTAAATATCGTACTTATTTAAACAGTCAGTAAAAACGAGACGTGCAGTCGCTTTGCGAGTGGGCTCTTGGTTTCGTGGGTGGTTTCTTAGGGTTTTATTGCTAGTCTCAAGCCCGACTGTACCCATTCTAGAACTACCATGTTTGGCGTTTCTCCCATCACCATGTCAATAGATTCTATCCAAACATAATGTTCGTACAAAATGCACTCAGGATAGTATGCTTGCGAAGATGTGCGAGCATCTGGAGAGGTAGGGAATGCGCTCTTGCGCACCGCAATGGTATTGCTTCATTACATGCTGCACATAGGTAGTTGAGAAGCTCCAGACAATAGGGCGAATCAAAGCCGCACACTATGGATACTGTGCGCAGCACCGTTCTTTACAAGAATAAATAATCGGTCAATAAGTCTCGATGGTGTTTTGTCTAACCCTAATCTAAAGCCTTGAGGTGGTGGTATCGCTCGCTAAATCGCATGCAAAGAGCAAATCATCAACACAATCCTTCCGCAGCGCACTACTCCTGCGCTCTCGCTTTCCCCTTCCCTTTTGTACTCCGCATCACCATTGCATCACCATCGTCCTCCTCCTCCTGCACGCTCTCAACGGTAGTACTCGTGGACACACTCCGATCATCCTCAACGCTCCCCCTCCGCCCAAAGATCTTGCTGAGCCCGCTCAATCCATTGTGACTCCGCGAGCCCGTGTCACTCCTGCTCAGACTGAACAGGCTACCAGACGACGTGTTCCTCTTCACGCTATCGCTCGACTTGAGGAACGATAGCGACCCACTTGACGTATTGCGTTTCAAACCTTCTCCGTCGTCTACTGAAGAAGCTAGCTGGTTCTCTCGTCGCGCTTTCCGTGGGTCTTCCGACTTGGCGTTCCAGGCGGCATAGTAGTTGTCTGGGCTGACGGAGAGGGTCACAGGTGGAGAATTTGACGGCGAGTTCTTGAGGGACTTCCAAGCGCTGCGGATGGTAGAGCGGTGATCTGTAGGATGTCAGTGAACGCTTTCGACAAGTGTTCAGGAACGCAGGGTAACGTACGGATGTTGCCAGCGCCGCCGCGGCCGTAGATGATGTAAGGGTCGGATTTGGGACTTGTTGATGAAGGCATTGTTGTGAAAATTGGCGAGTATGAATAAGGCGTAGGATTGAGTGACGTAGAAGTGTGCCAAAGTTAGGTTTTGCTCGGGTGTAGTTTTGAGTTGTCGTAGATTTTGCTGGGTTCGATCCGAGGTCAGAAGCGCGGGTTTGAGCGATGTTTCTTCAAATGGGACTTATGGGGTACCAAACCATATACCATTCCCCAGATACGCAGCCCACACGTAGTCCAGCGCTCCGACATCGTCACCCCAGGCGTCTTTCGTCTGGACCCCCGAAACCTCCCGCATGCGTCTATCATTTTCTACTCCCAGAGACTGGAACCAATCACAGCGCTCTGGGCGTAGAGGCTTGGACGAGCTTTCGTAAACTGCAGCGTCACATCACTGGCCGATCTCGTGCGAGCCACTGCGAAGTGCAATGCTTATCAGAGCTTGGAGTCGCCAGATCACGTGCTGCTTGATTGTGACTGTTGCGATTTGTGTAACATGAACGACGGGCTGAGTCCGGCGAGGCGTGAATGGGTAATGTCAGGTGGCGGGGCGAATATGGGGTTGGTTTAGGCAAGGGTTAGCGTTGGAGTCGGGGAGATCGGCAAGCTTCGAGAAGGTCGATCGAAGGACGAAAGGAGTGATAAATTTGAGACAGAAGCGACATATTTCTGTAGGCGAAATGTCTGTTTGCACGACGGAACGCGAGGCGCGCATGTGCTTGCTTAAGAGCTTCGTGTGTATCGCTCCTATCTCAAAAAGCTTGGTAGAAACGGAAAGTTATCGTAGGCATCAGATTGCGTCTCGATTGTAAGATAGTCGCTGGGCCGGCGGGTGAAGCATGACACGATTATTTGTGTAACTATCGAAGCCTAGTTCTTAGACTGCCAGAGTTTGACCTCACTTCCTATTTGCTCCGGTAGCGGCGCCACCCGTACGCTATACTCCAATCGTACCTTGACAGCTGGAGACAGGACCCTTCGACGGTTCATGATAGCTCATACAACACCGAAGCCCCTAGCATTCTGTATAGCCAATCCTAGCTTCGTCCTCATTTTCTCCTTATCCTTGTATTCAGGTAGATAAAGCTTGCCAAAGCATGTACTGCTGGTAGGCAACTGATCCGAATCTCCCATGCGTACGATGTTGAACGTAAGACTTCTGTAGCCTGTGACCGGTATTCTAGCACTTGCTGTAACAAACTCTAATAGACGTGTCGCATCTTGTGGAGAGTAGCCCTGTACAATATCCCAGAACATCTCCACTGTAGGGTGTGTTACATCGTAGTCTTCGTACGTTGTACAAGCACGCAGCTCCGAAATAGAGATTGTTTGCGTGCCTTCGACAAGTTTTTTAAGACTCTCAGGCGTAAAGAGCTCAAGACTGCGCGAATTAAGACAAGTATGGAAACCCTTCTTGAACGCCTTGAGCTGAGGACGGATGGAGTGAAGGATAAGATATGTAACGTAATCCCTAACAAAGGTTCCGCGCGTTTCGTTAGTGACCAGAGGTACCTCATCGGATGTCGGTTTTCTGCCGTTACGCTTCGTCATATCAATGTCAACCTTCTGCCCGAAGACCTCGTAGCTGAAAGCGTAGTCGCGCATAAAAACATCAGCAACGTCGCCGTCTTTCCAGTCGAGAAGTGTCTCAAACCCTTTCGCAAGTTCAGGCCAGCCGTCACGAATGTAGTCGATGCTCGTATGGTCGTCGAGAAACCTGAACCGCGAGTTGAGCATCAGGTTGTAGAATGCCAGCGGAAAGGTAACAGGTAAGGTGATGCCATTGTAAATTGCAAGGCTGAACAATACGCCCAGCATCTTGAACTTCCAAAGAGATTCGATAGATCCAGGCTGAAACCAGGTCATCTGAGTCTTTGAGTCGATCGTGAACATGCCTGATAATGTTAGATCTGTGCGCACAACGTATAGCACCCCACTCACCATAATCCGGCGAGAACGCCTCACCCAATATAACGCGGAAAAACTCATATGTGACACCCCCATGGTCCAAACCGACTTCGCCCTCCTGTTGGCCGAGCTTGACCTTTAGAGGTTTGAGCAACATCTTTCTTTCTTGTCTCCAAAGCTGATCGAGCGTATCCTTGAGTGGTTGTTCTCGGCTAACATCAAGAACCAGATAATCGTTCAATGTGATTTTGAGTCGATGCTTAATCATGTACAGATATGGCTCGCGGAGGATCGTATCCAGTTGGCGCAACATCTGCTGAGTGTGCTGAGTGTGATCATACTGAGTCATCATGCTTGTGAGATTAACGACACGGAAATATCTGACGAGGTACTCTGTCGGATGAAGCTCCGGGTACTGCAAAACGTGCAGTGTGTTGAGTTGCGGTTTCCAATGAAGGTATCTGATCGGCTCATCAACAGCGTTCATGAGTTCGTGAAGGTAAGGAATCCTGAACATCCGAGACCATATGTTGAGCTGGTGCTGGTGCCCGTCTACAAAGTCAGTGCTGACTCGTGAGCAAGGAGTGATGTGTGTACTTACGTAGCTCATGGAGCAACATTATGGCTGCTCCAACGTTGGACCATTTGCGAATCTCGATGTTGCCGTCCCATTTCTTAGTAATGATTGTCTTGAGCCACTCAACGAGCGTAGCCGTGATCGTCCACCCAGGTTCCTTGTTTGCCGTATTGACAGATTTCATTTTACGCTTACTCTCTAGCGCTACTCGCTCGACGACTATCAGATGATGTATCAGTATGTCTGATAAGCTTTCTTCCGGCGCAGCGTAGTCAGATCCTACTTTTCCCGCTTCTTTGTGCATTGCTGCGTGTATATGGTCAAAGCTACTCCGAACGCCGATGGCTCGTAGCAGGCAATCGGCAAGCATCACAGCCGGCTCATACTCCAAAGCGTCAATGATGTTGATATACGGATCGACAAAATCATCAGCATCGGCTGTTGCACTAGGAATGATGATCCCCCAAGAACGTAAGCTACGCAATTGTGTCCAAGTACGCGGCCAGCCGACAGGCACTGAAGATGTCAGAGCGTGGATGCATATCATCACGATGTGGGCTGCTTCGTGGTTGTTGAGATATCGCGGGCAGGCTGTAGGATCAGACTTGCCAGTGGGTCCAGCTGCCGAACGATCGCATTGAGGAGACTCGGCCTCTGTGGCAACCTGCGGTTCAAGTGTCGGCGGACGAGTGTAGAGAGCCTCCAAAGCAACAGACAGGCTGTCGAATATCAGAGCCCCACTACATTGACTCCAGTCTCGAAAAGAGTGCGTAAGTCGTGCAGAGTCTAGGTGCGGCAGGGGCGAGAACTGAAAAGCTTCGTTCGAGTCGTGAAAGGACCGTAGCAGTGTCTCTGCATCACTCAAGGTATAGAACAAGGACCGACTGACGAACGCCTCGGCAGGTTGGTTCCATCGATGTGTGGAGTGGCCGCTAGCAGTGCTGGTGCGTGAAGTTTGATCCTGCCGGCCATGAAATTCTTCCTTCCATTCGTCTAACGTATCGCAGCTCAGGCTTGAAACACTTGGTATGACTGACTGCTTGTCATTGCTAAACTTTGTGACATTGTGTCGAACGGCTGGTGCCGGTGTAGCCTTTGACTTCGCGATAGCTGGGGCAATCGGACCCCCAAGAGTGAACGATTTCCTGCCAGTCTTTATTATCGACATCTTTGGGGTCTCGAGTACACCGTCGAGTGCTACGTTATTCGTGTGTTTCGTGGAGCCGCCTTGACTTGAGATAGTGGGCCGGTAGTAGGGCACTTTATGGACCTGTTGGCCATTGCTAAGCACATGAGGTTGGTCTCGTGGCGCATGTGCCTGACTCTGTGCCCGCAGATTCTGCTGTGAATGCTGGCGAGTGACAGCTGCTGTCCCGTGTGCACGCGCTGTGACTGCAGTATCGTTTGCACCGTGTGTGTAATCTGGCCGTGCGTCATCGTTCGAGGCGCGTAATGCGTTCAGTGCATGCAATGGACTGGATATCGATTTCGAATATGAGTATATCATGGAGACACTATCGTGAAGGCTCTGCCCGATTGACTTCGTATCCTTTTTGGTCTGGTGTCGACTGTCGATAGCACATGCCACTGCATCCTGTGTCCTGAGCCGTTCGACCTGCCGCGCATAGGTCTCATCACCGGCTTCTCCGTTTCTAGCGTATGAGTCGACAGCGCTTTCAATCTCGAAAGAGCTGGGCGAAACTTTGAGCTCATGAGGGCACAGTCCCCGGTGGGGGTTGCTCTGGCTGGCGAGGTAGTAGGCCAAAGCTCGCGCCGTGAGCTGCGTCGGAGGCCGGTACGGTCTGGAAGCACCGCGCTTGTTGCGCGAGAGACACGTCGTGGTATCACAGTAGGCACTCTTGCAGCCGTAAAGTACTTGTGACAGGTAGCTGCAGGGCTGTCAGTATTGGTAATAAGTGCACGTTGACAGGTCCTGCGCAGAACGTACCGGCGTACAAGGTTCTGAAACTTGCGCTGTCTTTCCAGCTGCGAGCATTCTAGGATCCGAGCCGGATCCTGCAGGTCGATCACATTGCTGAGGCGGCGCGCCGGTGCCTCTGATGGGCATCTCTGGCCGTCAGACCATGCATCAGACGGCGTCGTGCTGGAGTCGGGCAGCAGATGCAGTTCATCTCGAGCACATCGAGGCCTCCCTTCCGGCGAGGTCATGTCATGGAGTGAAAGTGGGCGTGTTGTCTATATATATGCTGCCGCAAAGATGATGAGTACCGCATTGCGCAGCTAGGCGGACAGGGTAGGGCTGAGTGCATAGCTCCCGCACCTGCCACGCAGCTGTGACGGGGAAGCGGCAGGGGTAGTGCTTGGCGAGCTCGAAAACGTCATTGGCGGCGCAACATTTGGACGTTCAACGTTTTGCCGCCGCGAGGGCCCTTTCATGCGATTCTATGATTTTCGCCGTGGAAGGGCCTTCCACAATAAGAACTAGATAGCTTGCACTTGCTTCCTAATCGCAGCCCGACCGAGCCTCTAAGAACAGAAATTTGCCTCCTCGGCCAGTCACAGACGCCCCAAAACCATTCCGCACAACCCCCACTTGCCTAGTCAATTATTCTTCTATCTGCTCTCCGCGCCCACCGCCGGCGCTCACTCTGACACTTGCACATCCGCAATCCTACTGTACACTCCCACAAGCCAGCACCATGGCGTCCCAGCAGGTGCCCACCCAGGCCAACATCCAGTCCACCCACCCATTCACCTGCAACACATGTCAGGTCGCATTTCGCTCGGGCGAACTGCAGCGGGCGCACATGCAAACTGACTGGCACCGCTACAACCTCAAGCGCAGAGTCGCGTCTCTGCCTCCACTCTCTTCTGAGATCTTCACCGAGAAGGTTCTCGCGAACAAAGCGTCTGCCGCTGCGTCTGCCGCAAAGGCCTCATTCGAGAAATCCTGTGCCGCCTGCCAGAAGACCTACTTCAGCGAAAATGCCTACGCAAACCACCTGAACAGCCAAAAGCACCGCACAAACCTTATGAAGGCGTCGAGGAGCGGCCAGAACGACGACGCGGTGTCGGTCAACGGCTCGGTCATGAGCTCTGCCTTCTCACTGGGCGAGTCGATGGCCGATTCTGAGGCTACTACCGTTGGCGACAAAGAGGTCGGAGATGTTGCAGCTAGCCTGGAAACCGCCAAACTAGAGGACAGTGCCACCGGAGAGGCTTCTACTGAGGAGGTCTCTGCGGAAGACGATCGGAGCTCAGTCGCCACACCCAAGATCATCACTGACCCGTTGCAAGATTGCCTGTTCTGTAACTACAAGTCGCCGACAATGGCCCTGAATTTGCATCACATGGGGCGCTACCACGGCATGTTTGTGCCTGAGAAGGACTTCCTGGCGAATGCGGAGGGACTTTTGAAGTACCTGCACAGTATGATTCACGAACAGCATGCTTGCTTGAAATGCCACAAGGTTGTACACACAGCAACTGGTATCCAGACACACATGCGCGACCGTGGTCATTGCATGATTGGCTTTGAGAGCGATGAGGAACTTGTCGAGATCGGTGAATTTTACGACTTCAGCAGCACGTACAACGACCAAGATGCCTTCAACGAGATGCAAGATGAGGCCGAGGCATCAGATGACTCTTCATCAACAACAGGAGGCGGTGTTAAGCTTGGTGCCAGGCGTGAGGCCAAGATCACTACCGAGGATGACGCAGAGATGTCCAGCGGCGTGGAGGATGAGGGTTGGGAGACCGATAGCACAGTCTCAAGTGTCCCGACGGACGAGATTGGCGCTGTACCGATCGACCGATCCCACCGCCACAAGGGTCTTCACAAGTCGAGACACCACAATCATGCTGATCCTCGACCTCACCGAGCGGCAGACGGCTTCCACTCACACGCACATGCCACACCAACTGCCGTCTACCATGATGAATACGAGTTGCACCTCCCCTCCGGCCGGACAGCAGGCCACAGGTCGCTCAACAAGTACTACAGGCAGAACCTGCGCAACTATCCTGGCGTCGCCGAGCGTATGGAGAATGCACAGCGCCGTCTCACTGCACCTGAGAACGACGAAGATGGTGACACAGAGATGGAGAACGGTGAGGAACGCGGTCGAGGTGGCCGCGAGGTCGTCACTCGCGCAAATGGTGGTATGGGCATGATCGGGGTCAGCGACAGCAAGAAGAAGGAAGTTGCTGCGCTCGAGAAAAAGCAGCAGAAGCAGGCCGATCGCGCGAGGAATAGGTATCAGGCTGGTAACGAGAGGAGAGGTAACTTCCAGAAGCACTTCCGTGACCCACTGCTGCAGTAGTGGCATACGCACTTTCTAAAGTTAGGTTTACGAGCACGTCTGGCGTTCTTAGGCATGCGGTCCTAGAGTTTGGGAGGTAGATATGCATTGAATGAGCCATGAGATCAGACTACCATCGAAGAATGAAATCAAACAATACCCTTACTGTGTTAAATCCAGCCTCGAAACCAGTAACAAGATTCCCAGCAGTGAATCTGAGGCTAAGCTGGCTCACGTTGCAGGAAAAAAGGCGGTCTAAGAATGTGAGCCAAGTATTCTACCACGACAGCAAAGTAGAGGGAATGTAGAATACACTCCGTAGAAGACTGTTTTGCCTACAACATAGGTAAACGTTAACTAGATTTCAGCTTTAAGCATTGTAATAGCTATGAGTTCATTGTTGAAGTTGGTCAGCTTGAAATGTGAGAGGCTGGGGTGCTGTTGCGCTAGTCACACACTTCTAACTCTTGCCGCCCCATCAAACAAACCTCCAACCGGCTACAAAACCATGGTATACTCTCTGCTAAATCAGGCACCATTTCTTGCTGATATTGGGCTAGGGTTTGACAAGCGGTAGCCACGACATCCCATATCTTCCAGCCGAGGTCCACCTGGTCATCGCGCGGTATTTACATCGTGACGATCTCCCCAGGTACCGCTTGGTCAGCAGAGTACTTGCGGATATCGGCAAACCAGAACTCTTTAAAACAATCGTACTGCAGAGCACTGTAGCCAGTGTGTCGGCACTCAAGCATATCTTACAGAACAAACAGCTATCCAATCTTGTTCGAACTTTGATATGGGATATCAATACGTATAGAATTGGTACGGACGTGAGAGATTGGCATGAATGGACGGGATACTGCGAATCTCGAGCAGAACATGTCGATTCTGATCAGGCAGCCCTTTACATGGAGCTCGCTGCAAGTCGACAACATTGGGAGAGTTACCTGTCTCGCGTAGATGAAGAGAGGGCTGTCACTCGGGAGATACAGCTTTTGACTCGCAATAAATTGCGACTACCAAATTTACAGGCAACTTGTATTGTCAAAGGCGCTTATCAGCTTGATGACCGGCATGTGAGTCGATCACAAGCGCAAGCCATGCGACTTCCTGTGACTCGCCCACTTGAAAAATGGCGGGGAGACACGTTAACTCATTCTGTTACGTCGGCCTGCTTGTCTATCAGCGATCCTGTTATCTCTAATACAACCAAATGTCGGATCTTCGGATTCACATTGCGAAAGTATAGCGAAACCAATGTCGCCTCACATGAGCAAGAGGAAAAAACCAGAGTGACCAGCTTAAAGATCAAACTCCGCGCCTCAGAGCACTACCGGTATCCACCTCGAAAGTTTCAAGTTCATGCGTTTTCCACGTATCTTGTGCGGCGTCCGAACCTCGAATCTTTACGCCTCGATCTTCACAGCCGCATCGACACAACCGACTCAGCACAGACGGCAATTCAAGACATCTTCGAGCCGACTGACACATCCGTTTCTCCAGAGCACCATACACTCGCAACATGGCCGAAGCTTCGCAAACTATCCTTGAATCACTTCGACTCCAGCCCGAGAGCGCTCGTATCTCTTGTGACCAGACACAGCTCAACGCTACGAGACCTGAGACTCAAGGCTATATGGCTTGACAACAGAGAGGAGGAGGAGAATCCGGTACATCAGACTTGGGTGGAGGTTTTCAGGAGCATCGGAACGATGACCAAGCTGGATAAGGTCGTACTATCGGGCGCGTTTCGTAATACCAGCCACGAAGATGATGTCTGGGATTTCGACGATGAGAAACTCCAAAGTGCTGTGGCTGATTGGATTTGTGATCTTGGCAAGGATTCATTTCAGGATAGCCACATGATCATTCGAGAGCCGTTGAAGGCACGCATGGCGCTGCTGGAGTGAGGACAGAATACTGGGGAAGGAGCTGCAAGTAAAGTTCGAAGGGATCGGCCCGTCCTGTTTAGCTTCTTGACGAGTGCTGGGCTTGGCTCGGCCTGCTTTCAGCACTGTAAGTTTGACTTCACCAGTGTCTTAATCTACGGGTTAGAGCCGAATCACTAAATCCGTGTCACAGAGAATAGGGCTCATGACTGCCAATAATGCTTCGATGTGGCTTTGAGTATTGTAAACATACACACCACTGTACAAAGCGTCAATGTTCCGCCTGTCTAGGTTTTCTTTTCCAATTCTTTCAGCCTCATCAGCCCGGCCCTCGCATTCGTCTGTCCCTCCTTAAAGCCCATAGACTTCGCCAGGCTGGCGGCCTCCTCGTACTTCTGCCTGGCTTCTTTGATCTTTTCCTCCATCTCGTAAAACTCCCCGAGGTTGTGCGTTGCTACTACACAGCCAATGTCGCATTCTTCTGTCTTGTCGGACGTAGGTATCGCAGCAGCGTGGGCAAGTGCTTTTGTGGCCCATTGTCGGGCTTGGTCGATGAGTACGGCGCGTGGCGGAGCATTCGTAACAGGGAAATCGGTGGGTTCGGTGGAGAGGGCGAGAGCGTCTTTCGTTGGGGGTGGGCTTTGTTGACTAAGACAAACAGAGATATTGTTCACTAAGATTGTAAGCACTTGTAGCTGTTTCCACGGGTAGAAGGAAGACTTACTTAGGACGATGCTGTGACATGACTTCGGTGGACACATTTCTAGAGCCTTGACAAACAATGGTGTAGCCAAATAACGGGGGCCATACTCCTCGTAGTGCGAGCCAAGTGCTTCCAGTGCACCTCCAAGTTCCTCTTTTGTCAAGAAATTGCCTTCGCCTTGGTACAACCCATCCTTCTCGCGTCTCTGCGACTCGGCCAAAGCAGCTTCCACAGCCTCCACAAGCCTCTTCCCACCGTTTTCTGGTTCATTGACATACTTGATGTCATAAAGCTGGCCAAGTTTGATGTTGATCTGCACCAGGTTCTTCAAGACACGGCTCCTATTTCCGTCGTTCCAGTGTTTATGCGAAAATTCGTCCATCCACTTCCGAGTGTCCGCCCTCATGATTTCGAGCACGTCTGTCGCCAAGCTGTAATATCCTGCATCTTCGAACAACGCGGCTATTGTGTATTTGACGCCCATAATCTCGTCGCTAAATGGATCCATGCCTAGCTCATCGGCTGTTTGCAGAGCCTGACGAAAGAACTTGTTGGCTTCGCGGATGTCGAGGTATTTGCCGCGACTGTAGAAGAGTGCTTTGCGCAGCTTCTTTGCGACCGGTTCGGGGAAATTATGGTAGGGCTTCACGATGACATTCTTGTAGTACCACGGCAGATAAATCAGGCACATGCCAGACAGTACTGAGATCCTGTTGAGAGTTAGGTAGACACAAATGGTCTTAAATGCACACTTACATGACGATAGCAAAGGGGAACATAACAGGACTCTTCCTATACTGTTCCTTGAAACTCATCGAAGAGCGATAGCGCCTGCCCAATTGCTGTCGCAGAGGAGTGCATGATCGTGCAGGCACTCTCGTGGCTCTCAGTAGTGGCGACTGTGCTTGACATTGTCTCAAGGCACTGATGCGCGGTACAGCGCGTGGAATGGTCCTAGAAAACATCTTGAGCCGGACGAAGGCGAATTGATGTGAATGACAACGAACGGTGCTTGGAGCATCGAATGACGGGTGTGAACTTTTAGCGTCGTCGCGTACCTTCCGCGAATAGGGCTGAGAGCTTATCGATTACAGCACTCATGACGTAGCCAATCATCACGCGTTCCCAGCTCGCCTCCCATGCTCTTGAGCTTTTTACAGTGCTTTAAGAAGACTTGTCATGTGTGGCAGATATGCGTTGGCCTTGGTAAGTGAATGCTACTACGTTGATATGGGTGTCAACTAATAAGACGCAAAGCGGCCATCAGAGGTGCGCCAACAGCTTGAGCAGTCGCAAATGCCTGTTGAAGAGGCCCCGAACGACGACGATGTACGCCAGTCATACAACTTTGCGCCTGGATACCACGGGCTTGTATATCGAGCCGAGGTAGGCGATCGTAGTGTCCAGCAAGATCAAAACAATGAAGACGCCATGCCACCTAAAGAAGAATGCGCGAAAGACACCAAATACAAGTTGCAGTCAATGCAATGGGGTAGGGACTGCGAGCTGAACTTGACATATGATCACTGATTAGATCCTCCAGGTCTTGTCCCATTCTGGACGAAGCGAAATCCCGACTATGGCTCCAAAATGAAGACAATCAACTGCCGGGATGACTCGCTTTTCGAAGACCGCGGCATGTGGACGACTATGAAGAAGCAGAAGCGATGCATCATAGTCGCACAAGGCTTTTATGAGTGGCTCAAGAAGAACAACGGCAAAGAGAAGATACCACACTTCACCAAGCGCAAAGATGGACAGCTCATGTGCTTCGCTGGGCTTTGGGATCGTGTTCAATTTGAAGGTACGCACACCAACAAACGTCTACTATGGATCCAAGTGCTCGACCTCCATTACACTTATGCACGTCTTGTGCACTTACCATGACCGCAACTGATGAATTCGCTAGATAGCGAACAGCCACTGTACACCTACAGCATCATCACAACCGATTCAAACAAGCAGCTAAACTTCCTACACGACCGCATGCCAGTCATTCTCGACAATGGCTCCGATGCCGTACGGATATGGCTTGATCCCAATCGTACTGAGTGGAACCAGGACTTGCAAGCCTTATTGAAGCCATACGATAGCGAGCTAGAATGTTTTCCTGTCAGCAAGGATGTGGGCAAAGTAGGGAACAACTCGCCATCATTCATAATACCCGTCGATAGTGCTCAAAACAAGAGTAACATCGCAAATTTCTTCGGTAACCAACGAAAGCTCGCCAAGAAAACCGATACAGCAGGCATCGTCAAGACGGAGCATGACCTCGGAACGTCCACGATCCAGAGTGGGCATGTCCAGATCGAACACGACGCTGATGAGACTCGTGACACGGTGAGCCATCTGGAAGGTACCGAAGACAATGCGCCACTGCCCGTTCCACTCACATCCCCATCACAAGGAGATGAGGTCAAATCAGGCATCAAACGAGAAGCGGACAATGCCAGTCCTGCTACGGAGGATGAGCCACATGCGAAGCGCAATAAAACGGCCTCACCTCAAAGTCATGCATCCCCTGTGAAGACACCTGCAAAGAAACAAGGGACGCGCAGCGCCACAAGTAACGGTAGTGCAGCAAAGATACGAGTGAAGAGCGATGGAAATGCGAGAATCACGTCCTTCTTCAGCAATAAGTGAGGCAGCCCGAAGTACGCGCGTAACAACCACATCCTTGGGTCTGCCCAGCGCGTTGCTCTTTACGCGATGAGGGATATTGTCGCCTACGATACGCATAAATATGCTCTCTGATACGAACACCAGAGTCGTGCTCATATCGCAGAATTCAAGGACAATACGTTGACCTCTGCTGTTGACCTCGGTTTTCGGGAAAGAGCAGCAATTCTTCGTGGTACCGGCTATCGTTTGTGAGCTGTGGAACATTGGAATCGACAAAGTGGATCACGACATGTAGTTTGATATGAGTGTATGTGTGGAAAAGCCGGGGAGGGACCTGGCATGCCGCGGTTGAAGGGCGCTACTGGTAGCGCGACCCCACCAAAGATGCGGAACTTCAGGAGGAAGACACGAGAACTCGACGTCAGCCCTGCGAAACACTTGCAGCTGTGCGTGCAGTGTGTCCGCTCCGGTCGGCCTGCAGCACTCAAACATCTTCAATGCATATCATTGGCTTATAGTTCGATCCTCCTCAGCTTTGAAGTGACTGAACGCCCACACGACTTACAGCATGCATTCATCAATGCAACGGTTACCCTCACGCTGAACACCGTTGCGTTCAGCGCATTTGTTGCCGACTTCGCTCTTCTCCATCCTCTCGACAGGAAGGAATTGAGCAGACCTACTCAGTCTTTTCGACCGTGCGCATGCACAAACTGTAATACCTTGGCCGTGCGCACTGCACTTCATCACCGTCACTGACGACTTCTTCCATGTCACCTTTACCATCTTCTGGAATGGCATCGTTCGCAGAGATTTTGGCGAAGAAGCCGAAAGTACAAACCCGCCAGGCATTGATGGTCATTGGTCTTCAGAACGATTTCATCACTTCTGCTGGCCACTTACCCGTGGACACCACCTCTGGCTTTCTCGATCGCATCCACTCTCTGATCCCTAGGTTGCGTGAACTCAACGGGAACATCATTTGGGTGCAAACGCTGTACGAAGCCGATCGTCTCGCAAACACATCATCTACTGGCGAGGGTGACGCCCTTGTCATCGCCGGTCTCGTCGACGGAGAGGAAACTGGAAGTCAAGCGGGCGACGATGAATCAATTAAAGACCTACCCGTTTCTATACCACAGGCGCAGTCGCGTTCGGCGAAACACAAACAACGCGCATTAGACCTCTTCAAACGCGTCTCCTCCCGTCGCAAGGCACTACCTGTCGAAGAGGCGAAGATAATCATCGAGGAGGACGAGGAACTATTTCTCCTGAAGCGCACAAAGAAAGGCGCAGCATGCATGCCAGACACAGTAGGCGTCCAATTCACGAAAGACATCGATGACAAGATCACGACGCCACGTGACGCTGTTATCAAGACAACGAACTATTCTGCATTCCTCGGTACGAATCTACTCCTAACGCTGCGAGCAAGGCTCATTACGGAGATCTACGTGTGTGGGTGTCTTAGTAATGTCTCTGTGCTCGCGACGGTCATCGATGGTGCGCGCCATGGTATCAAGATCAACGTGATTCAAGACGCTCTTGGCTTTCGCAAGCAGGCTCGACATGATCTCGCCCTGAAGCGGATGGAAGACTTTTTCGATGCATACATGGTCACAACTGCAGATGTTCTTGCAAAGGAGCATTTCGAAGTTGTTGTGCCAGCGAAAGAGGATGTGAAACACGATGCGGAGGTTACCAAGAGATCAAAAGACGACCTTGAAGTGCTTGTTGGCAACTTAACTCTGCAAGAGAAAACGGACACTACAACAACACCGTCGAATAGCTACTCGACTAAAACTGCTGATGATCAGCCCGTTCCTTCCAAGATTTCGAGCTCTGGAACACCGGATATTGTCTCTGCCAGACATGTAGACAGTGATGAGGAGTTTACCGCAGCGGCAGCGCAGTATCGGCGGACTAATGGTGGAGGGCAGCGACCAGCAGAAAACAATGAATCAAAGTTGGTTCAGAGCAAGACGCGTATGAGGAAGAAAAAGAAGAAAAGGCCTGTAACAGATACTTCCATGGAGCCAGGTGTGTCCAATGGCAACTCGAAGGAAGCCGATTCTCATAGTCAGCCGCCTGTGACGACGCCTGACGGAAGTATGTTGCAACAAGAGGAGGCATTGAGCGTACAAGCTCACGGCGGCATACTACACAAGGACGAGGCCGAGTCACGACCACCCAATACGAACATTCAAGAGGCGACCATGTCGAGCAAAGATAGTCCGGTTGACAAGACGAGTCCAGCCCCGACCAAAGCGCCAATCAGTGGGCCAGCTGCAGACTTGACGACCATCGAAGTAGATCCTTCCCCAACCTCTCTTGTACCAGAACCTTCTTCCACATCACCAACACCCAACACCATATCTGCAGAGGTTGGAACAATCTTACCAACACAATCGCAGACTGTTACAACGACCAAAGCCTCCAAGCTAAGATCCCTTGCGAATTTCACTGTACTGGGCCCGGGCGATACTATCGCCGACGGCGACTCTCGAATCGTGCACGATTTTATCCCATCGAATTATTACCATCCGTCCCATCCAGCACAGCCTCTTGCAGATACGATATTTCAGCAGCTCTACAATGAGGTACGATGGCAGAAGATGCTCCATCGGCAAGGAGAGGTACCGCGGCTAGTCTGTTGTCAGGGCGAATTTGGTGACGACGGATCAAAACCAATATACCGCCATCCGGCAGATCAGACGCTACCCCTGCTCCACTTCTCCTCGAAGGTGCAGTGGATCAGGAGGGCAGCTGAGAACCTTGTCGGACACCCTCTCAACCACGTTCTCATCCAGCTGTATAGAAGTGGAAATGATTACATCTCGGAGCATTCGGACAAAACGCTCGATATTGCCACAGGCTCATCTATCGTAAATGTGAGCTTTGGTGCGCAAAGGGTAATGCGCTTACGCACGAAGAAAGGCTCAATGACCAGGGCAAACGGTGATGAAGACTCTTCACGTGAAACCCAGCGTGTCGCAATGCCACACAACTCTATGTTTGTACTTGGCTTCAGGAGTAACGAACGATGGTTACACGGCATAATGGCGGATAAACGCATCGAAGCCGAACGCAGCGACGTCGAAACTGCGTATTCGGGAGTTCGCATCAGCTTGACCTTCCGACAAATTGCAACTTTTCTCGACGCCAGAGAAACCGTTATCTGGGGTCAAGGTGCAACATCTAAGGACCAGCGTGGCGCAGCTGACATCGTTAATAACGACGAAGAAGAAGCCGAACGTATGATCAGAGCGTTCAGTCGCGAGAACCAGAGCAATGACTTCGATCGGGACAAATGGTATGGCGAAGGCTTTGATATCCTCCACTTGCACGAGGCGCCGGAACAGCTTCCGATTCTTTTTGCCAGTAGCAATGTGCTTGAGATGAAACAAGTCCAGCTTGCACTCTGGGAAAGTAAGATCAATCACAAAGTCCTCGAGGCACCAGATCTTGAGAAGGGACTTGTCACGGAACAGAGACTTGTTTTCCGCGACAATGATACTCACTTCACAGAGGTCGAAGGTCTATCGTCTGTATTACATTACATCGACCGCTACCACTCGTTCTGTGCAGATAAACCTGTTACATCTGCAGCGTACGCACTACTGGCCATGTTTACACAACGGGCAAACTTCTTGCCTGAACGTATTGCGAGCCTCACATCTCCGAGTTTGGCGACGAACGACTTGGAACTCACCGCTTCACTGCACGTATTATCTGAGCAACTCAAGGACCATGGCGGCCCGTTCATTGCCGGAAAGCGGTTCAGCATCGCAGACTGTGTTCTCTGGCCAGTGCTAGATGAGTGCGTTGAGAACTGGGTGGACTGGGATGAGACGAGATGGCCAGATCTGATGGAGTATTACAGGCTAGCTTGGAAGAAAAAGGCCTGCTTGAAGAAGTTGAGATTAGAGTTGCCTGTGGCAAAGGAAAAGGTTTAGTATGAAGAGCGAAGTCGTCACTATTGGCCCTGCATAGCTGATTGATCAATGTATTACTTGAAAGACTTGTCACTCATCGCCTTGTGTATACAATATGTTCTCTAACGTAGAAGCATCGAGGAGCCAAGAGTATCGTCCGGGGACCAGAGTATAGCACCTTCGGCTCCTAAAAAGCCGTGGGTCACGTGCGTGCAGTGGCTCTCACGTGCATGTTGCCGTCTGTACTGCCAAGATATCTGTCGGCATCCTGAAGCGCCGACTTCCTTAGATTCTCGAGCTGTCGAACATCTCCACCTCGAAGCTTCGCGACGCGCCGCACGCACCTCTGCACGCCAACGCACCACGACCATTCCCTCCATACGACTTTGTAAATCGCGATCTCGATAATGCCGAAGTTCTTCTGCGACTACTGCGATGTGTACCTTACACACGACAGTATGAGCGTGCGCAAAGCGCACAATAGTGGTCGCAACCATCTGCGCAACGTTCAAGCCTACTACGAGCAGATTTCCAGCGATCAGACACAGCAAGTCATCAACAGTATTACGGATGCATACAGTGCGGAAGGCCAGGCGAATCCGCTATATGCTGCGAATCTAAGTGGAGGGTTTCCAGGAGGACCAATGGCTCCGCCTATGGGGATGGGAGGGCCGATGGGCATGCCTATGCCTGGTGGATTCCCGCCGCCAGGTGAGTTTGATCATTGGGAACTACGAGGATATTCGCTAACGAGAGGCAGGCATGCCACCACCATTCATGCAGGGAGGACGAGGGGGCCGTACGTTGTGCTGCGACACATTTTGTACGTAAACTGACCTTTGACAGCTCCCAACATGCCTCCGAATATGCCGCCTTTCCCTCCGAACGGTATGCCACCAATGCCCGGCGGCATGCCCCCGTTCCCGCCACCAAATATGGCTGGCGGACCCCCGAACATGCCTGGAGGGCCGATGAACATGGCTGGAGGACCACCAAACATGCCGTTCCCGTTCCTCCCACCGAACTCAGCGGGCTCGCCACCCGGAGGCCTGCCATTTCCACCACCAGGCGGGATGGGAAATATGCCACCGCAGCGCTTTCCTCCCGGTCCACCTGGACGCTAGGAGTATCCTGATGTGAACATGGGAGGAATGAACCTCACGATACCAACCGACTACTTCTCGAGTCAAAGATGCAAGCGCGAAGATACGGAGATACCCAAGATGCGAGAACGTGAGGGCAGAGATTGGAGAATGTATACAGCTGCTACAGGGGCGAATGCAGCTGCATTGCCGTCAAGGTTGAAGATAGAGCCGGCAGCTCCAGCAGAGTGGTTCTGAACGCTACCCTGGTGTACTGGTGCTTCATCCATAAGACTGTACTCATGGTGGTACAGCAGTGCGCACACCACCGAGGTAGAGAGGGACATCTACACTAGATAATGCTATCCAGCCTGCATACTGAAGAGCCCCTTTGCGTACGTTTCCACATCCGTCATATCCATTCCTAGCTGATGATTCACCGTGTTCTCCTTTTTCCAAATAACCCCTTCACCAGCAAAAACCAGTCTGTACTTTTTGATGCCGTCCTCTGGGTCGTTTCTCAGCTCCTCCTGTAGATGTCCAACACCCCATGCCTCTTTTACGACCCCATGCCCAATCACATTTTCAACAATAGCCGCCAAGTCATTGTATCTCATCGAATCGCCTGCAACATACAGAACTTTGTCCTTAGCATCGACATCGCCCACCAGAATCCTCCCGACGACCCTGCCAATATCCTTAACATCCGTAACAGTAATCCCGTGCTCCCAATCCCTCAGACACCTTACCCTCACCTTGCCTGATTCCTCTTCTGAGCGATCGACAATGCCCCAAAACGGCTCAAACAGAAAAGACATGAAGACCCCCGTACTCACGACCGTCCAGTTGACACTGCTCTTCTCTGCCCTCTTCCGCAGGAGATCGCGCACACGTTTCTGCTCGCCAAACAGCGGCATCAACCCGTTGCCGTCAAGTGTGACGTCGTAGTCGACACCCCACTGCCAGGGGAAGAACCATAATCTGCCGTCGCCTCTCTGCTTCCTCAGCGTCCCTGCTTCCAGGATCTCAGTGGCAATCTTTGTCATCGCGCCCGGCGAGGATGCGAATCCTGTGCAGCTGATTACGATGGGGTAGCAGCTGAACGTCTTCACCAGTGGAGCGGAGGGCGAGGTCAGGTCTATCTCCGCAAGCTCGATGTTGAAGGAGCGGAGATGCGTGGATTTTGAAGGCGAGCGCACGCCCAGGGTGATGTGGGTGTTGGGCAGTGAGGAGATGGAAGAAAGAACGGCGAGACCTAGCTCGCCGGCGCCGAGGAGGAGGATCCTCGTTGGTTCCGTTGTTGGGGATGTCATTTTGAGGGCTTTGGCAAGCGTTTGGAAATGAATCAGCAGCGATAATGGCCCAAGGCTTGTTTCGTGGGCAACTAGCTGATATATGCTCGTTTCACGGTCTGCAGGATTTAGTATAAGATGCTCTTGCGGGAGCCTGTCAGGCGTTCAGCTGCAAGCAATGGGTTGTTGTTGCGGAGTTAAGCTACGCATTGGCGGAGATAGGTGGAGTTGAGGATGTGCAGATTGGACAGCACAACAGTGCAGATCTTGACCACCACAGTTCGTAATAGTGTAAAGCACGTGAATGTTCTAACATCCCACTCTCTAATTCCTCGGCACACCTCATCCATGGTAGCGAGACACCGTTATTCTAGGTAAGCCTACGGGCGGTGTGCAGATGTACTGCCTGCATGACTGTGGCTTCACCTATAGACCAATCTGCAAAGACAAAACTACAAAACATGTAAGACCGACCCGCCGAATAGTGCTTCAATACATATTTTGCTTGATCCAGAATTACATAAATTCGTTTCCAAGACGTGACGTTCCACAGCTGCGAGACGCTAATCTAGATTCGTGCGCTATTCGCTTACGCGGCCAATGAATCAGCCGAGCCTCTGCCCACAGCAAGAGCGACCCCGTCAATTCATTTTCTTGCTCGCGACTTACGACAACCATCACCGTCGACTTCCCTCTCAAGCCACATACCGCAATCATGGCCGAGCAGTTGGTTCTCCGTGGCACCCTCGAGGGCCACTCTGGCTGGGTTACATCCCTCGCTACCTCTCTCGAGAAGTGCGTTTAGAATTCGAACACCGCGATACATTGCGCGGCTGCATGCGACAGAATATGTACTAACAACGGCCAGCCCTAACATGCTCCTGTCCGGTTCCCGCGACAAGACCCTGATCATCTGGAACCTCACCCGCGACGAGACCTCGTACGGTTACCCCAAGAGGAGCCTCCACGGCCACTCCCACATCGTGTCCGACTGCGTACGTACACCCACAGCAGCGCGAGGCAGCAATTGGCGGTAGCAATGGCGGCAATAGCAGCAGCGCAGCTGGTAGAAGCAAGGCGCAACTGAGCTGACACGCTCCACAGGTTATCTCCTCTGACGGTGCCTACGCTCTCTCCTCGTCCTGGGACAAGACTCTCCGCCTGTGGGAGCTCTCCACCGGTGCCACCACCCGCCGCTTTGTCGGCCACACCAACGACGTTCTGTCCGTGTCCTTCTCCGCCGACAACCGTCAGATCGTCTCCGGCTCGCGCGACCGCACCATCAAGCTCTGGAACACCCTCGGTGACTGCAAGTACACCATCACCGACAAGGGCCACACCGAGTGGGTCTCCTGCGTCAGGTTCTCGCCCAACCCCCAGAACCCCGTCATCGTCTCCGCTGGCTGGGACAAGCTCGTCAAGGTGCGTACAATTCCCTGCACATGCACAATCTTGCGATTTCTTTTATGATGATTTTGGTAAAAAAGTATTTGCTACTTCAGAGCCGCCATCTACGGCTATGAGAACAACACTCACCTTTGTACTGAATTTACGAACCGCAACACGTTCGAATTCGAGTTTGCAGCTAGCAGCCGCTGACAAGATGACAGGTTTGGGAGCTCGCTTCTTGCCGTATCCAGACCGACCACATCGGCCACACCGGCTACATCAACACCGTCACCATCTCCCCCGATGGCTCGCTCTGCGCCTCCGGTGGCAAGGACGGAACCACCATGCTCTGGGACCTGAACGAGTCCAAGCACCTCTACTCTCTCACCGCTGGTGACGAGATTCACGCCCTTGTCTTCTCGCCCAACCGCTACTGGCTGTGCGCTGCCACCTCCTCCAGCATCATCATCTTCGACCTTGAGAAGAAGTCCAAGGTTGACGAGCTGAAGCCCGAGTACATGGAGGTTGGCAAGAAGAGCAGGGAGCCCGAGTGTGTCTCCTTGGCCTGGAGCGCCGACGGCCAGACCCTCTTCGCTGGTTACACCGACAACAAGATCCGCTGCTGGGGTGTCATGTCGAGGGCATAAGTCCTTAGCGTTGGGTCGATGTAGTCGTATTGTACTGTGACAAGTACGAGGTAGTTGGCGGGCGCAAATGGGAAAATCACGATTCCACATGTCAATGAGATCTTCTGTAGCTTGCCATGGGATATGAGTGACGCTCATGATAACGCAGGCGAAAGGCTTTGCAGAGACGGGTTTTGGGCATGGTCAATTCCTTTCCGGTATTAGCACTTCCAGGCGCTCAGAGGCAATGAAAATATCAAGTCCATCTTTCACATGTTGCCAGACGAAGTGAGTGCATGTGTGTGGGGGTAGTTCGAGCAGGTTGGTCTTGCACATGTCTCATGCCATCGAGTGAAGCGAATTTCTGTTTTGTTGTCTATTTTTCAGCTCAATTGTCTTCCCCGCTTATGCGTTTACTGCTGTACTGGGAGTCTATAGCTTGGCAAACTTCACCTTTCGCTTCTGCATCCCGCTCAGCATTGCCTCTTTGACATCATTTGTCTGCAGCATGGCCGCGTTCCACACCGCAGTGTAGTTCAGTCCCTCGGCTACTGTCTTGTCGCGGCTGTAGTTCAAGATTTCTTTTGTGCCCAGCACAGCGACGGGCGACTTCGATCCAATGAGTGTAGCCAATTCAAGACCCTGTTGGAGTGATTAGCACAATCTCAAGTAAGGACGACAAAGTCACGAAGAGGTGTTGGTGAAGGGAGATCTGCAACACATACCTCCTTGAGCGCGGCCTCCTTATCTTTAGCAACACGGCTCACAAGACCAACGCGCAGCGCCTCGTCTGCCCCAAAGATCCGCGCACTCAGAGCAACATCCTTGATCCAGCTCATGTTTCCAACAGCGTGGGGCAGGCGCGACAGCGTGCCGATATCAGCCGCGAGCCCAATATCGACCTCCTTCACGCTGAATCGCGTGTCCGCCGTGCAAATGCGCACGTCGCACGACAGACTCATGTCGAGCGCCAGCCCGAACGAGATGCCGTGCATGACGCAGATGACGGGCTTCTCGCACTTCTCGAGCGACGTGATGCAGTCCTGGAACTCGAGGATGTGGCGGCGCAGGCCGTTGGCCTTGCGTGCGCTGTCGGTGGTCGGTGGGGCAAAGGTTGCGCCCTCCGAGGCGGCCTGCACGTCTAGCCCCGCTGTGAAGGCGCGGCCTGCGCCTGAGAAGACTACGGCGCGGACGTTGGGGTCCACGGAGAGTTTGTCGAAGAGGGCGGAGAGGTTGTGCCACATCCTGGGGATGTCAGTGAGATGTTGTCAAGCATTATGGAGTGACTGTAGGATGGCAGTCTGAGACGTAAAGAAAAGACGTTTCCTAGAAAGGTGCAGGGGTTGAAGCTGGGGAAAATATAATGATGAACGAGAAGACACGGAAACGATAGACCCAGTAAAAGAAACACACTACGTACACCTCCTTGAACGCATTCAACTTCTCCGGTCGGTTTATCTCGACATGTGCAACATATTCCGCCGGGAAAGAGACGTTGAAGAACTCAAAATTGTATGTTTCTGCCATCTTCAAATGTTGAAGCGGTTCAGTGTTTCCTTGCTCTTTCAGGTTGTGGTCGCTTCTTAGCTCCTAGCTGTAGACTCTCCGGTCGAGGTGTCCGTATAGTTGGTTTGTACCGGGTTAGTGAGGATAGTAACTCTACTTGCTGGTGTCGATCAAGTGTTATGCGTCGACACGAACGACATGCACGGGCGAGTCGCTCGGCGTTGGCGTCGCGTGGGGAAATGTGATGGGCCGAGGTACGATCGAATGTGGCTAGACTGTGCTCACAGTTGGACTTCGCGTTTTGGCCTGACTTGTCTTATGATATTACTCATCAAATTTCTAAGGAGAGGTCTGCAAACAGCCAGCGTCTACAATATTTCCTATCGTTTCCAGTATATAGCGAAGGGCCCCATTCTCTTAAGCCGCCATGCTGTAGCTCTGAGACTCCAATTTGTCAGGCGTAACCCAGGTAGGATACCAGATGAAGTACACTACCATGACAGCGAACATGAGAGTCGAGTCGAAGATGTACAATGTCCACTCGTGCTTCAGGAGGTACCCGTCATTGCCCATCGCATACTCTGCGACACGGAAGATCGATCGCACCATGATCAACGCACTAACGATGTAGAGCATACGCATGCTCTTCTGCCACGGCAGAGCTGAAGAGCGAGATTCCGGTGTAGGGTTGCGTTGAATCCTCTTCTGGAATACAACCGCAGTAGCTGCAAAGATTCCAAACATGATGATCTGGATCATGAGCCCACCAATGACCATGCCCTCGCCGGTTTTCTGGTTGTTGCCGGTCACCATCAGGCCAGCTGAGCCGCCCTGCACTATAAAGGAAAGAACATCTCCAGCAACAAAGGTTTTGGTGAGACGACTTGGCTTGACCAGAGAGTAGCGATCGCCGTGGACTCCGCGGATGATGCGACTAAGGCACATGTAAATCGAGGCTGCGAAAAGGGCGGGGCCGAGAAGGATAAAGACGTTCTGTACGGCATATGGCATGATCCTTCCGGTTCTACTGTGGGCTGATGCGCGGGTGCAGTAGCCGACGAACTGGACTGGGGCTGTCAGCAAGGCACGGTCGAGTAGATATCTCAAGGCTTACAGAAACCACCGATTGCAAATGAGACGCAAAACCACGTCTTAGTTTTGTACATGCGCCACGAAACCAGTACGGTCATGGTGAGGAAGAGCAGGATGAAGACGACTGCCGCCGCGATTGAGGGAACGTAATTCCAAAGATAGTAGCCTCCTTTCGTTGGTTCGAGGACAGCCATCTTGTAAATGGTATTTCTTCAAATGACGAGATACAAGAAATCCTTGAGTCTCTGATCTTCAAGATGATTAAAGTGTGTGGCAGTTGCCGCTTCTACTGTACACAAGTACATATATACACAGATGAAATTCGAAGTGTTGGGAGACGACTTTGACACCCAGCACAGCCCCAATAGGGACGTCCGTATATCAGCGATGTTACAGTAAAGCATACCAAGATACGGCGTATTACTACAGAAACCTTACAACCATTTGCATGAGGCTCTGAGATTGATGTCGATCGACAGATCACGCTAACCGAAAGAGGGTTGTACGAGTTAATACGAGTTAACACGACATCTCCTCATCGCCAATCAATCGTATGCGTATGCACTGACTTTCCCACTCCCTCCATCAATAGTATCACGAAACGGACATATCTACGACCCGAAACAACCCTCAGCCACTCCAGAGACGTGTCGAGATGTAGCACGCCTGATAGCGTGTTCGTATAAGCTTTTGCGAACGCCTCCCACTTTTCTTGACCTCACATCGCCTACTTCGTTGTCGTTAATACGCATACGACGACATGGCTCAGCGTCGGACGCACAGAAAATCGAAGCTCGGCTGTCAGCACTGTAAACGGCGACACATCAAGGTATGCAACCCCTGTTCTGGCCTCGTCGCGGGACATGGCGCCCTCTCAGGGACAAACTGGGTGGAATAGCCGGCTTCAACTGACAACACTGGGAACCATCTTGCTGACCATTTGGAATCTTAGTGCGATGAAGGACAGCCTAGTTGTTCCAACTGCACGAATACCGAACGAGAGTGTGTGTATGTGGCGCCACGTCCTCGCAGAGTTCATTCAAGGTCACCTCACCCTTCAAATATGGACGTCGGAATTCATTCCGCAACGGGGTCACCTTCCTCAACGCTGCTACATCCAATGGCTGCGACGGTATCGACTCCAACTTCAAATGCAGCATCTCCCGTGTTTACACCGGCTTCGTCAACACAGCTTGACTTCTCCAATTTGGATTCCGGCCTATGCCATCTAGAGTTGTTGACCAATTTCATTCTTGAGGTCGCACCAAGCCTAGACAATGAACCCTTTTTCGGTATCGAGCTGATGCGCAATATAATGCCCGTCATCCTGTCGAAGCAGTTCCTGTTGCTCGAGGTCCTTGCGTTATCAGCTCTGCATCTCAGCCGCGTGCGACCCGGACAAGCCGACAAATACCTCGCAGGAGCAACGTCAATGCAGATTGAAGCCTTGACATTATTCGACGAGCAGCTCGGAAGCGTCACGGTCGACAATTGTGCAGCCATGTTCCTGTTTGCAGGCCTGCTAGGCACCCATGCGCTCGGCGAGGCGGTCATGAATGTTTCGAGCGATGCAGACAGCTTCCTGGACCGCTTTATCAGGTGTCTGAACCTCCACCGCGGAACCAAGATGGTTGCGTCTCAGGCCTGGCCCCTCTTGCTCCAGTCGAACATGTCTTTTATGTTGCACACCGCCTCCGATCAGCTGAAGCTTGCCGAGTCTCACGACCCCGAGGAAGCGGTCTTTGTGGCGAGCGAACTGGGTCGCTTGCTGGATAGTGGTGATATGAGTGCGGACAGCAATACGGCGTGCCGTGATGCAGTGGCTCAACTCAAGCTGACCTATCAGGCTGACGACTCAAGGACGCAGTTCGTCGAGACGAAGCGGCGTTCCACGGATCTGATATGGTCCTGGCCGACCCTCCTATCTGGCGGTTACACAGATCTACTGCAGAAGCGCCAACCGGAGGCACTGATCATTCTTTGCTACTTCGCTGTGCTTCTGCATCGACGCCAGAATCTGTGGTTTGTGGGGGGTGCAGGCCGCATGCTGATCGAGTCCGTTACGCGGTCGCTGGGGTCATTCTGGAGACACTGGCTGGACTGGCCGAATGAAGCCATTGGAAACGGTTCTACGTCCTTCGAGATTTGAGCATCGGGCTGTGGTCAGACGATCGTCGCATGCCTGCGAGTTTGACTCGGTCCTGCCTATCCGCGATAGAGTACAGCAGCGACTCGATACGACGTACTCTCAGACGCCGGCCGTCAACACCATGCCACTGCACTTTCTACAAGCACAGATGCAGGATCGGCCCAAAAGCGGACAGTGTTGTATGCGCATCCTCCAAGTCGCATCTGCATCTCAACACCGAAACACCACTAACGACCAACTACCACCTCTTGTGTTGCTCGTGGCCGGAATTACCGACCATGCTGCCAACAAGATGCACGATGTCTCTTGAGATGTGATGGAATAGACGTACTATAACTACCCCTCGAGCGCAGTCCACAACGTGGAGTTTTGTAAGCTTACAATCACCTCATGTCCCGGACACAACGACACCACCACCGTAAAGACGTCCACCGAGACATGGAACGGAAATCTGCAGGCCATGAGTGGCGGTGGCGGTGTCGAGGGTGGCGTATATGTGGAGTGTCGCACCGTGCACAGAGTCGTGTGGTGCGGTGTAGGTATGACTCACGAGTCACGACGGGAAAATTTCTTTCACACACATCCTTTGTCTTTGTACGCAACGTTCACCGCGTCAACTAATCGCGAGAGGACTGCTTGCAGAGAGACGAGTCTATTTTGTCTTGGAATATAGATGGTTTGATTATCCTCTTCCTACATCAACATTGAAACAAAGCTGAGTGGCGCAGCGGAAGCGCGCCGGGCTCATAACCCGGAGGACACTGGATCGAAACCAGTCTCAGCTATTCAATCTTTTTGCTTTTTTTTTTTTGCTTCGTGGTATGGTGTGGTGTGGATGAGACAGGTGCTGTACTAGTCTCTCTGCTCCTTCCTAACACACTCTTGACGTCAACACACTGCCTTCTCACTCAACGTTGTTGAGTGCAGGTTCCTGCTCGTTATTACAAGCTTATGATGGTCTGCACGCAGAGGTTTCCTTGTGGGTATCATGCTATGTGGTACATACTATACATACTATACAGGCGTCATACTATCAGATGCCGTACTATACAACAATCGCAACACAAACTGACACCTTAACGCCTCCTCGGCGGCGGGGCCCAGGGTTTCGGCTGCCAGTCGTCGCCCGGGTTGCCGGCGGGCTGCTTCCAGGGCGAGTCCTCCTTGGGCGGCTTGTGGGTGCGCATGCGCTTCTTCGCTGTAAAGGGCGCTGGCTCGGTCTGCGTGGACTCGGTCTGCGGTGCCTCAGCGATGGGCGCGACGTCTGCCTCTTCTGCCCGCCCTGCCTCTGCCCGCCTTCCCTTTGCCCCTCCTACTTCCACCCCTCCTGCCTCAGTCCCTGCGCTGTTCAGGCCCTCGCCAGGCGGCGCAATGCCCGACTCCGGGTCGCGCGACTCGAGCATCGGCATCGGCTGCTGCTTCTCGGGGGCATCAAGGGCGCCCGGCTTCGCGGCCCACCTCGCGTCTGCGCGGGCGGCGAGCAGCTTCAGGGTGGCCTGGCGCTGGACGTTGGCGCGCTGCTCTTCCAGCGAGGGCGGCTCGAAGCGGGTGTGGCGCAACCACTGCATCCAGGCGGGCGACACATTGACTTCGCTGTAGTGGGTGCTGCGGTGGTACTTGGCGATGCGGCGGTTGCGCAGCGAGTGCAGGGCGTCCTTGAACTCCCAGAAGGTGTTGCCCTGGAGGTCGAAGCCTGGGAGCGCTGTTACGGCCTGCGGCGGCGGCGGGGACGGGCGCACTCACCCACGAGCCACTTCTTGCGCCACGGAAAGCGCAGCATCTTCCACTCGTACCAGGCGCGCGTGAAGGCGCCGGGCGGGTTGGCCATGTCGGTGTTGGTGCAGCGGCTATCGATTGCAGCAATTTGGCGGCAATCTGCGGCGGGCGAGCAGTTGGCGCGGTCGAGCAGTTGGCGCGGTCGAGCAGTTGGTGCGGACGAGTAATTTGGCGGGCAGGCCGGACCCTGGTACCTACTGGCATGACGTTGCGTTGTCGCCCGCCACACGCGGCAGGGGCTGGCGGACCCCACTGCGGGCAGGGAGGCTCACAGGAGACTGACGGCAGCCCGACTCTGGGCACCACAGCGGACAGCCCGCGACACCGCGAAGACCTACACCGCGACGCCTGACACCGCGAAGCCCGCGACTCACCACCATGGCGTCCGTCACCAGCCTCGACCAGGACATGAAGAGCCTCCGCCTGGGCCGCTACACCCCGCAGGCGGCCGCCGAGCTGCGCGCATGGATTGAGGCCGCGCTGGGCGAGCCGCTGCCGGCGGGCGACCTGTTGGACGCGCTGAAGGACGGGACGGCGCTGTGCAGGTAGGCGACCATGAGCCCTCCGCCCAGAGCCCCGCTGACCGGCAGGCTGGCCAACCTGGCGCTGCCCGCGCCCGTCCGCTTCAAGCGGTCGGCCATGCCCTTCATCCAGATGGAGAACATTGCCCACTTCCTCAAGGCCTGCGAGCTGCCGCCGCTCTCGCTGCCGTCGCACGACCGCTTCCTGACCGTCGACCTCTACGAGAGCAAAGACCCGGCCCAGGTCCTGCAGTGCCTGGCCGCCTTCTCACGCGCCGCCCACCGCCTCAATCCCGCCGCCTTCGCCACCAGCATCGGCCCCAAGCGCGCCGCCGGCAGCCCGACGACGCCCGCCCGCCCCGACTTTAGCCGCAGCGTTGGCTCGTCGACCTTCAACCCGCTGAAGCCGCCGCACGCCCGCCCGCCGCCGCTGAGCCCCGCCCGCACCGGCGGCAGCACTGCCTCGCGCACCTCGACTGGCACGCCCGCCTCGCCGCCCGCCGGCGTCACCAGCTGGAGCAAGAAGGCCGACCAGGGCGTGACCTCGCCGGCCTGGAACATCCACCAGTACGGCTACATGGGCGGCGCGAGCCAGGGCAACCAGGGCATTGCCTTTGGCGCCCGCCGCCAGATCACCACCGCCGGGCCCCACGTCCCTAACATGGCCGAGAAAGAGCGCCAGCGCAAGGCCAAGGCCGAGGAGGAGGAGCGGCTGCGCGTGGCCGCCGAGGAGGCCGAGACGCACCGCCGCGTCGAGCGCGAGGCCGAGGAAGAGCGCCAGCGCGCTGAGGAGGAGCGGCTGTGGGAGGAGGAGTCGCGCAAGCAGCGCGAGGCCAAGGAGCGCCGTCTCGAGGAGCAGAAGCGCAGCTGGGAGGAGCAGGAGCGCCAGTGGAAGTCGCAGGAAGAGGCACGCCAAAAGGAGGAGCGCGAAGCCCAAGCCGCCGCCGAGCAGGAGGCACGTCGCAAGCGCGCCGGCAGCGATGCCCGCCTACGTGGTCAGTTCCTGTCGCAGTACCAGGCTGAGCAGCGCAGCCGCCCGAGCAGCCAGGCCGACGACCACAGTGACCGCATTGTCGAGCTCGAGCGCCAACTCGAGGAGGCCAAGGAGCGCGAGCGCCAGTACCAGGCCGAGCGTGAGAACCGCAAGCAGCGTACCCGCTCCAAGTCGCGCAGCCGTCCAGAACCCCCGCCGCGCGCGCCCTCACCGCAGGAGAGCAATGTCTCGTGGGCTCAGGCTGACGACCGCGCCTATCTGCGCGACGCCTGGGAAGCCAACCATCGCGAGCCTGCCCGCCCGCTCCCCGAAACCTTCTCCTCATCTACGTCATCCACCTCCTCGCGCCCGCTCCCCGACCCCGCCGCCTATATGAAAGCTTCGCAACCTCCCCCCAGCAGAACCGACCGCTTTCTCTCCTCGAATCCGGCCCCTGTGCCCGCCAAACCCACCACCTTCACCCCGCAGGAGTCCACCAGCACCAACGAGCAGCGCGCCGAAGACGCCCGCCGCGCCGCCCGCCAACAGTCCACCAAAGATGCCGGCTGGGCCAGCAAGTCGCTCCTCGAGCGCGAAATGGAGCGCGAGCGCGAGCGCCAGCGCGAGTGGGAGACCGCCCAGCGCGAGATCGCCGAAGCAGCCGTCGACCCCACGGCAGGGCCCAAGGAAGGGCAGAGCTGGGATGTTAATCAGTACGGGTACATGGGTGGCGATTCGCAGAACAGGGGCGGTATCAGCTTCGGAGGCAAGAGGCAGATTCTGGGGCCGCGGCCGTTTGGGCCACGGTAGACGTGCTTTTACTAAGAGAGAGAGTATTGGGAGGTGCAGTTGTTGCAGACGGTTGGCGGATTGGCGGTAGACTTTGCGAAAACGAGGTAGGTGTGGGAGGATATATCATTTACGCATAGCGATAATACTACTTAGTTTCACCCACTGCGAACGGTCGACGGTGCTGTGCGTTGCAGAACCAACGTGCCAGCAACCAACTCACAACACACGGGGAGTCCTCACAGAGTCCTACCCTCTATACCCCTGGTTGTAGTAGGAGCAGTGAAAAAAAATCGGGCACACACAACAATACCAATCAACTCTCAGCGTTAAAGCCGTATCGAGATGTGGCGTAGCTAACTGATCAGAGGCAGGCACCACCCGTGGCAAGGAAAGTGCCGGTACACATCTCCGCCACCACACAACCACAGAAGCACAACAAGTGCAAGAAAGAAAGGCATCTCACACCCAACAGCGAAATACAAAATACAAAACAAAAGCAACACACGACGGGAAAGTAACAAAAACACACTAGTCCCGGCCAGACATCCACACAACCCCCTGGAGAATATCACTCCACCCCTACCCCGGTCCAGAATGATCAGCAAAAACAGCAAAAAAGAGATTCTGACATACAACAGCGGGGATTCCCCAGTGGTCACCCACCTGAGTACTAATCCGCCGGTACGTTGCTTAAATAGGGCTGAGCGAACGGGAAGCCTTGTTTTCAACGTCCTATGGTCGTATGTGAAAGTTGAACGGAATGAATTGACCATATCCCAAGAGACTGTCCAAGCGCTAGCCATGCCTCATCAATGCTCAAAGCATCTACATTTATGCGTTGGCATCAGCGCTACTGCACTACCGTGTAATCAACCACTCTCTTCGCACAATACGATGAATATTGGGTGCAGTAATTCGTGAGGCACGGATTAGATGAGGTAATCAGCCTACAAGCAACAGCGACAGCAATTATCACAGAACACTATTTTGTTAGAATTCCTACACAAATGAGGTAGCGAAAGATCTTCCCTACCACTATCTCAAATTTTAGGTTGTAATACCTACCCTGCTGTCTTGGAGTCCTTTGTAGGCTGATTACCTCATCTAATCCGTGCCTCACGAATTACTGCACCCCCTTGGTGTCTCCTTGCTATGAATCTTAACTATATCCTACTCATCCATGCGCCAAATCTTGTTGATCATGAGGTCCTAGTAAAGTACCTAGGTAGGCTGTGCTTCAATCGGACTCATAGTATACGTGGCAAAGGTTGCCTTGTTTATGCGCTGTGATTACTAGCTAAGAAAACTGATAGGATAGCTCGATCTATAGCCGCCCGGTTCTCAGCCGAGTACCCAGGTAGCATGTGCATAGTAAACAGTGAGCCGTTCATGTCTTTCACATGTTGAGGGCTTACACTCTTACTCATTTCTATCACTTCTAAAAGTGTCTTTTGACGATTTGCAGCTACGATGCTACTGGCCGAATTTTTCAGATTTGAATGGGGCGAGAAAGAGCTGCCTAGGGCCTCATCCCCACCCCAATCGCCATCCCAGTCTGTCAAGGCTGCATCGCTCACATTATGCACAACGGTTGCTGCTCTTTCTATTCCTGCACGTAAAGGCTGGGACAGCCGCTTCGATGACATAGAGGATGCAGAAGCCGATTCGCAGAACGAAAATTTGGGCAGCATCGAATCAGCCATCCATGAACAGGCCAAGCAGCAAGAGAGGGTACATGGGGCCAGTGAGAACAACAAGTGTCCAGCGGACCGCCTTCGACAAGATACAGATGATCCCAAGCTTGAAGAAGAAGCACAGGGATGGGCGGAAGCTTATCAGGCATCCGCAGATGCAGAATATCGTGTTGCAGGAAAAGTACCAACTTTGGAAGCAAGTTTGGGGTACTTCAGACAGTATCCGGTCAAATCCTTCCGTCACTGCCCCCTGGATCAGACGCAAGCTTCGATTCGTCTTGTGCACCTACTTCCAAACTTATCGCCCGACGGGTTGATTCAATGCACAATGTCGCATGCGTCTTTGAGCAGAACCTATGTGTGTCTGTCATACGTCTGGGAGATTCCCATTCAGGAGGCCCCCGAACGACCAAAAGATCCGAACACACGATTTATATATATCAACGGACAACCCTTTCGTATCACGCAGAACCTTTTTGAGTTTCTTCGAATGGCACGACATAATGCCGCAAGGACCAATTGGGATCTGAAACAGTTTAACTTGTCAGTTCCGTTCTGGATAGACGCTATATGTATTGATCAGCAAAACAACAGTGAAAAAAATCATCAAGTCAAGCAAATGGGTAAGATATACTCACGTGCCCAGTCCGTCCAAGTTTGGCTCGGTGTCGCGCCATCATTTGACTCAGACGATGGCATGCTGCAGGACCTACCAGGAGTCGGTGAATACCAATCGCGCCTCGAAAAGTTTGTCTACCACTGGACTCGGGCTATTCCAAAAAGAGATGGGGGCCCTTTTCTAGACAGCGACTGGGAGTACGGCGTGTATCTTTTTCGGTTTATCTTCCAGAATCCCTACTGGCAACGAGCATGGGTAGTGCAAGAATTTTTCCAAGCGAGCAGACTCATGATATGGATATATACGTATCCTTTGGATATGATGTATCTTCGGCGCATGAGGAACTGTCTCTACGGTCTAGGTTTTGCATGGGATTCCCTACACTATCAGCAGTACCATAGCAGCAAGCTCAAGAGCCCTACAGCATTGAACTTGCTAGAGGCTCTGTGTCGTTTTCAGGACAAACTATGCAGAGATCCACGAGACCGCGTTTTCTCCCTGCTTTCCCTCTGCCCAAAAGAGCAGTCTTCGATCGCGGTCGACTACAACGTTCCGTTGAGTCACTTGGCGTACACAATACTATCCTCCAAAAGGAGCAGAGTCTGTATCTGTACAGCTGCTGTGGTAGCTGACGCACTCTCTGAGAAGACCTTGGGAGGCCATTTGACACCACAACGTATACCAGACGACCCCTGGATCGAGTTTAACATCAAGATCTCTTCTTCTGAAGACTACCCCCTGAAATCGGTAGACTACATTTCTCAGTCGCAATGCAAAAGTGCAAATCTGAGGCTTGATATATCCGGTTGGACTCCAGCCGAGAAACGGATGTACTGTATGCCCAGGGCGGGCACAAGGAACGCTGCCACCGTGCGCGTGCCGTTATTTAGGCTACCTCCGATAGTATCCCTCAATGGATCTGTGTGCCACCCCGGGCCAAGTAGTGGATTGGTTCGTCTGAGTTGGGGAAAATCCGAGGAAGTATCGAAGTAACAACTTTTCCGTGACGGCCAATGTGTGAATGCACAACCATTTCGGGATGTGGTTATCCAAGCTGTACGCGACCGAGACTTCCCCACCATGAGACGCATGATCGCTGATAGGGGCGAGTCTAGGTAGGAGAGGACGGGCTAATTGTACGTGCCTGGTGCGAGGGGCGAGTGAAGACAGTTGCTCTCCTACCCCCAAGGCTTTCCGTGGTAGTCAACGTATAGCTATTCGATTCAATCTGCTATGCATATCTCTTACATTCACGATACCCTATTCAGCATCTTAGTCTTACGCAGAGAAGCTACTCTTGACACATAGTAGTTCATGTCGTGGCAGCGCGCGTAGGAACAGAGGTGGAGCGGCTCAAGTCGCCCCGTGACACTCAGCGGAGCACCGCAGTCCATGAGAGCACATGAGCCGTGACGAAGAACCTGGGCCCTCGACGATGCGACGGGAGCAGTATCATGGTCACCCGTCGGTAGGTCCAAATCCTGCCAATATTGAATCGGATGTGACTTCGCCAAAGGCTTCGCAAGTTTCAACCTTGGTGTCTTGATCTGGCCGTTCGCGCAAAGATACTTGAATATTTCGTCGTTCGCCGCGGCTTCGATTCTGCGTTATCACCAACCCAACCTTAAACTGCAGAGGAGCTGGATCAGATCCTATTAGGACAGTGGGACGACCCCGAAGAGCAAGAGGAATTGTTCTTCCAGTATGTAGACGAAGATCCCTTTGCAGGATACACAGAACCGCAACTGCTGGACCTGTTGGACGCCATGTATGCGAAATCGGCAGCTGGCGCGGCCTTTCGAAGAGGATGAGATTTATTGCGGCGATGTTAGGGTCAGACTTCAGGGATAGGAAAAGCGCAGCCCGCTGGCGGAGTCGACTACATCCCGGCTGCACACGGCACGACGATAGTTCGCATTGAAGAAAGAATGACAACTAGACTGGTGCACACAGCTTCTGGGAACACGCTGCTGATCCGCGCAGACATCATGTCGTAATGCAACAATAGCCTGATGTAGCTGTGATGAAGAGAATAAACATTGTAACGTGGAGATGACTTCGAATCTTGGCCAGCTGTTGCGTATGAGCACACCCCGCTGGGCGGTTCGTTAAACATTAGTGACGCCACAACAGATCAGAGCTTCTGGTCTGCAGTCAAAGCACGGCGCAGGTTGGACGTGAGAATCATCATGTATTGGCTGAACCGATGCTGCAGTCGCTGTCGACACTGTGCAAGGCGCGGCATCGCCATATGGGGCATTACTGAGGATCCGGCTGTGCGCGGGATAGATGACCATAGCCTTCACCATTCCAACAACGCGGTCCTGCAGCGCATGTAGGCACTCCCCAGCGTGGTTCATCGTGCCTGCGCTTGACTGCTCGCGGCGCAGCGTGGTTCTGTGCGAGGAAGTGCGTGTAGAGCAATGCATACTGCCTCTTCAACCCGCAGCCTCCTTCACCTTTGGCTCCGGGGCCTCGTCGATAAACGTCGGTGGTCCCGTCTCCTCGGTCAGGAATCCAGGTACGCTCGACGACTCGCCAATGCCCTCGAAGTCGACCTCATCCCCGAGCGCCTCGAGTTCGGCGTCCAGCTCGGACTCGTCAACGTCCTCCGGCACATCGTAGCTGCGGCTTATGGCGTCCTGGATATCGTTTCCCATATCCATCAGATCAGCCATCTCATCCTGCAGCTTCTCGATTTTGTCGATGTTGACCTTGCCGTACTGCTTGCGCAGCTCCTTGGTCGTGGTCTTCATGGCGTCGATGGTGGTCATGGTGTTTTTGAGATTGTCCTGCATCATGCCGGCCTGCTCCATATTCCACGATTGCGCCTGCAGCTGGTCTCGCTGCGACTCGTACATCTTGCGCTGCTGGAGCACCTTCAGCGCCTTCTGCTTGATAGCCGTCTTCCCCGGGCCGTCGCGCATCTTGCCGAGCTTCTGCTGGTAGGCGGACAGCTCAGCGTTGAGCTTCGCGAGCTTGACATCGAGGCTCTCTATCCGTGTGTCGACCTGGCAAGGTTAATGTGGGGCGCGCATGGTGCGTTGTTGTGGTGGGCCTACGTTTGATATGGCGCTGTTGAGGGTCGGCTTGGGCGCCGTGCTCTTTGCTCCGAACAGGCGGTTCATGGCGGATACGTGCGATTACGCGGGTTGTGTCAGATATGCAGAGTTGTGTCTGTCTAGTGGAGGCGTCTGGATGTTTGGCGGGGTTGAAGCGTAAGGCAGTCGCGAACCACCGGTGGCTGGAGCTTCCTCGAAACGCGGCGACCGGCGTCATCGGTCACGTGGAAGCATCGTAAACCATCGACTCTGGTTCGACAACACATGCGAACTGAAAGCCATGACTTGTGAATGATACTGCCTGCTGACCCATCTACGGGCCATCTGATCGTGCCCCTGAAACTACTGCATCATCTGGCAAATCCAGCCGCGCTGCTGCACCTCCCCGATCTGCGCCACGCTTGTGAACCGCTGGTCCCCACAACACCAACAAGCACGTCGTGCCGCCGGGAATGAAGGGTCCATTCACCTCCACCCACTGTCTGTAATCTGTAACGAAGCTACGATACCGTCGTTCCCGTGCATGGACCGGTGTTCAATCTGTGTTGTGCCTGGCTTTGCTCGTCTATTCCCTTCCCCCGCAGGTATGTGTCTCTGCGCTCGTGCGCCTAAGCTCCAGCCTCGAGCCCGACCACTCCACGCGCGTCCTGTCTGACGCAGTGCTATCCGCTAACAGGCCCATTGTGCAGCCCCGCCGTTCCTCCCATGAGCCATCACCGCTCAGTGCAGTGCCCCGCTAAATCTCTTGCTGCGTTGGAGTCTCACTCCCTCGACTCGCTGCCCCGCCTTCGCTAGCACCACCACAACAGCACCATGTTCTGGCGCTTCGGCGGCTACGCGCAGCTGTCGTCGCTGGACAGCATCCTTGACAAGCCTGATGTCACCGTCGAGGAGCTGCTGGACGAGTCGGACCTGATACAGGAGCTGAAGCAGCAGAACTCAAAGCTTATCGAGTACCTGCGCGACGAGAATGTCCTCGAGCGCCTGCTGCGCTATGTCACTGCTCCCAAGTCCTCCGAACCGGAGGGCGAGGCGACGTCTGGCGAGACTCTCGGCGAGGTTGGTAGTCCCAGCCGTCAGAGCTTCTTCGAAAAGGTCGCAGGGCGCGCGCGCTCGACCTCGACGGCAAAGTCAGATGCCGGCGATGGAGAGGAGACCAAAGAGGAACGCCAGCGAATGAAGTACGCATATGTCTCTTGCGAGATCCTCTCGTCAGAAGTCTGGTCGATATCCGAGGCCGTGTTGGAGAACCAGGATTCGTTGAAACAATTCTGGGCGTACATCAAGCAGCCTGCGCCACTCGACCCGGTGCAGGCTGGCTACTTCACCAAGGTCAACGAATCGCTGCTGGACCGCAAGATGGAGGAGATGCTGGATTTCTTCAAGTCTCTTGACAACGTTGTAACAGATATGCTCCAGCACGTCGACTGTCCGGTCATCATGGACCTGCTCCTCAAGATCATCAGTCTTGAGAAGAGCGAGGGCGGACAGGGTATTGTAGATGTAAGTTTACCCTACGGCAGTCACCCTCTGAGTCTGACAACCCAAGTGGTTACAACAGCAAGACCTCGTACCCCGGTTAATCGCGTTCCTGGGACCCGACCATTCTACATCGACACAGACATCGGCCGGCGACTTCTTGAAAGCAATCATAACAATATCGGCCAACGCAACCACCCAGGATCAATCGGTCATAGGGCCCAATGAGCTGACGCGTCAGCTCGTGTCTGAGGCTTGTCTCAAGCAATTGATTGAGTATATGCTACGTGGTGGCAACCCGTTGACGGTGGGCGTGGGAATAATTATTGAGGTTATCCGCAAGAACAACTCCGACTACGATTTGGAGAATCAGATTGGGCCCGTACCTAAGAACTCGGATCCCATTTACCTGGGTACGCTGCTACGCCAGTTCGCAAACAACATTCCGCAATTCATGGAACTGGTGCACAGCTCCAGCAGAGTTGTCGTTCAGAACGATGGGTCTACAGCGATGAAGAAGCGAGAGTTAAAGACGGCATTTGGAGAGAAGATCGAGCCATTAGGGTTTGACCGATTCAAGACTTGCGAACTCATGGCCGAGCTGCTGCATTGCAGTAACATGGCGCTTCTCAACGAGCGCGGAAGCGAGGCTGAAGTCAAGAGACGAGATGCTGAGCGCGAACGTCTAAAGGCCGAGGGCAAGTTGACGTCGGGCAACTCCGCCAACCTTGGCGACTTCTCCACCAGTGTCGACAGCCAAGGCTTCCACCACGCGCGCGCACCCTCTGTAGATTCGCCTGAAGAGATCAAACCACTGCAGGTGCAGAACAACTCGGAAGATGATTTCGAGAAGGTGACTGCGCCGGAAGTCGCAGTAGCCACAATCGAAGCCACGGAGAAGGAGCAGATCGGCGAGCCTTTGGAGCGCTCGCCCAAGACCGACCCAAAAGAGTCACCCGCCGAGAAGTCGGGCGAAGGTGACGGCGATTTCGTGGACGAGCCACTGACGCCCCCCAAGGACGCAGCGTCACCCGCTGCGACTACTCCTGCTAAAGCCGCTGACGATGCCGAATCACCAACTTCGGCAGGTTTGACGTCCAAGGTCGGAGGCCTCGACCTCGACAACGACACTGTCATGGGGGACAGGGAAGAGGCCGTCGTAGAGACCAAAGAGGAGGCCGGCCCAAAGCCAACTCCCTCTCTTCTGACACAACAACTGAACCAAACAGAGGAACCCGAGCCACTCTCACCGTATGATGCTGATAAGCCTGCGCCGCTGTTTGCAGGTAAGAACCGCGAGAGCAACACGGAGGCTACCAAGGTCGATACCACCAAATTCACAGCAGCTGCACCAGAAGATACTGCAGAGGCAACTCCCATTGATGACGCATCTAGCGTTCGTTCAGTGTTGTTTGGCGGAGGCGAGAATCAGGCTGATCAGTATGTGGTCGACATCGATGACACCCCTGTTGTCGGCGACCTCCTGAAGATGACTTTTGTTGAAAACAAGGTCGTACCGACAATTCTCGCAAGTCTTCAACTTTACGTGCCATTGCGCTATCTAACCCAAATAGGACTTCTTCTTTCGTTTCCCATGGAACAATTTTCTCCACAATGTTGTGTACGATGTTGTGCAGCAAGTATTCAACGGCCAGATGGAGCATGGCTACAACCGATCGCTAGCAATTGACCTCTTCCAGACAGGTCGAATCACCGAACGTATCATCGAAGGTCAGCAAGCGAGCGACAAGGCTCAGCAAGAGACCCACATGAGGCTGGGCTACATGGGTCACCTTACCCTGATCGCAGAAGAGGTACTCAAGTTCACAGAAAGACATCCGACGGAGATACTTTCCCAAGCGGTCGTCGAGAAGGTCCACAGTGAGGAGTGGATATACTACGTCGAACACGTTCTTTCAGACACTCGTGAGAGGGACAACGCAATTCTTGGTGGTGTGCGACCTGATATGAGTGTGGGCCCCAGACAAGCCGTACTCAACGCCGTGAATGCCGCGTCTGGCTTTAGTGGAGACGGCGGTCTCTCCAATGCTACCGCTGGCAATAATGGCGCTGTCGGGCTCGACAGCATGGACCTGGCTCAACAAGGCGACACCGGGGGTGGGGGATACACCTTCAGCGGTGGCTCCCTGCTCAGCGGCTTCACTAACTCGAGTGACGAAGAGGATGAAGACATGGAAGACGACGACGGCAACAGGGAACGACAGGGACCTGTTGACGATTCCGAACAAGTGGGTGAAGTCTCATTTGACGATGCTGATATGGACTACCGATAATTCCGTCTCATCCGAACCCTACCCGAGCCAACACCACGATCTTGTTTGCGCGCTTGGTGCGTTTCTTTTCTATTCCTGTCTATCTCACGCGCTATTGAGTATGAGCTACGAGGCATTTGCATGCTGGGTGTTGGAACATCTATCATTTTTGTACATACTACCCTGACCGGGTGTATGAATCCTGTAGCAATATCCGTCTCGCAGGCGTTTCCTTTGTGACATTCCTCAACGTCATCTTCATTCTCTGTCGTTCTTACGTCTCGCTCATCAGCTCGTTGTTACCTCATTGAGCATCGCTAACAGTGTTGCCAAGGCCAAGATTCCCCCACCGCTGCAGATACCACCTTCACGTGCGCGCCGACAATTCGCTCTCCGTCTTGCGCAACGTAAGGCCGAGCTCAAGGGAAAGACCAACGATGATGGCGATGACGATGACCACGGCGAGAAGACTCAGGAACAGGAAGAGCGGGAAGGGCATCAGCGTTTCGCAAAAATGTTTGAGGATATTGAGAGCGACTCGGATGATGGCAGTTTGGGGAGTATTGAGGATGAGATTGTTGGCAGACTTGATGTGGAGGGCAGCCCAAACCCAGCAAAGGAGCGGAAGGGGGAACCGAGCGCTTCCCAGAAGAGAGATGACAGCGACAACGTGATTGTGGTTTAGACTCGTGTTAGTTTTGGCGGTGTATTGGTAGTGGCGCATAGACAAGAGATACCTCGGTAGGATACGATGACTGAAATGCGATACGAGTTACGTTCTTCAGTGGGCGTGGTCGTTGAGTGATGTATCGCGCAGTAAGTTCTCCATGCTGCACCTGAACAAATCATGGCTATGACGTGTCGTAGAACCTACATGCGATCACACCCAAGAGTTTGTCCGCAAAACAACTCTCGTACTTGCTTATAAGATAAGACCAACAACTAGCAGCAGTGGAAGTCGTACGGCTCTCTATTACCTTCGCATGCCTAGAGCCAGCATTCTAGCACGCCGATCTACGATGTCCTCGTACCACGTGGGGTCGAGGTCGCGTTGTCGGTTCCTTCACTTCAATCAAAGGTCACCGCTACTAGTGCTACACTGCCGCCTATTTCAAGAAAACAATAGCCGATACGTACGCTTGTCGACTTGCGCGACATACCTTTACCTTATCAAAGTCTGCGCGCTTTCTCAACCTACAGACCAACTGTTGATCGAACACACTCAACGACTGGACAGTATCGATTCCCGTCTGCGGCGACAAACTAAGATCCAGCCGCCCGCGCAAAGTCAACATGGGTGACGACCAGTCAGATAGTCTCTTTGTGCCAGAAGAGTCTCCACCAGTACCAGTCTCTACAATAACATCGTATGACGAAGATGCTACAGTAATGTCTCCGCAAGCTTTTCAAGCCGACCGGTTCCACTCCAGTACAGGAGATGCTGGCGACGATGAGGTCCACGACCCCTCGCAAGAGCCCTTGCCGGACCATCCTCAGTTCCAACTCAACATTCCCACGCTTCACAGCGACATCGATGCAGCACTACGAGATCTCTGGATTGCCCTGCAAGGCTTCGAAGACGACGACGCAGAGATGGCAAACCAGCGGGAGGTAACACAGAAAGGACGGGAGATAGGCGCACCTAAGCCTTTGGTTGTCACAACAGTCGGCCCAGCAGGTGTAGGGAAGAGTTTCTTGTACAAGGCACTGTTCAACCGTCCAAGCATCACTAAGAGCTCCGCAGAAGGACGCTCCTGCACGCTCTACCCTACCAAAATCGTACTCCAACCGGACGCGCGCGATACAGCAACCAGCAGCGATGTTGATATCCTACTTTTTGATGCAGCCACACTAGCTACCATGACCGGGAATCATATCAAGCGGTACCACGACTTCCACTTCAGTCCGGATAAAGATTCGACAGATGACGACAGCCTTCGTTATGCGTCAACCGCGAAAGAGTTCTTCGAGGTCGCCTTCAACACAGGAGACAACGTTGAGGCAGCTATTGCCCTTGAATCGTTTCTAGTAGCAGATATGATTGATAAGGGTGACCTACTCCGTAACTGTGTTGATGCTATTGAACAGCGCATTTCGTTCTTAGGTGCCTCGAGGAACCGCACAATCTCCTACCTTCAGGTTGAAGACGACAATATCGATCAAATTCGGAACTTAGCAGACGGCTTGGCACCGTTCGTCGACTTTTTTGTCATCAAGACAGGTACTGCTCTTTTGAGAGCAGGCTTGACTTTTATCGATTTGCCAGGTAAGAGGTACGGTCTGTAAAAGGTACCAGTGTGTTAATACCGCGAAAAGGTCTCCGTGATATCAATCAAGATCGCATCGCGAGAGCAAACGCCATTCGCAGAGACGTCGATGTCGAAATGATCATATGCGATCGACCTGAGCGCGGCTTGGAGGACGCCGACCTCGACGCACTGATCAGACAGTCCATCCGGGCACATGGCTTCAACAATACAATTGTGGTGTATAACAAGATCGATGTATGCGCATTCCTGATGGCCGCTTCTGCATGGACGCTAATATGACAAAGACCATCTTTATGAGCGGTGTCCAAGACGCAAACGATCGCATGCGTGACTCCATGAGCGAACCATATACTACTATTAGAGCTTTTAGAGCCGAAGCCGAAAGTATCGAGGATGCCGAGATCAAGCGGGCATATCTCACGTACCTGCAGGATCTGGCGTTGAATGCCATGATTCGCGAGCGAGCGGACAATTTGCGCAACCACATCGTCACGAAGTACGCCGCACTTGATCCTGATACACCTAACAATGTCGCTGTATTTGCTATATCTGCTGCGCAATATCTTGAATGGTTGGATCCAACACGATTACGCGCACCAGTCATGAGCGTGGCCAATACACGCGTCCCAGATTTGAAGCGGTATCTGCTCAGCCTGACCAGCACCCGCAACTACGAGCATCTCTGGAACCACATCCATCTTATCATGGCGGAGATTGCTGACAGTGGCACTCGAGTATTAGAGAAATTCGAAGACGAGAACGGCTACTCGGAGTTTTGCGAGCAACTCGCGAAGGAACAGATTCCAATGCTGCATACGGACCTTACGCATCTGGCCAATACGGAGCTGCTCCCATCGCTCCGGGTCTGGCCTTACCAGCCAGACGCAGAGAAGCAGCTAGATTTAGTCAGTGACGCCATTGCTGGGTGGCAGCAAACTGTCCATGGCCCAGTGCTCGTGGCTTCCTTCAGCAAAGCCTTGCGTGAGAATGGTCTCATCGCCAACAGCCGAGCACGCGCACTGATAGGCCTGCGCATCAACTGGAATCAGACCATACAGGAGAGTATGGATCCAGCCATCGCAGCCTTCGTCCAAAATACCTCCGTGCGATTCGCTTCCGGGTGGAAGGTGATGTCGAGCAGGATCGACGACTGCATGAACGACGTCTTCACTGCTCTCGAGAAGTCATCCGAACAGACGCCTTTCAAAGCCAGTTTCCATCGCGAGTGGCGTAAGCTCGAGCACGCCATATTCATCAGATCGGGCTCATTCGAGTTCCAGCTCCACCGCGTTGTGCGCGCCACCCATCGCTTTGCTACGACCGAGGAAGACATTGGCTGCCTCGTCGCCTCACTCATGGCACCGATCTATGACAAAGTCTCAAGGAAAACCGGCACCGGCAAGTACTCACGGCAGGTGGCAGCGCTCAACCGCTACTTGGTGTCAAATGGGTGGAACGGTGGCACTATCGTGGATCGTTACGAGGATGCAGTGGTGGCAGATTTGGAGGCCAGGCTGAAACCGGTGTTACGCTGGTTCCTGAACGAGGTAAAGGCGGAGCTGCTGAACTTTGTAAAGGTTATGGAGGAGCTGTTAGCAGATGATCAGCAGTTGAGTGTTGGTCAGAGCCAGGCGAGGAAGAAGTTGACGGAGGCCTTGCCGGTGTATGAGGAGAGGCTGAGAAGGCTGCAAGAAGCAGTTCCGAGGCTTGAAGTTTGAGCTTGGACGGGTAGAGATCTTGTCTTATTCGAGTCAGTCAGGTACATCTAGCTTTTCGTGTCACATGTCTTCTACTGAATGCAACCGTATGTGACATAAGCGCTCCTTCCAGCGACATCAATCTCTAGTCTTCCGCATAGTGCCTCGTCGAGACTCAGATGGAACGTTCGATAGGCACTGACAAACTCCAACGCATCCGACGTCACTATCAAAAGGGCCAATGAAGTATCTTTGGCGAGATCCTGGAGGAAATGCGCGTACACCAGGTCGACGATGAAATGGATCGACGTCTACTCTCATCACACCACCTCCACTTTTGTCTAACAGCATCCGTGGCTCAAAAATGAAATACATGTTCACAGTCGAAGACAAAAGTCGGCAGGAAAGCGTGCATGTGAGAGCCCGCTGATTCAATTCATCCACCCTCTGAATCATGATCTACCTAATGGATGAATCTGCTTCTACGTCTTCTCTTTCCTTCCGTTCTCGAACTTACCATAGAAGCAATCCCCGTCTTTGCTGCTGCGCACAAAATTTATGGTGCCACTTGCTTATCCAGAATTTCCATTCTTTAATCCATGGCTTTGTTACTACGAGTACATCAACGCGCAATCTTTACCTGAAAACATCTTCCTCGAAAACACTTCACATCGGTTATATGAGACTCATTCTCAAAACGCATGCGGAGCCGTCTATGTGCGGCGTAAGTGCTGAAATTCATCACCGATGCAATGGATGAGACTGTCTTTAAATATCCTCAAGATCAAATACTCTGTGTTGCTCTAAGAACCTGTGTACATGCAGAAAATCAAAACACTTCAACACGCTTTTCATGACTGACTGAAATAAGAGCTGGTCACAACTACGTGTCTAAAATAAAGGAAACGTGTATTTCATGAGTGAGTGTTGGAAGCTTCTGCGCATAAAATAACCCACTTTGTGCTTGTGGTGTCTGGCTTCTACACAGCACGCTTATCACAACTGATCGAAGATTGCAGAGAAATTCCAGCGTGTCTCTGGGATGCCAAAGTCGAACTTAAAATCAGAGATTGCAGGACTCGATGTCCTGTACTCGCCTCCTTGTCTGCACCCGAAAACTACAAAACACTCCGCTCGTGTTACTGTTCATCTACTCAAAATTCAGGTTGCTGTTTAAGACGAGACTCTCCTGAAAGAGAGTATAAGGGCAACGTATGAAACTTCTGTCTGAAAGGCGTCTTCTACCGTGCATCGAATACTTTGGCGGCAAACCAGATATCTGTTTTTGGCTCGGCTTCACAGCCTCGGGAGTCTTCGAAAGTCAACGAGCCCTACACATGTGCATTCACAGTCTAACTACCCCGTGAGATTCCTCAACATCAAAGGATTCCTGATTATGATGGCTAGAGGATTCACTTCTCATGACTGTGTTCTGTCGGCCAAAGGCAACCGAGTTGCAGCTGATATCCACCTCATGATCGGAGACGCTCGAGACTATATCAATGCATAATCGACAGTCCGCCGCAATACGAGCTCCTCCTCCTCCTAGAAGAAAACACTACCTTTATTCATAACTGTACTATAAATCTAGCATGTGTGCTATTCTACGTGACTGCTTAAAGCATCATGTTCAGTCTCCGAGCTCTACCTTTAACATTCATGGTTCTGGATCTAGAAAAACCACATCCCTTCGCCGCAATGGCGTAGGCTGGCTATCAAGCCCTTGGTGACATGAATATATGTCAAAAGAGTCCAACAACTTGGCAGCATGTATGCCATCGCTCGGACTGCAGAAATTTTACTTCCCTGAGTCAATACCTAGATTTGGTTTATAGTATCCTGGTAACTACTTTGGCCCTTCTTTCTGCACATTCACAATACCTCCTGCATCTGAAAGACAACCCCAGTCTTGTCATGAGCACGTAAAAGAACATGCAGTGACGAACATCTCTCAATCCAAAACACCACTGGAAGCTGCTTATGCTGCTTGGGCAGGCTCGAAAGTGTCGAAATACAAGCTGTGCTTCAACATGAGGTGTGTAGCGCTTGTGTCGAATCACTAGCGGGATGAATGTCTTTCCAGAGCTGTTGAGAGACACTGACGATGCTCTGGAAAGCAACGGGAGATTCAAATCACTTCAACTTCACAACGTAAGAGCTCGATAAATTTCTGTTGAAATCATCCTTGGCTACTATCTGAAAATTTCACGATTACACACATGCTGCAGTCTTCAACCTGCCTCAGAAGGAGACGGTATCAACCAGGCCGAACGAGAATTGAGGCGAGGACTACACTTTGGTAGCAAGGGGAGATTGTGATCAGATTGACAAGGAGTCCAGATGGGAACATTCATGGATTCGTTATGACTGACCCGGCTAAATATTTACGTTGCACCGTGGTAAGACTGTTGCATGAACATGCGCACTCTTGCCCTTCTAATGTTGAATGGAAGGGTCAATTCATGGCTACGATGCTGCGATCAAAACGTAATGACTTGTGACCAACACCCTTGTCCGATTGTAGGACCCCGAAGTGTTGTTGTCGCGCCTCTTCGCTGCTAGCGATTCGGTTCGTCGCCATTTCACGTACCGTGTACACGGGCTATTACGGATTGCGTTCCTGGGCGCTGTCTCTGTTCAATTCGCCACCTCCGATTCCCTGTAGCCGCCGCATGCTTGAGTATATAAGGAGAAGATTGTCTTGACCTCATTGCCCATATTCTTCATCCTGTCCACTTTGCAATGTTGTTTGCAATCAGCCGCCTGAACATATCCAGCTGTTTGTTGTGTATCGCCATCTTTGCCTCGAGTATATCCGGCCGCTGTTGAAGGGTCTTGTCAGTGCGCTTCTGGGAACCGCTGAACACGACTGTGTAGTCTGGGAGCGTGGTATACGGAGGGACGATGGATGCCGCTGAGATGGTGCAGTACTGCTTTGTATTAGCACAAGCCCAGTTCCGTTCCCGTGAGCACATCGTGGTATCAGAATTTCCGACTGTTGAAGGGGTACTTACCCTCCCAACTATGGCCCCCTTCCCCACAACAGCACCAACCTCGATCACACTCCCCTCCCCAATCTCGCTCCCCTCAACAACCGCAGCCGTCTCGACAACCACGTTTCGCCCCAAAACCACACCCTCCCCTCTCATACTATCCCTCACCCCACTCTGCCTCCCTCCTAGCCCAGCAGCACCCCTCTCCTCCACCTCCGCAATCCCCACCCGCGCCCGCTCAAACACCACACACCCTTCCCCGAGCATTACCACGCTGCCTGTGCTGTTAACCTTGGCATGTGGGTGCAGCACTGCGCCGGGGCCGATGGTGATCGGGTGGGTGCCTGTGAGCTGCGCGTGCTGGGCGATCAGCGCCGAGGGGTCGATTGCGATGGACGAGGGGCGCGGGAGGAGAGATGTGCGTTTCGGGGCTGTGGAGGTCCGGCGGGGGTCGCGGGAGTGTGAGGCAGACATGGTGGATTGTGGCGGACTGTTGGAGATTGGGTGTGCGGTTGCGCTGTGCGTTGTAGTGGTTGAGTTGGGGAGGGCGCGTGGAACGACGCGTGCGAGTTAGCGGTTTCGCCAAAACACGTGAGCACTCTGAGGTCGCATGTGGAGGGAGGCATTCAATTGCACCGTTTCTACCCCCAAGTATGAGCCTCTCCTATATTTGAACTGGTGGTGATGTATTGTACAGCTTTTTTCTGACCTGGTTGGAGTGCTTGCGCGGTGCTAAACATCTACTGAATGCGATATTCCAAAACTGAGTCGAGTTCCCAGATACTTCCATACATGCGTAACAGACATTTCGTACAGCCATATCATTCTGCCAATAACGTTACACAGTGTCTCTGCTTCACCACACCTACTGCACCGGCAACTTGCCCTCGTTCTCCTCGATCCACGTAACCATGTCTTCGATCGTGCACACCTTGATCCCCCACTTCTTGCCAAACTTCAAGCAGTCGTCTGTCCGCATCATGCCGCTGCCGACCAGTTCCGGCCGCCCATCTACGCTCTCGCCGTCGTTGATCATCTCGCAGATCACACCCACCGGCTGTTTGCCTGCCAGCCGGCACAGGTCCACTGCTGCCTCTGTATGCCCCCTGCGCACCCTCACACCCCCTTCTCTCGCCTGGAGAGGCAGAATGTGTCCCGGTCGCCTGAACTCGCTGGCCTTTGCATTGGGATCGGCGAGCATGCGGCACGTGAGACTGCGGTCCTGCGCCGATATGCCCGTGCTGACGCTCTCGTGGTCGGCGTCGATAGAAATGGCGTACGCGGTACGGTTCGGATCGGCATTGTCAGCGACCATCTGCGGGAGGTGCAGAGCGGCGGCGCGCGAGACGGTCAGTGGCGCGCAGATGTAGCCAGAGCTGTAGCGGATCATGAAGGCGGCTTTTTCGGGTGTGAGCGACTCGGCAGCGATGATCAGGTCGCCTTCGTTTTCGCGGTCGGGCGAGTCGAGGACAACTACGAACTCGCCGTTGGCTGGTGACTGTTAGTCATTGATTCGCTATGTGGCTCATGAGGCGGGCTCACCAAATGCGGCGACGACGTCTGGTATTGAGTCGAATGCGGCGTTTGCTGGTGTGGAGTTCGACAGCTCATCTGCGTGGCCGTTGATGCCGTTGGCAGTGCCATTGGCGGGGAGTCCATTGAGTTCGGCGGGCATGGCGGTGTGGGTGCAATGTGTTCAAGCCTGTAGTTGCCCTCCTCTTTTTTATTATTGTAGTCTCAAAAGCTCGGAATTGTGCTATCCGTTCGTTGCAATGTCGGTGGTGGATTGGCAATGCTTAGAAAGAATATCGACAGTTTGGTAATGCGATGCCGGCGCTATCCGCAGTGGGCAATGTCCTTTTCGTGGGCGAGTCGTGGACTGCGGGCAATTGACTCCAGACACTCTGCTGTGGGGTTTCTGCGCTTATCAAGATCACCGAATCCCCGATGGTGCATGTGAACGTCCTAGATGTCGGAGGTCGAGTCACCGTGCGGAACCGCCCCTCCAAGCAAAAGTCCAGTGATGGCATGGAGTGGGCCTCGGCCCTGCATGATGCGACCGAGGCTCCGAGTTGCGAGCGCGCCAATTCCTCTTGCGGCTGCAGTAAGGCCGACCTCCCGGGCCAGCCCTCGTTCATCTTACTTTCGGCGACATGCTTGGCCGTGGTCTAGTGAGGCGGATATCGCGAGCGGCTATCGCGAGCGGTAGTTTGGTGGAGTACCCGACTGCTAGCAAGGCATATACCCTTGGCCAACTGCGCCTATAATATGCAACTGTTTGGGAAGACACCTCCCCAACTGACGGATGGTGTGCTCTTAGATTGGGCGCCCAACTGGAATACCAGTTTCGTCAGCTGTTCTATTATGTCAAAAGGACAGAGCCTAGAAAACAACCATATTCGAACCTGTTTGCGCACAAGCTATGTACGCTCATACCAACCAGTCTCTGCTGATACTGCACCATAGCAAATGTTATTTTTTGCAACCCGGGTCTCAGCTTCGTCACTTTTTGGCATTTGTTACTCATTCGTTGTCCGTTGTTCGGGCTCAGTATGCCCCATGTCTTCTCATGATGATCTGACCCTCGTTTCGACTTTGGCCCCCAACTCAGCACATTCGAAGCAGAAGGTCAAGACACATGCGCTTACCCTCAATTAAAAATCCCTACAATGCGACAAGGTAGATCGTCTGCCAAGGCTGTGGAAGCGCTCGCCCCCAAAATATTATCAGTGCAATACAAAGTCTTCCCAGCCTTTTGCACAGTATCATTTCAGCGCATCGCCGCGCAGCCAGTATACTTGTGGATCATCTTGTCTTCATGGCCAACAAAACGGCTCAAGCCGAAATCTTCGAGATGAGCTCGAAACAGGCTCGGCCCAAGACTGGTGGCTATACGCCAGCAGTTCGCATCAGCACGCATACACACAATATCCTCGTGGCCTGTAGCCTAATCGTCCTACCTATGATCATATTCACCTCCGTGGCCCTGGCCTTCGTTTTCTCCAACACAGTCAGCAATCAAGGCTGTTCCTTTGATGACTTATGCCCCACAGCAGGACTCATCAACACCACAAGCAGCAACTACTACTATGTGGATTTTTCGGCGACGAGTCTTGTGTTCATATCATCCTGGTCATCCACTATCAGCTTTGCGCTGGTTGGCGTTCTGATGAGCATGTACGCCTATTCTATTGCGGCCGAAATGCTTCACCGACCCGACTTCTCACCACAGCACGGAAACGCTATGAGCCCATATCAGTTGAGTCTGGTAATAAGGGTCTTGAACGCGGAGATCTTCAGCTTATGGAACCTCGTACAACCCTTAGGCCGCAAGACTCTACGCAAGACCAGTGGCCAGGAATACCACCAAGAAGTCAGCTCTCGTCCACTGCGAAGATCACTTGTAGTCTTCGGTCTCGCGCTCTTTGGATGGTATGTATGTACGCGTGAAAGTCTTAGATGCCTCAGCTGACTCGTCGAGTGTATGCATACAGGCGGCCGATACCTACTTGCATCTTGCAACAAAAGCAGTCAATGTACTCCACGCTGTGCCGCAGCAGATGGAGCAGCATCGGCTGAGTAAGAGAATAGGCGACTGGTGTCTCGACACCGAGACTACCTTTGGCACGCAAGCTAACATCAACTTTTGGGGTTGCGGGCTATACTGGAACGAGACTGCTCAAGTGGTAGCACCTACAAACGTAACTCTGTTTCATCGTATCATAGGTGAGCCTCTGGAAGACTATACGCTCAACTATACCGAGAGTGATGGGACCCAGTATGCCATCGTAGGACCTTCCGATGTCTCGCCCCAAACAGACTGGGCAGCAGCGTCCTTTGCTGTGAGTTCGAAATGCAGCGTGATCCCACAAGCGGGATGCAAAGTCTTTGGAGGTCCTCGCAATTTCGGGTTCTCCTGCCAGGAGAAGAATGGCGCACCAATGGACTTTTTGGGCAATATGACAGACGGGTTTTACTCAGTCAACTTTGGCAAGTTCCATACATACTTGGAAGAGATGCCACCATTCCTTAGTACATTTAGCTCAGGGGTGAATGGCCTGGGCGAAGTCAACGAGACTGCACCCAATGTTACGAGCAATGACGCGCAACAGTTGTGGAAAAACCCATGGCTATGGCACGCTGAAGTGAGTCTGTTAGCTGATGAGAAGGATCTGCCACGCGATATCACAGAGACAGCCTGGTTTCTCGATGGCCTCGGGCACAAGATGGTGGTGAACTGTTCATCGACGGGTGAGTCTACATTCAGTCACCTCAGATGACCCTTACTTACAAACAGAAGTGTATGACGTGACCTACACAGCTGTTGGCGGCAGAGTTAGAGCCATGACGAAAACACCCAGTAATGGAACAACAACCGGCATCATTATTATGCCTCTAGTCGAGACTTTTGGCTTTTCCCAGAATCTGCATGACAGCGCCATGTACCGGGCTAGTCAGGCATCCTCGGTACAGTCGTGGCTTTCGATATACGAACTCGAGATGAGCAAATCATTCACTGTCCCTCTAGTTGTTCACACAGTCCCCGACAGTGGTATTCGCGCCCAGAAACGCATCAGCAAAGTCATTGCACGCGTCCCCGTCGCATCGTTGTGGTTGCTTGTGCTGTCAAACCTTGCATTTGCCGTTCTGGCCGTTATTGTTGCGGTAATTGCGTTGAAAGCTGCCAATGGCGACGTGAATCAGGTGCATCTGCGACTAGGCGTATCGGGTCTGGTTGCTGCGTTGTTTGAGCCAGATGCTGCGAGGAGGATGGCAGATGGGGAAAGCGAGCTCTTTCAGGAGAACGAGGAAGGAGCAGTCGTGCGGACTGCGATTACAATTGAGAAAACGGCAGCTGGGGGTGTGGCGTGGATCACTCATCGGGGAAATGCACCGGCCCAACAGAGCGTTGTGCCGCGCCATTCAGAGACAAGCATCAGTTACCAGCCTCTGACGCTGGCTGGACTGGGTGATATCAGTAGGCCTTTGTTGGACAATGAGGGGAGACGATGATGTGGTATCAATTTAGGAGCTTTGGAGAGATACGTAGGCTGCCCAACATGTGCTCTTGTGGCTCCGGTGTTGGGAACGGGGACGAGGTTGATCTACCTGGATCGAACTAAAAATACAATCATCAATTGATTACTGCTGGGAGGTAGGTTCAGCAATATCTTATATCCTCAAAGCAATACAGGGACATTCTGCTCAAAGTTGCATGTTCTACCCCCTATATCAGCTGAAGGTACGTGCCTTGCTAGTGGGCATTGTAGCGGATGAGTCCGCCTGAAGGTCCGTAGCGGCCGCCACCACCGGCGCCGGTGTTTCTGTTCGAAATTGACATTTCACCGTTGTAGCATCTGGCGAATGCAATCTTTCAAGTGATGCTGATCGCGTGTAAACTTAAAATTAAGTGAGGGTATCTACTTTGGCTCCGAGCATTTAGCATTTCCGAATGCAATGCTATCGAAACAACAGCATCTGGCGCCGTAGCTGCCGAATGCGCCGCTTGCAACTTTTACCGAACAAATCAATCTATCTATCTAACGAGTGGCTTACATGATCTTCTCTCCAGCAGCCTGCTTGTCTTGGATGTAGTGTTTCTCAGCCGAGTTGTGTGTCGAGCTGTTCTCGCTCGCCGGGCCGGCAGCAACGCCGTCGGACTCGGGATCGCGCTTCCAAAAGTCCTTCTTTCCAGCCGCAATGCGCTGCACCCACGGAGGCAGGAAGCCACCAGGAATGCGATATGTCCAGTGCTCCTTCTCATCCTTGTTAGGAGGAACAATGCGACCACCTGAGGCCTTCTCGATGATGAAGACAAGGGTGTTGATCAGGATGTACGAACAGATACCCGCAATAAGACCGTAGGCAATCGAGTATGTGAAGGGCATGATGGCGATGGTAAGGAACGCGGGGATGGCGTCGCCCATGTACTTCCAGTTGATATCCTTGGACGACTGCGCCATGAGGGAACCGACAATGACGAGCGTACATCCAGTAGCCCATGGGGGGATAGACGCGAAGATAGGCGCGAAAAAGATGGCGATAAAGAAGGAGAGGCCTGTGAACATCGCGGTGAGACCAGTCTTGCCACCTTCAGAGATACCAGCACCAGACTCAATGTAAGCAGTGACCGGGGAGCATCCGAACAACGAACCGATTGTAACACCCATAGCATCAATGGTATAGGCAATCGAAGAGTTCTCGAAATCCTGGGTACGCTCGTCGATGGCACCACAGTAGCGGGCCATTGAATACATAGTACCTGTGCAGTCGAGGATATCGACGTAGAGGAAGGTGATGAAGGCGAGACCAAACTGGCCAGAATATTGCGAGACGTTCCATTCCTGGACGACGAGAATCTTCTGGATCGGGTGGAAGGTGACGACCTTCTTGAAAAAGTCGAACGAGTCGTTGCCGAGTGCGGTGTGCGGGAAATAAGTAACGTCGGTAGAGCGCGGCCAGGAAATGATCGAAACGAGCAAGATACCGAAGATAATGGCGCCCTTGACACGGTACAACATGAGCATGACGGTCAGAACACCACCACAGAAGATGCCGATCCACATGGTCGGGTTGCGCATCTTATGGCCACCGGGGCAGACGCCATCTTCGCCCTTGAAGATGTCCTCGCATCCTGCAAGTTCCAGAGGAGTCGATACGGCACCTGTGATGAGACCAATACCGGCGGAGTACGTAAGTCCAATGATCGTGAGGTAAAGTCCGATTCCGACACCTGTCGCGAGTTTGATGCTAGCCGGGATAGCTCTGTACAAAACTAAGTCAGCGTTGTTACTGTGGAGAGTGACGTGTGGCGAAGTGGCTGGCGATGGGGTCCAAGTGGGACCGAACGGTGCCGAGGTGCAAAACTGGCGCACAAATTTATGACGCCAGAGGAAAACGGAAGAAGACGGATATGAACATACCTTGCAAGCCATTGACGGATGCCCAAGGCGGTGAGGCCCACAAAGACGAAGCCTTCGACGAAGACAGCAGTCAGGGCGACCTGGAATGGGACCATACCTAGAAAACGATTAGCAAACGTTTCAGCAGAAGAAGTTCGTGTAACAGCGCCAGGCTGGGAGGAGATGACATGTGTCACAAAAAGTAATACAAAAACGAAGAAGGCGATCAGTGTGACTTGACATACCAGAACCGTGGAAGCCAACGACTGTGTAGGCGAAGTACGCGTTCAGACCCATGCCAGGAGCAAGGGCAATGGGCATGTTGGCGAAAAGACCCATGCAAAAGGAAGTCAAGGCTGAGATGGCAGCGGTGGCAGTGACAAGATCACGCTTGACGACCGCTTTGCAGAGCATGTACTCCTGGTTGGAAACGCACAAATCGAGCGCAAAATCATCAGGCGGGCATACGCAGGTACCGCCGGTATCAGCCAAAATGGTAGCTGGAGATAGTGAGCAATGCTTCTTGGATATCAAGTGAGACTCGTACAATTTACAGAGATAATGTAGGCCATGGCGAAGAAGGTAGCGAGACCAGCACGGAACTCAGTGAAGAAGCGGGCATCCTTGCGTTCCTTGGGCTACCGAAGGTGTCAGTGAAGGTAAAAGACGTCAGGAGTAGGGCGACATACATGACCAGAGCCTTCGAGGCGGAAGTACTTGCCCACAGCGGAGCGCGCAACAGCGAGGTTGGCTTGCTCAATGAAGCCGCCCATCTTGAATGAGATCTGGGTAGGTGAGGAGTGTCGAAGTGTGAGTCCTTGAGGGAGGGACGGTCCAGGGAGTGTCAAGGGAGCCAGGAGGCGATCTGCACCGGGCTTCACAAAGCTTCTCGTGAAGGACACAGCGAACTTTTAAGTTCAGATGGTATGAGCATGGGTAGAGCATCTACTGCATCCCACACCAAGATAAGGATTTGCTAGGCGGCGACCTGGCGTGCCCACTGATGGTCTCGCCATTAGAGTGTCCAATCCAACCCATGCTCTTGCGATCGGGCCAGCGCCAGTCCTGGCTAGTCAAGCGGGGCCACGCGAAGAGACACTCACGGTCCACCATGACTTGGCGCGGCTTCATGCGCGAGGTCTACCGGCGAAAGCGCTCAGGGCTGGGGAACTGCGACAGTGGAGTGGCTGACATGCCGCACTTGAGGGGTGCTGCAGGTCGCCAATCGCAGGCCAGTCGCGGTTGCTTTTATCAGGATGACCGCAAGCGCAGCGCCATCACGCAGAAATGGAAGCGGAGGCTGCCGGAGTGCGACGGCAGCCACAGCCATCCTCACCAGGAAGTCGCCTCCTCTATCTCGAACTCAAAGATGGCTATCATGGCTGGCGGCGTGGCGACACACCTGGCGACGAACGACTGGATTGCAAATGGATTCTTGTCAGAACGATCGACTAGTTCGGACAGAGTGCCGGATCCGGCAATTGACTAGAACGCAGCGTCAGGGTGTGCGTTGCGCGCTGCTGAAACAGTGCAAAGGCGCTGTGGAAGGCTCCCTGGTCACACGGCTGTGAGATTGATGAGAGGAGCAGCAAAAGGATACGGGCCACGACCTTCTTGGTGCCGGAAACGCGCCCAGTGCCGCAGCTGCACCAACCCTTTTCCCAGTCCTAGGCAACGCCTGCAAGGACGGCCAGGATGAGTAGCATTGGGAAGGCCGGACTTCCGTCCCGTGTTGCACGAGATGAACCGCCGCGAAGCGAATTGTTACGACTGGTTCATCTTTGGCACGAAATGGCAGACCCTTATCCCCGGGTTTCCCCCTCCTAGCACCATGTCCCGGTAGCCGCAGCGGAACTGCATCCAGTGCAGGGCTAACGGCGTCTACACATTTCAAAAGCACTGAATCCTTGCCTTTCCTCACGCCACGGCTCCCAATCTAGCCCACGTAGACGCATACACGAGACTCGTTCGCAAGGGAGATACTGTTGGCGACATTCTTTTCCGTCTGCAATCCCGCCAACACTTATAGGTCAGCGCCCTGGTAGTCAATGCATTCTCGATCTATTGGAAAGGAGATGGACACCTGAAGCAAACCATGCCTCCGCTCCTGGACGCCTTGCCAGACTCCTGATTGCAAAGTGTCGCCATCTCGCCAATCTAGCTACATCCTCACGTTTCGACATGGTTTGGATCTTCATGCGTGTTTCCACGACTCCACCAGCCTGCCATGCGGAGGTAATTGGCTCTGCATCGCACAACATATGTATGCATGTTGTCAACCGGCCATTGCTCACTTCGAGACCACATTGTATGAAATTAGCGGCCGGTGCAGCACACGGACTGGACGGGTCAAGGACAATCCTTACATGAAGGACAATCCTACCGATATCGGGTCGGTGAGGAAATCCCCCATTGGCATCAAAGAGTTATTACTGCTGCACGTCAATTTAAAAATTGCTGACGAGAACAATCCTATAGAAAGACTTGGTAATGGCAGGGTCGGCAAGCCCACCCGCAAAACGCTCAACAGCCTGCGAGTTATATTGCTGTTCGTTTTCGCCCACTCCATCTCCTCGCTTCTCATCCAGCCCAGCGCATCGCCCTGCAACGCCGTTGCGCACAGCAAATGCACCAACCGGGGTGTAAATACGTGGCATGTGTTAGTTCAACTGCTACCCGCCGTTGAGCGACACGTTGTACCTTTCCGGTGCCCTGGTTATGCCGACTTGCAGATCACGTTCTCCACGAGGGCACCAGTGCACACCAAAATCATCCGTGCGAAGTTGGTGCCACCGCAGATCACGGACACTGAAGCATGGAGAACGCAATGTCTTCCGATGCAGAATGCCTCTTAACAGGCACTGCAGGCGATGGTCGAGGCGCGGCTAAGCACACCCTCGCTTGTCGCCCCTTGCGTCGTCACACGCACATCACTGCGTCCGCGGACGCACTCCAACAACCATTCAGGAAGTAAAGACAGAGCGCGTCGGTTGTAGCATCGTCTCCACCGATCGCCACATAGGTCCAACGCTTGACGCTGTGTCACAAGGTTAACACGACCTCAACTTGCACCTTGTGCTCAGCCCTTACTCTTCGTAACACACGATGACATGTAGTTGCGATCAGCAAGCTAAGACAGGGTAAAGCGATAAGGTATCGCATAATTTACAGGTATCTTCCTCGCAGCGATGGTAAAGCGCTATGTAAATATGGTTTCGTACCTGCATGTTTGCTGCACGTCAGTCTCCTTCGGTCCGAAAACGACGCCCTATCGATCAGGCCGTTACATGTCGCACAGTTAACGCCATAGCGTGGGTTGGAGTCGCGTGGAACCTGGATACTGGAAAACTGTCAGCGGAGATCGCCATCAGCGGAACACAGCAGTAGCTGCCGGTATTAATTGGCGACCCTAAACGGTGCTGCACGGAAGTCACCGACAGTCCGTATGGACATCGCGAGAATTGTTCACCAAGCACCAAAAAGTGTCTCAACAACGAGTAGTGACTCCCAGGCTCAGACATAGCTTGTCAGCGGCGCTTGGGCGTGTGCTGTTGCAACTGTGCGACTGTGTAACTCCAAAGGCGCGTAGACAGGCTTGTCTCAACAACATGGAAACCAATACTATGACCCCCGCACTTTGCCACGACATACTCCACGGACCTGGTCATCCAGGTTCACGGCACTTTGGCACCTTTTCAATTGGCGTACGATCAAGGTTTGTCTTTGGTGGATCTGCGCAAGCATCGGCATCGCCACCATGCAGCCAGACGTGTCAGCTGTTACAAAACGTGGCATTGCACAGCAGACACATGGACCTAATCTACACAAGACAAATATTAAGACTCTCTCGGAAATCAGCTGACGTGCCAGTGGACTGTATTTCACTACGGCATACTCGAGCCCCGCCTGTCGTCGTTTCTGTAAACCATCCAGAAGAGCATACCTTTGGGAAGCTTCCAAAGTAAACAACATAACGTTTACCACAGTACCTCGCATTTTAATCCCACTCATGACCTAGCATCCACTGGTCTTGATTCCACTGGTAGCACATGTCTTTCCATCAGGGCCTGACAGCGTCTTCGTCGGCTCACCGCTCGTCACGCCCTTGTACAAGTCGCAAAACTTCGTATCGATCAAGCAGCTATCCTTGATCGAGGTCGAATCGCCATTGTTGCCATTCACCCCAGCGACGAGCTTCCCAGACACCACCTTGATATTAGTGAAGGAGGACTTGCGCGCATACTGCTTGCTGCAGTTTCCGCATGAACGGTACAATTTACCGATGTTCTCGGCGTAGAAGTTTTTCACTGCCACAGTGCCCTGGAGTTTATATCAGTATTGGGTTCTTGCTTGAATGCCGCATGTGGGTGCGGCTTGGCTGAGGCAGCGTCGCGGACTTACTCCACCGTTGTGCTGGAGCACTTTATCTGATGCACCCTTCGCACCGCCGCCATTAACGTACGAAGTCCCACTCGTCTGCTTGAACGTCGCAGCGTCCTCGCACACGTCCACCCACCAAATGTTGTTCAAAGTACAGCTGCCTAGACAGTGTACACCTTCGCCGTTGTTGGGGCCGATGATGGCGTTGGAGAGTGTAGCGCCTTCCTGAAGGATGAAGACAGCGTCTTTGTCGCCGCCCTCGGTCTGGCCCTTGCAGGTATCGGTGCTGCGGTCCCACTGCTTCATACCTCCGTCGAAGGAGGATCCAGCAGCAAGCGTCTTTGCTGCGGCGAGGGCGGAGGTGCCGCTGGATTTGGGGAAGGTAGTTTGCAACTGGGTATTGGTTGCAGCTCGAGCTACGTTCTCGTTGTGCGGGTGTGCGGCGGTAAGGCCTGCCACGACAGCAAGGAAGATTGTGGAGGAGTGCATATTGTAAGTCTTCGCTTTTGAGGTAAGTAAGTAAAAGGCTGGCTTGAGTGTTGTGGACAAGACAATGCCAGCACCGAATTTATTCCTCTTATACCATCAATGTTCTCTTCTGGCTCTGTGTTGAATTGACACAACCACGGACAAACCTTCAGTCTCCGCAATCTCGCGATATTTCGCCGTACAACCCTTATCTCGTCCAACAGCTCGATTGACCCCAGCCAGCAATACCCTCCTAACTCAATCCGGGCGTATACACCGCCAGTACACAGTCGAGCTGAGTCCAGCTTGACGTGCCAAGTCCGCCTCTTAATATACATGTTGAGAAGCCTCTCTACCCCAGACTGTTGGCAGCGTGTAAGGCGGGAACTCTGGCGCGGAGAAAGAGTGTGGGGTATGCCATTGGCGGAAAATGGAGATAACGCCAAGACATGTATATGAAAGATGTCGTGCAAGAACTCTAAGACTCCATGGCAAGGCTTCGGGTGCTTGTGTGGACAACGCTTATACCTTCTGATGATGTTCATACATACAGTCGAGGAGTATCGAGTCGAAGCTTCGGCTGGATTTCGAGGTTTGAGCAGCGACCAGCCCTTCTTGATCGCTTAAGCGTGATTCGATTGCTACCTACCTGGGTAGCTTCATGGTTTCATAGATACTGCTTGTGAAGTAATAGCTGTTACGACAGTATGAACAGTACCATATTTATAGTAGACAATGGTCCTCTTCTAGATCGAAAATACATACATACCATCATTCCATCTGTTTCGTGATCTTCGGGGTGCTAATCGGATGGTAGACATGTCCGTTCTACATAGGTAGCGGACGAAGATAAACTAATCGCAGCAATTCGGCTTCCATCCAATTCAGCATATCGTGACAGCGATTCCGCCCCGCAATGATGTTGCTGATGGCTGCGTTTAGTGATCTCAGACAGCAGGTCGTTTTCGAAGACTAGCCACACGGGTGTGGCGTCCGTCAAGCCACAGAGAAGGATCACGATGACGTCGCTGTACACAATGACCCTGCTTGTCGCGTGAAGCTTCCCCTGATTGCTAGCCGGCTTTGAGAGAGCTCCATCCTCGCTATCCACCTACTACGGTCCGTCTTACCCGACTCTCACGGCTTCACGGCACTGCTTTGCTTCTTTCGCAGCATGAATCATCGCTTATCGTCCTTAGCGGTCTCTCGCATCTTGACAGCTCAGCACGCGCCTCTTCAGTCACGAATTCCATCAAGACTGCTCCCACGCCCTGGATCTACGGCACAGACATCTCAGTTGCGGAGCTTTGGAATAACAGCTCGTTTACAGGTGAAGCTTCCGAGTAGAGATGCTGGAAATTACGACGACTCGAATGCGCGTCCGGCATCACAGCTGAACAACAACATCACACAAGAGGAGAAGGACGACTTTGCGCGTAAGCTACAGGAGGACAAGGGCAAGCAAATACGTACACCATGGCATAGAGACGGTAGCGATGTACCGCCTGTGGCTAGGCAACGCAGTGCGGGAGCTATGACAAAGGGTATGGACCTTGCAGGCCTTCTATGCCTTTAGCTGACCTGGAACAGGCAAGCTGCTCACAACACCCTCACGAATGCTTAAGATCATCCTTCCTCTCACAACCAAGGATACAAATTCAGACCGCAAAGATATCGAACCTCTCGCCCTGCTAGTCCACCCGCAACAGCCTATCTCGTATCTTGAGCGTCTTATTCAAGCTGAATTGCCCACAATCAAGGATAAAGATGGCAAGGAACGTATACCGAGCGTGTATTTTCGCGCCGAGGACAGTATGCAAGACTCGATGCAAAATTCCGAAGCCAGCGAGACCATTGTGAGCGAAGATAGCGAGCCTGACGAGAGTGGGGAAGACTTTGAGCAGGTGGACGAGCACCGCATAGACGGCAAGACAGTCAAAACAGGCAAGATCAGGTCATCTAGCAGCGAAGAAACGGGTGCAGCAAGTGATCGTAAGACTCCAGATGAAGCCGCGGAACTGCGAGGCGGCCATGGCAAGGGTGGTGTCGAATCATACTCTGGTCTCGGCCAAGACGCTCCCAGCGACAAGATCTCGAGCCGCAAGTTCGTACGCTGGTCTAGCAGCACGGAGATTGGCGACTTCATCCGCGACGCGGCTCGCGGGCAGGAATTTGCTATCGAGATCGAAGGCGCGCCAGAGGAGATCCGCGTCGGTGTCCCTTCGTTCAATGACCGCACATACTACTTACGCATGCGTCTGAGAAAGACGGCTAAGCACATCAGCGAGATGGCCGACATCAAGGAGTACTGCGACAAGCTCGCCCATAAAGCCGCGCAAAATGTTGCAGTCGCTGGATTTGCAGGTATCGTAGGATGGTGGGGCGTAGTTTACTACCTGACATTTCAGACGGAACTTGGCTGGGACGTCATGGAGCCCGTCACCGTACGTTCACTTTATCCACCTTCTCACCGCCCTTACTAACCTATGCACAGTACCTCGTCGGTCTCTCTACTCTTATCGGTGGTTACGTCTGGTTCCTTTACCACAACCGCGAAGTCTCATATCGCAGCGCCATGAACTTTACCATCTCGCGCCGCCAATCCAAGCTCTATAACCAACACAATTTCGACCTGCGAAAATGGGAGGTACACATCGAAGACGGCAACGCTTTGAGGAAGGAAATCAAGGCCATCGCGAACGAGTACGATGTCGAGTGGGATGAAATGAAGGAAGAGAAGGATGAGAAAGTAGCTGAGGCACTTCGAAAGGATCGCAAGAAGAAGCAAGGTAAGAAAGATAAGGACGACGATGAACCAAAGGCAGAGAAATCGGAAGCGAAGAAGGAGTGATGATAGAATTTAGAGCCATCTTGGGGTGACAACGGCTCACTTATACATTGCCTGGCATTAGCGTGGCGTTGAGGATAGGCATCAATCAGCATTTTCATTTGTACAAGTCATTCATGCACGGCCTCCCGGTTATACCATCTTGTCGACAGTAGATACTATAGAACTTGTTTCTGAAGTGTCCTTCTGTTCTTTTACACCTCGGCTGTTCTTCTCTATTCTATGTGACCAGAAGCGAGGACATGATAGCCCCGGCGAACTGGAAGTCGAGTCCGGTCTCACATTCGTATCTGCATGGTAGTTGCTCTATCCTGCATGCATGCCTGAATGCCGGATGAACTCGGGTATCTGTTGATGTGCCACCCATTGCTTTTCACACCCCTCACAAAAAGAAGGGTCCGCTTTTCTTTTCTCCTAGACTTGCTTTCTTATCAAAAGCATAATGATCCGGTGCGGAGATGCCCGCCCACATCAGCACGTCGGCCACCGCACGGATACTGGGGCACTTCTTGAAATCCGGCGATACGATTCAACGGTCTTCTCCGACGGCTCCACAGTCTTACCGTTTGCCAGCATCCTGATGATGTCCACGCAATCTCGGTGTTCAACGCGTTATCTTGAGTTTTACGTCGGAACTATCGTGCGCTGATCTGTGATAGTGATTCAGCAATGACACAGTCAGAATGAGATCCGGGGTCAGGCCTGTGAGAGGTATGACATGAGCGCGACCATAACTTGCAGTACCAACGTCCAGTGTGCTACAGAGCTAGTGTATTCCAACGTGAGATTAGTAATCCTGGCTTACTGTGCGTCGAAAAGAGATTCAGGTGAGCGTTGTTTGACGAGGACTTTCATGACGGGCTTTCTGCTCTTCTTGTTGTCAACAACCTTTGGGATTAATTGATGGGAGTAAATAATTAGACGCTGGAGCACAATGTCTGTTCTGCCAGACGGAGGCAGATGACTGTCGTCGTGGAAGGTAACTTATGGTTAGCTTTCGCCGTTGATGCGCCAAGAATGGCGCCACATTTGCGAGGCACCTTGTTGGCCGACCTTATATCTTACATACCTACCTGCACCCCGCATTTCGCAGACTCCACGATGGTCAAAGCTATCAGAGGTGAGCGTTTCCTTCAGGCATTCATCTACGACGCTAATGTATAAAGGCACCCTTGTGCGATGCGACGCGTCGATCAAAGCCATGCTGGTCGACATTGACAGCAAGAACAATAACGAATACATCATAGAAGAGCTCGACGAGGAGCACATTTTGGTCAAGGAGACTAAGGTCATCGAACTCAAGAGTCGGTTGAACAGCGTGAGTACATATACAGGCGCCACATGGACTTCACTAATGCAGCCCAGATGATGAGAGAACGGCTGAAGGAGCCCGAGAGCTCAGACTCTGAGTAGATTAAGGATCACTATCACTACGACTATACACCACGATACCACGCATGCGATAACGAATAGCGATCTCTGTCCAGACACAAACACCCTATGACATACCCTTCTTCTGGTCAGCGCCCTCTTGTGCATTAACCCACTTGGGCCTGTTGCCAGAGTACAACTCGGCGTTGATCGTGAGGTTGTCTACGATGTCAGTGTCGTCTAGTGTTCCCATCTTGACGATTCTTTTGCCTGGGAAGGTGGCACCCTCGCGCCACATAGTCGAGCCACAGTCGCCGCTACGGCACGTCAGCCCTCTATGGTCCAGGAGCGACACTGAATACATACCAGAAGTTGGAGATCATCTCATTACCACCGTCGGCTATCTTCTTGTGCTGCTTGGGAGTGCCCTTGGTGATCTTAAACTGATCCGCCTCGTAGACTCCGTTGGTACTGTAGGTGCTGCCGCCGATTTTGCGGCAATCTAGGCAGTGGCAGAGAATCTTGGCTTTGGTCAACCTTTGGTGCAAGCCCCGAAGGCAGTACACATACGCTCGCTCCAGATTCGCCCCCGGCCTCGTAGCGGACGTTTCCGCACATGCATCCTCCGGCGACCATGATTGCTAGTATAAAGGAAGAAAGGGCTGAGTTGCAATAGGTTTAATCACTCTGTATAGTGATTGATGCTAGCAATCTGAACGACGCATACTGGAGGTTTTATACTGGATCGTGTACCCCGCTATGTAGATCGGCCAGCTCATGGAAGCACCGCCTGCCGAAGGTAGCGTCTAGGCCTTGTGGGGTCAATCAGCTTAGAGGGCCACCCCCAAGCGGACAGAAGGCACAATTAATGGCACTCTGCAGTCATCAAAATGTTCCGTATGACAGCTCACCTGGCCATGCTATTGTGAGCGCTAAGATGCTATTCCAAATCATGCATGGCGCCAAACCTCAATCTCATCATCATGCTCAGTCTTCTCGGAGGGTTCATTCCAATGGCACGTCTGCCGATACCTGCCTATATGACCTGTATGACGTAACTCTCTTATTGCTCGGTCTTAACTGATATGCGGGATGTAAAGATGTGGGGCTCTTCCGCGGCGAGACTCCGCAAACACGTGAAATCGAGACAAGTTCGCGTTCACAAACGCGCTCCGCCTCTCTCTCACTTTCATCGATGCATCATGTCAAGACCTGACCACGCGCTGCGCGCTTTCGACCACCCCTAACGTCAAATCCTTACCGAGAACAGGCAGTGTTTGCCTCTACAAGAGTGAACATGGCAAACGTATGGACGCAAATGGGCTATGTGCCTCCACGCGGACAGTGCAACTTCAAGCAGTCGATCGTGTCACCAAGATGTCCCTGCCTGCGTTTTATGCTGCACCCTCTGAAGGTAGTATTAGTCCTCTTCCGTACTTCTCTCCATCCTGACATGCGTACAGTCGTCTTCTTCATACGAATGCGATGGCTGTAACCATCATGCCTCCTTCCATAGCATGGAGAACAAAGCCGAAGATGAGATACGCAAGAAATGGGACCAGGAAGCTAGGGAGCAAGCGGAGCGCGAGCAAGAAGCCGCACAGCGACCCAAAAAGCGCCCACGAGCTATTGGATACCGCAACGTGGTGGATGAGGTGATGAGCGACGCGGAACTCGGAGCGCTCTTAGAGGGTGCACCAGACGTTAGGAGCACTGCAAAGGTCAAGAGAGGCGCAGCGAAGGTGCGCCGAGGAGCGGGAACGCGAACAAAAAGCAGGATCACAGAACTTACGGAAGAAGAGGAAGAAGTTGTGGAATTGGATTGAGGATAGCAATCATCTGCAGCATCACATGGTCAGTTGGATGACTAAGTTTTCAGAGCATTATACCCCATGGCAGATACAGTGAAGCCATGTCGCTAGTTTAGAGACCATATTCTCCAAGTTGCGAGCTCCATACCAGTTCTGTGATATCAAGTGCGCAATAATCTGGGGTCGACAATGACATCTTTGTGCATGTGTTTGCCAAGCCCCGACTCGCGCGAATCCACCTGTAGCTCTTAGTTTCAACCAGCAACTCCACCGACATGATACCTTAAAGCAGAAGGCCCGACAGAGTCGCCCTTTCCCTCAGCCACTAGCGCTACAGCTCGAATACCCAGACTCTACCCCATGATGGCGACACCTACACCTTCCACAAACACGCCGCAAAAGCACCTCCCCGCGTTCTCGTCACCGGCTCCGCGCAGCGTGCCTCATACAGGCACAACCGCCGGCATAATGAACTACGACTCGCCTGCGATGCTGCATATGCTGAACGAGGGAGGGGGAGGTCTAGGAGGTGTGTCGATGGGTGGTGTAAATATGGACATCTCGTTGTCGCAATTGGGGATGCCGAGCGCAAGCGCAATGGGACGCGCAGACGAAGCGGAGAGGACCAGGAGGTTACATAATATCATCGAAACGTTGAAGCAAAAGCCCGGGAGAGTCAGCGAGCAGAATGTGCTTGCGCTTTGTACTAGGCTCGACATACACTTCCAGAAAGAGGGCAATGTTTATATCCTTGCTGTTGGCGAATCGAATCTATTGGAGGTCAGCATGCAATGGCTCTGCTTTCATACTTCTGCGGATACTAACATGCGCAGATTCTCTTCCGTGGCGACGAAGTTGAGAAGATCGAACTGCAAGGCGGCTTCGACATGCACAACGACAGCATTGGTTTCGGCGAGACAGGCACAAAGATCCTTACCCGGACCCTGCAGCCTCTTCCCGGTCAGAGCAAGATGAACGTCACCCTCGAGCGATTCGCCGAAAACCTGGAGAAGCTTGTGACGTTAGACAAGCTAGGATCGCCGCAACACGGAGGAGTTAGTTGCTACAATGCTATTGCGGGCGTGTACACAAGTTTGAGGAAGTTATTCGAGCATGAGAAGAAGATGGCGCTTGCGATTCTAGAGGAGGATACCCCAAATCGAAACCACAAGGCCGAGAGAGAAGTGCTGTGCAAGAAGAGCGGTCGACCAAGGCCAAATACTGGAAACCGCTTAGGTCTCAATCTGGAGTACTGGATGGACAGGCGACACATGATTCCAAAGTCACAAACAAAGGCACCTTCCTCAGAGAAAGGGAAGGAGAAAATGGAGATCGACTCACACGAGCAGAGCGAGTATCCAGAAGATGACGACGATATGAAGACCAATCAAGTGTACTCGCTGACTCTAGAATGCGAGGCCTCTCCGTCAGCACTATACACGCCCATTCGCGTGTCGGACAGTTGGATCAGCGACGCCATAGAGAAACCCACAAACCCGGATGACGCGACCTCTCTTGACAACATTCTTTCGAACACGCCCTCGATAGACTGGCAGGACCCTAAACCGACATTTCTGGAGCCGCCAGCATCGACGGGCGAAGACGACGCGATGAATCTCGACACTGCGCCCGGCCGATTACCAAACATCCGCTTCGTCGCCAAGTTCAATCCACCACTTGTTGTTCCCCTCACTACCTACATATCACTGTATCAGTCCGTTGGCGTGGAACCACCCCAAGATTTCTCCGCAACTACATTCGTGGGACTTGCATTACGACCGAACGAACTTGATCCTGGTATGACTGGTACAGCTGGTGCCTCGACACATGAGATCCGCAGCACCAGATTGGCATTAGTACGCGACGAGAGTGGAAGTGAGAAGGACAGGACCCATGAGCTAAGCCTGTACGTCCCTAAGATGGAGTACAGTAGACGCTTAGAAAACCTTCCTTTTGCACATCCAAAGCAATTGGTCGAGATCCTGCCAGTCCTCCGCCAATACGCTTTCACAACCTCCCTTCTCCAGAACTCGTTCCTCGAAACAGCAGAGCAGAAGTCGACCCTGCAACCCCCAACACTACCAATTACTCCAGACACCAAGTCTTCAGACCCGCCACTGCAGCTCGACGTCAACCTCTCCTACACCCCGCCTGCGCCCCGCCTCACCCTGCACATCCCCCACCCCTCCTCGACACTCCCTGTCGATTCAAAAATAACGTCCGCGCCGCGCGCTACGTCACCATCCTCTATCTCCGATCTGCTGTCGGGCCTGCTCTCCGACTCGGGACCGCCCTTGTTACATGCCCCACTCGGTGTCACGCTGGATGTGCATGCCAACGGGGAGCTAGTGGTCAGCGAGCAGAATATCACAGAAGGGAGGAAAGTGGGGGAAGAGGATCTAGATAAAGTGCAGGAGGTGGATGCGAGGATCAAGAGGGTGGGGAAGGCGTTGGAGGTCTGTGGAGACTTGGGCGTCTGGGGAGAGTGGTTGAGGAAAGAGGTTGCACGCGGTGGTAATTAGTTGGGTTTGCACCGCAAAGTCGGGGCTGCATAATATGCCAACATCAGCATCAATATCATGATTCGAAGTAGACATTCACATTGCAAGTTGAAAGAAGGAACCAAGTTTGAAGTATTCGGTCACGTTCATTCATTGTACGTCTAGATTACATTGCAACACATTGCAATCGTGGCGTCCATGCTTAACTCCCTCTGCTTCTAGCATGGATCTAGCAGGGGTTGGGGGTATGAGTTGTTGAAGAAAAGGGCGCAGTAAAACATGCATGCTGGCCGTGAAGGCGTCTAAGTGCTAGCCCAGCGTCGAGGTTTTATCCACGACACCGAGCGGAGAAAAGTAACGCCAAATCGCAGGACATTAAATACGTTTATGGCTTTGAGATGGGGACGACCATCTCAACCTCAACCTCTTCCGCCTTGGCGGCGAACTTGGCGATGTCGGCACCCTCGACCTTGCCGAACATTGTCTCGGCGACAATGGCGGTGATCTGGTATGGGTCGCCGTTGGAGGCGGGGCGGCGGTCCTCGAAGTAACCCTTGTTCTCGGCGGCGACGGAGCGGGGGATACGGACGGAAGAACCGCGGTTGGCGACGCCCCAGGAGAACTTGTCATACGACGAGGTCTCGTGCCTGCCGGTCATGCGGAGCTGGTTGTCCTCGCCGTAGACGGACATGTGCTCCTTCTGGCGGGAAGCGAGCTTCTCCATGGCCGCCTCGATGGCCTTCATGCCACCCTCCTCACGGGTCTCCTTGGTGGAGACGTTGGTGTGAAGACCAGCACCGTTCCAGTCACCGGGAATGGGCTTGGGGGCGAAGGTAACCTTGGCGCCGAACTCCTCGGCAACGCGGTGCAGGATGAAGCGGGACATCCAGAGCTGGTCACCCATCTCGATGTCGTCGCAGGGACCGACCTGGTACTCCCACTGGGCGGGCATGACCTCGGCGTTGGTACCGGAGATGTTGATGTCGGCGTATAGGCAGGCCTTGTAGTGGGCCTCGACGATGTCACGGCAGAAGACCTTGCCGGTTCCTACACCGCAGTAGTACGGTCCCTGAGGGGCAGGGAAACCGTTCTTGGGCCAGCCGTAGGGCCAGCCAAACTCATCGAGGAGAGTGTACTCCTGCTCAAGACCGAACCAGATGTCGTGCTGCTTGTGCGCCTTGAAGATGATGGCGGCGTCGTGGCGGAAGTTGTAGGAGTTGGGGCTGCCATCCGACATGTATGTCTCGCACATAACGAGGACATTGTCACCGAGACGGAAGGGATCGGGGTAGTACGCAACAGGGCGGAGGTAGACATCCGAGTTGTTGCCGGGCGCCTGGCCCGTCGACGAACCGTCAAAGTTCCATTCTGGGAGGTCGTCGAGGCTCTCAACCTTCTTGCTGAGCGTCTGGAAAACTGGTTAGCAAGTGCCGATCAAATCGGGTAGTGGTGGGAATTGCGTCAGCCACAGCGCCAGGATAGCGGGGCTATCGTGGGGCAGGTGGGCTGGCGGGCAGAAGTGGCCGATAAGGAACACCAAACAGAAAGGAGCGATCGCTGCACAGTGAGGTCACACAAGACGACCGCCCTGCTCACGATGTCCTGCGAGGGGCGCAGCGGTGCTCTGCGACACTTGAAAACACTGGTTGCAGGGGTAAAACCCCGAAAGGGTTTTGCGCCAATACTCCCAACAATGCTCACAAATGCCGCACAACCGACCACTCTTTGTGTTAAGGAAAATTCGAAAAGTGCTCACCTTTGACTTTGAGCGGAGACCGTTGGAGCCGTCAATCCAGACGTATTCGGCGATAACCTTGGTCTTCTGGGGAAGGCTGAGGTATTTGGCAAGCTGTAATTAACGCATTAGCCTAGTTCGTCGGAGCACGCGACGCAGGTGTGACTTACAGTTGCCGTGTTGGAGATGATCGATGAGCTAGCCTGCGAGTTTTGTGAGCAACTTTGCTCTCGAGATCCCAATTGACTTGGGACTACAGGCCGTGACTTACCATGACCGCGGTTGTGATGTGTATTAGAGGGAGAAAGGTAGGGTGGAGAGAAGAGTGCTTGTGTCTGGCGACAGGACCTCGTACTTAGGAGGGGAAGATATAAGAGTGGTGGAGAGTAGATATGTGAATGAGGGGGAGATAAGGGCTACCGGGGGCCTACACTTATAAGTAGCAGGCAAACAAATGTCTCGGTCTGTGGCGGCGGGTAGTAGGGTAAGAGGAATAGTTAGGTTGGCCCTGGCCAAGCACAGGCGTCGCCGAAACGTTTCCGTGGGATGAAGCATCAACCTGCACAGCAATCAGAGCGTCCTAAACTGGGGGTTTCCGACGGCCGCGCGCCCTGGATGAATGCTAGGATAGTGCTAGTCACTGTCCACTTCTCTAGCGCGGCGTGCTGCAGTTGAACCACACATCTGGGGACGCTCGCCCAATCTCCGAGCAGCTATTTCGCGCTGATGTTATTCACACACACATGCGTTGTCTGATCTCAGCGTGGCTCCTCGTGTTCGCGTCCATGTTACACAGCGCAGCTGTGCAGTGTCCGCCGTACCCAGCCGGGTTCCGCTCAGCCTCAACCCCTTCCGACTTTGACCGCTTTGTTCCTGGAAAGCGTCGCGAGCCATCGTCACCGCGCAGCTAAATTTACCCATACAGCCGAGCAATTGGTCATGGAACGTAAAGCTGGCCCGAAGCATGCCCAAAGCAGTGCAATGCCTCGCTGCACACGCCGCTGTATGTCTGTGCACGACATCGTGACTGACCGTTTGTGACTGCTCGCCCTTATCAGCAGGCGTTGGCGACGCCGCCGCATCAGTCTGCCGCTTTGCGACGGCTAGTCCCTGTCTCTGCGCGTGAAAAGCCCGCGAGCAAAGCTGTGCTGTGGACGCTCGTGCAGTAGGATTCCGCGCCCTGCATCGAGTGCAGTTGATGTTCTCGACAGCCGCTAGAACGGGCCCTGACGCAGGTCGTGGCGATAAGGATAGGGCCAGCCAATCGTGAGTGTCCCAGCAACTCGGCCGCCGTCATGCGAGCATCACTCTTCACGTTTGCATCGTTTCTTGTAGTCAAGTAAACGCTTCCCGATGTCTTAAACAGGCGATGCACAGCGCGCCGTCTATCGTGAACTCTGGTAGCAAGGAACAACTGCCGAGTTGAGGTTGCTCTTATCTTCAAACCTTCGTGAATCCGTGCCTGTCTTGGCCGTCTCCACGGCAATCAGCTGCAGCCATGGATTTCTACCTTCTAGACGCCAAAATAGGATCATGTCTGACCAACTGCCCCACAGTCTCCATGCGAGCCCGCATGCATTGATAGAGCCCGTCTATCACGACTCCACGCATGCAACTATCTCTGCTTGACCGCGGCGAATGGCAGCGCAACGATATGTCAAATCATGTCTAACCGCAAGCCCCTGTGTGCGCCTTTTCCAACTTTCCGTGTCTCCGAACCCCACGATTTGATAGCCGTGTCCAAGATGTGAGGTTGGAACAGCCATCATGCGATGTCGGCACGAGCATTATATCGCGCATCTTTCCGCCGGACGTTGGGCGTTGGTGGGCATTTGTGGGGTGCGGGCGTGCCGCAGATCAGCCAAGAACAGGCGGCCCCTGTAAGCCACAGATAGCACCCCGATTGTTACTCGATGCGAACACGTAACGGGCGCCGGCCGGGGCTCGTTTTTGACGACGCCTGTGTGCTACCAACGCAGCGCTTTCCACATTGCCTCACTGAACGAGCACAAAACTCACCAAATTGATCCAGAGGCTGGACAGGAAGCGGGAGACGCAGCTACGTCCAGGATTGACATTGAAAAGCGGACCCGTGCACGTGGCGCTGTCAAGGGCCGTATTGGGCATGGCCAGACGTTCGTCCCATGGGGGCTCAACGAGGCTTTATATATCTTTCAATTCCAAGGCTCGCTGATCAAAGGACTTCATCTCTATGGTTGAGGCGAAGTCGCGCGACTCAGCGTTGAGCTGAACTACCCTTATCTTTCCGATACGTGCAGCGTGCGCTGTCGGGAACCAGCGCCGCTGTGAGCGACCCAGTCCGAGTCCGTGTAGCGATCTGACGCAGGGCAGACGCTGTACGTGTTGCTCGCTGGGAAGCTGCGCATACTTATGTGCCATGCAACCAGAAGCTGGAGCATCTCTCGTTGACGGAGGCTCGACTTCAGCACAGACGAGCAGTGTCCATGAGCCGCCGCTCTCCCTGCACGGCCATTTCCCCTCTAACCCGGAGTGAATGATGACGTGCAGAGCCGCTCAACCTTGGTGGGGTGGCAACTGCGGTTGTACCTGCAGATGTGCATGGGCTGTGCTTGACAGCAAGCTCGGGAAGAGACGGATCGATTTGGGCCGATTCGCTCCGCGTCTGAGCGTCGGGACAGTGCCAGCAGCATGGAAAATCTGGGGTAGACTAATGGAGATGCTGGGGTTGTTGGGGTTGGTGCTTGTTCCCTTCTGGTGGCAGGCGCTTTGCTCGGATTAGTCATGCTCGTTGGCAATTGATACCTACCAGCCTATCAACCCTCGTCCAGACAGCGTAGAGGCAAAGATATTGACCTCGTTCCACCTATGGGAGAAGACTCGCAATACCTCTCGTCATCCAATCGAAGGAAAAGTGGCAGAGCTTCACCGCCAAGAACCCTTGCGATGATAGAGACGATAAACGCCATCTGCGATGCTTCCACGGCGTCTCATGGGACAGAGTACTTAGTCGTTCCGATGGAAGTGCAGTCGTGTACTTACCTAGGTAGCCACACGTTGGCCAGTCCACGTGACGTATATCGTTTGGCCCAAACTTTCGCTGTACGACTGCCATCACGGCATCTCAGTCGTTGTTTGTCTCCATACAACGCACTCATCTCCATAATCTCGTCTGATAAGTAGGCGTTGTCCTAACGTTGGGTGCGTCATTTCGCACCAGGACAGCACTTTTGTTTTATCCCGGGACGATAGACCAGGTTCATGCGGCTCTTTTCCCTGTGCGCAGAGGATATTGTACGTATTCGTCCCTGACGCACGCAATGAGGACTGAAATCCGGAATATCGACAATCATTTCGATGACTTGGTCGGCCTTTGCACGGTCTGTTCCGCCCCGTCGCGGATTCGGGTGAGTTGCCGTGATGAAAACACTGTACTACGTGGAGCGAACAATCGGATTGTGCCCGGAGGCAAGCTGTCCAGACGTGGATCAACATAACAGAGTGGTCTGCGAACAAAGGTTGACATAATGACAGTTCCATCACACGACAAGGCCCTTATGTGTGACCCATAAGAGACAATCCGTTTGAATGATCATATAGGCCCTGATGACAGTCAGTCACTGTCCAGATTCAGTGAAGTGGGACTGTACTCACCTTGCTCGAACTCAACGTCAGGCTCTCAACGACAGGCTTCGTGCAAGAAAATCTACGAGCGACGCCGCAAGATGTGCCATACAGAGCACGTGTATCATCGAACCTGTTCGCATTGGGGTCGTGAACGCATCGTTGGAGAGCCTTGTTGCCGTGCTCGCATTATCGATAATCGCTACACACCTTGCCTCTACGCGGAGAATATCGGTTCGGTCAATAGCAGTGGTTCATGCCCACATTGCACTTACCAGCTTGCCAAAGGAGAAGACTGGAGGCCATTTGCGCGAGTTAGCAATGCGGGCTGGGCGAAAGTGGAAGAACGATTGCAACAGAGGGGACTCAGAATGTCCCAGCCAGCTCTTCAGATCGCTAACATGTCGGCTGCATCTCGTACAGATACGGCGTGCTTGAGGTTGCGGTAAGTCGACGAAGTTGATACGACTGCTGGACGTATGGTCAGCCCTCGCAACGTCAACACGAGGGCTCATGATGGTAGGAGACAGGTCTCGGGATTCCAACTCGCTCTCATCCTCATAGATGCCACCTACATCACCAAGTCAGCCGGAACGTCCGACGGCGTTTCTGTACGCATACCTCTGCGAAAAGATGAGCGCGCACGGACCCAGAGATGACTGTTTGGCCTGACACTCGCGATTCCACAGAACGAAAAAGGAGCGAAAGGGAGGAGCAATCCAAACGAAGCATGGCCAATTGTCCATTGTAAGCAGTATTCAAGATCAAGTGAGGTCGCAGATGATGAGGGGACAAGAAGACCGTCGTGGGCCACATGGCACATGGCAAGCAGGCAACCAATCAGAAACATTGATGGGGTAATGGCAACCGCCTCCTCCTTTGCAATCCTTGTCAACAGCGAACACAAACATCGGCGGGGTCTGACAACCTGTCTAAGATTAAATGTCTTTACAATCTTGTTGTCAAGTTTTAACAGTCTTTGTTCTTTGGCAGAGGAATCAAAGGCGATTCTTGTCAGCTGTGAGATCGACCCGAATAACATTTACCAAACAAGCTGCAGTCGCTCATCTTGGTTGCACAATTTTCTTATAGACTCTTGAGTGTTGTTGCAAAGTGTCGTAGCATCACGGAGAATATCTGAGCAGCACCATAGGCTTGCCTGTCCTTTGCTCGTTATGGTCAATCACATGAGGCTGAACAAAGCCTAGTCACGAGTGAAGAGGCTGCTGTGTGATGCTGGAACCCGATATTGAAGTGTTCCGGGGTTTGGAGTGCGAATGATTGGCATTCGCTGGAAACTCAGGTACATACCCCTGAGCCATGACTAGGTATTGCTGAACTAGCCAACATAGAAACAAAAATTTCGCGACTATGCGCAGCGCTGTACAGGTTGGAAGACATCACTGATCTGTAGATAGTGGTCTCTAGCATAAGAACAAGGACTCCACGCACTGGGGGACAAAACGGGTAAAGTTCTTTGAACGTGATAGCACAGTGGTGCTTTTGATGTCGCAGGGCACGGCCAAGGCGGCCAACAAGCCCCGTAGTGCGACACAGCGACCCCAACATGTTCAAGCTGAGCGCCGAGGATCGACGTCGACAGTCAGCCGTGTTATGCTAAAATGTGTGGCGAGCCAAACTTCATCCAGTGGCCTGGCTCAGGAGGACTAGCAGACTACGATACAGCATGTGTCGTGACGGAAAGCAGCGGATAAGAGGACAAACACAACTTATTCCACGTGAACCGCACAGGGCAGCTACCTAACGCCTGAATCAGGGATGGCTGATTGCAGCTAAAGTGTGAAGTGAGTGCCGCGAAACGCAGCCCATCCACGATGTTGCGACAGTACGACACGTCGTACCAGGAACACCAGATAATCTTCCGAGTCGTGTAGAAGCCCGTGTCTGCAGGCCGCTTGACATTTATTCTCCGTGCTTGCGGCTCGGCGAATGAACGTGCATCGGCAGTGTTGGCTCTGAAAGCATCTCTCGGCCGCAAACCACCGATTGAGGTACTCTCAATCTCGTCGCTCGTCGCTCAACCGTCTTTCGAGCTCAGGTCGTCGGTCGGTCGTCCCACACTTCGCGTTTCTCTTTCCTTACACTCATTTACCCAATACACCCAACAACAGCAATGAACAGCTAATCGTGCTCTCGTTCCTTCTCTAGCCTGCCTCACGACATCTCTAGCGCTCCCGTCTTGCTTTTTATTCGCCAGGCGCCGCGCTGCAGGGCACACTTTAGCTCGCGGTGCGAGAGCCAACCGAAGCACTCAGCTGCACATCATCTCATTAGGTCGCGTCCATGTTTAGCGACCGTCGAGCGAGCGAGGAAGGGATACGGCCTGCCATGGCGCACTCACCCACCATGCATCGCCACACCTCCTCAGAGACGGGCGACATGATGTCGAGGCGCTCCAGCATCGCGCCGAGCTTCTCGAGCGATCGCCCCTCAGTCACAAGCTCGGTGACTTTTCAGATGCCCGCCACGGTGCGACCGCCGCCGGCGTACATCGCGGCCTCGGTCGCGTCGCAGATGGTCACGGACAACCACAACGCGCAACGGCGCCTGACCGACTCCTCGCACGAAGAGCTGGAGAACGCCATATTCTCGGAACAAGCCCTCTCGCTGCTCAATGGCTTCCTCGACCACCTTTTGTTCGCGTTCCTGTCCACCGCGCGCTCGCCCTCCCTTACCGCTATTCGCCCTGCTATCTCCGAGGTACTGAAGCCCAGGCTGGCTCGTGAAGCAGCAGAAGCCGCCGACGAGGAATTGCAGGGACTGCTGTCAGCAGAGGACGACGAGGAGTTCTCCCCCATCGACGGTGGAAGGGCAATTGATCGCTGGGATGTCGAGAAGGTGTGGAAGCGCACGCGTCTACGGATAATGGTGTACACGCGCTTGGGCGAAATGGAAGACGAGGACGAGGAGAGATATGTTCAGCAGGAACGTGGGTTGAGCATGGACGACGATGACGACGAAGAAGCCGGTCTTGTGTCATGGGCTTCTGCCATCTTCCTCACATCCGTTGTGGAGTACGTTGCCGAGCAGACTCTGCTCGTTGCTGGGCAAGCAGCATACGCCCGCATGGCATCCAGGGTCAGGAAGTCTTCAGACGAGACCGACGAAGGCGCATTTGAGCGCTTGGTTATCGAAGAGCCGGATGTCGAGAAAATTGCTCTGAATTCGGCTCTTGGTCGGCTCTGGAGGACTTGGAGGAAACGTGTGCGGTCATCCCTCCAACCGCTCTCCCCTGGCCGTGCCATCCGGCCCAACTCGAGCTTCGCAAGTCTCCAGAGACGCGGAAGCAGAAGCAGCCAAGCTACAGCTGACGAGTCATATCGCATTGAACACACTCCCGCTTCCGAACGTGCTCCTTCCGAGACAGATATTGCAGCCAACATACCGATACCAGCTGGAGCCAGGGACGTAGATGAGATTGAGGTGCCAGGCTTGGCTCGCACCTTCGAGGATACTGGGAGCAGTGGCAGACAGACGCCAGTATCTCGGCCTCAACGACCCAGCAGTGTTATCATGCTTGCCCCTGTAGAGAGCTTTCGACGAAGACATGACAAAGACCGTCCAACATCGATGCCTGGTCCAGAAGCATTGCCCTTTGCTGTGCCTCCACGGTCCCACATGAACGACGACGATGGTCAACTTGACACACCATTCGAAACGCCTATGACAAGCAATTTCAATCGCGCCTCCTGGATTGGTGACGGGGACGCCAACGGCGAAGGATCTGCACGCGATGATGTGCTATCTCCTACAACAGCTACTTCTTCGAAGACTGATCGCCATGTGATCAAGACCACGAGCCTGGAGAAGAACGATGCGGAGCCTGACACACCAAAGTCAACGACCTCAACAACGTCGGATAACTATGATGTCGAGCCGAAGGTCTTACAGTCTAAGAGGCTGTCGATCGGAAGAAGCGGTCCTCCGGGCATCGTGCGCACGTTCTCCACAAGAAGCAACAGCCTCAGATCGCCACGGGAGACGCCAGTTGCAACACCAATAGCTTCACCACATTTCTCAGGATCTTACCTCGATGACCGTTCCGATGATGAAGATGCAGAAGGCCCCCAAGCTATTGGTGTGGCAAGGACGTCAGATGTGCCAATTCAATCATCTCCAACACCCTCTGTCGAGCGATGGTCTGATCGAGTCAAGGTCGCGCCTACCCAGGGTGGCTATGTGGAAGTTCAACCTACGCCTCGATCCGTTCCGTCACGCAACACACCTACACCCGATTCGAAGCCCATCGTACCTGAGCGATCTATTGCACGCAACGATTCGCTCAAACGTGCTGGTCCCAACATTGGCAGTGGCGCCGTTGTCGTAGGTGCTGCAAGCCCAGCACGTAGACGAGATTCAACCCCGCCAACATCAGGACGTACATCTTTGCCATCTTTGCAAGAAGTCGAATACTACAGGCCTCAGCAGATGGCTTCTAGTGAGCAAGCAGCCCGTCGTAATAGCCCTACCATCAGCAACCACAGTCGCACGCAGAGTCCGCATGTAGCAACAGCTGAACGGCAGGTTCCTCGTCGCTCTACGGAAGAGTCCTTGCGCTCACAGTCCGCGGCAGGCGGTTCAATCAAGGAAAGACCAGGTATCACGCGTGTAGCGTCGACCTCATCTAAGAAGTCAGGAAGCATTTCCCGCTTGCCAACCAGTCGTGACTCTGACCCTCAGCTGACTCGCAATCTTGGTGGTCGTTTGTCTGAAGAAGACCGAGAGCGTCAATTTGAAGAGCTGGTGCAGTGCAATGAGACCGTCAAATACACGTTGACACCTGAGAATATGCGCGCGCTGGATGTAAGTAACAGTCTGCTTTCTGTTGTAACTACACTGACGTTCAAGGGGGCACCCGTTGCTCGAAAACCAGAGCCTGAACGCTCCAACGCTGCTTCAGTGACAGTATACCCTCGAGTCGATGCCAACAAGGACAATTCATTCGGTGTAAGTGCGCTACCCGCCAAGCCCACCATGAAAGGAAGAGGCCCTGGAGTCTCGGGTCACAAGCCTTCACCAAGCAGGAAAGTGATCACGCGACCACTTGCCAGAGAACCGCGTATAGAGTCCGAGTCCATGCGGGATTTCGCTGACTTCATCCGCTCAACTGGTCCGTCACCCGGCCAAGAGAAGACTCCGCAGCCGTTTGTCAATATCAGTGGCAATGGTCTGAAGTCACCAAACGGCTCTTCCACTTCCGTTGGGCGCAAGTCATCAACCAAGCGGTCGAGTTCTCGCAGTATTGAAGGACCGGGGGCCAGACCTCGTGTCAACATGGAACCTCGCAGCCCAGCTGGCCTCAGCATCGGCAACGATGATCTGATTGACTTCATTCGTCAAGGACCACCGAATGGACCAGAGGGTCAGCCCCGTATTCCGCGATCAGTTGCCCCATTCCGCACGACAGTTGACTCGGATCAATTCGAGACTATGTTGGGTGATCACGGCACTGTTGAATCAGCGTACGACTCCAAGACCTCCACCCTCAATTCGCAACATTCTATTCAGACTTCTAATTCCAGAACCGGACTCATTGCACCACCAGGTGTAGTGCAACCGGCTTATTCGAATGTCCCGCAGAACTTGTCCGGTAGCATGACTTCAAGCTCAGAGCCAGTCATTACCCGTACCCGTAGACGCGTTAAAGACCCTTACGCAATTGATGTCTCGGATGAGGAAGATGATGAGGATGATGATCAGTTGACCGCTCTTCCTCCCTCGACGAAGCCATCCGCGCCGAGACAAGAAAGTCTCATGGACTTTTTGAACGAGATGGAACCACCTTCTGGACCATCAGCTGGGAAGCCACAACCGTTTATGCTTAGCCAGGAGACGATTGCTGCGGCTAAGGCGCGTGCGAATGGCTCCAACACTTCGCTCGCTTCTTCTGCAACTCCAACACGCAGTAACGGCGCCAGCAATGGGGCAGCTCCACCTCTAGGATTCCCTTCTTCGAGCGGTGCAGAGACTACGCGCGCTCACAAGCCAAAAGTCGCGGCGCGTACACCTGCCGTGGGCGATGTGCGTGCTAACCGTACCGCGACCAGTGATCTTGCTGATTTCCTACGCAACTCTGGACCACCTGAGCTTGTGGGTCCTCCTCCTGGCGCCCGCAAAGAGGAGGAAAAGAAGAAGAGCAGCAACATGAAATTCTGGAGGAAAAACAGAGAAAAGACGTACGGTGATTTGCCATGATTCCATGCCCTTTCCCTTATTTTTTGACATTTCAAGGTCTGTTGATTATTAGGCGCACTTGGATCAGACACCATCTATTCTGACTGGAGCACCTTGGAAAGAGCGCCCAGCGGCTTGAGCTACTAAGCCATTTACGACTCGGATTTGATCACAGGTGTTTTTATCTTCTCGCTTCCTTCTATGATATCCGATAAAACCCATTGTAATGTTACTGTATCTTTTCATGTAGCATATATATCTACTTCACTATAACCTAGAGATGCAGGGACGTTCAAAGTCACTACCGATGAATCCCGCTCAGAAGTGACGACAGTGATCGGATATGTTAAGAATCATGAGGTATATAAGAGTACGCCGAGCTGCGCTGGTACTACCGGTCCAAGAGCTGATGTGAGGTACGAGACGAATATGGACTATTTAGAAGCAAATGAGAGGATACATGTGCCGTATATAAATCAGATTGCGAACGAGATAGTTGCAAAGTTAAACCTGGTCACTTCTTCTCATAGATTGATAAGCTGATCAAGATGTTCAAGCTTTCCACCAAAACCAACGAAACTCGATATTCCACCGATCAATTCTCCAGCTCTCGTTTTGACGAATCCATACATCTTCGACAGTCTACAAATACGCGCCCATTTGCCGGTGGCTCGATGCAATGATATTTTGGGACTAGCGTAATCGTCCCCATTTGGCTGCATTTAATGTCTGCCGACGAGCGGCCGAACAAGATGCACGAACAAGTAAGGAAGTTGTTCGTTAGCATTGCTTGTAGATATTCCGTGTGAACAAGTGATGTGAGCGAATCACAAGAAGTTCTCTGTGGCGCGCTCAATTCTTTAATGTCCTTCGGCCGCGCGTCGGGATGCAGTACATATTTTACCCGAACCCCATCTTTCCCCATCTTTAGACTATCTTGGGTACATCCACCATCAATCCAAGCCGCTCCTGAAGATGTCTTACCACTTCAACAAATCCCACGAAAGCATCGAGAGCTTGGTCTCAGAGATTTGCACACACAATATAGAGCATTCGTCTGATCCATCGGTACGCGATTCCAAAGCCAACACAGCGCATTCGCCCGCATCGTCGGAGGAGACACCTGTCATCGTTTTCTTTCCCAGATCAACGCGCGATGTTTCTACCATCCTGAAGGCGTGTAATGAGCGCCGTGTTGCGGTGACTTCGTTCTCCGGCGGCACAAGCATCGGCGGTGCGTTGACATCAACAAGGGGCGGGGTATGCATCAGTTTTGAGCATATGAAAGAGATTGTCGCCTTACATGAAGACGATTTCGATGTTGTGGTTCAGCCCGGTCTCGGTTGGGTCGAGCTGAACGAGCAGTTGAAGGACAAAGGTCTTTTCTTTCCCGTAGATCCAGCGCCAGGTGCCAGCATAGGTGGGATGATCGCAATGAGCTGTTCAGGCACAAATGCTTACCGATATGGCACCATGAAAGAGTGGGTCATCTCGTTGACCGCGGTGCTTGCCGATGGGACAGTCGTCAGGACGCATCGCCGACCAAGAAAGACGTCTGCTGGTTACGATCTGACGCACTTAGTTATTGGGTCAGAGGGTACGCTTGCGCTGGTCACGGAGGCTACTCTCAAGCTCGCCCTGCTGCCACAGAATCTACACGTTGGTCTCGTCACCTTCAACACGTTCCAGCAAGGTGTCGATATTGTCGTCGCCCTGCAGAGAGCAGGACACCAACTCGAAGCGTTGGAGCTTGGCGATGGGCCCCAGGTCCACGCAATCAACTACTCAAAACTTGCGCGTGTAAACTTGGCCGAGAAACCAACTCTCTGGCTCAAGTTTGCGAGCCCATCGCTCCAACTCGTCGAAGACCAGATCGGCACCGTCAAAGCGCTTTGCGAGGAGCAAAAAGCTCTGACGTACGAAATCACGTCCGATAAGGCGCGTATTGACGTGCTCTGGGAGGCACGGAAATGCATGGCTCGAGCACTTATTGCGATGAAGAAAGAACCTACAGATCTGTTCCTGTCCACAGACTGCGCGGTGCCAATCTCAAATCTCGCCGCGCTGGTTGAAGGCACCCAGAAGCTCATTCAGGAAGCGAACAGAGCCAACCAGACGTCTTCTTCCGAGGCTAGGCAGCCCTGGTTCTGCGCCAATGTTGGACATGTGGGCGATGGAAATGTGCACTCGGCAATCGTTTGCCCGGTAGCTGATAAACCGAGAGTGGATGAGGTGCTGGCGAAGGTGGCACGGCTTGCGTTGAGTTTAGATGGTACGGTTACGGGTGAACATGGCGTGGGACTAAAGCAGAGAGATGCACTTCTTGAGGAAGTCGGCACTGAGGGGGTTCGTGTGATGAGGGGGGTTAAGAGTGCGCTCGATCCACGAGGAATACTCAATCCCGACAAGGTGTTCAGGTTGGAGGGTGATGATGGTCTCACGAAGGGAGCACGTCTATGAATGAATAGAATACACGAACGCGATTCTTCTTCATCACCTCGAGCTGCTTCAACATTCAGCCGGTTTTGGTAACCCTAGGACGAGTGGAATCAGGCTTCACGAGGCTACATGCCTCTTGCGGCAAAGTTCATGTGCATGGCTGCACCTGCACGTCATATCGAAACTGATTCATATTAGCCAACACATATGTGCGTGACCGAAACGTCCAGCTACGTTATGATTCAGATGATTGTGATAGTTGTGGTCACAAAGCCCGTGCTGTGCCAACCTGTGTCTTCGTTTGACACATCAAATATCTCAAAGGCTCCCACGCGTTTGTATACAGACTCATCCTCTCGAATCCGCTCCAAGATAAGACCATGAGGACGGAGGAAGGTCTCTCTTCTTTTGGACAAACGTGCCATTTTAACGTCCAATGTCTTATCAGTCGTGCAGTCCAGACACCAGACAGCCTTTGAACGATGATAGTCGACTCGACCCGCATCGAACGCAAATCGAACGGCGAGAGACTTGTCGCCCTTGAGCACAAAGAACCTTTGCCCTTTCTTGACAAACTCACTCGTCATGCACTGCTTGAGTGGTCCAGAAACAACCAGGTGTGCAGATGAGATCTCGCCATATGGGTTACTGCTCGCGAGCTGTGCGTGGACGTCGATGACGTCCAGTTTGAGAAAGCGACGGCGCGCGGGATCAAAAGTCCATACCGCATGAGGAGATGCCCAGCTCCAGGTTGGAGCAATGTAGGTAGACCCTAGTGGCTGGCAAGGCCATACGTACCACAGCAGACCTGCTGCTATGTCTTTTCTCCACAGTCCTGCCACGTATTGATCGTCTGTCTTCGATGCTAGTAGGCATGCAATTCCAGACAAAGCAGGCAGGCGATCACTGTTATACGTGAGCTTCAGGTGAGAGTACGACTGTACAATCTGAAGCCATCGATCGTAGTATCTCATGTTCGGTCTGTCAGCGGCATACACCAGTCTTTTCCGTCCTGGATCGTAACCGAAAAGCGAGTCGCTCCCAGGGCCACGTTCCATGACAGTGCATGTATCGCATTCAAACGCCATAGCAGTCGTAGTGAAGTGGAGTACGCGCGGCGAAAGTAGCAGCTCCTGGAACGCCCATCCTCTTGTCTTTAGATGGTCTGTCCTAGACTCGTGGTCGATCATCGAACGGACAGAGACATACGTTCCTGGATGATCCATCAGAGGGCACAGAAAACAGTGAGGTGGTACGTCCTTGTCACGGACGTTTTGAAAACCTTGTAGGTTGTTTTCGTAGGACATTGCGGATATCGTCAGGTAGCTTCTTGAGTATACATCAGACATTCGCTCGCACTCGCTCGCCCAATCGTCCTTGCTATCTTGAACGATACAGAGGGAGTCGATCCATATGTACCTTTAGAGGTCAGCTCAGCTACTTCATAGAATCACTGATTCAGACACTCACTGTTTCCCCAGAGCTTTGGTCACAGATATAGCGTCTTGATACAGCTTTGGAAGACGACCGATATGAACACCACGTCGCAAAGTATCAATGTTGCTCTTGTCACATTTGGAAAGCCTATAGAGAGCTTGATGATCAACACTGGCCATCACAATAACGGACAATACTCACAAGTCGAGGCTATTAGGTGGCATATCCCCCCAGCAGTGGCTGAGTGCTATGTATTCTGCTTGCGAGCAATCACGTCCTTCAACCAAGCGTATGAATCCATTCATGTCGATCAAGGAGACATCTACAACACGAGTTGGAAGTACAGCTTTAGTCTGAAGTCTGCACGAAGAGTGTTCAGTCTCACAAGCGTGTACCCACCTCTGCATTTTGCTGATCGCAACACTTGATAGGCGATCGCGCTCGGCAGCACTCATCTTGATCTCGCACTGCGGTATCTGATCTGGAGCATCTGCACCGTATCAGAGTGAATCATAGTACGCACGGAGAGGTCTACCTGTAGTGAGGTACAAGTAGTATACTGCTGGATGTCTGTCTTGTGGGACATACATATGCAGACATACTACCTTCTCCTTCCACGTCTCTACTATCTTCAAACGTATGGGCCCATTTTGATCTTGATAGAAAGCATGCCCTGGCTTCGACTTGGGATGGAGAGCAGCCACAGTGAAGAAGGTGCAGAGACGGCAACCGAGATTTGCAGCCCTTGCAAGGCTTTTCCAATTCTCGTGATGCAGCTGGCCGTCTGGTGATGCTTCCGAAACACGCATGCACTGGTAAGTAAGCGCAGCGCATTTCCTGCAGAGTACACTGGAGCTCGCGTCGTCGATCTTCTCTTCCTGCAGGTTTTTCACAGATTCTTTAGGCTCTGCTTCCGGCGCTTCGCCCCGAGAACCCAGTATGTGCGACTCGGGCGTGAGACCAGTCATAGTCAGAGACTGAGGCAGAGCTGCGTGCTAATAAGTGGACTGCGCCCGCGTCATGCACGCTGCTCTACTACTATCGACAGATAACAGATGAAAATCTGCAATCTGACGAATACAGGGTTCGCTAACTGAAAGAGGGCTAAAACGGGCGCAAGAGAGATGGCAGGATACCAGCTGTTCCGCGCCGTGCTGACTTTGACCCGAAATCTTGAATGGCAATGAGGCCTTTCAAGTTTCAATCTGCATCTGGTGATATCAGGACCCCGCTCCGCCCGTCAGCGGCTACGCTAGCCCCAGATAGTCTTTTCAACCACCCATCATTCAGCCACGGCTTCAATCTGAAACACCAAAAAAATCGAATCAACGTCCACCATCGTTTGATCTCCAAACTACTCGTTCCTTCCCCTGCACACAACATTTGACCGTTCACGAACCTAGTGCATTGAATGGGTCCAAGCACTGTCTGCACCGGTGTCGAGAACATGGCTTAGCTTTCGGTGCGCAGGACTTGCTGCGCCCATTGCCGGTGGAGCTCTTTAACGAGGCGGATCGATAGACTGCTCGGTAATTTCTGGAGAAATGCTGGTGTGCAGTGCTGTACGATAATTCGGCTGTAGAAGCAAAGGCTGTCGCAAAGGCTGAATGGCCGGACGCCTTACAGTGCGTCTGACTACTGCATTCATGTACAGCCTCCCGCCCCTCATTGTGCACCCACACCACTTGCACGCGCGATACGAACCCGAGTGGAAAAACTCCTCGCGAACGTGTCCTCGCTATTGAATGAACCGGAAAATGTCACATTTCGGTCTCATTGCTCCAGCCTTACCGTGCGTGTGACGGCCGGAGGGTATGTGCCCATCACTAGTTTGCGATCAGGATCCATGGCGGAGATTAGAAGGAGCTGTCACGACACTTCCGTCGATATTGCTCGTGCGCTCGGAAGGAAGCGAACGTTGCGGCGGTGCACTAAGAAGAAAATGGGCCGTGATTGAAGTATTGATTGAGATTTCATTACTCGTACTGTCCGTGAAAACGGTGTGTGTGAAGATGTGTGGCTAACTGCTAATGGGATATTGAGGCGCGCCGGCCTATATAAAATATTGAACATTGATTTCCTCCGAACGCCGTGCAATGCTATGCGTGCTATGCAAATGCTCAAATGGAACGCCATGTATCATGCGATGATATGTTGAATGGTTGACCGGCAATCTTTCGGCATATCATATCCAGGTAAATCTTTTACATCTCTTACTGAGATATGATGGAAAGAACTCGAGGGTCTAGGCGAATGATATGGGAAAGCGAATGCTATTTTAGTAGGCCGCTTGGCGACTTGTGTAGGCGCCGGCAAACATCCTGTTGAAGAAGCCACCAGAAGTCTTAGCCTTCTTTGTCGGCTTGTTGTCTTCATAGATGGGAAGCGAGTGCTGCAGCCTGGTCTGGGTGACAGGTGCATTGATATGTACAATGGTTGCGCCCTGGTCGTAGCTGTGCATGATGGCCTCGGATGGCTCATCGAGGAAGCTAGATGGCGAAGATGTGGTTGAGACGGAGGTGCTGCGGGTGGGAGGCGACAGAGAAGGAGTGCGGGAAGCCGAGCGAGACGAGGGGTGGTAGGCGTACTTCTGCTGGCGGGGGGCATATGAAGCGTACTCGTACGAGGAGAGGTTCTCAGTGGTGAGCTGGTATTGCTGCTGGCGGGCGTACTCCTTCTCCTGCTCAATGAGCCTGGCCTTCTCAGCTTGACGGGATTGCCAAACACGGATGGGGGCGAGGAAGGGCTCGAGGTGGTAGTAAAGGTCCTCGGGGTTGATGCGAAGGTCCCAGTCGAGAAGGAAGAGGAGCTGCTTCTCCATAAGGTTGACCTCAGTGATGGAGAAGCCGAAGTTGTCGTAGCCACGAACAGCGCTGTAGCGGGCCCAGTGCTTGTTCTTGGGGGAAGAGTCGTTGAGGTTCTTGGCGGCGAGGATAAGAGCGGCAAGGAAGATGCGGTGGGTGGTGCACTTCATGCCCTTGGCGACAGGAGGAAGACGAGCCCGGAGACGGGAGAGGTAGACCAGGCTGGTCATCAGGGTAGGGACCTGGACGTGGGAACGCTCGACGAGGGATGTAATAAACTCCTCGACGGATGGCAGGAAGGGTTCCCGGACCTGGTGTGGGGGGGAGGCCGGCGGTGTGGGGGGCAGGCTCTTGTCAAGGGAAGCTTCACATCGGATGACCTGTGTAGCTTTCTGTGCGAGGTATGAGATCATGTCCTGGGAGACAGGCTGCTGGATGAAGTAGTCCAGCGCGGCGCTGTTCTCCCTTGTGAGGTTTGCTGAGTAAGGCATGATTGCTTGTGATGTGTTTTTTGAAAGGTGGATGAGGGTCGACTATGACTGAAAGTGCAAGTCGATGGTGGTCCAATAGTAGATGCTCAACACAGATTAATTCCGGTCTGTTGGAATTCGGTAAGCGCAGTCTGGGGCTGTGGCTGTGGCTTGGGTGCGAGGAAGTTCGACGAGGTTGAAACACAAGGCGACAGTGGTATTAAGGTGAATGACGATTCCGACCGGCGGAAAACGTAATGGAAGTATCTAGGTGATACTGCAAGGAAGTCTGGAAGGGAGAGTGTTGCTGGCACTGCCAAGCGATGATGATAAGGCTGGAAAGGGTGAAGTGGATTGGGCAGTCGCGGACTGAAGAATGCAACCTGCACCGCTGGGGTGTTACAGGTGTAAAGAAGGGATGAGAGAAAAGTGAAGAACTTGCACTGACCAAGAAGAGTATCAGGAGTCGGTGATACTTATGCCAACACAGCGTGAATCCGACTGTCGTTGGTGGGGCGCGGGCGGCACGAAGTGGGACCCAATCGGCGGTCTGAACGGGCAGGGATTGGAACGTAGCGCGCCTCGCGAGACTGGAGCCAGCGGTTGTTGGCCCGATTTAGGAAGCCTGCGGGAGTTGTGGGAAGTCGAACTGCAGGATGAAAATAGTGCGTTTCAACTGGCAGCCAGTCGTATGCGGGGGGCTCGTGTGCCCTAATCAGCAGCAGCGCCTGTCAGCCAATGGAGGTGCGTCCCGCTACGTGTTTCGAGGTCGAGCGAGTTGATGTTTGAAGATGCCGCTGGCTGTGGTGGTACTGGCCTGTACCAAGTGGGAGAATCGAGTGGATAGCAGACAGCGTGGCAGTCGTCAACGACAAGCGAACCGTCTTCTGGGGCTGCAGTGCCGATTTGTAGTCGTGCGATGCGAAATCTAGCCGGCTTTAACGATGGTCTGGTGCTCGAGGCCTGGTCACGTTGCAAAAGAAGACGAGGCGGTGAAGTGGTGCAGTGGAGAACACTGCAACGCTCGATGAATGAAAAGCGACCACGCTGTAGCTGCACACCTGCTCCCATATATCGGCACAAGCTATCTCTAGCCACCAGACCGTCCAGGCAGGCAATCGTGGCGGACTTCGCCAGCATGGCATGACGAATGCTGGCGGAGATTTACATTCTGTGCAGCTTCCCCAGCCTCCTTACCGAAGAGGTAGCAGATGCGACTTGAAGACCGCACCCTGCACGACGCTTTAGGGTGCCGAAAGCATATTTTGCCATCGTGAACGCGTGTTGCAGTGCGTGTAGACACTGGCGTAGCATTGGGAGCGCTGGCTCCAGAATGAATGGCTGTGGCGATGCGTTGGTTCGGCTCTTGGCAGGCTATTGTTCGGCCCCGGCAGGTGGACTCTTGTGCGTTGGCTGTCACATTCTGCACACCACCTGAGGGCATGCGAACAGAGTTCTTGCCCGCCGTTTGACTCCATCTCCATCGGCTGTCAAATTTCCAGTCTGTCAATGGCCTTGCATGAAGACTGGCCTGATATCACTCCCAAAGGGTGTTCGGCCATATGCTGCACAAGCTGCCAATTAGACTCCACCTGATCCGGATCTACAGTCATGCGCAAGGGTCGTGAGTTGCGCCGGATTGGCCAGTGTGCTGTGCAAACATCACCGATGTTTCAACCCGTTGGCTCTTGACAGAATGACCGGGCCTCACGATTACGCATGAACCACACATCATGCTACATGCTACACGCCACGCTGAGATGTCAAAAGGCCCAACATCCAACATCTGCAGCAGTTGGAGGATGTGCTCTGCAACCAATGAGCATTCAAGCCTCGCAACGAGATGCTCCAGGAAGCGCTGCACCGCCTCATGCAACGGAGCCAATACTGCCGAAGGTTCTAGGATGCCTCTTCTAGAATCTTTGCCACCGACTAAGACACTGCAACCTCATGCATCCTCGGCTTGGACACAAAAACCATCTTGCTTTTGCAAGTCATGGCCCATGTCCGCTGCCGCCAGTACCTAGGTAGGACGGATTGTATGCTCGCTCTCGTCCAACAGTATCTGCATTGAGGCAGTTTCGACATGCGCTGAGACCAAACTATGGTTCACGAACATGCTTAATTTCCGAGAATACCGATTGAGCATTCCGCATGGGTTACCTAAGCGCTTGTGAGGCTCTTGAATGGTAGCCGCCAGCGTACGCGCCCACCCATGTCCGTGTCACCACCAAATTTGGCAGCGTTAGATCTTTCTTTAGATACTGCAGCCTCAGCTACACGACATGTATTCGACGAATTCCATCTTCAACTTACCATCGCGGAAATTTCACTGCTGCTGAACCTTGCGTGGTTCTGGTCGCCAAAGTCGAGGTCCGAACACCAGCGCGTCCCGTTTCAGCATCGTCCACGTTGACATCATTGTCAAGCGCCCATCCCCAAGGCCCCGAAGCCCACGGCCCCCAACTTCGCAATTTCCATTTCACATACCAAGTCCAACATATTGGGTTCACTTCAGCCACGGACTTTCCTACCAACGATGACGATCTAGATCATCGACCTATTTCTCCCCCAAGCCAGCAGCTGATAGCTTAGCGCAAATACGGTCGGTGTAGGATGAAGACGTCGCCCATGGGTTCGACCAGATCCTAGCACATACTATCGATTGTTCGGTCCCAACAGTGATTCCGAAGACAACAAAGGCAGACGACATGTTAGTGTACACCGTCTTTCTCACATGATGGCAGGTTTCGCCGACATTCGGCGCAACACCACGAATCTTTCAAGGCGCAGCGATGCAGTCCGGCAATGTTGGCGGGACCAGCGGTGACAAAGGACTGCGTGATTCTTTGTGCTGTGGTACTTTCATGCTGCTAGCTGCGGTCCAGCGCATCGATTTGCTCGATCATGTGGCCTGGCCATTTGACCGCACCCTTGACGATGAACCATTCGCATTCGCATTCAATCGCAACATGGACACGAGCATAACCGTGGTTGTGGCAATGGCAGCCTGCAGCTTCCCTGACCATGGAGCACAGTGTATCTTTTCATGCTGTAATCTGTGATGCAGCCCGTGCTTAATCGGCTGTGCGACGGACACCCTCCCTTCTGACGGAAATGACATATTGTGTAGAAACATACAGCTACGCAATACCTCGCTTGAGATTAGTTGACGTATCAACCAGCACTGCGCATATCGAGTATGCCTCTCCAATCCAGCTAGCCTTGCGCTTCGGCCGTCAGCACCACAAACAAACAAGTCGGTCATTACACAGCCCGATCAGCCTCTCTCCTCCAAGCCACGAACTTTCTCGGCATACACGAATCGTTATACATGCGTACGTCACGCATGTTCGCAAGAAATCAATACAGCCATTGTGGTGCATCGTGCGACCGGTCTTGCGGCCATCGGACTTCGCAGCCAACCCCTACTCTCCGGGTAGAGATCTGAGATCGACAGCAGGTGGCGCGCCTAGTCAGATTTCCGTATCTGTACAATACTATGGCCAATGTTTTTCCTGAAACGGACAGTGCTATCCGGAAATGAGAAGTCGCGGCCTTGCTGCGTTGCATTCGCAAGTATGCACTTTAGAAGCCACGACGGACTCTCCGGAGTGGATTAGCAAGCTCTCCGAAATCATTCGGACTATACTGTGTGGATCTTTAGTTTGATTTGATTTGTGTTTGCTTTCACTATCAAGCAAGTTCTCATTTCCAGCAGTTTTCCGACGACCGTCCTTGAAACGCCATTTCAATGCTGCAATTTTTCGTGTCACCAGCACTCTCCGGAAACCCTCATCACTTCCAGTGCTCAAATTAGACGAGCTTCAACTTTTTAGCCTGGGCAGTAGATGGATTCTCACTGCCCTTCCTCTTGCCGTTCTCCGTAGCTTTGGTCCTCTTCATCTCAGCCCAGATCTTCATGACTCTCTCATCTGCATTGACTGCTTCCTTTTGAGCAGCTTCGAGCTGCTTGGATTTCTCGGCCAACTGCTGATCATTCTGTTTGGCAGCCTGTTCCAGAAAACCGACTCTCTTCTCCGCCGCGGCTGCCCGTCTATCCGCAGCCGTCGAAGATTGCTTCCAGAGAGTTTCTGAACTAGAGAGTTTGGTTTTGAGGGCTGCGAGATCGTGACTGAGAGCAGCCTTAGAGCTGCTGGCGACTTCGAGCTCGTCTGCCAAACTTGCTAGCGCTGTATGGTGTTGCAGCTTCATGCTCAATATTAGTTTATGTCGATCGGCAAGCTGTGTCTTGAGCGCAGCGATGTCGTTCTCAAGAGCTGCTACTTGAGCACTATTGAGACTTGGTGATTCGTTCATCATTCTGAGTACCTCCTCGAGCGCCGCAGCTGAGGATTCCGGTTTCTCTACTGAAGGCTTCTTCGCCAAAGGGTTCCCCATCGAAGGCTTCTCCAACGACGATTTCTCTACCATAGGTTTCCCCTCTTTTGTAGGTGCCACTCCAGTAACTTTCTCCATCCAGTGCTCTCGATTGATCGCCAACAGGCCCGGTTTTTGATAAGGCGTACCAAAGCGTCCGTACAGGAACGGAAAGTAGTAGAACGCGGGGTTAATACGAACCTGTGTTCCAGTGCTTATTTGCGTAATACGAATGCTGCCCCTGGTTTTATGAAAGAATTGATACTTGTCGTAAACTTGCTGATCGTAAGCCAGACCTATCGGTAGAGCGACGATTCCACTATACTCCATCCCCAGAGAGATCGTGAGCTGGCTCATCGTCATGCGTGGCCATGTCGCGGGATTGTACGGATCGTGGTCTGGTTTCTTTGCTTTGATGTTGGCATTCAAGGTAGCCTGGCTCCAGGAGAATTTGCCTTCATACAACGGAAGCATGTGAGGCCGAACGGTAGCCCGATTGTCGTCCGCCATGTTCACAGATTGCTGTAGACGTCTGGAATATAAGCTGGTGGTTGGTGAGTGAGGAGAGCTTGAACAGATGCGAGGACTGCATGTGGTGGGGTAAGATACAGATTCAATACACTAGAATGCTCTCTCACTTGAAATGACCACTGCCTTTACTATGGCAAAGCAAGAAGCGGTACGGAACGCGGTCTCCTCTCACCAGTGAAACAGCAGCTTTGGATCACAGGCTTGCTGTGACATCGAGTACACCGCAAGTTCAATGTATGAGCAGATGCCTTTGATAGGTTACCTTCGAACGTAAAAACGAAAAGAAGTACATGACCAAGAACGCCCCCAAATCCTTCACACAGCTACTCCTCCACCTTAACCTTCTTCACCTGCGCCCCCTCTCCAGCCCCCTCACCCTCCCTCTTCCGCACCCCAGCCCCCCTTAGCCCCCTCAACTCCCCCAAACCCGCAAAATAGCCTCCTCTATCTTGCCAAGTTCCTCCTCTGCCGTCTCAAGACCCTTTTTCTTTCCTTCGACCAGCTGCTCGAGTAGTCCGATCCTGTTCTCTGCGGCGTTTGCGCGCTCCTCGGCTTCGAGGTGCTGGTCGTTGAGGAGGAGCTCTAGGGCGCGGACTTTTTGCGTTACTGCGTGAAGAGGCTTGGTGTGGGAGGAGGTGCGAGCTTGGAGAGTGGCTGGGGTGGTGGGGTGGAGCTGGTTGTGTGTGGTTGAGAGATCGGGTTGTGGTCTGGTGAAGGGAGGAGGTTGTGTGGTGGTGTTGCTTGCGTGGTCTTTGTTGAAGAGCTCGTGGGCCACTGCACTGTCTGTCTGAGCGTCGACCTGATAGCTCGAGCTTAGTGTTGATTGAGGCGGACGAGCAGGATAGTACTTCGCATCTGGCGTCAGACCTCTCATGAGCTTGACCCATTCATGCAGCTCCTCCACCGGGATGTGAGGATACTCCCTTAACGCTCCGTATTTGTCGAAGTTGTACGGATAATCTGCAAACATGGCCTTAATCTGGTGACCAGGAATATTCGGTCGGCAGCTGACCTTGCCCGCGAAAGGTCGTTGAGTGACGAGATTCTCCATCAGCGACTGTTCGTATGCGAGGAAGCGGGGAACGGACTTGGTCTGTCGATAGTCGTAGTTGGCTTCGGTCTGAACGACGTCTTTGATGAGCGGCCATGTAAGGGGATCTTCGGCGTCGTAGTCTGTCTTCACTGTTTTGATGTGCACGCGCAAGAAGAGCCCGTCCCAGCTGAAGGGACCTCGCCATACCTCGAGCTCTGTGGCGTTCAAGATCGCCATGTTGCGTGGAAGTCTAGTCTTGTACTGAGAAGACGTGAGACTGTCTTAGTGTAGAGTGTGGACTATACTGAGGGACAGGACTGTTTGTTGCAAGGTGTATGATCTGGCATGGTTGAAGTCGGAACGCAATGTCGCTCTCGCGCACTTGTCGCTCCAGCGTCTCTCACCTTCAGCAAAACGGTTGAACAGATAGCGCGGACGACTGGCTCTGGTGGCCACTTTGTACATCGGTGGCGTTTACAAGGAGGGGGTTGGGATGAGCGAGTTCTACAAAGCTATTGCACTTCTTCACAAGCGAGCACCTCTCAAAGCTAGTTAAAAGTGCGGACAAGTATGCGTGCACCATGTAGCTTCATGACAATGTCACTACAGCAAAGCGGTCGATTATCCAACGGACATTTGATTAAACTATGAAAAGAGACACATATGTGTAGGTTGATCGAGCAATGAGTTCGCACCCTTTGGCCAGCTAACACCACGAAGCGATTGAGTACCCAAACCATCCAAGTCATGAGTAGGTATCATCGTGGAGACGGTGAATATTATTAAAAGAAAGAAGAAGCGCTTCTATAGATCGTCGCTATATATGTTAGTAAGCCTGTGAACCTGGCAAGAAATGGTATGACACTAACGTCCTCTACGCTGGAAAGCGTATCGATACATCACCAGTGTGGTGGTATGTAGGCGTAGTGATACATGTGTAGATAGCAGTATCAATGGCTGTAGCCGAGGAACATCGTGATCTCGAAGCATAGTTGACATGTATGGTTGATGGCGACAAATGTCAGCGGAGGCGTCGTACGCGAAGCAAGGGCGAGAGCGAGGTCGAGCACCTAAGCCTTCTGGTTGGTCTTCTTGACGCTGCCACGAGTGGATGTGCGAGGGCTAGCCTTGGACGGAGACTTGGAAGGCGACTTCGCAACACGAGTCTTTGCGGGCAACTTCCGTGGGGTTGATACCTTGCCTGGAAGCTTGGGGAGGAACTCGATGGACGGCACTTGATCGGTCTCATGCCCCTGAAGCATCTGAAGGATCACGTCCATGGCATCTTTTGCATTCTGCTCTGCCTTGTTCTTGCCGATGTACTGGTCAAGTTCGCGAAGGACGTCAATGGGGGCCTCGAAAGCCTTACCAGTGACGGGTGCCACGGCAGCGGCTGCAGCCTCTGAACTCATGCCGCCGGCGACCTTGCGCGAGTACTCGTTCAGGCGATCCTCCTCCGACTTCTTCAAGGTGATGTCGTAGGTAGTACCTGGAAACTCGGCTTCGATGACATCGAACTGGCGGAGGATCAGCTTCACCTTGCGAATTTGCCAGAGCTCTTTGTTGTAGGTAGCACGCTGGTAATGCTTTCGACAGAAGAGAGGCCAGTCGGTGAGGTCCCTCGTGCAGGCCTTGTTGCGACCAAAGTGGTCTGAAATGACCTTGCGGGAGAGAGCCAGGGTGTACTGTCCAGTGCGACATTTGCTGTATTCATCATTCATGCACACGAACTCGCGTTCGACAGAGTCATCGTCGATCGCGTCTGTGATGACTTGTTCGCCATCATCAGTCTCGGCGGAGGGCTCGGACATTACCGTGTCGGCAGGGCTGATGGGATCGAGCTGACTGGTAGGAAAGCTGCGCTCTGGCGTAGACGGCGGTGCAATAGCTGGCACATCGGCGGCGAGCTCAGGACTGGAGGGCTTGGGCGGCGCAGATTCAGTAAGAAGATTCGCAAGGCTCATCGCGTCACGAATGGCGGACTGGGCCATGGCTGTGTTGGTAGTGTTGCTGGTAGGATTGGCCATAGTCTGGGAGACCATGGCAGTTAGCTGTACTGGACGTGACAAGCTGGGATGGGTATCCGTGCAATGGTATTTGCGCAAGGTGTGAGTGAAAGTGCGCGGAAGCCTCACTTCTCGCAAGTCGCGATCTGGTCGTGTAGCGTTGTGAAGGAGATCTCGAGGGAGCTGAGCGAGGGACTAAATACCGACTGAACAGACGACGGTACGGACGGTGTGGGGCGGTCTAGGTGAAGTCGCTTTCTAAGGTGACAATCGAGCGTTTGCGTTGGTGCCTATCGACCCCGTCGTCACAGGGACCTTGCCCCGCTTGCAGCTTTTCATTCACTGTAGAGCCAGGCTCGGCAGCCAAAATGACGGAGGCTCGAGAGCGGTATCTGGTCGATATGGTCACAGTTTACAATGCGTTGCGGCTATGGTTGTCTTCTTGCCAACAGCGCCGGTTCACAGCTCCACGTCTCCTGGGTCCAATTGGATGCTCGCCATTAGAGCTTGTGACTGAATTTCGGTCCTTACTACAGGCAATAACAACAGCACAGTGGTTTGACAAACAGCAGAGATAGGTGCAAGCCCTCGACCCAAACAGAGAATCGCAACGGCATGTGAATTACTGTTACAGCTATGCAAGGCGAGGTTCTCTGACACCGAGAGTCGGTGCGGAGCGTGACTGTAGAGAAATAGAAGCAAAAGTGAATTGAAAAATGGTTCAGATAATTGGATCAGATAATGCCTAGTAAAGGCCAACAACGCACTCAAAGGCCTCATCTCCCTTTACGTCGCATCAAGCTTCTCCAAGGCCCCTTCTAGCTCTTGCCTCGCACAAGGCGGCTCAGGAGATGTAATATGACTTTACTCGTCTTTCTGGTGAGAGGATGTTGGCAGTCCTGGCCAGACCACAGCAGTACGGCGTCAATGAGCAAATTCCAACGATGATGATCAAAATCAGGATCTAGTCGGGGCTGCTATACTATCAGCGAGCATTGTCCAGATCCTCGCAGCAAGTCTGTTTGCTTGTCGATGACGCGTGAAGACACACGGTGGTGGTGTGAAGGGCGGTCGGCGGCCGGAACGCAAAGCGCCGATATCGCCGGCAGAAGCCGCGCCCGATTTCGTCAGGGCCGGCTGCTAGGCCAGTGTGTTGCTCTGGCGCCTCAGGCTTCTCAGCTGCGAGACGTTAGCAACGCAGCTGCACGCGCACGCGAACCTCGTCACACTGCTTGAAATGCGCCCCCACGTCACATCGTTCCCGCTACTTCAGCCCACCTACGCTACTCTGCGCTGAGCGCGTCCGCGGCACCTCACCCTCGGTCGTGCCGCTCGCCCTGAGCTCCCACCGCTACAATGCCGCCCACCGCAGGCACGCGAACGTCTACACGGCAGGGCCGCGCCACTGTCCGCCCTACCAACTACTATGCGCGCAGCTTCGCCGGCCGTCTCGCTGCGCACGGGATGGAGCAGACGCCCGAGGCCTCCAACAGCGCGCCTGGCTTCTTCCCCGCCCTCACACACTTCACGGGCGCCGTCGATGCCTTTCCAAAGGAGGTTGTGCGGCACTTCTCCATGTTCAAGGAGGTCGAGGCTAAGCTGCACGACCCCGAGTTCCTGCTGCAGGAGCTGCTCAGCGAGATCGCGCAGCAACCCACGACCACGAACGCCCAGCGGCGCGCCCTCGAACAGAACGCCGACGTGGCGATCCAAAATGCAAATGTAAGCTCCACGGACTCCTGGTTGGCAGAACATCAGCTGACACCCACAAGCAGCCCCCTCCCAACTTCGACAGCCTCCCGCCCGACGAGCAGGCCGTCATCAGGAAGCGTCAACTGTTCCTGCGCTTGCGCATGCTCATCCACAACATCCTCCCTACACTAGACGAGAAACTCGTCGTGCTATCAGGCGCAAAGGCGACAAAAGACAAGGGCATCACGCGCATGAAGCACTCGTACTCGCAGCTCGACACCGAGATCAGCGAAGAGGCACGCTACGGCAGCCTCACGCACTGGGCATACGCAGACAAAGAGGAGAAGAAGAAGGGCGCTCCAAACCACGAGCGCCAGCGGCGCGAAGTTGCAGCCGCGAACAATCTAGCCGCAGCTGCGCAGCATGTGCACGACGTGGACTCGATTGCTGCAAAGAGCGAGGCTCGTCGCGAAGCGGTGCAAGCCAAGCGTAGTCGCCAGCAGCAGGTCGACTCTGACTTCGACGACAGACCGACGACGAAGAAGCCACAGAAAAGGAAAGCGCACGCGCCTGACACGGCTGCGGACCACCGTGGCGTTGGACTGGGACTGTCGAGCACCGCCACTGGGCAGCAAGGCAAGAGGAAGAAGACCGAGAAGGCTCTTGCCGCAGCAGCGCCGACGGCCGCGCCCATGGAACGATCAATGAGCGGCGCTCTGAAGGCTGCGGGCAACAGTGCACGAGCCGGCTCCAGTCCTCGAGTAACTCCGAGCATTGAGAACCCTGCTCCTGCCAAACGGAAGCCACGCGCTGCTCCCGCACCTGCCCCTCGCAAGAACCAGCTGCCCGCTTATTCTCCTCCACCCGCGTCTTCACCACTCGCCGCAAACTTCGCCATCAATAAAGCGACTGCTGGCATTGCAGATCGTCCACTGTCTTCGAGGGCAAGAAAGAATTCCACTGCGAACTCTGCTGCCTCCGGTAGCGTGCCTGAACCTATACCCATCCGTCGTCCATCGACCTCACATTCCGTTCAGCAAGGCCCTGGCAGCAATGCCATCACTGAGCTGGAACAAGCTGCAGGCATTGTACGCGACCTCGAATCGATCAAAGACGCCATGATTCCCCAGGAGACCACAGAGAGGCCCGTTCCTCTAGCTCCTACTGTCCTCAAGCAAGAAGATCAAGAGCACGTACAAGAAGAACCGGAGAGCATGGATATCGATACTCCAGCAGCAATGTCATCTGCAGCTAGAGCTGCCCGGGTATCCAAGCCCGAGACGCCCGTTGTGAGCTCATTCCCTGAGGTTCCCATGGCACGCAGCCGCAGTACTCGCAACGCGCAGAATGGCAACTCCAACTCCAATGGCTCTTCGGAGAACAACAGCACAGCAACAGGGGTAGTGTCGAAGCGAGGTAACAAGAAGAGCGGGCAATCTGCAACATCAGCAACCGATTCGCCCGCACTCAAACCAGTGCCGACTGCGAGATCGAATCCTCCTTCTTCTGCAGCAAGCTCCATCGCTCCCGAGCAGGAATATCAAGATGCGGAGACGGACGATGGCGAAGACGAGCCGCGGTACTGCTATTGCAACGAGGTGTCGTACGGACAGATGGTCGCCTGCGACAACGATGCTTGTCCCCGCGAGTGGTTCCATCTTCCTTGCGTGCAACTCGAAAAAGCGCCTGTCGGCAGGACTAAATGGTTCTGCAGTGACGAGTGTCAAGAGCAGCACACCAAATCCAAGGCGAAGGGGAAACGTCCGGGTAGTAGTAGACAATAGGAATTCGGAAGGAGTTCAAGGCGTTCTGGGACGGGTTTGCAGGCATGCGAGTCTAGGCCAGGCCCGAAGGGAAAGGGCACGGCTAAGCTTAAGGATATTTGGGTTGGATGGAATGCTCTTTGAAGCTCCCAATCTGCTTTTTCTGGGATTTGTGGGTTTTCCGGCGTTATGATTACGACGCCTAGAACCGACTCTTTTGGAACAGGCACGGGGAGGTATTCGGTTGGGGCGTTTGTTCGGTCTGACCCCTTGCATGGACTTGCAGTAGGACAGCTCCACGCGTCTTTCATGTGTATACGTTTACGTGTATCGACGTCTGTTTAGGCGACGGTCCGCAACCGTTTTTTCGCGCTTTGCGTTTTTAAAGAGCGCATGCATAGCGACAGCGAAACATCGTTACGGCAATTAGCATACAAGATTTAGATACTCGAAATGGTCCATAATGCATCCAAACATATATGACCAGCCGTTTGACACTTTTGCGGGATCTAACCTGTCTTGTCTACAGCTAATAAACCCCAGAACTACGACTGAATACATGGCTCCAAATCAGTGAATGGTCGGACGTGTCTGGGTACAACGATCGCGCTCGACACGACATCCCTGCACGACCTTTTGTAATCGTCAACGATCATTGGTCACACGATCAATGCTCAGCCTCCCGACAGCTTGGACCCTGTGTGTAGCTACAGCGCAACACACTCACCGCCACCATAAGTTCGTGGAACAGGTGTCTTGAGCGGCTTGCCAGTTGGATCATCTCTCCAGTATCTCTACACTCTTTCAAATTTCTCAATGGCGCCTAAGAACGTTCCCACTGCCGAGGAGCAGCTGATCGCGGAGCCCCAAGGCGGGGCGCCAAATTCTCCCCCAGATCTCCGCTTCTTGCACTACAATGATGTTTACCACATCGAAGCCGGAAGTCAGGAGCCTGTCGGTGGCTACCCTCGCTTTCAGACCTTGATCAACTACTACAAAAATGATGCTCGGTTTGATGGGCAGCCAGAAGCTTTGACCTTCTTCTCTGGAGATGCTTTTAACCCTAGCATCGAGAGCAGCATCACAAAAGGTGGGTTTGGGGCATCAAAGGCTAGACAATTACTTCATATAACTGACTGTATATCAGGTAGCCACATGGTGCCAGTACTGAATACGCTAGGCACTGACGTTGCTTGCGTTGGAGTAGGTTCCATGACGTGTCTAAGCGCTTCGGTGACTGACTACCTCACAGAACCACGACCTTGACTTTGGTGTGAAGCAGTACCGATATTTGACATCAAAATGCAAGTTCCCATGGCTCCTTGCCAATGTTCTCGACCCAGCCCTTGGCGAGAATGTGTCTCTTGGAAATGCAAAGAAGACTGTCATGCTCACTTCGTCAAACGGCATCAAGGTTGGTGTCATTGGGCTGGCAGAACGAGAATGGCTCGACACCATCAACGCACTACCCCCTGATATCATTTACAAGAGCGCATCAGCAACTGCAAAGGAGCTCATTCCAGGACTGAAGGAGCAGGGCGCCGAGATCATTGTTTGCGTTGCCCATCAAAGAGAACCGAACGACCTCAAGCTCGCTGAAAATTGTGGAAGCGAGTACATCGATCTCATCCTGGGTGGTCACGATCACTACTACGCCTACAGTCTCATCAAAGGCACACACGTACTGCGATCAGGCACAGACTTCAAGCAGCTCTCACACATCGACCTGTGGCGCAAGCCTGATGGCAAAGGCTGGGACATGAAGATTGTACGACGCGATGTCGTAAGCAGCATCAAAGAAGATGCCGCGGCACTGGAGTTGGTTGATGAGCAAACGCGAGACATCAAGAAGCGACTGGACAAGCCTGTTGGTTACACAGCTGCTCCGCTCGACGCTCGCTTTACGACTGTGAGAACAAAGGAGTCAAACATTGGCAACTTTGTGTGCGACCTAATGCGCTACTACTACTCAGCAGAATGCTGTATCATGGCCGCCGGCACAATACGCGGTGATCAAGTGTATCCTCCAGGTGTTCTCAAGCTGCGAGATCTTATCAACTGCTTCCCATTCGAAGATCCGGTAGTTGTCATTAAGGTCACTGGAAAGCAAATTACCGAAGCTCTGGAGAACGGTGTTAGCAACTACCCTGCCTTGGAAGGCAGGTACCCGCAAGTGTCGAACATAACGTTCGATGTCGACTACTCCAAGTCACCAATGTCGAGAGTATCAAATGTTACGATTGCCGGCGAGCCAGCGGATAACGAGCGCGTCTATGTGCTTGCTACCCGTGGCTACATGGGGCGTGGCAAAGACGGCTACACGTCATTGCTCATCGAGGAAGAAGGAGGTACTGCTGTCGAAATAGTCAGCGAGGAGAACGGTGTGCTTATCTCGACGATCTTGCGACAATACTTCATGTCGCTGAAGGTGCTCGGCAAGTGGAAGCGCTGGGGCGAATCAATGGACAAACGATTCCTTAACATCCAAACAAACCTTCAGAAGAATCACAGCCACGGCTTCCACGAGGCATCGCCGACATCGCCCGTGGACAAAAAGAAGCCGCAATTCCCAAGCCTCGATGGAGTCACAGAGTCCGAGAGCGATTCAGAAGACCCTGACGCTGATGAAGATGAAGACGACGGTGCGGAATATGACGCAAGCAGACCCATCACATTCAATCAGCGCGAGCTGGATCTTCTGAGGAGATCGTTGCGCAAGTGGATAAGGCTTGCGAAGTTGCAGGGCTCGGCAAAGCCTTGCGACGAGCTGGGCCAAGAGGAGATCCAGGTCAATTGGACCAAAGCGATCGCACCCAGGCTAGAAGGCAGGATCAACGACATCACGCCCGCAGCAGCATAGATAGTCGTGCAAGTCCAGTCGAACGAGCCGAATGTAGCTATAGAAAAGAAACAAATCAAAACGCACCATCACGTGCGCGCGTTATTCGAGCTGAGGCTTGATCGGGCATGTGACGTGATGCAGGTGGGCGGATACAACCACCCTACTTTCCACACTTTCTTCAACTTGCCGCTTCAGGCAGGTACACTCGTGTGGTCCTCGCCCCACCTCTCCGCTCTCCTTCCACAACACCCCATGTCAATCTTCAACCTTCCGAAAGAGATTCGCCTGCAAATCTGGACGTTGGTCTACTTGAACGAACCGCCTCGGCTTGTCACACTGCGCAGCAAACCACACGATGACCGTCACGCAGAGGACGTTTTCTGTCCACGCTATTCACCAACCCCCGCCCCCACGGTAGTCAACATCTGTCATGAAGCACGTGCAGAGGCAGAGTACCAAGCGCGACGTGCCAACGCCCTGATTCATCTACCATCCCCTCTCGACCCCACCCCTGACGAGTTCTATTTCCGGCTCGATACAGATTTGTTGTTCATCGACCTTGAGCACGGCATCAACAAGCACTTCGACGACTCGCCCGACGCCGGTCTTCTTGCCCACTTCCTCGAAGCAGCGGGCTGCGATGCGACGTCACTGAAGAATATTGTGATTACGCAGGTTGTTCGCGTTGCGTTTGTTGATGGCGCACTGTCGAATTGCTTACGCGACTTTCCTAGCATTGAACATCTTGTCATGGTCGTGGATCACAAAGACATGCGCACTGACCAAGAGAAGGAGCGCTTTATTCTTGCTGCACGACGCATTGTCACACAGTACCGTCTTGACATGCGGATCAGGGCGAAGGCGAGAGGCGATGTATACGTGCATGGCGAACGTCTCCTCGATCTTGACTTTGCAGTCAGGGGTGGGACAGCACTGAGCATGCTGAATAAGAGCGACTGGGAGGGGTGGGGTGACTTGCAGAGCAACTGGTGGATGGAGGATGTGCCTCAGAGGTATATTGATTTCTACTTTTGATTATGCTATTATACTACAGTCTATGGATGCCGATGCATGCCTGATCCGAAGGCTACGGAATCTCCAGATAGATTCTGTCGCCTTCTTTCGGTTCCTCGAGATAGTCATCTGCGGTCTCGGTCGGCAGCTGGCGCTTCTCAGCCCAATCGCGCACAGCTTCAAAGTTGCGACACGTATGCACAGTATTGAAGTCGACAAAGGGTTCGATCTCCGAATTGGGTGGCTGATACCAGACTTGCCCCAAGACGCCGATATCAACGTTGCACATTAATTGTTGCCGAATGATATCGAGACAGTGTGCTGTTAGAAGACTGGTAAGCTTTCGCCAAGAAGGAATACATCGGACCATGACTTACTGACGTGCGCCTTTAGGACGTGCTCGTCATTGGCAAAGGGCCCCATCTTCATCGCCCTGTAGTAGTCGATATTCCAGGACAGCGACTTTCGAAGCAGGTTCAAGCAGTGTAGATGATGCAGGCCCTCTACGTTCGCAGGAAATCCACCACCGTACTTCTCCTTGATCTTCACCTGATCGGCTCTGATATTCGATTTCGCAGCTTCGGAAGCTGGAATGCGGACAGCGCTGAAGTCTGCACCCAGACTTGTCCAAGCTGCGTCGACTTCTGGCCCGGCATCCTGTCTGAATGCATTGAGCTTGAGGAAGGAGCCATTGAAAAGGACACGGCTGAAGGTCATATCTGCGTCCTTCATGATGGGAGCTAGATGTTGTCAGTGGGGATCGAGCTGAATTCGTTGACTCGAACTTACAGTATTCCGAAATATGACGCATGCTGAAAGCATCAGCGTCCAGTCCGTTTCGTCCAGCCCAGGCACCGAACAGTGCAGAGAGCACTGCCGTGCAGAAAAGCATGATGCTTGTCGCTATCCATGACTGTCGTCGGGAAGGGTTTCGAGTAGGGTGCCCGTCGAGTGACGAGGTCTCGCTATTTGCCAGCAAGCCTTCGCTATCTTCTGACTTGACCGGACTATACGAATCTGTTTGTTGCTGTGTCTTGATGCCGAACATCTTGAAGCTTCGACTGTAGATTACGAAGAGGATGATACCAGAAAGAAATGACGACAGAACTCATGGGGTATTGAAGAGCACCGAAACGACTCTGCAGCGTTGCTTCGATTTATTTTTGGAGACACAAGATATCGCCGAGGATATCGCTAGGGCTGGTAACCCTGGAGCCACACACCATGATCGTATTCCAAGAGCTACCCCGCCAAAGCTGACAACGAAAGCTCTCGCTAGCTTACAGAAAGCAGCTGAATGCGAGGTTAGCGCACGCTTGTGGCGCTCTGATCGACTCTGTTCGTATGGTCATTTTCATCATCCATGCGCGATATTTGGGACGCCAGTACGCCTGACATTGAACGGTTGTGGCACAATTCCACAGTAAAACGGCGTTGAATGCTCAACCTCAGGTGTTCACTCACATCACGACCATGACCAACGCCAATGCTTTCTCCGCGTTGTGCAATGACAGGATATCTGTGTCACCATCACGACATTCGCCACCGAGTGATCGTATGCGCTACCCTGCACATGTTCTGCATGTGGCAGCTTACACAGAGCTGGCGCCCAGCCACGTGACGAATTCCGACCACTCACCGTGGTCACTACTACTGGGCATTCACACGACTTCGATCTAGCATCGCTTTGCGGGGACCCCGGAAAACCTATACGAACAAGATTTGCACTATACGTCTATCAAGAACAGCTAGCTCGGACTATTTACAGACTACCAGTACGATTCTCACGACCTCACGATGCAACACATGGCAGCATACGGCTGAACTGACGGTTAAGACGGCCCCATCAGGCAAAGCATCAGCGGGATGATGTCTGCGCAAGCCATACGAGGGCTATCATCCCGTAATCAATATTTCCCAGCATTAGCTCCGCACGACAATGACTTTGTCAGTGAGCAAGACTGCATCGATGTGAGATCGCTCGGACAATCGGAGAGACTGCCTATCAATGCTCGAACGCGGCTAAGCTGGTATGATGGCGACCTCGTTATGCCGCCATGGAATCGTATATGAACCTCACCCCGCTTGATATTGGAAGTATCACGCCACAACTCTCGAGGTTCAAGCAGCAACCTCAGGCACTCGCTTCCAATAACACATCTTCGCTTTCATTATGAAGTACGCGTACGCCCTGCTGGCCCTCGCGGCCGCAGTGACTGCCGCTCCAGCCGCCTCTCCAGAAGCTGCCCCAGAGGCTGCTCCTGAAGCTGCTCCTGAGGCTGCTCCTGAGGCTCAGCCCGATGGCTATGCTCATTACGGTATGTCCATGCTCACACTCATACATCAAACAATGCTGACAGCATACCAGGTTCTTACCCTCCTCCAAAGGATGGATACGGACACTATGGAAAGTACGGCAAGTACGCGTCCTATGGCAAGTACGATGGGAAATACAAGCGCGAGGCCGAGCCAGAGGCTGAGGCTGAGGCCCAGCCCGATGGTTATGCCAATTACGGTACGTGCATCCCTCAAGTCTACATACCAACAGAGCTGACGTCACATAAGGCTCTTACCCTCCCCTCAAGGACGGGTACGGGCACTACGGCAAGTACGGAAAGTACGCGTCTTATGGCAAGTACGGCAAGCGTGAAGCTGAAGCCGACGGCTATGCAAACTACGGTACGCCAACCGTCCATGAGCCTGTATGGCTATCATATTGACTGAACAGGCTCCTACCCTCCCCCTAAGGATGGCTATGGACACTACGGCAAGTACGGCAAGTACGCCAGCTATGGCAAGTACGATGGAAAGTACAAGCGCGAGGCCGAGCCTGAAGCCGAGGCCGACGGTTATGCACACTATGGTATGCCACGCTCCTCCCCACAGCACCATAAGACCTAACACCAAATAGGCTCCTACCCACCACCCAAGGATGGGTACGGGCACTATGGCAAGTACGGCAAGTACGCCAGCTACGGCAAATACGACGGAAAGTACAGGCGTGAGGCCGCGCCAGAGCCAGAGGCCGAGGCCGAAGCCGATCCCGGCTACGCAAACTACGGTATGCCACCCCCTCTCCTCGAAAAATCGCTCAGACCTAACACCACACAGGCTCCTACCCCCCTCCCAAGGGCGGCTACGAGCACTACGGCAAGTACGCCAGCTACGGCAAGTACGGCGGCAAGGACAGGCGCGAGGCTGAGCCCGAGGCTGAGCCCGAGGTTGAGGCTGAGGAGTGAAGACGGCGATGCAGATGAGAATGCAGATGGAAAAGCAGATGGAGATGGAGGTGTGCAGGGTGGCGAATCACGATCCTTATGCTGTTATGATGCTATGCTTAGACGAATAATGTTTACATACGTTCCTTTTCCGCTGGTGTTGATTTGAGTTGGCTTGACTTGACCTGACCTGACTTGACCTGAGCTGGTTTTTGTGTTGTGTGGGTGCATGAAGGAGCTTGAAGTGAGAGCTTGGAGTGAGAGCATGGAGTGGGCACGCGCAGACCTTGATCACAGCAGTTGTTGGTGTTTGTGACAACGTTATAGCGACGACTCGTCTCCTGGTAGAATGCCAGTAGATGATGGACCGCCTTGATCCCCGCTTCTGTGCAGGTGTGTTGGATATCGCGCAGCCACCGCGCGGCGCAGAAAGGCAGTGGCGCAGAGCAGAACGGCAGTAGAGAAGCAGTAGAGGAACAGAACCGCAGCCAAAAAGAAGAAACATTTCTTAGCTATAAACAAAGCAGACCGTAGCCCGCGGTATCATCGATTGCTCGTACACATCCCCCCTCCCCCCGCTTCGCTCAGTCATAAGTCGTAATATCTACCCGCGCGTGCGGAAACGGAAAGAAAAGAAAAGAAAAGAAAGAAGAAAGGCAGTATATACACTCCACCCTCACACCCTTACACCCTCACACTCTACACAACGCACGCTCCACACACCCACCCTCTCCACGCAGGACGCAGCACACCTCAATAAGCATCCCCAAAAATCTCCTTCGGACTCTGCACCAACTCATCCAGCCTGCCCAACCCCCTGCCCCCCGCCCCACCGCCTTCCTTCCGCCTCCCCTTGCGCTCCTTCTTCGTCACCAGGTGCGGCGCCACGGGCGTCACGGGCGTGAATGGCATGTACGGACTATACGGGGTAAACGGGACGCCGGTGCGGGGCGTCTGCAGCGCGAGCGCGTCGGGGCGGCGGTCGAGCACTGTTGTTTGGATGCCCGGGGACAGCGGCGCGGAGGATGTGTAGCTGCGGAAGGGCAGCTGGGAGGTTGGCGTCATGAGGGGCGAGCGGGTCTGTGGCGGCGGCGGCGGGGCGATGGTGAGGGTTGGGGTCGGGCCGCGCGGGGACGCGGGGAGCGGGATGCGCAGGGTGTGTGCGCGGTGGAGTTCCTCGGGGGAGGTCGGGGTGTAGGGGGTCGACGGGGAGGTGGGCTGGGTTGGGGGCGAGGGGGGTGCGCCGGGATGCGGGTAGAAGCGGGGGGACAGCGGGGTGCGGGCTTCGTCGTCGGGGGCGGCGCCGCCGTAGCTCTGGATGGGGCCGCTGATGCGCAGGTTCTTGAGGTTGAAGCGCGTGGCTTTTTCGGCGCGGCTGGCGCTGGACAGGCGGCTGGGTTTGGAGAGGATGGAGCGCGGCGAGGGCGGGGGGTGGTCGGCGCGGAGGCTGCTTTGGCGCGAGTGCGGGAGGGCGGTGGTCATGTTGGTGGGGTAGTCGGGGGGGTAGATGGCTTTGATGGGGGAGGTGGGGGAGCTGTCGCTGGGGCCGCGCTGGGAGGTGTTGATGGTCGATGGGCGGCGCCTCTCGTGGCGGAGCGAGGGCGGAGGCAGGGTGTCGTCGACGGTGGCCCGGCTGTTCTGGCGCGAGTGCTTCTTCGCGTCGTGGTCCATGACAGCGGCGTACAGCCTCTCCATGTCGTCCTGCGCACGCACTTTGTCGGCATCCAGCACCTTCTGGTCAAACGACATGGGGCTCTGCACAACCGGGCTGACGGGCGTGCTGCCAGAGAGCGAGTCGCCGCCCCGCCTGAACTTCCGCACCCAGCTGGTGGCCGAGCGCATCGACGTCGGACTCGCCGGCGTCTCCACGGGCGGTCGGATTGGTTTCAGCTCCTGCCCGAATTCCAGCGCGGGCGGCGGTTCCAATGCCTTTCGTCTCATCTTTCTCCCGACGGTGAGGAGCAGGATGCCCCAGATCAGCACTGTCAGAACGTATCCACCGACGAGGCCACAAATCTCGTAGGGCAGCCGCCCCTTCTCTCTTGTGGCGTGGAATGAAGCGGGAGGGCCGTCCTCTGGACTCGGGGCGGGGTCGTTGTAGTTGTCCTTGAAGTCGTACGGCGAAGGCGAGGCACGCACAGCAGCAAGCAGGAGCGAGAAGAGGGCCGGCGGCAGTGTCCTGCTCAGCATCTTTCAAACTGGACGGAGGAGGAGGATGTGATTAATATGTCCGTCGACGATCCATAGACTGCCGATCCGACAATGGAGGATCCGGCAATGAGGAACCAGGGAGAGGTGAGACGCAACAGCAGGCACACATGGTGATATTTGGGCAGCGGCTGGCCAAGATGCCTGGTTGATTGAGGTGTGATATCGAAAGACATGGATGTGCGGGCGCTGATTGGCGAGCTTGTTCTTGAGCGACACGAAGGCGTCCAGTGACTGCGCGTGTGCAGGCGCTGAGGCGGGGTCGCTAATGTTGGCTAGCGCGAATGGGCGTCGATTTGCGCTGCTTCAAAGTTCACGCTGCTGGCCTCGGCAGTGATGCTGATAAAGTGGTGGTGGCATTACTTGACGAGCAGTTGATTTTCCGTTGTTGATTTCCCGTTGCTCGTCACAATCAAAACATCGCAAGAGGCAGAATTGAGTCGCAAACAGCGTGTTCCCAAAATATCCCAACCACCTTGCAGATCATGCGTGCAGGTTGCAAAATCACGGCACAGCGGCGGCCCGTATGCGCGCTGCCTCTTCCATGCTACCCCCAGACCGTTCTGCGCCCCTGCAGGTTAAAGACAGCTCGAAATGCTCACCATCCTGACGCTCCTATTGGCTGTGTGTTATCACGCTTTCACCGTCTAAGCGCCCGCCTAAGCGAATCAGATCATCACACTTATCGAGACTAGCGAATCGCGTCTCCCATTTGCCAGGCTCATATCGGCCGTGCAAGTGGTCGAGGTCGGTGTGACAGCTGCGATCTCCAAGGGAAGCACGTTGTGGCGTTCAATCCTGTGATCCGGACAGCGATGAAGGACGTCCGGCCTGCTTTTTCCGCCATGCATGTGCCAGACTAGCACCGCGTGCTCCTGTATCATAGCATCTGCATAGCGGCCTGTGACGGGGTGAGCAATTGTGCGTATGCAGAGGATGACTGATGTGTGTTTTCATCGTGCATCCTGTCTTGGAGGCAGGCAAGGATGGCTGCTGTCCGGCCTTCGTTCACAAGAACTACTTGGGATGTCGATGGCCTGGAGTCTGCTGCCTGGAAGTCAAGCATCGCGGATCGAGGAGGATTGCAGTCCGAGATGGTCACCACAGACTACGGATTGCTGGATCAAACCCACAGCTACAGCAATCACCACCTTCCTGACAATGACGCTCATTCGGAGCGCGAAAACTCTCGTAAAGCCGCGCTGCCATCGCTTACTACACACACAAAGTGCACTGCGCTCTCATATCGACCCGTTGTTCTGCTATACCAGCGGACGATGGCTATGGAATGAGCGTGCGCAGCTGGAAGCTCGGTATCGATATTTCGACATATCCGGTCTTCAGCAAGCGGCCTGCCAGGCTGTTGGCGCGAGCAAATGTGTATCACTTGAGAAAATCGGCGAGGGCAATTACAACAAGGTATATCGCCTGGAAATGGACGACGGCCAGAAGGCTGTTGCAAGAATCCCACACCCTAACGCTGGCCCACGGTCCCTTACTACTGCATCAGAAGTAGCAACAATGGAGTTTGCTCGGACTGTCTTGCACATACCCGTCCCACGCGTTCTTGCTTGGAGTAACAATGAACAGAATTCTGTCAAAGCAGAATACATTATAATGGAAGAGGCAAGAGGCTCCCAACTCGATGAAGTCTGGGAGAGTCTTTCACTGCGGGACAAATGTCAACTTATCTGTGAGTTTGTCGACATTGAAAAAAGACTACTCTCAGTCTCGTTTGAAAAGTAAGGTCCCATTCAAAACTTGCAAACGACCCAACTTACACACAATCAGAATAGGATCATTGTATTTCAAGAACAGCAACATTCCAGGTTGTCAGCCAGCTGCTGTTCAAAGCGGGCCGCAAGATGTCCTCGATCACATTGAATCAACGTATTGCATTGGTCCTATCACGCGACGAGAGTTCTGGCAGAAACAGCGCAGCACTATGCAATACCACGGCCCTTGTAAGTATTTCCACGCCCTGAATATCCAGCTTTGTTAACAGCGTCAGGGGCGTCTGCCACAGAGTACCTGCAGTCTGTCGCTTGCCGTGAAATCGAATGGATCAACACGTATGCGAAGCTGCAGGAGCCAAACGCAACGCCATGGCAATACACGAGTCCCCAGCAGCAGTCCCCAGAGGCCCATACAGCTCTGCTGCACAAGTTCCTGGCTGCGGTCCCACACATCACTCCCCGAGACGTCGAGCTCGCTTCCCCTAGGCTCTGGCACCCGGACTTCCACGCAGGGAACATCTACGTCGACAACGGACACATATCCTGTATTATCGACTGGCAGGGGGCATGGACTGCGCCCGTGTTCATTGGCGCCAACCCTCCGTTGCTTCTGGACTACGGCATTGACATGTTGATGGAGCTCCCGCCGAACCTCAAAGATCTGGACAAAGACACACAGGCGCGGCTCAGGTACCAGGTATCTCAGTCCATCTTGATCGACACGTACGAAAGACGCACGGCTAGGATAAACCCGCTCATGGACAAGACGATGCGATATCGCCACGGCCAGACGCTGAAGCAATTGGAGGCTTTTGTCGGCGCGACCTGGGACAATTGTCTCTTCCCGTTTGAAGAGTGCTTGATGCGCGTCCAGAGGTGCGCGAGCCGGAGCGGTATCAAGGGCCACAGCTAACGCGTGCAGGGAGTGGCATCACTTTGGCGCCGACGGGCCCTGTCCGTTCGCCTTCTCGGCCGAGGAGACGCGGCGCCACGACGACGAGGCCGAGTCGTTCAACAAGAGCCAGGCGTTTTGGAAAGCGCTGCAGGGCGTGTTGACCGACGAGGGCTACACGACGCACGAGAGCTTTGGCACGGCCGTTGCGGTCCTCAAGGATCTGAGGGAGGGCGGGCTGGGTGAGTTGGCGGGCGAGGAACGGCGCTGCTTCGACGAGGAGACGCGCTGGGTTGCTGCGCTGGACACCTGACGTTCGCGGGTGTTTACTAATAATAGTGGCACTCGGGGTTGCTGTGGTCAGGTGCACAGTGTGTTTATTGTTGGGAAGCACGGCCAGATGCACAGCGCTTCGTTGGAAGAGTACTCATTACAGACTGACAACAAGTCGTGCAAAAGTATCATCTTGTTACAAAGGGTAGAAGAGAAGGATAATACCATGTTTCAGCTCCCTCGTCTTATACAACCCAATAGTCCAAGATGCCAATTCTCGCGAACCAAAGGCAGGGACGCGCATGAACCGCGTAGTTGGTGGCGAAGCAGTGCGCAGCGCGCCGCAGACCGAGTGGCCAGCGTCTACACCATCGGCGCGTGTCTCATGTTTCAGGTGGAGCGAGGCAGATAACGATGGGTAAGGAAAGTGGTGGCTTGATTGCTTCTGCGCAGTCGTGGGCGCACTATTATATCGTGAGGCACTATCATATCGCGACAAGTCCATACTACTACACCTAAGGGGTATCACATCACATTAATATCGATTAGCCAAAGCACGCAACGTATCTGGCCTGTGGGAGGCGTGGGAGCTTACCCTGCCTGGGCCGAGTGTGCTGGTGACTCTAAGCGGTGGCTCTGTTCTGCGAGTCTTGGAAGCATGGGCGGTGGTGTTTGACACTCGAGAGCTCACTCCTTCGCCTTGGTGTCAGGCTTTGGTGCAGACCGGTCCACTGGACTCCCACGAGGCCTTGTGGTTCTTGTTCCACGCTTGAGGCCAGCTCACTCCTTCGCTTTGGTGCCAGGCTTCTCTACCTTGTCTACACCGCATCTCTATTCCCTGCCCCAGAAACACATGCTCATATCCACCCACCCCCCTACCTTCCCTCCGCCCTCGCCGTCAACCCCCCATCCAGCCCCGTCGGCTCCCACAGCGCCTTATCGCGCTTACTCTGCACCCACAAGACATCGCCCTTGAAATACGCGACCGCGCCGCCGCGCCCCGTCGCGCTCGCCGTGATGCGGAACAAGGGCAGCCCCGTCACGTCGTGGGCCTCGCGCAGCGGCATCAGCAGCAGGTTCTCGTCGGCGCAGAACTCCTCGACGACGTCTTTGAAGGTGGCTTCTTCGGGTGCGGGGGGGCGGGGGGGGTCTCTGGTGGTGGATGCGGAGGGCTCGGGGGAGGCGCGGGGGCTCGCGGTGTGTGGTGCGGGCAGGTCGGTTAGGCGGGCGTCGCCGAGGTCGAGCGCCTGGTTGATCAGCGTGTAGGCGTCGGCCCAGCAGGTCGCGACGGCGGGCAGGGCGTTGACGTCCTCGCCCAGGGTGTCGCGCCACCATGTGATCCATTCCTGGACTTCGTTGAAGACGACGGCCTCGCTGGACAGCCACTGGTGCACGATGGCCAGGAACTTGGGGAAGAACTGGGCTTTGAGGAGCTCGCCGAGGGTTTGGTCTGAGAGAAGGCCCTTCCACGCGAACACGGCTTCGAGGGGCGCCATGTCTTGTTCGGCGGGGTTGATTTCGAAGGTGTCCCGCAGGTGGCTCGCGAGGCGTGGGACAAGGTGGTTGGTGAGCATGCGGTCGATCTCGGCCCTGCCAAAGACCTTCCTCCACTGCTCCATGCCGGACAGCGTGCCGCGCGAGATGTCGATGGACTGCAGTGCGTGGCGCAGCTTGCGCTTGATGTCAGCGACCAGGCCAGAGCCCTTGGGATCGAGGTCGGCGGGCGCGAGGTACGGCAGCCATTCGACGATCCACGTGTGCGGGCTTCTCTTGAACTTGCGTGGATTCCACTCGTGCACCGAGGTGGAGAGCTTCCGCGTGATCTGCTCCAGCACGCGTTTCGCGACAAACGGCGGCAGGACTGGCCGCCACACCTCGATCAGATGCACCATCGGACGGGGGTCCTTGACGTCCCATTGCGTGACGGCTGAGCTGACTGACGGCAGCCAGAGCTTGAGCATCATGGTCTCGTAGGAGGACGACGTGCCGCGCTTGATCGGCGCCTCGTCGTCGAGCGGGGTGCGCGCGGCCAGTGCGTCTGATGGATGTGTGTAGGCGTCGGAGCGGATGCGCCTGCTGCGCGGCTGTATGACGTTGGAGAGCTCGGAGAAGGCGGCGGCTGGTTCTTCGAGGGCGTCTTCTAGCGGCGACCACGAGGCGATCATCTGGGAGAAGTGCGGGTGGATGACGGCGATGGATTCGCGGTGGAGGGGCTTCGAGGGGTAGGCGGCGCGCAGGTCCTTCAGGCCGGCGCAGACATCTCTAAAAGAACCCGTCCGCATAGCCTGCAGTCGTGCGCTGACATGGCGTATCTCGTCCATCTGGCGCTCCAGGGCGTCCAGCTCCTTCTCCAGCGCATACTCCTGCGGCGCAATGGCCTGCGCCTCGATCTGCAGCTCCTCGAAGGCCTCGGAGAAGCTGTTCAGGTCGCGGCGCACGCGGGCCTGCAGCGAGTTCTCAAAGGGCACGACGTCGCTGCCGCGCAGAGACACGCCCGAGGTCGGGGTGGAGGCGCCGGTGGTGGCGTCGATGATGGACTGCAGGGCCAGCGGCACATGCATGCCGGCGGCCTCGAGCTCGAACAGCGTCTTCTTGGGGCGCGGGGCCGCGCTGCGGGCGGCGCGGGCGGCCTTGGCCCTGTTCTTGCGCTCGCGACGGTCCTCCTCGTCCGAGTCGAGGTAGGTGTCGCCGTTGACCTCGGCCTTGCGGCGCTCCTCGCGCTTCTGCTGCTCGCTCTTCTCGGCGACGATGCCCACGCCGCCCTTGCTGCCGCGCAGCACGACCTGGATGGGCTCGGCGATGCCCTCGCCCTCGCGCCCCAGGCCGCCGGTGCCCTTGTAGCCCATCTTGGCCATCATCTTCGCGCCGAAGCCCGTCTTGAGCGCGGCGCTGCCATCGTCCGTCTTGGGCTTCTTCTTGGGCTCCTGGCGGAAGTTGAACTTGCGCTTCGGCGGCGGGTCGTCCATGGCGGCGGATGTGCGGGTGGCGGGCGTGCAGATGAAGGCCGGTGGACGACGACTTGCAGGTGGACGACTTTGCGGCGCGTCGCGTGGGCCTGCCAGGTGGAGCCGTTAGCGGCGGGCAGTCCTGGGCGCGCGGGCATTTTTTGCCGCGGCGGGTGCTATTCTGGGACGCCGGCTGAGGCGTGGGGAATGCAACACCATAACTCTCCTATCCGCCCTCTGCGCATCTGCCCCCCCGCCCGCCCTGTCCTGGCCGCCCGCTGCCCACAGAGCGCTACGCCGAGCGCCACGAAGAGCGCCACGAAGAGCGCAACCAGAGAGCGCCCCCTGAGCGCCGCCGAACAGCGCGCCCCCGTAGCAGCACCCCCGACCCCCGACCGACCCCCGAGTATTGGCAGCATGGCATCGCCTCCCGCGCACGACGGCGCCGGGCACCCGCTGCACCACCCGCTGCCGGACCTGCAGTCGGGGCAGGGCGCGTACGTCGGCAACATCAGCCGGCTGGAGGAGCACGCCGAGCGCATGAGCGAGGCCGGCTCCGACCTGAACGAGGAGATCCGCAAGCTGCACACGGAGCTGAAGGCCTCGGACTCGCGCCGCTCGTCGCTGCGGTCGCTGGGCTTCCCCGGCGACGAGCTGGCCCGCGTGCAGACAGGCCGCAGCCGCAACCTGTCCACCAGCTCGCACGCCAACTCGGTCGTCGACACCAACGGGCCCGCGCGCTGGGGCGGCTACTCGCCCGCCGGCTACGTGACGTCGCCCGCCGGCTCGCTGGGCTCCGGCTCGTGGTCGAACCCGCCCGCCTCGCTGCAGCGCCACCGCTCGGGCAGCAAGGCCTCGCGCCTGGCCCACGTCTCGCACGCCGAGCACGCCCCAGACGACTACCCGCGCTCGCCCGGCTCTGTCCAGGCCACGCCCGTCGAGTACCGCCCGCCGCCGCAGCGCCACGTCTCGTCCTTTACGCGCCAGTACGAGGCCATTGCGAACGAGATCCGCGACGAGATCCGCCACAACGCCGGCCCTGCCCGCACCCCGTCCGCGCGCCCGTACCAGCAGGCGCAGCAGCAGCAGCAGCAACAGCAGCAGACGCAGCAACAACAACATCAGCAACAGTACAATGACAGCCACCAGCAGCAGAACTACGACCATCAGCACAACGACGGCCAGCAGCACCACGACAACCCGCAACGCTACAGCCAACACGCCCACGACGACTACAACGACCACGACCCCCGCGACCTGCCCGACCGCCCGCCCACCGCCGCCTCCACCGACACCACCCAGGCCCCCTACCTGTGGCAGGACTTCGACGGCACCCACGCCCCCGACACAGTCCCCGAGGAGGACGAGCCCCAGCCCGCCCATGGCCGCCACCGCAGCAGCTCGTCCCTCATGCCCAGGGGCACCGAGCTGCCACACGGCGTGCCGCCGCCCGACGAGGACATGGTCTTCTACCCCGCCCCGGTGCCGCGCATGCTGAACCTGCCGAAACGCCTGTCTCAGCTGCCGGCCAGTGACGTCGCCGCACGACGTCGCACCCAGGTGCTGGATCAGATCGAGGCCGAGAACCGCAAATCCGCCCCTTGGCTCACCAGTCCAGACCCGCCCAAGAACCGCAAGAGCCGCCAGAGCGTCGCCGGCCTGCCCGCTGCCCTGCGTGCCAGCGCCTTCTTCGACCAGCAGGGCCCGGCCCAGGAGTTCGAGGTCAAGGGCGAGTCGGCCGAGGACACGCTCGACAGCATCCTCGAGGCCTCGGCCCGCGCCCCTGTCTCGGCCTTCACCGACCACACCTTTGGCGGCGGCTACAGCCCCGAGCACAAACGCAAGAGCACCAAGATGTCTCTCATGGACCCGGTTGTTGTGGAGCCAACAAAGAGGCGGAGCTCGTTCAACATTCTCGACACAGACACCAACTCCAGCGGGAAGAAGCTGAACAAGCTCAAGAAGCGCAACAGCTCCGCCGACATGAACATCCTGATCGCAAGGGCCGCTGAAAGCCGCATGAGTCTCGGCGCGGACCTCGACGACCCTGACCAGCACGCACGAGGACCAAACGACCCCGACGCACGAGGCCCGAACGACCCCGACACCGCATCTCGCCACTCGTCCGACGACGACCACAAGAGCGAAGACGAGCGCGAAAAGGACGCCGAGTTCGAGGAGGAGCCTCTGGACGACGAAGAGCCGCAGTACTTCGGCCCTCCGACCACCCTGCTCGCCGAGCTCCAGCTGCGCAAGGCGAAGCAGAAGGAGCGCAACATGAACTACGTTACGATGGTCGAGGAAGGCAAGATCACCTCGCATCGCACGCTCCTCGACCTCAACGACGATGCTGAGAAGGAGCATCAACGCCGGCTCAAGAAGAAGGTGCAGCTGGCGTGGGAAGCCCAGGAGGACGACTCAGACGATGACGTCCCTCTCGGCGTCTTGTACAAGCAGCCCCAGCGGCGTGAGATTGACTACCCGATTGGCCTGATTGCCCAGCGCGAGCTCGAAGACCACGAGCCCCTGAGCCGCCGCCGCGAGCGCATCACCGGCATCCCAAACAGCAGGCGAGCCCCCGCCCCGGGCCCCTACGACAGCCAGACCACGCTCGAGGTGCCCCGCGTCGCCACCCCCGCTCGAGTCCGAGGAAGAAGAGCACACGGGCGAGACCCTCGGCGAGCGCATGCGCCGCCTCAAGGACAAGCAGATGCTCGAAGCCGCGCTGGGCGACGACGTGCGCAAGTCGACCGTCAGCGGCGACTTTGCCGCCGAGATGCTGTCGAAGCTGGGCGTCGACGACTCCACCAAGGACCCCAAAGACCCCCCCGCTGCCCCCGCAGACCCCGACGAAGAAACCCTCGGCCAGCGCCGCGCCCGCCTCAAAGCCGAAGCCGAAGCCCGCGGCGACCCTCCCGCCGCCGCCATCCCCCCCCCTCTCCGCTCCAAAATGAGCCTCGCCGACGTCCTCGCCGCAAACCCCCACGACGCCTCCAACCAAGCCCGCAAAGTCTCCGACCAGCAGCTGCTCGCCCACCTGCCCCCCGGGTCGCTGCTGCGCCAGAACGCGCTCGCAGAGGAAAAGCGCCGCGTCGCGCGGCTGAACCAGAATATGCGGTCGAGTAGCTACAACGGCCCCGCTGATCCGCTGGTCAGGGGCGTCGGGGATGCGAACACCAAAGATGACGAGGATATTCCGCTTGCGCATAGGATTCAGGCGTATAAGGATAAGATGGCGGGTGTGGGTGGGGTGGGCGAGTCGCATGCGCGCGCGCAGAGTATGCTGTTCAATCCTGCGCTCAACGCGAGCCAGTCGTCGATGATGATGCCAGGCGGTATGCCCGGTATGCAAGGCGCGATGCCCGGTCTGCAGCCCACCATGCAGCCCACCATGATGCAGTCCCAGATGCACCCCGGCCTCGGACCCCGCCAGTCCAGCATGCCCATGCAGATGAGCATGATGCAGCAGGGTCCGCAGATGAACGTTGTGGGCGGGATGCCGATGATGGCGCCTATGAATATGGGGCAGAGTATGAACATGGGGCAGGGTATGAATATGCCGATGCAGAATATGGGCATGGGCATGCAGGGTATGGGCCAGGGCATGAACATGTCCCCGGGCATGAGCATGCAGAACATGAACATGGGCATGAGTATGGGCCCGGGCATGGGCATGAACATGGGCATGCAGAGGGGTATGCCCGGCCAGCCGATGCCGATGGGCATGCCGATGGGCATGGATATGCTGCCCATGAACGGGCAGCAGAGGAGCAATATCGAGGGGTGGATGAGGGGGATCCGCTGATTTGTGTTCTGATCTCTGTTCTGTTCTGAGTTCTGTTCTGATTGCCGACGAGGAGAAGAGAAGAGAGCAGAGGGGGGTTGTTGTGCGCAGTACACTTCGCAGTACAGTCCGCAGTGTTGTGTCTTCAGCGGTTCGGTCCGGTTTGACTTAATTTAACCGCAAGTGTTATTCTTCCCTTGCGTTCGCGATAGAGGCATTGATTGGTATGGTATGGTATGGTATGGTATGGTATACAGCGGTACCTGGATTCTGATTTGGATTTTGGACTTCGATTTGGATTTGGCTTTGGATTGGTACCTGGATTGGACATTGGATATTGGACATTGGACAGCAGCATGGGCGACGGCGTTGGCACATCAAGCAAGCAAGCAAGCACTGCATAGCATAGCATAGCATATCACTGCAAGTATATCACCGCACGCATGTTCCAAAGCACAGCAAGCACGGCACGGCATTGCGTAATTCGAATGATTCCTACACCACTGCACCCACCGCCCGGCCCGGCGGCAGCTCCGCGCACCGCCAGACGCGCCGTCTATCCGCGCCCAGGCTGCGCGCTACAAGAACACCCGCGCCGCTCCTCTCCTCTCCTCTCCTTCCTTTCCTGCTCGCCTTTTCGCTGCTCCCCTCTCGCTTCCCTGCTCCCCTCTCGCCTCTCGCCTCGCCCCCCGCGACTAATCCGCCCAAACAACAAAACACAACAAAGGAGAACGCCGCGCCCAACCCGCTGATGCAAAAACGAAACTCAGAGGCCCGCGTCGGAACCAAAAGACAAAAGACACGCACGTTCGCGGACGACGAGCCGGAGCCGGTGAGGGGTGGGACAGGAATGGAAGGTGACAGATGAGACGGTGAGGAGTGATGGGATAGAGGCAGGATATTGCAATGTAATGTAGTGTAGTGTAATGTAGTGTAATGGTATGAAACGATGAAGAAACGCCAGACGCCGATCGCTGATGAGGCGCGATGATGCGGAGCGGGACGCGGATGTATCTGTGTACGATGATCCAATATGTATACTGAAAGGATGTCGCCTAGAAGTTGGTCGAGGCGTGTACGGTGACGAGTGCGGGGACTAGAAATTCGCCAGCCCGTTCTTGGAGTGGCGCTTGCTGAAGCGCTTCCTGCTCTTGACCGAGTCGGTGTCGCCGCGCTCCTTGTGGAGGTGGCCGTGGCGCGAGGCGGGGATGTTGACGCCGTCGAGCGCCGAGTCGCCGCCGAGCGAGCTGGGGGTCGATATCGAGCCGAGTTCGGAGAGGGCCAGGTCGTTGGTCGGCGCCTGCGACAGCGCGTAGTCGCGCGCTTGCTCGACGCTGTCGATCCACTCCTGGCTCGAGTACTTGCTGCCATCAGGGTCGCTGGTGGTACTCTTGGGGTCCTCGAAGATGAACTGCTTTTCGCGCTGGTGTGCGTTAGTAGACGACTCAAACGGCATGGTTCAACCCACTGTTTCCACCAGCCAAGCTGTCAGGCCCTTCGCGTCCTGGAACGATCGCCACGAGCAGCCGGCGGCGAGCAGCGACACCTCTTCCTTGAGCTTCTTGTCGTTCGTGCCGGCGGCGCACATCAGTACACGAGCGTTGCTAGTTATCATGACAAGGCGCTGCCGCTTTTTGATAGTGTTACTGCTGAAGAATCTGGAAAACTTCTTGGGCGCTTCGACTGCCTCGGCTGCGCCACCGACAGGATGCCCTGCAGGGTGCTGTGTTATGAAGAAGTTGCCGAGCTTTAATATCCGCTCGTCTCTCTTGGTCAGCACGGGCGACCAGTCGATGTCGAGCTGGCTGGGAGGCGGTAGCTCGGTAATAAGTCTGGGCTTCGGTCGCACCGGAGCGGGGGCTGGGACGCTTGGTGTCGAGGGCCCTGCGGAGTGTTATGAGGGTACAATCGTTGGGCTGGATGTAATTACCGTTGAGCTTGATCGGCTCCTGCGGCGGCGCACTGTAAGCCTTGAGACGCGGTGCCTTTTGCTTCCACAGGCCTTTGCCCCAGACGATGCCTTCAAAGAAGGGATGCGCCTTGATGTGCTCCATCGGTAAGCGTGTTAGCGGATCTAATACTAGCAATCGCTCGACGAGGTCTCTTGCAAGCGGGGGGAAGCCATCGGGAAAGCTGTACTCCAGCCCCACAATCTTCTGGAAAGTCATGTATTCGTTGGCCGCCTTGAACGGCGGTCGTCCAGCAATCAGCTGGTAGACGATGCACCCAAAAGCCCACAGATCACTGGCCTTGCAGGCATTCTTGTCTGTGAGCAATTCAGGAGACACGTACTCGGCGGTCCCGACGAACGACTGGGCGCGGTCTGATTCAGCACCCTCCATGGGGTCGCCTGATGTGGAGCCAGCGCCGTTCGCCCGCTTCAAGTCCAGAATCTTGGCTGTTCCAAAGTCTGTGATCTTGACGTGCATCTGCTCGTCCAGCAGAACGTTCTCCGGCTTCAGGTCGCGATGTATGATGCCCTTGGAGTGCATGTAGTCGATTGCGTCCAGTATCTGGGCGCCGTAGAATCGTGTGCATTCGATGTCGAAGGTGCCCATCTTCTTGAGAAAGCCCAGCAGCTCTCCGCCAGAAGCCAGGTCGAGCACAAAGTATAGCGAGCGTTCGTCCTGGAATGTGTAGTAGAGGCGCACGACGCCCGGGTGGTCGGTGAGGCGGTTCAGGGTGTCCTTCTCGATATTGACGTATTTGACCTTCTTCTCCTTGATGATGTGGCGCTTGTCGAGCACCTTGATGGCGTACTCGCGCAGCGTCTGGCGGTCGGTGGCGGCGAGGACGGTGCTGTAGGAGCCTTCGCCCAGGGTGCGGCCGAAGTTGAAGTCCTTGACGCCCTTCTTCACCACGCGCGTGATGGGCCGGCCGTTCTGGTCCACCTCCTGCCGCGTGCTGACGGCGGCGCCCTTGTCCTTCCACTCCTCGCTGCTGGACAGGGGGCCGCCCTCGATGCTGTAGGGCGAGCTGGACAGCTGCGAGGGCACGCCGGGGCCGGGGCCGGGGCCGAGGGCGCCAGGGCCGTCCATGGGGATGCGCCGCGAGCTGCGGCGGGGCGGCAGGGGCCCGTTGAGGCCGGCCATCTGGGCGGACTGGCGGTATGGGTCGCGGCGGCTGGCCTCGCGCACGGGCATGGGGCTGGGGGCGACGCGGGAGCTGCTGGTGCGGCGGATGTCGGCAGTCATGCCCTCGTCGTTGTAGCGGTAGGTACCGGGGGCGGTGGTGGAGCTGGTGGAGAGGTTGGGGTGGTTGTACATGCTGGTCGACACGGGCCGCTCGCGCATGGCCTGCGACAGGGCGGCCTGCGGCTGGCTGCGCTGCAGCAGGGCGCCGGGCTGATACGGCGGGTACGGCACCTGCTGCTGGGCCTGGTGGGCGAGCGGCATGCTCTGGCGGTGGGCCAGGCGCGGCGAGTGCGACGGCACGGCGGCGAGGGGCGCGGCCAGCCCCAGCGGCGACGACGACTGCGGCGGCGAGGCGCCCGGCGGGTGCGGTGCGAGGCCGCGCGACGAGGCGGGCGACGGCAGCGGGTCGGCGGCGTAGTCGGTGGGCGGCTCGAGGGCGTAGGGGCTCGCTGCCTGGCGCTCGGTCGCGGTGCTGCTGCTCGAGGCGTGCGACGGCAGGCGGTGCGGGCTCTCGCGCGGGTCCGAAGAGGGGGCCGGCGGCGATGCTGGCGACGTCGGGTCGTCCTCGTCGGGGTTCGCGATGCGCAGCCCGCCGAGGGTCTGCGACAGGCTCAGGTCGCCATTCATCGTGGCAGCCCGGGCGCTCTGGCGGTGGCAGCGGCGCGGCAGAGGCTCTGGCGGGATCGCCCGCAGCACGTCGGGTGCAGGAAGGTCAGCGGACGGGAGGCGTGCCGGGTGCGAGGGACATGGGACATGGGAACGCCCCGCGGCCTGTATACGGGAGAAGCAGCTTGGCCTGGAGGTGAGGTTGAGCCCGACGCTAGCAGTGAGGACGCTTGCACGACGCGTCCGATGGCCGTGGACCGTGCAGCGATCCCTTGTAGCAGCCGCAACCTTCCACTTATACAACCCGCACAACGCTTAATTACAACGCTTAATCACAATCTAATTTCACACAATGTTAACCACACATACTGATGGGAGGCCTGATACTTGCCAGCACGCTGAGATTCGCGTAGGCTGCTTGGCCTGTTGCGCAGAGGATGCACAGGCTGATCTTCGAGAGGTATGTACAAAACAAGGCTAGATAGTAATACTTGCGCTGACAGTAAATAGGCAAGCTCTCAGAAGTTAAAATGTCTCGAGACAATTAAGGGATATGAGGCATATCTTAGTCAAAACAGCGAGCTTCCAAAAGACCAGAAGCTCCTCTTCGACCAAAGACTTGTCAAAGAGAGAGAGCTTGGTACTGCATGGGATGAGCGCGTTACTCTACTTCAGGACATATCCCAAACTTTCGCAGAGGCAGTGAGAACTTTGTGTGCCAGTAACAACCATGGTAAGACGTTACACCCTAAGATTTGTTTCCCTAGTGCTAACAAATGCTAGACAATGGCTCTGCTGCTCTTGCTGAACAATTCGAAGCTGATGCTACTGAGAGGGCCTTTTCTCTAGAGTTGATTTGGCGGGCTAGTGCGAGTCACGAGCCAGCTCTGGTTAAGTTTGCCCCGGAGGACCTAGGATCTAAAACCAGTTTTACTGGTGTGGACCGCTCAAGCATACAAGCGACACCGGACTGGATCATCGATAATGGTCTTGGTTTTTCCGTATTCCTCAAGTCCACCAACGCGACGAGACGGCCATCGCAGGGCCTTGGCCCACAACCAGGTCCGGCCACCATGAGCTACGGCCGTGCTATTTCTGAGTTTGGTCTGCCCGACCCGCCCGAAGCTGGTCCACAAGGTGCAGCTACATCAAATGAGCAGCTGTCGACAGAGGACGAAATCGCTACTCAGTTTAGCGCATGCCATCTTGATTCACAGAAGGCAGTCACTGAGAGCGAACTGCGGCTTGCGAGGGGTGACTTGGCTTCAACTGCGCCTAAATTTAAAGAGGACATCCTCTGGTCAATGTTCGGAGCAGGCAAATTCATGACTTTTGCAGGCGTAATCGTCCGCCAGTATGCGAAGTTAGTGGCGCAAAGAATTGCCGAAGAGAACCGCAAGAAGCAGGAGCAGGAGCAGAAAGGCGAGACACAAGAAGAGAGTTCGGCAGTAGTCGCCGCCGGTGCCTCAACAGGTCCCGCCACGGACAGCGAGACAGGCCTGCCTGTTGTTCAAGGACACGACTATTATGGGCTCACGAACTGGCTTTGCCGCTGTCTGATCAACCACAAAGACTTCCTCCATGTCACTCAACGATGGGACAAAGAACGCAATACACGCAACCAAAGGGTCGCAGCCAGGATCAAGGAATGGAGCCCACCAATGAACTTCGAGGACGGGCGTTTAGGGCAACCTGATCCGAAGAACTTCTACAACGGGAAGCCTCTTGGCGCAGTGGACCAAGCCAAGATGGGCATCAAGACCAAACTCACAAAACATTAAGAAGGCACAGTCAGTTACAGTTGCTCTGGTCTTGCAACCCGTCGGCGAATGATTTCAGTCCCCCTCTTCTCTATCTATACACTGTCGGCGAATGACTTCAGTCCTCCCCTCTCCCCTATCTATACACTGTTGGCGAACGACATCAGTCCTCCCCTCTCCCCTATCTATACACTGTTGGCGAACGACATCAGTCCTCCCCTCTCCCCTATCTATACACTGTTGGCGAACGACATCAGTCCCCCCCCCCCTCTCCCCTATCTATACCCCGCCGGCGAATGTTTTAGCGCTGCGTGAACACGCTCTGCTTGGCAAATGGTCTTGTTTGTAACCATCTCAAGGTGCAGCAATAGTGTATCTACATAGTCTTGATTAGCAGTTAACCTCTAAAACATCTGCGTAAATCACGTTCTCATTCTTATTCTCTTCATCCTTAAAACATGCACGGGCTTAGTACTATTACTGAACGTGTTACCTACAATCGGAATTTTTCACCACAAACACGCTTAGTCCCCTTCACATACACGCACTTTATAATAAATATACCTTTCTTTGTATATATAGAGGGGCTAGAGCAACAACTAGATATCTGCAGAGGCACCAGTTGAAACTCCGCAGCTGCTGAGGGGATATCCGGAGGAGCCACTACACGCTACTGTACCGCGCTAGGGTGTATTCTTGATATAGTGATGTTCGACTGCAGACATAGTTTAGAAGGCTGATATATATTGAGACGTTGAAGGCATGTTGTTACAGTTTCAAGTGTGGGCTGACATTGATGGATTTTGAATGGTACATATTTCAAGTGTTGATTGATCTCAGCTTATGACATATTCCTATAATTCTATCTTGCGCACTTCTTATCTCGCGCAGGCCACGTCAATCATTGCCGCTATCAAAGCTGTCGTTGCTGCTGATGCCGCACAATGCCTTTCGCCACGGGTGTACCAAGAGCCAGGTTCGGATCAGACGAGATGACCAGATTCCACCGTCACCGGCAAATGACGCTCGTCACAGTCGCTTGTGACTTTGCTGCCTGCTGCCTGTTGCCGACGAATTGCTGCTTTTTGTCAGCGCCTCACTCTCACATTCACCACAACTTTCCCTTGCTGAGTTAGCGCACTAAGTACCGCCTGCAAGTGGCGCCAAACGTTGTGCCAGCTGACTTTCCCACACTTGGTCTTACTCACCACCACGAACTTTCTCGCGCCTTGGAAAACAGCTGTTCGACGTAAGCATCCATGTTCACCAGCGGTTCGAACTGTACTGACTTCGTGCTTTAGGGTCAATCCGCTACATCGCTTATTGGGGAGCGCAGTCGCGTGACAGTTCCGAGTCGGCTATTGCGCCGCCACCGCCGCCAATGTTGACATCAATCTCAACATCGACTTCGCCCTTGACATCGACATCGACATCGACCTCGATGCACCGTCGCCGAACGTTGTTACGCCACCGCTACCGCCGACTGACCGACTGACCGACCAACCAAGTCGTGTGTGACGAGGCTGGATTAGAATGGAAAAATGTTAGGCAATGAAGTGGCAGGCCAACATGAAGTTGCTCTCGAAGAGGTTGATAGTGTGGTGGTGATGCCCGGTCGGCAGATGAGGGTTGGCCTAGCCTGGTGAAGGGTGCTGATGCAGGACCGGAATGGAACAATGTTGGGTAGTGAAGTGGCAGGCTAACACGAAGTTGCTCTTGAAGAGGTTGATGGTGTGGGGGTGAGGCCTGGTTGGCAGGTGGGGTTGGTTGATACAGGACTGGATATGATGATAGATATCTGGATGCTGGGCATGGTGTTGGAGGATGCTGGCTGATGGAGGGCTGAGCAGGACTGATGATGATGGATGATGATGGATGATGGCTGGGGGCCAGCTCGAGTGGCAGCTGTAGGGGACCTAGAATGGACAGCGCAGACCTTGGGACTTGTTAGCGGGCGTTGGGGTACTCTAGGACACTGGGACATTGGCGCGCATCTTTGAGACATTCTGGACAATGGTCTGGCCTACAAAAATTTTGTCTTAGCCATTCTGGACAACTGCTAGGAAACCTTGACTTAGCCATTTTCGTTACCTCAAATCTGTGCCTTCTAATGAATCTGCACGTGGACTTAAAGATTTTGGACCGCTGCTGACCCCATCCATGGAAGTTGGGCTTAGCCATCTGGGCGGTGTTTCGTGGAGTTGGATCTGGCCATTTGGATGGTGTCGCCTGGACATGTTGGTTGCTAGACAGTTTGGCGAGGGTTGGTCTGGCGATGACTTCGCGTGCAATGGTCGCGCGTTGATGCAGGCCAACGTGGGTCTTGGAATCCAGATTTGCGCGTCACAGCACTGGCAATAAAATAGATAAAGGGACTGGAAATCTGGGAGACGTAAAATGTTGCACGGTATGACTGAGGTTTGGTGGAGATGCATGCGTCCTGGGGAGGTGAGGGTTCCCGTCCTGAGGACACCCAGATTGGTTGGGCGTTGATGCTTGGAAGCCCCACGACTATCTTCTTGTCAGTCATCTTGAACGTAGGCGCTGAAAGAATAGGATCTGCATCACTTCTTCGATCTTCAGCGCGTTCAATAACACCCTGCTGCCGGAACTGCTCCTCCGCAAGCTGCAACACGACGAACAAGCGGCGAGCGAGCTCGTGGTGATGTGTGAATATCACAGGGATCCGACCAACCTTTTTTCCCTGCACTTTCACGAACTTGTAAATCGACGTAGTGACGGTCTGATGTTAGTAGATCCTGTCAATATCACAGATTAGGGACTTACTGGTCAACGAACCTAAGTTGCTGCACCCATGGCCAGTTAATAACATTATTATTAGAAGCTAGGGTGTTTGGGATATTATAGTCATTCTTGTAGGCATTCTTTAACTGGCGCTAGAAAATGTGTGCGGGCCTTGTATCTTCCGAACATTGAGGAGTGGATCTGTAAGCAGCTAAGTTGCTTTCACGATAATGCAGATCTAGGCAGCTATGGTCTGATAATGATAATCAGCCTCAATGGCTTGAAATTCAATGTCGATATCCTGCGCGCGATCAAGCTCCGTTACAGGGGTTGTAAGGTGGCCCAGCAGTGACAGACATTTAACGTGGACATTGCGAACTGTTGTGGAAATCTAAGGATGCGTAATGGCGGAGGCCCCGCTCAGCAGGAGATTAGATGTCTGACGCCGATTCTTGCGATGCAAGAGTGTTGTAGTTGCGTTCTGAGTTCAAAGTCTTTTAAGGCTCTAAGCAGGCAGAGCTCTTAAGAGCCTCATACCGCAAGAGTCCTAACGAAGACTCCTATGGGTAGAACTTACTTATGCTTATCTTTGCTAGACTACGTGGTAACATTGCGCGCTGAGCCATACTCGTTGATAGTAGACGTAACGTGCAGAACTGTACATGTATAAACGTTGGGCGTGAATTTCATTCGTCAAAGAGTTTCAATAATTTTAAGCTGTTGCTCTACCGTAAGCCTTGCTTATAAGGTAGAAGCACACCCACTTCTTCTTTTTGTACTTTTGCTGCCCTCTCCTAGGGGTTTGAATTATTTCGCGCTGTTTGGGGAGCTTTGTCACGTTGTTGCGGCGCTCGGGGCCTGTCCTGCAGAAGTTGCGATCTTCTTGACAGAATCGTTCTTCTCTTCCTGCACTGTTACATAGCCTTCAGATGCTTCCGTATCTATGCCTGTAGCTCGTGTCTCACTTACTGATTTCTGGACTTGCGTAAAAGGTACAGCTCTCTTATCTTGATTAACAATATCTGTGCGCTCTAAAGTCTTACCTCGTCTGCGGGTCGTTCCCTCCCCTGAATAATTCAATATTTGTTCTTTCTCCTGCAACTGTGCGCGGACCATGTCCTCTGCGGCTGCCCCCTCTAAACGGTATGAGTCTTTGTCTTTACTGTATGCCATGCGTCCAGTTCTAAGGGCTGATGAGATTGTGTAGCAGCAGGATCTGCCTCTCTATGTCTAGCCTTTGTTTCGGTAGTCTGTATCACATCAAGGTGTTGTGTCACTGCTGCTGCCATCGCTGCCATCGCTTCTGCTTCTGCCTTTTGGACGCGTAGCGCTGCGTCCTCTTCAGCCGTTTCAACGCGCTAGGCTACGTTTGCTTCTATCAGCTGGATTTGTTGTGCTGCATCTGCTTTGCCTTGTCAAGGCATTGTGCTGCAGTTGCTTCCAGTCGCTGTATCTGTTGTGCGGCGTCTACATGGCCATTTTCACCGCGTTTGGTTCCATCTGCTTTTGCCTGTGAGATGCGCTGAACTGCGTCTATATTCGGCTGTTAGGCACGTCGCAAGTCTATTGCTTCTGCGGCATCTGCTGGAACATTAATCACGCGCCTGAAATTCTGTGCATCATCTCTCTCAACTCATGTCCTCCAGTTAACTGGGAACAAAAGCCTTCTGGACTTATCATTGGGTGATATCAGGGTTGATTCTTGTGCACCTTGCATAACTCATGGTGTTTCTCCCTAGTATTGTGTCATCGATCCTCCTTAAACTCGCTCCTTTGCTTCTTGAGCGCGTCTAAGGTATGTTGAAGGGCTATGCATGCCTCAATATTTCTCATCCATGCATATATAGCATGACAACGGTTCAGTTGTTGACTAGGTCTTTGCCAGCTCAGTCTTCAGCCATGCCAGCGTCTCCTTAAGACATTTGTGAGGACCTCTTTCTCAAGACAGGGCATGGTGTAACTGACCTTTAGCCGCAAGCTGCGTCTGCGCCATGTGTTGATCATTTAATCTTTCTTTCTTGCTGCATCTGTTAGTCACGGAGGACCACTTTGAGGGGTTTTGCTATCCTGTTTTGGTTACATTCTTGCGATAATTCATTGATCTTCACCCTTTGATGTTAAGTTCTAATCTACGCCTGTGTATGCTCGTCTAAAGCCTCCAAGAGTCTAGCTACCTCAAGCACTATTAATAAGCCTTTTTATGCAATCTGCTAGTTCCTGCAGACAGTATAGTTAGCATTATTAAAAAGGCTCGTATTAAAGGTATTAGTTCGTCCGCAGAGACAGAGAGCATATTCTTCTAAAATCTAGTGCTGGATAAATGCCTGCCTTATTCGCAATAAGCATTGCGGCTGTTAGTTTTGAGCAGCATAAGGCCAGGTCAAGAGATGTCTAATTGACTGTTGCTATAACGTGATTGTGAGCACCTATTTGGTCGCATCTGGACTCCTGCAGAAGACCCACGAGTCGTTCAACGTTGCCTGGATCTGCCGTCTGTTGAGGATCGAGTACTTCAAGTCAGATGCTTGCGATGTCAATGTGCTTGCTACGCCTTTCAAGCGCTAGTCGCCCTTCTCGACCTATGAACTGTGATTTAACAACGCTTTGAGCGCTGCCCTATCCAGAGAAAATCTAGAAGACTAAAGGGACTACAGGCAAATCTGGAAGAGCCGAAGGCCAAAGAACAGAAGGACTTGAGAACAAAAGGGCCTAAGAACACAAGAGCCTGAGCAGCAACTAAAGTCTAAGCCGAAATGACTGATGACGATGTAAGCGATAGGTGAGCAGTGAGTAAGTAACGAACTATCGGATAAGCCGACCACTGGAGAGAGTCGAGAGACGACAGACATGTTGCTTGGCGTGTCTCTATGAAGGCGAAGGCAATTTGGCTTTAGTTCACATCAGCAATGGACTTTGGTGTAAAAGATGGGATGTAATCAGTGACCGTTTTGTTTTAGCTATCAAGTTTTGACATGCTTTGTGTATAACTCGCAAGCGTGCCTTATTACATTAGTGCGCTACGCTATGCACATCTAGTGCGTGCCGTTTAAAGTGTTGCGTATCTTACACAGTAGCACAGCATCTCAGATGTCGGCACTGAAATAGCTGGAGATAAGTCTTACCGCGAAAGTGGACTTCCACGTGTTTGTTAAGAAGGTCTCGGTGGGGTTAGGTATGTGGCGCAAGCGCCTCTCGTAGGTGAATTGCGTATTGTTGATGCAAATGAGACATGCTGGTCAGAGGAGGATGACAGGAAAGGTGATTTGACAATTTCTCCTGTTAGACATGGTACTATCGCTGCCCTCGAATGACAGAGGCACCAGGTCTCCGTTATCCATCAGAGGTCTCGGCGACGGAGACTGATGCCCTTCCTCATATGTTGTGTTGATGATACGTTTCGATAACCTGGGCTGACGTGTCTCTTGCAGCTGACAAAGTCGAGCCAGCATCCAGGGAAACTTTATGCGAGCGCTTTCGTTTGGGAATAGCTTGAAGATCATACTGGCAACGGCGGCTCGCTCAGGCAACTCAAAATCAGTAGCTGGTAAGCTCAAAACATCAGATGCAGCTTTGCCACTAAGCTGACGAGCCACTTCCAGGGTATTGATGAGATCATAAAAGTTGCGAATAACTGGCGCTTGATGTCTCTCTAGGCAACCGTTGATAGTTTTTGACAATCTCAAGATTTGTCTCCGAGTACTTTTGAAATAGAATTGTCCCTTTGGCTTCTAGGATCAACGCTTTCCCTTGTTTTACGCGAGATCCACTGCTTGCAGATTGGATATTGCAGAAGAAGGGATGAGTTAGTCTGCTTTTCTTCTATTTAATGCGCAGCACATTGCGTTGCGCTGGCACTGATCCCTGGTCGAAGTCCCCGTACTCGTCCGATGAAGCTTCGTCCAAATCGTAGTCTAGGCTGCTCAAGCTGCTGTCTGTCCCATCAGATGATTCTGAAGATGCTGTTGACAGAAGCCCTCGACGCGCTGGACGTGATTACTGGGTGGTCTTAATGTGACCAACGGCCATAGTGGTTGTGGCGCTTCCTTGTGCGGGTCGAGAGGACTTCTGCAAACAGAACGCAACTAGCAGGGTGCGCAACCGGCTTACGGCGCAGATGAGAACGATGGACCGGTAGGGAGACGAGCAGAAGAGAAGGTGCTGCTGATGGCGAGTCACTAGAAGAGAATCTGGCGCGTTATATAGGCCAGAGGCGGGCGGGCTGGAGGTAACATGCCGCTACTGATGGGCGTCAACGCTGCGCGGCGCAACCTGCACATTTTTACAAACACCGATACCTAGCAGTCTCAAAATCCAACATGATGTCTGCCGCATGACGTGGCACCTCATGTGTACCATCCGGCGACGCCGGATAGTCAGACGTATTCGTCTGACAGGCACTTGTAATGTCTAGCCCAATACAACCGTTGTTGTTGGTTAGAGATCACGGATTGATTGGTAGAAGTAGAAACAAGTAATCAAGTGAATTGATCGTGTTCACTGTCTTCTTTAGAGTGTTGCAACTACTTAAATATATACCTTATTTTGGAGCAGAATCAGGCCGAGATAACAAGCCAATCGGACATTACTACGGTCTAGACTGATCGTGCAGTCAAGGTCAGCAAGGTCATGTGATCTGAACCTTCTCTATGATCACGGAGGGTAGCTGATCAGTGACTTGCTGCAACAACCGTCGAATGAGCCTCCAACAAAATTCGGCTCGTCCTCATAGTCCGACTCGACTTCGATTTCATCCGGGTCAAGATCGAGGACGAGCCTGCTCATCGTCTACATCAGTCATGATAGACGTTGGATGAGGCCTTCTGTAATGGTGATGGTGGCATTCTCTACCTCAGTAGATAGCAAGGTGTCCTCTCCACTCATATCCATCATATTATCAGTAAGCTCCGCGTTAGGACTGCTCGGCATTTGTGGGTCATAGCCAGATGACTCGCGAGCGCTCGTGGGAGAAGATGACGGTAGGAGGGAGCGTCGTCGTCATCGTCGTTATCGTCAGCAACGTCCGGGGCAATGTTTTGAATTAGCAAAAGCCCATATGTGGATCGACCAGGCCTGGTATCTACGCGTACCCAAATTAGTTGCCAGATAAAGAATGAAGCAGCGAATGCACGGGAAGAACAGAAGAAGGCAAGCGCCAGTAGAGGCAGAAGAAGGAGGTGCTGGTGAGGGTGGAGGAGGTGGGAAGCCTGGGTGGTAGTAGGTAGGATGCCCGAAGCTGGAATGAAGCTTGAAGGTCGTAGGGTGGTTGGAGAGAACAGAGGAATGCAGAGAGAGGACAGATGAAGGCAAGCTCCAGTAGAGGCAGAAGAAGGATGTGCTGGTGAGGGTGGGGGAGGTGGAGGAGGGTGGGGGAAGGTGGTGGAGGAGAGGGTTAGGATGCTGTGGCGGAGATGTTGATGATCCAAAATGTTGACATGGATGATTGAAAATGTCGGAATATTTTGGGTGATATAATGCAAACCTGGACATGCCTAAGGACCAGCCAGCGGGCAGTGATGCAGCTGGATGCAGCTGGATGCTGGGGCTGCTAAATGTAGGGGCCTTGGATGCAGGGCTGGGTGTAGGCGGGGGGGTGGCACTTGGAATGAACAGCGCAGGTTTCTGGGACTGTTTGCAGGATCACAGGTAACCTTAGACACTGAGACATATTAGCACAGATTCCGGCATCTCTCAGACACTTATACCTGCTTTCTTGACGTAGACTTTGTCGAAATATGCACAAGATGACCAGGCGGCTTTGTGGTCACGAATGTAGGTTGAGCAAATATCGCACCGCGTAGAATAGACTTGCAGCCTCCTAGGATGGAGGGTGACCGTCATGGATCTGCGCCGGTCCCAGGTCCATAGGAGAGACCTCGACAGGAAACGCTGCAGAGCATAGGTGAAGTAGGCACAAATTAGCAGTCGAGGAAGCTGTTGGTATGCTGATGAGAGAGGCAAGCAGGAGGGCGTTAAGCAGCGGGTTATATGTTTGCATGCGGGATGTGGACTGTAGGATGTTTCAAAGGGTGGGACAGCAGCAGGGCATGAAGAGGCGTCCTGTCATGGAACGGAAACCGGCTGGTGGAAGCCGTAGAAGATCCTTAAGGTTTTGAATTGTCGTTAACGCTAGCTATTGTACTCCCTGATTGTATGTGTAAAGGATACCAAGGGCGTTCGCCAACAAGGTGCTGAAGAAAAGAAAGACTAAAAGCGTTCGCCTATAGTATATGTGTAAGGGAGACCAAGGGCGTTCGCCAACAAGGTGCTAAAGAAGAGAAAAGACTAAAAGCGTTCGCCTATAGTATATGTGTAAGGGAGACCAAGGGCGTTCGCCAACAAGGTGCTAAAGAAGAGAAAAGACTAAAAGCGTTCGCCTATAGTATATGTGTAAGGGAGACCAAGGGCGTTCGCCAACAAGGTGCTGAGTTTAATGGCCAGTGGTGGCGGCGGCGGCGGCAGTGGCGGCGGATGACTTTAGCGGGAATCCTCGAAGTGAGTCTTCAGGCTCACCAGTCATATTGCTGACGATCTTGACAAGGGCAGTTTTCGTGGGTCCGTCAGGAAAGAACTCCACGTTACTAAAGTAGGTGGGCACGGCCGCGATGAGCATCTCTGGCACAACAGGCGAGACAAGCAATATGCTGTCTTTCTTCTCTCCGGTACGACACTCGTGGTAGATGACCCATTCGTTGGCCGGAGATGGTGCTCCCAAATCGGTGCTCTTTAGAAGTTCGACCCGGTGGTTGTACCGAAGGGTCTGGTAGACCATCGGCCCCTTCTTGGTCTGTGTGGGCAAGCGACGCGCAACCTTCATGAACTCACCGCGGGCGAGAGCTAGGATAATCCACGGGTAGTAGCTGAGTTCACCCATGTCGAGGGAACAACACTTCCACTCAGGAAATGAAGTGTGTAAGATGTTGAGAAGTTGTTTGCGCATCATGTCTGCAGTTCGCAGCACGCTACCGCGAAGCATATTCTGCTGCAGCCATTCGTCAGTGTTGACAGCTGTGTTCTTGGGGTCCGAAGCAGTCCTCCACGCAAAGTAAACGTTCAGAAGGAGAACGTGGTCGCCGCTGTGCCCACAATACTCATTGCGAATGCTCTTAAGCTTCGCCTTTTCCTCATTTCCATCCGGTTGGACGAAGAGACTATTACCGCCATCTGATGCTTCGATCATAGCTACGATCGTAAGCACTTCGTCCGAGCAACCAAGCTTTGGGCTCTCTAACAAGGCCGCGGCGAGATACATGTCAATGGGTAGGCGCGACAATAACTTGCCACGAGATGTCAATTCTGTGCCGCGAGCGTTTATAGCATCCATTTCGCGGAGGATACCAAGTGCCCGAACAACGGTTTCAGTTGCTGGTGCCACAATGTATGGGAAGTCGATTGGCGACATACCCAAACTCAGAATGTCCATGCATTCAGAAAGCATGTCACTCTCTGATACAGAGGGAACGAAATGCTGTGGCAAGGCACTCTCGAAGCCAAACTGTGTACACATGCGGTACGCGACGCCTTCGCGAGTACGACCAGCTCGGCCAGCGCGCTGTTTCGCCACAGCATGGCTGATGTACTGCTCCTTGAACGAATAGCTCTCGCTGGCCGGATTCCAGACTCGAGACTTGACCTTCAGGGTATCAATAACATGCGTGACACCAGTAATAGTTACGGATGTCTCTGCGATGTTCGTCGCGACAATAAGCTTCCGGCAAATTTTGTCAGCTCGAGTTGGCGGCACAGACTCTACGGCTTCACTGACAGCCTCTGGAGTAAGCTGCGAATGAAGCGGGTAGCACTGGAGGGTGCCAATGTCATGCGGAGCGAAACGGGCCCTGCTGCTGCCCTCTTTGAGCGCCTCTTCAATTTTCTGAATGACCTTGTTGATCATCCCTACGCCAGACACAAAGACCAGAATGTTGCCGCTCTGGCCCATGAGGTGCGTCTGCAGGATTATATCCAGAAGCATCTCAAGTTCCTTGTCCTCACCTTGTGGTGGATCTGCAGTGTATTTGATGTGCACCTTGAACTCCCTGCCGGGAACTTCGACCAGTGCGGATCGATCAAAATAATTTGTGAACGCCTGCGCGTCCATTGTAGCAGACATTATAATGATCTTAAGATCATTCTTCCCGGAAAGATTTTTCAGAAGACCGAGTAGTAGATCGGTCGCCATGGTATGTTGATGCGCTTCGTCGATTATGACAACGCCATACTCTAACAAAGCGGGGTCGCTCTTTGCGAGAGCGAGCAGTGTGCCTATCCCAAATTAGCAATCTTAGATCTGAACTGATCACGCTTGACTCACCGTCTGTGACGACCTCCAGGCGAGTGACATTGGCTGTGGTGTTGTTCACACCCCTATGCCGCACGCCAACAGTGCTGCCGAGGCGCACATCTAATTCCTCTGCGATGCGCTCGCCGACCTTTTCAACAAATGTTAGCATGACCTTAAATTCAGCGTATCGAAATTATCATTACCTTCTGTGCTGCGAGCTGGCGCGGTTGGGTGACCACGACCTTCTTGCCACTCTTGACAATCATATCTGACTCTAGGAGCATCTGTGGCACCTGAGTCGACTTGCCTGAGCCCGTCTCGCCTACGAGCACAACAACATCGTTCTGGCAGACGGCGTCAACTATCGCCGATCTGTGCAGCGAGACCGGCAGACGGTTCGCGAGCTTGCGCTGCGCATAGTAGTTCTCGCTGAACAGCCTGCCAGTGTAGGGGTTGGTCGCAGCAGCAGACATGGTTAAGAAAAGTTTTTTTTTGGAGAGGAAGAAAATGATTTGAAAGTGATTGTGATGAGAGCGTAAGTTGGAAATTGATTGTTGTTATGCGAGTGTGGGTAGACGGTGAGGTGAAGGATTGAGCGCGTGGAAGGTCTTGGCAACGCGTCCTCATATGCTTCTGCCCCTCCCACCCACACATATCGCATCTACCACAGACACATACACACACACACAAGCACTTATTTGTTCCTGTCAACCATAAAAAAATAGCATCTATGTCAAACATGGAGTCTTCAATGGGCGGCATGGGGCGTCCAAAGTTTACGCAGTCCGAAGGAGTTGGACAGGAAGCTTGCTACAACTGGCCGCGGGGCGAGTGCAGGTTTGGGGGCTCTTGTAACCGAGACCATCCTTCTAATCTCTCGCCACACCAGACAAAGGAGCTACCAGATTTCGTCGTTGACAACGAGCCTGGCAAGGCGTGTCGGAGGTGTCTTGGTCTTGGTGTAGAGGCAAGTGCACTTCAACTACCTGCAGTGGTGCTGTTCAAGAGTTAACATAGTACAGTGCGATAAACTGGGCCGTCCTGGTAGCGACGATCCCTGCTCGGAGTGTCGTTGGTTTGCTGGAGGGCCGGCGACCAAATGCACGCTCTCTCTCAACACCAGCCTCAACGACACGTGCTGGAACCTGATGATAAGCCGGGGCAATCATGGCTATACATTGCCAGAACCGAGACCCAAAGATCAGGCTAAGCAAGTCCCAGCCAAAGCCTTGCAGGATCTAGCTCGTCAAGGTCGACCTTTGCCCCCGGTTCCCTCTCCGATGAATGGCGTGAGGGCTGACTGGAAGGGCGAGACAAAAGAGGAGCTCTTAGCCAAGCCGCATCCGCTTCCACCACAAGTTCGCGCACACCCACGTGCATACCTGGTCCTTCCGCGGGTTTCCTCAACATTGCAGAAGATCAGAACCTGGAACGCCACGTCCACCCAAGGCGATGGGAAGCGTAAACTGGACGACCAGGCTACTCCAGCCCTTCTGCCTGCAGCCCCAAGCCCTCTGCAGCAGTACCTGCCACCTATCACGTCTATGCCCACCGACGCATTTGGTCGTCAGGCAATTAGGTGTATGTGGAACAACATTGACAAGACCTGGACGAACTGGTATGCCGACGGCTCTATGACTGTCAGCGCCTCATACAATGCTGGCCCATCGTCTCAGCTACCGGTACCTGTTCCCAAAATAGTGTCAATTTTACATTGCTAACAACCACAGTTTGCTGCATCTGCGACGCAGGCGATGCGGCCTTTCGGTGCTCCACCGTCCGCTCCCAATCAGCGGCACACTCAGCCTCTTCAGGCGCCTCTGCCCCGGAACCTATCTCGCCCATACAATCACGCACTCCCCCCTCGACCAGACTTGCAGTCAACGTCGCGTACAGCCGTAAATGCGGTCGCTCAGCCCTTGACCCGTACCAGTGTTGATGAATATTCGCGATCGTCGAGTAAGAGGCCGCGCATAAATGAAAGCACTCCACAGCTAGCCACCAGTCAGGCGTCGCGACAAGAAACTGTGGCCGTACCTGATCAAATGGACGTAGAGCCTACAAAAGCGCCGGCTACAAATGCTACCATGATGCCGGCGATAGGAATGATCACCGAAAACGATGAGGGCGACGAGGATGAGATGAAATTTGATGACTTGACAGAACTCGATATATACGAGGAGCAGTAGGCGTAATACCCTCCCCCATATTACACTGAACTTGGCGAATGCCTTCAGTCCGATCCCCTCCCCCATATTACACTGAACTTGGCGAATGCCTTCAGTCCGATCCCCTCCCACATATTACACTGAACTTGGCGAATGCCTTCAGTCCGATCCCCTCCCTCACATTACACTGAACTTGGCGCAATGCCTTCAGTCCGATCCCCTCCCTCACATTACACTGAGCTTGGCGCAATGCCTTCAGTCCGATCCCCTCCCTCACATTACACTGAGCTTGGCGCAATGCCTTCAGTCCTATTCTTTACACTGAACTTGGCGCAATGCCTTCAGTCTCATGTCGATCTATATAGAGGTATCAAGAGTAACGGTTGGAAAAGGCACAAAATAGAGATCACTTTGCTTTAAAACACATGCAATTCTGACCCTCTTCCAATAGCCGCAGGCATCCGTCAACAGCAAACCAAGAGCATTCGCCAGTGGTATATAGGAAAAAGAAACCAGCATTCGCCGGTGGGGTGAAGTAACCAAGAGCATTCGCCAGTGGTATATAGGAAAAAGAAACCAGCATTCGCCGGTGGGGTGAAGTAACCAAGAGCATTCGCCAGTGGTATATAGGAAAAAGAAACCAGCATTCGCCGGTGGGGTGAAGTAACCAAGAGCATTCGCCAGTGGTATATAGGAAAAAGAAACCAGCATTCGCCGGTGGGGTGAAGTAACCAAGAGCATTCGCCAGTGGTATATAGGAAAAAGAAACCAGCATTCGCCGGTGGGGTGAAGTAACCAAGAGCATTCGCCAGTGGTACATAGAGAGAAGGAACCAGCATTCGCCGATAGTTCTGGGGGCCGGTGACAAGGAACATCCCTAAGTCGATCTCCTTCATGCATTCCCCGCGGTCACAGATGGGGGGTACTCGCAGGTTATGCCGCGTTCGACGCACCGTTCGCAAGGCCCGCGGTCGCCAGTAATGGAAATTGGGATGATGCATCCCTTCTTGCTTTTACAGCATGCATCGCAACGGGTGCGCATATTTCCAGGTGGTAGGCGTCGACGCGGCTGCTCTGAGCTGGGGGCGGCGAAGGCGACCGCGTCAGGATGCGCTTCAGGCTGCGCGTTACTGCGCATCTCGACTGTGATGACTTCCTCGGTGGCGTCGGTGCCTGCGTTCGATACCTGATCTGCCACAGGTGCATGCGGTATCGATGGATCTGCAAGAGCTTATCAAAATGGTGAGCAATGGTAATTGATCAGATATCATACCGGCTGTATTCGACAGTTGACTGTCAGCTGCAGCCGCTGCTCTCAGTTTATCAAGTCGTTGCTTCAACCATATTTCTTTCCCCTCGGGTAAAGCAATGGATGTAGCCGGTCTCTGCTTATCAGCATAGTGGACCAGACCGAACTTGCATTGGACCGCGATTGGATGATCGCAAGGCACAGCACCACTCTGGTGGCGCTTGCGGACCGAGCCGTTCTCAAAGTCGGTTTCAAAGAAGATATGCTCCTCATTAATATCAATAGCAATAGAATCGTTGCTGAGGTTGTGAACGTGGGAAGACTTGTACGAAGTGTCTAGATTGTATAAGTCAGAATAGATTCTAAAGTAGTGATGTAAAGAACATACCTGCAACCTTGCGGAACTCGGCAGGCTGAAGTTTAAGCGCAGCAACAGCCCTTGTCAACGCGGTCACCTCTGAAACCTTCAAGCGGCTGTTGGGGCAGACAAACGTGAAAAACATTTTGGGGGCTGCTTTTCTGGGGGGATGGAGTAGGTCGAACCAGATACAGCCATACTCTGGGTCCTTAAGACCCCTGGACTGCCATTCCCTGACCTTCCTCTCCCAATCGTCACGCCTGTTTGTGAGAAGGTGTACAAAGTGCTGCTCTCGAGAGCAGCAGGTAGGACGTGGCAGGTTGGGCGTAGGAGGTGGCAGGTCGGGCGTAGGAGGTGGCAGGTCGGGCGTGGGAGGTGGCAGGTCTGGTGTGAGGGTAGCAGCATCATTAGAGGCCTCTGCCTCGGGTGCGCTGTCCTCATCGTTCCTACATTGCATCGGTCAGTGAGGGTTTTGGAACTATGCATCTTGCCAAAGCATACTGTGCAGGACTAAGACGAGCTTGCTTTTTGGCATTCTTGCGCTCAAGCTTCTCATTCTCTCGGCGCTTGTTGCGGTTGCGGTTATTCTTTGCCTTCATCTTAGCTCTTTTTGCCGCAGCTTTGGCATCTTCAGCTATGCAGAGTTAGTGAATGCTGTGAATAAGGGAAGCTGTAGAACTTACTTGACTATGCATAGTAGTGATGTTAGCAAAAGATTAGCAAGGAAAGAAGTCAGCAATCTGTGCAGAATGATGGTGGTGGCGCAAACGGTCGTCGTCCAATGATTCAGCGGTGTCGATTTGGACTACTTGAGTGCTCGCATTTGCCCAGACTACTCACGCCGAAGCGATCGTTTGCCTTGAACTACTTGAGTGCTCGCATTTGCCTTAGACTGCTCGCATTTGCCCAGACTACTCACGCCGAAGCGATCGTTTGCCTTGAACTACTTGAGTGCTTTTGTCCAGACTACTTGAGAGCTCACGCTCGCATTTGCCCAGACTACTCACGCCGAAGCGATCGTTTGCCTTGGACTACTTGAGAAATGAGTGCTCGCATTTGCCTTAGACTGCCCATGCTCGCATTTGCCCAGACTACTCACGCCGAAGCGATCGTTTGCCTTGAACTACTTGAGTGCTTTTGTCCAGACTACTTGAGAGCTCACGCTCGCATTTGCCCAGACTACTCACGCCGAAGCGATCGTTTGCCTTGGACTACTTGAGAAATGAGTGCTCGCATTTGCCTTAGACTGCCCATGCTCGCATTTGCCCAGACTACTCACGCCGAAGCGATCGTTTGCCTTAGACTACTTGAGAAATGAGGTTGGTGTGTGGATATCGTTTTGTTCGTGGTTTCCGTTCGACCAGACTTAAGGTGTAGGGAGGGCAGGCGTGAAGTGGAACTTACGTGTGGGCTAGCCCCTGGTATATCGTCAGTGATGGAAAACTTGATGCAGCTTATTCTGAGTACATACCGGAGGCCTCAGCAGAGCTGCCCTGGATGGTCTCGGAGACATAGTTGGTGGCGTTGGAGATGCCGATCTGACCGGCGATACCCTCGTTGGGCTTGTTGGCGTTGGGAGCAGACATGTTGAAGGTTGGTTGGGTTGGTTGGTTGGGTTGGTTGGTTGGGTTGGTTGGTTAGGCTGGTTGGCAGGGCAAATACAGTGGCAGCAGTGGTGTTAGAGTTTACGATTTGACTACGTGATGCATTCGCTATCTGGGGTGACGTTTCGAGGCAGGTGGGCACTGAGAAGGAAGGAGCGACACTATTGCGAACATCAGGAAGACTCCACAGTTTAGTAGTAACCTATTGCCTTGCAAAATCATCTAAAACTGTTCGGCATAAGCAACAAACATGAAGCGTTTACTGCCGGCAAACCTTAACTTGTCATCTCTTCGGGGGCAGACCAAGTTGGAGCGACGCACTCTTCGCTCTTGCACACAATGCAACGGCCATTCCTCAATCAACTCTTTCAAATAGGCATAAATTTCACCGCACCACCTGCGAGGGAAAAATTGTGTGACTGCTAGCGCGCCTGGGATGCATTTCGTTGCTACCGCCCACGACCCTCAGACAATCATTCTTTTTCTGCCTGGCATACTATCGTACCCTAGTTCCGTGCACAGACCGTCTAGAGCAAGGCGCGCTTCGGTATACCCTGTCCTGAGTATCCTCCAATTCGACTAAAGAAGATGCTCCCTTCCGCCATGGATCCCCATAAACTGGCGGATACACTACCTACGAGTATGTCCAAAGGAACTTGATATCTTTATTTATAGGCCAGCGCGTCCAAACCGCCCCTTTCCACATTGTAGATCATGCCAATATTCTTATCACCCAACGATACCCTTGTTGGTGTCGGGGGCAGACATGGTGAGACTGGACGGGCGACAGTCAGGGGGCAATCAGAGGAGCAGTGTGGTGAAAGAGTTTTTCATGAAGGAGGCAGGAGCGACGAGATGTCTTCCCTTTCCATGCTGCGATTGTTTTTCTCCTTCATCTTGGCTCGTTTCGCCGCCGCTTTGGCATTATCAGCTAAGGTATGCAGAGTTAGCAAATGCCGTGAATAAGGGAGGCTCTAGAACTCAATACAGCTCGTTCTAAGTACATACTAGAGGCCTTGGAGATGTAGTTGGTAGCGTTAGAGGTGGAGTTGCCGATCTGGCCGACGATACCCTTGCTGGGCTTGTTGGTGTTAGGGGCAGACATGGTGAGGTTGGACGGGCGACAGGTTAGTGTCGGGGGCAGACATGATGAGGTTGGACGGGCGACAGGTTAGTGTCGGGGGCAGACATGGTGAGACACCAACACCGCCCACCGCACCGCACCGCCCGACGCCTGCTGCCGCTGCCAAGAGCCTCACTGGGTCTCCCTCGAGGCCACTGCCCCTCGCACCTGTGCGACCGCTGATGCGGCCGGTGCATTGCCGCCGCCAGGCACTATGCCATGTTACGCAGGGTCAATACAGCTCATGCATCCTGCCATGCTGCCCTTCCCCATCGGTCTTGTTGCTTCACTGTGGCTGGTGATTGGCAGCGATTGGCATTGGCAGTGATTGGCAGTGGTTGGCCAGTGATTGGCTGGAGACTGGCTCGCCCTGGCCATTGCCTGGGGAGAGTCAGGACGGCCATCTATACTACAGCACGCTGCACCGCAATGAAACCAGACACGCCGAATCCGTGCTGCACTCACTGTGTCTGCGACTGATCTGGATCAGCGAGCATGCTGCGTCAAGGTGCTCGCGTGCAGTTGCCAGTTCTCCCGAACTCGCAGCGCTCACTGTAGGCATGTAGAAGACACTCACGGTAGACAAATATAGGGAAGGCACGCATGAGGCATTCACAGTAGGCACGGCAGGCACTCACAGTAGCCACAGAAGGCACTCGCCAACACACGCATCAGCCCTTCCAACGTTTGTTCCTGACACCACCTTCCGTATCACTGCAATGACAACAGCGACCATGGCAGGCGTTCACCGTGGCCGTCCTCTGCCAGGGCACGGCCAGCATCCCAACCCTCACTTCTCTGCACCCACTCTTTCTTTTGGTCGCTTTCTGGTTGTTTCTCGTCACTTTTTGGCCACTTCTTGGGTTCTAGTATACTCATATCTGCCTTGCCTCGACGGCATCGAACATTATGTTACGCTTGAAACCATCAGAGCTTACCTTGACGCCGGAGGACATCGACGAAACTTTCCAGCGCATGGCACGACGGCGGCAGGCCAGGGCCCCTGTGCCCCCAGCACAACGACGCGCGAAGCACACTGGACGTCCTCCCCCACCCCGGCTTGTTCCTGGTGCGCAGCGATCCGTGAATGACGCCGTCACCCATCTTGGCAACATCCCACTTCTGAGGCCCCGACCTCAACAGGCTGTCATTGCACATGTTGACGATGACTCTGAAGGTTCTGATGGCACGCTGGACGAAGCATCACACCAGTTGGAAACCTCGCCAGATCTTGTAGATGTCCCCTCACAGCCCGGGCTGCTTCCGTCTGCTCTATCTGCAGCCACGGCGCCGCGTCACAGCACGAGGCTACCTTTCCGACTCGGACTTTCACGCAGAACACTCGAGGTTGAGCGAGAACCACACCCTTCGCCGACTGGACAAGCTGATGACTCCGAAGGAACTCTTGTTGAGCCAGCGAGTTCTCCATTGGGGACGACCAATGTTAGCCTGTCCACTCCTGGTCGAAGCAGGCCGAAAGAACCCTCTACTAGAGACTCCCCACCACTTCAATCTAGCCCTTCTGCTACTCCGGCAAGTTTGCGAGGTGGAGCAAGTCGCCCTCAACGAGATCGTGTTCAGTCCATCGGCCAAGAATCGCTCCATGCTCCGTCGCCACTTCGCCAGACGCAGGTACCTGGCCCAACGCTTGAGCCAGACAGTGACTTGGCCAGCTCAGACGAAGAGTCTCCAGTCAGATACTTACAGGGCTATTTCAAGCCGAACACTCAAGAGTACACTTTCGAAGAACTGGTGCAAGTCGCTCCACGTACTGAACCATCTCGCAAGGCCAGTCAGCCGCAACTTCATTCACGGAGTCGCTCGTTTACTGACGCTCCGCCTCTACGCTTTCTTGCACCGACACCCAATTTACCGCCTCCTTCTAGAGAAGATATGTTCTGGGATGGTGCCACACCCGCACCTGGGCATGCTACTTACAATCAGACGGACGGACGACCCAGACAGCATAGTAGTGAGATGTCAAACATGAGCTTAGCCTACTCATACTACGAGCTTCCTGAGAGCCGGCAGTCGAGCGGCGAGTATTCGTCGCTTTTCCAGTCACAGTACGATGTGGATGCAGGTTCACGGGAGCCCAGCCGCGGCACTTATCGCTCAGTGCGACTCTCAGAAGCGCAAGTTCTTGGTAATGCAACGAGATCTCCAACACCTGGACCAACAAGCTTTCAGCCTCCGATACCAATGTTCTCCGCCCACATGGGTGCCTCTCCCCTTCCAGCAGAGCCTTATGGACGTACACCTACTGGTGCCAACCACCAACCAACATTTCGCCAACAAGTCAGCGAGACGGCTCCGGCTCGTAGAAACGCTATCGTGGCTGCCGTGGAGGATGATGTATCGCCCTTGGAAGCGCTCACAGCGCACATTGGGAGGGAGTCGCAACGTCTCGGGGGCTATCAAGGACAGCCCCAGCGAAGCAGCCATCTTCCAGGGCTGGGTCATCCAGCGTACAACAACCCAGGTCCAGTGATGGGTGCACACGATCCACGCCAATTCATGTTCAGTCCATCGTACATGCATGTTCCACAATCATACGCGCACAGTTCTCATCCGTTCGTGCGTGGCTCGCAAGGCTTGGTCGGTCAACCGCTGTTTGCTACGCCAAGTGCATTCGGCTCAACCATGGCTATGGCCGATGATCCTTATACGCGAGGTGTTTCTGCCCATGTAGGTCAAGTGCAAGGCTCTGGCACACGTCCCTCGTGGACTCAGGCTCTTCCTGCCAGCTATGTGCCGCCACGGCCAAGAAGCACACAGGGAGGACGGAACGGCCAACGCTCCAGCGAGAACGCCCCAGCCAGCACTACGGCTCGTGTGGTTGGAACGTCACAAGTACAGGAGCATGCCTTTGCGTTTGGGCAGATACCCGATCCCGCTCCAACTAGGTCAGTCATCGCCTACTAGCATATTTCGTATTTCGTGGCAAGAGTCGCATATCTTGCCGAGTTACTTACTGACGCAGGCAAACACGACCGCGGACGGAAGCACCTCAAGCTGTGCCAGTGCGGCGCAACGAACTACCGAGCAGTCCCATGCCACCAGCACCAACGAGAATGCCGCAGCATACCGGCTCACGTCAACCCGCTGTGCTCTCTCCAGGCCATGGCAATGCTGGGCGGCGGTCCGCTCGAATGGATCCGCGTCTGCAAGACCAAGAAAACTCCGGTCAAGCTGAGTTGCAGACAATGATGCGAGAGTTCGACACGGTCCGATCACGATACGATGAACCGCAGAGTGACGTGATGGACGAAACGCCTCCTAGAATTGGAAGGATTGAGAGGCACATGTAACGGTGCATCGATGTGGCTGCATTGTCTTAGGGGAATAGTAATACCTGGCGGTTGATGTAGTCTACAACAGTATCGATAGTACAGTATGCAACAAGACAGACTTGCACTCGTTACAAGCGCTCGATAGATCAAATGAGCTCAAGTCGCTCTCGGCGTGTCATGGCGAAGCATCATGGACATGTGATGGGTTTGCCAAACCTCATCTTCATCGTCTACGCATATGATATCGAACCCCTGTTTCTCCCAAAATCGAATAGCGCCTGCCAGGAAGGGATGTGTGTGTAGATACATGCATTGCACCCCTGAAGCAAGCGCATGATCCCGCAGAGCATGGAACAACGACGCAGCCAGCCCGTGCCGCCGATACTGCGGCAGAACAAACAAACGAATCACCTCGACAGTCCTACACTCGCGGTCCGGACACGTGTCCAGCGAAGACGACGAGGAACTCGCAGACCCGCCCCCCAACGGCGCCGGCAGCTGCGCAAACCGGTAGTCAAACGGCACATACGCAATCGCCGCGACCACAGCACCACCCCCGGCCTCCCGCGCCACCAGCACGCACCCGCGCTCCAGCACGCCCGGGGCGTCGAGCAGCGCGTCGTGGCCCAGCGAGGGGAACAGGATGCGCCGCGACGCGTTGACGAAGCGGGATGCGTCGTGCAGCGTCGCCGGGGTGGTGTGTTCGATTCGCCACGGGGAGAGGGGTGATGGGGTGCTCAGCGGCGTGCTGCATGCAGACGCAGACGCAGACGGCAACGCAGACGGCAACGTAGACGGCAACGCAGACGGGGTTGGGCCGCGGCGCGTGGCGTGCAGCGCGGGACTGGGGCTGGCGTGCCGCGTCGCCATGTCATTCGAGGGTTTCTGGGGCACTAGCCGGATGAGGAAGTTTTTTTCTGCTGGTGTGGTACGTTGGCTCCTGCGGGGTGTGGGGGTTGTGCGGAGAATGGGTGGATGCTTGGAGATGTGAGATGGGCGAGTGAGGAGTGTAGATGGGAGGTTAGGAGTGGGTTTGAGGGCGTTGAGCTCGTGCTTGGCCAGACGTGCGAACGGAGGGATGGGCGATGTCGGCGCGGGCCGGATTACCTTGTTCGGCGGGCGTTGTGGCGGTAGTGTTGCCGAAACTCTTGCGGTGGTGGTTCGGAATGTTGGCGAACTTTGGAGGCGTGGCGCGCGAGTCAGGGTTGAAGGTCTAGATAATCAGTGTTGGCTCCAAATGAACACATGTTTGCTGTAGATCAGGCGGCTCGATGTTGTCTGTTCATTGTTAAACGTTGTTTCGTCGCCAATTACAAACAAAAGAGAGACCAGCGAATGTGACTTTTGTCAGTCGTACTTTGCGTGCTGCTCAAATCACCGTGAAGCTAGAGGTATCACAAGATGAAGTTGAGAATGACAATCTTTACATACCAATGACCCTACCGAGTGTCTATCCTGACTGATAAAATCACCTCCGTCGCTGCAAAGCTTCCAGGCGCGGCTGTCGCTCCTAAGCAGACATCGATCCTGGCTGCATGTCGTCCCCGAGCAATGGTACACCACCCTCCTCGTCGTCATCCATGTCAAAGTCCTCCTCATCACCACTCTCCATCCAATACTCGTCATCCATCAGGTCGTCCCTGCGAGACTGAATCTGCTCAGCCATTCTCCTGTTCAGATCCTCCTCGTAAGAGCGTCGCAGCTGAGTCTGTTCAAGTTCTTTCCTCTCCAACAAACGAGCAACTGCTGACGCAACGCGCATCTTGCCAAACAAAGGCCCTACGGCGCGAACCACGTCGTTGAGGTCTTTCTGGCTGATGGTGCGGCCGGACGCCTCGAAGAGCATGCGCTTGCAGGTGGGGCAGGAGTTTCCGGTGTTCAGCCAGGCAGCCAGACACACTTGACCGTGTATGTGGCCACAGACCCCGATGCGTACTGCTGTATGGTGTGCATCGGAGGGGACTGTGTCGATGTTGACGTGAAGAGGGTCCTTGCAGATGTAGCAGTCCTGGTACATGAGTGCTTTTGAAGGCGCGATCAGCACGAGGCCGAGTTGCATGAAAGCGGCTTTGCTTGCGAAAATACTCATGATGGGTGGCTGAAAGACTGGTGGTTGAGTTGATCGGAGCTTGGTGGTGTATGGTTGAGCGCAGACCGCGGTATGTGGTTGGTGGGATGAGTGGGCGTACGCGCGCACAGGTCATAAGTGAAAGGTGAAAGTGAGTGACGGCCACTTGGTTGCAAGGTGAGACACGCGCTTGAGATACCGCGGTGTCTAGCAAGTGAAGTGCTTGCACCCATGCTACGTGCAGGTCGCTGATTCCTGCTTGTCGAAAAACAAGTCCTCTGTGCCTTCCAAGGTCGCCTCACTGAGCGAACTAGACGATGTTAGTGATGCGAAGGAACGCACCTGGGGCCAGAATAGCCACGTGCTCGTGGCTGACTACAGATGGGAAGGAGCAATGGAGGGCTCGACCTGACCTTCAGAACGCCATTCCAGCTTACAAAGCTAGCCTTCAACAGCCAAAAAAATTACAGAACTAAAGACGACTCAGGTAAAGATAGCAGCAAGAATAGAGCGAAGATACATCCTGCTGCGGCTGGTCTCAGCAAGGTCAGAGTCAAGGCGGAAGTGCCCATCTAGAAGCAAAACCGTAGTGGAAGGAGCTGGACAACAACAATTCGCCCTTCGTTCGAGTTGTATGGAAAACTTGGGTCGGACAAGCAGTAAGACAACGAAAGGGCTAGTAGAAAAGTCTGACGAGGACGAAGCGGAAGCAACTGCTTTCAAAAAGAAAGCTCCCGAACACGAACCTTTCGCCCGCCATCCAAACGGGATTCGGAATGTCTCGAAAGACTTGGACAGAACCATGAGGTAGGACATAGCAGCTGATTAAGCGAGCCAGCCTCCAGCAACAATGCAGCTGGCCAAAGAAGATCCGACCCGTCTTGCCTGACACGTTTACCAAATGCCCAGTCCAACGTGCTTGGTTGTAGTAACATCATGTCTTGATGATCAAAGTCATGTCAGGCTGGCAGCAGATTCATGCCGTGACAGCTCTTCAATATCTTCCTCTTCTCATCTCCAGTGCTCGTGAACGGCCCATAGTTCTTGTTTGACTCGATGATATGGTGTGCATGTATAAGTCATCAATGAGCACTGTAAAGCTCTAGTGATCAGCTTCATGCTCATGGCATACTTGCATGTCTGTTGTGAGTATTGCAAACTCCACAACATGGTGGCATTCAATCGTGAATGCAGAACCGTGTACGGTCGAGTCACCATGTGACAGGCGGAACCGTACCTACCGCAAGACAAAAAAGGAAGCATCGACATGTGAGCGTCGCGTGGTGTGGAGATCGAGTGGGGCCGGACGTAGGCGCTAGTCTAAAGTAGTGCTAGTATCTTCACTGTTACGCCACCAGCAAAATTTTCAACCATGGATATCTCGACGACCAGAACAGCTATAGACAAGCTGAAAAGACAAAAAGAATGCTGTAAGCCCGACGAGGGGCTCGAACCCTCAACCTTGAGATTAAGAGTCTCACGCGCTACCGATTGTGCCAGCCGGGCTTGTTGTTGCTCATTTGATGATAAGACAAGCAATCGATACTATCATAATGTCAGTAGGATTGTTATAGGTGATGCTGTTGCTGTGTCGGTTCTAGTGCCGACTCCTCCATGAACAGTCTGTGTAAGCCTTTCTTTCCCGTATCTGGCTCAAGCTCAGAGCTTCTCGCCGCATACCAAAAGAGGATACACCGCTCCCGCCGCTACTGGCACCTTCTTCCATCCTGTCGCCGCAAACAGGGACATGATCGTACCCGAATGCGCGGCCAAAACAATATAGTCGCCATAAGCGCTCTCGAAGATGTCATCGAGTAACTCTATGCTCCTGATCGCATGCTCCTTGAGGGTCTCCCGTCGGCTTGGGGTCCACAGAGTATCCTCTTCGTCAAATCCGTCTTCAATGTCGAAGGAAGGGTAGTGCTCGGCTATCCAGGATCTGCTGCTTCTGCGGTCGCATGTGTGGACGCCGAGCTGTTCGCGCAGCTTCTCTTTGATCACCGGTTTCTTGTCTCTTGCCTCAGGTGGGAAAGCAAGCTGCACCGTGCTAAGGCAGCAGCGTAACGGACTGGATAGGATGGTCGTGATGGTTCCGTTGCCTATGGATGAGCGAGCTTCCGCAATATTGCGTGCCTGCTGTTCTCCATTGGCTGTCAGTTCTGCATCCTCCCAGATGACATTGCCGTCACCAGGTACCTTCGCCCAATGACGCTACACCAGTCAGTGGTTGTCGTGTCATTCAATAGGCGCAGGTTACAGGGGCAGGAGGTCTTCAGTAGTGATCGACAGAACTCACATCCCACTCAGCGCGGCCGACCTCCTTCTCTTTGACGTTGTGAAATCCTTCACCATGGCGAATCAAGTACAGCAGTTTGTAGTGTTTGTTCTCGTCCTTCGAGTTCAGGTCTCGAATGTATTATTGGAACGTTGCCACTGTGGTTCCTCTTGTATACCGGCTTCCCCATCGGTTGGATATGACCTGTCGAGGAGTCCCAAATTGACACGCGTCGTCGCTCTGAAGTCCCAACTTTCGGGGTCATCGTCATGAGAGAAGAAGCCACGCAGAGCTATGTACTTGCGTCTTGCTGTTATCTTTGGCGAGGATGGATATAGCAAGCTACACAGGAGCGCAATTAGAGCGACAGAAACGACGAGTATGTTGCCTTGTCTATTCATCCAGGAGGTGCGGGGTGGTACTCAGCTTGATGCCACGCTGGAGCTAATGTGGGGCCTCTGTAGATATGTACGCTAGCCAGGACGGATCGTTCCAGGCTCCCGCAGCGGATCTTCCAACAACAATCACACTGCACCGTTGATGACAAACTGCAGGGAGTTCCAACAGAGGACGGCTCGATCATGATGCCGCACCACCAAGCTCACGACCGGATAACGACCACGTCGACAAATCTCCCATAGAAGCGACCAGTCGAAGCTGCAAAGTCGGTCCCGCTTGTAACGATCTAGCCTCTCTGACGTCTTACGACCATGGGACTGTACGATCTCCCTACCTTGAATACTGACCCGATCAGATTATTACGCGTCAAACTCATGGACGTTGGCCAGGTTCAATGCTCTGTTTCTATCCATGACCTGAACGAAGAGCGTACTGGATTTTGCGCGCTGTCTTATACGTGGGGCCCGTGCCACCGAGAAAGTGTCAAGCTGTGCAGACCACATGGATCTATGAGGTCCTCGAGGACGATACTGTGCAACGAGAAACCGGTCGAGGTCACAGAAAAACCTTCATGATTTCCTCTACCAGTGGACCGCGGGTCATGAAACTTCAACATTCGTCTGGATCGATGCACTCTGTATCGACCAGGACAACGTTTCTGAGCAAAGCCATCAAGTACACATCATGGGTCAAATTTATACCACAGCAAAGCATGTCCTTATCTGGCTGGGTCCTGAAGACGACTCGACAGGGCTTGCTTTTAAGCTCGTGGAAGGCTTGAGCTCGATGAAGGCCGAAGTAAGACGAACGCTTGACCCCCACAAGGTATCCGCTGACAATGAGAACCTCTTACTGGATCTGACGAGATGGAAGGCTCTATCGCGGTTCTTCACTCGAATATGGTTCAGTCGCGCATGGATCATACAGGAAGCAATTCTAGCGAGGAGTAGTACTGTTATGTGTGGGCCTCGTGCTACTTCTTGGGAAGCACTCACTGACACGTCCAAATTTCTCGCAACCACTGCCTGGACGACTTTTCTTGAGAATCCTACTTCATTTAAAGACCACGCAAACCAGTTGCACAAGTGTCCAGCTCGATTACTTGCCCAGTACAAAACGTGGAAAGGTTCTTATAAGGACGGCTTACTGTATGCACTCATTCGTGCTCGCCCATCCATCTGTCAGGACCCAAAGAATAAGGTGTACTCGCAACTTCACTTGGGTCAAGTCGACATGTTCCCGAATTATCAGCATTCGGTAGCTGAGGTGTATACTATCGCTGCAAAGCACGTACTCGAACAGTCTGAAAGCATGCTCTTCTTCACGTGTGTAGAGGGAGAAGACTTCCAAACTCGTAACTATGGTCTGCCATCTTGGGTTCCCGACTGGTCGATAGCGAAGTTCACCGGACTCCGTGTGACTGGCTATAGGCATTTCAATGCTGCAGAACAGCGACTGCCAACGTATTCAATTTCTCATGACATGAGAATGTTGAGCATAGAGGCAGTAAAGGTGGATGACATTGTGGAGATTTGTGAAGAGAAGAACATGTTGCGCGCGAACTTGCAGTCTTCGACAATGTGGAAGCTACTCTCGATGCTCGACTCAACTTACAGCACCGGACATGGTACTCAAACTCGTGAGGAGGTACTTTGGCGCGCATTGATGACAAACAGAGGCAGTACTCCAACAGATCGAAGGGTTCGATATACCGCACCGGATGAGATTGGGCAATCATTCCGCAGTTGGGTACTTTGGCGGTATGCTCTGGCAACTGGAGCACCGACAGCCTTCCCAGTGCCTTCTGCCACAGACAGTATACTACGCAGGATGAACTCGAGAAAGCACGTCTGAGAGCCAAATCCGACCCTGCATATCTTGCAAACTTAGCACACAAAGCCTCTCTTTACGACCTTCACTTCTCACACGCCATGCTCCCACGACCGTTTCGCACAAGGCGAGGGTACTTTGGTATTGGGACACAATGCTTGCGCAAAGGAGACTGTGTTTGGATTGTATCTGGATGTCGTGTACCTATCATTCTCCGTCGCATCGATGGCAGCAAGCGCTTTCGACTCGTCGGCGGTTCTTATACACATGGCTTGATGGATGGGGAGGGCCTGAATCAACCAGGTGCTGAGTTCGAAATGGTGAGCCTCGAGTAGGAAGCTGCCTCTTGCAAACAGCAATCGCGACGCTCAGATGCAGTCAAGAAGACAGGTGCTATCTTCAGGGTCAGATATGACCCCGTGTGCCCTTGCAAATCCGTCCAATAAGGGATCGAATGTTCGAACAAGGCTGCATTCTCTCAGGGCCACATGGCATCTAGGGGAGCCACTACTTTGCTGTGTTGTAAACACTACCGTTTGTCTGCACAAACACACATCCTGCATGCGTTCGCAATCGCAGGTCACCCTCCCGAGTAACGTATCGCGATCGTCGAGCGAGGTGTCGCAAGGCTTGCCAGGCCTGTGGTCATCAAACACGCAAATATGACGCCAAGACTGCTGCCTGGACATATACGGTTGTGCATCAAGTCTGCATCAGCCGTCAAATGCAGCGCTTGATATCGAACAGAAGCAAGACAGTGGTCGGAAGCCCCGCGATGTCAGTCTCAAGAGGCAGGGCTGTGTTCACCGGTATGCGCGATGAGTCGCCCGCCGGTCAGCGATGGGCGTGAGTCATACCTAGCACGCCGGGGGGCGGAAAACGCAACTGCCCCCTGCACAGCAAACCACAGGCCGCGCCTTCACAAACGCTAATTCCTTGATCGCTGGCGTACCGCTGCTTTGTTGCCTTGTCTTCTCGTGAAAGCAACTCCTGTCTCCTTCCCTCCTCACTGCCACTCCTTGTTCACAGTTGGCCAGGGCGCATGCGAGGACAAAGCTGGGGACGCGCAGTCTCGTCGCACCTGTCTCAGAGGATCTGCAGTGCATTCCAAGGGCAGCAGTAGCAAATTGCGCAGCTTCTCGCCGCCAGAACAGCACCGCGACAGATTTTTTCGTCAGGCTTGGGGTCGCCGGGAGGCAAGTTGTGCGGCGAAGGTGAGTGGTCGGCAGTGGTTAGGTCCCGGACGAGGCGACAGCGCCGGTTGCAGCGTCATGGCCTGGCAGAGAGCAGCCTGCGCGCGTCGGCGTCGCAACCGCCACAGCAACAGTGCTGCTCTCGTCTGCGCGCTTTGTTGACAGACGGCTGGCACATGTCACAGGAGCTGCACAGCGGCTGCCCGCCCTCACTGTCGCAGGACGCGAGGCAGTGCGGTACGGTGAAGGAGAAACGCGCTTGTGCATGACGAGCAGCCCCTTTTTCGCGCGGCAGAAACTTCCAGGTGCAAAAGCGGCGGGTCGCGATGGCCACTAGCGTGGTGCACGGACCCTGCCCCGGCTACTATAAGTATTCGGGCTGCCCCCTTGGTTTATCGCCCTTTTGGTCGCCTTGCACTCCGCTCGCCGCCTCACTCAGCTCCCCCGCACCACCCCACGCCGCAAACTGAAAACATCGTTTTCCACCTGCGCGCTCTCTAATACGCGATTCGGGACGAACTGTGTGTTAATTTGCACACACTTCCATTCTCTTCGAGCTTGAGGAGCATACTCGCGACCGGCGCTAGCCCCATTCGCTTGCGACCATCCATCCAAGCAGCCATCGCTCAGTCGCACCTTACGACTTCCCTTGCCAAAGGCTTGCTGGCTTCGCTTTTGGTCTCTACCACCACCACCGTACATCACTAACTACTGCCATCACCGGCAGCGACTTGCGATCGGCGGCATACTCTTGTCAACGTTTGCCCGGGACTCTTTCGATAGTAGCTCTCTCGCCTCCGGTACGGTTTCACCTCTGCCTACCTCTTCCATCTTGCACTTCGGTGTCGATCGATTGTCGCAATACATTCGCGATTCCATAGTCTACCTGACTAGACCGCCGCTTCTCGAAGTCACATTCTGACCTGCGCAGTCTGTCAAGAACCCTCTTCAGATACTCTCTAGCTCGCACGGTGTTCCGTCGAGTCATACATCAATCCACAATCATGGATCCCTCCTCTCTTACCTCTCACCCGTCCACCGCCGCCCAGGCAAAGACGGTAAGCTTGTGTGATGCTATGTTTGAGAACCCTTATTGACATCCGCTTAGTTCGTCGGACCTGGTTCTTTGTCCTACCCCAATAACGGAGACTTGACACCGCCGACGTCCGAGAAGAGCGCGCAGCCTGACGGCAACAACGCGAACGGCGTTGCAACCCCAGCGGCTACACCCGATACACAGAATGGCCAAGTGCCTTCTGGAATCGTGCCCACCCTGCAGAACATCGTCGCCACAGTCAACCTCTCCGCTCGTCTAGACCTCAAGACCATCGCTCTGCACGCGCGTAACGCTGAGTATAACCCTAAGCGTTTCGCTGCGGTTATCATGCGTATTCGTGAGCCCAAGACAACGGCTTTGGTCTTTGCGAGTGGAAAGATGGTCGTCACTGGTGCCAAGTCTGAGGATGATAGCCGCCTTGCTTCCCGCAAATACGCGCGGATTATCCAGAAGCTGGGGTTCAACGCAAAGTTCACCGTACGTGCAAACAGACTTCTTGTCTGGAGCCTTTGCTAATAGCGATTAGGACTTTAAGATTCAGAATATTGTCGGCTCCTGCGACATCAAGTTCCCCATTCGCTTGGAAGGTCTTGCATCTCGCCATCACACTTTCTCGTCCTACGAGCCTGAACTCTTCCCCGGTCTCATCTACCGCATGATGAAACCGAAGATCGTCCTGCTTATTTTCGTCTCCGGCAAGATTGTCTTGACCGGTGCGAAGGTTCGTGAAGAGATCTACCAGGCTTTCGAGCTCATCTACCCTGTCTTGTCGGATTTCCGCAAGTCCTGAATCTCTGAACTATACCCTCATCATTTTTGCGGCATTGCATGGTGTTTCGGTTTGCGATTTTCCTTTTCACACAAATTGCGTACTCCGGGGTCGATCCTAAAATTCAGTAAACACCCTTTCGATGACATAGACATCTGCGCTCGGGGAGTTCAGCCTCCAGTAATCATGTTCACGAGGCGTGGCAGTCGATTGTTTTGGTCTCTATTATTATTCCAGTACGAGTACGATACGCGAGCGGGCGGTGGCAGACATGGCCACAACATTGAGATTGTTTGGATTCGCGAAGGCGCTACTGCAAGTGTAAAAGCTTGCACAGAGGTGCTCAACATGGCTGGCTGTGTGATGCCAGAGCTCTCGCGCATGTGCTATATTACAGGCTATGGTCCTTTTCCCCAGCTCCTTCTCAGTGGGATGGTTCTGGTAGTAAAGCATCATGATACCAACAATCGTTCCCTTCGCCTGTCCTCTTTGTGAACAATCCCCTCCTTGCCACGCTTGGTTGGATGTTTGCCCAGACCAAGGTTTGACGCATCATGTGTGCTCCTTCACACCACGATGTGCCTGTTCCAGAGAACAGTGGCTGTTGTCTGCTGAGATGAACAAGGCTTGCACCACTATGCTTTTCTTGCAAGGGCTTCGATGCCGATCCCGATGCCGAAGATTCGCTCATCCTATGCATCGGCCATGGCGATTGCGACACGACGACTTAGTGGCGTGTTGTAGTTGGTATGTGCCTCAGCCCATCGTCTCTTTCAGCCTGCCTGTATATCGTACTGGTACGGCAATTCACCCTCACTTGGATTCGGATGCAGCCTGATCACGCTCCTCCCCGATCCCAGCGAGCTCGTGGACGAGTTTGGCAACAGCGTGCTTGGGCTGCGCCGAGGCTCTCTTATCAACACCGATCCTCTATCGGACAGAGTCTGAAAAGACACCATTGATGTTGTACGTGGCGTGCCGTAGATACCAGAGCTTCGTTGCGCCTGGCGCGAAGGCGCAGTGCGGAGTGTTTGCGGCGAGTGTGGGCTGGCGCCACTGCTACCGCTACGACCGCTGGAGAAGGAAGACGAGGAGGGCTGATGCGCGAGCTTAGGAGTACGGTACAGCGGTAGTGAGTGCGAAGAGCTGCTGCTGCTGGATATGGATCTTCCTGAGCTCGACGATTGCGTGGGTGCGAGGCTGCGTGTGTCGCTGTATATGCTCTGCGCACGCAGGTCTTCCACCACATCTGGATCGAGCTCTGTCATACCGTTGAGAATGTCGGCGAATACGGACATTATGTCTTCGAACTGAGTCTCGGTCAGACATTCAGTCGAGAAGCGAGCGTGTTCGTACTGTGCGAGGAAGACCGGACCGAGTGTGGGTGGATTGAGGAGACCCAGCTCAGATAGACGGGAGAGGTAAGATCGCAGACCCATTGCTCGTGGGCGCTGGAGTAGTGTGACAATTTGCGCATCGGGGAGCAGGGGCGTCTCGTGTGGGAAACGAACAGAGCCTGTCTCGACGTTTGGATCGGGTGGCGCAAGAGAGACTGCCTTTGCTTCAATAAGGTTGGGCAGCTCGCATATGACGCTCCAGTACTGCAGATTCGGCAGGTCAGGAGACGCTGGTGAGGCCCAACCTGGATTAGAGATGTGCCCCCATGGCGGCGACTTTGCGTTGATATGAAGAATCGTGGCATCGCATACACCATGACCACTCTTACGCTTCTTAGCCTTTTCTTTCTCCTTCTCCCTCTCTGATGTGACTGGTCTGCCCTCATCCTGCTCCTCGTCTGTGTCCTCGCCCGCATCAGCTTCACCCCTAATGTCCCTCGGTCGCGAGTCCCATGCCACGATCGCACTCCGCCTGAGTTGTTTTACGATCATCCTGCGAACCATTTTTCCCACTTCGCCTTCCTCCACCGGCAAGTATGGCTTCGGTATTGCCTGCAGGACGCTGCGATTCGTGTAGACGCGGGTCGAGTAGATGAGTATTATGATTATCGCCGTGAGCAGATAGACTCCGCCAATAACAAAGAGCTTCGGGATCTCATTGGTCTTGATAGTCTGGTATATTATGTCGCCAGGCGACACACACAGCAAGATCAGAAGTATGATAAGGAGCGTTGTGTACGTCGTCGAGTACCATATCCTGAAAAGGGGGATGTGCATCGCGGCGGTCGATGAGATATTCCGTGTAAAGTGAGGATAGGCATCGGTATGATCTATTAGATATTAGAGCTATGGTGCTGATGTTACATGGCGGGAGTGAACATGGCGTTGAAGGAGCGTTGTTGATGAGGTGAGGGAGAGGAAGGCGCCAAGGTCACTGGCGCATGCACGCCTCTTTAGCACGACCCACGGGTTCCCTGCATGCAACTTTCTACACCTCACATGCTACCCGCATACTGCACTAGAAGGATGCGAGCAGCGTGGGCTTTCGACAAGGCCGACGTCTACATGCACAACTTGACCGAAACTAGAATTATTGACTCGACGTCGCGCCCGTCCAAAGAGAGCGAGACAACATGCAGGTCTCCACAGATCAGCAAACACATCCACCAGTGCTGATTGTCGGCCAAACAATGTTCTACCGAACCGCACCGTCGCACGCCAATTGTCCACTATGAGTGGGTTTTGGTTTCGACAGGTGGCAGGACAGTGGGCAGCCAAGTGTTCCACACAGCGCTAGTGCGACTTGCAACGCTCCATGGACCCAGCTAAGTAGGAGATGTCTTGGATGTTCGTGCCGGAGGCTGAAACGTGCATTGTTCGCGACCTTGGTGCAGTTCAGTATGTTTATCAAGCCACATGAGGCTTGTCTGTTCTCTTCCTCTCTTCCTCTCTTGTGCTATCAGCACACAAACCTCTCTTTATGCATAGTAGAAAAGGTTCATATGGTTACTCGCCATATCGATCAAAAGTACAGACACGGTGCTTCGGGCTTGCTTTTGTCATCCTTGTGACATTATACTTCTTCCTTCGCTCGGAATTACTCTTCACAGTTTTGCCACGCCCACCTCGCTTTCCATTCTCTCAGACATCATGTCCAGCGGAACCGCCATTCCCGCCCATCATCTCGCCTCCGCACGGCCGTTTCAACTGGAGAAATGTCACCCAGCGATATCCGGTTGAGGCGTTCGCAGAGCTACCTGCTTCCGCGAAAAGCCGGACACCAAAAGTTCAATTTGACTCTAACAGGGAGGACCCACCTCTCTACCATGAGATTATGCGCCAGCGTCGTCAAGCTGCAGTCAAGACGACCTTTGAAAGAGCTTGGAAGGCATACAAAGAGCACGCATGGAAGCAAGATGAGCTGTTACCCATTTCTGGAACATCGAAAACCACCTTTGGAGGCTGGGGGGCTACGCTTGTGGACAGTCTCGACACACTTTGGATTATGGGCCTAGAAGACGAGTTTCATGAGGCAGTTCAAGCAGTCAGCGAAATCGACTTCGCACCTGGGGAGGGTGAACTCAACATGTTCGAGACTACGATTCGCTATCTGGGAGGTCTGCTTGCAGCGTATGATCTCACGGACTGTAAAGACAACAGACTGCTCGAGAAAGCAATGGAACTGGGGGACATGATCTACATGAGCTTCGACACTCCCAACAGAATGCCAATCACGCGTTGGAGTGCGAAGAAAGCAGCAGCCGGTCAACAACAATCAGCAGCAGCCCAAGGCATCATTGCGGAATTCGCATCGTTCAGCCTCGAGTTCACTCGTCTGTCTCAGCTCACCGGGGATATGCGCTACTATGATGCCGTCGCACGTGTCACAGCCGTTCTTGCTTCTCAGCAGAACGCGACCAAAATACCTGGTCTCTGGCCTGTCGGTATCAACGTCCAGAAACCTGACTTGACCTATGACAGTCTCTTCAGCTTGGGCACCATGGCCGATTCAGCATACGAATATCTTGGAAAGACATACCAACTTCTCCAGAATACGGGCGCAACGGCGTCTCAATATGCAAACATGTACTCGTCAGCCATGGACGCTGTCATCAGCCATCTCCTGTTCCGCCCCAAAACTCCCGACAGCGCAGATATTCTGATGCCAGCAGCTGTTCGTATTGACAACAAAGGCACAATCACCCTCGACCCCACAGCCCAACACCTCGTCTGCTTTGCCGGCGGCATGCTCGCCCTAGGCTCCAAACTGCTCGGCAATGCGTCCCATCTCGACTACGGCCGCAGAGTCACAGACGCATGCATCTGGAGCTACACCCACGCCCCAAACGGCATCATGCCGGAGATGTTCCGCATGACACCCTGCCCGACACGCGAGCCGTGCGACTACGACGACAACACAAGCAAAATGCAGCAGTTCCCCGGCTTCGAGCAGGTCACCGACGCGCGCTACATGCTGCGCCCAGAGGCCATCGAGAGCGTCTTCTACATGTACCGCATCACGGGCGAGCGGCACTACCAGGACGTCGCGTGGAGCATGTTCGAGGCGATTGAGAAGCGCACGCGCACCAGCATGGCGAACGCGGCGATTCGCGATGTCACGCTGCGGTTTGGGCCGGGCGAGGCCAGCGAGTTGAAGAGGGGCACGGGCGCGGGCGCGCGGCAGGCCGAGGGCGGGCTGGAGCTGTCGGATAGCATGGAGAGTTTCTGGACGGCGGAGACGCTGAAGTACTTCTACTTGATTTTCAGTGAGCCGGAGTTGGTCAGTTTGGATGAGTGGGTGTTCAACACTGAGGCGCATCCTTTTAGATTACGGTAATTTTGACGGCACTGCGTGTTGTTCTTATGAATGAAAGAAATGCTTGTTCAGTCTATCTTCCCGTGCCTCATGATTTTGACTTGGAAAGGTGGACTTAACAACAAGCTGCTGACATATCGTAAAAGTAGTTCGTTCCTGCACAAGTGTTGCAGACTCGTTAGAACCTAGAACCGAGTTCGCACACAGGGTTTTTAGGACACTACAGCACCAGGGAAGATACGTGAGTTCAAGATGTTACATTTGTCGACTAAACACTTCATCTCTTTTTGAGATTTACTCGGCAACCCAGACGGCAGCCATACCCATACCGGTACCAATACACATACTCGTAACACCAATCTTCTGGCCCGTCCTCCTCAGCTCCGTGAACAATGTGCTCACCTGCCTCGCGCCCGTAACACCCAGGGGGTGGCCAAACGCAATCGCGCCGCCCTTGGGGTTGACCTTCTTCTGATCGAGGCCCAGCTCGTTGATGCAGAACAGGCACTGACTCGCAAACGCCTCGTTGATCTCGTAGATATCCACGTCGTCCTTGTGCAGGCCCGTCTTCTCGAGCACCACGGGGATGGCGGCCGCGGGGCCCACGCCCATCAGTAGCGGGGGCACGCCGACGATCGAGGCTTGCACGAACTTGCCGATGATCTTCTGGCCGAGGCGCTCGGCTGTGCTGCGCTTCATGAGCAGGACGGCGGCGGCGCCGTCGGAGATCTGGGACGCGTTGCCGGCGTGGATGGAGCCGTCCTTTGCGAAGGCGGCGCGGATCTTGCTGAGGGACTCGGGGGTGATGCCCTCGCGCACGCCGTCGTCCTTGGAGACGGTGATGGTCTTCTCCTCGTCGGTCTTGGGGTCGGTCCACTTGACGGTCAAGGGAGCGAGCTCCTCGTCGAACAGACCCTGCTTCTGGGCCTCGACGGCCTTCTGGAACGACTTGGCGGCGAACGCGTCCTGGTCGGCACGCGAGATCCCCTTGTCCTTGGCCATCTGCTCGGACAGGGCACCCATGGGGACCTTGCAGTTCTTGGCCTCCTTGTGGCTCTCGACGAGCTCGCTGAGCTCGCTGACGGCGTTGGGGCCGTACTGTGTGGACATGCTCTCCGAGCCGGCGCCGATGCCGACCTCGATCATGCCGCTCTTGATGGCGTTGGCGATGTCGACGCAGGCCTGGAGACCAGACGAGCACTGCCTGTTCAAGCTCTTGACGGCGGCGGTGACGGGGAAGCCGGCTGCGAGGGCGGCAGCGCGGAACTCAGTCGCGCCTCCACCGGGGGCGAGGACAGTGCCGACGGCAATGTCTTCTACGAGGCCGGGGTCGATGCCGGAGCGGTCGATAAGGGCCTTGAAGGCGCCGACCAGGAGGTCAGCGCTCTGGGTGTCCTTAAAGCCACCCTTACCACCCTTTGTGAAGGGTGTGCGGAGGGCACATGTGACAACGACCTAGGAAGAATCGTTAGATGCGTCCTTCTTGAGGTGTTGTATGCGATCTCGACAACTTACATCATCGGCGTGCTTCTCAAGCAGACTCGACTTTCCCTTCTTGCCGGCTGAACCAGAATCAGGGCTGCCACCGAGGTGGTTGCCAATCTGAGCAAGACGCTCCTGAGCTGCTCAAACGTCAGCTTTGTGGCACTTACACCATGGCTAGGTGTTTGCCAACTCGAAGCAGTGATAGAGTGCATACCTTTCTGTGGTGCCTGTGTCATTTTGTATGTGTATGTGAAGTCCGACTGTTGAGAAAGGAGGGAAAGAGAAGGACACGGGTTTGAAGAGAAACAGAAGTGCGAGACGGAGCCCCAAGTGAAGTCATCTGGCTTCGACCGAGCCGAGGCATGATGCATGGGGATTAGCTGCCCCGGACTCAGCCCCACAACTCGGTTAGTTTCACATGCGGAGGAGGCTCACGTTTTCACATGCTGGCCAAAGCTGACAGGACGCATGAACATGACTTGTGGCTGTCGCATGTGTCTGTCATGTACATGTACATGTGCTGGGAAGTTGCATGTGAGCACTCGCGGAAACGCGCTTAGTGGTGAGGTGCGGTCTATAGCCCGCAGAGGCATAGCATGGTTTGAGAATTCCTGGCGTCCTAACATACCCTCCCATAACGCCTTGCTTACTAAATGACCGAAATGCAGTATCTGTTGCCTCATCTTCGAAGCTCGTCATCCCAATGAGGATCGGATAACCTCCTCTCCAGCTCGTCCGCAATGCTGCTCCTCTGAACCTCCTCGTAGCCGGGCGGCGGCTCTGACGGTGGTTGGAACGGTCGAGGGCTTGGTAATGGGCTCGATCTCTGTGGGCTCTCTGCTTGCGATGCCGTCGCAGCAGCAGCAGGCCCACCGGCGCCCGCACCGCTCAGACCTGCGCTGGCCGGCGGACTGAGCGGCGGCTCCGGCACCCTCGCGTGTTGTCTCGTATCCTCGTACGCCGGCAGATCCTCCATGTTTACATTCCCTGCTGCGACCGTCTCGTCGATACCGCTCTCGCGCGCAACATCGATGGTCTGACGTAAGCGCTCCTTGAGGCGCTCAAATGTGTTGTGGAAGTCGAAGGCGCCGCCCTCCTTGAACTCCATGACGCAGTCCAGCTCGCCGTGTTGTGGGGGGACTCCTCCACCAGAGACGGGGCGGATGACGGCCTCCCATTTGTTTGCGCCAAACCAGGGAGCGGTGACGCGCGAGTCGGCGACGTTGAGGATGGGGACGGCGAAGGACTGGAAGGCCGGTGTGGGCGTGACGGGCAGGTATATTATCTGAGCAGCTGTCAGTTCGGGCCGAAGCTCTGGTGGAGTGCACACGTACCCGTCGATTGGTGAGGTACACAACGCCGGACTTGCACTGCTGCGAGTACGCCGCGCTCGGTGGCAGGGCGTGGCCCGTCTGCAGGCTCAAGGTCGTCCGCTGCGGAGACTGGTATAATGTGGTTTCGCCGGGCAGTGGTGTGTATCCGCCGTTCTCCGCGATCATAACCCAGCTGCGCTTCCGGTCAGTCCTGCTCTTCTTCATGCTCCCCATGGTTCGCGCTCAGCGTCGGCTTGCGGGGTACGGCGAGGGGCAGCGCAGCAGCAACACCAACACCTTCGAGAGTGCCTTCAAGGCCACCTGCAGCAGCGGCCCGGCGGTATATAAGCAGCGGAAGGAGACTTACTTAACCGACATGCTTGAAACACTCCGCGTAAATCCTGTTCGCGTTTAGGGGAGAACGGTTCGTGTAGTCGCTGACCATGCAAGCCTACAGTCGCCGCCTGAACGCTAAACGACGTTCCCACCCGCGACTAACGAGGCGGGTCAGTCGCCGCGTCGAATCACAGAATTGATTGCGGCTGTTGCGCTGTCTGCGGGGTGCTAGTGGAGTTCCTGCGTGTCGCGGCTGACTGGATAATTTTGTGAATGCTGTGAAACAGTGGTCGAGCAGTCACGCATGCAGAAGCCCAAAGGCGAGGCGTAGCTTTTATGGTCGACTGATGGAGGCTCGGTCATCGCCTGCAGTTTTACGTGATCTTGTGAGAGGCTGCGTCACTTGTGCATCTTTCCACCTAGACAGCTTGCAAATCACAGGGCGCGTCGGTCCAATTTCTTCGGAGCATTCGAGACTTTGTGTCAGCATGTTGTTGTGTACGAAGTACTGCCTGCACCCCCATCTGGGCCAGCCACTTGGCAGAATGCACTGTTAGGCAACAAGGATCAACAAGCTCGTCAGGGCTCTTCCACATCAGACCGTGTGCGCTTCGATGGAGTTATTGGCTTTTAGTTATGCATCTTATTGGCTGTGATGAGATGAGTTTGATCCTACAAGGGGCTTGTCAGACGTGCCTGCGTGCAGCAAGCTAGACGCGTACCTGCAGCTGCCCGACCGGCTAGGTACAAAACAAAAACGATTGAAATAGGTATCAGATACCCCGATGATTGCTTAACGCCCACAGAAAAAATGCAAACACCCGCTTCCCCATGCAATGTAACACTCCGCGGTCAAAAGACCCTCGGCATAACACGATCTGCAATTAGATCCAGCTCACTGATTGTGCTCGATGATAGTCCACCTCCTTTTGGGCCCACTGTCACGCTCAGTCACACCAGCAAGTTTCGGAGGTCCCCAGAGTCCTTGAGGAGCGGGCGCCTGGGGCTTTCCTCCCCAAAGACCACCAGCCCCGACAGCTTTCGACGTACTGTTCGTTCGATTGACCGTGGTCGGCAGCGGTGCTACAACATCTCCAGACTCTCTTTGCTCATTCGTAGTCATCCTCGTCAGCTCGTTGGTATTCACATTCGTAGCAATCTCGATTGGTTGGCTGGTCGCAGGGGGAGGCGGCTTTGGCTTCGACGTTGGTGCTGGGGCTGGCTGCGAATTTGCGGATTTGAGCACCACATCAGCACCTGGACTTGACCTTCCATCGCTACTTGCGTCTAGGGCGGCCACACGAGGGCTTGACCACAAACCTGTAGATGGTGTCGACATTCCACTGTCATTGAGATTACTGGATGTGTATCGCGAGTTCGAGCCTGAGCTTGCTGCCCTTCGCACACCATTGGAGTTGCCAAGCCAGCTTCTGTGAGAGGCGTCAAGAGCAAACGGGGAGTCACTAGGGGTGTTTGCTCCAGACGAGCCGCTAGTAAACCGTCTTCTATAGTTTCCGGTTGTTGGACTGGAGTGCACCGCGGGTGACTGGGTCGCAGATTCTGGCTGTGAGATCACAGCCGGGTTAACGCCGGGTCTCAGGTGATCTACCGATGCAAGTAGTTTCATCTCGTATGAATCTGACATACCAGGATCTGCAACAGATAGTCGGCGTTCAAATACGGTTGGGGCTGGGGCTTTCCTATGATGATCATGTCGTACGGCCATAGATAGCGAGGCAAGACCGACATCAAGAAGTACAGGCTGATTTTGAATAGCCCCAAGCAAAGCATTGCAACCTGCACCGTGGGTGATTAGAATGAGCACGAGCTCTTCCTCTTCGTCGTTCGTCTTCCCGTGCTGTAGCGGGAGAGGGTTGACTGCGAAGTTTGTGATCTTGGGCGCGGATGGCGCGAGCTCTTCTGTGCTCTTCGGTCGATCTGAGAAAGTGAAGCCTGCAATGGGATCCTTTGGAGGTGCCGCCCCATGCTCTTTATACCAATCCATCATGCCAGCTAGACCTTTGCGAAATCGCTTATGCATGGTGCTCCACTCGTCGCCGTACTCACCACCATCTCCCCACAGCTGTGGTGGTCGCATGCTGTCCCACTGGAAGTCAACCGTCACACAAGCCTCTTGTGCATGTGCGACATATCCTCTTGGGATAGGATCAGACGGAGAAACAGAGTACGACGGGGCGGGTGAGTTGTAGTTTTTCTTGATAGTGTGACGCGTGGACGAGTTGAGCGAGAGGAAGGTGCCTCGTAGTTTTGGTGCCTGAATGGCTCCGCTGCTTGTGCTACCGGTGCGCTCCCTGGTCGGAGGTAGGTTCTGCGAGAGACTGCTCATATCTGAAAGGGTCCCATTATCGACGCTGGACCGAGCTGGAACGGTCGAAGGTGAGGCGCCCTTGGATGGACCTCCCCACCCACCAGGGAAATGACCTTTGCTACTATTCGCATCTGGCTGCGCTTGTAGGTTGTCTCCCCTCCGAAGCAAGTCTGCTTTCGCGCCTGCGACCATCATGGTCGAGTTTGGTGGCGGTGTGATGTCTTCGTAATAATCAGGCGACAGCCACTCTCCAAGAAACGCATCGACGCGAAGGAGGATCTTGTCCTCGCCTTTGAGAGGCTTTGAGTAGACCTCAAGATTGGGATCTGCTAACGGATCAAGGTATGCGGGCTGTACGGATGGCGATATCGTTCGTGGAGACTGCGATCGCGCTGACCTTGCCAGTGGAGAGCCTCCAAGCACCCCGCTCCGCTCCTTCAAAGGTACTGGCAGCCCAAGCTTTGGGGCAGCCTCAGGTTTGTACTGCGATATACCTGCCGCGACCGCTGTACTCGTCTGCACACACCTCAGGAAGGGACTCGAATGTATGACAATCTTGCGCTTCTTCTTCTTGGGCCGAGATGCTTGTGTCTTCGGGGCGTCCAGCGCGCTGAATTCGAGATGCGCCAGATCTGCATTTGCCCCAAGCTTTGCTGCCTCCGTCTCCTCGATGTCTTGTTGGTGTAGCAGTGCCGCTATGCGTAGGCCAAGCGCTTTGGCCTGTGACCAGCCGCCGTACGTGAGAGGTGGGTCGTAGGGCGTTGGCGATGTGAGGTGCCATGACTTGTCTGAGGCGTCGAGACGAGCGCCATGCCTGCAGGAAAAGTCAGCGCCTTTTACGGGTTATAAGCAAGAGGGAGTCGAGCATACCTGGCAATGAAAACAGCTGCAGGGCCCTTGACCATGGCTGCGAAGATGCCTCGGTCGGAGAATGGCTGTGGTTGAGCTAGCTGGAGCTATTCGAGCGATGGTGCCGGGGTCGCTGATCCTACTACCTAATACCAAGCAATGATTGCGATGAAACAGGCAAACCTTCTTTCCGTGAGCCCATGAACAGATGATTGGCGGGAGGGTGTCAAGTGTGAAAGGTTAGAAGAGCTGCTCCGAGATTCTTTGCGACACAGCTATGACACGATGGCGGTCCCTCAAAATGCTTGTCGATGGAGGGGTTGTAGCACTGTCGCGCGACCTGCAATGACCTGATGAAGCAGTGATTTCGTTTACCCCTCAGTAGTTTCAACAAGCTGCGAGGTCTCTGGCGGCGTCCCTCATGCACGTGGCCGCAAGGAAAGCTGTATTGCAGCCCGCCCGCAGTCGGAGGGAGCAGGTCAAGCTCTCACAGTGGGGCCAGATTTCAGAGCTCAAAAGCTTGGTTCGCAAGCGTGTGATCCTATTCACCTCTACTGGACCCTGGGGCCGTTCACCGGCTCCCGCACAGGACAGCCTGACTATGTGTACTCGGCTGGATATTTGGTCTCACGATAATGTGTGCTGTTTAGCCTGAAACACCAACAAACAAACAGAATGGCCGTGGCGCGACTACGATCTTGGCTGCGTCACTCACCCGGAGAAATTCCTCCCGCCATCAGTCGTTGCACCAAATGGGGTGCAGCCTTCGGCAAGGGTCAAGTATGGAATGCACGGCAGAAGCGCTTAGGCCACATGTAACATTCACACCTTTACTCGAGGTAATCTCCTCCGGTCTCCTTGTGAATGACATCGAACAGCGGCTTTGCGCTGAACCATCCAGCGCGCGGTGACCCAACTGTCTTGTATGTGAAGACGGCCTCCTCCTCGCCGATCTTGACCGTCTCTCCACCTCGTCCGCCCGCGGCTGCGTCCGCCAGCATTTGAGCCTGACAGCACTTGTCGAGCGACACAAACCAAAAGACAGCCTCCTCAATCGACGTGCCAACTGTCAACAGGCCGTGGTTGATCAACAACGCAGCCTTCTTGTCGCCGAGCGCTCGAGCAATATTTTTCCCTTCCTCCTGCGCAAGCACGACACCGTTGAAGCTCTCATACAAGACGTGGTCGTTATGGAATGCACATGAATCCTGCGTGATCGTGTCGAGCTTGCGGCCGAGTGAGCAAAAGGCGCGACCATAGATCGAGTGGCTGTGTGCGGCTGCGAGGACATCTGGACGTGCTGCATGAATCGCTGAATGGATCATGTAGGCTGCCGAATTGAGAAGACGACAAGGGCCGCCGTCGATGACATTGCCATCGTGGTCCACAAGAATCAGATCAGAAGCCTTGATCAAGCTGAATGCGACACCGAAGGGATTCACCCAGAAAGTTGTGGGATCGACCGGATCCTAGTAGAGTCAATGGCTGAGCTCGACGTATGCATCGGATAAACGTACACGCATAGTGATGTGCCCGGCAACACCCTCGTCATACCCGTACTTGCCAAAGATACGGAACGCAGCAGCCAGTCTCCCTTTGAGATAGGCTCGCTCCTTGTACGGATCATCGAACTTGGGCGGGCTAGGAAACTTGATAGCCTTCATCTTCGACTCCTTCTCGTTCAGGCCCGGCTCAAGAGGAGCAGCATTGCTCGGCTTCGTCTCGCTGGCATTCTGGGGCTCGATCGCAGATGGAGGCGACATGTTGTGAGTGCAAGTGTTCAGAGGTATGTATAGTTAGAACAGAGAGCCTTCGGAGTATTGCAAGGGTGAGTCAACGCCGTAGATTTATATCCGCAGTCCGGTTGATCCTGCCTCGGGAAACAACACGCCCTGCGCTGTTAAGCTGACTGTGGCAAGCATTGTGGTTGGCTGCTAGACTAGCTGTTGCATACAACGCGGGGCAAGCGCGGGGGTGACGGTAGTTGCGACCGCCACTTTCGGGTCGCGGCTCTGCGCTTCGGCCGACCTCGTATCGTATGTCTCCCAGAGTTGCTGTGTCGCCTCAACAGTGTCGATTCATAGATTGTACGATTTCTGGTAACGAGCGGACAGACCGTCTCTCGGCTCTCAACCACGACGCTAGCGATACCTAGGTTGAGTGAATACGCACTATCATACCCCTCAGCAACAGTACCGTACCACCTCACATCAGCACCATTTGGGGATCATTGGCTTGTTTGACGCAAGTTGAGTCACAGAAACAGATGTATGCCAAAAGTTCATCCAACCAGACGTATGTCTTCTTGAAGATTCGTCGCTGTTTGGTCATAGCATACAAGTTCGATGTGCACCATTACCACGTCCTCATCATGACCTTCTAACACAGCTTTGTGGTTCGTTCTCCAAATCAACCCAACTATGTGCTCTAGGTGTGTTATCTCTATATCTCTTTACCATCGTGCTTGTTCAAGTACACTCAGCCTACTATTCCAGTCATTATCAACAGGCCCCCCATTATTGATTCAGGGATGTTGGTGACTCACCAAGGCCGCCCTTTTCCTCTTAGCCAAGCCTCACGTCCCGATATTCCAGCAAGCGCAGCTTCTGGACAGTGACCTTGGTGATACCATTAATAAAGTCCATGCGACCAGTCCTTCCGACATGCATGAAACTCAGATTCGAGTTCGAGTCCGATCAGTTCCCTGACGATAACCGATAAACATTTGCCATCGTCGACATAGAATCACCGAAGTCTTTCCAATCTTATCACAAGTGCGTGTCCAAGTGCGAGCTTGCCACAGACCGCTCCACCCCTGCGTAATCAGGAACGATAAGATCAATGTCTACTATCAGCAACACCGAAACGAACACCACCAACACCAGTGTCACTCCAGCGACGCCCACCAAGATCAATCCCGAACAAGCAGTTGCCTTCGCAGCCCTCATTCTCGCCGACGACGGCCTCACCATCACGCCGGAGAAGCTGCAAGCTCTCCTCAGGGCCGCTGGCCTCACTGAAATCGAGCCTATCTGGACCACTATCTTCACCAACGCGCTCAAGAATAAGGACATCAAGGAGATTCTCACTACGGTCGCCACTTCCAGTCCCGAGGCTGGAGGTGACGACGCCTCGTGCACTAGCAACTGCGATGGAAGCACCTATGATGTTGACCTCGACTCCGATACTGAGGAGGGATACGGATGCACATTTTGCTGGGATTAAGATGAGGGCTACTGGGGGTTGCACAATAGTTCACCACAAAATGAAATCTCTCTTGTTCATTGTATTTAAAGTATCCTCCAGTTCCATCTATTTCCGATCAGATGCAAAGTCTACAGCTAGAATAATTGGATGTGTACTTGTGCATCTGCATAGCCACACCAATGATAGTAGCTTGCAGATTTTGCGAACGTGAGAGGCTTGGCCTACCAGGGAATATTGAATTCGCCTGTGCAAACATAAGAGCTTTCTACCAAGAACGTGCAACCGAACATGACGCTGAGTGCGCCCGTCTTCGGAAGCAGATTGGGGATTTGCAAGAGGAGGGGATTGCTGTAGCAGAGCAAGTTTCTAGAGAACTGGACGAACAGCAACAGGGCGTAGGTCTGGTTCAGTAACCTGATGCCTGTGCACTTAGCTTAGGTACATCTCAGAACCCTGCGTTCCGCGGCGGTCGCATCGCATCCAAAACCTCGAAGCTTTGCATGTCACTCCGCCTGTTGATGAGTGTGGGTCTGTGTGCCATACTCTTAGTTTTCAGTCTGCGACTTCGAGTCTCTTTCCAGGTCACGAACCACTCCATGATGGAGCCTCCGTAGAACGCAAGGAAGAGGCTGAAGCCCACAGTCGCGACTGTCAGACAGCCAGCAACTAGCCAAAAGAGCCGTTGCGTCTTTTCCATATCTCTGATGTCAGAGAAATTCATGCCGAAGAAAGATGAGATGAATGACAATGGGAGGAAGATGATCGTTACAATGGTAAAGACTAAGATCGCTTTGCCATGATCTTCAAGTCGAATGTTGACAAGCTGGATCGTGCGGTTAATAAGCGTATTGCTATTGTCGCGTAGGTCGACAAGGTCGGCGTGTTCGCGTTCGAGATTGTCTAGCAACTGTGCGGATGGATCGGAAAGATGATTTGAGAAGGAAAGCTGACGATACGTGGAGGCATCTGCTGGAGGTATCGATGTTGTCGTTGTGTGCTTGGATGATCGTGTGGGGCTTTGTCGTTGACCCCTAATATTTGCAGACTCTAAAACACTTTGCAGACTACCAACAACCTCCATCTGTTGTTCCATTATCGAGATAATAATATTGAGTTCCTCCTGTACTTGGAGCAGGTCCATCACTAGCTTTGTGCTGGGAGTTCGATGCAGACGATACTGCAGATGGCCCAGGTAGCTGGCAAACCTGTCTGATAAACACAGCGTTATGTCTGACCAAAAGCTGCGGTGCAACATGCCCAATGCGCCATTGAGAGCGGCGATGACATGTGTAACGGCTGTGTAATCCTGCTCGCCAGCGACATTCATGTATGCGTTACGAATGCCACGAAAAGAAATCTCGGCAATTCTCGCTGACAGTTGCAGAGGCGGCCAGCGTGACTTCCAACTTGAATTGCTGGAGAATGTAACAACGTGGCGCGCATCTATCACGAGTATCCACAATTCGTCAACATTTAGACTGGTCGGATAGTGGCCATACCATCGCCGGACTTTAAGGTCCAGACTGCGATCAGTGAGCCAAGGTTTATGTCTAGTAAAGACCTGTTGAGATTCTCGATCCGATGTATCCTCAAGCCGATAGAAGTGCTGCAAAATTGAGCGGAGCATATGTGATGAGCTTCGTGATGACTGGTAGCCTTCTCTTGGGTCCACTTGGAACCTGAGGGGAGGTGTTTCACCCTCAACTGTCCAATCGAGAAAGGGCACACTGAGTAGCATTGGTCCTTTGGAAATATTACTTCTGTGGTTATAATCATTGTCGAAGCGCTGGAAAAATGGCGCAAAGTATCTTCCATGTTTTGAGAACCGTTCGTGCTGATTGACGCAATGCTCGAGTTGATGAAGTGCTGCAACAATCTGCCCAGGGGCATCATTCCAGTCTGACAAGGCGAGGAGGCATCCTGAGAGATAGTCTGAATACTTGCTGGATATGTGTATCCAGCGGCATTTGCGTAGTTCTGGCGGGTCAGAAGCTGACGTCTGGACCTTATTGCTTCTCAAAGAGTTCATCCATCCAAACTCATCAGCAAGTTTCTGAAAATGCGCGCGCTCGCTTTTGGTAACATCGTCTAGAGGTACACTGTTCGCTAAAAGATCTCGATTCTCCAGTTCTGGCAGCAGCGAGGACGAGAGGACCTCGTGCATGTCCAGCATTGAGCCGGATTCATAACGTCTGTCATTAAGACGTACATCGTGGACTTGTATCTGGGCAGGGGATAGACGACGATTGCGCCAATACGGATCGCTGTCCCAATCAGCCGTAGGAGTACTGGCCTTGGTGGGTTCCATTGATCAGGAATGCGTGATCCTGGCTGTAGGGAAAGGGGAAAGCGCGTCGCGCACGCGGTCGAGGGAGCGAATCACACGCAGCCCATTTTGTGGAGTCAGCTCTTCCGCGCCTCGGAACGAATGTAGTACACTGTCGACCAAACAGCCCAACAACAAGAACAGCAATAGAAGGCGCATGCAATTCAAAAGTGTTCATTCTGAATAAAGATACCCCCCTCGTTTTGGACGGGCTTCATGTACACACCTGGGCTCCAGCATCGCCTTTGTGCGGACAGAAGTATTGGTATGGCTTGTTTGCTTACAAGTCGATGACGACAGTCAGCGGTAATGCAAAGCTGAGAACGGTTTTCCATTTTTGTCGTACAGGTCGGCTCTCCGCAGGCTGAAGTTTTCTTTGATGTATTTAGTGACAGCTACCGCTCCGACAAATTACTCTCCACCTCAATCGTAACATTCAAACGGAAGGAAACCCTTTGGGCAACGTCCATCATGTCGTCAAAGAGGTATGTTAAAACTGCAATGTGAGATATATAAACAAATGCTCAAAATCGGCAGCCACCCCATGCATCCAGCGGTCGTCCATTTTCCCATTTCGTTCACAGCGATTACTGGTGCGTTAGATGGGATCTACTGGTTGTCTAAGATCCCGGCCACTGCGGGCTTGGTCAACTCGGTGTGTAAGTAAAGCCGCGATATCGATGAGTAATAACGTCTAATCCTGTACAGTCAAGTCATTCGACAAGAGCGTCCAGCCCAACGTATTTCCCGTGTTATCCTACTACAGCACCATCATCACGATTCTCACTACCCTCCCAGCCATCGCGACCGGTGTCGTCCAGCTCGCTCCGGTAATCCAACGTGATGGTTTCCAGTCGAAGAAAGCAAAGATCGGTGCGGTACACGCGTTGCTCAACGATGTTGCGCTTTTTGGTACCATCTACAACTGGTGGACTCGTAGCCAGCAGGCCGGCTTCACACCGAGCACTACGAATGTACTTGTCAGTGTAGCTCTTGCTTTACCGCTTACCATGTATTCGGGCTATCTAGGCGGGTCGCTTGTATATGAGTACGGCATGGGCTTTTCCAGGAGCAGCCCTGTCAAGAAGGCGCAGTAAAGGGAGATAGAAGGGAGAAAACGGGCTCCGAATCGCGGTCAGTAGCCGAACACTGGGTTGCGTGGGCACAGCTCAATCAAAACGTTGTTTGATGATATCAAGGGTTCTTCTCGCCGTGACAATTGATAATTGACAAAGGATGCAGGCTTGCAAAGACTTTGCATTTCTAATGCTGCCGGCGGTCAAGTACCTTGCTTATCATTGAACCCCACAGCCACGCGATAAGACCCACCAAACACGCGATAAGACCCACCGACCCCAACTCATAGAGATACCAATAGCCCTACGGCTTGCTCTTTGCGATGCACGATACCGTAGAATCGCATTTACAGTACCTAGGTACTATAACTAAAATCTTGCTAAGGCTATATTTTTAGGCAGTGCTCCTAGAATACTAAAACTCTAGCACCTTTAAACAAGGCGCGCAGCTACCCAGCAAGGCTCGCACAGGCTTAAAAAAGTTTCTAAATAGATTTTTAGGCTAGTTTTAGGCTTTTAGCCTGCTACTACATTTATATCTCTTTTGCAGCCTCTTAGTAGCCTATCCCTCTAGGTACAGCAGTATAAGTGAAGTTAATAGAGTATTTAAAAACTTCAGTATTTATAGCTGTGCGCACTAGCGCGTTAGCACGTTAGAGCTCTATCTCCTCTATGTATGCATAATGCACCGAATAGCAAGTTATATGCACCGAATACAGTCAGCCTAATTAAACGCTAAGAGAACAATCTATATATAAATTTATTAGGGCAAGTTTATTAGTAACTGTTATAACTAACATATTACTTATAGTTTTCTATACTAAAAAAATACTTCCCCTATTATCTATGTAAGTTTACAGTACCTAGGTAGGCAGGTAATCGAACACAGGTTTAATAGGTGCTGGTGAGGGCAGAGTTAGATATCGTTTGATATGATATAAGACGAAACCTTCAGGTGTAAGCCTTAGAATTCGGAGAGAAGTACACAGGGGCTCCGTGCGCGCTTGTGCGCCCCCGGCCTTGGCCCGATTTGAGGCCAAGGTCGCCCTTAATGACACACCTATGGGACGGGCGCCGACGTCGGTATAAAGATGCAGCGCAAAGTCCATGAAGCATGTGCTAGGACTAAGTCACGTTCTGCAATCCAGGAAAGCGCAAGATGGTCACCTCATGGTCTTTCAGCATTGCTGTATTCAGCCTTGCTACCAGCGTTCAGGCAGCAGTCTCGTCCAAGGGGTTCACAGTATCGCTGACGGACATTGACTACTTCCTCCCTCCCAAACCAGTTGCAAGCATCGCCGGCTGCGATGAGATCAAATCGGCGTTCGCCGATGGACCATTTGTACCATTCACTGTTGTTAAGGGCGACGGTTGTGAAACACTGGACCTCGCATCTGCCACAGCTAAGTATGCCGAGGACGACGTTTGGCAGGAAGGCTTCCTCGATGGTGTGTAATGATCCCAGCATCTATTCGAGACATCACTGACAGGCTCCAGCACTCTATGTGAGCGGTGGAAGTGCAGGCAATGTCTCCGCCACAGTTATCACTGGCATAGTGTCTGGCAGCCTGAAGCCCGGTCCGTACTTCATCAACGCAGCTGGTCAAGTATATGAGGCATGGCGACTGTACAGCGATGTTACAGGCGCCTTCACCGAAACTGCGATTGCCAACGGCGATGGCTCCTACTCAGTCCTTCCTGCAGGGACCTTGGGGCAAAAGCTGGCTGTAGCTGTTCCCTCTCGCCTGTACTTTGAGAAGACTGCAGAAAAGCCGTTGGCAGGTGTCCGAATTGGCATCAAGGATATCTACGACATCAAAGGACTACGCACCTCCAACGGCAACAGAGCTTGGTATTGGCTTTACCCTCCGGCCAACAATACTGCAACACCCGTTCAAAATCTGATCGACGCAGGTGCAATCATCGTGGGTAAGATGATCACCTCACAATTCGCCAATGGCGAGACAGCTACTGCGGATTGGGTCGATTATCACGAATCGTTTAACCCGCGTGGTGATGGCTACCAAGACACATCGTCGAGCTCAGCTGGCGGGGGTGCTGGAACGGCTGCATACGAATGGCTTGACGTGTCCCTTGGGTCTGACACCGGCGGCAGTGTCCGCGGTCCCTCTCAAGTCCAAGGTCTGTACGGCAACCGACCTTCCCACAGTCTGGTCACTCTCGAACACACTATGCCACTGGCTCCTGTTCTCGATACCGCCGGCCTCCTCGCTCGCGATCCCCTGATCTGGAAGGCGGCAGCTCAGGCCATGTACGGATCCAATGTCACCATTAGCAGCGAATATCCGAGCAGCATCAAAACCCTCGCATGGCCTACCGAGGCCAGCAACGTCGCCAACAGCCTTCTAGTCAACTTCCTCGCTAACGTAACCGACTTTCTGGGGGCAAACGCCACCGCATACAACGTGACTGCCTCCTGGAGTACCGACAACCCCTCCCTTGAACCCCTCGCAACAATGATGAATCTCACATACGCCATCATCATCACCAAGCAACAAACCGCTCTAGTCCGCGAGCCCTTCCTCGCAGACTACGCTGCTGCCCACGGCGGCCGCACGCCCTTCATCAACCCCGTTCCCCTCGCACGTTGGGGCTGGGGCGACAACCAAACCGCCACCCTCGAGGAGAGCATCGCGAACAAAACCACCTTCATGGCATGGGCGAACAGCACGTTCCTCGCTCCTTCCGCGTCCACATGTTCCGAGAGCCTGGTCATGTACGTTGGGTCCACGGGGCGCACCACCTACCGCAACGTGTATCTGAACGAGCCGGGAGTGCCGCTCGGGTGGAGCAACAGCCGTATTTCAATTTTCAGCGAGGCGCCGGATTTCGTGGTCCCTATTGGTGAAGCGCCGTACAATTCGACTGTGACAGGGCATGAGGAGTATTTGCCTGTGACAGCGAACTTCATGGCGGCCAAGGGGTGCGATGGGATGCTGTTCAGTCTGATTAGTGATCTGTATGGGGCGGGCATTTTGAAGGAGGCACTGGCTGGAAAGAGCGGAGTGACAGGTGGCCAGACACTTTACAGAAGGGGCATGTAAAGCATAAGTTGTGTTGAAAGGTCATTATATATTAAAAATTAATGTATTTACTCGTCACCCAGGCTCCGGACCTCGATTCCCTCCTGGCCCTCGCATGCGCTGATGTGTCCAAAGTACCACAGATGCGCGTTGATGTCGACTCCGAAGTCACCCTCGTTGCCATTGAAGTTCAACGAGCCGGTCAACACATTGATATCCCCTGTGCCAGGTGAAGCACTATTTCCAGTGGTGATGTAGTACTCAGGAGATGTGTGGCGGTAGCCCAAGAACGTCGGCGGCAGCTTGGGGACGGGATCGAACTTGTGTGTGACGCGGTAGTTCTGGCCCTTGGTGGTGCTAGTGATGTAGTCCGCAAGTGGCTGCAGCCCGACCTTCGGCGCGCCGTAAGTGTACAGATCGACTGTGATGCCCTGGTTTCGCAGCACACTGGCTGCGAGACTGGCCAGAGCTCCACCCAACGAGTGTCCTGTAGCCACAACCTTGAAGGTCGGGTACTGCGCTTGTGCTTTCTTGATTGCGGCGACTACGTTGGTCTGAGCCTCAAGCCATGACTGCCAAAAGCCAATGGAGGAGCTGCAGTTCGTGCAGATGCTTGTAGACGCGACAGGGAAGCTGAGGTTGGTGATCCAATTGCGAACAGATCTCGAGCCGCGGAAGGAGAGCACAATCAGCTTGTTCGTGGTGTCTGTGGCGACAAAGCCTGTGACGTCGGACTTGATTGAGCTTGTAGTTGTTAGTATACGCATATAGGAGAGACATTGAAGGAGCTTACTTCTCAAACTCTGTCAAAGTGTTTGTGTTGGCAGCTTCTACTCGCGCACAGTTTCCCTGCGGGCAAGCGAGCTTTGTGTTGGGGCTATTGTTGTTTCCAAGACAGTAAGCCGCAGCGGAGTATTGGCTGAAGAATTCAAGTTGATCGAGGATGCTTGCAGACACCGCTGTGTCTAAGTCAGTTACGCCTCGGATATGGGGGTGGAAAGAACCAGTGACTTGCGTACCTCTCTTCTCGAATTCTACGGGCACAGCGGTGACAAGGCCCACAGCGGTTAGGAAAACAGCTCCCAGTCTCAAAACTGAAGACATGACGATACTCAGAGATGTGAATTGACAAAGCTGCACGTTCCAATTGTTCTAGTGAAAGTATAAACACAATGTTGCTCGCTGCCACGACCCATCACCAAGCAGCGGATACCTTCAGTAAATATACTCTTCCCCCCAACCCCGACCTTTCCCATTTTCACGCCGGTTATCCACCTTGGACATTTGGAGCTGGCAGTTCATACCCCTGTCCATGCTCACCAAAGCGGCAGTCCGTGCTTCACATTCTTGAACCATACTAAGTTTAGACATAATTCCGTACCTGAAAGGCAAGAATTACTCAAACGGTGAGGAGCTCGCTCCGCTTCCAGTTGATTCAAGGTACGAAGGTGCAGATTGCTGTCCAGGTATCGACGCCACATTAGTAAAGATGCCAGACTTGTCTGCCGAGATTTGGTGCAGGAGCCGGCATAAGGCGCAGTAGGGCTGTGTTCCATGACGACTATATGATAATGCTACACTATGCCGGTAGAGCGAGATTGAAGAGATACCATTGTACATACTGTCAACACTGTGTCTGTCATCATCACATGAAAAGCTGTACAGCTGTGGGAGCCATGTCCCAATGGACCTGCATGATTGCACACCATCAACACCTAAAGTGCAGGCGTTTAACGTCTTGGCCTCCGTAGCGTTCGCCAATTATTGTTGTGATCATTTCGCTTTAGTCAGGTGTGTAAGCCTCCAAGGTTAGCACCAAATGGGTCCATAAGTGCTTAGAATCCCATTGCGGAAATAAAACTCACCGCTGACATCGGTAGATTTCGATAAAAACCCAGAATGTCAAAAGGTGAAGGGCCGAACTTCTGTTCGCTGATCACCAGGGTAGACTTTGAGAAGCTCATTGCGCGCAAAACTTATGGCATTCACAAAAGAAAGTTTCGAGTTTGAACACAAGACGGATGCGGGGAAGCGAGGTGACGTCAAGCATCCCCAGGTGACCTCGGGCGCGTCGACAAGACAGGAAGGACACCTGAATGCAAGAACGCCAAAAGGTACACACCGCATGAGTGTTTTAAAGTGAACTTATGGAGAAGCAGGAAATGTTTCGGTGTACTCACCTGATCCCGTTAGATCATCGGCATGTTTTCTGCGGGGATGGACGATCTCCAATGACTAGGCGCGTACCTCAATACTGAGCACGCGACAGAAACGATGAACGACCTGCGGGCCGATGCAGATAACACTATTGTCAACGCCCGGCAGAAAGCGTTGGTATTGGTAGGAGCCGTATACGGGCCTGTGTGAGGAACAAGAAACGCTCCTGTGGCCACACTTCGGCGAACTGTCAAAAACGCTCGGTTGAACGCGCAGAGGCTACCCGGACCTGTCTGGAACGGCAACGGTAATTACGGGCTGCAAAGCTTGTCATTCGTGGGAGATGAAAGAACGCGGTGTCTGTGTGGGCACCACGTGTAGCATCAGGGATAAAGTCTTTCGGAAAATTCCATGTACCGGGGTCTCGTCGTGCACTGAATCGCGTCACTTGAAAGATTCGAGACCTGTACCGGTATCGCTTGGAAAGGCAGAGAGGGTTGGAGAAGTGGATTGTTTCAAGGGTGTAAATTGCCTCTAACGGGTATCGCTATTTGTACTGAATCGCGTAAGATGTCGGACCGAACCCGACGGTGTGCGCATGACCAGTCTCCTTTGTGCAAAGGGAGGTTTTTACTGAGGAGGCACAAAAGGCTCGACGAGCATATTAGAGAAGCTGGGCATAGTGTCAGCACATCGTTTAGTGTAGATAATAGGAGGCTTACCTTTCCAATTTCTCCTTGCCACGGACTTCCTCGACAAGAAGTGGCATCTTGACGACATTGAACTCATCGTAGAGCTCCTCGATCTGATCGAGGTACTTCTTCTGCATCTTTCTGCGTGAATTGCACTGTTCGCACGGGTTATCCTGCTTGGGGAACAGCAATTGGTTGACCACAATCGAGTGAGTGTCAATCTCGTAGCTGTTAAGTTCCTGGATCATGCGCTCGGTCTCGTACAGCGACAGGAACTCTGGGATACAGACGCACACAAAGGTTGTGAGATCTGCGTCCTTGAATTGACCGTTGACCTCAGCAATGGTCTTCTGTAGCGCGTCCATCTTCTCGACAAGCTCATCCATGCTCTGACCATTTGGCAGGCGTCCACCGCCACCCAGGAAACCGTTCAACATAGGTCCAAACTGACGCGACAGCTGCGAAACCTTACTCAGAGCCTTCTCCATGACAGTGGGAAATTGCAGAAAGCGCAGTGTGTGACCAGTAGGCGCGGTGTCGAATATGATGGTCTCGTAGGACATGGACTTGACCTGCTTGAGGACTTCGGCGAATGACATGGCCTCATCGACACCGGGAATCTGTAAGAGCATTCAGTACTGCGTCTCGCACACAATCCAGCGTTTGTGAACATACGCTGAAGGCCAGATCTTGCATCATGTTGCCCATTCCACCAAGTCCAGCCATAGGATCCTGACCCTCCTCGCCACCAGCAGCGAGAAGATCCTGTATACTACCGTTGGGGTCGATTTCCATGGCGCTCAAATTGTCGAAGCCATTGACTAGGCGCGCATCCTTGCCGAACTTCTGGTTGAAGGCATCTGACAGGTTGTGGGCGGGGTCCGTAGAGATGAGCAAGACGGATTTGCGATGTTTTGCGAGCTGAATAGCGAGAGAGCAGGACGTTGTTGTCTTTCCAACACCACCCTTACCACCCACGAAGATCCATCGCAGCGACTTTTGATCGAGGATGGACTGGAGCGTCGGCTCCAAGTCCTCGGGAGGGTTCTGGAGCTTCTGGAGCGCTGCAGTGGTCGCCATCGTAGATTTGAATACGAGAATATAGTTCGAAGAGGACGATGTGGTATGGTGTGAATGCGCGGACTACATGTAGCGTCAGTGAAGCTCAAACGGTTTTTGAAGAGTGCTTCTGGAATGTTCCAAGCAAGCCTACGTGTCTAGCAGGTCATGACTGTAGAGGGAAAAACAGATCTATAGAAACATGATAGATATACATACATAAAAACGCGCAATCTGCAGGTGTAAAGGATTGGTTGCTGTGTGGTTTGTTGTGGACGCAGGCCGCACATGAAAGTTGATGCGGGGCGCGTCATAGCTTTGGTGGGTGCAAGCGGCGTCATCCCAGCGTGCGCCACGTCGCCACCTTTCTGTCGATTGGTCTAGAAACATGCCTTGAATTGATTCATTGAATCTAGAAAATGTGCACAACCTGGTCATGAGCCCGTACGGCTCAAAACGCTACAAGCGCAACACAGACCTTTACGGTGTTGTACAGAAGAGCCTCACCTTTACCAGACCTGAGCTCCCATGATGAACCTTACTCCATATATCTCTGCGCCAAAACACCATACCTACACCCAAAAGTAGAGTACCGATCTGTCTATTTCTTCTTGCCCTTCGCCTTGCCCTTGCCGGTAGAGCCTGTCGACACCACGCTGCTGGCACGCGATGTTGCAGGGGAGGCTTTGCCCTTCACAGAATCGAGCTGCTTGTTCTATCGTTCATCAGCAGTTGTTCTTCATGTGCGCAGCTATACCAACCTTGACACCGTTCTTGCTCTTCTTCTTGACAGGCTCCTCTTCTTCCTCTTCGGTCTCCTCTTCTTCGAAGGAACGCTTGCCCTTCCCATTCTTGCTAATATCCCCACCTAGCTCGCGGACAACAGTCTGGATGAGTGTTGTGCAACGACGACCGATCTCTTGAGGCGTACGGCTGAGGAAGAACCAGTCGAAGCGGAACAAAGGCGACTCTCGTATCTCGTCGCGGATCTCATCGTAGATGGCGTCGCCCTCAACGCCGTGCTTGTGAAGCATAACAAGCAGGAAGCGATCCTCCTCTTCGGTGTAGACCTTCTTGTTCGTGGTCGAGACAGTGTACTTGATAGTCATCTGTTGCAGAGGCATTCTGTACATGCCGATCTTCTTCGCAAGCAGACGCTTCTTGTTCTCCGAATCACGAACACGCTGCTCACCTTCCTCAACAACATTGATGTACTTCTGCCAGTTCTCCAGCTGCTTGTACTTCTTCCAGAAGACCTTGGCGTACTCTTTGATCTCCTCAGCATTCTTGCCATCCACTTCCAACGCGATGCCTTCGTAGTTCGATCGCCCATCCTTAGCGGAGCCGTTCAGGAATTGCTGCAGGTCTCGCTTGTTCCACTCTGGAAAACCTTGCTCGATCAGTCGCTCCTTCTCAGCCTTCTCTTCTTCTGTTAATGGCTCGGCGTTGTCGATCTCCTTCTGTGCAAGCTCTTGATCAGCCTCGCGAGCCTCAAGGTCCTCGTCAGGGCCATCGGGAAGTGGTGCTTTAAGGTTGTTCTCCTTACGGTACCAGGCAGTCTCCTTGTCCTGGAGCTCTGCAAGCTTTTCCGGGAAAAACTGGTAGTCGTGGATGATAACCTGCTTGGGCGCACGTGGGATCCTGGGCTGCTTGCTCTCGGTCCGGCCTCCAGTCGCCAATGCATTACGGTAGTACTTGTCGATGCCGTAATTCTGCTCTTTGCGCTCGCGCTTTGTAGGGTTGATCCAACTGAGACCAATATCCTTCTTTCGTGGCTCAAACGTCTCACCGTTCCACTCATAAGTCGAATCAGATGTAAACTTCTGCAGATCGTCAAGGCCCAGCTTCTCATACTTCGAGTTGAGCTTTGCGGTTGCTGCTTCACCGCGTTTCATAATTGCGTCGAAGTCGTCGTCGGCCATTTCACCGTCCAAGGCTGGTCCAACAGGCCCCTTGCTCTTGAACACTTTCTCAGCACCGTGCTGGATCATGGTCAGAAGCTCATCCTTGGAGGCAGCGTTCTTGGCGGGTTGTTGTGCGCGCCCTTGCTGGATAACCAGCTGGTCAAGACGCAGCTTCTGAGCGGCGCGTTCGAGAACCTTTTCTTCAATGGCGCCCTCCGTTACAAAGCGGAAGACGTGCACTTGTTTCTTCTGACCGATACGATGAGCTCGGTCCATAGCTTGAAGATCGGCTTGCGGATTCCAGTCACTGTCGAAAAGCACTACAATATCGGCAGACGTCAAGTTAATACCCAAGCCACCAGCACGAGTTGTCAGAAGGAACAGAAACTTCTCTGAGCCTTCCTTGTTGTAGTCATCGATAGCGGCAATGCGGTCCTCGTGGGCGGTGGAACCATCGATACGACAATACTGGAAGCCACGCATCACCGAGTAATCCTCCATGATGTCCAGAACACGGCTCATCTGAGAAAAGATAAGGACTCTGCTGCCTTGGGCTTTCATGCGCTTCAGCAGCTTATCTAACATAACCATCTTGGCGGCGTTGGTAACCAGATGCTCGTCAGTCGTGTAGGGCGGACCGGGCTCAGCACCCTCGAAGAGATATGGGTGATTGCAGCACTTTCGCAATTGCATAACAATGTTGAGCAAGCGTGTCTTGGACTCCTTGTTGCCAGCACCGCCGTTGACTGCGTCGATATCTTTCTCAAGGATCTTCTTGTACCATTGAACCTGCATGTCAGACAGGCCGACGTACAAGTTGATCTCCTTTTTGGGCAGCAGAGACTTCTCGACGTCGGCTTTCACTCGTCGAAGTAGGAAAGGTCGCAGAACCTTGTGAAGCTGTTGCACAACTGTGTCCGAATCTTCGCTCTGCTGTGAGAACCATTCGTCGAACGCGGATGAATCACCGAAAACGTCCGGCATCAGAAAGTTGAGGAGTGCCCAAAGCTCGTGCAAATTATTCTGAAGTGGGGTACCGGTGATGAGGAGTCGATTTCGAGAGTTGAACATGCGGACCATCTGGGCGAGAGAGGACTCCTCATTCTTGATACGATGCGCTTCGTCGATGATGATGTACTCCCATGCAAATTTCTTGAGGGCTGCCTTTTCACGCAGAATCATCTCGTAACTCGTAATGCACACATCAAAATTTTCGTCCACCAATTCATCGCGGATAAGCTCAGCACGCTCGTCCTTGTTTCCTTGCAAGACAAGGACCTTAACCTCAGGAATCCATTTGGCAAATTCACGCCTCCAGTTGTCGAGAGTCGACTTCGGCACGGCGACAAGATGGGGTCCGCTGATGCCGCCAATGAAGCGAAGGTAACCAATGAAGGAAATGGTCTGCAGCGTCTTTCCAAGGCCCATTTCGTCGGCGAGAATACCAGAGATACCGTTCTCGTGAAGCGAAATCAGCCAGTTGAGACCAGCAACTTGGTAGTCACGCATAGTGCCGCCCTGGATATAGCCCGGCGACTCTCTGAAAACTGTCTCGTTGTGTGCGCCATGCTTCTCTTCGCGCACAAGCTCGGCGTCTTCTTCCTGCTCGGTCTTGCGGCGACGCTCGGCAGCGGCTCCGCCCTTGCGCACCTTGCTTGCCTTCGATTTTCTTGCCTCCTCTGCGTCTTGCGCGTCGATCCTGGAAATGATCTCCTTGATGTGAGGGTTCGGGTTCGTGTCGATGAAATGGCGGAAAAGATCGGTCAAACCTAGGAGGTACCGGAACCGCCGTACTGTGTCGTCTTCCTGTGGAGGCGCACCAGGTCAGCACTGTGGCTCTGGATGAGGCACGTCATGTGCTGTCACGTACCTTTGACACGCCCAGACGGTCGTGCTTCTTTCCATAAATGCTCTTGCGCATGTTCATCTCCTCGGCGCGTCGTTTCCTGCCGTCGACCGGCGCGTCTCCCGCGACACTGCTAGCTGTCGTGTTGGGTTGTGTGTCCGAGTCCTGCCAATTGTCAGTCCTGGGCAAGGGAACGCGCTTGAGGGGCCGACATACTGTGTAGTCGGGCGTGTCAAGATTGTACTGCGATTGCACAGTCAGCTTGTTTGCTCTCTATAGCCCTAAACCACTACCGTTCCTGCGCCAAACGAGCTCCGCGGGAGGCGCTTTTCATGTACGCGTGGGACTTACCCCGAACTTCTTGAAGCCGTTCATCTTATCGTCCTGATCCTGCATCTCGACGTCTTCGTGTGCAGAGGCGTCCGCCGTCGAGGGGTCAGACCCGCGTCCGTTGCTCTTGCGCGCCATGTTGGCTGTCCGCCGCGTATTGACCGTGAAGATGCTCCTCGAGTACGGCGCAAAGACGGCTGAAAAGCTTCCTGATTATTTGAGGCGTGTCGGCGATGGGAGTGGCGGGCGCGTTGGGGTCGCGGTAGCGCGAGGTGGAGTCGAGTGAGCAATGCTCTCTTGAAGTGCATAGCCAAAAGTCACTAGCGCGGCGCTACGGCGGGCCATTAGACCATTCGCGTCTATTCATGGTGGCCGCGTTCCCTCCTTTTTGACCGGCCATCACAAGAACACAGAGAAGAGCTGTAAAGACAATGCACTCAACGCGTCAATTTCTCTCTTGGTTCGGGACTTCTTCTTTTCTATACCGTGCTTACTCTCAGAACACGTCTATCGCACGCGTTTTTAGGCCATGACGTCAAATCCATGAAGGGAGAGTGTCCTTCCTGGACATAATCAGGACGAAGTGCTCTGAGCCACAATTACACTACAGAGCTTCCGAGTGTAGAACGGAACGTTGGTTTCCTTGTATCAATCATATTATCTACTGCTCAATACAGTGCATTGCTTCATATCATGACTGCCGTTGCTGGTATCTTTACATCTTCATCCCACTAACGGCGAGTGCCTCTGGCTCGCCTTCCTCATTCTCGTACAAGGCGTTCGCTTGCACTTCTCTCAACCACAACCGCCAGCTCTTATCCACGCATTTCTCGTTCATCTTCTTACAGCTCTTCGCTTCTTCCTCACTCAAGTACTGCACTTTCTGCCAATCTCCCCCCGCAAACCCCAGTGCCTTCGCCAAAAGCTCGCAGTTCGTCTGTGTATACAGTGCTCGATAAATTGCCTCTTCAACTGACCTTCCCATGCAGGTGAACCCATGCTTGTGCTGCAGTACTACCGGCGTTGACGGATGGAGCTTGCGAGCCAGCGCTTTCCCCAAAGGTTGGTTTTTTATCAGCATGTCCGGTGTCACTTCGACTTTCCCAACTAAATCGCGGTACGCATCTTGCGCATCGAAGACGGGAACACCCTTCGACGAGCCGCCAAGGAAACCGGCCATATGGAATACCGGCCTCACCGGCACCTCCGCTAATGTGAACGGTATCACTGTCTCGCTGTGCGAGTGGACTACACAGTTGATTTCCGGGAAACGACGGAATATTTCACCATGGATGAAGCGCTCCGAGTACCCTTGTGGTGCGTTGGGGTCCACGGGCGTGCTGTCCCGCACTCTGTACGAGATAAAATCTTGCTGCGACTTCACCAGAGCAGGTGCGCCAGGGTCGTAGGCTGCGATCAGGTACTGATCCGGCGCCATAGGGTGACGCAACGAGATGTGGCCGAATGCATCGACAAGGTGGTGTTGGTGGAGGATATGGTTTGCACGTATGAGGAGGCGGAGCCCCTGCAAGAGCGGCGCCGGAAGGTCTGTCATGGCCTTCGTTGTTGGGGAGACAATGGAAGGAGCAATGGATCTGGGTGGGTTGGTCGGAGTAGAGATATGTGGTATCGATGTTGGAGTCCTCGAGATGACGGGACGATGCGATGCTTTGACCGTGTCTATGTCCGTTGGACGTGCTGGCGGTTTTGTAGGGATGTAGACCGGTGTCGTTGGCTCTGAGATATCGGTGCCGAGCACAGGGTTGAGGGTACGGTATACCAGAGGTGCGTTATGAAAGCCGTGGCTTGTAAGATTATAGTCGCGTACGGTTACGCGGTCATCAAGAGCTTCAAGGCTGTATGTATATGTCATGTGAGATTATGAGTCCCCCCAGGAGTCCTAGCTCGTATAAATCCGACAGCAAGGCGATCTTATACTCATTGCGTCTTGTTCCTAGCTTTTTCTGGTGTAACCATCGTCGTCTTAAGTCGTTTCGGTGCAGCTATACTTGGTCTAGGACCTGAAACATGACACCCAACTTTGTTGAAACTGCAAGGAGTGTCACCGGAACCGGTGGGCCTGGTGTCGGCTTGTCAAATATACTCCGTATGATATTGTTCGTCGTGCATCGTTGATGGGAACACCAGCTGCGGGGTTCGTGAGGGGATCCGGACGTAATCATCTCCTGCGGGCGTCCGACACGTTCATCGTAATCATTGTCGCATGTATTCCAAATCGATGACTTGAATCGTCTCCGTCAAATTTGAGTGTTAAGAAATAACTCTGTGATTAAAAGTTCACAGTATTGCGCGTCTTTTTGTGAGCCTTCTTGTTGAGGCAAGAGCGCCAGTTCAACGTGTACATCGACACATCGCACATCCACCGACAACCTGCTCCGTTAGGATCGTCAAACTACGCGACTATGGTCTTGAACTGGCTCAACTGGATCATTGCAGTCTCTACAGCAGCTTTACTGGCCTTCTACTACGATTTTAGGAGCTGGCAGAGCTATGGTGCGCAGGGCAAAGCAAACTCATGCCGCAGCGCTGACGCTCCACAGGAACTGGTGGCACACCGCCAACACTCCAAGGCTATCTGAAGATACGACGATGGGGTTTGTATCTCCTCTACAAAAGACAGGATCTGCTCGACCCATCACCAATCCCAGATGCAGGTGTAGCATACATTGCCCCTGGCAAAGTACCTGTGCGGTCAGGTCGTCCGCCAAAGAGCACTCGCTGGACACTGCCTCAACGTCAATTCCCACAGCCTATAACCAAGAATGCATTGGATGAGCTCACGAATCTCATGCAGACCTTTGCCAACACAGCGCCGTACTCTGAATACATTGAGACGCGACCAAGCAAGACCGAAGGCGGCACGGGTCCTGCAATCTATGTCAAACCTGATGTGAAGACCATCAATCCGGTAGCGCACAAGATATTCTACGAAGTCGCCCACGTGCACCCTAAAGAGAATTCGCTGCATGTGTATGTAAGCCCCAAGGATGCAAAGACGGTTGTGAGTCGAGGCTGGGGCCAACGCTTTCCAGTTACTTGGTTGGCGCCTCCAAGCTGGATCATGGTGTATGCTCCGAGAGATGAGAGGGAGCTAGAGGTTGTGAAAGAGATCGTTAGAGCTGGAATTTGTCATGCGGTCGGCATGGAGGTCTCCAATATACAGCCGTGAATGCGGGTGTGAAGTTACATGAACAACAGCAATTTGATAACAGAAGGCTGATGGAAATGGACAATTCATGATACAGGATTTTCGAAACATCAAGCATGGTCTCTTGGAAACCCGATAATACGAGAAAGCGCCTAGGGCATTCCTTGCATTCTGTGTGGCACAGCAGACAATGCACCTCACATCATATGTCTCTCTGAACAACCAATCGGTGCAGCATCAGAGACACCGAAGTATCGCTTTAGAGCGGAGATCCGATGTCTTGCAGATCGCTGGGGCCACCCGCTAGCTCAGGTCCGCTTGCAGGAGGACCAGTAGATCCCTGGCTGCCCTGCACTTGAGTTACGTATATACGACATTCCAGCTGTTTCGACTACAACCTATCTTTCTTCCTTTTTTATTCAAACTATCATGGGTAGCATCGACACATCCATGAAAGTCCTAATAATCGGAGCAGGTACGACTTCCACTTATCATAATCAACACACTCTTAACAGATTCTTCAGGTCCGGCTGGTTGTGCCCTAGCACACGGACTCAAGAAAGCTGGCATTGCTTACCGTATATTTGACAAAGGTGAAGATGTATACCGACACCGTCACTGGGCATTCACCCTCGGCTGGGCACGACCATATCTTCTGAGCCTCTTGCCCGACGAGGTCGGGTGCAAACTAGATACCTGCGCCGTTGATCCTAGCATTGATTGCGCAGCCATAGGGGAAGACAGGATCGTGTTGTACAACGGGCAGACGCGCGAGGAAGCATTTGCATTCCCAATTCCAAGAGCGAAGGAGATGAACATTCGGAAATTGCGCATTTTGCTCGCTGACAGCCTCGACGTACAATATGGGAAAAGGTTCAGTCATTACAAGATACTCCAAAACGGCGCAGTCAAAGTTTTCTTCGAGGATGGATCGAGCGAGGAAGGTGACGTTGTGATCGGCATCGACGGCGCAGGTTCGAAAGTCCGGCAGTGTCTGATCGATCATGGCGCTGCGCAGGAGACGCTTCCGTTTGCACTCATGAACTTCAACGCGTCGTATTCTAAAGAGCAGGCTCTTTTCATCAAACGGCGTCTACATCCCCTTGTTGATATCGCGATACACCCCGCGGGCCACTACATCCGGGCCAATGTGCTGGATATGCCTGACGTCGACGACCCGACAACGTGGACATTCCAGATACTTTCAACGTGGCCGCTGAAAAACGCGGAGGATTACGATAACGATGTGGATCGTTTGAAAAGACTAAAGGCGCACGTTGCGAGGGATGGGTGGGCAGAACCGTACAAGAGTGCGATCGAGTGGATACCGGAGGATACGCCTGTGATCAAAGACCAATTGAAGATTTGGAAGACCCAACCTTGGGACAATCAGGGTGGGAGAGTCACGTTGTGCGGTGATGCAGCGCACGCCATGACGTTTCGTATGTCCGAATTGTCCAGTACATTGCAACCAAGTTTACTAACGTCATATGTTAGATCGAGGTCAAGGCGCAAATAATGCCTTTTTCTCTGCCCACAGCCTTGTAGAAGCTCTGAAATCGGTACAGAATGGAACCGCAACACTGGCGGACGCGATAACGGCTTATGACGAGAGCATTTTGAAACGTGGCGCGAACGAAGTTCAAATCTCGAAATCCCAAAGTTTCTACACGCACGACTGGCCCAACTTCATTAACAGTCCGGTCATGACGTTGGGGACGAAGCCAAGTCACGCAGCGAAAAGCGAAGGGTATCAATGAATATGTTGCTCGATTAATCCGAATGGTTGTTTAGTCTTGATACGTACAAAAGTGCATTTGGAAAAGTCACAGAGTTATTGTTGAAACTTACGAGACTCGTCCTCACTGATGCGATGAGCGACCACTAATCCCAAGGGTCCACCGTCAATAGCCACAAAGTCGTAGGTTGTCTCCTTGAGAAATGATACATCACCGCCCTCCACTCCTGAGAAAGTTACAGTGGAGGGGAAGGCCGCCGCGATAGTGACAAGACTCTTCAGACCAGCTGCCAAGCAACGAAGGAGTAAGACGCTAGGGCCCGCGAGAGATGGATGGAGGGCCTCTGCCATATTATAATATCCTAAGTGTGTGGTGTGTCAAGCAAGGCTAGTGATAGCGAGGAGAGTGTTCTGGTTGGCGCTGCGGGTTCGAAGGAACATGTCGCGCCAGACAAATCCGGAGGAACTATATGAGCACTGCATGTATCAACTTCACTGTGCAAGTTACAAGGCTTCAGCGGAACATTGGGGCTGTGGATTTAGCCTGAGCAATTTCTTTGCCGAAGTTGGGAGAAATGAGAGTTCAGCTTATCGTCTATATTTTGATGCATTTACAAGGAGATCTATAAAACCAAAAGGAACGCGGTCTTTATGGTTTAGAGATACGGAACCAAGCCGTTTTTGCTATAAAAACCCAGTCAACGGTGTTCCAGACTGAAAGAATCAATTCCAAGAAACGCCCGACCAACGAAACAACATACCTAACCTTTGTAGACCGACGTGCAGACAAATTATCTTTTGCCATTAATTTGCCCCAATCTTGTTGGAGACGGGTAGCATGACGCGAGGTCGGATACTGGAGCAGCTTACGTCCTTTCCGGACCGACCTCTTCCGTAGTCGGTACGTCGGTGAAGCGCAGCCTGAGACTGCAGATCCATGCCACTCCCTCCAGTACTGTGTCCTTTAGCATACTTGCTCACTGGTTTGGACGTGCTGCCGGTGGCGTGTTGCGCATTAGCTAGTCCACCTTGAGTGGTGGGACGCTTGACAGGCTTCCACGGGCGTGTTTCATGCATCCTGTGCGGCTTAGATGAAGGCTTGATGTTCCTCTCACGTCCAACACCTGAATGGTCCTTGAGGGTAGACTGGACCTCACTCTTTGTGTCAAGAGTTTTGTCCATACGATATAGTTGGTCCGATGATGTAGCAGTAGGATTGTTCGATGGCTCGCTATTGTGAACACGCGATCTCAGAGCTTGAAGAGCTTTGTCAAGGGTAGAAATTGTATATGTATGGCTTGTGGGATTTGCTGCGCCATTTTGGAGAGAGGAAGAAAAGTCATGAGGAAGCTGTTGTGTAGTCTGTGCAGCTGTGGCATTTGTCCTCTGAGCGAAGGAGCCCGAGAGTGAAACTGTTGCGAATGGAGGAGTCATTGACTGTGTCTCAATAGATGTATCATCTAGATCGATGAGATTTCGGATCTGCTCAGGTCCTTCGTTTGGCTTAGGTGCCAACGCGGGCCTTAACATATCCACCGTACGTGAATGGTCATGACGACGGTTAGATGTAAGGGGGCGGAAATCCTGCGACGCTGGAGGCTCCATCGAGAGTTGTCGCTCGTTGTCACCTTGACCCATGCGTGGTCGTAGGAATTTCGATGCTCCGACACATATGGCCATCTGATCTCTGTACCAATCTGGCACCCAAGGGAACCCTAGCTCCTTGAGCTTTGCACGGTCGGGCATCTCGTGCTTGTACCTACAGCCTTGCTGCATGTAGTCGCAGGAGTTGTGCCTTATCCAATGTGTACAGTACTCCTTTTTAGATGGGTCAGGCTTGATACCAGATGGATTTGGCGCGCCAGTGGTCGTCTGATGTAGCGATACCAATTCAGAGGATGTGAGCGTTCCGGCTGTAGGCGCTGTGGGTCCTTGAAGGAAAGTATGCTTGAACCGTTGTCCAGTGAGATCAACCGAAGCAGGAGATGTCTCTCGAAGAACCGGCGTTAGGTGCGCTCTCCTATCAATATCTTGGCGAACAGCGTGGTCGGGCGACAAGTATCCAGTTTTCGTTGGTGATACTGATCGGCAGGACTGGACGTCAGCGGAAGCTCGAGTTGAGAGCAGCAATGCGGGCTGATGAGTCTGTCCGACCAGCTTCCAGCCTTCTTGGTCGTGTCGAGCAGGCTCAAGTCGAGACGGCAAGTCTTGAAGCTGATACGGCAGCTGGTCGATCGGGATGAGAGGGACCTCGACATTGTTGCGAATGATGGAGTAGCGGACTCCTAGCGGAAGAGCCATAGCTACCTATAGTCGACTAATTCTATAGTCAATTCAATGGTGTGCGGATGTTATAGATCGCAAATACCGGAGGTGGTTGTTCTATAAGTAGGTAGGCGAAGGTGTCGCCTAACAATTGTCTGAGTATGTTGGTACTTGTTTCAGGCAACAAACTTGCCTCTTGATGTTTTCCTCCATTACTGCTTGTCTGTTTGCTACATGTGTCCGATTCCTTTGCAATCCCCGCAGGGATGAACAGACAAAGGCTCGTTGCAGTGTCACGTACTTTTACAAAGTTCAATGACATTTGATCTTCCCAATTGATATCTTCGTGAAGTTTCCATCGTTGTCAGTGATTTGAACACGGTACATGGTTGAACACAGTCGCAAGAGTTGTCCATAAAGGACGATAAGTAGCTTGCTAGCGTGTCGTTGTAGTGAACATGGGTTCTGTGTCGGTGAGCGACAAAGGACGGGATTGGATTGTAGCAGGGTCTTTCTGCCTACTCACAAGGAACACAAAAATGCCGCCAAGAGGGCCGTAATAGCTGAATCTGTCTCCCAAATTCATCTTGTTAGATCGAGCTTGCTAAATCTTCCTTTTACAACTACACGGCTTTTCTTTTAGGCGTTTACGATTCTACTTGGTCTCTTGTGTTCTCCAAAGAATACAGCAACTGAATAGTTGTTTGGCAGCTTGCCCGACCACTGGGTGTGTGCTGGAATACATGGAGTTTGACAGCTAGCCGACCTCTAGTATCATGTTCACGACCGCGCCTCTAACAACCTAGACTGTGGCCAGATAGCGGCGCAGGTGAAGAGGTCGATCTTTCCATGACAACAGATCTTGTGCTTCGCACAATTTGAGTCGCGTCCTGAGCCCGTCGCAATATGGCATAGGCCGCTGGCTCACTTGGTGGCCAGACGCTGTAGCTTCCAGGGACTCTAACAGTGCCGAAGCACTGCATTGCAGTGCACGTGCGGTACACTGACCAGTCTTGGCGGTAACAGCATTGTTGTACCAATCTGACTGGACAATAATGAGGGGTTTCTGTGTCGCAGGAGATGTGATGAGCGTGTACTATTTTGTGGTGTCCGGAGGATTTGACTGGCTGCTGCGTGGTGGATGAGGTCAAGAGCCGGAGTTTCGACGCATCCCTGCGGCTAAGAGGCCTAGCCCCTGCATCCATGTGTCGATCTGTGGCACCTGGATACCGAACTTTCTCTCCCACCTTAAATCTTCCGACAACACCGACATGCTGCTCTGATGCGGTCATGATGTCCAAGTATTACGGTAATATGATACGTTGTGTATTCGCGGCGGCGATGTTCGCAATCCAACGAACGCTTCGATTTTGTAGATCGAACCCCTCGGCAATCGGACGTGCTAGCCCCGTAGAGGTACGGTCGCGCGATGGCACTCATCTGCGATGTCAGTACCTAGGTTCTTGTGTGGGATAGGCACAGCCCAGCCTCACACGAGGTCCGAGAACCTTATTTAATCTGCTTTGACATTCCACCGGGCGGGACCTAGTGCTTCGTCGGAGGAGACACAAGAAAAATTCTGGGACCGTCCGAAAGATCGTGGAGCTATCTCCAGCAACCTGAATCCCATGTTATGATACCGACAAACTTTAGGGCTAGGAAGCAACAAGCTAGCAAGCCCTCCTGCAATGGCGCACTACGATGCGCCATGTCCGAGTAGGTAGCGAATGATTCCACGCGCTATGTCGTACATGACACGAGAACCAAAGTTCACACGTTCTCTGTCAACAATAGCGCACTCTGGGGCCGGAACATGTTCATGGATTTGCGGGATCGTGAACTAGCCGTATGGCTGAAATGATCCAAAACGCTAGCGCAGACGCACACCTTGCACATGGGGCTATTCCAGCACGATAACGACTTTATATCCTGTGCACGAAGTTGTCCTTGTGCCTCTTCCAGGCGAATATCCCGTCAATGGCTCTCAGTAGCAGGTTTGAAACAGAACGGGTCGTCGCTTTTGGCTGATATCATTCATGGCCATGGAACAGAAGACCACCTCGGATAGCCGCCGAGACGAAGTGCTCGCAGTGGCGACTTTGTTCTTCTTTCTTTCGTGGGCAACAGTCGGTCTACGATTTTATGTGCGTGGGAAGCTCATGCACACTTGGGGTCTGGATGATACGTAAGTGTGCACCGTTACTATGTCAGACAAGATACTCATTCGTTGTTCAGATTTATGGGTGCTACTCTTGTAAGGCTCACACAGTAAAAAGCACAATGACGTTGCTCACAAACGTAGGTGATCTTCACGGTGTATCTAGCATTCCAAACGGTCGCAGCGATTTACGGAACAGGCCGACACCGGTGGGAGTTGGAAGATGATGACGCGAGAATCGCTCTTCTGGTAAGCAACTTGAGCTCCAAGAGTGTGGCGTGTCTAACCACTGATAGTTCTGGTATCTCTGTGAACTGATCTACGTCCTCGCCAACTGTACCCTCAAGTTTTCGATCGGTTACTTCTATCTTCGGGTCGCTGTACAACGCTGGCACGTCTGGACTATCAAGATCTTGATGGCTGGTACAATCTTCTTTTCACTTATCTACTTCTTTCTGGCAATGTTCCAGTGTACCCCTAGTAAGTCATCTGTCCAGATTCCCCGTTGGCCGGTTTATACCTCGTATTGTGGTGGAATATATAGCTACTCTCATTTTGACATGGCTCTATCTGGTCAGCTGCTGACTCTACAAAAGTCTCCGAAGTCTGGAACAATCACCCTGCATCCGACAAATGTTTGCCAGCAGGCCCGACAAAAGGCATCACATATGCTCTTGCAGCCGTAAACGCCACTGCAGACTGGGCTCTTGGAACTCTACCTTTCTTCATTGTCTGGGATCTTCAGATGAAGCGAAAGGTGAAAATACTCGTTGCTGGCATCTTGGCCTTCGCCGCAATCGGTAGCACAGCAACAATCGTCCGCATGTTCTACATACACACGCTTATGAATGGACCTGACTTCTTGTATGCGACTACCGATGTCGCTATCTGGAGTACAGTCGAGCCAGGCATTGGTATTGCTGCCAGTAGCATAGCAACTCTACGTCCGCTCTTCCGGCACTGGCTATGGCGCTTGGGGCTTGCATCTGCCCCTGGGCAAAGCAACACCTACTATCCTTCGATTTCCGGCCAGAAACGGAAGGATCGCCGTGGCTATCGACGAAGTCTCAGTCCATCTGATCTGGTACCTACTGAACGTGGTGGAGTCACTTCGACAGAGATAAAAGGACCGACAACACAATCCACAAATCACGAGGGAATGATCACACTCCCCTCCATCGTCATCGAAGAAGAAGATTATGTACAAACACAACCTGAAGGCTATATCCTGCAGACCACTACTGTGCGACAAGATTTCGACGACCCTGCACCACGCCTGCACCTTCGAGATAGCCTCAGGAACAGCTTTACCAGAGGAACCATTCTCAGCCCCGGCAATAATCGGGCATTTTAATCAATAATGCCAAAACCGTTCCTGCCAAGCAGCGAACGGTCCACATACAGGATAACATAAGAGGCCAGAGTATCCGCAAACCCTTATCCAATGTTTGGAAATCTACAACCCGACTTCACGCATCATGCTCGCTTGAATTTTCCACGATTCGAAGTCTCGATGCGTCTGGCTTCGATTCGAATCGTGAGACAACACGATCACGCCATCGACTGTGGGTTGTCTCACCACCAGTGCAGCCACCCCGTGATGAAGATATCGTGAACGAAGCGGCAAAAACATATAACTGCATTAGAGAGATCCAACGACGCGACGCACTTAATAACGATCGCCACTCGTGCTGCTTGCAATGCCGACCTCCACGGCAGCCACCACAGCCACCCCAGCGAACGCTACAGTCCTCACAAATGCATCGCATATGCCCACGATCACTCGATTTCACTATCTTCTTCAGCACAGCAAAAGTCTCGTATGTGCCCACGGCCCATACACAACCTATCCCAATACCACTGTCTTCACACGTGCCACGAACCCACCCGTAAAACCCTTCGGACCTTCTTCGAGATGTATGGCCACCTCGCTCGCAGCGGCTCAAGATTGTATTGGCAGCGCGCAACTCCCCGGACCCGCGAAAGAAGATCTGCACGTTTTCAAGCATTTATGGGATACGACTGTCGAGCTGCTGGAAGAGGTGCTGGCCACAGGCGATTTAGACCACGAGTCGTTTGGATGGGGAATCTGGGCGTTATGTGCGGGTTACGTGTACCCTCACTCGGAGACTTCGTACGAGATGTTCGAGGAGCATAAGCATCGCTTGCATGAGGCGCTTTTGGCGCTCCCCGCTCTTGACTCGCCGAGGCGTAAAAGAGAAGAGCTTGTCGTGCCCGGTGAGGGAAAGGTCGAGGTTCTCGCGAAGGCAAATAGGCAAGTGCATATTTGTGCTAGCTTGGTACTCCAGAGGTACAGGCAGGAAGGGTGGCATCGGATCAGATGGTGGCACGGGATCAAGGTCGCAGATAGGTGGATTGCGAGACTGGGTATGGGGAATGAGGCGGAGCTTGTTGACAGAAAGGATGAGAGCGGATTGGCAGGTGCAACTGCAGGGGCTGGAGAAAATGTCAACGGCAATTAAAAACCGGCGCATCTGCTTCCCTCGGTTGTACCATGGCAGAATGTGTCAATAGACGTAGAACGTTCTCAAATCAAATCATCAAATGAAATCAGGGCAGATATTGTAGAGAATCCAGAATTGTCTCGACAAACAGTGCAATGACAACATCACACCTGCGCATATAAAAAACATCACGCACGCACGACTTTGATGGATATAATTCACATGCTTTATGTACTTTGGCCTCTCTTATCATTTGTATATCATACAATCTAACTCTTCTAAGAACCACCAGCAGCAGGTGTAAAGTCAGTAGTTGTCAGATCAGGGTTTCCCGGCACAATGAACTGCTTGTCTTTTTTCAGCGTAGCCAAAAAGTCGTCGCTAACCTTCAAATGGTCCTTCACAATCTGCTTGGGCGTAAGGCCCAGCCACTGGTTGACACTGATGTCAGAGTATGTGCTTGCCTGCAACACCTCAAGGAAGATCAAAGTCTCATTACCGGTGTTCTCGAGGTAGTGTGCATTCGGGACAGGTACGTATCCGACGTCGCCAGCAGTAAAGTCAAATGTGCGCGAGGAACTAGGTGCTTGATACACTGTGAGGCGAGCCGAACCCTGGAGGAAGTATGTCCACTCGTCAGAAGTGGTGTGCCAGTGCATCTCGCGCATCGCGCCAGGCTCGATGGTGATCAGTGCAGTCGAGAAGGTGTCGGCAATAGGAAACGTAGTGGGGTCGAGGATCTTGATAGATCCACCTGGGACCTTCAGTGGCTGCTGCTGGGAAAAGTGGTACGTGTACTGTGTCTGCTTGGGGATGATACCAGCGGAACCCGTGACATTCTGTTCGCTTATATTCTTAGGTGCTGGAGTGCCTGGAAAGATCCAAAGCTGACCCTCCGGCAGATTGTCGAACGTCTTGGTTGTCGTGCGGAAGTTCTTGGCTAGGACCTCCTTTGGATTGCGCTCCATGAGCTCAGAGAGAAGGAAGGTGTTGTCCTCGGAGAAATCGCCACTGTCGAATACGAGTAGGAACTCACACCCGGTGTCGAAGGCCTGAATGGAGTGCGGGATTCCGGGTGGGAAGAACCACACATCACCCTCTGTAACATCATCGACGAACGTTTCGCCAGCTTCATTCATCGACTGAACACGGACGCTACCATTGAGCCTATGTTAATTAGCCTAAATGTCAGGAGTCAATTATCAGGCACCTTTGGAACTTACATAAGAGCCCACTCGCCCTGCTTGTGCCAATGAAGCTCACGATAAGCGTTTGGACTCAGCCGCATGTTGACGCCTGCCATCGCTGTTGCAATGGGCAGCTGGCCAACGTTCTGGTTCCGTGCCCACCCTGCACCAGCCAGGCCGTGGCGATTGTGCGATAGGCCGAAAGGCCACTTTGCATTCCCCACGTCACCCGAATCAGTAACAGGCGGAGCGAAGATGTCGCTGTTAAGAGCATCGTAAACATCGGTTCTGCCATGTGTGAGTCTCTGTTCAGCTATCAAGCTCAGTGTAGCTTTCCATCTCACCTTGGGCCAGGATCTGTAGGTCCAGTCGTGCCACCTCGAATAGGCTGAGGGTTCTTCACGTTGGTGAGGTCAATGTAAAGACCTTTGTCAGGATCTGCAGACTGTCCAGTCCCAAGCTCAAATTCACTAGGTGGGACGACAGTCGATTCCGTGGAGATAGGATTTGATGATTCATAGCCGATCAATGCTTCAGAACCGCGCAGTGAGCCTACCGCCCCTGAGGGCGTAGCCTGAGGAGCAGGAAGTGCGAAGGCTGAGCCAGCCAAGGACGACAGAGCGTGTACAAGAGAGTACTTCATTTTGGGAGAGAGTGAACGTGTTGCTTTGCACAGCTGAGTCGGACTGGTGCTTTCCACAGCGGCTCGACCACATCTTTTTATACTTGAGGACGCCGGTAAGAAATCAAACAGCGTGGTCATCGTCGCCACATCATTGGATCAATGCCATGCACATGCGACTTACTGAATAGGCCGGTAAACGTGGCCCAAGTTTAATCAACTGACGTCAAGATGCCGGATTCCCGATTCCATGGGTGAGATATGCAGATGGCGTGGAAAAAGTACGTGAGAGTTTAGCTTTACCATGATCAAATTAGGTTCATACCCTTGCACCAGAGGGTATACTCGGCGCCTGCCGGCAGCAACAGCGGGTGGCTGAATGCCAGTCATTGGCTATGCCCCGCATGAATGACCAGGGACAGTGCAGTGGCAGCTCATTACTGGTATCGCTTGTCTTCATTCCTTGTAAAGGAGTGAAGACGAATATCGTACCTGGTCGTTGATTCCTAGTCCTCTCTGTCACACCGGCTCTTTCCAGGTCCTTCGGTTCTCCGTCGGCGGAACTCACATACTGTCATTGCCGCATATTCCCAAATTACAGGAGGAGTCCTCCGGATGATGGTTTGCATATCATTCCGTAGAGTTTTACTAACATAGGTACCTCGAGGAGGCGTATGGGAAATTCTTTTCTCCCCAAGGACATCGTCCCAGCATCGTGCCGCAACCCGACGCTGATAGCTGTAACGCCGCGGTCTAAGTGCCGCGCGTTCTACTCAATGACGATGTTGCTAGCCGGGATGCCGGGACATGCGGCATTAAGGCCGGCGGGATTGGATGAAGGTTACCGTCGTGCCACCAGCATCGGGATCCCAGATCCACTGTAAAGCTTGTTCCAAAGCTTCGTACTGCTTATTATGTCTTGGTAAGTTTTAAAGCCAACCCTGTTGGAAACATCATCGCTGTGCTACGGTGAGGATGGATGGTACGAGCACCGACGCAGGGTGACCCGTGCTGTTGTCCCAACAGGAAGCGATCAACTGCACTGTTTCCTGCTAAAATGACAGTTGCGTTTGCCGGATAAAATCCGAATACAGCTCTCCATATTCTATGTATTGTCCATGCGACATGTGCTTGGAGTGTAGATAAACTCGTCAAAGCCGTTGGATACGACTCACCGCCAGCAGTTTCCCTTCGGCTGACATGCTTGCAACATGGTCACTTGAAGAGTAGTAAAGAAGGATGACATGGATGAGATCCATCTCCCGGATACTTTCATATCTTTGCTCGCTCATATGAAGGCTTACAGACCAGACCCAGTGATTAGACGGGGTCCGCCCTATTTTCATCCCACAATAGCGTGTTAGATCATGGACATGTGACCAACTATGTTATTTCTGGCGATAGCACTGATTTCAACTCCTAAGATGTTCAATTTGAATCGTGTTGAAGTAGCGGAGATGTCGAGGCGGGAAGGCTTGCGGATTGTGCTGTATAGCGCGACGAGCTGGACCTCTGTCTGGCAGTCGCGACTTCTAAGCTTGATGTGTCTTGCAGCACAGTATAGCGACCAGGAGTAATCAATCAACTGCACCCCCATATCGACTATCTGTGGACCTAGAGGATGCTGTTGCGCTTCTGGGTGACGGATGGCACGCGACACGACCAGAAATGTAAGGAGCGGCCGGCAAACGTTGTCAGGAGTAAAGTCTTTGTGCTTGTTGCTCTCGTTTGCATGAAAATCTTTGTTGCCCTTGGAATTAACATGAAGCCCAAATATCGCTATGTTTGCAGCGAGAATTGAACTCAGTCACAAGCGTTGAGACGAAAGTCTGGATATCTTTGAGTGAGCGTGTGCTCTCGACGATACCTTCAGAGTGGGTCTTCTAGGTTAGCAACCGAATAAGTATTTATCAAAAGTCTGTCAACGTACCTTATTCACTTCTGTTGCGGAAATGGCAAACAACAACACAAAAACCAGGTTCGCTTTCACCTTCACTATGGCCAAGCTCGAACTGGTGCCTTCTATCCTCGCGTTTGACTGTCCAAGCTCTAGCCCCACTCGCACGTAAACATCGACCGCGCCTTCCTCTGCTTCACCGTAGAGTTTTGTACCTCGTCGCCACCTTGTAATCTCGCACCCGGCCCACGTACTGTCAGAATACTGCACGTAACCTCTCTCGAAGACAGTCGAGTCTATTACGCTCCAGTACGACGATTTCAAGAGCCGTACAGGCCGCATTCATCAAATCATGGCCAAGAGCAAGAAGTCCAAGACGGGTGCACGTTCGAAGCCAAAGACCGGCTGGGGTGAGCCTGCGCGCGCTGGTACGTTGCCCTTCATGAAGTCCGTGAGCTTGCAATTGCTAACGGATCTCGCCAAGGTGACGAGCTTTTGATTTTGCCTAGAGGCCGCTCACTTAAAGCGACCGAAGAATTGCATGCAAAGCCTGTTGAGAAGGCCATAGCTGCTTCCTCAGAAACTGGTCAGACATCTGTTGCGAAGCAGTACCTTGGCAATGAGTCTTTGGAGGCGACCACCGAGACAACATCGGGCCAGCTCGATGGTGCTGATGAACAGCTGAATGTATATGACGGCGACGTTGAAGACGGTGAGTGATCGTAGCTAAGCATTGCGATATGACAGCGCTCATCGAACTCAGGTACCGAAGCTGCACAGCAGATGGTCGACACGCCCGTCTCTGCTGAGCAAGATTTGAAGCTCGCATCCGACGAATCATATGAGCTTGATGATGAGGAGCCAGCTGCCAATGGAGAGCATGACAGTGAGGATGGTAAGTAATGCACGCCCTTCGACGAGACAACATCTTTAATAACTGTTCCATAGAAGATTTGCCAATCTCTTCTTCAATTCCACGGCTCGTTCCGGCTAGCAGACATCGAGCCAAAGCCCTCCGCGAAGGAACAGAGACCATCCGCCCCCACCCGTCAGATGCGGCCAAAGTCATCGTGACGTACCACTACAAGGACCCAGCTGGAGGAGTCTATACCCAGGATACAGTGCTGCCAGAGGTAATTCCAGCCCCCGCCGACGCATCAAACGAGCCTGGCAGTCTCATTTTCCCAGACGTGGGGACCTCCAAGGTCCCAAGGACGAGGAAAGGATCGCCGTGGACGCGTGTGCCGGGACAGTCCCGGTACGAGTGGACTCGCGGCGAGGGCGATCAGAAAGAGATGTGGCGCATCAACATCTTTTTCCGTCGCCTCCGCCGAGACACTTTTGAATTCGAAGACATCTATGTCAACACGAAGATCCTCGAGACGGTCGACCCCAACAACAAAAGGTTTCGCACGTCCTACAACAAGTGGGTCTTGCAGTTTGCGCGTCGTCGCGATGCGACCTACACACAAAAGGTCGTGAGAGTCCACTGGAGTGTTCCAGAGCGTCGCGCCCTCTACGCCGGCATAAACACTTTCTGTGCCAAGTTCGGCATCCACCGCTTCGGCTTCACAGAGGACTGTAAGCTGTCCACCAGGCAGCTGCAGCTCCTTGCCGACGCCGTCAACGCCACGCAGAACCCCCTGCGCCTGGTGCCACGTGGTGTGGATGCCGTCCGCGGCCAGATCGTGTCCGCCCATGACAGGGCGGCGCCCAAGAACAAGGCCGTGTTCGAGCTGCTGGTCACTGCCGACAAGCTCCGTGCCCGGATCGCCGCCGGCGAAGTGCTCCCGCGGGCGGAGCGCAAGCCAAAGGCGGCGATCCCGCTCGAGGACTTCCCGGTGGAGGTTCCCGTGGCGGCTCGTAGTGTCGCGGATCGCGACAGCAGGAAGCGGAAGCGGACTGCTGCCGTTGAGAGCGATACGGAGCCGTCGAGCTCTGAGCTGTCGGAGCCGCCGGAGTCGGAGGTGGGTGAGGACGATGTGGCGGAGAGGGACGGGTGGATGACCACCGAAGAGGAGATCCTGGAGGGGGAGAGTGAGGAGGGGAACTGGTCAGACACCAGTGAGGAGGTGGTGGACGGGGAGGAGTGGGAGGAGGCGGAGGCTGAAGAAGCTGGGGCGCCACCAGCGAAGAAAGCCCGCACCGCATAGGTGAGGCTGAGAGACCACGGGGGCGCGATTGAGGAATACCAGGGAACGAGGAAGACAGGACACCGGCTTGAAAGACACCGCGCTATACGAACATGGACGCAAACGCGAAACCAGGGGCGAGGTAGTCGCCAAGACACGACGTCTGTACTATAGATGTAATAATGAAGCACTTGTCAGCAGCATACTCACTTAAACGAGAACAAAACGACCTTGAGACGTGACGTGAAGACACCACAAATAAAGACAAGAGAAGTACTAGAAGACGGAGGGTGGTTCATTAGCTCTTGACATACACCAACCTAGAACCCAAATGCATCCAGCAGACTATTCGCATCCGGCTCCTGGAACTGTGTCGGCGGTGGCTTCTTGGGCGCAGGCTTGGCCGGCTCCTCCTCTTCCTCGCTTTCCTCGCTTTCCTCGTCCTCTTCGTCGCTCCCGGCTTCCTCATCTCCATCCTCGTCCTCCTCTTCAGCATCACTACCCTCCTCAGCAACACCACCCTCATTCTGCGCCAACTCGTTCCTAACATGCTCCCTGGCCGGCAAATCCGCAACCACCAAGCTACTCCTCCTGCGCAGCAACTTCCTGGGATCAAAGTCGAAATCCGCCGCAGCCTGATGCGGCCCATTGGCGCGAAAACTGTCGCGGGGCAAGAGCGGACTCAGCGGCGGACGCCCGGGCACCGTGCGCGGCGGCGGCGTAAGCAGGAACTCCCACTTGCGCACGAGGTCGAGCGCGAGCACGTCGCAGCCCATGCGCGTGTACAGCGCGGCGGTGTGCAGCACAAAGTCCCACTCCTCGCGCATGCCGATCATGGTGGCGCCGCGCAGGGTCTGGAGGGATTTCTCGCGCAGTTGCTTGTAGAGGACGACGAGGGCGGGGTCGTCGGTGAGGTAGGATTTGGAGTGGAAGTTTGGGGTTTGCGGGGGCGAGAGGAGGCGCGAGAGCGGGGTTACGAGGGAGCGGACGGCGGTGTCGCGACGTCCGAGGAGCCAGTAGGCCCAGGTTGCGAGCCAGCGGTTGCCGTCGCGGGCGGCTTCGGGGAGGATTTTGTCTCGTAGGAAGTTGAGGAGGACGGGGTGGTCGTCGCCGCCGTAGACGCGGGCTACGGCGATGGCGAGCTGGGTATCGCCGAGTTGGTTATAGAGCACTTGGACTGCATCTTGGAGATGGTCGGCAAGCAGGAAGAAAGCTGCCGCGTACTCGAATCTTCTTCTTCCCATCAGGGCGTACGCATTCTTCAAGGCGGCAGTCTTCCATCGCTCTTCTTGGAAATTATTAGATAGCAGTCGATGGGTTGCACCTTGTTCTCGGGACCATGTCGCGATGCGCCACAGACTGACCAAGACGGCCTTCTTGTGCAGAGCAAGATAGTATAGCGAGCAATCGACCGGGTTCTTCTCGTCAGTTTTCGTGTACTCGTTGCGGGCAATGACCTCGAATTGTGCGCGCTACGACGTTGTCAGCCTAGAAGATTGATCATCTGGGCCAGAGGAGTAACTTACCAGTGCATTGATGTCAGACATCCACATGAACACGCCACACTGCCGCGCATGCTGCCACATCATCTTGCCGTTGAAATGTCTGCTCACAAGGTCAAGCAAGATGTCCTGACTTCCCGAGTGGAAAGCCCACACTGTCTCACGCCATGAGAGAGGCTCCTTCTGTGCATCGCTCAGGACGTGTTGCCGGAAGAAAAGCATGAAGCGACCCGCGTTGTCATCGATAGATCGCCTATGCTTCTCAACCATGCCTATACATTCTATGATATCTGCAAGACGGAACTGTTCGCGGCTCGACAAGAGAGGCATTTGCTTGGTCGTTAGGAGGTCTTTGAGGTTGGCAGCTACCTCCTCCGTCACGGTCTCTGGGTCCTCGTTGTCAGAGAAATCGTTGTAAGAGGACCGCATCTCCTTCCTCGAAGCGGTCATGTTTGTCTGTCCAGGTTAGCACTCACTTTTGCGGTGTTGAGCGTTGACTAACCTCATCTTCAGAGAAGTCCTCCGCTGAAAAGCCAAGAGAGCTGTCAAACTCCTCGCCCTCTGTCCAAAACTTCAGCTTCTGGTAGAGACGCAACAAGATCTGCTGAACAAGCATGACCTTTCCAGACAGCACACACTGCGACAACAGCTGAGGATGGTACGCGGGGAGTGTACCATTGAGTCTGCTGACTGCCGTGAAAATGTCAATCGAAGCAGTCTTGCGGGAGATCATCCTCAGACTGGGGAACAGCCCCTCGTCCACCCTGACGTGTTCGTCCTGGATGAAAAGCTGGTTTCCGGCTCCAATGACAAGGTTGCCACTGCCTAACCACACCGAGTCACCGATAGGATGGGGTGTAATATCGCGAATGCGCACGTCGCGAATCTGGACCCACGATGGACCTGCGTTGAGGTAGTCATAACGCAGCTGCGCGTAGATGACCACCCGGTGTGGGAAACCAACAGCTAGAATTGACTGATTGTCCGGAGTAGACGACCAATCAAGATCTTGGATAACGCCTTGTCCGGTGAAAGTCTCTTCGTACTCAAGCTGCGCACTCCTGGTGTTCCAGATCGTCAATGTCGTCTTCTCGGCGTCTACGAGTGCTGCCTTCCGAATCGATGTGCCACTCGCCAACGATGGGTTCTGCATGTTGGTCTCGACGGTCGAGGTAAGAAGCCAGTCGATCTTGCGCGCTTCGGGATCAACACGAGCCGTCCATGACTTGATAACTCCAGACTTGCTGTAGGATATTGCGATGTCTCGTGCAAACGTATCGAGGAAGCCTGAAATGACTGGCGCTGAACCGGCAGGGTCGACTGGCAGTACAAATGCAAGGTCCTTCTCCGAGCCCAGGTCAAACGTGCTGTATTGCTCAAAAGAGACATCAGTGTGTCCATTGGTGTAGCCATTAGTGTGAGGTACAACGCTCGAGCGCTTGCGACCAGTGGCAGGATCATGAGCGAGTAAAGGCATGGTGACTTCCCAGCAAATGCCTTTCATTTCGGAGCTGATCGTCGCGATATGGACATAGCGGCCACCAACTTCAGTTTCAGGAATAGCGAGTAGACACAGAGGCTTGCCCTGCAATTTGTACTCGAGCCTCATGACTTCCACTGCTAGAGGGCCCCGTGTGTCCCATAAAGCAATGTGATTGTGATGCAGGAAGACCAAGAAGTTGCCGTCTTGCAGTAGTGCCGTTCTGTGAATATGCTCGCTGACCTTGACGGTACTGTGTCGGTGTAGAGTTGTTGCGTGCTCAGCCGGCCTCTGGGTCCATACTATGCACTCGTCGGTGACTGTTCGTGAGACCAAGGCTCGCCCGCTTGCCGTACGGTTGACCTTCTTTATGGCATGTGAGTGCCCGGTCCAGATGGCTTTCCGTTGTATGCGCTGGGTCTGCGGGGACGGATCGAAGAGGTAATCGATTCGCGACTCGAGCCACTCTATCCGGCCATCGAAGTGGTGTGATAGCAATGTGAAGTCAGAGTTGGGCGCGTCGCCGATAAATGCATAGAATTGGACGTTGTCTTCGAGAGCTTTCGGCTGGTTGGCAAAGTGCAGATGTAAGCCGTCAACATGCGCAATGTTGAATACGTCGGTGACCTTCTTGACCCTGGCACCAACATTTTCAAAGCCCCATGCTGACATGTTTCCATGGTCGTCAAGCACGACACAGATCTCCGGACTCCGGTTGGCGACTTCGATCAAATGGTGCAGGGCTACGCCATGACTCTTCTCCTCAGCCGAGGCCTGTGCCATCGCTCTCTCCGTCGCGTGTGTGAAGTGCTTCCCGTCAATGAAGAACGCAAATCGCTTCTGCGACTGCTTGTCCTGCGATACCAGCCCTGCTTCGATCGAGCCCAGTAAATCCACTTCTGTCCACAAATGCATACCATCGACTCCATGGTGCTCCCCAGGCACCCATACCCTCACCTTGTAGTCTGCGCATATTGTGTACAGTACGTTGTCGGTTGTCTGGTCCTTGTGAGGATGCCGCCAATGTATGCCCGTGATGGCCTGAGGATGTGGAAGGTAGTAGTGGTCAAACCGCTCGTCTGCCGAACCGAATGCGAGTCGTCGCCAGATCTTCAGCAGCCGGTCGTATCTGCCTGTCGATGCAATCAATTCAGCGTCTGGGGAGAAATGGGCAAACTTGACGGTATTGGCAAGCTGCTTCGTCCAGATCCGCTCAATTGTGCCGTGTGTGTTGAAGAGGGTGAGCGCTCCGCTACCAGCGAGCAGCTCGTCTGGCATCCCCCATGAGAGTGTCGTTATCGAGTCGTCTGGGTCCGGAAGAGTCATGCTGCCCTGCAGCGACCACTGTTGCTGTCAGCAACCATTGCACAAAGGCTTGTGCGAGTGCTAACCTTGTAGACGCCATACTCAACGCTGTATGGCTGATATATGTAAATGTTGCGCGTCGAGCACGCAGCAAGCTTGCCAGTCCCTTCGTCGACCGCGACAGCTTCGAGCTCATCTTCCTCGTCGATGTAGATGGTCTGTATAACGTGATCGGGGCGGTCGAGGATTATAAGGGAATTGCCAGAAATGTATGCCTAGTGGACTACCCGTCAGTCACTATAGTGTTCGTTGTGTTGGCGCGCAGACGTCGTACAATGATTTGGACCCCCTCCCACAAGCCGTGGGCGACAGCTTGCAGCTTAGCCTGCGGCCGTCCAGGAAGTATGCCGCGCATCGAGTTTCTTTGGCGTGTCGCTACCGGTGCCGCATCGTCTCGTATGGCTTCAGGCAGCCAGAAAAGAGTTGTGGAGGTCAGGTGACGTTGCGCGTCGTGTTTGGTCTTGAGCTTGTTGATGCACAGCGACAGGTGCTCAAGCTCACGCGCTGGCCCCACTGTGTCGTCACTCGCAGTGCGTGCACGCTCCTGCACGCTTCCCGCATGAACTAGTGGAGCTGGCGAACATCAATCCCGCATGTGCAGGGACTCAGAGCAGTGAATGTGTGAAGTAAACGTCATAGATTCAATCATCTGAACGCAGCGTCGCCCAATGTGAACGCCATAAACAAGCAGGGGCCGTAGCCTGCTGCCATTCCAATGCAAGTGTACCATATACAACATCGATCAGTCCCACATACACACAACGCTTCATGTAGTACACCAGTCACCTATCTTTCCGAGACATTATCGCCTGAAGGCACCCTGCACCTCGTTCGTACCCCAGTCGACTTCAACCTCGCCCTGGTATACGTCCTGATTGATCCTCTGCACTCTTTCGCCGACCCCGATGTACTTCCTCTCGCATTCTTTGAGCACCTTGAATACCAAGTCACGACTGATGCTCGGATCATCGGCATCGCCAAAATGCTTGTCGACGCGCTTCTTCAGCGCTTCAATGCCCTTGCGCATTTCCTTGGCGTCGTGCGAGTTTACGAGTTTCTTGAATACGGAGCGTGAGTGTGACGATCGCTGAGCAATAGATACTGGCGAGCCACCGCGGGCAGCGAGCAGGGTTTCAGTCGACTCAATGAATTCCTGGCGGTAAGTTAGTAACAAGCGGCGCATACGGTTAACGCAAACTTACCAGTAGCTTGCCGAGCGGGCGGCGTACAACCGCGTCGACGTAGAGGTTCATGTGCTCAGTGTACTCGTCCTGAGCTTTGCCTTTCCAGTAGTCAAGGACAGTGTCAGGGCGGGCATCGACCTCTTCCATATAATGGTTCATGTTCTCAATGAGCAGAATGTGGTAGTTAAGGGCTTCTTTATCCTCCGGATCACCCTGGCCTTGCGTGCCCATGACCGTAGGTGATTCTTTGGCAATGACCTTCAAGCTTTCAAACATAGCTTTGTTGATCCTTTGGTAGCCGTCGTTGACCATGCGCCGGATCTCAAGCTGATCGCCGCCATCCGACGGCGACAGCAGCATGTTCTCAATGGCCATGGAGAAGTGAGGGAACGTCTTCATAAAGGCAATCACTCCCTTGCGCTTTTTGATCTTGACTTTGGTGTCCTCGATCGCGCGGATCTGCTCGTCGAGGAAACGACTGAAAAGGCCCTTCAGGCGTTCGTGGATCTTCTGCAACGTACGTGTGAGGAAATCCTGGTTTGAGTCTTCGATGTCGACCAATTTACGATCGACAGCTGTCAATATACCCACTCCTTGAAGGGGATCCGACCCAACAGCCCAGTCCACAAGGCTCTGGATCTCAGTCGGCCAGAACGAGAATATGTCCTCCATGACATCAGCAACGCGCTTAGCCATCGATCTGTCGGCCTCGAACTGCTTCCTGATCCACAAATTTGGTCCACGACGGGATTGTGGCGGCGCAGACGCTACTGCATCTGGAAAGTCGATGGCATCTGTGGATGTAGCGTGGAAGAACTCAGTGATGAAGTTTTGCTCAGTGAGTAGAACTGGACCGATGTCATCCAACACCCTCCCGAACACGTCGAAGGCATGCAGCTTGCCATCTTGTGGAGCTCTGACAACCTTGGTCTCCTTATCGCCTGATGCTGAGCGAAGGCCACGAGCCAGTGTTTGAGAGCGCTTGACGGTGAGCTTACGCGCAGTTCCTGCCATGCTCTCGGGCTCCTTTTCTTGTGTGCTGGTGAAAAGCAGGTCCTGTTCATCACCTCCAGGTTTCCGGGCAAATCGTCTCCAGGCCAACATGTTGTCGCGGACCTCTTGTTGATATAGTTGAGCAGCTTGGCCTTGATACATGCGGATCAGAGTATCCCAAGAATTTCGATCAATCTCTTTAGCAAAGAGGATGACTGGACTCAACATCCAAAGTTCGCTCCGGCCAGCGTCATGCGCCTCGATGTTTTTCCTCAGAGATGGCATGGAACCTTGATCAATCTGCTTCAGAGCGTCCATTGTCGTCAGAAAAGCAGCACCGAAAGTAATCTCCATATGCTTCTTCAGTCGGTCCAAGAACATAGCGCCCTCACCGAGGTAGTTATCGCGCTTCTCCTGCAAGGCTTGCATGGTCGCGAGCTCGCTATTGCCAAAGCCGGAGCTACTCGTTGCTTTCCCCAGACTGGCGCCTCTGCCTGCGACGAAGGCAGGATCGATGGTGAGTAGTGCCTTGTAAAGCAACACCAGTGCATCTTCAATCTCGTTCAAGCCGCCGAGCTTGCCGATCGGCGCACGTCGCAAGACTTCTAGTTGATCGGTCGTAATCGAAATCGTCTCAACCAGCTGTCGTAGTTCGTGTTGCAGCAAGCGTTGATTAGCTGTCTGCACCTGGAGACCCTGACTTTGTGCTTCAATGAAGGCAATGTCGTCGTTCAGACTCTGTTGAAGTTGTTAGCTGCGGAATGCTGATGCCGGTGTTGGAAGCAACTTACACTTAATTCGACGTTGTACAAGGTAAGCAGACCTTCCATTTCGTCGCACTCTGCGATAGCACGATCCAGCATACGTTCAACGGCTTCGACTCGATCATCTTTCTGTTCAAGATGATTGAGCCAGCTACCCGCTTCAACACGTGCAATCTCACGCTTGATGTCAATCTCAAGGGTCTCAATATGTTTCGGTGTAATGTCACTACCTCCCCAACCGAGTTCTGTAAGCAGACTTTCGAAGCCCAGACCTCGCTCGTCCATGATGGAGGGATCAATGCCAAGCTTGGAAATGTTCATGACCTGTTGATTAGAGCGTCTCTTCTTCTTACGTGGCTCTGGATCAGCTACCACATCAGCAGTGGTGGCCTCCAATGCCTCTGGGGTTGGTGCTCGAAGGGCCTCCTCTTCTGCAAGCTCCGGTTGAGGCTCTTCTATGGCCGGGACAGGCGAAAGTGGGCCCGAAACAGTGACTGCGGGTACAGCATCAGTGGTGATCTTCGGCAGATCCCTTGATGCGCGGCTTGACGTCGGTCTTGACCCAGGCTCATCCGCCTTTTTCTCAACAGCCTCTTCTTTGGGTGCCTCTACAGGTGCTAGTCGCTTGGGCACGAATACCCCGCTGATGCCATCAGGTTCATCAGACGTCTTTGTCTCCTTTGCAAGCAGCTTTGCAGCGGCACCTCCAGCTCGGGGCTTGAAGGCACCTGCAGCTGCAGCCAGTTTACGGAACTTATTCGCAGCATCCGCTGGAGGTGATACTGTCTTCTTCAGCATTGGGAACCGGTTCGCGCCTGCCTGAGACTCCTTCTCCTCTGCGGCAGCTAAAGAGGCCTCTGCAGGCTGCGCCGCAGCTGGTTCACTAGGTGCTTGCTGTTGAACTGGGGGCTCTTCTACGGCTACCGGTTCGGGCGCTGGCGCGGGCACAGGCGCAGGCGCTGGCGCAGGCTCAGGTGCAGGCACAGTCACAGGTGCCGGCGGCTCAGGCAGAACTGCAGGCGGGGGTGGTGGAAGCGGCGATGTTGGCGGCGGCATGGCTTGTGGCATGTTCTGTGGAGGCGCTGATCCATCTCGAGAGGCAGGCTTGAGCCTGTCTGGGATATCTTGTGGTCTCCTCCGCGGCGGGACTTCTAGCGGGGGCGGCGGGGTGGCTGATGGGGTGCGGAACGAACCTCCCTCATTATCGGTGCTGACAGCACTCTGCTGTGATAGCGAGGATGGTTGAGAGTCCATAAATGGTCTACGGCGCTGTGGAGGTGCTTCTGGAGGCATATCCTCGACGCGACCAGTGATCGAACTCGCGTTGCTTTGAGCTGTGCCGGGCCTAAGGCCTCTTGGAGATATATCTCGCCTGGGCGACGGAAATCCATTCTGTCTGCGCTGCTCAGGTGGAGGCATATTTGCACTTGCACTCTCGAACGACTGCTCATCAAAAGACCTCTGTGATCGTTGAGAGCGAGCATCATCGGCCTGTACTCGTCTCCCTGGACTCAGTGCCGACGGCAAGTTCGGAACAAAGTCGCCGCCTGATTGTGGGGTCTCTGGTCGAACACCAAATGCAGATGTCGAGGATTGGGGTGTCAGATTTTGAGACGGCATTGGTGGCGTTGGTGGTACAGGGTCTCGCATTTGTTGACGCGGTCTCATGCTTTCGCCGCTAGGTCGCGATCGAATGCTTTGTTCCATGGATGGTTTCTGCCGCAAGGACGGCACAGGCGGCATGTTTTGATTCTGGTTGAACGGTGAGGGCCGGCGGGCATCGTCTCCGGTACTTGGCCTGCTGCCACCGCGCTCGTCCTGCCCAGGTCTTCGAGGTCCGGCAAACTCGCCGGGAGGTCTTCTGAAGTTCGGGTTCGAGGTCTGTGGTGTAGGTCCTCTTCTTCCTTCGTCGGAGGGAGCGGACGAGAAGTCGCCTGGTCTCCGAGGTGGCGGTCCTGGCGACTTGGGTGGGAATTGCCGCTGCACGGCTGGATCCTGCAATTCCTCACGTCCTCCTAGTTTCGCGCTGGCCTTGCCTTCTGCTGTCGCCAGGTGCGGCCGGCCATTCGTCAGGCTGTTCAACTCGGCGGCGCCGAATCCGGACAAGATGGGAAAGTCGCCCTTTGTGTACTTGTTGTAGATCTTCACCATGCTGCCGATGAAGAACTCCTTCTCTTTGGCGGTGCCTGCCTCCCAGTAGTACGGCTTCGAGATGGTGACCATGAAGCCCTTCTCGCCGGCCCACTGCTTCTTCTGCTCTTCTTCCTGGGACTTGGGCTCCAGCTGTACGAAGTTCTCGACGGCGGTGAGATCCTCCATGGGCCAGGTCTTGCCAATGGAGAAGCTGCCGTTGGCGTTCTCACGCGCCTTGTGCAGCTTGACTCGGCCCGTGTTCCGCACGGAGATCATGATGATACGCCCCTTCTTGTTGGAGGCGGCCGAGGTGGGCGGCGCCGGCGACTGGGGATAGACGGCATCCTCGGTGACGCGGATGTGGGTGATGTACGACTCCTGCAGCTGCCCCTGGTCGTCGACCTTGGCGAAGCAGCTCTCGGTGATGCGGCGGCGCTCGTCGTCGAAGCGCTCGGCGCGAGACATGGACGACGACGCGGCGCCCGAGCTGGTGGTGGAGGGCGGCCCCCGCGAAGCTCCAGGCGCGGGGCCTCTGCCCGGGGCGCGCGGGTCTCCCAGGCCATTGGGGTAGTTGTTGCGCGGCCGGCCGTCCATCTTGGCGGCGGTGCTGGAACGTTGCACGGCAGCTCGTGCAGGAGCGCGCGGATGCTGGGCGGCGCTGCGGCCGACTCCTGTGCTAGCGCGGCTGTGCGCAAGCGGGCAGGGCCGTGGACGTGGCCATCAAATGTGAGGGGGAGCTCGGGGCCGTGTGTCGGGCAGGCAGGCGGTGCGGGCGGAGCTGCACGGGCGATCGGGGCAGTGCGGGGCGGCGACGCGGGCGGCTCGCAGAGCTCTCGCGCGACGGGCTGGATTGGACGGGCTGGGCGGCCGTGGACGCGCAATGAGCTGCGATGCTGCGAGGGAGGGCTGGCTGGCTCGGTGTTGGCCAGCGTGGTGGAGCCGGGGCCGTTCGCGCTAGCCACTAGCGCGCCGCCTGAACTTTTTCGAGGAATCTCTGGCCAGCGACACCCTCGCACACGACCGATTGCAGCCATGGCCAAGTCCGACAAGAAGAGCTCCACGGCCCCGGCCAACGTGCAGACCGACCTCGACCTCGTGCAGGCCTTCCTCGCCCAGGCCGGCCACGAGAGCGCCGCCGCCAGCCTCAAGGGCTTTGCGGCATGGGCGACTGCCCAGGCCAACAAGTCTGACGCCATGGACGTCGACGAGAAGGCCGCCAGCAGCGACTCGAGCAGCGACAGCAGCGCCTCGGACAGCGACTCTAGCAGCGACTCCAGCAGCGACTCGGACAGCGACAGCAGCAGCGAGTCTGAGGCCGAGGCCAAAAAGCCCGCGAAGAAGGCCAAGAAGGTCGCAAAGAAGGACGACTCCAGCTCGAGCAGCGACTCCAGCTCCGACTCCAGCTCCGACTCGTCAAGCTCCGACTCCGACAGCTCTTCAGACGAGGAGGCGGCACCAGCACCGGCGCCCAAGAAGGAGAAGAAGGCCAAGAAGGCCAAGTCGGTGTCTTCGTCGTCTGCCTCCTCGTCCTCCAGCGACTCCAGCGACTCCAGCGACGACTCCTCCAGCGAGTCTGAGGCCGAGGTCGAGCCCGCCAGCGTACCCCTCCCCGCCTCCGACGACTCCTCGAGCGCCTCCAGCGATTCGGACAGCTCCTCAGACAGCGACAGCTCCAGCGACAGCAGCAGCTCAGAGTCCGAGGACGAGAAGCCCGCAAAGGCGAAGAAGGCGACAAAGACCAAGAAGGTCAAGAAGGCTGCCTCGGTCGCTTCCTCGTCAGCGTCGAGCTCCTCCGACTCCGACTCGTCTGACAGCGACTCTGACTCGTCTTCTTCCTCCAGTGGTTCAAGCTCCGACAGCTCTTCTGACTCCGACGACGACGACGACGACGAGAAGACCCCTGCCGTCAAGCGCACCGGCTCCGACTCCTCTGCCACCCTCGCTGCCACATCCCCTCCTGCGCCTGCCACCAACAAGCGCAAGCGCGACGGTGATGACGAGGAGCCCAACAAGAAGCGCAGCCACGTCGAGAACCGCTTCCAGCGCATCAAGGCCGACGTCGAGGTCCTGCCCGAGCTCTCCAGCAACGCCTACGTCTCGTACGACTACGCCGACCGCGCACACGCAAAGCTCATCGTCACCAAGGGCAAGGGCTTCACCAAGGAGAAGAACAAGGGCAAGCGGGGCTCCTACCGCGGCGGTCTGATTGACACCTCCGGCGGCAAGGGCTTCAAGTTCGAGGATTAGACGCTGGTCCAGTGCGGTATCTCGATCTGGACCACGCAGGTCGCGAGCGGGCACCATGCATCATAGAGGAGGCAGCTTATAGGCACGCACAATTGGCGAACAGGAGTTACAGGCGCCGCAAAAGTACTCATACCCTTTGGCGGCTCACGCCGCACGATATTGAACGAGGCCCCCGGCATGTTGATAGAGCACTTTCATAGCAACAAACTTAGACAGCATTTCGCACCCTCTAGCCCTATGCACCAGTGACGTCGTCCTGCGCGTGCCCGGCCCAAACTCCATCGGTACCCTAATTCCAGCCAGGCGTTGCGCAATCGCGGCCAGATGCCACCGCAAGCCCCGGATCGGACACCACGGCGCCCGACGTCCGCGACGCGCCCGCGCGCACGTGAAAATCCGCCCCGCCGCGTCGTCCCGTTCAGGCGCGCAATGACGCGCTCGATCGCGGCCGCGAATCCAGAACTCCCACATCTCTGTTCGCGGCGCCTGCATCGTCCGGTCGCGCTGGGGCGCCCAACAATGCACATGCACGCCAAAATGTTAAATACGCGGCCTTGGGCCCGGGGGGATTGTGCTGGGCTAGATAGACACTGTGACTCGAATTGCATTATTGAATATCTAACAAGTCCTCTTATTCTTTATCTTGATTCTTTGACTTTGACTTTCCGAGAGACTACAAGAGCCAGGAGGCACACACCAAGATGACGCTGACACAAACGCTCCTCCGCCTTACGGCCTTCAAAAACCCCCTCCTGCGCACACTCGTCCCCTCCGTCGCAATCGCATACGGCATCCAGACCGCCGTTGCCGTCCCCGCCATCGCGGCCCAGACCGAGCGTTACTACGACCTCAGCGGTAGCCTGACGTACATCAGCTGCGTGGGCGCGTCGCTGGTGCTGCCGTATCTGCGCGCGAAGCAGGCCGGCGCAGCTGTGGGCGGGTTGGCGGAGTACCTGGGTGCTGGAGGACTGGGGCAAGGCGGGTGGTGGTGGAGACAGGCGGTGTTGAGTGCGGCGGTGGGGATCTGGGCGACGAGGTGTATGTCTTCATCCTTCTCCTGTGTGGCCGTGTCTGGTGCTGACTTGCGCAGTGGGCTCGTACTTGTTCAGCCGCATCTCGTCGGACGAGGGCAAGGATAGCCGCTTCGACAACATCCGCACGTCGCCGTCGAAGTTCTACGTCGCGTTCTTCGCCCAGGCGACGTGGGTGTCGCTGTGCACGCTTCCCGTGATCCTCGTCAACAGCCTGCCGCGCAGCGCGTTCGCAGCAACGGGCTTCGGCGCTGCGATATCCGCGAAACCATACCTCACCGACGTGCTCGGGCTGGCCATCTTCGTCTTCGGCCTGGCCTTTGAGGTTGTTGCCGACAGGCAGAAGAGCAAGTGGGTGGAGGAGAAGAAGGCGAAGAAGCACTCGGAGGAGTTTCTGACGCACGGGTTGTGGTCCAAGTCGCGCCACCCCAACTACTTCGGCGAGGCGACGCTGTGGACCGGCATTGCGATTGCGGCTGCGGGTCTTCTCGTGCGGCAACCGGCGCAGGCTGCGCTGGGTCTGAGCGGGCTGGGTGCGGCGGGTAAGGTGCTGGTTACGGGGTTGTGTGCGGTGAGTCCGGCGTTTGTGTCGTTCTTGTTGTTGAAGGTCAGTGGTGTGCCGTTGAGCGAGAACAAGTACGATAAGCGGTACGGCGACAGGAAGGACTACCAGAAGTGGAAGCAGGAGACGCCCATGTTTATCCCGAAGTTCTGAGTCCAGCACAGAACCTAGATGGCGATCCGCGAGGAGGACTGACGTCGAGTCTGGGGTGACAGCTGATGAGTACATCAAATGACATCAAAGTCCTCAGCTTTCCGCGTCACACCCTTTTCTCCTTTTCTGACCGGTCAATCGCCTGGCCTTCCATGAGGCCGTGAACAAAACAGACCCCTACAAGCTGCCAACACGTCTCACCGTCAACAGGGCGCAGCAGAAACGGCCTGTGGTATCTTCCTGAACAAAACTCAAGTCAGAGTTGACGTAACCTGAATAGTGCCGATAAAGAAGAACCCGCTTGTATGAGACCCCGCTCACGCTCTACGTTTGCAGAGATCATAGTAACCCTTTTCTTTACTTTTCTTTTCTGACATTTTGAGAGCTCTTAGCAAAGTTTCAATCATGCTGCGCTAATAATTTCTCGTGTTCATGACCATCTCTCAGGCCATAGCGGAGGCATACGGACGGTAGCAGGTTGTGATCTCTCCCACCCCAGCTTTACAGACACGACTCGTTTTTTCCCGTCGATATGTTGCCATACACGTATACCTGTTGTAGCTTGCTTCAACCTGCTGCCAAATACACAGATTCGCAAACCACAAGGTGCACAACTCCTCAAAAACCTTCCGCCATCCAAGCTCTTTCTAAAATCCCCTCTTTATCATACGAGCTCTGATAGAATCCGCTTCTTCTCTAGCCACCACGTCGCTAACAGCATACCAAGCATAACGACCTCTATCTTGGCCTGCAGGAGTGGGTCGTGTACCTCGTGCTCGCGACCGGGCACAGGATCGAATGCGGCCACACCGGGGTAAAAGTGTGCACTCGCCTGCGTCACCCAGTATAGGGTTCCCAGCAGTATTGTAGTGTGCAGTCGCTCCAGCGCCGCCGAACGGCGCACGTTAGTCCATGCCTCGGCTGAGAGACCACTCTTTGATGGCAGTCTTCCTGGGACGAAAGCGTACCATAGTGTTGCAAGGCCAAGGAGTAGTCCCATTGACATTGTTTGCCCGTTATGGAACTTGGCGTGAGGAAGCCACTGAGGGTGATAGATGTGCGTGTCATTCCAGTCGGCGAGGAAGGCGCCAACACTTGTGGTCAGGGAAACAAGCACAATGAGGACCTGACCAAGGCTGGGGATGCGCGAAGGAATAGCAGTACGGCTTGACATCTTGATAGCTCTGGTTTGGCTTGGTGACGTTTCTATGCGTGGCTTCTGGGGTTGCAGGTCGGTTATGGCTCGATCTGAGACTGGAAAGACGTTGGAGGAAGACGTATTGAAAGCGAAGAGCTTTCTTAAGATTTGGCTAGCGTAGGGAGGGAAGACGTGTATGCCTTTAAATCAGATAAAGCAAGGATTCTACCTTAACTCCGTAACCCGAGGTAGCGAATTCTAGTGCAGACTATCACCAACCATATTCATTCGCTCTTTTATTTGTCGACCGATCTAGTACAATTGTGGTGGCAGGGAGTCGGTATCTCGGTGCCCCGGGTCCGATGGGCCATGTGCAAGGAAGTCGCACGGCTAGAGCTAAGATCGGGGCCGAGTTTGGCAAGCAAATACAGAGCAGATTACGTAGTTATACCTTCCATTAACGCGTTGTAAAGGCTGGCAAATTGTAGGCCAAGATATCATTAATAGATTTGCCGACGCCCAAAGCAGAATTGCAATTACGAACACGAAAGAGAATGCGAGAACAAGTCATCCTATTCTGTACCACCAAATTTTGCGGCACCGGAGAGATTGTGGTCTTCGTACATACCATTACAATTCAGGATAACGTTTCAGTTAGGGTGTGTAGTTCTCCAGCAAACAAGGTTTACCAGCAACAACTTTGATATATAAAAGGCTCTTATGATAAACATTATAGGCTTTTTGTCCTCTACGTTCTCTTCAAAATCTCAATTTCGGCTCCATGATACTGTCTCACCTCTTGCGCGCTGTATTGCTTTGAACATCTGGCCCTAATTTACAAAACCTCGTGAATCCCCCTACAACACACACGAGCTGTGTGCACGTTAGCGGAATGATCGAGTCTCGAAGTTGCGGACATTTTGTCGCATTCGACATACCATCCAATCCATCCACTTCCATTTCGTCACTGCGGGATAGTAATCACTAGACCAAGCTAGCCTCGCAGCACGTAAAAAGCCTGGTTGGCCATCCTGGAAGGCGTCCCAGAAAAATCCGACTTTGTATTCACCCGCAGGTGTAACACTCTCCTTAAGCACGAACCCCACGCCGGGGAAACCGTGGAAGCCATGCACATCGCCGCGCTCCGAGACAACTATACCAGTCTCTGGAGTCACGACATGCCAACTTCCGTGATGGAAAATGTTCACTGCGCCAGTAAGGACCTGGAGGTGCTCGTCGTGATGTTGGTGCCAATGCAGGGGGACATTGATAACGGGCGTGTCCGCATTTTCAGGCTTCCAGGACTGCTCAATCCAAATATGCATTGGGTCGGATCTTGGTAAACTGGTGTCGCTGAAAGCACGCATGGTGCCGCCAGGACCTGTGTGTAGAGTCCATAAAGTGTTGATTGTAGAGGACATTCGAGTGCCAAGTATAAGGGAGGTTCGTTAAGTCGGAATTGAGCTTTTAGTTCTCGTATGGCAAACACTAAACTGTGGCGTTAGAAAGCGTGATCTACTGTATTGTAGGCAACGTAACGTTGAGTATGAAGGAAGTGGAGTATCCTCCACCGTCCTCTTTAAATACTTCGTAGTCGATATGGCGGCTTGGTCTCGGTATCTTGGAGCCTTGGTTTTCGTGGGCGGGAACGGATTGGAGATACCCAACCCTTGTATCCACGACCGCGTGACGGCCACTTCGATATTGTTGCACGGTTCACAACGACGATGTCCGATTGTGATCAACTATGGCCAATGCACGGGTCATACAGAAGGCATGAAGATACATGTGTAGTTGTTACCAAACCTGACGGCGTGGTGACATGTCAGTAGAGCGAAGACCATAGCGGCAATTGCTTTCTCCCAAATGGTACACGGCTCCTAGGAACGTATTGCGAACAAGCTGTACACCGTAGCCGAGATACTGCATGATGCACCCCGAATAATGCCCAACCTCCGTGCGCCCAAAGATAATGCTTGACCTGCGTGCTTTATTTTGTGGAAGCGTATCAGTCAGAATCGTTTTGTGCAACAAATACGTTACTTGCCAATGGTAGTAGTAATACCATTCGTTGGACGATATCTGTCGCCAGGCAGTCTTTGCAGCACAAAACGTAGGCAGGAACGCGAATTGGCTCGTGGCAATTACGAATGACAAACCTGAAAAGTTCTCGACTCAAATATGTGTCATTGCAGCTGCTTGGTCACTTTATCGGATGAGCGTCACGTACGTCCGAGCAGTGAAGTGGCTTAGGTCTTACACGTAGTCACGGCTGTGTTACGCTTGATTGGCGAATGCACGCGAGGCTAGAAGCTAGTTAATTGTTAATTGTGAAGCCCGGTGGGGGTGTTCGCAGTTCGGAAAGCCGAAAAGGCCGACAGCTCAAAATAGATTCAAAGAACCCAGCCAAGGCCAAACTGGTAATTTTTTCCAAGGGTAGACCGTAGATGTCGTCTTTAGCGGACGTATGCTAGTATCTCTAGAAATGTAGCTTGGGTGAGATGTTGACGTTTAGCAGCATCAACTTATAGCCGACAGAATCTTGGGAGCTGCCCTGCAGATGTTATGTTGCGGGATCTTCTGGACATGGTCTTGAAGACAAAAGGGAGGACTGCAGGATTGACTTGGGACCTGATGCTATATATCATGCTGGCATCTGATCTAATACTAGAGTGTTAGACTAGACTTGTTGGATGAGGATTTCGTGGCCCTTTTCTGGCCCTCCTCAAGCAACCGGAAGGACTAGAGCTGATTAGATAACCATAATCGCAATGTTTTGCTGGATCGTGCCTGCCAATGACCACTATTTGCGGCGGCAGTAGCCTCCGCTTCTGATGGCCTCCAGCGCTGGATTGAAATGTTCGATGCAAACGGCGTCTGGCCAAAGTATTCTGAGTCGGTCTGGGTGACGGAGAACGCGCAGACCGTCAGCAAGACTGCGAGGAATAGAAATATTGGCTTCATTGCAGATCATCGTGCTTTTGCCGTCTGGATGTCCCTATGCATAAGACACCGCTTGGTACGACGGGCAATCATCGAGACGGACTTCATAAAGCTAGCACTTTATCGGGTCATCTTCCTTTCCTGGTTTGAGCTGTAGAAGCCGAATGCTTTGTGAAGTCTGCAGAGGTTTGTACTTGTAGCGAGTTGCGCCGCCCTGCCGCCGCCCTGCCGGCTGGTCTGTTCAAATCTTTCGAAAATCCGCCACCTCGCATGATGTTCGCTTTCAGGGGTCAAAGGACGCCTTAGGGTTGGAGCATTCCTGCAACGGCTTCACACAAATACAATGTGTGCGTTGTGATGAGCGCGGAGCCTGGAACCCAAGTCCAAGCCAGGTAATGTGCCTTCGCCGTATCGTAATCAGATTAGAGCCCCTGCATTCATCATCGCCTCTTCTTTGCGTCGCCGGGCCTCGCGCTTCGCCTCTTTCTGCGCATCGTGCTCGGCTTTCTTCGCTTGATACTCTCGTAGGCGTTTGTCGTACTCCTTCGCCATCTTCTTGTCTGCTTTGATCTTGCTCTTGATCTCGCTATGCTGGGCGGAAGTGATACGCCAGGGAATTGACAAGATGGCGGTTTTGAAAGCCGCGGTCTCGGCCCAAGCTTGCAACTCCTCGTTCGTCGAGGAAACGACCTGAACTCTTTTCAGCTCCATCTGCTTCATTCCACGGAACTCGGAAATCGTTCCTTTGGCTTTGAGAACCGTGCCAATGTCCAGACTGTGATCATCGACTGTGACCTCGAAGATACCAACGTGGCTCACAACATTGACGTTGCTGATCGTGGTGTTGGAGGAATTTTTCTTGAAGGCTTGTTCATCTGGACCGATCCTTACAATCTTCAGCTCGACAGTCGTGCCACTTCCATCGTCCAGCGTAAGGGCGGTGTATCTGAAATTGATGTCATCGATGGCTACAACGACGCCGACGACACGCACGTAGCGTATGGGGTGATTCAGGTAGAAGTATATGTTCTGTCCTGAGGACTGAGTCAGCCTGTGCAACCACGCCTTTGATCTATGTCCTACCTCGGAAATCCGGCTCGGATCTGAGCGCATGGATATCAGCAGCCGTGAGCTTCACCCAGGCATCATAAGTAGGCGAGGACTGGAAGCAGTACGCTGGATACAGTCGGTATGGACGCGTTGTTGAATGCTTTGACATATCATATTGTGTTGAGATGTATGAGAGATGAAGTGTCGGTGACGCGTGCGGGACATGGGAAACACCAAACTTACGCGCGCATCACGTGGTTGAATTTGCCCCACCTTTCTGCCTCCATGCACCTGCAAGCGCATGCATGGAAGCCTGCACACCATCTTGTAACGCGCATCCGATCAACCCGCTTCCAACTTCGAAGTGTCGCTCCGCAAGGTAGTAAGCAAGGCTTTCGCACGCTTAACCGATGTATTTGTCTTGTCATGATCCTCAGAGGAGTGTCTCCACAAGTGCTAGCAAGCTTCCAAGCCAGGTATACCCAGCATGCAGAGCCAGGTGTTCACCTCGGTTGCAGTTCACTTCATGTCATATCCCGGAAGTACCGTTCGAGCACATGCAGCTAACTCGGACATGAACCAACTGAGCGTGTAGGATCTGTCAATTGACCGTTATATTAGTGAGGCGTCATCCCACTGAACGGTGTACCTATCAGCTGCATGTTCGAAGTGACCTGGTAGGCTGACCGTGGAGCTGCAGCACGAAGCTCTGGCTGACCTCCCGATTTCATGCCGTTACAACCATGATAATAAGTAAGAAGGGTCGGCAGTCCGGCGGTGGTTGGCTGACTTGTTTCTCTGCTTCATCACTCTCACTGTCACTCTTCATCTCGCGTTTGCGCGTGTGTACCGTTACAGATCTTGTTCGACAGAGCTACGGAAATTCTCATCCTGCGCCACAAGCTTCGCGTCTGTTGCATTGACAGTTGTTTGATCTCCAACCAGATTTGACTTCCTTATACCATGCGCACTTTCCATCTCGTCGCCGCGCTCTTTGTCACGCTATGCGCTGCGACGCCTAAAGCAAGACCAGAAGTCGAAGCAGACGCCGTGCCTCAGATCACCAATAATGCGCCTTTTTCAGGAGCGATCTATTTAGTCAATCCCAATGGCCAGCAAGTGACAGCACAAAGCACAAACTATTGCCCTTCATCCGCGTCCCAGAGCTGCAGCTCGGTGAGCGCGCCCAGCTGGTGAGTCGCAACATTTTTTGAATGAACAATAGCTTAAAGTGTTGCCAGGTGCTGCCCTGCCAACTTCGCATGCGTTGTCCCCGCGAACTCGAATGGACTTCTTGGTTGCTGTCCAGCAGGAAGCACATGCGGTGGCTCTGTGAATGCAGCAGCGATAGTAACCGTGACAGTGCTAGCTCAACCAGAAACCACATACATACAGCAGCCGACGTCCTTCATCGTTTACAATGCGCCGACCACAGTGCAAGGCGGCTTCTGCGCGACAATCACAATGGATGGACCTGGGTTACCAAAGGCAGCGGAAGGGCAATGTGGGACCATTTTGATTGTCGCAGAAGGTGTCTCTTTAAGGATCTTTGGCATGGGAGCCAGCATTACTGCAGTACTGTTACACGCTGCCTTGGGTCGAATGTTCCGGTAAGGTCGACCACGATACAGCATTGATGATTAACGATGATACGTACGCTCTACGAACCTAGACTAGCAACTTACTCTCGCGAGACGATAACCTAGTTTCCCCTCTCAGCATCCTCCTTGTCGTTCTTGGGTACATTGATCAATTTCGGCACAGTCACAGCGTTGAGGTGGCGGAAGGCCTAACGAATGATTAGCACAAAATTCTGAAGATGCCCAACGGGACATGATAGAGCAACAAAACTCACATTTGCGATCGCGCCTTCCGGCAGTTTGCCGTTCCACTTATCCTCAACCTTCTGGATCTTTCCTTCCCCATCGAGGTGAATAGCCACAACACTGCTGACTATCTGCTCCATTCCAATTCCCTTAACTACATACTTTGTCTTCATGTCCATTAAGATTGGGTTTCCAGCATCCGTGACGCTATGATGCTGTCTCTCGATCTTACTGAATGCGCTCTGCAATCCGTACCATTGCGCCTGGTACTTGTCGCGGCCCTGGGCAATGGTGATGGGATCTTCGAACGTTGCGTCGTCGCGCCACAGAGCAAGTTTCTTCAGCGAGGGGCGGCCAGCGAAGAGATCGAGGATTGAGCCAACGACAGTCTGTTGTTGCGAGGAAAGAGTGACGCCAGAAGCAGTTTGGATGTCGGTGTTCTCGATGTTAAGGGAGGAGGAAGATTGGCTGGGAATGCCGGGTACAGCTTCAGCTTGAGAGATTTAGCAGATGTGTGCAGAAGTTATCTAGGCCGAGCTTACCGGAAGACATTCTGGCTGATGTTGTGAATCTGGATATATGCGAGACTGTGGGCTTCGATAACTGTCTGAGCGCTGTGTTGCAGGTTCGTGTAGTTGTGAATGGACGCATTTGTTGGACTTCGAATACTTATGCCTATAGATGAGATTCGCCTGACGTTCCTTTATGCAAGCAATCATTTGCCTGTGACGCGTGCTTTCTCGAACGCGTTCAGTAGAGTCTAAGACGTCATCGGCTAGTCCTTCGAGACGTGCCAGTGGTAGATCGTGCGGCTTGTCGCGGGGTCAAGCTTCGAGAATGCGAATTGTGGGTTTTGCGCATCGACATTTCCCATCATTTGAGAGTGAGAGGATCAGTTTGGCTCATCTCAGATCGTGATTCTCAAAGTCCGATGGTGACTTCGGTCTGTCGTCGGCGAGATGGGTCTCTTGCATCGATCTTCAACGCGTCTTTACATACTTTCGCATCCAACGTATGGCTGCAACGAGATGCACTCCCATGAGTGTACCTAGGTATTCAATGGGAACTGAATACCCAGACCAGATCTCATCGTCGCTGGCGATTTGTTTTTCCCGGCTGAGCTGAGGCCAAGCCTTCTATTTTCGCAAGAGCTGCGCCGCAGCCAGCCACGGACATGGCTGGTAGATGAGAACCATATGCGGAACGCAGCGAGTGGAGCGAGCGCTAAAGTCATAATTCTGACAGGATGTAGCTTACCTTGCCTCGCGGCACAGGTCTGGAGTTGGGTTTTTGTGCATGTCTCAAGCTCTCTCGAATTTTGAGCATGTCGAAGCGCTGCTTCGCCACACCCGACAAGCGTCGCGTCCAATCTGCAGTTAAAGATATCGAGACAAACTCTATCATCCAATCTCTTAATTGTGCCGCCCAGCAGATAAAGTTGGGTTGGGGCGTGGTCTACATGTCAGCTTAGCAGCCACACAAACAAGGGCTGGCTCCTGCAAGCCGCTCTCAGCTTCGGGAACCCCTTGGATGGCGTGTCGGTGTAAACACTATTGGGTCCATATAATTGCTACATACCACGCTGGAATGCGGTGGGCTCTCGCGCAACAACACCAACATCATCAGCATGCTACGTATCCGTCAAAAGCGGCGAGGAGTCACCTTCGCAAACCCACCGGCCCAAGCATCGAGCAGCAACTCAGCATCCAGACTACCCAAAACACCACCAGGAACACTTCCGACACCTAGACTCGACAAGCCAAAGCCGAAAAATGCGCGCATTACCTCGGCGACAGCCTCCAAACGCACGCCGCAGCACCCTTCCAACGCGCCCACCAAAGTCAGCAACCGCCAGCGACGACTAGCTTCACTCTTTATGGCACTCATGGCATCGAGTTCTATTCCAATTGAGGCCGATGCAGATACAATCGAAGCTGCGCAAAAAGCTACTTCTGCCCCAAAAGCCCCATCAGATACAAAGCATAGGCGAGATGTTAGCACTGTACGTGTGCAAGAAGTCAGGGTGGGCCGGTGGAAGCGATTCCGGTACGAGTTAAGCCTGAATACGAGGAGAAGAAAGATAGAGAGGGATGACGAGGTCGAATTGGTTAACTTGCTGGAGGTTAAAGTATAGGAGAAGAGCTTGTGTGGTAGTTTGCCTTAATGCGTCGCCACGAAGTGGATGTGATGGCATGCACTGGTTTACTCGGTCCATTTGGTTTTACATTGTCGATATCGGAATTCCCTTATGTCTCATGTCCAGCAGTTGCGACCTGCAGGATTCGCTCTTCTAGACCAGGCACATGTATACACTCAATGCCATGCTCTCGCAGCTTCGCTATGCCCTCGTTGGCACCAACAAATTTCTCCGGCTCTTTGGCTCCGAGATAGACCTTTTTAATTCTTGGTTTCCCATCCGGTCCTCGTGTACGAATGAGACGATCCACGCATGGCACGTTGCCAACTGATCTCTTGTTGCATGGTTCCATCGTAGTGTAGATGACCGTGCTGGCAGGCAATTTCTCTCCTGCACGCTCCTCGGATAGGCCATGCGCATTTGCAAACTTCAGCAAACAGCATTGCTCTGCATGTGTGTTGCCTTCGCATTCTAATGTGTAGCCTCGTTCGAGGATAGTGCCAGTGACTTCGTCGACAAGTAGGGCTCCAACACAGAAGTTTGTTGGCTTTGGTGTGGACTCTTGTGCTTGATCAAGAGCGAGGCGCATGTATTGCAAGTGATCATTGGGGTCAGGCACTTGCGCCGGAGGAACTGGACCATCCCACATTCTCACAGGACCTTCCCATTCTTCTGGCATCTTGATGGTGAAATAGAAGGGTAAGAGTGAGTGCCCACGCATGACGTTTCTTGTGATGCAAATGTGGGTCTTCTTATCGATAACCACGGCCCACTTTCACACCATACGCGACGCGTTGCAAGCTCACTACGCGCTCGATCATCACCTCACTTTCACAACAGACGACAGCATGGCGAGGAAACACAAGGAGGATTACGAAGAACGCAGCTCTGACGACGAAGAGATCGGTGCGGAGGATGGCCCACCTACGATCAACCCATACGAGATTCTTGGCCTGGAGCACCATGTGACGGCCGAAGATGTGAAGAAAGCGTATAGGAAGATGGCGCTGAAGCATCATCCAGGTACGCAATACTACCTTTACCCCCAGAGCTGTACTTACATTCCCCAGACAAGGCTGCCGACGGCGACAAAGAAGCTGCGAACAAAAGGTTCCAAGAGATCGCATTCGCATACGCCATCCTTTCAGACGACCGCAGACGTAAGCGCTATGATCTTACCGGAAGTACGGCCGAATCACTCGAAGATGATGAAGACTTTGACTGGCTGAGCTTTTATCGCGGACAATTCGAGAACATCGTCAGCGAGGAGGCTATCAATAAGCTCTCGAATGAGTACAAGGGCAGCGATGAGGAGCGAGGAGCTCTGCTGAAAGCTTACAAGAGGTACAAGGGCAACTTGAATCAGATCTACGAAGCCGTCATGTTATCAGATATTCTTGTTGACGACGACCGTTTCCGAGAGCTCCTGGACGACGCCATCTCGAAGGGCGAGATCGAATCATACCCCGCATATGCTAAGGAAACGGACGAGACACGCTTGAAGGCCAAGGAAGCTGCAAAGAAGAGTCGTGAGGACTTCGATAAACGTCAAGCAGCTGAGGAGGCCAAAGGAAAGCAGGCGAGCAAGGCGACCACTAACAAGGCGACCAGCAAAGCAAAAAGCAAGAAGAGTGGCGGCGGCGATATGTCTGATCTTGCAGCTCTCATTCAACAACGCCAGAAGTCAAGGGCTGGGGGGTTCTTTGACCATCTCGAGGCGAAGTACGCACCCAAGTCGAGAGGCAGCAAGCGTGCCACGCCTATGGAGGAGCCACCTGAAGAGGCATTCCAGGCTACAGCTGCTCGAGCGAAGAAGCGCAAGCAGAGCAAAAGGGTCGTAGATGATGAAGATGAGGACATGGATCTTGGCGAAGAGGAAGCTAACATCTCGGAAGACGATTACGAGGAGGAGGTTGCGCGCAAGCCAAAAGCACACGGAAAGGCTAGAGGACGAGGTCGCGTGAGCAGCATTGCTTGAAGGCTTCCATCGGGCTACCCCATCCGATTCCCTTTAGGCTTGTAGTCTTAGCGTTCCCGATTGGCATTCATTCTGGAAACATTGCATAGCACGGCGTCTGTTCACTGGGTAGGCTGCGGCGTCTGGGTAACTGCTGCGATGAAGTATCGTAAACTCACACCAGTCAGCTGGTTGCCTTCGTATGAATTTCTTCGTTTGTTCTTTTCCGATGCTCTGAATTGCGCATTCGTACAACACTGATGTCGTGTTGCGAGCTGCTCTGTAATCTCGCCTGCTGATTTCACCTCTCCTTCACTCCAAGCGCCCCACAGGGAACTTACACTAAGCCTCGACACCACCTCAGTCTTTTCTCCTAGCGCACAGCCACTTTCACCTTTACTACTAACTACTATAAAGCATTCGCTGCTTGAACAAAAAGCGAAGCAGCTATGACGGAACCGACAGCTCCAGGGACGCCGACAGCCAGGAAGGTATGAGCAAACACAGCCCGAGTGCACTTCACACGCTGACACCAAGATCACAGTCTCTATCGGGCGCACCGTCCACAACTGCATCGAACATGCTAACTTTGGGATCACCTATAAATATACCAAAGCGCAAGTGGCAAGGCGGCGTGGGTGATTACCTGACCGATGGCCTTAATAGATACTAATGTGTTCAGAACATATCACTCCCATTGCAAGGCTTGATTCGACCAGATAGTGCCGGCGCACCTTGGGCTCAAACTGCGCCAGCAAAGAAGCAGAAGACCGAGAGAGAGACAACAAGTCAGGTGAGTGTTGAGAGGTTATACATGGTCGCGGCGTCCCTTTATGCGACGACACCGTCTCATATACACTCTTTTTTTGCGTATCGCTGACAACTTCCCGGCGATTTCAGCACATCTATGCGCCTCCGCCTGCGACTTTGCATCAGAGCCAGTCCTTTCCCCATAACACATTGATTGTAGACCCGAGGTCGCTGCAGCTCCAAAACCAGTATCTTCCTCATAACCCATCGGCTATCGACCCAAGATCGCTGCAGCTCCAGAACCAGTATCTTCCTCATAACCCATCGATGGTGAATCCAAGACCGCCGCAGGTCCAGAACCAGAACCAGAACCAGTATCCTTCTCAGAACCCATCGAGTTTGCAACCAAGACCGCCGCGGCTCCAGAACGTGGCCTCGCTGAATCCAATGACGGTGCTCCAGGGAACCTTCATAGCCGCTCTTAATAGCAAGCCGGACCTCCTGCCATCGAATCCTACCCAGGATCCTGTTCGCTCATCGCGTATCGACCGCATAGCTCATATCATGTGGCAGCTCGTTTTCAAACAGGATGAGCTGATGAAAGACATCACAGCAAAAGCTTCCATGTTCGCACAGATCAAGCTGCGAGCGTTAGCAAAGCTGAACTATCTGCCCAGCTGGTGGCTTCTCCGCGAAGCTGCTTGCGACTTCATGAAACGTCAGAGGTGGGTCGTAAATGACAGCAACATGCAGACGCTCTGGAAAGATACACTTGAGTGGTGCAAGAGGGTGGAAACGAAGCTCGGAATGCAGAATGACGGTGCTACAGCAACGAAAGAAGAGACCAGCGAAACGTCGCCAGCTCAGGAGCAACATGTGAAAGTGGAGACCTAGTTGAGCTTGCTCGAAGACATGGATCTAATTAGTTCCATTTCTGGCGGATATGTTTCCTTGGTCAACAAGTAGGCACTTGTACCCATCAATTAGCCGCTTTTCATCAGCAGTCAATAGGCCAAATCAAAATGTACACGAAGACTCAAGCAGTGCAACGCCGAAACAGAATTCTGCGGATTTGTTCCATCCATGCCTTTGTGCTGCTGAGACATTCTGGAAGACAGTGGTTGGAGGTGATCTGTGAAGTCAGACACAAACAGTCGTTGGTGTATAAAACTGTAGTCTTGTCACCAGAAATGCGAAAAGTCAATATCAGACTCTAATTCTGTATACATCCAGTAACCAGAATAACGATGGACCTATTGCCTATTAACGCTGCAGGTCCGACGCTCCTCACCTTCACGGCACATGACCTCAGACAGCAGTACCCCCATCTCCCTACTTGGGCAGTTCTTGCCTTCTCTGTCCTCAAGACGCCTCAGGAAAACTGGACACCGGAAGCGCGCGCTCTCCTAAATGGTGCATTTGCTCCAGTGAGACTGGCTGCGTACCTACTGGACCAATCTGAACATCGTGTTGGAACACTGAGTGGAGATTGGGAGAGTTATGCAGCAAGTGAGGAGGAGTGGAGCAAAGCGAGGGAGGAAGCCGATTTGTGGAGGCTAAGCAGGGACCTGAACAGGGCGAAGGACGAAGGGTGGATGCAGTGGAAGGTGAAGAAGTATCGAATGTGTTAAGTAGAGGTGCTTTGGGTGGTTTCTCGCGCATACCTAGCCAGTGCACAAGGAACGGGGACGTGTCGATGTGAGGAAAGCTCCCGTATCGTATCAAACGAATCAATAGCTTATATTTTGCTACATTCAACGATTTTGTGAGCCGTCCAGACACATGGAGAACATTCTAGTGTTTCGAGCCCGAGCGAAGAACTATTAACTTCGCACGCAGTACTATTGGTGCATACATCCACCTTCCATCTTACCATCTGTGATAGATTGATATGTGTGCTGTAAGTAGCCTTTTTTGCAGTATACACTAGATAAATGGGTGACAGACCAGGGGCATGTGAGAAGATGACGGTGACATCAACGGTCTACTTCGTACGGGAGGCTCCACCAACCGACCCCGCAACCCTGCATTTCTTTCGCACAAACTTACACTAGCGGCATAAACTTTCTAAGGGCGGGGAGCACTTTCTAGCTGCATTCTGACCTTCTCTTCTTAATTTACTATTCGAAGGACGGGTATACCACAAGAGCTAGGAAATATTATTCGAAATGCCGCGCGACTACTCGGACTCAGAATCCGACTCTGGAAGCTCGGTGGGCAGTATTGTTGAAGAGAGAAGCGAGGCCGATGAGACAGCGTTCAAATGTTTATTCTGCGATCAACAGTTTGCACGTGTGCCAGAAATGTCGTCGCATTGCACCTCAGAGCACGGATTTGATCTGAATGCGACAGTCAAGAGTCTCGGGTCAAGTCAGCCATGTCTCACCTTTCCTAATTGGGCTGCCACTGACATCCCACAGAGGCAGATGAAATCGACATCATTAAGTTGGTGAACTTCTTGAGATCAGAAGCACAAAGAGGGACAGAGCCTAAGAGCATCAAGATCACATTGGAAGACTTGAGTGATAAGTATCTCCAGCCAGTACTTGAGGACGATGCACTGCTTTTCGAGCTCGGAGATCTTATGCAAGACATCGAAACTAAAGCTGTCGATTATGAGGAATTCGAAGCAAAGCTCCAGAAGGATATGCCAGAAGACTTCTCGAGGATACAGGTCACGAGTGACCGAGACGAGGACTACTTTGAATCGTACAAGGGCAACAGTATTCACCGAGAAATGATCGAGGATAGCGTACGGACGGAAGGCTACCGCGACTTCATTGAGAAGAACCTCGAGGTTTTCAAAGACAAGGTTGTCCTTGACGTTGGCTGTGGCACCGGTATTCTCTCCCTCTTCTGCGCCCGCGCTGGCGCAAAGAAAGTCTTCGCAGTCGACAACTCGCAAATCGCGGTCCGTGCAAAAGAAAATGTCGAGAAGAACGGGTATGCAGACCGCATTCAGGTCATCCAGGGCCGTATTGAGGACTTCAACACACAGCGCCAGATCGGCAAGGAGAAGGTCGACATCATCATCTCCGAGTGGATGGGCTATGGTCTCTTGTTTGAGGGTATGCTGGACTCAGTGCTGCGCGCTCGCGACATGTATCTCAAAGAAGACGGCCTTCTGGTGCCAAGTCACTGCAACATCCGCCTCGCGCCCGTCTCGGACGCTGCCTGGATCGACGACGCTACAGGCGCAAAGTTCTGGAAAGACGTGTACGGCTTTAACTTCTCGTCTATGATCCCCGGTGGCCTACTTAACCACCGCGAGATTGGCGTGTTCGACGTCCCGCCCACAGCGCTGTGCGGATCAGCAAATGCCCACCTGCTCGAGATGAAGACTGCATCGATTGGCGACCTGAGCTTCAAGATCCCGCTGCAAATGACTCTCGACCGCGATGTCGACTCGATCCAGGCCATTGCCATCTGGTTTGACACTATTTTTGTCCACCCCGGCAGCACACAAGACATCAAGACGATCGACGACGTGGACTGGCAGAAGAACGGTATCCCTGGTCTGGGCTTCTCCACTGGACCTGCAAATACGCCTACGCATTGGCATCAGGCTGTCTTGCTTCTAGACGATGAAGTTGCACAGAAGCAGAAGTTCAAGAAGGGCGAGGTTTTGGAGGGTACGCTACAATATGCTAAGGAGAAGGGCGACGACAGGGGAATCACCGTCACTGTAGAGTGGAAGGGCAAGGGGGAGAGCGGAGAAGTTGATGGGAAAGTCAGACTTTCTATGGCATAGACAGATACGCGAAGGTACCTTTATGGGACCCTGTATGGCGTCACTAGTGTCACTTTAAGCTGAGGGCTATCTTCAACATTTAAGAAGCCGACTAGCGCCAGGTACACTTGACTCGGTCACTTTTGAATTGACTTGGATTTGATCTGTTTTGTATCTCGTCTTCTACCCAAGCTTCGTTATTTCAGACCTCTGAGGAACATCTACGGTAAGCATGACAGGATCGGCTTCAGCTTGTTGTAGATGATCTGCTGCTGGGCAGCTGCTACAGTTGTCTTGTCGTTCGCATCACCGGGAGAGATGGACACAAAGCAGTCGTTACCCCGAATGACAGCAACATCGGCCTCCCAAGGCAGCCTTGCTGTCGTTCCGCAAATGGTGATGTCGGCAGCACTGCCAATAAGACCAGTGTTGATGCGAGTGAAGATGAATTTGAACTGATTGACGTTATTGCACTTGGTGCTCGACACAGCCGGGAAGTTGACATTCAGCCAGGTGTTATCTGGGAGGTAGGGTTTTCCAGAGTTGATGATGGTGTTCGTGACGTTGAGAGCAAGATCTGCGTAGATTTTGCTGTACAGCGGAGTGGGTTGGTTCCACGCAGTCGGGTCACCACTCACACCAGAGAATGCAATAGCGGGGATTTTGGCTGTCTTTGCGGCATAGACCGCTGCTCCGACAGTTCCAGAGAAGGGAACTTGGACGGCAACATTGCTGCCGACGTTGGGCCCTGTAAGGGCGAGTTCTGGGGCAGCGCCATTCCAGAGTTTTGGCCCAGTGGTCGAAATTCCTGCCTTGATCGCCGTGACCGGGAAGGAGTTGACGTAGTTTAGGCGGGGATCGGTGGCATTAGCGCCTGTTGCTGAACTTCCACCAGGGCAAGAGGAGAACTGGCAGCCATCGGAGTCTACAGTCGTCGGTGCGGCATCAGACGAGCCTAATACCGTCAACAGAGCGTTCTCTCAGATCGGTTGATAGGGGACACAAACCTTTGCCGGACTGGTTTTCGGCTGGGCCGCTGAGCACGACTTGGTTTCCGGCAGAGGTAAGAACGTTGAAGAATGTCCTGAGGTTGATCTCCGCCCAGCCATCGTCGTTGCTCTGTACAATACGGATGCCCTGAGCGAGCGGCAGAGCCGCAGCGATGAGAAGTGAGCAGCGCATAGCGTATCACTTTGACCGAAAGAAGGTGGGGTACAACTGAGGTAAGGTAATGGAATGAGACGAACGAAGACTACACACTTGTCTGCTCACACCAATTTAGGGTGGCTATGAATGGATGTTTATACCTATAGCACCAGCAATACTAGCCTAGTATCCACAGCCATCTAAGCCTACCTAATCATGCTCCGTCGTCGCATACGCAAAGCTGCCGATTCGGTTTACTGCATAACGAAAATCGCACGATTAGCTGAACGTGCTCCAGACAGTGATATGATTGAACGTGTAATCTATTGACACCGGAGCGAGAAGCGGCTTTGAAGCTGTGAATGGTTGCTGATGTCCGAGGATGGAGTTTCGCGTCGCAATTGGCCAATGGCAGCTCGGAAGCTGCGGCTCCCCTGACAGGCAACCCCTGGCGCGACAGTTCCTGCGGCGTTTTTCCATGCGGTTCTATCCCCTGGTGAGCCCTGCAATTCAATTCGACAATGAGCACTGAGGATGAATGACATGTCACTCTAAATTAAGCTCCTTCCTCAAAGATATTCCACCAGGACGTAGAGTGGAGACTTGCATTGACGGCCCGTTCTTTGAATTAGAGAGCGGGCCGAGGCGCACGACCACTCACATGTTGGTCGAAGGCACATGCTAGGTGTGAAGACAGCTATCACCGTTGATGCCGATTCTGCTGAGGGGTACTGTGCTGCAAGCCATTGGCATGAAGGGATTAGTGCCAGTCTGTGTCTTCCCGTAAGATATATGATGGACAATGAATGCCAAAGTAGACTGGATGAGTGTGAATTTGCTATCGAGTTCTCGCGCAGTTACACCATATGCGCTGGTTTCATTGGTTGTTGACTATAGTAGTCGTTTGATGCGCCCTGCGCTTGATATGGCGGGAGGTACTGGTTTTGTTGAAGCTCGACTGGCGTATCGGTTTGTGAATAGTACGCTGTGTTCTGCTGGTGTGCAGCGTTCTGATACTGCGGCGGGTAGGGTGTTGGAATGGCGGGATTGTACATGGCTGGGTTGTGCGCTGCACTATAGTTGCCTCGCAGAGCTTGCTTCTTCGCGCGGTGGTAGCCGACTGCTGAGTAGATCAGAAGACCGACAAAAGAGAGGCTAGAGCAAGTCAGTATTGCATGCACGGATTGTGAGCTTTGGGTTGGCTTACAATACAAAGATGCTGAAGCTAATGCCAGCTGCGCTTGTTCCTCTCGCGACAGCCACAATGTCCATCAGTAGAACCCCCCCAAAGAACCCTGTCTGGAAGCAGTTCATGGTGAGGAATGTTCCAGGCTTCAGCGCATCACGCAAGAAAAGTACGATGGCGAGAATATCGATGAGGAGGCAGATGGCAATGAATAGCATGAAAACCACAAGACTCCTACAGTTTGTTAGTTTTTGAGTGTATAGGCAGAAAACAGGTACTGACGCAACAGCGGGCTTTGCGAACTCTCCAATGCCATCAATGCGACGAATAGTGTATGCATAGACTGCTATGAGGAAGACCATGATACAGATCCGCACGCACCAGAATGGTACGAGGATGCGCTTCTTCCACAGTCCGGGTTGATTAGCCATTGTGAATTGTCGAGTGATAGGGCAAGAATAACGATAGTGGTCACCGTCAACGGGCGGCCACTGGTTTATCAAGAAAGTTCGGATCGGACGTGTTGAGCAAAATTCCTAAGATCTTGTAGATCTATGTGCAGGGGTCAGGAGAAGGCGTCCAAGGCGGGCAGTGAATGTGGGTGAAACGCGCGTTGGCGCCTGGCGCAGAGCATCCTCATTTCCCAAGTTAGCAATCTGTGGCGCAGTGTTTGCTAGTATTGCGTAGAATGCAGGGCAGTTGAGTAAAGGGATGGTGTAACCATACGATCCCTCAATGGGTACCACAGTAACGAGGTGAGGGCAACACTTGAGCAAAACAAAGGACGTCGAAGCACGCGTTGGGTAGACGTTGCAATGTGGAGAGCGGGATGTCTAAATGGGTGGCTGAAACACTTCGGTCGACGATGAATAAAAAGCGGGCCGTTACTGGCAATTCGCACGCTTGGACACAATGCAAGCAAAAAAGCAAAAAGAGAATGACCCGAAGGCGATTTGAACGCCTAACCTTCAGGAGACACCTTTACTGGAATCTGACGCGCTACCATTGCGCCATCGGGCCGGTTAAACCGTGTCATTCAGTTTCATAAAAAGTTGTTGCATACGATGAAATATATCGTTGCACCCAGTGCGTGTCCAGCGCAATGTGGGGAGTCGGAGCGGAGCAACGTTTTTCGCACATCTCGAACGCAACATTGGTGTTCTATCCAATCTTTGTCTTAGAATATTGAATCCTTCTTTCGAATGTCAATCACTCTTCGACCTTAGTAACTTGCCTCATGACCAGCAGCATGAGGAAGGTGAGCCCAGCCACCTGATGCATCACATGCGGGGATGCCACGCGCCAACGATAACGATAACGATAAACAGGCGGCCATCATGGTACCCAGCTTCGCTCTCTATCTATACTAGAGACACTTCTCCTCTTAAGCTACTACATACTCATCAACATAGTCCACATCATGGGTGCACAGCAGTCTATTCCTTCCGATGCTGCTATCAACGAGAAACTGCGCGAGCGCCTCCAGGCCTTCAATCTGAACGAGGAACGAGTAATGAGCGAGAAGGATGGATTTGTGCACGTAGCTGACAATGCTCGTACGTGAATACCCAGAGGTGGACGTCAAATGTCTATGGAGCGATATCTAATCCCGTTACAGCCCCGAGGTTCTCACCACTGTCAAGACATGTGAAGACGGTTTCCACCAAAGATGCCGGGGAGTGGGAGAGGAAGGTCATGGAAGATCCCAAGGTGCGGTGTTCATCCGCTAAAATTGCAACAAACCTGACTCCAAAACTAGAACCGTCTTGCCCTTCTTGCTCTCAGCTCGAACCCAGCAACCGCCGTGCTGTCATCGCGCGCAGCCACTATCTCAGACATACACCAGTTCAACATCAAGATTCCCACCGAAGGCTCGCCAATCACAAACCAAGCCTCGTCAGGGCGATGCTGGCTCTTCGCTTCCACCAATGTTTTCCGCATTGCCATCATGAAAAAGTACAAGCTCGACAGCTTCCAGCTATCGCAATCGTATCTATTTTATTGGGATAAAATGGAGAAAGCGAACTACTTCCTCGAGAACATCCTGGAGACAACGTCCGAGAGCATTGACAGTCGCTTGATACAAGCTCTGCTGGCAAGTCCAGTGGGAGACGGTGGACAATGGGACATGGTAGCCAACCTGGTAGAGAAGTACGGACTAGTCCCTCACAGTCTCTACCCGGACTCTTTCAACGCAAGCAACTCAAAAGTGATGGATACTCTGATTACAACAAAGTTGCGAGAGGATGCAGTTCGACTACGCTCCCTCGCCCTCAGTTCAGCTTCGCCCTCTACTATCCAGGCCAATATTGCAGCTGAGAAGGCTACAATGATGCGCGAAATCCACCTCATCCTGACCCTGATGCTGGGTCCTCCCCCAGCGCCAGAAAAAGCCTTCACGTGGGAGTTTTCCGACCGAGATGGCAGCTCTCAGTCCGTAACGATACGCCCAATCGACTTTGCCAAGCAGCTGTCAGACAGCAAGACAGTGCGAGCACTCACAGGCACAGATGTTCACACACTCTTCTCTCTCGTCAATGATCCGCGCAACCCCTACAACCGACTCCTCAGTGTAAATCGACTCGGCAATGTCTGGGAAGGTCGCCCGGTAACTTACGTCAACACAGACATGAAGACCATCAAAGATGCCTGCATCGCTATGATCAAGCGCGGTATGCCAGTGTTCTTTGGCTCAGACGTAGGCAAGTACTCAGATTCAACCAAGGGTATCATGGACACAGATCTCTATGAGTACGAGCTTGGTTTTAATATCAAACTGGGTATGTCGAAAGCCGAGCGCCTGCAAACCGGCGAGAGCCAGATGACGCATGCCATGGTGTTGACTGCTGTGCATGTTGTGGACGGCAACCCAGTGAGATGGAGGGTGGAGAACTCGTGGAGCGACAGAGTAGGTGATAAGGGCTACTTTGTGATGAGTGACAAGTGGATGGATGAGTTTGTGTACCAGGCGGTTGTGGATCCGAGCGTGGTAAGCTCGACAATCCGAAAGGTTTTACAGCAAAAGCCGAAAATGCTTGAGCTGTGGGATCCCATGGGCGCTTTGGCGTGAGACAAACTTCTTCCATAGCGTAGCGTTTCTGATGAATGGTTGATGTTGCATCCTTCCTTCTTTATCTCCCATTCATGCCTGTATTCAGGCCTCAGTCAAATACTCAACTCGTCAATAAGCCTCTTCATACTGCACGTCTCAATCGAACCACATACCGCGATGAGCTAGCGTGTGAAGACTGGACTGACGAACTACTGTTGTGATGTTGAGCACATGTAGAGTCATTGGGGTGATGACTCCCGACATCGCCGCAGCCCCGCGGTAGTTTGTTTAAAAGTCCCCGCCAGCAGTTCCAGCGTCATCATAACTCGTCCGTCCACGAACAACACTCAAAATGGCACCCAGAAATACAGCATTCGACTTGCAGACATGCGCACGACCAAATATCCTCGCATTGGAGCCGTACCGCTGCGCGCGCGAGTAGGTGAAGCTCAAAAGGTCGCCAACTTGACAGCCAGCTTACAAATGCCAGCGACTACAAGGATGACGGCACCAATATCCTGCTCGACGCGAACGAGAACGCATATGGTCCAGGTCTGGCGCTGGACGGAAAAGGAAAGCTATCAGGCGCGAACGTCAATGGCACATCGAACTCAATCGACATAGACCTGCTCGGACTCAACCGCTATCCAGACCCGTACGCAAACCCACCATTACACCTTCACACTTACTCACCGTACTTTCAGTCACCAAGGAGATCTTAAGCAGCTTCTCTGCAACCTTCGTAACACCCACACTCACACATCAAAGAAGATCGGCCCCGAGCACCTCTTCGTAGGCGTTGGGTCAGACGAGGCAATCGATGCCCTGATCCGCGCTTTCTGTGTTCCGGGCCAGGAGAAGATTCTGACATGCCCACCTACATACGGCATGTACAGCGTGTCGGCGCAAGTCAACGATGTCTCGCTCGTCAAGGTCCCGCTGCAGCTACCCACCTTCGACCTCGATGTCCCCTCTATCCAGAAAGCGCTCGCCTCCGACCCTAGCATAAAGCTCGCGTACTTGTGCTCGCCCGGCAACCCTACAGGGAAACTGCTGAACAAGGAAGATGTACAAGCTATATTGGAGACGAACTGGAACGGTGTGGTGGTATTAGATGAAGCATACATTGACTTCGCACCCGAAGGCGCATCGATGGCAGAATGGGTCGCCGAGTGGCCAAATCTCGTCGTCATGCAGACAATGTCGAAGGCATTTGGTCTTGCCGGCATCAGACTTGGCGCTGCTTTCGCAGATCCTGCGGTCGCACAGATCCTCAACAACATGAAGGCACCATACAATCTCCCAAACCCGACTTCCCAGCTCGGACAAGCTGCATTGAGCCCACAGCACCTCGGTGTTATGAACAAGAATAAGAACTTGATTGTCGAGCAGAGGGAAAGGTTGATAAAGGAATTACCCAAGGTACCGGGTGTGGGACAGTTGCACGGCGGAACAGAGAGCAACTTCCTGCTTTATCAAATGCTAGATAAGCCAAATGGAAAGCCTAGTAACGAGGTTGCATTGGCGGTGTACGAGAAGCTAGCAGAGGACAGGGGTGTTGTGGTCAGATTCAGAGGAAAAGAACATGGTTGTGAGGGCTGTCTCAGAATCACCGTCGGGACAGAAGAAGAGTGCACAAGATTTTTGCAGGAGATTAAGAGTGTGTTGCAGAGCACCTATGAGACAAAGGGAAGTCTGGGAGGGGAGGGCGAAGAGCAGAAGGAAACTAAGGCCAGTGCCGTTGTTGCATAGAGTTGGATGGGGATTGCCCGAGGCAAGAGATAGATGTACATAATTCCATACGCTTGAAACAATGCTCCTGTGCGAGCCAATACGCTACTATTACGCCAACCGAGTCTCTTTGGGTGGACTCGTATGGGTTTGCGAACAAACTTCGAAGACACGACTCACCATAGTCTTGATTAAGAGGCTATATCTGAGAGCTTCGCATACATTTGATGCGATTGGTGTATTTCGTTCTGGGATGACTTTGCCTTCATTCTTGAACCCGGGACCCCTTCGCGACAGGGGTTAAGGACAGAGAGTCTTTGGGCTGGTGTACTTCGTAACGTGTCAAACATGACTCTCAAAAGATTCAAACTGGATCGAATCTTTGGCCATTGTTACACTCGAAGGATCCAGTTGACTTTTTGTTACACAAATCTGGCAAAGGAAGGTCACAGCGGTTCCTTTATGCATTGGACTACTTGCACGTTATCGCAGACGATCGGTGACTCAAGACTGACTAGGATCCGTCGAAGAAGGAGAGCACAAGACCTCTGCTATCTTCCTCGCAAAAAAATCGAACACCTCTTGTTATTTTGCAGACTTGCTCAGCATTGTGTTGGTCGTACTCAGACTTAGTGCAAGCTCTTCCGCTGAGTGGGTCTATTTTGCCAAGATTGCTCTTTAGCGCCTTCCACCCACCTCGCTTAGCAGGTGCGAAATCTGAGTCTCTTCGATTTTGCACCTCGTCAACTTCCAACGTCAACGACCCTACTAACACCAGGACCAGACAAAGTGAGTCTCCCATACGAACGAGTCGATCAGTCGAGCGAACACCACACCGAACGATCGAATTCACCACGACCGCAATACTAACAGCCGCTCAGATGGGTGCCCTTAAATATGTCGAGGAACTTCAGAAGAAGAAGCAGTCGGATATGATGCGCTTCTTGATGCGCGTTCGCGTACGTATACACAATGGATACAATTGCTTGGACTCTGCTAACATTGCGACAGTGCTGGGAGGTATGATCATCCATTTCCTGAGACGCCGAGTCTCAATTGGTGTACTCGTTGAACATTAGCTGAGAGTGCATCGATAGCTTCGCCAACTGAAGGTCATCCACCGCGCCAGCCGTCCCTCGCGCCCCGACAAGGCCCGTCGTCTTGGGTACAAGGCCAAGCAGGGTTACGTTATCTACCGCGTCCGTGTCCGTCGCGGTGGCCGCAAGAGGCAGGCACCCAAGTAAGTACACACATATTCCAAGAGAATACGACAATGCTAACAAATTTCCAGGGGCGCCACCTACGGTATGTCTTGATCAGTCGCATCAAATGCGCAAATTGGAAACTAACATATATACAGGCAAGCCCACCAACCAGGGTATCAACCAGCTCAAGTACCAGCGCTCCCTCAAGAGCACCGCTGAGGAGCGTGTCGGCCGCCGCTGCGCCAACCTGCGCGTTCTCAACTCGTACTGGATCAACCAGGACTCGACCTACAAGTACTACGAGGTCATCCTTGTCGACCCCCAGCACAAGGCCATCCGTCGCGATGCCCGCATCAACTGGATCGCCAACCCCGTCCACAAGCACCGCGAGTCTCGTGGTCTCACCGCCACCGGCAAGAAGAGCCGTGGTCTCGGCCGTGGCCACAAGTACAACAACACCACCGCTGGTCGCAGGAAGACCTGGAAGAGGCACAACACCCTCTCCCTCTGGCGCTACAGGTAGATGTAGCGCTGAGGGCGTTGCGTGGTGTCTGGGACGTCTGGTCGAATCTCTCAAGCTCATGGACTGGCGTGCATGGAAAAGGATGTTCTGCGTCGTGTAGCTTTCTTCGGGCACACGGCGATGGTCGTTCAGGACTGCTAAAACAAATTTCATGGATTCATGAATGGATGAATTGCATTATACCCCCTTCAACAAGCTGATTCGTGTGACTTGACAGGGTGATGTGTACTCAGAGCTTGCTTGGATTGTTTGTTCGCTTTCTATTTGAGAACGAGAAGGTGAAAACTTCTTTCGACACAACATTTGCACAACATGCCATTACATTTCATTCCTGGCTATCTATCTTCGAACCGCCTTTTGAGTTATAACTGATCGGGGCTGACCCTTTGTACGATGATACCGCTCGACGCACCACCGCCATTGCAGATTGCCGCAGCGCCATATTGCCCGACCTCCAGCTGATGTAACAGAGTGACCAAGATCCTGCTACCCGAGCTACCTAGGGCGTGGCCTAGCGCAATAGCACCTCCCCTAGGGTTGACATTGTCTTCCTTAAGGCCAAGGATCTTCGCGTTAGCCTTGATCACTGCAGCAAATGCCTCGTTAAACTCCCAGATCGAAATGTCTTCCTTGCTCAGACCAGACTGCTTGAGCAGCTTCTCAACAACCGAAGCAGGAGCGATTGGGAAGTCGATGGGGTCAACCGAGGCATCGCTGTAGGTAATGATCTTCGCAAGCACGCGACTGTCCTTGCCGTACTGCTGTGCAATCTCCTTGCTTCCAAGGACGAGAGCGGACGCTCCATCGCTAAGAGGAGAGCTGTTCGCCGCTGTGACCGAGGCGTCGGCGTCTTTCGAGAAGGCAGGCTTCAGTGTGTGGACCTTCTCGAGCTTGAGCTTGTTGTATTGCTCGTCTTCTGAAATGACGATATCACCCTTCTTTGTCTTGACAGTGACTGGTACGATCTCGTCTTTGAACAAGCCGTCCTTGTAAGCTTGCTGGGCCCTCTTGTATGTCAAGATGGCATAGTCGTCTTGCTCTTTCCGTGAGATGTTGTAGTCTTTTGCAGTCTTCTCTGCGCAGTTGCCCATGTGGATCTGGTTGTAGACATCCCAGAGACCGTCGGCAATCAGGCCGTCCTGCATCTTCTGGTGGCCGAAGGCCGGCTGTTGGCTGGCGCGGTTGAGATAGTATGGAACGCGGGTCATGTTCTCCATGCCACCAGCAACCTGTGCCTCGGCCTGTCCCAGCTCGATTGTGGCAGCTGCAAGGTTGACGGCCTTCAGCCCTGAAGCACACACTTTATTGATTGTAGTTGCCTCAACGCTGGTGGGTAGGCCAGCGAAGATGGCAGCTTGTCTAGCCGGCGCCTGCCCTACACCTGCTGACAGGACGTTGCCCATGTAAACAGCATCGATGGAAGAGACCGGAACTTTGGATTTCTCAAGGGCTGACTTGATGGCCGTGGCACCGAGCTGGGTGGCCGAGACGGTTGTGAAGTTGCCGTTGAACTAGTAGGTAATGAGCAAATAGTTACGATCATGTGACGGGATGACCGTACCACTGCAGTCGGTGTTCGACTGGCACTTATGATGTATGCATCTCTGACCTCCTTCTTCTGTTGCGCTGATGCGCTGAATTGTCTTTGGATGCTAGCCAGGCGCTGCTGTGGCTTTGTGGCCATTCTCATGGAAGTGCGAAGAGCAGACGATGACATAGTAGGTGTCCAGCAAGGAGGGGAATTACTATGACAGTGGGAGTATGGCAGAAAGAAACGGCTCTAGCGATTCGAATGATGATTGTCACATGGCGGCGACTTTCCGCAGTTTTATGCGGAGCGCAGCAGCTCGACGACGCGGAACGTGGGGAAGACAGCCGAGGCAAGGACGGCCGCCGTGAGCGTAGCCTTAAGCCGAACGTGCCGTCCTCTTTCCCTCCGGTTGAGCCGACTTAGTCATCCGAGCATCACCTAGCGTTGATTCCACAACGACCGCAGATGCTTCTGAATATTGTTCCGTCATTCGGAGTCCCTAGCGCGAACGCTTCCGTATGTGACGAAAGCACGTCTGGTCACGCCCTTGCTCCTATCAGCGTCTCAATTTGTCCCTCACTCCGACAACAAGGGACGTATGTTCCTTCCGCAATTCCGCGTGATGCTGGCGGCCACGCAGTCTGGGCCACCTGTCACCGAAGGCTTTACGCCGTCTGCTCAAGACTTTTGATTGCGAAAACATGATTTAATGCTACACACTGCCCTTTCGTGGCAGCTCTGTGATCATTGCTGATGCAGGGAGCCGAACACAGTCACCTCTTTTAACAACTGACAGGCTTGTTGCAGTTTTATTTGTGTTACAGAAGGAACTCTGGAATATCAAACACCGCGAAGGGGTCTTCTGACCTCAAGTTCTCTCTAGGCCATACGGCATCCTCATGCCAAAATGTTTGCATCTGTGTTTCTGAACGCGTACCACGACCTGTCATCTTTACGGGTGTGACCATCGATTCGTACTTGTGTTTGATACCTGTATCGTGCCCCTGGTACTACGACTTCAAAATATTGGACATTTCGGTGTCACATTGGATAGTCGCATTTTAACCTTACCTTGTCCAAGTCTTGGCCTCCACCACGTCTCGCCAGTAGGTACTCGCGCCTCGAGTGGGAACTAACATTACCAGGCCATACAGTGCATTGTTAGGAGATTGTACTATGATAATTACGGCACCTTACATACGGCAGTGCTTGTGTTCAAGAGCATGCCAAGAGCAACCAGCGTCAAGATGAGGCCATGTCACAAACATGGAAATTGCTAGGGAAGGTGCTATGGAGGAGTATAAGAACAGGACGACAGAATTCTTCCTGAGATTCAATATCAGACTTCACAGCGAATCTCAACAGAGCCATCACCTAGGCAAACAGTCTTTTTTTCAACTTTCTGGAACGACATGCGCTTCTCTACCATCATCAGTGGCTTTGCCTTCACGGCCTCAGCCTTCGCCGCCCCTTCAATTATTCTCCATAACAACTGCGACTTTGATGTATTCGTCACCTCCGTCGGCAAAACATCTGGCAACACCACCAGAGTGCATCCTGACGTTCCATGGATCGAGGAGGAATACTTCGATGGTACCGGCACCGCCATCAAAATTGGCCGAACTGCCGCTGCGCTTTGGACCGCCAAACCTACGCTCCACCTCAGTTACACATACAGCAGGGGTCAAAGCCTCTACTACGATCTCAGCACTACTTATGGCTTCGACTTCTGGGGAAAGAAGATCACGGTCAAGGGGGACGATGATAAGGAGGTGCCATCAATCGAGTGGGACGGTGCCCCAGAGCTGATCCAACATACCCAATCCTACTTTGGCGAGACTGGTCTGACACTTGAAATCTGTGCCGCCTAGACCAAGTAAGATTCTCAACATGGGGAAGTGGGCCCATGTATTAACTGTGCAGATCAATATCCGAGAGAACGGTAGAGCGACCATGGGTGTCTGATGCCAGTATGCAGTTGCCAAGATAGATCATGCATCTTTTCGTTCTATCCTTGTCCTTCTAACATCAACTTGCCGTTGATATGCTTTCCAATGTGGTGTATCCCAGGATGAGGGAAAAGTAAAAATATATGCTGCGCTATGCTACGCTAAATGTCCAATCCAAACACCGAAAATGCTGTTCAACGCTTGATATCTATAGCCGTAATCATCAATCATCATAATCTGAGTATCCGTACTTCAACCACATGAAGTCCTTCTCCGCAAGAATCAAATTGTGCCCTTCGCCCCAGACCCGATCTTCAGTCGCGAATCGTAAACAGCCAATCTGAATCCTCGGGAAAAGTTCTTCACACTTCCTCGCTTCAAATGCTTGGAACCCCTTGCTTGTCGCCTGCAGCGTGTTGCGCATTGTCGCCCATAATTTGGCGGATTCGCTCTTGTCGACGGGGATCCGGCGCGAGCAGCCGTGCGGATTGTGGTGGGAACCCCCTGATAATGTTAAGCGCGTCGGCGTGCGCAGATTGAGGGTCATGGACTCCGTGTAAAGGACGGTAGTGGAAGGATTGCCGGAGAGGAGAAGGTTGAACAGGGACTTTAGAAGGATAGCTATGTAATCGAATAGTTGCACAGCAAACGACTCAGGAAAGTCTTCAATCAAATGCGCCAATTCATGGTCGTGCGGAACATGTTCAGATAAGCCACCGAGTGGCTCTTGGATGCGCAAGTCGACGTTGATTAGGAGGTGGTTAATTATCGGTGAAAGGGCCGCGAATCGTTTCCAGGTCAGCGAAAAGTAAGGGCGACCATGAGAAAAAGTGATGTCCAAGTCGTAATTTAGTTGCTTAGAGGCTGCAAGATGCTGAATTGCGGTCTTGAACTCCTGGTATATCTGATGGCATACAAGGAGGAGGCCACGGTACGTTTTGAGAGGTAGATCGCGTTTGACGTAGGCTTCAGAGACCACCATCACGCCGCGGAAAGATGGGTCGAGATCCTCGTGGAGAAGGAGATCGTAAACATTATTTCTGAGTTCGAGAGGGAGGTCCAAGAAGCCTGTCATGTTGTCCACCAGTGGACCGATAAGGGTCTTGATGCTTTTCAGGGTCTGAAGGATCTGGTGCGGGGATCAGGGCACGGCGAGGCTAGGCCGTTGGAAGTAGACGGAATTCCCTGGGCCCGTGGGACGTGTGCGCAACAGGATGCTTCGCGGTAAGATGTCCATGGAAGGTCTTCAAACTGGTGTTTGTCGAGATGAGGTTTGCTTATTCGTCGAGCAGGCTGAAGGTTAAGCTGTGTGAGACGGGTGGGGCCGGAAGGTGAGGCTGGACTGCCGATTCTATCCAATCATCGACGTATCACGTGGAGTTTGCCAGCAATAATTGCAGCCGCAAGTGACGGGCTCCCCTCCGACACCGTCGCCGGAAAATGGGTCCTTGTCTCAATCATCGTGCGATGGTTGTTTGACCATTTATTATTGGTCTCGACGTGTAGCACACTATCATTTACCGTCATGGACGACTACGAGGTGGAGCGGGATGGCTCTAACAATCCAGCTCAAAGTATACCAGCGGCACAACTCATTTCACTTGGTCGGCAGAGATCTACTGGTAACACTAAATCTACTGCGAAGCAACTTGAAGACAGCAAGAAGCTAGAGTCTCCGAACGCAATCCTCACCAAGTATGACGTATGATGCCTACGATGTCTCAGAGGAACATGGTTCTAACAACATACAGGTTGGCTGGCGCAGGATTGTGAGAAATTTCAGCCCGTCATGGTTCTCAACATCTATGGGGACAGGCATTGTGTCTCTGCTGTTCGCCGCAATTCCCTTCAAAGCACAATGGCTCTACTGGTTTGCTGTCGTATTCCTTGGACTCAACGCTGTCCTGTTCACTTGCGCCTTCAGCATTTCGATCCTACGGTACGCATTGTACCCTGAGATATGGTCTGTCATGATCGCAGACAGTACCAACTCGCTCTTTCTCGGTACAATACCCATGGGTTTCGCGACGCTCATCTCTGCCTGGTGCACTTTGTGTGTGCCTTACTGGGGCCCCTGGGCCGTCACATTCGCCTGGATTTGCTGGATAATTGACTCGGTCGTAGCAGTGGCAGTGACAATCTCACTTACAATTCTGTTGATATCCGCGAATGATCGACAGAATCTGGATAGAATCACAGCTGTCCAGCTATTACCCATCGCTGCGTCAATTGTCGCTGCAGGTACCGGCGCTCGCGTAGCTGAACACCTCCAGGATCCCAACACCGCACTGGGCACACTGATTGCATCCTACATTATGTGGGGCATGGGTACGCCTCTTGCAATGACTGTACTTGTCATGTACTACACGCGTCTTGCACTTCACAAATTACCGCCACGTGAGATCGTAGTCTCTTCTTTCCTCCCTCTCGGACCTCTCGGAATGGGAGGATATGCGATCGCCTACCTTGGAAACGTTGCTCGTCGTGTCTTCTTGCGAACTGGGTTTTTATCCGACATACCTGTGGCCGGCGATGTCTTTTTCATAGTCGGAATTTTCATTGCTCTTATGATGTGGGCCTTTGGCCTAACCTGGCTCTGCTTTGCTCTTGCATCAATCTTCAAATCTCGTCCATTCCCTTTCAATATGGGCTGGTGGGGTTTCACCTTTCCTCTCGGAGTGATGGCCCTAAGCACGATGGAGCTTGGCCTTATATTTCCCAGTCTGTTTTTCAAAGTTCTTGGAACCGTCTTTGCTGTTGCTGTGATCGTCCTCTGGTGCGTCGTAGCTGTTGGAACGGTCGAGGGAGCCTGGACTGGGCGACTGTTCAACGCACCCTGTCTCAAGAACCTCCCAAAGAAAGATGACGAGCAAACACAAGACAATGCGCAGAAGGAAGAAGGAGCTGCTGCTGCGACTGGCTAGATGGGTAATCTTCGGTAGAATCGGGTGGTCTCGCGTATCGATCTCGAATCTCAACATCCACTTGTGGAACAAGAGTCACTCGCCGTCTATATGACTGCGTTTTTGGCTGCAGGGCGAAAAATCTTGCGTCACAATCACGGTGAAAGCACATGAGCACGTATATGACTCATTCGCACTATATCAGTCGCTCACTTCGACTTGCAATAAGAACAGCAACAACAGCATCTCTATCAACAGCCGTCTCTAGGAGCTTGCGGGCACCTGTTAACCTTCCGAAGATGGAACCTGTAACGCCACAGCCGGCTGACAAGCCCCTGCCCCTGGCAACTCGCATGAAGCAATACGAGGCATCTTTTGACTTCACTTTGCCTTCCGGGCTACCTGTTATTCTACGTCTCGATGGTCATGCTTTCTCGAACTTCACCAGCCATTTCTGCCGGCCATTCGATCAACGTATACATGATGCAATGATTGCAGTATGCACAGATCTGCTCGCGTATTTCCCCTCGGCGACTCTCGCCTATACCCACTCCGACGAGATCACGCTGGTTTTTCCCGATGGTGTGCAAAGCTTCAATGAACGCGTACAGAAGCTATCGAGCATAGCTGCAGGTTACTGCTCCGTTCGTTTTAACACACACCTTACCACCCTCCTAGCAGCAAGCCCAGAGCCAAAAGTTAAAGATTCGGCCTTCGAGCGTCTAGGGACTGCCCATTTCGATGCGCGTTTCTTTACTGTCCCAAACGTGGAGGAGGCATTCAATTGCGTTCTTTGGAGGTGTCGTACGGATGCTGTGCGTAACTCAGTCAATGCATTCGCGCGCACTATGTACTCGACCAAAGAGATGCAGAAGAAAACAACCGAGGACTTGATTGAGATGATGCGGAGGGACAAAAACGTGGTTTATGAAGAGGCAGTGCCACGATGGGCGATCGAAGGTTGTTTACTCAAGCGTGTGCAGGTAGAACACGAAGGCGTAAATCTGAAGACGGGGAAACTTGAGAAGACGTTGCGAACGAGGACGAGAGTCGAGGAGAGAGGCGTGAGAAAATTCTCGATGGAGAATCTGAAGCTTGTAACGGAAAAGTATTGGTAAATGTTCAATCCAAAGTACCTATGTACTTCAATCAAGAGGTTGCAAGGTCGTCCCGGAGGAGGCTCCGTCGTTGCGTCGCGTTGCGCAAGGCTGGTCTTCGTAGAACAGACACTTCGGACAATACAAAACCATTGTGTATTTATTCTACCAAAACGCTCCGAGACCGAGCGACAAAGACGCCAGTCTGCACGATGACACTGAGTTCTAGTTCCGATCGGTACCTACCCACAACTCCCTAGATGCGCAGCTCCAAAGCGCCTCTGTTGCCTCCGTACGCAATGCGCAGCATTGACCCTCTTCGACTGCAGTCCTTCCTCGAATCAACGGAAGACATATGCTCTCCCCGGGAAATGAAGCCTGAATGACCTTCAGGTAGCATATCGACCGTCATTAGATATGCATCGAGCCTAAGGCTAGGTACGTACTAATACAGCCTTGTGGTCTAGATCAGCTGCGGTACAGCGCCACCAGTGCAAATCAAGCGACCGATGCATCGCTAGCGACCTAGAAAGTAACGTGGCTGGCTAGCTGAAAAGATGAGCTGTCAGCACTTAAGTTGTACTCTGAGAGCTCATCGTCTCATTGCAACTACACCGCCTCAGATTCGTCACTTTCGCTTTGTTATGTCGTACATACCAATTGATCATGGAAGAAAAAGTCCACATGTCGAGAGCATTGAGTTGAGAACCAGAGATAATGTCGAGACGATCTCCAACTATGCGCCACCGCAAATGCTGCCTTTCGACGGCGATACGAAACACGTTCATGTGGGAACATACTATTCTTCTACTAAAGCAACGGACAATTGGCCTACCCGATCCCAGCAAGTAGCTGCGCTGACGCCCCTGAGGGGAACAATTCTTGCATTCGATATCGTGCTTGCATCGTCACCGTTAATATTTATAAGTATGTTTCTTTGCACATGGCTGTCGTTTTTCGTCCTAACGTATCCAGTTCTTGCGCTTAAAGTCGCCAAACTGGACAACAAAGTTTCAGATGAAGAGAACGACAGACTCCAGGAAATGCTGCTCTATACGCCTACCATATTTCCTCTCCTCTTTGCGGCTCTGATGGGTCGCTTTTTCCGTCATCTTGGTATTTGGCTTGCAGAACGCGGAACTACACTCGGCCGACTTGAGCAATTGGTAGGCTGTCAATCGGTCTTCCTCGCTATTGAGCGTCAGATCTGCCTGCGTAACTTTAGCATCGTCGGCATATGCTCGATACTCATTTGGCTCCTTTCGCCTTTTGGTGGACAGTCTGCCTTGAGAGTGCTACGGCAAGAGAAGCTTTATCTGAACGCAACTCAGCCGTTACAATACCTCAGTCCTCTGAATATCCAAATAAGCACTATGGGAGGAGCCAGTATGGTGAACAGTGGGCGAAGTACTTTTACGCCATTGTTCCTTGCGGCACTGCTGAGCAGCGGCGATTTTCAGACCATCAGCACGGATCTTTGGGGGAACGTCAAGTTGCCTTCGTATCGAGCGATCGAGAACAGTACCACCAACGAATGGAATATCATTCCTGACCACAACCAGACAAACGTCCGATGGAGCTCCCTGATCGGCATTCCAGTCTCTGCTTTCAATGGCGAACCGTTCACTTCGTACTCGATCAATCAGTTCAAGATCAGGGCGAGGCAGTTTGACATCAGCTGTTCAAACAATAGTCGCGTAGCGGTGGATTGGACTGATTCCGTCAACACAACCGTGCTCAGCCCATGGAGGATGGAATCAGGCACTCCACAGACCAACGAGTCACAGATCACGGCGTGTCCATCATATCCATGCCCCTTCTTGAGCCAGTCCCTCGCAGATGATGCTTCTTCTGTCGCGAGCTGTGAGTATTATTACGACTATATCGAAGCGAGTGTCGAGTGCATCGCGTCTGCGTGTAGGGCAACGGCGCTGCGCAAGCTCGACATGTACACAGATGGCTATACGGAAGAATGGGAGCCATACCTCCTGGGAGTGGTCATGACGAATCTTATGAGTACCATCACGAGTGTTGATACCATCGGCGTCTCCAGCGCTACGTCGCGTGGCGCGACCGTGATGGAGAAGTGGATATTCGACCCTTCGAATTTTATCGGCACCCACATGTATGACAACGTCAAGCTGTACGAAATACCTGCCGATGTATTTGCAGAGCGTTTGACTATACTGTGGAATTCATTCTTTCAGTCGACATACGCTGCGCGTGCGCTTGCTGGAAATCTGGACAAAGCAGTTTCTACCAACATTACAGGCGAAGATGTCTCTCCAATACAATTCAACACTACTGAAAGCATAACCGGTCAGCGCAGAGACGTCTATCGAGTCAGGTGGAAGTGGCTTGGCGTACTTCTGAGCTGTTCCTTGGTGCTGCTGGTTGCCGCGTATGCCGGACTGATACTCAAGTATCTGTCGACCGCCCCAGATATTATTGGGTATGCGAGCAGTCTGACGATGATGAATCCGTACGTCCCTACGCCTACTGGTGGAACGACATTGCATGGTCTGGAGAGGGCAGCTTTGCTACATGATCTTCAAGTGCGGCTTGGAGATGTATGTCCAAATGAGCCGGTAGGTGCCATTGCATTAGCAGCAAACGATGGGAGAGTTATTGGGTTGGACAGACGGAAGTATTACATATAGGCTTCATCGTTGAGAGATTGTAGAGAGAATGTGATGCAACCAAGTGATTGCTTGTGTGCATGTCGTATAGCGCAAATTGCGATTCAGGCAGGCTTGGGTGAACTCTACACTAGGACGAAGGCCGAGCAAAGTACTGAGGTGAGCGAGACGAACGTGAGATGGAAAATGTTCGAGTATTTGCGACGAGATATGAGGTGGCTGAGTAGCAGGAAAGGTGTACATGATGGCCTCGTGCGGCCGCGAAGGTCGCAAAATGGTTACCAAACACTGATTGGTGGGAGGTGCAAACGCGAAAACAGCGCGACGCGTCGATAATGAGCAAGACCAGCAGACGCCAGTATCGGCACTACAAATCAGGGGATACATACATACTTCTGCTCGTGCATGATCTGCGTAAAAAATTCATCAGATCAGATCAGTCGTTCAATGGGAAGGGCCACCTGCCGAGCGACAATGTTGGAAGTCAATGACTTCACCTTCACTAAAGCATTATCTACTGCTGCGGACTTCTCTTTCAACGTAGTAGAATACAGAGCTGTGCTATATAGTATGCTGTATTCTGATGGTTACGTGGTTTCATGTTCACTCGCTGCTTTTGATCACCGTTCGCTCGCGACACTAGTCCGAATTGAGTGAGCCCCCAAACAGAAAACAGTAGGCGCTCCGAGTAAACAACAGCGTCAACACCTCCACACCACACACCACGCCGTCACTCTCCTTGTGCGTGCGCCCGTATTCACTAACCGTAGATTCTCTCGCAACCGTCCTCCTTTGGCGTTTTCTCTTTCACACTTCTTTTCCACTTGTCCTGCGGGACTGTCGACAACGCTTCGCCGCCATGTCCGACTCTGGGTCCGACTTCGACGACGGCGCAAGCGCTGACTTTGCGCCGCCTGTCAAGGCCGCGAAGGCAGCGCCCAAAGCCAAAGCAGTACCCAAGAAGGCAGCAGCCGCCCCCAAACGACCGAAACCCGCAGCCTCGACGACGGTGAAACCCAGAGCAAAGGCTGCGCCGAAGAAGAAGGCCAAAGATTTCTCAGAAGATGAAAACTCAGATGTCGATATGGAAGACCCAATAGATGAAGAAGAAGAGTCTTTGCTCGCAGACACACCACCACCGAAGCCAAAGAAAGCTGCCGCACCCAAGAAGAGCAGCGGCAAGCCACTTGCAGATATTGCGAATGAGAGCTTCGGCTTAGATGGTGTCGACGATGCGCCTCCCAAGGGCAAGAAGGCTGCTGGCGGCGCGAGTGACAAGTACCAAATGGTACGTGTTTGGCCCATGGTGGCATAGCATGGAGATTAACTGCGCATAGCTTTCTCATTTGGAGCACATCATGAAGCGTCCAGATACATACATCGGCTCCGTGGAGAGGACAACGGATAAGATGTGGGTATATAATTCGGCGACCGAGAGCATGGAATTTCGCGACGTCAACTTTGTACCTGGCTTGTATAAGATCTTCGACGAAATCTTAGTCAACGCGGCGGACAACAAGCAGAACGATAAGAATATGAGCGAGATTCGCGTCACAGTAGACCGAGAGACTGGCGAGGTCTCGATCAAGAACGACGGTAAAGGTATTCCTGTTGAGATCCACTCGGTATGTCGTTCAAGTTATTTGACAGAGAATTCACTGACGTTCCTAGCAACACGGCATTTACGTACCAGAAATGATCTTTGGTAACCTTCTCACCTCTTCGAACTACGACGACGATCAGCAAAAGGTCACCGGTGGCCGCAACGGTTACGGAGCCAAGCTTTGCAACGTCTTTTCTAGAGAGTTCACAGTTGAGACCGTCGATTCGAAACAGAAGAAGAAGTACAAGCAGACATGGACAGACAACATGAGCAAAATGGGCAAGGCCAAGATCACGGATTTCAAGGGAGATGACTACACCAAGATTACGTGGCGTGCTGATTACAGCAAATTCGGCATGGACGGCATTGACGAGGACTTCGAAGCGCTTATCAAGAGGAGAACCCACGACATGGCTGGTACACTTCGTGGAGTCAAGGTGTATCTCAACGGTGATCGTGTCAAGGTTACCAGCTTTGCCAAATACATGGAAATGTACACCAAGGCTATCTCACGAGAGCAGGGCAAGTCTGAGGATGGTGAAGATCGCAAGGATGTTATCATCACAGATAAGCATGACCGCTGGGATATTGGTTTCGCCGTATCAGACGGGGCTTTCAACCAGGTGTCCTTCGTCAATTCTATTGCTACAACCTCCGGGGGCACTCACGTCAACTACATCGCCGATCAGATCATCGACAAGCTCATGGCAATCGTCAACAAGAAGAACAAGGCGGCCGTCAAGCTCAAGCCTGCACAGATCAAGAACCATCTATTCTTGTTTGTCAACTGTTCCATCGTCAACCCTGCGTTCACATCTCAAACGAAGGAACAATTGACAACCAAACACAGCCAGTTCGGGAGCAAGCCCGTACTTAGCGACAAATTCCTGAAAGCGATCGAAAAGACGGATGTCATCCAAAACATCATGCATTTTGCGCAGCAGAAAGCAGATCAGTTGATGAAGAAGACCGACGGTAACAAGCGCAATCGTATCAACAACGCCAAGCTCACTGATGCTAACAAGGCTGGAACAAGAGATGGCCACCTCTGCACTCTCATTCTCACTGAAGGAGAGTCGGCCAGTGTGTTGGCTCTCGCCGGTCGTGCTGTGGTTAATCAGGACTTGTTTGGTGTCTTCCCGCTACGTGGTAAGCTTCTGAACGTGCGGGATGCATCTATGGATCAAATCATGAAGAATGTGGAAATTCAGAATATCAAGAAGTTTCTAGGACTGCAGCACAAGAAGGAGTACACCATGGCCGACATGAAGAGCCTACGTTATGGTCACCTGATGATCATGACGGATCAGGATCACGACGGTAGCCATATCAAAGGTCTTCTCATCAACTTTCTCCAGTGTCAATTTCCCAGTCTGCTCAAGCTCCCAGGCTTTTTGCTCGAATTCATCACACCTATCGTCAAGGTGTGGAAGGGTGACCCAAAGAACCCTAAAGGCTTGAAAAGCTTCTTTTCCATGCCTGAATATGAAGAGTGGAAAGAACAGCACAAGACCGAAAAGAGTTGGGACCACAAGTACTACAAGGGATTGGGAACAAGTGACATTGCAGATGCTCAGGTTTACTTCAAGGATCTCGACACACACATGAAGCGTTTCCACACCATGCGAGCTGAAGAGGAGAAGCTCATTGAGTTGGCCTTCTCGAAAAAGAAGGCTGACGCTCGAAAGGAGTGGCTGCGTGACTTTGTTCCCGGCAACCACCTGGACCTTACCACCAACGAGATCACCTACGATGATTTTGTCAACAAGGAGCTCATTCTCTTTTCCATGGCCGACAACCTGCGATCTATCCCATCTGTCATCGACGGCTTGAAGCCTGGCCAGCGAAAGGTCCTGTACACCTGCTTCAGACGCAACATCCGCAAAGATGTCAAGGTCGTCGAATTGGCCGGTTCTGTTTCCGGCTCCACCGACTACGCTCACGGTGAGGCATCCATGCAAGGCACAATTGTAGGAATGGCCCAAAATTTCGTCGGTTCCAATAACATCAATTGCTTGGAGCCCAGTGGTAATTTCGGTTCGCGACTACAGGGTGGTGGTGATGCTGCCAGCGCTCGTTACATCTACACTCGTCTGTCTCCCTTCGCGCGACGGATTTTCCATGCCCAGGATGACGCTCTCCTGAAGTATGGAGAGTCTGATGGTAACAAGATCGAGCCTGAAATGTACGTGCCGGTCCTCCCCATGATCCTCGTCAACGGGTCAAGTGGTATCGGCACGGGTTGGAGCTCTGAGATTCCCAACTTCAACCCTATGGACATTGTTGAAAACATCAGAGCCCGTATGGCAGACGGTGCTTCTAAAGAGGACATGAAGCCTATGATACCTTGGTATAAGGGTTTCGCTGGAACCACTGAGGAGTTGGGAGGCGACAAGTTCCGATTCACCGGTACTATCCGTCAGACAAGCGATAACGAGATTGAGGTCACCGAGCTGCCTGTTCGCTACTGGACACAGGACTTCAAGGAGAAGCTCGAAGACATCATCAAAGCTGAGAAGACTCCTTCAATCATCAAGGACTACATCGACTACAACACGCCTGACAGGGTTCACTTCATCATCAAGATGGAGGACAAGCACATGGCCAATGCTCTCTTGAAGGGTCTGGAGGAAACGTTCAAGCTTTACAAGCCTCAGTCTTGCTCTAACCTTGTTGCGTTCGACTCTCAAGGCCGCATCCACAAGTACGCCACCGTTCTGGATATCATCGAAGAGTTCTATCACGTCCGTCTCCGATACTACGAGAAGCGAAAAGCCCACCAACTGGATGTCCTGCAGAAGGAGCTGACCAAATTGAGCAATCAGGCGAAGTTCATCAAGATGATCATCGATGGCAAGCTTGTCGTTTCGAAGAAAAAGAAGGCAGTCCTTGTTCAGGAGCTGAAGAAACTTGGTTTCACGCCTTTCCCTAAGGTTGATGCTGCCAAGAAGGAGGGAGAGCTTGAGGATGCTCAAGATGATGATGAAGAGTCTGAAGACACTGATCTCGAGGTCAATGCCAACGACTACGATTATCTCTTGGGGGTAAGTAGTATCACCGGCCTCAATCTCAACATGCACTGACAAGAAACAGATGGCCATTTGGTCCTTGACTCAGGAGCGTGTCGAGAAGCTCATGAAGCAGATCGGCGACAAAGAGGAGGAAGTCGATGCACTTATCAAGCTCATGCCAAAGGATCTCTGGAATATCGATCTCGACGCTTTTGTCGAGGAGTGGAATACTCAGCTCCTTGGGGATGCTGAACGCGCAAAGAAGATTCAGCGCATGGGTCGCCGCGCCTCTCAGAAGCTCGGCATTGCCGCGTCAAAGGGGGGCAAGACCAAGAAGAAGAGAAAGATGGGCGACAGCGACTCTGACGATGACTCCGGCTCCGACTTTGGTCCCGTTAAGAAGAAGACCAAGCCAAAGAAGGATGGTCTGTTGAGCTATCTACGTGAAGCGGATCCTCCTGCCAAGAAGTCTTTACCTACGGAGACCGCTCAGTCTACGTTTGGATCTGGGCCTCCAAAGAAACAGGGGAACCTCTTGGCACACCTTGTCAAGACTGACGACAAGGTGTCTCCGCCTCAGATTGACGGGTCGTCAAGCCCAGCTGAGCCAGAGCAAGCACCTGCTCCAAAAGCTGCACCTGTCGCTAAGTCTCGAGCACGCCCTGCTGCAGTAAAGAAACCCGTTGCCGTTATCTCTGAGGACGACGAGAATGAGCCCGACGTCTTTGCTGTTGTCGCCAAAGAGGAGGCCAGGAAGCCCTCTGTTGCGCCCAAGACCAATGGCCGTGCTCCTCGTGCAGCCACGAAGTCAAAGTCAAAGTACACCATGGACACCGACTCGGACGACGATGACGACCTTGGCGATGTCAGTACTATGGTCAAGACTATTGGCGGCAGCGCCAACGGTGTTCCTATGTTCAAGAGTTCGGCTCGGCCAGGTAGCAGTTCAGGCATTCCCAAGGTCGCAAAGAAGGCCAGCCCTTCAATCATCGACATCGACGAAGGCGACACAACCAACTACGAAGCTCTTATGCCCAAGTCGCTGTCACCTAAAAAGCCTGCACCTCTCCGCAACGTAATCGACACCATGCTCACGTCCGACTCAGAGGAAGACTTCAGCCTAGTCAAGCCCAAGCTCGCTACATCTAAGCTTACTAAAGTCGCAGCGAAGGCCAAGCCTGCACCCAAGACCAAAGCTCCCGTTGCCGCCATAACAAAGAAAAGTACAGTGCTGAGCCCTGCGGCCAAGGCATATGCTGCGCGCCTTGAAAAATCATCGGGTGCATCAAAGGCAAAGGCCGCGCCAGCCAAGAAGGCTGTAGCAGTTGACTCCGATGAGGAGATGGACGATGCAGATACTCTTGCGAACGACATTCTGTCTGATGACGATGATGAGCCAACGCCGAAGCCAAAGGCAGCAGCTCGTGCTCCTGCTGCTCGACCAGGACGTAGGGCCGCCGCTCAGCCGGCCAAGTATGTAGTCAGTGACGACGAAGACGAGGATGAGGTCAGTGAAGCTAGTTTTGACGATGAAAGCGACTAGCTGCATTGAATAATTGGGAGGGACGGGTGCATATCATGATGGTGTTCGGTAGGATACCCAGTGGCGTTCAGCATCGCGACGGCTTTCCGTCAGTTTCCTTAACTTACGTTCTGTCATGGGTCAAATGGATGTTCCTATGGAACAGACGGCGTTGATGGCCTTGTTTTACGAGCATATTTTATTCCGAATCGCGTATGAGAACGCAAGCAAGTCAATCTTTTTGTCAATTTGACTAAAGTTGTGCTATGCACGTGGTCAATGTTCTCGCAACTTTTACTCAATATACGACCACAAAGAAGCACCGTGACCGAAAACGTGTTCAGGACCATATAATTTGACTGGTAGGAATGACCTAGGTCGGCTCATCAAGTCTATTACAAAACAGATGTGGATAAAATGCATGACATCCTGATGCAGAGGCCGTGCAACATTCGTAAAGCACTGAAGATCGTCTGAACGCTACTGGGTATATAACAGAAGGGATAGGAGGACGGAACAGGAGGATTGACAGTCTGCTTAGCCTTGTCCTCGTCCTCTACCGCGTCCTCTCCCGCTAGCTGTCCTAGCCATCGGCACACCTGTACTTGCTTCTCCAGATCTGCCTAGAGGCGTGTACCCGCCAGCATCGCTGTACCCTGCCATGCTGCTTTGCGCGCTCATTGGCACTCCACCCATCCCTCCAACTTCAAGGTGTGGTACAACAGTGCGAACGTGGGAGGTGATCTCGTTTACAGGTTCCGTGAACCCTGGAGGCTGGACTTGGTAGTCTCTCATTTTGACTGGTTGACATGCGGCTTGTAGCAATCGTTCGTTGAGCTCATCGTCTGGCCGTGCCTCTCTCAGCATGAGCTTCAGATCCTGATCAACGTCCTGTGGTGCAAGTGGAGGCGGTGTTGGTGCTGAGGCGTTGACTTTCTGGAAAATCTTCTGATCAAGAACAAAAGGTGGGTTGTATATGAAGGGTATCTGGCCGTTCGTTATCGACGTCGTGGAGCGAGTTGCGCCGCGGGTAGCGTGTGGGTTCGAGGAGACTTGGCGGGCCATATCTGTAGCGCCGGCAACTTCGTCGGAGTCCTGATCTGCTTCAGGGATGTCGCCATTCTCGGATGCGTGGTCGCCATTCGTATGGGCATTGCCGTTTGTCATGGTGTCGGCGTTGGTGGGCTCGTTCGTCTTCATTTTAGCAAAGAAATGGGAGGCTGCATTGGTCGCATTTGTCATGGCCATATTGAGTTCCTTCTCAGTAAAGAGACGATCGAGCGAGAAGGCGGAGGCTTCAAACTGAGTATGCATAGTACGCGCCTTGGCCTCACGGAACGGCGAGGCATTGCCCATCTCGACGTTGCGGCCAGAAGGCCCTGGTGAGTCGATCTCGTTCTCGTCGAACAGCTTGCGCTTGCGCGACTTCTCTGCTGCAGCTGCGACTTCCTCGGCTTCACCGCCGAACTTATGTCCTGTTCTTCGTGTCTTGCGCGGTGCTTGTGGCCCACCCGGGCTAACGGGGTGCCCGATGCTGAATTGGTTGGGGTGCAGAAGCATTGCATTGCTGTCGGAGATATCCAACTGCTCCTTCTCACGTTTCAGCCTGTTTGCACGCTGCTGTATGCTGGCCTTTAGACGTTCGCGAATCGTCTCTGCTAATGCTTTGTGTTCCTCTTCGGCAATTTTGACTTTGTAATGGTGGGCGTTCTCGACATCGTTCTTGGTGCTCTCGTGCTTATTCTGAAATTGCTGTCAGCTTTGTGCAGTCTAGGAGAGCTTGTAGAGCTTACGTAGAGCATTGTAAGGTTGTAGTCGCGCTCCTCCATAGCGTCATTGACAGCGTCGACGAAGCGTGAGTAGTGTTTTCCGCATTGCGCAACATAGTCGGTACCAGCGCTAGGCGCAGTAGGGATGTTGTTGCCCATGATCTGTGCGATCAGCTCAGACGCCTCTTGTCCGTTGTCTTCCAGCGGTTCATTCTTGTAGGGGTCGGCCTTCATGATGAGGTTGATGTCAGCTTGCAGCGCAGCTAATTGAGCTCTGTAATGACTATCGCGGTTGTCCGAGAAGGCCGCCATCATCTCGGAGAGCTTCTCGGCAAGCATGTTGCGTCGCTTGTCGCGTTTTGAAGGCTGCGGCTGTGGGGAGGTTGCAGAATGTCCGAGGGGAAAATTATCCGCCGGCGAGGGGCTGCCATTGCGAACCATAGCGATTGAGGAAGATTGCTTGGGTTGTTACAATGGTGCGCCTGGGTTCGAGGGTAGCGTCAGGTGGTACGAGCAGTCCAGGCGTTGGCGCAAATGCTTGGTCGAGGGCGTGATATGTGGGTGAGAATGGATATGCTAGTCGGATGCAGGTGCGAGCTGCCAGCGCTTGGCTTCTGTGTCGCTATTGTGCAGGGAGCATATGACAAGTTGAGGGTCTGGTGAGAACGACCGTTTGCAAGAGTGATTGAACCGAAGCATCACGGCAAGGACGAACGAGCATTCGGTTAGCGTGCTTGTTTGAACCAATCGCCGGTCGCCGGCCGCCGACCTCGTCTTGGCGAGTATCATCTAATCAGTGGACCTTCTTTGCCCCCTTCAAGCCCTGGTAAATGCTCGCTGTTTTTTTACGTCGTCCTGTCAAGGGAAGCTAGCACAGCAGACTTTCCGGTATGCGAAAGCATCGAGCCTTATCATGTCTGTTTGTGAGTCGAGCTTTGGTGATTCTCATCAGCTTGGGAGAGACAGGTTCATTTGACAGAGTCAGATCGAAGCGCAGAGTCAGAAGTCATGGAAACACGATGTTCATGCATCGTTTCCCGGCATTCGAGAGGATCGATTTCGTGTGACTCCTGTGCAGAAATAGCGAATACAAGCAATAAAGCGAGCGGCTCTCACCACCAACATCGCCTCTCCGGATCGACACAGGGGCGAGTGCAATGACCATGCAACCAGTCCGATGATTCCATATTCGGTTTTGCCTGCGGCCGAATCTACGACTGTATCGTTGGTTGACCCAGACGAGACCCGGGAGTTTAGTTCTGGGCGAAGTGATCATCTATCTCGCGCTGGCATTCGAAGATTGTGAAGCTGCCCTGCGCCGCCGGCGAGCCGGCCACGCTCTCTGAAGCCAAATTCACCAAAAGCAATTGTGATTTAGCAGTCGAAAGGCTTATCGGATCTACACGCTGCCAAGAAATGTCTTCTTTTGGCGGAGATGTGGATCATATCCACTTTTTTCTTGCCTATTCAAGTCGAAGATGCTCCTTCAGGCCGAACCTAACATCACTGGTTGATAGGTTGATATAAACACTGCGGCTTGGAGATGAGGTCGTGTCGATCGTTGTCGTCGGGTCACTGTCCCTTTGCCTGTTAGAAGGCATCCCTCATAGCAGGTGCCATGTATGGCAACATCAATGACAGATGCCCAGAGATTCTGAGGCCGGAACACAGCATGATCTGTTGCCGGACAATCTAAAACGTGGGGGGATGTACCTAGGATCGTCATCTGCTGTGTGTGTGAAGTGTGGGACTAAAGCGTCAAGTTCCAGTGTCTCTCGATTCGCACATACCCAACTTGAAGCTGTCAGAGGTATAAGTATTGGCCACCCTTCTGTCAAACAGTACATCATCATATCTTCATACCCTTTACTGCAGACCTACATCCCATTCTTATCCCTAAGATCGCCAACACCGTACTCAAGATGCAGTCCAGACTCGCTACCTTCACTACTCTCTTGAGTCTGACCTCCGCCGTTGCAATCACTGCACGTCCTCCTGTCATCGGAAAGCTTGTTGCACGCCAGGGCTCCGTATGTGGCGCCCTCGCCACGCCTGTCTGCTGCCAACTTGACGTTCTAGGTGTCATCAACCTGAACTGCGAAAACGGTATGTATACGTCCGTTTGCTACTTGTTGGAAGAGGGCCAGAGCAATACTGAAGCAATCTGCAATTGATCTCGTGAAGTTCCTCGAGGCTCAATTCAGAACCATAGTTGACATTGCATAGCTGGACCCGTCGAAACGACCGAAGATTTCACCGCCGTCTGCGCTGAGACGGGTACAAGTGCCCAGTGTTGCGCTGTGCCGCTTGGTGCCGATGGTTTGCTCTGCACGGGTGCCTAGGTACACTGAGCGCATGCCCTTTGGCGCTGGCTAGGAAACATCCCCGAGCGAGTTTGGCACTCACCGGGAACGGAGCCCTCCCAGCAATCTTCATTTTCTACACAACTTTCTAGCCAAGGCCAGGAGTCATGATGACATGAAATGAGTTGGCAAAATGAGATATGAGTGGAGTGGAGATCATCGATATATACCTCTTGTATGGGTTCAGTACTAGCTAGGTAGTTCCGGTAGAACCATTCATTTGAAGCGCTTTTCTAATCTCAAACCGGGACTGTTATAGTGATACAGTGCCACCCTTGAATGACCCCAAATCTCGCTGCATATCTAGGTATCTGTATATATCTTCCGGCCCACGTCGCTGCGAAAAGTCAGGACACCATCTGCTTTTCCTGAATACTACCCCATCCATATATCATTTTTCCGCTCTGGGGACTGCTTTCCTGACACGCTTTGTTCCCCTTGCAAGATGAACGTCTCCATACTAGCATTGCTAATTGTGCTCAGCTCCCTTGACACATTTCTGCTTCTCCGAATGCGGCTCCCACTCGGTCTGCGCGCCACCACAGCAGGCGGGGCCGGTCGCATCGGTAATGGTTTGTTGATATCAAAACTACTCCATCTAGAATTCCGTGATGACGCGCGCGAGTGGTGGGGCTGTGCGGTGATGGTTGTCGTGAAAGTATTTTGTGCCAAGTGCGAGGTGGAGCGGTGGTGATTTTGTGTTCGATTGTTGTCCGCGTTGACAACAGGTGCTGTCGTGAATGATACCGAGCGAGTAAAAGTGGGTGAACGTGATCGTATGCTAGGCATGATAGAATTTTGTGTTTGAGTTGTCTGCTGGAGGGCTGCGAGTTCTGTGGCTGTAGCTGACCTCGAGCTGATGAGTCGCGTCACGTCGCCCTTGGCCGAACCAGAAGGCAGGGTCGATTCCTCGTCATCGGTTTGTTTCATGTGATTGTGTTGCCATCTACGAGGGTATTGGTCCGAACGATTGGTGGTAGTGGCAAAATATCGCGGGAACAGCCTATTCATCAGTGGCTTGCAACCAGGAAGACAACCACACGCGATACCGACTCCACTCTCCACGCACATGATGATGAAAGTTTCTGCGCCATGCCCTGACATCATTAGCTTGCGAGGACAATGGTATATCGAGATGTTGCCAGCACTTACAGAAGACGTCAAATGAGTGCAGATAGATATGAGTATAGTAGAGACGCGCAACACCAGCGACACATACGCTAATATGTAGTCAGAATTTTATAGAATGTAGTAGTCAAACAGCTTACATGACTCCGAGAGAAAACATGCATGTCAGTGTGATTCGCTGTCGCAACGAAACTCTGACGTTGAGAAGATCCCTGGCTGGCCACAGGAAGATCAAGAAGTCGCTCAAGGTATTTTGCGCGGAATGAAAATAGTAAATGGCCCTTATATTCAGGCATTTAGTCCGTCCGATGTACTTAAAGATATTCCAGTACGTGCTTGCTGGGCTTCATCTCCTGTCAGTAAACCGAGGTAAGGTCAACTAAAATAGAGGGCATCTTACGCGCACTGAAAAAGTGTGACGAAAAAGCATGCCGTGTTGAGCGAAATGGTGTAGGCAAGCATTATGACACAGAACCATTTGTTGAGTCGAGATGGAAAGATGCCTGCGATACGGTGAGCATTGGAAAAGCGTGTGTAAGACCAGATAACTTACGCATGTACGTCAAGAGTATTGCGACTTTCATCAGCGTTATGACTACGGTGAACAGCAACTGTGTTGCCATCCCCATCTAGCGCGTTTTAGGCAAAGTGGGTTTCATGTTCTTCGGCACACGTACCTGCGCAGCCTTCATGGATGCATAGAGAATCTGTGGGTGTATGTCCCCTAGAAACCATCAGTGATAGGGACCTGGGGTTGCAGCTCGATCGCATACAGAGGTGATAACCCATCTGATACTGTGGCAACATGGAAATGATGACCATGATGTTGTTCCCAACAGAGGTAATCTGCTTGTTTAGCGGAGAACTTTGGTACTTCCAAGGTGATCTTGTGACCTACAGCCGCCAGAAGCATGATGCCATCATCCCATCCCAGCGTCTTGGTCAGGATTGTGCGACTGTAAAAGCGACAGCTGATGAAAGTAACGACAATGAAAGTCATCGGCGTAAGAATACCAATAGCTAAGGGCCTTCGAGTTGTTGGATCGACATAGTTGGGTGCAGGAAACGATAGAATTTCCGCCGCTGTTGGAAACCTCGAAGTCATCCTGACGCGATACAGGTTTAAGCTCTTGGAATGCTAGTCCTGGCATTACATAGGAGAAAGTCTGGGGACTGCCCAAGAGACTTCATGATACTGACTAATTCACGTGGCTGACCTTGAGATGCACCAGTCTGCTATGCAGGGGTGGAACAGGAGTTGCAGGATGAGCCACACCACGCCCTCACCTTCTCAAAATGGAGCCAGGTCCGAGGAAACGCATTGGGGAAATTCTACGATCACAAATATGTCGGCAACAAGCTTGCGCAATAGTCGTATTCAACATTTTTGCTGCTGTAATGCGATTTGGCGGCTGTGGATGCACATGGATAGCTTCAATCGATGACTGAGCGGATGCTTCTCGAGGCGCACGACAGCAATCGTTTCAGGGGCGCAACACTCCTGAGGTCATGTCGAATACATGTGGGAAAAGAGGAACAGTCGATGAGATCAGGTCCGGGCTGGAACCCGAGTCTGCGGGTCTCACATCCAGGCATATCCCCGCCTCGAGATTGACTGCCGGCATGTCACGCACATGGCTGCACGGGCGGTCCAGATGTGCTAGCACAGACCCAGTGATGGTGCGGGAGTCCCCGTGTGATGAACATATCCCGCTGTCTTGCCCCAAGTGTTCACCCTCGTCTATGTTGCTTGCGGCCGACGCTGCTGTCACGTTGAGACTGATGGTCTTTAATGCGAAACGTGGTATGCAGTTGGTCAGCGAACGAGTGCTCCATTGGTAGCCCAAGCGCTTCGAAACGTCGCCGTAGTGGGCTACGGTATCTAGATACGTTCTAACGTACCGACTAGGAGCGAACCAAATCGGAACGTGTGGAGCCTGTAGTTGGCAACATGTCAGAAATGGCTAGGTATACAGGGCAAAGCGGGCTCGCGGGCTCGCTTTGTGAAACCCACCTTCCCGATTTGAAACAGTACATGGGTCCTACTTCCGGTTCTACGAGGGTAGCCATAGCTCCCACCGAGGAATTGAAGTCGAGTCATACGTACATGGGATCAGAGGTTCGGCGTCCTCGACTCCCATGCGGCTTTGTCCTAAACATGATTAGGCCTCACGACAGTTGCCGACGGAAGATGTGGAGAGAGTACTTGCGCTCGCATGGCGTCCCATTCTGAACGAACCCCTCTTGCTCGAACCCGAGAGTGGATACTGGTAGGAACGAAGCTGCAATGTTTGCGCGGCGACGTAGCGTCTCTTGAAGAACCTTGGCAGAGAGGAGGAGGATCCCGCAATTCGACGGTCCGTGCTCCTGCACCAAGTCAGCGTTGATCTCCTTGTCGTTTACATCACTTAAGCTCAGCATTAGTGAGGCACGCACTTCCATTATTCCTTCTTTATACACAGAATCTGTTTATATGTTTCGCGTGTCTGAAATATACAGACCGCCGATCAACGTCGCATCGTGACGAAAATTTGTCAGCTTCGAATTATTGCACCACGGCTGCCTGCATCTTGGCGTATATTATCCCTCTGGCAACAGTCGCATTTTGTCCGATATCAAGTTACAGTCACTCCTGATAATATCGGGTGCGTCTTTGAGTATTTGTTAGTTGTTGTGTGGTATTATATACCTCCATCGTACGGTAAATGTTTATCATAATCGCTCATCGGCCTTTTCACGATTCACAAGTGTTTGAGATCCTCATCATCAGAGTGATAGCAACCGGAGAGGTCGCTTGATGTATCAGTGAAGAATTTGGATCACATACCACCCCCAATCATGGAATCCAGTTCCACCACCCGCGACGAGTTACCACACAAGAGCACCTGCAACAGCACGACCGCAAACCTCGTCGCAATCCCCTTTATAAGAGACCTAGACAAACGGATCAAGCGCAATGCACCCCATGCGACTATCAGCCTACCAACATCAACATCAACGTTAGAATTCCCTCCTCCGACTAATCGGATTTCTCAAGAACGAACGAGCTTCGACAGAACTTTTGCGCCAGGCTTCCTTATGTCTGATGAAGAAGCAACTCAACGAATGGAACCTCGATTCGACGTTTACGCAAGGTCATACGTCCCATCGGCTCTGCGAACCGTCAATCAGGAGCCAGTAAACGAAACACTTGTTACTGAAGCAAAGCACAGAATAGACTACCAAGCGTATGTCAAAGCGTTCACGGGGAGTGACTTTCTCGTCCATCAGGGTACTTGGGACCATGAAGTGTCCGCCGATGGCCAGTCACCGACAGCAGAGCTTACAGTGCAGTCTTACGTATCGTTATTCGCAGGATTGTTGCAGCGTGAATGCGCAGCAAAAGAGAAACAAAACGAACAATTTGCTTTGTATCAGGTTCCATTGCAGATGATTGCTGGACCACATATCCCCCGCCTTTGGGCGCTATCTGTCCCCGGATTACGAGAGGACAAACCGCTGATCGAAATGGGCGATACCCTGAACATACGTCAACTTTGGGTTGATCGCAGTAGCAAGTTGATCCAGATGCCTACTATGTTCTCAGGGGAAAGTGGACCTTACGTCGCCTACAAGCCCTGGACTGGGCTACAATACAATGCCTGCGTTTACAGCGTAAGCAGGGTTAACGAAACCGTTTATTTGAAGGTGGACGGCCTGGAGATCCTCGCCCAATACAACGTCTTACCCATGGTAGTGAACGTTGTCTTTCCTCTCCAACAACGAACATTGAAAGCCCAGCGTAGCGCTCTGTTGTCTGTGAGCAGAAGTTTCAAAAGTATACAGCGCGACCAGCAGAACACATTGGCCGACTTTGATGACTTCTCTGAATTGTCGGTTCACGATGAGGCAGGTTCGAAACCACTGGATCTCTCATCCACTGTGCGAGATGATTGGATACGCAAGACGCTATTTCCCGTTGAGGGCCATGGCCGTCTTCAGACGGCATTGAGAAACATCCCTCATCGCGCTCTGTTCGATCACGCCATCAATTACGAGCAAGCGCATGCCGTGAACTCGGTATGTGCTTTCGACTACGGTATTACACCGTATATTATCAGTGGGCCGCCAGGCAGCGGCAAAACAAAGACGCTGGTTGAGATAGCCATGCAGCTACTAAATACCACGACTGTGGCCCATCTGCTGATATGCGCGCCCTCTGAAGCTGCAGCGGACACTCTTGCCCTAAGGTTGAAATGTTACTTGACCCCCAAGCAGCTCCTACGTCTCAATGCACCAAATAGAGCTGACAACGAAGTGTCACCTGGACTGTTGCAGTACTGCTTCAGTCGAAACAATATGTTCTACCTGCCGCCGTTCAAGTCACTTATGTCATTCAGCGTAGTAGTGACATCAAATCGAGATGTAGCTATGCTAGCTGAAGCTCGCTTGACGAATGCGGACCTTTGGACTATGGAGCGCGACATGGTGTCAGCATTACACCCGGGAGAGAAGCCATCAATACCAACTCTTCATTGGGGCGCGTTACTGCTCGATGAAGCTGCCCAAGCAACTGAGATAGATGTTCTGCCAGCTATCAGCGTTATCAACCCGCCGTCCGACTATCCTCACGATCAACTCCAACCACGTCTAGTGATGGCAGGCGATGAGCACCAACTAGGTCCACGTACAGCCTCTCAGGACCCAGCGTTCTCAACATCCCTTTTCGCGCGCCTCTTCTCACGTTCTCTCTACGTAGATCATCCCCTTAGCCGATCCAAGGTGAAACCATCATCGGGTCCACCGGTCCTAAAACGCTCTATGCTACCCATTTTATACCCATCGTTCACGAACCTGGTCCGCAATTACCGCTCACACCCGGCCATTCTGAGTGTCTCGTCCTCGGTCTTCTACCACGATACGCTGATACCAGAAGCTGCCTTTCCACATACCCCATTGCAGTCGTCCTCGTTGTGGCGAGGCCGGAAATGGCCGGTCTTGTATCTCCCACATACTGGATCTGACGAAATTGAGCGCGAAAATGGTGGATGGTACAACCAGAGTGAAGCAAAGCTTGCGTGTTCAATCGCTCAAGATTTGGTTCTTGAGAGTGGCGTCAAGCAGGAAGACATATGCATCATGTCGCCGTTCGCTGCGCAAGTCAAACTCCTGCGCAAGCAGATCCGGTCGTCCAAGTATGCTGGCGGATCTGGGCTATGGGATGTAAACATTGGTCCCGTGGAAGCGTTTCAGGGCTTGGAAAAGAGAGTCGTGATCATCTGTACAACGAGGACGAGGCAGCGGTTTGTGGAAGAGGATGTAAAGTGGGGCATGGGCTTAGTCCACCAGCAGAGGAAGATGAACGTCGCGCTGACACGGGCTAAAGAAGCACTGGTTGTAATTGGGAGTCCCGAGGTGTTGGGTGCGGATGAGCACTGGAGGGCATGGATGTCGTTTTGTGAAAGAAATGGGTTGGTGAATGATCAGCTAGAGGTGTGGGAAAATAGAGAGCAGTTCAAGGATGGGAAGGTTGGTGTATTGGAAAGAGCGCTGATTGCTAAAGAAGATGGAATGCGGGATGACTTATCGCCAGCTTTGGGCGCTGCAGCTGCAGACTACGATATAGATGGAGGAGAGTACGAAGCTTGGACCGAGAGTTTGCGAAAGGCTTTGGATGGCGAGGATGACGAAGTGGATGAGGAAGGCTGCGACGAAGAAAGCGACACATCAACGCCAGGAACGATTGGTGACCCATGCAATAAATAGCCTTGAAGATATGTAGGACAAGATGCAATTTATGTAGATAGCTTTGTTAGCCGTCTGAGCTCATAATCAGACTTCGAGATGAGGACGGAGCAAAAGACGTGACAGCTGCAAAGTACCAAGATCGATGCTTCCAGATGACACCACTCCTCAAAAACAACATGTGCACAGGCATAGACGATTAGAGCATGTGCAGTAATGGCAAAAAAGCGACGTTGGCAGGATTCGAACCTACGCTCCCTAGGGAAACAGATTTCAAGTCTGTCGCGATAACCACTCCGCCACAACGCCTTACGGTATTTGCCACCTCTTTTAAGATGTATATAGCTGCATGTACGATCTTAGCTCGACCGGTAGCACTTCGTCTGCAACTCGTGTGTCATCCGAGCGGCAGAATCATTGAGTCCTCACTTATGTGGGTCTGTGGGGTCATGCAGGAAGGTGGAGATGGCATCACTGGCATGTGGTACGAGGGTTCCATTCGGTGAGCACGCCAAGGATCGTGATAAGACTTTGGTCCTAATGAGTCGATGGGCTGTGCGATGTGACTTAAGGTTCATTTGTTCGAATCTGGTCTAAGACTTGAAATGCCTTTTGAAAAGAACGCCCATACCCCGGGAGTTCAAAGGAGTGTATCGTAACGCCTACTAATCATGTACACAAACTAGCTTCACAAGTCTATTTCATAACGCTTACTCCTTCATTCCAGCATTAGCCATCTCCGTCGCAAAATCTAGGTCCATCTCCATGTCGAAATTCAACTCATGGTCATCCCACGTCATGGTCGGTAATCCACTTGTCGCACTCATATCCATCGCACTGGTAGTTGCGTCTAGTGGAACTGTAGGTTCAAAGCCTGAGCTTACTGCAGGGTTTTGGAACTCGCTTGGTAACTGGTCCCAGCTCGGGAGATGGGAATCCATTGCCTTGGTCAGATCAATATCCGCGCAACTTTGTTCAGTGACGGGCGCCATATGCATCGCAGACGCACGTCGCGATGCAGTGGTTGCTGGCGAAGCACACGCCGAGCCTGTCAGGTGAGGGACGCTGGACGATCGTGTAGCAGATAGGTGGCGTGCACGTTCAGACATGGCGATGGTGCCCGACAGTAAGCACTCGAATTCTACGGCACGAGCAGGGTCATCGACGGGCAAGGTTGACACATCGAAGTCAGTCAGATTCTTGATGTTGAAACTGGGGTCGAGTTGGGCGGAGGAGTTGAGACCGAGGTCTTCGAAGATCTCGTGTGGAGAGTATATGCCTACAATCATCAATACAGTTATTACAGCTGCAACTGTAAATATACACACCTGTTACTTGAATGGTGTGATCAATGCCATGCGCTTTTTTAAAAAGTTCGAGCCATTCCGGATTGTCGGCCGCAGTTTGATGCCATGGATCATCAGGCTCCCCGTAAAGGATAATTCGAGCTTCTTTTTGGAGCATATCGTCAGACACTGTTCCTGCCCCATGTTTCTCAATGTGCTGGCGAGCAAAGCGTCCCAGGCGTAGGGTCAGAATCTCCCAGCAAGTAGCACGTGAATTGTTGTTAGGCGAATCCGAGGGCGAATAATCCTGAGCGGTTGTGGTTTGAAGTACAATGGGCCCAGCATAACGTCCATCATTCTGGTAGGCATCTGAAATATTTCCGGTGTTCGGTACCAGGTATTCGATGTCCTTGCTTCCGAGCAAAACGGGCATACGCTATCTTTCAGTTAGCCTCGGGTGGTGGTCTACGTAGTTATTCCTGGCATCTTACACTACAGCTGCTTGCGTTGGTCGCTGAGAATGGGAACGGGGACTTGCTCTCGTTTGCGATAAGATACGGAGGCATTGCGTTAGTGACGTGTACAGCGACTGAAGCGTCAAGACCGCGACAGCCTTTCCAGTTCTTCATCTCAGCACCGTTGCGGAATTCTTTTGACAAATGGTCATTTCGGTCTTGCCATTTGTCGAAGTCCATACTGCAAAAGCCACATCTCGACTTGATGTACTGTGCTTCAGATTTCCACGAATCCATGGCTGATGTCGTCTTGACATCGTGCATGAGTCGCAGATGCTGTCGTAAGTGATCTTTCCGGTAGAATGTACGGGACTCCAGGCCCTTCTCTTCGCAGGCAGAGTGATTGTGAGTAGCAATGTGGTCTTGACTCGGGTCGAGTTCACCACAGTAGACACACTTGCTCTTACCAGTCGCGGCATCAGCGACCACGGGCCCCAACGGAGCACATATCCATTTTTCGAGGGACAAATGAAGACTTTTTTCGTGCCTCGACCAGTCGTACTTCGACTTGAATCGGTCAGTACAAAATGTGCACTGCCAGAGACGAGGGACTTCCTTCTCGGTATCCTTGGGGGCTCGAGTTGGAATACGTCGCCGCCTGCGCCTCTCTTTAGACTTCAGACTGTTCAGGGATCCAAGAGAGTGCTTAGAACCATGCGAATAGGCTGTGTTGTGTGAACCGAGAGATCCAGAAGACATGTTCGTGAAACCAGTCTCCAAAGACGACAGCGAGGGCGCCCTAAACACCGAGAAGCTATCGGTACTCTTGTTGGAAGAATGTTGCTGGTAGCTGCTGTAGGCGCTGCTATCCTCCGGCAGATCGAAGGTTTCCACGGCCTGGGCAATAGCCGTCAAAGGGGCAGGTTCGTTTTCGGGTGGAGAGTGCTTCCATCGCTCGAAAGGATCTGTCGCGAGTTAACCGAAACATTCCTGCTGTTGCAACACTGGTACAGTCGGTATTGGGCAGTGATTCAAGTATGTCGTGTCAACGTTTGCGTGACGCTTGCCATTGACTCGAAACTTGAAGAATCGACCAGTGGTAGTCTTCAAGACTTGCGACTGGCTGAAATCTGGAGAGGCATGCTTACTCAGAGACTCCCATGTTCTACCCGGTGGGATATTAAGGGCTTCTGTCGATGGTCGAATACTAGGCGAAGAGCTTCGCTTAGGTCTTGCTTTCTGCCTTCGCCGTGTATTGGCCATCCAATTCGATATTTGACCGGGCGTGAGATCGGTCTGTTGACCCAAGATCTCCTTCTCCTCTTCAGTCGGGTAAGGATGATCATGGTGCTCAAGCATCCAGTCTTTCAGGATCTTGACAGCTGCTCGTGGGAACCGAGAGGCAGCGGCGCCTTTCTTAGGCCCGAGATCCCCTGTCTCGTCGTCAATAGGGCCAATGTGACCTTTAGATCTCAACTGTTTCCTACGGGTCAAACCGCCCCATTGGTGAACGTCGTTTTCGCCCACAACATCTAGCGTGTCGAGGGCAGTCCTCTGTCGCTGGTACGGCATCACTTCAGGATTAGAGAAGCTGCAAGGCCGGAAGAGATTGTTGCAAGGCGAGCAACCTGATGTTCCATCGCCCTTGGCATTATAAATGAAGCATTCGAGGGACTTCGAACGACAGTATTCGCATGGACTTGCTGGCTTCTGATATCCAGGTAGCCAACTGGAAAAGTCCGTATTGAACTCCTCTGTTTGAACGTTGCCTGATTCCAGGAAAGCATCGAGAAGCTGGCTATGGCATGTCAGTAATGTACAAGGTCATGGCTTTCACATGCCCGAAGTCTGTTAAAGATGGCGTCTATGCTCAATGCCTGATAGACACAAGCAGAAGGTGGAAATTCGAAATAAGCAGAACCTAGCGGTACAGGTTGCCAAGGGTACGTGGCCACTTACCTTTCGCTTGTCTCTATCATCGACATATCTTGACTTTGCTCTTGAGGCACATTAGGCATAGCTGCTTCGCCAAAGTCGAAAAATTGGGCCATGTCGGCGTTCGGAGCAGCCATGATGATGGCCGCTTCAGATTGATTTGTCACAATACGACAAGTCGGGACAGCAAGGTGCAATGAAGCGGTAGTACACGCCCTCTGCCTCAAAATAGGAATGTCGAAAGCGGTCGTAAGGCGTGCTTGTAGATTTGAGCGACGAGTGCCCTAGAAGAAGGTTCCTCAGAGTCAGATCGGAGCACGCTAGTTGCGACCAGAACGGCATAGCGCATGTATGTCAATTGAAGGGCGTGGTTGACCATGGACCCATTAAAATTTGGCGGGGTGCACCATCTTTCCACAGGACGCTGCAGGATCCTTACTGCTGACTCAGGCGCCAGGCGCTCAAAACTATTCCTCGTCGTAATCGCTTCTCGTCAAGTGGAACTGCGAGTTCCCTTGTTGCAGCATAGATAGTCGCAACCACGAAGCATGTCCAGCGCAAGTGCAGTGCCGATCTCGACATCTTTCAATACAATCGCAGTTACGAACGTTCTGATTTTGCGCTGAGCTCGACTTGTTGCGGCGTTGCGCGAGCGTGGTGTCGTCCCAAATATCATTGGACGAGCCACGATCTAGAAGGCCATGGATTCGGCGAACCTGGGGATCTCCTCGGGAGTCGGGAGTGAGCAGGTGAGATGTCTTTAAAAGGCAGTCACACGCAGATAGTTTCTCGTGGAGCATTTGTAAGCTGCGCGACGCTTGCCATAAGACCATTCATGTTCAGTTGCGAATTGAAGGGGCTGGTAGCAGGTAAGCACTGTGCGAGCAACGCACTTCTTGGAACGCTAGCTATCGAGGCACATGTCCACTTACAGCAGTGTGGTCACGTGGGCACAGCACAGTATTAGGCCGATGTTCGGATGTGCTGAGATGCTTTCTTCCAATCAGCGAATTGAGACTGAGGATGAGCAAATGAGAGTCCAACTTTTCGCTGGGAGTCACACAATTACTCTACACATGATGTGATATCAAAAGACCTCCATAACTCATAATTGTTGATGCTGTATGCAGCTTATTTAGCTATAAAAGAGTACCTACTAACGGTTGATACTGGGGAACTGAAATCGATGTTTGTCAAAATAATAGCGGCTCTAAACCACACTCGCCATGAAGAAGCCAACACGCTCGCTATGCTTTGTCTCAGTTAGTAGTAGACTTCCTCTAGATACAGAAACAGAAAACAGTAACTCCAGTCAACGCCAACAAATGCAGAATCGATGAGTCGTATCTTCCAGCTTAGTCATAATAGTCGTCGGGCATTCGCGCGTAACCAGGATGATGCGTCGGCGGACTCGGTACATGAGGCAGCGGTATCCTCATTAGTCCCCCTGCCGTGGAATGCCCCATAGCTCCAGCGCTGTCTCTCCTCTTGCTCCTCCTCGGCTTCTCACTGCCCACTCTGGATGGTTCGCCCGCCATATACCCTCGATCCTGATATCCCGCGACCGCAAATGGAGGTTGCGCAACCCTCATGTCATCGTCGCTGGGCATCTTCAGTTCGACAAGGCTATAGAAGTAATCCAGTACTTCCGGATACCGCAGCACAGAAGCTTTCCAGTCGAGGTCAATGCCACGCTTGAAGTCAGCATGGGCCTCGGCAATCTGCGACTGCAGTTGTTGGATATACATGGGATGTATGGGTGGCGCGCCGGAGAAGCGCATGTAGATATCGTAATGAGGGAGCGAGTTGAGGTAACCGGTCTGCGCATGTTGGCGAATTTTGGTGAGGCGTTGGAAGGCGCGCTGGATGTGCTGGCGCGCATTGGTGATTACCCAGTCACTATTCTCAGTCAGTACGTTTCTCAGATAACTGTCCAAGGACATACCGAACAAGTGCTTGCTTTTCATCCATGGCCCTACTCTCGGCCTGATCGAGGGCGATCTGAAGACGCTCTGACTCGCAGAGGCATCCTGAGTGCGGTGGTGCGCTACATATCGCGCAGTTGGGCTCGGCATCCATAATCAAGACCCTCTCTAGAGGAGATATTTATGCATGATCAAGACCCGGCGGGACTATAAGGCTAGCGGGCAATAGGAGGTCAGGTCGGTCTCAAGGCTGGCGAGTCGGTGATCAGGCGCAGGCGGTGACAAGTCGCATGTTACATGACGACGTTAGGAAGGACAGCATAGGAAGGGCTAGCTCTGTGCGGCTTATGAGATGGGTCATGTATGTTGATGCGCAATGAGTTGGCATCCGAGAGCTCCACTGCCGATCCAGCCTCCTCGGCAGTGGCCCTGGAGCTGCGACAGCTTTCAAAATCAAGTTATAATTCAATGTCCAACTGCGCTCTTGATTTGAGTGCAAACATCGGGCACATCTTCATGGTTTGAAAGATGATACCAGCTTTATCGTCGCACAGCTACCCCGCGTTGCTATTCCGTCCCTCGACGAGGCTGCACTGCCACTGTGACCGCGGTCCCGCCCGCTTAAACTTGCCGTCTGTGCTTTGCTTGTTACGAACTTTTGGTGCTCGAAGGTCGACGCAATACACTCCAATCTCGAACGCACGCCCTCCCTCCTAGACTTCCACGGACCTGTAGCTGCTAATATAACACGTTACTTCAGGTCATCAGACTGTAATACCTCCACCTTGACGAGCCCATATCTCGCGTCCACAGGCATTTGCCTGCCATCATCAACATGAGCGGCAAAGCAGGCGCATATGGCACCTCGGGCGGCGGCGACACCGATTTCAGGAAAACATGGGACCGCGACGAGATGGCCAAGAAGGCCAAAGAGCGCGAAGAACGGGAGCGTGAAGAGGCAAAAGAACGCTATGAAGCCAAAGCTGCTGGCAAGACGTACAGACGGCGCGCATCGACGCCAGAAGACCTTCGGCAGACCGAAGCCCGATCTGAGCGCATAGACTGGAGCAAGATGGTCGGCAAGCAGACACTCACATCCGCAGCCGCGGCTGTGGGCAAGCGAGGGCGAGGCGCAGGTGCTTACTGTCAGGCTTGCGACCTTACGTTCAAGGACAACATCCAGTATATTGAGCACTTGAACAGCAAACAGCACTTGGTTGCGACAGGGCAGTCTGGAGAAGTACGGCGCGCTACACTGGAGGAAGTGCGCGATCGTCTGAGATATCTAAAGAGGAAGAGGGATGAGGCAGCCAAGGACGAGGTCATTGATATTGATTCACGACTAGCTACGAACAGGGAGAGAATGGAGCAGGAGGCCGAAGAGCGCAGGCGGAAACGTAACGAAAAGCGGCGAGCGAAGAACAAGGGCGACAGTAATGCCATGGAATGGAAGGTTGAGGGAGACGGCGTGATTGCTTGAACCCTCATTTGAGGAGCCACTACTACAACAGGTCGGTAAATCGGGAGTATGATTGTCCCGGGATGTGGTCTGGGATCACTAGGCGACGTGTAAGCATAACCTCATTGGGACCAGAGACCAGAGTCTGGTTAAAGCTGTGGACACGATTAGCTTAGGATGGGGAGATGGGCAGGCCTCTTACTGTACACGGGCGAAACAGGACGGACCTCGGCGCTAGTAATACCCCACTGCATGAAGCATGCGATCTCCAAGTATCTGATGCAATACATTGATTTCTAAGCTAATCCCCAGGAAGCTTATTTATCTACCATCATCAACGACTGTCCACCTTATATATATATTCTAACAGCTCGAAGACTTTAGCGTCGTCTTATTTCACAGCCCACTAGTCATTCCTCACGCCAGCTCCATTACTTCCTGACTCGCATCCGACGTCACTCAAGATGGGCAGTACCGGCGACAAGATCACCCTCTACACCAACCACCGCTGCCCTTGGGCGCACCGCGCACATATTGTGTTCAAGGAGCTCGGTCTGCAGTATGAAGAAGTCATCATCGACCTTGATACACCACGCGAGCCATGGTACCTTGAAATAAACCCCGTACGCCTTCTCGTCGTCTAGATTGTGCGATGCCCTCTGACACTCCTCCAGCGCGGCCTAGTGCCAGCAATCAAGTTCAACGACCAAATCATTACTGAATCCGGCGTTGTCGCGCGCTTTCTCGCTGACGCGTACCCCTCGCACCTTGTCCCCAACACCGGTAATGTCGACGCCGCGCTGACACGTGCGCGCATCAATTTCTTCGTCGACACTTGGTTCGACAAGGTGGGAAGCTACTGGTTCCAGATTCTGCGCGCCGAGGACGAGGCCAAGAAGGATGAGCTCGTCAAGGAATTCCTGGACAAGGTGACCAAAGAGATTGAGCCGCTGCTCCAGGACGCAGCACCTTTCTTTGGTGGCAGCAGCAAGGTGACACTCGCGGAGGCCTTAACTGCACCATTTGTCCTGCGAATTCACTCGTTCTCGAAGCACGAGTTGCTGCCGAAGAGTGTGCATGAGGGGCTTGACGCGCTGCCCAACTTCAAGAAGTGGGCACAGGCGGTCATTACGCAGGAGAGTGTCACGTACATCTGGAACGAGGAGGAAGTCATTTCTTCGACGAAGAAAAGGATTGAGGGCTTGAAGTCGGCGGCTAAGTGAGCCTATCGAGGGATGGAATTGAGCGTACAATGACAATTGCAGGCTGTGACACATAGCACGACGATGTGTCTATCTATCAGTTTTGATTGAGTCGTCAATGAAGACATGCGTTATCTACAAGAACAAATGGATATACAGAAAGCCGAACTACATGATGTTTTCCATAAGGCATCTGTGGTGACGATGCTAATTTGCGAAGTAGCGAGACCTTGAGAAGCAAACACGCCAGATCGGCTATGTGAGGGGTAGATCAAGTGTGCCGACGATGGCCACCCATTGGTACTGGATGCAAGAGCGGAACGAGGGTATGAGCTGGAACAGAAAAATCGACAATGTGTTTTGGATGTGTGAGGAAAGGGACTGAACCAGCTATGACTTTTGGGGAAGCGAAAGAACATTTCGGAGGGTATGTGTGTCCTTGCTATTCGTATGAAGTGAGAGGCCGAACAGTTTTGTAAGGAACCTATCGACCAGGCGCTTGGAATGTTGTTGATACTGCATCAAGTTGCTGATTAAGAAATATGTGTGCAGTCTAAGCGAGGAAAGAGCCATTGGGTCATGATGTCTACTGGTCGTGTTCGTCATCGGAGAGGTGGGAGGCTAGGAGCACCTAGTACCTCGAGCCACGGCGAGTGCGCTTGGCTTCTGACAACACCGCCTTATTGCGTGCCACGACACCCATCGACAACAGGATCTCAGCTGCTTCGTGTGTTCGAGGGGAGTGGTCAACAAGTCGGTCGGCGCTCTGAAGAGCGTCTTGTCGCTCGTACAGCAGAGAATCGGTCCCGACAACAGCACTATCACAGCTATTACACATGATCTTGGAATGCGTTCGCTTCGTGCGGAAGCTCTCAGGGTATGGTGTATCGAGGATCGGAGTCGGTACAGGCAATGGTGTCGGAGCAGGTGCAGTGACTGGTGAGCAGAGCGTCGAGGGATATGCTGTGCTGATCATCGTAGGCGAGCAGGCTTCATTTACTGGAGTGAACCCAACCGCTCTATACTGAGTGCGAGGAGATACCTGGATTGAGAAACCAATCTTGTCGTGTTCGAGATCGGTGCCGTACCCACTCTCTGATGGCGTCGCAGGAATGCATTGCTTCCATTCTGGTGAGGTGAGGGCTGGCATCACTGATGTCGTGACCGGTGCCTGTGCTTTTGGTCGCAGCAGTTGGTATGAGTCACCCTCCTCTTTGAAACGATCAGTCTCTACTTTGCAGAACTTTATGGTGCCTGAGTCGATGCCGAATTTGGCGAATGCGTGGTCTTGAGGATGTCTGCACATCTGAGGGAAGTCGTTGCCAAAAACTGGTGTGAGCGCCCAGCGAATATCCCAGCAAAATGTTGCTGCAATTTTCCTCGCAGCTTGCCATGGAACCCAATAACCTGGAACAACATTTCAGTAAGTTGATAGTACTTATAATGGTTCGAACTAACCTTGACACACCAGAGCTCCCCCGGTGATACTGTAGCTGATGTCCTTCATACCCGGATTCTGATTTAGTGCCTTCGCTGGTACGGTCTTTATGGATCAGCATGAGGTCGTCACGATCAATGTATAGAGAGGACACACCTTTGAGTACTTGCATGACTTGAAGAACGGTGTCATTCGAACGAGACCGATGTTATAGTCCCAGACGACAACATATTCTTTGTCTTCGCCAGGTCTCTTGTATGTGTACTGGAACACTGCAGCTTGGTGAGCTCATTGCCTTAAGTAAGGCCAAGATTAGACTGACCTTCAAAAGCACCGCGACCCGTCTTCTCGAGGAAGTCCTTCTTGTCGCTGGCGTAAGGAATATGACGCACTCCCTTCTTGAAGATTTGACCAAGTGGAAAGATGCTATACTCGCAGTGTCGAGCCTCTAAGAAACGGTCGCTGGCTGCTTCATGGGGCGGGTAGTTGACATGTCCGACGATCTTCGTACCTTCAGAGAAGACTGGAGCATCCTTAGCTAGCTTCTGCCTCTTGGTGGAAGTACTGTGAGCTAGGTAGCGAGGAGCAAGCGGCTTTGGAGATGTGGAGACTGTGTTGCGGCTCTGAGTGTTGTCGCTGACTGAGGGGTTGAGAAGAGACTGGATGTCCATAGCTTAGACTGGGCAGCGGTTTTGATTCAGTAATATGAGACGTGATAGACGAAGCAACGATAGCCTGGAAGATTGGCGGGTGGATCGTTTGTCTTGTGTCCACAGAGTGGGACAGCCACCACTTATAACCAAGCAGTGATACGACCGAACGCAGTAAAGCAGACACCTGGACACAGTCAACTTATATACGGACGTAGATCTTACAACATACATACCAGTGAGAGTTCAAACGCCGCCGGCAACAACTGCACCCTACTGAGGATAGCGGCAGTGAGAAGGTGTGGGAACCACGTTGATCTCCGTTCGAAGCTGGCACTACTCGGCAAACGGGACGCTTTCGTGGCAAGACGGACAGCCTTGTACAAGACAAACTAAGCGGCTTCGCTTCAGTCGTCGAGAACCCTGATCGATTATTGGTTATGAGCTGTGGGCGAAACAAGTCAGTGTGTGTTCACTCGGAAATGGGCAGGACGATGCCTTACATACAGCTTCGGCTGATAAGAGAGTGACTCGGCAAGCGACCAACGGTTTCGCTCTTCGGATTCAAGGCTAACGATAAGGTAGTGGAAGAGTATTCGCGATGGTTACAGTGCCTCTTAAGAAGCGAGAAGATGCTTGAGCTAGCGCGCTTACCTCCGCGCAATGAAGCGCCGTGCAGAAGACGTCCGGTGTGCGTGTGCACAGTAAGACTCCAGCGTGCAGATTAAGAAGCCTCCTTCCCAGCATTTTCTTTCATTGGGTCAAACGCCATCAGTGAAAGCGAGTGGTAGGCTAAGGCCAGTGCAGCGGTGTAAAAGGCTTCGATGGATTTGTGTAATACCGCATCAAACGGTCATACAGCATGAACCCTGCATCTTTCTTCTCTTCCATCCGTAAGGCCTTTGTACGGGGAATTCGATGTTGTCACGCCTGAATCAAATGAGGGACGTGCGAGCTTGGTAAGACCCCCAGAGCAACTTTAGTGGCCTCTGAGAGAAGATGGCGCTGCTCCAGTGAAAACTTTTATGGACAGAGCTTGTGTTGTGGCAGGGATCGATGCATTTCTGGGACACAGCGGCAGCTTTCTGCACTCCTCAAGGTCGTCAACAGTAAAACCATACTACAATCATTCAAGAGGGGCCTCGTTCCCTAACCTGCGCTAGACATTGCCGACCTGTCAGTTCCTATCGGTGGAACGGCATCGATGTCTGTGGGTTGCCGGATGATGTACAAGCTACGTATCACACAGAATAACGTGGGTAACCTTGTCAGAAACCCTCTTTCGGCTCTTATTCGGGTACGTGCGTAATTACAAGAGGAGTACTGCAAACGATAGGCTTTGCAGCAGATACGATCATCCACTCCTCCCGGTCGCCAGGAGTGACCGCTCAGCATGTGTAACGCTTCTTCCAGAGAACCAGTTTCCAACATATCATCGAGACCTTGCATCTTTGATCTAGTATGCATGAGATATATTCAGTAATGTCCACTGGGAGGGCCCTCATTCCACGGTGCTTCAGCGAGACACCACAGATGCTGAGCATCTGCGCAAGCCGTGCTCACCGGATGTTGCCGAACAAAGAAACGAGCTTCATAGGCACCACCGTGCGATCCAACCGTTTGCCATGAAATGAAAGGCGGTATGATGTAGCAGCCTGACCGCTCAGAGCCGCGGGGAGCTATGCTGCACCGCAGGCTATCGCAGACCACGATCACTGATGTGCAAGCTCAGCTTTATGCAGTTTCCGGCCCGCAAATCACAAACCTGTCCCATCAGATTCGGCCTACAGGTGCGCTTCTCAAGCCCATGCCACTGCATGTGGCGGTGGATGATCAGGCAACTCACTCTCTGTCACAGGCAAGACCATGTCCTTGGCGGTACTGGACACAAAATTACTCACCTTATTGATGGGTACTAGTTGAGATGATCACTGCATCTCGCCCGATTGTGGTGACGCTGCAGAGATGAGAATGCGCGCCTTCGCTACGGCGGATATCTCCCGTTTGCCGGGGCTACACAACACCGGGTCCATGGTATCACGCCCCACTTGATGTGGGATAGCTAACAAGGGCCATCAAATTTGTTCGAAGAAACCTGGATTACAGACAGAAGTGTGCAATCCTGCCCTCAATGTACGGATCCACACTTTCGCGACCAAGCTGATCCACCATGTCTCGACTGGGGGAAAAAGTAACCAAAGAACAACCGCGAGTAGAGTTTTGTAGTCATAGACTGATACTCGATGTGGTGTGAGTGCAAACTCGTTCCAGGCCCTACGCTCATTTGCGGCGTCGTTTAGGTGTGTCGCTCCGATAGCATGGCTCAGTCCCTTCCTACGCCACCACGAGCGATTTCTTAGGATTTGTGAACACTGAGTCAAGACTTATCATGTCTTGTACTGGGGCTTCAGGATTGAGACTTGATTAATACTGTACGCAATCTATGTTGGGTGAGTTCGTCGGCGTGATTTTCACCTACATACGTTGGTACCTAGCATTGGTAGTACATTTTTCATACTGAGTAATCCTGATATTAGCAGACGAGTTGTAGAGGTCTTTCAAGACGACTATTGATTGAGCGACTTGCTCGACAAGTCCACTGTGGCAACTCGCTTCATGATCCAAGCACCATATGCTCGTCAAATTCACCTCAAGCTTGGCAGGGGATGAAACAATTTAGCCTCTATGCTTCACATTCAGCTCGAGCCCATGATCCTGGGGCAGTGGCCAAGCTTGCCCACCAAGTTCGATCTTCCTGCATGTCTAGATTCAGACGCGACCACATTGGATGGTGGAGAATCACTTCACACTCCAGTCTCACAATCTGTCCCGTTAAATGTCCACGTGCAGTGCAAGACGTGTGACGTGCATGTAGAGGTTTATACCCGATGAGGTACGAAAAGACAGCGTTCGACACGTTTTGCCTGTATCCAGTGGAAGCAGTCTTTTCCAGAAAACCCTGCCGTTTTGCTCATGGTCACCTCGTGTCTTCGCAACCATCAAATGAGACCTGGGATAACGACGGCCTCGAATGACTGACAACGGGACCTTGCAGTGTGTCAGCAGGCTATCGCCCCACGTAGCGCTTTCTCCCGAGATTGATCGAGGAAAGATCGTAAGACGTCACTACCTTGATAGATATCGCGCTCGTACAGCACAATGGCTAGGCAACAACAGACTAAATCAGTATGACGCTTGGCCCAGCGATGCACTTGTGGTAGGTTCTGACATTCAGCTGCTGTAATTTCGTCAAGCTTTGTGGCGTTTTTGACTTCGTCTGACGAACCCGGTTGACAGGATCTTATTTCCCTGCAATATCAGGCGCGAAGGACAGGATCGTACTCCCTCAGTGTGTAGTACTAGGCTTGTCATGATCAAGATGTGGGTGCAGGTACGACAACGAGTCACCCCTCACCTTTTCACCACACATGCGGCCCCAGCACCTTATCTCTCAACACTAATGCTTTACTTTTAGGCCGTTTGTCTGTTCAATTCAGGTACCACATTTGACTCTTATTGACCTCGCAAAGCCCATAATTGTGATGAGAGCTAGCATAACGCCAGTCACAGAGCCAGGGCAGACTCCGTGTTGACAAGGCATACAGCGTTGTGACTACACAAACTCAACATCCGGATACCTCATTCGGCTGCAAGCTACTGGAATATTGATTCGCCTATGACCAAGTGTGACTGGAACCCGGACCTTGGCAATGTTGCTATGACAGGGCTGTTCGGTCAAATGCCCCTAAGACGGACAAGGTCTGGTTGTACAACGCGGGCGCACTTTTGACAGCTTGACAGGTGATGCAGTGCGAGGACAGCATCCCAACCTCATAGCTAGAATCCAGCGCCGAAATATGTGCACGCTCCACTTTACCAGTTTGGAGTGCCGACCGCACGCACCGCGACTTGCGACTCCAGATGGCAGCTTCTGCAGTCTGCTTCATTTATACTTGTTGTTTTTCTATCTTTATCGCTATGTGCTGGCCAACGCACATGGTCGTACAGGGCTGATCAATTTGATTGCGTTTCACACCTCAGCGCTCTCTCCAGGCAATTCGAGATCGATCTTCGGACAGTGGAACTTTGACCCCGCAAAGCTTATAGTATGTCATGTATGGGTTAGAGGGCGCAAATAGTTTGTTTCAGACCACTGCCTCTTTTGGTTCTATTGCGAGATCATTGAGGCTGTGGTCGCAATACACAAACCGGCATCGGAGGAATAACACATTTGGCTAGCATCAAAGCACAGCCATTAGTCTCTATGTCTCTCCCCTACAAACAAGAAATCATGCTAAGGTCTTTATCTTCCCAGCAGCTCTATGTGTCATAGTGTGTCTGAAAGGTAGCGCTTATAGTGGGACTGCCAACGCCAACTCCCACCTGTTCTCCTGCCGACCATCACCACCAGCTTAACTGCTGCTACTAAGCTGTGCGATGGTATCGGGGAGGGGCATGCTTCTCATCACCGTTTCACACGTTGAAAAGATCCCCGTGAGAGGCTAGTTTACTGTAGAGAAGCCTGTCCGACGTAATCCACATTCCATTCCAATCATACCTATCCAAGCCTGCTACTGTCTAACAGGAAATCAGTGAGGTCATCTACCTTCTAGAAGGCCAGAACCGAAATGCTTCGTTTCATCCCGTCCAATTTCGGGGCAAGCCCTCTGGCCAAGCGTCACTACTGGGTCGTTAAACGTAGTGCTAGGCAGTACAAAGAGATAGATCATTGATGCAGAATCACTTGATGCTTCGTCCTAGTGGCCAAAAGATTCGTGAACTATAACCTCATGCGGACCACCAACCATGTTACAACTTCAGTTCTGGATGTGGTAACGTTTGTGATTTGATCCATGTCCGTGACGTGTTGCTGGCATTTTCGAATGGGTAAGAGGGACCTGGTAGGGGCCCGCAGGGCCACCCGATTAGCGCACACCATCACTTCCTAATCGGACACTAGCGTAGGCAACATTGGCAATAGCGCCACCGACTGCATCACCGTCCACAAGAGCTGACCATACTCCCCACCGTGTTGAACAGCAATCACTCCTGCTTCCCCGGAATGGATTCGACCAATGCTGAGGCGCTCGGCCTCCCAGTCAATGCGCCGCCCTTTGCTGACGACCGACTTTTGGGAGAGCCAGCTATGTTTCTGATCTTCCATACCGCCTCACTATATGGTACTGCTCGCGATAGACTGGCCCGACTCGTCAATTCTGGCGATGCATGTCCCCCCAATTCGAGACTCGCACCTCTGGCTGATTTCAGTGGCCGGTCATTGCGCGCTGTATACGACTACTTCCTCACTCTGCGCGAGCAAGAAGATACTGTTCAACCAATGTACTTTATCGTGGCCGATCGCGTCAATTTTGAAGAAGAAGGCGTACTAGTTGTTTGTCTCGATTGCAGTCAAGAAGGAAATTACGACATTGGTGTGGCGCGTTGTGAGACCGACAAGGCTCGGGTCTGGGGCTCGGATTTGCATTATGGATTTGCAACTTGGGAGGAACTGAAAGGGATCACCAGTACTGATGAACAGGACGACGACGACGTAGTAGACCCAGAGCAGAAGCATGCCAAGGATGCAGCAAAATACGGATGGGACGTACGCACATATTCCGTCCAAAGTAAGACCATCTACGGCTGGTATAGTCTGGTCGAGAAAGGTAAGTCTTTTACGGTTAACTCCCACTTAGAGCTGACATCGGCAAAGCTGTACCTATCAACCGCATGCTCGACCCTATGTGGCTTGACAAAACCCCCGAGCAATGCAGATTCCAGATGCTAGGCAACTACCACGCTTCGCAAGATCCTTGGACAGATATTTGGAAAGAACATCCCCATCAGGCTGGGAACAGACCTCGAGTCCGTCGATCAATCGTACTTGTCGCTGAGAAGGAAGACGCCAACGAAGAAGATGGCGTTGCAATTGTCAGACTGAAAGCAGATCGACCTCCAAAGGTATTAGCGAGAGTAAGTGCGGGAAAGGCGATTGTAGAGGCCGATGCATTGTCGTCTTAACTCCGGTTTCGCATATCCTGGACCAAAAAGTGAGGTACACTGACTTCAGATCCGTCCTAATACAGTTCGGTTCAGGCTTGCTGTCTTGTAAACGCATCACTGAGCTCAGAAGAACTCGAGCCCTCTGATACCTCTTGACAAACTAGACGGAAATGAGTAGACGGAGCAATGAGATATGCAATAGATAGTGTACTACACATCTGCTAAAATTTCGACACAAGAACGGGAAAGCGAGATTTGAAATGCACGGCCGGCGCACACTCGTGTCATTGTCATTACTACATTGTGACTAAAATCTTCCTATCTCAATAACTCATCGCTCGTCAAATCGTCAACATGAAGGGAACATCAACGAGTCTCTAGCTAATATGTGCAACGCCGCGCAAGTCAATATGAACATCCAAGGGTATCTGGCGCCAAAACAATCTCAAAGCCCACGTAACGAACTCCCGAACCCGGTCCTCTTCTCCGCCGCCCTGTTCCTCTCGACCTACTGCCCTCCCACCACTCCTACAGCCCAGCCGCCATCAATTTCGTCCCACGGGAAGTCTTGAGGATCAACTCGTGTGCAGGTGAGGTATGGTAGCCCTCCTTCGCGCAGGTCCAGTTCGAGGAAATTGCGCATGAGCGGTTTGACAGCGTCTTTCGCTTTGTTCTTGATCTCTTCTATCCGTCGCTCGAAGCGCTTCAGATTCTCTCTGTTGTATTGGTCGTGTTGCAGGCGGAGGAAACGCTTGCATTCATCGTGGCCCAGATAGCCTGGCCCACCGGCGCCGACTGATCGAAAAACGCGGCCTGTGTTGAAGTTTTGGCTGTTGGTAGGGAGAGGCAATGTGGAAGTGTTACGTGGGCTCTTCAGGATGGGTGCCGGCGGTGGTGTCGTGTTCTCTGCGAGCCATTGCCGGAACAGAGATACAGCCATCCAGTCCAACCAATTTGAACTCGGACTCACGCGCTCGCCGCGACTCGTGGTAAGCGAGAGCCGGAACAGTTTGACCTCAATTTTGACCTTCAACTCGTCCATGTCTTCCACTTTGTCTTCTATCAGATCGAGTACCGAATCCGGGACCTGATTTCTCAACTGTGGCATTGCTGCTGGCCACTGGCCTACAACATGCACCATAGCCTCAGCGAAGATAGCCTTTGAGCGCGCCATGTAGCCGAGCTTCAGATAACTCGGCGGGTACTTGGCGATCTGCTTCCATAGCCGCCCTTGAAACCTCAGCAAGTGGTGGTCGACTCTGGGACCAATGACACCGATAGCATCGTACATATCGGCGAGCTGGAGCAGGGCTTTGCATTCGACATATGCGTTCGCGATGTTCAGAGTATCGAGAGTGGGCGGGTGGTTGTAGAAGATGCGAAAGAGGTTGTCGTAGTCGCGGAAGGTGTTGTCGTCGGGGTCTGCGGTGACGGGTGCGGGTGTGCTTGTCGAGAGCTGGGCGGTGGAGAAGTTGGTCATGCTGCGGAGGTAGCCCGAGGACGGGGCAATGGGCTTGTTGCGTGCGGGTGGAGGGTGGGTACCGTCGCCGTACATGGTGGCCAGAGCGGGTTGTGCGCGCTGTGACTTGTCAGTATAGCGTTCGGCGCGAGAGCTCAGAGTGTGTCGCACCTTCTGCACCAACATAGGCACGTCGTCATCGCTGCCCCAATCAAGCTCGTAGCGCCATCTCTTTCTCTCGTGCCGCGAGCTGGAAGGATTCCTTGCCAGCGCGGCCGCGCTCATGTTCTGCGCGACACTCCCATCGCCGGCGCTTGACCATTCTTCGTTCGTGCCCGTCTCAAAAAAGCCGGAACATTGGGTCAGAATCAGCTTGTGCAGCAAGTACCGGTTCTCCTTGCGCCCGTTGCTGATTGAAATCTCGACGTCGCCCGTGTGCGTAAAGACAGGGAACTCGTTCTGCGGGCCGACGCTGCTCCCTCCATAGTTCGATCCTCCTGAGCGGTGTGGGCGGTGTCGCCGGATAGTCGAGGTGCGCGACGAGTGCGATGCGACCGACGGCGGGCGGCGAATGGTGAGCGAGCTGGCGCGTTCGGCACTGACGTTGCTCCCAACCTGGGAGTCTGGGTAGGAAACCATGCGCCCGGCTGCGAGGCGATGGTCGCGAAGTGTGAGAAAAGAGGTGGTGGTCGATGCGCCCGCACACTGCGACCGAGATGGCTGGAGGCTTGTCACACCTCGACGGCAAGGAGGGGCGCGTCGAAAGCCGGTGGCTGCGCTCCCGTGCTGGTGCGGCTCAAGGTTCAAGGATGCGTGTTGGTGTTGATCTGAAGGCTGGTCCGCTAGCCTAGACGCGCTCAAGTGACCCCACCAGCACTGTGCCGTGTGCAACACCTTTTGAGATGGACCAGCAGGACTGCACGCAGTATGACGAGACAGACACTTGTGAGGAGATGGTGTAGACCTGTTTCAGCGCACCTGCTGCGTCGCCCAAGGTGTGGCGTGCGCGCCTGCCCTGCTTCGCTGCATGCAGCTGGCTGTGACTACTCGCAGCCAATCGCGGGAGCCACCCGGCCACCGCTTGAATCAGCCTTGGAGGCAAAGAGCACAGCCGCTCCACGCGACTGGACGACAGGGCAGCACATGCAGGGCGGGATTGACCGTGTGGGCCAGACGGCCAGATGACAGTTCGGCGCTGCCATCAAATGCTCAGCGTCGCCGTCGAGTCTTCTTGGATAAAATACAGGGGTATGGACAGTATCGTACAGTGAGGCAAGAAATCAGCATCTCGATCGGCTAAGCGCCAGTGCTATGCTTGCGGCGAGATCTCCGTCAGTCCTCCCATGAAGGGCTGCAACACTTCAGGTATTTTCACAGTCGCACTCTTCTCGTCCCAGTGATTTTCCAAGATAGCTGCCAATACCCTCGGCACTGCTAGGGCTGTGCCGTTCAACGTGAAGGGAAAATCGAGTTTGTTGCCGTTGGCGGTGCGCAGACGTGTGTGCAGTCGTCGACTCTGGTAGTCGGTGCACATCGATGTTGAGGTAACTTCGCCCCAGCCATCGTCTATCGACCTTCGCGACGGGAAAAATGCCTCGATATCACGCTTGCGGATCGCACTTGCACCAAGGTCCGTTGTGGGCATCTCCAAGATGCGGCAGTGGAGACCGAGCGCACTCAGGATTTCGTGCTGCATGCCGAGCATCTCCTCGAAAATTGCTTCTGAGCTCGATGCGTCAGTCGCTGTGAAGTGGTCGTCTCCAGTCTGGTCAGGCGCTGCCCAGGCGAACATTTCGACCTTGGTGAACTCGTGGACGCGGTACAAGCCTTTGGTATCTGCGCCTCGCGCACCAGCCTCAGCTCTGTAGCATCTGCTCACGCCGACTGTTTTGAGGGGCAGCTCGGCTTCGTTCAAGACAGTGTTTGCCTTCATGCCAGCCAACGGGATCTCTGCTGTCCCAGCAAGAGCCAGTTGCGGCTTTGCCTTGTCCTTCTCTGATTGCTCGATGGCGTAGACCTGCTGCTCCCCGTTCTGGTCTCGTGGTTGGAAGCCGCATGCTGCCGCAATGTGCGAGTATACCAGCGATGGCGGGGCCACCACTTTCCAGCTCCTCTTCCTGGCCACACTCAAGGCATACTGTACCAGTGCCTGCTCTAGCATAGCACCGTCACCAACAAGGAAGTACCAGCCCCAGCCTGACGTCTGCGATGCGCCTGCAAAGTCCAGTATCCCCAGATTCTGGCCAATTTCCACATGTGATTTCCAAGGCTTTGTCTTCGAAGGATCAGGGTGTTCGCCGATATAGCTGACTAACGCAGCTTCAGTGCCGACTGGTGTGTGTGTGCTGCTGAGGTTGGGTAGGTCCTGCGCCAGACCCTCAATCTCTTCCTGCAGTTGTGTCTCTTTCGCCTCGATTTCATTCAGTTCTGTCTTCATCGCCTTTGCCTCGCTGAGCGCCCTCTCTTTTTCAGCCCCACCCTTTGCAATTTGGTCGCGCAGCTGCTTGTTCCGTGATCGCAAATCTCGCGTGCTCTGCTGGAGGGCCAACCATTGCTCGTGCAGCTCGATAATGCGCCATGAGTTCTTGCTGTGTGCAGCATAATTTCGGTCTATGCAATTCTGCTCATATAGGCCGGGGGCTTGACGGATGTGCTTGATGTCTATGACTGGCTTGGGCGCGAATGCGGGTTTCGTAAATGTACGGGATAAAACGTGGGGTGTGCGGAAGGATGTTCGAGTGACATTGAGCGGACTGGGAGTGTGGCGGCCCGCGAAGGACCTCCCTATTGCTTTCATCGCGTTGTCGAAGGGACGATCAGGCGACGCATGAGTCTGTCATAGCTTCCGCCTCGGAAGTTTTGGCGAAGCTTCACTAGCGGCAGGATGATCCCTGTCAAACGCGTTGTGAACGCGTCTCCTTCACGCACATCACAGCAGTTACATAAAAGTCAAATTCATGCTCAAAATAGCGGAAAGCAAGGTGGATCAAGTTTGGAGAGGATTGCTCAAGATTTCCCAAGGAAGTTCCAACACGTCTCAACATGCCCGAAATTACCATCACCAATGTCACAGTGCATTTATTGTTGAGGGTAACCCTACAATGGTGTTATCAAGTACACCGTTAGCTATGTGTAATGACTATGAGAGGAGCATATATGTCCCGAAAGCGGACTTCGTTGCGAGGTCACCAGACACTTCTCCGTAGTCCGACGAGCACAGGTACATCTTGGGTCGCGGGACAACGCAAGTTCTGTCAAATATTGATAAGACAAAGTGCATCTTGTTCATAAATCTGGAAATATCCGCGAAGCAACTGTGCGACATTTTGCGAAGCTGCGTCTGTTTGGGAAAGACGTGTTGTTGTTGACAATCACTGGGTGGCGTCCATTCTGCCCTCAGGTGTCGTTGAGAGTGGCTGAGACCAATCAGCGAAGAAACTCATGTGACGGGCTTTCAAATGCCGGATGCTAAAACGTGAACTCATATACGTTGAAAGTCTCGAACATGACGTGTCCCCGTGGCTTCGCAACTTGCGAAAGCCGTAAGACACGGCGCACGCGACTGCGTTGATGTAACTCGCTGGCGCAGCTTGCCTCAGATCTCGCTAAGCCGGAGTTGACCCAGTCTGGCGGTCCTCCGCATGCTCAGGGCCACGCCGCATGCACCTGAAGGCCGACATCACCAGGCAGCATCAACCCAACGCCGCCGTGCCTTCTTCTACGTACTCACCGCTGCGCCATCCCCTACGCTTCAACCCCTTCTTGACACCAAGAGTCCTCCTTATCTTCCATCTCGGCCCGCCCGCTTGAGTTGCCAACCCAGAGCTCTAAGCTCCCCACACGACACCTCCGCTCACCGCCGCACCCCTCGTCGCAACTCGTCTACAACCACAACCACGACCACTTCACACCACCGCAGTCATGCACGACCCTTTCCCCTTCCCGTGTCCTGAATATGTCGTCAAATATGTTCAGCCCGTAGCAGACGCCCTCCATCTGCAGTCTCTTCCCCTCCACTTCCATGAAGTAGTTATTGCCTACTCGCTCTATCATGGAACCTACACATACGTTGCGCCTGTCATCAGCCGCTACTTCTTCCCAACGATTTACCCGCAATTCACGGCGCGTACGAAGCTGAACTGGGACGTGCACATTGTTTCGTTCCTGCAGAGCACAATCGTCTGCGGGCTGGCGCTTTATGTTATGCTGGCAGACGAAGAGAGAGATCAGATGGGAGAGATGGAAAGGGTGCATGGGTACACTGGAGGAACAGGCCTTGTTCAGGCCTTTGCTGGAGGCTACTTCTTGTGGGATTTGGTCATCACAGTGCAGAATGTCGGTGTGTTCGGCATTGGAATGCTCTTCCACGCCATCAGTGCTCTCTGCGTGTTCTCGCTGGGATTCGTAAGTTGTCCTCTTCTCTGTTCCTCTAGTTGTGTGGATCAGAGCTAACGCGCCCCAGCGACCTTTCGTGAACTTCTACGCCCCAACGTTCATCCTCTACGAGCTCTCTTCTCCCTTCCTGAACATCCACTGGTTCTGCGATAAGCTCTCGCTCACCGGCTCGACCCTGCAATTTGTCAACGGCATCTGCTTGCTTCTCAGCTTCATGTCTTGCCGTCTGATCTGGGGCTCATACCAATCCGTCCGCGTCTTCGGTGACATCTGGACCGCGTACCATGCAGGTCCCGTCACTTTTCTCGACCCCAACATCAAATCCTTCGACAATGCAACGGCAGTCGATGCAGGCCCAGTAGAGCGAACCGACATCCTCCGCTTCGCAGACGGACACACCGTCCCCCTCTGGATCGCGTTCGCATACCTCGCCTCCAACATCGTGCTCAATGGCTTGAACTGGTTCTGGTTCACTAAGATGATCGAGACGCTGCGCAAGCGCTTCGATCCTCCGCTGGGCACCAAACGCGCCGAGAAGCCGACGCACATCGAGATTCCCGAGAACGAGAAGGTCTTGATCGAGGGAATTCACGTTGGCACACCGGGTGTTGGAGCAGATGGAAAGGTGATGGTGCCCGAGCACTACGGCATCAACGGAGAAGGAGACGTGGTTAAGGTTGAGAAGAAGCAGACTCATCTAGAGGTTGAGGGACGCGAGGTCAGGAGCCGAACAAGTACGAGGAGAAGAGGGTGAGGAACGATGCTTGGGTGCTGTGCTGGTGAGGGGTCGCAAGGGTATCTTGCCATGTTGTTTGGATAATACACATTCGCATTTACTTCTCCAGTATGAACATCGCTCTTCGATTAGGCATTCGTTATCTGTCGCTGAAGGGTCGTTGCCAAATCCGGCGTCATTGTTCGCACATAGACCTTTCTTGAGCTGCGGCACAACTGGGCTGTAAACATGGGGGCATGCAATACGAGACTTACTGGGGCACTGGCCATGACTTTCCATGTCGACGTCTACGCGTGCAGTTGTCGACAGGCTGTGCTGAAATGGGCGGGTCACTATCCCATTTGACGCTAGTGCCTACCCTCCTTCCCGCCACGCCTCCACCTTCATCTGGAAGCTTGCCGATAGGAACATCTTAACGATCCAACCTACAGATCCATAGCGTCAAACATATTCTTGCGCCTCATGTTTTGGGCGCTGTCTGAAGCCTTCGGTCGTCCCAGCCTTGGGGTATCTGATAGCGCTGTGTGTATCTATGACGGTAATCTGAATCGAGAACCCCTCACTCTATGTATCTTGAAGATGCAACCTCCAAAGATGCGTCGCGTTTGTGCCCAATCGCGTGTGCGTACAGTAATGATGGACTACAAAACATGCTTGAAGCATGTCGGTCGCTGCCCCTTTCAGTCTGAAGTCGTGTGCCTTGCCGGCATTGCCTTCCTTTGCCGAGCCCATCGATCGGGTCCATAACATTACAATCCTGCTTGTCGTCCAGCCTGTTGCGCATAGGTTTCCTCGCCCGGAGCCTTATGAAACACACGCTAGTTCCTTCACACTTCGGCATACTGCCGGATCCGGGAAGTTTATTGTCTGTGTGGTGTGGGGGCCAAAGATAGTTCCTCGAACCTTGCTAGGTAGCTGCGATTTCAATACAGCCTGTAAAAACAGTCTTACAGGTGGGTTCAGTTCCCCCCTAAACACATAGGAAGATGAATTTTAGAGGTATTGCACGATTGCATGGGAAGTTGAGAGGTTGCGCATCAGCAACGTGCGCGTACTTCGCCTACACTTCATATCGTCTGTCATGATCAGTGAACAACTTGTCTAGACAACTTCATCTGTGCGTAAGGCTGACCCTGAGAGGTGCTTTTATAGTACAGGGCATCAAGTGCAATGGGTTTGACATGGGTGCAAGCTGACTATTAGAGGATCATGTCTAGCGCAGCCACAGGGACTTGGGCATGGTGAACCTCGCCCCTTAGCTGTGCTTCGATACACTGTGTAAATTTACATATATCTCAGCCTTTGTATTTTCGAGGCAGAGCAAAATCAACTACAACCATGGAAGGACTCTCAATTGTTGCAAATGGTCGGTCTGATCTTACACCCTTCCTTTTGACACCACTGACTCCTTGTAGGTCTTGCCGTCGTCTCAGTAGCTTTCCAGCTGAGCGAAGCTTGTGTAAAGCTCTATATTTTTTGGGAGTCAATCGAAGACGCGCCTCAAGAGATATCTGCTATCAAGGAAGATTTGCAGTACCTTATCTCAGTGTTCAGGAGAATCGAGTCTGCTAAGACACCTCTTGGCCACTGCATCGCTGAGGGCATACAGCACTGCCGAATCAAGGTCGTGGTATGATACTGATCATTCCTTACTAGCAACGCAAGGCGCTGACAATCAAGGATTTGATGTCTATTGTAGAGAAATTTGACAATGGACTGCAGTCAGTGTCGCGAAGAACGCGCCTGCGGACAGCGTTCAAAGCTGCCACACATAGTAAACACCTCCAAAGGTTCCGCGAAGCACTGAATGAGACGAAAGCTACTTTAACACTAGCTATGGTGCACGAATGGTACGTATGCAACCTTGATTTACGGAAATACAAACTGACTAGAGGAGCGTTGTGCAATCACCCGCTTACAACATCTCGGCGGAGATCAGAAGATCTCGTAGTCCCGCCCGCTCTGTTGTCAGTAGAGCTCGTCAGACATTTCCAGACCCAGTAGAGACTGCACTTCCTCATGGAAAACGACTGCGGAAGTCCTCATCGTCCCTCACAGGCCAACGATACGTACACCCACTACCAGTCATGTCTCAAGACGTCGCTAAGAACGCGCTGATGTACTTCGAACAAGCAGTTCCGGAGCAGGCTTTGGCAAACTTTACGGTGCAAGAATTAATGTTGCATGCCATAAGTCAGACGGCGATCGCAACCTTCAAATCGACGTCACTGGAGATATTTGCACAGGATGGTTACATGATAGATGAGTGCGGGCAAATACGCGCAAAGACCTTTGTATACTCCAAAAGCCTGCGATACCGAGTGAGCCATCAAGCCTCAAGCTTTCGAACAGCCCTAGGATGTCTCTGGGTACGCACGACGACTATCAGCCGTGTAAGCGAATTTACTGGCCAACTTGAGAAGTCACAGACTGTTACTTCTGTTGTGTTCTATCCGACAAGATGGTTGCAACTATTGGGTATCAGAAATGGAGTAGAAGCCATTGTGGCATCGGCTGGCAGAAGTTGGCTATACAACTGCAAGATCACGGTCACACGGGCCGTTCCAGAAGACTCCATGATCTTTGATCTTTGTCTAGCTGGCGAAACAAGAGCTGTACAACTGCTCCTTGAGAAAGGGCAAGGGAGTGTGGTGGACACAAGCCCCAAAGGCTGGAAGCCTCTACACGTAAGTGTTTCCTTTTTGCAATATGCTACACCAAGACAGGGGTACATGCTAACGAAGACCAGTATGCTGCTGTAGCAGGGCATGCCGACCTTTGCGCTCTGCTAATCCGAGCAGGCGCTGATAAATCTGCGCTGGTATACGAAGGACCTACTGAGTCCGTCCTGTAAGTCTCTGAAGTGGAGTACATGCAACAAAAGCTGATCGTTAAAGTTCTCCAATCTCTTTGTTCGTCTCGCACTCTACTAATCGGAGTGCCGAAGAAAAGATCGAAATGCTAAGGCTGTTCTGCGATTGCATCGACTTATCCGATGCGGACAGCGACGGCTGGCTAGTTCATGAGTGGCTGAAAAAAGCCTATGCGACAGAGAGAAAGCCAATTTCACAAAACAGCATCACCTGGCTCTTGCACTTGACAGCGAACGAAGAATACGTTGAATTCAGCGCTCGAAACGTGTGGTCAGCATTGCAACACGGACTGAGATCTGTACTCAACCACGGACGTTTTGGCGACGTCCTAGGGCGCATCCTGGACCTGTCCGAGGAAGAATGTGAGAACACTAGCCAGAGACATATAGACTCGTTAGGCGCTTGGCTGGCCCTACGAGTCAATGGTCGGGTACTTCTACCGATGGCCCAGAATGCAGGATCGTTCCTGCAGATGAAGGGATTCGACTGGATTGCTGATGACATGCCACACCGACAATTTCTGCAAGCGCTGCCGAACATCTATTCAGCTTGGTGCCATTCTGTGATCGAAGCAGTCGAGCAAGTGGAGACATACATGAGGGAAGACCTGGAACAGTGTTTCAGTCAGCTGTGCTTAACTCGAGAAACTTTTCTGACACAGATCTCTCATGCAAACACACTCCCACAAAATCCGGGCTGTGGGCAGGCCCAGCGGCGAGTGTGTACAGATTGCCAAGATGACTACAGCGCTCTCGACAGTGGTCTCGTAGAGCCAGCACGGATCGCTGTCGCGGAATGTGTCATGACTGGCCATTCATTCGATTGCGCTTGTCAGACAGTCTCCTCCACAAAGCCATACCATCTTCCAACTTACTCCGGCGCATGTTCCGAGGACGAAGATGATCAAGTTGACGACATTGACGAGCAGTTCTACGATACGGTGCCTCATCTGTTTGACGATGTGGACCCCAGCAAGCCTGACGCATTCTCCGAAATCGCTACGGTGCTGTATCGCGCCCACGGACGAGTCTGGATTGGCAGTTACGCGATTGGTGAACAGCTTTGTGCGTCTTGCTTTCTGTCCAGAGAACAGTATATCGGTGAAGATGGGCTGGCTGCTGACTTTCCACCAATGCCAGAAAGTTTCCAGGGGCTCCGAGCGAAGTGGTGAAGAGGGCAAGGCGCAAGTATCAGCCAGACTGGACAACACCAGCAGTCTTCCAGCAGCTGACGGAGAAGAGACGAACAGCCAGTTTCCACGAGTAGCGACACAGACCATACGCTGCTCTTGCAGATCTGCCTCTCTGATCTCCTTGACTGTCGCACTGTTGTCGTCTTCTTGACAGCCTCTATCTGCAGCCAACGGCAGTCAGAACAAGAACTTCCCCTAGGTCATATCGATCAGCTTGAGCTCCTCACGGCTGCGATGCAAGTAGGATCCCACGAGGAGTCGTCAGTTTTGATCCAATTTTGGGAACCAGACCGCACAACTCTACAGGGTCAATGCCCAGGTTTGCGAAGGTGTCACACTTGGTGGTACTGTGTCTTCGAATGCGGGAGAGAGTGTTGTATACCATCGAGAGACTGGACTCCAGGACCTGCTTGTCCGCCGAGAATGAAGCAAAGACCCGAGGGGAACGCTGTCGTCTCGTTGTCAGATCTTAAATTGGGTCATAACACACAAACCAACACGTGTACGATCATTGCAAGACAAGAGGATTTTCGTGTGGATCTCGCACCGATTTGGCACAGACCATAAATGTAGAACGGGTGGCCATCTAAGTATGAAATCAATTTTACTGTTTACGCTACGGCAAGGAAATCGTGCAGTAGAATAACACAGGGAGGCAAACAGCAATGCACTGTGCTGACCTGGTTGTGATCTTGGCCCCAAAACGTGTACAAGACCGAGGTGGACCATGTGCAACTGTTGATGGACGGACTTGGACGAGTAATCGACTTGCCCGACCGATCGCAAGGGTCCTGTTAGTCAGCAAGCTAATGACGTTTTCGACTCCCTCGGCTGTCCCAAATCTTCCGTATCAACAGCCCATCGCCCAATTGGACCCTCTGAAGCTCGAACATCACAATGGCTTCTTCAAGACTTGCTATGCGCTCGTCGCGCGCTTTTGTCGCTGCGCAGCGCTCGACCTACCGCTCCTTCAGCATCTCGGCTGCTCGCACCAACCAGTTCGAAGCTCTGAACAAGCGCACCAACGACACCTCTGAGCAATACCGCAAGTTTCAGATGGAGAAGGACCTCAACCCTCACATGACCAACTCGACCTCTACTATCGCGAATGAGATGCCCTCGGTCGGCAAGCATTCGGCCCCGCCTGAGCTCATCAAGAATGTGGATCCCAACTTCACCCCCAAGGACGCCTCCCCGGAGAACACACAGCGCATGACAGGTGGAACTCAGAGCAGCGAGGGCTCGGAGGTCACTGGAAAGAACGCTGAGCTTGGTGTTGGAGAGTTGGAGGGCGCCAAGTAAGCAGCATCTTGTATTTGGGTAGCCAAGCTAGGATACGTGCTCACTTTGTACCTTTGTCAGGTTCAAGGTTGAGCCTTTGAGGCGGACTGGAGAGGATGCGAATACCATGCGTGCACGATTACTATGTCCGTTCCACTGCCCCTGCGTTGTCTTTTTTGCCAAGAAATTTCCCCTACACAGCTCACACTCTGGCACGACAAACGCTGACTTTTGCCAGACCAGAGCCGCAAGAGAGGAACATTAGAAAGTGACCTCCTCCTCAGCACCTTCGCCGATGCGAAGCTCGGCACCATGCCACCGCCGCTCCTCCAGCAATACGACCTCTTCCTCGACGAGAACGACTGGGACATTTACTACTGGGCCACGCAGGAGCCCACTCCGACCTCTCACGAGACTGCCGAGGGTGGCGCTGATACCCTCGCCACACAAAATGCTCAAGGCAAGGATATCGAGCCCAAGGATGAGTGGAAACGCGCGCCTGCCACCGGCGAGTGGGCGCAGACTGTTGGCACGTTTAAGCCGGCGTACAGGCCTGTGCCACAAAGGTGGAAGGGCAGCGAGATTCTGTCGCTTCTAAGGCGCCATGTCAAGGAGAGGAGCGCAGGAGGCGTCACGGACACAGAGGGCGTGGCGAAGGAGTCGGAGGGTAAGGGGCTCGGTATGATGCCTCCCATCCGAAACTTCGACCAAGCATAGATTCTGTCTGTGTAGCACCCTGTAAGCGTATATATGTACCATGTCTGTACACAATGTTTATGATTTATTCTCTCACTCTCGATGACCATGCTTCACGTGCTGCATGAAAGGTGATAGTTACCCTCCTGGGGAAGGTCTCACATTAACTGAATATCTGTAAGCTTGCATTGGTGTCCCCTACGAGGCCTCGGTTTTGAACCCCAGCATCCCCTCATGCAGAGTGCGTATGACTGGCAACTGCTGCTAGCGATTTCGCGGTAGATCCCAACAAGTTCGAAATCTAGAGTGGGTGATATGGCTCCGGGGAGGAGTAGGTCGCCGAAAGCGGCACTAGCCGAGTCTGGCAACCCTTTCCGAGCACGACAGTCGTCATTCCAACATTCACAGCAGGCGATGCCTATGGTTGTCATGCATAGATCATCGTCGTATCCGATGCAGTTACTCGGCTTAGACAATGCATTTCCGAGCTTGATGCCACCTTGATGAACAGGTTAGGGGTCTCCGTCACAAGAGTGGACTGGTCCCTCAAACGATTGTGAGCCGCGGGAAGCTTCTTGCCCCGCCTGACGTCCCTCTTGATAGCAGACAATTCCTCTCCGCGCAGCAGTGAAAAACATTTCATCTGAATATTTTCATACATATACAGTACTTGCAGATTGTGGTATCTCACTGCAGAAATGGCACCCAAAACGATCGTGCTGAAGGCTCCCAACGGCCAAGAGTGGGAGCAGCCTACCGGTCTATTTATCAACAACGAGTTTGTTGATTCAACAAAGCCTGACGACACCATTTCCTCAATCGATCCTGCAACGGAGAAAGAAATTGCGGCGGTGCAGTCTGCGACTCCAGATGACATCGACCTTGCTGTGAAAGCTGCGAAGAAGGCGCTGAAGAGCCCGGAATGGAAGCTGTTGCCCAACACCGATCGTGGGCGGTTGATGGTAAAACTTGCAGACTTGATGGAGAAGAACCACGAGCTTCTGGCAACGATTGACGCATGGGACAACGGTAGGTGTCACCATTGTGAACCTTAGAAGATGTTACTGATTCAGCCAGGCAAGCCATATAGTGTAGCCTACAACGATGATCTCCCTGAGGCTTTCAACACAATCCGTTACTACGGAGGGTGGGCAGACAAACTTCACGGCCAGACAATAGGTACGACACCGCAAAAGTTCGCATATACTGTCCGTCAGCCGATTGGAGTTGTTGCACAGATCATCCCTTGGAACTATCCTCTGTCAATGGCCTGCTGGAAGCTAGGTCCTGCTCTGGCTTGCGGTAACACCGTTGTTCTGAAGCCAGCAGAGCAGACGCCACTATCGATTCTCGTGTTCGCAAAGCTTATCAAAGAAGCTGGCTTCCCTCCTGGTGTAGTCAACATTGTTAATGGTCTTGGACGTGAGGCGGGCTCTGCGCTTGTCCAGCACCCGCTGGTCGACAAGGTTGCATTCACAGGTTCGACAGCCACAGCTACTCAGATCATGAAGATGGCTGCTATTGGACTGAAAAATATCACGCTTGAGACTGGAGGCAAGTCGCCACTGCTTGTTTTCGATGACGCAGATATGGAGCAAGCAGTCAAGTGGTCCCACTACGGCATTATGTCAAACCAAGGCCAAATATGCACAGCTACATCTCGCATCTTGGTACAGGAGTCCATATTCGACTCATTCGTTGAGAAGTTCCGCAAGCAGGTCTCTGAAGTCTCTGTCATTGGCGACCAATGGAGCTCAGACACTTTCCAAGGCCCCCAGGTCACCAAGCAACAATACGAGCGCATCCTCTCATACGTCGACATCGGCAAACAAGAAGGTGCCAACCTCGTTGAGGGTGGAGAAGCCCGCAGTGGAGACGGATACTACATCAAGCCCACAGTTTTCACTGGCGTGTCGTCGAGCATGCGTATCTATCGCGAAGAGGTTTTCGGACCCTTTGTTGTCATCGCTACTTTCAAGAACGAAGACGAGGCTATCGAGATGGCCAATGACACGATCTACGGGCTCGGCGCCGCCGTCTTCACGAGGGATCTTGAGAGGGCGCACAGAGTTGCATCAGAGATTGACTCTGGGATGGTCTGGGTGAACAGCAGTCAGGATTGTGATTACCGCGTGCCGTTTGGTGGTGTCAAACAGTCAGGTGTTGGGCGTGAGCTGGGAGAGGCAGGCTTGGAGGCTTACTCTCAGATCAAGGCGGTACACATCAACATGGGAAACAGGCTATAGATATGATCCTATACGAGCAGGCCAACTAGACGAATTTTCGAGCACTACATGAAACCTTGCGAGAGTCGGCATTGGCCTACAGATTCTACCCTGTGTCGTGCTTCTTGGTCAATATCTAATATAGGTTAAACTTGTGATGATATAATGAAATGCTTTCACTGTTTCGATTCATTGATCGTATGGCACTGGTTCCTGACGCGACCTAAAAAGATCGTAATGTCATACGATCTGGAGATATCTTGATTCCATTTGCACTACACCATCATAATTTGACCAAAGCCAAGATTGTCTTGCAATATTGATTGTCCATATAACGCGTTATCCTATTTTTTAGACCACTCCTGGATCGTCTAAGCGCCATTTGACAGCCATTGGGCTTTCTGGACCTGCGAACCTGAAGCTTTGATTATCTGCGCAAGCTCGTCTGTCTGCTTCTGCCCCAGTAGCTTGAAAGGCTTCCTCAAACCCCCAGTTTCCCATCCTCGCAGCTCCATACCTGTCTTGATCGCAGACGGGTAGTTGTACGACTCCAGAAACTTGCACACGGGGAATATCTTCCTCCACAATTCGCGGCCCTTTACAATGTCATTCTCGACGGCAACAGCGTTCCAGAGCTCGACAGATAGCTCGGGGATGACGTTGGTCGCGCCCCATACTGAGCCCTTCGCACCGGCAGCAAGGCCGTAGAATGTGAGAGTGTCCCATCCATTGAAGGCAGTAATCTGGTCATCGAGCTCGAAGAGTAGCTCTGTGAGCGCGGGCGCATTTCCAGATGTATCTTTCAGGTAGTGTACACCAACGTCCTTCAAAGAGGCCATTTCAGATGGTGATAGCGTGAGGCCGCTCGCAGAAGGGATGTTGTAGTAGACGATAGGGATCTTGGATTCTTCGTAGATCTCCTTGCAGAGTTCGCGGAACTGCTCGTAGTTGACAGGGTCGTAGAAAGGAGGGACGATCATGGTAGCTGCCGCACCGACTTTGGCGGCGTGCACGGCAAGTTCGATGCAGTCTTTGGTGGAAAGTGCTCCTGCACCTGCAACGACAGGAACACGGCCTGCCGAATATTTGACACACAGTTCCGTGACCTGTTTCCTCTCATCCAGTGTCATGGCTGTGAATTCGCCTGTTGTGCCTCCAGGGACGAGACCGTGTACGCCAGCATCGATCATGCGATTGATGTGTTGCTCAAGGCGCCCCTCATGGACTTTGGTGCCATCGTCGGTAAATGGAGTGATGAGAGCGACGAGAATGCCTTTCAGCTCTTGAGGTGCCATTCTGAAGAAGAAAGCTTGAAGACGTAGGATAGAAGAAGAGGTGTTGAAAAGTGATGGCGGAAGTCTACACCAACAGAGCTCAAAGAATTCTTACCAGCATATTAAAGAGCTCTTTCATCTTCAGAGGGGTCGCGGAGTATACAGGGAGCATTCCGATAGCGGTTGGTCGGTTTAGGAAATGCCTTCCTAACTAGGTAAGTGTGGTGTAAGACTATCAGATTATGCATGCGCGTTGACTTCCGAGACGCGTCGTTGCATATAGATTGCGGGGAGAGGGGCCGTCAAGAACGCCACACTTTAATCAGTATCCTTCTCCGCAGAAGAATATCTAATCGCTCCGTAGCTAGGTCATGCTCCCAACCCTAGTCCACACCTACGTATCCACTATGAAGTTGAATGTGGAGAGCTTGACTGCTAGCAGAATATAGCGGAATAGCTCAGGGTATTTACTCCCCAGAGTCCTGGACACGTTCTGGTCCTCATCTGTACACTTTGGTCCAACATCATCCCCCTCTGAAGACCTCCAAGAAGCGACCTCCACGTTTGAGATATAGAATGGCCAATCGCCCGCCAGCACTTGATCCTCTCGTCTTTTCGATCCGTGACCTTGAGCGTTATGGATCAGAGAATCTCTCCGACGCTTTCCGGGAATACTACAATGGTGGTGCTATGGACATGATATCGTATGCACAATGTCAGTGAGCAGGATGTGCTGTGGCTGACTGAGCAACTTCAGGCTTCGGGAGAACGTCACAGCATACGACAGATACAAAATTCGTCCTCGCATCTTGAGGAACGTTTCCAACGTAGACACGAGCGTCACGGTCTTTGGCAGGAGGATTACATTTCCTTGCGGTTTCAGCCCAAGTGCGATGCATTGCCTCGCGCACAAAGACGGAGAGACTGCTACATCGAGAGCAGCAGCAACAATGAACATACCGATGACCCTATCCTCGTATTCCACAACATCATTGGAGGATGTCATTGCACAGGGAAACGGAAACCCATACATGATGCAGATGTGTATCGTGAAGGATAGAAATATCACAAAGCAACTGCTGAAGAGAGCCGAAAGTGAGTAATAAGAACTCAAGCTCTGCAGAACAGCGCTAATTGTTTGTAGGTGCAGGTTATCGGGCGCTTTTCCTTTCAGTCGATGTGCCAATCCTTGGTCGCCGCTTAGGCGAAATGCGTTCCAACTTCACATTGCCCGAAGGGATGTCATTTCCCAATCTGTTGTCGGAGGGACAGGATGAATTTGGCGCACCGGATGGCAAGAACAACGGTCCCCAAGCTTTCGATGATACCCTGGAGTGGGACGAAATCATCCCTTGGCTGAAAGAAAATACCAAGATGCAGATATGGCTCAAGGGAATTTCTTCGCCAGAAGATGTGGAGCAGGCGATAGCGGCAGGGGTGGACGGCGTTGTCATCTCAAACCATGGCGGACGTCAGCTAGACGGCGTTCCTGCTACTCTTGACTCTTTGCGTCAGTGTGCACCAATCGCCAAAGGCCACATCCAGATTGCAGTAGACGGAGGGATAAGGAGGGGTTCTGATATCTTCAAGGCCATCGCGCTTGGTGCAGACTTCTGTTTGCTCGGCAGAATCGCCATTTGGGGTCTTGCGGTGAGTCGAAAGATCCTAAGTGTGGAAAATACACTAATTCTGCCCAGTACAAAGGTCAAGATGGCGTTGAGCTTGCTGTCAAGATCTTGCTCGAAGAGTTCAAGTCCACAATGGCATTGGCCGGGTGTAGGTCGGTAGCCGAGATTACTCGCAACCATTTGAGTGTTCTCGAACATGGCGGTGTTCTAGCCAAGCTATGAAATGTGTTATCTATAGCATCGAAAATTTGAAGCTTCCTGCCAAATTATGACATGAACTCATGACAGGGAATTTACCTACCATGTTCAGTATAACATGAGCCAAGAGTTGTTCTCTCGTAACACATCGACCCAAGAATAGGCGTCCTTCCTCTTTCTGCCAGTGGATCGCTGCTCAGGCGGACTAGCCACGTCTTTCTCTAGGTTCTTGTTGGCTATATCTCGCTGGTTCCACACCTCGCGCATGACTTGCTGTGACGCAGTAAATCCGTTGAACGCAGATTGGACTGCGCCCTTCTGCATCCAGCTCATCAGCCAATCTCGCGCTGTCACGGACATAGCTTCTGTGCCCGCAATGAAAGCTGGCCATGGAGTTCCGGGTGCCTTGTTGTCGCAAGCGTCATGCGCGAGGTCGAAGTCTTTCAAAGCTGCAATAACATCATTGACATGTGCCTGCAGTATGAAAGGATGTACTTTTCGAATCCGACGATAAAAGAGAATAAGCAAAGCTGAACTCATTGCACGCATCATGGCTCGACTAGCCACCGTTGGCTTGGGCATCGTGAGCCCACTTCCATTGCTCAGCGGTGGTGACTGCTCTCCGGGGTTGCTGTATTGCGCGGAGAGAGTGCATATCCGATTTTCAAGCTGTGTCGTCTTTCTCTGCAGGCACTCCTGAAACGTTCTTGTCGGTTGTACCGAAGTTTCGTCGAGATAGTCCATGATGTTGGCTACTCTTGTGGTCTGCGATACGTAACTCAACCAGATCTCAGGTATACCGTATATGTCCATGTAGAGGGTGTTTGACCACGGACGAGCATCCTCCAGATGAATGTCGCGGAGTCCTGTCTCGTTGTCCTTCTGTGTTTCCGCGTCATCGTCGCTATCTGTACCGTGAGATCGTATGCGAAGGAAATCGTCCAATTGGGAATTCTCGTGCGATGTACTGCCATACTGGTTTGTTGCACATGAACCAATGGTCGGAGTGCGGGCGTGATCTCGAAATGTCCGCTCGATCTTACTCTGTAGCAAAGAGTTTTTGTGATCGTGCAGAACAAATGTGCTCTCTCCGATAATGCGCTGCCAGGTGTAAACATGGTGTAGGAGCCGTGCCCTGCGCGAGGTCTTTTGCTTTGTTATTCCTCGCAGCCTTACGAGACGTTCGGCGTCAATTAAGTAGCATCTAGCATCTGCCGCGTTTCCGGTTTCTGTCTGAGTGAAGTTAGCTCACTTGCGAAATGAATTTCATCCAAGCTGACTCACGGCGAGAGCGATGAGGCTGAAGATAGCCATCAATTGGTCTTTGTACTTTGCCTTACAGTCACCGGCGGTCTCTAGCCTCAGAGATTCTTGCATATGTCTCTTCGCTCGCTTGGAAGCATACTCAAGGATCTGCATTCCTCTGACAGGGTCTAACTCCAATGTTACTGGCGGCGCTTTTGCGACTATGTGAGCGGAGCAACCCAACAGTGCAAACAGATTCGCCTTGTTAGCGTGCTTAACGTTAGAGCCCTGAAGCCATGTCAACTCAGCGTGAGTCTGTACAGCGTTATTCCACATAAGCGTCTCCCAGGGTGACTTGCAGCTCATCGGTAGCGGACCAAATTGTGGGATCAGGGTATCCCGGAAGTGCTTAAGCAAATAATGGGCGTCCTTCAGCACCTGTGCTTCCTCAAGGTCCGTCAGAGCATGAGGTGTATCCTGAGGATCGAATGATCTGTTCATCGCAGACGTGTTCTGCTTCTCATAGGATTGATTCGAAATTGAAGCATAGTCAAGGGACTGACTTTCACGACCGTAGCTTTGTGGCTGATGCGCTGCGTGCGCAAGAAGGCTCAAGGGGTCACTGTAAGTCGGGTCGTAAAGCTGGTCCTGAATGAGAGGCATCGACATGTCAAAGGTGGTGTCAAACAAGTCGTTCCAGATAAGACCATTGGAGGATTCGAACAGTGACTCAAGATCTGACAAGGACCCGACAGAGGAGTGGTTTAAAAGATTCGGCTCTTGGGGCAAAAACGATGCACTTTCTGAGTCTACGGCCAGTGACATGCTGTCGGTCCCTATGCTCAGCGAAGCTGGACTTGGAATAAGTCTGCTGTCTTGTCCATCTTGTTGAATTGCATGTGGGCCATTGTTTGACGATACTGAATCAGACACAGGAAGATTTTGGTCTTTGGTCAAACTGACTTCAGCCTGGGACCCTCCAGCTGCGTCAGTGTCAGTGTCAGTGTACACTTTGTGAACACAGCTGGCATTCCTTTGACGTACTATTTTTACTCACATTAGGCAATGTGGTGTTCTCCTCCGGCGCTTCAGTTGGCCTAGATGGTCCGTAAGACATAGATGCCCATCGAATCTGTGAGGGGAAACCGCCGCAGTCGAGTTTGGCTTTGCGGCATGTCGCACAGGCAGGACGAGCTTGATCGCACTTGACATGTCGGCGTCTACATGTTGCGCAACCACCGAGATTGTGTGTACGTTTCTTGGTTGTCCCTCCGCGACTCTTGCTGGCCGGCATGGTGTTGACGTCATCCAGGTATGACAAACGACTTATTGAGGAAGGAGTGATCTAATCCTGTTCGTGTCCCCATCTGAAGAAATATCACGAAATTTTGTCTAGTTACTAGAACATCTGACCTCACCTATGTTCATTGGTGAAAGTCAGGTCCTGCGGGGTCGAGCTAGACCGCATAAGGCAGGAGACTCCGGTCGCCCTAAACAACACGCGCCCTTCCAACTTCATGATTTATCATCTGAGACTGAGGTCAAGCTTACCAATTGGGTCCCTGCAAAGTACTTAGTATGAAGCCAACCATCAATTGAGAGCATAACATCATTCACAACAACTGATCAAGCAGCTCAATTCACCGAACACACAACCTAAACCATGGCCCGAATCTTGCTTACCGGAGCTACTGGGTAAGATGAACTCTTACTGACTATTGTTCTGACTGATGAATGATAGCTTTATCGGCGGAGATATCCTTCACACTCTGGCACGCGCTGGACATTCCGGCCTGCACATAACCTCGCTGGTGCGGGACGCCGGCAAGGCACAGCAAGTGCAGTTCGCCTACCCAGATTTCAAGACTATCTTGGGCGATCTAGACGATACCGAATTAATCAGAGAACAATCCAAGGCTTCAGACATCGTCTTGAGTAAGTCTCGTTCATCGATGAACTTTATCCCTACTAACTTGTCAAGACTTTGCTGCTACCGGACACGCAGCGAGTGCAAAGGCGATTGCGGAAGGCCTGCAGGCACGGCATAACGAGACAAAGAAGCCTGCTTACTGGATTCAAATTTCGGGGGCGACTGTCTATGCAGCCGATGAGATTGGCTCGGGCCGTTTTGGCAAAGCAACTGAGGATGTCTACGATGACCTCAAGGATCAAGAGAAGATCTTATCTGTCATCCGGAACAACCCCAAGCGCGTTGTCGAGAACATCATCGTTTCACAGACACCTTCGTCAGTCAAGACTGCATTGATTGTAGGGCCACTCATCTACGGTGTGGGTAGAGGTCCGGTCAATCAGAGAAGTGTTCAGGCACCAGAGATTGCAAAAGCCACCCTGAAGCTTGGTCACGGCTTCAAGCTAAACGAGGGCAAGAACATATGGAGTAATATCCACGTTCACGATCTCTCTGGCTTGGTTTCTCTGTTGGTGGGTGCCGCAAAAGACGGTAAGGATGGCTTTTGGAACCAGGACGGCATTTTCAACGTCGAAAATGGCGAGCTTGTAAGTCTTCCTACTGATACTGTGAGATCTCTCACTTACAAAGAAGGCTTTCGGGGATCTGAGTGCCATTATCACAAAAGAAGCACATAAGCAAGGCCTTATCGAGTCTAGCGATCGCCTCGAGACGATCGACGCAGAGAAGGCTGACACGCTCAGCGGTCATGCGTCGGTCTTGTGGGGTACCAATGCTCGCACGAGATCATCGAGTGCTCAGAAGAACCTTGGTTGGAAGCCAACTGGAGCGTCGCTTGAGGCAACAATCCCCGACTTGGTTCGTGACGAGGGGAAGGCGTTTGACAGTAAGGAATCTTGATGATCAAACTTTGAATCTTTGCTGACTGATTCTTAGATTCAAACCCGGAGTTATAAATGACATTGCATTACCATACCAATGGCTCAAATAGCCGTATGAAATCAGTCCGCGGTATACATTTGTTCAGTGTTATTGGCCATTGGTGTTTCTCTTGGATCTACAGATATGAAGACCTTCTACGGGCTTCAAACCTGTCATACGTAGTCCGTGATTAAAACAGGGAGGAAACGGTTGCACATGGACGAGCCGACCTGCGTGGTATTACTTTGTTGTGGGGTTGTCGTTGGACTCTCCCCAGGCTTTATGAGTACCTGGTCATGATGACACACTTCAACTGATACCTAGGTATGTTTCAATATATCGGTACCACGCTGATGGTAGCAGTGTAGATAGCACAAGCATTTTCCCCACAATTTTTCTGACAAGCACTACAGTATCGCTTTGAACAGTACTACGGTATCGCTTTCTGACAGCACTAGAACATTACTTTCTGACATTGCTACGGGATCGCATGAACCGTGTCCTATCATTGTCGCAACCCCACAATCATCGGCACGCATTTAATGCGCGGAGTTTGCGGACTTACCGTTAACATCGCGCGAACTGTGCAGTGACCCGATGGTCTGCACCGGCGCTAGTCTTGTAAAGCTTGTGATCTGAGAGCTACCTTCTTGTTCAGTAAATGCAATGGCAGGATCAGGTTGCCTCGCAGTGAGATGGGTAAGAAGCTTAAAAGCTCGCAGTGCCAGATTTGCAAAGACCTCGTCCTGCAACTAAGAGTTCACACTCGATTGCTTCCCTGTCAATATGTCTTCCACACTCAAGGCCCCAAAGTCACTGCTCGACCGTCACCGCATCCTATCTCCGACCGCCGGTGTTCGCGTCTCCCCGCTATGTCTTGGTGCGATGAACTTTGGTAATGCGTGGAAGGAAACACTCGGCGAGTGCACGAAGGAGACAGCGTTCGAAATGTTGGACTATTTCTACGAGCAAGGGGGCAACTTCATTGACACGGCGGTCAACTACCAGCTTGGAGAGAGCGAGCAGTGGTTAGGCGAGTGGATGGAGGATCGAGGCCGACGAGACGAGATGGTCATCGCAACCAAGTTCACCGGCGTCCAGAGTGTTGCAGAGCAGAGGCAGAAGGAGGGCAAGTTCGCCCAACACGGCGTTATCAAAGACAACTACAGTGGAAACAGCGCGAAGAACATCCACACTTCCATCGAGCGCTCGCTCAAGAGCTTGCGTACCACGTACCTTGACATCGTAATACACATCCTCTCGCCTCTCACCTGACTTTCAGTAACCAAGCACCAGTACTACGTCCACTTCTGGGACCACACCACGTCCATCCCCGAGCTCATGCACACCCTCAACGACCTCTGCACCGCGCGCAAAGTCCTCTACCTCGGCGTCAGCGACACCCCAGCCTGGATCGTCGTCAAAGCCAACGCCTACGCGCGCCAGCACGGCCTGCGCCCGTTCAGCATCTACCAGGGCCGCTGGTCCGCCGCGTGCCGCGACTTCGAGCGCGACATCATCCCCATGTGCCTGAGCGAGGGCATGGCGCTCGCGCCCTGGGGCGCGCTAGGCGGCGGCCGGTTCAAGACGCGCGCGCAGCGGGCGGTCAGCGAGGGCCGAACGCACTTCGTGAAGATTGCTTTCACGGGGAAGGAAGAGCAGGTGTCGCTCGTGCTGGAGGAGATTGCGGAGAAGCGGGACACGCTGGTGACCAGTGTGGCGCTGGCGTATGTCATGCACAAGTGAGCCCATGGTTCCGTTCCCGAGGCGACGCAGCACCCCGACTAACAGCCCAGGTCTCCGTATGTGTACCCCATTGTGGGAGGCAGGAAGGTGGAGCACCTCAAGGGCAATATCGAAGCGCTCGGCCTGCGGCTCGATGCCGAAGAGCTCGAGAAGATTGATAATGCGTATGGCTTTGAGATAGGTTTCCCGCATGACTTCTTCGCTGCGGAGAACAAAATGGCGCAGGGCCCTGAAGACGGGTGGTTTATTAACAGCGTGTCGCACTTGGATATTGTGCCGGGACCCAGGCCAGTATTTGCACCGCAGGAGGGCGCGTAGGAGGAACACTCCGAGGATACGGAGGTCGAAAAGGGGAGGCTTGGGCAACAAGGGGTTTCGACTGATCAAAGGCTGTAATGTGTTGATTGCGGTACCTAGGTTTTCGAGTTGCATCCAACTTCACCTCATCACAGGGCGCCTATGCCGTAGCCACCATACTCAGCGTAAAAACAACCACTTGCTTACATCAACCCCATCACGCCATCGAATCACTGCGCTCTCATATCATACACCAACTTCCTCAATCCAACATATCATACACCCTTAACACCCTAGTTCCGGCTCTTACCCAACTCGCTCTGCGCCGCCGCCGTCGGCCCGCCCTTCACCCGCTCGCCGCCCGTGACCTTCTTCTCGCCCTCGGTGATGTCGTGCAGCGCCTGGCTGGTAATGGGCTCGTTGGCGTGCTGCTGGGCGCGCGCGGTGGGGCCGCCTGCCACGGGCTCTGTTTGGCCGGTGATTTTGGATTCGGCTTTGGTGATTTCGTGAAGGGTGGAGGAGTCGAGGGTGCCGGTGTGTTGGGTGTTGTTGGTGGAGCTTGGGCTTGAGTTGTTGTTGGAGTTGGCATTGTTGTTGGCATTGTTGTTCCCCCCAACACCCCCCTCGCTCGTCAGTATGCTCTGCGCAACCGCCGTCGGGCCGCCCTTGGCTGGCTGGTCCGAGCCAGTGATCTCCCTCTCGGCGTCGGTGATCTCGCTGATGATCTGGGCGGTGAGCTGCTGGCCGACGTGCTTCTGGGCGCGGGCTGTGGGGCCGTTGGGCGTGGGCCCGTCCTTGTTGGTGAGCGTCTTTTCCGCAGCGGTGATCTGGGAGAGGATGGTGGAGTCGATGGCGACAGCTGCTCGGAGGGTTGTGCTGAAGGCGCGTTGGGAGACGGGCGTGGTGAAGCGGGCGAGTGCGGGTGCCGTGAGGCGGGAGGATCGAAGGAGGAAAGACATTATGATGAGATTTTGGAGAAAGAGATGTCAGGGGGTTAGCTTCTCGAATGAGTATGGGAGTATTTGAAGGGCAATGAAGGATTTGTTGTGGTCAGTCACTGTTTAATGGGAAAGAAACAGTGGATATGGAAATTGGATTGAAATATAGCACCGACGACATGGTGATGTTATGTTTTGTCAAACACGCCCATATGCAGGTACCAATGCCGATGCATGTGTCACTTTGCGATGCGGCTCGCAAGTTGTCGATGATGGGATGATTTTTGGTGGAGCTGATGATGTCAGGACCAAACGCGCTAGGTACGCGTCGATCAGCTGAAGTCCACACCCAGACCAAAGACTGCAGGGTATCAGAAGACAAGTCGTTGCGAGTTTCGAGATGCGTATAGTGTGTCGACCAGGAGGGTATGATGAATAGAAACAATCTGTACAAACAATGGTGTTGAACAACGAAACCGCCATTACATGGCCGCATTCGCCGAATTCGACGCCAACCACGCCGCAAAAGCCTGCGCATTCCTTGTCTGCATGAACACCGTCCCGGGGCCTGTGAACTTGCACACCAGGCCCTCGCCCGCCATCATATTCGACACAATGCCGCCCGACGCGACACGCTCGAGCACGTACTTGCAGTTCCACGCGACGAGGTGACCGTTATCAATGATGTACTTCTCGTCCTTTTGGAGCTGTGATGTATTAGCTTAAGTACTCACACTCCAACATCGACGATGCCATCAGTAACGGCAAAACGGGACGCAACTTACATCCTTCCTGATAATCGCGCCAAAGCTCGTACACCACAGAATGCCCTGGCCGGAGATCTTATACACGAACAGCCCCTCGCCCGAGAACATGGCCTTCGTGACGCCCTGGCTCTTGTACTCAGTGACGATGCCCTGGGTGCACGCCAGAAACGCGTCCTTGCCGACGCTCCACTGCTCGTGGCCCCCGAGCTTGATGATGGTGATGTCGCCGATGGACGCGGGCGCCAGCAGCAGCTCGCCGGGTCCCGTGTACGTCGACTTGGACATGTCGCCGCCGATGAGCGCTTTCTTGAGCGAGAACTTCATCGTGCCCTTGAGGGTTATCGTGGGGGTCATTGCGATCATGGCGCCTGGAGAGAGTCAGTTCGAGGCTGCGTTTAAAATTGGGGTTTGGACTGTAAGGGAGAGTAGGGGGCGTACCGGGCTTTGCGGTGAAGGGGCACCCGATTGCGAGCTGCACTGTGAGAATGGTGTTTGTGTTGCGGTGGCTCACGCGGTAGCTGCCGCCGTTAAAGGTGCCCACGTCGTCTGCTTGTGTGGTTCCGGCGCCCGCAAATGCGGGCTGGGAGGCCTGGACTTGCTGTTGTTGCATTTGCTGCTGGCTCGCCTGCTGGGGCGGCATGCCTGGGTGTTGCAGAGGGCTCTGAGTGGGCGCGGGTGTGCCATAGCTATTTAGGGGCCCTTTCTCAGAGAATTGCTGCTGTGGAGGCTGATGCTGCTGCTGCTGTTGTGGTTGGTGCTGAGGAGGCGCGCTGCCAGGCGGCGGGAAGTGTTGCTGCTGTTGCTGCTGCTGCGAGTGGTCAGGCGGCGGCGCATAGTGTTGTTGCTGGCCACCCGGGGGTGGAGGGTAGTGCTGTGGCTGCTGTTGTTGCGCAGCAGGAGGCGACGTCGGCGGCGGAGGGTAGGATTGGCCTCCTGGCGGAGGCGCAAAGTACTGCTGTTGACCCTGTTGTTCTGTCGCGTATCAGTGACAGTTCGCATCGGCCAAAGTGAGTGGCGCACCATATCCGCCCTTCTCCGGTGGTGCTGTAGCCAGTCAGCTGGTGCCTTCTCAAACAAACACGCGACACTCACGAGGGTAAAAGTTACCACCTGGTGGTGGGCTGCCGTATCCAGACATTGTACTCTAGTGAAGCTTGACAGAGGCGGTTCTTATTAGGGCGACCAGCGCGTCAACAGCCCAAGTACAGGAGCTGAAGAATCTCGAGAGGAAGAAAAGGCAAGGAAGCCAAACTGGACAAGACACAGGCGCATGGTCAGTACAAATACCCGCGCCGCGCCGTTACCTGTTCGTGTCAAGCTCAGCCTCCTCGTCCATAGGTGTTCCTAGCGGGGTATGCAGCCGCCCAACTTCGCCCCGCATGCTGAGCTTACTAGAGTTACACTGCGTTACCTATTCTGACAGTCTTGCTAATCGCATCGCTATTTTAAGCTTATTGGACACAATGCAGCAATCCGATAGCATGCCATCGTCGTAATGAACTTTGTTTCCAAACATTGAAGCTCCAAGATGCCCGAGGCTGGGATCAGGGTCCAAGTCCGAGCGTTGGCGTGCCGTCTGCAAGCGCCGACTCCTGTCCCGCAACAGGATGTCCAGATGTGATTTGCTGACGTCCAGCTGTATAATCTGCGAATTTCCATCCTTTGGAATTCTTGGACTTGACGATTCTTGGACATACGTAAGGAGAGGAATCTCTATCTCTGCGCGGTCGACAGATTCAACTCTGGCAACGTAGAATATTGGGATATCCAAGGAACACCCTCGGAGAACTTTTGATTGCGTCGTGAGTCGATATACATGAGCCACTCCTATATAGTCTTGTACACCAAGCCGTGCATATCATACCCCATTGCCACACCGTCATCCGAACGCGCGAATCGCCATGACATCCGTAGCGCCCGCCAACCCAGCCAAGCAAATGCATGTCGATACCCGTAAAGCGCAAACGTAAACTCATTAAGTCTTGATCATCCTCCTTCGCTTGCCGATCTGTGCGGAGAAACCGGTCTTGATGGCCTGGACGGAACGCCTGGACCCGCAGCTGTTGCAGGTGACGAAGCTGAGACGGTTCTCGCCCTTGGAAAGACTGTTGTCGCGTTAGTTGTGTATAAAGTTAGAGTATTGGGTCAACGTACTCTGTATCGGGAGAACGGCAGGTCTTGCAGGTGACGTATTCGACAATGTATCGCCTGAGAACGTTCTCAATCTGCTTCTGCTGGAAACGACCCTTGATAACCAGACGACGGGAACCGTCAACGGAACCGCTGGTACCCAATTCAGCGAACAAGAACTGGGTAACGTGCTCATCGGTACGCTTCATCCTCTTGCAAATCTCGGCAATGTTGGCGAAGATGGTCTTCTTGTTTCCTTCACGGAGACACTGCGGTGGCGGGATCTTGTAGCTCTTGACGCTGTTGCCGGCGAGATCAGGGTGTTGCGAGTGGAGCAGTGTGAAGAATCGGTTCAGGAGCATATCGTACTTGATCGCGGTTGTGTTCTCGTGCGACCAGATGCCGGTGCCCTTCATCATGTCGCCCTCCTGGACCTCCTCCTCTTCGGCAGCAGGTGCCTCCTCCTCAGCGGCGTCGCCACCAGCAGCAGCAAGCTTGGCCTCGAAGTCGTCTTCAACCTTCTTCTTGCTGACCTTCTTCTTCTTCTTGAGCGCAGCGAAGTCACCCTCGGCAGCGTCCTCGCCCTCCTCGCCCTCCTTCTTCTTGGTCGACTTCTTCTTCTTCTGTTATCTGTCAGTCGTCGTCCAAAAGCCGTATAAAGCAGGGGCCGTAAGGGGTAGGTGTTCGCACCTTCTTGGCTAGATCGTCGAACATCTTGGTGACCTCCTCAACGTCCTGGTCGTCGGCTGCAACCCCACTAGTCAGCGCTTGTTCAGTGTTGTATCCCAGGGATACTACCCTCAGATGCAGAGCCGGTGCTGTGCTTCTCAGCGGATGACTTACTGCCGTTTGTCTCCTTCGATTCAGTAACCTGACCATCGCTGTCGACGATTGTGGTGCCCTCGGAGAATGCGACGGACTTGCGAGGCTTGCGCTCGGGGGATTCCTGTTCAGTCAAATCAGATATGCGTCTTTGAACGGTCGACTGATGGCGGATAGGTGGGCAGATTGTAGGTTCGTGGCGACGTGTGTTGCGCGAACAATGTATTTCGATCGCGAACGTGGGGCTCGATGTGACGTACAGTGTCAGCCATGATTGCGGTTGCGCTCGTTTCTTTTGCTGTGGACTGTGGAGTGATGAACCTGGGCAGTGTGTCCCCAGTAATCGGTAGCGATAGGCTTGAAGGTGAATGTGGAGTCGCGGACACGGAGCTTGACCTCGAGTGTTCTTTTTGCCGCAGTACTGTGACTCTGAGATGCCAAGATTGTCAGCCACAGCACGCTAAGCCCCACCCTCGCTCATTGGCTCCTGCCGTCGGCTTCACATCATCGACCACGCGCCGGGATATACCCGTAGCAGCATCGACCCCATACTTCCAGCTGCAGCTTCATTGATGTCGTTACGGTAGCCCGCAGTCGTCGCCAAACACACAACCCCTCCCCCGAATCGAGACCCCCCCACACCGCCGCCATGTCCCTGAGCAACAGCCACAGCTTCATCGAGCCGCATGTGAGCTCCTCCGAGGCCAACATCGATTCGCTCCCCTCCTCCTCCACCCACTCCTCGGCCGACGACGACGAATATGTATCAGACGCAGAAAGGGAATGGAGGGAGTCGCTGCAGCAAATGGAGCTCCTGCTGACAATGGTCATGGTGCCGTACATTGGGAAATACTTTGGGCGCAAGTTCGCATACTATGGTACGTCACGTAGGGACAGTGTGTATATCGTCAGCGGCTGATGACTGTTAGGCTGGGCAAAGTTTATGGAGTGGAAGTACCCTGTTGAGATTGTGATCACGAACAAGACAGCTTTCAAGGCGGCGGGTGCTATTGAGGCGGCAGCAACGTTATAGCATACCTTGCAGTGGGTTTACAGCAACGGCGTTTGAGGCGAAACAATCACCAACATTTGGGTCAATGTTCAAGGACACAATTGCTTCAGTACATAATTGAAAATGAAATAAGTCTTGTCACCAATGCAGCTTCGTGACAGGTCAGACATCTCATCGACAGACCAGACAGCCAGGAACTGACACATGACGGCAGACCCAAACCTCAGATACGGAGCAGGCTGTCTGCAATATTTATGTAATTCATGTGGTAGATGTTGATACTGATATACTGCCTGCCCACAACAGACAAAGACGATCTAAAGAGTCCACAACAAGCTCCCAAGCCACAGCGGGCGATGCGACCAAACGCCTTCCCAACCAATATCCAAGTACCAAATACCGAATACCAAAACGCCTTGTATGCAAGCACCACTCACTCACTAACATCATCTCCCCGGCTAAGCAAAGTCCCAACTCCCAAAACTGCCCTTGCCCTGGCTCTCCAGCTTCAGGCACTGGTACGGGCTGCTCATGGGATCATAGTACAAACCCTCGACGCGGCCGTCGCTTCTGCGCAGACACACGTAGTAGAAACCCGAGATGGTGAGGCCGCAGCCGCTGTCGTCGAAGGCGGCGTGTTCAGCGTCGACGAAGGGCGGGGCGATGGGGTGGATTTCGGCGGACGGGACGGCGTGGCGCGCGAAGGTGTGCGAGTCGTAGACGTAGTACTCGCGCTCTTCGTCCTGGCCCACGGCGCCGGTGGCTGTGTCGGCGCCGACGAAGGCATCGACTGGTGGACCTGGTGCTGGAGACTGGCTCGGAGGCTTGCTATTGGGGCGCAGGGATTTCACAAAACACCGTTCTTTCCAGCGCATCAGCACCCATTCGCGGTTGAGGGCTGCCCACCATCGTCTAGATGTGAGTGCCAGGACCAGATGATCATCTTCCATGTCCCTGAACGGTGGCAGTTTGCGCCAGTACAGCGCGTCGTTTGCTGCATTGCTCTTGAAACTCTCGGTCAGGAGCGTGTGTGTGTTGAAATCGAGGATCTCGCCTTCGAGGTACGTCGTGATGCTGCTCGTGCGCGTATACTGTGCCGCGGCTGGATTGGAGTTGTTGAGAGAATGCTGGTGTGGGTGTGATGGCACGTTGTAGGCCTCCATGGTCGCCGAGAGAGACATGGCAGACCAGTCGACAGCGTGCACGGTGACCTTGACCGGCCATCGGTCTTGCTGGGGAGGCTGCTGCGACGGGTCTGACGGCCCCCTCGGCGCGGTGGGCGAGAGGTACGAGGCCAGACTGCGCGGCGTGGAATAGCTGGTGCTGAGCCAGGGTCGCGACGGGGGCGGCAGCTGGGCTGAGGCGGGTGGCGGCGTGGCGGTAGCCGTGGTCGCGTGCTGGCAGCCGGAGAGGACAGCGCCCGGGGCGAGCCAGGAGGTTTCGCGCGGCGGCGGGATGCTGAGGGTGTCGGTGAGGAAGTCGGCGTACTGGATGCAGAAGTAGTCCTTGCTGAGGAAGCCGGCCTCCAGGGCGCAGTTGAGGCTCTCGTCGAGCGTGTTGGCGTGGCGGATGCGCGATAGGTACTTGACCGTGTGCTCGAGCATGGGCGCAACGGCAGGCGGCGGTGGCGGCGGCGGGGGCTGCGGCTGCGGCGGCGGGGGCTGCGACTGCGGCGGCAGGTTGCGGCTGGCCTGGTATCGCTCGCGCGGGGCGGCCCAGGGGTCTTGTGTGCTGCGACGCAGGCTCGCCGTGTCGCGCGGGGCAGCAGGACGGGCGGCGGCTCTCAGCGTCTCGCGCTCGCTCTCCCGATCGTGGCCGTAGCGCAGGTACTCGCGCGTGCGGGCGGAGAAGCGTGGGTGGCGGCGTACTGCCTGTAGGATGGCAGTGGAGCGCAGCGAGTCGGTCGACGTCAGCCGGGCCTGCAGCGCGCGCAGACTGCGCTCCTCGTCGTCGTCGGGCTCACGGGCGGTGCTCGACAGCGGCGACCAGTCAAAAAGCGTGTTCTGGGCGGGCACGCGCTCGCCGTACTGCGTAGCCGTGGCCGCGGCCGAGGCCTCGTGCAGGCGATTAAGGCGCTCCATGCTGCGGCGCAGGCGGTCGTGGTCGACGTCGTCGCGCGTGCGCTCGAGCTGGCGCAACTGCTCGCGCGAGTGCTCCAGGCGCTGCTGACTGCGCTCCTCGAGGTAGCGGCCGACGGCGTCCAGGTGTGCGGCGTCGTCGAGGGCCGGCGTCGTCAGCGTCGCCGCCAGGTTGAGCACGTCTTCATTGGCGCTCTCGAGCCCGCGCAGGGCCGACACAAACGTCGGCGTGGGCTCGCGGTTCGGTGCGGGCTCGCGGTTCTTCACTACGTCAGCTCCGGGCAGGGCGCTGGCCGGGGCATCCTCACCGGGCTGTTCGCGGGCGGCATCGTGGGCCGGCCGGGTCTCGGGCGCTGCGTTGCTTCAGTGTGGCCAGACAGGCGCCATGCGCAGAGTCGAGGGCACGGGGGCGCGGCGAGTGTGGTGAGCGCTGAGCGACCGACAGCCAGCATGTGCGGCTGCCCACCACGTCAAAGCCCGCGCCAACCTGGAACCACCGCCGAAACAGAGCCAAACGCGCACGCACACTCACACGACATGCCCGCGCCCGCCGCCGCTCGCCCGCCGCCGTCTCTCGCTTCTGCGCGCCTGCTTGCTTCCTCGGGCGAGCACATGCACGCCGCCCTTCTGGGCCCCGCTCGTGCTTCCCCAGCCGTTGCTGTGCGTGCTGCCGAGTGCCCCTCGGCGAGCCCCGTCGGTCCGCACTGACACGGGCCTCGCACGGAATCACGGAACGAGAATCACTTGCAGTGCGACAGCAGCTCGAACGTCGCTTAACCGCTGTGTTTCTGAGACTTGAGAGAGGAGGCACGGCTTGAAGTAATGATTTGTTTTCATTTGTTTCAGTGGTAGTCTTTTCTTTTATTAGATTTAGACTGCTTAAGATAGGGGAGCTAGCTCCCATGTTTAATATTTCTTGTACACTCCCGCCTGTGGAGTGGCCAGGAACTGCCTGAGCCTGGGCTTGGTGCCGCTGCCGGCTTCCATCTCGAGTTGGCCAGAGAAGCAGCGCGCAAGGGGACAGGATGTTTGCTCCGCAAGCAGAGGACCACCCTTCAGCCAAGGCCACGACTGGCGTGTCTTGTCACGCCCTTGCGTGCTGCTTCTGCCACCAACCCCAGACGTCAGCCACCAGCGGCGAGCTATTACAGTGGCATCGTCGAGACGCGTGTATAACTTTTCTGTCGACACCCTCGTCTCAGTGTCTTCCAGCTGGCAATCTATGCCAGACCGAGTGGGTTGGAACGTAATCGTAATGCGTGGGCTCATAAAGCTGGTCTCGCCAGACTCAATGAAGAGCTCGCACCAAGAACGTTCCGGTCATGACGACATTAAACAAAAACAAAAAACAGCTCCAAGGAAAGAGCTCGAGTGCCCGACTCGAGGAAGCCGCGAGGCCATCTGTATCCGTGTCTTCCGTGATAATGCAAAGCAAATGCGGACCTCCCAGAGATGCAACAAAGAAAGAAGCCATCCGACTTGGGAGGCATTATATGATCACAGAAAAGCGCTCGCTGGAAAATCAAACAGGTATCAAGAGAGATGTACGGGAAGAGGGGAGAAAAAAGGAAAAACAAACGCTCGCTAATGTTGATGCAACGCCGTCCCATGCCTTGGTACTGTACAGTGACAGCATGTGGTGAATATCGCTGATGTCTCGAACCGATAGTGTCGAAGAGGTGGTGCGCTCAGGGGACTGGCCAAGTCCGCGCTTCCAGGCATCGACCGAGGGACAGGGTCTCACAGACTAACGTGTTCCGCTTATGTGAACGCTGCGTACTGTGTTGCGAAACCCGTGTCCCACCCGAACCCTCCGAATCCACCGTGCGAGGCGCTTGACCCGCATTGCTGGGCCAGCACGCTCGGCAGAGGAAGGCAGGGAATTGGTGCGACGGCCTGGGGCGGGCTGTAGTACGCACTCGTCGAGTTGTAGCATGGCTGGCTAAACGACGGAGTGGGCGAGGGCAGCTGGAAGGGCTCCATGCTCTGAGATCCCATGTTGGTGCTCCAGTAGGAAGGCGAGTGCTCGCTGCAGGTGGTGATTGTCGGGCTGGGTGTCGAGGGGAGAACCTTCCACGAGTCCATCTGGGGCGGCGACAAGTACTGCGTCGGCTGCCACCAGTTGACGGCGTTGGGAGTGCTGGGAAGAAGAGGGGCAGGACGGACGACGTCGACAATCCTGGGTGGGGGAGGCAGGAGCGGCTGGAACAAGCCCATTACGGCGGCCTTGACATTCTCGCCTCGGCCCTCGAGGAGCTCTCCGGCGCCTTCCTCCTCCATGCCCTCGAGCGCACGTGCGCCGGTGCGGAACACGTAACGGTTGACAGCCTGGACGAAAGCGTCCTGGAGCTTCTTGACTTGCTGCTCCTTCTCGGCCCATTCCCATGTGCTGGCAGCAACGTCGACCGAGTAGATGTCCTTGTGGTACTCGATAAGCGCATCGATGGTGTCTTGTGTGAGCTTGAATGCAACCTCATGTTGTGACACCATGTCAACGTGCACGACGTACGCCTCGATGTGGATCAGCTGGTAGTTGAACAGCGCTTCGACCAGAGGGTTAGAGTCCTTGCGCAGTTCCGAGTCTGGGGCTTTCGGGACCATGATGGAGCTCAGCGACCAGAAAGCGTTTTTCCCAGACAGAAGTTCGGTTAGACATCTAGTGTGTTGCTGAACACTGTTCAATGGGCGCTTCACTCTGTTGACGCGCTTCAGGGTCTGGGTTAACCAGGGCTCGGCTTTGGAGCTCAAGACTACGTTGACGGTGGAGCGTGGCGCAAAGGCGGCAGCCGAAGCGGGTAGTAGCTGGATCGGCATGTTGAAGTGGTCGGTGCGTTGTGGTGCGAGATGGCGATATTAGATGGGACGAAGAATCAACAAAAATCGAGGGAACAAACGAAAGTAAAAAACCGTTGTCTCGGTCTCAGGCGGATATAATTTTTTCGGGGCGCGCCGTGGAGGTAGAGAGGAGACAAGAGGGCTGGCGAATGAGGAGGGGGGAGGGCGAGGTGGGAGGTGGAGGGTAGGGAAGGCTAGTGGTGAGGGTGGCATCTTTCTTAAGAGCTTACAAGCGTCGATCATGGGTCGCCCGGCGTGGCCACAAACATCCCGGCCGACGTGCATGCACACTGCCCCGTTTCCTGCACTGCGCATCTAGCTTGCTTAACGTGCATACGGCGAGAGCCCGCAGCTGCAGGTTTAGTCGGGTCTAAGCTGACCTTACCGGAGGCACCGCGTTCGCACGCGTGGATAGGCGGATGCCTGCGAGCGGGAGATTTCGATGCCCTCAAAATGCTCGTCTGTACGCGAAATCCCACTTTAGGCCATGCAGACGGAGATGACGGCCAAAAGGGTCTTCGATCGCTCATCGCGACGCGTTTGCGAAGTAGCCAAAAGCATAAACTGCAGCAATGATGCGGTTGTGCGCGGTCCTGACCATGGCAGCTGAGCAGGTGCTCGCCGCCGGTGCCTACGAAACGCCCTCAAGAACCTGCTCAGCGCCCGCAAGCCCGGGCAAACTGCGAGTAGAGGGCACAGCCGGCAGCAGCCAGGCGCCGCTACACGCGATTTGCGCGAGGGAGGTGCCTGTACTGTGGGCTATAGCTGTGCGATTCTGCGCTTACTGCTGGGCCTCGAGCGTCGGCGTCGTGCGATGGATGGCGCGTTTTCCAGAAGCTTACCTCCAGCGTCCAAAGGGGGCGCGCACCACAGCGGCTTTGCTACCCTTTTGAGCGATACGGGCCAGGGCAGCATGACGGAGACCGGCCGGCTGCTCGTGGTGTCTCGAGGGGCTTGACGAAGGTGGGTGTCGACGGGCAGTGCTTGGCTCACCGACAGGACGTCGTCACTTTGCGCTAGCGGTGGGCGCGACCTGAGCAGCCCAATCACCTGGCACAGCAGGGATCTGAGCCAGGATGGCATCTGCTCTCGAGGGCCCAACGCAGCCACTTCCCATGTGATCGCAACGTTCGGGCGATGCCCTGAAGCACCCCAGGGTGCCATCGTCGAGGTCCGCTGAGCGCGTACTGAAGCAGGAGCTTTGCGCAACGGCAACGTGCTCGAGCAACCTCAGGCTGCATGACCGTGCGATGCTGCTCACGCGGAGGGTCCGGCAGTCATGCGCCACCTGAGCGAATAGCCGATGAGGCTGTGCTGGCGGCGGAGGGCAGATCTCGGACGCGCCGACTTTCACGGCCTCGGGAGTCTTCCTCCAGCACGCCCCGGCCGATGTTACTGCTGATCATAAACAGGCACGCTGAAATTCTCCTGCAGGAAGCATGATGGGGCACGATTCTGTTTCAGGGCTTGTTTGCTGTCCTCAGCTTCCGTCTGTCATTGGGGCCATCTCTCCCAGACTCGCTCCAACGGATGCCCTCCGACGGTATTACGCAAGTGCTAGCAGCCTCAGGTCGACCTGTCACAACCCGTCTGCACGGCTGATCTCTGCTATCGATAGCATCGCATATCTGCCATGTTTCAAGCCCGACGGCAAGCTGTTATGGATGCTCCAAAATCTGCACGACAGATGTCCAAGGTTGCGTCGTCTGCGCCTCACTATAGACGGGGATTGTGGGGCAGGAGCACGCAACACCACCGGGCCGTTGTGGCGGACTGACGATGCTGCTTCGCTGGCACCCAGATGAACGCACTGTTGCAAAGGGTTTGTGCATGTAAAGCATGATCAAGGCGTTGCTCTTTGCTCCTTCAAGCCGAGCTCAGCTGGACAAGGGTCTGAGCACTCGCGCTAGAGCCGGCTTCAAGCGGCGTCGCCCGTCTCCACATCTGGGACCCTCGTTACAAGCTTCATCCTCACTGCCAGATCTTTGAAGTGACGTCTGGCCTACAACAACTGCAGCACTATCGTCAGTATTCGCCCGATTCTGCAGACTCTTCGGCGCCGTTTCAGAAGCTGTCGGCGCGTTTGCTGTAAGCGCATGCGGCATGCAGACCGACGTGGAGCTTGGTGACTCACCCAGCCGCCGGCAAGTGTGAGTGGATGAGTTATGCCGCCAACCAGCTAGGTATCAGGTTTTTCCAGCGCCGTCACGCCTCGTTTTCTGTCCTCCACGATTCGTACGAACAGCCTGTACTGGGATGAACCTGTTGAATTCCTCTTCACTGCATCGCACCTCTCCAAGCCAGCATTTGCATACAGCACCTGCATCAAGCAAGCACATGCAATCCGCGCTCGACAACACTGTGCGCCATAGGCGTCTTTGTATAAGCCACACAGTGCGGAGACGGTTCGCTCGCGAAAGTCGCGCAAGCTGCCGCAAGCCTTATTGCTCGTTCTTGAACCGCAGGACGGCACGAATGTGAAGTGATGTCTATCCACATGCAGGACGCACCCTTCGGAGACACAGATGCTATTCACCCGCATTTGTCTCAGTTCTTGTGAATGCCATCACCTCTCGTCTGTCAGCCTTCAGGGGTCGTACTAAGAGCAGTCGTCATCACTTAGAAACAAAGATGCATCTCAAACAGAATCGAGAAGTGTTGAGAATCAGCGGGACCAGGGTTCCAAGTCCGGGTGGGTGTGTGGTTGTGGTAATATTACCCGATGGTGGAAGATCTGGTCTGGCCATCTTGAGAACGGTGATGGTGTGTCGACACTGCTATCGTATGGATCCCTGGACGGCAGGGCTGCACATCCGGGGATGGCGGAAGCCCACATCCCCGGGATAGTTGTTTGCAGTCACTCACACACGGCATCCACATCCAATTTGGCTTTTCCACATGAAGACGTGCATGATAAGCGATCGGGGAGCTCGGAAGACGAGGTGGTTTGGTAAACTGACGTGGATCTCCAACACTCTGCGCCGGCCAGCACAGTCACAGAACTGTTGATGAGGCTTGCAGTGGTCGACAACATTGAGCCAGCAATACCGCACCGCGTTCCGCAGACCAGGTTGTTGCAGCGGGATGCTCGGCGGTGCACACTCCATCACTGTTCGACGTCGGCGCTTCGCAAAACATACCACCGTTTGACGTCCACATGCACCAAGGATCATGGTATTGCTTGCAACACCCGTTCGAATTCTCTTGATCCTTCGATATGCATCACCGATTCGGCGTCACTTGCAGTCTGTATGCTGCTCTCCAACCACAATCCTACGATATATTCCTTGGCGTGCTGTAGTCAATAACAAGCATGGTGACCGACGTACCGGACCGGGCATCAGGCGTGAAACCAAGTAGGAAGTCGAGAAGACCGAAGTCTGCCCAACGATGTCAAGGGTGACTGACATAACTCAACACTATGCAAACATATCTCGGCGTCGCGTTCTCGAACACTGGACTATAGGCAGCTTTGCTTTTGCCTTGGGCGGATAGACTCTGTGTCCCTGTCCGGACGGGTCCGACATAGATGTCTACCATTGTGGTGGGTACGTACTCCTTTTGTAGTGCACGTTCGTCCGAGCATGCCACGAATGAGGTAATGCAGTGTGTCCTCCAGGTAATGTCCTCGTGGGAGACTTATCTGCATGCACCTAGTAGGTATTTCCTGGAGGCTTTGGATTATGTGTTCTTAGATCTCATCGAGGATCTGATGGTCCACTGCTTAGTCAGTGCTGTAAACTTATCATGGTTTGAGTTTCGTGTTAAATTTCTGCAGGTACTGTACCTCGTTGATTCCGATCGACATAGATTGGCTTTTGACTCCGTCACCTGGACTCTTACTTTAAGCTCCAAAGAAACATACTAGTCGCCCTTGTAGAAGGTATTGACTGAAGTCTGCGATATAGAAGTGGAGACCTCGGAATGAAATCACGTGTGGCGCCAGCCGCCTCGGCTTTATTCAGCCTGAAGACACACAACGCATCTGCCGACAAGTCACAACTGCCGATATCAGACTCACCGTCCACAAAACCTTGGTGGTCCAACGAACATCGTCGGCAGTTCGAAATCGAAGCAGGCGGAGGATTCGGAAGTAAATCGATACGTCTTCGTGCATTAGAACAGGAGAAAGGAATGTCCAAGGACAACATCGCCTCAGGTTCGCCTGCGTGTCGCAATAGCCTTCAATGTGTCCACGAAACATACCATAGACGCAACCTGCCTTCTGCTTGCATCTTCTTTGACGGAATCGATAAAAACGTCTTCGAAAAATCATGGTGTTGAGATACTGATCTACCCCGCGCCCCGGACTGGATCCACCAAGTCGGCTGGGGGCGCCATGCCAACGTCACCTAATCCAGAACCTCAGGTTAATTTTACAACTGCCGACACTCTCCAAATTTACGTAGCCCAATACGATGCCGAACGTAATCCGAAACTACGAAGCCGTGAAGCCGAGTGTCAAATCTCACAGCCACAAATAACACCACGTCCTGTCCCAATTCTAACGTGACAGTACCAGACCTCGTGCCATAACACTCGATTTGATTCTTTTCCGTGAGGTAAAGACACAACATGCTTCTCGACGAAATACTACCTCTCCTTGTACGATACTGGCCTATCGTGTTGCTCTCGCTCGTCACAGGCCACCTCGCCAGCAATAAATTCTGGAAAGGACTACACAAGTACCCTGGCCCAACGTTAGCAGCATACAGCAACTGGTGGAGACTACGAGATGTGTCCAAGAAGAACCACCACTGGACCAACATTGAGTTACATCGTGAACATGGCGATATTGTGAGACTGGGGCCGAATGTTCTCTCTTTCGCAGACCCGAAGGCCATCAAGGCCATCTATGGGCTGAATAAGGGTGTAACAAAGGTACGTTCGTTGATGATTGCAGATACATCTGGATACTGATCCTGCTCTAGTCGGACTTCTACCCAGTGCAAGGAGCCGTCGCGAACGGCAAACCTCTTCTCTCCCTCTTCTCGACCACTGATGAGGACTTTCATGCGAAATATCGACGCTGCGTGAACAACGCGTTTGCCATGAGTTCACTGGTCAACTACGAGCCGCTTGTCAACTCCACACTCACATACTGGCTCGACAAGACCGAGGCGATGTTTGCCAACACCAGTCAAAGCTGCAACTTCAGTCAGTGGCTGCAGTTCTTCGCTTTCGATGTCATCGGGGAGTTGACCTGGAGCAAGCGCCTCGGATTCGTTGATGGCAATAAGGACGTCGACAACATCATCGGGTTCCTGGGCAAGTTCTTCGATTATGTTGCACCGGTAAGAACACCTAGTCACTTGCAACATCAAAGCATATTCTGACGATTTACTAGGTCGGCCAGATACCTATCCTCGACCGCATCCTTTGGAAGAACCCCATCAGCCTCTTCGCCCAACGAGTCGGTCTCGACAAGCGCGTCCACCCCGTGACTCTCTTTGCGCTCTCTCGCTCCAACGAACGCGCCCAGCAGGTTTCCAAGGTCAAGAAGTTCGGCCTCTCGGACGACGAGCGCGCCAACCCCCGCGGTATCGATCTGCTCTCCAAGTTCGCTCAAGCCTCCCATGATCACGACTTCATGGACGACAACCGCATCCTGTCAACCTGCACATCCATGGTCTTCGCCGGCTCGGAAACAACAGCCATCTCGCTCTCCGCCGTGTTCTACTTCCTCGTCAAGCACCCGCAGGTCTATGCGAAGCTGATGCGTGAACTCGATGATGCTGTAGCAGACGGGTCAATCGAGGAACGCGCAGATAAAACCGTGTCCTGGCCCGAAGCCCAAAAGCTGCCCTATCTTGACGCTGTCGTGCAAGAGTCCTTCCGCCTCCACCCCGCGCCCGGTCTCATTCTCGAGCGCGTCGTGCCTGCACAGGGCATGCAGATCGTCGACACCTTCGTACCCGGCGGGACAATCGTCGGCTGCAACGCGTGGGTTATTCACCGCCGTCCTGAAGTTTTCGGGTCGGACGTCGATACGTTTCGACCCGAGCGCTGGATCGAGGCCAGCCCGGAGAAGCTCAAGGAGATGAAGGGCAGCATGCTGCAGTTTGGTGCGGGCGCGAGGACGTGCATTGGCAAGAACATCAGTCTTCTGGAGATCTACAAGCTGGTCCCTAGCTTCCTGAGGCGGTTCGAGATTGAGCTCGAGTACCCTGGTGCGGAGTGGAAGACGCATAATGCGTGGTTTGTCACGCAGAGGAACTTCAACACGCGCTTCAGGCCCCGTGTCACTAAGACCGAGTAACAGGGTCACATCAAATCATTGATCAAGCGTTCAAGCGTTCAGATAAAGAATTCACACAACAACTAATTATTGACAAGCCCTCAAAGTGCAAATGTGTTTCGTTTCTACTTCTCAATCGCCTCAAAGGCATAATTCCTCGCTTTCGACGTCTCCTTCATCCGCCACTCCTCAATATACCCCTCCACCTCCGCACACCCATTCTCCTTGCCCTCCACCGGCTCCCCCCACGTCCCCCAATACGGCACAACCCCCGTCCACGTCTTCTTCACCAACCCGGCATCCTTCAAATCCGCGCGATCCTCCGACGGCCCGCCCACCCTCACCTTCGCGCTCGCCGACTCAATCCTAACCCTCAGGATCGACGTCGAGGTCAGCTCAGCCTTGGTCGGCGGACCCCTGCTCTTGGCCCAGCGGTCGGGGATGATGTTATCGGTGATGCGCTGCATCGCGTACAGCGCCTCGGCCTCGTCGGTCACGAGCTCGGCATACCCGTAGGCGACGGCGGAGCGGTAGTTGCAGGAGTTGTGGAAGGGGGCGAGGGCGAGGACCAGGCCGTCGAGAAACGTGGCTGCGACTGTGACGGGCAGACCTGCGTCTGCGTTCTTGCTCTGCTTGAAGAGGCGCCCGGAGACGTAGCCGTGGATGTAGAGATCCTGTGCTGTGGTGTTTGGGTCTGCGGATTGGGAGGCAAAGGCGCCGGTGCAGCCGAGCATGGGTAGGACGACGGGGAAGGGGTGTTCGGGGTCGTTGAAGGAGACATGCAAGACGGGGCAGGTGTTGATAAGGGTGTGGATTGTCGCGAAGTCGTATGTGCCTGTCTTTTGTTAGGATGGGCAGGGCATCTTTGGCTTTCGAATCAATACCTCTGTTCGCCAGCCGACCAAGCTTGTTCGTTGCTGTTTTGGGATACTCTGGTGAAGCCATTGCTATGTACTTTTAAATGCAATCGTGTCCTGGATGTTCTGATCTTCCAAGTGCCACTTTGTTTGTTACTTATACCTGGTGTATGTCGTTGATACTCTACATGGGTCATAACACGTGATCCATGATCCAAATATCTGGCATTACTTTGCGAGGATATCCACTCTACAACAGTGTCCGTGGGAACAGCTGCTTGCGTCAGAGAGTGGAAATTGTAATCGTGGGATGCTGATTGGCTGTCTAATATGGCTCAGGGTTCAACACAGCACGAGCGTTTGTAGCGTGTAGGATTATTGAAAGTATACATGGCAAGGCTGACGGTCCTGTCGGTGCGGGGTATTGAAGGATATTGAAGGTGATTATGTGTATACTTTGGGGTCTGCAACCCACAGCCGTGTATTCTAGTTCGCCCTGCGCTTCTGCATGCCGGTCTTTCTTTTGCCTAGAACATCGCGACCTTCCTCAATCTGCAACATAGCTTCACGCTTCTTCTCGGTGACTGGCTTCAATGCATCGCGCACGACTCTTCCTTCAATGCTGACTCCCTCCTCCTCGTACTCCTCCATCTTCTTGCCCACGCGCTTTTCGATTGCAAGGATCAACTCAACATCGCGCTGTCCGATCAAAGTGATGCTGGTTCCAACACGTCCAGCACGAGCCGTACGACCGACTCGATGAATGTAGTCATCTGGGTCGCGAGGCACGTCGTAGTTGATGACTAATGCGACTTCTGGGATATCGAGACCTCGAGCTGCAACATCAGTTGCGACCAGGATACGTGCAGCCTGCGCACGGAAGCGGGCGAGATTATTGACACGATCAGACTGCTTGAGAGCAGAGTGTAAGGCTGTCACCCGGTGGCCAAGCAGGCGAAGCATGTGTTCTAGTAGAGTGGCTGTCATAGTGCGATTGCAGAATATGATGACAGATTTCTTGAGGTTCTCCGGTGTTTCGAGAGCGACATGTAGGTAGCATTCTTTATGTGTGACAGGCGTTTGGATGTACCTCTGCTGCAACTTTGGCGGGATAGCAAGGTCTTCTGTGTCGACCTCACAAACAAATATCGGAGGGCGGCCGGGACGGGGTTGCTCTTTCAATGCGAGTACTTCTGGTGTGACTGTTGCGGTGAAGAGCAGAGTTTGGCGTTGTGCGGGTGGCGGTACAACGGAAAGGCAAGTTTCGAGGTCGGGAAGCATGCTGCCCTTTCCTGGTGTGAGCAGTCGGTCGGCCTCATCGAAAACGACGAATTTGACACGACGCAGACCACAGATTGTGTCTTCTCCAGAGCTTTTGATGTGCTCTGCAAGACGTCCTGGCGTAGCAACAACAATGTGCGGTCTTGAGGCAAGGTTGAGAGCCTGTTCTCGCTGGTCCGCTCCACCCGTGACCAAAATCGGCTTCATCGATTGGGGTGCTGAAATGGCCTTGATCTGCTCAAAGATTTGGATTGCCAACTCTCGTGTTGGTGTGATAATCAGCCCGAAGATGCCCACAGGGTCCTCTGCCCATTTCTGCATGATGGGCACAGAAAACGCCACGGTTTTACCCGTACCAGTTCGACTACCTCCAATACAATCTCGTCCTTTCAAAATTTCGGGAATGCAAGCCGCTTGGATACCGGTGGGTTTCTTGATCTCCATAGACGCTAACGAAGCTACAAGCCATGGGGCAACATCGATGGAGGCAAAGCTCAATTTGTCTTTTGTGGACAGAGCCGATGATTGTAAGGTCGTAGTAACCTTGGCGCTGCTTGGAGCAGTCTGTGATTTTGTCTTGATTCTTGAGATCGTTGACGCTGGTAATGCTGGAACTGGCGCAGCGGCCTGGTGGTCTTCAGAGGCATGATCCGAGTCTTCAGTGCTGGATGAAAGCTTCCTCCTCTTTCTTGAGCCAACTTGATGCTCCAGGATCTCCTCATCCGCCGAACTAAAGTCAGAGTCGCTCCGCGCCATTCTGGAAGTCTGCAGTGCAATTTTCAGAGGAGTCAAAAGTAGGCGAAAGCTGTGTCGTGAGCGGCAAAGCGCTTCTGCCTCGGTCGCTGTGCATCTCGAAATTTTGTGAGGAATTCACGCTAGCGTTATCGATAACGCTAGTCTAATTTAGTATAGCCGCTGGGAGTCTTCTCTCTCTACGAACCACTACTATGTAATGACCACACTATTATGCCAAGTTACAGGCCGCTTCTGACAAGCTTCTGTTCCTTGAATTATCTACCGCTCTCTAGTTCTATATCTACAGCATGACTCGCCACAAAGACACGCTTTGTCCAAACCAGCCCAGTACTTGTCGCCATAATCGAGCGTTATTTCCGTACCAGCCTCAATTCCTTTACTGACGATGATGACTCTTTGGGTATCCAGCCATGTAAAGGTAGACGACTGTGCGTTTGCTTTACAGCTGTGATTCGCGAAGCGAGTGTAATTCCCAATCCTCTCTTGCCAGATTTGGTAGTTGGCAAGTGGCGTGGAGCTGTCCATCACATCACGACCGCTCATGCCTTTCGTTATCAGACCAACAAGCTCTCCAATTGCTGCCCCCCTCTCAAATGATGTCAAAGCTAGCAGGCCGTTGTTCTTCCCATCTGGGGCGCGGAAAACCTGGATGGGTGGGGGTTTACGCTTCACACAGCCAAACAGCGATGGAAAGCAAAAGCAGGCGTTCGTCTTCGAGTCGTCTGATTGCTGCTCACCGCATGATGCACAGAGATACTGGCCATTTATTCGGGCGATAGCATTGGTTTGTGGCGTCCATCGTGGATCTTCACAGCCCCAGACCGACTCATCAATTATGGACTCATCGATGTGTTCGAAGGCAAAATAGCGATTGTGGTCCAGATATGTTTCTCGCAGAGGGACTGGATCTGTGCCATCCTCGAAAACGACCCATTCGTGTGGATGACCTGGATATTGTAGCGTCGAGGGCTCGCCCACAATCGCCAACAACTGTCGCCAGTGTGGATGCAAAGTATCCGCAGCCATCTCCAACCTCTTTCGAAGATTTCGCAGGCGCCTCATCGCGTCTTTGTCAAACCCGACCCGGTACTTGCAAAATCGGTAAATTCCCATTCCCGCGAACACGAGAGCTGCCCAGCCTGCCGCATCTTTGACCTCTTTATACCCTCGCCAGATCGCCATCTTGTTTCGCAACTCTTTCTCGGACCATCCAAAGTCTTGACATGCTTCCATAAAGACGGACTTTCTGTGTTTGGTAGCCGACAATTCAGGTGCAGCTGCAGAGCGGAACTGGATCTGCTCCTCGAAAAGCTCTGTCCACCGAGCCTGCACTATCATCTCGATGGATCGGCATACGCGGCTTGCCTGTGTAACTTTGCGGCAGAATAAGTTCATTTGACTGAATGAGTCGTGTGTACTGTCGGTTGTCGTGCTCAGCATGTCCATGGCCATCACATCTGCGGTACTATGATGGATGACCTCCGAAGATCCCGCCGGGACAATCTGGAATTGCTCAAATATGGCTTTTGGATCAAGGTTGATGGAGCCGTGGAGCTGCTCCCAAATACCGATGACCAGCTTGTCGAGAGTTGAAGGTTGAAAGACAAACTTCTCAGACGCTACCTTCTTCCGCTTCGGAAAGTTTCTAGTGTCGACTTGCATCTGCCGCTGATGCTCGCTATGATCTTCCTGTATGCTCTGATTCTGCGATATCCTCAAACCACCAGTACCTTTCCGACGGGAGTCAGAAGCATCTGCAATCTCTTCAGTGGCATCAGAGCCAGGAGACTGTGTCTCAAAGCCCGGCGACATCATCTCGTGATTCTGCATCATCTCCTGATCTTGGCGTGGTACCGTTGGGCTTCTTGAAGGGCCCGGAGTCATCATACCTCTTAGTTCTAATGTCCTCTGCATGATGTTAGCCGCTGCAATGCCTTAAACTACGCTCCTCTAATTCCTCGGGACGGTCACCACTCTATGTGGCTCTAATGTCTACGCGAGAGATAAATGTACTTACCGATGCCACTCGTTCTGAGCGTGGGCTCGAGACGTTTTCTGGGCCTGCATCCTCCAAAAACGCCTCTACACGGAGGATAGGCCGGACCAAACCGTCAATCTGTGGCCATGCGACATTGATGTTAGAACGCTCCAAGTGTTCCTGAATCGCTCGACCGATCACTTCAGAAAGGCCGTCGATGCTCTCGAGTGCAGCCATGACGGTGCGATTCCGACAATTTGGGTTCAATAGTTTTAGTTGGCTTGTCTTCGCTCTTGTCTCCTTAACTGTTCCACCAGAGGAACGGGAGATCGCCGAATGCGCTGGGACGCTCAGCCTTGGGCGCAGAATAACGTTGCACAGACTGACTTGCGGGTGCTGCTCAGGGAGGCGCTTTGCATGCAATCACACGAAATTCGAATAGACAGTCGCTGGGGCTTGAGGGTGGATCGTGATAATCAGACGGGGGTAAAATCTGATTCTACATGCTTCGATCGTTTTTCATTTTGTGAGGCTGCCAGTTGGTCGACATTTCTCATTTGATCGTCAAGCTGCTCCCGCCGTTACGCGCCGGCGATCTTAACGTTTATGATGGTTCCCGGTTCGACAATTCTAGACTTGCGCGCTTTCCTCGATAGGGCTGACGATCACCATGTGAGCCATTTCCTTATGCAGGGTCTGTTCGTCAAAGAGTGACGACAGTGTGGTAATGGTGCAGTGAAAAGTCGAGATAGACTTCGAGCTAACACCATCTGAAGAACAGTCATGAGACTAGAGGATGCCAGGACAGTGGTCGTTGAGCCCTTGTGGGAGCATTTGACGACTGCCAACCTTTGTCTGATTGCTTCCGAAGTCAGACCGCGCTGCCTGAGCAGAAAAAATCTAAGCATCTTTGGGCCGACACCACAACCGATACGGCCTAGTCACGAACTCCTCCCGCCGCCAGTACCGTCCGAACAACCTAGCAAACGTCATGTTTTTCCCCGAATCGATGAAGTAAGTATCAGTATCAGTTCTTCTGCCCACTCATAACGCCTTCCAAAGAGTGATTTCGTGGGCAGAGTATAGGAGCAATGCATGTGTATGGGAAGGCGAGCTGCTCTGTTCTTGTCATGCCTAGCGCATTCTTGTCTGACAAGTCAGTGTAAGAAGCAGCATGCTGTGTATCGTCAACGCCTGTGTCAGTGCGACCCACAATATCACACTCGCCAAGCCGTTCTTATACACATTGTCTTACGGTATACCAGGGGTTCTACCCAACGTTCATTTGTATAAAGGGTGCCGGACGCCTCAGGGTCCGATGTTGGCGTACCTAACTACGTCAGCCGTCGAGGCTCCTTAGCTTGTACGCTATCATCGTCGCATCTAGTTGTCTGTCCATCGCCCTGGAGGTTCCTTCGTACGACTTGGTCGCGTCGTGCTACAAAACACTTCTGACGCTGTGGTGACCTCGTAACATGGACGGACCAGTACCCACTGACCTGAGGGAGAACGGAGCCACGTTGAAGAAGGTGTCCACTACCGAGTCGTACACATTTCAAAACCAACAAGGTTGGCGAAAATGGCGTATCCTACGACCAGGTCGTGGTATGTACCACGATGTCAAGCGACGACTACCATACTATTGGAGCGACATCACAGACGCCTTCACCTATCGAGTGGTTGCTAGCACAATCCGCATGTACTTCATCAAGTATATCAGTTCTATTTAGTCCAACATCCACAAACACTGACGACATCAGCGTTCTACCAGCTATTGCTTTCACACTAGACATGTACCGCCGAACTGGCGGATTCTTCGGTGTCAATGAGGCATTGCTCGCATCTGCATTAGCTGCTATGGTGTTCAGTCTTCTCTCTTGCCAACCACTTACCATCGTTGGAGTAACTGGTCTGATTGCACTTTTCAATTATACGATATACGACATCATCGAGAGGTACGACCCTGCCATCTATCCAGCGTTCACGGCATGGGTAGGAATCTGGGCAGCGATCTTTCACTGGGTTGTTAGCTTCGGAAACTTCTGCGATTACATGGCGTATGTCACAGACTTCTCTAGTGAGTCTTTTGGCATGTATGTGGGTATTGTCTATTGCAGTATGTTCGACTTCTTTAGGGCTCTTGTCTTTCACTGATGGAGATACACAGTTAAGGGAGTCGAAGAACTTGTCTACCTTTTTGAGGCCTCTGGCTTCGAGGGTGGATATCTTTCTATCGTAATTGCTATGTTGTTCTTCGGTTCCGTGTACGGCCTCGAGAAAATCGGCAGCAGCACGATATGGAAGCCTTGGGTCCGCGGTATCCTCGCCGACTACTCATTCGTCTTTCCAACTCTGTTTTGGGTGGGCTTCTCACACTTCCCTGGACGTCTGGGCAGAACTGAGCAGTACCGTGTTCCTACTGTTGGTGCGTTCCAGCCTACGCAGCCTCGCGACTGGGTCATCGAATTTTGGACACTTGATGCCAAATGGGTGTTTGTAGCCCTACCTTTTGGCTTTCTGATGATGCTTCTGTTCTACTACGATCATGTAAGTAAGGTTATTGCGATTGCATGGGTTCTACTAACTGCCATTACAGAATGTGTCTTCTCTTACCGCGCAGGCACGTCAGTTCCCCTTGAAAAAGCCAGCTGGGTTTCATTGGGACTTTTTCCTGCTTGGCTGCACCTGCTTTGTGTCTGGAATTATCGGGCTGCCGTTGCCGAACGGCCTCGTACCCCAAGCGCCTGTACATACAGATTCCTTGACAGTTTATGAGACTCGTCTTGAGGTCATAGAGACTACTGACGGCGACGAGATTCGCAAACCGCTTGTCGAAGCTACAGCAGTTGTCGAGCAGCGAGTCAGTCACTTCCTGATGGGCATGGCGATCTGGGGCACCATGACTGGGCCGCTCTTGACCGTTCTGAGTACCATGCCTGCAGCAGTGTTTGCCGGTGTCTTCTTCGTTGTCGGTGTAAGGAACGACTCCATGTAGTCAATTGTACATTCTGCTAACGACATCGTAGTGGGGATCCATTGAAAGCAATGGTATTCTTGCTAAGTTTTGGTACCTCAACTCCGAAAAGCGATTCGTCGATCCAAAGAACCCGCTCAATGTCGTTCCTCGCAGGAAGATATGGATGTACATTGGCCTTCAAGCACTCGGCGTCGCGTGCACAGTAGCCATCTCGCAAACTATTGCTGCTATCGGCTTTCCGGTCCTCATCATCGCCCTTATCCCACTGCGTACATTTCTGATGCCCAAATGGTTTTCTGTGCACGAGCTTTCGGCTCTCGATGCGCTTACGGCGAACAACCCGGCTGTGCTGGTCAGCTTTGGAGGCACACCGGCCAAAATGAAGGACCTGGAGCAAGACTTTAACGACACTTTAAGGGCTTCTGGTGATTCTGCACAGGGAAATGGCTATGATTTGAGTCGTGCTAGATCGCGGGGCAGTCGAAGCCGCAGTGCTGTGCGCCAGCGTGCTGGAAGCTTGCACGTGTAGACAGAGCACAGAGAGTTGCTCACATCTTGCAGACAAGCGCGTATGGAAGAAATGTAATAGAGCTACAAGGTTCATTCGAACATAGATGAAAGGATGATTAGGAATTTTCACATCTCAAGCAGCTGCCATTCGTCTTCCACGGTCTCAGTCCGGCGATCGAAGTCTAGAACTGAAAGACACCCAATAGACTCTGGGATCTCAAACCCAGTTTTAAGATTGCCCAGCTCTACAAATGACCTGTCACTTGGCGAACCAATTTCGATACCAATACGGCCAACATCTAGCTCCAGACACCAAACCTTTTTCTCTCGGTTAGCTACCCATCGAGGAACTGCCTGTGACAGTGGTACATATCTACGGAACTGCTGTATCTGCGTGAATATGTGTATCAGAGAGAAGTGCATGGCGTCCAGAATGTTCCCATTAAGCTCGCCCTCCAACTGCCATTTTCTGCAAATACCTTGCTCGATCAAGGCCCGCTTCGCCTTTCGGCCAATCGTATGTGCAAAGAGATTTCTGTCATCTAAGTAATTTTTGACGAGTTCTGGCTGTGAGTGCTGTTTTCGCAGCGACTGCGCAATGTCCGCCGCTGTTTCTATGGCATATTCCAGTTGTCGCATATTTGGCACTGTGACTGTTGGGATCAGGCCTTGTACACGGTTGTGCATCGCAACTAGGTCATAGTTTGCAAAGGCCATATTCAGCCAGCGGTTGAATTCATCTTTTCGATCCTCGGCTGCTCGTTCCAACCTATGGACCAGATGAGGCATGTCGAGTTCGCGCGTAAGCCGGTCTAATGATGCCCGAGAAATCGAAGCAGACTCGCCAGCATGTCTTAATATATATCTGACCTGTGCATGCCATCTCCCGTTCGGCCGAGAAGGGAGGAGGTGTATAGCGTGTATCGGAAAGGTTAGTGTGTCGAGAGTGTGTGAATCAGTGACCACCGTCGTATCATTTAGCCCATAAGCACTTTCGAGGAACACGGGCTGTGGATCATTATATGGGACGGGGTCTGGCTCAGGTGCACTCAAAGGCTTTTTGCAACAGACCCGAGACTCACCCGCACATACAGACTCTAGGTTGGCATCAATCCATGAATCATCAGCCAAAAAGCTCAGTTCAGGCGTCAAGTTCGTGGGCGACGCTACTGGCGAGTCCGGCTCTGTGATATCTGGGCCCCACGTACGAACAGAAGTAGTGGCCATGCTATGCATTTTGAATTTGGTGCAGTTGCAGCTGGAAAAGCGTGTCAGATGATCAAGATGTCTCTTGCGTTCGGAAGCAGAACAAAGTGGAAAGTGTAGAACTGTAAGTTAGCAATAATACACGAAAGGTAATGCCTTATGGAGAGGTGTGAGCCTATATGTGAAAACATCATGCGTTTTCCTCTGTTGTTTGCGATACAGTGATTATGCCTTGGGCGTAATTGTGACAGCCACACGTACTGATCGAAGTGTGACGGGGACCTGCTAATCAGAGAACCACGTATATTTCTACAGACCAAGAAGCGTTTCGATGCCACGCAACGCGAAGGCAGCTGCCATATTATTCTACGGCCTACACGTCGTCGATTGTGGGTGTGGCCCCCTGACCCAGGCTGAATAATCGGTAGTAGGCTATATAGTGGAAGCAAGAAAATACCATTGACATAAGCGGGAGAAGGGTATCGTAAAGAAGGCCTTGTCTCGATGGCGTTTTGAAGGTGCTTCGAACTCGATTGAGTAATCGTAGAGGGAGCAGTGCAATTTGGCGATGTGACTTCGAGCACCTGACCGCGACCTAAACGATCAGGGCGGAACTTTACCAGCAGTAGCTTCTACGACCCTAGTAACATCATTTTGCAGTTCCGGTACAGCGTTCGAGAGTTGCCACGAGATCTGCTCTTGTAGAAAACGGTAGGCTTCTCCGCGGCCTTTCAGCATCTGATTCGTGCGTTGCACAAGTTCGACAAACTCTCGAGTGTAAATGTCGGGATTACGAGAGCTTTCTACGTAGTTTGTGACTTCTGGTGGTATGTCGATCTGCACAAGAGGAGCTGTCTGTGACAACTTCACAAGATCCTGGATGAGCGCTTGGCTGGTGATGAAATCAGTACTGACATATCAGAGACTCTTACAAGAGACATACACCTCGCGCTTCATAGCTTCTTGCGTCTTGATGCCATGGTGATCATACGCCTGCACGATGAGGTTATACAGCGTTTGCACAATATCTTTGAGCTGCCGCTCGACCAAGACGATCGCTGTGGAGTGTTGTTAGTATTGATCTTGTTTCAGCATAATTACGACCGCACCATCAGTGTCTGCTGCACTCATTTTGTGGGTTTCTGGTGTTGCGATTGTATTATTTGAGAGTACGAAGCAGCGTTCTAGGTGTACCAGATATTACCAAGACGCTAACGCTGGCAGAGTCCGTGCACTTCTTGCGTCACCGCTCCGAGTCTTTCACCTACAACCTGTAAACCGCGACCTTGAAAAGCACAGCGTTCTTGGGTGCACCGTGACGTGGAGTACAGAGCTCGATATCAGAAGATGGTGGTCATTTGAAAGCAATCATGATGGAGAGCACGCAACAGGAGCTGGATTCTTCCTATTTGCAGCCACCCACCCACCTTTCCTCCACAACATCAACAAGCACAGAGTCTGCTACCGCGCCAACTTCCACTCGCGCAAGTGGAGGAAAGCGATTAGTCGAGACCCAAAAGTCGGAGACCGATACAACGTCAGATAAAGCTACTGCAGCTTTTGTTCGGCGAACACTTTGCTCTCACGATGTTTTGCTTGGAAATGGCGAGAAAGGGGGAACCACGCCTCGTCCAATCGATGAGCTCCTTCCACCCCTGACCAGCTCAAACGACGTTGACCTGCAACTTTACGGTATCATTTCGGTGATCATTAAGGAGTTTGTGCAGACATGGTACTCGAAGATCACGCCGGACCACGTCTTTGTCAACGAGGTTATTCAAGTCATTGCACACTGTACAAGGGCACTTGAACAGCGTCTGCGTAAAGTCGATTTGGAAGGTCTGCTACTAGACGAGATACCAGGGCTTTTGGAAGAGCATCTGATCGGTAGGTGATTCAAATTCTTGTTGAGCCCTGGAGAGCATGTCTAATTACAATCCCAAAAGCATTCCGCCTTGCAAAGCGACAAGCCTCGTCTCCACAATCGTTAGTGTCAGATCCACGTCTCATCTACCACACACTCTACCCGCACCCTGCCTTGTCTCCTGTGCCGACCGATGATGTGCCGTCGACACATGTCGAGCAGCGGGAGAACGAATCTGCCTGGCGCCAACTCATCATCCAGGGAGTCCTAGCCGTGTTGCTCCCTACCGATGATCTGAAGAATGGATGTCTACGATCCCTAGTGGCAGAGATCTTCGCCGAAATGATATTGGGGAATGGCATCAGCGGGAAAGCCTGCGAGGGCTGGCTTCTATGGGAAGCTATTGGGAGAATTGCAGATATTCTCCAGACCAATCCTGTTCATGAGAAGGATGCTTCGTCAGATGACGGGGCCACAAGTGAGGAATTAAGCCGCCTGGAACGCTTCGGACTCTTGCCCTCGCAAACCGAAGAGCAAACTGGTTCAATCAGCTTGCCAGCCGCTGATGCCAACTATCACGATTTCGCAACCCGATCAGCCGCGGGCTTGTTTTGGATGGTCGTCCAATACGCGTTTTTGGCGTATACAGCGCTGCGCGCGGTCATTCTAACTATAGCCACAGCATCATCGTTGCCGTCAAGGACCTTGGCAGACGGACCGGTAGCGATGGAAGATACTCGCGAATCACATCTGGCAGAAGCGGAGTCTCAGGCCTCTGCGCATTTACTGGTCTACAAACGACCTATTGTGAGCATGAAGCTGTGGAGCTGCGCAGCGCAGTTTGTGGACCTAAACGTCCGCATGCCTTGGCTGACCGGATTCATCTCCATACTGCATTGTGGAGCGCTGTTCGGCCCAGGAAGGGTGGGTGACACCGACGGCGTATTGGACAGGTGAGTTGCGACATTTTCATTGCTCTATTCCATGGTTGGCCAGCAACATCTGCATCCAAGCCCAGTGCAACACAACGTGCAGAAGGACCGCATATGATTTTGGTCACTTGACTTCGCCTCAGCGAATGCGACGGCCCGCAGACCCTCACCGGCCGTACCCTAGTTTGGGGGTGCGCCGAAATCTGCAAGCCCATGCACCCGTTCCGGGCGGCAATTCGACGCCCGAGCCTAGGCCTTGGCAAGGGTGTCGCTCTCCTCACCACCATTCACCATTCAGAACAACACCCGACACTGGCAATCTAAATGGACCGATCGCAACGTATGATGCTGTACGGACAGCTTGTGATGCGACTACGTTGCGGGCCCAACAACACAATAGTTGTGCCCTATCGCGACTGTCGCCATCATAGGCAGCCTGCTTACGCGCCCGCTGATCTCCCCACGTCGTCAGCCGTCCGTTGAGCTCGGGATCGGCCGTCCATCATGTACGAAACCCGAGCCTTGCGACCAAGACCGATAGACGGTTGCGCCTCATCTTGCGACACTTACGCGAATGGGCGATATCGCTAACATGTCTTGTGCACTACCGGGCATGAAAGATTTGTCGACCACTGGTGCGGCCTTTGCAGCCAATCTGGCTCATTCGACATGTGCTTGCCATATTACTTCGGCACGACTGGCCGGATGAAAGATGGTCTCGGATGGACCCCAGTGTTAATCCTGTCCATGAGCCGCAGCATGTCTATTCTATCGCCTCACTCTGCGACTAAGAGATCTCACGGTCATGTTCGCGCGAGGGCGTCATGCTGCGGTACCGCTTTGGGATGCTCCGTTCGAATAACCTGGCGCAATAAATCATCGGCTGACTAGTAGCCGAGGACTGACCCACTCGACCACAGCGCGTGAATTGCAGCTGATGTGCCAATCAAGGCAACGCTCTATAACAAAGTACACTACACTAACCACATAGTCGCTAGGTTTCTCTCTCACATCATCCACACCCGCGTTCTGAACCCCGCTCTACTTCCAGTCGTGCTCCGGACAGTGCGTGCTACATTGTTCCCGAACAATGGCATGGGTCCCGCACGCCAGATACCGACCGAAAAAGAGACTATGGAAATCAAGCGTCGTTGCGCCACTTCGTTGCTCGGATTGCTACCACCCAAAGTGGCAGTCGCTTTCCTTGCGAGTGATAGCAGGGTCACACAACATCAGCATGTCGAGGAGATCCTTGATTGTCTCGAAGACACGTACTTGAACAAGCACCTCATTTTCCAGATTCTCGAATTGATCGTGTTGAGATTAGCTCCTGAGATGGAACAACAGGGGATACGAGACCTGATAGAAGATCGAACAGGATGATTCACTCAAGTGATCATCACACGCTTCAGATCCACAATCAGTCAACGGCCTGTCCCTTCCGCAGCTTCGCTTTGGAAAACCACGTCGGCATTTACTGATCGATCAAAGAGCCTTCCACATGTTCTTTGCAGCTGAAGTGTTCATACAATGAAAGTACATTGTCGATCGTAGGTGTTGACAGCAATCCTCTACTCCGGCTCAACCTTGAAACAGGCAAGGTTTACCATACCCATAATGTAGCTTGATGTACAAACAGCTCATCTTGCGTCGTCATGAAAAAGGTACACCGCTCTACCCGAAAAGAGGGGAATGGACCAATCACGAAATTGAGCGGGACAGATTGTTGAGGAATATGCAAGTCCAGACTCCATGCAGAATCCCGGGTGCATGCCATCTGACTTCTTGGAGGGGAAAGCTGGAGAGGTAAATGAGCGGAAATATACCGTAAAATACAATGTATCCCGTTGTACGCGCTATCATCTAGCATCCAGGGACCCCGTTATCACGTTGGATTTGAATTTGTTTATTAAACGTCGTACGATTATCGAGGCAACTTGGCGGTGAACGTCATTATCGCTTTGACAAGGTGTCTCGATGAGGATGGATTCGGGAAGCGCGACAGACCGCAATATGTGCTTGAGGGACGAGTGACCAGCTACACCAACAATGCCAGCCCAAGCACGACGATTCCAGCCAATGACAAATAGAACAGTCGGATTCGGGCTAGCCATGTGCGCATCTCCGCCGTCGGTATTTTTGTGGGTTCCTGATGGACGGAGGATGCAGAAGTGCTGCGAAATAGGAATGAGGTGCGGAGGATAGGCTATCGTCATGTCGTATCGCATTCCGAACGTCGAAAACTGAATTGTTGAAGGCCACGCGACGTCCCGCTGCCGGCTGACGACGACCGTAATGCAGCGTGGGCTGAACAAGGGCTTCCCTGAACCTGTACCAACCTGACGCTGTTGATAATGCTACTGACCGCTTCACTATCAATTAAAGCGGACGTTTTGAGCCGCACATATGAGTTCTAGATATTTACACCAGACCCTTGTCAATAGGAGTCTCAGATGTGGCATGGTGATGGGATTCCCCGCACGTCACAGATGATCTCACATCGTGTTGTCGTAGGGCTCGCGTACCTGAAATGCCCGTGCCGCCATGTCGTTCCACTCTGCAACCAAGGTTGTCAGCTTACTGCGGCGCGACATCGTCGCATAGCGCGGGCCCGACAGCGCTTATGGGCAATATGTACCTGGAGCTCATAATCCTTACGTCGCCGACTACCCGACTCCAAAAGCGTCCGTGTAACGGCCGCCTGACTCGCCATCTACATTGACCGTTGAAATTTGAATCCTTCGTCTTGCAAGGATCTTGGCCAGACACCGCCTCTTTCACAAGCTACCGATCGCAGTTCGGCTGCTCCAACGACTACGTTGTGACATCACATCCTGCGCTGCTTCGGTGATGATCAGGGGCGAGGAGCTCGCCCTTCAAGCTACAGCAATGCAATCCATGGGCCCTCGGGAGGAATAGACGCAATTTGAGATGCGAGACATCCCGCGGTGGAGAATTCACAGTTCCCAGTACCGTGCACTGAAGTCCGTCTCCGACGCTTGTGGATTGCGGCCCAAAGAAGGAACGACTCTATGCCAAATCGATGTCGCAAAGTGGCCACAGGCCATGTTAACGGTCTGCAATACCGGGTCCGTTTGGGGTGTGCCTGTATTGTCATGTAACACAGCCCGAGAGACATCACTCTTGAAAGAGAAGGCGCTTAACGCTTGACACGTTGCGAGCAACGGCATTTCAATGAACCCGCCAGTCCAAGTGCCGGTCTTCATGCCCCGGTGACAACATTCCGGGCTCAATGACATCCACATGATACTCTCAGAGCTTCGTGATACTGCAAGAGTCCGTTGCGGCACTTGATGATCAACCTGAAGCGACGGCTGCGTGCATTCGACAGGGTGCACGGTGCGGCTTGAGCCGTCAACAGCGGGTGTCGCGTTCGCGCTGCGAACCACTGCCCAGTGCTCGAGGACTCATCCATCCGCACTCATCACTGCCCAGATAAGGACGCTGGGAAACCCCCTGTACGACGCACAGACTCGTGTAAGCCGGCAGTGATCAGTTCGACTTTTCACTCCTTGCGGAGCTTGCGGCGACAAGCGCTTCCAACATGCATTGTCAGAAGCAAAAGCAAGGGCAGCCCTTGAGTCTCATGGAGGCTCCGAGCGCAAAAAGATGGTCACTACGAGGGTCGAACTCGCGACCTTGGCGTATCAAGGTATAATCTATTAGCACCACGCTCTAACCAACTGAGCTAAGCGACCAATGGTTTGTATGGATCACGTGGAAAAAGTACACACTATACCTACGTTCAACAAACTCCAGCTTGCCGTGTTGTCTTGATAAATGGTACATAGTGCTCGGCGACATTCAACAAGCTTCAAGGCCCTTGCAAACATTCACATCAACCCCTGAGTCACTTTGGATGCCACCGCAACGTCGAGCGAAAACCCTGACACTGGTCCCACACACACCCAACCGCGTGCATTGTTACACCACATACACTTGCAATCACCTGACCCGCTAGCGCAGGCACGCCAGCCAACGACAACGGCAGGACGCCTGTTGTAGCACGTCAGCGCGACAGCGTTTGCGCTACAGACGACGCGCCGCCAAAGGCCCGACGCCAGCGCAGCCACTGCGACTGCACAAAAATGCTATGTCGTATTCTCACCTCAGTGGTTGTAATTGACATACACTAACGCAAGTGTCGCTGTAATTTCTTGGGAAGGGTGGGGCGTAGCCTGTAGTGTAATGCAGCTAGTCGAGTCAGGCTGTCGTGTCAGGTCAGACTGATCGAGTACAGATCGTGTGCTGCGGAAGACGAAGGGAAATTGGGGCGTTGCGCAGGTGGAGTTGCGGACTTGACAGTTGCGTTGTACCCGCGTATTCATGTTGCGGTGTGTTCGAGTTCGCTTGAAGCTCGGTGGCGTGCGCAAAAGCAAAAGAGTCGCTCAGCTGAGGGTCCTGCGGGCAGCAGAAGTTCACGGCTACGGGCCGAACCGCATTGAAATGAAAGGCACTCTAGACTGATCGCTGCAGCAGTTTTATTACCTTTGCTTCTGCAGATTGCTACATTGCCAGCGAGGTGGCCCGGGCATGATGGCATCATAGTTGTTGCAAGTCCTCACTGCCAGATGTGGACACACAGTCCTACGACACAGTCCATGACCGTGCTCGGCTCGTCCCCGCACTAGCTCGCTTCCCGTGCTTACTCTCTGCCGATCGAGGACCACCAGCGACTGCCTGCCGCAGAGAACCCGGTGAAATGACATACAAGCCAGACGGTCGCAAACGGCAATCCCCTGTCTCACGCGCGGACAAGTTGCCTACCACTGACAGGCGGGGAGCCGGATGCCTGAGCAGGCTGACCTTCCGCACCGTGCTGTGGCGGGCGCCAGGCATCAACCGCCGCCGAGAGGTTGTTGAGGTGTAAGGAGGCTCGGTTGACTGGTGCGAGCGCCATGTCTCAGCTATGCGAAAGTCACCAATCTACTGGAATGCCTGGAAGCTACGGTATAACCGACGTTGAACCTTGACTTGGAATCTCGCGATGTGCCCTGAAGCGAAGATTACTGCATGAAATCAATTTTCTGTGTTCTGTCATACTGGACAGGCGACGACCAGTCGAAGTGACAGCGGGTCACAGCATGATGAGACAGGTAATCGATCGCCTAGAACAAGGAAGCTACAGGCATGGAACACCAAAAGAGTGGATTGATTCAGTAGTCGAGCTTGACCTGTGTCTCAGACTAAGAAAACTATATGAGCTCAAATATATGTGCCAGAAGCGTACGAGCCTTTTGATCGTTTCAGGCGGAACACAAAAGAAAAGGGGCCGCCAGAAGATGCTGTAAAGGATAGTACAATAGATAATGTTCCGCGTGAGCGGGTACAGTCTTTCATGTGCGTAAGAAGAATGTATGGCCATGCATTGGGGTATTGTGCATGCTGAGGGTATAACGTGGAAGCAAACATAGAGCAGTGAAACGAGCGCCAGAAGGAAACATGAAGCAGGAGATGCTGAATATGCCAATGCGAGAACAAGAGACGATGAAACCAATACCAGTACGTGCACTCTCTGGATGTGCCTTTATTGTCCTCCTTTTGGGTTGTGATCAAATCGAAATATGCGTCTTTCCAACGTATTATTAATAATTTTATGGTTGTCCAATTTCCTCCGCATGTTGCGTGGCGCGAAGCGGTGCTTGAGTCGATGTCTTTAAGAAGGCTGTTGTCTAGTGTAAAACGTCGACAGTCTCTAGCTTGGTGACGAGGTAATCGGGTTCTGATGCGCGTCGAACGCCTGATGGTATGCTCTCAGATCGGCTCTTGATCCGCAACTTCTCCATGAGCTTTCCAATCGTCATGTACTCCTCAGGCGCAACCGCAAAATCGCCCGACTGTGACTTGAAGAAACTCATGACTAGCTCTAGCGCGCGCGCTGCTTCCTCCTGGGAAGGTGAGACTGGCGAACCTGTTGACTTGATCCCTCCAAAAGTGGTAGCTGGCAGAGGTGGTGGCTGCATTGAGTTTGAAATCTGGGAAGGTGATACAGACATGGCCTCGTCGATCGAGGTTATTGGATCGCCTAGCTCTGCCATGGGGGAGTCAAGCGCAGTGCTGCTGATGTATTTCGGAGTCATTGCCTCTGATGATGCTGGCGGCGACGCATATTGTTCAACACCTACCAACAAGGGGAATGTTTGACTCCGTGGCCGCTGGAAACCGTTGCTCCCTGGCTGCCCATTGGAAGCCTGACGACTACCGATGAATGGATTAGGCCCGCATGCTGAGTCCGGTGTAAAGAATGGCGACGTAGGACTGGTAGGTCCTTGTTCAGTGAAGATTGTTGATAAAGATGTCGTACTCTGTGAGTTGTAGGGTCGTCGACCAGAAAAGTCGAAAGGATCAGGACTCTCAGTCTTCAGGCTGTCCTCACTCTTTTTGACCGCCAGATTTGGGATGGTAGGAGAGTCTTCGTCAGGGGACAGGGGCGAAAGCGCCCCAGGAGTTTGTACGTTTGAGGGTGGGTTTGAGGCACCCTCTGACTCTTCTGCTATCGATCCCTTACGAGACTTTGCGCCCATCAAATGGTTCTTCTGCTTGAACTTCTCCAGCCAACTGGTGCTGTTTGCTTTGAGATGACTCTCGGAGTTCCCTACAGTCTGTGCGAAGAAGCGGGCTTTGTCCCGAATGATTGCATCAGTGAGCTGGTAGCCTTGCCTTTGATGATTCCGGGCCCAATTCGAGAGTGCTCGCTCGATGTCAGGGAACTTCCCCTTTGACTTCCTAATAGGCGAACGACTGCCGTCGTCCTGGTACAGGTACTTTTCCTTTTGTCGCAGCACTTTCGAAACGGTACTACACACTCGTCAGCTAAGTCACAATCATAGTTCCACTTCAGATGTACCTTCTTTCCACACCAAACATTGCTAGAAAACGTCAGCATAGAACTGCGGTTCAACCAAAAAGGATTGCTGGCGTACCTCCAATCTCAGTCTGTTTAACAGTGGGGTTGTCCTCGTGGTATTGGCACATACGGCGACGATCCTGGTCAGTCAAGGTCTTTCTAGGTGTTGAAGATGTTCTCGAATGGGTGGATGTTGCCGAGACAGGAGTGGCTGATGCTGGTGTTATTGGTACAGGCGCCGAAGGAAAGATCGACGGTTGATATGTCGACTGGCTGGTCAACATGCTGGGCCACTGTGGCATGATTAAAGGCTGAAGCTGCTGGTGCGTCGATCTCGGTGGTTGATGTGTAGGATGTGGTGGATGCATGCCAGTCCCATACATAGGCTCCATTGGCATTGGCGTATATGCGTGGAACCCAAAGTCTTGCACTGGCGACGAGTGATGTGGATACTGGCCATTATCATGCCATGCTGTATGGTCTTCGAACGGTTCTTGGTGATGGTGTTCGTGGTCCATCTGTAGTTGGCTCATGTTGGGTAAGGTTGGTGCTGCGTCAACTGTTCTGGCAACGCGGATGTGGAAACAAGAGTTCGTCAAATGCTATGGCGATCAAGTGGTTCGGCTTGCATTTGCAGGACAGTAACGCTGTGACTGGTCGGTGTTGGTGACCTCAAAATGGAGGCGTGCATGCATGCATGAGGTGTTGGTTTAGGATCCTAAGGCGAAAAGTAGCGACGAGGATGTACTGCAGCAGAGCGAGGATATGGCTGACACGACGGCACAGTCGTATGACAAGCTCTAAACTGGATTGTATATAGAGGCGCGGCAGAGAGGGATGAGATCAGAGAGGAGCAGAAGCTGCAGGGAAAGGCCTGGCACTGGGGGCCCGCAGCGCGTACTTGAAAGAAGGTCTGGGGACGCTGCTACAAGCCCTGATGTGTGTGCGATGCAGACGCGGGCTGTTGCAGCAGTGCGGGAGACAGAGACCAGCCTGTTTGTTTCCAGCCTAAGCGTGCCGGCCTGGGTTGGCTTGTGCACCGTACATCCTTGCCGCCATCAAGCCAAGCGACGCCGCAACGCGACAGCAACGTTGGGTTTAGTGCATGTGCGGGTCTTGTCGGGGATGCGCTCTTAGGGTGATGCGGGCCTGAATTATGCGGCCGCCGGGCTCAAGCTCATCGAGGCACACCCAGTGCACGGCTCCACGAAACGTCTGTGCTGCGGCAAATGGGATGTCAAAGCGGTCGGGTACGATCATCCCACAGAGCCATCGCACCGTGCTCACACATCGTTGCGGCCGGCTAATGTGGTTCCAGATGCAGACGCGGTCTGATCAGTGAGGCGTATTGGCATGTTTCGTGCGCGAAACGCACAATTCACCAATATTGTACCCTCGTGGCGCACGACTGCGACTGAAACCAGGCACAGTATCCAGGTACGGGAGGTGGCAATGCCTGCCATTGAACAAAACCGTCAATCATCGACATTGCATAAAACCCCAAATTGCAAAGACGGTCCCTGACGCTTTGGGACGGCGATAATCGCGCCCACGAGAAAAGGAGCCACAAAAGACACATTAGGTTTTGTGAAGCAGCCACTCAGAAACGGGAGCGATAATGAATTAGCGCCCGAAAAACAACAAGCCTTGTGAATGGCCAGCACGGTTAGGGCCCCTACTGGAAGTCTCCGAATCGACAATTCCGTGAGGACACCAATGAGGGTAATCGATACCTGGGGGAAAGGGCCAGATAACGCTGATCGTATTGCTAAGTGTCCGAAATTGACCCTGTGAAAAACAAATGTGCTGAGACCGTTTGAACGCCGACGCCCCCTCTGACCACGAGGCTCGTTAGATATGTATAATGCGCCTCTTCGGCAGGACAACGCTATTGATAGTTGCGAACGGCTGCGGTCCGTTCAAGTCCCTGGTGTCCTGGCAAATGGCAGGTACGATCCGCTCCGTAAGCTCCACGTCTCACTTAAGCGAAAGTGCTGATGCCGGCGCGGAGCTATTGGGACGGCAACTTCGGCCAATCCAGAGTGTGAAGTCGGCTTGAAGCCTCGCTCTGCTCGCCATTTTCAATGTCCAGACCAATTGAGGCTTTATGGTGAGACATCAAGCCACCCACAAGACACTCATTGCTCAGATCCCATTCTACTGCGAGGGGAAGACGGCCTAAGGGTCGCGGGTGTATTTCGCGATCTGCAATTTACTTCTTGACAATGGTTACTGGTCACAGGTTAGCAGGCACACTAAAGTCTAGTATCACCGTATGACTGACCGATGTCTTCGTCGGCAAGCTCGTGCGACAAGCCGACACGCTGGGGCTGATGCTTGACCGATTTGCCATACACAATGGCGTGCTTAAACTGTTCTACAATGGTCTTGTGGATGGAGTGACACTGGACCCTGATCAGCTAGCATTGTGACGTGCATATCGGGTGTACTTACAAAGTCTTCGACTGTGCAAGCTGAAGACCTCAGAACGACAGGAGCTGTGTAGTCAGGCATCCTGCCCTTCGGCTTGGTATACACACGGACCAAGGTGAGCTTCTCCCACATCTGCTCCAACAGTTCGTCGATGTTCCAACCGTGCTCAGAACTGATAGGACACGCGTTAGGGATTCGGTAGATTAGATCCAGCTCTTCGATCGAAATGGCGTCAATTTTGTTGAGCGCGTATATAACGGGAATATAGCTTCGGCTTTTCGCTTCAATGACATCAATAAGGTCATCAACGGTTGCGTCGCATCGAATCGCAATATCGGCGTTTGCCATACGGTATTCGCTCATGACAGCCTTGATTTCGTCGTGGTCGATGTGCGTCAGGGGTACCGTAGAGGTAATGTTGATACCACCCTTGTCCTTCTTCTTGAGTACAATGTTCGGCGGGCTCTTGTTGATTCGAATTCCGAAACCTTCCAGTTCGTTCTCAATGACGCGCTTGTCGGTTAAGGGCTTGTTGACGTCCAGCACAATGAAGATCAAATGGCAGGTCTTTGCGACTGCAATAACCTGACGACCACGACCCTTTCCGTCCTTCGCACCCTGGATGATACCGGGAAGATCGAGAATCTGGATCTTTGCGCCGTTGTACATGACCTGACCCGGGACGGTTGTGAGGGTTGTGAATTCGTATGCGGCGGCCTCGGAGTGTTGACCGGTCAATTTGCTCATAAGTGTACTCTTTCCCACGGAGGGGAAACCAATGAATCCAACACTGGCGACACCAGTTCTTGCGACATCGAAACCAACACCGGCACCGCCGCCACCGCCGCTGGGCTCAAGCAACTCCCTCTTGAGCTTCGCTAGCTTGGCCTTCAGCTGTCCTAAATGGTATGATGTAGCCTTATTCTTCTGGGTACGGGCCATCTACATGGCGTAAGTCGTCGGTGTACGTTTGCGCTTTGGAAAGGATCTTACTTCGGCCTCGACCTCTTTGATCTACACATGTCCAGTCAGTATGAAAACGTCTGTGTAATTTTATGGTGATAGTACTGACCTTGTCCACTGTCGTCGACATCTTGGCTTTTCACGTTGTCGAATAAATTTTCGGATGTGGTGCAGTCGCAAATACGCTGATACAGAAATTTGATATCCGAGTCGGCGATGACGCCCTTCGCACTCGAACACGCTTGCCGGATGAGGGGTCGTCGGTGATACTTTTCGCCGACACCGCCTGCAGCTCCTTGCGTCGATGCTCTTACTTGCATGAAATGATTGCCATTGACCGATAGAAGCCGCTATCTTGCTCCTCGCCGAGTTCGTTCTGATATTCGCGGATTGCGATGGCATGCATGCGGTGCAACTATGGTGCGCCTGACTAGCTGGGCTTCATCACCGGAGCTAGGTGTTACATAATTTTATGCTTCAAAGACTCACACGTGGCACACCGTATTGTCTGCTATTTTCAGATAAAACTATCTGCTCGACTTGCGAAGAAGCAAAACTCTTCCCACTTTCTGTTGCTCAACGTTACTCCCAAATTCAATACGCTTATATAAACATTCCACACAGGTAATTCCCTGTCTATCAATATAGGTTGTGTAATCACCCTGTGTGTCATGCTAATGTTTGTGCCAGCGATCGGCCATAAGAAACGAGCTGCTTCGTGCCCTCCACGATCCGTAGCTTCCGTTTACAGTGTCTGACATTTGATCTCGATTCCAAACACCTGCCTTTCCTGCCTCATCACACTCACGTCAGCGTTCGCAGCCATCCCCAGCCCATCATGCCTGGCCGTACTGCAGAACCCACAAACCGCTTCGAGGCACTCGTACAGTCACTGAGCGACAGGCTTGGTCCGTGCAGTGGCATCAATAGTGACGATGTCGACGAGGATGAACTTCAGCAGCTGATGGCAGACTACGTCTCGGATGAGTCGGAGTGGGAAAAATACTCCATGGCACAGCCAGGCACAGCCTACACGCGCAACTTGGTTGACAAGGGCAATGGTAAATGCAACTTGGTACCTATACAATTCGCAATCTGGTATTGGGACGTGACTGACATTCGTAGCTTCTGTTAGTGTGGGCACCCAACCGGGGTAGCCCCATCCACGAGTAGGTCGGCTTCTCTTTGTTCTCTCTTTATTGACGACCAGAATAATCAATGTGGCCCAGTCTTTGGCTGCTTCTCGCAACCAAAGGCTCTGTACTCCTGACTGACGAAGCGACTTTGCTCGCCGATCATGAGATCGATGCGTCCACAGCACAGGAGACAGCCGGTAAGGACATCAATTTCGATATGTTATGCGATGTGTCCCGACCAGCATGGTACTTGCCATGCTCTGTCTACTGTGGTTTCGTTCTCAGCACGAACTCTGCTGACATGTCATAGCCATGCCAATGCCCACTGCATCATGAAGATCCTCAAAGGCAGTCTTACTGAGACTCGCTACGCATGGCCCACCATCGACCTCAACAACTCTGAAGACCGCCATATGCAGTTGATCTCCGATAAGACATACCAGACCGACCAAGTCACATACATGTCTGACAAACTCGGTCTCCACCGCATTGCAAACCCTGACAAAGACAACTACGCTGTCTCACTGCACTGTGAGTGCATAATGTAACGATTGTCTTTACATGCCTACTAATTACGAACAGTGTACACACCACCCAACGCAGCAGTATATGGCTGTAACGTTTTCAACGAAGCAAACGGTCACTCGACCCACATGGCCAAATGTACCGTGTTCTCCGAGTATGGAGTGCCCTGTATGCGCGCAGTGCGCTCTTGAAAGGGTTCCGTCCCTTGGGGAAGACGTGGTAACGATTCAGTATGCAGTTTTCGGCTCCACTCAGGCGTTTGGAAGTACTACGTAGATTGTCATGTCCAGGTATTTGCCGCAATTTAGTCTTTTTTCTTTAATGTTCCACTCGTAGTGAGTCTCTCAACTCCCTTCAACATTCACCAATCACGATTTGAACCATTTGCATATTCATCTAACTCAAGGAGACAAAACAAAATCAATTACTCCTACACCTCCACTCTTACAGCTCTACTGTTACCTACCTCATCTCAACACACTCAGTACAGCTCCCACCCCCCAATCCCACCCCGGAAGTTTGACCCCTGCTTCACCGCGTTCTTCTGGGTCCCAACACCACGCTGAGCACTCCGCCCATGCTGCGTCCCACCTCGACGCTGGACACCACGCCCCTGCGCTGCACCGCTCTTGCCCCTCACCGCCGCCATCTCAATCGGGCGCTCAAACCGCGACGAGCCCAGCGGACTCACACTGCGCAGCTCCTCCCACGTCGGCGCCTGCCGCGGCTCCGAATACCAGATCTCGGGAATACTGACCGCGGAGTTACGGAAGTTGCGCGGCCGCGGCGGCAGCGCGCCCAGGCCCGCACTGGACTGATACTCCCCGTCGTGCGCGCCGCGTCCCGTGCGCGAGCGGCTGCGCGCTGTGGGCGCGGGCGCCGCGGGCATGGGCGGCAGGTCGCGGCTTGCTGCGCGGGGAAGCGGTTGCAGCGGCACGGGGCTGAAGGCGCGGCCGTAGTGCGTGTCGAAGGACAGCATGTCGGGGCCGTCGTAGCGGGGGGTGGGTTGCGCGGCGCGGGCTGTGGGGCGAGGGGGGGCGGGCATGTAGGTGGTTCCGTAGGTGTCTTGACCTGCATACCTACGAGAAGCCTGAGGGGCAACGCGGGGGGTGTGGGGAGTGCTGTGGGAGTGGTGAGGGGTGCTATGGGAGCCGTGGGGAGAGCTGCGGGAGCTGTGGGAGGAGGTCTTGCTTGAAGGTCGCGAGGATGCACAGCCCATGATTGCTAGTTTTAGTGGGTTCTTGTTTGTTTGTGATGTGGTGCTGCTGAAATGTTTCTGTAGTGTAGTGTCAACACGATACACTTACCTTTGCTGAGCTGCGTGATTGTGGTTGTTCTGTCTTGTTCTGTTTGTGAATTCTGGATAGAAACTGGGAGAATGCAGAGACCTGTTTTATGTGACATGGCGCGCTTGACGCTGGGTGTCGACAGTGTCGGTGAAGGAGGGCTGCGTGGCTGCACGGTGTGAGACATTGTGTGCAAAATGACACTTACAACGACATTGTTTTCAGTCCGAGATGATGTTGTCGCACATTGCTGTGTACACGTAGCTCATGATGTGTAAACATTGTTTGGTAGCATCGGTGCTTGTCAGATCGGCGCACCCGCATAACCACATGACAGTGATGTAGTAAAGGCCCATGACTGGCTACATAAGTCTGGTATGATGTGTTGTGGGGTAAGAACGTGGGAACTAACACATCATAGAGCGGGTTGTGTATTGCTACCATGGTATGTATATGCATTGTACCATCGGTCCCATGATTGCGTGTACGCTATTTAACATTCGCCCCCTATGCACAACTTCGTGACGTAAGACCACCAGACTTAAAGTAGTAGGTTTGATTGAGGACTAATAGCTCCAGGATATCCTGTCTAGGCAAGATCATGACTTGTCGCAGAGTGTTGATGAGCAGCACTGCTTCAGATGTCTTCGATACGCCATTCTGTCTTTCAGTATGTGGGCCACAGAACTTACTGTATAGTAAAATGCGCATGGCACTCGCTGTAATATGTGTTGATGTCGGCGTGATCAGTCCTCTGGTCGTTCAACCCCAGTTGCCGTGGAGCGGTCTAGAGGTGTAGATTTCGAAAAGACATTGTGCGCAAAAAGCTGAGTCGAACACTGCGTCGCACATCAGCAATGAATGTCGATGCGGATGATTTCTCGACCCTGGCCCCTGACTTCTTCGCAAACGCGTGGCTGCATGATCAGGTGAAGGGCAGTCTTCGAGGAATCTGAGCAGGCGAAGTGATCGCCGCCTCAACTTAGACCTGCAACACCGACTTAAGGTGTGTACTTGGGCGGCCCAGCCTCATAGGGCGGCGGCTGAACCTCACTCTCCCTAGCAATCTCCTCTCTCCGCTCCGCGATCCTCAACTCCTCAATTCTCAGCTCCTCGATCCTCCTCCGCGCCTCAATACACTGCTCCTCCACCCTCTGCGCTTCCACCATATCAACAGCCCGGATCTCATCAGACACCCTCGCCGGTCTCGCGGGGTTCTCCGCCGCCCACATGCCCCCCCGCGGCACCCTCTGCGCCTCCACAACATCAACAGCCCGGATCTCATCAGACGCCCTCGCCGACCTCGCCGGTCTCGCGGGGAAATCCGTCGCCCACATGCCCCCCCGCGGCACCCGCCCCGTCCACACCTCCCCACGCGCCACACACGCCTTGATCTCGTCCACTTGTGGCTGCAGCGCGGCCCGCTCCGCGGCCACACGCCGCGCCTCCTGCCGCCGCACCCGCGCCGTCTCCTCGCGGCCCGGATCGGGGCCGCAGCACTTGAAGCACAGCATCAGGAGCAGCGCGACGCCGACGATGGCGCCGAGGATGACGCCGGTGGTCTCGCCTCTGGAGAGCGAGTTAGATGCGGAGTCCGGGATTGTGCTCGAGCGGGGCCCCGGAACGTAGGAGATGGTGGAGGATGCCTGGGTGGGGACGATGGTGAGGGTTGGGCCGTGGTGCAGGGTCGAGGTGATGGAGTCGAGCACGGGGTGCCACTCGCGGATGGTGATGCGCAGGAGGCGCTCGTCGCTCGAGGTGGAGTTTGATATGCGCTCTGTGTATGCCGTGAAGCCGGTTAGGTTGGTGCTGGATCTGTCTGCGCGCACCTTGCCGCTGTTTTCCGGCCCTTCGGTGACCTCGGTGCCGAAGTCGACGTAGAAATAGGCGTTCTCGTGGTAGAACATGGGCGGCCAGTAGAAGGGGATGCGTGTGAGTCCGGCGCAGATGCGCGTGCCGTTGGGTGGCCAGCAATAGGGTTGGTCTGCTGCCAGTTGGCACTGGCGGACTATGTCGGGATTGACACTGGATTGCAACGAACTTTCGCAAGCTGGTGATGTGTTAGCAAGCCTGACGCAGAGAGTCGTGGTGTAGTGAGCATACTGCTGTTGAGAGCACGGGCCGGCAGATACACCATGGTGAAGGCCAAAAGATGATCGTGTGTCTAGATTACTCTGCTCGCGCAACAGGATTGCCGATGATCGTGGATCAGTACTTCTAAGTATCCTTGCAGTGTCCACAGAGCCCATGTATAAGTATGCACCCCATCATCACAAGCCTTCAAGCCCAATCGCCGGTGAGGCCTGGCCAAGCACCAATAGAGCAGGCAGGCAATGTCAAATACAGCCATGACGTGCGCTTTGCAAGTCACGCTGTACCTACGGGTATACGTGCGTAAGGCGTTCTTCCTTAAAGTAGCACTCAATATTGCCTTTCTGCAGGCGAAGCAGGTACAAGGCGGAACCCCCAGGTTTATCCGGATAACACGGACGATAAGGGGTGGGTGCCGAGAAGTGGCGCACCTCGGCCGGTGCCATTGGATCGTGGTGAATGGGAGGCAGACTCGCTGTAGCACACGGCACAGGGACATTCGAGTTCAGAGCCTGGGTGTAGTAGTGGCCGGGGCGAGATGGACTGTACAGGCATAATCAGCAGGCTGTTCTAGGAGAGCACTAGGCATAAAAGACATCAGCAGACTATTACCAGGAAAGAAGTGTACGGCATGGAAAGATACATGCACATCTTCAAGGAACACGAGACAACAGCTAGTATGATAAAGTAGGAGAACGAAGACTAAACATGGTAATAAATTAGGACCATGCTACTGTGAGATGCAAGATAGCCGCTGGTGCGAGGTGCATCACATTGTTAGTAGGAGGAGCGAGACGACCACTAGCGCAAGTATAGTAGGAGACAGCACTAGGCATAGTAATGAATTAGTGCCCTGCTACCGTAAGATGCAATATATCAGCGAGTGCAAAATTTAGCATACTGTTAGTAGGAGGATAGTACAGCAACGACGGCTCAAAATGCAAAGCAAAAAGCTCTGGCTTGATTACTACAGCGTCCGTTCGGTACCTCAGCAAGCGCAGCCCTCCTTCGCGCCCTCGGTCCGGGCAGTCCCCAGGTTGACGCGGGCATCTTCCTGGCGGCCCAGGTTGGTCTGGCCGCCGACGCCGCGCGGGCCCTTGAGGCTCGTCTCGGGAATGGCGTTTGCGATGGCGGTGAAGACCTCGGCGACGTTCTGCCCCGTCTTCGCGCTCGTCTCGAAGAACAGCAGGCTCTCCTCGTCGGCGTAGGCCTTGGCCGTCTTGATGGGCACCCGCCGCGCATCGGTGCCGTCCTCGTCGGCGGGGTCCTCGCCTTCGGCAGCGGGCACAGCGTCGGCGTCCTCGGGGGCGTCGTCAGCGGGGTCGGTGGCCAGGTCGGCCTTGTTGCCGACGAGGGCGATGACGATGCCGGGTGAGGCCTGGCGGTGCAGCTCGGCGACCCAGTGCTGGGCCTTGGTGAGCGACGAGGGCTTTGTGATGTCGTAGACGACGAGGGCGGCTTGGGCGTTGCGGTAGTACATGGGCGCGAGCGAGGCGAAGCGTTCCTGGCCGGCCGTGTCCCAGATCTCGAACTTGATTGTGCGGGTGGGCAGGTTGCATTTCTGGGTGAGGAAGGCGGCTGTGGGGGGTTAGAGTGGCACCAGGCACGGGGCGGCGGGGGCGTACCGCCTATCGTCGGCTCCTTGTTCTCTTGGAAGTCGTTGTTGACGAAGCGCATGACGAGCGAGGACTGCGGCTGTTCAGCTGGGCGCGCGACAGCGACGGGCGCAGAGCCGCACCTTTCCCACGGCAGCCTCGCCGAGCAGCACCAGCTTGACGCTGCTGCTGGGCTTGGGCTGCGCGGATGCGTCCGCCATTGTGGATGTCCGGGGCGGTCGCGGCGTGCGCGTGCGGGCGGCGGCGGCGACGGCGGCGGCGACGGTGGGCGAGAGTGCGGCAGAGACGGTGTAGGGCTGAAGGCGGCGGTGCGGGCTGCGGCGGCGTGGGCTGCAGGAACGGAATCGGCGGTGCGGGCAGCTGTCTCGCAGTCGACGTCTTGCTGTCTCGCCGTCGACGCGGCTCGCTCCAGGATGCAGCGAGCGTCACCGCCAAGAGGGCCCACTCTTTGTTGGAGCTCTATTGGTCAAAGCGTTCGAACGTATAAAACATATCCACCAACATCGATAACATCGACGCTCTTGGGCATTGCCGCCTTCGCGCCCGCCACCTCCTCGCCGGTCACCTAATAAACACACATGAACACTCGTCTATGCATGAGCGCCGCCCGGCGCAGGCTGGCCGGCAACACCGGTCGACTTTCTGCCAGCACCTTCATGTTGTCAATGCCGACCCGCCTGCTTCATTCTCCTGTTTCGGAGCCTCACCATGGGCAAAGCCCGCCTTACCGTAATATGGCAGGCTTCTACCGTCACCATATACCTCTTGAAGATGTTCCCCGGACGATTTCCCTTGTTCTGCCAAAATTCGCCATAGAACAAGACGTACGAGAGCTGTTCGAAGAGTCTGATATACCTATGTACGACCGATCCAAAGCTAGACGTGTGCATGCCAGGTTTTTGTTGACAAAAAAAGAGACAGGACCCATATGGTCTACAATAACCTCGGCTTCCACTCTGGAAAGACAACTGTTGTTCTACCATCACCAGCCCATGTATCAGCCGCTATTAAGAACTTAGATGGCGCCCCTCTGTTTGATCAGAATGTGAAAGTAACCCCAGCCTCCTCAAACCCCGCATACACGACCCTCAGATATGACTTCAAGTGGGGCTGGTACGCCAACAACAGCTCATTACTTGATGCAGTTAAGCTGCGATATCCGCGCACCTCTCCCCCGCACGGAATATTTTTACCATATAAGGAGGGTAGGATCATCATATTCTCATCATTACCAGTGACTCCGGAGAACTATGACGTAAGCGAATGGTTGTATCAACGTCTTCACTCCTACAACGTCCTATCCAGGAGCCCATTACTGGATGGAAACAACGAGCGTGGAAAGTGTTTTGTCATTGCATGCGAATTTGAAACCAGAGAAGTCGCTCAGGAGGTAGTCCGGCTGTTTAACAACTCAATTGCACTTGGCTCCAAGATCCACGTTCACCAGGCAAGGCCGCCGATGAGAGTTCTTGGGGTTTCTTGGTCATCTGGACGCAACCGAGCCCACTATCAACCGCGCGACGAGGGAACGGCTGACGGCACCAACTTCGAGTCGGTACGTATTGCGTCCTCTTCACAGGCATCCAAGTGCCACCACGTTTCCGTTCCAAGTCCCGTTCTACACAACCCCACTAGTTCAACTTTACTGATTGACTGGGATTAGATGCAAGACGATGTGTATCGCAGATGGCTTCTCAACAAGAAGGATCGCGGGCTTTGGGTGCCGGGTCACAAGTATTGAGAGGCCCTGTCGAGCCGGCCTGGACACGCTGCTGGCCACGATGCCAGCGCCAGCCACGAAGACGGGTCCCAGTGCCAGTCGTCCAGCGTGAAGAAACTCAATAGGCTCTTGATCGAATCGCCCCGGCGCGGCGTAGCGCATGGCAAAACTCGATAGCAGAGTACCCAACACATCCCCCAAGCTCTACCATGAGATTTGGTCAAATCGCCCCGGCGGTCGTTGGACACGGCGACCCGTCCTGCGCTGCGCTGCGCTGCACGTGCTGACGGGCCCGATGCAGACGTCTTCGCTCTCCTGCCTCAGTACCTCAGGCATGCCTCTCTTACACGCAATCTTGCAACACATTACTTCTCGCGATTGAAACACTCTCACACAGTTCCCGTGACGCGTTGACTGCGGTCTCCTCGTGTGTCGTACGAGCATCCAGCAGCGAGCACACCTCTGCGTTGCTAGAGCCACAACGTCCCTGTGAAAGCCTACATAGGGCGGAAATGCAGATACGCGCAACTACACTAGTATCCCTAGAATAGCTCTTATAAGTAGGCGTTTTTCTGCTGCGACGGGACTGCATTCAGGCATGTTTGACTAGTTATTTGGTGCTTTTGTAGGACACGATGCATCACTCGTAGCCAATGGGCCGTAGGAGTACTGCTGGATAACTCCGTATACAGTCCCAGTGAGGCTATTCATCGTTTGTTTCTGATATTGTGTTTTGCCAAGCGGGTTGGATATGCTGGGTGCGGTATACATATACATAGCCAGGAGACGCAGTCCCTCACAGCTACCCAAACCTCCCTCTCCAGACGGCGAACAAACGCAGTCGTCTGAGTGCGCACACAACGAAATACACCCACGCGAGCTACATACTCACCTCGCAGTCCGTGCAAGACCTACCACGTCTGACCGCTCTATGTACACAGACCGTCCCCACGCCCTCAGCGCACTCCACTTTCCGCACACCGCGCACCCAGCACGCGCTCTAGCGCCGTCCACCAGATCCCCATCCCAATCCCCATCCTAATCCGCATCTGCAATCCCCATCCCCCGCAGCAGCGAATGCATTTCCGCATCACCGGCCGCCAAGCACGTGCGCCCTCCGCCGCTGCACCACGACGTCACGTCATGCCACACACACGCATTTGTGCGTGAAACCACCGTTTTTATTAACCATGAACTCGCCGGGCCTGGGCGGGGGCGGTCTGGACGCGCGCGCGGCGGGGCGCAGACAGGGGCGCTGATTGGGGCGCGGTGGAGACGGGTGGGTTCTATTTGCGGTGTTATCGGAGCGCAGGATCGGGGGCAGGAGCGGGATCAGGATACGTGTTGGATCTCGCCATCGCGGGCGCGATATGGGACCGCGCTGTATAGTACCTGATTGTACAGTTGGACTACGTATTTACAGTGCAGTGCGGCGGGCCTGACAGCATCGGACCGGGCGGTGGCGGGCTGGACGTGAGCGCTGCCGCATCGGGCAGCTGCGAGTGCGGCGTGCGTGATCTTCGCGAGTCCGAGGTGGTCTGCCGGGCCGGGCGTGTTGTGCTGGGCTTACCCCACACTTTTGGCTGGGTTGGGCGTGAGATGACGTAGGGCGATTGCAAATACCGGGTGCGCAGCTGTCAGGTGGGCCAGTCAGTGGGAGGAGGGGCAACATTGTTTACGGCATGTTACTAGGACTGGGGACTGGACTTTTTTTTTTTTGGTGTGTTTGGGGACGCGGCACTAAAGGCAGGTAGGTGTTTGCGCTGACGACGGCCCGCGATTCTCGACCTGCTGATCCCGAGTTCCAGACAGATGACTTGCAGCAGGGACGGCGACGGCTAATTGCCGGATGCGACGCGCTCTCAGGGCGTGCAGGGTGTTGGGCTGCGAGCCACAGGCAGAGGCGACGGTCTGGCGCCCCCACTGGCTGGTTGCGCCGCGAATGGCAAATGGCGAGTGAGGGTGGCTTGCGGTGGGCGTAGCGTATTGGGTGGTGAGGTTTTGGCATGGTGCGGTATGGCGACAAGCAGCACGGACGGCGCGACGTGTGCTCGATTGCGCGCGATCGCGATGCCGCCAAGCACGGGTTCGGCGCGGATTGCTGTGCGTTTCAGCGGGCACGCCATGGGCAATGGGCAATGGCACGCTGGCTGCTGCTGCTTTGTCTGCAGGCGCCGCGCCTCGCACAGCCGAGGGCGAACACCTGTTCCAGGCGATCTTGCGCAGCTCAAGGCGATCGCAACCTAGCCACGCTTCTCCAGGCCGGCGCTTGCTCGGCTCTCCATGGGCTTGTCCCGCGGGCCCGAGCGCTGCGATCGGCGCTGGCAGGAGCCCCAAAGCGGCGGCGGGCGTGCTCGAATCAGCACGCAACACAGCACTGAGTGCTGGAGCGCTAGCATGGCTGGTGGGACGGCGCCAGGCACCGCACAGAGCTGGCCGAAATTATATTGTGGCCGCGAGAATGAGCACTGCAGCGGCAGCTCGAGCATGCGCCGACGCGGCCGTCTCACTGGACAATGGCACGGCGTGCATGTTGTGGCAGACGGGGCGCCTGAGCATGCACGCCGGCGCAGAGAAGGCGAGAGAAGCGCGTGGTGCGTCTTGGACGGCCAGGAGCAGCAGGACCAGAGCGTCCAGGTACTTGTGGGAGGGGAACGCTGCCTGGTTGGCGCGGCCGTGGGCACCTGGATCACGTTGGCACTGCGTCAAAGGCCGGCTGACCCAGGGCGCAGGCCGCGTGCCAGCGTTAGAGGCCGCACCACAAAGCAGCTCACAAAGCAGGCTTCACCGAGCAGATGGCCGTGCTGGAGCACAACAGTGTAATTGATACCAAGTAAACTTGATACCGCAAAGGCGGCACAATCGTATGTTGCTGCAATTGGCTGTTCGTGCTGGCATGGCCGTGCTATCACTGCTCCGGCGCGGCTATCTATTGCGGTCGGGCAGGGTTGCGCGCAGTGACATCGCGGGTGGAGTCTGAAACTGGAAGCCGAGAGCGGCCAGCAGACGACGGCGTGGAACGCAGCCAGCAGCTCTCACGGGTGGGGTCCATTCCACCGGCACCCGCCAACATTTTATTTTGGAAGCGCCGTGCCTGACTGTAACAGTACTGTACTGACTGGCCTGCATCCTCGACTCCCTCGCTGCCCCTTTCCGCTGCCCACTGCCCTGTCCCCCTCCCTGGTCGACGCTGCACAGCACACACCGCGCCCGCACCGCCGCAACGTCGCCTGCCCGCCGGCGTCTCCCCCCAGGGGCTGTGCAACCCTCCTGAGCCCGCGACACATCCGCCCTCTCTCGCTGCTCCCGACCGGCACCATGACGGTCGTCAAGGTACGCCGCGCTGCTGCTGCTGCCGCCGCGCCCGCTGACCCGCCCAGGAGCCCATCAGCGTCCGCCCGACGACGCAGCACCGCCATTCGAGCCTCGCCGGCTCGCTGCCCAAGGCGCGGCCACACGCACACTCGAACTCGGCCGGCAGCATCAACCCGGCCCACCGCGTCACGCGCCGCAAGAGCATGAGCACCACAGCCGGCAGCAACGTCGCCGCCATGGCCGCGGTCGCCAAGGGCATCGCCGGTGCGCCGCTCGTCGACGCCCACCACGCCCACGCCCACGTCCACGCCCACCACAACCCGGCCCGCCGCCCGTCGAAGCCGGCGATGCAGTTCCGCGGGCCCGCCCTGGCGCACGCGCACTCGATGGCCGCCAGCGTGCCGCACAGCTCCTCGGGCGGCTCGCCGTTCAGCAGCTACAGCGCCGTTGCCGACGGGCCGCCGCTGGCCTCGCTGCCCGAGAGCGACCAGGCCGGCAAGTCGCGCGTGCGCCGCGCCAGCGAGGGCTCGCGCAAGGGCGACAAGCGCCCCAGTGGTAGCGACTTGAGATGTGAAAAATGTGGGAAAGGCTACAAGCACAGCAGCTGCCTGACCAAGCACCTGTCAGTCCCCCGCCCACATACTTTCACCGCTCAAGCCGAATGCCCTGCCTGCCCGTTGTACATGTGCTGCTGAACCGCGTTGACTGTGATCTAGCTGGGAACACACCCCCGAGTGGCAGTACACGTCCAAGCTGCTCATCTCCAAGCATCAGCAGGTGCAGCTGCTCGAGGCCGCCTCGGTGCTCGTCGCCATGAACAAGACCAGCGACGACAGCGACGACAGCGCCTCGCCGCCCGCCTCGGGCTCGTCCGACCTGCGCGACAGCCTGAGCTCCGCCGAGACCACCCCGCCCCCGCACATGGACGACCACGCCGTGGGCTCCTACTCCTCGCACTCGCACTTTGGCCAGCGCTCCATCAAGCGCTACTCGGCCAACAGCTCCGCCTACAGCCAGTCGTACCAGTCGGCCGTCTTCTCCGACGCCGGCACCGCCCATGCCAGTGGCCACTACCGCCACTGGAGCAACGTGTCCGACCGCCCCACCACCTCGGGTACGTCGGTTGCTGGCTCGTACCCCGACGACGGCAACACCGACCAGGACATGGCTGCCGCCGTCGGCCTGCTGAGCTGCTCGTACGGCACCCCCAAGTCGGGCGCGACGAACCTGCCGCCCGACGTGCCGCCCGTGCCGCCGCTGCCCGCCAAGTTCCTGGACTTCAACACCACGCGCTCGCTGTCGGGCAACACCATGGTCACGCCGCAGCAGAGCAGCATGCGCAACAGCTACCGCTACCACGAGAGCAAGGACGTCGACATGGACGACGACCACTTTGCCGACGAGGAGGACTACCGCCAGTCGCACTCGCGCAGCCGCGGCCGTGCCGACGAGGACGACGACGCCTTCTTCGGCCGCATGGAGGAGTGACCGTTTTGACTTTCTCCCATTGCCTGCCCATTCTTATCTTTCCGTCCTGGCCTGTGCCACAACGATATTAGCCGATTAGCGATCTATCTCCGCAGACGGTCTGCCGGCCGCCGCGGCAGTCTTTGAAGCACCGATGAGAGGGACATCCTCCGCACGCCGCCCGGCGCCGGTCGAGCTCTTGAGGTTGAAGCTGCAAAGTCCGCCGCCGCCGGCCGGGAGTCCCACCAGCCAGCACCCGCTGCGCCGTCTCGCGTCGAGAGCCTAGCACATTCCCGGAGTCTTTCCATCTTGATCTTTTTATTTTCCCACACCCGCGTACGAGCAACCATTATTCCCAACGTTCTTCTCTTTTTAGCTTCATCTCACACCATATTCGCCCAGAAACTGATACAAGATATAACAACACTACTACACCTTCTACGGGGGATGCGCGGCTTGCTGTTGGGGGGGAGGGGTGCACACGCACACGCGCGCCCGTGCGGTGCCGCGGCCAACAACTCTTGTATATCTGGCTGAGCGGCGGAGCGGCGGTTAGGATAGGCGTGTAGGAAATAGGTTGAATGCATCGCTTCACCCGACGCTTCGTGTTTTGTGGAAGTGACGTGCTAACGCGCTAGGCAATGCAGGCGATGAGAGGATGAGTAGGGTGGTACGAGTACGAGTACGGGGAGTAGGGGTACGAGGAGTAGGGGTACGAGGAGTAAGAGTAAGAGTCCGAGTCGGCGTCGCACGAGCAAGCCACGAGAAGAAACGCCACGAGAAGAAAAGCCACGAGAACAAAAGACAAGACAAGAAAACATAACAGGCACTCACCAACCCCTAATATACCCCATCCATCCTCCCGCCCGCCCGGCCGCCCATTCCCCCCGAACCCGCCCTGCCCTCGCCGTCCCCTCGCACAAGAACCTCGCATCGCCGCATTCCCCGCCGACCAGGTAAGCCCGGAAACGGCCCGTCTCTTGCAGGTACACAACCCGCTGCGGCGGAACGCGCAGCTAGGACGTGGTGACGCTGCGGTGGTGGTGGTGGACGGGCGGGCATGCTCGAGGTGCGCTGGCGTGGCTGAGGGCGTGGCTAATGGTGTGGTTGCTGGCGTGGTTGCTGGGCGAGCGCGGGTGCAGGGAGGGGGGCGGTGTCAGAGGGAGGGAGGGACGTGATAGCTGGACTGGCTGGCTGGTAGGCTGGCCGGTAGGTAGGCGTGTAGGCAAGCGTGTAAGCAGGTAGCCGGGCAAGCACGCGCTTTTGAACCCACTTACTCACTTACTCACCACTCACCACTCACGAACCAACCAACGAACGATCGATCGAACGGCCGGTCCTCCCTCACTTCCCGTCCCGTCCCCCCAGCCCCCCGGCCCTCGGTCCCCCCGTCTCCCCCGTGTCTGCGAGGCGAAGATCGCCAGATCGCCGCCGTTTTCTGCACAACCACGACCACACGACACGACACGATACGATACGCACCTGCCCCCCCGGGCAGGCACCCGGGGTGCCCACACCTTCCCGAGAGCGCAACGGGCGCTGATCTGGCGTTGATCTAGCGGCGCCCGGTAGGTTACGGCGCGGAACGCTGGTCTGTGACGGTCGGTGTCTAACGGCTGGTGGGTACTCACTCCACAGGTTGGTGGATGGGGTCCCCAACGGGCTGGCGGGTACTCCACAGGTTGGCGGGTTCCCATGGCGCGTCATGGCGGTGCTGAGATTGGGATCGGCGGTGGGTCTGCAGCGGACCGGGTGGACGGTTACGCTACATTACATCTACAATACGTCGAGGGGTCTCTGGGGTGGTGGGGGGGAGGGGCGTGGATATGTCGTGCTGCTGCTGCTGCCGTTGCTGGGTGGGTTCGCGACGGGGCGGATCGCCGTGCGGTGGAGATGTGTGTGCGGGCGTAGATGGGACGGACGGCTTGTGCGGCGGTGGATACGGTGGTGATCTGCGTTTGGGTTTGGTGGGAGGGTGGTGTGCATATTACTGGCGCGGGGGGCGGGATGATGGAGGAGTGACTGAGACGGAGTGTATATTGGAGTTTTCTATCTGCTGCTAGATGTGGCGTCACACTGGTTGACAACCAACATCCGGGTCTTGGGTCAAGGACCCTATTTCTCGGATCCAAGGTGAATACTCTTTCCCTTCGTGATAACGAGCTGTTCGACGGCACGGGATGGTACGGGGCGCGAGAGTGGGTGTTTGCTTCTTCCTGATATGGCAGCAATCTTCAGGATCGACGGTTTCATGGACACGCGTACTGGTAAGGCAAGCAGCGTCGAAGATGCTGTATGCCAATGGCTGCTATCAGCCTGAATGGTCCCAGTCCCAGACGACAGCTCGTCAATCGACGATCGCGAGAACCGTACCCAGCGTTTGGTGGTCAGCGCCAGAGCAGCTGTTAGAGTAGAGTAGATCGTTTCAGACAGATACGCAGATCGATCACGCGGAAAGGTGGCAGCCTTCATCCTGCTTTGCAGAGTCTGAACTATGCCGCCGTCAGCGTAGATGCTTCGCCGGGAAACGAGGCTTTGGCAAATTCGTGAGGAAGTATCAGGGTGCCTGTAGATCTGACAGTCCACACGAAGTCCTTCACGTGTGCCTTGGACCGAGTCTCACGGCGGTCATTCTGCTGCTCTTGAAGTGGAGCTGACACCAATCAATAAATCAACGTCTTTATCTCAGGCTGCTGGCAAACTTGAATCCCGAGCTGTATTGCAGCGCCTTGACTTAATTCCAGTCTGTATCACTTGACGGCTGCTGAGGACGCGTAGCAATCCACACATTCGTGTGAAGACATGCGAACGCTCTTCATCAGATACACAGATAACAACCTAACAATCCAATCGACCGCGTTAAAGGTTGCTGCAAATTCGCGTCGCGTGCTGGGTCGAGGTTCGCGCCGTGCAACGTCCAACATGGCGTCACTGCTTGGCGACCCTGACGATCGCCCTTCCAAGTTGACACGCGCCGGCCACATCAACGCGCACAACAGACGAACCCATGCCACCCCGCGGGCCCTAGTCCACTCTCTGCTCCAATGCACCCGGCCGCGTCTCGTATCGCCGAACATGTCGCCAAGCACCACCTGCTGCTCGCTCCGCTGCTGTTCACCGTCCTCGGCGCTGTCGCAAGCGTCAACAGCCCCGTCCAGCACTCGCTGCTCGTGACCTCGGCCTCGTGGGCCATTCTGTGGATTCCGCTGGTGTGCAGGGTCGGGCTGTATTCGAACAATGGGGGGCGCAAGAAGAGCACCAGCTGGCTGGCTGGCGCATTCCTGGCCCTGGCACACATATGCGACAGAGCGGCCTGCGACAAGGACGGCATAAGGGCGACCAAGGTAGTTGGATCACTGAATATACAGGATATGCACTGACCGGGCCAGTGGCTGCTGCCCCTCTTTGCAGTATTCATATCTGAGAATGAACTCCTTTCAAGACACCTTGCCTTGCCCACGCACGCCCGCAGCGACTCGACCGACTCAATCGAGAAGCCCTCGAGCAAGAGGCCGGCCGACCTGATGGTCACGCTCACGATCGCCGCCAGCGCCGCCCTGGGTATCTACGTCACGGCAACAACGTCTGCTCTGGGGATCAGCAGCGCCATCTTCGCAGCATCTGGTCTGGTCTTGTTTGAGATCGCCGTGCGCGGTCCAAAGGACGACGAGAGCGGCACGCGAGGACTCATGTCCGCGGATGGATCCTTTGCACGGCGCGGCTCGGTGGGCAGCCAGCGCAAAGCCCAGGAACTCGCGACCCTGCGCGACGTCGCCGCTGTCATGGCCGTCGTGTGCGGTATTGCCGTGTACATGATTGAGCCGTCTGTTACTCCGGGCGCCGCCACCTGGGAACCCATGTACCGGGAGTTTGATCGTGACTGGAAGACAGTGCATGACTATAGGACTGTCCGCCAGGTTTTCTTCATGATCATTATCAATGTTGCATTGAATCTCTTTTCATTTCTAATTGTAGGTGGCATCCCACAAACCACATAAGTACGAACGGGGTTTGTACGGACTATCCCGCTGACCGACTACAGCTTTTACGACAAGGCGCAGTTCCCGTGTCCCTATGGGCCCTCTTCTCCTGCATTTGCGCGCAGCTAAAGTTTCAAACTAGCTTTTCAGGCATCTGGTTCACTATATTCTACGGCATTTCAGCCCTCCTGTACCTTTACGGCTCATCGTCTTCGAACTCCTTTGTCGAGGTTCGAACTTCAATCAGCATTAGACGCATCTTGTTTGGAATTACGGCCTTCTCAGCCTGCGTGCTGCTGGTTCGACACGCAGCAGGAGCGCAGGAGTACAAGTTCACCCCCAAAGTCCCCTCTGAGTTTGAGGTACAGTCTTCAGCGACTCCACTCGGTTCGATCCCAGTCGACCTCAACCGCGGACACCCAGCGGCCCAACTAATCAACGACGCCGAAACAAAATTCCACCAGACTCTCCAAAGGCAGTCCAAGTCTCTGGAGCAGGCCGTCCGCGAGTATCGGCGCAGAAATGGCATCGCACCTCCTCCCCACTTCGACAAGTGGTTTGAGTTTGCACAGCGCCGCAATGTCATCATGATCGACGAGTTCGACACGATCAATAAGATGTTGTTACCGTTCTGGGCGCTCAAGCCTGAAACAATTCGCTCGCGCATAAAGAATGCTGTCGGTCACGAAGACAGTGCTTTGGTTGCTGTGGCTATTCGAAACGGCGAAGTGGTGTCCATCGGCAATGGCGACGAGTGGCAACAACAAGCAACGACTGGCATGATGAAGGACTTTGTTGCGTATCTTCCAGACATGGATCTTGGGTTCAACATCCACGATGAGCCGCGCGTCGTCGTGCCCAACGACCTGCTGTCTTCAATGATCGCCAAAGCGCAAGACGAGGTTCTGCCTCGCGCTGCGCAGCACACGTCTCCCCGCAACGACTTTTCGAAGCGGCCAAAGGATTTGAACGATGGCAAGCGTTTTGATGAAGTCAGCACCACCAAGTTCAACCGCTTCGCCCATCAGCAAACATGGACACACTCTCGACTCTCGTGCCCCGCAAGCAGCCAGGCGCAGACGTTTGAGGATTTTGCCGCCGACAACTTGACCTCATACGCTGCAGGACCGCTGAACTACGTTTACAATGCAACAGCATTCTCAGACATATGTAACTCGCCATCCTTCTCGTCGAGTTTCGGCTTCTTCGAGCGCCCGAACGCATTCAGTATCATCCACGAACTCACCCCCATCTTTTCGCAGTCAAAGATCTCCAGCTTCCAAGATATCCTCTACCCCAGCCCTTGGTACTGGTTCGGCAAGGTAGGTTATGACAACAACCACGACACGACCTGGGAAAACAAGACAAACAGCCTCTACTGGCGCGGCTCCACAACCGGCGGCTTCAGCCGCAACGGCGGATGGCGACGACAGCACCGCCAGCACGTGGTCCAGCGCCTCAACGCCCCCGAGAAAGCGCAGATCCTCATCGGCCCCGAGACCGAGCCCGAGGCCCCCTACACCGTGAAGGAAATCGACCGCCGTGCGCTGCACCACCTCGTCGACGTCAAGTTCAGCCACGTCGGCCAGTGCGACCCGGGCGACTGCGACGCGCAAAAGGAGTTCTTCGACGTCGTCGAGCGCGTCGACGGCCAGGACGCCTGGTACCACAAGCACCTGCTCGACATGGACGGCAACGCCTTCTCCGGCCGCTTCTACAGCTTCCTCAAGAGCCGCAGCCTGACGTACAAGATGAGCGTGTTCCGCGAGTGGCACGCCGAGTGGCTGCGCCCGTGGGTGCACTACATCCCCGTCAGTCTCAAGGGCGACGAGCACCTCGATCTCGTGCGCTGGTTCAGCGGCGACCGCACCGATGTCAGTGAGGTCGGCGGGCGCGGGAAGGACAAGAAGGCGGATAAGAGCGGCAACGGGGAGAGCGCGGGCGAGCGCAAGGCCAGGGAGATTGCGCAGCGGAGTACCGAGTGGCACGACAAGGTGCTGCGGAATGCGGATTTCGAGACGTGGTTCTTCAGGCTGCTGCTAGAGTGAGTTTCCCCGGCCGTGACTGAGAGCGAGAGGACTTGTGCTGACTACTTGCAGATACGGGAGAGTCGTAGATGACGAGCGCGAGGAGATAGGATACCCAGGGCCGTTATAGATAGACATTTAGAGGTCGAATATCCAAGAGCATGTTTTGTGTCGTGTCTGGGTGCAGTACGCAACGATGTTCCTCGCAGCGAAAAGAGCACCGCACCCGGCGAACCTAAGGATGTAGTTGTCACCCTGCCTCACTTGTCGCCAAAGAAGGGTATGATGCTCGCGTTTGCATTGCGCTTCGCATGTAACGCCCTTGACCAAACCACAGCACGCGCTTCCATGGCACCTCTTTCTCTTGCTTCGCAACCACCCCTCTCCTGCTCCACCTCCCGCGTTCCCTGACCACACCACACCACACCACACATCCCCCGACCCCATCAACGCCCCTCAAACCACCAACACACCATCCCCACAACACCCTCGCGCAACGCCCAGCGCCCAGCCTTTTTACCCACCCACCGCAGCCTAAACCGTCCTCGCAGGCGCACAGTTAATTGTTAACACTTAGTCACAAGTCTCCACTCGACCAGCCAGCCATGTCGATGTAAATTTATGCAGAGCCCTGCAACCACATGAACGCCAGATCACACTACAGATCCATATGTACACCACACCATACCATACCACACCATACCACACCATACCACACCATACTATGCCAGCAACACAAGCCACGCGACCATCAGCACTGGCAGTCCCCACGCCGTTGCCCTGCGGCCGTGAACCACACTCCTGCCATTCAGTGGCCGTTGCAACATCCCCTTGCACAGTCTAACTAAGAGAGCCTGCGGGCTCTAGACGCACCGCTAACCCCCGTGTGTACTGCCGTGCTGCGGGTGTGCGGCGCGTCTCGCTGCCCGGGAGCGCACCAGCCATTGTGCACCGGCCATTGTGCACAGGCGCGGGGGCGTGGGAGATCGGGTGGGCTGGCGGCAGACTGGGCGGGCGGAGTGAGGTAGGTACGGGTTGTGAATGCTGCGGCGTATAAAGAGGCAAGGGGTGGTTAAGGGTAGGGGGCTCTGGTCGGTGTGATACAAGTCCCTTCTTCTCAATATCAGGAACGGGTTGACATTGTCTTTGGGCTGGAGGCGCGGTCGAGATTATGCGTAGTATGGGATCTGCGTGCAGGGTCTCGTCGGTCGTTATGGGTCAGAGTCAGGTTGCAAGTCCTGTTTAATTTTTTTCTGATTGCGGGTTGTACGCCGTGTTATTTTGAGAGGGAATCTTTCGATTCTGGTAATGCTTTTTTCTGCTTCGAAAGCGAGTATCTACTTCGAGATGCCTTCTCAACCATCAGCCTTCTCCTCCCCGGCCAACAAGTCCCTCGAATCGTCATTTGCCCTCGCCTTCCCACCTCCTCTCCCGCCGCGCCCCCCGCCGCGTCCCCCTCTCCCCCCTCTCCCGCCCCTCTTCCCACCCACATTCTTCATCTCCTTCTCCCACTCCTCCACATCCACCACCACGCCCTCGGGCAACCTCCCCTCGCTCATCAGCACGCCCCCCTCCTTCTTCCGACTCTCCACGCGCGCGAAGAACGTGTACGGCAGCACCCCCTCCTCATTCCCCTCGGACAGGATGACCCCGTTCTCGGACACGAAGAACTTGATCCCGGCGGCGAGCGCCGCGCGGATGTCGACGTACACCAGCACCGAGGAGCTCGCGCGCATGCCCGAGATGACCGGCGCAGCGGCCTCGCCGGCGGATGCTTCGAGCGGTGCGAATCCGGCCGGCAGCCCGGACGCGAAGTGGATGTGGGTCCGCGTCATGCGGCGCAGGCCGCCGCCCCTGAGAATGAGCGGCCACGCGCGCTCGTCGGTGCCGTGCACGACCACCGCGGGGACGTTCCCGGCCTCGGGCGTGATCGGGGTGAGCAGCCCGTCCGTGTCGACGCTGATGCTGTGGCCCTGGTTTGCGCGGATCAGCCAGGCGGCGGGATCGCTGTCGTCGTTGCCCGCCTCTTGACCCGCCTCGTCCTCGCCCTGCTCCAGCGTCGCGGCACGCACCATGGAGAACCGCTGCTTGTCGTTTGTCGCAACGACTTCCCGGAGCTCTTCAAACGATACTTGCAGCGCTTTGAGACTCCGCGTGTCCAGTGCTGCCGCCACGCTGACGTACCCAGCCTTCCCGAGCTTCAGGCCCTCAGACGCAGCGCCGTGACGCAGAAGCCAGCTGACTTTGCGCGAAACCTGGACGGCGCGCGGTTGATTGGCGGGATTGCGGGAGCCCCCGCCACGGGCGGTGCCGCGGGCCATGGTTTTGAGGGTGTGGGTGAAGTGGTGAGAAATTTTTGATTTGGGGGGGTAGTTTTTGCTTTCTGGTATTTATCGGGAAGGCGTGGCGTCAGGGTTGTAGTAAACCGTGGTCGAAGTGAGTCGAGGTGCGTCAGGTGCTTATGTGGTTGTGCTTTGGGAAAGGGCGTTGGAGGTGGGTCGAAAAGGGCAGTTTGCGTGGCACGGGCGAAAGCGACGTATCAGCGTGCTGCAAACGCGCACCGCCACAGGCATACACAACGTGCTTCGTATGCAAGAATACTGCAGGAACACCAGTCATGCAATGAATAGATACATTGGGTATTTCATTTGAACTGCCGTTTTAACGTCCGGCAGTACGCTCAACATATCCATGGTCTAGCGTGTAACGAGAGAATAGCCTGCGCAGGTGAACGCATAGAGGAATATCGTACCAAAGAGCAACGAACTAGCTGCTCATGCAAACCCATCCAACCCAAGCATGCCTCTCTTTTCATCACGTCGCTCGCTATAATGATACTGCGCTCCACCGCCTCGTTGCGGGATAACATGTCGCGTCGGGAAAGAATAACACCTTTTTCCCACCTAGTCTACTTTGTTTTTTAAACAGCCTCCTACGCCGCTCTACCTCATGTGTCGCCGCCCTTACCCGCACACCACGGATGCTCCAGCACCTGGCTGATAGGGATGCGCTTCTCGACATCGCGGTCGAGCATCAGCCTGACCAGATCGATGCTCTCCTCGCTCATGACCCACGGCACGCGCAGGTCGTGGTCCATGATCTCGTCGATGGAGTAGAATGGGTTTTCCTTGTAGATGATGGTGTACAGCAGGATACCGAGGGCCCACACGTCTTGCTCTTTGCCGCGGTAGGGACGGCCGGCGAGGACCTCTGGCGCGGCGTAGTCTGTGATGTTAGCAGCGTTCTGTGCATGTGGAGAAGGAGTGGGACGTACCAATGGTGCCTACGAAGACGTCAAAAGGCCCGCTCTTGATGTATGCCGCGCTTCCAAAGTCGATGAGCTTGATGTTGCCGTCGCCGTCGAGGACCACGTTCTCGTCCTTGATGTCGCGATGCACGACCTTGGCTTTGGTGTGGAGGAAATGCACCGCTTCGGCGACCTGGACGAAAATCTTGCGACACTCCTGCTCCTCCATATTGACGCGGAGTTCAATGTAATCGAACAGATCCATGCCGGGAAGACCGTGTGGGATCATCTCAATGTAGTAGTTGACATCGTCTTCGAAGAAATCTGCCATCTCGACAATGTTCGGGTGTTGGTAGCCGTCTCTGCGTAAGAAGTCGAGGACGTGGATCTCCAAAGGCACGGTGCCGAGTTTGCGATCTCGAGTCCATGTGTCGACGAGGATACGCCGCTTTGTGACAAACTTGATGACTACCTTCTTGCTGCTGTTTTTCTTGTACCGGCAGAGCTTAACTTGCCCGTACGCGCCTTGACCCATTTCTTCGAGGACGACGAAGTCGTCAATTGTCTTCTTGTGAGCAGACTCCTCTTTAATTGGTGCAGGTGGTGGTGCCATTGCATGTGCTGGTGTTTCTTTTGGAGGCAAGGGCTTTGCGGCTTCTTGCAATTGCTGTGTGAGGAGCGAGACAGGTGGTGTGCTTGCTTTGGAGTGGTCTGATTCAATTTCTTCAGGAATGATCAAGTCTTTTTGACCAGGTGCAGGTTGATGGGGCGGCGTTCCTGGACGAGATATAAGTGGTGCTACTGGACCGATTCCGTGGTTCGCAGCGTGCAATTGTCTGGAATAGGTCACCCACAAAGCATAAACCAATTGTGGTCTGTTTGGTTGAGCTTCTGAACCCTCCTCTTCGATAACCTGCTCGTCAAAGCGAGGCGTTTTATCGCTTTTTACAACTCTCATTTGCACGTCAACCATAATCTCGGACCCGTCACGATGCAGAGCAGGAAGTCCACTAGGCCTCAGAAAAATAGCCGCTGCATCTGCACTACCCTCTCGCATGGCGAGCAAAGCTCGTGCACGTCGGAAGCTGTGCTCTGGGATAACAATACCATCAACCAATTCAATCTTGTCTTCATCAGTCATGACATGCAGAATCTTGTCGAAAGCAGGTATCAGCTTGCCGACGTGGACACCCTCGGGTCGCGGCTGCCCGAACAACGCCTCGGAAAAGACCGAGTTGGAGCTCGTGATTGTCAGATCGGAGGAGGAGAGTACAATAATACCAGCAATGTGTGGGAAGCTGGAGACGCGGAAAGTTGGTTCGCCTGGCAGGGCTTCGACCGTAACCGGAATGTTGATGCTGTTCGAGGTTCGAGCTGTGTAGCTACGCACAATCTCAATCTCTTCGTAGTCTAGCACGCCGGTGTTCGTGCCTTTGAGGCGTGGTATCCCAGGTATCAAGCGCGTGATGTCCATGCCTCTGCGCAGCCGGTCGCTCCCGAAGACGGCCTCTGTCGCGCCCCAGCCCTTGGATACGCAACCTACTTCGTCAACATTGATATACACGACATCCTCAGCTATCTCTTCTAGTACCCAAATGAGGCCACCTCGTTTTTCTTTGACCCACAAGCTTGCTGCACCAGTGGCCCCATTGCGCTTCTGAATGGGGATAACGTCGCCGCAGAGCAACACACCTCTTGACCCCTTAGACTCATGGTTCAGCTTCCCCGTCTTCTTGGCGTTGTAGTATGACGAGCCACTGCCATCATCTGTCTTTGCCTTCCTTGCAGCCGTTGTCCGTGATGAAGGCTTGCTCAGCAGCCTCGCAGTCAGACCGGAACCAACCTTGAGGTTGGTTGTTGGCGCCAAAGCCTGCACTTTGGAGCCAACATCTGGGTTCTTGAGCTTGCTTTCAAGCCACGACCGTCGGTCTTCTCGGACGACTTCCAGGATGCCCAGTTTACGGACTTCAGCTCTGGTCACGCCAAATACCAAGCACGCCAGGTCATTCGCGGACGTAATAGTCCACGGAGCCTGTGCTTCGGTTGTGAAGATAGCCTGTGCAGCAGCGGCGTGTCGGGTTCCATGACCGTGGGGCGCAGGGCCTGCAGATAGGGGCCCCTGCACGTTGCGGAAACTGGGTGGTACAGAAGGGATGGACGTTGGCGATATGACAGAGTTGGTCTGCACCTGATCGCCAACCAGATAGGGTTTTGCCAGGGCGTCGTGGAGTTGGTTTTGAATGGTGAGGGGAGCGACATCGGTAAAGGTGCGCTTCAAAGCGGCTCGCTGGGGCCGCTGAGGAGGCAGCGAAGTGTTGGTAGTCGTGGGACTGAGTGGTTCGAGGCTGAAGTCGGATGCCGAGCTGCTGAGTCGGTCAGGATCATCTCTCTTATTGATTGCCAGGGCGTTGGTTGAAAGTTGAGGCAATGGTGGACTTGCTGCCTCGACTATTGTCTCGGGGCTTTCAGACCGCTGTGCCTCAAAGCTCTTCTCGAACAGATTTTGGCCAGACATATCCGCAGGCCCGGTCACAGGGCCAAGCGCGCCAAACCCATGTGCACCAGTGCCGTCCTGTCCTATCAAGTTCGCCCTCTGCAGCAGCTCCATCATGCTCTGCACCTCGAGGTCGCCGCTCAGCTTCGCCTGTGCGTTCGCTATGCCTGGGTTCGTAGCTGCCCACCCGAGGCGGTCTCGCATGAAGTCGATGGAGCGCTTCAGGACGGCCTGTCGGTTTTGTATGAACTCATCGGACTGCGTCGCGAATGAGAATGAGTGTAGCGACTCGGAGGGGAATCGCGAAAGATCTTCACCGAAGGCGAGGGTAGGGGACCCCGGTGCGGAGGGGGCAGCGTCGGAGGGATGCCGCGACGCAGGGGGCGTGGCGACGGTCAGCGAGGCGCTGCGCTGGGTGGTGGGCAGCTGTCTAGGCGGCAGCTGGCGAATGCGGCGGAGGCCGGAGGCTCCCAAGCCATGCTCGTGCTCGGAGACAATAGGCGACCGCGCGAGACGGCCGAGCTGCCCTGCATCGAAGCTCATGCGCTTCGCCGTGTCGATGGCCGGCGGGGCGGACACGGCGTGCGAGAGCAGGTTGGACATGCTCTTGTTCTTGGTGAGCGAGACATGGTCGGCGGCGCTGCGGTGGGCGGACAGGGTATCGAAGTGTGGTCCTTCTTGGAGAGAGCCTGGAGGGGTCGCGTTAGCAGTCGAGCACATGTGGGCGTGCCGCGGGCGCACAGCAGACGTCGACAGCGCGGCAATGGCGGCGGAACGGCCCCATCAAGCAGCCTGTGTGCAGGCCGACGGCGTCCATGGCAGTCGACGCAGCACTCCACACGCCCGCCCCTGCGACAGCACGGCACGGCTAGTCTCCGCATGCCCTGCCCGCCGCCCCCGCCGCACAGCCGCTGCATGCGGTGGTGAATGAGCGCATCCGGGTGGTTGCACTTACCATCCTGTGGCCTGCTCATCGGTCAACACGGGCACTGCAAACTACTACGACAGGCGGGTGGCTTCTATCCGAACAGGAAGTGCTCGCCGGACACAGCAAAGGTGCGTTGCGGCGGTGGTGATACTCGGGGCAGGGTTCGCGAAGTGTGGTGGGACATGCGATGCGGGGGACGAGTGCTCAGATCTGAGGGATGAGAGGCTGCGAGGGTGCGTGTCGGGGCTGCGGCTGTAACGCGTGGCCGTCTGCGCAATGGCTGCGTGTCGACGGTACAACGGGAATATCGATATGGCGGCAGTCTTCGAGCGTGGCACAACTTGGATGCGACTCGATGCGGAGTGTCTATTTGCATTGGTATTCTAGTCCCGCGGCAGAGGGCTCACGCTACCGAACCTAACCATCTGCATCATCACCGCGGCCAGCGCGCCGACATGACACACACAACCATTCCCACCCGTAGCCCCAATTGCTCACTGAACACAGCGTGCTCATCTCACCAAAGCCTGCCATCCTTGCAGTTGTCAGGCAAACCACCGTCGTCATAGACGAGCGTCTTCTGCTGTTGCTTGTCCATGTGAGCACTGAGCACATGCCGCCCGTGAATTTGCCCGACGCCTGTCATGCACAGAAACGGCTTGTCGGTCTATCTCGGGGCAGCGGACTTCAGGGATGCCGTACCCAGCGGCTTTAAGCATGGAAGGAGAACGTCGCAGTCTCGACACAGGGTCTGCCATGGTCCAGGGATCGCCTTCATTTGCGAGCCAAAACCTTGATCAACTTTAGGTCGCAATGACTGATGCCTACCTTCCCCAACGTTAGTCTTGTGCTAATGCACAGTCTAGTACTTCATCGCTGTCTAAGGGTGTCCTTGTGCTTGTTCCAAAAGTTTCTGCAGCCTTTGAAACTCATCAGTCGCGCTCCTTTGAAGTGCGTTAGAGAAAACGTACCTCGGTGCATGTTCACTTGCTCAATCCACCACTCCCCAAAGCTGTCCTCAGCCGACATGTCTGCTGCAGTCACCCTCTCATCTCTTTTCAAACCGCACAACATGCACGGCTGGCGCGCAGGTACACCACCCTCAGACTGTTTCAGCGTCCTGACCGGCAGCGTTTCCTGCAAATCGGGGGCAGGGCTCAAAGTACCAGACTTGATCTGATTGACACCAGAGATGACGTGTCGAAGTCTGCCAACCTGATCTTTCCACACTCTCACAACATCAGAGGCCTCCCTGTCTTCTTTCAACGTCTCTCCTCGATCGATACCTGTTAGCTTCATCCCTGATGTAGCTCGAGATGACGCTGGCCCAATCCTCATGCCCTGAGAAAGATGTTGATCACGCTTCCAACGAAGTTTTCGTCCTGCTATAATGTGCGCTGCGACAGAGGCTAACATGAGATACCCTTTGAGGTAATTAATTGTTCCTGGCTCGGCAAGAAGCTTGTTCCTCATCGGTAGCGTTTGTGTAGCCATAGGCTTGAACAGCTGCTCTTGCGCGTCTGCAAAGAAGGACGGGAATAGTGAGAGTAAGACACCAGGTGGTGGGACATTGGTCGGCGGCTGCTCTGCAGAACCTACATCATCCATTTCTGGAGACAGGATCGGTGTAGGTGCTAATGTTGCTGGATTTTTGGTGACTTCAGGGGCCCTGGTGGCTGGTGCCGGTATCGAAGCCTCCCAATCATCGAACGTGTCCCAGCCGTCATCCGCGATGTGAGGTGTCACGGCTGGCGCTGGTTTTGGTTTTGCTGCTGGCTTCGGTTTTGACTGTTTGGGCGCAGCAAAGTCTCTGGTGGAGCTTTTTTCTGTAGTCGGTCTGGCCTTTGCATCTACTACATTGGCCGGTTTGCCTGGCTCTTTAACTATTGAAGGCGTAGGCTGTGAGAAGTCTAGATCTCCAAGTAAGTCGACGAGAGCCGAAGATGGCCTTGCTGACGCCGGAGGCGCTGATGGTGCTGATGGCACTGGTTCGACAGGTTGAGACTGCGACTCCTCAAAGTCGCCAAAGTCGTCATCATCAAGATCTTCCTCTGCGTCGAATAGCACGTTGGAATCCGCAGGCTTCTTTGCTTTGACTATTGGGGCCTTGGTCCATGACTCCTGTGAGGTTGACGGAAGGCCTGTCGGCTGAAAGCCGAACGGATCGCGTGCTACAGGCTGGCTTGTCCAAGCCTGCTGTGGCGGCTGAGCCTGCTGACTTGATATAAAGGCAAAAGGATCATGTTGAGCAGATGATGTAGTATCAACATGACTTGATCCTCCCTCAAAGTCACCCCAGTCATCAGCATCATCGTCTGTTGTCGATTGTGTCGGTAAACTAGCGGTGTGCCCGAAGCTCTGTGCGAATGTGGCCGGCTGTTGCGAGACCGTGGCAGGCTTGTTGTTCAAGTCATCGAAGAAGCTGAACGTCGATGCGGGCTGCCGTCCACTGGAGACATTTGATTGCGTGGGATTTTCGCTTGAGCCTGTGCTGAACTCTGCGAATAGGTCCGCTGACATTGCTTACTGGAAGTTGGAAGTGCGATTGGGGAGTGGTGCAGACGTCGGTCAAGGAAGCTGGGACCGCACTAGGCCGAAATCCCGGGAACCGGCCTCTCACGGACGATGTGAGCCAGGTATTCTACCACGCGAGTAAAGTAGGGCGAATGCACAGAAACCCCATAGAAGACCTTTTTGCCTACAATATAGGTAACGCTTAACTAGGTTCTAGCTTTAACTACTATGATAGCTACAAGTTCAGCTCAAAGGTCGCTTATCCGCCGCACTTTTTGAAGCGAGAACCGGCCACTAACAGGTTAAGCACCCTGACACTGATGACCTGATCAAGTTGTCAATGGGGCAATCATGGCAGTGAACTGTGATATTGTGAGATGGATTTGATCTCATGCTGATACATGCGTGAGAACGTCTATGAACGGCCACTAACCGTGTGGATCGTACATCAATTCACAGGCAACGAGTGCTGGTCTCATAACAGCCCGCCGCACTCTACCTGGGAGGTACATTGTGTCATGTTCAAGACGGCGTGGCCACAGGGACTCGTGCATGTGTCGGAAACAACAAGGGTTCATCATGAAGCGTGTCGAAGACGACGCGAAGCACAGCATCACAGCGCAGAGCACAAGAAGTTGAGTGTCCGTCCATATTTCATTCAATCATTGTGAAAGTCTACGGTTGGACTCGCCTCAATCCACCAGACCGTAATGCATGAAAGTCATCATAGCTTTTCCGAAGCCAACCCGCATCCCCAGAACCAGGTATCTAGAGAGTATGAGAAAGAAACAAACGACCGAAGAAGTGATCGCTTATTTCTTGGTGGCCTTCTGGGCAGCCTTGGTGACCTTGCCAGCCTTGTCGGCCTTGACGACAGACTTGATGACACCGACAGCGACGGTCTGACGCATGTCACGGACGGCGAAACGACCGAGAGGGGGGTAGTCAGTGAAGGCCTCAACGCACATGGGCTTGGAGGGAACCATCTTGACGATGGCAGCGTCACCAGACTTGATGAACTTGGGGCTGGCCTCAGTAGACTTTCCGGTACGGCGGTCGATCTTCTCGAGGAGCTCGGAGAACTTGCAAGCAATGTGGGCAGTGTGGCAATCGAGGACTGGGGCGTAACCAGCACCAACCTGACCAGGGTGGTTCAGGACGATGACCTGGGCGTTGAAGGACTCAGCACCCTTGGGGGGGTCCTGCTTGGAGTCACCGGCAACGTTGCCACGACGGATCTCCTTGACGGAGACGTTCTTGACGTTGAAGCCGACGTTGTCACCGGGAACACCCTCGACAAGCTGCTCGTGGTGCATCTCGACGGACTTGACCTCAGTGGTGACACCAGCGGGGGCGAAGGTGACGACCATACCGGCCTTGATGATACCAGTCTCAACACGACCGACGGGAACCGTGCCAATGCCGCCAATCTTGTAAACATCCTGGAGGGGAAGGCGGAGGGGCTTGTCGGTGGGACGGGTGGGTGTGTCGATGGCGTCAATGGCCTCGAGGAGGGTCTTACCGGTGGACTTGGTCTTGGTCTCCTTCTCCCAACCCTTGTACCAGGGGCAGTTAGGGGAGGCTTCGATCATGTTGTCACCGTTGAAACCGGAGATGGGCACGAAGGGGACGTGCTTGGGGTTGTAGCCGACCTTCTTGATGAAGTTGGAGGTCTCCTTGATGATCTCGGAGAAACGGGCCTCGGACCACTTGGTGGTGTCCATCTTGTTGATGGCGACGATGAGCTGCTTGACACCGAGAGTGTAGGCGAGAAGAGCGTGCTCACGGGTCTGGCCATCCTTGGAGATACCAGCCTCGAACTCACCAGTACCGGCGGCAATGATGAGAATAGCGCAATCGGCCTGGGAGGTACCAGTGATCATGTTCTTGATGAAATCGCGGTGACCGGGAGCATCAATAACAGTGACGTAGTACTTGGGGGTTTCGAACTTCCAGAGAGCGATGTCAATGGTGATACCACGCTCGCGCTCAGCCTTCAGTTTGTCAAGAACCCATGCGTACTTGAAGGAACCCTTGCCGAGTTCGGCGGCTTCCTGTGAATTCGTTAGCAAAAATGAAGACCATAGTAGTAACGTGGAGTGCTTCAGCAGTGTCCCAACCAGGACACACTTCCGAAGGCTGAAGGCGAAATGCAATGTGGGGCATGGTGGTGAGGTTGGCGAGACCCAGAAGAGGCTAGCGCAAGCGCGCGGAAAACCTCGCACAACCCCACCAAAAATGCCCCTCATCAAGCGATAAAGCCGCTGGAGGCATTTCGCTCAATGAATGCGATTGCAGATGGTGTAGCCACATAAAGAAAATGAGTGCGTCATACCTTCTCGAACTTCTCGATAGTACGCTTGTCAATACCACCGCACTTGTAGATCAAGTCTGTCCCATTGTGAGCTATTGTACCCCGCGCATGTTCGAAGAGGATTGCTTACGACCGGTGGTTGTCGACTTGCCGGAGTCGACGTGGCCGATGACGACGACGTTGATGTGAGTCTTCTCCTTACTGCCGGATATATTAGCATCGTGTCGATGTAGGTTCAGGCAGGTGCTGCCGTCTGAGTGGCGCTTACCCCATGATGGCGGTTGTGTGTTAAAAGTTGGAGGGTGTGAAGTTTAACTTTTGATTCTCTGCAAATGACCGTTAGTTATTTGGGCAGCACAAGAAAGTGTGGCTGACATACCAGATATACAGCTCGTGTATGGTGTGAGAGACGATGAAACCGAGAGGGTACGGGTGCTGATGGGTATTTATGAGGGGCAGGCGTGCCAAGAACTACGTCGCTCCGTCGGGCAAAGCAAATTTTCCATAGAGCAACGCCCAAAGCCTTGCAGGCCCCTCTCTCACCTGGAACGCGCGCAAAGGCAAAATCAGTCGCTCTGATTGGCTGCTTGGCCATCTGCCTTGCGTTGCCGCCTGCTTAGACTTGCCACAGCCGCTGCTTCCTCATGCGACTGTGGGACAGCGCACAAGCAGATGCAGCAACAAAGCCGTCGACAACTTGACTCAAGCTTGGCCACATGCCTTTCAAATTGCAGCTTGCACAATCAAATTGAAGCTTGACGAGCAGTCACATTGATATGAGTCTGCTTTCGAGATGTCACTTCGACTTTCGCTGATCTTCATCGCACAAAAAGTTTTGGGATGGCGGGGTATCCAAAGTTAACATCATAGCCCCACTCATGCACATGCTCCACATCATTGCCATCAAGTCACCACCTAGATCCTGCACACCGTGTTCGCCTTCTGTGTTTGTATCGGATTTGCCCCTCTGCCTTCATGCAGGTTGTAAACGAGAGGTTCAAACTCATTGACTCATTCTACAGCTGCTGCCGCCAGTCTGTGGACTAGTAAGCCGCCCTTTTGCTCGATAAGACCGGTTTCATCTACCGCTGCCCTGCAAGTCACACGATGTCATTTGCTTCTCTCACGGCACGTCCGATAGAGCTAGTTTCGAACGAACGGTTGCGATTAGCACGAAAGCGGTGAGCTGATAGCCACCGCCTCTGCTTTCGATTAGGCATTGTGAAGACTTCCTCACACACTTCGACACGATAATGCCACCGACGACGACCTCCTGCCCACCTCGCTCCCTTCCAAACAACCTCGAACCTGCGATCGTATCTTTCCCGCCAGGCTTGCACTTCTACAGGGGGAGCCAACACATGTTTACCGTCGATTAGCATGGACAATAGGACGTTCACGTTGCTGCAATAATAGGCTGACCGAAGCCTTTCCAGGCGATGGGGCTCACAGTCAAGACTGACTGTTCAGCTTGTCTCCATACACGTATCCCGCCTGGCTATAGTTCGAGTCATGCCGCCCTTGACTTCGTCAGCGCCCTTCGAATACACCCCTCGAGCTCTGTTTAGTCGCAAGATCGAGACCCTCGATAACAACCGATGTACGCGAGGTCGGATGACAACGTCTGCATGGCTCCCACGTTTCAGGAAACGCGGTAGATGAGCGACCTTCAAGCTACTTGTAGCTATTGTGATAACCAAAGCTAAAATTTAACTAAGCGTTACTTGGATTGTAGGTAAAAAGGTATCCTATAAAATTTCCTTACATTGTCCTCACTCTACTGTTGTGTGGTCTGTGTCGCACTCAAGGCCAGGTCTTACTTTGCATCGCATTCCAACATTACCAAAGAAACCATCCGAGCGGTGCTAGTCGTCAGATCACAGGCTAGCGACATCTAATGCATTGGTTGATTTCATTGGGACTAACCTAGATCGACCGAGGCCAAGATCTTCAAGTACTGCTTGACGTGGGGACTATCTCTCTTCTACCTAGGAAGACGAAGCGGTCTCCAGGTAGGGTGTTTACAACAAGTAAGATCTCGTAGGTTGGGCAGCTGGTGATACGCGATACTCAGGCGGAGCCATGCAACTGAATTTCCGCGCGATCAAGCACGTCTCGGCAGGATCAAGCCATGCAAAAGGAAACCGCTGCACCCCGGGAGAGAAGGCCAGACAAAGCGGATTGTTAGGAGTCTTCGGAGCAAGGGCTACGTGAACCAGTCTCCACAGATCTCGAGGGAGAGGCTCTACGAGTAGATCGATGTGAATACGTGGATGTAAGTAGCGTCTTTCGATGGCGTCTCCCGATGCCGATGTCGATTGTCATTTGTATCGTGAGGATAAGGAGCGTGAGAACACACACCCGCCTCAACTGAGCGCCGACTGACAAGCGCCGTATTGCCTGGTTGGCATAATAGAAATATGCTACCAGGACATCGCAAAAGCTAGAATAGTGATATTCAAAGACGATCAACAATGGCCTTGTTGCGTCCATTCGCGGGAGCAGAGTTATCGGCAATAGTTTGTCGCGCTGGATCGCTCGGAACAATCCGAGAGCTTGAAACATGAAGCAGGCATGCATGACTGGTGAATATGCTCTGCCGTAATGGATCCATATACATACCCTGCATTGCAAGCCTTGCCAGCCGGGAATGGCCAGGCTCTTCAGTGCGCTGTCAGGAACTGCGCAGAATGTGGCCTTGCAACGATCGGGTATCCCGGTCGTGTGACTTCCGAATAGTCGTTGTGATGCAAAGTCGTCTGTTAGTTTAGGAGAGCCCTGGAGACTCCGAAAGCGGCCCAGCCTTCAACCGTTTCTCGAGGACCGAGCCGTTGACGAGTGGGAATGCAACCCGATCTTGCTGTCAGAGCAGTGCCCCAGCTACCGAAACCTAGTTGTGTACATCGGGCATGGCTCAGTAAATCGATGCTCAACGCGCTGGCTATGCATGGATGCACAGAGCGGCAAGTGCACAAGACGCGTCGTGACAATCAATCCGTGCCAAATGCAACCGCAGTGTGTCCATGTTGTTTCTGCGTTTGTGGATTGGAGGAGCAGCAGACATGTCGCGTGCTGCCCGTTCTCGAGAGTACAGAGAATACTAGGCTGCATCGCCGTCTCCTTGCTTCTTCCCGTCAGTAATCTGGCCTTCCAAGGTTCAGGGAGTAACGCTCGTGCCATTCGCCGTGGGCATGCGCAGGGCTGCTTTCCGAAATTACGCAGGGTATCTCTAAGCCAAGCACGAATCACAGTGCTCCAGGCCCGAAAAGATGCCTCCCTTCTCACCCGCAAACCAACTCCTTCGCGTCGGCAGCTCGCAGGTCTCACGAGGCATCCTCAGCTACTGGACGCAGTGCAGAGTGCGCTGCAGAGCCGTTCGGTCGCTAACATTCACTTGTATCTCTTTCTTCTTGCAGTTTGCTTTTCTTAATTCGCGCGACCAACCGCTGCACGGTACTGGCTGCGTTCGGGCCCCTCTTGCATGCAACCCCCCTCATAATCCTCCGCGCCTCCTCGCCCGCTGAGCTCTGTTGCTGTTCGCTCTTCTTTGCAACGGCTTCGGTCAACGCCTGCGAGGATCTGTCCCGTTCCCGCGGCCATCGCCAGCTCGCTACTGCTTCTCACAGTATCCCGGACAAGCGCGTCACCGCCTCCCCGAGGAACGAAACATTTCACAGCGTCGTCATTACAGCCACCACCTGACTCGCCTCCAAACAGCCTCCGCCCTGGGAGCTGGCTGTCGCATTATTTCTTCTGACTGCAACCCGCCGCACGTCCTATGGCTGCTCTCGCCTCGTCACGGCAGCCTGCGCAAGTCCAACAATTAACGCCGCCCAGCAGCTCGCACGGCGCAGAAACATCGTGGGATTTCGCGGTACCTCTGGACGGTTCGGTGCGTGCTCTTTCTTTTCTCCCTCCGTGCCACCGTCACACATGATCGGGATCTGGGTCACGAATCGCCGCTACTGGCACTACTGCGGCTGTCAATGATGGATGACGGTAGCGCCAACTCAATTCATGACTGCCCAAAACTTGACTTCCACCACCACCACCACTATGAGACGTTGCTGACAGCATGCTGCAGAGGCAGTCATATGACCAGGAGGCCTTCATGGCTGGCCATCAGGTGTCCGCGTACGGCAAGCCGCACACTTCGCAAGCCAACGGTTTTGTAAAGCCCGTTCGTTCGACAACCTGGGAGTCGCAAGGCACCTACGAAGACGACAGAGGAAACCACCCGCGCGCAAGCTCACTGCACAAGAAGCCGAGTCGAGATGTGATTGCCAGCGCCGAGCAAGACAGCACCTACGGCAAGAGCACCAAGGGCAAGATGGGTCCGCCGGCGTCTGTCAGGGGCCGCGGTTCGAAGAAGACCAACGACCCGGATGCCGATCAGAGCAAATGGATACACCGCGACAAGCTGAAGGAGATTGAGATCAGGGAAATGGAGGAGGCTGGGTTCAGAGTGGGGCGCACCAGCCGGTCTAACAGCCGGTCACAGAGCGCCTCCCGACGGACTCGAGCTCGTACCAACTCTGAGCTGGCAGGCGAAGATCTTTACGGAAGACCCGTGCTACCTGCCGACGACGACGAAGCTATGGAGGACCAAAGGTACCACGCATGGAGTCCAGCCAGTAGCGAAGACCCAGCACCCGAGATGCAGCCACCATCATCGAGGACGAACCACACTGTGAGACCTAGCACCTCTCGCATTCCCCTCCCCAAGACAAGTGGCATACCTGTGCCCGCATCACTCGCAGACCGCGATGCGCCCCTGCCGAGGTCACAATCAGGCGGCACCAACTGGAGTGGAGACATTGCTGCCGCTGGCGCGCGAGTACGAAGTGGAAGTATAGGAAGCCAGGTGCTTCTGGACGACATCCTCGACGAGAAGAAACGTGGCCACACCCGCAACAACTCTTCTTCGGCTAGCGGATCATCTATGAAGCAACCTCCGAAATCAGGGCCTAGGGCAAAGGCTACTGGCAAGACGGCTGCGGGCGCGAGAAAGACCAGCACCACGACACGAGCCACGGGTAAGACCAGGCAGACCTCAGGAAACAAAGGCAACGGTGCTGCTTCTCGCCCGACCACCGGCCATCGGCCTGAGGGAGAGGCACCCTGGATTGCGACCATGTACAAGCCCGACCCGCGCCTCCCGCCCGACCAGCAGATCATTCCCACACACGCCAAGCGTATGCAGCAAGAGCAGTGGGAGAGTGAGGGCCGCGTCGGCTCCATGTATGACACAGACTTCCGGCTGCTCAACACCGAAGAGATGGGAGTCCAGCGTCTGTCGCAGATCGACCCCGTTGCACTGGAGAAAGAGAGGGAGAGTGGGCAGTGGCCGCTCTCTAGCCAAGACACGAAGCCCTCACACCTGGAAGACAAGCCTGCGCCTGCGCCCGCCCCCGACCGGTCTCCAGCAGTCGAACAGCCTCAGTTCAAACTCACGCCCACGATACCACAAAGCCCCCGTGTGCCATCGCCCCAGCCTCCTTCCATCAAGCAAGGATCGAATGATGAGAAGCCCAAGATAACCCGAGTCCGAGAGCCCACGGAAGAGATTCCCGAAAAGAAGGGCAAATGTTGCATCGTCATGTAGCACCGTTCTTGCGTATACCCATTTCTTTGCATTTTCAAGACATACTGCCAAATCGTTTCCTTCATGTACATGGCGTTTGAGCCCGGGGTGGTTTGCCCTTGCCTTCTCTTCCACCTTTGACATCGAGTTGTAGCGTACAGCGTCCACTGATTTCCTTCGTTTTATATTTTCGCACCTTTTCCACTGGTGGCGGGCCAACACTTGCATTTCTAGATATAGCCCCGCGTCAAGATCCACGCATTCAACGACTTCGCTGTCGATGAGCACACACGCTTCGCTGTTTTGTAGGAACAGGCGGGAGCATCGAGAAAAGACTTTACTATCTATTGGGACGTTAGGCGAACGGAGTCGCAGTTTGAACGAATCACGGCGAGGCAGCCAGGCTGCGGTGAGTGACAGAATGCAAACACTCAATCTACTCTTTCTTCGAATACTTGCGTTGTGCATTGAGTGATTCCATCCACATGAAACATGCAGACGGTGAAGACGGTGCTTAGTCAGGTGCCGAAGACCCTGAGCTCGGCGACGTCAGTTTCGCTCGAATAAACCGCCGATCAGCAATTCGAAGCTGACGACCCCACTCACCGCCAGACTCTCTGTCCCCTCATACGTCACCCGCGATCGCGTGAACAGCCCTGCTTTTGTTGCGGGACTGGTTCGCTGACCTCTCACCGTGGCGTCGATCAATACCTTCCTTGACGACGTGAAGCGGTCCTTTCACTTCCTCAAGAACCACCCCGCGCTCTCCACCACAGTCCCGCCTGTCCACGTGGACGAAGATAGTACGGACACGCTCACCAAACTCGCCCACACCCTCCGCGTCGCCGAAATCGCCGACTTTGTCACGAACCCCCGTTTCGACGACCCTACGTACCTCACGACGCTTGCCATCGGGCTCGCTGCCGTCTTTGTGACCATGTCGTGGTTCTCTCGCGCCGGCGGCAGCTGGGGCGGGCGCTTCTCGCCTTTTGGGCGTCCCAGCCAGAACCCCAGCTCGGGCGTCGTCAACGACTCGGATTTCTCGTACATCACCAACGAAGACCTGCGGAAGAACAACGGGACGGCGCCCGAGATTGTCGACTGGGACGACAAGAACCCGGAGCGCGAGACGGACGTCGTGGTCTTCAAGGAGAAGAGGACACATTACCCGACCCACTTCCCCGCGCACAGCATCCGCGACGGAAACCTCAAGGTCGGCACTATCAGACAGGCGGCGGCCAAGAAGCTCAACGTCGACGACGCCCGCCGCGTGCGCATGTTCCACAAGGGCCGCAACCTCAAATTCGACGAGCGCACCGCGCGCGAAGAAGGCCTCCGCGGCGACGGCACCGGCAGCGAGATCCTCGTCACCGTCGGCGAAGCACCCGCCGGCGGCCTGGCGCCAGGCGCCGACGAACCCGCGCCGCAATGGAGCGACAACGAAGTCTCGGACTCGGACGACGCGGACTCGGGCGCCAACACCTCAGGCAAGAAGAAGTCCCGCAAGCGCGGCGGCCGCAAGGGCAAGAAGAAGGGCCCCCTCCCCGCCTCCGGCTCCTCCACCCCAGGCTACTCCTCCGCGGCCCCGACGAACCCCGAATTCCTCCCCATCCCCTCGCACATCGGCGCCCCGCGCCCCTCGTCCGCGCCGCCCACACCCAAACCCGCCACCGCCCCGCAGTCCGCGGCCCAGAAACTCGCCGCCATCGCGTCGAAATTCCACACCGAGTTCGTGCCGCTGTGCGTGCAGTTCATGAGCTCGCCGCCCGCGGACAAGGCGAAGCGCGACTTCGAGTACAAGAAGCTCAGCGAGACGATTCTGACGCAGATTATTTTCAAGCTGGATGGGGTCGAGACGGAGGGCGATGCGGAGGCGAGGGCGCAGAGGAAGGCGTTGGTGAAGGAGGTGCAGGGGATGTTGGGGAAGCTGGATGAGGCGGGGAAGCAGGCGAATATGTAGGGGCATGGGTGGTGTTATGGGTTAGACTGGCTGGGAGTGTTGCAAATGTACTCTATCGTGTTCGTTTTATGAGCCGTTTGTGAGGGTTGTCCCGGCATGCTGATGTAGGAGTGATGTATGTATCGCGCTCCGAGTCCAACACCGCCCTAGGCGTGCAGCCAACACCTCTTAGTAAAGGCAGTCCACGACCCCTAGTCAATCCCCACAAACACGCCATCGCGCTCCAACACCCCCCGATCAACCACCGGCAACGGACTCACCGCATCCGCCCTCGCCAACCCATCCTCCACCAACCCCCAAAACCGCTCCAAGTCCACAGCCCTTGGGATCCGGCACCCGCCCTCGCCCGGCGGCAGCGGCGTGACTTTAGTCCTGCCCAGCTCGCCCACCTCGGACTGCACGAGCGAGTGCACGCCTGCGGTGACGACGTCGACGCGGAAGCGCTCGCCGCCGCGGTCATCGAACAATTCCGGGTAGATGGCGGCGGCGACGGCGAGAGGGTCGTGGAGGGGCGGGCCGGCGGTGAGGGAGAATACCGTGGCGTAGGTGCCGGCGAAGAAGGACATGATTTGCGCGAAGAGGGCGCGGAGGGTGGACGGGGTGCGCGGGGTGTCTGTGGGTGTGTCTGTGTGTGTGGCGGCGGCGCGGCCGTACAGCAGCGAGCGGCGCACGGATTGCGTGCCGAGGACGAGGTGGCTGAGATCGAGCGGGACGAGGGTCGTCTTGGGGCGCAGGACCGGGTGCGCGAAGATGAAGGCCGAGGCTTCGGGGTCGCAGTAGATCTGGGCGGTTAGCCGTGCGCATCACGGGTCTGCGTGGCGGCTCACGTTGAACTCGGCGTACGCGGTCCAGTTGCCGAAGCGCTCGCCCTCGCCCTGCACCTTGCCCATGGGCGCGTCGGTGAACTGGTGCCCCACGGCGCCGCCCATGATGCTCAGCCCCTTGAGGTGCCCCGCGAGGTCCGGGTACTGCTGGAACAGCAGCCCGATGTTGGTCAGCGTGCCGGTGGACACGAGCCAGGCCGTGTTGGGCGGGGTCGCGATGAGCGCGCGGTACATGGCCTCGAGGTACGGCACGTCGGTGGCCGCGGGCTCGACGGGCTGCGGCAGCAGCGTGACGCCGTCGAGTCCGCTCTCGCCGTGGATATCGGCCGCGTGCACGGCGTCGCGCACAATCGGCTTCGCGGCGCCCGTGTACACTTTCACGTCGCGGCGCCCCAGGGCCTCGAGGATGGCGCGCGTGTTGAAGGTCGTCTGGTCGAGGGCTGCGTTGCCGTGCACGGTGCTGGTGCCCAGGAGCTCGACGCGCGGGTCGTGGGCGCAGAGCAGCAGCGCGTAGGCATCCTGCGGGCTGTGAGCGGCGTGGTGAGCAGCAGCGTGCGTCCTACATCGTGTCCGGTGTCCTGGCGGTCGTCAATACGGGCGCGGGGTGAGTCGTGGGCGGGTACGGACACAGTCGAGCCAGAGCGGGATTCTCGACGCCATTGCAAGTGTATGATGTCCGGTATCACGGATTCGAGCTGGACGGAAGAGGTGCAAATGCAGGGTCCAGCCTCATGGCGGGGTTCAGCCTGGGGTAGGGAGGCGGCGCTAGCTGATTAACACACAACCGGGCACCTTCAATAGGGCCTCCACTATTGATCCTGACCCTTCGTCAGATATGTGCTCAAGAGCATATCAAGACGGCCCGGTGCAGCGAGGTAACCTTCTTTGTTTGACTATGCCTGTCGACGACTGAGTTTTGACCGCCGCGCTATCGTGTCCGCCTCATCCGAGCACGCAAGCTTCGTACTTCCGTCAGCTCATGCACGTTACCGTCCACTACTAACAGCGCGTCTTTTGCTATAATTATCGCCAACCCAGGCACCTGCCGTTGTGGTGCATAGTGCCTCAGGCGTCGTGACAACACCAAAACATAGAAGCCACCTTGCACTCCGTCCCTGTCACATCTCAACCCACAATGGACATCTTCCGCCGGCACGAGGGCCACCATGAAGTCGAGTCCAAGTCCTACTGGGCACTCGGATACTCGTTCGAGCCGCTGAGCGACGAGCAAAAGCACCAGCGCCGCGAGAACCTCGACTACTACGGCTTCGCCGCGCAATGGTCCGTGTTAGTCGTCTTCGCCCTGTTCCAGATGTCGTTTGGCATCAGGTGGATCGTCACCAAGGGCATGCGCTATGAGCAGCCCAAGTCTCCGTCGTTCAATAAGGGCCGCGAGAACACCCTGGGGTGGCTGAAGGGGCTGCATAGTCGCTACGCGAGGGTCATGTGGTGGATGCAGAAGGATGTCGTTTCGAGATGGGACTGGGGGACGAGAGGGGAGTGGATCGGGGGGACTCTCTGGACCGCATGGCTTCTTTATCTCTGCTTCGTCAATACTTCGCCTGGTAGGAACAATGACGGTGTTTTTTTGCATTATCAACTGACATCCCTAGACTATCTTCACCTCACCAAACGCTTCGGCCAGATTGGCGCCTCACAGCTCCCCCTCCACTACCTCCTGGCCATGCGAACGCCCTACTCACCCGTCCAATGGATCACGCGTCTCTCGCACGAGCAGCTCAAAGCCGCCCACCAAGTCCTCGGCCGCATCGTCTACCTCCTCTTCCTCCTGCACGCCGTCTTCTACCTCGTCTTCTTCGGCATGTCCAACCTGCTCGCCAAACGCCTCCAGGACCGCGACGTAATCTTCGGCCTCATCGCCCTCGCCCTCTTCACCGCAATCAGCACCACCGCCCTCGGCTTCGTCCGCCGCCGCAACTACCGCGTCTTCTACCTCTCGCACGTCGCCATCGCCAACCTCCTCGTCGTCCCCCTCTTCCTCCACGTCTCGCACCTGCGCATCTACGTCTACCAGACCGTCCTCATCCTGGCCCTGCACACCCTCTCACGCACCCTGCGCCTGAAATCCTACCAGGGCACCCTGCGCCTCCTCCCCGGCACCTCGCTCGTGCAGATCCGCATCCCGCTCCCGGACGCGCACCCCGCGCTCGCCTGGCCCCCCGGCCAACACGTCTACCTGACGCGTCCGCACGGCGCCTCCAAACCCCCCGGCTTCGCGGCCCAGTGCGCACAGTCGCTGCACGCGAACCCATTCACCATCGCCTCGCTCCCCGGGCTCGACCGCGAACTGCTCCTCGTCGCGCGCGCGCGCGCCGGCGCTACACGCGAACTCGCCGCTCTCGCCCAACGCCTCGCGAAAGGCGGCGCAGGCGTGTCCATGCTGCCCACCGCCGGCGGCGACATCCCGCTGCTCGCGCTCGCCCTCGAAGGGCCCTACGGCGCGTCCGCCCGCCTGCCCGACCTCACCGAGTACGACTCCGTGCTGCTGGTTGCTGGCGGCGTGGGCGCGACCTTCGTGCTGCCCGTGTGGCGCGCGCTGGCCGAGTTCCACGACGCGACGCCCGGCGCCGCGCGCGTACGGTGCGTGTGGGCCGTGCAGACGCTTGCGGACGCGCTGTGGGCGTTTCCTGAGACCGCGGGGAGCGGGGTGGATGCGCGGCGCGACGACGCCGTGCGCGGGGGCTTGCTGGCGCGCCCGGCCGAGGTCGAGGTGTATGTGACCCGGGGCGCGGGTGCGGGCGCAGCCGTGGGCGCAGAGCCTATATTCGCGCTCGACGACGACGACACCGAGGGCTTCGAGATGCAAGAGAGCGCGCAGCTACTAGGCGCGCAGGAGCAGCCAAACACAACACGGCGCGGGATGGTGGTCACGCACGGGCGGCCCGAGATGCGGGCCGTGGTGGACGAGGTGTTCAGCCGGGGGACGCGCACGGCGGTGCTGTGCTGTGGGCCGAAGCGGCTGACGGCCGACTTGAAGGCGTGTGTCGAGGTGTATGTGCGCAAGGGGTGTGAGGTGTTTTGGTACGATGAGGCGTTTGGGTGGTGAGGATGGCGGGGGGCTTGGAGAGCCGTGGTCTGGAGGTGTGCTGGATGTGTGTAGACTGTGTAGCTGGCGTGGTGCTCTAGGCGTCTGTTAGGGCAGCAGATCTGTCTTCTAGCCCTTACTACCTCGTGTACAAACAATAACACTACCTCACCACAAGGACGCAAACACGAGATATATGTTCCTGCCAAGGTTGCCTCGATATGAATACCCCCCCACCGCGCTTCCCCGTGCATACCGCACTCTCCCAGCCCCTCCTCTACAACACAAGAAGCAGAGTACGAAACGCCAGCGGCAAGCATACCTGTCCCAAACCCTCAAAACTATGAGACCCGATGTATCCCTAACAGCACATCACTCGACATCCACGCAGCCCCCGTCCACGCAAACCACCACAGACGCTGCGCTCATCTCCAACCAGCTCGGTATATCTCGTCCGACATGCTGCACGGCAACGCCGTCGAGACAGGGCCCTTACACCGCACCGCGACTCTCACGTTGCTGTTGATTAGGTACCATGCGACAGCCTCCGCGCTGCGCACACGTGCCGCGGGAGGGATGGTCCGCGGATTCCGTCACCGCTGGTGCAGCGTCGCCGCCCAGACGCTGGAGGGCCGTTTGCATGCCGATCGAGCACCGGGGGTGCGCTGCGGTGGGTGGTCTGCGCGGTGGTCGCGTGGCCTGGTTAGACGCGCTGCAACGCCTGCCTCGTGGGAGTGAGGGGGAGCAGGCAGGTAGACGTTGTGTTGCTGGTTGCCTGCAGCTACCACGTTCTTGGTACGACGAGGAGAGTTGTCGAGCGGCCGGCACGAGAACAGAGGATCTCACGCCGCGGCGACGAGATACAGCACTGATACTGGGCCTGTCTGCCCTATACGAACAGCACGAGGCCGACACTGCATTCTTGTGTGAAACAGGGCCGCTGTCGAGGCGCACACCATGACTTGTCTGTTCCTCTCCCAGATTGCGAGTAGCCGTGAGTGGGTTTCACGCAGCACATCGACGAGCGCTTTTGATCGCGTTGATTGCTGGACCGTTGCCAAGCACAACCTATCCAGGTGGCTTTGCGACTCCTGATTTGAGAGACGCTTTACATACCGATCTTGAGCTCTTGACTTTAAGCGTCTAACACAACTATAATTACGGGCAAGTCAGGTTGGAACATGGCGCCGGCGTAGAGAGAACGCGGTTCCACGACCCTGCCAGCTGGACTCTAGCATGGCAAACCCGTTGTTTGTTTCGCGTCCGCCTGCCAAGTCAGCGCGTTTGGCACATTTCCAGCACTCAATGCGACAGTGTTTCGGTCAGCGCCCGGCATCTGCCTGGGCGAGCAGCTGGTGTCCGGTCCCCCCTCGTTCCTGGGGTTTGGCTGTTTGATTGACGGGTTGACTGGAGATCGGTCGATTGATTGCTACTATCCCCACGCCTGGTGATTGGCCATGTGGGATTGCGAGACGGGTGAGGACGCGGGGGGGAGGGGGAGGCCTGCACTCTTCACAGCAGAACCCGGGGGGTTCCTGGCAGTAGAGCGCTAGGGACTTACGACGTCTTGTGTTCTGTGTGGAGAGATCCACTGGTCACGGCGTCGCTGTTCACGACTCTTGAGTAGGGCAGTTTGCATATGCGTCTTCAGTGCTGTGCTGGACGCTCGAAAAGCTATTGCGGATGTGAGTGACGCTCGCTAGTCCACGGTTTGGTCCACTGCCATGTGGCTTCAGCGCCGCCATCGTCATTGTGCTGTCGTAGGGCAGCAGCCTCGCAAGGGTCCGACGCGGCGAGGAAAGTTCTGGACCAGGCTGGCGCACCACGGGCTCTCTTGGACGACCAAACAAAGTTGCACGAAATGCTCGACGTGAGAAGGTCCGGTGGTGACGAAAGCAGGTTTCATGGCCCAGAGTGTTGCCGAATACCGAGATGCGTCTTGAGATGGTGATGTGGTCAGCACAGTCTTTGTTGGAGGTCAGCGGCTGCTTTGGCCAATGTCAACGGCACTTTTGTTGGATCTGAGCACCTTCACCGCAGCCAAGAAGCCATCATTACGACTGCATGCCTCCGTTCAAGTGACAGGTCGGACGTGACTGGGTGCAGTGCATGCGTACGCTCGCGCCCGCATTGTACTCCTAGGGATGCAGATCCGTTTTTGCTGCTGTGTAGGTGGTTGACGCTTGGCAGCGCTCCGCTCTTCCGGCAGAGTCTTGGAAGCTGCGGAGAATGCGGGACAAGAGACCAGACACTGAGCAAGTTGCACTGCATGTACCAAGGCGTCCGCGCTCTTGGAATGAATCACCAAAAGTCTTCGTCATCGTACATATTCGTCTCTTCGCCTTTGGCTGTGGCGTGTCGCAGCCGAAGCATGTGGCTCAGCGCATGCAAGTATCGGGCTCCGATGCGCTCTGTGGGGATGGATTCATGACTTGTGGTGCCATGTGGTGGTGGTTTCGGTGCGCAACCGATCACACTGTTAACTGCACCTGGGCACGTCCAACACCCACTTGACGCTATGTAGGGTCCAGTTTATCTTTATCGCAGTCAATATGACACAGTATTACTATATACTGTGTATTGAATAACTGCGTTGCGCGTACACTCCAGCAAGACAAGCCCTGATCGCCAAGTGGCTGGTCGGGCGCGCCTGGATGCAGTATATTCGAGACAGGAGGCTTTCAAGTCGTAAAGCAAAATAACGCCTGACGTGTTATCAAACTGGAGATGCGACGAGATGCACTGCACACTATTAAAAGTTGCGCATGGAAGCAGCCTGCAGCTGATTTCGATCGCTAGGGAATCACGCGTGGTGGCGAGCAGGTCTGAATTAGTCCATATTGCGATGTCGTAACCCCCCAGAACAAGCGAATAGAAAGATGCAAGCTGGCCATGCGTGTTCCCCTGGATTTGCACAGCCTCGATCCAAAATTCGCTCAGGCTTGGCTGGCACTTGGCAGTTTGGGGAGAGGCCAAGACGAGCGGGATCATGGCACTCACAGATCGGGGTCGCCATGCTGCTTTGATCGAGGGAACCGCTGTTTGATGAACGTGGTCGGTTTGAGCGAGGCAGACTGCACCTGCCTATCAGCGCGAAGCCTCTTTCTCCATCAACGGTCAGCAGACAATGCAGATGGCTGACAAGTGGTTGCCCAAAACAGGGACAGCGGATGCTGCGGCGGCATCTGGTGGTGCACTCGACTAGGCATAGGGAGCGAGGAGCGCAGGAAAGCACTCAAGCGGATACCAGGAGGTGCTGGAGGCTGGAGACAATGTTGAGTCGGGGAAACAACCACCTCCCTCATTCGGAAAGCGCGGGGTCTGATCGATCCTCGAGCCTCGATGAATGAGGGCCCGCTGATTGCGACACGGCCTGCGTCGCCTAGAAGGCGCGACGTTCAGCGTGTCGGCGACAAGACTTCCGCCGGGCCAAGAGAGCACCCAAGACGAGCAAGAGATTCCGCTCAAATGACGGCCGAACATCACTGGACGCCCTGACCAACTGGTCGACTGCGGCAATGTGGCCCTCGCAGACGGTTGCTGGAGCTTGGAAGGTGCGCATCACAGGCGCCGAATGGGCTCTTGACGGCTGGTGGGCGAAGCGGCCAAAGGGCCGGACTCAATCATTGAGCGCTGTCGCGGCGCTGCAAAGGGTATAGCGAGCCAAGCGGCTAACCCTTGGCTCGCGCTAAGGGATTGGCCCCCTCCGCAGGGTTTTCTTGGAAATTCCGCTGCGGACGCTCTTTCTCATAATCTGCCGTGGCCCCCGTCCTCAGCTCAAAGCTCGGCGCCTTCTCCTCCTCTTATTACTGCAACCCAAGGACTTGCTCCCCACCCCAAGCTTCTGCCAGTAACCTCACTCTTTCTTTTGCGCTGAACGAGATACGTTCGCGCCACAATCATCGTGTCTTCATTACAGAGCCAAATAGCATCGCTGCTGCCAAGCATGAGCAGCGTCGAACAACAAGCACCCGTGCCCGCCGCGGCCACCACGCCGCAGCAGCAGCCTTTGGGCACGCCCACTCAGCAGAACGCGCCTACGCCTGCGTCTGTTGCTAACTCGGGCGGCGACCAACTCACCTGCCAGTGGCAGGCATGCGGCGAGCGTCTGCCTTCAGCAGAGCAGCTTTACGTAAGTCTACAGCCGCCTGCACTCGATCGTTACACAGATGCTAACATCAACCAGGACCACGTCTGTGAGCGCCATGTTGGCCGCAAGAGCACCAACAACCTCAACTTGACCTGCCAGTGGGGTAACTGCCGCACCACGACTGTGAAGCGTGACCATATCACCTCTCACATCCGTGTTCACGTGCCATTGAAGCCGCACAAGTGCGACTTCTGCGGCAAGGCTTTCAAGCGTCCTCAGGATTTGAAGAAGCACGTCAAGACCCACGCTGATGACTCTGTCTTGCTCCGCTCACCCGAGCCCAACCGGGGCGGACCCCACGGCGCTGGCGGTTATCCCGGCCAGAGCGGTAAACGTAAGTATCCCCATCTCGAATGTTTCTCCTTCTGTGTCTAACCAGTGCCGCAGTGGTTGCTGACTTGCAGGCGCTTGCCGCTACAGCCAGCGGTTACCAGTACCCTGATGGTGCTCTAGGAGCCAACGGAGCCTATGGACAGCAGCACCCTGGAGGCGCACCCGCCGGATTCTACGGAGGCCCTCCCCAGAACTCCGCCTATGGCCCCGTTTACTACGCTGTCAACCAGACGCAGCAACTCACCAATGATTACGAGATCCGTAAGCGTGCCGCGTACGATGCATTGAACGAGTTCTTTGGCGATGCCAAGCGCCGTGCAATTGATCCCTCTACCTACTATGACGTTGGCCAGCGTCTGATGGGTCTCCAGGGTGTCCAGCTCCCCGTTCTCGGTGGTTACCAGTCTCCTGGAATGGGCGAGTACGGCCACGGTGGCACAATGGTCGCCCAGGCTTCGCACCCCCCGATGCACCACCCTTATTCGCTGCCCCTGCCTAACCTGAGGACCAAGAGCGATCTCCTGAACATTGACCAGTTCTTGGAGCAGCTCCAGAGCACCGTCTACGAAAACCCCAACCACGCCGCAGCTGCGGGTGTTCAGCAAGCTGGAGCTCACTACGTCCACACCGGCGCCGGAGGCTACCGCTCAAGCCACTCCCCGCCTGGCCTGTCGAGCAGCCACTCCCAATCATCTCACGCTACAGCTGCTGCCAACGACACACCCGCGCTCACACCCGCCTCAAGTGTCTTGTCTTACAGCTCTCAGCACTCGCCCGGCGCCAGCCACTCTTCCAGCGGTGTCTCTCCCACTTCAAGATCTTCCATCAGCAGCATGTACCCCACTCTTCCGTCAGTCAGCGCCATGTCTGACATGTCTGCTGCCGCACCTTCCTCCGGTCTTGCCCCTGCTTTCGATGCTGATGGTCGCCGGAGGTTCTCTGGCAACCTTCTCCAGAAGGCTGCACCTGACCGAAGGGAGGTTGACGAGATGGACACTGGCTCTGACGGTTCCTCCAAGTCGCGCCGCAACTCTGATCAGGACGACTTACATCATGATGTCAACCAGTTGGCTATCCACTCTCCTAAGGTGGATCCCGCTCTTCGCTCACCTAGCGTTGTCTCCGACACTCCCACAGAAACAGCAAACGACTCTCAGGTCTGGGTTGAGAACATCCGTGTGATCGAGAGGCTCCGAGCTTGGCTCAAGGAGCGCCTTGACTCTCGTGACTACCTCGACGAGGAGGGCAATGAGGTTAGCAAGGAGGAGCACCACAGCATTGAGGACGACGATGAGCACAACCTTTACCCCGTCCTTCGCGCTGTGCAAGAAGGCCGAGAGTAGATTGTCTTATTGAGAAATTCAATTAGCGTTAGCGGAGTTCATTGGCGTTGCGGTGCATCCAGAAAGATACCTGATTGGCACATCAGGTGGGCTAGGTTTTCTTGTCGCACGATGATTGTGTGGGTTATTTGCTTCTTGTATGGAACGGTCTCTACATCGGATATACCATGAACAGCGTGTTCACCTTTTGTTTCGCTTGACGTGCTATCATAGTAGAGTCCCAATGGAAAACTTCCCACTGTTCACATCAAACACATTCGCTTCTATATCCTATGTGATCTTAGACTACTCTCAGCGGTGCTTATCTCACGCCAAGTCCTTGACCAATTGTGATTATCTCAGACCCCACATGAGGTCCCGTGGGCCGATCGTCTAGACAAGCCTTCCCCACGTTGCTATCATGTCCGAGCCCTCGGGTACTCAGATCATGTGAAACTCCACCCAGAGCCGCCGACAGCTGCAGCAGTCTGCACAATCCTCCCATAATCTTGTTTAGACTTGTCACTGACGTCTAATCGCAACATCCACAGCGCAGCAGCACCTTACGGACAAGCACATTTGCAACATGTACGGTCGTGGCGGCGCAGGCAACATCGCGCAAGCGGCTGCAACAAGCAAGAAAGCCGCAGAGGTACGCAGTATAGCCACAAAAGCATATGCCACATCTCTAACTAAGCTCCAGGATGTCGAGGCTGCCAACCCACCCTCAACCACACCATCAGCACCCTCCCAGACCTCGTCCACCGCCTCACAAGACTACGCACACATGGGCCGCGGCGGCGCAGGGAACTGGTTCCAGCCCAAGACACTGCAGACAGAAGGCACGTTCTCCCAGCCCGCTGGCGAGTCCACCGCGCCGCCCACAAACGCCACGCCCAACGTGAGCAAGCCCTGGACGCCCGAGGGCCAGGAGCTGCCCGTCGCGCGGCAGGGCAGGGGCGGCGCAGGGAATATGGTTTGGAAGAGCGAGGAGATGTGGAGGAAGGAGAAGGAGGATGAGAAGAGGCGCAAGGAGGAGATTGAGAAGAACGCTGAGGCGGCGGCCGGGGGGCTGCAGAGTCCTACGAGGGCGGTGTTTGGGACGCAGAAGGGTGGGAGGGGATGGTAGTATAGGAGGTGTGTATGCGCAAGATTTGTGGGCGGGGATGGGCAATGAGGTGCAGCCAACGAAGGCGATACCCACGAGGGAGCCAGAGATTAGCAGCGTGGTCTAGAGATCTTCGATCTGTAATGATAGTTGTCTGAGCGTCGTACAATGATGCGCTGCCATGACAATGGAACATTGTCTTAGGAAAATGCTCGTTGACTGCAGCGGCAGTGCTCAATTTCTGACGGTGGCCATCCAGGACAGTAGCTGTGACTGACTCTGGTAACCACAACATCGATATGAGAAGTCCTATAGCACCCAGAGAAAATCAGCACGATCAGTATCACTATTCGGCTAGGTGCTCTGTATTTGGAGTCTGGTGTTCTCGTCCCGCTTACAATGCCGGGTCTGCGCGGCAGGTGACCAGCTGCACCATTGCATCAGAAAGCAGCGGGAGCGGCTCGGTACAGTACATGACAGCTGCTTGACTGTTGTGTTTACAATCACAACATCTGCGACAACGTTCTGCTGTGATGCGACTCGAGGTAGCACTTTGCAGAGGCCAAACCAATGACGCAGCGTTTGACGTAGCGCAGACCCGCACTGCACGGACTTGTTTACATCGGCTAGCCGCCTTGCATCCTCGCCATATAACCTTCTCGACCCACACAGGGCTACCCAAATCCGCCGTAGTTATACATTGACACGACTCGTAACTTGTAGCTGTTACTACTCACCATGGCACGACGTTCAGCGAGGCTGCAGAAGGTATGCGATCGCGCGCGCCCCTGGTGTAAACAAACATGGACTGACCTCATGTATAGCCTACGCCTACACCCGATAGGATGATAAGGGCCGGATCTAATGAGAGCTGGGAGACAGCGCAGTCTGAGCAAGAGCATGATCAACTACTTGATCTGCCTTCAGTCGCCGAACTCCCAGAGCCTGTCAACAAGACCCCGCAAAAGTCCACCGCAGACGCGCCCAGGACTATTCCCAGGCTGCCTGTAGCAAGAGCACCTGGAGCGCAGACACCCTCCGGCAAGAGCACCTCTGCCAAGCTGCTTGCTGCTGCCTCTGCGGCGCGAACGCCCACGAACCGTACGCCTATCAAGCCCACCGGTGACGAGATGCATCCCGCGCTGCACCACGCCAGCACAGCGAAGCCTCTAGACGAAGCGCGCTGGCTGGGATTCCAGTCGCTTGGAGCCCACACTGCACCGCCCAAGGCCGCTGGTCACGCGCCAGGAACGCCCTCAAAGACCCCCGCGCCTGCGTCTAAGGGTAATGCCGCCATCTCAGGCTCGTCGCCCAGTGGCTTCCGCTTCCAGTTCAAGTCTCCCTTCTCCAAGGTCGCCGAAACCTCTAAGCTCGGCGAACTTAGCCCAACCACGCGCAACATCCTGAAAGAACCAGCTATCGCCGCGACTCCAGGCCGTGCCATCTTCGGTGCGAACGAGTTCACTACCAAGGCAGATGTTACCCCAGCGCGAAAGAAGGCGGATGCCAAGGGTAAGATGGCACGTTTCAGCGACATCCACATGGCTCAGTTCAAGAAGATGGACTCTGTTGCGAACCACCCGTCAGCTTGGCGTATGAAGAAAACGCCCTCAAAGCCGGATCTAGCTGCGCCGGAGCCTAGCAAGCTGAAGCGCACACAGTCGAAGATGGATCTGGCTGAGTCAAGCTCGAAATCTGCTGCAACGCCGAAACGCACGCAGTCGACAGTTGATCTCACCGAGCCCGGCGCAAAAACACCCGTGGTACAGCGCCTTCAGCCCAAGACGAGTGCAGAACCCTCCAGCAAGATCCCACCCACGCCCCTGAAGCGCACTCAGTCCAAGATCGACCTCACTGGCTCTAGTCTGCCACGTTCACAGTCTACTGTCCGTTTGGTTGCTTCCCAAGAGGGCTCCAACAACCCAGCGCCGAAGCGTGTCAAGCGCACTGAAGTGGACGATGCCGCAACAACACGCCCAACATCTCGCGATGGCAACGCAGAAGCGTCTTCATCTAAACTTCCTGTTCCACCGCGCAAGATCACATCTCAGACCGCACTTCCACGTCTTGCGGCGAGACTAATGACACCCACTAAGTCTTCGCTGGCTCGCACAGGCTCGCAGACCGTCAAGGCTACAAAGACCACTTCGATGATTCCACAGTCTCCTTCTGCGAGGAATCTGTTCTCGCCAGCTCACATCAGCCGTTCGCTGCGAGATGGTGCCCGCGAGAGCATGCTGCAGGCGAAGCGAAATTTGCAACAAGTTCGTTCCATTCTTCGTACTCCTAGTCGCAAGTTCTCCGACGATCCTGCCAAGATTGCTGCCGGCACACACATGTCCCCTCCACCAGAATCAGCTTGGGACATGGCTCCTCCTATGATCCCAGCTACTGCACCAGTCAAGAAGCATGTCAATTTCAGCAGCAGCACGATTGGTCGTGCTGAACCGGACGATGTGACCAAGTCGCCTTCGCCTATGAAGTTCCGTGCTGGCAGTGAAGTTCCTTCTGGTGCCGTCGTCTACCCCAGTCTTGGAGGTCTGAATTATCCCAAGCTGCCACAAGGCGATGCCTCCCCTACATCGTCCCCTGCTCGCCGTCTCACATTCGGTGACGAAACTGCAAGCCAGCCGCGCAGCTTCTCTTTCGAGTCAGGCAAGCCTGTCAATTTTGGTAAGTTTTGACACATATAGCCGAGAAGCTCCAGCTGACATTGATTTCTAGGTCCGACAACTACAGGCACCATTCGTATGGTCCGCAAGAGCGACGCACCCTCTGTTGTCCAAAACACGAAGCGCAAGCTCGAGACCCTCAAGGAGTCGTCGGAGGACAAGGAGAACGATGATCGTCTGGAGAACCCTCGTTCTGCCAAGAAGGCCAGGCCGACTCCTACTCCGTCAACACCTGCAAAGGCCACCGCCAGCGCAAGCAAGACACCGCGCCGTACTCCTGGAAGCGCTATGAGCAAGTCCAGGCTTGCTTTCCTGGCTACTCCTAAGCGGACCAAGGCCTGAACGAGCATTCAGGAGCGTACCTGCATGCTGGTTCTGCTTGTGGAACCTCACGAGGTCTTGAAGTTGCTCCCAAGACAAACACTCACACCATGAAGCTATCTCTTTTGTCATTTGCAACTGCACCCCGGTGCACGTCGGCGTTTCGGAAAGATCAGAACGATCTATGATCATGGTCTTCCATCATTTTGCCCTGGAACTCTTTTTGCAGTCTAGTTAAGGTCGGCGAATTCGGTGCAAAGTCATATCAAATTTGGGCTTTGTTGCAATGGTGTTAGCTGGATTGCATGTACGAAATGATTCCCACGATTTGATGTGTATACATAATGAGAGAATGAACATCGAAAGACAGTGAACTTATTCAGTGCATTGGGTGATGACGCAATGCGTGACCATGGGCAGTGCCGACCTCGGGAGTCAGAGTCAGGCCGACAGTTCGGTATCCAGCCCCACGTCATCTGACAGTATCAACTGCCTTGCAGCATTCTCTTCCCACGTGTTACGACGTTCGGGTAAGAATAGATCAGCGTTTGAGCACTAGATATTTCACTGAAGTAAAGGCAGGAGCAAAGCGATCTGAACATTAGCGAACTGCGCAAAGAGCGTGAAAGAGGGGCACATTCCAGATTCGACCATCTACAACAACTCCTCCAACAAGCACACAACTCTCCGAACACTCCAACCCCACAACAAAACAGAGGAAAAGCCCATAAACAGAGGATTTCACAACGCCAAACGCCATCAATCTACCTACCAGGCCTCTGCATGGCAACAGAACCCACATCCTTCTTCACCCTCAGCCCCCCACCACGCACCATGTCGGACGCCAACACCCCCCCAAAACCCACGCTCCTCGCCTTCCACGGCTCCGGCAGTAACGCCACAATCCACACCGTGCAGCTCGCCCGCCTCAACCGCGTCCTCAAACCGCACTTCAACATCGAGCCCCTCGAAGCCCCCTTCCCCTCCCCCGCAGGCCCAGGCGTCCTCCCATTCTTCGACGGCTGCGGCCCGTTCGCGCGCTGGCTGCCGCCTGCCGAGAAAGTCAGCGTCGAGATCATGTGCGCGGGGACGTCGACGCCGGAGCTGAGCAAGGAGGTTGAGAAGCTGGTGCGCGAGGCGGTGCAGCGGGTGACCACGGGCGGCGGGCGGGTGGTCGGGCTGGTCGGGTTCAGCCAGGGGACGAAAGTGGTGGCTGGCTTGCTGCGCGGGGCGCAGATCAGGCGCGAGGTCGGCGCCAGGGGCGAGGACTGGCTGGCGAGCTTCCACTTTGCGCTGAGCGTGTGCTCGAGTTATGCGCCGCCGTTGCTGCCTCTGGGAGTGCTGAAGTTGCCGGAGGTGCAGGGGCTGGGTGAGGAGGAGCGGGAGGCGTTGAAGAAGGAGAAGATTGCGGCGCCGGTGTTGCATGTGTTGGGCGAGCAGGATGAGTGGAGGTGGGCGGGTGAGGGGCTGATTAAGGGTCATTTTGAGGTGGCGGATGGGAAGAGTAAGGTGGAGGTGTGGGATATGGGACATCACTACCCGCAGAAGCCTGAGGAGTCGGAGCAGATGAAGGATTGGTTGGTTGAGCAGCTGCGTATTCTGGATGGAGGCAAGGATGCGGCGGCATAGAGAGTCAGGCTCCTTGAGTTTCTGTTATGAGCTAGATGATAGAAGTAGACGCCTAAGCAACGAGATCTCGTGAGATAGTTTATTGGGTTCTTGTTCGTGACAGATTGCTGTATGTTTGAGAGAGATTAACTCAACGCTCGCTATGATGAAAATACGATGAGACAGGAGAGAAAGTAGACGCCAACAACAATTTCAAGACACCGGAGCAGTCCCAGTCCTTGTCAACGGCGCTCTCCCGCTCTTCGACGAACTTCCACTCGCCCTACTACTTGCCCTCGCTCTCCCTCCATCGTTCCTCACACTCGCCAGGATATCTTTTCCAATGTCCGACTTGCCAAGCTTGGCGACCAGTGCTGTGTTCTCTCTCTGCAGCTCAGCAACCTGGTCCTTAAGCAACTTGTTCTCCTGCTCATACAGATCCTTCTCCCTCTTGTACTCGTCACGTTCCCTCTGCGCAGTGTTGAGCTTACTCTTATCAGCCTCCTTCTGCTGCTTAGCGAGGAACTTCTTGGTCTCCTTTGCGCGGCGTTCTTCCAGTTTCCGTATCTCCTTCGCGTACTTGTCTTCCTGCTTCTTCTTGTCTCTCACATGCTTCTCAGCAGCCTTGTCCATCTCCTTCTGGCTCCTCTGCGAATCGTTGGCTGCGGCCATTTTCTGCTTCTCGCGGTCTGCTTCGAGTTTTTCACGCAGTTGGGCCTTCTTGGTTTCGATCTTGTTCAGTTCGCGCGTATGGTGGTTGTCTTCGTCTAAAGGTAAAGATGCTTCAGACGCTGTTGAAGGTGTGGGAATTGAGTTGTCGATAGGCAGGCCTTGCGGCGCCGTTGTGAATTGCTCCGCTGAGGCAAAAGAGTCGACGCTCGAATCTGTAGAGGAGGAGCTGCTGGAGATAGTGCGCTGTAGTTGCGGCATGGGATTCATGGCGTCTGGGACATATGCGCCGAGACCGCTTACCGCATCTTTCAGCTGATCCAGATAACCGTCTTGTGCAGGCTGTATGTGTTCGGGTTTTCGCAGTGAAGCTCGGTGGCTCATCGACGACGGTCTCTCCGCTATGCTGGTACCCACTCCTGCACCAAGGCCGTTCGAGTTTTCTAGCGGGTGTCGCGACTGCGCGTCCTGGCCTTGCTGTAAGCTATCTACTGCACCGTCCAAATTGGCCTTCGGTGCCTCGTCCAATCCGTCATCGTCTCGTGCGCACGCCCAGTCCAGGAATTTGGCAGCATCTGCTACAATGCTGCTCGGTACGTTTCGCTCGACCATGAAACGTGGTATGCCGCCTCCGGGATCACTGCGCGTGACCATTATCCATTCGACTGGGTTCGACTCGATATCCTCGTTGCCCTCCAGCGGTATCTCCCGGATCATCTCGATAGACTCGTAAAAGCCCCGGACCATTCCGTCACGGGGCGGCGCGTCCGGGTGCGACACAGGGATCGAGACGACCATCCAGTGTCGTGGTATTGCAGAGCCGACTTTGGAGGCGTCGCTGAGGGCAGTTTCCGAAGTGATGAGTAGTGTGATGAATTCGCGCGGCGATGTCGGGCCTGGGAACTGCGCAGAGAGCTGGTAAACTCCTCATGGTCAGATTCTGTCAACGCTTCTAGTACAGGTACGCTCATACCTTGCAGATTGCCAATGCCAGCTATTGTCATATCCTCCAGTCTCTGGTCTCCACCAATGCCTCTGATGTTGCCCTCGCCAGGCCCGCCTTGTACCTCCAAGCTCTCAGGAAACTCCCTCTGCATCATGCGTTTCCACTTGGAGAACCCAAGACCTTCATGCACACTCGTTCGCGAGAACCACGCGCCGTGTCTGTCGTGCCCTGCCATTTTGAATACGCTCATGCCCGTCGCGTTCTCCTTGGCTCCGAGCTTCACCGGCTTTCCCCATGCTTTCTGCAGCACTTCATGTTCCTTCGCAGGTGGCGGCCGTCGGACCTCCGACTTTGTGAGGTCCGCGGCGCTGATTGCAGGCTGTGGGATTGTGCGCGTGCGCTGCGCCGACTCGTAGGGCGTGCCATTTGGAGGCGGAGGGACTGAATTCGCGATGAGTTCCGCATTCGCGAGAATCTCGGGCAGAAAGCTCGTGAGGTCGTCGGTTGGGACGTCGCTAAAGTCCTTCGGCCGAAGGCACTCCAGCGCCTTGTGCAGCTCGGCCATGTTGAGAATCTCGGGATATGCGCTTTGCGGGTTCTGACGGGATTGGAATAAGTATGGTCGTAGTATATGACGATGATGTAGCCAGGCGCGCTTGACTTAATGCTCTCGCTTTCCGTGATATCCGTAGTGGTCACGCCGATAGCTGACTACAATGTTCGGCGTCTCGGGTGACGAGCGATGAAGTCAAGAATAATCACAACAGGCGCAGCAGGGTATCGAACAAAAGATCGCACAAACAACGATGCAAGGATCAGGACAGGAATTTGGGTTGTTAAGGGAGTGCATCCTGATTTACAAGGCTCACAGGCCTGTGGGATTGTGCATGAGCAACACGCGGATACGTGATTGTTTACGACGTCATCCCTGCGAATCGCGGGGTGCGCCTCCTTCCTCATCCATGATCCTTGACGAAGTGGACCCTGAAAAGGCCAGAACAAAACCGAATACGTTGCCCTAGGGCTCAACTTGGTGTTTGTTGCGAAACTTAACATGGCAATGTTTGAAAAAGGCATCTCTGAAGATCTTTCATCGTATTGACGTATAGCAGATGGGTGGACTCAAAGCACAATGGCATTTCCAACCCCTATACGTTGCATCTTGTATATCACTTCGACGACCAGAGCGGCCTTTTCCAATGTCACAGACGACGCTCGTATGATTGATCTTGACGGAGGACTACATTCTCTTTTGTTCAACGCACTCTCCATATACTTTAATCTAGAATCCCTGCCTCTCCTTGGGCGCATACCTCTCCTCCAGGAACTTCGCATCCTCATCACTCAACTTGTAGTTCGAGTTCACAACCGCCTCTTCCACCCTCTCCTTGCTGCTAAGACCAATGATCGGGCAGACGCCCTTCTTGATGCACCAGGCTGTTGCGATACATGCCATGCTGACATTGTTCTTCTTTGCAATCTGCTCCACACGACTGATGATTTCTTGGTCGATCTTGTCTTCGCGGCTGTGGACGAGTAGGTCGAGGAAATTGTCGGTCTGCGCGCGGTTTGAGGAGCGGTCGGTCCAGGGACGTGTGAGTGCACCGCGGGCGATGGGAGACCACGGGATGAGGCCTACGCCGGTGTCTTGACAGTATGGAATCTGGCGTTCTTGTGAGCATAATAATACTACATCATGTGGTCAAAGGACTTACCATTTCCCTCTCCTCTTCGCGGTAGATCAGGTTGTAGTAGTTCTGCATACTGGTCGAACGTTAGCGGTCACTTGAAAGTGCATAAGTGACTTATGAAGCGCGTACCTGATGAACTTATGCCATCCATTCTTCTCTGCGATGTTCTGTAGGGTCTGGAACTCCCAGGCTGCCATGGAGCTGGCACCAATGTACCTAACCCAGCCCTTCTCTACAACATCGTTCAGGGCCTTCATGATCTCCTCCCTGGGTGTACCGCGGTCGAGGCGATGGATCTGTAGGACATCGATGTATGTGCCGAGGCGCTCGACGCTCTTCTGGACAGCATCGAAGATGTGCTTGCGGCTGAGACCGACCTGGTTGACCATCTCGCCGTCGTTGACGGAAACGGATGCGATACCAAGGGACGGGTCTTCTTCATCGACGCCAAAGTAGCATTTTGAAAGTAGAACGATCTTGTTGCGAGGAATATTGTATTGCTTGATAGCTTTCGCGATGATTTTCTCGGAGATGCCGTGGGAATAGATATCAGCCTGGAGCAAACATTAGCTGCATTCTTTTCGTATGAGTCACCCTTAATAGGCATGACGGTACATACTGTGTCCCAAGTGTTGATGCCATTCTTGTATGCGTGCTCGAGGATAGGCAGAGATGCTTCCTCGTTCAAGACCCAGGGCTGCCACTTGTCGCTACCAAAGCTCATGGCACCCAGGATAACTTTCGAGACCTTCAGTCCGGACTTCCCCAGACTACGCAGCAGTCAGTGACCCTTCTGTACCTGCCAATGGTAGGGAGACCGACTTGACGTATTGCATCTTTTGTTCAGCCATTGTAGTCGACAGGTGCTTCCTTTGGGCTCAAATTCAACTCGGAGAAGTGTTGGAAGAAATCACGTTGAGAGAAGCTCTGCTCAGCTTTATTCGAGCGGGGCAGATGATTCAATCCATGGAGCTTTCAAAGCTGGTTAGTTAAATGCTTAAACCCCGAGCTTGTCCATGGAGATACCTTTTAAGTCCGACAATGTGGGGTACCGAGCTGTTGCACTGGGTCACTCCGAGTAATTTCGGAACGCCATGATGGCATGATATCTTGTTTGCGTTGTACAGCCTCAGTTAATCGGTGTGCCACTGCTCCTTGTTAAGGGCGGGACAGCTAAAATGGACAGCCTCTTCAATAGCATGGGTTTGGTGACGATGGCCATTTGCAATGATCAGAGGGACCTCACGAACGTGCTGTAGACGAAATGTTTTTGAGAGCTAACTCTCACCCGAAGGCATGCGTGTTGCATTGAAGATCTGGCCTTTGTACGAAGTGTACGGCCGTGCTAACTATGAATAAACCAAGATTCCAGCCCGTAGGCTGCAATCATTTCCTACGAACGCCTTGCCAGAAATCATCGTCGGAGCATGATCACCTACTGTCCACCGCGCAGACGGAGCACCAAGTGCAGCGTCGACTCCTTCTGAATGTTGTAGTCGGAAAGCGTGCGACCGTCTTCCAACTGCTTACCAGCGAAGATAAGACGCTGCTGGTCAGGTGGGATGCCCTCCTTGTCCTGGATCTTGGACTTGACGTTGTCGATGGTGTCGCTAGACTCAACCTCCAACGTAATGGTCTTGCCGGTGAGTGTCTTGACGAAAATCTGCATACCACCACGGAGACGAAGCACCAAGTGGAGAGTGGATTCCTTCTGAATGTTGTAGTCCGAGAGTGTGCGACCATCCTCCAGCTGCTTACCAGCAAAGATGAGACGCTGCTGGTCCGGGGGAATACCCTCCTTGTCCTGAATCTTCGACTTGACGTTGTCGATGGTATCCGACGACTCAACCTCAAGTGTGATAGTCTTGCCAGTCAGGGTCTTGACGAAGATTTGCATACCACCACGCAGACGCAGGACGAGATGCAGTGTGGATTCCTTCTGGATGTTGTAGTCGGAGAGGGTGCGGCCATCCTCGAGCTGCTTGCCGGCGAAAATCAGGCGCTGCTGGTCCGGGGGGATGCCTTCCTTGTCCTGAATCTTCGACTTGACATTGTCAATAGTATCGGACGACTCGACTTCAAGGGTGATGGTCTTGCCGGTCACTAGAGGCAGTGTTAGCATGAGGTGATGCGCGAAGGGTGTTGTGGCAACCTACGAGTCTTGACGAAGATCTGCATACCACCACGAAGGCGGAGGACAAGGTGGAGGGTTGACTCCTTCTGGATGTTGTAGTCGGACAGGGTACGGCCGTCCTCAAGCTGCTTGCCGGCGAAGATCAAGCGTTGCTGATCAGGGGGAATGCCCTCCTTGTCCTGGATCTTGCTCTTGACGTTGTCGATAGTGTCGGAGGACTCCACCTCAAGGGTGATCGTCTTACCGGTGACTATGGAGCTGTTAGCAACCGGATACGCAAATGGCGGTGGCGGCGAGCGCTACTTACGGGTCTTGACGAAGATCTGCATGGCTGTGGTTGTTTTGGGGTAGATGTGACTGTTTGATAGTGTTTGCAGCGTATGTGCGAGTTGTAGGTTGAACGGTGGAGTGTGGTGTAGGAGAAAGCGAGACTGAGGGGCGAGCCAGGTCTTATATGGGAGGCAGGCGCAGGCGGCAATGAGGCTGTGACAGTGATGGTGACGCTAACCCAAGGTGGCCCCTGCACCAATGAGATCAGGAACTCGGAACGTTCGGGCAGGTTCGACCAAAAGTGTGCGGCGCAATTCACTCACTTTGCAAGTTTGCTCTTTGTCAGCCGTACCTTTCGCAGCGAGCTGGAATGCTCTCTCACTACTATCGTCGAAGTAAGACAAGCTGCTGTCGTTGTGCCACCCAGAGCGTGGTGGCCTGTTCGTTGCTTCCCCGCTTCCCGTTATCGCGCCCCATAATGGCGCGTCCGGCCCCATGTGACGCTTCCTTATCGATCAAACAAGGCAACATTGCCTCCACTCCGGTACTCACGTACCGAGGACTTCAGTACGTAGGTACCTACCAGATTGTCGTCTTGCGCTTACTGCGGCTTCAGTGTTTCTGCAAACTACCATAGGAGCTGCCCCCATGGTCAAACACTTTGACCTTGTGCATGATGCGATAAGACGCTTTGATTGCGGTGCATCGCTGACGTATGAGACGACGCACGGGCCTTGCATTCACCGCAGCCTGCCTGCAAACAGTCATGCTTAGTGGCGAAAATCACCCAACCCGAACATGTTGGGCGAAGACTTTGCGGCTCGTTTTGCGACAACAACAAGTGGCGTTTTAAAAGCTTGAAATGCCCTGTTGTGCTCGGGCGAGGTTGTGCGCCACCGCGGCCGAGCTCGTTTGGCCAGTGATGGACCCTGAATCCACGATCTTAGACCAAGTGCACATGGCTACTTCCTAGGTAATATAGATCGCTCAGTGGGTGCGTTTTTCTGGTATGCAATCATTGTAGGTCTGAGGTCACATTGTTGCTACTAAGTTGAAGCCCATCTCCTATCCAAACCCCCTGTCAAGCCAGTACCGTATTAACGGCTTGGTCATAATCCCCAGCTCACCTTCGGTTGATCTACGGAGTGCCACAGCGAGACAGGTCCAGAGCGAGACTGTGAACGAGGCAAAGCATCTGTGACTTAATGAGAATGCGTGGATCTAGGCCATCGCTACCACTTAGCTGCATAAAGACAGTATTATGCACACTTGCACGAGGCGATAGCTTGCATAGCACTGTCAAGACCATTCCCGGTTAGTGTCTCGTTGGACCGTTGATTATTTGCTCGTACCTCCTTCCAACTACAATCGCTTCTTCTTACATCCACTGTGTCTCTCTTTCGATTCCAAGAGCACGGAAGGTTACATTCTACGTGCCAGGAGAAACGAGGTGCTAGATCGTCTCCGTCTGTCGACAGGGAGCAAACCCTTGAGGTTCAAACGCCAATACCTAAGTACAACACAGCTTCGTGAAACAAACTTGACGAATTCAAGCTATCCCAACGAGTCCAAAACTCTGCAATACTGCTCTCAGTTACGGTCGTGCAGCATATCCCAATACTGATCTTGACCAAGCCAGAATGGTATATCAAAACCAATGTACGGGTCCACGCCATCAACTTGAGGAAGCGGTGCGCTCGTGTCGAAGGTGTCGTTGGCCTGCAGGAAGTCGCTCCACTCTGAGCTGCCAAAATCGAAGACTGGAGCATTGGTGTTATTGTACGGAACGGAGGAAGCGTTAGTGGATGACTGAGGCGCTTCTGCTACTTGGTGTGCGCTTGAAGCTTGTGTGAAGGTATTGTGAGATGAGGTCGACCCAGCTGTGGCTGGCTGAGCGACGTGAGTGCCGGCACGTTCCTGTGGCAAGCCCATGCTGGAAGTAGAGCGGTTTGGCCCATCGTTGTTTTCGCTTTGGGGTGCTTCCAATCCACTAGAACTTGTGTAGTGTGGCTGAGCAGATATGCTCGCATCTGATGTCAGATCCGTTCTTGCGCTGGTCTCGTTCAATGTGGTCGGCGGGTGATCTGAACTCAGGTGTCGAGAAGGACGCTGGGTGAGGCGATCACGCAACTCGCGAACAGCAGTGGCACTGGCTTCGGGCCATACACTTCCTCTTCGAGCAAGATGATGGAGTACATCGAGAGCTTTATCGGCAAGCCTATAGTTTTGTTAGCCCTGTTCACAATGAAGCCCAAGTTCTACAAACCGGGAGACGATTCCATCTGAGACGTGATGACTGCTGGCAGCATGGAACAGGATGAATGTGCTGATCCAAACTGCCCATGTGCACGATGGCCACAGCAATGCTAGAGCGTCCGACGTTGGCTCGCGTTGATGCCTCGGCTTAATAGCTTTGTGCAGTGTCGTGATGATGGCTCTTGCAGAACCAATGCATTGCTGAAGAGCAGCATCATATGCATGTCCCTGACGTGAAGCTGCGAGAGTTGGTCGGTTCAGAGAGATGATCGACTCGTGCTTCAAAATCGTCAAGACGGCACGATGGTATGCAGACGCATGCTGATCATCTTCTGTGTCATGGAAGTCTTCCACATCGTTCCACCATTGCGCTAGCTTCGCCGTTAAAGCAGTCGCCTTGTCAGGATCTTTTTGGACATAATGAAGCGATTTGTTTCGTAGTTCTATAATCTGACCTCGTATAGTATATTGTCGCGCCACAAGGCTGGTGAGCCGTAGTCTATCATCTACCATATCGTGAGTGAGTTAAACCGCTAAACGTCATTCCCCTTACCTGTAGGGTACTGATGACCCAGATGCCGCTCAGCAGTCGGGTAGCAAACATCAACGTCATCGTCGTGGAGGCTTAATGGGAGACCCATGGATTGGCATATGAAGCGATCAATAGCGTAGAGTGACCAGAAAATTCTCTGGCGGTGTTCCTTCTCCGCGACCGAAAAGGACGGGAATCGGGTTGGGCAACGGTGTAGCCCAAGCTGGAGTGCCATTCGAATCACAAGACCGCCTAGGCGACTAGCAGCATTAAGCCGAAGCATCGAGACTAAGAAGAGTTGTACGCTTATAGCTGCCTGAAGGGATTGAAGGGTTGTCGGACGGGTCAGAACATGCTGGAGGCAGTCTACTGCATGGTCGTAAGATTTGAAAACAAGGTCCGCAGGGTATTGCGCCGTGTCCAACCCAGATGATTGTCGGTGATCTGCAAGCGATATAGACATTATGGATCGTAGGATTGTCATCTGGAAATTTGGCGCGCCATCGTTAACTTGCTCGTTGAGTTGCGGTAATTTCTCGAAGTACTCCAATACACTCGGAGCATGCAGATATGGGTAAAATGGGTGCCAGTTGGCGAAATAGCTTGCGCTCCAGTCTACAAGCTCTTGGAATGAAACAGTACTTAAAGGCCTGGACTGAGTCTCCTCGTCTCTCCATATTTGACCAGGGGCGTTGGGCGCAGATGAAGGGAGATAATCGTCTTCTCCTGGGACGTGATCGCTTTCGGGCGTCTCTATCTGAGTCGATGCTGATGGGTGGGCGCCACGAATTGCACCGTATACCGATCGAATGAAGTAAATACCACTGGCGCTTCCAACAAAGCTTGAGAGTTTGTCTCCAGGGACGCTACGCATTAAACCCACTTCGCGAGGTGGATGCATCGAAGTGCGACGCCTTTTCGAGGGCCTTTCCCCATCCATGGAAGGAATTGGGCTTATTTGTGTATCTCCGTGCTCCATACTGATACTGATGGGTGTAAGAAGTATGTTAATGTGGAGCTGCAAAATCGCAGTTCGTGAGTTCAGCCCTACGGAGAAACAAACCCCGCACTTGCGATGCGCCGTAATTCAACACAAAACAGCTCTGTGGGCTGAGTTACTGCACGATCAGGTGTGCGGTGATACTCTTCATGGTCCTTTGTGCATTCTGGATATAGAGATCCATGCGACCGCTTCGTTCATAAACGTTGCTCAAAAGTAGTTGTGCCAGCTGGTCGACTTGAGAGGCAATCCTGAAGTATTGGGTGCTTGTGGGGGCTCAATGCCTCTGAGCTGTTCGGCAACGCCCTTCGACACGTTTGAAGAGGCGGATTCAGGGTACGCTGGCGAGTGCATACTTTCAGATCCTGGAGTGTGTGGAATTGGCAGAGCCATGCGTGGATCCTCTTCGGCGCGCAAATCGGTCGGTTGAAGTGCCGGTACAGCTGGAAAGGAGATGGATGGTAGCTCCGCTTGAGGGGCCACTGCTTGCAGTTTTTTCTCCTGAAACCACATAGCGAGCTGGTCAGGCGTCTGAAGTGGAAGTCGTCTCCAATCGTCTTGCCTTTCGGTTTTTGACAGCTCACGGGGCGTCTTCAGGAGACCGAAATTACTAGCTTGGATGCTGTCACGTTCGTCGAATGCAAGCATGGTTGCGTATAGTGCAGACTCGGTGTCTCGCAGCCGCCTCTCAAGATTGTTGATGTACGCGATTGGAAGCCCTCGTTTTCCGCCTTCTTGATACCGGCAGATCAACGAAGATGCGCGACATTGCGAGCATGAAGGCCTACAAAAACGTTAGGAAGCTCGTGGTAAGACGGGATGACTAGAAGGACCTACACACGCCGGTCGCACCTGCACTTCTTTGACCGACAGTTATCGCACGCAATTGGGTTTAGAGCCTTCGCAATCAGCGGACATAAGAAATACCTACAAGCTTTGACTTACCATGAAGAACTATGACATGAGGTTTGTAAATGGAACGGTTTCAAGTAACGGTTATCGATGTGTTCGGGTATCTACTCTCACGTGACTGAGCGATGCCAGTTTGGGTTTATGTACAGGGCACGGATCTCTTCGTCCTGCACTGCATCGCCATCGTCGACTTACACCATTGACTCTGCCTGTGCAAGTACATTGTCCGTGAATATCGTGCAGCTTGTGGATGCTGAAGTCGCGCGATCTTTGACAATCGGAGAAAGAATGTGCGGTGTATTCCCGAGTTTGTACGGCGGCCTTTCTTTCTCCGCGCATCTCCCCGCAATGAACCACTGCCGATCCACCAATGCAAACTCCAAGTAGTCGCGCAACGTTAATACATAAGCTTGAGATGTTCGCCAATCGACCATTTACTATACATCATCTTCTCTGGCTGCAACATCATAATCAGAACCTCAACTGCCACAATGTCGCCAATTGCCATCCAGCGGAAGCATTCCATTGCAACTATGGGCGCCGATGGCATCGGTCCTGAAGTTGTCAATGCTGCTGTACAGGTTTTGAAGAAGCTCGTATCACTCGACCGCTCTTTTGAGCTCGAATTCAAAGACTATGACTGGAGCTCAGAGACCTACAAGAAGACTGGGAACTACATTCCCGACGGCGGTCTGGAGGAACTAAGAAAGCATGATGCTATTCTCTTTGGCGCTGTTGGCGCACCAGATGTCCCGGATCACATCTCCCTATGGGGCCTTCGACTGGCAATTTGCCAACCATTCCAGCAGTACGCCAACGTCCGCCCAACAAGAATCTTCCGTGGCACACAGTCTCCTCTCAGGAACGCCTCGCATGGTGACCTTGACTGGGTAATTGTGCGCGAGAATTCAGAGGGCGAATATGCCGGTCAGGGAGGCCGATCGCACAAAGGCCAACCATGGGAGGTATCCACAGAAGTCTCCATCTTCACAAGGCATGCTGTCGAACGACTCATCCGATTTGCCTTCGAGCTGGCCCAGAAGAGGGAGAGGAAATTTCTGACAGTTGTCACCAAGTCCAATGCTCAAAGAAACGGCATGGTCATGTGGGACGAGATCGCCGTCGAGGTATCGAAAGACTTCCCTGACGTAAAGTGGGACAAGATGCTGGTCGATGCCATGACCTGCCGCATGGTGCTGGACCCGAAGTCTCTCGACACCATCGTCGCAACCAACCTCGTAAGTCATGAGAGACCCTGTTAATAGTCCTAAACCACTAACCAAGCCAGCACGCCGATATCCTTTCTGACCTCGCAGCTGCCCTGGCTGGTTCCATCGGCATCGCGCCGACCAGCAACCTGGACCCCTCGCGCAAGAACCCTTCCATGTTCGAGCCAATTCACGGCTCCGCATTTGACATCACCGGCAAGGGGGTCGCTAACCCAGTCGCCACATTCTGGACCGCAGCGGAGATGCTGACATGGTTGGGAGAGGAGGAAGCTGCCAACAAGATGATGAAGGCGGTAGAGAATGTCACAGAGCGCGGCATTGTTACTAAGGATCTTGGTGGAAGCTCAAATACAAAGGAGGTTACGGATGCGGTGTGCTCGGAGCTGGAGAAGGTGTTTGGGAAGGGGAATTAGGCACGGCACTATGGTTTGTATGTTTCTGAATGTGTCGCGATTCTGCATAGACGTTACAGCTGAACACTTTCAAATCCTCGATTGATGCTCTTATTTCCTACACCCCAAGAGTTTGGCTGGATTGCAGTGCGTTTGGGTTACATGAGAAAACTATCCATGCTCGTGAGAACGGAGAGAGCCTGCAGAGGTCTGAGTGATGAATTCTGTATGCGAAAAAAAAAAAAAAAAAAAAAAAGTATAACTGCACCATCCCCAATGTCTACCTGCAAATAGTTGCGGAAACTTTCTTTACGATGGCAAAAAATGGCCAAATAAGTGCCGTGGGTATCGTCCATCCTTGAACGCCTGAGTCCGCTACATAGTAGCATGCTGATAATGACCAGCGCAGGCAAAGCAACAGCAACCAAAAGTGGATACATAGAATCGTCGTGACAAAACATCCAGCCCCAGACAGAGCGATCAATTACGCGTCAAAGGAGGCAAACCGGAAAAGCGAGGGTTCGGGTCACTAGCATGCTCCTTTTCCCACACCACACACGCTTCTTGAAACTTCTCTCTCTTGTAAGCATGCTCAAACTGCTCCGTGTTCCACTCCACAGATATCTCCTCGTAGCACTTCTCGAACGAGGCATCTCGCTCAAGTCCACACGCAGCAGCGTGCGCCTCGCACTCCGAGCAATCGTCGTGCTGTTCGCCGTCGGGGAAGCAGCCCATACAGTGCTCTGTAAAGGGAGGGTGCAAATACCCATGCTTGCAACGAGGCGGGAGACAGTCGTGCTTGAGCTCTTGGAAGCCGCGGGTCATGCGGAATCCCGGCGGGTACTTGGTCAGATTTGGAAAGCCGGGGACAGGGAGGTCGTTGCTAGTGCCGGCCAAGGCCTCGTTGGGGTCATCAAAGGCTCCCATGAGGATCCAGGGTCGATTTGTGGGTATGGCATGGAGGTTGCAGTCTTGTGCAATGGTTTGAGATCGTGGGAAGCTGGTGGTGCCGCTGAAGTGAGCTTCTTCTTGGGCCTTGCGTTGGCGGTCCTGATCGAGTGCTGCATCGTCTAGATGCTGCAGTTGGGGTGCTTCGTGAGCGTACCGGGTTGGATTGTAGCCCGGCTCGACACTATATCGCGATGCGAGGTGGTCGTACAGCGCTTTCTGACCGCAGGCGCATGGCAGATAGGCGTTGGCATCGTAGAAGCCGTTTGCACGATCCATGTCATCAAGCCAACCCAGGACTGGGTTTGTGACTTCTGCACCGGCATAGTCCGGATGACCATTCAGCCCATGAAGGGTCTCGGACTGCTCAGCGTCGAGTTCTGGTTCGGAAAAATCAAGGCATCCTTGGTTGATTTTGATCGCTTCCTCATCGTTGAGATACCACCTAGAGTCATGGCGTTTTTCAAATCCGGGTAGACAGGCAGGTCGAAAGCTACGAGCTCTATACATCTCGTATTTATAGATACTGCGGAAATCAGTGACGGGATGCGCTAAGCCGTCGATGACCGGAGGCTTTTGCTGATGCCATAGCAGCTCCAGATGACTAGCAAAGATGTTTAATCCAGTGATGCCATGGCGCGATCTGCTCCACTCGAATGTGCCATCTCGGTCAACGCGATCTTGGATGCTCTTTTCCAGGGAGAACCAAACCATCTGAAGCATAAAGTGAATATCCTCTCGATCAGCGGCGACAGGTCGACCAGGATAGGTTGCGATTCCAGTGAAGTTGGAAGCTGTTTCTCCAGGATCGTAGAGACTTTTGGACTCTAGGTACTGTCGATTCCGAGCTGACAGCACAACTTCATTTAAAGGTCCTTCGTGAAACGTAATATTGCCGTGAACCCTGAGCAGCTCAGAAAGGTGAGCCGAAATGTAAGTTTTGGGGCGCAGCTGGTCGTGGGTCGGTTTCCGCTCAGTGTGAGGTGCTTGTTGAATGCCACAAACCTTGTCAGCGACTCGAAGACGAAGCCAAGAGGGAGTCCTGAGATAGAGATAGTCGCAGAAGACGATCCAGAGAAGAGCGCCAGCGACAATCGAGCCAAAGCGTTGTTGTAGCAAGAGTTGAACCAGTTGGGCGCTCAAGCCAAAAGCCATCGAGACTGAAAAGAGTAGCTTACACGCGGGCCATCCACCAGCGTATACGAGCAACAATACGAAGATCATCGTTGTGAGACAGAGCCAATCACTGCTACCGGGTGAAACGACTGACCAAGCCATTATGGGGATGTTAGAAGAGAGGTTGAGAGTGGGCGGAGATAGTGAAAAAAGGGAAAATATCATGATTAGTGAATCGGTGGAGAACTACACTGCGCGTTCAAGCACAGCACGAGCCTTTTGAGACAGTCGAAGTAATTACAACAATGGCGCCTTTCTGTTGACTTCACTAGCCAACAGTCGTATCGCAGATGCGTTCTTTGGCTTCGTAGAATTTGTCTGCTATCGGATGGAGGCTCATTAAGGGGGAGGCAGTGAAGAGATATGTGAGACAGGACCGCGAATGTTCAAGTGCAACGGTGAAAGAGTAGAGATGATTAGTAACATAGAGTGGTAAACGCTCACAGTGTTGGAAGAGAAGCTCATAATGCTCAAAGGCAGACCACTACTCTTGGTGCTGGACCTGTCAGGGCGCTGCGAGTATGACGTGTGAAAGTGAAGTAGCATGATTCGAGCTCTAACAATGTCGTTAACGAAACAAAGACACAAAGAGCTGTTCCCAGCTTCTTTGTGTCCGATTGTACCGTATAGATTGCTGTACTGTGTCGACTCTTCGGCAAACAAAGTGTATATAGTTTGTGATGGTTGTGGGCACGACCGTTCGTGTTGAAGAAGTCTGTCAACGCTGTGGCAGATGTTCACATTGGTATACGGCAAGCGTGCAGCTTGATGTTAAAAATGGCTTAGTTGCTGTGCTGGTTTTGACGAGCAGTAGCTGAGATGATGTCGCCGCAGCAAAGTATTGAGGCCGATATACAGCTGGTGTACAGTCTAGCAAGCGGCATCGTGGTAGTCAAGTTGAACATGGTCGGCTTCGTGCTCGCTGTTGGTGGCATGTCGGTTCTGTCTTGATTTGTTTGAGTGGCCGTGTCGTGGACTCCATTGTCTTGCTGAACAAAGACGTGCAATGATGTTGAAAGGCTTAGCGAATCTGACGCTATAGTCCTGGGGTTTCCAGCGTGCTCGGTAAGATGTTCATATTTCGTCGTTCGGGCAGAGGGCCTGCGTGACATAGGTAGTAGAGAGGAAGGTGTCACAGGGTTTGACAACGACTCCGGGTATCAGGGTATCTCTTTTGATTGCGGGATATATCTCGCTATATACGACACGTGAATCGTCCGTATGATTGCTACAGCAAGCCGTCGTTAATGCTGCCAAGAAATGTAAACGCTGCAAATCCCTAATATAGTACCCCTGCACGCTCCGTAGACACGTACTTCCCAACCTATGACCAATGAACCCCAGCCGAGCCCTACGCGCTTTTGATGAACGATGCCGAGAGTTGAGAGAAAAAGACATGACAACTGCAGTCTATCTGCAGCTGCTCGCAAGACGTGAAAGATCGGTATCGCAGAATATACAAGAAGTAGAACGTGATTAAAAGCCGTACGTCGGTCGCACCCGGTCGATGGAAGAATCGAAGGTAAGTTTACATGATGATCGAAGGAGCTGATGCAGGTTAGTGAGGCTCAGTAGAAACATGGCAGGGACAACTTACTATCGACGTTCTGCTTGATGGACTTGTGGGGTAGGACGGAACCGCCATTGACGTAGACTTCGTCGCCAATGGAGACATCGTCGCCAAGAACCGTTACGTTCTCAAGACGAGCCCACTTGCCAACAGTGCTGTTCCAGCCAACAATGGTCGACTTGACCCAGGCGTGGTCCTTGACGCGGCTGTTCTTCAGCAACACGCAGCGCTGAAGACGAACACCGTCGCCAATGACAACATTGGGGCCAATTGTAACGTTGGGACCGATGCGGCAGTTCTTGCCAATCTTTGCGGTCTCGTCGATCATGACATTGCCGCCGTACACGTAGGGCTCGTTAAGCGAAACAAGAGCCTTGGGGTTCTTGCGCTGCAGAGATGAAAGGTATAGGCAGGTGCCAGAGAGGAAGTCCTTGGGCTGTCCAACATCCATCCAGAAACCCTCGAGATCGAACGAGTGCAGACCTCCGTCCTTGCAGATAGCGGGGAAAGTCTCTTGCTCGATGGATGTGGGGCGGAGCTCGATGCGCTGGAGGACGCTAGGGTTGAGGATGTAGATGCCGGCGTTGATACGGTTGCCGACGAACTCAACGGGCTTCTCAACGAAGCGGTCAATTCTCGAGGCGTGGCTGGGCTTGTGTACGACAACACCGTACTTGGAAGGCTCTTCCACCTTTGTGACGACGATCGTGCCCTCGTCACCGTGCTGCTTGTGGAACTCGGCGAGCTGCGCGAAGGGGTATTCGCAGGTAACGTCGGCGTTGAGGACGAAGAACGGCGAATCGTCCTTGCCAAGGATGGCCTCAGCAAGCTTCAGAGGGCCGGCGGTGCCGAGGGGCTCGGTCTCGACGGAGAATGTGATTTTGATGTTGTACTGCTTCTCGTACTGCAACAGCCAGTCAATTGGGCATTCTCTGTGACTGGCGCGTTTTGGCTATACTGACTTCCTTCAGGGCCTCGGCCATGATCTCTGGGCGGTAGTTGACCGCAAGGACCACATCGGTAACACCGGCAGAGGCAAGAGCCTCGATCTGGTGCTGGATCATGGGCTTGTTTGCGAACTCAACAAGCGGCTTGGGGTATGTGAGGGTCTGTAGCTGGAGTCAGTCGTGCTGGTTCGCGGGGCGCGGGGCTCTCCTGGGAGAGCATTGCGAGGTGAGAATGCGTACGAGAGGCCTCAGACGGGTACCGAACCCTCCGACGAGAATGATGGCTGCATCGGCTGTCAGTCATCTCCATTGTAAATATATGCAATCGCACGTACCCTTCATGTTGTTGGTGGTGGTGGTACGTAAGACGGTTTAGAAGGTTGTGGAGGGGCTGAAGAAGAGGTGGATCTTCGACAACGGAGGCAGCAAGTAAGCGAAAGGCAAACGAGTGAACTGCAGACAGGACACTAGATATAGCGTGCAGGTGAACAAGCAGACAGAGTCAAAGAGCGCAATGGTGAGGACAGCTGGACATTATGAACTCAGGCCAGGAAGCTCCCTAGCATGGCTAGCTCGGTCCATGCGAAGAAGGGGTCCATTAATTCCCCTTTCCTCGCCAACCAAGTCCCCTCCCTCGGCCGCGCCCCTCGTGTCTGCACCCTAACATCTCCGACCCCTTGCAATTGATCCTTCTTTGCTGTTCCTGATCGCACGGCCTACCCGCTGCTAATTCGAGCGTGCTTGCCCTCGCGTTGTGACCTCGTAGAACCATCAGCAAAACTCGACCGCTACTGCAACCCTGGAACGACATCACGCCAGCGCGCCCCAGAATATCGCAGGTACAAGCGACGCATCTGACCATTCCCTCTGCCGCTCGGCACACCGCCTTGCGCAAGATCCCCTGAGTCGACGACCACGTGCAGCTTCAAGCCGAAATTAGAGGCGTTCAAGCTCGACGTGTTAGGTCGCTCAGCGGAGAGCACCCGAGTACCCGCCCTTACCGGCCGCATGTGGCTGTGCTCTGCTTGCCTGTTCCGGCGAAAGTGTAATGCGAGCTACAGTCAATTTGCGCCGCGTAGCTGCTGTTCGAGTACACATGATCGGTCTTGGAGCGAAAAGAAAACTTGCGACGTCTCAGAGCGCCGGGATTTTCTTAGGACTCCCAGCAAGCCCCTCACGAGCTGCTCACGCTGTTTGAGGGAGCACCATCTTGATTGCGACGCGCGTCGTATTTGCGTGGCAACTGTCCAACTTCACTCCTGCTCACGATGCGCTTACACAACCACATGCGCGCTAGAGGATGTATTTTGAGCGACAACAGCTCGTATCACTGCATCTAGAATCTTTGTTGCGACGTTTGCAGTACTTGACGCTGAAATGTGTGTTCATCTTTGATCGCCTTTGTCGTTACATTATGCTCATGCATGTCGTTCCCTCAACACGCCTCGTTACGACTCATCTGTTCACAGAACAAGTCGCAATTTTCGCGGCCTCTTGCATTTCCCTGTCGAGCGTTTCAAGCTCAATGGTCAAAGGTCAAAGAACTCAATGCACGCTACAGCCGCTTGGTGGAGCCGTACTGCCTATACTGGCAATCCCATCGAACTGTGGGAGACTGAGCGCTAACGCGTTGTGAATAGCATCCACATGCGCTTATTCCCGATGCCTTGATGTACGAAAGTCTGCGAACACTTCGCAGCCTTATGTGTGCGCTTGAGCAGATGCGTAAATCAGAGAGGAACGCGCGCATACGGGAAGGTTGTCCACGACGTCTTTGATGTTGTGGCCAAAGAAGAATCACCCAAAATCTTGAACAGATCGAGATTGCCTCCTCCGCGGAGCGTGAATGGCATCCTTCCCTTCATGGCAAGTATTGTAAAAGCCATGGAAAACTGACCGCAGTTACTCCGTTGTGACCGATCGCCACTCCACCTCGTCATTACTGTTAACGCTACATACCGAAGTTCTTACGGGTACCAGCCGACACATCTTGTGCCAAGTTGCTCTGCAGGCCGTCTTCAATCCACAACTGGCGCGACCAGAAACCACATCCCCTTCCTTGCACGCCTTCTCAACCTTTGACACAGCATTCTCTGAGGGTTACACAAAATCCTTCAAGGCCTTTCTTCGGCGTTCTATCCCTTGAACTTATACTCATTGGCGAAGATCCAATTACCCTTGTCGTATCGCCACAGGTCGAGACCAATCGCTTGCCCTTCGCGGACGTTCTGGAGCACCTCCTTCTCGACCGCGTGGAATGCCTCGTCAACCTTCTTCTCCTCGTTGACCTTGTTCATGACTGTCCAGTGCGGTTTCCACCCTCCCTGGTCCTGCTCGCTGAGATGAGGCATCCATTGCTCTCTCAAGTCTTCATGGACCTGCTTCATCCTGTTGTACCCCTTGCCAACATTAATGCCCACCCCGAGGCGCATTCGAAATGCCTTTCCACTCGAGACGAAGAAAGGTTTTGTACTGGCAGACAGCTGCGACAGTCCTCCATCGATTGTCTCGAATCGTGAGTCAGGAAGAGCATGGAATAGCGTCAGATGCGCAGGTGTCCTGTTGAGACGCTTGGGGAAGTACTGCTCGCGCATCAGGTTCATGGGTTTCGCCAATGAGTCTGTCAGCTTGAGTGTAAGCACGTAGACCAACTCTTCCTCGGCCCCGGTATTTGGCTTGTGCTCTTCGCGAGTCACATGCTCGATCCTTCTGTTTCCTTGTCCATGGCCTTCTGGACTCCGTCGACGAGGACTTGTGGGTTTTTGGGCACGCCCATTGGTCCTTGATACTGCCTGCGTTGCAGGATTATCGTGTTGCTGTGGAAACTGTTTTGGGGGTCCTCTAGACCCGCCGGCTGCAGCAGCGTAATTCATGGTTATGGGCACAACGCGTGCGACAAGAAGATAGGGTCGCGTCTGCCGTGAGATTGTAGGGAGTATCATTGATTTTACTAGAATCGTTCTTTCTCGGTGCGTTCCTGACTAGGTAATGCACAGAGCTCGAAGATCACTGCGTCATCGACGGGCGCTAGCATTAGCTGCGCAGGTGGAGATCTAAGAATCACCATCAGTTCATAGCATCGATTCGCATGTGTCAATTATAGATTCGCATCATGGGCATTCTGAAGGTAAACAATGTGGTACAAGGGCTCATCAGCCACAGGATACCTCCTACACCGTCGCTAAACGCAAACATACTCAGGCTGATCCGAAGCGGGTATCATTGCCAAAAACACCGTTATGTACAAACACTCATAGCAGCGTTATGTATGCGACACTATTACAGCTTCCACCCTTAGATTAAAGTCTGCTGATGACTCGCCATCTTCCACTCCCGCCCCTCCAGCACCCACGCACTCGAGCAAATCGCTCTGAACGCCTGGTCCGCGCGCTGCGCTTCGACGCGGTAGTATATCATCGCGCTGTCCGTGCCTAGTGGCACAACCTCGTCATGGCTGAGTTTGTAGTCGTTCCATGGCTGGAATTCTAGACTCTGCAGCATCTCGTGGACGGTCGGCGACGAGACTGCAGTCAGGATGTAGTCTCCGGGAAAAATCATGACGGGGTTGCGCGATAGGAGGGGTAGTAGGGCGCGGCCGGAACTGCATAGCGCGGCCCAGGCTTGGTGCTCAAGGCTGCAGACTGCTGCAGTGAGGGAGGGGTTGGTAAGTGATGGTGCAGCTGTTGCCATTTTGGTGTTGTCAACCGCGAGGTTGTGCACAGGGGAGCCGCCGGGAGAGTCTCGTCGTTGGAGAATAAAGCAAAGGCGAGCACCGACGTCACGGAAGCCTGTTTCTACGTCTCAACCAGAGCACGCGAATGAAAGAGGGGCCTAAGCGAGTTCGCCGATGATCCTCGCTGACATAAACAGGAAGGGGTAACACTGGGTGAGCCATGTCAAGGCTGTGACATGACGTCATTTGGATAGTCTTGAACAGCTACGACACTCTCCTAGAGCTTCTGGCTTGCTGAATGCATGCCGCGCCGGCACACTGTATCAGCCTGATGCTGCACCCACCTGTGCTTCTCTGTTCTTCACCCTCATTACGTTCGAAACCTTCACCTGCCTATGTAGCAGCAATGCGCGCTCGACAAAGGCCCCCTAACACGAGCACAAACCCTTTAGTCTGACATCAATCAAGACAAGACCTGTAATGAGGCCCAGATTGTGACTTGGGTTTGTCCCACACTTGCTCCCTCGTTACGAGCCTCGTTACGAGGATGTCTAACAAGTAGCGGTCTTCCTACCCCCGTGGCACGCAGCAGCCGCTACTCAGGACCGACCCACGCGCTGTATTGTAGGATCTTTAATCGAAAGTATAATTTCTCGGATCCAAGATGACCAGAGCGGCAGCTCAAGAAGTGTGCAGACAGTGTGGCAGGTGATTGTAAAGAAGGGGAGGCAGCTCGGAGCTCACTTTGCTGCCTGGGATTTAGAGGTCGAGTCTGGCAGATAAGAGCGTAAATATCAACGCCGGTGAAGACAGTCGCTGCATGGGTAACCGTCTGCAGTCGTTGAAGGAGCAGTCGATACTCTGGTAGTCTTGGTGTGCACTTCCAGGAGCTGTACAACTTTCAACAGCACTGACTCGAGAAAATACATGACTTGTCCGTGGATCCAAGCAACGATTTTTTCCGACCTATAAGAACGCTATAGGTTTCTTTTGGAAGATCCGCTTATATAAGCTTCACACTGATTAGTGTAAGGGACTACAGAAATGTCCTTCATGCTCATCGTCTCTTGGAAATGAAGAAATGACGGCTACAACTCTAGGTGATTCGGAGTGTAGTATTCGAGAGGCCGTCGTCGACTCAAGCACGCATAAGGGGGGCGACTATGTATCATGCGATGCGCGAATTCCAATATTGCGTATAGTCCAGTGAAGAGATAGACAGGTAAGACATGCACGCAGAATCGAAAGGTTTGACGTAGATCACCTTCTGGTATAGTAGCAAGCATCGATAGCTGTCCTTTCTTCTTACTCAAGACTGTTAGTGCTTAGGTAGGGCAGCAACGGTGTGGAGAGAAGGTTCACAGCACTTCTATCACCACTCTCGTGTTCAGATGAACGTGCATCTCAGATCCTAACAGCTCAACCAGGCTTGATAGAAGGGAATGTTTGAATTCAGATATCGAGCGACAAGCACAATGTTAACAAAGATCATCTTGCCCGTAAAAGGAAGCAGCCCCGGGGTCTCAACAAGGTCAGGAGACGAAGCTGGCTGCGTGGAACTGCACTCATGTTGGCCAACCACATTCCAATGTGGCGCTTTGAGTTCCTGTGAAATTGGCGGCAGTCTCAAGATGCGAAAGCCAATGACGCAATTGGCGAGTTTGTGTACCGCCTATCGCGCATACTCCTTTGAGCTTTGTTTCTCAAAGTTAACACTATCCGGGCCGACCTTTTACTCAAGAGATTTCTGTTTTCGATAATGCTACACTTTGCAAGCACGATGTCATATTCGAACGTGGCAGCCGGCAGCAGATCCTGGAAGCACCATGCTCGACAGGATTGGTATCGCTGTACGTCACCTTTGAAGTCCACTCTGACATGCAGGTGATGTAAAACTTCCTTGCGCTGCCATTTAGGCGCCATGATTAATTTTGCGGGTAGCGGAGAGTTGACCGGTGTGCCTCTGCTGGCCACTTTCCAAAGACCACGCAAGCAAGCAAGCAAAAGCGGGCAATGCAGTCTGTAGTCAGGGTGTCCCTGATTTACAAAGATCAGTTCTCGCTAATTTTTGTTCCTGAGGTAACGGTATGAGGCATAACCCTGATGGAAGCGGGGCATCTTTCAGCTGGGCGTCTTCCAAGACGAGGCTGTCAGTATTTCTCGATTCGCATTGGACCACGTGCGTGACCGAAGCGAGAGTTGTGTAGAACTATAGGGCAATTCGACACCGATCTTCTCAGCCCTTGGTAAAAGCTTCATGCTGCAACCCTAACGTACGGAACTCTCCAGCTAGGCACGACGGACACGATTCTCGCTTCTTTGTGCAGGGTCACGTTGATCGCCATGCCACTCACAGTCTTTAGTAATCACAACTGTTGTGCGAAAAGACTCCTTTACAGATTTGATGCCCTCTGGTCAGATGGAAGATAAGTCGCTCAGAGGCCTTTTTGGACATGGGAAAGCGCTCATCTGTGGCTTTACTTCAACAGACACAGTCTCCATTGGTTACACTATTCCTTGACACTTCTGAGTAATCTGTTTACTTCTCGCCTACAGCATGCAATAGCTTACGCTTGCGATACGCCAAACGAGGACGGGACGCCAACCATCACTACTTTGGGCTTAAATCAGATAGAAGGATGAAGAAGCAACGCAACTTATGTACGCCATTGCCAAGGAAGCGATCCAAGAGCGGATACCCGCTCCGCCTTCACTCCATTACCTAGTCACACACGGCATGCATGACTACAAGGGTCAAGAGAGAATTTACCACAGACATTGGGAAGCAACCTGTATGCTAGGCTGCTTCAAGAAGACCTCCGAGCCTATTGCGTCACTTGTACCATTTTGCTAGCATCAGATAGCACCAAATGTGGCCCTCTACGGTTTTGTGATAGGTTCGGAATCCACCTTCAACGGCCTAGCAGACAAGATATGCATCAAATCATGTGTTAGACAATACTCAAACTTAGTAGGATAACGTGGCTGGGAGCTGAAAGATCAGTGTTGCCAAGTAGTAGCCACAGGGGGTAGTATATTGGGACTTTCTCAGTATAAGAGATCGGGCCTGCGGGATGTGTCACTCGTTATCCAACCACACTTGGATACATCAAGGCCCTTTCCATACAATCTTGAATGTCCATCATGTCTCTTCTATCAATCAACCATCATCTTCGGCTGTTTATCTTGTTCACAGCATTGCTCCTTTTTGCTGGGCCTGCCATCTCGGTACCCTCTTACAAGACCGGTCATGACGACGATAAGGGTGTCATACGCGTCAAGCATGGAGAGTCTATCCAGGCGGCTATCGATCGTGCAAAGCCATACACTCGCATCGAAGTTGAAGGAGAACATCGAGAGCGCGTAGTCATCAAGAAAGATGGCATATCGCTTATCGGTAAGGGTGCTAAGCTCTCGCCTCCCAGTGAGCCCGACAGCACGAAGAACTATTGCTACGGCAAGGTCAAGGTTGGAACGGATCCGAACCCAGACAACTTGAAGAACGTGAGTGCAGGCATCTGCATCCATGGTCGCGACATCAAGCTCAAAATACCCTATGAACCCGCTGCGCTCCACTGGAGGGTGGAGGATGTCGGCAACCCCGTCAAAGACGTCTCGGTATCCGGCTTCGAGATTTCCGACTTCGACGGAGAGAATATCGCTGTTTACGGCGGCAAGGATACTAAGATCTCCCGCAATAAATTGAAGGGCGGCCTGAGGTACGGTTTCCTCACTGTCGGATCGAAGGGCACCGAGGCATGGAAAAACAAGATCAGCGGCACGCCTGGTACGCTGAGGGCCGGGGAGATTGCCATGTGTATGGATGATCGCTCGTCAGCGGTCTTCTCTGAAAACGTCATCTCGAGCTACTTCATCGGTCTATGTACCGAGACTGACGATGGCTTCGAGAAGGAAAACAACATCCGTGACTGCTGTATCGGCATTGTCATCGATCCCACAGTCCGCAATGCAAAGGCCATCAACAATGATATCGCCAAGTGGAACCCAGGATGCTCGCCTGACGCATCTGCCGGCATCTCTCTGCTTGGAGCTAAGAATGCACTGGTCAAAGGCAACAAGATTAGCATTGGCAGCAGTCCACCACTCACGTTAGGTGCCGGTATCTTCATGGGTTTCGAGGTTGAATTTGGTGCTGTAAACGAAGGCAACACGATCACAAAGAACGTGTTTGGGAAAAACCCTGCTGACATCTATGTCGACTCGACGGGCACCAATTACATCTTCAATAACACATGCGACTTACCTCTTCGGGCACCAGGCACGCCGGCGCCAGAATTCTGCCAGCCACGAGGTCGGGCTTGAGGTATTCAGTGAGACAATATATGGGGATCAAATTGTGGACAAAAGTAGTGGAGTTAACCAATACGCTTGTCGCTGATATATTGATTCGTATTGCTATTCGCGACCCGACCTAGCTTCCTACGTCACCCCCTTTTGGACCTTGTATCGTAATCCCTTTGTTTCAATAGGCTTGTCAATCCAACCAAAAAAGCCATCTACAAATCCGCTTCATCCATGTTTCTGATCCAGCCCCACATCCACTTAACTGTATCGAGATGGGCTTGTACACCAATCTTCTCATCCACAGTGTGAATGTTACCCATGCCGGCCTGCTCCTTATCCCATCCAGGTCCATACCTGAAGATGTGCTCGCTCAGATCCCAGTAGTAACGTGTATCAGTATTACCAGTCATGATACCAGGCGCAACGACGAGGTCTTTGCCATAGAGTGCACGTGTGGTACCGGAGAGAACCGAGAAGGGTGTGACATGTGTACCGTTTGAAGAGCTCGACTGGAGAGTGGTTGGTGTTACGGGCGCAGGCTCGAGGACAGTCGGACCATGTGACAGTGTGATACTGGAAGGCTCCTCAGTGCCACTGAACGCGTTGAGCTTTAGACCGTACTTCTTTGCAACGATACCCGCAAGCCTGGAAATGTGTTCCTTGATGTCCTTTGAACTCGACCCAACATTGATCCGGTGGTTGACAGTAATCTGCGTGCGCTCAGGCAGAGCGTTGTTCTTGACGCCGCCATGAATAATGTCCACAGCAACGGAAGTCGTGAAGAGATATTTGACACCAAGACCAGCCTTGGCTGCTTCTACAGCGAGTTTGTCTTCCCTCTTCTTGCAATGTTGGCTCTTGGTAGACCGCTGGTCGAGCAAGTGGTGCAGCTTCTTGGGGAACTCGGGGGCATGCTCAGCACCACAAGTAAGGAGACCAACATACGGGTTCTCATCAGCAAGGCGTGGTTCGTAGAGGTTGCTCTCAACCAGAGTAATTAGTTCGGCAGCAACACCGATGCCGTTGTGAGCAGGCGGAACCGAGGAGTGGCCACCTGGCATGCGCACGACGACGTTAACGTCAATGTAGCCCTTCTCTGCAACACCTGGGATCGCAAAATCCGCGCCCCAGTTTTCCACATTGACAGCACCTTCGTCCACGATAGCAGCAATGGCGTTGTGTCCATGCTTCTTGATTAAGTGTTGTGCAAGATGTTGCGCACCCTCACGACCAGATATTTCTTCATCGAAGCCAAAGGAAAGAATAAGCGTGCGACGGGGTGTGAAACCGGCTGACAGAAGCGCTTCTACCGTGTTGAATATAGCCATGAGTTGGTTCTTGCAGTCGCTCGCGCCACGACCCCAGACAAACTTCCCGTCGTAGTGACCAGAGAATGGCGGATGTGTCCATTGCTTGACCGTACTATCCGGAACTGGTACTACATCTTGATGAGCCATCAAAAGATTGGCTTTGAGAGATGCATCTGTTCCCGCCCATGTATATCTGAAGATTTCGCGGTTAGCAAAGATCAAGTACAGCGAAAGGTAGTACATACAACAAGCCATGCGTATTGATCTTCTCAAACTGAAGAGTTGCATGGGTGAGCGGAAAGGTTTCTGCTAGGTAGTCTGCAAACGAGTAGAAGATGTCCCATCGAGGATCTGCTCCGATATCGCCCATGTCATCGTAGCTTTGGGTGGGGATCTGCACGGCCCCAGACAGACGCTCAATTGCAAGCTTGCGGAAGTCGTCAGACCCCAAATAGATTTCAGTGTTGTTCAACTCTTTTGTGCTTCTTGAGGGAAACAGAGGGTGAACCTGGTGACATTTGGCCTGTGAATCCGTGTTCGTGCCAGGGTGCGCATCACCGGCGACGATATAACCGCGGAGGAGCAGCCATAGCCCCAACAAAGGAACTATGTATCGCAGGGCAGCCCCTGGCATCCAAGTCTTCTTCTGTATCTCGGGTTCGTGTGCGTCTCCCCAAGTCTTGGCCATGATGATGGTGTGGTGGTTGAAGGTGGGAGTAGGCGTATGGTGGATATAAGATATAAAAACCGATCTAATCTTAATCCGGAAGGTCCATTCGTGCTTCTCCATCAAAACGTCGTCATTGCAGAAGCACCTTATCAACACTAAACAGGAATAGATGACAAAGCACACTGGTGGGTGATGTGTTGGATGAAAGTATTTATTGGTATCATATCAATTACATCGACCGTTTGGTGATGACAAGCTCAGACTAAAGGAAGGCCTCGTGAAAACTGCCTGCAAGAGGCGCAAGTAAAGTGCAAATAATGAGAACACGGCAACAACCTAGTTTCGATCGCACAGCATCTTCTGCTTCCATCCATTGCCTGACTCTTCGTCTTTGCTAACCTGGCTTGCGGCACGTCCAGCATTGACAAACTTCGGCCAGGTATTGGTCAGGACCAGGTATTTGATCTCGCTCTCGGCCAAATCAAAGATGATCTCTGCAAACGCATCAGGAATCTCGATTTCTGCGAACTTCTCGTCAGAGTACAGCCCGTCCAAGCGAGACACTGCCCTGAGATTTGCACGGCCGAGTGCATCCAGCTCTCTCAGGCCAAAGGTTGAACCGGTAGGGCTGGGTGGTCCGTTGTGCGAATGAGATGTGGACATATTATCTGGTTGGACATTGTCGAAAGGTGTAGCCGAATCAGAGATTTCTGAAGAGAGCGATCCGCGTTTGTTACGGTATAGCATGACTGCCGCGCCGTCGAAGATTTGGTAGAGGCGTTTCATCTCTCTGGAGGAGATGTTGATGGGAAATTCAGAAAATTCGAGAGATATAAAGCGAGCGTAGATGTGGGTAGCAGCAATAAACTGCTGGCGACGGTGATCAGCAGTGGAAGCCTTAGGTGTGAACCAATATCTTCGCCAGTCAGCAACGTGAGTTAGGAAGCTGATGTTCTCGCCCGAAAAGTCTTTGAGAGCAGCAAATTCCAGTAGCGGAGCTGCGTTTGTCCTGAGCGTATTCTCAAGTGCTGTCATCGTGAGCATGCCGGACTTAGTCGATTCCAAACTGTTAATGGTAAAATCGCCACCAGATCTGAGGGTCGTTGTCTTAGAGTTAGTCTCAGAGTACAAACTGCCATCCTTCAACGATTCTTCAGCAACGATGGTTCCATCGAGACTGTTCAAAGCTTGACGGTTTTCCCATTCAGCTATAGCTTCCAACGTCTCGCGTCGGAGACTCTGGGCTTTGAAGACACCCACGATTGGGAAGCCGAGGGTGATGATTTCCATGAGAAAGATGAAGATACCGAACCAGATCGGTGGAGGAACATAGGCGCCAACTGGTGCCATTGAAGGAGAGTAGAGACCTGCAAGCCAGAGAGGGGACGCTGGAAGTCTTGGAACGTCAGCATTGCAACTCTAATCTCACGTGGATAACTTACCCTGCAATACAACAGCAAATAGTCTGAAGTCGCCAACCGTGGACATCACGGACTCCTCTGCTCTTCCAGATCATGTAAGGTGCGTAGATCCAGGCCCAGACGAACTGCCAGACAATTGATGCCCACCACTCCCAGCCCTGGTTACACTTGAGGTACAGCTCTGCTTCGGTACCCTTCACATTGTAGTTCCATAGACCCCAACCGGGATGGAACTTCTCGGAACCAAGGAACACAAGCAATGAGACTGCGATCTAGCGGAGTATTAGTGGATTTGTACTCGATAGCCTGCGGAATGCTTACCTGTACGATCATACCGATCCCGATGAACACCAGGGAGCGACCAACTTTATCGGCTCTCTCAACTCCGGAGATGATCCTTTTGAACCGACTGTTGCCCATCGATGCGGCCTCTTTCTCACTGATTGGCTTTTGGTCTTTTAGTGTGCTCATGTGAGCAAGTTGCTTCTGCCGGCTTGCTACATAAAGGAACTGGGTATTGGCGGCCTGAAACATCGCCATACCAACGGGAACGAGGATGCTCATCATCCAGAAGATAACTGAGCAAGGAAAATAAGCGCCAAATGGGTACGCCCAAATACTGATGGCGCCATAGATATGAAGGGCGCCGACACCGGTGAACAGAAGGGGAAGCTTTCTCATACGAACAGAGGGAAGTTCGCGGTGCCTATATTCATCATACAATCAGCAAAGATACATTAATGTGGTTCACTGCCAAACTTGCCTCCACAGGAAGGTCATCGCAGCAACGAGCGAAACATTCCAAAAAATCTCGAAACCAATGTAGAACCACCCAAGGGGCCCGAGCTGGGCTTTCTCGAGAGCCATAATAAAGAGCGACAAGCCACAACAACAGTTAAAGATAGTAGGAGTAAGGCTGGAGACCCCAACGCCTGAGCTCCAAGTACCCTTATACCGGGTTACGCTGGAGTGAGGAAAGAAAGGAGCATGCTCTTGGCCGAAGTTGAGATCGGAAAAGATTGACTGGTGAGAGCGAGCGTGCTGATTCGGGGGGCAGCTAAGATCGTCATGATTTCCGGGTCCCAATCCACCGCGATCTTGCCGTGGGGTCAAGCCCAACACGGGACTCCCCTTGCCGTTGTTGGACACTACCTCCACGCTTGACAGGGTCAGACAGATGGTCCGGCAGCCAAAATGGCTAGCGTCATGGAGCCATCATCGCCATTAATGCCGTGTAGGAGTGTTGGAGCCTTGGGGGATGAACCTAAAAGTGCATGCCGCAGATGACAGAGATCTGCAGCAACACTAGGAGATCGTTATTTACCATGATCTGTGGTGATGTGCATAATTCGTACGCTGGAGTTGAAGTACCCTGTAGAAGCGAGAACAGAATCGCTCGCACATAGCCAGCCAGCCAATGCCGCATCATTCGCAACTAACTTCCGTAATCGTGTCCGCGGAACGTTGGTGGAAACGAGCTGTCGTCCCGTTGGTTGGGGTGCATAAGTCTAGCTGCGTCAACCACGTTGTGGTGACACTACTGTATAGCCGGCAGAGTTTGTGCAATTGGACAAGTTCATCTTCGAACGTCGTGGTTCGCCCGCTGCAGTTTCAGCCGCAAAGAACAGGAACCCCGGTTCCCACCAAAAGACAGCCTCTGCCCTGGCACCTGGGCAGATATTGTTGCGCCAACGGCACCTCCCAGCTTGTGGCTTGATGTTTACGCTCACATGTTCCTGACAGCGGCCGGGTGCACGAGCCACGACGATGGATCGTGGTCTGGACTGTTGGCATGCACCTCATGAGCGAGGAGTCGCGCAAAGACGAGATGTTCACGTTCGTTCTATGGGCCGAGGCAAAGTCGTGGCTCCTAAGCCTCCCATAAATCTGGTACCTGAGGGCTGGTGATCTGAAGAACACGAGTCAGGGTCGCGGCGACTGCCGGCCGTAAACTCGCCGTGAGGTCGTCATCAATGTACAAGCCCGTAGTGCCCGTGAAGACTAGCCAACATGTCAATTCTCCAAAGCTAAATGGCTGGTTTCGTATTCCGGCGATGCAAGAGATCTGTCGCACGGATTGGATTCCCTCAAAAAATGCACAGACGCATTCGCGACCCCAGCCTGACTCGCCGATTTCCATCGTCGAATCGGACTGTCACCATCTCATAGAGGCCTCGCAAGCACTCGAGCGCGTCGATCAATTGATAGGGCAAAGGATCACGGACGTCGAATCTGTACGATCTTGACGCGACCCACAGCGCCTCCACCAAGCCATTAATTTCCAACCGTCCTTCGATATCGCATCTGATCGCTGCACTTGGCGTTTGCATATAACATCAAGAAGAACAACTCGATAGCTCGATACTGATGCTGCGATCAAGGCAACAGCGGCTTCGACCATGAGCCAGAAGATTGTTGTCGTATAGTCGGCATTCTGGGACTCAGCATCGCACAGGAAAGCAAGACGAGTTATGGCTATGGTTACCACGAACGCCGAAAGACTCTTGAAGGTGGTATTCACAATGGCGCGCGACATCGTGAAATTGGCCATGCGGATCAGCATTACTGGTATCGACATGACTGCCAGGCTTTGTTAGCCTCGGGGTTGGATTGTAAATGGTAGTTGCGCACCTGCTAGGTCTGTCACAATGTCGATAGTGACCAAGGAAATCTCCCAGGTACGCGTAGTGGATGTTTCTTCAAGGTATCGGCAATCTTGTACTAGTTGGTTTCGTGATAGAACATGTCCCAAAGAGGCATTACGTACGATGGCTTGGACACAAAGTTGGTGGCACCGCTAACGTGTATAAAAAGGCTGCCGTGCATAGGATAATTGTTGTCCAATAGTAACGGGTCAAATTTGCTGAGACCAAAGAGTAAGGTGGTTTGTGGAACTTGAACTGTATGAGGAAAGACGCCTTGACGCAGTAGATGGTGATCCAGAGCAGCTCAATTGCAGCAGTCAGGCACGGCGCGACATACTTACGATCTGCACCGGCTCCTGCAGAACCGTGGTTGTAAAGTGCACTCAAAGTGGAATGGAGGAGTGCAGATCCGGCGAAAAACGAAAGCAAGGCTAGCAAAAGGAGGACATCGCTTCTCTTCAACTGCTCTTTTCTGGAAAAGCGGATGATAAGTCGAGAAGCTAAGAAAGCAGAAGCTAGGCCGCAGAGGGTCCACGTGAGCACCTGAATGAAATCATTAGTACTCAGGAACCATGGGACATTGGCAATGAACTCACCTTGAACGAACCCTCCTTGACAATCTGCGGTCTGTCTCGCATTATGCGCAAGGCGGGCGAGCATATGTGGAGGGCTAACGTCAGTGCACTTGCGGAGTGATTGACTCGCCCACTGCGCTAGGGCTATTTAGAGTGCACGCAGACAAAGTAAAGGCATCGCCCGTGCATGCGGAAATCTTGCGCACGGTGCGCGCTGTTGGTGAGAGTCGACGTTGGTGCCGTTGAAAGAGTGCTGAGCGCAAGCCATCTGAGCAGCACAGTGCTGACGCATCGCGTCTGTGCGCAACGGGGACAAGCCACCAGAACATGATGCACTTTTTAACCTGCATCGTTCCACATCGCCGACCAGTAAGCAGAAAAAACACATCAATGCAAAGATATCACAGGAAACCTCGGGGCTCGCGCATACATTATTCGTATATCACTGGTTGAGGCCTGCATCCTCATCCGTTCCAATCCCCGAAACCATAACATCTTACGACGGGGCTTCTCTGGTTCGCCTTCATTCCCAAACACGTTGCGCTTCTTTCTCAGGATCTAACAGTGCTATAGCCAGATACTAAGCGAGCTCCTCACTGACTTCTGTTGAAGGCAATGGAAAACAGCTCCCAGTTATCTTCCAAACCCTTCAGCAAATGGATAATCCGTATATCCCACCTCTGGCGTCTTGCCACTAGTGTAGAACGTGCTCCTATCATAGCTATTCAACCCTACTGCATACTTCACTCTCCACACCAGATCCGGATTTGACAAAAAATGTCTTCCGAAAACAAAAACAGCGTCAAAGGCTCCATACTTACTATCCGCAGCCTCCCAGACATTCTCTGGCGTATACCCTCCCGCCAGCAAAACCGGTCGCTCCGTCCCCCATACCTCAAGCAGAAAGTCGATGCTCTCACTCAACTCACAGTCCACGTTGTTGTTCACCCTGCTCTCAATGATATGCAAATAACCCAGATCCATCTCCCTCAATGCCTCCACAAGGTATGAAAATGTGGGCACCGGATTCATCATCCGCATACCCTGGAACGGACTCCACGGACTGACGCGAAATCCGACTTTCATAGCACCAATAACGTCCGCACAAGCCTTGGCAACTTGTATGCCGAAGCGTGCTCTATTCTCGATGGATCCACCCCATCCATCGGTGCGCTTGTTGCATGTGTCCTGCAGAAACTGGTCGATCAGGTACCCATTCGCACCATGGAGTTCGACGCCATCGAAACCTGCTGTGATTGCGTTCTGGGATGCCTGTGCAAAGTCGGCAATGCATTGATGAATCTGATCCTCGGTCATTGCTTTCGGTAAAGTCGGTAGACCAGTCTTCTCGGTGTAGCCTGAGCCAGGCATAGGGACAGCGCTGCTGCTCAGCAGCTCGTAATCGTTTTGCTTGAGCTCCTCAGCGTCTGCAGCACGTCCCGGGGCGACGAGTTGGCATATTATACTGCATCCATTCGCGTGAACGATATCAGTTATGGTCTTCCAGCCAGCGATCTGCTCCGAGGTCCAGATTCCAGGGCCGTGAGGCATCCCGGCATGAGCGGGAGAGATAAGTGTTGCTTCGGCAATAAGGAGTGTTCCTGGGGCACAGGCACGCTGCATGTAGTACTCTGCGGATAGCGGCCCTAAGACATGATTTTCATCCGCGCGAAGACGGGTGAGAGGTGCCATAGCGATTCGGTGCTGAAGATCCATGGCCCCTACACGCACAGGTCTGAATAGTTTGGAGAATAGTTTGGATGTTGCCATGATAGAGAGAAAGGTACGTTTATCACGGCAAGTGTTGGAAGGTGATTGAGTAGGGATTGCTGAGACCGTGTGTGCTGTGTCGTAGTGCTGTACAGGACGGGGGTACATGATCAAAAAACTTCTCTGAATGTTGAAGTGAGCTTAGAAATCCTTCTACATGTGAACCTGCTATTACCTCAGTATGGGGATTGGACAGGGGTTGTCTTTGCCGATGCAGTGCGATTACCTGATCAGAGATTGCAGTATACACAAGTTCGCCGACCGGTCGCCGGGGGTTTATGTGGGAACCAACTGTGACTAGAGTCTCTTGAGCTGATATTCTGCATTGTCAATGTGTATCCTGTCAAATAGTGAGGAGTTCCAGCTCACATTGTGACACAAAGATTGCGATGCTGCGTTGGAGTCCATATGCTTTAACTACCACTGCCAAATTCACTTGAAGGTATATCCACTTTGCCTTAGTGTCCGCGAATCTCGTCCAGAGCTGGCATGGCATGCGACACTTCCGTATTTGGTTGCCAGATCGACCTGGAGTAAGTAACAACGGAGACGGTCGGACAGACTGGCCCACACCAACAACTTTACATACCGTTATGCCACTGAAGATCTCTCTAACACAAATTCTATCTCGAGCACTGATGGTAGAGCTGTAGGCATACTTTGATGATCAACGCTGTAAGGCAGAATGGAGGAAGTGATTGCGGACGTGGTTGAGTGCGGAGGAAGCCAGAGGTGGATAGGGACAAGATATACGGAGCGAAGGCTGTCTGGCGGTGCCAAGAAGAGGCGCCGGATTTGCATTCGCTACGGGCTTATACACGCTAAACCTACGAAAATACCCTGAGCTGAGGAAGCGTCTTTCACCTTGACAATGGAGCTACGTAACACGTGGAATGCATTTGAATTAATTAGCAACAGCGTAATTGTAAGTTGCCTTATCCAGGTTAGGCAAACAAGATATAGTACAGTAATGTTCGTATACTACAAGTTAGTTTTGCAGCTAGCCAATGCTTCATATAACCGTCTCGGTACCCTTCAGGGCCTCAATGTCCACAATCTGCCAGGTTTTAGCATCTGTTAGTACTAGCTGAGGATTTAACTCACCTCCTTGACAGCCTCTGTAGTCAATACATAAGGACTCTCCTCGTCCACACAAACACTGTCCTCAATTCTCATACCGATGCCTCTTGCCCACTTCGGCCACCGCTCATCATCAGGAACGTATATCCCGGGCTCGACAGTGACAACCATGTTCTTCTCAAAGTATCGGGTTCTTGTCAGGCCTGGGCTATCATGTACGTCGAGACCGAGGTAGTGACCAACGTGGTGGGGAAACAGTTTGTAGATAGCGTCATTCGACATGTCGAAACCGAGGTCCTTGAGACCATCATGAATTTGGTTAGATGCGATCTGGTGCAACTTATCAAGTGACAGCTGCGAAGAAACCCGACAAAGAGCTACACATGATCTCTGGACACTGAGAAGAAGAGTGTAGAGATCCCGTTGGGCAGGCGTGAATTTGCCAGAGACAGGCCATGTGCGTGTGATGTCAGTGACATAGCCACCGTATTGTCCACCTGCGTCGACTAGAACGAGGTCGTTGGGGTTCAACTGCATGTCGTTCGATACGTAATGGATGGTGTTGGCGTTGATGCCACCTGCGACAACGGGAACGTAGGCAGGACCGTCGCAGCCATCCTGCTTGAACCAGTAGTCAAGGAAAGAATCAAGATCCTTCTCAGCTGTGAAAGACTGGCGCATAGCATCTGTGATAGCGCGACCAGAGTGCTTCCCTGCCCTGCGCATGTTCTGGACTTCTCCATCGCTCTTGATGACCCGGAGTTCATTCAGCAGCGGCCGCAGGGGTTTCATCGAAATATCGTTCTCGTCTCGCGCGTCACGGAAGACCTTCTGAATGCCTCCAATTCGTGCTGGCTCAGAGCCTGACAAGAACCTCGACAGAACGTTCTTCGATACGCGGCTGCCGGGCAGGTCGGTGAAGATGTTCTTCGATCGCGTGATAATTTCGGGGAGGATTCGGGGTAGCTGATTGATGTCGCCGGCGACATCAGCATTAAAGACATCCTCAGCGGCCGCTACACCTGAGCGTGCACCTTCCCAGATCTCGGCCTTGACATCTTTTGGTCGTACGTAGAGGTGGAAGATGTGGTCATCGTCTTCTTGCTTCTCGATAATAGCAAGGGCGTCTGGTTCCTTGAAGCCTACTCGCCTTAGCTGCCAACCATTATTCCATCATGTGGTGTGCGTACCGGTCAGGTAAAGAAAGTCTGGGTCCTGGTGGAACTTGTAGAAGACTGCGCCTGAAGCATACTTCAGGTCCGAGCCGGCGAGGATGGCGATCGAGTTGGGCGGGAGCTGTTTGGCCAGCTTTTGGCGGCGTTCCCAATATTCAAGGGCAGTAATGTTGGGCGTGACTGCATTGTTGTTCAGCAATGGGGTGTATGTGGCAGGCGTAGGTGGTCACACTTTCCCCAGGCTTCAGCAGGTGAGGGTGTGTCTCATGCAGCGGCTGCCCAAAGCTGAGCTTTGACGCAGGCACCTCCACGGTCGCATAACCTCTCCATCGCTGCGCCCTTGTGATCCTCCACGGCGCCCTTGTAGCCGGCCGCAGTAACCTCGACGAAAGACTCATAGTGACACCAGCAACGAAGTTCGGATGAAGGACGAATCACGCGAGCGCGAATTGGCACTGTTTTCCGCCTTATCGATAGGCAGCCGGCCGACGTCTGACGTAACGCGTTTCCCGAGGCCGCGCCAGGCAGCACGACAGCTTCATCTGCCTGTGCCTCTGCTTATGCCGCATCTTTGCTTACACGGTCGGCGCACATATGTCACACCCAGCCACGGAGCCATTTTGCATAAGTAGTGTAAGTCCGCCGTCCTGTCTCTTCCACGTATTATTCGCAGAATGGCCGCCACGACCGCCAGACCAAGTGTTGTCCCCCAAAAAGACCTGGAAAGCTTCCAGGAGCACCTGCACAAGTCGACACGCATTTTAGCTCTCTTGGGTGCTGGACTGTCAGCTTCTTCTGGTCTGCCTACCTTCAGAGGTGCAGGTGGACTGTGGAGAACCCATGATGCCACCTCATTAGCAACCCCGGAGGCTTTTCAGCGTGATCCCGGCCTGGTGTGGCAGTTTTACAGCTACCGCCGCCACATGGCTTTGGGGGTCAAGCCAAATCCCGCTCATTATGCCCTTGCTGAGCTGGCTAATAAGAAGAACTTTCTCACTTTGAGCCAGAACGTTGACGGTAAGTGCTCTGCTGCTCGCATACTTCGAATTGAGAGACATTTCTGACATTCTAGGCCTCTCGCCCCGCGCAAAGCACCCTGGAGGGAAGCTCAAACTTCTACACGGCTCGCTCTTTGACGTCAAGTGCTCCGATTTCTTCTGCGACTATCTTGAGAAAAACAATTACACCGACCCAATTGTACCCGCATTGGCTATTCCTACCGACGAGTCAGATCCCACGACTAAGTCAGCACTCGCAGCGCGAGAGCTCGATATCTCTGACGAGAATGTTGCGATCCCTGAGCTCGACTACAACCACCTACCGAAGTGTCCTAAGTGTAAAAGCGGCCTCTTGCGCCCCGGCGTTGTCTGGTTCGGCGAGAGACTTCCAAGCGATGTGTTGGAGGATGTCGACAACTGGGTGGATGAGGGTGACATCGACCTTATCATGGTCGTGGGCACAAGCGCAAAGGTCTATCCTGCTGCTGACTATGTGAACGTAGCGCGCCGCAAGGGGGCGCGCGTCGCCGTGATCAACATGGACAAGAGTGACGAACCAGCTGGTGGCATGTACTCTCGCGACTGGTTCTTCGAGGGTGACGCTGCGCAAATTGTGCCTGAGCTCTTGAAGAGCGTGATTGGCGACGTCAATACCCAAGAACTTTCAGATGCTGCATATCAACGCTAGTGCGCAGACTGGCCTTGCTTCTACGCCAAGTGCTGTGCGTGCTTGGTTGATGAGCGGCTACTACTGTATGTTGTGGTGGACTTCTGCTCTACGTTCTGTGGGTAGTGTGGCAAGTCAGCGATCAGCACACGACGGAGTACATGTGTAAGTTTCATCATTGCAAAAGACTGTCGCACGGAACAGCGCATCACCTAAAAACGGTTCGTCATACCGGCGGAGGGGTTTATTTGGTTCGGGGAAGGCTCCACTTGAGCAGCATTTTGATTGCACTGCACCAACATCAGATGTAATGAACTAACGAATTTCTGAAACCCTGTCACTACATTAGCGAAGATTGACATGTTGTGCTAACTCGATTGACGCACTGACAGACAGTCTCTACCGCCAGTACGAGGGGGCTGTAGCTCTTGTGACCCACCATGCCTTATCCAGCGCCTCTACAACATCTGCTGGCAACGGGTCCTTCTCGAGGTCTCTTAGATTACCTTCCAGCTGCTGGAAAGTGCTGACACCCACCACAACACCATCGTTTCCGCCTCTTGCCCTCATGTTTAATGCAGAATGGTGGATCATCCACCTTAGCGCCGTCTCCAGCATCGTAAGCTCATACTTCTTTGTTGCCTCTTCCACAATCTTGAGTGCTGTCATATTTGCACTATTCAAGTACCGGTCACGGTATAGTTGTCCCCACTGGTACGAGTCTGAGAATCGACCCTCCGTGGGCGGTATTTCGAGATCACCTGACTTGATCTTGCCCGAGAATAGCCCGCCGCATAATGGATTGTAGGTCACGAGTTCCATGCCATACTTTCGCAGACATGGAATGAGTTCACGTTCAATCTCTCTTGCTATTTTCGTGATCAGCTCGACAACATCACAAGAACGTAAGTATGAAAGGAGAGGAAAGGAGACGCACTGAAGCAATTATACATCGCCTGGTAGATACCCGGTAGTACCCAGCTCTGCTCTTTGGCAATGTTATAGATCTCTGCAACCTCCCACGCGGGATAATTGCTCAACCCTAATTTCTTAAACTTGCCCTCTTCGTAAAGTACGTTTACCTCGCGCATTGTGTCCTTGAACGAAACACTGCGATCTGGAGCGTGCAGGTAGAAGATATCTACGCAATCTGTTCCCAGCTCACGAAGGGATTTTTCGAAATGCTTTCTTAGCTCCTTCGGCGAATGCATGCCTGGCACTTCTGGATATATCTACTCATTTTGTCAGCTCTTTCTCCTTTGATTCCGTGCATCTCTAGTAAGAATGTCAAGCAACCTACTAGTAATGCGGCCTTACCTTCGTAGCTAGGGTCAAGCCCCGAGTTTTCCAGCCAGCTTTGGCGGTCCAGGCTTCTTGCTGTCCGTTGACGTACATTCGGGCAGTGTCGACCTCGTCGTAGCCTTGGGACTGGAAATAGTCGAGGTGTCGGTTGAACTCATCGAGATCCAGGATCCGAGTGCCGGCAGTGGGGTCAGGGCCTGAGCGGTGTCAGTAGATGGGATTATGTCTCCATTATCACACCGGAGATGTCGTATCTTAAGGAGAGATAGCAGAATGTAAGGTGCTGGGTAGGATTATTGACCGATTACCATAAGTCATCAGACCTAGGATGACACGCTCCTTCTTGGGAGAGCTTCTTGCGGATGTTGACATGTTGGAAGGTGCTGTTAGATAATGTTGCCTGGGTTGGGGGGATCTTGCTTCGTCGAGCAGGTATAAGATCTGGCGCGAAGGTGCTATATACATTACTAGCTAAGCTACAGGGCGTTTGTTCGCGATGTTGATAATGCTAAACACACATCACTGCGTATCTTGGGAACGAGTGAAGGTTCTCGTTCCGACTTACCTAAATGGTCAGACAATGGACTGTTCCTGCGCGGTGATTGGTCAACAAGTGTTTCCGACTACCTTTCTGGGACTTTGGTGCACACATGCATTTTGCGAGGTGTGCGAGCATGTATGGCTTCTATCCGACTATCATGGGCGAAAATACTTGGAAGGATAATCAGCAGATCGTCCAACACCTGATTGTTCCACTACCTGAATGAAGATGTTTACAAACACTTGATCGTAATTTTCAGATGTATCGTCGCGAGATCATATTGCACACTTCAACTACCACTTGACAGCTCCATCTACCTCGTATACTGCTCCACTCACATATCGTGCTTCCTCTGAAAATAAAAACACGACAACATCTGCAACGTCCTCAGGCGTACCCCATCGCTCAAGCGCACAAGCCTTTGCCCATTTCTCTACAATCTCACCACCCTGTACGATACCGCTGTTACTGGGAGTATTGATGTACCCTGGTGCAACGCAATTGGCACGAATGCCCTTTGGTCCGTACTCCAGCGCAACAGACTTCATCATGCCGATAACAGCATGTTTCGTGGTATCTATGAGTTCAGGGTCAACATCGGCCATTCGCAGCAATTGCGGTATGACTTACTATAGATGCTCTGTAGAGCCGTTCCACGCGTCCCACTCATACTCGACACCGTAACAATGCTTGCTCCTCTCTTCAAATGCTTCAGGCTCTCTCTTGTGACGAGAAACACACCCTTGACGTTGACCCCAATTTGCTTATCGAAGTACTCCAGACTTGTCTCATCAAACGGTATGTTGGAGGGGTTCAAGCCAGCACAATTAAATACGTGGTCGAGACGGCCGAATTTGCTGACAACAGCCTTGACGAAAGATACGACGTCTTCTTCGGACGATACGTCGACCTTTTGGCAAAGAACCGGCGTATTTTCGGGTAGGATGGATTCAGTGTCGGTCAGCATAGACATGTTGATGTCGCAGATTGCAAGAGATGCCCCCTGGGTGGCGAGTTTGAGTGTCGTGGCGCGTCCGATACCACTGGCTGCGCCGGTGATGAGGACCACTTGGTCTTGAAACTTTGCAGGCATGATATTGGATGGAGAAACCGTATAAAATTAGTAACTGTAGACTCCTTGCGACAGCCTGTGATGGTCAGATGTATAAGTACCTACCTAGGTAGCTGCAACACGACAGACGATCTTCTGAGGTATTCCAGATTCGCGATCACACACTCCAGCGCCAGCGTCTATTTTATGGGACGCTCTCGTGTCAGATACCCTTATCGTACTTTGGCTGTTCTTGCGCCGCAGCCTGAAGTCACGATTGACACCAGTCTCGATCTAGAAGGATGGAACGACGCGACGTGACTGGCTTCCTGATGAATCTTCGGTTAGATGCTCGAGCGTGGTATCCATACTCAGCTTGCAATCCTTCATGACGTGTGTTCTCAGGTTCAGGGATATGTCTCAGAAGATGTCGGAAGAAGAAGCTGGAAGTTGTCATGACGGAGAGTAAAGGATAACTAGGTAGATGAAAGCCAACAGCACCAACCCTCGGATTTCAAAGGAGATCCGAAACTCAATACTCGTAGCCTAGGGGTATTAGAATCGCGCTTCGTGATTTATCGATAAGAAGTTCTAAAGGACTATAGCGAGTACATATTGAATGTCGTTAAGATATGGGCAATAAATACGAGGGCGGGAGCAGGGGTGCCACAAAAGTCCACTCCTTCCGCCCCGAGTCTAGCAGGGGGTGGGGAGGTAGACGTTTGGGTATGTGCATTGCGCAGTCTGCGAACCCGACAGATCCACCACATCTCTGGAGACAGGATCGATAAGAATGGCCTCGTGTGCATGTGTCATGGCAAAAGCTTAAGGTAACCTCTAGTGCCATTTCGACATTGACCATACCAATGAGCCACACCCACAGGGATAACGAACGAGGAAAAGCCGCTAAAAGGTCCGCTGTTGCTGCGCGAAAATTACTTTAGCCCAGCAATGGGTGTCATGATCGGGCAAAGGGTATTGTGCGTAATAATGAGCCGCCAGTGCGGTATGCATTTAAGTGGGGTTGAGTGATTCACCTCGGCACTTTGCACTTCGTACAACACTCACCTAGATACAACTACACAAGACCTCGTTCGGCTTCGACCATTTGGCAGGCCGACGACATGAATAACAGACCTAGGTATCGATACGTGCGGACCACCCCCTACCTAGGTACAGTGTGCTACCATAGTCACGGGTTCAGGTACCTACGCGCCCTAATTGGCAAGGAAGCTACAGGATGCGTGTTTACCCTGCTAGGATATAGGGAAAAACTTGACTCTACCATCTACCATATATGATAGCGGGTAGTGCGGGGTACCTATGAGGGGTAGAAAGACGGGGTTTTCCTATACCCACGGTACTGCTCTACTGCCTAGCCACTTTCGGACATCGTGAAGTAGTTACAACGTTGTTAAAATGTTATTATAGCGTCATAATCCTGGGCTAGTTAGAGATGATAAGAGGCTTGTCCGCCTATGAAAAGTCAAGCACTTTTACCACATGCAGGAAGCACCTGAACAGTAAGGCTTCCCGCATGGTATGCCAAAACAGGGGTAGTCCGTACATTTCGGCCAGCATTGTACACTAGATACCCTCAATAAATGCGAATCTGACGCCACTGTTGCCATCAGCAGATGAACAACTGCTGCAAATACTATAAGAGCTGAAGAGATATCGCCATGTGCAGTAGAGGGTTCAAGCATCTCCGGTTTACAGCTCGACTTCTTACATTCTTCCGCCCTCATCGGAAATTATATAAGGATCGCAAATCCCTTGATTCACCGCCCAATCACATTTGTGAACAAGCTCCAGAGATCAGTAAGGTACTTAAATTTAACCCGCGTTTGCCAAGAGGCCGTCTGCAGCAGCCAACATACCGTCTTTCCTCCCTCCTTCTCCGCCATTCACATAGATGCCATGACGGATGTTTCTCTCGGCTAACATAGGTGTCGTCTCATTAGCAAGTAGTAACTCCTTGTATCATCTCATCTTCTCGACGTTGAGCAGTACGGCCCCCGCACTGAGCTATTCACCGATAAGAGGTATCAACTGAGACCCAGACCATTTTCACCGCTAATCTTGAGTAGCAGGTGAACTCATCTCTCGTAGTGAACCCGGCCTCTGAGAGGAATATAAAGAGCTGATAGCTCTTCCCAAGAAAAACAGCCAACACTTGGCTCTTCGTCCACCCGACTCACCTTTCCTGGTCCTTGCTTAACAACATCCATCATGCAACTCACTCTCTTTCTCTCGCTTCTGCCAGTCTTGGCTCTGGCCGCTCCACCTCCGGCTCCTGTACTCCCGGCTCTCGCCGGTACCCCGATTGCTGGGCGTTACATTGTGAGGCTGAAAAACCAAGGCCTCCAACCTATCCTTGAGGGTGCACTGAAACTTCTCAAGAAGCAGCCTGCCCACATCTACAAGTTCGGCACATTCAGTGGGTTTGCAGCTGATATTAGCGACGATGTTGTTGCACTTCTTCAGAGGCTCCCTGGTGTCGAATACATTGAGCAGGATGCTGTGGTCACAGCAGACCTTGGTACGATTGATAAAATGAAAAAGAGAGCATATGTCACTCAATCGACCTCTCCTTGGGGCCTTGGCCGTATCTCCCACCAGGACATTGGCGACTCTTCCTACACCTACGACAGCACCGCTGGAGCCAACACCTGTGTGTATGTCATCGACACTGGAATCTACACCGCCCACCCTGAGTTTGAGGGTCGTGCCACCTTCCTCGCAAATTACGCTGGTGATGGTTCCAACACCGATGGTAACGGCCACGGAACTCACTGCGCTGGAACTGTCGGATCAAAGACCTATGGCGTAGCGAAGAAGGCTAGAATCTTCGGTGTCAAGGTCCTTGACGCCCAAGGCGCGGTAAGTCTTACCACAGATTCTCGTAACATTAGTGATGTGTTTGCTAACTTCTGAATAGGGTAGTAACTCTGGTGTTCTTGCTGGTATCAACTTTGTCGCCAACGACTCCAAGACCCGCACTGGCTGCACTGCCGGCGTTGTTGGCAGCCTGTCCCTCGGTGGCAGCAAGTCCACCGCTGTTAACTCCGCTGTCGCCAGCGCCGTGGCTGCAGGCGTCTTCATGGTTGTTGCTGCGGGAAATGACGCTCGAAATTCTGCTAATGTCTCACCCGCCTCTGAGCCTACAGCCTTCACGGTTGCTGCTTCTGACAGCAACGACAAGTTCGCTACATTCTCGAACTGGGGTTCATCTGTCGACATTATCGCACCGGGCGTCTCAATCCTATCAACCTGGAACAACGGTGGCACCAACAGCATCTCAGGTACATCAATGGCAACGCCCCACGTGGCTGGTCTAGCCGCCTACATCCTTGGCCTCGAGGGCAAGAAAGACCCCGCTGCTCTTGCCAGCCGTCTCCAGACCCTTTCACTCAAGAATAAGATCACCAGCATTCTTGGAAGTGGTACTCCCAACTTCCTTGCCTTCAATGGTAACCCTAGCGGCTGAATGGTGGCCAAGCGCATTGTCAAGCGCGTGCTGATCATCGTTAAGCGGGTACTTAAGAGTCTTGTTTATTCCAGCATACGAAGGGCATAGAGATGCACACCCTCTACGAAGCCTCATGGTTCGATGATGCGGTACAGGGTTATTCTTGTAGCCTTCGTTCGTATTAGTGGCTATTGTGAGCAGAGAATATAAACCCAGTGGTTGAGAACTGCGCCTCTAAGAACGTGTGCGTTAGATTACATGAGAAGTATGATGCGATCAACTAGCTCATCGTGTGCTTTCGTCATCCATGGACGAGTAGGCCGCGATGCTCTCACCGGCCAAATATTGTTACATCCGGCATCCGAAGCAAATGAACGCGTCGCACCTTACACGGTGCTCCCTTGTGACATGTCACATTGCTCGACGTGTCATTCCTTGTGATGATCACGTTGGTCCGTGACGTGGAGCCTGCGGTGCATCACAATAGAGCTCCATCGAACGAGATTCACCCAGGAATGTAGTCAAAGGACAGTGCGATCGGTCGCTGGAATGTGGAGAGACGTGTGGCTGTGCGTGGTCTTATTAACGGGGAGTGGCGACTCATTGCCGTCGCAGATGGGCTAGTAACGGTCGTACTGCATTGGGTTCGCGACTGGTGGCGGCATTCTTTGTCAGTGCGTTCTTTGTGTTGAATCGACAGCAGTCCCTAGATGATGGATACTTGACTTGAGTTGCACACAAACTTGTCCGATCTGACGGGGAGCTGAAGGCTTGTGATGGCGGCCAGGAAGCCGCGTACTATGTGCAAGGCAGTACCGTCTTACCTAGCCAATTGTTGAAAGGTTCATTGTGACCAAGATATGCGTGACGAGTAGCGTCATGGATCGCTAATCGATTTAAAGGCTGTGTCCAGTCTGATACCTGCTGTTGATGTTGGTCGATTCACATAGCATGGCACGTGAGGAGAAGGCGCGACTTAGCGCGTCTCTAGCGCGGTGCTGTCATCCCATCCTTAGCATTCTTTCCTCTTCCCCAACTCCATCACTACAGAGGATGGCACATATGTACCCCTACGATTGCCGACTTCCAGACCTGCGAATTTTCATATGGGGAGATGGATCGCTCCCTTAGTAGTCATGAGGATAGCAAGAGATGGCTAATCCCGGAGCGAACGTCAGGTGTGGACTCCCTGACGCAGACTTGATGCTGTGTGATTGCTAGGCTGCAAACGGTATACTCGCCCGTCAAATAAGTCGTTTCGTGGGCAATGGATGGCTCTAGACTGCGAACGCGGGTGACACGTTGCTGCTCAAAGCAACCACAGTGCTCAATCTTTGCTACATCTTGAGAAGAACTGACGTCTTTCTTGTCGTTCCGATGAGCAAACCTTCTCGTTACAGATTCAAAACTCTGCACTTGAAAACATCGCCCACTCTTGGATTCACGACGTTACACGTACCCAGTGGTACGGCTCATAAAGTCGCATGCTGGTGTGCGTGCACATAGGCTCGTGCAAGACTGTAGACGATGGCCACAAGCACCAGTGGATGCATAGGTCAGATCGGTTACGTGCCATCCACAAACGGGATTGCTGTTGGAACTAAGATCTAACAGAGTAGGTTCTGGCAGACACCGCATTTCCTACGTCAGCTTCCACTCCCACGCTGTTGAACCGACACCTGAAAGTTTAGATCACGCGGAGCTTGATAGTCGTTGGTAAAACTCATTTTCGTTGCAGACAAGATAAGGGATGCAGCAAACATTCGCTGCTTACTTGACATGCGTTGTCGTACGGGTACAGTGAAGACGCAAAGGGAGCTTTTTGCTGGGTGCCAGCCTCATCTTTCACACCTGTCGGAAGTATTGCTGGTATTGTATTACGATATATTCGTGGCTGTTCCAATCGATTGGCAATGTAAATTCGACCAGATAATGACCACTTCTATAGTGTTGGCGGGTATTGTGCACAGCGAATCATTCCGTCACGTCGACGGGATACAGCCGATACACTACTTGTGTCCTTCGCTTAGTACACTCAACACGCTTTCTCATCAACAACATTTTTGTAACCACAATGTCAACGTCGGCTCTAGTATTGAGTCTAAGTCTCAACGGCGCGGTTTGCAGCGTGACACGACACTGTAATGTTGCAGTTGTGCAGAGCTCGAAAGAGCGTTGAGGCACCTCAGATATGTGGTATATATATCGTCCACTACACGGGGGGATAATTCTTACATCACCACTTCGACCTCCAGGGCCACTGCACAGACATATCACAGTCTTTAAGTCGGTATGCATTTATTCGGTTATCTTACATGTCTCTCAGTCGTTTTTGCGGCGCCTCTACTCCAGGTTGAGCAGGGTGCCACCGTGATACCAGGTCAATACATCGTCAAGCTCAAAAATGATGAGGCTGCGATCTCTGCGACTGCTATTACAGCTCTCAAACAGACACTTTCCACAGCACCAAAGTTCGAATACTCGCTCTCTGGATTCCATGGATTTGCGGGCGCTCTGTCAGCTACCGAACTTGCAAGGTTCTTAGCTTCCAAGCATGTATGTTAGACATGCAAGGCTACCATGCCAGTTCGTCTAACTCTGCTGCAGGTTGAATATGTACAACCAGACGTCAGAATGCATGCGTACGGTCTAGTATACCAGAATCCTGCCACGTGGGGTCTCAGTCGTGTCTCGAACATCCTGCCTTTGAACAGCAGATACGTCTTTGACGAGAGTGCAGGAGAAGGCACCTGCGCTTATGTCATCGACACTGGTATTTACGTGGACCATCCTGATTTTCAAGGCCGTGCGAACCACCATTGCCCAAATCAAATGGAATTCGCTAACTTGGACAGGTGCGACCTGGCTGGCTAATTTCTCGGAAGAGGACAGCAATGAAGACGGCGAAGGACATGGTACACACATTGCTGGCACTATTGGCTCACGTATGTTCGACCTTCAAATTTTGTGGATATAGAACGCTAAAATAACGTCCAGTGACCTATGGGGTAGCAAAGAAGACCCAACTCTATGCCGTCAAAGTCCTAGACTCTATCGGCTCGGGTACAACAGCCGGCATAATCGCTGGTATCGAGTTTGTTGCAAAGGACGCGGCAACGCGCAACTGCCCTAAAGGAGCAGTCGCAAACATGAGTCTTGGGGGTCGTAGAAACGCTGCCACAAATCAAGCTGTAAGTTTTATTCAACACAGCTCATCGAGCACATGACTGAGAAATTTAGGTCGCCGCAGCGGTCGCCAGTGGTGTCTTCTTCGCTGTCGCGGCGGGCAATGATGGTTTTGACGTTAAATACACCTCGCCTGCCTCTGAGCCCACTGTATGCACTGTTGGCGCAACCGCAAGTGACGACAGCATGCCTTCGTGGTCCAACTACGGTTCATTGGTTGATGTCCTCGCGCCAGGTGTGAATATCACCAGTTTGGACAATTTTGGAGGAACGATAGAGCATGAGGGTACGTCAATGGCAACCCCACATGTTACGGGTATGGCTGCCTATCTGCTAGCATTGCAGGGAGGAGGGACGACTGGACTTTGCGAAAAAATTGCAGCGTTAGGGCTCAAAGGTGTGGTTTCGGATGTGAAGAGTGGAACTGTGAACACGTTGCTCAACAACGGTGCCTTTCCCATTGTCCGCTAGCAGAACAAGTTTGTATCTTCGCGATCCCAAAGCAATATGTATGATTTGTTCCATATTCGGGTACACACGTGCGTCCTTCTCTTCCTGAGATGGATGTTAATTTGTTGCGCCAGATATGCAGTCTTCCAAAGCCTTTAGACATTTGTGCTGATCGATTTATGTCTTTCAACTCATAGAATACATGCTCAAACGTGAGCAGGTGTGATGCCCGAGCTGAAGCCACCCATGTTGCGACCGCGGACATGAGCAAGTAGATCATCAAGGTCTTCCGGCGCAAGACTCTCGTTGTCGACCGTCATGCCCAATTGCTGCTTTTTCTCATTCTCCTGGCGCTGCAGATCTACAAGATCGTCCTTGATGTCGGGGTTGCTTGTCTGCTTCGAATCCCGGCGTGACACCCATCGTACAAGTTCGGCCACATCGTCATCCTTGATATGGTCCTTGTCTTCAAAACGAGGTGAACGCTCTCTTGACCGCCCGCGCTTCGCCTCAAGCACAGAAACGTCATCCTTCTTCGCGATCTCGCTACTTTCGGCAATAGATTCACCACTCGTATCGTCATGATGTGTTCTCCATCGCCCAATCTCAGGTACGTCTGAGTCGTCAACTTCAGTGTCTGGCTCTAACTGGAAGACATTTCCCTGCTTCCGAACAGGTCCTGCCATTGCGCCATCACGCCGTGATACCCAACGACTGAGGTTACCCTCGAGACCATCCTCATCTTCATTCTGAACCTCCTGACTTTGCTCGGAGTCTGATGCTGTCGATTCGTCGCTGTATCCAGTGTGCGTCGGCATTACTGCTTCGACAGATATAGATTTGCGACTGGCATGACGAACAAGCTCTTCGATGTCAGAATGACCCAGGCTTTCGTGTCCGCTGTCTTCCTTCTTTGGTGCTTTGACATTGGACACGCGACGTTCGCCATCGCTGGGTGGGTCCCTTCTGCTGATCCAGCGCACCAACTCATCAACATCAGAGTGATCAATACTGGATTCGTAGCTCTGTCGCGAATTCCATGGGTCGCCATCATCATCGTCTGTGGCTGTTGACTCACGTCGTGACATAAGGCCAGTGTTGTCTTCAATGTTGGCTATTGTTGGCGGCTCTTTGCTTGTCAAGCGGCGGATTTTCATGCCGATTCGGCGACCGAGCCCCTCTCTTTCTTCCGGTGTTTTGTCTGGGGTGTGAGGCCGACTGTAGCATTGTCTCTTTTCGTGCTGCGCCTTCCAAGTAGTTGCCGCCTTCTCTCTCGCTTCTGCTTCTTGATGGCATTGCTTCATGTTGCTCTCGATGTTGGCTTGGAATAGAGTACTGCGGAGTGATTGAAATCGGGCCATGTGGCTCCTCGGGCTCTTTAAGGACTTGTCTCCGGTAGCACGCCCCGAAGAGATTCTGTTCTCCTTGGACGCTGATCTAGCCGAATTTGAAGTTCCTTGGCGTGATTTTCGAATCAGTGTATCGTCAATCTTGGTGTTTTTGCCCGAGAGTCTAGACCCTTCGTCGCTATTTGAACTTGAGGAGTCGGCGTCCTCTTCGTCGTCACTGCTTGACTTGTCAAGTTGTAAGCCGTCCAATATACGAGATACTTGTGGTGAGAGAAGACTGGTTCCCTGCAGCTCCTTTTGAGTTATTTCAACAGCTGCTGGCGCACTTGATTGTGCGGGAAGGTCGAAATATGATGCCATGATTGCAGCCACGTGAGAGGGACGTGCCGTCAGTCGATTATAAGTGGATACAAAGTGGTGACGACGCAGACGGAGCAATTGTTAAAGCGGCTGAGATTGAACGCGAGGCAGTGCTCTTGGAAACTCTTGAAGGGTATGCAGGAAAGGCTCGGCTGTCAAGGGTCTCTGTCGAAATGCGGGGTCGAGAGCGTTGGGTCGCATGACGGCGTCATTGTTCTCGGCAGGTGATTGGCTTTTCACCGCTTGAAGGCAGCTGACTAACAATCCGATCTGCAGCAATTGAATGGACCCAACACTTGGCTCCAGCTCCAAGATTGACACGACTCCTGCGGCTCTCTGAGACGGCTATCAGTGCTTACCGATACGTCAGCATCATGCTTAACAGTCATCATCGCCATCGTCTTTGTGAACCGCGTCACTCGTAGAAAGGATTGAAGAGCTATGAATCTGAATCGATTTATCTGCATGTCATCGATGTTCTTGCCGCTAACACTACGGTAGCTTCCAATAAAGAGGTAGCGATAGCCGACCCAGACAATAGCGTGGAAGTCTAGACTAGTAACTCATGGCGTCGCGATCTGAGGAACGGACGACAACAGGTACCAAACATGGGCTCAAGCTGTGATCGGCACTAAGCTTGATGGTCTCAATTGCTTGACACAGCTTGCTTTTGCTCAACGTTGGATCTCGCTTTCCAGCTCAAGCTTGGAAGATCCATCGTGGATGACGATCACCGAGCTTCAGGTCTTCTTCAGTATCGTGGAAGTCGTTCGTCTCAGGGTGTTCAGCGATGAACTGCTGTTTTTTCTTGTTTTCCTGCTTCAACCTCCACCATAGCACGTTGACGACAATGATATTCATGACCAGATAGCCAAGCGCAAAGCTGTGACCCAGGACGTATCGAGGAGCCGTTTTAGGTCTGTACAGCTGCGTACCCAATACAGCTCCAAGGTTTCCGATCGAAATCTGCATGGCGTTGGCGGTCGCACGTTTGGTCTGTCCGGATACGTTGATGGCAGGCCAACTCAGTACCAGAGCAACCGAGGGGTATATTCCTACTGCTGCGAGGAATGTCCCGGCGTATGATAGACCAGGCCTGGCGGTGGGATTCTTGTTTGCAAGGAGAATTACATATCCAATCACTGCAAACGCAGATGTTGCTGTGATGAAGAGGCCACGCTGCTTTGTCTTTTCTGACCACACGGCCCAAAATACGGTAAATATCGTAGCTACGGCGTATGGCGGTATGGTCAACAACTGCGACTGAGCGGATGTATAACCCATGTCACGGATGATAGTCGGCTATCAGCGGTTAGCTTGAACACTTCATCCCTAAGAGTTTGCTCACCAAAAACAGAGACAAGGTATACAGAGGTAGGCTCATGGTGTGGAAGCCAGCACCATAAAGCCAGACCTTGGGATCCTTCAGAGCATCTACGACATCACTCCACAGGAACTTCTCGTTGTTCGTTGAATCGCTGTCAGCCTTGAGTCTGGCCTGTATGAACGTGCGCTCTTCTTTCGACAGCCAGGAGACAGTATCCGGATAGTTGGAGATGAACCAGTATGCGCCAACTGCAATGACGATGGTGAGCAACCCTTCCTGCAACACTGTCAGCGAAGTCCAACACAGAGTCTGGGACGCTACACACCAAGATGAAAATCCATCTCCATCCAGCATAGTTGCCAACTCCACGCATGTGGCTGATGCCCCATGCTAAGATTCCACCGAACGCACCAGCCAAGGAGGCGCAGCTGAAGAAAAGCGAGATGCGGTATTGCCGTTCCTCCCGCTTATACCACATGCTAAGGTAGTATACGACACCAGGGAAGAGTCCGGACTCAGCGACGCCAAGGCTTGTAATTGTTAGTCGAGGATTTCCCATGCATTGGGCAATAGACCTACAAGAAGCGCACGGCGAAGAAGCCAGCCTTGTTTTGCGTCACACCCATGAGGGTCGCGACAATCCCCCAGGCCACAGTCAATGTCGGAAGCCAAAATTTAGGTGTCGTCCGTTTTAGTACAATGTTACACGGCTGCCCCGAGTTGTTAACATGAGTCCATTGATCATCCTCCAGGACAAACTCACTAGCTCAAATAGAACATAACCGATGAAGTATAGTGTTAGTCCCGTGAGATACTCGTTGCCGGTCATGCCCAGATCGGCCGTAAGTCCTTCGATACGCGCATTGGCAACGTTACTCCGGTCCAGAAAACTGAGGAGGTATAACACTGATACTGCAGGAAGTAGTCTTAAATCGAGCATGCGCAACAACTTCTTCTCGTTGATGGTACCAGGCAGAACTTCAAAATCCGAGTCAGATGGAGTCGAGGCACCAGGCACACCAGCCTTTTGGTCGTCCACACGCTTCTCGTCGGTCGACATGTTGGCAAAAGTGTCGTTCAGAAAATTCCGGCACGTAGGAACATAGTATCCAGGGTGTCGGCATATTATACGTGCCGACTAACCCCCAATGTTTTGAATATGATGCAAGAGCGTGGAAGTTGCAGGTCAACCCGTCATACCAGCATTTGGTAACAAGCACCCGAAGGCTACGTTGGCTGTCATTGGACTGATCGTAAGCTCACCTCCGAGACGAGGCTTAATGCTTATCGACAACATCGGCAAACAGCTAAAACGGCAGGTTCTTCTCTGAAACTGTATGGATTTTGGGTGTTCGCGAAATCGTGGGGTGGAATGTCGTGATCGCAGATCTGCACGCGTTGGTTGGCGCTAGCCGCTGTGGGTCCACATCTGACTGGGGCATCGTCATCTCTTCGACTAACAGCACACGGATTGGTCAAGCAGATGATAAAATATTCTTAAAGAATGGCGAGCGAGCCAGTATAGGTCCCGCGCGTGGACAAAGAGCATGGAGTAAGGGGCTGCACGTGGAGAACTAGCAGCTTAGAAGAACTCACAGCTTCATTCTTCACTAATCACTATCGTCGCTTCAGAAAGGTTCTCATGTCTCCAACTTCACCAAAAAGACCTTTTCACTCTTGGAAACAGAAATTTCGTTCCATCACCGTAACCGCGTCGTCACGAGCGCGATACTCAGCCAGAGCAAGTCCCGGACTTTGATGGCTCGCAGCCGCCTGCACACCCGTTGTACATCTGGCAAGGAGTCTTGGTGTCGTAGCAAGCGTTCTTGATAGTCGCAGTATCACCGTAGTTGGAGTTGATGCCAGCAAGCTCACCACCCTTGACGGCGGTCACACCCTCGATGTAAACGTTTCGCTTGCATTGCTTGGAGCAGTTACCGCAGGAGCGGTACAGCTTACCGTAATCGTTGACGTAGAAGTTCTAGACGCTGTCAGTAATTGATACCACAGGAAAGATCGTGAGACGACAGGAGCCACCAGTGATCTTGAACAGGAGAAGGGAGTAGGGTAGGCTTACAATGATGTTGACGGTACCGCAGCCGTTGTGCTGGACCACCTTATCGGAGGCCTTGTAGGCGCCACCACCAATGATCCAAGATTGGTCACCAGCAGCATCGTTCTTGACAGAGATGGCATCCTCGCAGACTGAAAGTATGTCAGAAGAAGTTTTAAGGAACCGACGAGCAAGTGCTTACCATCCTCGAACCAGACAAACTCCAGCCTGCAAGCACCATCGCAGTGCACACCTTCAGCTTGATTCTTGCCAATGATGCAGTTCTTGAGCGTAGCACCCTTCTTCAAAAGGAACACAGCATCGTCACTAGTGCCCTCGGCCTGGCTGTTGCATGCTCCGCTACCTCGATCATACCTGGCCCACCCGCAGTCAAAGGTCTGGCCGGCAGCAACAGTGATGACCTTGCTGTTTGACTTGGTGGAGGTTGCCACGGGAACGCCGCCAGTGTAGCCGTTACAAGCGAGCACTGCGGGAAGAAAGAGCGCGGCGATGCCGGCGAGCTTGCTAATGGACAGCATTGTGATAGAGACCGAGTGATGTCTGATCTTGAAGCGAATGAAGGGCAATGTCGTGATATTCAGTATTGTCACAACATCCAGCACATTTATATCCGTAAGTTCGCACAAACTCGGTCGCTATGCCTCTCGCAAGCCAGCTTGCGGGAGGGAGCGATTGGAGGAGAATCTTCTCGTTCGCTCAACTGGCCGACCTTCTGACAATCTGAGTAGATTATCTCTGCTGCGAGGAAGCCTTGGCTGCCTCTACAAGCTATCGCTGGCGAACCCGCCGAGCTTATCGCTAGACTTCTCATCGTCGCGATGCAGACGGAAAAGCTGAGCCTTACGGTCTCTGTGGCACCGCTATTGACACTGTAATATACATGAACCACGAGGATGTGGGCTAAGCCAATCATAGTCCTGATGGTCATCTAAACTTAATCCTAGGCTAACCCTACTAACGGTGGCAATTTAGCGAACCCAATCCCTGGACAAGACTGAGAGGGACTGGACGTCGGAAGCTCGCCCCATGATGCAGGTGCAGCCTTACACTCACAGCGGAAAAATATCGAAGATCCGGGGTTAGAAGCTTGGTACTGCGGGGTGCGCAAAAGTCCGAAGAACTGCTGACGGGTATCGGTCAAGCATTGGACCGAACGGTTCTCGTTCGTGAAGTGGTGGGATAGGAAACGAAGACACACGATCAAGTACCCCCAGGAAAGGGGATAGGGGAACAATCTACACACTAGAGTCGTGCTGCCTTTATGTCTATCCATTTGTTCCAGTCACACATTGCAGGAACTGTCATCTTCTCCACGAACAGAGACGTACAGTGGAAACCTCTCGCTTTGTGTAGAGGAAACACGGGAAGCAGAGGATTGGGGGCCGTGCAGCCTCGGGCCCCTGTGCACGTGAACAGAACGTGAGTTACAACCTCTCAACAGTCGAGTCACGCAAGCCTTCGAATCTTCTCGCTTGGAGGTCAAAATGCATATGATTGATCTTTTTCTCAGTGACAGATTGTAGGTAAAGAAGACTCGCGTATCGTTATCCAACATTGCCCAACAGCTAGACATCTCGTACTCACCTCATGGGACTCCGGAACCCTATAGCCCCGAACATGCCACCCTTTTTTGGGGTCGTCAGCGGCTCGGGTGTGTTCCTCCCCGTACCCGCCTGGCTCACCATTCCCATGATGCCCTGCCCTATGTTCGCGCCCCCGCTCCCGGGGGCCTTGAACCTGTACTGACTGCCTGTCGCGTAGATGTCGTTGAGCATCTGTTCCAGCACGCCTGCGTCCACGAATTCCTCGTACTTCCGCCATAATTTTAGTGCGGTGGTGGCATCTTCGATCGAGTCGTGAGTGTCTTGCTGGATACTCTCTTTGAGGACGCACCACGCGAGGAACTTCAGGTTGAGTTTGCGCTTATACTCCGGAAGGAAAAACAGATTGCTCGTATCAACGACCTGGTTCTTAGGCACATGAATGTTGATTGTGCGGAAGTCATTGGCTAAGCTGTGGCCAACGAAGACACAACCCAGGTTGAGCAGGAGCCAGAGTTTCTTGTAAGCGTGTTTAAGACTGACGAGTGCGTGAGGTGAGGTCTCTCGATTCAGATCCCCGGGAGAGATACCTGACCAAGCGGTTAAATGGTCGACGACGGATTCGCTGACTGCAATATAGTCGTCGATGAAAGGTACGCCTGCGAGCTCCCCACTGCCACGACATACGGACACACGGGCGAGGCCCTTGCGATCGGGACGGATAGTTTGCCGAGTTCCGTCTGCCTTCATTTCTATTTCTTCAGCTTGAAGACGAATGAATTCTGCATCGATAGCAACGGGATAGCCGGGCTTGGGCGCTTCTGGTTGTAGTTCCAGGAGCTTGAACTTAGACTCACAAGGCGCAGGATTTGCTGACCACCATCTGTAGAGGATGGAAGTATCAAGATTGTTCTTCCAAGAGTCGTCGATTTTGTTCCTTGCTGCCTTAAGCTGGTAGGTGAGTACGGAAGGCAGCTTCCAGCCAGGCTCAAAGCGCAGCGCCTCTTCTTTCGGTATTGGCCTGACCAAGAAGTCGTTGAACAGATGCCACTTATCTTCTGTTGTCGCTTCTCGCGATGATGGAGCAGTGTTAATGGTGGCAACAAGGTGTGGCTTTTGATGCTCTCCACTATTGATATCGGCGACAACGCCTATCAGCTCAAAGACCATGATGTCGAATACGCCTCGCTGCAAGTGCAACTTCAGGTCCTGGCCTTCGAAGCAATAGAACTGGCCTTGATCTACAATGATGCCAATCTCTTGCGGCAACCAGTTCGGTATCGACCAAAGTAACTTGGCTTCATGGCTCTGGATCGCTGCATTGAGCATCAAAACTCCTGGTATGGTCTGGATTGTCTTCCTCTGCACCATTTGTTGATATCTGTTGCACTTGGTGCACCACCCTCGAGTCTGGTCTTGGCGTTCGACGCTAGCCTTGAGGATCTGAGAGAAGGTCGGGCGCGGTATTCTCGTGTTCTTCATAACGTGTTTCGCAGGATAGACAAGCTCATTGACGAAGTTCTTTCCGCCACGCGCGGTCTCGTTCGCGCACTGCGCACATCGCATGCTTGCTCTGGCTTGAGTCTCCAGTATGTGATCCATCGGCGACGGCCCTGAATTGGTTGGTAGCATCTGTCGGACCTCATCTGACATCTTGTCCAACAAGAATCGATTGAGATTCTGTACCATAGTCGTGAGGGCAACATTAGGTGCAAACTCTTCCAAGAGATTGAGAGATGCTGCATTGGAGAGACTGCTGAATGTCTTCAGGAAGTTAGAAGCTTGACAGTTCAGTCCTGCAGCCTTCTCGAGCATGTCTATCAAGAACCCCAGCTCGCACAGAATACACGACTCGAACAAACACGCTGATGCAGTGTGATGCAGTGCAATATTCCGGATCAGTGGTGTGAAGCGTAACACCTGCAGTAGGGAGTTAGCGTACGAATTGGCGATGTGAGTCTCCAGCCCTGAGTAAGGTGTTTGATTATAGTACCTGTAGGCAGGTCAGTGTCAGGCAACAAATGCTGAGTAATGATTGTGCATACGCGAAGTCGAAATCATCGACGCCAAATTTGCTGTACTTGATCTCCACATTGCCGTACATTGAAGGTACTTCTTTCCGTGTGACGTCTTCCAAATGCAGGTCTGTCAACGATTCCATTGTTTCAATCGCCTTAGCATCAGTGTCGCTGTTGTACGATTGCACTGCACGGGATTGTTCGCTCAGAAACTTGGGTGCCGACAGAGATTCTGTGATACGGTCTGAATGCCGTCTTGACTCGGCTTGGTTTCTCCTCTTCGTTCGAGGGTTCTTTGCAAAGAAGCCCATCTCGGTTCGCGACATACCGCTCAAAATAGAGGCATCAATCTTTGGTGGCGGTGTTCCTACTTCGTACACCAAATGGCTTGGCCAGCCAGATAGAAGGTTCTCTTTGTAGTATGGCATGCCAACTGTATTGAGGGGTCTGCATACAATTAGCAGAGCATTAGCTGAAGCGCGCAGACTGAGGACTCACGTATCTGGAGACCAGTCCATGGCAGGTGGTGGTATATGATGATCAGCAAACTCGGTAGGATTACTGTATTCTGGAAAGTGCACTTTCGAAGGGGAACCCCACAGATGAACTTGCCCGTTGCTATCGGACAAGGCGAAAGCTTCGCCCGAGGGCGCCATCTCGAAGCCATGTAGGTAAGAGTCATATAGGTTGATCTGTCGTAGGTTTGCAGCATCTGGGTTCATCAGGTCAATGACCTGCATCTGCCCATTATGCGATGCAATGATAGCAGTAGTCGACATGCGAGGGTGCATTCGAACAAAAGCGGCGCCAGTGTGGAAAGGGATCGGAGGCAGCTGCTTCAACGTCTTCAACGAAAAGACATGTGTGAACGGGTCGAGCATGTAGGCGTTCTGCTGCCTAGGAGACCAGCCACATGTCGCCAGGAAGTCTCCCTTTGCGTCCATATCACTAATACTACCAGTATGTCCGTCGAAAGCTTTGATATTTGAGAGCGAGTTCGAGTCCAGGATATGTATGCCGCCATTCTTGGTAGCTGCGCATATGTATTGGCCGGCACGCTTCATGATGGTGTACTGGGCTTCAGCTGGAAGCTGCATGGATTTAGCATGGTATATGATCGAGTGGTAGCGCATGCACACTCACAGTCTCGGTGATTATGCCCTTCTCCACGTCTACTTTGAACATCTGATCCTGGCATCCTGCGACAAGGATCTCTCGCGTGCCCTTGGAGGTGAAGTTCATGCATTTCAGGTCCTTGAACTCATTGCTCCTATAGCTCGTGCATCAGCATTCTCCAACACTTCTTACACCAAGGTCCCGAATCCAAACCTACGTAAGGTGCCATTGTGTTATGCCGCGCCGGAGGGCGTAGTGGACGCTCTGCTTAGAGACGGAGAGAACGCCCTTTTCGGTAAAGAGGAACTGCTTGACGGGCCCTTCGGTGGCGCCATGACCGCGGTATGAGGTATAACGTTCGAGGGTCGCGCCGTAGAAAGAAGTAATGCGCCCCTGTCTTGACGTAAGTTGATGGAGCAGGGTGGGCGCAGCATAGGTGCTCACGAGGCTATTGCCGGTCCACAGCAATTCTTGAGATGTGTCAAAAGCAAATGTCGCTACGGGCGTAGGAGGGTGGTGTGGTCCTGGAGGAGGCAGCTGCACGCATGCAAGCTACAGCTTCATCAGTTACTGTGCGCTGCGCGTCATGCCTCACAGCGTGTTCTGGGCGCAACCGGCATTGGTGGGCATACCTCGTCCCAGTCCGCCTCCATTTTGACAGCACAGTCGCCGAGATTATGTGCCTGTGACTCGGCGTTCCCATGCTCCAGAAACCCTCATCGTTCCCCAGGAAGCGAGTTGTAAGTCGTGATTGAGGTTGAAGCTACCGGCGCGTGAGGCGTGATTGGAGATCCTGCCCCACCTAACAAAGCTAACCAGGCGCCGAGGAGGCCAATTATGCAGCCTATCACGAAGAAGCGCGTTTATTATCCCTAATACCGAGACGCCAGATCATCTCTCCTACTTCATATTGTAGTTTCATGAGCTCCTTAAAGAAGTTCCACATGTTGTGCCGTCGCTGAAGCATATGTAACAACGTAGGTTTAGTGGGTGTCCTTGTCAGCCGACCAGACGGAAACAGCCTTTCCTTCGGTTCTTCTTGGCCATTATCATCGGTTTCATCTCATGAAGTTCCGATCTCTTCTACTGCTGTGCAGCAGCACTTCCCTATCCTCAGGCTGAGGGCGGAAACGACTCCCAGATTACCCAACGGCTTGAAATGACAGACGTATGCTTTGGCTGTGTTGGAGTTGGCAACCATGCAAAGAGTGTGCCATCTTGCCTTAGTCCAGATGGCTATTAAAAAAAGTCAAGCATGTTTCATCTAAAAAACTGGCTGTAAGCATATGCTTTGTAGACCTGCTTGATTTTGGCTACAATGTTAAATCACGTTAATGGCTACTGATATGTGAATCACAAGGCAAGCCTGATCTGTTGATGGGCAGTAGTTCTGAAACACAGAGACTCGACGAAGACCGTGACCAATGGTATCCAGGAGAGTGTGCTTGCAGCGACCTCTGGAGGCGGTAGACACTCTAGACAAGCGAAGTGTAGGTTAAACGAAGTCAGGATTCTTATAAACTCGAAGACGCCCACCACCCTAAGTACACTGCCAAAGAGACTGGTCACATCAAAGCCACCAACAAACTCAAAGCTACCAACCATTTTAAAGACAGTGATCGACTCAAAGACGTTGATCAAGTCTAAGACATCCTCTGTCGCACCTACTGGGACTCGTGGTGCGGAATTGATGTATCACGAAGAGGGTGGCAAAAAGAAGACACCGACAAAGTAATCAATAAAGAAGCCAGGAAATACAGCTTGCGTTGATACATATGGTGCCATGTTCGCCCGGGCGATCATACTGAACAAACTAGAGCAGGAACCACCTGCCACTCAACAACCGGTGTGTATTGAGCCACCAACTTCGGGCTTTAAAGAGAAATGAAGTACACTCGAAGTTTCCCGTTGTCAGATCTTCCAGCGTGACATCGTACAAAAGGGGGTTTCCACAACGATTAGCAAGAGCAAGGAAGCGTGCATAGGTATGTTACGTTGGAGGATACGCACCGGGTGCGACTGCGGCAGTAACTCTGGGGATTTCCAAGTGCTGGAGGTTCGAAGACCCATTTGATCCGAACCAACTAGAAGCCCGTCTGCAGATACGCAGAATAAACATAGATAAACCTCACCCTCCGCGTCAGAAAACCAGCTAATCAAAACCCTCCACAGACTGTCGACCCATACGTATACCTAGCAGACGATGACGGCACAATCGACGACGGCGTAACCGACACCAAGTAGGCCTGCGTCTCCCACTAGATCGACCCGTCTGTCATACCTTCGATGCACCGAAACCGGCGAGCTCAAACCACTTTCCGGAAAGGCCCGGAGAAGTCTCGCTGCGATCGATGTACACGTTCTTCATTGACCAGGAACTGCGCGACATCGCAGCGAAAGCGGCCACGGAAGCGGCGGCCGGCTTTAAGGCAAGGTGGGTGGATCCCAACCCCAAGACTGGTGTGGCGCGCACGCCCCTTACTGCTGCTGAGCAGGAGTGGAAGAAGGCGGCGTTTGATGCTGGTGGCTATGCTACGGGGGCGAAGATGAAAATCCCGCAGCCGAGCAACCTTTCGGCCGGGGCAAGCGTCTATACGAGCGTACGGGTGGAGCGATGTTTGTTTTGATACTGGTGGCCATGATCCAGCCATTGAAGCTCCTACCAAGATCAAGGAGGCATTGGTATGCTCGGAAGTCGATTACTGTTTGGAGTTTGGGATCGGAGGCACTGGATTAGAGGTTCACGTTGTGTAGGCGCAATGGAATGTGTTAGTGAATGCCATGGTGTAATGAAGACTCGTAGCTCGATCTATATGCATAGTTGTAGAGTTTTTATTGGGAGTATTTTGTACATGGGTTTTGGTGTGAAATTTTGGTCCGAATGCAATAACCGTGTTTCGAAGGGTCAGTGACGCCAGAGCACGATGGCTAGAAAAAGCCGCTTAACCTCCCCAACAGCTCGCCCAACTCATCACGAGTACAGCGGACCGCACTCATATCTGGCTGTTGATAATCCTCGCCGTATGCCTGGGCTAGCATTTCCAGATAGCTGGGGTGGACGTCCCAATATACAGCAAGGAATCCACCTTCACCTTCATTCCAGCAATCTTCGGGCTGGTCGATGATGATAATGGCCCGGTTCCACTGGTAGTGGCTACGGAGTTCGGGAATGTGGAAGTTGTCATCTCCGGAAGCCTCTCTTGCAGCGATCTCGGCTGAGATCTGAGCCTTGCACTTAGCGATTCTCTCCTCCTCGGACGCGTCGGCAGTAAATGGGATACCCCAGACGTCGATGCGATCAGGCTGGTCGCGGGTATTTACTCCACGCTTTTCACGCGTCTCCTTGTGAAGCTTCTCTGCCAAGTTTTTCAGGTGGTCCGGGTCGGCAGCGTTGGGCGTTGTATCGTAGATTTGGAGAGACGAATGGGGGCGTTTATCTGCGATGGTGAAGTCTGAGGCCGACCATCCCTGAGGAACTTTCACTATCTCTTCGCGCACCCAGACAGTATAGCAGGACGTACCGTCATGACTTGAGACTTCCTCGACGAGATATTGATCACGGGTTTGGATTGGTGGTACGCCGCCTGTCGATAGTCTTCTCTCCGGATCGTGAGACATGTTTGCAGAGCGCCGGAGCAGCTGAGTGCCAGAGTATGAATACAAGAGGCGTGGGTGGTGTTATGTCTGATGTTTTCGTTGGTGTCAGCCACGTTGTACATCCTCTTCGGGCGTTAGCTTAACCCACTAATAGAATGGCAACAAACATTACTTACCGTGTAAACAAAGCCCTACACTGATAAGTCCAGTTAAGGCAGAAAACCCATGATGTGTACCGCAAGTTGCGGTGACGGAACGCATCCATTCACGTAAACAAATTCTGCTGACTAGCTTATCTCTGATTATCTGTCTCAGAACGATACATGAGGCACTGCTGCAATTGAACATGCAAGACGAAATTTTGACATTGTAATTTTTGGATATGAAGGTATCTAGTGGTACTTAGAGACAACGATTATCAATCTGCCAGTATCGATGCCTCTGAAGCGGGTGAGTTGTCTTACCTAGCCTTCTACGTTCAATGACGTGTTGCCCATGTCGAGATGTCAAACCACAGCGTGAAAGTCGTATTGGGTATCAAACGCCTATTGAGCGAACAGCATTTAGTCTCAGGCACTTATAGAAATAGGAAAGGTTCAGAGCCCGGAGGTCGTACCGAGTAAAGGTGAATACCGAAACGCCGTAGGCCCTCGGGCCTTAAAGGTTGGGGATGTATGCTGTCCTAGAGAAGGTTAGCTTGGTTCGAACAGCGGTATCATGCCGATTGCGTCTGTAAATTCATGTACTTCTGCAAGCCAGGTTTGCACTGGTCACTCTTCCAAGGCACAACGTAAGCTAGGTTTAATGCTGCACATTTCTGAGAACGTACCTCGTTGAGAACGACTGTCAGCGCCGATGCGCTCAGAACTTGGCTTCATCGTCATCGTCAGCGTCTTTCTTGTGATCATAGCGCTGGCGTTTGTGGGTTTCAGTCATGCCCTTGCCAGAGCCAGTAAAGCCAACCCTGCTGCCAAAGGCGTTGCTTGTCCTGAACATGGAATCTTTCTTCGCGATCTTTTTTCCAACACCCTTGCTTTGAAAATCTTTCCAGTTTCCAACGCTCTTCTTCAGCTGTCCTTTGTTGGGCACTCGGTTGACGCGCTTGGGTTCGTTGGTAGCTGCGCCAAGCTTTGCTGCGTGGGCGTTCGAGTTCGGGTTGACACTGGCGGGGCCCGAGATTACGTGCGGAGTCGAGGTAGTAGGGGTTGCTGGTGAAGGTGCAGCGGCAAGCTCGGGCTCGCGCTTCCTCTTGCTCGGTAGCGGGCGCACACGGTCGCTGTCGACAGTCAAAGTATCGTCGTACTCAAGGAAACGCACAAGGTACTTTGGCGCGGATGCTGAACCAAGTTTGCTTTGAATCTTTGCCTTGTACCACGACCTGTCTGTCCATTGCGCCTCGCACGTGTCGCCAGCGTTGAAGGTTACAGGCTTTTCAGGTTCCTGCTTTTCCACGGCCTTCCTCAGAAGAGGATGCTTCTCGGGGTCAAATTTGGGTGCAGCAGGCTCAGGCGCTTGCGGAAGCTGAGCCTCGAGAGGGTCAAGCTGCGCCTGGAATCCTGCTATGGCTGCATCATGCGTCGCGACCGCTTGCTCGGCCTCTGTCTTCATGGCTTCCCATTGCTCACGGTCATCACCAGGACCCATTTGAGCCAACTCCGCTTCCATTTGTGAAATCTGGGAGCATATTAGCTGGTTGCCGTTGGGAGAAAAAGCTGTTTGCTTACCGTGACCGCCCACTCATCGCGCTTTTTCTCTTCATTCTGGATGTCGCGCTTGATGTACCAGATCTGGTCTTTGATCGCCTTGATTTCCGCCATGGTTGCTGCGCGTAGCCTGAGAAACAACTGGTGTTCGCGATGCTGGTGTTGGCGGGTGATGATCAAACGGACCGGCGCGGCGAAATTGACCTCCGCAGTCTTGGCGTTGACTCCACTCCTCGGCCCTCTCCTCAGCCCTACTACATGCACACAGGACAGTGACACAACGTGGGGATCGCTGTGAAGGTCTGGAGCAGCTGCACATCAGACACAACTTCGTCTGCGGGCGAGACAGAGCTGCGTGCAAGCTCAGTCATGCTGACCTGCCCCTCATCAAGGGTCGAAGCCAGCCATGGAGACCCCTCACTAGTCGTCAATGCACTTACGCTCGGACTCACCGCAGCGACTGCAGCAGTTGAGAGGCTCGTCTCAGTTTGTCCGTCGTCATCGATGATAAGCACCTGGTGGAGCAATATTTGACTGTGATTTTGCCTTGCCAGGAACAGGTGCGGCGATCAGCTCCTGCTCTTCGACGGCGTTCTCGAAACCCCACCAAAGCAGAGACCGCAGTTGATTGATAAGCGATCACCCCGTGAGTCTTTGACCTCTGCTGCGCCCATTTTGCTCCTCGCCCAGTCACACTTGCCCCACCCACCCAATCAGTGAAGCCCGCTCCTTTCTGCCGCCATATTCCGCCGGTGTGCGAATGCGCAATCCTTGCTCCGCGAAGTCGCCCGTTTCATCTGACAGGGTTCACCAGCGGGACTAGGCCTTCAAGGCAACGAGGCTACGTACAGGCGAATTCGCTGCCGTTCCTCCTCCTCCATCCCCTCGACACTTTGCGACGTAATAATTGCGGCGTCTCTTGAGATCTCCCACGGACCACATTGAGTGTGCTGCGCGCGCAGAACGCTCTCCAACCGCCCTTTAGCACGCTTACACCAACGTCGCCCTTGAGCCCGTCTCCGCTCTGACCCGCGTTTGCGAGCAGCTGGCCACCACCTTCTTGCAGCCCTCTGCGTCATACACACAAACATTCCGACCTGCACTGTGCCCGCAATCCTCCCCCCAAGCGGTGGTTCGGCGGGTGGCAAAAAAGCGGCTTTATTACAACAGATCGACCGACCTGACGGCGCGACCCAGGCCCGCGCAACGGCCCAACTATCCCAAAATCTCACCCACTTCGCTGCGACCGTCACCATGTCTGGCACTGGCAATGACTTTCAGAACGGTGCGCCGTTCTATCTCGATGCGACACAACAGGACCTGCTCCTTGCAGCTCTGGCTTCGAACAGCCAGAACCCAAATGATCTCTTCTCGGACATCAACGGATTAGATGGGAAGCAGGGTTTTGGTAACGATCAGTTCCAGTACCCTGTCAGCAACCTGGATCCCACTACTTTCTTCTCGCCGCAACAGAGCACTCCCGCCAACGCGTTCAGCACCATGGGCGTGGACGAGAGCCCCTTCATCGATTACCTCGACGGCGACACGTCCCTCAACTTTGATGCCGACAACGACGAACCTCGCATGATCGGTTCTCTTCCTGGTGATTCGCCTGAAGGTGACTCGAACGAGAAGCGCAAGAGCCCGTACGACGACGATGACGACGACGAAGAAGAAGGTGGCGGTAAGCGACGGGAAGGTGACGATAAGCAGGCGAAGAAGCCTGGTCGCAAACCACTAACCTCAGAGCCTACTACAGTACGTTTGCCCAGCAGCATCTGGAGATGGCGACTGACAGACATGTAGAAGCGCAAAGCCCAGAACAGGGCCGCTCAGCGAGCTTTCAGAGAGAGAAAAGAGAAGCATCTGAAAGACCTGGAAACCAAGGTCCAGGATCTTGAAAAGGCATCAGATGCTGCCAACCACGAGAACGGCCTTCTTCGTGGCCAGGTGCAGCGATTGCAGACAGAATTGCGCGAATACCGCAAGCGTCTCTCCCTCAATAGTGCTGGCGTCAACCGCACGGCTCCTGCAGCAGGCTTCAGTTCCATGCTGAACAACAGCAACAGCAACTTTCAATTTGAATTCCCACGATTTGGAGGCCTCCCGGGCAGTCAGCTTCTGGAGAATGGCCCGCTATCCAAGCCGAAGTCGGCCTCTACATCGTCGACCCGACCAGCTGTCCAAACTTTCAGTCCATCGAACTCGGCCACCGGATCTTTTGTTCAATCGCCGGTGGCTGGTGTCAGTCCTGCGGCCAACAGCTCCCGGTCAGGCAGCACTGCTAGTCCACGCAGCGTCAACAATATTCCACAGAAGCCTCACCGCAGTAGCACGGACAGCTCGGTCGTGTCACAATCGCGTGTTTTTCAGTTCAATAGCAGTCCATCGACGCACTCTGACTCTCCCTCCACCTCGTCTACCTCGCCGACAAATCAAGACTCATCGTGTGGCACTTCGCCAGAGCCGGGTCAAGCCTCGCCAGGCTTGAAGGACACGATTGCAGACGGCTATGTATGTCATGGCAACTCGGAAGGTGAGGTCTCCTTCTGCGAAAAGCTCAACATGGCCTGTGGCAACCCGCGCAATCCCATCCCTCGTGCCAAATCATTGTCCAAATCTGACGACAAACCATCTCCTGCAGTCACACAAGCCAAATCGCCTGGCCCCGATCTAAACGGGATCGATTTCTTTGCCAACCAAAACGGTGGTGCATTCGAGCCAAACCTTTTCGGAGAGTATCGCGATACAAACACTGCCATCATGGGCACCGATGGCGACTTCAACAGCGGCTTCTTCAACGATGCTTTCCTCAATACTGGCTATGGCAGCCCGTTCCATTTCGGCGACACGCCAGCTGTGCAGAAGCCGAACCCTCTGGAGCAGATTGAACGCATACAGGACGGCGAGGATGAGGTCGTGCCTGGTGAGGATATTGACCGGATGCTCAATTGCCACAAAATTTGGTATGTACCACAGCACTCAGCGATTTTTAGAATGTACTAACAACAAGCAGGGATAAGCTCTCAAGTCGCCACGACTTCAAGGACGGCACGATTGACATCGATAATCTGTGCTCGGAGCTTCGTGCCAAGGCACGCTGTTCAGAGAGCGGTGTTGTTGTCGACCACAAGGACGTCGAAGAGGCTCTCAAGCGCCTGCCCAAGGACCAGCAGCCGCAACAAATGTGGTCGCAGTAGACAGCCAGATTTTTTTCTTTCAATGTACCGGCTTTGTTTCGGCGATACCAGTCATTCGTTGGGCGCGATCAGCAGCCTTTGGAGTTTGTGACGATACGATGACATTCCCCGTTGGGACATTGGCGTTGGTGGAGCAGTGAGGATGAGCACTCAGATGGATCATTCCTTGAGGAGCATCATGGGGGCGATGGCTAGGCGTTGCGTTGGATCCAACTCAGCTTCATTCAGTCTGTAGTTCAATTGAAACTTAAGTAATTATCAAGGATTCGGCCTGCTCTCGCAATTCGGCCTTCGCTCTGGTGCAGACTTAGCAGCGCTGTTCCCTGTCGATAACGACCCAGCGAAAGCATACATTGCCTTCGTGACTTATTCTAGAAAAGTCCAGTCGCGCACTACCCTCTGCTGCTGCCCTGATCTTTGACTGTGGCATACATTCATTCATTCAATTTGCTTGTTTGCATGTGTGAAATCAATACCTTTTTGCGTTCCGAGATTACACCCTTGCTTCAGCCGCACGGCTCCGCGGCAAGGCTCGTCATCAAGGGGCCCACACCAAGTGATCCCCAAAAGCAGCTCCGCGAATGAGAGCCGTGACAGACGTTAGCTTCCGAAACAACCAAGCCTCATCTGCGCCAGGAAACAGGCTTGCGTACGCCAGATGTAATTCTTTCGTACGCGTCTTGACATGTGCATCCCCATTCACTCTTCACGATTGCCAACCTGGCGGACGGTCTCTTCACGGTCTTCCTCGACTTCGTGACGTAGTTGATCCAATGATTGGAAGCTGCGCCTCCTCATCAACATGTTGCGCATTCTACGAAGCCCCAACCCATTCATGAACGGACACGCGATCAGCCGCCCTCTGAGCCCCCCTTCGAGCCCTCGACAATGGCTCCGTCTCCTCCTGGTGATTGCCGTCATAGGTGTCGGCGTCAATCTCCTGTTCTTTCTCGACTCCGCCTTTGTTGAGAAGCTCCCGGGTCAGATCTTGGGTAACCAAGCTTTCCATCCCAAGCCTTTCGAGCCCGCACCGCATAGTGTCGAATCGCAGAAGGAAGATAACGGGCAAGATTATTGGCTATGGGAGACCAAATCGCAGTTCTACAAGAAGGAGAACATCGACTGGAACGTCGGGATTATGGACGAGTGCTTCCTGTTCCCCAAGCACCTGACAAAGAAGAAGGTGCAGGTTGTAATCAAGACTGGTATAGCGGATCATCCAGCACGGACGGACGCAATGGTGAACACGATCATCAAGTGTATACGAAATGTGTTGGTCGTCTCGGACGATGACCACAGGTACGGCCCATTCCAGGCTCACAACGTGCTGGCCAATCTTCCAGCAGAGACATACATGAAAGAAGAAGATTACGCCATATACGAGGCGCAGCAAAGTGCTACGCGCAACGGCAAAGAGCTGCACCAAGGCCATGAAGGGTGGCAAATCGACAAGTACAAGTTTTTGCCAGCTGTGGAAAGGGCGATGGATCACAATAGTCAGGCAGAGTGGTACGTCTTCCTGGAATCCGACACTTATTTGTTCTGGGACAACATCTTCCGCCTTCTTGACAATTACGATCCTTCATTACCGTACTTCTTCGGCTCGCCTGCGCCCGGGCGGAAATACCGCCCCAACCCGAAAGCTGAAGAAGAAAAAGAGACCTGGTTTGCATATGGTGGCTGCGGTTTCATACTCTCAAAGGCTGCTGTGCACAGACTGGTCGATCGCCCGCGCAACGCTCTCGCCGTGATGGGTCCCCGGCTTACGACCGAGTACAAAGAGGACATCAGGAACGATTGCTGTGGCGACAGCATACTGGGATGGGCACTTCATGACAAGGCTTCCGTGGACATCAGTGGCCTTTGGCCCATGTTCAACCCGCACAGCCTTGAGGATGTGCCGCTCGGCAAAGACTATTGGTGTCAACCTGTCATCAGCCTACACAAGACAGGTCCTTCGCCTATGAAAGACCTTTGGAGCTGGGATAACGAACAACACCAGCAGCACGAACGGCCCTTGTTATACAAAGACTTGTTATTCTCTTTTCACGCCAACTTCTCACAGCGCCAGGATTGGGACGCAGCGTTCGATGCAGGCTTCCAACTGCACGACAATCACACAGTACACTCAAGCCTCGAGGCCTGCGAAGCCGGCTGTTTTGCACACGACGAGTGTTGGCAATATACCTGGCACGGGGACCACTGCTACTATTCGAAAGCACTATACATTGGGCGCGCGAAGGAAGCGGACGGCTATCACGAGGCAGAGAGCCGCAAGTACATCAGTGGCTGGGACATCAACAAGATACAAACTCTGAGTTTGCAGAATAGGTGTGAGGATGGCGGACACTGGGTAAAACCTAGTATCAAGAGGAAGTACTGAACGCCTAAGATCGTAAACATGGGGTCGCGCGATGGTTGTATCCACTGAATCGCCTATGATCAGAATGGACGGCCCGAGCCTCTAAGTCTTCGAATTTTGACTCAGGCCTTGGGGAAATCGGATCGCGGTGGAATCTGCACGAATGACACATTCGCGTCGAGGCTACGGTGGGCTAAGTGATCGAATATGGAGACCGAGATCTTGACAGAAGCTACATAGCCGACGGCAGACGATTCCGATAAGCCACAGGGTCTGGATGCGCAGCCTCGAGAAGCCACCGGAGATAACCGAGTTGTGTCGAGTAAGTTTAGCGTTTGCTGCATGCAGTCTGCAGAGCATGCAAATTCTGAGCCATGTACATACGTCGAAGGGCACATCATGTCCAACTTTACCACCGCTAGAAGCGCATACGTAATAATCTTTTGTTGAAAACCAGAAGTACCTCACTGCTAGCCTTCTACTCGACTCTTAGACAGACCGCATCCCTACAGTGTCTAGCTACAGTGTCTAGCGTTTGCTCACCTACGGACAGTCCGGCGTTTGACTGCACTTATAGTAACCTGATCGTTCGCGGAATTGAGAATGAATCGGAACTCAATTCTGTCTCCACGTGGCTACAGGGCAGGTGAGCCGGCGGAACATTATCCTAGCCTCAAAAATTCAGCCCACGGAGCTTGGACCCGGGCCAACGTTATGATCGCGTCGAAAAGCCTATTCGTCTTGCGCCACTAGACGTCTTATTTCAAGCCGGGGTCGAAAATCCTGACAGTGTGGAGTTGATGCACCGTCGGAGGTTCGCTATCTGAAGCCAGCCGGACCCGACTCCGCATACAGTGATGGTGGCAAACTGGTTTAAAGTTCACTCCAAAACAGGACGACAGCGTTAGAGTTGCAGGCTCAACAATGAGCTGCATAGAGGCGGAATTTCCGTTGCGTAGTGGTATGTGTGGAAAACGAGGCTTGACTAGGTACATTTGCCTCACCTCGAGCCAACGTCCTCCCTCTTTCAAGAACCATTGGGGAGGGCTCTTTATGTCCCTCTCATAGCGAACAACCACCAACCTTGATCATGTTGCGATTCATGACCTACCTACCCTGGACGCCGGTCGTCGCTGGTGCTGCGGTTCCCAGAATGTTGATGGAGGCTGCGGGGCTGCCTGCATCACTACACGGAAGGGCGGACAGCGGGCGCACTATAATCACAGATCCTGACACAGGGCGGTCATTTGTGGCCGGCGAGACAAGTACCGACCGAACAGTGTACAATGCCGTTGCTATGTTCTGTATGATCGTCCTCTCTGTCTTTCTAGGTAAGTCACCGGTTACTTGATCAGTCTAAAGGCTGAGAGGGGTATGCGTCGTGTGAAGTGAGATGTACTGACGTTATATGAAAGGATTTCGATTAAAGACTCTCCGTAACAATGTCCTTCGCAAACGCAACTTTACCTCCGTACTGGTCGTCATCCTGTTCATCTTCGGCTTGGGCTTCATTATCTGTGCATCCGTTGTGCAGACGGGTCAAGGTCTACGGACACATCAGCTATGCTACTCGGCCGCAATGATATGTCTAGTCTTCTACACCGGCAACAAGCTTACCATGTAAGTCCATCGAAACTTCAACCCCCAACCTAACTAACCTCCACAGCTATATCTTCCTCCTCGAACGCGCTCGTGTCGTCCGGGCGCCATTCATGCCTCGTCTGAAGGACCGCGTATGGCTCCTCGGCATGTTCGTGATATGTGGTGGATTCGGTGCCATCGCCATTGTCGGATATCTGTCTCCTGTAGTCGAACTCAGCAAGCTGGACGGCCGATGCCGCATCGGACTCCCACCGCGGGTCAGCTTCCCACTCCTGTGCTTCGATGTCGCGGTCAACTTTTTACTCACTGGCGTCTTCTTCTGGCTCCTTCGCCCAGTTCTGGATTTCCACAACCTGCTAAATTTGAATACGTGGTTTGGAGTCAGGCTCACTAATAAAGCAAAGAAGACCATCCGGAAGCTCGAGCCAAAGGATAAAACTGCGCCAGAAGAGAGTCCGAGTCTCAAGTCCGACATGAATAAGAACATCAGGATTCTGCTATGGAAATGCTTGATCGGAAGCACTCTCGTTATGCTCCCGACAGTAGCGAACATGGCGCAATTCTACGTCATGAACAGCAGGGAACTGGGCTGGGTCTGTCTGACAATATGCACGCTCGATGGTCAGTCTGTTTCCTTCCAAGCGCCAATAGAAATGCTAATGTATACACAGTATCATGGGGCGTCGTCATTGTCAACTGGCTTACCATTGGCTCTGCCGAAGCAGAGCAAAACCTCACGACCCTCCAGTCGCAGCGCAACGGCCAGCCAGGCGCCAAAGCCGACCATATCGATACCAGTCTTGTCACGCGCGACGATGAGCCAAGCCAACAGCAGGAAATGGAAACGCGCACACGGCAAGCGAGCGCGACAACAGCCGAAGTCCCAGTCTTTTACAAGGCAGCGAGCCTGAAAGATGAAGGGGGCCTTTTGAGACATGACGGCGTGCGGGAGAGCTGGATCCAAGAAGTGGAGATCGATGTGGAGTCGGCCCACGCACCCCAGCTAGCAGAACCGGGGGAGAACTGGGGCGAGTCGAGCAGGGGCTGGGCCGAAGGGAGCAAGATGTGGATCACCGTCAATGACAAGGTGGTCAGAGGCCAGAGTAATGAAGCGAACTCGGGGCCATTCAGGAATTATCGACTGGATGTGTAATGTTTTTGGGACAGATGGAGTGGTGATTGGCATTCTAGGTGTAATTGGGCGGATCTTGTGCAGCATAGTTGGCGTGACATATACCCATGCATTGCTTTTATCGAACATTTAGATTTCTTTGCTTCATCGACTGCTTTTTCGGACCCAATCACCTACCACTATAATAGCTTTTATAGCTTGTATATATGGACACGACTCTCGCCCATATGCTCTGCGCAGGCCCTTTGACCCAGGAATTCGTTTGCACTTCTGGCGGCTTACCTGCTGATCTGATGTGGTAGCTGGATACTATGGATGGAGTGGTCTGCACGACCCGCCAGACACCAATACACCTCATGACCACGACACCATAATCTGTTGCTCCTCCTCCTCCTCAACCTCCTCATGCCACGCCTGCTCATCACGAAACTGCTCCTCCAACATCGGCGTTGAAGCTTCCACCTGTCTCAGCAACGACTCATGGTACCACTTCAACTTACCGACCTGCTCCTCCCACCCATGTCGCTGCATATGCGGCGTCAACAACCCATGGCAGAAATAGTTCCGCGGCCACACAAACCCCATCTCGTCTGGCAGTCCGAACGAGCTCAAACATTCCGTCTTGAACACCTTAGCTAGTGTCTCCGAGACCGCGTTGTGGTGGTGTGTGAACATGATCTGGTCCTTCGCGAGCGCGGAGAAGCTGAACTGCGCCGCAATCGCGATGCCAGCCTCGGTCTCGGCGTCGCTGTCTTGCCACTTGCGGTCGGAGAAGTTGGGGATGAGGTGTGGTGTTGAGAAGGCGCTGGCACTGTGGGCGTTGAGGATGGCATTGGAGGCTCGCAGGTGTGCGCGTAGGTGGTGGAAGTAGGGGAGGGCGGTGCGCAGGCGGTAGCGGGATGTGGTTTCGTACTGGGTTTCTTCGGCGTCATCGTAATTGATGATTACGAATGCTACTTTGCGGACGAGGCTGTCTTTGGCGTTTTGGAGACGGTGGGCTTCGATTGTGGCGGGATCGATGTACCAGTCCGGGTCGATGGCTGCAGGGGGGCCGGCTTCGTGTTCTATGGTGGTGGACTCGTTGGTGTAGGCTGAGTCGTCACAAGTGTTGGTCTCGATGTATTGGTCTTCAGTGGAGGTCTCGTTGTCACAGCTGGTGTATGGTTCGACATAATCCTCCTCGGTGTAGGTCTCATCGTCGTAGGTCCAGTCGACGTGGTCGTCGTAGGTCGAGTCGACGTGGTCATCGTCGGTGGAGACTTCATTATCATAGATCGAGTCACTGTACGCTGTGTTCTCGTCAGATAAAACTGATATAGATGGGTCAGTCGATACCGGGGTGGTCCGTACAGTTCCAGAATCAGATACCATCTTCTTGGACAGCGCAAATGACTTCCTGATGGGGTCGATGGGAGCTTGATAGCGCGAGAATTTGGGAAGTGCCTGCACTTCTACGTCGTGGACGCTGGTAGACAAAGTTGCTTTCGGTGGAGTTGGTAGTAATGTAGCTTAAGGGGTAGTAACTAGAACATGTGCATATAGATCGATCTTGAACTGCATCGTGAAGTGATCAGTGCTTCAATGCGGAGGCCCAAACCGACCCACAAGATCCTTTCCACATTGTGAACAACCAGTCGCATTGTTGATCATTGGCTGGAGTCTTTGTGTGATCTGATCAAACATACTCAACCCAGATACCTGAAACGCTCTCATCGCCCGCATCGAGTCGCTCTCTCGTACCCGAAGATTTGCCTTGCCCAGCTGGTGCAGCAAGCACAACGTCGCCATACCAGTACCCTATCTTCTCCAACCTTGCCTGCTCTTCTTCGTCCTTCGATAATCTGAGCACCACCTTTGCCCCTTCATCTAGTCCCTCGACTGTCTTCACTCTGCTCGCCTGAAAGTTCAACTCGTTCCCTCTTTGCACGCCCTTCTTCCCAAATAGCCTTGCATACACCTCGCCCGTCTCGCTCAGTAGCTGCTCATCACGCACAACTACTGTGAGCTCCTTCACGCCCAAAATTCCAGACGAGTGGGCGGTTTTCTCTGCACTAAGCGGAACACGAACTTGTCGTTCCGTGATATCGTGACAGAAGAACGGCACTCGTCCTCGGCTCGCTTGCCCTCCATGCTCGCCCTTGGGAAACGTTACAGCCCACTTCACATCCACACCATCTGCTCTCTTTCTCCCACCTTCGACTGGTTCGTCATGACTCCCTTCACCGCCACCTATCGCTTGCCAGCTGTCCTTTGGTGAGAGCTCGTTGATGAGGCACCAGTCCATCCATCCGAATTTTTGGACACCGGATGCCCACCAATGTGACGATACATCTTTCTTGGGGTTGATGAAAGATACAAGCTCGATGTAACAGCCATCAGTAAGGAGGATCAGGATGTTCGAGGTTAGACCGTCGGCGTGAGTACCACCAGGGGTAAGGGTGAAGTTCTTCTCGAAGAACGAGGGGAGCTTGGGAAAGGAAGTCGATGGGTCGACGGGTAGGAATAGAATCAGATGATCGAGGGCTTGGGTCACTGCCATGGCTGATGGTAGGTTAATGCTTGTGGTGAACTCGTGGTGATGAATGCTGGACGTTCTTTCTTGATCCGGATATGGATGGTTTCCAAACCAAGCGTTCGAGGTTATATACCTAGGTACCTAGATACCAGTGAGTCATTCGGTCCGAATTCGAAGGATCAATTAAAGGTCGTTCTAGGATGTTATGGAAATACTGACTCCATACAGTGGAAGTTACGCGCTCGGGAGGGGTCCGTAGCGGGGCGGGGCTCGTAGCGCCATTTTCATCCGTCATCACATCAGCTTACATCGCAAACTACTTCCTCACTTGCGTTATGTACCTAGCCTTGTGCCAATGTCAACATTGTGCTCTTAGGTGCAATAAAGATTTCCAGCTGGAAGATACCAATCAAAGTAACTATACTCTGTCAGACACACCAGAGACCGTCATCGCGATTCTTGTCATTTCCGGCTTCCAGGCTGTGATGGACCCAGCAGCCACATAATTGTCGATTGCAGTCGATCGAATGCACCTCCTTTCTAGCTTTACCATCACAGATTGGGGGGCGAGCTACTAATGTCACCAGAGTTATCAAGAGTTCAGGGTTCCAACATCTACATTTCCCAGCCTCTCGCGATTAGATAGTCATCCAACTTCCAGCCCTCCGTACCTTTCTTCAGATATGGAATATTTCTATACCTGTGCGTCGGGCGTCGATCACTTGGACTTTTTACAATGTGTCAGTAGGCTAGTAGCGCAACCAACCAGCTGCTCTACACGAAAATGAGACACATCTACGATGGGGCTAGGCTCTATGCCTTCAAAGTAGTCGCTCTCAGAGACGCCGTTCCCCTTTGATTTGCGATGAAGCAGCTTCAGCAACTGCAAGACTTGCAATGATGCTGTAGTTGGACGCAGAAGTGTTATCGTATCCTGGAGACCAACTGCATAGCCACACTCACATAAGAAACGCTTCTTAGCTTTGACTTATATGACGAGTCACAGCGTTGGGTACGCTTGACCGTCCGAAAGTTCACTGCTGACAACGATCAGAACAAGAGTGCTTTTGCCCTGCCATCTGCTCGGGAGTCAACGAGCAACGCCTCATGCCATCTAATCGTGATGATGCGTACATACATTGAGCTTTCTCTCTACTCTGACGTGGCCTCCGCTTGCTTCCTCTCTCGTTCAGCCGGGTGTGCTGTCTTCTCAGGTAATATAGTACGCCCACCACCAATCGTTGGCTGATGCAACACATCACCAGTGCTTCGGTTGGACATAACGGCTTTAGAGAGAACTGAAACCAGAGCTCCAAGTGTAGGATCACCAAGATAGTGGTCGACGTGATTCAGGGGGCTTCCTCGAGGGTTGTATCAACGTATAAGAAGACCATTGGGTCATGCTACATCTGTGTATCTGATTCTCAACAATTACATGCTGAGTCATGTATAGACAATCGAGATCTCGGTCAGATTCGTATTGCAAAAGAGGATTAATTTGATCGTCACAAGTTGAAGAGCGACACGTTCACAGACCCACTTCTCCTGACGATGCAGGGTCCAGACTAGCGCCAGTGCATCAGGCAGGCACAGAATTGTGCAACCACCATCAATCACAATCACGACTCCCTTCGCGATGCACTTCCTTCCTTCCTCCGCCATGCAGCGGACACAATGAACAGCTTCAACTCCCGACCGTTCGCTCGCAACACATCCAAAACATTCCGCCCCGCATTCGATTACCTGACCAATATTTCGCGCTCCGTACAACTCCCAACAACGTCAAAACAAACCTCGAAGTTCTCGACCTCCACAACGCACCGCCGAAAAACGACCGCGGACTCCATCGATGACATAGACGACGATATCGAAGCAGCCAATATGTCCAATTTACGCTCGCATTCGCGACACACCTCCCAAGAAGCAGGCGCCGGCCTCGCGCCCGCCATTCCCCTCATCGACGTCGCCAGCCGCTCCACGTCCCCCATTCCCTACCCGCGCTCCCGCAGCGCCGCGCAGAGCGAGGACGAGGATGATGAATACGAGCTCAGCAGCAGCATACGACCGCTCGTTGGCGGCGGCAGAAACGCGCAGTATGAGCGCGGCGGCTGGAAGATGATTTTTCGGCAGGGCGGGCTGGGAGGCTATTTATTTGGCACGTGGCTGGGCTGGCAGATTTGGATTGGGATACTGGTGTTTTGGGTAGGCGGGTGTGGATTTGGGCTGTTGCTCATGAATCGATTCATCATGCTTACGGGGGTGTACAAGTGAGTGCTCGCGACTGGTGATGGGGCAGCGATTGGGACAAATCTGGGTGCTAACACCAGTTGTAGATTCCCGTTTCCCCTAGCTGGCACGTATGTCCAGCTCATACTCACACATGTCTTGCTCGTGGGTTTCTCGAGCTTGACGCGCGGCCTCGGTAGCCCGTTGAGACGCCTGGGGCTTGGTGCTGCTGTTGCGCCAGCAATTCCAGTTGCGCCACAGGGTGGAGCGTTCAGGAACGTAACTACGAAGTCTGGCGTCGCGAGGTTCCTGCGCTGGCTGAGCAACGGCACCGGAGGCATCGCTGGTGGCGGCCTATTTGAGTTCGACTACAACATCGCGAAACAGGTGCTCCCTCTCGCTGTCGTCTTTGTTGTCAAAGTCTTGCTCAGTAACTTCTCCTTCGCGTAAGTATCCTTGCGTTCTCTGTATCTTATCGCGGCCTGACAACGACTAGCTATGCTCCCCTACCCGTCTACCAGCTTGCGCGCATCGGCGTAACACCTCTCTCCCTGATCTTCTCCTGCGTCTTGCAGAAAGAAACCATCTCTGGCTCCACACTCTCCGCCGCGCTCATCGCGACCCTGAACCTCTTCTTCGCGACCCTCCGCTCCAACGTTCGTGTAACATGGGAGTCCATCGTCGCCGGTGTCTTCTCATCCTTCTTCGCCGCCCTTTATCCGATCCTCCTGCTTCGCACATACCGCACGCTACTCGCCGGCCTCATCCCGCAAGGCGACGTTTTGAGCGGCTACCCCACACGCAGCGAAGAAGATGCGAACCGCGAAGAGACCCGTGCCTACTACCGCACTCTACACTACACCTCCATTCTGTCCATCGCGCTCCTCACCCCCATTATGCTACTGAGCGGCGAACTCGGGAACATCTTCCACAACATTCCCTTCCTGGACGTCCCGTTCTTCTGGCTGATGATCTGGTGCGGTGCGATCGGCAGTTGGGCGGTATTCAGCAGCACGCTCGTGCTAGTCAAGGCGACAAGCCCGCTGTCCGCGACGTTCGTCAACGTGCCGAGAAGTGGCGTACAGCTTACATTGCTCAGCATGTTCAAGATGCCGGCGCACAGCTGGGTGGGCGTTGTGCTATGCTGGGCAAGCAGCGTGTGGTTTGCAGTCAGTCGGCGGAGGGAGAGCAAGACGAGGGTCAGGCTCGAGGGGCGTTAGGTACGGCTCTCCATAGAAATGGTCAGAAACAAAGCTTTAATTTTTGAAAAGACCAACCGCACATGACGCTGCACGCATGTGTCTTTAGTCGCCAGAAGCCGTTTGCCCGCCACAGAAGTACTAATCACATGCACCCCATTCCGCAGATATAAACTCCGCTTCGGCGCTCATGCTTCCTTCCACATCATGCAACGCATCATGCTCTCGAAAGCTAGCCATGCCTCTGAACTATGAGGACCTCAAAATCCACGGCTTTGGGCGACATGGCCTTCTAGGCTCTCTGCGCTACACATCTTCCCAACAATCTCGAAACGCAGTCACCTATCTTACATATCTGTCAGTCTGTTAGTGTGCTTCTTCTCCCGCTACACTGGGTGCATTGAACTGAAGAGGTAGTTGACGAACAAGATGTGTGCTTCTTCTCTCCTGCTGCAATATCTGCAGCAAACCCAAGACATGTCCTGTGTGCAGCGATGTCACTCCTTCTTTACTCTCTGCACAGACTCCCCTCCCATTTCGAAATGCTGAATGGGATAGGCAATGTCTGTCTCTGTGTGTCTTCTCTCACTGCACTATCTGCTCGCTCATACCTGCCTCTGAGTATCGACTTTGCGTGCCAGAAAGGAGTTGCGCGTTTCCTCGGTCCTCTTGATCGAAAGGTCAAAGAATTCTGGAAATGTGGAGGATCAAAAAGTCACATCGAACGCCACTTGTTCTGGCGACTGGCCGCTTAAGTCCCCGAGCAAATTACGATGGGAGCGAATCGATGTCTTCTTCCCGCTCCTCTTCCCACTCTTCTCTCTGCTCTTGTGTCTGCCAAAACTCAAACAATGAAAATTCAAACAGCTTGCGACACCATGCAATGGGCGACTTTCGACTATTGAGAATCCCCGTCTGGGATGATCGGTCTTCTCCCGAGGAAATCACATCGTATACTGCTCTCAAATTCTAGTCGAGAATATGAGTTACGAAACACACATGTTCCTGGACTGGAACATCTACAGTGCATGGCAGTAACAACTTGAAAAGCCGTCGAGTTTGAGTCGAACTCTTCTATAACAACCTCCTCTGTATCTTTGAAATTTGTAAAAACGGGACTTCCATTCTGGTCATGTTGTCGAAACAAAGACTCAACAGATGCATGTGCGTTTTGCCTCTTGCTCGAGGCTATCTGAACAAATCACTCATGTTCCTCATGAGCCTCTAAAGCTGCGCCTAATACAGTGCATATCTGCCCTGCCTCTTTCTTTCAATCAGAGTTGCTTAGTTCGTGGTCAAAAGGGTCAGAATGGCTCTGCATGTCTGTTTCTTCTCGAGCTCGGTATCTTAGCACCATGACTGTGCTCTTTTCTCAAATCTGAGATCCTCCATCTTCTCAATCAAAATCGTCTTGTGAACCAAAAATTGGAAAGTGAATCCACCATGACGAACGTTCTGCTGTCGCTGTAGTGGGTTGAGAAGCTCCCTCTCAGTCCGTGTGCCGTCCTCTGTATCTCTTCTACACGAAAACAAACGAATAGAGTACCCATTATTTCTGCCTCCTCCCCTCCCCAGATCACCATCGCCTCTCTTCTGAACACCCTCTATGCCAAAGATAAAGATAGCACAGTACATGTCTACCACAAACAGACTTTGGGTCGAATGATGATCTTTGCTCCGAGAATACTGGTCAACTACAATGCATGGCCGCTACAAATATGGTTCCAACAGCGAATTGGCCTCTGCTCTGCAACACCACGCAAACTGGCAAATGGAGAACCGGCCACCGTATCTGCACCTTTATGCTGTCTACTTAAATTGAAAGACCACTCCTACATGTCCTCGCCGCGGAAAAGTGCAGATTATCTGATCGAGTGTCTGAGTCCGGGGAATCGCACAGAAGGAATGCCAATGACACTTTTGAAGCGCGAGTATCATCACCCGCCTTCAAGATTGCCAGTTGCGTTATAATAAAAAGCAAGATGTGGGAAGCAAACGACCGCGGAGGGAAAACGGTCTTGAATCAGTTTTCATGTCTGTCGGAAGTTGTTGACTGGCGTGCAGAACCGACACTGCTGCTTCTGCCCTAAAACACCTCTCCGCCTGCTGCTTAAGGCTCTCCTTTATTCTACACAAAAAAAGATAGTTCCATATATATAATGTGTGTGTTCTCTAAGCACCGTATCTGCCTGAAACCTCTCCCGCTGACTGCTCAAAAACACAATACCACACCAACTGTTCCCGACACGAAAAAAGGCCACTTCAGGACGATGTGTGTCTCCCGACCATCAGAGTCGATCCACCATGCGAGTACCGTTTCACATCGTCTCTGCACCCAAACCTACTTCCCTACTCCCTGCTCAAAATTGAAAAGGGCTCACTGGAATGTTCCTGACCCAAAACAGAGCATACAGTCCCGTAATCTGTGTTTCCCAAACCCTCTTCTATGAGCATATGCGTGCTTGAGAACTAGCCGACTGGGTTGTTATGTGTTGTTCTCGAAATGCCTTTACCGTCACCGGGATGTTGCGGCATTGCTAGCACTGTCTACCATCTACCATCTACCTTCTACCCCTCTCTCTGTATTCAAAATCCCACTCCACTCCGCGGTAAGAAACGCAAGCGTTCCGCAATTATGCGGTGTCTGCGGCAAGAAAAACTCCTGCTCCAGATCAATTGGGTGTCCGCGGTGTCTGCGGCCGATGTAAAGTAGGAGACGGTGTGACTCGACTGCCTCCCTGTAGTTGTGTGCACGGAAAAGAGAATCCAACCTCTACATGGACGCTGATTCTGGCAATTGAATGCACATGTGTGCCGTCCTTTCTGCTGCAAATGAATACTTGGCTGCACCACGTGATGACAATCACAAAGCGAAGCCTCTTATGTTTGCCCTTTGGCCTGCTGGCGTTGCATGAAGGCGCGTGACGGCGAGCAGCCTTCTGATCTGTACGTTCAGTGACCGTGCCCAACATTTCGCGGCTCGATATGAGACTCATAAAGTTGCGCACTTCACACATGGTGGAGACAGAGCAGGGCAACCTAGATCGACAACGTTAATCCTCGTTTGTGGACACTGATGAACAACCCACATATCACTCAGTAGCACCCAGTGTTGTTCAAAGATCTATTGGATTATCCGATACACCCGTTAGATCTACTGCCTGTCGTATCCATCGCCCACATCATGCACCATACACCATGCATTTGCCATCATTACCCTGTTGATAAACAACCGGTATCGAACGTAAGCCAGCCAGAGTTGTAACAGCTGCTTTGAGGTATCATACTGGAAATCCATCGTTCCACCCATATCATGTCTGTCGTCGCAGACACATCCATCTATGATACAAAACAAATTAAGGAACCATCGAAAACCCAACTCATTAGATCGAGATTGGGGGCGACCGACGTCCAGTTAAGGGGTCGGTGCCAAGAGAAGGAGGAGACCGCGTCGAAATCGTCAGAACTTTTGGGTGCATTCGTGAAGCCGTCCGCCATCGTAAGAAGAGCCATAAACCGTACGCCGTTCGCCATTAAGAAGCTGCTGGAACCATCGCGGGTCGCTGTCGATCAAGAGTGATACGGAGCGAGTCCTACTCGGAAGCAACTAGAAGAATTTAAGCCTTGGTCTCTTCCTTGGTCTCCTCCTTGGGGGCCTCCTTCTCGCCCTCACCGTCCTTGTTCTTGACGTATTCGTCGTAGACGCTCATGGCCTCGTCGACCTTGGCGCGGAGAGCGGACTCGTCGGAGGTGCTGCGACGTGTTAGTATTGGATTAATGAATGCAGTGGAACGTGACTTACAGGTTGATGAGCTCGCTGTTGTCCATCTCGAGGAGCATACCGGTGATCTTGCCGGCCAACTCGGGCTGGATCTCGTGGATCTTAGGGTAAAGCGCCTCGCCGAGCATCTGCTTCTGCTGTCCGACGGGGGCAGCATTGAGGACGTTCAGGTCGATACCGCCAGCGCGGGGGAAACCAGCCTGGGGACCCTGGCCGGGACGGCCGTTAGGACCACCACGGCCGCCCTGGGGGAAGCCTTGGCCACCGCGCATGGCAGGAGCCATCTGACCCTGAGGCATGCCGGGCATACCGGGCATGGGGCCGGCGCCGCGACCGCCGCGACCGCCCATAGCCTGCTGAGCCTGAGCAGCGAGCTGCATGTACTGAGGAGTCATGTAAGGAGCAGGGAAGCCACCGGGAGCCATGCCAGGGGGCATGTACATAGGAGGCATCTGCTGGGCGTTGGGGCCACCACGGCCACCCTGCTGAGGCATACCGCTGGGGAAGCCACGACCGCCCTGCTGTCCAGGCATGCCGGCGGGGAAGGGCATCTGGCCACGGCCACCAGGAGGGTACATCATGGGCTGACCAGGAGCGACGAACATCTGGGGCATGCCGCCGAACTGCTGCTGCTGTTGCTGCTGCATGCGGAGCTGGTTGCGAGCCTGGATGGTAGCCTCGAGCTGGTTCTTGCGGACATCCTTGCGCTGGGCAAGAGCGACGTAGAGGGGCTTGCCGTCGAACATGCGCTGGTTCATGTCGGTGACAGCCTTGGTGGCCTCATCGGGGTTGCTGAAGCAGACAAAGCCGAAGCCCTTGCTCTTGCCGAGAATCTTCTTCTCGCCCTTGATGGTGACCTTGTCGCCAGCCTTGGTAGAGTCATCCTTCTTCTCGTCAGATGACTCCTCCTCCTCCTTCTTCTCCTCGACCTCCTTCTCCTCGGGCTTCTCCTCAGCCTCATCCTTCTTCTCCTCAGAGTCTGAATCAGCCTTGGCACCCTCAGCAGGGACGGCATCACGCATGACCTTAGCGGAGGTGATGGTGCCGAAAGGAGTGAACATCTCACGGAGCTTCTCGTCATCAACCTCGTCACCAAGGTTCTTGATGTAAAGGTTAACGCCCTGGTACTTGGACTGCTTCTCGAGACGGGCAGCCTCGTACTGCTTGCGGAGCTCCTCCTCACGCTCGTGCTTCTTCTGAGCGCGGCCAACGTAGAGCTTCTGACTCTTGAAGTCGGTGTCGTTCAGGGAATCGACGGCAGTAGCGGCAGCCTCGTGCTTGATGTAGTTGACGAAACCGAAACCACGGCTCTTGCCCTGGTCGTCCCTTGCGATGGACGCGGAGGTGATATCTCCGTGCTTCTCGAAGAGCTCACGGAACTCGTCGTCAGTAACATCAAGGTCGATGTTCTTGACATAGATGTTGGTGAAGTTGGCCTTCATCTCCTCGAACTTGCTCATGCGCTCCTTCTTGGGAATGTGGTGGCCGACGAAAACCTTCTTCTCGTTCAAAAGCATGCCGTTAACGTGCTTAATGGCGTTGTTGGCGGCCTCGGCGGTCTCGTAGTGGACGAATCCGTAACCCTTGGAGTTGCCCATCTCGTCCTGAGCGACCTTGCAGGACAGGATGTTACCGAAGGCGGCGAAGGTGTCGTGGAGAGCCTTGTTGTCAATGGCGTGGTCAAGGTTCTTGATGAAGACGTTACCCTGACCAGTCTTGCGCAGAGCGGGGTCGCGCTGGGACCACATGATACGGCAAGGCTTGCCCTTGATGACAGTGTAGTTCAGCTCCTCGAGGGCCTTCTCGCCGTCCTCAGAGCTGTTGTAGTTAACATACGCGTAACCGAGCGAGCGACGGGTAACGGCGTCACGGCACACACGGATCGACGCGACCTGGCCGATGGAAGAGAACAGCTCGAAGAGCATGGCCTCGGTGACGGAGGGGTCGAGCTCGCCGACATAGAGGGAAGCGGAGTTCTGGTGGGCCTGCTGGGCGGTGGGAGTGGGTGCCTCGCCCTGGGCGGCGGGGACCTGGGTGTTGACCTCGGCGCCGTTGGCGGTGGCAGCACCGTCCTGGACGGGCGAGGTGGAGTTGGCGACTTCAGACATGGTGGGTATCTAGGCGGGGTGTCAGTGGCGGGTCCTGCGAATTTTGCGGGAAGGTGCAGGGTGCCCATGTGCAGGTGCGCTCGCTTCACCAGAAAAGTTCCTACATACCTGCGCGTGAAACAACTTGCGACGAGAGGATGAGCAGTGGCTGAAGGTCCTGGAAAAGACCTAGAGAGGGGACAGGCAAATGCGCAGCGTCCCTTCTACTTGCGACGGGCGGTCGTGAAAGAGAAAGTCGCTCGACAACGGTGGAGGGGTTGACGAAGCGGGCGGAGTGCGTCGCACGGGATTTTTTTGTGGTTTTCTGGATTTTTTTGTTTCTTTTCTGTTATGTGACGATCCGCGTGAGTGGACCGGGACTTTTGAAGAGCTTGGTGTGTGGTGGTGGGAAACGGTGAGAGGTTGGCGAGCACGCTGTGCTTTCAAGTGGGATATTTTCTGTGAGGCGCCGGTCAGTGCGCGGCCACTAGCCATATTGGGGGTAGGCGGTGAACGAACGAGCTTTCCTGCACCCGAACGAATGGCAGTCGGACTGAACAGAATCTGCACTGACGTCAAACGGCGGAAAGCGAGATGTGAAGACAGCCGATAGTACTAAGCGCTTTGTACCATCTTGGAAGGCGCACAACGGCGCACCAGCCCTTGCGAAACGGCGGTTCCTGCAGCCGGTAAGCACATGTCAACGGCGTGGTCAACGCTAAGGCAGCCACGGTGTGGGTCTGCGATATCAGATACACACGTCGGCGTGAGGAAACAGCACAAAAGAGAACATGTTCTGCACAGGGAGTCCTAAAAACCTGCAGCACCAACCGTACATTCACTTGTGATGTGGAGGTGTGGGGTTCTTGGTCACAGAGGATAGCAATCAGACAGCAATGTAACTCGATACCACGCAAACGCATCGTTTCCCAAACTTTACAAACAACAGAAAATGATGGGTATCTGTGCTCAAATCCAATAAAGAACCCAACGAACGAAAGCGCTGTGGCGCACTCACTCGCTCAAACTATCGTCCCAGCCCCCTTGCTCAGTGAGAAAATCGACAACCTTTGTCTTGCACTGCTTCAGTCCCTGCCCCAGAGCTTCATCCCACTGGCTCTCTACAAGGGCGACCTTCTCCTTGAGGTCATCGGTCAGCCTCTGCTCTTCATCGGCACGGATGGCTTTCATCTCAGCGTCGACGCTGGCGAGATCCTCGCCTTCCAGCAGCCTCTGCGTCTCGAGGAGCCGCGAGCCTGTGGTCATAACAGCTGTCTTGACCTCGTGCAGCAGACAAAGCAAATTGATCTGTGACTCAATGAACTGATACGCAGAGCGACCCGCGTGCGCGAGGAGAGTGTAGAGGTACTGAAGCGGAAAGTCGTAGTACGCTGGGTTCTCACTGTACTCCTGCGCCGGGATCAGAACACCAAACCCGTCAAGTTGGTGCGGCACCTTCTGCACAATTGCCAATAGGCCAGGCGCGATGTCCCAAAAGGCTGAGAGCTGTGTCTCAACTCCACGTGTTACATTGCGCTCGATGACATCAAGAAACTCTTCGTAGCGCTTGAGAATCTCCTTTTCAGCGCTGACCTTGCGGTCCTGCGCATCGCGGCGGAAGAAATCGGTTGCTTCCTGGACCTTCTGGTCATTCTTAGCTTGAACGTAGGGCAGAACGATTATGTCTCGGTAGAGGTCGTTGCGCTCGTTCTCGAGTTCGAAGAGCTCCTTGTGGAGCGCTTCGCGGAGCTCGAACAGCCATTTCAGTAACGTAAGCATCTCTAGTAGTTCTGGCTTCTCGTCACCCTCTTCTTGCGTCTGGTTGGGATTCAGCTCCTGCGCCTCATCGGACAATCGGCCCTTGAGATGTTCGATCGATGCTGTCACTTTGGTGACTCGTTCGCAGAGCATAGCATGGAGTACGTTCGCGACTTCAGCTTGGAAGGTGTCGAAGATACTCTGAACTACGTCCTGTGCACGCTGGTGCTCTCGAGCTTCGAAATCAGCGTCAGCTTTCGCCGCATCCTGGAAGGTCATCTGACCGTTTCGAAGATTTTCTTGGATGTTGTATCTAACGTGTGCTCGCCTGTCGTTCAGCGACGCGTTTTCAGACTCCTTCCGTGCTTCTGTCTTCGTTTCGAAGTTGGTCTTCGTGGTTTTCAATTCACTGAGATTGGTCAACGTCCGTAGGCTACTACGGATGGAGGCTAGATCAGGGTGATTGTTATTGACAGCAGGGTGATGACGCGGGTATGATGGCGGCAATGTAACAAGCCTGGACACATCGAGCTTGTGCGGATCGATAGCTGGAGGAGTCGGTGTAGGGAAATAATCGAACGACGCGGGCTGCTTTCCTTTGCCGTCGTGAAGTCCAACCTTCTCCGGCGGGTACTCATCTGGCCTATAAACAGCAGGTCTGCTACTTGAGCTTGCTCGGTAGTGCTTTGGTGTGGGCTGGTTCTGGCCATCCTGGTGGAAACTCTCCTGTGTCTCCATCACCAATCCCATGTACTTCGACTCGCGTTTGCTTCTTTCTAGCCGCCTGTCGCCAATACCCTGTGATCCATCATCGCTCTCCCACCATCGGCTTGCAGACCGTCCTCTCGAGTCTTCTTCGTCTGGGATGGTGCTCATTGCCATACTGGGGATCGGTGAGAGCGAAGGATGGAAATTGTTATTCCAGGCAGCATCACGAGCACGCTGGCTTGATGCACTGGAAGGCGATGCGGGCTCGGTGTGCGGTGTGAACTGGCCTAGGGAGGATGCTGGGCTTGCAGCAGTTGTGGGCATAGAGTCAGAAGGCCTTGTGTCTGGTGACTCGCCCGACACGGATCCAGGATGTATGCTCCTTGCGTAGGAAGGAGTAACTTGAGCACTTGGAGTGACAGCTCTCCGCCCCGATGTTTTGTTCGAACGCCACAGATCCCTAGTGAGGTCCATGACTTCGCCTGCGCCAATCGCGTCGAAGGCGCTCGAGTAGCGATCTCGTCGAAATCTTGATTCAGCAACAATGAACTCAGCAAAGAGCTCAAGTCGTTCTTCATCATCTTCAGCATGCATCTCCTTCTCAATGAAGGCACGGTGTCGCTCGATTGACGCTTGGGCGAACACATCTCGATCTGTTGGTCTAGGAGTTTGGAGCGACGCGTCATGCGGTGTCAAGACAGAGTGCAGTGACGTTTGCGATACCGAGCGATTTGCGACCCCTGATGGAGTTGTCAGACCTCTCCCATCTTCAGCAGAATGTGGAGGAGGTGTGGGAAGAGCTTTGGCAGGAAAGGCTGCTGGGAGTTTCTGAGATAGGTGTTCCGTACCTGGCGAGAAAGGAGGCGTGGGTGCGGCGCCAGACACATTCCGTTGGCCGGCAAGTAGTCGCGGTGTGGAGCTGGCGGACCCAGGATCTTCGTACAAATGTGCGCTTCGTGGTGATCGCAACGCTCCTCCACTTCGTGGGGTGTTTCTCGTGATTGCACCTCTCCGCGATAGTCCACTTTCAGGCGAGGCCAAATCAACATTTGCTCTCGTTGTAGACACCTCAAGGTCGTGTGCCCAAGGATTGTTGTTCGGCTCCGCGCGGCGCTCACGTGCAGCACGGCTCTCTTCCCTGCGTTCACGAATGCTCCCTCGAGCGCTGCCTTCACGTCTGGGTCTTGAGAGCGTGCTACCTGACCCAGAGTGTGAAGTCATCGATGGCCCGGATACTGTCGACTCACTCTCTGCTTCCGGAGGCGATGCAACATACTCGCGACGTTGTAAGCTGGTATTGACATGCAGACCGTGAGCTGCTGGTGATCTTGCAGGAGCCGGAGGAGGGGGAGGGACTGATGCCGTGACTGTGGTTGACTCTTCCTCCCATCCCATAGGTGTTGGTGGAATAGGTCCAAGGGGTGTCTGACCAGGTCGGCGTGTCGGCGGAGCCGAGGGATAACCTGCCTGGCGGTCCGAGTCATATCCAGGCCCAACGCTTTGTGACCTCGAGCCTGTCGGTGGGGGACCTGGCGGCGGTGGCGGCAACGGCATGCCTGGTCCCCAGCTCGCTTGGAGATTGGGCGGTATCTCATCAACAGGCGTTCGCGTTTCCGTCCCATGGCCGAGGACGCCAGCCGAGGCTGCTCTGCGTGCATTCGGTGGTCGCAAGGGAGATTGCGAGTCAGGAATATACCGTCGGTCGAGTGGACTGGGTGTGTACTGAGCGAAGTTGCGTTGTGACGACGACCCAGGGTCGCCTCGCTGCAGCGCATCGTGCGTGCTCGAGTGCAGCGATTCGATAGCAGACGGGGCAGGACTGTGGTCAACGTTCCTGTTGCGAAAGTTCGACAGACTGAACTTGGTAGACAGGCCCCGGGACGAAGACCTTTCCCTGCTAGGTGCGACTGGTGGAGGCGCAAACAGAGTGTTCCCCGGGGCTGCGGCAGAGCCCGAGGGTATGGCTATCGAGACAGGACGGTTGTGGAAGCTTCGAGCTGCGCGCGCCGACGAAGGCGTACCGGTCTGTGGTATTGGCGGAGGAGGATGGTGGCCCTGGGGGAACGCATGGCCTGGCGACGAACTCAAGGCTTGCGAGATGTTCTGGCTCGGGGCGCGGGCCGGCGTGTACGGCGGTGGAGGAGACGGCATGGCCTCCTCATGTCCCGACAGATCCTGTTGCCGCACTGGATTGATAGCCATTTGCGTCTGCTGGGGCGCATACTGCACGCCAGTCCTCCCGTTGCCTCTCCATTGCTGCGGGTTGTACGGGGCAGCCATCGGCGAGCTACCTACAGACGAGGGCGCATACGGGGACGACAAGTTGTTCGCGAACGGGGTAAACGGGCTTGAAGAGGTCGCGCTCGCCGGAGTGTGCAGATTGCCATGGGTCTGCGCAAAAGCAACGCCTTGCGTGATAATGCCCGGTCGCACGGCAGAGGCACGGCCTGGGGAGATCGGCTGCCCGTATCCTTGCGCGTTCGCTGGGGGAGGCGGAGGAGGCACCGCGAGATAGTTGTGTGAAGACATGCTTCACACCGTTCGAACGTCGATGGGGAGCCTGAACGCCTCAAAGCCTCCAGCGGCTCCAGCGTGCGGTACGACGAATCCTTCTGGACGACCGAGGCCGGTTGTTCACACGTTGGGGCTTGTAGGCCGTGTTGGTCACCTCACACGCAAGCCATTTGCGAGAGGAAACGGTAGCACCCCTGCAAGACCAGGCATGCTGTGGCCGTCGGAAGGAAGGCAAGGCCGCATGGTGATGGGCACGGCGAGGGCTGGCCGTCCTATTCGCTCTGTGGCCTAGTACGAGAGAAGATCCGGGCGTTGAGGAGTGAGGGTTGGCCGTCTTAGCGTGAAGCTTGAATCGCCGTGAGCGAATGAGAGCTGCAGCTCGCCCAGCGACCCTGGCGCGGGCGGCTATGTAATGGCCAGAGTGGGATCATGCCAGTTCGCAGCCGTCGTACAGAGGCTCTGTCTTATCCTTATCGCAGCTGCAATATAGATTGCAATTACTTCAATGCCTGCGAGTATATTGTAGTCTTCAATCCACGTTGTTGCGCATTGCGCAGTGAGCAAAGTCGTGCATGTTGCTATCAACACTCGGCACCGCGAATGCACGCTAAATATAGCACGGCTTCGCCATGCAGCTTCGAATCACGTCCACATTCCACATCACATGCATGACAGTAATAAATCTCCTGCATGCCCTGTGCTTGATCCTCGCTGGTCTGTGTTTCTAACGGCACACACCGCTGTAGCACGAGCAAGGAGTTGCTTGTGTTCGGCGTGTGACTGTATGTATGTACTGTGTCTGTGCAGCAGCAGTCCGAGCATCCAATTCGATAACCTCGGTGCCTGAAGAATCACAGCACTAATACTAAGTCAGCCGAATATCCAATTCTCGCTTGCTACCTCTGAACCGTGTCGGTTTTGTTGATTGTCAATCAGCCCTCTCTATGGCTGGTTCTAAGAACGCCATGAACGACGGTCAGGCGGGGTACAGAAAAGCCACCAACACCACCTTCGCCGTGCTGTCGATCCTCAACACGCATGTAAGAATGGATCAAGAGTTCATCTGCATGTCATAATAGGTTCATTCACAACATACTAAATATGTAGTGGCCCAATGCTTTTGCCAAACAAACTCGCTGGAATAACCAATATCTTCAAGATACGCTTATTTTTGGTGCTTGCTGTGGACGTCGATAACTTTCTGCACCTCCTGTTCCGAACCCATGAAGATACCCGATCGGTCGTGGATGTGCTCGGGCACAACATCAAGCATGCGCTCCATCTTACTGTTGACAGCCTTGCCGCCAGCTGCATGTTATGTCAGCAATGGTTTCACAATCAAGTGTAACAATAGCTTACCGTTCTCAAAGACCATAGCCATGGGCGCGCACTCGTACAGAATACGCAGCTTGCCCTTAGGGCTCTTCTTGTCTGCTGGATACGCGAAGATGCCGCCGTACAATAGTGTTCGGTACGCGTCCGCTACCATGGAGCCAATGTAACGCGCGCTGTATGGCTTGCCGCCCTCTTGTGGGTATTTTAGGCTGTTAATGTACTCCTTAACGGGCTCCTCCCAGTACAGTGAGTTACCCTCGTTGACGGAGTAGATCGCGCGCGCCTTGGGGATCTGCATGTCAGGATGTGTGAGGATGAACTCGCCGAATGCGGTGTCAAGTGTGAAGCCGTTGACATTGCCGCCCTTCATTGTGATGACGAGCTGCGCCGATGCACCGTACATGGTGAAACCGGAAGCAACCATTTCTGTGCCAGGCTTCAGGAGGTCCTCTTTTGTGCCCTTAGCATCCTCTGCCAGCTTGTATACGGCAAAGATGGTACCGACTGAAACTCCGGCGTCGAGGTTGGAAGAGCCATCGATCGGATCGCAGGCTACGGCGTAACGCGCAGTGGGGAATTCGTCGAAGGTGATCAACTCCTCCTGCTCCTCGGAGACCAAAACACGCACGCGACCGCAGGAGCGCATAGCGGAGATGAAGAGCTCATCGCCGATTACGTCAAGCTTCTTCTGGTCGTCGCCAGTGGCATTTGATTGACCAGCCAACCCAGTAAGCTGTCAAAGTCAGTGGTTGCCGCAGACCAGTAGTACCAAAATGCGGCTTACATTGACCAACGAGGCTCTCCGAATATAATAGGCAATGCTCTTGAATGCGAATTGGAGGGCGTGGCAAAGAAGTCTGGCGTTTTGTTTAGTCTGGGTTCGGGCGCATGAGGGGTTCAAGCTCACGTGAAGTCACCGGTGGCCTCCTTGTGTTTCGACTGCTCTTCTGTGAGGAATCGTGTGAGGGTGATGATGTCGGTGTTGATCACATCCTGCTTATTCTGCTGTTGTCCGTTGCTCGTCATGGTGACTGTTGTTCTTTATGGCAATATTAGGTGTTTCGGGAGTATTTTGGAGGAAGAAAGGGGTATCTGAGAATGTGGAGGAAGAGGAACAAGTGACGAAAGGCAAGCAGAAAAGTCAGAGGGAGTTCACGATCATCGACGCGTGGGGAAGGCGCCAGTAGTTATTATGAAGTCAGATGTCTGGGTCCAAGTGGGTAGAGTCGGGCATGCGGAGACAAGTCGGTATTTGTTTGGGATGCAGATTGGTTGGACAGCCGCAGACATCTGCCCTCGGCAACTCACAAGCTCACGATATCTCAGCCATTGGAATCCTGGGGGCGCAGGAGTTGTGGCGGAAGAATCCGTAAACAACTCGGAAGCTGATTGATGGCACTTTTCCGCGAAATTCACCGCGTCGTCGCGCGAGCGCCGATATCGACGCGCTTTGCGGCGGCAGCATGGGAGCTTGGACGATGATGCAAGTGCGGATACGTGTGGAGGGGTGTTGCGGGGCGCTTTCCACACTTTCTCCAGCTGACGTTTAGCCCGGGATCTTCCGACCCGCGGATATAAGTTCATACGTGAGGTCGCCCTCATCAGCGTCGCAATGGCAAGTTGATGGAGATTTGGAGTTGTTTAACGCGCACGAAACCATTGAGCTTCTGAACAGTCAACAGTATCACTCGAGGCCTTTAGGACATTACAGACACCATTTATGGATCAATCAAATAAAAAGACGGTTGAGTTTTGTGACATCCGGAGATCCCTCAGAGGTATCACGCGTACCTGAGTTAGTTCCGCACGTTCACCTATCGTGCCGAAGCGGAAGATCTCTAGCCAGGCCATTATCCCGCAAGTCGAGACCCAACAGTTGCTCCTGACGCACCATCAGTGATGTGTCCAGCCTAATTGTTCGGCGTACCTCGCACCGAGCACAACGTCCGTGCAACGAGTGTCAGAAGACGCAGCAGCGACGACTTCCGGGAGAGATATCCGTGAATTAATACAATCTTGGATTCATGAACACAGGAATCTGATTTTTGTACATTTCTACATATACACTCGTAGCTATGCAAATGTACAGGAAGAGTCTCTATCCAACCCTTCAAAAAGCCTCATGACGCTCTGAAAGGCGACCGTCGCATAAATGGGGGATAAAACAATGCAAGCAAACTCGTACAGACTATTGAAAACATAGAGAATCTCCCTACACCTCCTTGTTACTTTACTCGCCCTTCAACCTATCCTGCTTGACGGTGAAGGCCATTTCCAGCAAGTCCTTCTCCTCCTTCTTGTGCGAAGCCTTCAGACCAGTAGCAACGGAAGCACTGGGGTTGCGACCAGCGTACATGACGTGACGCCTGTTGTGGTGTTCTGTCTGGTTCAACAAGGTCTCGATTCTGGGTTGTGTGAAGCTCCAAGCACCAGCGTTAAGGGGCTCTTCCTGTGCCCAGATGATGTTCTGAGCATTGGGATACGAGTCGAGGTTCTCCTTCAGCTGCTCCCATGGGAAGGGGTTCAGCTGCTCAATACGGGTGATGGCAACATCAGTGAGACCGCGAGCCTTGCGCTCGTTGACAAGAGCAGTGTAGACCTGGCCTGTGCAGAGGATGACGCGCTTGATCTCCTCGTTTGTGCCGATCTCACCAGACTCGTGGGCTGGGTCCTTGACAATCCATTCGAAGTGAGATTCTCCAGTGAACTCCTCGATGCTCGAGCGAGCCATGGGGTGACGAAGTAGAGACTTAGAGAAGAAGAGGATCAAAGGCTTGCGGAACTGGCGGTTCATCTGGCGACGGAGCAGATGGAAGTAGTTGGAAGGCTTTGTGCAGTAGGCAATTTGGAGGTTGCAGTCCTGGTGTTGACGCTCAAGCTTCTCCGGTGCAGGGAAGATACGAGGATCCTCATTGACCAGCTGCAGATAGCGCTCCATACGACCGGAAGAGTGCTCGGGGCCTTGGCCATCGTAACCATGGGGCAAGCTTAGAACAAGGCCAGAACGCTGAAGCCACTTGACTTCGGCAGAGGCAACGAACTGATCAATGATGACCTGAGCAGTGTTGGCGAAGTCGCCAAACTGAGCCTCCCACATGACAAGCGCATTAGGCGAGGAGAGAGAGTATCCGTATTCGAATCCAAGCCTGATGATTGTTAGTAACAGAAGCGAAATTGTCTGAGACTATAACTTACACTCCGTACTCGCTCAGCGAGGAGTTGCAGACAGTGAAGGTCTCCTGGCCCTCACTGAGGTGCTGCAGAGGGGTGTAGGTCTTCTCGTTCTCCTGGTCGTGAAGAACAGCGTGACGCTGGGAGAAGGTTCCACGTTCGACATCCTGACCGGATACACGGACGTGGTGGCCTTCCATGCACAGAGATCCAAAGGCCAGTGCTTCCGCGGTGGCCATGTCGATGTTCTTGCCATCTTCAACGGTCTTTGTACGGCCAGCCAAGATACGCTTGAGGTTCTTGTGTACGTTGAAGTCCGCCGGGGGGTTGCCAATCTTCTCGGCGATGTGCTTCAGCGTCGAGTCCTCAACGGCGGTAGGCAAATGTGGCAGAACCTCGGTAGCGAGCTCCTTTGGCGACTTGAAGCCGTTCCATGCAGAGGTCAGCCACTCCTTAGCGGTCGGCTGGTAGTCCTTGCTGCGGTTGAAGCTCTCGTCAAGCATGCCCCAAACCCAGGCCTTGTGCTCCTCAATGTCCTCCTTGGTGAAGGTCTTCTCCTCCAGAAGCTTGTTGACGTAGAGGTCGAGGGTAGGCTTCTGTTCCGAGATCTTCTTGTACATGAGAGGCTGGGTGAAGAAAGGCTGATCTGTCTCGTTGTGACCTTGCTTACGGTAGCAGACCATGTCAATGACAACGTCCTTCTTAAACTCAGCACGGAAGTCAGCAGCAAGCTGGCAGACGAAGTTCATGGCCTCGACATCATCACCGTTGACGTGGAAGACGGGAGCATCGATAGCCTTGGCAATATCCGAGCAGTAAGGAGTAGAACGAGAGAATCGGGGATCGGTGGTGAAACCAATCTGGTTGTTGACAACGATGTGGATAGTTCCTCCGGTGTGGTAGCTGGGAAGAGCGTGGAATCCCATGGTCTCGTACACAATACCCTGACCGGCGAAAGCAGCGTCGCCGTGGAGGAGCACGCCCATAGCGGTGCGGGCCTCCTTCTCATCGTTGTTGTAGTGCAGAATGGCGCGAGTCTTTCCGAGAACGACGGGATCCTCGGCTTCCAAGTGAGAGGGGTTAGCGACCAGAGAAAGCTGGACACGCTTTCCGGAGGGTGTGGGACGCTCGAAGTTCATGCCCAAGTGGTACTTCACATCACCAGATCCCTCGTCGGAGGGCTCGGTGCTACCAGCGAACTCGCTGAAGATAGATTCGTTGGGCTTCCTGACGACGTTTGACAAGACGTTCAGACGTCCACGATGAGGCATACCAATGACGATGTCCTTGACACCATAATCGACACTGCGATCGATCAAAGCCTTCATACCAGGAATCAAACTCTCGCCACCCTCGAGACCAAAACGCTTGTCGTTGGGGTATTTTGTCGCCAAGAAAGCCTCGAAGTTGGTACCCCAGATCAGACGGTCCAGAATGCGGCGCTTCTCATCGACGGAGTACTTGAAGGGCTGGGGGACCTCGATACGCGCACGCAGCCAGTCGCACTGCTCCCTATCGGGAATGTGGATGTACTCGATACCGTAGGATCCGCAGTAAAGGCGCTCGCAAGCCTGGATGATCTCGCGCAGAGTCATCTTGCTGCGGTTCTCGGTCTTGAAGCGAGGCAAGATACCTGGGCCAAGCTCGATATCCTGGTCCAGATCCTTCTCGGTGAAGTTGTAGTGGGAGAGCTCCAACTCGCGGGGCTTGCTGTATCCAAACTGCTCAGCCTCGGTACGGATACCGAGGGGGTCGATGCGCGCCTTGTGGTGTCCTCGAGACTGATACGCGCGCACCAGCAACTGGACCTTCAGATGGTTCATGACGTCTGAGCCCTCGCCGGGACCCATGCCAAGACCAGGCCTGATATCAGAAATTCCAGAGCTGGTGGAAGGGACAATCGTCGGTGGTGGTTGGAAGGCTTGCGAAGTGGGCATGTCGCCGGACTCCATGTTGCGGAAGTAGACCTGCCACGAGACGTGGACGCTCGACGGCTCGCGCTTCCACTGCATGTACATCTCGTCGACATAGTTGGCGGTGTTGCCGCTCAAGAAGCTGTCGTTGGGGTCCTATGCGGTCACAGTTAGCTGTGCCCTCGAAAACTTCACATCTCGCGGCGTGCGGTCACGTACAACGCCCTTGTCGGTATCTTCGGCGGCGAGGGCATATTGGCGACGCTGGGCAACAGCCAGCGGGCGGCGGCAGCTCGAGATTGCACTTGTCCTGGCGGGCGAAGCGGCGATGGTCGAGAGCCTTGCTTTGGCCGAACAGCTCTGTAGCTGCCGGGAGCATTGGCGCAACGTGGTGCGCAACATGATGAAGCAAAGAGGGGTGTGGGGTGGATTAGATGGGTGACATCCAAAGGACGACGGGAGACAGAAGGGAAAGCTTCTCAGCAGCTGCTGCAGCGGAAGACGAGGGAGCAGCAGGCGAGTCTGTCTCGCACGCGGATTCCGGCTAAGCCCCTTGCGCGTAGCGCTGTTTGGACGTCGACCACCTCTAGAGCTGCGCACACCGGAAATGCCTCAAACGCCTGCGTCAACAGCTGCGTCTCATGTCCCTTGTGCCAAGCTGGCTGAATGCGCGTCTGCATCGCGCACGCAGCACGCTTCGGTCCTCCGCTACCTGGTCGGCATGCGCGAGCAGCGTCAGATGTCCACCTGTGGCAGCCATCGTGTGGTCGCAGAAGCGTCCAACGGCCAGCCAATCGCTGCAACGTTATGTAAAAATCCACGTCCTGTGACGTCGCCTGAAAATGAGACTGCACGCGGCGGAAAAGTATCCGCAGAGCTGAAGGAGCGCTCGGCGTGCAGTCGTTCGCGCTATGTCTAGCCTCTGTGTATATGCACGAAGTCGGTAGGTAGCTTTGCTTATCAGCATCATGCACTGCGATTCGAGATTCGAGATTCGGGATTGTGTTTGCGGGACGTGAAGCGACAAGCATGTGCTTGACAGCGTCATAGCAGGCATGCAAACAAAGACCATGCAGGTATTTGCCGTCACCACTCTGTCTCCAACAGCAGGTGCGACTACTCCTCGCAAGCCCTTGTTGCTCAGTCACCGAATGCACTAAAGGTCTCTGAGGTGAAGTCACAACGTTTTGGTGATCTGGGGAAGCTAGCGCGTCTTCTTTAAGCACTCCCGCGGCGCGCCAGTGCTTGCCGCACCAGGCTTCCTCCACCAGCATGTCCAGCGCTGCAGCCCAATACAAGAAGAAGGATGGCATACTCTCTGTATCCGCAGATGGCAAGACGGTGTCGTGGGACGCGATCGGTGGTCTGCTTCCGCCACTGGCGATAGTCATAGCAGATATTGGGAGTATGTCCGCAGTATCGCATAAGCAAGGTGGACGCTGACCGCACTCAGATCTTCAGCAGACGCCCGCCACCGCCGCAAAAGCCTCTATCAAGATCGTAGTCATCGAGTCCTCCCTACAAGCTGGTAGCCATACCTTCACGTTCACCTCAGCGACCCCGCGCGATGACCAGCAGATGGTCAGAGGCCTACTACAGAAGGGCATTGAGGCTGCAAAGGCGCAAGAAGCTCCCGCTGTAACGCCTGCAGCTGCTTCTAGTGGCGATGGCGGCGGCGCGTCCGGCGCCATAACCGTGGCTCAGACAGTCGCTGCGACTGCCCAGCAAGATGAGGATCTGTATTCTGATGCTAAGCTGCTCGGTGACCTAGAACTCCAGATGTCACTTCTGAACTCCAGCCCGGCTCTGCGCCAGCGCTTCGATCGCGCGTTGACTGAAAAGCCTGCTTCTGTCACCATGGGACAGTTTTCTACCCAGTTTTGGTCAACGCGGCTGAACCTGCTACGATCTCACGCCGCCGAGAAGAGTCAAACCACGGGATCATATAATGTGCTATCGGTCATCAAATCGAAAACCGTCAACGGCGCTCTGATGCTGAATTTGACCAAGGAACAGATTGAAGTTGTGTTTCGGCAGCATCCTATCGTGAAGACGGCATACAATGAGACAGTACCACCGTTGAGCGAGGGTGAATTTTGGGAGCGCTTCTTTCACAGCCGTCTCTTCAAGAAGTTGAAGGGAGAGCGAATCCCCGATGATTACGTTACAGATACACGACTCGACAAATACTTGAAGTATGACGAGAACTCGGAAATCGCGCAGCAGATGCTGGTTGACAATATACCTTGGTTCATTAACATCGAAGGAAATGAGCAAAACCACAGCCAGCAGAAGGGAAATCGTCAAGACTGGACTATGGTACCCTCAAGCAACGAGAAAGCGCCCATTCTTCGTGTTCTGAATCGCATGAGCGAGAAGCTGATGAAGGAGGTGCCCTTGGTCGATAACCACCACACGCCTGCCGGTCAAGACGAGGACACATACAAGGAGCTTCAGCTTAAAGATCTACAACGCGGCTCTGCTGACAACAGAGTCGTTCTCAAGGTCCAGGATCAAAGTCGTTTCTTTTCTGCTGGACAGAGCTTACAGTCGTCGACCAGCGCTGCAGCTTACACGAAGCGAACCCCAATGGAAGCACTCTCAACACTGCGACAAGATCTCGCAAGTATCAACACAGATGGTAAAACATCTGGAATCGATCTGCACTTGAAAATTGCTGTCGATGATGACAGTGATAGCGAAGATGAAGGTGGCAGCCCGAAGAAGGTCAAGGTTGGCAGTAGATCGGCACGAGCTGCTGCAACAACACAGATCGTATCTGCTGTGAAAAAGCGGCATTTACATGAGGACGAAATTCCCTCCGCGAAAGGTGTTTTGAACAGCGAGCAGGCCGCAAAGCTAGGCATATCCGACACCATTCTCGACAATCTAACGATGACACACAACACCACAGTAGAGTTCTTGCACTACTTCTGGGATGTGTATCATTCTGGCAATCCTGAGCGCGCCAATGAAGTTGCGAAACTCATCGAGACTTTGGACAGGTCTCTGGACCGCATCAATGCCGTCTCCGATGCTGCCGAGGCTGAGCGTGGGGCACTTATCGAGGAGTACCAAAGACGCAATGAGCTGTATTTGCAGCAAACTGGAAAGAAAAGAAAATTCAACCCCGAGGCTATCAAAGGAGGTGCGAGTGCCATTGCTCAAATCATCCAGCCTCTAAAACGAGCCATTGATGCTGCGCGAAGCCAGTACCAGCAAGCTTTGAACGAACAACTGGCTCAAGTCGCCCCTTCCAACGGATCGTAGTGTTTCTCTTGCTGTGTCTCGTAGCATGGGTAGAATTGGGCATGATTATGCATAGCGATGGCGTTTTGGGTTACAAGCACTGTGGAACGCTTATAGCAAACATGGCTCTCAAGACCTAGCAGTTAAACTTTGCCAATATTACTCGAAATTCGTGCAGAACAGCATTCCTTCGTATCACCTTTCTCGAGGGTGGTGAGTACCATGTTCTGTGAAAACAAGAGCATGCCATTCCAGGAATGCAAGCCTCTGACGCTCAATTCGGGAGTGCTGCCGCTTACCGCAGCGCAGCCTCGTCGATCATGCCTAATCCCTGCAACGATCTGCGCTTCATGATGAAAGTCGCCTGATTCTGAGACGAGGCACTGCTGAGAAGCTGCCTAAGCATAGTGCTAGTTAGCACCCGTGTCCAACAACAGCCTCACTTGTTCTGACATCATGCTCCTCTACTTCCTACCTCACGCACGACTTTCATTCCTTCACGACGGAATCTCCACAGCTCCTACACGTGGAACCGTTCATTCAACTCATCAAGCATCACGTTGCGCTCTACATCTATGGGCCGAACGTTCATCTAGCGCGGCTCTAATTCAACGGCGCCCCACCTACCATTGCTCGAGTCATCAATACTAAGCTTTGCAGTACCTTCTTCACCATCGCTATTATCACTGGTGTTCACCTAACAATTTGCAGTAACGCTGATGCGACGCACACATCGCTCCGACAGAAGGAATATAGGTGCCGGTCTGGAGTAGCCTCCTTCGCATTAGCGACCGCTCAGAAAAGAGATGACTGTTCTACACCGCTTGAGGCATACAGGATGTCTGTAAGGAAGTGACTGACGAACCAGTCAAAAGTCATAATGAATTGGATATGGAAGTGCCGAGGACAAGCAGAAAGGGATAATACATAATCAAGCTATGGGATGCATCCGAGGAAGCGGATTCTTGCAGACGAAATAAGGCGTACACATCTACATCGCCTTTCGCCATTCAAGATCACCCCTGTGGCTATCCGCACATCTACAAAAGAGGACGCCATCAGTTCATTGTCGCCAGTCGCCGTTATCGCTTCGAGCTTTTTCATCGGTAACGCCCATACACCGGGTCATAGTAGCCACCTACAGTGCCATAAGCTGCCGGGGCGCCTGCTGAAAGTCAGTTACGGCTCTTTGCTCCTTCATATCGGGAGGTGATCGGAGTGTTGCTTACTGCTGTACGTCTGGCTGCTGTTGCTGACCGTACCTCGGGTCCTGTTGTCTCGGTTGTCTCTGGATCAGGAAGTCAGAAATGCTTCAACACAGCAGTTTGGTCGTCACAAACCGGTAGCGGAAGCTATGCCACAAGTACCACCTCGCAACCCAGTTCTCTTCGTTGACGTTGGTCATATAACGGCCCATCTCATAGTATGGTCTAGTGTGTAGACCAGCGTGGGTTACCAAGGTCAAGATCTCAGCATGTTTCGCGGTCTCTGAGATCTCATCCCACTTGTATGGAGCTGTAACCGTCGGATCCGCCCTGGACTGGTCCGTAAGGTTGTTCTCGTCTCTGCTCAACCTGTCTCTTGCAGCCTGAGCTTCCCCCTGAATGGATCAGCGTTGAGTAAACTCAGCGTAAGACTGCGACTTACAAGTAGTAACTTATGGACCTGTTCGCTCAAGCCAAGTCTAGCGAAGAGGATTGATTTATCGGCGCTTTGCGCAAGCGGACTGGGAGTGGCTGAGCTCATGGTCAATGGTGTCTGCAAGGAACGACGAATTCAACAAAGGACAAAACCGAAAGAAGCGAGTCGACGCGATATGTGAGAGATCTGGTTTGGAAGCATGCCGCCTACCCTCCCAACTTATAGTCAGACCCAGGATCCTCAATGGCTTGAGGAGACACTACCCTCCGTGTCATGTGACAGCGAGACCTTTATAAAGTTACCACCATTGTGGAACGCTAGTTGCAGGCGCCTGCAGGACGCAACCGCGGGACGTACGGTCCACCTCTAGATCAGCCGGGATCACAGCACCCCGATGTTGATTTTGGATGTGCAAGCCATCCCGTTGTATCGTTTGCTGTTTGCGGGCCGTACAGATCAACGCATCTCGGTATGCACCGATTTCGGAACCTCGGTTACTGTCGATCTCTGGGTGTAAAGAGAGTAGATCACAGTATTGCCCACGTAAGCTTGCGTGCTATCGCTCACTTCCCAGATCCATTTCTATTGCAGCATCTTTGAATCCTACCGCTGATCATCCACGACTACCCACTTTCCCAGGGTACAGTTCATCAAGAAGGCGAAGTCAATTCAGGTATGGCTGATAGGCGCACTATGGTACCGACAGCCAGGCTTGTGGGCATGAATGTTACTCGCTGCGAAGAACGACTGATTGCGGCATGGTACCACGCCGGTGCTGTCACCTCGAGCCTACTACCCCTGCTAGCGGGTGTACGACCAGGCAGCTCAGTGACTTAGCGCTCGTTGCAAGTCTCAGTGCCCGTCGGCTAGATGTTGGAGGCGTTCGCCCATTTCCTTTGGCACCAACCAGAGAACCTTCCCAGGAAGAACCACGAGTTTACAGAAACATCAGCCCCCAGAATGAGCCGCTCGCCACCAGAAGCGCACATCACCCCACAATCTCGCGTGACAATCAGGCCATGGTCTGTAGAAAGATGGTAAACAGTCTCTGGGGCAAAGGCTTAGATTTGGAGGCTTGAGCGGCCACAGCCATATCGGCGCTGCGATAGTTCTTCGGCATGGCGTTCAGCACGTCAGAGTCTCATGCTGGACCAACATCCGCAGGTATGGGCAAGATCGACACCAGGCCCGACATCGTGGAAGAGGATGCACATAAGCCAGACACACCAAGGATGCCTGTCTCAAATAGCTTTCGGTGGATTATACGCATGTCACTCTCCTCATTCGGACTATGTTTCCCAATCCTGACTTCCAGCGCATCAGAGTCGTGGCCCCGCTTACACTTTCATCGTGCAGCTGCGCACAGGGCATCATACGCTCACCGCCGTTTTCTAGAAGCATGCGTCGAAAGCCTTGCGGCGTCATCTTGCGCACAACCCTACACTCGGCCCCCCATCTGTACCAACACGCTTCCGAGGGAGAGTCTCGGGTTGCATGGGCATGATCGGCGGAGAAGGCGACTGGATGTAGGGCTGTTTTGGCATCGATTGGCGATCGGAATCCCGAAATTTTCGCCCTTGCACATCATGTTGTGCAGCTCGGCAATCTTTGCTGTTGCTGATACGCCTCATCCAGGTGTGCTGGACACCATCTTGACAGACACGTCGTTTCGCGCGTGGGTGTGGAGTACGTCCAGTTGAGCTGAGTAACCCGTTCGCATTACTGTCTGTCGACTGGGCCGCCTTCTGCCCGTCTCTATAGGCCGGATTAACACTTTTCCTTGCATGTACGCCGACATCATTGCTCATTGCTGCAGATGTACGCCACACGTATGCAGTAGACTGTTATGACTCGATGCTGGTCCGAGCAGCTAGTAGAAAAAGGAACGATGAAGCGGCACCCCCCCTGCAAAACGCCAGTACGGATCAAGTTACAACGGTAACAGTAATTATCCAGCAATAGCGGACTAAAGAAAAAGTGACCAAATGCCATGAGCATTTCTGCGACTCCGTCACGCTTCTTTCGGACTGTGTGACGTGCGCCTGCAGCGCCAACTCTAGTCACGGACTTCCTCCACGTGGACAACTACCACCCTGATGCCTGTGCTAGCTGTCGCAGGGCAGGCTACACCAGTGAGGATCCACGAACGAGTGTTGCGAAAGTCAACCAATAAACGCCAAAATTTGCCCTGTGTCACAAATCTCGAGACTTACAAATCTTCTGTAATTTACACGAGTTCCTCCAGATACCCTCGTTTCTATTGATCTGCACCTTGACATGCCCTATTTGGGTGCGTGCATGCAACTGTTGCTGGTCTGGGCAACAAAAAGCGAAGTTCCAGCTGGACAAGGACTCATCAAGCCCAGGGCAAGAGTCCTCACGCTCACCTCACCCTACTCAATCTGGACCTCGCAGGCGTGTATGTTTTTGTTATTGGTCTCGCTACTGGCACTGCAAGGAATTCGCGACCGCATTCGCGTTCGCAGACTCAAAGGAATAGGACGTGTGGACCATGCGAAAGTGCGAGAAGACGGAAATTTTGGAATCAGGTGTACGTCGGCGGACTCCGTCGTCCATACAACGTTAAGCTTTGGACCCCGAGTGATTGTTCTTGCTGGCAACTGCTCTTACGCCCTTTGCAACGCCTAACGAAGCATGCACAAAAAAAACCGTTTGCCACTGAGCAGTCTGAGCCAGCATTTTGTAATGGAAGGTGTGCTCTTGCTGCTTATGGACTGCTCTTGACGACGGCTCTCATGCGCCTTCTGTTGGCCACTATTTGGTATCATCAACACACCATGACTGTCTGTGTGTTGCGCACCATAACTCATGCAACGCTCTGGAGTCGGAACCTTACAGGCGACGATGACGACCTCACAGCATTCCATCTTCCATCGATTGGCTCACGACCGTCCTCATGGCCCTGCGCTGGCGAACAGCAATACCGATAATACGGTGGAGAACCACATAGGCGGAGCTCCACAAGCCGCGCCTCCAAATCCTTCCACATTTTACAAGACATACCTTGACACAAACGTACAACTGCTCGCCGACCGGGACTACTTCGAGCCAAATGATGATGGTTACACATGCTATTCAGGAGCTGCTGCAGGTCACAACACATCGTTGGATGATGCGCCAGTCGAAGGTCACGCCGGCGCGTACAGACTCGCCGTACGTCTTGCAAATCGTTCCAACGGAGCTCCACTTGCTACAATCATTGAGCAGGGCTCTTACTCCACACTGAATTCGCGCGGATCTCTTCTCAGCGCGGGTCGCTTTCCTTCTCTCAGAGCCCCAGACAATTCTTCGCCAAACCGGCGGAGATCACGCAGCTTGGATGAGAAAGCCCTGCACGATATTCAGGAAGACATGGCTCGAGAGACTGACTCGTCTGCAGTGGCTGTGCCGCAGACAAGGCTGAATAGTGAGCACGATGCAGTGGATCCGGCAAGCGGCACTGCCACACCCTTGACATCATACCGCTTTGAGGCGCAACCATCCTCTTCTAGTCATTCGGACGACGAGATGTGCGATCACGATGATCGCGGTGTCAGGGGATTCATTCGTGGCGTTCTGCAAAACGTGCGAGGCGTTTCGAGGACCCGGTCTCGATCATCCTCAATGACGCATGCGCTTATCATGAAGCATCGGGGCAGCCCACTCTCTGCCAGCGAGAGTAGCCCCCAGTTCAATCAACATAGCCATGATACGGAAGCCTTCCGCCAATCACAGCATAGTCGTAACACCTCAACTCGCTCATCTGAAGGTGCGACTATTCCGCCAGCCCTCGGAGATCAGACCAGAAATCGCGCAACTCCCGTTTCAGGCACCGAGCGTTCAGCTCGGATGTACCCGTCTCATGCACAATCTCGCTCAGATGCTACTGAATTAAGTACTGTCTGCGGCTCCATGCTTCCTGTGCTGCCTAATCGAGATGCAACGCGCTCGCATGAGCGGCCCTTCTCGACGCCCGTTGTGCACGCAGGAACACGCGATGTGGCGCAAGACGAAAGTACAGCCCAAGCCTCAACATACCATCATGACATGTTTGACATCTCAGCTCGTTACACTTTCGAAGGCGTTCCCATGTTTCGTGGACAGCTGTCTTCAGACAAGGAAACGGGCATTGCAAGGGACGTGTTCTCAAGCCAGAACGCCAGTTTCTGTAGCACCATGTCGACTTCATACTCTGGGACTGTCCTCGGTGTTGATGTTGACTTGCAACATGACTTCAGCCATTCAATTCGTCGTTCGCAGTCGCCACCAACACCTGTTTGGTTCACACCACAGATGGCAGAGCTGGAACGTCAAGCGTCGTCGCCACCATCACCAGAGCCTAGAAAGAAAATTTCTCCCAACCACGTTCAATGTCACTCAATCACATCGTCCGCATTGACATCTCTACTACCCCTAGCAGCAGCAACCGGGATTGTGCAACCAAATTACAAAACCCCTACGATTTCATTCTACTCGCCGTCTGGCAATCTCATCCAGCCTGAAAGCAGCTCACCTCTAGGCCCCGAGTCTTCGGATTATAGTGGCTCGCCGACGATCACCACATCTTACTACAACAGGCAGGATGCCGCTACAGCATTACCTATTGGAGGCGTACCTACTCGACCACTTCTGATGCCGATGACTACCCTTCCTACGCCCAAAGCTCCACTTCCACTACATTTACAGCATCATCACAATTACCGTCGCCCCGAGATGTCTCAGATAAGCTCTCGTGGGTCATCTGTCACTTCTAAAAGACCAGTCAAAGGCTGTGACGGATTTGTGCGTGAGAACAGCCTCACTCCTCGGAGCGGCATCTTCTTTCCACATGGAGGAGATGAAGCCCACCGCACAGCAAGGCTCACTCTGCATGATCTCAAAGCCGAGGCAAGGTTCTACAAGGCACGGTTCCTTGGAATGGCAGCTTCCCAGTCGTTTGCTCCCTCCATTCCGAAGGGAAAGACTTTACAGAAACGGCGTATTCACAATTATGATACTTACGCTATGAAGCCCCAAACAGAACCTCGGACGGATAGGTCTAGACAAGATACGCTAGGTTCTCTTACAGCTCACGCGTTGCGGATTTGCTTCTGCCAACCGTACGACGGTGCAGGACTCTCGACACACGCCACTGCCGCGAGGCCGCGCAAGGCTGGCCAACCATTTCCTGCGAACGGTAAGATGGAGGTAGATCAAGAGGCGCACGATGCCGAGCGCTCATTGCCTATTGCGAGAGTCGTTGGCAGCGGGAAACGGACTGACGGTGGGAACGCAAGAAAGGCGTCCAGGACAGGCAGCGCCTTCAGCAGCACGTCCCAGCGAGCATCACGTACCGGCGCAGCGAAGATCAAAGCCGATTGAGGAAGATTGAGGTCCCCGTCCTCGGGAGATGCGCAGACGCTCACGCGGTGTCCAAGGCCCTGCAGGGCCTGCAGTGTGACTGTTTGCCATCGCCGATCAGTCGCATCCTTTGAGGCATGCACGATGAGTTGCGAATGCGGCAGCAATCGATTTGATACCTGGTCAGTATTGCGCGGCGAGTTCTGAGCCCTTGGGAAGCTGATCATCGCCAGATTGTATTGGTACTTCTGTAAAGGGGCATGGAATGACGCGCAGCTAGTATGCACGCTCTCCCATATCCGTCCATAATGCTAAACAAGTCACTTTTTGCTTTTTCGCTCCCAGCGTGAACTGGGGCAGTGATCGTTGATGGACACACACGTGAGCAATAATTTCTCGTGTCGAGATGGGATTCTCAGCATATTGGATGCGGAATTGCCTTTTCTATGCAGGCGCACTACTTGCACCAGCGAGTTTTGTGACTCTGTCGTGATTGCACAGTGACCCAGTTACTGTCACGCCCCGCCGTTCGTGCCTGCGCCTGCGCCGCTTCTCCACTGTGCCTGCTGTTGCAAGCTGACGCCAAGCCCGTATTGTCCGTGTCTGATCGCGATCGCGCCCTTCCGCGGTACAGGATCGGATCCGCCGCGTCGGGACGGGGAAGGACTCGTCGCAGACGCGGCTGGGGGCCGTGGATTGTGGGTCGCCGGTTCGCCCTGATTCAGGCCTGGATCCGAGATTTCTGTGGGGTCGCGAGTGGGTTGCTAAGAGCGGGGGTATGTCGGTGGTTTGATTGTGCGTCTTGAGGGAGGGATGCTGGGTTCGAGGGAGTGGGTGGGTGGAGTGGATGATTTGGGATTGCTTTGGGGGTAGGGGTGGACTGACTGGTTGGATGTGGGTGTGTGGATGGGACGAGATCAGGGGCTGGAGATAAGAGAATACGTATGTATTTCGTAGACGGAGTGCAGAAGTGTGTTTCGTGGTACATACTTTTCGTTTTGGAATTCAGTGTACTACAACGACATCGCCGATGGCAGTGACGCGACGCAAGCACACCGTGTCTCGCCTCACGCCCACGGATCCTTTTCGCGCGGCGCAAACAAGTCGCTCCAAAACTGCCGGAATCCGTACTGCTTCGTGGTGCGCTCGTCGCGGACGCGCACCGGTGCACCACCCAGCGAGCCCAGCAGCCCACGCTCACTCAGCTGCTGGCCAAAGCTATCTGAGGCTTTCGCGGCAGGTTTCTGCGCGCGGTCGACGATGGCGCCGGCGATGAGCGGCGCGACGTCTGAGAAGCACGACTTTAGTTCCCGCTCGAGGTTGTAATAGGGTTTGCGGGCGATTTCGGGGGCTTGTAGGTTGTAGCTGCGCGCTTTGGAATTAAGGTCCGCAATGGCGAGGGTTAGGTAGGGAGTTTCGTTGGCGAGCCAGAGGGGGTCGCGGAAGATGACGAGTGGTGCTGGCCGTGCGGTTGTTGGGTCTTCGGGTGCTGCAGAAGATGCTGGCGCAGGACTCGTAGACGAATTGGCGATGGGAATCTCAATGGTTTGTGTTGTCGTTGCGGCTGGAGTTGGTTCCGTGCTAGAGTCGAGCGGGGTCTTTGACGCGGTGATTTCAGACACAAGTGTGCTGCCCGAGGGGTCGGAGGAGGCGCTTTTCAATTCGCCCGAAAGCGAGATCTGGGACATTTGACCGTCCTTGTCCACGGCTGTCAATGTCTCCTTCTTGATCTTCGAGGGATTGGCGATGGCCTCTGCGCGCGCGTAGGCCTCCGCACGCCGTACCTGCTCTTGCAACGAGCCGCCCGCACTCGATATCATGCGTGCAGCATGCCGTTTCCAATCAGCACGCAAGCGACCCCGAAACTTAGACGCGGCCGACGTGAGCTCCTGCTGCTTTTCGATCCACGGCGGCACAATCTCCTGCCTTTGGATGATCTTGTTCATGAAGTACTCCGTCGTGTCTATGAAGGGGCTGTCCGCGTTATGGTCGCGCTCCACGTTCTTGCCTTTGCCGCGCGGAATGTTCTTGAATTGTCCACGTGCAATGGCGTCTTCAATGCGTTTGTTCGCCAGCGAGGCGATGCCCGAGATCGACCCGGGCACTATGGCGCGCGCGCCCGGCTCAAAACGGTCTTTGAGTACCTGGAGGCGTTGCTGGCGCTCTGTCTCCTCGATACTGTCGTCGGCCTGCACCGAGGCGTAGACATTGGTTCGGTCACGGGCGTTGGCTAGACGCAGGCCTTGGCCAGTGTTGCTGCGTCGGCGGCCAGTGTCGATGTTTCGCGGCATCTGCACTGCAGGCCCTGGTCCTGCTCGTCTGCCCGCCCGCAATGGCTTGTGGGCGTCGTTCAGCATGCGTAGCGAGGCGTCGTGGATACTCTCGGTGCCGGTCCATGCTTCGCTTGTTGCAAGATCGCGGGTGTGGCGGGACGCGGAGGCGGGGAGGTTGATTTTGGGAGACTGCAGCGATGCACTAGCGATACGCTGTTCGAGCTCGGCCTTAAGATCTGCGCTGAAGCCAGCTTCCTCGACAGCTTTGCGTGCACCGTGTCCACCGCTTTCAAGGGCCTCTTCGCTCATCAAGCGCATGCGCCGGGTAAACGCCCCTTCATCTTCTTCCTCCTTCACCGCTGATTTTGTCTCTTCTCTCTGCTCTTTCTTGTCGCTATCATCTTTTTGCTGTGTTGCTGCGTCTGCGAATGACCTCCTGTTTCCACAGATAGCTATCTGGCCAGCTCTCAAACGGCTTCGCGGTCGATTTGTGCGCAGGCAGCGTGCGCAAGTATAAGGTCTAGTCGCCAGAGAAGCAGTCATACAGAATGCGATGTGCAGTACAAGAATTGAAAGGCTGAGAAGTACATAGATGCAAAAGAAACTATCGTTCACGTCATCACCGGTGTGGCGGACATCAGTACTAGCGCCTCTGCTTATCGATAAAAATCGGCCGAGGTTGAGATGAGGCTCAAGCAGCTCAACTCAGACCTCCATCCCTGTCCCTACATCCTCGCCATCATTGCCCCAAAGCGCAATACATAGTTACACGATCATTTGAAACCATGTTACCTCGTGCTCAAGACACGTTTTCAATGCGTGCTGTGCAACCTTAGCTTCACCGCCCCGAGTCGTAGCCGTGAAGGACCACGGCTGTCTCAGCCTGGGTGCCGCATGTCGTTACTAGCTGCATGTCCTTCACGTTGCAACCCTGGTTCGCACCCGACGTCACACAGACTCGCATCAGCCATGATCTTCCGGGCCGTAGCCTACGTTCTCGGGACCTGCCACCCGGGAGGTAGCATGAGCTCGGTTGTCGATGTCTTGGACTGCTATGCAATAGCGACAAACACGAAGGGGTCTTAGTCATTTCTTCGATATGCAATGAGCTTAAGCGGCTCCAAGAATATGAACCGTTGTGCTTGCTAGTTTGGTACTGGCGATCGGCCTTAATGTGCGATTTCTTGGAGCTCTTCGTAGAGCTAATCTCGCAGTAGCAGCAGTAAATAACTCTGCGGGTAAGCTAACTCCTTTTCTTTCACTGTCACCCTGGATGTGAGCAAGTAGAGTGGGGAGCAATCATAAAGCCTCGTTGACTTTGAGCTCTTTTACACCCAGTATCTTTCGTGGGATTATTCAACTCACTCATCATAGTGGATGGGCACGAGGTGCTGCCAGCGCATAATCTCAGCGGTGATATTCGATACACACCTTACATTTCTCTTTGTATCTTGAACGTTTTTATATAATCCTCGCCAGCTTCTTCGCACCCTGGCAGTGGTGCCGAACTTGCCAACCACCCACATTCGTAACTGCCTTCCCGGGTGTCATTCAGGAAAGAACAAAGTATGACAGTACAATTAGCTCACCACTGGCGACATCTGTTTGCCAATTCACCTGCTCGATCTTATCTTTCTGATATTCTTCCCCTTGGCGCTCGTCCAGGAGACCTTCGCTGCACCCTCCACCTCAACATACGCTCTCGTTGTTTGAGAATATGCCACCAACAACAAACCTTTGGCCTTCGTTGGACTCGTCGTCATTACCGTTATCGCCACCTCTTTCCCCGGTGTTTCCAAACCAACTACCGCCTGCAACACCTCCTGAACCGTCCAGCGCCGCCGAGCAAGGTGTGCGAGTCAATAATCGCATCGCCGCACATTACATCCTTTTCATAGTCCTACTGGTGGCTCTAGTGCTGTCAGCTACTTTGACAGCTATGTTGTGGTACATACATCGCCGGAAACAGCGCGTGCAAGAGCAAACAAGGCAGAGAGGGGAGCGTGCTGTGTCTCGCCATGTCGAGCGCTGGGGAATCTACAGGCGCAATTATCCGCCCACAATCGAGGGCCTCAACGAGTCCGGAGATGCACCACCGCCATACAGACCCAGCGATCAGATGGCTATCGATCTCGAAACTATCGCCAAACCCGAGCTACCCGTCCCTATCTGAATTCCACCAAGAGCTATATCGCGAGACGATATAGAGAATGTCTAACCTCAAACTTTGTTGAATCGGTTCACGTGCGCGACAGCGACAGGGACGCAGAATCTACGTTTCTGGTTGCTCAAGTCGCCACCGCTTGGACAAGCGACAGCTCTTTCAGAAATGTTCCAGTAGCACTATGAAAGCACCAATCGTAGCTGAGTAGCCAGCACAGTCACCAGAGACTTTCGAGAGGATCCACGGTTGTAGATTGTGGACTCAAACGAAAATGGTGATTTATGCTGCCTTTGAATTGTCAGAAGTCACTACCCTGTCCTAATACTGCCGTACCGTAATCTCAAGCCGGATTGTTGAACTGTCACAATTCCTTTCGGAGGTGTGTTCCCAACTGTGTACATTATCAACCGAACAACCACCAATCGTGGTTAAGCACGTGTGGATATTATTCACAAAACGATACCCTCTCTCTGTTTTTGATACAATAGACGCGAAATACACCGTACGTTAGGAGTCCTGAATTGCTGCCACCCATGGATCAGCAGTTCACCCAGATTATGACATGCCCCTCTTCAACCAAGGTTCGCGCTGAGACCGAGCAATACAAAAACAAACACAGTCTACAGGTTCTTTCCAATTGCAACTCTTCCAAACATACTCACAAACGAGCTCTCAACTCATAACACGGTCGACAAACGCAAAGCAGCGACAGCACATACCATATCCAACACAACCCCCCACTCAAATCCAACAACCCAAAGCCAACATGCCTGGCAGACGAGACACTATGAATGCTATGGTTCTCGATACCACCATCAGCAGCAACAATGGCATCGACAACCTCACCTTCGAGCGCTCATTGCTCTCCACCAAGCGCACAAAATTCGAGCGCTACTTCAAGATGCTCATGGACTTCAGTCGCGAAGTCCTCGCCAAAGACCACACCTACGACCGAAGTGGTCTCCACTTCCTCAAGATTCAGCGCTACTTCTGCCTTCGCGACAAAGTGTGTGCCTGGGTGACCCATCACGACAACGCCGCCCTCTTTACAGATCGCGATGCTTTCTTCGAACTTGCGCTGATGGAGACTGTAATGCACACGCTCGAGATTGTGCTTGGACTGCCCCATCATCTTATCCGTTGGCCTGGTGCTCATTGTGCGCCGAATCCATCGTGGCCTGGCGTGCAGAAAGTGGAGGTTTATCGCCGTCTTGACGAACTGATTTACGCGGATCCGGGGCTGCACGTGGGGATCATGTTCTAGGCTTGCCAGGCTGGTACCGAGATATGTGGTGGGATGTGTGTGACGAGTGCGGGCAGGGAAGGGAAGGGAAGGGGTCGTAATGAGCCAGCGATACACCTGCAAGCTATTTTTTATGATAGGCTACTGTACGGGAAATGCTGGAACTAACTGCATTGCTCTTGTGTAAATAATGATCAACCAATTCCTGCGTCCGATATGTTCTAGATAGTAGCAGGAATGCCTAGGTAGCAATCATCTATCTGTAAACGCTTAAACATGCTGCAAAGTAGGAAACGTAAACCAGTCACTATGCCGCAGAACGCTATCAGAATGCCCGCCATCAAATTACCCGCCGTCCAATCCTCTCCTTCAACCCTCACCTTCAACCCTCGCCTTCAACCTTCGCCTTCAACCTTCGCCACCAACCCTCAGGCGACGGTATCACTCTCCTCCTGTGCAATGAGCCTCACACGCTCAAAATCACTATGCTCCACCTCTCTCCAAAACGGGCGATTCCCCCTCTCATCCCGCCACACCTCAACCCTGCGCGCACCGCGAAACCCCCAGTGCCACGCCAGCCCCGCCACGAACCCCACGGCATCATTTCGAAACGCCAGAATCCCCGCCACAGTCACAAGCAGCACCATATATCGCTCGCGCCGCGCCCGGTCATCCAGCACCTTCACACTCTTCCCGTCCCACGGCTGCTCGCCCTCGCGCTGCCTCAGATCGCGTGCATCTGTATTCACACTCTCACCGACGCGCGCCAACTCCACTCCCGCGGCCAGCACCAACACGCCCAGCAGCGCCCGCGGCATACCCGCCAGCAGCGCGACCACGGGGCCGGGGTTCCACAGCGCCAGCGTGCCCAGCCCGAGCTTCGCAAGCCCGAGCACCACAATTGACGACCCGCTGCGAGCACCGAAGCGGTGCTGGCCTGCGAGTCCACCGGAGCCGTGACACATGGGCATGGCGCCGAAGGGGCAACTGACGAGGTTGATGGCGCTGACGGAGAGGCCGAGGGCGGTGACGGAGGGAGCGCGCGGGTAGGGTGGGGAGGGGAGGATGTCGGAGGCCAGAGCTGAGGCGGCGATGACGGAGTTGAGGATCGTGAGGGGCAGTTGGCCGAGGGATGCGGTGGAGGTGGCGTACCAGAAGTCGGCCGCGGAGGGGTGGAGGATGGGGATTGAGGTGCTTGGGTCGGGTTGGGATGCGGTTTCCGGCCGGAATGCTGAGAGGAGCAGGCCGATGGTGAAGACGATGAGGGCGTAGGGGAGCTTAGGGTACGCGAGGGTGGCGAGTAGGAGGATCACGGCGGCGAGCGCCCAGAGCAGGTTGTCGCCCCACCATGGGCCGGTCCATTCCAGAGGCTTGAGCATTGATGTGCCAGCGCTGATGCAGAGGGAGAGGCCGGCGCCGACCTGGATGCCTTTTACAACCGGGATTGGGGTGACGCGGTTCGCCCAGTTGATGAGGCCTGTGATGCTGAAGAGTCCGACCAGCACCGCCACCACCAGCCCTGCCGCAGCGTTTTCCTCGAGCGTGAACTTCCGCGCTATAGCAACCGCCGCGATGGCCTTCATAGGCTGCACCGGCAGCGGGATACCAAACGCGATCCCCGTAAGCACATTGGCGGCCCCAGTAGCCAACAGCGTCGCCGGCAGTGAGATCGAACCCGTAACAACCAGCGCCGTCATGAGCGGCAGCAACGTCCCCAGATCGCCCAGCGACCCCGACAACTCAGCCAGCGGCTGTAACCTCAGCGTCTGCACATTATGCCTGTGATTCTTGCGCAGGCGCGGAAACGGGTTGGCGAACAACGGCATACTTGCCGCGTGAATTAACTCACACAATCACCTTAATAAGAAAAGTCACAAGACCGCAAGAGTGGGACGCAGGAAGAATGAAGCGATGTTGATAGCGATATCATGATGCGGTGTATCATAAGCACGCACGCGCCGCTTTCGGCTTGGTGGAGACGCAGCGCGCCCCGCAGCGACTGACTGGCATTCAAGCTTCCGCCACGCGGAGACATCACATGGCGGCCACGCCATGGATAGGCGGCTTACTAGTATCTACTAGTGAATACAAACAGTAAGTGCTAATCAGGGAGTTGTTTTTAGTAAATGCTGATGTACAAAAATAATAGTAGAAAATTTCGGATTCTCATCTTCATTGAAAATAACACATAGAAGGTAAATCTATCATAATACTGCAGTAGGTTCTTCTAAAGCACTAAAGCTTGGGAAGAGATCTGTTTATTAAGTAGAGTCGTGGGACGCGGTATTGCGTGCTATTCTTTCGCGTTTGGCGTAGCATACAATCGTCCTTGAACCTGTTGCGTGCCTAATCGCTTTAATCCGTTGGGAATATCGCTAAACGGCAGCCACTCGATCTGCGGCTTCAATATACCCTTGCCGATCAAATGTAGGACATCCTGAAGCTCTTCCATGCTCGCACTTGTTGAACCCCTGAGCGCAATATTCTTCGTTACTAGTTCGGTTGTTGTGAACGTTAACTTGTCGGACGCAAGTCCCACCAGCACCACCGTACCTCCAGGTCGCACCGCAGCCATTGCACTTTCAATTGTTGCTTGTGCGCCAGCAAAGTCTACAATGACATCGAATGTCTGGTCGGAGAATACGGACAGGTTGCTCGCACATGCAACCGCCCCTAAGGATTGCGCGAGCTCAAATTTGGTTTCGTCGATATCGATCCCATACACCCTGGCCTTTCTGGCGGCCGCGATTGCAACTCCATTGAGCCCTAGACCACCCATCCCGATGATTCCCACGGTGCTGGAGGGGCCGATCCCGCCTTCAGAGACAATGGCGTGATATGCCGTAGCGACTGAATCCGTGGCGACCGCGGCCTGAGCGAAGCTCACGCCAGCGGGAATGGGGACCAAGTTTTTGAGCGGTGCAACAACATACTGCGCATACCCGCCGTCGCGTCCTACGCCTAGAGCTTCACTGAAGTCACGTGTTTCGATTGGATGCCCAACGCATGCGACCGCGACACTGTCCCCAATCTTCAGACTTGGAGAGTGGCCACCGAGTTCGATGATGACACCCGCGATCTCATGGCCAAGTGTGATAGGAAGCTTGCACATCCAGGCTGCGCCTCCGCCGTGAAGAACATGAGTGTCTGAATGACACAGACCAGCGGCCTCGACGCGGATGAGGGCTTCAGAGCTTGAGGGTTTCGGGATGGGCAACGTCTCCTGTTGAAGGCCGGAAGCAACGTCGCAGAATCGAAAGGCGTTCATTTCGGATCGAAACAGGTGAAGTAAGGAGTTGAATGCTATGAGCAGACAGGCATTTTCAGGGTTGAAGTACTACGTTCAAGAGCCGCCGACGGGTCACCGGTGGCAGCTCAGCCTCATTTCGGTGGCCCGCGGGTAGCTCTTACACGCAGTGTTAAAAGTTGGGCGGCATTTCGTCGATGGTGCATTGCTCGAAGTGAGTAGATGTGAGTCGATTGAGCGGCGGGTATTCTTCGGAAGCTGCCGCCCGGGTGTGCCTTCCACAACGATTACATGGCACATAAGCGCAGGCCAACCATAGAAAAATGAACAAAAAGAATAAGTGTTTTGCTGGGCATTTATAATACGTTCGCGTTCAACAAACTACGTAGCCTGAGTATTGCATTGCCAAACTTTGCGGCTAAGTTGTGCGTATGCGCCGTTCTCGTTAACATGAAAGTGTGCCTAGCCGCCATGCCTTGAACGCGGCGCGCGGGCGTCGAGGGAGCATGCGCGAGGGGCTGCGAAGGGGTTAGTTGGCGCGTTGGGGGAGCTGTGGGTGGAGCTGTGAGGGGTGGTATTTAGCGCTGTAATCGATGGATGGTGGTGCACATGCTGATTCTGGCAGGTTGCGGCTGCAGGTGGCTTGCAGCTTGCTGCGGGTCATCCGCTGTCTGTTGGACGGGGTTCTGGAGTTGATTGAAGCAGAGGCTTATTTGGGGAGGTATATTCAAGGATAGCGCTTCAGTTTTACGGCGTTTTATCGAAGAGAGTTAATCCAAGCTCATTATCGCTGGTCAATTGTATAATGGAGTCGTTTGATATCGTGAGGCATAGCGGCTATGTGCTATGCAGAACGATCAAGTGTTAACGCCGATACCTTCAACGAAGATTTGAGGACGGTGAAGTTTTCTCCATCCCGAGGTCATCTCTCACCAAGATGCACGTGATAAGAGCCCTTGTTCATGTACATAGAGGAAAAGCCCTGCGTTATTCATTGGAAGAGGCTCCGTCTGAGCAGCTCGGCAAACCTTCCCTGGACACACGCGTAAAAGATGGTGGGGTTGCGGGGCTACAAACGTCACAGCTCCAGAGACGCGCTTCCGAGCTGCTCACCAACGGACTTCTGTCGTCCGACGTAAGTATAGATATAGTTGAGTTCAATCAATACAATCGTACACTATCACGCCTCAATTGCCTTCTCTAGCATTTCACTATCTATCATTCTCAAGCATCAACATGGCTGGCGACGGAGAAGACCGGGCATCGCTCATTAACAGGCAGCTCCCAGAGATGACACTGTCCACAGGAGACAATCCTCTTACAAAGGCGCGGCCGCCGCCTCAGAACCTGAAGCCAGCAGAAAAAGCACAGTTCCGCTTCGAGGTCCACGGCAATGCGATCAGTATGTCAAACGTCGGGCTATACATACCTCTCCCATCCACGCCCTCTACTGCCACAAGCTAACTCTCCCTCAGTAACTGGCGGAGCCGGCACACTCGCCCTCGAAGCTGCCGAAGCCCTCCTCGAACACGGCGCATCCGGTCTCGCGCTATGGGACATTAACCCCGACACGGCCCTCGAAAGCATCAAGAAGCTACACGCACGCTTCCCCGACCGGCGCATAATGACCGAAGCCGTCGACGTGCGGGACGAAGCTCAAATCGCATCCGCAGTGGAGAGCGCCACGAAAGTCCTCGGCAGCGTAGACATACTGTGCTGCTTCGCCGGCGTCGTGGGCTGCACACACGCCATCGAAATGGCCGCCGACGAGTGGCGCCGCACCCACGACATCAACCTGACGGGCTCGTTCCTGTGTGCGCAGGCTGTTGCGCGCCAGATGCGCGCCCAGGGCACCCCGGGCAGCATCACCTTCACGGCGTCCATCTCCGCGCACCACACCAACTTCCCCCAGCCGCAGGCTGCGTACAACAGCTCCAAGACGGCGCTGCTGTCGCTGGCGAAGAGCCTGGCAGCGGAGTGGAGCAGTTATGGTATCAGGGTCAATACGCTGAGTCCGGGCTACATGGACACGATTCTGAATGATGGGCCGGGGCTGGAGCGCGCGAGGACGTCGTGGAATTCGCGGAATCCGATGGGGCGCATGGGGCATCCGTGGGAGCTGACAGGGCCGCTGATTACATTGGTCAGTAACGCCGGGCGGTATATTAATGGTACGGATATCATTGTGGATGGCGGGGCAATGGCTTTCTAGTAGACGCTAGCGGTGATGGTGAGTAGGCGTGGCAGGTACGTCGGCGACGGGCCGTTCCAGGAGTTAGCCTACGGTAGGAGCGCATGATGAGTATATACTGTGCATGCTCTCATGGTGCTAGAACAAGTGAATTTCATCTACCAAAGAGTTTCCAGACATACAAAGCATTGCGAAAGGGATAGTTCTTGAGACCGAGCTGTGCATTCAATCTCAAGCGTAAAGTCTCTTCTCTGTGCACATTCAGAGGCACCACACAGGGATATTCAAGTTTGTGTATGGGGCATGTTGACTGTAGAAGCGCGACTACGGCAGTCCTTTCCACCATCGCCTAAGAACGACGACCCCACCTCGTTCCCGACCCACATCCCCCCGCACCAAAAAACACCAACAAACGAACACCTAGTGCCGCTCAACACATCCACTGATCCCTCTTCTTATCAACCGTCAATATATAGCTTTATAAGTGTTTCATCCGGCAAAGCACACATCAACCAATAAGGGCGCTTGGTCTAGGTAAGAATAACTCATCCTGTCTTCAGCAACAGCCACTAACATTCAATCAGGGGTATGATTTTCGCTTCGCATCTTACGATACGTACTTGTGAAAGGTCGTGGGTTCAATTCCCACAGCGTCCATTTTTTGCCGGTTTGTGCTGCTGGTCGGTTGCTAAGTGGGGCTGGCAGTTGCTGTCTTTTTGCTGTTGAAGAACAATGAATATGGAAAAAGGGTCTGATCAAGGAGTGTAGTGTTGGTACGATGTATGTATTCAAGACGCGCCTTCGCATGACTATCCACACAACGACGGACAGTAATCTACATACGAGCTGTCCACGGGCGACAGGCTCTTCAGTCATACTCCATCGGCGGTGGCGGTGGAATACTGAAGTTCTCCAGGCTGCCCAGAGCCTGACTGCTCCCAAGAAAGTTCTGCGTCCTCGCCGCGATTGGACTACTCCACTCCCCCATAGCTGTCCTCGATGGGCTGGGGAAGCTGCTCGGTATGAACAGCGAAGGCGGCCTCTCTGGTGAAATGAGTGGCTGCGACTTCGAAGATCTGTGTGGCGTTGTGTTCGCACTGACCATACGCTGTGTGCGGTTCTTCTTTGGCGTCGTCTCGTCGACCGTTGTAGCCTGGCTGTGCTGGATGCGTGTTGGTGAGGACAACACTTCTGTCTTTGGGAGTCGAGATGTGGCGTTGTAGCTGAGTGAATCTGCTGCGGCGTGCATGCTTGACGAGTGTGGTGGACGGGCATGGACGTATTGAGAGTATGATAGCCACTCGTTCTGGAGTTGTTGTTCGGCTTTGCTTGAGTGGGACTGCTGTGTTTCACGGTCTGTGGTTGGGGAGCGAGGGACTTGCACAGGTTCGCCGTCGAGGTCTGTCGATTGGTGGATCAGGGTCGATGGTGGCTCTAGTATCTTGCGCTGCAGTGTGCGTCGTCGGCTTGGCCCTGCTACAGCTTCCTCGTCGTCAGAAGATTCGTCCATGAGCTCCATTGGTGTTGATGGGAGATCTTCATCTGGGTGGTGCCTTATTGGTGGTGTGCTAGGGAAATCGCCAGTCTGTGTGGGCGCCTGAGTACCTCTGATCAAATCTAGTTGGCTGATGTAGTGAGTTTGATCAATAACTGGAAGTGACTCTTTCGATGTATTCGCGTCTTGAGGCAATTGCGATTTGGTGCCTAGCCGCGAAGATTGATATGATTCGAATCCCGGTCCGCTGTCGTCGTACATAACAGGCGCCCAGGATTCTCCAAGTTCAGGTGAAGGTTTGTACGGAACTTGTCGGACAGTGGCCTCCTCTACCTCTTCGGAAGACTCTGGCTCATCTGAAGAGATATTTCCACTCTCATGCGCGCACGCTAAGTCAATGCTATGGAGTATTGCTTGCGTCTCTGCGCCAATATATTCATGATCTGATATGCTCATCTGATCCTGCTCAGCCACTTCGTACTCAAGGTCGCTCTCGTCCTCGTCTTCAGAATCTTGTATAGTACTCGCAAACTTCCTCAAATAGGCAGGCGGTGCAGGTGAGATGGTGGGCTCCTGGAAGACAACTTGCCTGCGCTTCGATGGTGTCTCTGCAACTATGGTCGTAACACTCGTTTCCTCTCGCAAAGCAGACGTTTTAGGCTTCTGGGGAGAGACTTGAGTAGATAGGATGGACTCGACTGGAGATTGCGATGATGGTATCTCAAAAACTCTGCGTTTCTCGGGAGTCGAGAGAAGACTGAACCTTGGTTTTACGGACCCTCGGCGCTCACCTACTTTTTTGGATGGTTGCTGTGCTGGTGTCCTTCGTGTGGACTGTCTGGTGCCGAGAGTTAGTGCTTCGATGAACCGAGTAGGCTGATAGTCTTGCTCATCAACACCTTCAGTCATCTCCACAGACTGTACGATGACAGGTGATCCGGGGCGTAATGCAGCCAGCACGCCGTGCTCTGTTTCCTCTTGAACTTGAACTTGAACTTGAACTTGATTGTTCTCGACGTCACCAGAACGCTGAACAGACGAAGGCGTGCGGATGGGCGGGTTGATCGTAAGCAGGCCTTGCTCGATGAGCGTTTGCGAAACCGTATTATTGTTTGTATCATCGTCCTCCAGGTCCGCATCCAGACTGCTCAGCTCCTCGAGCTCTTCCTTACTCAAGCGTCCCATACCAGGTACCATCTGTGTAAGCGTTCGCTGCTTTTTGTCCCTCTCTGTGTTACCCATTCCACCCCAACTGGCTCGGGAACGTCGCCTTACAGGCTTAAAGTCGGGTTCGTCGGCGGTTGTCGATGGTCTCCTTCCGTCTGCGATTTGTGTCATTGTAGACTGCCGTCGAAGGGTGCGACTACGCTCTTCTTTCGGCGCTGTCGTTCGTATTCGGCGCTTGACCGACATCGACGCGGATTCTCCATACTCCTCGTGGATGTCGCTTTCCTTTCGCTTCTTATTCGCGCTTCTATTCTGTGGCGTGCTTGCCATAGCCTCATCAGCCGCCGCGTCCTGCGCTGTGTGCTCTTCGTCTGTCTCAGTTTCCTCCGAATTATCCCCGTCCTTGATCTTTCGTTGCTTCATCTTCTCTGGCAGAAATGTCATCTGCCTCTTCTTGCCCACATCTTGCTCTGCTGGCTCTGGTCTGCGCACCGTCTTCCTCCTGTGAGGAAAGCGGACTTGCTGAGGTACTTTCTTCGAATAGTAGACTTTATAATCTGCATCTCTGTTGCTCGTTCGTGTGCGTGGTGTCATATTGTGCCTGGATGCATTGTGTGGTGCTCAGGAAGACGCGTCGACGCGTAGAGAGGTGGCGCGCCACCCCTGCAGACTGATGCGTCATTGGCCTGTACCTAGCAGCCTGGAGACCCTTCGCCATTGACCCAGGCTGCAATGCAGCACGGATAATCCTTCCTAGATTCGTTATTACACGAATACGACACATGCCATGTTCTTCATGTGTGAGTCTCCCTCGGGTTAGGTAGAGGACCACGGTGCACGGAGTTGCGACGGCAAATCTGCCCCCGGAACGTCTCCAGAGACTCTTTTGGGTTGACACTTGCAACACACCTCTCACAACAGCTTCTCAAAAATGACAGCTATGCCTCATTCTGTTCCCGCTATGCGCGGCACTTGGCCGCGATTCAGGCTGTCGCTGTTCACGTGTCAGCGAAGGTTGGCGTGTAGCCAAAGCAAAGTCAAGACAGAATGCCCCAGCAAAGCTGCAGCGACTTTATCGTTATCATCGGCGCAGTTCTGGAGGTCTTCGCCCACGTGGAAACGAGCAGGTATCAATACGTTGCGGTGTCTTGTTGGCTGCACAGCTGGCGACTTTTCAGCTATGTGGTACTTGCAATCGTTCCATGGAGACCTCGGACTGTCGACAATCATGGCTCTATCCAGTAGGATGGACTCAACCCGACTGTTCCTAACTGAAAGCTGACGTCTTCTAGTGGCCTCTGGCATTACCACATCGTTGGTTCTTGAAACTGCTTTGCTTCGGCTGGGTCGCGACCGCCTACCTTGGGTTGCTGCTGCAAAGACGGCAGCAGGCATGAGCATGATCTCCATGATAACAATGGAGGCTGCTGAGAACGCTGTCGACTACCATCTCACGGGAGGCATGGTCCAGTTCGATTCACCCGCTTTCTGGGGTGCGGCTCTTGCATCGGTGGCTGCAGGGTTCCTGGCTCCACTCCCTTACAACTACATTCGACTGCGAAAATATGGCAAAGCATGTCATTGACGTTAGAGTGATACATCTCTTGGTGTGTACGCTGACACTTCTATGACAAAGATCGAGCATCCTAAGGAACGTTTGACCTTTTCAAGTAGTGCTTTCTTCAACGGGTGGGACGTCACTTTAGGTTGAAAAGGAAAAGGTACGTGCATGGAGCACTCCAGTGATTTATATCGCAGAATACCAAGCTATCTCCCATACACGCGTGGTTGACGTGGATCGGGACTAAAATCGTTGTCATATCATGCTCGAAAGACATTGGAACTGTACTTGTATGGACTTGCGAAGTGCATTCCAGGAGTGCCTGGGTAGTTAGTCTAAGTCCTAGCCCTCGTAAACGATCTTGTACGTTGTCCACTAATCACATCCGGAATCGTTCCGAATGAGACCGTTCTTTGTCCACACACTACCCGTATCCCAACATTCTCACACTGTACAACTTTCGATGTCAACCCGTATATTACCCACCTTCTAATGTGCAAGGATGGCACGCTGTGCTAAACTCAGCTGCGAGCCACGAAGCGTGGTCAAAGCCACCACTGACATCGCAGGTCCAGGAGTAAGTTGAGTGTTCGGGTCTTGGTGCTTTCGATCTCACATGCATATAGGTCCTCTTCGCATATTTAGCATCAGCAATTCTCGCAATCCTGGCTATTGTGTATGGCTATCTGTCTGACTCTTTACCAGAGTCGTACCTCAACGAGACAGATAGAGCGGTCATTGATAGCTTCCAGTCATGTCTACCCTCAGAGAGGAACATGGCTCGCGTGCGAGCTGCATACGAAGCGATCAAGTCCTTCATGCTCTTCGGTAGGAAACCAACCCCACACCGTCGACTCACCCGAAGACAACGTGAAGAAGTCATCAAGCGGTTCATACTTGCGTTAAGCGATCAACAACTCGCCACCGGTCTTGCCATTCTTGTTGCAGCTGTTGCAAACCAATGCACTCTGACAGTATGGGAATTCGAGCTCGCATTTTCCCTGGCTTGGTTTTCATCCACTACCCACTTGGCGACCCTAGATTGCTTGCGAGAGTACTTCCTACAACATGGTGCCGTTCGCAACTGGCGTGTCTTTGGCATGTTATCACTGCTCATGTTGCTGTCGTACTCACTGATCATGAGTATGGCTTCTAACGATGAGACTATACCTTTGCAGTGCACGTTCTACTTCTTCGGCGAGAAGGGCTTATACCAAGCAGTACCTTTGGACATATTCGACATTCTCTCTGCCGCTCTGACTCTTGTGCTGTTGACTTGGCAGTATTTGGTGCGCATACGATGGTCCTACAAGAGGGCTGACGGAAAACCCACCTTTTTCGAACGTGCAATGTTCACAGCGCGCACACGGCAATACCGATCAACCTTTAGGCCAAGCAAAAATGATATCGAATACATCATCGAGGAGGCCGTCAGCGAGCGGATGTCATACAGACGGCGACGGAGCCTTGAACAAATCAGAAACAGCAGAGGCTTACGACGTCACTGGCTCATTGCGTATCGTGCCTCTGAAAGCTACAGTCAATCCTTCTTGTCCCTGGCTCCTATGCTCACTTTCATGATTGCTTTTGGCTTCACACAGCTGTACTTGGTTCGCTGGCAATCGAACGTACCTCTAGATATTGATACAGCTATGGGCATTGGCCAAATTACCCCTTTATTCCTATTGGGGTTGCCTGTGTTAGTCGCTGCGGAAATCTACTATGGTACAGATGGTCTCCACCACTGGTTTCAAAACGCTAACACGCCTCAGAGGTCCAAGATACAAGCGAGACCGTACAGTCAGAAGAGCTCGTCAGGGAGAACGCAGAGTCAGCCACTGCTAGATACGAGCGTCTTCGGCGTACTTCTGCTCCTGGAAGATTCGCCCTACGGGCAAACTTCCGCCGTGCCTACGAATCAATTGACATTCGCGATCTCGAGCAACCGGGTCGAGGTCATAGTGCTGAAGACTACGAAACTCTTTTACCTGCCATTCAGCGTTTCTTCTATCTCGAAACCAAGCTTGTCGAGGAAAAAGATATCGCACTGCGAGCCAAAGCATCTGGCAGCGAGACTGAGAAGTCGTTGTTCGGCCTCAAAGCTCATGTTGTTGCGTCATATCATCTCCTCAATGCGCAAGAGACTGCGCTGAAAGTTACGACGCTCTTTTCACTCGTGGAGTATACTGTCTGCAGCGTCGTTTCCGCCGCACTGGGCATATTGGTCTACGTGCAGGGGTCGAGCGAGTGGACTACAATTACTAGTATTGTTCTGTTTGGACTTTGTCTTGTGTACAAGTTCTTTGATTACGTATCGTATGTCCCTGAAGCATGGTTTGAGGTCAGCGAAGTGGATTACAAGAGATGGCTGAAGGAGGCCAGAGAGTGTAGGCTGGGCATCGAGCACAGTGGTGAGACAACAGTAGATTCACCGGCTGACTAATGAGCACGTTCTACCGTTGGTGAATTTAAAACTGTCAGACTGGAGCATCTAGCGACTTGCCCAACCTTTTCAACCCACGAGCAGTCTGGGACTAGGGGGATCAGAAGCGGCTCAGCCCACCTTCGCCAACCACTCAAACAACGCTTTGTGATACCTCTCACTATCCTGAGTCTGTGGAGCATGTCCTAGGTCTGTCCATTCCACCAACTCCGCACCTGGGATATTTGCGGCCGCCTCCTTGCCAAGGACCGAGTAGTTCCCTAGCTTGGCCTGCACCGCTGGCGGACTCCAAGCCTTCCCAATGGCAGTGTTGTCTTTCGTGCCAATCATGAGCAAAGTTTTCGCTTTCACTAGGCCGAGCTCGTACACGACTGGCTGCGTCAGCACCATATCTGTTGTTGATGCCATGTTATACGCGAACGTAGCCCCCTCAACGGGCAGACGATACAAGGAGACCAGCATGTTGACCCAGACGTCATACTCAGGCTTCCAGGTGTTGACGTAGTAGGTGGCTTGCTGATAATTGCGAATTGACGTGTAATTCGTCCTCAGCTCGTCTGGGTACAGAAGATCAATTGATCGCCACGGGACACCGAGGGCTTTCCAGTCCTCCAGACCGATGGGATTCGTCAAGATGAGGTGCGAAGTAGTGTTGGGGTACATAAGCGCGAAGCGAGTCGCAAGCATGCCGCCCATTGAGTGTCCAAGGACCTTGGTTTGTGATACACCGAGCGACTGAAGCAGCGAGTTGGTGTTGAAGGCTAGCTGTTGCAGAGAGAACTGGTATGTTGGCGGTTTGGATGATTTGCAGAAGCCAATCTGGTCTGGCACAATAACTCGGTAGCCACGGGCTGACAGCCTCCGCGCTGTGTCTTCCCATGTTGCGCCACAAAAGTTTTTACCATGAAGAAGAACAATGGTTTTGTTCGTTGCATAGCTGGTTGGTGCAACATCCATGTAGGCCATGGAGAGATTCTGGCGCTGTGACGTGACGGTATGGTACTTTACTGGCCATGGGTAGGTGTAGTTCCACGTGCTTGGTGGGACAACAGTCTGTCCGACCACAGCAGAGACCAGCAGCGTCAGCACGCAAGTAATCGATCTCATCGTGTAGGCCAAAGTCTGTGATAAATTTTCCGAAAGGTGCAAACGCCAGAAGCGCGAACTGGTGAGATCTTATGTCCAGATCGCACATACCCTTGCACTCGCGTACCTGGTCTGTACGACGACGGCTGCCAATCCCGGACAAATCCGCTTACCGTTTATCTCACAAGGCGTCCAACTAGAGATACGAGAGAACTGAGTGTTCCAATTTCCACCAACCTCTAACCGCGTCTTCAACTGCGTTCCCACGAAGCTCTCTATGTAATGCCTGATTTTTTATGTGCTCATCTTGGTGCCTAGATAGGTAACCTTGACCCATCAAGCGGACAAACATGCCTGCAGACATCACGTTACCTCTCGAACGTTGTCTTTGCGAAGATGCATCGGACGAATTGCTTTATAGAGATTGTGAGTTCCTAGCGAGGTCGGAAAGAAGAAGGAGAGACTGGGGTCAGCAGTCTAGACCGAACATCGAAAAGCGCCCGTTGACTTTTGGCCCCGTGTCCCCGCACTCCTGCCGTCCACCCTCATGCCAACTTCACAAATCTACATCCTGACTAAGCTTGAGCGTTCACGTATATACCCACCGGACTACCACTCCCCACATTTGCGGCCTCGATCCTGCTCCGCGATGTGTGCTGCCATAGTTGCCTAAACGGCTAAATTGCGCGGCAATGACTACATCGCCACAGACGAAGCTTGCGGATGAGCTTGCGTTGCTGTAATATTTATTGTGTTGGTTGACACAATCAAGAGCAAATTACCTACACTTACAAACACAGAGATCAGAGAGTGTGTAAGTGCTCAGATGGATGCATAGTCGATGTCTACGTCATGAGCATGCGCGTTGTTCACAACGTGGTTGACACCATTCTGCCTAGGTCTGGCCTAGTCACGCACGATCTGCCCTGAATATCCGGGGAACAAGCATGATCTAGAAGTCTTTTCTCCTAGAGCCCGCTAGCTTCGCATTTCTTCGTTCAATGTCGGTCGCCATCCGTGGGCCCGGAACAATGCATACCTATAAAACACGCTGCCACCTTTGCTCTCAGTTTATCGGGCAGTACCTTCTACAATCTGGTCAAGGATCTGAGGTAACTCCTCCCTTCATCCATGATGCCGGTTTTCGCCACCTTCTTTGCTGTAATAGCGGGTATTGTCAGTTTTTCATCTGCCTCGCCTGTGGAGACATCAAGTGTAGCAAGTCTTTCGAATTCGAAGTCCTCTCTTACTCTGATCTACCAAAACAACTTGAATGGTTCAGACGACAAGAATCACATCGGCGCCATCATTCTTGATGCGGTGACCCCTTCGAGCGCAGCCGCAGCTTGTGCGGCATTGAACGAGAGGCTTCTGTCTAAATCATCCCTGGAACAGTATCAGTCCGACTTCATAGATGCTCTCACTTACCAGGATTTCGCCAAGTACTACGACGCCGGCAAGGGCTTTCATATCGACGATGGTATTGTCTCCGTCAACAGGCAGTTGAACTTTGCCTCGGCCTCTGGGTCTTCGAAGAACGCTCTGCCGGTTCTATGTACGCAATCTGCGAACAACGGATCGTCGAGCGCGAAACTCGTCAATGGCACAGAAGTTACTTTGGCATCAGGTGGCAACAATTTCATTGGCTATCGCAATCAGAAGTCGTTCCGTTTCCTTGGTATCCCCTACGCTGACGTTCCACGACGATTCAAATACTCTTCTCTATATTCCAAGAAAGATCAGACTATCCAAGCGACTTCATATGGAGCACAGTGTGCGCAAGGTGCCTCCGGCAGCGAAGACTGCCTTTTCTTGAACATCCAGACGCCTTATATTCCCAAAACAGGCTCGAAGCAGAAGCTTCGTCCCGTTATGTTTTGGATTCACGGTGGTGGTTTTACGGGTGGTAGTGGCGCCGATGCGACCTCAGATGGTGGCAATCTTGCCAGCAAGGAAGATATCGTTACTGTTTCGATCAACTACCGCCTTTCAACCCTCGGTTTCCTGGCTATCCCTGGGACCGACATTAAAGGCAACTTTGGTATTGCAGACCAGATTACGGCGCTCGACTGGGTCGTTGCGAATATCGCAGCGTTTGGAGGCGATCCTAAGAAGATCACCATTTCCGGCGAGTCAGCCGGGGCTGGATCTGTTCGCACACTTCTTGGATCACCCCAGGCAATTGGCAAATACCAGGGGGCTGTATCCATGTCCAATCTTGGTGGCGGCGTCACTCTAGGCCTCAAGGGCGACTATGGTACGACTTACTCGACATACTACACCATTGACCAATCGTATGCTGTTGCAGGGCCTCAGATATTCTCTGGTGTGGGTTGCAACAGCACCGATGTCTCGAGTCAGATTGCCTGCCTAGAAAAAGTACCTGCTGCCACCCTCGTGGGTCTTTCAACCGTGGCTCGCTATGTTGTGCAGGACGGCAAGTATGTCGATACGTCAAACCTCATCCTCTCGACCCGCAACGGAAGTACTGCCCATGTTCCCGTAATCTTCGGCATCATCCGCGATGATGGTGCATCATTCTCAACATACCCAAAGACACCGATTGCCAACCACACCCAGGGCCTTCAAGTCGCTCTCGGTATCAACTCGACCTGGGCCGAGAAGGTTATCGCTTCTGGGTTGTTTCCTATCATCAGTACAGGCAATCTTACCCTCGACTCATTCAATGTGTCGCAACGTATTGCAACCGACAAGACATTTCGCTGTGTCGATCAGGCCACCGTCTATGCCGGTGCTCAGACCAAAGCTTTTCAGAAAGCGTACTATTATCAGTTTGAGCGTACGATCAATGGCTACGATCCTAACAATCTTGGTGGGCCGAAGGACAACAACCCGAAGAATCCATACTTTCGGTTCCATGGTGCTGACATGCCGTGGGTCTTTGGTACACTGAACACCATTCGTGAGCCCGAGGATCTATGGTCAGTGCAACTGGTATCAAGTTATTTCGGATCCTTTGTAAGAAGCGGTGACCCAAATCCTGACCTGAAGTACCTGAAGGCCCGCGGTTACAACAAGGTCATCGAGGGTGTGAAGAATCATGGCCAATGGAACCAGGTCGCTGGGGGCAAAAAGAGTGGTGATGAGGTTAGATTGCTGGATTGGCCAAGTATAAATACCGGATACGTGGATGTGGAGCAATGCAACTGGCTGGGCTATCCATTGGACTACTATTTGAAAGGAGGTATCTAAATAATAAGCTCTGGATATCAATTTAATGCTGCCCTGTCTTATGTATCACAGAGCTACTTTACAGCTGTCATTGGATCCATCGAACAAGATCTTGGTTGCTCTTATCGAGCATATTCGTCTCGATGTCTACGTTGACCCTCAAGACACAGATATCCTTTATCTCGTGTTTGTCACCCCGAAGAACAGGAATCGATCAAGCTATTGCATCGCCTATCATCTCGATCCACACCTTCTCGAACGGGTTCCAAATGCTGTAGAACTGATAGCAGTTCAAATACCTAGGTCGCTGGTGACTGGGCATGTACCTCATATCACATCGTTCATGCACGACACGGAGCATAGCTACAATCAAACTTCAATAAGCTATTGGCGAGCAATTTGGGGGACAAGGGTCCCCTCACCGTGAACCCTCGACCACATGAACGCTGCTTGTACCGATAAGCTAAAAGCGTTTAAAGGCAGACTCCTTCACGAAAGTTCAATCGCGGTCCGGCTGCTTGCCAGTTGCTTCTTTATCCCATATGCTTCCTCATCACTGTAATCGCCTCCTGCGGTTCTCGAGTTTATTGAACTTCTCGTGTTGATAGTCGGCTCTCATCCGTGACACGGCACGCGACACAACCCCGCGGGCGCCTCGTCCGTTCCTTGTCCCAAGCAGCGAATCCCTTCGAACCGCTGGGGTAAGGAGTATCGATAGGGACGAGGTTCTAGCGCGAAACGAGCAGGTTGGTCCGTTCGTGCACCCGCCCCCTTTCCTATCTTGGCCCGGCTAATCAGATGGCAGGCGTCCACAGCACATGCAACAACACGATCGGCATCCATCGTCTCTCTTGCGTCGTTATCTTTCACAGTTCCGCGCCTGCGTCTGTTACGCTAAATCGTGTCGTGAAGCTTTGGAACTTGACGTCACACAAAGAGCTCGGAAGTCCGGCAACATCGCAAGATCAACACGTCGACCGTGTGATCAAGAAGTGATCTGCAACAAACAAAACTTAACACATTCTTGCGAGACTGGTCGGAGATTTCTGCTGAAATTCGACAATTCTTGGGTCAACATGGGCGATATTGCGCCCGTGCGAACGCACGGAAGTACGGCCAAGGGAGCCCTCCAGGTCGAAGAAGACGTCTACAGAGATGCTTCAGGATCAGGGCCTGCGCAAGATGGCGAAGTAGAGGCACAAGCGGCTGCTTCAAACAAAAGACCAAAGGCGAAGCAAACATACAGCCACGCGCATTTCAAAGTCTACAAGCGAAGATGGCTTGGTCTTGCTCAGCTCGTATTGTTGAACATAGTCGTTAGTTGGGACGTATGTACTAGATGCCCATGCAATATGGGTCGCACGTGCTGACGATAAGCAGTGGTTGACTTTCGCTCCGGTCTCGACATCAGCAGCGACATATTTTGATGTTTCCGAAACGGCAATCAACTGGCTTTCTACTGCCTTTTTGTTCTCATTTTCAGTCGCAGCTCCGCTTGTTATTTGGACACTTCATCGCAGCCCCAAGGAGAGTATTCTTTGGGCCTCTGGCTTGCTCCTGGTCGGGAATTGGATCCGATTTGCAGGCACTAAGGCCTCGGGCGGCGTCTTCGGCGTCGTGATGTTCGGTCAGATTTTGACGGGACTCGCACAGCCCTTTGTACTTGCTGCGCCAACGAGGTACTCAGACATGTGGTTCACCGAGCGAGGACGAGTGGGTGCGACTGCGCTGGCCAGTCTAGCCAACCCATTTGGTGGCGCTGTAAGTTAATGCCCGGAACTGTCCAGAGCTACACTAACAACAGCAGCTCGCTCAACTTATCAACCCGCTCCTTGGCTCTGTTGACAAGATTGTGTTGATTGTCTCGATCATCGCGACCGTGTCCTGCATACCCTCCATCTTCCTCCCTTCCGCGCCCCCAACGCCACCAACAGCCTCGTCAAGTCTTTCTAGGACGCCCGTCCTCGAGTCGATCAAGGTCATGTTGCGATCGCCTCCGTTCTACGTGATACTTCTGACTTTCAGCGTATACGTGGGCTTCTTCAATGCCTTTTCCTCCCTGTTGAACCAGATACTCTACCCGTACGGATTCTCCGAAGACGAGGCTGGCATTTGCGGCGCCATACTTATCGTTGTTGGCCTTGTGGTCGCGGCTATCACTTCGATTGTTCTCGACCGCACGCATGCGTACCTCCTCGGCATTAAGATCCTCTGCCCGCTTGTTGCGTTGAGCTACATGGCAATGATCTGGGCGCCGCAGACGAGGACTATTGCCGCGCCGTACGTAATCAGTGCGGTGCTGGGTGCAAGCAGTTTCAGTCTGCTGCCAATCGCGCTGGAGTATCTAGTAGAGATCACGTTCCCGGCAAGTCCAGAAGTTAGCTCGACGATATGTTGGGTCGGAGGACAGTTCATTGGAGCGTGTTTTGTGCTAATCATGGATGCGTTGAAGGATGGGAGGGCAGTGGATTTGACTCAAGTCAACGACGGGGGCAGAATCGATAGTGGCGGCAACAGGCCGCCCGGAAACATGTACAACGCACTGGTTTTCGAAGCGGTCGTGGGTATGGTTGTCTTACCGCTGCCACTGATGTTAGGAATAAAGAAGCTGGGGTTGGCCATCGGGGAGGGCAGATTGACGGTTGATGAGCACAGGGAAGGAGAAGTACTAGAGGGGCAAGAAAGCTGACTGTTGGAGGATTACGATGCTGCGTAGTCCAATGCAGGAGATCTGCTTTTCATCGCTGTCGCCATGAGTTGAAACTGTTTGTGTGACTGTCATACAATCCATGACCATGCTTTCTCCAGCCAGAGGTAGCAATGGAACCTGATTGAGGTAAAGAAATTGCTTGGCATGGTAAATAGTACAGTGTTATTCTAAACATGACTCTGGTATTTACAGTCATCCTTGACGTGTCCTGTCGTGTCTTTCGATCCAATGGCCATCTTCCAACTATCGTGTCGTTTATTCGGCGACGTAGCGGTCGAGGTGAGCGTGTTGGCAAGTTTATTTGAGCTGAGCGAAGAGCTTGGGGGCGGCGCACGCGGTCGCGCAGTGGACAAGGTGGAAGACTGGTACCAATTAGTTGCCCGGCGCAAGACTGTGGGTACGGCGATGACATACACTCCTCAACGCAGTCCTCGTCGGCCTTGCCGTTGTTGTCGATCTGACCGGTGACGCGCTCAACGCACTCGTCGTAGTGGTGCTTGGGGCCGTGGCACTCCTTGGAGTTGCGGCACTCTGCGATAAACCGTCAGCTGCAACTCTGCAAACCGATCGCCGTGAGAACAGATTCCAGCGTCATGTGATAAGCAGATCATCAATGGTCCGACGAATGGCGCCAGAACGTCCTGTACACCCAATGATGCTGGAACCGTCGTCTGTCACGGTTTGGAGGCTACTCACCCTCCTCAAGGGTGTCCTTGGGGTCTACGGTCTCTTCCTCCTCTTCCTCCTCCTCCTCCTCCTCGTCGTCGCCGCCGTCGCTGGGCCTGTGTCCCTGCTCACCCTCCTCGGGCTCCTTGGCATCCTGCTTGTTGACCTCGGCCTCCTCGCTAGACTCCTCGTCGGTTCCAGATGCTGGTGTGCTGGTCGATGCGCCACCCTGGGGAGGAGCTTCGGCATCGGCCGAGGGGAGGGCGAACGTGTCCCAGGCGGCGGAGAAGAAGTCGGTGATACCCATTGTGACGGTGGGGCGACAATTGAGTCTCGAGCGGGTCGGATGGTGATGTAGACGGCGGGTGAGAGTCGAAGCTGTCGATGTTCAAGCCGCGAATTCGTCGAGACTTGGCAGCGCTAGCCCCAGGAACATGTCATCAAAACCAGTCGCAACTCATTGGACCCTTCGTGCCTGTCGAGCGAAGAACAGACTGGGCTTTCACAATGCTCATGGAATTGCTGCTATTTTCAAGGCATGTCTGCAACTAGCTACGATGCCTTTTGAATGCTTCCTGAACGCTCACGCCCGCCTCAACGTCTGCAATCACCTTCTCGTCGGCGCCTACGAGTTTTGGTAGCAACTCAAGCAACTCATCGATCTTGCCGTATGGCACTGCAACCACTCCGTTCTCGAATGGATCGATCATTACAATGTCACCGGCCTCGACAATAGTCTCGCCAATATGTATCGGCACATTGTGCGCGTGAAACTTCGTCTCTGCTCCTGCGCCGATGATCGACGTTCCCTTTGACCAGATTGGTAGCTGTGTCTCGTTCAGTGCTACGAGATCTCGTACTCTACCGTCGACGACCAGACCGCTTGCCCCAAGCTGCTTCATACGGGCAGCCATGATGCCACCCACGACTGCGCATGACTGGCCTGGTGGCTGGCTGATGACAATGATGGTGCCAGGCTCTGCATAGTCTGCATATGGTCTCGAGTCTGGTAAGTTCGAAGCTGGTGCATCCGGTGACAGCTTGGTCGGGTTAGGGAATGATTTAGTTGCTTTGGGTGCCATCAGATATGTTGATGCAGGCGCAAGCACCTTCTTCAACACTGGTCTTGCTATGCTTGCAGTATGCGGCATTGGCTCTGCTGAACATTAGCATGATCCCGTATCAATTCAGACGATCCGTACGTATGTTGGCTAGGAAACCTGCGCCAGGAACATTGAGCTTGAGCAGGCCATCAGCAAGCTAGATGTACTCAGCAACCGACTTGGTGAGACATGATACTGCTTACGTCGCATGCTGCATACCTATACAGCTCTTTCCACCTGGGTGAGGCCATTGCTGTAATCAATTCTGTTCTTGGCAGGATGCGACTTTACTACCCGTGTACGGTGCAGGACGCGTCGGACTGTCGAGCGCGGTGCTCGAACCTCCGGTTCCATGACCCCGCTGAGCCGAGGTGCAACAGTCTATCATGTATCTGCGCTACTGGAAATAAGCAGGAAACTTTCTTCCCACGAAACGAAAGAAGGACTCTCGAGAGGACCACTCCCGGGCGACCAAGCCATCGCCATACTGAGAGTCGGTCCAAAATACTTCCAGCGCACTGCTGGCGTGTGCTTCGCCAATCCTCTGGAACAGCTCAAGGAACTCTTTGCTGGGCCGCCATTGTCCTACCCTCCACCACATCCAATGCCGTGCAATCACATCAGAATCATGTCCATTTGGTATGGTAAACTTGATATTCGGGTATCTTGTCAAGGCGGCCTTCGCAGCGCCTGATCTCCCAGCTCCTATTACGCCAAACCCCAGAGAACACTCGAAACGCTTATACAAAAGTAACAAACATTCGTCGTATGTCATCTAATGCGTCTTGACATTCTGTGCCCTTGCCAACCACAGCGCCACACTCTCTTTTGCAACCTCACTGCCCCAGACGCCATCCGCCCCACCACGCCTCCATTCTTCGCCGGAGATGTCCTCGCCACCGCCCCTTGTGGCTTCGCCCAGCAGGACTTCGAGGTCGCGCTTCTGCGATGACAGCCAGCGCTTGAAGAACGCCACAGGGTCCTTGGCCATGCTCGTATAGAACGCATGCTTTGCCTTTGACTGCCCAATAGCACCCATGAGCAAGACTAGCTGCTCGTCTAGCTTCTGAATTTCCTGGAGTGTCTGGATGCTGTCCGGTCGGCGTAGGATATCCTGGAACAGAGGCTGCATTGGGTCCTCGAGAGCGACTTGGACATCGTAAACTGTCGGCTCTGAAGGCTTCTTACTGCCCTCTGCAGGCGCGATATAGTCCTTGTCTACGTGGATTGTGTATTGTAGTTGGATGGGTGGGAGTGTGGTCAGGTGTGGCTTGATGAGCTGCGGGAGGTTCGGGAAATAGAACGAATCTTGGCCGTTGAACAAGGCTTTGAGTTTCGCGTCGCAGGCAAACTTGCGTTCATCGTCATCTTGTTGCAGGTGCTGTGACCGCGCGTATTCCCAGATACCCATTAAAACGCCGGCACGGTCTTCCTCATCCGTATCCAGCAGTTCTGATAGAGGTTTGCTCAGTCTGAAGACTTCAGGATTCTGGAATCGCTGCAGATTGATCGTGATGTTGATGTTCTCGTCGCCTTTGCGCTCGAATTCGAGCTCACTAAAGTTGCTCTCCTTCGCTGTAGGGTTCTCTGGCCGCTTCCACTCAATCTGCGTAAAGTTGTCGGGTTGGAGGTCCTTGTTGCGGTCGAAGTCGATCGTGATTGCGCTGAAGTACTGCGAGAAAATCTTCGGTTTCGCGGCCGAGGATTTCGACTCTGCGCCGTCCTCTTCCATGGCTGCGCCACAGTCAGCTTTATTCGTTCTTGCAATAGTCTGTACACAGAAGACTTCTGAGAAGCCGTCCTAGACGAGAATGCTTGCACAGCCCTGGCCGAGCTTATGCATCAAACAAGAGATTACATACCGTCAGTATCCTTGCCCGCCTCGTCTTCATCCTCGTCTTCAAGACCCTCGTCGCCATCCTCGTCCAGCAGACGACCCTGAATCTTAACACGGTAGGTGGCATTGGTGTCGCTCTCAAAGTCAAAAGCTTCCGTGTCAATGCCATTGCTCTGCCAAGGTTGGTTCTCAGCAGTATTGGAGATCCAGATGCGCATAGTACCGTAACGCGACGCTCTCGAGTGGTGCTTCGAATCCATGACATCAAGCTTCTTACGCATCATAGTCGCGTCGAGCGTGCGCTCGACTTCGCGCAACTCACGGTAACGCGCGACGCCGTCACCAATACAGACGTCCTCGACACCCTCGGGTATATTCTTGTCGGTAGGGTTCTTAGCGATCCGGCGCATCTTCTCGCGGCGTTCGGCTTCGGCGCGTTGTTGCGCTTGCATGTTTACGGCGTTGTACTGCTGCGCAGCTTGGTGTTGAGGATGCGCAATCGGGGCTGGTTTGCGAAACATGGCGTCTAAGTCAGCCCTACTGATCATAACTGGCTTAAGAGAATGCGCGCGAACGAGGGTGCGTGGTGGTGGATTTCACAATGTGGAGTTACGTACCGGGCCCGCGCCGGGCAGGCGTTCCGATTGTGCCTGCATTTTGCGGGTAATTGTAATTCCGATAATTCGCCTGCTGCATTGTGGGAGAGCAACGACTTGGTGAAACGGCAGCGACGATGGTGACGCGACTTCCTCGATGGATGCGAGATGGAGGAAGGAACGTCTGCGAAACGCGTCAAGGTAGCTGTGCACAGGGCTGATGATGATTGGCACGAACGCCCCCTAAACATTGAAGGCGGGGCACGACCATCGGCTGGGAACGCCGCGCCTGCACTCACCAGTGCTTCGGCATCTTCAAATATCGTGCAAACTTGTTGCGATGTTGAGAAGTTGTGAATAGATGCAACGATAGGCTTCATGATGTCCCCTCAAGCTGTTCACCGTCTCTAGCCACCCTCCTTGGCGACTGATGATCAGTAACGCGCAGGAAACCAGCACGCATCAAGCCAAGTACAGTTGTCTGGGTCCTATCCATCTAAACGTCATCGTAGATTCCTATCTTTCCTACAAGTTCCACCTCCCTGTCATTCACGTTGTTAGTACCGAAGCCAGCCATGCACAAGATGCAGTCCAAGCCACTGAAGAAGATAACACGCGTGCGTGTCCCGGGAAAGCATTTCTCGGACCTGTGGGACATTACAATTAAAGAAGGCAGAATATCATCTGTGGAAGCGCACGACCAGAGTGCATCAGATCTCGACCAAGATGGAATCCTGGATGGATCTAATCGACTGATTGCTCCATCACTATGCCATGCCCACGTGCACCTGGACAAATGCTTCTTGCTGCAAGACCCCAAGTACAGCGACTTGCAGATCGAGACGGGCGACTTCAAAGAAGCCATGGAAATGACGAGCACGGCGAAGGCAAGATTCGAAGAGGATGACCTCATGAGAAGGGGTGCTCAACTGATCGAAGAAAGCATACAGCATGGTGTCACTGCCATGCGAGCCTTCGTAGAGGTGGATGGCGTCGTCCAACTTAAGTGTTTGGACGTGGGACTTAAGCTGCAAGAGAAGTATAAGGAAATATGCGATGTCCAGATCTGCGCTTTCGCCCAGCTTCCACTATTTTCTGGAGAAGACGGCGGCGCAGAGGTCAGAAAGCTCATGGAGGTTGCAGCAACCAACGAGAAGGTGGACGTGCTCGGCTCGACGCCTTACGTCGAGGACGATGAAAGCAAGTCAAAGGAGAATGCCACTTGGATCTCCGCTCTCGCGTTGAAGTCAAACAAGTACCTTGACTTACATCTGGATTACTTTCTGGAAGAAGATAAGCAGCCACTTGTCTGGGAGGTTCTTAAGATAATTAAAGGGCAGGACTGGACACAGGCTGGCGGCAAACAGATTACCCTTGGACATTGCACACGATTGACAAGGTTCCAGGAAGATGAATGGATTCGGCTGAAACAAGAGATAGGCGAGCTTTCTGTGTCCTTTGTTGGTTTACCCACATCTGATCTGTTTATGATGCGGACTCCACAAAACGTACGAGGAACTTTGCCAATCATCGAGCTGATCAAGCGATATGGACTGAATGCTGCTATTGCAATAAACAACATTGGCAACGCCTTCACCCCGCAAGGAAATTGCGATCCACTGAACATTGCGCAGCTGGGTGTGGGTCTCTATCAGGCACCGACCAAGGGTGACGTGCAATTACTCTATGTATGTTGCCTTACTGCCTTCACTCTTCATTCAGTGTTCGGCTGACATCACGATGCAGGAAGCCGTCTCATCTCGCGCAAAGGCTGCTATTGGCTGCGGACCAACTTCATTGGGTCTTGAGCCTGGTGAGCCCGCAGACTTCGTGCTATTTGATAGTATGGATAGTGGCTGGCGTTGCAGGCGAAGCATTGCCGAAGTGGTGTACGACGCTGGCTCTGTTCGACAAACGGTCTACCAAGGCCGGTTAGCCGCATCATGCAGTTGAGAAACGGGCATCGTTTGCTTGCAATACCAACGCAGTCAAAGAGAGCAGTCGCAAAGGGACTAGGTCGACGTCATACATCAACAAATGAGCAGTGGCCGTTTACATTACAAGAATCAACAATCACGACGTGTCACAGGTCTCACCATCTGGACGTGTACGTACTCGCACATGCAAACAGCCTTACCGACTTTGTGGCGGCGGCAATCTGTTGCACAACTGTGCTGTGCTCTCGCCATCCTCACTTCACCGCTGCTGCCAAGATTTTAGGATCCGAAAATATAAACCTACTCTTTGGTCACGATCTGTCAGAATTTCACTCCAGTACCTCAGATCACCAGAATGTCTGACACGCTATCGGGTACTCGGTAAGACGTCTCATGATCCCACAGACTCTACTAAAGTTGACTTTCGCACAGGCTGCCTTCTGACACGCCGGCTGCAGGCACGCTCGAAGAGCTGAAGGCCGCTAGTCTTAGATTTCTTGTGGACATAAAGGTATTTCCCCTGGAAAAAGGAAACAATTCGCAGAGAGACAGCGACTCATTTCCTGCCAGGCTCGTCTTGGAGACTCGTCGCAGCTCGATGTCGTGCACAAGACGCTCGATTCTTTCAGAAAGGGCGCAATGAGCAAGCGGGATGCATACACAACGATACACAATACTCTTGAAGGGCATGACGATCTCAGGCAAGGGCTTTTGGATATCATTATGCATCCAGCAGCCGAATGGGCTCCCGGCGACTTTGATCTACCCACCATGCAGCCAACTCAGCCGCTTATCAAGCCGACTCCTGAATTTCTGCAGCCGCCACATCAATCGCAGGTGCGCCTCCCGTCCATCTCATCCAAGTGGCATCAACCACTTGGTCAGATGACATACTGTGGCTACAACGATTACAAACCTACGGAATCGTCTCCCGAGCTGCCAGGTCTTGCTCTCCTCCAGCTGCCTCACCAACCTACACATAACTGGGTGGATGATAGAGCAAAGACTGATCATCCGGCTGTTCACGATGATACGCCTGTATTGCCTCCTGTCCATCCGGTCTTTCGTAACCCATGGCACGATGCGAGCTACGCTGATACCTGGGCGAACGGCGACATGTATGTTGGCGATCAGTTCTACGCTCAAGAGTCGCTTAACATATCCTACAGTGGCCACCTGCAGCCTCCGGTAATCTACTCCCAAGATATTGAATCGTACCAGCAGCCAAGTTTTCTCTCACAGACCGCTCTCTCACCAACGCTCACTCCGCAATCTACCTACGAGCCGACACCAGCTTCAAATGAAGACAGTGTCTTCTACAGGACCAGTCTGTATGAAAAAAGTCCGGTGCGATTTCAAGTGCTGCCGACGCCGATCTCTCAATCTCCGCCTGATATGCAACAATCTCGAGATACAACAGAATACAGCCAGACAGACCGGCCTCACTCACCGAAAGAACTCTTCATACACGCCCTGTGTGGCAAAGGTTTCACGACATTGGCGGCGGTGAAGAAACATCATTGGGGCAAGAAGACCAACGACCTCGCAACAACGACAGGTTGCTGGGCAAAGCACAAGAAACCGAACACTCCCTGGTATGCTCATTCTAGCTGTGAATACGGACAGCACGCGTCTGAAAAGAGCAAGAGTTTTTCTTCTACATCCAAGCAAGGTCAGCTGAAAGCCTCGTCGCAGCGCAAGACTCAGACACCTTCGACCTCGCTGCAATTCAACACAGTGCCTGGTTTCCCGACGCTTTCCGATTTACCTAATGCAGTCGCAAGAACCTTGAGTGCAGGAAACCCAAGCCCAGGAGAACTGAGCTCACGTTATCATACCCATCGACTTCCGTCGTCAAGTGGCTTTGACAGTCTGTTGACAGCAGTCAACATGGTCTCCCAGATTGATGCGCCGAAACCTGAGACTCGGACAAACTCTATCGCCCTGCATCTAGATGCTCAAGTCGCTGCTTCAGAACAGGAGGCTCAGTTCGTGCCGTATGTACCAGCTAAAAGCTCTCGTGGTATACCTATCGCCGTGCCAGATGCATTGAAATCAGTGGGAATTGTCCTGGGAGAACCTGCAAATGGCGGGAGTGGGCATCTTCCAAATCACGGCAAGGAAGAATGTCTTTTGAGAAGCCAGACTGGTGTTGCAGGGTCCGTTGCGTCCGCGGCCTTCTCGCAGCCGCTTGAGCCCCTTCACTCCGGATCATCAGGTCCTGCAAAGAAAAAGCGAAGAGTCTAGACAGACTTCCAGATGACCTCGGTGGTTAAATCACTTCACGTCAAGCAAAAGCTGTACACACTCTTGCGCGATTATGACGTAGTGTGTGTTTGTTTAGAAAACGGCGTCCGGTATATGTAATGAGGCTGTCACGGTAGACGACGCTGAAGGAGCAATGTCCGGCAGCTCCGGCTAAAGTGTATGATTGGTAGCGACCAGCATCACCCAGGGAGTGGCACTGAGAACCCCGGGTCTGTTATGAGGTTCGGCGGCGGGACTGTGCTATGGAAATATCAGATGACAGGCTTACCCTGCGGAGTAAGTACCTGTTGCAGTAGACCATCCCGTGCATAAAATGTCAGCAAGTGTGGCACGGTCAAGCTTCCCCGCTTGCAGCTTGAAAGCTGCGAGCAGGGATGGCAAGGACGCCCCAACCGCTCTCCACATTATAATTCAACCTCCCGATGTCACTCCGATTTCCTGCGAGTCGGCCAAAGACCGAGAGGCGTTTTGCAGGCCTCCCATACCTGGTCTCATTGAGCGTGTATTTATCCATGTCCGTGAGCAGCAGGATGACGCTAAATGCCTTCAGCAGGCATTGAGCGCAGGGTTGCCAGTGAGGTATTTCCCCGGAGCTCACCTGCATCTCGACGCGTCACCTTGGATGCAAGACACAACGCGAAGCGTCAGAGCTGTACAACGAGTGCGACATAAGGAGAAAAGGGAATTGGCCTCTTCAAAGACGCGAAGCGGCTCTCCCATGCATTCGGCGCCGACTCCGTTCATCTCGTGTTCCTGGGAGATCGGCATGGACAGCCCATGTGCGGGGAAAAGCGCGATTCTCCACGCGGTAACGACCCGCCTCCAGGTCAGGTTACGTCGTTGACGGGCTCGCGCTAATGAGAGTAACGGGCGAGTGAAAGAAGTGGTTAGGCTCTGGTTACCAGGTCCGTGGAGTCTTACAAACCCACTACTTATGAACCCCAGTTTCTCCCCAGCTTTCGGACTCCATCTCTCCGCAAAGCTTGTCAATTACTCAACTTGAGCATCAAAGCGCAGGTCAAGATGAAGATCGCTTTCCTCTCCGCCCTGTTCGCGGCCACTGCCATTGCTGCGCCGTCCAACTACCCGACCAACACCACCTCGGGGCCCGACGAGGATGGCAAGTACGAGATCTCTGCTGAAGGCATCCGCGGGCAATTCATTGCCTACGGCGCGTCCATCTCCAACCTTTTCATTAAGGGCAAGGATGGCGTCGAACGCGACATCGTGCTTGGCTTTGACAACGCCTCGTACTACTCAGTAGACCCTGTCCACCCTCACTTTGGTGGTGTGCCGGGACGCTATGCCAACCGCATCAAGAACAGCACGTTCAACATCGACGGTGTGGACTACCACATCACGCCCAACGAGAACGGCGGAGCTAACACTCTGCACGGCGGTCTTGATGGATGGGGTAAGTTGTGATCTTGCTGTGCAAAATACTTTTTCTGACTCGAGAAGATTACCGCAACTTCACGGTTGTTGCACACACCGAGTCTTCCATCACTTTCTCCATTGTGGATCCTGATGGCAAGGAGGGCTTCCCCGGTGAGGTTATTAGCTACATCACTTACACCATGTCTCCCAACACCTGGAACATCAAGATTGTTGCTCTCGCGACAACAAAGAAGACGCCCATCATGTTGACCTCCCACACCTACTGGAACTTGGACGGCTTTGCCAATCCCGATACACCTACTGCTCTCAACCACACTCTGTACCTGCCTTACTCCGGCCAGCGTGTTGGTGTCGACAACATCCTCATTCCGGACGGCACCATTCTTCCCAACGAGAAGTACTCCGTGAATGACTTCTGGTCCGGCCCCAAGCAGATCGGCGCCAATTTGACAGCACCTGAGCTTCTTGGTAACTGCGGATTCAACTGCACTGGTTACGACAACTGCTACTCCGTCAACCGTGCCCAGAACGGACCTTTCGACTGGCGCAAGTCAGGCCCCGTCGCGTCCCTGTCCAGCGCGTGGTCCGGTATCAAGCTCGACATCTACACCGACCAGGAGGCTTTCCAAGTCTACAGCTGCGGTGGCCAGAATGGTAAGTTGATCATCGATTGTGGTTTCGAAATACTAATTATCGCCAGGTTCGCTCCCTATCAAGTCTACTCAGGGTCTCGACAGCCGTCGCCGTACCGTTGAGAAGTACGGTTGCGTCGTCATGGAGGTCCAGGACTACATTGACGCCATCAACCAGCCGGAGTGGCAGCGTGAGAAGAGGCAGATCTTTGGTCCTAACGACCCTGCCTACACTCTTGAGGCTGACTACGTCTTCTCTACCGAGGAATAGGTTTATACATTGACGCAGGTTTTGGCTGAACACGACTGAAATCGAGCAAGAACTTATGAAACTTGTTTATATGCCTGTTTAACCGAGTTCGCGGCCAAGAACCTGCTGTCAATCTAATATTTAATGACACTGAATAACTCACGATCACTTCTATTGACTTCAAAATTGTACTGTGCAAATTAATGAGATACTAGGAAGCCATGATATCTAGGATGACTACATACGCGCTTTCACCACTGGCCTAGGTGCACTTCCTTCCAGCTTATTGTTTTAGCAAGGCTTCTGGACCCGAGTCAGAGTCCAAAGTTGCCTTCACTTCACAATGGCCGCGCCACATAATTACAGTGCCACGTCACGAAGCAAACTCCACTTCCGACTTGCGCTGCCTAGTGGAACTCGACAACTACCTGGCCGCTGCCACCAAGGCCTTCTTGCCATATAGCCAATAGGCGCATGCGGTGACAGTCAGTACGCTCACTATGCGCTCACCATCGATGCCGAACTTGTTCTCAAGTTCGTCCTTCGCCAAATCGTCTGAAAATCTGCACCCCAAGTCACAGGCCGAGTTCCCGCGCCGCAGCAAGACAGACACCATATCTGGCATTGTTCGTGCCTTCGGTGCGTCTGAGAAACTGCAACAAAGACTAGGCTTGCGCGAGCCGGAACTCTATGCGGCACCGCCGGCGATGTCAAGCGCCCAGAAAGTCTGGTACGAGACTGGGCTTTACGAGTATGAAATGGAGCACGACGAGGCTGCGATTGATCCGTGGGAGACGGTGGAAGATCTCACGGCTTCTCAGAGTAAGTCGAATCTGGCAGATATTCCCGAAGAGAAAGAGAGCCCCGAGTATGCGGCCTCCATACATTTTACGGGAAGTGGCTCCAGTACGCAATCGGAGTTAAGTGTTGAGCGGACTTCTACAGACCAGGCTGCTGATGCGGCTCCGCGATACACATTCCTCAACAGCGACAGCGATGGCGAATCCTGCGATGATACCGCGGATGAATTGGCAGACTACGACCCCAACGAAGACTACAGCTTGTGGCAAGATGAGTCCAGCTCTACCCTGGCGGTCAGTGACAGCTCCAGACCCAGCAGCGCAGAGAACAGCAAAGAAACAGCGGTTGCACCCTCGTTTCCTCCACGGGTGAGCTCGCTCTCTACGCACCACAACCCCAATCCGACGCTGTATCACTCCCGGACTAAGCAGGTACCGAGCCACGATCCGACAAAGCTCAGTGTGACAAAAACCACTCAGCATATCAACACGACAACATTCACCAGTGCGGCTCGCCGGTCAACGAGCCTGCGAAGAGCAGAATCGCTGCCAGTGCTGTCTCCCTCATCCGATGTGCAGCAAGACCCCAGACAGCATCAACACGAACACGCTCCAAGGCACGCCAACGTCCGCAGCACCCAAGACCCCGTACCCTTCGACGGATCCAACAAGCAAAGAACGCCATCGCACCCACCACGCATCACAATCCAACCACCCTCTCCCGCCAAACCCCCCTCACCGCCCCATCCCCCCTCCACAACCGGCCTCCCCCTCTGCTCAGCCGCCACCAGCCGCACCCCCTTCCCAGGCAACACCCCGCACCTCCTCTCCACCCTCCTGACCTGGTCTCTCTGCACCTGGACCCAGCACGCGCGCTCCCCCGGCACCGTTCCGCGTCCCGTGCGCCACGACTTGCTGTCCGTGGGCTTCTACGACACCAGTACCACGCCGCACACCGAATGCCGTTTCCTCGGGCCGGGGGACGCGGAGGCGTCGTATCATGAGGTGGATGTGTGGGAGCCTGGGGGTGGGGGACGGGGGGTGAGGTGGGCGTATGTGGTTATGCGGGCGCGTGGTGGTGCGGGGGAGGCAGGTGATGGAGATGAGGGAGGCGAGACGCGGCCGCATGCGATGGTAGCGTGGCACGCGGACGCGGTGACGGGGGTGAGCAGGTGTCTGCACACGCTGTTCGCGTCTGCGTCTACTACACCTGTTTCTCATATCCCTGCTTCTCCCCCGTCGCTACAGCCACAGCCACCGCACACGGAGACGCAGATGTCGACGCCGCAGACGCAGACACAGACGCAGAAGCAGGAGCAGAAGCACACAAAACCGCTCAAACGCTTCGCCTCCCTCCAAAACCTCACCGCCGCGCTCCGTCCACACGCACAGCGCCCGAACACACCCGCGCCACTCCCAGACCCCCCGCGCCCGTCCACAGCCCACCCAGCCACGGCCCTCGAACCGGACACCCGCGCCAGCGCAACACTACACCGCACCGTCCTCTTACTAGGGCGCTCGGGCCGCGTGCCGCTGGTGGAGGGGTGGCGGGTGGATGTGTGTGCGTTGCGGGGGTGGATGGGGGCGTGTGGGCGGGGCGGGGGGAAGGTTATGCTGTGGCGGGAGAGGGAGGAGTAGGGAGAGAGAAGCGGGTTGGGGAGGGGGATGCGGGGCTCTTGTGCTGGAGAAGTCATGCTGTGCTGGAGAAGCCATGCTGTGCTGGAGAAGCCGTGCTGTGCTGGAGAAGCCGTGCTGTGCTGGAGAAGCCGTGCTGTGCTGTGGAGTATCGATTTGAACGGGAATCCTACGAGACACATGTGCGAAGCGAGGTTGCGGTCACCACACCAGCATCAAGCGGGACCTCGTGGTTGGATTTGATCTTTCATTGCCGACGTTGGTCTAGTTACACCGCTACCTCCTATCGTCTTCTTACAATCTGCGTCGCGCAATGCGGCAGTCAATACCATACCATGCCATACCATACCATGCCATGCTTTTCATCAGCGCTGATAACGATGCCCATAATGTACAAACGAAAGTCCCCTCCGAGCAGCGCTCGGCGCGCGAGGGAAGAGGCCGCCGAACGCCATTCGCCTCGATGCAAAAAAGCGGGAGATTTACTCAGGCCCGCAGAAGCCGTCGCGTTCAGGCCACGACGCTGGGGCCGGGGGGCCCGCTGCCGGTGCCGGGCACGGGCGGGGCGACGGGCGAGGGCAGCGCTCTTGTGGGCATCTTGATGGGGGCGTCGGGCGACGACTTGATGCGGCCGGGCAGCGACTCGCCCTTGATGACTTTGAGGATCTCGGCCTTGTCGAGCGTCTCGTACTGGACGAGGGCTTCGGCGAGGCGGTCGAGCTCCGTGCGCTTCGAGTTCAGCAGCTCTTTTGCGCTGGTGCGCGCCTCGTCGATCAGGCGGCGGACTTCGTTGTCGATCAGGCGTTTTGTCTCGGGGGAGACCATCTCGTAGTTCGACTTGAAGTCGACGTTGCCAAGCATGTCGGAGAACCCGCAGGCGGTCACCATGCTGTATGCTAGCTGTGTCGCCTGCTGGATGTCGCCAGATGCGCCGTCAGCAACATTGTCGGCGCCGAAGATGATCTCCTCGGCCATCTTGCCTCCCATGCAGACCTGCAGTTGGCGAATGTATTGCGATCGGGTGTGGTGGTGCTCCTCCTGGGGCAGGAAGAATGTGATACCGGCAGCGTGGCCTCGGGGGAGGATGGTCGCCTTGTGGACGTCGCTGTAACCCTTGGTGAACAGACCGACGAGGGCGTGGCCACCCTCGTGGTAGGCAGTGTGGATTTTGTCCTGGAGAGGGACCGCGCGAGTCTTCTTCTCGGAACCCATGGTGATCTTGTCCTTGGCCCACTCGAGGTCGTTCAGCGAGACAAACTTGGCCTGGAGCTTGGAAGCGCGGATGGCAGCGGAGTTGGCGAGGTTCTCGAGTTCAGCGCCAGAGAATCCAGGAGTGCCGCGGGCGATGGTAGACAGGTCGATCTCTGGCGAGAGGCGAATCTTCTTGGTGTGGTACTTCAGGATGGCAAGACGGCCGCCGACATCAGGAAGCTCAACCTGTACGTGACGGTCGAAACGACCAGGGCGAAGCAGAGCCGAGTCGAGCAATTCAGGGTGGTTAGTGGCAGCGATAAAAATAACACCAGTAGACTGATCAAAACCGTCGAGATCGTTCAGCAGCTGGTTGAGGGTCTGGCGGTGGTAGTTGGCGTCGCGCGACTTACGCTTGCCACCAATGGCGTCGAGCTCGTCGATGAAGACAATAGCAGGGGCCTTCGCGCGGGCGGTGGTGAAGAGCTCGCGCACGCGCTTGGCACCAACACCGACGTAAACCTCGTCGAATTCAGATCCAGACATGTAGAAGAACGGGACGCCAGCCTCGCCGGCAACAGCACGAGCGAGCAGCGTCTTACCAGTACCAGGGGGGCCGATGAGCAGCACGCCCTTGGGCAGCCTGCCGCCGAGCTTGTTGTAGCGCTCCGGGTGCTTCAGGAAGTCGACGACATCAAGAAGCTCCTCCTTGGCCTCGTCGCAGCCGTGCACGTCGCTGAAGCGCGTGTTCTGCGTCTCCGGGCGGACTTCCGAGCTGGTGCCACCGCCGACCTTCTTGAGGACGCCGCTGGTCTCAACAAAGAGCGTGATCAGGATCAGAGAGACGTAGGCGGCCAGCGCAAAGCCGGCGAGCCATCGCACCCACTTGAAGATGACGTTCCACAGGGACTCCTCGACGACGACGTAGACCGGGTCGCTCTTGACGCCGACGCCGCCGCGGGCCTTGCCAATCTGACCGGCGCCCATGTTGGCGCCCACAGCCTGGCTGACAGCCTGGATCTGCTGCGGCGTCAAGCCGTTGTTGCCTCCCTGCGCGTTTCCAGCACCGGCCTGGCCCGTCTTCTCGAGCGCTTGGCGGTAGAGGCGGTCGGAGATGCCGTTGGTGGCGAATTGGCCGGTGTTGTAGCGATCGATGACGATTTGCGGCATGTTGGCGCGCATGACAGCCGAGTAGAATGAAGCCTGGGTAGTAGCACTGTTGGGGTTGTTGTTGGCCGCGTCCTCGAGACGGGCAAGCTGGTCCCGCGAGGGGCCACCGAAGAGCGAGCGCTGCTGCGCCAGACCGAGACCGACCATGCCGGGCCTGGGCTGGCGGAGCTGTGCGAGGGGACCGTTGCGCGACAGGGACGAGTACTGTCTCGCCAGATGCGACTTGATGGATGGGGCGCAGACCGGGGCCATCTGCCTGCGGCCGAATGCCTGCCATGAGGGTCTCAGGGTAGCAGACATGGAGGACCGCAGTCCCGTAGCAGCAGCGACGAGATTCTGTCCAGTCAGCGTCATGACGATGTCGGCCGTGGCAAGACGTACGTGAACCGCGGGAGCGGTGGAAGCCATGTTGAAATGAGCCATGCTGGATATAAGGCGGCAAAGCCGCGGAGTGTAAATGGAGCCCAGACTACAGGATGTAGATGAAGGATAAGAGCGCGTCGTCTACGTCGCGACAATGTCGCTAGCGGATGGTGATGAACAGAAGACGGCGGAACTGCGAAGCGCCGCCGATCGCTGTGGCGCATGCGCACGTGACAGCTGTCAACGCCGAACGGACCCTTGATGAATCACTAAAGCACGGAATATTGTCCGGATCTCGCGTCCTAAATACCTAAATGTGGGGCGGACATTATCAGATTGTCTTGAGCGTTCAAACAGCAATCGTGTTGGTTTTTACAGGCGACGGCAGACTGATGTAATTACATGGTATCCCACAGCAAGCCCATGGCAGATAATTGTCGTGCGGACAATTTCCCATTGACCGATTGTGAGTCGGGATAAATGTACTTTGGCGGCTCTGCGGATGGTCCCTCAAGACTCGGTCGCATCACCTCAATGTCTCAGCCCTGCCTCCAGCAACCCACAACCATTAAATAAATCATCAACTTCGCTCCATATATCAGACGTGTCGAAAAAAGACGTAGCACATCCCGACCCAGCGCGATTCCAAACACCGTCCCCTACCCGCCGAATATTACCTTGTGCCGCCCACCACACCCAATCCATGACCACCTTGAAACCGCCCCCGCAATACATGCTCAAACCCGTACTCCCAAATATGCCCGAATAACCCTGTTCCAAAGGCAGACCCCCCCAGGTCCTCGACCCCAACGATGGAATCGTGCATCTGCGACTCGGTTCGCGTGTGCCCCGCCCCGCTATCACGAGTCTACTGTTTCTGATTCGCTGCCCTTGCGTGCGGTCTGTGTCCACTCGCTATTCCACACCCTAAGGTCCGATTCTCCAATTAAACATTCTCACAAATTGAGATATATATCACAATTTCTGAGGATATTCCATCAAGCGGCCTAATGGTCTAGTGGTAGTGAGTACAACCTTCCTCGGTTGCCCAGTTTCAAATTCTAACAATTTCTCAGTGATTCCTGCTTTGGGTATTTCTCAATCTTGCAGGAGGCCCCGCGTTCGAATCGCGGTTGGGCCCGCATTCTTTTTTGCCTTTGTCCAACCCTCGCGCAGCACTTACTCTGCGTGCCTTTGAATAGTAGTGTGGCGAAGAATTTATTAAAAGCAAGGGCTTCATTTTTGAAATTGCGAAAGATGGAGCTGTATAGACTAACAGCCTTTTTGCGCGAACAAGTTTTACGATCTCTACTCCATCACCAACGTTCCTGTCTAACTGCCAATCACGTCAAACTCGCCTGCCTCACCATCCTCTCCCTCACCATCCTCTCCCTCACCCTCCTCATCTGACACCTCGGTAAGCGCATCAACTTCAGAATCTTCCTCAATTTGGACTTCGCACTGAAGCTCATACGCCTCGACTTCCGAGACGGCATTGCTATCGAAGTCCTGAAGCTGCTTGATCACATATCCCCAAAAGCCAGTTGCTTTCATCGTGCCGCCGACTTTGAGATTGACAGACACGTTCTCCTTCTTAGCATTGGCTACCAACTTTGCGAGTGCTAGAACGACCAGATTTGATGCAATGCTTCTCTCTGCAAGTCCAGCCTCTGACATGTTTGCAAGAGCCAAGAAAGTGCGCCAGTGAGGGTGATTCCTGTACTTGAGCATCGTGCAAGTCTGAGCAATCATGCGATAGACCGAATCTGCACGCTCCGAAGCACTGCAAAGGATGAACCTGTAGCCTGATCGTTCTTGGGTTCTACGAGGCACCTGATCACCCTTCTGGTAGTAGTCACGAAACATCTCGTTGAACAACCAGAGGAGATCTCCAGGGTTCGCGGGGGTCTTTATCATGGCCATGTACTTGTCCCGAGTCGCCTTATGCAAGGACTGCATAGCAGGGACAGGCAAGGCGTGCTTTGACTTGGACTTGGCGAACCATTCTTTGGTGATGTAGCCCTCAGAGGTGTCAGGATTGGTCACGCCGGCTGACACTACGCTCAGCATGAGCTCGTCGATGTCAATGTTGGTGGTACTCTCCCAATTCTCAAAGAACTGCTTGTCTTCTTTGGCATCGATGTCAGAGTACAAGAGGAGTGTCGAGATGGGAAAAGTGCATGACTTGACCTTACCGGCAGCGAGAGCCTTCCTCTCACCCAAAGATTTTCCTGAGCTGTCTCTGAGGTCGATGCCCTCGTCAGTATACCACAAGAACTTCTGCCCAACAGTAGGGCCGACGATACCGTTGGGAAGCACCACAGGACCAAAGGCGAAGGTCCTCTCTGGAGTTTCTTCCGTTGCTGGCTCAGTCCACTTCAGGATGTGGCGTTCTCGGTCGTTGGCTGGCGCTCGAGAGGTGTCGAGATTGATCTTTTGGATCTTCAGAGCATAACCACCAATAGCACTTCCACTGGAAATTGGAGGCTGAGTGAACTGGGACTTTCGGTTGCGCTGGTGCTTCCAGCCCTCAGGTTTCGTGTTGACGTAGCCTGCCTTTCTAGTCTTCTCAGATCGATCCTGTGACTTGGCTAGGGTGGCTGCAAGCTTTGCTTGTGAGAACGCTTGAGTGACTTCCACGCATTCCTTCTGAGCAACAGCAAAAGCTTTACCGAAGTCGTGGGCTGGATCCAAAATGGCTTCAACGCGGTTAACGATCTCGTCACAGAACTGTTCGCGAGTCCACGGTTTGGACTTTCTGGTCTTTTCCAGGACGCCCAGTACCACATCCATGGCGAACCAGATGATCTGATGCACCATGAAGAACAACTTCGTAGCCTTGGCGGCTGGAAGACCAGCTCGGGAAAGGTAGCCAGGGTGATGGCAGGGAAAGACGACGACGACAGGACCGTCTTTACCCAGAGTACGGATCTTAGGTCTCCCGAGGATACGGATGAAGTAATCAGTACCACCTTCGCTGTTCTCCCGATGCTGTGTATCGTAATACCACTTGGACGACAACTCGCCGAAGGAGTTCAGGGCCAGATAAGATGGTAATTGTCCGTACATGACCAGGATGAGTGGTTCAGTCGTTTGAGTGAGAGCGAGAATGTGCTTTCCAGCGAATGGGAAGTCAGTTTTGTTCTTTGAGAACCAGGCGAAGACATCGGCGAAAGGTAAGTACCCGCCGGATGCGAGAGCTTTGGTCGGTTCCTCAAGAGCTGTTTCGTCGAGGCTCTTCTCCCAATTGATAATGGTGTCCAAGCAGTCAGTCACGATCTCAGCCGATCGTCGCCCACTTCTGTAGAACCAGCTGGGTGGATGATAGTCGCTGCCGATGTCTGAGGCAACCGTCAGAATGAGTGAATAGCCGCTAGGTGTCACCCTTGGTATCGCTTGTTCAGTGACACACTCAAGGTGACGCTCGGTATAGGGACGGTTCTCCGTCACACCGGTAGAGTCTGGATTGGCGTCTACATAAGCCTTGACTGACCGACCATATGACAGGATGCCGTTCGTCATATCGTCTGGACAATCCTCCAGGAGTTTGAGCAGTCGATTGCGAGTGTTCGTCTTCAAACTCAGGAACGTCTTCTCGTCGTCGACGTTGCGTGACAGGATCGCCCTGGCACCTCCAAGCTGCATATTGACAACAGCGAAGCCGAAAAGCGCAATCAAGACCTTCTCCCGAAGATCACGAAGTTCGCCCGACAGAACGATTGTAGCAGATGCCCTGCTCACGATGTCGACCACGGCGTTCTGGAGGACGTTGGGCAACTCATCCTTCACGACTTTTAAAAACTTGGAGAACCATGTTGGTTTAGTTCCCGCGTTCTTGACGTCGTTGTTATGACGATTGAGGGGAGAGCCTTCTGTCATCCCGCAGTAGCGGAAAGTCCAAGTGTCGGTAATGCTTGTACCGGCTTTTCTCGCCTTTTCCGCTGTCTCCATCCACAGATATATCTTGTCGTTCATGTCATAGCTCTCTTCAACGAGCTTGCCAAGCACGAAGAGGACCTCATCAGGTGTGAGGGTGAAAGACCTGATGTAGAAGTACACAGTGTTCGGCTCGATACGTGTGAAAGAGTTTACCTGCTCGAGTTGTATCAGAAGACGCAGGCGATTGGCATTGATGGTGTGCGGCTTCTTGAGTAACTGTCGCCAAGAAGCCTCGTCTGACATCCTGATATTATGTTAGTCTCCAAACAGACGACGGTAAAGAGACGAGCGTATGCACCTACAGTCTAGGCACTGCCCATGGGAAGTTCTTCGGGATGAGATGAGGATCAGTGATCCCACCAACCTCGAGTCTACCGAGCACTACATCGAAGCAAGACTTTTGAAGCTTCTCTTTAGTCGGGAAGCGAGAAGGCGGCAGCTCTCCGAAACGAGACTCTGCAAAAGCAAGAGCTGCATCATCATTGTCAGATCGTAGGCGCTTGATTGCGCCCTCTGGGAGGTGGTACACATTGGAGTGTGGGTTGTCTGACTGCGAGCGAGACATGCTGTTGGCTTGCTGGTATCACAGCTCTGAAGCCAACAGGAGACAATGGACTACAACACAAGCATTAATACCGCTTCAAATGGTCAGGTGTGCTCGCCATACCTTCTCGCGCGATACTGTCGCTGATGTTTTTTGCGCTGTGCGAGGAAAGGAAAGGTGGGGAATCGAAGGCAGAGATTTCTCAGTGGCCTCGAAGCAAACCGGGAGAAGGTGAAAGAAACAACTGGTTCGTACCTGCGCTTCACTTAGGTGATGATGTCACCTCAAAGAAAAGGCTCGGTAAAGTGAAGAAGTCAATGGGTAAAGGTCTTGCAAGCATGCTTTCAATATGCGCCAGAAGTTGGGTCGGTTTGCTTATCAATGGGGCTCATGACTTCACTGGGCCACAATAAGACATGCAAACCGTAGACTGCGCAACGGCGTAACTTGGACGTAACCACGACATGATCAAGTTGTAGACTCAAATTGTAATCATACGATGCAGGAGGACAGTAAACAGTAAAAAAGTGGCGTACATGCGAGAACGCCTACCCATGTGGTTCACAGACGACTACACTACCCATTTGACATGGCAAGAAGAGGCCGTGCAGATCGTAGTAGCAGCTGCGAGCATAGAGACACCTTCTGGAACATGACTGTGTCGTACTTGACTGCAAAATCTCATGTGACAACCGCACATCCTGCACACGGCCTGTATCAGTCAGGCCACCGTAGCGCGCACCCTAGGAGTGACACGATGTTAAACTGCTGTTCTTTCTATCGTGATCTCTATCAGGCCTAAACAATGTCAGGCGGTTAGTGTTCCTAACTCTTGGCATTTCGTACTTCACCTCTCGCGCTGTGAAGGTGCACGCCAGAAAACTGCAACATAGATAGAAAGGTACAGCAGGCCTACATAACTGTAGAAGCAACCTCTGAACATGTGTATTCTGTACAGGTGTAGGTGTGTGTGTAGGTGTAGGCACCTAGTGTTAATGTTCCTACTCAAGGGAAGGCACGGCTGCTGCCTCTGCCCCTGACAGACCCTAGGCATTATATTAGCCTTGACGTTATGTCAGTCTTGATTCCATGTTAGCCCTGATATGCTGCATAGCTGGCACTTTGTTACGGGCATATCATACTGCTTTTAAATCAGGAGGTGATATGTTGTGTACACCATGTCTCACATCTATCAAGAACCTTAGGGTGCGCGGCACGGCAGTGTTGATCTCGCTGCCATCAGCTCAAAAGAATATCAGTATTCAGGGTGAAGAGTATATCAAGAGCTTCTGCAGAGCATCACGCGTCACACCTATCAGAGTGAACCGTAAGGGAAGTGTTGAGACTCATGTATGGAGTACTGTGTTATAATCAGGATCTTATCATACAAATGAATCACATCATTATGCTCGCAATTGCGGTTCTTGGTCAGTACACTCCAGCTACGTTCAAACGAAGTTTGTTAAGAGATGATGCGAAATAGAAACCGACATAGTTGCAGGTAGATCGGCCGAAGGAAAGACAGAATATAGGAACTCGTAGACCGAATGAATAAGGTATAAAGTACACAGATAAGGTAGCCTATTGTAGCCTTGTACATTTGCTCCTTTTAGCTAGCTCAAGTCTGCAGGAGGCCCCGCGTTCGAATCGCGGTTGGGCCCGCATTTCTTTTTTGCGTTTCTTACTTACTTACCTACTACCATCCCTTACTATCATCTATCACTATCCCCTCGCACGTTGCAGAGTAAACGGTGGACTAAGGATGTGAGCTAGGTACACCACACGACAGCATAGTAGGGAAGATACTAAAAAGCTTTGTGGAATGCTTTTATACCTACAATATAGGTAATTTCTAACTAGTTTTTAGCTTTAGGTGTTATATTAGCTACAAGTTCTATGTAAAAGGTAGTTTAAGACGTTGCTTATCTACTGGTTTTCCAAAAACTCCACAGTCCCCGTCTCTTTTCTACGCCCTTCTCCACACATTACTAATTTACTATCACCCTCTCTCCTCCCTGCCTGCGCCCGCCCAATCAACCAACCAGCCCACCAACCTCCACGCACCCTCTTCTCGCCATCTACCCAGCAACTACGACAAGAACACTCTTATGTTCGAACAAGGCTGTCCCAACAATACGCAATTTTCTTCGCCGGAAGGACATGCACGCGCAGAGCGAGCATCTGTCTATTCACCACTGCCATATCCGCAGGTGAACAACCCGTGTAGGTGATGGGGTGGGGCGGGGCGGGGCGGAGAGAGGGGAAGCGCGGACCGAGGAGAGAGGTTGTGTAGTCTCGTAGTCTTACTTGTATGGTATGTATGGTACGTAATATGCATAGATTACGTGGGCCTAGAAGTAGAACGGGTGTGTTCGGGTTGTAGAGACGCTTGCTTTGGACAACGCTGTGCTATGGCAGTGTGTGTATATGTATATACATCTATATATATATGAATATAAATGTATTGTCCTAATCCCAACTCCAATTCCACCAGCAACCAATCTTCTCATTCTAAAACCTTTACATCCCCGCAATCTTCCTCAGTGCACAGCCAACACAACTAACGCAAACAGACAGTAGAAACAGAAACGAAAACTCAACACAGGCCGTGGCATAAAACTCGTTTCTGTGTGGGTGTTTTTGCGTGTGGAAAACAGGCGGATGGTGTTGTGCACTGCTCTGTACTGCACTGCACTACACTGCACCGCCCCCTAGCGGCCCCCAACGCTCCACGCACGGCACCACACACGGCACAGCGACGCAGAGACGCGGGAGATGGAACGCGGGGACGCCGAGGAAGGGGGAGGGGCCGCGGGAGAAGGGCGCGGAGTGGGAGAGGCAGGCAGTGAGGCGAAGAGTGCGGATAGCGAGGCGAAGAGCGCAGACGGAGACACGGAAAGGGAGAAAGTGTCTGTGTACCTTGGTGTTGTTTGAATATTTATTTGTGTTTATTTATTTGTATTTGCTTTTTTGCTTTTTTGCTTTCTTATTGTTTTTCTGGCGGCAGAGTAGTTATAATACTGCAGTGGAGGCAGTGTAGGAGTATAGTCGTGTGGGAGTATGGGGTAGGTAGGAATGTAGGAATGTAGGAGTGTAGTGTGCGGTACAAGAGCCTAGAAACGCGGACTGCGGCCTGCGAACTGCGAACCATGGACTGCGGACTGTGAACGAGTTCAACTCAGATCCAAAACCTCGACCTCGCTCTCGCGCCACCTCCTCCCCTTCCCCTTCCCCCCACCCCTTATCCCTCTGCCCTCTTTGACCTCTCTCCCGCCCTTCTCAGCTACCCCTCGCCCCCCAACAGCGCCGCCCATACCCACACCACCGTCACCATTACCGCCACCATCAACACCAATATCTCCATCCTCGTCACCATCACCATCCTCATCCCCATCAACCCACGCCCACGCCCCCGCCAGACTGCGTCGAAGCCGAATCTGCCGCTTCTTGGCGGCTTTTGCTTTCCACGGCGCCTGGGGCGGGGGCGTGGGTGGCTCGGCGGTGAGGGGCGGTTTCGCTGTTGCCGTGGTTGCTGCTGTTGGCGCTGTCTTTGTTGGCGCTGTCGTTGTTGGTGAAGGGGGTGCTGGGGCTGGGGCTGGGGCGAAGTGGATGTCTGAGGGAAGCTCTGGGGAGGGTTCTTGCGGGATGACTGCAACCAAATCTGGAGACTGCGGCGGCGTCGTCATATCCAACGCCTCCGCCAGCCCCAGCTTTCCAGCCCCAGCCCCAGTCCGCCTGGGTCTCGGCAGCGGCTTCGGCTTCGTCAGTCGCGCAGCGGTGTCCACAAGATCCAGCGTCTCCACACACCCGCCGCCACGCGCCCTCGTCTTGCTGAGGCGCGGCGACGTGCGCCGGGGGCGTGCGGCTGTGGATCTGCATTCTTTGCTACTAGACTCCCGCGACGCCTCCGCCTCCGCCTCCCGCGACGCATTCGCCGCCACACGCCCCAGCGGCGCCCTCGGCCGCGGCAGGACCTGCACCACGGGCGACGAGAGCGTGAGATCCAGCGTCTCGACGTCCGCACGCGGGCGGCGGAACTGTACCGGCGTGGGCACCGGGGCGTCGTCGAAAACGCCGTTCTGTCTCGATTTCGTGGGCGTCTGGGACGCGCGCCAGGTGTCGAGGGTGGTCTGGCGGGGTTTCAAGGGGGACGGGGGGATGGAGTGGGTTCGAGCTTTCTTGGGGCGGGCTTGCGGGGAGGGGGAGGTGACGAGGTCGAGGGTCTCGATTGTGGCGAGGGCGGGTGCGTGGTCGTGGTCGTGTTCGAGGTCGATGCTCAGGTCGGCTGGGAGCGTTTTCGAGCGCTGGATGGGCGCGCGGCGGCGGCGCTTTGTGACGCTTGCGGGGAGGTCTTCGAGCAGCGGAGAGAGCTCTCGGAGGGTAGGTACTGCTGGCTTGCTCTGCGGTTGTGCGGGCGACGACGACAGCAGGTCGATCAGCGTGGGTCGGGGTGCTTTGTCGGCGTCGCGGGGCTTCAGTGTTCGCGACGCTTTCGACCCGGGCTTGGTGACCTTTGCAAAGCCCTCAATACGGGCCTGTGCTGCGGTCTTCCTGGCTGCTGGTGCGGTCCTGGCTTTTGGTGCAGCCCTTGTAGGCTCCCCACTCGCGGCCCGTACAGGCTTCAGCTTCGTCTGTCGCGCGGCTTCCCAGTCCTCCACGGTCAGCGGCACGCCAACCTTGACATACGTCTCCATGACCCAGACCCTGGCGGGCTTGGTGGGGTCGAACTTGGTCGGGCCGCGCTTCTTGGGCCCGTCTTCAGCATCGTCTTCCAGATCCACAGGCAGATCATCCTCCGCTCCAGTCGGAGGCGGGAGCTCGAAGTCGTCGTTGGGGGCTTCGTCGTCTAGACTGATCTTCACAAGGTCAATAGGCGTGAAGCTCACACGCAGCTCGGTGCTGCTGTCGGTGACGGGGTGCTGGCGCTTGCCGTGCAGGCCCTTGACCAGCAGCGCCTCGTCTTCTTGGATGGCCTGGATGTTGTCTGTCGGCAGGCGCTCGATCTGGGCGGCGCGCATGCGCAGGGCACGGACAAGCAGGGGCGGGGCGAGACTGCGGATGAAGTGCTTCGCGCCCTCAAGGCCGACCCAGTCGAAGGCGTCGCCGGTGAACTCGCGGAGGCCGGGGTAATCGAGGTCCTGGTCCCAGTTGATGGAGCGGCGCAGCTTGGCCAGGCCGGCGTGGGTGGAGATGGCGGGGTGGGTGTAGTATCCGAGGATGTCGAGGCGCGGGAAGTCGTCGGGGATCTTCAGGGCGCCGTGCTTGCGCTTGAAGAGCTTGCTCTCGTTCGTCTTCAGCTCGCGCTGCAGGCGCTCGCGCCACTGCGACAGGGCAGCCGGGTCGTTGCGCGGGATGCTGCAGAGGTCGCGCCCAAAGCCCGCCTTGGCCGCCTCGCAGGCCGTCTTCGGCCCGCAGCCGGGGATCCCCTCGGGCACGTAGTCGCCGCCGCTCATCAGCGCGACCAGAATCATGCCCTCGCGGTCCAAGCCCGACGGCCCGTTCTTGGTCTCGACGGCATCGTAGACGTTGACGTGGGTCGGCGTCTTGCCCGACTTCTCGGGCGACCAGTTGCGGATAGTAATACCACTCCCAAACATCAGCGTGTCCACATCCTCGCTCAGCACGGCGTCGACGATGCCCTCGCGCTGCAGCAGGGCGCACTCGGCTTCGGCCTCCCCGGGGGCGAGGTGGATGGGGTAGCCGAACTGCTTGAGCAGCTGCTTGGCGAGGAACTCGGGGATGGAGGCAACGGTCGGGCCGGTGCGCTTGTTGCGCTTGAACGGCGGCTTGTTGGGGCCGTCGAAGACGAAGACGGGGTGGATGGCGAGCGAGACGAGGCGCAGGAGGCGGTAGTAGAAGGTGCGCAGGGCGGGGTTGGAGCCACCTGGGGCTGTCAGCAGTGCAAGCACAACTCCGCGCGCGACTCGCCTTTGCTGGCCTGGATCTGGAACAGCCAGATGGACGTGTCGATGGCGATGCGCAGCGGCCGCCGCGTTCGCTCGAATGTCTCGACGGCGAGCCGCGACAGCGCCACCCGCCGCCCGGGGCCGATTTCCTTGTAGATGCTGCGCGCGTTAGTCAAGAATTGGCCGGAGCATGTGGTCGTACCCGTGGATGCCCATCCTTGCCCCGCTGTCTGCCCGTCCCGACCGTCGCAGGCCGCAATGCGCGGTGATGGTGGGTTTGCGGGCAATCGATTGTTGCCCCGGGCAACCGCGGATTATCGACAAGACGCGCCCATCGCCGCATCCACATCCAACTTGACCCCACAACCACAGTCATGGCACCCCGCGGGCGACCCGACCGCACCAGCGACGCCATGCGCGCCTACTCGTCCTCGCCAGACCCCCTCGCCATGTCCGCCCACGACGACACCCTCGCGTCCGCCCGCAAGCCCCACCACACGCCGCGCCGACCTTCCTCGCCGAGCAAGCAGACGCGCGTGCACGAGTTTGAGATGTCGTCCCCCGCCAAGTCCATGGTCATGAACACCCCGCGCATGGGCGGCGCCAGCCCGTGGCGCATCAAGGTCACCGTGCAGGCCGAGCCCGAGAGCGACCCGGATGCGTCGCCCATGGCCAGCAAGGTCACGCGCACCAGGACCACCACCGTGCCGCTGAAGGACCACGACGCGCCCTCGCCCATGAAGCGGGGGCGGGGGCGGCCGCGCAAGAGCGACGCCGCCGGCAGCACCCCAGCCAAGACCAAGCCCAAGGGCACGCCAGTGCGACGCAAGTCAAAGTCTCGGGAGCGAAGTGCCGCCGACATGGACACACCGCAGAGGAAACGCGGCCGTCCACGGAAAGTCGTCCAGCCCGAAGAGGATGCGACTCTGGTGGTGGATGCAGAGAGTGTAGAGGCCGACGCCACACCTGGACAGCCGCGAACCGTCGCCTCCAACCTCGACACGCCGCAAGAGACCGAGACTTCGAAGCGCCTGCACGCACGCAAGGGCACGCCTCATGCAACGAACCCGCTTGCGATCGAGATCTCGTCCGACGACGATGACGATAGTGACCAGCTCACCCCGGGTTCGGGAGACGACGACAACGGCGATGGTGCAGAGCCATTAATACATAAAGATGACAACATCGGCGGCAACATCGACGACATCGACGACATCGACGACGCGGAGCCATTCGCACACGACGACGACGACAACTTTGCCTTCGACGAGGGCACAACGCGCATGCCCGACGACTCGACCATCATCGACAGCGAGGGCTTCAGCATTATTTCTGTCGACTCGCTGCCCTCGCATTCCAGCCCTCCAAAAGACGACCAGAGCGCCCAAGTCCCCAGCATCGCATCGGTCCTGGACCGCCCACTGTCCAAGTCCTCTCCAGGGCCTTCGCGTCTGGCGCCTGCCTCCAAGCCAGTCCAGTCTTCACCAGCCATTGCCCAACCGCGCTACATAACCCCCGCCCTCGACAAAGACGCTCCGTCCGCGCCGCCCAGCATCGAGCCTGTCCGTGCTGCTCCTGCGAAGATCGAGACGCCCAAGATGGGCCGAGCCCTGACCGCAGGCGTTGCCCTGCAGGGAGTGCTGGATCCTGTCCGCTTCACACCTGAAGCTTCTCAGGAAGCTGACCGACGCGCGTCTCTGGACGATCTATTCCGAGGGTTCAGTGAGAACTCGCGAAAGCAGCTCCAGGACGGCCTCCGTCTCGGCGAGCAGCTTGCTAAGAACCAGGAACTGAACGGTCCCTCGCCGTCCGTCCCAAGACCGACCACAGAGACCGCACGGGACCGGCCCATCAGGACACAGCGAAAGTGGAGGACACGCCTTCTCACGCCGGAAGACGAGCAGACCGATGCGCCCGCAGAAGAGGTTCAGGATCCTGCGCCCGTCGTAGAGCAACCGAACCCACTGCCGAGCCCGACGAGGAGCGACGAGGAAGGCGAAACGAGCTTCCAGGTCGACAGCATCGTAGCGAGTGTTATGGAGGATGAAGAGCCGCCTACATCGAGCAGACAAAAGGCCGCGTCCCCGATCCAGACCCTGACACCGACACTGAACGAGGCCGAGGACTACTCAGACTTATGGCAAGAAGAAGGCAGCCGCGCCTCCGACTCACTCGAGAAGCCGTCACAAGAGCCCGATCTCTTTCTTGAGACCGCCGCCAGCAGGCCTGGCCGGAGGTTCCAGCGTCGGACTGCACGACAGACTAAGCGCGATGATGGGGTGCTTACTCCCCCAACCTCTTCACAACCCGAGTCCAGCGACAAGGGCAAAGAGAGGGCTGTCGAAGCCACCCCGGAGCAAGACGACAGCATCACAAGCGAAGCCAGCGACGACACCGGCATGTTCTTCCAATCGATGCCAGCAGCGTACGAGAAGAAGCGCCGCGACCGACGACAGCCAAAGACCGACAAGCTCGACATCGCACTTCTCCTCAACGAAGGAGACAGCCTGCAGCCAGAGCCGTCGCCTGAGAAGACAGCGCCCAACCCCTTCCTGGACACGCCGCCTCGCTTTGCTGCATTCCCTACGTCGCCGAAAAAGAGCAGTCCTCTGCGCCGCGAGCTGCACAACTCCGACATCACCACCCCCAGCCGCCACGATGAGTCGACACTGCCGTATGCGCAGAGCTCGCCCCAGCAGAGCTCGCCATTCCACACGCGCGTCGAGGGCGAGAGCATCATGTCCACGGCCTCTGACCAGCGCCAGCTGCTGGCCGAGATGGAGGGTGCAGACGTGACCAGCAACAGCGTGCGCGATCTGCGCGCAGAGGCCGACGAGTACCTCGACGCTTATTCTAATCAGGAGCGGTCACTGAATGAGATCGAGGAGGTGACGGAGTACAGCCGGACCCAGCAGGCCGACTCGAGCATCATGCCCTCGAGCCCGCCTCTGGCGCGACAGTTGGCCCCCCATCCGACCTCCTCATACACCCCCAGCTCCGCCGCCAAACCGCCCCACTCCGACCACTCCGAAGCCACCCCGACCCCAGCCGCCCGAGACGTCCTGTCCTCGGACGCAGCCACCCAAGACACCCTGTCTTCAGACGCAGCCACCCCCTCCTCCTCCTCCTCCTTCATCAGCACCAGCTCCGCCGGCCGCTCCGACAGCCTGCGCGCCGCCGCACAACTGCAACGCGAGTCCTCCACCCAAACCTCTCTCTCGACCTCTCTCTTCACCCCCCCGGCCCAACTCCCGCGCCATCCCTCCCTCAAAAACCTCCCGCCCCTCCCCCGCCTCGAGCCCTGGACAAAAACCCACTACAAAGCCCTCGACGCCCTACACACCTTCCACACGCGCCACCCGGCCCTGTTCGCCCCGCACGCGCACCCGCCCACCCCGCTGTCGCGCGCCAACGACACATTACTCGCTTCTTTCGCGGCCGCCACGCGGAGGAATTATGTCGGCGCGAGGGCGCAGGCGTGGGGGTATAGCGTTGTACTTACCACGGAGTTGTTGGTCATATGCGAGGTGTTCGCGGGGTTGTTGTGTCTGGACTCGATTGCCATGTTTGAGGAGCGCACGGGGCGGCGGGTCGAGAGAGGGGATGTGGGGCCTGGTCCTGAGGGGGGGGAGATCGGGAGGGAGGAGGTGGTGAGACGGTTGTGTACGGTTGTGCTCGGGGGGTTGGTGAGGGGGGATGAGAAGAGGGGGTTGGGGGTGCGGAAGGAGGGGGTTTTGACGATTGTGGGGGTTGGGGGGGAGGTGTTGTCGTAGTTGTAGGAGCAGGAGGAGGAGGAGGAGTAGTAGGAGTGCCAAGGGGGGGAGGGGGTGTTTTTGGGGCGCGTGATACCTCTGTTTGTCTGTTTGTTTGTTTGTTTATTTACTGGTATACGCTATACCATACCATACCACACCACACCACATCAGTTCTCCATAACCCGCCACTGGCTTTCTAGCGCCTGCTCCGCCGTACACCTGTCTTCCTCTCACCGTCTTCTTCCTCGCCCACGCACTTACTACACCCCACTCACGCGTACCCTCCAGTCCGGGCCCCCTTTCCCCTCTGTCTATCCATCCATCTGTTCATCCGTCTGTTCATCCATCCATCCATCTAGTCGGCCCAGACCAGACACACGGACCAGACACCCGGCACAGGCGTCGCGGTGGTGATGAAACGTGTGATACATCCAAGTGTGATACACACAAGTCTGGCCTAAGGCTGGTCCAAGTCCAGGTCTGAGGCCAAAAACAAGTCTAGTAGGTCTGAGGCCAAGTCCAAATCAAGGCCAAGTCCAAGTCAAAGTCTGAGTCCAAGTCCGGTCCAAGTTTATGTCCAAGTCAAAGTCTAGGTCAAAGTCGACATAGACCCTAAGCGATTGAGCAACGGCAACGACACCGCAGGAGGGACCGCGCGAGGGACCGCAGAACACTAGCTCTCCGGCCGCTGCTCCAGTCGCTGCGCTGCTTTGTTTTTAACTACTGCTGCGCCAGCCGCACAACCGCATCCCCAGGAGCCGCGGAAATGAACGCGAGGACCCGGACCGGCAAGGTAAGCAAGTATATAGTGCACGCCAACAGAGCGCGACTATCGATGCTTGTAAACACGTGCTAACCACCCCCTCCCTTCGTTTAGTACACTGTCACAACGATTCAGGTACCCACGCACCCTAATTGGCTAGACAGCTATAGGATGCGCGTGTGTAGGACATAGGCGAGGGCTGGACTCTGTGTATGATGGTAAGTGTGGGGTGCCTGCCTGTGTTGGGCAGGTACTTGTAACAGGTACAAAGACTCGAGTTCTCTATACCTACGGTACTACTCTACTAGATACCTGCTTAGGCAGCCACTCATGGAGGGCTTAGAATATAGAATAGTTACAGTGTTATTAACCTCACGCTAGGTAGAGATAAGAAGACGCTTGCCCTGTCTACAGATACCTAGAAGATGTCTAGCACCTCCACGCAAGGTTTCACAGGTTAGGTATGTAGGACGCTCTCTGACAGCAGGACTTCCTGTATGATGTACCAAACTAGGCGCGGTCTGCACGTTTCAGCAAGCATTATACAGGGGCGGGGGACACGTCGGGCTGATACAGTGGGCATGCATCCAGCCAGTCAAAAGCTCCAAGAGTGGTGTAGCTGTTCTGGATGGGCCGGACTCTCAATGGGTACCCCGTGGGCTAGCAGCCGGGGGAATAGCCTGGACAGTGCATACGGCGCCCAGAGTCGCGGGGCCTGTGGTTTCGGCGACAAACACAACCGCCTCATAGCTTCGCCGCTGCAGCGCCCCCGCCCACCTCCCCCCACAGCGCCCGCCACCCCTCCCCCCCCTTATCCTCCTCAACCCCCACCGACCCATCACCCCTCAACACCCTCACCCACCCCTCAGGCGCCCCCCACCCCACCTCCCCGCCCTCCAAAAACGCCTTCAGCGGCCTCTGCACCGCCTCCCTAACAACCCCTTTCTCCGCCCCCGTCAACCCCTCACCCTCCCCATTCCCCCAGAACCACAGCGCGAGGTCCGTGGTATGCGTGACCCCCATCGCCCGCGGCACCCGCGCATCGACGCACCCCGCGCGCCACCCGATGCGGTACCGGTACAGTAAGTGCGCGGCGCCGTGCCGGCTCAGACCGGCCGCGAGCGCGGATTGCGGGACGTGGATCTGCGCGGCCGCGTAGACGCGGGCGAACGCGTCGGTCCAGCTGCGATACTCGCTCGGCAGGGCGTCAGTGGGGACGTGGTGCGCGAGCAGTGCGGCGGCGGCGGAGGGCGGGTAGTCTGCTTCCAGGCGGGCGGCGAGGGCGGGGCGGCCCGGGGGTGGGGGGTGGTGGGTTGCGTAGAGGGCGTGTTCGGCGGTGCAGGAGCCGAGGAGGATCTTGATTCCGCGGGCGAGGAGGGCGGAGGCGAATGCGGGGGTTGTTAGGGAGGGGAGTAGGGACGGCGGGAGGAAAGAGGAGTCGGGGACGGCGCGGAACTGGTGCGCGGGGATTTTGGAGACGGCGGCGAGGAGGGATTTCGCGGGGAGGGCGCGCAGGAGGGCGAGTTTCTCGCCGGGGGGCAGGGTGGGCGGGATGTGCAGCGCGGAGAGGAGCGAGGTGAATTGCGCCTGGGACTCTGCGGGGCTGCGGGGCGTGATGCCGGGGCCGTTGGAGAGCATGAGGAGGCGTTTTATGATAGCCTTGTCATCCGGCACGGCGAGGTCGAACGCGAGCTGGTGGAACGCGGAGTGGGCGCCCGCAGAGTAGCCGCCCACGGAGATGTTCGCGGGGTTGCCGCCGAAGTAGCTGACATTCTCCCACGTCCACTGCAGCGCGAGGCGCTGGTCCCAGAAGCCCAGGTTAGTGGTGAAGTCGGGACATGCGGCGAGCAGCTCGGGCGCCGCGAGGAAGCCGAGCACATTGAGCCGGTACGCGGGCGCGACGACGATGCAGCGCGTGGGCGAGTCGCTGAGGAACGCGCGCAGGTCCAGAGTATTCGGGCTGCCGGCCTGGAGAAAGCCGCCGTGGATGAAGAACAACACGGGCCATCCTATCACCATCAACCACGGCCACACATGTCTCGCGGGCACAAACCTCCGTCCGGCGGCGTCTCAGTCGGCACCCAGATATTGCTCTGTAAGCAGTCCTCGTCCCACAGCGCGTCATCACGCGCGGCCTGCGGGCATAGCCCCGCGCTGCCTACGAATCTCCCGGGCTGGGACTTGGTGCCGTAGCGGTAGCACGTTGGCAGTGCTCTGGGCTTCTGAAAGCGGAATAGTCCTACTGGAGGGAGGCCGAACGGAATACCACCGAAGTAGTGGCACAGCGGGTTTGATTCATCGTCAAGGTAGGTGAGGCCCTCGACCACGCCGCGGAACTGGAGGTCTCGTACGTAAGGTCGAGACGGCTTTGACATGGTGTTGAGGTGAATGAGTGGGAGTGTCCCGAGGTCCGGTTATCGCAGGCAGCTAGTCCCAGATAGGATAGCCTTCATCGGCAGTGCATGTCATTAAACTTGGCCGGGCGAATGTTCCGAGTGAAATTGCGGAGAAGGATGTTTGAGCTGAGACTTCACAGAAAATTCAAGGCCAGGCAGATTGAATGAGAATGAAATGGTTGATTGTATTGGATATATGCAGAAGTACGAAATGACTGATTGTATTGGATATAGAAAACAAGAACGCCACCAATATGTTTCACGCATCTAATTGAAACACAGCTAGTGTCATCTAGCTGTACCAGGTGTTGAGGCTGTTCTTGAAGTCCACGTACTGAGGACCAATCTTCTTGAGGTCACCGACACCCAGGTTGGCGGCATCGTTGATGAGCTCGTACTTGAGGATATCAATAACCTTCTTGACGCCGTCGGCGCCGTAGATGTTGCTGTACATGAAAGGACGGCCAAGACCAACAGCCTTGACACCAAGAGCGAGGAGCTTCAGGACGTCAGTGCCGTACCTGACACCGCCATCAGCGTAGACCTCAACCTGGTTGAAGAGATCGGGGTCCTGGTTGTGGATCTCGAGCGCAATCTCGAGCGACGAAGGCGAAGTGTCGAGCTGGCGACCGCCGTGGTTGGAGAGGAAGATGGCCTTTGCGCCGTTCTTGACGGCCTCCTGCGCGTCCTCGACAGTCTGGATGCCCTTGGGGATGATGGGCAGGGAGGTCATGTTGGAGAACTGGCGGTACAGGTCCCAGGTCAGCAGACTCAGGTTGATGTCTGCGGAGCCGACACCGTAGCGGGCTGCGCGGTGACGGATGCCATCTCCAGGGGAGTCGACAGTGAGGACAATGGCCTTGGCCTTGCCGGTCTTCTCGATCCTGGTGAAGAGCGCCTGGGTTTCAGTGAGGTTGTTGGTGAGGTAGACCTGCTGGAAGAGGGGCTGGGTGGTGTTGGCGGCCTGAGCATAGATGTTGTCGAAGCTCTGCGAGGAGTAGAGCGACGGCATGTACAAGATGTCGCCGGCAGCGGCGCCCTTCACGAAGTTGAGCTCTCCGTCAGGGTGCGCATAGCCACCGCGAGCGCATGGGGAGATGAAGAACGGCGCAGAGAAGTTGTGACCCAACAGTGTGGTGGGAAGGGTCGAAGCGACGTTGGTGATGTCGGCCATGACGCGGGGGCGAAGGCGCTGGCGGGTGAAGACCTCGAGGTTGTTGCGGTACGACCACTCGCCAGCAGCACCATTGCGGTAGTATGTGTAGGAGGAGGCGTTCATGTACTTGCGGGCTGCCCAGTCAAAGTCGGGGAGACCGACCATGCTCGTGAGGGGAGCAAGTGTGCCATTGGGGGTGACTGCATCAAGCAGACCCTCGAGTCCTGTATCCGGCTCGTTGACGAAGGGGCGTGCTGCAAGAGCAACAGACGCAAAGGCGAGAGCTGAGACGCGCATGTTGAAAGAATGACTGTGAATGAGTGACTGTTTGAATGAATGGAAGTGCGCGATGCCTGGCAGAAATCTGGCTGTCGATTGTATTATAGAGGTGAAGTTTCGTTTTTCGTTTCTCGCGCTTCCCGATTGCGTCAACGGCGGATCTTCTGTTTCGAGAGGGTATCCTTCACCTTCACTGCAAGTGGGTCGGCTTTTAATCTATTGCAGCGCCTGCGATCCAGATGCAGCCCTTCCGTCATCTCCCACGGTGTCGCCAAGCACATCGACTGCAATCCAGGCAGGTCAGTGTCTGACCGATATTGAGGCCCAAACCGTCGGACCGAACTACGGCGCATGACAGCTTGACAGCCGGTGCATCGCGGAGATAAGTTTCAAATAGGAAACCTGATTTTTTGTAATTGGTCAATTGCACCAAACTTTTCAAGAATCCTGCGTTTCGAAGCCGCAGCAAGACCGAAACACAGGAAGGCATTCAATGCACGGGCACCAGACAAGGGTCCCGCGTTGAACACCAACCGCAAATCTCCTGCGGCAGCGGCTAGGAATTGTCTCCGAGACTGTGTACACAATCAGGACCTAAAGTTGATGCCTTGAACTAGTAATTCTGCATGGCCTTCCTCGATCGCGTCTTGTACCGACGTCACGGTTTACTGCCAAGTGGTGAATGCAGTAGCGTACCAAAGCCCCTCGTGCACCGTTCGGCCCACTGTCCCACGTCAATCTCAGCCTCTGCTCTCCACTATTCGGCAGCCGTTAGAGTAGTCCTGATGCGTAAGAATCTTACAAAGCGTGAAATCCTGCACAACGAGCGGAATGCTGCCGATATTCGCGATTCTTGGCGTCGAGCAGTTCTGTGCCTCATGCGTCAGAAACTTATCTTGATGTGCACCAAACACGGTTACTGCTCATGGTCTTTGCTGCAGGTACAAGAGGATCGCTTCCAGGGTATGATAGCAGCGATGACTTGCGGATGGCCCCGACACGGAGCTCAGAAATTTTTCCTGTGTACGTAGGTCAACCGTTCACAACCCGTCAACTTGCTTTTGTGCACCTATGCAGCCGCGAGAAACTACGCCCCACCTCGTCTCGTGGCTAGTCGCAGGAAGACTGTTCTTTCCTCATGCGCAACTCAGGGGCACCTTGCGATCGCGGATAGTACTTTGCATGCGACGAGCCGCTTGCGTATTCGGAAGCTGCTAAGCAACGTCCAATCTGATAAGCAATAGTTCGCGACATATACCCTGTGCCTAAAGGAGTGGGATGGGTAAAGCCGCACGAATTGACCGTCGCACGCGACCGCCCCTCAGCAACCTCGTGCGATTGTGGCCGAGTCAAATGACGAAGCTTGAAGAAGCAATAGGAGCGATAGATGAGTGGAGTGCCACCGTGATGATGAAGCTGGGAGGCGCAATCGATCATAACACACTGTGCGACATTAGCGTGATTCCCGCGTCTCAGAGTTCGGCGACGTCACTGGTCATTCACGAACACCAACCCACAGCCTAAAACTACACTTCCTGGATCGCTGCATCATTCTGACCGTTGTTCGGAATGATTGAACGGACCGAAGACAGCCACATGACAGAAGCCGAGCTTTCTTCAGCCTCATGCCAGGCGCATCCTTATCCGCAGTCGCCTCCCCCCCCTAGATACTCATTATCCCCCTTAACACCGGGCGAACTTGTCAGGTGGTCCTTGACAGTGGAAGCTGAGAGCACACCTGGAACCCAGCATTGGCGTGGCTTAGGGGCAGGACACGAAAGCCCTTGCCAGGCGGTGCGAGTCGTTTGGACGCCGAGACATGTTCGGAGTCAACAGGCTGGGCTTTGTGGTGTGCGAGGTCGCTCCAACGTCCGCCCTCTGTTCTGAGCATGTTTGACTCGTAGTCGCCGCATATCTCTCCACGAAGTCGACGCTTACAGACCAGCTAAGTCGGGTGAAGCGGGTGTCCAAGATCTGTTCGCTATCCGGATATTGATTTCGGTGGTACTGGCAGTAGCCAATGTGTCATTGGGATGACTCCAATCGAGTGCGTGATGCCAACCGTTGACTGTAGGACTGTTTCACGCGCTGGGTGCGAACTCGTACGTTTTTAAGGTATCCCGGAAGAAGAGGTTCGTCATTGTCAAGGCAGTGGATTACAAGGACGCTTATCGTTAAAGATTGACGTGTTGAACAGATGTTCCATAGTGCGTCCTTGCACTTCTCATCCCTTACTGGATTATGCAGTCGCGCACTATTGAGCGTTGACGCGTGGTGATATCCTCGGCGGCCATACTGGGAATTCGGCATACCCGGAAGACCTCGACACCAGCTCTCCGGTTACTAGAAAACCAGAACGAATGAATGGAACACGAGCTTTAGCCAGGTGAGGACAGACATTCTCCAGGATCTGAAAAGCGTGGGAAGTCGGTTATGCTCGAGCTTACACCAAAGGGAGTAAGGTTCACAAAGCTCAGGCAAAGGGACTTTCCATCAGTTTGCAACTTTCACTTTCCCCTCAAGCAAGTGTGGCTAGTGGATGTCGATCACCATATACCCGTTTGGGCTCAATCCGGGGTTGTAAACCGCATGTACCCTCGGCCCGACCACCACGCTAGAAGGAACTATAGCATCACGCAGGTAAGTTGCCATTATACAGATGATCTACGATAAAGTTTGATCGCCGTTCTTAACACTGGTTACCGGGCTAGTTTCCAAAGCATCGACATATCGTGCTTGTCGGTTGTCCGCTAGACTACTTGTCTTCACGTCACATACCAATTCCGTACTTACGCTGCTGATCTCACCATGCTGGAGTTCGCGGTATGGTGTATAATAGTGGAAGGTATCCCAGCTCTAGGGGGGACTGCGCAATCAATACACATTCAGGCTTGTGGCTGATACTTGAAAATGATTTCCTTCCTCGCACTAGGCTTGTTCGCCGCCAGTGTCGCTGCTGCTCCAGCACCACAGCTCATAGACCTGACCCCTGACTACTCCAAAGGCGACTCAAACCCCGCACGCTTCAGGTATTATGAGAACCAGGACTTCTTGCAAGGACCTTGCGATATTACCACTGGCCCAGATGGCAACATCTGGTAAGAACTACACTAAAGTTTTATACAACAGCAGTGCTGACAAAGATCTTGTTGTGAACAGGACACAGAACTTCCTCGATAACACAGTCTCAAAGATCGAGATCGAGAGTGGCAGGATCACAAACTACAAAGTGCCCTACAGCCCTGACCAGCTGTATCCCAACCAGAGTCTTCCATTGACCGGACGTGTTGCATTCGCGTGTGCTATTCAGCCAGGCAGCGATGGCAACTTGTACGCTGCAACAGGCGTGAGATCTCAGTTTCTGAAGATCAATCCGGCAAACGGGAACATCAAGGTCTTCACACCGCCGTTGCCAAATGTTCCCTTCTTGGGTAACATCCAACCATTCAATGACCTCTGGGATGGTGGCTCAGGAGTAAGTTGGTCCGCGTGTAGAGTCCTGCAGATATAACTAACGCGATGAAGATGTGGTACACGCTCACCACAGCCGGTACACTCTATCACTTCGACTATGCTACCGAGACATTTGATGGCGTCTACCCTCTGCCTACTCCGTTGAACGGCGTGGTCGGAGCTTTCGTCTCCAAAATCGACGGAAACGTGTGGCTCGCCGAGATGCTCGGACAAGCAATCACCAAATTCGACGTCAAGACAAAGCAATTTACGCGGTACCCACTCCCTCTCAATGGTCTCGGTATAGTAGTCGTCCGCGCAGAGACTGAGAACAGATACATCTGGTTCACTGGTTTTGTGTCAAACTCCAACGTCCGCTTTGATACAAGCACTGAGAAGATCGACGTCTTCACTGACCCGCTGCCTGCGTCGTTTCCTACCGAGAATACTGTTGATAAGCAAGGAAGATACTGGTACTCGACGGCAACGAGGAACACTATCCAGTATCTTGATCAGAACAACGAGCCAGTCATTATTGACATGCCGGACAGCGGTATTACCTCCCCAATTGGCATCCCGCCGGGCTTGAACATTGCAATTCACGCAGGCCCAGACAATGCTATTTACTTCTCGCAAGTGTTGAGGAACAGAATTGGAAGATACCAGCTTTGATTTCCGGGATATAGTTTTGCACGATCAAACACCATTTTAATGAATGCTACAAAGCCATTTTCTATAACACTGTAATATCTTGTTCACACAATCGTCATATCCTTCGCCCGCTTAGAAACAACCTATGAACACAAGGTGAACTCAACAGCGTGCAGCAAAGTGCCCTCCAACACATCCCCGACTCCATCAAACAGCTTCAACAACCATCTCCCCATCAGTTCGCCAAGCTACTTCCAACATCACACCACCACACCACCAATCAATCCCGGCGATCCTCCTTGCCATTTGCAGCTAGCCGCCCGAAATCCGGTTGCCCAAGATCTCCCAACCTTCCCCACAAACACACCAAAACATACCCTCGGAGCCCCTCGGGTATCGCCACGCCCATATAACCGGCGTCCCCAGCCTGTACGCAGCGACCAAGCCCTCTGCCAGTAGCTCGTCACAGGCACCAAGCCAGATTGCTAGCGCAGCCAGAATGCACACACGCATCGGCCCTACCCAGCTCAGCGGCTGGAAAACGCATATATGCATCTGCGTAGTACAGATGCAATAACGTGGGGTGACGTGCGGAACGGGGTTGTTTGGGTCGTGTTCGTGTTGGCGGTAAGTGGGACTCGGCACGGCGATCACCCGCTGGTGCTCGGGCCCTGCCCCTGCCCTTGGGCGGCGGGACGTCAGGTGCGCATATGCAGATACGAGAGGCGGGTTCGGCGAATGGGAGCGGGGGTTTTGGGCTGGGAGCGTGGTGAGTGGAGGGTGTCGGCGAGGTGAGGTGGGATCAGAGATTGGGTTAATGCGGGTGCAGATGTGGTGGCGATGCTGTGGGGTCTGTTGGCACTTGCGAGGTTGGATACGGTTCTTGATGTCACGGACACTTGTGGGATTGTTGTCGAGTCTGCATGGTATACTCGTTGATGGCTTGGTGTTTAGATGCTTGTGAAGAATGTATAAAAAAATAGTCATTAAGAAATCACGCTAATAGATTGCTACTCTGCTCTGACTGGTGCACTGCGTGCTTTACCAGCCATTACAATGAACATCAAGTTGTTGCGAAGCACAGTGCGACGCTACCTGGGTAACTCAGGCCCACTTAAGCATTACCGCTGCCCTTAAAGCTAGCACCAGGGAATGGGGTGAAGAGCTGGTTATCAAAGGCAGACAACTGAGGACATCCAAACTTAGTGCCGAGCGGCCCAAGCTGCTGTTTGGTCCAGCCGAGCACACTGCCTACAAGACCGAGGAGTGGGTTGGTAATATCAGGAAGGCCTGCGAGAGAAGCCTGCAGCAGGAAGCAAGCAGCCTTGTTGCCGTCGGCGAGATCAGCAGCGTTGAACAGCCCCCCAGTAACATCAGTGATGTCGACACCAGTAAAACTGTTCGTGGTGCCTGTGTTGCCACCAATACGAACAATACCGGGATACATTGCGTTGTTGATTTGGACATCAACGAGAACCTCGGGGATGTTGTAGGCGTTTGCAGCAGGGCGCTTATACCAGTTCTCTGGGATGCGCTCTTGACCACGGTTGTGGACAAAGTTGCCGGGAGCATCACCAGTGACACCAAAGAAGCTCTTGAGCACGTCGCGAGAAAGGAAGCCACCGGGGTTCTCGGCGCTGTGGTTGGACATGAAGTGAATGACAAAGTTGTGCGCAGCAGGCGCAACCATGCCCGAGAAGGGAGCAGAGAAGTAGTATGGGTTGTTGAGGATTGACCAGCGAGTGACGTAGTCTGACTGGGCGGCAACGTCGTCCAGTGTGTATGAGTCGGCCAACTCGTATAGGTGCTCCCATGATCGCATCTGGAAGACGCCGACGTTGCCATTGTTAAGGTAGGCGTCGCCGCGCACGATGGATGCATCTCCCTCGTATTGGTTGTGCGTTCCTGCAATACCATTTGCCGGGAAGATTGGGATAGTGGGAGTGAACTTTCCACCAATGGACCAGCGGTTCGAGACTGGGTCTCCGGCAAGGGCGATAGAGACGACAGCCAAGAAAAGGGCGAGATCGGGAGACATGTTGTATGCCTTACCCAGACCCGCCACAGTCTGTGCCGTAGTGACCAGGCCATTACGGGGAATGAAGTTATGATTGGCAGCAGCATTCAGACCGGGGCATTGTCCGCGGATATCGCCTGTTCGAGGAGATTGGAATTCGTTTCCACTTCCAGATCCCACCTTAACAAGCTGCTCATTTGCGTCAAAGCCAAGAGGTGGCAGTCCGGTGTTCGGTCGTCCCGACTTGAACACTGGAGCGCGAGGTGGAGGCTCCTCACGCTTCTTCAATTGCCTGTCCATCTCCATGACATTGGGCCATGCAGCCGCCAAGGGCAGAAGTGTGAGCAACGTGCTTGTTGTAGAGAAACGCATATTGCGTGTGAAATGAGGTTGAGAAGTAAAGAGGAAGATGTAGATAGCGTATTGAATAACGATACAGAAATGTGCAGAGGCGACCTTGATATAGTTTTCGATCTGCCCCTAACGGCTGTACCCCAGGAAACTCTTCATCTTCGTGACTTAGATCCCGTAACTCGTAGTGGTCGTCTTGTAGATCTTTGCGGGGCAACCCATACCAAATCGATATTAAGAACTGCAGTAGGGTATTCTATCGGGACGAAAATCTGGAGATGTTGCCCCATGGTGGATACAGACCCCAGCGCGGATGTAGGCTAGCCGTGCGGCGTGGGCGTGGTCACTTGTTGCCAAGTACTCGGGTATACGCTAAGGAGGCGTGAATGACAGATGCGCAGATCCCTCTTGTGCTACGGGCGAGCTTTCCCTTTCTAGTCCAACGTAACTTCTCAATTCGGACTGATCTACACCGCAACGGTGAATTTAGTACACAGATGCAGGAAAGGTGACTAAAGGGGGCACGATCATTGGGCGCGAAGACAGGGGGTTGCTCCGCCATGGTCGCCGAGAGCAGACTCGACGCCGCAAACTCTGGGAACTGCCGTACGTGGCTGCAGATTCACGACGTTCTCGCTCAGGAACATCGACGTCAGTGTGAGGTCCGGATGGTCTGATTGGTCCAAATCAACGACCTAGCTAGTTTCAGCCTCCCTTACTCGAAGACGATAGTAAATATTTATTGACTGACTCTACACAACATGAAGTGGCCGACTGTAGGTTTCTGCATGCTATATTGCGTCAAGGGCAACTCAGGCGGAAAGCAGGTCTGGAAAATTGAATAGGCATCTTGGTAGATGGTACCCAACTGCAAAGCAACACGACGGTGGCATGGACAAGGGTAGTCTTCGAACTGTCGATCATAATGACATTGTCCACTGTCAAGTGCTCGGTCTTCTTCGGCATTTGTAAAGCTTAGAGCGCGCCGAGCATGATTCAAGCGTAGAGTAGTTCTGAGTGTCTCCTAGCGTTACAACATCCTGACCTCTGCTATGGAGTGCCACTCGAAAACAAGACTATCTTTCTTCTGAATACTTTCTATAGCTTGGAGCTACTGTAATGTAGATCTCAGGGTCCATTAACGGGCTGCATTGCGCAGCACAGCCATTTTGCAACGGCGAGCCGGTACCCTCGGATTTCGGTAGTGTCAGGCCAATGACAGACATGGTATATATGCTTTGCGAGTGCATATAGCCTACGCATATAGTTCGCTCGCCTTGACGAAGCGGGTATCGAACTTCAACTCTGCGACCTCACCCAGTAGTGTATAGGAGAAAAGCCGGTTGTCTGCATGGACCCCTGCAATGCAGACGATTTGAGGACGACGGAACGAAGATTACGATCGCTTCTGAGAATGCTTGGGGTTTCCCGTCATCACTGCTACCGAATCTTTGATTCGCTGTCGACAAGAAGGAGTCGGCGAACACGCAATTCGACGCATGCAATCGTGAGCTAGGCAGCTACAGTGACAGGAGTGCAGATGGACTGTATCCTTGCGTCGTTGTGATATTTCCGGGTTTAACTTCCTTCTTAGCAGAGTGCCATACGCCTCTGTCGAGCAGTTATAGCATGGCCCTTCGAGATCGTATATGGGCAATTCTGCGATCACCAGTATGGACGCGCGACAATGATCGTCAGCCGGCTCTCTAGAAGCTAGCCAACGGGAGATCACACCAGGTGTGAGAATCCTCTTCAAGACGTTTGATTGACTCGGGCTGCAATCGCTACAGCATGCGGATGGTGGCTGGCCGAAGCGGGGATACGACCCAGCTCAGGAAACGGCCTGGATGTAAGCCCGAAACTGGAAGTATGCTGCTCATGAGGTTCTGGGCATCCTAGCCGAGCTCGCCGTCGACAGACAGGTAGTGTCGTGAATCAGGGATGGTTCGACATGAAGAATTTGACAGTGGCTGGAATGTTCGCCCGAGTCTCTGGCCCGGCACGGATGTGTGCAATCGCTCGAACTCTCCCCAACGGTTCTCAGTCGTCAAACCCGTTGAACTCATCCTCCTCGTCTGCGCCCTCTGTCTGCTTCACCTTCTTCCGCATTTGTGCAATCATCTTGTCCAACTCTGCTTCCTTCTTACGCTCCTCATCCGTCAAGCCAGCCTTGCGATCGTGTTCTCGCTTCGCCACCTTCTTATCACGCCTGAGCTCTTTCGTTGCCTTGTGATCCTTCTGCTGCGTCCAAGCCTTCGCAATCTTATTCTCTTTGACAAACTTCTTGCCGGCGCCACCTTGGGCCGCAACTTCTGCGAGCTCCTTCTGACGCTGTTGCTCACGCACTTTGTCCTTGTACGCGAATGTATCGAAGTCCATCGTTACACCGAGCGACTTGTCGCCTTCCCACTTCTTCGTCTCAGGCATACGAGGGAGACGTAGCAGTCCCCAGGCATTTCCGAGTTCGGTCCAGTTCAGATCTTCGACTTGGAAGATGGAGCTTGCTGTGTGCTTGCTGTAGGCACGGACCCAAGAGACAAACCCTCGCTGAGCTTTGTCGTAAACAGCTCGGTCAGTCTTAGCGACCTTCCTGATGGCATTTGTGACTCGTTCGATATCCTCTGGTGTGACGGTAACAGCAGGCATTGCGAGTGGGGTCACCGGAGTCTGTCTTACTCGCAGAAACTCGACATAGTCTTCTTCCAAGCCTGGAGTCAAAAACGTGACAGCGAGACCCTTTCGTCCAGCTCTTCCAGCACGTCCACAACGATGAATGAATGTTTTCGGATCACTCGGTGGATCAAGTTGAATGACAAGGTCTACTGATGGGATATCGAGTCCACGAGCGGCCACATCGGTGGTCAGCAGGATCGATGGCGTGACACTGTCCACGAATTTGCTGAAGTTCTTCCGTCGCACCTTATCAGGGTGCTTGCCGTGAAGCGGAACAACAGTGTAGCCCTTTAGGACCTCAGGGAGCACATGCTGGAAGTAGTCGACGGCGAAGCATGTTGCCAAGTAGAAGATGGTCTTTTGGGGTTGCGGTTCCATTGAAGCCAATATTTGCTTGACGGCTGGTAGTTTGTGCGAAGGGGGTGCCACGAGGTAAGCCATCTGCAAGCTTGCAGGCGTTCGCTTGTCCTCAATTTGACCGTTTTCGGCTGCCCTCGCTTTTACCTTGACGGCAATGCGGACTGGATTTCGCAGGCCTACACGAATAAGTTGATCGACGGCTTCACTGACACTGGCACTGAACAATCCTGTTCGTCTCTGCTTTGGCAGTCGGGAAAGGATCTTTTGTAGGTCATCCTTGAAACCAAGATCGAGCAATCGGTCGGCTTCATCCAACACAAGAGCATCGAAAGACGACGAGCAATGAACGTGGCGAGAGGACAGTAGTTCCAGTAACCGTCCAGGCGTACCGATAAGTACGTTGGTCTGCTTCTTTAGAAATGCGCTCAAGTCCTGAGCTGGTGTGACCGAACCACCAAGGAGCAGCTGAGGCACGACTTTTAGGGTCCCAGCAGGGAATGTTGGCTTTGGCGGTGCGTCTGCGTCTTCCATGTCGCTGTCCTCGTCCTCTGGTTCGAGTGCTGCAGCTGATGGCGCGTGAAACTTCAATAGTGAGCATAGAACAGCGTGGATCTGTGTTGCGAGCTCTCTTGTCGGTGAGATGATAATGGCGCCCACGTGATGCTTCTTGATGGGCACATCGAGTCGAAGTATGCGTTCGACAATGGGAATCAGAAAGCTTTATCGAGTTAGCACAAGGGCTTACAACATAGCTGCATACATACGACAGTGTCTTTCCACTTCCTGTGACAGCTTCGACGACCACATCAGAGTTCTTCATGAACATAGGAATGGCGGCGTGCTGCACTGGCGTGGTCTTCACGAAACCCATGGCGTCTACAGCCTCGAGAACCCATTCTGAGAGCGCAGGCGTCAGACCACCAAACGACCGATCAGCTTTCGTTTGGGGCGCCATCTCGAACTTTTATGAGACGTGAGGTGTGGTGGTTGCGCCAACGTGCAGTGAGAAGTTTCGCTCGGCTCAAAAAAAGTTGTCTGTGGCGCAGGCTGCGTGCGCCACTTGTCGATCACGGCCGGGGGCACCCAGGGCTGGCCGGTGCTCTGCACGTGATCAGCGAGGATGCTCGAGTGGCCTCTGTCTGTGGAGGTATGCTCAAGGCTCTCAGACATTTTCTAATTGTCTCCGACTACATCGAATATATCGCAACTGCTCGGAGCCACGATGCAACCGCCTCTCCAGAATCTAAGTGGAGCATCTTCACATGCATGATCTCATCGGCGGCAGGGAAATCCGCGCATACACGCGACAAGATTGCGGCGTGCTAAATTTCCTGGCTACGCAGCATGCTTGCAGCAAAGGCGTCACCGGTGTCGCAACGCCCCCTTTTCACCACGTTTACAAGCTGGCAACCGTCGGCGGCATAAATTGTGGCATCCCCTGGCTCTTTAGACGATGCGCGAAGTCCGGACGAACTCGCGTCCGCCCTGGCCCTGCTGATTACGTCTGACGCCGATGTCGAAGCCACCACCGCGGTCCTAGCCGGCGCTCACACCACACACACTCAGCCTTACGACTGCGCGGCCTCCGATCGCCAGTCAGTCATCGCTAACGTCGCTTCATCCTGGGCAAAGACCCGCTGCAGCTTCTCCGGCCTCATCCGCGCCCCTCCGCTCCCACACTTCACCACCTGCTTTCGCGCAGCAATGGCCTCCTCCAGGCAGTACCAGATCCCGCACACGCCGCGCGTCATCTCGCCGTCGCCAACTCCTTCAGAGGCTGGCAGTGGAAAAGATGGCTATTTCCCACCTGTAACGCGTGCGTCGGCGCGCAAGAACAAGATCCAGTCGCCCCCGCCCATCGAAGAGGACTCGTCAAGCTCAGATCCGGAGAAGCGCGCGCGAAGTAGAAGTCGCGATCGAGGCACAGGCCGAAGGAAGATCAGTGGCTTGACGTCGAGAAGGCAGCAGAATGGAGGTCCCAAGAAAGATCTCGCACTGCCAAATGGCGCAAGCAACGGGCACCTGTCTCCGGCAGCCGCCAACAAGATCTATTGGCGAGAGCTGAGCCGCAGTCCGAGTCCGTTGGGTCTAATTCCCATCCATCAAGAATGGCGCTCTTTCGTACGTGACCAGCCTGCACCAGCCGTGCAAACTTGACTGACATGATCAGATCCACCGTCATGAGATCCCCCGCAAGATCCTTCATGTATCCATCGGATTCGTCACGATCTTCCTCTACTGTACCGGCCGCCAAATGTCTCAGATCCATCCGGTTCTGCTGGCCCTGTTCATACCCATCGCTCTGACCGACATTATTCGACACCGCTACTGGCAGGTCAACCGCTTCTACATCCGGTGTCTCGGCGCACTGATGCGCGAATCTGAAGTAGACGGCTTCAACGGCGTTATCTCATATCTCCTCGGCGCGTGGATTGTCCTGCGCTTTTGTCCTAAGGATGTCGGCGTCGTTAGCATTCTGCTACTCAGCTGGTGTGATACTGCAGCATCGACGTTCGGCCGCCTCTGGGGACACTTGACTCCCAAGGTCAGGAAGGGTAAAAGTCTCGCTGGCACAATTGCGGCGTGCGTGACAGGCATTATCACAGCTGTCCTGTGGTGGGGCTGGTTAGGACCACTCTACTCCGATCTCAACCAAGGCGATAACGCATTTGCTTTCCAAGACGCCCTCACACTTCCAACTCAAGTCCAGGAGTTGCTCGGACTATCGGCGGCTCAAAGCTCCATCACCGGATACACGGCTCTTGCTGTCATGTCTTTGGTGACTGGCATCGTCGCAAGTGGCAGTGAAGCCCTGGATCTCTTTGGTTGGGACGACAACCTTACAATTCCTGTTCTTTGTGGAGCCGCTCTGTGGGGTTTTCTCCGCACGTTTGCATGAATAAGTTCTTACAATCTCCACCAATTTGTGTAATGTCTACTTTTCCCTAATTGTTCATTATGTCTACATGAATACCCTAGAGCGTGGTGAATCTGCATCACCGCATCTTCATTACGACGGCGTTTTAGTCCCAAGCGCATGGATGTACCATATACTACACTGCGGCACGTATTTAAAACGATGGCGACTGAATTTATCACGACCTTCGTTTCGCTCACGGCTAGTCATCTTTGCGTGACCCAGGGAGTGAACATGTGGCTCGAGCGCTACGCTAGTCCTGTTCCACCATGTGAATCTACCTGCAGGTCGGTCTCCGGGCAACTTACACTTCAGCAAGAGCAGGTGGTCCCCAAACGACTCACACTTCGGAAAGAGCACATAAACTCAGCTCTGAGCATCGCGCTGCAGTCGTCTTTACTACTCCTCTGCTTCACTCGAGCACCATGGATACACTTCCCTAAGAGCTGATAGATCACATCAGTAGCTTTCTTACCAGCGAAGACCTCGAAAATACTCTCACCGTAAACAGAGCGTACAATGCTGCCGCGGAGCGATTATCTGGCACCTTCTCCAGCTTTGATCTGACCGAACACAACTCGCAAACATTCATTACCATCTATGGCGGCCCTCGTCTTCGCCAGCTCTACCAAGTGGTTTTCCGTACGAGTTTTCCGCCAATACTAGACGCTGCCGTCGGTGGCCTCGCTTGCCGAGAAACCACGCAAGAACTACAAGAAAAAGATGAGTGTTTCTCTAGCCAAATCGGACTACTGTTTTCGACACTCAAGGCTGCTGAGCTACGTGCTGCCAAACCCGCTCCTCGACGCACCAAAATCGTCATCCACAGCCCAACAAGACAGATAGGGAAACAGATGTTGAGAGGCTGCCGTCATCGCATGGATATCAGCTGGAGGGTTCGTTTACTAGCACCTGAAAGCCTCCCAGAACTTCGTTTTGTGAGGTCACTTCAAGTCGATCAGGGCGACCCTACCATAACCCCCTTACGTGGCACAGAAATCTCAAAGCTAGACTTACGGATGATTGTGGATCTAGCAAAGAAGCTACCCAACTTGGAGTTTGTTGGGTGTCAGCTTGGTCAGGGCGAAGTCTGTCCGAAATATGTTGGAAGGAGCAGATTCTGGGCACATTATGAGAATGATTGGGAAGGCCCACGACGAGACACCCGACATCATTTCGCAGAGGCTGTTGAAAGCTTCTGCTTGCCCTCGACGATGGAGCGTGTTCGCCTCGATTTTTTGGACAACTATGATATGCAGATTGAGCACCTTGACCAGCGAGATGATATGCCTGATCTGGTCGGTCCAGCGAAGCGTGATCCGTTCAGTAGCTCACTGTGCACTTTGTCTCACAGCCTGCGCATACTTGAGCTACGAGGTATCGTCGACTCAAACTTGTTTGAACGTCATTGTGACGACCAGACTCCGTGGCCGAACCTCGAGTCGCTTGAGATCATGTTCTGGCCCATCTCTCCATCTGGAGCATGGTACTTCCAGGGACCCAACGGAGAAGGTGGACAGTCCATCTCCTACTCAGTGACTGAAGATCACTATCCGCCTCTCGGACCGAACACGAATGATGTCGTTCACGATGAATATCTGGAGGATCGGGGTCGTTCTGATGATAATACTGTAGGTGGCGCTGGTTTCAGGATCACTCCCAACGATCGTGTCTTGGTACCTTTCCTCACTGCATTTGCAAGAGCGGCATCAAGAATGCCAAAGCTGAAGGATGCCAGTGTATGGTGTCCGTTGGTGTGCTATCGAGATGAAGAGGGAGTGTCTCTGCATGGGTCATTGTACGAGCACTTGAACGATCTATCCCTGGCTTGGGGTATAACATACGACAAGCCATCTCTACCTACACCTCGCAAACTCGCATGGCGGGTTTCGACTTGGCGCCCTGACGAAAAACTACATGTGTTGTTCCGAGACATCGGACGTATACAGCATGGGGATGAACTGGAAGAGGAGTGGACTGATGATCAGACAGGTGATGATCTTGTCAGTCGCGAATTCTTCTCCTACTACTAAGTACCACCCCAACCATAGAGCTATCCTTTGCCGCACTTCGAGTATTTGCATCCCTTGATTACATAAGTGATGCTAAAAAAGACGCCACCTCTTTTTTTCACCCAACTTAATGATGGGCGCGGAGTTTCAACGGCATCAAAGCTCGAATCTATGCCAGTCGAGTCGCCGGACTCACAACGGTCATGCGCAGCAAAATGATGACGCCAGCACCTGGGAAACCTTGCTAGCGTGTCGAAGCTGTATACACTGCCATACCCAAGGATCTTTTTCCTATCTTGCTACGTTTCAATCAACAAGTGACGGAGTAAGTTAATCTTACAAGTACCCAGATTTTAGTTTAATCTAGCGACAACGAATACAAATACCTGCTAGCTAGAATAAGAATATAACTAATACTATAACAGAGGCAGTACATCAGCTCTCGTAGTAGAGTATATTGATGTATTGCGAAGTATCTAGATCTCTGTCTAACCTAGCGATGACGAATACAAACAACCAACAGTCAACCTAAAACAGTGCCTTCTGCAACAAATTTGCTGGTGTCTTCGCAGGACCGCGAGCTTCAAATATTAAGTTGGGAGAGTAAGAAACCTCATAACAAGCCTCCTTGAAAACTATAACACCAACATGCCTTAAAGAAGCCGCGCAATGACAACGAGGCGAGAGTCCCTCGCGACGCTGCAATGAGCCAACGTACCTTCGCACTGTCTCGCTACGCTTTTCGTCAACTACTAATAAGTGATGGAGCATGCCAATCCTACAACGCGTGCTCAGGTTCAGGTCTAGTCTGGTGATGGCGAATACAAATACCCGCCACCCAGGAAAAGAAAAAAAGACTACCGTCGCAACAGAGGCCATGCTTCAGCTCTAGTGACGGAGTACGTCAACGCATCACCAAGTATCCAGATCTTCGTCTAGCCCATGTCCCGACATCCAGGCCAGCATTGCATGTTGTGTCACGATACACAACATACCGTTTGACATGCAGCTTGCAGACGTAGTCGTGCTGCCGTGTCGCATCGCAACTATTCGATATGTCAAGGCACCCTTGATAATGTTACTACCCGTCCAACATAGTCAGCGCCAACTTGCTGAAGGACCAGCCATCTGTAACGTGAAGTTGAAAAGCGTCGTGAGGCGTATTGGAGGCCGGCGGTCAATAGGGATTGACCTCACTCGACAGCACTGCCACAAGACACCTAAGTACTCGCCGGGAAAGTGCTGACTTGTGTAGTTCGGTGTGGTCATCAGGTTGGTCGGAGCGACCGTCAGGTACGAGACCTTCTGGACCCTGGCTGAGGGTGCACGTCGGTGTTTGGCTCGGTTGACGATCTGCCTGAGAGCGTATCAAATCGTGTTCCACTTCTTCGCGTTACAACGCAAGGTTTTGCTACGAGAGGTGCATGATGCAGACAGTGCGAAAGGGACATTGGTGATAGCTGCGGTCGTCGCTTCATCCTTGCCCAATATCCGTCCCGCCTCCTCTTCACCCGTTCAGCGCAGCCCTACTGAATCGACACCAGGATCCCCGGCGGCCTGACGATTCAAGATGGCTTTGAGACGGTGGAGCTGCGGAGGTGAGAGAAAGAGGAAGTCGGCCGCTAGAAATGACCCCTGCAGAGTCTTGGCTCCTGACGCCACCAGCGAGCACGTCGACGGGAAGGTGCTCACGACCTCGGATGCTTGCTTCTTCTCATATTTTTATGTTCACGCCCCTCCAAATTCTCTGCGAAGCTGCACCCATTCGGCCGCTGTCACCCTGATCTGCTGGAGAACTGCCGTCTATCCATTCGGACCCCTGCCGGACGCCCGCCATTGCCAGCCAGGACTGCCCCGCTACCGCCTCGGTTGCCTTTGTCTATACACCGCAACGCGCCTGACCCGCCAGCACCTTCCTTGCCCTGTCGCCGTGTATAAAGGTGCTTCACGTGCTCCGTCGAAGCACCTCAAGGCTCTGCATTTGCTTCTTGACAAACGTGCCTCGCTCCGCGTCGTTGTCAACCGACCCCGCCTTGTTCACGATCGAGCTTCACCCAAGCTTCGCTCCACCTTCCACACCACCACCACCACACGCCGAGATGGCCTCCACATCAGCTGCCGCAGGGCTGCTTTCTCGCCAGCTCAAGCAAATGCAGAACGACAAGAGCATATCAGGCATCAGCTGTGGGCTGGTGGACAGCAACGTCTTCGAGTGGGAGGTCATGCTGATGATTGATGATGACACAAAGTACTATGGAGGTGTGTAGGACTGGAGGAAGATATGCTGAAGCATGGCTGACAGTTCTCAGGTGGCTTCTTCCGCGCACGACTGAACTTCCCGACCGAATACCCACTGCTACCGCCTAAGATGCGCTTCGAGACGCCAATCTTCCACCCAAACAGTAAGCCTTGAACCCTAACATTGCTAGGCATATAAGCTGAAACAGAGCAGTCTACCAGAACGGCGAAGTCTGCATCTCAATCCTGCATCCTCCCGAAGAAGACAAGTACGGCTACGAGTCAGCCGCAGAGCGCTGGTCACCCGTTCAGACACCCGAGACGATTCTCCTCTCCGTCATCTCCATGCTTTCGAGCCCCAACGACGAGTCCCCAGCGAACGTCGAGGCCGCCGCACTATGGCGAGAGAACACACCCGAGTTCAAGAAGCGCGTGCGAAAGTGTGTGCGAGACAGCTTGGAGTTCGAGTAGTTTGGATGCTTAAGAGATCTCTAGTGAGATTTGGATTACACGTCTAGGGGCGCACAACTGATACGGGAACAAACATGGCATGTTCAGGTTACTTGATCGTTACGGCGTGCATGGTGGGATCTTTCGGCATGGTTTGCTAGCGTACAATGCATTCACGATACCTCTCCACCCCTTACTGACAGTGACAAAAGCCCCCCTCGCTCTCCTCAACGCCAATCCCAACTTCACACACCCAATATCAAGTCGACATATCCCTAACTCCTGACCAAACCTAACAAACCATCCATCCCCCAACATTCACATCCCCCAGCCCTCGCACAATCCCCTCCCCCATCCACGCTAACACCACAAACACCACCCGCGACACAACAAGCCCTTGCACCCCGGCCTCAATATACACCCAGGCCCCGCGCCCCGACACCTCGAAGACCCCACTCCACTCTCGACCCAGGAACAGCGCAAGCGCGATGTACGCGCTGATCAGCAGCCCGAGCGAGAGGTCGAGAAAGTATGGACTACTTTTCCAGAGCTGAGGGCGCGAGGGTGTGGCGGATTTCTGGGGGTTGGGTGTTGGTAGGACGGAGAAGGTTGGGAGGGGCATGGTGCGGGAGTCGTCGGGGGCTTTTCGGTGGGGACGTCGGGAGATTTGTGGGCGGGCCTTCGGAGGATTTCTGATAGAAGGCTTCAGGGTTCTTTACTGCGTGGTGCTGTGGTGCTCGAGGTGCACGGCGGTTGAGTTGCGTGCTGGAGTCGTTGGATGATGCTGATGCGAGTCCCGCGGCTGGTGGTGCTGTGCGAGAGTAGATATGAGAGCAAGACTTGTTCTGGAGGGTGTCAGGACTTGGTTCGGGCAGTGGTGAAGAGATGGTAGATATCTGTGGAAGAGGATGGTGAGGATGTAGAACCCCGAGGGCTTGGCGCATTGGCTTACTTTCCTTCACGGCATCACCAATGGGGCAATTAACATCGCACTCGTGGTGTAATCACGGGAAACCCTTGAAGTGCATTGTTGCCTTGAGGTGACTGGTGGCGCAGTATGACATGTCTTCGGAGGCACCCTATGATGTGGTTTTCGATTTGGAAGTCTGCTGTGAACGCCTGAACAATCCCGCAGCCTCGCCCAGTCATCTGGGTCTGAGACTCACCTCTTGACTGAGTCTGTACCACGCCCGTCTGAGTCTGGTCATACACCTATCAATATTACTCCTGCCTGCCATCAATACAACCTGACACATTCTAGAGCCCTGTCACCACGGCTTCGTCCAGTTAGGAATCTTCTTCCACTCTGCCTCTAGCGTGTCTACCGCGAACTTAATATCCAGCATCTCGGCCTTCTTCTACTTCTCCGCCGGCTGATCCTTCGGGTCCACCTTGGCCTTCTTCCGCTCCGCCGCACTGGACTTCTTATCCTTCAGCTCCTTCAGCTCCTTCACCCACTTCGTGCCAAAATCATCTGCCTTCTTCTTCGCCTGCACAAACTTATCGTCGGCTTACTTGGTCCACTCGGCCTCGAGGCTCATGATCGTCTAGGGATCAAAGGTGCGCACGTTTCTGCGGTTGATTTCGCGCTTATGAGCTTTATCTGCTTCCCCATGCGCGTCACTTCCTCACTGAAGTATTGCCTGATATCCGGCTCGGTCATTTATTTGGACCGTCCTCTCTCTTGAACTTCTTACGCCCCACTTTGTCGTTCTTGCCGAGACTCTTACACTTACTGGAGCCCGTGGCTGACGCGGAGACGGCGCTTGACGTTTTGTAAGCGAGGCCTTGAGGGAAGTAGCCTTGATCGGAGTTGGCTTGGTCGAAGCAATCTTTGAGGTTGGTGCAGCAACTTTGGTGGTTTTCGGGGGGTTGACTTTCTTTGAAGTCTTCTTCGAGGGAACCTTTGGCTTTGCCGGTTTCTTCGCAGGAATGCGAGCTAATGTACTACCATTGTTGCAGCATTGGTCTTATTCTTATTCTAGCTAGCAGAAATTTGTATTCGTTGTCGCTAGATTAGATTAAAATCTAGGTACTTGTTGTAGGATTAACTTACTCCGTCACTTGCTGATAGAAAACACAGCAAGATAGGACCAAGGTTGCAAGCACTGCCTCTATTACTACAGCAATGGTTTTCTAGTTCTGGCCGACTTTTGTCTGGATTCGTCAAAGCTATGTTAGACAGAGATCTGGGCACGCGTTGTAGCGTTGACATACTTCGTTCCCTCACATCAGTCTGAACGCGGCCTCCTAAAAGAGACCAAGACAGAACAAACAGTGACACATGGTTGTTTCCAGCTGCCAATTTATCTACGGAGGAAGGTACAAGAAGGAAGAGCTGTAAGTATTATTTCCTTGATCTTGATCATGGCATTGTACAAGAGGACTCTTCGCTGGATGAACGATACCGACACCCGCTTTCGCATTATCGCTTGGCTCGCTCCAGGCACGCCACTTGGGAGTCAGACAGTGGCTCGATCCTGAGGTCCGAACTGTGCCAGTGATCAGGCCGCTTGTTTTACGGCAACCATGGTTCGCTTCAACTCGAGCCAGGGTCTCGACAAATATTGCATAATGCCATGCGATCTACTCACACTGCCCTTCTTACTTCTCAAACCTTCCACCCAAAAACAAGGTTGCAAGCGAAAACGCATTACGAAGATCATCATCGAGAAGCCATGGATTCCGAGAAGCAAGCTCTTCCCGTTGCGGGCTCCGAGCAAAGCGAAAAGACAACGACAACGTTCATCGACGAAAGATTAAACAGCGAGCCGATAGCACTACAGCCATTGAACGGGCCACTGTACAAGCAAGAGACCAGTGCGGGCACAGTGATACACATGCCTCTTACTCCCCTCAAAACCCAAGTGCTCTACTGGACCGGCGCAGCTGGCATAGTGGCTTTGCGCCAGACAGCCCTCCACATCATCTCTCTGGAACCTCTGGCCGCACCCATCCTCGCTGCAATGGTCATTCTGTGCCTCCTCGCCACTGAATACTATCATCGTTGCGGCCGGCCCTGGTGGGACACGCCCGCATCCTGGATATTCGGCGCAGGACTGCACACACTCGTCTTCGTTGAACTGCTGATGACCATACTTCTCTTCATCACAAGCCTATCCTCAAGCCCCAAAAAGCCGCTCACACTCCGCCAAGAGCTGGTCTTCCGTTTCCTTCTCAACTCACTCACCATTAGCATGTTGGACAGAGATAAACATCCGCGCAGCCGCGTCACCATCCCTAACGTCGGTCCCGGGGCGTCGCTATGGTGCAATCCGACATGGCTCCTGATAAAGATCGACGGGCAGTGGATGTGGAAGCGCGGCGATAATAAGCGGGCGATGCGGCATCTCGGGTTGACTTACGCGGTTATGTTTCCGTTCATGACGGGAATTGCGTGGTGTCTTGATGTTACGCCCATTCCGATCGTGTCGTTGGGCTTGTGGGGCGCGGGCTGTCTTGCAGAAGGTTTCGACCATGTGCTTTTGCAGGTGCTCGCGTTGCGACCGTTGCATGATCTGGTATTCTGTCTGTGTCACCATATTTTGTTGGGCGTTGCGAGTATTGAGGAGTGGAGGCGGAATGAGTGTCTGTGACTGCGGTTCGACATCGGCTGGAGCAACCGAGCATCAGGCAGCTGGCAATACTCGTCGATTACGTTGTGTTTTGTCTTTGTCATAACGGGCGCCTGGATCTACATTCAACACAGTGATAACGGATCCAAGTAATCAAGAGCCAGGACGGTGTCAAGGGGGGTATTGAAGTTTAATAACTCTACGCTAGCGCGGCCTAAAAGCCGCTTCCTGCGCGTTCCAACGCCGTACCATGATACCGTGAAAGCTAATCTATGTGTCATGAAATGTTGGGTATAACGCCTGTTCGTTCACTGGGTTCGCCTGGCCCAAATACCAAAAAGTGCTACGCTGATTGCTGCTACTGCAAGTCATTTGACCTCCTTGACTGTGATGGTGCTCCCGTTCTTCTCTTCTTTGGCCTTGGGTAAGCCTTGTTCTAGGTGAGCCTGTTCTAGATGCGCCTGCGGAGGCGTCTGCATCTGCGGCAACTGTATCTGCGGCGGAGGCGCACGCGGTGTCTGTGGCTGCAACTGCTGCGGTGACAGCGGCTGAGATTGTGACTCTGTTATAGGTTGATTCTCTTTATCTCTCTCCTCCTGCTCGGCCTTCTCTTGCCCTGTGACCACGCCCTTCAGCACCACCTCCAGTTCCGCCAGTCGTACCGGCTTGATCAAGAACAGATTGACGCCACTTGAGTTGGCCTCTTGTTGGGTTTCAGTGCTGGCAACACCTGTGAGCGCGATGATGGTGACAGGCGGCAATCCATTCCGAATCTCGTGGGCGCGAATCTGGCGTGTGGCCTCGAGGCCGTCCATTTCAGGCATATTGATATCCATCAGGATAACATCGATGCGTGCAGTCATGTCAGCAGCAGCAGCTTTCGCAGTTGCCGTGTGAGCCTGGGTTGCAGATCCGGTCTCCGGCAAATGGTCTTGAGCTGTCTTGTAGGTGTCCAGAGCTTCGAGGCCGTTGACAGCCAGCACGTGGCGGTGACCAAGCTTGTCAATGAACGTTCGAAGTAAGCGTAGATTGATAGGGTTATCGTCGACGGCCAGGCAGTTCAGCGATCTTGTTGGCGTGGAGTATGCCGACTTCTTGGCTGGAGGCGAGTGGACTGAACGCACTTCAGGGGCACTACCTGTTGAAGTGAGAGTCGGCCGAGCATGATCGAGGAGGCGGCCAAATATATCCGGACTCTGAGGCGGCGTATTCTCCCTCAAGCTGAGCTGTGTGACTTTGTGCAGTGTTGCTTCTGCCTCATTGGCTTGATCGAGCAGACGATGTGCGTGACGGTCAAGGCAGGAGGACAGAGCTTTTGCCATCTTGTGAGGACCGACAGGCTGCCCGATGCATTCAAAGATGACGCCAGGGATTGTAATCGCGGTGGTAGATTGCGCAGATGCAGCGCCCTGGCAGACAACAATGACAGGTGGATGGTTGGCTTTGTTTGATCCCTGGCTGTGCTGAGCACGCAGCACCTTTGCAACAGATTCAGTTGCAATAATGATGTCAGGCTGCGCAGCGCAAGGACCAGTAGCACAGGTCTTCATGCCAAACCAGTCGGCACACAGGCCGTCGAGCGCTTTCATCGCAAGTTTGCCGGCACTTTTTCCCTTCAAGCTTCTAACAAAGTACTCCTCTTCTTCCTCAAAACCCTTGAAGCAGACCTTCATGCCTTGTGTGCGTTTTCCGACCTCCTTCAAGTGCTTTCCTTTCTCTTGCTCGGGTCGCGTGGCGCAGAAAGACGGAGACATGATCGACTCCTTCAGAGGGCAGGACACCGTGAACTTGGTTCCTTGACCCTTTACGCTGTGAACGTCGACTTCACCTCCAAGAGATTCGACAATCTGCTTGACGATGCTCAGACCGAGGCCAGTTCCTTGACTCAGAGGATTCTCTTGGGCGAAAGAGTGGAAGAGTCTGTTGTTCTTGTAGTCTTCTGACATTCCGATACCACTATCAGTCACTGACAGTCGGAACTCGCGGTATTCCTCGGTAGGGCTCGACTTTGGCATCACCTGGAGCTTAACCTTGACAAACCCGGCTTCGGTGTACTTCAGCGCGTTTCCGAACAAATTCATGATCACACGTCGCCATGCGCCAGGTTGTGTGCGGAACACGTAGTTTCCGCTCTGGTTGATGTCGATAATCAAGGTTAGTGGGAGGGCCTCCGTCTTACACGCGGTGAGCCCATATGTTTGGTTTGACTTTTCCTTGTGCACATGGCCTGCAAAGATGCTTTCGACAACATCTTCTGTGAGAATACTCATATCGACATCGTTGATCAACGTCATGATATCGTTAGTATGGCTCTGTCCAGGACTGATAACGTGTTTAGCGCTTTGTGTACGCTTTTTCGACTTTTTGGATTTTCCTCGTGTTAAATTGTTGATTTTGGCAAAGTCCAGAACATGATTGATAGTCTCCAGGAGTGTTTTGCCACAATTTTCGATGGTCTCCACATGATTCGTCTGCTGGCCGTCGATCCGTGTGTCCTTAAGCAAATCAGTCATACCCAAGATACCGTGAAGGGGAGAACGAAGTTCGTGACTGATGGACGAGATGAAATCGGCCTTTGCAGCATCCGCTAACTTGGTATCCAACCGTGCAACCTCGGCCATGACAGAATTACTGAAGGCCGCGAGGAAGCTCAGCTCTTGTTCGCTGGTGAAGACACGCATGGGATCGGAACTCCAGATGACAGCGCTAGCAAACCACCGATCCCGATGTGAGTCCCACAATGGATAGAGAACCAGGCTCTTTGCCTTTGGAAACGTGCTCCGAAGGAAGTTTTCGTCGTCCAGACTTCTGGTGGATTCTGACTTGCGTGAGATATTGAATGGAAAGCCATCTGATACTTCCATCTCGCCGTTTGCAGAAGGCGAGTTGATGGCTGGCGTTGTCGAGATCTCATCGTCGAAATTGAAGATTTGGCCGTGCGAGTAGGAACGAAGCAAGTGCCGCAAGACACTTTCAGACATGGAGTATTGAAAGTCAGAGGGACTTGAAACTTCTCTGTTGTTTTTACTCAACGCAGAACCCAACAGAACACAAGGCTTGTCTGGCTCGGGCAATTGCTCAGAAAAGAGATCATCATCCACCAGCCCGCCAAACGTGCTGATCTTGGCGTCAAAGAAAGCAACGCCATCAGCTTCAATCGCATCAACAATCATATTTGACGCCCTGCTGAAAGCTGCTTGGATCTCAGGCGCAATGTTGCCCTGCGGGTCATTCTGGGAAGTAGAAGAGAACTTGACCACGGGTTCTGGTGCTTTGGGTGGTTCTGGTCCAAGTTCGGAAGCCGGCGTAGCAACGCTGCTCATTGGACGGATACTCGAGGTGTCTGTGTTGGTTGGGCTTTTTATACTCGACATCGTACTGGCGTTTCGGTCAATTATGAAGGGCTCCTGATCGGCGTTCGACCGTGCTGCAGGGCGTTGTCGTTGGAGGGGTGTTTCGGATAAGCCTGCGGACAGCGGCGTGTCCCACGGGTCCTGCCACCAGTCTTCGAGCCCGCTCTTTCCTTCGGCAAACGATCCCAAGCTCTTAACCATGATCTTGCCTCTCCGGTGATCCTCGGTAGCCCTCGTCATCTCCAAATGTCGCATCACTGTACCTGCCATGTCTTTCAGAAAATCCAGTTGATGGGTAGTAAGGCCGTCCCGCGGCTTGTCATCTAGAACGCAATATGTGCCAATGGTGTGCCCGCTTGGGCTGCGAATGGGAATTCCGGCATAGAAACGCGATTTTGCACTCCCCACAACCGATGGAAAGTGCTTGAAGCGGTGGTCTGCTAACAGGTCGTTGACGACAAGAGTGGGCAGACTGTCGAAAGGCGAACTACCCCCAAGGTTGACCGTGTAGTAGCAGATGCTCTCTTCTTTGGGGAGGATGGTGTTGCCCCAGCTCAGGCAGTCCTCGCTGAACTCGGGCTGGCCTGTACACAGGGACGACGTCCTGGTGGCCTCGGCCAGGATGTAGCAGTTGCGGCGATCGAAGAAGGAGATAAGACATCTTCGCGCATTGAGGCGCAGAGCTCCCAGTTGCGCGAAAGCAGTCAATGCTTTGTCTTCGGAAGGCCGTGGGTGGCTCTCGAATGCGCCTGCGATGCCGAGGCCTGAGCTCGAAGGAAGGGCTCGCGGCGGCGTCGGGGTAGCGTGGGCGGGCACGGGGGACGGCTGCCGACTGAGACCCTCGTTCGAGGTGGACCGCTGCGGATAGTACCTGAGACGGAGTGTCAGCAGCTACAGACGCTGAATACGGGCAGCCAAAGCTCACCTGTAAAATTCGCGTTCTTTGGCGAGCTCCGGGTGCTCCATGGTCTTCTTTCGCGACTTCGCCTGGATACCCGGCAGGCGAGCATTTGCGGGATCGTGGGACCTGGGGTCGGCCATGGCAATGTAGTCACAGCGCCTCAGATCATGGGACGACTAGTGAGTGGCGAGTCACAGCCAGAGGGCGCAACCATGCTCTGTGCACCGACTAAGCGCAGCCAGACCGTCGACTTTGTTTTGAAGAGGTCTTTTGCGATCTCGCCGAGAGAAGAGAGGGACGCGGAAGCAATCAGACGCAGGGTCTGCCGTAGTGGAGCGGAGGTGGGGCTCTGTATACGAATCACAGCCTGGCGGGCACTCGCTGTGTGGCTGCCCAGCGCACGGAGGGCTGCGCTAGCAAGGCATGTGCCTTCTCTTAACACCCCCTACAATTGTGCGGGATAGTACCTGCCCCTAAGATAATGGCCTTTCTGCAGACCGTCTTGGCACCTGTTCGGAAACACTCGCTTAGTCAGGTTGCTTGACACCTTCAATCAAGTAAGGGCAGTGCCCAAAAAGCGGCCACATGCAAGATTCAGACTAACCGCCATTTCTTCGTGCTCCGTCGGTGTGCGCTCTGGGTGTATTCCTGTGCATATCGATACTGTAAGGCAACTCCCGCGACAGGGCACTTATTGTAGAGACGTCAACCAAAGCAGGCAAGATTTACGAGCACGACCAGGCACCAGTTGTGGAATCGTATTAATGAATGCCGCTCTACCTTCTGCTCAGCACCTCAAATCCAAATACCTCAGAGCCACTTCAAACCCTCACGGCCTTGCTGGATCTCTCCCACCACCACCTATCTCCTCCCAGTTGTACGGAACAAAATTGTAGCTTCTTGGCACTAAATATGACACGCAAACGCGCAGCGAACCCTCATCCGGATCACGCGACAAAAGTCGCACCCACGCCAACCCATCGTCGTCGAACTCGTCGAGCGCCTCATCCTCCTCTTCCAATGACTCCACAACCGCGTTCACATCGATTAGGCAATCGTGGTCTACTACGATGCACGCGCGGAAGCGTGCGCTATTGTCTACAGGCTCGTCGCCAGAGTCGGCCCATTCAACGAACCGGCTTCACATCATTAGGTCAGTGTAAAGAAGGATAGCAAGTTGGGGTGGGCGGGCGACGTACCGGCGGATCTCTTCCTCAGAGGCACGGGCTAATTCAGGCGAGGACTCTACCGCCCAGTCGATGTTGGGGATTTCATGGACGAGGTCCTCTTCTTCCATTCGTGTCTGGGTCTGCGCGTTTAGGTAGTTCATGAAGTGGTCCCATTTAGTCTCATCGCTGTAGTCGGTGCGGTAGATCTTGAATCCATATTTCGCCTCGGAGATTGTGGGAGACTCGCTGTCATTCAGTTGGGTGTCTTCCAATTCCCTAGACGGAACCGATGGGGATGGCGGTGGCTGGGGGCGTGGCGTGCTCATGTTAGACGTTCGACCCCCTCGTATAGAGTGATGGTGGTTCATCGTACTTGATTCCAATCGGCCAATCATGTGCCACGCCGGAGATCGCACTCAATGGACTTGGCTTCACACTAAGCAAGACTTCCAGACATCATTGATAAAAGTACCGACGATGCGAAGAATGATGCACAGAAAATCACACAAAAGTTCGATGCTAATAAGTGTGCACTCACAAAGACGAAAGGCAAGCTGCGGATGCGTAAGGCGGAGAGGAAACCAGTCAAGTATGATGATACGCTGTTGAAACTGGAAATTGATGGATTGCAGAAGGAGACTGATCTGTTGTTAGCAAGGTTATGGCAGTGTTTGGCATCCTGATTACTGTGCAGTATAAGATAAACACCATACAGTAACAAAGAAATCGTCCCTTGGAACTTGTAGAGAGGAAGAGGGTCGTACGAGATCAGCGTTGCAGCAACTTGCAGCGATGTCTGGCGTGCCTCCACGTTAGGCAGGAGGGAATCTGCAAGGCGGAAGCTGTGCAACCACGGCGATGACCGGACGTTGATAGCAGGTGTCTCGGATACCACCTCTCTCAGCGTTGGTCTCATACCGTGTGCATCCCAGAGAATAGTGTTGTAATACTCCGCAAATCTTAGTTCAGAGACACCCAAGCCATCCTTGAACGGTGACAAACCCCTGAACATCATCACGTGTGACAGTGTGTGACTGTAGATCGCGGTTGCCGATTGTTTAAAGTCCCTTGAACGCCAAGAGCGCTGCAGCTGCTCAGCTGGGCAGGTTTGACTTTGAGCCGCGTCGGCGCTTGCCGCACAGGGCAACTGCCTGGCAAACAACCCCGCCTATCGCAGTCGGAGAGCTCACCCATCACAGTCACCGCTGTCGTTACCAAGTTTAGATCCGCATCACAGGGCTCACGATGGGTATGTCAGTTGCTTCATCACTCATTTGAGTACTTTCTAACAAGTTCTTTTGCAGGTCGACTTTTGACGTTCGCGTGCTGCAATTTGAACCAATGGGTCCTCGACTGGGAGGGAAACCGCAAGAGGATCGTGGAGAGCATCAAAGTTGCCAAGGAGCGCGGTGCTGGATTTCGCACTGTACGTTGGGACAGAGCGGCTCTCAATTATAACTGACCGCTTCTAGGGACCAGAGTATGAAATGTTTCACACACTGCCGGGACAATAGTAACATGTTCACAGACTTGAAATCACTGGTTATGGTCTGTTAGATCACTTCCTTGAGGGTGACACGTATCTGCATGCGTGGGAGCAGTTGGCCATCATCCTTCAAGATGAGTCGATACATGGCATCATCGCCGATATTGGCATGCCCGTCATGCACCGCAACAACCGGTACAACTGCCGTGTCATCATTCTCGACGGCAAGATCTTGTTCATCCGACCAAAGCTTTACCTCGCCAATGATGGAAACTACAGGGAGATGAGGCATTTTATCCCATGGAACCGCCCTCAGCACCACGAAGAGTACTACCTTCCTCAGTTCATCCAGAAGCTACAAGGCTCCACCAAAGTACCAATCGGAGACATGGTCCTCTCCACACCTGACACATGCATTGGTATGGAAACTTGTGAGGAGCTCTTCACGCCGTTGTCGCCTCACCTGGCTATGTCGTTGAACGGCGTTGAAGTAATCACGAACTCCAGTGGCTCCCACCATTCGCTTAGAAAGCTTAATGCTAGGATTGCCTTGATACAAGAAGCTACACGGAAGTCGGGCGGTGTGTACCTCTACTCAAACCAGCAAGGTATGGATGGCGACCGCTTGTATTATGATGGTTGTGCGATGATCATCATCAACGGTGAGATCATCCAGCAGACATCGCAATTCAGTCTCAACGATGTCGAGGTTTGCGTCGCCACAGTCGACATCGAGGACGTCAGATCTTACCGCTGCACGCCCTCGAGAGGTATTCAGACTCTCACAGCACCAACATACGAGCGTGTTGAGACTTCGTTCTCCATCGGCAAAGACGATGATTCGACTGATCCAACCCTGGCTCCTAGCCCTCGACAAGAGCTGAAGACACACGCTCCCGAGGAAGAAATCTACCTGAGTGGGTCTTGCTTCCTCTGGGACTACCTGCGACGTTCTAACCAGGCGGGCTACCTAATCCCACTATCCGGTGGTATCGACAGCTGCTCGACAGCGGTGCTGGTCTATGGCATGTGCAACGTCGCCTTTGAAGCACTCCAAGCAGGCAATGCACAAGTAAAGGCCGATATCCAGCGCATCGCAGGCCCTGGCGAAGCAGAAGGCTGGTTGCCAAAGTCGCCTCAAGAGCTCTGCTCAAAAGTCTTTTCATCCGTCTTCATGGGCATGGCCAAGCAATCATCCAAAGAAACTCGCAGCCGCGCCGAGCGTCTGTCGCACGATATCGGCGCTCAACACACAGACCTAGACATCGACTCGATCTTCGAAGCCTTCAAAGGCGTCCTCACCAAAGCTACCGGTCACGAACCAGCCTTCAAAGTCCATGGTGGCACCCACGCCGAGAATCTTGCGCTGCAAAACATCCAAGCACGCTCTCGCATGGTGCTCAGCTACATCTTTGCGCAGCTCCTGCCAACCGTACGCCAGCGACCTAACGGCGGCTCCCTACTCGTCCTAGGCTCCGCCAACGTTGATGAGGCCCTGCGCGGCTACTTCACCAAGTACGACTGCTCTTCCGCAGACATCAATCCCATCGGCGGTATCTCAAAGACCGATCTCAAGCGCTTCATCGCCTGGGCCGAAACTCGCCTTTCGCTGCCCATCCTGCGAGAGTTCCTCGACGCCACCCCGACCGCCGAACTCGAGCCCCTGACCGAGGACTACGTGCAATCCGACGAGGTCGACATGGGCATGTCGTACGCCGAGCTCTCTGTCTTCGGTCGCCTGCGTAAGAGCCACAAACTCGGACCATATGGCATGTTCCAGCGCCTGGTGCACGAGTGGAAGGACCTGCACGAGCCGCGTGTGGTTGCCGACAAGGTCAAGCGTTTCTACCACTACTGGGCTATCAACAGACACAAGATGACTACCATCACGCCGAGTCTGCACATGGAAGACTACTCACCTGATGACAACCGGTTTGATCTGAGGCCATTTTGCTATCCGAGCTTTTGGTCGAGCTGGAGCTTCAAGAAGATCGACGAAGCGGTGGAGAAGATGGAGAAGCGGAAGCAGACTGCGGCTGCCTAGAGACTTTCAGAAGCTGCTCTCTGCAGTGATGCTGTTCATGTAGAAACTTAGGATTTGTGTGCCTTAATGCCGAATAGAAAGAGCGCAATATTATATGAAATATAATTTTCAAAGGAGTAATCTTAAGAGAAATGAATATAGAAGATGAAAGCACATAGGAGAATCCACATCTAAACCACTCATCTCAGCACAACATCCTTCCTCCTCGGCCCCAGTTCCGCCCAAGCATCCTCGTGCATCCGTGCCACCGCAACCCGCTCCGCCACCTCCCTCGCCTCATCCCACCTAACCAGCAGCAAATTCAGCACGCACCACTCTCCCGGCCCAAACACCTCCTCGTCGAAATCCACAACCTCTTCGTCCCACACAAACCGCTCCCCGTCCCAGATCGGCGTCCCGGGCGGATGCATCGTGCCACTGAGCGGCGTGCGCGCGTGCGCCGCAGCCTCGACCCGGCGGTTACGCGACAGCAGGAGGAACTCATACGGCCCTGCGTAGTGCGGAGCAGCCAGAGACTCCTCGTGGGCCATCAGCACGCCGGCGTGGCGCCCCGCGGGGTCCCGCAGCTGCGAGACCGGAATCGGGGCGCCGGCGTGGTGCAGCTGGGCCGCGGAGAAGCCGTCGGCGGGGACGGCGGCGGCGGTGAAGCGCAGGGCGGTGCTGTCGAGCGTTGGGTCGGCGCCGCGCGGGGCGTGGAAGTACGGCGGGTACTGGGTGCGCAGGGAGGCGTGTTTGTCGCGGCGGACGGTGTAGGGGGTGTCTGCGGGCCCGACGTGGAAGTTTGTGATCTCCGAGCGGAAGGTTGGGCCTGCGGCGCGGGGGAGCGCGGTGGTGTCTGGGCTGCTGGTCGGGTCGAATGGGAAGGTTATGCGCCCGTTGTGCGAGGTCCAGCTCCAGGAGGGCTCGGAGGGGTCGCGGGATGTTGAGGCGGAGGCGGGACACCACAGGAGGGAGAAGTCGAAGAGGGCTTCGGGGAGGCCGTGGATGAAGTTTCCGCCGCAGTTTTTGGAGAGGTGTTTTGTTGCTTTGGTGAATGAGGGGGTTGTGTGAGGGCGTTCGGACTTGGTTACGAGCTGGTTGTATCTTTGGAATCCGGTGAACCAGTCGTCGACTTCTTTGAAATCCAGCTCTTGGGTGGAATCTTTCGGTAGACTGGCATTTGATCCTGAACGTATCCTGTTTACCAGACCTTGGATAGTCTGACTTCCGGACCGGCTGGATCGTCTCGACTCATTACTGTTGCTGGATCTACGTGATAACCCTGGCGAGAGCTGGCCGTTCGGTGTTGTTGGTCTGGAGTCTGACTTCTTTTTTCGCGATAATGACCGACTGATCCATCCTGGCGACAATCTATCCATTGTCGATGTGGGTGTTGTAGACATGACGACTAACGACATTGGTGTGTTGATCAGCTGTATTCAGAAGAGATTTAGATAAAGCGGTGAAGGACGAGGCAATGAGGCAATGCGGCAGACTGATGCTGAGGACAGAGGTGAGCTGCTGTCTTACGGCGCTGAATGCGTATGGCTTTTGTTCACGTGCGAAAATTTCGCCTCCGCGCCTACACTGCCTCCTTGGGAGGCGTCTCGATCGTTTCAAGCATTCCAGGAGGTGTGCGGGAAACATGACGAAAAGCAGAGTGTGGCTGAGCATCAGTGGAGCCCGGCCACGGCCGCACAACAAACTCGTGTACCTAGGGGGTGATTGGAACGGAGATCAAGTCTCGATTGCGGGGGTGGGCTGCTGAAACTGGAAGTGATCAAATTGCTGTTCACACCACAATCTGTTTGTCTGACCGTCTTTGCGGTCTGAGCATATTCGTCTCTGCAAGCTCACTAGCGGCGGCAATACCTAGGAGGTTCTTGTTTGCGCGTAGCATGGAGGTACGATAATTCTCCGTAACCATCCGAAGGAGACAGCGCACTGGATGCGTCAATCTCAAGCGTCGCAAGGCCGCGCGTGAATGCTTGGTCAAGCTTGATTTGCTGTGGCTGACGCTGTGGCGAGTGCTGTGGCTGAGGGGGGCGAGCCCCGCGCTAATGAGCCAGGCAGGCACCAATGACGACGCGTATCTGGAATAGCTTCGACGGCTCCGAGGGAAACCTTTGAGCTGTTCAACAAAACTCTACCGTCAAAATGTCTGGCTACGAAGGTGGGTTGCACTACATTGATAATCACACGAAGATTTTGACCGCGACCAGTTGAACACAACATCTCCACGCAGGATGAGGCGGCGCAACCCGCACCCCGCCGGCCTGACCTGTCTACCTTCTTCTCACAGCTCGAGCTGATCGATACCTCCGATCCCCAGGCGCACACCAATGCACACGCTTTGCCGCAACCGGAGAATATGGCGGCGGCATTTCGCCTCCTAGCAAATGCCTTCGAGATGATGCGCGGACGACCTGCGGACGACAGCAGTGGTGGGGACGGTGATTTGCTGGCGAACATGATTGAGGTCCTGCGGCAGAATGCCGACGACCCCCCGGCAGAGCTCAAGGGCTGTCCAGATAGCTTCTTGGATGAGCTCGAGAGAGTGCCAAACAAGTCGCTTAAGCCTACAGATACATGTCCCATTTGTGTCAATCCGTTCTTGGAGGGTGAGTGACCCGTGTGGTGGCCTGACGGCTGAGAGCTTGGCTAACTCGGATCACGGAACAGACAAATACCCGCTCGTAGTGCAACTTCCCTGCCACAAAGACCACTGCTTCGACCTGGACTGCATACGACCCTGGCTCAAGCTAAACTCGACTTGTCCGTTGGATCGCAAGGAGCTGCTCAAGAAGAAGCAGCCCCCCCCTCCACCCGTCGAAGACGATGAAGAGGACTACGACGATATGTACGCATGAGGAAGCGCAGTCATTTGCAATGTCACGGCGTCTGAGCAACTTCCATCATAGCATGAGTCTGCCATAAGACCGGAAAGATTACGAGTCTCAAACAGGGCCGCTGTCGTAATCTTCAACATTTCTTCGACCTGTCAAATAATTCTGTCTAATGTTGAATCCTGGCCAACTCTTGGCCTCGTTGCAGTAGCGTGTGGGGAAACAGAAGATCATCACTGCCATGTACCACTGCATCAACCAGTGCTAGAGCAAGTTCGTCCGCTCTGATGAACGAGCCCGAGGAACCGGCGAGCCACATCGACGCCTCTCCAATGTAACTGCTCCTCTTAACGACCATGCCGGGACGCGCGATGATTGTTTCCCAGAGTCCGCCGTATATTGATTCATTGGCGACTTCGATCATCTGCACTTCACCCTGGCCCTGCGACGCGGTCAGCGCTGCAAGCGCTCGCTTGCGTAACCTCTTGTGCTGCTGTATCGATGTCAAACAAGTTCCAATGACACATACCTTTGTCTTTCTCATGTTCGCCTTCATCCACAACATTTTGTTCTGATCACGTTCCACCAATGCGCCACTCAAATGCAGATATCGGAATCGCTTAGCCCGATCAGCGATGCTCGGCGCGATCGCACTCGCGAAAGCTCTCGGATACGCGAGTTCTAGCAGTGGGTCTGCAGCAGTCGTTGTCATGCACCTGAGTAATCAGCGTTGCGCTGTGGCAATAGGTATTTAACTCAAAAGTAATACCACACGCATGCGTCAGCGCCGGAGAGCTCGGTTAGAACGTCATCAGGATATACCTGGAAGTCGTCCAGCACTAGTACATTCACTTTAGATTGCCGCGCAAGGTCGGGTAAGGGGCGCCGAGATAGCGCGATGACCGATGTGATCGTTGTGTCTTGGAGCGCACGATGTAGAACATGCTCCCCAATGCGGCCGGTCACGCCAGACAAGATTATTTTGAATGTCATGGTGGGATTACAAACTTTGCAAGTTGTGGTGGACTTCGGCGCACGTTGGATTGATAAGTGCACTTCGGGCGAGGCAAGAAGTACGCGCGGAGTTAGCTGTAAGCAAGTGTCCGAACTGCAGCCTGCCGAATGGCGCGGCACAGGCCTAACCGGAGTTATCATTACCCCATGACGAGCGCCAGCTTGGAGGTCGCTGCAAGAAGCTATCGCGAAACACTGTGCTAAAGGTATCTGGGGAGGGCAGAGCGAGTCTCTTCATAACAGACCGAGTTCAACGTAACATTGTTATTGCAATGGGCCGAGGAGACGCTCGCGCGCTAAGATTGCACGCCGATCATGCAGGGTCGCACGAGAGCCGTTCTGGTAGAACGCGCCAAGTTTGGTGGAGTTACGGACGAGGCCTCGGGCGAATCTCAACAGGCTAGCTGCCACCTGCACACCTCAGCATTTGCCGTCCAAACATCACCCACCCCACTATGAAAGCGGCATGTCTCCTCTCACCTAAAGGTATCGACCTGCAAGTGGGACAAGGATAATATCTTGAAAGATTCCGAATTTGAACAGACGACAACTCGCAATGGAGACAAAATGTCCGTCAACATACCTCGGGACTAAACGGCAACTGAAAGGCCTAAAACGAGCATGCTGGGAATGTAAGAGAGCAGCTTGGACTGACATCTACAATCCAGCGGAAGACTGACGGCATATATAAGGCAAGAAGAGGAAAACTCATGGAAGCTCGAGCCAAACGGACGTCAGTATCTACTCAGTCTCCAGCATGAGCCTCCCCACCGGACCGAACCGGCTAGGTCAGGAGAACACATGCCAAATGCACATGGGCGAACGGCTCGGAAAGATTGAGCAACTGTTTGAAAGATTCGTCTGTCGCAAGAGCTCGGTTGTCGATCCTCCAGTCACTCCGTGCAGCCCGACGTTAGTGGACCCTTCCGACACGCAGTCCAAGTTCTCCGCAACCGTATGTTCGGGCGACGAAAAGAGTATTTCCTCGATTGGAGACGGAATTGTGGGTCCTATTCCACCGTACGTACTGTCTGTCCAGCTAACATCCATCAGCTTGGTGCTCAAACGTGGAAGTCTGCGCCTGTTATCCGGACTTTGCCAAGCAAACCGGAAAGCACACAGCCGTCGAGCGATGATGCTACCCACCAAGCATTGACAGCTCTATTACCTTCGCAACATGATGCTAATATCATATTCGAATCTTCCAATGGATGGATGATCCTGACAGGTATCTACAATGCGTCTAAAGACATCTACGTCAATAAGGACGAGCAATCATACGCGCTGGATATGGCTGCAGTAACCCGGGAACGCTCGATCATTGTTGCTCGGACACTGCTCCACCTCGCAGTATGCATCAACTCACTACCACCCGACTTCCGTCAGTCTCGACTTGAGAACATATGGTCTCTGGATGCTACGATGCAGAACTACGTCAACACTGTCAATTCGTTGGTCACAAATGCGGACGAGAATATGCTCACACTCCATGGCCTCGAGTGTCTGATGCTGCTCGCCGTCTACCACATGAACAGCGCGAACCTGCGTCAGGCCTGGCTGGTTGTTCGGCGGGCTATGAACTTGGCGCACCTCATGGGGTTCCACCGGATCGTGCGACAGCCGGACTTGGACCCCCCATTGCCAGCGGTCAGCAATGCGAAAAGCTTGTGGCGGCACTTTGTCCATCTCGATCGGTACCTGGGGCTACATTTGCGGTTACCATTTGGGGCAGACGATGTCCACGTCTCGGATGATGCTGATCTACAGCTTGTTCACCGTGCAAGAATTAACGCACTCAGCCAGGAGATTGCAGACCTCGACCACGACATCAACCCACAATCATACGCAAAAGCTCTGGCGCTCGACGAGAAACTGGAATGGAACATGCGCCAGATGCCGGCAGAATTCTGGGACGTACCCAACATCCCCTCGACAGCACGGTCGCCTGAGTCGTACGCAGCACTGGAGCGACTCATGGTACAGATGTGGCACTTTGAGCTGAAGATCTTCATTCACCTACCATACCTCCTGCGGGCCCCTCACGAGAGCCGGTACGAGTTCTCTAAGGTGACGGCGCTACAGGCCAGCCGCAACGTGCTGATGCGGTGGTTCGCGCTGCGCAACGCCAGCATCACACAGGCCTGCTGCCGCTTCGGCGAGATTGGCGTCTTCATTGCGGCAGTGACGCTCACGCTCGACATTGTCATCGAGCTCGCCATGAAGGAGAAGAGCGAGGTGCAGAAGACAAAAGGCACAGACTTTGCCATGATATGCCGGCTCATCGGCGAGATGGAGAAGCTGGCCAAGGAATCCACGCGCGAGAAGATTGCGGGCCGCAGCGCCGGCGTGCTCAAGAAGATGCTGTCCTCGCTGGACCCGAGCAAGCAGGGCGCGGACGGCGCGCGCTTCACGGTTCCGTTCTTCGGCACCATGGTGCTCGAGTACAGGAAGCTGCCAGTGCGCCCCGGGTTTGATCTCGACTCGGAGCCGGGCAAGCGGCTGAACGCGACGGGGCACCACCTGCCCGTTTTTTCATTTGTGAGCAACGCGCTGTGGCCCACAGAGGAGGGCAGCGACGGCCTCGATTGGGACATGGTGCTTTTCGACGGGCTGGAGGACCGCGACATGCAGGGTAACTGGATGTTCTAGCGGCGACGACAACAACAACAACAACAACAACAACAGTAAGATGTCACGTGCTGATAGAAGCTACCTCATCTAACAGCGTGCAGTATTTAATAGCAGCAGCGCATCTTAATAAAGCACTATTTCCTACTCGACGGAAGGGCACTAGGTAGGAGGGCAGGGGCTCCGGGCGTGCAGGCTCGGCAAGAGCAAGCGTGCAGCAGGCCCCGTTGTGGAGAGTTTAGCAGGGCGTTTGGGGCATGGGTTGGCGTTCTAGTTCGCATTGCTGGGTCTTCTGGAACATGATATCCCGGCGCGTGGCGAATCGGGACAGGGGCGCAGCAGCGACGCCGCAGAGACGGCACGCGCGACTGTTGATAGCGTTTATACATTTGCTTGAGAGGCCGAGTGTGCGTGTGTGCGTGTGTGCGTGTGTGAGTGAGCGCGCGGCAAGCGAGGCCGGCACGAGTGACCGGGCCGAGAGCAGGCAGAGCAGACAGAGCAGGGCTGTGGCGCTGATTGGGCGCCGGGCATTCCTGCGGCAGCGCTCGTCGGTGAATCTGCTGGCCGTCTCAAGGCAGCGGGTCCTGGGCGCGGGTGACCGCGGCGGGCGGACGAAGGCGGCGACTGGGTGCTAAGTGCTCCAGCGGCAGCAGTGCGGCAGCAGACGCGCCAGCGGACGTGCGTGGTGATCTGCGCGGTGGGCTTCGCCGCCTCGGCGCTCGCAGCACACGACCTCGTCCTACTCCCCTCCGCACTGTTGTCTGCTGCCTCGCGCCCAGACGCTCCGCACCGCCTGCATGTCCGGTGTGCATGTCCCCGTGCACGCTCCGCTGCGAACCGCGCAGACTGTCTCGTAGGGCGCCCGCTTGCTGAGCGCCTTGGCCTCGCTCTCCTCCCGCGCAGCACCACGGTCACGGCCACGCCCATGGCCACACCTACGGCCACGGCCACGGCCGCCACGATGTCCGCCGCGATATTCCCCCCGATGCCCGCCGCGCTGGCCCCCCCGACGTCCCCCCCGCCGCCCGCCCTCAGCCTGTTCGAGGCCGTCGTCACGGCGTACCCGCCCGTGCTCGAGTCGCTGCTCGCCCAGCTGCCCACGCCCGCGCTGCTCGAGCTGTACCACACGTCGCCGCACCTGCGCCGCTTCCTGCGCGCCTACCCGCTGGCCTGGAAGACGCTGTCGTTCCGCCTGCCGCAGCCCGCCGTGGCCGTGGGCTCGCCCGGCAACGAGACGCCCGACGCCCGCGAGCGCCAGAGCAAGCAGTACGCCTTCGACGCGCTGCTGAAGCAGGTCGTCGCCCCCAACGGCACGCGCATCACGAACCTCGACCTGTGCAACACGGCCGTCAGCGGCATCGCCCTGGTCGGCAGCGTGCTCGCCCCGCACCTCGACACCCTGCAGCACCTGTCGGTGCGCGGCTGCAAGAATGTCTCCATCAAGTACCACATCGTGCCGTTCCTCGAGCCCTACACCCTCGCCGACGCCCCCTGGATGCGCGCCCAGCTGGCCCTCAAGAGCCTCTACACCTACCGCTGCCGCCACCACCGCCGCCGCCCCTACCTGCCGTCCTCGCTCGTGCGCCGCGACTCCGACTCCGACCCCACCCACCAGCTGATCGAGATCTGCCACGCCCTCGGCATCTGGACCGACACCGCCTGGTGCCCGACCCCCGCCGGCCGCTGCTACCGCCGCAAGGACTACCACGCCGGCCGCGCCGCCCCGCAGAACATGGAGGTCTGGGTGCCGTTTGACCGCCTGTGGCGCTCGAGCAACCGCCTCGGGCCCGTCGACGGCACGAAGCGCCTGGGCCGCCACGACGGCCGCCTGTGGGAGATCGCCGAGGAGGGGCTGGACGGCGAGCCCCTGGGCACAGAGACCGGCGCCGCCGGCGAGGGCAAGCACGTGCCTGCACACGCCCGCAAGAGCCACACCACCTTCGTCGCCGACATCACCTGCTCCCAGTGCAACGACGTCATCCTGGAGCGCTGCGAGTCGTGCAGTGTGCGCATGCACTGCATGGGCTGCCGCAAGACGTTGTGCGCGAGCTGCGCCTTCAACCGCCCCATGCCCCGCAAGCGCGCAAAGACACGCCACTTCACGAACCTCGCCTTTGGAAACAGCATGGGCGCGCTCGGGCAGGGCTCTGCATCGACGTCGTCGCTGGACAGCAGGAAGCAGGAAGAGAAGGCTGAGAAGAACCGCTTCTGGTGGGCGCCCGGCGCTGTTCGATCCCCCAACCTCATGAACGAGAGCGCACACGATGACGACTCTTCCGATTCAGAGGACACGCTAAACAACGGCATTCCCGGGCCGCCAGCACATCGGGATCCCCCCAAGCTGAACATGCACTGGTGCTGTCTGGAGCCCATTTTCTCTGGCGGCGGAGGCATAGCCGTGCTAGGCACTGGACTCGGCGGGAGAGGCGCAGATAAAATACGTGCCGCTCCTCTGCCGCGCATAAAGCAGTACGAAGACCCCGACTTCTCGAATCGGCTGCGGCCTGTCGACTACATCCGCGAACTGAAGAACAACGGCCTGTACGAATACGTCCTGGGCGAAGACGTCGACGTCCTCCAGTACCTGCAGCAGGACAGCATAGAGCTGCAACAGCAGACCTGTCCCCGTGGGCTGTGCAACGACTGCTACCGCAGCTTCAGGTGGAAGGTGTCGTGTCGCGCCTGCAAGAACCCCATCTGCAAAGAGCACGACTTCGGCGCGCTCAAGGTCCGCAAGTGCGGGTATAGAGACCTGCATTCAGAACGCGACCATGTCCGCGCACACACAGAACCGCCGCAGCTGCTGGTCATCCCAGAGTTCAACCCGCACCGGCCGAGCGAGGATCTCGAGCGCACGCCGACCGCGTCGTCGCAGCTGGATGCGGTTTCGACGGCTGACAACGAGTCCGAGTCCTCCGAAGGCACGCCCATGTCCCAGTCCCAAGTCCTCATGCCCCCCGCGCCAGAGATGTCCGCCTCGTCCTTCGCCCACAGCACGACCCCCGACCCCTTCACCCTCACCAGCTCGCTGTCCTTCGTGCCCGTCAGCTCCTCGCGCCCGCGCTCCCTCAGCGCCTCGGGCGTCCGCAGCCGCAACTCGGTCTCCTGGTCCAGTCCGCCCCGGGGCCTCCCCCCGACCTCGATATCCAACCCGCTCCCGCTGCCCTGCAATCCGCGCCACCCTGTTCAGTGGGAAGGGTGCGGCGCGTATTTCTGCCAGTACCCGCGGCCTGTGGGGGATAATCGGCCGCAGTGCCCGGCGATGCTGAAGGAGTGCGCCGAGTGTCTGGTGTTGGTGTGCGATGTAAGTCGCCCTATCTCATCCAATAACTATAAAATAGTCACTAATTTCTACCACAGTCCTGCTCAACAGCAAACCCTCCCTGCCCCTGCACCTTCTGCGCAACCAACTTCCACTGCCCGACCTGCGCCCGCAAGCCCCCTGTGCGCGCCAAATGCCGCCTCGACGCCGAGCGCAAGGCCAAAGCCGATGCCGAGCTGCGTGCGCAGGCGAAGCGCGAGAGAGACCGCCGCGAGCGCGGGAGGGCGGATGAGCTGGCCGGCGCGCTTTGCGAGTTCTTCGCTTGCCTGGCGCCAGGCGATGGTGATGTGGGGGAAGCCGCGGGAGAGGAGGATGGTGAGGGTGAGGGTGTTGGAGAGGCGGGCGATGCAGCCGCCGCCGACAGCCCGCTCGCGAGCCCGGACAGCATCACAGTCGTCACCGAGTTCGGCGTGCTGGAGGAGACAGGCAACGTGACTGTCATCTCCGCGGGCGGCCCGTACGTCTCGCCCCCTGCTGCCGACACCGACACAGACCCCGACGCCGACGCAAACGCCTTTGCGCACTACGACGACGCCGACGCCTTCACGCACTACACCGCCCCCGAGTACGACACCGCAGACGCGCTCGACGGCCCCGCCGTCGTCATGACAGAAGACACCTCGCAGCCCCCGGTGCCGTACTGGCAGGGCCACGGCTTCTCGCTGCAGCAGCACAGCGCGTGGGGCCAGATGCACGGCCAGATGGGGTTGCAGCAGCAGCAGCAGCAGCAGAGTGCCTGGGGCCAGCTGCAGATGCACATGCACACCCAGATGGCGCCGCAGATGGGCCTGCACAGCCAGATGGGGATGCACAGCCCGATGGGCTTGCACGGCCACATGAGCATCGGGCCGCACTCCCAGTTGCACAGCTACCCCCCCGCGCCCGGCTTCGTCCCGTCGTACGCTGTCCCCGGGACCGTGCACGCGGATGTGAATGTGCATCCCGCGGCTCACGGCGCGCACGCCGACATACCGTCGTCGATGGGCATGTCGACCCCGACAACCCCGCCGCCCACGGCCCTCACATCCCCACCCACCACGACCGCGGCCTCGAGCGACGTCGATCTCACCGCCGACGACGCGGATGTCGACACCGACGACGTTCTGGACGACGATGCCGGGACGGGGATGCTCGGGTCTGCCGCCGCGGAGGCGGGCGGCGCACTCGATGCTCCTGCGCCCTCTGCTGCGGCTGTTTCTTCTGCGGGTGTGGCGGTGTCGCCGCTGGGGAGCTGAGCGTATCACCACATCACCACTGCGCTGGCACGATCGGCTCGGTGTCGCGGGCTGGCGCACGTACACCGGGAAGCAAGGTGTCTGCGCGTCCGTGCGTCTCGCGAGGTTTGGAAGCTCGAGTGCGCGCGCGCTGCTTTGGGGTTCTTGTGGAGGGAATACGGTGGTGTAGTGATGCGAATGAGAGAGAGAGAGAGAGAGAGAGAGAGAGAGAGAGAGAGAGAGAGAGAATGATAAGAGAACGATAAGAGAACGATAAGAGAAAGCAAGAGAGAGAAAGAGAAAGAGAGAGAGAGAAAGCAAGAGAGAAAGCAAGGGAGAGAGAGATGAAGGACATATAAGGGGAATAAGGTGTTTTCGGTGCAAATCTGACTTGCCATGTACTTGGCAGTCAGTGTGGTGTGTTCACGCGCAGGCCACTACGGTGGTGTGCTTTCACCGCGTCAAATGGGGGTTTCTACAGATATCCACAGATACTTCACGGTCTCTTTTTTTTTTTTTGCGGGGACTCAGAATGGCGCTGGACAGTATAGTATAGTTTCGCAGCACAGGACGGCACAATACGCCGCAACTTACCACGGTGTATGGTAGGGCGGAGGGGTTTTCGTTGGACTAAGTTGGGGCATTTAGCTGGCATCTCGCATCGCGTTGAGCATCTCGCAGAGCATCGCGTATTAAGTGTCGAGCATCGAGTATTAAGCGTCGAGTTGAGCATCGAGCGTCGAGTTGAGCATTGAGCATCTTCGGGCGTTTACTAGTAGATTGGAATGGAATGGAAGCGAATCAATGGGACCAGGGATTGGTTCGTTTGTTTATCTGCTCTTCTGCTCTTGTGTTTGGGTGCTCTTCTGTTTGAATGCTCTTCTGTTTGAGTGCTCTTCTGTTTGGGTGCTCTTCTGTTTGGGTGCTCTTCTGTTTGGGTGCTTGTGCTTGTCTCGCCGTGTACTCGTCTGCGACTTCATATATGCATTTGTCAAGTCATACGTCTGACTACTAACTTATATGTCTGTCCATAAACTCATATGTCTATCCATCAACTCACACATCAACCCACCACCTCACACACCCATCCATCAACGCACACACCCATCCATCAACGCACACACCCATCCATCAACGCACACACCCATCCATCAACGCACACATCCACCCACCAACTCACCCAACCGTCAACTTGTACACGTGTCTGTCCAGCCCCCTCTCCTCTCCTCTCCTCTCCTCTCCTCTCCTCTCCTCTCCTCTCCTCTCCTCTCCTCTGGCTTATCGCAGTGTGCGGGTCGGCGAGTCGAGGAGTTGGTGGATCTGGACGTGTAGCTGTGTAGCTGTCGGTGGTTTCGCGTTGTGCGGGGTTGGCTGCTGGGTGCTGCTGCTGGGTACTGCTGCCGGGTACTGTCTGCTACCCACTGCCTGCTGTCTAGTAGACGCTACTGACTGCTACACACTGCCCGCTGCTGACTGCTACACACTGCCCGCTCTCCACGCCGCAATCCCCGTCTTCTCAGCCTTGTATCTGCGGGCCTGTGTCCATCTCCATCCACCCGTCCTCGTGCTCACCACCGCCGCGACCACTGCCACCACCGCACCGCCTACCCTCGCCCCCCGCCTCGCCCGTCGTCCAATGGCTCATGGAACCCAGCGACCCAGCGACCCAGCGATCCAGCGAGTACTACGAGATGATACGAAGTACTGCAAAGCACCTCCCATGCGGACGCGAGCACTCCTACGCCTCCACCCCCACGACACCACCCCTCGAGCCCTCCTTCCTCGCCTCTCCTTGCACGGCGTTCGCTCTGCAGTATTGCCGTGCTGGTTTTATTGCCCGCGTGGTCTCTGTTCTGTGGCTCTGCTGCTGAGACTCTGCTCGTGAGACTCTGCATTAGTGGTCTTGCTCCCGTGGTCTTGCTTCCGTGGTCTTGCATCCGTGCCCGAGGTGTGCTTCCGAGCTTCTGCCCGTGAGGGCCGCGGGAGACTTGGTTTTTGAGACTACCGTGCTTCTGAGACGCTGGCTTACTTCTAACTCTAAGAACCCCCGAGGTCTGCCTCTGAGACTCTGCCACCAAACCCGGGAGCTTTCGCTGATGATGGGGTTCTGCCTCTCTGGGCCTTTGGTGCGAGACCTTGGCCGTCAGGGTATGAACCGAGCCGCCCCCGCGCTCCCGGCTCCACGACATTCGTCTACGAGACCCTGCGACCGAGACTCGGCGTCTTCGTTTCCCTGGTCCGCTCGAGGGAGAACGCGTCGTGTGCGCACCGGGACCTGGAGTGTCGTCGTGTATCCAGCCACCCCACCCCACACCTGTAGTGTTGTAGCGTACACACACTCTGTTCTGCGTCCGCTGGATGTCCTGCTCCGCGCCGCGGGCTCCCGCTGTCTGCGTAATGGGGGCCTGGGTGGCTGCGCTGTTTGCTTTCTGGTGTGGAGTTTTCGCCACATACGTCTCCGTCGCTTGTTTCGATGCCGCATGCTGCCATCGCACACTCCCCCGCCGCACCGCGCAGACCCGCGAGCGCGGGTTCTGGTGCATGCGGTGGTGGGGTGAGATGCTTTCTGTTTCTTGGCAAGGGAGCGGCGTTGCTGGGAGGTGGTGGGAATGGAGGTGGTGGGACTGAAGGTGGTGGGATTGGAGGTGGTGGGTTGGTGTGGAGGGGAGGGTGTGAGGATACGAAGAGGGAGAGGGGAGAGGGGAGAGAGAAGAGATGAGAGGAAGGAGGGGGGAGGAGAAGAGAGAAGGGGAAGGTGAGAGAGGAAGAGCGAGGATGTCGCGGTGCTGAGGGAAGAATCTTGCAATGTATCGGTGCCGTGAGAAATAAATTGGGATGCCGAGGAGTGGGATGGCCTGACTATACCGCCTCACCGGCCAAGCAGCGGATCGTTCCTGGTCGTGTCAGACGGATTGTTTCCCTTACCCATCACCAGGGCGATTTCGCCCATAGCGCGGTGAAATATTTGTCGACTCGAGGTATGCCGCAGCCATCACCAATGGCGGCGTTTTGTTATCCCAACTAACCATCACATCACACGAAATGGATCACGGGGATGTATGTGGATTGCCAGGCAAAGCCTGAATACTTTTGCATTAACTCCGCGGGTCCGCGGAGCCTTGTCTAGCTAACCATGGCGCGTGGCTCGGCCTGCCCTGGGCCAGTCCATCACAGACAGCCCGGACGCCATCCGACCACTCGGGTCATAGAATCGTAAAACATCCCTTTACGCCATTTTTCACCCACACTGCACAACGCTCTAGTTCATCTGCTTGACGAGAGCGTTGATGAAGTGCTCGCGGTTGCCAAGGTCACCACCCTCGATGAAGTGCTTGAACTTGCGGGGGCGGAAGCCGCCGGTGGGCGACGACAGCTTGAAGGGCCACAGGAAGTTGGCGGCCTGCTTGAAGTTGGGGCCGACGGTGTAGATCTCGTGGATCAGGTCCTCGACGCAGACGATGCCGTAGGCACCGAGGTTCTGCTCGATGACGTCGTTGTCGGTGATGGGCAGGCGCTGCTTGTTGACCTTGCCGTAGCCGCGCTTGTAGACGAGCTCGCGCACGGTCTTCAGGTTGGGGTAGCCGTAGGCGACGAAAGGCTCGACGATCTTGAGCATCTCGGTGGTGGCCTTGGTCAGGCGGATGAAGACGCCGTTGTTGATCTGGAGCAGACGGAGGAGCTGCAGGGTCTTGCGCTTCTTGGGGTCGATCTTGTTGATACCCTTGATGCGGACGACGAAGGCGAGCTTGGACTCGGCGGGAACGAAGAGGGAGCCATCCTTCTTGGCCTGGCGCTTGGACTCGATGATGTCGCGCTCAGCCTTGACGTACTCCTGGTGGTACTTCTCGGCGCGCTTGAAGATGGTCTCGCGCTTCTGCTTGTTGGCCTAAGGTAGTCTTAGCCAACTGGGTACTCCTATCTGCTTGCGCAGGTCGGGGGAGTTCATCGTACCTCGCGCTTCTTCTGGAGGTCGGCAGCCTTGCTGTCGGTGGCCTTCTGAGAAGCCTTCTGCTTCTTCAGCACCGACTCGGGGACGGCGATGTCGTTGTGGGTGGGGACGCTGGAGGATTAGCTGTTGTCATTATTGAAGATTTGAGGTGCATACGATGAGCGGGCCATTGTGCTGGTGGTTAGTCGGCTTGTCGTTGTCGAGGAAGCTGGAGAGAAGTTCGATCCGAAGTCTGCGCGCGAATTTGAGGGCCGCACACACTACGCCCGATCGGGGCATGCAAGCGACACAACGACCCACTAGCGCGTCCCGCCAGTGAGCGCGCAGACGGCTGTGCGTTTTTCTGAGCTCCAACTGCGACGGCGAATTGTTTCGCCATCAACTTCAGAGCACCCCTACAGCAATGGCAAGAGGCGGTGGTCGTGTAAGTGGTCGCAGTCACGTGCCTGCGCAATGGCTAACCCTCGCAGGGCCGCGGTCGCGGTGGTAAGAGAGGCGGGCGCGGCGGCGGCGGTGGTGGGCGCGACACCAGGTCGGAGCCATGGTCGGAGATCTCGCGCAAGAACGAGCTGTTCGAGAGCTACTACCGCAAGGGCGGCTTCATGGAGGAGGCGGAATTTGAGGAGATGTGGGCCGCGCTGCAGACGGACCTGCCCAACAGCTTCCGCTTCACAGGCACCAAGTCCGACGCCCTCGCCGTGCGCGAGATCTTCAAGTCGCGCTACATCCCCGCCATCTCCGCGCAGACCTTCGAGGGCAAGCCCGTGCCGCCGCCCGAGCCCGTCAACGCCTTCCCCGACGAGCTGGTGTGGCACATGAAGACGCACAAGAAGGTCATCCGCCGCCATGCCGCCTTTGCCAACTTCCAGAAGTTCTTGGTCGCAGAGGCTGCGTCTGGCAACATCAGCCGGCAGGAGGTCGTCAGCATGATCCCGCCGCATTTTCTCGATGTCAAGCCCGGGCTGGTCGTGCTGGACATGTGCGCCGCGCCCGGCAGCAAGTCGGCCCAGCTGGCGGAGATGATCCACGGCGACGAGGAGGAGCGCGTGCGCAGGGCTGCCAACGGCGAGGACGTCGGCAGCGGCGCCGACGGCGACTACAGCGACGACGGGCGGTCCACGGGTCTGCTCATTGCGAACGACACCGACTACAAGCGCGCCGGCATGCTGGTCCACCAGGTCAAGCGCCTCAACTTCCCCAACCTGATCGTCACCCAGCACGACGCCTCCATCTTTCCGTCGATCGAGCTGCCCACCAAGGCCGGCGAGAAGAAGCAGTACCTGAAGTACGACAGGATTCTGGCTGATGTGCCGTGCTCCGGCGACGGCACAGCCCGCAAGAACCCCAACGTCTGGCAGAAGTGGACGCCCAAGGACGGTCTTGGTCTGCACAATCTGCAGCTGCGCATCCTCTTCCGCGGCCTGCAGATGCTTAAGAAGGGCGGACGCATGGTCTACTCCACCTGCAGTATGAACCCGGTCGAGAACGAGGCGGTTGTCGCCGCGGCTATCGAAGCCTGTGGCGGTGTCTCCAAGGTCCAGCTGGTCGACATGCCCGACCACCTGCCGAACCTCAAGCGCCGACCCGGTCTGAACACCTGGAAGGTTCTCGACACCTCGTCGGTCGCCGGCAGCAACGACAAGACCGCGCACATGTTCAGCAGCTGGGAGGCGTTTGAGAAGGCCAAGGCGAAGTACGCCGTAGAGGAGCCCGAGCGCAGCTTCTCGCAGAAGGTCTCCAAGGGCTGCTTCCCCCAGATCGTCCCGAGCCCCGAAGAGCGCATCCCGCTCGAGCGGTGCATGCGTGTGTACCCTCACCTCCAGGACACTGGCGGTTTCTTCATCGCTGTGATTGAGAAGCTTGACGACATCAAGATTGCGCAGATCCAGAACCCCGAGAACGCAGCCAAGGCGAAGAAGCAGGAGGAGAAGAGCGCGATCCCCACCCCCGAGGAGAACGTCATCGAGGCCGACGCCACCAAGGACACCGAGAGCCTGAAGCGCAAGGCCGAAGACGACGACGAGTCCGCCGCCGCGAAGAAGACAAAGACAGAGGAGTCCGCTCCCGCCTCCGAGGCCGCGACACCAGCGCCCTCGACCCAGGTCGCCAAGCTCAAGCCCGAGAAGCAGGACCAGAACAAGGAGTACTTCGAGTACCTGTCCCCGACCGACGAGACCATCACGCGCATCCTCGAATTCTTCGGCATCTCCTCGCGCTTCCCGCGCGACCGCTTCATGGTCAAGAACAAGGAGGGCCTGTCGCTCAACAAAATCTACTACACCTCCGGCTTCGCCAAGACCATCATCAATGCCAACAAGGACCGCGGCATGAAATTCATCCACTGCGGCGTCGTCATGTTCGTCGCCCACAAGATCAAAGACGCCCAGTACATGCACGCCCCGTGGCGTCTGCAGTCGGAGGGGATCTCGATCCTAGAGCCGTGGGCGAGCGCGCGCATCGTCACGTGCACGCAGAAATCCACGCTCAAGCAGCTGGTCGCCGAGATGTTCCCCAAGCTGCCCAAAGAGGGTCCTCACGGGCTGGGCGAGGTCGGCGACCAGCTCCAGGCCATGGATATCGGGTGCTGCTTTGTCCGCGTCGAGGCCGATCCCGCGCAGGAGATCCCCTTCCGCATGGTGCTGCCCCTGTGGCGCCACCCCGGTAGCGCGAATATGATGGTCGATAAGGATGATCGCAAGGCCATGTTGTTGCGGCTGTGGGGCGAGACGGACACGGAGATTATCAACCACGTGGCGGATAAGGCGCGGCGCGAGGCGGAGGCGGAGGCGGAGGCGGACGGAGAGGACGCAAAGGCCGAGGCAGAAGACGCGAAGGCGAGTGCAATCGAAGGCGAGAACGCAGAAACCATGGACGTAGACGAGAACGGCGGCGTGGCGGTCGACGCCTCGGCGTAGAAAAACTAGTATCCAGTATCCAGGGAAGGGAAGGGAAGGAAGCATGTGGCGGCGTTTGAGTACTACATATCCTCATATATTCGGCTAGAATCGCATCTTCGACACCTTATCTCGCTCTTGGTTTGTTTTCCCTTGTTAATTACTGGGCTTGTGGGTAGAGTCTAATGCAATGTCGATATGTCCCGCTGGCCCGTCGAGTAGTTGTGCACACACCACTGCCACGCCCGCCCCGTGCAGAGAACAGAACATGATCGCGAATAGATGGGATAGCGAGGTGACAGTAACGCAAGTAAGAATAGATGTGGTAAGGGTATCTACGGCAGAAATCACGTTGAATCACAAGCATCCCCCTTCCCCCTCTCCCTCTCTATCTCCCCCCTCTCAGTCCCCACACAACCCCTACTCCTCCCCCTCCCCCTCGCCCCTCCCAGACCACGCACTCCTCCCACTCTTCGCGCTCTTCACGCTCTTCAAACTGCGCTTACTCGTGCTGCGCTTCAGCTTAGCCTTGAACTTGCGCCACTTATTCGTCAGACTCTCGGCGTCGCCTTCGTCGTTGTACCCGTGTTCACGCGCGCTCTCGGCCGAGTCGCGCGGGAACGTCGCGTCGCTGCCGAGATCGACGGAGTCGGAGTTGCGCGGGTGGGATGCGTGGGCGTGCGCGTGCGCGGTGTCGGGGAGGCGCGGGAGCTCCTTGTGCCGGGCGCCGAGCAGCATGTACTCGAGCGTCTGCCAGGCGGGCATGTGCGCGATGGGGCCGTCGGGGGGGTTGCCCTGCACGGTGGCGTTCTTCCAGGGGCAGTGTTCGCGGTGCGATTCCAGCAGGTTCAAACGCAGCGACTCCGGGGGCACGTCGAGTTTGCTGCTCATTTCGCGCAGGCGCGCGTCGGCGCTCAGCCACAGGCCCAACCGCTGGAAGCAGTGGTTGCATACGGCCAGGGCGATGCGCGAGCTGCGCACGCCGGTCCAGCCGAAGAGGGCGAAGGCGAAGGCGGTGCGCTCGGCGGGGGTGGAGGGCGGGGTGGTCGGGGTGCTGGAGGTGAAGAGGGACGGGGGCAGGCGGGAGAGGAGGGTCTCGACGGATGGGGAGGGGTAGGTGATGTTCTGGGGGAGGGGGAGGTCGGGGGAGATGGCGAGCAGGAAGTTGTAGCGCGAGATCAGCTCGGCGGAGGACTTGGCGCGGCTGGCGATGGGGATGTGGTAGATGTCGTCTGCGGGGGTTAGCATCGGGGGAGGGTCCAAGTGGAAGGACGTACCTTGACAGCCGGTTTTTCTCCACAGGCAGTCTTCTGAGTGTCCGTCGATTATCAATGCCGCGTAGCGCGAGACGAGGGAGGGCTCGACGTCGTGCGAGACATCCTCGCTCATCTCAATGTCCTGGCCGTCGGCACTCTTCCGCTTCGGCCGGAGCTTGACAGCCACGCGCTTCTCGCAGCCGCCTTTGCAGGCCACCGTGTTCCACGTGTCGCAGGTCCAGCCCCTCTTCGCCCACTCGACCTCGCTGATGGCGTCCGGCTTGGAGGTCCACTTCCGCACGTCCGCGAACGTCTTGAGCCGGGCGAGGAACAGCTCCTGACTGTAGGGCTGGAAGTTGGGCGCCTTGCGCGGCGTCGAGGCCAGCTGCTGCGCCTGTGTGCCGACCACGCGCATGGTGCCCTTGCGCTTGGGCGTGAGCAGCTGGTCCTTGAGCGCCTGGATGCGCGCCTGGCCCTCGGAGACCTGGCGCTGGCGGTCCACGATGGAGTCGGAGCTGCGCGGGCGCTTCGCTACAGGCTCGGGCGAGCCAGAGCGGAACAGCGATCCGGTCGATGCATTGTGGCTGGACTCGTAGAGGCTGCTGTTGAGCGACGCGGTCGAGGTGCTCGCGGTGAGGTTGTCGAGCAGCTTGTGGAACTTGCGCTTGGTGGTAGCCAGCGCTGGCGGCGACTCGGCGCGGGTCGTCATGCTGGTGGATGCAGGGCGTGATATAGCGATAGGGACTGTGAGTTGCGGTACAGCGACGGGGACTGCGAGTCGTGCAGGCGACGGGGTGCAGGCGATGCGCGGGCGGCCTTTGTTGGGCTTTGTTTACACGGCTGCGTCGGCGCGGCAGCTCGTCTCCGATACTGGCGAGATGTCCCGGGGGCGAGGGTCATGCAAGGCCAGCGCACAGCGGGATGCAGTCGATTGCAGGCGCGCGTTTGCAATGACGACGGCGAGGCCGGGCGTTGGCACAGCATCCACGAGCCTCGCCGCCCGTCGTGCCCAAAGCGCAAACCTCCGCGCTGAGCTCCGACGGCCTGTCGCAAACCAGGGTCCACCGCGCCCGACAGCCTACGCCGCCACGCAAGACTGCTCCAATGCCCCCAGTTTCGCCCGCCCGCTACTTTTTCTTCGCCGCCGTCATCCTGGCGTCCGCACTGCTCCAACCGACCACCTTCTTCCGCACCGCTGCCCGCATCTTCCACATCAAACAGCACCTCCCCGCCAGCCCCGCCCCCGCCATCTACGCAACCCGCCCGCTGCACACCATGGCCTACGAAAAGGAGCTCGAGCTCGCCCTGCTGGCCGTCCAGCGCGCCTCCATCCTCACAAAGAGCGTCTACTCGTCGCACAGCAAGGGCACCCTGACCAAGACCGACAGCTCGCCCGTCACCATCGGCGACTTCGGCGCCCAGGCCCTCATCATCGCCAGCATCAAGTCCGCCTTCCCCGACGACGAGGTCGTGGGCGAGGAGGACGCCGACGACCTGCGCGCCAACAGCGACCTCAAGGCCCTCGTCTGGGACCTCGTTCAGGCCGCGAAGCTCTCCGACGCCGCCGCCGAAGCCACCATCGGCGGCCCCATCAAGTCCGCCGACGACATGCTGGCCGCCCTCGACGGCGGCGCCTCCAACGGCGGCAACAAGGGCCGCATCTGGGCCCTCGACCCCATCGACGGCACCAAGGGCTTCCTGCGCGGCGGCCAGTACGCCGTGTGCCTCGCCCTGATGGTCGACGGCATCCCCACCGTGGGCGTCATCGGCGCCCCGAACCTCCCCGTCGACGACAAGGCCCCGCTCGACGCCAAAATCGGCTCCGACGCGTCGTCCGCCGGCAACGGCGTCCTGTTCGGCGCCGTCCGCGGCCACGGCGCCACCAGCCGCGCCCTCACCGCCGGCGCCCTCGCTCCCCCGAAACCTATAACCATGTCCCCGCTCCCCGACGTCGCGCAAGCCACCTTCTGCGAGTCCGTCGAGGCCGGCCACAGCTCGCACTCAGACCAAGCCGCCATCGCCTCCAAGCTGGGCATCACGCGGCCGTCGGTGCGCATGGACTCGCAGGCCAAGTACTGCTCGATCGCACGCGGCGCGGGAGATCTATACCTCAGACTCCCAACGAGCAAGACGTACGAGGAGAAGATCTGGGACCACGCGGCGGGCGTGGTGCTCGTGCAGGAGGCCGGCGGCGAGGTCTCGGATGCGTTTGGGCGGCCGCTGAACTTTGGCGTCGGGCGCACGCTGAAGGAGAATAAGGGGATTATTGCGGCGCCTAGGTCGGTGCATGGGCAGGTTATTGAGGTGGTTAAGGAGGTGCTGGGCGCGAAGAAGGAGTAGAATTATAGACGGATGTAGATTTATGATATGCACGAGATCGTGCTTGGATTGGCGCGGTATTTCTATCCGTTGTGTTTGGGAAGACCGTGAAGTGCTTACGGCTGTGCCCACGCATCGCAGATGAAGTACTATGGCATGCCAGGTTTGCCTGCCGGGTAGGGGCGCTGCTGACCTTTACTTACTCTCTTAATTGCGGTAAAGCGCGGTATCGGAGATGTAGGGTGAGAGACGGCTTCGCGCTGGTATGGCGTGTTCGAGGAGTATTGATAGAGGAACACGTCAGTAGAAAGCCACACTTGCGCAGAATATGAGCCCCATCGACCAAACGACATGAATAGCTCCCAATGTATTTTCCGCCTGGCTCACAATATGCCTCGTACACCCAGGTATAGTACACCGCCCATGCATATGATACAAACCCCCCACCGCACACCCTTCCCCTACGACACCTTCTTATTCTTCAACTTAATCGTCTCCCCGTTCACAAAAATGCCCTTCCCCTTGTACGGCTCCGGCACGCGCCACTTGCGGATGACCGCCGCAAACTGCATCACGACCTCCTTCTCCGCGCCCTCGAGCAGCAGCCGCGTCGGCTGCGGCGTGCTCGCCGTGATCCCCGCGGGGATCCCCAGCTCCACCGGGTGCGAGTACCCGACCTTCAGGTTGACGTATTTCTGGCCGGGGAACGCGGGCGCGACGGTCGTTGCGGTGTCTTCGACGCTGGCGCGGAAGCCGACGCCGACGAAGCGCAGGATTGCGCTGTGGCCTTCGCTGACGCCTAGGATGTGGTTTTGGAGGTAGGCGCGGGTGGTGCCTGGGCTGTTAGTGTCTTGGGTTGGGGGGTGCAGGGGAGCGAGGCGTACCCCACATGGCTTTCGCCTTCTTGTCGGTCTCGTCCTCCAGGCTCAGCGTCATGGTCTGCTGGTCGATGTTGATGTAGGGCGGGATCGGCATGGACAGTTCGCCGAGCGGGCCCTTGATGTGCGCGGTGCTCATGGACTGTGTGCGGGCGCCCTTTGCGCCGACGGTTTTCGCGGGCGTGATGCTAAAAGTGACGCCCGGCGGGACGGACAGCGGCAGCGAGCCGATCTTGGAGGCGCATCGCGCGGTGGTGGTGAAGGGTCTGGGGGCCGCGAAGCGCGGCAGGAGGAATGTCGGGATCGAGGCGGTGGGCTGGGGGGTTGAGGCTGCGATGGCGCGCGCGCACCGCCGGCGGGCTGGGGCGAACATGGTGTGGAGGCGGGCAATTGGCGTTGGCGAAGTTTCGGGTGATGCGAAGATGCGAAGTTGAGGCCAGCCCTACGATGCTTGGCCAATGGGAGGCCCGCCAGCCAATCATCCCATCTCGACTTCCTGTGATTCCCATCCGCGTGTTCACTCTTCACATACGTTCTCCCTGCGAGACACTGTACGATACTGTATTTCGAATTGATCTTGCAGCTTCTGCCGCTGCGCCAATTGCTCACCGACTGACTGCTACCTCTCACTACAGATCGTGCTCTCACCCAGACGTCAAGCAGCTGCACCGCGACAGGATACCGCTGCGACCAAGTCTCTCTCACTACTTCATGCCTCGTTGTTGCAGTCCAACGGGTGCTCTGATCTTCCGCTTCAAACTCTCTTTTGTCTCTGCAATTTGCTTCAACTTCAAAGATTACTCTCTTCCCTGCTGACAGCTTCATTGACCTACCGCTGTGGTCTTCTGCTCTTCGATTCAACCACTACTGGATCGATTGCTAGTATGAACCCCACGAATATCATGCTCGCTGGTCTGCTGCAGTGTGCACTGGCCCACTATCACTCGCCGGCAGCTACTGTTAACCTCGACTCTCTGTTCCAGCACACGACCTCCAGAAACCACAAGGTAATCTCACAAGCCGTCGACTTTGTCGTTTCAATGCAGACAGCGCCAACATGCACACGAATGGCTGCGTCACACCTCATGAATGAATGCAAACTCCTAGAACACGCACCAGACTTCGCGAAGAGTCGACCAGAAGCGTACTTAGATAATGTCAAAACCGAGTATGCTGCCAAGCTGGCAGTGTGCGAACTCCTGAGTGCGCAGCCTCCAAGCACCGCTTCACCGCCACCACACTGCGATATTCTTGTCCCGTCAAGTCGAGCATGCAGCAGAGGGAGTTGGTGGTCTCAAGCGCCTCCCAATCCCGACAAACAGTGCTACCCCGAGTACAAGGACTATCAGTATAGCCAGTGTCTCAAGACACTGCAATCTTCGCCACAGTACTGGACGTCCTTCAGCAATGCACGACAAAACGCCGTCGTCATGTGTCAGGCCAGCAGGGATGCCATTGAGCGCGAGAACCACCTCGAGATATTCAAGAACTTGACCCAAGTTATCGGCGTTGTGTCTTCTAACATCAAAGAGACCACTGACGAATACGCGTCTCTGCTGCAAGATCAAAAACGATTCGCAGATGAGCTTCGCAAGACCCAGAGCCAGTTTGAGGAGGACGTTGCAGTAGTGCAAGAGAGAGCACTATCCGCGGTCAGCAACCTGGACAGCAAGTTCCAAACTTTTCTGGAAGGCTCCATCTCCCAACTCATCACCGCGCTTGCTGATGGTCAGAGCGCTGAGCTCGTTCGCATACGACATGAAATGCAGGCATTCTCACAGGATATGATCGCTGAGAACTCTGAGCTTGCAAAGTCACTCACTACTGAACTGCAACAACACCACGACCGGGCCATCATAAGCCTGCAGATCAATCACGCAGCTCAGGTGGATAGTTACGAGGTGCTGTCTGGCTACATGAGTAGTGTTCAAAATACCGCCAGCAGCATCAACGACACTGCGGAATCCTCTCTGGCAACGATTGTCACCATCGCCCACCAGCTAGACAGTCTATCAAGCAGAGCCGAGCACATTGCCAGAGGCTTCGCCTTCTTCGGCAATCTACCGCGATTTGCGGCCTCCCTCGTCCGCGGCCTGATCGCAACAGCCGGGGCAACCTTTATTCTTATCATGCTCTACCAATTCAGCAGACGGCTTGCCATCTACGTCGCCGGCGCCGGCAGTGCCGCATACTTCCTCCACTTCTGCGGCGTGTACGAGCTTCTAGCCCTCATCCCAGCTCACATGTCTGGACCCCATCGTCCTTCGTCTCCAGACCCGTTCTCCAATCTCAGCGCGACGCAGAAAGGCGCCGGCGCCGTTGTGTTCCTCTGGCTCGCTACATACCCCGTCTCGCGCATCAGCACAGCCATCAGCCACGCCTTCGTCCGCGTCCTCGGCTCCTACTGGGTCCGTCGGTACAGCAACGAGGGCGGCGCGGGGCTCCTGCCGAGCGTCGAGATTCCGAGCGTGGCAGCGCGCCGCAAGGTCGATGCGCTGGAGTCCTGTACCAGTGCCAACTGCGCGCATCGAGACGTGTCATCTCCGGTCGAGCCTTGATGGCGCGCAGGAAGAAGTTCAGCAACACGACATTTTTTTTCATACCGGCCATATACCCTGAGTTATACTTTGCGATTATCTGCAGCGCTATCGACATCGCGCAATCATCGACGTCTTATCTTTCCGCCGGCGTTTAGGAGCATGGCAATGTCTCGGCGGATCAGAGGGTGTGGCTTTTTTGATAACCATGGGGGGATTTATATGCTAGGTGCTATTTAAGGACTATGCGGTTACCGTGTGCATTCTTCCAGGGAGGTGCGGCTTATCTAATTATTTATATTACTTTGTCTCATGCCACTGAAGACCGTCCTGCATGCCACTGAATACTGTCGTGCATGCGACCGAATACCGTCCTGCAAGCAACACGACCCCCTCACTCCGAGTCACTCAGCTCCTCAACCCGCCCACTCCTATACATCTCCTCAATAGGATTCCGCACATCCACAACCCCCGTCTTCTTCAGCCGCTCAAACAACACAAACAGCCGCTCGGCCTCCCTCTCCTTCTCCTCCTGCGTCATCTCCGGCATCTCCACGGGCTCCTCACGATCCAGCCGTTGCCCTGTGATCGGATTCACGGGCACGCCCGCGCCGGCGCCCTCGCCTGCGTCCCGCAGCGCACTCGCCGGCATCGCAATGTTCTTCGCCAGCAGGAAGCCCGCGGCGAAGCCGTAACCCACGTTCGCGACGTACGCCGCGGCGTCCTTGCCCGACAGCTCGAACAGGAACGAGGCCACGGAGTCGCGCAGCGCGGGCGTCGGGGCCGCGGTGCTCAGATTCAGGAGGCGCGAGGGCAGCGAGGCGGTTTTGCCGAGGGGCTGCGCGCGGTCCGTGTCCGAGGGGAGCAGCTTGGATTGCATCACGGTGTGCACGTCGGCGGGGGCGAGTTCGTAGGTGCGCCGCAGCAGGGTGAAGAGCGGGGAGATGGTGGTGTCGAGGTCTGGGGCGGGGTAGGCGAGGGTGGCGGCGTCGAGGAGGGTGATGAGGTGGGTTGCGTGGAGGGCGGGGGAGGCGGAGGGGAAGAGGGCGGCGTGGAGGGCGGGGTCGTGGGCGTGCGATTGTGCGGTGGTGGAGTCGTCGTCGCTGCGGACGAGGTTGAGGAGCGCGTTGATCAGGAACGAGACCGGGGCGTCGAGGGGCTTGGGTGGGGGGTCCCTGCGCAGCAGGATTTTGAAGATGTGGGGGATCGTGGGCGTGAAGTGCTGCGAGAGGTCGGGGTGGAAGTGGGTGATGTTGAAGAGCAGCTTGAGCGTTTCCGAGAGCGCCATGAGGTCCATTGGGGCGGCGTGTTCTTGCGAGGGCTGGCGCGGCTGGGTGTAGCGGTCTGCGTGGCGCTGGATTGCGGCGTTGATGTTGTCGGCGAGGTGGTGCTCGTCTACGAGCTCCGTGTAGTCGAGTTTGGCGTCGTAGGTCGTGAGGAACAGGATACGGGACACCAGGAACTCGTCATCGATGCTCTCGCTCTTGAAGCCGTCAGCACATATGCGGGTCACACGGGGGACGGTAGTGCTTGCCTTGAGTCTCTCTGCGGCGTCCGGGCCATGCCCAAGATCGATCAAGATCTGGCGCGCCTTTGGCTGCAGGAGCAGGGCGTTGGCCATGCACCTGAGAGCTTCCTGTGATACTGCCACGTCTTTCTCCTTGAAGGCATAGCGGCCTAATGTCCGTAGACCCTGAACAGGTCACCTTTCGTCCTTGTGTGCTCGGCGAGGCCATCATACGTCTTGAGTGAAGATAGGGTCCGCATTCGTAGGGTCGCGACCGTACACTTTAAGCTGCTCGAGCTGCTGCTGCCGTTCTATGCAGGTTGTTAGGAATAATCTTTTGAAAGGCTTCCGTGTGGCGTACGTTGCGCGGACAGCGCAGGCGCATCGAGATCCGCCTTTAAGTCGGTGAGTATCTTGGTGACATGGTCAAGCTTCGCTGCGATGTATGAGTAATAGTAGAGAATCACGTATAGAGGGGGCTTGACGCACCTTTCCCCGACTTGTGCGACAACATCATGGCAAGTGTGGAAGAAGTTAATAGGTAGAAAGGAGGCTCGAAGATTATACGTAGGTGGACCTTGTTACAGATCCCGCGGTACTTTCGTACCTAGGCTAGGATGATCAAGGTGCCCCACAGTGGGGAGGGACCCGCACCTTCGACCGCGACTAGATTGTGAGAGAGGTGCCACGAGCTCAGGTGGATATTGGATATTGAAAATCGAGGGGTGCTCACGTTTGCTCACGATGGGACGTTGAAATGGGTGATGTTGGACGTTGAATTAGGCGACGCCAGAACAAAATGTGGGCTGTGAGTGCGCTGCATCTGATCGCGATATTAGGTATACTTCGTACTGTAATCTCAGAACGACGCGCTTGACCACAGGATGAGCATGTTCCATATTGCACGACTCTCAGAATACTGACATGTCCGCTCAAATGACACGTACCCGATTCAACGGCACCATCGATTCGAGAATGCGCTGGGGCTGAAGCGCCGGGCAACCACTTAACGCGTGCGGGAAGGCGCGTTCGCGCGGCAACGTTAACGCGTCGAACGTGCCGCTCCACCAAGCTTTCCAGCCCTGGGTGGCATACAGCAACCACCATCTCGACTGTCGCTCTGATCCGTGTTCGCGCCCAGCTATGCGAGTCTGATATCCTGCTTTCATTTTTGTTTCGTCTGCGTTGGTTTCCAGCATAGCCATGGTGTTGTCCAAGTTCGAATCGCTCTTTGTCCGCCCGCCCACTCCACCCAAAGACGTCGAAGACAGCGACAAGGACGTCGACGTCGACGAGACCGTCCAATTTCTCGAGGATCCGTTTGGCGAGAAGCCTGCACAACCGAGGGCTGTGGTGAAAGTAGCTGCGAAAAAGCTGCTCAACACACCAGACCAGTCGCCGTCCTCTGATATCAGCATACCGTCCAGCTCGGCGAAGAAGAGGGTCAACTTCGAGGTCCAGACATGCGTCTCCCCGCATAAGAAAGCTGTCATAAAGTCGTGGACACCTACACGCAGCTCACCGCTTCGTCCTCTGCCGCAGACACGCGTATCGCTACCGCTCAAGTCAATCCTTAAACCCACGGACGCAGCATCCACACCGATACCGAACGACGAAGGCGCCGCCGCACACCAATTCAAATCATTCGCAGAGATGCTGGAGTCGATAGTGAAACAGCTGGCTCAAGGGGAGCGGCCCTCGCGGCTGGATGCATATCACTCGCTGCAGCGCACCATGCAAGCCTACGACAAGATACCAGACGAGCAGGCGCTGAAGAACAAAATGTCCCTATTGGCACAGTTCATCCGGCGAGATACCCAAGCCATCAGCCCTACAGGCAGCGGGCTCGATTCGCAGCTCATCGGCCAAGCGCTGAAGCTCCTTCTGGCGCTCTTTCGAATACCAGACTTGAGTGCAGCTATGGACGACGAATTCAGCTCATACATGGTCGAACGCAGTATTCAAGTTCTCACAGATGTCTCGGTATCGAAAAGCGTGGTCAACACACATCTGGCAATGCTCATGCAGCAGAATTTCCGCCCAAAGATAATGACCGGACCACGTGTGGAGAAGATCATGGATGGCCTGGACACAATACAGGACCGCGTAAAGGGGTTTTCGGTCCAAGCATATCGCCTGCGTATATACAGGAAGCTAATTCAACAACGGCCGGACCTCATGATCAGACATACAGAGCGGTGGTTCAAACACACCTTCAAGGCCTTGGTTTCAACCCACAAGGATATCTACCAGAGCGCCCTCGACACCGCCATTGCCGCTGCAAAACTCCTTGGGCATGATCGGTCTGTGGCTAAGTCGGTTCTTACAGTCCTGAACAAAGTTAGGAGCGACGGCGAGACTACTCTGGCCAAAGTTATGGCACAGGAGTTGCAAAAGATGCTCGACGGAGACAACCCATCTCTCGTACCGCAAATTTGGTCGGCTGTTACGGGACTCTTGCGGGACCACTTCGACATTAAGCTCTTCACGGACCTCGAGGAGTGGTTAAAGGTGTTCGAGAAGGCGCTCAAATCCGAGAATGATCAGGTCAAAATCTATGGAAACATAGCGTACGGCTTTCTACTCTACGCTGTGAATCCGTCTGAGGAGACAGCAAAGGTCTGGTCGAAATTTTTGTTGAACGTACCACTCCAGCAATTTCAGAGACGAGGATCGATGAAGAAGTCAGAGCGAGATGCAATCTTCTGCGGATACAACACACTGCTTTACTATGCATTCCGCCCTACCGCCAGCCATGAGCAACTCGACCGATTTTGGACCGAGTTTGTGGTAGGCTTCTGGACTCCAGTAGTACATCAGTCGGCACCCATACAAGCAGCTCTCGCGTGTCGTCATGTCTCAGCCCTGCTGAGCGGGTCTCGGAACCCTTGGGACGCACAGAGAGCTTTGGATCTTAGATTCCAGGTCATGACGCAGCTCTCTGAAGTTCCCCTAGTAGACCCGCGATGGGTCCGCAGATCGATTGGTACAGTTCTGAAGTTTGTGGAAACCTTGCTTGATACAACGGCCTGGTCCAACGGACCCCCAGAAGATGATCCGATAAAGAACATGTGGTCTGCTGTCCTCGACTCATTGGTCGAGGCAAGCAGCAAAGAGGTCATGGCATCGACTGAGAGCAAGGACGCCATGGCTCATATCGTCAATCTTCTCCGCCGTGTGTGGGATCGACACACTGCCCAGCTAGCTGTACCACAGCACAAGGAGGACAGCTGGGCGGACAAGTTCTGCTTTCTGGTCGAGAGTGTGGTGCAAAAGCTCGGTGCACTACGATTCGTCGACAAGTGCCTGACTAGGAACAGTCAAGATGAGTTTGAGGTTGCATCAACCCCTTCGTTCCGATCCCGGCTCAATGGAACTCGAACCTCGCCACTGTTGTACTTCGTCGACCTCCTGATGAACCAGTCAGAAGGCAAGCTTTCGGACTCAATTCGACTGCGCGCAATGAAGCTGGTCCTCGAGCCTGGATTCAATGCTCAGAACACCCGCCTCAGTAAACTGGAACTACTTCGGGACTGCGCTACCATCGTCGATGGTTCGATAAAAGCAGCCGTGGCCCTTGATTTCTGGTCGCAGACCGCGAGATTGTTAAAGCTTTCTATCGAGCAGCAAGTGCCTGACCCCAATGAGCGAGAATCACGCCAGCTGGGCAAAGAGTACGAGGTCACGGTGGAGCTCCTGAACTTAGGTTCCGATCATCTGCTTAGAACATCGCAAGGACTCCAGGTTCTTTCCGCTTTCATCACTACGGTTCGGAAAGAAGCTGGAGACGGTGCGCTTGTTCTGGCAGTGATTGAACGGGTTTCAGAGAGCGTCTTGGCCAGTGTCACCGACAAGTGTTCATGCTTGCCCTACACAAGTACGCTGCTGCAGAATCTTCCGAGCAAGACCATCAGCAGGCGGGTACTTGATCAGGGGAGGCAGACTCTGTGGCCGTCTTCTCCTGCGGGAGCACGTAATCATGATTTCGATCCTTACAATCACCTGTACAGCGCGGTAAACTCTGCAGGTTCTGCGGCGTACGATGAACTCGGCACCGACAACGTTGAGTCAACTAGGACATTTCTCGTGGCTTTGGGTGTATCGATCAAGAGCTGTTCGACTTCGTTGCTTGCAGTCTACTTGCGCAAAGTGCAGGAAGTGATTCGGACATGGGTCGAAGACCCTCAGAGGAAATTGCAGAATAAGGCACCAGTCTCGAAGACCTTTCAACGCGAGGTAAGCCACCGCAGCTGCATGGGGTTGGTGCTCATCAACTAACGAATTGCAGGTCGTCAGCCTATGGAGAGAAGTAAATGAGGCGATTGAAAGGCTTCCCCGCAAGGACAGTCAGGTTCTCTTGCACCTAGAGCCACTCATTACGTCTGGATTTGTTAGTCGACGCCGGAAAATTGTCAACATTTCGATCGCAACCTGGAATAAGACTTTCGGCAAGGAGGAAAACCTTCGGTACCCTCCACGATTAGAAAAGGTCCTGCGCCGCTTGCACAAGACCGTTGATCTTGCTCTGCCATCGTGGGTCACCAAGGACACTGACAGCGTAAGTCGAACTCAAACTTCTACAAAACACCCATCATTGACTAGCCCAAAGGATGCCGAACTATCTTTGTACGATTCGGATGAGAGTACTGAAGGTCTGAGACGAAGCGCTAGAAGCTCTCGTGTCAAAGAATCTCCCTACAAGATCATCAAATCTGCGCGAGACCCCAAACATCAGTCGCCCACGGTTTCTTCCCCGGCGAGCAGACGCACTTCATCACGCCGAACACCGAAAGTACGCTTACGACATGACAACTCGCAGATCCAGTTCGAAGCCATCGTATCTTCGCCATCAAATCCGTTCGTACAGGAATCGCAGATCCTGACCGAAAGACAGAAGGAGATGATTGAACGTCAAAGACTTGCTGGCGGTCTGTTTGCTGACATGCGCGCACTGTCTCCGCAACGAGAGGCCCCACCATCTCCACTGGAGCTGCATTCTGATTTGCAGAGTGTTGAGGATCTACCATCTCGCACTACACGTACCACACCGCTGAAGACACTGGCAAAGATGGGCCCCATGGACGTTTTTCTGCACTCATCGCCTACGCCACATGCGCGACGTACCTCGCAAAAGATCGTTAGCGACGATACCGATGTTGCTACCCCTACTGCGGTGCGAACAGTGCGCGTCGCGGAAGATGAAGACCTTGGGTCTTCACCGCCTCGATTCGAGGGGGCCACAACCTCAAAGTCGAGACAGCATCCACGTGAAGCTGCCGAGAGCCTTGAAGATCAACAGCCTGACAGCGTTTATTCGGCATCCTTTGATGATGGTACCACTATGGATGAGGACGCCTTGGCTGCAGCAGTGATGCTGGCTGAACAGGAGGAAGAGCTTACCAAAGGCTATGAGCTTAGCGATGACATGATGTCTGATCTACCAAGTTCCACGATTGATCTTGAGCTTACTGCACAAATCGACGCAGACATACAAACCGCCGAGGGAGCCATCAGGCCTGATGAAACCATACAGGAACCAGAAAGCGTGTTCGTCGATGCGGCATCACATCCCACATCATCCCACAACGTCCCTGCAACACAAGACGGAAGTGACACGGAAGTCGAGCCCACGCCCAAATCGTTTCGGACGCGTAAAGGCAAGAAAGCGGACACGAGCAGCACAAGCCGTGTTGAAGACTCCTTCACCTCTACTCCGGCTAAGGGCACACCTGGATCACATGTTCGGCGTTCAACGCGCCAAAGTATGGATAGTCCGATTCACATCCAGCTGTCAAACAAGAAGAGACAAAAGAATCCACGGCGAAGTAAGCAGGAATCTACCTTGGACGGACAGGCCTCATCGCCTCTTCAGGCTCAGCCCGAAGCTGCTGGTGGAGAGCTGGAGAATGGAGTTGCTGCATCGCCTACCGAGAAGACGAGGCGTGGCAAGAAGAGGAAGGCCATGGCCGATTCGCCCTCGCGTTTGGAGAGCCCCGGGGTCACACTGGAATCAGGACGCAGAAATGGCATGCGTCGCTCGCAATCAAATCTCAGCCAGGTCGAGAGCGCGACTGATGTCATAACAGACACACCTGCACCTTTCAAACGAGTCCGACAGAGTACGAACAAAGATGTCAGCGAAGCAAAACTTGAAGCGCCTCTTCCACCTAGAGATCTGCACTCCTCGCATAATAAACGCCTCAGCCACGTGCAGGTCACACCCAGGCATGACAAGGCATCTGCTCCTGCCGTAGAGGAGCAAATTGCGGCGTCGATTGCCACTGTAGCCGACACTGCTCCAGAACTCAGACACTCTGCGCTGGAACAGAGTCAGATCCAGTCACAACAGCAGGCTCCAACTGGCAGCGCCACTCCGAACCGATCCTTTGCGGAGCGTGTCATTCTTACACCAAGAAGCATTATCAATAAGTTCAAGGAAATCAAGAACTATATACTGAATGCCCGGGGACTCACTGTAAGCGAAGCAGAGGTGCGAGAGATTGACGATGTGCTATTTCACATCCGCAGAGGAGTTTTCGCCGCTGGGCAAGGAGAATAACAGCAGGTCTTTTTAAGCTCGAAATGAAAGCTTGTATTTGGATATGATTACTTCCACTATGGGAGTCGTGCATTACAGCATAAGCTAGCGAGACCGTTGTAGTAATAGATACCCACATCTTTCGTGTGAATCATCTTTGCAGTCAGAAATGCAAGTGCAAATGATGACCAATATTACGTCCTGGTCAACTAGAGTGCCAAGCTTGTAAGTTAGGTGAATGCAGCTTGTCGATCATGATCGACTGTCTGGAGAACCTGCGTGCATATCGGTGTTGGGATGCACCAAAGAGCCAATCACAATTCTTTACACAATTCTGGTGAACTCAGAAAGTGTTTCAGGCTGGTTTCAGGTGGCCGATGCAGTCGATGCATCATAGTGGGGCTCGCTCTCAGCTTCCCTGCCCCTCCTTCTTGCTCAACGTCTCCCATTAACAGACGCCACCAACAATAGCTGTAAGCTTTAGCACGCCTTTGCTTAGCTTCAGGACCGATAGCTGACGGTTAATAAGGACACATCCCCTTCTCCCACCGACTCATACCCATTCCCATCCATTCCGCAGCAAGATATCCACACAGCATCCATCCCCTCGTCGAGTCTCGCACATCACAATGGTTGACCGCGCCAACCGTCCTTCCGCCCTGAACGCACCCAAGAGCTCCGGCCCCTCTGCACAAGTCGATGTCGTCGGCGAGGGAGGTAGCCAGAAAGTTGTCGCATCGTTGCCCTCTGGCGAGAGTGTGGAGGTGTACCTCTTTGGCGCCACCGTAACTAGCTGGAAGAGCAATGGCGGAAAGACAGAGAACTTGTGGGTCAGCGAGGCTGCGGATCTGACAGGAACGAAGCCTATCAGAGGCGGTGTTCCTGTCGTATTCCCGGTATGTGTTTCTGATTGATTAACCGGTGGTTCACTTACAGGTGCGCAGGTCTTCGGCCCTCCTCCCACAACCGGCCCCACCTCGAAGCTCTCTCAGCACGGATTTGCGCGCAACTCACGCTGGGAATATCTGGGCAAGTCTTCTACAGAAGACGCACTAGACACCAGCTCCGTAAAGCTCGACTTCGGTCTTGACCGCAATGGCGTCAGCGACGAGCACCGCAAAGCATGGCCGCTGGACTTCGGTCTGGTGTACAGCGTCACATTGAGCAAGGATACGTTACAGACAGTCATCACTGTACGCAACGAGGGTGACGAGAGCTTCGAGTTCCAATTCCTGCTGCACACCTACTTCAGGGTCTCGGTACGCATCACCCACACTCGGTGCCAGAAGTATATGAGCTTACAATAATCTTGCAGGATATCTCCAAGGTCTCTGTCAACGGTCTCGGCAGCGTCGAATACGTCGACAAGGTCCTCGACGCGACCTCGCACACACAAACAGAGCCTACGCTCAAGTTCAATGGCGAAGTCGACCGCGTATACAAGGACATCAAGCTCGACACCACAAGTGTTCTGGAGGACGGCAAGCCGCGTTTCGATATCACCCGAGACAACGTCAAGGATACTGTCACTTGGAACCCCTGGATTGAGAAGGCGAAGGCCATGGGCGACTTCGCGCCAAAGGACGGCTACAAGAACATGGTCTGTGTCGAGGTCGGTGCTGTCAATGGATGGCAGAAGCTGGACAAGGGTGAGGTGTTCGAGGGTGGTATGCTTGTCAAGAGCCACTTGTAGGAATTCTCCGCATAGATCAGAGTAGGACTACAGCTGTTCCATGCCGCTACTGTAGCACTTGGATCGCTTAATGACAGCCATGAATGACATAAACGACCCAACAATAGCCTTCCAACGCACGTTATCTCATGTCCCGTTATGGAGATTATTAATATAGAGGCGTTTCCTCATCGGTGTTCCAAGATCCTGTCTTGTGATATATCACGAGCTATAGCTTGCTTCCAGACTAGGAACCCTAGCTTCGCCCGTTCCGGATCCTGTCCGAGGACCAACCACAACAACAACAATAAGATCGCAAGATAACAACAAACGCTCCCACGGTCATGCTTCAGAAGTGCAACGACAGCGAAGCAGTTCGCTCCCTCTGCTGCTACTGTCTGTGGGCGATTGATTGAAGCATCACCAGAAGATTCGAGAGCTATCCGTTGCCCCGCTTACGTCAATCACGACTTCCTACGAACAAAAGCAGACTTGTCAAACGGTCCAAATTGATTTGCGCTTGAATTCGGCATATCTGGCAGCCTTGCGCTGACAGTGAGGCTCTGCGTTGTCCCGAGGAAAAGTGGAGGTGGTGGAGCACAACACTCGAGCTCCATCCATGGATGATCGCGAACGACAGAGGAGCATGTCGCTCATACCTTACCTGCCAGCAGAATCGCGGGAAATTGTTCTGTATGTTGATGATATGCAGTCTACTTTCCATGTCGTGCGCTAACATGAATGCAGGCGTCATGGTTCAGCGGTCGTGGTTTATGATCAGCGCTCCAAGCAGCTCTCCCTCCGCGATGCTTCCAAGTCAACCGCGCTAGACGAAACGTCCTGCCCATACTGCCACCGAGCTTACCGTGAGCCCTCGCCCCACGATACCGACGATGACGAGCGTCCACATTCGCCAGGCGAACCTGGTATGGACCATGGATTCGTCAACCCAGGGTACTTCCAGATGCTGCGTGGCAGCCAGCCCAGCTCCACGGCAGGCTCACGGCCATCTTCGCCACATAAACAGCTAGAGCCTGCGATACCGCGAGGATCTTTTAGTGGATTCCGTGCGCCGGAAGGAGCGGAGTTCGTGGGTAGCACGCCTATTCCTCCAAAGAACCAAGGCATTTCTGCGAGGGCGTTTAGCCCAAACTACTTCAAGACATTCTTTGTCGAAGAGAGGGAACTCGGACGAGGAGGCAAAGGTGTTGTACTTCTTGTACAGCATGTTTTAGACGGCGTGCAGCTAGGCAAGTTCGCCTGCAAGAGAGTGCCTGTTGGAGACGACCATGAGTGGCTCGAGAAGGTCCTAATCGAAGTGCAGCTGCTACAAAACCTATCGCATCAAAACCTCGTTTCATATCGACATGTCTGGCTCGAGGACTACCAAATCAACACGTTCGGCCCAAGTGTACCTTGCGCATTCATCCTGCAGCAATACTGCGATGGTGGAGACCTACATGGCTACATCTTGGATTCTGCGAGAACAACAATCACGAAAGATCAGATGAAAGAACGCCTAAGGCGAAGATCGAAAGGGCAGATGGAGGAAGCGGAGGCTCCGCTCGGGCCGCGGCGCATGCCCTTTGAAGAAATCATCTCTTTCTTCAAGGACATTACCTCCGGATTGAACCATCTGCACACCAATGGCTACATACATCGGGACTTGAAACCCAGCAACTGTCTCCTGCATCGCGATAAGTACGGCATGAAAGTCCTGGTCAGCGACTTTGGCGAGGTACAATCAGCGAATGCTGCCAGAAACTCGTCTGGTGCCACAGGCACCATCTCATATTGTGCACCTGAGGTCCTTAAGCAGGAACGACCAGGCGGACCGTATGGCAACTTCACTACCAAGTCAGACATCTTCTCTCTTGGCATGATCGTCTACTTCATGTGCTTTGCGCGCTTACCATATCTAAACGCGGACGGCATCGACGAAGATAATGAAGACCTGGATCAGCTGCGTGCTGAGATATCCGCGTGGGCAGGAATTGACGATGAGCAGCGTATACGGTCTGACCTGCCCGAGAAATTGTACAAATCACTCAAGCGTCTGCTCGCTCTAAACCCTGATGAGCGTCCAGCGACTGAGGAGATTCTCCATGTGCTCAAATCACCCTCCGTCTTCGATGAGTTCAATGCCTACGCTGGCCCTGCGGGTATGGACGATTTCAGCCCTCGTATATCTCGCGCCGATACTCCAAGCCCCGGGCCGCAGTTGGCCAGGAAACAAAGCTCCGCACACCAATATACACGGCCTGGGCGCTCGAACCTAGGTGCGTCGGTCATGGAGCGCTCGCCAAGTCCGCCACCCACCCTTGCTTCACGCAGAGCAAGTTCAGAGGACGCGGTACTGATCTTGAGGACCAAGAAACTGGAGTTTCCTCCCCCAGAAGTGGTCAGAACGCCCTCTCCCCACAGACTCATGCTCCCACCTCCACCAGCTGGGCGGCAGAGTTGGATCATGAGGTGTCGACGCCGCGCGACCACCATCATGCAATACCCAATCACAGCAAGTATGATTAGAGTGGCTCTCTTTCTCTTGAAGGCAGCCAGCTTGTTTGGACCTTGCCAGCCGTTCGCGGCAGAACCATGGGCGGCGTACTCATTGCTTGGTTTGGCCTCCCTTGACTTCCTATACCCGCATGTTATTTTGCTGCCGCAAACTCAGCGCTGGTACAGTGGAGGCCTGGTGGGGAGTGTCGCATTGATGTTGGTGCATGTGGCGGTTGTATCGGTGCTTTGGGAGAAGGGTCGACTGTGTGCGAGAAGCATCACGTGGGATGGGTTCTGAGTAAGGCAGGCCGGCCAAAGATGCGGCACCGTGAGAGATAGACTTAAAGTTAGTGCTGAATAATATCCTCCATAGCCTTTCCCGAAGATCACGGTTCGATCATGGCGAACTGGTGGCCAGTCCATTGTGCAGCACTTGGCCCGGTTTCAGGAGTGTTGTGCTGAAAGCGTCTGATTGGACGTGGTGCACATCATAGCGCCCGCTTTAGCGAGGATGGCGCTGTTTACCCAATGTTTATGATGCCCATCCCATGTCAACACCATCCGCACCTGCCACTAACATAATACAGCTTGCCTCTGTGCGCCAGCTTTCAAAGAATTTTGGATCCTTCCTCATGCTCTTGTAGTCCTAGCAGAGCATCTCTTTCATATCCTAGTCGCGTATTTTGGACGCGCCGCAGACAAACAGCACAAACATTGTTGCGTCTGCAGCCTCACTTCACATCACGGAATGCAGTCCTCCCCTCCGACAAGTATTGGGAAAGCGCGCAATATTCGCGAGCTTTCGCGCAGCCTCAGTCACAGCCCGCGCAGTATCCCGTCGCCATCACCGCCGCCCAGCGACTCCAACCCAACCAAACACTCAGGATTTGGCACCGAGACAAGCAGCTTCTTCAACGATCCGGACGTCATCATGTCAACACAACAGAACTTTGTCGACTCGACCAACACATTACCGCAGTATCCGCGCATCCGCTCGACTGCCAAGAAGATGACCTCCTGGCAGCCGATGCGCTCGGAGCAGATCAACCCCGACACATCAATGGTAAACAAAGAGTTTGGCGACTTCGACCGCAGCTTCTCGGACGAAGAGAGTATCTCAGTCGAACAGGCGCGCGGCCTTCACAACAACCGCAGCACACCAGTCAAGCAGAGCTCTCTATTCCAAAGCCTCTACGACGTCACACCGCCTACGAACCGAACGCGTAAGTCGTATGTTGCCGAAACTGGAAGTCTCCGACGCGACGCACAAATTCGACGCGCCTCGCGCAACGACCTTGATATCGCGTCACCGCGTCCTGCGAGCAAGCGCAACTCTCCATCGATGTCAACAAAGGAGAACAAGCGCAACTCTCTGGCGCAGCTCCACGCTAAGCTTTCTGAAGATGAGTCGCCGTTCATGCAGGACCGTCCGCCCACATTGACCGTCAACTCGACCAAGAACACGCGATGGGGCAACCGGAGCCGCCAGACATCCCTCCAGATGGATGGTGTTGTGGATGAAATCGCACGCGCCAACACGAGGCCCAACTCGCGCCCTCCGACCGCCCAAAACGCGACTGCACAGTCTTTCATTCTGCCCGACCTACCTAACTTGACCGAGCTGGTGTCCGGCGTCTTCGAGGATGGTACACCTGTGTTCTCGAAGAACACATCGTCGCGATCCCGTTATGCTGCGCCTCCTGGTGGGGGTCGTCGTCCCAACCACATTCCCATCGACAGTGTACCGATTCCTGATGAAGAGAAGGCGATCTTTTCTGCTCTTCAGCAGTTGCAGGACAAGGTCGCGCAGATAGAGTCTGAACGATCTGAGCAAGAAAGGCGGATTGAGGAGCAGGACCTCGAGTTGATTGAGCTTCGCGAAAATGCACGAGCACATGAGAAGTCGCGACGCAGCGACAGCGCAAATGACTCGGATGCTGGTAAGGGGCATTGGAAGGTCGAGAAGACGCGTAAGTATTTGGTCTTTCTGCGTAGTGGAAGGTTACTAAACTTTGAACAGGCCTCGACGCGACTGTACAGACACTCCGAACGAAACTCGACCGCGCCGACCGCAAAGTTGCTGTTCTTGAGATTGAGAAGAAGCGCTTGACGACCGAACGTGACAACATGACGAACCAGCTAGGCGTTGCGTTCCAGACGTGCGAAGAGCTCAAGAACGAGAAGCTGGCTTTGGTTGATGAGAATGAAGTGCTTCGTCAGGAAGTCGACTCCCTCCGTGGCGACAATGAGGAGCTCCGCGATCAGTTGAACCACGAGATGTCGCACCACCGCGAGGAGACTGTAAACCTTCGACAACAATTCGACCAGGCCGCGAACGCGACGGAGAAGAAGAACGCCACTCTGAATGCTGAGCTGGCTCGTATGCGCACTCAGTATGATGAGAACACTCAACAGCTCGCCCGTCAGGATCTCGAGATTCGCAACGCACGTCAAGAGAGGGCTGAGTTCGCCCGCCTTCAGGCCGATAATGAGGCCCTGAAGTCACAGCTCGCCAGCATGAAGTCGAAGCGTGAATCCGAGATCAAGAAGTGGGAGCGCCAAGAATCTGCGTTGAAATCACAGGTGGAGCGTCGCGACGAGACCATTCGACACTTTCAAGATGCTACCCAGGAGGAGACGAACGATGCCATCCGATTGGATAACGAGGCCCTTCGAGAGGAGCTCGCACACCTCGCCGCGCAACACGAGGACGATTACGAGAAATGGTCCAGGAAGGAGAGTCAGCTGAAGCGCAAGGTCCAGCAACGCGAAGCAGCTGCTAGGCAGACCCTAGACCTGACCCGAGAAGTTCTCAACGTTCGGGAGACCATGGAGCAGCAGAAGAACAGCGCGCGCCCGGATACCCTCCAACGCAAGCCTAGCTACCGTCGCGAGGACACAGGCTCTCGTATCAAGAGCCGTGTCCAGCAAGAGTCGCGCAACAGCCGGTCTGAGCTTGCACAATCCAGCCGTGTCCAAGAAAACCCGCGTCAGGAGTACACTGGCGTCTCTAGGAAGGACTTCAGCAAGTCTCTGCCAGCGGACACTCGACGAAGCTTCTCCGCGCCCATCGTCGATAGGAAGGCGTACGTAGACAGCGAGGTCGAGTCGACTACGGATCTTTCTCTCAAGCCTCACGGCACTCCGTACATGTCACGTAGTGTTCAGTCTGCAAGACCAGCTGCCACTATCCAAAGACCTGCTGACTTGGACCTGACCGAGCTGAGCTTCATTGGTAGCGACGTTATTGCTCAGCTCCGTCGCCAATTGGAGGAAGAACGCGCAAACGCACGACGTGCCTCTTCTGCTCCATTCGAACAGACTGCTCGTGAGGAGACCGTTCACTCGCAGCGGCAGACTCGCGAGGATACGATGAGGTCCGTTGCTTCTGCTAAGAGCGGGCGTCGACCATCGCTGGTTCGCAAGTCATCAATGAAGGACACTACGCACCGCACAGCAGCGTCCGAATTTGAGGACGACGTTACAGGCAACCTGTCGAATCTGGATGCCGACACCGAGGCCACTCGCACCAAGGATCTTTCTATGCACAGCAACACCAGCCGTCGCCGACGTAGCGCTCCTACTGAGATGACATCTGCCTTCATTGTCCCTGACCTCAAGATTGAATCCCGCAGGCCATCCATAACCGCGAATACCATCTCCAAGCACGACAGGAACCACGACAACGCCAACTGCACTGTCTGTCGCCGCGAAGGTCTCACCTCTTCGACATCCGCTCTCCGTGTTCCCCGCCTCGTGCCAGTCTCTACTCGCATGCCCGAGGACGAGATCGATGCTACCCTCCGCCCCGCACGGTCCCCCAAAGAGGCCCTCGCCTTTGTTGTGAAGGAGCTCCAGGACGAGCGCGCTCACCTGCACATCGAGCTCGCCACACTCCGTGCCATGCTCGAACTGCACGATGCCAGCCAGGGCGCTCGCAAGCGTACCGAGATCAACGCGAGCATCCAAGAGACTCTGCGCCGACTCGAGATCAAGGATTCCCAGATCTACAACTTGTACGATGTACTTGAGGGCCAGGCTGCCGATGGCGACATCACAGAGCAGGACGTCGAGGACATCACAGAACAGATTCGCGCTGAAGACGCTAAGGAGGGTCTCAACGCTGATGTTGACATGAGTCACGTTGAGTTCGAGAGGGGAAAGAAGGGTCAGGGCAAGAGGGTCACGATCCGCAGCTTCGTCGACGAGAGCGAAACCGAGGAGATGCAGACGCGCGACTTCGGAAAAGACGCACTCCGGAAGACGATCCAGGACGACGAGACGGAGGAGTTGCCGTGGGACGGCTTCGAGGACAGCATCATCCCTGAGGGATGGGGTCACGTTACTAAGTGAACACTTTGATATGGCGTTTTCAGGGTTTGGATACCGTCATTACTACGGGCATTGGGTACAGCGTCGCACAGACGCTTCTTTCTTGTCTTCCACTCTCCTACCCTTCCTTCTCTGTCAGCTGGACGCCTCACGCCCCTCTTTTCACGGTCAGAGTCGGCACCACACACCAGCGACCTCCCGCAACCTCGGAGCTGCTTCGACTCGCCTCCGGGCTTGAGTCGGCATGCAACGAGGCCGCGGTCGAGAACGCTGGTCAACCCTGCCGTATCTGCCCCGAAAGGGGGAATAGCGGTCTTCAGTCAGTCAGCAGCAAATGGAACTCGTAGGATAGTTCAAACCATTCACTTCACTTTATTGATTCTCTATGCTATCTTGTGACTGCGTGGTCCGTGTCCGTAGCCCGGACGCCTAATACTGACCATGCCTAGATGTGAATCGAAAGCACGGCATATCCTGCATGGCAGCCTTGCCTTGCGCAGAGTCAACAACGAATACCGCCAGACACAGCCCAGACACAGCCGTGATCACCTAAGCGCCTTGCCTCTCCTCCCATGCTCCCAGCTCTCGCTCTGGCGACGTGTCAGCCCTCTCGTGTGACCAGGGTCCAGGCAGATGGCGGACACGCGTCAGATGCGCATAAGCGCTAGACGTCGAGGGCCCGGAGTTGGGAAACGGCGATGTGGGCAGGAGAGCAGAGCACGGCGTGAGACTAAATTGGACGGCGAGTGGATAGTGTACTCAGGTCCGCTTCATAGGATTCGATGACGGCAGCTGGTATCGGTGTTATGGTGTGGTACACTGCTGTCCGTGAGGGCCAGGCAGGAGTTCACGAACAAATAGGTAACATCTAGTCAAAGCGAACTCTGCATTCAGAACAAAGCTAGATACGAGTAAAGTTCTAGTAAACAAGAGAAAAGGGACTGTGTAGTCGGAGAGTTTAAAATGAACTACATACAACGCGCCAATCGATTTGAGCCAAGAGAAACCATCGTTCAAAAACCAATCCGTTCAGCCAACGTGGTCGACAGTACCTAGTTCTGCGGCACGAAACCCTCGTGTCTGGCCTTAGCAAGGAGCTCTCCAAGCTGAGGGCCCATGACGGCGAAGAGCTCGAAGGCAAGGACGTGGGCGACTACGAACATGGCGAAGAACAGAATGGCGCCGATCTTGGCGTACAACTTCAACAGGCGGCGACGGGCCTCCCAGTTGAAGCTGCGCCATGCGTCGAAGAATCCGATCTTGCCGCTTCCACCGAGCAGCTGGCTGACGACCTTGCCGGCGAAGGTGCGGTCGAAGGGCACGATGGTGTCCTGGTCTTCAGGCAGGATGGAGGATTCGATGCGGACCTGGGTGACAACGGCTGGGATGCAGAGGAACAGGGTCGAGAAGATGGCGAAGCCGACGGTGGCAAGGACGCGAACGGCGACGCACATCCACTGGCCCCTGGTGTACTGCTCGAGGTTGTCCTGGTTGAGCTTGTGGAGGCCAAGAAGCATGGCAACACCACCGGTCAGGTACATGCTGATGTAAGGCATGGCGGTAGAGACGGCCGCGGCGGGTGCAAGCGCCTTCCAGTGGGACTTGCTAGGGATGCGCTGCCAGAAAGTCGCCTCAGAGGGCATGGAAACGACCTTGTGAGTCCATGCGGCGTGCAAGTTGGCAACAGTGGCACCAGCCAGACCGCTGACAAGGATGGCCTGGCCAGGGATGCCGCTGGGGACAAGGGAAAAGAAGAAGGCCGTAAAGAAGTGAACGGCGAGGGAGAAGGCTAACGAGTACAGGGCGTGAATCTTGAAGCCCCTGAAGCGAGCGAGACGGCCGGCGTTGGCGACGACGTGCTTGACGGTGCCGCGGATGCTGGAAGTGATAGGCTTCTGACGGACGAGGGTGATGACAGGACCGGTCTCAAGAAGGGACTCCTTCTCATCTTTGGATGCGGGCTCCTCAGATGGAGAGATTGTGATGGCTGCGTGCGGGGTCTCGATCATGCAAAGGGTAGCGACGACTTCTTTGAGCATGTAGGAGAGCTAGAGGCATGGTCAGCATTCCAAAGGTTCCGTGGTTCAGGAGGCGAGGCTGAGGCTACTGACCAGGCTCAGAGCAATGATGGCCGCGTAGAAGCTCACACCCAAAAGTGCCATACCCCAAACAGGCATCTCAACGGGCTCGCCCGCACCTTCGCCATGGCCGACAGCGCGCTTGACGAAGCTGACAGTTGAAGGGTGCGAGATGGCACGACGGACGATGTCCTCTCCACCGGGAAGGTAGAGGCCTGTGGCTACGTCGAAATGAAGTTTTGCAACTCCCATGGTGATCTATGGTGTTGTGGTGTTGGAGAGGATTTACAAAGGAAGAGAAAGGGTCAAGGAGACGGATCGCCGTCCTTTGATGTTGGTCGAGCGGCGAAGGCTGGGCTGTGCTGACGACACGGATCGCGGCTGCCTAGCGTGCAGATCCCCCCAAGGCTTAGCGCGCGCTATAATTGGCCTTCCACCATCCGTCATGCCCGTTCACGGACGAACACGCGACGTGGAGTCCGTCAATGGTCTTTACAAATTGCGCCGTCGGTGGAACATTATGCAGTGGTTGCCGGTTTCACCTCATCATACGTATAGCCTACTACTGACCGCCATCATATTTGCATGTATAGTGAAACGTATGCTTGCTGAAGATTACTACCCGTAGGGTTTCCTTCACGAATAGGCACCAGTGTTAAAGTAGCAAGGGTTTGAGGGATAAGTTATGATTACGATGCCGGGAGAAGTAGTATCTGACAGAGTCCAACTCCTGAATGCCTGTGACTTTGTACGCCCCAATTCACGCTGTGAACCCAGACATACTGATGAAGAAACAAGAGAAAGGTGAAGTATATCAACGCTAAAAAAGATGACGAATCGGCTTTTAGGAGAAGATGATGTACAAGCGCTGGGTATGTTCAATCTGAACCTTTCATACGTGTCGTGAGGAACGGAGTGTCGAGCGTGAGAATCGTCTGATGAGGTCGTCAAGATGTATGGGCGAATGTGTCGTGTGCTCGCGGCCTCGGGCCGGAAGAGGGAGGGTGACATGCTGCAGCAACTTCGAAACCCGTTGTTGGGTATCAAGCTGCTACATGTGGCCGACTGGGCATGGTCGCTTACAACGCGGTCTGGGGAACCAGAGGAGGCTCCGTCTCGTGCTTGATGGGCTCGCTGATGGGCTCAACCTTGGGCTCAGCCTTGGGAGCAACAGGGAAATCCTCCTTCTTGACCTCAGCGGACGGAGAGCGTCCACGGTACTGGTTGATCGTCTCTTGAGCCTTGGTGGTGTATTGCTGGGTAAAACCCTGGACAGTCTGCGAAGCGTTGGCAGCCTGCTTGCTGGCAAGGTCCCTGATCTGGCTAGCCTGCTGGCTGGCAAGAGACCTACCCTTCTCGAGCTGGGCATCGATCACCTCCTTGTTCTGGAGGTAGATGAGCGGGCCGAGGTAGGTAATGACGGTAGCGATGAGAGCAAGGCCCCACATAGGAACAAACTGGTATCATGGTCAGCGCTGAATTGAAACCTGGCAGAAGCGTCACATACCTTAATGAGGAAGTAGGAGATCAGGGAAGCAAAGAACGCAGCAACGGTAACGTAGACGTTCTCAGCGAAAACAATACGTTGAGACTCGATAACGAAGAAGTTGATGAGCTGCTCAACATCGTCAAGCAGACGCTCGAGAGACGCCTTGGGGATAGTGAAGTACTGGCGCGGCCTGAACTGGGACGTAAGGCCCTTTCCGAGGGTAGCCTGTCCAGCGACCTCTGCCGCAGCGGTGGTACCAAGCACAATCCAGGTAAGCTTGAAGATGTAGCGGATGACGTTCAGGTATCGGGCAGCGAAGATGAAAAGGACGGCGGCGGCGAAGGAAATACCGGTCGCGCGGGGGTTCTTCCAGCTCAAGAGGCGGTAGAACATGCTGTGGTAGTCTGCCATGTATTAGCCACGACTCCACGAAACACAGCGTAGAGATTCTGCTCACGGGTGAGGTTCTGGCCAGTCGCGGTCTTCTGCTCGGGAATCTGCTTCGAGTTGGCGAGGTCTGCGAACTCGTCGCGAGTCTTGACGCCCTCTGCCTTGGCTTGCTGAGCCATAGGTCCTAGATAGTCAGTGCTGGGACTTTAGCGGGCAATGTGGGCACCTGTGTCGCGAGACCACGTTAGCACTCGTCCAACGAGCCGAGATAAGGCGCACACTGCACTTACCATACCGTTGAGGACTGTGTCCTTTGCGTTCTGCACCGAGGGGTGGTTCTGAATTGAAGCCATGGTGTTCTGTGCTGCTGTGCGGTTGTTAGGAGAGGAAAACAGGGTGGTGTGCGAAGCGCAGATAACACTGTCATATGGCGTTAGCTGCAAGGTTCTCGGCTGCAGGCGGAGGCGTTTGGTGTCCCGCTCACCTTACACTCCAGCAGGCTGTTCTTTGCGTCACCTGCAGTCTGCTGTGTCGAAGCCTGATTCGCGCTGCCGTTTACGTTCGCCGGAGCAGACAGATCAGTGAGATCCGGAAGATCTGTGTTGCTGAGCTCGACACGCGGCGCTTCAGACATGTTTGCGGTTGCGGCTGCTGTGAGGCAAGATGGGAAAGTGGAAGGGAGAATTGGTTGATTGCAGTTGCGTGAAAATTGAGTCTGGAGTCTAGGAGCAGGGGCGTGTTTGATTTTCTAGTGAAGAGACGCTTTGTCCCATTGCGCAGTGCAAGCACACGACAGTGTTCCAGCTTTCCGCCAAAAACGTCATATCGCGTTCACACAAACAATCATAGCGCCCATGCTCCACAGAATTGATGTCACTGCTGCGAACATGATGGGCATTTCACCATGGCTTTCGATGTCTTTCCTTTGGGCATCAAACCTGGTCGAGCTGGTATCGCTGCCTCTGCTCAAATTGTCGTGCTGCTCCCTTTCGCTTGTGGGATTTTGGCATGTGAAGCTCTCTGGCTAGTGCGTGACGCCATACCCAACGAGCGAGGGGCTATCCAAAACGCAGACGCACAAACACGCGAGCTTTGGCAGCGGATCAGGGCGCTCTTGTCGGACAGCCTGATTTCCATGGTAGCCAGATGTCGATGAGGCCATGCGCAAATTTCCCTGTTGTTGCTTTCGCATGTGACCGAGAATGGTTCTGGGGCTTGATGAAGCACAACAAACACAACACAGCCTTACTCCTTACTCGACACGCGAGAGCAGGAGTGCGAAGGGTGCCGAGATGTTATTGTTTTCTGAGACGTTACCTGCGTTCAGTGACGTACCACGCTGGAAAGCGGAATCTGCTTGCTACAAGTGTGCTCAGGGTCATGGAAAATCACAGGTGTTTAGAGCTCGATTGGGTTAAGATGCAGCCTGGTGGCACCAGATTCGGAAGAATCGATGTAGTTTATCTCGTTCAGCTCAACTGTCATGGACAGCCTTGCTCACGAACAGGTGATGATGGAAGCACATACTCCCGCACGACCAGCTGCGCAAGGATTGTACAGCCAACTACTTGGACCTCCGCGGACCTCAAGGCCTGTTATGGCATCATCGTGTAGAATGGCCAAAAGGACGTGAGATAGCAACGGCATTGCGTGCACCGATTATACAGCAGTCTGAGCTGGCTGAGAGCGGCATGGCCATCATGCTGCATTGTGCTGCAACCCGGTAATGGGTCCAGGGCTTTGTGGGCTCCATAGGCTCTGCATTAAGACTTCCTGATCAGCATAGGACAGCGGACGCTTGTAGATAGACTTCCGAGATCTTGGGTGTGATCAGCAAGGCGACTCCGCCCTCTTCGTACGCTCTCGCAAGACGGTCATTTCCAGTCCGCTCACGGCTGCCTGCTGTGCCAGGTGCCAATAGGCTGACAGTGTTGCACTGAGGTTTCCAGCGCCCGGCCTCACAGGCGGTAAGAGCTTGCGTCAATGCATAAAGCGGGGACGGAGACAGGCGAGGCGTGGGGGCTGCGCGGTGCACGTCTGGTCTTCAAAAGCCGGTGGAGGCCAGAAAGATCAACGGCCACTTACTTTTAATCGGACGCACTCAGGGCACTGGCCACTCCGAATGGATGCAGCAAAGGCAGCTCCGGCACCGTTCATTGCGGCCCTGCGCTGGGCGACAGGTGCTACGTATCTCAAACAGCGTCACGGGGGTCCGCGAAGGCGCCAACTCACGAAGCTGGAGCGAATCTTAGCAGCTGTCAGCGATGCTGGGAACGACCATCTGATACGCGCTCAACCAGTCAGCGGTGAGCATTTTCCTCCTGCGGCTGCGTGGGCCAGGCACATCCTTCGCAAAAGCCGCACCCACGCTTTAGGCTCACCGTGATATGGAGACAAGCGCTATCGGGCATGCAGGTCTTCGACCTAGCCCGTGTCGCTGCCAGTCCCTGTACACTGCTAGACTGCGAGATTAACGGCTCGAGGGCTCGCATCGCTGCTTTGACGCGATCACAAGGGTGGGTGCGCCTATCAGTACCTCTCGAGTCTCGGTATCTGTCCCAAGAAGGCTCGGTCGTATTGGCGACGTTGGCGGCAGTCCGTATGAATCGGCATTGCTGCACTAAACACCGCCACATACTCGCTCGACCCGCTGATGACCCTCTTCCGGGCGCGCTGCGATAACGCGGGTCCTCTTCTACTCGTGCTCAGCCTCCGTCCCCTTCACTCACCTCACCTTTATCGTGAACAACTGCAAGCAACCGCGACGGTACTGCTGCCCCTGCCGGCACCAAACGCCGCGTACCTCGCCCAGCACCTCGGTACGCCAGCGACGTGACACAAGCGAAGACATGGTCCCTGCACCCAATCTTGGACCTCGAAGACCCGCTATCGCCTCGAGCCACTGCGCACGCGACTACCAGCAGTGCTCCCTCTCCGGAGGTGAGAGCCTGGGGGACAGCTCAGCAGCATGATGCTCCCGCGCAGCATATACAATGAATCACCACCAGAACGCCGCACCCGCGCGACCAACAACCCGACCCTCCTCTACAGCTGGTGGTGTACCATCTTCTCGCTCGTCATCATCGGGTTCCGGCTGTCCGGGCGCTACATTCGCAACGAACGACTGTTCAGAGAAGACAAGATCATGGCTCTGAGCATCATTCCCCTCATCGCGCGTATGTGCTTCGTGCATGTAGTTCTTATCTGGGGCACCAATAATGTCAACGTCAGCGCCTTGACTGACCCTGTCAAAATCCGGCACCGGGAGATCGGGTCGCAGATGGTGCTTGCAGCGAGAGTGTTCTACGCCATGTTGTAAGACCATCAATCTCCACACCAGCGTTCCCAACTAATGCAATGCAGCATATGGATGGCCAAGTACACCGTGTCCGAGTTCCTCAAACGCTTGACTGAGCGATTTTGGAAGAAGGGATATGAGTGGGGACTGCGCGCCATCCGGATCTTCCTGGCTTTTACCTTCCTCGCCGTCCTGGTCGCAACACTTGCCGAATGTCAGCCTTTCACACACTACTGGCAGGTCAAGCCCACTCCAAAGCCACAATGCCGGCAAGGCTTCGCGCAGCTGATCACCATGGGCGTTGCCGATATCATCACGGACATTCTTCTAATTGCCTTTCCCATCCCTATCATCGTCCACTCAGGCATGCCACTGAAGCGCAAAATCTCACTCATAGGGCTCTTCTCGCTGTCGGCCGTGCTCATCGTCATCACAGGAGCACGCGTTCCGATGGTCATTGACAGGCGCGGCATCCAGCAGTTTCGCTCAATGTTCGCATCTTCTGAGATCCTTGCGGCCACTATAGTCTCGAACGCCATCGTCCTTGGCTCCTTCCTACGTGATCGAGGTCTGAAAAAAGCGAAGTTCAAGGCTCCATCTACTACAGATAGCATGGAGCGCAGAGGTTCCACTCGTACGCACACACTCCAGCAATGGGGCAGTGATGAAGATCTTGCGCGGTCACTTGGCTACCGAACAAAACCGGAGCTGGCCGAAAAGAAGACGAGTGTGCCCAGACCAGCACCCATGGCCGATCTTGGTGTCCTAGCACCGACGCAACAGCCTGGACCTTTCGTGAATACAAACTGGCAATTCCCAGGCAAAGGAAACGATTCACTACAGTCCACCGGTAATACGACTACCAAAGCGGCGGATATCCGAGACCCTATGCCTAGTCCCCGCGCCAGCAGCGGCAGACGGGTTTCGTTCTTTGATGTCGGTGGCTTGCTAGAGAACGGATCAACCACCTCGCCTTCACCCACTGATTCCGTGATTGCGCATGACTTCGCAGCGCAGCCACGTCGAGGATCAAGAGCCTCCAACTCGATAATGTCTAATGGGCGCGCATATCCTCCACCAGCACGTCGATCGTCACGCCTATCACAACAATCCGAAGACTACGAGATGTCTTCACGCCCTGGCAACCAATTGCGCGACCCCGGCGGCTTGCTGTCGGAGCATCGCGAGATTGAGATGGAGCGGCAAGCTGGCCCATCTCCCTCGACACATTCAAGCTCATCAAACAGCCTCGCCCTCCAACATGCCCGTAGCAGCTCGTTGCATCGCAGCCCAACGCAGACAAGCTACAACGTTCCATCACTCCAGGACGTTGGGGGTCTCGCCACTACGCGCTCACATGTACCCATGACACGTAGCTCTACGCATACCAGCTACGATGTTCCATCTCTGCAGGATGCTGGTGGGCTACTTTCCATGTCATCTTCTCCTTCCAAATGATTTCTAGCGTGATACCCAGCTCCGGCGTGAGCCTCTGCATATGCATAGCATGCCGGTTCCTTCTTGTTCCTCTGTATCTGCACAACACCTTACGTGCTCGGCGTTTCACGGATCACGAATTATGGATTTCATGCCACGAGCTATCTTCTTCCATAATGAAAAGATCCACACTGTACGATAGTACCAATCCCCAAGCATGACCATACGTCAGCTCATTCAACACATAAATCAATGTTTAGTAGCTTGTCTTCAATGCGACGTGTAAACACTATTTGTGATGCTGTCCAACTCGCCTACCCACAGATCCACATAGCTACAGCCATTCCACCGGGCCGTATGCAGTACCTTCAGATAAGCTTTTTGACAAAAGCAAGAACAGTGGAGTCGTGGTCGGAGAATTGGTCACAAAATGCTGGACTAAGGCACGTGGCGTCCAAGCGCTGGTGCCAAAGCTTCGGTGTGCACCTCGATTCCCATCTATGTCTCCCCAGATCGACAAAGAAGCATCTTCACAACCAGAGCCTCGTGCTTTAGACGCTTACAATGCTGCACCGACCCTTGAGGAAATCATTCAACTGACACAACAAGAACTTACCGCAGCGCAGGAGGACGACTCGATTGTAGAATGCGGCCGCGCAGCTTTATCCCTGTTACATGCGAATCCGAACCTGGCCGCAAAGCTTGCATACCAAAAGCTGCATGATGTCCCATATAAAGAGGTCAAGGAGTGCTGGAGGAGATTGTATACGGATGCCGCCTTGTGGAGAGTCTTGAGTACGACCGAGGGCCGAAAGAAGCAAGCACACCTGAACGAAGAATGGATAGACGAGGTGGTCGTACTACTTGACTGGGCGCTCATTTTGACCGCTGTTCCAAGGAGAGAGACTGTTGTAGAGCTGTGGTTTGCTGCGCTGGAAGAGGAGCTGTCTACTCGTGCGTCTGGCCATGCGGCACCAGATCCCTTGGAGCGCCCAGCGAAGAAGCCGAAATTCGACAACGTCGTTTCGATACCATCAGTCTTTCCAGCTACCGTTGTCAAGTCTCCTATGACATTGCGTCACTGCCTTCCTCGATGCGACAGACCGAGTCTATCCGCTTTCCAGAGAAAACTCTCATCTCCAGCAACCCATACACCCGTCATCATTGAGAACGCATTACAACACTGGCCCGCACTAGCAGAGCGTCCATGGAGCGATCCAAGATATTTGCTCAAACGAACACTCGGCGGCAAGCGCCTGGTTCCCATTGAGACCGGCCGAAGCTATACAGACTCCGGTTGGGGTCAGAAGATCTCCACTTTCAAAGACTTCATGACAACCTATATGCTCGAGAACGATACCCTATTTCAGGATAAATCTCAAACAGGTTACCTCGCCCAACACGATCTCTTCGCCCAAATCCCATCTCTACGCGCGGACATTTCGATCCCAGATCTTTGCTACTGTGATCCTGCACCGAACTCTTTGCCAAATATCAAAGAAACTCACAAGCTCGAAGATCCTCTTTTAAATGCCTGGTTTGGTCCAAAAGGCACAGTATCGCCGCTACATACCGATCCGTACCACAACATACTGGCGCAGGTGGTGGGACACAAGTACATCAGACTGTACGCCCCAGATCAGACTGAATCCCTGTACCCGAGGAGCATAGATGAGAATGGCGTGGATATGAGTAACACAAGTTTGGTAGATTTAGACGAAGCCATTGAATTGTTTCCCGAGATAGGTTTAGGACAAGAAGGTAACCCTGTTCCACATTCACAGGCAGAGATAGACAGAGGAGACGCTCAACAAAAGAAGCTAGAGTTTGAGGCACGATTTCCGGGCTTTGCGGCTGCTAAGTACATTGAAGGTATTCTGGGACCCGGTGAATGTCTCTACCTTCCACCAGGTTGGTGGCATTACGTCAAGAGCTTAAGTCCGAGCTTTAGCGTAAGCTTCTGGTTCAATTGATCTGTCTCTTGTCATCCTAGCCCTCCTGCCATAAGGCCTCCCGAAGTTTGAACTTGACATGGGGTTAACGGTCTTCTCTTGTTAACCCCGTGAGGGGTACATAGCATTCAACCAACGACATAAAACGCAGCTAATGGGCCTTTCATATTCCCAGAGACGCACAGTTCACTTCAAGTACTTCATTTTCTTGACGAACTTGATAAGTACTAGCACCATGTCCACTACCGCTGAGCAACGTATCATCCTCGTGACAGGTATCTTTCATTCCTTGTCTACAGTCCTACTTCTCCCCATACTAACTATCATAGGTGGGAACAACGGCATAGGTTTCGATACAGTTGCTGCGCTGGCCGCGGCCTCACCAACCAACTATGTCATAATCGGCTCCCGCAACCTCTCCAAAGGCACTGCCGCTCTCGAAAAAATCAAAGCCAAGAATTATCCCGGAAGCACTGACCTCGTCCAACTCGACGTCACAGACGACTCCTCGATCTTCGCAGCAGCAACCTCAATCTCGCAGACCCACGGCCGTCTCGACGTCCTCATCAACAACGCAGGCATCTGCCCCGAGCCAAGCGACCCCACATGGCCCACCAGGCAGCAGATGCGCGATGTTTTCGAGACGAACGTGTTCGGGCCCACGGTCGTGACGCAAGCCATGCTTCCGCTACTACGCAAGAGCACAGACCCCAGGATCGTCAACGTGACCTCGTCGCTCGGTAGCATTGCGACACGGCTCGATCCCTCGGATCAGGTCGCCGGACCTAATTATCCGGGGTATCGGATGAGCAAGGCTGCGCTGAATATGCTGACGGCGTACACGTATGCTCTCGAGGAAGCAAAAGGGGTCAAGGTTTGGAGCTTCTGTCCGGGCTTTGTGGTGACGGATTTAGGTCGTGATAGGGAGGTGAGGGAGAGTATGGGTATTGACAGTTCGGAGACGAGTGCGAAGGGGATCTTGCAGATTGTGCAGGGGGAGAGGGATGACGAGGTTGGGCGGTTTGTTGAGAGGGAGGGGAAGAGCCGTGCGTGGTGAGCTTTGGGTGTTATGCATGGATCATGATTAATAGTATTTCTTCTCTGTGAAAGTATGTCGTTGATCCAGCTGAAGTGAGTGTCACGTGTATGTAGGTCGTGGATATACCGGACGCGATAATTGCGGAAGGCAATGTAGTTCCTGGTTATTCGTGGCTTGGGGTGCGGAACTTTAACTTGTAGTCCAAATAGCCTGATAAATTCCATTGGCCGCTGGCTAATGAGATCCATGTCGACGACAAAATGTACTTATCAGACACGTCGGACGCTTTGTATGAACGAAAGATATGCTACATTACAGTCGCACATGCTGAAAAGACTCTGAAAGTAGGCACAATTCCATGTGCATGGAGTGTCCCTAGATGATCAAAGGACATCTCCCCATCTTTTGTCACAGTAACAGAAGTACCACACCCGACGCGCTGCGTGATGTGGAACCGTGAGCTGGTCATTAAGATTGATTTTGAACTCATGCGGTCATAGTCTGGGCTTTCTGTTCTTCAGGACCTTGAAATGACCCAGTCTTTCTGGATGTGTATGCCCTCGTCAGGCTGATGCATGGTGAGGTTCCGTTCTGAACTCGCATCATCAGTCGTGAGCATGATCTGGTCTTTATCGGCCTGTAGAAAATTAGAGGCTGTCATCAGCTAGTATGTTATGGTCTTACCAATTCGATCCATGCCATATGATTTACTGGCCTGGCTGCCACATCTCCTAACTGCCTTGACCCTGATACTTTGTGTGAGCCCTGTCCACCGGAGCTGCCCGTCGAAGTGGACTTATACTTCGCCCTCAAGCGTATGTAGAAGGGTCGTAGCATAGGGATGTTGATACACAGCCCTGCCAGCATAAGCTCGACAGTGCAAAGCATAAAGGTGGTGAGCGAGGTCCCGGTCAAGTTGCCGATCAAGTCGATGGTGTATATTTGGACTGTAGCATTGTTAGAAAAATTGTATTCTTGGTTTCGGGGGCAATTTACTGAATCTAGCGAGAGAGATGAACACGCAGGCTCCTCCAAGACCGAAACAAGCCAGTACGGCAAACTTTTCGGTCTTGCGCATTTGTAGCTGCCACACAGACCTGATTGGCAGTACGACAATGAACAAGTCTGTGACAAGATTTGTCATGATTAGGCACTTCAGGAGAAGAATTTGATCCATGCAGTGGCCAACCCGCGCGACGGTCCATTGTTGGGCGATAGGATCGCAGAGGAAGATGAAGAGAAAGTTGAAGATGACAGCCCAAAGCACAACGATTGCGCCGACACCGTACACCCAAACTTGCAATTGGCTGGAGAAGACTCGCATATACAAGGCGAGCTGGCTCATCTTGAGAGCTGCGAGACACCAAATGTAGATTAGTGTGAAAGCGAAAGTTATCTGCATAATGACAGGCAGATTATGTGTCACTTCTAAGGGTCAGTAAAAGTGCCTCTTCGTGAAGTTCGGGCTCCCACTTACACTCCGGAAACACATCAGAGTTGGGATCAAAATTCCACCCGACCCCTTCAACATGTTAGCATTAGATAGCGGCGGTGATTGAGACAGTCCTGTACATACCAATTGTAAATACAACAGCATTCATACCTATTGTACTGCCGGACAATATCTAAAGAGTATAGTCAGCAGTGACTCTGCCACGTTCCTCTGCGGATCACTTACCAAGGCCACAGCTGACAAGATGTCATCCAGACCAAGGCCTATCCCTTGCAATCGACCAAGGAACCGAAAGCCGACTGTGATAGCGAACATTATCCATAATACTGCGATAGCTATCAGCGAGTCGCGGGCGCTGCCCGTCATAGGTAAGGGCTCCGTCTTGATGAACATGATCGCTGGCGAGAAGAAGAGAACGTAAGGGCTGTGGAGGTGATGTGAACAAGAGCGGAGCTCGTATGGTTCTGAGGCGTCTAACGATCAATCGACAGCACACTCCACATGTTTCGTTGACCCTCTTCTACTCTTAGGATTCAGGGCAGGACGGAGGCTGTTAACATTTGCCCGCCAGGGCCCGCGCAGAGGCCAATCTTGTCATCGCAACCGAGTGCATGCTCTCTGGGATCTGCAGTTTCTGCATTGTAATTCCATCCTCTTTCAATCGAGCAGAACAGTGCGCACTCGTTCTGTAACCTTAGGCCTGCTCGAAACGAACTGATCTTGCTCTTTCCGGTAGCCGAACATCATCCTGCGTCACATGCCTGCATCGGCGCAGCTGTCGTGCGAAAGACTCTGCTGACAGCTCGATGGGAAGAGGCAAGCGTCATGGTGATCTATAGGTCGCGGTTCAAAGTACGGTGGGTGCTGCGCTCCCGTTGGCCGTCTTTGCCGCAATAACACCGCCAGCTCGGTTCATCCTGCGGCACTTCGCCTCTCCCCCCACTCACGAAGGATGCTGCCGGCCACGCGATGACAGTAAACGCCTCTCCCTTTCGTGTCCCTGCCATTGGAGTTGTCAGATCGAGTCATGTATTACGGCTTGTGAACGCATTTGCAACAGCGCGAGCGCATTTATCGGGATCTTGACTTTTGATTGAGCTGAGGACTTACTTCGAGGGATTGTTACGTAACAGTCCGTTGAGAACAACCACAACTGTCTCCCAGCCGGCCAGAGATATCTACACAGTACTATCACTCAGGATAGCCGTTTCATCTTGTGGGCTGCCTAACACAAAAGCCCGCAGGTGGGGCTGCTAGACATGCAGCCTTACCGAGTTCAGGAAGGGCAATGCTCCTTTTTGACGGCAAGGCTTCCCAATGGATCAGGTCCGTGACACGCAAGACGTCAAGGGCGGTTTTCTGCGGCCTTCCTACACTGGGCGAAGATTGCCGTTCGTAGCTTCATCTTCGTCCAGGGCCGAGGATTGAAGGTCCACTACAGAGCCACTTTACAGCATGCGGCTTGCATCCTTGTAGGTTCCTCATAAACGAATCAAGACTCACTAAATGCAAAGATGTTCCTATCAAAAGGGGTTGCTTCCGCAACAGTCACGCTACCCGCGACATGGAAAAAAGCGTATGGGCTAGCGGCCACATTGGAAATGGGTTCCCGTCAGATAAGGTCATGGAGGTATATATGTCTTGCAACAAGTCTTCCGGATACCTGTGTGAGATGCGCCTTTACACTGTGCCCATCTCAACCTCAATATGGAGTCACAATCAGCCCTAAGTTCGAGCAAGCTCTTTCCCATCGTGTCTTTGACCAGCGTTGGATGGCTTGCTGCCCTCTGGATTGCCTACCGAATCGCTATCGCTCTTTACAACATATCGCCGTTTCATCCGCTCTCGAAATTTCCCGGTCCAAAGATCGCAGCTGCATCTTACCTTTACGAGGCCTACTATGACTGGTGGCTACTTGGTCGATATGGCAAAGTCATCGCCCGTATGCACGAACAGTATGGTCCCATTGTCAGGATAAATCCCGATGAACTTCATTGTGCGGATCCGGCGTTCACAGACGAGATTTATGCTGGCCCTGGCCGCGTTCGTGACAAGTGGCAGCATCAACTGAATACCGGTGGTGCTGGACCTGTTAGCGTCACCGGATTTTCGACAGTCGACCACAACTTGCATCGTGCGCGCAAGACACCTCTATCCAAGTTCTTCTCTCGCCAACAGATGCTGAAGTTGGAGGATGAGGTGCATGACTTCGCTGAGCAAACCACAAACAAGATGATGACTTTTGCCGGCAAGGGAGCTTTTGATATCAAAGAAGCCTTCAACTGCTTCACTGCAGATGTCATCTCCCAGTATGCGTTTGGCGAGCCCATGGGATTCATTGCCCAGGAGGGTTGGGAGCCTAACTTTGCAACTTGGGTCAAGTCATTCTTTAAAAGCGCGTACATGATGAGGCACAATGCACTAGGACGAAAAATGGCTCAGGTCATGCCGTTGTTGGCAGACTACCTCGGCGAGGACATCAAATCAGTCATGCATCAGATGAACGTCGTTATCCCCAGTTACATCCAACAGGCTGTCAAGAACCCTGAAAACGGAAGGGTGTTTGCAGATCTTGTAGAGTCCAAAGCGCGGCCGGACAATGAGACAATGGAAGAAACCAAGTTTCGTCTCAACGGAGAAGGCTTCAACTTTTTGCTTGCGGGCACTGAAACCACTGCGGTAAGCTATCATATCGAACCTTGTAGAAAGATCCATAACTGAATTTACATTCTAGGCTATCCTGACTGTCTTCACCTACTGGGTTCTCGCAAAGCCTGAAATCTACGCCCGCCTCATGCAGGATCTGAATGGCTTGAATGGACAGAACCTGAAGTGGGTCGAGCTCGAGAAGCGCCCGTACTTGTGGGCTATCTTGCAGGAATGCTTGCGAATGATGCCTGGTGTCTCCCATAGATCTGCTCGAGCTGCGCCTCTGGAGGAGCTGGTCTACAAGAGCCAGGATGGCAAAACCGAGTTCGTAATTCCGAGGAACACACCCATTGGGATGACATCGATGATCAATCACTGGAACAAGGACCTCTTCCCTAACCCCAACGATTTCGTTCCCGAGAGGTGGCTTATCAACGGTGAACCAAACTACCAATTGCAAAAGAAGCTCATCGCCTTCGGAAAGGGGAGCCGATCGTGCATTGGCGAGAAGTAAGTACTTTCAAAGTAGCCCGTGCGGCTTTTGCTAACAGTAACATAGCCTGGCTTACTGCGAGCTGTATATCATGTCAGCTCTTATGGCATTCTACGTTATCCCGAGATCCAAGCTCGTGGATACCACAGTAGAAGATATCTCGTATGATCACGACCTTATTGTTTTGCAAACGAAGAAGGGCTCAATCTCTGTGCGCATTGCTATCGAGTAGTTCGAAATGACACAGCATTCAGTAGCCAGAATAAGATCGTATGACCTCATATCGGCTATCCAGCAATATGCAGCTAATTAATACGTTAATCCGGCTTCTCACCTTTCAACTGCAGTCTGAAGTAATACATGGGTAGCTGTTAGATCTATTGCCCGCTACTTGGCATTTTCATGTAAGCCGTTCTTATCACAAATGAGCCGCATAGAGACTACTAAACAACTCCATCCATGCGCATACACTAACGAGATACAGGCCAGATGAGAACATCAAACCCTCTTGTCTGATACTGTCAAATGGCTGGTCGGACTGGGGCTTAAATTCGTCATTGGTTTTCGGTACCTACTTCATTACCACGTCTTCGATCTATCGCGATGCAACGGCAGCATTTCCTAGAGTAACATAGTTGTATTAACAGTGCGTGACAGCGCAAAAACGCGTGCATGTGGCATCGCGTAAATCGCGTAATCTCTTGTGCGCCAGGAAGCAACCTCGAGACAAGTGGCGTCCCACCCATCTCCCACATCATCACCTGCCCCGGAAACACGCCAGGCCACCCCCACGGCTCACACACACAACAGGACACCGCTATCTCTGCTGCAGTATATTTTTCGATGGCCAACAATCAAACAGCGTCTGTCGGTCGAGGTGACACGCCTATGCTGCGCTGTGCTGCGCGTTGTTTTCCGCCCCCAAACAATGAGAGCTCCGCTTCGCCACCACCGACTGCCCAAACTCCTCTTGTCGTGGCGCAGGACTGTGACGTCGGTATCTGTCAAGATCGCAACCAGCAGAGCTATAGCGATTGAAGTGATGGTTCCAATTGACGAGGATCAGCTCTGAAGGTCTGCTTAAAAGAGCCAATTCGTTCCTTGATCTTGAGTACCACAGCAACTCCTATGGTCTCTGACCGCGCTTCTGAAGCTCTTGTGGCTGACGTAGCTTCTAATGCGCGCAACAACATCACAGACGCCATGTCGTCCGAACGTTCCGGCCAGAGCTTGTTATCGCCGTGGCTTTGGCCGCTATGGTGGTGTGACAACGTAACGGCTTGTCGCTCTTATGTCGAATCGGAAATATTATGTGGGCATTCCACTGATTGGAGACAGCTGTACAATCCCAGTAACCCCGGATCTGCGCCAATGCGTCCGCAGTTTAAAAACATCTCACACCCCCCAGCTTCCGTTCGTCAGCGCTATCCTTTTCACTCCTCGTCTGAACTCGCTGACTCCTCACCTCTCGCCGCACCTATACTTTACTGAAGACTACTTGTACATACGACATACTGGCGAACTACTCCTCAAAGGGCTTCCATTCACGTCGCCGTGCATCGCTCATGTACACGTGCATCCAAGACAGTTCGCTATCCATCCATAGACAAGGACCACTTGCCAGACCTATTTGGCGCAGGGTATAGAGCCTGGGTGACTGTCGCACGAACAACCATTCTGACAGTCTTATAGCCGCCTGCAAAAGCACCATGAATCCGCACCTCGAGAGTTCGGTCGCCCTCATTATCGCCCGCGATGACGATCCATGGAACGCGCTAGCTCGCCACGACGAGAATGTTGACGACGATCAGCGATGCTGGTCTTCCTCTTCGATTACCAGTTCCTCTCCTACTGCTGTATCTGCCTCCAACGAGCCCTCAATCTTCACTAGACCTACATCGTACGGCACCGGTTATCCTGTGTGCCAGTATCAAAACGAGGGCAAGGCGACCGCTACATATGCAGCATCGTTGTCTGCAACACACGGTTCAGAACCTGAAACAGATGCCGAGCGTGATGACGCCCTCGGCGTCATTCTCTCCTTTGCGGGAGCATGGTCGTCGAGTCACCAAGTACAAGATCAATGTCTCCGGAAGCGTGAGAACGCAAAGCTGAGACTACCCAAGACCCGTCTCAAAAAGTATCCGGTTGTCATCCACCAAACCACAGAGGATGAAAGTCCTCTTCCTCAAGATATCCCGCCAGCCCCCATTACTGCAGGGCCACCAAGCAGAGAAGGTACGTGCTTCCTAGCTAGTGTTGGCATGTCCCTAGTCTAACTCTTCTGCAGATCGAAGGTGTCTCTTCTGTCGTATACCTCGACGGCACTGCATCGTGTTTGGTTTGATCTGCCTCACAGTTTTGACGATTCTTTCGAGTGGACTCACTGTCTATTCCACGAACAGAGTAGAAATGAAAATGCGCAAGCGAGTAACTTTCGTTGCTGCCACAACAGTGTCCTTTGAGACCGTTGTCACGATGCTTGCAGCGCGTCGCCCTCCAGCAGAAGCATTGGCCCTTGGTCTTTTCCCACTGATTATAGGTTTCATGGTCTTACTACACTTTGATAGCTTTTTCTGACGTTGGGAGGCTACTTTCAAAGCAGGTTGTGCCTAGTCGATTGGCACATTTCCCTAACACACGACATCGTCCACTGTCGTTCAGTACGGACTGATCTCTGACAATGGATTAGATTGTTTGCTTAATTGAGAGGATTGCCATCGTTCTTGAGCAGCGTTATCAGCGATACACTATCCAGTAATGCATACGTTTCGGAGTCCTTATGCACTACACAGTACATGCGTGATCTGTTACATCGAATGCGCAATAATAAACTCCATTTTCCTATAGAGAGATGACCGTATTACAATGCAGTCACAACGGTGGCTATGAACTCAATTCTCAACTACAGGGTGCAACATCAAGGCGTCGACGAGGTGAGGCGCAGTATCCAAAGACGCGAGGCAGTGCCGGCTGCCTCAACAGCAACCAAGTCATATGCGGCCAACCTGGGCCAAATGGCACGCACAAGAAATGGCAGACACAAGACAGTGAAAATTCTCTCCGGGCTGAAACAATAGTGTGATACTGCAGGTGGTGGTGTGGGTGGCCTCTGGTCGCCATTCGCTACGTTTGTGCAAATGTCAGGAACGTGCTCTCACGCAGTCGAAAGATCGACAACAGATACTGCTGCGGACCATAATTGATTTGGGGTTACACACGTCCTGGGCAGAGAGGGCTGCAGGAGACGTATGTTCTAGTCCTCACGCTGTTGCTTGGTGATCGTCGCAGCAGACTCAGAATCCAAAGCTGCGGACGTAATTTCAACATCAGCCTGAAGCTCGTTCGTACGATAATGGAAGCACTTACAATAGCTGACGTAGAAGAATCGAGCAGCGGAACAGTCGTTTTTGTGACACCGTGGTCCGTTCGGGTGCACGAACTACGTGCAATATCACACAGCACCGATCATGCAATGCTTCGCCTAATCGTTGATTCAAGCCTGCCGATTATTCTAAGCGGGCAGCAGGACAGTCTACGCATTCGATAAGCCATTTTGTCGACTCCACGCCAGTCCTAGACTGAAAGCGCCATCACCGATCGGTGAGCTCAGCAACACACCACAGTATAGCGTAGAACGATGGCATAGTAGCGATGAAAGGCGAGACTCGATCACAGAGTCGGATATGACGTTGTGAACGCTAGCTCGTAGGGTGTCTACGCAAGAGGCAGACAGTTCATGCCGGTGGACACGTAAAGGCGTGTGCGCGACGAAAATTGGCGAGCGGCGGACAAAGCTGCCATTGCGTTTGGCGAACTGCTTACTGCAACCATTAGTACACTGTCGCAAATCGCGGCTTCCATAATGAAGTGTTCTCTTGTCTTCCACAACTAAGCAAGGCAGGGGAGTGTTTGCGGGGTCATGCAAGCGACCCCGCTTGTCTGGTTAGCCAGGAACACCAAGTCTTTAGGCAGGACCAATGCACGCTTCGACTGAAATGTAGATGTCAGCGTCTGAAAATTTTTCACTCGTGCATGATGTATGCAGGCATAGATTACAGGCGTGGTGAGCACGCACGAGCTAGCTGTCAGCCAGGCACGGTGCATATTGATGCAGCAAAAAGGAGCCTCTCACGGTCAAGAACCCCTTTTCTTTCAGAGACACGCAGCACAAGCGCCGCATGAATTGACGATCTCCAACAGCAGACGCCATTTCCAGGTTCCGGCTTCTGCGTTGTCGAAGACCGGTGAGGCATCATCCTGTACTGTTATCTCCTCCATCTGCTCCGTCGAAGAGCTTTGGCCCTCGAAATGACTTCACTGGAATTCCTCCGCAGATGTGATTCGCTTGTTCAAGGCCAGGTACTCTCAAGTCTGCTTGAAATTTCGATGGCGAACGTCGCCCGCAGGACTGCATGTTTCAGAAAACAACTAAGTACGTGCTGACCACCCAAAAGGCAAACGCTTGGGATTGAGGCTCTGCAAGTATCGTTGTGATGATCTATGGTGAAGCGGACATACTTAACTTGTCTTCTGGCCGCATGTGCGAGCCAGACTAAGTGCAGACTTGTTGCGCAGTACGAATGCTGACGGCCACGAAACGAAACGAAAGCACTGCAGCACCTTGCTCATCGCCCAGCAGGACATTGCACTTCATGCTTGTCCCGCCTTTTATGAGAGCATCATAATATACCTCTCCGTCCTAGCTCGCCATACGCACCAAGACGGTTGATGATATTATTGTCACGTACACCCTTGCTGAACTCCCGCCAGCATGGCTCGCACCCGTAAGTGTCCACTAGCTCAACAACTACCCCAGATTTCGGCACTGGTCTCCCCACTTTCTTGGCAGAAACACTATGGTCCGTCTACTAAGAAGATCGTAGTACGCTCATCTGAACTGAGACCAGCTCGACGCTCTCTCGGCCATATCGGCATTCCAAACCGCCACGACTCTCTTGCCGCACAAGTCCGCTGGGCAAGGGTCCGGTTCTTCATCCTTCATGAGAGGCGGCGATCTCAGGCATCATCTATCCATGTACACAAGGATGGACTCGGTGAACCCCAACCTTTGTCAGCCCTGCAACACAATGCGCATACAAGCTTAGTTCCGTTTGCCAACATGGATGCAGAATTGCTCTGCATTGGTAGTCAATTTGGTGCTGTAAATTAACAGTGCACGGAGTGCACCTTGGAATTGGAACAGAAGTCGCTGTAATGGTACTTTATGTAATTATAGTTGAACGCCTCTCTCCTCACAGCCTCTCACATCGTTGTTGTATCATCTTCCCATGGTGTTAATGAGCAGAAAATCTTTTAGGATCTAGGGACCATCTCTCTGTCTCTGCTGGTCAAGGTTGGGATCCACAGAAATGGCAGTCACTGCGGCCTCTTCATGTCAATTCAATGGCCAACCATGTCGCTCTATCGATATCAACTATAGTTGATGTTACTCAGGACATGGCAATAGGTAACGACACAAGGACTAATTCAGTGAGATAGATGATTACTTTAAAGTAAGGTCTGCCCAAGGTGCTCCTACTCGGAATGTATGCTGATTTGAAAGATCGGGGATGCTTCGCTCTTTGTTGGGCTCTGCCGTATGAGGAAGGTTTGCTTTGTTATCGATCCTAGCAAGTTTCACGCTTGTCATGATCTCGCAAGTGCGCTATCACACACTATCAACACGACGCTACGATGAGCGGAGCTAGACTCCACCAAACAATTCGAGATGTAAGCGCTCTCACATCACAAACTTGGCACGTTGAAGCGATCTGATAGCCGCTGTAGTGTACATTGACCTTGTTGTTGGGTCTTCGATTCCATTGACTGACTCCATACCTTGAATGGTACATAAACAACGACATCGACTCGAAAATAATTGAAAGCAGATGCAGCCCGCTAACCATGCTACTCAAAACACATTCTTTTCGCTCCATCTCATGCATTCGCTCGCTTATAAGTTCATTCTGCAGCAGCAGGTGCACCACCGGTACCCTCGCCACTACCACCCTGACCTCCTCGGCCTCCTCTTGGTCGTTTATTGCCTCGTGCTCCGCTACCATCAGCCTCGCCATCAGCGTTGCGCTTTTGCCCACGTCCTGCACCATGAACGGGCTGGAAGTGTGAGGCGCCAGGGTTGAGACTCGTCCTCGGGCTGTTATTTTGACTCTGCCCTCCACGACCGCCACCACGATTGCCGCGAGCAGCAGCCCCGCCCCGTCCGATGGCAGTTTGAAGAGGGATCTGAGCTTGACCACGGCCCGCACCACGACCTCCAGGTTGAGGGATGCCGCTACCAGGCTGAGGTATTCCACTTTGACGAGGTATCCCAGTTGGTCCAGCGCCAATGAGACTCTTCGGTGCAGTAGCTGCGGTGCCCTGACCTCGGCCAGCCTGTAGCTGCTGGGTCTGCTGAGCAGGCCCTTGGTTTATTACGCCAGGTGCAGGAATGCTGCTACCGTTAGGTTGAGCTGGAGCAGGAGCTTGTTGACCTAGTGCCGAAGGAGGGCGTGGGATACCACCCTGTTGAGGTTGCGGCACAGGTACAGATGGCTGTGGCCCTGCAGGTGTACTTGTTTGAGCTGGCGTCGTGTCTTTCGCGTTTTTCGCCTCCTCGTAAACTTTTGCGACTTCTTCAGCGGGGGTGGCTTTGGCTGCCTTCTCGAACACTGCCCACTTGACCTTGAGAGCCGATAGCTGACCCTTTGTCAACTTGACCTTGAGCTCTGCTTGCCTGCTCATCCTGCTTTCAAGCTGCTCCAGCTGGGTTTTCAGGTTGGCCTCGTGCTCCGCCTTGGCGATCACCAGGTCAGCAGCATGATTGTCGACAGCGTTCCGAACCGTGGCTGCAGATGGCTTCTCGGCAGATCTCAACGTTTCGAGCTCTTTGGTCAGCTCTTCGATCTGCTTTTTCAGGTTCTCGACCTCCTTTTCCAGAGGGACCTTGTACTTGTTGATGAGCACCTTCAGTACCTCCTTCGCCTCCCTATTCGAGTGAATCCACGCCTGAATTTGCTCTCTAGTTGCATCGGGCCATGAGATAGGTTCAGTCTTGACGGGCATATCTGCTGTAGGGGCTTTGGGAGTGCCAGGAGTTGTCGAGGTGACGGCGCCAATCTGCTTCTTGAGCTGATCGAGCTCGGCTGTCAACTTCGCTTTCTCTTCGTCCGTTTCCTTCCTGATCGAGCGAATCTTGTTGTTAGCTTGTTCACGTAGATCCTGCGCCTTGTTTTCCCGGTTCGTGATTTTCGTCTCGCGCTGATCAAGGATGACCTGTCGTTGCTGCAAGGCAAGCTCAAGCTCGGCGACCTTGGTCTCTCGCTCCTCCAGTTGGGCCCTGGTAGCATCCAGCTGTGCTTTGATAGCATCCAGATGTTCGGTTTCTGGCTGTGTCTCGTCTCGCGGCGCATTATTTGCGCTGCGAGTAGCAGCTTCAGCAGCTTCGGCCGCTTCCGCTCGTGTTCGTAGATCCTCAACTTCCTTTCTGGCCACTGTGAGCTCCTCTCTGAGCTTCTCAATCTCTTCGTTTGAAGGTGCGTCAGAAGGTGCGTCAGATGATGGCTTCGCGGGTGCGAGAGCGGAATCTGCTGGTGTGGCCTTCGCGTCGGTGGGTGTAGATAGCTGTGCAGCCTTGAGGTCAGCTTCCAATTTGACGATGCGTGTTTTATCTTCAGCCTATGCACGGGTTAGTCATCTGTTGAAACGGATCTTGGAG